ACCCTAACCCTAACCCTAACCCTAACCCTAACCCTAACCCTAACCCTAACCCTAACCCTAACCCTAACCCTAACCCTAACCCTAACCCTAACCCTAACCCTAACCCTAACCCTAACCCTAACCCTAACCCCAAGCCTCACCATCTCCCCACTGCCCCCTTCACCTACACCAACGTCCAACAGCCTCATCGGCATATACCCGCCCTCCTGACCGCAAAGGTCATGTCTCTCTTCACAAGCTCGTAGCCACCTCTTCACAGCCCCCAAACTCTCTTCCATCCCTGTCCTCTCTGGCAACATCCTCGCAACCCTGATATTCGGGACGCTACGCTCTCCCTCCACAGTAAACACATCGAATTGCACGGACCCATGATCTCGGAGGAGATTCAGTGAGAATTCTGCACTGTCGCAGAGTGCGAAGATATGGAAGTACTGGAGGATTTCGGGGCTTTCGTGGCGGATGGCGAGGTCGAGGGCGTGCTGGAAGAGCGTGCAGCCTGGGCAGCCATGGGAGGCGGAAGCGGCGACGGAGTCGTATTCAGTGCCTTTGATGATGATACAACGATCTGTGGTGTCTGTCCATGGGGGATAGTGACATAGAAGACAGCTGGTGTGAGGTGTTGCTGGGTTTTCGTCTAAAGGAGGTGGAGGTGGTAGGATGCTGGTGATCGTGTTGGTGTGGGGTATGTGTGTGTCCATAGATTTGTTTTATTTTGATTCTCTCTTTTTTGGTTCTTAGCTTTCGTTTTTCTGCTTCCTCAATATGATGGTCTTCGAGTGGGGTATTGTTGGTTTGAGTTCTGTCATAATGATAATGCCAGCTGCAAGGCTAAGGGCTTCTCTCGGCAAAAGGCGCACATAAGCAAAACTGTAAAATTACCCTAAATTACTGCAAAAGGTGTGTAATTAGGAGGACATTGGTTTACTATTTATGCAAAACTCCTAGAAAGCTCTAAAAACCAAAAACAACCTTTAAAAAAGCTCAAGAAGGATTTGTAACCTAAAATGTCTACTACCGTAGACTTTTTGATATAACGGACTAGCTAACGCTAAACAAACTGGGTATACTGTGTTGTATCCCCACTCCTAATTCGTTGACGGAGATTCTTCGCTACTGAGCTACTCCTCTAGAGTGAAAGACTAACTAAATATAGTGCTGGCTGGTCCGCTATGTCAAAAAGTCTACGGTAGCTATCACAGGATAATACATGTAGCGGTGAAGTTGGGGGTTTTATGCAGGAGGTAGAATGGGAAAGATTACTGTGGGGAGTTCTGTATTGTATTGTATGTAAGAACGACAAATGCCTGCCGCATCTTGGCGAGGCTACGTGTCCTTTTGAAACCCCGCCCTACGTGACTTAGCGTTATTGCAGCCCATCTAACTGTAGGCCATCGTCCTCACTCGCTGGCTTTTACATATAGGGGCTGAGCATTTTAGGTTGCAGGGCTAACACAACGCAGCCTCCTCAAACCAGCCCTCAGTCACATATCTGCTCTAGCATCTGCAATCCACTACGATGCGCCTGCTCTATGTCCACACGCTAGAATTACACACGGTCTACGACATCGCGATTCCACCCTATACTATCTATCCTATAACTGGCTTCAAGATGACGAAGAAGTGATTGTTGCTCCAATCCACGATCTAGAAAAATACTCTAGCAGTAAGGAGGGAGTGCAACAGGAAGTAATAGCACTGACATAGAAGGGCTTGTATTTGGGGAAGAGATGCATAGAGACGTGTCTCCCCCTGGTAAGAAAGTACTGACTATTGGCCCGCTAATATCCGTCTAAGCCGAGAACATTGTATATAACCGCGATCTATCTACTTGTAGCTTTATGTCTACTGTTCTGCTTGTAACTGCTTACATGTTACATTTCTTAACGCTCAGTATCTAGGCGTAACACTAGGGTCGGTAGGCAGCTAGTTACAAGCGCTCTAACCACCTTTCTAGCATTTGATAAGTAAGAAAGAGATTCTAAAATAGTAGAGATTCCTTCCCAATAGTAGCCTGAAAGAGATGTAACATTGCTGTCCATATGTCCTTTAAGAAATAGAGAATAGAATATAAGAATGACGCTAGAAATAACAACCTAGGTTAGTAAACTCTAGAGCCTTCTGTAAGGCATTAGAAGTACAGGTATATAGTATAGCTAAATAATATATAAGATTTGCTACTACTAGCTATAAAGATAGCTAACTTACTTTTATTTTAACTTTATTTTAAAGGCAAGACTTTTTGTCTGTATATAGTTATAACTAGTAGTTATAGTTAAAAAGAATGTTTTTTACTAAACGCTTAAAGGGTTAGCAAGTTAGCGCTTTGCATACACAACTACTAACTAATAGTTACTTTACTAAGTTAATTAAAGCTTAGACTACTAAAATAATATTAACTCTACGTTAAGCTATTTTACTTCTTTTTACTTCTCTCTACTTTTAATATATTCTATTTTAGTTACTGCTTGAATTTATAAACTTAAACTTTGCGCTTATACTTAAATTTTTTTTTTTATATACTTATAAGTAATAGTAGCTTAATATTTATAAAAGCTTATATTTATAAAAGAAACGCTGTATTATGCTAGGCAAGTGTTAGAATTAAAAAAAAGCTTTTAATTTAGCCTTTTACTCTCTCTGCTGCAAGCGCTAGTAATAAAAAAAATAAAGTTACTAGCGCTAATAAATAACTATATTTATAACTTAGTATATAACTACTTACTAGTAAGTAATAAGCTTAACTTTATACTAGCTTTTTAGTAATATTATACTTATTAATAAGTATACTTACTAGCAAGCGCTTGCTAGTAAATACTAAATAACTTTATATATATAATTAGTAAATAAAAAGCTTTTATAGCTTTTTATATTTACTTTAAATTATAACTTACTTTTTAAAGATATAATTTAGTTATTACTTTATACTTTTACTTTTATTACTTTAGTATTACCCGCTAGTTATTTGCAAAACTTAACTAGAGTTTTTTAAAATCTTAATATATATACGCCTATTTTCTTTATATTTATAATTATATTAATATATATAATTTAGGCATACTATATATATATTTTACTAAAATAGCAGCTATATTTAGCTTTAGTAATAGCAAGTAAATTTACTTTAAAAAAGTAAGTAAATTAAGTTAAGTGTTTATACTTTAACTAAAACTTATATAAGTAAACTAAATAAATTTAATATATTTATTCATAAAATTAATAGAAGAAATTAGTAAAGTATAAGCGCTTATAAAATATTATTTAAAAAGTAGTATAAATAGTAGTTTATTATTATATTACTAGAAAAATTAGTGTTAAAAAACTGCGCTAACGCTTTTAGCGCAGAAAGCATTCTTAAATATTAAATATATTTAAATTATTAATACTAACTATTTACTTTAAAACTATACTATAAATTTAAAATTTAATATTGCAAGAGCGTTTTTTAAGGTAATTTTTAAAGAGCTTTTTATTTTTATAATTATTAGTATAAAAGTAGTAAAATTTTTAAGTATAGCACTTTTCTTATAGGCCTCTTTTTACTTAGTAATTATATACTAAATCTTTATAAAATTATGTAATTTTAATATTTACTTAATTACTAATTAATAGTTATTACTAAATTTAGCTACTCTTATATGCGCTAAGAGCGTTAGTGCGTCTTTTATGTGTTAATTTATACAGTAGTATAAAAGAATAGCACAATAAGAATAAGCAAGGAACATACTCTAGCAAGCACTATGTATCTATTTATAAGCGCACTAGGGCTGATTCGAGGCAAGCTGAGCGCGGTTAGAGGGAATATTTAAAGACCTTTATCTATTACTGCACTGAGATAAGGAAGGCCTTAAAGGGCTTTGCTTGTTATGTCTCCTTTAGCGGTAAAGTTCTCCCTAATCTTAGCTTGTAATCGCGACAGTGAGATGGGGTTCTTGGGGCGAAAATAGAGAATTGTAGTTAGCGCTGTCGCCGTTGTATCTGAGCCCGCAATAACAAGGACGTTCGCTTGGGCAATTAGCTATTCTTTAGATCTGTTCTCCGCTTTATCCGATAGCAAATTCGAGAAGAAGTCCTGCCGGCCGATTTCAGGCTGTCTCGCGACCCTCGCCTGGACTTGTTTCTTAGAGAAATGCAAGAAAACATCAAACTTCTTCTTGAAGCTCAGCGGTATGGACAATAACATGAAGGGCCACAGAAGAGGCAACCGGCGTCCGATCTGGAACATTGTGACAAGGTAGGCCCCATCGTGAATGGAGTCGATCCAGAAGTGGGATTTGGCAGCTTTGACAGCGCCAAAGGACTCCCCAAACGCCAGCTCGCCAATGATGTCGAAGCTCAGCCAATTGAACCATTCTTTCATATTTACACCGGTAGATTTCGTGCCATGCTTAGCCAATTGAGAGACAGAGAGGTTGATGTACTCGGCCAACAGGTCTTCCTGCTCTTTCAACGCTTTTGCACTGAACCCGTGGGAGAGCAGACGCCGCGTCTCACGATGATGCTTAGGATTGCGTTCGGCCACAATACCGGGTTCCGGAAGGCCATGCTCGTAGAAAGTACCTTTGATGAACGCCTTGTGGTCTTTCCCTGAGTGGCCATAAATGTCGTTAAAGCTCTGTGTGGTGCTGAAAGAGAGTTCGTTGGGAGCAATGCGCACGACGGGACTGTATTGATTGTGTAGTTTTTTGATCTCGAACGGATAACGCCTACCCATCCAGATGTAGGCATAGAAGGCATTTGATATGGCGGCGATTCTGGGGCCTGGATAGTGGTGGTGAACTGTACAGCGGCCGGCGCCGGCATCATTTGTCTCCGGTGTGGGGGAAAGGAAGGGGCTGTGCATCTGCCTTACTAATTACCCTTGGCTTCGTGTCTAGCCCTCGCCGTCCCATGCGCATCTCACTGCTCATACAATATTTCCCCCCAGCCCCAGGAGTATGCCAACCGCGATGCTACGACTCTACGACTGAGCCATGGCCTCCCGGACGGTGCCCTCAAGACCTGACATCGAACTTGCCGACGGTCCCTCGGACGCCGTCGGCGCCCTCGCCTTTTCGCCCGCGGCCAACCACCTTGCCGTCGCGTCGTGGGACTCCAAGCTTCGCATCTACGACCTCACCCAATCGCATACTGGCCAAGGCAGAGCGTTGATCTCGTTCGACGGTCCCGTGTTGGACTGTCAATGGCTGAAGGTAATGCCCCCCGCCTCTTTTAGTGGGACTCGCTCACACTACCGCTACACTTAGGATGGCCACAACGTCGTTGGCTCGAGCGCAGATAAAACGGCCCGCCTTCTGAATATAGGCACCGGCGCTACCCAGCAAGTCGCCGCTCATGACGAGCCAATCAAGTGTATCCGTGCCTTTGAGGTCAACAATACGGAGATGATCGTGACTGGCTCGTGGGACAAGACCATCAAGTATTGGGACTTGCGGCAGCAAAGTCCGGCAGCCACTGTCGAGTGCAAGGAACGCATCTACTCCATGGATGTCAAAGCCAAACTGCTTGTCGTTGCAACCGCTGGTCGCTGGCTGCAGGTTGTGAACCTTGACAGCCCTACCACCATCTACAAGACTGTGCAGAGCCCCTTGAAATGGGAGACACGCGTCGTGAGCTGTTTCAACGACGCTTCTGGATATGCCCTCGGTAGCGGGGAGGGCAGGTGCGGGTTCCAATACGTCAACGACAAAGACTCCAGGTACATCATCTATTGGGGAGTTCCCTCCTTCATCTCCTTGCTGATCTATCGCATAGCCTGAATTTCACCTTCAAATGCCATCGCGACGCTCCTATCAACGCTACTACCAAGGTCTACTCCGTCAACGCCATTTCTTTTCACCCCGTCCACGGCACTTTTAGCACCGGAGGTGCAGATGGGACCTTCCATTTCTGGGATAAAGAGTCGCACACGCGATTAAAGGCATTCAAACCTGTTGGGGGCTCCATCACCGCCTCAGCCTTTAATGCCGATGGTACCATTTTCGCTTATGGGATTGGCTATGACTGGAGCAAGGGATATAGCTTCAACAACCCACAGTATCCTTTGAAAGTTATGCTGCATCCGGTCAAAGAAGACGAGTGTAAACCGAAGAAGAAGTAGTATGCGAATGAGCAGTGGAAGAGGCTCATGTTCGGAAAAAAAAGGTGTGACTAGGATGTCTACGGCCAAGCCAAGGGATTGGGCAGCTAGAGTTTCCTTCGAGAGAAAAGCGGATGCTCGCACTGGTGAAGAAATAGCGAGGCAATGTAACTTCCATAGAAGATTTCCCTTTTTCTTGCTCTCTTCCGTGATTGCCGCCCCCTCACTACTAAGATCCTTGTCTAAGAAGCGGCGTGGATGGTAGCCATCTGGGTCGGGATGCAACTTCTCATCGTAATGCATCAGTCCGCAGGGATGGTGACGACATTCCCCTTCTGCAGACCCCATGCTCGGTCCTTGCCCATCACCTGCGTATCGGCAATGACTTCCCGCACGGCCAGAGAATTGTTATGCATGCGTACATAGTAGTGTCTCGTGCCAGATGGAGCGAAGAAGTGGCGCGCGCATGCCTAAAAAAAGCCAGATCTCGAGCCTATGGACCCACGCATAAAAAAGCCCAATCACGACGCTGCTCAGATACTGTACGTAGATATAAAGCTTAAGAAACCAGTCTTCCCTTAACATATACTGCGTGAATATTCCTATCATCAGCGGTCATGATGAATTTCTCAAACATGGTTCTGGTTGAATCAGTCTCATTGGTGGGCGCCATAGCCGATTTGGTGCCTGTAGTAGTAGCCACCCGAATTGCATCAAATTCCTTACCCACTTGGAAATTACCAATATAGCCATCAAGACACAGCACGCGCGCTCCGCCCAAGGTGGCGAGGAAGAATGTCTCCTCAAGCGATAATGCGGTGTCCTTCCCTCCACTCATCACTTCACAAGCATTGGAAGCAATCATCGCCTGGCGGATGACAGCAAGCATCTGCGACGCCCATCCACCTCCGCTGTCAGTCCCCAGACCGACTTTGATTCCACGTTGCATGAAGTCTCGGATAGGCGCAACCATGAAACCCCCACCTACAGTCATGTTGGCGATGGGACAGTGAGCAACACCGCAGTGCAGGGTCGAGATTTTGCTCTTCTCGTATTCAGACATGATGGTGCAATGTGCAAGCACAGTGCGGCGATTCAGAAGACCGAAACTCTCGTACAAGTCGGCCTCGCTGCCTTTGAAAGCAGGAAAGAGGTCCGTGGTCGCATCGATTTCCTGTTGCGCTTCGTTGAAATGGGTTTGCACGGCCAAGGAATCGTCGCGCTTCACAATGTCGCCCAATCCCGACAGCAGTTCTGGAGTACAGGATATTGCGAAACGAGGAGTGATGATGGGTTTCACCAAGGCAGATTCGGTGCCGGCAGCACATCCAGGTAAGGCGCGTATATGCGCAATGCAATCTTCAGTCTCGCGCAGCGACTCTTGGGCATTGGACTCGCATATATACTCGGGAGCATTGCGGTCCATGTTGCATTTGCCTATGAAGGCGCGCTGCCCTTTGCGATGGCATGTGTCTGCCAGGATACGTGTAGCTTGGGCGTGGCGCGAGCCGTAATAGCATGCGGTGGTGATGCCCTGGCGCAGGAAGTCGTCGACTGTATGCTCGTACATTTCCGCGGCGTAGGTGGCATCAGCAAAGCGCGCTTCGAATGGGAACGTGATGTTGTTCAACCAATCCAAGATGTGGAGGCCCTGACCTAGACCTCGCATTGGCCATTGTGGTGCGTGATTGTGCGTGTCGACGAAGCCGGGGATGAGAAACTCTCCACGAGGAAGAGTGAGGGCAGTGATATCAGTTGGGAGAGCATCTGCGGGGACATGGCTACTTGATTTGTATAGGGCGGTGATGACGCCGTTGACGACTACTACAGTGGCGTCGTCCAGTATCTCCAGGGTAGTAGGGTCCAGGGAATGAACAAGGCCACCTTTGAAAATCAGGGTGTCCGACATGCTGATTTCGGTGAGGAGGGTGGGTTGGAATTCTGGTGAGTGAGCCTGAGTCTGAGTCTGAGCATCGACGAAGCGGGTGAGGTGGTGAGGCTGAAATGGTTAGCGCCGCGCTAGTGGAGGCGTGACTTGTGCATCGGCTTCATTTGAGTTGATGTTCAAATGCCCCCATCTCTTCTTCCCTCTCCAACACCGTAAACCTTGAAATAGAATTGGCAGTCAGGGTTGGAGATCTGATTGCTGCAATGCGCCACGGCTGCTACCTGACGCTGGTGACCAACATCGTGGCAGTCAGCCAATCAAGCATGGCAAGTTTTAGTCCTATGAGGTGCCTGATCAATCATTGCGTCGATATGGCTCTTCAATTAGAGAAACTTTTGGGAAACGGGACGATGCATTCGCGTTAGGTATATTCTGGTTGCAAATCTGAATCTGCGTCAGTCGACCCGGCGTCGCAATCGATCAGATTTGGGACTAATCAGTCTGAGAAAAGAAAACTGCATTTTTCTAGTAAATTAGTAAGCAATAGTATGTCAATGTGCTCATACCCATCACAATGATGAATATCAGTAATAGTAAGTGATCTACTGAAGGAATGCAACGCAACACCTGTGTTTTGTCCTTTCGCAGTTATGTTGTTATCCTATGCACCAAGACACTATTCCTATCATACACACCCCATTCCTTACGAGCAGGAAAGAGGTATCCGACGCAATAGCCTTCCGTATGAAATAAGCGTCTGTCCCGTACAAAGTCCGGAAACTGGTGCGATCGAACGTCTGCATCGAGATACATGCCAGTGGACAATATGCTTCGCTGTATCGACAAAGACCCGGTGGTGATCCAGGAGCCATTTGTCAGCAGCTAACCTATTGAGCCACTGTTTTATCAGCGCGTACATCTAACTGCTATGCATGTGATTGGTACAACTGCGGGGCGTTGTCATGTGGTGAATCCTTCCTATGATTTATACTGCTTCTGAATTTGTCAGCAGTGGTAAACCAACCGAGCCTTTAAAGACCTCCTTCATTCCTTGCTTGTGCCTCGTGGTAGTCCCGCTCAAAAAACACACCAAATATTGATAAACATCTCAATCATGACTGTAGCTACCACTGTTCTGATTACCGGGGCTAATCGAGGTACGCAATGTTGCATCATATATCACCCTTGATCCGATAGTCTTATGAATCAAAGAACCATCGATTGAACGTGATTATCATCTCTCCCTGGACATATAGGCACCAAATAGTCCTAATGTCTAATTTAGGTTTGGGCTATGGGCTTGCAGAGGTATACCTCGCGCGGCCCAACCATATCGTGATCGGTGCTGTTCGCAATCCCGACACCGCGGGTGCCCTGGAGGCGCTTACTAAAGGCGAAGGAAGCTCATTGATCATTGTTAAAATCGATAGCCTCTCGGAATCTGACCCTGCCGCAACTATCGAGGCTGTCAAGACCCAAGGCATTACAGCTCTTGACATCGTCATTGCAAATGCGGGTATCAGCCAAGTTTTCCCCCAGGCTCATGATGTCGAGATTTCTGATCTGCTGAGACATCTTCAAGTCAACGTGTTCGGCGTCATCTTGCTTTTCAAGGCAGTGCGCCCCTTGCTTTTGGCAGCTAAGGAACCTAAGTTTGTAACCCTCGGATCGTCGGCAGGTAGCTTGAGTGAGATGGCAACTCGAAACTTCCCAAACTCTGTGTACGGGACTTCCAAAGCGGCACTCAACTACATCACGCTCAAGATACATTTCGAGAATCCCACTTTGACTGCTTTCCCAGTGGATCCGGGGTAAGCAATTTTTACTACGTGTCTGCCTGTTTTTACGCAGTCACATGTGTTTTCACAGCCTATCATTGCGCTGACTCAATACAGCTGGGTGCAAACTGATATGGGGAACACCGGGGCTCAGTCTTTGGGGTTGAATAAAGCTGAGATTGAGGTCAATACCAGTGTATTAGGAATGATCGGGGTGATTGATGCTGCAGACAGAGAGAATATGTCGGGCAAGTTCATGCATTACGACGGAACCGCGAAACCGTGGTAGCCTGTAGATATGAAAGCAATGAATTGTCAGACTGCGACAAGCGATCTCTACACTCCCTCTCTGCTGAACCATAGTCACTGCCTGAATCGGGATTTCCCATGTTTCCTTGTTTGAAATGCGATATTTACGAAGCACAGTAGAATATTTACACTATCAAGATCACGTCCTTCCTATTATTTGCATGATATGATAAAGGCTCTGAGTCTCGCGAACTGAATCGCAACCACATTCACTATCTTCGTCTCCAGCATCGAGTGCTCAATTATAAGACGGACCTCAATTTTATCAGATTCAGCGTGTATGTGAGGCATGACGCTCGTGCAATTGAGAATTCCATAACACCTAGAAAGCTTTGTGATCTTTGGTGTAATGGCAATCGCCGAGATCCGGCATTCCGCCTACAAAGAACACCAATAAACTTTCAAAGAACGCATGAGCCTCACGGGTATATGCGAATGTACGGCAATTGCGGGCATAAGTTCTGGGATAAGCCAGCGCTCCTGGAATCCTCGTAGAGAAAATGAAAAGGTTCAATCAAATTAGCTGAGCAACTTTTGGGCGAGCAACTTTCTCTGTCAGGTGTCCTACATTTCTGTTTGTTGCAATTAGCGAGGTGTCATGTATAACTTGTGTGTACTGCTCAGACAATCTGTTGTGGAAAAGTGAATTTTTAACAAAGACACGGGGTTTCATTCCATTTGCAACTAGTTATCATTGCCGATATCTCTAGACATGATCTTGACCTGCTACTAGTAAATGCGGAATGGTTTCCTCAATCATCCGCAGAGACGTATTTCAAACTTGCACAACCATCTCAATCTACATCCAGACTGCGTTTCATGAGCTTTGTTCTCACCTCGATGCTTTACTTGCCGGGTTCTTACGCCCGAAATTTGAGTTGGTGGAGGATTGATAACAACAAATATCATACTATACTACCAATCAGTGGAATCGAGTTCTCCAGTGGCATGAGCTCTGGCATTTCTAGCAAAAACAATCTGCTTTTCGATATATAGTTGCACATTAGGTGTTCTGACAGAGTGACGGAGAAGATTGTCGACGGACTCAGGCCTTTTGATACTATTCGGTACGGAGACCACTATGACACAACGGATATTTTGTGACATACCTTTTGGAATCGGCGTGGGTGTGCTGTCCACAGCGGAGATTTTGGCTGCCTAAGATGCTACTGAGTATGCCTGCATTGCCAAAATCGATCTACTCTCGTATGTAACCTGAGAACGCGTCACTGACCAGCACCTGGCTCAAAGCGATAGTCAAGTGGCAGTGTAGACCGCTCTAATGATAGATTATGGGGAGGCAAACATTATCTCATCGTATTCACAGTAGCAGTAATGCGTCCTAGTACTGATGTTGTAGAACTAGAATAATGAGTTCCTTAGGTTATTGATGATGCATCCAAAATTCAGTTGAATAATCCCTTTCATTCAATTTTAGAGATACTCAGATTCCGTCGAGGATTCACCGCTATCCCAACAATAGTTCAACATTACGTTCCGTAACTACCATCCATAATTCTTGTTGTAGGAAAATCCCAATACAATTGATCGACCGCCAAGGTGTTGCTGGTTTTGCAATAGACCAATCGAAATACCTCAAAAGCTTCACACAGCTCATTAGCATAAGTACTTCAACCGAGCGCGACAATACTAACCTCGAAGATCACCTTGTGCATTTCCATCCAAGCGATCGGTTTGCCAAGACATTGATACTTTCCATGCCCGAAGATCATTTCGGTCGTTCTTCTCATTACTTCCATCCTCTCACTGTCCCCGTCGCTAAGCTCCTTGGATATCCACCGTTCGGGGCGGAAGACATCCACATCTTCGCCAAAAAGGTCTCTCCTACGCGCGAGTCCAAACACATCGTACCCAATGTTGGTGCCTTCGGGGAAATGTGTAAGTACACCGTCCACTATCAATGAGTCCCCTCCTTTGGGTACAACCTTTGGTACTACGTCTGTGATTGGTGGATGAATTCGCAGTCCTTAGCGGATATGGTCAGCTGATTGAACACGATGGCGGAGGGGAAAGTTGCGCCCTTACCCTCTCGAATTACAGCCTGCAAGTAAGGCAAAGTACTGGCTACTGCTTCTGAGATGATCCCATCAGCCTGTACCAGTCCATCATTAAATGCGTTATCGATCTCCGCTTGTAACATATTGTACACACGAGGATTGGATACTATGTGCAACATGAGGCACCGAATTGCGGTAGCGGTAGTATCACTGCCAGCCAAAATCTGCAGATAGGCCTCTGTGAAAATCTCATCCTTGGTGAGACCTCTGTGGAGAAAACTTGCTGTCATGTCATTTCCTTTTTCTTTGCTCGTTTCCAGCTTATCGATTCTGTCGTTTATGAGCCGTCTCGCTGTTCTCATCATCTTCCCATGACCGGACTTATCTTTCTCTGATGGTCCAAGAAGACGCGCAATTGGCGGCCATTGAATGAGGGGCGTCAGACCCAAGCCACAAACATAAACCATCAAGTTTAAGCCAGCTTCAGAAGCGGCAATGTACTCATGAACATCATCATCTGCTTCGAGATCGCCAAATGCCTGGCCAAACCCAATGTAGCTAATGACATCGAGAGTGAAGTACTGGATTTTCCTCGCGAGGTCCATGGGTTTGGAGGGAGTTTTTGAATTGGAAGATGATAGATACTTGGATCGGATGAGTTGAATGAGCTGCTGAACGCGCAAATCAATAGATGGTTCTAATGAAGTGTTCTCTTTGCCAGAGTAAGCAGTAGCCATTTTCTGTCTTCTCTTCGTATGCGTGTCTTCATCAAGTAAGCTAAATAGATGATCTTTACCCGGTTCGACTCTTGTCGCACGGTTGTACCAGGCTGCCCGTGTGTATGGCGAGCGCACTGCACTCATGTGGGCAAGAAGATCAGGCGAGTTTGTTATCAAATCGTTTGGTCCTACCCGAGTGACGCTGCCTACTTTAAAGTCAGTTTACATTTGAAAGTGGAACTGGCGCGAGGGCGCATGAAGTTGATGCTACTTACCATATTTATCAGTTGCCTCACGATACCATTCGTGAGATCGCATACTCAAAATAGCTCTTATGTGCCATAACTCCAGCCAGCCTGTGCTGAGCGGACCTCTGAATTGACTGAGTCTCCTGTACGTTCTGTACCGGAGAATAAAGAGCAATACAAGAGAGACGAAAGTCACAAGCAACCTCGCTGAATAGAAGTCGAGAAGTGCTGTCATATCGGTCGGCAGGCTGTTTATAAAATCAGCTTACGGAACGAAAACTAAGGTTAGTCGTGCGACAGTTTATAAAGACGGTTTTCCCTACAAAGTTGTGCTTCTTCTCTTATTGGCCAGAAGGAAAGCGGGGCTTGTGTAACTCAAAGCAAGGCTGAAAATGATGAACCCGAGTTTCACTCATTGTTGGCGAATCGCACAGCCATTCTACAGCTTTATAGTTCACCGATAAATGCACGAAGAGGCATCAATATCTCCCGGGCTAAAACCCAATTGGGTGCGTGCTTTGTGGATGATAATGCCCGCAGTTGAATCCGGAAGTGTTTACGAGGGTTGAGATGATTTGATTTGAGCAAATCGAACTCGCAATCATTTGCCCAAAGAATCTCCGGTATTATTGAAGCTGATTCCTAATAACAATATCACGTTAGGGAAGTGTTATTGTGCGAACTCTTGCGTGAGCAGATCAACCCCATAGGCAGAAGATTTCACGTCTTATTACGCGCGAGAACAGAAGACGGACGTTTGGATACTAGATACCGTCACGATTAGTAAAAAATCTCACAAATAACACTGTAATCCACGTATAAGCTTGGAACTCAACCTTGATCACATGATGACACGCAACTAATAGCCGCCTCAACGCGACAGTTATAGACATAAGCAATTCACCAAATTCTGAATTCGGACCTAGTCGAAATTATAAGCGAATTTGCTCAATCCATGAATCTTCGCACCATAGCGACAGAGAAAAGTTGTAGGAATGAGAGTCAGACAAAAAGACCACTGAGTGCCTAGCATGGAATACATGTAGGGCGCAAACAGCGGGAAAGCAGATGCGATCAGGCTACTGAAAAACGTATGCGCGGCAAAGGGCGCTGCTCGCCTCGTAGAGAATCTAGAGATATGCATCGACAAGGTAAATGAAGGCGGGCATGGACACCATTATAATCGATCGAGTTAACCTCGACCTTGATTGAATACACATGGGTGAGAAACTTATGCCGCAACCTATGAAGACGCCGCTTATGATCTGCGGCCACACTGTGATACTGGGTTGGCTTGTTCAGGCGAACCAGAAAAGACCAATCAGGAGAACAACCGCGCCGATAATCATAGGTGGGAGCCGTTCCTCGGGGATTAACTTTTGGCGCGAATGAGTTTCCCTATATATATTCTAAATCTCGATATCTTTATATCTTTACTAGTTTATTGGCAAGTTGCGTGTGTTGATGCGCAGTTAAGAAATCGGTACACTAGAACAGTGCGCAATTTCTGGGCTATCTGGAATACCAAGAAGCCACAGATCCGAACTATCAGAGGGTGGCGACGACCATATACCTTTGACAACGCGCCGAACACGAGGGGTCCTGCGGCCGTTAAACAGCGATTGACACATTTGAAGTGATAGGGCGCTTACCATGCGCGAATTCAATCACACAAAGAGTCATGCCCAGGACCATGACTTTGTGGTTTCCTTTGCAAGCTCGGTATGGTCTACGAGTCATTTTGACTCAGGATCTTGGCGTTAGTCAAAAAGGTCATTCCACCTAAAACCGTGATGATGCGCCATTCCAGGTTCGTAAGCCAATTTTGTGGGTTTTCCTCGTCGTACCGCGCATTCGAGTGTACGAGGTTATCCGTGTCGCTTGTCCCCTTTGATGGTGACCGATCCTCTCGTGTCTACTCCTCATCTTTATTCGAAATTTGTTCATCCGGCTGGAGTCCGACATCAAGTTTTTCGCACCGTGTAGAATTCCCGTCGCTGTTTTCTAACGCTTACTCGCTTATCGTATGAATTTCTTCGTCTCAACCGGTGTCAGTTATAGTAGGATTATTCGACCAGTGCAACGATTTCCGTGCTTACTCATTCATTTCTGATCACTGGAATGGGAACGTAAAGGATGCGGGAGATCATATCAATACACAGGCCGCGGAGCAATAGGCCCTAACAAGCCATCTATCTTGATTTGCGGCTATCTATAGGGCAGTTAGGGGGTAAGCTTAGCGTCAAGATGCTTGTGGGAATATCCGAGTTGCTCCAATTAGACGTGGTATCACAACAAGTCTGCCAAAATATATAGGCCTGGCGATACCATGATATTGTCATCAGTGGGCTAGCTACGGGAAGGACGGGCTAATACCACTAGTCACCCAAGAAAATCTAATTCTTAGAGGAAAATTCTCCTATCTGATTAGAATGTGTGATGCAGAAGATATGTCGTAGATTTAGAGTGGCGCGCACGCAATTGCGCATGACTATGGTACGGGCTGGGCACTTCTGAGGATCGCAAAGCCTGGGTTCTGCTCTCCACTGGAGTGACTTTGAGTTGCAATATTATTTTTTGCCGTCCTGCTCTGTTGGAAGGTATTTTGTTGCTTGAGAGTGAGGTGAGTAGTTTCAAAATATAGACAATAGCGTACTATCTGGATTGCTTCTGACACTCACGGGTCAACCATCCAGATACTCCAAGCTGGGAGACGTTTCGCTATATTGAGGGGGACCCTTCGAAGAAAAATAGACGGTACTATTGTGAGCATAAGCGAGCACACGAAATCCAGCAACGACAAGCAGTCTACGAGGCTGTGATGCGTCATTTGCTTATGTACAGGGGATTGAGCAAAGTGGCAAGGTGTAGAAGTAACAGAGGGATCATCTGATGTATTGATACAAAGAATAGCGCAATACTTGACTCGCCAATAAGAAACACTTAGAAACAATTAATGAAACGGAAAGCTCCGGCTTACAGTCAAGCTTCAACTAGAATCCATTCCAAATCCCCCGTCAATTGTTTCTGGATCTTCACCCAAGCGTCTCGTACTGCAGAGATCTGTTGCTTTTGTAGAGTGAGTTCATTTACTCGCTCACGTAGCATACACTCTACCGTAGACCCATTCTGCTCTGCAAACAGCGTTAACCAACTTTTGTCTTCCAGACCCGACGCTTCCAGCTCCATCAGTCGATCTATGGGCTTAGCTTCCAGGGTCATGCTGCTACCAGACCCTATCCGAACATTCACAGTGGTCGACTTGGCCGTTGTGAGGCGATTGAATTTGAGATTCTGGAGGTTTGCATATTCTCGTCTTAGTCGCCCAGATCGCCCGCGTCGTTTCATGATGGAGCTAATCAATTGAATGCTCTGATCTAACATCGATAGTTCTTCCTTGATAAGTTCGTTCCCTCGATGAACCAACTTTTCGCGCGTCTCACCCAGTCCAAAGATTTCGTTGTCTGAACCAAGCATTTCATGAACCTTCAGTGTGATTTGCTCCATTTGCTGGCCCAACGACCTATTTTGCGGATCGTCGCTGCGCTGCAAAATCGAGGACAACCCTAGGAAAAATTTCAACTTCTGAACCTTGTCTTCGTCGTCGGGGTTCTTGATTGTTGAAGTTTGAGGAAGCACGACACTGCTATGGACATTCAATTCGACGGATTGCGGCAGATTCGACTTGAAGTCTCGCATGTAACGTTCTGGGACCTTCGATGTGACGAGGCAGATAGAAGCAAAGAGAGCGTATGCTTCCAAGCCATCGCTGTATGTTCCCATACGCTCTGCTAGTTTCGATTGGACCCGGGTCTGTGCCTGTCTTATCTTCGTCTCATGTGTGGAACTGTCCATTCGCATAAAGTAGTTCTCCAGAACGAATAGCAGCGTGTCTCTTCTATATTTCAGAGGTACTTGTTTCTGGGGCAACTCGTCTCGTGATTTCATCCAACTATCCAGCGCATAATAGATAGGTATAGCAAAATTCAGGTCTCGCGGCGAGCAGAATTCGCGAAGGTACCCCACTAGACCCTGACGGGCGGCAAATGTGAATATATTAGATGCGCCCAGTAGATTCTCGATACCAGAAGCCTCGCAGATCTTGGAGTCCAGCGAGTAGAGAATCGCAGACCAGTGTGTGTGCATAGATCCTGCGGTTCCCGGTACTGAGGTTCCATGCCTATAATGATTCAAAGCGTCACCCAGTACCTCCGTATAATATTTTATGAGATTAGGTTCTAGCTCTGGTGCTTTTCGGACTAAGGCCGCAAAGTTTTCGGCCGCTGAAAGACAATGACCCCCAGTCCTCATCACAGATAGAGTAGAGTATATCAGGTTATGATAAGGATCAAATCCGGATGGTCTTGTTTGTTCTTGCAACTCACTCCATATATCAGGTGTGATGAGAAACTCGGCGACTGTTCTATGAAGGTAGTCTATTGCATGGATGATGTTAGCATTCTTCGATTTGGAAATGTTGTCGGCACTATCTTTCTGGTAGACTTCGAGCAATCCACAGCAACGGCTTCTAATCAGCGGCTCCGTCCTTTCGTGAAAATAGTCCATTGTCGAAGCATCCACTGGCTCATGTGGTCCGCGTAATGGATCGGATGGATTTTGAAGTGAGAAGTATAGATCTGTGGTTGTGAATGGGTCCGAAGTAGTGGACTTCCAGGAGTGTAGCAGCTGGAATATCTTCGCGGCTTGAACCCTGTATTCTGGTTGCATCTTGGCGAACATACGCTGATACAAGTCTCGAATGTCGGGTGGCAAAGATCGCAGTTTGTGCTGCAAGTCCCGATAATCATCCCCTGCCTCCAGGCCCTCAATGAGGATTCTGACAACTATCTTGACCCAAAGGAAAACGCCTTGAGCTTTGTCTCTGATCTCAGAAATGAGTTCGTCAGCCTCCCTAGGAAAACGCTTAGCCAATGCGGCCATCCCTCGATGAGATTCTAAATTCCCCTGAATGAATGAGTGCATGTCATTCCTCGTAAGGTCCTGTAGCTTCAATGTGGGACACCCGAGAAAGATGTTTAAGAAGACATTGAGAGGTCGGCTCGACACGATTACCTTCACGTGCTCATAGTTTTCAGCAAGTGAACGAAGCCATTCTGCGACGTGTCTTTGGTCACCTTCGCGGTCGCTCTCAAATTCGTCGAGGCCGTCGACGAAAATACAGATCTTGAGAAATTTTGATGATCTGATAACGACAAGGTCGAAAGCTCGTTTTAATTCGACAAATCTGGGCTCTTCTTCGATGATGCCACCACCAACGCATGTCTGGTATTGTTTTGGAAACACCGCGGGAATGAGATCGGGGTATGCAGTCAAGGTTCGGTGTAACAAAGACCGCAAAAGACCATTCACGTTCTTTTGTAGTGAAGAACCCAAGTGCCAGAAGAAGAAGTTCAGCTGTAAGAGCGAATGATGATTCCCTGCCCATTGCAGTAGAGCATTCCTTGTTTCCGGATGCTCAACAGTAAACTTCATTAGAGTCGACTTGCCGCTGCCAGCCTTCCCATTGATAAAATACGGGGCGACATCGTGTGAGGAGAGATGCATCTTGAAATTGTTCCATTTTCGATGTTGATCTGGTGTTTCGAAAATCCATCGATAAGTCTGTCGGTAGGCCAGTGGCACCTCCTCGTATCGCCAGGTCATTTGAGGGAAGTCAAGCCAGTCGATTATAGCTTTTTCCCTGGTGCGTAACTGAGGCAAGTCTTTTCGGAGGTCGTTCATCCTAGCCAAACATTCATTCATCTGTGCTTGTATCATGTCTAATTTGGGCTCAGTTCCAGTTCTGATGGCATTCTCTAGTAGCTTGGTGGTCTGGAGTATTTCTGCCTTGTCTTTGTCGTCTCGAAGTTCTTCCAACTGCAGCAATATATCGTCATACTTGCTATTGGCGCTTCCTCTTAGTGCTAGTGTGGTGCTCAAAAGCAAAGTACTGCGAAGATCCTGGAGTTTCGAAATGAATGCATCAATTTTGTGATGCGCGAGTCGGTACCTGATGCTGGCCTTAATTGCCGACTTCCGAGATCCAGAAGAATTCGAAGATGGGGACTGCTCTGTCGCTGTCTCGACGAGAGAGTTCAAATAGACCATGAAATCCCTGCTTAATCTTTCGCACTCGAACGATGTATCGATCAAATGCTTCAATCATCTGGTGAGCAACACCAACGGTCATGACATACTTTTGCATTCGAGCTCATACCTGGTCTTCTTCAGTAAGTGTCTCGCTCTTCGACTTAAGACACTTGAAGATTATCTTTGTTTGAGTAATCAACTTCTCGGAACTTTTCAGTAGGCCTGGCAACGAGGAGGGGCTGCCATCCTGCCTGATGCGTGATGTTTCCGCTATCAGCTGGCCAGAGAATTGTACGAACTGGACTACGTTTCCAGCAAGTCCAACAGCAACCAAAGCCTCCATGGGGGAGTGAGGATATAATGAGGGTAGCAGGGTGTATTGAGCAGTCAGAATCGAGATGAGAAGAGTCATGGAAGAGACCAGGCTGCTGTTAGCCATTATCCGTCCCCGCCGTGGCTTTGCGCAGCCACTACATGGATCTTTTGATTGGTTGCTGAAGTCGGCACAAGACTGCTTGACCGGTCGCATACATCACGTGAGACACCCCAAGCATTCAGCCATGTACATTGTCGTTTACTCACTACGTCCAAAAAAACTGCTCGCTATGGAAGTGCGGCTTTCGCATCGTCTCGCGGCGCGGAAATTCAATGAAGTCAGCAACCATTCACTACGCCATAAAAGGGTTGTGTCGAAAATGCGAGGCGAAATTGCGTTTTGTGGTGGGGTCTTGGGGGCGAAAGAGTGAGGCGAGCACCTCGCAGAAGCTGTAGGGAATCCTGTCATACATGCAAACCGTCATCAGGCTTCATTCCCCTGAAGCAGTGATATTAGACTAAGCGTAAAAAGTCTTCCACTTTAGAAGTTTTTCTCACGAATTACAAAATGAAAAGCCATATTACATCGGAACATCCTTTGTGCGCTCGGACAACACTCGAGAGGTGGGTACCATAAGTACCACTCCACCTTTAGGATTGACACTACAGCTTACACAGGAACACCAAGGTCCTGCGAACAAAAATCTACGATGCCCTTTCTCCGTGATTCGTCAAAGGGGAGATCACACACTAACAGGTTGTAAACGCATGGCGCTTTAGGATCTGCAGGTATTCTACCCTGATCAAAAGGGCTAATCAGTTGCTTCTTATCGTTTGCATCGAAGCACTCCGTAGGACCTTTCAAGATCTGTTCTTTAGTCATACCGTACTTATCAAGCAAGGTTTGCACAAGACCATCTTGAGGGGTTGCATTCGAATCCCCAGTGCGCTTCAACATGGAGAATTTGATGAAGGTACCCTGATCTGCATCCTGGCAAAGATCTGCGACCCTGTCCCCGTCGTCTCTGCACGTCGGGACGTTGAGGAAGCGAGCGATGAAAATCCCTTGGGCCTGCAGAGCCATTCCAATTGCGTTCATGGTAATGGAATCAATGATCACGCTCTGCAGATCAGTCTGTGTGAAGTTCTGGCTCACCCCCAAGAAGTCTCCACCTTTGATCACTCCGTTGATACCGTTGGTGGGATCATCGACAACAGCGTCGAGGGTGGATTTGATTGAGTTTGAAATGGCAGCTTGGTGATCTTTGATCAAGTCTCCCATGGTACTTGCGAGATTGCTCCAGGCCAGGAATTTATCTACCGGCGCAGGTGGCGACGCCCTAGCGAGAACGAATGCCAATCCTTTGTTCACAGCGCCAGTTGCTGTGGCCAAAGTTCCTGTGAAGGGGACGGCTCCCAAGATAGCGCCAAAAATGTTGCCGATGTTCTTGAGTGGGGTTACATCATCCTTCGGATCAGGGTAGACGTCTGTGACAATTTCTCCAAGCTTCAGCGAGAGTATCGATGCTGCGAAGTTGATCGCAGTGTTGAGTGAATTCATGTAATTGTTCCAATTCTGAATCGCGATAGCGGCATACCTGGTCAGTCACATCTGTCAGCCCATCTGAACTAAGGCACGGCAATAGATAGCGCAGGGGATATACCAAGCTGGAAGTTTAATGGGCAAGCAAGGTTGGCCTGCATTACAAAAGTTGTCGAGACCGCAGAAGAAGTTGGGTGCGCCGAAGGAACTTGCAAGTGCTTGTACATTGTTCGTCGTTGTCTTGGTGTAATTCTTCGCAGCTTCGGCAAGAAAGTCGTCGATGTTGAGTTTTGTCCATGTGGTTGGGTCCAGAGCTTCCGATGCACATGAATCTGCACCAGTACCCGTACCCTGCGGAAATGGTGTTGGGGAAGTTGTCGCGAGTCCTGCAAGACCAATGGAAAGAATATGGTAGAAACGCATGATTGTAAAGGAGATAATGATTCGAACCGGCGAAAAGAATGACGATGTTTTAGTTAAGACGGAGGGACGCGTCGCCCCTTCGAAAATTCGAAAATGAATGAATGGATGGATGAATGATCGACCAAAAGTTGAAGATAGTATTTCTCGTTCGCACACAATGTCGCATCTACTTTATCTAGTATACCGCCATAGAGCATGTGATCATCTGGACCCAGGGGCTTACCAAAGATCCGAGATTCCCGCAGCTGAAACATGGTGTTGGTAATGGCAGCTAAGAAGGACCGACCGGACCACGTGAGGAGAACTTTAGTGCTTCTAATTCATACGTGAACGAACAGTGTGCATAGACGTAAACACACGCGCTAACCAGATTTGGGACATCTTAGAGAGACGAGCTTTCTCGACCAAGTTTTCGGCCCTACTCTGTGAAAGACCCTTGCTGTCTCACTACGTATGAAACTGTGACATTTCGGTACAGCGACTTGGCAAGCAATGCACTCAATGTAAAGGAGTCAGAGATTGGAAGTAAGAGACAGGATACGACCAGAAGGACCGAAGGACTTCTTGTCGATTTTGAGAAGCATCAGTGATGCCATTACGCCAAGTACAGTGCGACTCTTTCGCATCGCATCGTATCGCACCGCATACTCGATGCGGTGACGAAGCTGTTGGTGTAATTAACCGTCCATTTGGTCCTGAGTCCTATACTTTAACTGCTTGTGCCGCATCTGATACACAATTTGAGATGAGTGTTCAAATACGTTGAGATACATCCACACGTTTCGTACCAAAGGTACCCGTGTTGTCACTATTTATCCCGTGTAGATTGGGAATGGTTTTATTCGTCATTTGCCACACAAGAGACGCTAGAACGAAAAGATGTATATCGTAGATCGTCAGATACTCAATCACCGTTTCGCAGTTACTTGGCTGTGTTTAAATGCCATCCCCACCCAGCTAGCAAGGGAACTGAGTGCCGAGCCGCGCTGCCGCGTGGTGAAGATGCTTGGGCTAGATGTAGTGATCGTACACAGCAAAGCTGCAGAGCTGAGAATACCAACAGCACCGGAAAATCGATGCTACGCACTTATCCACCAGAGTGCGCTTCTTGCTGTAGTGACTGGGAAAAGGATTTTCAATTCGTCAACACGTATTTTTCAGCCCGTGAAGAGATGGTAAGAACGCGGGGGAGGCGCCGAGTGAGGCGCTACTCCAAGACAAAAGAACCCCCGTTTTCCACATCAATCAAATTCGGTTTCCTCTCCTCCTTCAATTTATCTCCCTCCGGCTTCTTGCCGAGCATCTCCTGAATGCCGCTTTCAAGCGTCCGAGCATAATCCCTCACGAACAACCGCATAAAGGCCCCTTGATAGTCCAGCATGGAATCATGGCTCTTGATCCAGTACTTTGGTCTCGTTTCCTCCTCCAGCGCTAAACCACCTTCGACACCTAGTGTGAATCTCTTACCCATTCCAAAGCTATCTTTCAGAGCATGCAGTATGGCTTTGACTTTGATGGACGGCGTCGTTTTGTGGGTGAATGTCTGTAGGGTGGGTTGGTCGATCTTGATTCCATGTGGGGAGTATAGGAGGGCTTCATGGGTATCGGCATTTGAGGACCAGACCATGGCAGTCGCAAAGTTAAGTTCATGATGGCCGACAAGTCGAAAGACGGATAGCCAATTGGGGAGCGGAGACCCGGGGTGCAAGGTGTGCCAGTTCCCATCTGCTGCATCGAGGTCCTTCTGCGTTACGATATTGTTGAAGTAGCCCCATGCTCGGATGATTGGCTCGCTTTCTTTGGAAGCGATGACGGGTATATCGGGCGAGAAAGTCCGTAGGGTAGGCTCGGAAAGATGGTCCGGGTAGTGGAAGTTGGCGAATATTGCGTCGAGGGTTTTTGCGCTTGGTTCCCCGTCGCCTTTGACGAATCCAGCCTCTTTCGCCGCATCTTCAATCTCTTGAACTAGTGCATCAACTTCACCGCCGGTTGTGATTGCTGCTGGTGAACCGAGACCAATGTGAACGAGCCAAGAAGATACCGTGACGGCGACACCTTGAAGCCACGTATCGGAGACAATGTGATAGTATGCTTTCGTACTCCGTTGGCCTTGGGGGATGGGAAACGATATCATCCACGAATTGTCGCCGTTCAGGCTGGTCAGGATGGGGTCCAAGTTGCCAGTGGCTTTGGAGAAGTAGTTGCGAATAACATCTTTTCGTGAGTTAGACATCCTGGGTATGTAGTCTCAGTGCTCACAAGTATGGGGGGTGAAGTCGGGGAAGATATATGTGCAATGATCCAGACTTTGAAGATGATGCTGCGTCGTGCGATAGATATACAGTCAGCTTGCATACGCCGCATATGGCGCTAGGCGTTACCTATCACGGTTAGTGCTGATGTAATCACAGTTGCCAGCCAGACCCATCATGTCGATCTGGACAGTCAACTGTCAACACATGAACAAAACCACGGCTATCTACTGATCCATTCGTGGCGGATTTTCCAGCGTATTAAGCTCACTTGATGGTGCAATACAACACTCGGCTTAGCCAGAAGACGTGCGCCTTCTTGCTCTGCCGTCTGCGCCGCCACCTGTCAAGTGACCCGAGTCCACAGAACCGCACAGGAACAAAGGTCCCATAGAACAGCGCCATCAGTCCGATTAGTCGGCATGCCGATCTCGCGGTTCGCGTTCCCCAAGATTTAAGTTTTCATCCGCGATGGGAGTTATCAGAACCCAACCGATGCATACCGCATGCGCAGAATTGATTACCCGCGTATTAAACTTCCGACACGATATTAAGAAATGTGAACAGCTCCACTACTTCTGCGATCTTTGTTCGATATACTGTGTCAGTAAAAGCACAATGGTTGTTCGAGCTACTACGAACAACGGGCAGACAAGGACTTGAAAATTATGTAAGAATGAAAATTGCGCCATAGGTCTTACGACGACGCGAATATTCACTGGGCATAGAACAGATGACACGATGATGGCATAGTAACAACAAATAATTCCACGTGAATCACGGTACAGACTGACACGTTGGGTGCGACGGCTAGTGAGAAACAAGTCAAGTTACCTTCACGACAGCTTGTCACATTCCCGATCTTGAACACGAGCAGGATAATATGCGATTCGGGGAAAATACTACCAAAATCTCTAGTCTCTGGTCATGATATTTCCCAAGATGCCCTCGATGACAAAATCACCATGGCGGTTCTAGATTTTCTAGGATCACAGATTCTGCAACCACTCAATCACAAGATCCGGCTCAATCCGCTGAGTATAATCAGCCTCAAAGTACGCATTCTTCACCAAACCATCCTGGCCAATGAGAAAGGTAGCAGGCACCGGAACCTCGTTCGACGCATCTCCATTGAGTTTGCCCAGATCCTGCGAACATGACCCATTAGTCTCCAACCAACGATATTTGAACCATAAAATGGCGAAAAGTCAAGCAACGAGAAAAGAAAAGATTGTGGAAACTTACAAATCCAAAGTGCTTATGAATAGACTTGATCTCATCCGGCTGCTTCCAAACAATCCCCAACTCCCTCGCCAGCCCATTCCCAACGTCCGACAATACCTCAAACCCCAACTCATTCTTCTCCTGCATGGATAGCGACGCATCGGCAAGCATCGGCGAAATCGCCACGAGCTCGACGCCTTTGGCACGGATCTCGCTCAGACGGTTCTGCAGCGCGCGTAGCGCGATGTTGCAGTACGGACACCATGACCCGCGGTAGAATGTTACGAGCAGCGGGCCTTTGGAGAGAAGGGCTGCGCTGGAGGTTGGAGTTCCGGTTGCGTTTGGGAGAGTGAAGGATGGGAAGGGGGAATTGACTTTGATGATGTCAGGAGGGGTGGTGAATTTGGCCTCGACTCCAGCGCGAGCGGCGTTGATGGTGCTCTGAACCGGCTCGGGGGCGTTGGCGGTGAAGTTTTGGGTGATTTCTTGGAGTTGGGGTGCGAGGGTGGCCATTGTGGTGGTTGGGGGATTGTGGGTACTCTGGGTGGTGAATGAGACTGGTTTGAACAGACTGCTGGAAGTTTGCTCTTGTTTTCGTGGCATGATGATGATCTTTTATAATGCCAGCCCACTGTAGTGATCAATTGATTGATGGTGTGGATTGTAAATTGACCATTTTCGTCCGCACTGGGCCGAGTTGATCCAGCCAATCAGGCGTTAGATGGCGCACTTGAGCCGAGTTCATGCGACACCTTACAAGGAGGTATACATGTCGAAGCTGACTGCATGCCAGACGAAACGAAGATGATTCCTCATCAATGGCGTGCAGTAGCTCATGGTGGGTAAGTGGGCTATCATCGATTCTACCTGAAAACCCACGTGCCGCACACGTGCGGGGATGATGATAGGAGTCACGTGATGTATCACATCAAGCCCACGCACTTCACTGTCCGTTGTTCTAGGGTCTGCTTAGATATGGACCTTTCAATCAACCAGGCTCCAAATTCAAAACAGCACATCATACATACTGCGCACGGAATACCAAAGAATCATCCTTTTTTATTTTATTTTTTGGTTTTTCATCCCGCTAACGAGCACACCGCTTTTAGTGGTTCCGCGGTGCGCCGATCACTCACCTCCATCTCGCTCGAACTCGGAAGAAATCGCACCTGCACGACTCCTTCGAACATGACAGACACCGTCCCGGACAATCTGGATCCTATTCCGCCAACCAAAAAGATGCGCGTCGGAACCAAAAGCTGTGCTGAGTGCCGTAGACGTAAAGTCCGCTGCATCTTCCAGCATGGTAAAACTTCATGTGACGGATGTACTCTACACGACGTTGTTTGTCAGCCTCAGAAAGGAGCTTTACGACGGTCGGCAAAACCATCGCAACGGGATGTGGCCACAAATGACACTCTAGAACACACTTTACAAGAACGAATAGCTCATCTGGAGAGCGTTATTGTACAAATGCAGGCCAATCGACCCGTAACAAATAATACAAATTCCATCAACAAAGAAACAGAGACGGCGACTTCCAATGACGAGGTTTTACCGGATGCGACTGCGGAAACCCTCTTAGATGAGTCTGCGAGCGACGTGGACGATGCAACCCCGGGCAATGCACCTCTGCCCCGTCTACTGCAAGAATATCGACTAATTGCCTATATGCCTTCCATCGCGCCAAGAACAATCCAGTCATTTCAGATACCTCGTCCTCCATTGCCAAACCTTGCTGCTCTTACCTCTCTTCTCGATTATTCGGAGAAGTTTTGGCCCGTTTGGCCAATATGCATTTTTGATGTTGCAAAACTTCAGCGGCTCATCCTTGCCCAGCATCAATTCAACGCTGATACTTTGGGGTCTGGCATGAGTGCTCCTGATCACATTGCCATCGCGAAACTCTTCCTTTGGATTGCACTGTGTTTGACACATTGCCCTAGACGTCGTCTACAATCCCTGACTCTTCCCGGAACTCAAAAAGAGCTTATAGCGCGATATACGCAATATGCCTCCGCAATACTGGCTGCGTTTGCTGGAAAAGGAGGGGGAACAGAAGAGGTCGAGTGTCTATCTATCCAATGGAAGATCTATTTTGATACAGGGAAACCACGACAGGCGTGGCTGACACTCCGGAATGGTATTGCAGCAGCCATTCAGCTAGGGTGTCACACGTGCAAACAGCCAGACGAAGAAAACAAGCAGAAGTTATGGTCCATTCTTTGGCAAAACGAAAGACATGTCTCATGTATGCTCGGCCTGCCTGAGTGCACTACCAATGATCACCCAGGCATACGTCTTGACTACCTATCCAGCATCGATGCCGTTACCACTATACATCACAAACTAAGTATAATTTTTGGGGATCTTATAAACCGCGATCAAAATGGATCGAAAGATGACTACGCCATCACGATTAAGATAGATCAAGACTTGGAGTTACTGCGGCCGCTCCTCCCTGATATTAGTGCACGTGCAGACGTGATTCAGGTTTATATCGCGGCAGTGGCAAATATTCGCTTCTATGTCGTCCAAATGTTTCTTCACATGCCGTACCTGCTACAGGACCCTGCCCCCAGTCTGACATCATACAGCGTGAGGCGTACCTTGGACGCTTCACGCCAGATTATCCATAATGTTTCCTTTTTTCGGGAAGTGTGCGACGAGTACATGTGTGAAGTTCTCGACTTCCAACTTTTCAGCGCCGCCATGTTACTTATCCTCGGTCTTCTTTTCAATCGCCAGAAGTCTAACGAGATTCCAACTCTGGTCTCTGATGAATCTCCGGATTGGGAGCAGATAGACACGTCGTTAAAGTGTCTTCATCGAACAAACAAAATCTTGGGCTGCACTGTAGCAAAGCAAGGCGCTGAGACTCTCCAGGCCGTGATAGCTGTGTGTCATCCCGAGGGCCATCAAGCCCCTCAGTCATCTTTCCCCAACGACCCGCTTGTTGTAACAATACCGTACTTTGGTCGCGTCAAGATCAACTATCCAGCTCCCCATCATGAGCCTTCGATCTCATCATCTTCAAGCTATCCATCCTTGCTCTTCAGCCCAACGTTAGCTTCCCTACCAACACATTCAGTGTCTGAATTCCCGGACGAGCTAGGGGTCAACTGGTTTCAGCAGTTCGATACCACAGACGACATCCAGTATGGGTTCCCGCAAGAATATCAGTTTTTCCCATAGTTCATGACATGCTGATTGTCTTTGTCGCTTTCAATCATGTATTGTATATTATCGGAAAAGAAGGCATCGAAAGAGGTGGCTATCCGATCTACTCATGCGCATCCTGTGAGCGAGTGTACCGGTATTTGTAAGCGCCAAGTGAATTGTTACGTGATGCGGCGTGCGCAGGCACGTCTTTCACAACTTTGTCAACTTATCACTGAGTTCTGTAGACCATTTTTATATTGATGTCGATGCAAAAATGCCGATTTCTAGCGCGCCCAGGAGGCTTAGATTGGCTTGCGATGCGTGTGCAATCTCCAAAGTGAGATGTGACAAGAAGCATCCGTCGTGCACCCGCTGTCGCCAAAGCCTATTCACATGCTCATACAGTCCATCACGCAGACATGGAAAGCAATCATGGGCCAAGTATAACGCTGGATTGGAACCACAGCATGAACCGCATGATGACAGGAATGCGAATGTTCCGTCGCAAAACCGACCATCGAGTCCTCAGCCACAAGGAGAGCCTTGCCCGGTTTTGAGAGCGCTTGCCGGATCTACGCCGGAGCAGAGACACCAGAGAAGCTTAGACGATACGAACATGAATTTTGACTTGAATCTCATGGACGACCTAGGCATTACCGAAGGAGGCCTCGAAGCTTCTACCATAGACTCTTTTGGTCAGCGGTACGATCTGCCTATGAATATATCCACGCAAACACCCACGATAATCTCGCAATCAAACTTTGGTACGGCTTCCATGAGCCTGCAGCATCTCCCTACCCTACATGACTGTGAAGCAAAAGCTCTAGCAGCTTTGCACTCACTTCACTACTGCCACATGTATCATTCGAGCAGTCCAGGTATCCTCGACCCAATTTCCAATCATACCAATCTCACGCAAGATCTGAACCGCAGTTTACCGATTGACAAGATTCTTCTCTTCAATCGAGTAGCCTTAACGACAATGCTTTCGTTACTCAATTGTTCGTGTACACAACAAGCGCATGTAGCTTTGATGTATTTTGCGATAATTTCGAAGTCAGTCTCATGGTATCGATTGATTACTTCCTCGCGCAATCAGTACATATGTCCAACTGCGAATGCGAACAAACCTGAAATCAGCGGTACACCGGCTGCAACAGCGAGTTTGAGAAGTGTGACGGCAGCAACTATACACATCGGATCATTCGATCTAGAGGATGATGATCAGATATCTCTCATGCGAGACATCCTGACACGCATGGTCAAAAAGCTGGAAGTAGCAATAGACAAGCTCGAAATTGCAGTTGCAGGCCCCGATTCCACGAATATCACATACAGCCCACATCTGCTCCAACTACGTCAAGAATGCAAGGTCGCTCTTGACGAAATTGAAAGATTTGGAGGCCTCACTTAAACCACCATACGCATCTTCAGTTTATCCCCAGCAACAATCTCATCCTTTTTTCCAGCTAGCTCCTCAACATCCCAATTCGCACTCAAATATCTTCCGCTCAACCACTCTTTCCTTTCCTTCAACAGCCACAATATAAAAGCCCCGCAGAGCCCAGCGTCATCATTCTTTGGCCACTCACCAACAGGTTCACCCGGAGAGGGCGTGGTCGTTACTAGTCCCGGATGTACAGCAAATACGAGGACCCCACGATCGCCGTAGCATTCAGTGAGCGCTTCCGTTAGACGATTTGTGGCGAGTTGGGAAAGATTGTAACCAAGTGCACCCGCGCTAGCGAAACGCGCCGTTGCGCTTGATAAATTGATGATTGTTTTTGCGCCGTCCGTGCCGAGCAACAGAGGTATGAGGGCTTTGAATGTGGCGAACTTTCCGACGACGTTGACGAATAACGGGTCGATGATTTGGGATACGTCTATGGCAGCTAGATCGCGTTGGTTGAAGGCGGTGGGGTTGGTGCTGGCGATGGCCGCGTTGTTGATGAGCACGTCTAGACGGCCTCGGTGGTCTGATTTAACTGCCTCGTAGATGCTTGAGGCACTATCAGGGTTGGAGAGGTCGGCGGCTAGAACTGTGACTTTGGCTGTGGGCGCGAGAGTCTCCACTTGGGCTTTGGTAGAGAGAAGTGCTTTGGATAGGGTGGTAGCTGTGAGAATCAGCCCGGTCGCGCCTGCGGAGGCGAAGATTTTGGCAGTCTGGTGTATGATTAGTATCTACAGGTTGGTAATATGATTAACGTTTTTTTTTCACGCACCTCTGCCCCAATTCCACGACTGGCACCTGTAATGACCACAACGTAGGGGCGCGGAAGCTTGATTTCCTCGATGTCGGGCGTTGGAGCGCTATGAACTTTCGAAGTAAACGTGAAACCCAGCCATGGCGGAAAGGCTTCCATATCTGTGATTATTTATTGTGCTGCAATTATTTCCCTCAGATCTGATGGATTGTGTGGTTGGAAGACCTATCTGGAAAGGTCTTCTCTTATATATCATGACGCACGCTTCGGCGACCGTCGTCGCGGAAAGCGAAGCCAATTTCAATCCCGGACATCCATCTAAAATCTTGACTGAATCTCAATGATCGTGACATTTTTGAGGATCTTCGGTGAGCGATGAATTGGCTCTGATTGGTTGTTTCGCGGATCCTTCGGCGGTTGCTTACTATTCCTCCCATTCCTCGCCTCTACTTGTCGGAACACTGCGCTCCCTTCATCTGCATGCGTTCATAAAATTGCTAAACACCTTCACAAATTCATAGAAAAAACTCTAGAAGTGATCCATGACGCCAATCTCTCATTTTTTCAGTAAACGGCTACAAATATATGGAATGCAATGTTGGAAGGGTAAAAGATAAAATATTTTCAAGAAAGTAAAAGATGTATGGTATTTCTCAGTGCATCCAGCTGCAAACACCCTTGCTCGTAAAGAGGAAAAGCCTTTCAATCCATCCCAGTCGAATCATCGAGGTTCTTCAAACTCCTGATGTAGGATTCCTTCCCTCAAACATAGCTCGTTATCACCTCTTTTCGCTTAAGAGACGGTGATGCTCGCCGAACCGCTTCCAGAGAACGCCTCGACGGCCATAACCATGTAGTTGAAATCAGTATTTCCAAACCCAGACTTAGCCCACGCCTCAAAATGTGCGCCAGTGTCCACCGAACCCGAAGTCCGCTGATCAGAGCGAACAGACCAGTACTGTGTGAACGTGCTCGTGCCGGTGATCGAAGGCTGGTTCACACGCTCGCTAGTGCACATAGTATACGACCCACCATCCGCATCCAAAGTACCAATCTTCTTGGCCTGATCGCCACTGCAGGGATCGAAAGAGCCGAAGGACTCCACGATGTAGAACTCGGCTTGTGGAGAGTTGATCCAACCGTAGACAGCAAGGTACGAGCCAGAGCCTTGAGCAGAGTATTCACCCTCGAAGTTGATTGTTCTGGCGGACCCGGTCTTCCAGCCAAGTCCGACGACTACGTCGGTGTTGCCGTTCCATTTGGTGGAGAACTTGCCGGTGCTGAGGTCGCCTTCAAAAGCGCCGGCTTCACCGTTGTAGTTTTGCTTGTAGTCGAGGCTGCCGCCTCCGCCGCTTGTTGAGTTACCGCCGCCGCCAGTTGCTGGGGCGCCGGTTGTGGGTGCACCAGTCGTGGGTTGGCCAGAAGGCTGGCCAGTGGCCGGTTGTCCTGTGGTCGGTTGCCCTGATGGTTGACCAGTAGCAGGCTGCCCGGTCGTGGGCTGTCCAGTCGTGGGCTGGCCATTCTGTTGACCTCCACCAGGCTGACCATTTTGTTGGCCTCCTCCCTGCTGGCCTCCGCCTTGCTGGCCTCCTCCTTGCTGGCCACCGCCTTGCTGGCCACCGCCTTGCTGGCCTCCTCCTTGTTGACCTCCTCCTTGTTGGCCTCCTCCTTGTTGACCTCCGCCTTGTTGGCCTCCGCCTTGCTGACCTCCGCCTTGCTGGCCTCCTCCCTGTTGACCTCCACCTTGCTGGCCTCCTCCAGGCTGACCACCCCACTGACGCCTGTCAATGACCATGACTTCAGCAGGCTCAGCGACAGGGGCCGCAAGAATGTTGGTGGCAGCTACTAGGCCGATAAGAGCGGTGGAAAACTTCATCGTGAAGGGTGGAAGAAGGGAAGAACACGGAACAATTGAAATGAATGTGAATGAATGGTAGTAAATGAGAGACTAGCTCGTTGCTGTAAAAGAAGTGTAGACAGAAGGCCAATGGTGGTGGTGGTGAGGAATCTTTTGGGGAGAATCCATCGAGGTTTTTATACACAAATGGGTATGATTCCTGGCCCCACCCGCTGACGACGATGCGTGGAGATGAAGTGACTTGATATGGTTGGGATGTCGTGAGATATTTCGTGTAATTGAAACAACCGCAAACCACGGCAGCCGATCATCATAGCTCCATTGTCACGATTCATTCGATGGTTCGTAGCACAGCACAAACAATTGACTCTAAACGCTACAAGGAACTGCCACCGGCTTAATGCGGTACAGTCATGTCGTGTTACGACGAAAGAAAAACACCTGTTACGGCAAACACCCGCATATGAATAAAACTGGATGATATTTCATGCTATCAGCCAATTAAGCCATCGCATGATTGCTGCGGCTGGTTCGCACTGCCAAAGCGCGCGTGTTGTTCTTCTACCCGAAACACGGGTCCCTGCGCATGAATCGAAACACTCGAAACATGGCGCATAATCTTTATGCGACACACTAGCTACTTTCTGTTAGACGTCACTAGTCGATTGCGGCTGGACTTGATGTTCGTAGTCTGTGGAGAAATAAATTGGGGCTTTTTTCCAAGCGACTGCAGATTGACGATGTTGTTTGCCGACTGAAACAAGCTTAGACAAGCAATACACCCACGACCATGCCGGATGAACTGCGCAAAGCTTGGGCTTACATCCCCTGAGAAATCTCCAGGTCAGTAAACTGTGCGCGGCAGTTGTTTTAGTTTCTCGGGACAAGTTCCGCAGTGATCTGGCCGAGATGGAAATGGAGTTCCCGCACGGGAATGGCGGAAGCGCAGGCAAAGATCCCAGCACTTGTATGAGAACCCACGCGATTGGTGACAGTTAGTTCTATGAAATCGGGCTGTGCCGTGTTCAGAAAATTGACGGGTCGAGGTATAGATTATTGTGAAGTTTGAGTAATCTAGTTTTCGAAAGGCACAAGACAAAATACGTGAAACCTGTACTACAACATCACCATTCAGTCAATGGATACAATTAATATCGGTGCCCCTTTCCGTACGTTTTCTTTTTCTGATTTTGAAGTGCACCCAACGGCAAGATCTGTGCGGTACTTTGTGGAGACGCGTACGCGACGACGATCAAAGATGTTCACAAAGTTCTCATTTTCCAGCGGCCTCCTTAATATTCTGCATCGACCATAACGCGTCTAATCACGTCGGATTCTCTCTTACCAGCCAGTCACAGAATTTAATGCTTTGTATCATCAAACTCCGAGACTCATTTTCAATTTCGGCATATAAGCGGGAGTTAAGCTTCACTCTACAGACCCAGATATTCCAGAAACGGGGGCTCTGAATAGTGCATAACTTCTTGTAACCGACGTGATTGTTTATACACATTCCACAAATTGGAGTTTTCTCAATTCTATAATCTAGGATTGTATTAAATACAATGAAATGCGTACTCAACAGTCTATGATCAAGGTCCAAAAGTCGAATGCCAGTTCTAACCATCATCGTAAGCCATGCTTTCACCCTCAATCCAACCAAACCGATTTGTCTTCATCCTGTTCATATGTACTGCCTCCCCATAACTTTATGTTTCTTAGTGTGAACATGCTACATTAGCGGACCACAGGAGTGACTCGAACACTTGACTAACTCCTGGAATGAGGGCTGTCCCTTTCAATCCCGTCTTCAATGCTTTGCACAACGAACTATCCTCTGTAGGAGATGCGCACGAGACTGTGGCCTCCAGCCATGCGCCCGGGCCAGGATTCTCATTCGAGAGAGGCGGCGGATTGTTCGTTGTTACCAAGGTATACTTCCTTGGCATCGTGAGGTGTCCAGTGTAATATGGGTCTTTGCAGACACAAGAGTTGGGATTCAGGCACACGCAAGCGCCGTTGTGCTTGTCGACTTCGTATTTGAATAGAGCTGGCTCTTTGCCAATGATTTCCGTCAGTACCCTGATCAGGGCTTTGAGATCTTCATTAGTTCCTTTGCCCTCATAGGAGATGAAGCACTCGGTGCCGGGTGAGAATGGTATCGTTGCTTTGTCGATTTTGACCGGGTTTGTGTTCATGCTTTGTTTTTCAAGTCGTTCCGGTGCATGGCTGATGATTTCTTCGGCTGTAACATTGGTCGCCAGTTCCACGACGTCTGTTGAGGCAGTGATGGTGAGATTTCTGGCCTCTTGGTGTGTGCAGTAGATTTCCGTGTAGCAATTCCCTAGGAAGAAATTCAAGAACACCGCGTGTGCATCATCCTGGAAACAGTTGAAGCCTTCGTTTCCATATGTTGCGGTGCCGATAAAGCTCTTGAACGTTTCGCTTTCCCAGCCATGTTGCTGTGTTTGGACCTTCCATTTTGTTTTGCGCAATATGGAATTGCCTTCCAGCTGACTGCCTGCAAGAAAGCTTGATTGTTTGTCGTCAACTAAAAGCCAATCGTCCGGTATTTGACCCGGTTGGGGAGCCCAGTCGTTGTACGTTATAGCTCTGACCTTGTTGTTCATGCATCCCACAAACCGAATCTGTGAGTTGGCAGCATCCCTCTTTATTGCGGATGCCGTGGTATGATAGAGAAAGAACACAAGTGCTAATAGGGTTGATATGCGGTATAGTGCCATCATTTTGTTGAATGCAATGGGTTTTATATTTTGTTTTGAATTTCCAAATAACAGGCTGAAATGAAGAATTAGTCTTGTCGCTGGAGGGCAAGCGATGAATAGAGTGCGGCAACACGCTTTATATGTTGTATGAAACAAAAGTCATCGCTGCAAAGAGCACGAACTAGCGAATGATGCCTTCGTCCTGCCAACAGAGATCATATTTTGCCAAGGCAACGCGGCTGAGAGGCTGTAGTTCACAGCGCGATTCTAGCTGAGACGTGACAGCTGCCGGGCTGGCTGAAACTCCTGCTTATAGCCCTGACATGCGCTGATGTTGTCCGTTCTTTCTTTATTTATGAAATGTGTCGATTGAGGTTACAACGTAACCATATTTGCCAATACAGAGTTAGAATGGCTTTTGTCAACTCTTTCTACCCGCCGAATGAGTTCCGGGATGTGCTAGAGCAACATTTGCATCAGCTGGAGGCATTATCCGATGATTCGACGGAATATGAGTTATCTGGAAGCTTTACCCAATGAATAAAGTTGCATACAGCTTGACGTAGGTTCTTCGTTTTGCTGGTGGTGTGATTTGAATACATAGAAAACAACATAAGAAATGGTTCAAGTGGAGCAATCGAAGATAGCGAGATCCTGAAGACACACATGCAGACTTCTTGGGCCATCTTAGGCCATCTTATATCCCTGTAGTCCTACCCCTTCGAAAATGTTGTGTTTATTTATTTATTTTAAGTAGGAGTTCAGGTGTTCTTACACACGGCGAGGGGTTTTGACGAAGGAGACAAACAAAACAGGCGATTACAGCGAAATAAAGCGATATGCCTTCACACAAGCTTAGACACATGTACTACTAAGCTGTAGTTTCGGGATGCCTCACAGTATCGCTACGTTTAAAAACTCTTAAGGCGTGAAATCATATATTACATAACAGAAAAACTCAAATCTGTCAGAAGCACCCGATTTCTGTCATAACTATCAACGCCTTCTCCCACATTACACCACCCATCTCCTTCTTCTCAATAATCACTCTCCCCCAAATAACATAGCCGAATGCTGACGATAGAGTGAGCATTTTGATTAGTTGCAAGTCGCACCGCAAGTGGGTGCGGAGAAGCTATTGCAGACACTGGCCGCCTGACAGTTGGCACCCACGAACTGACCGTGGCAGCCGACGACTGTTGCGATTGATATTAGCGGGAATCTTTACCTCCCAGTTGTAGAAACTTACTCATGCAGACGTCCCCACCAGTACAATCAGCTTTCGTACTGCATTTGGCAGCGGAGGTAGTCAACCCCTTGAGTTCCTGGGCAGGAAATGCGTGACAGGTCATTGCGAGGAGCGCAAGTGTGGCGGTGAGCAGACTGGTAGAACGCATGTTTTCCGTGTTTTGGATTTGGTGAGAACTGATTCTCTTCAAAGACTTGGAGATAGGTAAAACTGCTGGTATTCGGGTGTTGGCTTGAAGGAATGTTTGTGATGCGTTCAGCCTGGGAACATGCTTGATATTTATATCTAGAATATATATAAAGCAGCCAAATGACACCGATGCAAGATAGTACGTAAGCTGTTTAATACTCCTGCTCATTAATCATGTCACCCGATATTCGCAGGCGTCAGGTTTGCTTCATCCCGACTAGGCCTCAGCTGATACATCTTGCAGTCGCATTATAATTTGGCTCGGCGTTTAATTGATATGTTTGACAGTTTTCACCAATTAATTGATCTGGGCCAACAATCCATGCAGTGTGCATGAAGCTGTACACTTCGGTCCAAGCCGTAAGCTTACAACTGAATTTGGAGATGGTAAGTATTTTGAGAGTATTAGACGTCAAAATGGCTGTGGTAAGTACCAAGTTTTTCTTTGCCGCTCAATGACATACCATATTCTAGAGCTTACTGCCAAAACTGTGGAATGAATCTTGGTATGTCTGGCAAAACACTGCCACACCACTCATCACCAAAAGCCTATTAGCGACGTCTTGTGTTACTATGCTATCCAAAACTCCGAGCCTTAGTCGCCGTTTACTTCGTGGTCTTCTTAACTGCTTGGCAGGGATTCTTCACTAGTCGGTTGGTTAAAAAAGGTAGCGTTACATTCGCTTGGTTCAGCCGCACCCAGCCCACTCAACGGCAAGATCATCCGATCTCCGCTAGCCACCGATATTCTCCGACGGGCGCTGAAGTTGTAGCTGATTTCACCGCAAGAATATGCGCTGAATATTCTTGTGCGCTTCAACCCTGACATTTTTACCGCAACTATGCGTAGACCGCGTGATATTCAGGAAACATCTATCTGGCCTGGGCCTTTCGGTCCGACTTCACTTTGATTTCCAGTACCCTAATCGTCTATATTTTATTCCATGTATTACTATAGCAACGGCTATACGCATGGATGCATGACCTGATGCGACTTGGACTGGGATATAATGCTTCAACGACAAGTTACGTAAATTTGTTCGGACTGGCCTGAACTTGTACCAGCTGAGCTTACCGCAACAACCAAAACGGCTTCTGTGTACTTTGTGTCGAGAGTTTTGATTCCTCGTGTGGTACTCAACATCTTCTACGTAGATAGTAAGCTGAGCACAGGAGCAAGAATCGGTGCATCGCTATCCTGCTTCTTCAAATCAGATATAAGATGCAGTAGAACGCTCATCTTGCACACCGCAGCTATAGTTACAAAACTTCACTATCCAAAGATCTATCTCCAAAATTTCAGGTCCAATATATCTCAACATGCACTTGACTACCCTTGCTGGCCTTTGCGTCCTCTCGTCCTCCGGCTTACTTGTTGTAGCCAACAACTGCTACGGACCGTACAACTGGTGTGGATGGGACCTAATGAAAGCTGGTAAACCATTTCTTTGTCCACTTCACCAAAATTTCTTGCCGGAATTCATATTTGAGCTCACTCAATCCCTCTCACATCTCAGTCGATAAAGCCTACGCAAGTCCCCTTTTAACATTAGAGCAGGAAATTACGAAGGATACATCAAACAGCAGCTGCGCTCAGCCGCCATGCCTACCGACGATTTTACGGTCAAGAATAGCTTGTTCTTCTGCCACCCCGATAACTCAGGCGAAGCCGATTTCATCGGCACATGTCCGAATGGGTGTGTATATGGTGGAGGGAAGAACACAAACGATAGGTGCGCCTGAGGGGTAATATTGAGCAGAAACATTGGTGGATAGAGAAATGAAGAACGAGTGCTTATTCGGTTATGGGTCCACAGTGATATTATTTTCATTAGTGTGCATGCTTAATTCATATTTTTTTTCGGTTGCGAAAGACACGTCGATGTGCAGTGGCAGAGATGATGGATCAAGCTGTCACGTACTAGACGTTATTGGGAAAAGGTTGGCTCAATCGCTGAATTACCTCGCGCAATGAATATGACTCAATAATAGGTGCGGGACTGATAATTGTAGTTCAGAACATCATAGAGTGCCGCCTATATGTTACAATAAGCTCGGACAAACCTCCAGGAGTCGGCTTGTAGTGGATTTTGTTTCAAAACGAGTGGCTGAGCACCGCCTCCCCGTTTTATATCATGCGAGCTGATAACATACTACGGACCTATCTCCGCTTCTCATTGCTGGCACCATATGTACACTTCAACCCGGGGATGCCTCCGTGTAAATAAGAAATCATACGCACTGTGACGAAAATAAGTCTATGTGAGCCTTGCCATCGCACACGATGCTGCCCCCCTAACAGAGCTTCACAATCTGCAAGTATTTAATGCATTTTGTAGCACGAACATAGGAAAACTACATGTAACGAACTATCGTTTCCTCGGTCAGATCAGACCTCCACAAACCGCCATTCGACTCCCTCTAACCATTGATCCATCAACATCAAATTACAGGAAGTGTTTTTCTCACAAAGTCCCACTGGCCGAAGCGAACAATCCTCCTCTAAGATTAGTAATATGAGCGCGCGCATCCTTCCTTATCTTCGCCGGCAAGAACCACCTCTCTGCCTGGTACAAGGAAGAAGGCCTACCTAACGACTGGGCTATTGCTGTCTCTGAAAACGGCTGGACAACAAACGAGCTTGGGGTAGAGTGGCTAGAGCACTTTGACAGGCATACAAAAGGAAAGGTAGTTAGCACCTATCGACTGCTTATTCTAGACGGCCACGGGAGCCATGAGTCGGTCGAATTCCACAAACGCTGCAAGGAGAAGAAGATTATCCTTCTATGCATGCCCTCACACTCGTCGCACCTCCTCCAGCCACTTGATGTGGGTTGTTTTGCGCCGTTGAAGAGGGCATATGGGCGCCAAGCCGAGAACCTGATGCGCAACCATTAAAAGTTGATATGTTCGCTCCCCAACTTCCCGGACCTGGAACATTCCGTGACGGGTGTGATTCTTATTCTTGCAGACAAGTAGTTCGTGTTCTAATTCTGCACCAGAATCTATGCCAAGATACCGGTACGAAGCAGACTCCCGGAATCCGAACCAGCCATCTTTCTCCACACACTGCCAGTGACTCGCAGTGGCTGTCGGAAGTTCGTCTTTGGGTATGACCTGTACTTCTCCATTCAATAAGGTTACTAGATGCCCTGTAGATACTTGCTCTATCATGAAAACTGCTCCGGCAGCAGGCTTCGACCCCAAAACCATGAGGTCAGCACCTTGTGACCGCAGATCATATAAGGATGTCTCCATAGTGAGTTGTAGAGGTATCAAAATCGTAGTCTTGCTTATGAAGTCTGTCGAAACTCTTAATCCACAATCAATTGCAATCTGGGCAAGTAGAAGTCCTCTGCTGAGATGCCGAGTAAACAGTTCAAAATTGCGATTCTTGTGGAAGTGCACACGATGCCCAATGAAATGAGAACTGTTAGCGCATATGAAGAAGTTAATCCATTGAAGAATTCAACGGCTCAGGAAGAACCTTACTGATTGTTCGTACTTACTTGATTGCTGTACTGTAGCTGGGGTCAGCATGATCAACGAAGCTCACGATTTCACTAGTCATGACAACTCTCAAATCACGGGACGGCTGGAGACGCATGCCCAGAAAAGCGCTTTTTCGGTAGTAACTGTTGTTTCTAGTGAACATAGAGCTGAGAGCAATGTAGAAAACGCAGTGAACCCGAGTTCTCTTAACACAAAAGCTCACTTCGCGAGCGGCAAAAGCGATTACAAATACATTATTTTGATACGTGGCAATCCACTGTGTTCCTCTCTCGTGTTGTGTTGTGCGGAATCTCATTGATCGCGGTAACCTCAAAAATAAATGGGCACCTTGACTGCTGCATAGCCGCAAGCTCTCTAAACCCAGTCCACTATGTGACCGTGACTTTCAGTCTACTGTACCCTGATAAATCTCCATGCGGCAGCATTGGAGTTCGATTTCGTCTTGATCAATATATCCTGCCCGTCCTTCCTTGAATGCACTATCGGAAGCAGCTTGAATCTCCTATCCTGTTTCCCCCAGTTCTCGACATGAATCACCAACATATGGTAGATTCTTTCTTCGACCTCTCTTACCTGGAATCTCTCACAGATATCATGCCGAGTAAATTGACATCCAAGCTCTTCATTTTCATTCTCAATGTACCCGAGAAGCATGTAGGATGCTGGGTCTCGAAATCCGAGCCAGCCATCATTCTCAATGCATTCCCATCGAGTTGATGAATATCCGGCTATAGGATCCAGAACAATCTTCCCTTTCGCGAATGTGATGAATTTTCCAGTTGCAACTGACTGAATTAAATAGGAGAATCCTGGATGCAGCAAATGACCTTGTGTATCGGGGTCTGGCGGCATGGGAGAGCCGGGAGTCTGGACTGTGGTAGGCGGGGTATATTCTGATTCAGTTTGTGAGCTGATGACTTCGTCGTGCCACTTCTCGCCAGTTTCCGCGGACATGTCTTCGAAAAGCGATTTGAAAGATAATCTAACGGACTCGTAGAAGGGAAAAAAAAAACTAAAGATCTTTGTTTAACAGAGTGCTAATAAACAGAGCATAACTAAATTTCCATCAGAAATCAGGTAAACTGTTCTCATATATGTGTTAGAATTGCCTGTGCATGCTTATAGCAAGGCGGGCAGTTGCCAGTCGATTGCTGATCAAACGCACCGCCCCTCAATAAAATCACTCCACCAATCCAGATAGGACTATCAAGTGAAAAGGCGCATGTGGCTGCATGATATGCAACGCACAGACAGAACCCTGTGATTTGAATCAAGCAATCGTTGTCAGGTGTCATGGGATACGTGGATACTACAGCAGCTATGGATATTGCGACAACTATCGACAGTGACCCAAAGCAAATACATTGATCGACAGCGCTGTTTTTTCCACTTTCACCATATCTAATTTGATGTGACATAATACCCCGAAGCGTCCAACAGTATTGAGAGTCACGGACAGCGTGTATCTTGGCTGACGTCTATATGCTAACGACCTATTCATTTCCGCCGAATTCGTCTATCTGTAATATCTATATACGTACGGGTTTCTCGGGTTCCAATACACATTGTGCTGTGGTCTCAATAATTCGGTGGATGATCCCTCGAATAAAAGCATAAAAACAATGAAACTTAAAATAAGAGGTACAAAAAACGACCAACAAGCATAGACGATCGGAACAACGAAAGAGTTGCTCGGGACGACAAGAGAGTTGCTTGGAACGAGAGGGTCAACTTCGATGAATCTCCATTCGAGTGCGCTGGAACTGCGCTCCACCAGTCGTAATTCAACCGTATTGCCACTCAATGATTGACCGATTGGGCGGAGATTTAAAGATGAGTAGCTGTAAGAAACTCTCCAGGGCATGAGCAGATGATATGTCCGGTCTCCCACCTCTCTGACATGGAATTTTGTTGTCTCTGATTCTTGGTTTTGTTCCCTACAGCAAATATGGCTTCCGCTGAAGGCCATCAGCCCATAAGATATCGGATCTCGGAATCCGAACCAACCGCCATCATCGACACATTGCCAACGGGTTATGTGCTGTGTCGCTTGGCCGCTCCAGGGAACCAAGACTACCTTCCCGTTCCAGAATGTTATGACCTGGCCGCTCAGAACCGATTGAATGATGTAAGACTTTCCAGCGACTAGTCTAGAACTTTGCGGCGGTCGAGGGGCTGCCGTCGGCTCCCAAATTTCTGTGTTCTCGGATGTTACTGATGGTGTGTATATTGTGCAACTCTGAAAATCGGGAAGAGATGACTGATTTTCCCACTGGGAAGATGGCATCGTCCCGCTAACTGAGGACTTTGTTTAATAATTTTCAAAAACTGGGTTGTGCTGCGGTGTCTTGGGGTTCATATCGTCGACGTGTGTAGTTAAATATGCCTAGCACCTGCATGCAGCGCGAGTTGTCACATAAAAAGCAAAGCAATGGCGGCCAATCAAAGAACAAGGAGAGGCTTGAAACGAGAACAGCAATATTGAGTCGAAACTCTAATAGATTGAACCTTTTTCTGAGGGAATCCACTGCCGATCCTATTGTATCAGTGGCAGAGCGTGTTTATGAGTCTTCCGTCTAATCCATTCGAAATGCCGAGATGAACTCCAAGCTCCTTCCGTCTTGCAATACATCAATTTTTTACCTGATCTAGACATCTATGGTCGAGCAAGTCCCATAGTCTTGACGGTGTTTATGCTGCTTGCGTGGAACTCCCCACACAGATACCCGCATTGATATGAGGTTGTTCCGGTAGATCAGATCTACCACAATAAAATTTAAAGAACAAAGTAAATTGCCCAGGGACTTAAGCAGTACACACGTTTCATACGAATGCAAAGGACACTACACAAAGCAAGAAAGAGAAAAGAATGCTACACCACACTTTTATCAACCTTCAAACGCACCCATCCTTTCTGCTCCATGAATTTCGTCTTCACTAATTCCCAATTCCCCACCCCACCCAACCTTAATATCCTAACGACCACAAACTTGGTGCATTTAATTCAAAGATCTCCTGATGCTCGAGCGAGTGGCGAGACGCACCCTCTGATCGCGTTAACCTTACTCAAAAGCTCTCCTAAACGACCTGTAAGCTATGCTTATAATTAAAATTATCTCTGTGGACACATTTTATCCCGCAAAAAAATCTACCAATGAAGAAAATATTCTAATTCTGTCCAATTAATCGCTACCCTATTATCGAATCATAAAGACGACTTCCGATGCCGACTGTACACAGACAATCAAAACTTCAACCCTGAACCTCTAGTACCAAATCCACCCACCTCGCTTTTTCATAGAGAGCCGCTCGTGAATACTCCGCTGAACCAGTAGAAATGTCCATGCAAGAAGGATAAAACAGCTTCATGCGCGCGATGCGCACGCCGTAGCCTAGGAATTAGCAGCACTTAAAGTTAATGTAAAAGTTAAACAAGTTTCTGCAGACCCTGCTTAAAAGATAGTATGTGCATGGTAAAGGATGAATAAACGCCGTGGGTAAAGCGCAGAACGCTGTGCGCGAGGCCCCATTTTTTTTTTAGTTCTGCTTATGCTTAAAGCAAACTCTACGCTTAAATATTACTGCCTAGACGAGAATTATATACAAATACAACCTTGACAATGTAGGGGGAAAGGGGTATTTGACGATATTCTATTTTATTTTTTAGTTGTAGTAAACAATGGCGATGCACTTGTGTTGTGCTGTATATATTTGATCAGGACGAGCTATATCACCGCCCTATAATCTGGATCACTTAGAGTAGTTTGTAGACAGCTTTTCTACTCTTATCTAAAAATATCTATAACCCAGAGATTTCTCAGACCAAGGTCCGATCAGCCTATAAGACTGAATCTTATCTGTAGGATAACCTTGATAGTACCACTCTACACAACCATCAACCCATAACCACCCAAATGTTAGAACCAGCGACACACTAGACCCTGACAAATCTCCACTTAGCAGCGTTGGATGCGGAATCTGCCAAATTCAACTTCGTCGCACCACTCTGCGATGTGAGCCTACCAGGATTAAGGCTGACGGAACTTGTCGAAGGCCATGCGCTAAACATCAACATATGGTAGATCTAGTCCCCAATCTCTCTGATCTGGAAATTTTCATTACGTTCCTGTTTTTCGGCCTTGCATCTCAAACTCCCTCTGCCGTCATGTCCGAGGTACATGTAAGAGACAGGTTCGCGAAACCTAATCCATCTATCACGCTCAACGCATTCCCACTGTGTCGATGTCTTGCTGTCTAGAGGTAATAGAGACAGTTCGCCATTCGCGAGTGTAATTACGTTTCCCGTAGAAGTTGATTGGACGTAGTAGGATGGACCTATGTTCAGCACCGGTCCTTGCTTATCATAATTCTGCGAAGTGTAGCCAACTGGTTTTCCCTATCAGGGGTGATTATCATATTAAATATCCCGTATTTGGTACATGTGTTTGTTGAGTAGCGTAATAGGCAATCAAGATTAGTAAGATTGCCTTGCGTCTTATATAACTGTTTAGTACAGCCTGACGTATAAGCGCATTAAGTAACTAAGCAAATATAATTGTGTAGACTTGCAAAAGACACCAAAGCTAATAATTAAAGCACGCGACTCATTTGAAGTAGACCACGGGACACTTTCAGCTTGCTTAAAGATAATAGTTTCTTACAACAATTGTATCGAATTCTTCCGGATGGTCGGACGCCAAAGCTCAATGTTGAGTTACTAGTTGACGACAATCACAAGTTGCAATCTAGTAAAGCGAAGAGAGTGTATCAGGATAAGTGCCCTAACACCATAGAGATAAATAATAAACAAGCTTTTGTTTTGTGATCAATTGTGTACCTATAGATACAAAAGTCGAAATCCAAGTTTCCAAAGCCTCATTCATCTTCGATCAAATACTCACAGATGACTCATATACGATCTCCATTTCTGCTCTCCAATGAGACCACTTTGTCGGCTTAATATCCTCACCTGGGTCGCATTCTCCGTGTTTGCTAATATAACGAATGGTGCGCAAACTGCAACTTTAGAAACCATGTGGTTGATCTCGGGACGAGCTATATCACAAACGTTGCTGCGCAGTAGTATTAAGAGTGGGAAAGATCTCAGCCGCATCACAGATGAAAGAAACATGTAAGATTTGTATCATCGATCATCAAGTAGTGTAGTATAGTATTGCTTATCCGATTCAATACGTTTGATGCTGGCTGTATGTACAATACTGTTCTCCCCTGCTGTGCAAATTCGTTCGAGCCATCAAGGATATCTAGCTCTTACGCTAGAAACATGCTATTCTTTACTCGAATCCAAAGGCGCGTCTGATGACACCTGGGGGACGGAATCCGCAGTAGAGGCAGCTGCACAAGCAAGTTAGCTTAACGGGATAGAAAATGAAGCAGGGCACAATCACTTACGTGTCGGGGTATCCAGCCCACGGGCTTCCGGGAACTGGCTTACCGCCATCCTTCGTCCACATGTTGACTGGTTGCGGGTTCTGTCGGGCCCTAGGGTTGACGCCGACATCAATGGTTGCGTAAAGGCCATCCTCAATCTTGTTGCCGATGAGGGAGATCTTCAGGTTAGGGTCGTCGCCGCCTTGTTTGGCCATGTTGTACAACATATCTTGGGCGTTCGTGGTGACTGCCTGGTGGTTGGTGCTGTAGGGGGAAGTCTTTTCGACCTGGCCGAGGAAGTTCTGCTCCACGTAGAATTGGCCAACGTGGGAGATGGTTCCGCCTTGGATGGTGTTGTTTTCGAGCTTCTTCGCGCCATGGTGGATGATGGCTAATCGGTGTTAGCTGAATCTATTAATGAGCAGAGCATGGTACGAACTGTGAAGGTGGTTGGTGCGACCAACATAATGACCGGGGATCAAAGTAATGAAGCTTGCGGTCCCGTTGGCGCCGGTAGCCTGAATACCTCGGAGAGCGTTGCTGGGAAGGGATGAAGCAGAGCCATCACCGTTGCCTTTGGCTTGAACGCCAGTGTAGACACCCTGAACACGTCAGTCGGTTCTAAATGCTACAAGAGAAGAGATTCATACCGTGGCGTTGGTACCCCAAAGTTCAACAAAAGCGTCAGTGACTGGCTTGCAGCCGGAGGTGTCAATGACGTTGATGTCAAGATGCGTGATGGCGCCCTTCTCGCCGTTCAGAACGTCTTGACGGATGAGTTCGCCAGTTACCCCTTGATTTGTCAGCCGTAGTCATCATATTTGATCGAAATATCTACAGTAAGGGCCTTCCGTAGCTTCAGGGTCCAAGGTGCAAGCAGCATTGGCGCCATATTCCTCTTCAACGTCGGCTACATTGCGACGGACAAGATCGCCAGGCTTAGCAAACCCAGCAGCGACGCGAAGCTCGTGAAGTCGAGCTTCACGCCTAATGTGTTGTTCCCTGACCCATCCAGAGCTAACCAAGTCTCTCTTGCAGGATTGTACACTACGGCGCTCGGGGTGATCGAGATGAGCTTGACGGCGGAGGATTTCTTTGTTGACGTTACCGCCAGGATGAGCAACAGCACTGGTGGCCAGAAGCGCAGCAGCGAAAGCCTGTGTGAACTGAACCATGGTGACGATGGAATTGAAGTTCACGGTATGAGTTGAAGGAGCGCACTACTGCGAGAAGGATGGTACTGAGCGGATTATTATATGGGATCCATCGAATCCAAGGTTCCGAGTTCTAGCACCCCAGTGCCGGCTCCAATATGAAAATATAAAAAAAGCGGCGTGCTGCTGTACGCTCCGCTCATCACTGCTGTTTCCCTTGCAATGATCTGTGCGGTGAAATGTGGGCTGATATTGATCATCATGATTGGGAAGTCGTTCATAGGTTGTGGTGGAGAGTGCCCAGATACACGTGCTTCGGCTTGATTAATGTTTATACGAGGCAGGATTTGTGCGACCTTGGCATCTGGGGTGCAGGGTGGTACAAGAGAGATTGCCCGGGGGAAAGATCGTTGGTCTAAGGTGTGGCGCTCACGGAAGATTAGCCGGAACATTGAGAAGCGACGCGCGTGAGAAGAGTCGGTAGTTGGAAAGTGATGTGAATCCTTGCTTGGAGCAAAGCAAAGCCTCTCCCGACTCCCGACATCAGGAACTGCAGAATCCACGCGTTGACGAGCTGCTGTCCTTCTGAGACGAAGGAGTCCCCAACAAAGAGATGGCCATAAATGGTATAGGAAGGTGTACGCGATGCAAATCGTTGCCAATTACCCCAGTCTGGTGGAGACTTGGGAGAGAATCGGCTGATGCTTGCAGCCGTGGTCGTTGCGCTACATGCTCAAGAAATCAGAGGTCTTCACAGGAAGAACATTGTGTTCCGGAATTTTCCAGCGGATCTCAGCTGGCAAGATCACGTCAGATCCGGGGCAGAGAGAGTGTTTTCAATCGATATAAACCTGCCGGTAGTTTTGAGGACTTGCAGCAGCCCTTGGGCCGAAGACATGATGGGATTGGGTGACTGCTATTGAGAACGGTCTATATGCTAGCCCACCAAGCTGCATGTGCGAAGAATTGCATATTAATCGTCTGGTTGTAGGGTTACCCCACAAAAACTTGTGCCAGGCGCGGAAGCGGTATAGTGCAGGGAAGGGTAACAAATGATGCAGCGACAGTTTCTGATTGTCGTATGTCGCATCAAGGGTTCCGTGTGCAGATCTCGGAGGCTTGATGCCGAAGCCTCAACGGCGCAATGAAATCATCCTGGAGAGTCGTTTAATGAGGCACTGTCCATCCTGCCTTTCTAGACCGCAACATTCAGCCCCAGGGAATCTAGTAAAGCTCTGACCGACCTCAGTCTGTAATGTTGTAGCCCGACATGAATTGCTTGTGTTTTGTATTGTGATGGTGTGGGTCGAGATGGTAAGCCCCATGAATATTGACAACTCGCGTCGTTGGAAGGATATCGTAGCATCAGCAACTCGATCCAACGAGTGTCACGGATTCAACGAGGGACAATCAATTGCTGCAAGTGCACAGGTAGGAAGCGAGTGCTGAGTGGTGATGAATGTCGGGGCACTTGGGGGTGCGGTGTGAGCGACGCCTGTCCGAATAGATGGGTTCATATCTACTGAGGCTGACGACGAGGTCAGAGACACAAGCATGATGAAGCGGTACAAGAGATGGGCCAAGAAAGAACAATCAATTGATGAGGTATGTATGAGGGTGGAAAGCAAGGGAAAGGTACATGTAGGTAGCCAAGGCGCGCTAACCAAGAAAAGCTAGCTCGACATGTCTTGGCAACCCTCTCTCCACTATCCGTGTGGATTGTTGCACGGTGAAAGAAAGAGAGAGAGAGAGAGAGCAGATCGCCATATTCTCAGGGTCGAAGCTCTCACGTCGACGATGAAGAGCGCACAGATACGTGACGAGGTTATTGTGTGAGACTGGAAGAGGTGGAGGCTGGGGATGGCGCAACCGATAGCGTCTATTGTCATTGACGACCTGCCATCTTCAGTCAATGGTCATCTGCTCATTCAACTACTACCATCACCACACCTCGTGGTATTCCTCGGAGATCGTTTGTCTCGAGCTTCCAACCTCAAAGCATGGAGAAAAACCCCGACGGCTTGCCGACTTACACAGACGCCACGTCGACGAGAGATAGAATCCGCCTGTCATGGGCCGACCGGCGTCGTAGGCGCAGAATCATGCGGTTGCTCGCTACAGTCGTCCTTGTCTTCCTCGTCTATCAAGCGTACGAGATCGCCAGAAACACTAGAAAGCCGGTTAGCACACTTTCAATAGAGCAGCTGAACAAAGACTACGCGACATGTGCTGCGCTTCGAAGGAAGCCTTCCGATACTACCAAACCCCGTGATCTGAACAAACGCTGGATCAAGGGCACAAATCCGCTCCTTATTCGCAACGCAACCGTATGGACCGGCGAACCAGCAAAGGGGACCACGCAAGAAGAGGCACGAGCCGGGAAAGGGTGGTCCTGGATTCATTCAGACGTGTTAGTTGACCGGGGCCTGATCATCGCCGTCGCATCTCCCATCAAAGACCTCCCTCCAGATACCGAGACATTCGAAGCGCATGGGCGCCTCTTAACCGCCGGAATCGTGGATATGCACAGTCACGCCGGCCTTGCATCCGTAGGCAATCTGCAAGACGACGTGAACGAGTTGTCGGCCGACATCACCCCTTTCGTGCGATCCATCGATGGGCTGGATCCCCTACAGCCCGAATTCGAGTTTATCAAGAGTGGTGGTGTCACTACTTCCCTTTTTCTCCCTGGCAGCGGCAATAACATAGGTGGCGAGGCGTACGTGCTCAAGTTTGCCGTTGGACCAAAGAATGGAAGAGAGGAAATCAGCCAGCAAGACCTATATGCAGATCCAGATCACAACTGGCGGTACATGAAAATGGCATGCGGGGAGAACCCTAAGCGTGTTTATGGGAAATACGGAGAGCATGGCCCATTCAGTCGACTAGGTGAGGCATGGGAGTTTCGCCACGCGTTGGAGCAGGCGTCGCAATATGTGCTGGAGCAAGACGAGTGGTGTGCCGCGGCTGATTCGATTGGAGCGATAAACATGCACACTCATTTGAGACAAGAGCTTCGCTGGGAATCTCTGGGTGCCGTTCTGAGAGGACAGGTCCGGATCAACACGCACTGCTACACAATCCCCGATCTGGAGGCAATGGTCAGACACACCAACGAGTTCAAGTTCCGGGTCTACGCCTTCCATCATGCGCATTCCACCTATCTTATCCCAGAAGTGTTGAAGAGAACTTGGGGAGGTACACCTACCGCAGCTTTGTTCGCAGACAACAGTGAGTGGCACTTACCAATCATACGCACATGCAGCAGATATTAACACAAAGAAAGTGTACTACAAAGTCGAAGCGTATACAGCCTCGGAGCGCGCCGGAGCCATTCTTTACAACAACAGCATAACCCCTGTCTACGTCTCGGACAATCCAGTGTTGAACTCCCAGCACGTGGTTTTTGAAGCAGCGAAAGCTTATGGCTATGGTCTGCCGTATCATGCTGCTCTGGCTGGGGTGACTTCAGAGCCCGCTCGTCTACTCGGCCTAGGTGATCGACTAGGGAAGATCAAGGAGGGGTTTGATGCCGATCTTGTCTTGTGGGATTCCGACCCGCTTTCCGTCGGCGCAACACCAGTGCAGGTTTGGATTGATGGCGCGAAGCAATTTCAGGACCCCTTTGAACTGAAGAAGCCAGTTGCCGAGCCAATCACACCAGATTCCAGTCTGGCGCAAGAGACAACACAGAGGGAAATCAGTGGCTTCGTAGTTTTCACTGGCATCAAGCATATGTATCAGACCCAGTCGGTGAAACCAGGATCGGGGGTAGAAAACGAATCACCAGACAAGATGATCGCGATCTTTGAGGATGGAAACTTATTGTGCGCTGGCGAATGCAGCGAGCAGATAAAAGAGGTCGAAGCCAGGGGTGCGACCTATATTCCACTCAAAGACGGCCATCTCACACCTCCCCTCACAGCCTTCGGATCATCCCTCGGCCTCGTTGAAATCGGCGCGGAGCCAGACACCCACGATGGCTCACCTCCAAACGACGGCATCACACGCGCAGCAGACGGTCTTTCCTTTGGCGGCAAGCAACTAGCCCACGCCTTCTCCCACGGCGTCACCAAAGCAATCACAGCCCCCAGCACCGACAGCATCGACGCGCGCGGCATCAGCGTCGGGTTCCGCACAGGCTCCCCTTCCATCCTCTCTAAACACGCAATCTTCCAAGAAGAAGCCAGCCTACACTACCCCCTCACGCTCACCGCCAAAACCGCCCAAACCCCAAGCATCTCCAGCGCCATCGCAGACCTCCGCTCTAAACTCCTATCCGCCATCCACGATAACTCAACTACTTCTTCTCCGCTATCGAAGCAGAACTACGAGGAACCCGCGTACCTGAAGCGCGTAGTCCAAGGCACTCTCCCTCTAGTCCTCACCGCCCACAGCGCCGACACAATCGCGCAAATCATCCATCTAAAAGCCACCCTCACCTCCGCAATCGCATCAACGCCCTCCCTCGCATCATCAACTTCGAAAAACCCCCTCCGCATCATCGTCCTTGGCGGCGCCGAATCCCACCTCGTCGCCCCTTCCCTATCCACCGCAGATATCCCCGTCGTTCTAGCCCCGCTCCTCCCGCACGCGCAGACATGGGATCAGCGCCGCTCGCTTACGGGCGCCCCGCTTACCAACGGCACGACGCTGAATTACCTTCTCGACGCGGGAGTGCTGGTTGGGGTTGGGGTTGAGGAGATTTGGGAGACGAGGGATTTGGGGCTTGTTGCTGGGACTGCTTTTGCGAATTCCGAGGGGCGGTTGGGGTTTGAGGGGGCGTTGGATCTTGTGGGGAGGAATCTTTATAAGATGTTGGGGGTGGAGGGGCGGGATAGTGAGAAGGAGGAGGAGGAGGTGAAGGAGTGGGTTGTTTGGGAGGGGAGTCCGTTGGAGGTTGGCGGGAGGGTCAGGGGGGTTAGTGGGTTTGAGGGGAACATGTGGGTTTGGATGTAGTGGATGTGTTGCTTCTGCTTTTATTGCGTCGTGTTTTTGATGTCGCGGGTTATTGATACGTGGATGGATGTACTGGTTTCGATGGCTTTTGATTGTGAAAAGCTTCGCTCTTATCTATTTATTCTCGTTCCTCGGTTGAATCTTGTGCATACGTTCAACTCTGTTCCTAGTTTTATTTTTTTGAGATGGAGTTAAGGTGATCCAACACACAGCGATAAGTTACAACGATAAATAAACCAAAAAAACGAGCGATAACCAAAAAGACCTGTTCCTAGTTATTAAACATTATGGCAGCTCAGGGCGTTAGTGTCAAGATAGGGGCTAGGGTGGGTGCTATCGTAAGGCAGGTAGAGTAGGAGTTAATAAAAGTAGAAAGCCTTATAAGAACTCTGCTGTAGCTTTTATAGTAGAAAGTAATAAGCATACTATAGTTTTTACTTTAATACTATAAATCTATATATTTCTACTAGATTATTAAGAGGTTGTATACGATACTACATTAAATGCGCTTAATGATGGCAGCTTCCTTAATTGCGCGACCATCTAGCATAAGCATTATATATGCGTTTTTTTACGTTTTTTTTCTTTAGAAGTTAAAGTGTTTCCTACACTTAACAAGGCAGATAAGAAAAGTTACAAGAAATAGGCGGTCACAAGAAGCTGTAAAGTGCGACTTTACGAGAGGCTGCGACTTCAACATGCCGAAGCGCCCATATTTTGGACAAGTTTAAGGCTAATGGTAAACTTCTTCTTCATGACACGCAGCGTGTCGTGAAGTGATGGTGGAGCCTCGTGCCATCCTCCCCACTCAGGACAAGTTGTTTTTCTCATATTCAAAGAGGAGTCGTGTTCCAAATCTATCATGATGCGCGCCAGGGGAGTACTCAGCAGGTCTGTTTGATTGTACTGGGTCAACAGCGCCTTATACTTGTCACTGCGGGCTTTTCCCCAGCCACATTTACAGCCGCCATCATTTCCCTTGGTCAACATATCGTAAAGTTCGGCTCGGAATCTGGTCCTTCGTTCTTCCAAAAGACCTGGGGGGAATATCAGTTCTGGCAGCCACAATGTATTGCGACTACGGCATACTTACCGAACACCCGCGCAGGGACAATCTCAGCGGTATATTCATCGTCCAAGAGCCCAACATATGACCCACTGTACTCGAGAAGAAGCGAATGAGTCTGCTTTTTGAAGTTTTCCGCATCCTCAAATGAATAGGCTGCAGCAAGAATATATCACAGCTCTTCTCTTGCCAACCCCTCTCGAGGCTTCAACCACACATTACCCGCATGTCGCAGCGCGATCTTCATGTCGTATTTATCAGCCACCACAGAAATCTTAACAATCTCTTTAGCAGGCAAGTGCGGAGACACCAAATCATTCCGATGGTGAACAATATAACAAACAACGCGCATCGCATCAGCATCGTCGTCCGGCAGTTCAACCTCCATCACCTCTTGTTCCCGCAGCTTCTTGCCTTCATTCCAGCGCGGTCCAAACACAGCGCCAAAGATCTTAGATGCCGAGCGCAGGCATTGAGAGTAGACTCTCAACCGCAGATTTTCTGCACCAACCACGAGGACCACGTCGCCTTCGGGGGAGATATCGGTCACGTAATTTGTGTCGCCGCTGTTTTGCGTTGTTGCGTCCATTTCTCCTGGTAGTGGGTTCGCTGAGAGTGCGTGGAGAGAATCAAATGTGGGAGTGGAGATGGGCTTTATCGCGCTTCGCGGAATAGATGATGTGTTCTTTTCGGTGTACCATGGTTGAGTGTCCAAACTACAGTCGGATCGGAATAGTAAACAGACGGATTGGTCGATGTTATATATTTCGATGAGTCTGTGAATTCCAATGATGAAAATGATCAGGCTGGGGTGGATGAAGTAGTCCCTTGGGAATTGCTGTTCTGCTTGCCCGATGCCGTTGAGGCTTGAGCACTTAAGTTCACCCTGAGCGTGACCATGTTCTCACCAAACTTTCCACCAGAGGCCGCTATATGAGCTTTCGATTGCAGATGGAAGCTTTTGACCTAGGCTTGCTAAGATTGTGCTCTGCTACAAGTAAGCCCATTCAAAAGGTGCTAAGACTTTTTTACTTTTTTTCAAAAAAGCTCAGTGTACCTATAATCTAAGAACACATAGACTTTGAACTTTATCCATACATACTCCAGAAAAATCCTTATCCTGTGGTTCACCAAACAAGTTTGGGAGTATTTTCTGACTATTTCATGGGTACAGCTTCATGGCCTTTAGTCAAGCTCACAGCTAAGTATATTATTTGATTATCGGATATTGCATGCGGCACAAACACTAGGTATTAAAAAGTTAAGCTTACAGCAAGGTAGTATATACATATCCTTACATACTTAGTATTACAATTTTTCCCCATCTCCAATGAAATATTTATCAAGTTAGGTATTGTCTACTCGTATCGCAACTACGTGAAAATAGGAAGTACGCTGCACTGCGCGTATTCTCAGCTTATTAATCCACTGCATGACGCAAGGTGATGTGGCAAACGCAACAGAGAAAGGCAGAAGATTAAGACAACATAAGCTTCAATTCATCGCATTCAAAACTTCGAAACCCTACGTCCGCGTTACCATCCACAATGTCGAGCTCCAGCATATGTGCGCCATGTTCAGACAGCCCACTCTCAATCACCGGGAATGTCATTTCGACTGTGACGTTTGTTTACGTGCTGGTAGTGGGTGTATGCTGGCGAGCGAACATAATGCGCAATGCGCGTCACGAGCTTGCGGGGCTTCTCGAAGAGTACGATAGTCGCAAGGAACGTATGATGGCTCTCTCGGAAAAGCTTGATGACCTAGAAACTAGAAAAACCAACTCCAAGCTGCAAACTGCAAGGACGGCGGTGAGATATGCGGAAGCGGAGGCACAAGCATTCGAATGGATCAGGTCGAGAGATGATATTAGGAGTCTAAGAGGTATTCTGGGTTGGGTTAGTAACCGAGATAGCTACAAGGGTGGAATGGAAAGGATGCAAATCTGGACACAGATTTCCCGAGAGATCATGGATGAAGCGTAAGGGTATTTTTTCACCTTGATGCGCCTCGTCGCTAACTCTACGCCAGCGACGATGACTCAGTGAATAATCGGAATACTTTGGAAAGTCTCAAAACTAGCAGCATGATGATTCACGACTTACTCCGTGCACTGGAATCTAAGCTCGAATCTATTACCGCTGGTGAATCATAAGTTGGACTACGAGGAGAGGACTTGAGCTTTCGAGACTACGGCGGGGGATGATGTTTTGCCATTCAAGAATTTGCTAGACTTGAATATCCATACTTCATCAGAAGTCTATTGCGTGTGGCCGGTAGGCGAATTCGATTGTTTATGAGCATGACAGCGTTCTTCTTCACGATCTGTCGAGTCTTTGGGTTAAAGCTCGGAACGTTTGTTCTTCACTCAATTCATGGTAAAGCACATTTTTGTAAGGTCAAGGGGTTATATGTCGAATGTAAATTGTTACCAAGCAATGCGTTAAGTTAAAGGAGTGACTAAGGTGAGATGAGCAAGAAAGTAACTCCTCCATCACCAGATCCCCGCAATCCCAACACCACGTAAGGGGCTGCACGGCAGCTTCAGTTCCCTCTCCTATCCTATCCTCTATTTGCATACAAGGTTGCCCCTGAGTGGTGTGCCCTTGTCGCACCTGCATTTCTCCGAGCAAGTGCGCTCGACCTGCCACTTCCTCCCGTTCCCCACAGCATTGCATACCAACTGTCTAGATGTCAGCAAATATCAATCTGAGATGAGTCTTTGAGGAACTTACAACACGGCGGTCATTGTCCTTATCGCAGGCATGTGCTCCGAGATCACCGCTATCCTCAGTGCAGGCACCGTTGAGAGCCTGTCGAACGGAGCCGCAGAAGTCGATACCGCCGCGGCGGACAAGCTCGTGGCTCCTGTCGATTTGAACTGGGTTGGCGAGGGCCAAGAATGGCGCAAAGGCAAGAATGGAGAGGATCTGAGTAGGCTGCATGATGGCTGATGGGAAAGTTTGGATCTCGGTGAAGTTTGGAGAATGTTGTGAGAATAAAAAAGTCTCAAAAGAGTGAATGTAAGAAAGAGGTGTATTGAAGAATGAATGAAATGCTTTGGATGATGGACTCTGAGTTGAGCAGACAAAGATTGCTTTTATAGACGAGGAATGCCATTGCCAAGTGTATGTCACTGAGAGACGAGAAATGAGGCAGGAAACTCGAGTGGCTCGAGTCCGTTGTTGGAACCAACATCAAGGCCTCACTCACGGCTGGACGCTAGAGAAGGTTGGATAGAGTGTCAAGTGCTCTATTGGGTCTGTCGGTATAGCTAGAGTACCATACGGCTAAAAACAGCCTTGAAACTTGTGTTGTACGTATTCCGACCAGCATGTCACCCGTCCGGGATTTTTCTGGCTTAAGCTTTCATCGGATTAACCATAAATGAAGGCCTTGGGGAATAATGCGCTACCAGTGGCGAGTTAGCCAGATGTACACCGGGTTGTAAGCAGCGTCTAGATTGAAAGCCGAGTTGCAACCGGCCTTGTAGACTAGAACCAACCCATTTTCATCGTCAAAGTCAGAGTCTTGGGTACTGTCAAGATGGAATGCTTGGGTCTTGAATCCAAATCTCTTCTACCACTCCATCACTCGGATGCTGCAAAACACTTGAATTACGCTACATTCCACAACAACGGTGCTCGCCTAGTTTCGCAATACTCTGCGCTGGATGCCCGGGAACTTACCATTGTTGCTCACTGTTCCAAGACAAAAGCAAAAGCCTCCCCGTTAGTTGTTTAGATTAAGTTTGCAACATGGTATAGGGCAACTCCGTAGCGCTGATTGTAGTCAGCATTGTCGGGGTATTGTTAGTCGATACGAACAGGCCTTAGATCCAAATCGACGCGAGGCCGGTTGTTTGCTCACGGGCCGCGGAGCATCTGAAACCTGCAGGGGGAGCATAGTTCGACTGGAATGGTAACGGCAAACATTACTGTGTACATGCAATCTGTTTTTGTTTTTCCACTTCAAAGTGTTTGTGCCGCATGGAAATTCGATGATTAAATAATAGACTCAGCAAATTGTTTCGACCAGCAAAAGTTCTTATGCGCAATGGAGATTCCAGGATTGTGTCGAAGCCTCGTATCGCCGGCATTATTTTATCTCTTGTTACTGTTTTTGGCGATTGTGCAGACGAACGGGCTGTGCTCCTAAGGCATGCCATCCATGGGCGAGGCCCAACACCAACAACACGAGAACAGCCGACTGGAGTAGCCAGCCAATCGTGCAATTCTACATGTTCGACCATGGGGCCAAATGTATCATAGACTACGCACCTACATCTCCTTTTGAAGATCGTGCTAAAAGTAGTCGGGGTCGATTGGCTTCAAAATAGATTGCGCGTACACTTGTCGATAATGGATTAGGTTACAGGAGCATCTCCGCCTACATAGACCCCACGTTTCACTACCTGTGTGGATTGAATGATACTAGATCAATTTTACTTCGTTTCTATTGCGCTCTTAGATGATTTATCGCATCGCCGTCACTAGTTCCATCCTGTACTCTTTTGTTCGGGCCAAATAGTCTTCATATTTTTCACTTGATGCTCGTCCAAATCACCGAATATTAGGCTTTACAGTTCACTACTGTTTGCTTGACGATCTCCAATCGCACTTTTATTATTGAACCACTGTTTACCATAACCGCAAAACATGGAAAAAGAGAGGAGATAAATAGGACCAAGGGACTATGAAAACACATACCTCTATCTAACTCAAAGTTTGGAATTGAGTAGTGACGATAGTCGACTTCGGGGAAAAGGGGGCAGAAGAAGACGTTGAAAAAAAAGCACTCCACATAACACAAGATAAGATGGCAGCGATCTAATCCAATAGGAGGAGGAGCCACATATTCAGAAGTATTCCCAGCTTGAGTAGACAAACCATAGGAAAGGGAGAACCCCAGGTTTCTGCAAACCTCCAACTGTCGATCCCATGCAAACGATCCGCCTCCTCCGTTTACAAACTATCCACGCCAGAGATACAACGCGAGCCAGGATCTACCACGCATTGAAAAACTTGCAAAAGCACAATATCAGCACAATGATTCCATCGCCGAGACAAGGGCACGAGGAGAAATACACTTACAGCACCAAAAGCGCGGATGCAGACCACCAGCGGTAGCCGCACAGTTACTGACGCATACCTCGCATCCAAAACTCAAGGCACGGCGCTCAAGCGAGGGATGGGATTCTGGGTGTGGCACGATGGGTCCGAGGTCGTGATCTAGAGGCTTGGTAGGGTCGACGCCTAGTTCCTTGAGTTACTTGACTATTGGCTCCGTCACGCAGATTGGTTCGTGTATTTCGGTTTTGGCGTTGACGCCTTTGAAGGGCGCTGGGAAGTGTAGGGTGGTGATGCAGGCTTGCTGGTTCTCAGGCGCTGAGGCGGCACTGCTCAAGGATGCTGCTGCATATAGAGAGAAAATGGGGACGAGAGGTGAGAGATGCATGGCTCAAGAGTACAAGAGATTTCGTCTAGTTCAGGTCTAGGTCTTGCGCTGTGAAAAAGAACAAAGAATGATAGAAGAAGAATACTGTCCTGGAAGCGAAAAGGTGTTGGATTTATATGTTAAATGTAATATGTACCGTCCATGTTGAGCGGCTTTGAGATCTTCTCCACAAGCCCTGGCTTTCACGGCATCTTTTCTTCCATCGCTCACAATTTCTCGAATCAGGAAATGCTCAAGTGCAATACTAATTGATCTGCATCGTTTAGTTTTGCATGTTACTCAACAACTGTTTTCAATCATCGTTCAGCTCGCAAGATTGACTTCTCTCTTGTCGGCAATCCATCTACATAATCTGTATAAGCTTACGTGAGTTATATGTACCATCAGAATGCCACGACCGCGTCATGGGACGATCTGTAAAGTTTGACCGCGACCGCGGATGCAGGCTCATGGTGTACAGCGAGCCTGGATGCGGGGGGGTTCGGGGTTCAAGTGGATATTCAGGATACTTGCAACGCGGTTCCGTTTGATGTCAAGAGCATGCACTGTGGGTAGGAGGATTTGGGCGAGTCTTCGGCTCGTATAATGTCTGCCATGGCATTCGCTTTGGGTTCTGTTTTTCTGTGGGGGGAACGGGGCGACGGTTGATGATGGTTTCATAGAATGGAACTCTACATACTTACACACATGGGCAACAGACATGCCAAAGGCACGTACTTCCAACAACCAGTTGACGTCTTTCGCAGGAGAGAGAGAGAGAGAGAGAGAGAGTCATGTGATGAAGATGGATCAGAAGCCGATGGGGGATCCCTCACGAGCTATCCGAATGCGGCAATGCCGAGGCACAGTCAACACCAACAGACACCTCCACCCCTCCACCCTCTCCCTCTCTCCCCATAAACACCAGTTCCCGTGAAAAGGAATAATCACAACCCCTTAGCTGTCAAAGCGTACGCATAATCACAAGGCAACACGCACATGCGTGTAGACGATGGCATAGCATCAAATGCTAGGATAGGAGACGATTGCGTCGCCATGACGTACAACATGCACAACCAAGAATCCCATGCGCAATTGCGCATAAGAGGAGGTATCTCAGCGATGATTGATGGCAACGGGGTGCTATATAGCGACGGGGGTAGATGTAGTATAGGTATGGTGTTCTGCCTTGATTTTTTTTTGATTTGTTTTTTTGGTGGAGAGGGAGATGGGTAGAGAGGGATGTGTGGCATGGGTCGGTAAGACTGCACCGACTGGCGGGGGGCCTAAACAATAAATAAAAAATGGAAATAAAGATACAATAGAGATAAGGAACAGAGGAGGAGAATGGGATGGGATTGGTGGAGCGTGTTGGTGATGATGATGATAGCAGCGCGGATCTTGAAGAGGAAAAAAGAGTGTGTGATGCGGTAATGCTATTGTAAGGAGAAAGTGATGGAAATATGTGAGTCCTCCATGTCGAATTATCTCATTCGTTTGTTTACTTGTCAATAAACACGCCTCCTATTTGTTTATCCGATTGTCGGTTTGGTTGAAGTAGCCGGGGTTTTTATTTTCCGAGGGTGTTGCATATATGGGATGATGCATCTGCTTGACCAAGTCTTTTTTTTTTTTCGGCTGTAGTGTTATTGCTTTGAGATATAATTCTTTTACTCTGGATGCATTGGTGAGGTATTTGAGAAGCAGAAAAAAAAAACCGGCTTGCACTCGAAGATTCCAAATGGATGAAGCGGTGGCTGTTCCATGGGGCTGGCCAGTCAACGAACCACGCACGAGGCATACTATTTATTGCAAAGGATTTATGATCAGCGCTGACTATACGTGCATGCTTACTTGTGTATGCTCTTCTCTGCAAGACTTGAGCAGTTGAATACGGATATACGGGTACATGTGCATGCATGTACATACAGGATGGGAAATGAAGCGAGTGAACCCTGGCGCGCAATGGTGAGAGAGTAGCTCTGTTTAGGCTTTTGAGCCTTTGCTTCATCCGAATAGCTCGCTCGCTCAATGTGGGTGCTTGTCAGCAGCGGCCCCGGACTCGCATCACTCATCACTGACGGACGGTCGGACTGACTGACTGACTACCCATCTACCCATCTATCCACCTCCCTACTGCCTAGCTCTTCTTCATTCATCCTCGACGTCGTTCGTTCGCGCGCTCGTTGTCTCTGCTTCCCCCTGCTCCTTCGCTTCTCAACGCTCGCTATCTCGCTTTTCATCGTCTCCTCTTCATTCATCATACAGCACCTTGACTGCTCTACCAGTGTCTAGCCAAAAGGCATCACACACACAGAGAGAGAGAGGGGTTGTTGTTGACCCTTTCGCCGCACCACCGAGCCGCACCACCGCCCAGCGCACCCACGCGTCATCTTCTCACGACGACTGCGCCCACCACCCACCACCACCACCACCATCCTACCATCTATTCACCCACCCGGGCTACCGTCCATCTACCTTTCTATCGTAATCCCGAATCACATAATCCCCATCCTCGATCCTCCTTTCGCATACCTCTCGGCTCAGCCTGCCACCTCATCGCTTCCATCCCATCCCAATACGCCGTTTCACCCGCGCCGAACCATCCCTGCTTCCCGCTCAACCGCCCCGTCTCGTCTCTCGCTCTCAACCTTCCTTCCACCTCATTTCGTTGACCCTTTCCACTTCCCTCCCAAGCTACTCATTGGGAAAGGGGCGAGGCATTGACAACAAGAAGGAACGTTCAATCCCGAACAAGGAAAAAACCCCTCCCCTCTACAATAATCATAATCCGCGCAGCACAACAGCTCGTGCATTTGTTCTTCAGCTCGGCTCAAGAACATTCATCCATCCCTACCTACTACCTACTTACACAACAAACATACAAACACACGTTTACGAACATCTCGGAAGCAGCCACTTGACCGACCGTCCGCCCATCTATCCATTCCATCCACCTATCCATCCATTCGCCGAACCCCCCCCCCCAGTCGGATTCTGGCCCGCCTGCGCAATCGTCAGGCTCCCGACCCACGATTTATCTATCCAGCCGGCTGGGAAACAAGGGGAACACAACACACCCTTCGGAGCTTGTATCACCATCCCTCGCCCGCCCGCCCTCGTGGCTGACAAAACCCTTGCCCACGCCGAGATAGCATCCGGTCGAGCAACCACGTCACCCACCGCCCCCGGCCACACGCCGCATCCTCCCTCGCCGCCGACACATCTCCCGGTCGAACATGAAGAAGGGCTCCGTCCGGCGATAATGGCAACCTCCATCGCCCTCGACGGCATCCATGAACTCTCCGATTCCCACTCACATCATGCGCGCAATCACGCACCGCTGCAAGGACGCAACCGCCGCGAGCTGCCTTCCATACAACCCTCGCTTCCTCACCCCCGAGCACGCCCAAAGCAACGCATCCGCAAGACGACGATGACGACCCCCGCCCGCACATTCTCCTTTCACATCCTTCTTCTCGCCCTCTTCGCCGCCATCATCCCTTCCGTAAGCGCCGTATACATCAACTTCGACAACTGCCTCGAGAAACCCTACCGTAATGCCAACGATCCCCAACGTCTACAATTCGTCCCGAAATTCGTCTGGGCGGAATTCAACACTACCGCCCCGAGCCATACATTGAACGTCACCGTATACGGAAATGTCACAGGCCAGATGAGCGCTGGAGATTACCCTGCTGCCGACAGTCCCAAATGGAGTGACCCGGGCGATGAATTTGGCAAGATATACGACAACAGCACTGAAAACAACAAGCTGGCAACCCTCATTGCCGACTTCAAGACCCTGACATGGTCTGCTTGGGGCTCCGGACCGCTGCAATTCTGCAACTACACAAACAGCGCCTGTCCACTTGCCCCCGTCTTCCCCCAGGAAGGCCTTAATCTCAGCAATCCTGAGAGCCTGCGCTCATTCAGCCTCACTCGCGACTTCTACAGTACCTATTCGTTTGCTAACTGGGAAGGTACCATGCGCATTGTCTCACCCGAATCCAACAACCAGACTCTGGGATGTGTATCCGCCACCATCACTCCGGACCTGGGAAGCTCGCTAGCCAATGCTCTCCGCTATCTTCCCGCCGCCATCCTTGCTCTGGTCGCTGTGGCCACCATCTTCGCCGCCACCTGCAGTCCATGGGGCACCGCCGAGATTTTCCGCTGGACCAGCAATTACGGTAGAGACGAGGATCTGCTCCGTCTGGTAACACCTGGTTTCGGGGACTGCTTGCAGTACATCCAGTTCATCGTGCTTGCCGGCAGTCTCAATCTCAACTATCCCGGCTTCTTCCAGCCCGTCGTGAGCCAAGCCAGCTGGTCCCTCCTTCTCTTCAACCAGAGCTTCGTCAGCCAAGGTAATGGATCACACAGCCTGGTGGACGGCCTGTATTTCGCCAATGGAACATACGGCATATCCCGCCTCGGACAATATGTGGGCATGTCACAGGATGAGGACATCTGGGCCAACATGGCCGTCTGGCTTCTGGTTGCCATTGGCATCGTTGTTTTGCTCGTGCAACTGGGATTCCTGGGCCGGTGGCTCTTTGGGTCAATCACGGGCGACAAAGAGACGGGCCTGTACGACAAGAACTGGCCCTTCTCCGCCGGGAACATTGTCCGCATCGTTTTCAACTACTTCCTGCTGCCAATCATCGCGCTGTCCCTGTTCCAAATGGTGGTGGCTCCCCGGTCACCTGCATCCGTCGTTGCTACTGCGGTGGTCCTCCTCATCGGCGTCTCAGGAGTTGCAGTATGGATCTTCTGGCTCATCTTCACCACCCGCCCTCGTGCCCACCTGTTCGACGATCTTCCCACCATTCTTACTTATGGCCCCCTGTACAACACGTACTCAGACGATGCGGCTCCGTTCGCGTTTATACCAGTGCTCTTGACGACAATGCGCGGCATTGCGATAGGCGCTATACAGCCCTCTGGAATTGCCCAAATCATCATTCTCGCCATCTGCGAAGTCATTTTGATCCTGACCCTGCACGCGTTCCGACCATTCCAGTCCAACACTTCTATGAATGCATATCACACCTTCTTCTCGGTCGTACGCCTGGTTTCCACACTCCTCATGGTTGCCTTCGTGCCATCCCTAGGCGTTGCCGAGTCGAATAAGGGCTGGATCGGGTACATCATCCTATTCCTGCATGCCATTGTCCTCATCTTTGGCTTCTTCATGAACTCCCTGCAGACCATCATAGAAGTCGCGGCCAGACTCGGTGGAGCCGGGGCTGATCAGCGAGGCGGTCTTACTACGGTCTTCGGCAAGCGTCAGCTGGCCAAGCGGAACCATCGACAGCAGCGCAGCAGCCTCGGATCGAATGCCGCTATGCTTGGTCCTGATGAACATAAGGGTTCGATTCAGCTGATGCGAAACAGCCACGCCAGGAGCATCTCTAACAGTTCTGCTGTTCTTCTGAACGCGCCTTACAGCGGAAGTCAACGTCAGAGCGTTGGCTTCGAAAGCTTCACTCAGGGTGGAGAAGCCAGCCCCAGTACACCCGGAACAGGTGCGACGCCGTTTAATTTCCTCGCGTCGTCTACACATAGCTCGCGGAGACCTACGATCAATGCCGCGCTGGATACAGCGGACCCATACTATCGACCCCCGAGACCTCGCAAGCACACGCTAGATTCTATGAATGCCGGACCCTCCCTTCGAGGCTCCAAAGGCAGCGCAGATATGACGAATGCACCATATGCGGATAACCCTGACCAGGCTGAATCGGGGGATGTAGGTGAGGGTCCTTCGTCGTGGTCTCCCAACCGATCTATTACGCCAGCCTTCCTTCGAATGCAACGCGAAGATTCCGACCCCAACCTCGAACGACGCAACCAGACCGACTACTCTGTCCGAGAATCTGACTTTTACTATGGTCTCCGTGGTCCTGCTTTGTCATCGCAGCCCACCCGTAAACTCAAAACGGGACCTGCAGATCCCATGGGCCCCGTTTCTTCGGCGACTGGCTGGTTCAAGAGTCTTGGCATGTTTGCTGGCAAAAAGAAGGAGAAGGGCAAAGGGTTTGAGGTTGTGCGAAGTACGCGCATGCCGCCTGATATGATGATTGCCGAGGAAGAGGAGGATTCATCCCACATGCACAACGAGCCGTATCAAGATAGCCCTGGCCGTAGTAAGAACGCAGAAACATCTCCCAGTGGCACCAAGAAACCTGTCGATCGCGACAGCCCGAACCGCAACGGCAGTGGAGCTGCTGCTGGTCTCTTGCGGAGATCGAGCCACAGTTCTTCGGATGCAAGTGACGACGAGGATGGGTATGTGAACGTTCATAGGGTCTCGGACATGGCGCCCTCGCTGGGTCCCATCGAAACGGGCGGCGGCATTGAACTGCCCAGTCGCATCGGATCGCGAGTTTCCAGGGTATCGCGCGGTCCAAGTGTTGATACTCGAGCAGGAGCTCAAGAGAGGATACCCACGATTCCTCGCAAGAGCTCGCGTCGAACCTCTTCTGTGGACGTTGACCAGGCGGTTCGCAGCAGCAGCAACCGTTTGTCCAAGGTGATGTCGCCGTCTTCTTCGACGCGACGCCAGCAGCATCTCCATCCCAACACTGGCAACGTGCCTATCCGTCTACCGTTTGGCTCTACGGATCCATCACCCTCTCCCGATCGCACGCCCATTCACTCGGCATCATCCAGCATCTATCCGACGGATGATTTTCACGTGCTGGGAGGCGACGAACTGGCACCGCCACCCACGATTGTGCCAGCTGTTAGCCAAGAGCGTCCACTTAGCACGGGGTACGTTCATCAGCACACGGCCGGCGACAGCATCCACAATGAGCCGTTCCCCGAAGGCAATCGATTGGAGGCGTCTGCGGAGTTTGTCGATCGCAGTCGGAGTGTTAGCACCGCTGGCACGGCAATGTCGTACCGATCGTCGGATCGTCGTCGCTGAATGACATTCTGTGATTCCGCGACACAGGCTTCAGAACTCTGATCGCTACTACATAATACCGCCGTATCATTTATTTGTTAATGTCTGCGCTTTTATCGTAACTATTACGATTCTCCTTCTCTTCCGTGTACCGGCCTTTCTTTCCTTTTTTTTTCTTCCTCCGTCGTGCCTTTCTACATATATCATTCGAGGTTCAATCCTCGTCATCCAGCGGGGAAAAAGTGTCGGCGTTATGTGACTGCTGGTGGATTTTTATTTTCCTCTGCTGTTTTTGGGAGCGGGCGTTTACATCATTCCTTTATCGCTGTATCGCTTCCTCGTAGTAATTTTATTTTCCCATGTTCTGATCCTGGCAAAGGACAGGACATGATGTGCGTGTTATGGGCTGATATGGCATTCGGCATGGGCATTGTTAGGTTGAAATGGCGGTATGGGTTTTATGGGAGGGGGAATCACATGCATACATATACATATCGATCCATGGATGAATGGATTGCTCGGGATCGAGAGACTGAGTATCATACATGTTACATGTCCCGCTTTTTCTTTTCTTTTCTTTGAGTGATGTTGTTCCCGAGTGTGCATCTTTGAACTTGTGAGACTGAGATATACATATATAGATGAGTGTATCATAGCTGTCGAAGTACGAGATATGGACGGGATCAGGGCATGGCATGAATGCAAATTCAATAGATGCAGATATATGCACTGTCATCTCATCAGACTACCATCATCCATCATCAAGGCAAAGAGAATCAAACAGCAGGATACAGAGCGGTAAATAGAGTATGTACATACCCATCTCTCTCTCTCTCTCCCGTCTTATCACGTCTTCGCTGATTCGTTCATCTCCGGGCGGCGGCAGAAGCGGCGGGCGGCTCATCAGGCGGGCGCGGGCCCCCAACATGTTCCATCCATCCACTCCCGCCACACACTACAACCGTCAACAACGTCAACATCATCAACATCGACAGCATTGACAACCACAGCACGCCAGCGAAAGATACCACAGCCTTGACTTCTTTTCGTCTGCATTCTTATTCTTCTTCTTGTTTTTGGAGCGGGGGGGAGAGTCAACGTCTAGATAACGCACACAACGACGCATACCCACGACGCCGACGCACACGACAACAACTCGCTACGTCGATCGATTGGATGGAATAGAGAACCCTTCGAGCCCCACGACTCGGAACGGAACGGAACAGGTGGCATTTTGAACGATACTTTTGAGAGGGAAGAGAAGACGGAAAAGGAAATAGAGAGAGAGTTAGGTTGAGGGTTAAGGAAGTTGCGCTTCCACCAGGTTGCGTGCGCGATAAGAATCAATCAAGCAAGTAGGAAGGAAGGAAGGAAGGAAGATACACAAGGGCATATGCCGACGCTATGAGTCCAAGGGTCGAACCCAGTTTGGATCCCGCACTGAATGATGGGGCGGGGCGGGGACCTTTGCTTGCGCCGGAGCTCGATGGAGGGATGGATGTAGATGTCGAGGATGGGGGTGTTGGTATGGATGGGGATTTGAATATGATTATGAATGGGGATGGGGATGGGGATGTGGATAATGGAATGGAGACGAGTGCGGATAACGGCGGTGGCATGATTGTTGATGGCGCCAGTGAAGATACGCGCCCTGGACACAGATTCGGGAAACGACGGGCCATGGATCACACGAGTACTGGGAGGACGAACAGCAGTGGTGTCGGTATCAGGGGTGGAAGTGGAAGTGGCAGTGGCAGTGGCAATACCACGCAAGGGCCGCAAATCGTGGACACGGAGCGCATGAACAAGGCGTTTGGAGGAGAAACGTGGGAAGAGTTCCTGAGAAACGCGGGCGACGGCCAAGGCGATTCCATGGACAACGATCTCAGAGCTCCGCCGCATGTCACGAGACGACCGGGCGCGTCGAGTCGAGGTAATAGTGGAGGTGCTGTCAGGTCGGGGGAGAGTCCGCTGCCTGCGATTCCGGTGGGGAACGCTTCGCCACCGCTCGCGTCGCCGTCGCTGCAATCACATCAACAGCAGCAGCAGCAACACCACTCTAGCTCGAGGCGGATACGTTCGTATTCTGGCGTGCCGGTTTCATCTTCGAGCGACAGGAGAGCGTTACCTCCTCCACCGACGCATTCGCAATCGGATCATTCACAGCTTCACCAGGCTTCTAGTGATAGGAAAAGACGACTTACAACAGCGGAGCAGCCCATCAGGAGAGGGAGCGGCGTTCATAGTGTGGACTTGAGCCCTCGCGGTCTGCCTCCTCCGCCACCTGCTCAATCACCAGGCAACGGACCTTCTGGTGCCGAAGCTGTTTCGTTGGACGTGGCATTGCCTCCGATCAGGCACGCAAATCCCGTGAGAATGTCAAGTGCGCCTTCAGCTCAAGCTCAAGGTGGCGGAGCTGCTAGGAGGGAGAGCGATCTAGTGCTCCCACCGTGGCAGTCTGATGCCGATGCTACTCATTGTTTTGTCTGTGGGAGCCAGTTCACTTGGTTTTATAGGAAACACCACTGCCGGTATGTTCCTTCTTCTGCAATCTGCTAAAGCGATGCTGTCATCGCAACGTTCGCATGTTGACTTACCTGCGTCATAGGAAATGCGGGCGTGTAGTCTGTTCGGCTTGCTCTCCCCATCGCATCACCATCCCCCGCCAGTTCATCGTTCACCCGCCATCTGAACCTCCTAGTGTGCTCGATCTGACGGGCGAAGACGAGAACGCAATGTCTCCCTTTGGCCCGTCCAGGAACCCTGCTCTGGGAGGTGGCGAGGAGGTCCGCGTGTGCAATCCATGCGTGCCGGATCCGAATTACGATCCCCCTCTGCCTCACCCGTCTTTCGGTAGGCCACCGGCTGGGCCAGGTTCAACAAGCCACTTCCCGCCGCGAGCTTCATCTGATAACCCCCAGCCATTTTCCACATCCATCGCTCCCTTTGGCGCCTCGACGGATTTCCGGCATATGGCTGCTGGGTATGGACGCTTGACGCATACAGAAGCGATACAGCAGAGACCGCCGCTGCTGAATCAGTGGAGCGGCCCTCCGCATAACTACCAGCCCGCTCCACAGTACAACCCTCTATATTCAACCGATCTCTCCACGCGAACCCACTCTCGTAACATCTCGACTCCTCACACCCCTAGACTCCACCAATCTGGCCCTCGCTACTCCGTCGCCGAGCGCCATCCAGTCCCATCCTCATCCCGCAGCAATTACGCCACGCAAGCGGGCTCTTCCGATACAGACTTCTCCTCCATCTATGCCGCGCCTCCTCCTCGTCGCGAAATCCCAGAAGAAGACGAATGTGCCATCTGCGGCAACGAGCTCCCGCCCATGGGCCCCGACAACGACGAATCCGCACGAATCCAACACGTCGAATCCTGCCTCGCCCTCCACTCTTCCTCCCCCGCGCCCATTTCCACTTCCCAACCGACCCAACAACTCCCAACATCCACCAGCCTCCCCAGCCAACGCACCCGCGGGATGAGCAACGCCGCAACCCTCCTCAACCTCTCGGCCCGCACCAATTCTCCCGCTGCTGCTCCTTCCACCCCTGCCGAGGGCGCGAGCAACACCTCCCGTCTCAGCATGGCGGCACGCGGCATGTACGTTTACACGGCCACGGAGAAGGACTGCGTAGACGACGAGGGCACGGAAGCGGAATGCGTCATTTGCTTTGAGGAGTTTGAGGCTGGGGTCCGCATGGCGCGGTTGGTGTGCTTTTGCAAGTTTCATGAGGCTTGCATCAAGGATTGGTGGGGTGTTAGGGGCAGAGGGGCTTGTCCTACGCATCAGTTGCATGATTGATTTTGATTTGAGCTCGATTGGGTTGGATTGGATTGGATTGGATTGGATTGGATTGGATTGGATTGGGTTATTTGGTTGGGTCTGGGTTTTGGATTCGGGATTTGGGATTTGGAATCGGAATTGGGAGGTTATATCGGGGCAAGCGGGCTGCGAAGGGCGGGTTGGGTTCTGGGGTACTATCCACGTGTCTCTCCCTCTCTTCCTATCCTATTTCCTTCTCCCGCTTTGTTTTTTTTTTGTGCTGGGTCAGGGTGGTTTTTTTTTTTTGCTACATGGTTCCCTTTGCTCCCGCTCACTTTGTTCTTTTCTCTTCTCTTTTTTTGCTTTTAGCTATGCGACTCTAGATTAGCTTTTCTGCTTTTTAAGCTTCTAGATATCCCCTCCCCTCATTTTCTCTGTCTCCCTCTCTCTCTCTTTTTAAGTGGGTTCTTTCCTCCTCTTTTTTTTTTCTAGAGCTCAGTATCAACTCTCTACTTCCTCTTCTCTCTCCCCTATCTCGCTCACCTACTTTCCTTCCTTCTATCTATGTCCCACAGGAGATGAGCGATCTCTCTTTTAGAAAGCGAACGTGAATTCATACATGCCTTCTGCAGTATGTATGTATATACAGTATCCCTATTTCTCTATAACAGAGCGCGTACCTGTATCTTCTGAAATTCTTCAAACGCGCAGAGAGGGAATAGGATCTCTTAGCACTTAGATAGATACGAGTTTTTGAGGATGTTGCGCGCGGTTAGGTAGCTACATAGGTACTTAGGTACTTATTCTAGCAGCAGCTAAGCTATTCTAGTGTGTGTGTGTGTGTACATAGTGCAATGCATGCGGAATTCCTTTCCTCTCCCCCCCTCTCCCTCCCCCCCCCCCCCCCCCCAAAAAAATCGCAATGCAATTCAAGGTAAGGTACATAACATCATCATCAACTCCCAGCGCGCGTACCCGACCCCAAAAAAAATCAATAAATCAAGGATATCGTAATCCAGCACCGTCCCGTTCGCTATTAGTTCTACGCTAGTCCCATCGTTGCCCGCGTCTACTTTTCCGCCTGTTCGGCTCCCGCTCGGATGATGATGATCCCCCGCAAAATTCATTGTGGTTCTTTTTTTTTCCCCGCATTTTCTTCGCTTTTTATAGGGGGGAGTGGGATTTTGGTTATGTGGGGGTGGAAATGTTATCCATGTAGGTGGTATGTTATGTCTCTATGGATGATGGGTGGGTGGGTGTGTTCACCCTGGGTTTTTTTGTGATGGGGATTGGATTGGACTAAGGGTTTAGCGGTTTTTTGGGGCTGGGGTTTTTGGGATTTGGGTTGGTGGATGGATGTAAATTGCGAGAGTTTTTTTCTTCTCTTTTTGGTTTGGATTGGTTATCTAGTGATTTTGCCTGGGGATGTTTGTTTGAGCTCGGGGGTGGGAAGGTTCGTTTGACGTGCTTCGAGTGTCTTGTCGATCAGAGGCTACATTGTAAAAGAAACGGCGTTAGACGTCATGTTACGTTCCGCTACAGGACAAATAACAGATGCGAATGATTCTGTTCGATTACGCGGGAAACACAACGCCCTCGGATTCTCCTGCTCCCGTCATTTCAAACAGGGTACAAGCATGTGCGCGAAAACAACACCAGCAAGGGAAAAAAAAAAGGAACAGTATTTCCGTAGAAACCCAACGGCCGCGACATCACTGCTGTTTCAACCGCGTTTTAACAGTCTTTCTGGAATCCTCTTTGGTCGCAATACGCTCGAACGACAGCTTTGATCTGCAAGATTCTTGGATATCTTTCCAGTATACACTTCACCTCTTTCTTTTCTTTGGCTCTTCTTCGCTCGTGCGCGAAGTAGGGAATATAAGAAAGAAGACATGGCGACGGAGAAGGACGTCCATGGGAACACGACCAGCTCCCCGACAACGACGGATTCCCAACGAGGCAGAGTGTCGAGCGATTCGAATGGGCTCCATCACGACCATGTCGCTGCTGAAGCGATCGGAGGCAGGACAGGCGATTTACCGGAGGGGTATTATAGGAGTTGGAACTTCATCGGGACGGTTGTTGTATGTCCCCCCAGCTTCCCTTGTCGTCCACACCACTCCTTCATCCATCTTTCCCCCTCTTCTCATCCCTTCCTGCTAACGATCCCCACAGGCAACATGTCTAGCCCAGATCTCGGGATACCTGGGCTGGGTACTCCCTGCCAACACGCTTTCTTTGATCAATGCATCGATTGGACCTTCCCCGAACCTCATCTGGGTGTCTATTTCCTGGACCGCTGGCTTCGCGATCGGGTTCACGCTCGTGGGGAGGTTGAGCGATATTTTTGGTCGGAGGTGGTTCTTCATCATGGCGAGTGTGCTGGGGATCGTGGGGAATTGCATCGGGAGTAGTGCGCAGAGCATCGAGGGGCTGATTGGGACCAACAGTACGTTTCTTGTTTTCCTCTTTTTGTTGGGTTGTTTTGATGTTTGTGTATGTGGTGGAGATGTGGAGGATAGATGAGCTAGAAGAGAGTGAGCGTTTTGCTAATGACGATGATTGAACAGGTATTAATGGTCTCGCTGCGGCTGGACAGCTCTCGTTCCACATAATCCTCGGCGAACTCGTGCCTAATTCCCTGCGAGGTCCCGTCAATGCTTTTGTGCTGTCGACGTCGATTCCTTTCGCCGTGTTTGGTCCGCCGGTTGCGCGTGCGTTTTACGAGAACACGGCTCTGCAGTGGCGATGGTGTTATATCCTTGGTGTCATCGTGAACACTCTCGCCGTGATTCTGTATTTCTTCTTCTACCATCCGCCTACATATGTAAGCCGCCCCCCGCCTGAACATGCTCGGTCCGGATTTCTGACACTGGAATATAGGAAATGTTGCACATCGGCGGCAAGTCCAAGCTCAAGCAGCTCAAGACGCTGGACTGGATCGGCATCTTTCTGTTCAGCACTGGTCTCGTGGTTTTTCTGATCGGTATGAATTGGGGTGGTGGATCGTATCCGTGGAAGAGTGCGCACGTCCTTGGTGCCCTGTTTGCGGGCTTCTTCACGCTCGTCGCTTTCTGCTTCTGGGAAGCGTACTCGGGGCTCGAGTATCCGTTGATCCCGATGCGGTTGTTCAAGAACGTGGAGTATGACGCAATTGTAGCGTGTGCGAGTTTGGCAGCAGTGGTTTATTACGCCAGTGAGTTGCTTCTGTTTCTTGGGACGGGTGTGAAGGATGATATACTGACAGTCTTCTCTCGCAGACACCGTCATCTGGCCCACCATGATCGGCGCCCTCTTCACCACCGACGTCGTAAAAACAGGCTGGCTCTCGTGCGCCGTCGGCGGCGGTCTTCTTCTCGGCCAAATCCTTGGTGGTGCAGGCGTGCGGTACCTCCCACGCATGAAGCTGCAAATGACAGCAGCATCTCTCATCACCGTCGCCTTCGTCGCCGCGCTCGCCGCATCCAACTCTAGCACCGAGACCATGACAACCGCGCTCCTCCTCCTCGGCACCATCGGCGCAGGCTATGTGGAGAACCTCACGCTTTCTACCACCGCGTACCTCTGGGATCCCGCGGATATGGGATTGGTGACGGGTGTCATGGGCGCGATTCGCACTGCTATTTCCGCCATCGCAACGAGTATGTACTCGTCGATTCTCACCACCGAGTCGGCCAAGTACATTCCACGCTACGTTACTCCCGCAGCTTTGGACGCCGGTCTGCCTTCCTCATCGCTCCCTTCATTGTTTGCGGGAATCACCGCGGGGAACTTGTCGGCGGTCCAAGGTATGACGCCAGAGATTGCAACCGGCGTGGATGTTGCGGTCAAACATGCGTATTCGTTGGCATTTCGAACAGTATTCTTGTGCACGCTGCCGTTTGGAGTGTTGTTGCTTATTGCGGCTGTGTTGAGTCCGAATGTGGAGAAGTACTTGACTGATGAGGTTGCGAGGAAGTTACACGGGAGCGAGGAGAAAGAAGCCGAGGTGGAAAGGAAAGAGATTGTTGAGGAATAGATCTTCTTTGATTGGGAAAGAGTTTTGCTTGCTTGTACATAAATATGTGGGATTAGTATTTGGATCGGGCGCTTCTTCGTTGTGTACGTACTGAGTAATCATCTTGTCTGTCTGGACCGCACCTGATCCCGATGAAACCTGACAAACCCATGACGCCTGTCTCTTTCTGGTGCCTTCTTTGTTATCCTCGCAAATCTTATTGCTGCTTCATTTCATCCGGCTGTGATCTATATCGGGCGCGTTGAACTCGTCGCCGATATCTATGTCGCTACGCGTGATGACAATGGGAAAATTTAGCAATCGCCGTTTCAAGACACGAGGGCTGAGGACAAGACAGGATTAGAGTTGCGAGATTTTTATCGTTGTCGTTATCTTGTGAACAGCGTCGAAACTTTCCACTCATCTGTAAGCATTAGTCTCGTGTCTGGGAGTGGGGCTACGTCGCGTGTGAACTCCTGTTACTGTGATGAATAAGCGCAAGGCTGAGACCGGCAGCTGTTGCTGGCTCGATTCCGTTATTCTTATGGGCTAAGCCGACGCCCTTCCCAACGAGGTCCTGCCATTCTCGTGTGTTGGAAGATTTCGCTTTTATTCGATTCATTTTGACTTTATCTCCTTCATTTACTCTGGACGGGAGTTTCGCGCGACGGGTGGCCTTCCAAAGTTCCCATCAACAACACGTGGAGTGTTGAGATCCAAAGTCATTTGCTCAGACAATGGGGTCGTTCTGGGTAGTATTCTTAATGGCTTTCGTTACTCATTCGATTATGTATCGCATTGCGCTCTTTGCTATGCGGCGGCTGTCGGGGTGGCAAACAATGCATTTCGCTGAGAACCGCCACACGAGAGACTACAAGCAAGCCCGGGTACCGGCAGCAGGAAGCAGTTACTGATAAAAACTAGCAGACTCAAAGTCGACTTTGATCCTTAGGACTCATATCCTCTCACCATCCAACGGCCGACAGGCGAACATTGCGCCAGCGAAGCAACCGAGCACGTCATGCGTCTGCGCAACGTGGAGATAAAGTCACACTTTGCTCCATCATGGGAGCGCTGATCGTGCATCCTTTTTCTCCAGAATAAGGGAGCTTCTTAGGGTCTTCGAAATGTCTGCGCCGTCGCCGACTAGGTCTCTCGCCGTCATCGGTGCTGGAGCTTCAGGTAGGCATCATACTTAATGCTGGGTATTCGAGTTATTCTAATCACACTGCCATACAACCTCCAGGCGCGATAACAGCGGCCGTTTTTGCATCCGAGGCGACTTTCGATACGATTCGTGTCTTTGAACGGCGGGAGACTCCTGGGGGTACATGGTGTGTGAACTCATTGTTCTGCGTGCTCCCCATGACAAAGTTAGAATGTTCACACCTTACCAGGATCTACGATGCGGATCCTCATCCACCTGATCAGCTGCATCCGGGAAAGTTGCCGCCGGATGTTGATCTTCGATTGGACATTCCAAACGATGGGTTCCCGACTTTTACTGCGCCGTCTGAACAGCAACGATTCGATAGAACGCCAATATACTCCGGACTCACGTGAGTGGAAACATCATTTTCACTATTTCTGGCTTGAAATGGAAGAAGAAGAAGGAGATCGAAGCTTATGAATTGAAGGACGAACGTGCCCGAGATTGCTATGTCATTCTCGGATCACAGATTCGCGTACGGCCCATTCGTACCCCACTGGATCCCGAAACAGTACATCCAGGATTACTTTTCTTTACACGGCGTAGACGACTGTCTCGTTTTGAACACCACAGTTGAAGATGTTTCTCGTATACCAGCGGCAGACACGACAGATCAATGGCAGTTAACATTACGGAAATATGATCCGATCGCCAAGCTGAATGTATGGTGGCAGGAAAAATTTGATGCGGTTGTTATTGCTAATGGTCATTACTCCATTCCATATGTATGTATTCGATTTCTTGCGCTGCTGGTCAGACCAAAACGACTAAGAATTCGATCACAAAGATACCCCAGGTAGAAGGACTTGATGAATACATGAAGAACTTCCCCGGCCGCGTCACCCACTCGAAATTCTACCGCTCCCCCTCCAATTACATCAATAAACGGGTCCTCGTCATCGGCAACTCTGCCTCAGGCCACGACATCACAACGCTCCTAGCCCACTCAGGAACAGCCCACCTTCCAATATATCAGTCCCGCCGCTCTCGTTCCCGCTGGGACGGCGAAGACCCTCCCCCAGACATATCCTGGAAACCTACGATCCGCTCATACAACGCCACAACGGGCGCTATCACCTTCACCGACAACACTACTCTTACCGATATCGACGCCGTCATCTACTGCACCGGCTACAAACCATCCTACCCATTCTGGAATACCGGAGCAAATGGAGCACCATTATACGACTACGTTGAGGATCGCCTGATAGGATTCTATCAGCATACCTTCTCCACCGCATTTCCACACTCCATCGGCATCGTAGGGATTCCCCGCGTCCTCACCTTCCGCTCCTTCGAATACCAAGCTATAGCCCTGGCGCGGCTCTTCTCACAACGCACTGCAAAACCCTTACCCCCACCTTCAGAGATGTCAGCTTGGGAATCCCAACGCGCGGCGCTCGTGAAAAGGGAACGTCGGCCGTTCCATGCGATTCTTTGGGATAATGGAGAGACGCGGGAGTGGTTTCGGTATCTTTTTGAGTTGAGTGGATTACCTGTCTTGGAGGGCATGGGGAGGTTTCCGCCAGTGTTGGATGCTGAGACTAGGTGGGCTTATGATCATATTAAGAAGTATCCGGAACCTAAGCATAGAGATGGAGAGGTAAGGATGGATGGAGAGTGGGAGGTAGTGGAGAGAGTTAGCAAGGATAGTACGCATTTCATATAAGCTTCGCTACTACAGCTCTATTTTTTTAATCATAATATATATCTTGTCATTACGATCTCTCGCAACGTTAGCAATACGGCGGAAGCTTGTTTCCATACATAGAATGTTTACCTGTAATTCGGGGCCATTATCGTCGATCATTGAGCAGTTCAAATTCATCTCATGCTACCCCTTCCTCTCGTTAGTCTGGCTACATGCAGAAAGACAAAGTAAAGTAATAAAAGAACCTTACATGATAAAGACCACTCTTAAGCTGCAGCTGTACCCGTGATTCGAACTCCCACCCTCTGCACCCCCAGCCCCAAACAAACATGTTCATCTCCAGTCACCGGGGAAAAAAAAATCCTAAAAAAGATCGTCCCACCTAGACCACATAGTGGCCGGATAAGTTAGCACAGGTTCTTTGGATGTATATTTCCCGTTCAAATTGCAATATATACGGTGATTGAAAGTTGCAGAGAGGAGAAAAAGGTGATAGAGTGAACATTGGGAAGCTGGCGGACTTGGCGGTGAGGCAGCGTAGGCAAGTTTTCAAAATTGAGTCTAATCGGGCTGGTTGCCGTGGCATTAACATGGCGATCAGCTCGCAAATGGTAAGGGCACAAGTAGAGTATACATTGCAATGATCTCGATTGAAGACGAATAAGGTACAGTCAAAAGTAGCAAACGGCGACTGGTGGTATACTTCTATTGAGTTTATGTGCTACTCCTTGTCTATCCTCCAGTTCAAATATGTCGAGCATGACTACCGAAAAGATTGAAACTGTGAACATGGATGGAATATCTAGAAGGCCCCAGTTACGAGATTACATGGTGACTAAACTTGAACAAACTGTACAAATGGAATCACAAAAGCACTATTGAGGTTCGCGGAAGATGTGAGAAGCTCTTGCGTATGGGAACAAATGTACAAAAGTGTGTACCGATCACTGCTACGATTTGGGATTATGGCCAGAGGGGTTTTAGTAGATATGTTGGCATTGCGTCAAGAACAAAGTGTGTCTAGGAACCCCATGAACAGGCAGAGAGGGAGCCATGTTCAGTCTTACTCCTGTTCCTAGCTATCCATTGCAGAAGTCTTCGAATCCATATCGCTGATAGCGAGCGTTGGTCTCCAACCTACAAAATCTTCCCTCCTCAACATTCCCATTATGCCCGTGATTGAGATTTGGTGTAAGTGTATTTATGAATGCTAAACAGTCAAGAAGGTACGCAGAATTAGGAATCAAAACGATATATTAGACAATTGGTTGGATCATCTCAATTCCGTGCGGCACAAACCACTTGTTGCCAAATCACACGCTAAACTGCCCTCGAGCACCGTCCGATTGATCCATGAGTAAAAATAATATTAAAATATGTATAAGTAAGCTCGCCTCTTCGAATACATCACTGGCTTTCTTCGAGATCGACCCTGAGATATTTCATTTCTCGCAGTTGCGGATGTAGCGCTTCTTCAAGTCACGAATATCGGAAGGTACCCGTCCGGCAGTCAGATGTGGATTGAGATGCCGCCAAATGCTGCAACCAGAACACCTCTCATAACTGCCTTTATGTATGCGGAATATGGAGCACAACTTAGTCAGAACAAGCTGATACAGTCAAGCAACCCAATTGTTGCTGTTGCTCCGTACGATGATACTAGAAGAAAGCAGTTTACATATGCTGCCTAAGCAGATGGCTGCTCTACTCATCTACTCTTCATATATGTATCCACGATCTTCTTCGCTGGTATCACGCGACTGGAAAAAGTCTCACTTGCAATGTTGACGGTTACTAACTAGGTACCGTGCCAATAGTAAACTGTCACTCACTAGTTAAGTATTAAGCGCATTTGACGTAGTAATGTATATAATGTCTTATAATTTAGCAAAGATATATAAATTAGTAATATTAAAGTTAAAAACTATAGTATACTTATTACTTTATAATATAAAAAAGTAGGTAAACTATTATTTATTTACTTATAAAATCTACTTATACTAACTACTTATAAAAATTTTACCTTAAAAAATAAAAATAAAAGCTTTATAATATTATTAAAAAAATTTTTAATAAGTTTTTAGATACAGTAGGGGCAGCTTTTTAATAATTTTATTAAGTTGTTACACTAAAGCAGTAGATAAAGAGCAGTAGATAAAGAGCAGTTACTGGTGAAGTACAGCCTTGGATAGGTGGTTGATGTTCCGTAACCCTCCCTTTTTCTTTACAAAAATACCTCGCCAATCCGGCTCGCCTATGACGGGGACATCTCTTCGGGTGCAATGACTAGGAACATGCTTGCTTTATTCTACCATTATGTGTTTGCTGGAACGGCGTCTGTACACTTTTAAGTTGCTGTTGGCTGCATGGCAGTGCCCGGCGGTCTTGAAGAACTTTACGACCCTTGCGCGCCGGGTTGGATTACCAAGACACCCCATGCTGCTGTCATCGCGGCGGCCGGTCTGTCATCCATTCCCAATTATAGCAATAGGTCAGACACAAGGAGTCTATGCTTCCTCTTCCAGGCTTCCACACCGTCGAGGCCATCGTTCGTCAGTTTTTTGTAAAGCATGTCAACTGTTTGGCCGCTGCGGCGGGAGGGGGTTCTTAGGATATCGCCGCGAGGGAGCGATGGGAATTAGAGACAAGAGTACAGTATAGAAGCCTATTGCTGAAATGGGGGGAATAGGCTCTGAGAATGAATCGCCGTTGGTTTTTCTGCTACGTGGGCGTGAGCATGATGAGGCAGACTTCTCTACCTACCTCAGCTCAAATCCCCAAATACACACATTGAGATTGCTCAGAAGTGATAGAACTCTTGGTGGGTATATTTTGTACGGCTGTTCAGTGTCGAAAACAACACTTGTTGTACCATATGCAGGCCGCGCCGGAATGATTGCTTTTTCGGTATGGAGATATTGTGTCTGCTCCCATTGTTTGTTATTCAGCGTAGCGCGAGAACCTGCATTGGACATGAAACGCGGACATAGAGCTATCATTCGGGTGGGGTGGAGAGAAGAGTGTACTGGGACAGGGCGTCGTGGGGGTCGCATCGGCAGCGCGCCAGATCTCTGTTTTCTCCTTTTTAGCGGTGTAATCGTTACAATATCAACATTCAGTCACGGTTGACTTTCCTGTGCCGTTCACCACTACGTGAATTGCGAAAATTTGACTTTTTCTTGTTTATGTTCATCGGTCGATTACTTAAACGCCAAGTACCGCTGAGTCGGGTTATCTGCTCCTCTTCATATGCTTTTTTGTACCAGGTATATACGTTGTAAGAGACTGATCAAACTTAGACGTTAAAACCAGATACAAACATACTGCCAATCTCTAAGGTACGGTGTCAGGGTTGCGAGCTGGTTTAGTTGTCAGGGCAGTGGTTGTGGCGTCTGCGTGGGAAAGATTCGAGGTGTTTTGGGAAATTGGATGGTGTGGAGATTCAGATTCCGACCGACGTTGAAGAGACGTATTATGAGTGATGAGTTTCTGTGATGTTACTTTGTTCTGCTTCAATCTGTTCAGTCATATTTACGAGGGGTGGGTGCCATCGACAAGTACTGGGTGTATGACTGTCGGTTTCGCCTGTGGGTGCCATCAATATTGCCACTTGAGACGTACCTGCTTTTTTCATCGGCGCATAAGGGGGTAGCTTGAACTACTTGTAGCAGATACTATCGGTTTGTGCGTCTTTTGGGCCTCTTCTGTGCCTCGGCGTTTCCCACAAATCGTAGGTGAAATGTATGTGTTCGGCGCCGGCTGTAGTATACAGTCCTTTCGTCGTATGCACCTTTTATCGCTCGTCAAACAGCTTGTAATCAGGTCAGGCTTCCGATAAGTATTGTTTTAATTCGAGGTGCTTACTTGCCGTACCGGATAACAGTGACATGGGTATTCTCGTGCGACTGGACACGCTTGGTGTCGTGCTCCTACTCCTCGTCGATTGAATTATCCTAAAGTCTGCTGCGCGATTAATGATCTCTTTTTAGTCGCCAATAGACTCTATGGACATCTCGGGAATGCGATATGATGAAAAACACACCTTTGTCTGTGGACGGAGCGGCTTTGAAGCCGATCTTTCCGGCTCAATCAAGCGACATTATGCAATACTGCTGTGCGCGTATGGTATCTCGGACTTGATACTGCGGAGTCTCCCAGGGCTCATCAGTCCCTGCGAAATGATTTTGGTGTCGCGGGGTCATGCTGCGAGTTCGCCAGGAGCTCTGTCGCCATCAAGTCGTTTCGCGCTGTCTGCATTCTTTCCGTTTCTCTTCTGGGGCCGGTTGCGTCTGCTGTACGATGACTGCCTGATAGATCCGTCTGCATATCGAGGGAGAAGAGTGTTGCTGGTGGGCTGTCATACGGTGACGATGGGGGGACGGGTATAGGCGTGGTGCATCTGGTGGTGAGGGCGCGGGAGGTCAGTGCTTGTTGCAGCCGCAGAGGTCGGCTGGTAGGCTATCCATGCATTCAAAAAAATCAGAATCACGTCGCAGCAGTGATGACTCGCCAGCTGGAGGTTAACGCGTCTTTCATGCTTGATACCGGTAATTTTGCGGTTTTCAAGGCGTTTCTCGACACTGCTGTCTAACGCAGGAAGACGCAATTGGCAATATCTGAGGCAGATGTGCTGTGAGCTCGCTGCTCGAGTGGGCATATAATTCACTCCAACAAGGTAAACGGCGTGCGGCCAACACGGACAGCACGTCTCTGATGATTGCTCTACATCTTCATAATCGCCACAGCCTCAAATCACCAAGTCACTGTTTTCATGTCCAAAAGATGGATCTCCTCTATATGCACGCTACTCCCAAGCAAGGCAGCTCATTTCACCACGCGTAGCATGATCTGGAGCTACATGTTCACATTGACGCAATCAAGAATTTTGTCCCAATCCAGAGCATGAATCTCTCACTGCTGGGTTGCAGCCGCACATCCTCCATTACTTGACCGCCGTAGATGAGAGTCCCCGTTTCTACTCCAACTGCCGCAATTTATTGAACGTGCAAAATTAGACCTTACCTCAGAAATCACCTTTTGGACTGTACAAAATGAAGGAGCATTCGAGATTGAGCGACGTATGATATGCCGCACAAAATACCTCGCTAACATCAGCGTCTACTCGACTTGCGCTTCCAGCTGTGCAATGGGAAAGAATTTCCCACTCAACAAATAATCAATCTTTCCATGTATACAAATGAGTTGCATGTGAATGAATTGATGTCAGAGTAGATGTCGTTGTGGTAATATTATGAATTAGTGGCTACGCGGCGGCGGTGAAACAGCACAATAAGTTAATCCATCGACAGTGGTGATATTTCTACACGTTTGGGAGATTGGAGGTATTCATTTCAATATTGAATGACGGAGAAAACTTAGTGACGGGCAATCCTTCTTTCTGCCGACATAAGTGTCTACATGCCAGGAATAGAAGTCTTTCTCAATGAGACATGATCTGAAGTTTGCTGGTTGTATCTATTGTGCGTTCCCAAGTAGTCTGAATATTCAAAGACAATAGTCGGTCTGTATCTCGAGTTACACAAGTTCTTCCACTCCCTGCAAGTGGTGTTCCTGCCATACACTAATCAAATCCCCATCCACACTTCTACAACACAGATAGCATGGACAATAGCAACCTCCCCTGCCCTTTCAATTGACAATTGGCCAGCGGTGTGCAGGTGAATTGACCTTCTCGGCCACACATAGCTATTGTAAAACTGAAAGAAGACCGCAAAGCCGCAGAGACCCACTTGTACCACGTCCAGAGCCCTGTAGATAGTAAAAGTGAAGGCAAAACTCTCTCACGATGCCACCTACCTTCACCTTGACTTGCTATCCCAGCTTCCTCACCCAGTATAAGATTTCCTCGCTGCCTCATTCTTCTACCTTTTCTCCTCCAGCAACACAAGCCTCAAGTCCATACCATCAACAGCAGCAGCAGCAGCAACAGCAACCCCAACAACACCACCAACACCACCACGACCAACAACAACATGTCTTTCCCGGCCAACATCCTCAACTGTCTTGCCGGTATTCGAGCCGGCATCCGCCGTATGCTGGGCCGTCGTCGCCACCAAGCTCCTTCTCCACCACCGCCACGAGCACGGATGCGTACTCCCACCCCCATCCCTCGCTCTTCGGATCTGGTCCGCGCGTCTTCTCCTCCTCCCCCCCTTCCAGCTCAACCATCTTCTTCTTCTTCTTCTCCTCTCCCTCCTCTCCCCCCCTCTTCTTCTTCTTCATCATCTTCTTCTCTCCCTCTCCCTCCTCTTCCGACTTCTCCCCCTCTCCCATCTTCTCCTCCACCATCATCCTCGCCTCCAGGACTTTCTCCTTCCGGATCAAGCTCACCACCGCCGTCGTCGCCCCCAGGACCACCACCACCACCACCATCTCAACCTGGTTCAAGCCCAGGTTCAGCCCCGCCATCCTCTCCGCTCCCCACCTACCCTCCCTCCTCTCCACCGCCGTCCTACCGCACGGCACCATCTCAACCCGCGTCGTCTCTGGCCGCCCCTTCCTCCTCGCCACTTCGCCCGTCGTCGACTCCACCACCATCTCTCCCGCCAGTCCCGCCCTCCTCTCCACCCCTCCACCCCTCTTCTTCTTCCTCTCCCTCTTCTTCTTCTTCGCCGCGTCGTGGGGCGCTCGATGCGGAGGAGCTCGCGGATCTTCTGCGCTTGCTGGAGGAAGAGTGAGAAGGGTCGGTGTGACTTTCACTGTGGGCATCCTGTCATCACCTTGGATAACTTATGCTAACTTGAAATTTCAGAATCCTGAAATCGGGCTACTATCGACGCTGCTGCTGGGCCGTGTAGCAATCTGCTGTCTGGGATAATTCCTAGGCTTTATTGTCGGTATTCGGGATATATTTTCTGGGTTTTTGTCTTTTGGGTGTTTGGTTGATGGGACATGATACCCCCTTTTTCTTTTGCGCAGGACTTCCCGGCATACTCAATGATACCCATTTTCCTTCTTCTTCAAACTTCGTATGATGATGTGCCGTGAAACGTGTGAAGCTATGTGGTGATGAACTAACATACTTTTGAGGTGTATTGGGACGACAGGATCCAGTGAAGTTGCGTGAAAGTATGGGATGATATGGAGAATGTGATGTTGCTGCCTATCCCATCCTCACCCAGTATTCTCGAGACGAATCAGTGATGTAGTACGTTTCCATGGGCATTCGAAGGTATATTTGGATGCTAGGATGTGTCGTGCGAAGTAAATCTCGCAGATTCTCGCTCGTCTCGGAAATCGCTGTGGTGGTGGACTTGGCGTCGGTGTCCGACTACGTACGCGTCTAGTTGTGAAACAACACCAGTACAAACCTGCACATAAAAGTAGTAACACACCGCATCATGATTGGACCGCATCAATGCAATTGTCCGTCTCACTGCGCTCAAAAGCTGGAAACAACATTAGACCTACAGTAAAAAGGACCGATGGGTGCAGATTGAAGTCGTATTAACGCCTAAACGGGTGGTGTATTGCCGTTTGAGTGTAATTGTCAAAGTATTTTGGGGGCCACACAGCCACATTGAGCGGACTGCGGAATTTTTCCGTGTTTCCATGTCAGCACGAGCAGTATGAACGTCTAAACAACAGTTTCAATAAGCGCAGTGTATTGCAGAAACTCCAGCGGATCAGTAAACAATTGATTTTAGATCTGGCGTTACTAACCGAGGAGGATGAGGCTGTACACTGCGAACACGAACCACGGAATCCAAAACTATGACTTTGGTATAGCTTCAAGGCATGATGTGATTCATGTGAACCACCGTGGTATGCTCCGATGTCCATCACTCGCCCGAGAGAAACACACGCTTGTGGGAGAAACAACGACGACGACGTACACCGTCGTATCTACGCGGCATGGTAATGCGAAGACGGCGACTACCATCCAGCCAACGGTAAATATCTCTTATTCGCACGAAAAGGATGTTCCCAACTCCAGGTGGAATGGACAAAACAGAGCAGTTCATCGCTGTATATAAACCCTCGACGTTGCGCTCGTTATATCCTCATCACGCAACTATCTATTTTCTTCATCACGCTCATTACAAACAACACCATCACCAACACTCTTTTACCAAACCCAACAACCTCCAGCATCCCCTTCCCTACATACCAAGAGAAACATCAAACTCATCCCATATTTCAACATGCACGCCTTCAAAGCCCTCATCGTCGCCATCTCCACCCTCGCCGTCTCCGACGCCACCTACGTAGTGCGTCACCACCTCTCTCCTCCTCCTTCCCCTCCTTCCCAACACCCTGCAAAAGAAAAAAAAAAGAAAAAAAAGGAAAACGAGCACAGCTAACCCTCCTCCCCCAGCGCGCAAACAAAGGCTGCGTAGTCGCAAAAGGCCAGAAGCTCTGCCAGGGCAAATACGTCATCGTGTCCGGCCAGATGGACATCATGGCCTGCGTGGAAAAGACTCCCAACGGGCAAGTCGCAAACTGCAAGTGGAGCGGCACGATCCCTGAGAACTGGGAAAAGGCCTTCTTTGGAGAGGACAACTGCGTCTACGGCGATGGCAAAGATCGTGAGTAGTAGCCTATGAACGGAGGTGTGAATTTGGCAGACGGGATGCTTACGACGCGATTTAGCTATTAAACTTGGCTGTGCTGCTAGCATTACTAGCACCCCCATCTCGCCCATCTACTAGGGGAAGGTTGGATAGAAGTGATGAAGGGATTGTTGGCGGGGTTGCCGGAGTGTCCGTATTAACGAACAACATGTGGATGATGGAAAGCTGAGGGGAATTTGGTTCTAGGGTGGATGGGTTGTTTAATCATTTTTGTGAGAGTCTGGCTGGACTTGTCCATTCCTTTTTATCATCATTTAGACGCGTGCTATCATCAATGGTAGAGGTTGAATGGAATTTCTGCTTTCATTGCATCTGTTTGTACAACAAAACATGCATACTTGTGCTGGCCGCCTGCCGGATTGAACGACGTAGTATGGAGCCCAAAACCAATTGACACCTTATTTGAAGACATACACGCCGCGCAAGTTGAATGGGCACTACAGTAAAGAAATCATGCATAGTATTAGAATGGCGACTATGTCCAACCCTGATCTGTTCAATATCCTCCCAACATCTTTCCAGAACCCATCCCTTTTCAAACGGCGACAGTGCCGGCAGCAGTCATCCTGTCAGCGGGGGTGATGCAGAAGACTCTCTTCAAAATTGAAGGCATCAAAGATACCATTTTTCCCCGGCCATACGAGGGTTGGGTTGGCGCGCTGCTTCGTAAGACCTCGGATTGTCACCAAAATCCTTGAACTCCTGTTCAGAGTCGAAGGCATTCTCAATCTTGATGCCGGTGGATGGCTGTGGGAAGTCGATTCCCAGAGAAATCATCTCAGAGGTCAAATTGTCGATGTGAACTCCTTGAACTGCCAGTGTTGTCTTCGTCACTATTCAGACGTCTGTGGTTAGCACTTCCGGTACAAGACATGAGGGGACAATGGGAGATACTTACTCGCAGCCTAACCACTCCGTAATTCGCTGGCGCAACTCGCCGGAAAGCATACGATGCTCTTCGTTGTTTGCCGCATCGTTACTCTCTTCGGAATCGAAAGCCATCTCGATTTTGATTCCAGCGGACGGCTGTGGAAATTCGACGACAGTTTCCTGTATTTCCAGGAAAATCATCTTGACCTCAAATTGTCGATGTGGAAATCTTCAACAACTTTTCGCGGCTGACGATCCAGCTTGTGGCATCGATTGTTGTCAAGCTCCTGACCGCTGTTGGTATTCTCGAAGATTCACTCCCAGGCGTGTTGGGAGGAGAATCTTCCACACCCAAGGCAGACCACGAAGGACCCTCTGTTCCTTTTCTCCACCACAAACCACCGTCTTTGTGTTCTTCGACCCTGGGGTCATCGACCCGTGGATCTTCAACCTTGGTCTTCTCGACCCTTGGATCTTCAACCTTGGTGTTGTCGACCCTTGGGTTTTCAACTACTGGGCAGTATTAATCTGCAGCATGTGCAGATACATACTGCCCAGTAGTCTCGAAACGACCACTCCGGAAACCGGCAACCCTGTTCCTTTTTTCTACCACACCCGCCATCTCCGATATGTATGGGAAGCACACCTCTACACCACACTGGATGGTGTAGAGGTGTGCTTCCCATAATAACATCAAATCGATGCAATTGTTTTGTGAACGATCACGGGCATGTTGTCGATTGTAGCGGGTAGTCGTCTACCTGGGTGATGTTCCCCAAGCTTCGATGCAAAGGCACCAAAGCAAGGGAGATGACACCACCCAGGTAGCGGAGTTCGCTCTGTCCCTCCCGTCATGTGTGTTCTGTCCACGTCGCCAGTCAGTTTTCGTTATCTTTAATTAGAGGGGAAGATAAGTGCTTAACCCCACAATGGAGCCCTAGTCTTGCCGCTCGGCATGGCATCCGAGTCTCGATTCTGCATCTGGAGACTCTGGCGCCAGAGTCCCCGGTCTGTGTTGGCAGAAGCCGGGGCGCCCCAGTTTCGATTTTGCATTTGGAGACTCTGGCGCCTGAGTTACGATTCTGCATCTGGAGAATCTGGCGCCAGAGTCTCCCCGTTCTGTATGAACCGAAACTGGGGCGCCAAATCCTCTTTTGCATTTGGAGGATTTGGCGTCCCAGTTTCGATTCTGCATCTGGAGGATTTGGCGGAAAATCCTCTGAAAGATATAGTCGCGGGCGAGACTTGTATGTACACTTACCGGCCCCGACCGACCGGCACGGCACCTGAGTATCTTCTCTGCATTTGAAGAATCTGGCGAAAATTTTGGTCGGGCACCTTGAAAGTTGGTCTTTCAAGGTGCCCTCCCCTCCGCTTCTCCATAGAGAGCAAAGGGGTGATGCTCAGGGCTCATTGCCGGCCGATCGAGTGCCGGATCGTGCTGCCAAACACCGACAGCTGGCCGTCGAAACGGCGATGGCCACCGCCGCCGGGGCTGGCGGGGCATTGCTCGAGGTGCCCACGCCCCTCTCCGCGAGGAACAGTGGGCACGCTCGAGTCGCGGCTCGACGCACTGTCGTGATGTGAGTGTGAGGAAATGGAGAGGAGTAAGGGATGGTACGTACTGCCGAGGAGGCAGGGCATAAATACCCCGCAATGCCCGTGATGTCAGGCAAGTTTGCCGTCGCCTGACACCGCAGTGTCAGGCCGGCTGGGCTCGAAAGCCAGAGGGGTTACTGGTAGCTCCCTCGGTGAAGTGGGGGGCTCGAAAGCCGGTGTGAGGAGGATGGAGGAGATAAGAGACTTGTCAGTGGAGAGACTGACAGCCATGGAAAGCAGCAGAAACGGGAGAAAGGTAGGGAAGGAGACGAGCGGGGTGCTCTGTTGTGGGTGGTAAGTGAGGAGGAAGTAAGTGAGGAAGAGCTGGCGTTGCCTGCCTGGAGCGTAGCCAGCTGCCACGTCGCGTGACCTCCAGCTGGCGCTAAGCTTGCCTTGGGCGTGATATGAGAGAGGGGCACAGTAGAAACCGCAGTTCTGATTAGGTAATCGCTCTAGTTGCGTCTCCTGGTCTGGTAGGTATTGTGACGCGGTGCTGTGCTTGCTTGCCGTCTGCAGCTTCTGGAGGGCAGTTGGAAGGGGGACGATATAGAAGCGTTGACTGCTTGATCGTGCTGCCTGCTCCCCTTCAGCGACGCCTTGGGTAGCAGCGGGGTGTCTTCCAGCGCCAGAAAAGTAAGAGTGGAAACTGTGGAGTGCATGCTCATAACAGGTACAGTCGACTGTCCCTGACGATGACCACATCACGTCATAGAAGACGCCGACGTAACTGACAGCTCTCATGAGCAAGCCCGCAAAAAACACCACCTTATACACCTCCACTGACATCTCTTTCAGGCCACCATACTCCACAGCAGGAATTACTACAAGATACCTACCTCTCCCGCGAAGCACCGTCTACGCCGTCGAGATTCACCTCTCCACCCTCCTCCGTTCCATTCCCCCAGCAACGCAACCATGTCCCGCAAAATCCCCTCTCCAATCCAAACACTCCAAGAGCCCGACCGGCATAACCAAACGCCCTACCCGTCTCCCTCCAGAACGTGTCTCCTCACATCTTCTCATCCTACTTCCCCTCTCAGACCTTAAAACCACACACAAAAACCACATACAACTCCCCCCTTCCAAGCAAACTACTCTTACAGGAACCACAACCCACGAAACTCCAAACGCCAAAATAGAGCTCTCGCCCACAGCCTCCAGCGTCTCCCTCTCTTTTCGCCCCGCCGTCCAAGCGTTAATTTAACCAACGTCATCACCGAGCCGCACGCCCGTAGCTACGTCCCACGATTCTCTACTCCCCCGGAAACTCTATTTCCGTGCTATAGTACACAACAGCATCGAGATGAAGCTCTAACGCTTCCACCGCATCCAACAAGCACCACGGGTGGAGGAATAGTAGGGAGGTATATCATAACTCAAGGGAAGATGGAGTAGAGATATAAGAGTCAGGGGCGGGGAACAAGCGTGGGAAGGAAGGGATATGGCTTAGAAGGGGTTTATGTAGGACCGTCAACGGTAGTTGTAGTAGGTTCGGGATATGTAGGGACGTTGATGGGGATATTTGGACAGTGCTGGGAAGGAAAAGTGTCAAGGGGATTTGGGGAGAGAGTGCTTGGAACATAAGTGGAGGTGGACGAGAGATAGACAAGAAGGGTCGTGGAGAGGAAGTTGATAGCTATTAATGCATTTGGTTTCGTGATTTCGTTCGCATCATAAGATGTTGGTGTTTTCGCTGTGCTGCTCTACTGGGTATGCTACTCCCCCCATATCCCGCCATATATCTATCCATTTCTCTCCCTCCTTCTCCGCAACAAAACAACATGAAGGTCTAGTTATAAGCCTTCTTCTCCCCCTCGCCACTAACCTCGACAGTCTCGGCACCGCCCTTCTCCTCGCTAACCCTCCCCTCCTCAACATCCTTGGCCTCAACCGGCAGCGCAACAGGCGGGCCCTCAAACTCCCTACCCTTCTTCTCAGGCCCAAACGCAACCGTCACCGCGATGCCGAGCGCGATAATCGCCGTCGCGATCCCCATGACAGGTCCATACGCATCGACGGGTTTCCCCGTCTTGGTCGACTTGACAAAGTGCGACTCGGCGATCGCATTCACGATCTGCGCGGACGGCGAAGAAATCATGTTGCCGAGCTGGTACGTGATGCCGGGGAAAGAAGAGCGGAAGGCAGGTGGTGAGAGTTCGTTGAGGTGGATGGGGATGACGCCCCAGGCGCCCTGGACGAAGAACTGGATCATGAAGCCGCTGGCCGAGAGGCCGGATTCGGTGGTTGGGATGATCCACGCGGGGATGAGGCAGGCGGAGAGGAGCGCGGCGACGATGATGGAGCGGCGGCGCCCGAACCATTGCGAGATGTAGCCGATGATTGTGCCGCCGACGCAGGCGCCTGTTTTCATGAGGATGGACGCGCGCTTGGATCCCGAGTCGGAGAGGCCTTTTTGCGTCCTCATGAACGTTGTGTACGAGTCCTGGGAGGTGTGCGAGTAGTAGTTGAACTGGCATCACTGTTAGACATATTCCCTTGATGTGATTTTGAAGATAGGGAGAGGGGAAAGAACGTACCCAAGTCATGAGGATGATGCAGTAAACGCACATGCGCCACTCGAGCTTGAGCATCTTCTTGGTCTCCTGCCAGAAGATTCCCGGCGCTTTCGCGCGCTTGCCGGCCTTTTTGGCTTCGATGAATTGGCGGGATTCAGGGAATGCGATGCGGATGAGGCCCACGCCGATGGAGACACCAGCGCCGCCCCAGAAGACTTTCTTCCAGGATTCAGTGTCGCTGCCGACACCGAGACTGGCGCAGGCGGCCATGACGTAGCCGAATGAGTAACCTTGCTGGAGAATACCGGACATGAGACCTCTGGCGTTGGTTCTGTGTGGGATGGTCAGTTTATACGGGTTGTGAGAAGGGGACTTGGCGAGGGAGCTTACGGGCAGTTCTCGAGAGCCATGGCAATTGCGTTTCCGTATACACCACCCATGAACAGACCGAAGAGACTTCGCACAGCCAGGAACTGCTGGAACGTCTTGGAGTAAATGGTAGCGACCTGCAGAAGACCGAGAATGATCATGTTGACAACCATGGGCCACTTGCGACCCCACTTGTCACCCGCGAAACCGAAAATGGCAGCGCCAATGGAGCGCAGGAGCAGGGTGAGCGTGATGGCAGTCGTGATGTCGGTGTTTGTGCGCTTGTAGTATTTGGCCAGTGTGGTGGTTTGGATGGACAGGGCATGGAAGTCGAAGGCGTCGGCGCTCCACGCGCAGAAACCAACGACGAAGAAGAGCCAGTCCTTTGCGCTGAGCTGCGCCATGAGGCTGATTGGGTTCTTCAAGGGCTCGGGCGTCTGCCATTCCGTGTGCTCCTCGCCATACTCGTTTCTCACGACGACTCGTTGCTTCCAGATGAACAGGTCACTCCAGGCCTGCTTGGCAGTCGCAAGAGTGCCCTTTGCGAGGGGGTCTGCGGGCTCATTGACGCCAGACATGGTTGCTGTATTGGAGCTGATCTGGCGGGAGGGTATCTTGAAATTGAGCAAAAGATAAGAGAGAAGGCTCGACGCAGATGGAATATCGAGCGGACTCCAGGACCTGCAGAGCTGGCAAGCCGACAGCGCGGATCTCGGGCTCTATATAGGTTTTGGACGAGTGCTTGTGGGAGCTGCATTTGGAAGGGTCATCTGTTACCGTATCGATGAACAGTGTTGGGTTGCCCAGACATGCCAAGTTGGCTAGCACAGCAGGTCGCGGAGCATGTTGCATGAGCAGGGGAACGAGGGCGGTCAGCCAAGGCAGCTAAGCATCGTGGGCGCATTCAAGAACGAAACAGCGTCGAGGAGCAAGCAGGGTGGGAGGCGTCAGGGATGGGGGAGCCGGGCGGTTATTGGGTGCACGATCCAGATCCCTCCCCCGTGGGGATTGCAAGCTGTGCATAACGACAGAGACCAAAGGGAGGAGAAATATATGGGTACGGTGCCACATGTGTGTTGTGCGTAGGATTTGCGTGGATCTCATCCGTGCTACGCGCTCGCTGCTTTTTGTGGAATCATGGTGCATGCATGAGAGACAGCTGGAGAGTGACGCTGTAAGCACAACCCCCGGCACTCAAGCACAGCACAGCTCTTTCTTCCCCCACGAACGACCCGTGACCCATCTTGATCCGACTCAAGCTCTGCGCCGAGGGCGCGACCGTTGAAGTTTCCATCCGCTTGTGGCGTCATCTTCTCCCTCTCGCGCAGCAGCTTCGCAAGTCTTGAAACGCAAAAAGCTCTCTCAAGAGTCTGGGCTGGCGGGCTTGGCTGGACGGCGTATTTTCCTCTCTGTGTCTTTTCCTCGTCCTGTATCGGAGCTTGGAGGTGGGCTGCAAGTCACCCCGCTTTGGGGACGGATACGATGGGCTCGGTTGGACCGAAGCTTCAGCCATTCCTTGTGCGCCCAGAGGCGGGCGTTGGACGAGGAGACGGCTCGTGGCGCGGCCAAGGCTCGAGGCTTGCAGCTTGCGAATGCGTGACTCCGTCAGCCAAGGGTTCTTGGGCGGGCTTCTTTTGAGCCTGCGGGGGGCGATCGCGGTGATTTGATATCATGATGATGGTGAGATTTGATGATGGTTGTGGTGGTGGTGGTAGTAGTGGCTGATTCATCCGCTAGATGGCTCAAATGCACTATCTACTGGGCAAAGGGAACAAAAGGAATTGCACACGCAGGAACAGATTGGAGGTGTAACAATATGTAGGTCAGTCAATAGATAGGCACACATTTGAGTTGTAGTAGTCAGGTATGTTGTACATGGGCATGCAGTGTGCGTCCATTCCTGACTCACCGCACGGAGTGATGGAGTGGGTGCATGCAATGGATGGCACAGTAGGCTGCTGTTAACCTACTACATACATACGATTCATGCAACCTTTCTCCACACACCTCTCCTCCGCATTCAGTGACAAAAGAAAAAGCTCCACACAAAGTCAAACAGTGGGCCGATGTTTTGGCTGACTGTTCGGGACCCTCTCGAGCCGGCAATGGAGCGCGGGAAACATGCTGGCGGGCGGCCTTGAGCTCAAGCGGACGATGGACATGACAAGCCCGGGGCTCGTCTTCTCTCCTTGACCAGTTTCTTCGCGCTCAGGTGATATCTCGACCCAACCCCAGCCACAGACTCCACGATGATTGATGCGGCTGCAACACAAGGGACATTATGGTGGAGAAAGCTTTTGCTTGGCCCGGGCGCTTGTGCGGGGGAAGACATTGGCAGCCGAAGAAGGGCCTTCGAGTTCCAACCACCTCACCTCCATCACCAACTGACCTCTGCCTATGTTCTTTTCCCCCATCCGTCCGTACGCCCCTTGTCATGGGCAGAGCCGCAACGACTTCCTCTTCTTCACCCTCGTGACGAGCGCTGTTGATTCGGAGAACCGCCCCAGATATGGCATCGTTTGGCCTTGGCTTCCCCACCGTCTTCCCGCCCCCAATTGCGATACCAACTGCGATAAGACGACAACCCTCTAATATCCTCCCAGGGACACGATAGCGGACGAAAGAATGGCCATCTGCGCTCAAATCCGCGAATTTCCAGCCAACAATTGGGAGGCAAAAGTGCTTTCCTCCTCACCGTTCCATCAAACCGCCGCCCCACGCACGCCACACGTAGCAAAGGAAAAGTCCCTGCATGCTATCTGTTCCATCCATCAAAACTTTATCCTCGTGCTTCGCTTCACCTTCCGACGCCACGCTTCCTTTTTGAAGGCTCTCACACACTGTTTCAAACATCTCGTCTGTTTCAAACATCTCCGCTAGTGACGCGGACCTGGACGCCGGGATTGTCGCGCAGCGTCCTCGCCTCATCTTTCCTTTCTTTCCACATGTCCTCTTTCCTCGTACTTTTTGTTTTTGCGATAGCGTATGTCTGTCCCTGTTTTCTTCTGCGCCAGACCTTCGATTGTCCGCCTTATCGCTGTTGCAAGAAATGCGATCAACACCAGCCAAACCCTCCCCTGCGTTCTACCAAACCGCCAATCGACCTGCTCGGCAACATTGTCCCATCTTCTGAAAAGAAGCTGAGAAATGTAGAGATCGAGTGTGAATCCGAAACATGATGTATAGAGGACAAGACAGACAGGCGAACAGACATGACGCGGCACCAGTATCTGTCCCCCCATGATTCGTATTTACACGTGCAAGTCAGTGTACATATGTCGGTGGTATCATCACGATAAGATTTCATCTACATCTGTAAGAGGAAGAAAAGCACATGTACAGTATATATGTACAGCCTGCAAGAAAAGTCTTCCATCAAACGCGTAGCTCGACTCTATGGGTTTCCCCCCCGCCCCCTTCTGTCTCCTTCTCCATTCCCTTATCTTCTCTCCTTGCACACCCCAAGCCTACTACGAAGACGAGGAGGAATAGAAGAAATGCCTCACCCGCCCTCGGCGGCCTTGGTAAGCGCCTTGGCACACACTCTTCTGTTCCAATTCCTCTTGTGCCAGATTGTGACAACTGTATGGATAAAGGGTACAAGTCGAAAGGGAGGCGCTACTGCAGGTGCTGGAGTTCTTGGATCTCTTGGGTATGTTTGGGTCAGTTATCGAGTTGGATGCGACGGAGTGGGTCAATACAAGGATGGGAGAAGAATTCTGCCGAAGTACTGCCGGGTGTAGTGGAGAGCCTTTTGAAGACGAGCTCGAGGGCTGGGGTTTCTCTTGCACTGTAGGAAAATATATCTGTATGGATTTGTAGTGGTGATTTGGGGGACAAGGTCGGTCTTGGTGACTGGATGAGACTGGGCTGTTTGGCTGCGGTAGAGGTTGTTGGAGATGAAAGACGGGGCTGTGGAGCTTTGCTAGTAGAGGTCTGGCAGGATGGGTGGTGCTTGGCTGCGAGTAGGCGTTCTCTGGAGGATCTATCTGTCTGGTGCGTTAGTTGAGAAGGCGATTTGCTTACCGCTGTGATGTGTAGCGGGAAGAAGCGTGTAGAGGATGCTCTCCGCGGCGAAGACAAGCGATGGAGAGAGGGCAAAGCTTCCGAGGTAGGCGAGCTAAGTATGTAGTGTAGATGGAGCTACCCCTCTCCCCTACTCCTACTCCCTCTACTCCTACAGTGTGTGCTTGTACCCCTACTCGTACTTCAAGCAACCCCCCCACACCGGTTCCATGGTACAGTACTACCTTTGAGCCGACGATTGGATCCCTAGAGCATACGCCGCTGGATACTGAGCGTACGACAAAGGTTCCAATTCTGTTGGATTTCCTAGAACCCCGCGACCAATCCGAGCACTCCCACCTACCGTACAGTGCGCCCGCACATGCAAAAAAGAGATCGGCATACAATATTTCCTGTTTCGATCGAACCGCTTCCATCCTCCCTTACTCGAACTACACCCGTTCCATAAATCGAACAATGGCTACGCAAGAAAGCACCCCTACTTCAAAGGATGGCACCCCTCAGCCGAGAGAAGAAGATGTCGCCAGGCACAAGATATCAACGCAAAACACCCAGTACGATCAGATCGGAATGCGCTACAATAGCATGCATGACCTACCGGCCGTGCAGCCTGAGAAGCCGTCAGTAGTGACAGTCTTGGGGGACGTGAAGGGGAAAAAGTGTCTTGGTGCGTTCAACTCCCTTTGCTTCATACAAATGGATAATAGCGATCATCTCCTGCACTTCCGCCGTGCGATCAACAACACCCTACACTCTTCTCCCAGAAAAAAAAACACAAAGAAAACAACCCCTTCCCCCAAATCTGCTCCTTCCAGGCTGATCTCGCAACCCCGCTTGAAAAGACCTCGCCTGCGGCACAGGCCGCTACACCTCCCTCCTCTCCACCCTCGGCGCAACCACCGTCCACGGCTACGACATCTCCACCTCCATGATCGCCGGCGCAACCTCCACATACCCACCCTCCACGCACCCAACCCTCCATTTCGCAGTCGCAGATTGCAGCAATCCCTCCACCCTCCCAAGTCCCCCCCATTCCTTCGACATCGTGTTCGCGGGCTGGTTCCTCAACTACGCAGGCACCGCCCGCGAACTGACAGATATGTTCCGCGTCATCGCCTCGCAGCTCTGCGTCCGCTCTCCGCACTCCGAGAGCAAAGACGGACATGGTCGTGGTGGGAGATTTGTAGGTCTCACGACTAACGGCGGCGACCCGGACATGAAGGCCCCGAAACATGACTTCTACGGCATCGAGGTTGTGGTGCTTGATCCAGCTTATCGCGATCCGGAGACGGGTGTTGAAGTCGGGATCAAAGCGCGGGTTGTCGCGAGGACCGAGCCAGAGGTCCGGTTCGATGTGTTCCAGTTTACGAGGGATGTTTATCAGAGGTGTGCCGAGGAGGCGGGGTTGGTGGTTCGCTGGCGGGATGTTGTGCTGCCGGAGGGTGAGGAAGAGAGGAAAGAGCAGGGGTATTGGGAGAGGTTTCTGGAGCGGCCGACTTTTGATGTGCTCGAGGCTTGGAGGGCGTGATGGATACAGTTTTTAGTATCGGTGGCACGGGGACGATAGTTGGAGGCGACAGAGGAAATTGAGGGAAATCGTGCCGCGGGAGTAGGCTGTGGGTAGTCGTCAAGTCTCTGGTGTCTTGCCCCGTCTCTCTTCCCGTACAATGAGCCACCGTCTGGCTCACCCCGCGAGGTCGCCATAGAAGAAAGCAGCCCCTTCTCGCAGCCCTTCCTATAATCATCCATCTTCACATGTTCTTTTCCCTGTGTTGTAATCGTCTTGCACGTGTCCTGAACGCTACGTTCTTGTATCAACGCTCCAAACTCTCGGTCTAGAAACTACCCGGGCAATCATCGACCGGCCCAGGGATTCATACTTCGATTTCATCCCCCATAATCTTACTCCATGTACGTTTTGAATCATCGCTGATAGCCGGCCCCTCAGCTACAAGATCAGCTCAGCTAAGCTGTGTTTTCGAACAAAGCACATGTTTGAGGTGGCTCTCGTTCCCGAGCTTCGTGCTCCGAGTCCTTGTTGTCAATTGATGATTTGGAATCCGGCACTGCTTCAAAACTTCATGATACTATAATCATTGCGATTAATATCGATCGCAAGTGATTTCAAGAATAAGGGATACTTACTCTGCTATTTCCAAGTCCTGCATCGCAGCCGACTTGCAGCGAACATGGGACAGCTGCGGCATGCTTTCGATAGTCTTTGTCCTGGGTGACAGAGCTTGCGCTTCTAATATTGCGTAGGTGGGCTTGCGAGAGGGTGTGGGGTGGTTGGAGCGATTGCTGTTGTTGGGCGGAGGAGGAGGGATGCGCGAAAGCTCCACCACGTCTAAGTCCCTCTCAAGACCAGAGTAAAATGTGTGCTAAGCCGTACCCACGCATAATAACATACGAATTGAAATTCTGCCAGCAGATAGCATGTGTTTGCATTTTATGTATAGCGTGATTTCTGTGCTTGAACAAAAAAAAAGTGCATTCGTCGGCCTCGGGTAATTTCATGTACATGTACACTCTTTCTTTACATTGATATTTCAAAGCAGCAGTTGCCACTCACTATATACATAAAATAAAGTAGGAAAAAAAAAGAATGAATGAAATCAATACAGCCAGCTACTCCATAAGGCAAAAAGAATTGAACGGCGGTATCTGTCACACTTTTTAAGTTTGCTATGTTCTGTACCATCAACCCAACCTAGGCGCCACCCCAGATCCTTGCGATATTATTGATTTGGACTCATGAACAACATCCAAGAATTTCAAAACCGCATACAATATTGTGAATAGTAGGGATAGCGATGGTTAGGAACTACAATTGTCTGTCTCCAAGCTCACTCACTTGATCCTCCCGTGCCCTCTCTTTGAAGCATTGCCCCACCCAACACATCCACAACCCTTGACCCAAAAAAAAAAAAGATAGCGTGCATAAAATAATACATATTACTAGAGCAAAAAAATCCGCAAAAAAGAACCGAACTCGGGTACTCCCTACACTTTCAGAAGTTAGCAGCTGTTCTGAAACCATCGATCCAACCTGGGAGCCACCCCAGGTCTTTACGATGAAAGGATTCCGATTTACTTAAGCTATATAGGGCTTCTGAAAAGCCTCATATTGGATAATAGAGGGGGATAGGGTGGGAGGTGAGGTGAGGTGAGGGAGGTCATAGCTGGAGGGGAGAGGCACGTGCGGGAGGCAACGACGTGGCGACGTAAACAACACGCTCGTATTGAGAGGACTTTGCTAATTACTTTGACGTGGAGGGGCAATTGGACTATGCAGTTTGTCTCCCATCTTGAGATTGTATGACATCTACTTTTGGGGGCATGGACTTGGGCGTCTTCTTCTTTGTGATACTCAGGTAATTGCAACTCGAGGCAATAACGCGGCAAGGCATTGCAACGAGCCGCAGCTAGAAAGTGATGAGAAGACTCGTGGAGTAAGCAGTTCACTGGCAGGGAGCTTGGTTTTACGATGTACGACCGCAGTATAAGCATTTGCATGACCCTTGGAGATGTAAACCTTGAGAACGTCCGCCTAATCAAACAACATACAAAACACTGCCTAGGAGTGCCATCCTCATTTAATCCAGAAACTACTCAGTCGATCGCAGCTGGCCTTTGTATGTTCTCGGAGGCTGAGAGGCAAATGAGGGTTTGCGCGGGCCCTTGGACTACGAAAAAAACACTAAGTACCCGAGACGACAACAAGAAGAGCGTCACACAAACTTGCAGGCTTTGCAACACTCCACAGCCCGATTGCCTCCCGAAATCACAACGCCATCTTGCCCTCGGGTACGTGCCGTCAGCTATGCTACAACAGCAAAGTCACCGAAGCTAACAACACAAAAGCCTTAGCCCATTCAATACTCCTCGCCCAATCTGTCGCTACCTCCATTTCATCACCTTCGCACTCCCGGCGCCGAGCTTTTTTTGACTCACGAGAGACAGCAGATCGATAACACCAGCAACTCGCCGCTGCAACTTCCCCCGTTCAGTCTCTGCCGTGACGACTTCTTATCCTCCGCACACTCCTAGCGACACGCGCAATGCCCTTCTCCCCCGCGAAGTCGGAACACTCCGACACCCATAATATGTTCCCGGATCATCTTTCCGCGAAAACTGTGCACCGTACGGATCGCAAAGCCATATACCTCATTACGCGCAGGACCCGCCCGATAGATCGCGATTCGAAGAACTCCACCTGTCACTTTCAACGGCATGCATACGGCTATGCGCGGGAACTTCACAAAAATCGTCACGATTGGCCGTTGGCGAAGTCAATCTATAAAAGTGATGAAGAAGCCGAAGCTCCATTGTTGAGCGAGCATGTTGCGACAGAGGCCCGTCGACCTATTGCAGGTCGAGTTCCCCATAATCGCATTACCAACTACGCGTTTACCAAAATCGTTGCCATTAATACTGCTGGCAGTTGTAAGGTATCTTGGGGACTCTCCTTCGGTCCTTGGAAACCCATTCGAAGATCATTCGCTAAGTCCACACTTCCAAGCTCCTCATATGCAGACTAGGCCTAACGTGAATGAATCAATAGCTTTATGCGCTCGCGGATTCAACTATGCATATCACTACGAAGTAGCCGCGAATCCTACCGGCTCGTCTATCATCGTAGTTCCCATAAGGCTCCTCGCTACTCCATGGAGCCTACGTGGCTCAATCTCCAAGCCAGCAGATCCAGCATACCCAGGCACCGCGCAGTACGTCACAATCCCTATTGTTTTGTCCCCTCACGTTTTAACATACAAAGACTGCCACCGGGCAGCCATCAAACTGCCTATCTCGCATACTCTGATCATCTGCATAACTCATCTCCTCGCCGCTCTGCGCTACTTTCGCCGATCGATCGATATATACTATCTACTGTGTTGATTCAAACGCCGCGAGATCATCGTTTGATACGCGCACGAAATTTTTCTCCCTTCGTTCAGCTTCACGGGGCGCCGGCCAAACGATATATATGATGGAGAGAGGGAGAAACGTGAGCGCATTCGAAAGATACCCTGCGGGTTAAAAAACTGCTACACTAATTGTTTGATACAAGGGCATTAGTAGAAGGGTGAAAAGTCTCGATCACTCCCTGCGGGGAGATATAGGAGACAAAAGAGTGTTTCTTTGGCGAATCCATTTCATTGGCGAATCCATCTCTTCTGAAGACTTTGTAGCTATAACAATTGAGAAAACCGAAATTCTCAACGCATTAATCCAGTTATCGATGAGAGGGTACATGGAGTACTATCATGGCAATGCTAATGTAAATTATGGGGAAAAGTCGCGTAATACACTCTATTCGGGATCGCTGTTTGGGTGGCATGGTCAAAATTTGATCCTTCGATGAGATTTGAATGAACGAAGTTGTAGACATTGCTTTCTGGTTGTGCATTTGTTGGACGAAATGAACTTGATTGATGATGCCACAGGTTTTCCAGCTCATGGCGACAGAGGCGCCAACTGCTTCATTTCGTCAATTTTCTCGCAGTATGCGCTAATATAATTCAGATCTAAAATGATCTTGTAGGAAGTGTAGTATGCACAAGGCAGTTGGTCCTGGCATAGTATAGCTTGATACTATGTGAAGTGACTGATCGAAAAGCGAGCGCGAACGTGCGGTCCACAAGTGATAAGATTCTTCGTATCGCAAGCGTATCGCGGCGACGAGTGACTCAATCACGTGTACGTCAGGTTGATTGGGGGCGGAGGATTCCCTTGCAATAGAGGAGGGAGCGACGGGTGACAGCTGAGCAGTTGCTTCAAGCTGGGCGGGGCTCTGGATGCCTTGGTCCAATGGTGAGCTGAGCCCTTCGAGGATCGTATGCTAAGAATCTTGTTTTCAAAGAATCGAGCTGGCCGCGGGAAGCCGTAAAGCCGGAGACCACTCACAGAAGGTCGTAAATCAAAATCAGTCCATGGACGATAAATCTTATGCTGCAGCGAGAGTGAGGCGGGCCGAACGGGAGTAAATACAGAATAGTTAACGGCTTTTATTCCTCGTTCGTCAGCTGCTGCTTGTTTCCATACGTGAGAGTTTGAGGTTACGGCGATCGCGAGATCTGGCATAACGCAGTACAAAGAAGAAATGCAATGAATTGAGAAAGACTCAGCCTTCAGGTAAAGACATATGTCTCGTTAGTTGCGTACTGTGATGGTGTCCGACCATTTTAGGGTCGAACTATGTCGCCGAAAGCATCAATATCTGAGAGAGTCCGGCATTAGTGAGGAGATTCAAATGTGGGGGACATTGGCGTATTCCAGATCAATAAGACTTACGAGCAGTATGAATAGGCTTCGATGGCCTGCTCAAAATCTTTCAGGGTCTGTTTAGTGTGTTTAGCTTTTGCGTATGACCCCAAACTTGTCAATGCAACATTTTGATGTGAACCCTGCTGCGCCAGCACACATGGCCCGCACCAAAGTTGCAAATCTGAGGTGCAGAAGAGTAGTATCTTCGAGCGCTCAATGATGCTCTTGGTCAAAGAATCCCAAGGATGGAAATGAGCAGGATCCTCCGTAATTGGAGAACTTGTCAGGCAACGTCGCTAATGCCTACGAGAGCTTTTGACCCGCATTCTGATGATCTATTGTTCCTCTGCTTGATATTCTCCGATCTTAAGTTTCCTCCCTGACTGAAATCAAAGCATTCTCTTTTTTCTTCTTTGTGTGTATGTCTGTCTCTTTCCGTATCGAATCACTCGAGTGAGCAATTAACGTTATCGCAGTCGGATGGCCTGGGCGTGTGGTAATCGTAAGGTAGGTATGAGGGCTCGTCGTATTGAGGATCGATGGAAGGTTCATGATGCGACCTGGAGTCCTTTGTGATGTGTAACGGCGAATAGGTGTACGAAGAACGGCGAGTACGAAGGGCGCGTGGAGTATGCGTAGCGAGACGGTAGGGGTGCTTATTTGAGCACAGCGCTCAGCTCTTCTCGTGAGTGCTGGAAGGTGGCGTGCGATCAACTAGATATCAGTTGAGAGCGATCAATGTTGATCAAGAACTCCAGGCGAGCTGTTTGACGTCGTGGGAAGAATAAGCAGTGCTCATACCGAAGCTGAAGTTCACTGTGATATCCCAGTGTCCTGTTGATCATTCAAGTGTTTCTTTTGCGTTCAACGTGATGGAACTCGCCAAATACTCAGGGGTCCGTAATAGTTACTCCATACCCATTTTTGTACTTAGAGCGAAGTCATGTGGAAAGACATGGACAAGGCGAAATGTGAGGGTGGAGAGGTGACAGGTGAGGTGATCAGTTCTTCCGAAGTACTCATGTCTCGCAGGGCTTAGTCTCTTGGAAGAGTGTGACTAGTCATGGTGATCGATTGAATCTGGCATGAGAAGATCAACTTCGGGGGCAAAACTTCCACAACGTGGTATCAACGCAGCGAGGGCGAAGACGGCGCAAGGCAATGATGGAAGAGCCGGAAGCTGCGATCTCAAAGTCGTGAGCGTTGAACCTGTCCGTTCGTCTTTGTCTGGCGGATGTTCGGAATTGTGTGAGTGACTACGTCGCGGAAATTATAGCATTGAATGTCGGGAGACAGTGGTGAGAGTGTAAGACAAGAGGCGGGGGGGGGGGCGTTCAGCGTTCGGGAAATGAGATTATGTAAAACAAGAACGATTACGGCCGGCGGTTCCAAAGCAGAAAGCTAGGAGCTGCGATTAAATTCTGATTCTCTGAAGTTGAACAATAGCGTTCTTCGCGGGAAAAATTCAACACTGTACACAAGTGAAGGCGAATGATCTGGCGTGTGATCAGTTGCGTGTCGGATGTCAACGATGCTCAGTAGCTACCTTGAGCACTACTCACGCTTACTGCGTCTCTTTCGAATTTTTAGATCTGGAGACTGTGCATGGAGCGGCCGACCATCTAAAATGGAATATATTGGGCAGCACGGGAGAGCGATCCGGTGAACGGCGACAGGAGTTGCGCTGGCCGCGAATCCGAACTTTGGTGCTATCGAAATGTGGCATACAAAAAGGCTATCGTGCACGCTTCCCTTCGTATACCTAGTTTGCGTGTTCCAACATCTTTCCTTGTATGTACCATTCTCTCTTTCTCCCGTACGGCTTGATACATTCGCATGCGATCTTCTCTCGATATGGAGAATTGTTATGTATACACAGTTCGTATGGCCATGGATTCTTCGCGGGCGTTGCTCCAGCATGTGCTCTGTCGCAGAGTTGATACCTAGGATGCAATGCATCGTCGCTTGGTGCGTGGTGGGCTTATGGTATTGTGCAGTAGTATTTTGTGTTCGACGGTCGTTCGCAAGGCGATCCTGTTGAGCCAAATAGCAAGTCTCATTGGTTTTTCGCTGTAGCGAAATGATAGCCCGGGGTCTCGTCGAGGGGAGGAGCCCCAGGGCTGGGTGTGGGTGTGGACGTCTTTTGGTCGGGTTTGCGTTGCAAGACAAAATCTGATGGTCGCTCAGGCCGCAGCCCATTCACACTAGCCGCCACGTTACGATCTACTGTAATCTTCATAACGACGGGAATAGTAATTTCATCTCCTTGATACTTCCTCATTGACGCTGGCAATATTGGAGAAATCCCCGGCCTATACGGATAGTGGCAAAGATATTCGAAGACAATGGAATTAATCTGTGACTTCTCACGCCAGACCAAATTGGAAATATAAGCCTCCAAAAGTTCGCTGGCAGAGTTCAATTGGGTAGTGGGTCTCCACCTGCAACGGAAACACGCATATAATCGAATATCGAGCGTTTCGAACGTTATCGAGCTCTTCCGTATGGATGGAAGGCATAGAAGATATGATCGTGGTCTCAACCCCCCCCAAAAAAGCTCCTATCAAAGCGAGCTGGACCTATATATGAATACATTTGAACGAAGCTCCCAGCTAGATGAGAATTTGAAAATTTCGTATGATCATACGGGCTAGGGATTATTTTCTGATATCTTCGTACTCTTTGGGACGTACGAGTGCTACACGCATGTGATAACAGCGGTCACCTCGACTTTCCGAGACCATTTGATTCTAGTAGCTACTACGCCAGGTTATCAAATGACGTGTTTGGTCGCACAAAGTAATAGCGTGTGAGCTTCGGTGACCGGCTTTCTTTTGTCCGCTAGTGCCGCTATAGAAATATCTCTTCTACGACAAACTTTACCTTCCCCTCGACCACCACCTCGATATCCCACAACCAAGCTATCAAATTCTTCACCAATTCAGTCTTTTTATCTCTCTCTCTCTCTCACTCTCACTCTCTCTCTACAAGGGCAAGCAAGATGTCCTCCAACAACGACAACAACGCCATCAACTCCGCCCCCAACGCCGCCACCACCAACGCTGCCGCTCCCGCTCCCGCTGCCGCTACCGCCAACAGCCCCAGCTCCAGCCCCAGCTCCAGCTCCAGCTCCGGCTCCAGTTCCGGCTCCGAGGAGAGTCTCAAAGTCATCATTGACCGGCCTGCACGGACCCAAGAAGAACTGCAAGCAGATGCCGAGGCCGAAGCACTAGAGGCCCAGGTCCGGGCCCAAGAACAGTTGCAAGCAGAGGCCGAGAGCCGAGCCCGAGCCCAGGCTCGAGCACAACTTCTCAACGAGCTTCGGGAGGGGATCAGGATCCTGGAAGAAAACGTCGCCTCAGCCCGCCAGTACAGGCTCCAGTACGCCGTCGCCTACCCCGGCGGCCCTGATACCTTGCGGTGTATCACCCACGAACAAAACCAGATCCGGGCACTTGCTGCCATAAGGCAGTCTTTCGCCCACATGCAGGCGTGCTGGTATTGGTGATTTCCACCGGACGCACAACCGGGAAACCCAGGAGCTCAGTATGTACAGTCATATATTAACACAACAAAACAATCATCTAATTGCAAGAATAGTAATCATATCGACGGTGTAGAGCAGCCGGTGAGCAGAGGAGAAACTGGATAGGTTGGGGGGACTGCAATCCGCCGTATCACTGCAGCACATGGGGCCTGCGGCCCGTACATACAGGTTAGATAATTCATGATTCAATGAGATAATGCTTCTTCAAGACTTTACACAATTATCCGTGACGTTGTACAAGTGAAGCTCAGTGTTTGGTGAACAGAACTGGATGCAAAGTATAGGTGCAAGAGTAAGGATATGCTCGACCAGGTAACTGAGGAATTGTAAGATCATGAATGTCTCTGCGAATATACTCGAAAGCCCGATATATTTCTTGCACAAAGGACGGTATCACGGCTGCTACCATTGAGGAACCATCTTATATGCTTCACTGAACATGCTATTGATTAGCTGGATAGAACGTCCGAGGTTCACCATTCGACGTGGAAACAGTATCACATAAAGAGTTTCAGGATTCACAGCGACATCTCATATTCCTGGTGAGAGTCAGAGGTTGATGAAGAGAATGTGGGCATTTGGAACATTCGAGACTTTTTACTAGCATTAAACACACCAAACAGCAGTTCAAGCTGGTGAAAGGGATGTAAAGCCTTGATATCCGTATGTCGAGCGATTCAAGCAAATCTGAGTGATCGGCATGGCCTAAAACAAATTGCTCAATTCGTGAACTCGCGCACTCCGCATCCTGTCGTAGTTTTTTTGGATGTTTAAAGTCAGAACTACGCTGTGCGTTATGTTTTCTTACCATATTTGCATGTCGCGAATGATGCTATCACTAGGAAAGCTCTCGAGCTCTGGTGCTATTGAGGGGGACACGAATTGGAAAGTGGACTGCCGCTTTAAGAGAAATGGGAGTGACGTAAATAAAAGGAACCCCATGGGCGGGCAAAGAAGCAGGAAAAGGCCAGAGTGAGGGCCAAGGGCTAGGTTACACAGCGCGTTTCTACCACTAGCGCCAACTTGTGGCCGAAAGGTTGACTGCCAGTATCTACCCTCCCCACCGCTGCCGCCTCGCCCCACCACCCGAATCACCAACAATACCGACACCAAAAAGATATCTCTCTCGAGACTCCCATCATGAGCGGTTACATCAAGTACGGCCTAGTCCAGAACACTGGACAGGTCGTCCAGGCCTTCAACTCTTCCTCCAACGGCAACACAGCTGCGAACGGCGGTACCAATGGCCCCGGAACCGGCACTACCACCAGCAACGGCTATATCGTCAATCCCAACTTCATCCCCTGCGAACACAACGAGGGTGATGACGGGCAACGCATTGGCCAGATTACCAAGACCAAGTATGGTCCTGGCAAGCCGGTCATACCCAAGTTCAGGCACTGGAGTCTGGAAGACCCACTTGGTAGGGGCAGCGCCCGCACTGTTGTTGAGAACACTGTTTCCGAGAACACTGTTATGGAGGACACTGGTGTCAAGAACACTGCCTTCGAGAACACTATCGACAAGAACATCGGTTTCAATAATCACGATGTCAAGAACACCGCTGTCAAGCATAGTGGTGTCAAGAATGCTGGTGTCGGGAAGACTCGTGCTAAGAACACTGGTGTCAAGAAGATCGGTAGCAAAAACTCGGGAACGCTGGAACTGGCAGCAAGCAAACTAGCTTTGCCCACCCCAGGACCGGATTTATCGACCCCCGACTTCTCAACTGGCAGCAAGAAAGCTAGCTTTGCCTACTCCGGAAACATCGACCCCCGACTCCTCGACTGCCAGTCTGAAGGTTTCGACATCAACGACAACTCCGACATCTCCAAATAATCTTGGGTATGATCTCCAAATCGATGTTATAGATTTGGGTGGGGATATCATGAGCACTGGGGAGGAAAATGCACGGTTTGGGGGCGCCAATACAACCCCGTACTATCTGGTGCGTTACAACTAGATGTCTTTCCCTTGCAACATCCTTAGAACATGTACATAGATTCTTGGGAGCATGACAAGACCTCATCAATCGCGTCCTTCAATCTTATCATTGCTACATCCCAGATACATCTGTAGACAATCAAGACCATCTCTTCGCTATCTTTGTCATGACTCAGGAGTGTAATGATAGCTGTCTCTACATGGAGAAGAAAAGAAGCAGAGCACGCGTCGTAGATTTCAAGCACAAGTATTTTACAACCTTGGCCACCCGAAGCCACTCCTGCCTAAGTACTAGCTTCCGCGACTTTCTAGTCTTTCCACAGACACTATGTTACTTGGATAGCCGCACCAACGCACTGTCGAACCGTACCAACCATCAGAAGTCGAACTATAACTGACCAACAGTAGGCATGTTCAGGGTGGTGACCATCCCACTCTCAACTGCGACACTGTCAACTCCGGCGAGACAAGGATCTTTGACCGTGCCCCAGTAGATAACGACATGTTTCACCTCATTACTGAGGAAATCCAGACACAGTTTCGGAAACCGATCGTCGTAAGCCCACAACCTAAAGCGACGCAAACGATGTAAACTTGGTATTGCCAGCCACGATGACCTTCCCGATTCTCAGTCTTCATGGTGTGATTGCATGTGCTAGACCCCTCCTTCCTGGATTTGTACAACAGCGTGATTGAGGTAGCGTATTGTTGCATCGGTTGAGCTGCATTGCATTTGAGCCAGATATACACCGCTATGCGCTGAGCCTTTCGAGAGAATGCAGTATTGGCAATAATTTGAGATGAAACCTTGCGTTCGTATGAAAGTTTGGGGAGATATATCGAGTCTCGGGACCCGTATCGTTGGTATTGATCATATGGAAAAGGACCATAGCAGCATTATTGGGGAGTACGGCGCAGGCGGATCGACGAGGTGGAGATAGCGTGACAAGAAGATCGACGTCCCCATAGTGATGACGGAAACAAAAGATTGCGGGTGTAAAACGACAGGATACAGACGGTACGGTCGAACAGCGAGTCGATCGGGTTCGTGCGTAGAGGGGAGCGTCTTCTCAGATACCTGCGGGCACAAGACGATTAGCAGCTACTACAGAATCCTTGCGAAGTCCTTCCATGTTAGTCGAAAGATCGAGTCCCTCTCATAGAAAATCGCTCGCCTGGCTAAGTGTTGGTTGGCGGATAGAGGAGCTGTCGACAACCCAGTGCCGCAAGGATGGAGGGCGACGGTGCGGTGGAACGGACGCTTGAGAGAATCAGTAACCTTGATTGACAATATCCATTGAAAGACTTTCAATCTATACATGCTTTGGAACATGATAAGCTTGGTTTTGTCACTGGGCGACGATTTTGGTTTTGCGGCCCGCTCAGACATAGCGCGCGCGCCCGGAGTACGAAAGTCTTGGCGTTCTGAGGCTATCCCTATCATCCCAACTAACACATGAGATAAATCACAGCGTCAAATTGTTTGACCTGCTTAAAGGATCAGTGCATGAGAACAATTAGATTCATGTTTTTCCGAGGAGAATTGTATTTTAACTACGAGCCAGAATTATGCACACAAAACCATCAGAGGGAGAGGCATCACAGTGGTCGTAAAGACCATAGCATATACACACCGCACACCACACGTGAACCGATTTGAAAACATCTGATGCTGAGAGTGTTCTCAGGTAGGGGGTTGTCTTTGCTACCCAACGGCGATGGACCAAAGCTCATAAGTTCCCATTACAGTAAACACTTGATATAGACGTGCATGGAAGTTCCCAGCACAATCTAAAGGATCTATGCCGATCGCGCGGTCTATGGCTTAGAGTTCATTCAATAAAACCTATATAGAACGACACATTCAGCAAAGACTTCTATGAAACGCAGGCAATAGCGCGCGTCAACTCGCCGCAGTTGTCCTGACTCCTGAGAATGCCTCCCAATGTTGAGCCATGAATGTTGCACCTGTGCGCTGCGTTATTGAATAATATCATAATCAAAGCGTCGATCATTGAGATGCCACCGGTTTCACAGTGTTCGAGGATCACAAGAAGCTGTATTCAGCGAATTTGGTTTGATACCTGCGATATGCGTTGTGGTGACGCATGAACTGTGTCCTTGCCTATACAAGCTTGCCTCGCTATAAGAGCAACCGTGGGACGCTTCCAAGCAATTACGCTGATTTTAACAGCAGCGTGCAGAGTCTATAGATCTCACTTATGCGAGCCATGTGCCATTCATTACCATGCTAGTGTTGGCGCCGCATCCAATCTCAGATACTATTGCGCACGATGCATGGACTCAGGCCCCAGCATTTGCCATCGCGGTATTTCCCATACAACTTGATTATATCGATTGAACGATATTACGTCTCATCTCCGGATTGACCGTCTTTTTTTTCGGCGCATAAGGATGGTATACAGAAGTGTGAGGTGGAGGACAATGGGATCGAGAGTGTGGGCGCGGTCGACCGTCGCGTAGAATCATCAGATTTGTGGAGGATTTCTTTTAGATGCGTGATCTTCGTGAAGGACTTGATGCATGGCCTGTGATTTGCTGCACAGGCAATGAAGGCTTCCTAAAAGATAGACATGGATGAACGTTCAGATTGATCGAGAATGAGTCGGCGATAAGCGTGAAATATGTGCCGTTGCTGTTTCCGTGTGTTTCGCATGAAACTGTGGCGGGAGGTATCTCTTCCGTGAGACGTCAGCGGTTCTGCGTGGAAAATTCTCCGCGGAAGAAGGGGCGAGCCATAAGTGACAAACAAAGGGGGACTGAATGTAAGACTGCAAGTGATGTCTGTTAGTCATCTTCGTTTATCACAGTTGACCGATACAACATACCAATCCTTCATTTCAGCTCGGTTGACAGAAGACTTGAATATCCTTACCATAAAAGGGCGTCTGACTTCTTTCAAAAGCTGGTGATCTGGTCACCTATCAATCTTCCTGCTACCTGTATGATATAAGTCATTGCGATCGAAAACATACGCAAATTACTGAGCCGACAAGTCGTTTACCTATAGAAAGCGTCATTGAGCGTTTTGTAAATCTTGCGCAGTTCCCTCAGCGAAGGCACTCTTGAACGGGTTTGAATCTAGGACAATAGAAAGGCACACGCGTCACGTAAATTCGTACAGGCTTCGCCGAAGAGAATGGTGCAATCTTTGTTGAAACTTAGGAAAGCAAAAGCCCAGTCGGCAGCAATCAACCCTAAGCTTTGTGAGCCATCCAAAGTTATGTACCAAACTGACTGAATTAGTGCGGGAAGCATCCATTTCCACCCTTTTAGTTTAACCAGACCATGAGCGTACGGCTGCAAAACTCCGCCTGTTAGTTCGTGGCTCGACCCGGTACATCCGTGCTTGGTATTGAGCTCGGAATGATCCGAAGAGGTCACTGATGTCTGTTGCTGGCCTGAGATCATTGAGCTGCCGGGGTAGGGTGGCGTTCTTTTCTGTTTTTGTCCTGCAGCCTGCCTCACTATGTCGATGGTCATCATTCTGATGGGTTTTGTGCCCTTCTTTTCCGTGAGAAACCCTTCTCATTTATGTGTGTTTGATGCACCAGAACTTCTAGGCACGAAGCCGCATATGCCATGCTCGATCAACGCTGCCGACCAAAGGGGCGCTCATGGTTTCGGTATGGAATCTTTTGATCGCGACACCCTCAAATCAGGTGGAACATGGGCATGTTGTAGATTTCGTGTGTCTTGGAGCAAGTGATGTGGCGGATAGCGGTGGGGTTTGCGGACGGTGACCGCGCAGAGCCGGCACTGCAGGGAACGGGTAGCACTGTAGGAGATGCCGATCGTGAAGTGGAAGCATGCTCGCACTTTTGTAGTCGTCTGTGAAGCCGGTCAAGTATATCCTTTCAAGTCTGCGGAGTTTGGTGTTGGGGGCGCTATTGACAATAATGGGGTGGGGTGCAACAGAAGTGAGAAATCACCTAAGTCCAACTACGCCAAGACCCCAGCAAACTTGCCGTGCAGGGCCCTGGATTTCGCACAACATGATGCAATATGACAAGAATGATAAAACTCTATTAAATAAGATGCGATATACATCTTTCAGTGCAAATCGCACACGTCGGAATATGAACGAGATGCTGCACCCCGCCCTAAAGTGGCCGAGGCGGTGCGAGTCGCCTGTGGTATCAAAACACTGGAGAAACGGGAAAAGCACATGCAGAGAGTCCACCAGAAACTCGTATAGCTCCCCAAAATGTCAATCTCGATCTCCATAATCCTCATCTATTTCATAGATAGCTGCTATCCTATTTCTCAAGTAAACAAAGGTCCACAGCTCCAAATGTAAGACAGCCCGTCAGTGCCAGCTCTTCCTTAGTTCACGCCATACAATACCCCTCCCCCCAAGTAAAAAATAATATCCAAAAAGCCAAAAAAGGGCAAAAAAATCGCTGGGCCCGAGGACCGTACCGGAGACCTGTACACATATGTTAGTATATGTTCTGAATCCACCCAACCATAGGAGTTGCCAATTCCTATGGTCGGTGAAAGTAGTCCCCGCAGATTAATATAAATAGTGACTCCAAGAATTGCCATATGGTCATATGGGTGTGCTAGACAGTGGCGAGAGCGTGGCGAGATAAGTGAGGTTGATTGTTGTGGTAAAAGCGAGCCACGCTACACGTGCTGCCCTACTGGCACCGTGCCCTCAGTTGGCGAGGGCAGTTTGCTACTGTAATCGAGGGACTTAGCCGCTACGCCCTACTCCCTTCCATTCGTTTCTTGAGTTGGCAGCCAGCTCCCACGCCAATGCCCTCTGCCAAAGAACGACTATCTGAAGTATCAGCACACCCGACTCGCACTTAGGCAGCGCCAGATTGATCCATCACGTTACTACTCGAAGGCCGGGTGCTCTTCCTCTACGAGAATGCATGGAAGCTGACATTCGTAGCTATAACGAAGTTCCGGCAATGGCTTTCCCCACAAACTCCCGGCTTCCTAAACATGAGCTTTACCAACAACTCCAACCACACCGGCCATTTCAGCACAAGAACCGACATCTTTCACCGCCCTCGATCCTTCTACGACGATCTCCCAGACTTGAAATAGTCCATTCGAAGCCACACGCACAAAGAAAGGGGGGAGATAGATAGGCAGAACAAGCGCTGCTCAGCGCCCTCGAGGCAGCTCTGCTACACTAGTCACGAAGACCCCGATCCCACTGTTAGACACTTCGAAGATAACCAACTTGCCGATATATCTATATGCCAACTTTCAAATTGCTACCGCTCAATATCTATACCGCCGAATACTCGTGACCGCGATGCTATCATACCTACAAGTGCCACTCGGAGGCTTTGTGTTTTCGATAATCCTCCCCTTGAAGCATCCTTTTCTTTTTGAAGTATTTCAGCCTCGGCCGCTGCGACAAGGAAGCATCTTTTCTTTTCTCCGGCTCACCGTCGCTCAACTTCGCGTGGGAAATAAAGCAACGATATTGCGACGGCTTGCTCTCAAAACCACACATAAACAGATGGGGATTGAAGGGGCAATGGAGGGAACGCGCAGCGCTGAGTATGTCACATGGATCGCTGACTGGCATATTTAATCGCAGGGAACTAGCGAGTTGGCATTGAGTTGGCTGGGGGGAAATATCGGTTGTCTACATAAGATTCGACGAGCAGGATAATTACGCGGCGTTGATATTTCATGTGTTGCATGCATGCTAGACTCGTTCATGTTGCGCGGCTCAAGCACACAGTTCCACTCTGAAGCAGGACAGTGTGCAATGAAGTAGGTTAACCTCAAAGCACCCATCGGTCGCTCCGAATTGCGAAAACCGTGGCTCAAGACTTCCTCTGTATCACTTGTCTGACATTCACTTCTGCACCGGGGTGTGCTTCGACATTGGTTCTTGTTTTCCTTTTCTTGGAGGATCGGGGGTGGGTCACCTTTTGTTGCACTGAGCCCAGTTCCATTTCTTCGATTCAAATAGCGGCACCTATCTCCAATCAGTTCACGGGACCTAGAAGCGTCGTTTGTGCAGCAACACATCGTGAATCCCTTTCTCAAATCAAGATGACCTCCTCCACCGCGAGCACTCTTGCGAGTGCCACGACACAATCATTTCCTCCCTTTTATTATCCTCCTTATTCTGCGATTCCGATAACTGTCGAACTCAGCGAACCTGTGACCCAACAGAGAAAGTACTGGATCGCATCTATGCGGGGCATGTGCCACTGTGACATCGAGATCATAGGAGCCAGCATGCCACCTTAAATGATCGCGGCGAATTGATGTACAACCTTGGAACGAAATGCTTCGGTCGTGGATGACGATCGGTGTCGTGTGCGGTGGATATGTAGTTCATTCGGACTTCTTCTTGCCGGGTCATCTCAGTGCGGAGTCTTCCAAGCACACACGTACAGGCATGTGTCGCTATCGCAGCCATGTGCTCTCCTCGGACATCAAAACATTGTTTCACGACGCGCTCACCGTCTTCCGCTTTGTCCTATTCGGTCTTTGGAAATCAGCGCTTTCTGCTCTGCCCAAGTCCCGATTCCTCCACACTACGTTGTAGCGTCCTCGCCTTGCGCAGCCTCACCTTCCGCACGTTGTTGATCTCTTCGTAATGGCGTGTGTATCTTCTGGTATGACCTAATTGCAGTAGATTCAGCGGAAATGGAAACGTTGGGTTCGTCGTGGAAGAAGATTCGAGGTCTATGTCGAGCACCTCGTAGGTTTGATTGTGTGCAGTAAGTGGTAAGCTGAGTTGAACGACGGGTCTTGGCTGGGCTGCCCTGTTGCTCTTCGACAGCTCAGGCTTGGAAACTTGCGTATTGAACTATACTTAGTAATCGCTACGTTGCTTCTCCCTCGTAATGCTGCAAACCCATCAAGTGTAACTGATGATGTGAATCTGTTTGAAAGCTTACAAACCCACCCCAATTATGCGCTATCGCGCCTCACCTTCTACGTAATTCGATGCATGCCTTTGATAACGTAAAATAAGCTCAATGAACTGTCACTACGACACAGCTCCCGCTCACTTGCCCATCTGTTCCAACACCACGGATGGCAAGAAACCACCGCCCAATTCACCCCCCGCGCAGAGATCGCCCGCGATCTCTCCCCTCGAATCTGCTACATTACATACCAACGCTCTTCGATCCGAATCCACCATCTACACAGACGAAGGCAGAGCACATATCTCCTCGCCTCCCTTCACTTTCATGACCCGCGCTTCTTCAATTATGACTGCGCCAGCAATCTCGTCTCGAAAGGCCGGATAAACCTTCGCACGCGACTTCGGCTATTTCTTCAGCTTACACGATCTTCTCGCTCAACTTTTCGTTGACACGCCACTCTGTACGGCCCACTACTGCTCCCTACGCATACACGTTGCTTCCATCACGCTCTCCGACGGAACCACACATACGACCAAAGGGTGATGAGAGCAGAGCTTCCCGTCGCCCCAACGGCACGACAGTCAATATCACGCCCTGTCACCTTTTCGTCCTTGGCGCCTCCGTCTGCCAGGACCAACGAGACTCCCGCGCATGAGACCCCCATTTCGCTCGTCCCATCTCCTTTGATGGCTCCTTCAGTACAACTTCTTCCGCGGAAATCTTCAAGCCAATTAGTGACCCGGACCCAATCGCTCACTTCGTTGCTATTCCTACCTCTGGTAAGCTCTCCGCTATGATCGCATCGCTGTGTGTAGGAACAACTAAACTCCGTCTTGAAATCAATAAAATCAATCAGTAGGCTCATCAAATCGGGAGAGATCACCTCGACAATGATGGCCCTCTTCCATACCCACCGCAATTGGTCCATCCCGAGTACCCACCGCTCTCGTGGCGCCATTTGTATCTCTTGAATCGCACCGCTACCTGTTCCGCCACGCGAAGGCAGCTGAGGCCTAAATATGCATCCTCTCCCGGCCCCACACGCTATTGCTGTATTCCTCGCTTCCGAGCACGATCAGCATAACCTGTCCAACGAGATATTCCGCCTAGCTCAGATACGACTCAGAACTTCTTGACATTTAGACTTAGACTTTTACGACTGACCATTTTTCAACTCGCGCTTCTTGGAACATCTCCCCTCATGAGATCTTTTTTGTCGAGAGAATGCGACGTGAGTTCAAAGGCTTCAATAAGTGCAAGCTTTGGGTAACTTGAGTCCTTTTATTGGGCCTTTGGGAAAAGCGATCGATTCGGAATTTCGATAGTAAGGCTCTCTCACTGAAATAACAACATGTACCACCCTCTCGTATAGTTGTGTCTATGAAGTTCTATAAATAATGAAAAAGAGGAAGAAAATGGAAGCATAGAATGTAAACGTAAGCTCCACATACCCAACGCTAGACTGTTTACTGCACAAGATCTGCAAGATGACGCAGCCATTCGCAAGTTTCGGCCCCCAAATCCGAACCCACCTCATCTCCTCTCCGTTACCCCACAAACACAAACATTGCGAAACCAACCTCGACCCAACCATCGCAATGGCATCTGTCGCATTAGGCTTCTTTCTCGGTGGCGCTGTGGTGGCCATCCCCGTCGTCACGGGCGTTGCAGAAGGCGTCGAGTACCAAAAGAAGCAAAACGAAGAAGCTGCCAACGAAACGCGCATGATCAAATTCAACGCGCTCGCCGAATGCGAAAGCGACGAGTACTTTGCTGACGAAGTCAACGACGGCATTCTCGTCGTGCGCCATGATAAAGTATGTCCTCTCCTCTACTTGCGCGCGCACACCCTAGAGGCCACCGCACGTGCATTGCTAACACTGTAATTCAGGTCTGGATCGTCCCCCGAACCAAAGACTTCAAGCCCATCCCCCCCATCGACGATATCTCCCCTCCCCTCCACGCCTTCGCTGGCTTCTACATTCAATACCCCGACGAAGACCGCTGCCCGCCCGAGCGAGGCCTCGTTTCCACCATCGCCGACGATCCGCCCGTCCTGAACTGGATCTACGTCGACCGCGCCACCTACGAGCTCAGATACGGCAACCGCACACAATCCATTTCCCAAATGGTCGGCGAATGGGACTGGACGGACGATGAATCACACCTGATGTTCGACGGCTGGGAAGGGTTCGTCGCGATCGACGAGTGGGACGGGAAAGATGAGGATGATAGCACGCCGTGGGGAAAAGAGGGGCTGAGGTGGGCGTTATACTACGATGTTGATGATGATGGGTTGAAGGGGAGGAGGAAAAAAAGGGATATGCTGGAGGTTACGATACGCAGGAGGTTACAGAGTGCGGAGGAGCAGTTGAAGCAGATGGAGGATGCCAATAAGAAGATGCAGGTCAAGAGTCGCGGCGATTTGAAGACGCAGTTCACAGCGCCTGCGAAGGAGAGGGAGAGGAGGAGTGGGAAGTGATCGCCTTGCTGTTGGAACTGATATCCGAGAAGTTATACCGTGTGTAGTCGGCACTGAGCATGGGTTATGGAATGAGTCCACTGACCAGATGTCAGCTAACGCCTACTCGCTGCGACCGATCGACCTTGCAGAGTTTGGTTCTGACCAACCCGCCTCGAGTTATTCCTTCCCCGCAAGTCAACATTCACGACCTGCCTCGCGCCATCACTTCACCACACCCTACACCCACATCGCATCATGCCCTGCCGCCGTTCTCAAAACCTCAGCCCCCTCAAACGCGATAGAGACACACCTTGCTTCAAGCAGTATGACGGCCCGCCAACGTGATGAGCCGATGGAACGGGCGTATTTACAATAACCGGCATCAGAAAGAAGATAGGAGGTGAACACAGTCTGGCCAAGATAGAACAGCTACATACATGGGCGCGTCCATGAAAGCATCACGTGCTGTTGGGTGAAGTTCCGTCCAATTATAAAGCTTCTAGTAGTTCCTCGGATAATTCCGGGCGCCCAATCCCAGTCAAGATACGATGATCTCAATGTCTGCCTAGCCACGTCTACCCATGTCCCATCATGCAGCCAAGTTCAGCCTTGTCGGCTGTGCCCGCAGACGGACCCCTCACTTCAAATATCGTAGATAACCCGCATTCTAGGCTCACCCATGCGACCGCCTTTCATGAGCATCATCAACTACCAGTATGCCCATTACTTTTGGAGCAGTAGGAGACATTCTCTCTGTATGCCTCCTAGTCAAAGATCTCGTGAACGCGCTCGACAAGGTTCGTGGCTCCAAGGCTGAGTACCAATCCTTGACCCGCGAACTCTGGATCCTCGACCGTGTTTTACTGGAAGTCGATCTGCTTGCTCGCACACATGACGGAGGGAGAACCCCGGAGCTCAATGCATTTTGCCAGACGGCGCGGGAAGCTGTGGATCGTTGCAAGACCCTTGTTAGCGACTTCCTGGCAAGACTGAGGAAGTACCAGAACTCTTTCGAAGAGGGCGGTTCTAGTTCCTCAAATGTTTTCAAGACTACGGCGATGAAAGTGCGGTGGCGGGTTGGCGAGAAAGATGCAGTTGAGAAGTTTCGGGTGGATATTGCGGCGACGAGTGCGAGTTTGCAAATGCTCCTAACGACTGCCACTGTGTAAGTTCGACCCTTTTTTGTCATTCCTGCCGTCAGCGCGCAGCCCTAACTGAACTTGGCTTTCAGCAACCTTCTTAGCATACACGTCGATAAAGTCGACAAACGCATGTCTGACATACACAAAAACAACGAAGCGCATCACACAAAGGCCGATGCCACTCTGGCGTCATTGCTGGACCGGTTAGAGGAGACAAACATCCTGTTTACCTTTAAAAACTCGATGACTAGCAAGATTGCAGATGCACTCCGCTTAGACTGGCTTCACCAGCTGGTCTCGGAATGGACAAGTCTCCTGCGCCGCGTTATTGCCATGAACATTGCGACATATCGCGCTTTCCTCAAAATCCAATCGGCCCTTTCTTCATGTCGAGAGCGGGTTTTGATCGAGGAGCCTTTGACATTGGAGGACGCGATTGGCCGCATCACACCTATACATCTTCAATTCGTTAGATCTTGGGATGCCTTCAACGCGGTATTGGAGATACGATTTCGAAACATGGAAGGACACACAAAGGTCAAGAAACAGCAGTATAAGTTACAAGACAAAGTTACAAAGCGAGACATTCTGCCGGGAAAATCCTGGGATGGGGTCTTCTTTCCGGGCCAGCGGGTGGAGATGAGCTTCATCTTCGACCAAGACGGTAACCGGACAGAGTCGACATGTCCGAGCTGCCAGGCCAGCTCAATATCGCCACTCACCGAAGAGATTCAGTGCTCCAACTGCCATCTCTGGTATCGTCGTGTCACCATTATGCAGGACACAGAAGAGCCGCCACAGAGACCATCACACCCACAATGGAAATCATCTGAGCCTGCATTTGGTCAAACTGGCCTTGAAGGTGTCATACTTGGCCCAGCCAAGCCAGGTATAAAGCGGGCATCTTCCAGCGATCCTGATGGTGAGGATGATATTAGCTATTTCAAAAGGGTTAGACTAATCGCAAAGCAACATCGCCCAAGATTCCGCGCTTTCGGCTCGGATACTACGCGACAGAGATACGTCTCCTTTGCCGCCGTACCGGGTCTTACACCAGGCAGCTTTCGAGGGGGTAGCCAGCGGACTGAATCAGCCAATCTTCACAGTGGAAGGATTGAGGCAGCAGACGCAACAATGCCACACTTGGATCCTGCAACCACCGTGGAAAAAGATCTTGAAAATGCCAGAAAAGCGTTGGCGGAAAAGCGTAGGCGTCCACCGCCCAATCTATTCCAAAATTTCAAGAGAATACTCCAATCTTCTCATTCCTCAAGTCCTACATCGACCCAGGGCTGATCGAATCCAGTGTGGGTTGAGTATCCAGGCGGTGACAGTTATGCTGAGGTCGTAGACGGCACACAGCCCGCAGATGGCAACCGAATCATCGATAGCCACATGAAAAATAATGGGGAAGACAATGCTAGTATCGAATCGGCCGCGGTAGGAACCAATGACGGAGAATCTCGCGTAAACTGGTACACGACAAAAGACTCAGGCCTAAATAAACGACGGTACGTGAACTTTACGTCTGAGGTAATCGACATGACCGCAGAGCACCTATGGGACGTTTCAACCAAGCATGTAACGGACAGTTCTGGCCGCAAATGGCCCGACTATGAACACTTGATGGCTAGATGCGAAATGGCGACTAAAATGGAAACGATTTTCTGTCATTCTGCGCCGCGAAACTCCTTCAGGGGATCTGTTCCCGAAAACAATATTTGGCCACACCGCCCTTTCTCGACTTTGTTCGCTTTCACATCGTCTTCTCTAGCTTCAAGATATCTGTTGAACAAAAAGAGACCGTATTTCTATTTGTAAGACGAAGATGCGCTGGAGTTTGAAAGTCTCTATGGGACTTCGTTCCACTTCCCTAGAACTGATACGACGTTTTATGGTAGCTCATTTGGCAGATGGCTTTTTAACTGGACTTGGCAGCATAAAGTGGGGAGCCAAAAGACAGACGACAGTTTTCTCAGGACTGTGCATACACTTTAGTCTCTAATTAAAACTTGTAAAGCCATTATTCGCAGGTGGAGAGTAGGCTACTTCTTAAAAGGTTCAGCAACAAGTCCACGCTTCTACATCTCAGACCTACAGGACGAGGCAGCTTGTCACTTTCTAATACTGTATCGCCTATTCTAGAATCAAGTGGAAGAATTCTGTCGTTGCATAAGGCTGGGCGCCGAACCTTGCTTCCTCGGTGATTACATGTGGAAGAATTATCTTTATTTTATACCCGTCTTCGTCACAGGTATTGACTGGAAGACTGACGGGCAAAGCTTTTCGATGCTAGGTATACTGGGCCTCGCCTCATTCTACGCTAATATACATGGTTTTGATCTCTCAGCAATGGAGACAAAGGATTAGCATTTCCTCATTGATTTAATGTCTTCGGGACCACACGTGGTTTGAGCCCGAGCAGTTGGCGCAGATGATCTGGCTTCCAAGTGTCTAAGCACTCAATCGTTCATCCATGTGACGCGTCCGATTTTAGATAGCGAGAAGAACCGACCACCCAGCTATAGGCATGACTCACTTAGATAGAAACTCCAAATGACATTCGAATACTTCACGGACAAGCACTATAGACAGCTCTGGTTAGCAGAACATCTTTGTTGAGCAATTGCGCGTTTCGTCTCAAAGCGCTAAACAACGCATCCTCCGTGCTGCCACAAGAACTATCTTTCCCTTCCTCCAAGAGTCCCATTTTTAATCCAGGGAAGCAACTGCTTTTCACTCCTTCGTAAATCTTGTATCAACCACTCCGACAACGCTTCATCCATGCCATTCCGTCGCGCATTCTCAACCCACACGACCATTCCGACTTCCTCGATCGTCGTTCCCTCTTCTTTGGCGATGAAATCCTTGAGCCCTCTGACCGTTATCTTCTGCGTGCCACACAAATGCTTGAATCGAAGGCCCTCGGTGGAAGGCGCGAGGACACGCTCCATTACCCGTTCCGCGACGTATCCTACGGCAACGAAATCAAACCAGCCGTCCAAATTCTCGAATTTAGGGGCTAGGTGCATCTGCTTGGAGTAGCGGTATACATTCTCCATCACATCGAGACTTGGAGCGCCGGGGCCAGTGATGCTGGTGGGGCGGTAGATATCGATCGGGATGCCAAGTGCAACGTTTGCGTTCTCGAGTATTACCTCGCTGGCCCATTTGCTCGCTGTATTTTATTTATTTAAAGTAAGAGTTTAGGTGTTCTTTGGCAAAGCCCACTATCGCAGGGACATTTCGGGAATCGAGGCTAGGATGGTCAATCTGCCGATGCCAGCTGTGGATATGTAGTGGATGGGAATGCGACGGGCTGCACTCATTTGGATGAAGACCACACGTTCGCAGGAGCGAGGGAGCGGTAGGACTGGTGAAAGGAAACGGTTGCGCCGTTGTGAATGATGACGTCGACGGTTTCGCTCAGCTGCGTGAACTCGTTCGAGGATAGACCGAGGAGAGGGGCGACTAGAGCCCCGCGATGGGTGTGCATTTTGGGGTGATCTTCTAGATCATTCAGCTTGTGCGTTGCACGGACAGCGACGCAATGAACTGCAGAAATTTGGGGGCTCTGCAGGATCTTATCGAGAAGAGAACGTCCGGGGAAGCCGGTCGCGCCGGTCAAGAGCACAGTCAGCCCTTCACTCTTCGTGATTAGTGGGCCATGGGAAGGGCTGATGGCAGTGCTCAACTCTGGAAGGGAAGTTTCGGCCTCCCAATCGATCTCGCTTTGGCGATTTGTGTCTGGGCTGTCAAAAAGAGCACTCATCCCCCCCACAGTCGAGTTCTCTATGAGCTCGCGCAATGTGAGTGCGGGATTCATGTCTCGCCTAAGTATCTCCAAAACCTTGAGCAGTCGGATTGAATCGCCACCGGAGAGGAAGAAGTCCGAAGATCGAGTGAGTGATATCGCCCGGCTGGTTCTCCCGATTGTGTCCTCCCATATCAGTTTGACAGCCTGCTCGGTTGAACTCAGGGCTTCTCGTCTCGGTCCGGTGGTGCTTTCAGGTAGTTTGTAGGCCTGCAGCTTCCGAAGATCTGCTTTCCCGCTTGAGGTTATGGGAATCCAATCGAGTTGTAAAAGGAGAGTCAGTCGCATGTAGGTTGGCAAGGGCACGGAAGCTAAAATTTCCTGTAGTGCGGCTGCGTCGATATTTGTGGCACCACTCGCTAGCACGACAAACGCAACGAGAATCTGATCTTCGTCCTTTCTCAGAACAACAACACACCTTTCTACAGTACCCAGCGAGCTTTGAATGATCGCGTTTGAAATTTCGTTGAGCTCGACACGCTGTCCTCGAATTTTTACCTGCGAGCCTTCATCCAGACGGCCCAATATCGCCACATTGCCGTTCTCGTCCATTCGAGCTTTGTCCCCAGTACGAAAGACCAGCTGTGAGCTCATGGCAGAGTCGTGATCTCTCCAAAGACCTTGTGTCATTGGAAAGCGGTATGTCGTTTCATCTTCCATATCCAGATATCCTGGTCTGACTCCTGAACCAGCGATGCGCAGCTCGCCCGCCCGCCCGAGAGGCAACGGCTCCAAGTTCCTACTCACAACTACAACCTCGTAATTTGGCAAGGCAGGTCCTACTAGTATCATCGCGTTGGCGTCCCGCAGATCCGGATCGTGGTAATCCACATCCCCCATACAGCATGCCACAGTTGCCTCTGAAGGTCCATAGGCATTGACTAGTCTCAGCCCTGTGTCATTGGTCTCAGAGAGGCACATGAGGAGAATTTGGAGGATTGCCAGATGGAAGTGCAGTCCTGTCGCGCCGAGATTCATGCATGCTTTCCGAAAAGCTTTGGCTTCGTCCTTCGATATACATACGGTCCGTTTGGAGAATGGAAACAGAGGGAGTGTCTCTGGGGGATTGGACAGTTCTGATTTCCAGAAAGCGATATCATCAGTCTGAAGCTTCTGTTCTTGAACCGCAAGCTGGGAGTATTGAGCCTTCGGATCGGAGGGCAAATTTCCATTGTAGATCTCGGCGACTTCCCGGAGGATGATCTGTAAACTGAGCCCATCCAAAATGATGTGATGATATCCAATGAGCAAGAAATGCCGGACTTCCGAGAGGCTATACAGCTCAAATATGATGGACCGCCCCTTCTCTAAATCGTAAACGTGTTTCTGGATTTGATTAAATGCTTTCAAGCTCTCTGTTTCATCAGAAATGCGAGAGTGGTACCAGGTGTGTTGCGCACGAGACATGACTTTCTGGACAGGATTGCCACTGGTGGGGTCAACGCAGATTGCTGTTCTCAGCGCTTCGTGCCTCCGCAAAACAACTTCCACTGAGCTTTCAAGCTTTCTGGGTACGATGGGGCCAGATAATTCATATCTCCATGTACAGTTGTGCGCCGTTGGATCTTCCAAACACGCCACTAGGAACCAAAGTCTTCATTGCCGATTCGAGATTGGCTCTAGCTTATGGGACTGTCGATGTTTCTCGTTTGCATCCTCCTCTCTACCTGTTGAAACTACCGTGGAATCTGCGGTAGAGATTGTGGTTGTAGTATCAGGCTCCGAACTAGACAAGGCACTTCCAGGTGACTTGTCAGGTACGGTAGAGGGAGCGTCCGCTGATCCTTCAACATCGCGCACTTGACTTCCTACACTGAGAGCCGCAACGACTTCAAGACATACTGGACACATTTTAGAAGATATTTCCTTCGCGAACTACTGGGAATGACTTACTATCATCTACGCAAAGACCGCTGAGAATCTTGAGAACCGATATGTTTTGTCCAGTCTCTCTGAAGATCCACGACCAAACTTCTACATCAATCAATGAGTCCATGTCCAGCTCTATCAATGCCCGGCTGGTGTTGATAGAGGACGGTGAGAGCTGCAGTATGTTACCTAGTTCCGGTGGTGAAAGGTTGAGGTTTGGTTTTGTGTGTGACGTCGAAAAAAGGACATTTCTCCCTTGGATCGTCGACGGGAATCCGTTGATCATCTAGAAAACCACACAAAAAAATGTCTTCTGGGTTCCAATCTTCATTGATGACTCCGAGGAAAGATTTCGGACAAAAGAATTCTTCTGTACAGATCTGCGTAGTGGAATTATGTCGAGAAGTGGCGATACGTTCGGTCAGATCTGAGGTCTGGCTTTTTACCGCACTGAGGTTAATGAGTACCTCCAGATCCATTGAGATGATCTCGTTGAGTTGACGTTCGTTCATATGAGGATTCAAATGGAGAATCGGAAATGTAAGCCGTTCTTTTGGGGTAGAGTTGCAGGAGGCAATAATCAGATCGCTTTTCCCGTTCGAATATGATACTTCTTGAATACAATGCGCCAGCTCTTCGTCATCTGTCAAGACTACCGCGCTCCTGCTCGATGTCATACGCAAAATATTGCGAGCGGTGAGATAATAAAGAATTTGTTTGACTGCTTCTTCGTCCGTAATACTAGAAGGGGCGGTCATTACCCAGGCTTGGGGCAGGATCAAAACATCGTCCTTATAAGAATTGCTGAATTCTATCACACGATCTTTATTTTCTTGATTTCGGCCTGCAACAACGTAGAGAAAGCTATCAGGCTCGGCAACTTTGATCGGGTATCTTCTTCCTACCTCCATGATTCAACCTGTCATTTGCTATTCGGTCCATTCCCTCCGGAATTCTGATCTCATTCCGGTAGATAGACATGCTTGATTGAGATCCCGATAAGCTGGTATACGTGTCGCCGACGGATTTGATGCGAGGAATCCATGTGGCACCGTGCCTAATCACTAGCTCTGGCTCCGTAGCCCACAGCATATCGTGATTCTGGGTATCGAAGAGAGCCCGGATCAACCTCAACAAGCTCGTCAGGACATGATCAGGAAGCGTCGGCCACGCATGCGAATTTGTCGGAACATGCAGCTGAGTGTAATTCGAGACTATCCCAGGATTGAGACTGCTGAACTGTAGATTGGGCGAGATTACACCATTCTGAATTGACAAAGACGCTTTCAAGAGGCCTGCGATTCCAGCGGTGCCCTCCAGGTGACCTATTACTGTTTTGATGGACCCAACATACAGTTTTTGCTTAAGATTCTGACTGGAGACAGTAGAATGGAAGACATCGTGAATTGCTTCTGCTTCGATAATGTCTCCAGACTGCGTACCTGTTCCCTGCGCTTCAAAGAATTGACATTGGTCGTCGGGATCAGAGAGTCGAAGCCCTGCTTTGACGAAGGTGGCCCGAATCAATTCCGCCTGACTTGTGCTAGATGGTTTCGTGATGCCTTGTGTCCTAGCATCTGAGTTGACGCCAGTTGCATGAATGACAATTTCTATGTGGTCGCCATCACGCAGTGCGTGTTTGAGTAGCTTAAGTACTACTACTCCACCACTTTCCCCACGAGCATACCCATCAGAAGATGCGTCTCAGGTTTACCCCAGATGCGACTGCAAGATCGCAATCGTTGCTGCGAAGGCTTTGTGCTGCGAGGTGAACGGCTACAAGGCTTGACGAGCAGGCGGTGTCGATAGTCACAGAGGGACCACTCCAATCAAAGATATAAGAAGCGTGATTGGACAGTAAGCTCCGCGCGGTCCCGGTGGAGTGGTATTGGGAGAGATGCATAAGGTCCCTCAACTGTACATCGAAATAGTCTGCACACATTAGGCCGGCAAAGACGCCAGTCTTGGATCCTTGTAAAGCCTCAATAGAGTACCCCGCAGACTCGATCACCTCATATACGAGCTCTAAATGCATCCTTTGCTGAGGGTCAATGGCTTCAGCCTCTCGTGGGTTGATGTTGAAAAATGCCGCATCAAATGCTGCAGGATTGTGGTCCAGGAAATACCCCTTCTTGACGTTGGCAGTTCCATGGTGGTTTGGATTGGTATGATAGAACTTTCCGGTATTGAATCGATCTCTCGGTACTAGTTAATCCAGATCTCTAGGGTTGCGTAGTAGATCCCACAGTGCGCAGGATAGAGCATTTGCAGAATATGTCGTCGCGCGCCCGGAATTCTGCATCAAGCTACCGGAAACGATGGCCTACGAAGAAGGCGCGAGCTTGAGTGCAGGACTGGCAACCTGTGGATTGGCTTTCAAGGCGTTGGGATTGCTCGATGAATCGGGAAATAGTATCTCAACGAGCTCGGAAAACGTTCTCGTCTACGGAGGCTCAACAGCGACCGGAAATCTGGCGATTCAGCTTCTGCGCATTCTTTGATATAAACCAATCATTACGTGCTCTCCCCACAACTTCGACTTGGTGAAGCGATCTGGTGCCGCTCGATCTATCGATTACAAGTCCACGAGCTGCGTAGCACATATCCGAAAGTAAACCGATGGTAATCGGGCGTACGCGATGGATTGCATCACCGACTCAGTTTCAATGTCAGTCTCGTATGGCGCGCTTGGATCCGCCGGCGGTCGGTACGTTTCTTTGGCGCCTCTTCCGCAAGGTCTGAACCTTAGACGCAAATATGTTCAGCCAGATTGGGTTCTCGGTTACAGTATCTTCGGCTGGGCGGTTGACCTACCCGGGGGTTATGTGAAAGATGCTGAGGCGCGGGACGAGGAGTTTGCAATACGCATATGGATCGAGCTGATGGCTTTCCCTTGATCCAGGATGAATTGCTGCGGTTCGCAAGATAGTCTCCTCCCGGGAGTTGCTACCGAGTCTCGACCTATATTTCCCCCGCATGGTGTTTTCGCGACTACCCATGCAGACTCTCAAGAGCGGCGCCGACGGAGGAATACATGCCGCAACAATGGCGAAGCACATCTGAACGATTGTCCAAAGCATAGCATCGATGTTATCCCAAGCGATATCTCCACCAACGGTGATTTTGGCGTAGTATGAAACGCGAACAACATTCGTGACTGACACGAAGATTCCAAGCCTAAAGGTGAAGCCTAAACCGATCTTCTTCCGCATGGGGAGCTGCAAGCCCCATAGAATCCGCGCTGGAAGCAGCATAATGGCGACCTCGGAGACTAAGTCCAACACACTGGGTATAATGGTATAGACGCGGTTAGGCATACAGTAACCTTCTGTTCGGCCACGCGGGGGCCTCTCCGGGAACAGGAGGTATATTCGATTCCAGAACACATCCGCCGGGATACATTGCATATGAACTCGATGACGGATCCAACCCCCAATAGTACGCTGAAGGTGAAGAGGATATAAACGCCCCATGTGAAGAGTTTGTCACGTCTCATCATACCGAAGAGCCGGACGTAGAGCGACAATATTGCAAGCTTGACAAACATGAGGCACGCTGCTTGGATCGTAATTTGTACATATCCAAACTTTGACACGTTAACAGCTGTCTTGGGTGTCTGAACGGTGAAATAGGGTGGTTTGCCTACTTTGAAGATATTCGCAAGATTGTCTGGGGGCAAAGGATCTTCCGCAATAACACAGAACTGGTCAAGTCAGAACTATAATGCACTCACAATTGTAGGAGAACGTACAGTATGCTTCCCCAGCCCAAAATGGGTTACGGAGTGAATGAGTAGGGATCCGATGGCTATGGCCATGACCTTCAAGTCGAGTGTCAGTTCCACATGGCAGCAAGACAGCCTGAATACGCTTTACTTACTGCGGCGATGATGGTAAACCATGTGTCCCATTTCTTCAAAGGGTTCATCATCAGACCCTGCGCATACACTCTGAGCCCGACGGCGAGCGACAGAAGCCCAATACAAGCAGAACTGACGGCCACAACCTGTGGTCCTCTGTCGTTAGACCATCCAGGCGTATTAGTAACGTCGCCCATGATCGCAAAGCCAGGCGGTCGAAAGGTGGATGTGAAGGTCAGAAGGGTGCGCAAGGCTGGCACCATAAACCCTTCAGATGACTTTCCCACCACATACGTCAGACAGATCCTGGGCAACACTAAAGGCGAACGATTAGACGGGAAGGTGATACCCAATACTAGGTCTTCCGATTCGACCCCAGCTTTGCTGATATTCCAAATGGTGGAGTCGTCCAATCAAGAATCGCCTATGCGTCACGGCGAATCCGTCGGCTTACGAACGAAAACGCCGCATAAGGAGACAGACCAACGACAAGAAAAAGATGCACCAGCGCCCAATTACAAGTAAGATAGGTCCCCGAAAGCAATTTATGCCTCATGCTTGGAAGTCAAGATAGGTGTGTCTGCTCATTGTGAAAAAGGGGGCGACGGGGGAAAGGCTGCCACCCATGCATGCCTACTTTCCATTGCCGGGTGTGAAAATGCAACTGGCCCGTAATTTCATGTACCTACCCCCGGATCACTACTAATACGAGACACGACGGAGTGCGGTTATCATGCAGGCAATTCCCGACCAATGCATACTATGGGGCAGCGAGATACGAAATCAGGGCGGCCGTTTGTGCATCCAGAGTAATGTAGTCCGATACGAGATCGAGGTTTAAAACCGCTCAACGGCTAGCACCACAGGCTTGAAGGATATTCCCGGTCGAGGTTAGTATCCCAGTCGTTATATCCCGAGTGCTGAGAATCGGGTTTGAAACGCCACCGTAGCATTGGTGACATGGGACGCAGAACAAGCACTTGAAGTTTTAGTCACCGAGACTAAACCACAATGCTACCTAGAGGGCTCACGATGGAGGCTTCGAGTGTGATAGCTCTGTCAACTCTCTCTATTCATCACTTGGGTCAATATTCACGACTCTACGACTGTTTGATCCTTACGGAGAGGGTAGCATTGCTGCTCATCATACCGCTGTTCAATTTCATCTATATCGCATAGTAATCCCATGTTTCCAATACCTTCAGAGCTACAGAAGACGATCATTTCTCTTTTGGAAAACTATCAGCTCACAAAATGATGTGCTTCGGACCCGTGGTACTCTTAGCTTCAGTCGCCAATTTAATCTTTTCCTCGTAATCACCGTACCCCACGACCGGCACATCCACAATCTTTCCATCCTCAACATACACTTCTTCCCATCCAGCGCGCAAACTACCCTTCGAGTTATCAATCACGTTCGTCTCCGTAGCGGTGATGGCTTGGAAGTCCGGGTCCGTAAGTATGTTCTTCATGGTCTCAACATCGCGGACCCAGACGCTGACTTCGATGTCGTGATCATCGATCTCCCAGCCGGGCTGGACCGCCCATGACATCTGATTGCGAAAGATGTCGCGAAGGGGAGAGGGTGTGTGGAGCTTTTAAACTGTGTCAGCTGGTTTTGTGGTAGCTGTGATGTGTGGGTGTCCGGTAAGGATACAGCTGGGGAAAAATGTCGTGGTTTCTTACCTGGGATACTTTCAGTGCGCCGTGGCGTTGCTGGATCGCAGCTGCGTTTGCAGCGTGGTTTTTGCTGGAGTGATCGTGAAAGTCCTTCTCCGAGATGTCTGGGTGCTTGTAACGTAGACCCGAGAGTTTGATTGCCAATTCGCGTACCGGAGCCATGTTTGCTAGTCTTTCTTTTGCGCTGGGGAGTTGAGTTAGAAGGGAATTGAGTGAACAAGAAGCCTGGTTCGGATCTGTCTAATCACTCTCTACATTCTTATCTACCATGAAGTGTCCCAAAAAAGAAAAGTGACCTGATCGGCACATTCGAAAAAGTTCGTTTCTCCGAATTGACCGTTTGAGCGACGGGCGCATGCCATAGTCGGCGACGGACGAAAAATGGATGCGAGCGAGAGATGCATCATTGCGTCATTCGCCGAAATGCAAGACGCAGGAATCACGGATTAGTGTGAAAAGTGTCTCTCTGGGGGTTCAATCCGCACGTCAATGTCTCCACAATGATCTTTTTTGAATTTGTGAGAATATAAGGACCTGGAGACTTCAGTGGTGAAGATGCAGAGTACATATCGAGCATGGAATTTGGCACAACACAGTGAAGAATCATGTTGACTAGACACTTCACCAACCGCTACATTATGATATCGGGCGATATTTAATCGTACCAAATGTACCGCGCCAGGAATATTATTTTGGGACCACATTCTGATAACTATGTAGAAGTATAAATGATCTCTCTTTTGACTGGCAAATGCTCGTCGCACCATGCAAACGTACGATAGTTGAACATCCAGAAAGCTCCAATCTTCGCTTGTAGTCCCCCATCCTCAACTTCATCTGCGGTCCAGTGCTTCTTCTTATGCTCCCCCAAGTGACCCAGTGCATCATAGATCTTTTGCGAGTTTAGCTTGGGATCGAAGTACATTGATCCTGCTGCCCCCGACACCAATACAGGACATTTTATCCTGCTCACATACGACCTCTCTGGAGTGTGAAGACTGAACTTCTTGATCTCTCGCATTGCTCCAGCTGCGCTGTCAGTACCGAACATCCATTGCATGTGCTGCATCTCCCACTTGAATTGAAAATTGAGTCGGGAAAGAATCGACACCATCCTGTTGAAAGTCTTGTCGGATATCCAGCCTGATGACCAACTACCCAAGAACCAGGATGGCATTCGATCCACAGCCAGATCCCACATGTCGTATGGAGGGTCGAGGGAGACGCAGGCTTTTATTCGAGGATCGACTGCAGAGCGAAGCGCGAAGTATGCTCCCATAGAGGCACCAGCTACAGCAATTCTCTCTGTGTCGATATTGTGTGTTGTCGCTGGATTGGACTCCCTTTGGCAAATGTAGTCAAGGACCTGGCTAGTTACTACTTCGTAATCGGGATACATTGAGAGCTTATCCCGCTTCAGCAAGGTGCCTTAACCAGGACCATCGAAAGTCAGCATAGCGTAGCCACGAGCTATGCCAGCTACGCCAATCACGATGTACATTTCTTCTTGGGATCCATCACCACCTGTCAAGCTGATCACCAGTGGATGACCTTTGCTGGTTCTTGGCTCAGCCAAAGGTACAAATAAGTATGCCATGACTTTTGCGCCATCGCGAAGCGGGATGGAAAGAGGATATGCTTTTGCATCGTCGAGAAGGGCGACACCTTTGCGAAACAGCTCCTGACTTTTCGCTAGTCGCAGCACTACGCGCGGGTCTTGGTGCGGAGGTAGATCGTTCAGCATGAATTGACTTGCGCGTAAGTAGTTTGAAGCTCTTAGATATGCCGCTTTCGCGCTCGGCGCATCGCCGCTTCTTGACGCCTCCTCCGCCAATTGTTCTGCATGCCTCCCTTGCTGATACCATATTTCGCTCCATGATTCTCGGTCTGCGTCTTTGATCAGGGACGCGGCTTTCAAGGCCTCCCCGGTTTCGCAACCGCCATACGGCGCCGTGCTCAAGATGCGGAGGAATTCGAAGTTGAAAAATTCGGTCTTGAAGAAGCGATGCATGGTCGCGCGCACATGGATGACTTAGCCGAATCGTGCAACAGTCTCAAACGAATTCGCCATAGTTCTGGATGACTATAATATGTCAGCTTTCTTGTCCCATTCATAGAATAGCCTACGGTGGTTTGGAGTTCGCGGAATTCCCCGACTGTGCCGCGTCGGCGCTTGAGACTGGTCACGTGCCCGGCGTATTCGCTTCTTAGCCATTCGGCGTTTCCACAAGCCTATCGGTGTCGTTGCTCGAAATGGTTAAAGCAATATCTGATATGTGAATGACAACCCTTACGAAGGTGAACATGTTCCCCGGTAGATGGGGAGCATTTCCTCGTCACCGCACACCTGTTCCCTCGTCGTCCGCTCAATGCGCGAATGCCCTTGAAAATCCGCAAGATTGTACGCTGAGTACATCTTGTAGCACCACCCGGAAGCTCAATAGCTATGACAGAAACAAAAACCCCCGCCAAGCTTGACGACGGAGCTGCGCCGCTCGAAGATAGTCCCCATCAGGATGTTCCTACGGAAAAAGCTGATAGCGACCCCAAAGCCACCGAGTTGAACTGGGGTTGGCGTTTCTGGACCATTATTGCCAGCCTTTGCATTACCTCGCTGCTCACGGCGATCGAATCCACAGTGACCTCAACGGCGTTGCCTACTATCGCCAATACTCTGAATTCTCGCGAATCTTATGTGTGGTTCGTGAATGCTATATTTCTGTCGAGGTACGTACCATGCTGAGAGGTGAAATGAGGTTCAGACCGCAAATTCTTTGCATGGGGAGCAGGGTTGCTGACCGCAAGACAGCGCCGTAGTGCAACCTCTCTTTGGACAGCTCGCGGATGTCTTTGGTCGCCGATGGCCCTGTATCTTTACCGTGGCCATGTTTGCCCTTGGAAGCGGAATTTCCGGAGGATCCAACTCAGTCGCGATGCTTATAGCCGGGCGCACACTGCAGGGTGTGGGTCTCGGCGGCGTCAATGTCCTCCTCGAAATAATCGTCTGCGACCTAGTACCCATGCGGAAACGAGGCGCAATCCTGGGAATAATTTTTGCCGTTTTCTCCGCAGGCTCTTCGATCGGACCGCTCATCAGTGGTGTCATCGTCGATCGGGCCAGCTGGCGATGGACATTTTACATTGGGGTACCTGTGGCAGGAGCTGCACTCGTGCTCCTGATCTTGTTTCTACATGTCGAGTATGAAAAGGAGACAACTATACCTCAAAAGCTAAAACGACTCGACTACACAGGCAACACTCTTCTCGTGTTGGCAATGGTGTCGCTTCTTATTGCGCTGACATATGGAGGAACACTGCATCCGTGGTCATCCTGGCGTACCATTGTCCCGCTGGTCTTGGGCTTTCTGGGGATGCTCGGATTTCACATATACGAAGCTTCTGGATATCAAAGCGAGCCTGTCATGCCACCACGACTGTTCGCGAATCGCACCTCCCTTATTTCGTTTGTATTAGTCTTCTTGCATGGCATGATCTTGTATTGGGTCATCTACTTTTTGCCCGTGTATTTTCAGGGTGTCCTGCTGGGTAGTCCGACACGATCAGGCGTACAGCTTCTTCCGACCCTCATTGTGTTGGTTCCGTTTGCAATCATCGCTGGGGCTCATGACTGCAACAGGTCGGTATAAGCCGCTACTGGTTCTAGGATTTGGTCTGCAAACTTTGGGTATGGGCCTATTTTCCGTGCTCGATGCAAGTTCATCGACAGCGCGTTGGGCTGTATTCCAGATCATATGTGCGGCTGGAATTGGACTTGTCTCGACTACCACTCTACCCGCTGTACAGGTTGAGTTAGAGGAGAAGGATGTGGCCACATCGACAGCGACTTGGGGATTTCTACGCAGTCTTGGTTCCATTTGGGGAGTCGCCATTCCAGCCGCAATCTTCAATAACCGTTTCGAGCAGCTCGCAGCTGGTATTGAGGACCTGAACTTGCGCGTTTCCCTCCAGAATGGCGCTGCGTATGAGAAAGCTTCGGCAAAGCTGATAAATGCACTCTCCGAACCGTCTAGATCTCAAGTCATTGCTGCCTACACAGGCGCTCTCAAGCAGTGTTGGCAGATTGGCATCACATTCTCTGCGCTGGCTTTTCTGCTTGCCTTCGGACTTCGGGAGGTCGAAATGAGGAAAAGTCTTGAGACGGAGTTCGGCCTAGAAGACAAGAAGAAAGAGGCAGAGTAGTTCTCCTAGCCTATTACAATACCATTTGCTTCATAGGATTAGATGAATGCAATGTAGCGCCGGCATTGAAAGTATATATATGCCCGCTCATAGCCTTTTCCGGTCCTGCCGTACCTGAATTGTATTGCAAGTTCTTGTCCCACGTCTCATCGTTTGCCACATAGCACGCTCTCGTCAAGCTTTCAACAGATAGGAACACCGTGCGCCAGTTGAGATTCTCCACATAAGCCGTGAGACTAAATCCTAAATAATCCCCTCTCCCTGCAGCATCGAGAAGTGGCGCTCCATATTATCTCTCAAAGTGGTGTTTTCCATCAGCGCCAGAAGCTTATTTTTTTTCGCACGCACCATGCGCTCTCGCCCCATGATTAGCTCCAAAGTTGTACTGGAAATGTGCCCAGTGGACACTGCATCGCCCGAAGTAGATCTACCAGTGACCCTTTCAGCAACCGCTTCTAAACTCTGGCTGACCTGGTGATACATTCTCTGCGAGATCTCCAGAACGAGACGGATCTGTGCAACGTAGCAATGGGACCGAGGAGCGATGCCATACTGTTCGCGGGCGGTAAGACATGCAAAATGACGTCTCGTAGAGCGCTGGACCGCGTCCGGCTGAAAGGCTCTTTGACCTCGGGCTCTATGAGTGGTAGCCAGCAACCAAAGATTGCATCGTAACGGCCTAGCAGCTTTAAGTAAGAAGACAGAACGAGTAGCAAATCTGCGTCATCGGCAGTGCCCGGATCTGGTGGGGCGTCGCCGTACGACCCGAGCGCTTTCACAAGCGAGCGTGAAGCAGCAAAGGTCTCGCAGTAGAATTCGGAGGCGGGCAGTGAACGATCGGAAGGCGACTCTTTAATCGTGATATGGCCTGATGCGGAATGAAGGCCGGGTGCGCGGAACACCTGTGTACTGATATCGGCGATAGTCGATGGTCGGTCGTGGGTGGACCTCAGGTCCTGAACCCCTGCGGCGATCGTCGTATCGGGGGGCATGCAGAGGAGTGTGGGTGACGCAGGCTGATTCATGACCAAGTTGGGGGCCGAAGCATCGATCCAAACATCATTTATGTCGGCCAAGGTGGCTGGAGGGAAGAACTGGGGCGAAGCGGTGGTACTACTGGAGCCCTCAGCGTCGCTGGCCTGCAATAGTCCCATGCTCCCAAGGTTCCATTCGCCTGCACTAGGCCACTCTATGCCGTTGATGTTCCACCCAGTTAGACTATTTGTCGTTTGGTTTGAAGCCGATGGTGTCTCTACGCTTGCATGTCAATTCTGTTCCAATGTGAGATTGCCTGCCGTCCCAGAGTGTAACTTACCCGTATGACCTCCCGTAGTATTGTGCGAGCTCAAGCTAGAGTCTTTTGATCCGTGGGTACTATTCCGGGTGCGGTTCACGGCATTGTATGGGGTTCGCGGGCTGAACACACAGCTAACGCCTGCTTGCTGGCATCGCTCACATCGGGCGCCTACGCGCTGGCAGCGCATTTTCTTGGAGTGGCAGCGATCGCACGCATCGCGGACTTTGGCCGGAAGGTCGGGCATGAGGAACTCCTGGAGGACTTGGTGAGCAGACTTGACTTGAGAGGTAGCAAGACACCTTACGCTCATGAAGCAGCATGCGGCACAAGCCGCCCTTAGCTCGGAAGCGAGGCCGCCGCCGTGATGAGTTCGGCTGACCGCAGCGGTCGTTGTGATAAGATTACCATTGAACGCCCGGCTTACTATACCATTAATCTACATCTCGGGCACTATCGATGATCCTTGTATAGGTCGGCTTAAACGCGCAACGTGCAGGGTTATGGCCGGACCCCACTCCAATACAAAGAGATTTCTCATACCTACCCAGGTATCTATCGCTTCCGTGTTCTTACCCCTGCTTGATGTAGGACCAGCGTTTATCTCAGCGACACTTCATAGCGAAGGATTCAAATAGTCATACCTAGGTTATGTTTCGCCCTCACTATGTAGCCGTGGGGTAGCGTACACAACGCAGTCTTCATGCATGGCAATCTCTACCCTTATTCTCGATTGGCTATACTGTCAGCGTGATATATTTGCATGTACGGAAACGTGCTATCTAACTCGAATTGAAGACCACTACTTTTATGATATATGAGTAAGAAAAAGCCAATTGCGGTTTTCCTTGGAATACGACACACGTTATCCCATCACCGAAGCACGCCCACTCAAAGATTGTTTGTTTTCCAGTGGGTTATAAGGCGATCGATTATACCATCTTACACTATAGTTGCGATTCGCAAAGACGCAGCGTACAAATTTGGTATATCGACCTTCTCTTTAGCGCACATCTCAGCACGCTTGGCACGTGAATTCCACACTCCCAGCATTCAATGTTCAAATCAAGTGGCTTGGGCATGTATGTTTAATAAGGTAGAGGAAAAGACGGTATGAACCGAAAGATTGAGTTTAATGTGTTAGTAGACCACCAACAGACATTATCGGCTCTGATGCTGCATCACTGCGTATGATAATGGGGCACTTCGCTGTCACACAATATCTATCGCTGAGGTGATCTTGTTGAGATACCGATGGAATACAGAAAGGTGCGCAAATAATGAGTCCTCTGTTGGCGGAGACTGCCCTAAGTATTCTGTGCTCGACCCGTTTGTCATGGTGAAGAATGGGAGGGCTCGATACCCCACAAGTCCAAATGAACAACGATGAAAGCGGACGATTGGATTTATGATATTTTTGGATATAATCAAATGTGCAGAACGAACCGCGGGGTGAAACAGAAGACATAGGCTTATATGCTGGGCTCAGGGCTGGTAAAAGCGCTGAGTGGCCCAAAACCACATGTACCAAGCACGGAAACAAACACTGACATGTTTGGCATGACCACCCACCACGCACAAAGCCCGACAGCATAGATGTTTCTGTGACTTTCTTGCTGGAACATGATTTCATTTGGTTTAAGTTTATCTGCATGGGCCCACGATGTATGTACATGTAGCTACGGAGATCTCCAACTTGTAGTGTGTATGTACCTATGCTGTTTCCCTGTTCTCTCGTCCTCCCTCCCCCAGCGCAAAAAAATATATATCTTTAGGTGCAAAAAAAGCACAAAAAGAATCGCTTGCGGATCGTACTCGAGACCTGTACACTTTATGTTAGCAGCTGTCGTTTGACGCCGCCACCATCCGGGAGCCACCCCATCATCTGGCTTTGGTGAAAGTAATCCAACTTTTTTAATTGATATAGTACTTCTAAAAACCCCAAAATCCCAAGATAGAGGTGGATAGGTGGTGAAATTGCGTGCATGGTTGAAATAAGTGAGTCAAGGCTACAGTGACGTTGTGGCGGGCTCTGGAGTTTGTTTACTCCCATTGTACTACGTGGGGAGGGAGATTGCGGAAGCTTCTGGCACTAAGACCACACGTACATAGCTGATTAGGTGCGATGTGTATTGCGTGTGCCATAAAATCTTGTATGGGGAGGCACTGGCACTGGGGCTCCTCTGTGTTTTCATCACGGCACAGGCAGGCAATCTGCAGCAACTGGCATGTCTACTCCCTTATGTGTGGTGTTGCGCCTCCTCCCGTGTCTTCACATCTCTGCGGTAGCTCGGAGAGGCCACACGCAACGTACCCTACTTCGTGCTTGTTATGATCCTTCGAATCACCATGAGTATCCGCAATCGCACGGCAGAACTCCATGCGCCCCAGTAAAGCCGGCTATGAGAAGACCGCAGCAAGATCACCCACAAGAACATAACTACCTGCGGCTTTGGGGAGATGTTGTAAGCCAAAAACTGGATCTTGCCCTTCCATATGTATCCTGCTACCTGACTAACAAAACACGACACATGATTCCTAAGTTCTGACGGACTGCGGTAGATAATTCACTCTGCCTCCCTTCAATGGGAACCTTCCACGTCCTCAAGAACCCAGCGCGAGCAATCCTCCAGATTTATGCCCTCCACTCATCCGAGATATTCTCCGACAACCTGCAAACAGCCGCACGTTATCCTCCGCTGTCCCAACTTTCGCCCGCGCCCCGCCCCAGCATTGCGAAACGTGCCCTCCAACACTGGAATAGGTGATGCTGAAAAGCTTCGGTGATTGAAGTGTTCGATCGAACTCGGAGATGGTGCATTTGTATGTGGCAACTGTTAAATACGTGAGGTCGCGCTACCATGATCGGGTTGAGCATATAGCAGCCGGACGACCGTTGAGAAGGGAACTGTCGCGCGTCCGTGGCTCAACGATATTCCAAGTTGGCCGTTGTAGTGCGAGGTGCATAGTATTGAGAAACTATGAATTTTGTGTGTGCTCGAAGATTTCGAGCACCAAAGTTGTCGAAAGACCAAGTTAAAATCGATTGAGGCGGCCCTCCTAGCCGCCCGCCCAATCCCACCCCACTACCGCACCCGCTCGTGGGGAAAGACAACAGAGAGCAAACATACAAACATGTATTCAAGTCTGTTTGGATAGAACGCCCCGATATGAGAGCTCCTTGGATATCAGCGCGCCAAGCCACGGTCACCACAATTTCTTTTGACGCCTGTGTGCGCAGCTCTGCCCTCCATCAACACCACGCATTCCACCTCGCTCTCTCTACTTGTCCTAAGGCTTGGAATACCTCCTGCCTTTTGGCACGAAGCTTCCAGACTATTTTGTTCGTGTGCACTGTCCCACCTTCTGCTCCATCTTTACTATGGGTCGGCAATTGACTGTTTGCAAGGCATCTACGACAGGAGCACCGCCAGCTCCAATTGCTCCGACTTCATTCTGGAAGCAGGCATACTCTGCCTGCAGGTCATTGATTACTTGCGAGAGCACTGTTATGGTAGATATCTTTCCAGTTCCTCCAATCTGAATCTTTAACTAATATCTTTGGTCCAGAGGTCACCCCACCATACCTCCCTTTGCAAGCATCCAACAACCTAGACCACAAACCAATTCCGCAAGATGACTCTGATACGTTACGGTCAACGCGGCACTCGATATGCGCCCCCCAGGGTTGCAATGACCGTCATCGCGAAGCAAGCCGACCCCACCTCCAAGTCCGCCAACGATACTGTCGGGTGTTTCAAATACACCACGCGCCGAGGCCGAAAGATCGCTCAATGCGAGATTCTGGTAGCCCCAGAATCTATTGTATACCAGAGCCCCGACCCTTCCCAGAACGAGCTCAAGTCACCCCGCGTGTGGGCCTGGATTATGCCCCAACCCACCGGCGATTACGCAGCCCGTGTCTCGAAGGCCAAGAAGAAGCGATACTCGATTGGAGGGCTGTTAGTTGTCAAGAAGAGGCGGGATTTATGTTACGAGGTGTTGAGGAAGCGTGGGCATGACCCCGAGCGTCACCGTAGGCAGGCTGTTCGCACGCACGATGACTACGTGCTGGTGCCTCGTCCTAGGGTGGTGGCTCCGCTTTTGCCTCGTGCTCTTCCGGGCAACCCGCTTGTGGAAATGATGGCAAACATGGGGCTCCATTAGATTCGAGTCGTATGGTCGGGCGTTACCAATCCATAATGGGCTCCTTTATCTCTTGAACTCGATGTTAGCTTGCCGGTAGGGCTACATGGGATGGAGGAATGACGGGTTATACGGAGAATGCGTACATTACTCATGACAGCTTGATCGTTATTACGGCTGCCTTTCTGCTGGCTTCACATGGAGACGGGGTATCGAGAATCCCTCAAGGATAATTTTGATTTGGATAGAGATTCTGGGGTACAAAGTTGCGGGCCGAGCAGCAAACACCTGTATTGTGCTAGGTCTTACTGATCGCGATGGCCTCGACTTTGATAAGTCACTCATGTTTTTAGTGTTCTCAAAATATTAATGGATACGAACTATACTAGGCTGATCTAGTATGTCTTCGTCAAAAATAGCCTGATTGATTGTATGAAGTCACTGGGAGCAATTGCGCGTGCTTCTTTTTTGGAGACTACGAAATGTGGCGCAAGATGAGCATGAATCAAGACGCGCCAGCATTAGGGCAATCCAGCGAAGGAACGCGACCCGAACTTTCATCAGCTGTAACCTCCTGTATGGGCTGCGGTCCATTGTCCTCAAAGCGTACGGGTTTATTCAAACTATACTCCAGGTCAGAAGAAAACTATATTGAACACCACTTGCATCACCCACAGAGAAGGCGGTATCCTCGGCCCCATATCCTTATTCTTTTCGAAAGGCGATCTTGTTGTCGTAGACCTATTCCAAACATGAGGATCCCCATCTTCCTTGACGGAAGGTAAAGGAATTCCATATTTGAGCTTCATGACCATCTCGCCGTCTTCAGCCTCAAAGGAAACAGCCCGAGGAAGCCAATGATGAACGGGCCCACCAGCCATGTCTTCCACTGCAGCGAGCAGTAGTTCTTTGCCGATGCGTTGCACTTTCCAGAGATCGTGCGTATCATTGCAGACCGCTACAGTCCAGTCGATCATACGCTCCGCCTGCTCTAACCTTTTGATGATCTCGGCATTATCCGCTTCCCCTGATTCTTGGCGTACTTTGAGACGTTTGGCGAGCCGATGCCAGGTGCCAGCAGCAATATTGAGGGTGGTGTAAATTCGCAGTGGCAGTATTGGCAGTGCCGGGTCAATCGATAACGCGTACGGTATGCAGCGTGCAAGGCCTGAAGCGCTCTCCTCGTCCCTGTGATATACTCCAGTGATGTTTGGAAGTGCGTATTCTGCGTAAAATTCTGGAAAGTTGATGTATAGAGTCTCTGTTACACCACAGAGAGAGATCATGGTGGACCAGTAGCGGCTTGCTTGCACAGCAGTAACAACAGAGTCGAAGTAGATGGTATCAGATACGATATCCGCAATCTCTTGGTCAGGAGGAATCGGGCGCCGTGTGATTGATGCATCAAATAGTCTGTTCAATTCGTCAACAGGATCCACTGACCACAAGGTTGCTGCAAGGTCAAAGGCCAGAGCTACAAGGTCCGTCTCCTCTGGGTGTTCCACGATATAGCGTACAAGACAGACCAGTCTAGGCAATCGGATGGCGAGGTGCATGATGCTCATTGAGGCTCTTTGCAGGAGCGAAGCGTGGTGGGGAATGGCGGCTGGTCTTGTGGCATTGATCCAGTATTCATTATCGTATATGGAGGATCGGCTAGCAACCAGAGCCTCAGAAACCTACCGCGTGTCAGTTTTCCCAACAGGATGATGCAATCAGTACCCACATCTTCTCCATACGTGTTGTCAATGAGACTCCAAGCATGTTCTTCGTCGGGATCGGCCAGCGGGCCTACTCTCAAGAGCTCGCCTAAAGCTACTGTGTGTATCGCGTGGAAGAAATCCGTGATTCCCATGAACACCTTCAGTCATCAGTTGAAAGCCGATTCAAAGCAGGACTTAGCCAAAGGAAGGTGGCTTACCTCCGCGGCAAAGTGTATTTTCATGGCAATGGCCGTGTCATATGTTTGCCGTGTTCTGCATTGATCCACCGCCAGCTGCAACGATTTTAACGCCTTTGCTTTTGCGCGAAGAGCTACCTTCCTATTACTGAAGTTTTTCTCGCGAAAAAACCTTAGACTGTCTGCCAGAAACTCCACAGCGAGATCCACGTGTGGACTGCACCCAATGCGAGCCGGTATGGATTCTATCCAGGTGCCCAGTATAGCAAGGGGCTGTGTTTCGAGAGGTCGGCCATCTAGCACGGATATGTATCGTTTCACAAGCTGCGTCTCTGGGGAGATTGCTTGATAAGGGATGGAGGTCGCAGTTCGTTTCAGGTACTGTAGATGCAGTTGCAAGCGTCTTCTTTGCTGATGGGAATACATCCGCTTGTCGTTAGCCCGCTCTTTGCTAATGACCGCGAGTGTTCTGAACATGCCACCGCCGCCTGTATGTCTTTCAGAGGTCACTCGATATACCGCTCCTGTTGCTTCTGGCGAATCTTTCGCGGGAACTTCAGAGCTCGATATTATTTCTTCTAGTCTTCCGGAGCTAGGCCCGCTATGTAACGGGAGAGGATATACGCGGGGTGCGACCTGCGCTTTCCCATGTTTGCTATATCTGGTGGGATCTTCAACTACAAATGCGGCGGGGGTACCAGCGTTGTAGGTACATTCTCGATTTCCTTTCGAACAAGCCGAGCACTTGGGTTTCCTCTCGTCACACTGATCAGATCAGCTTGCAGTCAAAAAACGGGCCGAAAAAAAAATCGGATTTACACATTCAACAGAACATAAGCAATGTATTGACCATACCTTGACTTTACGGGCTCGACATGTTTGGCACTTCCCTTTCAATGTCATGGTGCGCTTTCAGGAACCCCGAGTACAGCGTGTTAGAAAGAACGCCACCAAACCCACCCTTTCGCTGGATATTGGCGAGGCGCTCAGTGATACTTCCCAACCCCTCATCAAAGTGTATGTCCTATACTTTTTCCGCGTCGGGTGACCGTCCAGTTCTTGCGCTATGCACAGTTCGGTCGGATGATGAGTGAATGATGTGGAGGATCGGCCATCGATCAGGTTGCCGCCTGGCCAAGATCGATTCCAGGATGCGCGCGCGAGAGGATTCCCATGCCGGTCCATACGGAAAAGCATTTAGCCGGTTCCGATATCACGTGATTCGCTCGTCTCATCTGTCTCCAGAGAGTCAATGTTGTTCAAGTCGATCTCAATAATCAATATGCGGTTGATTCCGTAGTTTCATTCTTCATTGAAATAATATATTGGTGTGTTTCCCACTCTTAGATATCATTTGTCGTGGTGTGCAATGGAAAATAAGACTACCTAGGCATGTACATATGTATGTAGAATTCGCGTAATGCTTTTTGGACTTGGACTTAATGTGAAACAGTTCAACGAGACGCCAAAATTACTATATATTGAACTAATTTTGGACTGGCTGGGAAGTATCAATACAAATAGTGTCAGAATTGAGCACTCAGCCTCCCTCCACGTATCAAATCTTACTGTGTCATTACTCGGAGGCGAGAGCATCTGTAATCGGCTTGATACTTTCCTCTAACCCGGTCCATCCATGGCCCTCAATACGTTTCAATAACTCTTCTGCCCTGTCGTTTGCAACAATACTCTTGTCAGTACCTAGCCCTTCAATGTCATCGATGAAACTTTTCCCGGGATACATCTTGCGAAGTAGGCCTAGCAAATCGTTCCAGTTGAATGGTTTCGCGAAGGTGAATAGCCTCTCATTCTTCACATCTTCGAATATTAGAGCGGCGACGTGAACGGCAGCGTTATCATCCACATTGATATAATACTGTGGAGGGTTGTCCTTCAGATCTGTTTCGTTGTCCCCCGAGAATCCCCCCCACAGGGCTTTGATCCAACCCGTGGTCGATGGAAAGCCTTGATGTTCGACCGAAAGAATTTCACCCATATTAGCATTGGGAAGAATGGTATTCAGAGTGACTCCAGACTTGTCGTTTTGGACGAATTCCCATGCAGCCTGCTCACCCTGTGTTTTGCTCGCCTAATAGACATCCAGTCTGCGCTGCACCCCATCGTAAGGCGGAGGTGCCCAGGCATTCTTCACTGCTACCTCATTCCAGGTTTTCTCGTCCATCGTGAAGACTTTGTTGGGGATCGGACTAGAGGCAGCGGTGGATGACGAAGTGAGCACAAATCTCTTGATCCCAGCTTTGACCGCTGATTGTAGCGCGTTCTTTGTACCTTCGACAACAGTCGGGACAGCAATATTAGGATCTTGAATCTGCATAACGGGAGTCGCTGTGTGAATGAATCCGGAGACACCCCTGACAGCCTCGTCGAAGGCACCTTTTGCTGCCATATCGGGGACTTCGACAAGCTCAACAAAACCTTTTCCGTATTGTGATTCAAATAAGGCAATAAGCCAAGATGAGCTTTTGAGATTTCGAACCGTACCACGAACCTAAGACATGTTAATTTGGTGAGTCTCGAAGTGTTCTTCTTTCAATCACCTTGTACCCGTTCCTCAGCAACTGCTTGACGACATGGCTAGCAATGAAGCCATTTGCTCCGGATACCAGAACACGTGCGCCTTGCGGGATGGCCAGATTATCCGTGGAAGTCACGGTCATTTTGACTAAATGAGGTCGATATGAATTTGGGACGCTGAGAAGGCCCGAAAAGACTGTAAGCTGAGTTATTGTCCAGTATAGTGCCTCGAACTTCTCTGCTTGTTGTCCAGTGCGGAACATAAACCACCCGCTTTTTATACCTGAAGTTTTCCCTCGAAGCTTGCGTGAATATGCTTTCCCCGCATATTTTGTTGTTCAGGTCCAAATCACTGGGTGTGAGTAAGCGATGGTAAGCGATGGTAAGCATCAAGTATGCATTGCAGGCTGCAGAAGCAGCTAAGCGAGTCCTATCAGCGCTTTCGGAATGTTGTATGCCCAGAGCTGAAATGTTTGCGCTGCGAACCATCCCAACCTTTCGTGTAGCGTCATTCGTTGGATTTCGTGGATGATGTCACAGGGAATTGAGAGTTGGCGATAGACGATGTGAACCAGTACGCGAAGGCAAGATCCGGCTTGGCACTTGTGTCTCTCTACAATTCGAGTCAGCTTCGATACGAAAGATTCATTTCGCGCACTGAGACCATCAATAGCTCATTGCCCTAAGGGTTGCGCCAGATTCGTGAGGTCGAACATTGGAAATTAATACAGCATCAGCTCCTGTTCACTGCGAGAAAGAACAGCCGTTGGAACAACTCCAAAATCAGTTTCGCATATCTCCAGCATGAAGTGCGGTAGATTGTAGAAAGACAAGGACGGGACGGCGGGTGGTGATGAGGCCTGAGGAACAGTTAGCTTTGTGAGGATCCGAAGAGTCTTGTTTTTTGATCAATATCCCATGTCCAGAAAATGCATGGCTGGCAATTGCCTTAAAAGGAGAGAAGCGGTTTCATCTATGATTAGCATTGGATAGTTACTACCGTTATTGGCGGACGACTTTCTAACGTGGATGGCATCCTGATGGCTGCAGTGTCACCTTGTTCAATCCTTCCATGGACAGATTCAGATTCAATAAAAGACTGGCGAAAAGAACTGTCGCTAAACTCATGGAAACCGGCCCCTGGTAAAGGAGGGCATGGAAAAGGCCAGGGCTAATCATGGCCAGTCACATCGTTGAACGAGCCTGAAGGCCCCCAAGTTCAACTGAGACAGAACAATAAACAGATTTTTGTGAGCATTTCCAATTGTCAAATGGATATTTTCAATCGTGACCAAGCTCAACTGCAGTCTGATCACGGTCTTCCTCTTGACGACGTTCAGAAACCTCCTTGTGTATCAACAGATAGATCTTACTCCACACAAACAATTGACGAAATTCATAACGTACGATGAGGACATATTCCAAGCGAACCAGTATTTGCATGATGCTAGATGCGCGCATAGCATTTTGATGCCGCGTGAAAGCAGTTGTGTCATTATCCACACCCGGCAACATGGTCGACTAGAACATTCGTGTTGCGGTTGTTATGCCGGCAGCGGCCATCGTATCGGTCTCTGTCTCGTCTGCTTGGGTGGTATCTTGTTTGGCATTTACGTCGGTCGTTCTTATGCGTACGGTGCTTGTCACGCTCGCGAAGAGTTCGCTGGGAGGATATCGCGATCTTTTGTGGTTTCTACTGAAATAATAATTACCGCGGTGACGAGGTACCGCTCGATCATGTTGAATAACGCGCTGTTCGTCGTCAGTTAATTTCACTGGTCATTAGGATAGAGCAAGGCTGCTCTCAAAAGTACTCACCTGCTCTCAGGCAAATCACAGTGCTTTGCTTTCTCTTGATCCGCTGTGCCGGATCTTATTGATCCTCACTACCCCGATTCAACGCACACAAAAGACGTGCGAGCTGTTTGTGTGAGGAAGGCGGAATGTGTGTCAGCGGCAGCAAAGTAGGCGGGGAGAGGTTGGTGTTTTACATGACAACGAGCAAAAGGACTGTTTGAATGTGAAAGCTTGGCGCTAGCTCACGGCAATCATGGTCGATCTCCAAACGCCAACTGATGCAATGCAATAATTGGGTGCTGAGATTTGGGAGTTGTATTTTATAGAAGTAAATGGCTTCACCAGTGGAAAGAGTATCGGGGTATCCTACAATACCCATAGTCAAATTCACATCACTCTCGCAGAAAACGCAGTGTACAATATAATACAATTGTTGTACATACAGACCAGAGAACTCAAACCCCCCCAAAACGCCCCCTCCCAACCCCAAAACCCCAAAAGAACCCCCAAAAACAAGCTCACGGTACCCCATCCTCCCCCTCTGCCCCCCCTCATCCCCATACCCCCCATACCCCCCACACCCCCTACACCCTATCTCCTCGGCCCGAACCTCCACTGCTCCACACGGAGCTGGTGCACGAACGAAGCCTTCTCCCTCGCCAAGTCAGCCTCCAACTGACAGACGAGGGAGAGGGCGTGGAACTCGTGCAGTTTCAACGACTCCCACTCGTAGCCCTGTGGCTCGGAGTCGCCGAAGGCCTTGCTCATGTCGGACATCCGCTGCCCTAATACATTGTAACATATGATGTTAGTGAAGCGATCTTGAGATACAACAGCCACAAGGAGGAATACTTACGGATGCGGAAGACGGCTCGGCGCGCCTCCCTCATGCGGACCGAGATGGCTTGCCGGTTCTCGTTGGTGATGTCGGCCGCGTTGACGTACTCGGGGCCGGGAGCGGCATTGTTGGTGGTGGTGGTGGTGGTGGTGGTGGTGGTGGTGGAGGCGGAGGTGTTGTTGTTGTTGCTGCTGTTGCTGCTGATGTTGTTGCTGCTGCTGCTGCTGTTGATGCTGCTGCTGCTGCTGCTGCGGCGGCGGCGGGCGTTGGCGGCGGCGTAGGAGGAGGAGGAGTAGGAGGAGAAGGAGAAGGAAGAAGAGGAAGAAGAAGACATTTTGTTGTTGTTGCTGTTGCTTTTGCTGTTGCTGTTGTTGGTGGTGGAGGTGGTGTCGGAGAAAGAAATTGGTGTGGTAGTAGGCAGGTAGGTAGGCAGTAGGATTATGATGTGATAAAGAATCGACGGGGACAGCAAACACCTCTTTATATAATGGCGCTAGTGGGCTGAGTGAACGTCTCTCGCTTATTATCAGGACAGTCTGCGTTAAGCAGGATTTGCAATTGCAGTAGACAGGTGAGAAGTACGCCATTGGCTAGCTATTGCGTCTCTTTACGGAGCGGGACGGGTTATATTACTTTGGGAGACACTGAAGAGGGTTCTGAGTTTGTGAACAATATTTAGCGAAAGGATTGCTAGCTATCGTGCAGTGAGCTCTTGAAGACAGTATGTTGAAATACCCCGCCGATGAGTTGAGCCTTCTGTCCTTTCGTACCGCATCGAGATAACGTGGAGGAATTGGAGTTTTGAATAAGCTGAATCATCTGCAATGTCAACTACAATCCCATTTTATGGAGACATCAGGGAGCTTACGTTCTCATGTCCCCATAACAATCTCACCTCGCCGTACGATGTTCATCATGTCGCCATATCAAAGCTGGTAAATGAAGATACCTACACCTCGTATGATCCCAAACGTAGACCCATCACCATAGAAAAAAAGGCAGCAATTAGCTCATACTCAGCGTTGGGAAAAAGACAAATAAAAAACTTCTCGTCGCCGAGAAGACACAGAATCACACCTTCAACCCTTCCTCTCACCAGAAGCTATCACCGAAAACGCTCATAGATATACTGAGGCTCACTATTCTCCTTCCCCAACCCCACATCTCCTTCCCATATGTACTAGAAACTCCAACATCATCTCACCAGCGATCAGTATTGCCCCCTTAGTTTATTCAACAAGCAAGGCGAATGCCATAAGCCGTAGCAACACGTACCAATTCAAAGAGAGCAGATTAATAGCAGGAGAGCATGTGTAAATGCTTCATTGACCCAACCGGGGCTGATCCTTGCATAGGAGTATCACGATGAATTCTGTTGAATAAAAACACGAAGGACGTGCAAGAGACACACAGGTATTTTGCAGTACTAAGTATCATGGGAAACTTTTTCAAGTATGCGTAGTGAAAGATGCTAATGTTCACCTAACATCTTCTTCCATGTGAATGTACCTGCCGAATCCCGTTCTTTGTTTTTAAGCGTTTCATACTGTCCACCGCGAACTCTTGCGCAATTCAATCTTCTCCGGGAGAGCTGAAGACCTATCAAATATCCAAGCTAAAGTTACAGCTCCTAATCTGATAACCTTTTGAATCATTCCAGTTGCTCTCCCAATCCCGCATGTTTCAAATTGATAGAAAGCTCGCAGGGACATTCTGGAAGCTAAGAAACAGTTTTACACCGTTCATTAGAGATAAGAAATTAGAACACGATCTTGACTTGTGAAAAGCGTGAGGCCCAGGCAATCTATGAGATCTTTTGGAATACAGTACAGAAGATACGTCACGGCACAGCATCTATATGTATGCTGTAATAGTGGCATGATTTGCATCCTTCCATTCCCATTTCGACTATCAACTACAAACTCACGCAATCTTGATTACTTTCGCCAGCTTACCCCTTAATCCAACCCTATCCGTCACGATACTGTTAAATACCTTAGTGAGAAGAAGTATGGCGGCAAATGGATCCCGTGCGCGGTTGATTAAGGGAAATGCTCATAAAAGGCACAGAGGCGAAGGCATAAAATGAACGATGATATGTAAATCAGGATATAACAGCAATGAAGACCTGGAAGCGAAGGAAAGCAGAAAGAAACAAAGAACTAGAGAGATGTCCGCTCGCGATCATGCGCAGCTACAACGCAGAGACATGTGGAGGGGGCAAAGCAGTGTATCGGATGTCGGAAACGAAGAGCCAGAGGAACACAGGAGTGGACGATAACAATTCTTACAACTCTCACACCAAACGAATCAACAAAGCCACAGCATCTCGAGCAAGAGTCTACGCGATGTAAATGTCTCAGGTTACCCTAATATATAATTGAAATTACCACCTAAGAAGATCAATACAGCCCACGTCTAGCACCACCTGAGTTCTTCCCCTTCTCCTTAGTAGAAAAACAGCAAACACTGCTCTCCTCACACCACTTCTGTACCATCCAAGACTCCAACTCTTTTTCCACTGCCTTGACCATGTGCTCATCCTCCACATCAATGTCCGGGGAATCGACGTTCTCGCCCTTGCTTTTCAGAAGCTTTTCCCAGGCTTTGACCTGTTTGATAGTGGCCTTCTTGTATGTCCGACATCGTTGATGTGTGTTGAGGAAAGTGGTGAATTCCTCAAGCGGAAGAGGATCGTACATGAGTATCTTCTCGTGCCAAGACGGGCGAGTAGGGTCGGTGGTGGGTGGTAAAGCGCGGATGAGAGCTGTGATGGCTGGAAACAGGGTTGGTTTGACGGCTTCGAAGGTGAGGTGCGTGGCGGGGATGCGGTGGACGGGCGTTGAGGGCTCAGCAGCAGCTTTGTCCGTTACGCTTCTGGTCTGGGCTTTCGACTTGGCTTTTGGTATTGGGGATGCAGATGCTTTGGTGGGTCTAGCGGCGGAGGGTAGAGAGAATAACGGGAGGGGAGGCGAGTCTACGAGACGACGAGTACGTGGTGGGGTGGGCGAGAGCGCTTCGTCGTCTTCTGAGTCGAGGATTTCCTCGATGTGGAGGAAGCGATTTGGTCTGCTGGGCGTAGTTGGTGCGGCCATTGATGATGGAGCGGGCCTCGGTAACGGCTTATGAATGACTTCGGCCGATGTGGATGCCGAGGTGCGTGGGATGGCAGACACGTGTTTCGTAGGACGACCGGGGCGCCTCTTGGGAGAGCTGTTTCGGAGAGAAGCTGATAAGGTTCGCGGCGGCGAGTGGTTGACGTATGACGCGGGCGGAGAAAAGTCGTCGATGTGTGCGAAGCTCGATTGAACGTTTTGATTGGATGGTGGGGGTTCTTGGAAGAAATCGTCAATATGTGCAAAGGAACTATCATGGAGTGCTTCATCAGCATAAACATCAGCAGCAATGGGCTCATCAGGGACAGTCTCAGGGGGAGTGGGCAAGTCCGATGAGAGCTGAATTACAGGAGCGTCAGGGGCATCCGGTGGTGGCGGAGGGGGAAGGTCATCGATGTTGACGAATGGACTGCTAGCATCGTCGAGAGAGCCATCTAGCAGCAGCGGTATATCCTGAGTACGGTCAGGCTCGGGAAGATACACGTCGTTCTGGTTCTCAAGAAGGTCGCCAACTTCATCTCTCGAGCTTGCATTCCACAATCCCCGCTTCCCATCTATTCTTGTCAGCCGCGGCCAAAGTCTGACGGCTGAAGGAGCACCGTCGCCGAAGTGGTGAAGCAATTCGGCATCTTGCTCCGACTCGATCATCGCCTGCTGAATCTGACGCACAATGGTCGGCGATTCTTCTAGTGCCAGTTGACTGGATGTGCCGAAAAGAATATCTTGCTTGCTCATCTTCAACGCCGCTGATGATGGGCTCAGCAGCTTCTCCATCACTAGTTTTGGCTTAGCAGGTTTAGCTGCTGCCTTTGAAGACTTCGCCCGGGGTTTCTTTTTCTTCTCGCCATTTTCGGAGCTAGGTTTGGAAGTAGCGCGCTTCTTCCTGGCTGGTTTTACAGTTGATGTGTTCGTTGTGTCGTTCAGCGGTAGTTTTGTGGTGGTCGTGATTGTAGTCGTGGATGTCGTGGTGGTCGGTCGTGGCGAAAAGAAGTTGCTCGTAACGGTGGCGGGCTGAGGCTCAGCAGATTTCGGGGCGTACTGTTCGGTAACAAGGTCGGTGATAGTGCGTGCCTTCTTCTTGGGCGCTTTGCCCTTCTCCGGGGAGGACTGGCGCGAGGCGGGTTGAATTTCAGGTACCTCGATGAGCTGTGGCGGTGTCAGTTGAAGGTTAGAAACACTTGAATGGCGGAAACATACCTCAAATCTTCTCCGTTTCGTCAGCGTGCGCACCTCTGGCGCGAAAATTGTTGATGGGGCAAGATCGGGTATTGGTTGGGGATGGGCATAGGAGAAGCCAGACAGTAGGCTTGTGAAGCCGCTGTTGGCAGCGTCCGGAGCAGCAGGTGTATTCTCTTTACTGGATGAGCCCAGGTCAATAACTTGAGCGGTGGTATTCTTGGGTGGAGTCCATTGAAGTCTCCGTGCAATAGCTTCATCCAATTCCAAGGGCTCATGCACGGGGTCTGGAGGGCGGTGCCTGGGTGGCCGAATGTCTTTGATATTCGGACTCGAGGGTATGTTCCATATTGGATCGTCGTCCGCTTTGGCGCGCTGGGCTGAGGATATAAGCTCAGTCGCGGACGCCTCTGTAAGTGTTTCTTTCATAGCTTTCTCTTCTATCTCTTTCTGGAAATGAGCTGATACTACTTCCTCGGATTTCCGTTTCGCCTTAGTCGTTCGCGGTTTCGTGATCCTCGATTTCTTGGGTGCCGCGGCCGCAGCTCCCTCATCGCCTTCAAGATGATCCGCCTTCTTTGCTCTAGGCTTCCTGGGTCTCGTGACCTTGGGCTCCTTTGCTTTTACATCAGGCGCAGCAGACGCGACCTTCTCCATGTTCGTCTCAGGCCCTAGACAGATCACATCCGGGGACTCAATGACCGTATTATTCGTAGCTGCATCTATCGAGTCACCTTCGACATGATCCGCCTTCTTCGCTCTCGGCTTCCGAGGCCTCCCGACCTTTGGCTCCTTTTCTTTTAATTCCTGCGCAGCAGACCCTTCCTCCGCAGCGACCTCTTCTGGCCTCAGCCCAGCCGCGTCGATGGCCTCTGTAGTGATATCAATCGAAGCGGCTCCGCCAAAGTGTGCCGGTGCGACATACGCAGGTTCTTCCACCTCCGCCTTCTTCTTCCTTGTACACTTCGGCGCAACCTCTCCCTCCTCTTTATTCTTGCGCGCCCGTCTCTTAGGTTTCGGAGCCTCAATCGCACCCGAATTTTCGATAACATCTTGTTCGTCAACCATAGCTTCATCTTTGTTCACCCGTTTTCTCCTTGCTTTCACAGCCCTCTTCGGCGGCTCTTCCACAGTCTCTTTGTCTCCCGCCGCTCTCCCCTCATCCTCCAGCGCACCCAATTCTCCAACCAAACTCCTCGCGCTCATGAAACCTCTGGCAGCGCTCTCGGGTATAGCGGCGGCGCGCGACCCTGACACTAACGCGCTTTGTTTCTTTTTGTCATTTCGTTGTGCAGAGGGCGGAGGCGAATATGAGAACGTGGAAATAGCACGGCGGAATTGAGACGGCGGAGGCGTACCAGAGGGTACTATAGGCTTATTGCGATTAGGCGGCGAAGACGTAGGTGGGGAGGAGGAGAGAACGAGGAGGTCGAGGGTTTTGGCGGACATTGGAGCGGTGGCGCGCGTGGGGAGGAGGCATGCCCGGGGGAATTGGAACGGGCGGAATATCGTTGCGAATGACTGAGGGCGAGAGCGTGAGTTCGGTGCGAGCGCGTGATGGGATTGAAGGGGGGGGAAGTTCGAGGGTTGGGTATTGATGGTGGTAGAGTAAGGTTGTTGTTGATGCGTGAGGTTGGCGCGGCGGCGAATCGCGGGGAACGCTCGGGGGTGCGCACGGACGGCTCGCGGTCGCGTCTGCTTTCACGTGATGTCTTTCACTCATCACATGCAATATTTGTGTCTCTATAATTATATTGTGTGGTGTCAGAAGGGCTGTCTGCAAGGCATGACTATCATCATCTATTATTGCCATCGTGATTCGCATGCTGTGCTGATTTCGATCATCCTACTTCTTGTCACGCAACGTCCGCTTCCAATTGCGATGGCGCTGCACGGTGATTGGCCAATCCGACCTCACTTCGTCGAGCGCTCCCTTTCACGATCCCTATTGTTCCTATTGTGCAACCCCACCCGCGTCTCTCGCAGCAAAATATACAGTTGTAACAACATGTAAACTCAATTCTCGTCACACGCCAATGGGAACGGGAAGAAGCGCACCCCATAAGCTCTCGCTCGTCCCAAACGACCCTTTCCACCTGCCAATTCGACCGTGCGCAAAGGCGCAAAGAATCTCATAATCCATCTGGACCGTACCATAGTTGCTTGTGAATGCCGCAATGATGGTTTTTATTGCCCATCTGAGGGGCCTGGTGATCCAATGCTCATTTCCTAAATAGTGTCTGGGGGTGCAATGGCAATGACATGGGCGAAAGCAACAGCCCAATAGCAAGGCAAGCGACATTGGTCCACGCATCCTTTCATTGAGTCCCATTACAATGCAAACAGTCTCAGGGAAGCTGCCTCATAGTTTGCATCTACACTCGGCCAGTTTTAGCTTGTCGTAAATAGAAATCAATATACATTTCTATTGTCTCGACCAAGTTCCGAAGAATGATGATGCGAATCGAAGAAGGCGAGTTCGGGGGATTTCGCTGGTTCCTTGCTGATGACTTTTTTCGTGGTTTCTTTGATGATTTTCAACACACGATTTTTTGCACAATGTCAGCGTTGCCTCATGCAAACAGGTTGACAACCAAACATATCGAGATTCGGGAAAGCCTCGAAACCTGCAGGTTGGGTTCTCCACAACGATCGCCATTTGAGACATTAGAGGTAAAACCAGGCAAGCTACTCATATCCTCCGTCGAGTTCGCTGTAGTTGTTCGTAGCAGTCCGAGGATTGTCGAGTCGGTGCACTTCAGAGATCTTGTTCAAGCCAGATCCAATGAGAGATCCCGTTTCACGATGCAACGCCTGGCAAACACATAGTCGTAACTCGAGAGTTTGCTTTCCGGGGTCCCGCATCGTGTTCGTCTTCGGCTCCTCATGAGGGTGGAGGGAAAGTGGTTTGCTGTGCGCACAGACCAGAAGTAAAGGTCCCGAGTCGTCGCTGCCCTCCCTCGCTGTCCCCTCACCACCACCACCTCCCCAGCCTGCTCCCCCTCCCCAACCCCAGACTGTCTTTTTTTGGTCTTCTTGTTCCTGCGCCGAGAATCGCGATGTCTCTTTCTCCCTCCTCAAGCCACAGTCCTCGTTCTGGAGGTGGTGTTTTGCTCCTCTTTCACCCGCCATGGTGGGGCTAGACGTCCTTGGCTCCCTCCGCCGACGAGCTCGCAGGCGCCACGACAACCAGCAACCACATCATTTGGCCCGATATATGTATGTGGAGCTTCTCGTCGGCCTTATCATACTGCTGCGCCATGGCCATAAGTGGCCGTGTTGCATGCTTCGTCGTGAAGGCGTGCCATGGTTGCGATGGCATCGCCGCGCTCCCCGCTCAACCGCATGCTTTCGGCGATCCACACCCACCACACCTTAGCAATCCAGTTTGGAACAGGCTGTATGCGCACCCTTTTCCGGTGAGTCTTCTATTGCCCGATGTCCTCGGCCTTGACACCTTTCAACTGGCATTTCTTGGGAAGCCGCTTCGTGCTGTCTCCGCATGCTCCTGCATACACCAGCAACAGCGACAGCGCCATTCTCTTGAGCCATTGCTGACAAGCCGCGATGAATACACAGTCGAGTCGCTAGAGACGTCTTCCGGCAAAAGAAACATCGACGAGAACGACGATGGGCATCGCCAATCAGCGACGCTGCGTTTGCATCGCCCCACCCTCAACGTAAGTGCCGCCACCACTTCTAGCGAATGCCACTTTCCTTCCTCCCACGTCCCCTCTTCCCCATTCCCTCGTTGGTTGAGCTTTGTTCAACCAATCTTCACTCGCACCTCTACAATACCGAGGTAAATGGTAAGAAGAGATGAAATACATCTCGTTGTCTCGATGAGTACAACTCAAACGACCGGCGCGGCCACGGCAATAGCTATGACACCGTCCCGATAACGTACGCCCGTATAATGAAGTCGCGTTCTTGATGTCGAGGAAGATATCGACGTCTTCGGCAAAGCCGGCCGAGTCTTAGGAATGACATACACAATTCGTGCATTTGCACCAATGATGCTTATGGTAAGCTGCCCCGCATATCCTTCCCCTGTCGCCACCACCCCATCTGCCAACTGGGAGTGTATATGATGCGTTTTCTGTGTAAAGCGCAATCTTTCGTGTTGTTTTCGAATATGGGGGATGTTTGGAGACCAATCCAGAAGGTAAGAGCTTGACAATTCATCCGGCAACGCTCGACGAAACACCACAAAGTTGCCTCCTGGGTACCGGAAATCTCTCGGGGATGTCCACAAGATGTCATGAGGTCGCTTTCCCACATCATAAATCGATTTACTCTTCGAGGTGAATGCAGGCCAAATCAGTCGATGGAAGATACACCATGTGACAATAGTGCGAGGCTTCGGATGGCATATGGGATCTGCTTGTTGACGCCCAACGTGGAGGAGGTTCATAATCCACTTGATACTCTCTAAGATCTGGTTAGCTACTTTCGAGTAAGATACTAAGACTTACAGATGACCTGGTGGCCCATCGGCATAGTCTCATCGTCATCATCCAGTACAGCTTTTCCGGACACATCATCGGCTCGACTCGTGCGCGGTATCCCTCGAAATGCACCCGTTAGCGAACTGAATTTATACTCGGTAGAAGAGAAAAGGATGGACACCCACGTACCTATAGGAATACCGTTTTCCACGGCACAGAAACCACTGCGTCAGACGATGCATCCCCCGGTTGAAATAGCTATGACCGGATTATTCGTCGCCAGTCTTGGAAAAGATCGTCGCACTCAGAGAGCCCATCTCCTGTCAGCATCCAAGCCCGAGATATCTATCCACTGGCTGGCTGGCAGCGTCCTGTCTTTAGGTTTTTCAAGGAGTATACATTGGTCTTGAAATCTCGAGTTTTTGACTCAACAACTCACTGTACAGACTTCTCTGCCCATCACGCAAGCCATCGCCGGCAGCAAAACGAGTAACGGGAGTTCTTGGATTCACTAATCTAACCTGTGGCCGATTAGTGAGACTCGATTTGTAAAATACGGAGTGGAACTTACGATTGTTTCCTTGAAAGATAGGATTGTCCGGCTTCCCCAATCCGGCAACGCGACATGGATAACACGATCTGAGGTTGCATACCATTTCCTCCCTATTCCAAATGACCATATAGCCAACGCTCTCGGCCGTTCCCTCTACACCAAGTCAACGTCTCAAGAGAGAATCGTTGCTATTATCCTCCACGCTCACCAGAAGCCCATCTCTACTTCATGGCTTTGGGTCCGCGAGTGACGAGCACGCTCTCAATCCTGCCGCGATGCGTTGTCCTTGGATTTTAAGACAACAAAAATCCCTCTTTTCTTGTCAATGCTGTTCGGGCTCCCCACTGTAATAGCGGTCGGCAAGCTTTCACCTAGTATGGTGGTTACTGTGAGTCTTTCGGAAACAATAGCTTGAGGTCATCGATTTCGTCCACAGGGATCTCCATGCCAGTCTAGCCATACCACTGGAAGATGATGGCTTTCGATATGCCACTGAGGTTGATGACGAGGCCATTCCAAAGAAAGAACTGCGCGCTATTTTCCATCATCGGAGAGCTTGATTGTAACCAATGAAAATTGATCAACAGTCAGAGTCAAGCTTCTGTTCGATGACACTGTGGCTTCCCACTTGCGAAGTGTCTCGCACATACCCTTCCGTTGGTCGTGAATATATCCATATCTGGCATAATCACCATTAGCACCCTGAGCGGTCATCTATGGATCCCCAGGAGTCGGGATGGCAGCGGTGGAATTGCCGTGACTAGAGCCACCCCCCACCCGAAATCCGTAGATGGGGCCGCTCTGAAGCCCGGGAAGTCGGTTTGGTATCCGTGGGGGTTGCCGTGGCTCTAGCCACCCTCCTCCTGAAGGGATCTTTTTCCTCTCACCAACCTCTCTGAGGCTTGCGAGGGTGAAGTACGGAGTAACGGGGCAGGTTACCCCTTAGTCCACAAGTTATCTGCAAAAGCCATTTTTCCCAGTGTGCTGTTTTTGCATCCCGAGTGCCACCACAACGGCCAACAGCCAACGGCGTTCTTCTTAGGGAAACGCTTCCCCAACCCAGGTCTCAGTGTAGTTCCACGTTGGTGGTGCCCTTCTACTTGATCTGAGGCCACCATGTCGTCCAAGGCTGTGGTATCCACGCCCTCACAAGCGGAATACGAAAAGCGCTTGCGAGGGTTTTCTGCTCGCTCTTCACCAGCGACTTATTCAATCACCAGGATTGATTTTGTAATCAATCCATCTAACGACATACACTCAGGTGGGCTTTACCGGATACTGCAGCCGGAACAGCGCCGAATCGAACTGGCATTTGTTGCGACAGAATTAGACCCCAGCGTGTAACGACACCTATTGAGTTGCACGTCTCTTATCCCGGAAGATTTGAAGGGATTTCAAGTAGCGTCAGACGCCCAGATGAAAACGTTGCTTAAATGAGACGCCCGCTCGTTGAACATTGGGGGTGGCTTCTGCTGCCTCGCGGTGCTGTTGCTGAAGGCAGACAACATCTCCATTACAAACGTTGGGGAACCAACTTTGCGAGATTGGGTGAGGATGCCTGCTGTTCTGGGATTCGCTACAGTCTAGCGGCGAATCGACCTGACTTGCTTGAGACCCGGCGGCATAGAGATTGGGTCAGATCCTTGTCTGCCCATCTAACGACGAACATTCAGGTAACAGCCTCTCTTTCCTGATTCTTGGAGTAATTCCATGTAACGACGGACATTCAGGTGGGAGTCTCTCTTTACTTGTCGTAGGGGAAAGCCCATCTAACGACAGACCATCAGGTGGCAATCTTTCGTCCATTGCTGTTGCCTGTTCTCCATGTATCGGCGAACGTACAACGAGTGTCGGCTTGTTGAAATGACAGCGACGAAAAGAGAACTGAGGGGTTTCAAGTCATGTTCCAGAGGAGACCGTAGCACGAAGGAACACTACTCCATTCTGCAAGCTTATGATGAGCATCCAAGTCTCGAAGTCGGCTGAACTGGAACCCAGAGTGCAAATCGTCTGGGCTCATGGTGTGGTTGTGTGGAAATACGTAATCAGAAGGAGAGGATACTGTAATCGTGTCAGTACTTCGCAGACTGCGCTTAAGCCGGAGAGGATGGACAAACCTCATCAAGCCTCGGTATGATCCAAAGCTGCGACTGTATCCTTTTGTCGGCCCATGGATCTTTGAGCACCCAATCCTTCGTCGGACCGGAACATCGATGATCATCGTAGTCTTCGTCTCGTATGATCGGTGTTTGGACCCCTCGACCACACAGCTTCATCAACCCTAGAGTGGCTGTAGCCAAGGAGCTCTCATCGATTCAGCGCCATATCTGGCAGTTATGGACAAGCTTTCCGTGGATAGCTGTCGCGATGGGTGCTGTGGTCCCACGCCTTCTGGTGTGCAATCCTCCTCCGATGTCATGAGATCCTGGCCGTGTGACGCGCAAGGGCACCAACTTATTGCAAGAAGAAAAGCCCTTCTCGGCGAATATGTTTGCACCAACGCCGGCTTGTGATATCTTTCTCGGGCTCTGATTGAGATGGTGTCGGCCACGTTCTGCGAGCAGACTGAACATGCCACGTACGGGGTGTACTTCGTCGGCCACGGGATAACTCGTCACCTTTCTTCGAAAAGGTCTGGGTCAAGATACCATCGTTCCTCCAGATACGTAGGTTCTTGCGTGAGCCAAGCGGAGCGGAAGTGAACAAAAAGCTAGTCTTGGAGCAGCTGAGATCTGTAATGGCCGATGCCGAGGAGAAATGGGTGGGTCGTGTGATCTAGGCCGCGTTGAAGTGGCCGGTATGGTGTCAGGAAGCCGTGCTCGTGGTTCCGACAACAGACTATGGGGGCAACTGCGAAGATAGGGCATGGTGGAAAGCTCGAAACTGTCTATCGCGGTGATCTACCAAAAGGTCAGCTTTCAATCAACACAGCCGATATCCCCGGTCGCAGAAAGGTTTCTCACTCACGTATACGGATTCCCGGTTTGTGGTAAGCAAATGCCAGTGGAACTTTCACAAAGTATGCGTGTGGAAGGCCAGCAGAATTGACGGTGTCTGTGGTGGGTGTTGCGTCTTGCTGCTCCGCTCAAGCGCGGTGGATGGAAGCTGAGTCGCCTATCACTATCACGGCTGTCAGTGTGGATATCACCAGATTTAGAGGTCTTGGTCATGTCGCTGGAGCTCCATGTATTCTCGCAGAGTTGCTCAGATGCTGCCGCCGCAGGTAGACTCCCGAGACCCCCGCCGGCGTAGAGACAGCTGTCGCGCCTGCGGGGCTGCAAAGGATTTGGGAATGAGGAGTCCACGTACCTGGTAGAATGAGAGATCCTCGCTATCTACAGACACCAAAGTGAAGAGTACATGTGTAGGAGAGGGTGGAGGCCAAAGACAAAGCTCCATCAGCCCCTCCTACCGGAAGTCATCGGCGGTGGGTGGTATCGAAAGAAGAAGATGAGAACGACAGGAACGAAGGCCAGAACAGGAGCCGCCTCTTCGAATACGCCCCTATCTTCCAAGTCACAGCCTGCTGCTGGGGCTGGTGGTGATGATGTTGTTGGTGGGGTGAGGGAGAAAGGCAGCCCAAGCCCACCCCGATATCCTCATGCCGCACGGGCCACCCTACAGCGATGCTCCGCACAACTATCACCACCGCTGCACTTGACGTGGACTTGGGGCTGTGATATGAGTTTGAAAATCATCGCAGAAGGCACGAAATCGTAGTTCCCAAGCGCAGGCAAACTTGTGGCCCGCGGGAAGGCTCTGGGGTAACGTGCAGCGCCTCCCCCCGGGCTACGTACATGGCATGTACTCGCATTTACGTACTTAGTGGCTCTCGCCATCAGCTTCAACCATGTGAGAGTGTGCTGATTGACTAGCCTCGGCGGTCTTATTTGGTATGCTATGCGCTGTCTGAGGCTATGGGGTTTGGTGCTCATGGAAATGGAGCGAGGAGACTATCCCGAAGGCCTTGCTTGGGAACACCCAAACACCAAGTGGGACCATAGCGGCTCTGCCATACAGCAATGAGCCTTTTCGACAGCTTTGCGTGACATGACATCTACGTAAATATCTCAATCCATGTCATGGCTCGTGCAAGTCTGACGATAGCCTCTGACTTGGGTAAAAAAGAAGGTTGCTTCGCCAGTCCTTTTACCTGGGGCAATCCCAGGTGGACACTTGTTTGCGTCTGCCAAAAAAGACAGAAAATGATTTGCAAAAAAGGGCTCAAAAGTGACAAAAAAATCGCCCGATCCGAGGATCGATCACCGGACCTGTCATACGAATTAGCGTAAGTCCTGAAAAGTCCCATCCAACTATGGGTGCCAATCTCCCATAGTCTTCCGGTGAGGGTTTGTCCGCTGGCATAGATTATATGTTGCATCAAAAAAAGATGTTCTGTGGTAAATGGTGGTGGTGATACCACTGGGGAGCGCGGTTGGGGGAGGTTGCAGCTTTGTGGGAGGCGAGGGAGATTGTTGTCGAATGTGGACAGTGCGCAGCTGTTGCGGAAGGTACGTGGGTTGAGTGCTAACAACATTGAATCTTAGGCGACTTGGGACCAATCTACGGAATACGGGCTCTTGGAGCTGAAGTGCTACTTCATTATGGTGGGATCGTCAAGTTTGGGAGACTTGACGTGGAAGCCTCTGTCGCGAGAGCGAAAGTGTGCAGTTGGTTCGATTCCAACTCCCATCTCGGTCTCCTAAGTCCTATACAATAACAATACTCTGAAAATCACCCATATACGACATCGGAATCGAGCTGTTCAGTCAATTCTTTTCTCCTACAATGGAGACAAACGGTAAGCTATTATCTGCTATCTTCTGCCAAAGTCCCTTTTTCCTCATCATCTCCCTCCTATCCCAATTTCCTGGTACACACAAGCACAGCGAGAAGAGAAGCCGCACACCAGAAAGTCTCTCCTCCATCAATCACACACATCTCTCGTGATACACATGAGCCTCTGCGTAGGATGAGGAAAGCTAGTAGCCTCGTCAGTGAACGCCTCATCCCTGCGCCTACTGTGGGCAATACTGTTCTGCCACATATCACAAACATATCTGGAGAAAGTGAACATCAAGACCAACTCTGCGCTTTGTTATGTCCCTCAGCGGGCAAACGAATCAGTTTGTTCGAGTCTTGTTGTTATCTTCTCCTGAGACCTAGAGAAAAAAAACTTGGGAACCAACTCTGCGCTTCATTTCGTTCCACTGTGTTCAAATGAATCAGTTTGTTCGTGTTCCTTTGTTTCTTTTCTGCCGGGACCTAGAGGAAAAAAACTTGGGAACCAACTCTGCGCTTCATTTTGTTCCACTGTGTTCAAATGAATCAGTTTGCTTGTGTTCTTTTGTTTCTTGTCTCTATATCCCATTCCGCGGATTTCCTTTTCCTTTCTCTCTTCGCGGGGAGTCTGAGAAATAGCATCAGCGCAACCACTTCCTATTAAGAATCAACCCCATCAGAAAAGGTGGATGGTACCGAGACAAATGTCCCTCCCCTACTTTCTCCGCCTCTGCTTCCACGAAGATCGAGAACGAGAAGGTAGCGTTGGGTGGGGACATGCCACACGTTTCGTCTCTCCCTTTCATACGCCATAAGCGATGTCACTGATCGGGGGAACGAACACGCCCTCTCACACACTCTCACTTTTCCCATGGAGATTGGCGCTGAATGGAGATTGAGAACGAGTAATACCTTAGCCCTTCATATGAAACGGGATTGAGGCTCTGTCGTTTTCTTCAAGTCTCCATCTTGTACCTCTCTTTGTGGGGAAGGGAAGAGATAGTGGGAGGCCTTTGCGTGCAAACTTCTGTTTGACGTTGTGGTGGGGTATCCCAGTCTGTCCGACCCATCATCCGTGTAAGATGTTTAGGATTGTGTGTTGTGGCATGTTGGTGTACACTGCCTTGCCTTCCTTCTTCTTTCTGATCCGACCTGGTTTCGTGCGCTTCGGCGGCGGAGGAGGTACTTCGGTGAGATTGAGCGGGAGGGGAAGCAGTGGGTCTGCTTGTGCGTGCGTTCTTGGTAGGGGAGATCTTCGAGGTGTGGAGGCTTGCGCGGCAAGTTGCGCCTTGTGTGCTTGTGTAGAAGCTTGCGAAGGGAAGATTGGAGTTTCCTGCTTCGCGATTAGTGATTATGTTTCTGAATACTTGGGGATTGTGCTAACTTGTTGTGCGAATCTGGGTTAGGGATGCGATAGAGGGCTGTGTGAGGGGGCAGCAGTGGGCATGAAAGTTTGCTACTGCCCCCGTGTCTTTCCAGATACGTCCTGAATGCCTCTGCTTGAACGCAAAGTGTATGCGAAGTTCATTGCATGCCTCCGGTCTTTTCCGTGGGTCATCGACATCCCCAACCCGGCGTAGATGTCTCCTCAGCTTTCTCCGAGCTTTCTTGGTCAAGCCGGTGCGATGTGCGCCGGCACCACTGGTTGTCTACCGCAACGAATGCAGTGATCGTGCAATCCGTGGTTATTCTCAGGTTACTTATCCCTCTGCGATCCGCTCTGCCTGCCAAAATTCATGTAAGGCTCTTCCGCAGAGAGAGCGACTGGAACCGCATCACCCGTATGTGGAGAAAATTCGCTGTGTGTCCCAAATGCCACTGGAGCAATCCTTGCCCCACGTTGTATTCCACCCTAGTCTGGTCTTGGTTTTTCGGTTGGTCGTGCGAAGGGAGCCGTTTCGTGGTTCTTCGTATACGGTGAGACTCATGCTCTCTGTGGGATACTTCGTATACGCGGAGATTAGGCGTGTGTTACGCTTTCTGTATGAGCGTCAGCGCCGTCAACTGCGTTGTCTGAGATGGTGAAATGACCAACCATGGGGAACGGTCCGTCGCCTTCTTGGAAGAAAGGCCACATACATACCGATTAGCAGTGTCCTGCACGCACGTTATGTGGCAGAACTGCCGTGTGATCAGTCTCAGCCAATTCTTCATTTGACTTGGACGTATACGGCTGAAGAGGGTTGAAAATGACAGCATCCTTCGCATTTAAAGGAAGCACCTCTGTGTATGCTGGCGAGCTGCACAACTGGTGCGGCCGCTGCCCGGCTGCCGCTCTATCGAATCTCGATTGCCACACCACAGCTCTCAGTAGGTCCTTTGCAAAGACCTTGAATTCTAGATGGATGTCAGCACCGTTATCCGGAACAATGGAAGCTGCCTGAGGAGATACCTTGCTCAGCTGCAGGCAAGCGATAAGTGGGTAGTACTCGCGACCTGACACTGATTTTCTTGGAGAGCCTCGTTGAAGGTTCTTCCCACCAGTTCCTCGCATATTGGCTGCCAGCACCTGAACCGTCTCAGCCGGAAGAGGCAGCCAAATAGGACAAACATATATGGCGGCCTCTGGAACGGCTTCGTACACGCCGCAACAGGCGTGCATCGACCCTCCAAGGATCGCTCGATCGTCGGCCGCGCCATGTCCACTTTTCGCCTGATTCTTGCACCTCAAGTGGTATCTCGATATCGCATCTAGGCGCAACCGGGAGAAACACTCTCGGATGTGTTTGCTCGCCTTCTCACCCGCCGCATAGGGCAGGTAACAAGCTTAAAGCAATGCCGTTGCAACCGTATTCAACATACCGCGAACCCTGCGTGCATTGTCCAACCAAGACACAATCCGTGAGGAACTACAATCGCAGTGTGCTGCCTCCGCTGTACTCATCAAATGATCGGGAATTGTGTTGGTGTCTGTCTTAGGTGCGAGGGGATCGATCGGTTCGTCCATTAGGTGGCGTTTTCGAGATGACCATTTTCAACGGCCGAGTGGGCTCGTCACTTGGGGCTGAAGATCTCTGCGGCATCTGGAGACGCAGCTGAGTAGCCTTTGGATGCTGGCCGGGCGTTCGAGTCTTCAAGAATCTGTGAAGCCATCAGAAGCTCGCCATGCAACTCTTGGAAGCACCCATTGATCACCAAGAAACTTACCTGGCACCCGTTTCCCGGCGGCTGTGACTCTTGAACGGCTACCCCAATGTCAGCTCACGTTCCGCTGAATAGTTTCAACTGTCATAGTTGGAGCTTTCGATGCGACTCAATTCCGCTGCTTCCACCGTTCACCTCTCCATGTACCAAAGACGATGAAAGTCGGAAATGTCGACAGTCGGGAAGAAGGCATTTTAGTGTACGAGATAAGCCGAGAGCTTGAGACGAACCCAGCTTTCGTGCTTCGCTTCGGCCAGCCTGTGCGCCTGTCTGCATCATTGTGTATCTCCCTTGTCTCCCTTGTGATCATCGAGCCTGAACGCTCTACGTGCGCGAGCGTAGAGCGTGGGAAGCTTGTATTGCGCGGTGGGATCAATCAATCTCGTAGCGAAACTCGGCGTGGCAAGCAGATCGGTGAAAAGCTCGCAAGCTGCGGGGGAAACGTAATTCTGTTGGCAATCTGGGACTTCGGACGATCGATCTGATTGTCTGCTGTCAGAACGCTGTCGTTGAACTTAATTCCTCGACTTGGACGCTGAAGCTTTCTCACCTGGCGGGGGTGGTTCCATAGTCGAGAGGGGCCTTTCGACATGCGACGATTCCCATCGAGTAGCTGGTAAGCTCTCTTACCTTCCAGTTATAACCTGACATATTCGATTGAGGGGCACTTGGAAAGCGTAGCTCGGCCGTTCTTCGAGCTTATTGTGCACCAGCGCAAGCTGGAGATTCCATTGGAGTCTTCCCAAAGTCGAACATGTTCAGCCGATCAGTATTGTTTCTCCGTTTATTTCTGTGGGCACTCGTGGGCTCGCCAAACCGTTTTGCTGCCGTTCGTCCTCTCGGTATTCTCGAAGTCCTCGCTCACTCTCTAACATTTTCTCGTTTCGTGAGACTGTGGGATACTCTTGCTTCTTCGAGCTTCCGAGGGGTGGGCGCGGTTGGAGGACTGCTCTCCATTTCTTTCCAGGGTGCTCAGTAGGTCAGGAAGATCGCCAATAGGGACGGCATCACTGCGTCGGATGAACGTCTCGTAGCCTGTTCAAATTCTCATGCAGATCTGTGCCTGATTTTGTCGCGAGCTTAGCTTTCGACGTATGAGGTCTGCTCGAATGTTGGCATTGCGGGCCTTACCATATGGACGGCTCGATTGAGAATTGTTTCGGGGGAGCACTCTGCAACTTCACCCGAACGAGATTGGTGAAGATGAGCGATACAAAGTCGTGTCTATGTCGCTGCTTTTCGATTGTCTCCCGCTTTCTGCCGGCTCGGTATTTGCCGATTATGAATCTTTCAGCGCTTGAATCCATGTCTCGTCGTTTTATGCAACCTTATCCTCTCTGCCAGAGGTAGACTGGATCCCAATGAGTCTACTTTTCTAAGTAGGTGTAAGGCTCGTTCGACGCGTTTTTAAGCCACCCGCAATCGCCAATCGGAAACAAGCCGGGCTAGATGCATTCAATATGCGCTTTTCCTTGACATTCTTCGATGGTCTTTCAACTTCATCTAACGCCATCGAACTTATAGCGCTGGGCTAAATCTTCGCCCTTTATATCCATCGGCGTCTATGCCTGCACACTTGGCAGCGAGTCTTCTGAGCATTCCGAATCGTGCTACTTCGCGTGCGTGACCCGATTCTACATGCCTTCCTCGCCGTGCTAGGATTTTCGGAATGTTTAAGAGGCAGTCGTGTCAGGTCGTAGCGAACCAAGCTGTTGCGCGTGTCACCGTTTTTGTCGCTCGATTGCGGAGGTAGATATTGTCTAGTATACGTGAAAGGCATCGTGTTCTGATCAATCAAAAGCCTGGGGGAGGTGACTTGTCGGAACTGGTCTGGAAGCCGTGGTGTGATGGCTTTTGGTTCGCGAGGCAGAGTGGCAACCTTGGACTGGCGTCAGTCTGATTGTCTCGCTGACGGACTGCGCGCCCAAAAGGTCCTGGTCAGCTGCGCGTATGACTGTAAAGTCTCTCGTTGAGTACTTTGAGCATCGCGACCGCAAGCTCGCCCGCCGTGCAAGATGTGGGAGCTGAGGCGCAAAAGGCTTGTTGACCCCAACATCGGTATTTCATCGTACCCTGAATACCGCATGCAATCGCAAGGCCACTGGCAATGAGCTATGGTATTTCTCATGCTCTTCGATAGTAGCGCAGTTGTCTGCTCTTATGAGGGGCTGGACGCGTTCCTACGTGTGCGTGGTCAGTCAAAGCCGTTTCCAGTCAGGTTTGTACCAGAAGACTTCAAAGCACAGGCTATGCTTGACTTCTCGCACCTCTTGCAGTGTCAATGACACTCATATCAGCGAAGCGCCAGCGACTATGAGTACTTACCATGGGGGAGAAGAGGCGCGCTCGGTGGGCTGCTCCAGTAGGCTGCTCCAGTAGGTTAGCGTTTGATTGCTGCGATGGCCAGCGGTTAGGGCTGCTTTAAAAAACAGCAAACGCATGACAGTCACAGGCAGCGAACGTGACTATTGGCGTGCTAGTGATATCGCTCATTATTCCTGCGATATTTTTCTTACTGCTCCCTTACATCCATTTTCTCAAATCCCGCAAGTCATCCTCCAGGCCATTCTGTATTACCTTCTGGAGGATCTCATACCCCCACAGCCCTCACTGAGGATCGCTATGAATCGCTCGACTATGCATTTGGGTATCTCTCTGAGCGAGAAACTCAAGATTCCACTGCACACATCCCCCGGTTCTTTTCACGCCGGAGATCCCCCCGACTGACATTCTGAATCCCATGGCAGGAAAGGTAGAGAACAACCCAGTCCAGCTACTGCAGTCGAAATTCACATTTCCCTCCGGAAGAGTCGCAGCTATTCTACGAGAAACGGATTTCATATCACGCACCAAAGATTCCGGTTTTCTTTGTTCCACTCCGCTTCTCTTTTCGATTCCACATTTACGTGCGAGCACGCCGACGGCTTCTACTGGGCTTCAAAGACCTCCCTCACCCACATACAACAACAAAACATGCTCACGTCTTTCAACGTAATCTCTTGATGATCCGTCGTATATCTACCTCTCGATCGACCGAAAGCACAGCATCAAGGCCTGCACGTACTCTGAATCTCGATACTCACGAAAACTCACCACACAAACGGCGTCGCGCTGTGAGCTTTAAGATGGGGGGACAATCAGACACTCTTCAATGCCTACTGTATGGAAATCGTCAACTGGAATAACGTGGCAACACATCCGAAAGAAGGGTAGCTTTTGAGGCAGCCGGACAAGAGGAACAAGGTGCGGCGTTTGAGATTCTGGCTAGGTCTTCGACCCTCATTACAGTTTCTTGAAGCTGATGCTCCTACTCTTGGAGTATTGTTTCTCCAGCTGCTTTCACTACACCTGGAGAGTGAGTCTACGCACACTATTCAAAGTGGTGTACTACTCTTGAGAGGTCTTCTATTGGGATCAGATTACTCAACACACTGTTTAGATCATGACAAAGACTTGATGTGATTCCCATAAACCTAGGAAATTCGATCAGCTCTCGTAGTATCCATCCGGTCTATGAGAGACTGAGAGGCTGAACAACGGGGCATGATGACGAGATCAACATTTGCAACAGTTACAAGTACGTAACCCGCGTTTTTCCGTCTAGAGTGTAGAGATCTTTCGAGTTAGCTTATATACACAATCTCCTATAGGATTACTATCCCTTCCCAATGACTGCACTTGATTGATGAGATGCTGCTTGCTGCATATGAAAGATGTGAATTCATTGATCATTGTATGGAGGAGCTATCTAATTCATGAGCCCGATCCCACGCCACCATCACCGCAGTGCGCGGTATATCCGTCTCCTCCCTCCTAGTGTCCCAGGTAGTACACCCTCAACGACCGGAGGAGGTAGTAGACCTGGCGCAAGTTGCCATTCTCCTCCGTCAACAGGTGCTCCAGTTCCCGGATGAGGGCTTCCAGCGCGGAGTACATGTCGGCCGGGGGCTCCCGCTCTCCCATGTTTGAGCGCCACCAGTTCGGGAATGGGGCCGCGTCTGCCTCGTTGGTGCGAGGGACCCAGGCGAGATTGTCGGCGGAGGTGCGGTTGTGGTTGCGGGTGGTGGCCCAAGACTCGGAGTGCTCCAGGAGCTCGAAGAAGCGGCGGATCGCAGCGGTGTCGTTGCGTGCGAAGGCGGCTTGGTAGGAGGCGAGGAGGGCGAGGAGAATCTGGAACATGGTGACCCTTGACAGGTCGGTGATGCCGTTGCCCACCAAGAACATCTGAAGCCAGGTGCTCCAGAAGTGGTCGGCGCCGGCGAAGATGCTCTCCAAGGTTGCGTAGTTGGTGAGGAGGGGCATCTTGGTTTTGAGGGCTTGAGATGATTTGATGTTGGAGATGAGGTGGTGTTTTTGGTGAGGAAGTGATGTGATTGGAGAGAGGAGGAGAGATTGTCTGGGGAAAGGCTTTTTGCCGAAGAAGTAGATTAGCTTGTTGCTTGAGCGAAGATTGCCGCAGCAGAAGGAGGAATTCAAGATGATTTGTGGTATTGGCAATGGTAGTATGAGTGTTCAGGATCTGGAGAGAGAGGGCGATGCGTAGCTGTACTTATATAACCTGGATTGGCTAGGGATCACGTCTTCACCTTGAATTAGCACAATAGTACTCCATACAATGCGGGGTGAAGCATGAGAATCCAGCTTCACGCGATCTAAGCCGGTATATTAGAAAGTGGATATTGTGTAAGAACTGATTGTATAGTCGATCTCACGCCTTGTATTCCAGGCGGCTCTTTAAGCTATTCAATCCCAAAATGATAACATTCTGGATGTACATTATATCTAGTAATCAAAAGCCAAAAGAAGTCGTACCGTATCCACGAAGAATGGTCACGACTGGTCAAGAATCCAGCATCCTAACCTGAAGTGTGCTCAGCGTGCAGCATCACCTCAATCCTAATGTCACCCCCAAGTAAAACAGTGCCACCGACTTTAGCACCCAAAAGTACTCTTGGTACTTCTCCGGGGTAGGAGTCTGGCGTGTCTCCCTCCTCTCCCAGGAATGTACCCGATTCAAGGCAACGTGCATATCAGCAGGAAGTTTATGCTCGATCATGTTATTCCTCCATCATATCATAACTCCGTTGGCATCTGGTGCTCGAGGTAGGAAAGCGATGGACTGGGTATCATCACGTTCCCTGGTGACGTATGCGGCTTCGGCGTCAATATAAAGTTGGAGCAATTCGGCCACGCATTTACACTCGATTCCCAAGGAGCGAAGAATGGGGCTTCGTATCATAATATCCTTCTCCAAGAAAAGAAAGCTATCCAAGAAGTCGAGCTTGCCTTTCGCGGTACGTCCGATCCTCTGGCTGTAGCTGAAAGCCACGTCTTTGAACCTCTGGGTACTCGCGTGAAGATGGGCATTGCCGATCCAATCCATTCGAAGCGAAGGGGTGCTTGTAATGAACACGGTGAAGCCGGAATGGCTCTTTCTCTTGTGGATATTGGCGTGACGGGTTTTGGCCGGCCAGCAGACGAAGAGCAGTAGCTGCACGAGAGGAAGCAAGGGGACAAAGAAGTCACGAAGCCCTTGGGCATTTCCGGGGGAGTCTGGAATAATGACGGGCAGCACGAGCAGCAGCAGCCCGGCGATAATATGGAGAAAGTACATCTCTAGATATTCTCGGTCGGCAATTTTGGTGAAATAAATGTCGTCGATGAAGCGGACGGGATTTCGAGCGGGATATCGAGCGGGATGTGGTGCGAGGTATCGCTGTACTATGGTTGTTGTTTTACTTTGAACTACGAAGCTCTTGCCAAGCGTGGGAAAGTGAGGGGGTAGACTTGAATGCCAAACGGGGCTGTGTCCATGGTAGGAGAGGCTAGGCACTCGCGACTGGGAGAGACACACTTGAGCCTCAAATCCCGAGACTCGAGGCTCGACGTAAGGACATCGATAGTCAAGCCGTGAAGATTGCAGTTGAACATAAACGGCACCTCGAAGCCTTTGGTCGTGGCCAGAAGTAGTTCGAGAAAGCTATACGTGAATTGCTCTTGCTTGTATGGACGCTCATTCCTGCTCCAGCTATGACTATTGTTTTCGTCTCAATGTCGATAGCAATGAACATGCAACAGAGCATAGAGCTACATAAACAGTTCACTGTCACTACAAAGCGTGAGCAAGGACAACAAAGATTATATATGTGGGATGGTCGCTCTGAAACAAGCCGTTGGCTTGATATTGTATGGAGCCCTCCTAGTTGATGATGGAATCATATCCTGGCATAATGTCTCCAATTTGAAGATCTGCCGAACCAAGTTCTTCCCTCTAAAACAGAAAAAAGAATGGTCTCCAATGTCCATTGAACACACTGTTTGATCATCGCATTTCCATGCAGCACAACCACTTGATGTGAAATCACACCTTCTCCCTGATATCTCCCTTTCCGCTCTGTGCTCCTTGTGGATTCAAGTCGACAGCGCTGAATAGGTATCGCTCAATCTTTAATTGCCGTCGTAGTTGCATAGACTTTCGTGAATGATGATAGCCTCAAGCGAAATATAAGTTAGCCACATTGCACATATTTGAATGTTGATTGGCAGATTGGTTCCATAAACATACCAGGCCGATTCCGAAAGTCCGGGGACAAGATTAATGTCCTTCAGGTTCGCCATTGCGCTGCTGATCGTTACCATTGTTCCGAGGGATCCAAATCAACTTCACGTCCCCAGAAAATCGGATTGCGATCGCCGGTCCAGGTTGGATAGAAACCGTGAAGTTGGACAAGTGAAGTAGCAGTCCCCCAGTCAAGTTGAGACCGAACAGCATGAGAACGCCGAGAGCCAGGGTAATCAAGTATTTGATCTGCATATTCGAGTCTGCCGTAGGTGTCTGACTGAGTGTCGGTTTCCTGGTCTTGATACGCTCAAAGCGAGGCAAGTGGTCGATGTGGCTGCTGCGAGGTATCGGCGCCGGAGGTGGCATTTATATTACGGCTGCGAGAGCTAAGATGGCTTTAGCTTGTCAGACAGCCCGATAAATTGAATTGCGCGCGAACGGGGTCGAGAAATAGGGCTTGCGACTGGGATTAGTTCATGGTACCCGCAGCTCGCTCCTCTTAGTTGGTGAGCCGCCCAATCAGTCGTTCTATGCGTGCAAACGGAACTTATAACGTCACATTGAACTGAACTCTCACTAGGACTATGTGGGGTAGCTACGTCTGTCTTACTTTAAGAGTTAGAAACTCACTAGCCAACTGGAGATATCGTGTATATACTGCGGATAGAATCTTCCACGTGTATTGGGACAGGGTCGTTGCATTTGAGTGAAGAATCCTCGCTCTTGCTTGATCTTTAGATATAGATAGCGGCTGTCTCCTGCGGATGTCTGATTGCGCCCGCGAACATCAAGAGCAATCCGCACGCGACCACAAACATTGAATGGATGCTCCACAGAAAGCCATACGTGCTTCAGGTGCGAATGAAATGATATACGAGGATTCAGATCATCATTATGCATGAAATATAGTTGAATGACAGACTCTGGGTCTCCCTTTCCTTATCTTCTCCATCCATACGTCCTATCAGGGCCATCATTCAATCGCCGAGTATACAGCCTTGTCCTCAAATGCCGCATGCCTTTGCAGCCTACCGTTCTTTTCTTATGACAGCACTTGTATTCCGATCTCTTTTGTGTCGTCTCTTCCACGGTTCACTTGCCACCCAAAACGATCTCTGCCTCGCGGGCTACACTCTCGGGAGTCGGGACACGTCCAGGAATCAGATGCACTGGCGCAAGAATAAGGGAGAACAGGGGTAGCGACGGCTGGGTTGTGAATAGTGAGCGACTTTCGACTTGGTGTGGAGCCCGCGTGAGAAAATCAGGGCGAGGTATTGAATGAATATTCCTAGTCGTTCGTATGAGATTGCGTAGGATCAATTGTAAGCTTCTGGTTGCGGGGGATCTAGGCATGCATGTCAGTTGCAGGATGCTCTAGTGAGCTTCCTCATGCCTCAAAGACAGGGCACTCCATCAATAATTTAAATGACCCGTCAACATCGGGCAATGCGCGACCCAGAGCTGCTATTGTAGAGACCTGGCCCGGCGACTTTCGCCCATCATAGATATCTTCTTTCGTTCTGCGTGCGGCTCATCCATGTGATTCCCAGTAGAATTCGCACAGTAATATTCTCAAGCGAAGTGCCTCTCCTCATACACATCCAAATCAGTGCTATTCATTCCATCCTGCTCTCCGGGTTCGCAGCACTAGGCGGCATGCCAAAGAGCATTCACCATGACTTTCCATACCGCCGCCATCGGCACCTAATCGACCAATAGCATGAGGTTCCGCTCGTGCAGGTTGATTGATTGGCTAGTCGGTAGTCACGTGTTGTCTGGGTCCGTGCCCCGAGGACGGTATATAAACCCCCTCTCCCTCCCCTGCTTTTACTTTCCTCATGTGCAATGGGAAGGGGAAGGGTACAAGATGTGGTGGTTAGCTACAAATCAACTATAGCATCTATTCTTACTAAACCTTATTTTTGAATCTCGTTCCGTGGGTCACTGGGCTTGCTCATACTCATGAACACAGTGTCGTTGCCACCTGCACTACCGGCTCCTGACGCGAATCTTTTTCTTTCATTGATTTCCTACTTTTCATTGAGTCTTTTCGCCTTTATGCGGCGGGGCCTCGAGGAAGAGAGTAAGATGTTGTCTCCAAAGGCAAATGGCGTATGCTTCCGTTCGCGTCTTGACGCCGCACCAGCTACATCTATTTATTCACCAGCACAGGCTTTGGCAGCTAGCTTCTACCATATCTATCGTGGCTCTCGATTTGTTGCAGACTGTAGAGTCTTGTGCCTCGAGGAAGCTTGTACTTGTTGGCGATGCTATCGCGCGCGCCGCGCGGTAAAATCGAGTAAGTCTTCTGGTTGCACGCGTGTCAGTCCAACAGCGCCATCCGGGCCCTTTGTGCCTGCCTACCAGACAATACTCGTCGGAGAGGCAACTTAAGCCCATGCAGTCTGGAGCATGGATCTGATGGAATGATCGTTGCTGATGACAACAAACAGGCCATCCCGCGCCATCTGCAACACGCTCTTCCCTCATATGCAGTCTTTTTCGGCTGTACACCTACAACTTTGATCGGTATGCCGAAGCCGTTCGGTCACTTGGTGCGCGCTGGTAAGGATCGGACGTCTGGCGATGGACATGCGGTCCTCTTATACTGCATACCAACTATCCGAGGTGTCCATGGAATTCTTCTCCTCCGTAACGGCAGCTTCGATCTCTTGTCGCATCTTCTTTGGTTGGTTGATTAACTCAGATGATCTCAGCTACAGCACGTTTTCGCGTGACGAACGTAGCAGCAAACCATGGTTTTCAGGTCATTGAGATCAAGGGCGGCACCGAAATATCCCATACGAGGGACGATACTGCGGCCATCTATCCAGAATTCTCTGGTCGTGTATTGAAAGGGGAATATCTTCAGATCAGACCTGTATATTCCGAATCACAACCGGCAGACCTTGCAGGGATTGATCATCCACTGTTTCGAAGCAACACGAACAACGAGGGGCGGAAGATGATCAATGGACGGAATGAAAGGGCAGGCACATATCAGGGAGCAATTTGTGTATCTTGGAGTAGAGGACTTGATGGCCGCGGGCAACTGGCTTGTGAGTGTCAGAGGGTCACGATTCAGAAGATCCCGCACAGACAGATGTAAGAAGATTGCAGTATGTGTTGTGTAGAATCAAAGCATCAACCATTCTAGGGAGAGGGCTATAGTTAGATCCCAGTCTTGCTACCGATGGGGTGTATCTTGGCCACTATTTGAATTTGCGAAAGAGAGAAGAGGATCACGATTGCAGGCCATCAACAATCTGCGCGTGGATCTGGAAATAGATGTGTCAGGGCACCAACAGCAGGTTTGTGAGCTTCAGCGAATGAATCGTCATTGCCATCAATTTCTAATTCAGATACGAACTACCACTATGGCCACCAGTTGTGCCCCAATCCCATCGATCGCCACGGCCTCGAACTCACAAGAGGATTGTTTCCGTCATAGCCCTCAACCCGCTCCTTGCGTGATAGAGTCCACACGGCTTCCGAGACAATGGCGAACGTTATCCTTGATGTAATCAGAGCTGCGGGCCATAGTGACCACAGCTTTTTGCTCCCAGAAGCGTGAAGCGTGCGTGTCCCTATCACAATCTTGCGCTACGTCTAACGCGAAGAAAGGTGCCAAGAAAGTCTTGTAAACCTCAGCAGGAGTTGTAGCATGGGACTCTCAATCCCTTGCAATGTGACTTGTAGTTTCAGATCACGCAGCGTAATTCTGTCATTATGACTCTCCACGCAAACCGTTGTGATTGCGAGATTACTGCCCCCTCACTTCAATTATGGCAACCTGCCCTGCTGCTTCTTCTCCTACGATTCATGTGTACTGTGGGGTTTTGTAGTGTTCCAGATATGATAAGCGAGTATTCGAGCGGGTATGCGTGCGGGTATGCGTGAGGGTATGCGTGCGGGTATGCGTGAGGGTATGCGTGCGGGTATGCGTGAGGGTATGCGTTTTCGGCAACAGTGAGGCGAAAGCGACTGTCGTCGCGCGTGAGTGTGAAGTACCAATTCGGTGGACGGTCGTTCTCGCAATCGGATAGGGCTAGCAAGAAAGCCGCATTCTGCAAGTGTAATGTTGTTGTGAAGGTGTTGACTGACATTCAATAGTTCGTTCGGTGGTTCGTTCGGTGGTTCGTTCAGTCAATCGTCGATCGCGGGAAGAGAGTGGGAGGGAATGACAGCTCGTATACTCTTTCTGGCAGTCTTTTCCTGTCGATACATCGGTGTATACTTTTGACACTGTGTGAACTTCTCGAGGGGCCCTACCATGGGTCTTCCAACTTACTCGTGGCTGCAACTCTTTTGTGATTGTTTCTTATTGTGATATTGTGGAGTTTGTGAGCAATGGGATCTCTAACAGCACAGTACGGGGAGCACAGTGAATTGCCCAACGATCGGGTTCATTCCACATGTAATCTGTGAGCGTTTCTTTCTTGGACTTGCGCGGTGCCTCTCGAGGCACCACTGCCTACTGCTCGCGACTTGCTTCCGAAGTACCCAGGCCCTTGCCTCTTAAGTGTGTATATCAAACTTGGTGTTGGGCAGCCTTTGGATATATGAATGTCTTTGGCGTTGGCGTTGGAAAGCTGGACGTTGGTGTGTGCGGCGTCGTGGGTGGGTATGAGGGAGATCGTGACGGTGGGGCGCGTCTTCAGCACGGATAGAGGCTGGTGTGGCGGCTGGGGCCTTTTGACATCGGGGAAGCTTCGATAGGTATTCGTCGTACTTGGTATCTGTGTCGCCGAGGTTGAGAGCAAGGTCTGGCCTTCTGGCGAGAGAGGGGATCGGCGGTGTTGGCGGGTGGGAGGGGGAGGGGACGTGAGGGTGGATGGCTGGGAAAGGGCTGCGGACGGACCGGTCAAAGATGAGCTCCAGCTAGCGCGGAACTCGTTGCATTATTTTCATGCATGCTCTGCCGCAAGTTTGATGCAATATTTGAAGCAGCGAATGCGGTTATATTGGCACAACAGATTGGTAAATTATATTTTCGCGGGCAGTGTCTTCAGCTTGTCACCTTAGGGCACGTCTACTTACTCTCCGTTTGTCTACGTGCGCAGCAGGTACATCATTCATTGCACCTAATCCATGCCCATTATACCTTATACACAAATTATATCAAGAGACTCGCGATAAACCACTATTCACGCCGGTAGAACAATACCTTCATCCAGCATAGTTCTGTTCTTAGAGTCACATTCGTACTCTACTCTTCCCGCACACCCCAGTAGCAAAGATTTTTAACTACCTGGTTATCCTTCTTCCAGCCTCAACAGGCCTTGCAGACCGCCATCCTTCTAGAGTAGACGCTATTCCAATCAATAACGTCCAACCCAGACAATTGGCCCTCCGTTTTATCCATCAATCTCTCCATAGTCTAATTGCTTCCTTCTTTGTATGCCGTTCTTTTAAGTCCTTCCCGTGTGGGTTGTATTGTACCGTACGTCGTCCGCCATTTATGCCCGACCTCATTCACCAAGGACCACCATGGCTCAAGACTGACCGAATGAACTTAGACGACAACAATCATTCGATGAACCTTGCGTGGGATCAGACTCCCAGCGGGGGTGGAAATTTTCAGGGTATCGTAAGCTCGCCGAACCGTTTCGCCTGCCCGTTTCTCATCGATCATGGTGTATGATGGTATCCCTGTCGCCAATTAGCATTGCAGTCGGTAGCTGTGATGACAATCCCTTGGTCAACTTCTCTTTTCCGTATGAACCAATTTTCTGCAATTTACTGGCAGCGATTTCGCACAAAGATGCCGCCCGAGATCACTACAACACTTGCGGTGATGCTTTTTCCCAGACTGAGCAATACTAAAGAGATTGTTGTCGCAGTCGCCTTTTCGCCCCTATTATGGACTTGGCCGGAGTTGCCAACTTTGCATATTTCCCACCCGCGAATCTTCGAGCCTGATACACCGTAATTTTTTTTTCTCCGATCAAGCGTCGGAAACGACGCCGAGAATAAGGGAGTCGTGGTATATGCACGCACAAGGGACGGATGTCGTTCGTTCGGGACAGGGATCGCTCGACAGGGGGTTCGCTTGATCACGCTTCAGACGAAAGCGCCAAACCTTAACCACAGCTCAACTCTTTCACCACGCTTCCCTTCAAGTCTCCCAGGCACGTATACACCACCCGCCTATGCGTCGGATTGAAGAGGCTCATGCCGCCGACTGATGGATAGGATATTGCAATGGAATTGCAATCGGCGCTCGGTGGATCTGCGCTCGTTACCACCAGTGAAGACGGCTTGACTCTTGGGTAAGTAGGCAGGTCGACATGGTTGTCAAAGAATTCTCCTGGCTTCATTTGATCAGCTTCATCTAGCCCTGGGCACAGACGATAGATGGTATTCCCAACTTACCCATTGCTCCATGAAGAATCACCGGGTCTTCACAACTTTCGTTGTGTGATGTCTGCTGACGGCCTGCCCTTCGCACATATCGAGAGAACCTGATATAGCAGCATCCTGCGTACGGGAGAGTATCAAGAATGATGGGATCTCATCGGCAAGAGAAAGGCTGTATACGAAGTGCCAGTAGTGGACGAACGATCGAGTGGCGTTATTACGGCTGATGGTGTTGAACTATCTGGGGCGAGCACCACGTCAGCATATTCATCAACAGATTACACTCACCTTTGTTGCCGGAGTTCTTCTTAGCTTCGCCCAACTGGCTACTAGACTCCGATAGGTACGTTGAACCGCGAACTCATCATCGGAGGCCCATCCCGCGGCAACACGAGACCCAAGTCAGATAAGCCATGAGGCTTCCTTCAAGGCTAGGGGCGCCCATTACAGGCTACTTATGGAAACGTCCGGTAATACCACCACTAAAGCGGTCCCCAGCTGATTTGTCGGTTGCGATACCCGCGGTCGGTGTCATCTACCTCTCGTGACTCAAAGTAGTTCCCAACAGGGAAATCTTTGTACCACCACGAGGGAGAAATGCGATGCTCGTAGTCTTCCCACCGCGCCAAAAGCGGCCATTGAGGACCGAACTGGACGCCGGTTGGGTCGAACACGTAGACCACCCCGTCACTCAGAGTGATGACATACGCGCAGTGCATGACGACGTAGTAACGGGAGGGCTGAAATTCCATTTCTCGAACCCTCACCACAGGTAGTCGAGGGTCTAAAGCAAGGTCAGCAAGCTGGCGAAACTGCAAAGTATCTTCAAACGTGAAGCACTTACTGTCGAGGATCAGGGTATACACAAAGTCCCACAACCACCAGAAGGCGGCTCGGCATTGTGAATCGTGGATCCACATCCTCTCCCACCACCATCGCTGCTCGGGGTTGGCTCCGGTCGGATACGGAACCCAGGGATGCTCGCGCTCCCGTCCGGCGGCCTCAAGCCCATCTTGCAAAGCGACGCAGATGCGCCCCAGCTCGGCTTCCACGGTGGTGACATCCCTACTGTGTCTACGACACAAGCGCTCGCTGTGCCTCGCCGTATCAAAGAGGACTGCTGCGCAGACGCGGCATCGGGGGACCATGAGGTGGAAGGTGTGCCATTTCTTGAATTTGATGTTCCAGGGTTTGTCGAGTTTATCGTCTTCCATGTTGACAAGTTGGTGATCAAATATCGATCAATAAAGAGGTGGTGATGGCAGATTGAGCAGTTGGGTTTTTTTGTGTTGGGTGCGGGGACAATCGTAGGTGTTTGAGCATTAGCGAATGCCTTCCTGTTTGATTGTCTCACCTACATTCCTTCACCTCTGATTCTCTGAATCGATAGATAGCCTACGCACAAGGTAAAAGAGTATTGTGAACACTTACACGCTATGCTCTCCCTCAAGCTCGTGCCTGCGTGGCATGTAACCTAATGGAAAACAGTCTGAGGGGAGAATGGAAGAAAGCGCGGAACTGTGCTAAACCGTGAAGCCTTCCGGGTTCAACGCCATTAGATCATTCTCATTGACGGCTCAAATAGCAGCTCGCCTGACCTATGTGTACTTGTCAGCCTATCAAGCTACCATGTGCCACGTGGTCTAAGGGATGGTAAGTGCAGATCTGTCAGTGTATCAGTGATGTTGTAGTTAACGGAGACCGGTTCGATACTCCCTCATGCAGTACAGGCCCATTATTCGGTCATCATGATGCCGCATCGTACTTGATGCACGAGCAGATGCAAGTTGCATGTAGTGTATCTGCGGAAAGTTCTCAAGGGGTTTGGAGATACCTAGCTAGTTTGTGTAGATGCAATGGCGCGATGATGCCAATATGGTGACAGGATGCAGTTCAAAACATAATACAGCAGGCAGTTAATCCTGAGATTGAACTTGGAGACATATAACGAAGTTTTGATTACTGCTATCAGAAAGGGGTTGACAAATATTGTCAAAAGCTCAGTAGTTTGAACATTTCTAGCTATTTGAAATTCATAGAACAAGTAAACATATGATTCCATAACCTTGTTCCTTTTTTGAAGTCATCAGGGCATTTTCACGCACTGAATGCATGGAAATGCGTGATTTGTTTGCTTGGTGAAACCGCTTTGCTTGGGAAAAAGGTAACTCAACTGCTTTAATGGGAGGTTTTCCAATGGCTCGGTCGATAAATGGGGATGAGATGTGTATCTGGTCTAGCCATTAGCAATATACTTTTCATGTAATGATTAAGACGCGGGGGGGGGATATGTTGGCTCAGAGGACGCATGTATAGTTTGGTGCAGGATGCGTCAGTCTCAACATAGTTGCTCGTGAATTGAAAACTACTTCGTCGCTCATCACAGTCAGGGAACTTTGCGTACAGAAAAGGACTGTAACACTTACCAAGTTGCGTAGTGATCAAGACCAGAAGACTGGGGGTGGCAGAGTATATAGACATAATGAGTTAGCACATGGACTTTGATACAAACGAAGGGCTTGGAGTGTAGGTTAGGCTCAGACGAAAGCAACATCCGGTGCATGAATTGCTGCTTAGTTTCTCAACAGAAGATCTTCTGATTTGAAAACTACAAGTTTCTCGTCATCATCGCCGGGGATGGAAATTGAACATGCGAAATCGGGTCGCTCGACTTACTAATTGTCAAAGTGATCTGTACGTAGCTATACGCGGCACCAGGATTATGTTGCACTGAAGAATGTTGTAAGCTACATCCGCCCGGGGAATAAAGAAGGTTCATGGGTGAATGTACGAGATTCAGAGCGTTGTTGTTCGTGATGCGTTGGGGAAATTTGCAGGCCTTGCTTGTGCAATTGATTACCTGTCACGGATTTACGACTCGCTCGATTGCACACCCCAAACAGCAGGGAGAAGAGAGGCCCCGGAGGCCCGGCTATCGGCTGCAGCGAGGACGACGACTGAGGAGTTGAAGTTGGCACGAGAAGCAGGTCCTTGCGCTACGGTATCTGCGAGCTTGTCAGCCAATGTCAGAAAAAGCGGAGGTGATAAAGCATGTAGGTATCCATCGCGTCAGAACTAAGGCAGTTGTACCTTCATGAGCTCAGAACAGAGATATATCTCATCATGCAATGGGGATAAGAGGAAGATGGAACATGGGGACTCACTGATCATTGTCGTCGTGTGGGTGGATTTGCGGGAGTAGATTTCGATGGAGGTGGAAGTGGGGGGAGGAAAGTTTGTGGACAGAAGGTCGACCGGTCAAAACAACTGTTTGTGTCACGCTACGCGCTTTGGCTTGGCATTGTTTGTCAGAAAACAGCGCAGGCCTACGCGACGAGGATAAGCTTGGGCGGGGCAAGTCACAGGTGGTAGTATGACGTAGCCTGCTTCGTGGGCACGGGTTTGCGGTTGAGAAGATGAAGCGCCTGGTTGATGAATGCCTCCATGGCTCTGTATTCTGATTTGAAGAGCTATCGAAGGCCTTCCCTCATATGATTACGCTGAGACTATCCGGACACCACCTTAAGACAGATACAGCGATGTTGATCAGCACCAGGCAAAGGAAAAGACTCGGTTTGAACGCCATTGAAGTTTCCGCCATAGCATCATCCACGTATATCGACCCTCAAAACCCACGTTACTGCTGTTCCATCGTCGACCATGCCACATCCTTCCATGCACAATTACGCCGCAAATCCAATGATCGCCCTCACCGATTCACTGAAAAAGACATAGTTCTGCATGTCTTGCTCTCCAGCCCCCGGTGCGCAAAACAGTCCATCGCTCGGCCGGCTTGCAACCTCCCAAGCCCATGATTCCAAAGCAATGCCCGATGCTCGAAACGCCCGCGCTTGAAGTAGATTCGGCGATGATACGCTGATCCTTGCGCAGATTACGCTCTCCTCATTCAATCTGCTTTCCCTTCTCCTCCGAGGCGATATATGAGCAGTGTGAACGTCACGCTCAGCTGTTGAAACGACAACTTCCCGTGCCTACGGCTGCCGATAAGCCTCTCCTCTACAATCCACATTAGGTTGCTTCGCTGTGACCTGATAACCACTCTCTGACATCTCCAGCTTTCAGGTGTAGTTTCATCGTTTCAGAATTATCCACGGTGCTCGATCGAAATCCCCAGCCTCCCGAGCGACGAAGAGACGACATGATGCGCTTGAACAACCAGAACATCCCGCGAAGAATCGTCAACGAATTTTTCGACCGCCCGCCCTATCGAACCTACAAGGTCACACAGTGTTGTGTACGGTGCGCTTTTACCATTCGCTCTGCCAATCTCCACGAATCAGGAATTTCTTACAAACCCCAGCGAAGGAGGACATAAGGGAGGGAAGAGTGGTGATTCGACTACAGCGAGGGAAGGATAAAATGGTCTTGCAAACTGCTGGTAGTTCAAGCTGCAGGGTTAGGGTTAGGAAGTGCTGCATGTGAGCGCGGTGAGGGTATAGAGACAGGCCCTCTGCTTCTACCATTGGTAGACAGTCGGGTGGTCTCCGTCTTCAAATTTTGAGCGGAACGGACTATGATACGGAATGGAGAGTTGTGCCGGAGAAATGCTTCAACGAGACTCACTGCATTAGATTGAACTCCGCAGTCATATCGAGGTTTCTACTTGCGGGATCTTCAGGTTCCTAATCAAGATCCCATATCTTGGTATACTCTTGAGCTGCCGCCTCTCTATCCACAAGGATTGTTCGTTGGCACTATGTGCATCACAGGTGGAGCATATTGATTAATGGAAAAGGATTTATGCTCAATTGCGCGTGCAGAACCTAAATACAGCGATTTAATATGATAGGATGAGCAGAGGGTAGAAACGCTATTGCAACGAGAAAACGATTGTGTCGTGTCCAATCCATCGGAGCGCTCTGAGCTCACGCCAAAAGGAACAGGTGTCGTCCATATATTACGCGATCTCAGGAAATCTTGAAAGATTCCCCTTGCATCCTGGGAAATCACATAGTTTCAATTCATAGGAACTATCTCAATTGACCAGGAGAGACTTCCTATTTCCAAACTTTGCTTGTGAAGCATGTAATGCATCATGCGTGCCAAAGCACCGCATTGCATGCAACACCGAAATGGGCCCTCTTCTCTTGTTTCTGTTTTTCCCATGTATACACGGCCATAATAGTCGTCTTTTTCAATCTCGGTTCATCGCCGCCGTCCGAGGAGAAGTGGCCGTTGCTTCCGAAGTCTGGGTAGCCGCCGTCGTGAATATCCGCGACTCTGGAATCTATTCGGAAAATTTCAGGTCAGCAAAGAAAGAAGGCTGCTGGTCAAAGGTTATTTACCACCTTGAAGGTCTAATCTCCAAGGATTGGCATGATTCATGAACAGCGGGCTGCCAGGATACGAGATGTGCTGCAGTTGAGAATGCCCAGTGAAGACTGTCTGGATCTAACCGCGAGCACACAGATTGGCTACGGATGCGTCATGTGCTACGTGATGGAGTAGCAATACCAGAAGGTCCATACGATCGTGGGGAGTAACGGGAAACCCAATAGAGGTCGATGTTCTAGGCGATGCGTAAGGTGCTGGCGAAAGAAGTGGGTACGTTGTTGGTGCGAAGGAGATGGCTTCGTTTGTCAAAATCAAGACCTGGTCGCATGTTTTTCTTTTGCTTGGAAGTAACAACGTTTCCTACACTCGAAAATGCTGATGAGAGAGGTTTGACAAAAGGTATACGGGCGCAAAAACGCTCACCGGGTCGCAGAAAAAGCTGCGTGTATGAGGGAAGGCATTGTTTGTGCGCAAGAGGATCTTGGGACTCTCGCAGTAGGTTGGTTTGTGTGAAATCCTGGGCCACGGAAAGTTTTGCCTTCGGTCACCGGGGAAAACCACAAGATCGCGCGCGGATCCAGAACAACAACCAAAAGAAGGCGATGGACAAATCTTTCCAACTCCAACACATTACAGAGAGTCAATAAAGCTTAACGGGCTGCGAACAACTACTACGAGCGCTAACTTTGATAGAAAATATCTCAAAGAACAGCTTCTTCCTCAAGTCACCAGTGAGAGCCAGTGAACTCAATGAAAAAGATAAGAAGTTCGCGTCAGAAGGCGTAGTGGAGGCAACAGCGACACTGTGTCCATGAGAGTATGAGCAAGCTCAGGGAGACTCACGGACTGTTCTCAAAAACTCAGCATGTCAAAACAGCTAGAAACCAGCTTTTTAGACTGGATGCCAACGGCCTGAACCACTCCACCGTCGAGGTTGGCAAGACACTCTAAGGATACCGTAGCTCAGGGTCATCGGCTTCTGAAGAGGAAAAGAAGGAGAGAGAGAGTCGGAGGGGAGGGAGGGGTTTATATGGACCCCTCCTTCCAGCACGGACCCAGCGTTCACGTGAGCGGAAGATGCGAGCCGTCGGCTGATTGGACAGATATAAAATGAGGGGCAGTATATCGGCCGATGATTTGATGTGGGCAAGGTATAGGTGAAGCTGGTTCCATATGTGTTGGTAGTGGCCTTTCTTAGCGGCGTCTCAATATGCCACCACAAGCAATTGGAAAGCGCAGAGCACACTGCAAAGAGGGCTGGAATGCCTGAAGTAATTCAGCTTTTTAATGATGATTTTATTTCTCATGATTGCGGCCTCTGCAATCAATCGTCAAAGCGGCCATGCAGGGTCTTTCGAGCCGTCTGCTCATATGGTGGGGAGGCCGATTCAATCCATAAACTGCGAAGCGACAATACGTCGCTCCATGCTTGTGTGAATTGAACCATCTGTTTTCAAGGGCTTTCAAGAATCACAGACGCAACGGAACTACCTTTCCCCTCGTGAGCTCGCACCTCAATCGCTAGTGACAAACTTTGTACAGGTTTACCACTCTCGAAAGGGAGCCATCACAGCGTAGAATATTTTCCCGATGTGTCGACTAGTTCACCAAATTTTGGCATTCCGTTCTTTTGCACTCAGAGTTTGGGATTGTTGATTGTATTCTTGATGCAAAGAGCTTCCGTACAAAAGTTGGCATTCCAAAACAGCGGATGCGATGCTTCGGTGCGCGAGGGTTTCCAATATTTGAAGACCACGAATTGGCCGCCTATCTGATCCAACTGGGTTTTTGTAGCCGCTACAGAACAGGAAGTTGCGTTGGATTCCCGCTCATAAGCACCTACTTCTCTACCAGAATGCAGAACCTCGTCCATGTTCTTTTGCCATTGAAAAGACGTACATGTGGGGGATCATTCTGTGTCTGATACCATATCATGAGGGAGGGCGGGATTCGAGAGCCTCAAGCTGCGGATCAGATGAGAAACGGCACACTTATCCTGCTCGAATTGGCGATATCACTTTGATACTTACGAACTTCAGTGCACAGCACTGAATGGTTTTGGAGAAAGACTAGATATCAAACTCGTGACAGAGTAAGAGAATTGAACGTTGAAACTCGTAGCATTTCCATTCCTGTGGTGTGGATAACCTATATCAAACTATCTGGTACATTTCTGTCATCTGCTACTGCTTTGCCGTGCCCACGGGTCCACGAAGAGGACGAACTCCGAGGATTTCCGCCTTCACCATAGAATCACGTCGAACCACGTCACCAAAGGAAACTCCCGCTTCCAACCGCTGCTTCTGCCTAATCGAAGCTCTTCTAGAAGCCTCCCCCGGGCCGACCCCCTCCGGTGCCAAGCCGCACTGACCAGGTCCCTTGGTATAAGTACCCCCTTCCCCCCTCGTCCTCCCTTCTTTTCTTCTCCATCCCGGTGCATGGGCAGGTAACCTGGCCAGTGAAGATTTATCTGAGGCGGGTTCTTTGCTGATTGTGAACTACAATCTTGACTGCTCCTGTTGGTCTTCGGATCGGCAGGGAATTTTTGAAACCTTTTCTTATGCTTTATACTTTTCATTGACTGACATACCCTGTGGTGTGCTTTTTAGGAAGAGTCTATTGATGATTGCGAAGTGGTGTTATATGATTTGAGCTATCACGATGTGTTGCCCCAGTATTGTATTATATGTGAATTGGTGTCATTGTGTTGTACGTGCCACGAAGCCAGCCAATAACAAGCCGCGCACTGTATTTGATGATCTAGCAGTGTAAGAGGTGAAAGCGCATACTGGCATAGCTTCCGTTTTTCTTTCGATGTAAGGCGTTGCTGAGGTCGACGGTGGGTGTCAATCTTGAGTTCCGGTGTCCGGCTCGCTCCTCATACGTCTTTAGCGTAGATGCCATCACCATCTCTTCACTGTGAGCTACGTGGTGACATTCGCTCATTTCAGATATTTTCAGCCACTCAAAGTGTCTTCGGGGGCGAACATGTTGAAGAACCGGACAGCGATCTTGGTTCGCCATCTTTGCGCGAATGCGTTGCAAAGCGCGAAGCCCATTGACAACGCTGACCTGGAAGTCTACGACCAGCATGCGAGTATGGCTGTCAAATCACACGCTTTACGTGAATCACTAGATTCCAGAATTTCCACCCTTTGCTTGTTGCCATGCGCAATCACTGCGCATTTGATGGATATGCTAACTCATTCTTTTGCTGAGCATCATTGTTGACACTACTACAGCCAGCCCCACTCAGACATACATTCAGAGAGCCACAAAGGAGCGCTTGAGAACATCCCTACAAGCCCCAAGATAGACTACTGCCTTGCGCCGCTCACATTCATGCTATATTCTACGGAGCTTCTTTGAGTCGATGGAACGGAAACTAGCCAGCGGATTGCCCCGCCACCAAACAGTCCAGCTTGCCCCAATATCCACATCCCGACCTCTTGTACGCGATCCTCCAGACACCCGCCGTCTACCGTTCGCTGGCCATTCATGCCAATCTATCCCTGCGCCTTTAAAATCGAGGGACACAATCCTACGAGAGCAGCGACTATTGTCTCCGTTCGAACGATCATCCCCATGCGAAGTACCGATCGCGCTCGCCGCCCGTTCAAACCTGACCATACGCCGATGCCTACAAAGTGCCGCACGCTCCTAAGGAGAGCCTTCACAACCACTTGCACAACAAGTCCCGGGCGCGGACTGGACGACTTCGTGCGATTGTCGCGCTTCCGCAACGACCGCGTCGCAGACCACGAGCTGCCCGCTTCCTTGGGCCTTCAGCTTTCTGAACGCTACGACACCGCCGGAAACGTCTATTCAACGTCAGTCAGAGGCCAGCATATGTATGCATCTGTAATTCCGCACTCTACAAACGCAAGCGTTGATCAACAACAGGCGCACACAAGTACTGAAAAGGCTACTATCGAGATTCAGGTCCTCGCATTTCGTATGCTCCGAGCCGCCCATGGTCTGAGATGAGATTCAACGGCTTCCACGATTTTGTAATCATTCATATCACCTAGCCTAAAGAACGAGCGAGAGCAAGCTGTCGCGTATGCTCTCTCGGCTTAAGCAACACCTGAGACATAGGGTACGAAGCGATGGAGACAATCTCATGAGCTGAAAAGCATCGCAACTGATGAATTCAGCAAAATTCGCAAAAGCTACTGCTTCTCATTCATGCTACTTCGGAGAAGCCGTGCTCTTCGATCTACTCAGTTGAGTCCCGCTTCTCAACATCCACGGACATACGAGATAATAGCTTTACTTGGAACAAAGACACACAATAGAACTTCCAGCAATGATGGCAGGCTTTGCGTCGACTGGCCGAATGTTACGCTGACCCAAAGAAGATACAGATCCCATTGATTGCGAAGCTCGCAGCTAGGAACATCGTACGGCTGGGGCTATCCCCATTTGGAGCATAACACTTTGTAGGTGACTTCATGAGAGACCCTACATCTCGATGGCTCTAATTATTCTCAGATATCTAGGACAAGCAATGCTCCTACTAGCACGTCTCCGAATCAAACTCTTCTCTCACATAGGGAGTTGGGCTCCGTCGTTCCTTCTCGATCTCCCAGTGATCACAATCTTATAACCTTCCCGCCGCTCGTACCGTAACGCAGTCCACCGTTGCCGACTCCGCTACCAACCACAACCTTCGGTCCTTCGCGCCACCTACAACTTCGGTGGATCTGTTTTATGATAACCATGGAATATCTGTGGTTCTGTCTAGATCTCGAGAGGGGGATTTATCGTTTTTTATAATACCAAGTGTTTGTCCCATATTAAAATGCGATGATTCACTGCTGAGATGGATTAGTTCGATTGAGTGCGCGTACTCCGTGGGATCCCTTCTTTCATAACTCCCCGTCTGTTCTTCAGCAAGATGTCATCAAGATTTACTCTACACACTCGCCCAGAAGTGGCAGACCACTGGTATGTTGCGTATAGCTCAGGGATGGTGGAATAAGATAGTTTCGATACCTACGGGAGAATACATGCACAGGTTCGTATATCAGCTATGCTTTGTCCACTTTTTTGCTTAAGACTATCATGTTTCAGTTCCCGCGATGCTCACTGCACCGCATCCCTGCGCAGTGCCTCCTCTGTTTTCTCGCTCTCTGTCCAGAGGTATCCGATAAGCTTTCCCCTTCTCTTTATCTCCTTCCCGTTACTACTTCATGAGTGACAGTAGAGTCATTGTGCTGACTCTGTACTTACCTCTATAGCTCACCTGTCAAAATGCCCTGCGGGATGCCTCTAGTCACGATCAACCAAACAAACCAGCCCAGTTCGAATTAGGATAGCCACTTAAGTACTCAAACTTCCCACCGTCTAGCGGTATGCAGGCGGGCGATCAAGTCAAAGATAATTGATTGAGGAGTTAGCAAGCTAAAACCTTTGACTTGTTGTGGAGAACACATATCACAAGATTACAAATCTTTCACGTACAATCTCTTGATATGAACAGGATGAATTATCATATCAACCATTTTGTAAGTTCAGCATTGCTTACACGACTTTGCAGTTACCAGGAAGCTGCCTAAGCGCTTCACAACAATAAACTTTCAACGACATAGAATTAGCAGGATCGATCGCCGCAGGCGGTTTTTTCACTGATCAGTGACAATGCAAACGGCCGTGTGAGCGGTGAAGAATGATGTGATACTATTCCCAGCCCCAGGTTGAGCTGTCCCATTGCCAACAATAGGGTGTGGCTTAATCCTACGAGGGGGCAGAAACACAACAGTCTGGCTGAAGAGTATAAAAAGATGCAATCAATGTCCACAAGGGGGACATCATGGGTAGAAATCAAAGTTGGGCGGCTCCCAAACAGGAGCATACAAGCCCAGTTTGATGGCATCGTTTAGCATATTGATGGAGGACCAATTTTGCGCCAGGTCTTCCTCTGGATCATTCTCGGTTTGCTGAAGCTTTGTGTCGCCTTGTGCCATCTCTTCCTCGGTGAAGATTGGATTCTGAACCGTAGAGGATGCGTCTGCTGGATCATCAGAATCATCGTCGCTGATCACGATCACCTCAGCTGGAGACGCATGTCGAGTACCATGTGGCTCCTGATCATCGACTGGATCGCTAGCTTGAGCGAGAAGCCGGTGGTTGTCCTCGTTGATCTCAGGAATCTCACCAGTCTCATTGGACTCGTCGACTTGATCATCGCCTTCGTTGGTGGCCTCTTTACCCACTTGTTTGTCGATCTTCTGACGCTTTGCAAATCCAGGACCAGCTGTACTCATACCGATATCGTTGTAAAGGGTTTGCATCTTAGGAAGTCGCTTGCCACTCAACTTAGATCTAATGTCGTCGCTACCCTCGCCGGTTTTCGGCTGCTTCCACGCTCGACTCGAGGGCATGCGAGGCTCGAAGCCATCCTACATTGTATTTTTGTCAGTTGGTCGAATGCGAACGGCATAAGTGTCACGTACCAAAGGGCAAGCGCAGTAGGCCAGAAGCCGAGTTGGACAGACATCGCAGTAGGGAAGGCGAGCTGTGCGCATCCTCTGCTCCTCACCGCCCATGGCTCCCCACGGGATGGCTGGCCTGCTCTTTGTAGGGTCAGCAGAGCCCCGCAGATTAACTTCAAGCGGAGAACCTACCTCGTTCTGCGTATCCAGCAGCTGCTCGCTACCCGTAGCGGCCTCCTCAAACGACTCCATCTGGTTCATGCCCCGGTGTTGTGGTAGAAATGACGTCGGAAGCAGGAGTGAGGGTGAGAGATTTTATGTGTGTGGGAGAGCTAGCGGCCCAGGCTCACCATTCGTTTGCACATTTTTGGTGGATCCTTTTCCGCACTTCAAACGAAATTCACAGCTGTGATGGGTGGAGCTAAACTCGTGTACGACAGCCCGGCCGTGCAGCCTGTGCTATATAGACCAATGTAAGAGGGGCTGCTTCCAGGTGAGAGTACTCGCATATCTTCGCCACTGTTTCTGGATGAAAACAATCGGTCATAACTTGCAAGCATCAGTCACGACACCAACTTAAAACCGCATACGTAACTGGCTGATGCTATATTAGATCAATACTGAGAAATCTGCACACTGATCATCTACTTGAGAGCGGATTAGTACCGTCTCACCATGTATCAATGCTCAAAGAGTTTCCTCGACTGCCCACACCATGTAGGCCTCACAAATACGCCTGTATCGTGACACAGCACTCGGGAAGTATGATTGAAAGAAACATGATTGATTCCAATATATCTAATCTTGCTCCAGAGATATTTGATCAGCTGAAGTTGTTGGTGAGGAGCATTTTATCCGCAGTCGTCATCGTCATCCTCGTCGTCATCTTCGTCCTCTTTTTCTTCAGTCTGTAAATTTGAACTTAGTAAAGCTTGACATACTCAAGATCCTTTTGCGGTCTTAATATTGTCGGAGCAAAGCTCATCCACGCGGGAATCGACGGCTTTGCGTATCCTCGTCACGTACTGGCGGCGCTGACCCAACTCGAGCCATGCCACTCGGTTGAGTTCTTGCTTGTTGGTGAACTCATTATCCGCCTTGTCCAACACGCGCAGCATGACGCCCGCCCAGTAGCTGATGTTCATCAGCTCCCCCAGATCTTCGAGGGCTTGACAGTGGTCTTCGGGGTCGAGACCCCAATAGTTGCCATTGGAGGTGTCGTAGATTTCCTTCTTGTAGGGGCAAGTGTCCAGAGAATAAGACATCTTTAATGGAGGAGGACTGTGGTATAGATTGGTAATTGAAGGGGTATTGCGACTGTGGGATGATTGTGATGTAAGCTGCCTTTGATACGGTAACTTTTGATGGTGTAATATGATATAGAGGCGATTAGTCATGACCCTAATGTTTTGCTGCTTTGCTTGAAGCAAACAAATTGAAATTGAGTCCGTGCCAAGGCGTCTTAGGATAAACAAACACCGAGTACATACCTTCCACCAACCTTCCACCACCCCGCCATCTCTACCGCACCTCGATATTTGTCACTACCACTCCATTGCCGCTTCTTCTACAGCAGGTCCTCCTCTCTGTGTCTCACGCACGCAACACACAGTATTAGCTTCCTGGTAAGTCACTACACTCTTCTCCACATACCCCAGTCTACCATGATGACTCTTTGTGTGTGTCGAATGTATCTGCAGCGGTGTAGTACATTGTGAGAAACACAACAATGGTCTGATACGTTCCTTGGCGGCGACATCTTCACCTTTGAACACGACTGCTACTTGCGATCCTAATCTTTTTAGCGGTGTTACTACATGTCTGACTGCCTCTAGGGTTCGGTGCTGTATGCAAATTCTGACAAGTTCGATTGCTACCTCGAGTCCTCGAAGATACGCGGGGTAAGTTCATACCGTCCGCAATCCCAACTCTTGACAATGATGACCTTCGATACTACCCTTCGAAATACCAATAGTCTTTGGTTCTAGTGTGGAACTATTGGAATTACTGATACAAAAACCTGTGGTCTGAGTCATTATGGCCGAACCTGACTGTTACTTTCTCCCATTACGAAAACAATGACTAACTTCTCGATAGCAGACACGACACTTTGCCACGAAGCAGACGATAACGAACGGTACTCGTGCTGGGTTTCGAACTGTATAACGTGAAGATAAATCAGGATGGGGACTTCAAGTCCGACTGTGAGGCTTCGGAAGTGCTGCGAGGGTATATCGGTATAGACTCTTGCAGGAATGATATTGGTATAGACTCTTTCAGGAATGTATGGTCGTTGGCGGAGACATACCCATCAATCCGATACTCAACCGCTTTATACCTCAATTCAATTCATTACTTGCTACTTATCTCAGGATGCCTTATCTCAAGATGTCATCTATTTTGACGAGCTGCTGTTCTTACCAATGACTACTCTCGGAAGTTTGCGACTAATGGACCGGCATTGCTTGAATCGCTCAAATTGCTGTTTGATAAAGCCTATATGCCAGAAAGAATTCAGATTACGAAGCTCGGAGGTGGTATGCACGATGGTCACTATGCAAGATGGAATCATATGTGAGGGCTTGAAGAGTTACATATAATATACATTGGGTAGCTATCTATCATCATAACGGCGACCACAGCAGGAGCAGAGTGACACACGGGCAAGACCCGTCTTCCTCACCACCAGTCCAGTTGCCTGAACTCGTAGTTGTCGGCCAACCACCTGAAGAACGAAGATTAGTGAGGAACATCTCGACCGAACGATTGGATTCGGAACTTACTCCTTGCAGGTGAAGTTGAAGGGCCGGCCCAGGCTGTCCGCCTTCTCCTTCTTCTTGATGTAGCTACTCATATCAGCGTGGGTACTCTTTACGAGGAATTGATTTACTCACAGAGTGATACGGTAGGTCATTTTCTCGGCCCGGCGAAGGAGGCGGTTGATGGCATCCCTATCTCGCTTCCAGAAGCCCACCTCACTCTCGTACTTCCTCAGCAGATCAAGCTGCTGCAAAATGCGTTCGGCAGCGGCAAAGTCGTAGTTGCCGGGAGTGTTCTGCTGTTGATATCGCGACCAGAGATCCTCCATGCGGTCCTCGGCCACGGCTTTTCCAGCCAGAAGCCGGAAGATCTCCACTTCTGGAGGCAACTCGTGCTGGAGCTGCTTCAGCTTGCTCCTTGCCTCGCCGAGGGAGGCCTTGATCTCGTCTTTCTGCTCCCAAAAACGAGCCATTTGACCCATCTGGTCGCGGCGGAGGGCAATGGCCTCGTTGATGGCGGCGGTGGAGGTGGAGGTGGGGGTGGAGGAGGCGGAGGCGGTGGTAGGTGGTGCCGGGGAAGACATTGCGTTGATTGGGATGTGGTTGTTGGTTTTTGAAGAAGAGACTTTTGATGGTGTGTATGGTAGGATTGGGCTGGGTAAGTTGGCTCCCAGTCAAGAGAGACAAAGTCTTGAGCAAAGGTGAAGCCGCTCCGCGTACAATCACGTGATCAGACCGACAGGCCAACCATCAGGGTAAGGATTGGGAATTTCATGGTCACAGGCAATCGATACATAAAACTTGAGTTTAAGTTTTACGAGACCGCTGCAAGCTCTCAGCTCTAGCTTGCTGCTGCCCTATCCTATTCAATGATTCTGATATCAGCTTCACTCTCGCTATTTTTGACCGCCTTCCTGCCGCTGTGTGCGTTCTTCCAGAAACTACGAATCTCATTTGAAGCTCATTCCGCTCGCCCCATTGGCTGGTCTTGAAAAAAACGTCATGTCAGAGCTCTCCGGCTGTCACACAGACTGACTAAGCGAACTAAACTATCCAACAGCCTGCCAACCCGTCAACTCCCTCCCACCCCACCAACCCACCAACCCAACAATGCCCCTCTTGTCTCTTCTCTCCACTCCCCGGTTGGATCTTCTCTGCAACACCTACCTCCCGCTGTCCCTTTCTTGTAAGTGAGGACATCCTTCTCCAATTCTCAGCTAACCTCACAACACACTCACTCTGCGTCCTTCACCCACGAGGCGGCGTCGTCTGCAAACAACACGTCCCATACGCGTCAGCGTTGAGAGCTGGCTACCCCGTGAGTTTACGAGACTCTCCCTCATCCTTTGCTCATTTCCACTGACTTTCTCCAGTCCCCAAGCTATCATGTCCTGCAATCAACTTCGAACCGTCAAATGAGTGTTGTGTCGTCCCCCAGACAACATCTCATCAGAGGGAGTTCGAAAAGCAAACCGTGCTTGTAGCTCGGCTTCATCGCTGTGGCTTATGGCACTCTTCCAGAACGCTATCCTGAATACGCCCTTTATATTTGGTTATTCAGATACAAATTTCTGGTACATTTTCATAGTGTACATTGCACGTTGCTACTTTGTTGAAAGCATTGAGGCTAGGCGAGGTACAATTCACATCACCACTGCAGAACAGTCGGGCGATCTTAGTCCATGATCGTGGAGTGGGCTCCTTTTACAAGCCCTCCCTTCAGAGTGGTTTGTTTCTGGAACCCCTCTTTTATGACTACACACGCGTGGGAGATTAAGCAAGCGACGCTGGTAAAATATCAGAATAGATGGTCTATATCTACTCTGAAGGAAGACGTCGCTACATCACGGCGCGTGGAAACATCCTCGCTGATGAAACCACGCTCTCTTTAGTATGTAGATAGCTAGTTTATACATGAATAACAGTGATTTCTTGTCTTATTATCATTGCGCTTGGATCGAATGATGTTCCGTTCTTGTTGTATGAGCAGCCAGCCCCAATCCACGATCAAAAACACCGCAAACTTTTCCGTCTCCCAAAGCCGCGGAACCTCTCGACAAGACTGCACGCACCTGGATTAGGACTGGAAAGCCTGAATCAAGCCATTCGCTTTACCATCACAAGCTCCGCCCATTCGATGCTAAAATTCACCCATCTCACTTGATTCTCCCCTCTTCACCAACCGTGCCCGAACCGACTCACTCTCATGCGCACTGACCCATTGCGCCAGCGCAAGAGCAAACACTCCATACCCCCCCCTCCCTCACCTTAGAAAAACCCTCCTCCCTTCCTTCCTACCCCTCCCCCGCTTCATCCTCTCCACTGCACAAGCACACACGGAAACACACACGCAACCCAGTAAGCCACTCTCAGAAACGCATGCATCACGGTCTCCTTCCACTCACAATGCCCTAGACAGCACGACCACCCCGCAGCAGCTATCATGGACCTGCCTGCCCAAGCCAACGACGACGCCCAGCTCGCGGCCGACACCGCGACCCGCCAACAACTGATCGGCCAACGCGACGACTTGGAGCGTAGGGTGAGTCTCCTCCGGTTCTTACCAATTCTGGTTCAAGCTAATAGTCCCTCGCAAAACAGTTAGCCAAGCTCGCGAGATTTCTCGAGGTCCAGTACTCTTACGGCTTCGTCATCCGCGATCTCCAAATCATCACCGACCTCATGACCGAGACGTATGAGTCCGTTAAGAATCTTAGGGGTGAGATTCGGAGGCTCTCCCGTCGCTGAGTCCAGACTTGCTATAGAGTCGGAATAGATGGAGGAGATGGAGCCGGCAGAGGAGTAAACTCCCACTCCTACTGGCTGTGAAACGGATCTCCTCGCTGTTCACGCGGGAAAGGCTGCGATATCGATTTCAATATGAGCGACAGCAGCCCTACATTCCCCACGCTCCCTTCATGAACAACCATGATGGTCCAATATGTGGGCGGGCTGCCTTACCTGTACACCCAATCCCCCAATCCCCCTACCCCATTGCAATTCCCTGCGCTTTGATCTACACAATCATGTCTCTCCAAGACTTGGTGGGCTCTCTTGACCTCACTGTCTTGCGGTGTAAATAGCATTCCTTAATTACTGGGGTATGATAATACAAATGTCTGATTTCAAATACTACGTGCTTGCTTTTAACCTATGCTTCGAGGTGACCGTGATAGCTGAGATCTGCTGCTGCACTGAGTGCGACGAGTCAACGATACAACGCTTTTCCCCTAGAACTCCATGCAAATGGGTGCTACGTGATGATCTCGTGGGACTGACCTGGATTTGATCTTCAAGGCCTCTATGTCACCTTATCTGGAACATGATTGCCGTGCTTCTCTTCCTCTTCATCTTCCACCCGTCATCATTGGCGTAAGAGTCCGTTCCCTCTTTGGTATTCGAGGGCCTTTCCTCATGAAAGGAATTCCCGAGCAATTGGCATATGATGACGATGCCAATCCCCTCATTCCAAACGCCTTTTCCACTGTAGTTTTCCCCAACAACTTCGCAGTGATCTCCTAATGCAGCAGCACAACCTCCTCCTCCCCATCGACATCTTCCCCAATTCTTGACCCTCCAACTCTACACTGTCATGAGCCTCCAAAGATCGAACCCCAGATCCGTAGATTCCTATCTCTTGAGCATAATCGCTTGTGTCTGTCATCACATAGAAGTATTACTCCCTAGCTACTGGAGTATAGTACCCCAATTCCCCGATCCAATCCATCCAATTTCAATCCCTCTCATGCTACTAGAAGATTAATCTACTGTTTTCTACCGTATATTCGCAGCAGCCCATCAATCCGGAGTCCAGTCAATTACCACACTAGTTAAAGCTTATATAGCGCTCTACAACTACAAGCTCGATATAGCCACTTCATTCAATCATCGCACTTCTATACGGTAAAAACACTTAATGAAAGATCGCTGAGCCTGATCTGTCTACTGATTCAACACCATCCCAAACAACTAAATCCAGCATAGGAACAAACCACAACACAAGACAATACCAGAGTTTGTTTATCCACTGACTAAAGACCCTAGAGTTCAAATCTACACGAAAACACCGAGCGATATACTTCTCCAACACAGTGCGAACTCCAAGTGTCGATGTTCGTGGATCGTTGCTATAACGGAACAAGTGTTTCGATTGGAGGTGTAATATGTAGGGAATCCACTGTTTCGACGATGTATAGAGTGCTTAGTGCACAAGTACAGTTGATATTTGATACATTTATTGTCTTTTACAAGAAGAATGGAGATATGTATAAGGGCTCCTCTCATCAAGCCAGAACCGCAATCGCAAAACCAGAACGCCTTGCTTCCCCGCTCCACAGGATATACCTCCTTTCAAAAGTTCTACGCCTTTTACAATTCTCGTATGAATCAATATCTTCATTCTTCAATCTCCTCGCAGGATCAGACAACTCGCCAGTCCCTACCGCATCTCCACGTATGAAAATTAACCACCATAACCCCCTCTCAATCATCACCCAACCACCTCGTTGCCCCTTCGAGCACCCCAACAACAATCCCCGCCCATTTCCTCATCCCCTCCAAATCGCCCCGTTCGATTCCCTCCCCGATCCCCGGGAACGTCTCTCCAGCATACCCCGTCCACTTCCCAGGCGCAAAAACAACGTGTTTGAACCAGGTCCTCCCATCCAATCCCTCTGGGTATAAGAACTGCCGCTCAAGGAGCTTGTACTTTGTATTCACTCTGCGTACGGCGAGGAAGAGGCGGAGACGCTTGTACAGGTTCCACCAAGGCGGGAAGTTGTGGTAGAGATCGTTTAGGAGGGAGGAGGCGAGGGCGTCGTGGACGATTGCTGCGGTCAGGAAGTGGGAGAGCGCTGTGTCGAGGGATGTGAATATATCCTTATACGCAGTTGTTACATCTGCGGGTAATAGTGAAGAGGATGATGTTTGACCTGCGGATTTCTTTTTCAGGGCAGTGATGTAGCGATCGAGGTTTACTGCGTACTCGGTGGCGTTGAGCTGGATGACGGGGGTTTCGATGAGGCGGGCGGCGAGAACGGCCCAGACTTTCGAAAGGGCTTCATGGTATGCGAAGGTCGGGTCGCCGAAGTTTTCCATCCAGGCTTTGGAGTCGTAGTTGCTGTGGTAGTGGTAGACGGGGGTTTCGGGACCCATGCCGCCGAAGCCCATGTCTAGAGAGGGAATACCAGCGAAGTCTTGGAAGGCGGTGAAATCGGAGCCGGAGCCCATGGTGTGGATTCGTTTATCCCAGACGTCGGCGATGGATTGGCCTGGGATGGTCTGGTTGGGTGAAGGGATGAGAGAGACTGATGAAGAAATGATAAGTAAGTTAATAGTGGCTTAAGGTAAAGAGTATTACTCACTGGCTTCGATGAAGGCATTGTTGAGCAAAGGAGCAGAAGAAACCTCCAAGTGAGGGCTTCTAGTTGCAACATCGACGTTGAGATATGCGACGGTAGAAGATGACAACCAGGGAAGGTACTCCTCGACCCACTCTGTTGACCCAACCAGCCCATACTCTTCGCCATCCCAGCTGGCAAAGACAATCGTGCGCAATGGCTTCCAGCCGGCCTGCAGCGCAATGCCAAAACTTCTGATCACTTCGTTGATAGCAGCAGACCCACTATTGGGGTCGCCTGCGCCCCCAGCAATCCAGGCATCACGATGATTCCCTATCACGACGACCTCGTCAGGAATCGAGCCGTTGATAATGCCGATCACGTTCCAAAGTGGAGTTGTAACGTATTCTTGCTCATTGACGAGGTTAAGTTTGAGATCGGCGGGCGAGGGACCAACGCTGTATTCGACGCCTTTGTAACCCAGCCCGCCCGTTGTCCAGGAATCGCCAAAGTAAGAGGCCTCTGGACCTAAGCCATTGAGAGCCTTAAGAAGAGGCAGAGCTTCTGCGTAAGAGATGGGAAGTGATGGTATAGAAGGAATGGCGTGATCGACCGGCTGGCGAGGGCAGCCAGGTTTAGACGGATACCCAGGCGTAGTAGGGTCTCCAGGAGCAAAGCCTTGATTGAAGCTGTCAGAAAACATCTCCATTCGAGAATATGACGAAGACACTCACTCAAGAACTGTACGCTTCCCCGCTGTACACTCGAAGGATTCCTCGCAGGTCCAACAGGATACGCCTCATACCCATTCTTTTCCGTCACCAACCCATCATCTCCAGGATCGCCATACATAACCACACCAACCATACCCATCTCCTGCGCCCTCTTGACCTTCAACCCGCGAAACACACCCCCATATTTCGCCAACGCAATCTTCCCCTCCAAACTCACATTCCTCGCCCTCAACGCCTCAAAATCTGCATATGTGCCATAATTCACGAACACATACTGCGCCGTAACATTCCCATTCGCACTATACCCATGAAAGGTAGGTATCCTCTCTGGAAGCCCAGACGTCGGATCCTCCTCCAACACATCTTCTTCGAGCGTTGCCTCAAACTTCACACTCCACTCTTCCGTCTTCTTATCCTGCTCCAGCAGCGCAAGCCGATGGCCGGCAGGATAATTCAGATAGACATCGTAATCCACAATTGTGCTCTCAACGCCCCACTCCTCCCATCTCTCCCTTGTCCAGAGCGCCTGGCTCAGATTCCTGCCTGCAAGATGTGGTCCGGCAGTATAGTAGCTACTCCACTCCCTAGCTTTCTCCCTGTCGGGTGTGCTCTTCAGTATCTGTACTAGCTCTTCATATTCGATACCGGAGCTGAAGGGCCAGCTATCTGGGATGTTGAACTTTCGCGGCGCAGAAGGGAGGCTGAGGTACTCTGAGACCCAATGATTCGAATCTTGTGTGTCGGCGTCGAAAGGCGAGAAGTTGAGAATGAGGAATGCAGCGGTGATTCCGAAGATGAGACAGAGGGTGAGGAAGACGGTGCAAAAGGCGCGGAGGCGGTGATGCGGGTAGCGGTCGCGATGAGGGCGGGTTTGGACTACGGCGATGAGCGGGGTGCGTTCGTCGGCCATGTTCGGCTAGGCACGTCACGGGGAGTGAAGAAGCATGTGCGGAGGATGATGGCGTGTGTGTAGCAGTGGAGTGCGGTGGTGGCTTTGCTGTGAGGCGTGAGAGCTTCGCTATGTGGGGAGCTGGAGATGGGATGACGATGTTCTGCTGGGGCTTCGCGTCATACTTGAGATTAGATCATCTTATCACTTGGCGCTCGGGGAATGTTGCCCCGAAATTCGACTTCTTTTGCCTTTGATGTCTATTCCTGCTTTTTCTTGTCGTGATTGAACCTTCTGACGTTCTGTCCCATTGAAAGAGTCATCTTACGACTGGTGTGCCTCTCAAAAGATCAAAATCGCAAATATAGCGTTAGTAGGTCTGAAGCAGTTCACCTTTGTCGTGCCATCGTAAAGAACCCATAATGCATCACTTGCAGAGAAGATCAAGGTTAAGAATGTATGTATATGCATTGTTTTGATATATATAAACACGTGAACAGAAGAAGTAAGGCCGTTAAAGGCAAAAGAACCACAGGTCCTCCAAAAAGCACAACCATAAAAAGCGTTCGTATCTAGCGAACTACTTGCTCTATCTCAGCCAGATGTCTTCATGAATATGAATACGCCAGGCCGTCGAATAGTTCAGAGAACAATAACGTCACCAACCAAATGAGAAATGAGGTCTGATCTAAGCAGACTCAACGCACTGGCTGTAGTAGGGGTTCTGCTCCTTGCAAGTCCAGTTGTCGGCGCAAGAAGTAGCACCGGTGTATTCCTTGCCACCGCACTGTCCGTACTTGGCAACGGCAGCGCCGGAACCAGAGCCGCTGGTAGGAGCAGGCTTGGAGGAAGTGACGAGAGTGGAGGGCTTGGGTTGAGTGGCAGGCTGGGAAGCAGAAGGAGCAGGGGCAGCAGAGACTGATGGGGCAGCACTGGGAGCAGCCGAGCTAGGAGCAGGTGCAGCAGAGCTGGGGGCGGGGGCAGCGGCGCTGGATGAGGGAGCGGGAGCTGGGGCAGATCCAGATCCAGCGCCTTCACCGAAGAGAGCTGGGCCGGGAATCTCATAGGTGGTAGCACCGCCGTAGGGGTTGTAGAGAATACCGGGGTCGGTGGCAGTGTAAAGAGCGGTTCCGACAGTTCCCTCGGGGTTCTCGGTTCCGGAGCCAGTGACCTCGACGTTGACACACTGGGGGTAGTTCTGGGCGCCGTTGGCGTTGTTGGCGCTGTGAAGAGCGATGATCTCGTGACGGAAGACGTAGTCGCCGGCAGCGAGGGTGGAGGGCACCGTGGTGGCCCAGGTGTTGTTGTTGGCAATCATCTCGACGGCGGCCCACTTGCCACCCTCAAGACCCTTTGCGTCAATCTTGACCCACTTGAGCTCTTCCTTGTTGGCAGCAGTGCAGTCACCGCCGCAGTTGGCAGCGTAGGTGATGACGGGGCCGATGTGGGATTCGGGCCAGGTGTTCCACTGGAATTCGATGGTTCCTCCAGCAGCGACGGTAGCCTTAGCGGCTCCGGCCTTGGCCTCCTTGTGGCAGATGATGTCGGGAGAGTCGTAGGTGCTCTGGTCACCACCGACGTAACCGTTGTCTTGGTTGCTAGCGGCCCATCCTACGTTCTCGGGGGCGTTGGCAGCATTGTAGAAGTAGGAAGGGTCGGCACCACCGTAGTAGACGCCGTCAGCGACAATACCGCTAACGTGACCGTGGGCATTCACGGAAGCCGCAAGGGCAGCAAGACCAAGAAGGATAGAAGACATTGTTGTTTGAGGATATGGAGTCCGGTGAAGGAAGTTGCTGGAAAGCGAGTATGTGTTGTGTTGGAGTGGTAGTGAAAAAGAATGTCTGACCTGCTTCACACGGTGAAGTGACTGGTAGTGAACGAAAGAAGGTGGTGGAACGAAAGGACCGTTGGAACGAAAGACTGAAGCCTGCGATGAGGATGCCGGTCAAGTAGGACGGCGGCCTGGACGACTATTTATCTCTGACCCCCGAACCGCTTGTACAACTGCCCAGAACACTCATCCCGTTCATAAAATGACAGGCGCCAGCATATGCGAGGAGGTTCCGCCCAGCTGTCTCACGCTTGGCGTGGTGGTCTGCTCGGAGCGTGGATGATGAAGAAAACCCTTGCAATGTTCCCGCTAAGTGGACCCAGAGCGCTTCACGAAGCCGAATAACCATCCCATGCCACAATGTACCTGCACTCGGTATCCAGTAAACGCTGAAACGTTGCTTATGCGTGGCGTCGGCAAACAAGCAGAGCCCTTAATGAAACGCGCATCGCTGAGTAGCAAGCCCCATGCTAATTTCACGAGAGGCGCGGCGCCTGGGCCAAGTTGTTGGTTTGTTGTGTAAGGAGTGGAGCCAAACACAACGTCTGCATGAATGCAATGACAAGGGCGGTGCATGTCAGATTCTGCTTGAGACAGTGATAGCTAGGGTTGTGGAGATGTTCAGGTTGTTTGGTTTCGTAGAAAACATCGTGGCGTTAATGCCTCGGCTGGAGTTGAAACGCTGGGACGACGAGCGTGTGGATGAGATAGGCAAATGTCGTTCTGTATGCCAGCGGGTATTGCGAATGATGCTGTGAGGATGTGGACATCAGTGTCGCTGCACAATCGTACATCGGAGCTCTGCCGCTGATCGAATTCTTCCGTCTCTCAATCTCCATCTCGAAGATTGCGTCCTCCGACGATTCCAACACTTCCAACACAGTGTGGAGGCCGTGTGATTGGTGCGAAATCATACCTCTGCACCTGAAACGGCCCCATTGATCGCGCCTCGGCAATAAAAGCCACACCCGCATCGCTTGCAGTAAAGTTTCCAACTCCTGTAGCGCCCGTGGTCTTGGGGCCCCCACATAAAGAGGATAAATTGCTATACACAAAACAGCGCTAGCTGGGTATCCGTTGTTCGAAAGGTTAAGCGGCCAGTCCTGCACTGAACATTCCAAGCATGTTGAATGTCGCCAGCACATAATCAAAGTAGACTATTGAAAAGAAGATTCGAGGGTGGAGATTTCGACTTTTCCACGTCATCTCGATTAGAGATTGGTGTCACTTCGTCGGCTCATTGCGATCATGAAATCATAGATCATCGGCGGTCAAGAGCGTGGGTATCACTTCCTTGGTCTTACTCCTGCATCCTTGGTCATACTTCTCCTGTCCGCCGGTACCATCTTGTGTGGATAGACGGGCGGCTCGCTCGCGGACGTAGATAGCCAACTTCGAGCACCACGTAAGCACCGGACTTCTACCTCACTAACCTCGATAGTTTCAACATACATCTCTCGATGAATGATCAATCCAAGCACGCTTGCAGTCCAGCGACTCCCAATCCCGCGAACGTGACAAGCCAACTCGCGACTCCGAACGCTCCCTGCATGTCGCCTTTTCTGATCGTCCAGAACGCTGCAAACACCGCGCTTCCGATCCCAAACCCCATCATGATGACTGCCCATACTTTTGGTGCTTGGAAGCCTTCGACTAGGCTGATACCCCAGCCCATACCCGAGTCCAGCCGCTCTCTTCTCTTTGGGGAGCGTTCGTAGGTCATCGTCTCGCCTTCGTAGTCCTCCGGATGCATGAACAGGTGCATAAGGTACGCAGATCCGACTGGTGGCAACAGATCGTGAGGCTCAAAGTTATACGGGTGTTGGGATGGTGCTTTCTCGCTCGAGACGGACGAAATAGGTGGCATGGAAGGTGCTGCGCGGATATCTGCAAAACGGTTGCGATGTACTTCGAACTGTGCGAATTCGATTTTAGAGAGGCCGCGTAGTCGCGCCCAGCTGAACCAGCCTTTATTTAGGCGCTGATAGTGGTCTCGGATGGCTATAAAGAGGGCTCGGTCATCCCTGATTCTGTGCTTGTTCACGTCAACGTGCACAATCTTTGGGGTGAATCGGCCTTCGTTGGCACAGGTGAGGAGCCATGACTCTGGAGCAGAAGCACCAATATGCACGCTGAATGGGCTATGGCGAAGGCGCGTTGGGCTGTATCGAGATGATTCGCCTTGCTTACCCCATGGGTTCCCGGCGTAAGTCGATGCTGGCGTTGTGAGTGTTGATGCTCGGCTGTTTGCGTCAAATAATGATCCCATAGAGTTGAAGGTGCTCGATTTGCTTGGAGGGTCCGATGACGCATGCGATCGTGGCCGATTCAAATACCATTCGAGATCACGGGCAGCACCAGGCTTGTTCTCGATGAAGTCGTCGTATAACGACTCTCCGCATGACTGTCTGTCTATTAGCATCAGCCCAACTATACATGCGTGCGTGCAACCTACGCAAGTCCATCGTACTCGCACATGGTTCGGTGCGACAGGTGGTTCGCTCCCATATTTGTTGCGCAAACTTGTAAGTCCTTCGAATGCGCCATCAATCAGAGCAGTAAAGGCCAAATTGAAGAAGATACTCGTTAAGTTTTTCTTAGGTGGTGGTGATAGCCTGGTCTCGATATCAGGTGGCAAAATGCCATATATTTCATCATTCGCGATAGATTCGTCCGCCGGCGTTTCTAGAACATGATCCACCTTATCTGTTGAATCGTCGACTGCACCAAAAGCCTTGTTCAGAAACGCTCGCATTTCATCGGATGGATCCACTTCGGACCAAACAGGCGAAACGTCCTCTGCATGTTGCATTTGCCCTAATCTTTCGTTCGATGATGTTGGGGTTGCCCTCTTCATACGGGGTTTCCGCTTGCGTTTGGTGACTGGAGATGTGTTGGCAGAATAAGCACGGGGTACATTAGTCTCTAGACGAAGTCGTGATTTTGGTTGCTCTTCTTGGATTGCTTCTTTTGCCGAAGAACTTCGATGAACAGCTCGCTTCGTGGATGAACGCGTGGATACAGACCTCCTTTCAGGTACTTCGTGCGCTTGAGTGATATCATTGTCGGGCGGTAAAGCGACAGCGTCATTGCCATCATCTAGTTCCGACGGACACTCCTGAACACCTTCCATAGTACCGGAACCAGCGATCTGATTATTTGACATTGAACGTTTGAATGACTTGTTTGCGCCAGATCGGTTTAAATTGGAGCGAGCTGCTTTGCCCTTTCCTCTGGCACGGGAAGCTTTTTGGACTCTCCTTACAGGTCCTACGACAGACAGGCCACGCGTAGGTGTCTTTACGATACTCAGCGTTGAATTAGTCCTCCCAAGAATGACTGAGCTGTTGCTAGAAAATGGCTCCACATCCGTATCGTCGAGTCGATCAGCGATAGAAGGGACCTCGGGAAGTAATGTCTCGGCATCACTAAGCCCTTCCTCAAGGATGGATGTGCGTCGGCTGGAACCAGTGACTTGACCCAACCATTTGTTGATCGCTGGTGATCGTGTAGCTGTCTCTGACGGAAGTAGAACACTGCGAGGAATACCAGGCTCACTAGAAGACCCTATCTCAACGGGTGCACCCAGTGAATTGCCGTTGGGGTCTGATGGAAATGAGGCGGCTAGCTCCACTGGCAGTGTCTCTGCGGCCAATTCTTGTCTGTCCGTTTTGAACACTCCCCTCTCTCTTATGTTGATACCAGACCCCAGATCGACTTCTGCAACTTCGTTGGTGTTCGGATCTGAAGTGGAGCCCTTGAGCAGCCTCACGACGAAGCCTTTCCCGCTCTTCTTTATTCGAGCCTTGATATCGGCCAGCTTGCGTGACTGCACCGATGTAGTGGAATCGCTCCTCGAGAACGTGATCTTCCAATCAGGTACGACTTTGTTAAGAAATTCGGGCGGTATCGCGTTCAGGTCTGCCCACCCTTGCTTATCGTCTTGTGGGCTGGTCGGCGGGCTTGATTCGCGAGTATGGTATAGCTGTGAGACGTCGTATCCCAGGCTTGGGACTTCTTTCAAGCTTGCGATTAGCCTTTTGGAAGGCGTGGACCGAGGGGTGCTTCCAGTTTCCAACTTTTGTTGCTGGGAATCTATGTTGACAACAAGTTGGAATTGTCCTGGATTATCCTTCTCTTCTTGGAGCGTAAGTGTGAAGGGCACTGCGTTTGATTTCTCATACTGGGGGAGTGGAGTGCTACGGCCATCATAGTGAGGCTGCAAATTGTCGACATCTTGCGTGCGGCGGTTGGGCGCATACGGCTGTGGCACCGGTGAAGCTACAGGTAGAATTGAAGCCTAAAGCCCCGCAGTTAGCCACTAAGCCAAAGCCTTGCGAAGGATCACCATGAGAACGATCTGGGCCAGTATTCTGTGATGTGATGGGACTTGTTACTTACCATGGCGGTCCACACACCGACAAGAAGCAAGAGTGCCTGAGAAATGGAGGCGGAGAGCAGCCATGGCTCTTTTCAACAAACAGGCGGCAGTGCTGCAGTCAGCAGAAAGTGATTAGCGAGTGAGCTGCAGGTGAGGCCGCATCCAAGGCGTTCTCGCTGCACCGCCTCCGAGTGTGGGACGTAGGAGCGAGAACAGCCAAAGGAGGGGTGGCTGGCTGCGGGCTGACTGGGACATGATTGGACAGGAACGCAGATCTTCAACCGCTTCATTCAGAAACTGGAAGAGGCAACCATCTCCATCTATCGCCCACTTTTCAAGGGTTGCTTTTGTCGTACAATTAACCTTTGTGTACTCTGTACGCTGCTCTGGTTAATGTCGTTTCATCTACTGGCCATCCACTCGGCAGCTGGTAACTGACCTAACCCTAACCCTAATAATGAAGGCTGGTTTCAGGATGGGGATTGTTGAGGATTGCGAGCCAAGAGTTGAGGAGAATAGGTGGATACTAAGACCATCAATGGAGGTGACGGTCGGGAGATGGAAAAGCACGAAACGTTGAGTTTTGCGTGAGTAGCTGGCGGAGGAGCCCCAAGATACGCACCACTCTGAACCCGACTATTCGAATTGAGCGCGCGAGACGTGATTAGCTGTTGAAAAAGGAGGAGACAAAGGCGTATGGGTAGAGGAAGCATGCAGTGTTCGATCGGGGCAATGAAGTTGAATTAGAGTTTCCACGCGGCCGGCAGGTTGGCAGGTGCGATGTGCAGACGAGTACCATGGCACCGAGGCTCCTTCCCGTACGTACCCACCAAGGTAACCGCCAAACCCTCCACGTGCCCACCAACATCTACTGCGTCATTCTTCTCGGTTCACTGTTTCTCTCTCAATTTCTCCGGTCTTGCGACCTTCCCGAAATCTGATGGCTCCGACATTGTTCCTTGGTTTCCATTCATGCTCTGGACGTACCTGTGTATTTGACCGCGGCTAGGCACAAGCTATGCTTGCCCAAGCCGGCAAAAGTACCTCTTCAAGCGCTACTGTCGGTATATCATTGACACTTATAGGCACTTCCCCGCAGAAACATCCATAGTTCGATGAAGAATTTCCCCGGAATGGTCTCACCCCGCGTCATTTCCCCGCGAGATGGGAAAGCTGGGGATCACGGTGTTGCTTGGCAGTCACGGGAGAGAAAGAGATATGAATCCTCCGATCCTCCAGAGCAGATCTGTTGCTGTGTAGAGCTCAGCACTCGATCGCTCTCTACAAAATCTTCTGTAACATGAAATTCGCCGGCTTCTTCCTCTCGTGTTTGCCATTGGCGGCTGCCCTGCCTCAGGCTGCACCCCCCGCAACCTTCACACAGAACGTCATCTACACTCCTCCATCCGACTACACCGATCCACGAGTTCTCTATGCGCGCACCGCTCAGCTAGAAGATGGTACCCTCCTCGCGACATGGGAGAACTACAGCCCCGAGCCTCCGATGGTATACTTCCCCATCTACAAGTCCACCGACAGTGGCTACACCTGGTCAGAACTATCCAGAGTGGAGGACGAAGTCAATGGCTGGGGTTTGCGATACCAACCTTTCCTCTACGTGCTCCCAGAAGCTCTAGGTGACTACCCAGCGGGTACCGTCCTCCTCGCTGGCTCTGCCATCCCAACGGACCTCTCCAAGACACAAATAGACCTGTACGCTTCGACCGACAGCGGAGCAACATGGAGCTTCGTTTCGCACATCGCTGCCGGTGGCGAGGCAAGACCCAACAATGGTTTGACACCTGTCTGGGAGCCTTTCCTCATGAAGCACAAAGACTCGCTCATCTGCTACTACTCGGACCAGCGCGCAAACACCACACACGGCCAGAAGATGGTGCACCAAACCACCACCGATCTCAAGACCTGGGGCGACGTGATCGACGACGTCGCATACCCTACATACACCGACCGCCCTGGCATGCCTACCGTTGCCGAGCTCCCCAATGGCCAATTCATCATGACGTACGAATACGGTGGTGGCCCCGACTTCTCGAACTATCAGTTCCCAGTGTACTTCAAGATTGTGTCTGATCCCGAACAATTCGGCCCTGCGACAGGTCGCGTGCTCAAAGCAACAGACGGTACGATCCCCACCGGATCGCCGTATGTAGTTTGGAGCCCAGTCGGTGGCGCAAATGGCACAATCATCGCGAGCGCGCACTCTCATACGGATGTTTTCATCAACACGCAGCTTGGAGAAGGACCTTGGACGAGGGTTGCGACGGGCGAGTTGACGCACTACACGCGGCATTTGAGAGTGTTGCAGGATACATCGAAGTTGTTGATTATGGGTGGCGGACAACTGCCTCCTAGCACGACCAACAAGATTCAATTGACTGTCATGGACATCAGCGATCTGTAGAGAAATACTGGCATATACTTTAGTCCTAGTACATATACAACATACGCACTTTTCCAGGCTCCTCTTTCCTGAATCACCATCAAACAGTGATTACAATCCCCGCACACACTGTCCCCTTAAAAGAAACATCTCATCACATATGACCCCCTCACACCTTAGAGAAAAATCCCGAGAAATGCTTATTCCCGACAAGCTTTTCCCTTCCCCCCAAAGGAGCTCAGCTTCTCCTTTTTATCCGAGCCGAGGCCCCCGCCGCTCGTCTGCCCCACTTGGGAATTCAACATCTCCCCCCACTCTTTCTTCGTTATCTCCAGTTTAATCATCGTCAATATGTAATCGGGTATATCGTCGCATTCGCATGTTCGAATATGTGGTATTTGGGGAAGGGGGGATATATGCAATTGGCGAGATCCGATGGATCCTATATGTCGGAGGACGGAGAAGAGACGGCGGGAGGGAGCCGGCCGGCTGGCTGCAGGAAATAGGGTTCGCGAGCTGCGATCAAGACACGATCAACTGCCCCGTATGGGGTTTTTCGCTGTCGAACCATGTTTCTCATTAGTCGATCGATCGATTGCTCTCCCTGGCGAATGGCCAGGGGATAGGGGCAGTGGGAGGAGATGTGGGAGATGGGTAGATGGAGACGCACGTTCTGTCGGTCTCCACCGCGTGCACACAGACACACACACACCCCCCCAAATTAGACTCCCTCGCATGCGTGCGACGACCGAAGCAGCAAAAACACCTCCGCACGCTGTAGGCGCGCTATCCACGCCCGCGCTTCGACATTCGCTCGCTGTCTCGCGTGGCGTTACGCAGCTCTTGCGCTTGCGTGCAGCTGTGAGAAAGCCTTATCGCATACGATGGGTCTAGACTAGACTGGGGGGGTTTCGTGGTGCTTGCATCGGCGGTATCCTGTGTGGATTTATCGCCTAGCGCTGGTGATCTATCTGTTCCTTTTTTTTTTATCGACGCGGTATATATCTCTGCACGGTTTCTTCTCTTTCGCTGAGTCTTTGTGCTTCGCCGGTTTCCAATTCTTTCAAGGGACTGACTACGATTGCGAGATTTAGGGACTATTGTGTGTTACGCGGTGATACACATAGCTGAGTCCCTGTTATTAGGTCTGCCTGACCTCATAAGACGATTTTCGAACATATATAGCGCCGACCAGAGCAAGAGCCTGCCTATGCGATTCACAGAGATACAATAGTACGAGAGGCCTGAAAATGGATCACGACAAATACCAGCAACACGACGTCGAGAAGGCGGTGCACTCGGTGCCTTCGACCGACGACGGCGCAGTACCTGGCCAGACATTCGAATACGGCAATAGCTTGTATGCCAAATTGCAAAGGCTGGCGGGCAAATTCCACGTCGAGCAGCGAGGGATCGAAAGAGTACCAGAAGATGAGCGAGATGATAATTCTTTGCTCAATGTGGGGACTATGGTACACCTTTCCTCTCCCCTTACACTCCATCCCACAACATTTCCCTCCAATCCTTTCACATCCTGAAAACTGTGATTGGAAACTAACAGTTCATACAGTGGCTCTCAGCCAACATGGTCATCTCCTCCTTCGCCATCGGCCTCCTCGCCCAAAAGCTCTTCTTCCTCGGCTTCACAGACGCAATACTGACCTGTCTCTTCTTCAACCTCATCGGCATCCTCCCCGTCTGCTTCTTCTCCACTTTCGGCCCGCGCTTCGGCCTCCGCCAAATGGTCCTTTCGCGCTTCTGGTTCGGCTGGCACGGCGTCAAGCTCATCGCCGTCTTCAACGGCCTCGCTTGTCTGGGCTGGAGCTCCGTAAACTGCATCGTCGGCGCGCAACTCATCCACGCCGTCAACAACGACGTGCCCGGCTACGCAGGAATCCTCATCATTGCCTTCTGCACGCTGGGTGTGTGCTTCTTCGGGTACAAGATTGTGCACGCGTACGAGTTCTGGAGTTGGATCCCTACGTTTATCGTGTTCTTGGTCATCTTGGGCACGTTCGCGAAGAGCGGCGCGTGGGTCGATATCCCAATGGGCCACGGAACCTCGGAACTTGGATCCGTACTCAGCTTCGGCAGCGTGGTATACGGCTTCGCGACAGGATGGACCAGCTACGCGGCAGACTACACCGTCTACCAGCCGCACAACCAGTCTCGATGGAAAGTCTTCCTAGCAGTCTGGCTCGGCCTCATCATTCCGCTCCTCTTCACCGAATTCCTGGGCATCGCGGTCATGACGGCGACGACGATCAACGGCGGGGATAACCGGTACATGGACGGCTACAAAGCGTCAGGGACTGGAGGACTCCTTGCAGCCGTGCTCTTCCCTCCCCTCGGCGGTTTCGGGAAATTCTGCCTCGTGGTCCTCGCCCTCAGCATCATCGCGAATAACTGCCCAAACATCTACTCTGTCGCGCTCACCATGCAAGTGCTCGGCCACTGGACTCAGCGCGTGCCGCGCTTCATTTGGACCGCTTTGGGGACTTGCGTGTATATCGCTATCGCTATACCGGGGTACTCGCATTTCGAAGCCGTGTTGGAGAATTTTATGAATTTCATCGGTGCGTTCACCCTCCTTTCTTCCCTTTCTTCCCTTTCTCTTCTTCCTTGTCAACATCTACTGACATGGATTTTCCTCCAGGCTACTGGCTCGCCATCTACGAAGGCATAGCGTTCTCCGACCACTTCTTCTACAAGCGCAGCATGGACGCCTACAACATCGCTCACTACGACCAACCCTCTAAACTCCCACCCAGCATCGCCGCCATCTTCGCCTTTTGCTGCGGCATCGCTGGCATGATCACGGGTATGAGCCAGGTCTGGTATGTCGGGCCTATTGCGCTGCACGCCGGCGAGGCGCCTTTCGGCGGCGATGTAGGGTTCGAGCTAGGATTCGCCTTTGCGTTTACAAGTTATAGTGTTGCGAGGTATTTTGAATTGAGACATTTTGGGCGGTAAAGATGGGAGAGCAGGTGTTTATGTCGGAGTTGAGCCAGTCATCAGGGATTTGCACGGAGGGATTTATTCAAGTACATAGAAGTGTTCAATCTACTCTTTCTAAGACCTCTCCTGTTAGTTTATCTCTATATCATCGACTTCCTCTGACCGGTCGTTTTTTTACAGTCTTGTGCATAGAACACCAAAGATTGAATAGTATTTATCCTATCTACTAACTTGTTATACTTACTGGCGCATAGGAAAAAGCCATTCTCTTGTAAACTTCTATCCCCTCGATATCCCCCTATAGCATTACTACCCCATATAAACTCCATTACTATTAAGATTACCCCTATATCTTAATTATCCTTCTCCTAATCTCCAATCTCAACAAACCTACTCCCGGAAATACCTATCTACAACCCCAAACATTCCCTCGCTTAAACCCTAATGATGAATGGACTGCTGGATTTATTTGATTACTTGGACTTCTTTTGGGGGGAATAGGTTATCTCTGGCGATGATGATGGGATAACTTCACGAGTTCGAGCACATTTGAGAATACCATTCACATGTTGGACAAGACTAGAAGAATGGGGGAGATGTATCTCTGTTTATGTATGGGGCAGTGTTGATGGAGTTGAATTGTTGTTGAGAAAATCAAAGAACCACTGGCTTCATTTCAATGCTTGGAGATATCTTAGTTGGCTTCTTTTGGCAATGATCCTGGTAGGAATTGCTGCACGGGTTCGAGAACATGTGGCGGTACTAGTGGACAAGACTAGAAGAGCATTTCACTACACACGAGCGCGTCTTGAGTGGAATAATCCAAAGTTCTGGGAAGGCATCTTTCTGACCATTTAGCATCTTGTATTTCTGTGACAATATCCCAGATATCAATCCCACTCTTTTGTGTACCCATTCAAATGTATGCGCTGGGATATGCCAACGCCAAAAGCCGAAGCACCACACGAAAGACAGCTGCTTGCAACAAGGCTTTGATCAAGCGTTGGTCTTCCGGGTTACTTCAGATGAACACAACACGGGACAGTCACCCTCATACACCTACGGTACCCGCGCTACTCCTCCCGCGAGCTCTAAACACACTACCTCCGCACCGACCTCCGCATCACGAAGTGCCGTGCCCCGTTCTCCTCTCACTACTGCGATCGACCGCCTTCCGAAGCCGCATAAGGTATTTCTGCACCTACACACATGGCCATGGACAGCTATTACTGCAGGAATAGCTCCTCCCAATCTCTCGACGAGTAGCACGCAGGCGATCCAGCTGTCGATACATACCCGAACCTAGACCTCGAAACCGTGCCGTGCGCCTGTCGCATCGTATGGCTCCCATATAATCTCAAGATATGGACGAGTGAATTTCTCACAAATCCTCGTGGAGTGGGGAACCACCACAAACATGGATCGTCGGGGAGGATAGCCAGCGGAAACTTCATAGCGCACTTGTGTGCCAGAGTTCATCCATCGCCATGGCCTCAAGACCACAGAGAGCACACGCGCAGCGCTCGTAGCTGTCTCTCCTTTGCGTATTGCTTTGGAGGTATCGCGGCTACGAGGCTCCCGACGAACCATATACCATTCTTATGTCTGTGGGGGCTTGCGTTTTGCTCCATCCGCACCCGCGCTTTGCAAGTCGCTAGTCTGGCGAGTTCAATAACTTTCAGCTTACGCCAATTGGGAAGTGGCTGGGTGATGGAAGTTCATAGCCAACGTAATTCTTCGGTCGTACATTTCCAGAAGACACTGCTGACAGTTACAAGAGTCGCGGCACGCACGATCATGCGTTTTTCATATTTCTGGGCGGTAAGGTTGTTCACCATTGATATTTCGGAAGCTGATGGTTCATGCTAATAGTTGTAGCTCTTGAAATACAATCGAAATGTCTTCACGCGAGGTCTCACGTACGTCAATACTTCAAGTGCACAGTCAATTCAAGCTTTCTCCCCCCCTTATCGGCTCCACGCAAGACCAAGCATGACGCAAAATATGATTCCTCAGACACGACCGTGCGTTTCAAAACTTCAAAGAGCCCAAGATACACCCAGAATGCCTCAGGAGAGCTCGCCAGAAGACCGGCACTCCTACACAAATCATGACTTCAATTCATGGCCGCCTTCGATATATGACGTTCCGACGTAACATAACTGGGTTGTTACCAGTAGATACAGATTCGAGCATCTATTTCGAGAGAGCACATTGAAGCTGCTTAACTGGAAGGGTCACACGCGGCACATACACAAGCTTTGCGAGACAGATAGAGGCTCTTACAAAGAACTGGTGCTTGGAAACACTCGGTCTTTGCCGGATCTTGCTAGTATCGATGACCTCACACCAACAGCTCCCTTACCGCTTGTTTCTTGCCTCACTCTTTGCGGCTATCCGCTGATACATATCCACACACTTCAATAGCAGAAGTTCCGACAAACTGCGACGATTGCCCTATGGCACGAGTCCGATTACATGTTGCCTCCCTTCCTTCTTCCTGTCCGCAGTTGTATTCGAAATCGGCTCGCTGACCACCACCCACCGCTCCCTCAATTGCAGTGCCACAATCTGGGGCTCCCACCGCCGGTCTTCCCTCCGCTCGTACCTCGCAGAACGATAAACCAAGATGCAAATAGAAGTCCCAGTAGCAGTGGTATGCAGCACAATAGGAAGACCAGGGTAGAGCTTTACCCAAGCGCGGCCAAATGTTTGCATGGAACAATAACCACAGAAGAACGATAAGATTGAGTGAAAAATCAACTGGAAAGCGCTACAACGCTCAAGATACCCGAAACGGCAAGGTCTGCCATGAAAGAAGAAGTCGAAGGCACGCTCAATGAAAGAGACCTGTGGGAGTGACAGCCAGCCGCTCCGGTGATGCCAAGATTCCATGTTGCAATAACTCAATAAGCTTTGCCACTACAGAGCATACACTACGATGAAGTCGAGGATAGGCTTTCGGTAGGGATTCCTCGTAGAAGCCTACGCGTTGAGTAGCGGCTGCACTGCAATTCACTCACGGAAGAGTTTCAAGGGCGAGAATAGTGTCGCTGGCCATGGAGAGCCTCTCGAAGCGAATACTAAAGTCGAAGTCTGAAGAGGGAAAGCAGTTGGAGGAGAAAGACCGAGGTTCTCGGCTGAGAAGGCTCATTGAAACTAAACAATGGGGGAGTCATTATGCGGAGTAACAAGCAGTCCACGGCAGGGCAACAGGCATTAAATCCATACCAGATCCGCGACAGCCCATGGGAGCCGATGCAGTGGGCTACACAATTAATGGTCATCGTAACTCCCCGTCTTCGTGAATGAACATAGGATACCCGTGTCGCCAGCGTCTCTTCTTCTTATCATATACGCCACAAGCTCAAGATGTGGGTGGCCAAACCATACGTCCTTCTGCACTTTGCGACCGGAAACCCGATACTCTTCCTTACCTGAAGAGTTGCAGCTCTGCTATTTCATGGCTTTATATGCTTCTGTTCTTCTTCTTCTTCTTCTTCTTCTTCTTCTTCTTCTTCTTCTTCTTCTTCTTCTTCTTCTTCTTCTTCTTCTTCTTCAGTTACTTGCACAAACAGTCCTTTGTAACTTTGGGCTATTGTAGCTCCACCTGCGCCCATCACGTAGCTTGACCAAGAATGGTATATATACTACGGCATTTGTCCTCTGTGTCCTTCAAGCTTCCCCAACTGCGCTCATAGCACAGCATCGCTTGTGATCCCCTTGTAATACTTCCCACCACGTCGAGCCGTAGATTCCGATGGCGACGTTCCCAACTTGTCCCTTCGTTATGACCTTAAGCAAGTCCATCTAGTGGGTGTGAGGCTTGATCTGCGCAAATCATGTTCGTGGTGTATGTGCAGGGTGTTCAGGCGTGCAGAGAGGCTCCTGGATTCGCGATCTCGCGATCTTGCGCTCGTGAATGCAGGGGGGCTTGATGGTGGGTTTCTGAGTATTTGGCAATGCGTGTAGTTGCTGGAAATTCACTTCCTAGCGTGGGCTTCAAAGATAGCGTGGTTACTGAGTAGGAGCTCTTCGACGGCATGCTACCGGAGCGAGTGGGAGCTTGGTAGTAGTAATACGCGTTGGACTGGATCGTGATAAGCAATGCCCCAGAACGGTGCAAGAAGCAGGTGCACAGCGGAGAGTCGGGTAAATTGCTGGGAGTGTGGTGTTGTTCAGAGAGAAAAGTGGGGTGGGTAGGCTAAGGTAGGTGGTGAGGCAGGGCAGTTGTGTAAGTATGTAGGCTACAATCGTAAAGGCGATTGTTCTCTGCCCACCCAAGCTACTGGAAACATCTGGTGAACTTATTGAGCCACTCCATATCAAATGTATCGTGCAGTTTCACGCAGGCACTGGGGAAAAAAAAGGAAATGCACATGAGGGCTTGTTTTAGCACTAAGTCCAACTGGGATGAGGCATGCCCTGGCCCGACACAAGTCGTCGATGACCTAGACAAGAGCGTCAGCAAGATTCTTTCTCTCAGCATCATCCACAGCATGATCTGCTTACCAGAGACATAACATCGACGGCGCAACGTTGGAGAAAGCCTGGGCGGCTCAACAGCCTGGAGGAAAAGAAGGTGATGGAGGAGAAGAGGAGGAGCGGGGCAGAGCGAAGCAGATAAATCGCGACGCAGCCAGGACGCTGGGGCCACATAACCTCACCTGACCAGCTGGCCCCACTCCTTGGGGCTCCTCTCAGTTAGTGGACTGCTTTACGGCGAGTTCGTTGTGATTAGTAAGGTTGGGTGTTGCCCAGTCATCGAAGGTCTAGGGACTCAGGTGGTGGGCAGTTGAGCAGGCTGTCACTTAGCCGTTCACGATGATTGATACATATGCATGCTGCGATGGGTCTTTGTCTCATACGATCAATGGCTACAGACGCAGCAGTCTGCCTCCCGAGCAGGGCAAAATCGCAGCGACCACATCGTCAGATTACTACCGGTAAAGTCACAGAGCCACTTGCCGTCAGACCATCAATGACTGACAGCAAACCACAGCATCTCACTTCACTTCAGCTATCTGACTCCGTCACTTCTTGTCGCTCAGATCCCTAAAACAACATCCACCACGCATACCTTCAAACCACTCGATCGATATACTCGGGCCCACCATTGAAAGCCCTCGATCTATCCCAGTCCACCGACCATACCAACCAACCGATAGCAAACCACATCATCCCAATTCACCTCTCCAGTCCGCCTCTCTCTTGCTCTCTCGAGTACCCAAGAAAAAGCATCGACAAGTCTTACCGTCAAACCATCCAACCAACACCCCAAAACCCACCCTCAATATCCCTCAGTCCAGACTGTCCAGTCCAGTCCAGTCTCCCCCAGCTTACCAACAACCCAAACCCAACCCAACCAAATCTTCCTCTCCCCTCCCTCCCCACAACCCATCCATCAAAAAAAACCCCTCTCCCTCTCTCCGCTCCACGCAATCAAACTATTATCCTCCCAAGTCGCTACCGTCACCGCAGCAAAATAACCCTTACTTTACCTACTGCCCTCCACAACCCGCATCCTTGAAAATATAGCTAGCAGACTAGATGTATCCTACATTCATACACCGTCGAGGGATTTCGTGGAAATGAGAATGGAATGGTATTTCCCCTTTACAGGGAGAGAGAGGGTAGACAGAGGGAGGGAGAGAAGTACCCACGCTATATTTCTTAAAGACAAAAAAAAGAGGAGAAGAACAAAAGAAAAAGGGTAGGTATATGAGCAAGAGAGAGAAGACTGTGTAAAGGGAAGAACAAAATGCACGTATTCATCACTATCTAACCATTGCACTACAAGAAAGAAGGAAAAAAAAGAATAAAACAAAAGTAAACAAAAACTAGTATTAGTATTCCCCCGCACCATCTATAATAAAGAATAAAAGCTCCTAGACTTATGTCTTCTAACGCCCTGCCTGCCTGCTAAAGCTATAAAAGCAAGAAAGAAAAGCTCTAATTCCTTTGGCGATAAGAAAACGAAAACTAAAAATGATCAGGTCAAAAGAACCCGATGATCCCATTCAAAAACAACATTCCCAATGAATATCAACGCCACGCAATTCCCTATTCCCAACAACAGCATGATAAAAAGTGAAACGGGAAAAAAAAGAAGAAGAAGAAGGCTCCATTCGCATCAAAACCCTCACTCAGCCCCTCCACATTGAGCAAAAGTACAAGGACAAAAAGGAAAATAAAAGACGGCGTAGACAGTTTTCACTAGAGCGTAGGCGCCTTCCTCAACCCGCTGCAATACCGCACATGCAGCTCATCGACAAAGTGCTCGTGGCGAATCCCCGGTGGTCTAGCTCGCAGAAACTCGGTGATGGCGTCCTGGACGGTATACCCCAGCCGCTCGATCATGTAGGAAACGAGGAAGAAGCCCGTGCGGTTGAAGCCGTAGTGGCAGTGCACACCGACCAGGACGTCGTCGCCCTTGTCACCACTGCTGCCCTGGGTGTTGTTGTCTTGAGGGCGACGAGGCGGGTCATAAGATCGAATGAAGTCGATCAGCTCGACGAACCTGCCAACTTCCTCGCGTGTGGGCGGCTGCTTGGAAACGGTGGGGAACTTGTGGTAAGGGATGCCGCCGTCCTCGAGGCCTTTGGGGTCGTACACGGGGGAGTCGTGGCTGATGTCGACGACGGCGCGGAGCTTGCCTGCCCATTCCTTGACGAAGATCTTGGGCGAGTGCGAGGGATCGACTTCGCGGAGCGTCTTGAGAGCGCGGAAGGTGTGTGCGATGGGTTCCGAGACGGGTCGCACGGCTTGCCACTTTGCGAGATTCTTCACGTCCCATTTGCCCTCGGTAGTCAGGTACTGCAGCTGCCAGGTCGGCGAGAGACGCCCGTCGATGTGTTCGGACAAGAAAGTGCCAATGAGGCCGGAGATGATGCGGGCGCTCGTAGGGGCGAAAACTAGCGAGTGAGATGCAGGTGGTGGCATGATGGCGGTCTTGACCAACAGGCGACGAGGACGTATTTGTGTGGTACTTGACTCAGATGAAGGAGTACTAGATTCTGATGTTTCATCAGCGACTGCAGTACTTGCGCCTACGGATTCCTGAGTATCCACATCCGTTGTAGATGTCGCGGAAGGCTCAGCGTCGGGGAAATTATCATCATCCATGTCGGAATCCTGGTGCTCATGTTCCTTCAACTGCGGCTCGGCAACAGCAGGGTCGAGTGGAGCAGCTGCAACGGGCAGGCCAGGTAGTGATTGAGAGGGCTCGATGGGGCCATGACCCCGACCAAGAAAAGTGTTAATCAGTTCAACATTGTCAGTTGGAGTGACCTTGTCAGATTCGCCAGCAATGAGAAACAGAGGAATACTCAGTCCACCCCAGACCTCTTTGCCGGGTAAACCGCCCTTGGGAAGACCGCTAGACATATCAGGCAACATTCCCCTCGCCATGCGCATCCAAGTAGGGGTGCGGCTCTGGCGATTGAAGCGTAACTGTAGTCGTCTGGTCTCGTCGTCTGCTTCTTTGCCCGTCATGCGGAGAACGCTCTTGCTATTCGATCCTCCGCGACGATCCCACCGCCTGAATATATCAAAGATGAGTGGTGGCAAAGAGGTGATTCTCATCAGGGCGTGCATCTTGTCCGGGAAAGGTGGTTGCGCTTGGGGGCACACGGCAACGAGGCCAGCGACGTTCGCAGACAAGAGATCAGCATACGGCGATGTATCGGAAGCTAGTAGAGCGGCGATAGAGCATCCCATGCTGTGGCCGACGAGAACGACTTGTTGGCCTCGCTCACGGTCTCGGTGCGCTTCGATGACAACAGCAAGCAGATGGGTAAGAGCATCCGTGGTATATGCCGCCCATTCTTCTGGCTTCAAAGAGGACAGCCCGCAGCCAGGGAAATCAATGGCAAGGCAAGGGGCAGCGTTGGAGAGGCTGACAAGGATAGAGTGGAACTGGGCTACAGAACCGCCAAGACCGTGAACAAATACGAGCAATGGGACTGGGCGGGGAACGTGTGGAAGCTTGTCTTCCTGGGGATGGGGGCGATAGAATGTACGGATGCCAGGATAGGTGAAGCCAGTCTTTGGAACTGTGTATACCGTAGTTATCGAGTGCTTTCTGATCAGTCCTGGATCGGTAGAGGCGGGATCTGTTATGATGAGTTAGTGAAAGTCGGCGATGGGTAACGAAGGGGATGGCGCTAGAATCAGGGCCCTTGCCAGCACGATAAGCGACGGATGCATGTCCACGTGACGCAACTGTGCTGCAGTGCCGATCGTGAAGAAGGCTGGAACTCGAGACAGAACTCACCTCGGTCGTTGGATGCAGGGCTAGAATCGTCGGTCGGGGTCTGTCTGCCTCCATTTGGGTTGTTCTGCCGGTAACGCCTTGCCAGAAAGGCGACTGTACCGATGCCACAGAGCGCGGTTGTCTTGACCATGCCCACCAAAAGCGGATTGGAATAACCTTGGGTAGCGAAAGGATTGAGCAGACGCAGCAGGGAGTGTGCAGCAGTATTTATCGTGTGGAAAAGGGGATGGTGAGGGTAAGCGTAATCCTGAGGATGGCGAGCGGATCGGGCGAAGACAGAGCTCAGCAGATGGACGATGGCCTGTGGAAGGGAAAACGTGCCATTGTGGACAGCGTGCGAAGGGGAATAGTGAGGCTCCATGGTCGTTTTGGGCGGGCTCCAAGTATATCGGACGGGGGAGGCGGAGACGTGGCCGTGCGTGATGGGGATAGGTTTTGCGAGGGGGCAGTTTGCACCGCGGCCAATGGCGACGGCAGACACGACGCGTGCCGGTGTCTTTGGCGCTCAGGTCCTGGTTCCTGGAACGGCGGGTTGGGGGAGTTGGGGAGATGCGTGCTCGGTATGCGCCCAGGATCCGAAGGGGAAATGCCTCATGGTTGACCGATCAGGGTGAATATATATATATCGTTGCCAGTACAAAGAGCCAGGCGACGGGTGGTTTGGACCAGCGTATTGATTGAAAGACTGATTGATGTAGCTTGAAAGGATATGTTGGCCTCGGGCAAACAAGCAACGATTTGCGTCCGATAAGGTACATATGAATGGATCAGTAGGGGTTGGACTGTACACAAGAATGGTCAGTCAGCGGGTGGCTTTGCACGCAAACGAACCAGTACGTACCCTAAAGAGTCACCGGAGGGGACATGGCGTGCATGGCATTGTTGGAGTTTAGCGTTCGGAGGGAACTGGGAGAGGAGGAGAGTTTGCGGGCGCGAAACATGGCAGCTAGCCCGCCCGTAGCTTGGAAACGGCGTCGCTCGCTAGGGTGGCAAGGGGCACCGGGCCATCCAAGAGCCAGCCACCACCGGCCCGAGCACGCAGGGCTGCATCTACACAGTCAGCAGGTCTCAGTCTTTTTTTTTTTTTTTTTTTTCTCTTCTTTTCTTTTCTTTCTAGCTCTCTTCATCATGTACGAGATCATGTCTAGAAGAGTCATCGGTGTGCAATTGAAAGTCTGCATTGTTCTATTCCTCATTTATATCACAGCAATCGAACATGAGGTCATGTAGAGAAGCAAGCCGTAACACTTCCCAGTCACTCTTCAGATTGCAATGAATAGTACATCATCTCATTATTTACCGACTCTTTCCTATGTACTTGGACAGCGAAAAGAAACCTCCATGCTTCTCATCGCCAGGGCGCAGTCGCATTCGACGTTCCATTGCCTCCTCCAACACGAAACGTCTCCGGTGGGCCATTGTGACTCGGCCTGACCCCACCCAAGTCTAGCACCACCTTTTGCAATATAACATTCGCCTCAACGAGCCAAAGCTTCAGAGTGTGCTGTCCGGCCTTCACTTCGCCCCAGTTGGTCGTGTTCAACCACGCACTCTGCGCCACCGCCGTGCCCCACCCAACAGGGAAATCCGGCTGCGGGCGATCAATGACAAAGGTACGGCGCTGTTGTGGGAGGTCGTCGATCTGCGCAACGTATGCGAGCGGGATCTTGGGCGAGATGTTGTGGGTTGGAGAAAGGATGAGGGTCAAGTTGAGGCCCTTTGCTTTGGTGGTTGGGTTGAAGGTGTAGAAATCGTATTCGAGCAGGGGCGCCGTAGACGGGCTAAGGGACTCTGCCAGGTGGTCCGAGAGTTTGAGCGCAGAGAGGGTGCGTCCGTAACGAGGGAGAAGAGTGTAGGAGAGGTTGCCGGCCGGCGTGAGGCGTGTGTAGTGCTCTGCTTCAAAAGCAAGCTCTCCGCCTGATTCGACGAATCCAGACTTGAACGAGGAGGGGATCGAAGTCTTGTTGACCATGACGTTAATCGTGGGTCTTCCGCCGGATGTGCCGTAGTTGTTGGAGCTGCTGACGTTGAGAGCAACCTTCTTACCGTAGTCGTCGGGAACTTGACTCCAGTCAACGTCGACGTAGACGCGCGTATCGTTATCTTCGGGACCAATGCGCCCTTGGGATCTCGAGAGCGTGATGAAGGGTTCGGTGGTGATGTTCCAAGAAAATTCTTCTGTGCCAACCGAGAAGATCTCCAGCCAGCGTTTGGGGGTGAACGGTGTGATGGGCGGAAGGTCAAGAGAGTTGCCTGAGTTGGCGTGCCATATGTCGTCGCCAGGAACAGTGGCGTTGCTTCCTTCAACCGTAACGCCCATGTCGCCGGAGAGGGCACGCTCAGCAGTTTGGACCCAACGCATGAAAGGCGTGCTTTGCCTCATGGGTTGTTGCCTTGATAACTCTGTTAGCTATGTCGTCGTAGTAATAAACAGTGGCACTCACCAGTATCCTTGGTATCCGAGATGGGTCTGGTCCATCATGTGGTTCCACTTCCCGCTGAACAGTTCGTGGTATCTCTTTGTGAATCCGTTGTCCTTCTTCATCCCGGCAATCACATAATCCATCCACCTGTTCGCGCTGTTACGTCCTTGGCCCGAGTAGATCTGGTTCCTCGCGCCGCCAACCTGGATTGCCACGTGGTTGCCACCAGCAAGCACAGGATGCAATACCATCTCGTAGAAAGAACCCTGTTGCTCTTCTGGAAGAGCATCGTAAACTGCTTGGGCTCTCTCTGCGATCTCCGCCCAAAGGGCAAGCAGGTTATCAGCCTCCTCGTAGTTGAGAATGCTGTAGCTGCCAGGCTCCACCCACTCGTACTTTCGCATGTTGGCGAGGAACTCGTAGATGTCGAGAATCTCCGCGATTTCATCGGCGTGACTTTCGTCGAAACTGCGCTTCGCCCAGCCCTCGAGCCAGTGTGGTACCGATGTCTCGTCGTAAGCATCCATGTCATACGCAATGTCGAACCAATGGCTGATTGGGATCTCGGCTGGTTTGATGTCTCCAACATTGACAATCCAGATCCTGTCGGCAGAGCGAGCGCGGGCCAGAGACATTTGCTCGTACGTCTTCTGGAGTTGGATCGTGTCGATCCATTTGTAGTTACGTGACTCACCAACGTAGTCGAAGTGCTTGGTCCGAGTCAGCAAGAGTCAATATCAGAAACACACCACCCCAGCTTACATAGTATACGCCAGCTCCTCCAGACCGCTTCTTCTCATCTCCGACTGGAAGCCTTCTGATGTTCTGCCAGTTGTCTTCGGTCCAAAGCAGAGTAATGTGGTCTGGAACCTTCATGCCCGCCTCAAAGTAATCCTGGACTTCCTTGTACAGGCACCACATCTGCGGAACCTGGCTTGCATCACCGTAGACTTCATCCATGATCTCCTGTTGAGCAGTCACAACGGCCTCGAGCAGTTCCGTTTGGACATCACCGGACATGGCAGTATCGTGGTATCCACGCATGCCTACAGTGACGACATTCTCGTAGGGCTTAGCACGACGAGCGCCCTCTTCAAAGTACTTGTAGAGAGTGGCGTTGTTTGTGGACCACGACCAGGTCTGTTCAGTACCTTTGGCCACTTGCGTCCACTCCTTGGTTGCGCGTACCATGGGCTCTGTGTGCGAGCTGCCCATGACAATACCGTACGCATCTGCAAGCGGCTGGCTGCGTGGATCGTCGACATTGAACATGCTGTTCCACATGGCAGGCCACAGGTAGTTTGCCCTGCTACGGAGGAGGAGCTCAAATACGTGTGAATAGAACTCGGCGCCGAAAGCACTGCCGTACCTCGACTTGGGATATTTTACATTGACCCAGCCAGTCAGGGCAGGGGCTTCGTCATTGATGAAAAAGCCTCGGTATCTAACAGTAGGTGTCTTTTGGTTCTTGATAGTTCGGAGCGCATAGATGTCGCTGTGAGACTTGGGGGCGACATCCGCGAACCAGTGCCAAGGAGATACACCAATCTGCTCGGAGACGTCGTAAAGGCCGTAAATGGTGCCTCGCTTGTCGCTTCCTGTAATTTTGTCAGTAGAATTCGAGATAGCTGTGCGCGATGTGTGCGCTTACCAGCGATGACGAGAGCTTCGTCGGTTCCATTTGTAGGGCTCTTGATCACGGCGCTCACAAAAGCCTCCCATTTGCCCTCGATGCTGCTGACATCAAGTTTCCCGCTCTCAATCAAGGAGTCAATCAAGCTAGAATTGCCGATTGTACCTGCGATGATCAGACCGCCTCCCGTCTGGTTATACTGTCCTGAGCCATTGGAACTACCACCAACACTCCAGTCCTCGTTGATCCCAGTGATGTTGAAGATGACAGAGGCATTGGCGGTAGCCTGACCCACAGTGTTCAAAGAGCCATTGACACCTGTGACACGACCGAAATCCACCGCAACATCGTGGGCAGCACGAAGCACACCCGGCCAGTCTGCAGCATCGAGCAACAAGCTCACGGGCGAGCTCTTGGAGGCGAGATGGTAGCTACCGTTTCCAGATGAGAAGTCAATGGTGGGTTTGCGGTCTTGTGATAACTCCTTCGCCGCGGTGACGCACGCGACCGCGGAGACAAGGCTCAACAGAGCGCTCGAGAGAACTCTCATGATGGGCTATAATGCTCCAGTCTTTTGCCCTTGGGGTGAGAAAGACGGACCGAATCAAGGATTGACAGAGCTGCCTCAAAGAAGGAGAGGGCAGGAAGCTATCGTCGGTACCTCCCTCGCAACTCGACGACAGGGAGAGCATATTATATTGCTCGCGTCAAAACTAGACCATGCCAAACAATCAATATCCCGGTTGTGAATCTAGAAGACACTAGATCCAAAAGCAGTAGACGAAGCCGTTCGATTCGAGGGTGAATTGTTGATCATTCTCTTGCATGCAACGCCGCCAAGTGGCTGGGTACATGGAGCAGCAGCAATCCCGGTTATTGTATGGATAAATTGAATATGCAGTCATTTTGCATACTTGACTTTCTTTCTAGAAGAACTGTTGCCCCGTCCCCGGGGCGCGGGATTGAAGGGCCCTGCTCCTCATTCTTTGGTTTGGGACAGCGGATAGCACTGGATCCGCTCCTGCGCGCGGTTCAGGGACATTTCGGGCGGCAAAGAAATTTCTCCGGCAGTGAGCAGATGGATAGAAGAATGTGAGAAGTGGCAATTCCTGCTGGAGCGTGTCGGATGGGAAAGAATGGTGTGTCTGATGAAGTGGAATGGCTTCGTGGATGAATGGATAAAATGGTGGGGTCTCCGCATGGCGCTACCTCGTTCCGTGTTGGCGCGTGGGGCATTCTTTTCCCGCAAAGACCTACAATATCCTATTCGAATCTTGGGTATTGAGGGCCGAGTCGGCGAAACTTCGATAGCGTCCTGGCTTAAAGGAGTCATGGGGAAATGGAAACCCTGTTTTGGCCTTGAGGTTCAGCGGGACAAGAGGTGCATCTGATCAATTGATCTTCTTCATGGCTGTTTGCGAGTCATGCATTGATGATCAGCAACTTTTAATGCAGGGGGAGAAGAGATATATGACAAAGGGAAGATTTGGGTATACACGTTGACGATCATCCAGTCTGTTCTGCAGTCTATATATACTGCATATTGGATGAAAATAGAAATGCATATAAAAGCTCATCAGCGAAATCTCTAGATCAGCAGAGTAGCGCTAAGTTCTTTCTTTTCATATAGATCTGAAATACTACGTGGAAACTGTATATTTCTGTAAACAGATCTCAGGTTCATCGACGACCCTGTACTGATGGTTTCCATGTAATGTCCAAGTTTTATAACACGTGCAGGCCAAGAGAGACGCAAGTGCGTTCGCGAAGATATTTGGGTAGGTATTTCGCGAGAAAGAAACGTACCAGACACATACTAATCCTTATGCTAGAAAACCGCTCTATTGAATGAAACTGAATGTCGTTATAAACTCAGGTCCAACTGCTTTATCTACATGTGCTCTGTTGAAATTCACCGTGGTGTGTGTGGCTGAGTGGCTTTCGGAAGAGCTCACCAACCACGCTCCATGTTCACTTCAACACGCTGAGATCTTCAACATTCTGAATTTACGTGTTGACTAGATTGATGATTGACAAATTTACAGTCAATATTGCCTTGATCAGGACTAGTACTAATCACAAATTGTTTGCTAGTTGATATCAGTGATGCAGCCTCCAGGTTGGGTGTAGTTCTTGCTGTACTACACTTGCTCGTAAAAAAAGGCTATACATGGCTGACACGCAATTCAAATCCCGATCAAAGTTTGTACGGCATTACGAATTCCTTCTACGGCGTCTCATACTCACGACTTAGACGTTGTCGTCAAGGTATGCCCTTGTTCTCATCAATACCATCACAAATCTTCTATCCACTTCATCGCACACGAGCAGCAGCATTACCTTCTACCACAAATCCAACAGCTTAATACTCAAAGCTACCACCATTCATTCATTCATACATTCATTCTCAATTCCTCCGACCCACAGATCAACCCATCCCAAAGCCAATCACTTCCCGAGAGGCAGTAACACCAATCTACAATCCAGACAATAGGACAGAACAATCATCCATACATGTATTCATTCAAAAAACAACCCCCATCTCCAAACAAGCAAGCAAACCAAAAGAAATACTACCTCAACCGCAAGATCCACCAACGTTTCATGCCCTCCTTCCTCCCCACACTCATCCCACCTCCCATGAATCTCACTCCTATCGATAACGCCCGCCCCCACTACACCGAATCCCGCCTAGCGGGCAACCTCTCTCCACCCAACTTTTCTTCCCCGTCGTCCGCTCACACCGAACCGACCTCAAATCGCATCCATATCCCCCGACCACCCACCACCACTCCGATCTTCGTCTCCCCAAGCTATCCGAACCCTCCACATCCATATCTCTCCAACGAATCCCAAAAAAACCCCTCCTTGGTCACGCACATCAAACAGAAAGCTCCAGCAAGGAAAAGAAAAAGAAAAATGGCCCAAGGCGCCCCCAAAAAAGCCTCAAAACCACATACTTCGTCGACGACGAAACATAAAAAGTAGACTTTTGCCCCCCCTTTCACCTCTCCCTTCTTCCTCCTTTTCACCCTTTCCCTTGCCTTCACCATTCTCCAAATCTCTGTTTTCTAACTTTCTCACCTTCCGGCGCAGAGGCAACAACCCCAACCACCGCGCCCGCGTCATCAAGCCTAAAAAAGCGAACCTCATTACCCAGCAGTCGATCAAGAAAAAGGCGACGTCTGGGTTGGCGGGGAAGACGGAGAGAATGCTTGCTGAGAAGGCGGGGCATTTGGAGATGTTGGAGGGGGGGAAGAGGGATAAGAGGATTGGTGGGGGTGGGATTAAGGATAGGAAGAGTGCGAATAGTGGGGGTGGTGCTTGAGCGAAGGGGGGGCAGGGATGGGATGGGGAGGGGGAAGGGGGAAGGGGGGATAGAGGGACAGATGCGGAGAAAGGCAAGAGACAATCGATTGGAGTATCTGGAATATGCGCGAGAAAGAAAAGGTTCTAGGAGTACTGAGAGGAAGAATGGTGGTGGGACGAGGTTTTTTATAAGAGATACCCCCCCAAAAAAAGACTGTTGGCTAAGGACAGGAAGAACAAGAAAAGGAAAGGAAGAAGAGAGAGAGAGGAAACAGAACGCCGGGTTTCACATTACGAGCGACGCCAGAAATCTTCCCCATCCCGCTACAAACAAGAAAACTACGCTCAAATAATCCCCGCGCGAGCCGCCTCGCCGCCGCCGGCTTCAATGACAGCTTCCCTCGCTTTCCCACGTCCAATGCCGCCCTCGCCAACACCCATCCTCCGCGCAACATAGCGCTGCGCAACGATACCCACGCTCAACCCAATCGTCTCCTCCATCCACTCCGCCACCCATTCACGCGGATCCACGCCGCCGTCTTGGATGATATGCTGGATTTCAACAGGGAGCTGCTGTTCTTCTCCCTCAGTTTCAGCAGGAGCCGGGGCGTCCAACCACTCGATCCATTTCGCGGGGAACGACTGACTGAGGGCGTGGTAGCTGATAGCGTGGACAGGGTCGTGGAGGTATATAGCGAAGACGACCAACTCCTCGTCTTCCTCTTTAGGTTCCTCGACACCTCCCTCGGCCTTCTTCTCTTTATCCTCGGACGTTTGCGAGCTTGCGAAGAGGTCTTTTGGCGCGGTGTAGCTGATTGCCTGGATAGACAGGAAAATATCGCTGCTGCGTACGGGATTTGATTCGCTGAGGACCTCTGTAGCGTGTTTGGCCGCTTCTTCGACACCACCTCGCGCGGAGAAGAAATCGGTTGAGTACGCTTCCGCGCTTACGCGCGCGAGCTTGGTGCCCTCAGGGAGTCCTTTGATGATGCTGAGATCGCGTTTGTCGGTGTGGCGCCACCAGGGACCGTCGTTCCAGCCGCTGCCTCCACCGCGGTAACCGTCTAGGGAAGGGCGGCGCTGTGTGGATTCGGAACCGCGTTGGATGACGAGGAGATCGCCGCCTTCGACTTGCGACATTACTTGCGAAAAGGTCTGGTAGATGATGGGGTCGAGGGAAGGGTAGCCGACCAAGTCGTGCGTGATGTGGATCTGGAGACGCTCGTGCTGGGAAATGGGCGGCGCAATGGTTTCGAGGATGTTGGAGAAGGTGGGGAGGGCGCGCTTTTGGAGTTCGCCGCCTAATGCCATATACCCTTCATTAGCATACATATAGAGAGAGAGCTGGATAAGTCAAAGAAAAAGACAAATCTCGATAGAACGTACCAATTCCTCGCAGGGTTTCCACATTGAGGTTGCCGCGCACTTGCTCAGCCCATCGTTGAGCCTCCTCGTTCTTCTGAATCTCGGCATAGGCAGCCTCGGCCCGCTTCCTCGCGGCATCAGCAGTGGCCGTCGCCGTCGACAGAATGCCTCCCCACCACGAGCCGCCAGCAGCAGGGGCAGCAGGCTGTTTAGGCTCGGGCAGGACGTCGTGTTGCGAGGGGACAGCGGCGGGGGCAGCGGGAGGAGCCTTCTCCTCGCTGGTGCGTGTGGACGGGGCAGACGACGACGGGGTCGCGATGGGTGCATGGCGGGTAGCAGACGACGAGAGCCTGGGGGTATCTGGACGGCTGGCGGGTTTGAATTTCTCGAGGGCCTCGAGCTCCTCCAGCTCCTTGAGGGCGTCCAGGTCGTTGCGGTCGGGCTTGGTGGAGGCGGGTCGGGGTGCTTTGGCGGTGGTTTTGGAGCTCTTGGGCGGGGGTGGTGCTGCCTCGTCCGCGCCCATCATTTCGAGCTCGGCGAGCTGCTCTTCGACGGTTTTGGGGGGCATATTAAGAGTGGTGGTGTGTGCAATTCACACAGCTAGAGAGAAAGCGAGGTGAATGGTGGTTGGTGGTTGGTGGAGGGAGGGAGTGAAGAATGAGGATTGATGCTACTGATGCTGTGCTGCGTGGATGGTGAATAGCTCAGCACAATAATAACAAAGGCGACCAACGAGTCAGAAAACGGTTTACTGCAGAAAACGAATTTAATCCCATGCATGCATCTCCCCCGTAGGGCTGCCTGGCCCAAATCCGCCCATTCTCTGGATACAGCCGCCGCTGATTGGCTGCGCCGGCCATTTTCCCGAACTTACGTGATACGTTTCTGCTGCTTTGCGCCTCTTGCTTGCTTTGCAAGAACAAAAAGCATCTCCATCCCATCATCCCCCAACCCCATTGCCCCCTTCGTCCCGCTCGGCCCTCTGCGCCAACTTGAATCTTCCAATTCTCCATTTCCACTTGACCCTGCTTTCTCCCCCTCGCGATTGACCGATCCGCTTCATCTTGCGATTCCGCGCTAGTTGGATCCAACGGGGCCATTCCATTCCATGATTACTACTACTACCTACTCCTCTTACATGTACTCTTGAACCTCCCAATCCCTTCTTCTTCTCGTCTTCACTGCCGTCAATGGCTGGGCCCAGGAATCTTCCTGCCCGCTCTTCGCAGCGTCGCAATGTGGTTCCCGAGGAAGAGTCTCCTATGCAGACCCGAAGGGGAGCAAAGTCAGCTGCCAAACCAGAGCAACCGGACATAGTATCCCCAAGGTCCAGCAGACATTCCATGCCCGTCATCGAGGCCCCGTTGACTCGCAAGGCGACGAGGACCATTTCCTCCGTTCCCAATTATGCAAAGTTGGATTCTGCGCCCAATGTCTACGCCACTTATGAATCGCCCTTCTTCATGGTCTTTGGCCTCACCTCATCCTTCTTTGATTCTCTCCATTTACGGAAGCGGGAGCAGACTCTAGCCCTTGGGTATCCCCAGGATTCAGAAGAAGAAGAGGAGGACGAAGAGGAAGACGATTCTTCTACCGTGGAGGAAGAGAGCGATGAGACGCCCGCCGTCCCTACCCGTCCTGCCACGACTACCAGGGGCCGCGGAGGTGGTCGCGGCAGCCGGGGCGGACGTGGACGAGGACGAGGCGGCAGAGGCAGAGGTTCTCGAGGAGGTAGAGGCGGTTCCCGAGGCGCCTCTGCGCGCACGACTTCTCCTTTGCGCACTCGACCATCTCGCAATGCTGCTCCTGTATTTCCGCTTCAAGACCATGATGATCCGTCCAATCAGAGCTCCCCGCTACCGGACGCTAACGATTCGCTCCAAGGAGACGAGCAAGACGACCAAGACCAAAATCAAAACCACTCATCTTCCCTCAATCGAGACGGCAGCGATGCTGATGGTGGTGATGAGGGCTCCCTTCCCGATGTCAAAAACCCAAAATCCTTCTCACCTGCTACTCCTCCCGGCTCGCCTCCGCCCGGTGTCATCAAAGCCTACCACGACCCTTCGACCAAAATTCCAACCTCCCTTAGCGTCCCCAAAATCTCACTACCGGACAAGGCCTCTGTAAACATGTCACATGACGGCACTCTGACTCCCGCAGAGTCGGCCGTCCCCAAACTGCTCGACCCGGAAGATGATATGTTATCCGACTCGGATTTGCCTGATGCTTGGATCGAAGGCGTTCCCGACCCACTAGAGGCCGAGTGTGAGGACAGGGCCGATTACCTGCTCCAGACGCGCTATAAGCCCATGCCCAATGTGCAAGACATCATTGACAATCTTCAAAAGCATTCTTTTACTCTGCGCAGCACTGAAAGCCTCTATGCACTTGCCGAAAACACTCAAATGATCCTCCGAGCTTGGCAGGATCAGTATCTGGAGCTTGATGCCAAGGTAAGTTTGAATCATTCGCATCAGCGATACCATCAATGTTGACTGACTTCGTAGACTGCCCCACATGCACATCCACCAAAGAAAGCTTGCAATGGCGGCCGCATACCCATGGCCCACCAGCAGTTCGAGGACAGGAAAGAAGCAAGTTTATACGGCTACGTCTTTGACCCTAAGAAACCTCCAGGAATGCAGGATCCCTTCGCTCAGCGCCCTGGACATGAAAAGACGGGTCGAAGAGAATTGCGTCAGCGTCGCACCAGGGACATGCTCGATTCCGCTGCTCCCAGTGAAGAAGAGGAGGAAGAGGATCAAGAAAGCAGGCCTGCAAAGAGGCAGCGCCGAGCTACTCGTCCGTTCGAGGTTAGTGAGCAAGGCAACAACACCGGCACCGGCACTGGAACAAATACTCCCAAAAAGAAGAACAACGGCTGGGGTGGTGCGCGGAAGAAGGGTGTCAGCAAGTATGCTCAACCAGCTGTGTCAGCTACCGCCACTCCAGAACCCGAAGGTCGCGGCAAACGTGGAAAGGCCTTTGCTGCTGCGGTCCATCACCGCATTCAAGCAATGCGGGAGGAGTCCGCCGTTGTCAGCTCCAGCGATGAAGGTGGCTCCTCCAATGTAGCCTCCGTGGATACCGAGGACACTCCCCCTCCGGTTCAGAAGCGTGGACGCCCCGCCGGTAGCAAGAACGTCGCCAGGCGAAGTGATTTTGGCCAAAAGAAGGGTCCCCGGAAAAAGGTGCACGAAGAAGAAATTGCCATGACTACAAGTTCTCCCAATGGACAACCGCAAATGCTACAGTCCATGAGTGAAGGTCAAGGCCAGTTTACCATTGATGCTCCCGTTGCTCCACAGCTCGCGCCATCCCTTATGGGTCCGCACTCGACTGAAACTGTTTTCCAAGCTACTCCGCAGCCGTTGGGCGTCACGGACCCATCGAACCATCCATCATCTGTCAAGGCACAACCACCAGATTTCTACACAAACGCCACCCCGTTGAGTCAGTATAACACTGTCTACATGGACGACTCCGCAACCAATTCTGCATCTGGGTCCAAAGGAAAACCGCGAGTTAAAAGCGAGAAGCGCAGCCAATCCATGACCATCTGGTGGGCAGAGCGCAAGGCGCGTCGAAAAGAGATGGAAGAAAAGACGGGGACGCCTATCAAAGCACCTCCATCGCGGTCAAATTCGACCTCAGGTCGTCGCGGCGGCAGACCCCCCAACTCCTCCAAACCTCCATCCGAGGCACACTCACGACCGCAATCCTCCCACCAAGACATGTCGCCCCATCTCTACGCGCAACAAAACGCGCACCCCGACCTCTACGCCGTCCCCCACGACCAACACCCGCCACCTCCACGCGGGCCCTTTTCATCTTCCCATTCTCCGACCGAATATAGCTTCTCCGCCTACCCACCCGGCGCTCCACCACCGAACCTCGTCTCAACACCACTCGCCGCACTCCCTACGTCATCCGCACAACCACCTCCCCCACCATCCGCAGGCACCTCACCATCCTCCATCTCCGCACAAGGTCGCACTCTAGCCCCCGCACCTCACCATCCCCATCTCCCCGCCGCCTATCCGAGCCCGTTCGGTCCGCGCGCCCCTGCTGCGGGCGGTCGTCCGAAAAACACCGGGCCTATGCCTCTTGCGCCTGCGCCTTTGGCGTCGTCGTCCGCGGGGTCGTCACAACATGTTAGCCCGTATCCGCCTTTGCAGCACCCTCCTCCGGAACGGGATTCGGTGTTTAAGAGCGGGTTGGCTGATCAACCCGAGCTGATGAGGAAGTTGAAGGAGCTGAGGGATGCGGGGGCCAGGGAGAGGGATGCTGAGAGGGAAAAGGGACGGGAAAGGGACGGTGGTGGTGGTGGTGGTGGGGAGTGGGTCGATTAATTTCGATCTTGATTGCTCCACGGATCCATACGAGTCCTTTTTTTTCTTTGAACGGAGCCAGCGAGCTCTTTTTTTTGTTTTTGCTTTTTGTGTTTTATGGTTTGAATTGCGTGCTTGACCCTGGATTCTCTTTCCAACAGCGTAGACAGACATAGCTAGCTAGCCCTCTAAAGGAAAATTAAACAGAAAACTTGAACTTGAGTTTACACGTGTACAAGTTTTTCTTCTTAATCTATATCTACTTGTAAAGTTATATTTGTTACCTCTCTATTATTATCTAAACTACCCTCTCTTTCTCTCTTTCTTCTCCCTTTCCTCTCCTTTCTAGTATTTTTTATATCAGTATATATATATATATATATATAACATAGCATTTACACTCATTAATATAGGAATATCTACTTAAGATAACTTACTTACTACTTATATGTATGAAAAATTTCTCTTTTTCTTTCCTCTCTTTCCCCCCTCTATGTAGAATACGCACAAGGCAAATATATCCATGTTTTATATCTATATGTATATGCTATTTCTTCTACCCCCCCCCCCCTTTTTTTTTTGTAATTTTAGCACAGTTCTTAAGACGTAGTTTACTACTTAGAAAAACAATCAGGTTGTTGCAAATACTAATACAGCATCAAGTAGTATTGTAAGCAAGCTAAACACGTCTTTATTATTCTCTTTTTGCATTACAGAAACAAAATTTCTCTCTCTGTTGGTATTTTTACCCCCATCCTGATTCATTACATCTCATATCCTCCAGACTCATTAAAAAAAAACAGTAATGCTTCACCCCCTCTCTCTTTCCTTCGTGCAGGTATAAGCAACAGCAAAACCAGAGATGCCACATCCTTCTGTTCGTCCATCTTAATTGTTTGCTTTTCGGTATCGAGGGAGAAGAACAAACGCGATATCCGTCGTCTCGTCCTCTTCCCACCCGTTCCCTATCATGTATTCGCTCGTCATCTGTTATAGAACCCCCTCGAAGGAAAAATGGTAGAGGGTATAACCCCCACTAACCGCAAAGAAAGAAACAAAAATCGTACAATTACAGTCGAAAAGATTGCCCTCCACAAACCGCCCTGATGATTAGAGAAGAGTTTCCCGCACGTGTCCCACAGTGTCGATGATGGTATTCATATTGGCCTTTGTTGATGGCATCACCGTTGTGCGACAGAGAGCGGAGAATGGCCACAGATTGTCATTGCAAGTATCTGTCTGTACGGGGTCGAAGCACATGAGCATTGCAGAAGGAAATTGGCAGTCACCGAAAGCGGGTGCCCAAAAAGCGTCAGCGCGAGCAGAGCAAATGGAGCAGATTCGGGATCGAAGGAAAATGCAAATGGTGAAAAAGAGGTATCAAGTAAAACAAGGCGTGTGAAGTGAATGTCGTGAATATAAGTCTGTGACGCTGAGATCCAGACTCAGGCTGGAATGCAAAATCGTTACCCAGTCGAATCCAAACAACGCCCCGAATGCAGCAGTCGAAGGCCCAAAGGAAAAGAACCCCTTGAAATGCAATGCCCTGCTCCCGTGAGCTCGCGCGCATAACACCAGCAGATGAAGAATAAAACACACGGAATGAAGCTGTTCAAGCATTCGCGTCCTGGCTCTGCGGCCGACTGGGCGGAGCTGGGCTTGCCTCGACACCTTCCATGGGACCGCTGCGATCCTCGGCATGCCGCTCGTTGGAATCGTCCCGAATTCGGGTGAAACCACCGTCAGCAGCCGTGGGAGTGCCCAGCATTTCCCTGGGATAAGGCTCCAAGTCTCGCGTGCTCGTGGAAAAGGTAGATATGACGGGAGCGTACGGTCGATGGTCGGCTTGAGTGGGTGTCTTGGCTTCGGGACCAGCGGATACCGGTGACAAGAGCCCCTCGGGATTGGCCGCCAGGGTGTCCTGCTGCATCACCGCAGCGGCCGCGCCATTCATGAGCCCGTTCCAACCGCCTTCAATGTCCCGCAGCAGACGAACGTACTCTTCAGGTACGAGGCCACTCTCGCCCGTCTTGGGGTCCTGTGCTACGAGCCAGCCCTCGCCGTGGCGGTACGAGACGAGTATGATCTGGCCCTCGACAAGCGGCAACTCATTGTCATTCTCTCGCTCAAAGTCGAAGAGGGCGACCGCCTTGCCATGCATTTCCTCGGCTGGCGAGGCGATTGTGAATTGGTAGTCGCGCGAGAAGCGGCTCTCGTTGTGGATGTAATCGTCAGGCTCCGACATGTCTTCGTCTGAATCGTAGGGCGGGCCGTCTTCGTCGGCGTAGGCGCGCTGGGGGAGGGTGGTGGCGAAATGAGAGTCCCGACGCGAGTGGCCGGTGGGCACCTCGAGGGCGGAGTGGTGTGAGTGGGGAGGGTATGTGATGTATTCGCCGTTGGGACCAGAGGCATGCTCGAGAGATTCGACGGGGTGGTAGGAGGATTCTCCATTGGGGCCCGCATAGGAGCCTCGGCGCATGCTGTCTGGGTAGCCTCTACGACCGCGAGTCTGATCAAAGTCAACAATGTTCGACTTGTGCTTCTTGTGGCGCGCGTGGCTGGTGACTACCGGGCTTGAAATGTCTTCATCCTCGCTGTACGGCGGGCCATCGGCGAAGGATGTCTGCGGCAGCTGCTCTTCAGCATCCCACTGGCCCGCACGATCGCTGTAGGAGGCCACGGCTGGCGGGTCTGAGAGACGGCGACTCACTTCGCTGGCTGGGGTGGATATCTCCGAGGGCTGGTCGGGGAGAGGCCCATAGAAGAGGGGGTGCAGCGGCCCATAGGCGAAGTCCCGCACCAAGGTGTAGGGCAGGCTCGAATGGAATATGGGAAAGGCAGTCGACTGCGGGCGCGAACGAACCGACTGAGGATTGGAGACGTTGGAAAAGGTGGAGAGGCGCTTGTTGTGGTAGGAGCTTTGGCGTTCTAGCTTGGCTTTGGAAGGTGGGGAAGTAAGGAGGGGAGGCAGCGACGTGCGATTTGGGACAGGCGAGGTGAGGGAGGCGGGCTCGCTCCGTGGGGAGAGGACGTCGGCGGCCATGTCGGGATGTTGGTGATTATTATTAGAAGAAGAAGAAGAAGAAGAAGAGTGGGATGCGGGCAGAGCAATGCCCTCGGTGATGTCGTCCAGCCGTCGCGAATCGGCGTGGGGTTCTTTGTGCGAATCGGTCATGCGAGGTGGTGCGGGACGAAGGCCTGCTGTGAAATGGCACGTCAGTCAGTCAGCCAGCGACAACCAGCGGGCGAACAAAGCCGCGACAGCAGACTATGTGTGGATGGCGGTAGCGGAAGAAGTAGAACAAATGGTGGTGGTGGTGGTGGTAGTAGCGACAGTAGCGGCCAGTGGAGGGGAGCGGCTGCAATGTGGAAAGGAATCAAGAGGGAGGGGGTGGAGAGTATTGGTGGTGGTGCGGAGAGTGTGTGTGGAGGATGGGATGACCGGCCACCAAAGGCCACCCGCGGCGGGCGCACAAACGAGGGAAGCAGGCGATGGGTGGCTTGAACTGGGCAAGCAGCAGCAGGGTGAATAGTGCCAGCAGCAGCAGCAATGGGCAAGGTAGGGAAGGAGGAGGAAATTTGGGAGAGCAGTCTGTGTGCAAGTGGTGGTGGTGGTTGTGAAGTTTTGGTAGTATGTATAACGGGTATACCTACTCAGTGGGTGTGTCTTGCGATGGCTCAGCGGTGGACTCGGTTGTTGCTTGGAATTTTGATTTTTTTCTTTTTCTCTTCTCTCTTCGATTTCCCGCGTGGGCTGCTGGGCGGGCCTGAAGCCAATGAGTGGGTGGTAAATGGATGGCAGGGCAGCGTAGGGCAGGGCAGGACAGGCGGGGTGGTGGGCGTTTGCGACGAGTCGGTGGCAGCGGGAGCTGGCTGGCTGGCTGGGCTCGGGCGGATGCGCGATTGGGAGCGGCCGAGGGAACAGCGCAGGACAGGGCAGGACAGGGTGGTCCCGAAGCAAGCGCCTACAGACAAAGGGAATGTGAGAAGGGAAGAGTGAAGAGTGAAGAAGAGTGGATGTTTGTTATTGGGCGGGTAGAGAGGTGATGGTGGTGGTGGTGGTGGTGGTGGTGTTGATGTTGTGGATGTTGATGGGCTGGTGTGTGCGCTGTTGCGTATGTATGTGTGGGTGCGTGCGTTGCGTGGTGTGCTCTTGCCTGCTTGCGTGCCTGCCTGCCTGGCCTGCTAGAGAGAGAGAGCGAGCAGCAGCAGCAGCAGCAGCAGCCCTGGCGCTAAGACTTAGCGTCAATGGAGGGATTGGACGGTACTAAGCAACCAAGTAACCCAATCCGCCCCTCTTTTCCCCGACAAACAGGTACAATGCGACTCGTGGCTGCGCCCGCGGTAGCAAAGATGTCCTATACGGTATATAGTGCCGTCCTGTAGCTCTGCCGTGTTCGTTTTGCAGATGGTTGAGACGGAGAGGTGTATATGCGTGTCTATGTGTGAATGTGTGTGCAGAGGGAAAGAGGAAGGGCTGAATGCGAGCGGCCGGCCGGGGCGGGCTATTTTTATCTCTCTTGCTCCTTCCTGGCGAATCTCTGCGATCGCTGCTGCCGTTTCAGGACCGTCCAGCCCGGACGAGCCACACAATAAGTTGATTCTACTCGGGACCCCACGCCAGCAGGTGGATGAGGAATGGATTCCGTGAATGAAGGTCCAGCAGTTGATTGAAGGTGCAAAGAGTACGTACTGTCTGTCATGCCCCAAGAAGCGTTCAACCCCAAGTCCATCCAAGGAACCCATCGAGGCCCGGCTGGATGCTTCGAAACCGGCCTTTCCACTTTGGACCCTAGCCTGAAACGCTAGCGTCGACGAGCCGCCGTCCTTGCTCGCAGCCATCCATGTTCACCCATCCGCCCACTCACGACATGTCTACCATCCTCTCTCACCGCAGCAATCAATTGAAATGGAAAGCAGAAAAGAAAAGAAAAAATTATTTCAATTGCTTCTAGTGATTCAGCTTTTCTGACCCAAGTCTGCTACCTACATACGAGTGCAAACGTATCTAACTCGAATAGTCGAATGCTCTCGCCGCGTGCTTTGTCCACCACCATGTTTGAATGATCCAACACGCTCAAATCTCCAGCACCACACCTCATGCTCAAGGGAAAAAAAAAAGAAAAAAAAAACAAAGAAGAAAAAGGAAACTCGTCAAACATCTTCAACACCCGCCTCCTGACGCTTCCCTCGTACAAGTTACAGGTCGCAAACACTCACCCAACAGATTCCCATGCATAAAATGCCACAATATCTCCTTCCCCCTCTCCGCCGTCATCCCCATAATTGGTTTTTGACACTGGCAGACCAACACTCCACTATATGCATGTATGCGTACCTCGGCCTCATTTCTTCTTGCCAGTTTCATTCCAGCATGACTTCGGCGCTCCTCCGCCCTCCTCAATCCTCAGCCCTTTTCTTTGCCTGCAGGTAGCTTGCCTGCTCGCCGTCTGTCATCTCGGCCGTCACCGTCTGAGCTCCTTCGGCTTGACGACCGAGCGTCCCAGGAACAGGAAATGAGCCCGACAAAAGCAATAACAGCCTCGACTCAACACCAAGGGTCCCGCTGTCTTAACACAGCACGTCATGATGCATCCTAGCACTTAGCAGTCCTCTTATCGATTCGCTTTTCCCATTTCATGCTGTCGTCCAAAGTGAGGCTATTTACCCCACATCACGCATATCCAACCTAATTTGCCTCCATGTATTGATACTTGCGTACCATGGCTGGCTGCCACGATGCTCGCTTGCTAGGCGGCTGACTCATCCACTGCACAAGCTAGCCCAGCCTAGCCTAACCTAGCCCAACAACCTCTTTGTTTCTTCACCTCTTCCCACACTGTCACCTCTCTTCCTCCTCCCATCACCTAATAATCATCCATACATCCGGGTGTCATCAACCTGCTCATGAGAGCCCCTCGAGCATTACTCCGCCGAGGCCGCTCCCTCGCAGCCCAGTCGACCCCTCTCTGGTAAGCACCCCTCACTCTACCTACCTACCTACCTACATTGCTTGCTTGCTTGCTTGCTTCGCATCACCTTGTTATCATGATGAATCCATATATTGGAGCTGTCCTATCTATAATGAGGACTACAATATTACGCACTGAAAATTCTGAACCGATGAACCCCCCTTTGTTGCTATGCCTTGCTCTCCATGCTCGTCTGAGGACACGCGACTAACAATGGTGAAGATTCTGCAAGCTCGTCGGTTCGCCCCTTGATCATCATGTCTGCGGATCCCCGCCTGAGGTCGAGGGCTGCTGCCCAGCAGCAACAGCCCACCGCCGTCCCTCCCCCTCCCCCACCGCCTCCGTCCGACCCTCCTCCCATGGGATTGGATGGCGCCGCCGACGCTTCATCTGCGAAACCAGAGAATGCCGTCGATCCCAGATCTAGCCTCCGCTTCTGCACCGTGTGCGCCAGTAACCAGAACAGGTATGTCCACTGCGATGCTTCTCCTGTGTTCTAGCAACTAACAATCATCAGGTCTATGGAAGCACACCTGCAGCTCGCGTCGGCCAATCTTCCAACCATCTCCTTCGGCACTGGCTCTCTCGTGCGGTTGCCTGGTCCTAGCATCACTCAGCCCAATGTCTACCAATTCAATAGCACCACCTATCGCCAGATACACCAGGAGTTGAGCCAGCAAAACACTCAGCTGTACACTGCCAATGGCCTGCTTAATATGCTCGGCCGCAATCTCAACATCAAAGGATTCCCTGAGCGGTTCCAAGATTGGGTTCCCGGCAAGTCGCGCCTCAACGATCACAAGGATGATCAGGGAGCGGTCGGAACTGAGTCTGGCGTGGTTGATGTTGTCATCACATGCGAGGAACGCTGCTTCGATGCTGTGCTGGAAGATTTGCACAACAAGGGGGGTAAGCTGAACCGCCCGGTCCATGTCTTCAATGTCGACATCCGCGACAACCACGAGGAAGCCCTGGTCGGCGGCAAAGCCATCCTCGATCTTGCGTTGAGCCTCAACGAGGCTGCTGCCAAGGAGAAAGCAGTCCATGGAGATAACGGGTGGGACCGCGGCAGCGGCTCTGCACGAGATGGCTTCGATGAGCGTGTACCTGAAATACTGGCAACGTGGCAGGGCAGGTGGCCGAACCTTCCAGCCTTGTGGAGTCTGGCATGGATTTAGGGCTGCTATCCATTTACTTGCAGTCGCAATGGCGTTGCTTTTTCACGCTTCAAACTAGTTATGATGATCACGATACCCCACATTAGTATGGCGTTATGGAAATGGGTTTAATCTCCTTGCTTAGGATAGTATGACACGATGTACTGCATCTGGCAAATGAACAATGTTGGAATCTATACATGTTTCAAGATATAAAGACATAATTGATCAAATCGAGCTCGAGTGAAGAGCAGCACGTAGAATCGATACCGTATTTGTTCTTTCCATCTCTTAATGAATCAAGTTGGTAAACTGAATTGTTTCTCAACCACGACAAGCCAAGTCCAAGACCACTAGTGCGCCGTGCTCTGCTTCAAATTCACGTAAAGCATCAATGGACACAGTTTGAAATTGTGTCAACAGAAGGGAGTAAAAAAAAACTTGTGGTGCTCAATAATCAAAATGCCCACTAAATCCAGGACAGGCGGCTCGGTGTGGTTCGGACGGTCGGGGTCGCCGGATTTAGGTTTCGCCGACAAGCGAGACACACGAAAATCTAACCTTGGCCGCAACCCATCGCAACCCTCACGCCTCGACCAATTTCGACAACCAGCTTCAGCACCCATTTTCTTCCCTTTTTTCCCCAATCCCTCACACAAACCGCAAAAATGGGTGGTGTCTCAGTCAAGGACGTCGACGCGCAGAAGTTCATCAACTCCTATGCTGCTTTCTTGAAGCGCCAGGGAAAGCTTCCCAGTATGTCAAATTCAACACTCCCCGCGCTCTGACGCTTCCATGTCAAATGCTAACAATTTCGCAGTTCCAGGTTCGTACGCTCTCGCCGGGTGAAGGAAATGAAAAGCCTGAATCCCGTAACTGGGGGGTTATTGTGCTTCTTGCTAACCACATTACCTACGGGCAGGTTGGGTTGACACTGTCAAGACTGGACGTACGTATACCCCTTCTGTCTCCGTTGAACGGTTTTCTTGCCGCACATCGGAAATCAGGCCAACAGGATGCTAACATCAGACCACAGACTCCAAGGAGCTTCCTCCCCAGGACATTGACTGGTTCTACACCCGCGCCGCCGCTGTCGCCCGCCATGTCTACCTCCGCAAGACCGTCGGTGTTGGCCGTCTGAGGAAGGTTCACGGGTACGCACATCCTGAGCGATCTGTATGCGTGGCCGCGTTGCTGACCTGTTATTCCCAGTTCCACCAAGAACCGCGGCTCCCGTCCCTCTCACCACGTCGACGCCTCCGGCTCCGTTGACCGCAAGGTCCTCCAGGCCCTTGAGAAGATCGGCGTCGTTGAGCACGATGAGGACAAGGGTGGCCGCCGCATCACCCAGGCCGGACAGCGTGATTTGGACCGTATCGCCCAGACCACCCTCGAGGCCGAGGAGGAGGACGAGGATGACGAGTAAACATGTGCGCGCATCTTGTAGCATACAAAAAGCAGGAGGGTTTGGATCGCTAGCGAGCGAGCTGAGCGGCAAAGCTCTGGGCACACGCATCTCCTGCTGATTTGGGGTCGGGGGTTTTCACGTTCAGGTCAACGGTCATGCTATCTAACGGGGTCACGGCTTCACGGCGTTCCAAAAACGAGTCCGCTGGCCTTTTGGCGCCTAGGATATTCCCAAAATGAATTCACGGGCTCGATCTCGCATGCAGTCATGCACACTTCAGTTCTTTTTTTTTTCGTCTCCGTTTTTATATGGAACCTTTTGTGATACCAATATCTTCAAATGGAGTCTCCGTTTCTCACATCTCCCTCTTTCCGCCGTTTCATCTCTAGTGAATCCCCCACGCCAACACCATCTAATCTTAACCGTCTCGTCGATGCCCATCATGTCCCATCATGTACCACACCCAAACCCATCGCCATGTGCAGCATCATCCAAACTCCAACTTGAAATTCATCCACGTACCACACACCCAAACCCCACCCAGACATCCCACGACCTCCTCCCAATCACCCCCTCATACTCAACCCGCTAAATTCCCATTCTCTCTTCCACACCGCCCTCATCTCCATCTAGTCAAGATAACTTATCCTATAATTACTCCAGCTATTCGTAACCAACCTCATCACTGCACATCTTTATACCCACCCCCCTCCCTCCCCAATCCGTCCTATCCTATCCTACTATTGATCTCCTCATTCTACTACAAGCACTCGGTTCTAGGAGGAGATTGATGGAGATGTATTGTTCTAGTTTTTCTTTTTTTTTTTCGGGATAGATGAAGGATGGAGAAAGGAAAGAAAAAGAAAAAAAAGTGTAGTAATGTAGCGTATAATTTAATTTTTAGAGTTTTTCTTCTTTTTTTTTAATCTTTTTTTTCCCTGTTTAACCATTTTGCTAAAATAAAAAAAATCCTATAAAATCTAACTATCTGTTTATAGAGTTCTATCCTCTTTTTTTTTTTTTTCCTAGTTAAGTGTGCTGTTATATCTTACTAACTGCATACTGCGCGGGTTCTTAATAAGTGTAGATATAACAACTTTCTTCTCCTCCCTACTTGCGCTGTTGCTGCTGCTGCTACCACTACTCTTCTCGTTACTACAAGTAATAGCTAATAAATAAGTAGGATAAAAGATATTTCTACATTTACCCCTTTCTCCCTAAAGAGGGCAGACTTGTGTGAGACTTTGCAAGTGTGCGTTTGTTTGTTGCCTCTGGTTTATGTATCTTCTTCTGCGTTGTTTCTTGGATTCTGGGGTGGAAGAAAGAGAGAGAGAGAGAGAGAGAGAGAGAGAGAGAGAGAGAGAGAGAGAGAGAGAGATGGTTGGAGGGTTGGTTGTGCGCGCGTGTGTGTGGATGTCGTGTTTCCGCTTTTGGAGTTAGAGTTGGGAAAGCGGGACTTGGCTTGACGTGTCCTGCGGACGGCGGGAAAGATCATTTCCACCGCGTTGATGGAGCTGGTGAATTCGATTTTAGAAGGGGAGAAGTCGGAGCTTGGGAATGTAGATGGAGATGTAAATGGATGTGTGCGCCTCTCGCAGAGCCACTCCCCAATCATTGCGAGACAAGAACAAAACAAATCGTCTGGATATCCATCCTGCCATTCCCCTTCCTCTCTCTCTTCTTTCTCCAGGAAACACACCATTCGCCCTCTAGTCTTCCTACTCCTGCTACCAGCGCCCTACCCTCATCTCAGATCCCCCCACCCAGCTTCCCTCCCCCTCCCCCTCTCCCGCTCCCAAACCTCGTGTTCTTCCAGCCAAACATCGTATTTCTTCTTCTGGCGCTGCATCTGCGCGATCCAGCGCTGTTTCGAGGCGGCGTGCGCGGCTTCGCATTGCGCGCGCTGGTCTTCTGTCGTTTTGTCCATGCACGGCGATGATGATGATGATTGCGAGAAAGATGTGAGCGAGCGTTTTGCGTGCTGGATAGAGGAGGAGGTTGAGGGTTGGTTGGGGAGCGGTGTTGCGGCGACGAGGGCTGGGACTAGGAGGTAGAGGAGCTTCATGTTGTTTGTGTAGGGATATATGGATGGTATCCTCGCAGAGGTAAACAAAAAAGATGTTGGGTGGAAAAGAATTGGACTCGTCGTGGACTTGCGCAACAAGAACAAAACAAAAGAAGGAAGGAAGGAGTGCTTGAAATGAACGGAAAAGTCGTCAGTAGAAACAATACTTGAAGAAGAGAAGATCCAGGGATGGATGCGAGAGAGCTGTGGCCTCCCTTAATAACAACCCATCCACCCACCCACCCACTCACTTCCACCCCATGCTCGTCTGCGGGGGCCAAAAGCGGGAAAAAGGGAGAGAGACGGAGAGATGGCAAAAGGGTGGGTTGCCTGCCAAGATACTACTATATCTGCAGCTTACGTTTTGTTTTACGGGGATGGCGATGAGACGGAGAATGTAGTGTTCTTAGTATAGCAGCACCATGGCTGGCTGGCTGCAAGCGCATTTGCTAAATCAAGGTCTCCGCCTAAACGTTTAAAAAAGTCCGACGTGATGTCCTATCCGCACGATAAAGCAAAAACAAAAGCAGAGCCAAGTTTAATGCTATGACATCAACGGGTTTGATGAGACGAGGTGCTTTTTCTGTTTTCTTTAGACGCCGAAACCCCCGAAAAGCACAGCCAGCCAGCGTTGAGGCTTTGAGGGGAGGAGAGGAGGAGAGTGTGAAGGGTAAACCGCGATGCAATCGATCCAGCGGCCCCCAACTCTCGGACCTCCGCAGCCTTACTATGCAAAGTCCCGCCCGGAACAAGTTGACGCTTGCTATCGCGCCGCCTGCGACGGCGACCTCGGGACTGTCAAGGAACAGGCGCGACGGCTTCTCCATAGCCCTGAGACGACGGCGGGGTCGTCGACTGCTGAGCACCCGCATCCAACGTGGCTCTACCGGTCCCTAGCCGAAGCGATTCGACAAGAGAATATTGAAATAGTGCGGTTTTTACTTGATGAAGGCGGGGCGAACGGTAATCTTCCAGTTGAGGTTGCGGTGCGTGGTCGTGCGTTCAAGGTACTGGAATTGTTTCTGGGGAGCTGTGGATGGGATATCAATCAGGCTATGGCGACAAAGAAATGGTCGTCTGGCTACTAGACCACGGCGCCGATCCTAATAGTCGCTGCGAGTGGGACTTCACACCAACCTCATACGCCATGCTCGCCGCACCCCTCCCAACCATCGACCTCCTCTTCGAGCGAGGCGCCGATGTACGATATGGGCAACTTCTGCATTATGCAGTTCTAAGAGATGCACCGGATACGCTGGAAGTCGTCCGCAAGGTTGTGGAGAAAGGTGCACCGATCAACGAGGTCAAGTACGAAAACGAACCAAGAACATATTATGAACGTGAGCCGTTCGGTCTTGGGACGCCGCTTCATCGTGCTGCCGAGTTTGGGAAATTGGATGTTGTAGAGTATTTGTTGGAGATGGGGGATGATGCGCTGAAGGTGGATAGTAAAGGTAAGACGCCGAGGTTTTGGGCTGAGAAGGAGGGGTTTGGGGATGTTCGGAGGGTTCTTGAAGAGGCTGAGCAGGAACAGGCAAGAGTTGATTGCGCGTAGGTTCTTTGGGGACGCTGGGCAATAATATTGAGAGGGTTGATGTGTGGCTTCGATAAATTTGGGGATGGAGAAGGGGGGGTTTTTTTTTTCTCTTCGACCGTTCAGTCAGTTCATGATAATCAGGTGCAACTTATATAGATACAAGGTTTGTAAGATGACTTTTGTGAGATAGGCGGCCACTTTGAACACAGAAAACAGATGTTCGATGCCCTGAGCGATGATAGTCACGTGATTAGCACTTTCACCAACTCGTAAAGTACATACCTACATATGTACATGCATTACTATTTCTAACGCTGTGCCACTACATTATCGTCAAGTTGGAACGACTAGTGAAGAAGATCCATCAACTCAACCAAAGCACAGCGGCATACCGCCGCGACCCTCAATCCTTTCAACCCAAGCTAACAAAAGAATCACTCAAACCATTCTACACATATCGAAAAACAATCAAAGATAAAATCTACCTACCACACACTAAAATCCCAAATGAATCTTCCCCGACGCCACCTAGACCCTTTCCCCTTTCCGCTTGCAAATGCAGGGCAAAACCATCGAAATGCAGGGGTGAAAGCGTGAAGTAGCTACAAATGACGTCATAAATGGCCCTTCTCCATCTCGTTTCTGGCAATTGATATGCGCGTGCTACGCAAAATAATCAGGGAAATCTGCATCCCTGGATTTATTGAAAAGTACTTGCAGCTGTGATATATTTAGATACAATTGCGGTGGGTAGGAAAGCAAGTTATGAGTTGTAAGCTGGGAATGCTGATGTGTATCTGAAGCTTGTTTTTCTCTCCTTGGGTTTGCGGGTACAGAACACATACTTGTATGAGCTCGCCCTGTACGGACCGAATGAAGCAAACTTTTTGTGCTACATTGCGATTTCACACGACACAACAACCGTCAGACAATCCCATCGCCATCGAAAAACAACCGCGCAACCAGCCATCAGCCATCAGCCGTCACCCTCCAACAACCCCAACAGTCCCCACTATACCGCAACCAACCAACAAAACAACAACTCTACCACAATCCCAACCAGCGAAAACAACACAACCAAAAAAGAAAATGGGTTCGCACTCCTCTAAATCCCAACAACCCCCTCCAATCGCAATAACAACAACACCACTATCCGCGTTCGAATCAACGCCTGCGCCTACAACTACTACGAGCGCATCACCGCCGACGACATCCCAACGCAGCAGCCTCAGTAAAAAGGGCCGTAAGAAATTGCAACCTTCGCTTGCGAAACGCGATAAAGCCGAGATGAAGGAGCCGGACGGGTATTATGCGCTGAGGAGGGGGAAGAGTGGAAGGAAGGGGAAAGGTGGAGGTGGGGATGTGTAGGGGGGAAGGCTAGGGGGGGGGGGGGGGGGGGGTTTTGGATGGCTTGGTTGGGGGATGGTTTGGTGGGCTGGAGTGGGGATATGTGGGATGGGTGATGATGATGACGAGATGAGCTGGGGGTATCGTGTGTATATGGGCGGATGGATGGTGAGGATGGTTGTTGGAATGGGGTATTGAGAGGTTGGTGTTGAGGGTAGGATTGTCAGGTTGGGAAGATGGACGGCTGGGAGGAGTATATCCATGAATAAATCGACACAAGTTATTTCTCTTGGGAGTTTTCGTGGATGTGGTTAAGAATAATATACCATCGCGTTCGACGCGTCCAGAAAGTCATAAATACAAAAATCTCAAACAATAGAATGGAGAGCGATTCCACTCATTCGTCTACGTGCGGCCCCGTCATGGGCATGTACATGGGCACAATGCGAGTCCACTTCCCATCCCACTGATTCCAACTGCTGCTGCCGTCCGCATTCGGTACTCCTCCGCATTCTCTCTCCCTCCGGTCAAGCTCGATCTTAATCTTCAAAGCCGCCGCCAAGACACCGGCTTGGTTGATCCCGAAGTCGCTATTTGCTTTTAGTAGGCTGTTGATGGCGTATTCTTGGGATTCGGGCGACGCAATGGGTGTGGCGCCAGCGATATACAGTGCCCAAATAGACGAGAAGCCACCGGAGACACGCACGATGGGGAGACGGTGCGTTGGCGAGGTATCCCTGGCATTCCCAGTGAAGAGCGGGGTAGAGCTTGCGGGGAAGTTTGAGCCCATGAACTTGGGAGGGTTGCTTGGGAACGGGGAAGATGTTGCAGATCTAGCTGGGATCGAAGGAGGAGGTGATGGGGTGGTTTGGGTGTTGTTACTTGGTGATGGATATACTGGTTTCATGAGATCCGTACCCAAAGCGAAGGAGGACGGAGAAACGGATCGTGAAGGGAGACATTCGGACGGCGATGATGGTGTTGTGTGTTCAGTTGGTAACGTTTGAAAATACTGAGGTATCGTGGCTATGATATCGGCTTGCATCCGGTAGATGACCTGTGTCGATGTTTCGAGCAATTGTAGATAGTGGGGGCCGGAAAAGACGGGCGGAGAAGTGGCGAATCCCGCAATAAGTGCATTGCGGATGATGTCGTACAGGTATATACGATTGTACCGAATCCAGTCCCATGTCTGATGCGCAGACAGGCTAGGGTAAAGATGATATTCCGTCCCGAAGACACCCGGTGTACCTGGATCGCAACTTCTGACCTCGTAGGACCACCATTTTTCGTCAACGCCTTCAAACACGGTCGTCGCGTATCCATCGAGCTCGAGCGCAATATTGACTATCGCATGAAGGTCGGTGAGGCGTCGATTCAGGATTTGCGCCCGCAAGTCTATGACTTTGATATGGAGGTGATAAAATCTGATTCCAGGGTCGTCCTTGTTCTCCCAATTTTGCATCTCTTTGCCTAGCTCATGCACAAATTCTGGCAGTTCCTCCCCGATACCTAGACGCTGGAGAGTAAGAAGACCGATGTTCTGCAGCCACATCCGCCGACCGGCAGGCGTTGAAAATTGACCCTTTCCGCGCATCTGCAGCAAGGACGACGCACCTGTGACATGGTGTGCCCATGCCACCAGAGACTTATCGTTAGTGGTGGACTCATAAACACCCAAGATCATTGTAGCGAGGAGCGTGTTGTCTGACTTGACCTCAATAGGATCTCGCAAGGCATCATTGGTCATCTTGAGCGCTTTCGCATACCATTTCGTACATTCCCGTTTTAAAGTAGAATCCCGATACATACTAGCCACCCCTGCCAGACCCAGTGCCGTCATGGAAGTCGCAATGATTGGGTGGAAGCCATGGGTACTTAGATGTTGATTGAAGTCCTTGGAGTTCATCGGTGGCTCTTCTAGCCCCATGGCGTACCGCTGCATGAAGAATGTTATAGCATGGTCAATGATGGGCGCGAGCAGAGGCACTTCGATGGCATTTTTCAGTTTTCCCAGAGCAGCCTTCTCTAGCTGCACCCTGTCGCGTTCGTCTCGCGCGATGATGGCTTTTGTTTTTGCTTTCTTCGCTTTAACCTCCACGGCCGCGGTTTCGTCTCGGAAGAAGCGGTCGACTGAAGTGTCGTATCCGGGACAAACGAAGTTTTTCTCGGCGCATTTGAAGCAGCCTCCTGGCCTTTCATCGCACTGCAGGAGATCGGATTAGTAAGTGCTGTGGAGCACTAATGAGTGGGGAGTGAGTGACTCGAAGAAGCCACTGGCCAGTGGTATGTCTTTCGCAACGATGACCGCAATAGGAAATACTGGTCGCTCCATCCTCCTGCGTAGGGCTACAAGGCCACAAGGCTTTACGGCCATGCGGGATGAGAGCATGTGCCAACAAGCTCAGACCGCGCTGCAGGCCTACTCGCGTACATATATAAACCGCGCTCACTCACCTTGATCTTCCTCTGCCTGCATTTCTTGCATCCTGTGGAGGGCTTTCCCCGATACACCATCCTCGGAGAATTCAGTCTCACTCAGATCTATCCTTTCAATCTCTCGCTGGTAATGGTGTGAATTGAAGTGCTCGGTTCGAGTACGCAGCGATGTCCCTAGCTGTTGCCAGTCGTTGTGTCGGTGGTTGTTGGGCTTGTGGAGGATGGGATTTGCAAAGGTTCCGAAAGATGAGGTACATAACACAGAAGAAAGCACAGCGGTGAGCCACTACAAAAGGCAGTGCGCATTGTGGCTGTGGCGCGTCTGTTCATGATGTTGGCTGTCGTCTGAAGCTGACATGGCATCGGTCCGAGCATCCAACGAAGCCCTAAGCCTGGTTTTGGTTAGAATCCACTAACCTTAAAACAGCGCGCTTTGCGTGATTGGTTAAGAACTACCTATCTCCTATAACAGGCCAGTCTTATAGGATTGCAAAAGTCAGATATTATGCGGCCTGCTTGCTATTACACTACAGTGTTCACTGAAAAGCTTAGCTGGAAGCAAGACAATTTGTAGCCCTAATCGATTACGTATCTTGCTTGCATTGCGACGCGTGGAGCTATAGATAGGGCTGCTGCGCGGAGATGAATGTTATGGAGCCTTATCTCATACTACCCTCACCTCTCACGAGATTGAAGAGGTCGAAGAAAATCAACGGACAAACTTCTTTAAAAACAATGGCTTCCTATATTCCTGGTGCTTTAAATGGACTAGAACACACACTATAGCCGTTACCATTGCGTCTTTACACAAGTAGAACTTGAAAGGCTGGTGTAACGGGCCACGAAACCTGTCCCAGCCAGCGTATCATATAATAAGAGACACAGCTAACTAATGCCTTACATATACCTTAAGACTCGTACTAAACTCTATCAAACCGTGCCCCATTCAACTAACTTAGAGCACCCCCTGAGAGCCCGACACTTTCTGCACCTATGATGCGCAACACTCCCATCTTGATAAAGAAATGTATTTATTTTAAGTGAGAGTTTAGGTTTAGGTGTTCTCACACGCGACGATGGATTTGACGATGGAAATGGACGAAACAGGCGATTACAACGAAATAATAAAGAAATGTATAAAACTACCTTTCGTTTGTTGCCCCCTCCTCGCCCCCTTTCCAAGTTTAGACCAAAAGCTCCATCCCGATAGCTAATCTACTATCCCATATATCCCTAGCCGCTGCCTCCGGTACCCCCGCCGCGTCCCCCATCGCCACCATAGCTTCCCGCTGCGTGTACAATCCGCCCTTCACAAAGCCTACCTTTTCATACAACTTTACGACCTCTATATTCTTTGGATGCACGATAAGTCTAAAGCGCGTCGTAGCCCCCACGTTTCTTGCGACTTGGTGCCCTGAAGACCCAGCTCGCACAGCCGCCAGCGTGAGCTTGCTGGCTAATCCGCAGCCACGGTGCGCCGGCAGGACAAACAGACTTGTAAGATGCCAGCGCGTCTCCTCGCCCTCGGCACCGGGTTGAGGTTGCCCGGATGAGGGGAGGAGCCATGAAGAGAGAGGGACGGGGCCGACGAGCGTGAATGTGCCCGCCCATTCGCTGTCCAACAATCTTTGCAAAATATGTTCCTCCTCTGCCTCATTGTTCCTGTCGCTAGGCAATGTTCCATCTCCGTCTGCGTCTGCAACAATGCAGACAACAATTCTGAAATCCGGGTTTGCAACGCGGGTCTCCCATGCTGAGAGGGGGAGCAGGGACTCGGTAGCGTGATTCTGGGAAAATGCTTTGTAGACATCTTGTCTTGACAATTACACGTAGCGTCGAATGTCATTAGACGCTATGGTGTGATCTGGTATGTATGTCACCTAGTCCTAGGAACGTAGTTCAATGTGTAAGGATATGAATGGAACTAGTTCGTTCCATGATTACTGATCAAATGGTAGACCAATCATGAACCCTTCAGTAGAGCCATTTCTCGGCTAGCGCAATTAGGCTTCGCCCAATATACCAAGGGAGGTCTGGAGGGAGGAGACGTATCAAGTCATGTGCTCAAAGATAAAATACGTAAATTCACGATCGATGTTGAAATAGATGGCTTTTAATGCACCAGCAGCTAATCAAATGTAGCTACGCGTACGTCCAAGCGCCGCAAGGTACTAGCGGAGATAAAAGTAGGAAGCAATCAGATCCGGAAGCCGATTGTGCACACCACTGTATAATACATTTCTGAGCTGCTCTCCATCGCTATCGAATCTACAGCTACTATTGTTTGTCGTTAACACGTTGTGGTATTTCATTCATGCTTTGTTTCATTTATTTCAGTTTTCTCAGTCGTTCATGTTTTCACTCAGCCTCACTATAATACACATTGCTTCGTTGTTTCACAGCTTCTTCTCTTTGTTCGCTCTACTCTTGGCTCCTTTGTGTTAACGTCAACTTCTAGAACACCGAAAAGCCATTGGGCATTGTAGAACGAAGCTATATTTTCACATGTCTGAAAGATAGATATCGCAGTTGGTAGAGAGACCAATTTTTATCGTACAATGAAGAATGCTTTGGTTACCTTAACCACTCTTCCGACATCCACGCACGACAGTGTCACAACCCTTCTTTTTCTTTCTTACTATCTCAAAGTTGCGAATCTGTCCTAAATATCCACTTATCGTACATTTCAAGAAATTCAGAATACATGAGCAGAACTGGGTGGTTCTGCTCTTCACAGAGATCGATGGGTCCAGTTTCTTTTCTTTGCTCTGGCTTCGTCGAGTAGTATCTCATTTCACTTGACACTGGTGTTTCTCGATGCGCTCCGAACGTGGACATCTTTCAGATTTCTACCGAATGCTTTTGCTTTACATCAATCCGTTCAACACTCAGATCAACGCTCACTGTCGCACCAGAACATAGCAGAGCTACAAACGCCCCACAGCGATACCGAATTTGTAATTTGGTACTAGTTGTGCGACGCTTGAAGCTTGTGGTCTGTCCTATGAAACTACCAATCTTGCGGACTCCTCAGTGTTGGAAGTGAGACACACAACCACTATACACACAAAGCAAGACATATCACGAGACTCTTCCGGAGACTCTTCCCGAGCCCTTTCCTCAACACTCCAATACAAAGCTGAACCGAAGATCCTTCAATAATAGCAAAAATCGGCCAAACGGAGATACCACTACCACAATAAAAGACTTCTGTCTCAAGATCAGTCAATTTCACCACGAAACCGCTACCCACCAACACCTTCAACATGCCTGAAGCGTGGAATGCTCCTCTACCACCGAGGCCGTTATTTGACCGTTCAGTATCCGAAACATCGCTTCACCTCCGCAACGCTCTCGCATCCTCTAGCCTCATATCACACCATTCCCCTCCACCTGCGGGATGCCGCACTATCATGGGAGGTCGATGGAATCGCTTATCTACCACAGACGCTTCGCGAACTCTTGACCAGAGGGCTTCCACGCTAAGTCATGATACCGGGTTGGTCGCATCTTACGATGCGCCTGTCCTGGAGCGCATTGACTTCCTACCTGGCGGAATGCAGAACATGAAGGGTCTTAAGCACCTAGAAAGAGCTGAGACGAAGACAAGCACCGATGAGCGACATGCGCACGATATTGACGCCGAGTTTCTTTTCCTGAACCGAGGTAAGAAAAGAGAAGAAAGGGTGACGTCCAGCAACGCAAAAGAGCAGGGCCAAGATCTTGAAAGTTCCTGGATTACGAATTCCGATGATTCCATCTGTTCTGGATCGTATAAGTCGTTGATCGTGTTTGATAAGAGACAGATTACTAGTTCGAAGTCGGCTGATTCGCTTCTTACTGCTTCGCTCGAGAAGAAGAGATCTGTTACCACTGGCTTGTCTCGCACTGGTTTGGTGTCTTCCACTATGTTGTCGACGGATGATGGTGAAGAGATGAAGAGACGAAATGTGTTCGCTGATCCTGATGGTGAAGACGATGAATAAGGATCTAGTCTATTCTTTAGTATTCGCTGTCTCATCGGATATGCAGACAAGACTTGTACATTGCCTCGCAGTACAAACGCGTTCCAGACAGCTCGACAGGAGATTTGACAAAGTAAAATAGTTGGGACAATGAAATTTTTTCAAGAGATGTACTAACCATGGAGATTTTATGCCGGAGCCATCACCCGACAACAGTGTCAGTGCAGGTGAACTCCCACCGGATCCCCAATCAATGAAACATGTCCCTGCAACGGCGAGTCATCTGACGCAATTCACTCGGTGACTCTTGTGCAGACGTTCGGTATCTGTCTTTCCGGTGCGCTTCTCGATGATCTGATTTCCCTGATTTAGATCGCTTTTCTCTGCGTGTCTCTGCACGATGATCTTCCCGGGTACTTGACTTGACCTCTTCCCCCTTTCTAAACAACTTGGGTGGCCGGGCTTCTGGCACCCGTGTTTTTGCTGTGGAATTCCTCCTATGTGAGCCCTTTCGGCTTTTTGATTGGGTTTCAGTCGCTACCGCAGGCGGCATCTGAGTTTCACTTCCTTGATTCCTTTCTTTTCCTTTCAATCTACTGCTCGTGGGTGTCTCTGTAGCAATGTTCTCTACGTCCACTTCATCTTGCATACTGGTGCGAGAATCTTCCTGGGATTCTGATTTGATCATCATCTCTAAGGTTCCTCGTTAGTAAGCTTCTGTAGCATAAGATTTGAAAGCGGTTGGTGTCTCCTTACCCATGCGATAGAAACACTCGTTTAACCATTTCGTTCCAGGATGATCTTCACCTATGATCATCGAGTGACCGTAGTGGGCTTTCTGATAACAATCCCTCGCCTCACTCCACCGCCGCTGCGCCTCGCGAAGGAACCCTATGTTCCATATATTATTCAACGCCGACAAATTCCCAAAAAATTGCTCTGGACCCAGTGACTTTTCAAAGCCTTGAATAGCTTGTTGAAGAAGTTCTTCTGCCTTGTCTAGATGACCAATTCTTCTGTATACATCACCTAGTCTATTGAGTACTACTAAAGTGAATACATTCTCTGGTCCATACACCCTGATGCGACCTGACAATGCTTTATTCAACATCTCTACAGCATCGTCCATCTTCCAAATCTCGGCATACAGTATGCCTAGATAGAAAAGTATCCTTAACGTAGTGGGATCTTGCGATCCAAATGCTTTCTCTGATCTTAACAGTGCCTCTTGCAAAATATTTTCAGCTTCTTCGAATCGGTTCGTGTGACTGTAAAGTTCACCCAAGTCTCCCATTAAGTGAATTTGATCTCCACGAGTACGCCAGGATTGGCCGAGAATGTGTATTGCTTGATTGTATCGCATCTCTGCCTCATCCACTTCGTTATTTTGATAATGAGCGAAGCCCAATCTTGATGCCGCAAAACCTAATAGCGTATGATTGGGGCCAAATTCTTTCTCGGACATCTGGACTGCCTGGTTCAACAGCTCCTTCGCTTTTCCATACGCATTGATATCGTTGTAGTAATAGCCGAACCTCCACACCGACCAGAGCAGTGGGTATTCGTCTTGGTTTTGCCAATGCGGGTGTTGGTTCTCCAGTATCGTTGTTAAATGCATATCAATGACTCTGCTACATCGCTCTACATGAGCAGATAATCTCGGCCTGATTAGCCAGAAGTCGTCATTCTTGACTACACTTGGGAGAGCAAAACCGACGGAGACAATCGCAATCCATAACAGTGCAGTCCGCTGCTCGTCGTCTTGAATGTGCAAGGCCCATTGGTGCACCACCGAATGCATCACCCAGCCCGTCTGGTCCTCGGTGTCTTCGATGAGTGAATAAGTACGTAGTATTCCCATGGCATTGATGAACTCGCTTTCGTTCGTCGTGATGTCTCCGACCCAGGATGATGTTACTCTAGTCGCTATCTCCGAATAATTATTTTTGTGGTCTCTGGGCTTCAATAGTCCATGCCAAAAGTTTCCATTATCGAGGTGTGCCCAGAGAAGAAGGAGATTCGCAGCAACCTTGCTTTTTCTTTTAACAGCTGCAAAAGATATCATCCAAGTTGTGGAGATACTGCCACGCTCATAATTGCGTAGTGACTGGCGTCCGAGGGCTTCCCACTGCTCACCATATAGTCGGATATATGTTTCACAGCTTATACCATGATGAGCCATGTATGCGGCAGCTTGGGCTAAAGCCAGCGGGAGACCATCCAGAAGAGCTAGTAGATCGTTGGATTGACTACCTGCATAAGAATCAGCATTGTATTGAAGAAATGTATTGCAATAGCCAAATAAAATTGTAGGCTTGAAGTACACACTACATGACTAACCAATTGATTTCCCGTACCAAACCTCGAAAATGGCGCGTGCCTGATCGGTGTCAACTTTCTTCACTTCTAGGCGCTGGTCGAGTTGCCCGAGACTCGCGAGACGCGTAGTGATTAAGACAGACCCATGATCAGCGTTGGGCAAGTAAGCCTCGATATCGTACGCGTCAGGGTCTTCTTCGCGACGTTCATAATTACGGTCGACATTGTCCACAATTAGCAGCCATTTATCGTTGTCCGGAATCTCTAGCCACTGTAGGACGTCCCCGACAACTGTGTTGACGTCGATGTTACTTTGGGGTGTCCAGGTTCTGCTTGGTTCAGAGATCTGCCCTTCCGGAATTCGATTGGCACATGACGCGAGGCTCAGCTTCAAGCTGTGTTCGCTGCTGCCGTCAAGCCATATGACCGCGGAGAACTTGTTCTTGTTTTGCCGAGCAAAGTCCACTGCAAGCTGGGTCTTACCCATACCACCTAAGCCGTGTAGTACCATGATCCGCCGTTCTTGGGTCGAGTCCTGCACCAAAAGGGCTCGTTCGATCGTGGCTTGGTCTAGTATGCGATGTGCCAACTTGCCGACCGGTACACCCTTAAGGATGAATGGAAGCTTGTAGTTGGGAACGTTGCTGTTGTTTGCGACCACCGCCTGATTGAACTCTGTTCTTGTGTTCCCCACACCTTCTGCAGCTTGGACCAGCAGTAAGAGCCCCTTTGCGTACGCCGCAGCGGTGGCCGCGGCATACGGCTGCCAGGACTTGTTCTTATGGGAATCGGCGTAGTCACAAATACCCCGAACTACTAAGCAGGGAAATTCATTCATCAAGCCTGCTGCCTCCATATCGAAGCACAGAACGCCACCTAGGTCGGCACTGAGCTTATCCCTGGTTGGACCGTCCTTGATGACCTGATTACCCGAGGCAATTGTTCCATAGTGGGCGGTCACCATGTTCCCAGGATTTCGTGCCTTCCGAGGAACTTGACGTTCACTGCTGCAATTACTGCATGTAACCTCGCCGCTATGGTCATATTTTGCTTCGAAAAGGACGTCGGGGCCTGCGGATTCTCTACAGAATGTCGACTTTTGATCAAAGACGGCCAGGTGGGGTTGAAAGGTCTGCTTTTCTTGAAATTGTCGAGCTTGTAGTTTTGACAAAGCATTCAGTAGGTTCTTGGGCGGGGAGTTCAATGAACCAATACGGGTTGTACGGCCATCTTTCCCCGTCTTACCATAGTCGTACTGGACGACTCCGCCAAACTGGTTACGAGGCTGGCTGACCACGATGTCACCGAGTCGAATATCGGCTTGAGCACTCGGAACTCCACCGCCGATTCCAACCATCAAGCCGATGCGGATCGATTTGAATGTGGACTGCATCCGAACTGCACCCGCTGCAGCTGGACCGATGCCCATTTGGCCCGCGGGAAGGCATGTTATGATCACATTGTGCTTTCCGATACGTCCGAAGGTGTAGGCGATTAAGTCGTCTTCGTCGTGAGGCGGTGGTTCATATTCTTCATCGAGTAGGATTTCGGCAGCAGCAAGTTCGATAGACAAAGCACACACCCATCCTACTGTGTATTCGGTTGCCGCTGGGCGGCGCATCGCCATGGTAGGTGTCTCGGTATTCAGTATTAGTTTGATAAACAATGTCTGGGGAGATAGAAAGCAGAGATGAAGAGCGCAAGGTGGACAGGAGATGGAGGGGTATCCACGGGGGTTTTCTGCTCGTAGAGTAGGCGCAAGGCTGAGGCTGTGTTAATAACCGCGTCTATACGGGGATGATAGGTATGCGAGCATGGCAGCCAATCAATGTCTATTGCGGCAACCAACAGAGTTTGCAGTGTCGTGATGACGCCTTTCCCATGGCAGGGGTGATTACTTTACCTTGATTTGAATCATGCAGCGAGCTGTGAGTTCAGTTCTGTACACATGGATTCGTACCTAATAATCAAACTTGCTCTAGCTTTGTCGGCATATGCTGAGGCCTTAGTATCTCAGATATTTCCTTTGAACTTTACACGACAGTTTCTTTCCTTGCCAAGTTTCTGTAGACATTCAATATTGTATGTATATGCTAATAATAATCAAGAACTGTTTACCCAACTAGCCAAGGGCACTTGCGAGAAGCTGTGCACAGGCCACCAAGAAATCCAAGCTTCGAAATTCGGAGGTTCGATGACGGAGCGCGAACATCAACTACAAGCTTTCATCCGAAGATTCACTTCATTCTCCCCAGCCAGCAATAATCATGGAACGCAGCTTTATAAATTGCTCCCGAAGTATGAGCAGGGTGCTGAGATCTTCTCCTGCTCAACACTGCGCAAAAAGAAACTTTACCACGACATCCACATCCATTCCGACCACGCGAACAAGATTATTCCAGCCCGTCAGCGCCTCACCACATCGATACCTCCACAGCTCTGGATCATTATCGAATGCGTCGCGACCCCCAAGAAACCGCGATCGCGTATCTCCAAACGACCAAGAGGAACGAGCTGACCTCGCCTCGTTCGATGTTCTACGAAATACAGCGGCGCCCGCAACAGCAATTGACGCATGTACGTCAGATGGTTTCGCGTTCGATAATCAGATGAGGGTAAGCGGGAGCGGAGTCATTCTCGTAGGTGGTGAAGTCTTTCGGTGGCGTCCGTGGCTCCAAGAGCAGCGAAAAGAGGGGACTGTGGGTGAAGGGGCGATGGGCGAGGATAAAATGACGGGGCGGTTGTTGAACAAGAAGGGGCAATGGGAAGTTCCAGATAGTGCATGGGGTGTTTTAGATTTGATTTATCCAAAGCCTGGTACGTACGCCTGCTAGAATGCTCTCGCCAAATGATGTGGGGAGGTTTTGATGAGGCTAGCCAGCTAACAGGTGTCGCAGATCTTCTGATTATAGGCACTGGGCTTCATACTATACCTATCGCACCTTCGGTCCGGCAGTACCTCAATAGCTTGGGCCTGCGTCTAGATGTGCAGGACACTGGTAACGCGGCTGCGCAGTTCACCCTGCTCGCAACAGAGCGTGGTGTTGGGCAGGTAGCAGCAGCTCTCATCCCTCTAGGATGGCGCGAAGGGCGATAAGAAGCGGTGGACAATGTGAATTATATGTATACATGATGTAAGATCAATTTACAAGCCCTAGGGATGGGGGTTCTCCCCATTATTGACCGCCTTCACATACGATCCGGTTCTTTCACGAACGTAGGTAGAAGGCCATTCTTACCTGTGTACTCTATCCATTGAAAAATATAGTAATCAGCACAGCGTAGTAACTCTTTTTTCCCAATCAAGTGCTTTCAGCAAGGACCCACCCAATAATCAACACATAGCACCATCAGAGCAGCTTGATTTGTGAACTTATAGTCACGCCTGGGATACGGGTCGAGTAGCCGGAACAAACTTATCAAACAGGCTATCCTGTCCCTCACTGCAGTAAAACATCAAAGAAAGTCGTGAACAAGCAATACCGAACGCCCCTTCATACTCAGACGTAGAGCATCAAGTTCCCGGCCACGATCCGCATTGCAGGACTTGCAGGACCTTGGTATCCCACCTACCCTCACGCTGCTAAAAGATTGCTATTTGCATACGCCATCTAGAACTACCCCGTTAGATAGCCACGGCGTCCGATATCCCGTCAGCCCTACCAAATCAGCTAAGAGGGCAAGCACGTCCCCCCAAGCCAGCAATAGTAATTGTGACCACAAAGCCGCCGCCCGCTCGTCCCTCTCACCCCAAACCCCACACAGCCCCCCGTCTACCCACACTTAAGGGCAGCTTATAAGCACTTCTTCGACACGGCTATCCACACCCACACCCACACTCCTACATCACACTACTACCACCTCGCTTGTTCTCCTCATTACTACCACCATTTCCATCACCTCGAAGATACCCCTCGTCATGGCTATCCGAGCAAACACCCAGCGCGGAGTCAATGGCGCTGCCCCGCCTGGTCGTGGCCTCGTCGTCAACTCCGCGGTCGCCAAAGCCGGTGGTGGTGATGGCACAAGCGCTTCCGCGGGTTGCAACAATAACAATCCGCCTTCTCCCCCTGAGCAGCACGTAGATGCCGATACGGAGTTGGTAACCACGACGCCTGAGGACGCGAATGCCACCAACGAGCTTGCGATCTCGAACTCTGGCGACCAGCGTGTAGGCGCCGAAGCAGCAGGCCAGATGGACGTCGATTCGTCGGTGGAGGGTTCTGAAGCGCGCCTCCGGCGCCTGTTTTCCACATTCACTTCATCTAACGATCGCGTGAATTTCAGTGGAAACCCCCAGGTGATCGGGATGGAGGGGCTCACCCTTGAGCCGAGGGACAATTCTACTGTCCGTGGCGATTCTGCTTCGCCTTCCAACAACATCGAAGACGTGGACGGTGAGGACACGGATTCTGATCGCACCAATGCGCCTGTTGCGTCCACTTCGCCTTTGCCATCCGAGTATCGTGCAGACACATCGGAGCAGAAGCCGATTGACCGGGAAGCAGAGGTCATCTTGGAGCCTGTCAAAGAGGAGTTAGAAAAGCTCGGTCAACCCCTCCCACCCGCAGAACTCCAGCTCAAGATGAAGCCCGGCATGCAGATCATCAAGGAGCGACTCCTCCCCATCGGCGAGTTTATCGTACGCTACGTGGGTTCCTTGGAGGACAAAGATCGAGGTCGTATGGAGCTTAAGCTATGGTAAGTCCAAAGAATTCAGGTGCCCAGCTATATTAGACAGAATACTAACATTCAAATCACAGTCAGTACATAGCAGACCACCACTGGCCTATTCACTCCCCACCTCTCGAGCCGCATCTCCACATCCAGGAGATTTACCGAAACATGATCTTCAAGCGCATTGTCAATGGATCCCACGGCACGGTCAACGAAGCTCTTCACCTCTTTGCAGATGAGGAGAAAGACGCACCATCTTCGTCTCCTCTGCCTCTTCGCAACCGGACTGAATCTGCGTCGGCTTCCGCATCGATGCACGAACAAGGGAACGAGGCTGGAAACACGACCACGGGCTCGGTGCGCACCACCGAAGCCATGTTGGCCGAGCTTTTCGCGCGGCTTCAAAAACCCAACACCCACGGCCATTTTTCGTAGAATGATCGGGTTCGTACACCTGGAGGTCGGGGGTCTCCGAGGCATTCTTCCTCCTCGTTTTCATCTCCGTTCGGGTCTTCGGCTAGAATGGATGGAACGGCGAGATGCAAGGATGATGGTTCAAGAGATTTTGTTCTCTCTGGATATAATAGGATGGACTGCACGAGGGACAAAATCATTGGAAAACATTTGGAAAATTGGTCGAAAGACCTACAAAAAAACTTGGACAAAAAGATTTAGGATAAAAAATGAGAGAGAAAATTGCTTTGGCACCAAAAAAGAAGGGTACATTGAACTTGTGAACTTGTGAATGTGATTGTTTGTTTCGTGTGAGGATTATTGCTTCAGATACCAAAGCTTGTGTCTCTATCAGGAGTTAAGTCAAGTTGATGAGTAGTACATCTTGTAACACTTCTCTCTTCTCTATACTTTTATTCTTCTGCTCGTTGTTCTGTTTTTCAATGAGGTACTTGTCCAATTTCAGTCCTTATTCATCGTTATGTACGTTGCAAACGTGCACCACTATAAGGGAAATTCATACAAAGTGTTTATGCCGTGTTAAAACGCAATGATTTATTTAGTTGCCAAATACCAATATGAGCAGAAAATAAACTCCATCTCATTTTCCTCATCGAACTTGCGAACGTAATATCATTCATACCACCCCAAACGTTCTTTACACACACACACACACACACACACATAAATCCTTATATGTATACAGACCTTCTTTTAATCGCTAGCTACCCCTCTTTTTCAGCTGTCGTGCCTTGTGTAGGAGCTACCGAGAAGTTTTCAGTTCAAGATAACGTATACCCGGGATAAGATAGTTAGAATGAGTATTGATTCAGCTACATCAGATCTGATCTCAACACTTCCAAAGCCACGTCGCTATCAGTTCCAAGGTTATAAAATTTCAAAATTGAGGACATGTTTCAGTTCCGTTGCTCATTGACCGTAGAAGTTTTGATAAAGAACGTTACTTGGCGATTATATCGTGAACTTGTGACCGACTCTTCAGGAAGCTCCGGATGTAGCAGCTAGCTTCTACGCTATCTGTGTAAATTCGACTGGAAATGAGAAAGTGGGTTGATAGAGAAGCTAATCCAATGCGAAGTTCCCTCAAGCTTATTCCAGTGCAATCCCAATTACTTGATTAATGGAAGGATAGAAGGGGAGTAATTCTCAGTCGCTGTTCTTGCCTGGGCTGCTGGTGGGAGCCGCGAGTCTGATATTATGATATATGTCGCTGTATATTAGACATTGAGGGGCGTTAGTCGGTGTTCAGGGCGGCCAAAGAGACCTGCGATACACTCAACTTCGACACTCGAGTATTGGAGGTACCGACTTTTTTAATATAAGCCTCCTACCGAATCTCTCGTTACTTAACCGACTATCATCTGTATCTCATTCCCACGGCGGATTCTCCAAACGCGCAGAATGCGTTGGTTAATCCTACTATGACCGAAATAAGCGGATTCAGCGGGCTTCAGGCCACTGTGTGGGGATCAGTGGATGCAATATGCTTCAATTAGATGTTCCAGAACTTTGCTGTAGTCTCATGGCGTCTTCGAATTTGCAGTAAGTTGTGATTCACTGCTCATGTTATCTCGACTTTCAATACCATAATAGACATAAGTCGTTCAATTCAGAATCGCTTCTTTCTTCCAAAGACTTGAGCAGACCAAAACATCACCACAAAGTCCATCACACTCTCATCCCCATCAGAAACATCCCACCCCCAACCTCTCCAAATACCACTCCTCAACCACCCTCTGCGACCCACAACCCCCCGGTTTCCCACCACCCATCATAAACTCCACAATCGGCCCAATATGCGCCTCCCCCATCGTCTCAACCACCACCACTCCCTCCTCCTCCCCACCCTCAACCCACCCAGCCCTCACACTCCGCACAGTCTCCACAATAGGATCCAAATACACCTCATCAGCACCACACATCACCAACACCCCTCCAACAACCCTATCCAACCCCACCCACCAACCCGCACTATTCAAACACGGCTCCGTATACGCATCGCCCCTGAAAAACGCCTCCGTCCCATCTCCATCCCCAGATAAAGAAGGATCGTACAGCCCATGCAGAACACCACCCCACCAACGAATCCGACTCGCGGGAATCATATCAACGCTTTCGTTCCTCCGCACACTATCCCACTCCCTACTAAACGTAGCCATGGGACTATACAACACCACCCCCGCCAACGGCTCCACGACCTCCACCGCGGGAACCGCAGGATGCGGATGGAGGATATGGGATAGCAGTGCCAACGCTAGATTCCCGCCCGCGGAGTCGCCGGATAGGAAGATAGTAGATGGTCGTCGGTGTGTAGGGTGCAAGAGATACGAGAGCGTAGAAGCTGCTTGTTTGAGTTGAGTTGGGTACGGAGACTCTGGCGCGAGGTCGTACGCTAATACTAGTGCTGCTACGGTGGTTTGGGTTTCTGGAGTTGAAGTGCGGAGTTGGAGGGTTGCAATTAGGTGGTGGAGATAGAGGAATGTTCCTGATGTTGCGGGTTGCGTGTACCCTCCGCCGTGGAAATACAATATTACGATGGAAGCGTTGGGGTCGCCGATCCAGTGTGCAGTTGTTTGTGGGGTTTCTGGGGTACTGGGTTTGATGGATAGGGTGTGTGGAGGGAGGTTTTGAGAGGTGCAGAAGGAGGTGTAGCGGGTTGATGTTGTGGTGTTGTTTAGGCGGTGGAGTTGTGGGATTGTGATGGTGTGGAGGAGGGTTCTTATTGCGGTGTTTAGGAGGTGTTTTTTTAGAGACGCGGCGCGCTGGGTTAGGAATGGGTAGGTTAGGAGCTGTGATAGGGTGGTGATTGCTGGGGATGGGTTTTAGCGTTTTTGGGTGGTGAGAGGTGTGGAAGTTGGGGTTTTATGTACCGGTTTTTCCGAAGAGCCAGGCGAGGCTGAGGATGCTTGGGGTTGGATGTTTTTCGCTTGCCATTATTTTCATGTCAGATGCTTACGATGTTGGAAGATTTTGGGGGTTTTGGGGGAATTACTATGTGAGGCGCTTGTTCAACTATATATTTTGTTTGGGCTGGGTTCGCGAGACGCCGACCCGGGGAACGAACTATTTCCCACCAACGCTAGCTCAACGTCAATTGATACCCGCAAGCACAAAAGCACGACAAGAGTCTGTGCTATCACCAATACAACATCGACATCTTGTTCTTGTTGCCATTGATTGACCAAATTCAAGTTCTAGTATAATGAATGCTTCACGCTGCCGTGCATTCAACTAATTGAGGCTTGGGTATAAGATGGAGTATAACATAATGTTGCCTCGTTGATCTGATACTCAACTCCATACTCAAACCTCAATATCGATCCATCCATAGAAACGAACAAATCCGACTCCAAATAACAATGCGTAAACCCACATAAACCCATCTACATGCATCCATACAATCCCCACATCAGGCAGCACAAGTCCCACACATCCCCACTCTCGCCTAAGTAAGCAAACCATCTTCACACAGCCCCCTCGTCGTCCCCTTTCCTCTCATCATCCTCGAAAGCCTACCTTTCCATCCCATCTCATCCGATTCCGTCTTGTTCACGCTGGGGTCTAGTACAATGTAAGCTGGCGAAAAAGAAAAGAACAACCGGCGCTTTGGCGGAGTGGTTAACGCGCGGGCCTGCTAAGCCCGTTCCTTCGGGAGCGCAGGTTCGAATCCTGCAGGCGTCGCTCATCTTGATGATAAGCCTCACAGAGATGTGAGATTTACGGCCTTTCTTTTTTTCTCATTCTTTGGGGGATCTTTTTGTTCTGGGGTTGTGGTGGGGTGAGGGGTGGAAAGGGTGAGGGGTGGAAAGGGGGAGGGGATGGTCGGGGGAAGTTCGGATGGAAGAGGGGTATGGTGGGGACGGATGAGTATCATGGGATTCTTTGCTTTTTATTGGATGGTTCAGGGGGGTTCGTGGTTGGATACTACATATGTATATGATGGTACATGGTGAAAGGATGCTGCCATGAATTGTGCATGTTGTATTCTGTGTAGCTCTACATATCCACGTCACTTGGGCACATGGTATACATTAGGCAGTCAACTGGTGAGAAGAGATGAACTGATGTCGTGAAAGTGTAGCCCTTGGTTTATTCGTACAGAACACGGTATGGCCTGCTACTGGTTTTGCTTGAAATTGGACATCAAGTCAAGACAAAACAAAACAAGATAAGACAGATTTCTAGAAAACAGACCCTGAGTGGGGACCGCCTGGACAGATGTCGGGGCGCATTAGGCGAGTAACGGCCGACTTTTTGGTTTACCCGAAGCGTCGAGTCGATGAAGATGAGATGGACAGATGGAGCTAGCGCCCAGCCCCGCGGCGACGGACAGATGAACAGATTACCAGGCAAATACCGGTAGGCAGCACTTGAGACAAACAGAGGGACGGATTGACGCCGTAGCCGTAGTACTACCAACGACATGGCTAACCAACGCGCGTTCGTCCTTTGTCTATCCATATCTGGTCTGCTGGAATCGTCTGCAGTTGGATAGATGACGGCGCCGGCGGGTGGGTTAGCTGGCCGCAAGCGTCGAATGCTGTTGTTTCAGAGTCATGAGGATGGGCGATGGAGATGCAATCAATAGAAGAAGTAGAAGTATGTATGGATTATGTGAGATGGGGGAAGAGGGGCTAGCAAGGTGACGTAGTGGGAGGGGCTAACGAGGACCCTGCAGCAGTAGCCCGACCGAGCACGAGTCGGACGGAACGAGCGCCGACGACGGGAAATCACTTGCTCCCTCTCCCTCTCCCCACCACCACCATCACCTCTACGACATCACCACCACCTCGTGCTGCCATGCATGCATGCCTACATTCCATCGATATGCTCCCATCCGCCCTATACAGCAATCAATGGCTCACCTGCGCGTTCCCCCCCTGGGCTTGAGATGCTGAAGCAGCAGGGCATCAATTACGCAGGCTGCGACGCGGCAGCGTGGGAGCACCCTTGAGTGGGGTGGAGTCGAACTGGTGGCAGTTCCAGGCTTTGGTTGGGCTTCTGCCAACTTCGGGGCTAAAGGGCATGGGCGGCTTCACTGTGGCGCCAGTCTATCGCAGCTAGCGAGCCTCGAGTGGCCTCTAACAGCGTCCGCTGAGGCCCCTATGGCCCTTCGGTGCTTGGAGATTCCATGCGGCACTGACCGGAGCGCCTTGCTCTCAGGCTTCGTTGCGGATCTGGCGGTGGGAAAAGCAGGATAGATAATCTCAGCGAGACCCCTCTTCCTCTCTCGGTTCTCCAAAATCAAGTACTTGTTTACTTTCACCCCCCTTTTTTCTTCCTTCTTCCTTCGTTGCTCAGGCATTGGAATATTCGAGACATTCGGAACATACACAGCAGAGACACCCGACCAGCGCCCTTTGTCGACTTTGCCGTGAATCGCTGCTGCTGCCTTCTTTGCTTCTTCTGCTCTTTATCCACCCTCCCGCTCTTCCGATCCTCTGGCACCGCGGCTTTCTTCTCCCTGTACCTGCGCACCCGCATTATCAGCAGGCCATTTCCGTTCCGTGGATTAGAAGCAAGAAAGGAGCAAAAACCGTCGCGTCCGCCCATACACATCCCCGCTGCACATCATCGCTGGATAGACTTCCGTCGCCTCGCTACGCCTGTCCTTGCCTGTACTGCACTGCTGGGAGAGCACAGCCAACTGCAGCACGAAAACAGGCCGTCGATCGATAACGTAACCCCAAGACTCGGCCAGAGCCGACCGACCCCAGTCACAGTCACGCGCTAGGGATTTGCAAGCAAGCAAGCAAGCGATCAATCCATCCATCCATCCATCCAGCAGGCAAGCATCAGAGTGCAGCGAAGCGCGTCCTCGTCGTCATAACCCAGCGCGTCAGCCATTAACCGTTCCGTCCACGGTCCTCCACCGTCACTACCAACAAGCGAGCGGAGCGCCAGGTAGCCATCCCGGACCAAGAATTCGCACAATCCCATCCTCGTCTGCACAATTCGCCATCATCTCTGATTACCTATCTACGGGATAGATGCAGTTCAGCCGGCGCAGCCAGCCCCCGGCCGCCTCGCAGCAGCCTCAGGCGCGCAAACGTAGCAAAATGCCCGTGATTGAGGTGAGTCAATCTATGCCTTGATGCCTGTTCGTCCATTGCTTCATTTCACGAGTGTTGTTGCCAAAAGCATAATCGCTGCCCATATTCCTTTTCCTGTCCATCTCCATGATTTCAAACTTCTACCCATCTGTTGCATCCCTCCATCTTCTTTTCCCGCCCTTCAAGTCCCTGCCCAAAGTGGAAAGCATCGCTGGCCTGGGAGGGGCGGCGCCGTCATCATCGTCATGATTGACATTGGGCTGGCCGCGGGCGTTGTTGTTGTTTCTATTCAGTTCTGCGCCCCGAGGTGGATTGGCATGGGAAAATCGATATGACGATGACATAGATGGTGGGGCCCGTGCGCCCCCACAACGTCATTGGCATTATCACTTGTCGAGCCCGAGCAGGGAACTTTGAGCCTTTTCTTACTTTTCTTTGGGCCCGTCGTCACTGTCTCCGTCACCGTTTGCTCTGCTCTCTCCCTTCACACAAGACTTGCTCGCAAAAGCCTAGTCTCTCCCCCCTCCCGTCCTCGTCCGCCGAATCACCGTACCTGCTTGCCTGCCTGCCTTCCTCTATCCATACATACATCATCACCACCTGTCACCACCACCAACCCCCCCGTCAACGGCTTTTTCTCTCTCTTTCTCTCTTCAACCCCTTCCCTCCTCTCACTTCTCGTTTTCCTGCACCTTTGGAAATACACACAGCTTCGCCTGTTGTTCCGCGTACACACCGCAGCTAACCATGGCCGCCCTCCAGCAATTCAAAAACTGTACGTCATGCACCGAACCCACTCAACCTACTGCCGTACCATGCATGAGTTCATACGCATGTATGGTAATCCAGCAGACACGTGTATGCTAACTTGCCGCTTGCAGTCCTCAGACATGGAAAGCAAGCCCGGGGCGATGCCCCTCATGGCGATCCCACCACCAACGTTAGCAATGTCCACGCCCAACCCCACCCGCAGCCGCAACACATCGGTCACAGCGAGCCCGTGGTCGGCCACCAACCCATACAAGGCGCCGGCAGGCAAGACAAGAACTTCTCCGTAGCCGCCGTTGACAACCGCAATGTTGCAGCACAGGCCGGCGATGTGGCCGCAAGGCATGCCGCCGATAACCAGAAGGCTCAGGCTCACGCCGCCGCCGGTACCAAAGAGCGCAAAGATATCGACCCCTCCGTGCTAGAGCGAATCGTCGCAGAGGAGCGTGAAGCCAAGGGCAAGCTACCCAAATATCCCGGCCTCGAGCGCTGGTCGTTGTTGGAGAAGATGGGTGACGGTGCTTTCAGCAACGTCTACAAGGCACGAGACACCCAGGGCCAATACGGCGAAGTCGCCATCAAGGTGGTGCGCAAGTTCGAAATGAACTCTAGTCAGGTATGTTTGAACTCCTAGCCAAACCCCAGCCTCTGCCCATTCTGTTTTTCCATGTCGTCATCCGTCCTCCGTCGTCCCCCTCGCATCGCCTGGAAAACGGTGGGTGCGTCTATGATGTAAATTACCTTACCAACGCGCGTGTCCGGTGTAGGGCCAAGCACACATGCATCCCGATTTCAAAAAGGCTCCAAAGGGAGTGGAGGTGCGATACATTCCGGAGTCGATGACCCTCCCCTTCCACCGATTGCATCCATTCATCGCGCCGCTTTGACTTGCAGGACCGACACTGACGTAATGCTATTAGAGAGCAAACATCCTCAAGGAAGTACAAATCATGCGCCAGCTTGACCACCCAAACATCGTCAAACTCGTCGATTTCTCCGAATCACGGCAGTACTACTACATCATCCTCGAACTGTGCCCCGGCGGCGAGCTTTTCCACCAGATTGTCCGTCTCACCTACTTCAGCGAGGACCTTTCAAGACACACCATCATCCAAGTCGCCAAAGCATTACAATACCTGCACGAGGAGGCGGGTGTTGTTCACCGGTAAGTTCCCAATGACATGTAACGTGCCAAGCCTGTGACGCGACTGACGTCATGGTCCAGTGACATCAAGCCAGAGAACCTCTTGTTCTACCCTATTCCCTTCGTACCTACCCGTAACCCGAAGCCTAGGGGACCGGAGGATGAAGACAAGGAAGATGAGGGTGAGTTCATCAAGGGCCAAGGTGCCGGTGGCATCGGCCTCATTAAGATTGCGGATTTCGGTCTGTCAAAGGTCATTTGGGACAGCCAAACCATGACGCCATGTGGTACTGTAGGATACACGGCCCCTGAGATTGTCAAGGATGAGCGTTACTCCAAGAGTGTCGACATGTGGGCGCTCGGTTGTGTGCTCTACACATTGCTCTGCGGTTTCCCGCCCTTCTACGACGAGTCCATCCAAACCCTTACCGAAAAGGTTGCCCGTGGACAGTACACTTTCCTGTCGCCGTGGTGGGATGACATCTCCAAACCGGCCCAAGACTTGGTCTCGCACCTCTTGACCGTCGACCCCGAGAAGCGATATGATATCAACCAGTTCCTCAACCACCCCTGGATACGCGAAGCCGACGAACTCACATATGCTGCTCACGATGCACCACCTCTTGCCACGCCTGCCGCTGCCCGATCTGCTGGTACTCTTCAGCCCAACTTTGCTTACCTCGAATCCCCGGGGGCCAAGCGCAACGATTTCCGATCTCCTGGCGCTGTCAACCTTCGTGAAAACTTCGATGTAGTCTACGCTGTTCACCGACAAGAAGAGGAAGGTAAGAGGCGGAAGAACTTTAAGCAAGGATACCGTGGCGCCAACGCCATGAACTCTTTGAACGCATTGGATGAGAACGAGGATGACGATGAATTCTCGAATGAGTCGGCGCCATACGAAGCATCTCAACAGCACCCCCCAGCCAAGCTGCCCAAGTCGCAAGGCGCGGACGTGTCGGCGATGGAGCAGAAGCTGCGTAACACGACACTTTCAGCTGCCGCGCAGGCACGGCAGCAAGGTGCCAGTTCACAGCAACGCGGTTACGGTCAGCACTCGCCTGCTGTTGCCGCAGCTGCCAAGAAGCAAGTCCGTAACAAGGGTGCTTTCGAACTGAGCATGGATAACTCCACATTGCTTGGCCGAAGAAAGAAGGTTGAACCCAGTGGCCTCCGCGAGCACATCTCGGCCACATGACAATCGAACCTCGAGAGGGATTGGTAGTCGGGCTGCTATCACATCACGACAACATGTAACCATTTTGACGGCATGCATGGAATATGAGGCGTTTTCATCTTCTTCTCTTCTGTGCTCTGTTCATTTCCCCTTCCAGTCATTTCCTTTCTTGGTGCGGCGCGTCATTAGTATTCTACCCCTACCCCTTTTCTCCCTGTTTTCTTTCCTTTTTGTCTAACTCCTCTCTGGTCGATGGGTGCGATGGGATCATGGTATATGCATCTTGCAAAAGGGCCAGAGCACGTTATTATGATTTTGGACGCCATATGCCGGCGGAAAGGGTCCTGCGCGTGTAGACTGCAAAGAGCTTCTTCTTTTTTCTTTGTCAAAGAGCAGTTGCATGCATGCTTCTCTAGTAGAGGAATGAAAACTCACATACTTAATCTCGTGCATGTCTTGTGTCTTAGTGGTTTGCTTTGATGTTGGATGAGTGGATAGGCAAGTTATGGATACTTGAGTACAGTGACGGTTGGATATGCCTCACGTGCAGACGTCCACCATTCCTCTTTCTCCTCCCAACAACTACAAGCTGCTATTCTCAGAGCAAAGTGCTTCATCTCTACATCTGAACTCATTCGTGACATATACCCGCTTCTACTTCAAACCTTTGTTCTTCTCTGTGACTTAACTTAGCTTCCTACATACCTAGCTATAACACCGTTCTACACAAGTTTATCTTTGTATTCCTGTGTCTAATAGATGTATATATATATATATATCCTTTTATCAATGGCCTCAGATGCACCACACATGTATTCCATCTTCTCAAGTTCTTCTTCCTAAATCAATCTACTCCATTTGTGTGTTTTTCTTTCTCTTCTTCTTCCTCTTAGACATCTCCCTTCTACTGTTGCAGGAGCAACGAATCCAAAGAACAATCTCACCGTAATGAGTGAGAGGGTGGAGTTTTTTTTTTCCTTTTTTTCTTTTTGCACTGCCCCTAGGACAATATTAATAATAATAAATGGTTTGATTTTTACCAAGGCATTCCTCGGGTGATGATTTGGGTGTAGTAATTAATAGTGCAGTAGTATTTGTCCAGCGCAAACATGTTTTGGTACTCAAAGCTGCGAAACCAAGACTGTTGTGAGTATTCGATCTGTGAGACTTCACGGCGGCACAGCGCTGCTTTTTGTGGATGTTGAGCTGCTGTGCTACAGTTGATATGCGATGACGTTTATAGCGGAACTGCTGTAGTTTTCTAGGGATCAGTTGGATATACGCTTAGAAGGGTTTTGAGACTGCTTTCTGCCTGTGCTATGTTGCGGTATGGAAGGTGAGGATTTATGGAATAGTATGGTGTTTGGTTGCTGATGTTGTTTTGTTACAGTAGGCGCAGTTGATGGACCTTTTTGCTGCGGTTCAGTTCTGTCGTTTGCTGACTAGCGATATTTTAGATACCTTTTTTTTTCTGTTTTCTGATGGAGCTATTCTTATGCGATTCTAGAATCTCTTGCGTCTCGTTGGGAAAAGGTGAATAGGAGGAATGGGTTTGCTAGGTAGCATGCCAGCGTAGGTGATGTTTTTTAAGGTAAGTATTACAAGGATTCTTTGCAATCACCAGTTTCTGCTTACAACTTTCAGAGTAAAACATGATGTTTTTTTTCCGAGTAGAGAACATGTTCGTTGCCTTATTAAACCCATCATCATCTCCTAGACCAACCTTCAAAGCGAGCGACCATTGCTCTACCACGTCATCTTCATCTCCCATTCCATTATATCTGCTGGAAACTATCCGGGAACATCATACTTGCCCGGTCTTCGTTATGAAATTTAAGGCTCGACAAAGTATGGGCTCTCTGGCTTCGGACCCAGCTGCGTAACCAAGCTGTACTGCAACTTCCATTTACCATCGTCAACAACGAAGAAGTCGTCGCATCGCTCGTAGATGCGGAAAGATTTCTTCGGGTCGCTCAGCGCGGCAGGATCCCAGCGGGACCAGACGATACTACGACGTGAGGATTATCCCGTCAGCTCTTCTTCATCCTCTGGGTTCAATGCAAATCAACGAGAGATACTTACTAAGTAGTGACATTTGCCGCTTGGCCGTCTGGCTGAGGCTTGATGATGGCGTTGGAAACGTGATGCGCGACCAGAGCGTCGCCGAATGCGGCCTTGATGTTGGCGGTCGTCTGCGCGAGGCCGACAGAGAGGCCACCATAGTCGGGGCCCAGGGGGCGGCTGTCGTAGACGACGTCCTCCGTCATGGATTCTCCAAGTCGTTCGTAATTCTTGGTGTCCAAGGTTTCCGCCAAAATGTTTTCTGCCTGGTGGATCGATTCGTAAAGCTCAGGTTGGATGGAATCGTCGTATGCCATCGCCTGTGACAACGAGGCGGCGGCGGCTGCGAAGATGACTGCAATAAAGCGCATTTTGTTTAAGTACGGCCAGAAACTTGATTTGTGGGAGGGGAATGAAGATAACCGAGGATGGATGAAGACCTTGGTCACGAAGAAACTTGTCAATGGAGGACTTGCCGAACAGTTATATACTTTCAGAGGGAGCTGTGGTATTGGAGTAGTGACAAAATGTGTAAGCGCAAGCAGTGCTCCATGGAGGTACGAATAACTCGAAAGTCAATTTCCGATCAAACCTTCGTTCTGTCTGTGCGCCAGAATAGATAGATCGATATAATATCCCATCGCCCAGTATTTCTTACGTGTATCGCAACGAATTTCTTCCTGGGTCATGGCTGTAGGACTGCATGATGAATCAGTGTAACGATAAAAAGAAGTACCAAAACTTCATGGGACAAGTGAATGTATTCTAGGAAACCTGACCACTCACCTCATGGTCATGGAATTTGAATCGAGTATTTCCTTCTGTTCGCTGACATGGACTGCGGCTGGTTCTGTTGAGGGCTTTCTCATGGCTTGGTGATCTACAGTTGGGTGATCCCCACCCTCCCCGCATTTTCTCTCCCAACAGCGGAATTTTTGGAGAGTCCGATGAATCCTACGGAGGGGAAATCCGCTGTGGCTACTCTTGATGTTATTGAGGGGAGGGATGCGCGACTGCTATGGCTATCAAGTTGAGGTCAGAATACCACATAATGCGATCAGCTTTAAGCCCAAGGTTAGCTGCCATGAGTAAAGTACCAAGGCTTAATTTAACTACCTGAATAGATGTTATAGTATGCATGGCTAGCTGGCGCGGATGTCAAAGCTCAGCAACGACGGTGCCCCGACGGGCGAGGCGCCGGATCCCCTCAACTACACTACCTGAACACAGCAACGACAACAATGCCATGCTACCATTCCTCTATCACATCACAAAACCTCACACTCTAAGTAATTGCCATGATGCGTAGGAATGTTGAAGAGCTAGAGGAAAAAGTGACACACTGGCCCGGCGATCCAGTTGTCAATCTCACCTCTATTGTCGGACTTGATTGGTCACGGGCATCTTGACCTGTATAATCCGGTACAAATACTACCTAGGTAAGTATGAAAACGCCGTTGGACTTTGCCCATGGATTGAAGAATGAACTTACGTCACGTGACATGAGCTCAGTGCAAATGACGTCTGTTGCTGTACTTCAAGGCACCACCAATTCTCGATACCGAAAAAGTCAACTCATCCCGTCTGTTTTCTACGACATGAAGGGTTCGCAATCTGTTATCAAATATGTCGTTTCATGAACAAGGCACTGTATGACTTCGTCTTCGGGCCAAATAAAGGTTCAGACTACGCTCAATTGACATAGCAGTATGAACAACGGAAAGAGAGTCTCATAACAGCTCAGCGGTCGTCGCAAAAACAACAATCCCTCGGACCAAAACGTATGCAACTAATCGAACAAACCATTCCTCAGCCACCTTCTCACCTACTCCTTCAAAGCCCTCCAGTTCTCAACCAAAGACTGCACAAGCTCCGTCGTAACATCAACCCCAACCCCAATCTCCTCATCGCTAATCAACAACGGCACATGCATAAATACCGTATCCCTCTTCCCAACCCTCGCATTAGCACTCCCCTCGGCGGCCGTCATCCGACTCTTCTGCACCATCCCAGCATAATAAATAAACCCACACAAATAAAACCCAACATTATCACTCCACCTAACCTCATCATCCGGATCCGGCGCCATAACACTTATCTCCTCTTCCTCCACATTACCCATAGCGACAGAAAGCCCCCGCGAGACCTTAACATCGACCTTCTGCTCCGCAACATCGCCCATGCTCTGCATCTCGCGCGACAGCATCGCCGGCCACTTGAAATCCTTGGTGCGCTCCTGCCACGACTCAATCGTGCCGTCGAGATCCAGATCCGTGTCCAGCCGCGTCGGCGAGTCGCCCCATGCAGCGACGCCTTCGGCGTCGCTGAAGTTGCGCCCGTCGTTGTCGCGGATCAGGTCGAAGTTGTTGCGCGACGACCCTGCTTCTACTGCGAAGTACTTCCGCCCTTCGGCTACCCCGATGTGCAGCGCGATGTCCGGTTGCGTGCTGCCGTAGAGCTCTGGGAGCAGCTCGATGGTTGGGTGGTAGGATACGGGGATTGCTGAGGGGTGCGTGTAGATTTCGATGTTGTTGGGGAGGGTTGTTGGGAGTCGGGATACGATTGCGAAGGACGGGTTTACGGGGACGTTTTGGAACGGCTAGAGGGATTTGCGAGGTTAGTTTGTTGTTAATTTCGATTTGGGGATGTTGTTGTGGTGTGTGGAGACGAGTTGTGGAATCCGATTTTGGAGCAAGAAGATGGTTGGAAGTGCGGATAAGCTTTTCTTTTTTCTTCCCATGCCTATCAAATTTCGAAACTCGTTTTCATGCGAGCCTTTCCAATCAAAAGCAGCAAAGGAAAAAAAAAGTGTATAGAGCAAGGAGAGACAGCAAACGTACCCCGAACCCGGTAATCAGCACGCGCGTAACTGCAGCAGCGACGGGAGCCATATTGCAAATAGATTAAACTGTACGTAAAGCAAGGTAAAGGGACTCGCTACCAAACACTCAAAAGAAACAAGTCAAGTCAGACCGGTACCCAGGGAACCAAGAAAACAAATTAATCTAGCTTCCCACATGGCCTTTTATATGATGTTTGCATCGCCCCCCTGCCACGACAAGCTACTGCGACTACTTCACGACCGCCGAGAATGGGATTCTGCAGATACTGGAATCCTTCGACTTGGTCGTGCTCGCGTCCGCACTCGAGTCCCCATGCTCTGCTTTGTTATTCGCTGCTCGTATACGTGGACGTCCTGGGAAAACGGTCGTGCATGCAGGATATCCCTAGCCCAAGCCATCTGTATGGTCAGCGAAAGCCCACCACCATGATGTGTATGCGTGTGCATACAACAACCCTCTAATGCCTCCCTTATCAAACCCAGTTACATCTCCACAAATCTGCAGACATACAAATAAGTAGGACGGTTCACCGGGTATTTCCATACAAAGTCCACAGCCCCCCCCTCCCCCCCCCCCCCCCCCCTGCGAAAGCAGCATGTGACCTGCCTAACACGGAATCTCGATACTGCACGAATGTAGCATTTCAAAGGTATGAGCGAGGATATGATTGGCGCAAGAGCGCAGCTCGAGCGGGATTCCTTTCTATTCGACCTGGATCTGGGTATAGGTCGGTGCGTATGTATGCGTGTCTCACATGCACACAGAACGGATGTGCCACCCGTCGATTGCCTTGCCTTGGCTGGATCGGACTTCGTTTGTTGTCTGTGTGTGTGTGTGAGTGTGTTTTCCCCTTCTATTTTCTATCGTGCGATACGAGATTGTTTCCTCAGCCACAAAACATAATCAGAACGAGGTAAATTCTTGTGTCGATCAGCCAGCTGTGTATGCACGAGTCCGAGCCCGAATCCAACGAAATCGATGATCTAGTTGTTGTCAGAGGGCTTGTAGAATCAGTGATCTATTATTCCTTATCTCTATACACACTTTAACTTATCCCAAAAATAAGGAAAAAATACTCTTAACTGTTAGTCTCCACCCCGGTGTGCGAAAAAACACGACCCACAATCTCCTAGACGTGGTTTGCTTACCCACCCCCCCGCAAAAGAAAAAATCCCCCACAACGCCATCCCGTCACTCCCGTAAGCCATCCCAAATCCTGCAGCCACAGGCCGGCCATACCAAGCGTGCGAGCATGCAAGCTTGCTATATCGCCCCTCGAATTAATGCATGCACACTTTTACACAGCCTACTATGCTGACCCTCCCCATCTTAACTTCCTAATCCGGAGGGATCGCGACTATTGGAAGACCGCGGTGTGGGCGTGTGACTGTTGCCTACACCTAGCATAGATGATATATATTATCTGCTACTTGGATTTGATTTAGTTGCTTCTTAACGGCTGCGTTGTTGGTGGGAGATGGGAGATGGAGGTTCGGATAGTTGGGTGCATGTCAGTGTGAGCACTCAAGTGCTACTATGAACGTGCACGTGACCGGCGGAGACATCGGACCCGATGGGTTATAGATATATACGCCTTGTGCATCATCGTTGGATAGTCACTCGATTAATTAATTACATGTAAGCTATAGCACATGCACAAGTATACTGTGACAGTGTGGCTTGGTTACATGTAGTTCATGTGTGGGTCTGGGGGAGTGCGTTGGGGATAGATGGATGGATGGATGGACGGATGTAAGCTTACATATCCCCGTCATTCACAAGCGAGAAAACATCGACCCTACAAATCCAACGTCTCATAGAAGTAGACTGTCGATGCGCTGCATCTGATGAAGATGCGGAGTGTTCAAATGTTGATTATGATAGAACGTTTTTCTTGTGCGCCCGTGGTCTTTCCTTCCTTATTGGGGTGATATGCTACTACTGCAGTATGCATACAATTATTGTAGAGATGCATGCAAGCGAGGCACATGCGCAAACTACCATGGTTATCCCAGGACTAGTCACATCAGCATATGTACGAAGCATGATAATCATAATCAGATATAGATAGCGAAAGAACTATAGCAGATAGCAGGATAACAGACGGGACTTGACATGCGATGGAAGGAGAAGCGAGTGGCAAAAAAATAAAAATAGACATGTTTCCTCCCAGCACGCAAGCAAGATAGCAGAGTTTAAACATCCCACCCTCTCCAGCCTTCCTTTCCCATCCTCTCATACCATGCTCTGACATATTCAACCCCAGCATGCGGCCCGTACAACCTCCCTTCCCACTGCGGTGTCGGCGCCTTGAGCCCCGTCTCTTTCTCTGCGGTTTTGATGACTTGTTCGATGCTTGCGCCGCGGTTGTATCCGTCCATACCGGCTTCTTCTCCGTTCTTCTGTCGCATTTCTCGGGCTTCCCGCATCTGTGCGCGTAGGGAGTTTGTGGCGGTTTCGTTGACAGCGTGAGGAGGGAGAGGGTCGACCACGACGCCGTAGTTGCGTGATGCGCCGTCGGCAGTGATGAGTTTGCGGTGGACTTCTTGAGATACTTTGGAACTGGGGCGTAGGAGAGGATCGCCTAGGCCACCACCGCCCCAGGTTATCCATTCCAGGACGTCGCCTGGGATTGTTAGTCAGTTGTTTGCTCTGAGATGAATTGTGCGTTCGAGATAAAGAGAGGGAGCAAACTTACCAGGCTGAACATGGATGTGGTCTTGCTTAGACTTTAGCAAGACGTTGTTGTCTGGGCTGTGCTGTACATCGGTTCCGTAGGAGTTGTTGATGTAAAGCATTTTCTTTGAGCGAGATCCGGGCTTGCCACCATTGACTCCCCACGGCACTACTAACCACCGATCATCGTGGATACTGACCTCTCCCTCGCAAAGAAATCTATACAGCGTTCGCTGCGCGTTGCCACCTCTGTAGAACCCTGCACCTCCGCTGTCAGGCAGAGCTTCATTCGCTTCAAGTAATAGCGGGAAGTACAGCTCGATGTTCTCCGTGGGAATACTTTTAATAGCGGGGAAGAGGCAGTGACAGTCCGGACCGTCACCAATGGGACGCGCGGGGACGCCTCCGAAGCCAATTTGGTACAAGAGGAAGAATTCACCGGAGGGTTTGAAGCCTGAGTAGAAGAGATGAGGGGAGTCGGAGAAACCTGCTGCGCAGCGGTATGCAGGGTCGCGTTGTCCGAAAAGGGCCTGTAGAACGTCCATTACGCGACCAAGGAGGTGGGTTCTACAGCTCACGGCTGCAGGTCGCACGGGGCGGAGGATGGTGCCGCTTGGGATCTTAATGTCAATGAGATCGTGGAAGCCATCGTTGATGACGCAGTGGGGGTCATAAACCGCGAGTAAGTAGTAGCCGATGAAGACTTTGAACATGTTGATAGAAAGGTAGAAGTTCATTGACGTGTTTGATTGCGGAGATGTGCCATCCCAGTCAAACACCAGCTTATCGCCTTGTTTCTGCATAGAGCATGAGATGGCGTAGGGACCGATGCCTTGTCCATCATCGTCGATGAAGTCTGTGAAGCTCGATCTCTCAGGCCCAATTTTATTGTCGATGATAGTTTTGATGGCGGCTCGGTTCTGCGCGAGCAGACTATCGGTAGCAGCTTCATACACCGGCAAGCTATACCTGTCGCAAAGCTCGCAAACTCGGGATGCTGCTGTTCTGCAAGCTGCGACTAGAGCTATCAAGTCGCTCTGAAACCACTCCGGCTGGCGGGAGTTACGGAACAATACGTCTGCTAGGGCTTGGTTGTAAACGCCTTTCTCGTACAGCTTCACAATCGGTATCTGCAAACCATCTTCGAAAATAGTGGTTGCGTTGATGCTCATTGACCCGGGGACTTTCCCTTGCACATCCGTCAGATGGCCAAAGTTGGCAGCCCATCCAATAAGCTTGTGCTCGTGATGGATCGGTAACAGTATAATAACGTCGTTAAGGTGTGACACGGCGCCATCGATCTGGTACACATCATTTGTAACGAATATATCACCTTCCTCTATTGTACCTTTCCATCCGTTCAAGAACTGCATAATGAAGCTCCCGAACTGTCCAACGAGCATCTGACCTCGTGTGTTCGTAATGACATTGAATTCGTCCATCTGCTCCCGGATAGCAGGGGACATGGCGCATCGCAGCATGAGCGTGTCCATCTCCCGTCGGATCGACCCAAGCGCCGAGGAAATCAAAGTCGCAATCAAAGGCTGTTCTTTGACAAGCAATTCGGCGGACTCTTTGGTATGTTCGACCTTTTCTTGTGAGGTCTTCTCGGTCGGCCAAATCAAGATGTTACCCATTGAGTCAACTTCTCCGAAATAGCCCGGCAAAATCAGAGTATTTGAGTCCATTTCGGAAATCACAGCGGGACCAGTAACCCTTAGACCGGCCTTGAGGAGACGCGATCGGTCCCAGAAGGTGGCTTCTATACTTTGGTCTTCGTAGATGATATTCTGTGTCATCGTGATAGCATCTTGTGGGGGTGTGGGATCGTTTGCTTTCTCAATGGATCGTATGGCCACCTCTTCCGACGCATCAACCACTTTGACTCGCATGCGCATAGTTTCGAGTTCTGCCTTTTCCAGTGAGAAGCTGAACTGTTGCTCATGTAGTTCGGCGAATTTTGCACGAAGCACCAACAGCAACCCTTCCGTGTTCTCCAAGTCCTTGTCCAAGAAATCGACCGTCAGTGTCATTGCTTGGCCTTTGTACCTCATGTCGGATTGATATTGCACCTCCAGTGGCGCCTCTCGATTTCCCAAATGTGTTTTCATGGTCTGCATACAGCCGTCTCTCAACTCGCCCAAAGTGGACGCGAGATCCTCCGTGGTGATTTCGGAGAATAGCCTGATGTAGGTGCAGCTTTGCTCGTGCGACATCTTCGTAGTAGCATCGCCTTGCGCACAAAGTATGCCAGGACTCGGGGGAACAATTACAGGCCAGGAGCCAAGGAGCTTCCCAAGAGCATTCGCATGAAGAGGGCCTGCCCCACCGAAGGCTACCAAAGCAAAATCGCGGGGATCGAAACCTTGCTCGACAGATACAAGGCGGAGAGCGCCATGGATGGACTCGTTGACGAGATTGATGATACCTTCTGCCGCAGCTGTGGTGGTTAAACCCATCTGCTCCGCTATTGAGTTCACCGCAGAAGAAGCTGCAGCGACATCAAGTTTGAACGAGCCACCTAACAACTTGGAAGGAAGATAGCCAAGGGTCAGGTTGGCATCGGTGACGGTCGCCTGCGTTCCGCCTTTCCCATACGCTGCTGGACCAGGCGTTGCACCACTTGATTCCGGGCCTACACGCAATTGCTTTGTGAAGTCGTTGTATACGGCGATCGAACCCCCTCCGGCGCCAACCGTGCGAACGTCGACTGATGGTGCCCGGACTGCGAGCGAACCGACATTGGTTTCTCTTCGTATGATTACGTCACCACCAGATAGGAGAGCACAATCCGTACTTGTTCCTCCCATATCCAGTGTGATGAGATCTTTGAATGGAGTGTTCTTAGCAACCAGATGCGAAACGGCCTTGACACCACCAGCGGGCCCGCTCATCAAGATCTGTACAGGCTTCTCGCCAGCGAGCTGTACGGAGGTAAGGTCGCCGTCGGATTTCAATATACGGATGGTGTCTGTATGAGGCTCGAGCATTTTCTGTAAGTTGCTCATATAGCGCTTGACAACAGGCTTGACAATAGCGTTTGCGGTGGTGGTGACGGTTCGCTCGTACTCCTGAATCTCGGGTAAAACATCAGTAGATGTGACAACCTCGACGTCCGGGCCAAATTCGTCGTGCAGAATGTCCCTGATTTGAGTCTCGTGAACAGAATTGCTGAATGAGTTCAATAGAGAGACGGAGATGGCCTCGGGCTTTTGCGACTTCAAATCTTGCACGCTTTCCCGAAACTTCTTCTCGTCCAGTGCTTTGAACACGTCTCCACCGATAGTGATGCGCTCTACGGCTTCAACTGTTCGCTCCAGAGGCACGATAGGCTCTGGCTCCACGTAGTTGATCCAGGCGCCCAAGCCTCCGGGGATTTGGCTCCGCCTCATGGTCAGGACATTGCGGTGGCCAGCCGTCACGATCAAACCGGCCTTTGCGCCCTTGCCTTCGAGAATGGCGTTGGTGCCAGTGGTGGTTCCATGGTGAATGTAATCGAACTTTCCGTTCCAACCATACTTCTCATTTAGGATGGTGCGTGCCTTGTCGACACCCTCGCGCACACCGATGGATTGGTCTGAGGTGTTGGTAGGCACTTTTACGCGTACGGATTGGCCATCTGGAGTGATTACGCAGATGTCTGTGAATGTTCTACAGTGAGTGTCAGAGAATGTCGCATGTCGGCCATGTGAATACTTTGCGCCACGTGATGCGACTAGATGAAGTGTGATGAAGTTTCTGGGTTGGTCTGAGGGGAAAAAGACGGTAGAAGAGGCGCACATACCCTCCGACATCCACCCCTAGTCGATACCCAGGGGCCATGGCTTGCCCGTACTCGGACGCTCTTCTGTAGGTGGCGTAAAGCTGGGGTATGTAATCAAAGTCCCGTAGCTGTTCAATCGCGAATCAAACATTCGCCTAGCGGGTTGGTCTTGGGTGCAGTATGGCTGTAGTGAACGTCGGGTGGCTGCAATCGTCAACTAGCCTTGTCCCTGACCAGAAAAATCTTCTGCCGCACGCCGACCAGTTGCCGGGTCTTGGATCACGAACGCGTGAAACAAAGTAGGTCAAGTCAGACCATTGGTGACGACATGCTGCGGGACGAATATAAGTCTCGCGTTATCGAGGAAAACAGGCAGCAGTGAGCTTCCAAGAGTGCGGAATTACTGGTCTGACATATCTTGGGCGGGGAATTGACAGCTTGTGAGCTAGTCAGTAGGTCAAGAGGGGTCAGACAGCCCCTGGAGAGGAGGCCGAGCTAGCTGAAAACATCGTATCGACGTTGAACTGAAAGATAAATGAGATGCCGACCGTGATGGAGATGCATGAATGGAGTGTTACCCCTCATCAGGAGGTTGTAAGACGGAGATGGTTGCGCATCGAGTGTGCAGACAGTCTTGGGGAGCCTCGGCAAGAGATAACGATCCTGCATACATAGGCGAACGAGGAGATAAAGCCCACACGTGAGCGCAAACAGGTTGGAATGCTCAATAAACTTCATCATCACATCACGTACTGATACGCGGGCTGATAGGTAAACAGATTGATCGTATGTGTGTGAAGGGTGCTTGCTTCATCATCCATCGTTCAACGCCGCATTTAGCCGACATCGCCGTCCCAACATATCCCGCCTTCACCATGTCCCGACAACAGAGCACATAGACCATATCATTGAAACCTCATGTCTCGTCACAAAACTCCATGCTCGCCAAAGATATCATATCCACCGATGGACTGAACTCATTCACACGCTCGGAATAGCCCTGCCTCGAGAATGATAACGTGGGTCGGTTGCGTCACTCAATCGCTTCAACAACTCCGCAGGCTTGACCAATGTATAACGCACTAAAATCCCAACAATGGTTCGTTTGAAATCAGCTACGGGATATCGCGTGAAGCCGAATATGAGGGCCCGAAAGAATAGCCAGGTCAATAAGAAAAGTACGGCGAGTTTGCAAAAGGCAAAGAGCCTGACTGCCCACTGGCGCGAGAGTCTGCTCAGCGTGTCTTTGCGAGCTTCGGAAAATGTTCGTCCAGCCAGGTGGTTCTCGAGAAGTTTGGGTGCGGGGTTGGAGGCACTGCGGCGATGGTCTGGATGAGACGTATTGATTAGCGCGTGACACTTAGTTCTAGCTAGCCGTGAGATGGATGATAAGCTATGAAAAGTGACAGGAGTAGTTTCGGAACCGTGAGGACTGACAGATCAAAGTGCTGAGGAGAAATGCGGGAGTTACTTGCAGTTGGGGTTCTTCATGTTCGCGGCCGATCTGTCTCTTTGGTCCAGAGATGGTTTCTTTTCGCAAGAGGCATGACACAATACAGATAGAGAGAGGTGGCTATGGTGGTATGATAAGTATGTGGTGGACAAAGAGTCTGCTTGTTGGGGTTGCTTTCAGCATGCCGGAATGCGGAATGAGACAAACAAACAAGCCACTGTTTGTCACACGGCCACCACAGAAGAACAAGATGAGTATTGCAGCAGTTAGTAGAGAAAAAATTGGTCAATTCATGATGCTCTCGAGAAGTTTGATTTACATAGTTGGCAGATATCTTTGAGAGTGTATCAATTCATGGCCATTTGGATGCCTCGTCGGAGCGGTCCATTGAGCTTCGACGGCATCAGGTGAACTTGGCATGATTGGAACAAATTCTAGTAGCAATCAGCAACAGACGTTCTAGGCGCGGGATGGAGAGGTTTTAACAGAGCAGCAACAATTTTGGGTGGGATGGGACGCGATGAGACGGTACGCGGGTGAGGAGAAGGTGACCCACCAAATGCGGCTAGCGGTGCCAAGCATCTCCAGCATCACTCTGGGCATTAGATAAGCTCAGCGAAGCTTTTCACCAAGTCCCACGCACGTTCCATCGGTGAATTGCCAGTGATCAGTCTTCCGATTCAGGTACAGACAACGATGGATTCAGGAACAAGCACCAAACATGGGTTCTTCCATCTCTATGATGGCTACTCCGTCTTGGAATTACACGAGCCTGGATTGGACGCTGCATCATCCGTCAACCGTGCGATAAGCCGAGCCGTCAATTCTTCCCCTATCAGGGTAGGCTGGGCCAAAGGAGAGCCCACGGCAGTGCAGGCAGCCTATCAACCCCTTCAGAATGCGGAGTGAACCTCTCTCGTTTGCGCGAAACCCACCATGTTCGCCACCCACGGGCGTGGTGGAACGAAAGGATTCGGTTGCGTACAAGGCTTAGTGATTGCTGTGCTCTCCAACCGTATTTCATAGTCAAATACCGCTTCGCCTGTCGCTTTTTTCTTCTGGCCCAACTTTTCCACTTCTCTCTCTTTGCACTGGCGACCACATCAACCACGGAAATGGCGCACACACAAGATGATCCTGCGGTGCCTGAAAAAGCACCTTCTGCCAATCTGTCGAGGAAACGTAGTAGCAGTCCAGTCACGGAGATTGGCGAGGTTGGCAAAACCAGTGAACTTCACCGCCGACTGTCCAATCGCCAGGTTCAATGGATCGCAATCGGTGGCTCCATTGGCACTGCTCTCTTTATTTCCATCGCTTGGGGCCTTGTTGAAGGCGGTCCGGGGAGCTTGTTTATTGCATTCACCCTGTACTCGTGTTTCCTCGCTCTCGCAAATAATTGTATGGCCGAAATGTGCGTCTTCATGCCCGTGGTTGGTGGATGGGTAAGAATGGTAAGACTCGGCTAAGGACAGCTCCAACCTCTAACACTCTTCCCTGAGCTCACTCATATACAAGGGCAGCAAATGGGTCGACGAAGCTTACGGGTTCATGTGTGGCTGGAATTTCTTTGTCAGTACCTCCTGCCATCCTGCATGAATAATATTGTATACTCATACTTTCCACCGATAGCTTTACGAAGCTATTCTCATTCCCTTTGAGATCTCCGCACTCAATCTGATCCTAACGTACTGGCGTGACGACATACCCGTCTGGGCAGTAGTCATACCCTGCATCGTCCTCTATGGCCTCATCAATCTGTTTACCGTCCGCGCCTACGGAGAATCCGAATTTTGGCTGTAATTACCTCCACCCTGTCTCTCCGAAAGACTCTAACACCTGGCAGCGCATCTGGCAAAGTCATTCTCATTTTCATGCTCTTTTTCTTTACCTTCATCACCATGGTATGTCCCTGTACAATCTCAGTAGATTACACAGATTGACACCCTGTAGGTCGGAGGCAACCCCAAACATGATGCCTACGGCTTTCGCTATTGGAAGAATCCAGGCTCCTTCGCGACATATATCCATGAAGGGTCGCTGGGGCGTTTCGAAGGCTTCCTCGGCGCCTATTTCCAAGCATCCTTTACCATTGTCGGCCCCGAATATGTGGCAATGGTTGCCGGTGAAGCCAGTCATCCTAGACGGACTATTAAAACGGCGTTCAAGACCATGTACTGGCGCTTCGGTCTATTCTTCATCCTAGGTGCTCTCTGCGTAGGCATCGTCCTTCCGTACAACGACCCCACACTCGAATCTATCCTGAACACGTCTGGTGCGGGGACAGGAGCCGGCAGTCCATATGTGATTGCGATGAAAAACATGGGAATTGGCGTCCTCCCCGACTTGACTAACGCATTAATGATAACATCCATCTTCTCAGCCGGTATTCCATACCTCCCTCCCACAGTATCCTCTTTACCCACTAACCAACACTCTACGTGACCAGGAAACTCGTACGTTTACTGCGCAACTCGCACCCTTTACTCTCTTTCCAAAGATGGCCACGCACCCAAGTTCTTTCAAAAGACGACCAAACGAGGCGTCCCCATCTACTGCTTCATCCTCACGATGCTCTTCCCCTGCCTGTCCCTCCTCTCGCTCGGCCGCTCCGCTTCAGAGGGAGTGAAATGGCTTGCAAACGTAACACAAGCTGCTCAGCTTCTCGACTATATCTTCATGTGCACAATCTACCTCTTTTTCTACCGCGCGCTCAAGGCTCAAGGGTACGACCGCAACGACCCCAGACAGCTCCCCTACCGTGGATGGGGACAGCCGTACGTTGCTATCGCCGGCATCGTCATCTTTTCCGTCACATTGGCCATTTACGGCTATGCGACGTTCTACGCGTTTGATGTAGGCACGTTCATGACGTATTATGCCATGTGCTTCATTTGTATCGTGTTGTGGGTGGGGTTCAAGGTGGTGAAGAGGTCGAAGTTTGTAAAGCCTGAAGAGGCGGATTTGAAGTGGGAGAGGGATGCGATTGCTGCGCATGAAGCTTCGACTGATCCGCCGTTGGGGTTGTGGGAGGAAATTTGGGTGTTCGTCACGCGGAAGTCGAAGAGAAAGGGTGTGGAAGAAGGGGAGAGTTCTTAGAATGGCGAGTTTTGAGTGGAATGAAAAGTTGGTTCATTCGATTTTTCTTGTATTTTTCGCGCTCTCTGTCTCAAGAAGTAGAATACAGTGGGATACTTCAATGTTGGAAGAAGGCGAGCATCAGACTGGGGAACAGAGTCTAGACCGGATCATGCAACAGATGGTTTCCCGGTCAGTGCAGCGGTTTGGGGCCTCGCTAATCGGCGACTACGGTAAGATGGCGCCCCTGTCCCCGCGATCTAGGAACGCGCATCTGGCGGACCATCTGCGTCATCGATCGGAGACTATAGTCACTTATACGCGTGCCATCCCTTTTTCTTTTTCAACCTCCAACTGCTCCATGTTGGCTTTCATCCCTTCTACCTTTACTTGCGCATTCTCTTTGTCTACTGCGTCACATACTGTCTATCTACGCGCATATATACTTGCGCCCCGTGAATCTGGACAGTGAACATTGGTAATAGCATCGTGCTACACTACCTTCAAAATACTTTTACACCTTCGGTCGCGCATCGGATTCCGTCGCGTGACGTGGAAACAGAGATCCGCCATGCCCCCAAAGCGTAAACTTCGCTCTCAAACAAAAACCAGCGACATAGCGCCCAATGCTGCCTCCGCAATCGCATATACAGACTCTGGCGGTGCAGCACCAAACAAACGATCAAAGCTCTCGAAACCCATAGCGAAATTCGAGAAGGAGGCGTCGCCAACAATATCCACGATTGCTCCTGCCGCCTCTGCTACCAATGGAGGCCCCGAATCCCCCGTTTTTGACCACTCTCGCCCTGAGGAGAAGGCTGGTATCGTGAATCGACGCTTCTATCCCGCAGAGATGAGCAATGAGCGGTGCGCCATGTACAACGACAACAGCATCCCTCGTCCAATCGAAGTCCTCAACGAAACACTTTCGTCCACGAAAACTGCGCGCGCTGCGATCCGCGATGAACCAGACGAGACAGGTGTGGTGGTTCACTGGTTTAAGCGTGATCTACGCATCCGAGACAATACGTCGCTGAGTCGCGCCAGCACGTTGGCAAAGCAAAAAGGAGGCGGTGTCGTCGCACTCTGGATCATGAGTCCTGAAGATTGGGAGGCACATCTGGTAAGCCCTGCGAAGTGCGACTTCGAGGTGCGGTCTGTAGAAAGTTTGAAGGAAGAATTGATGCGCGATTTCGGTATCCCGTTGCACACGGTTGAAGTCCCACGTCGAAAGGACGTCGTAGGGAGAGTGTTGGGGCTAGCGAGGGAATGGGGATCACGCAACGTATTCTGCAATCTGGAATACGAAGTCGACGAATTGCGGCGCGAGGAGAAGTTAGTCAGGCGAGGTGTAGAACAGGGCATCAATGTTGAAGTCTTCCACGACGACTGCGTCGTCCCACCCGGCGCCCTCGCAACCGGAGCAGGAAAACAATACGCAGTATACTCGCCCTGGTTCCGCTCTTGGATCCAATACCTCCACACCAACCCACACATCCTCGACGAACGCCCCCTCCCATCCCCCAACCCAGACCCCTTCACCAAATCCTTCTCGCACCTCCAAGAGCCCCCAACCCCCCAACCTCCTCCCTCAAAACGCCTCTCCTCAGAGTCAGAAACTCGCATGCACAAGCTCTGGCCCGCAGGCGAATCCTCAGCACACACCCGCCTAACCCACTTCCTCTCCACCAAAATCGGCCGCTACGCAACAACCCGCAACTTCCCGTCCCTCTCCAGCACCGCGTGCGTCAGCGTCCACCACGCCGCCGGCACCCTCGCAGCACGTACCTCGGTCCGCTCCGCCCGCGCCATCAACTCGACCAAGAAACTCGACGCAGGTCTCGAAGGCGTGAAATCCTGGATCTCAGAAGTCGCGTGGCGCGACTTCTACCGCCACGTCCTAGTCCACTGGCCGTACGTCTGCATGCACAAACCCTTCAAATACGAATACACAAACATCGAGTGGGAGTACAACGATTCGCACTTTGAGGCCTGGAAAGCGGGCCGCACGGGCTATCCCATCGTCGACGCCGGAATGCGATGCTTGAAAGAGACGGGGTACTTGCATAACCGCCTCCGCATGATCACCGCTTCCTTCCTCTCCAAACACCTCCTTCTCGATTGGCGTCTCGGCGAGCAGTACTTCATGAGCCAGCTCGTCGACGGCGATTTCGCGTCTAATAACGGTGGGTGGGGGTTTTCGGCGTCTACGGGCGTCGATCCGCAGCCGTATTTTCGCGTTTTTAATCCGTGGTTGCAGGCTGAACGGTTTGATGAGGAGGGGGAGTTTATTAGGGAGTGGGTGGAGGAGTTGAGGGGCGTGAAGGGCAGTGCGGTTAGGAATCCGTTTGAGGCTGGTGGGGAGGCGGCGAGAGAGGCGGAAAAGAAAGGGTATGCGAGGGAGATTGTGGTACATCGGGTTGCGAGGGAGAAGTGCTTGGAGAGATATAAGAGCGGGATTGGACGGGGGACTGCGTGATGAGGGGGATTGAAGGCGTCTCAAGCAGTGAGCTCCAGGATCAATACTACGGAGGAGGGAAACGCAGTGGGGAGGAAGTAGTACGGGCGCAAGGATTGGCCAGGATCTTCGCAGTTGACATTTATCAGAGGGTTAGAAAAAGCTTCCGTTCTGCAGGTATCCTATCCAGCAAGTAAATTCCCTCCTACTCTCCTCTACAGCATAATCCTCTAACACCCCAATCCCCCGCCATCTACCCATCTCTAAACCCCTCCATCACTTCTTCAAAGCCCTCACAACAGCCTGTTCAAGATCCCCCCTCGGCACCCCCAACATCTCATTATCCACCACCCCCGCCGCCGTAAAATCCGCCCCAAGCCCCTCCTTCAACCCAACAAGCAGCCCCAAAAGACCCATCGCCCGCATCTTCTCCATCACATCACTCGAGGTAGCATGAACACGTTTCGCTTCTTCAATCCCTTCGTCCACGTCTCCGGTGTTGATGGTCCAGTCCGATACCCCCGTAGCGGACTTGTACGCGGCGAGCAGATCGTTGAGCGAGATGTCGAAAGACGATATATACACATCTTTGTTTTTCGTTTCAGCGGGGTGGGATTTGAGGATCGCGGCGACGGCGAGGCCGATGGAGTCGTGCGTTGTAGCTGAGAACTTTGCGGTGCCGTCGCCCCAGATTTTGGCCGTGTGGGTGGATGGGTCGAGGCCGTAGAAGTTTGTTTCGAGGCATCTGCACACTTCTCAGTTTCAGTTATCCCCACACTACCCCCAACATCTTCCTCTCTTTCCCTCTCTTTTTCCTTCCTTTCTTTCTTGCGTTGCTGGTTGTGTATTACAAAAGAAGAAGAAAAAAGAGGGTAGATGCCTTACAAATCACTAAACAACCCCGTACTAACACTCGTCCAACTCCACCCCTCACACTCCACCGCTCTTCGTCTAACATACTCCAAAACCCCATACTTCACCGCCGCCAACGGGAAAATCTCCCTCGCTTCCGCAACGTCGATTCGCCCCGCCCATACCGACGGGATCAGTCTCTTAACGCCCGCCTCGATCGACGCATCGACCAGCGCGGAATGGTGCTGGAATTCCGCGGCGAAGTTTAGGGAGAGCACCACTGCGTCGTGCCCGCGGAACGCGGATACCATTTCGTCGGGCGGGTAGTCGTCGCTGACTCTGAGGACTTTTGTGGAGGGCGGGAAGAGGGCTTGGGAGGAGTGCCGCGAGATTACTGTTACGTCGAAGGTGGTTGGGTCGGATTGGAGGGCTTGGAGGATCGAGGGTCCGAGGTGGCCGGAGCCCTGGAGTGGAAGGGTTGGGTGTTAGAGGGTGAGCGCGACATTTGACGGAGGGTGGATGTTGTTGATGGGGTTCTTACGCCGACGAGAGCTACTTTTCGAAGACTGGAATTCATGTTTGTTTTCTGATGTTGCGTTGCAAAAGCGGGGAAGGTGGGAGTGCTCAATGAGGGAGAGAAAAGAAAAATATATTGAAAAAAGTTTGGGGCTGGAAGTGGAAAGTTATATAGAATTTAGGCGCACACTTCCTTGGCGTGTTGGTCCCGTAGGCAAAGCGATACAATGAAATGCTGTGCCGCCGCCGCCGCAGAGTCTTCGATTTGATGCATATTGGGGTTCTTGGGTTCTTGGGCCAGTAAGCGAAGAGAGGGGGCTGCATGAGATACGAGGCGGCACTATCATGTACGCGGCCATTGAATGGGAAACTGGTCTGCAGTAGAGATCGTGAATTGTTTTGAGTAAATATTTCAACAGTAGACACTAGATTTTGTTTTGCCATTTTTTTTTTACCTCTTTACAATACCCTCGCATCGTCATCAACAGTAGCAGGATATTAAAGGCTTTCCAAATAGTCCCGCAGGAAGGACTAGAGTGGAGCCAAAGAAGGAATACAGAAGGACGAGCTAATTCTTGGAAATCACCAGCCTCGTGCAAATTTCCCGTTTGCGCATTACCCAGAACCATCTTATATGACACATATTGCTGTTTCCAATGAAAAACAGAGGGGCATTTGGAGTTGATGGGCAACCCTAATGGTACCCAGAGATGTCGTTGAATACTCGCCGTAGTCCCCACAGACCGAACTGATTGTAGTAAATGTCTCTATATGGGAATGAAGAGAGTCGCAACTGAGTAAACAACCACTGCAGACTGAGGGTAAAACCACATGCTGGCATTACGCTACTTTACTAAAATATATGAGCGTTTTTGTATCAACGTGTGACCAAACCTTAATGGCAGAAATATGATTATGGAATAGATATAGATTGTTTTGCGTGAACGCAGACTGCAGGCCCTCAGGGAGTCATACATACAAGGCTTCAGGGTGAGAAGGTTGGACGTTTTGCAAGGATTGAAATGCATCTTTTGCAAGACATATCATGCAGTAGAAGTAAGAATTATCATGGATCTTTGACATAGACTTGATAAAGCGATCGGAATTCAGGTAGATAGCAAGATGGTCAGTGATGAGAGCCTATTTGGTTGGCATTTGCAAACATCTCGCTCGCTGCTACTTGACTTTTATGCAAATAGTTTGCTTTCACCTTCGCGTGGGTCAATACACAGGATTATGGGAGGTGAGAATGCGGTTTACAATCATGCTCGTATCTCCTCTCGAGACAGATGATAGTTCGTCGAGAAAATTTGCGCAATACGATAATAATAAAGCGAGTTTGGACAGTAGAGCCACAGACAAGAACCCAATACTAATTTTTAAGTTCGGGTAGGATGGTCAATCCTCCATATCGACGTCTGGCTACGAAATGTTCCAATCACTCTATATGTGAAATACAGTTGCGGCATTGGATGTAAGAAGGCAAAACTTGATCATCACATAGGCTTCACTCATTCAATCACAGGAGATGGCTCGCAGAGAAGTGTGAACTGGTGAATTGGCGATTCAAGCAAAATTCAAACCTCAAAGGGCAAGGAATCAACGCGGAAGCATCTTTTCACAACAAATGATTCACATCTCCGATGCAATCGGCATACTCAAGTATATAGCAACAAGAGCAGAACCCTCTAGTAGACCTAGGAAAGAACAGAGAAAGCATCTGCATAAGCATCTATACACCCACTGCCTAAAGATCGCATACGACTAGAAGAGCTGGACTCATTTACACGTCTTATATCGTCCTCAAATCAGAAAGACATTCTTGAACTCACAACCTACGCCCTTTGGTATCTCTGAATTACGTTGTATATCTATCGGATATCCTCGAATCGCGCGCACCCCTCAACACAAAATGTCGAGCCCACCCCGAGACCAACCAAACGTAACAACCCGCTCTCGCACCCGCAGCCAAAAATCAGGCTTCTGGAAGCCCGTCAGCTCAAGTAACTCACGTATCGGCGCCGTCCTGCTCGACGTATGGCGCTGGGCGCTAGTAACATCCGAATCCATGACTTCCCTGAGAGAGCACAGGGCTCGAAAAAATACTTTACATGACCGCCTTAGTGATGAAGGTATGCGGATTATCAGTGACTTGGAGCGACAGAACGGTAGGCCATGGGATCAGGCTACGAGATGGAATGCGGAGGGGAAGAGGCGGTTGGCTGGGTTTTTTGTAGCGTTAGCGAAGGATCTGAGGATGTCGGAGAGGGAGGTTAATGAGCAGGTGTATGGGGGAAGAATGCCGACCCAGGTTAGGAGTTTGTTTTCAAGGGGTCTTTAGTAAGGGAGAGTGTCTACGTGTGTCTTCTTTATTGTTTTTGATAGCGAGACGGTTCAGGATGTCTGGATTCTAGATTTGTACGACTGTAAGCAATTATAAGTATTTTAGGATACGAATGTACATCTATCGTGCAGACCACCTAATCTCAAGCTCGAAGCCGAAGTCAACGTAAAGTGCCTTCTTTAGACAGATGGTATAGTGCGAACTTAGATTGCTACAGCAAACATCTAATGTCTAGTACAAATGTAAACTGTTCTTCGGCAGCTTTTCTTCGCTACCCCCCTTTAGTTCGCAAGATCCTCCTCCCGAGATCCTCCATGGATGATGTATGATAGTCTTAGGAAAGACCGCATGGCCTCAGTCGCACCCCATCGCCGTATGAGGCGGGATCGTATCTGCTTTATAAGCATCAAATCCCTCTCCCTGCTGACGAAAGAAATCTCGTCAGCTTGGACGGAGTGCAGCAATGAATCTTGTGCCTTATCTTCCAATTTCTCCTGGTGAGTGTTGGCCATTAGTTACTGCAAGATGACGAGCAAATTATATCGTGAGAAAAGGCAAGCGTGTCACATACCTTCTCCCACTCCTCTTTAGTAAGAGTGAAGATATCGTTTCCATGTTTGGCCAATTTGTGATACTCATCCGAATAATGTGTCCAATGACCTCCTTCCCCATTATCAGGTTTTATGAGATACCATATCATGGGACATCTTCCTCTCGCATTCGATATACACAGTTCAAGCTCAAGATTGCTACCGGCATGCTTGAGGTCGTAAATGGGCTTCCGAATCGCCTCTAGCACGTTCAGCATAACATGCGGCTCCATGGCAGCATGCTGCACGTCGATGTATATGTCAACATTTAGCAGGTCTCGGTGCGTAATCATATTGAGTTGGTCGTAGATGGCGGATAGCTTCTTGAGATATTCAGGGCGGATATCGCGCAACTCGTGATTGATGGATATGTTGCGTATGAGCCTAAATTTGTGCACGTCAAATCCAAGAGGGCAGAAATCGCTGGTGGCGAAGTCGAGATAATTCCCATAAAACCGCAGCTCAAACTTCATCTCGGTGTAGTAACGCTCCTCCACTTCAAGAGCCAACTGTTTGCCCACATATTCAGGATCTAATCCCCAGTCAAATGGACTACCTATTCGGTGGGAGTTCACAATCAGATGATATATTCTCGAGATAGGAGGTTCTCAATCACTTACGCAAGTGGCGTCGAATTCGAGGTCGGTCGCAGTAGAATAGATCAGGTCGCCTAAATGATAGTTGCATAAGTCAGTCTCGTTCGATAAGGGCTGTTTTAGTGAGCATTTAGAGCGGCAATATGGTAAATGTGATATCGCGTTTAGATGGCATATCCTTGTGTCTCGGTTTACTAACTCACCTGGGCTCTTCATCGAAAAATGTGTAGTAATAAACTGTGGCAAGCGAGTAGGAATTTAGCGTAGCACCACTTCCTTAGTGGTAAATACTGACTTATTTCCCGAATCTCACGGGGTATCTTATACTTTTGGATCAAGCCGGTGGTAGCCAAACATTCAGCAGCTCCGCGTAATCCAGACACCTTGTCTTTACAACTAATATAGAAGATGGTATTAGCTATCGCACTTCCTGGAGGAGAAGGTCGTCTCTATACCGGTCGGGAGCCCGTGTAAATTCGCCTAGATGCTTCTCTTTCAGGTCTTGCAAAGCTCGAAGTTCCTTTCGCGGGACCAAATCAGCATCTGCAGCGTCATTGAATTGAGACCCTTCTTCTTGCGTGAGCCATTCGTCTGCAGCGGCCAAATAGCCCTGCACTGCTTCAGGTATGTCGAACACATCTTCCAAATTAGGGATTAGGTCTGGGCAAAAAAATGGTGCGCTTGTAGTGTAAGAATTCTGATTCATCAAAGAACCGGTTGCAATTCGTTTATGAAGCAGAGATTCCGCTTCTGCGCGTAAGCGTCGGCGTCGACCATACGTTTGCAGCTCATTGCATTTTGAGCATTTGGACGCGTGCTCCGGATCAACAGGCGTCTCGTTATGATGGTATGCCAGCGTCGCTCTAATGAGGCGTTGATTAAGGTCGATATATGCCATTACTCGTCGCACACAATTGGCAGAGGGTGCGACATCATCTGCGCCAGCACTGAGGCAGAGTTCACAACGAGCCATGTGGGTGTCAGGCGCGAATTCTTCAAGGGGTAAAGCAAGCCTGGAGAGGTAAGTTGAATTTTGAAATGTTGATTGAAAGGCATCAGGGGAGCACACACGGGTGTTATGATGAGTGCGAGGTTGCTGCCTTGTTCTGTGCGCCAATGTGGCGCAGTCAGCAGCCGAGAGAATTACTCTCTCACGGATGCCGATGGTAGTCGCGCGAGAATTATTCGCCTAGAATCGCAAGAATATGTCTCCAATATTTGTCTTTTGTCGCAGATGTGATGCATTCGGAGCAGGCAGCCTTGTGTCTTATTCATCGGACTCTACAGTAGCCTGTGAAATAGCCATTCATCGTCAGATTAACTCTGCCTTGCAGATCTCGGTACTAATTTTCGCATCGCACGAATATTGATTTCTAATTAGCATTTCTGTTGATGGGTTAAATTTGCCAATTGAGCGTTTGAATGCTCGAACACACGGGTGAGTGGTAGTGTCACGTGATTAGTGTCACTTTCCTGATTCCAGTTGTCCGTATATCACTCATATGACCTCGATTTATCAGAAGTACATAAGCCCTTCCGAAAAGTATTCGTAGATTCCTCGTGCTTCAGTCAATTGGCATTCAACGTTACATCGGAATCTGTTCGCCGCACCAACTCCTCGAACTCAATGTCGGTCACTAAAACATCACTACGCGGAGCTTGGCCGTCGCTACTCTTGGATCCTGCATTGGCGAGCTCCGTAGGTCCTGAATGTTCACTTCGTCGCAAAAATCTCACAATCGGTATCCATATAGAAGCTATCGGCGGATGTTTGAAGAAGCGTGGGAGGCCCGGCATACAAGCCACCAGAAACCCACAACATATCTCCACATTGACCCATGTCGACAACTTAATGGCAATTCGCATATTGTTCTTATTGCGAGCGAATAGTATTGTGTAGTACATGCGGATTATTGCCGCGACACAAGCCCTGAGAATCACAAAATCAGTTCTTCAATAAGTTCATCCAAGCTTGGGTCGTAGACTTACAGAAGCCCGACCAGGAAGACTGATGAAACTGCCCATCGTCTCCGAACGGGTATATGCATCCTCCAAATGATACTTTGAGAAACAATTACCAATAGAAGATCAGAAGCCGTATTGACAGCCGCGGACGCGATATGAACGGCATCGATATCCATGCAGTGCCCGTTTGTCACGGTGTAATCCCATGCCTTCGCCCGTGGACTGCATATAAAGATCTCGGCGAACGTGTTCGTACTATAAACTATAATATGAGCGCACAGCAGAATTTGGAAAATCCAGTATGCGGAAGTGCGGGCGCCGAGGGGGGTGAGAATGCGGGTGCATTGGATGATGATTGCACTTTTAATGGCGAGAATTATGAGCCCGTAAAGAATATAAAGAACATGCATGTACTAAAAAGTGTGATTATTGAAGAGTTTTGCGCAGTCTATAGAGCCACTTACATATCTGATTAAGCTGAAACGTTCGAGCGGGACGTACGATCGATGCGCAATCCCGCTGTTAATGTCCGACATGAGATATAATAGGGGCTGATAGCCTGCGACGTATAGTGCCTTCGGGAAAACGCGCATGAGCAAACAATGTTATTTTGTTGTGGACGTGTCGAGCATGCCTACCCAGCCGATCAAGATGCAGTCTAGGTGATAGGTCATCAGAACATGCTTTTTTTTCTTAGGTTCGCCGTAGGATCCTCCTACTTACAATCCTCGGACGCTACTTTCTTCACAATACCGAGCTTCGTGTACGTCTGAACTCCGACAACCAGCGTTACCAACAATGACATGCTGATTCCAACGCCCACAACCTCTGAACGAAGGGATAAAGTACCCGCATTGTTAGATTTGTCTGAATATACGTCGAAGCTCTGATTAGTGGCAATGACATGACTTGTTGTGATATTCATCCTTGGGGAGAAACGTGAATGAGAAATATATGGATGACGGGGCTGGAGTCGAATAGATATAATCTCGTAGTCCAGGGCTTACGGGTTTGTGAAGGGGGCCAAATGCAGTGCCCCGCCCTTGTGCGCATGTAATTACAGCCATGATTGGATGCGGGGATGCGATCTGTACTGCAGTCCTACTCGGGATCCGAAATTATATTGAGGTCGTATTGCGCTGGAGCTGCACCAAATTCATGAAGAGCAACTCGATCTATTGCATAACCTGTGCACCCATGGTGCGCAATGAGAGAAACCCGCCATGGCAATGGTGTCCAAGAAGACAAATTTTGGGATAGTACGCATAATTTCTGGTCTGGGCTTCGCATATCCGAAACGTTTTCGGGACTATCGCCTTTCCCTTAGATTGTACATATGCAGCTGGTAAGGGGTCAATGACTCTCTATAGTCTCGCTCAGCTCGGTCCCTCTTCTTTGCTTCTTCGAGAAGCTTTGCCCGTCGATACTCTTCCTGGACCGTACTATAAACTTCATGCGAAATCTTACACTTCAGCGAACTCTTCAGTCTTTCGTCTCTTCGATTAAAAGCTAAGCGCGTTAACTCTTCTTCGTATGGTATACGGACCACCGCCCAATTCGAGGACGTTCGGCGAATGTCTTGACAGCATGCTCCAACGCTATGGTCTAGAAGCATCCGCATTATATGTCGAACGTCGTCTTGAGATTCATCGAATAATCTTTTGGCGGCAATGTTCCAAGGGAGCTTTCTAGCGTTATTCGATATAGTCGGGTTGGCGCCGTTGCCCAATAACATCTGAAACAGCTGAGGCCTCTTCATGCCAAATTCACGGCCATCCATTGTAAGCATGAGTGCAGTATTGCCTTTGCTATCCCGAATATCAAGATTGGCATTGACTCTGATCAAACTTTGAATCACATCCATATCTCCAGCTTTGGCCGCATAATGAATCACGGCAAAGCCATTTCTATCAAGACTTTCGGCATCCTTTTTCAACATTCGTACAAGCATCTGGTTAAAAGCCGCTTTGTTGAACTTTCTAGAGCAGACGTAAAGAGGCGAATTTGGTACTTTTTGGTTGACGATGCCTGGCTTCGACAAATCTGACATCAGAATAAGTCCTGGACAACGAGTACTGAGCACATCTATCGCATGAGCATTGCCGCTGCGGACGGCGATATCGAGCGCCGATTTACCTTCGTTGTTTGGTAGCATTGGATTAGCACCGTTGTCGAGTAGCAAATCTAACACGTGGTGTGGGGACTTCTTTGCTGCTATATGAAGTGCATTGTTTCCTGCCTCATCTCGTGCGTTTATTGAGGCACCAAACGCTACCAGAGTCGTAGCCAGGCTGTAATCTTCTCTTCTAATTGCAACATGAAGGGGGTTTTCAACTCTGCTGTTGTTGAAGTCGATAGTTGCGTTCAGTTTGCACAAGGATTGGACGATAGTCCCGTATCCTTTGATTACCGCGTAATGAAGGGCAGAATGACCGGAGCGATCTCGCGCATCAATCTTAGCACCCAGAGATACCAGATGCTCTGCTACTGTAGCTGTCTCGCAGTAATGGAGAGGTGTGGCCCTTTGTGTGTCTTTTTCATGGAGGAGTGACGGCTTTTGATCTATGAGAAAAGTCAGGCCACCATGGTTATATCCCGCAGCTGCCACGTGCGCGGGTGTGCGACCTTGGCTATCACGTCGATCCAGTGCCATTATATCGTGAGTTTGGATTAACTTCATGAGATCGAGACTTTTAGGTCCATTGAAGCAAGATACAAGCTGTACAGCATGGTGTATAGCATAGTGAAACTGGGGATCGTGACCGAATTCATCCGTAGGACTTGGTGAGACTGAGCGAAGCTCTGCGAGTTTTCCATGACGTTTGAGTAACGCAGTAGTCACCTGCAGGTCGTTATTGTCTAAAGCTCTCATGAGTGGCGTAGTACCGTCTTTTGCGGCTCGCTCCAGGCATTTTGGCTCCCCTAGAAGCTCTATCGTCTGTGTTAGGTGCTTTTCCTGTTTTTTTCCATGCATCGCAACACGTTCAATGATAGGTGCATCGGGCAGTACCAGGGCGAGCGGTATCTCGAGATCCGAAATTGTTTTCCTGGAATCTAAATGCTCCAATAGCAACTGTAGAATTTCCGCGTGGTGATATTTGACTGCAACGTGCAGAGGCGTCCATCCAGCAAAACCTTCGGAGCCAAAAGCCGGCTGCAACGGGTTGGCGCCGAGGTCAAGTAGGGCAGCGACTGTGTCTGCGCTCCCCGTTGCGACTGCATGTGCGAGCGGTGATCCTTCTAGTTGCAGTGGCCATTGCGGATCAGGTATAACGATATTGGTCACGACTGTATTGACGGCAATTGTCATTTCAGCCCGTCCTCGAAATCGTTTTGCGAAAGTAGAGGCCCTGTCACCCAACATGAAAAGCCAGTGGAACGCATTTCGTCCACTCTCGTCTTGAGTTTCTGGGGAGCACCCACGATCTGATAGTAAGCCAGCGATCTCGGAATTTCGTGCACGGAGAGCCATAATCAAAGGGGGCTCTCTGTTTTGGTTGGAGAACGAAGGGTTCTTTTCGTGAATATCGATGATTGCGCCAATATCTCGCTCTTTGATTGCATTCTCCAAGCTCGAGACATCTGCATTCTCCGCACCGCCTGACGCAGTTATAAGAGGACCTCCTCCAAGCCAGAAAGCGCCGCTAGAAGATATGGCATCCAAGGAAAGCATATCACGCAGTGCGCTTGCATACAGTTCACCTGTATGTTCGCGGCCAGCTTGTGATAAGGGTTTGCGGAAGCGTTGCGCCAAACCGCTACCCAACCTCGAGGAGTCGGCCCAATATCGATCCGCTGCTTTCCAATCAGCGGGAAGACCAAAGCCAGTTGCGTGGCAGACCGCGATCTGCCATGCCGCTGATGCTTTCACATGATCCTCGTCAGTTGTGGTGAAGACCCTGATAAATTCTTGCGCGATATGCTCGCGATGAATCCACGCGATGTCTTTTCGAGTTTCAAACCGGAATACTTCAAAAGACCACTCAGAGTTACCCGTGTGAAGAGCCAATTGGGCAGAAAGATTCGCGGTGCCAGTTCTCCTGTCAGCAATGAATTAGCCAAATGATGAGTATGTAGAGCCTTGAGGACCTACTTCCATCTTGCCATGCAAGCCATATTATCGATTTTCTCCGCTCGTAGGTTGGGGTCAGCTTCCAGTGTTCTTTTGAAAAGGCGTCTAAAGACCCCTTGTATCACAGTGTCACGTGTGGATCGTATCGTTGTGCGCAGAGCAGATGAAAGGATTGCAGCAGGACTTGAGTCCAAGCTGTCAATGTGATCGGTGTAGACTGCACCATCAAGTACTATCTCCCACGCCAACAGACCAAAAGCCCATATATCACATTTCTTCAGTTCTTCCCGTTTTATGGGGTTGGCCTTTTGTTCGAGGACCTCAGGAGCGTGGTAGCTTGATCATGTGTCAGTAAACCATGCGACGAGGGAGGTTGCTAGCTCTTACCGTGGCGTGCCTTTGTATATCCCGTGAGATGTCTCGTCACCACTAGTACCCACGAGAATTGAGTGGCCAAAGTCGCAGATCTTGGCTATCGGCGAACTTTGTCTCTCATCGGAATAGAACACTAGAACATTCTCGAGTTTAACATCTCCATGGACAATTCCAGTGACATGAAGCGCATGAAGCCCGGCCCCTACATCCGCGATAAGCATCTCTTTGGTTTCCAGACGAACATCTCTTCTTCTCCTCAGATACTGTCGCAGAGTGCCTTCGGCGCTATACTCGACTAGAATATAGGGCAGAATGCCTCCGGCTTCGATATTCCAGCCGTACCCGATAAGATTCAATATGTTTGGATGACTGCTCAGAGGCGCATGATGCATAATCCGCATTTCGAGCAACAAGGAGTCAATCCGGTGACGAAATTCGTTTGAGACCGATCGTCGTTCATCGACCTTCAAATGTTTGACGGCCACAGTTTGGCCAGACACATCGCAACGCTCGACCCAGAACGTCTCACCTTCGCCCGCAGGGGTACCACGTCTGATGGCCGAAGATGGGACTAGGCGAATCTTGAGACTTTGCACAGTCCTTATGATGTCTTCCAGTCCTTGTGCTGTAGGAATCGCGGCATTGTAGAAGCTGAGATTGGATGTCCTCAAGCTATCAACACTATTCTGTGAAGACCAGAGCGAGGCTGAACAGCTCTGGGGCTTTGTATTAGAGACGCGTGACGATCACTGCGACTGGTACTAACCAGACTTACTGAACCCAATATACTCATGATGAATGACTGTCTAGTTTGCGCCGCGCCGGCTTTGAGTGATAGGCCATTCGTGGAAACCGAAGCTGAAAGAAGCGGGACGTGGAGGAAAGGCTATGAATATTCAACTGTCGCGCGTCAGCCCCGAGGGGCAGTTCCGGTGGGAAAACGAGGTGGCAGTGCCATGTTGGTCCACTGTGGTTTCTAGCGACCAGGGGGTGTTGCTCATTCTGATTGGATGTTCGGCGCTTGCAGCTTTCAGGTGGCTGTTAATACGAGTCGTCCAGTCTCGTCTGATTGAAGCTAACACCCTTCGGCCTTGTTCACCCTGCGCGTCGCGCTCCAACACTTCACTCTACATCTCCACGACCGTAGATACATTTCTTGTAGGAATGGCTGATGCCGCTGGCCTCGCTTTCGCCGTTTTCGATAAACTTTGGCTGGTGGGTTCGAAGACAGCCGAGGCAATCTCCGATTATAGAGAGTTCGACAAGGTGAGTCTCTATCTGAAGGCTAGCCTATCAGCCTTGTCGCTCACATAAAGTGTGCCGGATTCATTGATCGCAGTACTTCCATATAGACAAGCTCAAGCTGATCACGCTTATACTCAAAGGATAGCATCAAGCTTGCAAATGATCTCATAACTGAGATCAACCGGACAAAAACATTAGAGTGTCTACTCTTTGAACCATCCAAGGTAAAAATGTATCAAGAACTGCCATATAATCAGATCGAATAACCGATTCAACATGCACTAGGCGTATGATGGAAAATCTCTCTTCACCCAGTTCGACGAAAACGTGCAAATCCAAATCCACGTGCAACTGCGCAAACTCTTAAACATCATCAACGAGGGTGCCGAGCTACTAGAATGCCAAAAAATCGACCAACACTCGGCCTTACCACCCGAAAAAGACCGACTTCCAACCCGTTTCTCCAAAAGTCCCCTTTTGAGCAGCGATACGACCTTATCTAAGAAGCCTAGTCGCACTCTTCGCTTGCGATGGTCACTGTGGGACAAAAAACGGCTGGAGATGATCATCAGAAAGTTCGTCCAGGAGAACGAGAAGGTGAGTGGGCAAGTACAGCTTATGTGCCATGCCACCAGCGTCGGGGTCACATTGACCCACCTCGATCGGCTCAAAACGAACGAACACTCCAAAAAGCTGGGCTTCGATCTCCCTGCTCATCTACATATAGAAACAACAGGAATGAATGCGTCGCCCATTAGTCTCCAGCTAAACGACGAAACATTATTCCGCAAATTAGCCACGCATTCTAAAGAAACCAGCGGATTCACCATCATCGCCCACGATAACAGAGACCTGCTTGCAGAATTTCGGAGCTACGCCCCTGACAAGATCGAAGCTACAGCATTAGAAACGCGAACGAAGGATCGGATCGAGCTACTAGCCCGTCTTCTATGTCAAAAGAAGGATACCGTGTTCCACACTTTATCATGTTTAGGTTGGGTCCTAGACGCCCAAAACAATCGCGTTGCATTCATTTTCAGCATCCCGGAAAACGCACAGCCAAAACCTACCAGCCTCCTCGACGCATACAGATTAAAAGACTACCGCCCCACACTCGGTGAGCGCTTCAGACTCGCACACAGTCTCTCCCGAGCCTTGAGCGAACTGCAACTTGTGCAATGGGTAAGCACTCCTCTCTCCCCCCCCCCCAGCTACATTGTAAACCCTGCGACAAGGACGACGTATGTCGTGTTACCCGCCAACACTCTCCCGCAGGTCCACAAAAGCTTCCGCAGCGAAAACATCCTCCTTTTCCCCAACCCAGAACCCCGCCTCGAGGTTTCGCAGCCCTGGGTAATGGGCTTCGAGTTCAGCCGTCCGGAATTCGACTTCTCGTCCGGAAGAGCAGACGACGACGTCGCGCGCAACGTATACCGGCATCCGGAACGGCAAAAGCAGCCCCAAAAGCCCTTTACCAAAATCCACGACATCTACAGTTTAGGCGTGGTGCTACTCGAGATCGGTAAGTAATCTTTGTGGAATCATGCGGAACAATGCAGGGTTGGTTGTAGATGGAGAAACTGACGAGAGTGAAAGGACTGTGGCGGCCGGTTCTCACGCTGACGACAGATGGGTTCAAGCGTGTCAAAGACGCGTGGACGGTGCAGGAGTATCTTGTTAAGAAAGCCGAACGCTCCTTGCCGCGGGAAGTTGGGGAGCATTATAAGCAGTGTGTGTCTCGCTGTTTGGCTGGGCGGTTCGATGTTTTGGGGGGTGAGAAGGAGGATTTGGGGTTGCAGCAGGCGTTTCGGGAGCAGGTTGTGGATGTTTTGGAGGGTGCTGCGCAGAGTATTGGATGATGTAGAGTTGCATGTTGCCGTTTACTGGTGATGAATAGATTGACGATTGACGATCTCGTTTTCAAGGGTACTTCGTAGTTGCGAAGAGTGTAAGCGTTGTCAGGAGGAACTCGCAAAATAAATGGCAAAAACCCACATCATTCTAGAGAGCTCCTTTTCTATAAAAAAAAGGTAAGGAAAAGAGAAGAAGAAAGAACCGGACATATCATGTTTATTATACATTCTAACAATATTACAAGATAATCTAGTCTATCAGACGCACAAGTAATGCGGATTTCCAAGTTTCTTTCATCAAGTATACCCATTTATCCTCGCCATCCCTACTCCATCTCCCATTCTTCACCACCATCTCACACCAACTCCCCCCCAAATCAAACCCTCCCCTTCCACTCCACCCCCGCATCATACCCCGGCAACTCGACCGCCTTCCCCTCCCCACCCATCTCCACGGGCCCCAGAACCCTCGAATCCCCCATCTCCCCCACAAACCCCGTACTCCCCGGCGCCTCGCACGCATAAACCACAGGCGCATGTTTCGCGTACACCGTCTCCTGCTCCAACCTCCTCGATCTCGCAGCAGCGGAAGCCGCCTTCTTCTTCCAAACAAGCGCTTTGCGGATGAAGAAGAGCGCGGAGAGCAGAACAAGCACACCAAGCGCTATACTAACGCCTATCGCGGCTTTCAGAGCAGACGACAGTCCAACGGGTTCGGATGAAGAAGGCGGAAGCGGCGACGAGGACGTGCGGTCGTCGGAGCCAGACGACGCCGTCGCAGTCGCAGAAGAAGACACCGCAGTATCCGTAGTCGACGAAGAAGAAGAAGAAGAAGAAGAAGAAGAAGAAGAAGAAGAAGAAGAAGAAGAAGGCGTACCCTTTGGCGCCGCCGCCTCAGACGAAGAAACAACAGCCTTCCCAACAAACTTCTTCGGCAAAGTAACAACCCCGACATTCGACTCGCAGCAATCCGTCTTATCCCCACAACACCACCGCTCGCTCTCGTTGGTCCCATCGCACGGCGTCATGATGCTGCCGCCCCCGCTATTCCGCGTCTCCCGACACACATCCAAACACTCGCTGCTAGTCACATCCGCGTTGGTGCAGAAATTCAGCCAGTACCGCGTGCTGTTGCGCCCGTCGCTCGTCTGGAAGTCGTTCTGGCAGAGCCCGTTGTCGAGGCACACATCGTTGGGCCAGCCGCTGGTGCGCGTGAGCGCGCAGCAGATTGTCGGGACGTTTGGGTTGGATGATGCGCAGGGGATGTTGTTGAAGCGCTGGGGAACGAGGGTGCCGTTTGCGAAGTAGCAGGATTGCGATTGTGCGTGGGTTGGGGTGGAGAGGAGGAGGAGGGGGGTGATGATGAAGAGTCTTTTTGTCTTCATTGTGTGGAATCGGGGTGGGGGGGGGTTTTTTTTTTTTTCGTTCTCGTTTGGAGGGTTGCTTTCGCTGTATGGGGCGTTTGTTCGTTCGGTTTCTTGCGTGATCTGGAAGGGAGGAATTTCGTCTTCAAAAAAGCCGGATGGGTATGTATCTCTAACAATTCGATAAACCAAACGTTGGGAAACCGTCCCCTTGTAATCAATTAATCAATCAATCAATCAATCCTCCGAGGGCGAAAAAAAAAAGTGCTAAATCCACAAAAATTCTGCAGGGCGTTGAACCTTAAAATCGAAGAGCTGCTGTGGTCTCAGGTATAGGTTACGCAAGTACACTACAGTACAGTACAAAGAAAAGAAAAAAGGAAAGAGAAAAACCAAGCAAGTCCAATTCCCAAACAAACGGGGCGTACCAAAAGCTTATATAAAGTCAGACCACCTCCATAATCCCCCCTTCGCAGAAAACTATAACCCATCCCATGTTATCCCCTTTGTACCCGCAGGGCGTAGTGTCGGGCGTAACCAACACCCAACTAAGCTCAGAGCAGATGCTTGAGTGGGCACGGAGAGACAAAGCAGGATTCGCGCTGAAATTACACAGTAGCGAGTTTTGGCTCCCATCGGGATCCTACAATACGCTTTGATCACCCCCCCCCCCCCCCCCCCCCCCCCCGTCTAGGTACTGCGAGTCTAGCGCTATTCTTTTTATATATATAGCGCATTAAAGTTGGGTTTTGCTTATAGTTTGTCCATTTGATCCTTTGTTCGCTAAAGAATGTTCAGCTGAGGAAGGATTGGGATGTAAGATTCTAGATGTCCGCTTTTCGTTCCTTCATTGTACAAGGCAGAGCTCTTACAGTAAAGCGAAAAAACTTTTGAAATAAGAGTTCTGTGCACAGCAACAACACCCTACCTATCGCGTAGATGATCCTACACATCCTTAATCATTCACCACCTCATTCGAAACAGTTAAAAGTCGGATCAACAAATTGTGGAAATGGGGCCGTGATTTTCGTGGGCAAGTACCTAGGTATATAGGTATTTACCATTTGGTGATTAGCTGGGAGGGGGTTCTTTTGATTCTACAACTTTGAATCTCACCACATGTGCAGTATAAGAGAGAGAGAGAGAAAGAGAGAGAGAGAGAGAGAGGAAGTGCCTATATTCCATACAGACAAACCTCTCCATTCAACAGACAGCCCTTACCATTCCCCTCCCCCTCCTTTGAGCGCAAAAAAAAAAAAAAAAAATTAGAGGGAAAGTCTTCATAACCCCCCCCCCCCCCCCCCAAAAACATCCTTGGCAAAGAAATTTGTAATATTCCCAGCAAGCGAAGCAAAGCGAAGCGAAGCGAGTAAAGCGCAGACAGATTAGCATAAGACGGAGGAAGAGAGCGAGAGCGGGGCGGAGCCGCGGGGCGTAAATCCTACACAAGTAAAACACAGCCCTATAACAATATGAAATGGAATAAAAGGAGGAATGATGGAAAATGTCCGTCTTACATAATAACCGCGACCATGCAAAAGGCACATATATGCAAGCCCTCGGAATAGCTTGGCAATGACGATGACGATGATGATGATATGATCAATAGTTCTAGATACAAAAAGAAAAAAAAAGACGACAACAACAGCTACGCACTTCTTCCTTCGCTTCCCTCTTGAACTAATTCGTATATATAGTCCAATAAACCGAAGATAGCAGAAAAGACCACGTGCTCCTGTAAACTGCCCCCGCTGGTGCCAACCCTTCCTCCTTGGTATATATTCCTGGTCAATTAAAATCAGCAATGACCCCCTCCCCCGTCCATTTTACGACTGCTAGAGTCAGTGTTCCTCAAAAAACTCCTTTTGGTAAATGCGGCTCTTCCTATTACATTGCGGTTACGGGATGCTTGCACACCATGTGCGCTTCATACTCGGGCATTGGTGTAGATCCAATCCCGTGATTGAGTTGGCTGCATCCCAAATGACTGCATCCCCAATCGCATGTTTACTCGCAGTATATACTATTAACTTCCGCCCCGCTCGTCGTAGAGGTTAACGCCTAGGCAACGGACCACTCGAGCTTGCCGTTAGCGCACTCGTGACGGGAGTCTGCGCTCCAACGGGAGTTGCGGGTGCAGGCGTCGGCGCCCGACTTGGCACATTGCTTCTGTTGTGGGCCATGTGTGCCTTGACCAGATGGCCTGCGCACAAAGCAGCATTGAGAGAAAGCTCACCCGCAAGCACACCTGCGGCGATGATGCGGGCGAGTTGGCGTGCGTTGTCACCGGGATTGGTGGGGTGGGCTCCGCGTACGCCAAGCAGATCAAGCATAGCGGATTGAGGCTCGAGAATGGTTCCGCCGCCGATCGTACCGACTTCTATCGACGGCATAGAAACAGAGATTTGGAGGTTACCGTTGACGCTACAACAGTTAGCACTAAAACATCAACTCAATCGGAGAAATACTTACTTGTTCATGATGGTGATGCAATTGGCGGATTCCACAACTTGTGCGGGATCCTGGCCGACGGCAAGGTAGATGGCAGCGACGATGTTTGCGGCATGAGCGTTGAACCCACCCAAGGCACCGGCCATGGCGGAACCAATGTAGTTCTTTGAGATGTTCATTTGTACCAAGTCCTCAACCTCGCACTTGAGCACCGATTTGACAATATGACCGGGAATGACGGCTTCTGCGACAACACCCTTGCCACGGCCATCGATCCAGTTGATGGCTGCAGCCTTCTTGTCGGTGCAGTAGTTACCGGAGACAGTGATGACGTTCATATCATCAAAGCCGCAATCGGTCGCCATGACAGTGAGGGCGTGCTCGACTCCCTTGGAAATCATGTTCATGCCCATAGCGTCACCCGTAGTCGTCTTGAATCGCACGTAAAGGTTGGTGCCTGCAATGGCAGTCTTCATGGATTGCAGACGAGCGAAGCGAGATGTCGAGTTGAAAGCGGCCTTCATGGTCTTTTGGCCTTCTTCAGAATCGAGCCAAATTTTAGCAGCACCAGCGCGAGCCAAACTGTCAAAGCCAATGCAAGGTCCACGGGTCATACCGTCGGCAGTGACAACTGTTGTTGCACCACCGCCAGCGTTGATAGCTTTGGAACCGCGCGAAGTGGAAGCGACCAAGACACCTTCTGTGGTAGCCATAGGAAGAAAGTAGTTTTGGCCGTCGATCATGATGGGTCCAGCAACACCGAGAGGCAGAGGTAGGTAACCGATGACGTTCTCACAGCAAGCTCCGTGGACAATGTCATAATTGTAGTCTTTGTATGGCAGAAGGGATCGTTCAAGCAGAGTGGATGTCTCGCGAGTGGCGTGTGTCCGGGAGACAAGGCCTCGTCGGATCTTGACAGCACGAGTTTTGTCGCCAAGAGTCTTCTCCAACGCGTAACCAGGAATCTTTCCCTTCACAGCAAGCTCGATGAGTTCTTCGTCGGTCAGACTTGGTGCTTTCTTGTCCTTCAGCACCTGTTCGAGGTACTCATATGGCCGGTTTGGTTGTTTCTGCTCCTCCTCGGTAGGAGCCAAGGCGATTTCGGGCTGGATCACTTGAGGGGCAACCGGTGGGATAGGAGCAGGGGGCTGCACAGTCCCTCGGACTGCTTGGTTTTCTGGTCCTGGTGTCATGGGTGGGGATGGCATGTGGAGCATTTTTGAGATTCCGGGAGCTGGAGTTGGAGGGGCACCATCTTGTATTTCGGCAGCAGTGGGCGGGGCCAATGGCTTGTGCGGCTCCTTGATAGTCCATCGCGCAGCGTTGAAGAGGTAGCCGTTGAGAACGACGCTCAAGACGAGAGCGACGACGATCCACTTGCTGAGAATGGGGTCTTCCAAGCTTTTCAGCACACCCTCGACGAAGTGGGTGCTGATATTGCCGCCTGGAGATGGGAGCTGGGAGTCGTTGAGGACAGGGTCTGCGTAATGAATGGAAGGGTACTCCAACTCATATTTGATGGGCATCAAAACAGTCACCAGGGTCGATTGCGCGGCTTCTTTGGCGGATTCAAACACCACGTCCAAGCCACTCCCGGCTACCTTGAAGGGGTCGAGGGGTGGGGTGGTGGTGACGCCCGAGATGCCAGACACTCTGAAGGTAACGTTGAGGATGTTGACGAGAACAAAACCAACCACCATGAGGAACTTGAACTTGGGAACGGTGATCTGCTTGCCCAGAATCGTCGCGGTGGACGAGCGAGGCTGAACATCACTTGCGCTTGGCCAGTCGTTCCTGCGAGCAACGGTTTCCGCGACCTTGCCGTCGACGCCATCGTCCTCGAGCGCCCTGCGAAGCGCGACGTGGCGCTTAAGCCTGTTAATTTCCAGCTTGATGGTAAGGATGGAAGTGAAGAAGGTGAGCAACATGATGGAGTCAAAGAAAAGGATCCAAGCGCCTAAGAAGCAAAACTGTCGCAGACCACCCTGGATACCAGACATGGCACCCGCCACGAGAATGAGAATCTCCAAGAAGTAGTCACGAACGATCTCAAAGCCCGTCTTCCTGATGGCTTTCTGGACGGCGGACTGGATGGTCAAAGGCTCGCCGCGGTGCTCTTCCGATGCTCGGCGCGCATCGAGGGCAGCGGAAAGAACAGCCTTGGTTAGAACAATGGGCTTCTCAAAGCCGATGATGACGACCAAAAATGGAAGACCTTCGGAAAGCAGGACCATGTTGATTGGCACATCGAAGTAGATGGTGACGGCAAGCGCGAACAGGAAGGCAAAAGCGGACTGGAGCAAAACACCGGTGGCAAGCCAGAAATTGGAACCCAGACGGCGCATGGCGAGGAACAGGGACACAAAAGTCAAATGCATGGCGAGGTAACCCATGGCCATGATGATGATGTCGCCCGTGTCTGCGTTCTAGCCTTGTGTGAGCTGAAAATAGAAGTGATTGGTGGGGAGCCGACGTACCTTGAGCAAGTCCACAAACGACGTCCAAGTTTCATGGAACCAGCTATTGATACCCACGGGAGGGTGTGCGCTTTTGGCAGCCTTCATGATCCACTTCTTCTCTTCTTGTGCGCCCTCTCCCTTCAACTTGTGGGGTTCCGAAGCCTCAATGGGAGCGGCCATCTCCTGCATGGCGGCGAGGAAATCGGCCGCCTCGGCATAAGGAACAGAATAAACCAACGAAGTATCTGGCGAGATGGTGGAGAAGGAGCTCGAGGAGCTGGGTAGCAGGTGGGCGGAAACGTTGCTAGGGAGGGTTTGCTGGATAGGGGCCGAGTTGATGGCGGTGGATTCGGGGAAGACCAAGGTAACGAGGGCAAGCTGCTGCAGGTCCTGGATCAGTCAGTTGGGGCGCGGAGAGAACAAGGTAGTGGTGGTGGTGCCGAATAAGCGTACCTTGTTTTGGGATGCAGCGTATACGGGTGCATCTTGAACCTCCCATTTCCAGGCGGTTTCCTCTCCCACACGCAGACTCTTGCTGCCCGCCAACAACGTCTCAAATTCGACACGGCCCGGAGCTGAATCCTGGCGATCCAGCAAACCCTTGTCCAGAACACCGAGGTACGAGTAGCTGGCCAGGAAAGCAATGGTGACGATTGTGTGTATCGGGTGGGTGCATGCCTTTTTCGCAATGGAGAGCAGGACCGGGGAGAAGTGACGGTCGAACCAGCCAGGGCGAGTCCGCTCGGGAGCACCGGCGGGCTGCAGACGGTTGGTGATGAAGCCAAACATGGTGGTTGTGTAGGCTGAAGTTGATTCAGCAGCGGGATTTCAAGGACGGATGCGCGGGGTGTGAGGAAGGTGTTTGAAGCGTGGGGGTCGGACGACGGATGGGTTGCGATTGCCTGGAGAGGGAGGAGAGGGAGCAAACACAGCACCAGCACAGCACAGTGCAGCACTACGTCACGTCACTCGTGTAGAGAGCGAACGAGCGAGCGAGAGGAGGTCAATTGGAAGAGACTCGCGACGCTCTTTGGCTGGGGAGAGGAGAGCAAAGCAAAGCAATGCAACGAAAGAAAGAGTTTACGGTGCGGCGGCGACCCTGGAGGCGGTCGGGGGCAGGCGCAATGGGGAAAGGTCGAAAAGGGTTAGCCGGGTTGGGAGAAAGTAAAAAGGCAAGTCCCGACCAACAGACAGCCGCCAGCCGGCCAGCACGTAAAACTTGACGCGGCCCTGGCTGACACAGTTGGCAGCTACTCTTGACTGTTCTACCTAGTAGACAATACAATGAATGGATAGGCAAATGGATAAACGAACGAGAAATGCGCGTGCCTCGTGCTTCTCTCCTTCCGTGGTGTGGTACAGTCACTGTGTTTCCCCTACTGTTTTTCGCGAAGCATTTTTTTTTAGGCCTGGGATTGCAAAAAGAAGGGGCGACGCAGCACAAGGCAGTAGCCGACAGGGGCAGACATGGCACTGGTGCCGCTAAGCGTGCAATCAGATTCAAGGCATGATGAATCGCTGTTCCACAACACACCGCTGCTTTGTTGCTGTTCTTCCTCTGCTTCCTCCGCATGCTCACGATTCTTGCATTATTCCGACGCCTACTATTGTTCAGTCCTCCGCCTTTACCCCTCTCTGTCTATGGAAACGACATCATGGTCGAGAAGGAGCTTTCTGGCATGGAAATGAACAAAGGACGCGGCAAGTCATGGGAAGATGGAAGCTAGCCGTAAACAGGATAGCGCGGGACTCGTGCATCGGTCTGTGCACCGACATGTTGACACTGAAGATCCCACCCCACATTCATCCAGGCTGATCACGTGCCCATGCTGCTGCCACTCCATGCTGTGCTGGCTCCGAGTCCAAAAGAATCCGTGTGTCCAGACTTTCGACCAACAATCACTTCATTTCAATTCTTGAATTCTTCTTCGCACCGGCAACGATTTGGCAGGGGGAAAACAGGACAAACTAGGCGGCAGCAGCCGTCTCTGCAGGTTTTGGACCTTGCGCTTGCAGCCTCTCGTATCAGCCATCCATCCACTGAACGGCTTTCACTCAATCTACCCCACGTTTGCGCCACAACATCATCGCCAGCGTGCAGCCCCCATCAACTTGGCCGACAGACGATGCAGATGATGTGTTTCCCCCGAGCGAACAACTCTTTCTTGCCTTCATCAATGACTTGTTCAGCCTTGTGCTAGTGTATCCGAGTGACCCAAAACAATAATAAAAGTTATACATCTATAAACACCAAACCCAGTCTATACGCTGGCCCTTCTATAGTCCATAGCATCGACTGGATGATTAGAACTTGGCAGTCATGGGAACATCCCCGTTCGTAATCTCCCGCACAAACTCGTCGTCGGCATCGAACAGCATAACGTGGAAATGCTCCACGGCATGCACGCTCTTCAGGCTCTTCCAGTTCTTGAACCACGCAAACTGGTCCTGCCTGAGCTTCGACCCAAACGTCCGCTGCACAAACTCGTCGATTTGCCGGTGCGATTCCGCCGTCGACAAGCCCGTCTCCGGGTCGTCTTCCAGCTCGAATTTGGTCCAGATGACGAGGTGTTTGATGCGAGCGTCGATGCCGTAGGGCCAGTCGTTGTAGAGGATGGTCAAGTCTTCTGCGCAGACAGGAATCAAGCAACATCTGTTAGCCAGCGAGTCCTTTTTGAAGCGACAGCAGGAAATACGAAGGCGGCCCGCGCGTGCGTTTCATGTAGAATATCGCACGGGTGGGGGTGCATGGATGCGTGCGTCTGTGGCTGAAGGGATGCGGTGCATACGTACCGCCACATTCAAACGGCTCGCCCACGGGCGTCATGGTCGTCCACTTGAGCCGCTCATTCACAATGAAATTCATAATGCTGCCATACTCTTTCACAAGGCGATGGGTGAATTGGCGATACCTCCGCAGCTCCGACGGTTTGCGGTGGAACTGGTCGACGCGGTTGATGCCTGTGTCAGCGCTCAGCGGTCAGGCACGTCCTCTCGGGCAATCTTATTCGGCGAATCAACGAATGCGAGGATTGCTGATCACCGCCGCTTTGCATCCATCCATCTCTCCTCACCATGTACACAGAATGTTGGGTCAGGTACGTACGGATCAAATCTCGCACCTCGTCCCAGGTCAAGGTCCGATAGTCGGAATCCGGCGTCCCAATGATGCGTCGGTCTTTGTCGCCGCAGTCGCTGAGGAACTCTGGGCACTCGTCTGTCCATTGGTCGCGCGGGACGTTGACCATCCAAAAGGGGAGCGGTTCTTGGTGAGGCATTGATTGATGGCGTCTGCTGTAAGCGATGGGTGCGTGGTGGTGCGTCGCCAATCTGATGAATTCGCTACTGCTGCTGTACCGATGCAGGGGGCGGGAGAATTGGACACGAACGAGATCGACTGCTTGCTTGCTTGATTCTTTGATTGATTTAAACGATTACACGGCGGATGTATACAATATGCTGGGGATGGGCCGTGAGGGGGGGATGTAGCAAGCTGATAACAGCACTTGAGAGCGGTAAGTACATGGTGACTTGGACCGACAGCTCGTGCGTCGTTGGCTGGTTAGCCCCGAGGAAAGCGTGCGGCTGCTGACATGATTGGACATGCTTATCGAACAAGTTTGTATCTTCTGTTACCTACCTATCTACATATGTACATATATTTCTCCGTCAATTCCCGTGCCGTGGAAACATGCTCAAGTAAATGTTTGCGGATGATCATGTTTGAGACAGAAGACGGGATACGAAAGCGGCTTCTACAGACTTCACTGTTGTTTGCGACTCGGCCAGTTGAACGAGATGCACACCGAGTTCAATCTTGATTCCGCACGTTGCTCCACCTCACTAATTGGCTAGCTGATACGTAGGTAGGCGGTGACCCAGATGTGACAACACCACGTTTCTCTCTCATCTCATCTCATCTCGGCCCCCCCTCCACATGTCCCCCGTTGTAATCGCCCACGCACGCACGCACGCATGGTCAAGTGTTCCATCCAGAAGAACCAAGCATGCCAAATTGTTCCCCCATGGCCACTCTATCCCATCACGCACGTTGGCCTATTTGGCAGGGCTGGACCCCGCACCTATCCGTTTGTGCAGTACTCGGCGCTGATCCGACGGGCGATTCTTCCATCTGAATCAACATGGGATATGATTTCAGGCTCCCCTGTCGAGCCTCCTCTGGCAATTTCGGCGGGGATCGCAGCCCACTATTTCCCGTCCTCTGCCAGTGTCGCTCCAGGATGATCCATGGCCGCAGCCGTTGCCATTCGCACAGCATGCGAGCGCGCAGCATGGCAGGGGCCTCTTCCCCATCTCAAGAGGCGTGGGCGAGTTCGTTACCAACACCACTTTGCCTGCAACCCTGTCTGTCCTGAATAGCCCGGCGGTTTGGCAGCAGCAGAATACGATGACAACCAAGTGTGTGAAATCGTCTCATCAGACGGTCCGCTAACATGGGCTTTCCTTCCCGCTCCATCCTGCCTGGTCCTCGAGGTTCGTGATTCGCCTTGGTTCCTTCTTACAAGTATTCCCCGTGTGCCTCTCGCTCCTCACTTTGCCTCTTCTTCCCACATCATCCTGTTGCGCTGGCCCGTCAGAATCTTTTTTTTTTTGGGTGGATATACCGCCGGTCCACTCTCTCCCTCTCTCTTCTAACATTCACCCGTCTGTCTGTATCGCTTCTTCACGTCAAGACCGCCGCGCGTCTTGATGTGCCGCGTAATCCATTCCGTTTCCCCATCAATCTCAGGTCGCCCAGCCGGTGAAGCGTTTGTGTGTGTGCTGTTGTAGTAGTGTGCAATCTCAGCTCCCCCTCTACACAGCCTGGCACTACCACAGTTCCTAATATTGACTCGTTGGTTCTGAAACGGGACGGCGGCGTGCTTTGTTCTTCTCCTCCACCACACGGCCAATTGGAACCCGCGACGATTTCCCGGATTTCGGTTTTATTGCTTCTGGATTACCTGCATCCATTCAGAAACACCCCAATTTGGCACGTCCCGACACATGACGCACGACGGCAAGACGTGGTTTGGATTGCGCCTCTGTACCACCTCACTTTCTGCCAGACCTGGTTGTCCATGCTTTTGCTCGCCTTGACGGTGCCACCACTACCACCACTACTGCCTCTATCCCGGACACGCAGCCTAGACGCCTGTACGCCCACCAACCCCCACCTGCCTCAAACCACAACGCAAACAAACAAACGCCTGCGCCCACACAACGCTCCTCATACAACCACAATTGTTTCTTGCCCGACCACGACAACTCGCCCTCTTCAATCGGTGCTCCGATCGGCCTTTTTTCTATAATACCCTGCTGCTGCTTCCGGTTTCCTTTATCCATATTGCCGCCTGCATCTCTCCGCCTACCTTCCTCGACCGCCGTCTAATATACCTCCGAACTCGACCCGTCTACCTCCCCTTCACTACAGACTCGTCTGTCTAGCCAGGTAATGGCCACGGTCCGCGATCCCAACTTCTGGAAACGCTTCAGCGCGGCTGTCCACCAGGACGATCAACTCAAAGAGGAGGCCAATCGATCAGGCTTGAAGCAAACGTATGTGACTACCATCTCCCTTGCCGACGACGACATCACCATGTCTTCCCTGTCCCCGGCCCCAACCCCGACATCACAGTCTCACATCTTGTCGGGCTCTGCTCCCAAGTTTGCGCTGCATCCGCAGGTGCGCTACTCGGGCGAGCTGCGTCCCGTGACCGCCGGAGCTGCACCACCATCCTTCTCATCGCACTCGCAATCGTCCTCGTTATCCCGCCCGCGCTCGCAATCCCGTCCTTATTCTTCCCATCATACACAGTCAAACTCCTTTGCCCGTCCCCAATCCACTTCATACCCCCAGCCCCCACTCCCCTCAAAACCCCAATCCCACACACAAGTCCGCCCTTCAACACCACCCCAACAGCCCTCTTCTCCGCAAAACTTGTCTCCCCAAGCATCCTCAACAACAACAACCCCAACGCGTCTCACCAAAGCCCCCCGCGCACAAACCAAACAAGGCCGTCCGCGCGCCCGCTCCAACCCGCTCTTTACACGACAAACCAACGGATCGCAACTCACCCTGGGACTATCTGGTCGTCCGCAATCGCGTTTCAAATTCTGGACCTCCGTCTCGGCTGACCCATCCAACAGGAACTCGTGGCTCGAGGGCCAGAAGCGGAAAGCTCGCCAGCGAACGTACATGTGCTGGTCCTTCTGGCTTGTCCTTGCAATCGTCGTCGCGGGTGTTGTGGCTGCTATCGTGGTGCTCAAGCATAAGCACATAATATGAGACTCGAGACAGGACCTCGGAATCAGAATGGAGGATAATGGATGAAACAATCGGTGGTAATTTTGGGCTCTTTTGGGGAAAGATGTGGTGGTGGTGAGGCGGCGTTGACCAAGCTCCTCTCGCCCACCTCTACTTTTTTGCTTCTTCTGGTTTTGCACATCTCTGGCGGGCGTTCGGCCATGCGTTGATTGACGACGATCAAACGAAACGTACGGACGGAAGCACAGACGCATACGGATACCCACCCGCCCCTTTTCTTTTTTCTCTCCCTTTTTTTTGTTTTGCATGTTTGTTTGGGTGGAAACCGCTTCTCTCCCCGCTATTGCCGAAACATGGCGCCGTTGTTTGCCTTCGCCCTTGCGGGTAAGCATATAGCGAGACTGTCAGCGGGCTGGTCGATATCAGCATCCCTGCATTTCTTCTTTTCTTCTTCATTTTTTTTTTGTTTAACCTCGACAAGCGCTCCTAGTTCAGAGCCGAAACCACCTTCCCACCCTTCTTTCTTTCTTCTGTCACCACATTTCCCCCTCTCCCTACAATTGGAGGCGGTTCACTTCTTCTTCATGTACCTCTTTTACATTCTCCTTCCCCTTGGGTTGTTACCTCGCTTCAACTTTTTCCCACTTTATACTCTTCCTTTTCTTTCTCATTCTGCATCCATGATACCACCAAACCAAACCTGCACAACCTGCTTTGAAACTAGCGAGCGAGCCAGCCAGCGTAACTTTTCTGCTAAAAAAAACAAATCACATGAGACAAACAATCCAAATCCCAAATCAAATCAAACAATCCCACAATTCCAAGTGCTGAATCTAAACATTGTTGTTGCGTTCCCTAGTCTCTCTTTCCTTTCCTGATGCAACGGGGCTCATCGGCACTTAGATCAAAGTCTGCATTCGGCGCTTTTCGTTCCCGCGGACAACAACAACAACAACAACAACAACAACAACAACAACAACAACAACAACAACAACAACAACAACAACAACAACATCGATCCCCCCTCCATCCCTATCCCCCGCCTCCAAAAAAAAGAACCCGAGTTCCAACAGCGCCGAAACGCGATCTCATAGGACAAGCCCTCAAAGACAGCTGTCCAATACCATCACACATACCCCAACTCCAACACCCCATCATCCCTTCACCGTCGCCAGCTCTCCGAATCCTCCTCTCATCAAGTATTCCTCAAGTATGCAGACCCCCAACCTACGCGTCATTCAACCTCATCATTCCACCTCCACAGACATGCCGACTAAGGACCGCTCTACCAAATCAAATCTACATTCAGAAAGAATGCCGGAAATAGCTGTAGTTTTTTTGGTTTGAGTTGGAGGTAGCTAACAAGGCTTCGAGGAGCAGCGCCGACAAAGTCAAGCTTTTTTTGTTTTGAAGAGGGAGGTATGATAGCTGGGCGACTATATAGGATGTTAGGTGTGTTTTGATAGATAGAAGGATAGGGAGTTTTGTTGTAGGTCTAGTGTTGTTTAAGGGATCTGTGCTTGGACTAAGGAGTATCTTCACATAAGATGAATGGATAGCCCAAGTTTGAAAAAAACCACACAGCAAACTTTAATTGTTGGTAAGAGGGGGTACAGTTATATACTTAACACGAGTAAAAACACATAATATCTGCACTTGGGAGAAGAAAATAAAATATCTAGGATATAGCTAACCCCGCATCCCTTGAAGAACATGGAAAAGTCAATGTTATTTCCCGTTACATTACATAACAAGCTGCAGCACACACACAAACACACACCCATATATATCTCTCTATATATATTTGTACCGTACCCCAAGAACCATGTAACTAGCTCAGACCTCAAAGATTAGAATTAACATCACAAGCAGTCTCAGCACGGAAATTATTCAAACAATGCTGGAAACTATCCACATAGGAGCTATGCCCCGCGGGGCCTTCGGCAAACGACAGGTCCGCGTAGTACGTCCTGTCGTTGGTGTCCCAGAAACACTGCGGGTTGGCGATTGGTGACCATGAGTAACCTTTTTTTTTTTTTGGTGGTTAGTAAACCCCCTGAAAAAATTAAAATTGGATTGGGTTTGGGGAGAGAGATGGGGGAAGGGGTTTCGGTGAGCTTGTCGATAGTTGAAGTCACACATAGATGGAAGGCGATGATTTGGAAATGAACGCTTTTCCAGTGTTTTTGTTGTTGTTTGATGGGGGAAGAAGGGACTCGGGTGGTGAAAAAGAACTTACACCGATGATACAGAACATCGCAGAATCTCTCAGAGTACTCGTTGCTGCCCCCTGGATCCTGTCCGATTTGCACCCGGTAACGGCGTAGACCGGCTTCGTTCCAGTTTGTTTTCCACCATGCGTAAAGTGTGCAGGGAGCTCGAGGCTCGAGGGTTACTTCTGCAGCTGCTGTTTTGTTGTTTGTTGACGTTAGCGAATATGACCCCTGTGTTGTCTATTGTTGCGAAGTGAGACAGTGAATGGCTGGAAATCATACCATTATCGAGTTCCACGGCTGCTGCGTTGGAGAAGGCGAAGAGAGCTTGAGGGATGAGAGTGAAGAGGGTGAGCTTCATGGTTTGGAAGGTGGAGGATTGTCGATGTTGGGTTGGTTGCCCGGAACAGAGTAAGTCGGTGGGTGAAGGAAAAACAGTTGATTCAGAGAAAGAGGGGGAGGTTATATAAAGATTTTTGGAGATGGGTTGATTGAAACGAACTAACTGCCCAGGTTAAAGAACTTGGGAAGATTACGAGTATCGTGAGGTGCTGGACTTGTTTGGTTAGTGTTGACGAACCGCACAGTCCAAAAGAATATAAATAAAAATTAGTAAGATTACGAGCATCATGCGATGCTGGAATTGCTTAGTTGGTGTTGACGAACCGCACAGTTCAGAAAAGAATCATGAAGATTACAAAGATTGTGCGATGCTGCAAATGTTTAGTTAGCGTTGACGAAACGCACAGTTCAAAAACCCAGGAAGATTACGAGCATCATACGATGCTGGAAGTGTTTGGTTAGTGTTGACACACCGCAAAGTCTAAGAATGTAACAAAGTTAAAAGGACTTATGCGATTTTGGAAAATGGTTACTTTTTGTAGTTAGCGTTCACGAACCGCCTAGTCTAAAGATCCAGAAATACTCAAGGAAATGTGCAACATTAGAGAATACGAAGTAATTAGTTAGTGTTCACCAACCGCCTAGTCTAAGGTTGTAGGAGAATTAAAAGGATGTTGCGATGTTGGAAGTATGTTGTTGATCAGTATAGCCCTTAAAGGGGAAAAGCAGGATTTTGTCTAATGGCCCGTTGGTAGTGTTGTTCGGATTTCGCGTGTATGGGCACTGCAACAACAACAACCCTAGCTAAAATAAAAAGGCTTGTCTCAGCCCTACTGGAAGCATCAAACTCGTAACGGATCTAACTCGGATCTGTACCAGATTGTCCACCCTGAACATTCCGAATGTTGGGCAGTCCAGTATAGTAGAGGGCTATCGTTATTTCAGGAGCTAGTTCTCTGCTATCTTTTCGTTTTCGGAAAAGGCTCATAGGTGACAGCAGAAATCCTACGTCCTGGAATTCCAATGTACTCCCTCATGCCTCTGAGGCTTCAACATTCGATTCAGGTTCCCTGTCTTAGCTGCGCTATTAAAAGAAATGGACCCTTTCCTGAACAAGGACAGTGGTCACGAGAAGAATACAGGCGAAGAAGTCTAGCTAGAGTTTGCCGAGAGGAACTGGCGCTGCAGATGCTACTGGAATCTGTCAGTGCTTTCAGCTGGTATGTTGGGTCTTACCTCTACGATCCAGATCTGTTGCTATCGGACTTGATGCCCAATCCTAGAGATGAAGGCTAGTAAACGTGTGATATTGTAGTGGAGGCGGTGGTAACCCTGCGTAGTAAATTCTAGAAAAATCATTTTGCAGGACGGGACTCCTCAACAGTCAATGCCGTAGCATTTGCAAGATATGGTTAGATAATATACCTAGTCTCAAAGATGTCGCTCCCACCGAATATCCTTCCTGGATACCGGCATGCTAGATCATTCTACATCGCCCAAATTAACTATCAGCTAGTGTATACAGTAGCGGTATATATGATTTATGCCATTTGTCAAAGTATATATAGTTGTAGCATTCCACTCTTTTCTATTCCTCACCCACCATAGCTCGCCACAGAACTTTGCACACTTTGCCCATCATGCAGCTCAATTTCTCCGCCGCTCTCGTCCAGGCCCTCCTCGCCTTCCCGTTGCTCTCCAATGCAGCAACCATTCCTGCCGAAGGAGATGGTATGTCCATAGTGCCCTTCTCATTGATCGTTTACTAATCTTTTACAGCGTCTGTAGCGCAGCTCGAGGCTCGCGCTGACTGCACTCTATACGCCCACTGGCTCACCAACTGGAACGAATACGGCCTGCGCCGATACAGGGTTAAGATCGGGCAAGATCCCGGTAACAGCAACGAATACACTGATCAGTTTCACAACATCTTCATGGGTAAGGGGCTATCCTGACACAATGTGCCTGACTGTGTCTAACATATATGCTAGGGTATGGATGGGGTGAGGCCAATAACCCTCAATGTTTCTGGAACCCTCCTGACAACTCTCGTGTCTGCGATGTCAGCTTCGCTGAGGGAATAGTCGGACATAACGCTTATAAAACCTCGTTCCAAGAGCCTCTGAACTTATTCCGCGCTCGGACTGGCTGCGACGTCAACTCCGCCCTCTAAGATCGAGAGCGATTGTTAGATTCTGGGTTGTAATAGATATGAGTCTGTTCTATTCTTCAAAAAAAAACTTGCTTTTGGGTTACTATTCTTCTTCACGTTTCCTTGCTATCAATAGCTTGTTTGTTTGTGGTATCAAGTCGCGCAAAAACGATCAAACATTCATTGCCGCCATATAAAAATATGCAACGAGCGGTAGATGCTAAGGACGGTCCATTGGAATGAAAAAGCTAACCAGCGAGGTAACATAATTCGTAGGGTAAGCCACACCGAACAATTGGCGCCGGGTGACACATCGCGTAATTCCGGGGCTTCACGAGACAGCGTCGCACGAAGTATGATTGAAAAGACGGATACTAGACAATGACTGTCTGTTGTTACTACGCCGACTACTGTTGCCCAACATAGATACCAACTACATGCCCCGTCCGCCGCGACGCCAAAGATTCATTTACGTATATAAAAGGAGGCTGCGGCCCCCATCGTCGTGCGGGCACACAAAGGGCATCAATTCTGAGTTCTGACGCCGTCGGAAAGGCTTGTCGCCCGGTATAGCAGCACACATGACCACACTGTCTGGCGCCTGCCTCCCCCGTCACAAGTCTTTTCGAACAGCGGATTGTCACTTGACAGGAGCGTATACAGACGGTGAACTGGGTGAGGCAGACAGTCGGGTACCTGCCGCTGGGCTTTCATTCCGTTCGTATGGCTTGTCGGATGAGACACCGCGTGGTTTGATGTGAGGGGCGCAAGTGCTCTGGGCGAATGACGGCTCTCTGGGCATGGAATGATTCAATCGTGAAACTATGAGGGTGATGAGAAGGGGGAAATTAGGGTAAGAAAAATTAAAGTTATGTGCAGTTGCAGGTATTTGTTGGTTTGTTATTAGGAAAGCAATGGTATAGAGGTGTGTGTGTAAACACACACACACACGCATATATATATATACATAGAAGCGAAAACCATATGCGCAAGCAGAGACAAGATGGAGTGGTTTGATTATAGAGGCCTCAAGCGTTCGTTTCAATTGTTGTTCGGTATGGCATGTAAGTGTGTAAGCTCGCAGACCGTCAAAAAAAATTGCATGTGGGACACAAAGGATGCCATATCATTCTCATTCTTTCTTTCATGTGAAGAAGGGGAAGAAACTATTTGGGGGTGATTGGTAATGTACAGGAATGGAAACGCCAATGGAGATGCGAGATCCAAGAAATGAAGACCCCTAGAACTCGCTTTTTTTCCCTCTCCCTTTCATTTTCTCCGACTGCGATTGGTGAAAAGCCGCATAGCTGCGTTCTACTTTGTTTGAGAAACGCACAGGGAGTATAGGGGATTGCAATGGCCTTGGCAGGACTGACCGCGTGGGGCTCTGATGATGTCCCCCGAGAATTCCTTGCTTTCCCATTGCTAGGGACAAATATACTGACAAGCCGAGATGTCATATTTGCCCACTTTGCCACTTTGTTCAGATCCGCCGCACACTTTCTCCTACTATCCTCCTCATTATCCCCAGAAAGACATCAACCTCGATCAGTCCAGCGTTATAACCCCAGAGAAGCCCGAACAACGTGTTCCGCTACCAGTGTGCGCGCTCAGACGCGTCTCGCGGGTGGTGTTGGGCTACGGCTCATGCTGCGCTCGTCCCTGCCCCGCTCTTTGAGCCACTTGCGCGTGGACATATCCAGCTCGCGCTCGAGCTCTGGCTGCGGCTCCTTGCGGTGTATGAAGTTGCAGAACCCTCCACGAACACAGCCCTCGCCCGAGTTAAGGCGGCAGCAGGCTTCGCGGAAATCGGTGACGGGGGAGAGCTCGCAGTAGATAGGGCGGCCGGCGTACCAGCGCGAGTTGAGCGCGTCGCAGGCCTTTTGCGCGTCTTCTTCGTACTTGAAGCGCACGTAGACATTGCCGATGAGGTCTTTGCGGATTGCGAACTGTGTTAGCTACTGGGGGGCTTTTCTATGGTGCGGAGGGGTATGTAGTGTAAAGGGAGTGGCAGAGGGAGTGGCAAATGGAAGGGATATAACTCACGGTCATTGTTGTTGTCGCAGACCACGACTTCCTCCACCAAGCCGTACTGGCACAGCTCGCACCAGATGTCCTCGTAGAAAGCGTCAAAATGCATCTGCATCTGCTGTGGGTTCATCTTGTTCTTGGGGTCGTAGGCCGGGTTCTGGTAGAGATTGGGCAGAAGGATGGTCTGCGAGTACGATGGCTTGACATGCTTGCGCGAGCACCTATCTCCGTGGCGGCAGGCGCCGATCTTGTAGTAGAAACTGCAGTTGACCTTGTCCTGCTCGGTACCGAAGATGGAGGCGAGGTAGTTGGCCATCGTGGAGAGTGGCTGGTCTTGGGTAGCCGGGCGCGCGCAGGTTTGTAGATGTGTGAGGTTTGGAACCTATTGATGTCGCGCTGAATGTGGGGTACAAGATGGTGTCGTGGTTGTCGTCGGTTTGAGGTGCTGGTAACCGCGCGACGTTGGAAATCTTGCGGCGCGCTAGGTACGGTTGTGATAGAAAGCTGAGGTAGGGATGCTTTGTGATTATGTAAGCGAGCGCCAAGAATCTTCTCGAATTCCATCTCTCGCTGATGCAAGCACACCGTCTCATCTAATACCCTATCATCAACTTTTTTGCGTCACCTTCACGTCTTAATACTATCTCCGTACGTGAGTTCGGGGGGAAATCATCCTAGCGAAAGAACAACCATAATAGTATATCACCTACGAAACACTTCTAAATCTGAGCACACTCATGTTAGCAGAGCTCAATGCTCTTCCCATCAATTGATACTATCGATCTCACTCCGATAAAGTGCACTCGAAGTCTGGACGCGATACGATCAAACTCATGGGCTATACATTCTTCTCTGGCACTCTACTACTGGCGTCTATCGGATCTGCATTTCATCTATCAGGATAGACCATCGACTACAATAACATCTTCTCCACACTAATCTCGCATTGTTCAACGAGCATATTGATCGTACGCGCCACATAGTCCTTGTACAGCTGGCGCCATGGACCAGTGTTTGGGCGCAACCAGCCGTGCCTTCAGCACCAAGAGCGCCTTTGAATGGACATACGAGCGCAATCGCATACGCCAACAAATCTAAATTTCAGACGTTGTGAGGGGTTGACCTAGATCAGAGCGGATTCACCTGACTATATGGCAAACACTCTGAGGATAGGTCATCCTTTGGCAATTTCCTGGAAGTTACAGTTTTCATCAAACTGTTGGTTTGATAGGTCTGCAGACGTCCAAAAACAACGCTGACGAATGCATGGCATGGGCTTCTGCAATCAACCTAACATAACATGAATGACGCGTAGCATTGAGGCTATCCTGATGATGGCGCCTTCATGGGCAACGAGGCGCGAGCGACCGAGCGAGACGAGGTTGGCCAACGATTCCCAGAATCAAGAGCTGCCCAGGTAGATATAGTGGGTCGGCGGCTGGTTAACACTTCTTTGTGTGTCGTTTCCTATTTCGAGGAACTTTAGATGACTCGACTCATTGTCCAATGAAACGAGATTGCCACCAGGGGATGATACACTGACAGCAGCGCTTGCGCAAGGACTGCTATCCACATTTTCGTTTCGAGCTCCGACTGTCACTGATTTCACCAAAATACCATGACTCCGAATCGTGTGACGAACACTGGACTATCGAAGGTGGATCCTTCGATATTGCTTTCCGTGGCACTTTGACTGAGGAGGAAATCCGGTGTCCAGCGCGAACCGATTGTTACACGCAACTGTTTCATCGTCAAATAGTGCCAGGCAAGATGAAAGACAGTCGACACACGAAGGGACTCCCTTCATCTTATTGCGAAAGTCATGTCACGTTGCGACAGGATCCTTGTCCTGTCAGAAGAAAAGTCGAAACACGAACGGGCCTGAAGTGGTATGTGGAGCGCGGAGGATGGGCAAGATCGCCATTCCCCACCGTTTACACGGGCGAGGCAGCAAACACGAGGTTTGGTAAGCACAGTTTGTGCGGTCGCATGAACAAATTTCCTTGGATCAGATTCGGACACAGGATGAGCGTCAAGTTGTGGAGTTGATTCTGCGCATTGGCTTTGGAGGCGCGTAGGCCTATCACGTCGTCTCGGTTGAGAGGCGTGAGCAAGGCAGGCCCAGCCGCGCCCAACGAATGCTTGTCCACGCTCGGACATGAAACATCAAAAGAATAGGCGGGGCTGGCCTCTCCGCTCTCCTCCACCGCTGTCGGCTGTCCTCTCCCATTCATTCACCAAGCGCTTCACCGGCGCACAACCGCCAGTCGTCGCGCAGTGCAACATTGTTTCCAAACAACAACTATTCTCTTCTGGCGCGTCGTATCGCCGTCGTGGACTATTCTTTTCGCCAACTTGCTGCTGTGCACTTTGCCTGGCTATGCGACTCCGACGAGTTCCCGCGTGTGTCGCGACGGACTGCCCATGTCATGGTCGCAATTAAAATTCAGGGTCGAAGTATTGTTCCCAGTAGTGTCGCAAGAACCATCAGAACCTGGTCGGTATGGCCCGATTGGTGCACACGTTGGAGCCTCAATGCTGCCCCAGGCTAGCTACCGATTCTACGTGCATGGCAGCACGGCACGGTATGCAGATCTCTTTCGCACGTAGACCACCACCAACACCATCCATGGCCATCTTGATACAGAACACACATGGACGCGTGTGGATGCGCCTGCCTGGGCTATCGCCTCGTTGCCATGTTCCTTTGTCGCCAGAATAACCCGATCGCATCTCTCTCCAGCTCTGCTATGGATTCTCGGATTCTGGGCGCATCGCGTTCGGTCTCCTCGGACCAAGTATGGCAGTGGGTACAGTATCTATAAATTGGGCGGCTATAGGTTCCTATCCACCGACCTGTACAATATGAAACTCAGATCGAACGTGGACTACCTTGCTCGAGAAGCTTATTTTTTGCGCGCGTGGTGGCGCCGCTACAATAGTTTCGACCTCCCTAGTCTTAGGCCGATGATTGGCTGCCGTTTAACCTTTTCCTTCCCTTTGTGGACATACCATCCGCCTACGCTGCTTCTGTCTCACCACATTCAACCGCCTGATAAAGCCTCTGATGCCTGTGTCACTGCCGAATTCCTGCTTCACGCCGACTCTTGCGCCTCCGCCGACGTCTATCTCTCTCTTCCCGCCGCCTCCTCCTCTACCGATTGCCTGTGCGTCGCTCATTCAGTTGCAGGCAACAGACGTCACATTGTGAACAATACGATGAGCTTATTGACCAATCCATTGTGAAGAGCCGGATTCCTTCACTTTTTTCTATTGTCTCTACATTGTTTCCACCCAGTGCCTGGCGCCAGTAACTCACTTGAACCCTCACCTAATCTTTTTCTCTTCCACGACTCTACACACCTTTACAACAATCAACCTCAACTCATCCTCAACAATTTCACACTCTACTCTAGAAGCCTTGATCTTGCTGGTCAAAATTCTGAGCTACCTTTTTCAATACAATCCATCTCAACTAGAGCGCAAAGAAGATGAAGTTCTCAACCATACCCACAGCGCTCGTGGCGCTCATCACCCTAACACCCTCCGTCTTTGCGCATACCTGGATCGACCAACTGCGCAACATCAACGACAAAGGCCAGTACGTTGGCGATGCTGGATATCCCCGCGGTAAATACGTACAAGGCGAGAAAGGCTATAACATGGACTCAGATGTCGCCGCTTCAGGATCGCTATGGCTACTTCCCACCATCAAGGAGAAGGGGCAGCCTTGGATCAGTGAGGAGACTTTGCTTTGCCACCCTTACCAACGAGAACAGAAGCAAACTTCCAACTATCCCCGCCTCCAAACCAGTCCGGGTACATTTATAGCCATGCGCTATCTGGAGAACGGCCATGTCACACTGGTGGGTCAAAATCCTAACGATCAAAAGCCCACGAACAATGGCACGATCTTCGTGTATGGTACAACCGAGCCTGTGAAGGAAGAGAAGCTCGTAAATGTGCTTCAGTGGACCCAAGATGGCAAGGGCGGTAACAAGGGCGGTGTTCTTCTGGCTGCTCAAGACTACGACGACGGCCGCTGCCACCAACACAACGATAATCCTAAATCGCACCTACGTGAAGAAGAACATCCTAACTATGCCCCTGGCCAAGAAAAGACTGGACCTAGCATTCTCGAGCTTCCATGCGAAAGCAACGTCATGATACCCAAAGACGCCCCTACGGGGAAACCCTACACTCTCTACTGGGTATGGCAATGGAACACGGAACCAGGTACACCCGGTCTGCCGCAAGGCAAGGACGAGTACTACACGAGCTGCATGGATGTCGATGTTGCCGATAAGTTCGACGATACAGCCAAGCTCGAGCATCTCATGTTCCAGCAAGACGGCATGGCTTCTGCGGTACCCGACTTCGCCTCGCGAAAGGCCATGTACACCGACCCTATCAAAGCTGAGCGCGGTCCTTATTTCAGCAAGAAAGGCATCCAGTTCGGCGATGGCGGTGCCGCTGCACCCACCAACAAGCCTTCCGGCAGCAAATCCACTCGCAGGCCTGGTTCCCTGCCGACGACTTTGGCAACTGTGTCTTCCCCAGCTGGCAGCAGACCTTCTGCTCCTCCGGGCAACAACAACGGAGGCAACAACGGTGGCAACAACGGAGCGATCGATATTCCCACAATGACAAAACGTCCCGGTCGTCCGCTACCCAGCAAAGCACCCGCCGCTGCCGCGCCTCCTAACAACAACGGCGGCAACCAGGACAACAGCGTCGTCACTGTCACGAACGTGGTCAAGGTGACCGTCACTGCCCCCGTCGTCACGGCGACTGTGACTGCACAGGCTGGTGCGCGCGTCCCTCGAGGCGCCAGGTTCAAGGGTACGTCTCCTTGAATTCTCAATGACTAATATGATTATTTTCCCCACAAATACTGATTTGACTCTCAGTGGCTGGCCATTGAAGAGCCTTTCTCTTTACACATCATCGACCAAACAACATCTTGCATTTTCGTAATCATCTCTTTGACCCCATGCATGCATCCTCACCTCCTTCACACCTTTCAATGATCATGTTGTATTACACATTTCATACACAAAAATGGTGCGGCAATTTTCCCTATGCATTACCTCCTGGCGGTCTCCTTTCTTCACACTTGGGGTTCCCTCTTCTCTGTCGTCACGAATACCCATGACATATCAATAACGACACAACGGGAAAATTTCTGGGGCAAGGCATCTTTCTTCTTTGCATCTTTCTTCTTTGCATCTTTCTCCTTTCGGCTATGGGCTTCCAGGGCTTTTCTTTCGGATCAAACCTCATACATATACCCTGCATAGCTGGCGTTTTTCAGTACTGTTTTCTTTTTTGCATTTCTGACAGCATGTTTTATGCTTCAGTGTTGGGGGTGTAGTTGTAGGATGAGCGTGGATGGGGTGGAATAGGGTAGCTCATTCGATGCGGCATAGGCTTGCTGCATACATATTGCATGCTTGGTGTTAAGGATGGTCCGACAAAGCCGTGCAGGCAGGTCAATGGATCCTTGAGAAATAAAACAATGAAAAAACTTCATACAGCAGCTTTGCCATGTGATCTGTCCCCATAGTTATGTATGATTTAAAGTGGCTTGGTTGTCAGCGCGCTAGTCGGAACAGCACAGGTTTTGCGCTTAGAGCAATTGGCGATTTGGAATGTAATGGATGTCTTCAAAAAATTAGCTATAAGGTGGAGAGAATCAAGTACTTGTAGTGTGCGTGATGTGGACATTTGCGATGGTGCATGTATATGTCATCATTATGATCATCGAACAAATCAAACAGTAGCGAATAACGAGTTTTTTCTGACGTTTCGAGCACTCAAAATCCATCGAAAGCTTTCAAATGTTACCAAACACGCTATTGGCAGAGCCGTGCTGTGCACGGGTCTTGTGGATAACGTATTGATCATGATCAGAGTGATGACAATCGGGTGCTTTGCTATTGGAGACATTTCTCAAAATCAATCTTTCGGAACGAAATCGAAGAAAAGGCCTATATATTGTACTTTCAGTGATAGAAAGGCGCCTTGCGCCGTTTTTTTTTTCGAGTTCAGTTAGTTCTTCTGCCATCCGCTTTGAGTTACTTCAAGAAGGTGCTAATTTCCTTGACATTTGCATAGAGATACTGAGTTCCCCTGCAGATCAAATTCTAAGATGTCGTCTACAATCGAAGGATGGAGTTCACCCTCTCATCTCTGGTCCGAAGAATCACGTTCTTCCTCGCCGTTCAACTCTGCAGAGTCGCGATCTTGCTCTCCCTTTAACTATAAAGAATCGCGGTCTTCCTCTCCCTCCTGCTACGAAGAGACACAATCTTCCTCATCCTTCTATTCCGAAGAATTGCAACCTTTACCTTTTTTCTATCCCGAAGAATCCGAAGAAGACGCCTTTAAGTTCCTCTCGCTACCAAGCGAGCTTCGCAATGCCGTTTACAAATACTACGTGAAAGTTCCAGGTGGCTATGTCTACGACTTCGAAAGACATAAGCTTGTAAGTGCGGAGGACGGAGAAACCCTTTCTTTCGGACTGGAGTCGACATGCCGTGCAATCTCGAAAGAGATGTGCGGGTTCGGTCTTGTTCTAGAACACAATAAGATTACCTTCGCCACGGTTTACTCCAGCGAACTCCGTCTGCGCGCAGGTCTGTTCGAGACGGCGATGAGAAAACTGAGGGCATTGCAGAAGGAGATCTCTGAGTGCTGCTCCTCCCTGTTCGACGAAGAAATGGCACTCGAAGTCGCTGAATCGCATCCTGAAATCATGGGCTACCCGGAGATTCTTGCAGAGCTTCCAGACGACAATGATAAATGGGGTACATACATCTCCCGCTTGAGGTATTCTTGGTCGCATGTACCATCCCGCACGCGCGAAGTCAATTTCGATATTTTGCGAGTGTTATCGAAACACCCTGACTTTGAAAAGACATGGAGGAAGTTTCTGCGCGACAATTCGCTAGCGCTGCGACCTGGTATCATTACGAATAGGCATATTACAACGAAATGGGAGACCTGGAATATACCAACTCGAGCGGAGCTCCGTTGGATGGCGCGTTTTGTTGGTGAGAATCCTGCTGGAGATGCCCAAGAAAATGTGCCCCAGCTGTTCAATGGGAAGTTGGTTAGGTATACCACGCAGGACTGGAACCCGGAACAGCCTTTCAAGTGGCGGTTTTCAGCAGCTTCAGCCGCCATCCACTTCCTTTACGAACTTGACCCCGGACAACGGTCTCACCTTCGCGAGGTGGTATTGCTGGAAGACCATCTCTCCGTGGCCTACCCAGCAGGCCACGCGCGCGGACTGATCCCATTCTGCCAGGAAAACCCAAAGCTACGCATAGACCGCCGCGTCAACCTATGGCGAGCCATCTTCATGGACGTCCGCCAATTGCTCTCGCAGATAGAAGAGCAAGATCCCACCAGAATCCCCATGTCGCGCATCGCGGAATTCGGGATAGGAAAATGGATAGTGGAAGCCCAGGAACTTCCTGACTTAGGGATGCCACCCGATTCTTTCACACTCACGCTCGACGCCGACCTCGCAACAGACGATAAGTGCAAAGAAAACGCCACCCAGGTGTTTCGAGCTGCACAGCACCTAGCTGCATGGCACCGCGCCTACAACCGAGCGTTACATCGGAATCTGTTCCAGGCTACTCCTTACCACCACCTCTTCTTCAACTCAGACTTCGTCCGCGCGGTCGAGGCCATGACTCTGGGAACCTCAACGCTACTCCGCTGTAACTTCCCAACAGAGGGGCTCTGGGACGATGAAGCTCTGCTCCAGCAATACTGCGGATTGGATTCTGTCGGCTGGTATCGGCTTCGAAAGCGCATGAACGGCGGTGTGAGTCGTCTCGATACCGTGCCTTCACTGATAAACATGCATATGGAAAATGTGGTTCATGATGAGTGTTGCTGGGATAGACTGGAACAAATGACTCGCGTTGTGCAAATTCTGGCTCCGGGTCGGTACGGGCTGGTGGTTGTTTGTTGGGGTCGTAAAATGCCAGAGGGTTTTCTGCCTGGGGGGATGCGTACGTCTTGGTTGAGCCGTAACTGATGGGTGCTTATCCTCGACGCCTACATATGGGGATTTTGAGCTTGTAGTCAGCACCTTGACGATCAGGGCAATAACAACAAAAAGGATCTTCCCTGTTTTCAAAGTGTGTAGTACGTCTATATAGCGTTCTTGTTCAAAATTTGGTTTGGTAGAGTTGAATTGAAGTAATATTCATTATCACCTCGAGGAGACGCTAAACTGGTGCCGGATCTGTGGATCGCGCTGCACACTGATCATCAAATGACTGCGTGCATCCCCAATGACTTGAGTACAGGATCCATACCTTGAAACGAATACAGCTGTTTTTTCTATTAATTTTACATGACATCTTCTCGACCCATGACATCATTGATGTACTCCACGCACGTGCATGTGGGATTTCAAGAGAGTGATCACGTGATGTCAGCTTCCAGCGAGCTGCGCCGCAAAAGGCAGAAGGACACACTAAACATCTACTCAACAGATTACTCAAAGTTAGCAATCTGGACTCATTTGATTATCTAGAGAGTTGTCTCTTCACTTCCGATTCGCCATGCCTAGCATCCTGAGTATACCGACAGAGATCATAATCGCCATTGCGGGCTCGTGTGACACAGCTGGGGTCAACAATTTCTCGCAAACATGTCGCGTATTACACTTCACCTTGGTATATGGATATTCCTCCCCAAGTTTATGAGAGTGCGCACTAACGTAAGGTAGACTCCGCAGCTCTACAAGGTCATAGATCTGAGCTCCCACAACGCAGAAATCGAATGCGTACCTTGGAGGTTTACTGAATCACCACCAGGTTACATTTTTCCTCCAGATTTTATGAGAAGAAGATACAATGAGTTTGATAGAGAAATTTTCCAGCGCCAGGGTCTGCTTGAGAGGACGTTTGCCGCCAACCATTCTTACGGTGAACATGTACGAACATTGCGCTGGACGATATTGGACACGAATGAGATGGATTGGGGCCAAAACCTAGAATCTAATTCGGAGATTGAGGATGCTGAGGCGAAAGGGGCGAAGGTACCGGTGTATACGCCTGAAGATGGTCGGTCTAGCAACGTCGGTCTCCAACTTCCATTCAAACCACTGATATAATGCTGCAGAGCCTATATGGATCGTATTCAGAAGTCTCACCAATGTAACAGATGTTGATATTCACTGGCATAGGTTAGTTAGCTCCCACCGCTGCAAAAACATATGTATGGATCTGACTTGAGAAGACGATGGAGAGAAGTAACGCTTCCTGGTCCACTCTTCCCTGCTATGAGATCCCTACGACTAGGAGGCTGCATGACTCAAAAATTCGTTTCTTGCATCTTGGAGCCACAAACTACATCCGGATCCCAGCAGTCGCTTCTAGAGCGCGTGGAGTTAAACAACCTGTTCGAATGGGGAAAGATCAACCTTCCCCTACCTCATGAGGACCATCTTGGCGACATTATTCACTTTGCAAGAGACAACGCCGATGATACGACTGAATATTATAGGAATCATCTTATGATAGGCGTCCTGGATCCTTTGATCGGTCGCCTCGGTAATCTAAGGAGCCTAGGTATCGGAACCTTCGGCGACGATGATCGACCACGCGTTCCAATACTGCAGTCTTATATTCATGATGGCTTGGTATATGCTTCATTGGCAAGAGTTTTGAACTCCATAAGACCGACGTTGGAAGAGTTCAAATTCGACCAAGGAATAAATCGAATAGAAGAATCATACATTGAGAGTGATGGATGGATCACGAGGGAGTCATATCAACGACGTGATCATCGCCAGATGGATTGCTTGTTTCTCGATCACATTCTTCCCGTTTTATTGGAAGCTCCATGGCCGCGCATGAAGTCTTTGCACATCCGTGGTGTCGGCTGTGCACCTTCTATTAAATACCCAGGCATGGAAAAGATATCATTTGCAGTTCCAACGTCAGAGAAACAACGTTTGAAGACATTGTTGGGGGGTGAGCAGGATATGGTGGATTTTGTGTTTGAGGAGGAGCAGGGAAAAGATTGGGAGTGTCTGGATATGATGGGAACGGGCATTCCTGGCTTCAGATAGGATAGATGTATTAATAATGATGATAATGGCGGCTAGGCTAAGAAGAGAAAGGCTTGTGGCTGTATAATTTGTGCCTTGCGGAAGCTCGGAATGCGATGATCCAATTCTGAAGCGTTTAGCAAAAGGTCAGCCCCCCTTATCACACTTATACGCAGAGCTAGATCATTTGGTAGTCAACGATCAGAGGCGCCCCACTTCTTCCTCTCTGGCGCAGCCAGATTCATGCTAAGCTCACCGATTGATTTTTTTGAGTCAGTTAATCGACGCGATGGAAGCACCCTTGTCGATCTTTTTGCCGAAGAACCTCCGTCTCGCTATTCAAGTAGGTACATGAATTGGTTTTGTCCCACTTCGTGGCATGGCCAGATTAGGGGAACGAATCAGTCACTAAATTTTGACACTGTGTCCAGCTACTATCCAAGATCGCGGATCATGACGGACAAATAGGGGCTTCCGACTTAGGGAAGGTGGGAAAGTTTATATCAACCGTATATCCCGCTTGGGGATTCAACGTGGTTAGAAGTGTTTAGGTAGTCGATGTGGATGGCAGCCATGGTGGGTGGATTCGTCAGTGGGTTCATCGATAGATTCATCGGTGGATCTGTGATTTTGGTATTTGCTAGAGTGAGGTGTTAGAGTAGAGGAGTTGTATTTACCTACCTTGCACTTTTATCCTTTGCCTGTTGCTAGGCAGTAGTTTGTTATAAGATGTTTATTGTTCAATTGTCAGAGTATTTAAGATATTGTACTCTAGCTTCCTAAGGATTTTGTGACTAGCATATAACTGCGATTTTTCAGTAATTAGGTCGGCCCGCCTTTTTACAGAACACTAATTCTTGAAACATCCTATTTTACTCCAGTGCTCACTCAGCACGTAAGATTTGCTAGCTTATCCCGCCAAGGGTGCTATTATGTTCGCCCTTACTGTGTCGCAAGAACAGATTCATCGCCATTATAATAATCTCCCCCACAGGCCTCATGAATCACGTTTTCCGTGTTGTTTTATTCAACCATTAGAGGCTCTGTATACTCATTGTACCACTTCCTTCTTCACGTGGATCTACAATTTCCATAGTTCACACTAAAGCTCTATAATATAAACCATCTCCACTGACTAGAGAAATGGTCACTGCTGTGGCCGTGCGTGCCACGTTGTAGCAACAAGACAGGACGATCTTTTTCTTTTCTCCTTTTCGCTTTACTTGATTGGCGTAGCGTACTGATTATGCACGGCCAAACAAATATCTACTATTCGGGAACCAACATGTCAAGAGTTTCGTATAAGTAGACAGGTTCTTAATCATTTGGACAAGCTAGCACCCCTATTATTTTCCTTTCCCCTTCACTGGGTCGAAGCTCGTCTCTTCTTTATCGAACTCTCAGCTGATCATAGATTCCTCAGGGCCGCAGTTCCATTTCCATTGATTGCCAGGCTCTTTTCGCTCAGTTGGGCCGATGTTCAACATTGTTGGCTCCTCAATCTGCCACCCACCGAGCATTCACACATGCGGACGACGCACATTCGTTAGTAGATCCTAGGGAATGTGATTGAATGCTCAGGATGCTAACATTCATCTAGTCAAATCATGTCCAACACCCGATGGCAAGAAGATGAATCTTTGGATACGCTAAGCAGACAAAACGACTCCAAAGAACTCTACAACCCCACCGCCAGTACCAGTACTCTGGTCGAATCCAAGATGGACATAAAAGCTACCGAGATGGTGCTTTCGAGCAGCTCTTCGGTCGATTCAAGTTCTGAGGAGAAGACGGCACTACCCCAGAAGAAAGGAATTGGATCCACGAGATGGCTCCGCCATAAAGCTTTCATTCTTTACCGCAAGTTCTTTTCAGTCATCGTCCTCATCAACGTGGCTCTAGCGTGCTATATTCTGTGGGCCTGGCAGCGATACTCACAGAACCGCTTTGTTATAGCTAACATTGCGACGGCGGCGGCATCCAATCTTACTGCTACAGTTCTTGTACGGTCCGAACCCGTTATTAACGCCATCTTCGCTGTCTTCTGCTCTGTTCCTACTTCGTGGCCCCTTGCCATCCGCCGCCGCTGTGCACGAGTGTTCCACATTGGCGGCATCCACAGCGGGTGCGCCATCGCAACTATGCTATGGTTCACTGTCTTCACTGTTATCGTCAGCCTGGAACTTACCAAGCCCTCAGATGTTCGCGCCAACCTGGAACTTAATAACTCCTCGGATGTCCGCGCTATTTCCCTGGCCACAGCTGTCCTCACGTACTTCATCTGGCCCATCCTCTTCACTATCTGTGCAACCTCGCACCCTCAATTCCGCCATAAGCATCACGACATCTGGGAAATGACGCACCGCTTTGGCGGATGGACCGCGTTAGCTCTCCTCTGGGCGCAATCCTTTGTAGCAGCCAAAGACCTCGCCTTGGAGACCCCCCTGCATCTAGCCTTTGCCCAGTCTCCCTCCATCTGGCTTCTCTCCATCACTACTGCTGCCATCATTTTTCCCTGGCTGCACCTGCGCAGAGTCCCTGTTCTCCGCTCTGAATTTCTCTCCTCCCACGCTGTCCGCTTATGGTTTGACTACACTACCCCCGTAGTTGGCACCACTGTCCGCCTTGCCTTCCAGCCTCTTCGCGATTGGCATGGATTCGCAACCATCACAAACGCAAATAACCAGTCTGGCTACTCCCTTATCGTTAGCAATGTCGGCGACTTTACGAAACGCGCTATCCATACTGGCCCAGAATACATTTACATCCGTGGTATCCCCACCTGTGGGGTCCTCTGTATTACACCCCTTTTTAAATCCGTTGTTCTGGTTGCTACTGGATCTGGTATTGGTCCTTGCCTTGCTATTATCCTTGCAAAAAGGGTCCCTTATCGAATCATGTGGGTAGCTCCTAATCCAGAAGTTACCTTTGGAAAAGAACTCGTAAAGAGTGTTCTTGACCATGATCCCCATGCTATCATCCATAACACCCGTACACAAGGCAAGCCTGATATGTCACTTATGGCTTGGAAACTATACAAGGAATCTGGTGCTGAAGCCGTCTGCGTTATTAGCAATAAGATGCTCACTCAGCAGGTTGTATACGGGTTAGAGAGTCGCGGGATTCCGGCTTATGGTGCCATTTTCGATTCATAGTTTTTTTCTCTTTTTTTCCGTAGTTTTGATTCCCCACCACCGTTCTCGACTATCATCATCATTTTCATTTTGTTCGCTCAGGCTTTTTCTCTATAAAGCCTTCGCATAGCTATTACGCTGCCTGATGTGTATTCCCGAAGAGAATAGGGTTAATCGGTTCAGGGTCACCCGAGCGTCTCGGCCCAAACGTGTCTGGAAGAATTGACCTCCTACATCGATTCATTTCGGGTTTGATTGTATACTGCACAGCCTCTACAACCAATTCCGGTTGCTTTCACCTACTATAATAACAACAGATATTGTTACTGCACCTTTTTGTTTATGAACTCCCCTCTATTTTTACCATCAATAGCTGCCCAAGCAGATCGCCCCTAGCATCTCGTTGTTTACATCAGCGAGCCATACTCTTTCCTCACCTAAGCTATATCGCAAACCACTTTAGCAACTCTATCAGCCATACATAATACCCTTCATATGCTACTGAAAGAATTCGAAAGTGATTCTGAGTCGTCTGGCTTCAACGCTTGCACTTGCATGTTGAGTGTTGTTTCTCGCAAAGAACCATCGCATTTCTATGCGGCGCAAACACTTCGTATTGAATAACACGATAAACCAGCCTTTCAGCTCCAGGCAGGACACATATTCCGTGGTTATCACGAAGCTGATGCATAGGTCACAAGCCTATCGGTGCCAGACTGCGCCCCAAACATTCCTGGCATGATACCAGTCTCCATCCGTCTGTCAGTAGTAATAAGGAAAGAAGCATCAGTCAATTAATATACTATAAAAGTGGAAAGGTTGAATTAGAATTTACTATTCAATGCCTCTCGTACAAGTGAATCATACTCTCCCGATCCGATAGCTTCCCCGCCGCCCTTGAGCCGAACACATCGTTCGCCCGAATGAAATGAAACATGATTTGCACACCAAACATAGGCAGCGTGTCAAAGACATACATGTAAATCTCGTGGCTCGCGAGATATCCAGAATGTCCCTGCGCAAACTCAATGATACGAAACACGCATCTGAGAATGATGACGACAGCCGCGCACAACATGAGCTTCAGCAGCGCAGGCCACGCATATTTGCCATATTGAACAACAGACACGGTTCCCCCACTACGCCGTAACCTCAAGTAGAAAATAACGGATATGATGACGAAGAACCCGAAAAACAGAAGTTGAACTGCAAGACCGATCAGCATGATCGTCTGTCCGAGCTTGCCCATGTCGACCTGAGCCATCATCCCGCCACCGCCCGCCTGCAGGAAAAACGCAAGAACATCCCCACAAACAAAAATCTTCGTAACGTATTCGGGTTTGATGATGGAAGCGTGCGAGGCGTTAACGAAGAGAACGAGGCGGCCGTAAATCATGTATATCGTCGCGGCGTAGAGAGAAGGAGGAAGGATAATAAACAGTGACTGCATGATATAAGGGCCTAGAGAGAGTGGCGATTTGGCGGAGACGACTCGAGCGGCGTAGCCGAGGGACATCACTGCGAATGGTCAGAGGAATGAACAATGGGTGGGTGTGGGACATGTCGTACTGATTGCTCCAACGGTGAAGGAACTGTAGAACCATGCTCTTCCGCGTATCATTTGGAAAAGGTGTGTTGCCGCACTCAGACCGAATGCGATTAGGAAGATTACAGCGCCGATTTGGCTGGGTTGGTACGGGTATATACCGTGGTTCTCGGCCATTGTGTGCGTAGGAAATTGTTAAAGGAGAGACAGAAATATGAAAAGGAATGTGGTGCCGGAAAGGTCTTGTACAAAAAGCTCGACCGAAACTGGGTTAAAAGAGTGTGTAGAACGATCGTAGACAAACTAGATTACAGATGAAACTAAAAAAATTGCTGGAAAGAAGTATGGCCTTATGAAGAGATAGATGTAAGTCGCTTTATTTATTTATTTCTCCTTGTTCTTCACGACTATCGGCCGTGCGCGGACGTTGCGTAACGGTGGGGTTTTCCGTATAGAAACACAGTGCACGCATCTGCAAATACGAGATACGCGTAGCCTTAATTCATGCACACTTGCTGGTTGGTAAGGCTTCCATGTATTATTTCCTGCGCTACGCCGGGCGGTACCACGTTAACGGATTCAAACAGGGGAAGCCAGCGACGGAACAACCCGACAGCAACGGCCGTATACGTATATTGATATCCGGATACGCGCGTGGGGATTCCCTGAAAAAGCGCAACTGGCGTGGCTGTGCCCGGGCTTGCAACATGAATGCACGTGGGACCGTTGTCTAAATCCCAGTAGCGTTATGATGATAACTTATCAGCTTTTTCGATGCCCTGACGAGCTGAGAATGGAATTAAAGTGGGGTATTATACTGCAAGCACAGCTTGTTTTGGCCACTCCATCCAGCGACTCCAGTATGGGCCCAAACACCCATTAACAACATCCACAATGCTTTTACCACAGCCGTCTATCCACCAAAACCGGCGCAAAGCATGTATAGTAGCGCCGTAATATGCAAATAATATCAGAGCAGAAGGTTGCCGTTGGTCCAATAGTGCGAAGAATTGTTGCGGAACCATAAGAACCCAGATGAATGGCCCAGCCCACTTCCGGTTATGCCCCCATTGTGATGTATCGTTGATTTCCAGCTGTTCAAACTGCGCCATCCACATGCGACACCTACGCAAGAGATCTAGTGTTTCGTCGTAAACGGCAGCATATTCCCCTTGGTCCCAGATCTCTCGAATCTGGTCAAGTCGTTTATCGTCTGGGTCGGAATCAGGATCAGGTTGCAGCTCAAACCAATTCCCTATGATGAGCAGTGTTTGTAGAGGTCCGGCACTGATCTGCTCTTGAGCAGCATGTAGGATTACTACGACACCACGCATCAACGGAATCCATTCAGTGCCAAGGACTCGTGCTATTCGAGTTGGTCCGCCTGTGCTATCGCCAACAGGATCATGTAATTTTCCGAATGTGACAAAAGCGTAGAAAAAGACTAGTATCGCGTTTGCGAATAATGCTTCGCAATTCGCGGAGCTGAGATGATCTATGTCTCTTCTGAATCCATCCAGGGCCTTGGCGTGATAAGTCGCAGCATCGTTCAAACTAGATTGCTTATCGGAAGGGTTCAAGTAGGCAACGTGCAATGCGCTGAGGCTGAGGATGCTGTACATGACGTAATCATGCCGAAATGCAATTAGGGGAAAAGTTTGCTGCCACATATCATCTAGCTTCTGTGCGTTGATAATGGACACGCTGGTTGTCAGACTCCAATGGTGTAGAAGGCTGAGGTCTTTCATGTCAAAAAGCGGACCGTTTGAGTTTTCTGGGCTTGCGCTGCCGACGCGCCCCGATGGATCGGACTGTCCTGGGGTGGTTATTGGAGTCGGCGGTTCAGCAGACCGCACGCCTATATCAGATGACGCCGAAGGGCACGCAGAAGCATTACGTTCAGTATGCGCGGTTTTAGACACCGCATATTTACAAGTGATGTTATGTCTTGCGCATTGATAACACTGAGGCTTCTCTTCGCCGCACTAGAAGCTGAGTTAGTATGCTTGGAGTGGAATGAGTTCAATGCAGCCTGCCTTTATTCGTCTACGTTTGCATTCGTTGCATCCGTTTCGGGACTTTCTATGTGCTCGGCGGGTTTCACCCATGGAATCGGCAGAAAAGCTAGTTCATAAGTAGGGCTGTGCTGATTAGAGATATGCTTGCAAGATCCTCTGGGCCGTCAGCGATGGCGAAGGTATACGGGATACGAGGAACGAACTACGAGAGGCGAGCAAACGAGGGAGGCGGGCTAGATATACAGTACTGGATAGGGGCGGCCCGACTCAATTTGCCGGACTCGTGTCGAACACTTTCACAGTGGTCTAGACACTAACGCCAACAAGATTTTCGGCTCCATAAAGGGAATACGCTAACCAAATCAAGTTAGAGTTTTGCTACTAAACTACGTATCTCGTATATCCTATTCGAGAAACGAGTATTGATCCTGTGGACCCGTCCCAGTACAAACACTACTGGAGTATACAAATGTATCCTCCTCTGCCATTTCGCATTCTCGAATCGACTCCATCCAGCACATAATCATCTACAACAATGTCACAACAAATGCGCCCTTCTCTTGACGACCCGAACGCTTGGGTCCCGTACCGTTACCATCCCTCTAGAACAGCCGCGATAGTATTCATCGTGGCCTTCTCATTGACGACTATATTACACACGGCGCAGCTTATTAGGAAGAAAACATGGTACTTTATCCCTATGGTAGTCGGCGGCATATGTATGTGGTGACAAGGACCCGGCGCATATGCATGAATAACCAAACTAATACGTTGTCACAGTCGAGGTAGTAGGGTTTGTTGGGCGTGCCTTATCGACAAATGATCTATGGGCCCTCGGACCTTTTATTATGCAGTCGCTGCTCCTACTCGTCGCACCCGCACTATTCGCCGCATCCATATACATCATCCTTGGTCGCGTCATCTTACTAGTAGATGGAGACAAGCTATCTCTCATACGTCAAAGATGGCTAACCAAAATATTCGTTACTGGAGACGTTATTAGTTTCGTGGTGCAAGCTGGTGGAGGTGGTATTCAGGCTGCGGGAACCCTCGACCTCCTTCACCTTGGTGAAAAAGTCATTATCGTCGGCCTATTCCTACAGCTCGCCTTCTTCGGGTTCTTCATCGTTGTCGCAGCAATTTTTCACCGCCGACTCGCAAAGCTCGAAACAAATGCATCGCATCAATCGAGTCAAGTTGCCGCCGGGCCGGCTTTGGGCAGCTCGGGCTTGCCCTGGAAACGATATCTTTATACGCTCTACATCGCATCGGCTCTGATCATGATCCGAAGCATTTTCCGCGTGGTGGAGTACCTTCAAGGGAACAACGGTTTCCTTTTGCGCCGAGAGTACTTCCTCTATATCTTCGATGCGCTTCTGATGTTTCTCGTCATGGCTTTGTTTAACTGGATACATCCTTCGGGCATCACGGATTTGTACCAAAAACGGCTGGCGGACGCGACAAGCTACGATATGGATGATACACGGGAAAGATATATGGGATATTCAGGAGCTCCCAAGCGGGAGGAAACGCATGCAGAAGCCAGTCACCCCTAGGCTCAAATACCGAGAAACGGGTGTTCTGAGACTTATTCCAATCCTTCGTCACGCAGCTCGAATCGCCTAGACATAAGCTAAGACATTGAGCGAGCTTTTCATCATGACCGGGGATTTCACACTTTGCATTTTACATTAGAATCATTAGAAACATGCCTTTATTGGTTTGATCTGTTCGAACAGATCTGTGATAGAAATGAGCATTTCACTAAGAGCAACATTGAGCGTTCGAATTAGGCTTAGCGCATCGAGTAGTGCGAAGTTAAATCACATCACTGTGATTCCATGAGGCGACTCTTCCGAGCGCAGCGCACCAACGTTCATCATCTCCTGACGCCTGTATGCCCGAGGTAGCTAGGAGTCATCGGCGAATACAGCCAGCATCAAGAAGTGGACGACCTTGTGATCCATGCCGTCGACGAAAAACACGATGTGTTGTGGAGCCTGGACACGTCAAATGTCGTCTGTGCCTTCATCGACAGAACAATTGTACATTCGACAAAGCACCTCCAAAAAGGTCGGTCCCAGGAGGCACCGAACTCAATGAATCCGGATCAATCGCACAGGAATCGCCATCGCCCCAGGAAGTACTTACGTCTGATCTCGAAGAGGGTCGAGATCTCAATCCGACACTCGCTCCAGCCTCCGCAGAGCACAATCACCAGGCTAAAACATCTATCCAAAGCAGCGAATTCGATGCCGCTCTCGGTCTGAATCGAACCAAGTTTGCTGAGCTCTACGGACTGGGTAGTGATATGGAACCGATTCTCATGCGACACCGGCCTTACAATGCGACGACTAACGAATACACACTTCCAACACACGCAATCCGTCTCGTGTCGGCTAGAGACCAAGGTGTTGATTATCCTGTGACTTTTCACATGGTTTCAGATCAGAAAAGAAATGTTCCATCACCGGACAGGACCAGGGATATCGATGCCATCGAAGCCTATGTGGAACCGCACGGTGATAAGTTGGTGCGGTTGTTTTGGAAGATGGTGCATCCAACATATCCCATCATTCACAAGCAAAACTTCATCAATATGTATTCGGAGTCGTATCGTCAAATTGATGCACCTCTGTTAGGTGCAGTTTATTTGATCGCTACCAATTGGTGGCACTACGACCCTAACCTCTCGAACCAACCAATTCCCAACGTCGTTGGCTTGCGCAAGCTAGTAATTAAGACTATACAAGAATCTTACCATCGTCCACGACTGTCATCTATCGAAGCAATTCTGTTATATCTTCAGTGCAAACCTGAAGATCCGCTGAACCCAGACCATACATTTGCATGGGGCTTGACTGCGCAAGCACTAGCTGTGGGCGAAGCTTCCGGTCTACACCTAGATGCCTCGGGCTGGGCTATTCCGGACTGGGAAAGATCGTTGCGAAAACGTCTGAGCTGGGCTCTCTACACACAAGATGTTTGGACTGCTCTAGCTCACGGTCGACCGACTCATATCTCTATCAATAATTGGGCTGTCACCGATTTGACTCCAGAAGACTTTGAAGCCAAAAGCTCACTTGACGAGGGAGTCTCTTTCATCAATACGACAAATCTGGCAAAGATTCTCTACCGCGTCTTAGACGAATTTTACAGCCTTAGAGCGAGCACGCTGCAGGACACCGCTCAGCTTTTCTCCATGGCTCGTCCCATCTGGAGTGCGCTAGAGTCCTGGTATGCAGACCTTCCATCTTCACTCAGAATGGATAGTTTGCCTTTGAGGCAGCTTTGCCCAAACGGTACTCCCCTCGCTTTCCTACTTTCGCAGAACAGAAAGACTGCATTGAATTTAATGGTGCCTAAAATGTTCCTCACATAACTGACTTGGTGATTTAGGAAACGTTCATTTCGCATATTATGCCGTGAAAGTCAGCACCCTAAGAAGACTGGTAAGATCAACAGCACTTGCGCCACTCTGCATTGATGTCGATCTATTGCATTCTATCAGACAACAAGCGCACGCCACCGCCCAACAAGCTATAACGTTGGTAGCCACCCTACGTCTCGAGCATTTGGATGCTTTCTGGTTCTTCGCTGCGCCGTACTATTTCTCTGTTATCGGATCGTTCTGCGTCCTGCTTCTAGTCACTAGCTTGACACCAGCGGAGCGAGACCATTGGCGCGAAAGTCTAAGATCATATCTTTGGATTCTCAGGGTTGGATGCAAGTCCAACGGGCCAATGCGGTATGCAGTTGATCGCCTGGAAGGAGCGATCCTCCGTGGCCTTGAGCATGCACTCGTGGTCACTGTGGACATCACTTCACCATCCGCTCCCGAAGCAACACCAAATCAATACGACGCCAATATCGACGGCTTTGGGTTCGCACTTTCTGGTGCAGAAACACTCGATTTCTCCATGATAGATCTAGATGCATTCGATTTTCTGAGCGGGTCGACCATCAGTTAGATTATAAATGCGGGGTCGCTGATTGCATGGTTGGAGAATATCATTGAACAAGGTGCACCCTTCTAATCTAAATCAAACCAGAGCTGCATTGCCACAAAGTTGTATGTCTGCCAAAGAGAGTGCGCCATCCTGTACATAAAACCCAAGTTCCCGTGTATCGGTTGTTTTTTGGGCGGGTTGAGCTGAGCTTAGCCCATTCCCGTTGACATGATTCTTGTTCTTTGTATCACATTCATCATCTCCCGCAATATCTTCGTTTGTGAGCCGGAAACTCAGAGATTTTCCACCCACAAATATTTGCAGCACGCCCGATTTAGATACGACGACGACAGAACCGCGAATATCGATTGCCGCGTGTCGTGCAAACTCTGGACCATCTACCTCTCGTGGAAGATGCAGTGCGTACTGGTCAGCCCAGAAGTCATCTAGTGGCGGGGGACAGATCATCAAGCTGATGTCGTATAGACCCGATCTTATAGGGACGAAGCGAAGTCGATAGCCTTTCATATCTTTGTCAGTACGGAACAGAAGTCCAAAACTAGCAGCATCGTGGGAGGCAATGTTGAACTTCAGGCAGTAATCTGGGTCCTCCACTGGAAGATAGCGTGTCTTAGTGGTGCCGACACTCTTCATTTCAATTTCTGGGGGGATCTGTGACCCTTCCACTCTATGTCGGAAAGTAGATTCAAGGAGAATTGGACTCGGTTTAATAATGAGACAACCAGACTCGTCGGCAGATACTTCTCTTGGGATGGCCAAATCTCCACCCCAAGACCATTGTCCATCCAATTTGTCCGCTATCCAGCCAAAGGACACGCGCTTGGACGAATCTCCAGCTTTTGGGCACGATTTGGCAGCATACCATCTCCGAGCATCTAGGCGACCGCCAGAGCCGTCGCGCGGTACTCGAAATGGTCCCCTTGGTGTATCTGCCATCCTGTAAACTGTTCCAGCATCTGGCGCATGGAACCTTGAGTACACTAGATACCATCTTCCGTTCGGCAGCGAAAAAATTTCGGGGCACTCGGGGCAGAACATGTCATTTGGCGCATAAAAGGGTTCCCTTTCAATCGCCCAATCTTCCAAATCAACGGAAGTTAGGAGTGCGAGGCATCCGCGTGTCCAGAATGGCCCATTCTTGAGCCTAGTTGCAACCAGCATCCAAAAGCGACCCTCACATTCATTCCACGAAACATGTGCATCGCGGAAATCAATGTCTTCGAACTGGGACATATCGCCGGATATAGAAATGATCGAAGGCGATTTGTAAAAGGCCGACCCTTGCCTATCGTTTGAGCGTGCGTGAATAATGACCTGCTTCCCTCCATGAGCAAGATTGTATCCGGTGTAGAACAGATGCATGTTCCCATCTGGTCCAATGATTGCTGATCCAGTCCATGCTCCGTCAGCATCTGGACTATCCTTTGTTTTCCCGGGATACAGGGCTTCTACACTGTCGCGATTCCACGATAAAAGATCGTGCGAGCGCATTCGAGACCATGTGGACCGTAATCGCGGCGGATGTCGGATTGTGTTTGGAGGTGTACTCAGATGGAAGATATGGTATTCGCCATCGATAAGAATGGGTATGGCATCCGCCGCGGCCTGTGAATCTGATGGCCGACTGTATCGCGACGGAGAAGGTGAAGTTGCTGATGGCATCGCGCTGGGAGGTGGGAGAAGAGGAGTTGGAAATAGGTAGCTATCGGTCAATTGAAAAGCGACCTGATTTTATTTGAATCAATGTAAAAGCGAAATCCTGCCGATAATGGCACTACCATTATGGTGCGTCCTCCTCGCCCGCCACAGCCCGCCGTTGCCGTCAACGCCGAAAGACACGGCGATGCGACGCGGCCCGATAATGAGCGGCCGGCCGGCCGGCGGATGGGGCAAACCATCCTCATAGAAGCGGGCCCACTTACTCGCGAGCCTTGCCCATGGGGCTCCCACATCTCGCCATGCGCCTCCGCATTCCAACGCAGATATAAAACCAGAGGGTTGGTACCGATGCAACCATTACACCGGCACAGCATTCACCAATCGATATCACGTTAAAGCAGTAGCACAATGGGCAAACTCCAGTATCCCTATATCTGGCTCTTTTGCGCCTTTGCCGCTCTTGGAGCATGCCAGTATGGATATGATGGTCAGTCACTCGGTCTTCAATCGCTTCAAAACATGGATTCAGATGCTCACAACAAGTCCCAGGTGTCTACTTTTCCGGGATTCAGGCCATGGACACATTCATTCGCCACTTCGGTACGCGCCAGCCGGATGGAACTTACGAGATTTCGCCCTCAGACTTGTCCATCATGAGTTCGATGATCAATGTTGGTGAGCTGGTGGGATCGCTCGGGGCTGCTCCCCTCAACGATTTCTTCGGGAGGAAAGGTGCTTTCTTTCTAAGCGCTGTCACTGCTATCGTCGGCACAGTTCTTCAGGTCATTACGGATCACGATCAAAGTATTATCATTGGGGGTCGAGTGATTCTTGGACTGGGCGTTGGTATCTTCTCTTCCACAAGTCCCTTGTACATCGGAGTCAGTTTTATCCACTCTTTCTGAAATTCTGTTTGACTGATGCTGATCCTGTACTCATAGGAGATTGCGCCAACCGAGATTCGTGGACCTTTACTAGGATGCTGGCAATTGACGCTTTCCATCTCCCAGATCATTGCAGCAGTTATCAACCGCGGCACAGAATCTTTGACATCAACCGCCGTACGTAACATCTCCGTCTGACGAGATTCTTGGATCACCCTAACACAAACAGTCTTATCGTATACCCACGGCCGTCCAATTGATCTTTCCGATCCTCGTCCTCGCTTTCCTTTACTGGGTTCCCGAAAGTCCACGCTGGCTCATGCGCCGCTCCAAAGAAGAACGCTGCAATTCAGCACTACGCTTGCTACACAAAGACGACAAAACCTACGATCCTTCAATGGATATAACTTCAATCGAAAGCAGTCTCGCTGTGGAAGCCGAACAGTCCGCTCAGTCTAAATGGATAGACCTAATCAAAGACCCCATCGAACGACGCAAAGTCGTCTACAGCGCAGGCGCACTTGTAGCGCAACAGATCAACGGCATCCAGTGGTTCTATTATTTTGGAACCGTCTTCAGTCAGGCGATTGGCCTCGAAGATCCATTTCTCATGAGCATTATCGTGTTTTCTATTCAAGTAGTCACGGTCTTCATTGCGGTTTTATGCGCGAACCGTATCCCTCGACGACCGTTACTTCTGACCACAACCATGGTCATGATGATTAGTATCTTCATCGTAGGATGTCTTGGTATTCCGGGAGGTGAAGTTAGTGGGACGAGTGGGAAGGTTATCATCAGTTTCGTTATCATCGAGATCACTGCGTTCAACTTCGCCTGGGGACCCCTCGGATGGACAATTGTAAGTCTTCACCAAGCTATCCAATTTACAGCGTTTCTTCTACTAACAGAAATCTCGAAAAGGCTTCCGAAATGGCAGTTGGTCGCAACCGTAACAAAATATACGCCATCGCCGTCGCTTGTTTCTGGGTCACGGTCTGGGTTACTGTCTTCACCCTACCATATCTTTACTACACAGCGAACCTCGGTCCGAAAACTGGGTTCGTGTATACTGGGCTGTGTTGTATCACATTGACATATGTGTGGTTCTGTGTTGGCGAGGTCACGGGTCGCAGTATGGAGGAGATTGAAGGGGTTTTCAGAGATGGAGTGCCGGCCAGACAGTGGAGTACTCAGCCGAAACTGAGCAGCGCAGAAATCAGAAGCTTGAATGAGGTTAGTATAGAGAAAGGGAAGCTGGAACAATCGTAGTAGTTGAACCGTGCTGCTTTATCTGAATTATGGACGCTTGGTCGGTTAATAGTACATAGCTAGCACACAATCGATGATCAAGACTTTCTCATGCCATCTGATGCCAGATCCCTTGGCTCTACACGCCTGTTTCGGAGGCACTTGGAAAGAAAAAAGCCCGCAAATCAGGCCTCCTCAACAGTCTACACTTAGACTTATGGCCTTTCTTCCTCCAACCCAATAGCTGACAGTCCTGTTCAAAGTTCTTAGCATTTTCTTCAATACAACGGGGTATTTATTGTAGTCGTACCCTATCGCAGTACCGGATCAATGAGCATCCTAAGCAAGTATCCAAAGACGCTGCTTTCTTGCCACAGGCATGGCACTCATGAAGTCCATCAGTCTTCAGGGAATGTTTTTGGATCTGGTCACTCAGAGCCAGCAGATTCTTAATTGATACCGGCAAGATCTTTTTGGCGTCAAGGTCAGTCACGAGAGACCAAAAGCTGCTGTGATAAGATGGGAGAAACTTACCTTGAGCATTTCAGGGTCCCGATGGCGAATTTCACGATCTTCAGAACCTGGTGCACGTCTGTGGCCTATTGCGTACTGAACCGCAACAGTATATCCCCGTTTGACTTTCGCATCTGGTGTATCATCGCCTAGGTCAGAGGTCCAGTAATGTAAGAAAATTCTCTCACCGATGACATCGCCTAGGAATAATGTCAAACGATACAACCTCATGCGGAGGTCAATTTTCCCGAGGAAGCACCAGTAACGTCGCGGCTGAATTATACCATCCATCTCGGTATAGAAGTTCGGGTCGCTGCCGTCTACTGGAAGAGCCTCAGAGGCGGGGAAGATTTCTCGGTTGCGAAGATCTCTCGCAGATTCCAACTGCTCTGGCTTTATTGGTTTCTCTCTCCTCCAGAGCCAAGTTTCGAAGTCTTCTGTGCTGAGTCCTTTGGGGATTTCGTCGACTGATGCCCCCCATACGCTATGGAGAACGCAATAAGTCTGTTTCGCGAGGTCGTTGTCACTGCCAAAAGCGATATGGATAATTTCCCTTGCCCTCCTTGAAAAGACGATTCCTCTTGCCTGATCGCCATAGGTGATGGTTAGAGATAGGATACCGAGGTGCGGAAAGTTGTTTGTGATGTGGTAGACCAGCAGTGAGCACGACTTGTATTTGGTTCCAAGACACAGCTGGTGAAGTCGTGTTACACCGAGCACTTGCAACGGCCAGTGAGTGGAAATACGGCGAACACGCTTACGAAATACAGACACTCGACATTATCAGGACTGCCAGGCGGTGCCTGGTTCTATTGATTCTACAGGTTTGGGCTCTTCTGAAGAACAAGATGTGACATTGACGATTGGAGTACAATAGCATTGTGAGTGCCATATGGCTTCATACAGTCTCAAGCGCGCCTCCCTTTTGCAAACCCCCGAGCTGATTGCATACGATCCTTTGCTTTCATTCAAATATATCTTGTTACTATTATTGGCAGGTTGTTCTTTCAATCACGATCATACAGAGCTTGGGAGTAGTTGATAAGCATTGGTGATAGAATTTCGATAAGCGTCTCTCGCGTTCTTTTCGTTCCTATGTATTTTATTGCCAAGACTCTGATGCTGTTCCGACTACCGACTATGGGTCTTCATAATTCTACATGTTATGATGGGATGAGAGAAGACGTATTTGCGAAGATCTCGTGTTGACGTTGATGCTGATGTCGGCTCCGACGTGAGTAAAATATGCGGTAGAGAGTGGACGGAGATCGCAAAGGGTAGGTAGACGAGCGGATAAGTTTTCCGGGACTCCCATCTGTCATTATTCTCATGTCGGCGCCTAAATTTTGTTTCGTTTGTTACGAACAGATCGAGGTATTGTATCGGTATTCGGACAGATACCCCACCAGTTCCGGCCCCACTGAGGTTCGCCTTGTACTATTCGCCCACAGGCACTACCTGGTGATGATGCATAATGCATGCATACAATGATGTTGCAGATAGTCAGATCCGGGTTTGCTGCCCCCTTTACCGGAGAAATAAAATGGCGCAAACACGCAGGCCAACCAATGCAAGCAGACAAGCAATGCAGTTTTGCGTGATTCTCGTTAGTACTTCTCCACGATTGCCCACATCTCCGCAGGAAATCTGTCCGAGAAATTCAACAATTCGATCATCTTGTAGATTGCGTTTACAACTACCAGGGTCGAGCTCAACAAGAAATTGAATTACGTGGAGTGCCAAGGAAGTTAAAGCTTGAGCCTAAGCCGAGCCTCACCATCACGGTCCACACGTGATTTGCTTTCCCTCAACCCACCCGCGACAACTGTATATCTGTTTTATCCGACCATTCCAGACTGGAATACACGCGATATAAGTACTCGAGCTCTACATGAATGTTGAGCGCTTCGTTGAGGACGACATTTTGTATTGGTGTTCAATTATCTCGTTCCAATTGAGCCACGTGGGCGAGTCTAAATTCAAATAGCGACGAACCATGGTACACGAAATCAGCATGTTTTTATAAGCAGCATCTCATTACAAGTACATACGTCATGATGCGGGCGGTTGCTCAGAGCTTTTTCGGTCGTGGCTGGAGAACCAGATCTCTGAAACAGATTTCGACTCCAGCAATATGCCGAAATTGGGCGGTGGCTGCATTTGAGGCGCATGCGAGATAAAAACAGTTGGAAAAATCCCGTGCCTTGTTTACAGTTCACCATAGTGATGTAAGCTAGCCCCTCTTTGACCCCGGCTACAATCTTGGCAAGAGTGTGGTTACCAAAGATGCGGAGAAATCACTCGCAGTTTGGTACATGTAACATCAGCTGATAGGCTTTCTGAGATTTCTATCCAGGGAGCAAAAAGAGAAGGCGAATGGCAGAAATTGGGACACATGCAATTCAAGCACGACATCACTGGAATCGGATGCCACATTTATCCAGATTCAGTCCGTGAAAGATGATTTGTCTCGTTCGCGATCCAGATTTCCACGGTCGGAAAGAGATCGTTCCGAACAGAACTACTACTCCACACAAAGCCCCTTCACCGATCAATGATCGATAGAAGGAAATCGTCAAATCAGCGACAAAAGACGTTAAACAGCAAACAAATCGGCCATTCACCTTCAAATGGTCTCCGTCAGAAGTGTACTTGCAGCAGACGGCTGGCGCCTACCTTCATAACTCAAAAACAGCCTATGTAGCCCGCGCTTACCTAAGAGAGCCCCTGGATTTGCTTCAAAAGCATATGCCATCTGCAGCCTCATTGATTCGGACGTTATCACATTGTTCAAAAATATTGGGACGGTCGTGGGAGTTGCTCCAGCACTGAGAGCAAAAACTTCACTGATCAGTACCGATTAGTTTTCCAGCAATTCGTACCCTTGTTTGGATGACCTGCGTCATAGTATGCAGATGCAAGAAACTCTGTTTTTGTTTTGCTCTCTATATTCTCAAAACTCGATCTAGCCCTCACGCAATTGCATAGTGACGCAGTGACACGCCCAAACATTTCTGGAATCTGGATCGATGCGGGGAATAACTAACCACGAGGCTGATTTTGAGCTTATCTTCATCCTTGTCGACGGGCAAAAGAAGGAAACTTCTGAGATAGGAGGCAGGGAAATCAGGGACCACGTAGAACAGACCCCAATCAACGAGGCCCGGGAGTGAATTCCAGCATCCAGACCCAAAAGATCTTCGCCGACTGCAGAAAACTCGGCGGACCTTTTCCGCTATTGCTACCCATTTTCTCCGTGTTGTCTTCGCGCAGTAGTATGCACTCAGTGATATCGCTGCAGAATGGCGAGCAAGTAGTCGCCTGCAGGAGCGTCTGCGACCTTTTTGTTTGCTAGCATTCCATGCCGGCATTCTTGGAACGTGTGACCTAGCCTCTGAGGAATAGCAAAGCAGTATCGAAAGAGAAAGATCAGGGGACCAAGTAGTTGATATTTACGCGACCACACTTTTGTTCAGCTCCCTGATCGATTATGCGTCTTGATTCTTACCTGGATCCCTCAGCACTATGATTGATGAAAAAACTCAATGAGTGAAAAATTACCCTGCATTTCATGCGAAGGATAGAAGAAAATGTGACAGGGAGAGATGTCGCTGTAATGCAGGAAGGGTCCCAACATGTAATCTTGACATGTAGCTGTGCATAGCATGGTAATACTTTAGGCTAGAATAAGAGGGAGGATAGCTGAATACAATCTTTTATTGGTGGAAAATAGTTAATTACCGAGTGGCGGTGCTGTATTTTATGTATACATGTACATGGTTCCCACTAGCGCCATGTAGGAGATCCTACATTAGCGGCTGCGGGGGCGCAAAATGGACTACCACTTTTTGCTCCGCATGAAAAGTGAACCAACTTCGGATCGTACCCTCTGATCGCAAAGTCGCAGGACCCTTGGGCAGACTTTATTTAGCAACGAGTACATAGTGTACTCACAATCGAACAAATGAAAAAAGCGCGGAGGGCTCAAGATACGCAGAGAAGTCTATGAAAATAACTGTCAATTGGGTGCATTCATGCAGATGCAAAGAACTTGTCACGGCGCAGAGAGATGTCAGTATAGTGGGAAAGGCCAGATTTTTGCAAAGAATCTGGGGTCAGATGGCCACAAGGAAGAGGTATTGAGGTTACAAGATAATATTCCAGAAGTCTAAAAAGAAGATGTGCGAGACCTGGCGAGAACTATATACTATCCAGCATGTGATAACACGATCGAACCTTTCCAAACCGAAAGACCAAAGCCAATCCATCCGTCTAAATCCGACCCTGAGATCACCCCCAAAGGATTTTCGTACTGGTCAGGCCACTGTGAATCGAAAAAAGATCATCCAACCACACCCCATTCTTTGTTGCCATTCGGGTTGTTGTGCTTGCGCCACAGATTGCGGAAGATGTCCAGATTCGGGGTAAGCTCAAAGCTTAGGACAAGATGCGGTTGCAGTTGAGGATGTTGAGGTTGATGAGACCCTGGGTAGTCAGTAAAATAATGCATGATGGAAGTGATAATCCTTACGAAGTTGTCGATGTCGCAGCACTGGACATTGTTGCCGTTGCCGCAGGCCTGGCCGATGGGAAGAACCTGAACCAGGGCAAGAGGAGAGCAGCTCTGGGTGGATTCGTCACAGCAGGAGAGGGCCTGGTTGGGGCTGCACTTCTTGACAACATCAATGGTGTTGTCGGTATCGTGGAAAGCATTTCCATTGTTGTTGTTGCTGTTGGTGCTGGGAAGGCTGGGAAGACCAGCAAGGCCAGGAGTTGGGACGGCGGCGGCAACGGCGGCGAACGCAAAGATGGCGATGATCTTGGAGTACATATTGAAGCGAGTGAATTGGTTACTTGAAAAGTAAGTAAAAGAGTGTAGTGGTGGGTTGGATTATTAGGTAGTTGAAACGAATGAATGAATGTGTTGATGATGATATTGTTTTTGGGAGGCCGAGAGGGTGGTTTATATACCCAGCTGGTGCCCTAATAATTTGTTTCTTGTTCTCTAAAATCAACTTCGGAGGTGGTGTGTTCCTGTCAGCGCACGGCGTGGAGTGGCCACCAAACTAAGTTTCCGAGGGTCACTTCACATCTCGCACCACTTGCATACCGCATAGTGAGCTTGCATGACACCGGGAACCACTATCAGTAAACCTACTGATGCACTTTTTGATCAGAATGGTGATCATTACGGTGCCTGGACCATCACATTATCGTTCGAATCCTTCTTGTGTGGGTTTGGTAAGACAAGTAGTGTGCATGAGATATGGTCGCACGGGAAGTGACAGCTCGGGAGCGTAGCGTACCAAAACCTTTCTAGTCTACCACAGGTGCAGCTTCTGTCCCATTGAACAGTGATTTGAAATCTAGAATGAGATTTCCCCCTATCGTAGCGATAGAAGTGAGTTCGCCGGAGTCACCTTAAGTTTGGGAAACAGTAGACAGTCCATCACCGAAGTCAATTGACATGTGGATCCCATATTTGATACGATTTCATGCTCTGAGAAGGGATGCAGCATTGTTTTAGTGCAAACACACACTCTTGAACTGCTCCTGTTCCTTCTTCTTTTACCTTTTTACATCGGGCGAGCTATCACATCACTGCACCGGCAATGGGATGCACATCGAGAGATACGATTTAGAGATTCCGGGAAGGATGATCACTTCCTTCATGTGTAGTGACTGTTTGCCACCGTTGCGTTCACGAGAGAAGAACCTCTACGTTATCACCGCGGCATAGCCCGCGCAAGTGCCCCTGAGAAGGTCACCAAGGAACGCAAAACTAAATCAACATGTAAACACATTAAGCTTGTCTTCCAAAATGCAGGGGCACTCTCCTGCATGCCTATGAGCGAGCCTCCTTCAGCTTCTAATGCAGGGGAATAATACTTCGGGAAATGACAAGCCAGTAGGGTTCGTGATCCATAGAAAAGGAATGGCAATTTTCAGACTCTGTGTGTGTATCTTGCGAGGTTACCTGTGGTACACTTTCCTTCCGAACCATCACAGTCAGATGTTTCACTGTCCCATATGCTTTATTCCAGATCAATCTTTGTCGATCTTGTACCTGTCAAAATTTCACCACTGTATCATGGTCTTCCACTTTGTGTCAATTTCCAATGGGCTATCATACCGGTAGAGTCAATTTACCCGTGATCTTACTTTACACTCTGAACTCTCGCGTGGCAACTTTGTGTATGCTACTGTAGCTATCCCGGACTTCAATATGTTTCAATCTCGTTTCCATCACCTCAAACAAAATGATCACACGTGAATGAGAAGGGGTTGATAGCTTTTCACACACGAATACCCAATCATACCTCTGAGACTTCTAGAAATTTCTAGAAAGCTTCCCGCAGGCACAATGACACTTCAATGGTGGCCCTGCATAAGAGTGAACCTTGAAGTTCTCTAATTGAGCCATTCCATTATCTCTAGTATCGTGGAGTGCAGTGGTCAACGGCTGTCCAAAATCTTACATTCCGTGGTCACAACCCGCCTTTCTTTGTGGTACGCCAAATGTTTGTACCGCGTGTTGTCGCGATAAATCTTGCCGATCTTGTGGGCTTCCAATCTTTGCCGCATCTTATCGACGGCGTTACCCACGTCTAAAGTCGAGGTTCATTTATTTCGTTCGAAGCTACCTACAGGCGGCGCTTACATGGGATTCTAAATCTTGCGAAGCATTCTTCTGTAAGTTCTGCGTATATACGTCGAGGATGTCAGAAGGTTCGAACTGCGAAGGGTTAAACTGTGACATGTTTCTGTTGCGGCCGGACCCGACACAAACGTCGGGTGTACCAAAGTAGTACTTCAAGTCCTAATCAATATATGGCCTTCTATAGATTAGGTGGAAAAGCCAGCGTATGGGTCTTGTTGATATCGCAGAATATTTTGAAGCGCGTTCAATGTCTAATCTGGATCAAGATGTTTGATGATGATGAACAGCGAAGGAAGTGCCCCCATTGGCGATTGCTTGCGTGGTGCATGTAAATGTTTCTCGAGGAATCAAGTCATTTGCTCCGTCCAGTTTATCTAGCCATGAGTTTATCATGAAGGCCACTCAGTGATGTAAAAGTATTGAGGTTCACCTAGTCGCTTTCGCGCGTTGAGCCAGTCTTCCCCCCAATCACTTCACCGTCATATTTGCTTCACTCCTGGCATTCATTGCTTATAGAACTCATTCTCATGTTTAAAAGTGACATTTTACGGGTTACTTAATGGCGGCTGCCCTGCGAATTCATGTTAATAATACCGCTTTTCATTTGAGGGATCATGGCTCAGGTGTACGTGTATGAATCATTGCGTTGCGCTTACAACGCTCGCCGCATCCAGGGAAGGTTCAACGAGCGTAGATAGCGGACGGACAACATAAGTGGGTGGCATTTGGGAGACGAGAGAATCGACGGTTAAAAGCAGCCATGTATTCAGTCCTGTATTATTGAGATAAGGTTTTGGGCTATTCTGTATTAGGAGTAGCGTGTTTCTCCAGTCAATGGACCTGTAAACCAGCAAGAACATTCAGGAGTTTGGTTCGTGAGTGGAAGGTGGAATAATAGAAAAACAACAAGTGCTTTCGATTAAGTAATCTTTTCTTCGTCTGCAAAGGATCATGGTGTATTTCTGTTGGGGGCGCAGGTGTCTTCAGTCGCTACCGACTGGGCTGTGATTGGTCGGTACCCAATCTTATGCGATGACAGTGCATAGCATAGCCTCACTGCCTGTGAAAATCTATATAACGGAGTTCCCAAATAGCGATCACGAGTGTTCATCTCTCTTAATATGGCCCGCAATTACACGGAGCTGTTGGACCCATACTTCTTGCTCTTTGGTGGCTTCCTGGTGCTGGCGGGGCTTCCGAGGCTATTTCTTCTGCCATTCTCAAGCACAGATGAACCTGAGTGTGAAGTCTTTTGCATCATTCAATTCGCAAGTTCCGGTCTGGGCATTCTCATCTTAACCTTTTGGCACGCTTTCGGTGCCACGCCATGGGTTTTCTGGCTGCTTCCGTTCTACGTGGTCCGATCGCCTCGCGAACTGCATCTGCCGCAGGGCTCTGATACCCAGCCATCAATTGCGAAGCACTGCCTCTCGTGTGAACTTATCCTTACAAAATCTCGACTTCTGAATGGCGCGGTTGGGAATTTGACTCGTACTACCGAAAGGTACGATTTTCAGCAGCAGTACCTCCGAAAACTTAATGGGCTTCAATCTACCTGTCAGATGTGTACAATACTGCTCGAAGGCTTCGAAATTCCGAGCAGAGACTGCCGCTCATACGGTACATTTGACGATTACATCAGCAGTAGCCTGCACCTTCGGATATGGCAGCCATTTCGGGAAGAAGGTGTTACATACATGCAGCTATTTGTGCCTGATCTCTTTGATCGCTATGGCCTTAATCATATAATCATGCAGCTATTTAGGGGGAAGAAGGGCAAGGCTACAGCCGTCAAAATACACGAAGGTAAGATAGTCACGTAAAATCAAGCAGGACCGTTTTTGATCGACTTGGAATTTTAGCAGGCAATCCTCATCCGCGTGATTCAATTGAAACCCGAATGCAGAGCACCGCTTCCCAGCAGGCCATACAGAAAGCAAAAGCTTGGATACGCACATGCTCAAACTCTCACCAAGCATGTGCTGTTTCATCTCAATTTTTACCCACACGTCTCGTACGAATTTCAGAAGACGCAATGACATTTCAAGTTATCTCAACCACGTCAATGTGCAAGAAGCCGTATGTAGCCTTGAGTCATTGTTGGGGAGGCGAGATATCCGTCAAACTTACTCCCGAAACTCATCACTCACTGTGTGACGGCTTCGAGGTAACCAAATTACCAAGGAATTTCCGAGAAGCAATTAAAATTACGAGGGAACTGGGGTACGATTTCATCTGGGTGTAGGTCAAACCCGCCTTGAATGCTATTTTCAATGTCTTACTAAATGAGATTCACTGTCATAGGGATTCACTGTGCATCATTCAAGGAACAGACGATTGGGAAAAGCAGTCTGCTATGATGGCCAGTGTATATGAGAACGCAATCTTCACACTCGCAGCCACAGCGTCGGATAATAGTGAAGGAGGATGTTTTCGCGATCGCGACAATTTCCTCCACTATGAGTGTGTTCTGCTGACATCCAACTCCCGGAGTTTGTTCATCGCACCAGCGCTGAGGCAAAATCATGATACCCTGACAACTGCATTCCACGAAAAGGTAGACATGGCTCCCCTCAATTCACGAGCATGGGTCTTTCAGGAAAGAATGCTTTCGCCTCGCATCCTACATTGTGGCGAGGGATTCCTACTTTTCGAGTGCAACACTCTACAAGCCACCGAATTCAATCCCAGTGGGAAACACTATGTAAAGGAATCCAATTTTCATGCAAATGGTCGTGCCTACTCGGAAAGCGACTTGTTCAAGCGGGTGTCTCCAGAGGCCAGATTTCGCGCGCGGGCGTCCCAGGTGGCTCAATCCATCCGATCTCTGTCGTACATCAATGAGCTGCGACCCGAGGATCTAGAGTTTATAGCCGATTGGATAATGTCGCGCTCATCCACATGGATCACTGGATCTCGCGAAGAGCTAAATGAGCTGTGGGATATCAGTGGAATCCTACCCTTCAAGGAGAAGAGCGAACTGCAAAGTGATTGGCGAGCTCTCGCGTTGGAGCACTCTCAAATAGAAAACGCCGAGAGATCGAGAAAGCAGCTGATTGCTAATTCGGCGCGCACTGGCATACGAGGGGCCCTGGATATGCTCTATTCACTACGAATCAGCGGCCGCACTCTTACATTATCCGAAAAACTAGAAGTACATCGAAGATGGTTCGAACTGGTCGTCGAATACTCTAAGCGCAATCTGACGAAAAGAACTGACAAACTCGTGGCAATTTCTGGTCTTGCAAGACGCATCGCGGACAAGAATGGTATGAAGTATTATGCCGGTCTGTGGCAAACCACATTACTTCTGGACCTAATGTGGATGAGAGTACCCGATACAGACCTCAAACAGCGACCGAAGGAATACGTAGCCCCATCATGGTCATGGGCTAGTATAGACGTCAAGGTAGAGTCTATACTCAGTCACCACAATATCGCAGCAGGATCCGCGCGCTCAGAACATATCAGATTCCATGCAAAGATTTTACATGCTACGGCAGCTGATTGTGGAATGGATTCGTCTGATTCTTCGACCATGATAGATGAAGGTTACATCAAGCTGCAAGGCCCTATGAAGAATGTGTCTCTTACTGAATTTCCCTTTGTTCTAGATTTCGACATGGAAGATGATCCTCAAGCAAACTACGTGTGCATAGCCATTTGTTCCCGCAAGAATGGTTGGTTTGGATGGTGGATTGGCCTTTTATTGGAAATGAAACCTGGTACTTCCACTGGGATGTATAGTCGCCGTGGAATTGTATATCAGCAGAGTCTTATCTATTCATCGCCGGGAGATTTCTGGAAAATTGGGCACGCCGTCGTCGGTTGGTGATCTGCTGTCCGGAGATGGAGCATATCTCTCTTCAGACTTCTCGGCAATGTCGCTATCTGCAAGATCATGAGCGATACAAGAAACCCTTGACGAGCTTGCTGCCCCATATTGAATGCCTGGTTAGAATGTATCTAGCACGGTGTAAATAATTGATACCCATCTTATTGGCGGAAATTCTTCCGATTGAAAATTAGGGGACTTTTATATCGCCTAGTGGTGTATACCCTATCCAGACCTGGTCTCTGTATCTTCGCTGCGTATTATTAACCTCGTTATCCACTTCTGCCCAGATAAAGCGCACATTGAATACCGCTATTCTCTTCGTTCATCCAACCCATCTAACATATCAATACACAACAATTATAGGTAGTCGTAAAGTCTCTCGCTCTCATGAAGAACGACCAGAAGGTCCAGAACAAGGAAGCTCCCAGGCATGTGCGGCCTACCACGCTAACAGATGTAATCACAATAACGCCGAAATCATTGCGATGTGACGAACACAGTCTAGGCCTGTCACTTCATGCAGCAGGAAATTGATGCCACTAAGATACCTGGATCGCAAGGATTGGCTTTCATGGATTGGCTTGACAAAAAACGTCCGGAACAGATGACTATCGCCGAGTCTTGTCAATTTGTATTGATACACTTTTCTGCTCCTTCAGGAATCCAATCACTGCCAGTATGCTCACTGATTAGACACTAGAAAATACATTCTCAACTCTCTTAGAGATCCCGCAAGTAAGCATTTGAGGGTTCTGCAGATGAAATCGAAAGCGGGACGAAGTAGGAGCCCACGAGGAATAAATCCCTATTGATCTAAGCCCTTCCATCATGAACACTAAACTGTTTCGTAACCATAATCCTTTTTACACTGCCATTCCTTTCCAGATCTTGCAGCTCGTGATCGCCTGTTCCAACGCTCTCCGTCTCCTTCAATCTCACAAACGGTCGCTCATCGTCACTTCCCCGACTATCCTTATGCAATGTAGAAGGTCCACGCGAAGTGCGTGTTCCCTCCCCGTATCCAACACTTTTCTTCGCCCGCGAGGCGTAGTTGCTGCCGATGGGGCCAGAGGAAGGTTTGCTGTTGCCATTTGTGGAAGAGAGCGTGCCTTTGAGAGCGAGGGAGAGTAGGGGTTTCAGAGCGGGTAGGCAGGCTGTGTCATAGCGAGTCAGTCTACATCAGGGATGCTTGTAGGAAGGGTGGGCACTTACAGCATATAATTGCAGTATTTCCCTCGACGTTCGTCCAGATGATTGCGTCGTTGAAGTTCCAGGTAATATCAGGGGAGAGTAAATCGACGCGCATGATAAATACGAGGCGAATAATGGAGACGATGGTAACGCTTTATCACCAGGAGGACATGGGTTAGAAAGCGATCATAGCAGAGAAGGGTGCGGGACTAAAGACTTACAAGGCACCGAGGGTGAAGATACCAGCCACGGCGATCTTTTGCGCGCGATGAAGTTGGAGTTGCCAGACGTAGGGGAGGGGGAGCAAAACGATGAAAGCGTCGGTGATGATGTTGGGAATCGAGTTTCCCTGGAAGAACGGTCGGAGCACGACACCGCACGTGAACTGATCGGGAGGTAAAGGGTTAAACGGATCGTATCGCTGCCAGAAAGCATGGACGGGTATGCATTGGAGGAATGTGACCAGAAGCTAAATTCGATAGATTTGTTAGTGAGATAAGAAATTGTACGTCAAAGGCAAACGGGACAACTGACCACTGCGATAGCCCATGCCGAAACCATCCCCGCAAGGAGAAAGATGGGCATGCGAATTGATATCTTTGCGCTAAAGATACGCCAGTAGAATAGCAGAGTCGACCATTTCACGCATGCGATGGTGATCGTGTAAACGATTTCCGAGATGAAGAGCCCACTGGCCCAAACCTTTACGGCCTGGGGTGGTCCAACCCAAACATGTTTGCCGGTGCCATTGGGTACCACTGTGTTCGCGCACATCTATCGTCAGTTCTCAAAGATTCACTATCTTGCTGCAATGAAAGAAACCAACGTACTGTAGGCAACTGAGACGAAGCAGTGGACACCTGATGCAAGCTGAGAGATCTAATCAGTATGGCAAAAACTTGATTAATGGTGTAAGTTCCAGAGACTTACCCAAGCCACGACAGAAAGCCAATCTTCAGCCCACTGCGAGAAAAGAGTCAGAATTCCAGTCTGGACACTCTTATCATTACTCCCCTCACCCCAAGGAAAAAACTTACAATTGGGTTGCCTTTGAGGTGGCGCGCATAAAATCTCAATGCGACAGCCACAGTAGCCAGAGTAAACATACTAATGAGGGTGCCAAAGATTTCCGACACCTTCGACTCAGTGAGATCCAGTCCCGGAGGTGGCGGCGGGAGCGCCATTGTAGTGTCGGCGCGTTTAGCAGAAGGAGACAATAGTTCACTGCCGCGGCCACTCAGGGTGCATCAAGTTTTAAGTACATGAAAAACGTCGACTAGAGATTTGATAATTGAAAGGAGTGCGCGCGGAGAGTTGGGGTCCCTCGTAATTGTATATCGCATTGGACTCTGCACAAGCGTCTTGCGTTGCATCGAGCCATGATCCTCGGAAGTTAACCGTGAGCACTTGCAGGAAACGACCCGATCTCACTCCGATAGCTAGTGTTAGGTGTATATATTGGATTTTGGTTGGCTCATGCTGGCATGTTATAATAGAATATCTGGGATAATGCTGTTTTGAGCTTGTATCAGTAAAATGGGGAAGGGATTGGCAATGATTTCAAGGGATCTGTCCTGAGCAATACGATCAAGCATCCAGTAAGAAGAATGTACGCACAATGCCTAACCCAGGATTAGACCCTCTAGCCTCTAATCAGGGTCTTTCATTGATAGGGCTCATTCTAAGTGGAACGGTAGCTTTTCAACGGATGATGCGAGTCAGTCGTCTCCTCTCCATTAAAAGGCCCCCAACGGTTCAACCCGTGAGAATTCTTATAGTGCGAGGGAGAACTGCGTGATCAATCCAGTGTCATCCGGTTCCCCGCCACTACGGAGATTCAAAGATGGAGCCATAGGTTTCAGCCACAAACGAAGGCCATCGGCACGGAAATATCAATGTTCAGTTTACCGATGAGTGAAGCGGTTACTATAACAGACATAAATCTGATATGATAATACGATTGTTATAGTCTTCAGCTCGCACACGCGATGCAACGCAGGTGTTCGCCCAGTCACGAAAATGTGATTCCCAATATCTAATGGGCCGATGTCGAAAGATCGCAGAAACCTGCCGTGTTCCATGGCCGTCAACTAGTGAGGTCCAAGCTAATTTAGTTAATCGCCGCGCGAGTCATCGGCTTTCCCCACTCGGAAGTAAACGAGGAGGAGCATACAGCGAAGGATCCCTCAGATCATTGTGAGATGCGTTATATTCATTAGTCCATCACCGAAGATGCCATGCCATACTCTGCTGCACTCGACTACAATAAGTGTATCTGGTGTTTCTCAAGCGTGCTTGATGGTCTAAGGCCAGTCAACTATGCAGTATGCCTCACCGATCGTTACTCACTTGTATATACATGAACCGGGCCGGAGGATCGTGTTCGACCTGGGAGACGGGCCGAAAACGCATCAACTTCAAGACAATGATACGTTAGAAGATGGAGCCGAGTCTACACCATAATAGGCATCAGACATCATCTTGAGCCCAACCTCCAATGAATATTTCCTCGGAGTAATAGCTGTTCTACGCCTCAGTCCTTAGATAACTAACATCTATAGACTATACAACATTCACAGTATATGATGTCCCGAGTCATGCTAGCAACTTCGGATTTACGGGCATCAACATGACCCTAAATAAATACCCACATATACGGGCAGTCTCAGGCCACCCCCCAAAGCATTCGCCCCGGGTCTTTCAATCGTAAAGCGCCTCACCATTGAACTTTGTTGAGCCGCCAGCCTTTCAAAAATGCGCTTCTCCTCGTACCTCCCGCTGATCTCCATCGCAGCACTCTCCACCATGTCCGCTGCTCAATCTAACCCGACTTTTCTCTTCACGCCAGGAGCATGGCATTTGCCCGGCGTGTTCGACTCGGTCCGCGCGGATCTCTCGCGCCGCGGCTACGATTCCGCTGCCGTCAAGCTAGTGTCAGTTGATCCGACAGACCCCAAGACGCAGGGCGTCGCCGCGGACGCTGCCGCTGTGCGGGGGGAGCTCGAAAAGCTCGTAGATCAAGGGAAGGAAGTCGTCATGGTGTGCCATTCTTATGGAGGTGTTCCAACGGCATCAGCGGTTGAGGGGATGAACCTTGCTGATCGCACCGCGAGAGGAGAGAAAGGAGGTGTGGCGATGATGGTGTATCTTACTTCCTTTGCGATTCCTGCTAGAACTGGGCTTTCGGATGGACTTGGAGGAGTGACGCCGGACTGGTGGAACATCACTGGTATGTCCCCCCGAACAACTTTGGCAAACAAAACATGATTTCTACCACTCCTGCCCCCATTCTAACACCTCTTCACCCCCACAGGCGACATTGTAACCCCAAAAGACCCAATCCGCATCTTCTACGCCGACGTGCCCCCTTCCATCGCCGCCACAGCAGTCTCCAACATAAAGCCAATGAGTCTGCGCTCCACCTCCGATAAATCCACATTCGCGCCGTGGACTCAAGGCTTCAAGATGGGCTACATCTTCGCGGAAGATGATCAAGCTATTGCGCTCCCCGTCCAGCAGGGCATGGCATCACAGTTCCCTGAGGGCTCGTTCACCGCTAGCTTGAAGAGTAGCCATTCGCCGTTTTTGAGTATGCCGGATCAGCTTGCGGAGGTACTTGTGCAAGCTGCTACGGCTAGTTAGAATGTGTGCGTGTATGGAATTAGGATCCGGGTAGAGTGGTGAGAGGGGAATCGAGTGGGGTGTTGGTATGAAAGCGGGACCCGCTTGTGTGGGGTGATCTTCGAGCTGGACTTTTGGCTAGCTGCTTGTTAGTTGTTACGTGTAGACGAATTGAACGCAATCAATAAAAATGAATGATGTTCGAGAAAGTGGAATCGTGGAAAAATGCCCGAAAAAATCGACTTCAAAAAGTGTGATCTGACGTTTACGAGAAATGGAATGCGTAATTGTGGCAATGAACGCTAACATAAGCCTCACGTGATTCTCAGTTCCACTTCGATCATGTCCATGACTACGCAGGTACTGATGAGTCCCTGGTACAAAAGCTAGTGCGAAAACTCATCTATCATTGTATAAGAATAAGAAAAGAGCATTTCTGTGTGGCTAAAAGTACCTTGTGAATCCGTCTCTGACAGGCTAGACTGCAGGTTTTTGAGTTGAGATTGCCGTCGCAGCAAATCACACAGGAGATATTATGACATTTAAAAAGAAGGGAACAGGTAATATTTCCTAGGGGACATCTCGTCCATCACCATCGCAGACCAGTAGTGTTATCCTTACCCCACCTCAGCCGAGTTCTTGGATAGTTATTCGCCCTTCGCTATTGATGCATCCATTCGGCTTTTCAATTCGCTTTGTTGTGGAGACTGCAAGAGGCCTGATCTTCTGATTTTGGGTGAATTTAGGGGGTGGTAGTAATAATGATACGGCGCACTTAATGAGACAACACGTTAGTATATTATGTTCAGGCATTATTCACCAGATGTATGGTTGAACGCGTTTCATGTAGATTTATCAGCGCAAGGTGCATCTTGACGAAGAAAAAATCATGTTAAAAGAGCGTAGGTAGTTGGATTTCTATTTGCGAAGCACGCGCGAGGCGAACCTGGTACCGATCAGGTGTTTCTCGGGAGAAAAAGGAGGGCATTTGGCGATCCTCACCTAACGATAACTGAGGCCGACTAAATACAAAAAAGAGTCTATACATAGAAAGAGCTGAATTACAAAACCCACACACGACTGCATATAGTAAAGGCGGGATGCTGGTACACCGTCACTGATTCCTTAAGGATGTTGCCCATCTAGATACCAGGATTTCATGGTCGTAGGCGCGTCACAGCCGCAGTAAACAGTTAATGCTTGCTGTTCGTTCGTTAGCAAATCACCTAGTCATCGCTACTGGGACTGCTCTGCTTACGCCGACTAGAAGCTGTCTAGAAGCCTGTATTTCCTTTTTACGACCTTCGCAATCCATCTCGAATCGAACTTCAGCGTTGCAGTGTCCTCCTTCATCCATCCCTTCGTGACAGACCCTTGTGGCACATTGTCTGGATTCTTTATGTGAGAGTATAGTGGGTTGGGCAGGCTTGGCGGTTGTGGTCACGGCGATTGCGGTCGAGGCTACTGAGGTCGCGGCGGGCTGGGCCGTGATGGAGGTTGAAAGTGCGGCCAGGGCCAAAAGGAAAGTTGATGAAGAGAAGAGCATATTGGGTGGGATGAGTTTTGGATTTCAAGTCGTTGTGTGTTTGAATAGGAGAAAAAAACGAGTGTGGTAGTTGATTAATTAGTTGAGACGCAAAAGAAGGACCTTATATACATTGGTACATCTTGTCAAAAGGGCGCAGTTATTCTAAAGACTCCAGAAATAGGTGTGTATAACTAGGTAGCATACGTTAATGTGCTCGCACGAGCCCCAGGTGTTCGTTCCCGATACCATAATAGGAAAAACATCTGGAGTCTTACGTCAGTCATGTTTAAATGCGTTTTCTTTTTTCGTATATAGAGCTGCCTTTGTGATTAGTTAACGCATGCCACTTCTTGGGAACTCCGTAGCTCTTCGATCTACACGTAATTGCGGACTTTCTTGCTGTTGTTCGTGGGTGCGCAAATAATAAAATCAGACTGCAATTACCGTCGGTAGAGTGCACGCGAGGCAAGTCTTATTAGCGCTAAACGTGCTCTTTGTACATCCAACATTAGAAAAAGAAACCCCGCCTCCTCAACAAAAACCCACATACTCTCACAATTTTCTATACTTCCCCTTGCAAACCAACTAACTAAAGCCCCACCAAACTCCACTAAAAAGAAGAAAAGATGTCCGACTCTCCACCCGCTTTGCAGATCCCTCCTCTACTTGGAATAAAGAAACATTGATAGTATGTTCAGATTCAAACACAACTGGATTTCTTGAAGTAAGCGGACTTTCGTGGAGACCGAAATATCCATCGCAATTTAGATACTTTCCACAAGAATACATATACCAAGTTTAAGTGGAGACCGCCTGCAGATGATAGAAAAAGGTATAGGTATAGGTGTAAGTTTATGTTTTTGTCTTTTTTTTTCCCTTCCAAGCGAGAGAAAAGAAGTGGAAAGGCGGGTGGATATTGACTATTTTCCACTCCAAAGAAACCCCATACAATGGATCACGAGAAGGAGCATAACCCCAACCCCCTTGAGGTCAAGGTGCGACAGCGCAGGTAGGGATGGTAGAATAGGCCATCGCTAAGATGAAGAATGAATGGAAGACCTTTCCACGTTTTGGAGAACATGCTGAAATTGTATTTTTTGGTAATCGGCAGGTGATGTCTCTAGTGGTATACGGATGATTTAGATAAAGTAGTGGTATAGTACTTGGCCCTTTCCCCTACTTGAGTTCGACGCGTCTACGGACCTCTAAAAGAACAAAAGACTGGAAGAAGCAGATTGATCTCAAAATCATGACCTCCAGGCGCAACAACACCGTAATTACGGGGAAAACCATATTTCAATTTCAACTGGCATTAATCCACATCCTACTACTACTCCCCCATTACAGTCCGATCAGATTCATCCATATATATCAGCGCCGATGCGTCATAGCAATCATCGTGTATCCACAACCTGAACCTCCGCTCATTCAAGCTTGAAGATCTTGGGCTCCATCGTCACCCTAGCTGGCGCGCAAGTTACGGTCTCAGAGGTGTAGATTGAACCCTGGGTCCAGTCGGGGTTCTGCCAAAAGTTTGCCTTGCACGACAAGTCCAGGGCCTGGGTAGCTGTAGCTACATATTGATCCCTAGAAATAAGATGTCATGGTTAGCGAATTCGCTCCGAAATGATTTTCTTCAGACCCCCAACCAGTTCCTCTCTGGAACAGGGCAAAGCAGGATTTGTGAAGAAGGGAAAAGAAAACAAATCGAGGCAAGACTCACCCCTCACAAGTCCACGTCTCATTGACCTGGAGCGTTCTGGAAGGCCCAGCGTACGAGAACGTAGTCTCGACGCTAGTCCCAGCGGCCTCGGTGCAGTCGATGGGGAAGGGGAAAGCGAAGAAGCTTCCACTGCTCGTCTGGCCAGTTGCGGTACCCGAGCACGCAGAGGTAGTGTGGCCGGTTATATTGAAGTTGATATTGGCCGTAGACCCAGCCAAATGGGATGGCGAGGAGTACGTGATCTCCGACCGGTACTCGAGGTTTGGAATAATGAACAGAGGAAGAGTGCTCAAGCAAAGGGCTCTCGGGGGAAGAGAGGCCGCGAGGGCAAGGGGAGAGGCGAGCAAAAGAAGAGCTGAGGAGTACATGGTTTGAAATGTTTGACTTTGTGGAGGTTTGGATATTGAAAATGCGGTGGAAGGCGTGATGATGAAGTTGTAGAGCAGGATAGATTGATTAATTTATATGTTTGATTGTAGCTTTGTGGCTTGTGTCGGTCAAGCCGTGGTTACACTCAAGTGCTCGTATTATAGTAAGCGGCAGCAGCACAGCCCTTTCTGAGATCCCCTCGTGAGGCTAAGAGGATTTCAGGCATACAATTGCATACCCGTACTCAATTGCTTCTGTCTGGATGGACAAAATACGAATCGATAAAACGGCCAACGTGCGTCGTGAGGTATGAAAGGCAGCTTGTGATCTGATTGGCTTTCGCGTCAACTGCATTGTAAGCTTGTCTTCATCCGGTGTCACAATATACATGGTACTGCAATAGAAAGAGACTTGAAGGGGAGCCTATGACGTATTAGCATTACACATTGAGTGACATAATCCAAAGTCGATGCTTGTATTCGCTGAGAATGTCAGACGATCAACGTGCTGCGCGAGGCAACTAACCTTTGTAGGAAAAAATCAGGAATATGCTTTTTAGGACAGAACCCTCATTCGTGCATGCCAGAACAAGTTTGACAAGATAAATTTGGCAATAATGTTCCGATCCTACAGTTCGGGTCGGGGCGAGCAGCCAAACCTGGGGTATTGTCGTTATACAAACCTCATGTTCCACCGCCCAGAGACTTCTTGCAGAGATCAATAGCGAATAAAACAGGGACGACGTGTACAATGTTGGTACTTGAACAGTCGTGTTCCGTAGCATAACTTTATGCGACACACAATATTCCGCTGGTCGCGATACGAACATTTCCGGATGTTTCGTTGTCGATGGATGTGCGGGGCCCAGGATGCAAATTTATCGACGGTTCATCTTTCAGGCCTTCGGTGCGTCTTCGCGTAGTGTTTATATGTGTTGATTTTACCGCATCGAGTATTATTGCAAAGACCAAGCCAATAATTCTATCTTTAGGTACCCGAGTACCAAGCCAAATGATGATGATTATGATGTATTGCGCCGATCTTACTGGATTGCGTAGATGGAAGCCATGGGTGCTAATCCGACCTTGCCACCCAAGAAGGTAGAGCACGTCGCAAACGTGCTGCTCGGATTTTGGATCAATATCATCATGGGTATTTTATGGTCGTCCGCGGAACGCTCTGGATAGACAATGGAAGCTCTTTCGCATTGTTTCAGGTTTCTTCTTATGTGGTGCAAGGCAGCAGAATGTGATAAGAGAGGTCACGCGGATAATCGGCACATGCGAAAGGGCTTGAGCGACATCGCTATTTTGTACCTTCAGAGAATGGAAATCATCGTTCACTGGCGGAATGACTGTCAGTTAGAAGAAGGGGTGAAGAGTGACTAGAGCGGAAGGCTTACTAATCATGGATAGGCCCAAGAGCACGTGATTAGACACAGTCGGCGCGGCCAGTTGACACCTTCAACTGTTCGAACGTTAGTACACAACAGACCGCTCCTCGCAACCTCAAGATCTCACCAGCCACATATGTATCAACCCGAGCCGCATCAAGATGGCGCGATTTTTTATCAAGGATGCGCTGACCCTCCATGCGAGCGATGCCGTTCGTGAAGAATGGACTCCATCAGTCTTCGCCACTCACTTCGCTGTGGGGTGACACGATGTCGGGTATCCGGCATGCACAGCAACGCTCTCGGCACATTGCTTATACACAAACTGATTATGGGGAAACAAGGAACAAATACAATTCTAGTTGGTGGCTCCGCCGCCTTGGAAGAAATGGCTTGTTCTCTTTACTTACTCACCAGCAAGATTGGTATATAGATAACGCCAAACCTGAACAAGCGAATCTATCGACGCTTTTTGGGGGCTGATTTTGTTTCGCTGAGGTTTTCTGGCGGAATTGGAAAATCCGGTGGAAGTCGACATGAAATCGTATTCAGCTTGCTTATCGCAACGCTGTACATACTGTTTCAAGAATGTTGAAGAGGGTCTGGATTGTTGGTAGTGTGGGCGAAGGAAGAATGTTGGTTGCTATGATCATATTCACCGGGACCATGGCTTGATGGAAAATCGAATTAACAGGGGGGTGCGCCGGCTGAGATTCATGGCTTGGGAAAGCATCCCCGCCTTGCGACACGCGGCGAATAGGAGAACAATTGAGAACGGAATTGCAGTGCGCAGCCTTCGAAGCTGAGCTTAATGTAATGTATTCTCCTTCCCTTCTCCGACTACCGAGAGAATTTAATGGGATTCTGGAATGCATTGAGTACGCGAATTTGCTGACTCTGGAGCTGTTCTAGATTTAGCCGACGGCAAGCCCGCAATTTCGAGCACGACACGAAGAACAGCGGGAGGAAACGCCAAGTGCCAACATATGAATCATTTCGCAGGACTTTTTGATTGGCTCTGGTAGCAATTGAGATGAAGGCAATGAAGTCATGCACACTCCTCCGATGCCTCGGTTCGTCGACTGAACGTGAATATCGCCTCTCTGATCTTGCCTTGCGAGAGTAAGACGAAGCTTGTTACCCGAATCGGCAGGTCCTTTGGGAGCGGCAGAGCTTCCAACGGTTCAGCGGCTATCTACCAACAACTGGCGACGCAAAGGCACTCTGGGGATGGAGCATCTCTGTTAGCATCGCGCCCGTTCTCCAATCCATAGACTACTCGGGATAAGGGAAAGTCACGAAAAGAAGAGTGGGACAAGCATGAGCCAATTTTGCTCGGCGCCGCCCGTAACGGAAGGTCGTCAACCTTACTTAACTTGCTCCGTTCCTGCCAAGCCGACAAGACCCTTGAATGCGCTCATCCATCACAGCACTGGGTGGCACGCGGTTCCAAGAACCAGGAATCATCTAGCTACTGCACAAGTGCACATATATACTTAGCCATGTCCTGCCCACTGAGATGGTAGCCACAGCTACAGCGCTTGTACTTGGTATCCTGTCGCGATCAAGCCCATCGTCAACTCAACTCTCACAATGGCTTTGAAATTCGCTCTGGCGAGCGCCAGCGTGCTGCTCACTGGAGCGCATGCCATGACTGTCGAGTAAGTCAATACGAATCATGTCAATGGAATTCTTCTGACCAAATGCTGTAGAGATATGCTGGCTGCCCCACGACGCAGTGCCGCTATCGTCAACCCTACTGGCGAATGGGCTGCTTTCTCCTCGTCCACTTACAACTGGACGACACATAAAGCTTCCACGACCTGGCAGTTGCTGAATGTTGCCAGTGGCAATGTCACAGAGGCTCCCTTTGACTCGGAAGTGTCCGAATTCGTCTGGATTGGGCCTACCGACACCAGCATCTTGTACATCAATGGCACCAACGACAACATTCCTGGAGGCGTTACGCTCTACACTGCTGATGTTGCCGACAAAGAGTTCAGCCCTACCCTCGTTGGCTCGTTGAATGCTCCTTTCACTGGTCTTAAGGCTGCCAAGACGGAGTCTGGCGACATCAACTTCGTCGTGAACACTCTTGCTTGGTGGAACGGATCTGCCTACAACGAGGAGACTGCCACCAAAGCGCGCAGCAGCGGCCAGGTGTTTGATTCCAACTGGATCCGTCACTGGAATGTGTACATGACTGAGCAGCGATACGCTGTTTTCGGCGGTGTCCTCTCTGGTAGCAACGGCAGTTTAAGTCTCCAGGGAGAGCCTAAAAACCTTCTCCACGGTATCAAGGACTACCTGACTCGTCCCGAGACGCCAATCGTGCCAGGTGGTGATCCAGGCGACTACGAAATTTCCCCCGATGGCAAAAAGGTCGCTTTCCTCACCAAAGCTCCTGAACTGCCCAAGGCCAACTACACTGCTGGCTACATCTACGTCGTTCCACACGATGCTTCTTCCGCTCCTGTAGCAATCAATGGTCCTGGATCTTCTCGTCCTGAGGCTGCAAAGGGAGCGTCTATCTCTCCTCGCTGGTCTCCAGATAGCACCAAGGTGGCCTACGCCCAGCAGGATGGCATCTCTTATGAATCGGATCGCTACAAGCTGTACGTCGCTTCCGTCGATGGCAACTCTTCTAAAATCACCCCCATCGCCGAGAACTGGGACTCCAGCCCCTCAACGATCCTATGGATTTCCAATGGCACCGATCTGTGGGTTATTTCCGAGCTCCATGCCGCTCAGCGTCTCTGGGTTGTTCCTGCCAATGCCGAGGCCGACTTCAAGCCAAAGAACATTACTGGTCCCCAGACCTCTGTGGCCGACTTTGCCCTACTTCCCTCTGGCCAAGCTCTCGTTTCGGCCTCGTCCAGTTGGACCTCCCGAATCTTCTACACGGTTTCGGCGGCCACCACTGCCGACACCAAGGTTCTCTTGTCTGCCCACACGGTCGACCCAGAACTTGCCTCCCTCGGCCCCGAACGCACTTCCAACTTCTGGTTGCCCAACGAGGACGGCAATCTGATCCAGACGTTCGTCTACTACCCACCCAACTTCACCGAAGAGAAGCAATGGCCGGCTATCCTCATCCCGCACGGTGGTCCTCAGGTCGCTATGGGTGATGTGTGGTCCACTCGATGGAATCTGCAGTTGTGGGCCGAGCAAGGCTTCGTGGTTTTTGTTCCTCAGTTCACTGGAACCCCGAGCTACAGCCAAAACTTTACCGATGCCATCACCAACAACTGGGGTGGAACCCCTTACCGGGATCTCGCGATGGTGTGGGACCACGTCGAGAAGAACATCAGCTATGTCGACAACGAGCGCGCGGCTTGCGCCGGCGCGAGCTTCGGTGGTTTCATGACTAATTTCATTCAAGGCCACGACCTTGGTCGCAAGTTCAAAGCGCTCGTCACACACGACGGCAAGACGACGCAGGAGGGTTCGTACGCCACGGAGGAGCTCTACTTCATCCAGCACGACCAGAACGGCACCATCTGGGATGACTACGAGAACTACCAGACATGGAACCCTGTGCGCGACGCAAAGAACTGGGCTACACCCCACTTCATCATCCACAACGATTTGGATTACCGTGTTGTGTTTGCCGAGGGCATGAGCGCCTTCAACATCCTCCAAAGCCTGGGCGTCCCTTCCCGTTTTTTGCACTTTCCCGATGAAGGCCACCATGTGCTCAACCGCGAGAACAGCAAGGTCTGGCACGACCACATCTTCAACTGGATGAGGTACTGGGTTGGCCTGGACGAAGAGCTCATCTCCGAGGGCGTCATCCACCAGTAGACGACACAAGGAAGTTGAAGAGGAGAGGGAAACTGAAGCAGTAATGAGTAATGCAATATAATATGAGGATCGCGACGCGCCGTCTCTCGCTCTGTATATAAACGACTAATTGAGTAATGCTATTCATCCTCACCGACTGTTGCGTGCAGCATGCATATCGTGATGCGTTCGGTATGCCGACGATTAGGTTGAATGTCGACATTGAACACGAGACGGCATTCGTGATCGGAAAAGGTCATCAGCGCGTGATTGGGTGCCGATATTCCGTCATGGGAAAAGAAAACTCTAGTGAAGACTGCGGGGTGGGCAGGGGCGGCTGGTTAGCGGGGGAGCGGGGCGAATGCTTGGATCCCTGCACCGCCATTAACAATTCTTCACCTCTGGCTGCCTGTCACCCTGCGTGCCTGCCTATGCACCATACATAGCAGCTGCGCGTGCGTGCTTAGCGACCTACCTCTTTGCGTATCTAGCTCTCACTTTTCCGACTTCGCCTCTCTGCCTTCCGCCATCCTTTTTTGCCTTTCTTCTTTCTTTACCTTTCTTTCTACTGACCTCTACAACGGCGCTTGACAACTGTTGGAGGTTTTTCTCCGTCCCACTTTGTACAGTACTCGTAAGGTTTGGAGTAATAATATGTTGCTATCGTTGCTGCAAGATAGACCATCATGACCGAGCGACGCCTACCAGTCAAGCAACTGGTGATACTCTGTACGTCTTCCGCCGTCGTGTCACGGTATCCTTGAATATCAAATCGAGATGCAGAGACTGACTCATAGTTCGCAGCAATATGTCGCTTCGCCGAGCCGCTCTCGCTCACGAGTGTTTTCCCGTATATACCTGAAATGATGGAAAGTTTCGGTGTACCCGAAAATGACATCGCGAGTTGGGCCGGTTGGACTTCTGCTATTTTCTCTCTCTGTCAAGCTGTAACCGGCATCCCGTGGGGCGCGGCCTCGGATCGCTTTGGTCGAAAACCCATCATCCTCGTTGGCTTGTTCAACACCATGTGCACCATGCTGCTGTGGGGATTTTCTACCAGTTTACCCATGGCCATCACTGCTCGCGCCCTCCAGGGTCTCGGCAACGGCAACGTCGGTATACTGAGAACTACGGTCGCAGAGTTGTGTCCTTGGAAAGAGCTGCAGCCGAGGGCATTTAGTATCATGCCTCTGGTTTTCACGATTGGGAGTATATTCGGACCAACATTGGGAGGGGCTTTGTCGAATCCGCTGAGAGTCGATCCAAGGGCACCGAAGGGAGACAAGTTTCTGGAAAGGTTCCCGTACTGTCCGCCGAACATCGTCGCCGCAACCATTTTTGCGGTCGGCATCATCACCGGGTGGCTGTTCTTGAAGGTTTGTCTTCAGAATCTAGGATTCGTTTGGACCAAGCTGATTCAAGCGAATAATAGGAATCTATGGAATCAAAGAAAAATGATCGAGATCTCGGCTTGATTGTCGGCGAGAAAATCACCGGCTGCTACCGAACCATTTTTAATCGGCCTACCCACGAGAAGAAGACTCTTCCAGAAGAGGAACCGCTCCTCGGCCAACCGAAGTTGGCAGACGATGAAGAAAACGATCTCACAAACTCCAAGTCTACCGCTGTAGAGGAGGCTCCCCCTATGCGAGATGTCCTTTCATTCCAGACCACCTTGAACCTTGCCGTCTATGCACTCCTCGCCATGTATTCAATAGCGTACGATCAGGTAAGACTCAACATTTTCCGCATTCGAATATACAAAACACTGACTGTACTGCGCTATAGCTTCTTCCAGTATATATGCATCATCCAGTACAATCCATCTCATCTCCCGCCGTATCTCTGCCCCTCAAATTCACCGGCGGCTTCGGCATCGACTCACGCCGCATCGGCGCCATCTTTACCATCTACTCCATCATCTGCATGCTTTTCCAGTTCCTCCTCTTTCCACCCATGACTCGCAAACTTGGTGTCCTCCGCTGCCTCCGCATATCCTTCCTTATCTACCCGGCCGTGTACTTCGTGACCCCCTTCGTCTCCCTCCTCCCCACCGCCCGCACACGCGAAATCGGTATCATCTTCGTCCTCATCTTCCGCGGTCTGGCCGGTACTTTTGCGTTTCCAACTTCCACCATCATGATCACAAACAGCGCGCCGAGTCTGCAAGTCTTGGGCACCATCAACGGCCTCGCGACAAGCGTGAGTGCAGTAGGTCGAGCAGCGGGCCCAGCTATAGGCGGGAATCTATTCTCTTACGGCGTCAAAAAAGGATACATCATCTTACCGTTTTGGTCGCTCTCCGCTTTTGCGCTGGCAGCATGGATCCCGACACTGTGGCTCGTAGAAGGCGATGGATTCGGCGATGATCCCGATGATTCTTCCTCATCATCCTCAATCTCTGAATCGGAAAACGAGACCTCTGCTCACGACTCTACTCCAACCGCATCCACACCCCACGCCCCCAAACAAACACAAAACACCGACCACGACCAACTCCCCGAATCCTCCTACGGCGAGCCAACACACCTCCACCGCACCACCACGAACGAAGCCGCAATTGTCAGCGACTACGACGATGACGAAGCTTCTGAGCTCTCACAACTCGACGGCAACTCGAGCCCTAGACATCGCCGCCACTCCCTATCGAACTCGAACCCGCAACATCGTCGGTCTAGAAACTCACGCGCGAGATCGAGTGTGCCGATTGGAATGGGTTTGGGATTTCGGAGGCTCAGTTCGAATTTGGGGAGTACGGGCGTGGGAGGAGGTGGGACGGGGGCTTGGGGGAGTGCTGCTTGATAGTCTCGAATGTCTCAGGACTACAATAACATGAGGTTTGGAGACTGTGTGCGCTTTTTTTTTACACTTTTGTTTTTCTGCAGCGGGGGTTTTCTCATTGTTGCTAGGAGTCGGCGTTTGGGCTCATCAACATCTATGCATTTTCAAATTTTTTTTCCTTGCAAAAACGTTATCTAGACCACTATGCACCGGCAACAATATAGAGTATGCAACAAGATATTCAATCAAAAACACATCCATCAATGCAACCTATCAATCTGAAGTGCGATAGTGCCTAGCTGAGATAATACACCGCTCGCGATTGGCTAGTGTGCAGTGTACCGTGGGAGTAGACCCAAGTATATGCAAAAATTAGATTTGCCAGACTTCTGAGTGGCTCTTGAGTAGATTCTAGTTTGCACACTATGACTAACTGTTAGCAGAAAACTGTTTATTTGCTATGATGGCGAGCCCACTGTCACTGTCGATGACAACAAATAAACGGGGTCGAACGCTCTCAAAGTATCAAAGATGTCTCGATTCACGTAGGATCGAAAATTATACTGGAGTTTGATCTATCATGTCGAAAATTGTATCGTCGTATCGTCTGCAATCCCGGGTTCCATTACTGAAAAAGCTGAGATTCTGATGGAATTGATGATTGACCACTGTCGTCGCTCAACGTACCGAATCGCGATGTCGAATATATGATTCTTGACCATCCTCCTATCTGCGTATGAAAGTGATTGCTTAGCAAAATATACCTCTGGGAAGGCCGGCCCTGCTCTCCAATACCCATTTGTTGATGTAAAGTGAGTGGAAAATTGGTTTTTGAGGTAGGCGGGAGAAGTATAAGGGAAGGGGGAAGGAGCACTGGGGCACAGAGAAAGAACATTCTACCCTCCACAGAGCTACAAGCTGTACTGGCGGTATTCCGACTCTATTCTACTCTACCCCGGACATAGATCCCCGTTCCACTGAAGTGTACTCAACTGAACTCGAATCTACCACAGACAGAGACTCCGGCTCTACTCACGAGAACTTCAATTCCACTCGACTCAACTCACTCCAGCGCTCCCCAAAAGTGCTCACCACTATACCCGTCCTTGGATACACAGATATCCACTGATACAACATCCCAAAAATACCCACGCCGCCCTCCCAAAACCCAGCTCCATACTATTACAACACCAGCCATGGCACCCCGTCACACCCCCTCCGAGAAAGCCAAAAAAGTATCCAAACAAACCAAACAAGCGAATCGCAAAGCCTCACAGCCGGGCATGAGAGCGAATAGACAAGCACGGCCACAAGTATGCCGCGCTTGCAACGCATCGAAGCGACAGTGTGACATGGGCTCGCCCAAATGCGGGAGATGCAGTTCGCTCGGCAAGGAATGCGTCTATCCGGCACCGACGACGGTAGCGGGATATCGAAAGCAGAAGAAGGATCAGAAAGAGGAGCAGAAAAGGGATGGTGGTGGGGAAATCGTGCAACCCGCGGCGGTTCTGGAGGAGGGAATCGTGGGAGACGAATGTGATGGTGGGGAACCCGTGCAGGTCACGGATAAGGAAGAGGGAATTGCTGGAGACGAAAGTGCCTCACCGAGCTTCTTCCAAAATGCTCACGAGGTCACAGCGTGGAACTGGCAAGAAGGAAGTTGGGATTACGAGACGATTTCGCCAGAATTTCTTCATCGCCATGATTTCAATCCAACACAAGATGATCCAGTGGAGAAAGAACTGTTCGGCGAGGAAAACACGGAGAAAGCGTTTGCGTCGAGACTTTCCTTTAAGGAGGTAGAGCAGCGGATGTTGAGGGACGAAGGGCGGCGCTCATCGTTCAATCATTGCACCCCCAAAGGGAGCTCAACACTCTTGCCATCCCTTTTCGACACACCGTCGATGGAGATCACGGATAATGAATTGGCGGTACCGGAGTCTGTTGAGGAGACTCGGCCTAGAGCACAAGGACTAGACTTCTTCATGGGGTTTGATCCAGAGCTGTGGCGAGACTCGTGGCTTTTGACATCAATTGATGATCAAAGGGAAAACACATATGTTTGAGTAGATAGTGTGAATAGTGTGATGGAATAACTTCATAGCCGTACATAGTTCATTGTAGATAGCCTAGCAGACATGTCATCGACTTCATTTCCAATCTCACTGTAGATTTCTGTCGTGCTTCCCAACCTCAAACATCAACCTGCAAACCCAGAGCCACGAGTCTTGATAAGGAACCTCTGTAACGCACGAAACGCAGTTCAAGGACACAAAAAAAAGTATATTCTTCTTCCATCATCTTGAAAACGTCACAGCTTCCCCAAATCCACCCCAAACATCCTTCTCGTACGTGACCCTACCCTAACCCACCCCTCACATGACCCACCACATCCCACACATTCACACATACCCATGCAGCAATCCTGCCCCAATTTTCCCAAGTCTCCCCCCCCCTCCTCCTCGCACCCGCAAAAAAAAATAGGTTTCCAACAGTCCATGTACACTCACAAACCTAACCACAAACAAACAATTCTATAATTTCCAATACAAACTCAAACCCAAGTCCAAACCCTTTTCCATCAATCTGTAACAAACAGCTGGAAAAATCGTAAACAAAAATAAATAAATGAGGATAAATTCTCCTTACTCCGAGCCGAACGACCCTTGTTATTTTATTGTTGCGCGCGAGAAGGCGTTCGTCCACGGATACGCCGATGCATGATGGCATGCGAACTAGGGTTAGTTACCTAATACGTGCGTGCATATCGGTAAATGGGAGGGGGGGACGACGATGACATGCTTTTAGTTCCTTTATATATATATACGTGCGTAGAGCGACATTGTTGGTTACATACTTGTAAGCGATGCACGCGGGTGTTGGATGGCGAGCTGAGCTGGGTTGTAATATATGTACCTACATAAGTTTGATGCGCATGTTGGTGTGTAGTGTATATCGTGTGTGCGACGTGTTTTTACTATCTTGACAGGGTCTTTGTTCTTTAGGGCTTGGTGGGGAGGAATGTCGTTTGGATGCTAGCTACAATGTACATCAATACTACATAGATTTGCTTTTGATAAGTACATAGGAAGGTAGGTATTGTGTCTAGACGCACATGATTCCGAATCGCGGTTTGAAAGTTATTGATCACGTGGAGCTTTGCCAGAGTGCACACACGTGCTTCCGAGGCTTTCACCGATCGCAGGATAGAAAATGAACATGCATACCGAGATGCGTATACAAGTAGATATGATGATTTTTTTCGTACAACGTACGAAGACACGTAGAACCTACGCACTCCGACTCCGCGATGAATAATGACAATACATGATTTTACCAACTCCCAACCCTCGGTTGCTCGTCTTGGATTTATGACAGCGCAACGATATTGTCCTACATACATATGTATGCACACCACACTGCGAAAGCCGAAACACGCACTTACACGCAATTACAACATAATATGGCATAAAATAGATACCTAGATACGCACGTATATCCTCCTCGTCAGGGCCGTCCGTCCGTACATACGTACATACGTACGTACCATGTATCATGTACCCACCTCCTTCTCCTTCGACAAGTATCATGTATCATGTATCATGCCATCGACCACGCACACCGATCTCCCCCATCATAAAAAAAAACAAGCTACGCTACGCTATGAACCCATGCCACGCTTCCGCAATGTACGTGCACGCCCGCCGAAGATGCCGGAAAATTACCTATTCGAGTCAAAAGTTCTGGCCAACCGGGGCGGGAACGGGGCTAGCGTTCACGCGCGCTCTCGAGACTAGGTGAGCGTGTACGAGGGCAGAGCAGAGCCGTGTACTGTGTTTACGGGGTGTACTCGGCGGCGATCGGCAAGGCGCCATTAAAAGGATGATGATATGGAATTGAGAAGCGGGTTTATTAGCATAGTAAAGGAAACGTGCGTGAATGAGGCTAGCGCGCACGAAAGTAGATGATGATTGAGATGGGGACGGGGTAGATTCGGGGAGGAGAGTTGGTTGGTTGGTTGGCTGGGTCGGAGGGATGGGCGCGATCGTTTTACCCAGTTTGCTCAAGGTACATACTGTGCAATGCAGCACTTGTTTTTCCCAAGGGTCGTAAGGAGAGACATGACGCTTATCGTATCGACCCCGTGTACATACTCGGTAACGAACGAACGAACGCACGACCAGCCACGGAAAGAAAAAACGAGATTTCAGGATCTATAATTACGCGGGGTCAGATACCGAATGGGTCCGCAACCTTTGTCGAATGTGTCATTAGTGGAGTCTAAGTCATCGACGAGGCTGGATTTGTGGATGTTGACGAAGACGTTGTCATCACGGATTGCGGAGTAGCAGTCCGATGAGCGGCGGAGGCGGCGGCGCAACGACGAGTAGGCGATATGTGGGTGTGCGCAGTATATCCCAAGATAGTAATAGCACTGAAAGAGATGGAGTTCGTATGTTGTTAGATTTGGATTCATTCGCGATGTGGCTGGGATGTGCGGGCGAGGGAGAGGCTCAACAAGGTAAACCCGGAGTTGGGGCGGCGGGGCGGCAGAGCAGAGTAGAGCCGGGCAAGGCTATCGCTAAAATGGGATAATAAAGCGGGAGAAAGTGAATTAATAGATAGACTCTGATAGAGTAGAAAAGAAAGAACGGAAGGATTAAAAAGGATGAAAGGTAAAAAAAGACAGATAATGCGCCCCGGAGAGAGATCGACATGGCTTGGGACCTGTTTGGGGGCGATCAGACGAACAAGAGGGCGAGATGACAGAGAAGAGAACGAAAACGTTACCGGAAAAAAGTTGATGGGCTACTGTTTAGTCAACCAACGGTAAACGATGAGTGATGATGCATCATTTTCCTTTCTGGTGTGTGACATTGCATCTTGAGGTTCCCCACCCGACCCGACTCGCATTCTCGCATCTCTCGCACTTTGATCCCGTGCGAGAGGGACATGGCACGCCGCGCGCGACCCTGCGGCGGGCGAAGAGGTGCTGACGATTGTGGATCTACGGCTCCCTGGGACGTAGGAGGAGATACGCCCGAATCAAGTAATTTGGCATTGGCGGCAGCGGGTCGTTCTCGTTCATTCATGTCATGTACGGTATGGTAAAATCACCCGCTCGTTCATGCAGACAAGACGGCCAGCCAGATATGCCTGACCGGTGCATGCATCCATCCATCATCCGCAACTCTGTGCCGCTCGCTTTTCGTAACGTGTAACCGCAATGGATGGTCCTCTTGCCGTAATACCTCAACAGGGCAATCACCTCGCACTGGCTGGAGGGCGAACGCTGATGGCTCCGCTCCGTGTGCGAAGAATGGGCGTTTCGATTATCCTGAGTCGCGACCGAACGTTGCCCCAAATGGGATACACGTTGCGAAAGGTGCGAAACTCCCCCCAGCGGTAGATCGCCTTGGGCTCCATATGGTCGAATGTCGACATGTCTCCGTAGTCGCTGCTGCAGATTGATGCACTCTGATGAGAACGGCAAACGCACTGCGCTCTCGCTAGCCGGTGCCGAGTTGAGCAGCATGGCGCGCTACTGTAAGTACGGCAGCGCATTGTACTGCTGTGCACACTTCGTACGTCTGTCTATTTCCAGAGAGTGGTTGGTGGGGTCCGCTCCTCAGTCAGCTGAGCCCAGACGACATTTTGGCTGTCGCATGGAAAGGAAATAAACGGGAAGACGCCAGGGATGTCGTCTTCGTAACCGCATCCGGTATATATTGCGTTAAAAAAAAATAAACGTAGCGACCGTCGTCTCTGACATTTCAGGCCGTACATACGCCGCGCCCACGCCTTGCGGCGCCCAGCATCCAAACTGCTGCCATGTAGGCCTGAATAAATATATCCCCATGCCGCCGTGCGTGGGATGCAGCATTCCGTACGTCGCTCTCTCGACCCGTGTGAAACAGATATACCAATTCGATAAGTCGTTCTCACCAGTCGTCGGGTCTGTCTCTTGCTTGTGCAGTCGCACGGCATTCCTGGAAAACTCAGACTAAACGAATCCGGCCGTCACGTGCTCGTATACCGTGCAGCACATGTGCGTCCATTGAATTCCTGCATTGGTGACATCTACGTTTCCACTCGCTAATCGAGAGGCCTCCAGCTCCAGTCTTTAGGCGGCCGGCCATACTTCCACTGGCACTGGCTGGGCGACCACCCACCCACTCACTGACTCGACCTCAGCCCTCCAACACCAACTAACCGTCGCCCATCACAATAAAACCATCATACACTCCCATGGTATCAACAATACTATCAAATACATTGCACGCCAACATGTCGGCTACTACATGTCCAGTGGCCAAGGAAGCCGCCTCTCAACCCTACGATCCAAAGGATCCTGAAGGCTATCTAAGAAGATGCTCCGGGCACAACAAAAAGAAGGGAACCCGCTGCAGTGCCATCATCGGACGGAACTCTCAACAAGCAAAGGACTCACATTCGACCTATCTCCCAACATGCCACACCCACAAGGACCAAAAGAAGTATGCGGGGCGCTGCAAATTCACCCAACCCGGGGGAGAAAAATGTCGAGTGCTATTCGAATGGACACCGCCGCAATTCGAACTTTGCGCAGATCACCAAGGTCAATCAGATACTCCGTGCTATCTCATGTCGTTACCGCTCGAATTGCGCCTGGAGATCTTTCGATACCTGTTGCCGAAACGAGCCATCGGTTCTTCGACTTCACTGTTGCACGTTGCCGAGGAAGAGGAGGAGCCTCCGGGTTGGTTTTGCTTGTATACGCCCAATGCTTCCAACTCCCACTCCATCTCGCGGCCGGGGATGATCCGCAAGTCTGGCCAAGTATCTCCCATTGAACGCTCGACCCTGGCAAGCGTGTTCCCGGCGCCCTTGTTGAATGTGCTAGTGTTGAATCGGCAGATCTACACCGAAATGAAGGATCTCCTGTACAGCACTGTACCATTCACCGTGGATGTTCGAAAGGATGGGACGTTCATGTGTGGAAGACGGCTTCTGGAACCTAGGAGAGCCGACGGGTCGTCGCACTTTGTTGCAAACGAGGTAGACAACATGAAAAACAAGTTCCTACAGACGTTTGAATGGGCCAACGTCAAGAACTACAATGTCGACATACTGGTAGAGAAGTGGGAAGACACGCAAGTCATGTCGCGAGCACCGGGATTCTGGGACGAGGAGGTTGAGATTTACGACATTCGCGATTACGTCGGAGTAGTTGTCTCCGGAATTTTGGCTAAATCAGATAACCTTTGCAAACTCAACGTCCGCATTGGTCTTTCCAAGTTCACTTGGAGCGAGGAAGAGCTCATGAAGAACATTAAAACTATCGTGGGACCTTTCGAGCGTCTCCGCAACGTCAGACAGCCGCGGCTTAGAGGCATATACGACAGCACGCCACACACGAACTTCATGATCAGCTTGCCGTTGCCCGCGCAGGCAAGAGCGGCTCGAGCAGGGCCCGAACTCCAAGCAAAACTGCCCACACCGTTGTGTTCAGTACCTCAGCTGCCAGCTCAAGCGCCACTTCAAGCCTGCATCCAGTCGTCGTTCACTGACTATCGCTCTGAATGGGAGGGTCGAATCTCGTTAACAGCGCCTTCTTCCATCATCAGTAAACCTCCCATCCGGAACATGTTTACACAGTTTAAAGAATTCTACGCCCAGCTCTGCTACATCATCCCAGCAGTAACGCACAAAACCGGCCGACTAGCATTCCTCCACCGCGCGCGAGTAGCGCGGGAGCAAGAGGACGTCGAAGCCTTTCGACTTCTCCAGGCCGAGCTTATCAACTACTGGTATACTTACCAAGAAAACGAGCGCCAAATAAAAGCCAAGCTCGAACAGAAACTGTGCAAATTGCTGGATGTGGACGTCTACCCACTCAATATCCCAGACACAGATAACAACATACCGAAATCGACGTCGCAATCCCCTTTAATGCCAAACATGGAGCCCCCACCACCATCAATCGCGTCAAGCCAACTTGGCGCTATCCAACAGGCTCGCAAAAACTCCTACTCTCAACTCTCCTCCAGCTCAGACCCCAGTCCCTCACCTCCAGCAATCCAACAAACCATGGCTTTAAACCCGCATCCACCACCCCGCCAGCACATCCTAAGCCTCAACCACGATGGGGAAATGGAGCTCCGATCCCGCCAACAGCTAATGCAGCATCTGCAGATGCAGCAACAACAGGCGCAGCAGATGCAGCAGCGACAACTGGGCTATCAATACATCCATCAACAAATGATGCTGGCTCAAGCTCAGTCGCAACAGAACGAACCGCGCCTGAGCCACTTGAGCCCAGTAACAGCTCCGCGACAAGCTACAACGCCTACCCACATCTCTGCACCTAATTCAATCTTACACCAGATGAAGCAGAAACCTGATTCCGCTGTGAAAAGGGAAAACCAGTACATCTCTCCCTCCACAACCCCATCATCATCTGCCCAGCAAAGCCCAACAGCAACATGTTTCCAACAGCAACAGCAACAACAGCAAAACCTTTTTCCATCAACAACCAACTCATCTCCGAACTCGGGACCAGGGTACTGGAAAGCCTGCGACGATCGCAATACCAGGGGGTCGTCATATACGATGGGGTATAAAGAGTGGTTGGAATTCGTGCACGTCGACGATGGTGCTTCATCTGCCTCTTCTTCCTCCTCATCATCATCGCCACCATCGCAGACGAAGAGCTTAAAACGCGGTCTTCCTTCCCCGACGGAAGAAGAGTTCTTCCCCCACGCAGCTACTGCAAATTTCCCTGACCCGAAGCAGAAAAGACAGTGTCGCCCCGGACAGGAACGCGAGGATTATGGACTCGGGCTAGGGCTTGGTTTGGGCACGACTGTTGTGAAGATGGAAAATGCGGATGCGGAAACGGACATGGAGTCGCACGTAAGGGTGAAGGTTGAAGTCGACGAACATCAACAACAACAACCAGTGGAGTTTGAGAGAGGGAGGAAGACCTGGGTCGATGACGGCAGGAGAGAAGTGAATGACTGCGGGGATGAGATCTTGGTGTTGACCGAGGAACACGATGTTTTCCGGCTTTGGGAGGGAGCTGATGGGAAGGGAAAGGGGAGGGCCTGAGGTGCTTTAGAAAGAAAGATGCCTTATCCCCTCCGTTCTCGATCTACCGAGTGTCGGTTTTCTTTTTCTATCATCTTTTATGGACGGTATTTGGGACAAAATATTATGGAGTTTTGAAACCTGGGATTGTGTGGGTGGTCATCTTCTTCAAAAACAAAACTTTTTCTCTTTTTCCTTCACGGTAGTTCCTTGCATCTCGAATTTCAAAGGGATAACGGCAATATGCGACACAGCAATAACGCCTGCGAAAAACAAAATCATATTAAAAAAACCACAAATATATGTCATCCAACATAACTCCACATATCCCCAGGGTTACATGATTGCCTCAAAGCTTGCGGCACCATCTCCTCGCCAATAAACCCCGTCACCTACCTCTTCGCCACCAGCACCATACACACGCACAAACTAAACCCCTCCCTTCTCCCCCCTCCCCTGCCCCCCAAAAAAATTCACATTATACAAATCCAGCCAGAAATACACCTACACAAGGCATTCACATCATCTACCAGCCCATTCCTTCCCCCTCCGTCCTTTCCATCCCATCCTACGGACCAAAAACCACCAGCCCAAGAAAACTACGCCGTAAACGCCGCTGCATAGCTCTCACATGCACACCCACACCCACACAAATTTTCCATCCTCCATTCCATTCCATCAATCATCCTTCTCATCCATCCTTCTACTGCCTCTCCAATCATTTCTACCTCACAACTCCCCTTTCCTTCCTTCGATCCTACATGGTGTATGCGCATACGCCGTAGGGTTAGATTACATCACATCAGCTCAGGGTCAGCCTTGGGTGGTTTTAGACATGGTATGTGAAGTCTCTGTAGGCAGACTGCGTTGTTTATCTTATTTATTAATCTACTTACGCCGCAGGACGATGGTTTGTTGAGGGTCACTGCACTGCGATGCGGCGCTGTCTTCCTTTCGTTTTTTTTTTTTCGGAATTTCCTTCTGAGATGAGAAGAAGGGGAGTAAGAAAGAAAGTAAAGAGAGAAGAAGGAGGGTGTATACTGTATAGACTACTCCACACTATGATTGAGTAAATGATTATGTTCTAATCGTCTTCTGTATGCTGAAGAAACATATGAACAGATTATACCTTTTCTTTTCTTCTTCTTCTTGTTTAGTCTCATTCGTATCTCGCAAAGAAGCGGCGTCGATAAGCGTTCAATGCATGTAAGCCCTCGCCCATAAGCAACAGCATAACAGGAGCAAGGAGCAGAGCAGTAACTACTGTGTTTGTACGCTGATAATCCGCCAACTTGGGCATCAAACAATTTGGAAATCGACTTGCGCAATGAGGGAGAGAGTAACACACCTACACTCACACACAAAAAAAGAGATATTATAATCACGGTCAGATAAGCAAGAACAAACAAATATATATATAATAAATATATTATTATATGGTACGTGGCGCTGAGTTTGTTTGTTTTGAGTTGTAGCCGCTGTGGAGAATGTATGTACCCCGCCCGCCCCAAGGAGAAGGTAAACTTGCTGCGATTTGATTATCGATAATTGGTACGACTGTACTACGACATATCGTGCGCGCAGCCCAACGCAACGCAAACGCAGCCACACATAGAAAATTGTGCAGCATGAATGGGGAAACCCTATTTTTTTTATGGGGACGGCGAACAACACAAGCATCACGCGCAGCTTTTTTCCACATGAAATATTTGTCTGCACATCTCACAATTGGCACGACTCATGATTGCATGGTGGTTACGAAAAGACTGATCATGGCGTCATTCATTTCATTTTCACCGGCATGCATGCCTCGTATGTACCTGGCTTATGTATTGTGGAGGCAAACACTACCCAGGACACCACCGCGCCTTTTTATTCTCTTTCTCTCGATGCCCCGCTTCATACTGCGAGAAGCCGCATCATGTCACACAGGCCTAATACCCGCAGGAAACACCTTGCATATGCCGAGCACCCGAAGAGATCATTGGATATAATACATGGCGAAAATTCGAAAATTTCGCTGTGCGACGGAAACCGTACACCTACATGCCATGCATGTCCCGTAGCCCACCCGAAATTGCTCTTACTTCTGTTGGGAGTCTCTGACGCGGATGTCTCGCCACATCATGACCGCGGCAAGACCAACAGCCAAAACTGCGGTAGATGCAATGCACATGACTTCTTGCGCATCGCCGTATGATTTCTCGATGGCAACTCTTGTAGGTGTGCCCTTTGGATAGCTGAGTTGAGTCGTGAGAGAGCCGTAGATCATGCCAGCAGAGCCCTGAGCCTCTTCTGGGAGATAGGCAGCAACCCTCTTGGGAAACACATCGGTCCAAATGACGCTAGCCATTGTGCTTCCGATCCCTCCGCCGATACTCGAGGCCATGCCCTCCAGGGCAAGCACAACGGCGATATACTGATGCTCGGTAGCTGCCATGACCGCGATTTGCTCAGTAATCACGCACGCTCCTCCAGCGAAAGCGATGAATATTTGGCTCATGATGATATAGCCAATCGGCTGATCATGTTGGCGGAAGTGAATCATCAGGCCCACTCCCAAAGCAGTAAAAGGTACGCCAAAGTAGAGAGCGATCCATTTGAACCTGCCACTGAGACGGATGGCGATGCCCACGACGATGGAGAACAAACAGGAGCCGACAGTGTATATGTGAACGACATAAGTCGCTTCAGTGATCGAAAGACCATTGACGACCTGGAGGAAGGAACTGAAGTAACAGTTCCACAGGGTGAAACTGATGAAAAGAACAGTTGCAAGGACAATGGCACCCACAACAGTTCTGTTCAGCAGGCTGTAGGGGATGAAGGTCTTCGGGGCAATGCACTTTTCGTACAAGGCAAATGCGATGAGCATTAGGATTCCGATCACCAAGAATGTGATAATCATCGGCGAATGCCACTTTTTCGGCTCAAAAGACCACAGGCTGAAGGGGAGGAGAAAGAACACCAACCCAGAAAGGAGGAGTAAAAGACCTCCAGCGTCGAACTCAATCAGATAGTACCGGACTGCTTCGAGAAATGTCGATTCGCGCTTAACCGGAACGATGATGCCGGCTTTGACTGCCTTTCTATAGTTGAACATGAACAGCGCAAAGAGCGGGATCGAGGCAGCAACTGTGATTATAGCAAAAGCACCGTAGCACCATCTCCATCCTGGACCGTTGAGGAAGCGGGTGGAAAGAGGTCCAGAAATCCAAGCAGTTATGATATATGGACTGTTGACGTAGGCGAACATGAAACCGCGGTTCTGCAGTGAAGAGGTGTCGGCGATGAAGACCCCAATGGTGTAGTACATGGAGTTGTATCCGAGCCAGTAGAAGATCTGCGCTGCAGCGTAGACATGTACACTGGTACACACGGCCATAAGGGTGAGACCCAGGACAAGGAATCCGACAGAGATGGCAAACCCATGGGGTCGGCCAAAGATGTCCAGTATCTTGGCTAGTGGAAGCTTTAGAACGCCGCCGATGATTCCGGACATGACGCCCGTGTACGCGGTCAACGAGTGCTGGGCGAAAGAGCTGGTAACGTAAGGCACTAGAGCACTGGATATTCCCTGCTGGGTAGTATCGATGAAGGTAACGAGCCACATCCTTCGCATGTTATGTTAGCAACATGCATAGCAAGTAGTTGGAAGTTTCAGGAAGCGGTATATGACGTACAAGACGTAAACAGCAATCAGATGGTTGCGGTTCAAGACAGCGGTAATGGCTTCGACCTTCTGAACACCAGGCTGGACCGGCGCGGGTGCAACTTCCGCGACATCAGCCTGAGCCTTGCTGTCCAAGTTGACAAGCGCGATTCCCTTGGGATTGGCCTCTGTGTCGTCGCCCAGTTTGACACTGTATCGTGAGTTGCCCACCACGGGGGATCCGGCGACGGCAGTCTGGAAAGGATTGCGCATGGTTGCGTACTGACAAGACGACAAGTCACAAGGTAGAGGGTGGTGTGGTGGAAGGACAGAGTTGAGTTGGGCGATGTCAGGATGATGGATTTAAAGAGAAGAATCGCGAGTGCGGTAGAGGGGTTGGAGGAGAAAGGTGAGGAGGGAGGCGAGGAGGAGGAAGGTGAGGAGGAAAGTGAGGAAGCTGCGAGGAGGAAGGTGAAGAGGGACAAGCGACCAAATAGTCCTCAACAACGAAGGCAGGTGCGACCCACGCGCACGCAGACGCAGACGCTAGCACCTACCTTTCTGGGCGGGTTTGTAACATTCGCATACGTTGGCACAGCTTCAAGGCACGCACAGCTTCAAGGTTCATGTATATGATGTGAATTCGGAGACGTCGCTCCTTGAAGCAGAGTAGCAGTATGGACCATCGTGATGTTGCTCACGGACGTGAATGGTAGGTTGCAATACACAGGGACGACGGGTCCTCGCAGCCATGCTTCCGTAACAAACATCGGAACCAGTCAATGGCCTCATCTCTTTTCGACCCTGCGTCATGCTGGCGTGGAATTCGCCAGTCAGTATGTCTTTTCGAGCCCCGCTGAAGTTGCTGCTGGGAATTTTGAGTAACACTATCTACATGTGTGCATGTTCACAGAGGTCATGCAAGGCTGTACTGATAATCAGTTGCTATTACTGCTACATCTTGGAAAAACACTTAGTGAACAACGGGGATAGCTTGTGAAAAGTCCTGGTGGCTGCCTTTTCCTACTCCCTAACGTTGTTCATGTTTGGGTATCCTCGATCATCGTGTATATGAGCAAGTGCTTGATGTCGCAAGTTTGATACTTAATCCTACACAAGTATTACAGAATATGAACTTGTCTCTTATCAGCCCAGACGATCAATGCTACGTATACACGTGCTTCGAACAAACTCAAGCAGCATCTTCTTTGCAAACTCAACGAGCATGGCGCTTGAATATCTTCTTCAACACACACATACCCTTCGCCATTTACGGGTCTTAACCCAAAGCAGCCCCATCATTTGTATTATTCGCTCGCTTTCGTGGGGTCGGCTTCCAGCATTTTTCTGCCAGCTCTACACCGTGCAAAAATGCTTCTGCCACCTGTGCATGATATTGGTAATCGCCATTCAAAAATGCTCGGGTGAACTGTGTGGATGCCCAGTTGCGGTCCTCCTCCGAGCGCGAAGCAATAATACCAAATCCTTCAATAACGTTCCTGACGACAGATGGAATAACCCCAATATGCTCGAGGCCTCCAAGTAACACCCTCGTGAAATAACCTAACTCGTGGGCTATTTTTTCGATTGTAACCTTGTGAGTGGAGAGCGCTTTTACTACTCGTCCAGTCGGCCGACCGTCGAATACTGTCCAGTCAATCCCCGGTAAAGATTTGATCAGACTGAGGTATGGTGTGACAGATATTAAAGCCTCAGCAGGAATGTTTCCTAACAGTCAGACAGTCAGTAGATATCGCGCAGTGATGATTGGGCTGCCTACCGTAGCACATCTTCTCGTAGATAGCCTTGTATCTAGCCCATGTCGCCTGGTTTTGGGCTTTTAGATTTTCGAGCACCGTCTTCGCAGCTACTACGTTGCATTGTTTAATCTTGCTTAGATCAATAACTGCGAGCATTGGATTGTCCATGGTCGACGCGTATTTGAAAACTTGTACAAGGCTTGTGCAACATGAAATAAATGGAGAGGGGATCCTTGAGGTCATTGACAAATGTGACCGCGCCCAGAGTTGAATAGCGCTCATATTCGATTTTGCTTGTAGAGACATTTGATCGTTGATACTTAGATCCGGGGAGGCCATAGCCTGGGTCCAGTCACTAGAAAAGAGAGCAGCGGTAAAACCTCGTGTTGATGAGTATGATGTTGCCGAGTTGTTATCCCATACCCTGAAAGCGATACTAGAACCAGGGACAAGCCCCATAGTTCCCGTAGAGAGAGATGCAGGAGAGAGAGAAGAGTGTTCGGATGTGAGCGTACCAAATCCGACAGAGAATGGAGAGCTATGGGACTTCGAGTATCCGAATTGTCCGTGCGGATCCGTGGATTCTATGTCGACAACTTGTTCGAGATCCTCGTCGACATAGACGGCAAAATTTCGAGTCTGGACTTGTGGATCGACGCTCGTTGTCAGGTCGTTTGTGTTCTTGTCCGAGGCTTGGCGTACGAGTGTTTTCAGTCGTCTTTGAGTTCTTTGGGCTGTTCTTTTGTTGACACCTACAGTGAGGGCAGTGATACGAGGCACTAGCTGTACGTTTTCTTTCCGGCAGAGTGTGGTAATTGAAGTCCACATGTCCACTTGAGCTTGAATATCTCCATGGATCCTGCTGAAGGCCGTGTAGAAAACATTCAGGTGGGACACTTGAGATCTTATCTTATTCACTGACAAGCTCAAGCCGTGAAAGCTGTTGAAGAGTTTTGTGTACAGTGGATAGTCCGGCTCAAATAGATGATACAAAGCAGACAGAAACGATCGTTGGGAGTCGCTCCATTGATGAGGCGGCGAGTATTCGATTAGCTTCAATTTATTGAGGGACAAAGAATTCTCGGACAAAATTCCAGTTGATGGTGTTCTAATCGTCGATTGGTAGTCTAGTTTTCGTCTCACTGGAAGGTTGGGCTGAACAACAGACTTGCGGCGCTGGATTGGTTTGCCCCGGTTTTTCGTCGTGACCGAGAAGATGGGTGGTATAGGATCACTGAATCTTCCACAGGGCGATTCCAAGAAATCAGTCTCCGAGTCAATCATGAATTGGGTTTCGGTGCTTGAATGCGTCTGAATGATATCCTGCTCTGTCGTAGGCGACGAGGCAAATGCGTTTAGTTGCGCCAACCAGTCGATATCCGGCGAGGGATCTGTAGAGTCCTCCATGATGACATCTCCATCATCAATATCTGGGCCCGTGAAGTGGGCAATGCCAGTCTCATCGTAGGACCACATTGTCGCCGTCATGGAATTGATCTCCGCAAAGGAGACACCAATTGCGTGAAATATACCGCAGCAAAATTCACACACTTATCCAGGCAAGTGAGGCGAAGTTGTCAAATGGAGGCCAAACCCTCGTGTGCCGAGTAAGTCAATGGGACGTGCAATTGACACGCAAAACAATAACAAAACAACGCGCGATTAGAACGCGACCTGGTGTGGTCGTGACGCGTGGACGCGGACTTGGGCGAAGGCGCGAACGCGACTTTGGTATTGTTGACTTGTAAGAGCGCCTTCTTGGGGAGCGGACGCGATGACGTGTGCGATAGTTCCAGAGCAAGACGTCCAGTTCCCCAGGAAGGCGCTCAACGATGTATCTTGAATGACCAATACATGACTGAGGATATTATCTTGGTCAGATACTGCAAGGGTATATGCCGCTACTCATGGAGTGCCGGAAGGTGCAAAAGATTGCGGTGAGTTGGCAACGAACCTGGCGATATCTGATTGAAAATTGCATCGATGAATGAAGCGCGGACGAACAGACATCAGCTGTTCCCATACAAAGAATACCACAAGGATATTGGCATTGCCCGTCACGGTCGGGTTATTCTCCGCATCATAACGACTCCTACGAAGTATTGCAGCGCGAAGCTCTCCGTCGATCATCTCGAAGACAACAATTTCCAGATCCTGAGTTGTAGTCAGTCACCGCGCGCCGAGCGATCGAGTCATACATACACTGGAAACAATATCGTCAACCAACCGGCTGTTCATGGATTCAAGACCCATAGCGTCCACAATAGCGCTCAAGTGCTATGTGTATGGAAAGCATTGCTCCAGCGGAGGCCGACATCAATGAGAGAAAACCAACAAGGACGTACAGCAGTTAGGAATGATGATATATATTGGAGTAAAGGAGTAACATAAGAAAGAAACATGGCTGCTCCTATTAATACAAAGTCAAATATGTGGGTGCCTGATCCCCACCAATGGATGCCTGATTGGTTACCAACATTGAAGTATCGAATGGCGGTGATTGGCCGGGGAATCACTGTTCTTATGAGACACAAACTCCAAGAAAGAGAATTGCCTTGTATAAGATTCGACTGGAATCTTGGAAGCATCTTGTGAAATGTAGCTGAAGTGAGAGGCGACCTGAATATTGTCTAGATAATACTAAATCTGACACATTGTGTGTGAAGTGGCAGAATAGCAGATATGAGACAGTCGAGACCTCAGACGGATACGGTCCATGGCAAAGATACCAGCTCTTCCATATTTGAATCAATCTTTTACTTTGATAATAAATTGAACTTCCAAGTCTTCGCCGCATGATGACAGCATCCATGATGCAGGTTTGCGGTGTGCAGGGCAGTGGTTGGAACTTCAAACCTACACTCTAAATCACCAGTAAAGAATCAGCATCATCATTTATTATCAACTGCCTACTCTTTTATCTCGTCTCTAAACTGTTGTATGTAACAAGATTATGAGATGAGTTGTGCGAAAATACAATGACCGGACTCATCCAATCGAACATGGGTATGCCTAATTAACAGCTTTGATTTCAACAAAAACGATTTTTTTATCATCATTGGAATAGCGCAGTTTCGCCATATCAATCTACACTGATCGATTCCGACTTGGATGTTCTCGTATCATGATTTCGGTGTTTAATCCTCTCTTGGTGCGAATGCTTTCAAAGGCCGATGCGTAACATTTTGATGGCTCCGATGAGATGCCTGCTTCTTTCAACACACGGTTGCGGCAAATCTCTGTTTTGGGATAACAAAACTCGTGCTCGTGGCTGCAGCAAAGCCATTAGAATTTTATGCAAACAGTATCTAGTACTTCCGTACATATACAAGCTATTGCAGAGGTGCCTAGCAGACGAATCAACTCGCTGTAAAGTTGCACAGGCCAACCGATTTAGCGCCACTGCATCATGTACACTACATCGTCCATTAACCACATGTCAGTAGTCCCGCCACTTCACCACTTCGATCCCATCCTCGTGACAAAGCCATCAATCAAAATGGCCACTGACAAATCGCCAAGTCGAGTCGCTATATACGTCAAAGTCACTGATATCGAGGGCGATTCCCTCTGGAGACACATCACGCTAGGACAAGCGTTCTGTTCTAATGTACTCCTGAGAGACTTCCGCTATCAGATCCAACCCGATGGGTACGACACTTGCCATTTACCTCCGAACTTTGACTCCAGCCATGATGTGCATGCCTATTTTCTCTTCGATCTAGGCGTGACTGGACGTTTATCCTGGGAAAATATATCGCATTCTGTTTATCTTGCTAGTCGAGCGCAGGGGAAATGGTAAGGCAAAAGGATTGTGGATTGTCACACTTTTTAAATAATCAATTGATAGGGATTTCATTGCTCGCCCATCCGTCATTGACAAAGCTAAGCAACGAGCGCAAAAGTATCCTTGGGGAGGTGCATTGGAGCTGGAGGTATTTGCAGAGCTGAAGGCGTTTGAAGAACCCCCATGTCTTCAGGAGAAATCTCATCATGGCATTTGAGGGTACAAAAGACTCGAAGTTCGATTCTGAGGAAATGCAGATAAGTGTCGTTCTACCATCACTCAAAACCTCATGTTCTGGGATCCTGCTATCGTAACATTTCGTTCGCAACATTCATCAGCCTTTCCTCTCGGGCTTCAATCACTGACCATTCTCCCTATATCCATCGTCAAAACCGGCTCCTCCCAAAGAACAGCTACACAGCGCCTCAATTACGGTGTCACTCTCTGGGGGTCCCTGGGGAACAAGCTAGTCATCCTGATGTTGGGTAGACCAAGCCAGAATTGCACAATTCTCTCGAGTCCGAACCCACCACCGCCGTGAGGCGGGCATCCGTAGCGGAAACTGTCTACATAGTCTTTTGTGCCGGCGCCGTTGGGATCGATTGGAGGATCGTGCTTGCGCATTTGAGAAGCCAAGAGTTCCGCGGAGTGTATACGTTGAGCGCCGGAGCAGATTTCCTGACCGCGCATGAACATGTCGTACGAGTTGGAAAGTAGAGGATCGGCAGGCGAGGGCATGGTGTATGCCGGACGGATGGCAATGGGGAATTGGTCAAGCGTGTAGAAGTCAGATCCATATTTCTCCAGTACGAGACGGCCGAGATGCTTTTCTTGTGGGGTGCTGGGTGAGATGTTAGTAAACTGCGATAAGAGAAATCCAATGTTTCCTACCTGAGATCATCGTAGTCGCCAACCTCTTCGCCTGCATCACGCAACATCTTGATACCTTCTTTGAAGGGAATGCGAGGAACTTTGCCAGATTCGGGGAGCTTGAAATCTTCGACATGATACGCGCTCCGCACGAGATCGGTTTCTTTCTTGTATCGGGCATTGAGCTCTTTGAAGATGAAAAGCATGAGGTCTTCAAGGACGCGCATGACCTCGTGATAGTGCTCTTGGAACTCCATCTCCAAATCAAGACCAGTGAATTCGGTCAAGTGGCGTGCAGTGTTTGAGTTCTCAGCACGGAATACTGGCCCGATCTCCATGACTTTTTGGAAGCGCGACGCAATAAGCATTTGCTTGTAGAATTGAGGGGACTGGGCTAGATACGCCAAGCGATCAAAGTACTTGAGCTCAAAGACGTTGGCACCGCCTTCGGAAGCTGCACCGAGAATCTTGGGGGTCTGAACCAGCGTAAATCCTTGCTTGGAGAGGAATTCCTGGAAAAGACCGCAGACACCACTCTTGACAACAAAGATAGCATGGTTGACCTTTGCGCGCAGATCAATGGTCCGGTTGTTCAACCTCGTATTAAGTCCTACGAGTGGTCGTGCATCTCCCTCAGCTGGCTTTTCGTCCTCATCTCCCAACCCAGTATCAGGCAATGGGCGCTCGGCATCGTCAACCTGAAGGGGAAGTGGGATCTCGGCCTTGGCTTCCACAAAAAGCTTCAGAATATGTATCTCAAAGTCCTTAATGGTCGCGCTCTTGATTGGCTCCTTGACTCTCTTCACCAAGCCTGTGACCACAAGCGTACTCTCGGTGCTTACGGTACCACAGAACTTGACCATCTGCTTGCTTAGCTTGTCGCTAGCCGCAATGACTGCCTGCACCGTGTTCAAGCCTTGTCGCAAGTTCACGAAGGCGAGCTTCGCAGACTGGGAACGGGCATTTTCGACCCAGCAGCGGAATGTGATTTCCTTGTCTTCATGATCGGCAACGGTAGATAGGTCGGTGCGAGGTGTATCTGTGGGCTTGAAGTCCTTCGAACCGATGAGGGGAAGCTCGCCATAGGCGTCTTTGGAAACGTCCTCTGCGTCGGCGGCTTCCTTCTTTTGACGTTCAGCGAGCTCACGCGCTTTGGCTGCTGCCTTCTTCTCAGCCTAGTCAAATGTCAGTGAAAAGCTCAAAGAGGCGACCAATCGAAAATGATAGGTAGATGACCTACCTTTTCCTTTTCCTTCTGAGCCTTCTTCAAGGCGTTCTTGGAAGGCTGCTCTGGTTGCTGGGGAGCATCACCTGCGCTTGAAGCTGCTGGCGCTGAATCGGCCATTTCTGAACGATGGTGGATCTTGAATTGGGAAAAGTCAAGCCTCTGTCCTAGAAAAGAAGAGGTTACGATCAATGCGGACGGGGCGCGTGGGTATGAGTCGAAGCTCTGCTCAAGGGCGGCCAATTTTTGGTATGGTGGGGCAAAATTGGTACCCCGCCAACCACCCACCATCGCCGTCATCCCATCTCACTCACTAGCGCTTTCACAATGACAGGGGCAGGACGCGCCCAGGACTACTCTTCAGATGCTAATCTTCGAATACATTGGGATTTTTTGATGGATTATATATTGATATCCTACCCTCCCAACAACGTCATCCAGATGCGATAGTGATGTTGCGATCTACTTGTACTCTTCTGCAATCATCGCAACTCACAGCGAGTTAGAACCTCGAGACAAGTCCTTGGTGGCCGTTGGTATTCGGAACAGTATGATCAAGTTCCTGGTCGCGTCATAGTCCCGACCGTACCAAAGCTTCGACGAGTCTAGCCAGTCTCTCGGTATATACTGAGCGGCTGATCACACAGGTACCGACGGATCGAGTTCGAGTGACATTGATACACCGATGTGTCTTCGGGTACATGGCCCTCTGGTTTCCAGTAGGAACATTGTTCTGTCGCATGCCAAACAGCAGATGCTTATGGACCCGTATGGTTTGGAGGAAGAGCGTTTGCGATCGCAAAGTGCGGTAGCCTCAGTCCCGACAGTGCGGATCCCATTTTGCGGTGCATGATATACCATGACCATGGCATACCATGATGGGCGTTGATTTTGGAGATCACAGGCTTTTCAAGACTCTTTCGGCCAGCTTCTTTTGTCCTTTCTCGCCCAGCGCCTGCTCATCCACCTCTTGAATGGCCCTCCCAACAGCCAGGATAGTCTTCACGTTTGCGCCGTCGACATGCACTATACCGTTCCTACCGACCGTGATCTCGAACCCAACCTTTGCCCCGATCAACTCCAGCACAATGACCTCCCCTTTTGACTTGAGAAGCAACCGCCGTGCCATTCCCAAGCTAACGTTGAAAATCATACCACTCTTCAGCGGACCGAGACCTTCGCTTTTCCCCGTAGAAGGATCAACGCATGTAATTTCCGGCGAGGTATGCTGTCCATTGCTGACAACGCGCGCGTATACGAGCGAGTGGGGTGCCAAAACTGGACGTGTTTTACGAGTTGCACCTTCGAAAGCGAGTTGGGGTAGACTGGCGAAAGGCGTGTTTGGTGTGAGCAAGCAATTGAAGCTTTCGAACACCGAATTCTGGATAGTGGCTATCACCAGATCGCCCACGGCTGGAATATACTATAGACCAAGTTAGGAATACCGCCTCAGGCCGGTCGCGAGGACATTTGACGTACCCTTCCACTGTTCGTGTCCACCCAGATGGCATTCTTCTTGTTGTCGGTCGTCAATGCGCCGGCGATTGTGGTTGTAATGGTATCTGGTGGGATGTGTCGCAAACCAGGGCCAAGAGTCAGGGTCTTTTTCTTGCCAGTAGGTGTGGGTAGGGAGCTTCGGGGGATTTCGTCGCCCGGAAGGACTACCGTGACTAAAGCGGCCATAGTTGTTCGAGGCGAGACGTGTGGTTCGTGAAAAGAACGGAAAGTAGCATGGTTGCCGTCGACAAAGTGATGTTATCAACGCCAAGAAATATTTTTAGCGCGCTGGCGGGACCGATTTTTCCTGAACGAACATTTTCTAGTCGTACTCTTTCACCCGGCCCTTCATCTCTCTTCCAAATTCGAGTACTTGGACCCATATTCAACCGGTTCTCGCCATAGTACTTTTCATAATCTTTGGACAAGAAATTTTCACCGCCGAAAATGAGCGAAGGAACAGGTCCCGCTCAGCGGGTTGCGATTGGAATTTCCTTTGGTAATTCCTACAGCTCTATTGCCTACACTACTGGTGTAAGTCTATCTGATACCCCGACTGAAGACTTCTTTTTCTGATAATCTTACAGGAAGGTAAAGCCGAAGTTATTGCCAACGAAGACGGAGGTACGTTGTCGTGAACCCCAAGCCTCGTGGGGTACCCGGTTGTTAACAACACCCCAGATCGTCAGATCCCCTCTATTCTCTCCTACGTAGATGGTGAGGAACTTCATGGAGGACAAGCCAAGTCACAGATTGTCCGAAACGCGAAGAACACGGTCGCATATTTCAGGGATTTCTTGGGACAAGAGTTGGTCTCCCTACTTCATGCCCCACCTTCGATATTTTGACCAGTCCTCCAGATTCAAGTCGATAGATCCCACCGCTGCCCACCAATCTGCTCACGCCGTCCAGCACGAGTCGACCGTCGCTTTCAAAATCCGAGACACCGAGGAGGAGAAAGAGAACGAGGTCACTGTCTCCACCATCACATCCCGACTTTTGAAGAGATTACGGCAATCTGCTTCCGACTACCTTGGAAAGCAAGTGACTGCTGCCGTTATTACCGTACCCACCAACTTCTCCGACGCGCAGAAAGACGCTTTGAACAAGGCTGCTAAGGAGGCTGGTATCGAGGTGCTCCAGTTCATTAACGAGCCCGTGGCTGCCGTCCTCGCTTACGATGCCCGTCCCGATGCGAAGCTCGCCGACAAGATCATCGTGGTCGCGGACCTTGGAGGGACCCGCTCGGACGTCGCTGTTATTGCCTCAAGAGGTGGCATTTACACCATTCTCGCTACTGTTCACGACTACGAGGTTACCGGCCTGAAACTCGATCAGGTCCTTATGGACTATTTCGCGAAGGAGTTCCTCAAGAAAAACAAGTCGGCTACCGATCCTAGGGAAGATACCCGTGGTCTGGCCAAGCTCAAGCTTGAGTGCGAGGCAGTCAAGAAGGCTCTGTCGATAGGCTCCAGTGCCAACTTCTCCGTTGAGAGCTTGGTGGGTGGTATCGATTACACCGCTACCATCAACCGCACACGATACGACTTGCTCGGTAACAAGCTTTTCGCTGCTTTCTCCAGGCTCGTTCTCCATGCCGTTGAGAAGGCCAAACTTGATCCTCTCGATGTCACAGAGATCATTCTCGCTGGTGGCAACGCACACACCCCCAAGGTCGCGTCCACCGTTGGTGCAGCCTTCCCCGAAACCACCACGGTCATCGCTCCCTCTACGAACCCCGCTGCCATCAACCCCTCTGAACTCCCCGTCCGCGGCGCTGCCATCCAGGCCAGCTTGATTGAGGAATTTGATGTCGAGGACATTGAGCAGAGCACGCACCCTATGGTCACCGTAACCCCTCACCTCTCGCAGGCCATTGGCGTTCTCTGCATATCAGGTGACGAGTCTTCAGGCGTCTTCCACCCCATCGTCGACGCCGAGACATCCCTCCCCGTTCGCAGGACTGCCATCATCGCTACCCCCCGCGAAGGCGGCGACGTCCTCATCAAACTCGCCGAAGGCTCCCGTCACATCAAGGTCACTAAGCCCGAGCCCAAGCCCAAGAAGGAGAAGGCCGAGGATGACAGCGATGACAGCGATGAAGACGAGAGCGACGAGGAGGAGGAGCTCAGGGAAAAGACGTGGAAGGTTGGCAAGATCCTCAGCGAGGCTGCTATCCGCGGCGTCAAGAAGGGCGGCAAGGTCGAGGTGCAGATCAACATTGGCGCCGACCTTGGCGTTAACGCCATCTATCGCGAGGTTGGTGGCAAGGGAGGTGTCAGGGGCATAATACAGGGCGGCAAGGCTGCCAACGGCTCTGCTTAAGCGCAACAAACACGCGTTACGATTGCGACGACTGGCGGCAATGAAACCACAAAAAACAAAAGCGAGGGAGACCAGGGCGACGGAAGGGACGAGAGGAAATACTCATGAGACTTAGTGTCTGCTCCATTTTTTCCCCTTTTTTCTCTAGATAGACTGGGGAGTTTGTTTTTATCAGTGTTGAATGGACGTTGGTTATTCCTTCGCCGATCTGCTAGAACACTTCACCCACTGACGCTTGCGAGTGAGTGGAGGACTTGGATGGAGGCAGGGAGGACGAGAATATGTAGACGAACGAATTGAAATGTAAGACATATTCTTCGTTGCCTTATTCTTCTATTCCGTTGATTCCTAGCGGTCTTCCTGCCTGTTATTGCGAGTGATCTTGAATGCTATGTATTTTTCGTTGGGAGGCTGTACAAAAAGTTGAAGTATCCAAGAAAAAAAGATGCTGGATACTCTTTTATGTCCCTTGTCATGATCGTTTTGATAATGATAGGTATATGATGACGACTATAGCCGCCACATATACCATACTCAACACCGGGATAGGAGACTTTTTCCAGAGACTCCCTCCCGTGTCATTTAAATCCCCATCTCAGTTCAAAAAAATACGCACACAGCCCTCCTTATCAAGATCATAACTTACTTTGCACATTTCCAACACGGTGATCAGCGATTATCCAAAACAACAAGTCTGGCTCTCAACCTCCTACCGATTCCGGTCTTCGCAATCCACTCCCTATACCCCATCCCCTGTTTGACTCTCCCTAACCCTGCATAGTGCCACCGGCGATGTGTCCAGTTTTCTTTATCCAGTTCGTCAACTAGTAATTCGCCGAGCGCCTCAAGCTCCGCGCCTTCACCGAAGTTCTCCCATCCTAGGCTTTTTGCGATTGTGAGATAGCGTAGCCGACCTAATGTATAAAGATCAGTCTTGTGTAACCTACTGCACTTTGATTCATGACAAGGGGAGCGTACCTAGATATCTGGTATCGATGAGCTCGTACAGATCGGGGATAGAGAAAGCGAGATCAGGGTCTGCGGAGGAGTTTCCTGACGAGAGAAGGGTCAAGGATTCTAGAGACTTGGCATGTATCCAATCAACGAATGTGAATTCTGGTGGACGATTTCCAAAATCGCAGTCGATGTAGTCAGTTGCAATGGTGAGGTTTTCAAGGCGCGGAAGCCAGTCAAGGATGCCGTTAAAGCGGCCCTGCTTAACAGCCGGGAGATCACGGAGGGTGACGGTAGTCAGCGTCGCGGCGAGATTTTCGAGGAGGGGTTTTATGCCGCTGTAGTCGAGGGATGGGCAGTGTAGAATGCTCATGCTGTAGAGTGTTGGAGGGAACGTGTCGGGCTGGCGCATCATTTCCCATAGAAATTTGCCATTGACAGAGCCGGAGAGGGCGAGGTGCTCCAAACGTGGAGGCCAGACGAGGCGCTTTTCATAGATACCGTCGTCATCATAGTTTGTGGAACATCGAGGGAGGGAGAGGCGTTTTAGTTCGGTGAGTTGTTTGAGAGTTTGGCTAAGACTTTGGTAGCTAATGGCTTCGCTAACTAGACTAAGGTCAAGGGTATGCAATCGCGTGCATTTGCTCAGACTGGCCCAGCAATTGATAGCAAAGGAGGCTTGCGGAGCGATGAAGGTTTCGAGCGAGGGCTTTGTGCGTCCAAGCAAGCGCGCAGTGGTGGATTTGGTGCCTTGATGTACGATGGTGGATAGGTTGAGGACTTTCACTAAGCCGGCCAACTGCGACTTCTTGATGCGTGGAATGATAGATGGGCAGACTGTGCGAACGAAGAGGCTGTAGCGCCAGCCGGTCAAATGGGGAGCTTCGTAGAGGGTGGCGACTCCGACATCGTACCATTGCCTGGGGGGGAAGGTTTGGTCAGCGTAGAAATCAATATAGGGAATAGTGGCATCTGCTGGAAATAGATCTGAAGATTCTCAAATGTATGAGATAGCGCCAGGATTCGTAAGAATGCGGAGTCTTGCCTACCTGTTCACGGCGCAAAAGGTAGCTAGAACGTGCTGGTGTTCCACATCGCGGGGGACATAGCTCAGAATCTCCAGTAGTAATTCGTCAGGTAGGTAGTTGGCGTATGTTGGAGTATCCATGATAATAGTGATATCTTTCCAGTCTATTCAAGATATAGCGTGGGCAGCCATTCAAGAATTGGATGACTATGACTGTGTATGTAGATAGAGTAGAGCAGACGTCTGGAGGGGTCATGCATGACGGAGAAGGCAGCTCGGGCGGGCTATTATGACCGCCCGCGCTTAAACTAGTCTCCCAAACTTACGCGACGCGCGAGCAACCTCGCGCGCGACGACAACCTCCGCCAGCAACATCATCTGCACACTCTCCACACCCACCGCTGCACGACCCGTCGTCGCATTCTCTCTCTGTTCCTGCGCCGTTCAGCCGCCAAAATGGGCAAGCTTGTCCGCCTGGAGCTCTACAGTCAGTTGCCCGCCTACCCCCGCCGCCAGTAGTTACCTTCTTACTGTGCTAACTTCCATCAGACTTCAAAACATACCGCGGCAAACATGTCCTTCCCTTCGGCGATTCGTATTTCACCTCCATCATCGGCCCCAATGGCTCCGGTAAATCCAACAGTATGGATGCCATCTCTTTTGTCCTAGGGATCAAGTCTGCATCTTTACGTTCGCGAGAACTGCGCGAGCTCGTCTATCGCGGGCGCATCATTCAGACAAGCAAGACCGCCGTCGACGACGCAAATGCTGCCGCCGCGCCCGAAACCCAAGACGGTGACGCTCCCGAGACACAGGAGGACGATTCGCAAAGGGCAGATCCCAAGACAGCCTGGGTGGAGGCTGTTTTTGAGGACGATGCCGATCAGATTCACCGCTGGCGCCGCACAATCACTACCGCTGGTCAGAGCGAATACCGCATCAATGGACGTGTCGTTACCGCAAAAGCTTACAACGAAGCACTTGAAGAGCATAGCATATTGGTCAAGGCACGCGCGTTTCTTATTCCCCAGGGAGAAGTGGAAGAGGTCGCCAAAAAGCCACCCAAGGAAATCACCTACATGATTGAGCAAATATCTGGGAGTTTGGAGCATAAAGCAAGCTACGAAAAACTCAAAACCGAAGCCGACGACGCTGCAGAAAACAATTCCCAGTTTCTGCACCAGCGACGGCAGATCAACGCTGAAATCAAAACCTACACCGAGCTAGAGGCAGAGGCCAAAGCTTTCGAGCGCAAAGTTGCCGAGCGGGATGAAGCAAACGTGACGCACATCATGTGGAAGCTTTACCACCACCAACAGCTTATCCAGAAAGCACGCGAAAAGATTTCAAGCCATCAGGAAGAGCTGAAGGAGCACAAGCGCGGAGTGGAAAAGTATCAGCAAAGGGTCAATGAAGCAACCCAAGCCGAAGCCAAGGCCAAGCGTGAAATCTCCAAAACCAACAACAACATCAGCGCAAAGGCCAAAGAAGTGGAAGATGCGCAAAATAAACTCGTCCCGGTGGAGGAAAAGATTCGAATCACAGAGCTGGAAGTGACCAAGCTGGACGAGAGGATTGTTGCTTTGGAAAAGGAACGCGATTCGCAAGCTGCTGAGCTCGCTAGCTACGATAAGAAGCTCGCCCAAATCAAGACCGCCGAGGACAAATGGGAAGCCGAGCGCTCCGCTGCTGCCCAACAGCAGGGTCGCGAACTAACCGCCCAAGACGAGCAGGAATACAACCGACTGCGCAGCGATGTCTCCAAGCAAACACACGCTAATCAGGTGGAAATCGACAAATTGAGACGTGAAGTGGGAACGGAGAAAGAACACGCCCGCAACCTCCAGCAGAAGGTTGAAGGATATCAGAGTGCTGTGGACAGACTGACCGATGACGTTTCTCAGCTTCAAGAGCGCCTCAAGGACCGCAGAACTGCATTGAAGGACTTGCAAAAAGAACGAGCGGGTAAAAAACAGGACTTGAACAAGCTTCAGTCGGATCAACAGCACACACTATCCCAATACACTGAGTGGAACCAGAACCTTCGGGAAATTCTCAAGAAACTTCAAAATGCCGAATCCGGCCGTCGCGAGACTAGGAGGGACCAGCAAACCCGCGAGGTTGTCTTGAAGATGAAGCGTGCTTTTGGTAATGGTGTCCGTGGACGCCTCAAAGACTTGATCAAGCCCAAGCAGAAAAAGTACGATACGGCTGTTGGCACACTTATTGGACGAAACATGGACGCCGTGATGGTGGACACGGACCAGATTGCCAGAGACTGCATTCAGTTTCTCAAGGAGGAAAAACTGTTCCAGATGACCATCATTCCTCTCGATTCCGTCACGATTTCTGCTATCAATCAGAACCTCAAGGGTATGCATGAAGGTATGCGTCTTGGTATTGACTGCATTGACTACCCGCCTCACCTCGAACGCGCCATTTCGTCTATATGCGGCGATGCGATCGTCTGCGACAATTTGTCAATCGCTCGTCACCTTCGATTCGAAAAGAAGCCACCCGTACAATCCAAGGCGGTCACACTTGACGGAAGCGTCATTTCGAGGAGCAGCAATATGACAGGTGGTACGATGCAGGGCTCTAACAACCAACAGCAACAGTGGGGTGATCAGGATATCGAGACTCTTCAGCAAAAGGCTGAGAGCATCAGGGCACAGCTCAGTACCCTCCCGAATTTGGACGCCAGGCGCCGGGAAGAAGATCAATTGACAATCGACCTGAATGCTCTGGACGATCGGATTCGTCAGTTCCAGAGTGAGATTGATACATTGGATCGCAATGTTAAGGACCGAACCAAAGAGCTCAAATACGATTCCAATCTCTTGAGACAGGAGAAGCCCAAATACGATGAAGCCGAACAGCGATTGCGTAACAAGGAAGACGACCTGAAGGGTACCGAAGATAGAGTGAATCAAGTCGCTGATCAAGTGTTTGCTAGCTTCTGTCAACGGCTAGGATATACCTCTATCCGCGACTATGAAGCACAGCAGGGAACCGCTCAACAAGAAGCTGCCGAGAAGCGACTCGTCTTCAGAAAGCAGCGTAGCACTTTGGAGAACATGCGATCCAATGTTCAACAACGTCTCAACGCCGTATTGGAGCGCATCAAGAGCGCAGAAGAGAAGCGAGACCGCAATCACATCTCTCTCGAAGGCCATCACACTGAGCAAGAGGAACTGCAGAACTCTATTGATCATTTCAAGGCAGAGTTAGAGGAGTTACAGGAGCGTTTGACTGGGCTCGAACAGAAGAAGAACGAGCGCACGGCGGTGGTCAAAGAAGCACGACGCAAACTCGATTCACGAAATGACAAAGTTCGGGGCGTTATGAAAGACGTTGAGGACCAAGAGCAGATAATCAAGAGCAGAGCAGCCGAGCGGTACAATCTGCTCAAGAAATGCCGTCTTGATGAGATCAAGATACCTTTGACAACGGATTCTGAGCCCTTGACTTCATTGCCCATGACGGATACTGCTCGCCAGGATCCAGATGAAATGGACGTGGATCAGCCTGACAACACACAAATCGAACAGCCAGCATTCGACGATTATGGCATTGAGCCTGACTTCGAAGAGCTGGATGAAGAACTCAGAATCGAGCTTGACGAGATCCTTGAAGAGGTAAGCGCACAAAGATTTCTTCAATCAGTCAAGCACTCACTAATCAATGATTACCTATAGGAGGAATCCGAAGACGACCAGGTTCAGACACGCGCCGCAACCCGTCTCAAGGACGCCGAAGGCAAACTAACCGACGCCATCGCCTCTCTGGACGCCGAGATCAGCAAAGCCAACCCCAACATGAAAGCTGCGGAACGGCTCGTGACCGCCAAAGAAAAACTCGACCAAATCGAAACAGACTTCACCACGGCCCGCAAGAAAGCTCTTGAAGCGAAAGCGCGCTTTGAAGAAGTCAAAGACCGCCGCTTCGAGCTCTTCATGAAAGCCTACGACCACATCCACGACAACATCCTCCAAGTCTACCAAAAACTCACAGAATCGGAACAATTCCCACTCGGTGGAACCGCGTACCTCGATCTCGAAGACAGCACCGAACCCTACCTCGCTGGTGTAAAATACCACGCCATGCCCCCACTCAAACGTTTCCGCGATATGGAACACCTCTCCGGAGGCGAGCGCACCATTGCCGCTCTCGCGCTCATCTTCGCGATCCACTCGTATCAACCATCCCCCTTCTTCGTCCTCGACGAGGTCGATGCCGCGCTCGACAATGTCAATGTTGGGCGTGTGGCGAAGTATATCACAAAGAATGCGGGACCGGGCACACAGTTTATTGTCATTACGCATAAGGCGGGGTTGTTCCAGGAGAGCGAGACATTAGTAGGCATTATGCGGGATCAGAGCAAGATGAGCAGTAAAGCTATTAGTTTAGATGTAAGTCCCCCTCCCCCCCTCCTCCCTCTCTTGTCTATCATGCGAACGGTGCTGACGACTCCTATAGTTGCGGAAGTACCAGTAAATCTACATGGCGAAATGTACGAACATCAAAGTAGTATAAAGGTGTAGCGATCCAGGCAGTTTGTTCACCTTAAAGTGCTCCTCGTTTCCTATGATATTCCTTTTTTTTTTCCGGGGCTTTAGGGATGACGAATGGGAACTTGGGAGAGGGCGTGTGTAGGCTTCTTTGCCCTCGCGCACTCCACTTCCGTACCCGTGTGTAGGTCGTCGTGTGAAGAACAGGCAATATAATACATATGTGATTCCTTCTGCATGTCCTTGTGCCTAGCTTGTTCTCACTTCTCCCAATATTACTCACTGTTTGGATGGATTTGTGATAATTTATGCTATGTGCTATGTGGCCTTTCTGGACATATGCGATATTTATGAGGGAGTAAGTACCTATTCGTGGATCATATGAAGTTAACTAGAAGAGTCGCCGTGGTTGAAATGAACTCTGTGGAAATAAACAAAAAGTCTTTGCAGTGCTAACTCACTTTCTACAAGCCCACTTTGGCACTGGTATGCATTATGGTCTATCATCCTACTACATTTTAAACTGCCACCAAATCCGCTTTTGCCTACTATTTAATTGGTTTATGTGCTGCTGCAGCGACGCGCATATCTTGCTAGCAGACTTAAAGGCAGGTTTTGCCTATTGCGTAGAACATATAGCTTCTTCTCTTATTAATCAACACTCTATTTCTAAGAATAATATATCTCTTAAGTAGGAAAGCACTATAAAAAGCCGCATCATTTTCTGTTTGCGTAGAGGGCGTTCAACTGCATCTCTCCAAGGGATTGCTTGTCGGAACTGGCACCGGCATGCCGTATCTTGTCATCATTGACGCCTTTATCCCCCCACCAGAAACACCTGTTTCCGTCGAGGCTCCAATCATCAATGAGATCGGCCAGTGTTTGTATGTGGCCCCACGTTGCGGGCTGGGGTCCTTGCGGTCTTCTGAAAGCTAGATAGGTGATGAATAAAGCAAGCACAAAGGCTAGAATGGTGTATATGACCAGGCGAGGGTAAAGCATGGCAAATTGTACCATTATAGGTGGACCGTCATTGTCATATGTTGATACTTGAAGTGAGAACGCCTGGCCCATGATCCAGGGAAGAGCAGTTTTGAAGCAGAAGAGGATCGCATATTCCCAGCTGTGTAGAGCAGTGGTGAGGGCAGTGCGCCCGATGCTTTGTCCGTCCGTAGAATTGTCGATGAGCTTTCGAAGCACCTTGTGATGATTTGGGTGCGCGTTGGTTTTGCGCCAGATTTTCTCGTCACGTGTAACGTTGACAATGAGCTCTGCGCAGTGTAGGCCAAGTGTTTGTACACCCTGGACAACGCAAAGGAAGAGGATTGCGCAGAAAAGCTGCCATCCAAGAGCGATATTCGGTCCGGTGGAATATCCGGCAGGATTCATCATTATCGGGTATGTATTCAGGTTCTCGTAGGGCTTGTAGGTCCAGGTAAAGCTGCCTTTCAATGTCCAAGAACTGCCATAACCACCGCCTTCTACGGCGTATTTCCTGGCAACCAGTGCCATTGAAATACTCCAACCAGCGGCGAGGATCGTGATAATCCACATAAAGATTGTCAAGTGGCCAGCAGATGCTGAAGTGCTCTGGAAGCTTGGCTGCAGCATGCGAGGCTTGGTTGGTGCAGTCGGAGAGCATCGCTCAGCGGCCGACATTAAGCAGCGGCCGGGCCTCGACTCAATGTTACCCTTCAGCACGGCCAACGTGTTATTCAAAGGGTCGGAGTTCCACGTGGGGATATAGCTAGCACTTGGCCACAGACACCACGCGGCAATCACGACATGGCCTAGCAATCCAATACCTAAGCAGAACAAAGCGATGGAGTTAACGTACGTCGCAGTCGAGTCGAAATCGCTTAGAGGTTGATCCGGAGACCATTCTGTGTCAGCTTTCGGGGTATTCTTGACAAGAAGAAGCGATGTAGCGCCGTAGCTGAGAATCAAACATATAGCAGACGATAGATTCGTATACCATTGGTTCGGTCTGCTTCTGTTCGCCGCAGCGAAGAGTCTTAGGTTCGTGTTATATTGTAGGCGGCCTTCTCGGTAAAGCGCCCATCGTAGGGAAACGGCGTGGACATAAGACAAAGGTTCCAAAAGTATCGTGATGCCGGTGGTGATCGTAAGCGATATGACTTCTGTGCCCCACTCGACGTCTGATTTCGATAGGTTGACTCTATAGAGTAGGTTTGTATCCCGGTGTCCACTCCAGATCAGTATAGCGAGGACGAAGCATGCGATAGTAAAAATGGCCCCCACAATGATAGCGGCGACGCATCTGTTTCTGGTTCGGACATCCTCATTGAAACTCTGTGAGAGACCAGTCGACTCATCTATCCCGCGTTCCAATACAGAGTCGAGGTCCCGGCCATGTTCAGTCTGGATCATCTCGATTGGATCGGACAGAAGGGCAGTGCTTTCCACCCGAGCATACGAGCCGTCGACACTGTGCGAACGGGCACGCATCTTTGGGCTCTGAAATTCAGGTATTGAAAGTTGTTGATAGGCGCGAGCGCCAGTGGTGATGTAGACGATCGATTGGCTCTGTCCTGATTTGACGAGTTGAATAATATACTCAGGTTCTGGAAATATACAGCGATTCACCTTTGGCATGAAGGACAAAATTCAACGAACAATAAAGGATAAGCGTGAGCAGGAAGCGTCAACTATATATCGACGTCCTTAATGGTGGCTGCTGGCCCCCAAACTTGGTAATATCAGCACCCGGTCGCATTGAGGCTGAGCTGTTTCTCTTGCAGGCAACAATAAAGTCAGTGTCTAGGTTCGCTCCCCAATTGCTAAGCGAACCTGGACATGTATTTTGTCCTGTGAGAGTGTGCTTTTACGCGGTTTGCAAGGCCAGCCCCAGGCAGACTATATATACCGAGTCTACATGATTAGCTTGCATAGAATACGAACAGACCCCAGCGCCGCTTATGTGTATTAAGAAGCTGGTTAGGTCAAACAAACTATCAATCTCTATTCAAGCAAGTAAGCAGGAATACCCACCACCTACCACTCCTTTCCCCTCCTAACCTCCATCAAAAAAAGAAGAAGAAGAAGAAGAAGAAGAAAAGAAAGAAGATTCGCCAGAATCAACTACATTGCATAGAGCCAGAAGGTTTTGCTAAAAACATATATATTCTTTAATTTAAAACTGGTCCTCAACACAGCACAAATGTTGCCTTCAAATGTTCAGAAGCTAGCGAATACCATCGCAGAAGTAAAACTTGAGAACAAGATAAAGTGGGAAAAAAGCAGGAAATAGGGATCTTTGTTTACACAACAGCCTTTTTAAGAAAAGAAAGAAAGTAAACAGAAACCTCCAACCCATTACCCATTTTCTCATCGTGCCCAAAAGCTGATTATAGAAAAAGAGGAAGATATCGCTAACACTTTCCACACGTCCAAAACTTATCTCGAGAAAGAGCAAGAAAATAAAGAGAGAAGAAAATGAAAGAGCATACTTATTCCTTCCCCACAGCCCCTGATGCCGAAGACGAAGGAGTAGAAGACCCACCAGTGACGCCTCTCCTCTCCAATTTCTTCGGTTTCTTCTTCTGCTTGGGAGGTTGTTCTTGTTCAGGCTCTTTTGGTGTGTCTTTCTTCTGCTGTGGAGGAGGTGCGGGAGAAGAAGGGATGCTGCTTTCCGGAGGATCATCGTCGTTGTCATCCTCAGGTCTCTTAGAGGATGAGGAATTCCCAGCAGCAGCTGTAGAGGATTCACTTCTCGCTTTGCCAGCGTCCTGCGCGGATTTTTGCACGGCAGCGGCTTTGTTGGGGCCGCCTCTAAGACGGGGCATTCCTCCTCCTCCTTCTCCTCCCCCGCTGCTCTTAGTATCTACTGCTTTCCCCGCTTTCCCTTCTTCAGATTTCCTTTCGTCTTTCCTGCCGAGTTTCCTTGGCGCTTTTTTGATGGACGCCGTAGATGCTGCAAGATCCTCCTCATCGGCCTCCTCGACCATGAAATTGGCTGCCATGCACTTCCCTCCGTTCTGGGGTCCAACGTCCATAGGGCAAGCGCTAAGTACGATCACGACATCGCGCTCAGCGCGGAAGCGAACAAAGCTCCTCTTCTTGCCTGCTGGCTCCTTGACAGCGAAACTAACATCTGCTTTTTCTTCGGAGTCGAGGGAGACGGGCGCGTTCATGAAGAGGTGGAGGGGTGTGGGAGCGATGTTCACGGTGATGTCTGCTCCAATGGCTTTTGTTCCTTTCAGCCCGGCTTTTTCGTTGAGTTGTTTGAGCGCTAGGACGAGGTTTTCGGCGCAGCTTCCGTGTTCAGCGGGTTTTTGGACGCCTAGGGCTGCGTAGAGACTTGCGTCGCAGGCGGCGGTCAGCGTGTCGTGGACGCCGGGAGATGTATCTTCAATGAGGGTTATGATGGGGTTCCGGAGATTGGTGAGGAGGGTATCATCGACACGAGGGACCAGGCGGTTTGTTGCGGTGCGCGTGTGTGGGAGCGAGAGGTACTCCATGGGGGGTTGGTCGTTTTTGGATGCGTTGAGTTTGGTGTAGGCTGAGTATGCAGCGTATAAGGAGGATGCCGTACCGGACCCTGTAGCTGCTGCTATACTTCCAGCGCCGACGGGGGTTTTCGAGAAGTCGTAGAGTTGTTCGGCGTAGCTCTTGTTAGGGTCGCGGCCGTGGCTGGCTTGGAAGGCGCTGATGACATGTTGGGAATCGGGGAGTTGAACATTGGGGACGTAGCTTGAGAAACCTTTACCTGTTGGTAGGTAGGATGACCATTTCTTTGAGGCAGCGGCATTCTGTTCTTTTTCCGCCTTGGTCTCTTGCTTGGAATTTGTGTCGGCTTTGCCTGGGTTTGAATTCTTGTTTCGGTACGGTATGGAAGGGAGATATGAGGCCCAGGTACGCTTCTGGCCCTGTTTACCACTCTTCTCTGGAGCCGGCTTCTCATCCACGGGGGTGTCGGGGGCTTGTTCAGGTGGATCATCGTCGTCGTTCGTTGAGCCCCCAATCTTTGTAGCCTCCTTGCTGTCAGAAGTGTCTTGACTCTCTTTTGTCGCAACTTCTTCTTTGCCTCCACTCTCCATTTTTGATTCTTTACCTCCGTCTGTATCTTCATTCGTCTTTTCACTATCATCTTTCGAGTCTTGCTCACCATCCTTGATTTCACCCGTCTTCGAACTCTCTCCCTTCGCAGCCTCCTCCTTCGGTCTCTCAACCTCCTCCTGAACCACCTTCTCAACTTTCTCAACATCAGCCTTTCCATCGTTTTCACCTAACCCCTCCTTCAACTTCTCCACCTCCTCTTCCATCCCCTCGACATCCTCTTCTTCCTCATCATCCTCGCCCCCATCCTCCGGAGGCGCACCTAAACCGATCGCCCACGCACTAACCACCTGCTTCCCATACGTATTTATAATCTTGATAGTCCGACCACGGGGTACATAAGTCGCGACGCCATGGCGCGCAGGAATCGTCTGTAGCTCGCCCGACATATCTTGCGCAGCGAAGCTTTGTTGGAGTTCCGAATCGGCGGCGACGACGCGGTCGTTCCTCGCTTGGCGCTGCTTCTCGATGGCGGAGAGGGCGGTTACGAGAGCGAGAGAGGCGATTGCGCGGCGGTTCGGAACGCTTGAGAGTTTTGGGGGCGCCACTGTTGATTTGGCTTCGGGGTTTGTGTTTATGGAGTCGTTGTATGTATGTATACGAAGATGTTGGATATACGGCACGTGGTTATAGATTCGATGGTATCAATTTTGTCTTTGGTGGTGTATGAGTCTGGTATTACAAGGTGTTGTAGAATATGAGAGGCGTTGGTGGTATTTGCAGGTTTCGAGTTGGCTTGTTGCACGCCGATGACGTAGGGTATGAAACTATGTCGCGGGATTCTACAACCAACCACGACAATGCGGCAGACCTGTATACGTGTACGCCTTGAGCTAATGTCTTAGATAATCGTCATTATGCAGGTATAATACGATCATCTTTTAGATCTTATCTTTTCAAGTTGATCAGATACGCACGAGAACTCCGAGCAAAGGCATGCCATTTTACATTTTGCGACTCCGCGCAGCTCTAAAAGCCCTCGACGATGGACATTACAATTACAGTTGTAATCACTCCTACAAGTAGTTTCGAACCGGGGTTTTGAATTTGGACATTACTAGATGGCGTCATAACATTTCCGCTTCTACCCGTTCACCGTTATACCTGTCGGAACGCTGGCATCGCATTCGTGAAGGACTGGGAATACCCAGGCTCTACTTGGAACAAGGTGAAGATTTATTTATTCCTAAATTACTTTCACGCTGGGTACTGTATCACGCAGTTTGATTCTTACGATGTAAGAAATCCTGTTTTCCGATTAGTATACTCGCGTTTTCGTAGAGAATAACTAGACGGACCTTTGTCAATGTCGGGGACTCAGATCGCAAAGCAGCCTCGCCGTGGAGAAAACACCGTTTGCGCCGTTTGCAATGCAAATCATATCACATCATAAAATAGAAATCAAAGGCCACAATCTGGAACTTCATGGCACCAGCTGGCTATTTCGTCTTGAGCCCTGCACTTCTTCACTCTGCGTCACCGTCTGCCCAGATTCTTTTACCGCCTCATGCCGTCTCGAAATCTTCTCTGCGACCCCGAGCCCTTCGTCCACACTCGCAGCCAAGCTATCAAGCGCTTCGAAAGGGTCTCCTGTGCTCTTCTCCCGCGCTTCGTTGAGTTTACGCTCACCCGGCTGGCCTTTCGCTTTTCCCTTGTTCTTGCGCGGTATCTCCTGTCCCTCGATTTGTAGCATATATCCTTGATTTGATTCTGACTGGTCGAACGAGGGAGCAGTCCTCACGTTGGCCTTTGTGATCTGCCAGTCCGAAGACATGGATTGCGCGTTCACGATGGAGTGTCCATCGCTACCAACATCGATGAGAAGGTAATGTTCCTTGCCTCGTATCAGCGGCGGTGGGAGCGGGGACTCTACCACGGGTTCGTGCTCTTCGCCCTCCTCCCCTTCATGGTTATCTCCCTCTGCGCCTTCGGAGCTAGGCAGGAACTTTGTATCGTCTAGACCCATGCTGCGCATGGCCGCGGCAGTGATGATGGCTGGGTCGTCATCGGCAAAAACATAGTGTACGAAAGGGTGGTGATGCTCCCCAGTGGTGAAATCCTCTATAATGGCGAAGAAGGGATTAAAGTTCGGCGGGGGTAGGAGGGTGTGCTCGGAGCCGGGCTCAGGGTACGGTATCTCGTCATCATCACCGAGGGCTGCCTCGGCGACTTGTTGAGTATCATCGGCTTGGTGCGTTGGAGAGAGGGAATCTTCGAAGTGAGCCGCCGGTGGTGATCGTGGTGAGGGAGCTTTGGGGGGTACGGGAGAAAGTTTTGTAGGATCTGGGCTCGTCGACATGGTTTCAAACGGTGGTGTTGATGGGCGGGTGTAGAGCTGATCTGATGGGGAAGCTAAAGCTCTAGCAGCGGCTCGTCCCATTGGCTTGTTGCCTGAGCTGGTTCGCGCTAATGGTCATGATGTACTTTTTCGTAGGAACCATGCGGTCGCTGAAGATTTATATGCTACTGAAGTCGAAGTCATTTGGAAGCGGATGAAATCGTTTCGTTCATGTTGCGTTTGGCATTATACTTGCTGTTCCAGCTCGTGGGAATCAATCGAGTGCGCATCAAGTTGCACCACACCAAAGACTGATATGATGGAGAGATGACGAGCACTTGCCAGAGCCCTGCAAGTAGGTCAAAGAAATTAAGTATTATCATTGATGCCAAATCAAGTCATATGGGTATCGTCCAAACGCCGTTGCCAAGTATATATGCAAACACCAGCTCTATGCCATCTCCCCTAGCCCTGCTCCCACTGCCCTGCGCCTGTCCCCAAATGGGCACCAGAAATGTTGATTTCGATTTGTATTCACTCTATCAGGCGGGGCTCGTGGTTGGCTCTACAGCTTGCGCGGGGGGGTTGGTGGCGGCTGCTTCCTGGTTCTTGCTTTTGAACGCTGAGGAAGCATGGTTAGAAAACCGTAGGTAGAAGTGTATAGACGGAAACATACGCTGTCGGCACATGGGGCATTTCTCCTGCGCACTCTCTTGTCGCAGCCACGAGAAGATGCAGTGCTGCCTCGGTCAGTACCAGCCACGGACATGAGACCAAGAAGTATAACTTACCATGTGGAAGGAATGATTGCACTCGCCCAACACTGCCGGCGAGTCAGTACCACTCCCATCTCGAGGTTGGTTTGATATGTTCCAACATACACAAAGGACAATCATCGCCCGGGTACTTGCACTTTGAGCAAGTGCTGTCATACGGGTTGCGGCAGATGCCACACACGTCGTCGTCGGGCATGTCCCACCGCCAGGCGGCTACAGCGTTCCATTCCTTGATTGTGACCTTCATGGCGTCCGACGGGTGATGTCGTCGTGGTCGTGGCGGCGCAGAAGGGCTAGTTTGGCGTGTGGGATGGAAAAAACAAACAAATACTTAGCTGGAGATAGATCGGCGGGGGAGCTTCGCCGCCCAGTGAGGCTGATTGGCTAGCGGGGGTCAAGCTTCGCAGCTCCCCACACGCAGCAAGGCGGGTGGATGACGCCAGAGGGCCCCGAGATAATGACATGCCCCTATCCCCAATCCATCCCAGTCCGAGATAACAATCGTCCCTCTGTCTGTACAATAAACTTGTTCACCCATCGAACCAGCGTCCGGCCGCATCTCCGATCGGCACATGCCATGCATCCTGAGCTTGTATCCTCGCTTGCTTGCTGACCGGCCTCCTTCTTCTCTCCGCTGCAATTGATATATTAGTCCTTGCTTGCTCCCTGAGCATGTAGCTACATTGGAAACTCCTCCACCACACCCTGGAGCTCTTCCCCGCTTGACCCACTCATACCAGCTACTCCACCGCCCACCATGCTCCTTGCAAGTCTGCGCTCGTCTGCCCTACGTGGCCTCCGCTCCTCCTCGCCTTCTTTCGTCTCGCCATTGGGGGCAGGTAGACGCGCAATGTCTCAATACACCCTCTCCTCGTACATCGTCACCCCCGCCGAGCTCAACACTGCTTTGCAGAAGAACGTCCACAGCAAATTGTCCACCGCCCCCAAGGTCATTCCACTTTGCGCATCCTGGTTTCTCCCCAACGATGGACGAAACGGCTTGGACACCTTCAAGGAATGTCGGATTCCTCATGCGCGCTTCTTTGACTTGGACGAAGTCAAGGACCCCGACTCCATCTATCCACACATGCTGCCTTCCGCCGCGCAGTTCGCAAAGGCAATGGGCCGCCTTGGCATCCGAAGGGACGACAGCGTGGTAGTCTACGATACGAAGGAACTCGGTCTTTTCTCAGCACCCAGGGTGGGCTGGACCCTGCAGACCTTTGGTCATCCCAATGTCCACGTCCTGAACAATTTCCGCAAATGGGTCGACGAAAGCTACCCGACAGAGAGCGGCATTGAAGCTCATCCCACCGAGGTGGAATACCCGGTGCCCCAACTCGACCAAGCCAAGGTGATTGCCTTTGAAGAGGTCAAGGAGATAGCCAAAGAGCTGGGCAAGGAGGGCGCCGAGGAGGTGCAGATCTTGGACGCGAGGAGTCTCGGTCGCTGGAAGGGCACCGACCCAGAACCTCGTGAAGGTATGTTACCGACATAGATCAAGTGCTTCTCGCCGAAAGCTAATCATGATCGCAGGCGTATCTTCCGGTCATATTCCCTACTCCATCTCCGTGCCTCTCCCCGAACTCCTCGATCCCAACGATAAGACACTGCTTCCTGCGTCCAAGCTGCAAGAGGTGTTCAAATCCAAAGGTGTCGACCCTTCGAAGCCTATCGTGAGCAGCTGTGGTACGGGAGTCAATGCCGCCGTCATTGATGCTGCCCTCACAGAAGCTGGCTTCCCGCTACAAAACCGAAGAGTCTATGATGGAAGTTGGACTGAGTGGGCCCAACGAGTGCATCCATCCGAAAGTCTCATTCGCAAGACCGAGTAATGGGATGCCCCACGATCCCATGGTTATAATGTACATCTATACTGCTTTTCTTTTCCTTCTCTATACCAGATCAGCCCGTTAGGCGTCATGTACTCTACACCCACCAATTCCAATTCAAAACTCCAAACCAAGGACACCTATCCACACACACACATACGTTCTCTTAAAGAACCGGCTCACCATCCAATCACCTCCCCAAATCGATCAAAAAACTTCCCACTATCCCCCCTTCCACACCCTTCCACAACCCTCAAACAAGTCCCCAAACTCTCCTCAACACTCATAGCCCCTTCTTCCTTCCACTCCACCAGCCCACTCTCCACTCGCCCCGGATGCACCATCAAAAACGTAACATCCTCCACGTCCACACTGAAGCTCTTCACCACAGCATTCAACCCCGCTTTACTCGCGCGGTACGCATACGCGCCTCCCGTCGAATTCGCGCTCAGCGAACCCATTCTCGAGGACATGACAACGACCTTCGCCTGTTCTCTCCCCTCCCCTCTTCCTCCATCTACAGAAAGCCCACGACCACGACCACTACTACTAAGAAGTGGCAAAAAACTCCTAACAACGTTGAAAGCCCCCCACGTATTCACCTCAAACGTCCTCATCATAGTCTCGTAATCCATAACCCCCATCGCCTCCGCACCCGCTACATCCTGCCTCCCTTCTTCCCGCTGCGCACTCACCACCCCAGGCACAAGCCCCCGGATCCCCGCGCAGTGCAGTAGCAAATCGATATGCGGACTCGCGGTTTTGTTTGTTATCGACCCCACGACCGTGTGGAGCGAGGCCGTCGATGTGATGTCCGCGGTGTGGAAATGGATTTCCGCTGTTGGGGATGCGGAGGGATGGGGAAGAGGGAGGGGCGCAATGTCCAGAGCATAGATGGTGTGCGTGGTGGGGAGTGAAGCGTAGTGTGTGAGAAAAGCATGGCCGAGGCCTGAGGACGCGCCTGTTATTAGGATGGTTTGAGGGGGCATTTTCGTTTTTTGTTTTCTATTGGGGATCTCTCGGATTTTGTTATGCGGGTTTTGGGAGGAGGGGATTAAAGGATGCGGGACAACGGTGGGTAAACGAGGGGGGAGCGGATGCTGTGGATTGTGGGTTGCTAGGCATTATGCTGAGGTGCTGTCTTCCTGTGGGGATGCTGGAACAACAGTCAATAAGTAAATAATAGTAGATGGGTTAGATTCCCGCATCGTTGCAATTCCTAGCAATACACATAAAAAAAGGACATCAAAGTCTTGATTCTTCCACTTCTGTTCGGAGCGAGCGAATTCTATCAAACATAGACATGTATACCCATCCCGACTAAAAGCGTCTATGTAGACTTTTTGACGCATCACAATTCTCCGATTCCCGAGAACTACTAGCACGTTTCCTCTTAGATGTTTTCTTTTCGTGAAAAGTAGTGACGTAGTCATATGTGACTAAACTTAATGTACATACCCCTCCCGTTCCATTCTCCCTCTCCCCACCCGAACCACGGACCCGATCATAATTGCTAATCTTCCGCAACTTTAACATCTTTAGACACGAGAAAGAAAAAAAAAATAGAAAACCAGATTTATCTACTCCAAAGCGTGGCTTAAAAATAGATCGCATAAACCCCCCTTGACCGCAATAATCTCGTTTGCAACCGAAAAAAAGGCGGTTCTATGCGATAAACGAATTGCGAGGAATCCGCAGATCTACACATGTTGATGCCGGCGGAAAAGCGGAGGATTGGAGGGAATAACAAGGCACATGGGAGAGAAGAGGGGGTGGGGCAACGCGAACTCAACAACGTCAACTCAGCTTGAATAAGATCCGAGCAACTGCATATCAGTTTTCTGCCGATCGGCCCAGATAAAGATAAAAGGGTATATAAGTTGCCTTGGATGTTGGTCTTCTTTCTTCTTCCATCGAGTTTGGATTCAAGTCTACTCTTCCTTATTGATTTGATTTGTTTGCGTATTCGCATCCAACGATATCATTGTTTGATTTGAGGACTGCGTTTTCGTGTATGACGCGCATCCTACCGATACGTACTGCACTGCACATATTACCCACGACGGAGAGAGAATAAAGCTCGAGGGAAGGGAAAGAATAAAAGGTGGACATTATGTTTTACGAGCCGGGGAAAACGGATCACGGGCTTCCTCATGATCCTTTCAAGGTATGTATATCATCTTTTTTCTTTCTTCTGCTGTTCCTTAGTTCCTAATCATCGCTATTCGTGCTGGAGTTACTTTTTTCTCTATCCATCATTTATCACCCACTACCCCCGTTCTCGACTCTACTTATAAAAGAGTATCGTTCGCGGCAATCGGAATATCTCGGGAATGCACTAACCTCGTGCCCTCTGATCATCACCACAAAGTGCTCACACGTATGATCTCCCCACAATGCTAAAACAAGAAAAAACAAATCAGGCCTGCGTCGTCCCCCGCCCCATCGGCTGGATATCGACCCTCTCGCCAACCGGCACGGCAAACCTAGCCCCCTACTCGCAATTCAACAACCTAACCTTCGACCCGCCGTACGTAATGTTCAGCGCGAACCAAACGACAACGAACCAGAAAAAGGACAGCGTGCGCAACGCAGAAGACACGGGCGTGTTTTGCTGGAGTCTCGCGACGTGGGAGCTGCGGGAGCAAGTCAACCTGACGAGCGAGCAGGTCGAGTACGGGGTCGATGAGTTTGAGCGCGCGGGGCTGGAGATGCAGGATAGTGTGTTGGACGAGTTGGAGATTGAGGTTGGCAAGGGGGTCCGGAAACGCGTGCCCATGGTGAAGAGGTCGCCGGTGAAGTTTGAGTGTGTTTATTATAGCACGTTGAGGTTACCTGGGAATCCGCCCATGGGCTCGGCGGATGTGGTGATTGGGCGTGTGGTCGGGGTTCATGTGGATGAGAGTGCGTTGACGGATGGGAAGATTGATGTTGCGAAGACGGTGCCGATTGCGAGGTGTGGGTATATGTCGTATGCGGCTGTGAGGGAAACGTTTGATATGGTGCCGCCCGGAGATAATAATATGCTGCTTGCTGGGTTGGAAGGTAGCGTAAAGAAGCACAGAGAAATGCTGGAGAGAAACACAGAAGAATCGGAGAAGGCGGCTAAATCGAAATGAGCTATAGATTCAACCAAGCTCGTCGATATTCTTCTTATCTCGGACATCAAAATGCGTAGTTTAATCATAAGTCTGCTGGAAAATTCCAAGTAACTTCTCGGTGTGGCCAATTCTCTTGTGAAAACCATACCGTGTGTTGAGAATATATACGTCATTTTCTCAGCCTTGAGTTTTACGATTCATTTTGCTGTTCCTCGTATCTGGTGTCGTGCCATATCTGATCAACGGCAACAGTCCTATATCACGTAAAATTAATTCCACGGGTTTACTTTCAGATCTCAACAAAGTAGACCCTTGCCATCCTGTGGCGGGATCCACAGAATTCCTATAAGCTCCGTTAACTTGCGAATGTAAACACCCACAGCTAAACGAGTGTATACAATGTGTTGACGGACTTGGCCAGCGAAACAGCCACTTCCAAGACTGCAAATCTCTCACTTTTTGCTTTATATCAATAGTACAAAAAAGGCGATTGCAAAAAAGGGAAGAGTATCTCTACTCCTGGTCTTGAGCGGATTCGAACACAGGCCCAAAAAAATGCAAAAAAGAAAGGGGGGAGGGGAGGCTTACCTTTCATGACCGATGGACCATCGGGTGTCAGAGGATCCTCTGATCTTGACGGAAGTAGGTGCCGATTAAACGGTACATAACACCCTCCTGGAAACATCCTATAGTGTTACTGCCAGGTGAGGGCTTCGAGATTGGCTAGCGTGGGTGGTTGCTCCTTCCTTCTCTCACCAGGCACACGTGCCCCGACGACGCCGGACGTTCTAGATTGCACCAGACATACAGGGCAAGCCTCGATACCCTCGACACCCTCGATTACCCCTCGCTTCCCTCGCCGTCGACGACGAAACGTACACGATCCATATATGCCGCGCGATGGCGTCCTTGCGAGACCCCCTCCCACTTTCCCCCCGCCAGACATTGAGAGCTCCGTGACTATAAGCTCAGCACAACCATTACAAGCATCTTTTGAGACATTGGCAGGATGGCAGGCAATCTAGCTATTGGCGGAAGGTTGTTTCCCTTATAACATGGCATGCAAGGAGGGCCCGACATAGTGCCTCTAGCCCAAGGCAACGCTTCGCAACATTTGGGGTGTACACATAGGACATCCGAAGATGCCATAAAGCTTGCCTTCGTGACAGCCGAGCTTTTTTGCCATGTAGCCTAGAACTTCGTTGGGCAACACAATTTATACGGCGGGGGAGACAATTATGGGCGGAGTAGGTCAACAGGCTACCCCACAATACAATGTAGCCTACATGACCCATGCAAATGCAAGTCTGGTATTTTCGTGACAAGCTGGGGTGAATGGGTAGGCTAGCACCAGTACATATGCGTAGCTGCCTTTGTATGTTTCCCACGGAAACAGCAGTATAATATGTCGTAATCTTGGACGGCTTGATGCACACGTCCAAGAAAGTAGTAGAACGTGCCTACTAACAGCGTTGCTATATCGAGGGGGTAGCGTCGCATAGCAAAGGCGGCGGTTGACAATTGGTGAACTCGCCCACGTAAAGTTGAACCTTCACACCTTGAACACTCCCCCACGCCTAAAGCCAACATAAAGGGCAATTATGCTCAACTACAAGCACCACCCGCAAGTGAAGCTCAAGCTTATGAACGCGCTTTCGGCGACAGCGTTCGTTCTGCCTTGGTGGTTGGCTAGAGTGGGAAAGCCTTCAATCAATCTCTTTGCGTGCCCACAGCCGCTCGCGCCAGCCACGATTGCACGCGCGCCGAGTCTTTGCTGCCCTTCGAGATAGATAATACTCGGCGAAGCGCCAGCTGCACCCTGCACTCCAAGTATAGGAGGCACCGTTGCAGGTGCGCGGAAATAGGAACATCCTTGCCGACTACCATTCTGACCACAAGGGCTAGGAACGCGCGAGAGCATCTCTTTAGCGACCATGAGAAGCAACGAGCCTTCATGTCTACTGCACGTGGACACACACGCCGAAGAGAAACACCATCGACGAGTATGCGCCGCCAGCGTGCTGCGTACCTGCCACAAAGGAATGACTTAAAAGGCTTATGTGTCGGACATAAAGTACTGAAAAAAGAACTTCCATGTCGAACATCCTTTGAAGCATCCTGGGAGTTGTCGACGGCAGTGGTATTTGCAATCTTTACCATTCAGACCGAAGACCCCGCCATCAAAGCCGGGTATTCGACAACGATGATAATTCCCGCGGTTGAAGCCTTCAGATTGCCTTAACAAGAGCCAATACTTTCACAGGGACCTCGTGAGGTGAATCTTCTAAGATAACCATATTCGACCTGAAAAGCTTCGCAACCGACCACCATAAGGTACCTGACGATCACAACTACCGAGCGATCATGATCATCAACGACCGACATGCGACAGGTGACACGCTCGTGGATATAAAATTCCAATTCAGGTGGTCGTATTGAATCTGGAGGCTTAAAATGATGGCATAAATCGGGCGTCTGCATTGCTGGCTGGAACGCTGGATTCTTTCCCGGAGACTCTGTATTTCGAGGACATCATCTGCAGACTAAGTGCATATTCGACTTCAAGTTCCCATTGAACTTTGCCGAATCGAAATATCATGCGTATTTCGAAAGCGAGATACCGGAAAGCTAGGGTTGAGCCTATCATGGTATACGAAGCTCCAGGGTCGCCCGCGTTCGACGCGAGATTGCCGGAACATCCTTTGCCACCTCTTTCCTTCGGCCTAACGAGGAACGGTGGAAAAAAGAAAGAGACGCTGAGACCTCAAATGATTGTTGCTGTTTCATCGTGCCGAGCGCCAGGAAGCAGGCTGTTTCATCCAAACAACAGGAGGTTGTAGCCATCTGAAGTGGTGTGGAGTAATTCTTTCCGTCTGAAGTGGAGCTGAACATTTCGACCACTTCGACAGCATCTAAGGAGGTTGGATGAGAATAACCACTAGCTGGGTTACAAAATTAATCCTAGGATGATTTACTGGAAAACCCGTCTTATCTCAGGTAAATCGACATTTCGAAAATTGTCCATATCCCTTCCATATTCATAGGGATTGAACGAACACCAGGAGACTGAATAGCTGTTTGGATTCGTCAAAAGCCCCATCCCAGGATTGTTACAGCTGTCATACTGCTCGAAAACACTATGGAACCAGAGGCTCAGGCGTAATTCCGTATAGCTGCCGGTCGTGCTATGGATATGGGCTATCCAGGTCATCTCCATTTCTCTTGTGTCCGCGGCAACCTTGGACAGGTGCACCTTTGTGATTATTGCGATCATCTCCATCACCCATCCATAGCATTTTCTGAGCCTGGAATTGCGTGCAGGAAAGGAAGCCCGTCGGCGTGGCATTGGTGTCTTCTCAAATTGGCGATGAGGTATACCACTTATGGCACTGATTTGTTCCGGGAGGTATTGTCTCTTGTTTCATCCCAGCATGCCTTCCCATAAATTGCAACCCGAGAATGTCTGTCGGAACCCATGCAGTAAATACTGTATTCAGCCTTCGATCCGGCCATTCAAGCGCAATGCCAATCATATTCCTCTTGCTATCTCTTTCTGGCACGATGTGCAATTGCACGCAAGTCGTAGGAACGCGGCATGGTCACGCACCCGAACAGACTTTATTGTCTGATAAAGAGCTTGTATTCCGAGCTGACGAGTTTGATCGAGAGTGGATGTCGGGCGTCATGGCTTTACTTGATACTCAAGCACGAACATCAATCGCGGTGTATCGACGGGCTCCGCACGGAAATCGCCGTTTCGTATATTCTGCACCGTGTGATGGCTCGCGAGCTGGAGTGAACGCAACGTCGAAAACCCTCCAATAATACTGGTTTGTTGTTCTTCTCGGTCGTGAGGGGGGTTCGCTCTGCAGATTGCTCGCAAATCTTGCAGGTATGTGATTCTCCGGCGGTGAGGGGCATCGGCATGGTTATGGACGAAGGAACTCAACCCGTTCCGCATTCTCCTATGACACAATTAGCACATCAGTATATGCATCAAGATGCTGTGATAGTGGTGTAGTTGCCGCTGTTGCTATCGGTGTCGTTGGTCCAAAAGGAGCGAATGGCTGATACAAGATTTGCCTGTGGCCTCCGTCAGCACATCATCGGCGCTCTTTTTGAGCGTTACCGAGGAGATTAGTAGGGTTTCTGACCTTCTGGTGTTTTTGCTTCTGCCTGTATGTCGCGAGTAACGCGGTATCCTGGTGTTGATGCTATCGCCGCCCGGAGGTGGTGATAGGCGGAACATTCTCCCGCAGCGCGCCTCAACACCACGGCAGCAGATCTCTACTATCGATACTATGGACGCCGAGAGAAGCATCCAAAGCTGAGTATCATCAGGCATGAATGAAGCTCCCATCGGTGTCTTTTCGGGTGGTGAGCTTGCCGGGGGTTCAGCGTGGCTGCAGCGTCGAAGGACGTTCCCACCAGCGTAGCAGCTCTGCAGCTACTTCAGGAGAGCACGAAGGGGGAGGATACTCTATGAGAGGGTATAGAAGTAGATGGGGCGTAAAGAGAGGTGATTTTGGGGGATGAAGGTGTCGCTGTCGGAGGGGGGAAGGGGTGGTGCAAAGAATGGCAGGCACGGCGGAGCTATCCACCCACTCACCCACGAGCCCCCTCCTCATCCAACTCACCAGAGAAGCACCAAGCGCACAGCAAAAGCAAGCTGTGAGCAACAATGAACACTCAGCAGCAGCCTAAGACGCGTCCCTACTAAAGCATCGACATAGGGGAAGAAATCGGACATGGTGAGAACAGCGAGCTTGAGCGGATCACGCAGAGAAACACAGCTCTTTCCCCGCAAAACACCGGCTGCTTAGCTTCTACACAACTCACCGTGATCCCCTCGACTCTATCTAGAGCATACTGAGACTGCTAAGCATGAGACTAAGGGGACTTTCTATTGTGACATCCATACGGCATGCGGGAAACCGTCGCAACAAGTGCAAACACCCGTGTTCTGACCAGGCAAGGCAGCATGGTGCTTATCTACTCGTGCAACATAGAATCTGGGTATATCTCTTTCCTGCCACAAGTGTGCGCCACTTCTACGGGCTGTGCTTCTCTCTATCTTGCTTGACATTTGGAACAGGCAATGGTGGGGACGGCTAAGCAATATCGCAGATGTACTTTGCGGACGATGAGGAAGAAGAAAGCAAAGTTGCTACTAACGAGGAGAAAACCTTGAGATGCCTGTCTAGTGCTTTTCTCGTTACGGGATGGCTCGCTCTCTCCGTACCTAACGTATAGGAACATCACTAGTCACCTCCATTTACATTATTCGCTATGGCTGGTTTGCTGAAAGCTATCTTCATCGATGGGTCTTGATTTCCATCGACAAACCCCAGAGAAATGTATACCATGAAGCCCGCAACCCTTGCTAACCCATCTACAAACCTTTACCACGGTAAATACTCAACACACAATTGACCCAGCACCATCACACAGTACAGTACCGAGCGGTCTCCTTCTACGCCCCTTTCAGCGACCCCAATACGAACAAAATTCCACATTCAAACCTCGATATCCGAAAACCATCCCAAAACAACCCTCTCCCTTCTCAATCCAGCGAATGCGATATCGAAAACGAAGACAAGATGATCGAAAACAACTTTGACAACCCCGGTCTTGTCCGCATCACACCGCATGTGCATTCGCGAAGAGCCCAATGCACGTCCGTCAATAATCACAAGCCCAGCCTCCGGAGCAAGGCAAACAGGTGTGCCTTACAATCAATCAACAATCAATCAATCCAAGCAGATTCCCAGATAATGCATCCGGGAGGTCGAATATCCGTCCGCCAGCCGCAATACGTCCTAGCTCCATGCCGAACGCGATAAGAGCACAGCGAACGCCGAGCAAGAAAGGCACGAGGAGAATCATCGACTCTACCTCGGCTAACATGAATTTCTCGTAAACACGCACACCGTGCAGGTACCGATACGGGTGTGGCGGCGCCTCGTATTGGTGTTGCTTGCTTACGGGATGCCGGTGCTTTAGCGACGGCTCGTCCACCGTACGCTTTACCGCTGCCGTGTCGTATCAACCTACATAACTAGATAACTACTTGGGCAACGGCGATGCGCTGGTGGCGAGCTGAAAAGATGAATCAATACACCATAACGGTGAAGGGGGCGGTTTGCGTGGGATGCGTACATGTACACATGCACGTAGTATGTAGTCATCAATTCATCAACGAGGGTGTAGCCCTGCATCCTATGTACAGTTATCACAAGGTTGGAGCGATACGCCGTCTTTCCGCCGCCACTGTGAGGGCGTGGGGAATTGTATGATTGGAGACCTTTTTTTCTTTATTTCTTGCCGTGTAGGTGGAATACGAGAAAACAGACAAAACAAAAATGAAAAATCAATAAAAAGTAGATCTTATTAACTCCCTCCCAACGACACGGCACCCGAAACACAAGGAATAATGGATCCCACCCACGGGGAGAGGGCGGAAAGAAACGGGATATCGAAACAACGCGGGAACGGGAAAATGGGGCTGGGGTTAGGGTACGGGTACGGTCACCATGCGCTTAACCTCTTCTCTCTCTTTTCTTTTTTTATGATATGTATTCCTCATCTAACCTGAACTAAGCGATGGAGGGATGGGTGTGGAGATGAGTTGCTGTTGGTGGTGGAGAGAGGACTAGTCGACCCCATGCAATTGAGTCTTTTGCGCGATTTCTCGTATTCGCGGGATGGCGGGTATGTGGATCAAGGTCGTGTTGTGTATTAGTTCTAGAAGCCAATGGCTAGATTTAATATTTTCTGGGTTTTGAACAGGGGAGAGGAGGATGAGGTGGGGGGTTAAGATGGCTTGAATGGTGGCATGTAGGATGGGATGGAATGGGATGACTATCTGGCCTCGTCAAGCCAACCTAAATTGGCAGTGGCGGATTAGGAAATACGAGCATCGAGTGTTAAGGAATTGCCTGGACGATGTCCCGATTTTGTTTACATGTAGAGAAACGGGGAATTGTGATTGAGTTGTGGAATTATGTATGCATTGGTTCAATCTAGCGTCTAGAAACATAACACATGTTGCACCAATATCTACGATAGCGAGACTTGAACCTTCCTCATCCATACATGCAAGATCAATCTCATGGGACAAAACATTATATATTAAAAGAAAACAACCAGGGATATACTATATCTGCGATGATGGAGTTGAAAGCTGGCGATGTCTGATTAGCCAGGGACTTCCACATCTCTATCTGTCCGTCACTCAACCAGAACCAGGAACCGTGAACCATTGCTCGGAGCCAGGGTAGTTCTTCGGATCAGGCCAGGCGCCAAAGTTCGCCGGGTCGCCACCAATCCTAACCCATTGAGCCATGCTGGGTACGCCGGCCGCATTCAATGCAAAGACTTGGTACCAGGCTGGGGGACACACGTGAGCGTTGGGCGGTGCAGTGACAGTGCACCCTCCACCCGAGCAACTGAAAGCTGGGAAGATGGTCCTCTGACCCATGGAGTTGCCGTGCGTGGAGCCGCCAACACCCAAAATCGAGAATTTAGTGACGGTGGCGTTGGAGGTGAAGGTGTAGCTGTTGCCATAGGCCCAGTCTTTTTGGTTGTCTGCGATGACTAGGGAGGGGCGGACGGGGTTGCCCATGAGGTAGGGAGGGGTGAACACTTCGACGCGATATTCCTCTGGGTATCGGTTGTCGAGGGGATCGGAGCCAGAAACGAGGACACGAGCGTCATCCATGAGAATGGCTTCGGAGTGGTACATACGGGCGACAGTGGTATTTGCCATGACAGTGAAGCGACTACCGAGCGGCTTGACGGGATTGTAATGCACAGCGTTAAGATTAGGATTCTGGGCAAGACCAAAGCCTGCTACTCCTTCTGTAGCTCCGTTGAGGATCATATATGTACCATCTGGAAGCGCTGTCATGCATACAAGCACACGTTGGGATGGCTGTGCACGTTAGCTTAAATCGAATTTCAGGGAAGAGTGATTGTACTTACCATGCGCTCCAACTCCCATTTCGCATTAGGGGCGTCCGGTGCAATACTGACACAGTTGTCTATAACAGCGCCACCATATGCCGCTCCTCCACCGCAGATCAGGATCCTTAGATCAGCAGTGTATGGTGCAGACTGTGGCAATATGACTGCTGTTCCTTCGAGAGGGTATGTGCGTCCAGCAAGAAAGTTGTTGACGGAACCTGGAGGGTTGGGCAGCTGCTTCGTTATCTCAAAGGTGTTTTCATTCAAAATGATAGCTTCGTTATAATATTGCACGAAGATTCCGCCTGAAGGAAGTACCATGATGAACGGGTAGAGATTCCAGGGATCAGTGCGATTCAGCCAGTCACAGTACACCGTTGATCCAGACTTAGGGAGCACCTCGAGCGTGGGAACTGGCCTTCCGTTGGATCCTTCTTCCCCTCCAATAACGAGAATAGAACCGTTAGCCATGTTTACGGCCCCGGGGTACCATCGTCCATCCTGGAGCGATAGCGTTTCGTAATTCTCTTGCCAGTTGTTCTTGCCCGGGACGCCCGGTGAGCCATCGGGCCAGTAGAGTCGGACGCCAAAGGTGGACGGCCTTGACCAACCACCAATATTGATTTGACGACCAACCTTGTCTGGTAGAGTAAGAGAAGCAGAACAGAAGACATCAGTCTTGACCGACATGTTTCGCCACGCCGTCCAGAAATCATTGATGGAAGCAGGGTCTAGCTCATAAGCACCCGTAGTGTTGGGAGCACCCGTTCCAGACTTTTCCAGGAAAGTAATCTTGCCGTTGCGAGCGGCTTGGACTGTGAGAGGAACAGTGAGGCCACCGATTAGTAGTTCATATTTCCCAGCATCGTTTCCAGATGCATATGTCCATGTGGTGAGAGGGTCTCCTCCCCAGGTGTAAAGGGAAAGACGTCGGCCACCGCCGCAAATGGCAGTTATATTACCACTACATGTACTTCCACAGTCAGTATTGGGAGCCGGGCCGACACCAGATGCAAGCACATCCGACATGTCACCACACTGTGAAATCCATCAGCATATCGGTAAAACTTCTCAGATAGACAATACTGACATAGCACTCAGCGCCATACTCGACACCTCCCGTGTTGTATCCAAAGTCGGAGCACTGCTTTATGCAGCTGTTTGCCGTGAGGTTTGTTTTCATTTCAATGAACCATGGGAGTGCTCTCTTTGGCGCATCATCATAATAACATCCCACATATTTCCAAGATCCAGTGAGGTTTGACGTTTGTGGAACCGGTACTGGGTAAACAGTGATAGGGCCTGGGTTGGAAGAGTAAACACTGTCCCTGTTACCAGCGCCACACTTCTCGGTGGGGTCGCCGCCACAATTCATGTTGCATTCTGCATCAGTAGTATTGGTTGCGCCTCTGCCTAGATAGTTATCACAGAAGCACTGGGTTGAATACTGCATACCGGCAGCAGTGTAGCCCTGTTTTGCACATATTGCAACACATGATGCAATGGTCATCTTCGGATCATCAGGCTGTTGGAAGGCCATAATTCGACCATTCACGTTGTCAACCCAGCATCCTTTGTATTCCCAGCCATCAGGTAGAGACGTGGGAACAGGAACGCTACTTGAAGAGGAGCTGGGGACAGGCTGACCAGTCGGACTTCCACTTGGTGTTGGGGTTGGATTTGGGCCTGGAGTCGAAGTTGAATCACCATCGGCATATTGGTAGGCATTGAGTCGATTGGGCCCTCCACAAGTTTCCTGGGGAAGGTTAACCTTGATTGGTGAATACGTCATGTGAGCAGCCTTACTTGATCATTGCCATTGCAAGGCATGTTACACCCATCGTTTCCATCCGGAGCTGGTCCGCCTCCATTTTTGAAAGAGTTATCACAGTACTATTGCTGCCATTAGATTGTTGCTGTCGCTATCGGAAGAATAGAGAGACTTACACACTCGCCACCATATTCAGTGCCTGCATATTTGTACCCGGCGGTCCGGCATGCAGCAAGGCAAGACTCAGTCGTCAAATCCCCATCGGGAAATTCTCGATTGGCCAGTGTGCGCGCACCTACGCTGTCGGTATAACAGCCAAGCGACGACCACCCAGCAACAGCCCGAGCCGTGTAAAGGTTGAGTCGATTCGCTCCACCGCAATATTCGGTGGTGTTTCCGTTACACACCTGTTTGCTGATAAGCAGGGGTCTTCATCGCAAATTTCACAGGATGCGGAGAGGCCATTGTGGATGGCAAAGACTCATGGGGCGGCTTTACCATATCGCATGTTGATGCATCTGCCGGTGCGCCTGTTCCAGCGATGACATTTCCACAGACTAGAAATAGGTGTAAGAAGGCGTACTTGACCAGCAACATTTTCAGAAACGACTGGAATTTGCAAAAGAGAGTGGAAGAAGAAGGGAGACATGCAGCATTGTCCAGAATATTCAACCCCAGCATACGAGTAGTGCCCCGAAGCACATGCTGAGATGCAGAGTGCTACAGTAAGGCTCTGTCCACCCCCTGTTGTTCCCACGCCGATAGACAGGGTTCGTGTACCAACATCGTCCCTAAAAACATCAGCTGAGGACCGCCAGAGTATCGAGGGGCGATAGCTTCCAGAATGGGCGGGATCTCGCTTTGCTTTTGCCGCCTCTCGTTCTATTGGCGAATACGGGCATGCTAACACACGGGAAGCGAAAGCACTGCAAACGCTGGCCCGCTCGAGGAGACGGTAACAAGAACATTTGCATAAATGCGAGAGTGCTCAGACTGGATAAACTTGAGGTGTTCCAATTACTCACGTATAACAGCCCAGGCTGCGATAACCATTCACCCCAGGGTTGACGGAAGGCCGTGCAGGGGCGTGAGCAGGGTCCTGTACAACGTTGTTTTGGTAAACTGTCAACCGGTTTGGTCCCCCACAAGGCTCTGTAGAATTCCCTGCGCTCACGTTAGCACACGCAGTTTCGAGTGCCACAACAATGCACCTACCTGCGCAAGACATAGTACAGCCATCTGTGACTTTTTGGCCCCCATTGTTCACAAAATTGTCACACTGTGGAGAATTAGATAGTCCACCATGGTTGTCAACGAAAGATCGCCCACATAGCATTCACGCGAGTACTCGGTACCCGCATAGTCAAAGTTCTTGTCTGCGCAATATTGTACACATTTTAAGTTGGTCATGGAATCGCTGTCGAAGCCGCCACCGCCGAATGTTCGTTTTCCCACGCTATCTCTGTAATCGTGAAGTCAGCATCCACCATTTGACTACGCTGATAATAATTGTTGACCTACGTGTAACATCCTGCGTACGCCCAGTTAGGCAGTGTGGATGATGGAGGGGTAAGCGACTGGGCGGATGCTACCCAAGCCTGGTGACGAGGCTGTCAGTATTGGACCTTTTCTCCGAAGTGTATACAGCCTAGAAAGTCAAGTAGATCGTACAGTGGATAGTAAAATCAGGGCTCTGCTGCCCGGTCGAATGACCATAGTTGGCGTTATTCGCTTCAAGCAGTGGAGATAATAGGTTGGAGCAACAGATGATGCGATACAATAGACCAAACAGCAATCAAGCAGAGAGTCAACAAAGCATCAACTCTGTCACTTTGTATGAATGATTTCGGATCAAGCCAGGGATTCAGAATGTATACATGGAATTCGATTGAACCACATGAAGCCGTCCACAATCGGTTGCTGGATGACTCCACGACCATTTCTACGGTATGACCAAGTAAATCCATGACAAGCGGAGACGCTTCCGCGAGTTTTGTAGGAGCTCCCAGGATTCACGGTGAGTTTAAAATCCGGTACTGGGTTACTATTTCGTTGTGTGATGACTCCAAAGACTTGTAACGATCCGCAGGAAGAAGAGTGTCAGCCTGGTGGTGCTGCGATATCCGATTTCCCGCGCCAGTTGTATACGGGGAGCGGAGTGCCTTGGCTGTAAAGTTGGTGGGGCGCTCCCACAAACGCGAAGTGACAAACATTCTAGACGGCGTCGGTAGCAGTCTGGATGTAATGGCGGCTCGGGCATCCGTATCTGCCACACATCGTGTAGACGAAGGATCGGAGATGCGTGGTGACTAGTAATGTCGGGATTAGCTTTGTCCGTGCAAGCGACTAGTGATTAGCACCGGGCCAAAGCGGGCCTAACTACATCGGGTACATCATCCGCTTCTGTCCCTATGCCCTCCTGGTCAACTCATCATGTTCGCAGTCACCCTCGGAGCCGACGATGTTCGGAATCTAGTTCTATTCACAGCGTCCATAACTAATGTATTCATTAAAACCGTCGCCGTTACCATATCCGTCAGTGTATGCCCATGGATTATACCGAAAAGTTGAAACCTGGCCCTTATTACCCCCTCCTTGAGATCCTTGAGTGACGTCCAGAGATTACATTTACAACAGTAAAAACCGTGGATAACTAACAGGCTCCTTGTTTCCACATTTTCACACTTTTTACAGTAAGACCCCGCGAGGCGCCCTCCCCCCATGAAGGCAGCCAGTTGGCCATGCTGTCGTAGAACTCCTTGGGTGCAGTGGGACTTTGGTTTCCCCACGGCTTGTTGCCAACGCCGTCCGGGAAGAACCCATTGGTACCCCCGACGGCGACATTGAGAATGAGGTAGAATGGTTTGTCGAATGGTGTATTGAATTGGCCAGTTTGAGCCCATGGATTGTACAAAGCCGAGTCATTGACCAAGGTCTTGCCAAACGCTCCGCGATCCCACATGTATTTATTGAACTTGATGAAGAAGACTTGCTACGAGTGTGTCAGAATGAACAATGGAATGAGAGGCGACGGTAACATACCAATAGGCGCGAGTCGATGTACGTGAAGATGTAGTCTTCGCTCCATTCCAGACCAAATGTATGGAACTCGTTTGAGTAGTCTGTTCTTCTCACCCAATGCTGTCCACTAGTTTTCCAGAATGCATCAACTTCAGACAATGGTCCCCAGTGAAGCGCACTGATGATGGAGTCTCTTCCACCACTGGTGTAGTTGTCACCAAAGTTTCCTCGGCTTTCCGCTATGTCAATCTCGCCGGACCGCGGCCATTCTCCGTAGGTATCGCTTTCGGGCTGTGCACATCAGTATATTCACCTTATTACGGAGAAACATGGAAACTTACCATCATCCATATAGCAGGCCACAGCCAGTCACCCTGGGGCATCTTCGCCACTACCTCGACCTTGCCAAATGTAATGGTCTTCTTTCCCTTGGTTGAAAGTCGGGCACTCCGCACGGGATTGATGATGGTGCCTGCAGTTTTGTTGGAGCGGATAGAGCATCTGTCTACGCCCTCACCGGTGCAAGTTTTATCTGTAGTCAGATTGAGCACGTAGTTGTCCATCATCTGTTCTTTAGTGATGGGCGTTGATTCCGTTGTCAGGGTTGGTACAATGTGCAGACCTTCCGCATCTGTGTAAACATTTTTTGGGTCGTCTGTTGTCCATTCAAAAGTACCACTGCCAAATCCTCCTCTCTGGATCTCGTAGCCCCAGAAATCTTTGTTGATACCATCAAACTTATCCTCCATGATGAGGCAGTACTACTCGCCAGTTAGCGCCGCAAAAGGTAGGTGGAGGGTACAATTTACCTCGTGGTTGGTGACACCGGCATAGGCTTGATAGCATAGGAAAGCGCCAATGGCGACACCAAGAACGCAGCTTCCGTAGAAGATACCTCTCTCCCATTTTAGTTTCGGATGTTTCCCTAGAGCCCATGGTTTCTCGTCGTATTCGCCGGGAGTTAATCGAGAACTCTTGAATTTCCTTTTGCGAGGTTGAAGATTGTTTGGGCCGGATGCGGGAAAATAAGAGTTCTGTCTTCCACTAGCACCATTGTCGCTGACGGATGGAGCTCTGCTTTGCCGAAGGGGAGTTGTAAATGGGTTCGTCCCCGGGTTCGATTGAATCCCAGGGGTATGGACTGAAGTCCTGCTAGACATAGCTAGAGATTGAAAGCGTCAAACAGACACAGAACGGGCAAAAAGATGTTTCTTTCCAGTTCAATAAATCAGAAAAAAGATCTAAAAGAAGTAATCCGTTTTTCTGGGGGGGCTGCGATAGATAGAGGCGCTAGCAACGACTTGGTTCAAGATCGCATTTTCATTCTCAAGGCAGATAGATAGCTAAGAAGGCCTCGGAAGGCTGGAATCAAACTGCAGGTGTATGTTCTAGACACGATGAATGCATCTGTCGTGGACCGCCCGGGACAGCGGTGACGCTAGAGTAGCTATCTGGGTTCATTGCTGCCAATGCCGACCTGCAAGCAAAACGAAGCTCGCTTGAGACGCTTGTTGGAGGCTGGGGCGCTTGGACGTTGGGTTGTTGATAGGATGTCAGTCCGGTGCAGGGAGCGTGCATGAGGCAAGTATTGAGTCCAGGGCCTCGAGCACGAAAACATCGACTCGGTTAGCGCCTAAATCGAATGAGGCAGTCAGCGCAGGGAGTCTCACAGGGTTCCGGATAGGATCCCAGCCCCTTGATAGCAAACCGTCCATCCTACTATGAATTCGAGGTTTCCCAACAAGAGTGAGGACGCCTGTAGCACCTGTTCCAGCTTAGTCGTGTGCTTTTCATCAACTGCGCCGCCCCTTGGCCATCCTTTGCCCTGCTATAAAATGCATCAAGTGTGTTAGGAACATGGTACATGTAGTATATACATGTTGTTTCGCCCAATGGCTCACCATCGTGATCATGTCGTGGATCGCGCCTGTTGGGACATCATTCAGCACCTAAGCAACATGCCGCTTTCAATGCAACACCGTATGGAGTGGACCCTCGCTTGTCAGCGCCTAGAGCATCATGCAAGTTGTAATCTTCAGCTTTCACAAAAATGTCTCTTTCGATCCGTGCTCAATGGCGTGTGTTGCCAATACTTGAGAGATGCTGCTGTTGCTGTCGTTGCTTGTGTGGAAGCTTCAGACCCACCAAGCCATTGATCTCAGAGTTCCTCGACAGTTGGTTAACGATCGAACAGGGGCAAAGCCGCTAGAAAAAACGTTACCGGCGCCACCTGTCAGCCACAGCATGGGCGTGCCGTGTTCGCAAGGATATATATTGCTTGGTATCTCCATAAGAGTTGCACATGCAATAAACCTGCCTTATCATCTGTTTCCACAGTAATCAGTCTCTGGATCATGCAGCCACCAATATTGATTCGAATGCCACCATGCCATATGCATTGGTGAAACAAACTTTCGTACCACTCGAGATATGGATTTCTGTATGCTTTCTGTAGTGATTGGGACGGCCCGTCTTTTCCCATGAATCTTGTGTTCTCTCAGGACACTGACATGTATGCGGGAGGAAACGTCAGTGTAGGTGATCACCAAGAATTGTCGTCTAGGAATCTCCTATCACTTCATCGTAGATAGCAGTGAATTAGTCCTTCTGTCAGCACAGCCGAGTCTCGATTTTCAAATCGCCATGATCGGCACTGCAAAGAAGAAGTTCGGGTTATCCTAGTGTGCATCACCACGTCCGCGCTTGCATCAGTCTGCCCCACTGGTAATGTGTATGGGCCAGCATTCCAGGCACACAATCTTGCAGCTTTTCTGCAGCATCTTCTGTTTGACTTCTATAATTAACACCGTCATGATTGACAAGCTGAGCGCGTGGGGGGTTGCATGGCTCTAGTCTCGGTCCGCGTGTAATGAGATTCTGTCCCGACGGAAAGACGTCCTAAACCGAATCCCAAGACATGCCAACATCGTCCGAGGAGTGCCCAAATACGAAGTCCTATACCCTCCTCCAAGAGTACCTAGACCGTGGAACACGGCAGCTCCGAGCTATCGTCGGCGCTACACATTCTAGAGGTCTGGCTTGTGCGTCCGTGTGCTGGCAGCGTGGCAGCCTAGCACATGTACTCGATCAGCCATTTTCACAGGAAGTCGTACAGATCCATATTAGCGGTTCTGTTGGCAATTGGTGTAGAAACCTTGTTGTGTCAGTGCGAACCGAGAACTACCTACCCTGGTCGAAGGAGCCGATAAACACCTTGTGTGTATAGCGGCTGGTTATATACCGGGGTCTTAGGATCCAGCATTGTTTTTTTGCCTTTCTCGAGACAAGCACTTGGGTGACTTAGCTAGTTGACGTCCTGTCAATCCCATCGAGGCCAAACGGCACTGTCTTGTTGTCAACTCCTTGAAGATGACTTCCTCAAGTGGTGATCGTGGGTCCCAAGGGTCTTCAGCAGATCATACAGTTGCCAAAGCATTCCGACCTAGCCTCGCGTTTCGCGACAGCGCAGGCTCAAGCATTGCCTCTAGAGGCAGCAATGGCGGAGACCGACATGACGTGGTGAGCAACTCAACTCCAGACGCCCGAGCCCTAATTCGCATTTCACTGACTCTGGTAGATGGTCAAATTTCTCTTTAGGCGGTGTTCTCAGGCCAAATGGCTTGAGCCTCCAGAAGATGAGTACGGCGTGGTAGATGGAGGTGTTGTCAATCTTGGAGTTCTTCTTCGACGTCCCGACGGAATCTTCACCGCAGAACCCTTATTTCTGGTAAGTATCTTTCTGTGATATGGCAGCTGGAAACACCAGAGATTAATATTTTGGTAGAATCCAGAACTTGTCAGCGCGGTAGAGAGGCTGAACGCTATCGTCGCCTTCACCATGTCCTCGGAGATCACGCACGCACTCTTGCAACAAGTCACACCCTTCCAGACCGAGCTATCTTTAGACCCACGCGGCTTCGTATTGCCCATCGTCAATTCCGTAAAAGACATTGCCATCGGAAGTTCGTCAGTTGGACACGATGCCTATGTATGCCTCTGCAAACAAGAGCGCATCGTCCTTGTCTGGGGAGATACAGTGCCCGGTATACTCGCTCACGGCACCGACATCGAGACAAGACTTCTTGGGTTGGTTTGGGGCTCTCACATCCCGTCGCACAACTCGGTCTCGGCGTACCAGCAGGCTCCGCAGATACAATCGCAGCAACCTAGCTCGCATGGCCAGACAAGATCATCCGTATTTCCGATATCTACACCTGCGACAGGGCCGCTGCCCTCTGAAATGAGCGAAAAGATCGGTGCTATCGATCGCGCAATCGAGGTTGAGGAGATGGGAGACCAAGCGTTCGATCCTGAAAAGGAAGCCGAACTCCCAGAACGAAAATTCCTCCTGGTTCATGCAGTCACCATTGGAATAGCAATGGTCAGTTTGCGCAGTCTTCACACGGTTGCAAAGCTAACATGTAGTTAGGTGTTGGTTATCGTTGTCGAGATGGCCTGTGTGGCACAGGTGAGTTGCGACGGGTACTGCGAGGATTGTGCGGGTGCTGATGCAGTTACAGTTGATCAGAGAATATCGCCTGGACGGAACGATGATAAGATTTGCACTGGTATGTGCATCCCTGATGCCTTTTCCGATGAAAAGCAAACATCAACTGACGTTGGATCAAGGTTGCGACCATTCCACTGTTCGCCGCATTTTCACTGGTGAGTGTTCGCCGATCTCCTTTAAAGCGCATGATGGCGCCTCGTAACGGTTCGTGTGGCTGGCTGGAAGCGGAGCGACATCGGTCACCTAGCCCATTGTACCATAGCTCAACGGTCTCGATCGTTTCATCTACGATTACCGAAATATGGCTAACTTTTGTATAGTTCTTTTTCATCGTCATAGGTATGCAGATGAAAGTTTGCGCGAGAATTTTCCGCTAACACGTCCTCAGGCGGTTCCTTGGGCCAATTGTTTGGTCCGCTTTCAGCATTGCAGGGAAACAGCTTGTATTATTCAGGTACGCCATTTCCCATTATTTTCCCTGTGCAATAGATACAATTTTGGGCTTTTCGGAAATTTCCTGCTGTATCTGTTCTCGAGATGCTGAAGTTGGAAATGAGATTAACATATCAAAGGCAAAGCACCAAAACGCGCCCGCCATGTCAACTACGAACTTCCGCATGTTACTATCCAAATGCCGGTTTACAAGGAAGGTCTGAAAGGTGTTATTATTCCGACTGTGACATCACTTCTGGCTGCCGTCAGATACTACGAGCAACAGGGGGGCACTGCTTCGATATTCGTCAACGAAGATGGTAGAAACATTGCCCTGACTTCTCAAGTGCATATCACTGACACATCGTAGGTATGCGCACCGTTTCACACGAGATGCAAGAAGCACGCAAAGCTTTCTACGAACTAAACAACATCGGATGGGTAGCCCGACCCAAGCACAACGAGCCTGGCAAGAAGAAAAGAAGCGGCGGATTGTTTTCCAAGAAGAAAGTGGAAGAAGATGATAGCGAGAAAACTGGAGAGCCAGAACCAACATTCATCCGCGCAGGTCACTTCAAAAAGGCATCAAACATGAACTACTGCCTGGACTTCTCGCTCCGCGTCGAAGACGAGCTGCTCCGCCTCATCAACGAGCGATGCTCCCAGCGTGGCTGCAACCAAGAAGAACTCACCGTCGAAGAAGAGGACGAGCTGTACATGCAAGCCATGAACACGATGCTGGAGAACGACGAAGGTCGGACTTGGGCTGCCGGAAACATCCGCATGGGTGAGATTATTCTTATTGTCGACTCCGACACTCGTGTTCCTGAAGACTGTCTTCTATACGGCGCGTTGGAGATGCACGAGAGCCCCGAAGTTGCGCTTCTCCAACATGCATCCGGCATCATGCAAGTCGTCAACAACGTCTTTGAGAACGGCATCACCTACTTCACTGATTTAGTCTACACTTCGATTCAATATGCTGTCGGCAACGGTGACTGCGCGCCTTTCGTTGGACATAACACCTTCATCCGGTGGAAAGCCATCCAGAGCATCGCCTTCGAGCAGGACGGCAACACAAAGTTCTGGTCGGAAGACCACGTATCCGAAGACTTTGATGTCAGTCTACGCCTGCAAATCAACGGCTTTGTTGTGCGTCTCGCGACGTACCACGACGGCGGCTTTAAGGAAGGTGTCTCGCTGACCGTCTACGACGAGCTCGCCCGCTGGGAGAAATACGCCTATGGCTGCAACGAGCTCGTCTTCAACCCCTTCCTTAAGTGGCCAACCAAGGGTCCCATCACGCCTTTATTCTGGAAATTCCTATGGAGTCCTATCAAGATCACTTCCAAGATGACCATTCTAGCGTATATCGGTACATACTACGCTATTGCATCCGCGTTCCCCCTCTCGCTCGTAAACTACATCATCATCGGCTGGTTCAACGACTCGGTTGATCAATTCTACATTGCGAGTTGGAAGATCTTCGTCGGCATGGCTTTCATCTTCAACGTCCTATCCCCCCTCGCATACGCAATGTTGCGTCATCGACTCGGCAAGAAAACGTTCTTTTGGTCGCTCTGGGAAACTGTGAAATGGATGCCGTAAGTGCCCATCCCCATCTCTCCCTCCTCCCCTCTACTTTAACAAATCACTGACACTGCGCGTTCTTTTGAATAGTTTCTTCCTCCTCTTTTTCGGCGGCATATCTTTCCACCTCCTCAAAGCCCTCTTCTGCCACTTCTTCAGCGTCCGCATTGAATGGACCGCCACGGCCAAGGAACTCTCCGAATCCGGATTCCGCGTCGGTCTCGATCGTATCGTGCGCGATTTCAAGTGGATGTACTTGTTCCTGCTACCCGTCACGGGCGGTATGATCTATCTCGCCGTCTTCTCGCCTCGTGGATGGCTTATCAGCGATTTCACGGCTATCGTGCCGCTCGCGAATCAGGTTGGGTGCCATGCTCTTCTGCCGGTATGTTCTGATCCCCTATTCGTTTGCCTTTTGTGGGAGGTATTGAAAACTTTCTTGCTAACGAGACGATTGTATAGTTTGCGCTTGGTTTGTTCTAGACACTGCTCCGTCTTCATCGTGAGGCTCGTTTCTTTCCGTCGATGCCATTACACTTATTCCTACCTGTACATGACCTCGGCGCATGAGCGAAGATGTCTTCCGAAGAAACAGCCTATACCACCAACATCATCAATATCAACAACAGTATCACGGCCGTAGAGACTCACTGTATATTTTTTCGGGGCTATCATTGTTATAATTAATCAGGGAATCACATCGGGATAAGGACATATACACACATAAAGATGGGCTATAATGGATTCATATCATTTGCTTAGATTCTATTATGGATGGCAACATTAGGGCGCGGAGAGTACATGTTATCTCTGGATTACACCCTCCTTTATCATTAACGACTTATGAAACCTTAATCTGGCGGTGGTCAAACGGGTGGTGAATGCACATAGCTGTTCATATTCGAAGTTAATCCAATAAGAAGAGTGTAACAGCATGCATAATGGAGCAGATCTTGATAAGACACATTTGTGAATTGGAGTTCAGTTGTTCCTTCGCACAGCAAAATTCACAGTGATAAGGTACCAGGCGATTGCCAAGTAGTAACACATACTACAAACTACTCTGTTTTTCCAGATTATGCATGCCACTAGATGAATGATCATTGTGCTATGTGTTATTGGGATGCACCCCCTGGGCGAGCTGACACACATAGTCTGAGTAAACGAGTGTATTGTTCTGTCAAAAAGAAAGTAAATAGCCTCGTGGAGATGAGACAAAAGAAGTACTTAAAGAAATAAAGGAAACGCGTTAAAAAGACAAACAAGTAAGCAAGACATACAAAGCAGCCTTCATACAAAAAGAACGGCAAAGTCTCCTCCCCATGGCGCAGAAGTTTCATGTTCAGTGTTTTCATCCCCTGATGGGAGCAAAAGCATTCAACTGATCCCCGCCTCCCCAGCAGATCTACCACAGTCGCAAAAGATTTACCCCGGGTGGAAGCGATGGAAGCTGATTAATAGCTGACCGTGATGAGCAAATTTGGTGGGCAGTATAGACCGGCAGGGCGTGGCAAGCATATTCCAGCACTTATGATGATCGCAGACTGAGCAGATCAACAGCCTTTCCTGTGACATTCCCCTTACTGACTCGGATCAATGCAATTGGCTTATTTTGAAATCGCAATGAACCTCTAGCCCGTGTCAATCCACTGGTATTCGTGGTATTTGTTCAGGTCAATAGTTATGTGGAGCATCCAGCAGATGCTACCCGTATTGCTCAATTTGGTTCCCACAATGATCTTCGCGCTCCACGGACAGCGCTACCGCGGGCGGGCGGACGGGCGAAAGAATCCGGATCGATGGGTCGATTCGGGTCGTGGCGAGCATTTGTAGGGGTGGGTCGGAACGATGGCCCAGGTGGCACATATGCCCCGCGAGGACTGAAAGCACCTCGACCGCCACGAGGCGATGGTCCGCCGCGTGGGGAACCCCGGCCGCGAGAGGGTGGGTAAGCACCCCTGTTGCCGCGGGGCGAGGCTTGTTGATTAGTACGTCCAAAGTCGTTCGGATCGAACACACGTTGGTTGTTGTTCTGTTGAGCCGGACCACGCGGAGCGCGCTTCAAGATGACTTCGTCATCATCGTCGTCTGAATCAACTGCAGAGACCGATTTGCTCACATTGGAGTGGCTCGATTTTGGGCGCTCGGGACCTTTTGGTTCCACATTCAGATTGTTCCTTCGGGCCTCTGACTCTATTTTATCAACAGCTAAATGATTCTTGTACTCGCGATCTTCGCGGGCAACAGCGTCCCTAAGTTGTTCCAAGCGCTTGGCTCGGATACCAAACTTCTGTGCAATCATTTGCTTAGACGGATCGTTTGTGAGGAGAATAAAGGACTCCAAAGCAGCTCCTGGATTGCTTTCCTTGTTGATCCTCCACATGATATGATTGAAGAAGGGGCGAAGATGAGGAGGGATACTTTTCTTGGGCGACTTGGGGCCTCGGGAGCGCTCGATCGTGCTGCTCGCAGAGTGGCTTATCGGCGATTTTGCAACGGCGGCAATCTTGGTTTGGTTGCCATTGATCGGGCGGTTCTGGTGGGTAGGGTGCACCGACTCGACGCGCGGGCTTTTCGAAGGGTGTTCGAGGCTATGAGTAGAGCTGACCGAAGTCTCGTCCGAAACATCTAAGGCATTGAATGAGCTTTCCATGTCCTCTACGTAGTCATCATCATCTTCCGAATCGCTCTCTTCCATTGACAAAAGTGTCTCGGGAAGTAGAAATTGCTCGACTTCCTCCCATGTGTCGTAGGCCTCGTCTACTCCCTCAAGCTGGACTCGATCGTCGATCGTGGGCATGGAAGTGATGTCGTCGAGCCATTTGAGAGCATCGCGGGAATCGAGGTTGATGCGCTCATCGCCATTCTGCAAATGACGGAGCTGATCAAGGGCTGTGGAAACCGTCAGTCATCGAGGATGCGCAAATGGCGCATTTCTCTTACTGTGAAGCGGGACGAAGAGGCGGATAGCATCTTGGGAAATCCATTTGCGGATTCCATCGCGTGTGCTCTTCTTCGCGCCAGCTACGAGCGCCGTGTCGTCGACGATACAGTTGAATACCTTCCTTTTTGATTGTTCGGGTGTGCGTTCGGGAGCCCTCAAGCGGCCTCCATCGGGCCGAGGCCGGGGCGGGAAGGTGTTGCGGCGCATTTTGGAGCGCAGAGTGAAGAGAAAGTGGTTTTAAATCCAAGGTTGAGAATGGGTTGTGGGAGAGGAGGTCTGCTGAAGGGATTCACGAGTGAAGGGTGCCAATAAGTTTGTTGGGCGTCAAGGCAATCCGTATGGCGGGGTGAGAGTGAATCAAGGCGCGAACATTGTATTCGCGCCAGTCTGGAGCAGGTCAGCGAGAGCGAAAGTGATAGTTCCGTGGACCATTGCGCGAATGGGCGAGAAGGCTGGTTTCTCTCGCAAAAGGTCGGGGCCAGAGAAGTGTCGAAGTCTTGCGATGACGAGCGAGACAAGTGGGACGGTCGCTGTACGGCCGGTGTGGCTTAGCCCAGGTCAGCCACATTTCTTCACTCCGAGTCGAATGGCAGCCCAAAGACGTGGCATATGTAAACATTCAATCCCCGGCAGCCATACAATTCTGTTCTGCTTATTGATCACCAGTGATGATACCTAAGTCCGACCGCATTCAGTTCAAATGTCGAAAATTCCTTAGTGACTCTCGACTTCTGCTCGCTTTTCTTCCCTCAATCCAGGGACCCAGCCCTTTGGTCGTTCCGTCCCTCGCACCATGAGACCATAAAGCGCCTTTTCCACCTTATCTACGCACTCACGCATCACATCTGCCTTCTTCCGCACATCGGATTCAAACCTTCCGCCGGACGGCTCGAACATCTCCAACTGGAGCCTCAACGCCCGTAGATCCGACAACACATTTCGCGGCTCCCCATCGCTAACGGTAACGGGTGGTTGCTGATCGACGTCCATTTTGTCTTCATGTGAATCTCGATTGCTAGTCCCCGCCGTTTTTGGTTCGCCTGCGGGAAGCTTGCCGTTCGTAGCCATCGTCGTGATTGAGAACCTCATCAGCTCACCCACCATATCGAAGATGCCCAGAATGTAGTCCTCTGGTGTGAGCAGAACTGCTCCACCAGCACCGCTCATGCTTGCAATTTTGGACTTGGCTTCTTCGTATGATACGAGCGTCTGGTTCTCTAGATAATGCTGGAAACTAAGAGCTTCCATGAACTCCTGATTGCCCCCAGTAATGTTGCTGCCATACCGGAAGGCGTTCAATCCCTGGACATCCGCACTGATTGACTGGTACTGCTTCTCGATGGTTTCCCAGTATTGCGCGTTGCCTTTCACAACAAATTGAGGCATTGGCTGTCCAAGCTTGCGAACCCTGTACTGTTCAGCAAAACCTCAGTGGGCGTGGAAGGCCGATGCATACCTCTGCAGAGTGAAAATTCTGCCCGCGATGTTAGCATACAGGACTCGTGCTGCAGATTATATAGATAATAACAAACATTTTTTTGCTTGACGCCGTGATGTCACGCGAAGCTTTGATGATCCGTTCGCGCCTGTCGTGATGCTCGTCTAACTCCTTGCGAAAGTTTTCAAACATTGGCATGAACGGCGACGTCGCCTGGTCGGGCTTCTCCCGCTTCTCAGCCTTGTTCTCCCCCATGGTTTCTTCTCGGGGACGCTTGAGTCCCATGAATGCAGATGAGCGAGTTGATGCACAAAGGTCGAGCAAGCGTTCAACGAAGAGGGTTAGCGTACCAGCACGTGACTATCCACTTCGAGCCTAGCCCGGCGTCCTCATGTATACTTCGGCTACTCCTTCCTGCATTACCTACCTCACCTCAATCTTGGTGGGCAATTGACACCTGAGGTTGTGTTAGTTGTATATCAAATCGCCTCAGTTCCGGATCTCTTCGTTACTGTACAACAGCGCCCTGCTCCGTTCAATTCGCAAGTTTCCAATTCGAACACGTTCCACTTCTGGTCCAAACCAATGACAGCTCCAATATGGCTCTTTCGTCCTTCTTCAGTAGTACCCGTGCAGTACTATCTTCAGCAATTCTTCTCCGGGTAGCTTTCCTACTATATGGCCTTGCGCAAGATGCATTTTCCCCTGTCAAATACACCGACATCGACTACTTCGTCTTCACCGATGCAGCCCGATCCATTGCTCGCGGCCAGTCGCCCTATGCGCGCGACACTTACCGGTACACGCCTCTTCTGGCCTGGCTCCTCTATCCTACTACCTGGTCCGGCACCTGGTTTTCTTTTGGTAAGGTTCTCTTCGCGGTAGGCGACATTGTCGCGGGGTGGATGATGTACCGCATTCTCCGGACGCATCAGGGGCTCTCACAGGAGAGGGCACTGAAGTACGCAAGCATATGGCTTCTTAATCCTATGGTTGCCACCATCAGCACGCGCGGCAGCTCCGAAGGGTTGCTCGGTGTCTTTGTGACGGCATTGCTCTGGGCTGCTCTCTCCCGTCGCATAGTTCTCACGGGATTCTTTCTGGGCTTCGCGGTCCACTTCAAGATCTACCCTTTCATCTATGCAGCGTCTATTGTATGGTGGCTGGACGACAAAAGCAATTCGTCGTCATCTTCCTCCCCAATCTCTCGCACAATCAAATTTCTCAACGCCCAACGAATAGGGGTTGCGTTGTCTAGTCTGCTCACATTCATGGGTCTCAACGTAGTCATGTACATCGCGTAGGCCTACCTTTCCCCTCAAACATACAGTCATTGTATCCTAAAATTCCGCTGCAGATACGGTTGGCCTTTCCTGGAACACAGCTACTTCTACCACCTTGTGCGCATTGACCACCGTCATAATTTTTCGCCTTACAACACTCTCCTCTACATGAACTCGTCGCCGAAAGCCTCCGGCGTAGACCATGTCTCATTCCTGGAGCTCGAACGGCTAGCATTCATTCCACAGATTCTTCTCAGTGCTGTGATCATTCCCTTGGTGATAGCTAAAAAGGATTTGTCTTCGACCATGCTTGCGCAAACCTGGGCATTTGTCACGTTTAATAAGGTGTGCACAAGTCAGGTAAAATCCAATTCTTCAATTCCTCAAGCCTTTCTCCACTAATCCCGGACAGTATTTTCTGTGGTACATCATGTTTCTCCCATACTACCTACCGGACTCTGTGATGATGCGTTCTCCCCGCACCGGCGCATCCCTACTGGTATTGTGGATCCTAGGTCAAGTCAGTAAACTCCTTTCCCCCACTTCTTCCACCTTCTTCTGCTGACAAAAGCGACAGGCGGCATGGCTACAGCAAGGTTTCCAGCTAGAGTTCAACGGCGAGTCGACATTCATCCCCGGCCTCTGGATCTCTAGTATTCTCTTCTTTGGTATCAACTGTACCATCCTTGGGTTTGTTCTAAGGGATATCAGGACACGCGGGCAATCTCCTTTGTTTGGAAAAAGGAAACGATAGAACGGCTCCATTCGTAGGATACGTGTCTATTTATTGGCACATACATGATACAATCGAGTCTCTTGACCTGCTAGCTTGCCTCGTGAGTGGTGGCGTGAACGAACAATGATGTCGTGGAGACGAACTACGCAGTATGCTTAGTATATGAGAAAGTGATGAATGAGCTGCGTAGTCATACTATAAAGACACCTAGTCGATATGGAGCAAAGAAGGCAAGCATGTGTGGACCCAGACTGGTTTGTTCATCACCACGCTCCGTCTATATGATCAAAGCGTTCTGAGGAGCGAACTGCCTGAGTACTCACCCCAAACCATCCACCACGAACAACCTCCCCCTATCAATATATCTTCACACACCAAACCACACATCACTCACGCAAGTCACAAGCCACAACAGGACCGATCTCAATTTTCTGTAAAAACATCATTGTATTGTTAGCCCGGGCTCATATCGAACCGCGCAGGCCATCTCTAACCCGAGATAATGAAACCCAAAAAATCAATCCTAGACTCCAAGTTCTCCATCCGTATCTAAAACAGCCTTAAGTAAAAGCCGGAACCGGGCGGGGGGTATCTTGGAAAGAGTAAGGAGATATCACAAATGCTGAGCCATGAACAAACAAGCTAAAACAGGAATACAACAGATTCCGATGAAACGTGATAGCAAGCGTTCTGTCCGAAGTGGATGTGAACGTGCTTCAAAAGGGAGTAATGTTAATCGCACTATCGCTATGCAAAGAAAATCAGGGGATTAGGGATGAGGGGAAGCAAATCATGATGGAAGGTAAGAAAAAGGATGATGGAAGGCGGGAAGAGACCGGAGAGCACCAAATCAATCGTCTGTCGTTTGGTCGGTGGTAGAAGCAGGGGCGGAAAGAGAATTACCCTCCTTGTCGATACCCTGGAGGAAGCAGTAGCGCTTCTTGCAGGTGGAGTACCCGAAATGGTAGCCAGCCTGCGCTTCGAGATGCTCGGAGATGCCCTTCCAGCCGATCTTCGACATCTTCTTGGCGAAGTCCCAGTCGTCAGGTTTCTCGCTCATACGGCGATTGACCTCGTCAACCAAGAGACGGTTCTACCGGGGGTCTCAGCGTGAGTGATTAGATGGGGCGAGGAGTGACGACTTACCTGACGGTCACTCCAGCGAGCGACACGAGGACGGAGGGAGCGGTGCTTGGTAGCGTTGCGCCAGCGACCGCGGAGAGTACCCTCGGAGATCGGGTAGTCGAACATGCCCTTGATCAGCTTGTAGGGCGTCTTGAGCCTGCGCTGTTCAACTACAATGCGGGTCTCGCGTTCACGGCGCTGCTTTGCAGTCTCATGCTGGTGCGACTCGCGCGAGATGGTGCGCTTACTACCTGAAGCCATCGAGCCAGAGGTTGGACCGACGAAGTCGAAGGTGGTATGCTGCGTCTGATACAGATGAGCTGGAGACTCAGGAGCCGCGCAGATCTGGGTGAGCTGAACAGGTAGCAGATGGCCCTCTGGTGGTGCAATGAGGGTTGGTTGAGCAGTAGGTGCAAAGTAGGAAGGAGTGATGGCAGTGGGAGGGGTTTGTATACTTTGGCAAGAAGTATTGGATGGGGAAGCCACTGGCGTTGGCATGCACTGGGCGAACGGAAAGCTACTTACGGTTTGCACAGGCGCAGGAGCTAGGTCGACAAACGGAGCACGAGGCACACCCCCGTCAAAGCCACCGTTGGACATCCGGACAGCTCCATTGGTGATGGTAGCTAGAGTGTTTGCCGACTGATAGCCGCAGTTGATTTGTTGAGGGCCCATTACAAACTGAGGCCGCTCGACGATATTCAATGATGGGAAATCATTGGTAAACTGCTGAGGGACCACAGCGAGCTGAGGCCGCTCGACGATGTCCATTGACTGGAAACCGTTGGTAGCCTGCTGTGAGCCCGTTGATGATAGGGGGTCAAACGAATTATGTTTGTAGCCGCCCAGCTGGTATAAGTCGAGGAACCTTTTGTATTGTTCGGAAGGGACCCCGGGACCGTTGCGCGTCGGCAATGGCTCAGTGCCGCCGTAGGCGTTCTGGTCGTAGAAGCCGTGGGCGTTTTCGGCGCCGTTCATGGTGTTCAGTTTGCAAAGAAGGTTGGTTGTGAAAGAATTGTTTGAAAGAGAGGCAAGTGTTTGATATACACAGCAGTAGAATGAGAGATCGGCGGTGGTAGGGTTTGGAAAGGGTGTAGAGTCGGGAGGAGCGTGCGAACTTATAAGGTTGGTTTGTGGGTGGGGAGGTAATTTTGGCTTGGCAAGTGCATTCACTCGACTAGAGGAAGCTCTCCAATGAACAATGCGATCGGGTGGTACAAGGAACAGTCACCTAATCTTGCACGGACGCTTCTGGCCCAGATCAGCTTCCCCCACATTCTCGAATTGGTCTGAATAGGAAGGCAATGCCGGATATCTAGGTGAAGTGCAAATGCAGCATATAGAGAATCGTTGTGAATACACACCTATAGTGATACAGCATGTATTGTTCGAGAACGTATCTGGCTGTGAAGGACTGGAGACTTACCGAGTTCCTGTAGATGGGTTGAGAAAGTACTGCTGAAAGGATAAGGCTAAGCCCTCTATGCTCTTCACGATAGCCGAATATAGACTCAGCCGCTTCAGTGTGATGGACTGATTTGCAATGTTTATGTTTCGTTTGAACTCGATGTTGTTTGTAGTGAATGGCCGTCACTGTCGGGATAGTGCACTGAGGCGGGACAAGGTGGCTTAAACTGATTTTTGAATTCTTCGTACGAACTTCACTCCCTGAGATCATCCCACTCCTTGGAATAGATCAAAAAAACGAAAGATTATAGCCCGTTTTTAAACTCTTCTTGATTGTTTGCGGCATTCATATTGCGGACTATGATGGGATAGTACTTTCCGGGACTTCCTTGGGCAAGGCTTCCTAGGAGGCGTGAAACTTCGTCCTCCAGCCCACGAGAAAGAGCAATGCTAGGCAATCTTTACATCTTGCTACGCCAGGCACCAAGGCTACAGATCCGTTACGAAAAGTTGCTGCCACGATCATTGCGATCCAATGCAAGCAATGACGATGAGGAGCAAACCCAGCGTCATACACAAGCTATTTATTTGCGAAAAGTTCACAATTCACTACAATTGCCCATCCCGCTGCCAATTCGGCTACTTCAGAGCGATTTGTAGTGGTGGGTAGTATACTCCTCAACAAGGCGTGCTACTGATTGCTTCGTGAAGTGGTGATTGAGTTGGCGCCGTCCGGCAGGGATGACACGTTTAGTGGATTGTGCGCAGGTACAAGACCCGAGCGTGTGGCTACGGATCAAACCTTGGCGACGTGTCGCCGCTAATTATGGATAAGTTTGCGGTTCCTGAATCCACCGTTTGTTTGGAAATAGTGATGAAGGCGGATATTGGTTCATCTCGTGATGCAGGTGAGTCTGAATTGGTAGTTGACGTACAGCACACGGAAGCGCAGCGAGACATTGCTCACCAAATCGGTACTACCATACTGGGTATCGGATGGAAATTATAATCTTCGATCAGAATAGCACGAATCTATGATACTCATCCATCGATTTAATGATCTAACCCCGTAGATCTAGTTTCTCAATCATTATGCGTATCTTAACATTGTGTAGCATTACCACTCCAAGGGTACTATTGGATGTTGGGAGTTTTTAATAGACAATAAAGGAATTGATAGCTCGTTTCAACATCACTTGGGAATTATCAACTCATTATATGATTGTGGATATATACTCAGTATTTATACCCCTTTTCGCCATCCACGTAGCTAGTGACCCATCCACACTGCAACAACCATGTGACAGATTGCAATAGATCATCAACTACACAGCGATCAAGCCGGTACATCAGCCGAGCACATCATATGGGTATGGCACATTTTCAGGGGAGTTGCGTTGTGCAGGTTGTCACTGTGCTACGTCCCCTAGCCATCAGAATCGAACACTACAAAGTATGCTCAGCATAAATCAGCAGTGTTACAAGTCCCCATTTACCCCTGAGTGTCGAAATACGTAATGCATACCCCACATATGTTGCAAATACCAAAATTCTTTACCACCAAGACGCACCCACCATTAATCTACCCCCAAGCCTCATCCACTACACATAATCCCATCTTCAACACTAAATACCTATCTACAATCGCCCCCTACAATCTTCACAGACATACAACATCCAAAACTCTTCAAGTATAGCGCTTACATACGTTCCATCACTACCTTTTACCCCTTTCGAAACTAGCACCAGCCCTTCACACATCATCCCTCCTATATCACTTTACCCCCACGTAATTTCCCCTTCACTCGCAAGAAAACTACCTCAAATCTCATCTCGGCCCGCTATGCACTATCGTCGATCTTTGCTAATCTTGAACTTCACAGCCTTCTCTCACAGGGGATGCTCAATCGCTATCCCTGTTCATACATGAACTACCTCATATTATATGTACTATCAACTTCACAGTCTCGTCTCACGAGAAATTTGCGATTGATATCCCCCTGTTTGTACAGAAACTACCTCATATTTTATCTTGGTTTGCTATATGCACTGTTAACTTCACAGAATCATCTCACGAGGGATTTGCGATTGCTACCCCTGCTCATCTCTCCTGTTTATAGCCCTTGTATAATACCCGCGTGAATTGTTGTTACGCTTGGAAAGATGGATGATGTGTAGCGCATGTGTCGGAATCTCGCAGTAGATGCTCTTGGACTATGGCGAGGAGGTTGTGCGCGTGTGTGTGTGTGTGTGCTGGAACAGGCGATGGACATGAATCCTGGACACTACTCAGGGGTCTGAAGCTGTGCGCTTGATGGACGCTCATGTGAGAATGTTGCCTGGCATTTTGATGGAGTTGAGTTTCGAATTATTGTTGCGTGCTTCGCTGCACTGGCATAGCATTTCCTTATCCAAGAACAACATATGGATACAGAAGAATAAGTGTGGATAACAATTATTGGGATGGAGAAGTGGTGACTGCGGTGTAAGTCCAACACACAGTATGAGCTATTCGCAAACTGAGCAACGAGCAAAAATCTTCAAAATATATAATAACGCAAGATAGTGGTATATACACCCCCGCACCCTCACAAGCTACCTCGACGTCGTGAGTTAAACCGCTTATACACAACCCTTGAGGATCTTCGTGACGTATATACACCCCATCGCCTCTCTGCCTGTACCCGAAAATATATACCATTGGAAATGAGAAAAGTGAAAAGAGAAGGAGAGAAGAGGCCGTGAGCGGTAAGTGAGAAGAAATCAACCGCTGTAGACTTTGACAGAGTTGATGAGCCAGTACGACTCGGTGAATGCCTGGGGCTGCGAGGCAACGTAGGCATTGCAGGTGTATTGCTGCGGGCAGGAGGAGGAAGGGTATGTAGCACCAGCCCACTGTTCAGGAAGATTGGAGAAGTTAGTGGGGAGTTTGAAAAAGAGGGTTTGAAAGGATGGTGTGGACTTACGTCTCCGCAGAACGTGATGTCGAAGATCTAATTTGAGAAAGAAAGAAAATATTGTTAGTATGCCAGCTTTCATCAACGTGCGAGAAAGAGAGAGAAAGGGTTGGAAGGAGGAGAACGAGATTAGAGAGAAGAGAAGAAAGAAGGAAAAAAAAAAGATGGAAATCCACGAACCAAGTTCAAATTCCTAAACTTCGCATCGAAATCGCACCCCGCGAAATTCGCCGTCGGCGTACCCCAGCTACTCGGATCGGGCCTCCCATCCCTGATATTCTGCGGCACGTCTCTCGCGGCAAACTGCCACATGCGGATCCCGCCGCTCTCCCACAGCGCGACGAACACGCCCCCGCCGTTCTGGTTGAATCCGGTCCCGTACGAGGTGGAGGAAGGGGACTCGACGCCACAGCCCGTGAAGCCGCCGCCCGCACCGCAGTCTGCGTTGCCGATGCGACGGCCGGATTGGCCTGCGGCGCCGACGGAAGGGGTGCAGCCTGGGGAGGTGTGGAGCGTCATTTGGTTATTTGTGTTTAGGTTTACGCCTTCGAGGATGTCTATTTCGCCTTGGTTGGGCCAGTTGGGACCGACCATCCAGCTGCAGGTTTTGGTTGTCTTGCGTTAGCTGTCTTTCATACAAGATTTTATCTTTTCCTCGTATATTTTGAAAAGATAGACGGAGGAAAGGGGAGGGGGAGGGGATGTCTTACAACGCAGGCCAGGACCCACAAACACTTCCCGGAACGTGTGCGAAATCCGCAATGACGAGGGCGTGTTGGTATGCTGTTTTGCTTTGGATGCGCACGCTGTTTCTTCCTACGCCGCTGGGGTTCAGGACCGTCGAGGTGTCGACGCCCATGTAGACTTGGTTGTTTTGCGTTCGGATGAGGCCTTGCGATGTTGCTGTGCCTTGGTCGACATAGTTTACGAAGCCATCTGATCCGGGAAGGTTAGAACAGGAAAGTATCATGGCAGATAAGAGAGGGAAGGGGGACTGTACGAGTTGGGTCGGCGATCTGTGGAACGATGGATGTCAGTGAGAAAGATGATGATGATTGTGAGTGGGGAAGAACGTACCCTTTGGACGTCGAATTTACTGAGCCAGTTGCTAGCATCGTATGAATCGATCAAACTAAATGCAGCAGCATTCAAGTGCAAGTCCACGGGAGACGTCTCATTGTTGGGAGCTTTAGGTCCCGCCGGGATCGCCGTAGCTTGGTTGAATAGTAGCGGGAGAGTAGCGACAAGAGATTTGAAAGACATCATGGCTACTTCTTATTCCAGTGTCAAAAAAAGTCTTAGAAACAAAAAGTTGCACAGAGTTAAGTTCCGATTTATCACAGGGGAACGGTGGGCCCCTCGATGCTTTTATGTCTTCGAACGAACCACGCAACATCCAGGTGAAGCATGCATGGGTCGTAACCCCGTGTTTGCGTGCGTGTGTTCGTGTGTGAAGGTAACATTTACCTACCTAATTTACCTACCTAACCTCCGTGCAGCTCTGTCATGGGTGGGGTGGGTGAATGAGAGTGAATAATGACCAAGTCCCAACCCATCATCATCACTCCCACCACCAACCAAAACAAAAAAGTGCCGTTGAAACTCTAATTCGTCGAAATTGCGTAAATTGGTACCACGCCCTCTCCCCCCTCGTCAATCTGCACGTACTCTGCACATAAAACGGCAACACGACCAACCATCCCGACCACTCTCCCTCCAAGAAACCTACATTGCACGGAAAACCCACCTAGCTAGGAAGTTGGTAAAGAAAAGAAAAAGGGAAAAAGAAGCAAGGAGGAGAGAAAAAAGGTGCGAACGTGCCGCCTGACATGGGTGAACAGGGACACACGTGTGCGTGTGTGTGTGTGCGGTAACTCAGCTCCCATTTTGCAGGGGTGACTCTGAGATTTGTAGGCAGGATAGCGAGATGAGGTTGGCGGTTACGAAGCTCGACTGGCGGGAGCGAGAAACTATGATCGGCGCCATGGGTTTCCCTTTTCCATTCCACACACTCGACATGTTCCGGGGTGGAGCCTCGAAGGGGGAACGTAACTCCTGGGTATTGGGTCCATGTGTAAGATGATGCCAGGCACACCACCGCAAGCAATCCAGGATCTGAAGAATGATGATTCGAACAAGCAAGTCAAAAGCTTGAAACCCCTCGCCATCATTTTCCTACGTCGTTGGTTGGGAGTGAATTCACCTGGTTCGCTCGCCTGACGCGGAATCGCCGCGGACAGGTCCCAAGGTCAGAGGCAAGACTCTGACTTTCGCATTACTTAATTGTAGAGCCCGCGCATGTTCGTCTTCGTTCATATCGCAAGGTCACATCTCTCTTTTTCTCTCTCGGAAAGGATCCAGAGAAAGGTTGCGCGCGCGCTTCCAAGCCATGTGCCAGGCAGCTCGGGTGTAACTCTCTGCACGTGGGCGGTTGCGCGTGTCCGTACCACCTTGAAACCCCCAACCCCAAGCAAAGCACGCACGCACGCACGTGAATAAACCAGCGGCTTTGGAAACCAACCAGGGACTCTACATGTATGTACGTAGATAGACAGGTAGTAGGAGCATATATTAGCACGAGTACGGTTATCTGCTAATTTCCCCGGCGTAGTATTCTATTCTGCCTTGTCCTTTTACCCGCTCTACCTACCTACTTTTGCGTCAACACTAACAAGCACACCTCCCCGGAAAAGGAAACCCATTAGAAAATACACCTTCCCGAACCATAACAGCGCTGTAGTATTTACAAGTCTAGAGTCTGGACAATTCCATCCTTCCAAATCACACCTCAAAAGGTAGGATGCGTCCCATTTCCCCCCGCACAAACTCAAAACAACGGCAGCTAGCAGCATCGTGATTCGCCCGGACTGCCCAATCACAACGTGCGTAGCTCGAGTTATTCCCCGGTTTGTGTGGTGTAGGTGATCCACGGGTTTAATGTCCGTGGGAGCGGGTATATATGGAGGAATTTCGAGGACGGCACCGAGGGTAGGTACTTGTGGTATGGAGCGGGCATGCATGCATGTATGCATGCAACGTTAGGTATCTACCTGGGTACATCGATATGTAAGATTCTTGTAATGCGGTATGGGTGGGATGGTACGGGATAGGGGTGCAGAATGGTACAGTGGTAAGATCGAGGTTGCGCAAAGTTCAATGTCTTGGGACCATTTCGATGTTACTACATCAAGGACACTGGCGCTTCATGCGTGATGTGTAGATACCCAACATCATTCAGAACTGCTGGACCACGATTTGTATGGAAACATCATTGGATGGGTATGGTATCTCTTTGAAAGTACTGTACAGAGGTCGCAAGAACAAAACAAGAAAGGTGAAAGAAGATAACAATATCAGTCATAGGCGTCATTCCATGATGTTAACGCTCCAAAATCCAAATCCAAGAAAAAATAGTCTCTCGTGACTCTCACAGTAGAGAATTTCGCCATTAACGCCCATCCCAAACATACCCTTGTCTGGGAAATGCAACCCATGCCCCCTAACCGTGTTTCCCATGACGAAGAAAAGAGTCCCAAAAAGAGAAAGTAGATACTTCCCTCAAAAAACATGAATATGATGCCCAGGCAACATGGCCACCCGTGGCAAGTTTTCGATCACAAGTAGAACCCCCAGATGTGTAGCCACTTGTCCAAGATGACGGAGATGAACCGGCCAGTAACACAGCTCCGGGGAGATTCAGAAACATTGCAATCCTCAAGATAAATCCCAACCTTCCAAGATGGTGGTGAAAACGACAGGCCAAATGATCCCACATAAAGTGAGAGTGCATAAAGAAGGGAATGACCAACGCCTATCGTCCATGGCATATACCAGAAACGCCGTCCAATGCTTGGAGTAATGATAGCTTTTGTAGGAATAAGGTATGTTCAGTATCCAATGACTATGCCCGCAGACGGGAGAAATAATGTTCGTGGAGCCGAATCGGTAACCATTGCCGTCAACCCGACGGGCAGGTTTCGAACTGTCCAGAGGTTTGACGGTCCGTGCCAGTACCGCCATTTCAGGTCGGAACGGAAACTGCGAAAGAATCCGCAGAACCATAGACACGTGGAATATACGTGGGAAGTGGAGGGCCAAAAACACAGACGCATCAGCGAATGACACCCCACTTATCCATGGTATTTATGGTGCTGGTCTTCTCCTTTTTCTTGAAGCAATTCCAGAACCGGAGAGTCTCATCACCAGCGCCAGTCACGATAACCTGGCCATCTGGACTCATAGCGAGATACAGAACACGGTACGTGTGGCCAGTGAGAGAAACCACCTGCTGCATGTTGGGGTATTTCCAGACTATGATCTGATTCTGGCTGTATCCATGCGTCGAAACAATCTCATTGCTATTCTTCGACCAAGCCAGGTTGCAAACTTGACTACCCGTGTCCAGGCTTTTTATCAAATTGGCTGGTGCACTGGCTGAGGCTTCAAGATCGCCGGGACCGGATGCCGAGGCGGCCGAGGAGGCGGTAGCAAGTGAAGCAGCAGAAGGCCCATTGGAAGAAACGAGTGTGTTCCAAAATTTAATGGTCCGGTCTGCTGTACCGCCACCACTGGCAAGAAGGCCACGCTGATGGGGGCTCCATGCGATAGCCTTAACGGCAGCCTGGTGTTCGCTCCACTTGTAGGTAGGCTCTGCGTTGAGTTTGTCCCAAACCATAAGCTTGTTGTCGTTGCCGCCAGAAGCGAGTTGCATGTCTTCCGTGTTCCACTTCAAGCCACAGACTTCTTGTTTGTGTCCGACAAGCTTGCGCAACCACTGCTCAGGTTGTCGCACATCGCGGTGGTAGATTGATCGATCTCGTGATCCAGAAGTGAGAATGTGCTCGTTCCATGCTAGGGCGCCAACACGAGCCGAGTGGCCAGTCATGGTCCGCAAGCGACGCTGTGTCGTCGCATCCCAAATCTGCACAAAGCCTCGATTGGTACCAATAGCAAGGTGGGACCCCTAGAATGATTGTGAGTTTGCTGTTCCACGGTAATTACTGTGGGAAAACTTACACGCTGAATCCAGCTAACGCTCGTGACTGAATCGTCGTTCAGTTCACAGAGCTTTGTCACACGGCCACTGGAAGAATTCCACATGTACACGCACGAACCGAGACCAACACCGAGGATATTTTGGCTACCCCAGTCAACAAGATTGAGATAGAAATCGTCGGCCAGATCGGGCGCATCCAGCACTTTGTAAGGCACCTTCGAAACAGCGCGCGGGGTCCGTTGCGGGCTCAAAAGCATTTTCTGGCTGCTGAACTTGATGGGAGACAGGCTGTAAAGATCGGACTGGGCGTTGAGATTGATGCCGTGCCTGCTCGACGGGGTTCTCGATGGGGTGGGCTGGCCCGAGTAGTTGAATAGGTTCTTGTGGGGAGTGGACGGAGTTAGATTGGGAGCTGGCAGCGGCGCAGATGCGCGTGCAGGAGGAGTATCGGCACGACCAGACGCACGCATTCCAGCGCTGTCGGTGGGAGAAAGACTTTGAGGCAAAGCCTGGGGGACCGTTCCATCGAATAGTTCAGACCGCAACAGTTCAGAGTACGTCCGGTTTGCTTCCTCGGCTAGGTCGAGTCAGTGGATGCATTCAGTCTCAACTATTCAGAAACGTACTTTTCTGGAAGTATAATTCGTTGTGTGGAGCCCGCTTTGCGCTTCGAGATGGCGTAGCTGGCGAACCATCTTCATGAAGCAAGGAGAAGCTCGCCTGGAGATCTTGGCCAGCGCGATTAGGGATGAACCTGGTGATCTGTTAGCCATGTTCTACAGAATGGTATTCATTCTCCCACGTATGTACTCACCTATCACCGTAAAGACGTTGGCGCTTGCGGCTCGGACTGGCTATCGGGCGTTCGCGCGATGACCGGCCAGCTTGTTCGAATTGCTCCAGAGCCTTGCTCAGCGCCGAAGGATCAATGGGCTCCGAGTTGCGGTCTTGAGCGAAGTCGGCCTGGTTGCGCTTGTGGGTGGCAGTCGGGGGCGTCTTGGACTCGGGCGGGGAGATGAGGGTAGGAGTATGGGCGGGCGCATCATCCTCGACGGGCTCCTTTGAGGAGACAGGCTGCTGGGCTGACTTGCGTGTCATGGTGAAGTGTGATTAGGGTCGAGTTGGTGGAGGAGGACGAGAAAAGGCGAGGTCAGAGAGGTAGAGATAGGCGGCGGGGGCGGGGTCTATTGTAATAGAGGGTACAATAGCAGGCGGAGTGGGTAGAGTGGCTGCGCAAAGACTATTCCAAGGTGAGATTGCGTATAGAGGTGAGAGACAATGGCGCGCGACGAGTGAATAGACGAATTGCAAGCTTCTATGAGTGAAGGTGAAATGCGATTGCAGCTCTAGCGGAAGTGAGAGAGAGCCCCTAGTGACGGTGCCACCTCGACAGCCCCTCACACAGCGGCACTCGGGAGCGCGCAGGACGTAGCAATAAATGCAGCTCTTCAATGGCAAGCGCTTGTCATGGCAATCGGGGTGTTTGGTGGGCGAACGAGCGGAGGGGGGGTGGGTGGTGAGATGGATGTTCGTTGACGACGGGATGTTTTGGGTAGGTGCGCAATGTTGCTTGGTCGGAGCGGCACTAAACGCTGGAGGGCAACGCCGTCGATGTGAATGCAGGGAGGATGCTCGAGCAGACGGTAGCACGGAAGCCAGGAGAACGATGCAATAGTAAATGAGCGATGATGCGCGCAAGGAGGGAGGGACGGCGGGCAGTTGAAGGGGTTCGGTGGTGGTGGTGTTGGTGGAGGTTGTTGTTTTTGGTTGCCCTGTCCCGTCGACGTCTTACTACTACTACTACTACACGTACCGACATGTTTGGCTTGTCGCTGTTTTGATTTTCAACGCGTCCCACCCCTGTCAACACTCGCACCACACGGCCGTTCTTCACCAACCACCCAGCCATCCGCCGTCAGAGTGGAGATGGAGAGCTAAAAGCAAAACAAAACGTCACAAAGGGGCCATCGCGTCCCTGCGTTTGCTGGCATTGTTTACTGTTGCTGTGAAGGGGGGAAATGGACCCTCTCTCCAGGCGTATGCTTTGGTGCCAGGAGCGTCAGTATCGAGAGAGGAGCTTGAGATTCTTGCTACCATCCACATCATTCACGTCCCTCCCTCGGGGTTGAGATCGTTTCCTTTTTTTTTTCTCTTTGATTCTTTTGCGTTGTCGTGAGCTCTGTCCAATCGCAAAGTCGCTGATGCAGTCCTTCTGTCAGCGAGTGAATGAAAAACGGACAGCTCAGCTTTTCCATTCCCCTCACATCATGACCTGGACGTGTCTCGGCCCCTTGCAACCCATCATGGAGATATTGATCATATTATCATCACTCGCCACCAAGACACGAGACTGTTCCCGCGCGTGTGCCAACGTGTTTCTGTTGTCCCATGCCCATGCCACGCCTCCAAGCAAAGACGTTGGCTGCTGGCCAATCAACGGCCCGGCCAGCTTGTGCCGCACTTCACGCTGCACCCGCTCCGCCAAATGACGCTCTCTTCCATCTCAGGTCCCCAACTACCCCACACCCGCCAAGCGCCTCTACCCAAGTACCTATCCCATGCTCAGAACCCCTCTCCGAGCCATCGTGCTGCACCAGCAAACTCCTTTCGCTGCCGCAAATAACATCACACCCTGCTTTCTCGCTAGCCTCTCTTTGCGAACCATGTCCACCAAGCCGTCTCTCGAAGCCGCCGAGGATTTTCTATCCTTTGTCAACGCTTCCCCAACCCGTACGTTTTCATCACCTGCGCAGAGCTCCGTACAGCTTCAACCACTGACCGTCATGTAGCTTTTCATGCCGTGAAATCTTCTAGAGAGCGACTGGAGAAGGCTGGCTTCAAGCACATCAGGGTCAGTCCAGTCCGCTCTTTGATACACTGTACTTCTGCGCAATACTGATGCTCTGCTACAGGAGCGTGATTCTTGGGCTTCTACTCTCCAGCCAGGTGGAAAATACTACCTCACTCGGAATGGCTCTTCCATCGTGGCATTTGCTATCGGCAAGCAATGGAAAGCTGGCAACCCCGTCGGTATGATCGGCGCGCACACCGACTCGCCTTGCCTCCGCATCAAACCCGTATCCAAGCGCCAGAGCGACGGTTTCCTACAAGTGGCTTGTGAGACGTATGGCGGTGGTCTTTGGCATACTTGGTTTGATCGAGACTTGTCTATTGCCGGGCGCGTCATGGTCAAGGCAAAGGATGGCAACATGGAACAGCGTCTGGTCAAAGTGGAGCGACCCATCTTGAGGATACCTACGCTCGCTATCCACCTGGATCGTCAGGAAAACTTCCAGTTCAACAAGGAGACGCAACTGTTTCCCATCGCCGGGTTAGTTGCTGCCGAATTGAACAGGCAAGGCAAAACCGAGGACTCAAAGGAAGAGGAGCAGAAGGATTCTTCTTTTGAGCCTCTTGCGAAACCTACCCAACGCCATCACTCATACATTGTGGATATCATTGCTGAGGAGGCTGGTGTGGATGCGAACGATATTCTGGACTTTGAGATAGTCCTCTACGATACCCAGAAGTCAGTTGTCGGTGGACTGAACAACGAACTCATCTTCTCTCCCAGACTCGATAATCTGATGATGTCGTATTGCAGTGTTGAGGGACTGATCAAGAGCTTGTCATCCTCTTCGGCTCTGGATACGGATTCTACGATCCGCCTCATTGCCCTATTCGACCATGAGGAGATCGGAAGTCAGACTGCGCAAGGTGCCGATTCAAACCTTCTTCCAGCAGTCATCCGCCGTTTATCTGTTCTGCCTCCATCCGAATCGGACAACTCGGACAAATCATACGATACGTTGGATATCGATACCACGACAGCATACGAACAAACCCTCTCCACTTCATTCTTGATCTCCGCAGATATGGCCCACTCGGTACATCCCAACTATCCTGGCAAGTACGAGTCTCAGCACCGACCTGAGATGAACAAGGGCACGGTCATCAAAGTCAACGCAAACGCTAGGTATGCCACGAATACACCTGGGATAGTCATGTTGCAGGAAGCTGCTAGACGAGCCAAGGTCGCATCCTCCAGCCCATCGTCATTGAAGCAAGGCGTGCCGCTTCAGCTGTTCGTGGTTCGAAATGATTCGTCCTGTGGTAGCACCATTGGACCTATGCTTTCAGCCGCCATGGGTACTCGTACTCTGGACTTGGGCAATCCGCAACTCAGCATGCACAGTATCCGTGAAACAGGTGGTGCCCACGATGTGGAACACGCTGTCAACCTCTTCGAAAGTTTCTTCGAGAACTTCGCGGAACTTGAGAAGAAGATCATTGTAGATTGACTTGAAGGCCCCAAATTGTAGTGGTTCAGTATGTAAGAGGCGGGATATGTCTCAGTCTATGAATAATGAAACCCTGCCCGGCTGGCCCATTATAATCACGCCAAGAGCCCCTCCACCCCTCCAACGTTACCCCACCAAATGTGATCTTCAAACCTACCAGCCATTTATCTTCAAGACACACTGTATCATCCGCCAAACATGTCGCAACCTAAGCATCTGACCGGTGACAAAGCTGGCATCGATGAATTCTTGTCAAGATTCGATGTGAGCAGCCTTCGTGCGATTTAGAAACCCTGACGGTGCCGAAGGAGCCCCTACTGACATACAGATTCAAGGTCTTCCTCTTCGATTGTGACGGTTCGTTCACGTTTTCTAATCATATACATTTCATCTGGACCATACCAGACTATTGTACCTCTGTCAGAGACTGCTCCAAATTTCAGGTTCGCTAATTATGCAGAAGGATAGGCGTCCTTTGGTCTGGTGACCACATGTTCGACAATGTTCCCCAGACCCTAGAAATGCTCAGGAGCAAAGGTCAGATGCTTTCTCGATTCCCATGGACATTGCTCACTACGGACTGCAGGCAAGCAGTTGGTGTTTGTGACGAACAACAGCACAAAGTCGCGCGCCGATTACAAGAAGAAGTTTGACAAACTGGGAATACCTGCCAATGTGGTATGTACTCAATACTGCGCTACCAAAAGTTATGCCTGACATAGATTCAGGACGAAGTCTTCGGCTCCTCGTACAGTGCCGCCGTGTATATCGCGCGTATCCTCAAGCTTCCGGGCCCCAAGAACAAGGTGTTTGTGCTGGGCGAGAGCGGCATAGAGCAAGAGCTTGAATCTGAAGGCGTGCCATACTGCGGTGGAACCGATCCCTCGCTTCGCCGGGATATGGAGCAGGAGGACTTCACAAACATCGCGAATGGGTCAATGTTGGATCCAGACGTTGGCATCGTTCTGAGCGGCCTGGACTACCACATGAACTACCTCAAGACTTCCATCGCATTCCAGTACATCCAACGTGGCGCAATGCACTTGGCTACAAATATTGACAGCACACTGCCTCAAGCCCACAGTTTCTTCCCGGGTGCCGGAGCAAGCAGCGCGGCACTTGTCAAGGCCGTCGGCAAGGGAGAGCCTACCTCGTTTGGAAAACCAAGCCAAGCGATGATGGATGCCATTGAGGGCAAGTTCCAGTTCGACCGTAGCAGGACTTGCATGATTGGAGATAGGCTGAACACCGATATTCAGTTTGGTATTGACGGCAAGCTGGGTGGTACTCTAGCGGTTTTGACCGGGGTGAGCAAGAAGGAGGAGTTCCTGGCAGACGGTGCAAAGACTGTGCCTACTGCATACGTTGACGCGTTGAGTGATCTCTTGGGATAGAATTAGAGACGCATGTTACCATAGAGTAAGGGCTCAGATTGGCCTGTAAACTTTAGATATAGAAACCACTTTCGGCCTGAGACCAGGGTGCCGTCATCCTTGATGGCCATCGCGACACTTAATCTGATTTGGTTAGCGCTAAAACGCGTCCGAGTCGCGCACGCGTCAAACCACTTTACGAGCACTGCTACTTTGCCGCGACCCCTCTCAATACAGAATACCACAGCAAAACACACACAATCATGATCCGCCACGATTATTCTCGAGTCGACACCAAACGACGCCCCAACATTGACTACAAGAAACGGCAGTTTGCGAAAGCAGAATTTCAACAACAGAATTATGATCATCGTCTCAACTTCTACAGGCTGCCGCCCACGGCAGAGATCACGCTGGAGGAGTTCGAAACATGGGCAATCAGCCGTCTGAAAGGCATGTGAAATCAAAATTATATATACTTTTTGTAGCAGGCTATTAACGTTGGTAACAGTCCTCTCAGAGCTTGAATCCTGCAGTTTCCGCAACCGAAGCCCTGAAGAGACCGCCGAGTACATGACCAGCATCCTGTCGAAACACCTTCCTCTTCACTCCAACTCCTCTAGAAGCCAAAGCTTGCAAGATGAACGGCGCAAAGATCACTATTCACACTTCATTTTGCGGCTCGCGTTTTCTTCGACCGAAGAACTGCGCCGCCGATTTTCGCGGTTGGAAACGATGCTCTTTAGGTTGCGATTCAGAGATGATGACTTCAGGGAGAGGCAGGAGTTTGTAAAAGACCTGAGCTTGGAGTGGGAAGAAGTGGACGAGGATGAGAAGAGGGAGTTGAAAGACCAATTAATGGCTGCCAGCTCACTGAAGAAGGGCGACGAACAGGAGTGGATCAAAGTGGATTGGGAAAGAGTGCCCGAACTCGTGGAACAGAGAAGGGTTTTGATGAAGAGAGGAAAGGCATATGTGCCGCAGAGGGAGCAACAGAGTCTGGTCGTTGCTGATTTCACCAAACGGTTGGATGAAGCCCTTTCGGTATGCTTGAACTTTCCGAAACCAACGAATTGACATATTAACCTAGACAACAGCTGACGGCCCGCGCACTCCCCCGCCTCGATGAAGACGACCGTCTCGCCCCCATACTCGCCCACCTTTCCCAATCCTTCAACTCCCCCGACGCAGCCTACTCCTCCTCAGACGCCGAAATCGACGGCCTCTCCTCCATCCGCGCAAACTCCATCGATACCCTCTCCAAAAACTTCCCCCTCTGCATGCAAAACCTCCACATGACCCTCCGCGCAAATTCCCACCTAAAACACTACGCCCGTCTCCAATACACCCTCTTCCTCAAAGGCATCGGTCTCAGCCTCGACGAATGCATCATCTTCTGGCGCAAATCCTTCAAACTAATGACAGACGACAAATTCCAAAAAGAATACAAATACAATATCCGCCACGCCTATGGCGACGTAGGCGGCGATGCGAATCGTCGCGGGCGCGGTTATACTCCTTACTCGTGCCACAAGATCATCACTGAGCCATTACCTGGACCCGGACAAGCCCATGGATGTCCATATCGCACGTTCACGCCTGACAACCTTACAGCTATGTTGCAGCGCGTTGGCGTGCAGGATCGCGATTTACTCAAGGCGGTTAAAGAGGATGTGAACAAGACTCGGTACCATGTTGCGTGCAATCGTGTGTTTGAGTATTCGCATAAGAGGGAGATTAAAAAGGTCAAGGATGATGGGAGTTGGAGCGCGGCAGATTTGGATACCATTGTGCATCCAAATGCGTATTTCAAGAGGAGTTGGCTTTTGAAACATGTTGGGGATGGGAATGCGGGTGTGGTGGCCGGTGCTGGGGATAAGATGGAGGAGTAGCCATTTCCATCTCCGTCAAGTTCTAGTTTTTTCTTTTTCTTTGTGGATAATACTGCTTGTAAACCTTTTTTTTTCCGGAGGGTTTGAAGATTCGTGGTATCACATAGTCTGGGTCGCATGTCTGCTATAAGGAGTTCCTCTATGCTCTATCCAATCTCCCATTCTCCGCTCACAGCGAGAATGCGACGCCTGCCTGTCTGAACAATATGTCTGTCAATTTCACAAATTGCGTCACTGCGACCCTAGAAAACTCGATGCTACTCCCGAGGTCTGTCTATTCATACAATCAAGCCACGTGGAACCAACCCTCTGATTTTTTGTTTATAAAAAACACACATTCTTTCAAAGTTCTTGGCTTCCTTGTCAAGACGTCAATCCTTGGGGGAAGAGGGGAGGTGGAAGAAGTCGAAACGCTTTACAATTCGTGGTTCTTTTTTGGCTAAAGTCGTTTTGAACCACAATCTAGGAGATTACTGGGGTTTAGGTGCGAATTGCCTGAGTGTGGCAACCTCGTGTTTCTCAAGTATAATGAATAACATTTCCAATTATAGGCAAAGATAAAGAAAAAGTTTTCTCTTCCTCTTCGCTTTCTTCTTGTCACAAAATGAATTCTGGGTTGGAGTTTGGGTGATCCTACACACAGCGACAGGTTTACAACGATAAGAGGAACCAACAAAAACTGGCGATTACCGAAAAAAAACTCTTTCTTGTCATTCTACCTGTTATTTGATGGCTGGGTCGTGATAGCGCCGCCCTGGGCACATAACTCATGAATAAACTGTTAAGTTGGAGCTTGGGTGATCCTACTACACAAGCGATATTGGCAACGATCAAAATAAGTACTGCAAATAGGCGATTACCAGGGAAAGAAAGTTTTATATTAAAAGGGCCTTGGAGATTTCCGCACATCAGCGTTTCTACTTTTAGAAAATATACAGGAATCCTTCGCTTTGGATATTTTTATAGCGTTTTTATATTGACATTCCGAGGCTCCAATCCTTCATCTCTTCCCCTTGCATTGGTGGAATGCAAGAAAGCGACCACAACACTGGCGGGGTAAAGTATCAACGGGATAAATGATTATTTTATCTTATTGATACGAAAACCTGGGCAACGCGTTGGCGTGCGGGGATCAACAGCGGACAAAACCATGGCATTGCGAGAGAAAGATGACTTCCAAGTAATTACTTTGGGGTCTGCAGTAGTTTGACATTCTGATATATAAAGAATGGGTCTACGTATTGCGGGTTCAAGCTCCGTTCCTCGCAATCAACGTTTTTCCCTTTTCCCCATTCGTATTTTAGAGTTGCGGAATTGGCTAAACAGGAAACTCTTTTTTTTTTGCTTCGCACGCTTTTTAAAGTTCTCTTCGTTTTTGATCTTCGCCCAACCTAGGGTTCTCTTTCTAAATCTGGAACAAGTGCTCGTACATCGCATTCATTCAGTCCTCTTCCATTCCGCAGTAAGCTCGAAACGGATATTGGTAATGTAGGGGAGGAGACCTTATTTATCTTCGCCCTTATCCAGCGCTCACGTTTACCTCACACACCCCAGAGGGAGTCCATAACACGAATCTTCAGGGCCAGGATTTGTTTTATTGAGGATACAATGAGATCAGCTATTACTATTTGGTTGTTATGCGCTGCTGTGGTTTTGGCGCAGCAGACGCCGAGTCCGACACGTTGCCAGTGTCCGCTGGTGAAATGCGATGGCAGTGATGCTGCTGTATGTTATCCTCCTCCGCCTCCTTCCTTCCTTTCTCTCGCTGTGACCAGAGTGAGAAAAGAATGAATGACTGGATTTGTGTTTGTTCTTTGCTTACTTGAATAGAAACTCTGCCAATGCCGCAATTCCCGCGAAACGCTGTGCAAGCAGACTTGTCCGGATTATGTCCCCACGTACCTCGTCAGTGCTTGTCCCCGGATCCTCTTCCCGTTTCCAACGCCTTCTAGACTTCTGCCGAGTGAGATTATGAAGATAGCTGACGAGTTGTAATGGTTGATATAGCCATGTCCTACGGGTTCGCCTACACTCCGTAGTTCTACATCCACGCAGGTTCCGGTGCCGACTCCAACGTCTTCATCGACGCCAGGCGAATGCGAATGCGAAGAGAGATTCTGTGCTATGATGTGGCCGCAGTCATGCTACTGCGCCAACGCGAACAAACAGGCCTGCTATGACAAATGTGGGGGTGTGAAGCCTGCGTTAGCTGTATGTTGTTGATTCTCTTTCCTCTCTTATATCTTCACTTCTCTGCTCATTCTCAGACGTCATAACTATCTTTCCATCAGTCTTCCTGAACAACAGAAACCTGTTATGACGAAAGAGATCAACGTCAAGGATATTCTAACCATAAACACATCAGGACTGCCCACCGATTGATCCACCAAGCCTAAGCACACTCACAACTACCTCCCGTAAACCCACCACTACAACTACGAAGAAAACATCTTCCACGACAAGCACGCGCAAACCAACCACAACCCCTCGACCTACCCACGCACCCTGTGGTGGCAATAGCCCAACCGCTCCAACCTGCGAAGCTGGGTACATATGCATCAAAGACCCGTATAAGCCCGGTTGCGGACCAGCGTGCGATCAGCAGGGCATCTGCGTAGAGGATAGAATGTGTGGAGGGTTCGCAGGGTTTGAGTGTAGGATGAAGGGGCAGGTTTGTTGGGATGATCCTAGGGATGATTGTGCGGCTGAAGATGGGGGGAATGATTGTGCGGGGGTTTGTGTTTGGCCACATCAATTAGGGTAGGAAAGCAGATAGGGGGGAAGTACGGTGAGTTCATTGAATAGGAATGGCAATGGTGGAGTTGATAGTTGTGTCTTCGGACGTCGTTTTCGTGCTTCAAGGAGCAAGTCAACTACTCGTGCGTTTTGCTATTCCAATTTAGTCAACAAACACAAAAAAGAAATCACAACTCCATCACTCCCCTGGTTCCTCCCTCCCTCCATTCCACCCCGCCCCAATTCAATGGAAATACTTCCAAGCAACCCCCCTAGTAATCTCCCACCCTTTATCCAACACCTCCAACACCTCCCCATCCAACTCCCCACCCTCCAAATCCCCCAAATTCATCTCCAACTGCTCCACACTACTCGCCCCAATGATAACCTTATCCCCAAACTCCCTCTTCAACCCCCCATGATGCCCAATCCACCTCAACGCAACCTCGCTCTCCCTCAACCCCTTCCCCTCCAAAACGGGCCTCACAACCTCCAGCGCGTCGAAAAACGATTCATTCCAGTACCGCGCCCGGTACTGCTTCCCCTGGAGGTGGGAAGGGTCGAAGCGCGAGCCCGGCTCGAGGGAAGAGGTTGGGGTGGAGCGGGAGTAGCGCGAGGTTAAGTAGCCTCCGGCCAAGGGGTTGAATGCGTAAAAGGCCATGTTGTATTTGCGGAGGCAGGGGAGGAGTTCGTGCTCGATTGTGCGGTGGAGCGCGTTGTAGAGGCCTTGGTAGACGGAGGGGAGGGGGTAGTTGTTTTTTAGGCAGATTTCGCAGAGGGCCGAGACTTCGTGGGCCACTTGTTTCTCTTGTGTTAGCTTTGAATCTTTTGCTGTTTGGGGTTGAGGCGGGATTGCGGAAACGCTGGTATGGATAACTTCTTGGAAGGGTTCGAGGGAATGGTGGATATAGAACTCGAGTCGAGAAAGAAGACCACGAGGTTCTTGCTTTGATGATTGATGGATGACCCCAAACTCCCTGAACAGAAAAAAAAGGAGAAGCAAAAAAGTGGAAAAAAATAAAAAATAAACACTCACTGAAATTACTAACCCCCCACCCCTCAAACCACCCTTCCCGCCACAGCTCAAAAACCCCCTTACAAACCTCCTCCAACCCAACCGTCCGATCCGGTCCATGCAAATACCACAACTCAATCTTCTCCCCTTCCTTCAACCCCAGCGCTTCCCAGCTCTTCTTCACCGCCTCCCTCATATCCCCAACCCTCAAGTGAGTTTCCTCAAGCCCATACGCGCCCGTCACATTCGGATAGAACTTTGTATGTACTTTTAGCCCGCGGGCGCGCCAGTCGAGGGCCGCGAGGTGAGTTTCGCTTGTTCCGCCGCCGTAGACGCGCGACGTGTCGAGGGAGGTGTGGGAGTGGGATTGGAAGGTTGAGAGGAGGGATGAGCAGGTTAGGAGCGAGGGGGTGCGTACGCCGTGTTTGCCTAGAGTGTAATATTAGCGGATTAGGAAGACTATAAAAAATAGTTGTCTGCATACCGGCTTCGCCGATTGTCATTGTGCCTAGGATCACGTCGAGGGGGGTTTTGGGTGCCATATTTTATTTTTCTACTTGATTTTTTCCAAGAAAGAGAATGGGTCGTATAGAAAGAAAAAGGTCTTGTCGGATTGAACTCGTTTTCTTAAGTTGTTCTCTCAACCAAAAAGAAAAAAGATCAAAAGACTTGAGAGATGGTTTTGAATTGCAGATTGAAGGGGGATATCACAAACGGGTTTTTATACTTTAAATTCACTTCCCCGTCCCAACAGCTTCAGAATACCTTACGAACCAACTTCCTGCTCTCTCTGCTCCACACCGGAGATTAAAAGAAAATACAACGGACTTACGTTCCCTTCCCTTCCCTCTCCCTCTTTTCTGTCATCCAATCTGCATCCCCCATTCACATTCTGCCGGCTTGAAGCAACCCATCCAGCATTCTTCCCATCTTACTCCTGTTCCTAATACGGTAACGCGTCGAAATGGTATCCTTTTGTAGTTTAGCGCAAATCGGACCGTTGTTAGCATAACCAGGAAGCAATCGAAGAGGGGTTTGCGTGGAAGCCAGACGGATAAAGAGGAGGGGGATGGAGAGAGGGGGTTAATGGGTTGTAAAGTCCGATATCAGCGGGAAGGTAGAGGGAGTATTATTAAGATAGGAGAGATAGCTGTGGAGGGATGTAGTAAGGTTCTAGTGTACTATGTATTATGATAGTGAGGTGGTGAAGTATGGGGGGAGGTAAATTCAAGATTGGTAGGAGACGGAGACAGAGAGAGAAGAGCTGTACAGAGATCGACGGAAGAGAGTGACAAGGAAAGAGGGAAGGGGGAAGGGGGGGGAGGAAGAAAGAGTTACTCCACAACCCCATTCTCCTCCCTCCAAGTAAGTCTCTCCACCCCCACAACCCCGGGTCCACGATAAACACTCCCATACAGCCCGCTCGCCCAGTCCTTGCCATCCCCCTCAGCGCCAACGCGCTTGCGATACCACTTCCCATACACAAGCAGATAATACAAGCGGAACGCGAGCACGGCGAAGCGGTCGCGCTCGAGGTCCTCGGGGTACGCGGCGCCGAGGTCGACGGCCGCGGCGATGCCGCTCATGACGGCGACCTCGTGGGCGTTGACGAGCGTCCACGACGACGCGAAGCGCGTGTGGCGCTTCCCCTGCAGCAGCCAGAGCCACGGCACCACGAAGAGGTAGTGCGTCCACGAGTGGCAGAGCTGGTGCCACCAATCCTTTCTGATGATTTTGTCGGGCGCGATTTCGTCGATTGTCCAGAGGTGCGAGTCGCGCTGTTTGTTGAGGTAGATTGTTTGGAAGACGTGGGATTCAAAGGGGACCGAGGGTGGGAATTGCGATTGGTAGTTTGTGCAGTCGAAGCACATTTCTAGTTTGGAGCGGTCTTGCGGGTACGTTTTTATCATGTACATTGGTTTGAAGGATTGTTGGGCGAATTCGTTGCGGTGGGTTTGTGGGGTATTGGAGAGGGTCGAGACGGCTTGCGAGGGCGTGTAGAAGTTTTCGTAGTGCTTCTTCATGTAGTCGCTGTCCCAGTGGGTTACTGTGATGTCGTCTGAGAACTTTGCCGAACCTAGAATGCGGGATTCGAGGGTGGAGGCCGTGGTGGAGAGGATGCGTTTTGCTGTGTCGGCGCTGTTTGAGAGAAATAATATCAGTCATACACACATACACACATATTCTGCTTTGAACGGGATAGGGGTTGAAGCAAAGGGAGGAAGAGGATCGAAAAAAAAAACAGACTTACAGCACGCAGAGCACAATCTCATCGTACTGTTCCTGCGATTCCTGCGCCCCTGCATCGGCAGTCCCGTCTTCCTGCGGCACCCACGCGCTGTTGGGATTATGCTCATCCGGCACCGGCGTGCGCTTGACGATGTTCACGACAACGCCATCCTTCCCCCTCTTCACGACCTTTGTACACTCGGTCGACAACCTCACATCCACACCCCTACCGATTAAATCCTTCCTCCAGTCGTCGTAGAAACTCCCAAACCTCGGAAACACGACCATGGGAGGTTGATTGCTGGCCACGCTAAGCTTATCGGCCGGATACCACATGCCATACGTCGGGCTCGTACACAGTCTCTCCATTATAATAGCCGGGACTTCGGGCGTATAGTTTCCAGTACCCAAGAACAGCGCAACCATGGGCAAAACGATTGAATTTGCGAATTCCTCGGAGAAGAAAAACATCTTCAAGAGGTACTTGATAGGGATGAGGGCGAAGAAGATTTCAAACCACCGCACAATCTTCAACATCTTCACAAAGCGGCGGATCTCCTTTTGATGGCGCGCCAGGAGTTCGGTGGGGAAGACGTTTGTCCAGAATAAATCGCCTTTTCCAAACGACACCTAGACCAACGGGACGCACTGTCAGCAACCCCTCTCCAAAGACACACATTAACAAAAAAAAGGAAAATAACTTACATGCAACTCCACAGGATCGGCATGATACCCCATCCGCGCAAACATCGTCATAGTATGATGAAAGATATAACTTCCCCCTTGCACCCCTTGATTCAACCAAGCAGCTCCGTGCCGCTCTTTATCGATGGGGATGGAAAACGCCTGCCCGCCGCAGTAATCCACCGCCTCGATCAGCGTGACGTCGAATTTTTCGGGATGGTTGGCTAGGTGGTGTGCACATGACATGCCTGGTTCATTTCGAGCTCGTTAGATGGAAGGACGAGGGAAAGGAAGGGGGAAGGGGGAAGGGGAAGGAGACGTTACCAGCTGCTCCAGCGCCAACAATGAGGACGCGTTTTCGATCTGTTTTTGTTTTGGTTTTCGTTTTGCTGGTGTTCATCTTCGCGGTGGTGGTGGTGCTCAGTAACGCACTGTTCTCGTCGGGTTCTGGTGGTGGCATGTATATATCTATCCTTTTCCTTTATTCAATCTCTCTCTCTATATCTCTTTCTTTCTTCGCTCTGCCCCGTTGTTGTTGCAGGCACGCGCATACACACACACACACACACACACACACAAGACGACGACGATAGCAGCTGATGAGATGCAGATTATGTATGCGAAAACAACACACAAACAAAACCAAAATTCCAAGTGGCAGATGTTTGTTTATAATTATCTCATGACATGCTCGACTTGTTCTTGTTATTTCGGGGAAAAGATGTGATATTCAAGGAGTGCGTCATTACCGTCCAAAGACGGCTTGGTATGCACCTTTGTAGATCGATCTTGAGTTAGTGTCCGCGAGATCCACCGATCAGATCGGGGCTAGATTGATTGGTCCGATCGGTCGTTTGTCTACTGGTAGCGAGGAAAGCGCCAAGGGATTTCGATCTCATACGACAAGACGATACGACAAGACAGGACAGACACGATTTGTGGAAGCGTCAGGAGAAGCGAGAGAGATGTGCGCAAGGCGGGACGGCTTGTCGTCCTTGAAATGTTTAGATGTTGGCGTTCCCCACGGAATCACGGGTTCCCACCCAACTAGAAGTTCATCTGTGAAGAGTCAATAACCATTCAACGTGTTGCGTCAGTTGCCAAAGCACATGCGTGCATGCATATATGTATTCATTCATGCCAACCATGTACATAAAAAAACAGCCCCTCGTTCCAAGCAGTCGCATCCACATGCGCAACACCCTCAAGCAAGCCCCAAAAACTGAATCATCGCAAACAAACTTGGTATAAATCGTCATCCCTTTCCTCTCCCTTACTCCCCAAGAATCACAAAAAAAAAAACCCCACAAAAAACTGGCGACTATTCACCAACGAACCCCCAAGTCCTTGCGCCAAAGCACAACACCAAAAGAAGAAAAAGAAAGGCTATATTCTACCTCCTCCCCGCCTTGACAACAAGTACACTAGCCCCCAACTTACTTTCCCAAACCTTCTCGCTCAGCACGCCGAGAGACGACGCAACAGACGGTAAAAGCGAGTGGAAAATAGCCTCGGCCTCAGCCGCAGACGTGAGACTGGTGTTGGCGAGATTTCTGCCCAGCACGATGAGATCGCCCGCGTTCTTCGGGTTCTGACCGAGCTCGATGCTCGCGCGCGCAATGACGTCTTTGAGCGGGGTGTCCGAGGTCACGGTCTCAAAGACGATGCGGGAGGAGAGTTCCGTGGGGACGGATGCGCTGATGGAGGCGAAGAACCCGGCGTCTGCTCCGTTGCTGCTGGACGCGCTGGCATCGGTAGTTATAGTGGCGTTCTGGGGTTTGGGACCGGCGCTGGAGGAGGAGCTTGATTCCAGGAACGTGCCGGGGATGTCGAAGCGCACGACTGTTGCTGTGATTTCTGGATTCTCGGCGAGCTGGAGGACGAGGCGGAGTGCTGTGCGGTCGTCTTCGCCGCCGAAGAAGGGAAAGAAGATGTGATGGCTGCGGTCTGCGATGGGTGCTGAGAATTCTTTGCTTCGGGAACTGGCGAGGCTGACGCTGCTGATGGTTCGTGTGAGTTTGTTTCGGTCTTTGCCCGTCTTGTTTTTGCTGCCGCCGAAGTTCTTGTTGATGAGGATGGCGACTGGGATGGTGGATTGTTCCAGCGTCTCATTGACGAAACTGATGTATGAATGCGCTGCGAGTTTGTTCTTTGTGCCCTTGTCTTCAATAATGGTCTGCTCACTCATACCGCCAGTCTCGCTCCAAGGAAGCAACAAAAGGTCAGACTCAGACGCGCGTGTGCTGATGGTATCGGCGAACGACGACTCGGGCACGACAAGAACCTCTCCACTAACGGCGAGATTGTGCAGACGCCCAAAAGTCCGGAAAGTGTTGACCACAGGATCGTATGCGGTATAGCTTTCGATTTCAGACACGGCCATGACGGAAGAGCCACGATCCGTCAGGTTGACCAGACGTAGACCGTATGCTTCAACAGCGCGTTTGGGAGGCTCATCTTGCTTTGAGGAGCCGCCAGTCTCTTTGCTGGATGCCTGCTCAATTGCTGGATGCCGCTTCTCGGTGGGTTGGTAAGACCGCCCACCAAACAGAGACGTGAAGGCGAGAAGGTTGGGCATGCTGTCCAGACGTAGGTACACAGTCAAGTGTTTGACTTTCTGGGCAGATACTTTGTCGTAGGATGGCGCATCGACAACGCTCTCGGCTCCATCCCGAGGCTTACCGTCCCAGTCAATCTCACCTCTCCTGAAAGCTTCCACCTTTTTCTGGTACGACACGGGGTAAAAGTACATTGTCAAGGGTGAGGATATGAAAGTGGTAACCAGAGCCATGACGACAAAGATGGTGAATACCCGCGTACTGAGGATTTTGGCATTCAGGCCAATGTTCTGCGTTTATTAGCACCCGATTTCAAGAACCGCAGACGTTTTTTCAACTTACCAAGACGATGAGTTCGACCAATCCTTTGCAACTCATCAAGGATCCAATGGCAAAACATTCCCGCCAAAGCATGCCAGTAAAGCGGGCGGCGACGGAAGCTCCAACGAACTTGGAGAAGAAAGCCACAACGATGACGGCAACGACATATCCCCAAACAATGCCGCTATCGAGAAGTCCGATGTTGGTGTTCAAACCAGATAGCGTGAAGTACAGTGGGAGGAACAAAGCTCCAACCAGATCTTCAATCTTCTCAGCAACCTTGATGGCAAAGCCACCCTCGTGAGGGCAGATTAGACCAGCCAAGAAAGCACCGAAGATGGGATGAACACCGATGATTCCGGTGAAAAAGGCGCTGGCCAAACAGATCAAGAGCGTGAGAGCAATCATACCTTGACTGGGGCCATCCTGGAGAGCACGGTTCTTTCGGAGGATCCAGACGAATGGTGGGCGTACAGCATAGACTAGGAACAGGATAAATGCCAGGCACGTCAGCAAAACCCAGAGCGCCGTTAGTCCGTTATTAGCGTTGACCAGGGCGACACAGAGCGCCAGCAAGATCCAGCCTAAGGTGAAACAGCGTTAGCCAGATAGCACGGCATCACAAGGGAGCTGCGAGAGAACTTACCCACGACGTCGTTTCCCACGCCAGCAGCGAGGACGATGACTCCGACGGGCGTCATCAGGAGCTTCAGCTCGGTCAAGATACGGCAGAGCACGGGGAAAGCGGTAATGGAAATAGCCACACCAATGAACAGCATGTAGACGGGGAAATCAATCTCCACGACCCCCCGCTCATGCTTGAACTGATTATACAGTCCCACCGCGAGCGCACTACCCAATGCAAAGGGCACAATCATACTGACCATACCAACATTGAGCGCCACCTTCCAATTGCTAATCAAAAAGCGCAGATCGACTTCGAGGCCAATGATGAAGAGGAAGAGAACAAGGCCGAGGTTGGCGACGAGGTTGAGATTGGGCATTGCGGCTTCGGGAAAGATGGTCTTTGTGAAGCCTGGGATGCGGCCCATTACTGTCGGTCCGAGGACGATACCCCCAATGACTTCGGAAATGACGCGCGGCTGGCGGATCTTGGAGAGGGGGAATTCGATCATTTTGGAGAAGATGACGATGATGGAGACCTGGTGTTGTCAGCTTTTGGTCTATTTTCTGTTCCAATATTTTATTTTTCTCTGCGAAGGGAGCTTCTCCCAGGATTCGTGTAACGGGATTGAGGAGTTGATCGATTTACCTGTATAATGAACAGAATGATGGGATTCTTAGGATCCACATGAACAGGACTGATGTGATCAAACACACCACCCTGAGGGGCAGCGGTGGGCGCCGCTTGAGCTGCAGTGGACGACATGATTTACAAAACCCAAGATGGCAGCAGTCGTCAGAATGCGGAACCAGCAATCCCCGAGGTGTCGGTCTCTCTCTGTCTTTTTCCTCAAAAGACTCCTCTGATGCTCAAAGCACAAGGCAGAGTCGGAGTGAGTCGGAAGAGAAATCTGGGAAGAAAGAAAAAGAAGAAGGAAGCGATGAAGAGAGAGAGGGAGTAGATGGGGTCCAGCTAGCAAGATAAGTATGATGGGTACGCGGGGTCTGGGGTCAAGCGGGTACTAAAGAGCACAGCACCACGGCAGCGCGTTGCAAAAAACGCCAGGGTCAACGGGGGGCTGGACAACTAAATTGGTTCGGGGAGGTCGTTGGGTTGCGTGGTGTTGCGTGGGTGCGTGGGTGCGTGCGCACAGGGACTCTCTTCTTGTTAATTCAAGGATGATCCTTTTTGCCTGCCCTTTTGACGCCACTGGGTCCGTCGAGTGCCAGCGCTTGAGCGAGAGTTGGGCAGTCGGAAGGGCCTAGGCCTAGAGACAGACACACCAGTTGAGTAGCGGGCGACGGAGAATCGAGAGGGAGGGAAGAAGCAGAAGAAGCAAATCAAGCACAGGCGTGGCTTGGCTACAGGCGTATGAGGTGCGGCAGGATCGAGTGCAGGGCAGTTGGCAGGCTGGAAAAGTGCGCAGGACCGACCATGTGATCAATGAGTGGATGATGGTGAAGGCACGGAACTGGTGTGGCTCCTGCGCGTTGTTTGCTGACCTGACCTGATTCTGGCGGTTGCGGAATCATGCGTGTGCCCAGCTCTGGGCCAGACGGCGATAGCTGTTGAGAATAGAAGTGGTTGTGATAAGGATCGACTCATTGGATTCACCGCTTCTCTGCCTAATGGGAGAGTCGTGGATAGTGCATGCCCATCCGTGTGGCCAGCCCGTTTGTTTCTTGCTCATGTTCGCTGAGGGTTTCATTGTTCACTCTTCTATTCATTCCTCTCCGCAAAGCAGCCAGAATAAGTGGGAGAGCAGGTGGGGGCGTAATGCCGCATCTAACAAACACTTGCTTTGTCTTGCTTGTTCCCATCTTCCCTCCTTGCTTGCATACGTTTGCTCTCTGGGTGAGTATACACATACACGTGTGAGGGCCCGTCCCGTCAATCAATGCAATGCATGCACGCACATCAAAGAAGCAACGTTATGCAATTATGCAACAAGAAAAAAAAAGAATTCCTAATCAGCAACAACGGTTGGGATCAGTCCATCAATTGAGAAATCCGGATATCTCGTATTCGGAACCCGCGACTTCGGATCTGTGCATTTTTGCACTGTTCCCGCAGTACCCGCTGGTAGCCCGCCCGCCTGCCCGCACCCACGACGCACGCACGCACGCACGCGAACCACCGTAGCTCCGAGCTTCACCACCAACGCCAACCATCTTTAATCGTTTCAAACAGCCGGATCGAGAACTGATCGCCTGCTATCAACGTAACCGCTTCTTCCCCCTCGGCCGCCCAAGTCGAGAATCCATCCTCTTTCCGAGTCATCAACTTCTTTCGTGGCCCGCCCGCTGCCAAAGATACGAGAGGGAATGGCGCGGCTGAGGCCGTACGGTGTGCGTGCGCCCAGCACGTGCTACCATCCATGTCCAGCCCTCGTAGCTGACCAACATTGAGCATTTGAACACACTGAGCTCAAGCCATGGGTTTTTTGTTTTTTTGTTTTTTCTTCTTTTTTTTTCTTTTTTCTTTTTCCTTTTCCTTGATGCGATAGCAGACCGACCCACCTGGAATTTCCCGGTCACGCTCTGCTCTGCACTGCATCTATCCGAAAGTCGTACCATGCCGTATCCATCAAATCGCGCCTTTTTTCTTTCAATTGGACAATCGCAATCAAGATGCAGGACTGGGCGGTAGCTCGCCCGTCGCCCACTCAGCGTTAGGCTGCTCACCCAGGATAAACTCCATAGTCCCGCCATCCGCAAATACATCTTGCCAGCTGACCCACCCTTTATCCCATGCTTTTCCGTTGACTTTGAGGCTTTGCACATAAAACGCCGTGTCCTTGTTCCCACCTGTGCTTGTAATCTTGAGTGTTTTGCCGCCGCCGAGCTCCATGCTGAGGTGTGGGAACCACGGTGAGAGGATCAGGAATGCCGTTTGCCCTGTCATGGGCCATAGCCCCATCATCTGCCACTGTGTTTGGAATTAGCGCTGCTGTGGTGGGCGTTGGTCCGGTGTCGGTCTAGATGTTAGCGTGCAGATCTTGGGTGTGGAGTAGACAGCATGGTGCCGACCATGTGGTTTGGCAGCCAAGTCTTTAAAGCGACCACATGTCAAAACGCCACGCCGCACCATCCAGCATCCAAGAGAACCCACGCCCTCCATCGTGATGAAAGAAACAAAAAAGGCGCTGCACTTACGAGGATGTTGCTTTCCATTGCTCCGGCGTCTGAGTTGCCTGAACGAACAAAGTCAGTACTACGCCAACCTGAATGTTTGAAAGCCTAGCGACTATTGTCGCGAAGGTGCTTGCGAATCGACGTACCAGGCAAACCAGCAGGCCCCGAATCATACTGCTGTCCAATCTGTCTGCTCCTCTCCACGCTCCTCCACTGTTCGCCTTTGACAAAGTTGTACAGATACGCACTCGTAAACGCCGGCTCATTGCCGTAATCGAAGATATCCAAATCGAACAGTTTATCGATGCGATCCACAAACTTTGCATCGTCACCCACAAGTTCCTTCAGCTTGTACACGTCGTGAATGGCGTTCATGCTGTACACCCACGCGTTATCTTCGTAGTAAGCGTCTCCCCAATAACACCCTCCACAGTCCGTGGGGTCCTGTTCAAGAAACGTGCCATCAGCCAGACGCGGCACTGCAAACCCACTGTGGTTGTTCGATGAAGCCGCCGGATTCCAGTGGTTGCGCCAGTTGCGAGAGCGGTTGAGGTATAACTCTGCTTCTTCAGTTTTAGCCAAGCCAGAGGCAACTTGGTGCAGGCCGAAATCATTGGTCGAATATTCGATGGCACGGGTGACGGCGCGGGTGTACGTGGGTGTGATCCAGCCGTGTTCGAGCCAATCTGGAAGCGCTCCTCGTCCTTCCTTGGTAGACGAGTCGGGCGCGAATGGATCATTGTTGGGTGGTGGTACATTCTCCGCATCTGCCTGCATGGCTAAGAATCCTTCTTCCCAATCTACCATTCCTCGAACCCCCTTGACATAAGCGTCTGCGAGGACGTTGTCTGCATTTGATCCACCTTGAACACGCCCGTTGAAATTGGATGACCGCGCATCGGGCATGAAGCCTTCGTGTTTCCAGACCGATATTAATGAGCGTATAAATTCTTCGTGCGCGGTGGGATGAAGGATCTGAAATAACGAAGTGTGGCATCGATGGAGGTCCCAAAATGTGAAGATGTCATCGTAGTAAGGTTCGGTTTCACCCCAGCCCGGGTTTTCGTTTGTTCGATTCGAGGGTATCAGGAACATGCCATGCAAAGAACTATACAGCAGCTGCATATCCGATTCGCTGGCTCCAGAAACTTGAACTTTACTGTAGATGTCTTCTTCCCATCTGTTGACCGTCGTGTCCACTAGTGCCTGCAGTGTAGTACTGTTCTTAATCTCATCGTCGAGGTTCTGACACGCCTTTTCTGCCGATATAAAAGACACTCCCACGCGAGATTTGATGCTACCTTCATTGAATTGGAAGACACCACCCAACCGCTCGATTCCAGCTACACTCGGGGACTCGTCGTAAGCGTCGAGGGTTTCGTCGGTGCCCTTGAACGTCTTCTTCGAAATAGGTATGGCGTCAAATTTTCCGCAGAAGTATATGATCCAGTCCGGGGAAAGGTTCCATCCATTGTTGTACGTTCCGGAGCCTTCGTAGTGGTTGTCCGGATACACAGTGAAATTCCCACCCGAGTAGTGCTGCTCCCATCCGAAACCTCTGAAACTCGGCAACACGTGAGAAACATCCACAACGACTGACGACGACTCGTTTGCCGGGAATTCGTATTGATAAAGTCCGGCATGAGGTGTAGCTGCAAGTTCGACCGAGATACCATTAGCCAGCTTTGATATGTAATAACCAGGAGATGCCTCGTCTGCAACATCGCGAGGCTGAGATAGGTCTGTCAATGGGTTCATGACTTCGCCTGTAACCGGCATCTGCGATATAACACCATATCTGCACTGTGTCAGCAAGGGCTGACTTGGCAAACGCATATTCGATCATACTTGGGTGCACCTCCAGTCCCAGACTCATGCATTAAACTAAATCCCCAAATACGACCTTCCGAAAGATAACCAGAGTAGGCATCTGTTTCCCCATTTTTGACGTCGGGGCCAAGCTTCACCATGGCGAAAGGTGCTTAGACAATCGATCAGCATGCTGACACAGAGCGAAAGATCGACTCTACTTACCAGCTACCACGCCCGGAAACCGATTACCTCCCTCTTCGGTCCCCATGAAAACATTAACATACTGGCTAAGACCGATATTCGGCGATGACATTGCAGATATTGCATATATTAGTGGCAGAAGAAGGAATGGACTGAGACAGGTAACAATCATGATTGCTCTTTTCCAAGTTGTTCGAGATCCGTCTGCTTGGGGTTGTGGAGTGAAAGGTTTGTCGTCATGAGGTTGAGGAGTAAGAGGTTCCTCGATCCTCGAATATCGAAAGTGCCTCATGCCCGGGCTGCAGCATTGAGCTGGGGTCGGCGCTAAAGTAATACGAGTGAAAGAAGGTGAAAACGGGAAAGACCTGCATATGCGTGGGATAAAGCGAGTGCACTCAAGTGTCGACAACGAACTCGAAGAAATGAAAATCAAGACACGGCATCAGTAGCACCCGGCACGACGTCGACGTTAGGACATTCTATGTTCATATTATAAAAAGTATATCCAACAATCTGTAGAAGAGTGAGCACGGCTAAGCGGCTCAGGCTGATGAAAGTGGACCCTCTAGCAAATGGTTGAAAAGGATTTCGCTTTAAGGGGCGGTGTTGCCGGTTTTCCATGTGGCCAAGCACCAAGTAACACTGAGTTGCTCGTGTGCCACACAATGTAGGATAGCGTCAAGCTTGTTATGAAGGCCGAAGCCCTCAAAAGGGTATTAAACGATGGCAGAGACAGGGGCGAGTTAAAATAAGAGTATGGGGCGCGTGGAAAATTCGTTCGGTATTGTACCGTTGCCGTCCCTAGTAACCTGCATGCGCATGGGATCGGGGGCGAGTCCAATGACAGTCGAGCTGCATGCCGACTAATGAAAATCTAGGAAGACATAGATGAACGGTTAGTTTTGACCGTCACTTCAGTCGCACTAACAGTGTAGACTAAAGCCATTCGGTCATGGCAAGGCGCTTCCATTTTCGATGAATCGTCAAGTTTTTGTCAACATCAGCGTCTTCTCTTACTCGGAAAAAGCGGAAGAGAAGCAATTAACACCGAGTAAACCATGACCAACCCAAGGCAGTGCATGGAGATCGACGGTAGGGTGTAGTGTCCAATCGAATAAGCGAGAGCTGTCACACTTTACCTGTTCCCGGAGGCTATGACAGCACATAATGTTTGAAATCGCATTCAGGATGCACCGGAGATGGGAAATCATGATGATTGCCATTTAGAAACATGCACACCGATGTTGAAAGAGGAATTCTTGGTGATGATGAATAAAGCTGGGTTTGTTGTCCTCTTTCGTCCTCATCTCTTCGTGTCTTTGGCTGTATGATTCAGGTCCGCCACAGAAGACTTGGCCGAATGAACCATCAAATCCAGCGCTAGCTCTTTCCCCATCCATCGAGGTTGTGCACAATAGGGTTTCTACCGCCGCGGGTGATGATCCACTTGACCTCGCTGTCTGTATCGTTGACCTCTTGATGCTCCGCGTAGGCAGGAATGAGAGCAAAATCTCCAGGAGCAAGCTCTTGTCTGTTGGACCCATCTGGCCCCCAGATTATGGCGCCGTGGCCGCTTGCAGCATAAACGATTGTGTCTGTGGCAACATGTATCATTGATCATACTGAGCAGCTGTCGTGTCGAAAGACTAGACTAGACTAGGCGTCTCATGTTGATTTAGGGAAAAGCTGGGGAAGGCAAGCATACCCTCTTCTCCATGATGGTGAACAGCAGATGCGCTGTGCGGCTTTGCAATCATGACTTTCATAGTCAGTATACGATGGGCCGTCTCCGTGTATGTACCATATCGGGTGCCGAGATACTCACCCGTCCCGCATACCTGGTCCGACATGTCGGTGATGGCGTTCATTCTGACCATTCCCTCCGTCTGCGCGCCACTAGGGGCATTGATCTCAGAGCCCTTTTTCACGTGTACGTCGCCCGGCATTCTGGCGAAGATGACTTTTGCTGGAACGTTGATAATGAGTGGTGATGGCGTCTGGATGGAGGTTACAGTATGGAGTGCACATGCGATGCCATGCTATGACATGACGTGCATCGCACGACACCCTACCCTTAGTTTACCCAGTGCACGTCGAACCACACTTGCTGATATCCAGGTACCGCGAAATCTCGTATATAACGACTCGGATAGATTCGATAGTATACCCGTCATTAAGTCTGGCGCACTGCAAGAATCCGGGGTAACCAGCCACGGCCCTCCGCAGTTCCGACTCGATACTGACAAGTGGCTCCGTGGAGTGGCAGTATTACTCTGTCTTCACTGTCACAGGCTCAGCTGGGAATGCATTGATGCACGGCTTGTGAAGATTGGAAAGGCGCCAAGCACGACAGACCTCGGCATTTCTACATTAAGTCGACCTCTGACAAGAACCGAACATGGTCACAACAACATGTTCCTACATGAGACGTGAGAGCTCAGTCCGTGAGGGAAGCATGCAACTCGAGCGCAGGAGATGAGATGTGAATCAGCAGGAAAGTGTAGCTTGATTGGCAATTCGTGGTGTTGCGCGCACGGATTCTTCGTGTTCAAGAGAAGATGCATTCATTCATATGTATGTACATTCAAAGTGAGCCTCGGCCTGATGACGTCGGCATTGTTCGCAGCCTCCCTTCAAATCAGCAACTCGGCCGTCCTCACCAATCACGAGTGGCCCAAAAAGCTCACGAGATGGAAGCTTCGGCGACGGACCCTCCCCCACATGGCAGGTTGCTGCGGCCCCAGACCGCCGTCAGATGTTCGCGTTTGGCCCTACCACCGTCGCCAAACCCCCTTTGGCGCTGCCTGCGCTGGCATGTGAAAGATGCCCGAATCCGCGGCCAGCTGTTATAACTTCATGCGGCCGTCATTGTTCTCTGTTCTCTTCTAGTCCTGTGACCTCTTGTCTCCCCTTCCACTCGACACCCACAATTCTCTCCAAACAGCCATGGCACAGCGCTTCTCTACCGCCGATGTGGCCTCCCACAACAAGGCCGACAACCTCTACATCATCGTTGACGAAGATGTATACGACCTCACAAAGTTCCAAGACGAACATCCCGGTGGAAAGAAGAGTAAGTGCTTGTCTCGACAGTCTCGTGTCCAACTTGATCTGACGGGAAACCCTTAGTCCTCCAGCGTGTAGCAGGCAAAGATGCATCTAAGCAATTCTGGAAGTACCACAACGAGGGCATCCTCAAAAAGTTCCAAAAGCAACTTCAGGTCGGCTCGCTAGACACAAAGGCCGCGCCTCCTACTCCTCCGCCATCTCCACCCAAGAAAGAGCCTGTCAAGCCTTCCGCCGAATCTGGTGTGGTAGCACCCCAGCCAACCGGCGAAGCCGCTGAGGAGGCTGAAGCACTGGATCCCTACGGCGACCTCATCCCCTACGCGGATCCTGCCTGGTATCAATCCGTGAGTCTTTCCTCGTTCGTAGGATATCTTCTTGGTGCTCAAGCTAACCAAGTTCCCCTGCGCAGTATCACTCTCCCTACTTCAACGAGTCACACGCTGCCCTCCGCGACGAAGTCAGACAATGGGTCGAAGACAAGATCATGCCCAACGTCTCCGAGTGGGATGAGGCAAGAAAAGTGCCAGACGAAATCTACAAGGAGATGGGCGACCGAGGCTACCTGGCTGGTCTGCTTGGTATACACTACCCTACCCACTTGACCGACAGGCGTGTAGCGAGTGTGCCGCCTGAGAAATGGGATCTCTTCCACGAAATGCTTGTTACCGACGAACTGTCGCGTGCAGGCAGTGGAGGATTTGTCTGGAGCATGATTGGTGGCTACGGCATCGGTGGCCCGCCATTGTTCAAGTTCGGAAAGAAGGAGCTCGTCAAACGTATTGGTCCCTCTATTCTCAGCGGTGAAAAGCGCATTTGTCTCGCCATTACGGAGCCGGGTATGTCTTCCATCTATATCTCTCAATACCACTATACTAACTTAGACAGACGCTGGCAGCGATGTCGCCAATCTGACATGCGAAGCTAAGCTCTCCGAGGACGGCAAGCACTACATTGTAAACGGCGAGAAGAAGTGGATTACCAACGGTGTTTGGTGCGACTACTTCACAACTGCAGTTCGCACTGGTGGTGAAGGTATGAACGGTGTCTCGCTCCTTCTCATTGAGCGGGAAGCTGGCGGTGTTACCACCCGCAAGATGGACTGCCAAGGTGTCTGGTCAAGCGGTACCACCTACATCACCTTTGAAGACGTCAAGGTGCCAGTCGAGAACCTCCTCGGCAAAGAAAACCAGGGCTTCAAGGCGATTATGACCAACTTCAATCATGAGCGCATCGGCATCATTATCCAGTGTTTGCGCTTCTCGCGCGTCTGCTACGAGGAATCCATGAAGTACGCACACAAGCGCAAGACGTTCAACAAGCGCCTCATCGATCACCCTGTCATTCGTCTTAAGCTCGCCCACATGGCCCGCCAGATCGAGGCGTCATACAACTGGCTTGAGAACCTGATTTACCAATGTCAGAAGATGGGAGAAATGGAGGCTATGCTCAAGCTTGGTGGCGCTATCGCCAGTTTGAAGGCCCAAAGCACTGTCACCTTTGAATTCTGCGCCAGAGAAGCCAGTCAGATTTTCGGCGGCCTCAGTTACAGCCGCGGCGGTCAGGGCGCCAAAGTCGAGCGTTTGTACCGCGATGTCAGGGCGTATGCTATCCCGGGTGGCAGTGAAGAGATTATGCTTGACCTTAGTATCAGGCAGGCATTGAGGGTGCATAAAGTACTTGGCATGAAGTTGTAAGACTGGATGTATAGAATGGGTTGAGCTAGTATAGGCTTCTAAGTTTTTGTTCGGCGTTTCGCTCATGCAACTTGCATGCGGTGTTTTTAGGATATTGCATATGTATACATAGGACGAAAATGTCACTCGAATATACCAAAAACTTTAATTGTCTTGTTCAATCTTGTTAGCCTTCGGAGTGAGACTCATTCTCAGCTACGAGATGATATGTGAAAACGAGTTCCTATATTCCGAACTTTTTATCATTTCGAGGCTAGTGAATCATCTCCAGTGTATACACATATGCGAATTGATCCAGTGTACAGCACATACCTAGGTACTATTTGGCATGGTCTGTGCGCTTGATCCACACCTCTACTTCCGACCTCATTTTGGTCCGTCTAAATACACTCATACCCAACATTCTTACCTTTCATCCCATTGATATTTTTCATATTAGAAAGATGAGTCTTCAACTTGTTGATGCATTGCCGCGTCGCGTGGAGACCACATTCAAGGAAGCAAAAAGCTCGGAAGCGCTCGTCTTTTCAGCAACAGAGGTCGATGTCATACGGACTGCAGCAGGGATCCCAGTAGGTATAAACTGCAGAAATCTCGTAGAAGCAAAGTAGCAGAAAATTCGAATAGGATCAGGGACGAGTACTTCCTATTTGACATGGCTGACGACATGACCCAGTTCCAAATTCGCTACTGCCCATCCCTAGCAAAAAAGCCCGAACCGCACAAGGAAAGAGAGCACAAGAAATCGGAAGGCGATAAACCAAAGAAGAAGTTCGATCCCTTTGAGAGTCCCCCAGCCTCCCTATTCATCACAGACATTCCCTCAAACACTTCCAACCCCAGCCATTTTCTCGTTTTGAACAAGTTCCCTGTCATCCCAAACCACTTCATCCTCGCTACAAAGGAGAACAAACCGCAAACTCATTTCCTGGAAGAAGATGACCTGGCGGCGGCTCATGCATGTTTGAAGTCTTGGGTTGTAGAGAACGCATCGAGCACGCAGAAGCATGATCGGCTGTTTGCGTTCTTCAATTCGGGGGAGTATAGTGGAGCGAGCCAACCGCATCGGCATTTGCAGTTCCTTCCCATCAAAAGTATGCGCGATGGACAGACGTCGGAAGATTTGGACTTGCTCGTCGATACCATCCTCGAAAATGGGGTACCAATCTCATCTCCCTCGCCGTCGTCTATTGAGGATGAAAGCATCGAGAATGATAATACAGGAGTCATCCACCACCCCGGTTTACCCTTCATGCACTTCGCACAAAGATTCAGTGCAGATCCCACTGGGACCGAGCTGCAGAAAATTTACAGGAAACTATATTACCTCGCGCAAGACGCAGTACAAAATTACTCTCAAACTTCGCAGCGTGGCCTGTTCTCAACTGCTACAGCAAGCGACGGCGATCTACCAATAAGTTACAACTTAGCAATGACCACGACTGGAATCGCCATTCTGCCTCGCCGTAGCGAAGGACATGTACTACTCGGTGACGATGGAAGCCAAATCGGATACGTCCAACTCAACGGTACTGCGCTTGGAGGCACGCTCATGGTCAAGCAGAAGAAAGAGTGGGACATGTTACGAAAATCTCCTGCGGTATTGGATGAGGTATTATCTTCAATTGGCGTTCCAAGCTCACGAGCCTACACTGTTCCTCCCAGCCTATAATCGAAGACATATTGTCAATCATACCAGCAAACTCAATACGCAAATTCGAATCAAGCTCTGTTCATTTGCTGTCTGATTGTGTGACCATTCCTACATAAATACTAATTCAACACACTCCCAAATATATAACAGCACTTTTCTGCTCCCTATTCGAAAGTCATTCAACCCACCAAGCTCATTGAACTCATCCAACTCATCTACCAAAAGCAACACCCGGCACCACCACAACCATGGCCTCTTCCCAAGAAAACAACCAAGACTCCAACACCAACACCAACCAACCAACAACCAACGAAGTGACTTCAAACAACGAAGCACTGTTCTACCGTCGCCCTCGCCTCCCCACCGAAGACCAATTCCCATCCCAGTGGGAACCCGCCAACGTCAGCCGCGCGCAATACGCGTCTTTGTCGCGGCAATACATTGCCGCTCGTGATCGCGAGAGAGACGCGACGTTGAGGAGCGGCTTGGTAGTGCTCGCCAACCAGGCGCTCGAACAGAACAAGACGAATCTCGAGAAACGGCAGAGATTTCTTGAACAGAGGAAGAAGGATCTGCAGCAAGAGAGGGATGTATTCCAGACCGAAGCGTCACGCCTCAGGCGGGTTTGCTGCGTTCTTGCTTGTTTGACTGCTGGTTTGCTGCTGGCTTTGCTGGCCGCTTGATGGTGGAGCAAGATCGACTGCGCATTGGACGTACGTGACGTCCCAACCAACCAGTGGAGATGTACGGATTCGAAATATGTGTGGTGTTGATATTAAGGAACCAATGGTACGCTCGTCGCCCTCCGCTAGAAAAGCTACCCGTGACGAGGGCCCTGTTTATGGCACACAGCCATGCGGATGCCACAGGTAGTCTGTCTACCTACTTACCATCGAAAATCGACATTATTTGCCGTACCCTCCTCCATCATACACCCTGGACCCTTCCACGCCCATCACCAATCACCAACCACTCAGGCACCACGAATCACAATCAAGCGGATTTCCAACGATTATTCAGCTCCCGTTATCGTTCATTTTAGGGCATTGTTAGGAGAGGGATGAATGAGGGGCTCGCATTAGTAGGCGTTGAGTAAGCAATACGAACGGTTACTAATCTGCAGGAACCGTGAGCGTGAGTTGTAAACCAGTTTTCTTCAACATAATGATGGGACGAGTATACGTTGATGGGGGACTTTTGAGGGGCTGTGGAATTCCGGCGCGAGTATCGCGCAATGCAAGAAAGTGCAAAAACAGGGTTAGGGTTGGGAAAGTGGACTACCTAGGTATATAAAAAGACGTCGAGGGGATGGTTTTCGAACATGTAGACAACCCGAACGTCTTCGAAAATTGTCTAATTCGGAGAGAGAGAATACACTTCAGAGTACACTCACACACACATCTTGAATCAATTGTCCATTACATCTTTCCAACCTTAAAAGAAGAACCCCCCCAAAAAAATCCAATTTTTTATATTATTCTTTTCTCCCCCAAAACCAACCACCACCCACCTCTCTCCCCCAAAAACAACAACAAGGAAAAAAAAAGAAAATGCCACTCACCACGGACCCCAAAATCCTCTCAACATCCACATCTCTCCTCCAAACCCTCCGCTCCCTAGCCCCGCCCTCAAACCCACCAAACTCGACCCGCCCAGCCCACGCAAAAGGCGTCCTCCTAACAGGCCACTTCACCCCAACCCCCACAAACACCACCCCCCTAACTACATCCCCACACTTGGCAACCCTCCCACGCACAAACATAACCCTCCGCTTCTCCTCCTCAACCGGCATCCCAAACATCCCCGACACCTCAGCGTCCGCGAATCCGCGGGGCATAGCAGTGCGGTTCCACCTGCCATCGTCCTCTGAAGGAAAAAGGCAGCACACCGACATAATAGCGCACAGCACGCCGCTGTTCCCGTCGCGCACGGGCGAAGAGTTCCTCGCGTTCCTGCAAGCGGCGGCGAGTGGCGACGCGGCGCGGCTGGCGACATACCTCGATACCCACGGCGCTGCGAAGCGCTTCGTGGGCGCTGAGAAACTGTTTCCGCTGAGTTTCGCGACAGAGCGGTATTGGAGCGTCAATGCGGTTAAGTTTGTGAATGGTGAGGGGAGGGAGAGGTTTGTGAGGTATCGGTTTGAGCCTGTGGGTGGGTATGTGGGGGTCAAGGCGGAGGAGGTTGGGAAGTTGGGGGAGGAGTATCTGAGGGAGGATTTGAGGGGGAGGGTTGGTGGGGGGATGGGAGAGGTGCGGTTTAAGTTGCTTGTGCAGATTGCGGGCGAGGGGGATATTGTGGATGATGCGACTGTGGTGTGGGATGAGGAGGGGAGGGAGGTTGTTGAGCTGGGGGAGATTTGCTTGGAGAGGTTGGTGGAAGGGGATGAGGGGAGGGAGTTGGAGAGGGGGATTATTTTTGATCCTGTGCCTAGGGTTGAGGGGATTGAGAGTAGTGGGGATCCGTTGTTGGAGGTGAGGGCGAATGTTTATTTGACTAGTGGAAGGGATCGGAGGGGGTCTGGTGGTGGGTCGTGAAGAAGGGAGGTGGGTCATGAGGGGGGATTGAGAAGGAAGGTAATACTTTATCCTACTGTACCATGTTTTAAGATGTATAGGAGATTTCTGGCTTGTCTATAGGCTGACGTATATGAATCTTTTGAGGTAGCGAGAATACTTTCTTCCTTTCATTAAGAACCAAAGCAAACTCACCCTCTTCCGCACTTGAATAAGTCACTCAACCGTTGATGTAGTGAAGTAATAAAGAGTTGATTTCGAAAACGTTGGCTAACCCTTCCCCAACTACGCGTCCAAACGCTACAGCCCACGGGTTTGTTTAATGCAGATGAAGCCGCCCTGAAACGCCAGTACTATAGTGATATACGGAAGGAAAAGCATGGAGGGATCTCTATGATTAATGCCTTCCTCACATTCACTCTCTTCCGTAGCCGTGTATGTTACTTTGCGGGTTCCCAGGTGGTGCCGAGTTGAGATGGTCTGGATGCTCGCGCGGGAGAATGGGCCGATATCGTTGGCGAATTGGCAGATTGTGCGAAAATTCGGCCGGGACATTTGGGTATAGAATAGATAGCATCGAGTGTGGCCCTAACAGCAACAAGCAATCACATCAGCAACACGTTAACGCGCAGACGTGTCTTGCAAGCTCAGTAGGCACCTTGGGGAACTTGGTAACCACCCATCTGAGCCTGTTGTGCTTGTGCCTGGGCCATAGCATGAGCCTGATGTTGCTGACGCTGAGGTAGGTTGTTGAACCACGGGTGGTTAAGTGCGTCAGTGGCTGAAATGCGCATGTCCGGACGGAGTTGGAGCATGGCATTGAGCAGATTCAGCCCGACTTGATCAACTTGCGGCAAGATGATGCGAAGGTCCTGAGTAGCAAAGACGGGGAAGTTGGCCTTGTACTCGGGCAGTTGTGAAATTCTAGGCCACGACCGCTCCGAGGGGGTGCCCATGAGTCTGAAGATCTTCTGGAGCTGGTCCTCGTTGGTGGTACCGGGGAAGAGAGGCCGGCCCGTGTACATTTCAGCCATGATGCAACCGGCAGACCAGATATCGATGCTGGTGTTGTACGTTCTGCTGCCCAGCAGAACATCGGGAGCGCGATACCACAGGGTGACGACTTCGTTTGAAAAGGTGTTGACTGGGATTCCAAAAGCGCGGGCCAGACCAAAATCGGCCAGTTTGAGTTGGCCGCTAGTGTTGATGAGCAGATTCTGAGGCTTCAAATCACGGTGGAGCACGCGGTTGTCGTGGCAGAAAGCTATGCCCCGAAGCAACTGGTACATGAAAGACTTGATGGTTGGGGGATCCAGAGCACCCCTATCACCACGGGAGTCCATATATCTCTTAAGATCTCTGTCCATGTATTCGAAGACGAGCATGAGCTTGTTCTCGGTGTGAATAACATCGTGAAGAAGAACAATGTTTTCGTGCTTCAACTCTTTCATCAGAGAGATTTCGCGGATGGCGGTGGAGGGGGTGCCCTCTTCGGAATCGAGGTGGATCTCCTTGAGAGCGACCAGCTCGCCGGTCTGGCGGTTGCGGCCCTTGAACACCTGTAGATGGCTGTCAGCGATGCAAGCGCGTCAGGCTGAGGGCGCGGCGCAAACCCACGGTTGCATAGGTTCCCTCTCCCAGCTTCTCGAGCTGCTGGAACGAGCTGGGGTGCTTGCGGTTGTCCATGGCGGGGTTGGCGGGGGCAGGAACGGACTGGCCGCCTTCAAGGTTGTGTACGCTGATGGATGAGTCAGTGCGGTTGGCGACGGTGAAGGTGGCAGCGTGAGTGGGCTTGAGTTTGCCGGGCGGCGGGCGAGAGGTGAAATCGGGGTCCCAAAGAATGTCGCCGGCAGAGGTGAGCTGTTTGGCGATGCGCAGCTGCGAGGGTGTCTCTCGGGCGGCCGACGAAGTGGTGTGGCGGGTGGGGGAGGTTGATTCGGCCGTGTTTGAGTTGCTGGTGGGGAACAGATGCAGTCCCCAAAAGAAGCGGCGGCGGCGAGCGGCGGTTTTATATACTTGGCTACTACTTGGGTGATTGGCAGCGGTGGGGATGGATGTACAGTGCGGTGGAGGGAAGCGAGTGGGTGCTGGTTGCAGATCAAGGTAAAGTCTACAAGGCCAAAGCGGTTACAGAGGGAGCATGTACTATCTGTATTGCCCTGAGCTTTGGCGATTGACTGCCTCTGACTGGCCTCTGCCGCGCGCGCGCTTACTTGCTGTCTGCTGGGGAGGGCGCTTGCGGGCTGCCTGTCTGCCTATGTACCGAGTGAACCATGGAATACAGTAAACATGCTCCCACAATCCAATCATCCTGTGAATACGCAGGCCGCATATATATCAATGTCAGTCCAAGAGTCAGGCATCAATTATCCTTTACTTGAATGCTGCCAAAGTGTCTAGTCTAGCCATCCCGGTTCCCTGCTGCGACATGACATGGCCTTGTTCCCATCTGCCACACAACTACACCAACTTATGCACTCTGGCCATCATTCCAAATTCCACCCAGATATCCATCTGTGGACTGCTTTTGATATCCATGATTGCGAGGTTGCTTGCGTTGTGCTGTGGGCGAGCGCATGTGCCCATCTCACAGTACATGCTATCATGGCCTGTGAAACCGCCCACCCTGGTTCAGTTGGAGGTTGTCCATTTGTAGATTGATTCATCGTCATTGTTCGCTCTCTCAACCCAAACCACTTCGACAACCAACGTCCGCCTTACCACCGCCCCGCCACGCCTTTGCACTGCGCAATGCGTACAACTGCCAGTCTCTTTGCTTCGCTTCCTCCTTGTCGACAACTCCTCCCGCCCGACTGATTTCCATCCAAATCGTTTGCCTCTCTTCCCCACCTCCCTTCCCTCTGCTTCTCTCACTACCCTCCCATACCGAATCGTCTGCTGCTTGGGCCACCACCACCACCATCACCGCCACCGCCTGGCTGCACTCTCCACTGGGGAGCCTCGCGCTACCAATATGAAGAACACCATTTTTGATCGCCTTCTCAAACGGGAGGTAGCCTCGGATCGTTCGCGTTATCCAGGTGTCCCGGGTCTCTATGGCGATACCAAATTCGTTCAAGATTTAGACATCGTGAATGAACTCGAGGGCCATACCGGTTGCGTAAATGCTCTGTGGTATGCATCCACTCCGACACAACACTTGATTTTCTGTCTCATCACTGACATTTGCTGCCTTGTAGCTGGTCCTCCTCTGGTCGCCTCCTCGCCTCGGGTTCCGATGACCACCGCATCAACATCCACAGCTATCATCCCGATTCGTCCACCTCGCAATTCAACCTCACTACCTCCATAGTGACCGGTCATTCCTCCAACATATTCTCCGTCAAATTCATGCCCTATTCCAACGATAGGACTATAGTCTCGGCGACCGACGACGTCCGAATTTTTGATATTGAACACTCTGGCCATTCTGCGTTGCGGGGGTCGTCATCCAGGAGATCGAATGGGGCTAGACACCGCGTGGGCATTCATGGCATACCGGATGGCTTGACCTTAACCCAAGGCGACACCAATGCGAAAGCATTCAGATGCCATAGCGACACAGTCAAACGCATAGTCACCGAAGACAGCCCATTCTATTTCCTCACCTGTTCCGAGGATGGCGACGTGCGCCAATGGGATATTCGCCAACCCGCCAAAACCTATCCACGACCGAGGGACTATATGACTCCCAGCTGGGCAACCCAGTCCTCTGACAACGTTCCTGCGCCACTCATTTCCTACTCGGATTATCACCTGGACCTGAATACGGTGTCGTGTTCTCCTTCTCAACCACACTATATAGCTTTGGGCGGGGCACATCTGCACTGTTTCCTTCATGACCGGCGAATGCTAGGGAGAGACAGGCTTGCGGAACGCGGTGTCAGGCTTGCAAGCCCGGACAATTGGAGTGATCGCGAAGAAAAGCTTTTCAGTAGCGCGACACAGTGCGTAAAGAAGTTTGCCAAAGATGGCAAGCAGCGAATGAGGCGGGAAGATAATGGCCATATTACCGCCTGCAAAATCAGTGATGCCAACCCAAACGAGCTCGTTGTAAGCTGGTCGGGGGATCATGTGTACAGCTTTGATATCCAGAGGTCTCCAGACGCTTCTATGGACTATGACGTGCCGAACTCTTCCACCAGCTCTGCAGGTCGTCGGTCCAAAGATGCGAGTCGTAAGCGGAAACGACCAAAGTCAGGTTCTCTTGCTCAAGCAGATCTGGATCGAAACAGTTCACGACAGCGCACCGACAGTTCTGATGATGGTCTCGCGCTGCGTGTGAATTACGGCAATGGTCAGAGCGAGGAATTCCCAATCGAAGCCCGTCAAAGTATCCCTTCACACGACGAGTTAGCGGCTGTTCGGGATACCGATCACTTCCGCATTGCATCTTCTTTGGTGATGTTTTACGACATTTTTCATCTTGCCGATACATGTAACATGGAGGATTCTGAATCATATCAAGCGAAACTCACCTCGATTGTGGGTCAAGCAGCAGCGATTCTACCAGATGTGGATGAAGTATCAAGATCCTGGCGCTACCCCGTAGACCCCACGCCCGTTCAAGTAGCCATACAAAACAAGCTCCGAGAAACTCGATTAGCATTTCGACGTTTCGTACAAGCTACCGGTACACTGTCTCGAGTTCTAGGTGGGCGTCTGCTGACCCCAGGCAACCCCCATGCCTCTATTGCTCAATATTTTGCTTCTGTACAGCCTGCGCCGAGCGAAAGGGCATTGCCGCGTCACGAACACTTTGCGTACGACTTTTTGAAAGCTATCCTGCTGTGGCTGGATAGTGGCGTGGGCGCTTTGATCGACGGGTTTTCTAGTCCCAACCGCAATCATCGCCATCCAATACCCCGTGACGCAGACCTTGACGCGATTGATGAGGTTCTGATCCCACACCTCATGGACCTTGCAGACGACGATCGCATTGTCGACGTTGACGCCAACCGGTTCGAGGCAGACGAAACTAGAGTACTCTTCTCATCGGAAAAGGCTGCTGTAACTGCCTTTTCCGAGGCCTTGAAGATACCCTTCACTGATCTGACTGGCGGGGATGACGCTTCAGACGACCAATCCGAAGAACAACCTACGCAGGACCGCGCAACAGCCACCAGACGTTGGGCATTGAAGGTTGGACGCGGAGTATTGCTCAATGCATCTAAAAATCTCCGCTTTTTTACCATTGACCGGGCCTTTGGCGGACGCGGAATTGGAGATGACAGTATTCGAGACAAGGAGCGAGAACATCGCCAAAGTCAGGCAGATGTCAATTTGCTTGATAATGACAACGTTGAGGAATACGAATCACTCGTGAACGAGGCTTGGGGAAGGAATACCGCTGCGGAAGAGGAGATAGCTTCCGGTTCACGTGCGCTCGCCGAGGAAAATTCACCTCTGCTCCAGGGTATCACCGTGGGCGAGTTCGGCAGCAACGAGGGATTTTTTGTACAGAGTGGAAATGACGAGGATGACGAGGATGACGATGATGACGACTCTGATGGCGACATCGATCCATCAGAACAAGTTGAAGACGATGATGATTCCGAAGGACTACCGTTGGAACGCACTCAAAGTGGGCACCTTTTGTGGCGGTCCGACTATGACCGGAGTTCTCTACGAGAAAGTGTCCGGGCAGATGTGCCATGTGTCCCACACACTCGGGAATACAAAGGCCACTGCAATATTCGTACGGTGAAAGATGTGAACTTCTTTGGGCAGCAGGATGAATACGTAGTGAGCGGTAGTGACTGCGGCCATCTTTTCATCTGGGATCGGAAATCCGCTCAGCTTGTAAACATCCTCGAAGGTGATGGCGAGGTAGTCAACGTGATACAAGGTCGGTTCCGTCTACTCTGTGAAGGTTTCAACATACTGAACAACGCAGGTCATCCATATGAACCCGTCATGGCCGTATCCGGGATTGATCATACCATCAAGATTTTCTCACCTGACGCAAACGAACAGCAGAAAGCCCGTAAAGGCATTGGCATTCACCGCGCCAATCCGGACATGGCGAGCATCAATTTTGGACGAAGAAGACGACCACGACACAACTCTTCTACGCCTCCGCCACGCGATCCCGCAATGAGCGACGACGAAGATGACGAAGTCACAGCAAGGGGGCTCAGGAGCCGGAAGGCAATGCACAAATCATACCAGATTACAGCAGAAAACGACATGAATCGTCAAGGGGGTGGGGAAGATGCTTTCATCACAAGAGCATTTCTAAATCAACTAGCCCAACGACTCCACGCAAACCCCAACGCCGGAATTGGTGAAGATGATAACGGTCAACCTATTCTGCTGAACGATGACGATAATTGCACCATCATGTGATCTCGTTTTCCAGCCCATCCGGCCTCCTGGAGGAATTTGTAGATAGCCCCTTTTTTACGTTTCTCAATTCTTGAATAAATAACAAGTGAACCAAAACATCGGCCATGTGCTACTGCCAACTCCCCACACCTCAGTTCTCCAATCCGTCACGCCAAATCACCCATGCGCCTCTGAAAGTTTATCCCATTCCCCGTCTAAGTAGACTTCTTTTGCTTTGCTTTCAAGGCCTTTTTGCGATTGCTCCGTATCATGACCACAGAGAGGAAGCTGCCGACTACAGTTCCGAATAGGATGATGAGGACGACAGGGATGCGGATGGCCCATACACGCGGGAGGAAAAAGGAGTGGAGTACATGGTCATCGTCGACGAAAGGCTAAAGGATGTTAGATTGTGAAACAGGAATCCGTCCTGAGCCTACTCAAAGACTTCGGTGAAATAGGATCGGGGAAGTAACGAGAAAGCAATTACCATGAACAGAGTCCACACGGTGTAGTAGACGAAGACGCCCGTTGCTACGAGGAGCATGCTGAGGCCCACGAGACGGTCGAGCTGTAAAGAGTTAGCCATACAAGAATAACACAACACACATGCTCTACTCACCATTTTGAATGTATTGAGAGATATAGCGAGTCAAGTCAAAGTATCAATCAAACTCCCTCGGGGGCCATGTAAAGGTGAAAGGTGTCCGACTATTCGATGTCCGCCAAGACTTTTGCGGGCCAAGGTTTAGCCGCGCCGCTAGGTACTGCATGCTTCCTAGTTGCTGCTGGCCCTCTAAACTTTCTCAGGCGCGATCTCTTCTCTTCTTCCGTCACGACTCTGCGATCGATTACCAGCGTACTGCATCTCTACGGCTACCTGAAGCTCTACCTATCCAGAAAAACGAAAAAAAACCTCATATTTCGATCCCGCCGACCGGTTGCTGTCAAGATGGAGATTGCTTCCGCTGTCCGCATCCCATCGCCAGAACCCGATCTTCCAGAGCCACCCCGCAAGCGCGACCGTTCACCCTACGAAGCTGGTCCATCAAAACGATCGCGACGGTCAGAGTATGATGAGGATGGTGAGCCACCCAGAGAGTCAGATCGTCCACGCGACAACGACCGACGGCGAGATCGAGAGAACGGACGCAGACGCGAAAACGGCGGAGACCGACCAGCGGCAGATGCTCCAGAAGACGACTCCCGCCTCAAGCTCTTCCAGAGCGCATTCAGCTCGACGCGTAAACTCCCCGTCGATGATTCCAAGACACGCGCTGGCGGCGCATACATCCCTCCAGCAAGGTTGCGGGCCATGCAAGCTGCCATAACGGACAGAAAGACCCCAGAGTTTCAGAGAATGGCCTGGGAGGCTTTGAAAAAGTCAATCCAGGGCATGATCAACAAATGCAATGTTGCCAACATTAAGCAGATTGTGCCTGAGCTGTTTTCGGAGAATTTGGTGCGTGGGCGAGGTCTTTTTTGCAGATCAATCATGAAAGCGCAGGCTGCGAGTTTGCCATTCACGAACATTTACGCCGCGATGGTGGCAATTGTGAACACGAAGCTTCCGCAGGTGGGAGATTTACTTGTTCGGAGGTTGATTATCCAGTTCCGGAAGTCGTTCAGGCGCAACGATAAGGCGGTGGCGGTAGCGAGCTCAACATTTTTGTCACATCTGGTTAACACACAAGTTGTCCACGAGGTTCTCATTGCCGAAATTCTGATGCTCCTTCTCAACAAACCAACGGACGATAGCGTGGAGATAGCAGTGGGCATCATGAAGGAGGTAGGCCAGTTTATGGAGGAAATGAACGCCGCAATTGCCAACGTCATATTCGACCAATTTCGGAATATCCTGCACGAATCCGATATCGACAAGCGCACGCAATATATGATCGAAGTTCTATTTCAGGTCAGGAAAGACAAATACAAGGATAATCCGGCTATCAAGGAAGAGTTGGATTTGGTGGAGGAAGAGGATCAGCATACCCATCGACACGAGTTGGAGGATGAGATGAAGGTAGAGGACGGCTTGAACATTTTCAAGTACGATGCGGAGTACGAAGAGCACGAGGCGCAGTACCAAAAATTGAAGGCTGAGATTTTGGGTGAAGAAGAAGGGAGCGACGCTGAATATACAGATGCTTCATCTGATGACGAGGATGACGAAGAAGAGAAAGCCATGGATGTCAAAGATCAGACGAACGCGGATCTCATCAGTTTGCGCCGTAACATATATCTCACGATCCAAAGCAGCGGCCAATTCGAGGAGTGCGTTCACAAGCTTATGCGCATCGACCTGCCGCACGGGCAAGAAAAGGAGCTTACTAGCATGATCGTGGAGTGCGCCAGTCAAAAACCTACCTACGAGAAGTTTTTCGGGATGGTTGGAGAGCGATTCTGCAAGCTCAATCGCATGTGGACAGATCTTTTCGAAGAAGGCTTCATAAGCTACTACGAAACAATTCACCGCCTGGAGACAAATCGGCTGCGCATTGTTGCTCAATACTTTGCGCATCTGCTTTCCAGCGATGCTATTGGTTGGCACGTATTTATGGCCATCAAACTGAACGAGGAAGACACGACTTCCAGTTCCCGTATCTTCATCAAAATTCTGTTCGAGGAACTCATGGCAACAATGGGCCAGAAAGTGGTGGTCGAAAGACTCAAGGATCCTATGCTCCAAGAGAGTCTCACAGGCATCTTCCCCACAGACGACCAAACCAAGACACGTTTCTCGATCAACTTCTTCACAGCAATCGGAATGGGTGTATTGACCGAAGGCATGCGCGAGTTTCTCACGAACAACGTGCCCCCACCTGCTGCAGTGCGTGCGGCAGACGACGATTCGGACTCGGACAGCGTATCCTCGCGCTCATCATACTCCTCATACTCTTCCCGGTCTCGTTCGCGCTCTCTATCGCGTTCGCGTTCTATATCACGCTCGCGCTCACGCTCACGCTCAAGGGGTCGCTCATACACACCGTCCCGGTCTCGAAGCCGCTCTCGCTCATCACGGTCCCGAAGCCGATCGTATACACCACCCGCCCGGTCTCGAGCCCGCTCGTATACGCCTCGGTCTCGCAGTCGATCATACTCATCACGGTCGCGTTCGCGTTCGCGATCCCGCTCTCGCTCTCGCTCTCGCTATCGAAGTCGTTCATACTCTTCTCGCTCACGAAGCCGGTCTCGCAGCTAATGCAGTGCTTTCCCGAGCCCTACAAGAGGATGAGCGGAAGCCGGCGAGGTGTTGTTCGTAGCAGAATTCATGGCTAGAATGTACATAACCAAATCAAATCAAATAATTGTCACTTCGCAAATGCGTCCATCGTTCACCTTGCAGCAATCATATCCCATCCCATCCCTGTATCCAATCCCGTCGTCTATATAACTCAACTCTTGTTGCACCGGAAACGTATCATTCTGCATCAGCCCTTATCCCCCTTTCTCCTTCGACAGTCAACATCACACACGACAGTTATCACCAGGCACTTGACACATGACACATTCGTACTACTGCATATATAATATCGTGGTCCATCCCGGTCTCGTCATACCCTTATTTTTCTTTCTCATGCTGTGCTGATCCTACCATTCCATCGAGCCGCAGCAGCTCGGCTCGGCTCAGCTCGGCACAAGCTTTGTAGTTACATCGTAACTGTACTTGTCGTGCCACATTTGGTGGGTGCAGGGGGAGGGGAGACGTTTTGTGTAACGTTTTGTGTGCTTTGTGTATGCTTTTGTGCTACGGCATTCACGATATGGGAAGGGGAGAGGGGGGTTTTTTTTTTCGAGGGATATGCCTTGTTTTTTTGTTTTGATGGGGTTTTCTGTGGATTTCCATCTTTTTTTGCAAATAGTTGATGGAACAGTGTTATTATAGATTCTATTTGTTGTGCTATTTCATTGGTTTGTTCCCCTTTTCCTTATTTTTTTTTCTCCTTTTTTGGTGTTCTTATGTTGTGCGAGGGAGAGTGATTCTTGAAGAGAAGGAGGGTAGGTTCTGTGATAGGTTGGCTTGGTAGCGAGGATTTCCGGAGGTTTTTTTTTTTCTTTAAAAAGAGAGGGGGGAAGAGAGGGAGACAGACAGGTTTGATGTGATCTGTTCCTCTTTCGCGATGTTGGTGATAGACCGGGACGAAGAACACGGGATTTTTATAGCTATGTGAGAATAAATGTAGGGTTGGAAGAAAATAAAGGGTAAGCTCAGCATGTAAGGTTATCTGCTTGCTTGGTCGTCGAGGGAGGGATCCAATATTGTTGAGTCGTGGTTTGTACGTCCTTCCTTTTCCATCTCCTTACTTCGTCTTGCCGCGCTGTTACCGTTGCGTCCCTTTTTTTTCTCTCCATCAAACGTTTTTCTTTCGTTCTTTCGTTCAAATCACTTCTTGGGAATTCCTAGGTCGCGTTTATATTATTCGATTCTTGCACTTGCATCGTGGCGTGCGAGCGAGCAGCACGTGTGCTTGGAAGGCAAGTCTGAGGGGCGTGACTCAAAATCTGCATTCCACTGCGAGGTTTCTGTGTACGTGTTGAATATGATGCGCTGTTCGTATTCGATTACATACTGAGACCCAGACATAAAGTATCATCATGCCCAACTTCAGCGACCATGAGATGCTTGCGATCAAGATCACCGAACGTACGGTATTACTCTCCTCGCCTCTTGCGCATGTTTCAACACTGACATGACACAGATGTCCACTCTGTCCATCATAGGCTCAATATTCATCATAACGACGTTTTTGAAGTGGCATTACTTCAGGAAACCTATCAACAGACTTGTCTTCTATGCTTCTTTCGGGAACTTGACTGTGAACGCTGCGACTTTTATGGGAACTTCTGCTATTCCTTCAAATTCGCGACATCTGACGCCGGTCTGCGAATTCCAGGGGATTCTGATACAATGGTGGGTCCATCTTTGTATTTACGTGTGTTGAAGCTCAAAGCCAACAAGCACAGGTTTATGGCTGCGGATAGTTTGTGGGTGTTCAGCATGGCTCTCAACGTTCAGTTAGTCTTCTTTCGTGGATACACATCAGCGAAGCTACGGCATCTGGAGAAGTGGTATTTCATCAGTGCATATGGGATCCCCGGCATAACAGCGATAGTCTATATATTCATGGACCACCTCTCCAATACGAGAACAATCGGCCCTGCTACAGTCAGTCATATCTGCCCGCTCTTCTCACTCCAGCAACTGATATAATCTAGCTTTGGTGCTGGGTTTCTGCAGATGTAGATTGGATGCGGATCGCTTTTTTCTACGCGCCAATCTGGTTCGTCATCATCTGTACGCTCGGAATCTATATGGTGACCGGGTTGAAGATATTTCGAAAAGGCTCGGAGTTACACTCCCTCTCGAAAAGAGTGGCAGCTGACCGGGCGCCTGAGAATATCTTGCAGAGTCAGCCTACGTCCACCGATCTTACAATCAAGGTTGAAACCACAATGGAAACACACTTCGAGTCGCATGATCTGCAGGAAGTAGCTGCTCCGACTTCACGATGCGGATCGCATAGCTCCTTTGGCAGTACGAGACAACTATCAGGACCCAGCCTGTCTACCGCCATCGAACCCCCTTCCGCTGCCGCACACTCGGAGTGTTTTGCAGGCTCAAGCCGAGACATCGAGGCACAAAGCGGCTACCGCGCTACAGCATTTGCTACCGACCGCCTAGACACAGACATCGACCCATCGCGCTCCATGTCCATCACCAACAGCGCCATCAAGCGCCCTCACAACCGCGTAAAAGCCAGCGGAGCAGCATGGGGCTACTTCAAAGTCGCTCTCCTCATGTTCCTCGCCCTCGTCTGCGTATGGGTCCCATCAACAGTCAACCGACTCCAACAATTCATCGACAAAGAAAAGAACCCCAAGTTCAGTCTGAACCTCGCGTCGGCTTTGGTGCTCCCTTTGCAAGGGTTCTGGAACTCGATGATATATATCTCGACGACGTGGCCGGAGTGCAAGCGCGCAACTGCAGAGATCTTGGAGGTATTTGCCGGTTATAGACGGAATGGATGGACGGTGGATTGTTCGCGAGGGGAATGTAGGGGGGAGCCGCTTGAGTTTGGCGCAGAGATCCCACTGGGTGATATGGGGAACACTAAATCACCCCGCCCGCACCGAAGTCGTGATACCACCAAGGACAGAGATCTGTTGGCCGTGAATGTCGCTCCACCTACATAACACCACAGTCTCAGAATATGAACGTAGAGATATTCTCTATACCTAGCTACTGATTTAGCTTATAGCGTATTGCTTCGTTGTATACCATTGAGTGTCTGCATCAAAACCATGGCTCAATCAGATCAGCAACAAATCATATGGTTGCTTCTCACGAAGCGTTGTATAATTGGAAGGCCTGTATAGTCAATGTACACTGGGATGTAGAAGTAGTCGATTGTCTTGATTTGGCGGGTAGGTGAAGTCATCACTTTACTTATTTTACTCCCGTGCGCAGCACATAAAACTCGTCAGTGAAGTCATCACGCTTCATGACGGATGTCAGCGCTTTTCACTATTCCATCACATGGGCCAGTCTCTTTTCAGCTTGCGGGGAAAGCAGCCATCAATTTCAGGACGAAGATCTACGCCCCAAAAACATGGGGTTTGCGCAATGCTGATCCAATCGGCCTTTGGGCCAGACACAGCAAACAGCCTACGGTGCGAGAGCACGCGTATTCGACACACGTGCTTCTAACCAAAGACTCGCGATATCTCCTCCAGGTCTTCTCACAATAGCTCAACGTGTGTGCTATTTCTGGATCATGTGTTGCGCAGATGGGATTCTGAAAACACGGTTCATGACAGCTCGCCGTTTTACAAATGAATGTAGCCGTGAAGGAAGAAACAACCCATTATGGACTAATCATGGTCAACTAGAGCACAAACGGTTGCCCTTGCGGTGACATCCGCAAGCTAACGATACGCCTACACGGCATCTGGGCTTTGCGCGAATTCTCTGGTCGCCACTTGCGTAGTATGTCCCTCCTACCGCCATCACTTCCATTGATCCTTCTCCACAGCTTGACAGTTTGCGAGACTGAATACACACGGAAAAGATGCTCATCTATGCTACCGCATGCCTTCCTTGCCCCTCTACAAGATGTCGCATGTCAATGTGTTCACATGCTGTGCCAACGTAAATGTATCGGTTCAAGTACTCGGACTCGTCATGTGTTCCAACGCGAGATACCTGACGTTGGGCCTCCCGACAGGTAACGGGGTGAATGCCCGCCATTGGCCAGTTCACCACAACGACTTCCCAACGTGTGGTTAAAGCCGTGATTATATGTGCAACTAATGCTCTCGGGTATAGTATATGGCGATGCCCGTATACGCGTCGCACGCCCGCTCACCGAATTTCTTTTCAGTGGTTCTGTGTAATTTTTGAATATCAATGGCACCATATTCGATGGCGGAACGGCGAACCAAAACAGAACCACCGCCTCGAAAGCGGGCGCTTGTCAGTTGCGATCGATGCAAGCTGCGACGAGCAAAATGTGACCGTCCTGACGGTCCCGAGCAGCCTTGCTTAGACTGCAAATCAAGTGACGTTGTATGCGAGTCAACGTTACCCCGGAAGAAAAGGGTATACGGCAGTGTCGAAACATTGAGTCTACGATTTCGAGCATTAGAAGCATTGGTCAAAGGCTTGTTTCCCGAGGAGAATGTCACCGACACGAATACGCTGTTCAAGATTGCTGCTTCTAGGACTATAGCTATGCCACCGGCGGATGACTACACTCCCGCGGAGATATTCAGTCACCAGAGAGAACTCCCCGGCGTTACGACTCAAGATGGAACTTCATTCAGCTACAACTCTCCCGATACATCGAGTTCTCAAAGGCATAACTCTTTACCGGATGTTACCTCCAGTTTGGCTACTATGGAAAGGCTATTTCCGGTATGTCCCGGAGTGTCTCTCTACTTTGGACCAGGTAGTAGCTTTCAACTTGCATCAGGTGAGTGTCTGAATCGTAATGATTGATTGTTGAAGTAGCTAAATTGTCTGGCTATTTCAGTTGTTCGCAGCTTAGTGGCTCGCTGTCAAGATATTCCCGAAGCAAGACTGCTCCTCAAACGACCGACTTCTCGTCCACTAGGTTCTGAACTAGATCGATCAAATTTTCATTTATTAAAGAGATCAAGTTCCTCAGTCTCTGAGGATACTGATGATCCAAGTACCACCCGTGCAACGAACATCTCGATGCCGAGTAAGAAGCGTGTCAAAAGAGAAGTAAATTCACAAGAAAAAAAGATCTCTTTCTCTCGTTCTACTCCATGTTCATTCGGAGAGTTCCTACCTCCAAGACCTGTTGCAGACAAGCTGGTCTCAGCTTGTTTTGAAGTGCTAATGGTCGTTGCAATTGAAAGTTCTAGCTTCCAGGGCGCCTACGAAGCGACATTTAATCGGAGAGACCATCCCATACGCCCAGAACATGATACTGGATGGCTTTGTTGTCTAGCTTCCGTCTTCCTCCTGGGTGCGCAGTCTCTCAAGAGAATCGATCCTGTGAAGTACAACACCATAGAACAGCAATATATGAGATTCATGTGGCACAATTTCCGCTCTCTCATCACCACCCCGAAATTGGCCAATGTTCAGGCTTTGGTTCGGCTAGCTCTGCATGATTTGAGTGCAGGCAAGAGAAATAATACACTCACATTGATATCTATTGCGGCTCAGATGGTGGGTCACGTCATAACTTTCCTTCTTCATCAGTCCCTAAAGCAGAACAGGCCATGTCCATTGGACTGCATCGAGAGGAGTTGAATGCAGAATTTCTCGCAGTCGAGCAGTCTGAAAGAAAAGCTACATGGTGGTACATCTACAATACGGAAATCTGCCTGTCTAATATACTCGGACGCCCAAGCTGCATTCCGGAAAAAGAAACATCAATGAGTTTTTCCGACGAGAGTTGGGCAGAGCAGGGTCCGTTGCTGCCGGGGATGAGACACTGTATTTACAGACTGACAAGACTTTCTAATGAGGTACGGACCACCGCCTACCCGGTTGGAGAAACACGCAGAGAATGTTCATCTTCGGATGCGAGAAGACTTTTACGACAGCTGGACGCATGGTATGCGTCGTTGCCTCCTCACCTGCAACTGGAGTCTACCCTCCCGATGACGCATAAGAGAATTGTGCTCCTTATTATATTTAACTTTCTCTACATGAAGTGTAAGCTCCACCCCTAATCAAGAGTCATCAGTCCTCTAGATACTCAATGACCTAGCATATTGAAAAGATCAATCCTTACCAAATCATCACTGCTTGCCATCGGGCTAATCTCATCTCCTCACCTCAGGCATAGTCACCAGACCGTTCCTCATCAGAAAGCTGGAAAACCACATAGCGCGCTGGGAAAACCCCCGCGATATCTCTGAAATGACAAAAGACGAACTGGCCTTATCAGACATCTGCATCGAATGCGCCTACACATCCCTCGAATGCTTAACAGCGCCGGAATCAGGGCTCCTAGACGGTCCCCAATGCTGCGATCTTTCCCAAGTCTTCCACGCTGTCCTCATCCTCAGCCTGGATTTCCTCGCCAGACCGAAAGATCACCCAGATAGCTTAGAAGATAAGAGAAGGAAAGAAATGGTTGAAGGAATTCTGCGTACGACTCCGCAGATACACATCAGGTCTCATCGTGAGTACAATATCCTCCCTCAATCGCAAGTTTCTATGAAACGGTAGCACCAGAAACTCGCATCACTTCCACATATTCATCCCAAAACTGCGAGAGAATGATTTCACTAAGGCAAATACACAACGTCAGATGTCATGATGGGCCAAATCGCCTTCCAATTCGCCAACATCGTAGGCATTATTGACGACCCACCACCACCACCGCCTCCTCTGCACGCCACGCAAACCCAACTACAAACCGACACTGCCCCAGTTACTGTCGATACCAGCGGATCTACTAGCAACATACCCGGTATAACGAAATTCAGCACTGGATGGTGAGTTGCTTGCATCGCTCCCCGGTTCTAGGGTACTGAATGTTGGTTCAGGTTCGATAGCGAGAACTTCGATATGCCGTGGAACTCTTTTGAAATGCCGATGCAGGACTTGTCGAATGTTATGATGGCGACGGACGGGCTGGGGGGGTTTGGGGATCTGGAAGGCGATGAGGTTGAGGGGTGGGGTGGAGTGGAAGGAATGATGGGGGGTGATAGTAATGATATTTGAGCCTACTAGAAGGAAGGGTTTTGTTTGTTTGGGCAACTTGAGCGGTGTTGGGGCTGGATGTTGAAGATTGGTGATGATAGGAGGGTGTTGGATGTGTGTGGGCACTTGGTATAATTTTGAGTCCAGACAGTAGCAGTGAATTATGCCCCTCTACTTGTCGCCATCCATGAGTGTGCACTCATTACCCATAAAGGTTATCTACATCTAAAGGGTTTCCATTCAATGGAAACACTGGTCCTGGGAGACTCTCGCTGTAGCTAGACACCAATGTGCTGATCTCTTCGTGTTGTCCCTTTCTTGTGCGACTCTACAAATATATCTGTAGAATCACATCAAATCTCTGACGCACTTCGAAGCTCATAATCCCTAACAGAAAAAGGGATTATTCTTAAATTAGATCTACAAAGACGAACCCTCGCTCAAAACTCTACTCAAGACACACTACTTACAAAAAGTACGTCCAGCAATTGCCGACGCTAGCCCCCCCGCGCCCACCTGCTCGCCCTAAGCCCAAAATAAACCTTCCCCCCAGACAAACCCCTGTCCAACGCCAGAAGAAAAAAATCCACTCGACTTCGACGCGTCGTTTTTGCTGGGATTAACCTCGCCCAGCTGGCTTGTTAGAGTCACTCCACCTCCTTTTTCTTTCTCTTGCGCGTGCAATTGTCGAACGATAAGAACTGGGTGTTAATTGCTGTACCCCACGCTCCTTTTCTGTGCTCGCGCCTGCTTCCACCTCTCTTTCGATAGAGAGTTGATTGTAGTATACACTCCTTCGTTCCCTCGCTCTACCATCGATAATCGAATATACTATATTCCACCTCGCACACGACGGATACGAATTGGACCGCACCGGGTTCAAAGCTATCGATAGCCGAATAACTATCGCAACTACGACTCACTCGCAATGGATGACACAACAGCGTCGGTAGCGCAAGCACCCCCCGTACCTAAGAAGCGCGGAAGACCTAAGAAAGTGGTCGCTGTTGATGGAAGCGCATCGGCAGTCGCGACTGAGGGTACAAAGAAGGTTGTAGGGAAGACGAGCGCAGCGGTTACAAAGGCAAAGAAGACAGCTACGCCTAAGAAGGAAAATGATGAGGTTGCGAAGAAGGTGGGGAAACCTGCGCCGGTGAAAAGGACTACGAAGGTCGTGAAGAGCCGAAAGGATGATTCAAAGGTCGTCGCCGAGAAGATAGTGAAGGTGGATGAGAAGGTGGTGGTGCAGCAGAGCAAGATCTTGGAGGAGGTGGAGAAGAAGGGGACGTTGAAGGCTGCTGTTGCTGGGAAAACTACTCTGAAGACTGCATCTTCGGAGCCGGTTTCTGAGGCGCCTTTGTTGGAGAAAGCGAAAGCTTCTGGGGCATCGACTGTTGACCCTCCAATGCCTGTGTCCGAACCTGTGACACGAAAGATTGATGTGGCTTCACAATCCAAAGGCCTGTCGCAAGAACCTACGCCTACGCCCGCGCCCGCGATGGCATCCGCGATTGAATCTATGTCAACCCCTACCGCCTCGCCGGTCATCAAATCTACAGTCCCCTCTTCTTCCAAATCAGTGTCGAAACCTCAAGCACCCCCACCTCCCCCTGTGGCATCTTCATCTTCCTCATCATCCAAATCTACACCCGCTCCCGAGACCGCTTTTGCTATCAAAGATACACAAAACCCTGCTGCCTCGCCGGTCATCGCATCTGTGGCCTCTGCTTCTTCCAAATCAACGCCCAACCCTCAGTTTTCTATACCGAAACTCACGTCTCGACCACCACCTGGGACACCTTCGTCGCCATCTAAACCTCCTTCCCCTCCATCCGCCCCACGTCAACCACCACCACCGAAACCCATCCAACCCCATCCACGAGCGACCACGGTCTCTCTCCCTCGAAATCCGCACAATCCATACCTTTCGCGACCCGCGCCCCTGCGCCCCAAGCCGTTGACGCCCGAGGAGATTGAAAAAAAGGAGGCGGAAATAGCCCTCCGAGAAGGCCGTCTGCCGAAAAAATACCAGCAAGCAGGAAAACACATCACCAGGATAATGGTAGGGATTCCGTTCATCATTGTCGGGGGCTATATTCTGTATCAACGATGTAAGTCCATATCTGAACATGCTTCCAGGACTAGTGATCCTGAAAGCTGTAAATTTGAGACATATGTTGAGTGACTGCTGACGTACTGGCTTATAGCTGATTTAGGTGATGAAGTGAAAGAGTTGAAGAATTTCAATATCGCAGTTTTGGATCGGAGGCCCGCATCATCTCCACCACCATCATCATCACCATAGACTGATGAAATTCTACGGCATCTGTGAGACAGGTCAAGCCATTTTGTCCATATAAAGAGGAGTGAGCATTGAATATGCTTATGAACCCATGTTATCTACCGCACTAATGCTTATAATGAATTGGGGGTTCATACCATCAACTACCACAGCTTGATAATGAATCGGGGAAGAAACGACTAAAGAATTAAACGTGTACATATCTAAACCACCACCACCATCGTACGAATAGTAATTGAGAATGAAAGTCTTCGCTTATAAATAAGCTTCCAGACTCCAACGAGGGACGAGCAAAGATTTTCGCGATTCGATGCCTCGGTGCAATCGCGTGTTCCACCTACATTCCAAACTCGCCATCGCATATACGCGACGCGTACCGCACCGTACAGGACGACTACACATGATTTATTTCAAGGGCCAACCCTCATCCTTCCCCTTCAGCCCTCACTCTTTTGCAACACCACGCTCTTTACTGCTATGCCTCTTTAGCGACGCGTTTCCCCAACGGCGCGCTGGTCGTCGTTTTTTTTTGTCGTTTGATGTCGTTTTGCAAGTTCCACCACGCTCACCGTCGTTCATTCTAATCGTTCAGCAAAAGCACAAGCGACGCACCGCGTTATTCATTCTTTTTCTGATCATCTCGTCACTCTTTCTCCACGCATATATACGCGACACGCGAAGTTCCGTGGCTTCTTTCACCATGTTCACACGTCTTCTGACACTCTTTCTCTCTCCCCTCCTCTTCCTCATCCAAATACTCTTCACGCAATCCTGCCTCGCTCATCCCCAAATCAACGTTCCCGTGGTGAGTTCTGTTGTTGGGTTGGTGCCTGTTGGGGGGGTTGTGAGTTCTGTGGTTGGGGGTACATCGACGGTGAAGAGTTCGAGTTTGAGCTCGGGCTCGAGCTCGAGTTCAGTGGGGAGAGGGACGGCTACGTCTCAGCCTACATCTACATCTGTATCTGCATCCACGGCGGTTTCGGGTGGGGGAAGTACGTCGTCGAGTGCTTTCGCGGTGAGCTCGACATTGTTGCCGTCGCTGTCGTTCTCACTTTCTACGCTGTCAGGGTTAGGAAGCGGGTTGCCTTTATCATCCTCGTTGGTGCAGATTCCGGTGTCTGTTCCTTCGGTCGGTGGCTTGCTATCTAGCACTTCTCTTCCAGTATCCCCGGCTTCGTCGTTACCTTTGGTTTCTTCGGGATCAAGGAGTGTCAGTGGGTTGCCTCTATCGTCGTCGTCGCTACAGATACCCATCTCAGTATCTTCAGTCGGGGTGTCCACGCCTGGATCGCTTTCACTTCCATTGCCCTCTTCGGTTTCGGTCCCTGGGTTGAGTTCGTCTTTGTCACCTGTTGGAGTTGGTGGTGGGCTGCCTTTGTCGATAGTCGCGCCTGTGGTTTCGTTGGCTCAGAACGTGTTGCCTTCTTTACCGGCGAGTTCATCAATCAGTGTGCTGTCGGTCGCGGTGTCGACGCCTGCATCGCTTTCGCTTTCTACACCTTCGATTATGGCCCTTACACCTTCTGGCCTGAGTTCTTCGGCTTTGCCTGCTGGACTTGGTAGCGGGCTCCCCGTGGCTTCGTTGATTCAGAGCTTCTTGACTTCTTTACCGACAGTTTCTTCGATTAGTGTGCCGTCAGTCGCGGCGCCGACATCGAATCCAGTAAGCAGAGTCTCGTTGCCCTCCACATCGGTATCGCCGGCATCCATTCCGTCTCCCTCCGTCTCTGGGTTAGGCGGTGTCTTACCTCTATCGATTCAAGACCCTGTGTCCTCCTTGCTGGAAATCCCCTTACCTTCTATATCGCCGTCTCCAACCGGTCCGCCCATCCAACCAAGTCAACTGGAACAACTGCTGTCATACCTTTACAATGATCTGGGGTTTCATCTGCCGCGAGAAGAACTCGTCAAATTACTTCCTGGGTCATGGCAAGCCGCGACATCATTCCCATCCAGCTCTATACCACAGCCAACTACATCAATACTGCTGGCATCGAATTCTTTATCTTTCTCAAGCCTCGCAAACCCCGCTAGCAGCCTCATCTCAAGTCTTGGTGGCTTACCCACATCTACGCCTACTTCTAGAGTAGATGTTGTTGCAGACCTCGTGGGAGGTTTACTCGGAGGCTTGGGCGTTGGATCGAGACTGCCTACCAGCTCTATACCGGTTTTACCAACTCAATCGCCTTCGCTGAGTCCTCAGGGTACTCTGATACCTACGCTCTCGACGACACGCAACGTTTTGCCCGCGTCTAGTCTTGGGGATAGTTTACTCAACAATCTTTTGTCGAATCTGTTGCAGGCTCCAACGCCTGCATTGCCTTCAAGTATTCTGAGTTCATTATCAGTCGCACTAGGATCAAATCTATCGTCCTCTTTAAGCCTCCCAACGTCAGTTTCTAATGGGATATCCGCGATACCGAGCAATACTCTGCAGAACCCCAGTGTTCTCGGCGATCTCTTGAATAACCTAGGGTCAGGCCTACTCCAAAACCTACCAACTCCAACTCCTACGAACGTATTGAGCTCTTTATCAGGTGCACCAGGACCCAATTTGCCGTCCTCTCTAACCCTCCCGTCGTCAATTTCTAATTCGATATCCGTGCTACCGAGCAGTACTCTTCAGAATCCCAACGTTCTCGGGGATCTCTTGAATAACTTGCTGTCAGGAGTACTCCCGAGCCTATCAATTCCTGCTCTATCTACTCCACAGCTGCCATCTCCTTTGCTTTCCTCAGCCGCGATATCTACATCACTGGAGAGTATATTGACAGCAGCCAGCCCCAGCAACCCGATCAACAACATATTGTCCAATCTACTACAAAACCCAGCATCCATTATACCTTCTCTACTCCCCGTAGGTTCACCGCCAATCACAGCTTTGAGTATGTTGAACAATCTACTGTCCAACCTCAACTCCGCGATCCTTCCTTCCTTACCCATCAGCGTCTCTATCCCAAGCCTCGCAACGCCAACTACAGCGCCTCTGAACATCTTAAGCTCGGTTCTACCGGATGCCACACTTCCACTTCAAACGGCAACTGCGAGATCCGGTATCCCTAGTTTACCCGTTCAGACTACCATAGCGCCTGGGAGCTCTGTTCCTGCGGTTCCCAGTAGAGGCCCTGATCTCCTCAATAACCTGCTCTCTGGGCTTGGAGTTCAAATCCCCGCTCCTACAAATCCAGCAAGCGCTTTGCCCTCTGTGGGGCTTGATGTTTCGTCGCTTCTTGCAGGGTTACCTTTGAGTGTTAGTGTGGATCCGGGGAGTGTTCTTGGTCAGCTCGGGAGTTTGCTGGGAGGTGTCATTCCTACACCTACAATATCTGCTCCTGTGGTGTCGGTACCGGGACTGCCGTCTGTTGGACTTGATCTTTCATCGATTGTGGCGGGCTTGCCTGCAAGCGTTCTCGGTCAAGTTGGGAGTTTGTTGGGGAATGTCGTGCCCACACCGACGATCTCTGTTCCCGTGGGCTCGGTACAAGGTTTATCGTCTGCTGGGCTTGATCTCTCGTCGATTGTTGCACAGTTTCCCATCAGTGTAGGTGTAGACCCGGCGAATGTCTTGGGTCAGCTTGGGAGTTTGTTGGGAAATGTCGTGCCGAAACCTACACTCTCTATACCCGTGGTTTCGGTGCCACTTCTGCCTTCTGTTATCCCCGAACTTTCGTCAATTCTCGCGGGTCTCCCTGTTAGTGCGACTGCTATCCCGGACAGCATTCTCAATCAACTCGCCACTGTTTTGGGGAATGTTGTGCCGACACCTACAATCTCTATTCCTGCAGTTTCAGCACCACTTCTGCCATCCGTCATTCCTAATCTATCGTCGATTTTGGCCGGTTTGCCCGTCAGTGCGAGCCTCATTCCAGATAGCGTTCTCAATCAACTCTCCAGCGCGTTAGGTAACATTGTGCCAGCACCTACGATCTCTATACCTGTGCTTCCGGTACCGCTTCTGTCCTCTGTCATCCCCGACCTCTCATCAATCCTTGCGGGTTTACCAATCAGTGCGAACGTCCCAGAGACAATTCTTAATCAGCTCGCCAGTGTGTTAGGTGGCATCGTTCCAACCCCCACAATCTCCTTTCCTGGCCTCCCTCTGCCAACTATACCGCAAATCGGGATCAACGTCGACGCCCCCAACATTGCCAGTTTAGGCGTGGGAGCAGGACTCCCCACCAATTTCGGGGGACTTCCTCTCTCTGTTGGCTTAGATTTATTCGGGAACCCTGTTACTCTTCCTACGGGAACTCCAGCAGGCTCCAACACCCCTCCCGCAACATTAACAACGACATCAGAAGAGCCATACTACGAAGACGAGGAAGAAGGATGGGCCACCCTCAACTCCTACGATCGCTCTGTGGCAGAAGCATCTGCCTCGGCTGCCGCATCAACCAGGAGTCGCCGTCTCCGTACCACCGTCTCAACCCAGCCGTCGCAGAGAGGTTCATCGAGCGCTGCTCCCACCGATAAGCCCGCGGTCGGCGCTTCGTTGAATCTAGGTATCTTGACGATCGGTGCAGATCTCCTGGGCGGAGGTACCACCAGGCCGAATCTCCTTGACGTAAATCTCGGGCTACCGAGTATTGTTCCTAGTCGGTCGACGCCTTCGGTGCTGCTACCTAGTAGTGTGAGTTTTTTGGTGGAAAGTGGGACCAGTTCGGTCGCGCCATCAGTCGCTTTGACTAGTCAATTTGGAGGACCATCTTTGGGTATCAGTTTGCCTGAGTTGCTGAGTGCTCTGGGTCTGGATCAAATTCCATCGTCAGTGATTGCGGGGGCGCTACCGACTATTGCAGCATTGCCATCGAGACCAAGTGGTGTGTCAGGGCTACCATCTCCTTCATTGACGAGCCAGATTGGAGGGGGTTTGCCGGGGATTTCCATACCAGGTTTGCTTAGTGTTTTGGGTCTCGATCAAATTCCCACGTCTGTGGTATTGCCATCGAGGCCGAGTGGCGTGTCGGCACCTTCAGCTACACTGACAAACTCGGCTGGAGGGTTGCCTTTAGGGATCGATGTCCCTGGTCTGCTGAGTGTTCTAGGTCTTGACCAGCTTCCGACGTCTCTAGTGGCAGGAATCCTTTCAACCTCCTTAGTATTACCGTCTCGAGCCAGTGGCTTGCCTACATCTTCAATCGCACTAACAAGCCAAGCCGGGGGACTTATTCCAGGCATTGATTTACCAGGCTTGCTAAGTGTTTTGGGCATTTCTGAGCTTCCGACATCTGTGGTACTTCCTACAGCTACGATTCCGACTGATATCGATGTTCTTGCATCAGCGCTTCCTTTGATAAGCCAGATCGGAGAGAATCTGCCGTCCGTTGGTATCCCGAACCTGCTCAGCGCTCTGGGTCTTGACAATCTCCCTACATCGATACCTCAAGTATCGATTCAGGTCAGCAGCGCCACATTTGGGTCAACACCCTCTTTGACAAGCCAGGTCGGGGGAGGAGTTCCTCTCCCTCTCGACGTCCCCGGACTACTAAGTGTTCTTGGTCTTTCCCAGCTTCCAATCCCAACATCACTGTCCTTACGACCCATCATTCCGTCCTTGTCAATTCCAAGCACCACGCTGGAAACCTTGGTTTCGCCAACTTCATTGATCGACGGAGATTTAGAATCTACGAAATTATCTTCTCAGCAACCGAGTGCCGCGGGAGGACTCTTCGATCCCTTGGCATCCTTCCTTCTTGGTGGAGGTGCTCGTCCATCACTTACGCAGACTTTCTCTCTACCGTCAATCTCGAGCGTGACTTCTCGTCCGCTGCAAACGCAAAATATCCTAGGTGGCTTGAGCCCGTCGCTAGGCCTTGATTCGCTGCTGTCGAATCTGAACATTACGGGACTATTGCAGACGCCTACCGCGGAATTGGTTTCAGGCGTTTCTCTAATTCCTTCGATTACGAGACCTGCGGTTGATGTTAGTATACTAGCTTCTCTACTCGGAAACGTACTGCCTACGTCCGTAGGTGTACTTCCAACTCAGTCCACGAGGCCGCTGGTGGATATTGACGTTGGCAACGTTCTTTCTCTTCTTGGGGTGCCTCTACCAGGATCATTGACCCTCGAGAGCGCGATCCCATCTCAAACTGAGCCGGGCACAGGTGCCTCTCCTGCAATTTCATCCATCACGAGACCAGTAGTTGATGTTGGTGGACTGAATTCGCTACTGGGGAACGTGCTACAATCTCCGTTGGCATCTGTACTTCCGACTTCAGGTGTTGACCTCGATAATGTTCTTTCTTTTATCGGAGCTCCGCCACTGCCATCTTTAGCTCCACAGATTACGAGGCCGTTGGTCAGTGTCGGCGACCTTGTGTCTCTTCTAGAGAACGTTCCCGAGGTTACAGGCTTTCCAGGATTGACCTCATTACCCCCTATACAGAGTACAAGGCCTTTGGTTGACATAGATGTTGGCAACCTTCTTTCTTTGCTTGGAGTTTCTCAACTGCCAACATCATTGTCACAAGTTGTGGAAACTCTAAGTAATGACATCCCACGGACAACTTCGATACCACAAAGTGCGAGACCTCTTGGCGACCTTGATATTGGAAATGTTCTTTCTCTTCTCGGAGACCGGCCGCTATCGTCTTTGCTCCCACAGATCACGCAGCCATTAGTAGATGTTGGTTCCCTTTTGTCTGACCTTGGCTCTCTTCCTGGAATCTCGTCACTGCCACCAATTGACATACCATCGGCCATTGTAAGCGAGTCGCCTATTACCCAGATCACGAACAGCGCTGCTGCTCCATCAATACCCCAGATCGGTCTGGGCCAATTGCTCTCGATTCTAAATTTGCCGTCGGGTCTGGTTCAACTGCCTTCAATAACAGTTCCGCTCGGATCTACGTCTTTGGCCTCGGATGAGCAACCGGTTGCTACAAACTCTAACCAGCCTCTCCCTGGAGGGCCGATCATCAATCTAAGTAACGTGCTCTCTGTGCTCGGTGGCAACCCATCTCTTCCATCTATCTTACCAACGCCAGAGGGAATATCGTCTATCACACGGCCAGATATAGTCTCCACATCCTCCCTAGTCCCTCCCGATCGACCAATTCTGGATTTAAGTCCTGTACTGTCTGCACTTCTGGGAAATGTTCCACTTCCTACCCTCCCTACTTCATTGCTTTCGCCGACCACCAATTTCGATGCATCCTCCAAATCTCTTATATCTTCTTCAGTACGGCCGATCATTGACATCGGTAGTTTGGCGTCCGCGCTTGCTGGTATCTCCAATCCTATAGCTCTGCCAGAGCCATTGCCCACGTCTGTTCCCAGTTCGTACACTACTCCGGTGAGTAGGCCGTTTATTGACCTTGACCTTGATCAGTTGATCTCTCTCCTTGCTGGCGGAAGTTTCTCATCAGTTACAATGTCAGGAACCCGCACAACCGTCGATGCCAATCCTACAGCCACCAGCTCCAGACTTCGTCCTCCAAGCAGTTTGCCAGGTCGTCCGCTCGAGGGAATCGGGCCTTTGCTCTCGATATTGGGTGGATTGTCTACATTACCTCCGAGCATTGAAATTCTGCCAACTGCATCAAATGCGCAAACGCAAATTGTAAATGTGGCGTCGTTGCTCTCGCTCTTCGGTGGGCTGAATAGCGGTCTTCTTGGATCCATACCAACATCATCGGAGAGAAATCCTTCACAGACGATCACGGGGCAGCCTCCAATTACCGGTCCAGCTACGCAGAAATCGAATACTCCACTCATAGACCTCAATCTCAGTCTAGGCTTGCTAGAGGGTTTGTGCCCGGGTCCGAAGTGTGAATCAACAAATACTGCATCGACGAGCAGAAAGCCTTTAGTGGGAATCGATGCCAGTCTAGGCTTGCTAGAAGGGTTGTGCCCAGGCCCATCTTGTCGTTCATCACTCGCGACCAGGACGACGGAAGGCCCATTCTCTTCCAGGCTTACGTCTGCCAGCTTGCCCTCATCACGTTCATCGTCGTCATCTTCATCGTCTCCGAGGTCTATTTCCACACGAAGTCCGGTCGCAAATCTAGGACCATTGTTGTCATTCTTGGAGGCTCAGTCGACGCGCTCGCCAGGCATAGATCTCGGGCCGCTCTTTTCCTTGCTCGATATCAACGAGCTACCGACGACGTCTTCGAGCAGACCCACTTCTGGTCCAATTGCTTCAGTCACGCGACAGCCGCCTCTCATCAGTGCTGATCTTTCTCTTGGATTGCTCGAAGGCTTATGTCCTGGCCCCTCGTGCCGCCGCTCTACAACCACTCCAGGCTCGTATTCTACAGCCACGCGACCATCACCTCTCGTCAACGTCGACGTCTCTCTCGGACTGCTTGAAGGCGTATGTCCCGGACCTTCTTGTCGCCGCTCTACAGCAACTTCACAGTCTTCAGCCCTGTGTTCAGGATCCTCTTGTCAGATTTCTAAGTCTGCAAGTGCTACCACCAGTATCACTCGACTTAGTAGCTCAAAGTCCTCTACAGCCACTCGGGCTTCTTCCAAGAATCCGCTGATTGATATCAATATATCGTTGGGTATTCTTGAGGGCTTATGCCCTGGGCCTCAATGCCGTTCGTCTAGCTCACAACGTGGAAGCACTTTGCCGAAATCTTCGACCAAATCATCGTCGCCTTTGCTGATAACATCGAGCCCAACACGAACTTCAATGTCCTCCAAAGCCGGTCCATCGCCTTCAAAACCACTCATCGACATCAATTTCTCTCTAGACTTGCTTGGAGGTCTCTGCAAAGGACCGTCCTGTCGACCGTCTTCATCTACTAGATCGACTGGGACTGTACGCCCTGTGACTACTTCTACCTTGGTCACAACAAAACCGGTCTCATCTTCTCGGACCAGTCTTTCCTCAACAAAGAAGCCACTGATAGACATCAATCTGTCTCTCGATATCCTTCCAGGCTTATGTCCTGGGCCCTCATGTCGAAATCCTAGTTCAACGCCAAGGTCTTCCATAAGGTCTTCCACAGGTGTGAGAGTGTCATCCAGCGCATCTAAGAGTACAACGCCTGTCGCTAGTACGACGAGGCGGTCACCGACCAAATCCCGTCCCCTGATAGATATAGACGCTTCTCTAGGTGTCCTCGATTGGTTATGTCCCACTTGTACAGAGATTCAGGATGAGAAAAGCTCTTCGCGCTCATTTCTATCAACTAGACGCCCACTTACGTCGAAAGCAAGCACAACATCGAGATCTTTATCTCCTGCATCCCGCCCATCTCCCCTCATAGATATCAATCTTTCACTCGGCCTTCTCACTGGAAAACCGACCACCAGGTCGACTGGCCCCATAACTTCATCGGTATCAGTGAGAACTACCACGGCTCCAGTGCTTCATACTACATCTCACACATCTTCAAAGTCTACGGTCAAATCACCCCTGATCAACATTGACCTCTCCATTGATCTCCTTCCCGGTCTTTGCCCCACCTGCGAACGTACGTCTACGCAACGCATCTCTGCAAAAACAACTTCCAACACGCTTATATCAGCTTCCGCAACTCTCAAAACTTCCGTCCGAAGGCCGCCTCCTCGCCTACCTCCAATATTTAGCGGTCTAGCTTCGTTGCTCAATGTCCTTGAGTTTCCAGAAGAGACGATCACTACGGGAACCTCAAATGTAGCATCGTCAGCTCGGATCACGGCAAGCACGCGACGCGTGAGACCTCCGCCTCTCATACCTCCATTACGCAGTGGCTTAGCTTCTCTTCTCAATGCTCTTGACTTCTTGGATGCCGAGACGGCGACGACAACGGCGACGAAGACGGGATTATCTTCGAGCATAAGTTCGACTACCATCCCGCAGAGCACAGCAAGTAGTCAAACTAGCTTTTCGACTGTATCTACAAGCACGGGGACTGTAGGTACGGCTTCCTCGTTTTCGCAGCGCTCCAGTGAATTGGAATCTTCTTCTACAGCTTCTTCGGTTTCCCGGCGATCAAGTAGGTCAGCATCTTCCTCAACCTCCCGGCAACCCAGCAGAACATTGTCTTCATCCCAAAGCATTCGAACGACGTCGTCGAAGAAATCTAGTGTCTCGTCAAAGAGCACTGGCACGACTGTTTCTTCCCGATCCCGTGCTTCCTCGACTAGCAGTCAGCGAACAACACCGCGAAGTTCCACGAGGCGGTCAACAACGACTCAAACCACATCTCGGCGGATAAGCTCCACGAGAAGTTCCAGCTCGCAACGCACCAATAGCTCAATCTCGAAAAGTTCGACTGGGGGCAGCAAATCTGCGAGTACATCAAAATCAACATCTGCAAGCTCACTTAACTCACGCACTACATCTGCTGGCACTTTTTCAAAGACAAGTCGACCATCTACTTCATCGACTGCTACATCAAGGCCAAAGAGCTCTAGCGCTAGTACCAATAGCCGACCAGGAAGTACCACCAATTCGGCATCCGTCAGCGTACCTAGTTCACGCAGTGGTTCAACTAGTTCCTCGCGAAAACCAACTACCTCATCGTCGTCCAGAACCACCTCAACATCAACAGCAGGGACATCATCGCTTCCAAACTCTAGTAAATTATCCTCTTCAACTTCAAGATCCAGAACACTTTCCTCTTCTACCAAATTCTCTACTTCTACACACTCTGACTTCTCGACGTCACTTCCGGGTCCATCAACAAGCAAAACTGCGTCTTCCTTGCGCTCTTCCACGCCCTATTCAAGCGTAAAATCATCTGCGTCATCTGGGAAGCAGTCTACTTCGTCGGTTTCTACACAGACAACACGAAAGACCACTTCAACCTCCAGCAAAACGAGTAGTAGCGGAAGTCCTTCTAAGGTATCTACAGGGTCCAGCAAAGGATCTACTTCGTCCGGAGCCACACAGACAACACGAAAGTCCACTTCTTTGACAATTACACTGAGCAACTCTCATACCTCTTCTCGGACATCTTCGATCTCTAGCAAGCGATCAACTTCACCGACTGCCACCCAGACAACGCAAAAAACCACTTCTTCGACGAACAAGGCGAGTGACTTCAGTAGCTCATCCCAAACAGCTGGACGGACCATTCAGAGTACGCGCACATCGTCGCGCGTCACTGATTCTTATTCAGCAACCAGCGAATCCAGTACTACAACGCGTACAAGCTTCTCCGGGGGCCAAAATTCTGCATCATCCTCTGATATCAGTCTTAGAACCTCAGCCTCCGCCTCGACCACCCTTGGAAGTACACGAACATCGAGCATATTTTCAAGTGCAACACCTGCTCCTAAATCTTGCTGCGGTCATTATGATGGCGAAACTTACTCCAGAAATGGATTCCAGTACAAGTACGAGTGTGACAAGGACTACAGTGGATACTTTTGGCAGGGCCGTTATTTGATATGGGAGGCGTATAATTTTGAAGAATGCATGAGGGGATGTGTACTTGATCCTCTTTGCGATACTGCTATATTTGATAGGGATATATGCAGACATGGAAATCGGGCCGATGAAGTATATGTAAGGGAAGGTTCCTGTGGATTCATCAAACTGAACCCTTTTTCGTCTCCTACTCTGGAATCATCAGTATCTTCATTGCCATCGACGTCGAACAGCATTTCTAGGGATGCACCCGCTACTACGCGAACTTCACTGGGTACGTACATTTTTGCACGAGTATATGAGCACCTTCGCAGTGTAGCGTTGCTATCTGTTGAAGATCATCTAGCCGAGCTCTGCTGACAGCATTCCCAAACTTATAGGCAGTGGAACAACTCTGCCTCCCGGTCCGGGCTCCAATACTATCTCCACTTCTTCATTGTTCGCAGAAATGATGTCAACAAGCGAAAACTCACAGCAAATGACACAAGCTAAGTCTAGCCAAACAAGTAGTATATCTCCGCCATCACCTACATCATCCTGGGTTGAAGGATCGTCTATGCACATTGAAGTGGGTCGATCGAGCATCACCACAGGATCTGTGATTCTACCTAACGAGCCGACCACCATTTCTACTTTCAAAGGATCTTCCATCTCGACAGGGACAAATACCATGTCTACATCAAGAGATGTGATACCTCCTGGTCCAACTGGAACAAAAAGTACGTATTCTTTGGATAGAGTTCAGATTGCAAGCAGAAATTCGTGTGAAGGAGGGTGCTTATATTCACTCCTCTATGCGGATATTTGGTATTTTTTGTAAGCTAACTTTCTGATTTGATCAGGCTCGGAAGCATCGACAGCCTCAAGTCAGAGAAGCTCTGGAAGTTCCATCGCTCCGAGCAGTTCAGAATCGGAAACCTTTTCAAGCTCGCGAACCCTTGGCACCGGTTCAAACACTCCACAATCTACGCTAACTACCACAACCGCCACACCCCCTACTACTACCAAGTCAGATGGACGAACGATAACAGATGATTCCACTCTTACTACTACAGTCCCCTCATCTACTTCTCAGCGGACAACTTCCTCTCGTGCGGTACCGTCCGCAAGCACAAGCTCAATACAATTATCAAATCAACCGTCTGCAGACGGGTCATCAAGTGTTGAAAGCGAATCCCGAAGTTTGGGGAATACGAGGACTACTACAGGGACGTTTAGATCACCGGAGGGCACAATACTACCAGGGACGGTCGAGAGTGAGGCAGTGGGTGATGCATCAACACAGAGCACTCCGATATCCACCACAGGATATACAAAAACTTCTACGGTGAATTCCAGATTGCCAGAGAGCACGAAACTTCCCGGAACAGTTGAGAGTGACGCAACACGTGGTTCGTCAACGCAACGTACGCCGATTTCGGCAACTTCAACATCCCAGCAAAGTGGTGTCACCACGTCCTCGACTACGGGTACGCCACGGAGTACCTCCGGTAGTGTGTCGAGCAGCAGAGGATCAACTACTTCTTCCAGGCGGAGTGTCTCCTCCACAAGACGCTCAAGCAGCACTATTTCCACTTCATCAAGGCAGTCCCGCTCTTCCACGATAAGCTCAAGCCGTCAATCGTCCGTTTCGTCGACGACATCCAAACCTTCTTCTTCGACACCTACTATTGTGTTCCCATCAGGCAGAACAGGAATCGAAACCTTCACCGGAAACGAAGGCCAAACGAGCACACAATCAACATCCGAAGACTCGGCGCAACGAACCAGCTCGCCATCGCGCCAATCTAGCAGAAGCACATCTAGTACCCAACAGCAACCACCAACCACGCGAAAATCTTCTTCATCCACGATTTCCGCGCGGCCAACATCGAGATCCTCCACACGACCAACCAATTCCCTCCGCTCCACCATCCTCCCCTCCCAACAACCCAGCAAAGCCTCTACCAACACACAACTCCCCACCCGCACACGAACATCGTCCCGCTCAACGCAACCATCCACACACTCGACACGCATCCCGAACACGACCGGCTCCATCGTCCTGCCCTCAGGCCGGTCCGGTATAGAAACCTTCACGGATAAAGGGAACCAAGATGCTGGTGCGACTATATCTCGCAGCACGTCGCGGTCTCGCAGCCCATCTACTACAACAGGCACAACGCGGAGGCCTACACGCACCGCCACGACCTCCCCAACAACGGAGAAGACGTTAAAACCGAGTTCTACTTCGCCTTCGAAATCGAGATCGCGCACAAGGACGAGGACAAGAAGACCTACAGTCACGACGACGCGCAGATCCACCGCACGCTCCACGCTCGCAAGCACGCGGACTACACGGCGTCCTCGTTCGACGACGACGACGCGGAGACTCACCACGTCTCCTTCGCAACCGCGTCCCTCGATCAAGGACGACGAGTGGTATGAGGATGATGAGACTGCACCGCCTGACTGGGAGATGGACGACGACGATGATGACAGCGACTACGATGGCGAAGACGGTGGCGACGATGAGTGGATCCCTCCACCTGACTACGAGATGGACGACGACGACGACGATGGGGATCTATACAACGACGATGACGAGGAGGAGTGGTTCCCGCCATGGTGGTGGTGGTGGTGGGACGATGGCGCTGCGGGCCAAAACGGGTTCGAAGATGGTGATGGTGAAGGCGGGGGTTTCCCGCCTTGGTGGTGGGATAGCGGGGAGGATGGGGTCGAGTATGGTGTTGGGGCTGATGAAGGGCTGCCGCCTTGGTGGTGGAGTGGTGGACAGGCGGGGCAGGATGGGTTTGAAGGGGAGGATGGGGAGGATGGGGATTATGGCAACGGTGGGTCTGAATCTGGGGATGATGCAGACTGGGAGTGGTACTGGGATTACGGGAGTGGAGGGGCTGAAACTGGAGAAGCGGGTTCTGAAGGGAATTGGGATCAAGGGTGGGAGTATGTCGACGGAGATACTTGGGAAGATGGTACGACTGGAGAGGGTAGTGAGGACGGGGGAAGTGCAGGAGGAGATGAAGAAACAGACTGGCAAGGCTGGACCTGGACGTCGATAGGAGCCGAAGATGGTGATGGGAACGGTGGGTTCGTGAATGGGACGAATGGGACGTGTGGGTGCACTTGGGAGGATTGGGAATGGGTGTGGATCTGGGATGAAGGAGTTTGATAAGTTCTTCGCTTTTTTTTTTATTCCCTTGGTATTCTAATGATACGTTGAAGATGAATGAATGAATGAGTAGACATGATATATTATTTCTCTCCCATCTCTCTGCGTCTTTTGTTATCGAAAGTATCGATCGGTGATGGCCGTTGTAATCAAAGATCAAATGTCGATTGCATGTCCCGCCCTCTGTGCGCCGAGAACACGGACTTGATCCTCCTGTTGCGTCCTCCCGCACTGGGTCCCCTGTGCAAATCGCTCGTGCGAGAGCCGTGGCCCCCCAAGACGCAACAGCACGAATCAAGGCAAAGTCGATGGCCCAAAAGTAGCAGCTGGCGGTGATGACGATGCTGAAAACAGCAGCTGGGATATGCAAGCACCGTACCGTAGTTGCGAGTCTTGGGGAGGGGAGAGACATCATTCGGACATATTTGCATCGGGCAGGTGGACAGGGCCGCACGTTCACGATCAGCAGCATGTGGGCGGCATCCCCGAATCTTATTTGATGCTTTTTTACTCTCTCTCTCTATCTCTCACTCACCCGCATAGTCAAAATAATAAAGGAGAACTTGGGGGGTTTTGTTTCTCGGCAAGAGTGAGTGTGATGCCCGCTGCTCTGCTCAGCTGAAAAACATGGATTCATCTAGCTCAAAGACTTTGGATCCAGTGATGCTGCTCAACACGCCAATGTTCCCCTGGTAGCTACTTGACTGACTATGCATCCGCGAACTTTATACTAGCCACCCGCCACATGCTCCTTGCAAGCGCATCATGGTAGACATGTTCAAACACTCCGCCACCCTCGCCACATCGCGAAAAAGCTTATCCCCTCCCCCCCCCAACCAATCAAACCCCGCACGCTCCCAAACACCTCGCGCATCAAATTCCCCCCTCGTAGTCCCCCACCACCCAATCACTCTCTCCCTCCACACAACGAACCTCCCCTGATTCCGGCTTGAATCCAGGGCAAACCAAACCAAACCAAACCATCCTTTTTCCCCCTCATCGTCTCCCCCGAACAACAGGAACGCGCTAGCTGGCTTGCTAGGTACTGACTGACCTTCACCTCCCTCTTCCAGGCACGCGCTCTCGGCATGCCCTCGACCCCACCGCACATGCCGTCAAACGCGAACGTGCTTCTGCCTATCACTTCGCACGCAGCGCATGCTGTTCCCCTCTTACCGTCGCTGCGCAGGGGTGCGAGGTCGGGTGTGTCGGCAGGCTGCGATCCATGGGGGAGGTGAGGGGGCGCCATGCCTGAGTAGCGGTAATCATGTCTGGATGCGTGTGCGAGGCACGAAGGTCGTCGTGAACTCACCATTGGCTGGCTTGTCCGGGCGGGTGATTGTTTTGTTCATGTATATTCGTGCGTTGTATCTGGATTGGCTGTTTCTTGTTTGGTTGCGTGTTCTGGTGTAGGGGTGAATTGGGTAGGTACATAGGTATGTATATGTGCATATAGGACTGGGGTGGGATTGCTGCTGGGTATATAAATCTTTGTCGCCAGCCGCATGGTGGTGGGTACCTCTCGAGGGCCACTCTGCTGTCTGTCTTGTTCGTCTCTCCTCTTACCTTTTACTTGTCTCTGTCGCGTACCATTGACGAAGCCTCCCCTCGCCTTTCGTCTTTCGTTCCCCGGCAATCAACATGGTGGGCTTTGGAGCCATTGCCGCCGTGGCTTTCGCTGCGACTGCGCTCGCGGCGCCGACCAAGCAGAACAAGAGACAAGCTCCCGAAGGGGTCCCAGACTATGTTCTGAAATACGCCCCCATTGTCTACCTGCACTCGCAAGACCCTTACCTCCCGTCTGATTTCCAAACCCATCTCTCGCACTCGTCTCCCAAAGTAAACTTCAACACGGTATCCGGACCCTCCCCTCTGAACCTCGACAACCTCTCCGAGCTCGGCAGCGACGTCTACCTGACGTCCAACGACGACGTAACCACCAACCCAGACTGGATCAAGGGCATCCGCCCGGACAGCAGCGGCAAAACAAACGACGGCATCACCACCGCCGTCGTCGTCAACGACAAGGGCAACGGCAACGTCGACGCCTTCTACTTCTACTTCTACACCTACAACTGGGGGGGACTGGTAGCGGGCATCAAAGACCTCAACTTCGGCAACCACGTCGGCGACTGGGAGCACAACATGATCCGCTTCTCCAACGGCGCCCCGCAGTCCGTCTGGTACTCGCAGCACGCAAACGGCCAGGCCTTCAAGTACTCGGTCACGGAGAAACACTCAGACTCGCTCCGCCCCATCGCGTACTCGGCGAACGGCTCCCACGCCCACTACGCTATCGGCGGCACCCACGACCACACCATCCCAAACTTCAACCTCCCCTTTGGCGTCCTCGAAGATAAGACCGAGCGTGGTATCCTCTACGACCCGCTCCTCGCTGCTTACTACTACAAGTTCGACGCTGCCAGCAATACCTTTTCCGCCTACGAAGAGGGTACCCCGACGGCCTATCTCGATTTCGCAGGTCGGTGGGGCGACCAGGAGTATCCTACTTCGGATCCTCGCCAGGTTAAAGTCTTTGGGCAGGCCAAGTTCTCGAGTGGGCCTACGGGTCCCAGGGATAAGCAGTTGAATCGCGCCAATGTGTGTCCCGATAACGGGAACGAGTGTATTCTGAGGGGGATCCTTGTGCCGAGGAGGGTCGAGGACGATTCAACAATATTTGAAGGTGATGAGGTGCTGAGGTGAGATGCTCTTCGCTCGCCTTTTTCATTTAGAGAAGGGATCAAAGCATGGTAATGTGTAGAACGGAAGTAGAGAAAGAGAGATATGGGATGGCATGGAAGCGTTTTGATTGATATATACCCCCCTAGCACCATCACCAGGATATTTGTTCATTTGATCAAAAAACTTTGAACTTATTTTGAATAATCACCATCTTGAGTTCTGCAAGCAACCTCCCTTGTGATAGAATGCTACAAGGCTTCACGATACAGTTCCCCAAAGCAGATTACTGACATCTTCCCACAAAGAATTGTACATCTTGACGTATTCTCAAAGCTTTGATAGACGACTTGACATTATCCATCACACGCATCTCGAGTTGACAAGGAATCAAAACCACCTCCTAGCCTCCAGCTTATCCCAAAATCTCCCCTTCTCCGTCTCCTCTCTAGGCCCGACAAACTCAAGCACCTCATCATTAGCTCCAATGCGAATATCCAGGTCGAAAATATCGTTGACAGGTTCCACGTGGTCCCTGACGCCGAGACTGAAGCTCGCCCGCACTCGGACGCCTCGTTCTTTTGCAATGGAACTTAGATGTGGTGCGATATCTGCGGCGACGCGATAGGCGAGGGCTGAAGGGGTGAATTTGGTTTTGAGTTCGACGTCCTAGAAGGGGGATAAAGTCAGTAAACAATGTCAGGTAGGAAGATTCTTGGCTGATTGACGGATTTGAGATAACACGTACCCAGCGGTTGAAGCCCGGGACACGAGGAGGCGTGGCGTCCCCGTGGAGCTCGTCGTCAAAAACAAAGGATGCTGGCATGACGGGCGACTGCAGAGGTGGAGAGACGGGGGGTGTCACGACGACAAGCGCGGTGGAATCGGGAGACCGAGTATCCTTCCAAGATTGTATTATCTCGGAGTCGCGGTGGCCCTCTTCAAAATAAGTTAGGAGCAAGAGGCTGATTACTAGGGTCTCAAGGTTGTCAAAGTGTTGCAACGGCTCCAAAAGATGATGCGCAATCGACATCATATTGGACAATATGGGGGCACCGTGGTAACCGCAAAGCTTGAGCTCTCGAACAGTCGACGCGTGATGCTGACCAATTGTATGGAGAAACGAGGGCGCCGACTCCCAGCTGTAGTCTGGAATGAACTCAAAGTTCTGGGGAAGTGATAGCGGCCTCTGATTTGCAGCTGCAACCTCACCAACATGGTCTTGGTCCAGATGGCTCATGAGGTTTTCTTGAGCCGACCATAGGTCCGGGTCCAGTTCCTGCAAACGCGCTCCATTGCTGCCCCACGCATTACCAATAGGAAAAGGCAAGCTGATCATGACGATCTTCTCCAGAGGCGAGTGATGGAGAGCGCGTATGATTTCTCGCTTTTCCTCCCGTGGAATCCCACCCTCGAGCTTGAGCTGTTCCACCTTGCGCATCTCGGGAGCAAATTCAACGATAAAACGTCGGCGGCAGATTCTCCTATTCTGACCTTCGGTGGATTCATCCTCGTCTACTATTGAGGTCACCGTCGACATGGGATAGTGGGTGTCAAGTCGAAGATCGACAAGCATACGGCCGAGATGATTGACCAGGGCACGGGTGCGGGCTCTCGTTTCGATGCTCGGCCTGGAAGATCGGTAGAACTTGTCAAGTGGCCATGCCAGGCAAATAATCTTGGGGTGAGCTTCCATAAACTCCAAAAAGGTATCTTCGAGCAGATAGACGGACTCGGGCAATTTTGCCTCGGGAACGACGGTATTCCGGATCTGAAAAGCGCACAGATGCGGGAAGCGTTGTCGGGATAGTTGATGGACAATGCTGGAAGCCAGCGAGTCGTCATCCCAGTCCTCCCTACGCCACAGAATCCAGTCGAGATTAAGACTGGTCAATGTAGACGCAGATGTTGCGATCAAAAAGTTGATAGGGTTAGTGGGAGGCTGCAGTGGCACAGTCCGTACAGTTGGGTCTCCAGCAACCAACGACGATGGATCGCATGAAAGATTGGACCACATGATTTGATCAAAGCTCTTCGCTTTCTCGTTAAGAAAATATGTGTCTGGCATGACCCAGACTCCCGGATATCGTTGTACAGGATATTCTACTGTGGTTAAGAGGTAACCTCCAGCGCCATTGTGCAACCCGATTGTCTGGTCAAGACCGCGAGATAGTCGATAGGATTCGCGAAGCATTGCGTGACTGTCCTCATGGTGTATAGAAGTCGCGCGTACTCTTCGAATGTGAAGAGACTCCAAACCGGCCGTGTATGTGTCTGTAGCGAAGATGGTTTCGAAATCGGAGAAGGAACAGCTTTCGAGCCACAGCTTTCTTAAATTGTTCTCTTTTCTTTGCCGGCTAGGATGAAGAAAAGCGCTCAACAATATCCTGGTTATGTGATGATGACCGTATATGATCCTCAGCGTGTGCACGTTGACCATATTCGCGATGGCACGCACGAGAAGGCAGTGAAGACGGGGCTCTCGGGATAGGACATCGGTGTGGAAATTCTGGCGAGGAAGCTCTTTGAAGATGTTGGGAGTGGGTAGGTGACAAAGATGGGTAAGAACACGAACATTAGCAGCCAGTGCCGGGTTTCTATTGCATGAGTTAGTGAAGATCATAAGCGGATAGGTGGGCCGTACGTTGCTAATATGTACAGTTTCTCTATAATGTCGCTATCATCGTGCTCGTCGGATTCCCCCCGCCCTCGATAGCTATACTGATGGCCGACGTGGAGGGTCCACTTGTCCATCAGGACAACATTACGCCAGAGTGATTTGGTAGCATGTTTTTGAAGTGTCCTGCATACAAGGGCGATTTGTTTGAGGTCGGGAATAGATAGATGTTCACTATGTGCAGGTCTGTAGTCAGCGACTGATGGACGACGAAGACAAAAGACAAAAATAAAGAAGAAGATGAAAATAAAGGTAAAGGTAAAGGTGAAGATGAAGATGAAGGTAAAGATAAAGATGAAGATGAAGATAAAAGGGCTAGAATAATACTTACACGATCAGGGCGAGCACCTCCCCAGGAAGACGTTCAATCTAACACGAGTTGGCCAAGAGGTAGGCAGTACAGGATGGACATATGTAGGCGCGGCGTGGGCGGTACAGTCGACGATTCAAGCGCGGGGCCTGGTCCTAGAGAGGGGAGAGAAAAAAGGATAATACAAAACATACCAATGAGAGGCTCACATGCTGAGCCGCCATGATAAATGGGCCTTTGGCGTGAAGTCACAGTTCAGGTGGTAAACGTACATGTGTATAGTCGGATGGACAGTGGGAGAGGTTCCTGCGGCGCTGTACAAGTCAGTAGTCATGTCAGTAGTTGTGTAGGTAGGCAGGTACGGGTCCAACCATGGAAGCCGCGCCGCCCGTCATTGCGCCTTCCCCGCCATGATCCTTGTCTCTGTAAGCGACACGACGACACGTTCGATATCTGATAGATGCCCACATGTGCAGTCATTCAGCAATCAGATTGATTTACATGCAATGCAGCAGGAGTCAATCCACTGACTGAATCATCTAGTAATTCAGGTCCTGTGGCTGGAATAATTCTCCATGTGCGTTTGTTTGGATGACGTTTCTATGCGTGACAACACTGTCGTCACGTCACCTGTGGTTGCTTGATTCAGGAACCACTTATTTTCGGAATCAGTCGGAACCAACCTCGGAATCATTGGGGCCCTATCCATCCATCTTGACGATGAGGGAGAGGGAGAGGGACATGTGCACACGTACGATATAGGAAATAGAGGAAGGGTATATAGTATTGTGAAGGGTTAGAATATTGGATTAGGAGAGAGGTTGCTCGCAGAACTGAAGATGCTGGATTTGTAGATCACGGTTTTGGAATTTTTGTAAAAGTACAGTTTTATTACTTCTAGAATTATAATAGTACACTAATATACAAGTATGAAAAAGAAAGAAAAGAAAAGAAAAGAGGGCATCTAATCATACAAAAAAGAAAAAGAAATCATTGCAGCATCAACACCCCCCTCACTCCTCCCTCAAACCCCCCCGAAAGAAAAAAAAAACAAGACTCCAAAAACATCTTCAAACCCCCCAACACCCCCACACCGCCCACCAACGCTCACTTCCAGAGCCACATCCTCTCCGCAGTCGGCGGATCCTTCTTCCGTGCCCCCGTCTCGACATCCCATGAAGAGAGTTTACCCCGAAGGGCATACTCCTCCATGGTCTCGCCATCATCCCACCAGCCCTTCTCCTCGCCCTTCCGCCAAACCTCCGCGTCAAACGGATCGTGCTCCCCCTTACAAACCGGCACCCGCAACCCCGGGAAGACGATCTGGAACGGGGCGATGCGGGCATCGCGCTCGAACGGATCAATCTTGGAGTTTTGCAGGTATGCGGGGACCGATTTGTAAGGGAGGCATTCACCGAAACGGTCGGTTTCGGGGTTGAACGGGGAGAAGGGGTGGTACCGGGAGACTTTGGTGTAGAAGAGACGGGAGGCGGGTTCTGGATCGTTGCCGCCGCGGAAGAGGGAGGTGGGTTGCTGGGAGTAGCAGGAACCCGCGGCGTTGGGGTATTGGTGGACGGTGTAGGGGCGGTGCTCGAAGAGGCGCTTCTGGTAGCCGATTTGCGCGGCGTACGCCGCGTTGCAGAGCGTGTCGACGATGTCGCGGGTGTAGTTGAGCTCGTTGACGGCGGCGACGAGGGAGCTGCGGTACGTGATTGTGCGCGAGGCCAGGGCGCGGACGGAGGCGAGGAGCTGTGGGTCGTGGGATGAGGCGAGGTGGGCCCAGAACTCGCGGTTGGAGAGGAGCTCTTTGCGCTGCGTGATGGTGAGGGAGACGGCTTCGAGGGTGAAGTCGTATTCGAAGTGGTCTTTGGTCTTGTAGTAGTACCATTGGATGCGGACTGATGCTGCGGCGATGGGGACCCAGATGTGCTTGAGGATTGTGATGAGGATGGTGTGTGGGATGCCCGCGATGATGGGGTGGATGTATGGGTAGGCTTTTGAGCTTTTGTAGCTTTGCCAGAGGAAGATGATGTACTTGGAGGTTATGCTCCAGTGGTACCAGATGGTGAGGGAGATGGCGGTGAGGAGGCAGAGGGTCGTGGCCCAGAAGAAGCTGAGGAGTTCGCTGACGCAGAGGAGGAGCCAGATGGCGAGGCCGAGGCCGACGTAGATGCTGTCAGGGGAGTTGAGGAATTCGGAGAATCGCTTGCTGGGGAGGGCTTTGGACAAGACGGCAATAGCGTCTGTCTCTAACCACTGTTGCGTCCGCTTGAGGAGGGTGCAGATCGCTTCGAGTTCGATGATGACGAGGCCGCAGATGACATGGTAGATTGTTACCAGTACGTCGAACACTGCACAGATGACCTCTTTGACGGGTTGCCAGGTTGTCACTATAGCAGGCCAGTAGTTGAGGAAGTCTTGGTGGCGCCTCCAGTAGGTAAGCTCTGCGAAGTACGCATATGCCGATTCGGTTTCTGACAATGTGGGATCAAGGCGGGAGAGAGTCGTCCATAAGGAGATCAGGGCGTGTTTTGCTATGGTCGGGTACAGGATTTTGACCCAAGTGACCGTGAACATCGCCAGGAGGGTGGTGAGGATGTAGAGGGTGTGCGGGACGAGGAAGACACGGCGGAGGAGGTAGGCATGGTGGCTGAGACGGAGGAGGCTGAGAACATTGAACATGGACCACAGGGCGATCAATCCCATGACGAGCTGGGTTCCGGTGATGGTCATCTGGTCCAGGAACTCGATAGTTGCCCGCACACGGTCGATAAGCGGCGATACCTTAGTGAAGATAAGCGAGTCGATCGTGCCTGTGGGAGCTGCGGTCTGATAGTGGTACTCGCGGGCATGTTTCCGGGCGACAGGAGCTGCGGACAGAGAAGCAGAGCCGAAGGAGGGGAAGGACGAGGAAGAAGATTTGGAGGAAGAATTCGTGGAACCAAAGGCATAACCCGAAGATGGTGGTGGAGGCGGGGGCAACACGGTCGGCATAGCCGGAACATGGCCGAGCGTGACGGTCACAGTCGGGAAGTCCTCTGGAATCACCGTCTTGACCACGACGTTCGTGACGATCTGGGGCTCGACGGGAGATGCGACGAACTGCTGGTAGAAGGTGGGCGTGAGCACCGCAGCAACGACAGCAACTTTCTTCCACACGTTGGCGAACGACATCGTTGGCAGTGGATTGTGAAAAGAAGCTGTTTGAGGAGGTTGTTGACAAATAGTCTCGGGAAGTTGATGGTGGACAAGAGAGTCTCGGGAAGTGGATGACTGGCAATAAGCTCTAGTCGGTGATGGTTGTCGGGGAGTAGATGTAGTGAGTGACTGGCAATATGCTCTAGTCTTTGAATAATGACACTTGGTCTCGGGAGGTGGATGACTGGCAATATGCTCTAGTCGTTGATGGTGGATAGAAAGGTGTCGGAGAGTGAATGGAATGGATGACTGGCAATCTGCTCTAGTCGAGGAGGGTGGACAAGAAAGTCTCAGGGAGTGGACGAGGAAGACAGCTGGCAACAAGCTCTAGCCGTTGAGAGTCGACAAGAAGAAGTCTCAGGAAGGAAGTAGACAGCTGGCAATATGCTCTAGCTGAGGATGATGGACAAGAGAGTCTCAGGAAGTAGATGGTCGACAAAGAGTCTCAGGAAGTCAATGGAGTGGATGGTGGACAAGATAGTCTCAGGAAAATGGGATGAAGTTGAGGAAGTAGGTGGTTGGTTGTCCAAGTCAAGTCCGTAGCAGGCAGAGGGATTATATCCAAGTCGTTCCTCTAGCTCGCTCACTAGCTTCGATGCTTTGTTTTCTTTGCTTGTTTACTGTTCAAGCAAACAAACAATCGTAATAAAAAACCGTGGGTGAATGGCGATAGCTTAGATTACATTACGTACGCAAACGCAAACGTAAACACAACCGGAGGTACGATTTTCCATTAGGAAGGCGCGGTGCAGGGCACGCAGCGAGCGCACTCCAAAATTCGATCGGTATTGAGGGAGCGGTTCGAGAAGGATCTTGGTGGGCTGGGACTTGAAGGAACGGCGGCGGTTGCGCGAGGGGATGCGTCACTGACGAAATATGGCGGATAGGCATGTTGAGAACGATATACAATCCATTTTTGGAGGATATAATTGGATGTGCGGTTCACTGGAAGGAGTGTTGATGCTGTCGTCTGAAGTTGGTGGAGATATATAGGTCGTTGGTGGTTGCTTTGTTGGAGCCCGGCCTACGCGTATGGCATCTTTTCCCCCAACAGTACCACACTATCTGGATGGTTAATAACTATAAAAGCATACGGTAACGCTTCTAGTCAACGATATATATGTTGTGATGATAGAAAAGTGTGGATATACTTTCCTAGCGACTGGAAGGCGCACATGTCATTGCCGTTTTGCCAGATCTTTATATAAGATCCGCTACAACAAAGCATTGAACAAACATGTCGTCGTCCTAGACAATCTCTGTCGTGCCGGTACTATCTATCTCTTGAGAATCAAACGCAACATCGCAAAATAAGACTCCGGCTTGATTACACAGAATTGATTTTTGTTCAGCTCACGCAATGGCAGTGATGGCGCCGATTGTTTTTGGAAGCTGTTGCTATGTACAGTAATCCATCTCCACCCAAGGAGCCGTGCATTCACTACACATCATCGCACTTCCTCACCTCCGTTTCAGCAATCCCTTGCATAACATAACAAATGGGGGTATATTCAGCTCGAGAAGAGCCCGAGAATGAACAACAAGAAATTAGATCCAATCGATAGATCGTGGATTTTGTATCATCGAGACCAAAATATGAGAACAGAGACAAATGAAGAACAGAAAGCAGGAAGCAGACAGGTTACGACTGGTTTGTGCGCCGACGCTGAAAGGGGAATATATGAAAGAGCAAGGCTAAGCTTGCACACAAGGGTATGCGCCGTGATATGGTACATTATATTGCTGAACAGAATGAAAAGAAAGGGAAAGGAGTCGAAGCTGTGAAGAAACGTCTTTCGGGGGGCTACGAAGGGTTCACCCTCGCCTGGATGGTAGTTCCATTCTGGAATTTGATCGAGAGCTGCACGAGATCGACCGTCAAGGGACCGACATTGACTGTGTTGCTATTGGAGTTGCCGTTTCGGTTTGAGGTCAGGAAGTCCTGGATCGATTCTTGCGCGTTCGCTGCAGTGTCCAGCTTGCCGGTCTCGAGGAGTGCCACAAGCACACTGACACGCGCAAAGTCAAGAGCAGTCGAGTTGCTCGAAATAGGCTGCACTATGTCGGAGGCTTCGTTGGTGTTTGCAGAATTTGGCCGTGACGAGGCGGGTGCATTGGCGGTTCCAGGCTGGCCGATGGTCTGCCTCTCGCTCAGTACACGCAAGGCATGGTTTCGATGAGGAGCCTCCAGTTTTGGCAAAGACTGCGTTGGCGTGCCTGCGTCTCCTACCATGATAGGGATCGAGCCTTGCGGTAATGATCGAGTGGCCAGACCGTTGAATGTGATGAGCGCATTCTCTGCCGTGCAACTCATAGAGAGACTGGAGAAGAGAGACGTCAGGCGGGTTGCATTGATGGGAATCTGAAAGCTCTCGGCACTCTCGACGAGACGGGGAATGCCAGTTCCCACTGTGGCGTCGTTCACATCGGTACCAGGAACGCTCATGGTGGTGCATCCGGCAGCTCTCGCAGTCGCACATGTAGAGCCAGTGAAACCATTGATGCAAACGCAGTTGCATGTACGATCCCCGTTGAGAACAGCCACACCTCCATTTTGGCAGGTGATGATTCCACTGCACTGAGAATTTTGAGTTCCAGAAGACGAAGTCGGTGGCGGGGGGGAAGGGTTGGTGTTTCCGCCATTTCCAATGTTGGGGTTGCCTGGGTTGCCGTTGTTGCCGTTACCGTTCATCCCACTCATATCTTGAGCTGCAGGGGGGGCAGCTTCTCTCATCCTGGGGATGACGATGAGGGCAATAGGAATGACAACGGCAGCAGCAATGAGAAAGAAGAGCACGATCAGGAGCGTAACGAATGTCCACATGGGCATGCCGCAACATCTCCTCCTTCGATCTTTTCTGTTGCTCATCGCAGACTCGCTGCCGAGAGATCGGGCGCCATCCGTTGGCCATTTGGACAATCCTTTTGGCCTTGGGGTTAGCACGCCATTGGGTGTGACTGCTCCAGGAGGAGGGAACGCAGCAAGCATATCCGTCATGGAACCGGATTTATGGCCTTTCTTTGGTGGAGCACCAGCTTCCCAGAAAGCAAGACTAAGCCGACTCGCGGTTTTGCCTCGATCCAAGTTCGCAGCCAGCCTCGTTGCTCGCCGGATCAACTCTGGTAGACTGGTCAGACTGCCTCGCGCTTCGGCATCGCGAACTGCGTCAATGTCAAGTCGCGGTGGACGGGGTTTGGCGCCACGTCCCGCTGCGGCTGCCTGGGCAAATGCCTCCTTTTCCGGATCCCTAAGCGTATTGAACGAGTTTTCTTCGGATGAAGGATCGAAGAGAACACTGCCACCGCCGGGATAACCGCCTCTTGCTGCCAATACTGCGGCCGGGATCTCGGGCATTTCCTCGCTATCGGCAGACGGTTTTCTCTTTACTGGCACGCCGCTGTCGACCGATTTGATAGTCATCAGAGAAGGCTTTGTGCGTCGTCCAAGACTCGCTTGCCTGAGAAGGGCAGGCGTCATCAGCCCGCTGCTGTCATCGTGGCTGCTGGCCCTCGATTCCCGTCCGTATTCGCTGGTTATAGTTTCATCGTCCTCGGATCGAAATCCTGCATCTTCTACATAGTAATCATCATTATAGGGCATAACATTACTGGATGCAAACGAGCCGTGATGAGACCGTATAGTGTTTGATCTTGTTTCCACCTCTTCAGCTATTGGCGATACATAAGACATTTGCGTGTAAAAGGTAGGTGGTCCTCTGCGCGAGGAAGGTGGTGGTCCTAAGCTAGGCGTCCGTCTGGATTGCTGTTGCACAACGGGCATTTGAGGGACTGGGAAATCGGGGATAGATCCGAGAGATGAAGCCTCTGACGCCGCAGAGGAAGTGGTCAAAGGTCTGGATGGGTTCGAGATTGGGGAAAGCAAGTCGTCACTTTGAAAGGATTCGCGGTAGCCAGGCGACAGCTGTTGGATGGGCAGATCATCTGAGACCGGTCTCGGTGGACGTTGCGGAGGAGGTCCGCGATAGGGAGATAGGTTGTTGCTGGGTAGAGGCCATTGCGGGGAGAGGGCGCCTCCTGTGGTGTTTTCCGGAACGACGAGATCCTGTTGTTGTTGCTGCGGCGCCTGCCGTGACGAGTTGGGAGTAATGTGCTGGTTAGGTCTTTGCGGAAGACCCATCATTCTCGGTCGGTTGGGTGCTGGACCTGGGTTGGCTGCGGATTGCATTCGTTCGCGCGCTGCTCGAACCGAACCTTTCCGACCTCCTTCATCGTCGTCATCGTCTGGCACGCCGTATGGCCGGGCGGCCAGGCGAGGATCGTAACTCATGAATAGTTTGGATGAATGATGGCGGCAGTTCGTGTCTGTAGACCGACACGGGTCTGAGGGCGATGGGAATGTTCAGGAGGGAGAATGGGGAGACAGTTCCACGAAAAGACGATTCACTGCTTGGTTACTGTCTCAGAAAGTCCGGCCAAGTGGTGAAAGGTGGAACGTTTTGTCGGAAATGGCAGTGACCAAGGCGAAGGCTAGGAGTGATGCGGGGGTAACGTGGTTCAAGGTTTGGGGGAATGTAAGTCGGCGGATGACAGTTACGGAGCGGTTCATCGGCGTATTGCTTCCCAGTTATCTGCGGCCAACGACAGAGGAGCCGTCAAAGGAGGTTTTGCAGGTCAGAAGTGGGCGAGAAGGGTTTAGGTGACCGGTAGGGTGAGCAACCGGGCGAGGATGGTTCCTTAGTGGGAGAAACACGCAAAGCTGCAAGACCAAGATTGATGGGATGGCACGGTAAGGCACGGTAAGGCGTGAGCTGGGAGGATTAGGAATTATCGGGCCTGTGACCAGTCACAATCAGAAGAAAGCCCCTAGCATAAGTGTGAAGCAGGAAAAGAGCGTATTAGGAATTGACCAAGGCGAGGGAGCCAAGAGATAATGCGAGGGGTGAGGGAGGTCGCGCAAGGCACAAGTAAAGCCACAGAAAAACGGCGGCGAGGATGGGTAGAACCGAGGAGATGGACGGGCGAAGTTGTAACAGAGTTGGTTGCAGCAACGGTCGAGTTTCGCGGGTGGGTTTCAGAAGAGAAGCAGATACGTACAGGTTCACGGCGCTTCTCGGATCTCCAAACAGTGTATGTCTGAAGATATAGCGCGAAGCGAGTGGGGTGAGCAGATGCAATGGATGATATATGACAGATGCGGCGACGGGACAGCCTTGAATGCAGGGACAAAGTGACAGGGCCGGTTTTCCTTGTTGATGGGTAGATGATGTTAAAGTTTCCAGGCGTGGAGGCAGTGGGTGGGATTGAAAGTATAGACAGAGAAAAGAGCGTGTGAATGAATGAGTGGATAGAAGAAGAAGAACAAGACCAAAGTGGTGAAGCAGAAGCAGAAGAGGCAATCGATGCTGGATGCAGAGGGGGGAAACGGGGAGAGAGGGAGCGTCGAGCTCGTGGTGGTGATCAGCACTCACGCACTCAACTCTTTCAGCACCGTGGTGTTGAGTTCAAAGGCGAGGATGGGAAGGCGAGAAGGAAGAGGGAAAAAGGCTGGGGCTGGCTGGGGGAGGCCATGGATGGGCTAGGCAGTTGCAGGTAGACGAGTCGAGTCAGGCACGGGAAAAGTGACGAGGATGTTCACTGCATGCCCATGCCGTTGCTGAGACACTAGCGTCCTCCCGCACGAGTTCGCCGTCAATCTGTGCGCAATAACGCAATCACGCCAGCCAACATGATCAATCCAGCACTCTATCCGGTTGATGGAGATTCAAATGCGATGGAGCACGCCGTGACGGCAGGGTGGATGCGCGATCAATGTTCGATGGAGACACGAGATGGTGGCTGCATGGGAACATGGAAGCTTCATCCCTCACTCACGCACAGCATCTCACTCACCCGACGGCGTCCATCATCCTCCTCATCGCCACTCATCTCTCTTTCCAATGTATACCGGTGGCACAACACCAGCCAACAAGACCGACAACGCGAAATCTTCCTTCCGATGCCTGCCGAGATTGGAACGGGGACATCAGGCCCATGCTCATCCATGCCATGCGAGCACCCACGCGCAGTATGCATTGGAAGTTATCGAAGTCTCGAAGCCTTTTTCTCTCCGGGGAGCAATGGAGAGTGTCTGACTGAAAGGAGCCTGCCGCTCACATGACCGTCTCAGCCTCTACCCTACAGTACGCATCGCATTAGCTGTTGACTCCTGCTGCACCCTTCGCTGCCTCATCACCTTCGCTTCCGCCTCAAGCGAGAGACTGCTGAGGGGCGACGCGTTCCCATGTATTTTTGCGACTCTCACTCAGCGAGCCCATCATCATAGCCATCATCATCATCATCATCATCATCGGCGGTGCTGATGGCTGACCAAAACCCGTCAAAGTAACCTGATGCATCCATCCCCGAACCAACCTCCCAGTGTTCCAAATCCGTCCGTCTGAGAGTTTGATTTCAGGGCTGGCTCATATTACCCAATACACTATGATGGCCTCCAAGGTCTTCCCGAGCCGCCTCGCGCACCCTCCTCTCCTTTGCTTACATGGTACATGTAATAAGCCAGCCGGTTCGCACATCGCCTACGGCTTCTACCAACTATGTGTAACACACATTCATTCCAGAGTGACCACGTCCACCTGAAGTTCTCGACTCGCCTCGCCTAAACCGCAAGCCCTACCTCTGAAGTTTGTAACCAACCCCCAGCCCTGCCGCCAATCAATCCGACGGTGGCGTTATTACCGGTGTGCGTGCGTGCGTCCATCGCTCTCCTCTCCCCCAACTCTCCGACGTCTAGTCCTGACCTCTAACCTCTAACCTCTAACCACTTACCTTGCCTTTCCACCCTTCTTCCCTCTCTCCCAATCCTCGGTACCCACCCATCCATCCATATATAGATATTACCCGCAAATCTTAAAAAACAACAACAAATATATATATAAATCTCAACCGCACGTCATTGATCCCAAACTAGAATTCCCCGTACTTTCCACCCTTCAAAAATAAAATGAAATGTCGTCATACAAAACCCTCCCTTTTCCTCTTGTTCTTTTTGGTGTTTTGTTTTTTTTCTCTTCACCGGGTTTTCTGAGCGATGCGTGCGTGCGTGCGTGCTTGTTTGGGACATGCAATGCATGCGCGTGCCATGCAGGTACCCCCATCGCTTAACCAAACATGAAAAAGTATATACCGTGCCTAAAGCGACGACCGACTCAAAAACTTTATACATCTTCATCGCCATCACTGGATGCAGCGGCAACCAGCGCCGCGAAAACCTTAATTGCCATGCCATGCCTCAGGCCACACCGCCCGCTCTAGCACGTTAAGTCAGGTCAGGCAAGGCAGCACCTCGCATATCCCATCCTAGATATATGTACATAGGTAATCAGGTATCTAGGTATCATGTCATGACGTGTTGGACAAAGAACGTATTTGTTTTTTGTGCTATTTTATCCTATCTTATTTGTCTTATTATCATTTCACTTCCATCAACCGTACATCATCAATCGAAAGTGCAACTAACTACAATACAAAAAAAATATAAAAAATAGATGCGTTTGGTGTACCGTAGGACACGAAACAAACAAAACGAGGGTAATTATTTAATGTGAAATTTTATAGAATTGTTAAGGTTAGAGGAAAGAGAGAGTAAGAGTGTTTTTTTAGGGGGTAAGTTGATTCTTAGACAGACAAACACGTCTGTATGTGTGTAATTAAGTCCTTTTGGTAATCGCTCGTTTTTTTGGTCTTTTTATCGCTGTAACCCATCGCTGTGTGATAAGATCACCTAAACTCCAACTCAAATAAATAAATAAAAAGTATGTGTGTAAATCAGGGTTCTTTTTATAGGAATGGGGAAAAATGAAAAGAGCGATATGTATATACATATGAACAGAGAGTTTTTTTGAAATAGTGGCGTCTTTACACAAAGGGGTGGGAGGGGAGGTTTTTTTTAGGAAAGCTAAAGAAAGAAAGGAGGGGAGGTTGATACATAACATTTGTATATCCAGGCTCAGCATGCATACACACGTATTGAATAAATGATGAGTCGACTTCCCTTGGAGATAAGCAATCTATTTCACACTAAGAAATTCTGCATCTCTTTTTTATTTCGTTCTTTTCTTTTCATCTTCTTATCCATGGATTTGTCATTTCCTATATGGATTGAAAGGATACATAATAAGCTTCAGTGAAAGATGGATGATTGAAAAGGAGGTACAAATTTGTCATGCTGAAGAAGTGATTGTTAGATGATGTCAAAAATGTCTAAAAATACATAAATAAATACAAAAGAGTGCGAAAATGACAGTGATTCCGCCCTAGATTGCCAACGCCTTTACCTCCCTAAAAAAACAATATCAGGGTATCAGTACAAAACTTTGAGCGTTGAGCTTTTCCAGCTACCAAGCAAATATGCGTGCAAAAGAAAAAAAAAAGGGAAGGGGGGGGGAGGGGTGGTTTGAGTTTCCGTAAACCAAATCATCATCATCATCATCATCCAGGTTTCCACCACTTGCTACTCTTCTCCATGATTTCCTCTTCGCTAGATCCCCTCGTATGTCCTCTTTCCCTCCCTCCTCTCGCACGATCCCTCATCCCCATAAACGCACTCCTCGGACTCCTCGGACCGTCCAACCCGCTCTCCAAATTCGCACTCCCGCCACCACCAGTGTAGAACCGGCTCCGGAACTGCAGCTCGTACACGTTGCTAGCTTCGCCCGCCAGATCCTCCAATCTCATGTTCTTGCTCTCCGGGACGAGGAAGGAGGTCAGACATCCGAGAAACATGAACAGCGCGAAGATCTGCATGACGCCGTGGATCCAGGGCGTAGGGTTATCGTGAGTAGCACCGCGCTTGATCATGGGCGCGAAGAAGACTTGTGCGATGACGGCGCCGAGTTTGCCGAAGCCGGCGGAGACGCCGTGGCCGGTTGAGCGGACGCGGGTGGGGAAGACTTCGGCGGGGGTGATGAAGGTTGTTGCGTTTGGGCCTGCGAGCATTCATCAGTAACGATATTAACCTTTTTTGACGGGAAAGAAGGAAGGAAGAGGAAGAAAAAGGAAGATGGTTAGGGGGACTTACCGAAGTTGAAGAAGAACTGCGCCAAGACGTAAAGAACGAGTAAGTGGACTTTTGTCAGGCCTTTCCATGCGAAGCCGAGGACGCAGAAGATGATGGTTAGGATGGCGAAGCCGCCGATTTGGATCGGTTTGCGGCCCAGTCTATCGACTGTGAAGACCGTCATCCAGTATCCCGGGATGGCTCCTGCGCATATGAGGACGACCTGTCCTAGCGCGGTGCTGCGGAGCGATACGTATAGGTTGTCCTTCTTGTCGAAGCCCATTGTGGAAAGCAAAGACGCGGACGAGAACCCGAGACCATAGAAGGCCAGATCCAAGAAAAACCACGAAAAGGCTGTGCCGAAGAGCTTGATGGCATTGCCCTTGGTCGAGTAGAAACGCAGGATCTCTCCGACGGTTGGACGGGGCGTTTTGTACTTGCCCATGTCGTGACGGACCCTGGCCTGCTCGACTGGATTGACGGCGTTTCCAGACTTGCCGTATCGGTAGCGGCGGGTGTCGACTGAAGCCTTTTCTACGTCATAGAGCACATCGAATGTGTAGCGTGGGGTTTCAGGGATGGTCAGACGATAGTAGAGGGCAAACCATCCTGGGATCCCGCCGAACGCGATCAATATCCGCCACATTCGATCTACAGCGGCAACACATTCACCGCTACAAGACGCAACGTCGGGAACATTCACCAAAGAGTCTTTGTAGACGGCAACCACAGCAATAGCCACGATGGACGCAGCGAGCTGCCCGAGTCCCTGCATGGCGAAGACTGCAGCGATAATGCCACCCCGGTGCTTCGTAGAAGCAAACTCAGCAGTAATGACGGCACTAAGAGGATAGTCTCCTCCCACGCCAATCCCCATGACCACTCGGTAGAAGATGATGACTCCGACGACTGATACAGCACTTGACTCTCCACAGAGGGATTGGGCGAGCGTTGTCGAGATGATTATGACGAGCTCAACCCCATACATCTTCTTGCGACCAAGGACATCAGCGAGATATCCGAAGATGACTTGACCGAATATAGCTCCTGCGGATGTTGCAACCTTGATGGCGGTGTCTGCGTTGTGTGGCATAACGCCCTGGTTGATCTCATCTTGCCAGTACACCTACATGTAAGTAAGAATTAGCGACCATGTGAATCTCAGTGTCTCACCACTTGATAGTATTTATGTGTTTTGATACGAAGTGTGATTGTGTGCAATCATGTTTTGGGGTATAGTAATCAGAACTCACAATGCCCAGCAAGATGACAGCGATATTGATTGCAAACAGCTAGGTGACATCAGCTTGGTTCCACAGGACTGCTCCGCACATTAGAAACATACAGAGTAGGCGTCGGTGAAGAAACCTATGCCGGTTACGACAGCAAGACGGATGTGATACCAGCCAAAAGGCGCTTTGTCGACTTCGGCCAGGGCCATGCGTCTGCGCTCATTCGGGTCGGTGATGTGCGTCTTTGCCGATCAGCATTGCAATGTGGGCGAGCAGCAGATTGTCGAACATACATAAACAGTGGACGCATCATGATAGGCAGAGTTGCCGGCGCGTTCCAGCGTTGGAGAATGCATCGGAGCTCCGGTTCAGCCTGGATTGGATTTGTGTTGTTGAAGATGGCATTCGAGATGATGGTTGTCAAACTGAAAAATAAAAAGCAGAATAGGCAAGCCTGCTTATGGATATATGCGGGTGAGGCGATGTGAGATGGGCAGACAGCTGCTTATTGTGGTGTAGTGACACAACAGACGGACATGGTACCATGTGAGGTGCTATTGGCTATGTATGAGTGAGGTGAACAAAAGCTGGCTGCTGGCGAAGTGAAGTGATTGACGATGATGATGTAGATTTAGATATGGAATGGGTGTCGAGGGTCGTAGCTTTAACAATCTTGCACGTTTCTCGTCTCCACAGCATGGGCGGAGGATATGCAAGGCATGATGAGAGGGAGAATGTCATGCCAGAGTCTATCAATTGGACGTCCGGACGGCATGGCGCGCCCCCAACGAGGTCCCTCGGGGCTGGGCTCCAGTTAGTCGAAGCCATGTGCGTGGTCCAGGAGGGAGGGGGCCAGGGGTGCACGTGAAAGACATTGGGATGTGATTGGCCGCAAGACGACTACACCTTCACCGGGGAGCTGCGCAAAACCTCCATGTACTAGAAAAAACAAAAGGTGCCCAGCGATTCCATCGCCATGGGAAGACTCGCCCAGGGATTCTCTGATGCTATCCGCGTGGGATTGCATCTACCATGTATCCCTTCGCTCACCCTAGGGCGCCGACTGATCCGCCTCGTACTGCGATGTCTCTATACGGAGGCACTTTCAAGAGCAGGCGGTTTATGCCGCGTCCTAGCCCAAGACACATGATAGTACAAGATATCTTCCCCTGCACTTGCCCAATCTCGGTCTGTTGCGGAGGATGAAGCGCGACAAGCCTGGCAAGCACTGTGTCTGGTATTGGCCCTCGCCTTTGCCTGCTCTCTCACCCCCTTGGAACTCTTCGCTCCGTTGCTTCGTGCCAATATACGCCAATACATCCATCTTTCAAGGGAATCGTTTTCGAAAGGGGATTCGGGGAACAAGAACAGCCTTGGGCAATGTCACAGCCAAGTTATCAACACGCCGTTTAGTCACTAAATCTTCCTCGTGCGCGCACCCCACAGTCTGGAAAGACAGGGAAGGATCCATTTTGGCAAGAAAAAGCAACCAAAGCCTGTGCTTGAGACGCGAAGGATGGCAAAAGCAAATAATTCAAAAATAGAGCCATGTTGGAGGATTCGAAACCAAAAGGTCGGGGTGGTTGATTGATTGGAGGAGACGGACTATCCATCTCCATGTTGGAGTAGCCATGATATCGTCCACGTGACCGTACCGCTAGTCCCGCACAGGCTTGGCTCGCCTCGCTTAATATTCGCGCACTCACCACCGCAACACCAGCTCGACGATTGAGATTATCGCGACAACATCCAACTACTAACCCACAGCGTCACCCAGGTATGCCGTCCCCCCAATCCCGAATCCCCTTGTGCGTTTACTGACTTTGATTTCGTCTAGCTCTCTGATTCAAAATGAGTACGTCGCACCCGCTGTGCCACCTTTGACCCTCCGAACGACGACACTGACTGCGATACAGCGAAGGGTACCTCCAGTTTCGGAAAGCGCCACAACAAGACGCACACCTTGTGCAGGCGATGCGGTACGTTCATACAACCCAGATCACGGTCACAGAGCTCCCTGGAACGGTTATTCGAATGCAAGGACCGAAGGAAGACGACGACGAACCCATTGGACTGACGGATTTCGTGTACAGGCCGCCGCTCCCTTCACATCCAGAAGCACACCTGCGCCTCATGCGGATACCCCGCTGCTAAGACCCGCAAGTGTATGTACTCCCACGGCACCTGGAATTCCGCATCTGGGCGTCTAGTAACATCAAAACAGTCAACTGGGGCGAGAAGGCCAAGAGAAGAAAGACCACCGGTACCGGCCGCATGCGATACCTCAAGGGCGTCACCCGCCGCTTCTCCAACGGCTTCCGAACTGGTGTGCCAGCCGGCTCCAAGGGACCCAAGTCCGACTCTTCGTAAACATGTCCAACGATACACGATGACAAGGGAGAACGTAAAGGCGTGTGGGTCCACTTGATGGATGGAGCAGGATGAAAATGGGGACGACGGTGTTTCTCTCACTGGGCAATTATGTGGGTGTTGCTCGGGGCGTTTTTCAGCATCCCTCTACTCGTCACTTTTTCCCGTCCTTGACAACAAATGGCGAGGGTCGAAGATACCTTCTGGGGTTTATGTGGCATAAATAAGGATAAAAAATTCATTTATGGTCTGTCACGAATGGAAATATGAAATCAAACACACGGAGCGCCCGGGAAACATGCACCGAAGGGACCCCTTGATCTTACTCCAAGCAGCACCTATTGGCCTCGACGTAGTTGTGACGACCAGTGCGTGTTTAACAATCTAGGTCTGGCGTCACGCAGCGCGGCTCGACGAACTACACTACAAGCCTTCGACCGGAATCTTTCCACTGCGGGTGAGCGTCAGACTTTTGGCAATTTTTTGTCTAATTACGTTGCTCCGGTCTGGCCTGATCTGTTCACGCCATGGAAACGCATACAAGCACTAATTTTAGAAAGCAGCATACACAGTGACTATTGTCGAGCAAGCCACCAAAGCTTCCCTATCGGACATCATAACATAAAACCCCCATAACAAGACCGTGATACTTATCTATACCGGGAGAAAAAACCGTAATCCCCTTCTATTTCCCCCCCAAAAAAGCAAAAAAAAAAAAAGGAACCTCCATATCCTTACCAAACCCCCCTTCCCCTTCCTTCTCCTTTCCCTCTCGAAAACAATAACCAACCGCACGCACGCACTCACCTACCCACCTCCACCCCTCTCAAAAACCCTAACCCCTCCATCCCCCCCAACCCTATACAAAACCTCCCTCTTAATCCCACCCCCTCCTTCCTCAGTAACCCTAAGCACCCCACTAACATCCCTCGCAACCCCGGTATCCAACACCCTCACCCCCAAAACCCTCGAACTCATAAACGCAGTCTTGACAAGCAGATTCCGCTGCGCAATCTCAAGCGGCGGCGGCTGTTGCTGCTGGTGTAACCCAGTCAAGGACGCTGGAGTGTGTAGGAGCGGAGTATCAGCCTGCAAGTGGACCGCGACATGCGCGACGGTTGGCAGCGCGTGGAGGGTTAGGAAGAGCGATGTTAGAGATGCTGGGGTTGTTATCGCTGTGTTCTTGGTGGTGGTAGTGGTGGAAGAAGTGGCGAGGAGGAGATCGGGGTTATCTAGTATGACTAGAGTTTTCCTCGTAGGGCCACCGGAGGTAGCAGTGCTAAGGGAAGTAACAGCAGCGGAGATGATAGATTGGACGTGCGCCAGGTCCGGAGAAGATAAAATAAACAACCCTTGTTTCTGTGTTTGTGTCTGCGGTGCTGGTGTTGGAGTCGAAGTCGAAGTCGAAGGCGTAGATGACGATACCGCTGTATCTCGTTTCGCTGCCATCATAGTACCACCACCACCACCAGCCATTGTCCTCATCGTCGTCATCGGCCCTCTCCCAGGCGCCATCGCGATCCCCGCGCGCGCAGGCGCAGGCGCAGGCGCAGGCGCAGAGGAAATCGGCGACGACGGTACACCTCCCCTCGCACTCGCAAAAGAAGAACTGCTCCTCCGCGCCACATCATCATCCTCCTTCTCCGCCCCGCTACCAAGAAACACCCCACTCAACCCATCGACAACCGCAACCCTCCCATCCCTCCTCAACCGATCCAGATCTACCCCGCCGCTTTTCCTAGCTTCTGATTTCCAGAACTCGTAGTCGCGCATCCAGCTCACGAGGACGACGTTGAATTCCTCGTCGTCGTCAGTGTTCTCGGCATTGTTGTTGGAGGAGGAAGAGGTGAAGGAGGATGGTTGGTGCGGGTTGTTGAGCGCATTGCACAGGAAGCGGACGAGGAGCCAATTGACGCTGGCGCCGAGCGTGCTGGTGACGAGGAGGATCGAGTCGTGCGTGGGGAGTTGGACGCAGGGTTGGAGGAGAGGCGGGATGCGTGTCGAGGATGGCGGTGGCATTTGGTTTCGGCAAGTAAATTCTTTTTTTTTTATGTTGGCGGTGATGTTGGGGTTTTTTTCGTCGAGGGATTGGGGTGGTGATGCGCCATTGGGTCAGCCCTACAACTAGCGTCTCTCGTCTCTTGATGCACTCACTCTACGCAACCAGCACTGGTTGAGTTCTAGTTATAGTCGGGCTTTTCTAGTGACTACTCAAGTACACATAAGAACGTGTTTACTTCACAGAACCGCCTTATGGGAGAGAACGGTCATGGCCGTATGACCGTTCCCCCCACGTTCGCTACCTGTGCCTCAATTCTGCGATTAGTTACGTAGTAGACGCACTGAAGCTATATACTACAGATTCTCTTGCATTCATTGGCCGGCCCCCTCTCACAGGGGTAATTGGTCACGTAGTAGACACAGGGAAGCGCACGCAAGTTATATTTTACAGGTGTTTTTACATTTATTCTACATATTTTTTGATGTTTTTTCTAATTTTTTGATATTTTCCTCCCATCGCAAAGTTCACTCATGGTGCTCACTTTCTCACTGTTGGCTGAAATCCAGCGTCAATAGCTCTCCGTAGTGCGTCACCCCTCCGCTCGTCTCGATATCACCAGGAGTGGCGTTGGAGTTGAGATCGGCGAGATCGACATTGAGATCGATGAGGTTGTAGTTGTAGTTGGAGCGATTCCTCTCTTTCTCCGGTCCCTGGAACGTGTGCACGTTTTGCCGTGGTCGCTCCCCAATCGCGATCTTGCCTAGTTCCTTTTCAAAGAGCCACGGGAAGCTCATCATAGGCATGTTAGCCTTGGTTCTCCTAGGAACGGACTTCCCCCCGACCACTTTGGTCTCGTTACATTCTTGAAGTGCCGCCTGGATCTCCCTATGCGTTACCGTGTACATGGCAGCAACAAAAGTTGTCAAGTTGTCATTGCCAGCTTCCTCTCGACATGCTTGTCGGTATTGTTCTTTGAGGGCTCCTACTGTTCTGCCAAACTCCTCGGCAAACGTGTAGTCCCGACTCTCTAGGTTGTGAGACATGACAAAGACTGACCAAGCTTCAAACTCGGTCTGTATTGCGTGCTTTGCCATCAATCGCCTCAGGGACGAATCATAAGATTCTTTGATTTTCTCAGCTGCTTCTAGCATGCTGTCATCCAGTTGGAAGGCATTCAATATGCGGTTATCGAACGGCCCATAAATTGGCTTGAAGTCGACAAGCTCAACCTGATCGTAGAGCTTTCCAAGAATATTGGTTGAACGATAAATCTTGTGGGCAGGTCGAGTCTTGCTCTCCATGAAATGAGGATATTTTCTGGGTTTTAGTTCGCGACTCATGATTGTACGGATGCCGCTCTTCGGGTAGTCAACAGCTTGTGAGTGGAGTCGGGCCAGTTCAAGACACGTCTCACTCCTGACACCTTCTGCTTGAAAGTCGGCTTGGGCCAAGTGTGCAGTTGCAATCTGACTCAATGAATCGTTCTTCATATAAGTCACAAACCATTTTTGGATGTCCTCGATTTGAATTGGCTGGTCGGATTCAGTCGGCTTCTCCGGTGTAAAGTCCATGGGCGACTCGTTGACGACTTGGGGAATGAAATCAGGGTCCCAAAGCACGATGTAGTCGTCACCATCAAGGTCTCCTCCACTGCACATGTTTGCCAGGTCCCTGTCGCCGGTTTGGGGGAGGACGACGACATTTTTGAGATGGTGGAGAGCGGGTATATCGACAGCCTGGACTACACGAATATCGCCCCCGACCAGGGAAGGATTGCGAGCTAGGATGCAGGTTCCTTCGATAATCTTGTATCCATTGTTGTCCGATATCTGCAGAAATATCTGAGGCAAGTTCGCAAGCTTCTCCTCTCTAGTGGCGTCTTCTCGCTGCAGATCATCATAATGTCCCCGGAGGGAAGCTGTTTCATCAACGCATCCCAGTACAAAAACACCCTTATCAATCACGATGCGGGCTTTTTCTTTGAGATATTTGATATGATATGCTCGCCATAAATGGAGGAGCGACATCATGAAAGGATCTTGAGTGCCCATGAAACCATCGAGGATCATACCAGCCATTGTAAGTGACGTTTCGTTAAGGTCAATGTTGCGCTGGAGCTTTTCTAGAGCGGTGCTCTCTTCCTTGGTTGCCCGCTCCAGATAGTTTACCATCTCTTGCTGTTTGCGAGTGAACATGGTGTCGGGGACGCCGAGGGCGGATAGAATGATGATCAGTTGGCGGTTGAAACATGCGACAGCCAGTGCAGAAGCACGGATGATTTCCAGTCCGACATTCTGAGCTTCGAACTTGTATTGACTAGGTCGTATGTGGACAACCCTGCCAGTGATCTTGGGGTCTAGGGCAAGCACGCCTTTGCAACCGCCCAGTCGAAATTGAAAAAGAGATGGGGGATCATCGAATGGATTCTGCAAACCCAGCTCTTTCGCAGCCATCTGTGCCAGGAATGGCGAAATACGCCCCACGCCGTCCGTAAATGTGTACCCGTTACGTTCTATGTCAGATATCATCTCGATCTTGACATTGATACTCTTGATGGCTCGGGTTGTTGAGAAACACTGTCCGAGGCGAGCGGCGTACTTGGCAGCTGTTTTGATGTGCTCGAAATTACCCATCGATTTCCGAATGTCGAATTCTGATTGTGACTGGGTTGGTGCGTAGAAATATGCTCCATGCTCCCGGAACTGCGAGTTGCCAAAAGCCAAGAACACGTAGTAACGACCAGCAACTACGATTCCCTTCTCCATAGCCCTCGACACCCTGTCGAAGATTGTATCGGCTCGGTCGTTATCGGAACTGAATATTCTGCCTTCGGTTTTCTCGTCGGTAAATTTCACCCGAATGAAGCGATCGACATCGACTGCATGTTTTCGGACGACTCGATTGGATGTTTCCACGACCGGTGTGCTGACATGAATCATTGTCGGGGTGATGTTGACTGAACGAGAGAATAGACAATAGTTGGGTATTTTCCTCGGCCCTAACCTGCGACGCGAATTGAAGATCTCCATGGGATCGTAGTAGACGTGCTGTTTATCAGCGACCTTCTCCAACAGACAAACAGCTTCCTCTATGGGCATGGCTGCGAGACGCTCGAGAAATTCACGGGTGATACTGTTCTCTTTGATCCAATCGTTGGACAAACATGCCTCGAGTTGGTATCGAACCGAGAAGTTAAGATGTACCCGATTGGAGAGAAGGTCACCTGAGCCAGAGTTTTGCATATTTGTGGATACCAATTCCGGGTGTGTTCCAAAGATCTCTTCCTCAAGGAAAGTACCAATGACCGATGAGCTACCGTACCTCACATGGAAATTGTCAACCAAATTTATGTGCACACCATGATCAGCAAGGCCGTCAATGAAATCTCGGAATTGCGGTCCTCGAACTGTTTCGGACGAGAATAGCACCCTGTAGGTGGTCCATCGACCTATATCAACAATCACTTCGCCGTGGTGATTCATGACTGGGGTTGCTTTCAATAGATCGTGCGTCTTCACGTCTACAATGTCCGTTTGTCGATACCAGGTGTGCCAATCAAGCCAGACATTATCTTTGTGGTAGCAGGTCTTCGGGATTTCCGTTTTTTTGCACTGCATAAAGAATTGTGGGGCAGTGTGAAACGGAATGATGAGAGCGGATCCTCCCTTAGCTGAATCATCGACAAGGAATACGTGCTCGATCAGAGAGAGTGGTAGACGAAATCGGAGTTTCCGATCTTGGCCATCAATTTTGGAGGGAAACTGGAAATCAAGTTCCTTGCGGTCACCCAGATTAAGAGCCACCTGAATGCCTTTATTTGTTCCGATATTCCGCATGACATCAAGGGTTCGCTCGGCGAGTGTGATTCCGAAATCGAGGGAGTCGGAAAACAGGATGTTGGCATCGTAGTACTGCCGGTGGGGATTCACTGGGCTAGTAACCTTGTAGTGGTGAATTGCTTGCCCTACGATCTGAACTTCCTTGTTTCCAATATATATGCGATCATTGTCAATGCTCCTATGGGGAGGAGGTCTAGGTTCCGAGAATGAGTATGTGAATTTCAGAGTCAGTGAAGAACAATACTTACTGATAAGTCACCCAGGCCACATAGTGAGATACATCGATCCTGGTAATCCTGCCATAACTGCAGAGCTGTTCGTAAATCTGTCTCGTTCCGCAGTTTCTCGGAAGGTTTGAGACCCTATACTTTCGATCCTGTAGGAAAATATAATTCTGCTGGTTATTGCGGAAGGTAGAGTATTGTCGAGGTGGGACTATGGCAGAAGCTGGGTTCATCATGGGAGTGTTGCGGGCTTGCCTGGCTGGACGGTTCTCATTCATGTTGAAGGCACTGGAGGGTGGTCGCGAGGCGGCAGAAGCTGGGTTCATCATGGGAGTGTTGCGGGCTTGTCTGGCCGGACGGTTCTCATTCATGTTGAAGGCACCAGAGGGTGATCGTGAGGCAGAGTGTCGAGAGGTTGGAGTAGCTGGCGGCGAGTCTGAGCTATCACTCCAGGTCTTTTCAGTCGAGTTGATAGAAGGTTGGTGTGCGTTGTTGCGTGCTCTGAACACAGGTCGGCTGACAGGGCTGTTGTTGCTGGCGGGAGAGGCTCGGGAACCGCGACCCCGGATGTTACCGCCTCTTCCTCTGTTGCCGTTGGGCGACCACATATTGGGCCGTACGTAAAAGGTGAGGGAGCAAAGTGAGATGTTCAGACTTGGGAGTTGGGTAATATAGGATAGCTGCAGATTGTCACGGCACGTAGCCTCGACCAACTCGCAAGGTAAAGTGGAGGCTCAGAGTCGGCAAGACAAGAAGCAAAAGTAAAGGAAGGTTCGATATATGAAGGTAATTGGGGTGCAGCTTTCACAGGGAAAACAGGCGGTCGAAGTGACCGTCTGCTTGCTGTCGTGCCCAACAAACAAGCCACCAGTCGGCAGCTGGCAGCTAGAGGGGGGCAGGGGATGGCAGGGGATGGCAGGATAGGATAGATACCTTGACGTACTTTCTTGTGGATGTTGAAGTCGGCGTCGCCGTCGATTTGGACAAGAAGGTTGGAAGGCAGATGTGGGTGGAGGGGAGGAGGAGGAGGTTGTGGTTTGGCAGTCGCCGCTCCCCAATGTGTACACCTAGCTGCCACTAGTCCCAAAACGTGCGCCTTCTCTGCCTCCTACCGCGAGACACAATTTCTGACTAGGCGAAAGAATGTCGTGTGCAATCAGGAATCGCCGGTGGCCTCTTTGCAGGGGTGGATAGCGACGATACACGGCTGTCTGCATATATGTTTGCTCGTACAACCCGACTTCTGAATCCTACATACAATGCATCGCATATATCAGTCAAGATGGGCAATGGGCGATAATGTGTGGATGCAGTAGCCACAGTCTAGTCGTAACTTCTGTATTTCTTGCCAAACCAGTCAAACAATGGCAGAAACCCAACTCAGTGTAGCAACAGCGAGTGAGCTGTCTCGGACCATAACAACCAAATTCAAATCACAATCTCAAGCTATCCATGTTAATTCATATCGTTTTCTCTCAATCTGACTGCATACACAACTGGTGCCTGGGTCGTGCACAGCAATAAGACAGTGACTGTCAACTTCAAGACAGGGTCTTGACCTACTCTCCAACCTCAGACCATTGTCAGCGAAACAATACCAATCATGGTATAAGACATGTCTCTCCACAAACAGAACGTCTTGGTGTTATTACAAGTCACGACACCGGAAAGACTGAGCGTAAGTTCGCTATTAAAAGGCTTCACATATTGCAATTCCGAGTACCAAGCAAAGATAATCTCACATACACCCAATTATGTAAAACACACATGCTCCAATTACGCTCCATAGAACAAAAATGCAGATCCCTACATACCAGAACCGAGCCCCGTGAATATGAGAGTAGATAATCCAACACAATGGTACGCCCACAAAGAAAAGATACGATATCACCCTGGTGTCGGCTCCGCCGACGAAGGTGTTGAGACATCTCCTTCCCGTTGCCCGGCTTCTTCACCTTTTCGATCCACATTTTCCACGTCGGTAAAAGTACCGCCCACAGCCGGACTAGGAGGCGCACTGCTATCGTGGATAGGTGCCGCAACAACAAGTAGCTCGGTATCAACAGGCGAGCCAAACTTGGAATCTATGGTAGCCACCGAGGAGAGGCGTTGACGACGCCTTGCGGGTAACGGTGGAGGTGGGGGTGAATCGGAAGGCTTCCTGGATAGGATTTGCGGCTGATGCGATGGTTTTGGGGGACTGGGAGAAGAGGGGAGGGGACTGCTACCGGATACTCCCGGTATCGAAATGGACGATTTATCAGTTTTGGCATGCTGGCTGCCGCCACCGTTGGATGCGAGAGGGTTGGGAGATAGGGAGCCATGATCAGACTGGTTGTTACCGATGGACATGCTGTCAGGTGCTGTAGAGGGTGACTTGGTGGGAGTCGTGGCTACTGGCTTGCGGCGACCAAAGTTCGCAATGGCGGATGCCACTGGCACGTTCCAGGTCCGTCTCTCGGGTTTCGGTGGTGGTGGGAGCGGGGTCCCCGGAGGAGGGAGTGGCATGCCCCTGCCAAACGGCTCCGAACGAGGAGAGTCGAGAGGAGGCAATGGGGAAGTATTGAGATCCGTTTGCGAGATTGTGCTCTGAGTCTGGGAATCGTCGTTTAGATTTGACGTAGTTATCAAATCATCGGCCTGCTTTGGTGATTTGTTGATTGTATCTGCGGGGGTGGACCGAGGTGTATTTCCTGCCTGCCTGGCCGATATCCACTTCTTGGCGGCGGCGGCTGTGGCCGAGACTAGGGAGGGGTTGATTGTAGATTGTCTGCTTGGGGCCTTTTGACTTCCACTTGGCGATGAAGGAATAATATCTTCAAACGTTATCGAGGTGTCTGATCGTGTGGATACTTGGTCTATCTCTGACGTTTTGAGCCCTTCGCCAGTCGGATCGAAGCCCGATGAAGTTTCCATACCACGAACTTTGGCATTCATTGCTACGAGTTCGGGAGAAGGGGTGGTAGTAGAGCTGTGAGAGGTTGGCTCGGTCTGTTCGGTGGGACTGAAAGACATAGAATCATGGTCTAGAGGGGGTGACTTGGATATTGTTGTCTTCATGGACTCCGCAGCGTCGTCTTGAGGTGGACGTCCCTCGTTTCGAGGTATAGCTGAGTTTTCGCTGATGACTGGACTTGCTATTGTAGCAAATGAGCTCGATCGCATGGCCCTTGGCTTCGGGCGTGGTCGTTGGTCGACGGACGAGGATGTGGAAATATCTTCATGTGTTGAAGTGGAAGTGGATGTTCTTGATCTCCGAGAGTGCAATGTATCCGAGACCGAAGGCACAGGAGCACTTTTCGTCGTATCTATCGATGATGCATCGCTGCGCTCAGCATCTTGGGTGGCAGAGTGAAGATCCGCGACTTCTGTTGCCTCTCCACTCGCGTCAAGATTTATGTCAACAGTTGAGTTGGCGTCGGCGGTTTTGGACTGCTCCCATACGCCACCCCTAAACGACTGGGATTCAGTGGAAGTGAAAGGGATATCGTCCCAGTTGGGAAAAACAAGTGTTTCGTTGACTACTTCACGGATGCGGCTTTCGATAGCTCGGAGTATGACTCCGTAGGTGATCTGTCGTGAACTCACGATTGGTTCCAAGGAAAATGTCATTTTCGGGGCCGTTTCAAACGTCACCCACAAACGATTACTAGGGGGTGGTTTTATCCGTATCAGAATATGTCCTTCGAGTTTTCGAAGAATCGTAGCTAGCACGAATGTTACTTCGCGAGCCTTCAACCGGGTTCCAAGATCAATGCGTGCAAGCGCTGATATATCGAGACGGAAACTGCCTTTGTAGCTTATATCTGCTTCGATGATTGTGTCACCATCGACAGTGAGCTCTCTAAGTTTTGGATTAGTGATGAATGGTGGTAGATGCCCCATATCAATCCTCTGCACGTTGATGCCAGAAATCAGGGCGGGCTTGGGTACGCGTGCGATCTTCTTGGAGATTTTGGTCCAGATCATACGGTCCACGTCCTGGGTCTTGTAGACGGCAAGGAAGAGCCTGCCTATTAATGCATTTATCCAACGAGTGTGTAGATTCTCCTCGGTCGCATGAAGCTGCTGAACAAGCTTGACTAGATCGGGTGTATCGAACTTCTGTGGCAGCGGAGCATTGGGCCCTATTTCTGCTTTCCACTCTTGACTCTGCAGTATGGCGTGATAGAAATCCTCCTTCTCTGAGCAGTTGTCGGAAAAGAAAAAGAATGGTTTGGCTTCGCCATTTTTGATCAAAGAGGGTCGTGGGTTGAGTTTAATACAGTTTCGCTTTATCCAAAGCTCGCCTTCAGGAATAGGTTGTCCGCCAGCATATATTTCAACGTCGTGGTGGGCAAGGGGGATTACATGTCGCACTTCTAGTTGCTCCGAGTCGTCATAGAGCATCAGATAGCCAAGTCTGCGCATGTCAATATCCATGGTACTGCAATCTAGGAATGAACGCACCTCAAGACCACATAGAACACATTCCTCGCCCTTCGGTTCTTGTTTGGTGGACCTTCCATCGATGGGCTCTGGGCTTTGTTTCTATCAAAGATGCTCCGGTACATGGACTGGTAGACACTCGGACTTTCTACGGATGCCACAGCACCTGTAGGAGTAGTGCGCTCTGGAGCTTTTCCGTTGATACCACCAGGTACCCACTCCCGACAGACAGCGAAATAGCCTGAAGCAACATCTGGGACGTGTCTCCGCTCTTGCAGGTCCTTGAGAATATTCTCTGTTATACCGATCCCCAATCCCTCCTTTTCCATCTCATTTCCTTGGGATTCCAGAGCATCCTTGCCGTCGTTCTCCTCGGTGGGTTGCTGGCTGTGGGCTACATTGACAGTTGCCCATGTCCACAGGAACCATGCTATAGCAGGTACTGTCAAAGTCCCTACTACCCAGCCGAACAGAAAGATGAACAATGTACCCAGGCCTGCCATATTTGGGACCACCTATCCTCTTCTTACAGCTTTGCTGACATTACTCTTCCGTTTAACAAGCCCACCAACCAACCCACCCGCGAGGACTTTACGCCCCGTTTCTCACGTCGTAAACCCCGAAGCTTGTTGCCGGCCCTGTAAAGAAGCTACGACTCGAAGAATATACGCGACGTTCATTCGAAAACGGCGGTGGAGCTTGAACGTGGGTTCAGCGTACGATACAGCGCAGCGGTTGCGGGGGAAGGAAGTGGTGCGGGCAGACTCGGTGAAACATGCACGGATAAGGCACAGATTTGAAATATTGAAGTTGTGGGGGGTAATCAGTAATAAACTGATTGGACTATTGGTAGAATTCGTGAGCGTGCCAGAATTGTGTTTCGACTGCGACTACTCCACGTGGTAGAAGCAGGTGTGGCCCGAGCGGCCGAGATGCCGATGATCTCATTGCTCCTTCGCGTACCGTAGAGTTGCGCAAATAACAGGCACACCGCGCCTTACATAGTTACTAACGCCATACGGTTATAAAAATCAAGAATTCTTAAGTATGTCTACTGCGCCAGAAAATTGACAATAACACTTTAAGTCGTGACTTACTCAGGATCGCGGTGTGCCTGTTATTTGCGCAACTCTCCGGTCTATACACTCATTGGTAAACAAGCTTGGATATTAGGCTGGGAGCAAACATCAAGAGACACAACGTAATGAAACGACTTTAGAACACTATTCATACTAAACGTGTATTTCCATTCCTGTTGCCTTCGAATACTTCGAAGGTACATGTATTCCAGACTCCCTGTGGTATCTGAGCCGGGTTCATATATGACTACAATCCATCCAACGCGTCAACCCATGTATGTGTATAACCCTCCCATCCGTCCACCCCCATTCATTGTCTCGAAAGCCAGCTGAGCACGTACTCGTCCCCCCTTGACCAAAACCCACCACCTTGATCGTCTCACGTAGGCCTCTTTGAGCCCTGACGGCATTGTCTGCTACCGCCCTGCGTGCGACAGATGTGAGAAATGTGCCTCGGTATCGTGCTCGCTACAGGTTCCTATCGAACCTGCGAAGAAGAAAAACAAAAAACAGAAAAGAAATCAAGGATGACGAAGATGAAATGCGTGCCCGTAATTTGTTACACCACCAAGCGCTCGAGAATGCCGCCAAATAGAAGAAGCCAAAACAATGCAAGGGTTGAAATGAACCCTCGAGAGAAGGGTAAGAAGAAAAAGAGAATCGCCGGCGAAGTAGTCCGTCATGGACCGATCGCCTCGTATCGCAGCCGTGGGCAGCAGGCGCCATGGCATGCGGACTATAAATTACGTACATAGAATGCACAATGCAATGTATATCCATCAGGCTTGCGACCGACTGGGTGAAAATGGCCAGTCGTCTGAACTGCGCTGGGAACACATAGAAGGAAATAGATCAGAGGAACTCCAGGAAAGACTAGTTTCGCTGGAGGAAGACAAAAGAAAAGTCCCCCGAGGTGGTGGTCGAATGTAACTTTTGTACAAGATGTGAATGCAATAGTCGTTAAATGCCCGCCGTAACTGGCATCGTCTAGCAAGGCGGCAGGCGGATGGAGAAAGGTAAAAAGGTAAGAAGGTATGTGCTGTTGGTGTGTTCGTTCTTAGAGCATCCCATTCGACAGAGGCGTGAACGCGAACAAAGCTGAAATCGAGATAGCTGGTGGTACGTTTTGCGGGGCATAAAGTAGACCGAGACACCACGTTGTGGGGCGTTCTCGGACTTTGATACTGTCTTGCAACACCCCGTTGTACCCCGTCGTACCCCGTCGTTTGTGATACCATGGGCGCTATGTCCAACACTATATGGCACTGGCACCCGGGTATCGTCCTTGGTTGCTTCCCAGACCCAGATTGGGCAAGGTTGCAGGAGGTGGAGAACCGCCTCCCCCGCGTACCATACCACCGCGGCCTCTGCCTCTTCCTCGACCACGTCCTGGCAATGCGAAATCTGGGTTGGCGGCGTTGGCTTCTAATATAACATCTTCTTGCCTCATTGGTCGGCGTGGACCGTAGGGGCCATAGGGCATGGGACCGCCTTGCGGCGGCCGCCAATTGGGATTGATACCACGTTGAGAGACGGAAGTGAAATGCGATGCTTCTGAAGCAGCAGGAGATCTCGCTCCCTCTGGTAGATCTTCGTATGAGGCAACCGGTATTAGGTTAGGATCAGTAACGTTGAGAGAAGGATTGGACGCCATCATGTTTGGATTGAGTGGTGGTGGCATCGGTTTCTGTTGTGGTGCAGCGAACCTGGGATCCACATCCTCATAGTAATCCGAGCTGGACTCATTCTTGGGCATTCCAATAGTGGAGAGTTGTGCAGGTAGTTCCACTGGCGAATCTTGAATTGGTGAAAGCCCACGACTGCTGTTGCTATGGTTCAAAGTCTGGTCTGATGAGTTGTTTCCAGTCTGATTCCAACCAGTCCGTGGGGGCAGATACTGGCGTTCACTATCAAGAGCGTTAGCGTTATGATGAAGCAAATTAAACGTGGTAGGTGGTGATTGGACACTTACTCTGCCTGCGAATACTCGCTTGTCGGGCTCAAAAGTCCTGGTGTTGCTCTTTGCGGCGCCTGCGCTGGAAATCCGCCTTGCTGAAGAGCGAGCATGCCTTGGACATCACCATCACTATCTCTGAGTCCGTAGCCCGTATCCATCGGTGGGTTCATGCCACGCGAATCCATCTCGATAGCTTGTCCGATGGACATGGGCCCCTGCATATGAGCATTTGGTGGCGGGCCTTGCTGTTGTACATAGGGTGAAGGGTTTCGTGGTGGAGGTACGGCTTGGTACTCTTGGTTACTGTAACCAGGCGGTGGGGCTCCTCTGCCCATTGGACCAGGACCTGGAGCAGGCCGCATACCTCTTCCATTGCCATTCCCGTTCCATCCCGGCGGTGGTGGACCGCGCATACCTCCTCTTGGTGGGCCATATCCACCGCGCGGTGGCCCGTAACCTCCCCTAGGGGGATATCCTCCTCTTCCACGCGCATAGGGACCTCCGCGATTTGGTGGCGGCCCTCGAGGTTGGTTTTGCATCATGTAGGGATCGTTTGGCATGGGCGGAATTGGATTTCCATACTGGTCAACTGGCTGCCTTCCACGACCTGGAGGACCTGGAGGACCTCGAGGAGGGTTCATATACTGTTGCCTTTCTGCAGCATCTGTTCGGCTACTGCTGACCGTCTTTAATGATGGGTTACGGTTGTTAAGAGGTATCATGTCATCTTGGGCGTTGTTCTTCTGAACTTCAAAGGTTGCATAGCCAGCCGACTTGTTGTCATCAGACATGGTGTTACCAGATAGAGGAGGCGGCGATTCGGCTTTTGGAAGCATTTCAGATGGTGGGTTCCCCGCAGACCGAGTGGCATGAAATGATTGTCCGTTCATGTCGGTATTCTCAGCGATCCTCCTCTTCCTAGCTTTCCGGCTGACGAGAGTACGGCGCATAGCACACGTTACCACCCCACTTGCTACAATGATAATGGTGGCCGCCAGGACAATCCATCCTCCCCAGGCCATATGCGGAACAAACAACAGAATATCCACGAGAAACGCAAGAAGCGAAACCAGAAGGGTAGGGAAGGTGAAGATTAACAGGGCGAGAAGATAGCGGGGAGAGTGGGCAGGCGAATGGAAGTGGGCGGCGACGGCCAGCGAAAAGCAGATGAGGGTCATGAGACATGCCACGGGATGGACGATGAGGATGGAGGAGAGCGAATGCCGGGTGGCCGAAGGCAAGGAGAAGTCGGAAGCGGAGGTGGTAGTGTTGAAAAGGCCATCTGCAAAACGTCAGCGTGGGTGTCTCTATACAATAGCGAATCCTTGAAAACAGTACCTGTATCGTAGCCGATCATGGGGCCCCGACAGTCGCCATTTTTGCAGTATCCAAAGACGCCGAAATCGACGCCTTGGAAAGTGGCGAGCGGAATGCCTTTGATGATGGGAGTGGAGAGGGTCGACAGCAGCAGCAGGGCAAAAGCAGCGAGGAACAATATAGATAGGGGCGTGGCCGGCCGCAGCATGGTGACGAGGGAGGGACGACGAGTGAGTGAGCGCTCACATCCAGCGTCAGTACAGACGAAGCTTTAGGACTGGCAAAGGTGTTGTGGAGGATCTGCGATATGCCGCTGGGCGGCAGCGCGTATGTAGGGCGCGGCGTGGGCACGGCGGGTCTGGCGATGGTGAAACCGACTTGTCTCTCCTACACAGCGCTTCCCTGGAGCGAGCGAGCGAGGAATTCAGAGGAACGGCGTAGGGTGTGTTTGCCGCGGTGGCATCGTTCGAGAGCGCGGTGCGTGTGTCGCTGGAATCGGAGGCGGGTGCGGCAGTGAGGAACGTGGGGAGCGCGTGGTTGTTGCGGGGAGAGAGATGTTGGAAGCCGTGAGGGTCGCGATAGACGGACAGCAGGCCGCCCGCCAATCTCACAGAGAGGAGTCGGGACCGGGGGGGCCGTTGAGGGGGCTAAGCAAGTTGCTAGAGCGAGATAACAGCCCAGCTGCCCTGCGCAGATGCTGGCACGAGCTTGCAGATTGAACGAATCTCCGCCCATGATTGCAATGCATCGCCGACAAATTCAGAGCCAACAGTCACCGAACTATCGAATTGATCCATCCACCTGCAGAATAAGAGCGAAGACGTGATTGTTTACTTTACCCGTTCCCGTGTCGCGCATCCACAGCTACCTACACAGTTTGACAAACATAGCCGTTCGTTGTTGGTCTACACGCCTGGCCCCATTCAATCTGCCAATTGACTCGTGGCCCGCCTCCTTCACCACCATTAACAACCCAATGCAGAATGGATGTGCTAAGCAGGATGCAATCTCCCTCACAGGTCAAACGCGCAAACATCCAGTGCCTTCGATCCTGTCACAGCTTGTCGCCTGTCGCCCTTCGGCCTCAGATTCCTCCCACCGTAGTCCCGTGTCAGGATTCAGCCTAGCGGCCGTCTCCCATTGGGCCCTGACCCTGTCTATAGAATCCTCTTCTGCCCTTCCGTGCACCACCGCGACGTTTCGGCCTGAAGAATAGCCTGAGAACACCCCCAAAAATACTTGCGACTCGCACCCTCGTCGGCTTCCATACCTTCCATGCACAGGAAAATAGCCCCACGCCTGGCAACATCACGGCCGAATAAAAAGAAAGCTGGTCTCTCGTTGGTTTGAAATTGTGCACATCTCGTTCATTTTTGTTCATGTTCATTGCTATGCAGAGTAAACCCGGTCCTAAGCCATCCCCATGAATGACCAACGCCAGTTTTGAGACCCGTGTCATGCACGACGGCCTCCACTTGCCCAAATGAACTATGTTGATATCATAACAGTCGCTTTTCCTCCCGCTTCCACATTTAGTTGCCAGCAAGAGCGTGGGCTCGGCGGCGGTCACGCTCGTCAGCGATGGTGAGCTTGACGCCCTTGCCCTTGGGCAGGCTGATCCATGGCTTCTCCTTGCCAATGACGCTGCAACAATGTTAGTCTCCTTACTGCTTACAATATACGTCCGTTCTCGGTTGCAACTTACAAGACGTTGGTCTCACGGGTGGTGAACTCGTTGTCGACGGCATCCTTGACGTGGACAATGTTGAAACCTCCATCGTGACGCTCACGGTGGGTGATGACACCAACACGACCCATGTTCTTTCCGCCGGTGATCATGGCGATGACACCGGTATCGAAGTGGATGAAGTCGGAGATCTTGCCGGTAGCGAGGTCAATCTTGACAGTGTCGTTGACCTTGATGGCGGGGTCAGGGTAGCGGATGCTAAAATCCTTTAGTAAAATTTCCAAGGCGAATAGCCGGGACCAGTCTGATGCCTGGTGCGAGAATCTATGCTCTCAAGCACCTTGCCCAAACTGCGTCCAACGGCTGATAGAGGCGGCAAACTTACGTTCGCGCATCATGCGTAACACAGTAGGGAATTCCACCCTTGCCGAGCTGAACTCGCTTGACCTTGCCCAACTTGTATGCGGCCTCCTCTCCGGTTATCCTGTGGACGGTGTAGCGGCCCTTGGTGTCGAAGATGAGACGGAAGTTCTCGCCGGTCTTGTCAATGGAGATGACGTCCATCAAACCAGCGGGGAAGGTAGAGTCGGTGCGGACCTTGCCGTCAACCTTGACGAGGCGCTGCATGAGGATGGCGTTGGTCTCGCGAGCATTGAGGGCATACTTTAAGCGGTTGCGGAGGAAGATGACCAGAGGAAGAGAGTCGCGGGTCTTGTGGGGACCGGGGGATGCCTTGGGGGCATAGGCACCTTCGAGATATTAGTCTTGCTGCACAGAGATCGAGAATCGCTCGTGCCATTGATGCATACCGGAGAGCTTGTCCAAGAGCCAGTGGGAGGGGGCGCTGAGGCGCTTCTGGTGCTTCTTTCTGGAGTCGACTGTCAGTAAAATTTCTCGACCCGAATTTTCGCAATCGCACAACCCAAAGTAGGCAGCATTGCGTACTGCAGATAGCTGAAGGAATGACTTACGGTCCACGACCCATCTTTGCTGTTGTATGGGAGGTTAGTTGTTGTCGAAGAGGATGTCCTGGAGCGTGACAAGTCTTGAAGTGTCGAAGTTGTGTGCGCACACTCGCTAAATTGCAGATGCCAAGATGAGCTTGATGAGTCAGCACAGCACCAACCGTGAGCTGGTTTAGTCGCACATTTCGTTGAAGAAATCCAAAAGTGAGCAAAGAAATCGATCATTATATTTTTGAACGTATTATGTTCACTCAGAGTCTAAATGTGTATATAAATTCGAAAAAAATCCATGTACTTTTGTTTCCTTTTCACTATGCGAATCCCTTGAGTACCGCTGCCTCTGCGTTCAGTATAGATGAACCCGCCGCTCCAATGACAGCTGCGTAGAAAATAAGTGGATGATACGTCAATTTGGGATAGGTGAACTTACTGTTGTGACTAAGAGCAACGAATTTGATGTCGAAAATGCCTGCTTCGTCCTCTCTTATGCGCCCCACACTCACAGCGTAACCCCGATCAGTCTCGCGATCCAGCCTGGGCTGGGGTCGATCAGGAGCATCCATTACCGCGATAGCCTTGCTAGGAGCAGAAGGGCAGCCTAGTTTCTGTGCCTCAGACACGTAGTCTCTCATTGCCTGCTTGACTTCCTCGGCGCTGGGTGGAGGACGTCTCTGGAACCGCAATGATACACAGGCTGTGTGTCCATCCAAAACTGGCACGCGATTGCAAGACGCAGAGATCTTCATGGGCTGGTCAACGAATCCCGTGACATCGCCGTTCACACCACCCAATATCTTCTGTGCCTCTGTTTCAAGTTTGTCTTCTTCTCCGGATATGAAGGGGACCACGTTGTCGATGATATCCATGCTGCTGACGCCTGGGTAACCAGCTCCCGAAACGGCTTGCATCGTGACCACTGACACTTGGTCTACAGGCCCGAACTTGTCTTGAAGAGCAGCAAATGGAATGACGATACCAATGACTGCGCAGTTGGAATTGCAGACCAGGAAACCCTTCTCCAAGCCATGATGTTTTCTTTGATGCTTAATGACATCCAAATGTGGCAGGTTGACGGTAGGAACTACGAGGGGGACGAGCGGGTCGCGGCGGTAATTTTTGGCGTTGGAAAACACTGCGAGGTTCGATTTCAAGAAAGCCATTTCTGGTACTGGTGTTAGAGAAAATCATTGCCCTGTATGCAATCGCTATTCGTACCAACATCACCGGCAACGTCGCTGTCCAAACCAGAGAATACCAGGTCGCAATCTGCGAACTCTTCTGGCACGCATTTCTTCACCACCAATTCACCAATTCGATCGGTGAAAGGTATAGCCTGCTTCCATTTGACCGCATCTTTGTACTTCTTGCCTGCAGACCGTTCAGATGCGCCGACAGCGTGTAACACGAAATGAGGGTGAAGCGCGAGAAGGAGGATGAAGCGCTGTCCGACTGAACCAGTCGCCCCAAGAACACCTGGATTGTACGTTAGTTAGGATCAATTGAGTGTTACAGCGCACCATACCGCACTTCTTCTTCGGAAACTCGGATTTTGGGGAGGTGAAATGCTCTGCGTCCATGATTGTTGAATGTGACAGGGTAAATCTGAGTCAACGAACTTTTGAAGCTTCGAAGTGACGCAGCAGGCGGGGGTTTATTAGTGGGGTTTGAGCAGCTCCGCCTACGGTACCGGTATCGGTGCTGCACATTGGACGCTACTCCGACGATATATTAGTCGTTTGTTGTGAACAGACGAGATCCTTCGGATACAATGCTTTTCATTGGAAATTACATGTATTATTCAAAAACTTTTGGATGCAATGTCGCATATCATACCAACCACCCTCGGGCAATCCCTAGAACAACGCGATAAAGAAAACGTTCATTCATGAAGAGACATCATGCCAACTAGAAGTCTAGACTTGAAGACATGTCCATGATCTTACCAGGATTCATGATCCAATGCGGGTCCAATGCGTGTTTGATGCTTCTCATGACATTGATCGTGTCGACGCCCAGCTCTTTTAAAAGCGAATCTTTCTTTCCCAACCCGATGCCATGCTCTCCGGTGCAGGTTCCCTCCATTTCTAATGCGCGATCCACCATGTCTTTAATACATTTTTCGACTGCTGCCCGTTCTTTGGGGTCCCTACTGTTGTACATGATGCTTTCGTGGAAATTTCCGTCTCCAATGTGTCCGAGTATGCTCGCAAATAAGCCCAGGTCGTCCATTTCTTTCTTTGATATCTCTAAATGGGCATCAGAAACTACCATTGATATAACTGAGAACAGCGTACCTATTATGTCGGGTAACCGTGAGAGCGGTACAGCGACATCGGTCGACCAAACCTCGCTCCCTTCTTCTCGCAACGCAAGCATACTCCATAGAGATTCTTTGCGCGCTGACCACAGAGTTTTCTGCTCCTGAGCATCCACCGCAAATTCGAAATTGCCGCTCTTGTGTTGCTTAGCGAGGGCCTTGACAAGCCGTACGTTTTCTTGTACCTGATAACCATGCAGTTAGATCCGATCTAGGTCATGTGCATTTTTCCCGGTAATACTCACCCCTGCTTTCGTCCCTGAGAATCTGTGTCCCGGGTATTAACATTCATCCGCACGATTGGCCCAATCTACTCACTTGAAAAACATGGTCGGTACCTCCTTCCACTTCTTTGTAGTGGAGCCAGCCCTGTTGATCACTGCCATCTGCACATCATCCATAATTTCCATCGCGGCCACGGGAATCCCTGCGCGCATCACCTTTGACGCAGCAGCCGCTGCATCCCTTATCGTCGGAAATGTCACAACTGCCACGCTAGTTTCTTGCGGTATCACCGCCAATTTCAGAGTGATCTCTGTGACCAGACCAAGTGTGCCTTCCGATCCGACAAATAAGCCAGTCAGATTGTACCCTGCGGATGATTTTCTGCGAATCGTAAGAGCAGGCCTGGCCTAAGTAGATTACTTGGACTTACCTGGGTCTTCGTCTGGTCTTGATGACAGTGCCGTCAGCAAGGACAACCGTGAGATTGATTACCCAGTCTTTCATCGTCCCATATCTCACAGCGTTGGTCCCACTATCATCGTCAGTCTGGCATCAGCGATTCAGAGATATCACTCACCTGCAGCTTGTTCCCACCATTCCACCGATTTTTGCCTAGCTTTTGTATGAGAAATAGACCTTCTAGAACATACATGCTAGATGCTCACCGATGGACCAGGGTCTACAGGGAAAAAGAGACCAGAGTCCTTGATATGGTCATTCAAGTTCATCCAGCCGACTGATGGTTGGACGACCACATCCATGCTAAATGACAGTGAGTTTTCATCTTTGAAAGTCACCTAAAAATAGAAGGCCAGGCTTACTCGTCCGCATGCAGTGATACAATCTGGTCCATGAAGGTGAAGTCAATGCTCATACCTCCATACGGAGCCGAGAAGTTTGCCTCTAGACTCGTACCCCCAGAATATGGTACTTGGACGCCATCAATACAGACGCTGGATACGCAAGAAAGGCAGACGTACTCATAGGAATCTTGTATTTGTGACAGACCCGAGCGATCTGGGACACTTCCTCTGTAGAATGAGGATACGCAACAGCGACAGGTAGCTGGTCAATGTTGATGGACGACCATTCTGAATAACCGTGTCTCAGAAGATCCTCATCATCTGTGCTGACGATATCTTCCCCCAGTGATGTCCTTAGCTCTTGGATCGCCTATTTGCACCATTAATGAATGGCAAAAGCGATGTTGGAAAGGATTTACGTGCGTCTTCCATCTGAGATTTTGAAGCATATTGTAGCGCAGGAGTATTCTGCCATGACATTGGAAATTTCAGGACATCATTGTTGGTGCCTGCGACATAAGTAGTCGTGCCGGTCAAGGTGGTGAAGAGCAGCACTCGACTTGAACTCCAGAACGGCCTTGGTAGGGCTCTCGATCGGAAGGTGTTCTCGGTTGTTTTGGTGTGATTCCGACGTATACCCCGCTTGAGAAACGGGGAAGCGAGCCGAGCTGCAGAACAACGAAACATCGTGAGATGCGTGAGAGGCCCAATCCTAGAGATATCGGCGGCCAACTTGGTGGTGTTAAAGGATGGATCGGACTACAGCCGCACGCAATACACAATCTTGCCACTGGTCTGGTTCCAAGCTAAGTAGTTGGGCAAATGGACAACTGCCTCGGATGTACTAGCACCCATCTCCCAGTAGAGGTATCCGGATTAGCACCGTAATGAGAGTGGGGAGCGGGCTGCCTTTTGTGTTCTAACGCACTTCCCGCGCCATCCTTCAGAATATCGCAAGCCAACGCACAGGCAATAACCATTTCACAGGTTAGTCAGAGTATCTGAGGCTGGAACCAGTAGCAAAAAGGCGTGCTGACATCGGTATAGACCTGTACCAATTTCCTTCCGCAAGCAACAGCAGAGGGCTGCATGATCAGCTGCAGGGGATATGAAAGGCAAAGGCAATTGCGGGGAAAGCATGGCAAATAAGCAGGCAAACGTGCTGGATTCCATAATAGTAGATCCGCGTCATACCACAGCTAGCACACACGTAACTATATGCATGACATGCACAATGTCGCGTGATGAGGTGAGAAGAAGCTTGAGGGCTAACTGGAATTTCGAGGATGACAAGACGCGGCACTGTGACAGTCCAGATCGTACTTGGCTCTAGTTGAGCCTCTGCGCCATTTTTTATTTTTGCTTTTCTTTTCTCGGTAAAGACTCTCGAGGAAAGGATTGACGCCCGATTGTAGTAGGCTTTGCAATTGCTATTCGTGCGCTTGCTCGAATGGTCGACATCTAGGCGCCTACGCGCATATGTCAAACTCCGACCTCATACCAACCGCGAGAAGCGGTGAGCGCTGGGTAGTGCTGTCACCGTCAAGAGGAGTACGATTACCCTCATGAATTACCATCTCGCCAGCTCACGCATCGATCAATTTCTCACGTGGGTGGGGGTTAGCACTAGGTGTGCTTCTTAGCCCTGCACGCATCCCACTTTCGCCTGAACGAGATGAAATTCCCGCAGCTGAATAATGGCGCGGATGGTGGTGGGAAGCAGGATGCTGAGCGGTGAAAAAATCGTGATTTAATGTAACTTGAGCGGTATATCTGTACATGGTCGGTTGGCTCCCGTGGGGTTCAGAGAGTTGAATATGGTACTGTGCGGTGTTGTCCGGACAGGTATCAACACCTCGTGTCGAACTCGATGAAGTCAATCGTCTGCATGATGTAGGTAACCCCCTGTCAGGCGCAGGGATAGATGAAAGCTGAGGGGCAAAGGAATCCCTGGGAGCCTGGCCGGCACACTATTGATCACACTGTACCGATGCGCATCTCATCGTGTCTGTATGTAATCTAGTCAAACGTTGTTCATCCATACGTCTAGGTCGTCACAAGAATGGATTGAGGTACCTATGCAGTGCTTGATTGGTGGAAAGATGTGTAGATGATCTTCTTCCAAGCGAAAGTTTGCGAATATTGACACACACGACCAGAGTAGCCGTTGCGTTCTCATATGTTGACGATATGGAAAGCTTAATTGGGTGCAGATGGTCGTTGTAGGTTGCAAAGCCGCGCGCACGGGCGACGGCAAGGATCCAGATTCGAAAGCGGCTAAGTCTTGCTTCATCACTCGGGCAACGACCTTTGAAGTTCAATGTTGCTAACAAAAGCTAGCACGTGCTCACGCCTTCACGCGTTTCCACACACATCATACAAGCGATTCTCTTACGCGTCTACAAACTACCCCACCTCCTCCCGTCACTTGCTTCAACCGTCGACTATGGCGAAATCCAAAGATTCTTTGAGGCTTGAGCTAGACAGGGTGATCGCGTGCCGTTACCCTGCCTCGCTGGTGGTGAGTTACAATTCCATGTATTGCGTCACTGCCACGTGAAGATAAGATGAAGTCGCACAATACTTATCGCGAATATAGAATCTGGCAAAACACCTTGCTGCTGCAGATGCCTTGAATATTCGTGCTTCTATCAGTGAACGGGCGCCTTGTGAAGTGGACAAGCTTGCCTCTGTTGTTGCTGCAGCTCTACCTCTCTGGCAATATACCATCGACATCCTCAAGTCTCTCTGTAAGTAAAGGAACATCATGAAGACTTCATCTCTACGATCATGGTTTTCTAATATCCCAACTTCTGGCCAGCACACTCTCCAGAGTTCAGTACGCATCTTCTCATCCGCGAGCCCACCCTCCTTGATGCGTTGCTTCACAAAGCAATTGCGTCCCAAAATGCCTTCGAGGAATACGCCCATCTTTGCATCACACTCCTTTCCCGTCGACTACCTGATTCAATTCCACTTCCCGCGAGCGCCCAGTCTTTTTTTCTTCGTGTCTTTGAACACAGTACCGCCTCGGGGAGCTTGGATGGAAAATTAAGGGCTCTGTATTCTATGCTCAATGGTGCTTGCGTCGGACTCATTGGTCTTCTTCCGTTCCAAACACGCCAGGAATTTGACGAAAAATTATGCTCCATATTGTCGTCGCGCGATATTGGCCAGAGTTCTATATCAATGCTATGGTGTTTTGGGCTTGCCATTCTGGCCGAGCACCCGGGCGCCTTCTGCGACGATTCGAACGACGGTAGAAGCTTGATCGCAACAGGATTGGAATGGAGAACCAAAGCAGGCAGAAAGATCTTCGAACACGGTCACAAAACAGTCAATCTTGCGTACCTGAATGTTTTGTGGGCTACAAAAGGTGGTGTCGGCGTTGCGGATGACGAAGCAATAGAGGCTATTCGAATCGCTAGCCGCACGCTGCAGTTCGTTGAGCAGCAGACACGAGAAGCGTGGCCACTCTCAGACCCGAGAGCATCTCATATATTTGCCAAGCTGCCTTCCAAATTACTACACACAGAAATTGACGCCGTCGTTCGACTCGAAGCGTTGCGCTTCTATGCTCTTGTTGCAGAAAGGAACAAGATCCCTCCAGGACTAGTAGACGAGTATGCAAAATCTATCGCGAGAACATGCTCTGTGGCAGATACACATGCATTGAAGGAGTGTCTGTCGATGTCATTGCCGAGCTTTGCTGTAAGCCCATGTTCCTGAATGACCTGTCATACGATCTAATGGAGTGCAGGCCCAATTACAGGAATCGAACCTACGCTTTCTGCTTAAGAATATACTCCAATCGAGCAGTGCATCTACTCCGGCTTTATGCATGGAGAATACCAGGGTACTGTGCGACGAGCTGGTATCAATCAATGCGCAGTTTCCACAATTCCGATCACAAATGATTGCTGCGCTGTGCTCATCTGATGTGGAACCTATGCTCCAAGAATTTCTTGGAATCGAGGTTTCCGGGCACAACGAGCTCCAACCGTGCCAGTCCTACATAGATGGAGTCCGTCGGTCTTTGATTGCATCCATCATCTCGATGATATTAGCTGCAGCCTTAGCTCCGGGCCCATCGAAGATTACGCTACCGTATGCAGTGACCCTCGCCCTATTAAAAAAGCAGCAGCATCTTCCTGCAGTTCTGAGCCAGTGCAACCATCCTGCTCGCTTCAATAATGTCGCACCGGTATCACTCTTTCAACAAGAATGTACTCCTCTCACAGGCGCTCATCTCCAGGACTGGAAGGAACGCCTCAAGTCCGAGCTGGCACATCAGAATCACTTTCAGCAGGACTCTGTTGTTCGCTCTGTGGTCCAAATATGTCATGATCTCGAAAGCCGCTGCGAAACCGTTGAGGCTCCGCTCCGACAGGAGAGGGAGAAATCTAGCCAACTTACCAGCGAGGTGGCATCTTTGCAGCAAAGAGTCGAGTCGCTCGAGGAACAGCGTTGGGAAGATGAACAGCATATTGCTGCGCTTGATGCTGATTATGAACGATGTGAAAAAGAGAAGGACCAGATCAATGCTGATTTCCTACGCTTGAAGGATGAGTCTGCAGTCGCCAACGAAAAAGCATCTGAGACAATGCATGCAGCTCGCGTCAAATACGATAACATGAAAACAAAACTTCGCTCTTCCATATTGGAATACAAAGAGAGCGCGCAAGCTCGAGAACTTGAGGCTGGAGATCTTCGGAGGGAGATCTCAACGCTCTCCGACCAACTCCACGAGAACGGGCAAGCTGGGGAAATCATGGCAGAAGACCTTCGGAAGGAGATCTCAATACTCTCGCATCAACTCCGTGAGAACGAGTTGAACCGACAAAGACTAGTCGAAGAAGCCGAGACTCTCAAAAGTAATCTGAACGATATGCAAGCTAAGCAAGAAATAGATCAGCAAGCAAGAAACCAGCAAGATGCCGCGATATCCTCTCTAGAGGGGGAGCTCAGCGATTTGCAAAACCAGTTGAAAGAAAAAGAGTCGGAACTGACAGCTGTGACTGACCAACTGAGCAATCTCCAAACCGACCATCACCAGCTTGCGCAATCCTCTGAAGCGAACCTCGTACAACTAGAAAAACAGTACGAAGACAATCTAAGAGCAGCAGCAGCAAAAGCCGAGAACGAATATGAGCAGTTGAGGGAAGAACTCATCGAAGTCACAAACATACAAGAAGCAACAGAAGAAGCCCGCGAGAAACTGCAAACCGATCTCCAAAAACTGCAAAACACAGTCATCCCCCTCCTCCACAAGCAGATCCGCGACCTGACGGCAGAATCCTCGCACAAAGACGCCGAACTCGACGTCCTAACCGCAGAATTCGACGAACTCAAGCAATGGAGAAACCGCATGTTCGCCACAATGGGCATCCCCCCCGAAAATTACACCCCAGACAACCGCGCCGCCCCACGCTCCTCCTCCTCCCACCGCCGCCGCCGCAAATCCGCCGCCGTCGACCCAGCAGCAGCAGCAGCTCCAGACCCGCACCCCACCATCTCCGCCACAGCAATAGAAAACATCGCAAATGCATCCTTCACCTCCACCTCTTCTTCGTCTTCCCCGTTAGCCTCGCCACCATCCCAACCCCCCACCAACAATAACAACGACGACGACGACGACGACGAAGGCGGCTCAACACCCAAACGCCCACGCACCCGCACCTCCTTCAAAGTCCCAGCCATGCACACCCCATACAGCAGCAAACCCCACGCCCTCCTCCTTCCATCTAAATCCTCCTCCTCGACTTCGTCGAAGAAGAAGATGGAAAGACCATCCCCGAATAAACGAGCGGCGCTACGACCAGTCTCGCCGAATCGCAGACACACGACTGTTGGCTTCGCCGTCCCGGATGTCGTAGATGCGGGGCAGAATCTGCCGGTGAGGAAGCGGAGGGGGAGTTTGATGAAGGAGGATGATGCTGATGGGGAGCTTGGGTTGGTGATGGAGTTTGATATGAATGGGGGTTTGGCGGGGAACGCTGGGGATGGTGGGGGTGGTGAGGAGGAGGATGAGACTGTGACGGAGTTGTGAGGATGTTGCGCGGGGGTGGGGAAGGAATGATGATATGGTTTCGCAATTTGGTTGGGGAGGGAAAGATGTTTTGATACCCTTGTTTTTCTTTTCCATCTTTTTCTATAAATCTTTTTTTTGTTCATATACTACATGTAGCAATCATATATCGCCATCATATTATATGAAGGCCCCATTATACCATGTAATGCACAAGCTTGCTATTCCTCGTTCAAGGCCTCTAAACTAATCTAATGATGAGAAAGCAAGCCAAAACACAGGAAAGGAGAAACAGAAAAAGCACATCACACTTGGAATGCTCGTTAAATGGATTCACCTGATACGCAAAAAGGGCACAGTATATTGAAAGCAAGGTATTGATTAACTCATTAGACTATAATATAATACAATCATGTTCCTCAGAATCGTTCCATAGCTTGGTGTTCAAAGGAAACTCATTAACGCTCATGTGGCAGATCTGTAATCATGCCGGGATATCATCGTTTGATCACGTTTCTCTGTCCCAGTGATCATTGGGCAGTTTAGATTCCACCAGTCTTGTTGCCGCCGAAGGTCTTGGATCCATCCAAGTTGGAGTCAACACGGGGATCGGCCTTGTTCAAGAGGTTGCTGGAGTGAGGGCCAGCGGTGTCGGGAGCAGGTCCAGGGCCGCCGTGGGTGGTGTGGCCGGTCAAGCCGGAAGTTCCGTGAGTGTTGCTGCCGGTCAAACCGGAGGAACCGTGAGTGTTGCCAGTGAGGCCGGAAGAGCCGTGAGTACCTCCAATACCAGTGCCACCGACACCAGTGTGGGTGTTACCGGTTAGACCGGAGCCGTGGGTGTTGCTGCCGGTCAAGCCAGAAGAACCGTGAGTTCCTCCGATGCCAGTTGAGCCAACACCAGTGTGGGTGTTGCCAGTCAGACCGGAGCCGTGAGTGTTGCTACCAGTCAAGCCGGAGCCGTGGGTGTTGCTGCCGGTGAGACCAGAGCTGTGGGTGTTGCCGGTCAGACCGGAGCCGTGAGTGTTGGAGCCAGTGACACCAGTGTGGCCAACGCCAGAGTTGCCGTAAGCACCGTGGTTGTCAGAGTCTACGCGGGGGTCGACCTTGTTGGCCAAACGGCTGTTGTGAGGACCGGTTGGGTCAGAGCCAGCAGTGCCGGTCATGCCGTTGTTGGGGTGGCCTCCAGTGGAAGCAGTGTTTCCGTGTCCGCCTGTTGAAGTCAATATACACTCATCAAGGTAATGGAAGAGAAAGAGACTTACCAACGCGGTCAGAGTCGACGCGGGGGTCCATCTGGTTCATAGCACGACCGTTGTGAGGTCCAGTGGGGTCAGAGCCTAGATTGAAGGAGGGAAATGTCAGTGTGGTTCAAGTATGGATTGTTTGGAGTGAGCTAAACGTACCTCCATATCCGCCAGTAGACTTGGTGTTGCCAACGCCTCCGGGGATGTCGCTGTCGACGCGGGGATCGGCCTTGTTGGCCATGTGGGAGCTGTGAGGGCCCGAAGGATCACTGCTGTGCACGCCAGTGGTGCCAGTGGTACCGGTGTGGGTGCCAGTGGTGTGGGAAGAAGTGCCGGTGTGAGTGGTGTCCTTGTCCTTGTGGAGGACGTTCTCAACCTTGGCCTTGATCTTTTCCATAGCGCCAGACATGATTGTTGATGTGTGTGGGTTGGTTGGTTGGTTGGGAAATAGTAAAGTGGAAGAAAAGTTGAAAGACTTGGTAGTTGAAGTGGTTGGAGAGTGTGTGTTGTGGAAGAGGTCTTGGGAGCCGGAGAGGGGGAGATTTTATAGATGGAGTGAATGGCTCCTGCCTCTCTTACTTGGAAAGTACGTCATATCAGCAAGCAGTCGTACCCCGTTGAATTCAGGATGCCTGTTTGTTGTAAGACTACCGTGTCCATCAATCAGTCCACCATTCACACGGGCCTGGGAAGTGAGTGGCCACTAGGCAGGAAGAGGATCACACAAGATGCGGTACTCTGTCGTCATGATGGAGATGGCATTGGCGCATGGACGAATGCCCGTGAGTGAGTGAGCGGATTTACGGCATCGAAACTCGCTTTGTTTGGCCTTCGACAGATTGCGGCCAATTCGCACAGCACGAGATGTCGAGAACAAGGGGCCAGCATGCTCTCCACCCAAAGCCACGGGAAGATCCTTCAACTTGCGGCTAGACCCTGACTACGAATAGCTAGGCGGGAACGATATGCCTTGCTTGTGGCCGTGCAAGGCGGCTGCTAAACCAGAGAGTCTTGCCCGGGACGTCATAGCGGGGAAACGTCAAAGGCATGTGGAAGCTTTGACAGCGCAGCAGAAGCCTGCTTTAGGATTCATCCGCCTCGAGCCCATCGAGCGATCGGTACAGGCAAGCTAGCCGGGTCGAGCAATGTGTGGCGGTGGAATCAGGGAAAAAACTTGATGCTTCCCCGTCAGCTGAGGGCATACAAGTCTGGTCCTCTGCAAGGGCGAGCATCTCGAGCATCTAGATTCGCCTGGCAAAGACACGCATCGTTGCTTGCGGGGAATTGAGCGGAAAAGCCGTTGGCCATGACGCAATGTCAATTCTTGGATGAATGTGTGCTTTGCACAAGCAATGGATGAAGGAAATAAAGATTGAAACTATTCCAGGAACGCGGGGTCTGGCGTCATGAAGTGGAGAAGAGGACGCGTATGAAGAAGGGTGGACAGAATGAGTTCGCGAAATTCCGATCGTTCCGACCCAACCACGTGCAGACAGGTAGCCTCCGCCTAGTACACCTGGGAGCAGTGGAGGAGTGTCCCTCTTCTTACCACGCAGGTGCTCGCACATCCTGCACCGTCGGCACAGTCCATAATGTGGCGGTGATAAGGCTTTTGCGATTTCCATGGGCGATCGCGCCTTCGACCATGTTTCGCGCCATGGGCAATTTGTCCAAATTCCGGGTTTTCGGGCCATGGTGAAATTATGACGTAGCCCGAAACGGCAACTCCCATCACCTCCCACCCTGCCACCTCGCTCCCCTTGCCTGCCTGCTTGTTTGCCTGCCGGCTTGCTTGATCGTCAACCTCAAACTTTGTCCGAATCATTTCTCCACGAGTCACACATCTCGGTCCTTCTTACGCCAACTCGCCCTAATCCCTCTTCACTCTCCGCCCGACTGAAGCCATCGTCATGTCTGAGAAGGTCAAGGAAGTGGCCGCTGAAGAGCTGCACCAAGCCAAGGTCATAGCCGTCGATGCTGTCCGTTCCGGCGCCTACCTCTATCCTCTTAAGGTACCCTATGGTCTCGTCGTGCTCAATGCCCAATATCTTCTGACTGCCATCAGGGCATCTACTACTTCGCGACGCACAAGGCGCTATGGAAGCCTCTCCTAAACAAACTCCTGCCAACCGCCTCCCTCGGCGTAGGAGTAACCGCTCTCATGTTTGCTGTCACCTATGTGCCCCAAGCTGCCGTCTTGACTCTCGTGAACGGTCCTCTCGCCATCCTCACCACTGTGCTCCTTGTGCTCTCTGAGTCTTCCACCATCTTTTCCGTGCTGTCCAAGAACTTCCTCATCGATGATGCCCTGATTGATACCTTCGATGGCACTCTCATGACGCGCAACCTGACGACTCTCGTCGCCACCGATCGCCAGATCAAGAGCAGCAGTGACCCCATTGCCCGCATGGGCAAGATTGCCAGGAAGCCCTTTGAGCGATTCACCCCCAAGGCCATCATTAGGTACTTCCTGTACCTCCCTTTGAACATGATTCCTATCGTTGGCACTGTCATGTTTGTCATTCTGCAGGGCAAGCGTTTTGGCCCAACGGCCCATGCACGCTACTTCCAACTCAAGCAGATGAAGAAGAGGGAACGGGAAGAATTCATTTCCGCCAGGAAGGCTGCCTACACCAGGTAAGTCAACGTACCCACATTCCGATCCCGGATGTTGTGCACACTTTTGCCCCTTGCATTGCGTACTGTATAATCCTGTCCAAACATTTGCTGACTCTGCTTCCAGCTTCGGTGTCCCGGCCGTCCTCCTCGAATTCATCCCTCTCGTCGGCATCTTCTTCACCTTCACCAACACTGTTGGTGCTGCTCTGTGGGCTGCCGACATGGAAGGCAAGAGTGGAAAATCCGCAGACACCACTGCACCCAACCTGCGCCACCAAGCCGAGTTGGCTAAGAAGTCAGAGTAAGAGGGCCACGAAACACAGATATCAAATTTCATGCCTTCCTACTCTCCTTCCTTGCCTCGGATATCAAATACACACTTGTTGCAACAGAAGTTTCTTCAGGTCTATCAATGCTGACCTTTCTTGCGTATGAGAGAACGAGCCAATGGATTTGAGTCGAATATGAACCATCAATCTTCCCGGATATCCCCACCAATAGCTCGTCAAGACAAGGCTGTTCAAGCTTCTTTCCATGTGCCGCAGGCGAAGTACAAGTATAGTGTACGATACAGACCATATAGGCGCATCAGATATCCATGGAAGCCCCCTTGGGCAAAAGGGTACAGGCTGGGATGGTGCTAGTCTTGTACATTCCAGTGTGGAAGTACTTCCCTCCGCACGGGACGACCTGCTGTGCCTTTGCTTACGAATCATGTGAGATGTGGGTTTGGGTGGGCTTTTGGCGCGGAGGAATGACCGAGTGTGTGACTTGTAATATTAATACATTGTTGATCCTGCTTCCCTTGGTATTCTTTGCAATGCTGATCCGTGGTCTTTTGTGTTTGCCAGTAACGTTTTGCAATCCCGCACTTTACTGCAGGACGGAATGGATTGCGGTACAATGGATAATAATGCAGTAGATTGAAATCTTTCATGTTGACATGCCGTCTTCTATACACGAGTGTTAAATACCCCTTCCTTTCCCTTATCAAAACAAATCGTAGTGAGTGAGGGGGGTTGTTGAATCCCCCACCCAAATATGAAAAACCCCTTGCCGCCTCAAAAAAATCCGTAAAGCATCCCTCCTACACGACCTTGACCTCCCCGTTGACAGCTGCGGCCCCAACAACCTCACTGCGCTTGGCCGCCCGCTTCTTGAGCACATTCTCGATGAAGGCCTCACCGGCTTTGTAGCTCGAGCGAACGAGGGGCCCGGAAGCGCAGTACAAGAACCCCATGTCGAGGGCGCGCTGGCGCCATTCTTCGAACTTGTCCGGCGTGATGTAAGAAGTGACAGCCATGTGGCGGCGCGTGGGACGCATGTATTGGCCAAAGGTGACGACGTCGACTTGGTTTTTGCGGAGTTCTGTTGACGATGAAGGGTTAGAAACAAGGTTTACGCGTGTGATGGGGAGGGAAAGAGAAGGGGGATGAACATACCACGCAGAGCATCCAAGATCTGGTCGTCCGTCTCGCCCAGTCCAAGCATGATGCTCGTCTTGGTGATGAGGTCTGGCGTCGTCTCCTTGGCTACACGCAGGACCTCTAGACTGTTCCGGAACGTCGCGCGCCTGTCTCGCACAAACGGCGTGAGGGCTTCCACGGTTTCGATGTTGTGCGCAAACACATCCATGCCGGAGCGCGCCACGACCTTGACCATGTCCATGTCGCCCCAGAAGTCGCCCGTCAGTGTTTCGACGAGCATCTGCGGCGCCTTTTGCTTGATCTTGATAACGGTTTCCGCCCAGTGGTGCGCGCCGCCGTCGGAAAGGTCGTCTCGGTCTACAGCTGTCAAGACGACGTAGCCCAACCCCCACCTCTTGAGCGCTTCGGCTGTGTTCTCCGGCTCGTGCGGGTCCAAGGGAGCAGGTGTCCGAGAGGTTTTGACTGAGCAGAAGCGGCACCCTCTTGTGCATGTGTCGCCCATGAGCATTATGGTTGCGGTTGCGGCGCTCTTGGAACTACCGCCCCAGCAGTCGTTGATGTTGGGACACCGCGCTTCCTCGCATACTGTGTGTAGGTTCAACCCTCGGAGATCGTTCTTGATTTTCTTGTAATTCTCGTTGCCGGAGGGGATGGGGGTCTTGAGCCATTCTGGTAACCGGGTGATTGTTTTTTTGCGGCCTTCGGGGCCGACGGTTGCGGTTTTGATTTCGTAGGCATCTGCAGCGGGGAGGGGTGCATTGGGATTCACAAAGTCACCAAATGAGGGTCCAGCATTGAGTTTATCGCGGAAGGTGGTTGTGGGACGATGTGACGAGGGGTTTTGCTGTGTCGGAGGTTGTTGGGATGGAGACGAGGAATCGATGGTAGTGGCGAACCTGCGGGCGCTTTGAGAGCGTGGTGCTACGGTTCGGGAGGCTGCTGTTTGAAGACCACCAGAGGAAAACAAGCAACGTGATCGTGAAAGTGGTGCAGCCATGGCGTATGCGTGCGGTCAGGGGAGAAATGAATGTAGATGTTGGGATCTGCTATGAAAAGGCGCAAGACATGGAGATAATCTTTAGCGGGATTCGACATTGAATGGATGGAGACTCCCGTGTTTAGCCGCACGAGCTAGCTATCCCCATTCAGGCTTCGCCCAAGACAAACAGTGCAAACACGGATTCCCACGCCCACTTTCCAGCATCCCTGCATGGGAGAGCAACCACCACGTTGTCCATTCACCACCTCTAATCCCATCCCATCCCTCTACGCTTGCGCACACCTCCGCCTTCTCGAACGCCGGACTCCAAACGACACGACCGCACCGGAAATCTGCGCTTGCATTGATTGCATTGCCTCGGCATTGGGAATAAGACCACGTTGGCTACAATAAGAGAGGGAACCAAATACATTTCGATTTGAGCGAGGGCGAGCGCCGGACGCCTAAACTCGATCACCACCACCATGGACAAGAAACACGAGGATGTTGGCGGTGTCGCGCAGATTGACAAGACATCTGTCTTCCAGGAAGGTAGGGCGATATCACACCTCCGATAATAATGGCGGGGGAAAACAGGAAGCTATTCAGACAATGAGGGAAAATGCTGACATGAAGATGCAGCCCGAGTATTCAGTGCAAGCCCAATCTCGCCGCGGAAATGCAGAGTGGTATGTTTTGAGAAGCATTTGGAATGTAACTTCTGGCAAGCTTACCCGTCTGTCAGATATTGACCAAGTTGGCCCTACTACTCTTCACGGGGGAGAACTGGGGTAGACAGGAGGCCACCACCTTATTTTTTGGCATCTCGAAGCTTTTCCAGAACAAGGATGCCTCGCTCCGCCAAATGGTGTATCTGGTCATCAAGGAACTCGCTGGTTCCGCCGACGACGTGATCATGGTCACCGCCTCCATCATGAAGGACACCTCCGTAGGCAGCGATGTCGTATACCGGCCCAATGCCATCCGTGCTCTCTGCCGAGTCATTGACGCTTCCACCGTGCAAGCTATCGAACGTCTCGTCAAGACATGTATAGTCGACAAGAACCCCTCGGTTTCCTCCGCCGCTCTCGTCTCCTCATATCACCTGCTCCCCGTCGCAAAGGATGTTGTCCGGAGGTGGCAGTCAGAAGCCGCGGAGGCAGCTGCAGGAAGCAAGTCTGGAAGTGGCTTTTTGGGTGGATTCGGAGGTAGCTCGCACACGGCGTTGCAGGCGAGCAGCAATTATATGACACAGTACCACGCCATTGGATTGCTGTACCAAATGAGATCCGGAGACCGAATGAGCTTGGTCAAGATGGTGCAGCAGTACTCGAAGCCGGGAGAGGTTAAGAGCCCTGCCGCTACTATTCTGCTAGTGAGGCTGGCTGCAAAGCTTGCTGAGGAAGACCCCAATCTGCGCAAGCCTATGATGCAATTGTTGGACGGATGGTTGCGCCACAAGGCCGAAATGGTGAACTTCGAAGCGGCCAAAGCCATCTGCGACATGCGCGATGTCACTGATGCCGAGCTGGTTCAGGCCGTACATGTTTTGCAGCTTTTCCTCACTTCTCCTCGCGCCGTCACCAAATTCGCTGCCCTGAGGATTCTGTCCAAGATGGCTTCGTTCAAGCCAGATGCCGTCCGAACTTGCAACCAAGACATTGAATCCCTCATCACCAATACCAACCGTAGCATTGCCACATTCGCTATTACCACCCTCCTGAAGACAGGAAACGAGTCTTCCGTGGACAGATTGATGAAGCAGATCACCGGGTTCATGGCCGAAATCACTGATGAGTTCAAGGTCACTATCGTAGAGGCTGTGCGAACCCTCGCTCTCAAATTCAAGGCGAAACAGTCTGGCTTCCTTGCTTTCCTCAGCGGCATCCTCCGCGACGAGGGAGGTTACGAATTTAAGCGATCAGTCGTCGAAGCCATTATGGATCTTATTCGCTTTGTGCCAGAGGCAAAAGAAGACGCTCTCGCTACTCTCTGCGAGTTCATTGAAGATTGCGAGTTCACCAAGCTGGCGGTCAGGATCTTGTTTGTGCTCGGTCGCGAAGGACCTTCCACCCCGCATCCCACCAAATACATCAGATACATCTACAACCGTGTAGTATTGGAAAACGCCATTGTGCGTGCCGCCGCCACTTCTGCTCTGGCTAAATTTGGCGTCGGCCAGAAGGACCCCGAAATCAAGAAATCCGTCCACGTCCTTTTGACCCGTTGTCTCGATGATGTCGATGACGAAGTCCGAGACCGTGCTGCCTTGAATCTGCGTTTGATGGATACAGAGGACGATGTTGCTATCAGCTTTGTGCGCAACGATTCGATGTATTCTTTACCCGTTCTCGAGCACCAGCTGGCTTTGTATGTAAGCTCCGACTCTCGCGATACCTTCGAATCCGCATTCGACATCTCCAAGATCCCTAGCGTGTCCAGGGAACAGGCCGATGCGGCAGACCTTACGAAGAAGACCGAAGGTACCACCCCTACAATCAAGGCTCCCAGTGCCGCAAAGGCGCCCTCAAAGACTGGTGCCGATGCGGCTGCTTCAGCGTCGGCGGCCGCACAAAAATACGCGGAGGAACTGCAGAAGATACCCGAGTTGGCGGCGCATGGCGGCGTACTCAAATCCAGCGCCCCTGTGGAGCTTACCGAGCCCGAAACCGAATACGTCGTCACCGCTATCAAGCATATCTTCAAAGATCACATTGTCCTCCAGTACGACGTCAAGAATACTCTTCCGGACACTGTTCTTCTGGACGTGGAAATGGTCGTCAGCCCAGAAGAGGACGAGGATGTGCAGCTCGAGGAAGAGTTCATCATTCCCGCCCCGCGACTAAACACTAATGAGCCCGGTACCATCTACGTTTCATTCAAGCGCCTGGAGACCGAGTCGCAATTCATTGCTGCGTCATTCACAAACGTGCTCAAATTCACAAGCAAGGAAATCGACCCAAGCACCAACGAACCCGAAGAAGGCGAAGGTTACCCCGACGAATACCAAGTAGAGGACCTTGATCTTAATGGCGCGGACTATGTCGTCCCCGCATACGCAGGCAGCTTCGAAAACGTGTGGGAACAATCAAACGGCGAGTCCGCGACAGAGACGTTGCAATTGAGCAACATGAAGAGCATAGCAGGCAAGTTGATCCTCCCAACATCAGATCTTACATTAATGCTAACAATATTGCAGATGCCACCGAACAGCTGATCAAGACCCTCTCCCTCCAACCCCTCGACGGCACAGACGTCCCGCTCAACAGCTCGACTCACACACTCAAACTGTACGGCAAGACCATAACCGGTGGTAAAGTTGCCGGTATGGTGCGGATGGCTTTCAGCGCAAAGACTGGCGTTACTATGAAGATTGAGGCAAGGAGTGAGGAAGAGGGCGTGGCGGCGCTGGTTGTGGGTAGTGTAGCATAATAGTCTTGTAGGGATTTGCGAGGTCTTTTTATTTTTGGTTTTCTCTCGAGGTTAGACAGAAACTATTTGTTGTTGGCGCGTCGATCCAGAAAACGTCCAGAGTGGTGTGGAATGCCATAAAATGAGACATGATTCTTCTTTACTTTTACTGTGTTACCTTGTCCTCACTTGATGATTGGAATGTATCAAAACTAAACACATGCATATGAAAGATAGCCTATCCACAGGTCCAGGGGCGAAGAGGTAAGTTTTCCCCAAAGACATTTCCTCCCTTCCCATTCAATCCTTCCATGTACATAAATACATATGCATCAGGTCATACAGGCCCCACACCTAGCATTCGCTCCAATCCGCATCGGCGGCCTTGAATCCCTAGCAGATGCGATCCGTCCCTCCGGCCTCCTCCCACCGAGGTTTCCGTCGCTGCTTGGTCCATGCCGTCCCTGGCCATGCATGCCCCCCTGATAGCTGTCTCGTGGCGGCGGCATGTTGGCGGGGCGGTTATACGCTACGGAGGAAGGAGCACGGTAAGGGGAGGCGCGAGCGGCGGCCCAGGTATCGAGCGAGAAGAGAGTTGCGAAGTAGAGCGCTATGAAGGAGAAGATGGGGGAGGGTTTGCTGGGTGGTAAGTGTGTTAGCCTAACAGGTTGATAAATAGGGAGGGTTTACGGGGCTCTGCTTACCTGTCTGAAGACATGTTTGGCGTTTTTTTTCTTTGCCCTTCGGGGTTTGTTTTCGGGAGGGGAATGAGTGTGGGTCTCTGGTTTCTCCGTCTTCTTCTTGTTTCTCTTTTCGTGAGTGAGGTTTGGGAGACGGCTGTGTCGTTGAGGTTGATATGTGATATGCGTGGTTGCCTGTGGACGCCTTATTCAGGCTTAGTCCGGGTCGATCCTGAGTTCGCTCTATAGGGCTCGCGCTAAGCTAGCAAGCGGTGCGCATCCGACCGGGATCAATTGTACGCCTGTGCGGTGTACCTTGGGGAAATTTTTCTGTGGAAACTTTACCAGCACGTCTTGCGCAAGCCGCCACAGCTTTTCTGGTTTTGATGACTGTTGTACAGGACGTCTTGTGGTTTATCGATCTGTCACTTGCCAGGTAAAAGACTTGAAAAAGTCAGAAGTGGACCTGGAGAGTTGTGTTATTGTACGTAACTTTGCCTGAAAAGAATGGCTAGGCTGTCAGAGCCGAGGAAGGGCAGTAGCCAGGTTCGTTTTGGCATCATCTATAACCATCACTACGCTATTGATCAAAGTGCTGACATCTTTGCAGAAACGCAGACATTCTGGTGCGGAAAAGGCTGCTGAAGATCCTTCCGTTTTTGACGGACCATCAGACGACGCCCAAATGGATGAGAGGAGCGGGCCGCCAGCGAAGAAGAGACGGAGCGAGCCGAAATCAGCTGCTGGTGAGAATGGCGATTCGGGTGAACTAGAGACGTCGAAACCTTCTGCCTTGTTTACACCAAGAGCGGGGAGGAAGTGGACGTTGAGTATGGCTGTAGCCGGCAGCATCATAGCCAAGTGAGTCTTCTCTCACCATCTTCATCAAATCGCGTGGTCACCAAAAATGAACTGACCCGAGTCTGTAGCGTTGTGGAACCAAAATTCAAGACGATGTTGGCTGGACGCATTGCGCGTATGGCTGCTGTGTTCTGCGTCGATGAGGTTGTGGTTTTTGACGATGACCCAACTAACATCCCCAAATACATCGACCCCTACTACAAGAAAGGAAAGAAGACCAAAGCGCAAGTTCTGGAATCCATTGTCGAAAACGACGAGCCATGGCAAAACCCCGATCAATTCCTTTTCCATGTTTTGAGCTACGCGGAGTGTCCACCACATCTTCGAATGGACCGCGAAAATCCCAGCGCAAATCTATTCCCCTTCCACCAGAACCTTCAATGGGCAGGCCAGTTACCTAGCTTGGACATGCCGCATCATTTAAAGAGTCACGAGTGGTGCCGATACCGGGAAGGTGTCACGCTCGGCCCAGCAAAGTCGGGGAAATCGAAACAAGCATATACCTACGTGAAGTGTGGCCTTCCATTCCCTATCAGAATACCGAATGAAGTCCCGCCATCCATGCGTATCACACTCAAATTTACGGACCCAAATCAACCTCGCTCATGGCCGCACTTGAGTCAGCAAGAGTGTGAGAATTTGGAGGTCGAGGCCGTGTCACCTGCGGCACCGCGTGAAGAAGAAGGTTATTATTGGGGCTATCAAGTTCGCCGCGCCGCGAGCCTGTCGGACGTCTTCACAGAGCCTGGATTTCAAGGTGGCTACGACGTCTCAATTGGCACATCAGAGCGCGGCGCGCCGCTGAACGCTGTTTTACCAAAGCACCTCGTACCGAGCAATACGAAACGAGACGGCAATGTTGCGCAGCTGCCTTCGGAGTTCAACCATCTCCTCATTGTCTTCGGTGGGGTTGCAGGTCTGGAACCAGCTGTAGCTACGGACCCAGAATTCAGCAAAGCTGGTCTCACAAAGGAGACAGCTCACGAAGCATTCGATGCATGGGTCAATTTGGTGCAAGGTCAAGGAAGTAGGACTATCAGGACAGAGGAGGCTGTGGAGTTTGGATTGTTTGGCATCAAGAGCTATGTGGACTCGATGTATGACCGGCATACGTGAGGATTTCATAGGGATGCAATATGGCACGGAGGATTGCTACCGACCTTTTGCTTATTGTCAGTTCAACTGATGAACTGCTTAGTAGGAAGCTGTTTGGATGCGAGAGGTGTAAACTTCTGGTACTAAGTATACATGTCTACTCAGTACATATGTACCCACTGTATCAACACGACCATTGATCACCGTCCGACGCCGATGCCGATGCTCCGCGATCTCCGCTAAAAGATATCCACCTTTCCATCGCTCGGCAACGAGACATACCTAAAGTCCATCGCCGCCGGCGGTAACAAAGTTTTTGACATGAATTCGATCTTGCATTCCACGTGACTGGGAGGGATCAGTGTATGCGACATCAATTACGCGGCTAATTTCGCCTTTTACATTCACAATGCTGCCCGGGATTCTGCTTGCTGTACCAATGATATTGGACTTTGTTGTGGGTTGCGGAGTTTTCGTCATACAAAACGATGCTAACCCCGTTCTTAACCACGCCGTTAGCCGATGGGAGTCGCCTTAGATCCAAAAGCGAAATTCGCCTTCATGATGTGGGATCTACACCGTGCATCCAAGTTCATACATATTAACTGCGCGCCCGACCTTACCACCTTGATCATGTGCGTTGTCGAAGGCAAACAAGTTTGAACAATACACAACTTTTAATTTTAATTCGTCCTTCCCTTCAAGTTTGTGCGCAGTTTCACACGAAAAGTGTGTGACCACCAACGTTAAACATTAACAACACTTCTGCATTTGCTTCTTTACCCCTCTTCGTAACTTACCGCAGCCCATGGCCGACCTACGACGAACCCGGTCTGGTAATTCTGCGAGATCGCGGTCGCGGTCGCGATCAAGTCAAACCAGCAATCCACCGTTGCATCGCTTGCTTTCCAGCCAGTTCCCCGATGATGTCTCGGTTTATCACCAGGAAGATGGAGAAGGCGTCTATGTGGACGAGGATGCAGCGTCGATACACCAGTCGGAAACAGAAAGGCGGATGACCCAGAGCGACGGCTTTAGCTTTTCCGAAACCGAGTCTGCGGAAAAGGCCGAGCCTGAGCGGATACACACTCTCACCGGAGAAGACACGATAGAAGAGACCGCAGAAGATACAACCGCCGAACAAGACATCGAAGCACGGGCCGTGGCGTTAGAAAAGACAAAATCCGCCAGATCTACTAGAGATCCGAATCTGGTATGTTCTGAACCTCGCTCTCATTTGGCATGCACTGACTCGATCAGATAACGTGGGAAGGCGATGACGATCCAAAGAATCCCAAGAACTGGTCATTCCGAAGGAAGTGGGCAGCCTGTCTTATCGTATCCTGCTTCACTTTCGTGTCTCCTGTGTCGTCGTCGATCATTTCACCCGCGCTGCCCAACATCAGTGAGGAATTCGGCATCACTGATGAAGTCCAAGGACAGCTTACACTCTCAATATTCGTGTTAGCGTACGCGATCGGTCCTCTCTTTCTTGGGCCCCTCTCCGAGATATACGGTCGAGTGCTCGTCCTTCAGCTTTCCAACTTGTTTTATCTTGCGTGGAACCTTGGATGTGGCTTTGCACAATCTTCTGGCCAGCTGATGGCGTTTCGTTTCATGAGTGGATTGGGCGGCTCAGCACCGTTGGCTATTGGTGGAGGAATGCTCAGTGATCTGTTTCACGCGGAACAGCGAGGCAAGGCGATTTCTATCTATTCGCTTGCGCCTCTTCTAGGTCCTGCGATAGGACCCATCGCGGGAGGGTATATTGTCGCAGGTACAACGTGGCGATGGTGCTTTTGGTCGACATCCATTTTCTGTGCAGTCGTGCAGTGTTTTGGATATTTCCTATTACAGGAAACCTATGCGTACGTACAACTCCAAGCACCGCTATATCTAGTGAGGTGATGTCACACAACCTCGATCACCTCCCCCCGATAGATTGTGAGTTAGTTGGAAGGAATTAACTGACTCTGTGCCTGTAGACCCAAGCTGCTGGCCTGGAAGCGTGATGAACTCCGGAAAGAGACTGGCAACGCAGCTCTTCACACCGAACACGATAGCGCCGAGAAAACCCTGGTCAATACCCTCCGCATTGCACTAAAGCGACCCTTCGTCTTGCTATTCACTCAACCCATCGTACAAGTCCTTGCTTGTTACATGGCGTACATCTATGGCCTCATGTATCTCATCCTATCCACCTTCCCCGTACTCTGGACAACCCGATATCACCAATCCTCAGGCACAGGGGCCCTAAACTTCATCGCCATGGGCCTTGGTTTCTTCATCGGCTCGCAAACCTGCGCCCCGCTAATGGACCGCATCTACAGCCGCCTCAAACGCCGCAACAACGGCGTCGGCAAGCCAGAATTCCGCGTCCCCATGATGGTCCCCGGATCCTTCCTCGTACCCATTGGGCTCTTCTGGTATGGGTGGAGTGCGCAAACAACCGCACACTGGATCCTGCCAGATATCGGCGCGGTCGTGTTTTGTACCGGCAGCATCGTCGGGTTCCAGTGCATCCAGACGTATATCGTCGACGCCTATACGCGGTATGCTGCGAGCGCGATTGCGGCGGCCACCGTGCTAAGGAGCTTGGCTGGGTTCGCGTTTCCGCTTTTCGCGCCTTATATGTACCAGAAGCTGGATTATGGGTGGGGGAATAGTCTGCTTGGCTTCGTTTCGTTGGCGTTGGGCATCCCGGCGCCCATCTTGCTGTGGAAATATGGAGCGGTTCTGAGGGCGAAGAGTAAGTTTGCTGCGGGAGGCTGAGATGAGCGCATCCAGGGTCGTTTTTGCATTTAGCGTTTAATCTGTATTATTGAGCGGTTTGAGCGCATTCGCTGTCATGTATACATTCATTGCGCGTTGAAAGCGTTGGCAAAAAAAAAAAAGACATGTTAGCTTTGTTTATTCTCAGACCAATTGAACTTTCTACGAATAGATAGATCTTTCAGTTCGTATATAACAGAATCCGGATTGAGTCGACATGTGAGACCTTTGTTGCGGAGATGCACTCTGTTCTTCTCGGTGAAAAGCAGTTTTGCGGATAGTCGTTAAGTGGAGTCATTCTATTTTGGTGAAACATTAAATGGTTCAATTATAAGACACGGTCAAGACCATGTACAGATCATGCAAAAAGCGAGATATTTTACATTCTCATCAAATATGTGTGTATAAAATCGAGCGAAACTCCAAGCGTAGAAGGTCAGCCCATCCTGATTGGATCGGTCATTCGATATGGTCCGAGCGTTTCCTCTGTTCTGTCATCACTCGAAAACAGCTCCCCAGACAACACACCCCACAACGACGTCAAACCATCCCGACGGTATAATTTGAACGAAACCTTGCGAATTACTGTTCCGATCGTACACCTGTGTCATTGAGATGTCGAACTGCATCTCCGGGGCGACCCGAGCCCTCAAGGCAGCGCGATTGCCCGTCCAAACCTCCGCGCGCCGAACCCTCGCATATACCAATGGTTGCAAATCGGATCTGGAAACAAAATGGAAGGCATCATGTATTATGCAGACGCAGGGATTGGGAGTGCAGGGCCAGAACAGAGCGTTCTCAAGCTCATCCCCGCGCTATAAGCTCAAGACAATTGAGCAGATCAAAACGAGAAACAAGGGTGGGGTATGCATACTCCCTCCGGATCTTCCCACGAATGTCCAATCGTGGGGAAGGTTCTGTCGATCATCGTTGTGGAAGCTGACTTGAATGTGTGTGATAGCCTTTCAACCTCACAGCTGCAATTCTACTCGTCGGTACCGGTGGCGGATTATGGGTATATTTCAGATCCGAAAAGGAGCGCATGGCGAGGAAGCGAATTGCGGAGTCAACCAAGGGTGTAGGCAAGCCAAAGGTCGGTGGACCGTTTGACTTGGTGGATCATGACGGAAATAAATTCACGCACGAAAATCTATTGGGCAAATACACACTGGTACGTCCAATGAGAACAAGAAGAATTGAAATCGACAATGCGTATGGCATATATCATACATAAGACTGGTTCTGACTCCATGACTCCGTGACTCTAGGTCTACTTCGGCTTCACACACTGCCCCGACATTTGCCCCGACGAACTCGACAAGATGTCTCTCATGTACGACAAGGTGCGCGAGCAATGCGGCAACGACGTCCTCCTTCCCATCATGATTACCTGCGATCCGGCGCGTGACAGCCCCAAGGTGTTGAAGGAGTACTTGAAGGAGTTTCATCCCGACATTGTGGGCTTGACCGGCGAATACGAGAAAATCAAGCAGACATGTAAGGAGTACAGGGTGTACTTTAGCACACCACCTCACGTCAAGGATGGCCAGGATTACTTGGTGGACCACAGTATCTACTTCTATCTGATGGGTATGTGCAATGCTTTTCTTGATTCATGCAACTTCGTCGTATAGTTTAGAGTACTAACAGATATACAGACCCAGAAGGTGATTTCGTTGAAGCCATCGGTCGCAACTTTACCGCAGCCCAGGCCGCAAGGATCATCTCTGATCACATCAAAGACTGGGATAAGCCGCTGAAGAAGGAAACACGATGGACATAAGAGACAACTCGTCTTTTGCATTATAAGAAATGTGTGTATAGTAGGCATATCGGCTTGTACGATTTCAGTTCCCTGGATGTCAGGGAATGGTCTGTATGAATATAGTGTACAACAACAATCATATACGATTGGCATTCGTGAAGGGCAATAATGTGGATTTCTCCATATCTTAAAATAGGCGCCGTTGTATGACAGCCCAGAACGGCTAGCGTCCCCACACTGAACATGGGGCAAAAAGCTTGTATCCTCTTACTGCAAAAGTGACATGCAACCATTGGGAAAATTGCATATGCGTGAGATGGTAAGGTGTGGCGATACTGTTTCTTATGCAGAATAGAGATTGATTCCGCGTTCTCCTTCACTATAATCGCTATTTGTACGACAATTCGGCCATCTATCATCAAGATCTTAACCCAAACTTCACAAAAGAATGCATGCTACACGACAGCAATGGCCTCAAGTCCCTTATAAAACTATATTACTACATATGGCAGAAATAATCGTAACTCATAATCATCAAAACACACTCATCATCATCAATGCAAGCATGAAGAACATCCAACGAACCTATCCAGGCCCTCTCCCAAAATCCTTCACCCCCAATCTCCTAATCTCATCATCATCCTGCTCCTGCTCCCGCGATCCTCTCCCCGCTCTCACCGCCTCAGAACTCAAAACCACACCCCCACTATCCCCCCTCGAAAGCGAAGTAGTACGAACAATACTCTCCTTCCCCTTCTCCAAGTCCCTACCTTCCCTCTGCTTCTCCTCCCCCGCACTCACTATCCCAACTACTCTCGCACCTCTACCTCTCAAGGAACTGAAAGAATCAAAGAAGCGTTTCCGGCGCCAGCCTGGCGTTGAGAAGTGGGCGGGACGCGGGGTCGCGACGTCGCAGGCCGAGTCTTCGGGGATACTGGGGAAGAAGCGGTGGGGAGCGGCGGATGCGGGGGCGGAGGTGGAGTTGAGCATGTGGCTTGCGAAGCGTTGGCGGTAGAAGCGGCGTTGGAGGGAGTTGAAGATATATTTGTTTCGGCGGTCTTGGGAGGGGTGCGAGGGGAGGGTGTATGACCGCCTACGCCAGAAGGATTTGCGGAACACTGTGGGTTGGGAGGTTAGGAACGTGCTTCTTTGGATGGCTGAAAGTGTGGTGGTGTGGTGTAGGAGGAGGTGTTGGGGATGGGGAGAGGACGGTTGGCTTACTGGGTCGTAGCGCTGCTGTGTTGACTGCGACGAGGGCTATGGACAGCTCGCGGGCTCCCCAGCGAGCGATAATGCTGACTGTTATGTCCGGCACGACGGTGAGGGATACACGTGTGATGCATGCGGCCATGACGAAAATCCCGGATGCGAGAAGGACGAAGACACCTATCCGTCGGTGCAGTGGAATCCGCAGCGTCCAGAGGATCGGAACAGGGATGGCTAGAAGCAGGAAGTCGGTGGTGGCATTTATGCAGCTGAGAGCTATGAAGAAGGTTGGTGACGCTGTGCATTTTGGTTCTGGCAGTGGCTGGACGACGAAGCGTTTGCTATATGGAAGACACAGAAGGCTAAGCATGAGGTTCATGGCGATCCATCCGGCGATGCAGAGGAAGATGGTGAAATGGAGTAATCTCTTTTGCCAGCGTTCACAGGCAAGGCGTTGGTACAGTATTATGACGATGGCTTTGAGACTGAAGACCATTGTGATGCTGTATACATGTCAGGTTTTGCCTCATGTTGGCGGGCGATGGCGCATTCCATCAGTGTACTGACTAGGCGTATAATGTGATGATGTAGAACTTGGTTCCCCATGCCACGCCTCTGACCTCGCTCGGAGTGAGATCCCATACTTCATCTGGCCGGTAGTCGATGTTGGTATGGGTGAAGTAGGTGCAATGAATTCCGGCGATGATAACAGCCCAACAAAAGAGGGCGATGAATGCGAAGCCATCGTCAATCTGCAATCCGTAAAAGCCAACTGTACGGAGTCGGACGGCAAATCGCATCACCACCCATAAAGAACCCATGGCGAACAAGCCCCATATTTCTGGCAGAAAACGGCTATCCTTCTTGGGCGCCATGGTTGACGGGGCATTCTCTTGTGTGAAAGAGTCAGGAGAATGCAAAAGTGGAGTATGTATGATATGAATACGCGGGAGTGGAAGGCAGGGGCACAGGGGTTGGTTCACATGTGTGACAGCCGCGGGATCCGATGTCGTGCGTTGGGATAGCCACGGGAATGCGAAGCAACTTTGTCGAAAGAAGGACGTATATCGCCAATGACAGACATCGGGGCAATGAGCTTGGCGACCAATGGACAGATGATCTCCTGTAGAGTTAAATGCTCGCTACCGAATGGGACTGCGAGTAGTGGCGAAGACACGACCACCCAGAGCACTTGGTGGTGCGCCATCTAGAAACGGATATGTAAACTACAGCAGAACCAAGAAATGGCGTTTTTCATTGATCAATACGAACAACCGAGATTTAGCCCCGTGATGATCCAACTTAGTATGAACGGTACCGTAGTCCCTAAGAAGTGTAGTTCCATAATCTCGGATTGTTCCGAAACCATGCCAATGATTAGCTGCATGTATCACGACCACCGATCGCTCTACGTACCTCATCATCCCTCGTCCATGCGCCACTGTAATTGAAGCTGGATTGGCTATGGAAGTTGAATATCTAGCTTACGCACAAAATCTGATCTAAATCAACTCCTCTCACCATCACCGCTTTTGATCTGCCCATGTGCGAGCTTGACCGGATCGATCATCCCGCAACTATTCTATAGTCTCAACACAAAGATTGGGCGCGTTTCAGTACCTAAAGCCACCTTATATTTAGTTTGTCTAGGCAATCGCCGATGTATGAGTATATTTTCGCAGTCCGAATGCGAGACATATTGCACTGAACATTGAGCTGCTCCATAGTCAGAGTTATGGACAATGTGTTGACTTGACATGCACACTCTCCATTTCCCATCCAGTCAGCTTGTGTAAGTTTTGGCCTGGGCTTGGTCCAAAAACAACAAATAGGAGTTTAATAAGGTGGTCATGGAATACCCCGACTCCTACCTAGTTACCGTGCTTTTGAGAGCATTCGAGAAAAATTAGATAAGCAACAGCCACAATGTGTGATTGGGTGACTGACGAAAATACGGTGAGAGTAGTAATGATATAGAGTAACAAGCGATATCGCAAGTTGCTGCTGGTTTCATCGAAGACTTGATGACATTGCCACTTTTCTAATCGAAAGGGTAATTTTCTCCGAGGATAGGAGACACAGTGTCCTTGCACAAATACAAGCTAATCTCAAGGACAGAAATGAAAGTCTTAGGCGAATAGAGCGAGCAAATTCCTACCTTGATGCAATGTCCAATGATAGGTAGGTAGTATAGGGCTATATTCGAAGTTTACCGTACTATAGTGATTATTTTCGTCTAATTCCCGAGATAGTACTTGGGTATTGATATTCCTTTGTGAATATTGTTACTGTGATCAAATGATCACTCATGAGTGCGTGCAAGTATACCATCCAATAGCATATTCCAATGTTTCCCATCTTAGAATCTCTTCCTTCTTCAACAGGTCGGCTAAGCACGAGTATCTTATGAGAGTTACCAACGTAAAGACTGTTATTCACGGTAGGTTTTCATCGTCCACTGGATCCTGCATAAATACTTGAATAATGGAGCACAATGAATTGTCCTCTAGCCGCAGGCAGAAATATGCAGGGTCTATCAGTCTTCAGTATTCTTGGGCAAGAGTATAGGGAATAGCCCTAGCTCGCTATAGTGAAGAGACGCTGGATTCCACCAGCCTGAAGCCTACTGACGAAAATAAAAGAACTGGCTGCAATGGACTTCGAGCGCCGATGGAAGTACGTGGCTTCTCCGCATTTGAGAAGTCGATATAAACTGTTCGCAATGGGCTTCTAATAAGTGGCTGTACTATTAGGGTAAGCTTTCGGTGTCAAGACATTTCTTGCTTCTTCAGGTTTCTACGCTTCCACAGCGCGAAACAACCCACAGCACTTGAGCACAGGTGGGATCTCCTGTCAGCTCCAATCAACCTATGCGGAGGACTGGAGGGTGATATCACAAGTAAGAGGCACAACATGGTTGTGAGAACTGTATACTCACCTTCATGTGTTGGACAGTGGCGTGACAATGATGAAGCAATGAAATCAAGAAATGCCTCAAAATTCAGTGAGTCTACATGCTTCCGCCATTCCTGTGAATCGCACATGTGAGGTCAGAATAAGCAATACTTGGGGTCTTTTGAAGAAAGTGATTTGATGGGAACTTTGAGCGGCATTGGCTCAATGCACTCTACGCCACAAGATCGGCAACAATGTGTTGCCCAAGTATTCAGTAACTTGTGAATATTCGGAGTCTACTCCTGGGTCACAGAGAGGGGTGCAGTGAATAGGTAGCAGCTCACGATCAGTTTCGCCTTCTTAGCGCACATGTAAAGCACTCCGAATCTTGGTGTGTTTTGACGCGTACTTGTTTCCACTGATCACGAGTTGCAATGGGAATGATGAAACGTGGGAAATGTGGTACAGAGGCACTAACGCGTGCAGCTCTAGCGTGAAAGAAGACCCAAAGGGTTTTCTTCAGAACTGCATCAATCGGAAGTACACATAAAGTGAACATGGTGACAACGGAAACAAGCAACCCGAAGTCTGAAAATCGTGAATTCTGAAATGCCCTCTTGGGTATGAAACAGTGGAATACACGGTGGTTAATGAAGTGGGGGTGGGTCATTATTAGCGCTTGACCGGGTAAATACAGTGATTCAGCCTTCTTACACGGCAGCACCACCACCACACACGATGGCTTCTTCGAGTTTCCAAAACCTCAAAACAACGAGGTTGCTGAAATCGTGTTCGAATACGAGCAAATCATAATCACGATGCCTCAAGTGCTAAATCCAATCTTGCCCGGGTTCAATGCGGACCCTTCGATCCTTCGGGTTGGCGATGACTACTACATCGCGACCTCGACTTTCGAATGGTTTCCAGGAGTTCAGATCCATCATTCCAAAGATCTGGCCAATTGGGATCTCGTCACTAGGCCTTTGACTCGCAAAGCTCAGCTGGATATGCGAGGAAACCCGGACAGCTGCGGTGTTTGGGCTCCTTGTTTAACGCACGACGGCGATAAGTTCTGGCTCGTGTATACCGATGTCAAGCGCAAGGATGGCGCGTTCAAAGATACGCCCAACTATATTGTGACTGCACCTAAGATCGAGGGACCGTGGTCGGATCCCGTCTATATCAACTCCTCCGGCTTTGACCCCTCATTGTTCCACGATGATGACGGGAAAAAGTGGTTCGTCAATATGCTGCAGGATCACCGAAGAAAACCAAACTTCTTCGCCGGCATCAGACTCCAGGAATACGACCCGAAGCAGGAAAAGCTCGTCGGCCCAATGAAGACCATCTTCTATGGAACGGAACTGAATCTTGTCGAAGGCCCACATCTCTACAAGCGGAACGGCTGGTACTTCCTCTTGACCGCCGAAGGAGGAACAGGATACGGTCACGCATGCACTCTCGCTCGCTCCCGCGACATCTGGGGCCCATACGAAGTCCACCCCCAGAACCCCATCCTCTCATCCAGAGACCAACCCCTCGCAGCACTCCAAAGAGCAGGCCACGGCGACATCGTCGACACTCCAGACGGCAAAACATACCTCGTCCACCTCTGCGGGCGGCCAACCACTCAGCTCCGTCGCAGCGTCCTCGGCCGCGAAACCAGCATCCAAGAAGCATACTGGGACAAAGACGACTGGCTGTACGTCAAGAACGGACCCGTTCCATCCCTCTACGTCGACCTCCCCGCCGCCCGCGACGACACCAAATACTGGTCCGAGCAACGCTACACCTTCGACGCCTCGACGGGCCTGCACAAGGACTTCCAATGGCTGCGCACCCCAGAACCCGAGCGCATCTTCCGCATCACGTCGTCGAACCAGCTCGAGCTCACGGGCCGCGAAGGCATGGGCGGCTGGTTCGAGCAAGCCCTCGTCGCAAGACGCCAAACGCACTTCTCGTACGACGCCGAGACGGTCGTGGATTTCAGCCCAGACGACGAGCGCCACATGGCCGGTTTGACGGCGTACTACTGCCGCTTCAACTTCTTCTACCTCGCTGTATCGGCCGGCGCGGATGGGAACCGCGAGATCCTAATCGTCTCGTCCGAAGCCTCGTATCCCAACGCCCACTTCAAACTCCCCTTGCCCGACGCCGTGCCGATTCCGCAAGAGGGCAAAGTCAGGCTCGCTCTCAGCATTCGTGGGAATAGGCTGCAGTTCTCGTATGCGTTGGAAGGCGAGGCCGAGTTGAAGAATATCGGGCCTGTGTATGATGCCAGTATTGTGTCGGATGAGTGTGGTGGGCACCCTAATGATGGGAGTTTCACCGGCGCTTTTGTGGGCGTTGCGTGTAGCGATTTGAACCGTGCGGAGAAGACGGCTGCGTTTGATTACTTTGTGTACAGGCCGGTTAAGTATAGGACTGATCGCTATGAGGTTTGAGGTTGTTGTAGCGTCGATGAGGTTTGGTGGATGGGAAGGATCATGAGTTTATGAACATGTAGATATGAACGGTATATAAGGCTTGATCACATCCATTGGTTTTCGGAGCTTGCTGTAGGGCTTTTGCTGTTTCGCTGCGACTTCTTTTCTGCAGATCGTCCTTGGTATATCGCTGTGCTGCAGATCTTCCAAGCATTTCATCATAAATATTGACGATATACTCACGCAGGTGAGTGAGTTGGAAGTCCACAACAAGCAAAGTCACACATCACGACGAAGAGCAAAGGCAAGAACAACTTTTTGAAGGGTTTTTCTATATATTTTGAATTGTTTTTTGTCCGATTATCCTATTCTTTGACCTGTTTTTGTGATGAATAAAGAATTTTCTTTTCTTGCAAAAACCAAAAGAAGCAACAGTCAATCTCTGATGTCGATGTGTAGGGATGGCTGAAGAGAACAGGCAATTTGTGTTCATCCAAGAATGTCCCGATGCTTCCGAGCTGTATGTCAACCAAGGCATGATGTATGCAATAGCTGTGTGTATGGGGGAGGGGAAAGGAAAAGACTCGATCCAAGGTACTCGGCGCTGATGATGTGCTCAGTCGCGCGATGTTGGTAGAATCCCTGTGTCCGTTCAGTCCTCACGATCCTCGGAGTCGTTGCTCTCGTCGCCAGCAGCGAGAGACTCCTCCTCATCATATTCCTCTTGTTCTTCGTACATCCACTCGACATCTGGGGTTTGTACCCTATCGTTCTCAGTGAACTCCTCCGCGGGTTCCTCTTCAGAGTGCTCATCAGTCTCCTCTTCAGTCTCCTCATCAGTGTTGGTTCGAGCCTTTTTGGCTTTCTTCTTGGCTTCGTCGACTTTCTTCTTGGCTTCTTCGACTTTCTTCTGAGTCTCCTCCTCGATTTCAGCCAGGATCTTTGCTTCGAGACCATCTGTGACCAATTGTTCGTATTCGACCTCATCAGAACCCTCAGCGATGGCCTTGGCAACGGCAGCGGCAGCGGCGACATTGTTCTCATGCACCACTTCCTTGATCCTGCCAGCAATGACAAGACGTGAAGATCGAGCAAGGTTGCCAGCATTGTTGGATTCCTTGGTGCTCAAGCGGGCGATAGGGTTGTCGCAAAGAAGATCGAGCTCCAAGCCGCCGCGAAGAGCATCATCGACGCAAGCCTTGGAAAGACGGAGAGCAGTGCAGACAGCTTCAAGGCGCTCCTCGAGAGAACCAGGGGGAACATCAGTCTTCTTACCACGCTTGGCTTCCACGTGGTAGACCTGAGGGCGAGTCCAGCCCACCAGGTGCACATCGAGGGTGCGTTCCAAGACGTGCCACGCAGTGGATTCCATATCCAGATCACCCCAGGCCATGGCGGTAACTTGGAGAAAGCGCTGGGCGTGGATTGACTTTTGTGTATCGCGAAGCTCAGAAATATCGATCATTGACGAGTGGATGCGGCGAACCCAGAAATCTAGGCCTTGTGCAATGACACGTGCGACATCAGCGGCTTTCTTGGGTGAGATTCGGACGCTTTGGCGGTGTGCGCGGGCAGACTCAATATCTTTGAAGAGGCCTTTGTATTGTTTGTACACCGGATACTCAGAGTTCAAGGGGTTCTTGTGTTCCTCGTCCTGTTTCTTCAGATGATGATATCGGCTCTCAGGCGGCCCTTCAGGATCAAGATCGATAAGAGGGCGGTAAGTCTCATCAGCGGGCTGTTCGTAGCTGATTTTCTTGTCGAGGTTGATTTCAGCGTCAACACGAGTTTTCTTGAAGATTTTGACCTTCTTGGTCTTGTAAGCCTTCTTAATTCCTGTAGTGTTGGAAGCTGGTGTGCGAGGCTTCCTCTGACGAGGCTTGGTGACTCCCGAGGTGTGCTGAGGGGAGTTGCCGCGAGCTTGGCGGGGAGATGGCCGGGAAGTTGGTGATGAATTGCGGCCGGCAACTTGACCCACGCTGCCCATATGGGCACGAGAGTTGGTGTTTTGTGGCGAAATGCCACCATCCTGGAGTGTGGTGTTGAGGTGAGGCGACGAAGTTGGCGGGAAGAAATCGTCAGCCTGAGGGGGGACATAGTCACCACCCTGGGTCATGAATCCCAAAGGATCAGGCTCATTGGGATTCTTGGAGGCATCAAGAAGTGCCAGGAAATCATCCGAGATGCCATGGTTGCTTGGTTCCTGGACGGGGTTGTTGAAAGCCTCATAGAAGGGCGTGTTGTCGTAACCATTGGAATTAAATCTGTGAAAATATGTTAGCATGCTGTAAGAATATTAAAGACAACTGAGCAACACTTACTGGATAGCATCAACGGGAGCAGGCAGAGGTGTATCGAAGTTGAGGAAGCCATTGAGCAAGCCATTGTCATCATATCTGCGACGACATGTTAGCATGCTGTTGAGATACCAAATGCAATTGAGCGGGAACTTACTGTAGAGTATCACCGGAAGCAGGCAAAGGATTGCCGACGTTCAGGAAATCATAGGCCTCGCTGTCGTAATTGCCGAACTCGTCGTAGGTCTGAGTGGCCGGAAGGAAGCCGCTAGGGGGAAGATTGTTGTTGTAGTCACCCATGTTGACTTGATCAGGATGAGCACCGGCGGAGTCCGCGTGAAGTAGGTAGGTAGAGAAAGGTATAAGGTGGTGAATATAGGGGATAGTCAACGGTGACGATCAACGCCGGCCGAAGAGTATAGTTGAATATAGAGATACTGCCGTGAAGGCAAGTGCTCAAGAAGGAGAGGATGGATTGGATTGATAGAAGAATTGCTGAAGGCCTGCCGAAGAATTGAAGTCGCAGTATGAAGTGAAGTAGAAAGCTGGGGAGAGAGAGAAGGAGAGAGGGAGAAGAGAAGAGGGGAGAAGGTTTATCGACGGGGGGACGGGGAGGCTGGAGTACCAAGACTTGAAAAAAGGTGAAGATGAAGTCAAAAAGGTGAACATGAATGTGAACAGGAGGAACAATAGGAAGTGGGGCTATTCAAGCCACCGCGATAGGTGAGGAACTCCTCGTGGAGGGGATAACAATACGAGTTGCCATACATTTTGACTTGGACATGAGGAAGGTGAACAGTGAGGAGGTGAGGAGGAGGAGGAAGTGAAGTCCGTGCACGCAGACCAGGACGTCAGGACGGTCGTACAGGCTCACTTGGTATTGTCCAGGCTATTGTAGGAGGGAGGAAAGTGAGCTGTCAGCTATTGTAGAAATGACTGAAACAGGTGGCATTATTGTGGTCGCTGCAGGACAATAGTATTGCTGGCCATAGATGAGCATGTAGGTGTTGAGCAAGTGTGCGCAGGACGAGAGGACGGGTTACCATCAGGCTAGCGCCTATTTGGCTGGAGGCGGTGTCTTCTATATCCAGATAGATACATCTAAACGCCTTATTGGACGAATTGGAAGCTAATTGCTACGGAACTCTCCGAACATCTGTCAGTGTCGGTGTAGCATGTGTATGCGTGACTGTAGTCCATGGATACTTGTGTACATGGACGTACGCAATGAGTAGATCAGGCAGTGCTACATGATGCTGTGTTAAGTAAACGATGCCAAAACACCAAACCATATAGACACCACGTACCTCTTATGCAACAAATCTTCCTCATGCGGTCCGTAACTACCAGCATCCAGTTCTCTCGCCCGCCTGTTGAGCTTCAAGACCTCCCAAGACGGAGAACAAGCCGCTACAGCCCAATCCCATGCTTACACACTCCCATTCAGACAAGAAACATAAAAAGCATCTTCCTAGCTGCGCGTCCACGAAAACCACATGCATTTCCAACACCACACCACAATCCCCGTCCCTCCGCAGAACCCAGCGCGGAATTTGGCATATCCCGCCCATGCCGAACAGAATACGAAACGATATCACATAATGGCAGACGAAGACATACAGTAGGAGGAGAGGAAACACAGTTTCTAGGAGGGGAACGAGAGCTTCGCAATCGCAGAGGAACACATGCCATAGCAGACAATGAAACACATCATCAATGAGAGCTTCGCAATTGCAGAAGAAGGCATACCATAGCAGGCAGAGAAACACATTATCAAGGAGGGGAACGAGCGCTTCGCAATAGCATATGGCATACCGAAGCCGGCTCATGAAAACATGACATCAAGACGAAGAGATGAACAAGAGCGCACACAGCGACACGAATCGATACACCACAGCAACCCAAGGCGCGAAACCGCCATGAGAGGCAACGAGCCCGCAAGAAGCATCAAAAGACCAGAGCAATCAGCCCGCCCACACGCAAGACAGTTACTCGATAGCCATGAACCACATATATTCTGCATTATAGTAAAGAGAGTAAATGAGCGACAGGCCGCAGACGCAAGTAGCCGACCTACCCTACCAATACCTAGTCAACACAGTAACCTCATCGTCATTTTCATCATCGTCACCGTCATTCTCATCGTCACGATGCTCATATGTGTTTGTGCGTGCAGCGCGTCTCTTCCTCGCGGCCAGCCTCTTCGCAACTTCGTTGGCCTCCTCCAAGCTAACCAGAACCCTCTTTTCCTTGCCGCCCTCACCGCTGCCATCCCCGCGGATTTTGCTCAACCATTCTTTGCAGAGCCGCCATATGCTCTCCGCCGTCGGCTCTTCCTCTTTGTCCTCTTTGAAATCGTCCACGGGCTTATCCTCCAACGCGTCGTTGGACCAACGATTAGGTTTCCCGACAGATGGCGCGTTCGAGACGTTACTTGACACGAAGATATCCTCTGCGAGTTCGTAAGGCGTGCGGCCGACGCTGTTTTCGCGGAACAAGAGATCCGGGCGGGATTCGAGGACGACGGGGATGAGGTGTTGTTGTTTTTCCTTGACGAGGTAGTGCAACGGGGTGTCGCCTGTTGCGTCGAGGAGTTCCAGGTGCTCGTTGTTGGTGGACTCGGCGGCATATGTGAGAAGGAAGCGGAGCATTTCGGCTTCTTGCGCGTGGGTTTGGAAGGAGCTGAAGCGCATATAACTGATGATGGGGGTAAGAGATCCTGGATCACGCCAGGAACGCTCGGTGAGTAGAGACGGTAGGAGGCGCTTGTCTATGAGGTCGAGGAACGATTTGAGATCTGAAAAGTCGTCGGTGGAGTCGAATGAGGGGAGGAGAAGATGTAAAATGTTGCAGCCCTCCTTGGTTCGGGTGCTCTGGTCGGCGCCCGCTTCTACAAGGATTTTGGCAGCATCGAGACGGCGTCCCTGGAAAGCGATAGCGAGGGGTGTTCTGCCATCCGCGGATTTGCTGTCGAGCGACTTTGGCATAACTTCAATGAGGTATTTGATTATCTTGCTCGTCTCTGCAGTCGGTTTGGCTATAACTGCACAATGAAGAGCAAGTTCGTCTAGTTGCAAGTCAGCGTTGATCATCTCGAAGACGTCAGGTGGGACCTTACTGCGAGCGTTGAGCCATTTTTTGAGTACTTTCTCAAAGCCTCCACCATCTTTATTAAGATGAGCGATGAATTTGTGGTCTTTGTTTGCTTCCGCGAATTCGAGATAGCGTCTGCAGGGTGTATCACTCAGGAACCACTCCACACTGCGCAGACTGCCCTCATATGCGGCCATGAGAAGCGGTGGCCTGGTTTCAGAAACAGTCGCGACGCTCTCGCCCCGTGCAGCCGCGATCCAGTCTGAGCGCTTCTTACCATGAATCTGTCTATGTTACTATTCATGCCCAGAAAGTTTACGGATTGCGGGACTTACGCTCAAGCCTTGATAATATTTCGGCTTCTCTTGAAGCTGAACTCCGCTTCTCTTCACCAGAGACTCGAGTTCCATCCCTGCGCCACCTCTCCTGATCATTTCTTCCATAAACTCTGTCCGGCCACATACCATAGCCATTGGAAAGGCATCGAACGAGACAATCTGAGGCGATTCACCTGCCTTTTGCTGAGTCAATTCTGTCCATTTTGTTTTGAGATCGACCATGAAAGCAAACAAAGAAGCGTCGTTGGTGGCGATGGCATACGCCTCCATATCCTGTTTCTCCTCCATTGGACGTTGTATACCTTCTGTGCCATATGTGAAATGTGACTTGGCGGGCAGAAACAGTGACGTGTAGTGGTTCACTGGGAAATATGAGCCCATGAAACCTAGAGGTGATGTGCCACTTCTCGTCTCAGTGACCGCCTCGCCAATATTGACAGTAAACTCTTCGTCCGTCGCCTCTTCCTCGAGCTCAATATCACTATCACTATCACTATCACTATCACTGTTATCCTGAGCGCCTAAGCGGTACCGGTATAAGTTGGGCCTATCATTAATCTTTGGATCATACTGGGCGTACGATATTTCAACAAGAGCCTGAGCAAGATCGAGATGGCCACGCATCACAGCTATAGCAAACGTCGAGCAGTCAACAGAGTCTGTGACGGCAACCTCTAGTGGCCGATTGTCAGCGCCCCACGGTGAGAGTGTAAGGGCTTTGACAGTGTCAAGATCGTTGTCCCAGACAGCTTGGAAGCTAAGGAACACAGTTAGATCTATTCCATAGCGGAAAGCATATCACAGTAGGCACACTTACAGCTTGGCGTACCCTTCTCTCGTTTCCTCTTCTAGGTCGTGCACATCGAAGCTGATCTCAACTGCGAATGAAGATCCCTCACCACCCATGGACTGGTCGTCGTCGTCGTCCTCCTCCTCCTTGGGGGGTGCCCGATACAATTTCGGATGAAGTTGCTGGAATGTTTTTGCACCTTGGTTGAGGAGGGACTGCTCAAATGCCCGGAACTTCGAGAGCAACTCTCCAATCTCAGCTTTTTTCTTCTCCCTTGCAGCCTTGTACTCTTCATGTCGTTTGAGAACTTGCTCGTAACTATCCTTTTCGTACTCATCTCTCTTTTGAGCTTCTTTGATCTGTTTTGTGGCGGCAAAATAGGCGTAGGTATCTTTTTCAATGCCAGCTAGATAGTCCACATTCTCCTCGATGTTGAGCTTGGGCTTTTTGGGCGGCTCTTCATCCTTGTATTTTTCCAGTAGGCGGATCTTCCGACGAACAAGATCCAACATGGTTGCAGAATCCTCGTATTTGCGCTCATGTTCCACATTGTAGCACGCTTCTTGTGATAGAGTATTTGGATCAGCCCCCAGGTCGATCAATTGCGAGGCAATTTCTGGAAGTTCGTACTCAATCGCAACCTGAATCGGCTGCTGGAACTCCAGTCGGAACTCTCTCTTGTTCTCCTTCGCGCTCGAATTATGATAATGATCCTCTCGATGAACCGACACCGCTTTGATCCAGTCTTTGAACTGTACAGTTGGAGCTGCTCCCTTCTCAAGAAGCTTTCTCGCAGCAAAGATGTCTTTCTTCCATGTTGCACTCATAAGAACATTGTAAGCAGTGTCAGTATAGTAGCCTTTTGGAGCAGTGAGATGATTGATGGCTTTTTTAGCTGCAGGTTCATCAACTTCAAACAGTGTATCGAGAATTTCTGTTTTTCCGCATGTCATGTAGTGCAGGGCTGTGATTTGATTGGTGTCAGCCTGCGCAGAAGAAGCGCCGAGATCCAGCAGGGTTTTGACCATCGACTTGGCCTTGTCCAAAGGCAGACTCAGGGCAAGCACAAGGGTGAGAATGGCGCCGCGAGGTGATTTATCATACTCGTTATACAGCTTGATAGGAAGCAAGACATCGGCTCCGAAATTCTGCACGAGTTCGATGACAACATCAGTATGGCCGTGTAGAATGGCTAGATGTAGCGGCGAGCATTGAAGGTCCCATGCAAGTACATTCACATCGTAGACATCGGGATCATCTTCGTTCTCTTCGGGAATGGCATCGTTGCCACCGGGAGTTTCCTTCTCCACTTTGACAAAGGATCCGGTTGTTCGGCTGTTTGCTTCGTCATTAGACATAGCGTATTGGTCTTGATCGCCATTCTCGTCTTCGTCCTCGTCCTCGTCGTGATCTGCTTTCTCCCAGTCCTCATCCCCGCCATCATCCTGCATACTGTCTGCTTCAGCATCCGCCTCATCGCTTTGATCTGCCATATCCACATCTTCATCTTCTGGGGTTGGTTTCTTGGACTGATCGCCCTCATCGGTATGTGAGTCGTTTTCTTTCTCTGGCTTCTGCTCGGTTGACTTTCGCGTTTGCTTTCGAATGTCTTCTTTCTTGCTCTCCTCTTCCTCGTTCTTCTCACTTCTCTGCATAATCATCCGGACGATTTCGGCGTTTCCACGAGCCGCGGCGAGATGGAGTGCAGTTCTGCCGTCTGCAAGTCGCGCGACTAGTCGAGCATCATGATCAATGAGTGCCTGGACAATCTCTGGCGATGAGGACATGACAGCTAGATGCAAGGGAGTGCGACCAGTGTAGTCTCGACAATTTGGATCAGACCCTTCCTGTGCAAGCCAGTCTTGAACGTGTTCCAGATCCTGATCGACAATAGCCTGACATAGACGAGCAGTGTTTCCGACATAGGCCATTTCTGTCCAGTCGTCATCGGTAATGGGATTGAAGGAGCCAATTGCTTGTCGTCCGGGGTCATCCTTGATGAAAGTTACTTCACCCGATACATAGATCTTCCCTTCTTCTTCCGCAGCTTCCTTTTCTTCAGGAGTTACAGGCTCCGGGCAGAAGCCACAGCAGTCATGAATGACGTCTTTCGCATACCCAAAGAAAGCAGGATGTCGATGCAGATTAACCTCGCGATCCTTTTTCTTGTTCCACTCCGCGTTGAGAAGAATATCTTTTGCGTACAAAAGCTTTTCGATCTTCTTGGCGTGGTATTTCTTTCCATACGGAATGGTGAAAGTGTCTGTCTAGCGGTTAACATATATGCCTAATTGCGAGAGCAGGAGTTGTTTACGGTAGTTTGAAACATCTTCCTGCTCCACCCATTCCGCGACCTCATCTTCGTGGGCCTCTTTGATGTTATCTCCCGCATTGTAATAGGTGTTTCGGTTGATAGCCGGACGCCCACGCTCGCGACGGCGTTCATCCATGTAATCTTCCCGTTCGGTTTTGGATGGAAGACGTTCCAAGACTAGAAGTCTTGCCAAACCAACGGTACGACCGAAATGTCTCTCGAAAATCGTTGGGTCCACGCGAGAACGCTCAAGCAAAGGCCAGTACACTTCGAAGCCGCGGTGAGAATACTTGGAAAGACGGTTCTCGTACGATGGAGACCGGCGAGTAAGGTCAATGGTATTGATCTGTGACATATATGCGGTCAACGCTCTCGGGGCAGCCCAGACTTGTTTGCCATCATACGCTGCACAAGAACAGTCGACATCGAACCCAGTGAGAATTTCCGCAACAGATTTGTAGATTCTGAGCACAATCTGTATGTGGCGAGTCGGGTACTGACTGGCAATGGTGATTGCATTTTTTGTGCGAACTGTTGTGATTTCCGTAAGGATGCTGTCCTTGACACACTGTTCAATCTCCAGAATCTTCTTAACGGCATCTTCTTCGCTCAAGCCATAAATGAAGAGATCAACATCCGAAGCGGGTGCAAGAATCTCGTGATAGTACTGGCGAAGGGCTCTCTTGGAGCTCTTGTATTCGTCCGGAACCGGTAGTAGACTGGTCACGACCGCCGAACCAGCGGCGACAACATTGCTCCAATTTAGATCGGCGAGCGACTGCTCGCAAAAGATGGAGAAGTTCTGCTTGAACTCATCGATGCTTTTTGCGATGGCCGGGGATCCCGTGGGGCGCCTGTCGGCATCATCCAATGGCATGACATATCTTTCTCTTTCCTCGTCGCTCTGAGTTGCTGGATCGCGGGCCCGGATTTTCACCTTGTCCTCGAAACCAGCGTAAACAGGCACAATGTTGAGATGGTCGTCGGTCAATGCCGGATGATCTGGCTCTTGGGCGAAGACTTCCCGGATGGAGGCATCGTATTGCTTGTAAGGCTCCAGCAGCTCGGGCAGCGATTGGTCGGCATGGGCGTGAGCATATGAGATGAAGTCGGCGTGCTTAGCTGGGACTTTGGGTAGTACTCTAGATGAAGCCATGATGAAAGAAGGTACAATTGGTCTCTGCCTCTACATGTACAATTGCGGGAGAAGACAGGTGAACAACTGCATCTGAGAGAAGAAAGAAAAAAAGAGTGATTGCTATGAAATTGGAAATCGTGTTGCTTTATATGAAGTGTGCATTCAGCATCCGACAGGCGGTGTGGTGCTGAATCCGCCAGCCTTCAGGAGCCAGAAGGCGTGAATCGGCCACGCCCCATAGCTGCCTATCGCGCTCCAGGCAGTCTCCTATCAACAACATAGCGCCATCTCTTAGGCCCATGTAGTCTCAGCCCAGCGAAACGCCACTGCACGATGAAGGAATTATCCGCGCTGCAGCCTGGTGCTTATTCCTAAAACAATTTCGATGCATGTAAAATCGTGAGAATTACAGAGGCTGCGGCCTGGGGGTCGGGTAAGCTGACTGAATACTTAACCCCAATTAGGAGCAAGCCGAAGCCGAATCCCCACATCGACACTTGCTTGTTCCGCAACCCCAGCTGTCCACGAAACGAGTATCCAGATCGTTCAATGGTCACGTCAATCATCCAAGACGATGAGCATCATTAATGCAGTTGCGTCGAGGGTTATGGTTGGCAAATAATCATTATCATTACGATGAACGCTAATCATTCAGACTATGACGGTCAACAACGTCCAATGGCGAAATTCCATCCATCTTCAGTCGCGAACCCATGCAAGATGCAGTTTTTCCTCATCCAAAACATCTCAATCGCTTTTATGTTTCTCTTTTTCCTTTTTTTACAAAACACCAAAGACCTCGGTGGCAGTCATGGTGAAGTTAAGAGGCGGCGAGACAAACTGGTTGTACTTTGCCTCGTGAGGACCAGACCAGTTATATGTGGGACTAAAAAAAAAGTCAGTAATCAACAGCCATACCAAGATCAAATATCGCCAAAAAGGACAAGACGAAGAGAGAAAAGAAAAAAAGAAAACACTCACGCTCCCTCAGCAGCTTCATAAGAAAAGCTGACCCAAATCTCCTTTGGTCCAAACCCGTTCCCATCGTGCACCCTGGGACCCAATTTCGCCGCAGCGCGGTTGTTGCGCCCCGCAAGCGTCGTGCAGTCCTCGTACACGGAGGGAATCGTGAAGCTGTTGTCGTAGCCCTGCTCGTAGCCGCGGCACGACGCCAGGACGCCGAGCTGGTTGTTGATGGAGGGCACCGTGAGGTTGAAGTGGTAGTAGCATCCGCTGCGCGAGCAGCCCGCCTCCCAGTTGGTCACTTGCCAGTCCCAGTTCTCGGGGATGTCGACTTGGCGGGGGAGGAGGGGGGATGCGAGGGTCGAGGAGGCGAGGAGCGCGAGGGAGAGGAAGGACACCATTTTGAAGGGCGCGAGAGTGGATATCGAGAAATAGTGATACGGGAGGGGATATATGTGTATGATTGCGCGGTTATCAAAGGTGGAGGTTTGGAGAGGAGTACTCTTTGATGAAGTAAAGAAGAATTAAAACAGCAGCCACATCCTCCCTTCTTATACACACGCACACATATCTCCTCCCCACCCCTTCCCTCTCCCAATCACCCCCGCAAAAAAATCAATCGAAAAATAGCCTCATCGATAGCCTCACACCCTTGTTGCCCCCCCTACGGAAGAATAATCACGAGAGAGGCAAACGCACAAAACGTCATAACGGCCCGGGATCGCCATGCCTAGTCTACTTTTCCAGCTAGAGCTGTTTTCCTATCCCGGCTTAGCCACACCTATCCTATACCCCTTCCCCATCCACTTCCCTCACCGAAGCAGAAATTCAATAGTCGACTATTTTTTGGTCTTGTTGCCGGAAGCCGCCGGGGGGAAGCTTGTTCGGGAAATAGGTTTACCTTTGTTCCGTGTACTTGACTTTTGGATGAAGAGTGAGAGAGGGATTGACTGGGTGAATGTAACGTTGGGGGGATTTTAGTTAAACTTTGCGTGGATACGTTAACAAGGTATTTGAATTTTTGAATACGAGAGAGAGAGAGAGAGAGAGGGTCCAGTAGTGGTGGCGCCGTCTATCCTTCCGATCGACCCAACACTCACATTTCTCGTTCAAGTCTTGTTTGTTTGTTTGTTCATTTGTTCCATCCAAAAAATAACGAGGCGCAGGGTATTCGAATAGCAGGTCCTGATGCGTTTTCCGGTGCCGGGTTTCCCTGAATTTCCTACTGTGATGCATGATTCCCCTTTATTTAGTTTATTAGTGGCTAGTGTTGGTTCAGCCCTGCATATGATGCACGTACACGTTTGTTCCTTGTTTGGAAATCGGGCCTTGCTTGCCCCACAACAACGACATCACAGTCGCTGTCCTGGGTTGAAGCTTGCACTCTCCAGCCACCCTGTCATTCGCAAAACGAGTTAGATGGTTATTCAATAAACAAATAATTGACAGACTTAGGCGACTAGGCAGTCATCAGTGCATTACATCACTAGACTTACTATTTTAACTTGGTTCCAATACATCAGCGGTGAAGGAGAAGAAGCTGACGAAGAAGGTTATAGATATGACCGCTTCAAGTACGTATACATGCAAACATACATTCGCTACAGAACTAGAGAACAGAGCAGGTCTGGAAAAAAAACCCCATTGAGGACCACTAAAAACACAGAGCAACACCGAGACCGAGTGTTGAACAAGCGCGTTTATTTCATTTACATCCAGAATAAGAAAAATCTTCCTCCCAAACACACACGAGTCTTTCCATTCATCCAGCCTATGATACCCGGCCGACCGAGGAGAAAACAAAAACAAAAGGCTAACATTCCCACGGGCATGAGACAAGCAGAAGCAAACGCAAAAAAGGTGTATTAGAGAGAGTATCGAATTAAGAGTGTGCTGAGTGGCATAGGGGGAATCGAAAAAAAAAGCCAAAACATGAAGATCGAAAATTGGTATAATACGTTGACGTGAATCGGAGTGGTTTGGCGGGAGGAAGGGAGGACTGTGTCATCGAAAGGGAAGAGTAGATCCACAAAAAGGGGGTGGTGAGAAGCAAAGGCAGAGGGCAGAGAGGAAACGCAAAACAGAAAAAGGTCTAACTTGTGTAGCCCATAGGATGTAGGAGGGCATAATAACCCCAATACTCTCAAACAAACGCCAGTTGTTTCGGCCGGTTCACGGTCAAGAACCAGAGACTAAAAAATTGAAACCATTTTTCTCCTTGAATGGAATCGGATTGTAGCGCTTACAGAGACCAAAGAAATCGGAACAGACAAAACGCCTCATGGTAGCTAAATCATGGCAGAGCCTCCTGGCCCTGATGGTGCGGCAGCGCTGGCCGATACAGATGCGGGCGTCGGAGTGGACGCCGAGGCTGTTGATGGTGTTGGCGTCGATGCAGAAGGTGTAGATGGTGCTGCTGCTGCGGCAGGGGTGGACATGCCAGCTGGTTTCTTGATATCGTCATCATTGTCATCGTCGAATTCCATCTGCGGTCTCCACGAGGAGAAGGAATCTGGAAGGTTGTGTTTCTCGCTGGTTGGCGTCTTTTCAAAGTCAAAGCGGTCACTCAGGCGGTAAGCCTTGTTAGTGGTTTCCCAATTGCTTCTCAGCGCGTCCAGCTCGGATGCAAGGCTGTCAAGAGCCATTGAGTTGCGCGTCACTGCTGAGTCGGGCGCTGTAGCCTCGGGTGTGCTTGAACCGCCGTCGTGGCCATCACTGTACAATGATTCCCCAGATGCGATGCTGTCGTGAGCACGATGATGACCGTTAGTAGCTCCAGCAGGAATTTGCGATTGACGACGGTAGTTGTCGACAGAGGTCTCGAACTGAGTGAGGAACATCTGGACGCGATCCTCCGCTTCACGAGCGCGCTCTTCAAGATCGGCGTTGTTGCGTCGTAGCGTTTCTAGTTGCGCTTGAGATTGCTCGGCCGACGACTCGCTTTCTTTCAATTTCTTGGCAGCTGTCTCCACCTCGTGGCGAGTCGATGCAAGCTCAGACTGCAATGACGCGATTTGACCCTCCAAACGAGCGGCGGTCGACTTCAGCTTGTCTTGTACAGCGGAAAGCTCGGACTGTAGAGATGCGCGCTCGGCTGCCCATTCCGCAGACTGTTCTTTGGTGGGGCTTCGCGAAGCTTGCCGCACGTGCGAGAGTTCCTCCTCGAGCTTCCTCTTTTCGTTCTTGTGACGTTCAAGCTCTTGGTTCAACTTGGCAAGCATCTTTTCGGTTCCACGAAGGTACTTCACAGCAGCCTGGTGATCGTTGTGTAGCGCCTGTAGCTTCTCCTCCCACTCTCTGTTGGACTCGAAGTCGCGTTGCTCGTATGCCGCACGCACCTCTTCATGCGCTTTGTTCATAGAATCAATCTGCTGTTCCAGCTCTCGCACGCGATTGATGTCCGGAGTGCCAAATCGTGAGCTGGGGCTATCCAAGACCCTCGAGCGTCGTGCATCTACAGCGTTTACACCTCGCTCTTCCAGCAGATTCTTTAAGGTCTTCAGCTGAACTTCAAAAGCATTGCTCTCAAGTCGCAAACGCTGGTGCTGTTGAGTGATCTCGGCCTTCTCGGCATCAGACGCTTGCATGTCTCGCATGGCCTGTTGTAGTTGCTTGCGAATGCTGAGACCGTCGCGGCTTGACTGTTCTTGATAGGCTTCGAGACCCGCAATTCGTTCCTCTGCCCTTCTCAACTTCTCGGATGCTGCATCTGCTGCTGTCTGATTCTTGCGTACCATGACATTGGCGGCCTCGACCTGCTGCTGAAGGATCTGAACACGCTCATTTGCCACATCACTGACAGCGACGTCACGCTCTGCAATTTGTCCAAGGCCTGATAGAACTGCAGTGCGATGAAGGCGTGCCTCCTCCGCATATTTCTCAGCAAGTTCCTCGGTATCTCGAAGTTTCTGTGCTGCGGCTTCGAGTTCGGTCGTTTGGTCCTCATGCTCTGCGCGCAGTTGCGTGAGTTTTTGTCGCATGTTCTCTCGTTGGAACCTCTCCTCCTCCAATTGCTTTTCCAACAGAGTTGACTTATCGGACGACCCTGCCAACGCTTCACGAAGCGATTGTAAAATAGCGCTGTGATTCCTGGACTCCTCGGTAATCTTGTTGAGCTTGGCGCTCAATTCAGACTTGTCCACAGCCAGCAGCTTTGATTGTGCTTCGGCCTCGGCTGCGCTGACAGATGATTCTCGTGCTACGCGCTCCGTTTCGTGAAGAGCGTCTCGAAGGCTTTCACATTCCGCGGCATTCTTTTGTCGGGTGGAATCCAACTCTTTGACACGCTGTTGGGCAGCTTCCGCAGTCTCATCGGCCAGTTGCTTCGCTTTGCGCTCGGCAGCAATCTCGTTATTGAGCTTATCGACCTTGGAGGACAGTTCGCTCTGAGCAGCCAGCGAGGCAGCTAATCGTCTGTTGATATCGGTTACACGGTCCATATCCGGCGTCGCTGTACTTCGTACACCGTCGGGCTGAGGTGTACCAGCTTGGCTACCGCCACCATGTGCAGCCAGCTTTGTTTTGGCGTAAATAGCTTCACCGATAGCAGCATCTCGTTGCCTCTCCACTTCAGCGATCCTCTTGGCGGCGTCTTGTCCTTGTGTTTTGATGGAATTTTGGACCCGCTCCAGCTCACTCTTCATCTTCAGCAATGCTTCGAGTAAAGGCCTGTCTTCATCTCCAAAAGCATCTGCCGATCGCTCGTCTAGAACTGGGCTAGTGGCCATTCCCGGGTTGTATCCTGCCTTGCGAGCGAGTGCAAGCTCAGAGGTGTACCAAGCGTTCTTACTCTTCACAGTCTCGAGTTCGCGGACTAGCTCGTCGTTCTGCTGTACCATGGCGGGAGATGCGCCTAGACCGCTATCAACCAAACGTTGATCCTGGCGGCTAGGTCCACGCTGCGAAGTCTCGGTCGACTGTCTCGTCACACCTTGCTCAATGCTGTCAAGGCTCTGCTGTGTGCGATGTGACTTTGAAGTGTTACGCGACAGCAGGCTACCCGATCGTGATGTGTCCATAGATTCCTTGGGTTCCCTACTGGGACCGTCTGATGGTTTCCGTGAGCCGTTCAAAACCTTTTCGTTGTGAGGCTGGTTACGTGCTTCCCCCGTCAATGGAGACTCCCGGGTTCTGCTAGGGGACCTGTTGTCGCGATCAAATGAAGCAGCTCGAGTATCGACAGGTGGGCCGTATCCCCGTTCTCCTCTAGTGGGGGTTCTGCTGCGAGCGCCGTTGGCTCTGGGTTGCGGAGGCTGTTGCATAGGAGGTGGCCCAGAGGGTGCTTGTCCAGCTACGCGGGGTAAGCGCGATCCTCCTGGGGCCATTCCGTTCATCGTGGGATCTTGGACACCGGGTTGCTGAGGTCTGGGCATCATGCTTTCGCGGGCAGCTGGAGTACCGGCTTTACCTTGCGGTATGTTGCTTTTCTCGCCGCCACTTAATTTGCGGACCGGTTCATTGGGAGCTTGTTGCGGTGGGGGTGCCTCATTTGGCGGGTACCGAATCTTGGATGTGTCGAGGACATATGCCAAACTCAACTCGTTCTTGTCGGCGGCGGAGGAAGAGGGCTCACCGCCTAGAACAATAACGTGTTTACCGAAAGCAGTCATACTGTGACCTGATCGAGGGGAAGGAGAACTGCCCATGTTTTGAAACATGTACCAGCGCCTGGATGATATCCGGAAAGCTGCAAGATCTCCAAGGTCTACACCCTCCTGAGTACGACCACCAAAGATGTACATGGTATCATTGACAAGCGTTGCGGAGTGTCCCTCACGTGCAACAGGAATATATCCAATGCAATCCAGTTCAGACCATGAGTTGGTACGAGGCTCATAGGTCCACACATCGTTGAACCAGTTAATACCATCAGTACCACCAAAAAGATACAGCTTGTCGTTCCAGGTGACAACCGAGTGGTTCGTCCTCGCAGGTGGTGAACGGCCCGTTGGAGATGATACCGCACCCTCCTTTTGGTTCGGTATGAGTACCTCCCAACGGCTCGTGGAGGACTGCAGAGAGTTGAGGTCGAAAGCAACGAGGTCGTTGAAGAAATGTCCTTCCACCTGGCCACCGAAAATGTAAATCTTAGACCCCAGAATATTTAGTGTATGGCCGTATCGCCCCGTAGGCCGTGGGCCCTGAGGCAATGCTCTCGACCAGTGTTTTGTTGCTGTGTGATGTGAGTTAGAGCAAGCGTGAAAATAAGCAGTTACAGATACAACGTACATGTGTTCAGAAGGTATAGAGTGTCGTCCAAGTCGTCGTTATCTTCCAATTTTGTGTCACCACCGAAGACAATGAAGGCGTTGCCTACCAAAAGACTGGCGTGACCAACTCTGGGGCCTGGCCCGTCACCTGTAGTAGATATCGGATAACATGCCATGCTGCCATTTCCCATCTCCGTGATCCACAGATCGCCCTTGACAGTGGCACCGGCAACCAAGCCTCCCATGAGATATATGGTACCATCTTTGCTGGAGACGGCATTTATGGCAGCACCGTAGCGCGGAAAGGGAGCGGCAGATGTGGTGAAATTCAAGCGGCGGTAGGACCAAGGATACGGAGACGGTTCATTACGAGGATCTCTCGGCTGAATTGAGTGGTCAGCATATTCCAATGAGGCTGCGAAGAGGCTGCGGGACTTACTTCTCCACGATTGCGCATCGAAGGCTCGGGGCTGGCAGTGGTGCCCTGGTTCTGTAATGATGAAAAGGAATTGTTCGCACTCCCACCGACAGGAGTGGCGGCCTGAACAGGACCGCGAGGTTTTTCGGCATCTCGAGGCGCAGGGACCTGTGCAGGTGGACCTTGGGACGAGGAGATGTCGCGAGTGGCAGGCGGCAGTGCGCTAGGGGAGTCCCTCGCAGCGTTGGCGGCAGAGGACTTGTTCTTCTTCCCAAAGAGAAACGACATGTTGGCGGGTGTGCGCTAGGGGCGGCGTCAACGAAACTTTGGCCGCGCTCAGAAACGCATTCCGAGGCGTCGAAGTAGGGTAGGAGAGAGCGGCGGCAACGAGCACGCAGGCGCAGTGTTGGGCGAAGATGGAGGGAGGGCGAGCGAAGAATCCAGCAGCAGGAGGACGACGACGGGGCGTTGGGAATAGAGATGGGCCAGGACGGAGTGGGCGACAGACAGATCTAACAAGAGGCGCGCATGTCTCAATGGTGACAAACAGACAGACGGGTGACAGGTGGCGGGAGCGAGCGATAGGGAGTGTGAAGGCGGTCGTGAAGAAAGACGCGGAGGCTGACGTGAAGGTGCGTGCGTGGGTGCGGGCGTGCAGATGTGCGTGCAGGTTGGTTCAATGCGTGCTCGTGAGGTAGGATGGATGGGGTATAACAAGTTGCGCAGAGCTGGTGTCTGGGGGAGCAGGTGAGTAAGTATGTGTTTTCTTTTTCTGTTCAAATGGATGGTGCAAGCAAAGTAAGCAGAGGTGCTGAGTCGTTGGTGAGCAGCCAGTGGTAGTGCTGTGGTAGGAGGTAGGGGCAAAAAAAAGGTCAGGGCGGTGGTTTGGCGGCCGGGGGTAAGGATGCCGTAGAAAAGACAGACAGCAGGCACGCAGCGAACAGTGGGTAGGAGCCACACACACACACACGCAGAAAGAGAGAAAGAGCGGCTGCCGTTGGGGCTGGTAGGTGGTTAGGGAAACCGCCAAGGAGTGCACAGGCATGACCAGCTAACCTTCAACCACTGGTCGTCCTCCTCTGGTGTGGACCACTTAATAACAATCACATCTCCGGCCTTCGGGAGTCGGTCACAGTTGGCCAGCCACTCAGTCACTCACTCAGTCAGTCCTTGGGGTACGGCCCTGCACGGAGCTCGTGTGAAGCGCGAAACACCCAGCCCTGGGCCAAGTATACTGACGTTTGTGGGAACATGTATGCCTCACTGGTTACATGTAGATTCGTGGATTCCCCAGCAGCTGCACATGTCCAACAGCTAACACATGTATCCACTGCATCGAGCCCGTGCATCGTGGACAAGTAGGTAGCTTTCCAGCTACACAGTCCCCATCTACATATGTTTCCGTGCACGTAGTGTACCCTCTCATGGCACGCGATATAATTGCAATCTTCAAAACTGGAAGGGGTCCATGTCATAGGCTCCGCATACAACATTGAATGCCGTCCCTGTTGCAACTTTTTTTATAAATCCCGTGTCGGCCCCTGAATCTGATGTCCCAAACACCCGGCATCATCCAAGGGTTATCTGCTTACAGGGCCTTTCATTGGCTGGTTTCTCTACGCGCGTGTGAGGGTGATACCGTGCCTGACATGAACCTCCAATGCGACGGGCAAGGTTAACAAGGTAATAACAATGCTATGATTCGTGATGCATGTCCCACTGGATATATATCCTCATACGCATGTCTTTTCTCTACGCAATTCACTGGCCCGTTCAACCAAAACATTGCCATTAGCATCACTTCACCTCCTTGCCACCATGTCACGATGTAATCATGCACAAGCAAACCCAATGACAATGAACGAGCATGGTGCGCACTTGCTATGAAACCAAATGTAAACACCATGCCACGACAAACATGTCAAAATGCATTATACTGTCAGGTATCAATACAACAATGCGTAAATCCCCCATCATGATTGATTGATATTCATTGGTAGCCAAGTACTTAGGTAAGCACATAGGTAGAGCCGCTGCTTAGTCAAGAATCCTTCACCGCCTTTCCCGTTGCAGCTTAGCGTTACACGCTTCCGACCAGAACATCCATCCGTAACTAGTTGACCGCGCTCAAGATTGTACTTCTTGCTGTAACAGCTTCGACCAAATCGAATCAAACTTCCCCGCTCCTCGTTGGTGTGGTCTGAATAGAGCTCACCGCTTCGACCCCTCAGCTACCCGTCACCCGCTCACACAAGATCGTTCCCCCACATATAAGAACAGGCCCTGCGCTATGGGCCCGGCTACAACCTTCGTCATCGCTGCGCGTTGCCCAAGTTCGAGATGAGAACAGCTCACGATATGCCCCTTATCAGCGGTCACTCCCATCCTAATCCTCTGGCCTCGCACACCTCTCCTCTCACAACCATGGACTCTCCAGAAAGTCCGTCCCCCGCGCCACCAGATTCACAAGCCCAGCTCAGTGCGACCTCTGCGCGCCCCAGTACTGCCTCGAGCTCCCGCCGCAACCATGCCGATTCCAATGGTCCCACCCAAGACACCCTTCGACCGAGCTTTAATGGCTCTCAAAACAAACGCCCATCCCTTTCCCGCGCGAAGAGCGACATAGGCCCCCGCCATCCACCCAAACCACCCTCGGAAGACTTGGAAGAGGAGGACAACGTTACCGAGAACAACTTCAAAATACGCCATGGTTGGGACGACCAGCTCAATTCGGAGGAATACAACCACCTCTTGACGTCTTCTTTCTTCATGTACTACACGGACAAGAAACACGAAACAGGCGGTATTCCCAAGGGCGAGGACAGCGCTTACCCGCTGCAAGAATGGCGCATGCGGGATCGCCTTAAGACGGTCTCCGCTGTCCTAGCTCTGTGCCTCAATATCGGTGTCGACCCTCCCGATGTCATCAAGACGAACCCTTGCGCCAAAGAGGAGTGCTGGATCGACCCCACCGTCACATCACAAACCCCCGGTCACACGCCCATGAATCAGATCGGAAAGGCCCTACAGACCCAATACGAGCAGCTCAGTATGCGTACTCGCTACAAGATGCTGCTGGATCCAACCACCGAGGAGACGCGAAAGTATGCCACTACCCTCCGTCGCAATGCCCGAAACGAGCGCGTGCTATTCCACTACAACGGGCATGGTGTGCCCAAACCCACATCATCGGGTGAGATATGGGTGTTCAATAGGAACTACACTCAGTATATACCACTCTCGGTCTACGATCTTCAAAGCTGGATCGGCGCCCCCAGTCTATTCGTATATGATTGCTCGGACGCGGGTCTTATCATCAGCAACTTCCTCAAGTTCGGTGAGAAACACCAGCTGGAAATGGAGGAGGCTCGTCGAAGAGACCCCAACCTGGAGGTGATCGATTTCAACGACTGCATTCATCTCGCAGCTTGCAGAGAGAAGGAATCATTGCCGACCAACCCGGATCTACCCGCAGACGTCTTCACTTCTTGCTTGACTGATCCCATCACTATGGCTGTGAGATTTTTTATCCTCCAGAATCCCCTCCCTACCAGCATCCGGCCATTTGATGCCCACAACATCCCTGGCAAGGTATCTGAGCGTAGAACACCCATTGGTGAACTTAATTGGATCTTCACAGCCATCACTGATACCATCGCCTGGAATTCACTTGACAAGCCTCTCTTCAAAAAGTTATTTCGCCAGGATCTCATGGTTGCCGCTTTGTTTCGGAACTATCTATTGGCACAGCGTATCATGAGAGTGTATCACTGCCATCCCAAGTCACATCCAGAAATCCCGGAGACTCATGACCACCCGCTTTGGAAAAGTTGGGATTTGGCCGTGGAGCTAATTCTTGCGCAACTCCCCGACCTCCAAGCCGAGGCGAGAGGTGAAAAGGAATACACATACCGTCATTCCGACTTTTTTTCTGAACAACTAACCGCCTTTGAGGTTTACCTCTCCCGTGGTGCAGTTGAGCAACAGGTTCCCGAACAACTCCCTATTGTACTTCAAGTACTGCTCAGCCAGGTTCACCGACTTCGCGCCCTCATCCTGCTCTCCAATTTCCTTGACAACGGCCCGTGGGCTGTCAATTTGGCACTTAGTATAGGGATTTTCCCGTATGTTCTAAAATTGCTTCAATCGCAAGCGAACGAACTGAAACCTGTCATGGTTTTCATTTGGGCCCGAATCCTAGCCGTTGACCAGTCTTGCCAGGCTGATCTCTTGAAGGACAATGGATACCAATACTTCATTAATATTTTCAATCCCTCTACGGGCATTCCGATTCAAAACGCGAGCGAACACCGCGCCATGTGCGCATTCATCATTGCCATGTTCTGCAAGGACTATAACCAAGGCCAACGTGCTTCTTTAGATCCTGTTCTCGTAGAGAGCTGTCTCGATCACCTTCGTGACATGCAGAATCCGTTGCTTCGACAATGGTCCTGCCTATGTTTAAGCAAGCTATGGGTCAATTTTGAAGAGGCGAAATGGGTCGGGATTCGGTGCATGGCTCATGAACGACTGTGTGAGCTGGTCATCGATCCCGTCGCTGATGTCAGAGCTGCCATGTTGAACGCGCTCACTGCCTTTTTGGGCATCAGGGATGTAACTGCACAAGTGGCTGCTATCGAAGAGTCCATCGCTTCTATGATTCTAGTCATGACAGCGGATGGTAACAGCATGGTTCGAAGAGAGCTGCTCATATTCTTTTCTGCTTTTATCGCTCGTTACAAGACTAAGTTCCTTGTTGCGGCATTCGAGCAACTCTGCGAGGAAAGAAGTAGTGACCAGTACGCCAAAAGAGACGATAAAAATAGCGACGATTTGTTCATGAAGGCGCGCTCTGGATCGACTTCTGTGTCACAGATCTCAAACTCTTGTTCCCAAAATAGCATATATGCTGCTGTTTGGAGGGAAATCTTAGTTCTCTCCGCTGACCCGCACCCTGAGATCGCACGAGATGCAGGAGCTGTCGTCGACTATGTGCTCATCGCACTTTTACAATCACCGCTGGCCAAATATGCACAGCCGTTATTTGACGATATCATGAGAAATGATCCTACCAAGCGTACACAACGTCGCACCGTGGACGAAAAGCCTGCGCCGCAGGTATCTCAACCCCCTACTCCTTCACGAGAAGCCAGCTATCTTTCATTGTTTGGAGGGCTGCGAAGGACTGGAAGTGTGGTGGGCTCTCTTAGAACGATATGGAGCAGCGGAAATGATTCCACGACTTCACCACAGAAGAGCCCAAACCGTACCAAGACAGACGAGAGCCTTATGTCTCCTACGGAGGCAAGTTCGTCCGTTTCCGATCGATCCTACGCAGAAGAGCAACCACCCAAGACGAGAGGTTTCGTGCCTCGAAACCTTACGGAAGAACCTGAGCTTCCCCTCAAAAGCAGGTTTTTCGAATGGTCCGTGGAATATTTCCGCGAGCCACAAATGAAGCCTGCCGAAGCCGATGAGCCGGGAAGCATGGATTATAATGGCAGACTGTGGAGAAGAAACCGCAACGATAAAATCATTGCCGAGACCCAGCCGCTCAAGGAAGTCGCCGTGACGCATCACTGGACACATCAACATGCTCTCTTTGACAACCTCAGCCAGCCCATGAAAATTGCGTTTCACCAGTTCGAGGATCATGTCGTGGTCACGGATAACAAGGACATGGTCAGTGTCGTGGAATACACCGGGGGTCCGACGAAGAGGATAAATAGCTTTTCGAACGGCAACCCTGCCGACTCCAGAATCACGCAAGCGCGATTTGTCAACGAAGATGATCAGGCATTACTCATGACAGGCTCCTCAGATGGTGTTCTGAAGATTTTCCGCAACTACGACACCAGAGGCAAAACAGAACTCGTTACGGCTTTCCGGGCGCTGACCGATCTTGTACCGAGTAATAAGAATGCAGGTCTTGTGTTTGATTGGCAGCAAGGCCGGGGTTTGACATTGGTAGCCGGTGATGTCAAAGTCATTCGTGTGTGGAATGCGGCAACGGAGATCTGCACAAGCGTAAGTCGCCTCCAAAAATGAGCTTATTAGCGATTGGCTTTCTCTGACAATTATACAGGACATTCCTGCTCGTTCCGGGTCTTGCATCACCTCCCTGACATCGGATCAGGTCGAAGGAGATGTCTTTACAGCGGGATTCGGCGACGGCGCGGTACGCGTCTACGACCAACGCCAAAAGCCCGCCACAGCCATGGTCAAAGTCTGGAAAGAACACAAACAATGGATCACAAACGTGCACCTACAGCGTGGCGGCCAGCGTGAGCTTATTTCAGGATGTCGCGACGGCGAAGTCAAGTTGTGGGACATCCGCATGGACCGCTCCGTCAAAACCATCAAAGCCACCACAGACAACCTCAAGACGCTCAGCGTTCACGAACACGCGCCCATCCTGGCCGTCGGTACCCAACGCCACCAGGTCAAGCTGTTCAACATCAACACGGGTAAACTTGTCTCGCAGTGGGAACCTTATTCGGGCTTCTTGCGCGACCGCTCACAGCCCGTCACCGCTATGGCGTTCCACCCGCACCGCCTGCTCCTTGCAGCTAGCGCCCTCCACACAAATTTCGTGAGCGTCAACGCTTGTAACGACGTCAGGCAATCGACCGCATCATCTCTGAGGACAGTCAAGCTTTGGGACGGCGGTAATGCTTGAGCGTGTCTTGTTTCCGTCCCTTCCCTTCACTCTTCTCCTCGACTCGTTTTGTGGAATCTCTACGTTTCTTGTCCCAGGTACTTGCTCGTATACAGCAAACCGATCATTAGGACTCACGTCATCATCGCCCTGCAAGTCATCAGGCAGGGGAAGGAGAAGAACGAGGGACAATAATCCCATTAATTCTGTGGCGGTGTTTATATCCCCCTTCTTAATTTCCATCTTTAGCAGTTTCAGCGCAGTATCCGTGTGCGTATTCATACCAAGCAGGCGTTTTTCTCCTTCATGGACGAGCAAAGGGTTTCAGTTTCCGGTCCGATCGGTTCCTGTCAGGGTCTTTTTTCTCTCTCTCTCTCTCTCTCTCTCTCTCTCTTTCTTCAAGCATGAATAGCATGGCATTATCAGGTTTCCTCCATTATCCCCTCATCACGCTGCGAAGGGGGCATTCTAAAGTAGTAATTGTATCTTTGTTTCTGTTGTTAATGCATGCATGCAGAAGAATAAATAATGAGAATCTTTCCGACATGGGATTATCGTTTTTCTTTTGTGCGTAATCGCCTAGAGCAAATTTCTTTTTCTTTAAACTATTTGCTATAAGTAGATTGAGGTGCGAAACTTTTACAATAAGAATTAATTCTTTTTTTAATTCTGTAATGATTGATTGATTCTAAGCTGGAGCTTGGGTGATCCTATACATAGTTTTTATCTGCATCAACACAGTTTTTATCTGCATCAATAATATCGGTAAGGGCGCACAAATAGCAGTTGAATGTACGGCGCCGCATTGTAAAGCATCTCAATTTCTCAGTGATGCAATGATGATAGCTTAATGTTCGACTATGGTCTGAAACAAAAAAAAATGACTACACACATTGGATACTTATACGTCACTTTCCGTCTAAACTTCCCACCACCTCCTGGGGCCCAATTACGATGCTTGCAACGTTACTTTCGGAGCTTGCATCGCCAACCTTGATTGACACGTGTCTCAACTGCCTCACTAGATCATCACCGCTCCATGTCCCACGGTCAAACTCTGGCATGCGGTAGCTGCGCATCAAAGCACTCGTAAAATCGGAAACTTCAGGTCCACTGTAAAGCCAATTAAAAGTGAGGGATGTGGCAGCAGCGGCCATCATAATTATCGTAGCGAGGCATAGAATCGAAAGCCATCGCTTGTCGCATCTCAAAGTCGATTTGAAGTCCAAGAGCGTTGCGTTGGCATTGGCTAATAGCGGAGCAGTATTTACAGAGAGGGCCGCATACTCGGTTAGATTCAAGCTGTTTAGATTGACGACGCCAGCGAGGGCCGAGTGAGCGATCCAGTAAGCATTGATGACCTGTTCCAAGCGGGAAGCTAGCTCTGTTGCTCCGAGAGATGCAAGGTCTGGCAGCGTCTCGTAACCTTTGCTGAACGGGTTGGCATTCGAGTCGTTGAGGAAATAGTTGAATACGTCGTATTCAGGGGTACCTTTGTGTGTTATTGGAATTGCCTGCGCAAGCCACCACAGAAGATGTTGCGTGAAGAAGGTGAGATCGGATTCGAGAGGGTAGGGAGCTACAAGCTCTGATAGACGGATGGCGGTGGTGTTGCAGGAGCCTGTATTGCAGAAGATGTGCATTTCTACGGGGACATGGGTTAGGTTCGCCGATAAGCGGGTGATGCCAGCATGTCTTGAAGTGACATCCGAACCTTTAAGGCTGGTAGCATTCGGATTATCAGGATTGGCGTTTTCGAACATGAGAGGCATAGTAAGTGAGGCCGGGCGGTCGGAAGATGCTGTCGAGTTGGGAAACAGAAACTGCCAATATCCGCTCGTACTGGTGTAATTTACCAAGCCCTCCTGTGCGGTAGGTAGCCATGGGTACCCCCTTACAGTGGAAGAAGATCCCGTGCCACTTATGCTGAGGGATACGGTTGGGTCGCTCAGATGCCAGTACCAAGAACGCATTTTAAATGTTGAATTGCCTCGATTGGTTGGTTTCAGAAAGGGGATCCCGATTAACGACGAGTATGTAGCCCAGCCGGATGCTGGCATGTTTATCCAGTCTGTAGAATCATAATATCCATTTGATTTGCTGAGAGTTGGTATCTTGATATTTCCAAATGTATCTTCAGAACGATTGAGAGAGGTTCCAACCGATAGAAATGAGGCGAACAAGACCGCGTTGGCCGCGTTGTAGCCGTTAAGCCAGCCGGGACTCTCGGTCTGGCGGCTGGCAGCCGGGTAGTAGTAAAGAACGGTGGAGTTGGTTGTCTGAACCGTTTGGAGCTCTGATACCGATCGTAGGACACCTTGACTCCCCAGGGGAGAAAAGACCCAGATGGCAATCAACATTAGAGGTACCCGATTAAAGGTGCGCAGTCCCAACGGCGCGATCAAAGCGTTAGCCAGCGTGGAGCATTTCGAAAGGTATGCGAAACTCATCATGTTGATGCCTCTCGCCAAACGCCAATTGAGAACGTTCCGTATTCCGCGGCTCACGATCAAAGCAAAGAGGTACGGGAAGAAGGTGGTAGCCTATGCGAGCATATCTTAGTGGGTCCACCTTCAATTCAGACCAAAGACCTACTGTACGAAAAATGTCGAGTAGCTGTCGTTGATGAGTTCCCATCTCTACTCCGTCATTTTTCCGAACGAACACGGCAAAGACGATGATGGCTATGCACAGAAAAATACAAAAAATATCCACGAGAGCGCCCACTATCTGGCGCTGGCGGCTCTCAAGCTTCTGTCGGTTCTGTTTACCGCGTTCGATTCCAACGTCTTCATTCGGATTTGCCGACGAGTTTTTCTCATTGGGCTCACTTGATGAGACAGCGGTGTACGCGTTCAGGGATGATGTTTGACCGTAATGATGGCTGGCATCAAATTCATCTGGTGCTGTTCTCGACATTTTTTGGTCAATACTAGAGAGTGTGAACAACTTTCGGCGGTGAAAGCGAGACAAATTAAATGCACGCGGCGCTGTAAATCTCTACGAAGATGGAAGCTTCAAACTTCTCGTATATAAATTAAGCAGTCGAACCCCACCTTCTTTTCGACAAGCGCATCGAGGCAGCTGACCACCTCTTATGGGTGTTGCTGCATACACGGCAGCCCGACTGCAGCCATCAAGGGTGAGACTTGCAACGATTGGACCAAAACTATCGACGTGTATCCAGCCAGGGCCATACGCATCAGGTCGTGAAATGAGTGGTCTTCGTATTCTAATATCTGCTTGTGTGTCAGTCGCCTCGTTGCCTTTTCTCGTAAGCTAGAATATGCTGTACTTCTCACGGACGTATCTAAGGCTTAATTACAAATTCTTGATATTAGCATCAGTGGTGAAACAAACGTTTGGGGTCCTTTTTCCAGACTTCCGCTTCATAAGTCGCATTACCAAGCTTAAGCAGCGTATGCACAAGAACCAGATGTTACTTGGGTATTAAAATGAATAGAGGCCTTCACCAATAAAGCAGAATGGTTACAAAAAACTACAAGATAAGATGTTGATTGTAGATCAGCAGCAACCGGTGAAGAAGATGCAGGTTGCAGACCAGCAGCTTCCGGTGAAGAGGCAGACTGCACATCAGCAGCATCCAATGAAGAAGATGTAAGTTACAGATTATCAGTATCCGGGGAAGAGGACGCTTTGAATTGAAAAGTATGATATCACCGAGAGGCCCAGCATACTCTCAATTAAATTTTCGCCACCTCTTTTGCCAGAAACCCTCGTAATGCGGTTTCACTTCGAAAAAGTAAAGTCGCGGATACAAAAGCAGGACATGTTCCTGAAGCTGCGAGAGCCCAACGATGAGTTCTATCTACGAGACACTGCCTTCTATCAATTCTATCAGGCTCTTATATTTGGGGCCTATCATTGAGGGCAATTTGACTTACTCTCTGGTCGTTGTCGACAGCTACCAAGCCGGCCCCGAATATCATGCCCTTAGCTACTGCTGGGGAGATCCACACGACACTCTCAATTCTCTATGCAATGGAGAATCCTTCTCAATCACCAGATCTCTCCACGATGCCCTTTCTTGTCTCTCACGGAAAGGGATATCACAACCTATCTGGGCGGACGCAGTCTGCATGAACCAGAGCGATCTTCACGAACGCAACCAACAAGTTTCGATTATGCGACAAATCTATGAGCGGGCTGCGCGCGTCTCTATTTGGATCGGTCGCGAGAGCTACCATGACATGGAAATGGCAATAAATCTGATCAGCCGCATTGGTCAGGCGGCGTGCCAGGCTCTACATAAGTCTTCAATATCATCGCACCCAAACCAAGAGTGTGACCGAAGTCACGTTGTCTCGAAGATCATATTTCCAAGCTTACCGCCCATGAAGGATTCAGAATGGGTGCGATTTTGGCAATTTTATAGCTCTAGCTGGTTTTCTAGGGTCTAGGTGATTCAAGAAGTTCGTGAATCTCAAGACATCCATTTCCTCCGCGAGGAGGAGAACCTTGCATGGGACCATGTTGGAATGGCGGCAAAGTGGGTCTTCTTTGCACGCAGTATAGACATTCAATGGACGAGAAATCGATTCGAATCCTATTCTGGTTTTACTAATGCTTCATTCATGTGGAATCAAACGAAGAAAACTCGAAGAGAGGCTCCGTTTCCGGCACTGTTGAACTGCATTCGACATTTTCAAGCTACAGATACTAGGGATAGAGTATTTGCACTCTTGCAGTATCCCATTATTCACATTAAGCATAACGAGCAAGGCCAAGACGATATGTTTCAGTATCCAATGTTCTCCAATACGGTACGTATACCCCAGGTATAACAGCCAATAAAAACGCTAAGAATTGATCTAGGCACCTGCTACTCACCTCAAATTGCAAGCGGACTACAAAATGACCACGGGCGAAGTGTACCGTTTGGTGGCATTAGAATCAATTCAATGCTATGGCAACCTGGAGGTGCTCACTTATGCATGGCAACCAAGGTCGGGTCAAGACCTGTATCCCTCGTGGATACCTCGTTGGAATCCTGTAAACAGTCAAGGCCATTGGACAAACCTCCTCCCATTTCTCTATGATGCAGCAAAAGATACAACACCAGTACTCCAGCCTACGATTCAGAAGAACATAATATCTCTGCAAGGATTAAACCTTGGATGCATAATCGAAAAGAGCACCGTCCTTCGCTTCCAAGATCAGCAAGCATACTTGCCTGGCGAACATCAAGATATCAAATGTAGTCTACTAGAGATGTCGACGATGATTACTCAAGATCGCTGGCAAGAAGATATAGATCTGGAAGACGCAGCAGAGCGTGGTTCAAAAGCTATCGAAGTCCAATTTGCCGACTTCTGCACATACGCTCTCAATCTTATGGACGAGCTACAGCAAGACAGTTACCTTCCCGTTTATTCCACATGGTGCAACATATGTGGCCACGATATCGTCCCTAGTCACACAGCTATTTTGGAGCTTCCTACACAGTATAAATGCTATGACTATACTTCAGACCTCGAAATGTGCACTAGTTGTTACGAGGATGGAAAACACTGTCCCTGCACAAAACGTCCAACAAAGACTGGGACAACTACATCACTCTGGCTTCCGTACACTGCTAAAGTCATGGAAATACTCAGAAATCACGCAAACGGCAATGGGCGTCGATTTTTACGGACCGCTATGGTTATGATGCGGGATCGTGCGTTCTTCTATGCATCTCATAGATGGAAGAGTGTTGGCTATCAACAGATCGAACCTGGAGATACAATCGCTGTCCTGTTTGGATCTCGCGTCCCCTTCATCCTTCGAAAAGTCGAAAGTGAAGTTGAAAACGGATACCGACTCATCGGGGATTGTTACATTCATGGTCTTATGGATGGTGAGGCTATTCAAATGTGGAAAGATGGAGATGAGAGAGCGAAGCTGGAAAATTTCACTCTTTACTAACTACCAGGCATTACTCTTGTCACTTAGATCTCTTGTCAAAGACGACCTCGAAGCGAGACATAATGGCTTTGCATAGTCTTTGAAACGCAGAGAAGGCGCGGAATCATCAGCGTAACTAGGTCAAGTAAGACAATCAGGACTGGACAGAATAGCCAGCGATGGGAAATCGGAAAACGGGTACCATATTGATTTCGGAATTGTCATATTGTCTAGATAGAGACGAGTCGAGCTGGCACCCAGCAAGCCGAAATCAATAATATTTAAAACCTAGAACAGTGTTCAAATTGAACAAACAGAGGGACTGCACCTTCGTTTCTATTGTCAGTGCATGCATGCAGATCAATAAATATGTTTTTTTTTTTCGTTTTTACCTGTGATTTTTTCCTGCAGGTACCCCGTGTAAAAGAAACCATCTTGCCAACCAGCCCTAACCCCATCCCTAACCAAAAAAAAAAAAAAAAAAAAAAAAAAAAAATCACTTCGCACCCCTCGCTCTAAGCATCCCAGCCACATCATCATGTCCCTCCTCCAAAGCCGCCAAAAGCGCATTCCCACAGAGCCCACCTTGCGCATTAACATGCGCGCCACGATCAAGCAGCAGCGTCACAGTAGCCTCATGGCCCGCAAGCGAAGCCGCCTGGAGCGCGTTTGCGAACCACCCCCCCTGCGCATTAACATCTGCGCCATGATCAAGCAGCAGCCGCACAATGGCCTCGTGGCCGCTAAACGACGCCGCCTGGAGCGCGTGGCCGTAATCTTCGTTCTGCACGTTGACGTTGGCGCCCTTGTCGAGCAGCTTTTTGGCTGTTGCTTGCTGCCCGTGTTGGGCGGCCCATAGTAATGCAGAGCTTGAGGACTGGTAGATATTGTGGCGGTAGAGGTAGGGGTTTAATAAATGGTAAAGGCGTAAGTTTGTTTGTGTAAAGGTGTTGATGTCTCTTTCTGATTCTAGGGTTTCTGCTATGCGGTAGAGTAGTTCGTTTGGCAGACTAAGAAGTGGCATTGCGATGGTATCGTTTGGCTGGTGGGTGTGATGAGCACTTCAGATAAGGGAGTTAATGACAAAGGAGGGGGGGCAGGGGCGTAAGAGTGGCTGAGTTGCAACGTTTTGATATCGTGTGTGTGTGTGTGTGTGTGTGTGTGTGTGTGTGTGTGTGTGTGTGTGTGTGTGTGTGTATGTATAGAACTAGGTAACTTCAAATGTTCACAATCATATTGCTAAGCAAACTACCTTGACTTACACTAACTCTAACTAATCGCACAACCGTTAACGTAGCGTAACCTATTTATTCTTCCTCTATCTCTATCTATATCTGTGTATTTGTGATAATATCTCTCCGCTTGGCTTAAACTTGGCTTGAACTACCCTACTTAATATTTTTTTCACAAAGCCTCACACACAGAGAGAGAGAGACTAAGCATCAATCACTCTCACAACACACCATCCTTAGAAAACAAAGTAATTATGCTGAGATTACCTAGGGCTTGCAAAGAGCATTCAGAATTTGTTTGTTTTTAGAAGCTAGTAAGCAAACGAACGAACGAGCAATTGTGTATATATTTCCTATCAAGATGGCAGACCCTCCTTTTCCCTCCCCTACTAAAAAAAGGGGAGAGAAGCATGTCAAAACGCACAAAAGACGAACGGCCATTAACGTGAAGAGAGGGAGGGTAGTAGAGGAGGAGGAAGTTTGGGAAAGCGCGCGAAAGGGAGGCAAGGGGATAGGTAAGAAACCCCTCTTTGTGTGTTGAAAAGTGCGAGGGTTTCTTGAGATAGGTAGGTAGATAGATGGGCGGAAGGGGAGGAAAACATGCAAGGACTAAGAAACAAAGCCATTATAACATACAAAGCAAGCCAGCAGAGAGATATCCTGATAGTCAGAAGATCCTGTGAGAGTAAAAAAAAACGCCATAAGATGAGGGTGGAAAGGAAAAGAAGAGATGAAAAAAGATATGCCGTATCCCCGTGATTATCTTGATAGGATTTTTTCTCTCGAGGGGAGGAACGGAAAGGGGGACAGGTGCGCCTCGAAGCCCAAGGCCCAGGTCAGACTGCCCGTCCCATGCCTGTTCAATCTTCTTCCCTTCCTCTGTCCCTCATACCCTGTTCCTCGTGTCCTGCCGCTTGATCATCAAAGATACAGAACACCACCACCCATACACATACACAGAAAACCAGCCATAAGCATTCCTGTCTCAAGTGTGCTTCGTAGACTTTCCCTTTGCGCGGGCCTTGGCCGCAGACTTGGTGACTGCTGCACCCGTCTTGTGCAGGGACCTCGAAGCGGGCGCGTTGGCCTTCTTCTTGCCCTTTAGCTTCGAGGCAGCTATCTTGGCCAGATCCTGGTTGCCGGCTTGCTCATCGCTTTCCTCGGGCTCGACGATTTCGTCTTCGGGCTCGCTGTCCGGAATCTCCATGATGTCCTTCTTCGTTTTAGATGCCGATGACGCTAGATTCAAAGGCTGGAAGGGGAGCTTGGACTGTTTGAGCAGACGCTGCTGTTGCGGTTTCCTATGCGCGCTACGAAGGGATGCAGGCGTAATGTTGGGCGACTCGCTGTCGGATCCTGATGTAATGTCTTCCTCTTCCTCATCTTGATTGGGCGTCTCATCTCGTTCTTGAGTTTGCGCAGATTTCGCGCTGTTATTGTTAGGAGGAAGACCCTTTTTGGCTCCTTTCTTGAGTACGTTGGAAACAATGCGTTGGGTCGAGCTACCGACGACACGCTTGCCGGGGTTCAGAGTACTTGGTTTGGAAACTTTGCGAATGCTAAAGGTAGCGTGTCGCGATGATTTTGTGACGGTCGACGTAGTAGTCCCTTGCAGGATTGTGGTTTTACGGAGACCTGCGGATCGTTTTGATTGATTTAGCACTTTGGACCTGTTCGCAGCGCGATTTTGACGTGATGCGAGTTGAGCTGCATGTGTCACTGCTTCCTGTTCAGCCTTTGCACGGGCTGCTGTTGTTTGAGCGAGTGCATTCATCACTTTGGTAGTCGCAGAGTTGCCGTTTTTCCGCTTCTTAGGCGAGCCCGATGAACCCGCTGTTCCACCGCGCCCGCCGAAAGCTTCCTGAAGCTTGCGCTTGGCTCCTGCCACCAATGAAGCCGCGAGGGATTTCTCCTCATGTGCGGGTTTCTTGGGCTTTGGGCCTAGGACACCACGGCATGAAGGAGTTCCGCAGTGACACTCTTGAATGTTCTTGCTAGAAAAAGGACTAAGAAAAGTCAGCGTGTTAGTCGTATATGGGATTTTGCAGAACGTACTCAAAGTTGTAGTCATAAGTGAGCTCTTCGCCAGACATGATTCCACGACGACCCGCGAACAATGCCATGCGAGGCTCGCCACCTACTGTCCATTTGATCATTTCGCAGTTTGGCTCGCAGGAATGGTTGACGAAGCGTGCAATCGTTCCTCGAGTAGCATCGATGATCATCTTGTTGTCGAAGCTCATTAAATAATAGCACTGCTAGAAGTAAGCGGTCTGAAAACAAGGAGCAATCTAAGGTACACATACCTTATCCTTCTTGTACACCTGCTTCATGCGTCGTTCGCATTCGTCTTGGGTAATGATCTCACCGGCGTACTCTACGATTATTTGGTGAGGATTGAAAGATCTCATAGCGCGCACTCCATAGCCTTTGTCTTCAGTCTGCATCACTTCAACACCATAATCATACCCGTTGCTTTTTGAGCGCTTCTTGAGATCTGCAAAAGGTCGATTGGTGCACTGATCCTCTGTGAGGCGGCAGTTGGACGCATCGCATTCGTACGCCATGATGCGATTGTGGCAGGCTTCCCCGCACCCGTCTTCCACTTCACAGTAACATTGCGATGAGTCTTGTTTTTCACGCTTCCACAGCGCAGAAGCCTCACCAATGAAACGATCTGGGAGAAATTAGCGGGAAAAGCGGTCTTCATGCGATCGAAACTTACTTTTGCTGATTTTGGTCCACCCGTCTACCTTGACTTTTCGAAGCAGGGGATTGTAAACATCGAAAGGTAGCTTGAAGTCGCGATAGGAGATTTTGGGGTTTGAGTCCAACGAGTCTCCTGCAGTGAACATGGGCAGTGGCAGCGTGTTGTTCTCTTTCGGTTTCCGCGACTTTAACCGTGCACGATTCTGGCTTCCTGACAGGCGAGCATCGAAACCGCGAGTCTGGCCTACGAATAGACCTTGCGATAGCCATTGCTTAGATTTGGGCTTCACAACTTCCTTTTCCGCATCCCCCGATCCCCCATTTTTGTTGCTCACGTCATTCGGCTCAGCATCGCGTGCAGTACGTGGCCGCTTCGCCGAGGCTGGGGGGGCGGTTTGAGTAGACGAACGCAGGCGAGAGTCTGATGCGCTACGCTTCAGTGTCTTCTGCACAAGTTGCTTTCCACCCGTAATGGCGTTTGCAACCAGCTCGCCGGCGCCAGACAGATTCCGCAACGCCTCCCGGCGCAAGTCAGTGGCACGTGATGAGCGACGCTGAGCAGCCTGTGCAGTTTCTGCAGCAAGCTGTTGCTCCGCGGGATCGTTTGTGTCGGTAGAGTTGCGCCTAGATCCGGGGGTGCGCCTCTTCTTGGGAGAGGGGGAGGGGTTTGCTTTCACGACCGCATCGATAGGGCCGTGCAGCACATTGCCGTGGTGGGTTTCCAAGTATTTTGTAGGCGTGTGAATTGCAGTGCCAGCCAAGATCTGTACGTTGTATGTGACGACGGAGGAACGCGAGCTGCGTGTCGGTCGTCCGCGCCCACTGTTGTTGTTGTTCGGGGTGCTTGGAGCGGATTCGGTTGATTGCGTTATAACACTGGCAATCTTGGACGGAGGGGGTATGTGGACTTCATCCTGTTGTTGCTCGACCACCTGTTCAATCTTGGGCGGCAGCTCGGACATGACGCTCGTGTCATCGCCCAGGCTGGTGGGTGGCGTGGAAGTCGGGGGTGACGCGCTCGATGAAGCACGGAAGTCGGGGTGCTTCTCGGTGTGCACGGTAATATTGGAGTGGACGGACACGGTCGAAGATGGCGATGTGTTGCGGTTAGCCATTCTGACGCGGGGCGAGGTGGGACGCGGCCGTGGTGGAGGAGTGGTGCAGGAAGAGGAGTGGACGCGCGCTGAGATGTTCTAGGTTCGGCGGATCCAAGGCGTTCGGGGAAGGACAGTTCGAACGTGTGCACGCGCACGGCAAGCGACAACGCCAAAGAGAGGCGATATCACTTTGTCGCAGTGGCAGCAAGCAGTGCAGGGTGAATTGGCGAGGAACAGAGCCCCGGCGCGAGATTTGGACTTTGAGATTGGTGACGGGGTGCAGGTGGTTTGGAGAGTCGGGAGAGTGGAACTTAAGTAAACATCACCGCTAGTAATCAATTCGGGCCAATAGCGCCATGCCTGATCAGTCTGTCCTACCACCCCCCTCGCATTCCGCTTCTCTCTCACTCAAACTCCTTTGCACTTGGCGCAGATGCAAAGCAATTCACCGCCTCGGATATGGCTGCCTGGGAAAAAAGAGGCCCAGAGTCATAGTTACATGTCCTTCAGCCAGTTCACTTATTGTCAACTTGAACGTTCCTTCAACTTGACGCACGCCTCAGGTAGGAGTGATGGATATTGGGCTAGTCTTGATAGTAAAGAAAATGCCGCAAATACTTCACCATCAGCGGCTCGCCAATTGACCAGATATGCCTCGCTGTTTAATTGTTGGAGGAGGCATCACCACCTATGTGAATTGGAGCCTAGGTATATGTCCATCTGCGCTCCCGCGGGAACCAACCTGCTGAGTATAAGCCCAACACTTTGTAGGATTGATCCCATGGATATTGTCTTCTTCCACCCATCACCGCGTGCATGTCTCCACTTGGTCTTAGCATAAACGCGTCACAGCATTCTGTTATACTGGTTATACAACGCTTGCGAGCATGAGCAAACGCGTGCAGTCAAGTTTGCCGTTACACATCAGCAGCTGGACAAACTGCCAGACAGTTGCTCTAAAGCATGTGGAAAGCCCATGCCTTGCTTACCAGGTCACGCATCAGCGTGTGGCGAAAGGGAACATTCACTCAAACACGCTACTCCTGTGGAAACCGCTCACTTCAAGTTGACCCTGGGCTTATGCTCAGCAGCCCCCCAAGGATTTGATAGAGTCAACCTCCACCGACTTAACGCGTCTTTCAACTGTCAACTGGTGTACCTCACTGCCTTTGCAGCCTAACCAGACAGTACTAGATAAATTCAACACTGTACTAGCATCTACCTACTTCGATCTCCAACTCTACTCTTTCAGCTTTTCGTGCAATGAGGTTAAAAGATCGTTACTGAATTGGTTGTCTGCAAGCATGCTGCGTGACCCTCAAGTTTTCTGTTCAGATTTCTGCATCCGGATCACTACAAATACGTCAACTGGTGTTTTTCATGTACCCAACACAGTCTACTGTCCTTTCATCTACCGTCTTCATGTGCACAAAAATGCTGTGATTTCCTGGTGGCACATATCCCTACCAAAGCATACACACAAAGTAGGACACCGGAAATATAGAATATTACATTATGTGAGGTTATATTCACGTCGGTCGACTATGTACTGTTCTACGCTTACCCACGAGCCGACCAGGCCCGCGAAAGTAAACGATCCCCCGCCTATCCCGCTTGGGACCTGCGTTGACGGGATTCGCTGACGGAGCCCTCGGTGCGGATTGCTTGCATCTCAACGCCCTTGCCGAACCTCTGGTCACCATCCTCATACTGACTTTTGAACTGCAGATATGTAGGAGGTCGTGGTCGTATCAGCACCGCAATCCAGTTCTTCAACATCGATTCCTGGGTGAAAGGTCTGTGCCTGTCTTTTTTGAGGAACTTGTGCGAATTCAAGTACTCGCGAGTGGTTTCCCCACGAGCCATCAAGAAGAGGTGATATAACCCCAGACTGAGCGGATAGGGAGCCCCAAGCACCGCATATATGCACATGGCAAACGGCACGCGCCACTCTGAGATTGCATCACCAAATGTGGCACGGTTTCGTGCACGCCATAGAAGAATATGGGTCAAGCTGGCAGCAAGGAGATAGACACCGAGAATGGTGGCAGACATCACAAAAGTGAAGAAATATCGGTAGTTTCGTCGGCCTGGAAGCAAGAAAAAATTAGTAACATTCTATCAAGAATAATATGATGCTCGAGAGTGTCTAATATAAAGACATACCAATGCAATTGTTGAGCCACACGCAGTGGTGGTCCTGAGTCTCAATACAATTGTCACAGACACGGCAGTGATGAGCTCGGGGTGGCCTCCAGATGTTGCAGCTCTTGCAGAACTTGGTGGGGACTTCCATCGCAGCGTTGCCTCCGGCTGCAGAGACAACCATGGTCCACTCAGTAGTAGGGGGTCCGACGCTGAGTGGGTCGTCATTAGGATTAGGTGGGGCAAAAGGATGTAAGTTGCGCGGTAAAATGCCCGGGTCGGAAGCAGTGGCATGGATAAAAGAAGAAATACAAATCAAGAACAAGTACGCAAAGGTAATGGGTATCGCAGGAGAAACATTAAGCCATAACCATGGCGCGCTATACGAGGGTTAGCAAAACAAGTCTTGGTGACAACAGTCTATGCACGTGGAGGAGGAGATCTTACGAGAAGCCCAAGAAGAGGGCGGTAGGGGCTACGATGAGAAGCGCTGTAGCGATGTTGACAGGCCGATCGCGAGTATTTTGCAAACGTCCACCCCAACAAAAGGCAGTGTTCCCAGCAAAATACTGGTAGTTTTTACCCAGTTCGCGCTTGACCACTTCCTTGGGAGTTTCCTTGCGCGCCATCCTCGGGGACGATTCGGCCGAGGTCAGTTTTTCATGACCTTCCTGTGGTCTGAGGGAAAGCCGGCCTTCGCGGCTGGGTAAGAGGAAATTAGAGGTGAAAGAGCGAGGCGACTTGCTGGGGGTTGCCACCTTGCCAGAATCGGTTTTGTAATTTTTGGAGAGGTCTAGGTGTTGTGGTTTGGGGGGTCGTTGCAGAGGAGTGATGCTTTCGCCTTGGCTTCGCACTGTCTCAGCCCCTGTGGGAGTTGAGTTGGCAGTGTTTCGGTCGGGCAGGTCGCGATCGCTAAAGTCTGTTCCGCGAGAAGGAGGGGGTGGTTCGTCTTGGGTGCGATGTAGACCGAGCGGGGCTTCTTTTATAGTGTTGTTGGAGCCGATGCTGTGTCTGTAGTGGTTTCCTCCGGACTCATTGCTGCTTTCCACGTAGAGCGCCGTGTGGCCCAGCAGCGACGTGGGACGCTGGTTTCGCTGTTGCTGCAACCTTTGACTGCTCATGGGGCGGAAGAAACCGTGGGCTGCCAAGGGAACATGAGTTCTGCTGGCGCTCGTTGTCGGACGGCTCTGCGACAAACTTCCTGTCACGCTCCCTCCTGTGCTGCCCACGCGCCCCAGTCCCCGACTTGGATGTGCAGCCTGCGAATTTGCCCGGCCATGGCCCGATGTCGCGATGGAAGAAGGACGAGACGGGGGAAGCCCGGATTCGCCGGCGGGGCCAGTCACACCCAGGACACGGCTGCCCGTGGACATGCGATTCTGCGAGGTGGAAGATTGCGCGTGCGAGTGTTGGTGAAAGTCGGGATGGTCGTTGGTGGACGGGTTCGGGTGGCGAGTGTGGTGGTCGCTGCTATCGTGCTGTGCGACGCTGCCGGGCCCCGCGAAGGTACTTGTATTAGCGGCTGGAGATTCGGTGGGCGTCGTCATAGCCATATCGCGTCGGTAGGTGCGGCGATGTGAGTCTCAGGGGAATTCTGCAAAGACAACGGCATGACACCAGACCCAGGCGTGTTTTGAAACGACAGAGGCAGCCCAGAGAGGGCAGGAAAGTGGAAAAGAAAAACGCAGACACGGTTGGTGTGCACGGGGACGGAGGTACTGTAGAAAAAGCAAGCTGGCGCAGAAGACGGCGCAGGGGTAATTAGTCGATGAATCAATGGGTAGGCAAGTAGGTTTGAGAGAGCGCGAGAAGAGAAGAGAAGGTTTCAAGAGCACGCTGACGGCGGCCTTGGTGAAGACAAAAGGCACGACACGGGGGCGGACAAGGTGTAAATATCGTGATGAAGTATCATTTAAGGGGGACAGGGTTGGCGAGTCGCCTGCAATGCATCGGGCTGGCCTCCGCCCACGCATCCATGCCTTGACGATTGCTGCCCCCTGTCGTAGGCCTCGCTACTGAGCGGCCGTCTGTACTGCAGGCATGAACAGTGATTGAATCGGGGTTAGGGAGCAAGGTGAGGCCCGTCTGCGCGTTCTGCCTGGACAACGGTTGGATTTGCTGGTCCTGTCTGAGTATTCGGGACCTTGCAGCACATGCAAGCCGTTCCAGCTCCCTATCCCCCTTGAGGCCTAGCAGCGCCTTCTCTCATTCCGCCATACAGACGTCGGCAGAAAATCCAAAAGCCCGGCCCGTGCTCAACCACCAGCCTTGGCGTGCTCGACATCGAACCACCCGCCAAAGCTATCCAACAACGTCACACCCTCACCACCCACCGTCTCCGCGTCAACATCTCCACTCCACCACAAACCACCTCAATTGCGTCCACCATGTCCAGCATCATCGGCCGCACCGCTTTCCGCGCCGCCCCTCGTCTCCGCCCCACCCCTGTGGCCCGCCGCTGGGCCACCAGCACCGCCGGAACCGAGGAGAGGAAGGCCGGCAAAGATGCTCTCAAGCAGGGAGCCAAGCGCGATCCCGAGCTCTACGTACGTCTATTCTGCGTCGATTTCGTTTTTGTTTGGAGGCCTGGGGCTGGTCAGGGAGCTACAATGGGTTGTGGAATAAAGTGGGGGAAGAGCTTCTTAACCCAGCCGGAGGCATCTGATAAAATGCTACAGACTTGTTCAAACATGAATCTGGCACTAACGTGACCATTAGGTCCTTCTTGCTATCATGAGCGGTATCTTTGGTATCGCAGGATGGCACTTCTGTAAGCTCTTCTTGACTCAGCGAGCTCGCACCTAGCTCGCTTTCAGCCCTACCCAAAGACTTACAGATCTAGCTCGATCCCCCACCAGCGCTTCCTCCGAGCGTACTGTTGCCCAGGCTGCCAACAGCAAGCCTTGGGAGGCGGGCGGCGGCGAGGGCAAGTACCAGTATCACCCCGGAGGTGACCCCAATGCCCCCAAGAAGGATGCTCCTTCAGCATTGAACTCGGTCATCATCCCCAACGTGACCCTACCCAAGGTATGCCCATACGTCTCTCGACTTTGCTCATCCGAGACTGATTGTTCTTTAGGAACTCCACGACCAGTACAACAAGTGGGGCAAAGACGGCTACTAGACACTTTTCTCGATAGCAAAACGTTTCCTTGCCTTGCTTCCATTAGACAAACTCACCCACCAATCACACATCACACGCACCACATATTTCTTTGCTCTGTAAATAAGCTCAAGCTACGGCTGTACCGAGTAGACACGAACGGGAACTCTTCCGAAATTAAGAGAACAGAAAAATCACTTAAAGAAGCCATCACTGTGCAATTCTACCTTTTTTTTGAAATTCTTTCATTGATTATTCCGAACCATTTACGGTATTTCCATCAGTTCGCTTCCACCTTTCTATGTAGGTAGGTAACCAGGGTATCAAAATCCATGTCCTGAACGCCCCTTTCTTTCCATTATCCCATGATATCCATTTCTTCCCATGAAGCAAAGCGCACTATGCGCGGGAATTCATTCCTTCGACAATCGATCCGATTAAACCCAAATAGCCACCAAGCCGAGCATGACGGCACCACGGGTGAGTCCCGAGTTCTCAACTACAACCTTGCCAGCGCTACCCGTGTAGATGGGGTCCGAGGAGTTTGTAGTAGCCGTGAAGGACACGGAAGGCCTGGAGCTCGTAGCCGTAGCCGTGAAGTTGAAGGAAGGCTTGGACGTAGTACCAGGGTTGTTGTCGTAGCCAGGCAGGGTGGTGGACGTCAGCAGGGACGTCGAAGGCGAGATCAAAGAGCTGCTGCTGACACTTCCAGACTCGGACAGCGACGCCGAGGACGAGGCTGTCAGCGTGGGCGTGTAGTACGTCGAGTTGGCCGAGTGCGTCTCGATGGGGGCGCTGGGCTCGGTGTTGGTTGGGCCCATGGTTGGGATGGTTGGCTGCGGGACCGAAGATGATGATGAAGACGGCGAGAGCGCCGAGGACGGCGTGGGCAACACCGTGACCGTAACCGTCTTGTTGCCGCAGGGGCAGGACGAAGAGGGCACGACAGGCTCAGGCTCGGTCACGGATGGAGCCGAGGGCGAAGCCGCGATAGAAGACGATACGGACGATTCGCCGCACGGAGAAGAGGAGGGGCCCACAGCGGACGCCGAGTTGGTGTGGTGAGGAGGCACAATTGGAGAGATGACCGATAGGCGCGAGGAGTAGAGCGGATCATCAGTTGGAGTGGGCACCGCTTTGGAGCTATCGGCGATGGTGGTGCCAGCTACGGCGACGCTGCTGAGCATGCAGGCTGCGACGAGCAGCTTCTTGAAGACGGCCATTGTTGCTTCCTTGGTGGTGGTAACCGTGGCAAACGAGTGTGAGAATTGAGTAGGTCGAGAGACGGAGACGTCGAGTGTAGGTGGTGTAGGTGTTGAGGTCGAGGTTGACGAAGTGAGTGTGGTAAGTGGGAGGTAGAGGTAGTCGAGGAGCTGGTGTGACCTCTATTTATTGTTGTCAACAAGAGACAAACAACCGCTCACTCGGACGCCGTAACCCCCGATATCGATAACAATTGGAGCCTCGAGCGAATGAGAACCAGCCAAACAGAAATCGCTGGGTGATTGTCTCGTCTGTTTGTATCCTTTCCCCTTCCGAGGCGGTGGACAACAGAGCAGACAACCAGACCAGGTAACCTGATATGGCGAACCGACACTATCTCTTTCACCAATTCACATCTACCCGCATGTATATGTAACACATGCACCCAAGAAAACCCAATATCTAACAGTTGTGCACTTGAATGAAGTTGCTAAAAAGCCCAAAAAAATTTATAGGCAATAAGCAGGGGGTGGTACAGCCTAAGTAGTAACCCTCATATGTGAATTGCGTCACCCACCCACTGCCCAAGACAGGTAGGCAGAACGGCGGATTCCCGGAATACGAACTTTTTTGGTTGCTGTGCTTGCTCTGTGCTTTTGTTTTTCTCTATTCTGAGTGGGTATGCGCCTTGCGATGTTCCGTTTGTTAACCTTGTAGGTAGTGTTCGCAGGGACGATCTCGGGGATCGTTTGTTGCGTTCGTATTCGCGATGGTGGTGTGGCGAATCCTTCACAACGTGGGTGGTGTGGCCGTGCTCTATCGTAGGCCTGGCTAGGCCTCGTACGAGTCGTTGATGAGAGGGCCTTCGAGATTTGGAGTTTGTCGATTCCTGGTTCCTGGTTTCCGGACTGCAGTATCGGCTGGGTGCAGCTTTTAGGTGTTCGTGGCTTTGCTTGGGTTCACCCCCTCCTCGTACTATCTATTCTTCCCACGTAAAATGCCGAGTATGCTGTGCAAGCTAAGGAGTCGAAAGGAAAGAAATAACGTCACTCGCTTGCCAAAGAAGAGAAAGACCGACAGAAAAGAAAAATAACCAGCGTAAATGCGAGGAGAAGAAAGGGGAGGAGCAGCAACAGATGACCTATGTACGCGAAGGACGAAGATGACCACGTAAGTAAGGGAAAAGGCTGACGAACACCATTGCCCTTCGGTGCCTTCCATATGGTTGTATATATAAACTCAGCCCCCATCGATTCAGGAAAGGGCATCCTCAGGACCAAAGTATGTACATCACCACGAAGGCGCCAGCCATAAGCCAGCCCATCAGCTGCTCTCCCAAGAATATACAAAAGGGCTTACACGTTTGTACAGTGAGGCGCAATGACCCAATCAAGAGTTATCGATGTAGGATAAATAATCAAAGGCAGTTGAGGTGTGGAGGGGGTCTTGCACAAGACGTTGTAGGGGTGAGTGTGGCTGTGGGTTGTCTTTGCGCTTACGTTGCTTAAATTAGACACTCCTCCCTTTGGGGACTGGTCATATTATGTGTAGATGGATAGCTAAACCCCAAGATCATCTTCATCGTGCTCGATTAAACACTACAAAATAGAAGTTTAGAAAATCGATAGTCATAAGGTTTTTTTTGTTATGAAAAGGAGAATCAGACATTGGGATAGAAAATCGGATCTAGTTGTGGTCGTGGTGCGAGAATCTCTGTCGTACCGATGCTTTTTTGTGGGTGAATGATGTGCTTGTTTTACATTCAGTACGACTGTGATGAAGATAATATATTCTGTATTACCTAGAGCGAGAAAAGTCGCATAGTATCTTAGATCACAGGAAGGTGTTCCAATTTTGATAGAATATGAGAGTGGGAAAGGTGTGTGCTGCACGTTACTCTCAACAACAGTATACGGCATCCAAACATATCATGACTACAAATCAGATGGTTCTGTACTGGACAACTGGTATTGAAGGAGTGTCGTGAATTTCGAAATGAACCTGGGTTGTCACAGATGACTATCTGGTGACGGTCCTGACTCATCTTCTCCTAGGAGCGGTACATACACGCTAAGTAACAGATTATGACATATAGAAGTGGAACATATGTAGGAATGAGAATTATGATGGTCTCGAAGCGCGGCGCGATCATTCTCATGTAAATCAGCGTTGAATTTTAAGATATATATCGCTACGTACTTCGTCCTCACACATACATGTACGTACCAAGTACCCAATTGTTCCATTAATCGCCCACGGCTACTTGAAGCTTAGCCAACACAGATACTTGTTACGCAGTTGTTTTGATGCATCGATGCTCCTGTGAGTAAGCCGGAAAAAGGGACCTCCAACTATATAGCTGCGATCAAGGCATGCAGTAATCTTTTCCCTATCTCCTGTGGATGAACATTCCTTCGCCATGGGTACAACATACATCTTCAAGCTCACCATTTGACCCATAGGAAAAGCTATTCATAGTGTACACCAGACACTCGTCGATCAGTAGCAGAGGGCACGTGAGTGTCGTTGCGCCGTGGTGCGAATCCCTTTTTGCAGAAATGTTCTCCATCGAACGTACGACCCACAGCATACACCACCCTCTTGGGACGGTATATCAATTCACTGATCCGAACTCGCTCGAATCCGTAGTAGTGTTCCCCGCACGTTCTATCAATGTCGTTGATGAAAGAGCGGATGGACTCAACGGGGTCGTACAACTCTCTGTCGTAGACGCACAGATATGCGGTCTCATATCCAACAGTGCACTATTAGGTTGTTCGAATGGTCAGAAACATGTCAAATTAATAGTGTCACGGGCGATAAGGAAGAAAGCGCGACTCACCCAGCGGTATTGCTCGTCCATGATCTTCAAACCGTTGACGTTATCGATGAGACATTCAACCGCGCGGTCCATATCTTCAATGTTCCTTTCGGGGCGCCTGTCCATCAATTCCTTTTGGCAGGTTACTCCTTCGACGTGGGCACCTGAGCTAGGCCCGTCGCGGGGCTGAGAATGGCCGCTCAGAACGGTATCCGTCGTGTTCAGTGCCCTTCCAAACCGATGGTAGGTGAGAGTGCCATTCGCTGTCTTTGCAGTACCGTTCCAGGAATGTCCATCGCGGATGATGGGAACTGGCGTGCCTGTGTTGCGTGCCACGTTGGCATCCAGGCCCCGGGCTGGAGGTGGCGCACTCAAGGCGGCTGGCACGATGAAAAGGAACGCCGCTACACGAAGGAGGGAGACCATATTCGGATGATATGAAAGGATGAGGTTGGGCTTTTATGAATAGCAGATGGGTTGAAACTCGGTAGATGGGCGGTGACGAGGACTTCTTATATACCCTCTGCGCGCGGGAGACTCAGTGATAAAATTTCTACGGATTTGTTGGAAATTCATTGCGAGCCGATACTGCTTATTCGATATGTTTGATTGGCATGGGGAATTATCGAAATTTTCAGTGATTCGAGTTTTGCTAGTTCAAACCCATATACTTGGATCGCATCACTATTGCGTCGATGCTGAGTGGTAGAACAGCTGAAAACTTTTCCCTACAGGTTAAGTGGAGAAAGCTCAACGTTCTGCCCGGATTGTCATATGAGACATGTTATCCAACTGTACACGCTTATCAAATCATCGATGACGACTGCACATCAGTGTATGCTGAGAGACAACGATACCTGAATGATAGCTTTTGGGCGACTCTTTCATCAACATAGGCTGTTCTACTTTTGTCCCCTTCTATCAACTGGCATCGAACGTTGTCTTTATAATCTTCTCTCTCAACGACAAATGAAGTTGCCCTAATAAGTTGATTTCCAAATACAGATTTTCACAGCTGTACCGCGCGTGTGGACATTCAATAAAAGTTCGAGTCAGCCATTCCCGACGTTCGCAGGATCAGTGAGAGCATCACACACAAATTGCCCACCAAAAGCATGATACAAGATGATATCCATGTGAATGAGTAACAATAATGATTAAAAAAGGCAGAGACCCCTTCATCATCGGATTAAGCACGTATCTATACAGATCCACCCATCTCCTCAAGCCGTGACCGGGAGAGAGAGCCAACCGAAAAACGAATAGATACATGTAGATGAACCAAGAGATTTCGCCTCGCACAAGAGTCTGATGTAATATACAAAACAAGGCCGGATTATCGCAATAGTGTTTCTTCGACAAAACCAATCATTGGAGTTGGACCAAAGGGATTTCGATGAACTCGTCGAACGACTTTTGAGTTTCCTAACCCCTCTTGTGACTGTCACAGAAGAAAAGGGTTTTTCGAATCGAAGAACAAGGGTTTCGTAGAAGAGCAAGGTATTGGGTGTATGTCGCTTCCGTTTCACATAGCGTTTATGAGTCGCGTAGTCGTATCGCTTCGATGATTTCTTCTTGGGACTCGCTCGTGTTTTCGATCCCACAAGTAAGTCCTTGAGGTTGACGAAGAAAGATCGAAACCGCTACGCTACGCTCAACGCGGAGGGTAGGGAGAGCGAAATTAAGAGCGCTGGACAGTGCAGCCGTTCAATCCAGGGACGGCGCCACGCTGGACGACGCAGCCATTCAATCCAGGGACGGCACCACGCTGGACAGTGCAGCCGTTCAGTCCGGGGACGGCACCACGGTGGGAAGCACGAGTGTTAAGACCCATTTTAATAATTGTTGGAAAGAGTGTTAATCTGTTAGATGTAAAGAGTGTTTGCGGTGAGGAGGAAAGATGGAAGTGGGGAGATGATGGGGGTATTTATGTTCGGTGGGGAGCGGTTTTGCGGTCGGGATTTGGGAGCGTGTTTCTTTGATCAATACTCTGGAAAAATAAGTCAAAGAATACAAAATTCCAGTAGGGGTATGATCAAAGGGGAAGATCTTGGTGTTGTTGTGGTGGTGGTGGTGGTGGTGGTGGTGATGGGCCGATTTTGCCCTTACTATTGTTCTTCCCTTAGTATTGTTCTCAACGCCAAGGTCACTGACCTTCCCAATGATTCTACACTAGCCATTGGCTACTATTTTGGATAACATAAAGACAACAAAGATATAATTTGCTAATCCATTTGTCCAGGCACATCTGCTACTGAGGTTTCACTATCTGGGTGACCGTCCACGTGGTCCTCTATGCCTGAATTCCCCATCAGGATGGTCGGAAACTTGGGTGGCTGCATGGAATGGCTCTAGAAGCTTCTCGGATAGCACATGGTGAATCAATTAAAGGTGCTGAGGCGTTACGGAGGCTCGTGGTAGCTGGGAACGATTCGGTACAAGGTTCCTGTGGCACACAAGACACACAAGAGTGAGTTCTAGCTGAACCAAATCGGCCATTGAAGATGAGAAAAGGGCGTGCGCAGATGAATTCCAGTGAGATTCAACAGTCTGGAAGCCATCTACTGGCGCGTGTAGGTTTTGGAAGTGAGGTTCGTTGGTCAATTCTCTCCAACGATGAGATTTACACGTGATTGGTTAGCGCACATAGGGAACCCAGCACTTATGATCTTCCACGCCTATATTTCATTATGTGTATACAGAGAGCCACTAAAAGAATCCCAGGGGGCGTTTTATGACATGGGCTCAGGTCCGGGTGCCCACAAAGTCGGACCGTGAACTCCAGGTTGGGCTTCAAAATTTTGGAACCCTTCGAAGCCATTGGCAATTGCACTATCAACACTTTGAGTGGCACCCATCCATGTCTCCATGAAGTTACTCGGGGACATTGCCCAATTCTGGGGTGGAAGCATCACGTCTTGGTGCTGCATGATTGAATCCCAAACCGTCTGTAGTAGTCATTAGAATCATAGATAGATGCTAGAGATAACTTCGGTGGCTTACCCAGTCGATTCCAGATGGTATAGATGACAAATTCGTAGGCGAATCATTTGGAGGCCATGCGTTCCAATTTATCGGCGACTGTTGCCCCACGGTAGCTTCGGATGTCAATGTTGTCGTGTCGCTAGGTAGAGTACCAATGTCTAATTGACTGTCAGTCCAAGAACTTGCAATGCTCAGTTCAATACTGACCGAGTGTCTGCGCATTTGGTTGGGCACTGTTTGTACCATTTTCTTTCGTTTGCCACGAGTACTTTTCCAGGACAGATTTTAATATCGCGGCGCCTCTAACCACTTCTCTAAAACGTGTTGAATTGTTAGACCATATGTCGTAAATGACCTGTAATAATTTGAGAATTTCGGAGACTTTCGGAGAGGATGGATCGGATGACATCAAATGATGGATCTCGAGGCTCAAAACCATGGCGGCGAGCAGATAATCGTATGTCTGCAAAGATGAGATATACCACCAGGCAGTTGCCAATTGCCCACCTGGTTGACATGCGTGAAAGACAGTTATGTGGTGGTTCAAGATATCGATGGCTGACTCGACACAGATCCTGCGAGATTCTGCATAACGTGGATCTCGTTGCCCAGCAGTGAGATAGATCCGATGCAGAATTAGTTTTGTCTTGAGATAGACAAGCTCGATGTTGAGGCGTGACATGATAAGTCTGGGCGCATCGTTGATCGACTCCTCTAGTGTACGAACTCTCATCACGGCTGGCATACTGTTGTGAACCTCTTCCAGTTTTGCTTGGAGGGACAACACTTTGTCGTATTCTGGAGGTTTGATCTTGTGCGATAACTCCGCTACCTCAGCGAAAACTTCGGAAATTCGGCATTTAGCGATGGTATACGTGGCCGGAGTTATCTCATTGACAGGTCGCTCCTTCGGAAATTCGGTCATTGATGGGGATATATCGCTATCGTAATAGTTTCCCGGGGGTTGCACGTCGCTTTCGATGCAGCGTACAAGACCTGGTAGCCCGATTCCAAAGGATATGAGATTGTCCATCATATTGATGGTATGCCAGACCCGCCTGCGCATTTCGCACTGAAACGGAGTCAAATTCCCAAAATTGGAGGGCTCTCTGTGCACGCCCATACGCATAGCTACACGCAAAGTGATACCGTTCATGAGCCAGATCTTCCCGTCGTGGTCGTCACGTCTTAGAAACTCGCATTCTGCGTATATCATTAAGGCCTCCAGGGTATAAGGATGGCTTCTAGAAATGTCTGCCAAAGCGAGGGCAGAAGAGGCAAGCTGTTGGAATCTATCGGCTGTGGAGGCTAGGAAATTAGTGGGATCTTTCTTATCGTAGGACGAGCCGGAGGAACGGTCGTATGCAGCAGCATAAGCATTCCTACCGGGGTTTCGAGGCCCTAATATTATACCCAGAGATAGAATCGAGTAGAAAAGGGCGATCCACATGACGGAAGCTGAGGCTGGGTCTTCCCAAAATTTATTGTATTCTGTCTGGAAAGTCGGGCCATGGATGATGTACAGTATTGGGTTTGTACTATTGAACCAGAGCGGCAATATGAAATCTGCTTCTTCTTTTCGGGGAAGTGCCTGGATGAGCTGAGTCTTTGTAAGAGCTCTAGGTAAGCCAAACGTGAGGGAGGATCTAGCATTTGCGGAATTCCATTCTTCATTTTCATCTTCCTCTTCCAGGTCATCCTCTGCGCCCTCGTCTAAGCTGGTTTTGACGTCCTCAATCTCCTGCAATACTGCCGACCAATGATAAGCGCCAACATAGTTTGCTTCGTTGCCAGAATTGCTGATGCGAAGCTGGCCTTGCTTGTCTTTCGTCGGCTTTGATTCAGAGTCTGAAGTACCATTTGCTTTTTGCTCCTGCTCTTTCTGATTGAGAAGATTTACTACCATGTCTTCCAGATTTCTGATCCTCCCGCGCATATTCTGTTGCCTTTTGTTTTGGGGTGGGGGTACATAGCGGCAGGCGTCATGACGCGCCCTTTTTGAACACTGGTCGCAAACGGGCTGCTCTCGGTTGCATTTGAGTTTACCTTGTCGGCAAGGTGCACAACTGAGCTGTGGCCTTGCTCGTTTGATGGGAGCTCTGACGAATGTCGTGTTCGATGATGGGGCAGGCGGTGAAGCAGAACTACTCGTGTTGTCCATGTTCAACAGCTTTGGAGGGAGACAGTTAAATCTTAAAAGGTTGGCTACGATAGGAAGGGTCAAAAGTGGAAATCCACAGAACGAGCGAATCTTAAATCTAGTACAGTAATGCAGCCCATTTAATACTATAATAGATGGATTCAAAATGCTTGGAACATATGAGTAATTTCAAGAATTTCAATTCTTTGAGGCTTGGGGAGGGGAAACTAGGTATGCTAAGTACTTGGCTAGAGATGTGAAGCTGACTAACCGATCTAGGTAGCATGGTAAGCACTAAAGTCGAGACATAGCAGCATCATCAACTCTCCAGATCGTGAACATGATGGCTCCAGCTCCTCTGCGGTTAGCCACGAGGCTGGCCTCGCGAAGACCTGCACATATATTCCTATCAGCGTCTCCATCACCATCACATCGGTTACCTAGATTATACAATTGCAGTCCATCTTTCAAGCGTTCTTTCCAAACCGAAGCTACCCCACCATCATCAGCCACGAGCATACCGGAATTCGCTTTCGCTTTTGAGTAAGGCAAGCAAATCCCTCCTTCACAAGTCACTATTTCTAACGATTCGAAGTATCGATGGCGTCCTCTTACGAAGCTCCGATCCGCTCCCGCGGGCCCACAAGACCCTCTCGTACCTCCAATCCCAAGATATACCCTTCATCCTACTCACCAACGGCGGCGGCAAGCATGAATCAGAGCGCGTATCCGAATTGAGCCGCAAGCTCTCGGTGCCCATGGACACCAGCATGTTTGTGCAGAGCCATACCCCTTTCGCCGACATGCACACGTACAAGGACAAAACCGTCATGGTAGTCGGAGGCGATTCAGACAAATGCCGCGTTGTAGCAGAACAGTACGGCTTCAAAACCGTCATCACACCGGGCGATGTTCTTGCCGCGTACCCAGACATCTGGCCCTTCTCACAGCAAATTTTGCCTTACTACAAGGACTTCACGCGTCCGCTCCCCGCACCAATCGACCCATCCTCGCCTTCCACATCCCTCAAAATCGACGCCATCTTCGTCTACAACGACCCACGAGACTGGGGCCTCGACACGCAGATCATAAAGGACGTGCTGCTTTCGCAGCAAGGCATCATGGGCACTTTATCATCAAAGAACGGTGACCCTAACCTCCCAAACAAAGGCTACCAGCAGGACGGCCAACCGCCGCTCTACTTCTCCAATCCGGATCTTCTGTGGGCCGCGAAATACCACCTCCCGCGGCTGGGTCAGGGCGGGTTCCGCGAGGCCCTTGAGGGCGTATGGGCAGCGCTAACCGGTGGCCCGCAAAACGGTGTCGAGCTCCACAAAACTGTCATGGGGAAGCCGCACCGCCCCACATACGAGTTTGCGGAAAAGCGACTTGTTGCGCACCGCGAACATATTCTAGCGAAACACGCTACGACGAGTGAACTCAAGAGAGTGTATATGGTGGGTGATAACCCCGAGAGCGATATCGCGGGCGGGAATGGGTATGAGAGCCCGCTTGGTACAGATTGGGTCAGTGTTCTCGTGCAGACGGGAGTCTATGTCGAAGGGAGTACGCCTGCGCATCGCCCTAGGCAAATTGTGGGGGACGTGTGGGATGCGGTTTCTTGGGCTGTCGCGCAGGAGAAGTGGAAGGATGGCTTGTGATGAGATGACGGATAGCAATCGAAGATGGGAAAGGAGTCTTGAATAGTGGTCTTGGGCTTGTAAAGCGTGGAGAGGTGCACTTTGAATTCTTGGTTTAATCGTTCTGTTTGCTTCTTTCTCCTTCATTGTATTATCTATCTTTTCTTTGAATATTTCTGCTATTTGTATATAGTGCCGTCACCGAAAGACAAAATTGTGAATATTGCTTTTTTTTCGTAAGCTCCTGTGAAAACAAAAGCTTGTGTCAAGGCCAATATTCGCAATTTTCCTTTCAGTAATCGCCTGGTTTTCTGTATTCTATTCATTGTTACAATTATATTGCTGTGTGTAGGATCATCCAAACTTTTAGCATCCCTTCTCTTCAATATTCAAGACTCTATAAGCTAAAAGGAAGAGACAAATCCAACCTCTTTAAATGTGCAACGATCCCTTGTATCACTACCGCGTAGAGATAGTTGTAAGCAGTAGTCAATTGATGAGATGAAGTGTGTGTTGAGGCGCTGTAGTTTGTTATTTCACTCCACGCGCGCGGATTTCTTGGCAACGGCTTTTGATCAGACTGGGGACTGTACATGTATGAATAATATACAGTTGAACTAGTACAATATAGAGATAAACATAAGAGGTTTAGAGAATATGATATAAGAATACGTGTCTTTCACCCAAAGGATAGTTCAGTCTGTGGGGGCAAGACTGTTTTTGAGATGTCCACTGTTATAAGTGATGGATAATATGTGGTAGAATCTTACTCATCGCTGGTTTCTAAGGTGTGCGCAGTTTTCCTAATATCGTATATATAACTCTGTCAAATACGTCGATTCGATTCAGTCCACAGAAATTGGGGGGAAAATTTCATGATGTAGATTTTGAATGTATTCATATTTTTTTTAAGTCGTGGCTGTGGAATGATACCCTCTCCACCCTCCACGCACCGATCCCATCCATGCATCCAATCTACCCAGTCTTATAAAAGGGCGAGTGCAAAGAGGGACATGTGTAAAAAACCGTAAATAGAAGAAGAGAAAAAAAAAGAGCCTCACAAAAGAAGGCACAAGAAGTGAAGAGGAAGCTAAACAAGAATGGAATAAAAGGAAAATAACACCCGGGTATCTAATCATCACATGCAGCCATCTTTACATTTACTCGTCCACGAAGAGAACGTTGTTGGGGTTGCTGGGCAGATCGAACGCAGACGAGACCTTCTTGCCCAACATGCCGGTCCTGACATCGCGCGCATAGACGTCGACGCTGAAGCTCTGCTGGTTGGCCACGGCGACAAGGCTTCCGTCCTTGTTTGTGGAGAAGTGGCGCGGGAACTTGCCTCCGCTGGGCGCGAGCTGGACGAACTCGAGCTTTCCCTGGGGAGTAGGCTTGAACGTGACGATGGAGTCGGAAGGAACTTGGGTAGAGTTGGAAGGGTCTGGGTTGGCTACGTTGGAGAGAGTGGCGTTGCGGTTGGAAGCAAGCACGAATTTGCGGTCGGGGGAGACTTGGATTTCTCCAGCCGCAGCTCCGGCAGGGGCTGTGATGTTTCCGAAGGTGGATTGCGAGTCGACCTCCTTGAAAGCGAGGCCGCCTTCACGGGGGTACGAGACCTCGTAAGAGACGATGGAGTTGTTGAGCTCGTGGACGATGATGAGGAAGGTCTTGCGACCGGACTGCCAGAAAACAGCATGACGGGGACCAGCCCCGGCAACGGCTTTCAGATCAGCGTGGGCAGTGAGCTTGTTGGTGGCTGGGTCGATGCAGAAGACGTGAGTGGCGTCAAGACCGAGGTCAGGGAAGACGAGAAACCTTCCAGTGGGGTCAATGACGGAGTGATGGACGTGGGAAGTGGTCTGGCCGGCGCCGGGTCCGTGGCCCTCGGTGCCGTAGGTGATGTTTTGAAGGGGAGCGAAAGCACCGTCCTTGGCAACAGAGAAGGTGGAGATGGCGCCGCCGCCGTAGTGGGCGATGGCTACGGCACTGTTCTTGTTGTAGAACTGGGTGGAGACAGGACCGCCGAGGATGGTGGCAAAGCCGGTGACATCGAGGCCTCCATTGGAACTCTTCTTCAGGGCATACAGGCCAGCTTTGTCGGGGGTGGACCAGGCCTCGTCCAGACCCAAAACGAGACCCTTCTCCTTGTAGAGGGTAGTGTCGAGCCAGGTGGGCTGGGGGCCCATCTTGTCGTTTGTCGATACCGTCTTGAGCGACGGGTAGTCGAGGGTCAAGACAGTCCCGTTGGTTCCGTCGACTTTGGCATAGCCGGACACGAGGAGTTTAACCGCGGTGGCGGAAGTGGCCAGACCGGCGACGAGGAGTGTGCGGAGAGACATTTTTTCCCGAATTCTGCTGTGGGTGGAGAGTGGGAGTATGCGATGGGGATTGGAATAGTATGGCGAGGACAATGTAGATGGCGGAGGGATAGCGGGTATATATGCTCAGATATGAATTGAAGAAGGTGGCGGAGAAGGGAGCTAGCACGGGATATTGAATGAATAGCAGGGCCGAATGAAGATAGATTGAAAAATGGAATTGGCAATGGAAATGGAAGCGAAAAGAAGAGACTGATGGTACGTGAAGCAATCAATGCACGAGTGAAGGACCAGGGTGGAGGGACGCTATGAAGGCAGGACGCATGCGCAGGACGGAGGAGGTATATATGTCGGGTGTGGAGGGCGTTGTTCCGTCACCGGGGGGCTGTAATTGGAGGGCGGGGTACGGGCACAGCTGGGGGCTGAGCGGGCAGGGCGTGCCTTCGCAGATTAAAATACATTGCCAGCCAACCAAGCCGGCCAGCCAGGCGGGGGCACGCACCAGGGAGCGAGGGAGCATAAAACCGCAGGCCCGGGGAAGCGAACGACGCCGCCAAGTTTCTGCGTGTTGCTGACAGCCACGGCTGCGACAGGTGGATCATTCGTCGGTGGATGGGTACATGCATAGTCCCGGTGTGCCCTCTAAGCCTCTGCCTGCTGCTCGACATGACAGTTTTGTTGCATGCGCTCGTACATATGTAACTACATAATACCTGAGGACCTATTCACAACGTGTTCGCGCCTCGGGCCAGGGGTGTTCCGCCGCACTAGCGTCTTGGCAGTACATAGTCCTGTTTCGGTCTAGCTCCCCGACTTCATATCATCCGAACCAACTCGATTGCACTTCTCCGCCCCGGCACGGCTCCCAGGCAGGAGACATACACACGCACACAAGAGTCGCTGTTCACGCCCCAATTTCAGACATGTCATCCAACCCCTACCTCGTGAAATTGTACGCCATGACATTATACCGGAAAAGTCCATCTTCATCCACCGTCGCGATGGTGAAGTTCTGCATCGAGTCGAACCCGACATGCACGTAGAAGCTTTCCGAAGTGGGCAGAGCAATCAAAGTGACATTAACATTTTTCCTCCTGCCAGCCTCGATCCCGCTCTTCACCAATCTCGTTCCAGCCCCCTGTAGCTGGAAATCGGGATGCGCGCACAACGTGTTGAGGTACAACTGGTCAGGCCCAAAAGGCTCATCGACGTATTTCCGCGTGGCGACAATGGACTTGCGCTCCAGGTCGAGAGCCCGAGTTACGTTCAAATCTCTGTGCTCGCATTGTCCTTTATTGCAGTCAGCGCACGTCTGCCTTTGTTCCGATGCACCCCACCTACGTAGAATTCCGTGCAGGAACATGTCGTTTTGCGATGGCTTCTGCTGCCAGATCGCCACAGCTGCTACCGTTAGGTTACTCTCCTCTGGCGCCTCGATGACTTGTGCATGGTACGATGGATCACTGAAGCCCCGCACAATACCAGATCGTATGCACCGATGGTGTTCCTTGGGGTGCCTTTTGGCAAACGAATATATGTACTGCCAGGGCGGTGTTGGAGAGAAGGCGGCAATGATGACGCTAGCTATGTCATCCGCATCACTTAAACTGGCATTGCGAAGAATAGGCGTCTCTCTGAGAACTTGCTGCTGGCATGCTACCAACCCGATATAGTACAGAATGATTGTAGTCGGTACGACAAGGATCCTCATCGTTGCGATGAAGCTAGAGAACTCCGAGAAGGATTCGGACCAAGCCTGGTTTCAGATGTCGAGTTGCGAAGATCCGGGTATGGCTTCTTCGAAGCAAACGTTTTCGTACAGCGTTATATCGAGGCCATCACAGCGGCACCGTTCTACATTATATATGTACTTACCTCAATCGAAGCATGACGTACTGATGTTCTGTTTAGGCCCCCAATTAAAAGCGGGGTTTGTCGATAGGAGAGAGACTCGTATCGCGGACCCCACGCGATAATGATCTGTACATAGATTCTGCAACATCAAGTTGCCTCGAATGCGCAGTTTCATCCTATCCTTTGTTCTTCTCGGTGGAGGGGATGGGATAACCTAGATGTATGTCATTGCGCGGCTAAGGTAGAGTCGCCAACCTTATCCTCCATAGCGTACGAAACATTTCTGCGGATGTCCGCTCATTCAGCCCCCCTCCACCCTTGTTAATTCCACGATTCTTCATAACAATGTCACTCCTTTAATCTGCGGAATGCAATGCTACAACAATCAAATCCTCGACATCTCGTGCAGTGACCCGGGTAGCCGGCTGCTAAGCGTGAGTTCTTATTTTAAATGTTGATGATGATGTCTCTGTTTGCCAACCAAAACCAGCTTTTCTGTTGTAGGCAGCTGCTTCCGATCTCTTCAGACGCCATTTCTGGAGCGATGCGAGATACTCAAATCCATCGTGCAAAAGGCTTGTCAAACGTAGAGACAACGTGTATATGCCATGCAAACACAGCGACAAGTATCGACGATCTACATGCAACTAATCTTGCGTACACTGAATCTGAAGGCTTGAGGAAGTATAAGGCTGATACCTAGAAGGCGAGTTAACCTGTTTACCAGAGCATCAGGTCAAATACTATTGAAACTCACTCGTTGATGATTGATCCATGGTGCAACTCCGTTCAAAGCCACAAGCATGTTCCTGGTTCACCATTGACTAAGACAGAAACGGAAATAGCGCGCGACTCTACTGTTCAACTCGCTCATCGGCACTAACAGAGCGCACTGCCCTCCAAGTGATGCACCGCTGAACTCGGAGGATTCATCTTCACTTCATTGGCCTTTAAATACTTATGGGAGAGAAACCAATCATGTAAGTAAAGCTAACAACGTGAGGCGCAGTCTTTCAGTGTTGACTACCTCCTCATCCCAGTCCGGTTCATCCAAGATTTGAAGATGCAGTTTTTCATGTTAACGTGCCGCATAGTTGCATGAAATCTAATCGAATCTGTTTTATTTTATCAATCCAGCGATGACGCTTCTCATGTGATTGAAGTTCACGCCGGGCTCCTGTTTCTGATGATCGCGAATGATGAGCCACACTCCATCGCTCATCATCGCTCATCTCAGCCTCCGAGATCACGAATCGGATCGGTGACTTGAAATGACTTTTGAAGAACGTCAGCATCTTCATCGACATATCCGCTTCCGTTAGAGCAGACTAGATCGAATCTGGATACAAGTTCGTGAGCAGCCAGCACTTGTGTCATCGATTCCTGTGATGCGGCTTCGACGTTCTGAGCAACAGTATCCAATATCCCGTGCTGTCGCACAGATCAGCCAATTAGGTGCGCTGCACTCTTACTCTGAGGCTGAAAGTCGACGGTGTTTGACATCAAGGCAAACGAAGCTTAGGAAACCTAGCATGCTGTGCTAAGAAAATACGAGAACTTGATCGTTATTGTCCTCGCTAAGTGAGCGGGCTTGGAACTAAGCGGAGAAAAAGGTAAACAGCATAACAAAGCAGGCTGTTCGGCGGATCAGATGAAGTCATCGTCGCTACTAAAGTAAAGTTTGTTCCATATCAGATCTAGTGTGCACCGTCTTGCACAGATTTTGCCCTTTTGGGAAGGGTTTCGGACCCCATCCAACGTCAAACCTTCGTATTCACTAAATGTATAAAAGGGTTTCGCTTTCACCAGTCACTCATGTACTGTTAATTGCCATTCCATTGTTTGTTTAATTATTCCACTGTCTATTTCTGTACCATCATAATGCATCATTCATTCCGCAATATTGCGGTACTATCACTATGCGCTGCTACACCAGCCTTGGGAGACTTTTTGGGTCCTAGATATGTCCCGCCAGTCGACCTGAGCAGCGACAAGAGCGAAGTCTCGGCAGCGTGGAAGACTGTTACTTCAACCCTCGAGAAAGCTCTGAGCAACAAGAACGCCAACGCCACTAGCGGGATACCGGGAATCGACAATACCACCTTTAGCGCCGGGATGTTCGCTCTGAACGATCCGTCCGTGTCCAAGATGCAGTTTCATTATTCGGCTCCTTGGCTTGCTCAGACTAATGGAACGCATAAAGTCGATGCGGAGAGTATCTATCCCATCGCAAGTATTAGTAAGAATGCATTCTGCAACCCATAACTCAGACTGCTGATTCCATATAGCCAAAGTGTTCACCGTGCTCACGGGACTATTGAATCTGAAGACATCCGACTGGGAACGATCTATGGCCGATGTTTTCCCTGCTCTCAATGAGTATGCTAAGAGACAGCAAGACGATCCCCTCAGCACGATCCAGTGGGACAAGATTACTCTCGATACACTTGCAGCACAGGTTGCAGGTATACCTACAAACCCACTCGATCTAGATGTAGCGGTTGCAGCCGTGACTGCTTACCTCTCAGGGGATCTCACTGCGCTATCTGAAGTCAACAAGCTAGGATATCCGGATGTCAACATGAGTTTACCCTTCCGAGAGGCGGCTGTTCAAGGTCTTTTTGACCAGAGAGAGTCAGGAGTAACTGTCGACAATCTTCTGCCAACGCTAGGATGGCGCTCACCTTTCTTTGAGCCATGGGTTCAAACGCTGTACTCGAACAACGGATTCATTCTTCTCACAAACGCGATTCACGCCATCACCGGCAAAAGGCTCTCCGCTCTAAGCGAAGAAAGCGTCTTGAAGCCCCTCAAGATGTCCTCATCCTTCTACAACATCGTTCCCGATTCCGAAACAAAACGCAGCGTCATCCTAAGCGACGAACTTTGGAACATTGCCGGCGGCGAAGCCTTCGAAGGATCAGGCGGCCTCCTCAGCACCATCAACGACCTCACAAAGTTTGGCACAGGCGTTTTGAACTCGACGCTTATGCCCAAACATGCCACCCGCAAGTGGATGAAGCCCTCGTCCCACACCGGCCGCTTCGAGTACGCCATGGGCCGTCCCTGGGAAATCCTCCGCTACGTCCACACATCCGGCGCCATCACCGACATGTACACCAAAGCCGGCGATTCGGGCACAGCCGGCAGTTTCCTAGTCCTAATTCCCGACTACAACGTCGGCTTCAGCGTCCTCGCCGCGACCGCGGATGTGCGCAAACTCGCCGTCGTAGGAGCGCTAGGCGACGTCATCGCGAACACGATGCTGCCCGCGCTGGAAGAACAAGCGGCCAAAGAAGCTGAAGCCAACTTCGCCGGAACCTACGTCTCCACGGTCGAGGGCCTCAACTCCTCCGTCGTCCTGTGCATCAACAAGACAGAAGGCGCTGCACCGGGGCTGCTGGTCAAGTCGTTCATCAGCAATGGCACCGATTTCCAGAAATCCTCGGCGTTTTACAGGCCGGGGTCTCGTCTTACCCCGTCGATTATCTCGGAGGGAGGTGATAAGGTTGCGTTCCGTGTGGCGCTCGGCGTGGACGCTCCTTCTGTTAACAAGGCCCGCTCGCTCTTTTCTGGTGAAGCCACGGCTAACTTTCTTGCTTCTGGGGCTGGCAGCTACGGTGGTGTCGCGGTGAGTGAGTGGCAGGCTCAGGTCGGTAAGGATGGAAAGGCTGCTTCCATCTCCCCTACTTGGCTGCAGATTGATTTGAAGAGAAAGGAGTAAGGACAAGTTCGAGGAACGATAGATTGTACTGCATTTTTCATGAGACGTCTTTCTATAATTAGTTATTAGCCATATATTCTGTCCCTTATATTAGTAGTCCCTATACATTTATCAGATTTTACTAAAATTGCCTTCTTCTACCTTAATTTGTGATTGCGCAATTAGGAAATTCTTAACTGCAAGTGACTTTTTGCCGCAGGGCGGGCGACATATCAAAATATCTACCTAGGTATCTAATCAGGTCCGCGCTAGAGAACTCGTTAGACTTTGATATAACGACGTCGTTCAGCAACCCGGAATACTTCCAATCAATGATCAAAGCTTGTTGTGCTAATACCTGTTGGGCAGAAAAGGTGACCTTATCCGATATGGGTTATCGTTTCGACCACCCGCGATAGCAGATAAATTGGAATGGAATTGATATCGCGCAAGGATTTAGGAACATCGAGATTTGTTGATGTAGAAGAATGACACCCCTTTGATAATCGCCTGTTTTTTAGTACCTTGATTGTTATAACTCTATCGCTATGCGTAGGATCACCTAAACTCCGACCTACAATTCATTATAAATGAACGACACATCATGCTTATGTTGTCGGGGTTCAGCCAATAAGCCAACTCGTAGATGTCATATGAGGCTTGGCTGCAGGGTCAACTACAAGCGTGATATGTATGATTGATCAATAACGCTGGTCTGCAAACCTAGTGGCGATTTGCCACGCAATAAGGTTGTCAGATCCAGTCAAGTATCCAGGCTATACTCTCTCGAGCGGAACTGACGTGGAAATCCGGTGAGAAAAAGCTACATGGTCAGCAAGGCTGAAACTGTACCGTCACCTGGGCCTCGCATATCACGAGTCCGAACCGATTTTGCTTTTACATTTCGTTTTTCAGTGCTGATTAAATACTTTCTTATTTCCCTTGCATTCTGTTGGCTTTGATTACTTGCCCTCCTTCAGCGCTGGCTTTATTGTCACTACCTTCGGCAGATACACGTCATCACATATCATTGGACGAACCAGGAAACTCACAGAATCCCTGCGTATTACAGACTCATGGAAGACGTTGGAGCTACCGAGAACTTCGCAGACCGCGATTTGAATCTTACCATTGAGGAGCGTCTACATCTTGAAACCAGCATATCAGATTCAACGTCTACGAGCGATGCAAAAGACAATGCAAAAGGCAGGAAGCCCCCAAGCTCTGGATTCAGTCCTGAAACTGAGCTCATAGAAGATACGCGAATCGAAGACAAAGTTCAAATGATCACCCAGGGAAGTCCAGCCGTGCCTTATCTGACTTTCACAGTGCCGCCTGGCCGCGTCGCAAAATTTACCTGCCAAATATGGTCCCACGATCAAGGGTGGAGCGATGACCGGATGAATCACGGCACTTACAATGGTTCTTACACGTGGTTTGAAATGAGATACGAAGGTACTGCGAGAGAGCTAGCACCATTTGTCATCCAGAGAAACGTCCATGCCTCCCGCATCGCAAAGCATCATACCATTACATGGGATACGGATCAAAAGAATATTACCGAAGCCAGCATTTTTATGAGCACACTGCGAGCGAGTGATCAAGTTGGTATATACCCAATGGCAAGATTTCAGGGTTGGATGAACTACGTATACGCAATGACAGTAGACCTGGAAACCAAGGACGATAATGGTCGGACACGTCGGATTCGGATGCATAGAGGAAGATTGCAGGAGGTCAATAGGGTAATTGAACTTCCCGAATCGACAAGCAATCGCAACAAAGCAGTCGTCATGGATGCAGCTTCAACTACTCCAGATCGTTCAATTCGACCCGAATTTCAGAATGATGTAAGCATTTATCTCGACATGCTCACGTACCTCACAAAGTCAATGAACGCCTTCGAAGATGCATTCAAACCACCACCAGGAGCAGCGCACATAGAACCAGCAACAAGCTTTGTGGAAACTGTCGAGAAACTGGAACAAGCTTTGCTTGTGTTTGGACAGTTGAAGACATTAGCCTCTCGTATCGACGACACACCCAAGGATTTTCCGGCATTAGCGGACGTCAAAAAAGTGACCAGCGATTTGAACAAAGCTGTGAACCAGGTCTCTGATCTTCGGTTCCCAGGGCGAGAAAGGATAGCCGGCCTCCTTGCTGTGATTCAACTCATTCGAAGACATATGTCGGCGAAAGCAACAGCCTTAGCGGCCACATATCAGAAGAAATATGATGTAACGGGGGCAATGCCTGATCTTGAATTGGATATCGAAATTCTTCGACAGGCCAAATCGATGATGATGCCGGAATGTCTGTCAGAGACTCTGCTTAGTCTCGGAGGGTCTCTCGGCGAGAGATACAGAAGGATTGGAGCAAGAGCTGACCTCGAAGAGGCTATAGTCGTTTCCGAACAAGCCGTGGAAACGCACTCGGACTACAATCCTAGGTTCTTTGCGTTGAACAATCTCGGAGAACTTCTTGGCCAGAGATACTCCAGGATAGGAAACGAGCATGACCTCCAGAGATCGATCGAGATTATTCAAGAAGCTATTCTTTTGATCCCAGAGGACCATGAGGTTTGGGTGTGGTCTTTGAACAGTCTTGCAGATCGGCTGGGCGAGGGATATGATAAGACCGGGGATATGCATTACCTTGACGCAGCTATTCCAGTTCATCGGAAAGCCGTCAATGCAGTCTCTAAAGATCATAAGAGACGCCAGGTACTACTTAATGGTCTTGCAGTTGCTTTGAGCAAAAGATGGCGGAGGACCGGAACTACCGCCGACAGCGACGAAGCTTTTCAACTTTTTCGAGAATCAATCAATGCGACTCCGGATGGACATCAATCTCATCGGGCGGGATTGTTGAACAACCTAGGAAACCAACTCAGCCTTCGGTACCAGAGAGACGGAACTTCTGATCATCTCAAAGAGGCTATTCAATGTCACCAATCAAATTTGACATCCAGTGAGGCCTCAATAATCACGCGTATAGCTGCTGGTGTGCGGTTGCTTGAGCTACATGCCTGTGTTTCAGATTGGAAAAACGGCCTTAAAGATGCAACCATCGCCATTGAGCTTGCGTCGAAGTTAGTGGCAAGATCCCTGGAAAACTCAGACAAACAGCACAGACTAAGACAAATCGCCGGGTTGGCCTGCAATGCGTCTGCAGCAGCTTTTGAATTAGAGGAAAAGCCGCTCGTCGCCCTGAATTTGCTTGAGCAGGGCCGGGGCGTCTTAGCGGCATCACTTGACGAAATGAGGATAGACCTACTTGGTCTTGAAAAAGAGCATCCAGAATTGGCGAAAAAGTTTACTCAACTACGAGATGAACTACAGCCGCCTAATATACAAGGCCGTATCTCTTCACGCGAGAGCTACACGACTCTGGATTTGAAAACAGACCGTCGCTATATCGCAGCGAACGAACTTGATAAGCTAATTGCCACCATTCGGCAACTGCATGGCTTTGGCGATTTCTTGCGACATCCAAGTGAAGAAGATATGCTGGAAGCGGGCAAACATGGTCCGATCGTTGTCGTCAACGCTAGTAGATACCGTTGTGATGCAATCCTTATCGATGAACATCAGATACGGTCTATCAAGCTGTCCAAACTCACTCACCGGGACATAAAAGAGAAAACCAATCACCAGGACCTGCGTAGTGCGGCAGTTCTGAAATGGTTATGGGATACTGTAGCATTCCCCGTGCTGGAAGAATTGGGATTCATGGAATCTCCGCCTGCCGACATATGGCCGCATATATGGTGGGTTCCTACAGGACCACTGAGCAAATTCCCCATTCACGCGGCTGGATATCATAGTCATGGCTCAAATCATACAGTTCTCGATAGGGCCATGTCGTCATACAGCTCATCTGTTCAAGCGATCGTACACGGACGCCGACGTGGAGATTCACACCATGCTTCAAAGACCTCCAGCCAAGCGCTTCTTGTTGGCCTTCGGGACACTCCCAACTATGGAAGACTGGACTATGCTCCAAAGGAAATAGAAGTTGTCCACAAGTTGCTCAAGTCATCCGAACTACAATCTTCTCAGCCCAATCCATGCAAGGAAGATGTCGTTTCGCGATTGAAGACATGCAAAATCTTTCACTTCGCTGGCCACGGCTATACCGACGACGATGATCCCTCTCGAAGCGCGTTGGTTCTAGAAGATCACGTGGTCTCCCCCTTGACGGTTGCAGACTTGCTAGACTTGAACTTCCGTGATCAAGGTCCGTTCCTCGCATATCTTTCGGCGTGTGGGACTGGGGAGATGAGGAACGAACGATTCTTCGATGAAAGCATTCACCTGATCAGTGCGTATCAGATAGCGGGGTTCAAACATGTCATTGGGACCCTTTGGGATGTTCACGATGAAAGCTGTGTGATGATGGCGAAGACTTTCTACGAAGAGATGATGCTAGGGGGTATGACTGACAGTTCAGTGTCTTTAGGTCTGCATAAAGCCACCAGGAAACTTCGAGACATCTGGTTAGGCAAAGCGCCTGAAGTCAACAGCGAAGAGGAAGATCTCGTAGAAGCAATCGTAAACAAGAAAGCAAAACGTGGATTTCGGATTCAGAGATTGCCTGTTGTTTCCGATTCGGATGAAGAGGAAGATGAAGTTGCGCCATTACATTGGGTACCCTACGTTCATTTTGGCGTTTGATAGGAATAATGATTGAATGATAAAAAATCCCCATAAAGCATCGATGCCTCAGCCAAGCACTAACTCACCAGCTTTGCCTTTGTCCGAATGCGAAAACTCAGTGTAGCCCAGTTTTCAGATTCACTGAAAACACTTGTATTGTTCCTGCTGGTCACCCCACTTTTCGTTTTGCGCGAAGCGTTCCTCTCCAACACTGTCTCGAGCTCCGGTAATTCTAACGAAGCCAACGAGGTTGGTTGACTGGTCACAAAGAGTTTAATGATGTCGTCTTCATGCTTCTCGCCACTCTCACGGTGTCTGGATGGGATTGTCATTTTCATTGCCTTATTCCACACGCCACTAGTGCCTTTCATGAACTCTCCACTTTGGTTACTAGAGCTCGGTGGAATCACCACATAATCCGTTTTGAGGAGATTCGTAATATCCCAAGAGGAGCCTAGGTTGTAGAGGTGGAGACACAAGGCATGTCCCCCGGCTTTCTCCTTATTTCTCACCTCCAGAGAGATAGATTGTCCCTCTTCCACCTCGATCAAACATTCTGAATGAGAACATGCTGGTTCGGATGAGTCAGTGTGTAAACATCCTCTTTGCACTATCAAACCTCCTGGCTTGATCAGATGAGCACTGAAAGACTCCTCAAAGCATCTTTCAGATTCTGTTTGATGCAGTTTGGTCAAACGCTTCACCGAATCGAACCTAGCTAGATGCTCCGCGATTTGCGACACCCTCTCGGCGCTCTCTTCGTCCACCGAAGAAGCAACAGGCAGGTGTAAAAGCGGTCGATCTACCCCATCGCGGATTTCGTAATGGCTGGAGCCTATGAGCTTCACGCCAAATGAAGCATTCGGCCCAGGTTCTTCTTTTCGTACACCGGAAGTGTCAAGGAATTCACGTCCTTCCAAAGCTTCTTTCCAGCCCTCCGGATTGTTATCACCAAGATCGATTCGAACGGGGGCTTCGTGCAACAAATGACGTGTGAGCGCCGTAGCAGCGATTAGTCGGCCACCCACAATGCTTTCCCCTGATGAGTCGAGTTCGGATGTAAGCGCCCTCACAAGAACAACTTCAGCGGTCCCGACTACTCTTTGTGGCGCCATATCCAACCCCGACGAAGTCGCAGAAATTTCTGCACAGAGAGCGAACGTATCTCCCTTGCGAATTCCATGCGCCTCACCAGCATCGAGCCGGAGCTCTCCGTCACGAGTTCGCGTGGCTGTGATAGGAGCAGGACCGATACGTGGATTGATACATCCGAAAAAATAGAGGTCCCTGTTTCCATACATCATAGGATTCTGGTCGAGATTGTACTTTTCCCGCGCGTCTCTGATCCTAGCCCGCAAGGCTTGATGGATATAACGTTGCTTCCCGCCGATGCCTCCATACTTTTTGAAGACTTCAGTCAGATAATAGGTCAAAGCTCCATGTCTCTGTCCGTCGATTAGGATCTCTTTGGCGGTTTCGGTTGGTCCGCACGCCGTGATGACCGTATAGCCATCGGGATTGACGAGCCAATTCGGCCACAAGGAAGGTTTTCGATACACATTCTTTTCAACCTCATGTACCAAGCTCAAAGCGCCCTTAGAATCTGGTGGGCACGCAGTATCAGCTCGGGCATCGTAATCTAGATATCGAGTCACTGCGTCACGCATTATACTCCCTGCGAAACAGCAGTCCAGTACAAGAGTGACTTGCAGTCCCTTGTCCACCATATTTCTAAGCTTGTGAGCCAATTCGAATCCTCTCAAGTATCGAATCTGGCGATTATCCTCTTCTTGAAGAAGATTGAGAGCTAGATCTCCAGTAGAAGGATTGGTCGCTTTGCTAAGAGATTTGTCGCGGGAAGGTCTGAAAGCTGTGCCGTGGCCCGAAAAATGGATGTAAACAAAGTCTTCCGCCTTTGCTTGAAGCGTGATTTTCTCAAGGGTATCCACGACATTTTGATATGTTGGCAGGAGTTCCAACGCTGTAGTGCCGGATGAAAGTGCTGAGTCTTTGATCGAACTGGCTGTTAAGAGGTGTGTATGAACCCTGGGCTTGGACATGCCATCCAAGTAGTTTTTGATTTCGTGGACATCTCGTACGCATCCTTTCAGTGGTCTTTCGGAGTAATCGTCGATCCCGATCAACAGCGCATAGCGGCATAGGCTGGGATCGTGGTCTGCCATCTTCGAATTGCAAGGATCAGGGGTGGAGTGTACCCAAATCTAACGGATTTCGGGGGGATGCAACGAAAGTAAATGGTCAAGGGTGAGATGTCTACGAGTCTATTTTCAAACAGATGTAACAAGAACCGACACTAATTGTATTACGCCTTGTTGTACAGCCTGGTCGATTTGTTGGGCGCGTGGCATACAAGATGACACGGAAATAACCGGTCAGAGTGGGGATCACCATTGCTTATGCACTGGTTGATCAGAGTACCGAGCGAAAGATACGAAAGTTCTGATACGCAGCAGCGATGTAACTTCAGGCGTTGCTTAGTCCTTTCATTCAAGTTGCTAGGTAATATGCTTCAATATCAACAACACACGATGCGACGAGGGCCTAACAACTGATCACTGAAAGCATCAGTCTTCATGCAGCTACTAAATCGTTTTCCTCAATCTGGTCGCCATCTTGCGCATCGTCCCCGTTTGCGAAACAGAGAGTATATACTCCATTGGACGGGATAGATGCCACAAGATATGGGCCACTGCGAGTTCCGTCGTCGTTAACTACCATCACTTTATCTCCGACGTGAAATTTGTTCATCTGGAAATAGTTTAGAGATGCAGAACACATATGGCATAGATGGAAGAGGTTCGATTCTTACAGTGCTGTACTTTCGGATTTGTGAACGATCATCATCTGCGATCGTGAAAGTGCCAGAAGTCTCGGTTCTTAATCTGTATCAGCTGTGAGTGGTCGATTAATCTGCAACCCAGCGCTACTCACTCTTCTGGTCCCGCCATTTGCGCTCTTTGATATGTGGATGTAGGGGTTCAGACACAAAGTTGTTCCGCGTCGAATATCTCAAGAACAAAGCTTCAAGAAATAGATCGGAAACTCCAGACTTGAGAATATGAAAATTTTATGCTGGGATTGACTAGAAACATTCATTTAACACTCTAATGTATAACTCTACCCGAGTGCTTCTGCCTTGTCGTAGATCGCAACAGGGTAGGATCCGCTGTCATCCCATGATTGGCGCATAACTGAAAGGCTGCATACGATATTGGGGCTGTGCGCACTTGAGTTTGACACGACCCAACCTTCACCGGACAGCCTGACTATAATGTTTTCCTGTTATCTCTCATCACTGCTGCTACTGCGGGGAGTGCTGCAGTAAGCATTGTACAATTCTGGAGGCACTGGTACTTGACTAGTCGCTTCAACGACAGCCAAGCTGGATATCTTGTGTATCGAAATTTCGCTTAACAACATGTCTTCTACTCATTCTCAATCGCACGTCAAAAAGAGTATGTTGTTACCTGGAGAAGAGAGGCCTCGATATTCTAATCTAGATTGTCTTTAGTCGAAGATTATAGGGCGGGTTATCCTCGTTATACAGCCCTTCTCTCCGCTCACGTCCCATTCTTCTTGTGTCGGCGCTTCAATCGAATTCGCGCTCGAGTACTCCTTTTGAAGCAAAACAAACTATCTGAGCTTGAAGAACAATTAGACCAGATTGATCGGGATGAGCGCCGTCTTCTTTTACTAGGAAGCAACCGATTGGATACGAATGCGGATCGACTGTCGACTTTAGCAGAGATTGACTCCAGCTTAGCGGATTATGGTACGTTGAAGTGCAATATAAGTTCGATATGCCAGATCTTTGCTAAAATATGGAGGATTCCAGATGAGTTTGTTGATAGAAGTCACCGCATGTTGAGCCTAGACGTTGCTGAAGCACGCGATATCGAGAGCTTACAGAACTGGTTGAATGGCACCGGATGTATTACGCGAGAAGAAACCGCATATCTTTCACAATCACGTGAACTAGTACGCTTGGCTCCATCCAAAGATTTCGCCCTATCGAGACTGGAGATTTGGGTTGAAGATGCGCTCATTCGTTTTTACAGCAAGTTCCGCAAGGTAAGACAGGTCAAATATCAATAGAACAAACTGACCAAGGACTCATAGAGCCCCCAATTTGATCTCTCGGTCGACCCAAACGTGTACTTGTATTCGGGCTCACTGATCAAACAAGTGGCTCGAGCGCTATTGTTGTGCTTGATCACGTTTCTTCTATTGATGCCTGTTGTCATTTGCAACATCACAGGCTCTACATCGGTCCGAATATTTGTCATCATGATATCCACGATTTTATATCTATCTATCCTTTTCAGTCTGACTAAATCAAGGACAATGGAGTTGGTTCTTGCCGGAGCTACGTGAGTCAATCCTGGCGGATTTAGGTCCCGCCTCGCGAATACTGATTTGTATGTTGTACCAGATACGCGACTGTTCTCATTGTTTTTGTCTCTGGTCAGGATGATCAACCGCTTTTAAAGGCGGCGTAAATATGCAGCAAGACTAACAGCAAAATAATTGTCGTTTTACACTAAGCACAATATACCATTGGATGGTCTGTACGTCCAAAGGTTGAGCGGAACGGACCGGAATGGAGAGGTAGTAGGCATAGGGCATTTGGCTTTAATGAGATGATGTCTTATCGCAGCCATCGAGTGGGATTTCCGATCGAAGGCCCATGATGATTTGATTGTGATTCGACCATGAATTAGGTAGATTTATGCCTTCTATTAGGCCGACTTTGTCAGCCGATTAACGATCCGTCCTGCCCAAACGCACAGATTTCCGCTGTCATTACATGATGCTGCCCAGACGGCGATATCCGCCTGACAAAGCGAGCTTTTGGGCGACTAATTGCAGTGCAATGGTTGCTTGATCGTCGTCGCAACTATGTAGTGATGGCCATCCATGGGTGCTCCAGGAGTTCAGTCGCCGATTTCCTGTCTTCCGGCCGCCATCCGAGCATCGATCGTATGAAATCCAGAAATAATTCCTTTTCCTCCCCTTCAAGCACCGATACTCTTTCCTCGAGTGAGATCTTAGGAATAGTTACACTCTTGGAACCACCCGTCCAGTGTCCTATTGAACTTAGCAGAGTCTATGTTAGCACGATCTCAATGACTAACCTTGCTTGTCGAAGACCTTCTTTGTCATATGGTTGCTTTGCGTGTATTCAAGCGGAGGCATTCCAAGGTATGCAACCATTTCGGAAACATGATGTGTCTCTGATGGGTTGCCCTTGTTGTCACGGGCGTCGAATAGATGCTCATCTTCAAACAAGTCCCACACCTAATGAAGAGTAAGTCATTGAGACTTCCTTATAATAGTATTGAATACTTACCAACGTGGCGAGACTCCAAATGTCCACCTTAGAGCCCCACTCCATCTCGAAAATTATCTCTGGCGCACGGTATAGCTCAGGCTGAATTAGGCCAGAGTGAGAATCTCCTATCCGCGCTTCTCCAAAGTCACAGAGAACTGGTTGGCCCCAAAGATCACCCGTAGGATGGGGAAGCTTACGGGAACTGTAAATGGTGCGTGTGCCGTTAATCACTTTGGATGGTGACGGGTTCTCTGCTTCAGCTTTCTCGAAGTTTTCCAGAATAGTGTCATCATCCACAGTCAGCATGATATTTCCAGGATTGATGTCTAACTTGTCAGTTGATTCAATCATGTTGCATCATCTTGCCGTACCTGTATGTATGACCTTAGCCTCGTCGTGTAAGAACGACAGCGCCTTAGCACATTGGCTAGCGTGCACTTCAGAAGCGGAACGTCGAGCTTGCGTGCTGGGTTATAATACTGGAGCTGTCGAATAGTCATGTGCATGGGTGGATGAACAAAGCACAAATGTTTGCCAGCTGGACCGTCGAGCTCAAATTCGCCATACAGTCCGCGGATGTATGCTTGGCCGCGATGCTGTGATTGCATAGAACTGACATGCTCGTAAAAATCTAGCTCTCGATTGAGCTGCGGGGTCTTTTCGGCATCTCGGGTACAAATCTTGACAGCGACGAAGCCAGCGTCTCGTTCTCAGTGCATGGATGATCAGACTATGAAAGGTGGGTGGGGGTGAAGAACGCCAAACATACCGGATATCCCGACACAGCCAGACCGTGGAGTATGCACCGTAACCGAGTTTTCCTATAACCTTAAAGCTAGAATCCAGAATCTCACCAGGTCGTGCTGGATAAAACTGATCATGGCTATACCACGGAAGGCGCTCCTCCTCGAAGAGCTCGCTGGCATTGATTTTCGTACTCTGGAAGCGCGAAATTCGGGAGATGTGAGAGGGAAATTTGAAGCGAGTACATGCGCGTTGACCAAATCTCAGCATGGTGTAGAGACACTATATCATTGTGAGAAGTTAGTGTGACGGTCCAAAGGCATGTTATGTTGGCCGCACTGATGCCTAGCACGGTCAATGACGCGTCTGTGCTCGTCGATGAACTTCCTGTAGCAGCAGGTCCCAATGTTAATGTTTTTGATGCAGGGAATGTCCATGATAATCCCAGGCACGGGCAGCAATTTCGCGCCGCATGGTAGTATATGGGGTTGTGTATCAGGATGTTGCATGGCGGGATTCTAGTGTGCCATAGATGTATTCATAAATCACAGCGATTTCGGATGGCTTTTCGGTTTTGGATCTTGCGTTCTCGGAATGAAATGTGATACACGAGTTTAATGAACGTCGGGTAATATTATGTTCGAACACGCAACAATTTCAGCGATCCCCATCGCGCGTCAGGTATAATGGCCATCGCCCAAAGACCAGCCAACTCTCTCCAAACTAGCGAAAGGTGTAGGGGAACATGTTATTGAGAGTCAAGTTGGGATGGGTGTGCCCTCGTAGGAGGTGATTTCTCGATTGGAGTGTTGGCTCGATCTGACATCAGTTGAGCCCTTCATAACAACATTTGGCACGATGTTTGGATACATGCTGTGCACAGACCAAGTCACGGGACCACGCGAAACCGCGCAGCTACATTTCCACATGCCCATCACTCCAGTTGGATCTATTGATTGCAATTACTATGATGACAAAGTGTATTACTTAGACGCGCTGTGATCCAATCATACTTGTGCAAATTTTCTGAGGCCTTGTGAATAAGAACGGAACGTAGACCGTTCAGACGCCTTTGCGTCATCGATCCTCGCCTCTTCCGCGCGCAGACATTGTTTATCGCACCACCATCAATAGTGCATATAGCAACACCGCCAACCTTCAACATGATAATGTGAAGCAATCATGCCGCGGTTGAAAGCTGCCTCGGTCTCTGACCAGGTCGTCCGCAAGAGAAAGCGAAAAACTCCTAACGATGAGTCCGCCGCCGAGCCACCGTCCGAGAATGAGACCTCGTCGAATGACGTGAGCCAGGTCACTACTACCACAACCAAAGTTCCCACAAAAACGCACGATGGCGGGAAGAAACCGAAACGAACTCCAAAGAAAGACCAATCCGGCCGGCCGACGCTCGTACGGCATAGTTCGTCATCTATCGTCGAATCGTCTATTCCTTGGCCAGAACACTTCACCAAATTGGCTCAGGTTCATCGAGCTTTGAACCTCATATACACATTTTGCTGCACGCGCAAACACTTGGCGACTACCCTGGATAATCTGAAGAGCACAGTGCAGGCACAAATTCAGCGCGAGCTGGTCGTGGAAGATGTTGCGCAAATCACTGCTCTGGTCCCGCGGACTATCAACTTCGCGTACGTGGACGAGGCGATGCTCCAACTTAACTTGATGGGCTCGGAAGATACCAGTAGTGGAAAAAGGGCGCGAGAATTCGTAATTGCAGAACCTGAATTGGACAAACACGAACACAAAGAAGTTTTGCTGTTTGAATTCATCGACGGCGATCTGAAGCGCCAAGTTCAGGACGCGAAGACGGGCGAGCCTACGAAAGCTGTCCAACGACTTCGTAACGAGGATTTGAAAATGCCCGTATATAGCCAGAAGCAGATGATGAAGCTGATCGAAAAAAGAAATGTAAAGTTCACGTCGGCCGTCAATGCTTTTTTAAATGAGAGCGCGGCGCAGGCAGTGGATGCTGTGTCCAGATTAAAGGCCATTTCCGTAGACTTCATACCGCAACCGTCGGACAGCAGATCATCAACTCCCGGCCCTGAGCGCTCATTACTCCCATCAACCATACCAAGCGAGCGTAAGCTCATACCCGAAATTATCGAAGATATAAAAACTCTGGAGTGGTACACTGGTCAGATTGTTCCGGACGGCCATCGAGTCTTCGATCCACAGCCTCCTGTATACGGAGAGCTCAACTTTCTGATGACCCAGAGCCTGGTCAATGCGCTTTACAATACGCGAAATATCGAGCAGTTATATGCGCATCAAGCGGAAGCAATAAACAACCTCCATGATGGCCATCATGTTATTGTTTCCACATCAACGAGTTCTGGAAAATCACTCATCTATCAAATTCCCGTTCTCCATCAACTGGAGCATGACCTCGATACGAGAGCCATGTACATATTCCCTACCAAAGCTCTGGCTCAGGATCAGAAACGCAGTCTGAAAGAAATGTTGCGGTTCATGAATGGCCTGCAGGAGGTACTCGTTGAAACTTTTGACGGCGATACCCCGATGGCAGAGCGCAACAATATCAGAGATGAAGCACGAATCATCTTCACAAATCCGGATATGCTTCACTTGACGATTCTTCCACAGGAAGAAGCTTGGCGAACTTTCTTGATAAACCTAAAATTTGTCGTGGTAGACGAGCTGCATGTTTACAATGGTTTATTCGGAGCGCACGTGGCGTTAATAATGAGGCGATTGCGCAGAATATGCGCTGCTTTAGGGAATGAAGATGTGAAATTTATATCCTGCTCCGCGACCGTCGCCAATCCGGAGGACCATATGAAGAAAATATTCGGAGTGGATGAGGTCAAGCTGACAGACTTCGATGGATCCCCGTCTGGTAGAAAAGAGTTCCTCTGTTGGAACACCCCATTTAAAGACCCTGGCGACCCGACTTCTGGTCGCGGTAATACCCTGGCTGAGTCTGCGAAGATGTTCAGCCAACTCATATTACGAGGAGTGAGGGTCATTGCTTTTTGCCGGGTAAGAAAACAGTGCGAAGCACTACTACAAGCCATCAAGACAGAACTGCAAGAACTGGAAAGACCAGAGGTTGTTGGTAGAGTCATGTCATATCGAAGCGGGTACACCCCTCAAGACAGACGACAGATCGAACGAGAGATGTTTGATGGGAAACTTGTGGGCATTGTTGCTACAAGTGCCTTGGAACTAGGTGTCGATATCGGATCTCTGGATGCCGTTATCACTGTTGGATTCCCATACACAATATCCAATCTACGTCAACAAAGTGGTCGAGCAGGTCGTCGAAACAAGGACTCGTTATCGGTACTAATCGGAGACTGTTTTCCCAGCGACCAATACTACATGTCAAACCCAGACGAAATCTTTACCAAACCCAATTGTGAATTACAGGTTGACTTGGAGAATTTGCTAGTACTGGAGGGTCACATTCAGTGCGCTGCATATGAAATTCCGATCAGCATTGAACCAGACACAACCTACTTCGGCCCACTCCTTGCGCAAATTGCGAAAGAACGACTTCGACAAGATATGAAAGGTTTCTACCATTGCAACGAGCGTTTTCTACCCCGGCCCTCTACGCATGTCGCCATAAGAGACACGGAAGATACCCACTTCGCCATCATCGACATTACGAACGGAAAAAATACGGTCCTCGAAGAACTAGAAGCTTCCCGCGCTTTCTATACCATCTACGAAGGTGGCATTTTCCTCCATCAAGGAAACACATACCTAGTCAAAGAATTCAGTCAAGACCGCATGCTCGCAAAAGTCGAATTCGTCAAAGTAGACTGGACGACTCAATCGCGAGACTACACCGACATCGACCCCGTAGTAACAGAAGCCATCAGACGTATCCCTAATTCCCGCTCAAAAGCCTTTTACGGCCCGATCAAAATCCAGCAGGTTGTGTTTGGGTTCTTCAAAGTAGACAAGAAACGCCGAATTCTAGATGCCGTGCAGATCGATAACCCACCTATTATCCTCTTCTCGAAAGGCATGTGGCTGGATGTGCCGAAATCCGCGCTCGATATCCTTATGGAGAAACGACTGAATATCGCGGCGGCCATCCACGGCGCTGAACATGCGGTGCTGTCGCTGATGCCAAATTATGTCGTCAGTATGCCGGGCGATGTGCGTACAGAGTGTAAAGTTGCACTGAAAGAATTCGCTAAGAAAGAGACATCGCGGAAACGGCCTGCACGATTGACTTTCTACGATGCGAAGGGTGGCGCATCAGGGTCGGGCATCAGCACGAAAGCATTTGAGTTTATTGATACGCTCCTTGAGCAGGCGTGTGCACGTCTGCAGGTTTGCCATTGTCTTGAGGGTTGTTTAGAATGCTGCTGCGATGAGCGGTGTAAGCACGCGAATCAAGTAATGAGTAAAGCTGGCGCTCTGGTCATCGTCATGTGTCTTTTGGGGAAGGAGAAAGAGATTGATATCGATGCGCTGCCGTTTGGGGACGAGGGATCATCACCAGCTGGAATTGAGACGGTGGTAGAGGCCAAAGAGGTCAGGGTGGTGAGAGGGAGGTGGGTGGATGGGGTTTGGATCAAGAATGAGGATGATGAAGATGAGTTTGCGAGGAGTATTCAGATGTTTGGAGCGGATAGGACGTTCATTGGGGTACATGATTCAAAGTGAAGACGTACAGTATAACGAAGCGGACGAGACTGGATACATTCATACCAACTTCAATCCTCATTATCCACAAAGAAGAAAACTCTATCAAGAAAAAACGATTGACTCAACGTCAAAGCTCCACGCTCATCATTCCCAAACTCATTTCTTCTGAAACTGGCTCTCCCTCTCCAACCACGTTCCCAAATCCATTAAATCCGGCTTTAGCTTCCTCAGCGTCTCCACATCAGCACCAGTTCCATTCTTCTTCAGCCACTCAAACATTGCTCCCAAGTCTTTCACAACATGCAAAAGCGCCTTCGCAAGACACCCATACGTTGCAGGCATATCCATACCCAACTTCTCCCTAAACACCTGATTCGCCTCCTCAAACGACAACTCCGCGCCCGCCAACGATAAACACCTCCCCGCATACTCCTCAGGCTTCAAAAATGCCTGAGCGCCAAACCACCCAATATCCTTGGTAGCAACGAGCTGCAGCTTCCGCTCCTTAAGCACAGCACTCCACGATGCAGCCATTGCCTTCCCGGCAAAATCATCCGATAGGTTTTCCATAAAAGCCGTAGGCCTCAAAACGCAATACCGCATTCCCGTCTTCTCCGCCTGCGCTTCGAGGTGCTTCTCGACGCGGTACTTAGTCGCCCAGTGCGGGACCATCGTAGGGTCGTTTGGAGAGTTCACCGGACCACCCCGGTCAACGGAGCTGTAGACGAAAAACTCGACGTTATGGGAGATTGCTGCGTCGATGACGGCTTTTCCTTGGGTTTCCTCAAGGGTGGTGTCGTTGGAGGGTGGTTTGGCTTGCACGCTGTAGACGCCCCAGATGGAGTTTGTGGCGCTTGCTTGAATGGCTGCGGTAAAGAGAGCGGGAACCGAGGTGAGATCGCCTTGGATGAGGGATATGGTTGTCAGGGGGTTTGAGGGGGTTAGGGAGAGGAGGGATTGCGCAGATGGGGATGTTGGGGAGCGGGTTACGGCGAGAATCTGGAAGGCGGTTTTTGAGGGGGTGGCTAGGAGCGAGCGGATTAGGGCGCCGCCTTGGTTGCCGGTTGCGCCGGTTATGAGGAGGGTTTTTGGTGTGGAGGACATTTTGATGGATAGTTGTTTATGATGATATTGTTGGTGTAGTTTAGGGAGAAATGGTGAGAAACTGGTTGTTAGGTGTTTGGTATTTTGATATTGGATAGTGGTAAAGATGATGCTAAAGTGTAAAGGAGGAAATTTTTGTGATGTCTATATACTTCTTCCTCGCGAGGGTTTGTACTATATATACGAATACATGTTGGAAAGGTCTCAGTTTCTACCATCTGACTAGCAGACTACTGTCCGGTAGACTACAACCCGGTGATAGCCTGCACCGCCCCGGCGAACGACATAAGATGTCTCGATACCGAAGCGGAGCTAGATAGTTCACCGCAGAAGAAGACGGGCAAAATAGCAGTAAGTTCGGGTTAAGAATGCTGTTGGTCCGACAGCTAACGAAGAGAAGTCGGCCGGAGGTGGAGATGGGATGTTTAGGCCTCGGAGGACTCGATGGGTCGGAGCGGACGTGGGATGATATCCGAGCTAGGGTCTGATGGAAGGCCATGAAGTAGTGTAGATGGCTGTTCGGCACCAGCCACTCCAGGCTAGCCCCGATTGGTATTAGCTCGGTGGATATTGAGCCACAGCAGTTTATTTGCGGCTTGCAGGGGGGTGGTGAACGCATGAAGGCTGTCGTTGGACCGCCGGGAGAGAGCTGACGACTGATGATTGCTGAGATACCCACCCCCCTTCCGACTTCCCTGAATTTAACTTGTTATTCTCTCCTTCTGCAAGCGCTGCTGTTCTTGTTTCTTGTCCATAATTTGTCTCCTTTACCAGCGTCAACAACCAGCAATGCAAAACGCCGGATAGTTCCAATCCCGAACGCATTTACGTACATATACATACAGGCTGTGAGAAGGCAGCACGCGCCTCTCCTCTGATCTCCCACGAACTGCAATGGCTTCTGGCGGTTCGTCAGACGCCGGTCACGACCACGCTCATGATGATGGCCAGCATGTTGAAATGAAAGATATGGAGGACAAGAAACCGAGCATACCTCTCGAGGAGGACATCATGCAGCTTGCGCGCCTCGGTGAGATCGCTGCCATACAAAAGCTGTTTGATGGCGGGCAGTTTGATGCCACATACAAAGACGAACAAGGCATAACACCACTGCATGTAGGTCATCACTCACACACTGGGCATTTCATCTGGCAGCGTATTGATTCTGGATAACAGTGGGCGGCCATCAACAATCACTATGCGTTATGCCACTTTCTCATTACCAACGGCGCAAACATCAACGCCAAAGGCGGGGATGCCGTCGCTACTCCCGTTCTCTGGGCCGCCAAACGTTGCCATTACTACATCGTGAACCTCCTTCTCGAGCATGGCGCCGACCCTCTCCTTACCGATGACCAAGGCTTCAATCTTCTACATTCAGCGACCCTCGACGGCAACGTATACCAGCTCGTCCTTCTCCTCCACCAAGACATCCCCGTCGATATACCCGATGCCCAAGCACACACAGCCTTAATGTGGGCTGCCTACAAAGGCTATCCTTCTTGCGTTGACCTCTTTTTAAGATGGGGCGCAAACGTATACGCGACCGATGACCAAGGCTTCACAGCCTTACACTGGGCTCTGGTTAAGGGCTCGCAAGGCTCTATCCAGAAGCTACTCGAGTACGGGGCCGACCGATTTGCTAAGAACAACGATGGAAAGACCCCCGCGGTCACCGCCCAGGAGATGAATACAAAGAGACAATGGCACAGGGCACTTTCGCAAACCGGCTATAACCCAGATGGCACGCCCAAGCAGTTTCCTATACCCAGGATAAAGGATACTCGGTGGTTCATTACAAGGTTCTTGTACTTTTTGCCAAGCTTGATTCTTCTGATCGCGCTGTATTTTCTCAGTCATTATCCCATCCTCATTGGCCTTCCGCTGGCTGGCGCGATCAGTTTTGGGATGCAATGGGCGGCGCAAAAGCTCCTGGCTTGGGCACCGGCCAATATGAGGAGTTTACAACACACTGTATGTACCAAAAATGCCGTCTAACTTGATTTCTGCTAATGGTATCGAAAGTCATGGCTAGCAGGTATCTTCTCGGGCACATTGCTCTGGGTAGGTGTCGCATATGTCACTACAGTCCTGTCTGGTAAGCTAGCACGAGCCTGTTTCGTAACATGTCATTAACTTGCTTTTACAGGCACGATACGAGATCACTTCTTCCTCAATGTCTTGTTCGTAACCTTCTACTGCCTTACAGGGTTCTTCTACTTCTTCACCATGGATTCAGATCCTGGTTTTGTTCCCAAGTCAGCGAGCAGGAGCGCGTCCAAAAAGGTTATTGATGAACTGATGGAGCTCCGCCAATTCGATGAAAATCACTTTTGTGTGACCTGCATGGTTCGCAAACCTTTGAGGAGCAAGCACTGTAAAAGGTGCGAACGCTGTGTCGCAAAGTCCGATCATCACTGTCCATGGGTCAACAACTGCGTCGCAAACAATAATCACCGACACTTTGTACTTTACGTTCTATGCCTGGAGCTCGGAATCGTAAGCTGGATATATCTAGTCCTCTCCTGTACGTCTCTCAATCATCTCTCTGCATTCAAGACGTCAACTAACTTTCCATCTACAGACCTCGAAAAAGTTGACGCCCCCAAAGACGCAACTTGTACCTTCCTATCCTCCGATCTCTGCCAAATCATGAACAAAGACCCCTACACTATTGTCCTTACCATTTGGGCAGCCTTTCAATTAACATGGGTAACCATGCTCGCCTGCGTGCAACTCCTCCAGATCGCACGCAATCTTACAACTTACGAATCGATGCGTGGCCACTTGCACGACAGAACGCCAGCAGACGCCCTCAACTCCTTCGTCACCACCGGCGATACCTCCCAAGATATTGCTCCCGGCGGTAGCAGCGCACCCACCAACGGCTTCGGCTCAGGACAAGACGTCGGCGATGTCCCCGGCGCTGCAGCGAACCGTCGTCCCAAACAATCCATCTGGGACCAATGGAAACGTCTTCTCGGCCTCGACACTTTCGTCGCGACCGCCTTCCACGGCTCCCAGGGTGCTGCGGGATCTCACCGACATGGCCGCGGGGCCGCTGCCAGCGGCGGAAACCCCTGGAGTCGCGGCATTGTATCGAATTGCAAGGACTTTTGGTGCGATGGCGCGCCGGTTTTTAGTAAGCGCGAGAGTGGGTTCGCGAGGCTGGATGGAGAGCGTGTGGATTATACCAGGGTGTATGAGGTCCCTGGACGCATGCGGTATGCTAGGTCTGGTGGTGCTGGTGAGGCAGGGAGATATGAGGCTGTTGGTGGAGATGAAGTTTAGAAGTCTTTGATGTTGATGGGGATAGGGAGAGGTGGGCTGATGAATTGGTTGGGTGGAGGGAAAGCAAGTAGACGATTATCATGGGATTCGAACGGAACGGAACGGACGAGATTAGATGCTAATGAGTGTAAACATGTTTCTATCTTTCCCCTCCCTCCCTCTCTCTTGATGTAACAAATATACTTCCTCTCAATGAAATGTTCCCTTGCGTGAAGGAAAGGTAACCGGTACTCGGGGAGGATCCCGGCCTGACCTTCGTTTTCTTCTTTTTCTTCTCCCGGATCCTTTGCTCTTGCTCGTGTTTTCTCCTTCTCTCTGTGGGTTACCTGGTTGCTTGCTCTATCCCATCCCAGATCTTTTCTGACTTGTACATGCACATGGAGGTTGGGTGTACATGTGTGGCACTCTTCAGTATTTATCACATACTTGATTTTATGTAACTTGAAAGGACCCATTTTTCTACATGTACATACAAAAAATGTGTACATTGTATACTTAGTTATACACAGGAGGAAATAACCCTCAATCAGGTTTTCCAATGCTTTCTTTCCTCTAGCAACGACTAGCCCACACAGTACAAACAGATAAAATACAACGACACAAGCCAGCGCAACAAAAACTACCACCCTTTGCGAGTCAACTCCATGACACGAGCAGTAACAGTCTGGAACCCTTGCTTGAACTTGTTCCTCCACCGCTGACTCGCAAGCCTCTTCCTCTTCAAACCAGGCCGCTCATGATACTTCTGAGCAGTCATATCAGAACGGATCCTGTTCCTCGTCACCAGCGCGCCCAGCATGCTGATACCCCTGACCAGATCACGATTGCGCGAGGGATCGAGCTCGATGGTGCGGCCATAGGAGGGGTCGAGACGGGGGTAGATTTTCTCAGACTCGGGGATGACGGGGGTCTTAGGGAGGTAGGGCGAGGTTTCAAAGCTGCCGTCTGGACGGAGGACACCTTCTGGCGGGTTTTCGATGGGACCTGAGGCCAGACTGCTCACGTCGAGGGCGGTGCGTCTACCGGGCCGGCGGGGGCCGCGATTGCTGAAATCTGCGCCAAAGATGCGCTGAGCGGCGTTTGCAGTGCTGGTGGCGGGACCGGGAGCGTCTCCCTGTGGATTGGGGTTGATGCGGCGGTAGCGGGAGTCGTTGTTTCTGCGAAGGAGATTGTCGATGGTGGTTGAGGTGCTAGACTGCTGGGGTCGGCCTCGGATAGACCATTTGTTTTGAGCTTCTACCAGATCTTGGAACGGGTTGGCATTGTTTGGTTCCTGCTGCTGCTGTCGTGGTTGAGAGACCGGGCGCGATGACGATGGCTGTTTAGTTGGATTGGGCTGGGTTGGGGCGCCGGCGCCGGAGGATATATTGCGGCGTGATGATAGAGAGGACCATTGCAATGATAGAAGTCTCGCGGTTGTCGGGCATGTTTGGGGGGTGGTGGACAGGCGAGACAGTGTGAGGGAGGAAGGGCGGAGCAGGGCGTCGCCCAGTGAGCGGGAGCTCATGGCAGACAGCGTTGGATGGTTATGTATAATTACACGGCTAGAATGGCAAGCATGAAAAGATACAAAGCAATTAGAAGAAAAGGAAAGAGGGGTGATCGGGCGGGTAGACGCAATTGATGCCGGCCGCGAGAGATGAGGTTGACGATAGACGTGGATGAGGTTGTCCCAAGATTTTCGAGCGATATGGCCCGTGCGCCGTCGGCAGCTACTGCTCAATGCTTTCGACAACCTTGACTTTGAACTTTACCTCGACCTGCGATATTCTCCCCTCACTTTCTCCTCCGTCTTCTTTCCTCTACACCTTCGTCTTTTCCTCGAAACCTTCAACATCCCTCGCTGTTTCATCAGCTCCCACCAGTTGCATCTTTAAGTCGTCCTTGGAAAAAGATAACTGGTCAACATGTATCCCTATGGCGGCGGCGGAGGTACGTGATGATTGCAGTTTTACTGCCATGGTCATAACAACACAAATAGCTAACCATCCCACAGCCCCCGGCTACAATGCGCCCCCAGGAGGATATAGACCTCCTCCGCCAGGCATGGCTCCTCCTCCCGGAATGGGTACGTTCTTCCTTCCATTCTTACTTATTTGCCTGTCTGCCTATTCAGGCAAACAGCAAAATATGCTGACAGCAACTTCTCTACCTATATAGTCCCCCCTCCCGGTACTGGCGCCCCAATTTCTGGTGCGCCTGGAGTTGCGCCTCCCCCCGGCGTTCCTTTCAATGGCCCTCCCACGTTGGGCGGTCCGGCGCGCAATCTGCCTGCCAACCTCCCCAGCAACATCAACTTCAACGCCCCCGTCATTCGCCTAGGCACTTCGGCGTCCCAGCGCCCTCCCACCGGAGACAATGCAGGCCGCCGCGAGAGTGCCGCACCGCCTGCGCGACGAGGCCTGGGAATGGACGGCCCCGATGCAGGTTCCCGTCGCGACGATGTCAAACTACCTCCGCGCCAACCCACCCGTGAAGAAGTCGCCCGTACCATCTTCGTTAGCAGCATACCAAAGGACATGAAAGACGAGGATGTCGAAGCTATCCTCCGTACGGCTGGCGGTCTTTCTAGGTTTTACCGGGCCACCGATGCAAACGACAAGCCCCAGACCTTCGGTTTCGCCGAGTTCCCCGATGCTCAGAGCCTGCGTACCGCGACGGAGATCTTCAAGGATGTCCGCGTTCCGACCAAACGACAGAAACCCCATCAAGTCAAGAAGGCGGACGGCGAAGATACGGAAATGGCGGAGGATGTGGAGACTTCGAAGCTGCAGATCATGGTGGACGATGCATCTATCAAGTACGCCGAAGAATGGACCAAGAACGAGGACGAGAACACAGTGTCTTTTAGGGTCGATTCTGCCAAAAATGAACTCGCTCAAGTCCTTGCGCGTCTTCTCAATCCACCCAACGCTCCACTGAATGACTTTACCAACGACACCGTCATGGATGATGTTCCCATGCCTGATGACGAAAACGTCGTGCACGTGAACATTGACATGGCTACTGGAGAAGACGAACTCTCGGACATTCCAGCTGAGATGCGCGAGGTCGTGGCTGCTGAGATTGCTGCTTTCCGCGATCGCTCAAATCAGCGCGATCAAGAACGCCTGCGCAAAGAGGAAGAAGCCGAGGCCGAGCAACGCCGCGATGGTCGACGCGCATCACCACCCCCAGCCTCTGCTCCAACAGGGCCTGGTGGCGCGAATGGTGTGCCTCTGGGTCCCCGAGCTGATCGAGGTATTCAAGGTGCTCCGAGTGGCCCCAAGAACTCGCAATTTCCCCGCGACTATCAGGCCGGCGTCAATTTCGTCAACGGTGGAGCTGTCAACAACGGTGTCTATATCAGCCGCGAGGATGAATATGATTCCGCAAGCGACTCGGAGCTTGAGCAACGCCGCCAACGCAAGAAAAACCTGGAGCTGGACGATGCCTACAAGATGGAGTTGAGTCGCTGGCTCAAGTTCGAGAACAGGGCAGTTTCTTCGCTGGAACGAACCCAAGACCGCTTGAAGACCGAAGAGGCCAACCTACAGGCTGCACGGGACACTCAAGCAAGCCAACTGAAGAACTTCGACGACGACAAAGAAGCCGATCAAAAGCGCCAGCTATACTACCGCGATCACGGAGAGTACATGCGCGAGCGAAATAGAACTCGGGAGCGGGAGGAGCGGGACGACCGTGCGGACCGTGAGCAGGAACAGCGTGAACTGGCCGTGAGGCAGAAACAGAAGGAGCACGCACGCAACCAGGCTGACGCCTTCCTGGACGAACAGGCTGAAGAGATGATGCGATCGCAGACGACTAACGAACCTCAGCAACAATTCAAGATTTCACTGGGAGCGGCTACTAAGAAACTGGAACAGACTACCACCAAAGCACGCACGGCTGCCGATGTTGAGAACCTGCTCGAGGACGAAGAGCCTGTGGATGATTCCAATAACAAGAAGCGTACCTTAATCCCCATAAATGTTGATGCCACTGATCGTGCGAACCTTACACAGGAAGAGATTGAAGATGCTCAAAGACAGCTTGCCCGCGATATTCCCTCAGACAAGGAGGGTCTCTGGAATTGGCCCATCTCGTGGGAACATTTGAACGACAAATACATTGACAAAGATATTAAAGAATGGGCTGCAAACAAAGTTCTCGACACTTTGGGTGTGCAGGAGGATCTTCTTGTGGATGCTGTGGTGGATCATTTGCGGAACCGGGGAGGCCCTGATGCTTTGGTGGAGAACCTGGAGGCTGCGCTTGATGATGAGGCCGAGAGTCTTGTGAGGAAGCTTTGGCGTATGGTTATTTACTACAGCGAGACTGAAAAGAGGGGTATAAGATGAGTAGGAATGAGTAGGAACTGTATTCCGGGTTCTCTGATTTTCTGATTACCTTGTTCATGTTTCGCGACAGAGAAAACCGCCACAAGAAATTCTAGGCTACTTAAGTTTATTTCCGTCGTAGGTAGCCTCCCGACAGTTTTTATCCCTCGTCGGCAATTGAAGGCAACTTTCTACATTTGACCAAACTGACTCCATTCTTCGGCTTTTCTATCGGCCGGCTTTGTTGCGTGTCCGGCATCGCAGACTACTAGCTCCCTCACTACTTGCCCTTTTTTACCCCGGACCGCAATTTCTCCACAAATCATCAATGAGGGGTAACACCTCTCCAAACCTCGTCCCCCACGTACTACTCTTCTGCCCGCGGTTGTTCTACCTCTTTTAACTTCTGCTTTCCGTATTTCCTGACTGTTTTCCAAGGATTCTCTGCTTGAATCTCTCAAATTCAGTGTGATTGAAATCGTATGTACCAAGCTTTCTATCACCCCCCTAGCTCACCCCCTTCTTGCTTCGTCGTTGTTCGTACTGAACCTCTCGTTTCTGTCGTTTGTTCTTCTTCATCTCTCACCCCCTTTCCTACTGGTTCAACAATAATTTGACTGAAATTGGAAAGTAGGGATTCATATTTAACCGGCAGCTCGAAAGTATATAAACTGAGCAATTGTGATCGGATTGGTCTTCTCTCTGTTTTCGAAACTTGTTTCCTTAACTTGTTTTCTTCTATTTACAATCTCTCTCGATCTGCCAGGGACGAGTATTCAGACAAGCAAGAGAATCTAGGCGAGAGCAACGAAACGGCACTCTTTGTCTTTTCAACTCTGTGAGGAGTAACAAGAAAAAAAAAAAACAAGAGCGAACATACTTGTACGACATCCAGCCTTTCAGGAAGCGTTAAGAGAAATTCAGAACGATATATTGAACAGAATAAGAGACAGATCAAAAGCAGAAAGAATGGCCGAGTCAAAGGAGGTTACCATTGTGGGGTTTGATACTAGGGATGTCAGGTTTCCGGTATGTTCTTGTATTATTTTCCTGTCCTAATTTACCTTTCTTCTTCTTTAGTGCTTTTTGCTGTGTAGAGGAGGATAGACTGTTTGAGTGACAACTTTCTTGTTGATTGGTGGGAGCGAGACTGTGCTTTGGGGAGATCTGAAGTTCAAGTTGAGGTTTTTGGAATTTTGGACACGCGGGAAGAGAAAAAAAAGGGGGAGTGACGACATGTGTATACATTTTGATTCTCCCTTTTCTTCTCTCACTCTATGGCTCCCTCCATCTCATAGGAGGGTTTTCTGAAGACGCCGGTCTCTCATACTACCTTTGTTCCTTATTCATGCACTGTCCCTGTTTCCGCGGAACCGGACATTCCGATACAACGTTCTCAAATATTTTACCAAGCGTTTGAGATACACTTTCACTGACTTGAGGTATTTTTGGATGTTTTTAGACATCTCTCGATAAAACAGGTTCCGATGCAATGAATGCGGCGGGCGATTACTCGGCTGCGTATTGTGTGTTGAAGACGGATGGTGGATTTGAAGGACATGGAATGGTAAGTTTCTGAGAACCCTTCAGCATGTGCGTTGAAAGAGGACTTTTTCTGATCCGGTCTATTCTCACACATCCATCGCAATCCAAATTAATAGACTCCCAGACCTTCACCATCGGCCGTGGAAACGAAATCGTATGCACAGCAATCGCACACCTAGCCTCCCGCATCACCAACCGCACTCTCTCATCCCTCGTGGCTAACTGGGGCCAAACATGGCGCCATCTAGTCAACGACTCGCAACTCCGTTGGATCGGTCCGGAGAAGGGCGTCATTCACCTCGCGCTCGGCGCCGTCGTAAACGCAATCTGGGACCTCTGGGCCAAAACCCTCAACAAGCCCGTCTGGAAGATCGTTGCGGACATGACGCCCACTGAAATCGTCTCTCTCATCGACTTCAGGTATATCACTGACGCACTAACCCCCGAAGAAGCGCTCGACATCCTCATGAAAGCGGAGCAAGGTAAAGAAGTGAGAATAAAGGAGGCTATGGAGTCAAAGGCCGTTCCCGCATACACGACATCTGCTGGGTGGTTAGGCTACGGACGCGACAAGATGCGAGCATTGTTGCAAGAGACGCTCGCAAAGGGGTACCGGCACTTCAAGATCAAGGTTGGTGGGGATGTGGCGCAGGATCGGGAACGGTTGGAGATTGCGCGGGAGGTGATTGGGTTCGATAAGGGGAATGTGTTGATGGTGGATGCGAATCAGGTTTGGAGTGTGCCTGAGGCGATTGCGTATATGAAGCAGCTGAGCGAGTTCAAGCCGTGGTTCATCGAGGAGCCCACCAGTCCAGATGATGGTGAGTATTTTATTCCCTCCCTTTTAGCAAGACTTCCCCACTGCCCTTTAAGACTTCAATCTTCTTGCGCGTACGCATCATGGCTTCAAGTTCCCCTTTATTCCATCCACACGAGCATCAACCCGGGAGAAGAAAGTTCACGAATTCTAATTCCTTGTTCCCCTCACAGTCCTCGGCCATAAAGCCATTCGCGACGCCCTAAAACCCTACGGTATCGGTGTCGCCACAGGCGAAATGTGCCAAAACCGCGTCATGTTCAAGCAATTCCTAGCCGCAGGCGCAATCGATGTCTGCCAAATCGACGCTTGTCGTCTCGGCGGCGTGAACGAAGTCATTGCCGTGCTTCTCATGGCCGCAAAGGTACCCCTCTCCTCTTCCTTTCCCAACCCCCCATCCTCCACTCCACGCTAACCGTGTGTTATAATGAAAAGTTCAACATCCCCATTGTTCCCCACAGCGGCGGCGTCGGTCTTCCAGAATACACGCAGCATCTCTCGACCATCGATTACATCTGCGTATCTGGAAAGAAGTCGGTGCTTGAATTTGTGGATCATCTTCATGAGCACTTTTTCCACCCCTCAGAGATTAGGGATGGGTATTATGTCACGCCTATGAGTCCTGGGTATAGTGTAGAGATGAAACCTGAGAGTATGGAGAGGTTTAGTTTCCCTGGGGCTGAGGGGAAGAGTTGGTGGAAGAGTGAGGAGGCGAGGGGGATTTTGGAGGGCGAGAAGATTTGAATGAGGGAATTATGATGATGTAGTGTGGAAATGACTTAACTTGAGAACTTCTTTTTTAAGCATCACCCTTTCTTCGTGGTATTTGCAGTGGGCAAATGGTGTCGTTAAAGTTCTTGTAAGGAAATCGCCACTGGATAGGAACGGGAATGGAAGGCACTACCCGTGGCTCAATCACTCACTTGTAAGTCTTTAACCCGCTGCTCGCGTGCTCTTCACGCCAACCTATCATCTTCAGAATCCCAAACCTACACGATCTATTATTACTCCATCTTCTACTTAATTGATATCACCTAAGTTCGCCGCTACCGTCACCGCTTCACTGCTTCTTCAACAAACGGCCATCTACTCATGGCCCTCAGCTGCCTCACGGACAGCTTTGCCACAGCAATCAAATCGACTTCTGAGTTCTCGCTCGCAGACTTTGAAAGACTCGGCCAGTATCCCGGGTTTAGATCGAACACTTCAGCCTTTTGGGAGTTTCTTCTGGATATTCCTGCTAGTTTTAAAGAAAGCTCGTTTGCAAGCGACTGCAAAGCTTAACTGCCGTGTCTGAAGTAGAGGGTCCGACAGGAAAGGAGGGAAGAGAGAGCAGGAGAGGGGTAAGTAGAGAAAGCAGTCTAAGCTGCGGAATCAGATCAGAGGTAGAAGTCAAAGAACGACCTCTATCCAGAGAAAGGATACCACCTGAAAAAGTCCAGACACTGGAGTTACCGCACTCAACCTCACAAACACCACCAGCCGTCCGACCTCCCATCAACCCTCGAACAGCCTCCACACTCCACGCTCAACTCGGAGCCGACCACGCCGCCATCCAGATCCTTATAACCGACCATCTCCGCCGCGTAATCTCAGTGAGCATGAAAATCCCCTCCTCTCACGACCTCCACAACTCAACCCCCCCTCCGCCAAACACAACAACCTCCGACTCCCTAAGTGCAACGCGTCTCCGCGTCCTCTCCAACGCCCACGCCATCTACGGCTCCACCCGCTGCCTCGACGTCCTCACCTACGGCACAACCACATCATCAACCATCAGCGCCGCAATCGTCGAACACAACCCCTCAGGCCGAGCCTTCATCCACGCCACCAGCGCCCCCGAACCCTCGCGTCTCGCCGCCGTCGAACACCTCCTCGTCATCACAGAAGACATCCTCGCCCGCCTCGTCGAAAAAGAAGGCATTTCCAGCTCAGGATGGCTACCCACGACGCCACAAACCCAGCACGCCATCACATTCGGTCGCCAAAACTCGTTTTCGCAGTCCCAGCAACAACAAAGCGCTTCAAGGCACGAGTCCGGCGGGAGCCCGTTTGGCAGTTTCCAGAACCTGCAATCGCTGAGGTACGAATCTGCGCCTGTTTCGCGCAGGGAGTCGGTCGTCATGGGGGGTGGGAGGGTCGAGGGCACGGTCACGAGCTCGAATGTTTCTACGCCCGCGGTTCATGCGAGGGATGGCTTCTTTCATGGTGGCGGTGCTGCTGGAAGTCATGGGTATGTTGGTCATGGTAGTGCGAGTCATGCGGGTGCTCTCCCGCCTATCCCTTCGCCGCTTCCGACAAGTGTTGGGGTTGGGGGGAGTACTGCGCTTGGGGCGCCTTCTGGGGCGTCGGCTACGGCGGCGAATGTGGTTGTGCCTCGACCGCAGAGGACGGATAAGGTGAGGTGGATTATGGGGTCTGAGGGGTGAGTCGGTCGTCTTGTAACTTGGTATCTTTCTTTCTGGAGAAACTGTCTTCGGGGAGATTGTGCTGTGGGGGAATGGGGTGTTCAATAGTTTTAAGGTGTTTATGATAAACTAGAAGTTAGTTGGGAATTGAAGCTGGCATTCTATTTTAGTAGGTTTGGATGTTTAAAGATTGTTTTGCATGGCTTTCATATACATGATGTAATGAGGGAAGAGAATGTGCTTTCAATTCTATCTTGATTCTGTATTCAAGCATTACTGTTTTTTGCTGGTGTGTTGATTGTCTATCTCTGTTTGTGAGGAGATGTTGTAGATTGTAGCATATATATATATATATACATATGTATATATGTGTGTGTATACATACATATGTGAGATATAACCGCCTGGGTTTTGTCGTGTTATACAGAAAGTGAAGGTAGTCGTCATAGTAAGAGTGAAGTGCAAGTTTGTATTAGTAGCAGTAGGCTGATGGGTAGGAAAAAGGTTGATTCATACACATTAACATAGAATACCGGCAAGGCAAAGATCATGATAGCATGTTTGGCTCTATAATTCGCAGTTCTCTATGAAGATGACTGGTATAAAAGCAAGATGAGATTGGGGTTTAACAAACTTTATTCAGAGCAGTGATGTGTGAACAACTAACTAGCTGAGAGTTTAATTCTAGAGATAAAGTGCCCAAACACTCGAAAAAAAGGGCGAGTCAATCAAACAAAACCGCCCTAAGAGCCAAAAACAAATAATCAATCATAAGAAATCCATAAAAGTCATGTTAAGCATCATAATCACATCAATCTAAAAACATCATTACCCATGAAAACGTTGAAGAAAAACAAGAAATTACCCAATGCCCATATACCCTCCTTCTCTCTCCGTCTCAGGTCACCAAGCCCGACCGATGACCAACCTCCTCCCCAAGACGCCCCGAGCATTCCCCACACTCTTCCGGAACCCCTTCCAGCTCCTGCGCCGCTCCTCCCAGTCGCTCATCTGGCCCATCATGAAGTCCCAGCTCCTGCTCTCGTGGGCAGCGGCCTCTTCGCCCCTGAGACACATTTCGCGGTAGACGCGGGCGGCGCGGTGGCGGTCCGCTGCTTCTTCGCCAACGAGGTAGGGGTCTTCGAGGGGGTTGAGGGGCTCGGTGTTTGAGCCTACGCGGACAGGGTATGCGGGCAGGAGTGGTTGGTGTGGGGGATTGGCGGAGGAAGAAGAAGAGGGGGAGGTGGTGGAAGGGGATTCTAGAGGGAGGAAGAGGGAGGAGGAGGATGCGTTTGCTGTTTGGGGCGGGGAGGTTGCGGTGGTGGGGCGGGCGTGGGTTAGAGGAGAGGAGGATCGCGGGGGAGAGGGAGTTGATGTCGTCGAGGAGAGGGTTGGGATAGTGGTAGAGGAAGAGGATAGGGAGGACAAGATGGCAGTGGTGTTTGCGTGCTGGGTGTTTGCACGGCGACGGGCGACTGCGTCGTACTGGCGGGCGTTGTTGGCGCGGGCGTGGGTGTAACGCGGGGTGGCGAAGATGGAGTCGATGGACATGGCGGAGGGTGAACCGTGGGCGCGGTTCTGGAAGCCCGGGGCGTAGCGCGGCGCTGGTAGGCCCTGGCTGGCTTGCTGGTTGGGCTGCAGAGGCGGGAGCAGTGGTGGCAGAGAGGGAGCGGGAGGTGCTGCGCGGTGCGAAGTGTAAGTGGGTGTTTCCGAGACGTACGAGGGTGCACTGCTGAGGATGGAGATGCTGTCGGGGTCGCGCCGTGAGTAGAGCGGAAGAGGCTCCATGTCTGGAGGGGTGATGGTGAGGAGGCTGGTCATGGCTGTCTTTTTTGCCTGCGAGGAGCCAGGAGAGGAGAAGGCAAGTTGGAGATGGGTGTATAGCGGTATGTATGCCTTTTGTGTCGCGTGTGCGGGTTCGTATTTCTTTATATGAGGACCAAAAGGGAAAGCCGGTGGTGATGTTGCTCGATCGGGGTGCACACAAGATAAGTAGGTATATATACACCAGCTGTCTGTGTGTATTTGGTTGTTTTCCAGAAAAGAAATGAAATGACGAAGAAGTCAAGAAAAAGCCTCTCCTTTTCCAGGTCTGTTAAATGGCTCAACCAGCAAACAAGCAAGGCGTCGTCGTCAGTGAATGGGGGAGGGATGGGCCCGGAAGACACGGCCAGACTGGTGGGCTTTATAACGCAGATGCAGCAAGGCACAGCATGCTTCGACACCGTCCAAGTAAGCATGTATGCATGTCCCGTTCAATGTTAGGAGCAGTCTTGCACTATCAAGGGCCAGGCACACGCCAACCACATTGAACCCACATGCAAGCCACCACCGCCCATCCGCACCCATGCCGCTCATGCATCCCGTCAGCCATCAACTCAATCCCAGCCGGGCCCTGCCTATCCTTTGAAATAGACTTTTCTGGTACCTGTGCATGTCGTACATGTACGCCCACCTTGTTCCCTGTGAAGATTCACATTTCAAACCGCAACGTACAAACAAACACACAACAACATGCGCGCATGCATGGACAGTATCTACCTAGTATGTCATAGTTCACACATACCAAGGCATACGTCACGCGCCGCCCCGCAAGCACTGGACCAGCTTCACATGCTAATGCTTGGTCTAGCTCCACCTCTTACTCTAGCTACTCCCATCTCACCCCCTCATCCGTTCCAAATCCCTCAAACACCCCATCCAACCCCAAACTCTTCTCCCAGCTAACGAATGCATTTGTCCTCGTGACATCAGAAACACCGCCGTTCACACATGCATGTATTTCTACGAGAGAGAAATTCGCGCACAGGAAATCCCAAACATAAACATCAGCTACTGCAAAACCCCCTCCCAGAGCTCCAAATACTGTGCCTTTTCAATCTCACCAGGAACCTTTTCCTTTTGACCTCTCCTATCCTATCCCATAAACCTTTTTTTTCTCCTTTCTCACTCGTACTTGGCATTCACTTCCAAATCATCCAGTCCCGCTACCTGAGTACCTAGGTATGCATCTCACGTTCAAATTCTTGAAGGCTCGATGCCCCACAGGACTCAATACAGTTATGTACCTAGGTACATTCAGAATGTTGTACATATGTACCCTACACGTCTTTTTACAATCACCGATTTCTAGAACATGTTTTACTCGAGTGTTCAACTCAGCACGTACATAATATGAAGCTCACTACACTACACCAACCATCCACTATCCCTCCAACCAACCAACCTTCCTTCAAACCCCCACCCATTCCAACCTAATCCCACATCACTTGATCGTGACACTACCTCGGATCTGAATCCAAGCCCCAAAAAAAGAAACCCAACCCCAATCTCAAAGCACTGCCGTCATCATCCGGCACCCGCCGAGGCCTGCCTACTTAATCTCACCCTCGGTGGTGGATACCGACCTGCGGAGTCCAAGGTACCCCCCCAGTATACCTACTCTTCCTCGGTCCCGTTTATCCGAGGGAAAAAAAAAAGAAACCAGCTCACTTGCCGAATGGTAGTGACATTGTTGAGCGTTTGATAGGGTTAAACAGGGTGTGAGGCTTAGAACGGCCCCGATTGTTTGGATAATGACTTATCCCACTACTTCTTACTTACCCTTTCTTTGCATTGTCGTGGATTTTGTAATGAACGAAGAAAGAAAGAAGAAGAAGGTTTGCGTTCGAGTAAGTGGAAATATATAGTAGTCTCGTTGATTGAGGATACACTTGGAATTCGCAACGACCTCTGCATATGTTATGTATTCAGTGTAGATCGAGGGAGATCGTATCGATCGATCGATCTACCTTGTGTCAATTTTCTGAAAAGCGGGATTTCCACCTCCCATTTTGTATGCAAAAGCATTGTGGGTGTCTGTACAACTTTGGATCAAACATGCGACGGTGCAAGGATGATCCATCATCATTCTTTGACAGAAAAAGGAATGCCCCGTTATATTTCCCCTTTTCGTTTCTACTCTGTAGTCGATCGACTAATTCATCAATATTTCAATTGGATCGGGGATCAAGTTGTATCAAGAGGGCTCAAGTACACACAAATTAGAGAGAAAGAGAAGGAAAAAAAAGATGGGAACGAAGCAAAGCTCCATGTATTCTTCTCTATTACCATCTTTCCCTCTCTGTCTTACACACACTCTCTCTCTCTATAGCGAGTTTGCACAGCTCCCTACACGTCCCAAGCATCTTTCTCCCTCACTAACTTCCCCCTTTCTTCTTTCAGTTCCACGCTCTCCATCTCCACTCCTACCCCGAAAGGAGAAAGAAAAAGTAACAAGACTCAATCAATCCTTTTTCCCGGTCCCAACACCATATCCATACCCTCCATACCCGCCATACCCCCTAACAGCCGCCCCACCACCACCACCACCACCACCATTCGAAACCGGTAAGCCATAACCACCGCCGCCGCCGCCATTCAACCTACCAACTCCTCCACCCAACTTATCTCTAGCGTATCTCCTCAGCCTCCTAGGCAGCTCGACGCCCCGGAAATAAGCCACACAAATCGCCGCACTCGCCCCCGCGCTCAGAATGCAATACAAAAACGTACTTTTATATACATGACCTCCGTATCCAGTCCAACCAGGGGGTAGAGTGGTAGATGGGTACCATCTCACTGAGAACTGTAGGACAAGAGAATCGCCGATGGTGATTTTTTCGTTGCGGACGTGGCTGGACACGCTGTATGCGATAGCAGCATCAACGGTGCCGGGAGCGACGTGTTTGGGGGCCGCGTGTACGAGGAGATTGAGCGAGTTGCCGATGTGGAGGTGTGAGCGTTGGAGGGTACCGGAAAGGGCGATGATGAGGGGGGTGTAGAGGGAGGATTGGGTGCCTAGGGCTCCTTCTTGTGTTGCGGTGTCGGCGATGCGGTATTCGTGTTCGAGGACTGAGGGGGGAAGGGGTGCAGAGGGGATGCGGCAGGTCATTGGTGCGTCGGAGTGGATGTAGAATTCGAGGAGGTGGTATAGGGGGTCGGAGATGTAATCAAGAGTACAGTTGATGTCTAGGGAGAATGTTAGTTTGGTAGTTAATAGGTGGGATGGGGGGCTTTGAGGTCACCTTTTTCAACACCGAAGAAGAGTTCCAAGGGACGTCCTGTCTCGTTACAGGTCGGGAAAGGTATGTATTGCAATTGACCGCTTGCATCTACAATCTAATATGAAGCACATTCTGTTAGCATCTTTCTTTCTATCAGGTTGTTTGAATATCCTCAACTCTTGTAAGAAAGATGATTTGGACGTACATGTTCACCCGTATCTCTATTGACAGTACGTGGTTAGTGAATTGCGACCAATTACCCCGTTCACTCCTATACCTCGTTCCTCAGGGAAGGTGAAGCAACTCACATAGTCCTATTCAAACAACTAACCGCCATGCTCTCTCCCGGGTGATATCCCCTCGCATCTTTATCCACCGCTTTCATAGGCTCCTGCTGCTGCGTTCCCGCTCCCGCAGCAGCTACGCCATGAGCGAGTGCCATCCAGAACGCACATATCGCAACGAATGGGATGTAAAAATTCGGCCGCGCTGTTGTATGTTGTGTTTTCGCCATTGCTTGATGTGTCCTCCTCTTTCAAATGTGTACTTGATCTGCGAAAAGGAAGTTATGTACAGATTGTAACAGCGTCGTTTATGTAAACGCGTATGTACAATTGTCTGGTGGTCGTGCTTTGACGTGCGCTACTTCGAGAGGCAATGGTTGGGTCTATCGGAGAAGTGGAAAGATCAAGGTTCGGTGGATGAGGCAGACGACGGTTACGCCTTCGCAATCGAGTTCGCAATGCAACGTTCTATATTTCCCAGCACGGATTGCCACATTCGAGACATGCACTCTTCCTAGCGATTGCTGCCAGTTCCCTGCTCTTGTAGTCCTAGTCAGCAACACACCCCCAATACTTCGAGATGCAAAGACGTGCGACCAAACGCGAAAAAGCAAGAGATGCAGGAGGAAAGTAATGCGGAAAACCCCGCAGAAATATAGGGAACAAGGCGAGGGAGAAGAGTCGGCAGAATTGACTCCGGGTGCAAGAAGGCGTGGAGGGGAGGAGCGAAGGTGTTCCGTCTTATGTGGCCGCCCCCATAACCTAATTGATGGTGGAAATGTAGTGAACTGTGGCCTGTGCGCCTTCTCCGTTGCTGCTCCGCAACCCGCCGTCCAGCAGCGGCTACATCGCTCGGGTCCTTCTCATTCCTACACAACATTTATGTGTTGAAAAGGAAGATTGAGGCTTCAACCACGCTGATTACAATAAGCAAGTTTTAGAATTTGATAATCACCAGTTCACATAAAGTTCACAACGAAAACCGCACACAATGGGTGCAATATTGCTCACGCATATACAGGACTTGAGGATATCAATCTATTTCGAATCATTTGGCATTGCCGCTATTATTTTCCAGCGTCTCGTTTTCGCTCACTCAGTCATGAATTCATAACCATCGTTATCAGCACCGGTTGATCCCAGTGCGCAACCTGAGGATACACGTTGACCCTGCATTTACAAGGTAGCCTTCTTCTTGAAGGCGTTGATGAGTCCACCGGTGCTGGCGTCGTGGCCAGTTGACTCGCTGCTGTCGTCGAGTTCGGACAGGATCTTCTTGGCGAGCGACTTGCCCAGCTCAACACCCCACTGGTCGAAGCTGTTGATATTCCAGATGGCACCTTCGGTGAAGGTGAGGTGCTCATAGTAGACGATCAGAGCGCCGAGGGTGGCAGGTGTGATCTTGTCCGCGAGAATGGAAGTCGTTGGTCGGTTGCCCAAGAAAGTCTTGTGAGGGATCAGGTTGTCGGGAGCGCCTTCGGCCTTGACCTCATCAGGGGTTTTGCCAACCATGAGGGCCTCAGCCTGGGCGAAGAAGTTGGAAGCAAGCATCTTCTGGTGCTTGTTGTTCTCCACGGGGTTGTGGCTCTGCGCGGCCAAGATGAAGTCGGTGGGGATCAACTTGGTACCCTGGTGAAGGAGCTGGTAGAAAGAGTGCTGAGCATTTGTCGCCGGCTCACCGAAGAGGATGGGACCCGTCGTGTATTTGACGTAGTCACCGCTGCGGGTGATGGCCTTGCCATTGGACTCCATGGACAGCTGCTGGAGGTAGGCGGGGAACCTGTGAAGATACTGATCAAAGGGAGAGACAAGATGTGTCTGAGCACCAAAGAAGTCAGAGTACCACACGCTCAATAAGCCACCAATGACGGGGATGTTCTTCTCGAGAGGGGTGTTCTTGAAGTGTTGGTCCATGGCCTGGGCACCAGCAAGGAAGTCCTTGAAGTTATCGAAGCCAATGTACAAGGCAACGCTCAAACCGATGGCGCTCCACACGCTGTAGCGTCCACCGACCCAGTCGGAGAAGCCGAACATGTTCTTGCTATCGATACCGAACTTGGTAACCTCAGACTCGTTAGTGGAGAGAGCAACGAAGTGCTTGGCGATGTCCTCCTGCTTCGCGCTCTTGAGGAACCATGATTTGGCCGTGTTGGCGTTGGTCACAGTCTCGGCAGTGGTGAAGGTCTTGGATGCGATGAGGAAGAGGGTGGTCTCCGGGTTGGACTCCTTGAGAGCCTCGGCAATGTGGGTGCCGTCGATGTTGGACACGAAGTGCAACTTGAGGCCGCGGTCGCCGTACGGCTTGAGAGCTTCGGTGACCATGACGGGGCCGCTATCGATTCAATCAGCCTTGCTTCTATCAGGGAGTCCTTCTCTACCACTTACAGGTCAGATCCTCCAATACCGACGTTGATGATGGTTTCGATCTTCTTGCCAGTGTAACCCTTCCACTCGCCGCTACGGACCTGCTCGGTGAACTCCTTCATGTGATCCAAGACGCTGTGCACCTCCTCGACGACGCTCTGGCCATCGACCTGCATGGGCTCCTTGGAGATGTTGCGAAGAGCAACATGGTACACGGCACGGTTCTCGGTGAAGTTGATCTTCTCGCCAGCGAACATGTCATCGCGGAGCTTCTCGAGGCCAGCCTCCTTGGCTAGTTCGACCAAGAGCTTCAACGTCTCGTCGGTGACGAAGTTCTTGGAGAAATCGAACAGAGTCTCGGAGCTGTCGACATCGTTTTTGAAGGTGAAGGAGAACTTCTCGAAGCGCTGGGGGTCCTTCTTAAAGTACTCCTTGAGGACAATGTCCTTGCCGAGCTTGGAATGGTGGTCCTGAAGGGCATTCCACGCCGACAGATCCGAGGCCTGTGAGAAGCCGGGCATTGTGTCGTGAAGGTCTGCTGTATAGGAATGTAGTGTCTGAAAGGGCGCAAAGCCTGTCAATGGTGTGATAACTCAACAAGTGCGTCACAGCGCGTAAATGGTGGGGGCCTTGGTAGTGATGATGAAGTGCGGCGGGGATGGCAGAGGGGGCGATTGGAATAATTACCTTTTGGGTGGATGATATTAGAGAGCAATTGAGGTGATGAGAATTGGGAGGGGGAGAGGGTGTGAGTGTGGTTTTTCAGGAAGAAGAAAAGAGAGGCGGCGGAGTGACAACAGCCAGTACGGCAACCAGCCAGTGGAAGCGCCCGGATAGTGGGGGTGCTGGCAACGTGGATGAGGGGCAACGACAGACATCATAGTCGACAAGGGTTGCGGCCCAGGTGCGCCGGAACCGCCTCTCTGCACGCCTTGGGTGCTTGGTTATAAAGCAACACCGCATGCTCACTAACACATAACTAACATATATCCTCTTTCCGGAAATGGTTCATTGGATTGTGTCGTCTTGGATATCTCGCCGTGGGTTTCGGCCCTCGCTCTCTCACAGATGCTGCCTCATGCGCCTGATTCATGAGCTTCTATCCTGGCTCCCACTTAGTAGAGCATGAAAACTCCCAACATCTCCAACAACTGCGCCACCCAATACGCAGCCGCTCCATATTTCGCAAACCAAATCATCAACCAACATCGCTTGCGGACCCTTGAACCTGCTGTAAAGCAAGCCATGTCTTGTTGCGTGACCTTCATCCACTGACTAATCATTTACATGTCTGAAACCTTGCCATGCCATACCTCTCTACCTCCCTCCCACCCACCTGTTCCCCCAGCACTACTCTCTCATATATCTTGGAACGATGGATCTTTGACCGATCCTCCAGCATCGCCCAAACCTGCTACAGGGCGGTTGTACGACCAACCCGTGAATTGCTGCTGCATCGTCTGAGATAGGCCGGGCCCCTCCACGTACGAGTCTGTAGGCGCTTCCCTGGTGAACTCATCGTCAAAGTTTGTGGTATCCTTAGCATCGGCCTGTCATATATTATTAATACGATGCTCAATCACAGCATATGTCCGGGATGTCTCGGCGGTCGGGGTAGGGCAGCACCGACGAGATTCGGAATTTTCTCGGGGCATGGGTGTACAGAAGAAATAATTTAGTCATCGGAGAAAGAAGTGAAAATGGACTCACCACATTGGGCTTGAAGCTAGGCTCGTATTTGCGCTCTAGAAGTTTCCTCCAGTCGATGCTGTGGAAGAAGTAATGTGTCTTGATTTCAGCCGCACCCTTGGCTCCGAGACGCTTCTCCGCATTGCGGTCAAGCAGACGGGTTAGCAAATCCCGAGCAGCCGGCGGTACAATCTGCTCGTTGGGGAAGGATAATGGCTCAGTGAGAATCTTGCGGTACATGTCGTTGGTGTTCTCGTCGTAGAAGGGTGGGAGACCCGTCAACATCTCGTAAAGGAGAACACCGAGCGTCCACCAATCGACAGCTTTGGTGTATCCGGCACCAGTGAGAAGTTCGGGAGCGAGGTACTCGGGTGTTCCACAGAAAGCTACGGGAGAAATTAATCAAAACTCATCAGCTGAATATGCAGGACTGTACTTACTGTTTGTCCTATCTCCGTCCTTCATATCCAGTTTGCAGAGACCGAAATCGCACAATGCTATGTGACCCGTGTAATCCAGGAGAATGTTCTCCGGCTTGAGATCACGGTAGATGACGTTGAAGCCGTGCAAGCATTCCAGAGCACAGAGAAGCTCTGCAGCGTAAAATCGTGCGCGGTTGATGTCGAATCGCTGTTCTTTCTGGAGGTGGTGGAACAACTCGCCTCCGTTGACGAATGCGAGGACAAGGTAGAGCTTCTCGGGCTTTTGGAACGAGAACTTGAGAGGGACAATGAAGGGATTGTTGATTTGTGCAAGTACAGATCGTTCAGCCAGCGTGTGGGCTACTTCGGAACGAGATATAATGTGCGCCTTGCGAATCGATTTGAGCGCGTAAATTCGGTGGGTGTCCTTCTTCCTGTTTTGATGTGAGCCAATGTTATACAGTCTCCAACGAAAACAACGTACATGACCTGGAAAACCTTTCCGAAACTGCCCTTGCCCACTACTTTGAGCAATTCAAAGTCCTCGAAATTGAGTCGCTCTTGGCGGTTCTCCACAAAGTTGACACCGATTTTCATGTTGCCGGAGCCAAATTGGACATCGACCCATTCCGCGCCAACCTGACCAGTCCCTGTCTCCCTCTTGGCTTTTATATCGCTGGCTTGGACTTCCTCGAATCTGGGGTTTATGTTGAGCTTTCCGATGAAGATGTCGTCGGCTCGGCCAGTATTGGCGGACGCAGATGGGTTTCGGATATACAGCGACACCTGGAGCTCTGTAACACGGGAAACATCGAACTTGTATTGTGTGCTCTCTCCTCCCCACAGGGGGTTTTCGGGGGTACCCGAGACAGCATCGATGAAAACCTGCTGTTTCTCAAAATCCACGAGGGCGTAGGGAAGGTGTTTTGATGAATAACGTCCGTGGATGGTGGGGACGGCGTTGATGCTGCCAGCAGCGGACTGTGGTCGGTTTGTGTATGAGCCTGCAACGGGATTTCGCATAGAACCGGCTACTGAGAAACCGCCGCCTTGAGATAAGGAGCCTTGGTGGTGACCACTATTGTTGAAGTGAGCCTCGGCGCCGGGAGGCAGCGAAAAGCCTTTGCCCTCATGGAGTGTGACGACAAGAATACCGGGGCGAAGGGGGGTAGCAGGAGCGGCGGCGCTGGCCTCCGAGGCGGCTGGATTTGTCAGTCAGTCAGTTCATCAATCCAAGCAGGTATGAAAAGGGAGTTGGGAAGACCTGGCGGGGAGAGGTGAAGTATACCTATGCCATTGGGGTCGCTGGGGTCGGATGCGGTAGAACCGCCGCTGACGGAGGCTCCTTGTTTGGGGGTCTGGTCGCCGACGATGGTGGAGGTGGACGACGAGCGACTGAAGATGTTTTGTGGGGTCAGGTGGGTGTCCTTGAGCTTCTTCGTCAATTTCCAAGACATGATGGCGACAGTGGTCTAGGAAAAAGCAGGTGTTGAATGCAGACGGATGGAGCGACTGAGAGTGTTGAATGTGGGGGTGGAGAGTGTGCGTGGTGGGTGGAAAGGAGGCGGCGGTGAGTGAGGGGCAAAAGGGAAGGACGGCGGAGGAGGGAAGGTGGACAGAGGGAAGGAAGGAAAAGAAGAGGATGGTGGAGAGAGCACAAGCAGGAGCAGGAGGAGGGGGAGAAGGAGATTGCGTGTGCGCGTGCGTAAGTAAGAAGGATGTGGCAAAGCAAGAGGATGTTAATTCCCCCAAGATGTGTCTTTCAATGGATTGATGCAGCCAGCGGGAAGTATGTAGTCGAGGTACCGCGCTTGGTTGCTAGTAGGGAGCGAGGAGGGGAGGGGGGGCAGAGCAACATTGAAGGGGAAGAGGGGCTAGACGTGTGACAGAGTGGACGCCCAGACGGCGGTCCGCACAGTGCCCTTCTTTTAATAATTATCATCATCGCAGCCGCAATCAGAATCCTCGATTTGTTCGGCCGTGCGCGTTTGATGCCCGTTGGACGTGCGACGGCGGTTTGACGTCTGGATGCGACATCCAATGGGCGCCGTTACAGTCTTGTGCTAAGTACTCAGGTACATACCTAGGTAGGCATTGGAGAGTCGAGTACAGTACCTTTCCACGGCAAGCAATGCACATCTTGGATTTGACAGGGACGGATAATCCAATCACCATGCCGGTATTTCTGGTTGATGATCATATATCAATGTTCATGTTCCCGCGTGAAATTGTACCTCGATGTGCAAGTGGTAATGCTTCTATACAAGTAGTGAATTTGTGGCTTCTACACCCAAACATCCGAGTAGTAGGCAAACAGAACAATGGCGACCACTACTTGATCTTCCTTCTTTTGCTCTCATTCTCCCTCCTTTTATTGACAGCGACAAAAAACCATCTATTGACAGCTTTGCATTCATCAACAGGTACTCGAGTATTCAGCTGGTTTCACTCATTTCGCCCGTCTCATCTCGTCTCGCTATTCGATTCGGGCGGGCTGGGACGTGCGCACTACTTGGTACTTGGTGTCACGGCCGGCTGCACTGCACCGCACGGCCACTCACCCTCTGGGCCGACGCCATCCATTTACCTCCGTTGTTGCTCCGCGTCTTGTTTTTGTTGACCGTCGCATACCAGTCAGTCACACTTCGGTTGACTACTAGTATACATACATTCAACGCCCCTCCAGCATCTGCACGCGTCGATAGCTTCGCGCCGCTGTCGTCGCTATGACCGTCGTCAAGAAGAAGACGGGCACGCGGGGGTCGGGCGGCAACAAGTACTACTGCGACTTCTGCAACTCGGACATCACCTCTACGGTACATACCCACTACTCAGCTACTTTCTTTTGCTTCCTTACAGATATAAAGCTGACATGCATCTGCCCAGGTCCGCATTCGTTGTGCCCACAACGCCTGCCAGGACTACGACCTCTGCGTCACCTGTTTCTCCGAAGCCAAATCAAACCGCGAACATGATCCCCGCTCCCATCCATATCAAGTCATTGAACAACACTCCATACCTATATTCACCGACGACTGGGGCGCCGACGAGGAATTGGCACTGCTGGAAGGCGCCGAGCAGTACGGCCTGGGCTCGTGGGCAGACATCGCAGACCATATCGGTGGCTACCGGACAAAGGAAGAGGTTCGCGATCACTACATCAGTACCTACCTCAACAGCTCAAGATTCCCCCTCCCTGAACATTGCTCCCCCGAAGATGTTGAGCTCAGCAAAACCATCACGCGCGAGGAGTTCCAGGCAAATAAGAAGCGGAGGATAGAAAAGAAGAAGGAGGAACAAACAAATGCCCCACCTGCTACACCCAAACAGAAGCCCACGGCCAGTGTACCGGCCTGCCATGAAGTCCAAGGGTACATGCCCGGTCGATTAGAATTCGAAACAGAATACTTCAACGAGGCTGAAGAAGCCGTGCAACATATGCAATTCGACCCGGGTGATGGACTCAACCCACGGACAGGCGAGCTGGAACCGGAGATGGAGCTCAAGGCGACTATCATGGAAATCTATAATTCGCGCCTGGATGCGCGTGTCGAGCGCAAAAAGATTATATTCGAGCATAAGCTATTAGAGTATCGGAAGAACGCTGCGGCTGACAAGAAACGAACCAAGGAGGAACGCGATCTACTCAATAAAGCGAAGCCATTCGCGCGCATGATGAAACACGACGACTTTGAGAAGTTCTGCGAAGGCTTAGCGTACGAGCACAGCCTTCGTCAAGCCATCTCCTCTCTCCAAGAATGGAGAAACATGCAAATCACCGACCTTAAACAAGGCGAGAAATACGAGCAAGAGAAGCAGACGCGGCAATCTCGAGGTCCTCCGCTAGGCCAATTCGATCGGTTAGCATCCAACCGAATGAGCAAGCCCACGCCTCCCTTCGAGACGCCGTCGGCGTCGTCAGCACTGACCGCTCCCGAGCTACCTCTGCAATTACGGCAAAAGAGCGGCCTTTCTACACCACCCCCCGATCAACCCAACGGCACCGCCAACGGTACCAATGGCGTATCGACCCCACAGCACGCCAAAACAAAGTTTGTCCCCAAGCCCCTCACCAACACCGTTCCTCTAAAATTCGGCCGCGAATCAGCCTCGGACCTCCAGTTGTTGAGTCCCGAGGAAGTGGAGATATGTCGAGTCTTGCGCATCATGCCAAAACCGTACCTAGCCATCAAGGAAAACATGATCCGGGAAGCCATGAAACAGGGTGGCATTCTTAAGAAGAAGACTGCGAGAGACATTGGTAAAATCGATGAGCGCAAAACGGGACAGATTTTCGACTTTTTCGTGCATAGTGGGTGGATTGCTCGGGCATGATGAACATGGCATGGCCAGTGGATTCGATTCCGTTATAACGATGTTGAAGAATTGATTGAGCGCATATTGGCTGGCGTTGAATTGGTTGGCTCTCTTTGGTTTTTGTTAATACCCTACAAACACAGATGGTTTGGGAGTTTTTTTTTTTTTTTCTTCGAGCATTGGGTACAGGACGAGATGGAACAGGGGTTCCTATGTTGACTATTGTATTTATCCTGCATACTTCGGAGTGGCAGTTCGGTACTTTTTGCCGCTGCTCCCCCCATCATTTTTACCAAGTGTAGAAGATATTATAATCGTGCAGATGTGCATTCATTGGAGATAGCTACATGTGCAGTGAATGAAGAGGTGCGATGATGACGGAATTAAGCTCCAAGACGCTATGTCACGCTAACCCCAATCTAGAGAGCTATGCCGATCCTCCAAACATTGAAAGGGTCGACCTTACCCTCACAACACCGCCTTTCTCCACCCCTCCGGCCAAATCGCATCCCTGAACACACGGCGAAAAGATGTATTCTTGATTCGGCAACCCCTGAACGACTTGTTCGGAGAGCTTGTACGGGCCCTTTCACCTGCTTCTCGGCCCAAACCGAAGTCAACTTTTGCGCGCACTTGAGCTGTAAACGTCAATACTTTCCCATGGCAACGACGATCGCATCACAGCACCACCGATCCAAATCCAACAATATGCCTGGTCTTTTCACTCCATCCCCACACACGAACGAGCGAAAAAATCTTCGAGCAAATATCTTCGAGCCGGCACCGCAATATGGCTTCGCAGCTCGCACTTCGGGGCACCAGGTGACAGGTGATGCAAATGCTCACGAGGCCCGTCTCTCAGACCAACCCTTCAACTTTTCCGCTCCAGCATCGAATGCTTTCTCTACCACCCCTTCGTGGCCCAGATCCTCCAAGCACGCGCCATCTTTCGACGCAAAAAGCCCTCCGCCGCTAGCCAACGATCGGTACCAGCTGGCCGGCGGCATGCACACACCCATCGTTGGAGGCTCGAAAAGGCTTCACGGTGACTACGACGATTACTTCAACCTCGAGCAACAACGCGGAATGTGGGCATCCCCTGCCACTCCATATACGAGAATGCAGCAAGCAGACCACCTGCAGCCATCGCCTAGCACGTCAAAGCCGTGGGTACTGAACCAGATCTTCAATATTGTGGGGGGTGTTGCGGGCAAGCTTGCTCAATTTTGTACTGTCCCGTTTCGTGGATTTTCAGCAGGAGGAGGACAGGCCTACACATTTGAGGCGGACGGAAGAGTTGCTGCTCAGCTCTTCCATGACCCACCTGCCGCCGATCCTATTGAGCAGCACGCGCCTGGCCATTTCCCGAGTGAGGATAATTTTGGTGTACGATCTATCGATTCGATCGATAGCGAGAGGCCCCGGATGCCGAAACGTTTGCGCACAGCCGACAGCTGGGTTGTGGTGGACAAAGACGGGACCACGGAATCAAGGCCGTCTTCTCCGCGTCTCACTGAGCGTCGAGTGCCCGCCCACAGCAGATCACCCTCTCAGATTCCACGTCCAGTATCTCGCGCAAATATATCGACACCCATCGCCAATCGGCCCTCGCTCATTCCTGTATCCCGACGATCCACTCTCGATAGGAACTCGATTCAGCTCGCTTCCAAACCCGATTCGCAAACCCGCACACATGAGAGGTCATATAGCCGCCAAAGCTATGGTTCTCCTGTCATGTTCGAGGCAAAGGCTGCCAAATCGAAGATATCCTTGCCACCCGAAAGCCACCGTCTCATCAACAAGGTACGCCGTGAGGAGTTTGAGGACGACCAACGTTTGCGCCGAATGAGCTCGCAAATGAGCACCATGCTGCGGGAAGCACAAGAAGCGCTGGGCAGCAAGTTTGAACTCCAAGATGATTTCATGGATGATGGCTACGACGATGATAGGTAGCTATCGGTCCAGACTTTTTCACAACAGAAGAGGTTACTGTGCCGCCATCCATTTCCTCTATTCCCTGAGTGTTTCGAGCTTTGTTTGCCAGAACACAGGCAGTTTGCAACCAGGCAATACGTCTAGCGAGTCTTGCAAAGCTCCACCTTCTTATTTGTCAATCTTCGAACTCGCCTGCTCGGGGCTGTTTTATCTATTGTGCAATGCGTTATGTCTCATGATATCATGTCTTCCTCTATACCCTCTCTTTGTGTGTTTGTATCTGGTCCTGAGGCGTACGGCGCCTACGTATACCCTTATTCTCACTCTGCGGTCACATATTCAGGGATGATTTCTGTGCAAAGTATATCTCCTTTTCTCGTATTTCATCCTCACTTTTGAGATGAAGATGGAGTAACGGAATGAAACTAAATCAAATCTCTTCGTTATGTCATATGACAAGTGCATGAAGTGATGTGAAGTGATGATAATATTATGAGAATACACGCTAGAAGAATTGCAATATATGATCTCTCTTCCTCGTCTAGCAGTTGAAATCTATAGAGATAATAGAACATTGCATGTCTTTGTAGGAATTCTGAGTATTTGCTCCGATATTTCCCGAAGGAAGACCGAAAGCTCGGCAATGGGTGTCTAGCTAGTGGCGGAACATAGTTTTAGAGCCGAACTACCACTCTTCTCTCACATGCGCTTCTGCAACTTGACCTTAGTGATGTACCCAAAGCTGCCGCCGTTGCTATTTTTCTAGATCTTTTCCTTTTTTGCTATTTCGATATCCCTCATCGCCCATGCATTTGTGTAGATTGGACGAATTTGCGATTATTGTATCATGACATCAGCCGAGGCTCTGCGAGCTTTGCGACCGCTTCGTGGTTCAAACGCCCTCGTGAGCACCTTCCCCACACGCCCATACGCGCGACGAAACCTTCAGCTGCTCGTAAATGGTAAAAGAAGGACTATTTGTACAGAATGCCTACGGGCTGTTCGTCGACAAGGAAAGGAGTGGAAGCCAGCGCTGGGCTTGAATTTGCGGACTGGGATCAGGACATACGCCCAGGAAGTGCAAACCAGCGTCTTGGAGAAGGAGGGCAGAAATAGGGAAGATGGCCAGCAAAACACTCCTATGAGGGAGTACGACTCCCGCGTTGATAGTGGCCGCTTGCGCGACGATACCCACCAGCGAGGCATTATACAGGACCTCGAGGACCTGCACCGCATGCTCTCCCGCTACGAACAACCTCCAGTCCAACAACCTACGGTCGAATCTCTCCAGCCTCCCAAGAAGTCTATCTTCTCTCTCTTCTCGTCGAATACGCCCTCTCGTGCTGCTCTGCCTCCCATCCCCGAATCGCTGCCTAAAGGGCTATACATGTATGGCGACGTGGGCTCCGGCAAGACGATGCTGATGGATCTCTTCTACGATACTCTCCCACGCAACATCACCAAGAAGACGCGCATTCATTTTCATGCTTTCATGCAAAGCGTACACAAGGATTTGCACAAGATGAAGATGCAGCATGGCAATGAGGTCGACGCCATTCCCTACGTGGCGGCCAATATTGCTCGCGAAGCCAGCGTGCTCTGCTTCGACGAGTTTCAGTGCACTGACGTGGCCGACGCCATGATCTTGCGTAGACTTATCGAGAGTCTCATGTCCCATGGAACTGTAATTGTCACTACTAGCAATCGTCACCCAGACGATCTGTACAAGAATGGGATTCAGCGCGAATCCTTCATCCCGGCCATCAACCTGCTCAAGACGCGCTTGTCAGTCCTCAACCTCGATTCGCAGACCGATTACCGCAAGATTCCTCGTCCACCCTCCGGTGTCTACCACCACCCGCTCGATGAAGCCGCCAAAAGCCATGCTGAACGCTGGTTTCGTTTCATGGGCGACTTCGAGCACGACCCTCCCCACACCGCCTCACATACCGTTTGGGGTCGCGAGATTGAGGTACCCAAAGCCAGTGGTCGGTGCGCGTGGTTCACTTTTGATCAAATCATCGGGCGCGCGACGGGTGCTGCCGACTATCTGGAGCTCATGCGCAACTACGACGCCTTCATCGTCACGGAAGTGCCGGGCATGAATCACAAGAGCCGCGATTTAGCCAGGAGGTTCATCACTTTTATCGATGCTATTTACGAAAGTAGGGTAAGTAGAATTGTAATGATTCATTCTGATTTACTTTCCCATAATCCATGGAGTCTCACCTTGCTTCTGCTCCTCTGACTGAGTATTCCAATTTGACACACTAACCTTCCATCTCTTAGGCAAAACTCGTCCTTACAACCGCAGTCCCCCTTCCCTCGCTCTTTCTCTCCACATCAGAGCTCTCCGAAGCCCTCTCTTCATCGTCCTCCTCATCGTCCTCCAAATCATCATCATCTTCCTCGTCCTCAACTCAACAACAACAATCCACAGATTCCGGCGCCGACGTCTCAGACGTAATGCGCTCCCTCATGGACGACCTCGGCCTCAACATGTCCACACTAAAAAACAGTTCCATCTTCAGTGGTGACGAGGAGCGCTTTGCGTTCGCGCGCGCGCTTAGCAGATTATCGGAGATGGGCAGTCGTGAGTGGGTGGAGCGCGGTATGGGGCTGGAAGGGAAAGGTGGGAAGGAGGAAGCTGAGGGCTGGAAGAAGGTTAGGAGTCGGTGGAGAGAAGATAGTCTGTAACGAGAGCATCTTGTTGTTGTTCATCACGTTTTCGAGCTTTGTTGGAGGGATAGGAGATGGCAAACAGTGAGTTATTTTTTTGTATATACGTGGAGAGTCATCCTCTGCTTCTTCTCTCCCATATTTACCCGACGACAATCTCGAGATATTGATTGTGTTTTTTCTGCGTGCCCGTGTTTCTCATTGTTCGTCATAGAGGCGCTTTCAAAAAAATTCATAGTTCATTCACCGTGTACATGTTTTTGTGATATAAGGCCGGAACTATCGGGGTGTCCGCGGGGTCGGGGGAGTAGATGCGATGATGTTTCCGAAGGAAGAAGTAGGAATCAGAGGCCCAGCAAAGAACAGCTATGGGGGAGGGAGGGAGGGTCTCTGTTATCGTATTTCTGTCTTTCTTTCTTTGTTCTGGTGGAGAATGATCAAGCAAGTAGTAGTGGATGTCTACTTCATTTACAACTTTTTCTAGGCCTATCTCCATAAACGTTTCCAAGAGCGTTGACGATGCGCTATGAACAAGCTTGGAGTTGATTGAGGCGTCCGATAGCGATCAATGAATCCGGTATATACGCTCCCACAAACCATAAACCACGGGATATTTGTGTATTAACTGACCCGATTTGTATAAAATCAACTGGGCGATGTCAGGTCATACTTCAGTTTACAAACAACGAGACCCTCTCTACGAAATCAATCCCACGGGAGAAGTAAAGAAAAGAAAAAACCTTTCACCACAATACATACGCCGCCGAAAGCCGTTCACTGTCCAGCCCGGAAGTCCACGGCACCCGATAAACGAAGGAATATTCGGTGATAACCGTTTGATCAGTCGAACGGGGCGGGTTATTTTAAGGATGGCACGTATTTAGTGATGCAAGGATTAATAGGATCAGCATATTTGGAGTCAATAGTATAAGGATTCGAGGGATCAATAACCTCAAAAGATAAGACCACTTTTTCTCCGGGGTTAGCATTCTATTTGAGGGTCAAAGCTGAGTTGTTCTAATAGCATGGCCGGCCTTTTGCGGCGTTTTGTTGATTGGCTGCTAGACGAGGCAGCAAGTAAAAAGTGTATATGGAATCTTCGGAAATCACTTTGGTTTGATTTTTTGGGGGGGTGTGGGGGCCAGTGTCTCTATTTTACGGTGGTATGTGCGAGATGGGGATATGCGGTTATCTGATGGTGTGATATGGTTTTCGAAGCAACGATGTATGTTGTCGTTGATTCTGTTTGGACTATGACTTAGTGAACGTATCACGAGGGTAGAGCAGAGGGTTTACTTTTGGAGAGATTTAAAGGCCGTGAGGTAATAGTGCATAATTCTTGTTGTGAGCTTCCTTCCACACAACAGACCATATTAGGTAGTCTGAGATGTTCGAATATCGCAATCCTTTCCGGACCACATGGCCATCGTTACAGTACTCTATCAGGTTCAGGAAAACACTCGATCAATGCTTTGGTTTGACTCGACTTTCGGGTGGAGCTATCGCAAAGTGACAAAGTCGCGGAGTTGAACGCTGAATCCTTCCTCGCCTCCGCAATCCGCCGTAGTGGGTAACTCCGAATTTCTGGGGGTTTATATCCCAAAAAGGCAATATATTTGCATCGGATGTTTATGAGAGTTACTAGTCGGTTTATTCGAACTAGTATGGAGATGTGTATTTTGCGTTTGTTTCAAACTAGGGGATTTGCGAAATGACGACTTTCTATTTCTTGTCGGTGTAAGATTAGTACTGGTGCCGTCTAATCCAGATTTCTTCTAGTTGAGCTTTCAAGGTGGCATGTTTAGAATCGCAACCCTAATACTCGCGCGAGACTTGGAAAACCGCGTAACTGAATCAAGAAAGAATAGTCCACAAATGCCACTCTCTAATGTTGTCTCATCATGCTACACCTCTTCGTCCCCTAGATATACGCGAATTTCGGTCGATCTGATCCCAAAAATACCACATTTGTGAGCTCCGTTGTCCAAGAAGGTAAAATAGATGCAATTTTTGCATCCTCAAGGCAGAATGGTACACGTAACTATACATCGTGGAAGGCTGAATGGAAGTTGTGCCTGAATCATGAACATCTTCGGATCTCAAAGCCCCGGGAATTGAGTAGTTAGGTTGTACGATGTGGACTGAGTCTATCCTTCTGGACTATATCGGCGTCAATTGACAGAGAGGGAGTGATGATGGTATAAGCGTGAGTATGATGGACAGGGAGTATGATGGACAGGGAGTATGATGGACAGGGAGTATGATGGACAGGGAGTATAAGTATGTTGTCGATTGCACTGTTGAGGGCCAGAACACAAACTTTCATTCATTCATCCATCCATCCATCCATCCATCCATTCATTCACTCGTTCAATCTTCTCTTCAGTTTCCTCTCTATTTTCTTTTGTAAATACCTACTCTATCCATTTGCACTTCTAGCAATCAGTCACTCATTTACACCTTAAACATCTTTCTTTTCCCTGACCTCGAAACCCACCATGCGGTTCGTCACGGTAGCCGGTCTCATCGTCGGCGGCCTCAGCTTTTCCCAAGCTTTGGTTCTTCCTTCGACTTCGTAAGCCCTGAATATTCTCACACACACCCATCACCCAGACTCCAGCTAACTCAATCGTAGCACGAAGGATCTCGATCGCCGAGCCGAAGCAATTCGCGAGATCGAGGGTGTTCTTCCCCGTGCTGACTCTGCGAAGAAATGCCAGGTTGCGAAGATCTATAGTAAGGATGATAAGAAGGCGAAGAAGCCTGATAAGAAGAAGATTAGTAAAGGCAAGGAAGTCATGCCGAAGCCTAGTGGGAAGCAGAATGATGGAAAGAAGGATAAGGATGATGAGAACAAGAAGGACGGCGACAAGAAGAAGGCTAAGGAAGGTGACAAGAAGAACGATGATAAAAAGAAGGATAACAATGATGAGAGAGAGAAGGACGCTGACAAGAAGAAGTCTAAGGAAGGTGACAAGAAGAACGATGATAAGAAGAAGTCTGAGGGCGACGACAAGAAAAAGGCTAAAGAAGGCGATAAGAAGAACGATGACAAGAAGAAACTCAAAGAAGGCGACAAGGATGGTGACAAGAAGAAGTCTAAGGACGATGACAAGAAGGCTTCCACTGAAGATGAAAATAAGGCGCCTAAAGACTCCGATGACGACTTCAAGGGCGCTGACAAGAAGAAGTCTGGAGATTCCGATGATAAGTCTAAAGATTCTGACAAGAAGGGGGGTAAGGATGCCGACAAGGAAAAGCCTGAAGACTCTGACAAAGACCTCAAAGATGACGATAAGAATAAGTCTAAGGACTCCGGCAAGAAAAAGTCCAAGCCAGGTCTTAAAGACATCGGCAAAGACTTTTCGATTTCGCCAACACTAAAACGCGACGTCGATAGCGACAGTGATTTCGACTTCATGGCTTGGTTCGCCAACACAACTACTGAAACCACCACCACTACTACCCTTACCCCCCGCGACGTAAAATACGTCACAATGAACGAAGTCCAAACTTTTACATGGACTAAAGATGACTACGCCTTCACCGAGGGCATGAACGGCTGCTCCGCAATGGCCATCGCTACGAAAAACCACATCACATGGGCGCACTTCCCACCTGTTCGCCCAGAAGACACATCATACGTCGACACATGGCAGTACTTCCTCCGTCAAGTCACTAATCAAGCGATAAGAACAGGCGCGCTCGACTCCCACGACAAATTGAAGAAAGATAGTTGGGTGGGCATGAGAGTTGCGAAGCAGCTTTGGGACATGCCCAATCCCGGTATCCGAGACAACGATGGTAGAGATGTTCCGAGTGTGAGTCAGATCGTTAATGGGTATTTCAATCGTCTTGGGAGCAAGGGTAGGAAGAACTTTGATGTTTATGAGCCTCCAGATTCAATGGTTTGGATGGATAGGGTCAGTGCTATTGGAGGTTGGCCGCCTGTTGTTATCATGGGTTGACGATTTGACAACGAGAAGATGGGCCGTTGTTGTGTATACTTTAGCGGCGGACCGAGTAGTTGTCTCTGGCCAGTTTCGGCATCTTTTGTTCACTTCTGCTTACTCACCTTTTTTCCATTCTTTCTGCTGTTATGAGCGGCATATATATTATCCAGAATACAATACACTCTTTTTCTTTCACAATACTTCGTACAGTTCTTCAGAAAGAAAAAAATGTCTAGCTTTCGTCTGCATATAGTCAGATAGAACTGAAAAGCAGATTTGATCCAGCTCCTTTCTGTAGCGACTCAACCTGTTCCTATCTACTGCCAATTTGTCTTCTCTCAACACTGTCCTGTGTATATACATTCTTTCCTCAACTCTAGCAATTTTCTCTTCTAGATTCAATCTTAGGTTGTTTGTGCCTGCACCATGCTCGTGTAGGATTAGTCAGTGTTCTGTCGCACCAGTCTCATCGATCGCAATACAACTATCTTACTTCAAACAGCCAGACAGCGAGCGAATGAACAAGTGGGCCGTAGCCACAAAAAATCTCTAGCTATTCATACTTATACCATAGTCCATTGATTCTTACCGCAATAAAGTCGTGATAAAGCAAAGTACGCCGACCCTTCCATCTCAATCAACCCACAAACGCCCACTCAAACAAGGCAATAATCCTAACCTTATTACAACTATAAGCGTCATCGATGGAGGCACACAAACTCCCCGCTTACATCAATCCAGCTTCACCCTTCCCTACCACCAAACCCACTCCTCTCCACCCACCTCCGCTCATCGCCTAAAACCTAACTAACCTCGCATCACCCCACAACACCCCATTACATGCTTCTAAACCACAGCAATCCCACCTCCCCTAACAAGAAAGCCTCACCCGAAACCGAAACCGACCCCCATCACATCACTCCACCTTAGCCCATCGTTCTAAGCCCGGCACCCGCATCCGCGCAGGCGAGCATCAACCGAACCCAACACAGCGGTACCATACCCGTTCTCCCCCCTCCTCAACAACAAGACGGAGAACAAGAGTCTAGACTGAATGGTTTCACAAGCGACTTACGTACTCATGTACTTTGGTGTTTAGCTGGCCTTGGAAAACAGCTAGGTGCGGACCCGTGGCACAGCGCAGCGCGGTGGAGGACTCCGGACTAGGAATGTGCGTATGTACAGCCAGAACGAAAAGAGCCTTCGCCTACACGTACATACGGTTTTTTCATGTTTGTATGCAGAGAAGTGGGTAATCTCGAGTATACACCTGTCATGAAGAAATGGATGGTTAGTCTACGGGGATGGATTCGGTTAGCTGCGGTATACTTACTTTTTACCGCATCCCAGCTCGGTTTGCTTGACCATGTTCAGGGTGAAACAATGAATTGAATGACGTTGCGCCAATTTTTTTTCTTATAGAGGCAATGCAGTAATCCATTTCTTACGTCCATGTCATGGGAGTAAGTAGAGAGAGAAAGAGGGAGAGTATGAGGAACCTTCAGACGCAAAAACGTCAAAAATCATCTACACCCATTTCAACTCTACACGTTCATTCAAAAAAACCTACAACATCTAGTAAAAAAAACCCCTCCTCAACCCATCCATTCTATCATGATTTCTCTCTCTTGAAACTTCGGAGTTCAGTATACGCACTTCCAACATTCCATCAAAACACAGCCTCGCTTTTTCTCTCCCCTCCTTTTCACTTTTTTTTCACTTTTTTTCTCTTTGAAAAAGTCCTCGCTTGCCCTTGTTCTTGGCCCCCCCTTTCCTTTTCCCTCACCTTCCCACCTCTGTTTCTTGTCTTTGGGGGCCAGTACCAAACTTATCCTCAAAACATGCTACGTGTGTGATATTTGTACATGAAGTATGTCGATGTATGTATATGTACGTGTATATGTATGTGTACGCGTAGGTGGTGTGGATGCGTAGCAGAATGGAAGCGGCATTAACTTACATGCCTGGTTGAAGGGCGTATTTGCGGCGCATACACTTCGGACACTCCCTCCCTCTCTCGATCTCTGTCACCCGAGTCTTTTTCATTTGGTATTGGTTGGTTGATGCGGATTGATGTACAGAGAGAGGGAGGAGGTTACAGCTAAGGCGAGGCGAGGCGAGGCGGAATCTAAACTGTTCGGTGATGGTGATGAGGGGAGGGCAATCTTCCTCAATTCCAAATTCGCGGGGCCAAAGGAAAGAAATGTGTGAGTTTACTACACATGAGATAGATATACTGTGCGATTGACCTCTTTTTCCCTCGAGAAAGATCCGTTTCTTTAATTGGGTAACTTTGCATGTCGCCCTCGACATATCGCGACAATGTTCCCTCCAGAATGCGGAAAATTGTGTATATGATAACGTCAACCATCCCTTTCACGGGACGAAGAATAAAACAGAAAATTCCTTGCCATCAAGCCTCGAAGATCTTTCCTGCTTCTCGCAGAAAACAGCCAAGCCAGGCCTTTACTACAACCAACGGCAACCGCATGCATGTGCGCCTTGCGATACTGCCTCAACAAGAGACCTACCCTTCAGCATTTCAAAATGCCTCAGCTCCTATACACATCAACCACCGCCACCACCCTACACACATAAAAACGCGCATATGCATACATACCTGTGTATGCAATGCAGTGCGTGTGCGTGTGTGCACAGACAAACAAATAAACGCGCAAAGGAAGAACATGCAAAATGTTTCAATTCGAAACAAACGAGAGCCGAATGGAATTGTTCGTATTACCGGACTTCGGGGGATGGGCAGACGTACATAACGTACCTACATACACACATACATATGTATATGTAGAATGCAAGGACTAGACTAGACTAGAATGGACTGGACTACTGTGCATCGCGGATTTTTGTGTGTAATGTGATTTTCTGCATCTACAGAATCCGAATCGATGGGTTCGGGGGACGATCGCGCTGAGATGGGGATGTGGAGGTATAGGATAGATTGATGGAGGCAAACAATGGTCGTCGGGTTTTGTGTGATGGACCTGTTAGTTCGTTCAGAGGTATGTGTGGTTTATCCCTCATGAACCTTTTCTTTTGCATTCTGTTTTGTCGCAGATGCTTGAGTCAAAGGGTTGTGCTGTTTGTCTTAGACTTTGCCCTCATTGGTAGAGCAACATCACGTTCTACGACTTATCACAGCAACTTCAAAATTGCTTTTTATTTCAAACACTGGATGATGACCACGATCGACGAGGACAAGATCGGTACGTACCGGTCCAAAAGCCAAAACGTCGAAAGGAGAAAATGATATTCGCCGTGATGGTGGTGGCGTGCATCGGCTTACACCGGGCAGCAGCTAAACAGAAATTGTCCGAGTGGAAGCGTGTTTGAGGAGTCGAGAAAACGGATCGGTGTTCGTGTGCGATTGATGATGACTGCGTTGGAAGGACGGGCCTATGTTCAGCTATTTCAATTGATTGGTTGTGTACCTTACAGAGGGGCTTACAATCTGCTGCCTTTTTTTCATCGGGTGATATGTCACTTTACCTAGTGTCAGGTACAATCGCGGGCGGACTTGTACAGTGGGTGAGTGGTTGACGGGTTAGCTCTCGTCCAGAACTGGAGAGGCGCGTGGTGGCGAGGAACGTTAACTGCCCGGATGCTCTAAGCGGCCTCGACCAATGTGCCCTTTTAACCTATCTTGAACTCATGATAGCTTATCATGATAGGCTGTTGTTGTTAAGCCTGGTATTTACACCAATGTCCCGCTTCACCAGTTCCGCGAGGGACTGGTTAGGTGTGGATGACGCTACAGATTACGCCGCCTGTCACTTTGATTGATCGATGGGCGAGATGTGCCTATCAGGCAAGCAAGGCGATGATCCTGGGGGCGGACGGGGCGTGCGTTGTGGGAAATGTCGCAATAGCCCTACCTTGTCAGATGGCTGGCTGGCTGGGCTTGTGTATGGACAAGCTACTTGCTTGGGTAAGGGATGTGCATGCTTCTGTCTTGGATTCCATTGGGCTATGACGGGTAAGCAGAAGAGGCAATGACAACAAACCGCGTACGCACTACCTGGCATCACCTATCACTGGCGATTATCGATGAGAGGAACAACTCCCCTTTTGGTGGAATGCAGGCTATAGTTAGGCCCACGTGCGTTCCCGTTCCGCAATCGGGTATTGCTCCTGGCTGCTCAAAACCAAACATACGAGCTGGACTGGATGCAAGCCACCGGAGGTAGCGTCGAGTTGGGGGTCTAATCAATAAAGGCTTGTCAGCGACAATGTTCATGATGTCTGCGGCAGCCATCAAGCCGAGGGTGATTCGTAGAATACGCATTGTGTGCAGTTACAGAGCGAGACCAGCCAGGAGATTGGCGAGATGACTGGTGTCATACTAAACGGTAGTATGGCATGGAGCCCGCTGATCAGCGTGCGAGCGAGCGCCTTGCTAATCATCCAAGCACAATGCTACGGGTACAGACTACTCCATATTTTGAGTCTTGGACCGGCAATAACGTCCCCTGGCTTGCGTTATTGTCGCACTTGAGCGTTTTCGGAAGGTCGGTGGGCACATCATTCGAATACCGAATGAACGTGCGCAGCATGGTTCTAGGGAAGAAAAAAGGCTAGGTGGAAAGGAGCAAGTCGCAATACAGTAAGACGGCCGCGACGCCGCACCAGAAGGCAACGGGCTCCTGATAGGTTGCAGGCATTGGTATCGCAATGCGCAATGATAAAGTATTGAGTAGAGTACGGTAACTGATCGGCGGAATACGAAGCCGAGAACTCTTTCCAAATTCGCAAGATAAGATTCTTCGCTGCTTGCAGAGCTTGCCTCCCCTTTGTCAAATTGGACCAAGAGTGACATTTGTGATAGAGACAGCACCCCCCTGCACACGTCTCCACTGTTTCCCGCTTACTTGGAGTACCAACAAAATCGGTGAAGTCTCGAAATCCTTCATCCAGGGACATAGTACGTAAAGCGTTATAGATTCCGAGTCAGACAGTGTGACGAACGGCGAAAATGAAATGAGAACGGTTTCTTGGAAGCTGTTGACTGTGTGAGTAACGATTCATGAGGTACATGCGTATGCCATGTCCGGCGCCTTGGGCGTATCGCACCTCCTCCGCAAAGAAGAAAAAAAGAGGTCAAGGGAGCGCGGCTCGGTGCAAATCGCAGCGCTCCCATCCTCTCGCGTAGGATCACATCCTTTGCAACCGTATAGCCGAGTAGATGCGAGCCGAGCGAAACCAGAGCTGCCGTCTGAGAGGGTGGTGAAGAGTCAAAAGCATTCAGCGTCAAAGGATGGACTCCAGGACACGGGACACGCAAGGAAGGCAATTTTCAAATTAGAGAAGAGTCGTAGTAGTGATGTGTGTCTATGTGCGTTTCCTCCACACACTGTTCATGTGTAAGAGTAATCTATGAGTGTCGTGTATTTTTGGTACAATAGCAGCATATCGTACATGGCTCAAAACAGTGTGCTCGAAGAGCACGGGGTATCAAAGAAATTGACAAAGGAAAATATAAACTGGGACGTGTCGAGATGCAAAGACGGTACACATGAGAAAAGGCGATAAGGAAATGCAGAGATGCAGGATGGAGGGCGAGCCCAGACTAGTTATGAGACGTAAAGAGATGGAGCGGTTGCTGGTTGGCGTGGTGGTGCTGTTGTTGCTGTTGTGGGTGTGGGTGATGTTGTGGTTGTGGTTGCTGCTGTGGTTGTTGTTGTTGTTGATGATGCTCCACATGATTGAACTGTTGTGCTTGGGGATGTAACGGGTGAGGCGTGTGAGGCGTAAACTGACGATTCATGTTTTGGTGCATCTGATTCGGCATCGCGAAATCAGCGTTCATCTCATTCGAAGTCACGACCTGAGGTGACTGTTGCTCGGTTTGAGAAGTCGGGCGATTGCTAGTAGTGCCATGTCTGCCCAGACGACTCCCGATTCGTTGTAAAGGTTTGGAGAACATGCGGCCGATGGATGGCCTGTCGTAGTACTGCGATTCCTCAAAAGAAGGAGCCGCGTCGAAATAATTAGGATAGCACCAGTCGAGCGGATTCGATGGCTTGGTCGGATCAACAAAGGCAGGTGTTTGCGGCTGATCGCTATCCATTGGGGTAGGCGTGCCAGCGTGAGAGACCTGCAGTTCGGGAACCGGCACAGGCACGGGTGGTTGTGGATGAGAAGGCGGCGGTGGAAGAGGGGCGGAATGCTGGTTCATGTCCATGAAGTTATCGGCCGTGTCCAAATCCATGTAGCTAATGCGACGGCCAGTGGTATCCACCGCCGTAGGACTCTCCTCGAATCCATTAGGGGTATTGGGTTCGAAGTTGCCGACAAAGTCGGACATGCCGCTGCAGGCCCCAAGAAGGGCAGCATTTACCGCAGCCAGCCTGGTTCGCGAGATGGAGGCGTTCGCATTGCCTATCAAGATATGCATACGCTGTTCCCGAGATAATTTATCCACGTTGGGCACCGAGTCGCGACTGGGAACAACGAAACCCATAGGGAGTTGCTGGTGAACCGGGTCGAGTGTAATGTCAGAACGGAGGCTAAGTGTTGTAATGAGCACTTCCTCTCGGCTTGGCCTCAAGTCGCAACACTGCAATTTCTGGCGCAACACGCGGGTGTTGTCTGGACACCAACTGATTTGCGACCGGCTCTCTCGTAGACGCTCGTCCAAGCAGCACACGATATCCTTCCAGGTATCGTGCAGCGACTCTTGACGAATTAGGTTGCGGATGACATTAGAATACTTCCACTGGTCGAAGGTTGCTCCATTTTTCATGTGCTTTGCTACGTGATCGCATCGCTCGTCCCAGCCGATGCTGACTTCTTTGCACTTATCGAACCCGCAGCCAAAGACCCTTCTAGGGAGCAGCTGTATACCGATATCCGTTAGCGAGGGAAGCGGGCGTCCAGAGTGGTAGCGCTGGTGGTGCTTGAGAAAATCTTTCTGGCGGTCGAATATTCGATTACACCCGTTGACAATACATGGCCAATCCTCGCCAGTTTCATGCATTCGCATCTCGTGCTTCTTCCAGTCCGACTTGGCCTTGAACGTTTTCATCGTTTTGCCCTCGGCGCAGTAGGTGCAAAACATGTAAGATGATTCTCCCGATTGACTCGCGCCCCTGTCTGTTGGGAACGAGGCAATGCTCATGGTTTCGTCCGTAGGCGTAAATCCAGGATCGGGCTTAGTTTCCAGAGGACTTTCCATTTCAGAAGTCGGCGTTGCCGACGGCACTGGTCGGGTGGGATCCAGCGAGGTTGGGTAAGACCGCGGCTCCGTACGCCTCGATGGTGCCCTGGAGCGCGATGAAATCGAGGATGTCGAGGAAGCGATAGACGGCGCCATGTCGCTGTTCATGGTGGACAGGGTGGAGGTGGACATATTCGAGGCAACCGACATGCGGGAATGGTAGGATCCAGTCGTGGAGGTGCGAAACGACGCGGCGGTCGAAGATCGGTACGACGAACCGCCAAAAGAGGCGAGCGACACGGTGGAGGAAGCATGGGAGGATGCGACGGAGCTACGACCTGAGTTTGTGTAAGCTATTAGGTGCTGCACCTAGTTGGTTCGTCCAGTGCAGTGCGCTGGTTAGAAGACGTACGGCTGTCCAAGGCCTGTTGGAACATGCGCTGGATCATCTCTGGACGATGTCTTGCCAGCAAGGCCTCGATATGCCGCATCGACTCGTCTGGAATGTCCATATCGTCCATTGCGGCGGCGGCGGCAGAGAGTGCTCTAGTTACCGATAGTCGTGAACTCGAGTGGCGGGACTGTTCATTCCTCGTGAGGGGTGCCTGGCGAGCGACGAAAAGGACAGATGGGGGTGCGACAGCAAGGAAAGCAGCAACAGCAGCAGAAGGAGCGGATGAAGGCCAGAGGCAGGGTCGAGTGGGATTCGCGCGATGCGACGGGGCATATGGGTTATACGGGGTATAGGGGGTGAAGGAGTGGATGAACGTGTCTCCGGGAGAGGAACAGAAAGCTTCGCTCCTGTTGGTGGGACCGGGCTGTTATATCACATCATCAGCGAGCGCAGCGGGGAGCGCGGATAGGAAATGTTCTGGAAAACCCGTGGAAGAAGCTAAATTGAGTGTTGCTCGCATGCCATGGCATGCCTGCTCGTGCCCCCGGCGTTAGGAAGCCCATGATCCCCGTCGATGGCACTTTGAACCCAAAATTCAGGCAAGGCTGGGGGGGACATCACCGTGCGCCAAGGTCTAGCGCGTTTGATGCTCGCAGGGGCTCTCTTCACCCACAAGTCAACATGCCATTCTGCTGCCATGATGATCGCGTGCTGGCACGCTCCCTCCAACGCAGACGGCCGGCACAGCTGCTGCTGCTGCTACTGCTGCAATGCAAATGTCAGTGGGAGTGCCCGTCCAGTCCAGCGAGGCGTCCCGGCCATCCATCCTGCCTGGCGGCTAGAGAGCACTAGCACCGCTTTCCGCCAATGCCGTCTGTCCTTCTCCACTCGATACGGGACACTGCCAGCAATAGCACGGCGGCGCCGCCCGCCAAGAAACGAGGCACCGGGCAGGCTCGCGCTGCGAGTCCTGCATGGGATAAGATAGGACAGGCAGGGCAGGAGGGAAGAAGAGGGGGAGCTGCGCTGTATCGCAGCTGGCTGGTGGAAATGCTGCCACTGCACGGGGCTCTCACCAATTATCGCAGTCGCCGCGGCACACCTCACTTTGCGACACACTGGGCGCTAGCAGAGGAACTGCAAGGGCATCATGGATATGCCGTTGGTTCCTGGGACCGACGCCCCCATGGCATTCATTCCTCAAGGATAACCATCGCGGTGGTGGTTGGCATGCATGCTAGCTGCTGGCGGGCACTGATAGACGGAGAGGGTGCCCAAAGCGAGCTCGTCAATCATTCTTCACTCTGAATCCCTGCCGCGGGACCTTGCCTCGTCCAGCGACATGGCCGCATCTTTTCATTTAGCTGCCGAACGCGTCGTTCGTCATACGCCCGTCTGCCACCGGCCCCTTTACGCGTTTCCTGCCAACCAAGTGCTCGATGATGGGTGATGGGTCATGGACGGTGATAGATGCATGCATGGATGAAAAATGGCGTGGTCTACCTCCTCTTGGTCTGTCTACCGGGCGGCTTGCATGCTCCCGTCCCCGAGTGCTGCAACCCGCAAGCTGTTAATCTGCTCATGCTCTCCAACGTCTGCGACAGATGCTGGTACTATGCAGTAAAGCGATGTGGCGAGACGCTTGCCTGCTTGCCTGCTTGCTGACGCGCACGGTTCTCCTGTGCCGCATTGGGGCGGAAAGTCGGAGACCACAATGGCAATCGGTGGCCACGAATCCACGATGAAGGGGTCATGGGTAATTGATGATAATCTGTCAGTCTGCGTGCGTGATACCAAACAAGTAGGTACTGGATGGATATACACAAAAAAGCAGTTCGCGACCTGGGTGTGCACTATAGCAGGGGCGACGATTCGTGGGCGTCGAGAAGCGAGATTGGCTCTGTACATGTTGAAATGAAGCATGCAACAGGTCGGTCTTCTCACCAAATTGATTGATTGACTGATTGATTAAACCCCGTCGTACGCGTACACCTTGGACCAATGACCAAGCAACACAGTAACAGCACCTAGGTAGTGCTTGTGCGGTCCAGAGAGAGATAGGGTCAGTATGTGCAGGCAGTTGGCATTGTCGGGTCTAGTAGTGCGACCCATCGTCGCTCTGTAACTTGTGACGAGGTTTCAATATTGGCAGTTGGTTGTGCCCCGGAAGCATGAGGAGGGCTGGACGTGGTGCGGGTAAATTCAAATGCTGTTCAATTGATGGTCGGCAGCATCATCTCTTGCTGACTCATCGGCCTGTTGCCGTATTAGGCTTAGCTACCAAGCCCCCACACTTCGGACGTTAGTCCAATCGTCACCACACCGTGTACTCAACGTTTGTACCATATATGCACTTGATGATAATTCTCCGTCTCACAACCCGCGCATACTTCCACAAAACATACTGCTAAACAACATCTATGTCTTCCGGCCAGGGTATCGAGACCATTGACCTGACTGGATCCCCTGAACCGCCAACACGTGTACAAACGACACGCCGTCAATCCCCACTCCAACCTCCCACGCAGCCCATGTATAAGACAGAACGAACAGAAACACGAGCAGACCGCCGTATGAGACAGGTCCATGCGATAGATGCTTATTTTCGATCCGCAAACGATGGTCAAAGTCATGATCCACAGACGATCCTACGCGCCTTGCACGAAAGCATGACTTACGCCGGCTTTTGCGCTTATTTTGAAAAGAGAAATATTTATATTGACCGGAAGGAGTTACGGAAGGCAATAGAGAGAGTGGGTAGTATCAAGGAAGCACTAGATATAGTCGGTGACATCAATGAAGCAAGAGAGGAAGAGAGAGAAACACCAGCGCGATCGCATTCGCGTCCCCATCATCGACAACACAGGATACCCCACTATTTCCGCGAACGACCATCCTCTCTTGCATCCAATCTCAAACAACACGCCCCAAGTCCACCCATCAACCCCGATCAACTACGCAGGATAATCAACTCTAGCCCCCCAGAAAACGTAAATGCTGTCCTGCTGGACCTGTGCAAGATATCGCCTGCCTTAAGTGGAGCTGTTGTTCGTGGGCTTGCACCTCATTCTACGTATGCCCAAACCATCAAAAAACATTATCCACAAAGCTCGATGGCGTATCGGCAAGCACCAGCTCAAGTCCATAAGCATATCAAGACCGAAGGGAGGCGCACTAGCCAATTACAGGAACGGGCAGGCCCTTCCGGCTATAAGAGTGCCCGGAGGAGGTCGGCACCGCTCAAACATGAAGACGGTAGCGATGACGATTTGCCAAATATTTCTCGGTTCAAGTCGCTCATGAGTGGAAATGGTCAGAGCCCCCCTCCAGTCTCCGATAGCGACCAACAGAGGCTGGCAACTGATGCACATAACTCCTTCAGGCCCAATCAACAGCAGACGTTAAGGGGGTATGCATACCCTCAGTCCGAGTCCTCAAACACAATTCCGAATGATGTTATCACTGCTAGCTCTACTGTGGCTTTCTTCGGTGATGATAGCGACCTAGACGATTTTGCTCCACGAAGTACCAAGACATGTAAATTATGCTTCAAGCAAATCAGCGCTAAAGATCATACGGTATGTCACTTCCACCCTAGAGTCCATGACGCCAATCTGGGGCTTCCTTATTATGGATGTTGCGGTAAACCCATTGGAGTGGCGGGTTGTCGTAGCAGCGTTCACGACGTTTGACGGTGCTACATGGGTCAGCACACTCATTACTGTCTGCGATGGCTACGTGGCGGCCCAGTGAATCAGCATTCTGCACAAAAGCTTTGTTTTACTGGTATGTTCTGTCTATTTCGAATACGGGAAGTATTGGAGTTTGTATCCGCATGTGGTAATTATTTTTGTATAACATTTGCAGTCACGCTCGCGAGGGGGAGGTTGATGGTGGCTTGACGGTATGATCTCAAACTCTCATTCGGGTCTATGTTTGCAATCCTTTGTGAAAAGCGAATCAAAGTCTCTTTCCCCTTCCATATCCCAGAAGCTACTAAGAACGGGGGGTTGGTCTCAATTATCCAGAGGGGCATTTTGATTGTAAAGTTATTGTTCCTGCATGCACTCAATGTTCCAGCGTTCGATGTCAGTAGTAACCACCCCCAAAGGACGTTTGGGTTTCCACCGTTGGGTACCTGCTCTCCCCTTCCCAGAAGGGTCACCGCCGCTTCCAAAAGTAGTAATTTGTACCACCATCACGTTGGACCTTCACCAAAAAACACACATGCATGCGATGAACCGCATGTGCTGTCGTTGCATACTCTCTCACATGTCCTGCCATACCTTCTCCCGCCCTTCCGCTGCACAACCATTTCCATACTTTCACCTCCCGCAGACGGGACCTCATCCAATTACAAGCCCAAACACACACTCTGAACCAACACTGCTGAACAGGAATCGCCGCACCAAACAACACTGCCTAAACCCTCTAGCTATGAAACTCCTCAGTTCCCTGGCTCTCATCGCGCCGTTCGCCGTCAGTGCCCTCGCGATTCCACAAGTGCACTTGCCACTCCACCCACGTGATGACGATAAACAGCTCTTCTACCTCCGAGTCAATGCGTAAGTACCCACACCGCTCCCCCAAACAGGACAAGAAAAAAAAGATGAAAAAACAGAAGACGTTGATCACCCGAACCACAGAGAATCCGAACCCTACCACAACCACCCCATAACAAACCTCTCCAACAAGCGTCTCGGTCTCGAAAACTTGACGATCCATCCAGAGCCCGCTCCGATCCTGTTCAGGTCGATGCGTCTGCCTACCGGTCTTTACGCTCTCCGCTCCTCATACAACGAAGAGAATCACGACGATGACGATGACGATACCACGACCCCCCTGATAACAGCCCTAATTCCCCACTCTGACCCCACAAAAGCCGTCCTCGCACTCATCGCTTACCCCTCCGTTTCTGATCCGACCGGGACAACGCCTACTGATTGCCCAGAGGACGTCGATTGCGTGGCGCATGAGTGGAGGGTTGATGAGGGGAGGTTGGCGTTTGCGTTTGGGAGCCAGACTGTGGAGTTTTTGTTTGAGATGAGGGGAGTCGAGGGGGAGGAGGGCGAGTGGTTTGTTGGGTTTGCGCCGGATGGGGTTGGAATGGGGAAGTATGAGCATGCTGTTGGATTAGAGGTTGTGGAGTGGGTATGAATGGGGTGGGGGTAAGGGAAGTGGGGATCCGGTAGGGGGTGAAGGATGGCGGTGCGAAGAGTGAGAGTGTGTGTTGAAAAACAAATAGGTCCTGACAAGAAATATCTCTTTGTGTCATCGTATAAAACGTATACATATGCCATCCTCTCCCTCTTTTACCCCAAGCTGGCAATAATCACCTTTCGAGAACCCTTGAAACAGCCTATCTTCCCATCTCCCAGCCCCTACTCACCCCAACCCCTCAAAAACCCCGCGCCGGAAAAGATGAGAGTACTTCACCGCAGTAGGCCACCTGTTCTCAAACTCCTCGAAATACGCAACAAACACATATAAATCAGCTTGAAAGCCCAGTGCTCTAGCCCCGTTATTGGAGGAATTGGTGATGTGGCTATTTGCTTGAAGTGTTTCGGTTTGGATGGCGAGGAGTTGCGCTATGAATTCGTTCCTAGATTAATAGGGTTAGTAGAAGGAGATATGTGAGTTAGGGCAAGGCAGGGGTCAGGTGAATTCGTTTCCTCGGATTTAGAGAGTAGAGAAGAAGCATGTCGTATAATATGGACTCCGATTCCATGGACTAAAACTGAAGGAAAGACAGCCCACAAATAGGGGGAAAACGGGTGAACGGGATGGTGCGAGATTGACAGAAAAGGAGAAAAGGGACTCACAGGAACGCGGGAGCACCCTTGACCACATCAACCGCGATACCTTTCCTCCACAACGCCACCCCTTCTAGCACTGCGGCATCTAGTTTCGTCTTTGTGGGATCATTGCTGTTAACATCGTTTGATGAGCGAAGGATGCTGCGGTAGAGCATAACTTCTAGCTGGAAAGCGGACATGTGCAAAGTGATTATGCAAGATTTCGCTGGAATATCGATACCGCTGGAGAGGAGGTGCGTGGCGGAGAGTTCGGGGGGCAGTTTGGCACGCCATGTTGATATTTTGTTTTCGAGGTTTTGGGGAGCTGAAGATGAGGATGTGGGGCAACGGACAAGATGGAGGAAGTCAGAGCCTGTGGATATTTGAAGTGTCAGTTTTACTTCCCCGTCTGCTTTGTCGCTGGGGGATTGGTGGTGGCGAGGCTTGAGGGGGTTCTGGTTTCTACACATACCTATATGCGACAGTTTACATAGTTCTATGAAGTAGTGTTTTGCTACAACATCGTCTTGAGGGTGCGGAGAAGGTTCTGTGTTGTTGGTGGAGAAGTTTCCGAGGGTGAGGGTGGATGTGTCGGTATCCTCATCAATAATCTTCTGGGTGCTTTCCAGGCCGGATAGCACGGAGAAGACGTCGTGTTGCTAAAAAGAAGTGAGCGAATCTTCGACCTGTTTCGTTCGTATAGGATTGTAGGTAGAGACTGACCTTGATGAACCACCAGATCCTGCGGCACAGTTTGTATGTAGCTGGATCGACCTCAGATTCGATAGCACTTGAGACCAGACAGACATGTTAGTGTACTCCCCATAGCTCAGCCTGTAAGTATCTATCAGCTCTACGACGTCACATACCTTTTATGAAGCCCCATTTGCAGCGCGAGCCGAACAGCATTGCCAAACCAAAAGCGAGAATCTCGGTTCAAGTCTAAAGAATGCTGGTGCGAAGCCAAAAGTAGAAAGCTCTGTAGCAGCTTGAGTTCATTTTTCTCGCAACCAAAATCATACAGAACCTTTGCACGTGTGAAGAATTCTGTTTGACCAGCTAGTATGTTGGTGAACCCCATGCTTTGTATGTCTTCGTTCGACGCAAAAGGTAGGGCATTCATGAATATTGCATAGAGCAGAATGCTGGAGCATGTTTTCTGTTTATCTTGTTCAACAAAATCTGCAGGATCGATGACTGGAATATGAACATATACGTAACGGAAGAAATTCCGTATGAGGGAAGCACTGAATAGGTCAATATATGTGGAAATGGTTATCCAGGTCGGCGAGCAAATTACCAGATGGCATTTTCTGGCATATCATGCACATCCCGCTGATGTAGATAGGATCGGTCGACTTGATCCAGCTTAGATAGCTCACGTTCTTTGGCAGACTGCGACATAGTCACTGTATTTTCGGTGTAGACGAGCCCTTGACGTCTTGGTCGACCTAGCAGATCACCGACGATGGTGCAAGGATTGAACTCTTTGTAGTATTCTATGAAAAACTTGCGAGGGGCAGCAGCGTCGTCTCTTGCAGTATTAGGCTCGCCTTGCGCACTATTTTCCTGGTCGCTGTGATCGGTTGTCGTCGTTTGTTCTCGGGCTCCCCTTTGAATGGACTGGTTCTCGTCTGCACCAACGTTTGTGTTATTGATTACCTCTAACTCTTCGTCCACTTGAAGTGCAGCCTATATATCCGTCAAATGGGGAATGTTCAACAGAGAAAAGGGGAGGACCAACCCCTGGCGTTGTAATCTGCCTACCAGTTGCAAATGCTTCCGGATGGCCTCTGAAAGCCGCCAATTGCGAGATCAACGGAGGAGATTCTGGTGGTTCTACCCTTATCCTGTCACACCAGGTTATCAGGAGCCATATTTGAGGGATCAGGGACCGAAGGCTTTACCTCTTCTGAGGGCGAGGCGAGGGCACACAAGCCTCCACACAAGCTCGATCCACACATCGCGAACATGGTGTTCCAACTTGCGATGCATCGCATCTCACTTTTCGTGTGTGACAGGGCACCTAAATTGCAAGCCCTGAATTAGTTGATACTCAATTGACAAGGATACAGTGCGTTGGTGGTGTCGTAATCCACACAGCATGTGGAATTGGAGACTGACGAACTTGTCCTCGGTGTATTACGCACACATGCTCTTGTCTTCTTCGGGACATTCATCACAAGGCTGTCAGCTTCTGGTTATCGTCTCCGCGAAACTGTTAAGATGCTGAGTTTGTAAGAGGATTGGAGAGTCGGCGCCGAGGGGTTTTGCAAGTAAGCGACCTCGGCGCCGAATCCATAGATATATATGTAAGCCGAGTCTCGGTACCGAGTGTGTGCATAGGCACAGTGAACATTCATACCACTAACATCAATACATAATCCGCTTTTTCGTATGCATTACGAAGCATTAGACAAAATCATAGTATTGTCACACAAAAGATTTGTCACGATATCAGTAAATAAGAATATCGGCTTTGAAATCCTCAGAATTTGCTTCTTTATATCCCAGTCTTACACCACCGCCTATAAAACTCATAACGAACCAAACATGAACAGAGAAAAATCTCTATACATAAACATCATACTCTTCGTGATCCCTCAAATCTAGTCCCCAAAAATGTCCACCCAAGCCCATCACCTCCTCCAACCCCTCCTCCTGACTCCTTCCCTTCACCTGCGGAACCGCATAGTAATGTCCTCCCTGACCCGCAACCGCTGTATCGACGCCAATAAACCTACCCCCAAAACTGCGACCCACTACGCAACACGGGCCAAAGACGGCGTCGGTCTCATCATCTCAGAAGGAATCTTCATATACCTCAACGGCTGCGACTACGAGCACACACCCGTACTTTACAAAGAAGAACATGTGGCACCTTGGAAGATGGTTACTGATGCTGTGCATAAAGAGGGTGGGGTAATTTTTGCGCAGTTGTGGCATCCTGGTCAGTCTCTTTGCTCTGTTTCCCGATTTTCGGTTTTTTTGGGGGAGAGGGAAGCGGGGAGTGTAAGGATGATTGGATACAGGGTTGGTTAAGGATGGGAAGCTGAAGGGGATATACAGGACGCAGCCAAAACGAAAACATGCCCATGCTGAGAGACGCAAACTACCCCGTCCTAGCTCCTTCGGCGATCCCGAGTGAGTCTGGGAGTTATCATTTGCTAGATGGAAAGCCTGTAAGCTACGCTCCACGTCTCCCCACTTTCTCCTCCTAATCCTTATCAAGCAACGCATGTTTTTGCACACCAGATGTCTGGAAGATAACAGAACACTACTAACTATCGACCGTGGGAGGAAAACAAAAGCCTCACACACGCTCCCCAACCGCCATGACGAAAACCCACATCCAGGAAATCCTCAAACAATACACGACCTCTGCGTCCCTCGCAAAAGCCGCAGGCTTCGATGGCATAGAAGTCCTCGCGCAAGGAGACTTCCTAGTCCACAATTTCCTGCTCAGGTATTGATTCCCTCCAGACACTCTCCCGCGCTTTTCCGAACCACCACCTAAATAAATCTATTTTTTTTTTAGCCGTTCAAACAACAGATCAGACGAATTCGGCGGCTCAACAAAAAACCGTACCCGCTTCCCACTGACGCTGCTCGAGGCCCTGACATCAGTATTCCCCGCGTCCCGCATCGGCATCAAGATCTCGCCGTCCGATAATATGGGCGACACTGCGTCTCCAGTATCTGAAACCACGGCGACATATACGCGTTTGATCGAAGAATGCGTTGCCATGAATTTCGGGTATATCTGTCTTTCGCGAAGGGGGGTCATGGAAGACGGGAAGAGCGTGGAGAGGCCGGAGGGGATGGAGTTGGATGAAGGGTATGATGTGCTAGAGACGTTTGGAGGGTTGGTTAGAGGGAAGAAGAGTGGGAGCGAGACCAAGTTGATGGTTAATTACGAGTGTGGGGTTGAAGAGGCCGAGGGGCTTTTGGGGGAGGGGAAGGTGGATTTTGTGGGATTTGGGAGACCGTTTATTTGTAATCCTGTATGTGTTCTCTCCTTCTTCTTCATATTTTTTTCTTCGTCTTTGGGGGGATTTGTGTATGTTTGGGAGCGAGACTGTGTGTTTGTGTCGGGGAGAGAGAAAGACAAAGGAGAATGCGGGCTAATCTTTTTCTCCCCTGTACGTGGGGAGGGAACAGGATTTCGTATCGCGTGTTAAACGAGGCTCGAAGCTCGCGGAGAACGATCGGGGTGGGTGGGTTTATTACGGACCTTATGGGGATGTGAATGAGGGCTATAATGATTGGGCGTTTGCTGATGACGAAGAGGGGCTTTAAAGCAGCACGAGGGGTACGATGGAGGTTTTCGGTTTGTTATTGATGATGATGGAGACTCTATGTATTCTTTGATAATCAAGAATTCACACGAATGGGGATTAATTAGAGTGGGATAGATTTGCTGTGATGTCTCATCAGGTACTACAGATACAAATCTCATGTACTCTCAACCGGAAGGCTCAAGCATCTTCACAGAAGTAGAAATGGGTTAGACATCTTCCTCAAAACTTACTTTCTGTGAATCATGACCTACTCAATGGTAGTAAAAAAGTGATCATAAAGACCCCCATCATACTCCACTCCATTCCTAATCGCAAACTCCCTCCAATCCAACGTCGGCTGATTCCACCTTTTCAATGTCATGTCAAAAGTATACTTTCTACCGCCGCCCTCGAAGGCATCTTTCCTCTTTCTCTTCCGAACTAGTTTGCTCGACCATTTCATTTCCCTAATACCACCTCCTTCGCCTTTTATACACATTTCTAGACACGTTGCCATCCACGGAGCAAGCCCTATACATGTGACCTCTGGAACGCCGGATAGTTGTGCCAAGGGCTCGATAGAGAACATGTGTTTTTTATCGATGCCCGAGGCGTAGCGGGGACGCGAGTATGAGCCGCGGATGTGCTGTTCGGCGAGATCGACACAGTATCTCACAGACAGCGATCTAAGTCCCGGGGTTTCATTTCCGCCGTTGTTGTCGTTCAAAAGGTGATTGACGAATTTCTGCAAGCTGTTGCGCATGCGCACCGTATGCTGACCTTCTTTAATCGAAGACGTAAAGTCGATAGTCAAGACCATGTTCCTGATCTTGCGATAGACTCGGATCCGCTTTTTGAATCCGAAGGGATCGTGTTCGGGAGGTGCTGTACAACTCATGCGCGGTCTCACCCATCTTTCAGCTTCGAATCTGAAGACGTTTTCGCTGTATACGATGGCGCATGTTTCCTGGGCGATGAGTCTGTTTGTCAGACAGATGTTGAAATGGTAATCGTTGTGGTGCCATGGTTGGAAAGGTTTTTGAGGATTCGCTGTACAGTTGTAGAGTTTTGGGCGACTAAATTCGATTTCCTGTCGGGAAGGGAGGAGGTAATAATAGATCTGAAGGCGGAGCTCTGGTGGTAGGTCCAGGAACCCTGTTTGTTTTCTGTGTCTTGATGACTGCATCTGGGTGCTTGCCCGAAGGGAACGACTTCTGGGAGTGGGGAAATACATCATGGTTAAGTATTCGCGCTTTTACATGTAAGATGAAGAGAGAAGAGAGGAGGACTTAGATGGAGGGAGCCCTTTATATACACCACAGTCTTGGCTAAACCCGGAGGGGATTAGCGGGGATGTCTCTGACAAGGTAGTGAGAGTGGCACAGGGCGAGGCCACCTACCAACGCAGACCTTCGATGCTGATCACATAGCTTGGCTAGGAGTTTTGAAGATGAGTCACCATTGTGGATTCCCTGTCGCTGCATTCCCATCTACAACACAGTGTTGATCGTTAGAGTATGTTATACCCTGATCAAGACGCATGACATTCAGTCGCACATCTGCATCTTATTCTTGTGCCCTTGAACTCTCTGGAGAACGTCCGACTCTTTCTTCGCATCAGTCTCTGCCGCCATGACACATGCCAGACCCTCTTGAAGGCTTCCTAATTCTTCAGTCGTGGTCGCGCTCATAGCACGGGCTTTGAAGTCGGCCATGGAGCCAGGCTCGACGGAAGGAACAGATCTGCCTACCCTTCCCTGTCAATATATAAGCGTGTGGACTTCATTTGAAGAAAATGAGGACTGAAAGTGTGGAGGGGAAATGTGGGAAAGTAGTGAGAGGTGAGAGAGGGGAATAGAACGGATAAGGCTGAAAATAAAGGGAGGGGATGAGATGGAAAGACGAGGAGTGCAACCAATGTTTCCGTACATACCTTGCATGCTCACAAGATGGACGGGTGACGATACATCTGAGCACCTGCCCTATGTATATAGGTATTTGATATACGATAGCATTGGATGGTCTGCGTGTTCAAATGTTAAACGGAACGGGATGGAATGCAGAAGTAGTATCTGATTGATGCGCACGGTCACATCTCATCTCAGCAGCTTACTTCCTGTTTGCACATCTGAGAAAGAATCACCGAGAGCACAATCATATCAAGAACAAAAAAGAAAAACCTGGATCGACCATGCATGCATTGATTCACCAAGTTAACATAACCCAGATGGAAGAAACATGTTTTTTACCAAGACCACATCAAAAGGTAGGAGAGCTTAGAGAGGATATGATCCAAGGGCCAAAAGAAAAAACCAACAGAATTTCCGCAAGACCAACTAACATGGGAAGGGAGGATACCATCATCGTCCCCAAAAAAAAACACAACGCCCTTGAAAGATGCAAAACTCTCCCTACGCTTTCCATTCCTCCCGAATTTCGAGAGTACAAAGGGGGCTGAACTAGTCCCATATAGTAGGCCTCTCAAAAAAGTCCAAAAAGCTAGTCAATAGCTTTGACCTCAATAGTTCAGACTAGGACGTGGACCTACCATATAAGATCCAGCGATGGCGGCACAAAAAGAAATTCACGGGTTCTCAATGGCACCACTTAGTGTCAATTTGAACGAGCGACACCCAGTTTTCCTAATCCATCTACTCATCGGCCAACAAAGGTGCGCGTTCACGGTCCTCAGATACGACCTCGCCGCCACCAATACGGTCTTTGCCGAACAGCTCAGGGAAACCGACACCGAGAGATAGGATGAAGAGGACACCACCAATGGCAAAGGCGAAGATCCATTGGAGTTGGAGGATGGGGTTTTTAGTGAGAAATTGGCCGACGCCGGTGGCTGTTCGCAAATGTATTAGAACTGACCTCCAAAAGAAAAGATCGTGGGAGAGAACAACAGAAGGATAGAAGGGGAGGGGAAAAAGCAAAACTCACAGAAAGCAAGCACCGACAAAGCAATGCCAATGGTATAATCCTTAAACGCCACCAAAAAGAAAGCACCATAAGCCAAAATGCCCCAAATAAACACATTCGCTACGATCCGGGCAGCCAAACGGTCCGTGGCGACAGCCCTGGCACCAACCCAGTACAAAGCCACAAAGTTCCAGGCCAAGGGACCGGCGACGGTGCCGATGTGAATGAGCCGAGGGGTGGTGCTGTGGCGGAAGTAGGCCAGGGAGAGGTTGAAGAAGTTGACGACGATGAGGAGTTCAGCAAGCCAGAAGTGGTTGCGGACCCAGAGGTGGATGAAGCCGAAGAGGAGGAGGTTGGAGGCGATGTAGTGGGAACCGATGTTGGCAGCGGCGGTGACGTAGACAGTGTTCTTGGAGTACAGACTCCAGGCGTAGACTAGTTGCAGAATGAATAAAACGAGCCTGCAGTGGGAAAGTTAATCTGTGACTCTGTGCAGGTAATAGTGGATGACGGGATAGTACCAGTAGATGGAAGTGATGATGCTGTTCTGAGCAAAGGGCGTGGCCTGGTTGTTTCCCCATATCGTGTGGCCGGGACGGTGATGTTTGCCCTGGGGCTCGGCGGCGTTGAAGGTGTAGTAAAAGGCAGTGACCAGGAAGATTAGGTAGGTGACCAGGGTGGTGATGCGGTGGGCGATGAGAGCTTGTGAGGAGTGCTGCTCCCGGCGGGCGAAGGGGTTGTCTGTTGGACAGATATTAATATTCCTGCCGTACAAACAATCGCAATGAGCAAGGAATGGACCTACAGTCGGACATGGTGTGGAGGGATGTGTGGTGTTGGAAGGTGAAGCCGGACTTTGGAGTTCAGGGTCGAGAAGACGAGAGCAAAGGGTACAAAGACAGGAGGAAGGCTTGTTAAATAAGTAGGCGGCCGGGGTATTTGCTCACACCGATGGTCCAACAAACACGGTTGCAAGCAAGCAAGGCAGACTGGTAAAGTTGGTGGGGCGATGCTTATTGCTTCCCGTTCGCTGTGGCATGTTTGAATGTTATTCCTGTGTCGTCATAATCACCTTGTAGTGTACCTTCCTCCCACAGCCCCCCCCTGTCGGCCGCGCCTGCACCCTCGAACAGCATTGCAAGCAGGGTCCAGGCGCTAGTCCGAGTCCTTCAGCCCCGCATTTTGGCCAACCATGCCCACGAGCCCCATGACCCATCCACTGGTCCCCCAACGCCCGCCGACTGGCCAATCTTTCCAGAAAACACCATCCACAAGTTACACACTGCGACAGCACGGCATGCTATCCTCCTGCTACTCGCACGCTTAGATGCGGGGATGCCTACAGAACCGCTGTAGCCGCTTCGTGGCCAAGCCTCCAAGCCCACGCACAACCACATACTTTGTCGTATTCGTCTACCCCCTCTATTGTACATGTCGACCTTCACAGCGTTCGGCCTGTGTACTCAGTAATTAAACCCAATTGCAAAACTGCCTGCTGTGGTGCCATCGCGACAACCCCCTCTCTCAGAGGAGGAGGTCCTGGTTGCCATCCGTGCCCACGGGGCTCATCATGGCCTGCATTGGAGCACTTTGATTGACCACCCACCCTCCGCCCATCGATCCTTGCTCTGCCATTACGGGACTCCCCCCGAATGTACTCTGCCTGCCCACCCCCGCAAAGTACGCATCTGCGTCATTCACTGCAGCGCTCATGTTGCCCCCATTCACCGGGCTTTGCATTCCGTGGCCATTGGTCGTCAGCGTGTCCAGTTTGCTACGCTCGGCCGCTGCACGGTCGCGCGCTTGCTGCGCCGCTTTCACCGTGGGGAGCTCGTGGTGCTGCAGCGCCGCCGAGTCCTGCAGCTTCCTAGGCCGCGCGGATCGGAACACCTGGTTCACCGGCTTGAGGTACACCGTCGCCAACGTTCCCACGTTGAGGCACATTTCTTCCAGCGTCCCCGGGTCCAGCTTTTCCGACTCTTCGGCTGTGATGGCTGGTTTCTCTCCCATGACAATCTTCTTGGCGATTTCTGGTGCCGACGACATGAGTCGCCAGTACATGTACCCTCTGTCCCGCAAATCCGGGTTGTCTGTCTCTTCCGTAGCCCACTTGAGCACCTTGGGTAGCAGTGTGGATCCTCGTGTCGGTCGCTGGATGAAGAGTTTCACTGTGGCTGTAAGCAGCGCGAGCTGTACCTCGTGTGTCTCCTCTCGGAACGAGTCCAGGAAGTCGTCCAGTAGCACATCGCTGTCTTCGATTCTGTCCGCATACTCTCCAATCACCCAGATCATGGCCGCCTTAGCCTCCGGCTCATCCAGCGAGTCGAGATTCTCGCAAAGAGTGCTGATGATGGATTCGTATTGATTGGGGTACTTGCGGAAGATGTTGCGTATGACCACTGTCGCCTCTTGAACAATATATGACACCTTCGTACTGACCAAGTTGAGAAGCGTTGAGATACACAGCTGGCTTGCCGGTGGGATCTTGATGGCGAGCTTGCCAATGGCCCGCACCGATTTTCGAACAAAATCAACGTCAATCTCCGTAGCATACCTATGGTCATGATGTTAGCAATTTTGATTCAAGTGTGATTCCTAGGAGAAACGTACTCGGCCAATTCGGTTAGAACTTCTCCAATGTTCTTTTCTGTTGCCAGCATGAAGATAAGCTCCAGCTTCGTGACCTTGACATAGATTGGATCGTTGTATTTGCAGAAAAAGACACGGATATCATTCCGTAGGACCTCGGGTCGCCGTTGGAGAATGAGCAATGCGTTTCGGAGGGCTAGATATTGGATTTCCGGACCTTTGGATAGCAGAGTGACCAGTGGCGGTGAGAGTTTGTTGCATAATGAGGTAATGACTTTTTGGTCGGAAATGTAGTTCATCAGATAGAGGATAACGCGTATGCAAGTTAGGACCACGGCTGAGTTGGAGTGAGACAATCGCGGGGATATGCGTTCGGCCAGCAGCGCAGCTTCGGATGTATCTTGTGGAACGTAGTTCATCATTGCTTCTAGAATATATGTCTGGCCCCACTCGGAGCAGTCGGCGAGAATCGACACAATCTTTGAGGCGCTCGCGTAGTCGATGGTCAGTTTGATGTTCTCGGACCGTTCCCAAATGTCCATGAGCGCAGCCAATGCGCTGGAAACGACTGTGGGGTTTTCGTCTCTCAGCATGCTGTTCAGCTTATCTATGAGGTCGGACTGCTCGACCATTTGCCTGTCATGATCGTAGAGCTTGGCCACGCAAAAAGCGGCGGTTTTGCGCACATATGGGTCACCATCCCGAAGGAGGTTTTTGAGATGAGGCACGGTTGCTTCGACATATTCGCGCACGTGGACATATGACATGGTTCGGAGAGCGAGAGCGCGCACTAGAGGGTTGTTGTCGTTCAAGTCTTCCTGGATGATGGGAAGGGCCTTGAGGGCTATCTCTGGTTTCGTCCTCGCATAGTTGACCAGATATAAGAAACACCTGTCCTCCGTCAGCCTTGTGCCCTCGCTGTGAACTTCCACATTACGTACATCTTCTTGATCTCCAAGCTCTGAATATGCATGCAGCCGACAATGTCGGGGAACAGGGCGACCATATCATTGTTGCTCATGGTCATGTTTGCGACAATCTTCTTCAAGGCGGTCTTCTTGGTGGTGAAGTTCTTCTCCTTCTTGCCGCCGCTGTTGAGCTCGAGCCGGAGCTCGGCGACTTTGCCCTGTGAAGTGCGGACAGATTGTAAGCGCGCGTTGGGGAAAGAGTAGGGGAGGAACATGGCGGCGACCACTGGACATATTGGAGATGATGGTGCTGGTGCCGGTGAAGACGTACTCTTGCGAAGAGCTTCGCATCCTGGCCTGCTGTGCTCATGGTGGTGGGCGGCACCAAGTATTTGTACTAGGGGTGAAGTGGGAGCTTGGAGCTGGATGATGTTCGCCCAGAAGCAAGAATCTGCATGTGCCCTCGTACAGTCAACAAGAAAGAGTACAGCGCAATCTTGTCCAACAGTCTGGCTAGTTCAATCCTTGATATCGTTCCGCCCCTCCCGCTCGCTCGCTGAGGGGTTCGGCCGGTGGTGATTGGATGGACAGGACGCCTCAGCACACAGTCAATGGAGATTCCTGGTTGCGACAGATAACGGAACTGGCGTGTCGTGCAGCGCAAGATAGTGGAAAGTGGCGATGCTGGGTCCGGGGAATATACTCCCTACAATCCATACATTTCTGGTGGGATTGGTGCAAGGAGAGACATGACATGGATCGTCGTGGGGAAGGGAGCGGCGGTACGTGCGGTGCCAAGACATCATCCACTCCGCGCATCCATCTTCTTCTGATGTACCAATGTAATTCACACCTCAACATCACGTCGGAACATCGCACATCAAACAGTCGCATCATGTCCTCCACTATGACCCAACCACCGCCACCTCCGCAATGGGTGCTTGACCTCAACTCCAACCCGACCACCAAGCCCAAGAATCCCTCCATCCCAGACCCGCCAGGCTACACCCCCGCCCTCACCCGCAAAGAGCGTGCCATATCAGCCAAACAGTCCGCTCGCAAGCAGCCCACCTCGGAAGAGACCGACACGCTCAAGATCAAGAAGGCCTGGGAGCTAGCCATCGCTCCGGCCAAGCAGCTACCCATGAACGCCATCGGTCAGTCCTCCTGCTTCCCTTCCATTCATTCATTCACCCACTAACTCACCTAGGCATGTACATGACGGGCAACACGCTCCAAATCTTCTCCATCTTCATGGTCTTTACTCTCTTCAAAACCCCCATTATGGCCGTCCTCAACCTTCAAAAGACTTTTGCCCCCTTCGAAAACCGCGAAACCTCGAACCGCCTCATCGCCGTTAAACTTACATACATTCTCACAAACATGCTCATGCTGGCCCTCGGTATATGGAAAGTCAATGCCATGGGGTTACTGCCAACAACGAGATCGGACTGGCTCGCCTGGGAAGCAGAGAGGAACTGGTCCGAGAGAGCAGTACCCCGGGAATGGCTGTGAGCCATTTTATATCACAGTCAGTCACAGTCACGGTAGTCTTTATTTTCTCGCAAATCAATAGTTTAAACACTGTAACACTATCAAATTCAAGATGCCCTTTTTTTCCAACTTTGTGTGCTGTTTGGCGTTTCACAGTAATCAATTTGTCCATCCATGTCTTTCCAAGTTCCTGAGTGCATCCCTCCATCTTAGCTTCAGGAGGATGAACTTCCACCCACCCAGCCTTTCTTCAACTCCAAGTAATCTCGAATTAGTTTCGCGTCCCCAAGAAGGTGCTTAATGCGGGCGAACTTGAAAACACACAGGGCTCTGATGACCGTCTTGCCATCCCCTGTCATTTCCTTCTTCTTCTCGAATGCAACCGGCTGTCGTACACGCATCTCCTTGGCCCGCGCTCGGCGTTCCTCCATCTCAGTTTGTTCAAGCAGATCCAGGTTAAGTGCGTACGCCTTTTCCAATCCAATAGGGTTAACCAACTCGTTGCTTGCATACATCATCAAGTGCTCGGGGAATCTCTTAGGACCACTATTACGCCCCGCAACTGCAATGCTCTTCCATTCAGCTTCTAGGGACCACACTGTCAGGTCTGGATCGGAATTAACTTCCAGAAGATTGACCACATGGTTATAGAATGTAGCTAGAGAGTCTCCTCGCATACCACGTGCTGGCTGGTGTAAGTTTTCGGCGATATTGCTGTAAACTTCGATTAAATGGCGCGTCATCTGCAGCATATTCCTGACATCGTTAACCGCATCCTCGTCGGCCAAGTCCGTTGCTTGACTAAAGTCAACCAAGACAACATCCGGCCACTCCCGGAATACATTCGGTCCATGGAGCGGGTACATATTCAGCGCCATATTATCCAAACCGACATTATTGTTCGCAATGCCCTTCTTATGGGCGATACCGAGCGCCTCAAGAAGGGAGAGGAAGACATGCCAGATGAACCAAGTAGGCAACATCCCCTGCCCACACCACCCAACAAATTGATTCAACGGACGTCCAAATTGCGGGCGCAGACACAACCACGATGAACTGTCGACCCCCGTAAGCTGCTGCCTCATCACATACGATCCAAGGTACGACTGTGATCGAAATCGCCCCGCTCCGGAGGACGCCGTATCTTCATCGGAATGCAGATACTCCAGCAATTCACCTTCCCTCCGCAGTGCCGTCGGATACACGCTCGTCTTCACAATTACAACTTGTGCAATGTACTCTGCGTCCTGTGGAGTCCTGACCTTCCATGCTGGTGCCTTACCCAGCATACGTACTGTCTTGGCGGTATATTCCCGTCCATTGTAGGATTTGTCGTTTTTCGGATCGATTAATTTGTCAGGTAGACAGAGCCAAGTCGCTGTGGTTCCAGTGCTTCCCAGCTTGCGGATCAGACGAAAGAGGTGCCGAGGCGGCGGCGGCGGACAGCTTGGGTCATAGTCTTCGTTGTAGTCGTAGTCGGTGTCCTCGTCCTCATCTGCAGCGGCATACTGCTTAATCCGGACGGTATCGAATGGACCTCCGGGTAACGAGGATGCCTCTACCGCGTGAGACGGCATTTCAAGAGCGCCATTTTCGCCCTCTTGCTGCGCCACCGTAACAGAGCTCTCAAACCCACGCGCAGGTGGCGGACTGGTGTCGCTGGCCTTCTCTTGTGGGCTCAAAGTCCGTGAGCTCTTAGACCCCAGAGTAGGCTGTGAGAATATCGAAACGCCTCTCCTGCGGTAATCAACGCCGTTCGTCCAAATTAGAGTCCTAACGTCGCCCGCGCTATCTCGCCTATGCTCATTTGCATACTCAGAGGATATGTTCGGTGATGCTGAAACTGAATCAACGCCCCTGTCTCCACGGCTGCCGTTAGCGATATCATTTTCCTCTCGTTCGCCCTCCGTGTGTGAAGATAAATCATCATCATCATGCATAGTTATGTCCTCGTCTTCAACCGCTACACCAGGTGCGGAAACCTGGTGCGGATCCGCCATCGTCGCTGGAGATGAGATCTGCTCTGTCTTATGCGGATGGTTGATATCGATGTATGTGTGTCGATACTGTGGAAGCGCTGAGAGGGGCTGAAGGGGCTGAAGTTGGGTGGTTGCGCGTGAGTGGGCGGTGAATAAAGTGAGAGAGGCAGGCGGGTAGCTTGGTAGGTTTAGTTTGCTCTTTCCGTCCAGCGAGCGCGCGAGCGTGAACGTGTGCGTGCGTTTGAAATCGATACGCAGGCAGGCGCCAGTCTTTGGGGTCTTCTGTCAGTGTTCGCTTTGATCTTACGGGATTCCGACGTGTGTTCGGAACTATCCTTTGCATATTTTGCCTGCGTGTTTAGAAAGGATGGTGAGGCGGAGTAGCTGAAGATTTGTTTGCTGTGTAATCCTTTCTGGACTCCTGTTACCTAGTGTTGGATTGTAACATTGGAATTTTCGGAGGTCACATTTCTTGCTTTCATCTAATGTTGCAAAAGCTACATACGTACTGAGTCTTAGTGAGCGAATGCTGTTTCTAGAGTAGCGGCAGACAATAAACCATGATACTCTTATATCATATTTTTCGCATGTCTGCTTAAATTCATAATCTAGAATAAGAATTCAGCATATCCAAGATGATATGCAAACACTTGCACCCCCTCCGATCATTTTGGTCTACCTGACTAGGGTTGCTTCACGCTGGGTTTCATCAGTTTCGCCATTACCTTCTTCACGACATGATAATTCATCTGCTTGGCTGATATGGTGTGGTTGAGGCGGGTGTGGTAGCCAGGAAAGATGCACCAGCAAAATGGACAACTGGCCAAAGCACCGAATCCCGGTTGAATCTCCATATCGAGCGGCTGATCTTGGCTGTCTCTGGGTATTCCTATGCACTTGTACCCATTTAATGGGAAACATGTCCACGTGCCTCAGGTTCGTCGTCGAACATGTTCGATTTTTGGCATCGCCAAACATTTTGACCAACAAGTGGCTGCACCTGACGCGAAGAAAGTGACTCCATATCTTGGATACTGTCATGGTGCTTTGCTGGAGCCCCAAAAAGCCAGGGTAGCATGAATAGGCATCATTGATTTTCTCTCATGCAAGCAATTTGCCGGTCGGACGTGATGTTTCGATGGAAGCGATCACTTCTTCTTTTTTTACGATGTGTGAGCGACGGCGGGAGCTAAGAATGATTTAGTCTTCATATAGGCATCATCATCATCATCATCATATACTTCGAAAGTGAGCTCACGACGATACAGGAGTCTATATAGAAGTCAGTGGGAGAAACAATCGTATGGAACTGCGAAACCTGCCGCCCAAACCATCGCGAGTTGAGCTTCGAGCATTTGAAGCTGGGGAGCGTGGGTGCTGTAGTAGAAGACGATAGGCGTTGCTGAGGTGGAAAGTGAGCAGAGACGCCATAGTGGGAGGCAAAGAGCAAGATAAGATGAGTTGCTTAGATCATCTAGAAAGAAGTGTTCACTTGGGTGACGTCTCTACTTGCTGCTTGAATAACTCGTGACTCCCGCAACTAAAATTTACGTGCTGATCTTGTGGTCGTGGTTTTGGCTTGGATATCGAAGGCCGCGTCTATAAGCACGGCGATAATGATATTTCTACGTGGCTCTGACGTGCATAGCTGACACTAGCCTACGCAGACATATGGTGCACACATGCATTCGATGTTTGTGTCTGAACGAAAGGAAATGTGATATTACCTAGACGCGTTCTCTATATCAGCCATGTGTATCCTTAATTTGATTTTTGCACGCAATCGTCGCATACTTATATGATGCTCATACATACCCAAGTATTCAGACTTCCCTCGTTCGCCAACACCACTATTGGCGCGGGAACTTGTACAATTGCATGAAACTCTAGTGTGGTCAGTATCGATTAGGACATAGTGTGCGATAATGATTCAGGATGCTATATGCACATTTCTCATTTACTCACTAGAGATGAATTTGCACGGTTACACATCCACTTAATCCGTACGTGAGAGGTTGGGAGAAGTTGATGACAGTTCGATCCATCTCCGATTGACGCCATAACGCCAACGTATGGGGTGATGCATTTCCAAGCCTCAACGAACCAATAAGCGCTGATGAACACGAGCGCACCAAACCTATGTCGACTAACCCCGGGAACGTTTATTAGTCGCCATCTCAATTTAAATATTGTTTAGAAATTGGTTCGCGTTGGCTGTGTACTGGCTGTGATTCTGCGCTAGATATTGTTTTCTTTCTTTGTTCGTTTGCATTTTGTTCCTCTAGGGATTGACTACAGCTCAGACTTCTAACAGGAGAAATACCACGAGTGGACACTAGAGGGTCTGGAAAACCGATACATTACATCTATGCAAGCGCAAAATAGCTTGCCACGAAAATAAAGAGAAGAAGTGTTGAGACACCGCAAAAAGGCGAAAATGGTGCTCATCCAGCATCACAGACCCAGTCGGGCAATCTCGAATCCTCAGTCTCAATACCCATCTCTACCAGACTCTTTTCTTCAATCCACCCCCCATATTCATCTAACTCCTCATCACGGAACGTTCATCTCAGACATTCAAATCGCTACTCTTTCCGATCAACAACTCACTGCGCTAGCCCGATTAGTGTCTATTCGAGGTGTCGTCTTTCTTCGGGATCAAGACCTCACGCTTGAAGAGCAGTCACGGATCTCGAATCGTGTCAGTACCGGGCTTGTTACTGGTACGCGTAAAAGCTCGGTTTCTCACTCAGATAATATCTCTCAAATCAATGGTGGCAATGGAGATGATGAGGAGGAAGAGGAAGAATGGCACACCGACGAGCTCCCTACTCAGGACTCACATTCCACAACATCAACATACACGTTATTCCACGCGAATGAAACAGAAAACGCGAATGCTATGACGTCTTGGATGTCTCTTTACGGATTGTACGCTAGTTTGAGCAAGCCTATGCAAGTGCTTTTCGACAGTCTTCACGTTGTTGACCCAGCGTCGAAGCAACAATACCCGGCCGTCGCAACACACTCTACCACTGGAGTCAAGGCACTGAGATGCGCAGTTCCACCTCGTAGTGGAGCTACATGGAAGTTCAAGGAATTAAGCAAGAAAGAAGGAGGTATGTGTAGCATTTTCTGGGCTCAAAGTTGCATTCAGGATTGCGAGGGCAACTCATTATCTGTCAAAAGAGACCATTCCCAGTGAATCGAGAAGCTAGAAGCTGACATTTAATTCCTTATTTTGGCAGAATATCTCTCAAACTTTCTCAGTCAACATCTCGAATCCTCTCACGCAGACACCCAGCAGTGGACATGGCGTGCCAACGACGTCGCTGTATGGGATAATAGAGTGGTAGCGTACCGGCACCTCATACCTTCTTCTATTATCCTCTCTCCCACTACAGTCTCCTCTGTGGTGCAGGGCACGAAGACAATATCAGTTTACTCGAAGCGTAAGTCTAAACAAAAAGCATTATTTGTATACGCCAGATTAACATTACTCAAATCCAGTTTCTTCCGCTGCACCAAATCACACTACGATAGTAGCAGCATCGAAAGCAAGATACAACAACACTCCCTCTCGTCGCATAATCAACAACCAACTCTCTTTTCAACACCGCCCCGCCTCCAATATCTCTCTCAATACTTCGCTACCAGACCATTTCACGAGGCAAGACTCTATGTCACCATCGTCTCCTGAACCAGAAGTCAAGAGCGAAGAGACTAATGACATACGACTGGTTCTGAGCGAGAAGAAAAAAAGTGCTGGTCTAAGCAATTCCCCTTTGAGACGAATCGTCGAAAGACAAGTCCCAACCCTATCCGCTTCATCAGATAAAGCAGCACAGGGAAGACGGTTAGACGTAGCGAGATGGAGAAGCGGGGGTGGCCGGACAGTCGTTGGGGTGTATTCATAAAATGTTGCAAACCCGATGAGACGAATCAGGGCAATCGCCCCGTCTCTTTTCCAAGTCGTCGGATATCATTGATGTTACTTCTGTCTCGGCTAGACAGCTCAACTCCAATCCAAATCTCTCTTTGAACTTCGTCATCTTAGCTCAATCCTCATACCCCCACCCTCCATGATCGTTCGCAAAATGATCAAGCATCCCATCCTCATCATACTCCCCACCACAACACCAACACCAATCCGCCCCACACGGACAAGCCATATGATTGCATCCTCCATCCTTCTCCGTGAGAACCTTGCAACGCGGACATATCCGCGTAGGTGATAACCGTATAATCCTTCGCTGCTCCCGCTCATACCTCCTCATAGCCGCACGCTGCTCCTGCCCCTTGATCTCCTGAGTCTCCGCTACCTGCAGCGCGGCCAGCGCTTCTTCCATCGCCACGCGCGCGCGTTCTTGTTCGGACTGAACGCAAGTCTCGCATCTCCATTCCCGGATGGCAGGGGGTGCGCCTCTAGCGCATTCCTGTTCCATATATCGCTCCGCGGTACCGCAGTCGGTGCACCATGCGTATATCCATTTCCCTCTTTCTTGCACTGCTTTCATGAGATTGACCACAGCGTGTACGCCTTTCCCGTACGCGGATAACGTGCGAGCGCTGGGTGGGCGGCGACAGAATGGGCAGAACAGCGCTGCGGTGTTTATGATTGCTCCAGAGGCGTTGAGGCCGTACCAGCTATCGAGGCAGGCTTTGCAGATGAGTTGGTTGCAGCCGGCGCGGCGACAGGCTGGGAGGAGGAGTTTGTTCGGGATTGAGGTGAAGCAGAGACTACAAGGTGTGCGCTCTGATGTGCGGGTTTCGATCCATTGCCATAGATTTTTGAGGAGGGTAGATTGGTTCTGGATACGTTTACCGCGGAGAACTAGAGAAAATTCTGTTTGGATTGCGGGTAGGACGGTTATTTTGTCTACGAAGAGTTGAGGGGTGACGGCAGATACTGTTTGGAAGATGCTTTTCTTGAAGGGTTCTTTGATGGTGTTGCTTTTGTCTTGTAGTAGCCATTGATCCCCATTCTCTTTAGTGATTTGCTGCGCATTTGTCTCGACCTGTTCAATCGTATTAATCCCGGCCATGCACGCCGGACAGTTGAAGGGTGTAGGTGCAGCGTCTTGCCATGGCTTCGGCCATATAATCTTACTCAAGCACTTCGTGCATTCCAAAGTCGGCGCTGGATCATTACTCTTCTTCTCCTGGGGCAACTTGCTTTGAACACGGCAATAGTAGCATTTTGCACGGACTCTGAGGTCGTCTGGATTATAGCATACATACTGTGCGCGGCAAGTACGCACATTGCATTCGACCCAGTACAAATTTGAAACTGCAGTATCCTCGTTCGTGACGTTTGCGGCTGTTGCTCGTGTTTTGTGGTTGGCGTCATTCCAGTCCGATGCTTCGCACAATCCGCAGCGACCGTTTGAATTCATGATGGTCACTGAGCGAGGGAATTTGCAGGTACGGCACTTGACGACGTATCCAATGGGAGCCTATGTCGCGAGTGAGGGGTTAGTCTTTGCGAAGAGAATAAATTCAGGAAAATTAGACATGGCATGTGCCATTGGCATGATGGAAGATTCGGTGACTGGGTGTGACTAACCTGTGATTTCTCTGGTGCCCATCCAATTTCCGCTGTAAGCGTGGTGTGAATATTCAAGCCAGCATAATGATATGCAAGAAGGCGAGAAAACAATTCACGGTCACCCTTATGGAGAAGTCTCTCCATATTCTTCTCGTCATTTACTTCTTTTTGACGTTGGTACTCGTTGTCCGCGTCAAGGAGAAGTCCCAAACAGCCCGCACTCCAGTTCTCCGGCGTCTCGATGTTATTCCACCTGTCGCGCCAAAACATCACCGCTGCACACGCAGCTCCGAACAATGGTTTCAGCCCTATGCGGATAGCGAGCGCCGCCAGGACTACAGAGGGCCGCGCGGAAAGCTTGGTTCCTGGAAGTACAACGTGCAGCAGAATCTTCCAAAACTTCCATCCAGCATCTTGTGAAGCAAACGAGAGTGGAATTCTGGGGACTTCGGCGTTCGTGGTAGATTCAATGTGCGGTGGTAGGTCTTCCAATGATTCCACATATGTAAGGCGCGTGAGTACTTTTCCGAGTCGTCTGAGGACACGGCCGTCGCAAGAGCGACCGATCTCAAGAAGTTCATCGCGCCGAAATGATGTGATGGGCCGATCATCTTCTTCTTCGTCCTCGAGCTCGGGTTTTTGGCTTTGCGTAGCTCGCTGGAAATCTGTGGTAGGATCGAGAAACACACAAGGGAAGCGTTGACTTTCCGGAGCCCGCTCTAGATCCTCCAAAATTTCAGCGGCGAAGTCGTATGATTCCTCCAACCAGTTCCTCATCTTGGCCCGTGTTTCAGCATTTTTGATCATGTCAATCTGAGAACTAAAGGATTTGACGAGCTCATCTCTTGCAGAGTTTTCCCGGTCGTTGCATACAGCACGCCAGAGAGTACCGAAAACAGGATTCAATGACATGGAAGATACATCTTGTTGGATAATACCTTCAAGCTGTTCCGTCACTAGCTTTTTGTACTGTTCGTCCCTTTCATATCGCTTTGCAAAGTCACCGAGCGGCGTTTTCTTCTTGGATAAGTGTTTCTTCAACAGTTGTGCATCCACTGTCGCTTCAGCAACGTTGGCTTCCATGTTTTCCCTCAAACTGGTATGATCTTGAGCTATGGTGGCGTTTCTTCCGAATTGCGCGTTTGGCCTACTGAAGGTCGTATTGCGGGCCCAAAAGTAGGAATTGGCGACCGCATCCTTTTCGTTTTTTGCCTTTTTGATATCCTTGACGTCCTTGTAGCGCATCATTTTGGCTGGAATAGCATTGTTCTCAGCTCCAGCCTTTTCAACTCCCATCCAAGCCAGAAGAATGTCTACCGTAACCTGCGCAATACTATAAGAGTTCGTATCTGTCAAGTACAGACAAGCGCCACGTGTCATTGTACTGAGATATGTATAGAATCCTGCGTACAACGCATTTCCTCGTAGGTTTGGGTCGAGAAAGCAAAAGACTTGTGCTTTGCGCGCGCCCTTGTGTAATTGATTGGCTGCGCTCACCCAGTCGGCGAACTGAGGCCCAAATCCCCCATAGGATTGCGCAGTGGATAGCGCCGCCTGTTCTTTCTTAAAATTGGTGCTCGATCCTTTTTCTGCTACCGTCCGGCAATGAGGTGGCGCATCCGTGTAGAGAAGAATGATGGTTGTTGCATCTTCGCGCATTAATTCGTATGCTCTTGCGAGTCCTGTCTTGGTAGCTTCAGGGAAGTCACCACCCCCTGTAGGTTCAATAGCCGAAGCCATGCTCATAAGAGCCTCTTTCTTGATTGACTGGAGGCCGGAGGCATCGCGGTTTTCGTTTTCATTTTCAGTTTTGACGTTGTGTTGGTCATACCACCCGCTCCATTCCAGTAAACCATTCCGGTTGCGACCAGCCTCGGTGTAGTCGCGATAAGCTAAGACACCAATTCGAGAAAAACTATCGGTAAGGTTGGAAATGGCAATCACTTGAGGTAGAGATGTTTTCAGTGAATCGAGGTAGTAGTACATCGAGGAAGTGGCATCAACCAGGATCAAGAGATCGTAAATCTCATCGGATGCATTTTCTTCCGCCATGGTGCGGCAATGGGCATGTAAATTGATAGTTCAAGTTTCGATGTGATGCAGTCATTTGTGTTGCCTGATATATACTGCGGCTTCGAAGTCCCTCGTATAGTCTAGCCCTTGTGGCTCAGCCCTTCGGTCTCGATTAAAGTTAAAGGCGTAGAATACGAGATGGCATGCAGTCCGTGCGCCCCGTGAGGCGCAGGCATATGTTGCGGACGTTAGGTAGGGCTGACTCTGGAAAATCACGCTCCTGGTGTGAATTGGAACATTGAAATCAATAAGATTGATGCGGCGTAGCCTGTAAAGTGGGTGACTCCTGAATTTTCGCCATTTTTGACGACCAATTATGAAGGACTTGTCGGTATTTCGGTGATTTGCTGTTGATATCAATGATATGAGACTGAAACATTGATTCATGAGTTCAATTGCCATTCTTCTCACCTCCGCCCAATCAAATAGTAAATGTACTTTCGTTCTAGCACTGCATGATGGTCCATGGCTGTTTCATAGTGCTATTCTATTTGTATTGTCTTGGATCACGATTCTCACATAAACAAGTACTACGCAAATCAATGAGATGCAGTCTTATTTAGCCACAGCATAGAATTACAGGCTTGGAACCCGCTTGGTTTTGAGGAACGATTCGTATCTGTAGTTTATTTCAGCGTTTCTTTGTAGTATAGCGGCTGCATCGATGCCTTGCATGTGGGTTACACACTACCTTCTAGTCAATCTATGTAGCCAATCCTTAGATTGTATGGAAGCAAGCAGGCAATTTGAGTGTGTGTTTAGTGCACGGAAACCATTTCCGATATCTCCATCTTCTACCCACTTTTGCTTCTCCGGAGCTGGAGCCGAGAGATAGTATGCCCGCGTACTTTATGCATCTCTCGGCCACGCTTGAAAGCCACGCCTGAAAGAACATCAAGAGACTATAAAATATCTTATATGATGGCTTATACAGAGGAGCCAGCGCAATGTGTTTTCCAGGGGCTTAGAAACATTAGTGCAGTGATGCAACGAGTGAACGCAATGTGAGACTTTTTGAGTCTCCGACAGCCAACAAGAACATTTCAAGCCGCTGCACTTTCAATGCCTTACTTTGCTTTTTCAATGTCAATTCACCAAGAGGTATCCAATTTTTCGACGAGAGTGGCCGCATGTGATGAAACAACTGCAGGGTATAAGCTACATATGTAGTGAGGCGTTTGCGCTCAACATAACGTCATAAGTCGTCGTAAGGCTGCACTAAGTAGTGGACCTTTCGGCTGCGAGCCTGGCACAAATCTCGCGCTCGCGTGTTCATCGCGGCAAGTGGGCGAGGTTCGGAAGAAACTTTCTTAGATCCGGAGGCATTGAGCTTGTTAATTCGCAGTCGAATACCCCTGGTTGAATGATATAAAGATGACGAGATCGCCCCAGCCGCCGTTTTCTTGTACAGTAGACTATTCTTCCTAACTACGAATCGAAGTCAAAGTAGTTATTAGACATATCAAATATGCCAATAAACGACGAAAGAGAAAGGAACACTAATTCACCGGAGCATTCGAGTCAACATTCTGTCGAAAGTCGCCATCCGCGGATGAGTACAGCCTCAAGTCTATCATCTACGAACGAAAAAGAAGAAGAGCAAGATGGGCACCGACTAAGCAACCGCGATATCCAACGATCCATAACGCGCAGTCGTTCCCGACAGCAATACGCAACGATTGTAAATGGCGCCTCAACAGGCCTCTCTCATCCTCTCAGTCGGACGCTCTCGCGTCGCGAGTCAACTCTCAGCCGTGTCCGTTAGTATAGCCCAGATGGAAATCGGATGATGAAATGCTTCATTGATAGCATTCCAGAGCTTTGATGAATTGAAATTGGTCCAATTGTGCTGATTCTCGCACCCACGACTTTAGGCTCACGACCACCAGTTCCGCCATTCACGCATCCACTAGTGCACCAACCCACGACGGAAGACGTTCTTGTGGATTTCGATAACCCTGAGGATTCGTATAGACCTATTAACTGGCCGACTCGCAAAAAGGCTACCACCACACTCCTGTATGGCCTCTGTACCATGTCCGCCACCTGGGCTTCATCCGCCTACAGTGCAGGAACTCAGCAGATAGCACGAGAATTCCATGTCGGGACGCAAGTAGCAACCCTTGGAACGACATTGTTTCTTTTCGGGTTCGGCGTGGGGCCTTTATTGTGGGTATGTTCTGCATAGAGCTATCATCCACTGACAGAACCCTACTGATTGTGTATCTTATCTTCAGGCACCTCTTTCAGAAGTATACGGAAGAAGAATGGCAGTGCTTATACCCTTAGCTATAGCTGTGTGCTTCTCATTTGGCAGCGCTACGGCAAAAGACTTCCAAACTCTGATGCTTACGCGATTCTTCGGAGCTTTCTTCGCAAGCGCACCAGTCACCAACACTGGAGGTGTCTTAGGCGACTTGTACGACGCAAGTTATCGTGGAATCGCCATGGCGGGATACGCAATGGCTGTAGTGGGAGGCCCATGTCTAGGTCCCATAGTCTCGGCAGCCTTCGTTCAAGACCCTTCTCTTGGCTGGCGCTGGACAGAATACTTCACGGGCATCTTGCAAGCCATTGTTGTTGTCCTCGCAGTAATCTTCGTCGACGAATCCTACCCTCCCAAACTCCTCGTTTATAAAGCGCGCCGTCTGCGACATGAATCTAATAACTGGGCCTTGCACACGAAGTTCGAGGAATGGGATGTTTCGATTCAGGAGCTGATCCACAAGTTCTTACTCCGACCCGTTCAACTGCTCTTTACGCCCATATGCTTTCTCGTCGCGCTATACGCTAGTTTCTGCTACGGGATTCTGTATATGCAACTTGGCGCTATCCCCATCATCTTCGGTGAGAACCGTGGATGGTCACCGATCGTCGCAACCCTCCCTTTCCTTGCCCTCTTCATAGGAGCAATCATCGGCTGTAGCGCAAACATCTACAATCAGCTCCGCTATAACGTCGCATACCGCGCTGCAGGCAACCGCCCTGTTCCAGAAATGCGCTTACCGCCTATGATGATCGGATCAGTACTTTTCAGTGGTGGACAGTTCCTCACAGGTTGGACGGCTCAGCCAAGTATCCACTGGATCGCGCCGTGTATAGGTATTGCGATGTTGGGAATTGGGTTCTTCATGATTTTCCAGGCTGCGCTGAATTACCTTGTTGATACGTTTACCTTGTATGCGGCGTCGGCGGTGGCGGCAAATACCTTTTTACGCAGTTGTTTCGCAGGCGCGTTCCCGCTTGTTGTTGGGCCTTTGTATCATAATATTGGGGTTGGGCCTGGGAGCAGTATTACGGGTGGCTTTGCCGCGCTGTTGATACCGGTTCCATTTGTTTTTTATGTGTTTGGAAAGAGGATTAGGAGTAGTAGTAAGTGGAGTCGAGCGAGTGTGTACGATTAAATGAGTGTATTGATTGGGATGAAAGAGTAGAATCGACATGATTCTTGTTGATTACCGCAACTCGTGATGAAGATCTCCTTCAATAAGCTAGCAAACGTGTGTTCATCTCGGGAGAGAAAGCCGATAGTTCTGTGATGGGGGTATATATCTACACATGTTCAACTGACGTACGGGTCTTGTCGTCCTAGCCGAGACACATTTCCATAGTGAGCTTTGTGGCTGACCCCGCCAACAATCCGAAACTCCTCATTCTGTCGCACTTTTGTCACGTACATTCGAAAAGAGGGCAGCGCGACTGGGTAGAGAAACACCCGTGTGCTGAGCCTGAGTACTCTACAAGACATAGCATCCCATAATTCAAACGTGGAGTGGCACAAACCAGTGGAGACGAGTGCCGTAGGGGATAGTCGTCTTTGGTCCGTCTGGAGCATGTCGTCTCGTGATTTGGCCGGATGAAGTGCATCAGTGAGTAATATTGCTTTACTCAGCAGCTTGCAAGTCTCATTTTCCCTCTGCAGCCACCTTGGCAGCAGCCGCTTCTCTCTTTCTCTGCAGGTAACGTTCTTTGGCGCTGCTAATCTCACCATCCGTTTTCTGACTTTTGCTTGCACGCTGCAGCCTGCTCTGTTCTTCCGCTTCTTCTTCCGCCTTACGCTTTGCAGCCTTTTCAATCTGTTCAGCCACCATTTGTGTATGTCTCGCTCTGATCTCGTTTCGTGCCGTGTTTCGACCTTGGTGGTTAGGAGTTGGACTGTCATTTTTCGAGGTTGGAGTAGATGCAGTTGCTTTCTTGGGTTTTGCAACGATATTCAGTCCTGCAGCAAGCAATTGCCTCTTATCCGCGACCTGGCCATCGTCGTTGAGCGTCACACTTTTACCCTGAGCTTGCAGCTCGCGAGCGATCTCGGCATCTGTCTTCTCCTTAGGTCCTTCGCCCAATGTAATGCCCTTCTTTGCTGCCTCGGCTGCCGCTTCCATTGCTTCTTGGTGACGCTTCTCTTCCTCCAGAAGCATTTGTTTGTGGAACCCCTGCATACCAAACTTCCGTTTGTTGGCCTCTTCGGCTTCCTGCCTTATCTTCTCTTCCTCCTCAGCCTTCCGTGCCTCTTCCTGCTGTAATTTGTATGCAGATGTGACAAACTTGTCTTTATCCGCATACGTGTCTCCCTCGGCCTCTCTTTCGCTCTGCAAAACTTTGTCCCGCGCTCGAAGTTGGTCCCTCTTGCGGACTTCTGCCGACTCAAGGAGGTTCTCCATGTATTTGGGTTTGCGCTGTTGCGCCTCCTCCTTTTCAACAGCCTTCTTCAAAGCTGTTCGGGCGTGGATGGCATCATAGGCGGTATCATAATCGTATATTGAAGCATCGACTTCCATGGCTTCTTGTGCGCGCCTTTCCGATTCTTTGATACTCGCGGAGTTTTCAAACGCTGTCGGGTCATCCGCTTTTGCTAATGGCTTGCGTGTGGGAGGGCCAGTGGGTTTTGCCTTGGGCTTGGGCGCGGATTTCTTGGAATCCGAAGTGGTTCTGAGAGTATCCTCGAAAGTAAACTCGCCAATCTCCTCTCCGCTGCCCGTTTGCTTCGCGTCGTTTGAATTTCCATCGCCATCCTCATCGAGTAGCGGCTTCTTCTTTCCTAATACAGGTTTCGAGGACTTTGGGGGCGCACCCGGGGCCTTATTCTTGAGATTCAACCCGAATTTGAATGACATTGTGGTCGGTGGATATACGGAGGTTGATGGTGCAGTGTGAGGAGGAGTCGATGAACATGTAAACGCGCGGGCAATCAAGCTATGCCCGCCAAGGGCGCGCGAGCCAATCAAATGACGTTGCCTCCGCAAAACCCCCGATGGCTGTTCCTACCTCGTGGATCCAGACCCCATCAGGCAATTGGAGGAAAAATGTATCCTTCGAATGGAAAACATGTTACGTAGAAAGACATCTATTATATTCACACCATTCTTCTAGTCAGACAAACAAATTTCCGTGCTACTATTACTTTCGCATCTGTGAATGTGCAATCGGCTGATCTCCGGGCCACCCCGTCACTATATAGGCGCCACCACTTCCCTCCCACTACCATTTCACGACACAACTTTACCAAAGGCGGTGCCCCACGATACCCCATATGCACGTGCCTGATAACCCATATCACCGCCATCATCATGGAGGATTTGGCTAGTGACGCGGGAGCTAAGGATGCCTCTGGTGTCCCCAAGACTTCCAGGTTTCATTTCAAATCTAAAAGCGAAAGCCGCCCAAAGCGGCGCCATAGATCGCGCGTGGAAGAGCGGGATGACGATCATACCTCCAGACGAGCTCGTTCTAGGGAACGGAATCCCTCAAAGCATCGGCATCGCTCTAAGCGCCGATCTAGGCGCTCACCTGAGTACGACCGTAAGTTTCCACGCAATGGAGCTTATGAAAATCCCGAAAATCGCCACCGAGAATCTCTGTACGACGATCTTTTCAAGGAACATCAAAAGCCTACCTCGTTGGACCCTGACGCTGCCTTTCGCGAATCATTGTTCGACGCTATGGCGGATGATGAAGGCGCTGCATACTGGGAAGGCGTCTACGGTCAGCCGCTGCACACCTACCCTAATACCAAGCCCGGTCCGGATGGTAAGCTCGAACGTATGGAAGACGAAGAATACGCAGAGTATGTGAGAACCAAGATGTGGGAGAAAAGTCATCAACACATCCTTGAGGAGCGTGCAGCAAGAGAGAGATTGCGCAAGAAGCAAAGGGAAGACCGCGACCGGTTGGATGATGATATTGCCAAGGATGAACGTGAGAAGCGCGAAAGGGCAAAAATTTTACGTCAAATGGAAGCATCTTTGAGACGTGGCGAGGAGCGGAGGAGAACGAGAGAGGCCGATACGTATTGGAACCAATATCTCAGCCGGTGGGACCAGCTCAAAAGCAATAAGCCAACAATAGATACCGCTGAACAGGCTCAAGAGTTGATACCCTGGCCTGTCGCTTCCGGGAAGTTACGCCATTTGGATGGAGACGAGATCGAGCGGTTTTTGAGAGCCTCCAGCGCTTGGAAGAATGATCCTGCTGCCATATTGAAGGTTGAGCGCGTGCGATGGCATCCTGACAAAATGCAGCAGCGTTTCGGCCAGCACATCGATGTTGATACTATGAAGTCGGTCACAGCTGTCTTCCAAGTCATCGACCGGCTGTGGAATAAGTACAAGTGAGATCGATAGCAGCCCTCTTACTTGTATTTGATATTGCCAAGGGTCCTGCAATTCTCACCGCCAAGAACTCCGCTTACATATTCCATGCCTCGATTGAATCTTGCTTCACCCTTTTTGGTTTTCTATTCGGCCGGCACTTGAGGGATTCTAGCCTCTTTTGGGTCGTCGATCGGGTGAATGGGGTTTGCAGTTACACTGAACAGATTACTAGTAATTGTAGGGACCTTGCAACAATATTCCAACGTGGCGAGCACCCCAGTCGTTTAATCTAGATCATACAGACTACCACTGTACTGAGAGTCAGGCGCTACAATACGGGTGCGATCAGCGAAGCATGGGCGCACGATGCTTGTGGTACGGCTAAAGAGTTAGGGCCTCTTGGGTTTAAAGGCTTCGATGTTAATTTGCTCTAAATCGGCTTGCAACCATGTGCAATTTGAACTCCGCCAAGTATCCACCGCCTCTATTGCGCTATGCCAAGCTAATGCCAAGATTATACATATTGCGAGGTGGAAAATCGCATGTTCTGGCGCAAAAAGCAGGAAGAATGACGCAGATGTACTTTTATTTCCCGGCCCTCGCGTCCTCGCTACTCCACCTTCGCCTCCTGCTTGGCACAGGAGAGCGAGCGCTAGTCATGAAAAACGTTCTTGATCTCTCCACCTCATGTTTCAGAGGAAACGAGTGGCTTCGATAGAGGAAATTAATTACCGCGATGCCCCTCTGTACGCCGCAAACCAGGTCGAGCCACCAACGGATGAACACACCAGTCTGACCAGACTATTCTTACATAGTGGAGCCGAATCAAACAACCATGTTCTCGTTGTACCGGGTACCAAACGATGTTGTCGTCTGAAAGCATACATGTATAACACTATAAGGCGATTCTCCCTATCGAGCTGTTACGCACGATATAGCCGGTGGCAGTGTGAGGATAGGTCCAAAAATTTGGGTAATGATCAGATGTCCCCAGGATCTGATGGTTCCGAATGCACCCCACGAGCATACCGGCAAATGAGCGCCACATTTACGCTGTCGAACAATCTGGGGATCAACACCAGTGCAGATGAATCGCCCGGGCCGGAGGCTACACATATCGCTTGGCAGACAGGGGCGGAATGGAACCAACATAATATCGAACTCTTGGGCGCGAGTACATAAACTCTGCGATTTCCACCTCATGGTAGATCATCTCGCAACATCCAAGCTTGATTCACACAGCAACAATGGTCGCCTTCTCTTCCGTTCTCCTTGCCCTCAGCGGCGCTGCCTCCGTGCTCGCCAGCCCCATCAACACCACCAGCAACGCCTTGAACCTCATCACTCGTGCCACTTCCCCCGGAACTGGTACCCACGATGGTTTCTTCTACTCGTTCTGGACTGATGGCCAGGGCTCAGTAACCTACAACAACGAGGTGAATAATGCAGCGACCCAAACTTTACATTTCATCTCGATCTAACTTGAATATAGGCCGGCGGCAAGTACTCCGTTCAGTGGAGCAACGTCAACAACTTTGTTGCTGGAAAGGGATGGAACCCAGGACAGCCCCGCACCATGTCCTACTCCGGTTCATGGAACGCGGCCAACGTCAACTCGTACATCGCTTTGTACGGCTGGACCAGGAACCCCCTCGTCGAGTACTACATCGTCGAGTCCTTCGGCAGCTACAACCCCTCTTCCGGCGCCCAGAAGAAGGGCACCGTCTCCTCCGACGGTGGCGTCTACGACGTCTTCCAGACCATGCGCTACAACCAGCCCTCCATCGACGGCACGTCGACCTTCCCCCAGTTCTGGTCTGTCCGCCAGCAGAAGCGCGTTGGTGGCACCATCAACATCGCCACCCACTTCAACGCCTGGCAGCAGAACGGCCTCCAGCTCGGCCAGCACAACTACCAGATTCTCGCCACTGAGGGATACCAGAGCTCTGGTTCTTCCTCTATCACCGTTTCTGCTTCTTAAGCGACGGCGTTTGATTCGATCTAGTGTGGAGGGACATGGGCGCGGTAGAGCATGGGTTCGCTTGCGACAACTGCGTGATCACTTCTTTCGTTTGCCCCTCCCCTTGTTTTGTATATATTTTAGCAAAGAATAGCTGATGCTACCTATTGAAATCGAGTGTGGATCCATACCTCAAAAAAATTCGCGGGCTGATGTTTACCGTGGTGATGTCATGATTTTGCTGTCATTGAATATCTCATGTTGGATCTGCACAAAAAGTCAGATATTGCTCAAACCACTACATATCTTTGAAGCCCATCCTCGGAAACGGTAGGGAGGAGTTTCGAACTGCTAACGTCATATCTATCAATAGATTAGTCCTCCCTAATTTTTGCTTTAGATAATGTACATATGTACATCCCTGGAATCCTCTACACTATATACATATACATGCAGCAACAATATACCGCAACGCCAAGATCATCTCTCAAGCCAAGCCAAGACAAAAGCAAATGAGTCAGATAGGTATATATCCCAAACATGCCAAGCAATTCCAAAGCTCCAAAAGAAAATAAGACAATGTACACCATCACAAACCTACACACCATCATCACCACCACTGAACCTGAAGGCTCTCCCCCCAAACTCATTCACCCCCATCCCCATATCACCAATCACCTTCGCAACCTCATCACTGTTATTCCTCCCGTTTCCCAACTCCACAAACCCCGAAGCCCTTGCACTAGCACAGAACCGTCTTCTACAGGACTCATCCAAACACATATGAGTATGCTCGTGCTCGACGGCGTGCCTCGCTGCTTCATCTTTGGTGAGTAAGATGCCGTTCGCGCAGTCTGGACACGTGGTATTCAGCACAGCGTCTTTCGCTCGCTTCATGTCCCCGCGGCGCGAGGGGTCGCCTATGCGTGGCCAGCGGAGATGTGTGGTCTCGGGGATGTCGAAGGACGTTGTGGAAGATGTAGATAATGTGCTTGAGCGGCGGGAGTGTGTGGTTATTTCTGGGTCTATTGCTGGGAGTGTTGGGGCATCAGGGGGTGCTGTTGATTGTGATGGCGAGGGGATGATAGATGGGGTGGGGAAATCAGTGGGTGGTTGGAGGGAACCAGAGGTAGCGGCATTAAAGCTACGATCTGGTGGTTCCAAAGAGATGATGGGCGTATGGTGTGGGAGCATGATGTCGTTGTCCTGATGGGGACGTAGACGGCCGCCGCCACCGGCTGAGTCGAAGTTGGGGAGTAAAGGTGCCATTTGCGGTTTGAGAAGACCCATTACAAAGCCCTCGTCGAAGCTGTATTCTGATAGTCGAGCCATCTGGCGCTGCATGACGGCGTGGAAGATCTCGTCTTTCTCTTTGGAGCTCATACTTAGAGGGTAGTTCGATTTAGCTCGAGCAGTTGCTGTGGTCAGGAAATTCAGACTGGCTACGCTGAATACGGCACGTTGGAAGACGATTCGAATGTCCTCGGGAATCATGCTCAAAAGATTGGCATTGAAGTTGGCATTCTGACTGGTATATTGTTGGGCCTGCGCCCAGGTGGGTGCACTGGGAATTGGAAAGTAATTGGGTGTCCAGTTAAATGTTTCGTCATACACAGTGCGATGTTGGCGACCGCGAAAATGGGCAACGAGAAGCTCCATGATCTGGGAGCGAATGGGTTCCTCAAAATTGCGGGCGGCGATAATGAATGGCGGGAGACGATTCGCCTGTCTGAGTTCAGGATCGGCGCCATTATCAAGGAGTAGACGCAGGCGAGGCACAATATCAACTGCAGGGCAGAGGTCTAGACAGCGCCTGAGAGGGGCATGGCCAGAGCTGTCGCATTGGTTCGGATCTGCGCCGCGCCCAAGGAGGACTTCTATATCCCGCAGTGTCTCTGAAGGATGTCGTTTTGCATCCGGGCAGCTCCCTACGATTTCGTGTAGCAGCCCATTACCATTACCATTAATGGTTGGATTGGCATGATCAACTATCAAGCGGGCCAAGTCGGGTGTTGAGTGCCACAGAATTTGATGTTGAAAGGTGTGACACGATGGTGCGCTGCATGATATGCCTTTGAAATAGATTTGCAGGTTTGCGCCCCTTCTTACGAACGATTTCAAACACTCAATTTCGACTGGATTGAGTCTGGCAATCCAATTGTTGTCATTCTGCCACGGCCTAATAAAAATCTCGAAGGTTGGAGGGCGCAGCCCGTTAGAAGCAGCGGGGTCGAGGTCTGCCCCAGCATCAAGCAACATCTTCAATATCTTTTCGCAATTATCGCGGTCAGAATCGTGAACATAATCTCTAGATCGACGATCAAGGCAATATTGAATGCAACTCATTTCCACGCCGTCGATGCAGGGGGAGGTAACGTTAATTTCTGCGCCTTTATCAATCAAGCAACGGACGACATTAGGATGGTTCCAGAATACGGCTTGCAAGATTGGCTTCCATCTGGTTCCAGGCTCTCCGTTCAACCTTTTCGGTGTAGGCATCAATAGGGATTGTACCGTGTAAGATCTACCATTCTTGATGGCATTATGAAAGGCCAAGTCAGTCCCGAAAGGATGTGTAGAACCTTTTGCTTGGTAAGACAACAAAACCCATACCACTGGTCCTGAAGGAAGGCCACAGGCAATGTCGAGAAGAGTTTGGTTTTCATGCTGGAGCACTACGGTGTCAGTCAGAGCAAGCCTGTTGTAAAATCTTCCGCCTGGAGTGTCAAAAGGCATGCCGATGGGAAGATTTTGATGACCCGGATGTTCCAGAATAAGTGCTTCTAGTTTCTGGGAGTCGCCTTCCAGCACTAAATCTAGCATATCCATTACAACTTCATTTGTTCTTGCTTCTCGAGTACTCCACAACTCGAGGTCTGCATGAGCGCTTTCGCCGCCCGGCTCCTGCGTGGGACTGGCTCGTTGTCAGCAGTGTCTATTCGAATTAGCGTTCATCTCTTACCGGCATGACGTGTCAGCAACACTCGATTCTACACGGACAGATTCTATTGGCTCTGAATAAGTTGTTGCTCGGCCAAGTAATAGTGTTTCCAAATTCTCTTTATCGCGAGAATAAGCGTCGTGTTTCTGGCTCGACTCATCGTCACCTTGATTCGAGCGTCTCGGGCCGTCGGATGTCCCATCAGTCGTCGGATCATGATCATTACCCTCGTCTTCTTCCTCCTCATCCTCAGTAGTTCTGCGGCGTCGCTTGGTCACTCTCTTTCTACCTTCCTCGGTCGATTGTTTGCTTCTCGCGTGCCGAGTCATACCCCATTCAGCCAATTTCATCCGATACGCCCGCGTCCTACAAGCTGCTCTCAGCACTCATCTGTAAGGGAAGAATGAAATAGTGCAAAAGACATACGAAGCTTTGAAACTATGCTTGACCTCCATGATATACTTCACCTCTTCCAGCCTCTTTTTCCGCACAAACGAGAGATCTTGAATCTCCGCACGTACGGACTCCCAGTCTTTCGTCATTGTGCTTGGTTAAAGATAGTTAGCGCCCAAATAGAGCACAATATGATCTCTTCTTCGGCGTCCATACGATATAATACACAGTCGGGGGTTTGTCAGCGATAGAACGAGCACCCCTGGCGTAAAAACATGCGCGATTCAAAACACAGCAGCTTTCCACGATCCGATTGGGTATCAAATCGTATGATATACTTAGTAAAAAAACAGCGAACAGTGACACAAGCTATGAGAGATGAAGCATAGATGCTGTGGGTGCAGAAGACAGTTATTTGCACAGGGCGTAAAACTGTGCAAAAGTCGGATCCACGATCGGATCCCGGTAGCTAAACCTACCGAGGACTAGCGTGCAAGGCTATCTCGGACTTAAGCGAAAGCAACATGTACCTACCTAGCTATGTAGCTCCCACAGCTCCAAGACGTACTACGAAACATCTCTACGATCTTTAGTTGTTGATTGCGAAAATCGTGATATCTGCAGTCTGATGAATATAATACACTGTTTGAATGAAGCTTGTCAGTGTAATTGTATAGAAGTGCGGGTTGGATGTATCGTGCACTTCCATATCACGTTGTCTTCCATGCATTGAAAATGCATAAGACATGAGTCGGACTGTACCATTATTATCATCAGTAAAACGATAACATCTTTTTTTTTAGGTATTACGACTAGTCTGTGCAGCACGACACCACGAGAATCATGTCCTTGTGGCGTCACGGAATCATCGGCTTCTGACTCCAACACAACGTGGTCAAGTGATTCACTATCTCACTCAGTGCTGGTATGCTTCCATCGCCTCTCTTTGCTCGCAAAATGTATACTGAATACTGCGCTTATACATTCTCGGTCCTGAGTCTCCTCATAGCGCTCTTGATCCGCGAAATACCAGCAAATTCGTATATATTGTTCACTTCCTCTTGGCTCATATTCTCCCGCAACTTACATAACAACGTGAACGCTAGGTGGTAATTTTCACTCTGCAGATCGAAACCTTTGGCAGCCAGGAACAGTATTCCACGTGCTTCATCCGTTTCGTTTCGGTGGTGAAGATTGGGATTATGGGTCAAAGCCTTAAGTCGTTCTTGAGCAATATATGCAAGCACGTGAAGGTTGTGAATTAAGCCTACGTCGCAGCCTCCAAATCCATGTCGAAGGTAGTATAGCCGCATCAGTGTCACGAAAGATAATTTTGAATCAGTCGAGAGCTGCTGGATGGGGTGATCAGGCCTGAGTTGAAGTTGTGGAGGTGGTACAGTGAGGACGATCTCGCAGAGACGAATCATAACGTCCTGGTACAGCATGCTGCATTGATAACATACTATCAGTAAAATTCTCTGCCTAGATCACTCGTGGTTGGGGCATCATGAGTAGAAGCGACTTACTGGAGTTTAAGATGCGACGGAAAGACGAGATGACTGGATGACAGTGGGTTTGGCAGAGCGGCGTGCCATGACCGCAAAGCATCAATGTGCGCTTTCGCGATTGCTACCCGCTTTTCTAGCTCATTAGGCTCATTCGAATGTAGTTGGGCAACTACAGAGTTTACGATATTGGAAAGCTCGCATTTGGCTTTAAAAAGGTGCCCGTACCCAACCGGGTGATACTGGACGTCCTGGGAATACTGTAGCCAGAGCTCGCCATACCATCGCGGGTCGTTATCTGGATTGGGAAGACATGGTACCGATGGGCTCTCTCTCACCGTATAGACTCGATAATGATAATCTTGAAGGCTTTGATGGTCTTCTTAGCACCTTTACGTTACGTGCATAGCTGCCGTAGCTCTTGGGGCGTGAAGCCTACCTGACCCACCAGTAAAGACACCACAACGTGAATCCGCGGGAGTCTCTTCCAGAAGCGCTCATCGTGTGGGTCGCTAAATTGAAAAGGTCAATTTCATGTGCAATACTGATTGCTTGGTCCTGGTATGAACGTCCTATTCTGTCCGAGGAGTGTAAATTGAAGAGGAGATTGAGAAGAAGGGCTGTTTGTAGGGAAGGGAGGGATTTTTTCGATGTCGAATGAAGCTCCCAAAGTCTCTTCGCTTCGGCGAAAAATCGGTACCCTAAATTCTACGGGAAATTAGCATTGATGACTGGTATACGTCAGATAGAGATGAGTAGTGTCACCTTGGGGTTCCGGTGATCGGCTCGATTACGTGAGTCTTGATGACTATGCTGATATTCAGTGTGAGTGAGGTCTCCTCGCTATGTCTACCAATAGTTTGCACTGTTCAGACTCACACATGCCAGTGCCATGATCGTATTTACCAACAAAGGAGTACAGTGCTCGTTTGATCCCGAAAGCATATCGTCGAGGAAATCATCTATATGGAAACATCCGAGCCATTGGTGCTCATGTAAAAAATAGAGACGAAGAAGAGCTCTCATAAGAATATCGTCGTCGGAGACCTGGGTCCATCTGGAAGGTACCACTCTATCGAATCTAGAGTCAACCAAGGAAGCAGTAAAGTAGGGCTTCATATACGGTGTTGAGTGCTGACCCCCTATCGTTGAGACATACTGCGCAGAAGCTGGGGGAGCAGAAACAGTTTTATGCAAGGTTGACTGCAGGTAGCAGTTGTCGGGAGATTGGAAGAAGTTCGGCATGCCGCTCTTTAGTAAAAGATCCAGTCGAGAGCTTGTCTCCGGAATAACTCGTGACTGCGTGCTTAGGACGCCGTGATCAAAATGTCGTATGATCGACTCTACTTCACAGCCGGAGCGGATACTCTCGAATATGACAGTGGCATCATCATCTGGCCTTGTGCGAATGGCATGCAAAAGCTGCTCTAGTAGCTCTTTTGAGCCCTTCAGTCGATCGTAGTGAGTCTCCAGTTCACCGAATTTTCGTTTCAGAGCACCCACGCTCGTCTCATGAGGTGTCGTTCTATATATACACTGTTGAGACGAGATGGAACACGCTGTACATGTTGGTCTCGTAGCGTCGCACTGATCGTCAGCGGTTTTATCAATGAGCATCTGAATTCTCTTTCTACGTACTTTCACTCTCCGCTGTCTACACAGTTCGCATGCCGCAGTGACTCTTCTGATTCTTCTCTTCGTGAGCGATGTCTGGGAAGAGCTTTCGTCATCGGGGCGAGGTGAGATAGTTTGAGCATTATGTAGCGTGTGTTCGCTTTGCATTGTTTGTGTTGAATAGATAGACAATTGAAATGATCTGGTGTGTGTGGATCAAGTTATCGGTGTAGAAGGCGATATTCAGCTGTCTATGTGCTAGCAAGACTGTTACGCCTTGCTTTTGCTGGAAACCGGGGTTCATTCACTTGCGTAAACTTTGCATTGTGTCACCGCATCGCTAATATAGATTCGGCGATTGATAAAACTTTCAAACTCGGCAGGCAAGTTCCCTGCAAAGTGGTGAGAGGCATCTTTACACAGGGCAGTTGTGGCAGAGGAAGCACATACGCGATGAGTACATAACTAAGTACCCCATATTTTCCGTCATCCGGAGATTTGTCACATATCGCGTTGCTCAGAGTTGTAAAGACCAGCGATCCGATTGGATTGATACGACAAGATGCTGAACCGCCATTCCCCGCTTCCCCAACGTCTCCAATTCTGGACTGTTGCGCACCCCCACGGCGAAGAAAAAGCAAACGACTAGGAGGATGTTTGACCTTGTTTCTTCGTGCATGCACACGCACATACTAATGCTGCACCTCGTGTGTCACCATACACATCAATACCATGGATAAATGATGTAAATATGCCATCGAGATCGCTTTCCCATCTCCACAACATGCGTTTCCCTTGCCCAACCTTTGCGCACGGTTCAATTTGGCCAGCTTTACCTAGCCTGCTCGACATGCAGATTGACGCCCAACTTCCAAAACAAAAACACAATTTACATGCACGATAACTCATCTGGAAATATCCCCAATCCCGACCCGGCATTCGCTCCGACAACATCTTATTGAATCGAACGACCATCCACGCTTTCGCCGCAGACAAATCGGATCGGATGAAGCACTTGGCGCATATGCACTCATCCATGTTGCACAGGTGAAAAAGAAACAAACAGTCACAGTTTCGACTCGGTTACATCTCGGAGCACTATTAGTGCAGTGTCCAGACACGTCAGTCCAAAACCATCGATGGTCAGCCCCCGAACATAGTTGCGCACCGTCAGGTATTATCTTCGTCTGTTAGTCGTTCTAATATAATTTGAGGGGCGTATAGTTCAAATCTCCTGCTTGTTTACTTGATCTGCGATGTTTTACCTAGCCAAGAATCATTAGGCACCAAGTTATCGCCAACAGCGAATGGTCACCAACAATATCGCCATGGACTGCACCATCGCACCAAAGCGATACAAACACGACTACCCTGGCCTCAAATCTCACGAGTACCTTGTTCACGATAATAGCGTATGCACATACATTCCTCGAAAAACAGAAAGTGATATCCAGGAAACTCGAAGTCTTCATCAAGAGGTTTGCTGTAAGCATTCAGGTTCGCGAAACCTTCTGCGGCCTCATACCCTACACTTTGCAGGAAATGACTCAAGTCCCTCGAAGCAGGAAGAAGAGGATTGATCTCCGAATCTTGAAAGAAAGCCACCAGCCGCACACTCATGCAGTTCGAAGCCTAATTAACACGCCTTGGGTTTGCCTTCAAAGGTTGCCTTGCCTCCGCGGAGCGCGCCCATGTCACGTATCTGCAGACCGCACCTGACATCCTGCATGGGTAACGCGTAGACGAAAAACAAACTCCAAACAAAACAGTCCCGGATGGATAAGACCACGCATACCTTTAAGAAGCAGCTTCCTTTTTCGATTCGACTGCAGTGAAGCTCAGATCTAATGTCGCAGATAACAGCAACAATACAGAATATTGATGCTTACAAGGCATTGCTGTGCCGGCTCTCGTTGATCACGACGGCTCACACCACACCGGTACGAATCATAGCGTATGACCTGATAGCCTTGCATATTCAACACCCGAACGGATGTATCTGGAACACAGCTTGCAATATCGCAGTCACGAAGTCACCAAAGTCCGCACCCAGACCTTCCAACACCTGATCGATCATTGTCTTATAACGAAGCGCCACGTCGTTGATTGTGCCCAGTATACACCCGCTTTGTACTCAAATACACAAAGCTGTACCTGTCCGTACTACCTACCTACCACTCTCGCATGCCTTTCTCCGTGTATGCAATGATCCGGCCATAGCACCCTCCGAACGGGGATTCCGTTCCGATCTTCTTCTGCTCCCCCGCTTTCTTGCTCCGCATCTTTACGGTCCTCGCTGTTTCTTATCCAGCGTACTACACACCACTGCAGACTGTAAAAAGCCACAAAATGTGGTTTCAAATGATCAAGAAAACAAAACCCTGCTTCTCAAAAAAGATAACCGGATCATCAGATCACACACAGAACCGTACTCATATACTGATGTAACCGATCCACCTAGCCGATGTAGCTGGTACGAGCTAATACCCTTTCACTCACATGCAAGATGCTTTGTCCCACGCGGCAGCGGAATATACCGATTTTTTGTGATTTCCGAGGCCAATGGCGATGGATTAGTCAGGCACTACACAGATACGAGAAAAAAGAATGTGACATGTCTGTGGACGAATTGTACTTCATTGGTTTTATCGTATACCCTCGCTCTTCACTTCCCACCCCCGAATTCTCAGCCCCCTTCCCCCCGTTCCTTCTCCCCCGCCCCTACAACAAACAAAGCGAAGAAAAGCAAAGCCACAGTAGTAGCAAAACCTCACCTTGGAAGTCATTTCTGGGATTGACGCCATCGCGACCACTGAAAACCCCAGCACAATCGACAAAAATACAAGCTAGGAGGATAACAAACATGCGGTTGAGATGCTCGGGAACTTCAGGCGCTATGTACCTACCTATATATATCTAGCTAGATATCTTTATGTACATTGGTTAAACCCATCACTGGGTGTAGGATCACTTACATATGTAAGCTCTAACTCAGAATCAAAAATATACATTCGGTGGCTGAGCAGACCTTAGGACAGCACTTGAGTGCATTAACCACGCTTTCTAACGTTGGCGTGTTGCTGAACGGCGTGTCAAAGTACATGGATACTTTTTACAGTTGGTTTTTGATTCGAATTGGAAATGAATCTGGACATGAATCATGACCTTGAAAGAGTTTCGGTACATAGGTATGTACCTACCTAGGTGGATACCTTTGAGCAAGTAATTTTCCCTCCATTATCTCAACCCCAGAAAGCATTGGCTTGATTACCTAGTGACTGTTGACCCTGAGTATTCGAATAGCAGCCATTTTGAACTTCTCCCGGCTTCAACGAGAACGAATCAACTAGGTACATGTACATATTTCTTGCAGCAGATACATCACGTGATCACTGTCACCTCATCTCACTGTTGATCTGTCTGGAAAGTGAGCATGTAGGATGTTTTTCGTGTTGTAACGTGAGACTATGCAGAAGAGCAGAGCTAAAAAAAGTATCTCAAGTGAAGGAAAATTGAAAACATGGTTTATTTGAAAATAATAGTCATATATACATGTACGTACGTAAACATGGAAAAGATTAAACTTGCCCCAGGCGCTTTGCACCATGGGGAGGAATAAGAAAATGGAGATCAAGTCCGACCATGAGCCACATCCCTGCTATTGTTTTGTGCTCATTGGCACCACGCTCCATGCGACTAGGTGGGTATCCCTTATTTGTTTTAACGCCCTCCAATCTGCCCCTTGGGGATAGGCCTAACCCAGATGAAAATCAAATTCAGCGCAATGATGATGACACCAATGATCCAGAAGACACGGGCGTAGTGCGTTCCATTGTACCTAAAGATGATTGCGAAAATCACACCTCCAAGATTTCCCGATGCGCCCACAAGACCAGACAGAATGCCGTTGGCATGGGGGTGGACGTGCGGTACAAGAGCAAAGTTAGCGCCATTGCCGGCTTCGAGAAAGATGGCCATGAGCGCGATAAGACCCATCATAGTAGATAGGTTTTTGGGGTCGAGTTGACCGATGACGATGAGGAAGATGCCGGACATGACGCCGACGAAATGAATCCAGAGTTTTTTGGCCCACAGGTTGCGGTTCGTCCATTTGAAGATGAGGTCGGCGAAGAACCCGCCTGCCGGGCGTGTGATGATGTTAAGAAGGCCAAACATGGCGGCCCACTGTCCGGATGTGGTTTGGCCTAGCACGGGGAAGTTCTTGAGGTAGTAGGAGCCGAGGATGGAGTTGATGGCTAGCTCGCCTCCGAAGGAGCAGACGTAGGAACACATAAGGGCGATGCTTTGGAGAGAGCAGGCTACTTTGAGGCCCTCCTTGAAAGAGGGCTTGACAATGACTTCGTGCTGGACTTCGTCCATCATGCGCACATCGCCGGGGCCGGTCTCGATATCGGATTGCGGGGCAGCAGTGGTCGCCTTTTTCTTTTCATCGTTGGAGGAGATGGATCCGGCGACAGAGGGTTTTTCGGTGGAATTTTGTGGAATGGCGACGATGGTATTGTCTGTAGGGGCTGTAGGAGCCACTGCCTTTCCACGGTCGGACCATTTGCCGGTTGGGGTATCCTCTGCGAAAAGCAACATGGAGATGGCGACAACGGTGATGAGGATGAAGGGCACGATGAATGAGACTCGCCATGCGACGTGCGAGGTAAGGCCACGCTGATGAATGAGCGAATCGTAGATGGCAGGCATCACGAAATAGGTAATGCCACCTCCGGAATTACCCCAACCGCCTACCAAGGCGTTGGCAGTTCCCACGACATTGCGATCGAAGAAGCCGGTCGTCCAGACCTGACAGGGTACAAATGTACCTCCCAAGATGCCGACAAAGAAGCGAATGGCGTACAAGCTCCCAGCGTTGTGGGCTGTGCCTGCTAAAGCAGAAGGGATTGCTCCCGCCAGCAAACATCCCACGAAGGTAAGGCGGGGACCAAATCGATCACAGAGCGGCCCCGCTACGGCGCGCATAACCAAAGTGGCCGTGAGAGAAATGATGTTTGAGTTTGCGACTTCATTCTGCGAGAGGTGCAAGTCTTTCCTAATGGAGACCATCTGTGGAGAGTGATTAGATAACATTGCGGGGATATGCAGGTTGTCTGGGGTTTACCATACCAGGGGTGGAAAAGCGTACCTGACGAGGTGTTAATAAGCTGGCACGCTACAGTATCGTCTCCATATCGAGAAGGTGGGTCACTTACCAGGACCAAAAGGCGATGAAGAATCCCAGGTAAGAGAAGAAGAAAACACGCCCATATTTGTCGAAGGGGTTGAAGATTGGTATCGACTTTGCCTTCTTGTTGTAGGGGTTGAGCTCAGGAGCAGTCCACAGTTGCTTCAGTTGGAAACCCATGCTGACGGGATTGCAGCGCCTGCAGCCGCGTCTGAATCTTGTGGGGGTGGTGGAGGAGTGAACAGGAAGAACAGGGGATCACTTGGGAAAGGGTATGGGGATGAGTCGTCGGAGCTGGAGACAAACTCTCGATCAGGGTTCCATGGATCAGGACGGCGCGTGCGAGAATGATTTATACAGCAGGCAACGAGTGTCTGTGAACAGCACCTCCGCGGTGAGCAACACTGACGCAAAACCAAGACTGTTCTCAAGACTTTGGACCGCAAATCGTTCTTGAGTGCCAAGCAAGGCCAGGGCTTCCCCGGAGAATAACAGTGAGATCTGAGGACTAAAGCCTAAAGTTGATTCCTTATCGCCCAAGAGGAAGGAGCTGATGGCGTTGAAGCTGGAGCTGGAGCGCTCTGGGGGCCAACTACGAGGCGTCTACGCATCCGCGCCGCGCGCCACCGCGCCTCCAAAGGGGCCAGGATACGACATGTTTGCGCGATGAAGTGGACAATTGACAATGAAATTGGCTGGCCATAGTATGAGATGGTTGTAAAAGTGGTTGTTGACGTGGGATGCGTGTGGGGGCGGCAAGCATCCCCTCTTATCTCTTGGCAGCGGCATGGTGCGCTAAGGATTATCAAAGGTGGACCCAAAATAGACGGTCCTTATCTACGCCTCAACGATACAACCGAAAGTCGCCTTTTGGTGATTACATCAGAGTATTAGACACGACGATTGCTTCAATCTGATCTGGATGTTGAAACCGTGAGATGAAACAAATTCGAGAGCATTTTCCCGCGCTGGCAGTCGATCCAACATGGTTTTTGAAAAGTCCAGATGATTGATGGTTCGCACACTGCTTCCCCTGATCCTTCATCCTTTCGTTGGAATACTTGTAGGCGAGAGAGCGTCATCTCATGCGCTATACGGACACGATGAAGGCAATCGAAGTCTACCAAACATCCCCGTATGCTTTGGATGGATAGGCCGCGATCCCGTCAGTGCCGAAACTCTTTCACCAAATCACTCCAGCAGCCATCGATTTCCCGTGCCCCAAATAACGACGACCAGGGATGAGTTGAAGGAGAGCCAATGAGCGATCAGACAATTCCACTCTCCTGGCGAATCAGACCACCCAGCACCCCCAACGTACATGTGAAAGACACGGTCAGCCCATCAAGAAGAAAGCACCGGAAAAGTACCTTTGCTTGAGAAAAGCACTCCATCATCATCATCATCATCATCTGAAGCTCCATTCGTCATGCATCTGCTGGTGGTGCTTTCTGGGCGCTGGTCATTGTGGTCCAGCCCAAGACTGTTATCTGTGAAAGTGCCTGCATCTCTACGACGCTATTGTGTAGTTCGGTTTCACTAAGTCGCTTTTCTGGAAATGCGCTCGACATTCTGTACATCTCCGCGGGAATCTTCATAGTCTAAGTGAGGGTAGTGTTCAGCAGTGCACGTATATAAGGTCCAGCCCACGAGTTCCAGGCAGTGACTCACAGAAGCTTCTTCGTCCCACCAATTAGAAAGTAATCAAAACTGCAAATGTCTTCGTATTGGCAGAACTGAAAGTGGAATTTGGTATATTCATGAAATAAGTACGTACTGGTGTAAACATGAGGCCGAATTACATGAATTCAAATTGGTCCAATGCACAATGCAACCAAATAAACACCATTTAAGCTCCTGCAACTCCGGTAGATGCAAACCCCATTCCTGGTACGTAAAATCCATTGTCGGTACATGGTATCATTACTCCGTACGTGACGAACATAGTTTGCACATTGGGAAAATCGAACAAAATTTGATAGAACCCGCTCCGCTATCGGGGCGATCGCGAGCGTCTCGGAGATGATGACGGCGACGATGGTCCGGAAGAAAGTGCGGGCGGAGTGTTGCTGCGGCTGCTGCGACTGGACGTTGGCTCCTCCTCCATCTCGTCCACCTCGTCTGCAAGCGGACTTTCGCGTGGTTCCAGCATGTCCAGATCTTCCAGGATGGTGCGCGGAGATAACCTCCACAGGCTGGTTGCACAAATGCGATCTTTTGTCAAAAGATCATCGATGAACTGATCGACATAGGTCAATGTAAAGCCGTCCTTGGTGCGTCGCTTGATTTTGCGGTAATCAGTGAGTAGAGGCTCCAGTGTGTTGTAGATTTCTACAGGCTCCCAGGCAAGTCGTATGTAGAAGGCAGCAAGACATCGTAGGTATTTCCAAGAGCCCAGCTTGCCGGCAGCGTTGGGATCTTCTTTTTTGGTGTCACTATCGCGGTTGCTGTTCTGACTTCTGCTCGTGTCGTTTTCCATCTCATCCTCCTGGTCTTCTTCGTCGTCGTCGTCGTCTTCCCGGAAATTCAGATACTCGAGGATAATTTCCTTCTCTGGCACAAGCTGCAACAGCTTGAAAGCAAGACATAGAAACGGCGTCGGTTTGCCCATGATGCCAGTAGTGCCACCAATAAATTTCAAATCGGCAGCTCGATCACACAGTGTAGCTGCGTTGAGACCGAAACATTGCTCTTTCCAGTAGTAGGATTCGGTGATGCGTTCTCGCACACCCTTCTCAAACAAGAGTGCAGGATTTTGGCCACGGATGAGAGCGCCGGAGTAACCTCGATCGTCGAGAAGAGCTTTGGCATCGGCCTTATCATAAACAGGTTTTGTAGCCATTCTGTGCGATAGGGCGATGGTAGAGATGATGGTTTTGTGGTGGTCTGGTAGCTGGACAAAGTCGTGAGGAGTAGAGAGGGTTTCTGAAAAAAAGTGCAGGGGTGGCAAGGTTCCAGTGTAAAGAAGGCTAATATAGCTCGCCTAATCATAGATGCTGAAAAGCAACCAATCAAAGACCATACAGATGAATCCATAATCTGAGTCATCACTAACTGGCTCTAATGAGCTTTCTTATCGATAGTTGCTCCTGCCAACCAACTACGTACAGCGAACGTAAATACCTACGCACATGCAACCCTACAGCCCTATTGTATGAAAGCGTCACACAATCCGACCTCATGTATATTTCGCACGAGCATCCCTTCTAGAAACAGTTTACAATCTTTCGCATCTATCTGTACAATATACTTACGTTTGATACTGCGTTCTTGTTTGCGTACATCTTGTGCGACATGGCCAAATTGTTGCTCTCCTCTGGTCAAGTCTCCGTCATCTTCTCCGCAGCGGTTGGTATGTTATCTAGCTCGCCATCGACGCAGCATTGATACTAACGCAGCCTAGTTTTTTTGTTTACTTTCGCCCTCTTCCTATCTGGATATGTTTTACAGCAGCGATACGTACACTCGCTCCAAGCCGCGATTAAGCCCCGTCTGCCCAAACCGCTACCCGTAGCAAAACCTATAGAACCACCCACGCTGGATGTGAAATGGGCGAGGCCATTGGGAGCAAGACCAGAAGTGGATGGGACAATCGACCAGATCATAGCAGGCGAGACACTGGACTGGAGCCGTCTGGGTTATGTACAGGTGGCCAAAGAGTTTATCGAACTGTGCGGTGCCGTCATGCTGCTCGCAGATCTTTACGATATGAAGAGCCCCGCAAGAAAGATACTCATGTTTCCAAAGGCATGGCTGGCAAACACCGATGACGAGGAGGAATACAACCCGCAGATGAGCACAACGAAGCGTCTTCTCCGGACTGCGGTGAGACGGTACGGAGCGACTTTGGTACCCATGGAGACGATCGTAGACGGTGCTGACGGTAGGATCGACTGCAACACAACCACGCTTAATTGGTCACTAATTTTGATATATTAGATTCGCTTGCATCTTCGTATTCACTTGCGAGCCTGTATTCACTGACTAGCTACGAAAGACTGATCTATCTCCAAGGACCAGGTGTTCTGCTCGACGCTTCCGCGCTGGACTCGCTCCTTGCTTTCTCCGCATCTGCACCGATGGCAGCGTATCCGGCCACCCCAGAGCGGCAGGAATTGTCCACGTCACTGCTTTTGCTTCATCCATCGCGCGACAGTTTTCAACAGCTGAAAGAAATGCGGTCATCGGCTTCACTGTCAGACATTGCGCTTTTCCGCCAAGCATTTACAGGACCAGACTCACTCATCTCCGAATGGTCGCTTTCTATGGGCAACGTTGTGTATGAGTCGCAGAATCTGCGCGACGTGGTTGATGACTTCAATGCGACAGCGTTCCAAGAACAAACTACGTACGTGCGTCTTTCGGACCCCGAAATCCCCGGACCAGAATACGATGTGCCGTATGCCGATCGAGTACAAATCCGGCCCAAGGGAGACCAAGCGAGAGAGGCATGGGAAAGGCTTTACGAGACGTTCCGACAACGTCGCATGGAGGTATGCGGTTTGGATTTGGAGCCATGGATGTCGCCAGAGCAGGAGGACGTGGACGAATCGCAGACGGAAGGATCGCCCGATGGGAGGGCAAGCGAGCTCTAGTCGAGCCGAGATTCGCCTTTTCCCTGTTCATGGGATATCGTTTTTCCCCCGCCGGGCTTCAACCCCTCATCTCATTCCCTGGATCATGGATTGGTCTGGAGTGAGCAGGAAGACGAGGTCAGGCTCCAATGCTACACATATGAGATGAGATGAGACGCAGGGTTTCTGCAGGGCGCATTGCCTGCGTGGAGGGTGTCTGTCCATCCATCTATGCCACGGAATCACGGTGAAGGGTGCTGGCCTTCAGTCAGTCAGTCAGGTCAGGCACAACATGCGACCGGGGACGGGCCATTTAAAGTAGGAAGTGTGACGGGGGTGCAGGTTGGAGCAGCCGCATGAGGACGCGGAGCGGAGCCATGCCGTGGGGTCGGTCACTGCAAGCATTCCACGGTATTGTTGGGTGTGCCTAATGGGAAGAAGTATTTATTATGAAGGAGAGGACAATGTGACGGTCAACGATTGTTGGGGAAGATGTGGACTTTGAAGGGAAAAAATCGGTTCTGTTTGGGGAAATGATGGGCGATGACGACTTTGAATTTTTACACACATGCTTGCGGCCAGCGAGATGGCCAGTCAGGTATATTGTATTATGGGCAAGGTATGCTGCGGGCGAACCGTAATCTCCATCTATATATACACACGTCGACATGAATGCGCATACATGTCATATATACCATCTACGCTGAGAGAGACCCTTGATGAGCAATCGACGTCCTCTGGGTGACTGTGTTCGGGGACTGAAGATGCTAATGATGATGATATCGGTCTTGCTTGGTGTTCTTTGATAGTCCGCTAGCACGACCCTAACCTATTCGCGCATAACTGAAGCCTCACCCCCAACCACCTCCACCTTACCTCCACCTACGCCCTTTCTCCCTCTCTCCCCGTCCTTGTCGACGTGCTGCTGCTCGCTGACCCTCCGGCCTTTGCTACTACGCCCACTATCCTTAGATCTTCACCTCCAGCTGGCCTCCCAACCCACCGCACCGCTCCTGTGGACCTCGGCTCCTCCTCTTCCTCCCCATCCTCGCGCCCATGCCCCGCGCAAACCTCGCTCGCTTCAATTGACTGCGCCCGCCCGTCGCCGCTCGCTCGCCATTGTTGCCCGCGCATTCCGCACCGCCCGCTGTCCTGGGACGTTCCGACGCCGCCGCGGCTTCACGCAGCCAGCTCTCAAGCCAGCCCGCTTGATTCTGCTCCACCGTCGCTCTTATGCCGTCTCTCGGCTTCCTCAAGAAGAAACGGACGAAGGACTCGGGCTCCAAAGATCTCGACGCCCCGACCTCGCCCGTCAACCCCAGCAGTGCTTCTCCCTTTTCGCCTACCAAGTCCAACACCCGCGGTTCCGTCGTGAGCAAGTCCTCCACCAACCAGGATCAACAAGCCCAGAACTCCCAGCCCTCGTCCACAACCCCTACCTCCCATAAGCCCGTCGACTCAATGAACCCCTCCGCCTACCCTCAACAGGCATACGCTACTCCGCAAGCCTCACCAGAGCCTCACCAGCAGCCCCAACAGCACACCGTGCCCAGCATACAGAACCTCATCCACCCTTCCAACACCTCCAGTAACCAGCAGACGCAACAACAGCAACCCAATGCCTCGTCTAGACCTGCCAACGGAGGAGTTGTCCAGGCCCAGCCCAACCCTACTGTTCGCGCGACAAAGGGAAAATATACCCTTCAGGACTTTACCATCCAACGTACCCTGGGTACCGGCAGCTTTGGTCGTGTCCATCTAGTGCAATCCAAGCACAACCAGCGCTTCTATGCCGTCAAGGTGCTGAAAAAGGCACAGGTTGTTAAAATGAAGCAAGTCGAGCACACCAACGACGAGCGTCGTATGCTACAGCAAGTCAAGCATCCTTTCCTCATCACTCTTTGGGGTACCTTCCAAGATTCCAAGAACCTGTACATGGTGATGGACTTTGTCGAGGGTGGTGAACTCTTCAGTCTGCTGCGCAAATCTCAGGTAAGCTTCCCTGTTCATTCCGCTTCGCACATTCCAGCATCCGCTCACCCCACCAGCGTTTCCCCAACCCTGTGGCCAAATTCTATGCTGCCGAAGTCACACTTGCATTGGATTATCTACACGCACAGAACATCATCTACCGTGATCTGAAACCGGAAAACTTGCTTTTGGATAGGCACGGACACCTCAAAATCACCGATTTTGGTTTCGCCAAAGAAGTCCCGGACATTACTTGGACCCTCTGTGGTACGCCCGATTACCTGGCGCCCGAAGTTGTAGCGTCAAAGGGCTACAACAAATCCGTCGATTGGTGAGTTCTTTGTCCTCGTATCCAACTCCTGTAGCACTGACCCAAATAGGTGGTCTCTTGGCATTCTCATCTTTGAAATGCTCTGCGGTTTCACGCCTTTCTGGGATGGTGGTTCTCCAATGAAGATCTACGAAAATATTCTCAAGGGCCGTGTAAAATACCCGCCTTACATTCACCACGATGCGCAAGATCTGCTGCAAAAGCTCATCACGCCCGACTTGACGAAACGTCTGGGTAACTTGCACGGAGGCAGCAAAGATGTCATGAACCATCCCTGGTTCGCTGAAGTGACTTGGGAACGGCTGCAAAAGAAGGACATTGATGCGCCCTATGTACCACCAGTGCGCGCCGGTGTTGGTGACGCTAGTCAGTTCGACAAGTACCCAGAAGAAACTGAGGCTTATGGGCAGAGCGGGGACGATCCGTACGTTATTACCCCTCACTTTACCCAGAATGCGAGCGCTAATCTGTTATCTTTAGACATGGTCATCTATTTCCAGATTTTTAAACTTGTTGCTGCCGCGAACGGTTGGTCCGCTTCCCGCACTCTTCGTGGACCCCTGGGTGGATCCCCTGTAGTCTGGAGCTGCGCTGCCACACCTACTTCAGCCCTGCCGTTCTGGTCGTTTTGCAACACGACTCGATGCATTTCAACCTCGGCTTTATCTCTCGGGCCTATTGTATTTCTCTGTGCTTGGTCCATCCTTTTATCCCTCGTCGCCGCTACCATCTTTATCATCATTAACCTGGTTTGCTTGTTTGATACCTGCGACTGCTGTCCGGTATCGGGGAACTCTGCAGCTCGAGTCCTAGTTTTCTCCCTCCCTCCTATCGACTCGCCTTTTTCGTTTGGATTTGGACCGCAAACAAAAGAGTATCCTTTCAAACTCTTTCTCGGGTAATTCTTTTTGTTTCGCGGAAAGTTTGACCTTTTTCTCCCACCCATTTTTTCCGTTTTCTTTCCGAAAGTTATCTGTGCAGACCTTTTTAGAGGTTCTTATGGGTGTGCACAATCCTGTCTTCTAGCAGAAGGGAGCGCGCTAGGACTGGTCAAGCTGGAATCCTGTGACTTGGTTTTTGGATGTGTGCTGAACTGCTTTTTTGTTTGGAAGAGAGTCTCGATTGTTGTTGTAGTTGTTGTTATCTCGACAGGAAACGCTGGATCGATCAAAGGGAAAGTCAATGAACTTAGTAAGTAAGTGAAGTTAGGGACACGCGTATGCGCACACACACAAAACAAAAAATTCAATTGGGCTTGCCTTGATGCCGGTTTTGTCTCTTCCCTCTGGGCTAGGGAAGGCGGAAAAGGCGGCTCTTAAATGCTATTCTATCGTTGCCGAGAGATATCTTCATTGCTCCTCTTTACACGGTATAGGCCATTTTACGTTCAATGAGATCTGGCGCAATACCAGTACGATGGCACTGTGTTTTCGTTCCTGGTTTTCGCAGAAACAAGGGGATCAATGCATGACTGGCATGGGTCAACACAGTGAAATCTTGATAGTTGATAGATAGGTATGGTAGGGCAGATAACTAGGTACATATGTATGTAGGTACGCAAGATGCGAATGTAGGGATGCGAAGCAAACTGCCGAGAAGAATACATGTATCAAGTTCTCATGCTCTTCTGAATAACCATCAAGCTTGTTCTCTGAAAGCAACCACTTCTTCTCGTCTTTCGTCTTATCCCTTTTACAACAGATATAATCATGTTTTTTTCCAATCGTGACCGATGTTTCGGAACCCGCCTTCTCTGTGTCCCGATTCGATGTTTGTTTCGTCTTATCTCGTCCTAGCATATATTTTGATCCTCGTTGTGCTATGCGGCACACACACTTGGTGTACAACGACACAAAAAGGATCTAAAAAAACATTGCCTTGAAGCTCTCCAGCAAGTTCCGTGACTTTCACGAGAATGATAATCCTTTTTGTCTTCCTGGATTTTGATGATTTTCCTTGGTTATAGGTTCGTGTATTCTCATATCACCTTGGGTAAATATATATATACTGGTTGAAACGTGCGTTTTCATGTATCCAGGTGCCCAGATCTCACATAGCTTTCCTCTAAAGTTTTTCAAACTCAGTAGGCTTCTTGTCTACTTTCTTTACCATCCTTTGATGCAACAGGGAGCAAGCAAAACAACCCAACTAAAGAACTGGGTCGTGTAGACCTTAATCAAGTCATATTCCTTCAGCTAGCCCCCCTTTGATGAATAGTTTTCATACTGCGCCGCCTGCATGCCCAGGAACATTCCTATCGAGATTGATGTGGATAATAACCATTCATTCCCCCATCCAGCCCTCCTCCCTACCAACCACAAAGCTTTACGCACAAAGGAGTAAAGATGACAGTATCACCACCCATACTGACCCCCCGCCTCTCTCTTATTCCGTCTCCCCTCCGCAAAATGATCCTCCAACGCATCCTTCTGCGTACTAGCCACATTCACCAAACTCTTCAAGCTATTCTTCCCCGTGCCAGAGATGGGTTTAAGCACATTCTGCTGCACCGTCTCGCCCTGTTGGCGCAGATGCTCGTTGTGCGCGTACTCGGTGTCAGTGTTGAATTCGACGAGCCGCGAGGTAGATGAGGGGTCGGCGGAGGGATGGCGGCCGAAGAGTTGGCGTCGCTCTGAGGCGGAGAGGTTAAGTTCGCTGGCGATGGATGTGAGGGAATTCGGTGGGGGGTTTGTAGGTTGGGATTGGGGTTGGGAGGTGGTGGTGAATGCTGAGTCTGTGAAAGAGGCATCTTGTTGGTCTTCTTCTTCTTCTTCTTCGTTGTCTGGTCTTGCGCCGTAGAGGAGGGGTTGGTAAGGCGTTGTATCGTTTGAGATTTTCGGCGCTTGGTCTTGGTGAGAGGATATGGAAAAGAGTGAGACTTTGGGTTTCGCCGTGGGGTTTGAGGCTGCGGTCGTCGTCTGACCCTGCGGGGTGGATGTTGATGATGGTGCAGAGAGAACCGAGCTGGATTTATCAGTTCCTTCTGATGAAGGGGCTGCTGGTTTTGCAGCGGGCTTTTTCTTTCCACGAGCGACAGACATGGGCATGAATTTTGGTCTGGCGGCGATGGGTTTGGTTTCGGGCGTAGGCGATGGCCGGGCTTTGGCATCTGCTGACGGGCCTGTAGAAGCGTTTCCCAGGGATGCGGCTGGGGCGACACTACCTTGCGAAGCCTTCTTCTCCGACTTTGGGGTGGGCAGGTTGAGCATAGCGCGAAACTCTTCCTTGTTCATCGGCTCTTTCTTTATCGGATTCCCATTCTCGTCATACTCGTCCATGTCGACGCGCGGTTCGCGTCTGAAGGCCGGTTCTGCTCCTGTCCTCAGATTTACACCAGCGCCCAACCCTTTCCCAGCTCCTCTCTTGCCAGATAACGACGATGATGATGCGCCTGCGCCAGCATCCAGTTTGGGTTTCTTAGGTGCCGGTAGCATTGCATTGAACCCACTGAAGGCCCCACTCCCAGCGCCCAACCGTGCTCGTTTTGCTGGAGGCGCTTCAGAATCCAGATGATCTTTCTCGGGTTGCGGTTGCGATGTACCGGGGAGGTTGAGCTTGATCTTGCCGGGGTTGGAGCGGTCAACCACTTTTTGGAAGGCCGGTTTCGAGGCGGCGGGCTTCGCAGCGGGCTGTGGGATTGAGGTACCTTCATCGTCGGAGCCCTCTGAGTCGCTGTAGGCAATCAAATTCATGGCGGGCGGAATGCGCGACGGAAATTAAATTGGGAGTGGTGGTGGATGTGTGCTGATTGATGGTTATGAGTTGGGAAGAAAGTTGACGATGAGGTCAGAAGCGCGCCCTCCAATCGGCATGTTTAGGCGCGAGGTGGGTCGCCCTACGGGAGCGAGACGCAGGACGATAGACAAACATACAAGTGATAAATCGCATGTTGAACAGATCTTAGTGAACTTGAAATCTTGACACATAAGACGTAGTATTCTACATATATGCAAAAGCTGAATTATTCGTATATTATAAGAGGGTGCTGTTGTTCCCAAGCCGGTAGTCCCACTATGGGCCCAGGTGTGTACCTTGAGAGGTGGGGACAGAGCCGCGGCCAAGACCAGGGTCCGCGTCTCACTCGCCGTGCGTGAACTGACTGTACATGCAACCGGGCGGTGATCTGTCTATCAATCAATCATCCTCGATAGATATCCATATCGCCCGACTCTATATTCACTCGCTCGCGTCTTCGTCGCAAAACTTCCGCGACTCAACCGATCGACTCCATCTTCAGCTGGTCTGGATGTTCAATTGCGTCTTCCGAACATGATATAACCCTCCGCACAGCCTCATCATGTCGCTGCTCCAGAACGAAGACTTTGTTCTCTACCAACTGCGTACCGCCTATCTATCCTCAATCAAAGACGGTGTAGGCGAGCGTCTCATCAACGTCGACTCTACTGTCCTCAACAATGTCGCTTTCCGCGCCGCCGGCTGGGTGCCCGCCTCCGACATCAAGCGAACCTACTCCCCACCTATACCTACCGCCATTACCTCCGAATACTTCCAAGCCCCTCGATCGGCTGGACTCAAGGTTCCCGAAGCATTTGGTGATGACGAGGAAGAGGGAGGCATGGTGACAGGCGGCGGAGGCAGCAATGACACGGTTGGGCCAACATTGAACGCAAAGCGCCGGCGGCGAAGAGAACAGCTGGAAGAAGACGATAGTAGCGATCTGAGTGACGAAAGCGACGAGGAAGATGAAACGCACAGACCAGCCAACCAAATCAAGTTCACCAAAATGCCCCTCCGAAACCGTGCTGGCTCCTCTCCCATTCGTGGTTCAGCTTTGCGGAATGGACTGAACGAGGCCGCAGAAGGTCCTGCTTTGACTGTAACGTCACCATCACGACCTGGAGAAAGTCGTCTTCGCCGTGGATCATTAGGTGCCGTGGTAGAAGGACGGCCCCGAAGAGACACCGTTACCAGCAGCGAGATGTCATCCGAGAACGAGCTCGATTCACTGACCTTCCAAAAGCGCAAAGTCAATCCCCGCAGGGCAGCAAAAGCCAACCCGCTGCTTTCCCAACGCACACAAGAGGGTCTGGAAGCTCTCGACGAGGGAGACGAGACAGATAGTAGCGTGTCGTCGGATTTCTCAGGTACCGATGATGGAGGATCTCTGATAGGAGAAGAGGGCGATCCTCTGGATTCGTCTCCACCTACCGAGCTGCCCAACATGCCTAGCATGACCCCCTTCACTAACTCACCTAAGAAACCCAAATATCAGCCGAGTCAAACTCTCCAGGCATTGCCGCCACCGAGACCCATAAGCTTCATTCTTCCGGTCAGTGAACTAACAAAAGCCCTGCAGGCCAAGGAGCAAAAGCCATCCAATCCTACCCAACGCTTCGCATCGTGGAGCGCCGCCAGCGAGGCTCAGGCAAACCCTATATACCTCAAGATATACGCCCCTTTCTCTTCAAAGCCTTCTAAGCCTCTTGAGTTGCTGATAAGAAAAACAAACGACAAGGGCGAATCTGTCAAGGTAGCAGAGGCTATTGGATACGCTCTTTGGTGTTACCAGGAGGAGAAGTTGGAACCCGCGCTCAAACCCGAAAAGCTCAATGTCAACTGTTGGGTCTTGCGCATGTACGATGATGGGGAAATTGACGATGAATTCCCCGCCCTAACACGGAACAAAAACCTGATGGATTTTGCGTCCAACAACAGCCGTGGAATGCGTCCTCGTGCCCGGGACAAGCCATGGGATGAGTTTGGGTTGGTCGAGGCCTCAGAGCGTGAGATTGCAGAAAATGAGAAGATCACGCCAATTTACAGTCGCGAGGCAGCAGCGGCGCTGGCTTCGCAGGACGCGGCATCAGGAGAACGCAAAGAAGTCAAGCAGCCCCCGAAGCCCATACCCAGCCGTGCAAAGAGCTTTCGCAATCCCATCACTGGCCCTTCTTTTGCTCCGACTGCCACCCGAAAGGACACCTCGAACCTCGCAGATGCACCCAACGTGTCCAACGTCCAATCTGCTAGTCGCACCGGTGTACCCAGGACCGTGACTCTCTACTATACCGACGAACACTTCAACACCAAACGCATTCCTATGCCCTGCACCACCGATACCTACATTGCCGAGATCTTCGACAAAGTGTGCAATACGCTTGCCCTCGAAAAAGCTCTATACCTCCTCAAAGTGTCCGGCAGTACCACAGTCGCACCACCAGACCGCACCGTCGAAGCTCTAGGAACCCGCCTCGACCTCGACCTAGTCCGCAAACGCTTCGTAGGCGACGGCGTTTTCGGCATCGCAGGATCCCCCGGCTCCTCTTCGCCCAACGCACCCCTCATCGTTCCCCCTGGCAGCGCGCCCAAGAAAGCAAAACGCGCAGAGCGCCCCGGCCCAGCAGGCTACACATCAACCTCAACCGCGCAGCACACCGCAAACTCCGCAATCATGCACCCCCTTGCGCGCGCCGCAGAGCTCGGCCTCACCCTTACCCAATCAACATACTACCGCCGCTGGCCCGTCCTCCGCAAACAGCCAATGTCCTTTACTCCCTCGACCTCGCGCATCCTGGGTCTCGACGCAGAATACATCTCCATCATGCCCGGCGAAACCGGCACCACCAAACAAATCTTCGACCAGCCCGGCAAAATCACAACCGTGCATTTCAGCAGCGTCGTCGGGAGCAAAGTATCCAAGAAACACCCCAGGATGTTCCGGTTGATTGTTTTCAAGGAGAAGGAGACCAAAAGGTATGATTTCGAGGCGCAGAGTCATGAGGATGCTGTTAGTATTGTGAGGGAGATTAAGAAGGGGTTGGATCGGTTCCATGCCGGTGTTGCTTGATCTCCGACTGTTACTTGTTCTTGTTTTCTGATTTTATTGTGGGGGAAGGGAGTTATGGTGATTTTTCATCTTCCTAGGGGGCTCTCAAGGGAAGGTAGGATATGCTAGGGTAGGATAGGCCATCGCCCGCGTAGAAGTTCCTGCTAGATTACGATTCTGATTTTTCCGTCTGTTTTCTCTCTCCCTCTCTTTCTACTTGTTCGTGCTGTTCGGCGTAGAAAAATGATGTAGGTTATTTGTCAATGCACACATGATTCTTCTTTGGTTCCTTTTTCTGTGTGCTACTCAAAGTTCAAATCCCCACGCCACTCCCTACCCACATGTTGTTATGAAAATAGGAAATCATCCACATCAAAGACAAAGCCGCAGACAGGGTTCGAAATCAATTTTCCATTCTCATTTCTCGTGTTCTCATAATCTGTCGTCTCTCTCATCTAGACCGCAAGGAGAAAAGTTTCCTCAAACGAATCATCACGTTCCCTCCACCTTCATTCGCAGAGAAGGTTGAACAAAGGAACAGAAGGCAGAAGAGAAAACTTGCACGGCTCCCCATATTATCATTCCCTTTCTGTTTCCATAAGAGAGAAACAGCAGTTCCTAGAGCATCCCATCCTCGATGAGAAAGAGCCTTGAGCAAGAAGAGAAAATAAGAAAAGGACCAAAACCTCAACCCCACAGCAAAGCACAGAAGGAAACCACAAAAGCCAATCCAGAACCAACCCATTCGCTGCTCATCCAAGGTGCCAGAACGTCAGGGATAGGCAAATAAATCGTTCCAGTGCTGACGAACCACCAGATAGCAACCGCGAGGATGCCAGATCCGAGTAAAGCGCAAGCCGTGCTACCGAGCACAGTCAGAACCAGTGCTAGTTCCGTTTATATTGCTTGTAGAAGGGGAATAGGTAAAGGATTGATAGAGAGGCAATCGGAGATCAAAGGAGGGAAGACACAGTAGCATAGGAAAAGCGATGTGTGGCTAGGGAAAGAAGAAGGGGGCAGCTTACTGCGACACATCCTCCGGCTTGCGACCCAAGCACCGCGCAAATAGAACACGGACGGGAGCGAGCAGGCGACCCCACAGACTAGCAGGACGTCTGGGAGATTGGCTTGCCGGTTGGTTCTCCACTTCCTCCTCTTGATTCTCTCGGTCCTGGTCATGGTCCTGTTGTTGGTCATCGCTGTTTTCATTCGACGACGAGCTTTCAGTTCCCTCACTGGAAGTGGATGCCACATTATAGCTATGCTCTTTCCAGTAAGCGTGAGAGGTCGGGTCTTCTGCGATGGGCTCATGCATTTTGGATTTGCCTTTCGCGCTGAAAGCTTCGCGTGCGCTCTCAAGGCGTTGAGCTGGGGTTGGAACTGCGGTCGTGTCGTTGTCGGAACTAGACGCAGGGTTGTCCGAGTTCTGGGGGACGTCATCAGCATTGGTTGCACTTACGATTGTAGAAGAACCAGCAGTTCTTATGCTTTTGGAGACCCAGGGAGGGTTTAGATGATCCCGCCTGTCTTGAGATTTAGGCATCTCTAACTCATCACCACTCACCGATCCTCGTGAACCCGCACCATCGCCTGAAAACTTGGTCTTTAATACTGGGGACGGAAGGGAGTCTTCCTCTTCATCCTCCTCTTCTTGCGCATCTGATTCCGGGATCGCCATCAAGGATGTGTGTGACCTGACAGGGCCCAGATCAACGGAAGAACAGGCCTGCGATAGAGCATCTGGCGAGTTGATGTCCGCATGGGCACCCTCTGGCTGATCTTCCGGGAGATGGGTGCTGATAGTATTGATTCGATGAAGAATTCGTTCACTCTCAATGGGGAATGGTTCGAGGGATGGATCGCGCAGGTTGACATCCTCAGCATCTGACGGTGCCAGTGCGTGGGGGAGACTGCTTTCTGTACCTCGGCGTCTGAGGAAGAACGAGCCCGAGGTGCCTCCAAACAGACTTTTGGCGTTGTCGGTATCGGTAAAATCAACACTGGTCTTCTTGACTTCAGTAGACTCTTGTGGCAAACGCGGGGCGGTTTCATGGGAGAACGAAGGCGCACGATCAAGCTCACTAAAACCGTCGTAGTCATAGTCATCAGAGTCTTGGTATGCGTGAGTCTGTTCGTGAGACATAGTTGGGGCCCTGTCCAGCTCATTGATCTCTTCATCATCTTCAAATTCCTCGGGAGGATAAGTCTGCTCATGAGACATGGTGGGTGCTCTGTCTAGCTCGTTGATGTCTTCATCGTCATCGAAGAATACTTCAGTTGTGTAAAATTGCTCATGAGCCATCGTGGGAGCTCTGTCTAGCTCGCCGACCTCTTCATCGTCATGGTAGACCTGATCGGAATCTGCTTCGCGCGTTGATTTGTCAACTAGAAGCTTCCCAGAAACAGTACCACCATAACCCCCCCACTTTCTGTCTCGAACCTTGTCGGCAAGGAAAGGAACATCGGGGTGAATTTGGGTACTATCCACTCTTTCCTTCTTTTTACCTACTTCCTGCTGTGCTGATGGGACGTCCACGGACGATGAATCATGAGAGTATTTGACAGTGGCAGCGCGGACGAGATTGTTCAAGTGGCCAGCCCCATCAGATGCTAAGATGAGGTCAGCGGAATACGATTCAAATTGCGCTTGATGTTACGCAAACAAACACTTTGGTAGAAATATTATGCTCCGGATGCTAGGGAGACTCACCAATATCTTTTGAAGAATCCAGCACCCAATTACCTTCGCCAATTCGAATTTTGTATTGATGGTTGCCTTCATCAACATCCTCGAAATCACGCACGAAGATGATGTCTCCGGCGTCAGTCTTTCTGCCGCTGTCTTTCATCTCCAGTGGCTCCCATGGGGGAGAGCTCATCTCGGTGACGACATATACCGGACTGTCGGTTTTGGGGTGCTCGAAAGTGATGGAAGCACGGGTGACCATTTTGGTATCCTCATGGAAACTGGACAAGAGCGAGATGGAAGATTGAGAAAATTTGGACCCTGAAAGGTTATAGGTGCGATAGAGCGCGCGAGGGTCGTGAGGCGGATCGGGAGATTGGCGCACCACTTTACGAGGTGTTTCACCCAGAGCAGGATCCAGTTCCACTGGGTCAGTTGTTAGGGACTGTTGTTTTGTGCTGTCGCCGCCGTTCCACAATTTGCGGATTGGCTTCTTTGCAGCGTGGGGACGGCTCTTGAGATAGGTCATGGACGTGAAAGTGGGGAAAGACGGGAAGTATGAATAGCAAAGGGGATTTTATAGGGTATGGCAGCGGATTAAGGGGGTTGACATGGCATGAGAGCAAAGCAAAGCAAGGCAAAGCTTACCGTGATGAGCAAGATGGTGCGGCGGCGATGGTGATGATGTTGTTGTCGTCAAAACAGGGAGCTGCTTCCCCAGCGCAGCTCCTCCCTGGTCAGCTCGTCCACGGGTGTCGTAGTAGTTAGGAAGGAGGGATTGGACGGCCGCAGAGATGGCAAGTAGGAATTGAGACAAGAAAAGAGGCCCGTAGAGTATCAAGAGAGAGATAGCTAGTTGCAGGCACGACGGGGTTTGGGGGGTTTGCGGGGGGTTGTTGACGAAGCAAGCGCAGGAAGGTAAATAAATAGGGCGGTCCTAGGCGCGCAGCTCAGACTGAGAGAAGTCGGAGAATTGCAATTCACGTCGACTCTGAAGCTAGCTTTCTACCATGGCTGTCGTGATTCTCTTCTATCGTCTTCCAGAAAATCGACTCGCAACCATCAATACTCTATCAGGCTGAAGCTGGCTCTGTTCTATAGTCAGTCAGACCTCCTCTCCGCCATCCTTTCCCCATCAACAACGAGGCAGAGTAGCATGTCAATCAAGATATGGGACCGTGCGAGGCTTAGTGTATAGCTAAACGGCCCGTATCGCTCTTTTGCATCCAAATCTTGCTCCATTGCAACGAGTGACGTGGGAAGCACGTTGATGATATGTTCCCAAGACAGCTAGGGGGAATGGTGGCCGCGGGGAAGGCTGAATGCGGTTAGCCACCCCAACTACCACCCGTCTCTCCACAGACATCTACCTGACATCGGTCCAACACCACCACGACAGCCGTCTTTATCGCCGTTTGTTGTGCAGAGGACGCCGCATGTCGTGCAATGTGACTCGTAATGCGGGGGAAAGACGTGTACGAGCTCACACAACTTCCACAGAGCCCCCTCCCGCTCTGCAATTTCCCCATGTCGTCATTGCCGCGTACACAGTGGTACAGCTACCTTTGATGCATCAATCCAACATCCCCACTGCATCTTCGATCGTGCTATGACTCAAAAGCTCACGTTGGATGAACAGGGAGCAGCCTGGAACGCTCAATATAAGATTGCTACAACTGCCTACTTTCCTATCTGAACCTGTATCTTTACTGTCACAGCCTCCCCAACCACAATTGTCGATGGAGTACTTGGAAATGCCTCCAGATCCAAGCATTCACTCGAGTCTTGAGACTGGACTGACTCTCGGTTCTTGGCTTCTGTGTTGGCCAGTGTTGATGCGGAACGTGTCGATGAGGGCGCTTGCAATGTCCGGCTCTCCAAAGGTTCCACGAGTGAACGAGTATATTGTGGTCCACCGCCCGTATACATTTGCGTTGATACCCCACACCAAAACTTCTTTAGAAGTGGGCTGAGACTCGGTAGAGATGCTGCTACAATCCCTACATCTACCTCGATCTGTCCCCACACTGGTACCCAAGCCCATCTCCAGCTGGGATCGTCCGCGAGGTACGGAAGCGACTCCATGTTGGACACCATCACAATTTCCGTAAGCCGAATGATGCTTGCGACTAGTGGTATGACTCCGATGGAGAATATAAGCACGAGAGCGATTCGCTGTCGCTGGTTGATATTCAGGATTCGAAGCAAAGGAAGCGGAAAGATCAACAAAAGCATGTCTACTACGACGTTGATGGATCCTTGTGCAATGTAGAAGGCTCGCATATCCATGCAGGATCGGATATCGCTCTCGACTTTCCACGTCGCCGAGATTGGTTGGCAGGCGCAAAGCTCAGCCTGAAGTATCCTGTTAGATGACGAACAATGTACGAACCCAACACGCACTTACAAAGAACACAGCGACGGTGAAAGCTGTGACGGCCCCTACGATCATCCCTACCACTCTTGACTGTAAGATCAAGGGCAACCCTTTGTGGCCCGATCCGATACGGTGGTACAGAGCCAGAATGCTCATCTTGACCGCCCAGTTTGCAATGTAGTATACCATCATGTTCACCCACTTGTACTACAATATCTCGTTAGTCGGGTTTTACTTCGTAGATCGATTCATGTACCTTTAGGAGAAGGTCATAGTCGTGTATCTTGATCTCTCCAACGTGCCATCCCAGGCCGTATTTGACTTGCAGCGCAATGGTCGCCGTCTGCACGCCCCCTAGTGTCTACCATACTGTCAGTCAACTCAACTCGACTTGACTTAAAGAGCATTGCCGAGTGGGATATGCTTACAATTGCCACCCCGACCAGGAAGTCATCCAGCCCGTACTTTCTCACTATCCATCCGCGTGTGAGAAATCTAAACAACGAAGAGTGTCAGTGCCATTCATTTCCTTGATGGATCAAGACAGGAATACAAAAAGCATTGACAAAAGCAAAGACTCACCTAAGCCCGATGAACACCACCGCAATCGAGTAAACGGCAACGCTCACGCGGTTTAACAATGGTCCTTGGTTCTCATTTGGAACGCTCACGACGTGCGCCATATCTTTGAGCTTCGTTCGTCCTTGTGTGTCTTCTTGTCTTTCTGTCGCTGCAGCAACTGCTTCTTCTCCTTTTTTCTTCCTTTGACAGATCACCTCTTCTACCCAACTCTCTTTTTGCAATGATCAAACGAGCGACGCTGCCCAACGTAACCAAGCCGCGGAAATGACTCTTCGAAGTAAAAACGAGATGAAGGCGCCGAAAAAGGGAACTGAAAGACAAGGAAACGCAGTGTGTAATATGTGGCACCTACCCCGAAATAACAGAAAGATTATATGGAAAGGGAGATGAAGAAGGAGAGTATATATTTGACCCCTTTGGGAGCCAGCCTCCCTCCGCCTCCCACTTACCCCGATCGCCTGTGTGGTTCGCGCCCTCTCTTTTTTCTTGCGCTGCTTGTGTTGCTTGTTCCCCACTTAACTACTTTTTGGGAGTGGAGCGGAGCACCCGCCGATGCCTTCCTACACGATCGACTGTGGGGAACAACAACCGCGGCACCCGGCTTGTACGCTCGATGGAACTATGCTTGCATGCTTGAGCAATTGCGGCCATGCATGTTTGCGTGTGCGGGAACGTGGGCATAAAGTCTAGAAGTTTTTATTTCCTTTTTCTCTTCATTTTTTCGGATTTGGGTTTGGTGCGAGCGAATGTGATTTGCAGAGTGATTAATTAATGTGAACGAATGCTCACGGCACACGTGCGACGGCTTTACTAGAGGTGCTTCAAATCGGTGAAATGGTACTATCTTTGATTTTGTTTTGAAAGAATTCAGGTTTTCCAGATAAAAAATCTTCGAGGGGTTCGTTGCTCACACTGGTATTCTACTTCTCGCAAGACGATGCACCTCACAAAACCCATCCACAACAGGGTCAATACAGGATGCTGTCACCACATCTCCTCTTATCCCCCTCCCTTCATATACTAATCTATCCAACCATATCCACTGTCAAAATAATTTACTCATATCCCCATCCAGTCACCTTACCTAACATACCTTCGGAGACAAATTCCACCCATCCACACATCCATGCCCGCCACCACAATACATCAAAAGCAGGTCATCACGCATATATACACAGACAATCATCCATGTTTACACGATTTTACAACGTGGCCGTTCACAAGTCCCGTCAGGTTGGGTCCCCCCCATTCCCCCTTGAACTATCACCCTGTGTGTACTGGGCTGTGATTGGCCGAGTGAGTTTGGGTGGAGATGGGAGATCGGCAGGTACAGGTACGTTTCCCTTACTTCGTTGATTGGACGGACGGATGGAAGGGTTGCAAGTGTGTTCCGTTGCGTGGTTTTTCTGTAGTGCTGTCAAGTATTTAGGTGGATTTTATGGAGTGGGTGAGATGTTGTGGTGTTCGGAGGTCCGGAGGTTCGAAAGGACGAGTGGTAGATTTCTGCATCGTCTTTTTTCTGTTTTTGCTTGGGGAGTCGGGCAAATGGTTTTCGATTTCCTTTCTTTCTCTATAATTGCGTGATCACTCACGGAATCAAAAAGTGACTAGACAGATGTAACATCACCACGAGTCACTAGTGATAGCACTCGGCGAAATAGGTGATGTGCATACAGAGAAAAATAAAGGAAAGTGCAAACAAAAAGAATCCAATCTAGCCGCACGAATGAAAACCTTAGATGTCTTCTTCTTGATTGACCATTCGCCCAAACCGTTGTTCGCATGCCATATACTACAAACATTCGCAACTCATCCTACTTCCAAGGAAAAACAAAAAACAAAACAAAACAAAAATCGATTGCTTCGAAAGATTCGCCTCTCTCCCTTCCCTTCCCCTTAGAAGCCAATGGATGCTGTCACACATTCCTCTCCTGTGCTGCAGATCCCCGATCTAACACCAAGCTCCGGAACCCTCCCCGTCCCTCCCCGTCCATCCGATCCGTCCGTTCCCGGGCCCGCGCGCGAGGAAGACCCCAAACGAGTCCAAGCGCGAGAAGCTATTCCAAATTAGACTTTTATTCCTCTGCGGTGAAAATGCATGCCGGGAGAGTATATGGATGTATGTGCTTTTCAGGAAATGCGTTGATTTACTGAGTAGAGCGCATCTTAGGCTAGGACATGGGAAGCTGAATACGCAGAGGGGTGTCAGGATGGTATGTAAGTTCTTCAATTCGACGTTAGTTAGTGAAGGGGGAGGAGGTTGTTTGCAGGGGGTTATTTTTGTAATGAGGGTGTTCCATAACTAGGTGGGCGTGGTGCGATATTTGCTGTGTGCTGAGGAGGGACGGAGATGTAAAGGGAGTTCAAAGTATTCCGTTTTGTCGATATGGGGAATTCGATTGTGGAATATGTTTATTAGCCAGGAAGAGCGTTGGATGAGGGCGATGCTTTACAGGTCATCTGTGATGGGCTGATTTAGGGCAAAGTGATGATGCTGTGTGTGGATAGAAGAGATCAAGTGCTTTGTCAGTACAACATCACACGAACAATCACAAAACTATTTAGCAATGAAACAGCGCATACCCAATTTTGGTGGAACAATCATTTGAGAGAGAAGAGGGAAGGAAACGCGAGACCTTAAGGGTCAATCTCTACTGCCACGGTACGGTACGGAACCAAATATCCCTTCTTCCCATCAAGCCACCTGCATACACGTGTGCGTACCTGCATTCACATGCAACCCAAAATATCCGGGTACGTATGCCTAGGAAGGTGACATCGAGTTTGTGAACAGGGGTGTGATGGGTGGGTTCGGAGGAACGGAGCACCAGTGCCGGAGCCTCACCCTTCTGCTCAGCTAAACGACTTATTGATAGTGGTCCGCGATGTGGATAGATATCTGTGGGGCGGAGGTATTTGCGGGTGGGGATAAGTGGTCACTGTCCTCATCGTGCGAGGTATTTATGTGCTGACTATCGATTCCACGAGGGATATTGCAGAGTCGCTGCGAAGTGTTTTTTTCCTCGCTATGCATTTGCCGGTGCAATGGATAGTTACATGTGTTGGGATGTGAGAAGTGTTCTACTAACTAAGCGACGATGAAGTTAGTGATAGATAGGTGCAGTGGCATGTGTTTACTAGCTGCACTATATCCTACGGCCCGGAGCTTGAAGCCTGTCCGCATATGTTCTCAAGCTCTTTGTCTCTCGTATATCACAGAAGATCTTCATGGGAAGCCATGAATGCCTACTTCTGACTTCGCTCCATGGCCATCACCGTTGTTCACGACAACGAAGATGTATCTTACCTCTGTGCTGTACATTCTTGAGAAATTCATGCACCTGTCTCGGACGAATTCCCTAGGAAAGCGGGGTCCAGCTCCAGCTTTCTATGCCACGCTATCGATAACTCGACTACCTGCAGTGGATCGCCAACGTGTATTCTGTGGGGTCGAACTAACGACGGCTAACTAGTGTTTCAAGAATAACGGAGTCAAGGAACGCTGCAGGATGCCGGAAAAAAGCAATTCGTGCCTGAATCCGATGAGGTAGTGGCCGAGCTGTGCGGGTATAAAAAGGAAACACGCTGCCTGGTCTTTTTCACGATTGACAGTTCGACTGGTTTGCTTTTGTATTATTGGTTTTGACATTGAAACGTCTGGAGTTGTTCTCTCCGCGGGCAGTTCTGATTGCCTAATATGTGGAGGTGTCTTTGTCGCAGTAGACTTGAATCAAGTCTTGATCGATGCCTTGTGGCTTGGATTAATTCTGGTGAGGTTCTACGGTGCCAGCTGTAGTCTTGTTATGCAGAATTCTGAGGTCGTTGCGTCATCACGCATTTACCTTCGTATTTGGAATTGAGAACAGATCAACCCTTTTTGTAGTCCCACCAGCCGTCCTCTGTCTTTTACACCACAGTCTCGTGGATAGTACGCTATCGAGTGAGCGCCTCTGCTTATAAAGTCAGTACAGTGGCTCGGGCTTCAGTGAACATGCTGAGAAAACGGAGAACGCTATAGGGTCATGGTAGGAACTCATCAGTCACCCCTGAGAGCATATTGATAGCTACGATCCACCGACTCTGCTGAGTTTACAGTCTGAGGTTTGTTAGCTACCGTTTCAAAAAGCGAGCTCGTTGATCAGAAAGTTCAACCACTCGCTCACCTGCAAGTACTCATAAGGTAGCAAGGATCTCCAAATGCAACTTCTCGGCTCTCAACACTGCTCGTCTTAGCTTGCTCTAGGGTATTCAACTCTCAAGGTGATGATTTCGATTCATAGCAATTTCAAGAAGCAGATTATACGGGCGAAATACACAACAAGCGATAATGGGAGCAACTGCCATGATTCCACATTCAGACATATGAGCGTTTTAGTGATGAAAGTGACTAAACAAAAGAAGAATGGCTGTTTTCAGTGGCGTTTTTCTTCTTCTTCCCGATGAACCACAATTTGAATTGTTTGCGAACTTGGACTCATCGGATCATGTCATACAGGCTTCCCGCAACTGCACCGTTCCAATATCCTTTACCTGCATCTGCAGGTATCCGAGCATCCCAAGCCCCAGATGACGTAGATTAATGAACGATGGTTCTCCCAACGCAGGTTTAACCACCTACACAATCTGTCATCTCGTTCATCGCCGAAGCTCGTGACATTGAAAACATCACATGCTGCTGTACTTGCACGATGGTAATGGAATTGTGGCGTTCCTTGCATAGACACGTTTTCACTTGCCGTGCCGCTATGGTGGCGCGCTAGAGCCAACCCTTCGGACAATCGTGGTAGAGTAGTGCGGGGAGGCGAAAGGCGCTAACATGATGCTGCGACGGCTTCGGGGAGTGTACAAACACCATCCGCATACAGTGTGGGTAAGAAGAGGGGTGTGAAAAAAGGCGATTGGTAGGTTACATACTTCTTTAAGTCATAGATATGATATTCACCCGAGGTCTTACACTTGAACGAGCTGGTATGCTTGGGTTACAGACGAGTTACCAGGGATTATTCGCTGTTATCACTGCGAAGTGATCCCGATGGATACGAGAGGCCCTCTAATCGCATCAAGTTCATGCTGATGGATGTGCAGCTACTCGAATCATCGGCGCGTCGGTAGCTTACCGGACCGGCCGGTATCAAGCGCATTTTTCTTCATGTCGTCTTGCATTTTTGAGTGAATCGTGGGCATGCTGCGCCTTGAACCAGATCCAAAAACATGGTCGGCAGTGACCGACATTCTGACTACTGTAGGAAGCTGAGCTGACGCAGGAGACAGCAGTGAAACCAGTGGTATGGAACAGGCAGATGCTTTGGCTTATACATGTGGCTCGATACAGTGTACCGCAGACTCGACACCAATCAGGTACTTTTTTACTTCTGTTTGTAAGTCAAACTACGTGTTAGTTGTCTAGTTGCGGTATAGTCAGTTCATCGATGATTTACCCTCTATAGTTACTGTCTATCGCTGACCACCGATTTAGAAATCTGACTGACATGTTAGCGACCTGGTCTGGAGCTAGGGATTTTGCGTTGGGGTTCCGTGATCCCACGGTACGGCCTTGGCCGAGTTCCAAGATTATGGTACTTATCCTGAAAACGCATCAAGATAGGAGTCGGATGACGGGCTGCTAAGGCGACTATGCTGATAGTAATTGGTCTTTCTCGGATGCTGATGTTGCGTGTCGTATATGTTGACTCTGTGCCCAATTCCTGTTTTTCTCGCATATCCAATCCACAAAGTACTTCCTCTCCAGACCGACCATAGACCTCGATTCATCTATTGGAGAGAGATAGAGAGAAATACCACTTGTCATCGAACTGAAACTACTCGACGCTCGCTTAATTTCTATTATCACTTATTCTTGCCTGTTATTATTCCACCTCGCCTCAATGGCGGATCGCAACTTGGAGCCAGGACTCACGAGAAGCCGAAGCGGTCGGATCACGTACTTTCCAGATGGATTGCCAGACATACCAGATCGTCATCCAGCTCGATCAGAGCGCCAAACGTTTCGTTCAGAACGAACTTTAGTAGCTTTCCAATACGAGCCGGACAGTGATGACACTGCCAGTTTGGACGATGACTGGTCCTCGACAGTGTCGTCGCAAGGCACCAAATACGTCTCGGTGGGCAACAGCACGACATCATTGAGAAAGGAAAGGGCCACGAAGCAGGAAAACTTACAACGTACACTGTCAAAACTTTCACGGGCTTCTCCTTTGCGCTCCGAGGTCGGTGATACGGACGACACAGCCGCCGTCAAGCTGGAAGCTGGTCCTGAACCCAGCGTCCCTGCGAGAGATCCCAATGTCGTTGACTGGTATGGCCCTGAAGACCCTGAAAATCCCATGAACATGCCTCGCTGGCGTAAATGGGTGATCACGTTCACCTTGAGCTTCGTAACCGCTTGCATCACATTCGCCAGTAGTGTCTTCAGTACCGCAACGCTGGTTACAGCAGAAAAGTTCCACACCTCACCCGAAGTCATGACTCTCCCTACTTCTTTATTCGTCATAGGGTTCGCCATTGCCCCGCCTATATGGGGTCCCCTATCAGAGCTGTACGGAAGACGAACTCCGCTCTTCTTAGGCTTTCTCATCTTCGCCATATTCCAGATCCCAGTCGCGGTCGCCCAGAACCTCCCGACCATCATGGTCTGTCGATTCTTCGGTGGCGTATTTGGCTCAGCGCCTCTCGCCATCGTCGGCGGACAACTCGCAGATTTCTGGGGCACCTTGGACCGCGGTGTAGCCATTACGCTGTTCGCAGGAGCGACTTTCATCGGACCTATCGGTGGCCCTATCATCGGCGAGTTCATCGTCCACAGCGACCTAGGCTGGCGATGGACTTCATACATCACAGCCATCATGGGCTTCACGCTATGGTTCATCGCCTTTCTTGTCGTCCCTGAGACCTACGCTCCAGTTCTCCTCGCACGACGCGCCGCAAGAATCCGCTTCGCAACCAAGAACTGGGCTGTCCGCGCTCCGCTCGATGAGCAGCAGTTCGATTGGCGCACCGTGGCTCAAAAATACCTTCTCCGTCCTTTCGCTATGCTCGTCTTCGAGCCCATTCTCGTCCTCGTCACCATTTACATGAGTCTCATCTACGGGATCATGTACCTCTCCTTCACCGCGTACCCCATCGCCTTCCAGGAAGTCCGCGGCTGGAAACCCGGAGTTGGCTCTCTGCCCTTCTTGGGAATCGGCATCGGTGTCCTCACCGGTGGGTTCATCATCGTGTACATGACTAAGACGCGGTATGCACGTCTTCTGGAGCGCGATGGTAAAGTGGTTCCTGAGGAACGGCTGATTCCTATGATGATTGGAGGGTTCTTGTTCCCGTTGGGCATGTTTTGGTTTGCTTGGACTAGCAATCCGAATATCACCTGGGTACCGCAAGTTCTCGCGGGTATCCCCATCGGCGCGGGTATCTTTATGATATTTTTGCAGGGCTTCAATTATATCATTGATGTGTATTTGATGTATGCGAACTCTGCTATTGGGGCGAACACGTTCATTCGAAGCGCGTTTGGGGCTGGCTTTCCGCTCTTTGCTTCGGCTTTGTGAGTCTTCCTACACTTTCCACTTCCTGCGGAACACTGACTGTGAGTTTCTAGATATCATAATTTAGGTGTGGCTTGGGCAAGTTCCTTACTGGGCTTCCTGTGTGTCGGACTGTTTCCCGTGCCGTTTCTGTTCTACATCTTCGGAAAGAAAATCAGGCAAAAGTCTCGCTATTCTCCGGTGAAATAAAGAAGGCAGAAACGGTGTTTTGAGAGAAGATCGGAGAATGGAGGTGTGGTGTATCTTGCGTTCTGTCTTATACCTCTTGCATTGCTTTTGTTACCCCACTAACTTGAAGAGATATCCCAAAATCCGGGGTTCTGTGTACGTATGCGCGACTGTATTCCATGTATGTAATGTCATCCGTCCTTATCATCAGCGTGCAATTTAGTCCTTATCATAAGTACATAATACCAAAAAAAACAGATTAGACAATTTCATCATCAATAACCACCCCATATCCCAAATTACTCCTTGATCTTAGCAACCCACCTCACATTCTTCATATCCTCCACCTTCTCCACCAGAACCCTCTGTCCCTTCATCCCACCCCCAGCCTTCAAAACAGCCACATACACCTCCGCAAACTCACTCGCCTTCACCACACCATGCAGCGCAGCACTTTCGTCGGTCTCAACACGTAACCCGAGATATACCTCATTGAACCGCACATTCGTATTCTTTAGCTCTTGCGTCGCGCAGTTTGCAAGCGAAAACAACGCGCCTTGCGACATAGCGGGAGCGGCGAACTCTCCGATCTCGCCTTGCGAGCCGGTGCACATGGTCCATGTGCTGGTTGGATGGGCTTGTGCGATGAGGTACGGAATCGTAGCGCGGTATGCGACTTCAAGCGGGAGGTGTTAGCATAGGGTAGATTGGAGAAGGAGGGGGAGAGAGGAGGAGTATTTACAGAAGTTGCCTTCGAAGTTTATCGTCATGTGATCGCGGAGCGACTGTGTGGTGACTTCTGTCAAGGGAAGTGGGGAGTATGGTCCTCCAACTGTGTAATATCGAAGTTAGCCATTCCCCTTGTTTTGACGGGTGATTTTTTGGTTTGGAGGGAGTGATGGAAGAGATGCGATGGGATGAGAGTACGAACCACAAGCATAAACATGCTGGAATCCGGGGACCTTCCCATCCTGAATTTTCTCAATGACAGATTTGATGCCAGTCTCAGATACGCAATCAACTTCGACGGTCGTGATTCCTTCTTTTCTGCCACCGAGATTCTTGAATAGCTTTTCCGCGGAGTCGGTGTTGCGCACAGTAGCTAGGACGTTGTATCCGGCGCTAAGAGCGGCGTGTACGGCGGAAGTACCAATGTTGCCTGTGGCTCCGATGACGAAGATGGTTTCTTTAGTGCTCATTGTGACGATGTTGTTATTTCGATTTGTTGGTGGTTGGTTGTAGCTAGCTCGAATTGGTGTCGCTGGTGCTTACTGTTTTGTACATAGTTCGCAACCTCCATCCACCATTGCTTTATACTCATATTCGACCATCACAAACAACTCAAATGGAACAAAATCATACCACTAAGCAGATTCGGTCTACAAGTCGCTCGCGAGGCCGAGTTGTGAAGAATCCCGAGGATGACAAATCTGGGGCCTAGAATGTCACCAAAAGTGTGGGGTTCTCCCAACAACACATCTTGGCCGGTTAACATAATGGCCTATCGAGATTCATGTTTCTGAGATTTGTGATATGTCTACGCGTTGCAACTTGCAGGGATATCATAGACGACGAACAAAGTGGGTTTAGTCTTACTAATTAGTGGGCTTGGTATAGTATGATGTTAGTACAAGATATGCTGTTCCCTTTGTCATCACTGGTGTCTGGTCTCTGGAGATGTGTAATTACATCACATGTGCGTCTGCGTAGTCAGCCCGAGGAAGATGGATGCGCATACATGTTCAGAATTTATCTTCAATTTCATTGTCAACATACTACGTCAAGCTATTGCTCGCGCCTACGATTGTTTCGGATGGTCCGTTGTCATGGTAATGCCATCCCACTCACTCAGTATAGCCTCAGTCTCCTTCATCTTTTCTCGAATACCAGGTGGACAATCGCTCCCCAAAGCAATTCTTACAGGAATCTCTTTGCCTTCCGCAACCCCTGATTTCGTCAGAATATCAACGAGAATCTTAGCACCCTTCACCACATCACCAGGCTGGTTGTTGTCTGTGGCGTCCAAAGCTCCGCGGACCTGTCCTACAGCTGTCTCGTCATATGCAGTGATGCGCTTCTCGCTGATGGCTTTAGTGCCGGCGTTGAGGAAACCTGTACGGAAATAACCGGGTTCGATCACCGTGACGTTGATGCCTAAAGGCTCGAGTTCGCAACGCATGGACTCGCTAATGCCGCTGCATGCCCATTTTACACCGGAGTAGAGAGCGTAACCAGCGCCGCCTCTCCAAGACCCGATGCTGCCGAAGTTGGATAGGGTGCGGTGACCTTTGGTCTCACGCAAGTACGGCAAGACAGCCTTTGAAACATTGAGGAGACCAAAGACATTGGTGTTGAAACAATCGTAATCCTCTTTTGGTCTATTGAAAGTTTCGTAAGCAATGTATTCTCTAGAGATTGCAGCTTTACTATCATGCAGTCGGGGTGTATCGAACTTACGAAGTCTCCTCAACCGCGCCTATGAGGATGTATCCTGCTGCATTGACCAAATGATTGATTGCGCCATATCGCTCCCATACATCTTTAGTAACTGCTTCGATCTTCTCCAACGGCCACGTGACATCCAATGCGACTGTATCTGCGCCCTTCTCTTTCAAATCCGCGATTCGCGATGTGCTGCGCGCTGTTGCAATGACTTTGTGCCCCCGCGCAAGAGCTTCAATGGCCATGTACTTCCCGAATCCCGAAGAAGCGGCTGTGATGAACCAGACTGGTGTTTGTGCCATAGTGGGAGATCAGGTGGGTGAGGTTGAGATCAGATAAATTTGTAGAGAATAGAAGTGGTAATATTTGTCTATTCCGATGATGTTGAGGTTGATGGAGAAACTGATGAGAAGAAAAATGAGCTTTTTGGGAAGAACCAATGTTGTAGATACTTATACCAACCTGCCAGTGATACTTTCCACCTAGCTAGCTGAGGTCGGAGGTCCAGTCCGAAGGATTTCGGGAATGATTTGGTGGCCATTCTAGGAGATAACCGGGCTGAGCACACTCTTACCGCCGAGCATACTATACCATCAACAAGTCTTTAGACATCTCGTAATGATGCTTACATGGGGAAAGACAAGCTGCAATCGAAGATGCAAGACGCTGCATTATGTAAAAGGCCAGAAATGAACAATGCTCCACTTTGTTATTCAAAGGATATGCAATCTCGCTTACGTCGCTTGCGCACAACAAACAAGAAATTCGGGAGGGTTTATGTGAGATGTTACCAAATGAATGAGCTGGCAGCCATTTGTCTTTACACGTAAATCGAAGACATTCGCAGAGTGAAGCCAGGCGATGCTGCTGGAACAAACCAACAATGACGACATGCTGGCCTAGCTCCGAGGCTAACCCCACATCCTCCTAACGTTATCTCCAGCTCCCCGTACTCCCTCCCCTCGTATTGGTTACAAACTTCATCGTGTTCCAGCCCTACTTGACTATATCTGCTGTGGTAAGGAACGATGCACTCAGCTGCCCAATGCCAAGCAGGCATCCTTATTAACAAATATGCATCTCGACTTTTCAGCTATACACCGATCCAGGCGTTGCACGCCCTTTGATCTTGGCTACGCTTGAATGGCTGGGTAATGAGAGGCTCAGGATATGACTGAGCATAACGAGATTCTTAGATGATCATGATGCTGTGCATATATCGTATTCATTGATGAAAACGGTGAATACTGAAAGAGACGAACAATGTTTCTCAAAACGTGCCACCTAGTGGTGAAATGTGTGTTGGGATATATATGGTGGTTTTGGAACCAGACATTCCACGTGCAAGCGGCAAACAACTGGACTGAATGAAAGGGTAGAATCAGAAGATGAAACTGATCGGGATCTTGAGACAAGTTGATCGGAATCGTTTCAAGACAGGAACATATTCCATGTGGGCGTGTCCGTTTTCGAGTCCTCAGCTCCAGCCGCTTCATTCGTTGCGACTAAGTTTTTATGTCGGATTTTGGATAATGATCTCGAAAGACCGGACAAAAACTTCCGATCTTTCGGTTTTCCAGATGTACTAGTGCCACCGAGGTTTTTCCTCCCTTCTGCGAATGCTTTGGCTTGCGATTTTCGCTTTTGTTCCATATCTTCATTGTCTCTCTGTTCATTCTTTTTGATCATCTGGATCAGCTCTCGCATGACATCCCCCAGCCTCTTTTGGCTGTGAGTATCGATTTCGAAATGTTTCATCCCATGCATATCCGCCCATTCTGCAGCCAAACTCTTCGGAACCTGTCGGTTTTGTTCTTGTCCATCTATTACTTTATCCAGCTTGTTCCCAACAAGAAGACCTCCGAATCGTCGAAACGTTCCCAGAAATACTTGATTGGCCTGGGAGTTTGGATCCGGTACTCTCTCTGAATGTAGTAAAACCTCTTGTCGAAAAGTGAGAATGGTCTCATAGTCGGCTTTAGTCACAGACTCGTAGCTTTTTTCATCGGTGATGTCGTAAAGAAGAATGACTCCCCGCGCTCGGGCCAGTAACGAGCTCCAGTATGAGTCCCTGACGCCTGTATGGCTCTCTTGCGATGGTGTCAACACTAAATCGTGTGCTTGGATGTACCATGTTTCTTCTTCAATCTGTATAGCTTTTGAAAATTGGTTCTGTGTATCATCAATTTCCCACTCATTATTCATGGGAAATCGTTCATTGCGGCAGAACTTTGTTTGCAGTCAGTAAAATGAGCAATTTAATCAGTATAGCAGTGAATATGGTCAGTACATACCATGCCAACAAAACACGACTTTCCGACATCCTGAGCCCCGACGACGACAACCTCTGCAATCTGCGGAAAGGGCCTGGAGACAGCCATTCGAAGTGCTGTTTCTGCTTCTGTAATATTCGCGGTCTTGCTGTGTTTCTCTTGCTGTGTTGACAAACAGCGATAGATGTTGCCTGAGATGTGGCACGCGCAAGATGGTGATCGGGTCACGTGACCGTTTATGAATTTTCACTCCCGCTTTACACTGGCATGGCCAAATTAATCCTTCGATAAGGCATGCCCATTGATATCCTGGCGCACGACGAATTTCGCAATGAATTCCCTTTCGAAGATACATGGTACCTTGACGCCTTACACATTTGAATGTATGAGCCACCTCAGCCACCGGACGCTAGATCGCACGCTAGAGGTCGGACGGAACTGACGGAACTACCACACTGCACCCCCCGTTCACAAGATACCAAGTTTGCGCAGAAGGAAAGCATTGCATTTGCAATTTTTTGTTTGCCTTTTCTTCAGATGAGCAGCATCTCCTTCCTGCCCGGGGGAGCAGTGGCTTCCCTAAAGCTTGGCCGTTGCTGAAACGGATAGGATTGCCGGCTGGCCACCTGGATGAAGGGTACGCGGCAGGCACTACTTCTAGTACTCGTACCTGGTTCCTGATCATCCAAGTCCTTAAACTCCTGCTTCCACCCCGTTAACCTGTCCTTCGAATTCTCACGCCCAGCTTGTATCCTGATTTATAGCTGTTGCGCACTAGTTGTGGTCGAAACCCTGTAATTCGGCTGCGCACACCCTTACCCTCGCAATCCAATGTCTCCTAAAGACAAGCCCGACGATTCCGAGCTCGTCCACCTCGTCTCCTCCTATCCCAACGACTTCGATGATTCCGACGAAGACGAGGCCTTCTACGCTCCCGATGAAGGCGATTTCCTGTTCAGTGCGAAGTGGCGCGCTCGCATCAGAAACGTAGCCCAACGTATTCCGAGGCGGGTACAACGCTTTTCCGCCGTGGGCGTTCTCGTCTTGTTCTTTGTTTGGCTCACGTTATTACGTCCCTATTTCTCCGATATGAGCAAGGAATACAGGGAAATGGAGGCTGATCCGCGTGATCGCTTCGGGCTGAACAAGAGGCCTGAATTCGACGATATAGTGCAGGTCAAGCAGTTGGACACAAAGTACTTGCCCAAAGGCGATGCGAAACTGTTCGTGGTGGGTGATGTACACGGATGCAAGAAGGAGCTGTTGGAGTTGTTGGAGAAGGGTGGATACAAAGAACAACGAGACCATCTAATTTTGACGGGAGATATTGTCTCAAAAGGTCCGTCCTCTCCATCCGCTTACTCGCAAGATGCGCCACACAATTGCTTCACAAGCTAACGTCTGTCTCTAGGTCCTGATTCCCCGGGCGTTGTCGCTCTCGCCTCCGGCCTCCATGCATCTTGTGTACGAGGCAACCACGAAGACAGAGTCCTCCTATCCATCGCCGCAGCGAGCGCCACGCCAGCCCCATCCTTCAGCGATGCCAAAACCCGAAAACTCGCCAAATCCCTCACACCCTCCCAGATATCATATCTTCAAACCTGCCCCGTGATTCTCGATGTCGGCTTCATCGGCAGCCTGGAACACGTCGCCGTAGTCCATGCTGGGCTGGTCCCAGACATCTCCCTCGCCGCACAAGATCCATACCAAGTCATGAATATGCGCACCATGAACATGCGAACTCGCGTACCATCCGAGAGGCATGAGGGAACGCCTTGGACAAAGTTCTGGAACCATTACCAGACCAAGAAGAAGGGCGAGGGCGAGAGGTGGAGTGTGATCTACGGGCACGATAAGAAGAGGGGTTTCACCGTCAAAGAATGGAGTTATGGATTGGATTCAGGGTGTGTGGATGGCGGTAAGCTGACGGCTATGGTCATCAACGAGACTGGTGAGCATGAATTCGTCCACGTCAAGTGCCCCAACGAGGGGTATATAGATTAGGCCGGACACATGCGGGAACTTCATCTACTCGATGAGGTCTGCACTTCCATGTTTTGCAGGATTTTGCGTTCCATGTATTATGAGAAGACTGCATTGTACAGGCGTTTTTGAGGGTTGCATCTTTGAACATTGGGCAAAACTTTGGCGGGGAAACGGGGACAACAAGCCCTTAAGTCCGCAAATCAGGGGATGTCTTTTCTCTCTGTTCGAGGAGCGGGATGATCTACTGTGCACAGTACGGTCAACCTCCGTTTATACGTTGTTAATATGTTTTGTAGCATTACGTACACATTTACTTGCACTGAAGGACTCACGTATAGTGGCTTGGTTTGTTTATCCAAGATATCCAAAAATCGAGAAATACAATCGTATATTATTTGATGCTTTATGGTTTGCGGACGATTGTACTCTAAATTTTTATTTTTTGAGATGTTTACTGAACAACACAACAAACCCATAGAACCCCCTTGTTGAAATTACAGATCAGATACCGTACCTATTCTAGCAACACAAAAGAATACGATGAAATCTACTCAAAACCTCTTGCAGAACCTGGAACCTCCTTTCAACTACCGGCCCCGACGACTACTTCCGCGTTTCCTGAATCCGAACCGCGGTGGAGAAACATGAGAACCCCTGTTCACCTGCATTGAACCATCACCCCCCATCATATAAGTACCAAAATTTTTACCCCCAAGCTGGTAGCGTGTCCGAGGAAGGCGCTGAGCTAGGCCCCTCGGTGGTGGAGGTACAAGGGAAGTATGTGGTCTCTTGTCGCCTCCAATCCGAAAGTAGCTTTCGTTGACGGTTTTCTCACTATGGATCCATTTCATTCTTTCCCTGGCGTCCAAGTTCTCTATGTTGACCCCTCGCAGTGTCCCATTCTTGTCCTGCCATCGGTCGAGCATTATGTTGGACACTCCCAGAAGACGCATGAGGCGCGGCCTTTTTGTCTTATCTGGATTTAAACATTCCTTGAGGAGATTGACGAGCTGTGAACTGTACATTGCGCCTCTATAAGGATAGTCGTTGAACAAGGCTTCGTGGTCTATCTCATGCAATGGGTATTCTCCAGGGGTGCCCTCTTCCGGGCTGTAGAACATCATGTTGAAGGCTACGAAACCAATGTTTGAAACTGAGGAGGCGAGGCTGACCGTTCCTCTCGACTTTTGCTCCTGATGATGAGCGTATTTTATCAGCACATATTCTCGCTTCTTTTGTTTTGGGCAAAATATGCTACATGACACCTGCTGACGATGACGAGAGGAAGAGTATTAAAACTTACATGTGGTATCCACCCTGGAGTCCCAGTACTGTTTAGTTCCTTAATATCTGGGCGTTCACAGAGTCCAAAATCTATCATTTTGACCGTTTTGAATGCCGGGTATCTTGCGTTCGACTCTCCCAAACATACATTCAATGTCTTGATATCGAGATTGAGGAGTGATTCCCAATCCTCTCTCGTGTATTTACGAATATCATCATTCGAAATCCATGGGTTGCGCCTGTCATTGAGAAGAGGGAGCGGTTCATGCGTACGAATAGCTGGTTCATTTTCCGCGATGGTCTCACCGGTCCAGAGAAGATAGACTGCCTCGGCCATGGCACGGATAGCCATCCAGACGAATGGTTCCGGGACTTGACTATCTCTGGTACAAGACCTTCATCAGTATTTCCAATCCTCTCATCATTACCAGGGGAAGTAGAGGTTTTGACTCGCTTACATGGGTTGCTTGTTCTTCATCAGATGATATAAGTCCCCATGGGGACAATACTCCAGGTATCCGTACGCATATTGTTGTTGGGTAGGGTCTTTATTGGGCCGTATTGCAAAGCTGTAGCATTGTACTATGCACTCTGGGGGTACATCGTTGATCATGCTTAAACGCCTCTGCAACCCGAACTCCTCATCGGCAAGTTCTTCTATTTCATCCGCGCTCCCACCGACAATCTTCACCACCAATTGCTGTTTTTGTCATCAGTCAGTGATTTTAAGACAAATTTTCAAAGCTAAGATCAATATAGAGATCCCGGAAAGGATTCGATTTATCAGATTTGTTACAATCTGTGAGGAAGAAAGTATTCAAGAGTCAAGACCCGATGGTGACATACCTCAACGATACTACCCGCTTGACTTATACAGTTGAATAAGGTCAGATAGCGAGGCGCAGTTTCACTGCGATTTTCGTATAGAGCATCTTTGAACTCCCACCTTCCCCGTGACAACCGGTCTGTTTTTTTAAGGTAGTGATAAATTTGGTCAATATCGCCAGTCTTCAGTCGCGTGGACGGCGGGATTACCAGACCCGGATATTCATCCGGGTGATACTCCTCATCCGTGTCATCACTCTGCTCTGAGGAATTACGCACCGAGGAGTGATTGGATTCGCTTTCTCTCATCTGTTCGTTGAACCTTTTTCGGAAGGTTTGTGCAATCTGCACCAAATGATTGATACCGAAAAAGTCTTCCGCTGGGATTTCATCTTCATTTTTCGGGATTTGTTGGCCTTGGTTTGTGGCAGTTGCTGGTTCTCGCCCGATTCGATCTTCCCAGTGCTGGATAATATTCTCTAGAATCCAGTCGTGGGTCAGCAGACTGTTCTCGCTGCACCAACCCCAACCGGGAGGATGTCCGCTCTTCATTCGTTCTGGAAGAGTAAAGCTTACCGGGCTTCCACATCTGGTGCACAATCCAATAACCTGTAATGAAGTCTTCGACTCGTTTGTCCCCAGAATTACCCTCATTCCAGTCACGTACAAACTTCGTGAGCTTAGCGTCGTAGTTTCCCCGAGTAAAATTAGCCTGTGCGAGTCTCGGGTCCGGCTCATAGATATCATCAATCATATCAGAAAGTAAAGTTGGATCATCGCGCAATAATTCCCAGGTGTCTATGGTCTCTTCCTCTTCTGCTCAAATTATCATTGTCAGTCGATTTCTTGCATCTGACTGTCGACAAGTATCAAAACTTCAACGGAGATCACATGGAACATTAAACAGAAAACAAACTTACTGAAAAACCTTTTTTCGCCCTCACCTAACATTTTAGCCTTGATCGCAAAGCAAGCCTGCTCAAAATCTTTTCTCTCGTGCCGTCGCAAAGTTTGCCAATACCTCTCCTCAGTGTTGTTGAGATCATAATGAACTTTCAACGAATGCCATCTCTTGCGAGGGTCTGTTCCCCTGTACAACATATTCCTAGAGACGATTCGGATAGGCAGTACTCTCAGTTGCGCTGTTTTCCTTGTCTTTCTTCCAGTCGTGGTCTGGGGGAATGTTTGGTGGATTTCAATTGCTGTGTAGATCCATCAAAGACAAAGAGGGCGGCAGAAATGAGATTGTCTTTGTCTACAATGCATACTCCGAGGCCGGAATTCTTTGTTATTCTGTCCGTTTCCGGCAAAGTGAGTAAACAAATTTGAGCAACTCGATGTCGCGTTCAAGCACGGGGCAAACTATAGCATTGGGAAAAGCAGGGGCTTTCCAATCTTCGGGAACTCCGTTTCTCGTCAGCCGCTGAGCAATAAGATGCAGACGCTAACATCACCAATAGTGAATATATGTTTTTTATGGTAGATGAAACTCATTAGAGAATGCAATTCTAGACGCGTATTCTACTTGAAGCTGCATAAGACATATGGAAGAGTTTCTATCTGCGGCGGGCCTCGTTATAATTCGGCCTGTTAACTCGAACGCCCTGTCGAAGACCAGCCCGACGAGGATGTGCCTGAGGCGCAGTCGTGACATTAGGCTGAGCGATTGGTGCAGCAGGCGCAGCAGGTGGAGGAGGAGCCGCAGGAGCCGCAGGAGCAGCAGGTACACTAGAAGTCTCGTCATGTGTATCAGAAACTTCGATATCATTCTGATCATCTGCCCGAGAGCCTTCTGTTTCGAAATCATTATCCATCGGGTGGTGAACAGGATCAGACGGCCAGTCAATTATCTCAGAATCCGCACGATCAGACTCATGTACTTGAGTGGCTGACCCAGCTGACTTTCTCCTTGGTCTGCCCATATCATGGCCGTCATGTGGACTTTCATCGCCGTGGCCATCGTTCTCGGAGTCATCTCTGCGTCTTTTGTTCCCTAGTGGCCCTTCTTCGGGTCGTCGAAGAACTTTCTCAGTGTACTCTTTGTCCCATCCTGGGGGCAGGTATTTAACGACAAGCGGACGTACTTCTTCGTACGATTGATTGCGTATCGGTGCCGTCATTCTTTCCCACATTTGGAAGCCTTCGCGTGTGGCTATCAATATTTCCTCCAGTGACGGTCTCTCGCCGTACGCAAGCCTGACACATCGATTCGCTAGATTGCAAAGCTGTGGCGTGTAATAGTTTGTATCGGCTTCGTACGTGATAGAATCTTGTGCTTTAGTTCCTTCGAGGTTTATACCATCATACTTGAATTTATCGTATTCATATTCCTTCGTACTTGAGGACATGAGGTTGACTATGATGATGCCTAGGGAGAAGATCTCGGTATGAACGTCTAGTTTCTCTGGATCATCACCTTTCAGTTCCTATTGGAAGTCAGTAAAACGTTAGGTGACTCTTATTCGGTAATTTGGATGCTTGGGATGTAGATGGAGGTCAATGTACATACCGGAGGCATGTAGCCCTCAGTGCCATTCTTCAAGGCGTTCTCCTTGTCCTTAAGTTCGAATATAAAACCAAAATCTATGACTTTTGCAGCGGGGAAAGCCATGAAATCGTCTCTCGGCATCCCCAAACAAACATTTTCCGGCTTCAGGTCAGTGTATATATACCCTGGCCATTTATCTTCCGTGTTTTCAGTGATGAAAGCAGTGTTCTTATCCCCTGCGATCTGTGTGTCTGATCCCTCGGGACTCCTGACGGGTGCTTCGTAAGTTATGACCTTTCCAGTGTACCATAGATAGATAGCCTCGGCGATTTCTCGAAACAGAAGCCAGATTAGACCCTCTGGGATCTGTTCATCTGCATTTCGGTATTCTTTGATCAAGTCTTTGAGGTCACCTCCGGTCAGGTACTCGATATAGCCAATATTCAGCCAGACTTCGCCTGGATCTTCTGGTGAATATCCATGTTCTGAATTTGAATCTCCTTCCCTTGTTTGGGGTATTTGTGCGCTTCTATATCCGTAACAAGCCGCAATATGGGGACTTTTCATTGCGGTAAGCTTTCTTTGCACTATGAATTCCTGAATAAATTTACGGGATCTATCACGTGCTTTTCGCAAACCACGTGGACCCTTTTTATCGTCTTCATGCCTCTCGACCTTGACTATCATTTGCTGTTGCGACAGTCAGTTGATGCTTCAGAAATGTTTCACTTGGACTACCACCTACTTTCTGAACGTTTCCGTTCGCATCCAATTGCCGATAAACCACTGGAAGCCTTCCTGCCTCAGCTTGCACGCCACCGACCAATTTGGCGTGTTCAAATTCCCATCGTGGCCCGAGTCCGTGTTTCTCTAGCTCATCTGCCAAGAACTTTTTGAATGGTTTGCTCTTCTCTTCGTCTAGCAGGTGCCAATGCGGGTCATGTTCATACCCTTGGCCCGGATCACTGATGATGAGACTCGTGTCAGTGACGTCGCTCAATGGCTCACCTTGTGATTCGTTCGATGCCATATTCTGCAACTAAATCCGATCCAATCTGCGTTCAAAGATGGGATAGTACACGAAGGATTAACAAGACTGATGAAGGTGGGATGCCGAATGCGACAGAGAGTATGTCACTTAAGAAGTACGGAACTTCGAGTTATAAGTCTTTATCTATCGAGCCATTCTTTATTCACCGCATAGAAGTTGCTCATCGAGTTCGCAATCGGATTAGTGTTCTTTTACATTGTCAAAGGGTCTTCGCGGGTCAAAGTCTAGAATGTGTGGTGAAGAACAAAGACGACATGAGATTTTGCATCCGAGTGATTCGAATGTCTTTCTTTATTCACTACTTTCAACTTTTTTTTTACCTCCGTTCAGAGTGGACAACAAAGACGGCAGCGAAAAGACGAGAAACGAGAAACGGAAAAGAAGGATATCTGCCATCACTGCATGCCATTTGAACATCCCTATGGAACCCCACTCATGAACAATGCCTATCAAAAGCAAGTTCTCATTTGTCTGTTTCCAGCTATTCTAAGAATGATGAGAATCTAGGGGAGGTTTTAGTAGAATCTAGCCTGATACTACACTCACTTCATACCTGCTCAATTGTAGCCATCATATAGACACCGAATATGTTATAACCAGGCGTATACATCAATCACAACTTGGCACCCAGCAGCTCGAACAGATGCATTCAGAACATCCCTTCCACGAAGGGAATTGGGAACAAAGTAGAAAAGTTTGTGTCGAATTTTTGTTTATCGCCTGTTATCGTGGTTTATTTATCGTTGTAACCCTTCGCTGTGTGTAGGATCACCTAAACTCCAACTCCAACTCAAAATCAAAATCAGTAGAAAAGTCTACAGTCCTCTTATCCCCGTCCGATTGGTTCAGTATTTCAACATATAGTTCATATAGAGATAGTCACACACACGCACACACACACATCAAGGTGGAGCAGGGGATATATATTCTTGCAGACGTCCAAAGAATCGCCCCCCATGTTAACCCCGAACACCACCATTCATCAACCTACATCCTCCTCTTCAACAGGGGGAATAAAAAAAAAGACTAAAAAGCAAGACTTAGTGCTATTGCACATGGCCATCTCACTACCTTCCAACATTTAAACGTTTATACCTCTCACATGACCCGAGAATATCCCGCACGAGCATACACACATCCGGCGGGGTGTCCAGCAAGCCCAAAACAACCCCCACTCCTATTCCCCCCCCGCAGGATCCTGGGGGGGTGAGCCTCACCCATCTCGTACGAGCACACATATACTCCTCCGCTCACTCACCTACTCACTCACTTACGCACGCACAACTAGGCAGCCAACTCCACCTATCCCATCCATGGACACCTTCATACCGGCGCTAAGCCCCCTTCAGCTGCACACTAAACCCAGTCAGGGGGACACTAAACCCAGTCCGGATCAGCGCTAAGCCGGACTTGGGCAGAAGAGTGTAGAGCATGCGGAGGTGTGATTGGCTGCAGGGCTATACGAACCCCGGCAGAACAGGAGGGTCCAGGACAGGATGCAGTACAGGTAGTACCACACGCGTGCGCAAGCTCTCTGGGGAGAGAAAGAGGCAGATGGAAGAGGAGGGACGTGTGTATAAAAGGGAGGTGGACGCCCACGGGAATGGAAGATGCTGCAACAACCTTGGATTTCGTTGCGACTTTCTCTTCTCACCAGGACACTTGCTGCGAGTCTTGAGCGCTGTCTGGAGCTGTTCTATTCATTCCATCTCGAACCTCCTCTCTAAGAATAAAAAAAGCCGCTACACCGCATCTAGCTGTCGCGCGAACCCCCCGGCGTGCTCGCCAACATGCCCCAAAGCAGCACGCTCCAAACCCCAAGCAGAGAAGCTCCATCGGCTTCCGCGCCCCAGCCTCACCACCGCCGCCGCTCGTCCCCAACAACATCTTCCTGCACAATGTAAGCTCTACCCTCCTCTCCCTCCTCCAAAAAGCACAAAGCATCGTGAAAATAACGCGCGCTCGTTCAATGGATTAAAGGGCGGGCGACTCCAGCGACGCAGGGACCCCCCCCTCGCGAAAAAAGAAGAAGAAGAAGAAGGGTCCCGCGGCGACAGAGAAGCGCGATGACCGGGGAGGGGGTCATAGTCGTGTTGATAGTGGGACTGCGCAGCCGGGATTGAACGGCGAGGATGGGGTTGAGGGTGCCGAGACATTGAGTGCAGTAGCGCTGGCGAGACTGGGGAAAGATGAGGATGCGCTGTTGGAGTTTTGGAAGGTCGAGGGAGAACGGAGGGTGGATAGGTTAGTTAGGGCGTCACGGGAGTTGGGATTTGAACTCCCTAGACAATGTTACTGAGCCATCTTCATTCGTCTTCAATGTGGTGTTGTGTCGTCATGTAAATTGATGTGAAGTGAAGAACGTGAGGCATGTTTGACGAGTGATGATAAGGAAAAAGTTGTTCTGCTGGTCATTGCGAGTCGGGTTCTAAGGTATCTGGTTGCGAATCGCCCTAACAATCGCCCTCAATCCATGTAACCTTTCATCCTTGGTCTGCCCAAGATACAAAGCCGCGACGGGCCAAGCGTGAATTCCGCCTTTCTCCTCGTAGAAATCGACATTCGTGCCCGCTTTTTCAAGAAGCGCAATGAGTGAGCGCGTTTCAGGGGCAAGCACTTCTTCGGAGCCGAAGAGAAAGTACCAGCCTCGCTGCGGACTCGCATCGCTCCATTTCTTCAGATCTTTGCAGTTCCCCGGTGACACCAATGGGTCATCCGCGGGGATCTTGGGGCCAATGTATTGACGGCCGTAAAGTTCGAGGGTAGATGCGTTGAGGAAGTCGCTTGGTGTGTCGCGGTTATTCCTCGAGACTATGGTTACCCATGGGGATATCATCACGGCTAGACCGGGCCCTTGATGGCGGAGTTCTGGGTGGTCGGCAATATACAGGAGGAAGGTTAGAATGAGGGTTGCGCCCGCAGAGTCTCCAGCTACGCAGATTCTGGATGAGCTCCGAGCTATGGATAGGACGTATTCGTAGCCTGCTAGAGTCTCTTGTAACTGGGTAGGGTAGACTGCGTCGGGCACGAGCGTGTACTCGAGCGCAAAGAGCGCGGGGTTGCGGTATCCAACGGTTTTGAGCAACGTGACCCATGCCAAGAGAAATTCCATGTAGAAGTAGTTTGATCCCATGGAGAAGCCACCGCCGTGGCAATAGTAGACAATGATGTCGGGCTGTTCCTGCTGATTGTGGACAATCCATATGCCGTGCAGGCCAGGTCTCTTGATCTCAGTCCAGCGTAGCGGGGCTGTTACGATGCCGTGGCGTAGCATGCGGAATCGCAAAAAAGGGAGGGAGACGCCTTTGGAGAAGAAGACGCGGCCCAGCCAAGCGGGCATGAAGGCAAAAGCATATCGTACACATCGAATGACAAAGTCTTGGAATGGCGTGGCGCGTTGAACAAATGGGCTTCTATATTGATGCGGAGTCCAGTATCGTTCTTTGACGAATTGGTATGGGATAACGAGAACTTGAAGGACTGTGAATTGTGAACACTTGGGCATGGAAGGCTGGATCATCACTCACGTATAGAGGGCAATGCCCCAACCAGCCATGTTGCCGTTCGAATGAGACCGACTTGGAAAAGTAGTTGAGGGGTGAGGAAGACCAAGAAAGCTATGCAGTCCAGGTAGGAGATTTGGCCGAGTATCATGTTTGGAGAGCCAAAGAAGAAAAGGAAAATCTCAACGTATCAGAAACACAGAACTTGAAAGTACGAATTGAGCCGAAGGAACACGCGAAAGTCGAAGATATGTACAGTAAGAATGGCTCTATCACGTTCATGGGCGTGGTGTGAGCTATGACGACGACACTTTGGTCAAGGTTGGCGTTCACCACGGAATACGGCCCATGGGAATGGTATAGGAACCCGCTAGGCTCGTAGCAGTTTAGAGGTATTTTTGTATTGTTTCGAATTCGGTCCACGGTAACAAATTCCCTTCACTGTGGGAGAGAAAAAGTTGAAGCCGGCAAATACAGTATACGTCAACTGTCCGCCGTCACTGCCAATTGACGCTGTGAAGGCAGCCCGCGGAAGTGAGCGACGGCACGTGACCCGAAAACGCGTTTGTTGCCCGGTTGTGGCCCGTGCGTTGCGGAACCTGGAAGTTTTCTGTTTTTGAGCTACCTTGCTCCACTGCACCACGACCTCCCTCACAATCCGTATACGCACAAACGAAGGCAACGCAGCATTCCCACCACCCTCCTGGTCCTCCTCATTGGTTGCCGCGCTTGTGCAGCGCCGTCTTCTGCCTGTCAAGCGCGCTCTCCAACGACTATATTACCCTTCGAACTTCTACGTCACTCCTTCCATCACCACTTCGCTGTCAGCGCATGGTCACTTTTGCGATTGTCTTGGTGCTTTCTGCACTATAGCACACATACTACACCGTCTTTCCCCGCTCACAGAATCTCCTTCTTTTCCATCTCTCCCTTACTTCTTCAACTATGGCGTCCTCAGATACCAAGAGCGCGCCACTGGCCGACGAGCTGCGGGAATATGCCGAGTATGTGCCAGCTCGCTGTTTAGCCTCTCAACATTTCAGCTAACACTTTCCAGATCTCTCGACCCCTCTGTCTACCCCAAGGGTAACAACTTCAAATGCAACAAGTGCTCAAACTTGCTCATAGACGGGTGGAAACTGGACTGTTGCAACAGGCTCATCTGCGGCCCATGTCAGTCATCTCCCATTCATGCTAGGCAGCTGTTTGTACATTTTCTGACCTTTGCTAGGCCACGACGAACTGGAATTCCCAACAACTTGCCCGGTCTGCGACCACTCGCCGCTTGAAGAAACAGCCTGCGTCATCCACAAAGCAACGCGTTCGACCATTCGAGTGTGGCTCTCAAAGCTGAAGGCCAAAGAGGCAAGAAAGGCCGCTGAAGAAGCAGCAGCAGCAGCAGCAGCGACGCCCACATCGGAAGCTGCGCCGGGACCGTCCGAGCAATCTTTGGATCAGTTGGATAAACAAACGCCTGACCACACTGCTGTTGGCGATGGAAACAAGGTGGTTGAGAGCATTGAGGAAGCGCAGGCGACTGATTCTGCGTCAACCGCCATGTCCACTTCCGTGGTTGCTGAGAGTGAAAAGTCTCAGCAGCAACCACCTGTCGCTCCAGTCGGAGAGGTGAGTGACGTGACGTGATGTGACGTAAATCCTCATGTGATTTCATGCTAATGCAGCGCAGGAATCCAATGCTCCTGGGATAGACTCTCAACCTGAAGGTCAGAGCGGTGAGCCTACTGCTTCTGACGCAGACGTGAATGGCGACAGCGCCCAAGATATGCCTGATCAGGGTGACGCTGCTCTCAACAATCAGATGATGGATCAAAACGGCATGGCTGGTCAGTTTGGCAATTTTGGCTTTGGACAGAACGCCGCCGGATTCAACAACAACGGGATGGGCTTCAATGGAATGAACCCCATGAACCCCATGTCCAACATGATGGGCAATGGCGCCTGGAATATGAACACTATGGGTACGTCCCTCCCCCCCAAACCCCCCCCCCCCCCCCCAGGGTATCCCATTCTCTACCAAGGGCTTGCGGTCTCTTCACCCCATTCCAACTCAACAAGCCGCTAACGGCCAACCAGGCTTTGGCATGAACGGCATGAATGGCATGAACGGTATGCCCGGCATGTACAACGGCTTTGGTGGGAACATGGGTATGGGAATGAATGACATGTCCTCCATGAACTACGGAGGTGGCTATGGAAATGGCTGGAATGGCATGGGCGGTGCAGGCTATGGCGGCGGGTACAACTCTATGGCTGGTGGATATAATCAATCTGGAACATATCCCGGCATGATGAACCACTTCGCGAAGAATAATTTCTCCCATCAAAACCGCTTCCCAGCCAATGGAGCTTTTTCCCAGCAGCGCAACTCCAGAAACGGAAGTTTCGGGGGTTATGGCGCAGGTCACAACCAGAAGTTCAAGAACAACAGTCGGCCTGGCAGTCGAAATGGCCCCAGCCAAAACGTACGTCGATTCCAGGACCGCGTGCCTGATTTATCAGAGCAGCGTCCTATATATACCAAGTCACCCCTCCCCTCGCCAAATACTGACCGGTGTAATTCTCTACAGCGCGACGGTGAATCACCTGCTGCATCTGCACATGCTGGTGCAGGTGCCGAAGCAAAGACCCACGACGCTGGCGTTAAGACGTCCGCAGAGACACAAGACGAAGGTAATGGTGAAACTAATAGTAATAAAGAGGCTGCCAACCTCGAGAGTGTTCCGGATGCTGGTGACGGGTCCGATGTTGCCCCGCGACATGCTGAGAACTTGACTGAGACAGCAGAACAAGAATCAAATGAAACGACTGCTTTGAAGCACATTGAAACAGTCGATACTTTTCAAGATGACGGCTCCGATTTCGATGCCTCAAACAATTACGGCATGCAAGGTGGTATGGTAAATTTCGCGCATGGTATGGGAAATCAGGGTTACCAGCCCAATAACTTTGGCTATCGAGGTGGAAACAGTGCTGCATATGGCGATTCAACTGTTCTAACTGGCGAGCCACGAGGCTTGGGTGTAGCAGGTGCTCCTACTGGTCCTCGAGCTATGCGTGAGGGTAATAACTTTGCCCGCTCCAACAACTCGCGCTTCAACCCGCCACCTGCCCGATCTACTCCATCGCACAGCGTCGCACCCGGCAGTCCCCAGCCAAGAGCTAGGTCGTAAGTCGTTTGATATCATACATCGAGAAGACTTTAACTGACTGTATCATAGGAGATCTCTTGGACGAGATGATACTCTGCGTTCCAAGGACCGGTCGCCTTCGCGTTCTAGATCTCCAGTAAAAGACCAATGGCGACGCGACCAAGCCGATTCAAAGTACCCAGAAGACCGCGAACGAACGCCGGCGGATAACGATGTCGATCAAGACCGCCACCGTCGACATCATCGCGCATCCAAGTATGACGACCGAGATACGTATGACAGAGAGTCAAGGGGAAATCGCACGAGGAGCGCGTCGGTTGACTCCAAATACCGGAGCAGCCGCCGTGATAAGGACAAATATCGGTCCTCACGCTCTCATCGAGACCGCAGCCGGGAGCATCGACGTCGTCATCGAACACGCTCACCTATCGCTGAAGACAGATACAGCGATAAGGATTTCGCGGAGGATTCGAGCTCCAGGCGCAAGAACCGAAACGACAAGGACAGACACCGGGATCGTTCTCGCGACCGCGATGGCTCGCGTGATAGAGACCGTGAGCGCGAGAAGCGACACCGCAAAGACCGTGATTACGATGATGATAAGTATCGCTCGAGGGACAAGGACCGTGATCGTAGACGCCGCCGAGACCGCGATGCCGAAGAGGATGAGCGTGATTATGACGACAAGTATCGCTCCTCCCGACGAAGCCGCAAAGACCGAGACGAGCGAGACCGGGATCGTGGCCGTGACTATGACTACGAAAAGGAAACCAGGTCTGGTACTTCAACTCGCGGCGTTTCACCGCCATCCAATGCACCTACTGGCCCTTCTGCCGATAACTTCTCCTTCCGAGGTGCAAGTAGGTCCAAGGCCTCAGCAGCAATGCCACCTCCCACGGGACCACGTGCAGATCGAGACAGGAACTCGCGCAAAACTAGCATCGATACCATGTCCACGCCCGTCACTCCCACAGTACAAGATCACTACGCCGCCGAGCGCGAGCGCAACGCCCGTGAACGCGTCGGTCTAGAACGACCCAACAGCCGCGACAACAAGCACTCGAGCAACAGCAACAGCCGCTCCCTACACTCCCGAACCACCTCTTCTTCTACCCCCCGCTCACCCGCTGTCTCATCCAAACGTCCCCGCGTTGACGATGACGAGGATTTCCCTAATTTGAAGAAGAAAGCTGCTGCTGTGGCACCACTCCCCCCTACCGCACCGGCTTCGCACCACCGCGACAAACGTAGTAAGAGTGGTGGCGAGGGCACGGGTAATGGAGGCGAGCTCGCGAATCTCTTCACAAAAGGTCTCAGGAAGAAGGCTGGTGCGCCTGTTAGGCGTGGTAGTGTCAAGATTGATGGCGCCGAGGAGCGTGAGCGGGATCGGGACCGCAGACGTTGATTGATTGATTGAACCCACCACTCTTTGGTGTATGTGTGTGTTTTCTGGATTCTGTTTGGAAGGCGAACTTTGGTGAAGGAGGACTTGCCTCCGATCCCCCTTCTCTTGCGTGTTCCCTGCTTTTTTGGGGGGTTCACTTCCCTCGAAGTGGAGGCTTGGTATGCCCCCCTGCTTCGGTTTTGGCCAACTCATTCTTTCCTTCGGGGAGTTTCCTCCGTCTTTGGAATTCGGCCTCTACACAAATTTTTCTTTTTCTTTTCTTGGTTTGTATTATACCCCAGAAGGGATCTGACCTTACCACTTCTTCATTTTCCCCCGTCCGATCCCGCCGAGACACCATGCATGAGGTGGGCGTGGGGGTGGGACACAACGAGTTCCTCCGTACGTACGAACGCACGTCAATGTCTACGCCGGGCGTTCCCCGCCAAGAACAATATTCGTGCTATAAATCCGAGAGAAGTTTTTAAAAAAAACCTCTAATGGAAGAAACACCATATGAAAAAAAAAATGTCGAAAGTATGATGTTTCGTATAATGTGGTTGTGGTTGTGTGAATGTTGATCACATGTGCATGTATGACTGCTCAATTACTACTTGTCTGTACTATATTACATTCGCATCCCTTCCCGGCTCTCTACCTATCCCCTTCACAAATCTCATATATTTCTTTCTCAAGTACAAATCTGAAATATCCTTGAATCACTGAGTTTAGCTATTCTCGAATCCCATGTTTCTTTTTTCCGCTTCATCATCTCCTCTCCCGCCCCCTAAAATTGAGATATACATTAAAATTTAGAAGTCTGTTTTCCGTCCAAATAATTTCCTTTGTTTGTTTCAGTCTTCGCTTCTCCTCGCTTTTTTTCTCCCTATTCCTGTTCTGGGAAAACGTACTTGGAAAGGGGAATGAATACACACCTCAACAAGGATTGTTTAGGGAGTTTGTGATCTGAGATGTGAGGTTGAAGGGCTAGTGATTGACATGAGGAGGTTATTGGTGCTTGAGATGAAGAGTTTTTATGAGCGGTGGGTATGGTTGTGTGTTTGAAACTATATGAGAGCGTTTGAAAGAAGAGAATATGGCATGCCAGAAGAGTTTTTCTTTTATACGCAACATAGCTGAATGTATTTTTCCCCCCAATAGCCAACAGGGTAGCATGTGAGTATTCTAATGCCTCGTTCCGTTAACGTTCTTCGCTCCTTGTCCAAGCTGGCTCGCAACAACTGTAGCTTCACGAATAGCTCTGCTAACAGCCCCTCTCACGGCTCCTTCCTCTAGTACCAACAACCCTCCGATCGTGCATCCGCCAGGCGTGCTGACCTTATCCCTCAACACACCAGGATGCTCGCCGCCCTCGAGGACTAAGCCAGTGGTTCCACGCATCGTCTGCGCAGCCATCATCTGCGCCTCCGCACGCGGCAAACCCATCGCCACAGCACCATCAGCAGCAGCCTCCAAAATGAGCGCAAAGAACGCAGGACCAGACCCGCAAAGCGCGGTGCTGACGTCCATCTGCGCTGGAGGTAGTTCCACCACACGTCCAATCGACGAGAAGATAAATCTCACGAGGTTAAGTTGGGACGGTTCAAGAGGCGGCGTAGTCTTCTGAATAACACTCATCGACTCCCTCACAAACGACGCCGTATTCGGCATCACCCTAACAATCCTACATCCACCCTCTGGCACCCCTTTTCCATCGCTATACAGCGCCGCCTCGAGCTGTTCCTGCGTCACGCCCGCGAGGATGCTGACGAGGATCTTCCCGTGTAGCGCGTCGCGCATGCCGGGTTCGCTTAAAATGTCCTTTACGCCGTGGGGTTTGCAGGAGAGCAGGATGATGTCGCCTTCGCGGGCGCCCGTTAGGTTGTCGTTTGTGAGGGTCTTGAGCGGGAAGTTGTAGTGGCCTAGGGCGGCTTTTACTTTTTCTTCGGCCGGCGCCCAGGCGTCGCAGGCGATGAAGTTGGTGAGGTTGGGGGTGTCTGAGGGGGTATCTGAGGTGGAGAGGGAGGATTGGACTTTGGCAGAGGCGAGGGAGGACATCACGCCGCCCATTATTGCGATGCCCATGGTGCCTAGGGGGATGGTGTTAGTTGTTTTGAAGCTGTGACACAGTGGAGGGAGGGGGAAGGAACTGAGGGATCGGGGATTGGGTAAGAAAATTATGATTTTAGTTAATCTTGGGGCAATTCGGGAGAATATGTCGCCCTCATGATACTCAATTGAGAATTTGAGGATTGATATATGGTGTTTATCCATTCAAAACTCAGGCAGAGAGCTGGAAAGCGGGGTATAAGATGAAATACAACACTCACCAGAGCCCAGGACGGTCAATGTGAGACCTTTCTCTCCCTTAGATTCAGCCATTCTGTTTCGAGCTTCTGTGGGATAGATTTTTTTGGACAATTGTTTGACAGGATGGAAGAAGAAGAGTGCAGAGTCACAAACAACATCGGAGCGAGCACCGGAGGGACGACGTAGAAGTCGAACCAAACCCCGCCGACGGAAACCGCACGTCTCTGATTCGCCCAACCAAACGCCCCAACCGCTCCAACCGCGCCCGCTCCTCGCAAACCACCGAAGCTCCCAAAAACACCACCATCGTCATCTAACAGGTTTCCAGCCTAACCCACTCTAACCAATATAAAAACCCCCATATCTTCGTATCCTCGAAACAACTTCCCCATGTGATGTGGCTAACACCCATCTGCCGCTTCAATCACATCTTCGACAAACCACTCCCTCAGACCCTCCAACGCGAGCGCCAACCCTCACCGTACACCTTCACCCACAGCCCACGCTCCTCCTCCTCCCCACACGCCTACCTCCGCGCCCTCACGTCCCCCAAACCCGCCAAACCTACCCCCAAGATGGATCCCTTCGAAGTCCGCATCCGCTTCTCGTCCCTCCTAGCCCACCTCAGCGCCTCGCACACGTCGCTCCAAAAAGCCGCCGTGTTCGCGCTCAAGAACCGCGAGATGGACGAAGATCTACATTCGTGTATCTTGGAGCAGTTGGAACGCAACAGCATGAATAGTCGCGCTAATATCATGTTTTTTATCGATGTGCTGTGTGAGATGGCGACGAAAGAGGATGCGGGTGGTGGTGTCGGGTATGTGAGGATGATGCAGAGGGATATTATGAGAGTGGTCGATGCGGTTTGTCCCGAGGATGGGACCGGGGCGGCGAATGTTAGGGTTGTTAGGAAGGTATGCCATATTTGTGTCTATGAATTGGATGTGGGTGGAATGCGATGTTTGACATGCTTAACTAACCTGATGCTCGGACATAGGTCCTAAACGCACTCCAGCAAAAAACCATACTCCTGCCAGAAACACGCTCAGAACTCGAGGCGGTGCTTAAGGATCGCGACGTCGCTGCTTCACATCCCTTCACCACGACCGACGAAGCAGGAACACCGTCGCAGCGGGACTCCCGCGCTCCTCGGAACGGCAGCGGGCGGTTGGAGAAACGTCAGATCGAGCAGCGCATTGAAGAAGATCGTGAGCGACATAAGAGGCTAAGGGAGAGCATTTGGGCGGTCCCCGGTGAAGGCGACGAAGAGTTGGAACGGATGTGGGAGGAAGCGAGTGGTATTGCCGAGGACGATGTTGTGGAGGCTTTGGAGGGGATGGAGGAAAGGCGGCAGGTTGTTGGAACTTGCTAGAGAAAAGCTTGTGGGGATGGGATGATTCGGTCCAATATGATTAGTGTGGGATCAGATTTTGGGTTGGACGGGCGTATTTTGTATTATTATTATTCTACTATATGGTTACAGGGCGTTTGTTGCAAGATACCAATGTGAAAAAGACGGGCGTTGGGCTTCGCTTTACATTTTGCTTTCTATCAATTTTGTACGCATATTGAATACATCTAAGAAGATTCTAGTTCGTATCTGTACACGACAAGACGCCAAATGCTATATAGTACAGTATCCTTACTCATTCTTCAACACGCCCCCGTACAGCAATCCCTTCTTCCATCTCATCTACTTGCATATCGGTCTTGTCAGCGCGGTCGCCCATCTTTGCCTCTCGATCCCAGTTGAATCTACTCTACTCCATCACAGCCGTGGCACCGAGTGCCTTGAGCGTCTCAACAATCTTCTCGGCTTCCTCCTTGGGCACGCCCTCCTTCATCATCTTGGGTGCGCTCTCGACAAACTTCTTGCTGTCGACCAAGCTCAATCCTAGCATAGACTTGATCTCCTTGATGACCTTGGGCTTGGAGCCAGCGTCGAACTTCTCGAGCTTCAGGTTGAAGAGGGTCTTTTCGGCGGCGGCCGGGGCGGCCTCCTCCTCTTCGACGGGTGCGGCTACCGCAGGGCCAGCACCAGGGCCAGCGGCGAAGCCGCCCATAGGCATGTCGGGAATGTTTAGGCGGGTCTGTCAGGGACGCGTTAGTTGGGATCAGATGCGAGGTGGTTGAGACGGGTAGGTGGAAGATGCAGGGGTTTGTCCGATCCTCTGAGCTACACTCCCACCATAACGCGATTGGAAATGCAAATGAGAAGTGAATATGGCCAATGGCGTTCTTTTGAAAGTTCAACTTGGTCTTCCGTTGCAGATGATGGCCTCGAGACCAGTGTTCCGCCTGAACATCCCCAAAGCACATTGCAGCCTCCGTAGATCAACCAATAGAAAGCCTGTCCGTACCTTCAGCGTGGAAACCAAGTCTGCCGTCTCCAACAAAGTCAATTGACTTATTTGATCCACAATAGTCGCAATCTTGGGGTTTGTGGGCGCCGCTGCGTCGGTCGATTGCCATCTCCGCGATGGTTTCTGCTGTGCGAGGGAGGCGGTGGCGGGACGGTAGTAGGACGCGGAGCGGGCATTGCAGACGCAGCGCCTCAGGGCGCGAGATGCTGGTGCGGACATGATGGACGTGAATCGGCGGTGTTGGGGCTAGATGGGACGGGCGTCACGAGGTGTTGATTGATGGCTCGACTGTACGTTGCGAGAGCTTCGAGAGATTTTGCGGAGCGGGAGTTAGACTGATGCGGTTAGTCGCGCTTGGCAATTCGAACTTTTTTGATATGCGGCAAACGGTGCATGCGCTGTAACCTCAAACTCCAAACATCACGCTCTTTCCTGGACAAATTTCCCGTCGGAAATATGAAAGAGGAGTCTGAAACCTACGTCTAATATATCATTCAAGAAAATGGAGAGTTTTGGTGTCGTTCAGACCGGTAAAACGGTCACCTTCGACTCATTAGCGGACGAAGCCTTGAGGTCACGGGCCACGGATTCGCTTTTTATTCAATTCGAGCGCCTTTTTGCTGAAGTGGCGACCAGATGGATCCAGTCCGGAATCAACAGTGAGGCCAAAATTGCGGCATTCGGTCGCATTCTTCCTCTCGCGCCTCACCTCGCCGAGCACGTGGAACGCTTCCTCGCCACAGTTTCGACCTCGCCCATATTGGGATCTTCTTCTGCGAACGATTCTGGAGAATTTCCCCAATTGCCAGATGATGAGCTTCTCGAGCTTTTGCTAGGTTCATTCCGGCTTCTGAGTTTCCAATGCAGAGACTTTGCGCGCCATGTACAACCACTTCCACTGGAGAAGTTATTTTCTCATTCCAATAGCTGTGTACGATATCTGGCCGTCCGCATTTACTGTCTATATGTCCATGCAGCGGACCACGCAACACAGAAATTCCTTGAGCAATATGTCGGGTCAAAAGAAGTAGAAGGCATGTGGGAAGGCAGCAAAATTGACTTTAGATTCTTGTCTTTGTGGGAAGAAAAGAGATGGAAACATGTCCAGGCTGAGTTGCGAGAAAGCCGAGCTCGAACGACTGAATTATCTCCAGCATCTCTGCAGCAACGACTCTCGCCGTATACTGTGAACATTGCCAATGTACTGCTACCGCGACTCGACGGCGCTCCGTCTCACGAGAAACCGTCCGAGCTCGTGTCCACGCCCACTACCGAGCTCAACTTATCACATATTGCTTCCTCGCTGCTTGATACCCGCCCACTTCTGTTGACTGGCCTCGCAGGGTCGGGAAAGACATTATTGACACGCTATTTCGCATGGCAACTGAATAAGCTTGATTCAATGGTTACACTCCACCTCAACGAACAGAGCGATGCAAAGCTCCTAGTCGGAATGTACGCCACGGGCGCGAAACCAGGGACTTTCAGCTGGCGGCCGGGTGTCTTAACGACCGCTGTAAAGGAGGGGCGATGGATTTTCATCGAAGATCTTGACCGGGCCCCAAATGAGGTTGTTAGCACGCTTCTTCCTCTAATAGAAAGTGGCGAGCTTCTCATCCCTAACAGAGGCGAGACTGTTAGAGCTGCAAGGGGCTTCAGGATCATTGCCACTATGCGCAGCACTCTCAACCCTGCTGGACAGCAGATAGTGCCCAGGCAAAACATGATTGGCCTTCGTTTCTGGAATTCCATCACAGTGCAAATGCCGGACTTGAGCGAACTGGAGCAGATCATCTCTGCCAAATATCCTTCTCTCCAGAAGCATCTTGGTGGAATCATGCGGACGTATGCTCGACTTTTGGAGCTGTATGCGGATGCCAAATTCTCATCCGAGAACGGAACATCGTTGCGAGCACTCACGCCACGGGATTTGCTGAAATGGTGCGACAGGATAGCTGTACTTTTAGAACAGTCTTCTTCCTTTAGTTCAGCTCGAATGGATGACATATTCATGGAAGCGTTCGATTGCTTTGCCGGTAGCTTGCGAAGTGAACACTCGCGTGCCCAAACTATGGCATGTGTTGCCGAAGAATTGCATATAGATCCTCAGCGGCGCGACCACCTACTTCAAGGTCGAGAGGTGAAATTGGAAGTGCCGGTGAAAAGCACCAGCTCCGGAACCATTCGCATAGGAAGAGCAAAACTCGCTAAGCATAGAATCTCGAAGCGCCATACATCTGGGAAGCCATTCTCCACCAACGGCTATACCTTACGGCTACTGGAGAAGGTTGCGGTGGCTGTTAATCGACAAGAGCCTTTGCTCCTAGTCGGTGAAACAGGTACAGGAAAAACAACATGTATACAATACCTAGCTGAGCAACTTGGTCGTAAGATGGTCGCATTCAATCTGTCGCAACAGAGCGAGAGTGGTGATCTATTGGGCGGATACAAGCCAGTCAATGTGCGCAGTTTGGTTATTCCGCTCAAAGATGAGTTCGACGACCTATTTGATACAACTTTCTCGCGCAAGAAAAATCAACGTTTCATGGAGATGCTTGGAAAGCGCGTTGCGAAAGGAGAATGGAAACGCGTTTGCACGTTGTGGCGTGAAGCGCTGAAAATGGTCGATGCTGCACGCAAAGCTCACGAATCTCAGACGTCATCCCCGGATCCTGAGGGTGGACAACCGAAAAAGAAGAGGAAGGTTGATTCTCTACCGGCGAATTTTCCTAAAGCTCGTTGGGAAAAGTTCGCTATCGATTTGCACGACCTTGAGGCTCAGCTAGCGAATGGTTCAGAAGCATTTGCATTTTCGTTCCTCGAGGGTAACATTGTCAAAGCGGTCCGTAATGGTGACTGGGTTCTTCTCGATGAGATAAATCTGGCATCGTCAGATACCCTCGAGGCTTTGGCAGATCTTCTTGGTAGCGGACCAGACGGCACCCCCTCCATTTTGCTCACAGAAACTGGAAATGTGGAGAGAGTGGTGGCCCATCCAGACTTCAGAGTCTTTGCTGCTATGAATCCCGCCACCGATGTCGGAAAGAAAGACCTTCCGCCAGGTATCAGATCCCGGTTTACCGAGCTCTATGTTGAAAGCCCAGACGGTGATAGGAAGAGTCTACAAAACATCGTTGAAAAGTATCTGGGAGGGGATCAACATGATCCAGCAATCATCAAGATAGCCTCTGAAGTCACCAAACTTTACCTGAAGATTCAAAAGCTCGCAAAAGCAAACATGCTCGTTGATGGCGCTGATCAAAAGGCACACTTCAGTCTACGTACACTGACTCGTACGCTTACCTACGCAAGAGAGATCGCGCCTTCGTGTTCCTTGAGACGTGCCTTATTCGAGGGGTTTCATATGAGTTTCCTTACGTTCTTAGGTCGAGCGTCCGAGGACCTCGTGTCACCACTCATCAAAGAAATTCTGTTTCCTCAAAGGGCAATCTTGAAAGCAGAATTGGGGAAGCCTCTTCAACAACCGACCGATGGTCGCAGCTACGTTCGCCAAGGACACTATTGGCTTCGCCAGGGAGCGTCAGCAGCGGAAGACCAACCCCACTATATTATCACTCCCTTCGTTCAGCGGAATATGAACAACCTCATTCGAGCAGCATCCACCCGAAGATACCCTGTTCTCATCCAAGGTCCAACTTCATCTGGTAAAACAAGTATGATTGAATATCTTGCCAAGAAATCCGGGAATACGTTTGTACGTATCAACAATCATGAGCACACCGATCTTCAAGAATATCTGGGTTCCTACATATCAGACAACAACGGGAAACTTGTATTTCAAGAAGGCATACTCGTGCGTGCTCTTCGGGAAGGCCATTGGATTGTCCTGGACGAACTGAATCTTGCGCCCACTGATGTGCTCGAAGCGCTCAATCGTCTACTAGACGACAACAGAGAACTGCTCATTCCAGAAACGCAGGAAGTTGTACGCCCTCATGATGATTTCATGCTCTTTGCAACTCAAAACCCCGCTGGTCTATATGGAGGACGAAAAGTCCTCTCTCGAGCCTTTCGCAATCGTTTCCTCGAGCTACATTTCGATGACATTCCCGTGGAGGAGCTGACGGAAATTCTACACCGACGCACGATGATTCCTGAATCTTGGTGTAAACGTATTGTCACTGTATATCAGGAGCTCTCGACCTTACGGCAGGAGAACCGACTGTTCGAGCAGAAGAGTTTCGCTACACTACGTGATCTCTTCAGATGGGCACAAAGAAAAGCTGACACTATACAAGAGCTGGCGAACAATGGTTATATGTTGCTGGCCGAACGCGTGCGAAAGGAAGAGGAGCGAGTGGCTGTTAAGAAAATCATCGAGGACGTCATGAGCAAAAAGGGACCCCGTGTGTCCGTCGATGAGGAGTCCATGTATAGCGACGCAGTCTCACCAGAAATCAAGCTTTGCAAAGAGAAGACTGGAGATAATGCTAGCGTTGTCTGGACGCGAGCAATGCGCAGATTGTTCGTTCTCGTCTCCCATGCCATACGCAATAACGAGCCAGTTCTTTTGGTCGGAGAAACTGGGTGTGGCAAAACCACTGTTTGTCAGATGCTTGCAGATGCTTTCGAGAAGCAACTCCACATTCTTAATGCACACCAAAATACCGAGACTGGCGACCTGATTGGCGCGCAAAGGCCAATCAGAAACCGTGCCGCGATCGAAGACCTCCTTCTCCAGCAGGTGATGTCTGTTCTCCAAGATTTACCAGAAGAACATAACATCCTCCCCGATAACGCCAATATCTCGGCTCTAGAGCTACCAGCAATGCTTCAAATATACGATAATCTTGATGCCACAACCCTAGACTTGATACCCCTTGAACACCGCAATGAGATCTACACGAATAGAGTCAAAGCTGGAGCTTTGTTTGAATGGGCGGACGGTAGTTTGGTACACGCCATGAAAACGGGACAGTTTTTCCTCCTCGATGAAATATCTCTTGCAGATGACTCAGTCCTTGAGCGGTTGAACAGCGTTCTGGAATCCTCGCGGACGTTACTCTTGGCAGAGAAAGGACCTGTCGATTCCCTTGTTACTGCAAGCGAAGGATTCCAATTCCTAGCCACTATGAATCCAGGAGGCGATTATGGCAAGAAGGAGCTCTCACCTGCACTTCGCAATCGTTTCACCGAAATATGGGTGCCAGCTCTGTCAGATCTGGATGATGTATTGCAGATTGTTCGTTCGAAGCTCCAACCCAGTGTCGTCCAACACGCCGATACTATCGTCTCGTTCTCCCAATGGTTCAACGAAAAGTACAACACGTCGGTTGCATCCTCTATTTCCATTCGAGATACCCTCTCTTGGGTGACATTCGTCAACGGGTCAACCAACAATGACTTGGTATTTGGGGTGGTACACGGTGCAGCAATGGTGTTCATCGATACTCTGGGAGCAAATCCAGCAGGACTTCTTGCCATCTCTTCTGCTTCCATCAATGAAGAGCGGAAGGCTTGTCTGCAACGCTTGAGCACATTACTTGGAGCAGACGTCAGCCCTCTATACTTCGGAACCATCGAAATTCAGTCTACACCTCAAGATCTTCAGTTGGGCGCATTCGCAATTCCCAAGTTCGCGGAAACTACTCAAGCCGACGTGAGCTTCGCACTGGAAGCACCCACTACCCTCTCTAATGCTATGCGCGTGGTGCGTGCGCTTCAACTATCAAAGCCTATTCTTCTTGAGGGTAATCCGGGTGTCGGCAAGACTACGCTCATCACTGCGCTTGCTAAAGCGATAGGCAAGCCTCTCACTCGCCTCAATCTGTCTGAACAAACCGACCTGATGGATTTGTTTGGGTCCGATGTGCCAGTTGAGGGTGGACAGGCCGGAACCTTCGCGTGGCGCGATGCTCCTTTCTTGAAAGCGATGAAGAACGGCGATTGGGTCCTTTTGGACGAAATGAATTTGGCCTCACAATCAGTACTGGAAGGTTTGAACGCTGTACTTGATCATCGCGGTGAAGTGTACATTTCCGAGCTGGACCAGACTTTTCACAAACACCCCGACTTCCGTGTATTCGCTGCCCAAAACCCGCATCATCAAGGTGGTGGACGAAAGGGTCTACCTGCTTCTTTCGTCAATCGATTTACTGTCGTTTATGCTGACATATTCCGTCCTGAGGATCTGTTACTCATCTGTCGCAAGGTCTTCCCTGGTATCCCGGATGATGAAGTGAAGAGGCTGATCAGCTTCGTCGCGGAGCTCGATGACCAAGTCGTCAATCAACGAGCGTTTGGCAGTCTTGGGGCCCCTTGGGAATTCAATCTGCGTGATACGCTTCGATGGCTCCAGCTCCTTGCGTCGAAGACGAATGTTGGCTTGGCAAGAGATTTCTTGGACCCTATCTTCGCACAGCGCTTTCGCTCTGAATCCGATCGGGCCAAACTATTGAGTCTGTTCGAACAAGTATACGGGACACATCAACCTCGTATCACTCTGCACCATGACATGAGTACCGAGAAAGTTCAAGTCGGTCTCGGTTCACTTTTAAGGAATACATATGTCGCTAGCGCAGAGATGGTCCCGTGCTTCCGTGTTTCTCAGCTCGCCCCTTTGGAGGCTCTGATGGTTAGCGTACGTCAGAGTTGGCCAGTTATACTTGTCGGTTCTCCTGGCTCTGGAAAGACTTCAATATTGAGCCAATTGGCATCTGCGGTTGGTGCAAGTTTGATTACTTTCTCGATGAACCCCGACATAGATGCGATGGATCTGGTCGGTGGGTACGAACAGACCGATCCAGCGCGGCAACTTCACAGATTCCTCGATAGTCTGGAAGATTTTGTACGGCAAAAACTCGCATCTTCCGCGAATCAGAATCCCGCAGTGCTTAGTATACTCCAATTTCTCAACATACGACCGCAACTCTCCGTGTCCGATCTTGTTCCACTTCTTGAGCAGGCATCCACGACAGATAAAGATTTTGTTACCATTCTCCAAGAGCTTCAAAACCATCTACAGTACCCTCCCGATATAGACGGCGCAAGATTCCAATGGGTTGATGGTATCCTCATCCAAGCCCTTGAACAAGGGAAATGGCTCGTCCTCGATAATGCGAATCTTTGTAGCAGCGCTGTCCTTGATCGACTGAACTCCCTTCTGGAACCGAATGGCTACCTGAGCATCAATGAACACTCCACAGCGGACGGTGAAGCAAGAATTGTGAAGCCCCATCCTGACTTCAGAATATTCATGACAATGGACTCAAAATATGGAGAACTTTCAAGAGCTATGCGAAACAGGGCCGTGGAGATCTACCTTCTTCCCCACGAAATTGGAACATTGGACACGCAAATCAGTGCACCAGCATACCCGCTGGAATCTAGCATATATCGACTTCGCCATTTGTGTGGATCTGGCGCAACTGCCGCAAACGAGTACATCGAGCAGCTTGACAATCTCTCGCTGGCTGATGAAAACCATTTGAGGAGTTTCAAGCAACAAGCAGCGATTGGACTATGGACCCCTGTGTCAAGAGACAATTCGACTCAAGAGTTGACCCAGACTCTGAGTGATTTGGATAAACTTCAGGAATACATAGACTTCCTTCTCGACGAATGGATCTACGTAAACAAATCTCTCCGTCAACAGCTCGCGACTGAGAATTCCGACCTAGCTCTCCAAACCTACCACCCCTTGAACAATGAGCTCTATCTTCGTCGAAGCGGGTCTCAGCAGAATCTAGCAGTGCTGTATACCTTTTTGTACGACTTACAACTTGAGCTGTTCAAGATGACCCTGTCCTTCCAGCAATTGCCTTCTTCTCGACTTGAACGATGGAAAGAGAAGCAGAAAATCCGCCCTTTCTTGGAAAGTTTCTTGAACATCATGAAGGGATTGGTAGGTGAGGTCCTCAGAAACGTTATCAGTAGCCCAATCATTCTCGAAAACGTTCCAGCTACTAAGGGACTTCGTCAACTATTCTGGTCTTTCCTTGACCTAGGGATTAAGCCAGGTTTTGATCGCGCAACCTTTCAAACATTTCTAAAAATGCTGAAAGGTGAACTCTCGACTCTATCGAAACATCCATCGGCCTTTCTGCAAAGCTCTTCGACTGCAATATCGGGAACGATTGCTTCTTTTGGCTCACTCGTTCAGCTGACTAGTGGATTGGGCATGGAAAGAATCTGGCGCTACTACAAGCCGATCACCCCAAAAACATTGCAACAGCTCTCTGGTATTCTTGAACTGGAGAATCTTGCAGACAGGCTAGACAATGTTATGTGGGGATCTAGCTTGAAGCTGCCCGAGATGATTCAAATCCGAGAGAGACTGAACAGTTCGTTGGAGCTGGTAAGGGTACAAGATGTCGACGCCAACGAATTAATCAAGGTATGTCTTTCGCTTCAAGTGTTTGAAATCTGCGCTAATTCAGATAAACAGAACCTCGAGATTGCTGTTCACGAGCTTGAACAGGGTTCAAGTGAAGAAGATATCACAGTCACGCCCTACTTTGAGCATGTGTTTGAGGGCTTGTGTCAGTTTCTTGACGTGGCTGAAGATATGACACACTCTATTCATTCCAGGCACGTGTCGAACGAGTTAGCTATAGCCAGGGCCAAAACTTCACTACTTGCTCGTCGATCAACAAAGGCTAGAGCCGTGGAAGATAGAGATCATCAGCCGTCGCAGTTCCTCCGCCTTCAACGCCATCTAGGTGTACATAACTCCGCTAGCCGCGAAATGATACTGCAGGGCCGATTTCATATAGCTACACTCTCTAAGCTGTGAGTATTCCTTGATCGAATCCGAACGCTTTTCTAACATCCTCTAGATTTGGTGCAGATGAAGTCCAGCTTTTGCAGCTTGATCGTTTCGAGGAAGAGATGATTGTTCTCGCACAACAGCTTGCTTTGGACTCTACGATGATCACCCGTAGTCAGACGAATGCGCTCTCTACGTTGTATGCTCATCTACTCGATGGGTTAACCGCATCCCACCGTGTTGACGTAATCTCGAATGTCGCTCCTGACGCACTTCATTTGCATGCGGAAGCAGACATACCGTCATCGTACGAACAGGCTCTTTTGCCATTGAAAGAGTGCTACATGTATGCGACTTCTCCGCAGAAAGTTAACGCGCAAGCTTGGGTGACTCTGGGTTTGACTGGACTGGCGCTCTATGTACCGAACTACCCGCACGACCCTGCCCTCAAGCCAATGATGGAACGAAAACTCTTCAACGAAGAGAAGCAGAAATTAATATCTCAGCTCAACTCATTACGGCACTTCCAACGTAATCTCACAGGACAAGACACCAGCTTCCGTATCCGAGAGATTGAGAGGGTCATACAGCAAATGGGCGAAGAACCTCCAGTTCCCGCGATCATTCGGCCAGAGACATCAGAACTCGATGCCCTACAGGGCGAATTTTCAAACCTTCTTTCAGTCATCAAGCCAATAGCATCCGGGACTCTAAGTATTCAAGAGGCATCGAACGATGAAACACTTCGCCAAAATATTTCTCATATCATTCGCAGACTTGAAGACGGTTACCGCAGCTACGACGATATAACTGTGCCTGCAGTAGGATTTTTAGTTTGCCTGAATATTGGCTTGACCCTTGGCTCAACGGAGCAACATTCGGAAACGGACAAATCCCGGTCTCTTACATACATATCGAACCACACCCCGTTTTTTGGTCTTCACACGCGATACTCGAGGATTGATTCAGAGGTACTTTTACGATTCTGTGAGGAGCAGCTTGGTCAAAAGCACGCCGTGGATCTTCGATGGCATGCGCTCTACTCCCTCGTGGCCATTAGTACCATTGATTCAGAGTATCTGAAGAGGGACAGAACACGACAACTATTACACAATCTGTTCTTATCGTTTTATGATGACTGGAAAACGAAGCTCCTACAGGACCAGCAAGAGGAAGCTAAGAACACCAGCTTGTACACATACAAGGGCGAGGACGAAGACAACGATGAAGAGGACCCCAGCCTCTTCCCAGACTATGAGAAGGAGGAAGAGGACCAACCGCAGACGACCCCCTCGACTTCACGCGAGCACGCAGTTCGCTTAGCGAATACACACGCCGCAATATTCATCGGTGGTAGCAACTCTTCAGACTCTATCAAGGAGATGGTGGGATGGTGTGCCTCCGAAATGAATCGAGTAGCCGAAGGTGAAGCACACAACTCTCATTACGAAAATTCTTTGCCCGCCATCTACCTCGCTCTCGGAAAGAAAGCAGATGCTCTGGCGTCTTCGGGAACCGGCAAAGGCTATAATTTTTACTTCGATGCCAATCTCCCAGAAGCCAAACGCTACATTACTCTGATTCACCGTATTCAAATTCGTTATAGACAAATCAAGGCAGTTTGGCCTGAGCACGCGACTCTATGGGACGTGCTGCGCACTTGCGACGAGGCATTAGAATTTCGGCACGTTGACCCCGTCGCTAAGTTCATCACCAAGGCGGAAAAACTGTACGGCTACATGTATGAGTGGCAGCGTGTCGCGAGTCGTGAATTCAGTACCGCTCCTCTGTTCGACGATTTGACTAAATTGCTTGTCAGCTGGCGACAATTAGAGCTTACTACATGGGCTCGTCTTTTCGAAATCGAGGTTGAGAAGTGCCGTGACACTGCGAAAAGCTGGTTCTTCGTCGCTTACGAGACTATCGTTGCTGCAGCCGAATCAATCGACAACATTGTGGATATGAGAACGCATGCCAAAGACTTGCTGAGGACCATGGAGGGATTTTTCTTGAGCACCACTCTCGGTCAATACGAACAGCGAATCGCTCTCCTTCGTCAGCTCGAGGCCCATATTTCTATGCGACTGGCTGACAATGGCTTGCTCGAGCCTATACATACTGCCCTCGAGAACTTCATCAAGTATTTCTCGCGCCTGCAACGACCCGTCGAGGATGCACTTGCCAAGGGCCGGCAAAAACTCGAGAAGAATACCAATGACATTATCAGATTAGCGAGCTGGAAAGACACGAACATCGAAGCTCTGAAGCAAAGCGCAAAAACCTCGCACCGTAAGTTGTCGAAGCTGGTGCGAAAGTTCAGAGCTGTACTCAATCAACCCGTGTCGAGTATCGCCAAGTCAGGATTTTCGGAGGAGGGAATTGCCTTTTCAGAACCTCTCATGGGAGAAACCTCATCCGCAGTGAACCCAGAAGCGCTTGAAATATGCGCTTCGACTATACCAGCGTGGTCGGACCGACCATCTCGCTTCAAGAATCTTGCCGTTACAATATCTATGATGCGTAAGCTCTCTTCCCCAAGTAGTGAAGCCCACGATAGTGCTTCCTACATCGATAGCTTCATCACAGAGCTCGAAACTTCTATCGTGCAACTTCAGAAGGCTACGCCCAACTTACTCACCGATGATAATAAGGCGGAGGTCCAGCACTTGAAAACACAAAAGCGCAAACTCTACGCGGACACTATGAAAGAGTTGCGACAAATGGGCATAAAGTCGAATCTGAGCAGCGATGTCCTGGCTAGACAAGATGAGTTGTCTACAGTGCTTGCTAGCTTGCCCATTGTCAGTGCTGACACCGAGCTGCTTGATGTCGGGCAAGGAGCTGAGCTTCTGATGCATAAGTCATTAAACATCATGTCTCAAGTACGAGATCTCGCCAAAGAACATTCTGGTGACTTGACGAACAACGATGTGATCAGGAGCATTGGGTTCATCGAAGGACTGCTAAACGCAACTATCAAACAAAGAGGCATGTTGAGCAACGCGGTGCTTTCGCTCAACGAAATGCAAAAACCAGCTTCATCGTTCGCAGCATTGTGCTCAGTTCCTGATCAGGAAGTTGGGCGAGTAGCTGAGTTGCAAGCGGAAAGAACGACTTCGTTGCGACCGAAGTTGTCATGGCTTCGCGCTATTCTCGACATTGGCTCGGACATTGTTGCAGTGCAAGCTAAGTTGGGCAAGACCAAAGAGTTCAGCGGTCTAATCCAAGGCATGCGTGACTGGAGTGGACGCATGCAAGCTCTGCTCAACGATTTCGAAAGCCTGCCCACACTTCCGAGAAACGTTTGGTCCGAGGTCCAGAGAAGTCTCGATCAATCAGTCAAAGATCAAATGGTTGAATTCCGCAGAACATTCAATTTCTGGATGGACCAGTATCCGATACCACTTACCATACTCAATCATATTCGACCTTCGCTATTCGACTATTCGGAAGTGCGCATTACAGAGCTGTCGCGGGAAGCTTATCTTACCATGGAAGAGCACTCCAGAGAAATTTTCACAGCACTTGACATGATATTGGGCTCAATGCAAGATGTGGAAACTGCCCTCAAAGATTTACCTACCTCGACTGACGATGCTACTTGGCTCGTCAAAGAGGAACAGGCCCTATCCGCCGCGATCTCATCCCTCCATGCATCCCAGGTCAGCAACGCAATCAGCACTATTCTGGACAAAATGCACAATCTCAGCGACGACAAAGATCTCCGCGCCATAACCGCCCTTTTCGTAGCTGTGCAACCAGTGTTCAATCAGTACATATCGTCTCACAAATTCCTGATTGAACGACTCGATATGCTGCATTGCTCGACTACAAAACTTCTGCATCGACTAAGCAAGTCTTTCATTCAAGTAGGCACGCAGGGTTTCTGCCAGCCATCAGACAAGTCGGCCGACGATCAAAAAGGCAAAGACGACAAACTCGAAGGCGGTACCGGACTGGGTGAGGGCGAGGGTGCTGAAGACATTTCGAAGGACATCGAAGATGACGAGGATCTTGATGAGCTCGCACAGGAGCAGCAAGGCGAGCGCGAAGGCAGCATCGAAGATCAAGAAGACGCCGTCGATATGGGCGACAAGGAAATGGAAGGCGAGATGGGTGAGACGGCTGAGAAAGAGGAAGAAGGCAGCGATGACGGAGATGAAGGTGATGACGCCCAAAGTGAGGTGGGTAGTGTGGATGATCTCGGCCCAAGCGCCGTCGATGAAAAAATGTGGGACGAAGGAGGAAAAGAAGATGACTCGAAGGATCGTGAAGGGAAGGACGATGTCGGTACTGAGAACCAAGACGAACAAGTGGCCTCCGAAGAACAAAAGGAAAAGAGCGGTGAGAACGGTGAGAAAGAGGACAAGGATAACGAGGCAGAAGAAGAAGATATGGAAATGGAGGGTGAAGATCAGGAAGAAAATGTCGGTGCCGGTGAAATGGAGCAAATGGACCCACACGCCAAAGAGGAGGAGGTACTTGACCTCCCCGAGGATCTCAATATGGAGGGAGAAGAAGGTGATGACAAAGACGACGATTTGGGTGACATGGAAATGGGCGAAGATCTCCCTGAAGATGAACAGGAGGCCGATGCAGGCGCTGAGCCCGATACACTCGACGATGAGATTGGATCCGAGAAAGAAGGGGAAGATGAGAAAGATACTACTGGCCACGTTGAGGATGAAGAAAATCAAGAGATGGAACCAGAAGTTGAAGAAGATGAGGGTCCTATTGACGAGGATGCAGTGCCCCTTCCCGACCAAAACAACCCAGAGGACGAAGCCCGTGATACCAAAGATGATGCGCCTGATCCGAACGCCGAGGCTGGTGCGGGTGCCGAAGCAAATGAAGAGGCGCATAAAAACCAGAAAGAGCAAGCGTCCGCCAGCGCCGCGAACCGTGAAGATGGCAACGAAGGTGATTCATCTGAAAAACAGCAGGAAAGCACAGCGGAAGACGGTACTCTCGATCGAACTGCACAGCCAGATGCTGGTGGTCACGGCGAACAGCCTGAAGAATCGCCCGAGACGCAATCGTTCAAAAAGTTGGGTGATGTACTAGAACAGTGGTACAACCAGCAGAAACAAATTTCGGAGGCGCGAGAGAAAGATGAAACTCAGGTTCAGCAAGTAGACAAGGAAGTGGATATGGCAAAGGCGGACTTTGAGCATCTCGCGGACGAAGAAACCCAAGCTGATACTCAAGCACTGGGGACAGCCACTGAAGAACAGGCTACCGCGCTGGATCATGACATGGCGATGGCCGTTGATGAAGAAGAGACGGCACCCATGAGGCCAGAAGACAAGGAGGACCAGCCAGAGAGCGGGGACCAACAAGACGTTGAAATGGAAGATGTCGCAGCACCGCCAGAAGATCAAGAACCGCCGCCACAGTCTACAACTGAAGGCCAACCTCAAACATTCATTGGCGAACAAAACAGGAACGCACGCGATGAAGACGATGAAATGGAAGAAGCGGTACCTGAATCCGACGACATCTCCGAGACCTCTTCTATCGCTGAGGTCGACAATCAGCTTGAACTGACCCATCTCGATGTTTCGGAAGCCCCGACTCCAGAGCAGGCCCGCGCAACCTGGCAATCTCATGAAGCAAGCACACACTCCCTCTCCCTCCAACTCACCGAATCTCTCCGCCTCATTCTCGCGCCCACACTTGCGACCAAGCTCCGCGGCGATTTCCGCACAGGAAAGCGCCTCAATCTCAAACGCATCATCCCATACATCGCGTCCGGCTACAAGCGCGACAAGATCTGGCTCCGTCGAAGCATGCCAAGCAAACGCAGCTACCAGGTTCTCATCGCTCTCGACGACTCACGCAGTATGCGCGACGGGGGCGCCGTCGAAATGGGTCTCAAAACGCTCACGCTCGTCACGCGGTCTCTTGCTATGCTCGAGGTAGGAGAAGTCAGCGTCGTTGGGTTCGGTGACGGTGTAAACGTCGCCCACGACTTCGACAAACCCTTCACAAGCGAGGCCGGCGTCAACGTGTTCTCGCAATTCGGCTTCGCGGCAAAGAAAACCGACGTGCGTGGGTTGGTTGAACGTAGTTTGAATCTCTTCAGCGAGGCACGGTCTAGAGGTAATAGCGGCACTGACGACCTGTGGCAACTGATGCTCGTGGTCAGTGATGGTATCTGCGACTCACATGGCGAGATCCAACGGCTGGTACGGAAGGCACAGGAAGAGCGCGTCATGATTGTGTTCGTTATCATCGATTCTTCTGCCTCCAGTCCTCCTCCCGCTCCACAACAGGAAGCGCCCCAAGATTCAGCGGTGCCGAAAGATAAAGACAAAACGTCGATAATGGATCTTACGTCTGTTGATATCTCGCCTGAGGGCAAGATCGTGAAGTGGAAGTATATGGAGAGGTTCCCATTCAGGTATTATTTGGTTGTGAGGGATGTACGCGAGCTGCCTGGAGTGTTATCGGCGGCTCTGAGGCAGTGGTTTGGGGAAGTTGCGGGAAGTGCGTGAGATCTGTACATTAGAGAGTTCGTTGGTGTTTTGGTTTTTGTAGACATGGGGTTTATCAGACGGCGTTCTGGATTTTTCGGTGTTATGGTCATTTTTTCTGATGCGACAATAAAAGTTCTGGTCTGTTAGTTTGATTATGCATGATCTTGGTTGTTCGTTGAATTGATTGGTGGCCAGCTAACACCTGTTATTCCAATATCTTTATGATGCATTCAACGCGTCCCTCGAGGTACACGAATTATCTTGTTGTTTTACCTCGCCCAATACTTGAGAACGTACGCCGCAAGAAGAAATTGTAACTGGAGGGTTCCAACAAAAATCAACAAAGAACAGTAAGGATATGCTGCGCCGCGCGTGTGGGATTCAATCCCGGGAGGTCTTGGCTGATTGCCCGTTGCGGCAGGTGCTTAGGAGTAAGCACGCCCTATGTCAAAAAATATAAAGGCCTTGGAGCAGCTCTCCACCATCGACCTAAACTTGCGTTTCCTCGTCGTCTATATTTCCTGATGGCTTCGATCGAATTGAAAGAGCGCCAGATTGCTCCTGGCGGCGTTGTAGATGGCGAACCTACACCATTCCCCTTGGATCCAGCCCCCACCACCGCCGAGGACACCCCGCCCCCAGCTCACCAGCAGCCCAGTGGAATTCGCCTCATTTTGTTAACGATTGGGATCATGACCAGCATTTTTCTAGCCGCGTTGGATTCCACCATTGTCACGACAGCTATTCCAGCGATCACTACTGAATTTGGCACTATTTCGAACATCGCCTGGTATGGCGCTGGATACGGCTGCACACAGACAGCGTTTCAATCGGCCTGGGGAAAGGCATACAAATACTTTCCACTCAAGACCGGATTTCTTCTCGCAGTTGCTATCTTTGAAGCGGGCAATGTAATCTGTGCGGTTGCGAGTAGCAGTACTGTGCTGGTTCTGGGCAGAGTTGTTGCGGGCCTTGGGGGTGGAGGTGTGATGACTGGAGCTTTTACCATGGTCGCTTTAAGCGTGAAAGAAGAATATAGAGCAGCTTATATGGGGGTTTCAGGCGTGACTTTCAGCACAGCGAGTGTAGTTGGACCACTGATGGGAGGCGCACTAACTGATGGGATCGGATGGCGGTGGTGTTTCTGGTGAGTAGAACCGCATTGCGATGCTTCACTTTAAACTGATGATGAAATAGGGTCAGTCTTCCGGTCGGCGCGTTGGCAGCATTTATTGTTAGCTTCGCCTTCCGCTCGCCAATTCCTCCGGAGACTGGTACTATCAAGGAGCGCCTCACTCACCTGGACCTTCACGGTGGGGTGCTTATCGCCGGCTTCTTGTGTTGCTTCGTCTACGCCATGCACTGGGGAGGAACCCATCCTTGGAGCTCCGCTAGTGTCATCGGAACCCTTTTCGGCTTCTCCGCCCTGTGCATAGCTTTTGTCGTCAATGAGTGGTGGATGGGCGACAAGGCTATGGTTCAAGGCCGCTTCCTTAGAAACAGAGTCATACTCTCTAATCTAGGTTTCGTCTTCTTTCTTGCAGGCCTATTCTTCCCGCTTCTTTACACCCTTCCGGTACAATACCAGTCTGTGGATGGTGCATCTGCTTCCCAGAGCGGGATCAGACTGATACCACTCGTTATGGGCGTCTCAGTATTTACACTAGTAGCCAACGGAATCCTAACATACTGGCGACACTATCGGCCATTCCTAGTCCTGGGATCGGTTTTGGGTACTGCGGGCGCAGTATGCATCTATACAATGAACGCACAACCCTCGCCCGCAACTTGGATAGGCTTCGAACTCTTGACCGCAGTTGGCGTCGGTCTCGCCCTTCAAGTTCCCATGTTATCCAATCAAACATGCGTGGGTGTCGGCGACATTGCCTCCATCACTGCTATAACGCTGTTCGTTGAGAACTGTGGCACTACTCTTTTTGTCGCGAGTAATGAGGCCGCTTTCACGAAATCGCTCATCGAGAGCTTGGCTAAGAACATCCCGAGTTTGAATCCGGAGACTGTGCTCAACGCAGGTGCAACACAGCTTAGGCACGTGTTTGCTGGACTTGAGCTCGAAGGAGTGTTGCAGAGTTATCTGGATGGAAGTAAAGTCAGTCATATACTCCCAGTGGCTTGTGGGATTGTTGCCTGTTTGATCTCGGGAAGCGATGCAAGCGGTGAGATGATAAGATGGGCCTCACGAAGGTGGAGAAAGGCCGCCGAGTAATCGTAGGTGGGCGCCCCAAAAGTTCGCAAGGCTTTCTTGAGAATCTGCGTTCTTCATCAGTGTTGGCATGGTGAAAACAAAATGAAATACATATTACATATGTATGCAATTCATCAATGGCAAACACGTAGGATGATTCCAATGGAAATGGAGCCGGGAAGGGCTTTCGAAGAACGAATTGCGGTTCCTTCATTCTGGAGTATGAACGTGGCCAGATGCACTTAGGTATTCAAACATTTGAATGTTCGCACTACATGCTGAGGTCACCTGCTATACTCACACATCCGATGATCCCGAGATTGCCCAGGTGAACCCGCAATCTTCAACTTTAAAGTTTTCATCTCATCCCCCCCTCATGCAAATAACTTAGTCCACTCTAGGTTGCCACCCCTTCTCCCTCATCTCAAAATTCGCCATATCAAAAGCCGGCGAAACCGTACACCCAACCAAAGTCCACTCCCCAAGCGTCTCCGCACTCTGCCACTCCGCCCTCTCCACCAGCACCTGCGGCTCCTGATCGTTCAGGACATCATTCCCCAGGATCTTCTGCCGCACGGGCGCCCCGTCGTCCCATGACAGCGAAAGCCGGATCGGCGCGCCGGCGTAGTAATGCCAGATTTCCACGGCGTTGAGAACGCGGTGCCAGTTGGACTTTTCGTCGTGCGCTTGCAGGAGGTAGTAGATAGCTGTGCTGTAGGCGTTGCCGGCGGCGTCCTTGGAGGGGTCGATGAAGGTTTGGATGTAGTAGCCTTTTTCGACGTGCGGGGTGAGGTTTAGTTTTTTGATGATTTGCTCGGCGGTGGTCATTTTTGGATGTTTATTTTTTATCTTTTTCAGGATTATTTGTCTTCGGAATTCTTTGACGATGAATTTGGTGAAGGGGGAATTTGGAATAAGTACGTGGCAAGTCGATGGGATTTTGAGAGATTACACCGATTTGCTTCGTGGATGTTGCGCGATATCAGAAGATGAGCTTACTCAGAGTCACTTTTCCTATTGTGTGGATTCTGTGGATGCTGATTTGTAATCAGAAGATAGGTAGACGTCAGAATGATAAGCAGTTTGTTAAACTGCGATAAACGATGTGGACTTGGGCTGATTGTCGTGCTCGCAAATTATGCGAGAACGCCGATGTAGGAAACTAGCGAACTTAAATATGTATGGGTTGAGGAGCCGAGGCCCATAAAACTGTGGTAGCGCAGTGTCGCGTACACTACATTTTTATTACCACGACTTGTGATCGCGTTTGATATCATGCATACTCATTCCGCGAGGTTGGAAATCCAGGTCCTGCGCGGAGAATTCGTGATACTGAAATAAAATTAATATTGCTTCGATGCGAATTCATCTCGAGCAATCATAAGTCAAGCAACTGAGTGTTATGGTTATCAGTCTCTCAGCTGGAATGGTTACACCGTTGCTTTCAAGTCAAATGGCATTATGAGGGAGTAGAATTAATTGACATAGAGTATTAAGGAGGTTTCGCTCAGCATGGCAGATGCATAGACTGCCTGCACTTGAAATTAGTACCAACTTTCATCCTTTGCCTGTAGTTTCTCATACATCACAAAACACGGTCAGATTGATCTTAAATCTCATGGAATAGGTCAAAGTGATTGAAAAAAAGATTCACGAATTATAGTGCAAGCTTTGATACTTAAATCTGGTTGATATATAGACCTCCAAGGTCCAAGTGCTAAACTATATGCTCAAGATCATTACACGTTCATGGTCGTAAGACTCGTACAGAGAAGGCTCGGAATCATTTCGTAACCTTGAAAATCGCGATACCATGCTGTTCCAAGTCGGCGCTTACAGAGCTTCCGCTTCCGGTGCGGCCACTGTAGAGTTCAGTCCATTCGAAAGAGCCCTCACCCAACCCAGGAACATCAGAGAAGTTCACTGAGTACGTCTGAGCGCCATTGGGAGCGACAAGGGCCACGACTACGCCGTCGGATAGTTCGCCTGCCCAATACGGGTACAGTTGGCCTGTGACGGGGCCGGCAGCACCCGATGGTGTGAATGTTGTGGCGGCCTTTCCAAGCGAATCTTGATTAATATCGATGAGTGCTTTGTTCTTTAGCACCTTGAGGAGTTCGTCAGACATGCGAGTTACATCTGTGCCGATGAAAAGTGGGGATTTCGCGATGGCCCAGATGCCAAAATGCGTGCGTTCTTCGGCGGGTGTAAGTTTGCCGTTGCCAACAATCTAATATAAAACGTCAGTATTTCATACATACTGCATTCGTGTCACTAACAAGCATGTCGAGGTCGTTCCAACCTCCCGGAGCAGAGTACTCGGCAATCGGAGCGGCTTCACTTGCGATCCTGACTACGTCCGCCCAGTTGCCCCAGTTGTCGACGCTCATGCGCCAACTGTTTCCAACTTCCGCTCCCCAGGTCCAAACAGAGTCTCTTCCCCAGTTACAAAGTGAGTAGAAGATGGGACGTCCCGATTGCTGGAGAGCATCTCTCATCTTCACGTACCACGTCTTCGTATGACCGTCTGGATTAGGACAGGTTTGAACCACAGGACCTTGGCAGGGCGTAAAGCAATTATCATGTTTCCAGTAGTCGACATTCCATTCAGCTAGTTGCTTTGCGTCTTGCTCTTCGTGGCCTTCGGATCCCGGATATCCAGCGCAAGTCTTTATCCCGGCATCGCCGTAAAGTCCGAACTTCAAGCCCATGGAGTGGATCTCATCAGCCACGGCCTTCATGCCATTGGGGAACTTGTTAGGATCTGGAACAAGTTCGCCGGCACTGTTACGGGACATGGTGCTCCAGCAGTCATCGATATTGACGTAGGTGTAACCGAGGTCCTTGAGACCCAGATCGATGAAAGACTGCGCAGTCCTAAGAGCTACTTCTGCTGTAGCTGCATCACATCCTCCTTGGTTCTGGGTGCATGTTATTAGCTGCACCGGAGTGTAGAGGCTCGAGATAAACCTACCCAGCTGTTCCATCCCAACGCCGGGGTCTTTCCAAGACCATTGGGCAACCGCTTCTGGAAGTTCTCGTTGGAAGGCAGAGCCTCTACGGCCAACGCGCTAACAGCGACTATAGACAGAGAATAACGCATGTTGAAGTTTGAATAAGTAGCGTGAACATCAATTTTGAACGCGTGGTTCTAAGGCATTTTATACTTCTGGCCGGAGAATTTACATAAAATGACCGGCCTTGGGGTTTCTTGACGCCATAGCAGGGGCACCGCGTAAAATGATCCTTGGTGAGCCGGTGGAAAATCTCCTAGTTTTGATGTCTCAATGTGGAAATTTCAGGGGTCATTCAAACTCGCTTCACGGTACCCCGCATCGATCTATCGCCACAAAACTTGCATGGAAGAAGACTTACGGCAACTAGGCAGTGGGGATGGAGACTGCTTGGGTAGACGGTGCGGAGACACTACTCGATCAAGGACTGTCGCGGAAGAATTATAGACATAGCATGGTTGATGGCACTAACTTGTGGGTAGACTTCCGTGTGTGGTAGTCGAAAACTATCGATGCTAAAGAAGCGCGCTGATCACTTCTTCAGCAGTGAGACATTGATAGTATATGGAGCTTGGTACAGTTCTAGGCAATTGGGTTGTGACGAAATGCGGATCTACTGCAGAATTCAGACAAGAAACCACTGTGTGAAAAGAGTTCAGACGATATTCCAAGCCATGCAGATATCTCCTAGATATGACGATCTTGAGTGGATTGAAATTTGGTATACTCTGCTACGATCTGTGTGAAGGTTATAGCGTGGACTAGGCAAGAGTGTTTCAACGTTTAACCATTATGCAGTGTACTTCCGATGCATTGCGCAGTACCTGCATGCACAATTACTTCACTGGGCATCCATTGCCTTCATGAAGACGCAGTAACCGAAACTGATGTCCTTAGTTCATCACACGGGATATTATTGCTTTGCCCTCTTTGAGTTCACAGTCTTTATTGCAAGAATATACCCTCTCATTGATGAAAGCTGCAAAGGCTGGAGAGCGTGGTAATAAATTGTCATGATCAAGACTTTTGCAAAGAAGCAAGCTTAATTTGAGAATTTGGGTGACGTAGGTAATGCACTTCGATGCATCAAATCGATAGTTGTAACTTTAAAGTTACACTTAAAACGTCATGTAGTAAAGTAGCGTGAAAATGATGCGGCAGTGTAATCCGCCAGCCTGCAGCATCAGCAAGATTTTCCTGCCCGCTATTGTCGAGGTGCAGGTCGCGCCCTAGCTTCAGGAAGCTTCACGCACAATTGCATGCACAGAACGACCCCGTAAACGATTTTTCGTGTTATTCACCTGCCTTTTTGATGCAAGCTTACAACTACCATTATTTTTCGACAAAACAATATTCTAAGCACCCTAACAAAGAGCCCCCAACCCTCGGATGTGGGATTGCAGTCACTATCTCTTGTTTGTTCCTTCGTATTGCGCAAAATGCCATGCTGCACAACTAGCGCGGCGAGGAGTTTAATCTCAAGAATGCGATCCCAAGGATGTCACCAAAACGTAAAGATAATGTACTCATATGCCACAAGATTCATACATCTGTCGACATCTGCCCACAATCGAAACTATCGCGGGCGATTATACGCTGTCCACATGAATCATCGATGGTCTGAATGAACTCGATAGATTTAATCTTATGGTCACCCTCTTCAAAGCACATCTGCCACCTTATAGAACTGATATCCGACAAGCCCAAGCGACAAGAACCAAAAAATGCTTCGAATGGTCGCGTACTTTGCATTCTTGGTTCCGATGTACGCAGTGACGTACGCAACTCTGAGCGCATACCACGTAGCAATGAAATTCGTCAACCCAGTCACATCACCGCCGGCATTGAGATCTCCAGAAGTCGCTTGGTTCGCGAAGACACTTGCCAGGACGGCCGAAGCAAAGACCGGCATGTACTCAACGAGGTTCGTCTCCGCGGCCTTTGCGCGCTGATACTTTTGGTAGATAGCATCGGGTACCTTTCCTTGCGTTGCGGAAGGCGTGACGCCTGCACGAGGGTTTGCTCTGTTGATTCTGTAACCGGTTGACTGCAAGGTTCTCATTGCATACGTATGAATGATGAATGAAAAGACTTGGTGTGCTGGGATAGCAAGGATCGGGTAGTACAGTGAAGTAGACGGCATTCTTGCGAAGATTGGCTTTTTGGTTATGATGAAAAATGATGCACAAAAGGATATGGATCCGGTCTTAAATAAGGTAGACGCGGTGTCGAATGAAAAGTGGCACAGTTGCTCACTTCAGATTATTAATCGGTATGAATACGCAGAAGGCGGACAAACGATAGGCCTACGGCACATCTTTGTTCCGCATCTATAATATACGAAGGAATGGTCAATTAGAACCACCTGATTAATTTTAAAGCAAAAAAAATGGAATCTTCTTCATGTCCGCAAATCTTTCGTCGATAGACGTAGCTAAAATAAAGTAGTAGAGCATGCGAAAAATCCAGCTCGATATGACAGGACGTCGTGAGCAATTGAACATACGATTGCTGTGAAGTTGTTATCGTATTCTCAGGATTAAAAGTTTAGATCCAATATAATAATGTTGGGGGAACGCAATGGCCATATGGCAGCGTTATAGTACTCTGGTTCCTCGATGTGGAGTGCCGCATCAATCTCTTGTCACATCAATTTGCAGGCTCAAATGCAACCACAAATTTCCACTAGAAACCTAGAACCCAATGCGAATATAACCATCAATTCTGTACCTAATGACAGCCCATATTTTAAAATGCATAATGAATTCTGGAGTGATAGCCATGTATGACGAATCATGAATTTTTATTGAGGTAATACACGCATGATAGAATGGATCTATGCTTGTCACGGTTCCTACTCAAAGTACGAAAACACAAAAACACCACCTGAAAGCATTCAAATGTCGCTGGGGCGTATGAACACATATCACGAGTTAAACCACCAATGATCTCAAGTGCTTCAATGTGACTCACAACAACTCAAAGAATCCCAATAATGTGGTCGCTTCTTTTCCGGGTGCCTCTCCATACATTTCCATCGTTCGAATGAGAAATGGAGGGCAGGAATATTCGTATCATCTGTCACAGTGAAAACTTATCATCACGCCTGCAACGTGTAGCGCGGCAAATGTCGGCTACTTTTCCGACATCCAAACTTTCTCAAATACCCACATGCATGATTCGAAGTTCCACGAGACATAAGTTCATCGATAAAAGTCATCACTCTCATAGTATTCTGATAAGATATTCCGAGCCACTCGAATTACGAAATGAATCGTCAAGATTTCACACCATTTGACACTGTCTCTCATATATGGGAGTCACTCCAGCTACCCGCAACAGCGCTTGACTCACTCGACCTAATTGAAGACGGAAAACCACTGCCTTCATCATTCAAAGTAGAGCATCTGGTCCAAGCATCCATCGCTGTCTCAGCTCTTTCAGCCTCACTCTTCCATGCTACACGCAACGGCCAGTCCCCTGTAATTCCCAAAGTCAGTGTTCCCCTGGAGCACGCATGCATCGAATTTATCTCGGAAAGAGTATACACACTGGACTCGAAATCGCCTCCATCAGCCTGGGGCGCAATCGGCGGATTGCACAAGTGCGCTGACGGGTACGTGAGAATCCACGATGGGTTTCCGCATCATCAGCGGAACGCCTTGCATATACTTGGCCTGCCGGATGATGCAACGAGAGACGATGTTGCGGGGAAGACTCTTCAATGGAGCGCTCTAGGACTAGAGCGACAGGCAATTCAGGGTGGTGCAGTAATTGTAGCATTGCGGTCGTTTGAAGAGTGGGATGCGCATCCTCAAAGTAAAGCGATTGCTGACTTTCCGATTGCGGTCAAGAAGCTGGGTAATGCGGCCCCGTACCTTAAATCGATTCAATCATCACAAGAGAAGAACAAATGCCTCGAGGGTATTCGGGTGGTAGAGTTGAGCCGCGTGATAGCGGCACCAGTGGCCGGAAAGACTCTCGCTGCTCACGGCGCGGATGTTATCTGGGTTACTTCACCAAATCTCCCTGACAAACCAGAACTGGACCGAGACCTAGCAAGAGGGAAGCGAAGCGTACAGTTAGATATCAAGGAAGAAAGCGATATGAAGACACTCCGTGAACTACTTCGCACGGCGGATGTTTTCATCCAGAGTTATCGGCCCGGGAGTCTTGCAAAGCTCAGTCTATCGCCAGAAGAAATTGTGAAGTTGAATCCGAATTTGATTGTTGCCAATCTGTCCGCTTACGGGCCAGATGGTCCTTGGAGAGAAAACCGCGGGTTTGATTCGTTGGTACAGACGTGTACGTGTTCCACGGTGCAAATTCGTCATACGCCAGGACACCATGTGGCGTATGGTTTCGATCGACCGATGTCCCCTTCAAATATGTCGCCATATAGTAGACTAACTTCTTATTTTCCAAATATAGGCTCAGGTCTCAACGTGGCGGACGCGGAACGGTACGGCGAGGGAGAGCCAGCTCGTGTTCTTCCCTGTCAGGCTCTTGATCACGGCGCTGGGTATCTTCTCGCTACTGGCGTAATGACGGCGTTGTATCGACGGGCCATGTCCGGTGGGTCGTTCGAAGTGCAGGTCTCACTCGCTGGGGTGGGAAAATATCTGCGATCGCTTGGGCAAAGGGATGCTGTAAAGGGTGGCGACTCTCAAGATGAAGATCAGTATCTGGAGAAACGTCAGTCTGACTTTGGCGAATTGAGGGCAGTCAGGCACTCAGCTGCGATCGAGGGTCTCGAGGTTGGTTGGGATATCATGTCACGTGTTCTTGGGAGTGACGTAGCAAGATGGCAAACTTGAGAATTGTCTGCGGCTGGTCTGGGATAATTGTAGAGAATGTATTTGCATGATATGAGATCGATTACCATTATGATATTTGAAGAGGCAATCGCTGTCTCAGTCGTGATAGGTTGGCACTCGCAGGTATTGATAGAGAAGGCATATGCGTGGGAATAGACAAGAAAATGGTCAGATTGACTCGAGTCATCTCTTAGGTACTCGATCTCAATGGATAGATAGGGACGCGCGCGGTGATGGAAAGGTACAGTTTGCAAGTCGCAATCGCCGAGAACAGACCCAGGGCGTATTTCGATATACGGCTTGTTGTTGTGGGAAATCACATTATGTACTGCCGCCTCAATAGTTCTGACTCCCTGAATTTCCGCCCGTGAATGTGAATCTCAAAATTACTACGCTGCTCTCAGCATGGTGTGTTGTAGGTTATGGTCGGTTTAGCCTCTGTACCCCTGGTCACCGCTAGTTTCTATATTACATTGTCTGAATTACCTCACATTGCGGTGACCTAGAATGCACACACCACGGTCCCCAGTCTACGAATTGCAAATTGATAGAAGCCAATCGAAGTCTTGGCACAGTCCACACGTGTTTGTTTGCTCGAAGCTCTTGCCTTAGTCTGAAGCGGCGCTGCGCGAGCCTCTGACTTTGCGTATAAGTAGCTCCTCCCCCCCGCTCCAACCTGAACTCCCCTCTCTCCTCCCCACCAGACCACGAGACCGAAAAACCCAGCCAAGATGGGTGTTTTCGTCACTGTAAGTTGAACTCAAAGCTTTGCCAGGCTGCCACCTTCCCCACTCCTGCCTACCACTCCCCCCTCCCCGCACAAATCCTTTCACGACGTGCACGATGGATATGAACGAAGCCCGACGGCCGTCAAGGCTTTGCAAGATGTGTGACAGGTCTCTACACAGATACCTGCACATTGATTCCTACTAGTGTTAGGGTCAGCATAGCAAGCTGATACGAAACAGTGCTTCATGTTCCCCACCTGGATCCCAACGGACTGTCCCTTGTGGAACCATGGCGAGTTTGGCGCCAACACCGCCCGTATGGCTACAATGAAGTAAGTTTACCTATACCATCTATCTCTGCTATTGCGTGCGTACTGACATTGATCTAGCGCCGGTCCCTACATGTTCGATGGCAAGGTCTTCGGCCTCAATATCATGCCCGGAGATTGCATTGGCCACGGTGGTCACTACAACTTTCTCAACCAGACCTGCAAGGTTGTTATCGACAAAGACCTTTGTGCTCGATACTACGGTCTTTGGGGCGATGTGGGCGAAGACACTTGCACCATGTCTATCGATCAACTTCAGCGTGGAGTTGTTGCCGCAGGTGCTCCTCTTACCGGTAAGTGACCGAGATGTCTGCCTCTCGAACACTTAAGGTCCTTTTATAACTTCCTTACTTGTACTTGGCTGACTGTATTCGTGCTTTTAGAACAGCTCAACGCTCGCGGCGATCCTATGCTTGTCGCTCGCAAGGAGAAGGGACCTGATTGGCTCTTGATCTGGATGGCGGTTGGTTTCATCCTCCTCGTGATCGCGGCGGCGATTGCTACCTACTTCATCGAGCAACGCAACCTTCGTCGTCGAGCTGCGCGCCTTGCAGCTCAGGAGCAGCAGCTCCAGACTCTCGACTCTACGCGCACTGCGTCTACCCGCGCTACCGAGGACCGCGAGAAGGGCAACACCCGCACGTAGAGCGATTCTCATCTCAACGTCCTGTTTGCCGTTTCTTGGACAACTTGTATCTCTTCTGAACAACTTGGATGAGGTTAGGCACTGGAAGGCTCATTTGGATCAAGAACGAGGGAGTTGTTGAAAGCTCAATTGTCTCTCCGGAGTGTTTGCATTGCATCTCTTCTCGGATTATGAAATGGAGTTGGTGGAGTCTAGGAAGGCTTTCGGTCAAACACATCCGGGGTTTACATGATCCCATTTCACGATGATAGGATATATTCGTCCTTCCAATACAAGTACATCCGTGCTCACTCCATTGACTTGTTGTGGTGATTCCCAGCTTGGTGAAGATGAAGAACTATGTTTTTGATGGGTTTGAGGCCATGGTGATCGATGAGATCTGGCACAACACAGTAGCACGGAGGAAACACTAGCGAATTGCTCAAAGACTGACCCTTGGAAGCAAACATTTGAACATTGGATATACAGGTCACGTGATAACGAACAACTCTCAGCATTCAAACGTTAAAGTACTTGATGCGGCTACGGTGTGGTAAGATGGAGCCATGCCCAATTGGTGTGTATAGAGAACGGTACCTGCGTTAGCGCAACGTGCCGTGACATTCACGTCCCAGCCCGTCCACACTAATTGCCGTGTCCAGCTTTGCCTGTCAATCTACTGTTCACCAAAACCGGAACACTCACGCCATACCCTGCAAACCCGCTGGGTCCAGCATTTTGATCTACGTCTCGTGGTTTCGATGGTCTTATCATATGCCTATCGCGTCTTATACAAGTGACGTCATCAGAGCCGCACATATACTCGAAACCCACAGAACACATCTCTCCATTGACATACAACTCAGCAGCACTTCGGTAGAATCGACACGAAGAACTCCCTCAGCTATCTCCAGATTTAAAATTGCAAGAGATATCCAAGGAACATGGCAGAACTAGCAGCAGGCGCAGGCATCGCGCTGGCCGCTGAACAAGTGGTCTCTACGACAGCACAGGTGGGAACCGCAGGCTACATCCTCACCAAACCAACCCAGCCCTTGAAGGCCACCTTTACGCGGATTGCGACAGCAGACGACGATGATCTCGATAGGTATGAACCTCCAACTTACAGCTTGTTGTACAATATACGCCGCACAGAAAACTCACACATAGACTCAGACGTTCCCTCACACGCTCCCACCACACCCTCACCATCTTAAACAACAAAGCCCACATCTTCGGCGGCACAACCTCCGACGGCAAAGTCGCTACAAATGACATACACATAATCAACCTCTCTCCTCAAAAGAATCCCCACTCGCCGGAATACCAATTGATCCCCGCAATCGATCCTTACCCATCTTCCTCCGTCTTCACCCCACGTACCCACCACGCCGCATGTGCATACGACCGGCACATCGCAATTTACGGCGGAACCTCGCCATCAGGCTCCCCCATCTCCGAAGATTCTTGCGTTTGGCTGTACTCTCCAATCGAAAAATCATGGACCCGGATTCCCTGCCTTAACGCGACTCAAGAAACAGCACCAGGTCCGCGTATCGGTGCCCGCCTTTTCGCAGAGGGACTAACGCTGTACCTCTACGGCGGCACCACGCAAGACGGCCGCATCTCCTCAGACCTCTACCGCTATTCCATTCCCACGAGAGAATGGGTCGCCCTTCCTAATCCCCCGGCGCTGGCTTCGCCCACCAACGCCGCCCTCGCGGATGGGCATCTCTATCTCATCACGTCCGCGGAAGATGGCATGAGTAGCCAGCTTCATATCCTCGCCCTCGACAACCCCACGAACACCTCCCACGCGAAAGAAATGACAGCTGCCGAGAAGGAAATGAAATGGACAACCCTCACATTCCCAACCAACCCTATGGCACCCGGTCCACGAGCGCGCCACGACGGCGCACTGATCCCGATCAGCACGGGCTACGGACGCAACTATCTCGTGTACCTGCTAGGAACCCGAGATTCACCTCTCCCCCCTGCTTCTCCTTCTGACGAGAAAACAAAAGCTGAAGAACCGCCGCCGCCGAGCCAGTGGAGCGATACATGGACGCTGCAACTCCCTTCTTCCTCTGTGATCCAACACCCCCCCTCTAACCACCCTACCGACCCTCCTTCCTCCAACGAAAACACTGGCACGATAGATACGCTGGCGTCGAAAACCCCGAGTCTCAACCCCGCGCATATCAAAGACGCACTGCGCACCTCCGTCGGCGCGTCACCGGGGACCTTCTCCTGGGCGCAAGTCGAGATCAACATTCCCGAGGATCCGGCGAATCCTTCCTACCACCCTCCTTCTGCTTTTTCTAAGAAAGTGGGTGAAGTTGTCGGGGCTGTTAAAGGCGCCGTTGCTGGACGGGGAGATGAAAAGGAAAGTGATGACAATAAAGACGGTGAGGGAAAGGAAGTTGGTGCAAGAGTAGAAAGTGGCAAGTTACATCCAGGGCCTCGATCCGCTTTTGGCGCGGATGTCGTCCGTGGTGGGGCGGATGGTGCGGGGAGTCCGAATAGTGTTGTTTTCTGGGGCGGTGTTGATGCTGGGGGGAGGTGTGTTGGGGATGGGTGGGTCGTTGCGTTTGAGTGAGTTGAAGGGGGACATGTGTGTGTGGTTGGGACTGAGCATGGTGGGTTATTGCTTTTGCTTTTGCTTTGCTGGGGTTTTTTTCTTCTTTTCCCGACGGGTTGGGATGATCGTGGTAGAGAAGAAAGATGATCCCGAGAAAAGAAGAGTTTGCTTGTCCTTTGATTTGATACGATACATGCCGTCAACATTTGCATATATTCAAGAACCGATCAATTCTGTCAGTCACTGCCATATCATCATTCACTCGTTCATATGTGGGGTCACTGCGCATAGTCAAGAAAATCAAGCAAGGAAGAAGTTTTCAGTTTTGTTTTTTGTTCAGTACGAAAATAAAAGAAGAACCAGAACCAGAACCCAGAATCCCCCACCCATCCATCCACCTCCCTTTATATAGCCTAGAGTCCATTTCCTAATCATCACCAATCGTCTATTCCATCCATTCATAGCGAATCGCCAATCAAATGTATCCATTCCATCCATGATCCATGATGCGCGAATCGATGCATCCCTAATACCCCTCATCCAAGAAACGGCAATAAAGAAAATGGAAAGCCGCAGCCGAACCATGACACGTCAAAGGGGACGGACGTAACCTGCTGTTTAAAAAACCGGACAGCGACGTCAACTGAGCTATACCCCCGATGCCCGTCCTCTACGTTGCCATCGATATCCATCCTCTAGATCACCAACTCAAACACGAATCTCAGCGACATCATCGTCATCGTCGTCCTGGACGTTGCCAGCAAGCAGAGGTGTGGTGGAGCCGCCATGTCCACCGCCGATAGCACCGTTACCACCAAAGAGCTCTTCGGTATCGAAATCCTGCATGCGATCCTCCAACGAATCATCATCGCCGGCATTTACCTGATCGCTCGCGGCGTCGTCGTCATCATCGCGCGTTGTGGGACCCAAGAGGCTGCTAAACCCCCATGTACGATCCCCAGCGTAGGTACTATCGTCGTATCCTTCATCCATGGCGCTGTACGAGGGAGGCGCACCGTCATCATCCGCCCCGAGAGTCCCGACTGCGGCTCCGTTCAGAGCTAGGTTCCCTGCTCCGACCGAACCACCCCCGCGCAGGACTCCTGCTCCCGTTCCGAAAGCGCTCGACGACCCATTGCGGGACAAGCCGCCGAGGCGCAAGCCGTTTCCCGCCGGCGAGTCGTTACGCGAGCTTGCTTCGTCGTTTTCCTCGTCGCCCTCGATCAAGTCGGGGTCGTGCCACTTTTGCACAATCTCCTGGAGGGCTGGAGGGCCTAAAGGGCCGGCAGAACGGCGACGGTAGAATAGGAGGTAGGCGGCTGGCGTGACAACGCTTCGTCCTCCGCACTTGGAGACGGATGAATCTAGGCAATATCATTAGCAGCAGAACTTTGTTGGAGATTAGAGGGCGTGCCACATACCATTGTACTCGTACCACTGTTGATCAAAAAAGTTCTTCGCAAAGGCCGTATAGTGACCGCCACCAAGTCCTCCGTAGTGATTATCGACGGCGAACAAATCATAGACCAGTTCCTTGTCTTCGGGCAGCCCAACTTTGCCTGTCAGGTCCAAGCCCTCCATCGGAAAGTCCACAAGGGCATCAACCTTGTCCCTGAAAGCGCGATGAGAACTGAAGCGTTTAAGATGAACAACCAGAATATCTGGAGCGGTCCAGATTTCGAGCGTCTTGGTGGCACGACGAAGTTCCTTGCACCGACTGCAGTACCATGCGTTGTCTTCCGAAAGGACCTCGCTTTTAGATGTCTCAGCAAAGCATTCGTCCAGGGTGATGCCGTTCTTGCGGCGAGCGATTCGCTTTGCCTTCTTCGCTTTCAAATCTTCGTCGTCCAGCATCTCAACAAGCTTGCAGGTTTCCATACCGCGCGAGTCCTCGATGTCCTGACCTTGGAAGAGAGCGTCAAAAGCATCAGCATCCCAGTCAAGGATGATCGCTTCACCCATCTTGACGAGCCGCTCATCGTCCTCATCCTCGGGCTCTTCGAATGATCTCGAGGGCTGTTCGAAATTGCCTTTGTTCTTCTTCCCGTATGTCTTGCGGCCCTTGTTACGGAGGAGTTTCCGCTCGTGTTTAGACATCTTCTTGTTCTTGTTCTTCTGGCGTCCATTGCGAGAGGCGGAGTTTGACTCTAGTGATGGTTGCATGATGTTCTCGTCCTCATCACTGCTCTGAGTGGCAACCTCAATCGAGGCATGGGCATCGGCGGAGAACTGGGGAGAATCATCCTCTTCGCTAGTTGTCTCATTACTGACATCATCCGCTGACTGTATTGAGGACCCCCGGGATGATATGACGCGCACCCGTTTGGATATCGGTTCGAAATTCTTATTAGCGTCGACAGAGCTCCAACCGGTAGGGATGAACTCGTTTGTGGTCCGCGAGTGAGTAATATTGAACAGATTCCGGAATTCTGGTGGTATGAAAGTATCTGGGCGAAGAATTTGTGGGATATCATCTTCGTCGGAAGTGTGGCTTCGGGTGGTTTCAACGGGCTCTGTCATAGTGACTTCGACCATGTTATCTTCGCCGTCAACAGAGCCATCGTGAACGCGGGCATCGGCATCAAGTGAAGCGTCTTCTTCAGTAGTAACTACAACATCTGAGCCCGAACGGGACTGGGCTAGGTTGACTTCGTTGAAGATATCCCGGGTAGTCATTTGTCCAACTTTCCCAAGAACCTTTTTCAGTATACTGTCGTAGTCTTTAGCTTCTTCGCGATTGAGGACGATGAATGATGGCCACAGCTTAAGTGCCCAGTTTGATGAACGGTATGCCGATGAGGCACTTGGTGCTCGGTGCAAGAGTGGAATGATGACGTTGTCATGCGCAGGATTCGCGACATCAGGAACGTCTTCGTAAGAATCGTTGGCATATAAACTGGAGTAGGAGTAATTGCTTTTCTTCTTCTTGCTTTTTGGAGGTGGCCAATTTGTAGGAATACCATCGAGCTCGTAGAGGTAGATGTCGTCGCGCTGCTGAATCTCGGAAACCAAAGCCGTGTCCTCAAAGTGTTTGTAGTATTTGTGGCTGTAGACTTCGGAGACCATGATTCGCTTCGCGTCAACACCGAAACGCTTCCCGACGTACTCTTTTAGAACTTTAATCGAAGCATGCTTATCGACGTCCACTTGCACGTCCCACATCTTCCCGCGTAAGGGGACAAATCGAACTGTGTGTTGCCAAGTCTGCTCGATCGGGAGCTGAAGAGTTACTAGGCTGAAAGGGTCGAAAGTGATGCTGACTTTCTCGCAATCCGGACACACCATTGTGTTTTTATAAAACCCATTGAAAAGATCCATTGCCACGGAATCGTTGCGTGCATGGTGAATAGCACGGAATTTTTCGCCCAGAGCTTTGATCGCCTCCGGATCACGATGAGTGTTATCATCCGACTCTGGGTTCTCAGTATAAGGCTTTTTATGTATCCGATTCAGATCCTCATGGAGACCGTCAACGAGAAAACTGAGGAATTCCTGGGAGTCTTGTTGACCGTAGCCAGAGAAAATGGGTTGAGCGCGACCGAGTGTGTTCTTGAAGTTCTTGGGTGCAAAGGAAGACATTCCGTTTTCGTCGTAGATAGCGGCCATCAAGCCAGCATACGCCTTTGCAATGTTTCCATTATGGCCAAGCGGATTGTCGCTATTGATTTCCTTCTTGTATTTCCCCGACAAGAAAAACACTGCCAATTCCTCAACGCTGCGAATACACTGCAGTGCAGAGTTCATGTAGCACGTGTTGCCAAGATTGGTCAGGCCTGCGGTGCCGCGTGTTTTACCGTTCCGCGTGCGGCCACGGGTCATGGCTCCTGAGGGTGCAGGTGTGTTCCGTCCACTAGTAGTGGCACTCTTGGTACCTTTTGTAGCTGGTTTGGTTTCCAACGTGCTGGATTTGGCGGTAGCTTTTGGCAAAGTGTCTGTGATGTATTCTCCGCTCGCATTTTGTTCTTCCAACACTAGAACTTGGTCTTCAGCCAGGCCTGCTCCGGACAGATCCAGCTCATCATTGAAAGCCTCGTTTGCTTTCTCATCTTTACCAGTGACCTCCTCACGCTGCGTGCCGATTTCCAGGCTGGTGAATTGCGCTGCATCTATGACGAGGGGGATGTTTGCGGTAGTCGAACGCGATGCAGGCGGCGGAGACGCTTCGGGTGTGAGGATGCCAGATGGTTGCTTCACTGATTCATCTGTAGCGGCGGGTGTATTGAGAATCCTCCACATCCGTATCTTGCGATCAGAGCCTACGCCTACTGCCCGCTTGGCGGCCTTCAAGAAATCGACAAAATTATCGCTCCGGCTTGCGACCAATATCTTGGAAGATTCCTGCGTCGAGGGCGCAGACTTGCGGACAATGCGGATGTTAAATATGGGCGGGTTGAGTTCATATTGTATGTTGGTCGTGAACTCATCGGGGGAGGTATCGTGAGCATATCGTCGAATAACGGGACTACGGTCCTTCAAGCCATACCACGAGACGATGAGATTCCAGGCATCAGCAGGGAGTATCTCATAGTCTTGTTCAAGGGAAAGGCCGGGGCGAATTGGCACGAAGTCTTCACCCCGCTGGTCCGCTAGCTCGAGAGAGAGGGTCGCTGAAGAATCAGGCTTCCGAGGTAGTGCCAAGGGAATGGGCCACGTACCTGGTTCGACCAGATTATAGTTGTCCACTGGTCCAATCTCGCCCTCACTAGCTGATTTGCTGAACTCGCGTTGCTTGTCGGCATACTGTGGTGTCCTGGCCCAAACACGCTCTAGCCACGAATGGGATACGATGTAACCGACTTGTCCATCCTTAAGCTGTTTCCTAGACAAGGCCAAGACCTTGTTCACCTGCTCCTCGAGACTAGGCAAATCGGCGGCTGGTGTGGCAGAAACACTGGTCGCAGCCGACTCCACGTTGGAGGCAAAGGCCGAATTGGAATCGGAGCTCCCATTTGAAGTTGCGTCGGCCATTTCGACGGAGGTGGCCCGTAAGCTTCGCTGGGGAGTAGGGACCGACTTGGTGGCACGAGGGCTTGATTGGCCGCTGTTGCGGCGGGCAGAGGACTGAGGGTCGATGTCCATGGGACCGTCGTCCATGTCGGAGTGGGGACGTTTTGCAGGAGAAGAAGAGCGCGGATGAGGTTTGTGCTGTGTTTGGTCTGGTTCGGGAGCCATGGACTCGCCGAGAGTCAGATGTGCGTAGGCCTCACTCGGGGAGCTCGCGGCGGCGGAGGACTCTCTCGAGCGGGTTTGGTTGGCGTCTTGGGCGGCGTCGTGGACCTCGTCGTGCATATGCGGGGGGAGGTAACGCGGAGGAGACAGTGAAGCACGCAGGCTTGCGGTCGTCGAGGTGCAGGAAGGTTGTTGTTGTGGTGGTGGTGGAGAGGATCGTGGGGAGCTTACAGTCCCCTCATCCGGCGGCGGGCAAGTGCGTTCTAGAGGAGCAGCGGTGTCGGGCGCAATCTTCCGCTTCTTTAAAGATGCCGTGATGAAGCTGGTGAGAGCCTGCCCCGGAGCGAGCTCCACGGGCGAGGCAGATGGCGAGCGTTTGACTGGCGAATTGCGGGCCTGCAGCGGAACAAGAGAAGGAAGCCGATCCGCCAGCAAGGTGCGTGTAATGGGCGGGTGCAGCAGAGGAAAAAGACGCGCGGGTGGTGGACTGTGGAGTCGTGGGTGAGTAGGGATACCTATGCCTACCCGTATGTCGAGGCAAGGCGGTGTGAATAATGCAATGTAAAAAAAAAAGTGGAAGAGGCCGGTGGTGGTTGAAGCAGTCTTGTTTCCCGCACTAGGTCACTTAGCTTTTAGTGATGCATCGACCACGCGGGGAGGGAGGATGATTATATATGGAGTGAGACATACGTAATGTGCAAACAGAACTGAGGACGGGCGACTGACGATGAATAGCTACTCACTACTATTGTAGCCTGCACACACAGGCCCCGAGATCAATCACTCTCGTCGCTTGTTTGCTTCGGCGAAGGTTCAACTCCGCCTGCTGACTGGCGAGGGCGTGCAAAACCATCCCAGCCGATCCCACCACCTGCTTGGCACCAACAACAGCCCTCCCTCATTCACTTCAACAAGAAAACGTTTGTTCGAGTCTAAAATCGCGCTTGTTGTGCTCACGAATGGTCTAGCAATATTCCGGTTCACGTTCTCACGAGGAAATATTACGGAAGCAGAATAGAATCAACCTCTATTCACTGAAAAAAAAAAAAAGACGCCCTCAACACCATCAGGTACAGGTACCAGAATGTACCACAGATTCACCTCTTCAAAATCAATACTTTGGATACATACCTTGGCATCTTGATCAAGATGTTCAAGGTTACACAGCATCTAGAAGCGTCCATGTACAAGGTTTAAAGATAGAAACGCAGATGCAGTCGCCTCCCAGTTGGAGAGCGCCTAGAGGCTGAAAGGTTCCTACGGCTGCGCTAGCCCAAACAGGGAAATTGTATACGCCACTATTCACATCAATCAACATTCATGAACACTTGCACAGGCACTTGACCATTCGTAACATCCACGTGATATGTAAACAGGTTGAGATGACTCCAAAATAAAGCACGTGTGCATCTATGCTCTTTGCAAACTGTTCACTTGTTCGATTTATTACCACCACCTGAAACGGCGTGAAACGTCATTGCCGCCAACGCTGGAACCATACTATACATACATTTCACACGCTGCAAGGGCAGCAAATGTTACTTACGAGTGACTTCACTTGACACCCTTCGTGTTCAGCCAAGCAAACGCTGATGCCCCGCCAACCGGGTTCGTCGACGGTGCTTTCGTCGATGGAGGTGCGTTTTCCTTCGCCTTCTCTCCAGATGCTGCCCGCTTCAGACTCGGTGCACTGCTGCTTTCCGTCTCACTCACGATGCTTTCCCTTCTTTTCCCGTCGTCAAAGAAACGCGACTGTCCAGTCGCCGGTGAGCCTTGCGATCCACTTGTTGATGAGATGCGTGTACCAGGTTTCTTCAACACTTTGATGCCTGTATCCCGTCGTTGGTAGGTCGAGTTGGACCCATTTACCATATCCCCGGGATTGGGCTTCTCTGCTTCACGTCGCCAGTTGCTCCAGATAGCCGGCGAAGGGGCCGAGCGTGGAACTGCATTAGCTTGGGATGGGTCCTGAGACTCCTTGGACGCAGATACTGATCGCGACAAGCTGATGCTAGGGCGCTGTTCGAGACTTGGTCGACCAGAGGATCCATCTTCCGAGTTGGGCGCAGTAGTACCTCTGGTTCTGGAAACACTCCTCGTGGGGCGTTCAGCATCACTTCGGGATTCGGTCTCATCATCGGTAGCAGTTGCAGCTGATAAGGCAGGCAAAGACTGCCCCAGTTTTCCCTGGGGCTGCGGGAGGGTAAATCCCGAGCGGCCACTACCAACATATAACGAGTTGAAGGTCCGCTCATCCTCTGGTCGAACAAGAGGAATCCTCATTTTGGTTTGATCATCATCGTAGAGAGTCAGCTGATTGGATGAGAAGAGGATATCAGCATTATGTGCGCGCATCATGTCGCTGCCAAGGAAAATCTGAATAGCTTTACTATTCGCGGTATGCGAATCATCAATCACGGTGAACATAACTGTCAAAGAGGGCAGTTGGGGAGCCGGACTGCTAGACCGAGACGACGCTGAAAGGGGAACCGCTTCGGGAAAGTAGATGGGCATCTTAATCTTGCGAGAACCATCATCACTTTGAGTAATCTGGTCTTGGAATCCGAGTTGCTCGATGAGTCGCGAGTCAAGATAGGAAGCATACGAGCCACTGCAAACGGCAGCATACAACATGGTATCGTGCTTGAAAGTAGTGGTGAGCCAGCAACGAATGATGGCGGGAACAGGTCCTAAGATGAAGAGACCCGGGGCTAGACCAGGCGGCTCAATCGTATTTCCTAGCCCGTATCCTGTCAAGCTGTTCGCGCGTCCAGAGGTAGCAGAATGCACCGAGTGCCCAGTTGAGCTTTGGCCCCCGATCGACTTGTGTGAGTAGCTACGCTCACTCATGGCGTGTCCGCCCATGCCGCTTCCAGTACGCGGGATGAGATCCAGAGATGACCGTGATGCGTGGGCCCAACGACCATAGTCTGCCGTCTCGTCGAAGCGAACGCTGTTGGCGCGCGAAGTGGCACCAATACGACGCGGTTCGTCGTCGGCGTCTAGCTGCAGATTACCAATGAGATTGATCGAGGCATCGTCAAACGTAGAGAAGTGATCCGCTGTCGGCTGCTGTAGGGGAACTGTAGCAGATCAATACACTTGATTATTTATAAACGACTGAAAATCGAGCGGAGCATGTAGTCGCACCTTGCTGCGGGGTGCCGCCCAACACCGAAGGGAAAGGTGAGGCAGTCCCCCAAACATTTTTCAGACGTGAATCATCTTCGTGTCGCCGCTCCATAAGATCTGTCTGTTGCGCGCGGAGCATCTCACCCTGCCAGTCGCGGGGCTGGAAGGAAACGCTCTCAGGATCCATTCCTCATCCCTTGATTCGAGGTGTCCCGCCTCCACCGCAATCCAACGTCGTCACCCAGGCTCTCGCCGCTCCGTCCGCTTCCACGGGTTTCCGACAAGGTTTGACAGATATTCAAGCTATTTTCCAAGTACAACTTAATTTGTGTGCGTACGGGATAATCGGACAAGATGTGAGGGTACGTTGGTAATGGTTGGCGGAGGGGGAGCGGCCGTGTGTAGTATGTACAATTCGACGACGACGGAGAAATGGCCTGGGCGCGGGTTCGTCACAAGACTCGTTCTGTGGGAACACAATAGACCTAGAGCAAAAAGAAGAGGGGATCACAAATGACGGATGGCAGAAGTTATGGCCGTTCGACTTCGAGTGCCAACGTCTGGGTTTCGGGTGCGGTCCAGTGGGGTAGAAGGGTGTGCAGTGGTGAAGACTGAGCGACGTTGGCACGGGATCTCCAAGTCAATGATAAGGTGGATTCTACAGGTTAGTGTGTTGCAAGGGACACAGTTGGTGAGGTCAAGATAGCGGTGTAGGAAAGACGGATGTTGGTTTGTGAAAGTGGTGGTGTTAGGAAGCCGTTGATGAACTAAGGTAGGAGCCAGGACGGGCTAGCGGGCTACTTTCGGAGAAGCCACCCCTCTCCAGCCGCGTCCAACCTCTAGTGCGAACGGTGATAGACATGGCATTGCACCCAACGGCATTTTGTTTCGATATTTACCCAGGTACTATTTTTCTTCAAGAGACTTCTACTCTCCTATCCAAATAACATGACTATCGCGAGTATAGAAGAAGCAGGAAGCAGAGTGCGAAGCGATGATATATGTATGACGGATCGTGAGATGGAAGAAGATCAAAACGTATAAGCGCCCATCCACCATGCCAAACGTATGTATTTTAGCTCTGACGCTCTTGAATCTTGGACCTCCAACTCTCCCAGCCCTCAGGGTCGTTCCACAGCGGAAGAACATTGGGCAGGTGTTGGGGCAGGAAATCGGGCCAGTCACGGCCGATGACCTTCATTAGCTCATCAAACAAGATATCGTAGCCGGCAGGATTCAGATGTAGCCCTATGACTGGTGGTGAGTGAAGTCGGTGCCAAGAGGAGTCAGTCCATCGAGGTCAACTTACCATCGTACATCAAATCAGCCAGCGCATCGTTTGGCTCCGCGTCCATGCAGCCAGGCAAGGCATCGCCATGCTTCCAAGTGTCCAGCTTCCACCCAGCCTTGGCCATGAAAGCCTCCCAGAGATTGATGACAGGTACGCCCGCACTTTGGGCAAGCCGGACAACGGCATCTGCGTAGGTCTTGGTGATGGCGGCTTTGCGCGAGAGAGACTTTAGACCTTTGCTCTGGTCCGAGTTCCACTGCATATACTCGTTGATGGGAGGCGGCGCAACAAGCACAATCTTGGGAGCATGAGCTACGACCTGTGGGTGGGATATGATCTTGGCAAGGTTGTCTTGATACTCGTCGAGAGGCACATGCTGGTTGTTCTGGGCCTTGGGGAGCGACGCATCATTTGCGCCGAAGAAGACCAGCAGCAGCTTTATATGAGTGTGCTCGGGAGAAGGGAGGATGTAGGGCAAGACTTGGAGGGCCTGGCGGCTGGTGTAGCCACTGCAGCCAAGTCAGGCATTTTATGTACAGATGGATGCGGAGGCAGCGTGCAGCAACGTTACCTGAAACCACGGTTTATGACATCGAGGCGCCGAATGTAAGCTTGGGGGAATCAGGGCTGATCAGCAATGGAGGATGGCGGCAGACAGGCCGGGTCACGTACCGTGCTGCAGAGCTGCAGAGAAACCCGATCCGCGCTGCTGATTGAACGAGTCCTGGGTGATGGAGTCCCCGAAGAGGAAGATGGAATCGTATGCTGCTGCTGATGCGGCGGGCTACAACGATCATGAATGTTGGTACAGTACTGTATACACATGGACCCGTCGATGCAAGGCACACAAGCGAGATCAGGATCGTGTCCCTCCGACTTGGTTGGGTACACACTCACCATGGCGATGGGCAGATGGATGGATAGTATTGGATATGTATGTACTTCCTCACCCGACTCGGGATGGTACAAAGAGAGAGAAGGCTTCGAGGCTGTACGCTTTTCCCAACAAGCGGCTGGGTCTGAATCGGAGCCAATCTGGTCTTATAGCGTACGAACGTCCAACACTGCTAGCAATACAAAGTTCCACGTCCTTTTGTCGAGACAGCACACATACACACACCCACACACACATAGACGACGATAATGCCGCCTGGTGTGCCATGTGTGTGCCACGGGTGCCATTGGACCGCGGGCCGGGGGCACCTCCCCCGATCGGGCGTAGCGGCTACAGCGGCTTCCGCCTGGCTCTTGGACCCTGCACGGCAACACGAGGGCAATGACGACTGACCCGCGCCTGCCAGTGCTGCCCTGGTGGCTACCTAGCTCGATATTAGCAAAACACTGAGTCGTGCCCCCATTGATGCTCTCTCTCCACCATCGCAAGCCCCGCGCCGCGTCCTCTCCACTTAGACACGGCCCTTGCAAAGCCAGCATGATCGCCCTCGACTGCTCCATCCCCAAACTCCACAGAGTCCACACATAACCCTCGCTCCCGTCCACTCGTTCCCTCCTCCCTGATAACCGTCTTGTCCTCCGTCCGCCTCCCTTTGTTTGACCACCACCACCGCGCCGTAACCCCTTCATATCCACCGCCGCCAACCCCGCCAAGCCACCCTCCAACTTTTACAAGGTGCCATCGCACGCCCGGATGACCTTGCTAACCACTTGACGCCCGGCATGACCTCTGACTGTCTATCCTACTACTAAACCCCCTGCCTTCGTCCCCAGACATTCCTTTCCCCATAGTCTCCCGTCCTCACCTCCGCCATGCCCAAGTCCTTCGTCTCCTTTCGCAGCGTCGAGGAGCTGGCCGACAACCGCGACGAAGACGACGACGACTCTCGCCATGGCTACGACCCCGCCAGCAATGCCTCGCTCGAGGAGCAAGAGCAGCGTGACACGGTCAGCAGTACTACCCCAACCTCTCCCACCACCACCTTCCGCCAGGTGCGCCGGGCCCGAGCCTCAGAAAACGACCTGACCAGGCACTATGCCACCGAGAGATCGAGTCTTCTCGGCATCCCACAACGCACACGCTCCTATGCTAGTATTCCAGGCACAAACCCCGCCACCATGCCTGGCACCCCGCGGCGAGCCCCTGCCAGCATGCGTGTGCGTCATCACAGCCGACGTGGTTCCTTTAGCCAGCGTCTGGTGAATGCTCTTGGGGAGCGGTCCATGGAGAACAGTATGCAAATCTCAAAGGCCTCCATATTCCAGGACAACCGCGTGTGGTATGATCAGTTCACTTCGACCGACTGGGTTCGTGATAGCATCAGCGATGCCTTTCGCGTCAAGGCCCTGCGAAGTCGCAAGGACTTCCGCGGCAGGGTGGAGGCCTGGTTTGACGGCGCCCAGGGCTGGATCTTGGTGGCCATCATCGGTCTCCTGACAGCTATAGTGGCCTACTTTGTCAACATCACCGAGACTACACTGTTCGATTGGAAGCAGGGTTATTGTACGACTGCCTGGTACTGGCGCAAAAAGACCTGCTGCCAGGGCGCTACCGTCTGTGACGAGTGGCTCCATTGGTCGCGTGTCATCCGCAATGACCGACTGGACATGGTGCAAACCCAGTATGCTGCCTTTGTGTTTGCCGTCGTTTTTCTTTCCATGGCCTCGTGCTTCTTGACGCTCTCCACCAAGACAGTGGTGCCCTCTGCCATCTCCATCTCCACCTTGGATGAGAATCTAGGGGCCGAAATCCACAAATCGCAGCACGAGGAAGAGGACGATGACAGCACGGAGCATCTGACCACTCAAGCTCGCTTGAACGAAACACAGCTTCGTCCTCCCATGGTTTACTACTCTGCGGCTGGCAGCGGTGTAGCCGAGGTCAAGGTCATTCTGAGCGGCTTCGTCCTCCACGGGTATCTAGGTGTGCGAACTTTGATCATCAAGACTCTTGGTTTGATTCTCAGTGTGGCTTCTGGTTTGAGTCTCGGCAAAGAAGGCCCGTATGTGCATATCGCTACTTCCATCGGTAACATTGCTTGTCGTATATTTTCAAAGTACAATGCAAACGATGCGAAGCGAAGAGAAATTCTCAGTGCCAGCGCTGCCAGCGGCGTGGCCGTAGCCTTTGGCGCTCCCATCAGTGGTGTGCTTTTCAGCTTGGAGGAAGTCAGCTATTACTTCCCTTCCAAGACGCTATTCCGTACCTTTTTCTGTTGCATTGCCGCCGCCCTGTCGCTCAAGTTCCTGAATCCATACGGTAACAACAAGATTGTCTTGTTCGAAGTCCGATATCTCGTCGATTGGAAAGTCTTTGAACTGGTTGCTTTCATCTTCACGGGGGCATTAGGCGGCACATTGGGCGCTCTCTTCATCAAAGCATCGCGCTTCTGGGCTCGCACTTTCCGTCGAATTCCGATCATTAAGAAATATCCGATGCTCGAGGTGTTCCTGGTTGCACTTGTCACTGGACTCATCAGTTTCTGGAACAGATACACCAAGCTCCCCGTGGCAGAGTTGCTGTTTGAGCTTGCTAGCCCTTGCGATACATTCACCGAGAATGGGGATGGCTTATGTCCTACAAGGGAAAACATTCCCAATGTGCTCGGGGTCTTGGCCGTAGCCTTCGTTATCAAGGCCGGTCTTACCGTCATTACCTTTGGTATCAAAGTTCCTGCTGGTATATATGTGCCATCCATGGTGGTAGGCGGTCTGGCTGGCCGCATGGTGGGACATACGGTCCAGCTTTTTGCTTTGCAATTATCTGGCTCGGGACTTTTCGGGAAATGTGATCCGTCGGGTCCCCCCGGATCGTGTGTCGTGCCAGGTGTATATGCCATGGTAGCCGCGGGTGCCACCATGACTGGAGTAACGCGTTTGACTGTCACCCTAGCAGTCATCCTTTTCGAGCTCACCGGTAGTTTGGACCATGTACTTCCATTCTCCCTCGGCATCCTAGTAGCAAAGTGGGTGGCGGATGCGATAGAGCCACTAAGTATCTACGACCTTCTAACAGACATGAACTCTTATCCATTCCTGGACAACAAGGTCCGCCCAGTATTTACCTCCACACTTGGTGATATCACTCTCCGCAGCCGACCCGAACGTATCATTGACATATCCGAGTCTGCGTTGGTACCCGCTTCCGAGTTAAGACATAAGCAGCAGTATCTTCATCTAACAGGGGAAATTGATGGTGGTCTTGCAATCGTGAAACGGGGCCTTCTCGTTGGCCTGATTCCTCACCCAGATCTTCAATTTGCTCTCGATAGGCTAGAGGATGAAGATAACACGCTATGTCTGATGTCGCCACACGTGGAATGGGCTGCTGGGCGTGAGCCCGTAGAGGATGACAACAATGCACCAGCGGTTGACGACAGCGACTTCACTCCTTTCATCGATCCCGCCCCTGTAGCACTCGACGTGCACTCGCCAATGGATTTGGTTTATGAATGTTTCGTCAAACTAGGCTTAAGATACGTCTGTGTATTGAGAGACGGAAAGTACGCGGGCATGGTACGTTGTTCTCCTGTCCACTTCCCCATACTGGTACGCTGCTAACATCATTCCTTTGCAGATACACAAGAAGACTTTTGTCAAATACATCAAAGAGCTGGAAGAAAGCGAGAAGAAGAACCGTCAAGGCATTTTGGGATCCATTTAGTCATTCCGAGGCGCCCTAGACAACACCCACGAGCATCTGTCTCATCCGTTTGTTGTTCGCGTAGCATCCAGTTGCGATCGCATCACGAAATCATTTGTTTACTTTTTCTAGTTGCCCTTAGATCGTTTTGCATTAGGTGCATTGGCGTGTGCATGTGTATCATTCAGGGTCTGGCTTCTGGTCTATTTTATTTAGATGTTTCCTTTTGGTCCAGAGTGGCTTTTTGTTTTTGTTTTTGTCATTTTGACACTTTAAGCATGTTGCATATGTACTTATCACATCCCCATGCATACATACCCATCATGTAGTAGATCATTTACCGTTGGCGTTTAGGATTTTTGGGCGGATCGCGACCATTCTGGTCACAGCATTTCAAAGATGCGTCTAGCATGAAGAAGGAAAGAGTATGACTTTATACCAACTATCTAATTTGCTTACCTGTGATAACGGCCGATGTGGCAAGCGATGCGCAGGCGGGTTGTTTATGCAAGGCGGGTGTGTTGTGCTTGGTGTAACGCTTGTCTAACCTCATGTGAATGCGGTTCTCATCCCCACATTAATGTCAATTTCTTCCCGTCCCATCAATTATGAAACTGTAGATCCTATCTCACTCATCAAGCAGACAGGTATAGTAGGCGAGATAGATGTGGGTACCTTATCGAGTGTCTTAGTTCAGCTAAGGGGGGAAAGACAGCTGCGGAATGTAATGTCAGGAAATAGTAAGGAAAAGGAGAAAGGGAATGCGTCCGCCCTTGATTTAGTTCTAAATGTGCACGTATCTGTCTACGTTTCTCTCGACACCTTTTTTTGGTTCTGAGAGCAAACGCATCTACACAACGACGCAGAGCTGTGGTGAGGTAAGAGAAGTTTGGTGGAGTGTTTGCTAGCTAACTGGCTAGCTCACTGTGTTTGCGTTTGAATATCATCACCGAACTTTCCATCAAACGTAGCGCGGGGGGTGTGTTGGTTGGACTGGTATTACTCACAGCTTCAGCCTCTCCCCATTTGACAGGTAGACGAACGAACGAACGAGTGAACGAGCGAGCAAACGGAACTGAGGCCGAGGTTCTCTTGTCACGCCAACGACAGCCATCGGATCATATTTATTCATCTTTGGTTGCTGGATCGAGTCGAGGCGACTACGCACATACACAACCACACCCGAACAATATACCTCGACCCCGACCTCAACCTCGACATAAGCACAACCCACAACTACCACACTTTCCACGCCCCCAAACAAGTCACCCCGGGAAGAAACGGAAAGGAACCAGGACAATGCTCCTACCCACCCCACGTATTCTTATCGTGGTTGTGGTTGTGTGTTTCTTGGTGCTGTTCGCTGTGAATGGACTACAAGCTGGACGAGCGAGTGACTATGAGTGGAAGTCATCCTCATCTCCCTCTTCTTCTTCTTCTTCTTCTTCTTCTTCTTCTTCTTCTTCTTCTTCTTCTTCTTCTTCTTCTTCCTCCTCCTCCACAGAGAGTGGAATAGGCGAGCAACTGCCCGGCAAAGTCGAAGACGGGAAAAACGGAGCTGGCACAGGAGGACTATTAAAAGAATTTGTCGGACTAAGTTGGACGTACGTATTCCATTTGCTCCCTCCGTTAGAGCTTTTCTCGACTCAACTGCTCTTCTTATGTGGGAATTTCTGACATTCTGACCCTTCGTTTGCGTGACATCGCAGGTCGAGCAGCTCTACAGAAGAGTACCTGGAACCTAAAACAGGACTTGAAGATCGGATCCAGCAATTCTTTGCGCCTGTCCTGCATGATAACCTGACGGCGCCGTATGTAGCGCCCGACGGGAAAGTGTTTGAATTGAAGAAGGATGATGGTGGGGAGGTGGTTTGGACGGAGAAATTGGGGAAGAAGGTTCGTACATTTCATGGTCTCCCTAATTCCTCCTTTCTCTGCTTGGGCTGGGTCCCGCGGTTCCTGTTGATTCAAATGTCGCGATGAGTGGATGCTAATAGTTGACGTTGGCGGAATAGATCCTAATCATCGATATCGATACCCGCGTCCCTTCCGGCCCGAACCAGATCCTAGATGACAAGCGTGTAGACTACGATAGGAATGAGTTCAAAAACGGAGGAGATTTGGTCAGTAACTCTGTGTTTGATCACTATCTCTACGGTACTTTCCTTCCCCCCCTCTCTCCTCAATTCCTTGTCCCTCTACTCTACTATAGGACAAATATATTCAAAGCTGATCAATGAGTTCTGAACAGCCCAAATTCACAACTACACCTACAAGTTCTATCAAGCCCAGCCCCTCGACGGCCTCCACAATACATGGATCCTCCCGCCCACACTCCTGTCCTTCCTGGCCTCCCACAACTACACCCACATCGTAACCATGGACGCAGACGTTAGCATAACTCACCCCGAACTCCCCCTGGAATGGCTCTTCAACCGCTGGGGGATCACGCGCCGCACTTCCATCGCCATGCCCTGGGATACCGAGGAAACGCACGGTGACGCGTTGGTGTCGACAGACAGCAAAGGACTTCAAGTCCTCAACACCGGATTAGTGGTTGTTCAAGATTTAGAGTATACGCGGGAGATGATGGAAGCGTGGCGGGATTGTCCGAATGACGAACGCTGGCAAGGATGTAGTAGGTGGAAGGAGGAATGGAGTCATGAACAGAGGGCTTTTAGCGAGTTTGTGAGGTACGAGTTCAATCCTGAGGGGGATAACATTGTTGTAAGTGCTGCTTTCTCATTCTTCCCATTATTTTTCTTTCCCCAGTGGGAAGAGTTTTACTAACGGGCTATGTGTCAACAGGCCATTCCATGCGACGATGCAATGTCGTTTCCCGGAATGAAGGCGCAGTATGAAGGACGCATTGTGTCGGATTGCAATGGAACTTTCTTTCGACATCATACGTTGAATAAGGAGAGGACGAAGGGGAGTGTTGCTGCATCAGTTATGCAAGTTCTGTTCGGGATGGTGCAGGATGAGATCAAGGAGAATAAAGATGATATCTGGATCGTGGAGGAGAAAAAAGAGCGTGGTGATACATAGAGCGCCACGATCATAAAGAGGCTCAAGGGTATTCTGAGGATCGTAAAGCTCGGTGTGATGGGTTTATCTGCGAATGTTGATTTTGGAGTTTCTCCCTAGAGAATAATCACATACTGTTTATCCTGTTCTTCACCGTGAATACAAAACAGCACTTTCCGCGTGTACACACAGAATAATCATGAACTCGTTCCACATTGGCAGTACCTCATCCGGGAAAAGAAAAGAAGAAGAAAAAGGCCCCCATCCACCCCCGTTCCTTCCCATCTCTCCCTACATCTACCCAGTCATAGGCTCCGCCCCATTAAGCTCGCAATAATACGTCCACTCGTCACCCCCAATATGCCACCCCGCCGAATTGCAGTGATTCATCGCTCCCGTCTTAACCTATTCCCCCCAAAATCCACACCATTAGCAAAATACTCCAAACATCCTCCTCACTCTACCCCAATAAAAGTAAAAAAAAAAAGGAGGGGAAGAGGAGCTTACCATGACGCAATCGGGACAAGTATCCCACTGCTCACCGCCGGTATTCCGCATAAAGTAGTTACCGCACGAAGCGACAGTCGCGGCTTCGTCGTACACGGCTTGTCCGCCGACGCTCTTGTAGCAGACGCCATTTGTGTGGAGTTCGGCTGCTGTGCGGGAGGTGAGGGTGAATAGGAGGGTGGCTAGGAAGGTGGTTGTTGGGACGTGCATGTTGGTCGTGACGGTGGGATAGTGAAGTATCTATCAAACGAATGTATAAAGTCGGTGTAGTAACGAAACGAGTGTGTGTTATCTTCTCGATCGAAGATAAGATAGTAAAAAAAATGCAAGAACGAATGTGGTTGGTAGATGGAAGGATATCGTGGGATCAGTGGGTGAGGGGTGGAAGTGGTGAGTGGGTGTTGAGGTGTACTTATGCATCATTTTACTGTCCTCTTTCGTTCCTCTCAGCACCCCCGTACATCTCAATCTTACCCAACTTTTGTTTGCATCTGTCTATCTCGGCTTCTATTCTAGGCGAGCGTGGGGTTGGCCTTGGGCATGAGCATGATGCGGCGGGTCGGAGGTATGTCGGCGTTAATGCGGTGCTCTCTCCTGGACAGGAGGGGCCTGGTTGTTACTCATGATATTTGCGGGGATGGAGATACTGCGGAAGTCCGCGGAATACGTGCCTATTTTTTGGGGAATACAAGTGAGGATTCTGTTTCTCGCCGTGTGGTGTTTCGCAAGGGATGATTGTCTTGGAAGGGGATGACAAGTTAAGGCATGGCTGTGTTGCGAAAGACGAGGCACTAATTATTTGTTATAGACGAAGCCTGGGTGTTTATTTGTGGGGTTTATTGGATTTGGTTATGGAGGAGAATCTGAAGCCCCTATTTTGAGTTTGATGTGTGTATGTGGGTGTGTTTGGCAGTGACGGTTTTCTGATGTAGCACCCTCTCCAGAGCTCTTTCTTGGTAGTCATCGAATATTTACAAATATATCAAATACATGCAATGTAAATACTCAGTTTTTGACAGTAATGTTTATGAGTCCTGCGCATTAGGTATTAGTGAGTGCAGACCGTAGGTGGATTGCCCGAAATCAGCTGCATCATGTATTTGCCACGTGATCAGATGATATTCGTAAGATATACCGCCAAGCTTCAAAATTAAAATGAAAATCACACGAGCAGGATATCAGAATGAGGCATTGCAAGCTTGGTATACACAGAATGCGAGACAGTGTAACAAACTATGGGCGAATCGGACCGAGTTTGTCACAAGTTACGTACTACACCACCACCCATGGCGATATCCGATCTAAGGGATAAGGAGTGAAACCGAAAAGGTGGAAATTCTTAACCTTTAGAAGCTACTCCCGTTATGCAAACAAAGACTGAGATCAGATCATAGGGTATAGCGGACTACTGGAAAGGTATGCCAAGATGGGGCAACACATGAACATGAAACTGTATTTTGACCGAGAACTACCTTGAATTGGTTACTTCGTAGAAGTAATGCACGAGTAAACTATTTGATAGCACTTGCATTTCTGATGCAAATACGTCGGAAGAAAATAGAGCGATGAGGAGAGCATGAATACCTCTCGGTGAAATATAACGTTTTCTCTTGTGGGTTTTAAGTGTACATAGCAAAGGCAAACCTATATAAGCAAGATTTTGTTCTCAGCAAATATTTTTCGCTATCTATCTCTTTAGATTCTCACGCTCTTTTCCTAGTCACTCGTTTTGGCCTTCCATCAATTCCACCCTCATTCTTTGTTTTCCTTAAACGCAATCACTCTCGGCTTCCCTGCACAGTGCACCAAAGACCACAAGTTCATCATCATGTACACCAACTACCTTCTCAATATCCTTGCGGTGTCCTCACTCACCATCGCTGCCCCGGCTGTTGGGAAAGAAGATAGCATTCAAACGTTCCAACAGCTCCGTCAACGCGGTTCATCATCATCGACTGCAAACCCAGTCAAGATCGGCTTAGAAGATGTAGTTCTCTACTCCAGAGACGGACGTTATCAACTCATGAAACGTGATGATCTCGAAACAATCCAAGAACTCCGCCGTAACAAAACTGCCCCGCCTAAACCGTGTTCCCTAGAGACCAACCTCTTCCGTGGCCCCGCACCCGCCGCATCGCCCCCCGCTCAAGCCAGATCCGCACCTCTTCAGGCCAGAGCCGATGGCTCCGTCAAGCTCATCGTTCCCAACCCCCCGTCCCGCTTTCTCGGATGGGATGTACAGATGTCTTCCGTCATCAAAGGCGCACCCACTACCTTGACCGTATCCTCGGGCTACGAAATATCGAACACAATTGGCGTTGAAGCCTCCACGGAATTCAGTATTGTCAAAGACTTCCTCAGCGCCTCGTTATCTATCAGCTATGAGCAAAGCTGGACGTCTTCGCAATCCCAGCAGTTCGAGGCTGAGGTACCGGAGGGAAAGTTTGGCGTGTTCGTGAGCAACCCTTGGACTGATAGAAATAGTGGTGTTGTTTTTGAGGGTAGGATCGGGGAAGAGGGGACGACTAGCGCTTATCAAGCGGATTCTTTTACGGCGAAGGGGTTTAGTGGGCTAGAGTGGGTGGATGGTGTGATTTCGCTTTGCACGGGCGACTCTTTGCCTTTGGCTAGGTGCGTTGGTGAGGGCACTTTCTAAAGGTTCTGGGGTTGGAAATGAGAAACGCGACACACTAAGGGAATGTAAGATGTTCATGGTAGCATGAGATGGTTTGAATGATGAATGATTGAATTTACGTATTTTCTCTTCTTGAACTCGTATGATGATTGAACCACGCTGAACATGTTTGATGTGGACCTAACCTCTACTTGATGGAAAGGTTTATGAGATCGATTTTAGATGGTGCCCTGGCTAGGATTGTTTTCTTTCGATGTTCGAGCGACGCAATCGGTGGCGAAAAGTAACCCCTCCGTGCGGCCATTCAATTTCACGTGCATTTATTGGATCGTACGTTCGCTCCAACAGCCTAAGTGAATACAGATGAATTGCGACCGAAATACCATACGTTACATGCAGACATCGGGGTGGATCGCAGTGAATTCACGATTCAAACTTCCCGATGTTGGATCTAATGTCTTGGGAACAATTCAAGTATACCTATCTTGCGATATCTGCTGTTCCTATTCCAGGGCCAAGGTAGCCATTTTAATCTACCTGCGGGCCTCTAGTAAGCACAGACCTGATGAATGTTTCCACCAACCACGAGCCTTACGCACCGTACGCGATTTTGCGGGGAAGAACTAACCAGCGTAGATCCCCTAGTACACTCTGTTTACAGAAGCTATTCTGTAGGGACTCTTCCCTATAGCCGATCTCAATGGGAGCACAATGCAATAAAAACGGAGGATTTCCGATCTGAAAGCCGAGAGGATAAATATATAAAGAAAGCTAAGCGAATGGGAAAAGCTTGACGATCGTTCCAGGGTGGTTTTTCCCGGCGATCTACAGGTGCGAAAATAGAGGCGGAGACGGCAAAATCCTTAATACGAGAAGAACAAAACCCGTGGCACTGTGGCACAAAGCTTGTGTATTCATCGCAAATCAGAGTGTGGCCGAAATGATAGTCATATATAGGCTCGCGAAATAGCTAGTATTTCGTCTCCCCATCTCAACGTGTTGTTGGTTTTCATTCCTTTCTCAAATCCAATTTCTCTCTCTATATATCTTCGTTAACATGCGTTCTGGTCTGTCTTTGTTGTTGTGCGTGGCAGCTACAACGCTAGCCGCACCCCTCGAAAAGCGCGCAGATCGTACCCAAGCACCTGCGGGATGTCTTGAAGTCGGTGGCTCAGGCCTATACAAAACCGTTCAGTCTGCGGTCGATGCACTTTCTAAGTCGACTACTACATCGCAATGCGTGTTTGTCAACCCGGGTACCTACCAGGAGCAGGTCGTAGTCAGCGGTTTCAAGTCTCCCATCGTCCTATACGGTTACACTACAGACACTTCAAGCTACACTGGGAACAAAGTGACCATTACCCAGTCTAAAAGTCAGATGGACGGAATCGGCAATGATGCGACTGCCACTTTGCGCGCCGCAACTCCAAATCTCAAGGTTTACAATATCAACTTTGTGAACTCGTACGGAAAGGGCTCTCAAGCTGTCGCTGTTAGTGCTTCCAAGGACAAACAAGGCTACTATGGCGTGTCTATGAAGGGATTCCAGGATACCCTTCTTGCAAACGAGGGTAATCAAATCTACGCCAAAAGCTTCATTGAGGGCGCAACGGACTTCATCTTTGGTCAGAGAGCTACGGCTTGGTTTGATGGCGTAACCATCAATGTTGTTTCCGCCGGCATCGGTTACATCACTGCGAATGGACGAGACAGCGATTCCAACCCCTCGTATTATGTTATCAACAAGTCTACCGTCACTGGCAACTCGGGTGCGGGAACTTATTACCTTGGGCGCCCCTGGAGGAACTACTCTCGCGTGGTCTTCCAGAACACTGCTTTGAGCAACGTTATTAATGGGGCTGGCTGGAGCACCTGGCAATCGGCCGACCCAAGGACTGATAAGGTTACTTATGGCGGTATGTATCTACCTTTCCCGTCTGTTTGTGACTAAATGTATATTGCGTTACTGACTGTCCGCAGAATTCGGAAACACGGGTGATGGCGCAAGAGGAACACGCGCAAACTTCTCCAAGAAGCTATCTTCTGCTGTGTCCATTGAGACCATCCTCGGAAGTTCTTACAGAGACTGGGTAGACACCAGCTATCTCTCTTAATTTCTCTTCGAGCCTTCACAAATCAACATTTCACCTTCTTGAAACGCACGTTCTTTCCTGCGCTTGATTGACCATGCGGCCTGTGTCATTTCCTCGATAGCCCATGCGTTCTGTATATATCCTACAAATGCTGAATCGCGAATTATCCCGGGAATTCTACCGCGCCGTGCTCTGCATTCGGCCCGATCTAGACCTACCACTCAATATCTTTCATTTGTGTGCGCATTGATAACATTTTAGCATCTGCAGAGGGAGGAAAGATAAACACAACTGATGACCGCGAAGCATCGCAATCCGGTTAGTAGTATGCCTTATACAGGTACCAAGAATGGTATCAGTGGGAACTTGCAGATTCTCTAAAATCGATTGATACATGCCATGCACCAGCCCCACCCTTTTCTCCAAGATTCACGCCCTACCACGTGCATCATGCTTTGGCTTCATACACTAAACCATCGCCTACCACACTTGCGATTTTATACAGCAGCTATATCTCTGATAATATATCATGTAGAAGTTTTGCTACTTGAATGTACCCGCCCGTATACAGGAGAATACCCTCGGCTCCTTCGCTTGAAAGCTATCCCGAACTCAGCACCAGTGCACGTACGCCAAGCCGCACTCCGTCATAAAAAACCCCGGATTCACTCTCCCGACCCCGCTAATTGGCAGATTGGCGGACACGGGATCTAAACAGTTTCCCCAAGCTTGAACTTACCCCAGCTTTCTCCAGGAAAGGTTGGTCGAAATAGTTGGGCGAAGGAGGCCGAGGTGAGGGGAGCTTCCTAGCTCGGGGTGCGAGGGATCATCGAGGTGTGATGGACGAATGATCAGCATGTTTTGTTACCTGCTTTGTGATGGCGGTACATGCGGAGGGGGAGGAACTGGGTTTAAATAAGACGGTGAGGTACGTATAAGATCTTGAGCTATTTCTTTCTTTTTGATTGCGATCGATCTCGTCTCGCCACTCACGGTACCTAGCCAGCCAGCATCTTTTGTGTTTGTTGCTTGTAACACCTCGCGCGCATACTTGTGTCTGCGTATGATCGTAACTTGAATCAGTGATAGAAAGACCTCTTTCGAGGATAGCCACAATGGGTATCTTCAAGAAAAATAGACTCAGGCATCGCGATGATCAGCGGACGAATGCTGCTGAACTGACTTTGCGCCAATCCATCTACCCACTTGCTCTCGTCACAATTTTGTTCTTCTTATGGGTAAGTACTTCACACAGATAGAAATCCGACAATTTAGGACGAGGTAAACTAATGCGCAAATCCCAGGGCTTCTCCTACGGCCTCATTGACACTCTCAACAAACACTTCCAACTCTCTCTTGGTATAACACGCGCCCGCTCGTCAGGCCTCCAAGCCGCCTACTTCGGTGCCTACCCGCTCGCTTCTCTCGGCCACGCCAACTGGATTTTGCGGCATTATGGGTATAAAGCTGTCTTCATCTGGGGCCTATTCCTGTATGGTGTGGGTAGCTTGATTGCTTGGCCATGCCTGCTCAATCGCAGCTTCGGTGGGTTTTGCGCAGCAATTTTCGTGATCGGAAATGGCTTGGGAAGCTTGGAGACGGCGGCGAATCCGTACTTGACGGTTTGCGGACCGCCGAGATATGCTGAGATCCGCATTAATGTGGTACGTATTTCTGCGTGCGTGTGGTTGAGATGTTACGAGAGCTGATCAATCGCCATTCAAGGCTCAAGCTTTTAACGGAATCGGAACCGTTGTTGCACCTGTACTCGCTAGTTACGTTTTCTTCAAAAACACTGAGGACAATGTGGACTCGATGAAAAACGTGCAGTGGACATACCTGGCCACCGCCATCTTTGTGTTCATTCTAGCGGTGGTCTTCTACCTATCTCCAATCCCCGAGATCACGGTTAGTCTTCCTTGTTATGGATAAATTGATCGTAAGCTAACTCGGCATAGGATGCAGACATGGTACGAACCCCAACCTGAATCAACCCACCGTACAACGTAGTTGGAGACATCTGCGCGCAAAAAAAGCCCCCCTACTAATGCAGTCGCAGGCTTTTCAAGCTGAAGAAACCCACGCGGGTACCGATCAGAAACCGTTCTTCAAGCAGTACCGACTTTTCCATGCTACCTTCGCGCAATTTTGCTACACCGGTTCCCAGGTCGCTATTGCTGGCGCTTTCAGTAAGCTTTTATTCGGGAATTCGTTGGCTGCCTATCATTTTCTGATCATACCTAGTTAACTACGTGACTGAAACCCGCCTCAACACCGACGCCCCAGCTGCCTCGCGTTTCCTGGCTGGCGCACAAGGCGCTTTCGCTTTCGGTCGATTCGTCGGAGTCGGATTGATGAAATACATACGCCCGCGCTGGGTCTATCTCGCCTTCATGACAATGTGTATAGTTTTCCTCGCACCCTCCATTACGCAGCGCGGAGACATAGGCATGAGTATGCTCTACATTACGCTTTTCTTTGAGTCTATCATCTTCCCAACGACGGTAGCTCTCGGTATGCGCGGTCTGGGCAAGTACTCGAAACGCGGGAGTGGTTTCATCGTGGGCGGTGTTTGCGGAGGCGCTGTTGTTCCCCCACTGCTCTTCGTCGCCGCAGATGCTCAAGGAACGGTTGATGTGGCAGGGGGGAAAGCACCGACTGCTTTTGCGATGGTGGTTCCGCTTGTTTTCTTCATCGCTGCATGGACTTATTCGCTATGTGTGAACTTTGCTCCAAAATACAAGACTGTAGTAGACCGTCTTGGAAATGCGGAAATCGGTGTAGTAGATAAGGGAAGAACCGATGTCGAGGCTGGTGCTGGAAGCGGGAAAGAAGGGGTGTTAGGTGAAAAGACCGAGGTTGTACCCGATAATGGTAGGATTTGATAGGGCGGTAACATCTAAGATAGTATGCTTGACCAAATTTGTCCATATTAGAGTTGGGAAATGGTGTATATGCTACCTGATTCGTTGAATATAGTAATAAATCAACTGCGCGATACGAGCGGAGGGCGGACAGCGACGCGTCATTGCAACAGATTCCCAGAGTGAAATCTTATATGATATATTGCTGTCAAACACCCGCGATTTCTAGCAATACTGTATAAGATTTCATGTCTAAAAATTGCAAAACAACATTGAGGGATTACAACATGACCCTGGCGATAACTACCAACGATGGCAGAATACGTACGCGCAAACCTTTGGGTGACACAATTCGAGTTCTTGGGCTTTAGGACGCACGGATGCACTAAATGGGCAATTACTGGTGGGCTGGGGAAGAGAAGGACTGACTACGTGATGTTCACCAAAGTGTTCTACAACGACTTCAAGTGAGCCTGGACTAGAAAACAATGGCAACGCGTAATACGAATTATCTACCCACTCGTACATGTTTCGTACATCCTTAAAGACGGCGTTCTAACAGCACAGCACTGAGTTTCGGACCTTGCCAATACCCGTACGAGACCTGCTTTCACTAAGCCACTATGTCCGAGCGTGGTTAGCGTGTCCTTCACAGTTTACATCACGTCCTCCTTGATAATGTTGGTGTACATCATCCAGATAAACCTGCAGAATATGACGACGCTTCTGCTTCGAAGACAGAAGACAGAAGACAGAAGATGCATGAGACATCGAGTGCATTCATAGCATATGGAGTTTTTTTGTGTTACTAGTTTGGTCGACATGTTCTCATTGTGTATGATCCGTGGCATGCTAAACACATTAGACTAACCTAATGTAATGCGTCAACCTTCTCCGATAATCTGCTAATATGTCCGTGTCCCTATTCCGTAAACCATTGTACGAGAATACAGGTAGAAGCATCAGACTCGTCATCCACCTACGTACTACAACACAGAGATCATCGCCAAAAAATGAATTTCCCGACAACTGTCGGTGTACGCGTCAAGGCTTGTCCCTGTAGTATTTTTAACTATGGAACACTCCTTCGAGTGATTGACCAATACCAACAGATAGCGGTGTCTTTACGGTGGAAGCTGGGGGCGCGCTTTGATTCGACAGTCTATGCACAGCATGGCTGGTACAAATAGAGCTTGGCAGACTTCATTCAGGAGTGATATGAAGAAGATGGACATGGTAACGATGGCTTCTATTTAACTACTTCATTAAAGCAGGGCAATGTACCCAAATCATTTCTCAAATTCCAACTTCTCGTTACCATTTTGACATTATCGATTCCAAATCATGGCTCAACTCATAGAGACAGTGGCTCTCTTTGTGTTGCTTCTGGCTTCAGCCGGTCTCACTTTGGCTTTTACTCGATTTCCCTGTTACACCACCATCTGCTCTGAAGACTACTTCCTCTACGAAGTAACCATCCACCTTATCGTCTACTATGTAATGCTCACGGTCCTAAGCTTGATATTGTTTCTCCGAACTCGCGTTACAGCGATCCAGTCCCTGATGGGAGCCCATATTCCAGGAATGCTGTCGGTCGTGGGAAGGACGGTGACTCTTGGGAATATTCTCACTTTGACCTGGATCGTGGGCATTACAGCTACCATGACTGCATTGTGGCTGCCCAAACAACTGAAATATTGGGGAGCACGCACTGATCCCTTCGGCTGGGCTTCCACCAAGATACAACTAGCGGCTACCGGTGTCGCTGGTCATTATGCAGATATTCTTCTCGGGCTCCTACTTCTACCTACTTCTCGAAACAGCTTGATCGGTCGAGCATTCTCTATTCATCAGAGCACCCTGCTCTTCGCACATAAGATAATCGCCTATCTCTTCATTATCGCATCGGTTGCACACGGAGGAGTGTTCTTGGTAAGCGCGAATGACTAAATATCAATCATAGATTACGCAAATCTGACATGAGGCAGACATACGAAAGTAGCGAGCGGGACAAGAAGAAAGAAGAAGCATTTGCTGATGGCAACCCATTCCTGACCCTGTCCGAGTCAGAAACTAGAGGCTCCTGGTTTACAAAGACATTGTATACGGGTGCTATCACACTAGTGATGTTGGTCGTTATACTCTTGACCTCCATTCCCTGGGTTCGCCGGAACCATTACAACGTCTTTTACTACAACCATGTCCTATTCGGCATCTTGACAATGGCGGGCGCTTCGTTGCATGCAAGTACGAACTTCTACCTCATACTTCCGGGTCTCACACTCTATGTTTTCGATCGTATCCACCGGCAATGGCGCCAGAGGATCTATAAAAGCACGGTAGCTACGGTCGAAAATGCTGGAAACGACTGGGTCCGCATCTCTCTCTTGGGCAGTGACCGAGATGACTTGCCACTCGTGGAGAAATCCATAAGTAGAAGCAACCCACTGGATTACTACTACCTCAACTTTCCCGATGTGAGCTTGTACCAAAACCATCCTTTCACGGCTGTCGCACCGGCGACATCGGAGAACAGAGCAAAGTTTCTTTTCCAACCTTCCAGTGGAAAGTCTCAGCAGAAGTCGATGAAGGAGTGGACATGGAATCTCAGCGGCTATGTGCCGCGTCACAGAAGCTCTGCTACGCTAGACGTACAGGTACAGGGTCCATATCGTGTCAATGACGATGGATACAAAACTGCTTCTCATATCATGTGTATCGTTGGAGGAACAGGAATTACTGGCGCTTGCAGCCTCGTTCATTGGTGGCTGAGCAACGGCATGCAAGATACATTCATGACGGTCGTGTGGACAGTCCGGGAGCGAAGAACAGCAGATGTGCAGGAATGGCTCGACCTACAATCTGCTAGCAGATCCGATCGAAATCTCACGTTGATACTGCATGTCAGTTCGGAGACCGGTAGACTGGAGCCAGAGTCGGTCCTGCAGCGTCATCTGATGGTTGAAGAAACGCGATCTACTGGACCTGATTGCGCTTGGATTTATGCATCTGGTCCGGATGGTTTGCTCAGAGCAACTGAGGCGGCATGCGTAAACGTCAAAAAGCACTCAGACAACGCCGAGAGAGCCAATGTCTCCTGGTATATTGCTAGATGGGAAGTTTAGATAGTTTTCTCCTTTTTTCTTCGTTCACTAGATCTCCGCTTATCTCATTACAGTAACTTCCCAATTCTTATGTACAGTTCTATATATTAAAAAATACAAAAAATAAGCGCAATTCACCTTCCGAAGTGGGACGTGATTTGTGTGACAAATCTATTCGTATCATACATTTCCACTTAGCCAGTATCATCATACCTGGTTTTGCGTTTTCTATAGACAAATCGCATAGAGCTTTCTCGACTATGATTGGGATAGCAATATGGGGTTATCAACCTTGCTGATTTATCGGCAAATGACTGTATTTCCCTCGTACTGAATGTGGATGGCTCACCTAATTGTCCTGGATGCCCTCACCTATAAGTACCTCACTGTTCGTGCGACGTGCAACAGATAGATCTAAATGGTTGAGTCAGAGTTCTCATATTTGAGAAATGATGGGGGCCGAGAAAAGTGGCAAACTATTTGTACGAGGTTCGGATCGGGTTTGATCCGATCTCCGTATATCCGAATGCGGATGCGGATGGGGGCGGTTTACCCAGCAAAACTTCGTACTCAGCATGGACCTTCGCCGCATGTAAGCCGCCATGACTGTGTTTCAGGCAGAAAGAACAAAGATCCATTTTTTTAGCCTATCATTGATCTTCATGTGGGGATCTGGAACTAGTGTTACAGCGACGTCCTGACCGTAGACTTGGTCGTGTATTTAAAGAAACGGACATATTTCCCGAGCGATCTTTCTACCTTTCCTTTGTACATTGAATAAAAAATGCGAAAAGTAGATCTTTCAGCTCTAGGATGGAATTATAACACCATGACCTCGCCTGTTCTTGGTGTGCATTGCGTGGAAACTGTTTATGTCCAATTGATAGCAAGGGTGTCCGTTAACGCAATGCCGATAGATGACGTACATGAAAGAAGTTAGTGATTATGTATATGGAAACACACGGCCGTCAGAATACTTCCTCTCGAAACCAGTCAAGCGTGCGGCGATACTTGTCAATGCCAACTGAGTCTCATAGTTGGATATTGGCGAAGTATGGCACGAGCCCTAGCAGTGAGCAGATGCAGAATGTGGTTAACCTTGAGCCGGCATTTCTTGATTAACCCATGCATTCGGTCAAGCTCGCAAACGTCAAATCGACTTTGCGAATCATGGTTGCCTTCTATACGTGGGACTCCCTGTAGTAGCACCCTGTAGTAGCACTACGATTATATCGATGACTTCGGGCACTTAAAAGGATACGGTAAGCTTGTCGTGGGCGACTTGCGAATTCTACAATCAATCCACCGCGTTTCAGATATTTTGACGTCTCTGGCCAGCTAGGGGGAAGTCGGCCTCTAAAGCTACCTATTGGCGGCTTCTAGCAACATCTAGCGCTTCCACAGCGCTCCACTTCCTGAACCTTAGCTCCAAGATGGCTGATTCGTGCCGCGGAAGTCGATCATTCCAGATCTGTTTCCCAAGTAAATACGGTGATACGATAGATCGCGACTACCACGGGGGTTTTCCATCGGCCTACAAGAGCCACACTTTCCATGCTACTCGCCGGTGAGGGTCATGGGACCTATACGACACTAGTGGTCGAATCATCGAACACGTCCAACACTAGATAATTCAAGTCACTTGTGAGCACAAATAGTTGGATAATTGGTGCTGCAGTACTTGGGATTGATCTAAATTTTGTTCGTGAGATCTACTCGAGTCGGTGATATGCTAACCCACAGTCGGACTGTGATCGGAATACTGATGTTCGTCATATCGAGCCGATAAATGGGGGTTTGAAACAACCATACAAAAATAACCCAATATTGTACTAGGTCGAATGAATCAGCTTGGCGTTAGCGCATCTGTCATGGTGGCACCCGAGTAGTAAAACATCGATTTTGCTTTGACATCTCCTTTAATATTGTGAGGCTGGATATATATGATCACTTCAGGCCAACCAAGCTCGTTCGCATGTCTGCGTTTCTCTTTTGTAATTTTTCATCATGAAGTGGTTTGATACCTTGTTGCTAGCAATCTGGCTGGTTCCATTTTGGAGCACCTTAGTCCACGCTCAAGCGGCCGGCCTCGAACTACTACCTACGTGCCTTGTGAGTTCAATTTGATCATCGGCATGAGTTTAGCTGACAAATTTCGCAGTTGCAATGTGCGGACAGTACTCCCCAGATCGCAAAATGCATGGCGAAACTGGATGTATGCGGCGAAGAGTGCCGTATCGCCATTCAGGACCCCGTAATGCAGATGTGCCTTGCAACGGCATGCACACGCTCGGAGATACTCACCGCCCTCGACGCACAATCGGTCATATGCGAGGATCCGGTCCGCGACAAGTCGAAGACATATCGAATCTTCATCATCACATTCTTTGGCGTCGCGATTGCGGCGATTTTCTTTCGTTATTTGACACACTTCACTGTTGGACGCTCGAATTGGCTGGACCATACAATAATGGCATTCATCGTGGTTAGTTATTGCATCCATGAGTAGGGAAAACGCACGACTTATACATGTATAGCTACTTGATGTCGGATTCATCACCGTGTGCATTACAATGTGTAAGTGTGATTGTTCACGCCATTCGATCTAAAAGCTGATCTTGTAAGCATACATCGGACTCGGCAGGGACATGTGGAAAGTGGATCAGGACGATATCACTCCTACGCTCTTGGTACATATCCCTCCTCTCACAATAATAACTGATGCTAACCGCTATCTCAGTACTTTTGGTTCGGACAGATGGCCTACGTCTTACTTATTGGCTTAATCAAGATCTCGGTCTTACGCTTCTTTTTGCATATCTTTCCTAACAGGGGCTTCCGGTGGATAGTATGGATATGCATTGTCTTCACTGTAGCATTCTCGCTCGCATTCGCTTTCCTGGCATCGTTTGGATGCGCGCCAGTCAGCTTTGCTTGGACACAATGGGACGGCATCCATGAAGGCAAGTGCATGAATGTCAACATGTTCGCATATATACATGCTGGGGTCGGCATTGCTTTGGATCTCTTCTCGCTAGCATTGCCGGTGACACAGATTTGGAATCTGCAACTGTCAATGCGGAAGAAGATCGGCGTACTGATGATGTTCGGCGTGGGTGCTTTGTAAGTGGTTTTTTAAGTCTTGACTGGTGGCCACCAACCTCTCATTAACGATACTAGTGTCACTGTGGTCTCGATTCTCCGGCTTAAGGCCCTGGTTCACTTTGCAAACACCCAAAACATAACCTGTAAGTACTCAATGTCAACCTATCACTTCACTCGCTAATCTCATGCACAGGGGATTATGTCGAGGCCAGCTTATGGTCCAACATAGAAGTCCAGGTTGGGATCATTTGCGCCTGCATGCCAGCTATTCGGCTGGGCCTTGTGAGGCTGTTCCCCAAAATTAGGGGCAGCTCACGCGAAGCTTCGAATCAGTCGTCTCGACGACGAGCAAATTTCCCCTCTATTTCCCCTCCTATACAGGAGCGTAGTAGGAATGATATCTCCGTGAAAACTAGCGTGCGCGTCACCATCGCGAAAAAACCTTCTGTTAGTACCGAGGGCAGTTTCGTGAAATTGGTCGACATTGAGAGGTATCCCCGGTCAATGGACAGAATATAGGGGGACAACGTTAATGGATTTGATAGCCATGCGCAAGTCGGGATGACTCTGGAAGTACACCTGTCGTAGCTATCGATCATACCTCATTATTATAGTAATATTAATCATCCAGAGAAACTCACGAGTATATACAATCTTCCAAACTTCTGAAATTGAAGATTACAGCAAACGAATGCGAATCGCCAAAGGCTGGTTTCTTCCCAAAGACGGTTCGAGGATGTTCGAAAATTTCTTATCACTTGTGCAATTAGGACCCATGTTAAGTAAATTTCCCAAAACTTCTCCCAGTAACGCTGCCTGCCAATTCGCACATGTGATGACCGATTTCCATCCTCCGTTGGGGGCCATCCTACGAATTGCGGGAACGTCTCCGGCATGTCTCATGCTCAACTTGCGGAAACCAGCCTGCGCTAGCTCTTAGGCTAGAAAATACGAATCTGAACCATATCAATGCATATGCGTTGTCGGAGTTTCTCCGCATCATGATAGTTTCGCATGGGTACGTTCGATGTTCAGCTCCTCAAAAATCATCCTCAGCTCCACAGACACCCTATCCGCATAGGATTTAGCCTACACATGGTTCCATCACCACCTCGGATACAGCCTATCGTGCACTGCCCAGGTGGGCGAATAGTCAACTTTTGTTACATCATATGATTTCCTTTGGTGTTTGTGACGAAATTCGTTGATCCCAAAAACCTCCATTGATTGCAAGTGTTACATGGTACACATTATTATTTACACGAGCAACTTCAATGAGAGAGTAGACATGCCCAGTGTGCATCGGGTGTGTGAGAAGCCATTAGAGAAATAAGCACCCTTGGCATACATTTTGATAGCGATGATGAGGTTGGTGGTGGCTGGGCATTAGCTCGGGCAGTGAACAAATGGTGAGAGCGGGACAGAACATGCGGTTTGGGACTCGTTCATGGACATGTGCGTGCGCAACGGCTGATGTTAGTCTATCCAAGAGATAGTGGACTGAGGTTTGCGGAGGCTGAAAGACCGACAAGCCATAGTGAGAGAATTGATGTTTAAGGAGGGGTTGTGGCGGAGGAAAGGTCTTAGTTCGTCTAAGCTTCTGCAGAAAGGTGTGCATGTACCAATATGGTCTGCTCACTATGCTTTTCTTAGGATAATTCCACTACCCGTTACATGTACAAGCTCGCTGGGCTGAGCTCGCAAAATTTGCTTAGCGAGACTAATGCTATTCTTGAGCAGATAGTATCATCTAGATCGAGTGGTTGATTGATGAATTAAGACGTACAGTAGCAACTACCAGGGACCCATATAAAGCTCGCATGAATCCCCAGAATGGCCATCAATACATCGGACTAATCATCACAGCCTACAACTTCGATTTACGATAGCAACAGAATCACTAAGCAAACATCAATCTCGGAAGAACAACGCAACATCATGTCACCCCCACATTCTATTCTCGCAGCTCTGATACTCTTCGCTACCGCAGCTCACTCTTATCCGACTGCCACCCCATTAGATCAAATCGCTTCCAATGCCGATGCTCTTGAATTGACCTTGAAGGAACGTTCTCCGAACCCACAGTATTGGGCAAACCAAATGAATCCTGCACCATCCGATTCGTACCCGAACGATCCCAGTGACATTGCTCCCGACTTCAACCATGACGGTGCTGCACTATCCAAACGTTTCCCTACCGGTAACAACATTGTGAAACCTTTCTATATCTCTCAGTTCAATCCATCATCTCAGTCGGTAACACACAATCCCACGACGGGCAAAGTGTCTTTCAGCGGCGGAGTGACCACGATCTTCACGTTCAACATGCCCTCTAATCTGGCTGGGCGCAAGTGCACCATAGGCTTTTCTTTGGAATCTCGCGATAATAGTGTCAAGCTGTCGAACGGCAACCCGGTCGTCATGGTACGTAAACGATGCACTTCCAATTTCTACGCAGTCGTCTCTCTTAGAATATGTGAATCATTGTTCTTACAGATAATATAGGTTTATTCTCGCGCCTCTGCTCCACCCCAAATGAATATACGCAGCTGGACCACAGCCGGTTCCAATCGCGTCGATCACATAGGCAACCTCAAACTCAATCGCAACGGCAACGCCGATATATTTGAGACTCCCACGTCACTACGGGACTTTGATTGCATGACCATGCAGCGCGCATGGGAGGTAGCTCCCAGGTTCAACGTTGAGGCAGAGTGGGGTAATGGCGCGGGGAGTGGAATGTACATCTCGTATAAATGATTCGGAGTTTTCGTGTTCTTTTTTCCCAGTTGGTCATCCTATTTGACTATCTGTTTGAGCTTTCGTGGTATTTCTGGTTTTCGTCTGTTCTGTATTCCAGCTTTTCTGGCGGTATTTCTGGGTTGCGATAGTTATTGAGCAGATGTAATCAGTGGATAATAACGTTGAGGTGAGAAGTAAACCACGGGTATTATTTTGGATTTGATGACGCTCTTTGAGAGTGCAGAAGTAGAACGCGCCTGAATGTATTCCACTTTCCATTGATTCATATCGAGTAGGAATTTGTCGTCTATCGGTTCCTCTCACAATCATTAAACCCCGAAGCACTGGGGCGGACAGTTGAACAAACAAATGATTCCTGAGCTTCCTTCCAAAAACAATGTTAATGCAGAAGTGACGAAGCGAATGAATCCCGGTACCAGCGCAGGGACATTATCACACGGTACCCCTTCAATCCATTACACTAAAGAATGTGCGGATCAACTTCCACGACAGGCCCTTTATAAGACTTCCTCGCGTAAACAAGGTAGTATCCAACACTAAAAATCGCCACGCACCCTGTGACAAGCACCGCCCAATTCATGTCAGCCGGGTTACTGACGATCAACTGGGCGGGCCAAAAGCTGAAGAACACCATCAGCAAAAGGTAGCAGCAGGCCACAATGTTGTTTACAACCCCAAAGGTGCCTCTGATCCGCCACGGTCCCCAGGTCAGTTTGCGATCATATATCTCGTCTTGAGCGGCTGAAGAGCTGAAGGCGGTTAGCGAGGTATTAGTCTTGTCCATGTCGCCCCGGAGCCGGCGCCATAGAAGGAGACCAATGGCCAGAAAATAGGAGATGTAAAAGCCTTCCAGAACAAGAGAGATTGTGCCATTGAAGGCGACACTGTTGCCGATGTTGATGAGGGCGAGAAGGGCAGAGAAGCCAGTTGCCACAAGAATCGAGACGACCGGGATGGTGGTGCGCTTATCAATCTGGAATTGATAGTTAGACATTGTATTACATTGGAAAGGGGTATATTCACCATGCTGAGTACCCGTGAAAAGGGTAGTCCACGATCGCGCGCAAAGGACCACGTCATTCGTGACGCCGCAGCTAAGCATCCCATTGCACTACAAAACTCCAGCACCACGATTATGGAGGTCATGACTGTGGCTCCAGTTTTAGAGCCCGTTACGCGTTCGAAGATGACCATAGCTGCCGAGACAGGTGACGCGTTCGTCTCCAGAATCTGAGCGATATCTCCAGCGCTGAAGAGTACGGCTAACATCATACCGATCGAGAGACAGCCGTTGATGATCAAGCTGAGGAGCATTGACCGAGGCACGTCAACGCTAGCATTTCTAACCTCTTCGGACATCTATTTGACGTCAATCGTGCCGACCAACTAAATGGTGGTATACTTACATGTACAGGCGAGTCGGTGCCCACGAAAGCCAAAGCGTTCCCCTGCAATCCCACAAAGAAGGCCAAAGCTCTACTTTGCCACCCCCCAAAATTGTTGAAAGTCTTAAATACCTCCTTGGCTGCATTGTGGGATGAGGTGAGATACACAAGTGGAACCAGGATCCCGAAGAAGCCCAAAATGTGTATAATGAGCACAACAACTTCGATGGTCGGAAGTGCACCGCTAACAAAGATGTTGATGAAAACACATAGTAGCAGTGTTCCCCATAGTAGAAGCGTTGCGTGCCATAGTTCTCTCGAGTATTGTGATACGTTCAGTTCAACGAGACTCAACGTCAAGTCGGACACGAAGAAGGCCGTGGATGTCAAGGCCGCGATCCAGCCGATGACAGTCAGCCAACCTGAGAAAATCAGTTTCCAGGAGTTCGAGATGATTTGTCTGGCTTACCGGTCATGTAACTAAAGAAGTTCTTACTCGATCGTGGTGCAAGAAGTGAGACCCAGTGATACTGACCTCCAGCTGTAGGGATAGCACTGGACAATTCCCCGATCACCATAAAGACGGAGAGATTGCCGAGCCAGACGAGTGTAAGTCCATATAAGAGCCCTGCTGGTCCACCACTGTATAGCTGTTAACCATTGATGAATGTACGGGGCGCAAAGTGACGAGAAAACATACTTTCTGAAGCCGATGGCAAAGACACTGTAGACAGTCAGCTAAGCACGAGTTGACGTGTTCTGCGAGTTACGTACACTAGAATACTCTCCCATGTGCACATAAGCCCAGCAGAAAGTCCGGTCATGGAAACCAATCCAAATCGGCGCTAAAGAAGTCAGCCACCACGAATCGATGCATTGGTAGGGTGTGTTATCACCTTCAACACTTGCTCTTTCCCGGCTCGAGCAAGCTCATATCTATCACGATCGAAGTCATTGGGCTTGATGGAGTCCGACACGGAGTTGTTTGCTCGGACTCCATTTCCACCGTCAATAACCGATAGATTAATGGTTTTTTCCATCGTGGACGACAGTTCGTCTATCCTGGCTTCTTCAATCGATTCGATGCAAGATTTCCGGGATGGGGGTGAATATAAGTAAAAGGCTAACTTTCACTGACCCGATCAACGAAGGGTAGTAAAGATAGAAACCAGATACGAGGACTCGTAGTACGATGACCATGTAATGCAGGTCAATCGCGGGTGTTTGGGGATCTTTCCCATGTGCACCAAAAACAGAATTATAAAGGGATGACAGATAACGGTATCTGCGGGTAAAAGATGCGCCGTGAATGCGCGCTGTGAATTTGGGCTGTGAATCCGGGCTGTGAATGCGCGCCATAAAAGCTAGATTCAAGGGCTACACGTTGCGGAAACCAACAGACTTTGACGTATTGTACTACCTTCTCTCACTTGAACAGTATCGCAACACTCGGCGCTCATTCGCCAATTTGGTCGCACAGACAGATTAGATGGTTTCTGCGCTTCGCAGTGGCATGCATCAGTGGGCATCCCTTACCGGGCTCTGACCACCAAACACTCAATTACCAATCGTATAATTTGCCGAGATTCTGCACTGTACACCAGCTAACGCTCACGCGTGGCTTCTTGTACTTCAGGACGCTTGCCACTCGAGACGAACGAGACACTACTAACGCACTCAGTGCGTTTGTTGAGACAAGCTTATGGAGACCAAGTGTTGCACCGAGCTTAGTCTCCCGATCATGTATGTATTGAGGTAAGTAGGCTACCGGTGTCTTGCAGCAAAGACAACATGTCATGCGGCTGGAAAGGCAGAAAAGAGATGATCCCGCATGCCAACGTTATACTCGGGAACACAAAGCTCCAGAATGTGAAATGAAGGAATGAGAAATTCGATCGGAATCATCCAATCTTGGGAAGTCCTAACTATGAAAAGTCAAGTGCGACACGTGGAAGACAGTATTGTGCAAGCGTCTGGCATGTCTCCTGGCGCCACTTTAGGTGCGTTCATGTAGAGTGCAATTCTGACGATTTGCCTCGGTAGGCAATTGTGGGGCTATCAATAAGAAATGCTGTTGGGTGTAGGATGAAAGCCATATCAGTACCAATTATCCAGAGATGAGCTATAGGAAAGTCGGGAAAAAGTGGGCATTACGCAACTGCACTCAGTTTTGGAAACTGCGCATCTTACTGTACATTTGTTTGTAATTCGCTTTTAAGCCAGGCCAGGTTCAAATCAGAGGACAAAATGCCGAGCGATTCAACAATTCATTATTGCTGTACGCCGTCATGTCACATGCCCAGTCCTATGATTTCGGTGCTTGTCTTGATAATCTCGTGAGAGTTGATGATGTGAGGACATCACGATCAATATATCAGGTACAAAATTTTTGAGAGACATGAGACATGGACACATCGCAAAAAAATGTATTCCATTTGTGCCCAGGTATCTCGACTATCAGGATTACTCAATAATATTCTAAATCATACCTATTGTTCCAGGGAACAGGGTATGATCGGAATACAAGGTCATCTAGACGATAGAACCTTTAACTGTCTGTCCGTAACACGGTAATGTCATCGTCAGATTGCCGATTACTCTGTCTTTCTTCCCATTCCGCGCTCATGACGGTAGTCTTGACAATTTTCGCTTGACTGCCAGTGCTCTCTGTCTCCCACTTCCCGAGCTCAGAAGCGGTTTCGTCTTTCCGCGCAGTGATCTCAACATTGATCCTACCGTCTGACCGCTTTGGTCCTCCAGGCAGTCCACTGGCTGAATTGGCGTTATTTGTACCCACCTCACTCAGTGTAGGAAGGAATCGCCTGATGCCACTTTCTCCGCTGTGACTACGTTTTGCGCGTTTCTCCCACGGGTGTAGGAAAGAGTTCGTTGAGCTTAACTTGTAGGACTCGCCATTGTTCCGAGTGCGCGCATATCTTGAACTAGATGTGGAGTTACCTCGTCTGCGTAGCTCATCCACAGCGTAGAGACCGGTTAGAAGGTCCTCGAGGAGTGGTCGTAGGTAGGGAACGCAGGATGTGAGAATCGTCAGGCATTCGATAACCTGGGTGGTGAGGGTCCATGTCCACAGAGCGCGGGTGGGATCTGGCGAGTGAAAATCAGGCACGTAACTAAGCTGAATCGCAGTTGCGACGATGTCGCTATGTGGTGTCAGAATGAGGGCACTGTGATATTGTCATAATGCAGGCTAACTTACAGCGACCGGGACCCGAAGAAACATAGTATGGTTATCTTCTTCTTCATGCTCATCTGCAACGTAAGAATAATGTGAATCGGGAACAGGACCAAAAATAGATCTGTTATCATATTGCCAACAGCGACCCCGAGCCACACCTTGATCTACGAGACATGTTAGCAGGCATATGAATAGATCAATGCATGCCACATACCATGCTAAGACATTTATCTGTTGTGTCAGAGTATTGCCATGGCCGATCGATCCCACACTGGAACGCTGCTGTGAATTCTGACACCAACCCCCAGAGCGCAATCATAGCAGTCAACGCGATTCCCATATTCCGGTGCAGGTCGGAGGCGGTGAGGATCATGAGCAGTGAGATAATAGATAGTTTTGCTAGTGCCAAGGTCGCGATGTAAAGGAGTTTGTTCGCATATTCCGCCTGCAAGCTATCAGGGAGGATGAACATGAAGAAAAAGCCGGCTCTTCGTGTTTTGGCTAGGCTTCGGGATGATTAAACTTGATCGGACTCACCTTTTCGTAAATGGGGATGCTGCCGGGGTCCAACATAGCTTTACTGCGTCCTAGTCCATTTTTCGTTTGCACAGTGACTGCGACCCCAGATCCTATACTGGCAAGCTATTGATGCAAAGATGTATCAGCGATTGTGCATATGCGCTGTATTGCATACGAAGAAAGGCGGGAGTCGCGGAGCTATCGGGAACATACAAGCGCGGCAGCCACAAAAGCATCATCGACATCGATTCTCCTTCTGAGCGCTCTTTTCGTGACCAGCCTTGTCAAAACCGCCAGCGTTGAAGTGATGAGCATAATCCACGTAACAACGTTTACGAATGGTCCAGAATCCGAATCCGAACCTCGATGCCGTACCACGTATGCATGCCGGGTCGCTGCAAAGTCCATGGCATTGCTAGCTGAGTCAAGATCTTATGATAAACTGTGGCGCGGATCCTGGACATTCGAACAAAAAGCAATGAATATACTGAAGCAAAGATATGTAGAATTTTGCTGCGATCGCGAGTGTTTACAAACATGGGAAACAAAGTAGTCTAATTAGCGCAATTTCCAATGTTCTCTATGGAAGAAATTAAGGCGTCTGTGTTTCCATTGAATACGGCGCAGCACTTTCATACCGATCCGGCGGAAGTCATGGGGATGCTAGAGGGGGGCAACACCAGGCTCTCACCCTATGATCATAATGGGGGTGCAAAAGCTGAAGTACGTGGCACTGGAGCAAGGAAGCGACCCATCAGTATGCAAGGAGGGACATCGCGCTTATACAGTTGAAAGTACGGCATTGGCTTTGAGCGACTCGAGGGTGGTAACGTCCGCCAAGCTTACTGTTTTTGTTACTTGCAGTTTGGATTTAAGGCAGTGAAACCGCTGGGTGATACAAGTGCAACATGAATGTATCACAGCAGTGGCTGAGAAGTCGTACAGACGCGATCAAGCGACCTGTGAACATATCAACAAGCAGGAGTTATCAGACAGATGATTCGCGGGATCTGGCCTGCAAGATAAGACAGGCATACCGATCGTCTCTTCACGCCAATGCCGTGGTTGTGAGGAGCCGATTATATGTCTCGCTGAATCGCAATCATTCATCACTCATGTTAATGACCTTCGGTTTTCGGCAATCAATAATATAAATTGTGTGCCGATCGCTTAGCCATACATCCTTGAATCAACATCCGCCATATCGGTAAAGACAGTATTTCACTGCAGGAAGTCCGTGTACACATCGATCCCCGCTTTTCCCGGGCTTCCACACTCTTTGATTGGTGTCAAGTCAGATTTCTTTCCAAATCAATATGGGTGCGATCATACTCACCAAAGTGCTTCATTTTTCTTTCTGGCGTCTGTCAAAGCTGCAGCGAGCGCAGAGTCTTGCTCCGCGACGATGTAGATACCCGGCATGAGCATGTGTACCGAGGGAACATAACCTGGTGGCCAAAGTGGCGAAGCGGGTGCAGCGATTGCTGTGGTCGCCAAAGCCGTGACCAAAGCGGTGAGGATCGTGAAGGCATGCATGATTCTGGTTTATTGACTTGATGAGTAGAAAAGGCTCGGAGATGCGATATATTGAATCAATGCATATCGTGAGGGTTATTTGGTGGCATTATATACAATTTTCCGTAGCAAAACTCGAAATAGTGATGAAGACGTGATCACACACTACTATATCTAAACGAGTTAACATCTGTAGGAGCGAAACTTTGGACGAAGATATGTTTGGGTGGATTCGTGCGCAAAAGAGGATTGTGCAGTCTGAATCCTGCTCTGTGACTCTGGTGAGTCGTATTGTAGCCAGCATAGCCCGTTGTGCACATGTCGTTTGGACTACTGTATGGTTATCGTGACATCAAAGTCATCACCACTGGTCTGCCTTCGAAGAAAGTGGGGCGTATGAGGTTTTTTGAACGACGTGAAGTGTTATTTTCTAGTGTGATGAACGTCAAGTAGGAGTGGGTACAACGACGCCCTGGGTATACAAACCAATTAAATTGAGAAATAGTCAAATTTTGAAGCCAGATAGCAAGAGATCATGTGCCATGGGTTGGGCTTTTGTTACTTATGCCAACTTAAGAGGTGGCAAAAAAGTGGAGCAGCCCTTCTACTTTATACGACAGTGTTTGTGAGCAAGTTGTAGGGCGAAGATATCTCGATTATCTTCGCGATTTGAATGAAATAAGACGTTTTTGTAATATCAAACCATGTCATTATTTCATTGAATATTTCCCCCGTATGCATCTCTGTGTCCATGAAGATCAAAGTACGTCCTCATAGCAGGGAGATACGGTGAATCTGGTGGGCAATATGCAAAGAGCTCAACCCTTTCTGTGGCCTCTCGATAGTCATCAAAGCGGTGACAAGCATTTTGCTCCGATTCAGAAGCCCATTCTTTCAGCTTATTCCAATCCCGACATCGTCGGACTTGACCGCTACCCACATGGTATGCAGATTCAGCTGGCATCGGAGTATCATCCGCTATGCACAAAACATCTTGTCGCAATCCATCAAGACAGTGAAGAAGGTGGTCGAAAGAGAAATTGTGGTTCTCTTTGAAGTGATTCGAAACCAAAGCCTTACGTATGACTTTCTAGGTGCGAGTCAGCCTTATAAATCTGAAACGGGTGAAAACATTAGATAAAGACATACCAAACAATGTAGATCATGAATCCCTTTCACATAATAGACGCCTCGTTCCGTATCCCAAGGAAAGCGCATTGATGGTTCTAGACCAAGATCCTTTGCGTATCTATCGTGAAGGGTGACGGCCATGGAATCGGTGTCTATCGCATCCCAGGCAGCATCAAGATCTTTGCGACTTGTATTGAGACTCCAATACTCATTTTGAGATTGGTAGGAGACTCTTACGTCGAAAGTTGTGCCGCCTGTTTCAGTCAGTAACACTGACAGCCTGGGATATGCGGGATACTCACTATAATCTGACATCCCCCAATCTCGACTTGCGTTGCGGAGGCGTCCATTATCTATCACTAACAGGATGTTGGTGGCCAGAGAGATCAAGAATACAGACATGTAGATGATGAAACTGCAAGTATGCGTAGGTATGATCTGTGTATGGTCGCTCCAATCCACCCCTAAACCCTTCTCGTCGACCTGCAGGCTGTCTTCCACATTGAGCAGAGGGTAGTAGTCGTGGTTCTGCCTCATGATGAAGTCAATATCGATGTAGACAAAATGACAAGTAACCCAGCCATGCATCAGAAGATTCAATGCAACGCTTTGCGCCACACTTCTATTAAAACTGTACAGAGTGTAGCCGTTGGTCAAGCATGGCAATCCCCCAACCGATTGACCAAGCTCGGACCAGGGATCAATCGCGGCGTGACGCCGGTGTCGGCAGGTGTGATGGTACGTAGATAGTAGTACTTTGTGTGACAGGCAGTGTGATTGGCTGTCGATCCGTTACCATGTATGTAGCACAGGGTGAAAGCAAGCCTCCCGGTCAGAACTCGATCTCAATTTATCTACCCTGATCATGGAAATTGAAGCATATGCCTATCTAGGCATAACTTCAGGCTTCAGCCCGGATCATATAGTTTATGTTGCTCTTCAGTTTACCACAACTTGCTCACACACCTCTCGTTAATGTGGTGATCAGAGTAGCGGCGGGTAGATGCTACTATTTAGCACAACGCTAAACCGCAAATGGACGCCTTCCTCTTCGAGCATGGTCACTTCATCATACAATCACTCGGTCACTATTACTTATCTCTCCCTCATGACAGGTCTCTGTGACACTCAACCAGTTGTTTACTCAAAGACGCACTCCATCACCATACTTGCGCCCTCCGCTACAAACAAACATGGGGTCAAACCCTCAAAATGAGCCCAGCGAATCACTCAAATACTACTTGAGAAAAGTGCAAGTCGAGGAAGAAATGGATCATATTTTGGAAGTCATCAGAAAAGCAAACTACACCCCGTACGATCCCATTGTGGAGATTGTCTTTCCGGTGAATGGTCTCACAGGCGTCGAGTGCGACAAAGCTCTAGCTGAGCACAAACAAAGGCTTTGGGATGAACACAACACAGACCCATCCAGTAACTGGTTCTACGTAGTCGAGGCTACGTCTCTGAAGCCTGTTGGCTGCTGTCAGTGGCAAATACATCCATCCGATCCTTTCACAGAAAATCCCCGAGTAGTCACCGCGCCATGGTGGCCAGCTGGTGAGAGGCGCGAGTTCTGCGAGGCCATATTAAACAAGATCTATCACGCACGAATGCAGTTGATGCGAAAACCATTCCAAGGTAAGTATATATAATTTTTCAACCTCTTTATATACCCGTATCTAACGTCACAAGCGCTGGCTTGGATGGCTGTCGTCCCACAACATCGCCGACAAGGCATCGGTGCAATGCTCATGCGGGCAGGAATCGACAACGCAGACGCGCGAGATCTCGAATGTTGGATCGAAGCATCTGCAATGGGAAAACCGCTCTACGAAAACTTTGGTTTCAAGGCTTTATCCACGATCAACCTGGACACATCGAAGGATGGGGAAAGCGAGGTTTGGGCACAGTGTCGACAGCAGTTGACTCCCCCTCCGATAACCACAATGTGGAGGCCGTGTAAAAGTGTCCAAATCGGTAGCGGGGAAATTATCGTGCCATTTCAGCCTGTCGGAGCTTGAGAGAATGGAATCAAGGCATCATCGACGGAAGGGTGTTCCCTTTACTTACTCCGTGCATCACGATTGGTTTAAGAGTTGGCGTTCCGGGAGAACATTTTCATCTTTGCAGATCAAGTTCGGGAACGCGCATTACATTCAATTTCATACTAGATATTACGGTCACCCAATCCCATCCATGGTAGGAATTCTTTAGGGATCGGCGTTCGGATGATTATATATCACAAGCCTAGTATGCTTTCACATTCAATTTTGGGGCTGTATAATTCCATTCTACATTCGTGCAATACAAATGTTGTTTTCCTAATGTTCCCATTTGTATAATCTCAAAATTTTAGGAAACCCTATCTCAATGAGTTTCCACCCGAAACAAATCAGCTGACTCTATTTCTTTGTTGCTGGACTATTCCACTCTGGTCGTGAAATTGTCCAAACGGAGACAATCTCATATGAACAGTAATGGGATTTACTATTCACTCTCTATGCAATCTTCTAAATCTTACGAGCTACCTAAATACCTATAAAACAATGCCCCAAATGAGGAATAGATAAAATAGTCTACTATATACATGATGACTACCTAATGAGATGAGCGCTCAACCAACAGAAGGAAAAACTACCCCACCTTCGTGAAATATTGAACATACAAAGCCATCCTCGAAACTCCAGCCGTCGTTCCTTCCCAGAGAATGTCCGTAGTCCGCCGAGTCGATCTCTGAGACGATGCAAACCCGATCTAATCCTTGAATACACTCTCAATGTCTCCGCAGCCCGAATCGGACCCAACCATTCTGCATTGATCTTTTTCAAAGACTTAGGCTCGAGATTCGCATCTCTCCATAACCATCTATTCTCCCCCCTGCGCAGGACCCTCGGTATTTGGTGGCATTTTCGCCTTGCCTTTGTTGCCATGCGGGTCTTTGCCTTTATTTGAGCGACTGAGTTCGATTTTTTCGCGCTTTTGAGATACTTCTGGTGGTACGGATGACTTGTCCTTCTGTTGCTTGGCTTCTCTGGGGTGGCTGGGTTGAACTTGTCCGTCGGTTGTGGAAACAAGGCACATTCTGGACTGATTTCGGTCGAGTATTGGAAGTGGGATTTTGTGGTTTTGGCGGTGAGTGTTTGCAGTTTTGATGGCGATCCTTGTAAATTGGGCTTCGGGCAGAGAGGGTGCGCAGATGAAGGTGTGTAATTGATGAAAGATTGAAGTTTTTGAGGAGCAGTGCAGCTAAATGACAGGTGATGACTTTTCTTCTTTAATGTTAAAGTGATGTCTGGTTTGATAGGGAAGTTTGATTGAGTGCAGAATTCTTTGCTCTTTAAATACTACTCGTTTACTCATGACAGCGGGTGACTGTGAGTCGTGAGTCGTTTGGCAAGCACCAGTCACAATTGCGTTGGATGACAGCACTATTAACACAGCTATTAAAGAGATGCATGACTGTCGCTTGAATGTATGGTTTCTCCACAAATGAGGAATGACGAGTTTTCGGCTGTTCAGTAGATGGTGCCATGCTCAACTTATACATTTCGTGAGAAGGACTGGATACACGAGGCAGTAACATGGTACGACACTGATAACATTTGCATTGAAATATTGATCCCGCCAGCAATACACGTCAGGAAAACCTAATAACAGCTGCATACTAGTCCTGAACCCAGCTATCCACATAGAGAATAAAGCAGATTGAACGTGACAATGAGTGGCCCAAGAATACAAATGACTGGCGCACATATCCGCGAAAAAGAAAAGTGGGAGACTAATTACTCATGAAGACACACTGATTCTCTTATCTCTTGTAGTAGAGGTAGTATATCCGTCGTGTTTCAGGATCCACCTTTGCCCAATTAACAAAGGGATCATTCGCAATCGCGCCTCGACGAGCCTGCGGGACTGGGGTGGAATGGCTCTTAGCCGGTCTGTACTTATTTCCAGGGGGAGGAACCTCTTGATGTCTTTTGTTTTTGCGCGTAGGTAGACTTTCGTCGGGTTGTAGCTTTTTTGAGATGGCTTAGTCTTGGATGGCTTTTTGCGAGTTTTGTTACTGGGGCTGAACGAACGAATCCTAGATGGTTGGGAACCCATCATTTGGGATTTATACTAGTCTAGTGTGATGAGGTTATACAACTCCAAACGGTTGTGACGATATAGTCTTCGGGCATTGATTCGCGAGAAGGAATAAAGGAGATTGTCAGAAAGCGATTGTGTAGAATGCGATTCTCCAGGCGAAGGTGGTGTGATGTAGCTTAGAGGATGTTATCAATAATCTCGAGGTACATGTATTATGAACAAACAAATTTTTCGTTAGAAATCAATGGTTTGGGACTTCACTTGTTTCACATTGAATCATCGGGATAGAATCGACTGCAATGAGTAGTTGTGAAAGAGCCCAGGTATTATATTAACATCGAGAAATGCTTCACTTTATAAACGCCTTTACACGTCACCAATTGAATGAGTGAAGATTTGAGGTTTCCCGAAAAGTCTGTATTGAAGACAGGGAAGACAGGGAAGATCTACTATGACCATCAAATAGGTGATTCATACCATATAGAGATCGCAACAAACCCCGAGGTAACAGCTTGGGTTCTGCATGAACCCAAGTTCAAACATATACAGTCTGGTCCAAGGAAGAGACAAAAAGCAGAACACACGCGCGACATGTAGGAAATATACAATGAAAGATACATGGCCAGCACGCATACAAGAGAAACAAGGAAAATTATTAACAGGAAAAGAGTTTAAGAGAATATACACAAGATGAACACTGATACAGGAAATGAATGAAATATGGGATTATGCAGAACCTTGCTCGTCATCCTCTCTCTGCTTCTTGAGTTCATTCATTGTGGGCTTGTACAGGTAGTTGAAATTTCCTCGGGCCTCGTCAGTCACATTCTCGGAGTCATCCACATATTCTCTCATGAGTTCGTCACTTATCTGAGCTAGAGATTTTCCACCTGGGTAGATTATAGGCAAAATTTGGCTTGGCTTATATCTGATTGGCAAATAGCTAATTGATAATCTGTAGGATGTAAGTATGTAGAATATAGGGAAGGTGATATAGTTTCCAGCAAGAAAATTGCAGCATCGGTTATTATATCTCTATTCTTCCCACACATGAAGTGGTGTGACTGTCTATTTACATAATGAGGCAAACTTGAAACACATAGATCTGTAAGACGGGCTTTGTGACGCTCCATACACGATTAGTGACTCCCTGTGACAATGTGCGGCTGAGTACACTGAGTAAACTGAGCTTCCATGCTTGATATGATTCAATACATGAGCTTTGGATTCACTGGAAATGGCAAATCATTGCGTGACGATTTAATCATACGATAGATCTCTAAGGAAAATATAATCATTCTGCTCAATTCAGTCCCTACGCAGGCGGAGTGGAATTATAATAAAATATAGGGTTTCAGGGAAGACATAAGTTCAAAAGGGCAATCATTCGGACCACCAAAAGTAGAATGGTCACCCTTGTTCGCATAGATATATGTAATATATCTCATTTATCATTTCAATTTCAAAAACAAACATACTGAACATCGCAAAATTAACAAACTAGCTGTGGAATCCATATTACAAACACAAAAGCAAAAACAACAAATTGACAGTAGGATCTATAATACAGAAACAAAAACAAGAAATTAACAGCAGAACCTGTGATGAAACAAACAAAAACAAAAATTCGAATAAAACCCCGAAAAGAAATGACCGAAAGGAAGGCGAACAACAAGTACAACGCCGAAATGCATCAACAAAAGCACCTACTGCCTAACTCAGTCCCGCTCCCGGAATAATCTGTCAGGACCCTCTCCAATTAACTGGTTTCCATCTTTATCTGCGTTTCGAACTTCACTTGTCCATCTCATTCGACGTTGTTCGATCGAGTCTGTTACCAGCTGTCTAGTATGCATGTCGCTGACTGGTCCAGATGGCCTGCTTCTGCTCTTCACCCGTTTACCTTCTGGGTGATCATTCTTAAGGCTAAGCGCGGGTTGCTGCGATGGCTGCTGGCTTGACTGGCCGGCTTGCGCGTTGGCAGTGGAGTGACTCTTCGAAGACCTGCGCTTTTTCTTGGGTTGGCTTGTGGTGGAGGATGTTGGGTTTTGTCCTGATTGCGGATCGAATGAGGTCAATCGATAGTTCGGTTGCTGCTCTGTTTGCTGGTCCCTAGAATCTTGCGTGGAACCACAATTACCCATTTTAGCTGCGTGAGAGGGCGGATTCGGGGAGGTTTTTTCCTTTCTTTTTTTTTTGGGTGCGCCGATATGAGTTCGAATCGGAAACTGGAGTGTAAGACTTTGTCGATAGAGAACTCGCAAAATTAGATTCTGACGTTGATATTAAAAAAAGATTTATTGGGGAAAGAAAGTGTTGGAATCGATGTTGTAGAGCGTGATTGTGCAGATAAGAACTTGGTAGGGTGTGCAAAGGATAAAATGCCTCTTAGATCTCGTAGAGTAGGCAGTGTTGTAAGGTTGAGGAAGAAGGGAGAAAGCACCACGGCTGATCTTTTTATACGTTCATCTTGTAAAGAGTGACTGTGAATCCTGGCATACAGTGGTAGTCAACTAAGTACACAGTCAGAGCGTGTGCGTCCAAAGGTTGCGCTGAGCAAGACCCAACAAATGATGACTCCAATCGTGCGTAGACACTACTCGCACAGAGAAATAGCAAAGCTTTTCAGCCGTGGTGATCAGAGTATAACATCGTGATTCTGAGATGAGGCAATCGAACTTACAGTTTATATCTAGGAAAAGAACTTCATGTCCACCCAGCCTATTTGCTGGAATGAGAGGAGGTTCATGGAATCAGATGAGCGATTAAGATAAGTGACGGCAGGTGAACTCGCACGGCAAAAAGACCAGATAGATTGAGAGCAAGGAGCACTAGTTTCGTACACTATCTTTCACTGCTTGATTCGCTTGCCCTTCTCTTGCTCCTCGCATCTATTGCCCTCCGATGACAATGCGAATCCCTACGTCCGGGACTGCTTAGGTACTTTGTTTTCCGAACTCACGGATTCGTTGGGCGGAGGTGTTCCTTCGATGGCTGGGACAGGGATTTTCGGGTGGTTTACGTTATTCGGGGGAGGTTTGCTTGTGTTGGGTGGCTGTTCAAATGGCTGCGATTGGTCCTCGTTAGGTTCTTGCGGAGGTGTTATTTTGATTTCTGGGACAGGACCGTTCGGGCGGTTTACGTATTCTGGGGAAGGTTTGCTGTAGTAATTTCCCATGATCGAAAGAGATAGGTTGGGGGAGTGGCGCAGTCTGGATGTGTCGCGCGGGGGTATTAGGCGATGCAACAATAGTTTTAGTGTGTGTTTGCTATACTCAAAGATAGGAGTTGTAACTATGTATGATGTGTGCTTGCGGATTGTGGATATCTTTGTCAATAGATAAGCGCTTTTATGGAGAAGTGCTTCACTTGCTTGACACACCCGGCTATGCCTACATATGTAGTCATCAAATGTGTGACTGCAGATCGTGACACAAGCCTTTGACTCACGAATTCTCTTGTCAGAGCATATGTGTCGAGCAGCTGCTCTCTGCAAGACTCATCAACAATCATGCACCCCTTTGCATCTTAGTTTTTAAACAATTGATCGGGAGCGATAAATCGAGTTGGGACCAGAAGATTCCAAAAACGTAACTGGAGTATAATAATAGAACCTTGAAAACTCTTAATTCATCGAGCTAAAACATGACTATATACGTATATCCCCACATATGAAGTCCCGCTCTCACCCTCTCATAGGAAAACACAGCTGTAACGCCGAAAACAGAAATGACCATTTTCTCGACCTAAGAAACACGCAGAACCACAACATAAAATTATCGCCCTAGATATATGAACCAGCACATGTACCCTGGAACGTCCCCGTATTCAAACCCCCCGAAATCAATCAGCATCACTCAGAACCTCCTAAATTTTGCCTCAAGAGGTCTCGCCCTCTCTATCCCCCGAAATTCCCTCTTCTTCCCCCAAGCTCCACCCAACTTGGGATCCGGATTATCGTATTTATGCAAATCGCCTACTGCTTGGGATTTGATATTGCGGAGAGCTTGAGACTTGTAGTTGCGCTTGTGTTGGGAGTTGTTAGGGTCGCCGGAGCGGTTGTATAGGGAGGGCTTGTATTTGGTTTTGGTGGGCTGTTTGTAGGTGGAATGGGATGTTTTGGGGGCTTTAGGGGCTTTGGGGGCTTTGGGGTGGGAGCGAGATTTTGAGGGGTATGAAGGGGAGGCCTTGGAAGTGGAGGTGAAGGAGGAGAAAAGCGTTGACAAGAATGATGGCATCATTGTATGTATGCTGTGTAGTAGATTTCTTGACTGTCGGGGGTGAGAAGATTGTTGATATGATGAAGATGCTTGAGCAAGCTGTAGGGAAATACTTGCTGAACAAAGTGCTATTTATTTATGCCACCATCAAATTTGCATGGGGTTGTGGAGGACACCATGCAATGTGTGGAGTGAAGGTGTATTCACGGCTTTGTGAAGTGATGCATTGCTGTGACTGCTCTGATGAATGTGATGTGAACATCCTGTAGGATTCATTACGGACCGTAAGGCAGCCAGTGAGACAGTGAAGAATTGATAAAGGTCAAAGGTTTCTGAAGATACGTTTGGTATTCGCAGAATGATTACTTGAAAAGAAGAATGGAACAGGGCTTAGAAGATATCACTCCAAACGATGATACTGAAAAATTGATGATGCAGGTCAAAAAGCAACAATGAGAACTTCCGAAGGAATATATATAGCATTATGGTGAAACACAGATAGTCCGTAAGAGAAGAAGGGTATCGCAGTCCAGAAAGGCCATAGACGAGATAGTACTTCCCAAGTAGTCTCAACTCGCCATAATTTGAAGACTTTTTAATGAACTTTCCTATCCCTCTTTCTATTGGGGCCTTGCTTCCGTTGCAGTTGAGCCTGGGTCTGGCGAGAAGTGTTAGACACCGCGACGCGGGGAACAATGCACTTTACAGAGAAGTCCTCGGTTGATTGTGAATTGCCCGAATGGTAATGGTGATGCTATGAATATTCAGATATCGCTCGCTGAATTGGACGGTTTGCTGCGTTGACTCCTTTCTTGAATTGCTTGTTGCTACAGGCTTCTTTCAAAGCACGAGAATCGTCCGGGTGACTTTGACGATGTTTTCGGTATCCAGATTTCACTCGCTTAACTAGATGGACTCCTTTCTTGGCTACTTTCTTGACTAGTCTGTTGCTCGAGTATAAGGGTTTGCCAACGGGATTGAACTTCGGGAAACCAAACTCACTTTCTGTTCTTGAAACAGCAACATAAGATTTGGACAACAGGAAGCGGCATGGCGAAAGATTCACTGTACGTGAGGTTGGAAATCGATGAAAGCTTTATGCAGGTTCTTGAAGCGATTTGCTGGTTGAAGTGGCTGGTTCCGGCGAGGGCAGGTATATGGGTGTGAGGAAGGTAAAGGAGTGCAAAGACTTGAGAATAGACCTTTTTATATTGTTACCATGGAGAAAGATGCTGAGACTCATATATCGTGCCCTCGACGTGTCATGGGTGTGTTGAGTCCGCCCGGGTATTTGTTCAACATCCTGACTCCTTCGTCGCCTTTCATCACTTTGTGCTCTTCCCCTCGACCACCGATATCGTAGACATGACCTCTTGCGAATCATTTTGATCCTTCTCGTCGTTCGACATGTACATTCCAAAGCCCGCGGTGGCCATGATACCGACTCCCATGATTATCCGCGTGTTGGGAGCTAGTCCTTTGTACCACCTGTACATATATTAGTCATCGATTGAAAATGTCAGTAAACGATGGGAAATAGTCTACTCACTGCCACATGCCCATCTCGAAACAGTCACTTGTGATGGGAAACGGTGAAAGAGGAATGATAGACAACAGGCTTCGCCAAAATTTGGCCCTCGGGAGATCGGCTAGCGTGATTGGCCGCCAAGAATCCCAAATGAAGATGCATCGAGGCCACGACACTCCCACAACCTCACGATCGCTATTGCTACAGCTACATAGTGTAAAACAGCATTCCTACCCCATAATTATCGCTCCGTCGCTATATATCTGTGCCTTTCCCTTCCGCAACGCACCTTCCGAAAACACGGCGTAGCGTCTAAAGTTCAAACTCCGCACCACCTCCGTCGCAAAACCCCCCCAGCAACCCGTCCCTCCATGATTTTCCTCCCACCCCGACCTTTGTGGCCAAACCTCTCCTGTGGCCTCCTCCAAATTCTTCACAGCTCGACATGACCGGTTTCCGCCGCTGGGGAAAAGCTAAATTCCAAAAGAACCCCGAGTCGTCGTTCAAGCTCCTGACCGCCATCATCGTAGTAACCCTCTATCTCTTGATAAAGGAGTTCACCCACCCGAGCGCTTACCTGCGCAGGCCTTCGTATGGCACGAGAGTACAGTGTAGTGATTGGAAAAATGGCACGGGAAGAGCGGACAAGGAAAAGGCCGACAAGGTGCGGGACGCCATGAAGTACACCTTTGAGAAGTATAGGCAGAACGCTTGGGGGGAAGATGATATTCTTCCCGTATCTGGAAACCATTCCTCTACTCGGAATGGCTGGGGCGCATTCATTGTGGATTCCGCGACGACGCTTGCGTTGATGGGCCTGTGGGACGAGCTAACGCTTTCCGTGGGGCATATTATCACCATCGACTTCACCAAATCAGAGGACCTCGTGGACCCTTTTGAGACTACAATTCGGTATTTGGGAGGACTTGTATCGCTGGTCGATTTGTATGATGCAGGTGTTATCCCTGAGGAAGTCATAGCCATAGGGACACGCGATCGCATTCTCCAGCAGGCTGTTATATTAGCCAACACACTGGGTCCGGCCTATGACACACCCACCGGTATGCCTTGGCCTCGCGTGGACCTATCAGTGGGGAAAGGCGTTCCCGATCCTCCCTCCGTATACGTTGGACACCCTGAGCGGAAACAGTACGATCAGCCCGCCATCGGTCCGGCTCGCACTGGCTCCTCCATCCTCGAGAATAGGGCTCTGACTCGACTGACTGGCAATCCTGTGTACACGAAGAATTCTACGATAGCATGGGCCCCTCTCGTATGGTCTAAATGGACACCAGCGTTCCATGGCCTAGTTGATGCGCCAATTGATATTACGACTGGAGCTCCCGTAGGACGTGAGCGTAGCTGGGACGCTGGTCATGACTCCTACTACGAGTATCTCCTCAAGATGACTGTTCTTGCACCTCCTTCTGACCCCTACCTCGAAAAGTACAAAACCACCTTCATCCACGCTGTTCAATCCCTCCGCAAATCGCTAGGCACCCGCTCCGCCCCCGCGCCAAACCACGTCATGCAGCACTCATACATTGGACGCAGTAACGATAAATGGTACCTCAATCGACAAACCCACCTCGCCTGTTTTGCCCCCGGTACCATCCTGCTTGCCTCAAAGTCATATGACAAGCCGGAGCTCGAGACCTTTGCTTTAGCCCTCCTTGAAGGCTGCCGCCACGCATACGTATCGACGCCCTCCCAGATCAGTCCAGAGTCCTGGTCTTGGGTCCCAAAGTTTGGCTACGCAGACCCTATCTATATGCCTGTGTCCAAGCGCTCCAAGCGGGAATGGAGAAGAAGCGGAATCTGGTCTAGTGACACAAAATACAGGGGGCGACCAGAATACGTTGAATCGCTGTTCTATGCATATCGCATCACAGGTCAACCTCGTTTCCGCAAATGGGCGTGGGACGCTTTCCAAGCTATGGAGAAACACTGCAAAGCGCCGTATGGGTATGCGCAACTCTCAGACGTGTATCGCGTGGACCCTGGCCAGTGGAGCGGAGACGGTACTGGTCGCTGGATTGATATGCAGGAGAGCTTTTGGGGTGCGGAGACGCTGAAGTATCTGTGGCTGACTTTTGCCGAGAGTGATGTTGCAAGTCTAGATCGGTGGGTTTTTACCACCGAGGGACATCCTTTGAGGATTATGCGTTGAGAATTTGGGGATTGCTGATTAGACGGCAAGTCCCGGGGATCATGATCACGCCAGCCGCGAGCCGGAACGTGAGGGCCTACATGAGCAGATTCGAGCAGATTCGACATGGGAATATTGGATGAATTCTGCACTTGCAGCAAAGGAGTGCCAGTGGTCTAACATCGTCACAAAAGGAAAACTTGAGTGTAGTTATAATTGATGAAGATACCCCCCACTCTCGAGAGGGATCGAGAGATGATAGTTGTATGGCTCTGTCTGCTCCAAAACTCACGCCATGATCTCTTGTTGCGAAGGTATGTTTTATCCGCATTGTTCACTCTTATGAAGGCCACTATCCCCGTTGATATCTTTGCAAATGAATTCACCATAAACCCTGATCATTAATCTTATCCAGTTGTTAGCTGTGAATATATGCCATTGGCATTCGCATTGGCATTACTGGGCTGGGTTGACGAAGTCCATGTGAGCTGATTTGAAACACACTTCATCGAGACGATGCACTTTTGCTGCGGTGAAGCTCAAGAATCATTTCGTCACAATTACGAGTGATGTATTTAGCCGAGATGACGACCAATCAATCGCTATAGCGGTTTATAGCTAACCCTAAGCTAAGCTTTTCAAGTGTACCTACATGATTAGTGCTGCCTGCTATCCATGTCAGTATCTTACACCTCATTCATTAGGTAGGTCCTCGTCAACACGAACTCCAGTACACGAGCTGACAGCTTACTAGACAGGCTGCATTGGGGGCCAGACCCATTCTTTTTGCCGTCTTCTTCGACATTGCCATCGCAGGCAGCGGTTCCGCGCACCCGGTATCGCTGCACACCATCTTCACGTTAAGTGCCGGCGAATAAGAGGGTGGCTCTTACGCCAGCAAAGTCATCGGCATCAATCTTACTCAGCCATCGTTTGAACCTCGTTTGGAAGATTGTGAATGGATCACGAGGAACTATCGAACCAGGCTGCGCGAGTGTGAGATACGAATGTTGGTTTCTTCCTCCCGGGCGGTTAGGCAGTCACCCCCAAGGTTGAGGTTTAGTTAGACTTATCAGGTGCCTACTTAGGTTCTTCACTGCATCATCAAGGCAAGCCACCATCTTACAACAATTTCCCCATTGAGTAATGTTCGTCGTTGGTGTGTGCGGAAGTCCCGGAGCCAACAATCCTCCCGAGCATGGCATTGTCTCTCCAACTAATGGCGCCTTCAACTCGACGTTGTGTAACTACTCGTAGTTCACATAACCGTGTGTAAGAAAGCATCGTGCATGACCCTGCAGCTGCATGGTAAGATGGGCATGAGTCTGGTACCTGAAAGACTGCCTGTGGCGCCTGAGACATACACTACACTGTACTTGAGGACTTTAACCGGCTTGTTATCCAGTAATCCCAAGCATTGGCGTGTTGGACTCGGCCGTTCTCACTGGTCGTCCCTTACAGCTACCGTCCCGTCACCAGGAACCTGGAATAGCGGGCCGCATGAATGTCTAGAACTCATGCATTTCGCCTGCGAGCAACGTATTCTACATGATTTACCCCACGTGGATGTTTTCTAGAAGATAACATTGTTTCGGTACCGAAGCTTCGAAGAACCGCTTCGTAGGATCTGCATACTGTATACACTCCATTTTCGGAAAAGGACCCGCAGACGACGCATTCCTCACATTGCTTGACATGTCACCGCCCAGGTCGGATCGGTCCGCCAGCCATCCATCCGTGAGAACAGAAGCCTCACGCTTACTTGCTGACAGATTGCAAATACTCGGCAGTGCTAAGTGTGGCTTTTTTTTTTCCCTCGTGCCGTCCACCCAACATCGTGTAGCTTCTCGATCAGCATGTAGATTACTCGTACGAAGCGGTGTAACAACCGGTCAGCACAAAGAACATGTACCTATAAAATGATTGAGCTATCCCCCTCAGCAATTGCTCGTTCGTCCTGCAGATCACGGTCTCTATCATTGTTTGTTAGCCCAGCATGCGCGTTATCACTCTTCTTTCCGCCGGCTTGGTTGCCTCCACGGCCGATGCGCTTGTTGCGCGGGCTACTATTGAGAAGTGTCTCACGGACGCCAAAGTTCCAGTCGATAGAAAAGGCTCTCCGGAATGGAACGAGGATGTTGCTCCATTCAACATTCGTCTACCGTACCTTCCCACTGCCATCTCGGTGCCGCAGAACACCAAACACATCCAGGACTCTGTCAAGTGCGGCAAGAAGCTTGGCATCAAGGTTTCTGCCAAGTCTGGTGGCCACAGCTATGCTAGCTTTGGATTTGGTGGCGAGAATGGTCATTTAGTCGTTGAGCTCGACCAGATGTACAATGTTACCTATGATGCAGCAAGCAACCTTGCGACTGTGCAGCCTGGAGCCAGGCTCGGTCACGTAGCAACCGTACTGTATGAGCAGTATGGACGTGCCATTGCTCATGGTACTTGCCCTGGGTAAGTCACTGCAGATCATATCACTCAATGACTCAGGTCCCTGACAATATAACAGTGTTGGCGTGTCGGGACATTTCACGCACGGGGGCTTCGGCTTCAGCTCCCACATGCACGGTCTCGCACTCGACTCGATCCAGAGCGTCGAGATTGTCCTCGCCGATGGATCAGTAAAGACAGCCTCCAGCACCGAAAACTCCGATCTCCTGTGGGGTGTCAAGGGCGCCGGTTCCAACTTCGGCATCGTAGCATCCTGGAAGCTCTCCACCTTCGCCGCACCCCAGGTTCTGACCAGGTTCGGTGTTTCTCTCGGATGGACCAAAGACAATGCTGTCGCCGGTCTCGAAGCCGTCGAAGAATACGTCAGGAACGTCCAGCCCCGCGAAGTCAACTTCCGCATTGGCGACTACAACAAAGGCCAACCGGGAATCGAGGGTCTTTACTACGGTACCGCTGAGGAGTGGGAAGTAGCTTTCAAACCCCTCCTCGATACCCTCCCAGAAGGCTACGAAATCGCCGAACCGCAACAGCTTAACTGGATCCAATCAGTGATCTCGTACTCCAACTACGATGAAGTCGACTGGATCCACCCCAGTCCCGTAAGTCCCCCATCCCTATCCCCATCCCCACATCAATCTCTAACGCGCAAAACAGCAAGAAAACTTCTACGCCAAATCCCTAACCCTCAAAGGCCTGAACGGCACCGCCGCCCAGGCCTTCGTAGACTACTACTTCGATACGGCCAACAAGGTCGTCGACCGCTTCTGGTTCTTCCAGCTCGACTCCCACGGCGGTGCCAATTCCCAGATCGCTGCCGTCCCGCAAGACGCAACCGCCTACCCGCACCGCGATAAGCTCTACATCATCCAATTCTACGACCGCTACGAGAATGACCAGACGTATCCTGCGGATTCGTTCAAGTTCTTGGATGGCTGGGTCGATGCGGTTACCGAGACGTTGGATCGTAGTGAGTGGGGAGCTTATGTTAACTATGCGGATTCGAGGCTCGAGAGGGATGAGGCGCAGCGGTTGTATTATGGAAAGCATTTGGAGAAGTTGAGGGAGTTGAAGAGCAAGTATGATCCTAAGGAGTTGTTTTACTATCCGCAGAGCGTTAAACCATCGAAGGCTTGAGTTCTTTAGAATTATTTTCCTTTGTAGGAGTAGGCCGAGGTATACTAGCGATATTATTGCAATTCATTGCTTGTTCTATGCTCTGGTTTACGTTCTGTGACTGGGATTTGACTAATGAGCTTCTTGCTATGCTTCGTTCTGTGTTTTTTTGGATACTCCTTGCTTTAAAACATAATCCTTTGAGAGAAAATCTGCCATTTAGATGTAACGTCTTTGCATGTAGCTATTGCTGTTTCATTGTTAGACATTTGTCATGCAAAGACCGTGACAAACATACCAACTACCTAATTTCGCAATTCCTCATCCCAAAAAAGAACTTGACCATAATAAACACGCTCAAAAACTAACAAATAGACGAACTTCTACCTCGTTATGATTCCTAAAACAACAACCTTGACAAAGAGCACACTTGTAACGGAAATCTATCAATAAACAAAAGAAGAAACCATCCTCACCCCCTACCTCTTCCAACCTCCCCAACCAAGCAATCAACAACCTTGAACATTTCCTCAGCAACCCTCCTACCCTCCTCCCTCCACTCCTCCGCGCAAAGCCGCCCGAACCGATCCGGATGCCAACGAATCCTCTCCTGTCTCAACCACTCGTAGCTATACAGCCCGCTAGCACGAAGCAAGCGCTCAACGTCATGTTTACAGGCCCGCAAGCCCTTAGGATCGGCTTTCCCAGTCGCGCAGGACGGGAGGGTGCATGTTGTGAGGGAGAGCGGGAGGTATGGAAACGATGTGAGGAGTGCGGGAGGCGGGGAAGCTGTTGGTATTGCTGGAGGCGGTGAGGAGGACGTTGATGTTGATGTTGAGGATTGGGAGCGGATTTGGAGTTTTCGTGGGGCTTTTTTAGAAGGTATAGGGGAGGAGGAGGGATTGTTGTTTGCTGCTAAGGCTGCGGCGAAGACGGTTGCGGTTTCTGTTGCCCAGCGTTCGTAGATGGCTTGGGTTGCTGGGTGTGGGGGAGCGTTGATATCGGGTTTTGGTTCGGGGGCGGTTGAGTTGCCATTTGCGCGGTGTTGCTGCTGGTGACTCGACGATGGTGGCGGTTTGTTCTTTTGTTTCTGCTTCGATAATCTGAAGAAGTTTGCTGAGAAAGCTGATAGCGCTTCTTCGTTTATGTCGTCGATAGAACCTGCCCATGTCCCGTCATTCCGGATCGCGATGAACTGATCTGGGGTTGATGGGTCCAGCGAGATGTATGCTACCTCACTCCATACGAACCCGCGCTCACCCCGCCATTCTTCGACTGTCTCGCGCCAGATCTCCCAACGTATGTCGTCGTCGTGATTGGGAAACGTGCTGTTTTTCTTTCTTCCAAGACGATACGCAACATTGCCGTATTCACTCATAGCGAAAAAAGCATCGTCTTCGCCCCATGTTACGATGCGCGGTGGTCCCGCTTTCCATCCGGCAGGTGTGAGCCATGCTTGGACTGCGTCTTCTAGACTGGCAGGAAGGTTTGCCCAGCGTAGCGACGTTGGATCCCAGAACACATACGAGTCCGAAGGGCCGAGAAATGTGCGTATCAGAGGAGATGGGTTCACTTTTTTGAGATGTGTGAGGAGACGTGGGGAAATCTGGGTACCGTATGCTGCGTAAAGATTGCTTATATGTTAGGTTGTTGTTGCGATCGGAGATGAGGGGAGCTCGGAATGAGTTGTCAAGTACCAAGGTTGTGTTTGCCAGTCGCATCTTTGAAGCTGAGAACCCAGGATTCACGAATAGGACCGAGAGATGCCCAGTATACGTCTAGCACGCTGCCACCGATGATCAAATCGTGAAGACTTGGCGGGAGATGACGACTATGTGAAACTCTACATGTTAGTATCGGTACCTTCTGCAGCCTCGGTGCAAGACATGTAGGATATCTTACTATCTCAAGCCCTCGTAGTTCTTGGAGATAAAACTATCCTCGGGCCCAAAGGAAAAGAATGGTGTTGTAGGGGCTGTTGCCATAGTGTTCATGCTGATTGGTTATCGCCCAGCCAATGGTGTGCGAGGCAGAGCGTGACGTCACACGACAGTCAGCCTCACGTTGCGGGGAAAACGGTTTGCCGTTCCGTGGGAAAGGAGAAATAGCTAAGCAGCCGTTGAGAAGCGGGAAAAAGTTCCACTACAAATACCAGCGCGCTTGACGCAGATAATGCATGACAGTCGTGACATCTGTGTTGTTATTATGGTTGATTGTTTTGCCAACCGGCGCGTTCGCGGGCAGATGTTGGGTTGCTATTGATGACTTGATTTCTTGGTCAGATCCCTGAGCGCATCGGCTTGGCAAGGAGATAGAGAGATAATCAGTCTATCTTTCTCGATCGTTTGTGTTTCTACGCTTTGTCTGCGATCCCGTCGCCATTGTGTGCATAACAGCAGGTTTCATCTTATAAATACACTGTCCAGCTCATAGCTAGACTTGCTGACACTCGCGACCATGTTCTCCTTACCTTTGATGCCGGCGAGGAGGAAAAGCAATGATGTCAAACCGGTCGACACAACTTTTACGTTTGGACAACGAGGGAACCACTTCTTCCAGTGTGCTTCGCGATGCGATTAGTATGTCTTCTTTTGGCATAACCTCTCATATGAATATGTCTGAGTTACTGACCTATCGCCGCAGTACTCGTCTCCCCGCCAAACTTGCCTCACTCCTGACCTCAGCACAGCTCCAAAAAGTGCACCACGTGACATTAGGTTACGAGCAAAGTTTCCTACTCACATGGCGGGACGCAAGAGGATACGATCATATCGGTACGCAGAATGATCATGATCCCACAATCATGGCCTCATCGAATCTAACTGATCCGTCTAGATTTTCAAGATCTCCCCCAAGAGCTAACATCATTCCTGCTGGCTACAAGCCCACAAAATACTCTCCTCCGCTCCATCCCAAATATACGCCTCACCATCGGTCCCTATAATAGCTCCTTCTTTGTCACTGATAACTCCGCATATCTGTGGATGAACCTCCCTGTCCCTCTCTTAACTGCAATGCAACATCGCATCAGAAACGGGACCTGGATCGATAAACCGCGTCTCGTCTGTCTCGGCGCTGACGAAAACTTTCTTCTACTCACCGAGAAGCATGCTGCAGTTTGGGACCTCTCGAATTACGTTATCTTAGGGAAGATGTTGGAATTCTCGCGCAGTCAAGAAAGGGGCATCGAGGAAATTAAGAATGTGGGAATGCATGCCTATCGGTATCAGTGTTTTGTAGCCGAAAGCTGGGGTGGGACCTTGCTGTACGAGAATCTGCCGCCGCATGAGATTGGTGGGGTGGAGAGTATACGGGCGGTGCTCACGAAGGGGGTTCTAGAGAGAAGAGAAAGAGCAGAGGAGGCGGAAAGAGCGAGAGATGAAGAAAGGAGAAGAGAAGCTCGAATGAGAGCGGAGGAAAATGATCGGAGGAAGGAGGAGATGCAGAAACGAAAGATGGACCGTCCAAAGAAGTCAGAGTTGAAACAGCAGGCGAGTATGTCGAGGGATTGGGGTGAGAGAAAGCAGGAGTTTACTGCAAAGAGCAAGGGCAAAGGCATCAGATTGAGCCTCAGTATCAAGATATCAACAAAAGGCGTTGCTGGAGGGTTCGGACTGCTTTGAAACAGATGTTGCCCAGTGCATAACCTCTGGGCTTTAAATTCATCGCCAAACTTTTGCGATTCACCAATTGATATGCTCTGCGCACGGAAGAGCTAATAAAACCGAACTTCAAGATCGTAGCATGCGACACAGACTGAATGGCCGAAGTCTAAACCCCAGCATCAATCATTGGAGGCAGCATCAGGACCATAACTGATCGAGCGCGTACATTATCGCACCGTTCATGATGCTGTATAACTAGCATCGCAAAGGGCTGAAGAACGTACATAGGGGCGAGCAGGCTTTTGACCCGTCTTCAGCCCCCCATGCGGCAGCCACGAAGTACCAATCTCTATAATTCATCGAAGATGATGTTTAGCAATACGTGTGCAGCCTCGGTCAGATCGAAATCAATTAAAATCCCTTGGCTCTATTAGCTGCATGTGACTTTCGAGCTTTCTTCACGTGATATCACTGATCACCTCAGACAGACCGAGATGGTGCATGCAATTCTGATATTTTACCATGGGACTTGCACCATTATTGAGTCTTGAGTGTGCATCATATGCATACATTCGTCCAATACGGGACCCCCTCTCAAAGGTCAAAAAGCAGCTACAATCTTACCAAGACATCCGATACACATCAACATTTACTTGCGACAGCATTTTTACACATTTTCCACATCTCCGAGCTACCTCCCAAATCCAGAAATATTATGGCTTGCATGACGTTCGCGTTCCCTTGCTGGCGGAGGTAAGTTTGTAAGATTGGATTTCTCAGCATCAGCTTACGGGATCTATGGAGTGATTCTGATTGGTCGATCGCATTACTCACACGCTATGCTTATGGAACCCGCTGTTTCGACTCATTCTGTCCGCAACAACACTGCCTTGTCCCTGGAAGTGATACCCCGAGATTATATTTTTAATCTTGAAAGTATTGCAATATGGATTGCAGGTATAAGATGGGCATCATGGACCGTTGTCCGAGATTCATTCATCGCAGCATTCATTCATATCTCGGATATCTACCTCGGACGTTCTTCTCGGATATAAACAATAAATCTCCAAAAACTTGAATATAAATATTTCGGAAATATTGGAGGTCGAGAGTTCATACAGACTCACTGGAAAATCTGACGCACAATGTCACTCGCCGCAGTAGAAACCCCATTACACCATTTCCCGACAGCTCGAAAACAAAAATCTCGAACAAATCCCAAACCCAAAAAATCTTCCTCGAAAGGCGACCAACAACTCCAATCTCTATTCTCCGATATTCAAGCCCTCTACGCAACCTCCAAACTATCCCAGAATCTCACCAAGCAAATAACATCGACCTTCACCAACCCAGCAACCACACCCATTAAAACCCTCCTCTCCCTCGGCCTCGGCAGCCCAACGACCCCCAGCAAAAACCAACCCAGAATCCTCAAACAACTCGCAATTTTCCTCGCGCTATCCGCTGCTCTCGAAAACGCAGGACATGGCTTTGTGACGCTGTACGCGCAAGACCCCGTCTTCACGCGCGCAGACGAATCTTTCCTCTCATCCCTCGGCATCAAAATCTCCCGCACATCTCGCGGTGCAGAACTCGGCGAGGCAACAGCGCTAATCGACGCGGCCACGATAGTGTACTCCCCGTTTCTAACGCTCGAGGCGTATGAGGCGCTGTTGCTGCATGCTGGGAAAGGGAGTGTGCGGTTTTTGATTGGCGATGACTTTGAGAAGTTACTTGCCAAGTGGCCGAAGTTCAGTGAGGAGAGGAAGCAGGTGTTGAAGTTGGTAAGGGGGGCTGTTGGCGGGTATAGGAGGCGAGGTGTTGGTGGGGATGGGTTTTGGGAGGAGGGAGATGGTGCGTTCCCTATGGCTTTATATGAGAGGGGCGGGGCGGGGAGTGTGAAGGCGAAGGCGAAGATGTAGTGATTGGGTTTGCTGTTTCGAGTGCTTCATTATAGAGTAAAGATACCCCTTTTGTAGACGGCACAGGTGTATGAATATGATAGATTTGTTTTGTCATTGGTTGTTTCGCCTAATATTTTCAATCCCAGCTACAATGTCTTATTATTGGTGCTTAGCTTCATGACCGTATACTGCCACCTCCAAAACGTGTCCTTCCTTTTGCGTCGACTGTTGAGTTCACAATCTCTTTGCCGTTGAAAACAAGCGATCGCGAATCACCGGCTGGCAGTACAACATCCAACTTCTTCCACGCCGGGTCGAATCCAGGCTGCAGGTCTTCCTGGAACTCCAAGTACACTTTCTCTTCATCCGTCTTGTACTTCACTGTGAACGTCGAGATACTTGCTGGCGGCGGCGAAATACCATCATCTTCGTACCAGGCGTTGACAAACTCCTTCCCGTTAGACGAACCTCTCGGTGGGAAGATTTCTACCGCGCGGTAATCATCCAGCGGCAGATTTGCGTTGTTGACGACTTCGCCGGCAGAGAGAACCTGTTCGGGCCGTCCTACTGGAATCGCGCCTCCGACCTTGGCTATGACCGGAATACTCTCGTCCCACTTGGCAGATACATCTATCCATTGACCCGCATCGTAGAATTTATCGGGGCTGTTGACATCGACGAACTGAAGACCAGTATTCTTGACGTCTTTGGGAAGGTATACTTTAGCTGTGTCTTGTCCAGGCTCGAATACACCACCCACAAGGAGCGTGTCACCGAGCCAATACTGCGTCTCTCCATCGGTCAAGACCTTGTTTGTCCATAGCTCGGAATCACCCTCGTAGCCCCATCCAGTCCATCTCTGCGGTGGTGTAGCTGTTGTGTGGCTTTCCAGAGCGAGGGAGTAGAGGTAAGGAATTAATTCGTAGCGGCGCTTGATAATGTCACGCACTAAGTGCGTCGTTTCCTCGTACATCCAGGGCTCGATCACATCGCCGACGCTGTTGTTTTCCGGTGAGGTTTTGAAGCAGTTGATTGCGAAACGCGAGGAGTATATGCCTTGCTGACACCAGCGGACCAGAAGTTCGGGAGAGGGTTGGGGGCCTTCAAAACCGCCAATGTCATGTCCATAGCACTGCGCAATTGTTAGAATAGGCGGTCTCAATAAGGAAGTGGGAGAGTATACGAACCTGCATAAGACACATGCCAGCTGTGAGTGAAAGAGCGTTCGCCCCCTTCATCCCATCCCAGCTCGTCACGTTGTCTCCACTCCACGCGCTTGCGCAATACCTCAAAGTACCGGCCGTGGCACTCCTCGTGAGTACGAATGGTCTCTCCTTTGGTTCAATATCAACACAAGCATCATGTGAGCTCCGCCCCATCAACTCGGTGTTTAGTGATCGACCCCAGAATCCCACTTCGTTTCCTAGATCGTGACCCTGCTCTTGCGTTACAGATTTCTCGTTGAGCGCGCACTCCCACGCATCGCTTGGGATAGTGTACTCGTTGTTGTCGTTCCATATGCAGTCGATACCCAGTCGTTTTAGCTCAGCCACGCCCTCGTACCACCATCGATACCCCGCTTCCGAAGTGAAGTCGATGTGACCGCCGACTCCGGACTCGCCGCCGCCCGCGCTCCACAAACGAGCTTGCGCAGATTTGCCCGTCGCGGGATCAACGAAGAAAGCACCCGCATTCTTCAACTTCTCGTACTCCGGGTGGTTACCGAGAACGTAAGGTTTGACGTTCGCGATCAAGCGGATGCCCTCCTTGTGATACGCATCGATGAAACCTTTTGGGTCCGGGAATCTGTGGTAATTCCACGTAAACACATTTCGCGTCTTCGGTTCTGTCTCTGCGACTGTGTATCCAGAAGACATTTGGAAACCCGAGCAAGGGATGCCGTGCTGTTTCGTCTTCCGGGCAAACTCCATGAGAGCGTCGGCTGCGCGAGGCTCGTCCAGCATTGAGTATTTCATGCCGCCGGCGATGTACCCAAATGCCCATCGGGGCACAAGAAGAGGGTAACCAACCACATCAGCATAGAGTCGTACTACGTCGGCAATCGTTCGTCCGAGAAGAAGGTATTCTTCGAGACCTCCATGTTCTTGCCGGTATACCTTGAAACGACCCCATAGGCCGTCCATCTCAGATCCCACACTGTAGAAACCACGAGCATGCGAGGTGGAGAATATTCCTACAACCCCTTCCGGTGTTGCATTTATGAGGAGCGGGATGTGTTTATACATGGGATCAGTTCGATAGACATCGTATCCGAAACAATCCGTCGCTGAGAGCACAAAGTGTCGATTCGAAAGGTCCATGGGAGCTGGCTTTTCACCAAGTCCGACATGTAAAGTGCCAAAGTTGTATCGGGTGTAATGTGCGATCCCCGTGCCATCAGTCACATACGATCGGTGGGGGAGATCAGAGTGTATTGGGGCATTTTGACCAGGAAGTGTGAGGGATACAAGTGGTGGACCGTTGCTCCAATCTATTTCAACTTTGCTGCTGCCCTCAATCTCGAAGCTTTTTGAGTTGGGCGTCGGCGATGCAACCTTGATGGCTGCTTCATCCAACTTTTTTGAGGGGATGGCTGCCGAGCGATGGGAAGGGAGTTGGTGTTTTAAAGAGGTGAAGGTCGTACGGAAAAGACCCGGTCGTAGTGCTTCAAAAGAGAAATCGTACTGGGAATTGCCATTCTGGGAAGAAAGGCGGATTTGTGACGTTGACTTGTTGGTCTCCGCGGCGACCTTGAAGTCCTGGGGTGTGAATTCTAGCTGAGGCATGATCGGACGAAGAACAAATCAGTAAAAGTAGTAGTGAATTGCTTGTTAATTGTAATCTGCCAATACATCACACAATATTATGAAGACATTGATCACAGTTTATATCTTGGATGTTGTCCGATATTTCGGCTAAGTTTCCCAGCAGGTACACCTACTCGCCCCCGTTTCCACCGAAGATGCCGAGGTTGGGTCCCGTGGCACGGTAATTTCGGCCGACGCTTTGCCAACATAGTTGATGTGTCTGGGGTCCCCGTGGGGAAGGCATATAAGATGGTTACTACCTGCAGGACAGGACCACAGTGCTCCACTGTTCGGTGATTTTTGTTGTGGAACACCTGCGGCAGTCTTCGACATCTCTTTGGCCTACTGCCGTCTCAATCCCATTCTTGACCACCTGCCTCCATTCGTTATGGCGAAAGACGATACGATGGCCTCCACGACGGCGACAGAAGAGATCGGCAAAAATGAGGTTCATCAGCATGATGATATCCAGAAACCGGTGGCTTCAGCAAAGGGCAAAGACAAGGCCGCTGAGCTGTTGAGCTCCAATCCACGCATAACAGTCACTGAGGCCGACAACAAGCGCGTCCTACGAAAGATTGATGTTCTTATTCTACCTATCCTTCTCTCGGTGTACTTCCTGCAATCTCTGGACAAGACGACATTATCCTATGCCTCTGTGTTTGGTCTTATTGAGGATGCCAATCTCGATCCTACATCAAACCAGTACAGCTGGCTAGGCAGTATTGTGTACTTCGCCCAGTTGGTGATGCAGCCGATCGTCGCCGTCCTCTTGGTCAAGGTCAGGATGGGGAAGTTCATCGGCGGCATGGTGTTTATCTGGGGAGTCATTCTGTGCGGCATGGCCGGCACCAGGAATTTCGCAGGATTGATGGCCACGAGGTTCTTACTCGGTGCTTTTGAATCTGCTGTTGGTAGGTCATTTTCTTATCCAATTGCACTCATCCTCTTCGTGTATTGAGCGTGGCGCTAACCTGCGTGCAGCACCTGCTTTCATAGCAGTTGTCCAGATGTGGTATAAACGCAGCGAGCAAACCAACCGCAACGCTTTTTGGTACTCAACCCTGGGTCTCGTGAATATCTTCGGTTCGCTCCTGTCGTATGGTCTCGGCCACATCCAGTCCGATCTGCTACACTCATACCAAATCATCTTTCTCTTCTGCGGTCTGCTCACTGTCCTCGTATCGATTGCCGTCTTCATATTCATGCCTGATTCTCCGATGGAAGCCAAGTTTCTGCAACAAAACGAAAGACTGATTGCGGTCGAAAGGCTGAGAATGAACCAGATGGGTGTGGCTAGTCGGGTATGGAAGTGGGATCATGTGCTCGAGGCTTTCTTGGATATAAAGACTTGGCTCTGGTTTGCCATGCTTACTGCCGTGTCGTAAGTCTTCCCTGCCTTCAATAACTTTCCCGGCCGCAAAAGAGTATCGACTTACAAAGTCTTGCAGTATCCCAAGTGGTGGAATCACCACCTTCGGCCCCCTCATCATCCAATCCTTCGGCTTCGGCAAGTTCGCGACGATCCTGTTCAATATGCCCTTCGGCGCGGTCCAAATCATCGCCACACTCGGCGGAGCATGGCTAGCGACACGCCTCAAGAAGAAAGCGCCTGTGCTCATTCTTCTATGCATCCCCCCGATAATCGGTATCATCATTCTTATGGTCATCGGCCGCGAGCCCAAAAACAAAGGCGTCCTCCTGTTCGGATACTACCTCACATCCTTCTATCCAGGTATTTCGCCACTCATTTATTCGTGGTCTGGCCAGAACACCGGCGGCGACACCAAGCGCAAAGTCACCACCTCCATCTTGTTTGTCGGCGCCAGCGTCGGCAATATTGTCGGACCACTCCTCTTCAAGCCGGCCGAGAAGCCATACTACCACCGTGGCTTGCGCGCCAATCTTGGTCTCTTCGTCGCCATCATTGTGTTTGTTGTTGCTGCGGTGTGCTACATCACATTGTTGAATCGCAAGCATGCGGCGGAGCGCGAGCGGCTGGGCAAGTCGGCGGTGATTGTGGATTTGAGTATGGAGACTAAGGCGGAGGGATCGGGCGAGGAGGCGGGTGCGGAGAATGACGGGGTTGGCGACAAGGCATTTGACGACGTCACCGATTTGAAGAACGAGGACTTTATCTATATCTACTGAGGCTGTGTCGGGATAAGATAGGGTAGTAGTGGCTAAGTAGGTAGTCGGCGTGACGCCATGTGTAACCTGAGCTCGCACACCGTGTTTGCCTACAGCCTCAAGCGAGATGCCTCACCCCATCCAACTCTCAATCTCAATCTATCTCTATAGTGAAACTTTCTTGGAGGTCTATATATAATATGTTGGGCGGATGGTTTATCAACAAGTCAAACGAACTCACGGTATCTGGCCGAGCGGTGTCCCACCACACCTGCCGGCATGTCTTCTCCCCCCCTCAGATACCGTGAGTTCGAGTCTGCAAAGATCCATAAAAGGTAGTAGAATTCAAAGTCCTGTACTTGGAGGCACAACAGCAAACTTCCATAAAAAGAAGTTTCTGGTTCGGGTGGGCGAATTCTTTTGCTATATTTTTTTTCCCAGATAGGAAATATGTGAGAATGTTTTTTTTTAGTATAGCACTTGGGATGGTGTAGTTAAAAGAGATAATCCAGTTGCTATTGTACAGGAATACGTGTGTTGCGCGTTGTTGTTCTACTTCACTCGGCAGGTCAAAATGTAAGTGGCAGAAATAGTAGCGCGGACCTCTGAAGGCGCGCTGCAACGCGAACAAACTTTTTTTCATATGGACATAATATGTCTCAGTGTCTTATATGTACGTAGAAGCTAAGCGATTAGTTAGCAGCTTTTGAATAATAATAAAAGCTGTTGTTGGTGAGCTGGCTGTCGTATGATTCCAAATGCGGTGCCCTCACCTCTACAAACAAACAATCCTCTCGACTGTCCCACACCACAACAAACCCACCGCCCTAACGACCCCCGTCTCGAGGCAAACAAGCAGCCCAGCCCAGACTCTCTCTCCTATCCAGATCCAAGCCTCGCAGGCATAACCTCGGCAAAAGCAATCAATTATCATTGGAACAAGACGCACGCACCCCAGACCCCACTCTCCCTCTCCCTCCGTTAGCGGCACCCACCAAAACCTGGGGTTGCTGCCCCAATCTTCTCTCCACACACGAACTGCGCCTTTCGCACGAAGTTACCGAACGCCCCGCCTCCGACCGGAAAACCACCGGAATATCGCACACGGATAGGGGGAAGAGAAAGGGATGGTGGAACAACAGCAACAACAGGAGGGTCATGCGCGCAAACGACGCGCTATTAATGCGTGTGGGCTGTGTCGGGCTTCCAAGGTGTGTGGATTCTCACCTGAGTTCGTGTGGAGCGCCGGGGTGGGGAAGAATACTCTTATTGTGTAGGGATCGGAGTAACGAGCTCGTTTGTTTTTATGGAGCGAGCCAAAGTGCACATCATGTGGGTTGATGATGCGAATGCATCTATCTTTCTGGCAGAGGAAGAATGAGCAGAGAGAGCAAAATCGAAGAAGCGGAGAAAGATAGCCAGACCTACATTGCGTCACTTTCCTAACCATCAATAAAAGGTTCGATGCGACGGCCAACGTCCCTGCGCACGTTGCACGCGCAATAATACAGTGTGTCGATATCTTGACAATGGTAAAGACGCTACCACCGCACTCCGTCTCGAGAAGCTAGAAGCTGAGGTCGAAAGTCTGAGAAGGCAAGTATCCTTGGCCAACACAGCTTTGCAGAACTTGAACGGCAATGCCGATAGTGGTATATTGAATGCTGGTGGGAGAAGAAGAGACGCAAGTTCTGTTGCAACATCAGGCTCGATTGGACCGACGATCTTAGCTATGGACATGGACATCGAGATGGCAGGACGAAGAAGTAGTGATGTCGAGACTATACTTGCTCCTGCACCCAGAAGAGCAATGCAGCAACATGTCGAGAGCGGGTACGGCATGGATATGACACAATCGACAATTGCGTTTGCTTCCGCGCCTCCCCCGGTAGCAAGCACTCCAGCGACAGCAAGGCTACCTGCTTTGAGTTCCAGTGGCGAGTTCACTCTGCTGGCAGCAGATGAAGGGGCTGCTTCATTGACAGCGACAGCAGTGGACAAGGGCTTGATTACGTGGGAGCAAGCTTCTCTGTATTTTCGAAGGAACGTCACCAATACTTCTATGAACCATCTCAACTCTGGTCTTGCTGACTTCTGGTCTACAGTTTCTTCTCAGGGAGTGTATGCGACCCTCACTCTTCCTTTCCTATCCGAACAATTCCGTTGCGAACATGCCATACTAACACTAACTAAAAGCATTTCCTCGTTCCCATCTTCTGCGACAAAACAGATACAATGCAGTCTGTTGCGACTCGCAGCGCCTACCTCTTTGACAGCATCGTAAGCATCGGGTGTCGCGCGGAGGAAGGCTCCAAATCCGCCACCTACCACCGTCTGGCCTTCTGTTTGCGTGAGCATTTGACCCACGTCCTTGTCAGCACCACAGTACCTTCACTTGAGACTGTGCAAGCAATCACTTTGAAAGCGGGATACTCGGATGATGGGCTAGTATATATTGCACTCGCTTTGAGATTTGCCATGCAGTTGGGACTGCCGGATGCCGTTGATCAACTAATGGCCAAGGCATCAAGTCGTGCGGCGGCACCGGTGGGTGAAGAGGAGAGAGAGCTGTATCGGATGGCAAGAATTTGGCATGGGATTTGCAATATGGAGCTATTGTACGTTGCGATGATTTTGCGCATGACTTCAAAAGACTTTTTGGTACTGACTGGGGTATGCGCAGCTTTTCTCTCGACGGCGGGAAGTCTCCCGGTATCAACCTCCGCATCTCATCGCGCAGAGTTCGTCTACTTGTCAACCACCCGGAACGAACAGCAGTGGATATTCGTCTCTTGTCCCAGGTCGAACTGAACATCATACGCGCGAATGCATACACGGCTATAACACAACAACACTCCAGCAACTCAATTGCAACCGATGCAAAATTACGGTCTACGGTTCAAGGTACAGCTCTCGAGCTCACACTCTGGCTCGAAGAATGGAGCGACATCATTTCATCGGAGCCACACGGCTATGGACGCGAATTCGCATTGCTGAATCTTCGCATCCAATACAACTGGGCGCTAATAACGTTACACCTAAAAGCACTTTCCAACTCTGGCATCGAAAGCATAGCAATAATGACAGACTTCCAGCGCGATATGGTCAGCATAGCCAAAGAAGCAGCGGTTCGGCATCTGCACCATTTCCTCGAAACTCCACGTACGGATTCGTCTTCACCGGAAAACGGTTTTGCACCGCCCTATCTCTCCGTATTCAAATGGACTATGGACTTCGTGTGGGCTAAGTGTGCATTCACGGTCTTGCTCGTATTGAAGTTAGCACTTCTCCTTCGGGACCCATTACCAGATGTTTTACTCCTGCTCCGAGACGCATATAGAGTACTCGAGGAACTCACGCGCGTTACCGTCAGTAACAGCGGCAACACTTCGTATCTCAAGATCCTTCGAACCAGTATCGAAAAATGCGAAAGTGCACTGCGAGAACATATGGTGCGGGAACAGCAATTGAATATCAACGACGTGGATCGTGAGGATGGCCAAGCAGAAGACGACTTCCAGGGATACGTTCCTAGTCAGTTTGTGTTTGAATGGGATTTTCCCGGTTTGAATCTCAGGCACGTACCGCTTGGATGGCATGACCTTTTCCATGATCTAGATCGTGTCTTTTGACACAGCTGAACTGGCCGCGTTGGGAAGCTAATTAAAAATGTCTTATTCAGTCGCCGATGTTCTATGTATAATGTCCCTCAAGCCGAGCCGTTATGCACAGTGTCGCAGAATCTCCGGGGCTGTGTCTTTGGTCCAAGAACATATGATTTCTCCGAGGTATGAGGCTAGTCGCCGACTGTTCATGATATTCGTTTTTCCGGGCTATCTGCGTTGCATTTGGAACGATCAGTGTTGTTGCATATATGCGCGTGTGCCATTTGAGAAACACCCCCAGCTATCAGCTACAAGATACGAGCACAAAGATGCCCAGACGACTGCGAGGTCGACCCAGGCTTCGAATAGGCGACCAAAAGAGCCGTACCTACAGAAAACCCTCGGCGAGGTGCCTGTATGGATGACCGTTTAAAGCATCAGCTCCAGGGAGGACAACCAGACACCCGTGAAACTAAAAATGATCTAGAACACCCATTGTATCTGCCTTCGCTGCCGTCGCTGCCTTCGCATCACATCATTCATTGTGTTGTACTTACTGTACGCCTTTCACAATATGATGTGCGCGCGCAAGGCGTGGTCCAACGTCACTGAGATCACGGTGGGTCCTGAGATCGCGCCAGGGGACGCGACGCAGAGCGATGAGGAGATCCTGCAGTATTTCAAGAATGCTGCTGGGTCGATCTTGCATGCTGTCGCTACGTGTGCCATGGGGAAAGAAGGGGATGTGGATGCTTTTGTGGATTCTGAAGCTAAGGTTTTTGGGGTGGGCAAGTTGAGGGTCGTGGATGCTAGTGCGTTTCCTTTTATGGTGCCGGGGCATCCGCAGAGTTCGGTGTATATGCTTGCGGGGAAGATTGCCGATGTTATTCGGAAAGGGAGGTTAAGTAGATGGCTGAGTGTGTGAACGTTATCTTGGAATTGCAATTGGGGTGTGGGAATTGTGTGTACTTGATTCCAGACATACTTCAGTAGCTTACGAAGATTGCAAACCGCCACTCAACGTGGCGTTCTGTCGTGCGTACCCGAGACATAGAGTTTTCTGTAAGTTTTCGTTTCGAGAATCTCGGTTCTTGTACATTATGGGTAGTGTGCTGGATACTAGAGTAGTGTACATAAAGTTTAGATTTTGTCTGTTGAGCCAATGAAGATGTTGGGCATGTATATGACTAACACTTATGTCACCACACCTCTTGCGTTTAACTCAATTGCACAACATAACCTTCGGCGACTTTTCAGGGATGAACCCTAGCTAGCAGATGAAGTATCCAGGCGGGAGGGCATACTCGATGCTTATGTCTAACTAGCACTTGACTACTGGCCTGTTGACTCTAGCTAAACACTGATAAGCCGTGTTGGTGATTTCCGTAAGCAGCATGGGGGCGAGTTTGCTGGTCTTTTCTTCGTCAAATCATGTATCATCTGCATTTGAAGGTATCAGAGCTAGTGAACATGACTTGATTGGCGTAATCGAATCATTTCAGATATTCAGTCAACATGAGCAGGCTATCATGAAAAAGTCTATGTCGAATATAATGGTGCCCGGATGGATGACTGCCCTCTCTTTTCCGAATGATACCCAAGATTCCATATCATCAATTAGACGCGCCAGATTGCGTCTGCCATCTTGGCAACACGAGACATAGGCACCGTATCGTGCACCCGGACGATATCAGCACCTCCTTGGATCGCCGCTGTAACAGCAGCCGCAGTGCCCCAGTTACGTAGCTCCAAATCGTCTCCAGTATCGGTGATGCGGCCTATAAAAGCCTTCTTGCTCGTTCCTACCAACCATGGAATACCTTCCAATCCCGGATACCGGCGCAGGTCGTCGAGACGTCTCAAAAGCTCCAGATTCTGGTCCTGAGTCTTCGCGAAACCAATGCCTGGATCAAGGATTATACGCCATCGACGAATACCCGCTTCCTCGGCAGCACGGACGCGATCGAGCAGTTCCCTGCCGACGGTTTCGATCAAACCGTCTGGGTAGTCTGTAAGATCTTGCATCGTCTCTGGTGTTCCCCGCATGTGCATTAGACACACTGTACAGCCTGCCTTGGCGACTGTAGAGAGCATAGCAGGGTCCATTAAACCGGCGCTCACATCATTGACGATATCTGCGCCGGCCTCCACAGCTTGCCTGGCAATATCGGCACGATATGTATCGACGCTTATCGCGATATTTTCAGCTTTAGTTACCGATCGGATCATTTTGATTGCTGGAATAACTCGTTTGGCTTCCTCAGCAGAGGAAACTTGTACAGCATTGGGGCGAGTGGACTGTCCGCCCACATCGATTATAGCGGCTCCCTGTTCTACCATAAACTTGACAGTTTGAGATAAACTATGGAGGTCTTTGTTGAAATGTATACCACTGTCAGAGAACGAGTCTGGTGTGATATTGAGAATAGACATAACGCGAGTCCCTCGGCGAGGATGGGTAGCTGAGATGGTGGGCAACTTATGACCTATGGAGGTCAGTGGATACAGCGGCTCTTCAGATGAGGATGATAATCTGGCTAGATGGGAATGCAACGAGTCCGAGAGGGCGATCGCTTGTGAGCCTGACCTGCCCTTGTCCGGTATAAGCCTGCAATTGATCAGTACACGATTACTTCACATCCTACAAAATGCATACTCGCAAAGCGGTCGAAGTACAAATTCTCGCTCTAACATGAGGCTATGAGGTATCTGTAACCTTTCGTTTGAGAACTTCGAGTTGTTGTAGAGTAGAATATCTAGATCGATGTTCCTGGGACCTTTATCGATGACTTTGACTCGACCCATATTTTGCTCAATGGCTTGAAGCTTGTCTAGTAGATCCAGTGGTGACAAAGAGGTTTCTATCTTATGAACGTAAGATTAAGGCATCTTTGCTTGACACTGTGCTGCTGAGAACCAGCTTTACTCACTTCGCACACGGCATTGACAAACTTGTCCTGGTCAACGACATACATGGGTTTAGTCTCCCATAAGCTGCTTGTCCGTCGAACTCTGATCTGCCCAGTGAGATCCATTTTGTTACATGCCTCTTCGATCATGCTGATTCTGTGCCCAAGATTGCTCCCCAAAGCAATATATGCACGGTGCTGCAAGGGTGCTTGGTCATGATGGAGAAATTGAACCCTCGGTCCACCAAATTGGTGGGACGAACGACATGCTAGATCACGGGGGGCTGATACCAGTGGATTTGATATTGGACAGGAGAGTTGGACAGATGTTGCTGGTGCAGTCGTTGAACATTTGAAGCGACATGCGTTTGAGGTGAAAATTCTGCTGTAATGACGCCGAGACGCATGGACACACAGAATGTGCGTCTGGAAAGAAGGGTGTCTAAAAAGATGACGGGGGACTCTCGGAGTGCAAGTAGCCATGACAAAAAGATATAGAACCGAGAAACTTGCTACTGATGGCGACGCGTCGCGTACTCATCCGCCCGCCCACCAGATTGATGGGACGACGCTTATGTCAGCGTTCAGCAGCCAAAACCCCAGATCTGCTGACTCGTCCCATGGAAGATGTGGGGTTTGCGCTAGACTATAAGCGGCTTAGAGAAAGATTCTATGCCTCGGCTCGGCTCATGCGGTGTGGTGTGAATGGAAGAACGTCTGAGATTCTACTCGGCATAAGAACAACAAAACGCTCGGCTCGTGCCCCCTCTCCTCCTCACATCCACTTTCTGCCCTTATCGACACTCTCCGAGACCTCTCACACTTCTCTTCACATCTCTCCACATCTCTCGCAATACCCATCATGGCTTCACCACGTATGCTGACGACTTCGCCTCCATTCACGTGTGCACGACGCTGATTACTATACAGAGCAAATCCGTACGAAGCTCACCGACCTGCTGAAGATTCGGCACCCCGTTCTGCTTGCGGGCATGAACGTCGCAGCTGGTCCCAAGCTTGCAGCGGCCGTCACCAACGCCGGAGGTCTTGGTGTCCTCGGTGGCATTGGCTACACTCCCGACATGCTTCGGGAACAAATCGCAGAACTCAAGAGCTTCTTGACAGACAAGAATGCGCCATTCGGTGTCGATCTTCTTCTCCCCCAAGTCGGCGGAAGTGCGCGAAAGACCAAGTGAGTTCCTTACGTTACACCATCCGTTTGTGCGACTTGCGCGCCACGGCTCATGTGACAGACGCTGACGAAGTTTATGTGCGATGCAGCTACGATTACACAAAGGGCAAACTAGGAGAGCTCATCGACATCATCATCGAATCCGGCGCTAAGCTGTTCGTCTGTGCCGTTGGTGTACCCCCCAAGGCCGTCGTCGACAAGCTTCACAAGCATGGCATCCTGTACATGAACATGATCGGACACCCCAAGCACGTGAAGAAGTGCCTCGACACCGGTGTCGACATCATTTGTGCCCAAGGTGGCGAGGGTGGCGGTCACACTGGCGATACTCCCACTTCCATCTTCATTCCTACCTGTGTGAAGATGGTTGAGGGATACAAGTCGCCTATGACTGGCGAGCAGGTTCAAATCGTGGCCGCAGGTGGACTTTACAACGGTCAATCGCTCGCCGCTATGTTGGCTTTCGGTGCAACCGGCGTCTGGGTCGGTACCCGGTTCATTCTCTCTGAGGAAGCCGGTGCACCAAAAGCCCACCAAGAAGCTGTGCGTACCTCAGGCTTCGATGACAACATCCGAACCATTATCTTCACAGGTCGTCCCCTCCGTGTACGCAACAACCCTTACATCCAAAACTGGGAAGAGAACAGGCAAAACGAGATCAAGGAGCTTACCGGAAAGGGTATCATCCCTGCGGAGCACGATCTTGAGAACATGGGCGATGACGTGGATGACGAGACCATGGACAATGCGCGACCTTTCCTCATGGGCAAGGTTGCCGCCGTTGTCTCCGAGAAGAAGACCGCAAAGGAGATCGTTGATGAGTTTGTCGGCGATGCCGTCAAGACTCTGCGCGGCACCAATGAGCTTATTGTATCCAAGGCCAAGCTATAAAATTTGTAATCTGTAGCGTTGAATAGAGCGGTGCTGTTCTTGGGATAGCTTTATGGCGGAGTTCATGTGTATATTTCAATGTCATGCATACCTTTTATCGGGATTCACAATACGCTCTTCCAATCTTCTTGTCGGGCAATAGCTTACTCTAGACAAGCTCAGCTGATCCTTGTATTATTGCAACTCTTGTTTCCAATTCTTCCAAGGCCGAGAGATCTTCATCGCCATACCATGAATACCCTACTAGCTAGGAGCTATAGCAGGGCATCGAACTAATACACGCCATTGAAACATCATTCATGCACTCCCCATAAGCCCCATCGCAGCCCAGTTCATGTGAGACAATTGAGGCAAACAATCAGACGACAACCCCAAGAGCTTACCTCAGAACAAAACACTACGACTGTGTGCAGTCTGCCTACGTCCTCTCGCACGCTATCATTCACAAATCAAATCTCGCAACCATTCCCCGTGCTTATTTAACCGCCAGGCACCGGTGAAGTGGATGACAGCGGGTAAGGCGAGCAGTAGCACAGCCACATCAGGCTATCTTCACATACTGTTCGTCCCAGACGCTCGGAGTAGTGGAAAGTGAGGCTATCTATTATGAAGTATTGAAGGTTTATCATATAAAGCAACAAGCCCCATTTACAGTTCTAGGAAGGAATATCTGTCTTAGCTTCTCACATCCAAACTACGCATATACCTAACCTACCTCCCCCTTCTACCTGCATCAAATATAGATACAAATCCAGATCAGCGTTAATCCAACAATACTCACCAATCACCACGCAATCCGCTTATACCCTTTCTCTCTATCTCTCTCTCCTGGTCCTCTAATCTTCTTCTATCTCCACACACAAACAGCATCATGGGCTGCCACGCCTCAAAACCAAAACCCTACATCTACCCCTCCCAGCCCGCACCCTACGCAAACCAACCGCAATACCCAATCCCAGGCACCGTCACCAACGGCGCCGTCCCTCGACCAGGCTGGCAGGGAAACTTTCGAGTTGGGGGTGGGAGACATGGGGGAAGTAGTTCACATTACTATGGAAGACATGGGGGTGGTGGTGGAGGGTATGGTGATGATGGGTACGGTGACGATGGGGGCATCGGAGGCTATGGATACAGTGGAGCCGACTATGGAGGAGGAGGTGGTGGTTTCTCGAGTAGTGGCGGTGGAGGGGGCTCGAGTGGTGGTGGTGGTGGTGGAGGGGGCAGTGATTAGCTGAGGGACGGGGAGGGCTGAGCTGAAAAATTGGTTTGTGCGTGGAATTCACCATCATAAATCATCAGTGTGGTGTGGTTTTGTATGTCGTCGGAAACCGCCGGTCTCGGGCATGTGTTTTTGGGGGCCAAATGAGTTGTGGAAAAGAAGGGCTTACGCCGTTGTTTTACATAGCCACATGGCAGGCCTTCCACCTCTCTATTTCCGTCTTTTTTTAATAGCTGGATGTAGGTTTGGGCCACTCGGAGAATTCGTGATGTTGGCTGTGTAACTGGCGTTGCTGGCGTTGCTGGCCTTTAATACTGGTGGATTCCGTTTCTCGATAATTTTGAGGTTTTTGGCAATTTATCGATTCTACCATCGTCAGCAACGTTTTCAACATAAATTCAGTGAGAACAACTTCTCGCACGAAAAGCAAAAACTCCTTTAAAAAAAACCTTCCACAATCAGAACGCCCTAAACATCACCACCCACTCAATCTTGCAATCTTGGATTATCCAACAACCCTGCCTATTTCCCTCCCGCACCCCCAAAGGAGTTAAGAAATCCCACCCATACACACACCATCTGTCATCGCACTTCTTCCCGAGAACGACACCAAATGGGCTGCCACCAGTCCAAATCCGCAAAACCAACACCAACGCAGCCCGCAGTCCGACAACACCGCCGCGATCCCAGCACCGGTCGTCGCCGACCAGGTCAAACATTGACGCTCAAAGATGGTTACGCTCCTGCACCCGCCACCGCTACTGCAGTAGACGGAGATGGCGATCTACAAAATCGGCGTCGGAGCCGGATATCGGCAACGGCGAGTGACAACACAGCACAGCAGCTGAAATACGTTGTTCCGAGTACTGCTGGCGCTGCCGCTGTTGGAGGTGAGAGTAAGTCGAGTGGGAATGCAGGGTATGCGGGAGATGGGGTGGGGATTGTAGGGATGGAAGGGGTGTATGCTGCATATGCAGCGCAAACTGGGTATACGATGTTGGTGGGTAGTGGGATTGGGAATGTGTACGATGGGACTGCTGGGGGAGGGCATCATCATCATGGTGGTGGAGGGGATTCTTATGGAGGGACGTCGGGGGGAGGGGACCATGGTGGAGGGAGTGGAACGGCTGATGCTGGAGTGTATTAGGGAGAGTTTCGAGAAGAAGTGTCATGGTGATGGTGGGCGTGTAAGTCGATTCATTCTAGATACCCTGGGTTGTGTGAGAGTTCTACTGGCATGAGTGTATTAGTATATCCGAGGGTCTTGGTTTTATTGCGTTTCACCGAAAATGCATATGATCAATCTAATATTCCACGATAGCAAGCATGCTTGCGCTTTGATGAATCTATTTTTCCCTCACAGAGATAAAGCCGTTCCGACCATCCATAGAGCACATTAGTTTATCGAATCTAATCACGAGGTGTGTCCAGTTGTCCTTTTCTCGTAATGCATAAACACGGCGAAATTGATCTCGGAGCTACACTTCCAACGGTTAGAGCGAAGTCCGGTAGGACCGGTACCGCCGATTGCGACTCGTTCGTGCAAAGTCAAATTGGAAAAAGATCTTTTTTTCTCGCGGACGCGTAGATTAAATTGCATAACGCAAGCTAGACTAGCTAGTAGTTGCAGTGGGGAAGCTGGTTAGAAGCTGAGTCAGGCCAGCAGTCAGGTGCCGAATCTACAGAATCATAAAGTTGTAACGGCGTAGTTTGTCTAAGTGCCGATTGGATCTGTAGAACGAAGAAGATATGGAGAGGCTCTGTAGAATACTGATACCAACAGGCAGGTAAGACGCGATTCGAAACCGGTCAATGACGTTACAGCGCCAATCATACATGGAGTGCAACAGAACACGAAAGGATTATTCCAGCAGACAGTACGTTGCTCCGCATTCCTAACAATGTGCGCATTTGCCCTGTTCTTGGCCGAATCGTGTTTGATCCTCATCGTGGGAGTGACAAGTTGAATCATGGACAGGTTCTAAATATATGCAGATTTCTCTTGGGAAGAAAAATAAGGCTATGGCAGCATGAAGCACAGGGAAGTGGGTAGCAGGGGATAGCGAAGAGGTGGCTAGTCAGGGACAGACTCAGGCAACCAGCTGCAGTCCTAGTACCAGCCTTTCTTGAGCTTTGCAATCGCCTCGGCCTCCCCCACCACGTCAGCCATTTTCGCGTCCATGTCAAACATGTTCGCGCTGTGAATCTCGGGGGTTCTGTCACCACACGCTTCGCCTACAACCTGGAAACTTGGTCAGCTCGGATGGGTCTCTGCAGTGCCAAGCTTGGCCACACACCATCGGACGGTAGCCGGAGCACATGGCATCAAGAGTTGAGGCGCGAACGCAGCCACTGGTACTGACTCCGCAGACGACGAGCGTGTCGATGCCCTTCAGCTGCAGGCGGGTGGAGAGGTCGGTGGCAAAGAAGGCGCTCGGATACCGTTTGGATATGACAATTTCCCCGTTTCTGGGCTCCAGGCCCGGCATCCAGTTGCCCAGTTCAGTTTGGAAGACATTGAGGAGAGGAGCCTTGGACAGGAACAAGCCCGCGTCCGACATGTCAGCCTCTGTATAACTCACTCTAGTCCAAATCAGGGGCACTTCGCCCTCACGAGCAGCCTCCACCAAGCGGCCAATGGAATCCGGAACGGCAGCCGAAGTGGAATTCGACGACAGATCCAACGGCGAGTCCTGCTCCCAGTAGGCTTTGCATGCATCGACCACCAGCAACGCAGGTTTCTGGCCCCATCCGATCCTGCGTGCAAAGCCAGACCTAACGTAGCTGTCGTAGGACGCATGATCGGAGGAAGAGGCAGCAGCCATGTTAATAGAGCCAGCCGGTAATTCTCGGTATATATGGCCGGGTGGACTCTGGTTGCTGCTATACGCGCTGTGCTGTGCTGTGCTGTGCAGTGCTGTATGTATGCTGTACGTACCGCACACAGCAAGGTGTACGCTATTCGCTGGCGTGCGGGGAAAGCAAATGAAACCAAGCAGCAGGCAGCCATGGAGATATAGTTTGATGAGACATCGGGGAATGAAAATGGGCAACTTCGGCGCTCGCATTAGTTGGGCACAAGGGCCGGATCGGGTGTTTGCAGCCGAAGTTCAATTGACAGGTCGGTTTAAGTATCTTCCGACCGATTAAGTCGGAAAGCGGAATCTCGTGACGAGTTCTGAACCTCGAAACCCTCGGTCTACGCGTTTTGCACATGATCTGGGAGAGTGCTCCAGCAGATCGTGTGGTGATACCTGGTCCTCCCAAGATACGCGTCTTTATACAAGGCACGCCCGTCAGCGCCTGGTTACGTTACCTAGACGCTCTCCACCCTCTCACCTGGTCTTGGCAATGTCCGGACTTCCCCACCTCACCGCGACGCCCACAAACTCCGTTGCGACTCCCAACTCCAATGTCGCGATGGAGGCAAAGGAAGGGAGGTCAGGGAACGCCTTTGCTTGCGAGCGGTGTCGGAAACACAAAGTTCGATGTGTCCCCTCGGGCGCTGCTGGCATCTGTCAACGGTACGTACATGGCTTGGTTTACTCTTCACTGATCCACCTCGACTTCACCCGCGGCTAAAACCTGCTTTAGATGCGAAAAGGCTCGAGTGGAATGTATCGAGCATGTTGCGCGAAGGAGACCGGCCAAACCAAAGTCGGTAGTACAGACACCAAACCGTATGGCTGAACTCGAAAAGGTCATGGATCGATTCTCTGCCTTGGTTAACTCCACGCCAGTCTCGAAACCTGCCCATCGTCCTTCTTTGCCCTCTGTAAATACTATCCCATCCCAAGTCACAGACGCGACCCAGCAAAATCCACCCACGCCTTCCATGTCGGCTCTGCCAGCTTCGAAACCACCCATCCTCCCTGTCCCTGGATCAACCCCTGAAGCAGCCATGTCATTCTGGGAAACCATCAACGACACGCTGTCTGGCCTAGGACGGTTGGATCCTGTGATCCGATCCATCAGTGTAATTCACATGCAGTTGATCTTGGACAGCTACCGGACCATGGCCGACTTTTTCCCTTTTGTAGTATTACCCAAGGAGATGTTTTGCCAGGACCTCATCCAGCAGCGTCCCATCTTAATGTTTGCCGTGCTCACTGCCGGTTCATATGATTCCCCACTTCTCCAACTCACGTTGAGTCGGGAATTTCGAAAGGTTGTCATGGTTAGAATAATGAACGGAGAGAAAAGTTTGGAGTTACTGCAGGGCCTTTTGGTTTTCATCGCTTGGCATCATCACTATATGGATCCTCATGCCGTTTCCATTCGTTTGCTTTTGCAGATGTGCGTTGGTATCGCAAGCGACTTGGGTTTCGACAGCATTCCATCAACCATGAAAAGCCCGCCAAGAAAAGAGAATGGACCTGAGAGGGACGCAAAGAGGGCATACCTTGGCTGCTACTACTTGGTGTCAAATATGGGCATGATGGATCCCGGAAAACCTAGAGCCATGTCCTACTCTAGCATCATCCGCACATATGCCACAGATCTAGCTTCATCCTGGGAGCACAGATCTGATGCTATACTTCCCAACCTTATCGACAGCTGCCAGTTCTTGGAAGACATTGAGGAAACATTTCAAAATCAATCTATGCAGGCACAGGTTGTAAAATCTCAGGTCGGTCGGCTGATTGAGAAATGGGAAAGCATGCGCCAGGTATCACAAGCGCAAGCACTTGATTACAGTGAGCGTTTTCGATGGCTAAAATTCAAACACACTTTGCTAACAAATCACAGAAACGTTGCAGTGGACTCAGTTAATCTCTCGCGTACATCTATACAAGACAGTTGCTACGCTCCATCTCAATGATCGGGATAGTACACCATGGGCATCTGGCTCCCAGCTCTCGCAACGCATCAACTGTCTTCGCGCTGTCGAGCAATTTCTAGACGCCAGTCTCCAGCTATCCTCCGCCGAGTACGAATCGGTTTCGATAGTGGATTGGTTAAATCTCATTACAAGTCTCAGCATGCTTGGCAGGCTGGTCCTTCACTCATCACCCATGCCAGGTTGGGATCCCACCGAGTTACAGGTTGCTCGAACATTTGAAATATTCCGCGACCGGCTCTGCTCCATCATGCCTCGGCCACGCGACTCGCACGATAACGGCGAAGATCTTTTCGACAGGTTCCGACGTATCACAGCGGTCATGAAATCGGCGATGAGAAATATTCCCACAAGAGCCAGCCCAAATGGGTCGACATTCGAACTTGCTACTGGTTCTGGAAGGACAGTTTCGCTATTGCAGGACCTACCCAAACTGAATCCCATTGGTGTCATTGACGAATCATCGAATCCACTTCCCACACCATGGAAAGTTACCCCATCATTGGATATGAGCAGCAATGAATTCTGCTGGAAATTCCTCCACGGGACTATTTAATCTCATCCACATTGGCGCGAGCGGCCATGGTGGTTTTATGCTTGGTTGGCGGATTGCTTCCTTATTTTCATCGCGTCCGATTCCTGGTTCTAGGATCACTTTTTGCTTTTCAGGAATCTTGAAAAAAGCATTCATCATGCAAGGTGTAGAGTCTCCTAATGTTCCTCGGTTATTTGTTTCCTACCTTTCCAAAACGTCATCATCCTATCTCCCGTGATTGGTTTCCGAGCTGGCTCCGGCAAACCCCACTCAGCGAAGAAAGCAAAGCTCTGTTTCTTTTCTCGAATCGTTTCCCATTCCTGCGGTATCTCTACTACTACTACTTCATGGGAGGTCACCTCAGAGGTTTTCTTTCCCTACCTAATGGCAGAAAATTCCAACGCTCGACAAAGGAGGTAGTCTCGGCTTTTACATTATACCACTTTTTTGCCTTTAACGAGCGTGTGCGGCACTCTGGTTGTTTTGGGGGGTTTATATCCTTTGACGAACGGCGGCTCTGTTTTTGGCAGTTGGCACCTATTGCTTGCTCTCTTTTGTTACTCTTCAGCTGGTGTTTATGTCTTGAAACTTAGCTATCATACCCAGTCTCCTTTTTCACGTAGCCAGCGGATCTGAATCATCTACATTGAAGAATCAAAGTTATCACTATTATTGAAAAAACAAAACAAAATTTGATCAACAGTGTGTGTGGATCGGCTAAAGCGTTCAGATAGATACCACGTCACACACATTCCCAGGCGCCCGGGAAATTCAAATGTTGGGACGCCAGGGATGTTTGTATATTGCAAACCGGTGACCATGTTCAAGTCGTTACCCAATGACCGCTGCCTCCAAACCTTGCTCTTTCAATCACGATTTATACATCATCATCGTCCAAACCATCTGAACAAGAATCCCATGTCCCTAGTCGCACATTGTTATCATAGAAACAAGAATTCCCATTGTCCCAAAAACAAGAACCCAGATAACATTGACCTCTCACCTCAAGCACAGCCACAACTCCCACACCGCCAAGATCAGCATAACACTCTTGGCCATGGAATACTCCGGTCCTTCTCCACAATCCCTGCTCCCCCTGTTCTCCCTCTCCCCTCGCGGTGAGCTCAATCAGGTTAGCTTTCTCGAAGTACCGCGGAGGCTGGGAGCCTACGCTAATAGGTCGTACTTGCCGAAACAAGAGTACCGCGGAGCTCAACGTGTTTCAACGCGGGTAATATGTCGCGGCATAATTACATGGATTGCGAAGTACTGTAGAAAGACTGGTGGGTTAATGGGGTGATGGTATAGTAGGACTGGGGGGGCGTTTAGGTCGTCGTCTTGGCGTTGATTGGGGGCGGGGGAGGGGACGACGGCTCTCGTGTTATTTCGGTCGGGGAACGAGCACTTGTGTGACCGAGAAGGAAAAGAAGCGTTAGTTCATGCTCAGAAAAAGCTTGCTCAAAGTCAACGAGAAAGACCGTTAACGGGGAAAGAAAAAAAAAAAAGTTTAAGTTTAAATGGGAAAAACCTTTGATAAGACCATCATAATTCAAACCCACTCAACTTTACCACCATCTGCCTTTTATTTCCGTTAACATTTACATGAGAAATCCAATCAACTCGACGCATAGAGATCCAAACGGCACAAAAGAAAATCCTAAACGTAAGAAAAAAAATAAGAGAACGACTTAGGACATATCCCCAGAGACTCTTCCCTCCTATCATCCCGACCATATTCGATTGAACAATAAGAGACAAAATAAGCTCAACGTATAACACCTGCTCTAACCGTTATGCCCGCTCAAAAGCTGCTCATTCCCCCACTGCTGCACCCACCGCTATCCCCGCCGCCACTGAAACTCGTCGATCCACCGCAACTGGTACTCGAGGTATGATACGTAGGCGCCGGTGTATAATCCGTAGCCGTAACGGGGTAATAGTGTGCCGGCGTATACGAAGTCGAAGTAGTGTTACTGCTGCTAGATTGATAGTTGCTGCTAGTCGTTGGCTTCGACGGCTGCTTGGTCGCAGTGTTGCGAGGTTTATTCGCCGTGTTGCTGCTGCTGCTCACTGGCTTAGGCTTGGAGTAATCATTGGCCGTAGAGGGAGAGTTCGTCGTTGCGTTTCCAGTGGATGGGGAATCCTGTTTGGTAGCTTTGATAGCTTCTGTGCTGGGGGTTTGTTTCTTGTCCAGGGTGGAAGTGTCTGATGTAACGCTGAAATCGATGTAGTCGCGGGGACCGTTGTTCGAGGGAGTCGTCTTTTCGTTGAGTTGTTTAGTTCCTTGAGTGGGAAGAGCGGGTTTCTTGCCGCCGAGGCCGAAGTGAGGTTTGCTTGACATGCAACCCATTGTTGATTTTCGTTCGATGATGGGAAAGGGGGTCTGGTGATGAGCGCAAAGAACTTGTGTATGTTTTGTAGTCGTGAATAAGTATGTCGTTTCCAAGCCTGGATTGGAACTTCAGTGTGATTGTGAACTGTTACTGCTGCAGCATGGAAATGAATGATGCGATACTCAATAACATTAAAAGCGTGTGAATCACACATCTTTATAACCCATCCACCAATCCAAAGCCAAGAATGTCCAGATACAGCCTCTAGGTAGCAACACAGCCCTTAACCCATCTCTCTCAATCAGCCCTTTCTTCAACCTCGGCGTTCCGGTGAGGTTTCCTTTCTTGGCGGCGAGATATTAACTAAGTAGGCAATAGCGTTCTCGTATTCTCACGAAGCAGCCTTACTTTGGCGAATACGGCACGTGATCTGGTGGCTTGGAGCCTAGAGGCGGAGTCACTCGCTTGCGGTGACGCTCTTCAGTTTAGTGTGTATATATACTAATTTAACAAGTGCTAGTTCCCAGTGGGTCGTGTCGTATATGATATTGCGAAGACAATCTTGCCGGAATGGAGTAAGTCGGGAGGCGGCATGTAGTACAGTGATTGTTGTAGTCATCTTGGTGGGAGGTATGCAAATGACTCACCGGAAAACGCCTTGCAAATAAATAGAAATGGGGGTTGGATTCAACAGAGTCGGCAAGATTAAGTATAGCGATTTTGTTTCGCGCCGCTATCATGATCCATTGTGATGTTTGGCTGTATATAATATTGAGGCAGTCTTGGCTACACCCTTGGCTATCCAAAATATACATACACTGCCTTCTTACTTCTCCATGCCAATTCGAGTGACTTTTGATTCGAGCATACAGACAATCTGATTGTAGGAAGCTTCGTGGGAAGCGACGATTCGTTTGTTGATGATCTGCTTGGGTACACTGCCTTCCAACAAGCAGCACAAACCTACCATCCAACCGACCATCTTTACTCACCCACCTTGATTATACTCAGACTCATAACAAACAAGTAGAAGTACCTGGCACGATGTCTATATCCAGCGCATCACACACCTGACTCTTCAACCCCTTCCCTTATCAACAACACCCCCCATCTCCCCCACTTCCACAATCCCCACCAGACCCCCCATACCCTCCAAAAGAATCATAATGCTGCGCATAATAACTCTGCGAACTCATCACCCAAGGAGTCCTCCCACTGACTTTCCACTCCCGTTTCCGCTGCCGCTTCCGCTCGGCCTTTTCCTCTTTCTTCATGGCACTCGTTCCCAGAGTATGGGACTCGTGGTTCTGTGTGGTAGTGGCTGGACGAGGGTGGATTGGAGAATCAGATTGAGGATTCTCGCCCGGGGTAGAATCGGAGTTTGAGTTTGAGCGTTTGCTGGACATGCAACCCATTTCTTCTTCTTCTCGTTCTTGTTTCTTTGTAATGGGATGGCGTGTATGTGTGACGGTGATTTTGTAAGCGTATCACCCTTGTTTTTGTTGTCGGGAGAGGTTGGATAGACGATTTAGGCAGGCGTTTGATTTGGATCTTTTTGTTGGAGAGGTTGGACAGACCGACAAGACGGGTGTTTAGTTTCTTACAGTCTTTCTACGGCGATGATGAAGGCAACAGTCGGACACTTTGGGGGGTTCGTTGAGTAGGTGGCTTTTTGTAGAGTAGAGGATAGATAAGGGGGGAGTAGGTATGTTGCGGGATCATGACTATATAATATACCTTCCTTGGCAGTGCATACATAGGGAGAGTTCCTTTGTCACTTTTGTCCTATTCGCATAACGCGTTGTTGGTGAGGTAATGGAATCGGTTTTGTGGCCTATTAGAGAAGATTGATTTGCTATGATGGGTGGATGTAATAGCAACCAATGCATTCTTCTCCGGAAGAAAATCTCGGGGAAACATGATGGGATAATAGGAAGCGTGTGAGTGGTGGCTTAAAAAGAATGATGGAAGATCTATGGTGAGAAGGGGGAAGCACCAATCATCTCTCCGTCCACGAATATATAATCAATCGCTTTTAGTTAGCTGAGACTAGTACAGTAAGAATCATAAACACATAAGCGCACTCTTCGAAAGAACAAATGAGATTCTTTTTTCAATCAATGTAATTTATATTTCTATTGCTGGTTTCTTTCTCAGGACAAGCACCAAAAGATAGAAAAGATCTCAACACCCCCTTATCTTTGGAATCCAGTTCTCCTCGCAAATCCCAATAAAGCACCCCCCTACCCTACCCTACTCTCTACTCTACTCCACTCTACCGCCCAAGCCCTCTTCCCAAAACCCAACCACACTTCAAAAAAAAATGGGCTGCATCCCCTCCAAAAACCCCAAGACCACCAAGACCACCACCACCACCTCCCTCTCCAAATCAACCACCCCTCATCCCCGGCCCCTCTCCCAAAGACGTGCAACCCAAGCAAACACATCAGCAAGAATCGCACGACTACCACCACCGAAACCAGTTCACGTTCACGGAAAGACATGTAATCCTCCTTCATCAGTAACGGATGGAGAAGAAGAAGCACGAGTTGAACCAAAAGTAGTTCCAGCAGCACCGACAGAGCAGGAACAGGGAGGTGGAGAAGAAGAAGAACAACAACAAAAACAACAAGAGGAACAGCGACGTGGAGAAGAAAAGGGAAACGGGGATGAAAGACGAGATGGCGAACAAGAAGAGGAAGAAGTAGAGTCGATTCTACAAACCTCAACACAAACACAAACACAAATACCACTGCCGATCCTCCCCAAAATCATGATTACGACTACGAAATCGCTTCTCTCGTCTTCCACATCTTCTTCAGAGGACGAGAAGGAAGAGGAAGAGAGGGAGGGGAAGGGGGGAAGTGATGAGGAAGGATCTACTACATCGTCGAAGGTGGCTTCGTCGTCGGTGTATAGTCGGTCGACTGGTGGAGGTGAGGGGGAGGAAAAGGAAAAGGAGAAGGAGAAGAAGAAGAAGAAGGAGGACAAGAAGGACGACAGGTTGAAGGTCCCTGCCGAAAGCTTGTTGGTTGTCTAAGAGGGGTGTTCGCGTGTCTCGATGGGGTGGGTAGGGAAGGTACAAAGGGCGGCACAATGAGGCTGGGGACGGCAGGAGACCATCTGAGGAGCGACCATCATGATCCATCGATTGATTGGTTGGAAGAAAAAGCGGCAGGGAGACACGTCCCGCTACGGTACTACACACTTGTATCAACTTGGTCTCACATGGGTACACATCAAAGTCATAGCAATCTCGAATCATTAAAACATGTGTGAGTGGTTCATAAATCGTATCTCATTTATCCTATTTTAGATATGCCTGTCTCCTAGGTCGACAACTCAATGTCGAATACAGGCACAGGTGGTTGGGGCGGTCAAGCTGATTTTTTTGCTACCGTATATAACCCCGTGTCTATTACATAACCCATTCATGATATCATCTCGACGACCCCCCTCATATGCGTGACCTTCACGAGCTCTGTACCTTCTTGACGATGGGAACAATCTTCTCGTACAGAGGGTGAGAGCTCTCGAGGCCGGTGATGTGCGTGGTGGCGTCCTCGGCGGACTTCTCCTTGAGGATCTTGGCGAGCTCGACGGACTCGTCGTCACCCTCGACGTTCTGGAAGCGGAGGGCCTGCTCTACAGCACCGAGGAGAGCATCGACCTTCTCACCACGCTCAGCAAGCTGGGCGGCGGGGCCAATGAAACGCTCCTTGCGGGAGAGTTTGCGGAGAGGAGCACGGCCGACACGCTCGACGTTGTCCTGGAGGGTGGGGTTGGAAATGCGGGTGATGATGGAGCTGACATAGGTGTCCTGGTCCTGGGCGGAAATGCCGTGCTTGTTGACAATGAGGTTGGCAGTCTCCTTGACGGCGCTGCGGACAATCTCGGAAAGCTCCTTGTCGGCCAAGACCTCGTGGATGTAGGGGACCTTGCGCTGGTGGCCGTAGTAGGCGGCCGTGGCGTGGGAGGTGTTGACGGTAAAGAGCTTGCGCTCAATGTAGGGCTCGAGGTCGTCGACGTAGTGGATGCCCTCGACCTCGGGCTTGTTGCCACCGTTCTCGAAGGGCTTCTGCTCGACGCACCACTCGTGGAACTTTTCAATCTTGACGTTGAGGCCGGCGTTGGACTCCTGCTGGGGCACAATGCGGTCAATGGCCGAGTTGGCGTAGCGGGCACGGCTGTCAATGTTCTTGAGGGTCTCCTCGCTCAACTTGGCCTCGATGAAGCCCTTCCATGTGGTGGTGGCGTTGATGGCGTTCTCGCAGGCAATGACGGCCAGGGGCTTGTCGGCGGTGCGGGCCTCAATGGCCTTTGCCACGGGCTCAGCGACGAACTTGAGGATGTTGGGGCCGACAGCACAGGTGACGACGTCGGCGGTGGCAATCTCGTGGATGACCTTGTCCATCTCGTGCTTGGAGTTGATGGCACGGTAGTGGTCAATGGTGAAGGTGCGCTCGCCGTCGTTGCCAATCTCGGTGACGGTGTAGGAGGGGGTGTTTTGGAGAGATTCGATGATGGAGTCCATGACATCGACGAAGACGACCTCGTAGCCGGAGTTGTGGAGGAACTCGGCAACGAAGCCACGGCCGATGTTGCCACCGCCGAAGTGAACAGCCTTCTTGTCGTAAGGCATGATGATGATGGTTGGGGTTGTCTTTGGGTTGGGGGGTATCACAGTAAGTAAGACAGACGACAATTGACGTGAACGCCGGGAAAGCAAGCAAGCAAGCAAGCAACAGAAGAGGTGGAGGGAGTGAGCGAGAAGGATGGAAGTTGGATGGGAATTGGAAGCTGGGGACGGGGAAAGAAGCGGGAGTTTATATACTGGGGGAGGGGCAGACAGATGTTGTGAGTAGGTAAGTAAGAAGGTAAGAAGGTGGGTAGTGGGGTACAGGCAAGGCAGGGGTGGAGGAGGAAGGAGCAGGGGTGGGGATGGCAGGCACATGGCATGGCTGGGAACGCTGAATACATGGCAATAAACAGGCGGGCATGGCGGGGCACAACTCACGGGAAATGGAAAGATGCAGCGGTGTGCAAAGCTGTATGGAGAGTGCAGCAGGTGGCGTGAGGAACAGGAGGAGGAAGAGTGATGAAAGAGAGAGAGAGAGAGAGAGAGAGAGAAAGTTGAGTGTGGTGTGGTGTGTCGATGCGATTGAGTGAGCGATGTGTTGGCGGCAGACAGGCAGGCAGGCAGTCAGACACGGACAAAGCGGTGACGCCCTCCAGCCAGGCAGTGCAGCAATCGAGTGAGTCGCCATTGGCTCCGGCGGCTTCGAGCAAGTCGATGCCCCGAAGGATTTGAGGCCTTGGAAGGGAGCGGGCGCATTGGACAAATCATGCTGGAACTGGCTGCCGTGCCGCCATCGAATGCATCGAATGCATCAATGTGATTAGTACCGCCGCGGAATAACGCGTGGGGGGGGGGGGGGGGACAGTGGGCTCAATCTCTCCCTCCGACTTACTCTCCTCTCCTTGCTTTTTCCTCCTAGTCCATCGTCGTTGAGCAACAGGCACACTATCGAAACGCCACGGCCATTGACAGCGCCCACCAAGACCAAAGACGAAAAAAATCCTTCGGTACCATTTAAACACCTACAGACAGATATATTAATCACGCATCTCCAGCTGCCCAACAATCGAGTACATACATGTAGGTAGGTCCCGGCCGTGGACCTCGACGTCTTCCTTGCTTTGCTTTGCTCTGCTTGCCCCTCCATCCCCCCTCCTCCACTGTAAACAAACAAACAAGAAAATAAAATTCAGTCAACATTGCCATTAGAGAATCACATGTCCGTCTCTTGATTTCGCGTCCTGCGCGTCAAACCCCCACCCCGCCGCCATCGCCGTTATGCCTGGCCATCACTCAGAATCCCATCGAGATATCCCCTCCAGTGCGACGTCATGGACCCATAGTAGCTTCTCGATAGCTTCCGCAGACAGCGCTTAATCCTCGCCAAGCTGCTGTCACCTAGGGATACCCTCGCTGCATTCCCGCGACACCAGCCTTGTCCGGTGGGTCTCCGACCAACTCCATAAAAATTCATGTCAATGATATCATCGCGAACCATTCTGCTTGTCAGTATACATAGCTCCCAAAATCCCCGCTTGCACTCCTTTTCTGTCGTCGGGGCCCCAACCTATTACGCGTGGATGGCCTGCTGCACATGTGGGTACACGGCTACCATTTGGTGGTAGAGATCCGTGTGGTCGCGCATCAACACCTCGGGATCCCACGCCATGGCCACAAATATCGTGTCCAACCCGCTGCTCAACGGCGTCGTGAAGATCTGGCAGATCTGCGTTCCAATCACAAACGCAAAAGCCACCACCACCGGCGTAAACGATCCGTTCGAGTTGTACGAAGGCGACGTGAAGATGAGGTACAGATACGCGAGCAGCGCGCTGGCGTATCCCACAAAGAACGCTCCCATGCTGAGTACCGGCCCGATCAGGCATTCGTTCACGAGCGCATCGATTCCGCGATCCTTGATCATCCTTTTGGAGTTCACCGTGTCAGTTCTTTCTGCTCATCCATCATTCATAGTGTGATACATACTTCCACGTAGCCTTCGCCGCAGCCACATATGGCTTTCCGTACAGCGCAATGTATGAGAAGGCATAACGGTTCAGAAACTCGACAGCCCATTCGAGGATCCCAATCAGGCACTGCAGGCAGCAGAAGATGGCCATTCCAATCATGTTGCCATCCTGCGCGGCTCCCTGTTGCGCTGCTGAGCAGATCTGGCGCATGAACTGGATAATGGCCACGATCAAACTGCCCAGACTGATGCTGCCAAAGCTGTAGGTGAGTGCGCGTTTGAGCGCTCCGCGCGTGGCTCCCTTGGGGAAGCTGTTGGGACCCATGAAATACCATGACCCGTACACTCCAGATATCGTGACGTGGATAGTGTTCTTGAGCCATCTGCAATCCAATCTGTCAGTACACTTGAAAGCAGTGGGAAGTCGCCAGCACGTACTCGGAAATCCAGTACATGGCAAACGTGATGAAGACAATCAGCCCAATCACTTTCCCACTACCACAACCCCCAGCGCCCGTGTTGCATGCTGGATTGTTGGCCGACGGTTGGTACTTGACGTAGACAGCCGCCAACGTCACCGAGAACCAAGCACCAAAAGCCGTGGCCAGGATCCCACCCAGAAGCGAAACCATGTACACGTGCCCGTACTTCTTGGACACATCAATGGTAGTCTGCAGCATAACGACCGAGAAGGGGATCCGCGGGATCCAGCTGATGAAGCAAAAGACGTAGAAGACGGCGAAGAGGAGAAACACTATGCCGCCGGACCAGTATTTCCGCGAGAGCATGTAAATTGCCGTCACGAAGCCAAAGACAATGTTGAGGATCCCAGTGATCCAGATGAACTGCTTGGTGAATGCGCGCGCGCACCACATGTAGGCGTAGCTCAGCACAATGGCAACGACGAGGACGAAGGCGAAGAGCACAATCGTGTTTGTGTCGAGTCCGAAGTCGTTGCGGCTGTTGTAGATGCCGCCGCCGTTGAACCCTTTGGTGTGCGAATACCCTTGGATCGCGATGCCGCTCACGGCTGCGTAGCCTAGGAATACCGCGATGAGCAGCAGCCCGGCCCACCAATCGTTCCATTTGGGCTTTTCGATCTTGAAGGTCTGGTCGAATCCTGGTTTCTCGCCGTACGACTGCTGCTGGTACCCATTCTGCTGCGGGGGGACTCCTTGGGGTGGTGGGGGCGCGTAGTTCTGGTTGTACTGTGGAGGTGGAGGAGGAGCATGTTGTTGGGGGTATCCACTAGGCTCTTGCCTGGAGTTGGGTATGATGTATTAGCCATGTCAACCGACCGAGATGCCTTTCTTGATGGTCACATACATCTGGTAGTAATTGCCCTGTTGCGGCGCGCCGCTATAGTAGGCCGCGGCCTCACCTTGATTAGCCATGGCCGTCCGGATCGGGGACGATGCGAAGTGGCTATGTATGTACGTTGGTTGATTTGGTGGAAGGAGGGTGGGAGGAAACAGACAAACAGACGACAAGGGAAGCGGAATGGCAGCAAAAAGGGAGGCTTGTTATTATTACATAGCTTCTACCAGGCCAGCGCCAGTGCCACCCAGTGTTGCTAGTGTGACGAAGCTCTCGAGTGCTGCTGCACCCTAAGTGGCTGTTTGTGATTCGAGCGACAAGGCTAGCCACCGAGCAATGGCCCACGTCATGAATGCTCCAATGCTCGCTCCATCCAGACGTCTGCCCAACCGTTGACTTCTACCACACTTGAACGCCTCTCCACTCGGATGCATGCTCAAACCTAGTTGGGTCCATCAGTACGCTGTCCAGTCAAAGAACCCTCCACCTACCCCTCCGAACCTTGAACCCCCCATTCTTCATTAATTCATTCATTCATGCTTCCATTCCTGTCGCCCGCAAATGTTCAATTTTTCTTAAACCCTTTCGGAAAACACGGCGCCACTTGTGGCGCACCACGTCTCATTATTCACTAGCCCACTTGACCCCCGACTGCAAATTCTCGAGTCGCCGAATAGCCGCCTTGGGCTGTCTGTGTTTGATTTGTGCTGTTGAAACTAGCTGTGCTGCCGTCTCTTACGCCTCATTGCGCACATGAATCTGCAAACCTGTGGCTCAGCACACCCTGCAGATCAACATCCATCCCTCACAGCCGGATGCATCTGATCTGTTCGCAGTCAGACGTCTATTTTCAATCTTGGTGCGAAATGGCATTGTTGAGTAACGATGAGGAGGAAGAAGTGCTCACCGGAGGAAATGGCTACCAGTACATGTCACGCTAAGCCACATACCATCTGCTTCCAGTCTATACATACATTTGTACATACATGTATCTATGTATGTACATGTGGGAAGCAGCACACGTCATCTCTATGCTGTCTGTGTCGTCCACTCACAATCAATCGAAAACAAAAATTGGATAATAAATCATTGCCATTAGCACGCATGTCGCAAGCTAAATCACGAGGTATATGAACCTTACATATGTACGTAAAGTCATTAGACTCCATCTAAATCCTCACTCTACACACCTTTCTTCCCTCTCCCCCTTCCACGTCCTCTCCCCCGTCCCGCCGCTCCACCCCTGCCGGCCGCTTTCTTCTTAGGGCTCCGATCCGTCAGATCCGTCTCCTCATCACTGTCATGAGCAAAGTAATGGCTCTTAACCTTCACATCGCTCTTCCTAGCCGCTCTCCTCTTGGGTACAACTCTCTCTGGAACTTCAGGGGCGAGGGGGGACACAACCTTCCGCTTCCCGCGAGCAGCTACCGGCTCGTCTTCAGACTCGGAATCTTCTCGAGATGCGGGAGATGGGGGTGATAGCATTGAGTCATCGTCTGAGTCGAGGATAGATTTGCGGGTCTTAGTTGTTGAGGTGCGTTTATTGCCGCGTCCACGAGCGTAGGTTTGCTTTGTGGGACGTCCGCGGCGGGAAGGTGGAGGTGTTTCGTCCATTGTATCTTGGTCTTCTTCTTCTGCTATTTCATCTTCGTCTAGACCTTCTTCACTGTCTAGGCCGTTGGTCTGGGTATCTTCTCCGGCTGCCTGTGTTCGATCTTCAGAAGCGGAGTTCTGGTGCATCGAATGCAGCGACATGGGAGTCTGGTACTGTATTTTCGTTGTAGACTTATGTGGTTTGGTATGCTCTGCGTCGCCATGATCGATGACGATCTCTCCGATATGAGAATGCTCCTCCTCTTGACTTGGCGCAAGGAAACCTCCAGCCATAGGTTCATCCTCTGGTACGAATCCACCACCTGAAGTTCCCTGGTCATCACGTAGAAACCCACCTTCGAAGTCTTCGTGGTTCTTAAACATATCCCACTCACTTCCCTTAACTTCCGCTTCTTTGGGCGTATCTGTGACAGGCGTAGGCAACTCTACGTCTTCTCCGTACTCTCTTTGCAGCCGACGAACTGTCCGTAAGCCTACGAAGAATCTCTTCCACAGTCCCAGGAGAAACTTCTCCTTCTTGTCTGCCTCTTTGGCTGCCTTTTGCTCTTGATCAGCCTCCCATGCATCTATGACAAAATCCTCATTTTCGGCAGCCACAACGACACCAGTAATCACCGGAACAGCGCGTTGTTTGCCGAATTCGAAGCCGGTGCATGCTTCTGCGTAGTCAATGTTTAGCTTCTTACAGATCCTTCCGGTACCTTTGAGAGGAATGTGAATTGCACCTGCCGGAACCATAGTCGGGACGTAAACATCGATGTTCCCAAATGCGTTCCGGGGAATTTTCCCATCGACAATCGGATCAGGGATGATCCATTCAGTTTGAGCTTTGGAGTATAACCCCTGCTGAACTTTCCCGCCCTCCTCCCGTTGCCGCTCTTCAATCTCGCGCTTACGGGTGACGGTGACTGCGCGCATCGGGACGTATTTGAGTGGGTGCTCACCCTCTCTCACTACGCGCCCTTCCTTATGCCATGATTCCATGGATCTGCAAACCACAACATCTTTGCGGAAATACACTGGTTCTTGCTTCTCTTTGTCGCCTTTTCCAGTTACAAAGTGGCGGACGATCTTCGCGCCGGGTTTAATCGCTTCCTCTCGCCGCAGGTGTCTCTCCAGGGCATATTCGGTAGAGTTTTTGTAGCCTTGAAGTGTCTCTTTGCCGCCTTCCTCATCCATGTCCTTTGGTTTGGCGGGTTTTGCTGGCACTAGATCACCTTCATCCTCCACTTCATCCCAAGGTTGGCGCTTGTTATAAGGCCGCGCATATGGTCGCAATACTGATTTGAACCAATCCCATTCCTCCCATCTCTTCACCTTTCCTCGCTTGTTATGTATCGGGATTTTTTCCGCTGGCATTCGAAACCCTTTCGTCTTGCCAGGCCATTGGTGACGCGGCAAATACCGTGTGGTAACATCTTTGGCAGAGCCATCTGATGAATACGCGATCAAGTAGGCAAAGACTTGTTTGGCTTTCTCTGCTGAAGCTCCCCGGCAGTAAAACATAGCAAGTGGCTCTGGCATCGACGACGTGGCAATTACTATGCGTGGCAAACAAGACACGGCAACGGGCGTGTGGGTCAAGTTTGAGATAACTTCTGTCCAGTATGTGGGATGGGGAAGCTCTTCACCATATCTGCGTATCTTGGGCGACCTTTTCGTTGTCTTGTTGGGGGCATCCGAATCGGATGAAATTGATATCGCACTACTAAGATCACTGACATCAGAGTCTGAAAGATCTATTGGCAAAGCTTGAGTGCCATTACTGGATACCCCGGATATGCCTCTGTTTGTAGCAGGTGTGACAGTTTCAGGCCTTTTTGCGTCCTTCAGTTTACTCAAATCTTTGGCTTTGCCTTCCTCCGTCTGGCTCCATCCAAAGCCCAGAGGTTGCAAACTCGCAACCATACGAGCTTCGATACCCAGACCTCGGATTAAAGCTGTAAAAAGTTGCTGGCCAACATCCCTACTACCATGACACTTACGAGCCATGGTGCGAAAGGCTTCTATGTTCTCCACTTTCTCGCCGAAAGCATCTGGATCTGAACCACTGTCTTTCCACGCCTGGATCTCGGCTTGAAGCGTTGCTGGTGACAGATAGCCACGCTTTCGTAGGCATGGCGCTACAACCTTGAACTTTGCCTTCCAGAACGCGGAAAGGTACCTCAGCAGACGCAACAACGGATCACCAGCAGATAGATTTGGGGTATGTGGTTCTACACGGTCGGATTTTGCGCCCCAGTCACGCTGGTTCCTGTCGCTGTTTCGTTTATCCTTGGCTTTGGCTTTCAATGAGTTGGATTTGCTCCCAGGCTTTCCAGCAGAGCCTCCACTTTTCCCTTTTGGTTCGAAGACTTGCACACCTGCTTTGCCGCTACTCTTCCACATCCCTGGGCCTTGGATGTCGGATTCAATTTTCTTAGTCCAGCCACCCTTCACAACGCGCTTGTGTCCTTGAGCAATTCCCGCATCCCGCCAATATCGATCCACTTCCTTCCAGCAACCTATGTTCAGGTGATCGACCATATCTTTCTGTACCTCCGGATCTTGTATCCAAGTATTGCGTATAGTATTATGCCACATGAGAAACTGCACGTGCATGCAATGTGTGACATTTCTTATCTGTCGCTGTATTTTCGAGGGTCCTTTTTTACCGTCCGGTTTCAGCGAGTAATCTGCCTGTTGCGTAGGGTCGGGGAGGGTGAATTCGAGATCGCCAGACACGACCGGTTCAGGCTCGTCAATCTTCCTAGATGATAGAGTCAACAAAAACTCAAATGCACGCATCTGCCCCGATCGGTCTGAGGGCGTGATTCGCAACATCTGTGCCCGGATTCGAAAAGACGTACTTTGTGTGATGTTTCGACCCCAGAGCATCTTCCCATGCCTCGTCCTCGCTCTCTTCACTTTCCCCGTTTTGCGCATCCTTATCCGCTACCGCATTGTTGCCCGCAAGCGGCACATCCTCGAACTCGTCCTCGCTACTGCCAGACTCTGAAATCTCGCTACTATCATCATCGTCGCCCTCTAAGAATTTCTTGGTTTGCGATAGCGTTCGCGACACTGTAGGTGGCGTGTCAAGAGCGTTGAACACTGAATCTTTACCGCGACGAGGATGAGGGTGCGGATTGCGCGCTCGTTTCTTTGGTGGCGGCGATTGAGTTTTGGGGGATTCTGACCGGAGTCGCTTTCGCGGGAGAATAGGCGGCATCGTAACAAGGCAAAATTGAATGTTGTAGCTGTATGGTGGGTAAGGAAAGGCGCTGTTGGGCAGGCAACTTTGATCTGAATTGAACAAGAGTCGATGACGCAGTGAACCGATGGCGCGGAAATTTGACCGATACGCGAGATCGGATCTGCGTTCTTCTGAACCTGGAGTCGCGGCGGCAATATTGATCGTTCGCTATATTTGCTAGGGTGAGACTTCTGTGCTGTTCTTCTGAGTCAAGTGTCTGGTTGACTAGTCAATCGGCTGGTTGTAGTCTGGTCTGCGAACTTTTGGGAATTGTAAGACAGGAGCCTGACGCGGTACCGCGCGCTCACGTGACCCTTCGGGCTTCCCGTATCTGTAGATCGCACCTCCCTATATTCATCACAGATTGCACCAGAGTTGGAGTTCATTTCTGCCGAATGCCAAAATCGAGAGACAGGCCATACGGAGGAGAATATTAACATGTGTACACCCGCATGCATGTGTGCTCGTACATATCTAGGTACATACCTAGGTATGTACCTAGGTATCAATTGACCGTGGGAACAAAGGCAGCTCTATGACACTTTCACGTATTCATGGGATGGCAGGTACGAATATGCGGCACCAAAGATAGTCACAGGTTCAGTCATGAATATATATTGCCAATCACGATAACAGGACTATGATCATTTGCGGCTAAAGACCTGTAGCGGAGAATCCGAAAACACTCTGCATATCGAACAACACAAGTGCGACAGATGGGAGGTTTTCTAAACATTCAATCATCAGAGGAAGGCCTTGATACTCACAGTCAAATCAATAGTCGTCTATCAATTGAAGTCATCCCCTAATTTTCGGTTGCTTGGAAACTGCCAGCCTGGCTCACATTATGCACATGCGTTTGACGCGGGTTGCCTCCCATGGTACCAGTTGACCTACCCCGTCTCTGTCACTAGATTTGGTAGGTTCCTCCGTGATGACAAAAATCAGCACATCTCTTTTTCTTTTTCTTTTTCTTTTCGTTTCTTCAAACATCTATTTGAGGCAAGAGTTCAACAACTCCAGCACTCACTGATTCAAGACCAAGATCGCCGTTACGTCTGCAAATGCAAAGTCAATATCTTCATTTTACAATCTGCGCGGGCCAGCTCAGTCTTTCGACATAGCATACGGTACGGTGCTGCGATATTCTCCTGCAATTCGGAAATACGCACCTTGGTTTGCCGCCCAAGTTTTGCACACGGAGCGGTGCCTGACTGTATTTGATGCCGATCCTGATATTGAAAGGGCAGTACTTATCGATGCGAATGAAGTGGAAAACTCCTGTGCGAAGCCACTTAAGGAACGTATGGTGTCGGTTGTTGATTAGGATCTCCATATCGCTTGATTTGACTGTATCACACTCTTTCCATCCACAAGGTTGGACCTTGAAAGTGACATTCGGCAAGTCATGTCTGAGTCTGAGGAGATTCCTCATGTCAAAACCCCAAAGCCATTTGAGATGAATAAGTATATTGACCGTATGCACATTGTGAACAAGTGGCGTGCTGCTGACACCTAAAGTGACAAATGAGTTGTTAGAACAATGATCCTGGAGATACATGTGTACATACCTTCGAGTTCACGTGAGAAGAAGGCGGCCAGAAATCCTTCCATCAGTGGCAGAGGAACACAGAGTTGACTTAGCCATTGGTCATAGAACTCGGAGCGAACTTGCGTGCAACATTGTGTGAGCCCCAGAAAAGGAATTACTGGGAGCTTGTCCGTAGTATATGGATCGTAAAAACGCCTACGATTTGCGCAAGACCTAAAAGCCATATGACCACGACGTTTCCTCGGTCCAGGTCCTCCCCACAAAACAGTATTCGAAGTCATCCGATTGGTTTCAAAGAGTGCTATCCCATATATATAATTACGTAGTTCTGTCAGATTGGTCAACTTTGTTTCATACACAGTGCGGGCCTTGTATTGATAGATAACCAAGGAGCAGAATTTGTACTAACCAGCGGGAAGCTTCAAGAACGGAAACTTTTTTCTTCCTACTGCCGCTTTTTTCATCTTCTGTCGTTTATCAGGTGGCTGCATTTGATTGTTGTCTTCGCTGGCCCTCTTTCTACGACTGCGAAAGGATGCCGCTGTTGCCTTCGCTTTCGATTGTTGCGCCCCATGAGAACGGCGATCAGAGTTGGATGAATGCATGTTTCGAAACCGAGTGTTTGGTTTTAATAATCCAAAATTGAAGTGGTTTCCATTCCTAAATGACTGATTAAATCATAGCACAGAAATCAGGCAGTGATAAAAATAAATCTACGAAGACTTGTTATTTCGCTGTAATCGCTGGGCTAGGCAGCGATTATAAACAAAGTCTAGGCTTTGGGCTAAAGTGGCAGTGCTACAAGGCTAGCTTAGAGGAGTACTTTGCGAAAAGGATTTTGTTTGTCAGTTTAAGAGGCTAGCTCAAAGGAGTTCTTTACAAAAAGGTCATTGTTTGTCAGCTTTCTTTCATCATTGATACCCCGACGACGATCGCCATTCGTCCAATCAGTTTCTGGATTGAGTCCGCATTCATCTAGTATAATTAATATAGGTAATGGGGAGGCATAGACGTGAGTAGGCCTGAGGTGGTGATGGGTGGTAGGTGGGAAGTGGCGGTGCTCTGAGCAATATATATTTACCCGCGCAGGGCGTAATCAGGGGCCAAAATCAGCACACATTGCCCATTCCCGGAGGCCAGGGGCTGAATGCTCTCTTTCTTTAATTAATTGTATGACCCAATCAGATGGTGATGACATACTAGCCCATGAGATATATAATGATCATGATGGTTAATACGTGCAGAACGTGTACAGGTTTAATTGGAAGTTTAAGTGCTCCTTATACTCAAAGGGTTGATATAACACTTGCACAAAATGTAGGCGGTAGAAGTATCATCAATTCGGCGCACTAAGTTCATAATTGATGGCTAACTATAATAATATCCTACTTCATACACTGCACCTTAGGGAGCTGTGTTAAGAGCCAAATGAGTATATGGCAGGGGACACAGTGACCGAAAAGATTGTCAAACCCTCTGGGTAAAACCCTGTTCTTTTGCTGTAACATGGTTCGCTGTCAATATTTCAGATCCGTGGTCTCAACTAGCACCACAACATAACAAACCGTCGCGTTTCTCTTACAAACATTTTGAAGCATTTCAATGTAGGTGATGGTCTAGATATTCACATTTCGATTCAATTAGGCTGGAATGAACAGGTAGTGACGGCGATCAAGTAGCCTCACTTCAAATTCTCTTTTGTGTGATGGGCGAAGTCACCTCAAAACATGATATTGTTCCGTGTACTATAGAGATCCAATCGCATAGCACTCAGCCTAGCCACCGATATTGTCGCATGAGTGATCCGACTGAGCACTCATTTGACTACGTACAGTACCAGCACGTTCACTCTGGAGGCCAACGACCATAGCCAACAACTGTGCATTTTGGAAGAATTGCATCAGGTCATTTTTTTCCCCCTTTTCTGTATGTTTGGGGCCACCGAAGATGCAACTGATCCGCTCTCGGAAGTCTGAGAAGCTCAATTCGCCGTTCATGGAGTCACTCCAAATTGAATATAAGCACCGATTTCATTCAAGCCAAGTGAAGTGAAATATCTTCCGCTTCAAGTTAGTTCAAATGCTGTATTCAGGTAGAGCCTGTATATACGTACGCGTGAGGAATTGAGTTTGGACTTGATTTAATCCACAATGGCGCTTTATTGTTCTTGAACATGACCTTGATCTCGGGCCTGACATATGTATGAATACGAACAGAGCTGATTGCATCTGAGCGCAGCAACTCTAACCACGAAGGATGACGATTGTTTAGAAAGAGCTGCACGCTACTTGCCAGTACATCAAACAATACTCTAGGATATCCGGCTCGGACCTCGAATTTGGTGTTTGGCAGCCTGTTCTTGAGCTCAATGACGCGTGTGAGGTTGTAGATCGATGAAGAATCGTGTCCACAGTCGACGAGGAGAAGTCTTAAAGTATTGACTGTAGGCCAGAGCTATGCATAGGCGTTACCTAAATACACAATTTCACAATCAACATGTTTCCTTGAAACAGTATAAAACATCATGGATATACATACGACCGGGTGCCTTCGGAAAGAAGGTGAGTAAAAAGTGATCCAAGTAGCATATGGTGACTGGTACTCGGCTCAAACACTGCGCATGGAACTCAGAGCGGATTTGTGTACAGGTTTGTGAGAGCCCCATTCCCAACACCTGCCTGTGTGGGGCTATTGGGGCATCTGACGCTGTAGGGTTATGCCATGTACAAAACCTATGGTTATCCCAACGGTCGTCCCATGGGAGGTCGAACTCCTATATTGTCGGTATATAGTTAGCAGAACCCAAGCACAGATGGTCCATTAAATATCAACATCCGGATGCGCCACCCTGTATGAAGTTCGGATGATTGGTAGCACTTCACTCTGAAGGACAACTCACGTTTAACACACTGTTGTATATCTGATTGCGCAGTTCTGTTTGGTCGGTTAAAAAGTGTTATTTTGAGGGTATAATCGAGGACTCACCACCAGGCAGATCGAGGAACCGGAATGTGGATGGGCTTCTACCCTCCTTCCCATTTTTGAGCTGTTTAGCTGGTGGATGTGATTTTCCGTCGTCATCATTTTTGTCATCGCGGGACCTCTTTTTGGGGTTGAGCTTTGCCAGCGCTTTCTCTTTAGCAGCTCTCGGTCTCAACTCTCTCGCCCTGTTAGAAGATTAGTTGGAATTGATTCCACAAATGGAAACGAATCTAGAGAAAAGCTCACGTACATGTTGCAGAAAGCCTGCAAGAGGCGAACTCAGAGGATTCTCAATGGATGTGGAGGTGTAAAGGTTTAAGGTGATGTGGTAGAGGAAGAGATTTAGGAACGGATATAGATGTGGCGCCAAGGAATAGTGGAATAGGCGAATGTGAATGGGAATGGGAATGTGAATGTAAAAGTGAACGAGGCGAACTAGGGAAGTGGACTACAGTCAAACGTAGGAGGTTTTTCTCTCTACCTATGACAGACAGGTGTTCCTCGTGACCCTAAATATCTAAGATGATTAAGAAAGCCTGCTGTGTAAGTGACAAGAATGTGGATATTGGAAGTACAACAGAGATTAGTAGGAAAGACATGTGCGTTTTTTTTGAGCACATCTAGGCTACTAGATACAGCTAAACTGAGCAATTAGGTTACTACGTGATCTTATCAATCACTATAGCTTAAGCATCACAGCAGGGGTTGTTACGTTACGACTTCTGATACTTCAGTGTTGTGCTGCAAGACGCTTGATGATACTGCCTTTTCATTCGAGTCTAACTAATTACATATTTGAATATGCATACTACAACACCACAAGACAAGATATGAATACAAACACATGCGGAAATGAATCATGTCGTTGCTTCGGAATGGCGATCAATAGGACTGAGAATACTGATTTATAACCTACCCTACTCATAGATGTCAGATATCAAAAGATTGAACATCACAGTATCGTCAACGATATTGAAGTGGGGTCGATATTTCCCTTGGGTTGACATTGAACGGATCGGTTATACGGATGAGGACGTTGGCTGTGAATCGTTACGCGTGGAAATTCGTTCTCGCTGTCATGATAGCCATGGACAGTGTTGATGCTAGCAGCGACATACATGCAATTATGCAGAAGCCACCCGTACCGAGCGCCTAATCCTCTTTATCACACGAATGGGAACAAGGACTGTACTTTTTGACCTGCCTCGGCGGCATTTTTAGCCAGCCAAGGGCTTTTCATTTCTCATAGACTGAAGAAACATACACAGCCCATCGGACTCCGAATCCTAGTCCCAAAATGCAGAGTTGACCCGTCGAACCTTATTCCCAACCGCCTTTTGCTCTCGTGCCCCTTCGTCCCCTAATCATGCCAGCGAAACCATCCACTTAAAACTTGGAGAAAGACTTGACGGCCTTGCCGGTCCTGGGGAGCACACGGAGAACGTTGAAACGGACGGTCTTGGAGAGGGGTCGGCACTGGCCAACAACGACCTGGTCACCGTTCTCGACACGGAAAGCAGGGGAGACGTGTGCGGCGAGGTTCTTGTGGCGCTTCTCATAACGAGAGTACTTGGGCACGAAGTGGAGGTACTCGCGACGGATGACGAGGGTACCTAAATTGTGTCAGTTAAACTGCCAAGCCATGTCCCCCGAGAAAAATTCCCCGCAACAGCGTACTGATGCGTCGCTCGAAGACGTGACAAAAAAGATGGACGTACGGTGCATCTTGGTGGAGACGACAGTTCCGGTAAGGATACGGCCGCGAATGGAGACGAGACCGGTGAAGGGGCACTTCTTGTCGATGTAGGAACCCTCAATGGCGGTCTTGGGCGTACGGAAGCCCAGACCAACGTCCTTATACCATCGCCTGGTGCGGGTGTTCTTGCGCGGTCCACCGACCTTGTGGTTCAGGAAGATATGGGGCTATTCGTAGAGAAATCAGTATTGGGCGTGATTTTACTTTGCATCGCGTTGGGTGAGGAGGGAGAGCAGTACCTGCTTCTGGTAAGCGCGCTCCGACTGGACTCTGTGATGCCGTTAGTTTGAGGCCTTGAATAGAAGCGTAATTCGACGTACGTGAGCTCGGTGGCCATGTTTGCGGTCGGGATATGTTGTCGGTCTTGTTGGAGGTTGAAGTCGGACTTGTCAATGTGTGCTGCTTCGCTTAGCAGGTCGGAGAGAAAGTTTTTCCGATGGGTCGCGCTAGCCCTTTCGCCTCGACCAATGAGAGACTACCGCGGTTCAAAAAGTCAAGAGCGCAACTTAAGGTCGTTTACAGGAGGAACGCAATCCCTTGAGTATAATAGACCCTACGATTCCATGTCCAGTCAAATATCGAGCCATTGACAGCCTATCACAAGGAGCTGTGATTTCTAAGCTATGTTCTCTGCTGCCCAGTTGTGATTCATTCATTCCAGATTTCGCTTTTGTTGGCGCGCCAAAGCCGAGAACAATCGCTATTAATCGACTGTGGTCCACTTCCCCTCACTCACCTCTGCAACCTCTCTCAATCCTCTAAGCAACTGTCACCATGGACTCTTTGCGATCTATCTCAGCTTCCGTTGGGAAAGAGTTTGACTCCAAACTCGCTGTTCCCTTTCTTTCCGTAGTTTTCCTCGCTGGCCTCTACACTCTCGTCGCTCCCATCGCCAGCTTCATCCGCGCTCTGCTCAGCCTGTTCGTGATTCCAGGCAGGTCGGTACGTTGACATTACTCCTTATTGCATACCTCTTGTCCCGCATCTAACACCCGGGTATAGCTTTCCTCCTTTGGCCCACGCGGCTCCTGGGCACTTATCACCGGCGCTTCCGATGGCATTGGCAAAGAATTCGCCCTGTCCCTCGCTGCCAAAGGCTATAACCTAATCCTCGTCTCACGCACACAATCCAAGCTCGACACCCTCGCCTCCGAAATCTCATCCAAATATGGCCCCAAGATCTCCATCAAGACGCTCGCCATGGACTTTGCGCAGAATAAGGACAGCGACTTCGCCGCGCTGCGCAAGCTTATCGATGGGCTGGACATCAGCATGCTCTTCAACAACGTAGGCCTAAGCCACAGCATCCCCGTCCCCTTCACCGAGACGCCCGCCCAGGAAATGAACGACATCATCGTCATCAATTGCACGGGCACCTTGAAAGTCACGCAGCTAGTCGCACCTGGAATGGTGTCTCGCAAGCGCGGTCTCATCCTCACCATGTCTTCCTTCGGCGGTTTCTTCCCTACCCCTCTGCTAGCCACATACTCTGGAAGTAAAGCGTTCTTGCAGCAGTGGTCTACGGCTCTTGCATCTGAACTTGAACCCCACGGTGTGCATGTTCAGTGTGTCCAGTCTCATCTTGTTACTACCGCCATGTCCAAGATCCGCAAGTCATCTCTTCTTGTACCGAACCCGCGTCAATTCGTGAGAGCTGCTCTGGGTAAGATTGGAAGGAGTGGCGGTGCGCAGAATGTCGCTTTCACGAGCTCGCCATACTGGAGTCACGGGCTTATGATGTGGTTCTTGAACCGGTTCTTGGGAGACAGAAGCACCATCGTTGTAACAGTCAACAGGGGCATGCACGAGGATATCCGCAAAAGGGCTTTGAGGAAGGCTGCTCGCGATGCGAAGAAGCAATAGAGAGAATTGGTGTATCACCAATCGCGTAATACTCCTTCCCAGTCGACGTAAAAGTTCTTTTGTGACATTGCAGGAACGAGATGGACAGGATCAGCACAATTAAGTTATATTCATGTATGTTAGTGGTCTATACTATACACATATTATCTGCGTTCACGAATGCCTTGAACGTAAATTTAATACACCCTCCAATAAACCCCCGTTATGATTATCCCATTAAGTCCCCCCTCGCACAACAACAGATCCTCCTTATCCTCGCCTCTCCACAAGAAAAAGAAAACCCCCCTACAACCCCAAATAGAACCCCCTCTGCACCCACATCCACACAAGCGTCCCCGTGCTAATCACCGCCGGCCCCGCAAGCGGTATCCCCCACCTCGTCGTCCCAAACACAACCCACTCGCTCATGAAATGACACCACGCAACCGCATACGCCGCCATGGCGAGCTCGTACACCGGCTTCTCGTTGATATAGTACGCGCCATATAACCGAATCACCGCGGCGAGCAGCGTCCAGGTGCCGAAGAGGCGCCCCGTTAGCGGGGTTACTTGTGTGGGTTGCAGCGCGGGGCTGGGTTTGCTGGGGTCAGAGGAAGGTGGTGGGTTAGGGTTGTAGACTCGTGCTGTCAGGGTTGTGGAGGTGTAGGATTGGGCGGTGTTGAAGATTGAGATTATTGAGGTCTGTGTGGAGGTGTAATGTTAGATTCTTTCGATGATAATTTTGTGTTGAGAGGGGAGGGGAGGGAGAAAGAGAATATGGAGTTGCAATTGAGTGTTCTGAGAGGGAGGGGTGACTGCGACGTACAAAGAGCAGCCAGGAGGGGAGCCAGCCTTCGGATTGCGGGAGGTATGATGCCATTACTTTTATTTTCCGTTCTTCTTTCGCTATTTGATTTTCTGCAATACGTTGACGGTGCAATTGGAGCAATTCGGAACCGCGAGGATAAGGTTTTTATATGGGTTCGCGATGTTGTTTTTCTCGTGTTGAGGAAGGGGTTGGCTAGGTTCGCACGAGTTGTTGATCTAGGAAAAAATAGGTGGTCTGTGCACGTCTGAGTTCGACTGCGATTGGTATCATTGCGGAGTGGAAAATAAAAGGGAAATACTAGGAATGCGAATTGAAAGTTTGGATGCGTAAGTGCGGAACCGGAAAACATTTTTTAAGAGTTTGCGTCTTGTGGTATACTAATAAATGGACTCGAAATTATAATCCGCGGCGATTTCTCGTCATCCAAACGACATTGTAAACATAAAAGGGTTTATTTCATAGAACTTCGTTGATAAACTAACGCTACCTGACTCTATATATTCAACGAAACCTCCTACATGATGCCGAAAGTCTATCTACGTGGATAATTCCAAACCCAATGCTGTCAATATATACACAAAAGTGAAGTGTACAACAACCGTGGGTCCCCGATGGATACAGGGTTGCATGACCAGACACCGAAAGGCATGACTCGGTGTCCTGATGTCCAACATGTTTCCAGGGTATAATACTAATATACCCTCGTATCTGACGATGCTATAATTCCTATTTACTGGGCTTGCTGAACGCTGCCCGCCTCGGTTTTCTGTCCCTGGTCTCCGTTCACGGTCGAGACACCTTCCAGTTTCTTCCGGTACAAGGTGCCCCCGCAACTACGCAGTCTCTCGGCCGCTTGTTCGGGAGTTATGTCACGCTGTGGCTCGGCGAGCATTTCGTATCCGACCTGGAACTTTCGTACCGTAGCGCTGCGTAGCAAGGGTGGGTAGAAATGGATATGAAAGTGACTCGACTCGACCTCATCCTCTGTTCCTGTCAAGGGTGCTTGGTGGAGACCCATGCCTGTATATATGGTGAGTTTTCGACGCTGGATCTTTGAAAGCGAATGTCTTACTGTATGGGAATTGGGTTTCGAAAAGATTGTCGTATCGTCGTGTAATCTCAGCTATGGCCTTAGCCAGCTCTTTTCTCTCCTTTTCATTAAGATCCACAAGCGACCGCTTGTGCTGTCTGCTGACTATCATGATCTCGAATGGCCATACTGCCCAGTATGGCACACCGGCCCAGAACGAATCATTCTCGAACACGGTGCGTTCCTTCTCGCTGGACTCCAATTGGGCATAGTCAACCAACATGTGCGATCCGTTGTTCTCTTTTCGGTAGTTGCTAAGTTGCTGCAGTTCTGTGCTGAGTTCTTCCGGAAGGGACGTTGTCGTCCATATTTGACCATGCGGATGGGGGTTGGAGCAGCCCATGGTGGTACCTTTGTTCTCGAAAATTTGCATGTACCGATACTGAGCAGTCGGGGGCTCGATATCGGATTGCGAGAGAGGCGGGAGTGACAGAGAACTGGCAACTTTGGAGAGAGCCGATTGAGGATCGAGGTTGGCCACATATAGATGAGTCCAGGTTTCTATGATGGGAAGAATTTCGATCGGGGCCATGTCGGCGAGGGTCAAATGGTGAGAAGGCGAGAAGCATATTACATAGCATTTTCCTGTGACGCCCTCTGCACGGAGAAGCCGGGAGGATAGCGAACCACTTTTGCTTTCCGGATGATATTCTTGCTGCTCTTCCTTGACTGCGCTGTAGTCATTTACAAAGACAAATGTCTGGGTGAACTTTGGATTTATAGATCCATTCGCCCGAGTGTTGCTGGGGCATAGATAACACTATCACGTGTGAGATATGACAGATGGCGGGGTACGACGTTCGCCGGAGTAGATCATGGACGTATATACCTTTTCATCATAATCGGGGAGTGTGGTTTGGGAAGGTTTCTCTTGTAGTCCCCTGAAGAAATTAGAGATTGATATTTTGACAAGGAAAACTCCCATTCAAGATGGCAAAACAACATACTGCCATGGTCTCTTGGTGCGGTGCGGCGAGACTAATATCCAGGTGCCGCGAAGAAGGTTGAGGCGTCTGTGTGAAATGTCGTTCAGGATAGGGTCCGTCATGCTGGATGATTACAAGGTCTCTCGGGAGCAGAGGAAGAGAAGATAAGTAATGTACCAGGTGAATAATAACTACCGAAGCGGTCCATACTGGCGGGTAATTATAGTGATGTGACGCAGGCGTCTGCGAAATCACGTACTCTTGATTCAAGCTTTCTGGCGCGGCAACCTTACCGCTTCAGGCAGCCAGTCCGCCAGCGAATCCGAAAGCTGTCATCTGTTGTCGAGACATGATGGAGCTTCATCAATTCAATCACTTAGCTGCCCCTTCCAGCTAGCATCTCTGAAAATCTCTGCCAGTGCCGAATGCAACCATGGCGGCTATGATGCCGAGTTCCTCGACGGCGCCTTATGATAACGACGCCGTGGAGCGGGATCTGATTGACCCCGACGATGGTCCGTCATCTGCCTTTGTCTGCATCGTGTTATCAGCGTCCCCATTGCTAACCATGTCGCAGCCACTCTCGACGAATTGGACGACCCCATAGAGGGTACTTCGGACCGCGCTCCCCTTACGGGCAACATCACATCACGACCTGGAGGGAACACACAGTCCTACCTGACCTCAACCATTCCCGGCGAAGACCGACGCGCCCCGACCAACACCATCGATGAGACGGTATGGGAAACGCTGTCGCGTGATCTTCTGGCCATCTGGGAGAAGATGCAGCAGGTCTTATACCCCAAGTACCTACTAGGTGGCATGATGCGCGATGGAGGAGGCATTGGAGCTGCCGAGCGGGGCGAAGCCGAGGGCTTAGGCGGCGGATTGAGGAACCTCGCTGGAAGGTGGCCGGACGCAGATGTTATACTCCAGAGCGGCATGAGCGAGGGGCTTCGCGACTGGGATCTGTGGGGCCCGCTCATCTTCTGCCTGTTGCTGAGCCTTTTCCTCTCCAGGGGCGCAAAGGACGAGCAAAAGGATCTTGTGTTCTCGGGCATTTTCGCGTTGGTGTGGATAGGAGAGTCGGTGGTCACATTGCAGATCAAATTGTTGGGGGGGAACATGTGAGTTTCGACGACTATTGATGTTGTTACTGGAGAGACGATGGCTAACACACCTTCACAGCGCATTTTTCCAATCCGTGTCCATTATTGGTTACACGCTCTTCCCGCTCGTGATTGCCTCCATTCTCAGCGCTGTGGGCATTCCAATGATTGTCAGAATTCCCGTCTATCTGGTCTTGGTTGCATGGTCGCTGGCAGCAGGCATCAGCATAATGGGCGGTTCGGGAGTGGTCAAGAATCGAGTGGGCATTGCAGTTTACCCCCTGCTCGTCTTCTATATCGCCTTGGGCTGTATCTGCTTCATCAGCTAGTGTGGCTCTTGCCGCCATGTAATCGTAGCCCACTCTGTTCTATATATCTTTGTTTGTCAAACTAGGCGTACGTTTGGGGTAGGTCGGAGGATGGTCCACATTCAATACCAAGATAGACTTCGTGACACAAGTACGGATTGAAGATTGTGCTTCTCCCTCATTTCTGCGTGTATTGAACCAAAACATGGTGAAGCAATCTTTGCAATTTATCCTCGCCAATGCATGGTATGTTGCTTTCACATCAACAACATTTGAAGTGTTGGATGGAAATCAATCATGGGGGGGGCGGCTATCTGGCTCGCCGCAGTCGTCCCCCACTTCGTCATTGGTGTTAGTGTCGCGCCGACAACACATACATACATAACCACGACTACTACCGTACACACTCAAGCGCCTTGCCTTTCCCATACACCGCTCTGGACGCCAACGCGCCGCCCAGCCGTCCTCCTCAACACCTCCCGTCCCACCTATTCAGCAATCCAGCTCGAGTCTCTTTCTGACAGTACGCATTGGAGCGTCAACGGTGCATTGCGTTGCGTTGCGGGACCGAGGCAGCTGTCCCTAGTCGCCTTAGACCTACATAGTTACCTACTTCCTACCTACTGATCCTCGCCAACAAAGCGCTTGGACCGTCATTTCCGACTTCACCACTGCTGCGCTTCTTGCTTGTGCTCCACACTCCTGGATTTTCGCCGAACCCTCAGAAGTCAGACTTTTCTACACAATCCCCCAGACTGCCACTTCACCGCGGATTGCACTATTCCCTCCGCCCGTCGTACCAACCTCGTCATACTTGGGCGCCAGCCGCCACAGCCTTCCTCGTCGTCTCGTCACCCATCCATACCCGCCCGCGCCCCACTCTGCACATCTTGGATAACTACCTACCAACCCATTGTGCTTTCGTGCCTCGAGCCTATCTCTTCGATCGACCCTCATTCCCGGGACCTACAACTCACGATTTAAGACATATTTGTCGTGCGTGATTCGCCTACTTCCACAATTCACCCCCACTTAGCACGCCGACAATACGAACACTCGCCGAGTAGACTACCCACCCGTTGCTCACAACGCTCGCATTCCGCCCTCAACCTACTATTCAATCCGCTGCCTACATTCAATACTTTGCGATGGAGCCGCAACCTTCGACCTCGCAGCAGGCCCCATCGCCTACCCGAAGTGACAAAAGCAGCGACAGCGAAGGGAAGCCAGTTCGAGAGAAACTCAAAGAGACCAGGATCGACACCAACGCAGCTTCCGATCAGCACATGAAAGAAGCGTCAACGAACGGAGCGCATGCCGACAGCAACTCCGGCTCCGACAGCGACAGAGGCAGGCTGCGCCGCAAGCGGAGCCGTGAGGATTTTGAGGGCGACGAGGATGCAAAGCATCCAGAGAAGAAGCAAGAACGTCATACGCGCAAGAAATCAAGGGACGTGACAAGCCCTGCTGGGTCCGACCTCGAGAATGCGAAGCCCATCAAGCCGCTGATTGCGTCAATACAAGAGGATGGCCCCGATGAGGCAATGCGTGCAACCATTGGATCTAGTGTAGCACATACTGGCAACTCTGAGAAGAATGCAGATGGCACAAGCCCTAAGAACAAACGCACACGGGAGCAAGCAGAGAATTCGACGACTGAAGCTTCCAACCCTCTGGATTCAGCGTCCACAACAGACGATGAGCGTACAAATAAGCGGCCAAAGGACGGTGCGAAGACAAATTCAACAGGGCCCGCAAAGACCGAGACAAAGGTCAGTATAGTATGTACATGAACGTATCGAAACTAAGCTAATCCCTTGTAGATACCCCCTGGAAGTGGATTTGCCAACACCTCGGTAGCATCCCCTTTCGCTACCATGTCCACGCAGAAGCCGGCTCCTAAACCCACTGATGCATCAGCAAAAGATCTACCTCAAACATCAGACCAGGCGTTCAAGAAGTCCGGATTTGGGTCTTTCGCCAGTTCTACTGCCTCGCCTTTCGGCGGTGCTGCCAGCAGCTCAGGTTCCGCATTGGGGGCAGCAACGGGCCCTAAGCTTAGTTCATTTGCCAGTCCTAGCAAGCCTGCAACTCAACCGTCTGGATTCGCAACTTTGGGTGGCAGCAGCACAGGGGCATCTGCGTTCGGTGGAGGAGCAGCGAACGGTGGAAAGTCCCTTTTTGGTGGAGCATTAGGCTCCAGTGCATTCGGAAACGGTGGTGCCGTCTCGAAACTGTCTTCCTTTGGTTCGGGAGGCGGCAGCATCACCGGTCTAACACAGAAGCCAGTAGAATTCGGCTCCAAAGAACAGCCAAAAGACGACGCAGAAGAAGACGCGTCCGACAAGGAAAGTACGAATGAGGGTAACGACGGCGAAGACCAGCCAACGAAACCTCGTCAAACGTTGCTACAGTCCCAGGGACCACCCGAAACCGGTGAAGAAAACGAGGATGTGACTTGGACCGGCCATGTTAAACTTTACACATTGGCTGGCGCAGCCGGCAAAAAGGCGTGGCAGGAGCGTGGAACCGGAACGTTGAAGGTCAATGTAACGCGAGAATCGCCAAAGAAGTCCCGCATCGTGCTTCGTGCGGATGCCACACACCGGCTGCTGCTCAACGTTGCTATTGCCAAGAGCCTGCGATTTGGCGATGTCCAAGGCAACGAACCGAAAGATGGAAAGGTGCTGTTCACGGCGCCAACAGCATCTGGAGAGGTGGAATCTCACCTACTTAGAGTATGTTATTACTTCCGAATACTTTATATCTAGCCCAGGACTAACACTTTCGCAGCTCAAGGTCGACAAAGGCATAGATCTGTGGCGCACCGTAGAGGATCTGAAGAAAGAGTCGGCGTAATCGGGCTGCCTTTGTCGCACTGCATCTGCAACAACTGTTTCCCTATCGATAGAAAAGGAGAACAGGCTTTCTTCCTCGGTTGGTCACTTCTAACATGCCAGTGTTTCTATGCTAGCACATGGGTCACAAACACTTCTCTATAGACCTGTCGGACAATTGGCTGGGCAGCACTGTTGAAAGGTTCCCTTCCTGATTATCCCTTTTTTTTTTCTGTGCGAAGGCCAATATCAAAAAAGAGGGGTGGTGGCCTTTTGTCATTTTCTTTCTTGTCATGTTTGTCTGAATAGAAGCTGGTCACATATCCCGCTTCTTGCTTGCTTGCTTGCTTCCGAAATGATTTGACTCATTCATCTACCTCTCACTCTCTCTACTCCCTTTTGTCTATCTTCATTTGGTATTCCAAAGGTTTAAGATACAAACATCACCATCATAGCCATAAACACAAAACGGAAACACATAAAACTTATTATAATGGTTCTCCACTTGTTTGATGTCCATATAGAAATGAATCGCCATTGAGCATGTGACAATTCTTCTGTGAAATATATAAATACACATCCATTCCCTTCAATACATGAAAAGATAACAATCACAGAACACGGTTACAATCTGCAAATACCGTTCTGCTCTCTTCCACACCAACCCCATATCATTTCCTCAATTCCCCCACAACTACGTAATTAAAATCTCTATGTACAACAAAATACGAAACCCCATCGCTTCAAGTTCCGCATCCATGCAGAGACATTGTCATACGCGGCAAAATTGGACTAACTTTTGTGGACAGGCACCGAGAACATGTTTATTTAAGAGGGTACCTTTTTATTTGTCTTCGTCGAGTTGATATTATACTGCAAACTGTGGTGCTCTAAAAAGCGTGTATTGTGCGGTGTTATCCAAATTTTGAAGCGTCATGGTTGATTTTGGGCTGGATTAAAGATTAGCAAGATGTTGATAATGGATTATGAGGGGCTACGGCAAAGAGATGGAATGCATCGGATGAGTTACGGAGAGGCGGAGGGAACAAGCACACAAAAAATGGAGATTATGTACTTTGTTTGAATTTCCAAGAATAGCATCTAGCTGGAAGATAGGAAAAGGTTTCGCCCCGCTCCTTATATACCCAGTCTGAGATGAGAGTCGGAGGAGATCCTGTCTCGGTATCCGAACAAGTGATGCTATATCAAATATATCTGCGGGTATACCGTCTCCCTCTCTTCCCAATCCTTTTCATCGATATAACCCGCGCCCACTCGTCTGAAATGTCCTTCTCGCTCATACACTGGCTGTAGAATAAGAACAATTCGAAAATAATCACAGTATCCGTCTATGGCAGGCGGAGCCAGCCTGATAGATTTGCGGTCGTCTTGCTCCATGTCGCCAACGTCATGAGCGTGGTTCTCAATTTCCCCGGGTGATGCCTGGCGTTTTATCAGTGCCTGAAGATTTAGGGAGGTAATGTCTGTTTTTTTCCAGACCTACATCATCTGTAGAGTGTGACTTCGCCAATTCCCACTCACTCCGCTGTGCAAAATTTTGAAAGTGTTTCCGGCGGAGAATGGATATACAGTATAGATTGTCGTAGAGAACACCATCATCTAGAGCAGAGATACCGATAAGTTGTTGCGTATCGTCATGGATAGTATAATGATGAGCGACGTTTCCTCGTCGGAGATACATCATCCAAGAATGGGCTCCCCGGACGTTGGCTTTCAAACCAAAAGGGGGGTCACTTTTCTTTGTTACGCATGGCATGAGGTGTGCCTCACCAATCTTCATCACTCCCTCGTCAACTGTCATTGTACCCGTGGTAGTTCCGAGAGTGCGCATATTGGGAATCATGGGTTTTGTTGTGTCTTCCGCATGTCCGATATGGCAAAAGAATTTTGATCTCGATCGGTATGCCCAACTCCACCAAGGTAGATTGGGGAGATTCTCACTGCCTGGTCCATGTACCTTTCTCATCCAAAAAATTTGCTGATTAGCCTGTGCCATCCATACTCCACAATGATACTGATCACGTCTCTTTGCCTTGATCCTGTTCACTAATCCCTCGAGCGCAATCAGGCGATCAGTGGGATATGTGAGCTGACAACCACTATAGTATTCTATGAGGTGTTCCCAAGAGGTATATATCTCCGAGGCCTCTGGATGATCATTGCCTTTCTCATCTTCATTTCGTTCTCGACAATTCCAAACCAGTCCCTCTCTCGTAAAATAAACCTGCCTCCGAGACAAGATTTTTTCCTGTAGCACCCAGCTTCTATATCTGAGAGGGGTCCTATCGAGCGAAGGGACGTATCTTAGCGTCATGTTCAATGTGCGTTGAGAACTTTCGACTCCCTCTTCGAGATGATACGATACTCTCATAGGAGCAGGGTTGCGTAATATTGGTGCAAACAAACCCTCTGTTGAATCACGCGCCGCTGCCGCCCCAATGGTCATCGTGGCATTCTCAAAGATGTAGCCCATGTTCGCTGACTCTTCTCGCCAGTCATTCTCATCATCCTGCACGATGCAGAGGGAGTCAATCCACAAGTATTTGTGACCAACGCTGCGGGTAACCTCGATTGCATCTTTGAATGTTTGCGGTAACAACTAGTATGGTATACTTCCAAGGTGGGCTTTGAGATTCTCTGTGGTCGTTCGTAATGGTCGTTTGTCTAGGGCACCCCAACAATGGCTCAAAGTGATGTACTGCCCCGGGCACCGTTGAGTTTCCAATCGTCTGACTGTTGGCTCTGCGGGGACGGAACCGATGACAAGAATTCGTTTGGGTAACAAAGGAGCAATATCCTTGTCTGCCAAATCCTCGAAAAGGGATTTCCTGCACTCGGCATGTTGAAGGCACTTGTTGAGCCATATCCGAACAAAATCAAGGCGTTTCTCCACCGTCTCTTCAGCAGTGGACATGGAATTATGGATCCACCATTCGCGAATCACGGTCGAAGAGTCCGTTGGTTCGATTAGATATAACAATGGGAAAGAAAAGTTCGGACCCTTGAAGATGATGAACAAACATGATTCATCAGGTCGGAATGTGTACTCGAAGTAACTGCTATTGCCAAGATAGTCTTCATAGGCCAGAAAGAACTCGTGCACAGTTGGATAGTAACCAAACATGTCCGACAAAATTCTTTCTTCATAGTATGTTAAGTCCTGCCAATAAAACTGGGCAATACGATTAGAACAGATGGAAGAACATAATTGACAAGTGTTTTCTGATTGCAACAGTTCGGCTGGTCTGTAATGTCGGTGGGTTTCTTGATCATCTTCTCCCACTGCTCTTGCGAGTTCCTCGCATTTGCCACACAGTGTCATTGAAAATTTCTGTTTTTGCGGCTAACGAGCCTATTCAGGTTGTATCAAACACCGTCAAGGATCGCGACATCGGGGTTAATCGAGGATCATGGCATTCGTAATGAGAGAGGGGTCAACAATAAGGCGGAGTAGGAGGAGGATGAAGATACGAACGATATTAGTCAAGGCCAACGCTGCACATGATGCATCGAGCGATGCCAGCTTATTGGCCAGCGTACCTGAGCTCGCTCGAGATACCGGTGAAGCATGTACAGGTTTGCTAGTTTGTGTACTCTTGGAAGATGAAGGAGTAGAAGTATTTTGCCCGCGATCTTGCTCAGAATGTTATGTCTCGGTGAATATAGGATCAAGGGAAGGTACGACGACCTGTGATTCACCCCCACATGCTATCTACATATGTATGTAACATTGCCACTTCATTTTGATGGAAAAATGAAGAGAGTCATGAGAAACAAAACTACTCAAAATTAGGTCGTTATGATCGAATTGATGTGCAGAAGCGTGATGCAGACATTACCACTACATGTATACTACCGTAACCGATTGCCGCAGACCAGACCAACTCGCAAACATTCCGTCGAGACCAAGTGTCTCTGGGGTAACCACAACCACAACGAACCTGACCTTCGTACATAACATCTTCTATTCCTCCCTTTCCTCCCTTCCAGCATTTGCGAAAACGTATTTCGTTATCCTTTCATGCCCATATTTTCCCCCTACGTGTTCGCTCTACTGATCAACTCAGCCCCTCAAACGCCCGGAAATAGAAGAAGGAATTGACGCCGAAATGCAAAGACCAAAAAGAAAAACTACACACTTTGAAGGACAAAGGGAAAAAGAAAAGGCGATGTCACAGACAGAAACACACCGAAACATGTTCAAACAAGAATGAGAAAACAGGAGACATTGGGGACGGAAAAAAGGAACAAGATGAGGTATTAAACATGATTCTGAGGAAGAAAGTTCCCGATCCGCACTCCATCGGCGTGGTGCTGCGGGTGGCTTCTTTCAGTGGTATCTACCCAATTTCCAAAATGCTTACAAGCCCTGAGCCTTTGACTATGAGGAAAAGGTTTGGGACGTCCGAGAAAAACGCCCGTTCAAAAAAGAAACAAGAAGGAACTATCTAGTAGAGGGCGACTACCTAGCCGAGAGCACGACGGAGCTTATCCAGGCGGGAATTGGCTAGGCGGAGCACCCTCTATGATCGTATGCAAGATTTGATTACGGGCATGGAACGCTGGAGCAGCATGAATTTCTGTAACCGGAGAAAAGAAGACGCCATGATATCCGATTGGTAAAGCAGCGCAGGACAAATGGAGGGGATATCTTTTTTCACAAAAGACTCGAAAAGGAATTTGGATGATGCCAGCCAGGATGCCAGGAATAGACCAGGTAGATGCACACGCGAGGAGGGGAAGGGGGGTTTGAATCAGATGAAAGTCACGACCTTCCTCTTGAGCGGACTCGTAACGTCCCTTGGTGTCGACGACGATGAAGACGACACCGGGACCACCGACGATTCACTACCACCAAAAGTCAGTCCCCACAACTCGGCGCGTTATCGGAACGAGCTTTATCAATGGTACCGCGGCGGCGACCCTTGCTGGCCGTTTGGCACGCCATTGGGCACGTTACTGCCCTGGTTGCCTCCCCCTCCCTGACGGTAATCCATCTCGCGCCTCATGAGCTCCAGGGTCTCGGGGAAGTAGGGTTTCACTCCGAAAGTGACGAGGTACTGGGCCGTCTTCTCGATGCGCTTGATTTCCCTGCTCACGTTCCACTCCTCGCCCTCGCCAAAGCGGCGGCCAACGACTTCGACCATGGCGGCGTCGAGGCGGGCGTAGAATTCGCGGCGGGCGTTGATGTCGCCTTCGTCGGCTGAGTCGAGTCCGCCGTGCGAGTTGAGGTTGCCGCCAAGCTTGAGTACAAGGTCGAAGGCATGGCGGGGACCCGAGGGAAGCAGCGACAGGCGCTGGATGTCGGGAAGGAACTTGAGCATGGCAGAGGCGAAGTGGGCCGAAGAGATGGAGTCATTGAGGTCGTCCTGCAGGCGGTGGAGATCGAAATTGACGATTGTGATTTTGCGGTCGAGCTGTGCATTGAGGGTCACGGCGGCATCTGGGGTGGTGGTGTCCATGATCTTCGCGATGGCGGGGGGTACATCTATGTCGCGCAGGCATGTTAGCTTTTGCACAATGTTTTGGACAGGCAACAAGTAAAAGAGGGAATTGAGTTTGAGCATACCGGGTCGGAGTCCTCTCTTGTCGATCCAGGCATGGACCTCTGCGCGTTGTTGCTCGAGCTGTTCGACCCAAGCCTGCATATCAGCAAGCTGGCTCTCGAGCTGCTCGATTTTGTCCGTGTACGGGCGAACAGCCTGGTTGAAAGCCTGTGCCAGCAAATCGGGCATGGGCTCCGCTTTGGCCGAAGACAGACCTCCGGCGCTCAAGGGCTGGCCCAAGGTTGCGCTGTTCATGCCGGAGTTGATTGCGGCGCCCCGCATGTACTGTTGATCCTGCGGGTGCTGCTGCTGGGCATGGTGAGCTTGCTGCTGCTGCTGCTGCTGTTGCTGCTGCTGGCGGAACATGATTTCGTCGTCTTGCACGGGGTCCTGGACGTGCTGCTGGTGTTTGGCGGCGCTGTCACGGCTGGATTCCGGGCGCTGCTGCTCGTAGTCGTCGTAAGAGAGGGAGCGCGAGGGGCCGTCGTGTTCAATATACGAGTTGGCGCGGGAGCGGCGTTTGGTGAATATGCCCATTATCGAAGGGGAAGTAAGAAGGAGGGGGGAAATGCCGCGGGGCGCCTTCTGGAGCTGGGTTATATTCTGGTCTGATCTGGCCTGGCCGACTTGTTGAATTCAATGAATGGGGGAGGCAGGACGCTGTCTTCTAGATGACGAGTGGCTGGACCAAAGTCTAAATAATGGGGGAGGCGGGCGCTTTTGTGGAGAGGCGAGAGGCCCAATACAAGAGGCTGGGGGGGCACGTCGAGTCGTTTCCTACGCTACCACCTCACACAAAAGCAACACACGCCGTGCAACGCCATCAACAAAACAATATACAGCAAAAACCTTGGTCATGTTAGGCTTGCTGGCCACATCGGCGGTTGCATTGCTTGCATCGCAGCTGCCACAATCTTCAAATGTTCGGATTGATATATACATTGTGCCTAGGTAGGTACAGGTGGCCAGCCCATGTCCGGCTCCAACCACCGATTATCATTATAACTCCATCATGATTCCCACACAAGTAAGCATGGCTGTCACCATACGCCTGTCCTGTATCCGTCTTGTCTCACATCGCGGTAACGGCCAGATTTTGTTATACACACGCTCGTTGAAAGTCTACCCGACTACCTACTTGCTACCTACAAACACCGCCAAACAGCATCAAATCGCCTATCCGACCTTCTCTGCTGCCGCAACGCGTGTTCCTTCCTTTTCATTCACCGCCCCATTGGCCTTTCCATTGACATCCTTCTTCGCCTCCATCTTCACGCTGCCGACCATGCTTTCGCTGACCAACTCTAACCCCGCCACAAACACCCCCAACAGACTCGCAATCACAAAGTGGCTAATCGTCGTCCCAATATCTAACCAACTGCCTTCGTCCTTGACCATGTAAAAGAAACTCAGCGTCATGACGTCGCTGACTGCCATGACCACCATGAACAACGCCGATGGCGCCACACCAAGCCGTTGGTTCAACAGTCCAAAGTTGGCTGACAGCGCCGCAAAAGGCACCATGAGCTTGACGATGAGAAGCGCCCCCTGCGAGAACGGATCAAACACCGGCACGAGACGATACACGGCATCCAGCGAGAACGATGACACTGAAGCGATGTTGCTGGCGCTGAAGAACGCCGATTGGACGAAGAAGAAAAAGAACAGCGCGATCCGCGCATCTGCCAGCGTCAACGATCGATATTCGCCCTTCTCCAGGGCTTTGAGCCTGTCGCCAGCCGCTGCAACGGCAGCTTTGACACCATTTGCTGCTGAACCTTCGTTTTTGGGGCTCTTGCTATTGTTGTGTAGGTACACGCTGTGCTCCAGCCGCATCCAGCTGAAAAGACACATGCAAAAAGCAAAATAGAACAGCCCTTCGAACGAGATGGTGAGAATGATGAACGTCGGTGCGAATTGTAGGAAGCTTGCAGTGAGCCGCTGGAGGTAATGCCTTTTGGCCTGCCCACTATACGCCAGAGGCAATACCAACGATGACACTGTTGCTGATCAGTAACCTTCCATGGTGCGAAATCAGTCCGACTTACCGAGCGTGAACCAGCCCACGTAGATGTTTCCACTACCCAAGCCTTGCCTTGCTTGAAGCGTAACCACGCTGGACCGTGTCACAATGATGGCTAGTAGAACCAATCCCATTTGACACCCATAAACAATCTGTGTCGGGATGTCTTGTCCAGCCTGAACTGCGTCTTTCCCGGATTGTTCATTTTCGGCAGTGATTCTCCTCTCAAATAAAAGGAAGACCAATCCGACGGCAAACATGAGCACGCCCCCATACATACTACGAGTTCATTAGCCGTATACCCGCCAATGTGTAACAAATCAACGTACATGAGACTCAGGTTTTCCGCCTTGTTCGCTGGAAGCGTGGTGAATATACTCATAATCACACAAGAGAATACCCATGGAGCAACGGTCAAGATGTTCTTCTTCACGAAGTCCAGCCCGTAAAACACTGGCCAAGTAGTAGCCAAAAGATAGCAAACGGTGTAGATTTCACGCCTGAAGTAGCTTTGAACCTATGGAGCCTTGTTAGACATCTACTGCTGTTTGGAAAATGCCGACTTACCAATGCTTCCAAAAGACCAAAAAACCCCAGCGTAGACAGCACCAGCTTGAAGATATCTGTCCCTGATGATACGTGCGCAAAAAGCACTTTGCCACCTTCATAGAGAGCCGATTTGCGAGCCCAGATCTCTTCCCAAAACACTACAGGGAAGAACGCGTAGGCATAGTACACCAAAGGCGACTCCTGAGTGAACAGTGCCGAATAAAGTGCTACGAGAATGGAGGAAAACGTAATCAAGCTTGGAAGAGATCTCGATGGCTTGGTTTCGGCATTAAGAACGTGGAGGTCGACAACAGTCGTGATTGCGAAGACGATCCAGCCGATGTATCCTGCAGTCACCAATGTCCGAAGGAATAGCCAGTCATACGTTTGCAGATATCTGAGCCCCTGGAGGCCAAGCTGGATTAGTTCGTTGCATTGGCGTATAGCACCCTCCGGATCTCCACTGGCGATCGCTTGCTCAATCTGGGCGATTCGATGCTCGACTGAGTGCGCTTCATCGCCCAACCCAGAAAAGGGTTTGTAGTAAAGTTCTTTAGACTTCTTCTGATCCTCTTTGACATGATACATCTCTAATATCTCCTTTGCGTTGACCAGCAATGCTTCGGCTTTAGACTTTAGATCCGTATCGAGATAGGAAAGAGGTAACTCGCCGACTGAGTTGGTGGGGAAGGCCAGCCCCACAAGGTAGGCCATGAGTGCAGCGACGTCAGCCTGAGAGACATCATGTCGCTTGATATTGTCAAGCCCCCAGTCAGAGGAGAACCCGTCTTGGTGCCCGTCGGCGGTTCCAGAAATATTGACGACGGGCGGTGCGACACCAGATCCCCAAGTTATCAAAGGTGTACGCGTGTTGTCTGGGTGTCCGTCACCGTGGCTACCCCAGTCGCTCATTCCATGATCTGCGGTGAAAACATAGGCCGTCTTCCCGTCATCATAGAAATCATCTATAAGCTGCGTGATCTCCTTCACGCCCTCGTCCACAATCTGTAGATTGTGTAGATATTGCCATGAGTATGGTCGGTGTGAGTGTCCAGTGGTGTCCAGCCCGAGCAGATGAAGGAAAAACACATTCTTGTCTTTCCTCAATTCGGCATCCAGCGTCGCGTTTGTCTTTGCCTCTTGAAATAAAGCCTTGACCTTCTCAAACACCCAAAGATCCAAGTGGTACGCCTCTTTTGAGTTGTCCTCATCTTCTGCACTGTATGTATCTGCGTCAACTCGTCCTGGAACAGCGCCCTGCTCGAACATCGGCAAAATATCTGGACTTCCCCAACTCCAAGTATGCCTGCTTCGGTTGAAGACGCTATCAAAGTTGACAGGGTTGAGTTTCCAGCCCGTCATAACCGCGGAGACATCCTCGTATAAACCTGCGATCAACGCTACATGGCCCGGTCGCGATTCGGTAGGGACGCGAGTGTGTGAGACACCGAAAGTACCATGTTCTAGGACGCGGGACCGTAGAAATGGCGCAAGGGGACGAGGAACTTTGGCTTCTTCGGAATCGGAGCGGGCAGGGTTTGGGTCAGGAAAGGACTGGAAGGCCTTGTCTGCGCGAAGGCCATCACCTGGCATGACTTGTTAAATCAAGGAGTTACATGTCGCACAGTATCTGCTTACCAACAAACAAGACCAATCGTTTCGCGGGCGCCTCTTGATTTTCGACGCGGTGCTCTCGCATTCCACGGACAATAGGGCTCACGAAATAAATTGAGAAAATGCTACGCTGGTCAGTCGCATCCGTCTTGGAGCAATTGAAACCACGAACCTGTAAATATAGATCAGATGGAAGACCACCGCAATGGTCAAAAAGCGGTAGCGCCCACCCTGCGCCATGGTGAAGGTATTGTGAAAAGAGTGGCTGTCCCTACACAAGTTTGGGGTGTCGGATGGGTTGTTTATGAGGGCGCGAATGAATGTATGCGGAGGTCGGAGCTCGGGGGTTTCGTAAACGTCGCCGCTCTCCTGGCTGGCCTGCCTTGCCTATTTAGGATAGTCCGTCTAATGAAAGTGGATACATGTATGGTATGAACGTGGCAGAACAAAATGATAGATCAGTGAATAAGAACATTTGAATAAACTTTTTGCTCGTTTGTGTCAGAGTGATTCGAGAATCAGTTACCATACAACCTACAAGTCCTTCATGCCCGGTAGCAGGCTTCAAAGTCAACACCAACACTGCCCACAAGCTCCTATAGAGTTTTACGTGCTGAGTGAGCAGCACTGTAGTAAAAGATGTTCCAAAAATCCCATACTATTAATTTCTCACTGCGACTCAGTACTAAATTTCGGTTACTCACAGAGCACCTAGATGATCAATAGTTCAGGGTCAAATGGCGATCTTCGCTTGAATGTCTTCACATTGCTCCATGCGAACATCACCAAAGTAAAATAGCTTATTTTGACCAGAGTTTTGCAATTGCAGCCTTCTAACAAAATTGCCGTTTAATAGTAGCTACGCCAAAATGTTCATATGCCGATCCGAATTCCCAGACCCATCCATCTCGAACAATTCCAGAGTAGGTGAACCCCAGATGAACAAAGTCACCACCAATTCTCGACCCTGTCTGCAGATCAAGCACTATCACCGTTGTCAAAGGAGTATACAACTGGTTCGTACTTTTGGTTGTTGTTGTACACAACAGTAGCAATCGTCTCCGACTTGCCAGTGAAATCGATCTTGCACACCAATCCAAGCTCTCCAACATTGACAATGCGACCCGTTGCGTAGCTACCAGTGGAGATGTAGTAGACTTGTTGCGGGGTGATTTGGTACGCTTTGTTAGGCTCAGCCTGCCAAACCGACACCGGGAGTACGTCTTCGACGTCTGGGATGGGGGATTTCATGCCCAGGCCGCAAAATGCATACTCTATGCGTAGTCTTGTGATCAGCACATCTGCGTCGTAGCTATATACCATGATATATGGCAAGATTGGGCCAGACTTACTGTATTCGGTGGCATCGTAATCGCCAGTCTTGATTCCGAATGATCCTTTCTTGCTCATCGTACCGACTTTCTTCACATCAAATACCGCGCCTCCCTGCACAATCTCTAGCATGCAGTTCGTCCCCATCGTCTCTCCAGCGGTGAGCTTGACTTCTTCGTAATCGCTCGTCGATACTACTAGATCGTCTTCGAGAGCCTTGGGCTCCATACCACAGACGGCAAATAATTCACGTTGGATGCCGAAGCGAGCGCTGCCGTGCACGGCACCCACACCGGGCGACGTACCCCATACGTTATTCCAAGATTTGCCAACTTCTTTGGAGAAGGCGGGTTTCTCGTTGAATATCATGAACTGTTCTGTCTTGTCGGACTGGTTCTTGATGATGACAGTGAGTTTCGACATGATGAACTATTTCAGTCTGGGATGGTTGGAATGGCTCAAAAGATGAGGAAAGATGTTTGGAAGCTTTGGTAGTTGAGAGAATATACCTGGAGAAGGCTACTTTGTTCTTCTTTCTGGTAGGCGTTTACTCCCATATTTATACACCTTCAAGTGTAGCTCATACCTCGTCTCTTAGGCATAGACATATCACAAGCCATCCAATGCATCGAAAAGAACAAGACCCCATTCAAAGACGTGTGCTTGAAGCTAGCTGAGAACCTCGTACAGTCTCTGAATCTCAGCTCCATATCATGGAGATGGCGGTCGATGCATGATCGATTCTATGTTGGTGGCGTCTTCATCACAGCTACTGTAGTCTCACATACGCATGCGGATATCTTGATCTCGATTGGGCAAGGCGGAGTAACGTGTATGTGAGTCCAGATTCATGTATGCCAATGCCTGTTGAATCAACCGGACTAAAATGGATCAGAAGTGGTATAGATGTCTGTGATGAGAAGAACGGTGTTGACGAACCAACTGTTACCAACACTTACACACGACAACTCGTCCAACTTATTTGAGGCTGTAGATAATTGAGCAGACATCCTAGATACGCATAGCAAAGGACTGATACCATAGGTTGTAGTCTCACGCAAACAGACTTCAACCCCATTGATCAAGCTATCCTACTCTCAATCCTCGCTCCACATCAGAAACCCACGCACATTCACATCACACCAGCAACATCTTACAGCGGGAAGCTCCACTTCCGTACAACAACTATAAATTCTATTCACCTATCACCCGCCGTTTCCTAAACGGCTGCACATCGGGACCCTCGTATTCCGGGTAGTCTAACTCTCCCAGATCGCTTAACGTACCCAGAAGCGTAATCCATTTCCGTCTTGTCAATGTAGGAACGTCCGCTAGCGCCGCGAGGCTTGAGCTGAACATAACAGCACTTGAACCTTTTTCAGATGTCAGAAGGCATTGAAGGGTGTGCCAGTATGCGCGATAATGCTCAGCTTCGAAGGTGTTGCTGTTCAGCTTTGGACAATTGCTTGGTGCGCCGGATATGGATCCTTGGAAAGGTGGGGTTTCTGGAGCAATGGTCATGGGGTTTTGGTGATTGTCGATGTTTGATTTTGCTATGCTGACCTCGTTTAAGGTGTATCTCGTATACGAGGACGCCACAGATGTTAATAGAGGATCTAGATTGAGAGCAACTTTCCCGTCAGGTTCTGTCTTTGAGCGACTTTTTACTGGCGGTGAGCGTTGATTGGCTCTCCAAGACCGCACCCTCACTTCACAGCTCCTGCATAGACAGTTTTCATGTTTCAGTGCGAACGCTCCAGCCTCGTCGAAGCGATTTCCGTTTGCGGGGCTGCCGTATATGCGTGGGCTGGTTCTTTGTGGCGTTGAAAGTAGAGCTGAGAATGCTACATAAATGCATTTTGAGAGTTGGAAGTTACATGGTAGGTGGAGTGACCTCAATTGGCTTTCACCGACATGTCTGTGTGCGTTGGAGCTCAGACTATCATTCTTCTGATGATGGATTGAACACAAGTCCCATGTAAACCCCATCTATGTTTACGTAGGTATGAGCTGAAATATGTATGTAGTTAAGCTCAGATAATATCTTCCCGTCCACTATTCATCGGACTTCTAAGAAATATCCACAATTATTGACTTTCCAACATACACACTCACGCAAACATATGCACTCACGCAAACATATACACTCACGCAAACATATACACTCACGCAAACATATACACTCACGCAAACATGCGCTTCTCTTCGTCCCTTCGGAATCTCACCTTTTCCCTTCTCCTCTTCTTCATCCACCCTACCCCCAGCATTTCCGTAACCATCTCCTTCGCCTCCCAGGCGCATTGCGTGCAACCAACCGTAAAATGCACGAATATACCAGCACAGATCTGCTGTTCGAACCCCAATGCCATGTTTAACACGTACGTTCCTGTCCTCTAACCTCCTTCCAACGACCAAATAAAAACCTCGTCACTAATGAAAGATCTCCGGAGGTGACAGATACGTATACTTCACAGAGTATTCAACTTCTCCCTTGACGCTTCTCTCAATCTTCGATATCGCCCCAAACAAACTGACCGCGCCCGAGTGCGGCGTCGAGTGCGGCGTCGAGTGCGGCGTCGAGTGCGGCAGTAGATTTGGATCGGATTCGCATGATAATCCGATGGGATGTTTTGAGTGCCGCCGCCTGGCGGATACTCTTACTGGGGCACAGTGGACCAAGCTGGGCAATGCTACTGCTAATGAGGTGGATACTTCTGGCATCATGGAAGAGGGGGAGGGGAAAGATGTGAAGCCGGGTGGCAATGCTGCGGGTGAGACGGGGTGTCGTAAGCCTGACATGGCAAATATCGGTGGAACGTGGTTTCATATCAACTATGGGGTCCCGCAGGCGCATACAGATGCGATTCTTGAGATGGTGGTTAAAGGGGCGGCATTGAGTGATGTGGGCGAGGAGTTGTTGCAATGGAAGGTTGAGGATTCGAGGAGAGTTGAGGTGAGTGTGATATAGTTTCAAACCGAATCTTGTTAGCTAACTAGAGAAGGTGGATACTGCAGAGGTAGAGGGACATAGTGAGCTATAAAACCCGGTACCGAGGATATGTGGGCAAGTTTCAAGTATGGGTGGAAAGCTTGGGAGGTTTCCTTAAATCATGGGGTAGATGTAAGGCTTTCACACGCCAGAGAAAGAGCTGTGTTGTTCGACAATTGTTCATAGGATATATATATGCATCTCAATGAACCGAAGTCCGTGGCTCGCGCCTGCGGGATACCAACAAACGTCCCTTCAAAACTGATTTTGCGTTTGTCACACCTGCATCATTCCGATTATTCTTCAACGTTGAATTGACCTTCCCTCAGACCTTCGACCACAAGCTCATGGCCCTCGGCACGTCGATAAATGTCCTTGATGTCATCTATGCTCTGCGTTAGCAAGTGTGATCTACCATCAATTCTAAAAGCAGCAATACGTACCGGTCGTGGTCTCGAAATGGCTCGTGGCGTCATAGCTCTTGGACAAGAAGATATTGTCGTTCTGGCCACCTTCTACTGGCTCGTACAGAGGGATTGGAGGACCCAAGAACTGCTCCTCTATCTTGCCAAGACGATCGAGACCAGGCTGGAGCTCAAGGTGGTGGTTGCTGTCGCCTTCGGCGATGGTGGAAACAATGGCAATGTAGTAACCCTTGGGGCAAACGTTGTGCGCGGAAGAGACGACAGCAATGTATATGTCTAGTACGAGTAAGTTAAGCAATCGTGATGCGCGACAAGAGTGTACCTACCGTGTTTGCGTCCGACTTGGGATTGAGGGATAATCAATTGTAGCGAGTCAGAGTTGTCTGTGCTCGCGATTGGGTGGTTGAGGATACAGATGGCCTTGATGAGGTGACCAGTTACGCGGACCTTTCCAGGGAAGTAAGAGGGGTCTGCCAGGATCTTCTTGGCCTTAGTCTCAAACTTCATGCCAGGGCCATCGTCCCCCTTCTCTTTCATGGTGGCTTTGATACCTACTACCTTGGAGCCATCATATGTGAACTCATCGACATCCGTGTTCAACATGTATGTACCCCCGTAGATAGCGGAAAGACGAGCAAAACCTTGAGGGAGTTCTCCGAGACCGTAAAGTGGGTAGATGTAAGGAGACTTGCCGTATCTAGCCATCGAATTGACGTATAACCTGATACGCTCAATAGCATCGTTGGTCATGCCTTTGGCGTTGATGTACTCGTCTGTTTGGTACAAGGCCATTGAGTGACCCACAAAGTCTCGTGTTGTAGCCTCTAGACCGAACTTATCGTAAACATCTTTCATGGTGATGTTGTTCACATCAAGACCTACACGTGGGTCTCGGTCAGCGAGATTTCTCAGTTGTACCTTGCACCCAGCTCACCCTTGTGTGTTGAAGGATCATCCGATTTGTATGCACCAATCCACTCCAGGAAGTTCCTCGCGCGTCGTTTTTCGAACAGCCCCATCAAAGGCGAGCGGAGGGCTTCTCCTGCGTCCGAGGGCACTTTGGCAACAGTGGCCTTGGCGCCCTGGCCCTGCTGGACATAACTGCCGGCAATCTGTTTGAACTCGAGATAGCGTGTGACATCGGTCGAGACGAGAATGTTGGTCAATTCGCCGTTGGCCATGAGCAACTTGGGGACGAGGTCGATGTTCCAGTCATTGACTCGGCCGTACTTCTTCCATGGCTCGCCCGCGGTGTTGCCATATTTTTTGAAGAGCTGAGTGAGTCAGTCGCGGTCTTGACATGTATGATTTTGGGGGCTAGCCATACCGCTTCGATGTTAACAGATGCCGCTTCGCTGTGAAGTGGGTGTTAGTGACGAGGGAACTATCATGAGCTCAGCATGACCTACCCTCCGTAGTGGTCATTGCGGTCGATGTGAAGGACCTTCTTGCCCTTGACACTCAGCACACTGCATAAAGTCAGCTCAAATACGTGTTGAACAGCGTCATGTTGTTAGATCTAAGTACCCGGAAAGCACACATTCAGTGAGGCCTGAGTTGCACGATCAGTTAGCTTATTGCCGCCTCCGGTGGTGTGTTTAGCGGGGTAGGCAGCCAACGTACCAGTTCCTAGAACCACGACATCGTACTCGGGGGCGATCTCATCCATGATGATGGTGGCTGCAGATTGGTACAAGAAGAGAGTTCGGATTCAACCTGCGAATTCCGGGTTCAAAGTAAGGATTTGGGTGCGGGCGTGGAGGAGTAGCTTGGGAGGGGGGAGGGTTGCGGTGAGCGATGTGGGGGTGCTCTCGCCCCTGTTCGCCCTTGTTAGTTGTGTTTCGCCTAGCGCGATGCCTTTATGCATTGATTTGTACATAAGGTATGGAGCTGTGCAGTGAAAACACATCCAAGAACTAGTTGTACATGGCTGCGATATCGATCTTGTCACAATCTCCCACCACTGAGTGTTGCATAATAATCCACGTTCTGCACAGCCTGTGGATGTGTTTCGTCGACAGTCCAAATACATACACGATGAGCTGGATGCCTCAACATGTCCATCACATTGGACTTGCTACGATAGATCGGAACGTATTTGTACAAAGAATCTAACGCATATGTATGCAGCCCAACATCGTTGATGAAATCTCATCTCCTAGACATCCTAAGTAGAACAGCTTACAACCTCCGCGGCCACCATACTTGTGTTCCTTCAATCCTTCCAGGCAATATACACATATCCTACAGTGTTCTACACATATAACGGGGTCTTCGGCCACACTAATCACCCAACTATGTCGTCGTTGATTGCTGCTTTGGGTCTCGTGGTGTCTTGGGCTCTTCGAATACGGCATCTGGAGTCGCGGGCTGGTTTTGGCGTACTTCAGTCGGCACCGCGCCAGCGGTATCATCTAACAGCTCGTCTTCGATTTCCTGTTCATGTTAGCAAGCAGAGCTGAAATGATGGCGATTGCGTCGACCTACATCTGCTTCGTACGTAGGTTCCTCGTACTGGTTCTCGTTCCGGGACAGATCAATGGTGGGATCGTGTCGCGCAAGCTGGAGGGCTTCCTCGTAGGCAATGTTGCGCTCCACCAAAGTGTCGAGAATGGCCTGCATCGTTTTTTGCACCGTCTCATCCCTTTTATCCACCAAATCGAGGCCATAGTCCGCTTTCAGACGCGTCATCTCCAGCTTCTCAGTTGCAATCCGGTTCCGCTCCTTGACGCATACCCACCACAGCTGCTGTAGGGTCTCCCAGTCCTTTCCGCGCAGCTCGTTGACGGTCCATGCTCGTCCTATGTCCGCAGTCAGTTTCCAATGCAGCCTCTCTATACCATATTTGTATCCATACCGTGCTGCGACTCTTCGAGCGGTGTGATGAGCGATTTCTTTTCTCTGAAAAAACCCCATAGCCCGTGGTCGGGATCACCTTGAATTGGAGTCTGCCGTTTCCTGGGGACGGGCATTGGGATCTTTGTGCGGCGATCAATCACAGAGAGCGTCTGTCGTGGACGAAGTCCAGTATGTCTGATGGGCGAGATTCCTCGACTCCTGTTGTTGTCACCCTTCCCTTTCCCTTTCCATAATGACGGCGACGTGGAGAATCGAGCGACCGAGGCGCGGGTGCACGAAGACGCGGGCGTCAGTAACGAGCGGACGGCATCTGCAGGCGTCGAGGCTGGGGAGGGCCGCAGAATGCGAAAAGTCGGTATGGCTGACATTGAAGGCTGAGCTTTGGTGTGGAGGAGGAGTAGGCTGTGCTATGCCTGCGATAATCTACCATGCATGCAGCAGACAAAAGTTCGGTTCGGGCTGGCAGGCGATGCAACATCGAGCGTTAGATTGGATTGGCGGCACTACTAGCGCCAAGAAAGCACTCGTGGACCGTGGGACCGGCCGCCCTTATGCGGCTTCACGTGACTTTATAAGCCCTTCCCTGCAAGGCCGTCCTCGAGTCTATAAAGCCGCCGTCCCCGTTGCGTCAGGTCAGCTCCTCACCCAAACCACCACCCTCTTTCCCGCGCGTAAGGGGGTCTTTCGACTGATCCAATTCCCTTTGACGAGTATCTAAGTTTTCCAAGCGGGTATCAGGACCCGCACTACCAAATTTCAGGATGCAATATCAACGAATCGGATTCATGTGGGCTGCCAGTCAACGCCAGAACATGTTCTTCCAGCCCCAGCAATTCTCTATCCCACACCAGCCTCCATGGTGTTAGTAGCTGGGATCCCTCGCAACTTTTGGCCTTTCCGCCTAATGACTCCATCGACTTTTCTCTTGATCCAATCTCTCTACCAAGTTCTTCGTCTTCTTCCTCTTTGTCTACTCTGACGAACGATTTCCCTGTTACTTCCGGAGCACCTTTCTGCGACATCACTGACTGGTCCGCCCTCTCTTCTTGCTCCAACTTGATACCATTTTCTGGCGACGGCTTGACGTATCCGCTGGTGACTTCGGATGCCTTGGGTACAACTCTCGCTCCTGTTACGGACTTGCAATATGACTCAACCTTGACACATGCCATGGCACCAGGTATGCATTGATTGTATATAATGTAACTACCCCCCTTGCTAACCCCCGCAGGACCCTCGACTTCTGGCTCCTCATCGACAAGCTCCCGCAAATCCCAGTCACCCAAAATGTCCTCGACCAAGTCATCCAATGCAAACAGTCCCCTTGTCGAGACCGCCCGCATCGAAAAGCGAAAAGCCAACACCATGGCCGCCCGCCGCTACCGTCAAAAACGCGTGGATCAAATGAGCGGCCTCGAAGCTCAGCTCAAAGAAACGCAATCGGAACGTGACGACCTCAAAGTCCGCTGCGCGAGGCTTGAGGGCGAAGTGGAAACGCTCAGAGCTCTCCTAAAAGCTCAAACTCAAAAGTAACTTTCGAAGTTGGGGAGGTGGTCAGCGTTTGCTCCATTTTCTTTGTTTCTTTTTCCAATATCCTGGCACAGGGGCGTTTTTTTCTCAGACGATGTCGTTCGAGTGTGATCGTTACCTTTGTCCATTTGTTCGTATGAACAGGTTCACATCGGCAAAATAGTTCTAATCTCAACAATGTCGGGTGGATGGGGACAGAGATGGGTCTACTCACAATCTTAGTCTCTACGGGTTTCTTTGTAGATGATGAATTCACTTTGTGATGATCTCAAAATCTACTTGCTTCACTGCGATTCTCTTATACTACTCTATTGAATCACTTTCTATCAGTATGAGTCGATGTGTGCAATTCTGACAATCCTTTCTATCCCTCATGTTATCAAGCTACAAGTTGTGTACATGTCCGTGAACCGTCGTTCATGAGACGATTTTGCATCCCAAACACCTACGCAATTCACATCTTCGAGGAAACACCAACAGCGTACCATGCCTCTATCCACCATCACAAAAAAACATGACCATCCACCGTCTCTCCCTTCCGTTCCCTCCAGAAACCCCCCAAAATCCACTCGGGCATGCAACCCCCTCCGCCTGAACAGTTGCTGCAACATGATTGGCTCAATATGAATCATTCTTCGTCTTGTCTCTTAGCCTGCATGATGGAATTCGACTCATCCTTCGCACTTATGATTGGCTCGTTAAGCGAAAGTCCTCGCTCGAGCTTTTTACCCCATCGAGATGTTGTGTGGTGCGTTGGGGCTGCGATGCAACGTCATTTCCTTCCCCTCAAATCGCCGAGTTTAAATGTTGGGGATTCATAGGGCGAGGCTTAGGGCGGTATGTTCGAGGTTGAGGATTTAGTGGTGTGCAGGGTGAGGGCTGTACAGCAAAACGAATTGAGTACCACTCGTGTTCTTTGTAGCAGTAAGATGCGTTGACCAATCGTTGATGACAGGCGCGATTCGTTTTGTAGGTGTTCTGGACAAAATTGAGGCCTTTGATCAAGCTCAAATGTTCGCTGGGTGGAACACGAAAGACTCGTAGCTTCAGATACCGTAGAAATCGACACATACGCAAACAACCAAGCCATTTTGTATAGCTTTAAGAGCGGAGGCTGAGCTCTAATTAGACAGCTATGATACACCTATAGCATCTAGCTGACCAAGTATTAACCAGTATGGCCTGCTTCTTTTCATTTGTGTCGATTTCTATGCTACATTTCTCAGTGTTGCGCTGGAGTACTTCAAATGTTGGAGATGACGACCTGGGAACATATCAGCCTACAAACCACATGCAAGTCTACCCTGAAAACACGTTCGCGTAGAGAAGGGACGACGATTGCTTTAACCGTAATAGTCACTAGTGCAGATCTGAGTGATCCGTGCGCGCCAAGATGTTGGAGACGTGAAGGTCGTGCGTGGTTACAGGGCAAAAGTAATTGATAGCAACCACCTCAAATATCCATTCACACACCAAGTCGAATTCCGGAAAATCAACCTTCTACAGCCGCGTGGACCTCAACACTTGCGCTATGAATCGGCCTGGTCTGTCACCCCTCTCCCATATCCCCACACACCTTCATCCTCTAGCTGCAATCTGCACGCCGCGGCTGCCCTACGGTCGTCGGTGTCTGCAACGTTGCGCTGCACCTCACAAACGGATTCGCGCTATCCGAAGCTCCTAGAAAGCCCTATCCGATCATCGCAAACTCCATACTCGCTATCCAAACATTGAATGCTGCTCGGCTGCTCGCTTGATTGATGCGCGTTATTGTACAAAGCCCCGGGTTACTGGCTAACTTTGACACTCCAGGTCCAAACGGTCAATCACTACGCAACATATCATCCAATATGTTTCAAAACCAACAGAATACCGGACGCGCCGGCCCTCTGGCCGGTAATAGACTACAGAACGGAAAGATGGGTGAGAGATTTGTCTCCACAAGGCTGGCTGTATTGGAGTACTGAGAGAGAATTGTTTAGGAACTGGCTCGCAATGGGCATTCGGCGGACCTATGGGTGGTGCTCCCGGTTTGTCCAATGCACCATCCCGTGCAAACGGCAGCGGTCTGTCAAGCTTCGCGCAGACAATTGGTGGCTCACAATCTCATACCCCTCTCAATCTTGAGTGCGTCCCTCACATTTTCCATCTATCATGGCAAGAGGCAAGAGGAAGACACGAGGCAGGGCGAAAGCGAAAGCACAGCCCACACCTCAGCCTGCCACACCTGCTCGATTTTTGCTAAATGTCTCGTGTCACAGAGAGTTCCCCTCCCTATCTGGAGCCCCCCAAGCCCAACAGAACACCTCCGCACAACAGATGTGGTCTTCGAATCCTTCGTTACGGACCGCCCAGCATTCGACGATACAACGGCCACAAGGTCAAGGTGCTCAGCAGGGGCAGGGTGGTCAGTCCGGAAATCAGCAGATGCAGAATCAAGGGCATGACGACGGAGGTGCTTCTACCCCAAGCCAATTCACCACCGGAGGAGATGACTACAGGTTCGGAGGTCAGGCAGGCGTTGGCCAACTCTCAGGTGGAGCTCAACCTCAAACGGGCAGCATCGATGAGTTCCCACCATTGGGCGGAAGCGGAGCGGATGCTGGGCCGGATCGGAGGACAGGCATGATTCAGAATGCCGCGGCATATGGAGCGAATATCAATGCGACAGGTTTCCCTGGTCTCGGACAAACACGAAATGGTATTTCAAGTCCTACAGAAGGCCAGCAGAATTCTGCGCTAGGTGGTAGAGGCCTGTATCCTAACAATGCATCACGGACACCCTTCGAGGACATGCGAGGTACACCTACGGGCTTGCCTGACGTAAGACTCTTTTTATCACAACCCTTCGATACTAGCACGTACTGATACTTGAACAGGGCAATCAACGGAGTGGGCAACCGCTGGGTAACTTGTCGAATATGGGTTTTGTAGGATCTGCTCCTTCTAACATACCACCAGTCGGACAGAGGCCACAGCAAGACCAATTCGATCCGAGCTTCAGCTCTGACACTTTCGGTTCACCCAATGCGCATCAAATACCACAACAACCGAAGAAACTGTCAGAGATGACAGAAACTGAGCGGTATGGCTTGCCTGGACTTTTGTCCATGATACCGTTGGAGAGCCCTGACCATTCGTCTCTCGCCGTCGGTCAAGATCTCACAGTACTGGGACTTGACTTGAGCCGTCCGGAGTAAGTGCTCATTCTGTTATTGTGATATCATTGGCTAATTGTCCAGCAACTCGCCGCTGCACCCCACCTTTGGCTCACCCTTCGTGGATACCAACGCCAAGCCCGTGATACCGCCTGACTTCAAACTCCCTGCGGCATATACGGTGACAAACGTGCCTCCTCTCCACACCAAAGTTCAAAGCTTCTCGGCGGAAACGCTTCTTGTCATCTTCTACCAATTTCCTCGGGATATCATGCAGGAGGTAGCTGCAAGTGAGCTGTATAACCGCGATTGGCGGTGGCATATCAAGCTTCAGCAGTGGATGATGAAGGATCCCGATCTACCGGCACCTACGCGACTATCACCCAAGCTTGAGCATGGCTGGTACCTTTTCTTTGACGTCACTAACTGGCGTAGGGAGCGTGTAAGTTGACATTCTTCTGTATGAGTGATAAACGACTCGTGCTAAGTACATTCCCTGTAGAGAGAGTTCGACCTCGACTATGATCATCTCGACCAGCGACATGGCCCGGTGATGACAGGACAGTTGTAGGTCGAGTCAAAGATGGAGGGTAATGCGTCGAGGCTTTGGGCAGCACAGTGCAGAGCTGGGGTGACTGCTGACACTCCTTTACTAACGAGTGGCGGATGGGATTACAATATCTATTAAATCCAATGCGCCGGTGAGCCAATCATGCATCAAAACTTGATCTCCCTATGAAACCCAAGGATGGTAATATCAAGGTATGCGTCCAGGAGTTCAGTTGTGCCTGTTGGTGAGTACATGTGTACCTGCCTGCCTATTAGAAGATGCATAATCGCCCTTTCCTTGTGAAGGTACATGGTCAAGTGCTCCTTCCCCAAGTACCCTGCCTCGTGTTACAATGCTCCCGACAGTCTCACCGACAGTTCTCAACATTCAACTTCATTTTCTCTCACCTTCGCTCTTTTTCATCCACTATAGACTTCGGTGTCACTCTAATTCCACCTCCCATCAACCATTGGGTTCGTTCATATTGACACATCAGAAGCATCTCAATTGACGCTCTACCAGTATCGACATCATGTCTTCGCTCGAGACGGACGCTTCCTACAGCCGACGCACCCTCGTGGCTTTGTCTGAAGCTGTGCGCGAGATGACTCCTCTGGGCGCGAAGAGGATTCCTGCTGCTCCAGATCGCTTCAATATGCTGGTATGTTATCCAGGCTACTTTGAGACAGTATATTTGGCGGCAGTCTGCCATCTCAACTTGCTACGACACCTACTTCATAGTTACTGACGCCATGGTTTCTTTCTTCAGGCGCGTTCCTACAACAACAACAATTGTCGCATCTGCGACCTTCCTGGCCATCACTCTACCAATGTCAAGAATGCCGCCGCATGCCACACTGCCATTATTTCACTCCTCGGTTTCTGGGAGGAACAGGCTCAAAACATCAAGTTCCTATACTCCACGTCTAACCGCTTCTACGATGCCGTGCAGAAAATGACTGTGACCTACGATATGCGCCTTGACAGCCTCACACAGGTCGGGGGCAGCATGGAAGAAGTCATTGCCGATCGAATGACGAGGAACTATCTCAAATTCCAGGCTTGGTTTGCCCGGGTCCAGGCAAAGCTCAACGCCATTCTTGACATGGAGGGCCTCGATGGCAAACGCTATGAAGAGATTAGTGCGTTGTTGAACCGGCGTTTGCTCAAGGGAGAATCTCGTAAGCTGGCCGCATTACTTCCAGGTACAACGTCATGACTGACAGTCGCATACAGTGTCCAGCCTGTTCACCAAGAGTATCGAGCACAAACCAGTGGCCTAGTATGCGAGATCGATTAGCGGGAGCGGCTACCAACCAATACTCCATCTAATACGTGCTGAACACATCGACTCTTTACAGCTATTCCCCAGAGTCTGATCTTGCATGGGTCTAGGATGAGCTTCAATGTGGGGCTAATGTGGGTCTCGGAAAATTATAGCGTGCATATATTTTCCCTACTGTCTATCTCCCTCCCTTCTCTTCCACAATTTATTGCACGGCACGAATCAATTGGACCAGGTCGCATTTTCATCGTCTGGTCTTATGATCTTTGGCTGCCAAGAACGAAGGTCATCTATTTGTGCGTTGCGGCAATTCCATCTGCAGTTGCATATTGTACTATAACCTACATATTTATGACAAATGCAGGATTCAGGGCTTTTTCAGGGCTGATCTATAAGCTACTATATGCAAGGAGCAGCTTGAAGATAATAAGACGGGGAAGGACTTTTCATACTAATGTCTTATCACGGTCTCAACTATATTCGCTGCCCTTTCCCGAGTGTTTCGCTTCTTGCGCTTCCAACTGGGCTTTAGCCAAGTGAATTGCTCTTCCTACAGCCAAAACAGATTTCTGCGTGGTAGGATGAGATCGCTCAAGAGAGCATCTCAAGACCGCAGCACTACCCTTGCTACTTGAGTTCTAAAACTCCACTCGTTATCACGATCGCTAGTTTACATAGAACAGCAGTGAGGCAACCCGACGGCAGACAGATTAAAGACAAAGGACCTCTGGAGTCTTCGAAAAGGGTGATATATGTAGTCACTGGGGTTTGAAAATAATTCACTAGGATTTGTAGTCCGAGCTCCAATGTTGTGTACTTTTATCGAATTGCCACCAAAGGTCCTAAGACCATTCGTTCTTACTAGCAGTCAGTTTATACGAAAGTAAGGATCCATCCAACCTCTTTTTCCCGTGGATCTGATACTGGTTGGCTGGTAGTGGGGCTCACATGGATGTATCTTTATCTTTATATCCGTATAGTAATAACAACTATTTCCCCTCACGGATCTCGCATTTTCCCGTATCGATGAAGAATAAAACAATAAGACCGAATTTCTCACACCTTCGAAGTACACCAAAAGGATGCATTCTCCGACCCTCGCTCTCATTCTCACCTTCGCATCCGCGAAGATCTCTGGGGCACTCCCAACCCGTCGCCAGGACCAGTTTCCCGCACTTCCATCTCTAGGCGGTGGAGGCAACACCTTCCAAGATAGCGCCCATTTCCGGATCTACAATGCCCCGTCGGCCAGCACAGGTTCGGCAACACTCGCCATCATGGAAGCAGCACATCAGTGCTTCGTGTCGGAACTGGGCTGGCGTACGCCGGGGCAATCCAACAATGGCGGACAAACTGGCGGCCCGTATAAGATGAATATCTACACTGTGGCAGACAATGCTCTTGGGGGTTCTGCGGGACAGCAGTGGGCGGACGATGCGAAGGGGATCCCATATCTCAAAGTTGGTAAGAGCTGGGTCTCCGAACCGAGTGTTATTGTGCATGAGTACGGGCATGCTATGCATTACTCGGAGAAGAATTGGATCGGCCAGACGCGTACAGGTGCTTGGTGGGTAAGTTGTTCATCCCTAGCACAGAAACGCCGAGATATCAAAAAACTTCATCCTGTCCAACGTGTCCTGGGACTCCTCGGTTGCAACATGAGCACCGCCATCTTGAGAAAAATACTAACCTCAATCCTTCCCACCAAAAAAAGGAGTCAATCGGAAACCTAATCGCAGACACCTACATTGCAACACCAACCTGCGCCGCCGCCCGTGCAGCCCATGGAAACCTCCCCGCAGGTCCGACGCTCTTCGACCCCAAAAAAGTTCTCGGCGACAGCTTCCAGGTCCTCGTCGACGGAACTTCGGGATCGGGAAACTACTACCAAGCATGGCCGTTCATGACTTACATCCTGAATAACCCAGACAATTACCCCGGATGCGGTAAAACAGTGCTGCTGGACATGATCCGGAAATACCACATCAACAGCAACGATACGCCTCTTCACTCCCTCGAGAAACTGATTAGCGGTGTTAGTGTGCAGAAGGTTGTGGGCAGGTATTGGGCGCGGATGGCGTATGTGGATATTGGACATGCGAAAGCGCAGGCACTTTTTCAAGAGTTAAGGGGTCAGATTAACTATTCAAATTTGGACTCTAGTGGGAATGGGAAGTATACTGTGAAAGCTGCGAGAGCGCCTCGTTACATGGGCGCCAATATCGTTCCTTTGAAGGTTTCCGGGTCTACTGTGAGTGTGGTGGTTCAGTGCAGTGGGAGTTATACTGCGACATTGGTGGCGAGAGGGGGAAGTGCGGTGAGATATGTTGATCTTGTTAATGGGAATGCTAGGATTGATTTGGTGGGTGCAGAGGAGGTTTCTTTTGTGTTTGTCAATACGCCGGCTTTGGTGCAGTATGATGCTTTTAGTATTCCGGGGGATGTGAATAGGGGGTTGGGGTATTCTTTTCAGCTTACGGGAGCTACTGTGTCGTGAGTGAGTTCTAGGACGAGATATTATTCCGTCCCGGAATTGTGCCTGCCTAGCAATGAATGTGCCCCTGTCTATACGTTACAGAAGTAGTTCACCTGTTAGCTATATTCCCGGAAGTCATCACCGAGTAGTATATTTTTAACAATCTTATCCTATATGACGCTCCTAGCACTAACAAAAACTATAACTTGGTCAACAACGTTTTTAGATTTTGACAGTGGGTTAGATTACTTAGGCCGTACTCATCGATATTTAGGGGTTACTTTATGGACGATTAAAGAGGATAAAGTGAGACAGAATGCTTCATCTAATGCAATCTTACCAGTGATATGTACATTGCGTTTCAGATGCCGTCATGTAGTTCATTGTCGTGACAGTCAGATTGAATTGACTGAAGGTTACGGAGCATGTTACGCATAGGTATCATGATGTGATTGCCAATCTTGATGGTTATGTTGAGATCACTCCATATCTTCTTCTTCACGCACATGGGATCGCATTGTGCAATGACGGTGACGCGTTATCCCCTGACCTCTTTCGGACCTTTGTATAAAAGTCTGGATTCAACAAACTGCAGGTCTTCGATACTCAACTATATAGTCAAGATACGGATATTTCATTCCAGTAAGATGCAGTTGCTTCAGACACATGTTAACATACATAATAATTGCTAACCCACCAGGTTGGAAATGCACAATGATGAGTGGGTGAGAAGTAGATACCAGCTTTCTCAGCCATCAGCATTGTTTGTAGACGTAGTTCAATGATTCGATCGACATCCCACATACAGCCACAACGAAAGCCTCACAACGCTTAAAGGGGGTATTGGCAGTATCCTTCGGATTCTTTTTCGTTACGACTTACTGCAAAATACCATTCAAACTCGAATCGAGCTTCAACCCAAGTGTCACAACCTCAATCACTGATTGCCACGAACACTTCCTACTCGCTGTATAAGCTATATGCATCTAAAGCCACGTCTCACTTCTTTTCGATACTCCTCCTTTCCCTTCTCGCCGTCGCCGCGTTTGTGCGGTGCAAGACCAAGAACTACCTCCGCACTCAAACACTTCGGTACCTCGCAGAACGCCATAACTGTGCGCCCATCAAACAACTCAAAGACAACTCCCTCCTTCCATTCGGTCTGACCAATGTCATCAAGCTAGCTCGTGCGGATCTACAGAACCGCCTTCCAATAGCATTCGCCGAAGGTCTCGAAGAAAACGGTGACACATACTCGCAACGCATGTTTGGCGATACCATGCTCCTAACCCGCGATCCTCGAAATATCAAAGCTATCCTTCAAAACATACAAGCCTTCGAGGTGGGAACCCTTCGTCGAAACATCTTCTGGCCCCTCCTAGGTGCAGGGATCTTCACCAACGACGGTGTATGGTGGAAGCGGAGCCGTAAACTACTAACTCCTATTTTCAAAAAACCAGAAATCATGGACCCTTCTCGACTGGAACCTCAGGTTCAAGATCTATTATCTACCCTCCGCGAGCAATCAAATACAGACCAGAATGGAAGTTCTACTACCACCATCAATCTCTCGTCTGCCCTCCAATCAACCTGGCACAAGATCGCAATGTCCCTCCTTTTTGGGGACCTCCCATCCTCAACATCTGAACCCTTCGCAGAAGCGCTAAACAACACGCTCCAATACCTCGCAGAACGTGCCCGTTTCTCAGCACTCTACTTCCTGAAGAACAACAAGTCCTTCCGACGAGATACCAAAACCGTCCACTCCACCCTCGACACCCTCATCAGCAACCCACCAGGACCAGAAACTAGCCCCGCACTATCACATATCCTCTCCACGACTTCAAACCCCACCGTCACGCGGTACGAGCTTCTAAACCTACTCTTCGCGGCGCGGGATACTTCAGTAGCATTCACATCGTGGATCTTCTACGCGCTCGCCCGCTCACCCTCCTCGTTCCTCAAACTGAAATCAGAGATCGTAACCGTCCTCGGCGCCGACCCTACTATCCCCCCAACGACAAAACACCTCGCACAGCTGAAGTATCTCGATACTTTTATGGCCGAAACTTTGCGTCTCTTCCCGCCCATCGCCGTCGACGGAAGGATGTGCAGCACACACTCCATCCTGCCCACGGGCGGCGGCGAAGCCGGCGACCAGCCAATCGTGGTCCCTGCAGGAACGTTCGTGCTATACTCGATCCTCGGACTGCAGCGCAACACTGCTATTTACGGGGCTGACGCGGGGAGGTTCCGTGCAGAGCGGTGGGAGGAAGTGGGGATGAAGGAGCGGCATTTGCGGGGGGAGTGGGTGCCGTTCAATGGCGGACCCAGGAAGTGTTTGGGGGAGCAGCTGGCGTGGCTGCAGGTTAAGTATTTGGTTGCTAGGATTTTGCAGCGGGTTAGGAAGATCAGGGTAGATGGGGGAGAGAAGGAAGGAGGAGGGAATTGGGTTGATGAGGTCAAGTATCGCGTTGATGTGGGTATGTCGCCTGAGGGGGGAACGAGGGTTATTGTGGAGATGGAAGATGATTAATTGACTGTATTCTTCACTGTCTACTATTGCACTTGGGAAATGTAGATTTTTATCTCTCTTGGATTTCCCCAATCGATAATTGTAGTCTTGTTGGCGCCAGAGGGGATCTTTTCCCTCTACTACAAGAAAGACTTTAGAATAGTTGACTAGTCCAAATTTCTATACTCTGTCCCCCACCTGCTCCTATCTATTTGACCCGCTCTTCGACTGCCGTGTCACAGGTCCTGTTGTGCCTGTGTCGTATATCTGCTCTCTGTCTATCTGCCCAATCCCTAAGGCTCTGCTTAGTACCTACCGTACTGCTCTGTCCTATTATCCTCTGTCCATCTCATTTGTCTTCCATGTTCATGATTTCAGGCAAAGGGCACAAAACACACACAACACACACAAAAACAATATCCCCAGGGGAAGCGGGGGAAGAGGTTGTGGTATTAAGAGAAAAGTTCAAAATCTTGCAAAAAAATAAGATAAGAGCGAAAGACAGAGAGGCAGTCCTGTCCCTTCGAATGATAGACTGCTGCAAAGTCGAAAGTGCTCTCCGATCCCTCCCTCCTATACATCCAAAAGTCTCCCGTGGTATAGACGCAATCATACATTTCTCAATCTAGCTCTTTCCAGAGCGTGGCCATGCATTGGCGACGCATAATCACATCCGCGCGCACCTCAAGGAACAAGAAACAAAAGCTCTTCTGCCGTCTCTAAGCTCCCTCACGAGCCTTGCGGTAGCTAGCCTAAGCGACACTCGAGTGATCAGTGGGGGTTACGGTACTTTTGCTAGAGAAAGAGCGCAACTAATGATCAGACCAAATTCTATAGAATAACAAGCAAGCAAGCAAGTGAGATGAAGATTGGGATTTGAAGAGAAGAAGTGGCAAGGCGATCAGAAACCAGACGAGTCGTGGCGACGCACCTCTTGCTCAACTTGGAGTTGGTCCACAACGGGGGCAAGCTCAGAGAGAATCTCGTAGGCTTTCTTGTGGTACTCGAGCTGTGCGGAGATGAGCTCGGCGAGGTTGCGGAGCGGCTCGGGAGTATCGAGGACCTGGAAGGAAGAGAATGGTTAGCCACTTAATGGCAGCGATTGTCCGGGGCAGGTGGAAACATACGTTCTTCATGACACCGACAGCCTCCTCAGTCTGGCCTACGAACTCATCCTCGGCCTGCTCAATCTTGGATCGAGCCTCCTCGGTAAGTTCCTCCTCCATGCCGTCCTTGCGACCGGCGGGTTGGCCGGGGAGCTTGAAGGCGCCACCCTTTGCGTTTGCTTTTGTGGCATCCAAGTTCAGTCTCGAGTTCTCAACGGCCTTGCGGGCGCGGGTAGCGAACATGATGTTGGTGTTGAGTGTAGTGCTCCAGCCAGCCAGGAACCTGCTCTGAATGGCGGCATCTTGGGCAAGCCTGGCCTCTCCTAGCTTCTCGCTGGCGAGGGCGTACTTCTCGAGGGCGGTGGCCAGGGGATCCTCGCCGGCACCAGCGTGCTCGCCGGAGAGGGTGTGTGAGCTGTTGAGGGCGGCACGGGCAACGGCATGGCTAAAGGTCTTGGGCTGGGGCTTCGCTGAGGGGGGTGCGGTCAGGGCAGCCTGGGCTTCGGCCGGGGAGGTAGCGGAGGAGAGAAGCTGGACCTTTTCGCCGATGGTGTGGCCCAGGTCATTGAAGGACTCGCGGATGTTTGTGGGGTAGTCGTAGGCCTCGTTGGAGTATTGGGAGCTGCGCGGAGGAGCGTGATTAGACAAGAGATGAATCGGTCAATAGGGGCGACGAGAGCACCTACGTGACCTGGAGCATAGTGTTGTGGACTTTCTTCAAGGCATCGACGCGCTTCTCGAGCTCGATGTAGTCGGGCGGGAGTTGAGTCTGTCATCAGCAAGTACATGTCAGCATGCATGCATTCTTTCACGATTCATTATTTACTTGTCGAGGGTAATGAGGTATAATCGCACCTTGTCTTCGGCCTGGCCCAGCGTCTCCTTGACCAGCTGCTGGGTGCGAGCAGCGAAAGGCGTAAAGGACGCACTGCAGCAGAACCCCTGTCAGCATACATGCACCTATCCAGATTCCCCCCAACAGGCCATAGCGGCTTGAGTATGGGGGGGTTGCGGAGAAAGAGAAAGGGACGTCGAGCTACGTGACGTACGAGATGTTCTTTCCGAAATTCTGAAAAGTATCCATGGTGGCGGATCCGATTAAAGTTGCGGGTGTACGGAGGGGGTGAGTCGAAGAGGTGTGTATGGGCTGGGGGATGGCGTAGGTGTGTGAGATTGATGTTTGTTTGATGCCTCTCGACGCCGTCTCCATCATTCTATTCTCTTGGGCCGCTGGTTGGTGAGTTCTGTCCAATCAGCGTCCACGGAACTTGCTTATTCAGCTCACCAGCCTCAAATGCTCCCCTGCATCATCCATCCGTCCTCAGCTACATACATGAGTGTAAATGTGACTTCTATAGATATTCATTTTCAGACACTGTATATATCGTCTAAGGGCGGATAATAATCGATCCAATCCACACGAAACCTGCCATCCCTTACCAGAAATGCGATCTGTTCTGCCTGTCATCGCATTCATATGTACGTCAACTACCGTAGCAAGCAATACATTCCCATCAACCGTCATAGTTGGCGTCCATACGATTTCATGTGCTTTGTATATGTTTTATTTAAATAGAATATATACATACATGAACCGCCTCCCTTTCACTCAAGCAGGCACGCACGCATGAACGCACACCGATTGCGTTGTCGTGCCTGTCCCGACCAGTTCAACAAGAAACTGTCATGTCTTTCCTCCCACGTGTTGTCATGGGACTCGACGTCGAAACAAAGTGATCGAGTCCCGTCCGACAACGCATCGCGATCCACGGTACTGCGTGGCATCTATGCGTGTGCTCAGTTGTGCACTCATACACCTGGCCAGAAGTCGCGTAGTACAGCGAGCGGGGCGATGATGATCATGATGGCACAAACGCAAGCCATAAACCTCAAAGCAGCACGTCGCACACACCACGCACTCCCTTCAACACATCGTTGACCTTCGAGACAAGGATCTAGATAATGTCTCACCCCGTCGTCATCCATCTTTCTTGCTGAGCTGCACGCTGCATGTCTTGCTTTGCTTGCACACTGCCTTCATCCCTGCTACTCGACCAGGTCGGCATGCATTACTGCTCTTGGAATGACCCATTTGTTGTCTGCTCGCTCTCATTCCCCTGGCCCTGTGTAGATTTCCGTCTCGTCTGCCGCACCCGGTGTGCTCCTGAAGCTCATGGTGCCTTCGATGGGCGTGTGGCTGCTGTTGCTTGCATTGCTCCCGCCATCCCCGGGTGGCGAATCAGACATGTTGAGCGTGCTGAAGATGCCTCTCATTTCTCGTAGGTCCTGCGACACTTGATCTTTGGGTTCGGTGGTTCGCTCGCGGATGAAGTCCTTGATTGATCGTATCATGCGCGGGCATCCTTCGTCGTTTGGAAACCACCAATCCGATGCTGCCATTCCCCAGGTCTCTAGCAATTGAGTGCGGAGTATCGCTGGATAGATGTAGCTGCGTAGAAGGATCAGTACTAGCCATGTGCAAAGACAGTCACGAATCAAGCGATCAGAGGAAGAAATACGTACCCTGAGCTTTCAATTTTGACAAAACTGCGTCGGCACCAGTCGCGTGTGGTAGGGTCCTTGGGTAGGAATAGCATGGCAATGGCAATAGTCGCCTGCGCTTCGAAAATCGCCCCAGGGGGTGCATTGGGTAACTGACAGAGGGCTTCGAACATCTGGGCCGTCTGATACGCTTTTTGCACCATATCCGGTTCGAAGGGTTTGCGCATCGCCATGGAAATCGAGAGGTGATACATGAAGAGAATCCCGTACAGGTCCAGAAGTACAAAATTCGACATGTAGTACTCTCCACCCCATATGACGTTTGGCTCTGAACCGTTGAAAATGCCATTGGGGTCTGGATTCCCTTGAAGCCGCTTTATCTTTTTGTTGGTATCCATGAGTTCCGGGTCGATGTTCTCGTCCAAGTTCCTCAACTTCCCATCCATTACTGCGAACTGCTGCATCGTTTCCTCATCGCTCATCTGTCCTCTCCCCTTGCGCAGAAAGAGATCATGCACGTCTTTCGCAATCACCCTCGTATAAGCGAATCGTTCCTCGTATCTCAATTGCAATGAATCAGGGTTCTCGGCCTTTCTTTGCATATAACGTTCGTGCACGGCTACATACCATTCCCGACTGAGCACGGCTTCTCCACCTGATTGGAAGCCAACGAACAGGTCGAACCGTATATACCAAAGCACTATTTTGAGTAGAAAATTCGATTGCACAATCGTTTCCGGGGAATAACGGCGAACCAACATATCGTAAGCAGCCTTCTGATGACCCATGAGATTCACCCAATCACCCAGTACTTCCTGCAAGCTTGGTCAGCACAAGATTGGAACAAACAAGAGGCCTGCAGAACGCTGGGTAACTACCTCAATGGCTGCAAGCTGGAGTATTGTCAGAAATGTCGCTAACCCCTGTTTCTTGCTTTTCGTAATGGAAACGCGCAATCGAGTGACGGATTCGTTGTAATATCGCAGGAATGTGGAAATCTGGCCGTCGGGCTGCGAGAGTGTGTGGAAGTACGCAGCATACCCTACCACTGCGTAGAGGAGGGGGTCGTATTTGAGTGCATATCTGAGTAGCTCGGTCTGGAAAACGTTCCCCGTATCCATCTTCAGCGCATAATGATGATGAGATATATCGCTTTTGAAATAGTTGAGGTAGAATTGAAGGTCTTTGGAGAGGTGGGCTATAGATTTGGACCAGGTTGAGCTCTTGCTGATAGGAACACTGTCTTTTCGGGGGAGCGGGGGACGATTCGCAAGGTTGGGTGTCTTCAGCGAAGACTCCACGGATGGCGTTGGACTGCGATCAAGCGTCAATGCCGGAGTGCTGGAGGCTTCGTTATCGTCATGGCCCTTTGGATCAAACTCCAAGTCGCTATAATCTTCTTCGTCTGGGATGGGTGGTAGACGATCTTTTGCATCTTCGTCGTGCTCTTCAGGTGATGAACCTTCACCCGAAGATGATTTTCCGCTTTTCGATCCGCCTTTCCCACCCTTCTGGCCAGGCTGAGAGTCTGGATAAACGCAATCGCGGTTCCCTTTCCGGCATCCTGAAGATGGAGAATTAGCACACTGAATTCGTGAGACGGAAGAGTAGTGCAACTACTTACGCTCGCATTGAGGGCGGTTCTCATCACACTGTCCGATGAGGTTAGAGTTGGCATGAGATGCATGGTAGGATATTCTCCAAGGCGATGAAGGGGAGGGGAGAAACATACTTTGACTCTTCGCTGCCTGCAGGTATAGCAGCCACTCCTTGTCCTCCGATGTTTGACTTGGTCGCCAGGGCCCGAACGGCGTCTTACGCGAGCATTATTATTCTGCGCGTTGTCCATGGGGGGGCCTGGAGTGTCTTCATATTGGCCAATGTAAGGTTGCTGCTGCAACGGCACTTCAGGATACTGCACGAAAGCACCGGGCATGCTCCGGTAGATGGGACTCTCTGGGATGGGTTGGCCGTAGGAGCCATCCGGTGCCATTGTGTGCAGTTGCGGTTGTGCATGAGGGATGTTTGAGTTTGGAACAAAGTTGGGGTTGACATTGTAGTACTGGGGTGGTAGATTGGGGTTTTGGTTGTAGTATCCCGACATGATTGATGCTGGAGAGAAATGGGGATTCCCCTCTTCCTCCTTCTCCCCTTCTTCTTTGGAGGATGCAGAACAGGAGCGACGCGACGAAGTGACAGACAAACAAACAAACAGCCAGTCGGTTAGTCAGTAAGTGATGGCGAGGAGAGGGATGTAGTAGATAAGTGATCAACGTCATCCGGGCCCCCAAGCAAGAGGTCCAGGATATTAAGGGCAGCAAGCCAGGGATGCAGGACGATCGCAAGCGCTGATATGACGGGATTCTGCACAGGGACACGGCAGGCACGGGAGGAGGTGGTGTTAGGGCTGTTTGACGATTGAGGGCAGCGGGCGGGAATGCTAGCTCGACAACGACCAACAGGAAAAAAACTGGAGAGCAGCAGGACGAGGGGAGATGAAAGATGATTGATGGTGAATGGATGGATGGATGGTGAGGCTTGCGCTGGGGCCCTGGCTAGCTCCGAGAGACCCCAGGCCGGCTTTTAAACAATTCTTGACAGACTGACTGACGGGCTGCCTCGAGTCTCGATGCTCGCCGAACAGCCAGAAGTCTCAGCAAGCAAGGTGGGTTTTGCAGCGCAACACAGACGGGACCGATGAGGGCAGGTGAAGTGGCAGTCTGAAACTAGAGGTGGTGCTGTCGACGTCGAGTGGCGTACCGGTACAGCAGCACAGCGGGTTTGTGAACGCTTGTGAACGAAACTCGTGCTTGTGTCTGCGACCGCCATGTAGATATCTTATGTATCGATGTATGTACATGTACCAACTAATCATGTAGGGCAGGAGGAGGAGTCACTTGGGAGGGGGGAAGGGGGGGGGGCTTGTTCGCCCAGTAGAGTATGTTTGTACAAGTACGTACTTACAAACTTACTGTACATGCATGACATGGGTAATTGGGTGATGGGCCCCGGCGGGAGTGCCCCCCGCCCCAGCTACCACCATACTTCACTGATCCTTCATCACTACACCATCGTCGACGGAACGGTGACAGGCAGCGCGTTGGAGCATGGCCAGACAGGGCAACAATTGCGCCGGTCATTCAGCGGTCGCGGTACATGTTCAGTGCACACACACGCGCTCCATCAAATATGCGGCCGGACATGTCCGTTTTCCGCGCGGTGCAAGACTCATGTTACCATCCTGGAGCATGCCTCTGTATATTATTATCATATGTGCCTACCGCTATACTAATATACAGAGCGCGATTGTGATCAAGGACCTTGTCGCCCACGTTGGATTCGGGCCAAGTGGTGGATCGAATGGAAATGAGGATGCATTCGGGGTGGTTGGGACGAGAAAAAAGAACATGATAGCCCACGGAACTCCATGAACAAGTTCATCCTATCCTTCTTCTTGCATCAATTCAGGAGGCTGCCAGTCTTTTTGGGTTGGTATTTTGCATCCCATACATGCCTCCCGGCGCCGCTGGACGAACCCGCCGGCCTGGAGGTGCGGCGGGAGGCGCTTCTGACTCGCAAACTACCTAGGCAAACATGTGTGGGACGGCGTGCCTTTTTTACCACCACCCCGGCTGATGATCGCAACTGTCAGAAACTGCTGGTGTTATGGGATCGGATATCGGACCATTCACGCGGCAGAGGCTGCCTGCCTGCCTCAGAGGCAAGGCCAGGCAAGACAAGACAAGACAAGACACGACTACTCGTATCTCAACTACCACAACCAGCCATGCATATGTGTCGATGCGGTCGTTTGGGCCGAGACCCTGAATATTCCGTCCCCGTCTGACTCCATATTCCTCATTTGGTTTGCATTGCTTGCTTGCTTCGCTCTATCTGGTGACCCGTTCTCAAAGGACATGAGATGAGAGGGTAATGGGAGGGGCGGCCAGGCGCCCGTTCAAGGTTTGAGCGCTTGAGGCAATCAATCCACATGGAGAGGCAGGTGGGGGGAAAGCAATGCACGCGCAGGATGAACAAAGCCAGGCGCAAATGGCTGTTTTGACGGCATACGAACCCACCGGCGGGCAAATGACGATGGATGCCTGGTGTAGACGGCAATTGGCCTTTGATCTTCCGCCCCAATTAGCGCCACAGCCAGTGCCCTTGGTCGAATCCCGTGTGAAGACGCAGGAGACTTTTCTAATGGGGACCAAACAGCTCTACCGTTGTTAGCAGTATGGGCCCAAAACGGTGCGAGCCCCGATGCACGGCGCAGTGCTTGCTGCCATAGTATCCGACCGGCGGCAACGCAGTCGACTTGCAGTGCTTTGTCAAGACTCGAGCCTCACAGACGCAGGAATCACAAGCACAGCACTCTCAAGCGTCAACTCAACGTGGCTAGATGGCCGGCCCAAATATAACCAACCCTTGATGTCCATCATCCAACACCACCGCTCGCCTTCTGGATGAGGCAGAGCGCCCTGGACCAGATTGTTCGAGAAAAGCGCGCCGCTGTCTGCTAGCCCTATTGGGCCGCTGGTGCGCACTCACTATTGCCTTTGCCCGCCCCAAGCAGCGAATCCCGGGGGTCCCGGCTGTACGGGCGCTGTGCAAGACGTGCGTATCCCATCGTATCCCCCTCCCAGCCTATCTATATACATCGTCCAAGAGACCCAGCCAGGCCAGCACACACCGCGAGACCGCCAGCGTGACCCAAAAACATGCTGTTGTTGCGTCTGTCCATGCCTGCTTGCATACCCCGAGTCAGACTGATGCTGCTGCCCGCGGTCCTGCGGATGATGCTGGTGATGCTGATGAATGGTCCACCGCGAAGTACCTCGAAGCATGTGTGCCATGCTCAAACCTTATTTCAAAACCCACATTGCGCTTGACAGGGTCGCCGATGCCGTGCCCGTCACCAACAGCTCAACGGCACGTTGCTCATCCGTTCTGTGTACTAAACTGTGGTCCATGACTATCAAGTGGGGGGGGTCTTGCTATTGCTAGTCATACAATTCCTTACGTCTATCGGTGCTTTGGAACAAATGAGGACATGGAGTAGTTGGTTGTCATGTTTGGATCGTGTACAGATCCTGTATCGCCGCCGCTTCACGGCTTTTGCCGCGCCCTAGATTGAAATCCCGCAAGGAACTTGCTGAGTGGTGGACATTATTCCAGCAGGACAGAGGATTCAGTCAAGTCAGGTCAGGTCAGACAAGTGTGCCACCACGGAACAAGGGTAACAAATCACAAGTACACGATACTTTTTTCTATCCCTACGTGCCTGGAAACGGCTTCGCACCCCTGGGTACGCGATACGCGTATATACACGTATTCGTGTAGTAGCTCTGACCGAGTAATGGCATCTCCTCTTGCCGCCCTGTGCGTTCATGGATATGTCTGTACATACCATGTACCTACATATAGTAGGTCACACGTATTGAAGTGCTTTCGCACAGATTATGTAATAATTAGTACTTTTAATTAAAGACTAAACTAGCTATAAAGTTTAAACTTTATTTTTATATAGTAAAATTACTAACTAAGTAGCTATTACTACTTAAAAAGTATTATTACTATAAGTACTATTTTAACATACTTTTGATTACTTTAAGTATTATATTATAATTATTATAAGTAATTAATAAAACTTTTTAATTTAAAATAAACTACTTTTATTTTTAGCTATTTTATTATTAAGTTTTTAATAAGTTTTAGTTTTTTTTAACTACTACTTTTATAGCTACTAGTTTTAGTATTTCTTATTATTTTATTATTTTATTTCATTTTTTTATTTTATTTTTTTATTTTATTTTTATTATTAAAGTTACTAAAAAACTTATTTTTAACTTTATAAAATTACTTATTTAGCTTTAAAGTTAGTTATTATAAGTTAATTAAAAATAGTAAAAATTGCTAAGTTTATTAATAATAAGCTACTATAATAAGCTAAAAAGTATTAAGTTACTTTAAAAAGTAACTATTATTACTTTAATATTATAAGTTTTTATAAGTTAATAAAAAAAACTTTAAAGTACTTAATAATAATAATTAATAAATTATATAAGTTTATAACTTTTTATTATATATTATAAATAAAAAGTTTAGTAAAAGTAATTATTTACTTTTTTTTATTTTACTTATAAATAAGTAGTTGTTAGTTATATATAATAATATAGCTATTAAAGTAGTTTACTATAAATAGTAAAAAGTAAAACTTTAAACTTTCTTTTAATATTTTTTTTATATTATATAAAGTAGCTTACTTTTTTATTTTATACTAATTTATTTACAAATTACTACTTTTATTACTCTTTTTTTGTCTATAACTATCCTCCTTCAGGGGTGTGGTACAACATTATTATTCAACTACATATGGTAGGTATGGATGACCTTTTGATTATCACGTGACTATACTACCCGCCGTTGTCGCTCTTCCAATCTTTCTGGAGGACAAGGATACCGCATGATCCAAAATCACAGCAGCAATTTGCCTTCAATACACTGATTCTTTGTATCCAGAAAGGTATTCGTAATACGGTGTCATGTATTACACATCTTTAGCCCTACTTGGGACGGTGGTGACGTTCACGATGCCTCAGCCGGGACTCAAAACTCGGGGCTGCGGAGATGCATAATTCTTCGACAATCCTCAAGACTTGTCACCCGCGAACCATGCTCATCGTCACCGTTTACTGGTTTTGCTTTTCTGTTTTCTATTTTAGCTAAGAACGCTGGGCGGCGGTTGCCAACAGCATGCATGTGCATAAAAAAAAGGAACAAGGGGATATCCGGGACGTGTATGCAGATACTATTACTGTATATGCACATAATAATCAGGATATGCATTGTGCTGACCACCGTGGAGAAAAAATCCACAAACACCAAGAAGTGCGAGACGATCAGCGATGGACACTTTTCCATCATGACGAGCGAAAATCAAGGCACCATCTGAGACGAAATCAGAGGTTTTGGCTACAAGTACCGAAACTGTGGAATCAGCCACGTGCCGGGCAAGCTTGAACCCTGCCTTGTAGCCACCAGCACCACACCTTCTGTGAGACACGGCCGATCGTAGTTGAAACACCTTGAATTGACGTCTCATGGTGGGCAATGTTTTCCCCTTGCGCCCTGCCTGTGCAACAACAGCAAATCTTGCTGCGCGCCATCGTCACCTCTTGTACCGCTGCGCTGCGGGGTCGAGCAACTGCTTCACATTTGCCGCCCACCAACAACTTCATGTCACACCTTTTCGCCAATCTGCGACTTGTACTGCCGGCGCCGAGGAGCCACTTCATCTCTTCATCTCCATCATCTGAGACGGCCGGTCCAAATAGAGTGGTTTGTAGCCATGTCATCAGTGCCGCCTCGCCCTTCTAGAACTTGATTCCAACAAGTGAGCTATTCAAGTCTCTTCACCGGGACCTTATCCACATGCCACTATCAGAATTTGAATCTTGCGACACGGACAACCCGGAGATCCAACGCAGAAACGTCTCCTACCATGCTCCGAACTTTCTCCAAATTTGCAGGGTCTGCCCATGACATGCTCACAACGCACCAACACGATGGTTAGACTGGCGGCCATTAGGTAGCAGTAGCTTGACGGTAGGTACACGTTAGTTACGGCTGCAATCGTTTCCGTCCATGTGCATGTTCTTTCTGTTCCCTTTATCCCGGGCCTCGCACAGCATTACCGTGGTTTCGTCGCCCCTGTTCCTCTTTCCGTCTCCCTGTTTCCGATCCCAACTTTTCTTCTTATTTTGCTTTTTGTGATGCTTCACACTCTAGCGTGCATCTGCATTTTGGTGTAAAGGAGGCAAAGAGACGGGCGATGACGGGTGACCGACGCCATATGACGATGCCGCGCGCCGAGAAAACGGGACCGTAGCGCGGACGCTCCAACAATGGTTCCAATTTGCATCATGGCGGTGGTGGAAAAAGAAGGCCGACTTGTGCCAGAAACAGTCATGGGCATTGCCAATCACCCATGGCATTACCCACCTGTAGGTTTTGGTTGTTGTGAATGTCAGACACGATTAGAGAGAGAAACCGTCCTGTGCTCCACTGCGACAAAACATCTTTCTTGACGTCCAGGGTTCTGCTTTCACGCACCGACAGCATTGAGGCGCCCCTCTCATTCGCAATCTCTTGATGTCTGCCGACCCTACCGTCCACCGCAGTATGCCACGGTGCAAGCAGTCAACCGCGGGATATACGATGGTTATTGCGAGGGTCTGCGTTATTCGACGACTCAAGCCACTGGCCAATAACGCCCGTGATTATCGGACACGCTGAAAAGGACCGGCGTCAGGGTATGTATGGAGTTCAGACCTCCTCCTGGCAACACGAGCTAGAGTCATGGTCCACCGCGGAAGGCGGAGAAAGGTGTGTCTGTGTGGGGTCCGCTGTCAATCTGTCAATGATGATCGCTGATTCCTTGCCCTGGCCCGTAGTGTGTGCACTGGCTTGCCCATGAGGAACCAGCTAGCATCGATTCGTTTGATGCTCCGGGTGGGTGGATTCCGTAAATGTCAGAAATCATGCCATTTTTTGTGCGTTACTCGCGCAATGGTCTCGTATACTCTCCAAGTACGAAATCCATCATCTTTGGCGTTCGCCGCAAGGACATGGCTGACACGGTCAAATATTGAACTACCATCTACGCCAGGTTGAACTGCTCATCCAAATCGTACTACGTACATGCGTCTGAGTGTTGGTACCTGCATTCAACTACCCGCAACAAAAGGGGAGAAACACAAATTCCACGCCATGTTGCCTCAATGCAACACACTCGACTTGCTGGCCATTTCCAACCTCTACTCACCCAATTCAATGAACCCCCACTGCACACCCGCCCGCCCGCGCGATCCGCCGTCCCTTTCTCATCCCCCAGTCCCCAGCCCCAATTTCACTCAGACCCACAGTCCAATCACAGCAGTCGATCCACATCCTACCAACCAACAGATCAGATCCTCCCCGAGCCTCCCTGTACAAACCCTTGATCTATATCACATCCATGCTGTGTCTCATCGTCATAATCTGTATCGTCCATGCGCATCAGCACCAACTTGCACTTATCATCACGAGCGGGCCATCACGATTTCAACAATTGTGAACAACTGACTAGTCTTGTGACAGATATCCACACTCGAACAAGGTGAAAGCCTACAATGCAAATTTGTTAATATAATGTACTGTCCAAGCATCAAGGAGCAGGCAACCAAGTATGCTCCAACGCATCTCGGCGACACCAAAATAACAGCACAGAAATTAACAATGCTAAAATTCGACCCACAATCTTCTAGTGATCGAAAAATCTTTCTCGAAGCCGACTAACTAATCGTCGTCTTACCGCCTCGGGCACTTGCAACCCACTCTCTATCTATATCGGCCCTATTTCAGAACCTTCTACGAAACACCCCTGAACGTTTTGTGACTGTACCTAATCATCTAATCTCAATATCCACATGAACACAAGAATAATTTTCTGCGCGGTGGTTCAGGGTGCACACTGAAAGTAGGTAAGAGGCCCCAACTTAGCCCTACTGGCCTTACCTCCTACCACTATATTCTCCACAAAAACAACTACGGTGTTGGAGTCTTCTTCGGGCTTGGTGGTGTTTGACTGATATAGGCAGGCAGGTAGGTAGAAAATGCGAAGACAGAGAGATCCGCTGTTGATGTAGACTTTTCTGGGTCTTGGTGCGTAGATTGTTTCTCACGTGTGCTTTTGTGTGGAAGTGGGAATCGTATCTGGAGGATTCATCCTGCCGGAAGCAATGGAAACAGCTGAAATTGCGAGGATGGAATCGTCACAAAGCTCAAGTTCATTAGTAACCAACATTTCTCCAGTGATATGCTTATACAGTATTTGTTCAGCCTAACAACATAAGACATATACCTGACAAAAACCCAGAGTTCGCACATACTCAGACAAGCAAACAATACCTCAAAGGAAAACCATACACAACAAAACCAACCTAAACCACATTCCTCCCACTGCATTCAAACCATGTTAGCCTCCCAAGCAGCTGCAGCGATAACCAGCACATAACTACCATCATCCTAAACCATGTCAAGAGCTTGCATACAACATAGCTGTCAAGCCATCATGTAACCTCCCCATCTCACCCGGGCATTAACTATGCCCATTGATGCTTCCTTCGGGCTCAAGGACACTTTCGGGACACATCGGGGTATTTTTCTTCTCTCTTTCGTGGCCCTGCATCGGGCTTTGCTAGGGGATTGCTGAATCGGGTATATAGTCTGAGCATGGCATGCATGTATGCTTACATGTATCCTATGTAATGTGTGGTGCACGACCGTTGCCTCACAATTCCTTTCGCACTCCCCACAAATTTCTCTCCCATTTCAAAAGAGAAGAAATAAGGACTTGGAATGAGGATTCTGGAAATAGAGTTTATAGGGTGTGGGGATTGTGATGGGTTGGTCGTTGGAGTGTAATCTCCGCCGGATCTTGGGTTTTTCCGTCCGAGGGACGGGGGAACTTGTTTTGCGTTGTTCTCTCGAATGTCGAGTCATTATGCATTTTCCGTTATCGTTTCTTCTTTACTTTGATAAGCTGCTGATAAGCTGTAATTGTTATGCTGTACATATCTGCTGTAGAATGCTGGGTTCCATGTGTTGCTACATGTATGTTTGGATTTTTCCATAGAAAGATGACAAAAAGATGTGGACGCATCTACAAGTCTCACAGGCTATACAATTCAAGCCAATAAACGGGAAAAGAGTAAATACTCGTAGCTTATTGAAGGGTAAAATCTACCTAGGTCTCACATGAACACAATTTCAAAAACACATCACCCCACCCACGCAATACAGCAAGTTCTAAGCTCAAATCTTACATGCCTTATGGCACCGAGTTGAACAGCAATTCCTCCACCAGCCTTCTCCATACAACTTCGCAAGCATTCACAAATTTTTGTCTACCCTGCATCCAGCTTCTCTCCTGATCCGAAAATCATATTCTAAGCTCCAAATCCCTTGCTCTATCCTTCGTTCACAAACAACCATTTCTCTGAAGAAAAAGAGTATGGGTTTGTATTATCTTCGAAGGAACCCTGTTCTGCTACCAAGGCTTTTTCCCTTTACAATAGATACACCTCGTACATATTTTTGACCTTCCCCAACTCTTCCTCTTTCTGTTATGCCACATCCCCGTTACTGCAAACCAAACTCATGATCATCCCCTCTTCTCTCTTCCTCACCACACAGAAAGCCACAAACAAAACGACGACGTTCGACCATAACAGCGTCACGTACAGTAAGGGAGATAAGCAGTCAACCCCTCCTCCCCTGTGATCCTATTTGAGTAAAGTTTTGTTATTTAGCAATTTGTGTGGAATAAGTCTATTCTGTAGTCGTAAAACAAATAAATCAAAGAAAAGTGAACGAGAGGCAAAAGGGAGAGAATAACAGTGTGGAAGAGGAATGGTAAGGGAGTAACGTGTATGCAGAATGATTATCATGGAGTGTTGAGAAGGGAAGCCATTGGAGCAAACATAACATGGATATCCATTGCACTGTTTTCCTATTTGCTAGTATCCGTTCAATTGCCCCTTGTCTTGTAAGTATCATCATATTTAACAGAGTACGTAAATTACCTATGCACACACACACACATATACACATACACGCACGCACACACTCACCTATCTCTTGGAGAGAGACAAAGGAACAAGAACAAACGTGTCAGCTGAACTTAGCCTAGCTTCAATAATTACCGCAACAAAAAGCAGAAGAAGGGGAAAAGTATGCCAGCGACGCAAAAACCGATAAGAACGTCAGGAGTACCCATCAATAGTCTAGACCGAAGAGACATAGAAGCGAAGAAAGAGACGAATAAAATACAGTCCCTATTTCTCTCCCTTCCCTATCCTCTTTTTCTAACTCCTTTCCTCCGTTCCAGTTAGACGGGTATTGTAGAATACAACAAGGGCAAGTACGTCGTAATCCAAGCCTTGGTTTGTGAGGGCGGTGACATGTTCCAGGGGGTGATTGTTCATTCAGATTGATGGAACTTCAGGTCACTACGCGCAATAGCCCATTCATCCGTTGCAAAGAGCAATGGTAGAAGAAGAGGGGGGAAAAGGGTTATTCTGTATAAAGGAGCGTCTTGAGTCACAGAACATCACAATCGAGAGAAGATGTAGATCAGGGGAATAAGTTTGATTTGATCCGACCCGCACTCTCTCTCTCTCACTCCCAGATGAAGAAGGGGAAAGAAAAGGACACAGCTTATCAAGTATTCATTCATGAAAACGTTTGCATGTCACTCCCGAGAAAGAAAAGAATCCCTCCACCCCACACGACCAGCGGATATATATGCCGAAGAACCATGATGCCTCGAGGAGAAAGGAAAACGCCAGTACGCTTGCAATTGCAGAAGAAAAGAAGGAACAAGAAAATCGAGATGAACAGAACAGATTGATCGTGAAATGCAGATCAATCGAGAGATTGGAAGTAGGCCTTGAGGGAGGGAGAGAGCACAAGGCAATGTTTGTGCGTCGGGAAAAAAAACGTCCCAGTCTTCCGGAAAGAAAAAGGAAGAGAGGTCATTAACAGCAGAGAGGAGCAGGAGTAAGCATGAAAGATTGTCAGTGAGGGGAGGAAAGCTGAACACCCGTCAAAAGTTTCACGCATCACCCGGTGATAGTCGGACCAGAACTGTCACCACCCATATCCACCTCCAAGTCGGGGTTCGTTACGGTCAAGGGCGAAGAGGGTTCTTTCTCAGCGACACCTTGACTCCTACAAAGCGGACAAGAATTGCGGCCGGTCGTCAACCACTAGATAAGTTAGCAACGATGCGTCTGGTCAGGTAGGTATGGCTTACTTGGTCAATGCAAGGCCGGTGGAACATGTGTCCGCAGGTGGCCAGCTTGCGAGTCTCCTCGTCGATCTCGAAATCTGCCAGACATACGAGGCAGCGTGCGTCCTCGGGGAGAACAACAAGTTCCGAGCCTTCAACAGCTTGCGCGACGAGGGTCCCGACGTGGTTGATGATGCGATATAGACCCGGAGCAGCGGCAACATCTTCTTCGCTCGCGACCGGAGGTTTGACGGGACCAAGGAAGCTGGACAAGAGTAGCATGTCCTCGTATGTAGGAGATCCGGTGAAAAGACTCGGCGTGGTCAGAATGGGGTGGTCTTCGGGGTAGCTGCCGCCCAGAACATAGATGATCCAACTCCTTGATCCTTCACCAGGATTGTTATCAGGCTCAACGACACCATTTCTGCGAGATGAACCGGAACCAAATCTTGTCGGGAAGTCAGAGTCGCTCAGTCGTCGTTGACGCGGTGTTCGCTGTTGATGGACCGGGGGCTCCTCCACCGTTGGCTCCAAGTTAGCTCCCGTGGTCCTCCGTACAAAGCTTTCGCGACGTGAAGACGTGGACGATTGGATGGTAGGAGAAGGTGGGGTGGCCGCGATTGGAGTAGTTGTACCCGAAGAGATAGCAGATAAACCCGAACTCGCAGGCGTTGAAGGGGGAGGAAGAGGGCCAGGCGGCGAATCGGCAGCGGTAGACCACGGACGTGGTCGTTCGGGCGAACGCCAGTGTCTCTGACTGTCGTAGGCAGTTGAGTGGTTGTTCATATTCATACCACCCATGGAAGCGCGCCGTCGATGACTGAATCTAGTGCCGTTCCGAGGTTGCCGCAGCATGCCGTCCATCATCTCCTCACCTGGAGAAGTCATATTCGGGGGAAAGCTTGACAAGGCGTCCAAGAAAGGAGGGATGTTATCCTCACGTTCATTGCCACTGCCTGGATTGATGGACCGGATCCCTACAATGATAATGGGTACCATCCGACCATCGGTCTCTTCTTCGCCGTCCGAGTTGGCGTTGGATACAGGTCTGTTCTGATTGACACGGGCGGAGTTAGACGAGCCGAAGCGGAACATTCTGAAGAAGTTCAGCGGTGGGGGACTGCCACCAAGGGTATCAATTCCCTCCTCATTATTGCTCCCGCTCTGCCGCAGTGCAGAAGCGATTCTACCGTTCTGCAATGCTTGCAAAAAGCTGTCAAACGTGCCGTCCTCGCCATCACCTGGAACACTGCGAGCGTCCGCGACGGCCTGATGGTCCTCTCCCATGAGCGAGGCCGCGGTTGCAGCAGCAGCGTAAGAGAGCAGGCGCGAGAGTGTGGCTGCCTGGTCTTCATCGCGTCTCGAAGGTGAACCGCGTCGTCTACGAAGAGAGTTTGTCATGTTCCGGATACTCCGGTCGGGTCTGAAGGTAGGCAGCATGGAGGGCCTGCCTTCTCGTCTTGATGAAGTCGGCCGTGACGACAGAGCGGCAAGGGATGCGGCCCGCGCATGGTTGGCCAAGCCCTCAAAGTTAAGGTCCAGATCAGGAATGGGTGGCAGGTAGCGGTTCGCAGCGGCGGATTCGTCAGAGATGGTGGTGGGGGTGTGTTGGGTGGAGGCAGGCGGCGACGTTGTTAGAGACGACGAGGATGGAGGTGTAGGATTATACGAGGACGATGGATCGAAGGTAACGAGCGGGGACGAGCGGGCTCGAGCAAGTCTACTGGAGGGGCGGCGATTGAGTAGCATAGTGGGAATGGAAGATATAGACGAACGGGCTCTAGATAGCCTCGAACGGCGGCCGTTGAGCTGGGATAGGGCTGCATCGGGGCCAGACGGGCCAGCATCTGGGGATTCGCGGTGGTTGGAGAGGAGGCTACTGAGGGGAGTCAAGAAGCGCTGGGAGATGGGTCGCGAGGAAGTCGGCTGCTGGATCATCTCGGACAGTTCCTGGTCGCTGGGCGGCGGGGAGAAGGTCGGTCTTAGGGACTGGGGACGCTGCAAACGGTTGCGCTGGTTGGGAGGCAGCTCCCCCCTCGAATGGGCCTGGCCCATGTTTATCGGCCGGCGCAGCTATTATAAATAGGCAGGCGCCGGATGGTGTTGACGTTGGGGGGTTGGATATATCGCGGGGACGGGGAGGGAAGGAGAGGGCGGTGGCGGAGGGAGGAAGCCTTCTGGCTTCAGCGCGCCCAGGGGAAGGCGATGGACAGCGTAGGGTGGTGGAGGTGGAGGTGTTGGTGCGGTGTAAGTGGTAGGTAATTGTAGTTATGATGTCGCCGCAGCAGCGAACGGCGAGCGAGCGGAACAGTGCTAAGCGTTTAGGTCGGCGCTTTGGCTTTGGCTCGTTCTATGTAACGTCTTGAATCAAACTTAGTCATAACGTGACTGACTGACCGACTCGCTCACTCACTCACTCACTTACTCACACCACGCATCTTCAAATACCTGAGCACTTCACTGACCTATGGTGCTTACCTAGCCTCGTCCTTGTTTCTTTCCTTTTTCTTCCGACTCTTTCTTCGCCTGCCAGCTGGGGTCTCTGACCGACTAATTGCCTGACCGGTCCCGCACCATCCGGCTGGCTTAAGGCTCCTCACCTATAATCCATATCCCCCCGTCCGCCATCAGCATATGATATGATGCAGTACTTTGCGACTCCTCTGCGGCCCAGTCAACAGACGACACACTCGCTGCGCGCAAGCCAATACAGGCCGTCGAGGAAGCGGAAGCGCGACGACGACAGCGAAGAGCCCCCTCCATTGGCCCCGCCCGTCGCATCTCCACGGTCTGACTCTGCATCTGGACTCACTCCCCCCCCAGAGCCCTTCCCACATCACCCTGCCAAGCATGTGAGAAACACAGTCACGAATGCGAAACTCCACGAATCCATTGCTGCCCTGAACCCGCCCGTTTTCGCCGCCAATGCCCTCTCCCGCGCTCAACCCGTGCGCGGCCACAGCCAGAGATCTACCCTGCGTGGCTCCCATCTCGATATCCTGACGACCACGATGCACTGCTGTCTACTCGCGGGGGATTACGACCGCGCAGACCGTGCCTGGGCCCGGATCCTGAGGACTCACGCCGCTGGTAACCCGCTGGATCCGCGGTACCACGGGCGCTGGGGTGTTGGGGCAGAGCTGCTGCTTCGACGCAGGGCTACGACCCATGTTTCCCACCAGGATACAGAATCCAAGACGCAACAAAATCAAACTCAGCCTGGTGACCCCGCTCACATTTACACCCGACATGGCCTCGAGTTGGCACAGGACTATTACGAGCGTCTCATCATCCAATACCCCTTCCGCAAAACCAGTCCGAACGCTGTCGACGCCAGGGCCTTTTACCCACCTCTGTTCACAACGTGGATCCGGGCCATTCTCGACCGAAGCAGGCGAGACCGGTCACAATATCAAGAGCACCTTCGCCGTCGATCATCGTCCGCTGCTTCAGATGATGCCGAAGACGATACCATAGTCCTATCCCTCGAAGAGATACGCACCCAAGAATTGTCACACGCCCAGGAACTCTGCGAGCGACTGGACCAGGTAATCATTTCACCGCCGTTCGACAAACACACCGAGCTGCTCTTCCTTCGCGGCAACGTCGGCCTTTGGATCAGTGACCTCATTGTTGGCAGGACTCCAATAGCAGCCGGACAGGACCAACAGGCTGCATGGGATGACATGTCCATGACCGACCACTCCGATGTCAATGCTGCTAGCGAGTCAACAGACAATCAGCGCAAATACAGACAAAGCCTCCATCAACTCCACCTAGCCCGCGATTTCTTCACGCGTGCCGAAACTCATGGTGCAGGGAGTCTCGATGCCGCCAAAGCTGGCATTGACGTCAGAATCAAGAGTCTCGGGAAACAGATGTCGACATTTGATTGACAACACTAAACTGTATCATATGGAACCTTGTTACTTTTGTAAGAGGCCTCATCTAACCACATGATTATTTACATCCTGCTGTGAACCGCGTCCTCAGCGTTCCCACTACCCATATATTCAGGTAGTCGAGCTCGCAATTAGGTGAGTATACGGCGTGATCCGAACTTCAAAAGTATCGCTGCTCTTTTATATCACGGGCCCTTCACCACTCCGTCCGCAGTTCAAGCTGACTGCTTTCCGACCTTTCCTCATTGACCCGCCAGCATAATCCTGAACTACAGTATATAATGTATAGTGTGGCTTAATCGCCACAAATATCTACCTTTTCTTGACTTTTCCACCGAGAGAAAATCAAGCGCATCACGCACTATTCCACGATTTGGAAGTTGCAGAACCTTGTAGGTCCGGGAATGGAACATCTATCTCGAGAAAATGATGAAAGGTGGGGATACATGAATCGGCTTTTCACCCACTTTCGTCGTCATACCATCTCACGAAAAGTTTGTCATGTTTGGCTGCTTCAAAATAATGTTTAGTTTTCCGGTAGAAGTAGCATAGTAGAAGGATCATAGCTGTATGGTTATTATATACCAACTTTCACAGCCCCCGCAATTTAACATATGGACTATCTCTGTCTGAATGCATGTGTATCCAGCTTCGCTACCTCGAGTCCATGACAACATGACCTCGTCCGTATTCAATTCAGTCTGTGAATATGCAGCTTCAAATAACACATCACGTTCCTTGCAAAGGACAACTGGGAACAGCAAGCCCGAAAAATGGAAAGGTAGGAATTAGTGTGGGTAGGAGGGGGGAGGGGGCATATTATACATGCACACGTACACCATTGCTCAAAATTATACTGATGAATTAAACCTATTCGCCCTCCATTCTCCATCTCTCTTCGGGTACATGCAAGTAAATAAGCGGGTGAACCAAGATTGTGAGAGGAGGTGACGTTGAATAATGGAACAGAAACACTGCTCATGGTTTAAGAAAAAAAAAAGCATTCTTCATACACACACATACACAAGAGATATCAAACTATATAGCAAAATTAAAAACATTGGCTCTGGTCTGACAAAAAAACAGTTTCTCCTTTCCTCCTAGATTTCCTCATTCAAGAACCCGAGGGAGGGGGGGTTTCGTGTTCACATGCGGCTGGGCCCTCGAGGAGGCATATTGGGGAAGTAGCGGTCGGGAAGCCTATTGCCGTACTGATCGTATCGGAAGTCTTCCTTCTCCTCAATCCAGACCTACATAGCATGCAACGAAAAACGCAAACGTCAGCTAAAGCTCGCTGTACCAAGATCTCGAGAGAAGGGGAAGGGGAAGCGAATTTTTTTCCTCGTCTAATGCCATTCATCTCCTCTACCACGACGCTGGGAAGAATGAGGAGGGGAAGAGGGAGGGTAGACAAATGCTGATTCAAGGCTCACCTCACGCTCAAAGTCCGGGTTGGGCGGTACTATTTGAGGGTTCAGCACCTCTTCATCGCCAAAGCCTGGGTCGCCCGGGAACTTACGTCCGTTGTAATTCGCAGCACCGGAGGGTTGCGGCGCGCCGTACTCGGCGTACTGGCTGGGGCGGCCACCCATCTGCGGGCGGCGGATCTCGCTCTGCCTCCAGGACTCGCGCTCGGGCATGCGGTCCTCGAAGGATTCGGAGCGACGGCCTAGAGGCTCGTTGAAGCGGCGCTCTTCGTAGCGTTTTTCTTCATAGTGGCTAGGGCCGCGCTCACTGTAGCGGGCTTCGACGTGGCGGGGATCGCGGGGATCGCGCTCCACGTAGAGTTCGCGCTCGTCTACGTAGCGGCCGTCGGGGTGACGGGGACCATGTTGGTCGGTGTAGACTTCACGCTCCTCGTAGCGACGTGGGCGCCCGTACTCGTCTACCCATGTGTCACGCTGATCGTAGTGGCCAGGCCCACGTTGTTCATGCTCGACGTAGTGCTCTTCGACGCGACGAGGGCCGCGGTGCTGGTGATCATGGCGGTCGTGGTGGTCGTGATGGTCGAGGTGCACAATGTGTTCCTCGAATCTACGAGGGGCACGGGTCTCATGCTCAACCCAGGTTTCTCTCTCTTCAACAACCCTGCGGTTGGGACGACGGTCGTCATGCTCTACCCACACTTCTCGCTCCACTCGTTCCCGGCCTGGAGCATCATGCCTAACATCAATGTCAATGTCGACCCTCTTGTCGACCTTCTTGTCAACCCTCTCCTTGTCTTCACGGCGGTGCTTTCCCTGGTGCTTGCTCTCATCGGGCTCCAAAGCCGTCAAGAAGCCTAGCACCTCGTTCAGACTGGAGTGGGCGACAAGCAGCTCCTTCTCCCTGTTCTCCAGCTTTTCCTTTTCGCTCATAAGCCAGTAAACACGGTGGCGGATGCCAATACGCCTGCCACCGTCGACATCGCCGCCCACACGCTCGGTATGGGGGGAGATGTTCTCGAGGGCTCCGCGCACATCTCGCATAGCACCATAAACCCACTTCGCTTTTTCTTTGTTGGCCTCGAGCGCATCGTGAACTTCGCGAACAGTGAGGAGACGTCGGACCTCATCAAGATCAGCGCGAACGCGATTGATCAAGCGCACGTAGACTGCGTTGGCGGGACCGACGTCGCGGAGCTTTTTGGCATGGAACAGAAATTCACCAAACTTGTAGGCTCCACCAATGGCCGCGGCGGCGCCACCGGCAGATACGAGTTTGGCAAGATCTCCTCCGTTGCGACCCATTGTGAGAGTGGTCTTGGTGGTGGTTGGAATGAGGTGGTTGCTATGCTGAGAGGATGGCTGGCGGCCTTTCGGAGCTCGCTGGCAGGGGCCGGGTTTACCTACACCGAAGCTGGGAGGGCTGGGGGAGGCAGTAGGTGCAGCGGCTTTGGTAAATCAATTGAGCCTCAAGAAAGTGAGCGTGTGAGACCTGAATGTTGGAGCATCCCGTGCGCGGTGGGGACGCTGGCGGTGGGTTGGGGGAGGAATGATGGTGTTGTCGGGTAGAGCTTGGTTCACTGTTGTTCAGCTCCCTACCGAGCCAAACCCAAACAACAAGGAAGGTGGTGGCTGGTTGTCACCTCCAACCAGTTTAGCGTGAGTCTAATTCGTCGTAAGCTCTGACAGCCTCCCACCATGTACCTCGGACCTGGGGAAATCTATTATTTGTTTGTTTATCATCTTGTTCATCTAAGTATATACAAACCCATTTCTGGGTGTTCCTGCGATATTCCCGTTTCCAAGTTTCCCCGTGGCATCACAACATTTCAACTCTTCTTCACTTGCCGTACTTCGCGATGAAATTCCGGACCTTTGCATCACTCAGGCTGAGCTCATTGGTTTCAGCAATTACCAATTGATCACTGGCTGTTTCGATATCTCTCTCCATCTTGAACAGTTCCTCTTCCAGTTCTGGATTTGTCAATCGCACTTTTTGAAATGGTGTGTGCCGATGCAGACTTCGTGTGATAATCCTCAACTCGCTGTCTGCTCGAGTCCCCCGTTCGCCCAGCGTCTTGTGGGTTGAAGATAGATTCGAGTTGCAGTGTTCGCGCAATTTAGTACCACGCTCGACCTTGGCTTTGAAGAGCGCTTCAAGAAGGGATTCCATATTCTCATGGCTGACTGAGACGTTCACGTGACGAAGTGCATCTTGCAGCGCAGGCGGTAGTTCCATGGTTTTGGATGGTTTGAGAGAGGGTGCTGGTGTGAAAGCCGAAAGAGACCCAGATGTTATGCGCCTTGACGGTCGTGGAGTTTTGGCTTGAGTTATGATTGTTGGGTCGGGCATGGTTTTAGCTGCGGCCTTGTGAACGTGAGTAACCGCCTGCTGGAACTGGTCGATATTTTCGGTATACGCCGTGACCGTCTTGAGTCTCTTCGCCATGTATTCGAGTGTCGTGAGGACCTTACGATGTTAGCTGTACAGTATTCAATCCACACCAGAAATCAACAACCTACATAATTTAGCCATGCTCCTCGGGCTTGAATTCTTTCCGCCTCCTTTCGTTGCTTTTGCTCCATTATAGGTTTCCTCAATTCATGCTCGAGGACCATCTCTGTCACTGACGCAATCTCGGAGTGCAGATCATCGAGTTCTGCCTGTAAAGCAGCCTTTTGCTCCCGCAACTCATCTACAGATCCAATTGGAATGTCTGTAGGGTTGGAGCCCGCCAGATTTTCCAGGTAAACTGTTTCCACTTTGGCTTTGACCTCCGCAGTACGATAAGAGATGATGGCTTTAAACCATTGCTCGATTGACTTTTCATCCTCGCTAGTCTCAGGCTCTGTCGATATCTGGGAAACGAGGGCAGGAAGCCTGCTTAAAATCTGATCATCTGAAGCGAGACGTTCGGTAAGATAATTCTTCAATGTCGTCTTCTCGCCATCAATTTCTCGCTGAGCGTCAGCCAGTTGCTCTTCAACATTGGTTGATACATCGTTTGCCTATAGCCATTAGATCTCATTCTCGCTGCCTAACAAGCACTGTGTAATAACTTACAGCGGCATCTAATCGAGCCTTTTCTTGAACCTCTTTCCGTCTTCGTTCGTTCCTTGCATGCTCAGCATCTAGATTTGGTTTCTCGAGGGCTTTCAGCTGGAGTATAGCAGATTTCTGAGCCTCGAGTACTTTGCACTGCTCTTCAATGGCAGCAGTTGAAGTTTGCAACGATCCAATAGCGGATGCGAGTTCGTGATCCAGAATGGGGCGGATGGGCTCATCGTCTGCTTCATATTGATGAAGTAAGCCTTTTCTTTGCAGTGTTTGGTACCTAAACGCATTGGATTAGCGCGTCGTTATTGGAGAAGCAGGTCATTCTTACAGCTCCAATTCCTCTTTGGTCAAAAGTGTATCCTCATGCAAATACTCATTCACCCACTCTGCAGCGTCTCTCTTGCTATCTTCCTCCTCGAATGCGGAAAGCACACCGTCGAGATCTAGATTGCTGTCAAGACCCCTCTCCTCGAGCACATTCAGCAAATGATGGGCCGCCTGCTCTGCGGCCATTCTGGTGACGATATATGGGTGTTGATGTTTTGCGGATCACCAAACCAGCCTAGTGTCGTCCCCTAAACAAACTACACGGCCTAAATCCGGTTGGCCCTTTGGATCGTTTGCGCAGTCGCGTTAAACGCGTTTTCGCGTTTCCACTTATAATTTCTGTTATTCACCCCTCACTTCTGCTGATCTACCTTTCCCTTGTCATCTCTCCACCGCTATTCGAAAATGGCTCCTTTTGCGACTGAACCGATGGAGACCCCACTCTCAGAAACCTCGAGGAAGGTCTCAGTCACCACCACCATTACTACAGAACCTGCGCACGAGGAGTATCAATATCTCGACCTGATCCGAGACATTCTCCGCGATGGCGAGCACCGCCCCGACCGCACCGGAACCGGCACATACTCCATCTTTGCTCCTCGTCAAATGAAGTTCTCTCTCACTCGACCTTTGTCCGACCCTTCGCAAGAGCCCGAACTCATCCTCCCCCTCCTCACCACGAAACGCACATTCACCCGCGCCATAATTGCCGAACTCCTCTGGTTCGTCGCAGGCTCTACACACTCCAAGTCCCTCTCAGACGCCGGCATCAAGATTTGGGACGGCAACGGTTCGCGTGCCTACCTCGATAGTGTGGGTTTGACACACCATGAAGAGGGTGATCTAGGCCCCGTATACGGATTCCAATGGCGACATTTTGGCGCAGAATACAAAGGCCACGACGCAGACTACTCAGGACAGGGTGTGGATCAATTAGCAGAGGTGGTACACAAGTTGAAGCACAACCCATACGACAGACGCATCATCCTCAGCGCGTGGAACCCTGCCGACCTGAAGAAAATGGCCCTGCCACCCTGCCACATGTTCGCGCAATTCTACGTTTCCTTCCCGGGTGCGAAGAGAGGTAAAGATGGGGTTACACAAACTGAGAATCAGGATAGAGGGAAGGGTGTTCTGCATTCTATCCTTTATCAGCGGTCCTGCGACATGGGCCTCGGTGTACCGTTCAACATCGCTTCGTATGCGCTGCTCACGCACATGTTGGCGAGAGCCTGCGATTTGACACCAGGCACTTTTACACATACCATGGGTGACGCACATGTTTATCTCGATCATGTAGATGCGCTCAAATTGCAGTTGGAGAGGGAGCCGCGCGAGTTTCCTGCTTTGAAGATTGCACGAGAAGTTGGGTGTGATATTGATGGGTGGCAGGCAGAGGATTTCGAGGTTGTAGGGTATAAGCCTCATCCTACCATTGCTATGAAGATGAGTGTATGAGCCTATGAGGAAAGATATAATATATGCATGGATGGAATTATGATTTAGGGTATGAACGCATTCTTGGACTTGTGCATACGAGATTCGGATTATATACGTAGATAGCATTCGGTACAATGTAATAGGGTACTTTTGGTCATCTGTTTGTTATTTGCATCTTGGTGCTGTACTTATGTAGCTGTTACATATGTACTCGAGGACCACCCCCACAAGATATCAGTATGTCTATCATATCACAATCAACACACCTACAGACAATCAGGCCTCCCAATCTGTCTGGTCATGATATGCAGCCCGTATAGTCAGTCGCACACAGTATAGAGGAGGGAGTTGACTTGCAAAAAGAGTGGACGCATAATAACCAACTTCGTAGCGAGCGAAATTGGTACATATAGCGATGCGGTGTGACGGTGCTGGAGGTTTTCAATCATGTCCGATAATAGATCTTTAGAGTTAAGCATTACGCAAGACTTGCATACACATGAACAAGAATTTGTAGGAAATGACCTAAGATAACCCCACAACATTCAGTAAACACCTCCCATCAAAACACCCCACTCTCACCGACACACTTCCTAGTCCGTCCCAGATCCTCCTCTTTCACTGCCTCACCTACTTTGCCCCACTCAATTACAAGTTGATTTTTTCTCTTCTTTTCTGATTCGAAGTTGAACTGTTTCCCACTCACCTAAAGCTATCCGGTTCAATTATCTGGGTATTTGGGAGATCATGCACCTCCTGCCAACTAACCTCCTCCCACTCCTCCTTGGCACGAACATACTTCCTCAAGACATTCTCCACATACGCATCGGGAAATCCCTCGCGAACCGCATCCTCAAAGGCGCTGTTCATCCGAAATATATACTCCAAGCTTGTCGCTGGGCTAGGCGTCACGTATGACCGATCAATATAAACCAGCACCTCCTTACTAGCCTCGGTTGGGGGAAGAAGAATATCAATCGTGTCATTTTCCGTGCGAATTGCTGTTTTAGCGGACCAGAACTCGACAGACATGTATTCTTTCGTGTAATCAGTTGGGACGCGTTCCAACTTGTCGAGGTGGTCTTCGTCGTTGGGGCTTAGGGCGTAGACGAGGCCATAGACGTGGTGTTCTTCGTTAGATTTCTCGGTTTTGTTTGAGGGTGGATATGAGGCGGAGACGATGTTGGCATAGCCTCGGGTATCGACTATCCAGTCGTAGTCGTTGAGGCGGGCCATTCCGACGTAGGAAGAGTAGGGGCAGCGGGTCTCCATTTGTTGCAGCCATAGGTTGGATCCGTAGCCAAAGTAGAACGTTGGGACTGTGGTGACTCCTGCGACAAGAGAGCGAGGAAAATACATGACGATGATACTTTTGACGAATTTAGAGGTAGGGAGCGTATTGTCTGGGGTTTTCTCTCGGTTTGATGTTGTGTCGTTGATTCTGTTCAAGGGCGGATGGCAGGTGTTGCTACGGAGAGCAATCTCTCGTGCATAGAAGGAGATCTTTCGCCTTCATAGTGTGATGCTTTGGGTATTTATGATTACAACTAGGTAGCTTTAACAGTTGCTGGTCAATTACGTTTAGAACAACAGATGGAGTGTATGAAGCGGTCACTAACGACTGAAGAGGGCTTGAATGACGCGGTGTTGACTTGTTTAGCCACCCTCGTCACTTGCTTTCACCCCGATTAAACATGGCTCGACTCCTAACCAGACGATGTGAGTTTACTAAATTATGAGATGGTGACGGCCAAAAGTGCATGTCAACGGAAGAGGTGCGTTGATAGGTGGTAGTTGATATTCCGATGTAAGAATGCGCTAAGCCTGATAAGAGGCGTTTAATTGTGAACCAACCTCGGAATCCCTGTTGACATCACGGCCTCCGCCTTGCTGCACCTCGAGTTACTTCCTGACTCTTTCTAATCCATAGTCATTTAGAAAGAGTTGTTGGAAAACTACTATCAACTTGTACCTGTCACTGTGAGGCTTGTAGGGTCATTCCAACACACCTAGATTCGGTTCGGACCCGCTGACTATCGGGCGTACCTCCCCGCATCTACGAAAACCATCTCTTGTTACTTCACCGTCCACTGATACAAAAGTAAACATGCCGTACACGCACCACAGCCACTCCGGCCAATTCTGCGGCCACGCCAAGGGTACACTGGAGGAGATGCTTCAAACGGCTATAGAAAAAGGCTTTCAAACGTATTCGATGACGGAGCACATCCCTCGGCCGATTGAAGACTTTTATCCCGAAGAGGTACGCTTTTCAATCGAAGTCATCACTGAACATACTTGCTGAGCGGTCGCGTTAGACCAAGGAACACACTCCCGAATCGTTGGTGAGGCTATTTGACGACTATCTCACGGAGGCTGCCCGCCTGAGGAAAATCTACTCCCCGGAAATCAAGATTCTAATCGGCTTTGAATCCGAATGGATCCGGCCGTCCACCCTTCAGATGATTCGTGACGTACAAGGGAAGTTCTCATTCGATTTTTTCATGGGCTCGATTCACCATACCCACACGATACCGATCGATTTTGACCGAGCAACGTACGAGCAGGCGAGGGATGCTGCCGGCGGGTCAGATGAGCGTCTTTTCGAGGACTACTTTGACGAGCAGTACGAGATGCTACAGGCTCTTACACCGCCCGTGGTGGGGCACTTTGATCTCATTCGGCTGCTGAGTGACCACCGGGATGATCAATTCAAGGATATGAAGGGGGTTTGGGAAAGGATGCATCGTAACCTCGAGTACATTGCATCATACGGAGGTGTTTTGGAGCTGAACGCAGCTGGACTACGCAAGGGACTCGCTGAGCCATATCCATGCTTGCCTATTTGTCGGGTACGTACTCGTCTCCCCCCACGTCACACCGCCTTCATCTGATAAGTATGGCAAAGGACTTTCTCAAGATGGGAGGTCGGTTCGCCATGAGCGATGACAGCCACGGCGTCGACCAGGTCGGCACCAATTACTCCCGCTTGCTCGACTACATTGGAAAAACAGGCATCAGGGAGATGCACTATGTGGACAGCGACGCCCCGTCCACGGACAGCCGTTTCCCCCACGCTGGCTTCTCTAGTATCTCGGTGGAGGACCTTTGCCAGCTTCCGTTCTGGACTAGAGTGCACGAGTGAGATGTTGGCATGTCGTTTGTCCTCTTGTGCGCGAATGAAGTGTATGATGTTGCGGACAAGCTTCGGATCGCGGCGTATACCAAGCGTATGACCTTCCTAGAGCAGTTTCATCAAGCACGGTTGCTTCCCACGTGTCTCATCAATGGCATCTGCGTTCGCGTTGTGCTGCTGGTAGAACTTGCACCGGGTTTTGCTTTTTCTTCTCTTCTTTGTTGCATCCTTCGTGTATACAGCTATCAGAAGTCCACTCGTGCGACCCATGTGCGACTGATGGAAGACGGCTGAGCGAGCGTGGGGGTGTGCGACGTTTTAGTCTCCGATATTGATGAAAATGGGTCCAATCAGCCTTCCATTGCGAGCAGACATCAGCTAGCCGCTGGACGCGCGATAGCCCAACGGAGGTACCGTGCACAAAGGTATACAGTTGAGTGATGATTGCCTTGGAAAACTGGGGGGACCCGAGCCGATGTTTTGGGAGTCCCGGGCGACGCATACGTGGGCTCTCGGAACTGCTCTTTACCTACCTGGGCGTGTTCTTTTGCACCGTCACGGCGAAGGAATGGATGGGGGTGAGGGCGAGGGATCGCAGGCATGACCACGTACTCGTTCCGGACTAGCCCTGTTTCTTCCCACGTGTGCCGGGGGAAGCTGAAAAGTGGGGTCCAAGGTTAATGGCCACCGACTGTCCTTTTCCTCATCTCGCATCCAAAACCCACAGAGACTTGCCTGGTACAAGTATCGCATCTTGAGTCGTACATGTGTCAAACCTGCCAAGTGGAACCTACCAGCCCAGACGTCGCCACTACCGGCATCATCTGCCCGTACATGTGTACACATGTATGTATGCACCGTGCTGCAGCCAGCCTGGGAGGCTTACAGCGGTAACCGCGTGAAGCAGCAACCACACTAACTACTTATCCTTAACCCAACGGCTGTTCCCCGGAGAGCGGAAACGGGATGTATGCCGCATTCCTTTAGCAAGGAGCCCTTTCGGCATGTCAGACCAGCTACCTATCGGAAGAGCCTCTTGCGGCTGTTCAGCCAGGCGCCAGTTCTTACAGCGCGTCTTATCACCGTGTGAAACTCCCCTGGCTCTCTTGTGAATCCTGCTCATGGTGGTCCTCCATGTGCATGTGTGGTGGAACGATGGAATCAATCACATAGAACCGGCACCGGCAACGACGCTGCCATGACGTTACCCCATGTTCTGGCCGCGAGTACATGTCATCTCCTACTTGTTGTCGTAGTACGTGTACCTGCCGTCTGTTTCAAGTTACGAATGTACACTTCTCGCCCACCATCACCTTTAGGTATGTCCTAATCGAGGCTGTACAGAGCCTAGACCCCTGTTTCGCTGCACCACCTACGTTGATCCGAGTTTGCACACGCACGATGCGAGAATGGTAATCCTTTGGAGTTGGGCGTTCCTACTTACTAGGAGCATCACCAGGATTCCTGTGCTGAATAGCTGGCTTGGCCTTTTTGCTCTATACACCCACCCCCACCCGCCTCAAGCCCATCATGCAATAGTGCTGTGAGAATAGCAGCCTGGAAACATACCAAACCCTTCTCATGGCGCGTCTGACTAGGATCATGTCCACGGAAGACTCTGTAGCTCCGATGCACTAGACTCGACTTGTCGCATCACAAAACATGATGAAGCGCCGGGGATCATGTCCCGATATATAGGTATGGAGGCGGATGAGCCTGAGTATGTGAAGTGGGCTAAAGTGGATGGTCATGATCCATGAGTTATATGCATCCCCACAAGCCCAATCTGTTGCACGGCTTCTACCCTCCTGGTCACTTCTGGAAAAGGCTGGACAATGATGTGTCCGGACCAGGGTCATATTACATAGTTCTGCTCGCAGGTTGCAATCATACATACATACCTTGTACGTACATACACGAGTGCTTTTCCACAGAGCCTCCTGATCAAAGCTCATCGCTCACCCGGTTTGGATTTAAACTTCCAATGCCCCATCTTTCCCACAATTGCAGCTCCATTCTCCACCTTTTCCAACTCTTCTCCGTTGAGGTTGTCCCAACGTAGCTTGTCATATCTACCCTATATACTGATCCACCATCTTGCTACACTGTGTCTTCACTGGCAGCCAGTCGTCATGGGCGTTAAGAAGAATGTTTTGAGGTCAGGCAACGGCCAAATTTATCCCAAGAAGCATGACGAGATTGCAATGGAGTACACAGGCAAGTTACCCAATACTTCATCAGTGGCTCGTCATCTTACAAAGACCCTCAGGATGGCTGTACAACGACAATGCAATCGACAACAAAGGTCACAGGTGAGCGACCCTGTCAATCAGTTACTTGTTGGAGTATCAAATCGACATTGTCCTGACAATGGCCTCTAGATTCGACTCGTCGGTCGGCAGAGGGGATCTCATCACCGAAATTGGCGTTGGCCGTGTCATTAAAGGTAAGTTCGAAGCTGCTCCGTCGGCTCTGGACAAATCGGCTCACGGTTGTAAGGCTGGGACGAAGGCATTCTAGGCTCTACCGAGTCATCGCCCATGTCGCTTGGCGAGAAAGCAACTTTGACCATCTCAGCGTACGTAATTCTGCCTATCTGTTTTCATCAGACAAACATACACTAACATCTTTTGCTGGTCAAAAAGTGACTACGGTTACGGTGCCAAGTGAGTAACCCTACCAATCATCCTGTGCCACAATGGGGACCAAACGTTGGATTGAAGAATACCCGCCCCTACCTGCGAACCGGGCGACCCCGGACTCACACTCCGGACATAAGCCGTTGAACTCAGCGCGCCTCGGTCGACCGCATCCGCAACGTCAACGATTCATCCGTTCACTATTATCCACAGCTTGCACATTGCAGTAGTTCCCAATCTTCGTTCTCCTCACCATTCCACAGTCACGTCCAAGGGCCGACAAGAACTTAACTGACCTGCTTTGTTATCTAGTGGCTTCTTGGGTCACATCCCACCAAACTCCACGTTGGTCTTGTAGGTGTTGCCGTTATTTCTTTGCATTCCATTCTCCCAAGATGCCTATGGTGGTATTCTATGGATTCTCCCGCCCACCCATGTCACCTTGAGATTCTTTTGTTTTCTGGATGGGCCGAGGTATCACCCTATGCACAAGGCCATTTTCGACTGAACCAACCCGCAAAGGCTGACGCTGATCCCAGTGATATCGAGCTTAAGGCAATCAACGGCAGGAGAGCGTGCTGAAGCTCCGACCCGCTCGCGCAGGAAGCGATCGGGGGTCAATGACACGAAACGTCCATGGTCATCTGGACGTTTCTGAACATTTGCCCGACCGCCACTTCACATCCCTCCCTAGACCACCTACCGAGTCGAACGTTGATGCCCGACCCAAATCCTTCATGCTCATCATCTCAAGATTCGTGGGGCTCAATTTTGATTGTTCCAATCAACCTCCCGACTGGAACAATCTTATCATTACAACAAAAACCGCCCCTTCATATACGGCGATTACGTCGCCCAAAAACTTCCGTTCGTTTTAATAATTGTTCGGTATTTTCCTTTGCTATTGGCAGTGTTAGGGGATCCCTGGATTGCCAACGGTTAAAATGACTCGACCTCTCTTGTAGCTCTGTACGATGTGTACTAGAATTAGGTGTTAGGGAGTTCTGTTTTCATGGATGTTCAGCGATCTTCGGGCTTGACGAAGGTCAACATACATTACGATCCGGTCAAACGGAATTATTCCTTCTTTTAACAAAAGCAATGCATTCCGATCAATTAAGCACGTCTTCCGGTACTCTGTGTTGCTTCTCCATAGTATCGTAGCCGTTTTCTCGTTCTACATGTCCGCCTTCTATTGTCTGAGTCTTTGCAAGCTGCAGACGTAGCACTTGACTTGGCTCTGCACACAATACACGTAGGCTGAACCCTTGGACACGTATCATAGATGGTGCAATCTTCCGGCATAGTATACCCAACCAGACAACGCCGGATGACCAGCCTGCCAACAACTACTTCGCTCTCTCCGGCACCCATCCACAACAAGAACCACAAGAAAGAAAAAAGGAATCAGGAAAACCAATTACAAATCTGCTCATATACCGGACCACTAAGAACCAGGCAAGCAACAAAAATGCCTACACCGACATTTCCCGGATCCTGCGTTCGGCTTTCCGGCTTCTTGCCAAACTGCAACAACAAGAACACACCTCACAAAGGCGTGCTGTCTGGCCTCGGCAAGCCGAGAGGAACAACTCACTCGCCCGTGTTCATGCAATAATACCAGCAGAAGAGAAAAGCAAAATCGGGCAAATGGCTAAAAAGAAACAAGATAAGTCTCTACATCCTATTCGTCCACTATTCTTATCCAAGAGACAAGGAAAGCCGCCACCGGGCGTGTCTTCTACGTCTCGGGACAGCATGTATGTATGATGTGTAGTGATGGTGGTGGTGGAAGAAAGGCTGCATACCTGCATACTCCTTGACGCATGCAGCAAAAAGCAAGTATCCATAGCCTCTTCCTTCCGCTTCCGTCGGACCATGCGCATCATATACGCTGGTTACATATATTTGGTTTACTTTGCTCGTTCTAGGTCCCGTTTTCCCACGTGCGTAGCATGGCGTTAGCTTGAAGACGGACACGGCGACGATCCTTCTCCAAAGATACACATGAACCTTCGGGAAGAATCCCGAAGAATCCTCATTGCTTCTATCTAGATACACCGGGGCCGTCCTTCTGATAAGTATCCGTTGATACGAGATTAGTTTCTCTTACCTTTACGTTTTATGTGTGTGTTTGATTTTTTTGGTCCTTGCAGAGGGTGTTGATAAAGCATGATCAGCAGGGTGTTCCATTTTGGCGTATAGTGCCACTAGCAAATCGTAACTCTTTTGACTTCTTCATGTGGTTTTCGGTCCGAATCGCTAGGGGTGGTCACACTTGCGTTCCTTTGTTCCCTCTTCTTGTCCGCCTAAGGATGCGGTCCGATCCTGCCTCTGTTGTGAGGTATGCGCTCGGCGATGGTCCCGCGAGATGATCGCGGCGGATACTCCGAGTTTGGACTAATGATAAGTCGATAGTCCAACTTGTACATTGAATCATTCAAGCCGAGTTGCGACATCTGGTTTATTTATTTTTCGATTCTTCCAAATGAGAAGCAAAAATCTCCATTTAAAGGTGTTTAGACACCCTCATCACAGAAGCACTGACTATTCCCTCCCTTTTGCAAACTTGCAAAGTAACAAGAGGTTTCTGCCCGATACTAAACGACCCTTGCAACAGTGGCGCTCACCCGCAGAATCGCGAAAGCAGCCCGAGCAAGAAAAACAGGCGAGAAAACCAGAATCAAAAAAGCGGGAAGACAAACGAAGGAAGGAGAAAAAAAACCATCACCACCAGAGAAGCAGGTAAGAGCCGGCCCGTCTGTCATCACCAAATCTCTCTTTCACTCGCTCGATAAATGACTGATCGGTGTGAGATATGTGAGCGGGAAACATACATGTTGGGTTTGGACATGGGTAGCCATGTACATATACCTCTTTACCCTTGTCACTACATGTACCCTACCACCGTTAGGGCTCGATTACTGGTAATCCCTGAAGGACGCGAGTGGTGTAGCGTTTGTCCCGATTCCCACCCCACCATCTCAACCACCATCGTTGTGTGGCTTGCTGCTCACCATTTGCTTATTAACGGATTCATGATCTTATTCTTCGGCGCGACTTCGATCCGTTCCGGAAACGCCTTCCATTTCCCCTTCGTCCCGAGCCGTTTCCGCTTTCTTGAACAGGAAAATAGTTACGTCGGTTTCACTTGTGTGGGGAGTTGACTTCGATATGCCTTCACGCAGGTTTCCTTCTCCTGACAAGACACGACCTCAGCTGCCACAATCTCATATCATATGACTACGTGTACACGAATCTCGTGTATCCTACTGCATAGACTATTGTTATTTTCCTAGGCGTTCTAGAAACGAAGGGTACATTGGCGAGAAGTATACATTGCTTGGTAGCGAGCTCCACAACGAGAATACACGGGATCGAGAACGCATGTGTAGGAAGTATGCAAAGCAGGAGCGTTTGTATGCATAATCTTTGCGAAACAGACAAAAGTTCTGCAGATACGAAGTCATCTAGAATCTGCAGGTCTTTGCGCCTCCCTAACTGTGGTGCGGAGGCTCATGTGGTTCGTCTCTACATTTTCTTGGTGTTGTGTGTGAGTGAGTGTCGGTTGATCTTGTCCTTCTTTCTGGTTGTGTCCGTTGTCATGCTTGGGGCTCGGGCTTTTACCCGTTTGGAAAGGACCACCGGTGATGTAAACGTTGGACGTGAGCGTCAGTGGATTGCATTAACATTGAGCACTGTGAAGGAAGAGTAGTAAGGGTCACACATAATTGCGGTTACATGTCAATGATGTAATCTTACCAACCTCATTCCTTCGACATAAGCTCATAAGAGCAGTTCGCAGGGGTAGAGAAGGACGGATTACAATGACAGGTGGGGCATCTGGATCATCTTAGCTGGGGAATAACACAGCAGCAAATCTCGTTCGGAACTCCACAGAACTTTAGCTCATGCGAACACTCGGCGACTCAATTGACCTCCCCTTCTCCAACATGCTGCAGTCAACATACAACGGGTAGCTAACTTCCCCGAAAGGTTCGATAGGCGAGGTATAGGCGATTCTGCACTTGACGCCGAACCGATGAGATCGCAGTATCGTGAAATATACCTGATTCATTATCGTTCGGCGGGAAACCTGAACGCGTATACATGTATGTGTAGGTATGTCAGACGGGGAAGCCGTGGAAAGTGGGTCTGCTTATACGGATTGTACTTACCTAGGTATGTACACGTGTACCTGTATACTTGGCGGTTTGGGGACTCTCTTGGTACGTCTCTTCTTTGAGACATGTGAAGTATACTGCGCAGATTGAGTATGAACTAAGTAGATAAATCTAACCCATTTGGACATGTGGTTGGGAGTCAATATGTCCTCTTGTCACTAGGGAATGGGTCCACATTGGCAGATTTTCACTTTAACTGGATGGTAAAACGGAATGCATGTCGCCCCGCAGAACAGTAGGCGAAAGGCTTGTGTTCGTGAACAGTGCCGCTCATGTGCCTTGATTAGCGTATGCAGAGCCTGAACGACAAGACTGTAGACTGATATCTCACTCACACATTTTCCTATTTGTCGTTGGTTTGCGACCCAGCCGCGATATGCTGTTCTGCGGTAGATGCTGCCCAAGCATCTGATTAGTAGTGGTAGTCGAAAACGGCGGGGTTGGTACTACCGCTCACCGTTTTATGCGCCCAAAAAGAGCGTACGAAGTAGAGCTATCTGGGGGATGTCGACCCGGTAGCTTGGTTCGGGGTACAACGCTCTGTGGCGGATCGATGTGACTGGCGGATATGAAAGAGAAGCTTTTGAGGGTGGGTGAATTACGAAGCTGCTGTGCAGGTAGAGCCATTTCCAACGATTTTCGAGTCAGTTGAATGCACGTCGAGAAACGTTGTTGAGCTGTATAGATCAGATTCGTTACTTGCGACATATCTCTCGAGTCTCGATTCTATTGTTGGATGATGATGTTCATATGTCTACGTTTTATGATTGGGATTCTTGCAGTATGCTTTGATCAAGAGAAAACCCGGGTGATTCGGTATAGCCGGCCAGTGAGCAAGTGCGAATTTCTGCGCACTCTCATAGGGCTTCCCGGCTTTTATCTTAGCCGACAAGCCCGAATGCGGCTCCTGAATGGTCACTTTACTCGGTGTCTTGGTCCCGAGTGTATAATATTAATGCATTTTATACATGTATCACTACCAGTATACTCGTTGTGATCGGTGAAGAAAGCACTTCAACCGTCTCGTCTTCTGCGGACTATTGGTGGTCTGGTAAGACATGTGAACCAAAATGACTGCGAGAAGGTGGCCTGAGAAGTGTTGAGGAGGGGAAATGGAGGAGAGCGCAGTGGAAAAGTGGGTGTAGGTATTTCGAGTTGCAAGCCAGGATTGGTCACGCGAGGCACTATTGGGAGATTTTTGCCCCATATATTCCTCGTACATATGTAGATGTGCACTTACTACTTACAGACTTGTACAGGGGTACCAAATAATTGTGCAAGGTGGAGGACGTTTATGCTCTGCTTGTGCCGTGCTTCCCCACAAACAAGAATATGATTATTGAATTTTACCGCGATAGCCTTTCCGAATCCGATGCCTTGGGCGCCCATAACATATGAGTTCATGTGAGTACAGCATAGCCTCGTCTGCATTGCATTGCAGACTGGTCTTTCCACTATCGCGTTGAGTGTCTATTGATAGACCCAATACCCAGAAGTCACTAGATGTCTTGGGAACTTACTTAAAGGTATACACAGGTTACACCAGCTCGCTTCGACACGAAACCTTTACGTACTTGAGTAAGGGCACTTAGGTGGAATTAAGAGTCACGTGATAAGAGGCACTAGGTATGGAATATGCGCTCAGCACGACTATCGTAACACTCGTCATGATAGTCCGGTCTTAGAATACAAAGACAATCTTCTTTTATGTATACCTAGGTATACGTACCTAGGTACGCACCCGTTGGAAGCGGATGGACACAGTGAAGTTCACCTCGGTAGAGGAAAGGAGCACTTGAGTGCGCTTCTCTGGCCCCACTTTCAACACACTGTCAACAATCCACAGCTGGACTTTTCGCGCACATCGAAATCAACCATGCTTTCAACTTTCTCAACTAATCCTTCTTTCTATTTGTACACCCGTCTGCATGTTCAAAGAGAATTGGGGTCCGATCTTACTCGATTCAGACTGCCTAGAAGTACGCCGCCTCCTCGCACCATCATCACAATAAACCTGCTGTCTTCTTCGCCCCATTCTCAAACGCTACGATATCCGATCGACATCTGAAGAACTATGATTCGCGGCTAGTAACGCACCGCTTCTCTGACCCCAAATTTCCATCATGGCTAGGCGCCGACATGTTTGTACTCCACCTACGCGAAACGCCGCACTGACCGTGACCCGTTCCCGAGCGCTTACACCCGCATGAGGCTCATCTCTGGGCTTCCGCTTTTGTTCAACGCCTAACGATGTTCATCTCATTTAGCTTGTGTAACCGCTCATGGGGCTGCTTTTGTGTGCTGTGCCGCAATCAACGAACTGATCATAGCACGAACTCCGGAAATCTACATTGTGGGGGGTTGAGAGCCTGCGTGTTAAGAATGGGCGCTTTGCATTGTCCTGGACGATGTCGTTCTTGTCACTCATGCTACCATCTCATTGAGATTTGTGATGCGTGCCAATTTCTAATCTCGGTGCTCATTCTGACATGATCTGTTAAAGGATCGGGCTAGCTTCTCTTTTTATCTTTTCTCCCATGGGTGTCTTGGGGTTCAATTTATTGCCGATTTCAGAAGCAGCGTCCCACAGCTGAACAGAATATATCTATGATGAACATAAACGCACATAGAGTCTCTATGAGTCCGGTTTCTCCGGTGGAAGCCTCGCCCCGTACATCGACGACGCAACATAGTAACAGCCGAGCTTCCAGTTCGCATCGAAACTCTTCCCAATCTGCAGCATCAATACAGGTCGTACAGCCTACCGCCCAACCGATCGGTATGCTGTCTTTCTTGTGTCTTCATAACGATTCTAACTCATGATAGTACCGCCTCCAGAAGATTCGAAAACAGACTGGATTCCTTTTACGCTTCGCTGGTACGCTTTGCTGCTACCAATCATCACCAGTCTGAGCCTGAGTATCATACTGGCAAGTCTCACATGGTATTCCAGCACGAACTTTGGTATTGGCAAAGATGATGGGTCCTCTTCTATTTTGTTTGGATGGCGCTTTACTCCAACACTGATTGCCGTATTATACACACAAAGTATAGCAATTCTCTTCGAAGATCTTAAACGGACCGAACCATTCGCACGATTGGCGAAACCTCCACCTGAAGGCGCGAGTGCTTATGGCACAGTACTCCAAACCCCTAAAGCTTGGTGGGCTATCCTCGCCGATTTGACCTTCAGACGCAAGCGCCTCGGAATGTCTAGTTGGGCGTTGGCATGCAGTGCCATCATATACACTATAGCATTGTTAACCATATCCCCATTGTCCTCTGCCCTCTTGACTTCTCAAGAGATTAGAGTTCCTCGAAATATCGAATTCACGGGACTTACACCTGCCTTAGGCAAACAGTTCTCCATGAACGCCACCAGAGATGTCTATTTCCGGACTATTGCGGCATTGACAAGAAATATCTCTACTTCTGCATGGATATCCGATACTTCTCTGACCTTGCCTTTCTGGCCATCTTCGGAACAATTGCAAATGGGGTCGACCTTATCATCCGCTTATGGATCATGGAAAGCCGAAACCACGAATCTTGAGTTCGACTTCTCTTGTCAGGAAATGACTTTGGAAAGGGCGGAGCTTCGAAATCAGTTTTGGGTCGGCTATGAATACAAGACTAAGCTTAACGGAACAACACCAATGGTCTCGTACGTCTTGACTACACCAGACAAATGTAAATACGAGCTTGATGGTAAGGGCGCCAACCTTTCAAAACTTCGCGGGTAGATTCGTAAACACATACTGTTGCGAGCTATTTTTTTTTTTTTGATCTGGTAATTTTCTAATCCTGAGAACAGTACATCCGGCAATTGAAATCGCTTACGATGGCGGTGTCATCTGGGCGAACACTACATCTTATCCCATTGCGGGAGGTTTAATCAATCTCGAGATGGCCATAATCAACGCCAACGTATCGTTCGAAAGTCCCTACGTTCGTCTCAAGTCGTCGAACGAATGTCAAAATCGTGAAATAATTATTGCCAGCACTCCTTGGACATCGCCTGTCAACAGATCGGTTAATGAACCTTTCATGCCAAATGATACTTATGTTCAATCGCCGGATTTTCGCATGAGAGCACTTTTATGCGAGTCCGGTCTTATCAGTACGAACAGAACCACCAATATCGATATGTATCCTGGCTCTTTGAGCAGGGTCTATCGTGACTCGGTCAATGACACGAATGGGGGGCTAACACCTGGATTTGTCGACTACGCAAAGTTTCAAAATCTCAGTCTCATGCATCACGAGTGGGAGCAATATGTGGACAACAGCGTTGTATACAATGCGGCAAAACTCGACGACATGCCTTTCCCTGTGGACGGCGACTTCTCCGAATGGGGAACACAAAAACAGCTGCCACAAAGACCGGCTTTTCTCGGGATGGGGATGCTACTTGGCCCATCTGCGAAGTGGAATCTGAGTACGATTATCGAAGACTCGGAATTGATGCAAAAGGCTACCAAGGTCAAGGGACGATTTCTGATGGAAATCTTACGAAACTCGTTGACTGACTCCCAGCTTATGCAGACTCGGACGACATCAGGAGAAACTGTTGTCGTTGAGACACGAGTGCTTGTACTCAAAGAAATTGGTATCGCACTGAGTGTTTTATTCGCTCTGTCATTCGGCCTTCTGATCGTCGTCTTGTGGTCATCCCGTCTCTGTAGACGCCCACTCAATCTTCCAACTGATCCGGGAAGCACAGTTGGAATGAGCCTTCTGCTCAATCCTCGACTTACATCTATGAGCACTATCAGAAAACTGCATGGCACTCCTAAAGAGGGAATTGTATCCGCTTTGGATAGTCATAAATACATGACTGCTGGATCCACATTGTATGAGAGCAGTAATACAAACGCCTCAAATTCTAGTGAGTTGAGATCCTCGCGGCACAAACATCTCACTAATCGTCAACATAGTTATCGCAACGAAAAAAAGCAAGCAAGTTGACTGGAGACCCCGTGTACTTCATTTGAAGTACCTATTCGCTTTAGGCCTCTTCCTTGCTTTGGTTGTGACTGCTCTCTTGATACTTATTACGTTATCATCTCGATTTCAGCTTTATCAGAAAGCCTTCGTTTATGAAAAGGATCTCTCGGAATACGGACTAAGCATTTCAGCATTTGCTCCTATCTCCATTGCACCTACACTGATTAGTATTCTAATCAGTCTATGGTGGGACCAGGTCGACATGACTTTTCGCCATCTCCAACCATACATTTCCATGTCGCGAGAGTCTGTACCCATCTCTTCTAGTTCTGGTCTCAGTTATCGCTCAAAGACGTGGTTCGGGACTACTATCAAAGCAGTTCGACACCGCCATTGGGCTCTATTGTTTATTTCGATTGGCAGTATACTCAGCCAGGTCTTAACCGTATCCATGTCAGCGATGTTTGAGCGGAGGCCATATAACTCACCTAACAATGTGGTTCTCAACAAAACGCTTGAAACCCGGCAACTGCCCCTCACAACTACAATACGTATCAAGGGCGATAGTGAGTCGCAGTGGAGTTATGAAGGGTACGAGCCAGATAGGTTGAGAGGTATTCTTCACGAGGACGTTCGTAGGGCTACCATGCGACCCCTCTTTGCCGGTGAGTCTTCCCCGTCGTAGACCCGCTTCTCACTTACTGCAATACTAATATACTACTTTGAAGACACGTACAACAATTGGCTCTATGACGCACCAATGAGATTCGCTCTTAATGGATCTCAAATCAGTTGGAGCCGAGATGAATGGAATTTTGTCCCCATCAGTCTTTCAACCATTACCGCTGAAGGTTCAAATATACCGTCCACAGCTCAAATCGCCCAAATTCCTACCACGAACGTTACATTCAGAACTACCGCGCTTCGAGCTCGGCTTGAATGCTCGCCAGTCCACGAGATCGCAAACCAATCGTCCTGGCTCCAGCACTTGTCGGCACAGGCTATAAATGACACAATAATGGAATCACAGTACGGCGTTGTGCCCGATGAGCTTTCTGCAGGGTACCGAGTGCCCGAGACCATATTTGCTAATACGACATCCGCCACGACCCTTCTAAGCCACCAGAGATGGAATGTATCATGCTGCATGAATGGCACATTCGCCGACCCCCAAAACGCTGTTCTAGCTTATTGGTCACCCATGGAGACCAACAACCAAACAGGGACCGATCCATACCGTTTGAAAGGGACCAATCAAGACGTTCCTGCTTTCATGACCAAGTGGATAGTAGGTAAACCACGGTCCTTCCGTGATATCCGCGGCTATGCAGCAGGGCCTGTGATCTTCGAGCAGCCGCCCAAGTTACAGGCTGCGCGCTGCAAGCCTGTAATTGAATCGGCCGAGGCAGAAATCTCGACGGATGCAGCAAACGAAATGGTTCACTCGTACGAGCTATTGGGGCCCACGACAGTGGTGGACTCTGCCTGGCACGAGAACTATGTACGGCACGACCTAAATGACCCTGGAAAGCATTTCGATCGAAACTACACCGGGGAACTCAATATCACGACATCGATGGGGGTTCTGTTTATGGACGCATTGTTGACAGCTTCGAGTCTTGGTGACGGCCAAACCGATTACGAGTCGATGCGCAATCAGTACTTCGTATATCGTGAAGAGCAGAAAGGTATCAACATGGATTTGATGTCGTACGCAATGTACACGCTAGCGAACAACGACCCGGAAGCTTTGCTGGACTATACAACTTTGACCGCCAATGCCAACCGTACATTCCAGACCTTCTTCCAGCAGTTTATACACAACAGACTATCCATTGATGAAGGTGGAGCCGGATACCAGAAAATAGCAGCCAACATGAATGATATTGGGCAAGCCGTGGACTATGATGGCACCGCGCTACCCAATACACTGTACCAAGGTCTCAACACCAATCGCACCGCCGAGGCAGTGGTATACCATCGGATCCAAGTGCTTCACTTGAGCGAGTTAGCTACATACCTTGCCGTGTCAATCATCATATGGCTCATGGCTACAACGGCGACGGTTGCGCTGTTGCAGCGCAGATATATGAGCACTCTGCTGCGCAACGTGGAATTGATAGCTGACGTGCTGGTGCTCGTGGCGGGCAGTGACAACTTTCTGGAACTGGTGCAGGAGAAGGGAGTGTCTCTGAAGAAAAACAAGAAGATAATGACGAGGCTGGGATGGTTCAAAGGAAGAGACGGAGAAGTCAGATGGGGCGTGGAGGTTGTTGGAGGAAGAAACGCAGTGGAATGGGTAGATGCGCCCATGAAGAGATTTTCGTAAAGTTTCGCCGTACAAAGAGAAGGGACGAAAACCATGTAACCGCATAAGGGAAGACATGTACGATAGGTAATGGAGTAGAGTAATGATAATACGACTTGTTCTCTGTAGCCGTGGGGCGAGTAGCACGTGACATGGCAGAGGCGCACTTGCTTGGCTTGGCGTCAAGTGGTTGAGGCAAGTGGGGAGACAGGCACCACACCCGACCAATCCACACACGATGCTACCAGCACAGGACCGACAATTGTATGCATGCTTCACAAGGCGCGCACAATACCGTTGGATGAGGAAGAGGCTGGGAAAATGCTCCGAACCGAAAGGATCTTTGATGGTCAGCCCGGCCAATGTGGCCAAGCACTCACCGCTCGGGAGGCCACGACGGCGAAAAAAATCAGCGTTTGCTTGTGCCATGTCGACGAGCGACCAATCCCACTTCCCAAGAAGACCAAGTCGTTAGGGAGAAAATACGAAGGAGACGACGAAGAGGAACGGACGCCGATCATTCGCAGCTTTATTGACCTCATTTTGTTTTCATCTCGAGAGCACGCGGTTGGTCGGGTGTTGGGAAATTGAAATTGCATACGAATGGGCCGTCACCCCAGCAGCCATGACTCGCAGCGTCTAGGCGACGACTGTGTGGGCATTGCGCTCGGGTCCATGGCGAGGGACCCTGACCGAGATGATTGTGAATGGGGAGCACGACTGCATCTTATCGATATGTGTGAGGGCAGCGCTCACAATCGGTCACGTCTGTTTGTCTGCGGCCAGCCGTCTCACTCGCCTAGGGGGTTTCTTCGTCACCGTCACCGGCTGCTGTGATGACTGCGCAGCAAGACAGCAAGCCGAAGAAGGACAAGACAGCACACAGCACTCGGCCAAGTGGCGGTCTGGAATCAGCAACAACAAGAGTTTTGGCCATGGCATGCCACGACTGCTGCCAAAATGCAGAGATGATTCAATTGTGGAGTAGGTGCTGGCAGAGGGACTCCTTTTCTTTTGCTCCTGCCCCGGATCGTCTCTGCCTAGGTCCTAAGCCAATCTCGCCAAGGGTATTGTTCATTTCGGCATTCCTGCTCACACCATGGACGATTGCCCACCATGAAGAGCCAGAGACGTCGTGGCTGGACTCTCTCTCCGTTGTTGTCGGGCGATGGATGATGATTGTGCTCACGCACCCCCGCAGCAGCCCGGTGGGAGTGGGCCGTGATGTGAAACAGCGTTGCTGGTGAAGGCTCTGAGGAAGGTTCAAGACAACGATGGGGGGATGCAGGCGGGTGAACAGCATGGCAACCCCCTTATCGTGTCATCGCAGGCGTAATTTGCTCCCAATCAGGGGCTAGCCGGGGTCGTGGGCCAGTCGAAGCAGGTCCTCCCTGCCGATCAGGCACCACGCTTGCCCGATTGGACGGCAGCTCGCTAGCGGGCTCGGCGCCATCCCAAGTCGGGACGGGCGACATGGCTGCATCTGCTCCGGACCGCCACAACGCTTGACAAGGTGCCAAACAAACCAGCGCCCTGAGCGTCGATTCGTTCCATGGCAGCCCGCCTCTGACCAGGGCAGGCCTTGCCGCTAGCATGCAGCCCTCCCTTATTAAGGACCGAAGCCCCATCGCCCCCGTTTGCTCCTGCACCGCTCAAGCAGGACTTTGCAAACCTTTGTTATCGTTGAATAGCTTCACTCTTTCAGCTATCAGCACATACGCTCATTCACAATCGTTCCTACGCCTCCTCATCGCTCTTCTTGCTTGCTATCCAACCAAGGTCTAATACAACCCCGTAATCCATCAAAATGCACTACGCTTTTGCTCTCGCCGCTCTTGCGGCCACTGCCTACGCTACCGACTCCCCCAGCGAGAAGGAGATGGCCACTTGGGGTCACGCCAAGGTCGTCAACCGATGCCCTTACGATGTCTACCTTTGGTCCATCGACAAGGAGTTGGGCTGCAACCCCGAGGATGGCAAGAAGCTGTCCAAAGGCCAATCCTACAGCGAGAGGTTCAGGCCTGGAAAGAATGCAGGTGGAATTTCCATCAAAATCTCAAAGTTCAACCAGTGTGGAGGAAAAGATCAGACCCAGCTCGAGTACAGGATTGATCCTTCCGAGGAGTATGGAGGCAACTACCTCGACATGTCTTTCGTCGACTGCCTGGGTGGTAACTGCCCTGGCTGGAAGGACGGTTTCTACATGGCTTCTGGCAAGACGGGTGCCCCAAACACCATCAAGGCCGCCACTGTGAACAACGAGCACTGCCCCGAGTTCATGGTTAACAACCCGATCGAGGCTGCAAAGGTATCATACGTCTTGCCCGACGACCGCCAGACCAAATTCTGCCCCAAGGAGTCCAACCTGGATCTCTACCTCTGTGGCAGCGAGAAGCCTGGCGCCAGCGACGACAGCGCTCCTTCCGCCGTTCCTTCCTCCTCCACCAAGGCGCCCGCTCCCAGCCAGGCCAAGCCCAGCACTTTCTCCATTCTTCCCTCGAAGCCCGTTTCCTCTTCGCAAGTTGCTGTTCCCTCGCTGCCTGCCAACGACGACTTCAAGGTCAATGCTGCCGCTGTTACCGATGCTCCCAAGGCTCCCGCCCCCGGAGCTCCCGTTGCTGTTACTACTGTCATCACCTATGTTACTGTCGATGCCCCCGCACGCAAGAGGCACGCTCACGGCCGCCGCCACAACCGCGCATAGACCATCATAGCTCCTTCATGACTCCAACACCGGATCAATCTTCGGCCTACTTTTTTCGGCCTACATATCGCGCAAAGCCGACAGCAATTCGAGAGATACCTCAGTCGTCAAGTTCATATTTTCAATGGGGAGGAGGGAAGAGATTTGGATCATACCTTATCGTGTAATGGCGGGATAGTCAGCGTCGCAAGCAATGCAGTTGTATACCACTCCACATCCACTATCCCGCGACCTCCGTCTCATCGCTCTGTGTTTTGTCGCGTCTCCCACCAGATCCTCACCATGGCGCACAGGCGCCAGCCTCGATTGTATTCTTGCGGACCTGGACGTCCTTTCGCCCTACGATGTCATGTCACGATATCCCCAATCTGCGGTTTTTGAGCAACTTGTATTATTTCTTACTTGTTTATCCTTTATCCTAGTGTTTATTCGTTTAGCTATTAGTTTACTACGTTAGTTATCCAGTGATTTCCTATGTCTACGGAAAATAGACTCTGTTTTTAAAAAAACCAATATCTGCTCGCGCTTGTATTGCCTTGTGTGGTGGGATCAAAGTTCCCGCTACTCAGGGCCCTAACCATCGTCTCGCGTGCTGAGTTACCCCATCCCGCGTGTCTCTTGTGCGCTGAAGGCAACGTGTGCCGGTAGCGTTTGTCCCACGCGCGGCGCCATGCGATACCACTAAGAAGAATAGATAGAAGTCACCACGACCACTCCCATCTCTTGTGTGACCTACCCAGCGCACTCAAAAAACTATTATTAACCACGGTGGCAGCGTCCCCGCTAAGCACTTCACCGAGGACGCATACTGCAGTCAAGGCATCCTCTCAACACACCCCCGAAATAACCATTCTCCGCAACAACGACAACGACTCGACGTTGAATCAAGCCCTCCAACATACCCAACACCGACAGTAACAGCGCCGCATCGTATCGCATCGCCCGGGGTCCGCCTACGCCGTCCCGTCGCCTCGCCTGTTTGCTTGTTGATTTTGCTTGTCTCTCGACTTCCCACGTGTGTTGCGGCGTCTCCCAAGAGGAGCTGCGCCGCAACATTGGCCAAGGTGGTGATTTAAAACGGCGGTATATTCTTGTGCGAAAGGCTTGGTATTATTGATATTTTTTCTTCGCGTTATTGTCACTCTAGCTCCTCCCTCCTCGCTCGCAGTCTGTAGTTATCAGAGTAGTACTACTACTTCGCTTTTTCGCCCATCTCGCATGTCTGTAGGTCGGGATAAGATGGAATAAGGAAATCTGACGATGTGATGATGGATGCTGATTCTCACACTTACACTTACGTTTACACTTACTCACGTACTTGCGCGCGTACGCGTCGGAGTGGTTTTGCCAGCGTCTATCGTCGTCGGTCTTGCTAACTAACTACTTTTCACCACCCTGCCAACCTAACACTACACACCACTACACACCACACCATCGGACATCCCTTCCCCCCTTCCCTCCTCTCTCTCGGGCTCGCTGTTTGAGGTACAGTACACCAACGTCAGATATTGATCGATCATCCATCGGACAGCCATTACTTTATTCTCCGAGTCTTAATTTTGGGGAGGGGGGCCTGCGAATCGTTTGTTTGTATGTGTATGTGTGTTTGCGTTGCGCTGGGGTTCGGAGTGTGGAGTGCTGTCAGCTTATGTGTGCTTACTGTGTCTGTCTCTGCTGTGTTGTCTACGTTTACCCCCGAGTTTTGCTTGGACGTCTGTTTCTTTTATTTTATCTTTCTCTCGTACATGCCTACATGCGTATGTGTACGTACGTATGCAGTCCAGGTCTTACATCATTTGACTCTTTCTCAAATGGGTGGGTATGTTATGTTAGGTGATCAACGACTTATCGTGTCGTATAGCCGGATGGGCAAGGGAAAATGCAGGGCTGTGGTTTTTCTCTTTCAAATCTCATAGGATGTTATTATTGTTTGATTCACTATTGCCTGGGTTTGATCTTGAAATTGAGATAGCGAAGGGAGAGGACTGGATGTGATGTATGATTACTAATGGTTAGAAGGAGGGATGTGGGACTATGGAAGGATTACGAAATCCACGCACGGTAATATTAGGAACGTCGAATGGAATCAAAGGCCAGAGCCCATGATGACGACAGTGATGATGTTGATGCTGGTGAGAGGTTTTGCGGCGTAGCGAGCGCATTGTCGTTCCAGCCTCAGGTCCTTGATTTTTATTATCAGGTTTTGCCAGGGCCGGCATCGTATGTTCGTATGATCATCTTCTTAAACGGCCTTTAATATTTTTTTTTTTGCTAGGACTTGGAATAATTGCGCAGAATCATCGTGGAGCAAAATCTAAAAAAGAACAAATCAGTAAAAATTCTCACAAGGCTGTTGTGGATCACTGCGCATGTCATCTATGTCATCTATGTGGGCGTGCCTTGACTAAATCCATGGGACATGCTTGCTGTGCTGGCGTCAAAGATGAGACGGATTGTGCACCACATTGAATCTTCCCACTTCCTGCGCTTTTGCGGGAATTTTCTACGAGCCCCACGGGGTCACCGACGGTGCTGGCGAGAATGTGATAAAGCGACGAGAACAATCATCACAACAAAAACAAACAGGGAAGACGGTGATGGCTGTTGGTGAAACTTGGTTAGTTAGCGGGTGCCTAGATCGGGTCGTGGTGTGATGTGACGCGTGTGTGAACCATGCGCAATAATAACGGCTGCGTTGTATAGGGCAACGTGGACTTTTTTTCTGACGTGGATTCGCAGCTAGGACGAATGGTTATGAACAAGCATTGGCATTGATGGTTGTATCGCGAGATTCTTCGATCTGGATCGAGATTGTGTTTGGGCTTGCCTAGACTCGATGAGTTGTTATTCTTGTTTTTGTTGTTGGTGGCCTGAAGGATTGTTTGCTTCGTTGAGAATTTGTTTAGTGGAATAAGGTTATTGAATACGATATCGATCACGGACATGATGACTAGCTCTAGATTCGATAGTGTAGCGCCGGTTACGCTATGATTGCAATATGTAGTAGATCTGCATTCTCAATATCTGCAACCCAAGGAAAAGCCGTCCTACCGCAATACTGTAGTGTATTGCGTGAATGGCGTTACATGAACGCGAATATGTCTATAGAGAAACTAAAATAACCCGGTCGTTCCATCCACCTGATCCCTCCCGCTCAGTAGTATCGTCTTCCCAGATCTGAATGTCTTTCCAAGACTATCTGACGCACGCGTCATCGGTGTCGTGCTAGGTGACCGGAGTGAATGGCTTCGGTGGGAAATTCTCGTCAACCTTCTCAGCAGGCACAAGCAACCCTTCCTTCACCCACTCTTGCTCAAGAGTGTACAGGGTAGTCGATCTCGCACGCGACGAAATATCCTGAAGCTTCGGCCGGATATGTGCCAGTGAGACGCCCCTGAACCCCAGTTCCTCTTCTTCGGGGTCGTGCAGGATAAAGTCGCTCGTGTCCAGGCTTATTTCATCGCTATCGATGGGGACCAAAAGTTCGATAGTTCGAGTAAAATTGTCGCGAGCTTGTCGAAAGCGAGCTTTGGTAGCGCGACTGGAGTGATATAAGCATCTAACAAGTGCCTTTCTTGGACTAGGCGTTGAACGTGGGGTGAATGCGACAACTTTCATGAATGGCTTCGTGAACATCCTCGCCTTCTCAAGAGCAGCTCGTAGTGAGCTGTGCACTTCTGGATTCGGAGAGCCGGTCGCGACCACTATCTCAAAGAATATCTCAAGGATAGCTGATGTATTCGCCTTGATGAATAAAGTTCCTTCTTCAAGGTCTTCATTTGACTTGCTTGAACAATAATAGTATGTTTGTTTCAAAGGGTCACAGGAACCCTTAACTCCAGAGGTCCGCAGTACTAGCAAGGTGGTATCGGCGCCCGTGTATCCTGCATTCAAGATGGAATTCAACATGGTAAATCCGGGACGGGCCATCCGGCTTGCTGTCGGATGAAGGCTCGGGTTGTCACTGTAATCATACCTATCTTGCTCGGTGATATAGATGATTCGGCTGAGTACGAGCACGATAGGACTACTAGCGAGGAAAAAACGTTGATATGGATCGTTAGTGCGCCTGCCCAGCTGTTGCGAGAATGTGACATAGGAATGTTCAGCCGGACGAAAAGAGAGATGGCCTATCAAGGATTCGAAATCAAGAACACATTGCTTTGATTTGTAACTCTCCATCATTTCCCCACAAATATGGTTCGCGGCGAGGTCCAGAATATAAAACTTGTATGTCTCTGACACCATCATACCGTGGGGAGCCTCTGACAAGAGTTTATCGAATTTAGCCCTAGCCCATTGGAAGAACCCCGACCAAAGAGCGGCCCCGAGAAAATCCGGTTTGCGACACCTTATTATCTCGAAAGGCCAGTGGTGGATTTCATAAAGTTGCTGTGAGAAACTAAGGAATGTGTCTGCATCTTGGGAAGAGAGCGGTTTTCCCCTCAGCATGATAGTGTGAGCCCGATCCAACACAGATGTAGATCCGCTTATAAGTGTATCGGGAGAATCGGGAAACTTGTAAGTACTAGAATCGCGCTGGCCTAGAAGTTTAGGTGCGACCATATCGATTTTTGCGCATGCCAAGCAAGCAAGCATGGCATTGATGGTGAAATCTTCGGTATGGACGTCGGAAAAGTTTTCTTCCAGTCGTGTTCGGTCCTGGTCATCGATATTTTGATATGTCGCATTGACTACGGTCGAGTTTTTCACGAAGCCATTTTGGGAAATCCCAACTAGGCCTGCACATTGTACGAGCAGAAGCTCCGTCATTTGCTGCTCTTTGATTCTCATGGTGTCAGCCCACGAAGAAGTATCCTGGGTCAAGACCCGTAATGTCAGTTCTGAGTCAAGAACCAGTACGAAATTGGCGATGTGACCCTGCCAGTACCCTAAATTGATGCCGAGAATGGCCATTATGAGGGGTATAAAGAAGCTCAGGTAGTTTGCGTCAGTTGAGGCCGACCTCCTGTCCTCCATTGAGCAATGCAACATCTGTGAGAAAAGTGCTTTGCGGAAATTTGGTCGCAATAATCTGCACATGTTTACCTCTGCGGGCTCATCACTATCCGTGGTCGTATTTTCTGTGCTGAGGGTAGTCTTGTTGACTTGTGCAACAATCTCATCCAAGTCCGTGTTGGTTGTTTGGTAACCCTCGGAATCATGGTCACCAGAAATGCTCCTCATATATTGATCGATGTCGTATCGCAGCATACATTGCATCTCGAGGTGGGGCGCTTGAGGGAAATGCCCCAAAAATACCGAGTGCGATCGGAACGTTATACAGAGATGAACTTCTGGCAGCGAGCTGATTTCGTCCCAAAGGTGCAAGATTCCTTCCTGGTCTGATTCGCTGGCCCGTTCATCCATTCCATCTATGAACACGCATATATGCTCTTTCCTTGTGGACAAAACATATCTGACTATGTCGCAGAGCTCATTGAACGACCAGTCTTCAAACCCAGTTTTTTCTTGGGTAGCAGGAAAAGTTTCTAGAATCTGTGCAGATATTCCAGGGACTTTCTGTACTAGCTCATGCACCAATGAGAGCAGTATCTGCTCCGGTAATCTCTTAGTTACGACTTTCCGAGCTGCGTATGCTGTTATGATGAGTGTTGTCCCATGGAATTCTTCGAGGAAACATTGAGTCAACGGGTGATTTGCTAGAAACTTGATCATTACACTCTTTCCGGACTGAGCGCCTCCGCTGATCAAATATGGTTGCTGCTTCGAATCACGCAACCACGCGGTGAAGTCATCCCAGCTCATTTTCACGTTTGATGCACCCTGTCGCATCCAAGCAACCTAGTCATGCGTCAGAAACAATATAGTTCTAGGATATGTTATTGGTAAATACCTGATCCGGGGATGTTCTCTTCGTTGTAACGGGGTCATTTTCCAGACCACTGGTGTCGAAAACGCTCGAAAAGGTCTTTCTGTGAGGTTCACCAACATTAAGCCACCCATACAATCCTGAATATTCTAAGCTACGTGATAGATTTACTCGGTCATCCGTGTTTTCCGGATTGCTTGGAGGAGCTGGTTGCGGTTCGTCAGGAGGGCAGGTTTCACAACTCCATGAGCGTTCCAACAATCGGTAGCGGAAATCTTCCTGGAGTCCATGAATCTTCTCCGCCATTCCCTCGGCCCTAGAGTTGGTCAATATCTCATATCTATGAGGGGAACCTGGGAGGCACACGTCTTTCGAGATATGGGGTTCGAATTGTCCAGTAGTAGAGCCCTCAACTCATGTGTTGTAGCATAGCTTTGTTTTGCAATGCCCATTAGCTCCGGCTCAGTTCGTTCCAGCGGTTTCACGCTTTTCAACGACTTTTCCAAACGATTCAAGCCCCCATTCATATAATGGAGGCATATCTGGAGATTGCGTTCGACCGACTTTGTATCATTGATTCGCTTTGCGATCGCAACGCCGGCTTGTGCGAAGCTCAGAAGCTGAATGACATCGCAAGCAACACCATACGCAACCAATACTTCTAAGCCAGACATTTTCCTTGGAAGTATATCGTGGTTGTGTATAGGTACTCAGGAAGCTGTCAGCGCTTCTAGGCAACGAGATCAGCTACGCCCCGATTTTAGGTAATCGCTACTCAGCCAATCATTTGACAGAATTCCCGTTGCTCTTACACTAACAGATCAAGGCTATCAATTTAGGCATTGATCCACGTATATCTTCGTGAAGGAAGCTGACCGTGTTTCGAAGGTAAGAGAGACATGACGGAGTACTGATCTTCGATATAGCTCTTCAGCCAACATTGATATATTTGCGTACCCCAGATCATCATTCTTGACGTAGTAAGATAACATCCCTGAGTCCTGCGAATTCTTTTCTCTTTTCGAACCAGTTCCAAACATTCCAAACAGCAACAACTAGCAGTGTGAAGGGTATAGTGATTGCCCAGTACTTCCAGAATGAGCTCGCAACTACCACCGTGTTTGAGGCAGAATCGAACTCGAAGAAATTCATGCCGAAGATGGAAGCAATGAGTGCTCCTGGAAGGAATACCAAAGTGACGTAGGCAATGGTACGCATAGGAATACTATCACTGCGCACTGCTTGCGCAATCTGCAGGTTGATCTTCGCCAATTCTCCTTGGTTTTTACTGTTGATTTGGGACAAAACCGTGTACAACTAGTCGACTGATCAGCATGGCATATTGGATATAGTGATTTCACACGTACGACTGTGTTGAGATTCTCGATTCGCTTCTGCACGCACTCGGTCTGATGCTCATATATTTTTGATTGCAGAATTCGGTCCGACAGCCTCTGTCTGCAGTCATCTTCCTTCTTGATGAGTATTGCGATTTCATTGTTCATGAATTCCGATTTCTTGATCTCGGTTAACATGGAAAAGAGCTTCTCCGCATATTGCGTAGTGAATTGAAAGCGACGTCGAAGAAAAACCATGTTTGTAAGTGATCTGTTGGCGACTGTGGTCGCGCGCTGAAAATCTTGTAGAGTCCATTCATACACTGCAGCGTGGCTGATCTTGGAAAAGTACGGAAGATTTGACAGGCCCGTCTGTTGTTCATACCGATAGAACTCTTCTTCGCAAGGAATGCGCAGAAGCTCGTTCAGCCGAAAGGTTACCATGTGCAACAGAATCTCAGGCAACATCAAAGGATGTCCAAGAAACTTCGAACACGTATTAATGTAAAGTTCTAGATCGTTCCGATCCTCATCGAACAATCCTTCAATGAATGCAATCGTACGGCCGGTGGATGCGTCCCACCTCATAGCCGCCGACCATACTGAACTAGCTGTCGTGATTGACCCGTGACCACTGCGAAACACACTAGCTGTATTTTTCGTCAGTTCAAACAACCCGCATGGGTCACTGAAAGGTCATACTAGTCTGTGAGATGTTTCCAGCTTCATCTTTGTGCGTTCTGCACATGCTGCCATTGCAATGAATGCCGGAAGTGGTACGAATGTGGAAGTACTGTGCAGGCAAGGATAATTGTTTAAAAATAGACTTTAGGTGATCGACCTCAAATGGTATACATTCGTGTGGTCTGTGACGAACACCATCGATTGTGTGTCGTGCCAAACTGTTGAGCAAGCACCTAAGTGAGCAAGACCCTGTGCGCCTCGTTGGATCGACTTACAGGATATCGACCCCAGAAGATTTGGAGAGCGACTGCAAGTTCTCTTAGACAAGGGTTTTGTTACACTGTCAGAGGCTCAGAGCTTACCCTTCGAAGTACCCAGTCATCAATCTCGGCTGGCTTCAGCTGGTCCGCCTTGACTTCTTCTTGCTGGCCTGCGTCGGATTCGATTGTGTAATAGGTCCATTTGTCTGGCATAAAACTTTTGATTTCTTTGGTCTCCAGCCGGCTTTCATACCAGGGATCAAAAGGATTTGCATTCATGATAAATTCCCGCGAAGAAGTGTAGCTGGCTGCCCCTACTCAATAATTAGGTCGCGCAGGTGGATAACACAGTGTGGTTCAAGAAAGACGCAGAAAGAGGGGTTAGAGAATGATGATATGCCGGATTTTCGATGACCAGGCTGTTGCAAGTGGCTTCGCTGCGCGTACTGCATGATTCGTATATGCAAGCCATGTGGGATTGAGTAATTTTTACCGCTGCCTAAATCGCCCTCACGCCGCGACCGAGAGATCCTCAGATATGTGGGAGTTTTGGCCTGGCAGCCTCGGTTGAAATTGAGAGAACACCGGTAGCGGTAAAGTGGGGGCGCACGGCTCCCACTCTTTTATTCAAGTAAACTAATTATAGTTTTTCATTGTGTCACTTGTAGATCTGATTCGTTGTTGTACCAACTACGCCGCTTTTACCATGGGATTTCCTGCAACAAGTCATCAACTTCTGGTTACCTAGAAGCCATAAGCTATCATCATCCGCACCAACAACCTTCGAGGACAGGTCTCTCACTCGAATCACAATTCCTACACCAGAGAACGGTTTGCTACTGAAAGATCGACCATGGACAGCTTACCCCAAGAGATGATTGATCGGATTAGCGGCTACTTACCGTATAATGATCTGAAGAACACGCTTTTGGTGTCCAGAAGGTTTTCTCATGCTGCAGAAAGAGAGTCCGGCGCTTTTTCCAGATTCGATTTGAATGGCGCCAATGCCGACAACTTCTTGACAGTCTACAGTACTCGCCGCTGGAGGTACCTACGACATGTTGAATTTCGCACCCACTTACACCCCTTGCCAGCCATCGTTAACGATCCGGATATCTGCTACGAGAGACCAGAAGAATTGCGGGAATGGGATATAAGATTCACTCGGCAGATCAAGTTCCTTTTCGACACGATAGCACGTGTCGAAGACAAAGCAAAGGAGTATGGCCCAGGAAGATTGCAACTCACCATCAATACCCCCTCTAGACTTCCACTCTGGGATTGGTGTATGCGCAGAGAATACATTGGCTGGCGCGTCCATCTTCTTTCGGCGGAAAAACTCCCACAGCTTTACTGCGTGCGGTCGCTTTTCGTGAGAAATCCAACGTCAGAACATCTTTATGAAGAGGGGGACGCCACGATCGTGAAGTTGGATCTTCGCGTCTTGATCGACCTTTCGGGAAAACTGCCCAATCTCGAGTCTCTTAAGTGTAAGCTGGGAATGTGTGAATGGACCCGAGCTAGTTGGGATGATAGGGTTAGCGATGAAAATCTGGGGCAGTACACCCGCGATTGGGACGGACCACGTCGAGATTCCCGCAACGGCTTTGCAAGCGCTTTACAGGAAAAATACGACTTGGGATTGCTGCCACCATCACTACGGAGTGTGGATTTGGATTTCTTGTATCCATGGATGGAGGTCTATTATGCAGACCGACGAGATCCTCTTGCCAATATGGTAGAACCATTGCTCCACGATCACTTCAGTTCCAGCTTGCGTCTACTATCACAACAACTACGGCGAATGTATGTGCGTCTCGTTGCGGACGCAACTCTCTTCTGGCCCAACGAGAAAAACTCTAGTACCCCTTCCTGGCCGAATTTAGAGAGTCTAGAGGTTGTCTTCTGCCCAGCTAGCCCGTCTGGGCTATGGTATTTTCACGGCCCAGAAGGCGAAGGACACTTGAAGCCCCTGCCCACCACCATATCACCTACGACCTCCTACCCCCCGCTTTCCCAATCAAGTGGTGACTGTCAATGCGGGAGGATTGTCATGCGTTCCAGTATAGACAATTACGTCATTTTAGATTCCCAATTTCATGTCATTCCTACCGACGAGATGATGATCCCATTTCTGACCGGTTTCGCAAAAGCCGCAGCGACCATGCGCAATCTCAGAGAAGTGGCGCTCTGGGGAATACTCTTAAACGCCGCTAAAGATACCATTAGTGAATATAGAGATAGGTATGGGCAAGCGTCTGTAGATTGTGTACAGCAGACCGAAGAGTGGCTGGCCTGGGGTTTAGCGTACGCGGCGCCTGGAGGGCGTGTGTTGCATGCTTCACCTGGCACTCAGAACGCCGCTTTCAGGCAACTTTGGTGGCATGTTGGCAACTGGAGGCCTAGTGAGGAGTTGTACGCGCTCATGAGACGCGTCGGTGGTGGCGGGGACGAAGAAGAGCTGGTGGAGTATTGGCACCATGATCGTTATCGTGGCGGCCTGGTTTCTCTGGATGTGTTTAAGACGTCGGAAATGTTTGGCGATTCGGATGAGGACTATCCAAAATGGTCTTTTTAAGATTGGCTACTTAATGCTCTGGCTTGATGCTTTGGACAATGTACGATTAATTTCGATAGCTTATAGCGTACGACTGGGAATAGTAGGTAGCAATTAAATTCTGAAGCGCTAATTATATTCTCCGTTGTGTCTATGTCATCATCATTCCAAGACGTTCGACATAAGATCTAAATGACTTTTTGGAAAAACACACTCGCCAAAGTCCCTCAATCCATATTACCCTTTGCGTGTGACAGACAGTTGCTTTCCAACGACATTATAAACAGCAAAGAATTCAAACGACCAAAAGCATATAGACAGTGTAGCCTAAGAAGCCGCGCAACATAGGGAAGTCGCCTATTCGGCAGAAAGTAAACAATATGTACGTAGGTAATGAAGACGTCGGGCGTATGAGCATGAAAATATCAATCAATGAACGTCAGTCCAGGACGATAAGGAAGGAAAAGGGTATTTATGTGTGGACAAAAGGAGAAAGTTGACATAAGAAAAAGGAAATGTGAAGGAGAATGACAATATAAGCAGAGAACGCCGTCGCTTGCTGATGTGCCGGGGTAGGTGGGGGTATAAATCGGAGGGAAGGAAAGAAGGTATGTCTGTGCCGAGCCAAGTTGATCGACCAAGGCAACATGTGCGGAAAATGGCAAGACGCAAAGAAAATGCCGTGGCGTTGTGCATAGTGCAAAAGCCTCGAAGCTGGTTTAGATGATCTCCTTGATTCCGTGACGAGCGCTCAATTTCGCCTTGATGTTCCAGCTCCTCTTGCGACTCTTTTTTTCTTCTTCGCTAAGGTAACTGAGCGAAGGACTCATTAGCGCGCGTGGTGGTGAGCCCGAGGTTCTACGGGTACCGATCCCACCCTCGAACCTCATGCGAGCTTGTTCGATCTTGGAAACAGGCTTGTTCGCAGGAGTAGGTGATGGCGGCGTAGCTTCGGCGGTAGAGCTACGGTGCTCCGTGATGAGCGAATCCTTGTACTCTGGTCCATCCATATGATCAGGTAGTGAGATGCCTTGGAGGGGAAGAGACCAGGTGGAACTGCTGGAAGAGTTCAGATTGAACGGTGGAGAGTTGAGAGTTGAGTCTTCAGAGGAGTTGGCTAGAGGAGACGTAGTCCGCAGTGGGGGAGGTTGAACTGCAGAACGCGATGATGAAGGGCGCTGATAAGCTGCGGAACTCAATGGTGCGGGGAATAGGCTCATGACTGTGCTAAATCGAGGCGAAGCAATAGTGGGTGACATGGCGGGTGGGGGTGACTGTGCGTTTGAGGCGTCTTCATTCGACGGCGTGGGAACTGTAACAACGGTCTCAACAATTTGTGGAGGTGTGTTGATTGACGATTGAACCGGAGATGTGTTCCGAAGAGCTGGGTGGATGTCTGCTTGACCCTGGTCATCTTCAGGCACAGACCTGGGGGTTGAGGAGCGAAGAGCTGGGTGAATGTTCTCCGTGCTACCAGTGAAGCTCTTTGGTGGCAACAACACTGGTAGTTGGACCTTCTTTACGCTTTTTCCTGATTCAACGGAGTGTGTGATGGAGGGTTGGGGTGAGACAGCGCGCTCAGAAGGAGTAGGCGAGGCATTAGGGGGAAGAGGTGGAAGTGGACGATTGATGGGCGGAGGACGGGCGGCCATGTTGCTGATATTTGCCATGCTAGATCCGCGTTTGGGGATGTTTGTTGAAGGAAGCGGGGGAGCTGGTACGGTAGGAAATGCGTGGATATCTGACAGGTCGTCATAAGAGGCGTGGATGGTGATTTCCTGTGACCGTGTCGTTGCGACTGAGATGTCGCGAGTGTGCTGGTATGTCCTCTGCGAGTATTTAGAAGACCTCGATGAAGTGCTCGAAGCAACGGATCGTTCGGAGGGAGCGTATTCCCCATCGGAGTGGTGTGGAGTGTCTTCAAGGTGCTCCTCTGGGATAGAATCAGGCAGCGAATGGCTTGATTGCGAGGGTTTGTTTGGCGCAGAGTTCAATGGCTTGATGATTGACCAAGGTGGAGATTGCTGCATTAGATGTTCTAGTTGTGGCTCCAATTCCAGTCCGTCCCACTCTTTGAGCTTCTTCATTACCCAGGGATTTTGAGTGCAGCGGAGTTTGGAGAAATAGGCGCTGCATGCTTGAACGTTGCTCATGGGGTGCCCGTGGTCCAGGAGATCGTTCAAGGTTGCCTGGTACTCAGCATTGAAATCCTCGATGGTGCTATATTGGTCGATGTGGAGGTTGAGAAAATGGCAGAATACATGGTGGTAGTCCTCGAATTTGAACTCTGCGAAGCGCTCATCCATAGCTTCCATCATCTCTTTGGCGGTCAGGGATACCGGTGGCAGTGGTGGACCGACATCGAAGACTTCGAGTTTGATGTCATCTGAAACGGAGAGAAAGATGTCGAGCTTCACGTCGCGGTCCCTTTTGACCCAGGCCTTTCTTTGCTCCAGTAGCTGCGGTTGAGGGTTGGAGGGCGACGCTGGTGAGAAGAAGTTGGGACCCGCCTCTGGCATGGGCATGGGGCTGCTGCCATCGCAGTGACCCCAGATTCCTTTTGCGGTGAAGACGGCTTTGACTTCACGCCTCCATCGAGAGTACTCAGGCCCAGAGGCCTCGGCCCGTAGGATTGTGACGCCTGGCAGGCGTGGTGAAGGTAGTGGTTGCATTGCGGCGAAGAGTTTGTCAGTCGTGTCTGGCGGCCGCGATGCAGAAGATATCTGAGAAAAGGACTTGTAGTGGGGAGCCAGGACTTGATAAAAGTCCGTGGTGCTACTGTACTATAGACAGTAGTATAATCCGGAGTAGGCTACAGACCGGACATTTGTTACATGTAAGCTGCGCGCCGCACTGGCACCTTGTCGGGTTTAAGTGTAAATGGCCAAGGTCACCAACGACATTCAACGGACAAGCCTAGCTCGCTATATACTCTGCGAGGCCGGGTTCTTGGTTGCTGCTGGAGTGGCATGGCCAGAGGTGCAGCAGTGGCTGCTTTGCATACTCGAGATAGCGGCCACGGTGAAGCATGCCGGCGCAGAATAGCGACGATCGTGGGACATTTGCCTCTCAGTGCTTTTGCCAGACAAAGCAAAACGACTGTGGTCAGCAAACTACATGGGATACCCGAGCATGGGTGTTTCTGACGAACGCCTCGGCGCAGGCCAATAGGGGACTAAGGAGGGGACCGGGGTTGGAGGATTGGCCGTGCTCGCCATCGGGATACGGCCATGGTTGTTCAGCTCGAAGTCCGAAAGTTGATTGTGTGCATAGCGTCGTGTTGGACGCAGCTCACTTAGGCAGGCCCGCTGTTTGACCTGGCTCGCGATTGACATCATGTGCTGAGGTGTGAGTACAGTAAGGTTAGGGCTGAAGAGAGGGTGAGAGGCCAACCTCGAGGTGGGGCGACGGAGTCTTGTTCTCCGGGCTGCATCCAAAACACATGACATTCGTATGGCTCAACACGAACGCGCAATCCACGCCACGGTCGTATTAGAGATGCCGATACTACTCGGCCCTTGCCCAAAATAATGATGTCAATCGGCATGGAGACGATAATGCTACTGCAAGCAATGCGTGCTCGTGTGCTGTAGTGGCAGGATAGTTATGTCTCCCCGTTGGCAGGCGAGGAAGCACTTGAGGAGAAGAGGAAATGGATGCGAGCAGCGTTTCAGACTCAGTCAATTCAGAGCTAGGAGGACGAACATGACCGGTGATGTAGATAGGTAGACATCCCACGTGTCTTCTACCTGGAGAGCGTGCACCCATGCGCTTCGTTTCCGGTGATACTGATCGTCGTCGACCTCCCCCGGGGGCGTATCAGGACTCTACGCCAAAGGGAAAAAGCAAACGAAACGAAAAACGCAATGACTGCGATGGAGATGCTGGACAGGGGGTAATGTGGCGATGGTCCGCTACCGTTTGCTAGTTTGTCCTTCGTTGTATTTTTGGATCAGCACTGTTTAGCGTGGATGATCAGATGTTCTACGCATCGTCTAGAAGCCCGAGACATGAGAAGATCTGCGTCAAATCGCGAGGAAAGTTGATGCTTCAGTATAGAATAGATACAGCCAGACATTTCTTCCATCTGAGCTCAATCGAGTTACGGCGCTCTGGCAGAGTGGTTATTGCGTAAGACTAGAAATCTTATTCCTTCGGGAGCACAGGTTCGAATCCTGTGGGCGTCGATTTCTTTTTGCGCTTGGGATGCCATCTCTGTGTATCTTCACCCGAGTTTTTTTTCTTTTTTTTCTTTCTTTTTTTTTTGGGACGACGGGTGAGGGGTGATATGCACGTGATCCGATGTCGGCCTGCGGCTGAACTACAGCCCGGGCCACGCTCGCTTACCTCATCGGCGATTCATCACCAGTCGATTGATCTCAACACGCAACTGCTACACCACTATGAGCTTCTCATCTCATGCCTCCTCGGCCATTTCCTTTTCCCTTCCGAGTGGGCACCGATATTTGCAACATCTCCCGCATTCGTAAAATCATCGCGCCCACTGACCTGCGAACAACCACCCGTTTGGAGCGCTTCCTTCCCAAGCTATTGACATGGCCTGAACGACAATACTTTTGGAATCGCTTCGGGACTGAGCCCTCACCTAAACATGCTGACGCCATAGCACAATTTCTCGCTGGCAGGTAACAGTCTCTACACACCTTTTGCTTGTTTTTGCCTCTCACAGCATCGCAGATGGGCCGCGAAAGAAGCTTGTCGTAAGGCCTGCGAGCACCTAGGGACCTCGAATGGTTTCCATTCAATTATGATTCTCCCAGTCTCGACGGAAACCGGTCTGCACAGTGGAGCTACGTCGCGTCCTCAAGGCTTGATACTACGCGACCGGTTAGCCGACCCACCCGTCTTTAGCTCCAAAGCCTCCCATCCTCGAGAAGCGTTGCGCCGTGCAGAATTTATTCTTGAATCGATAGACGGACAATTCTGCGAAATAAGCATCAGCCATGATACCGATTGGGCCGTTGCTTCGGCCATTGCTCCGACGTTGGACACCTAAGGTGGAATGTCACATGCATGACAAGGAACTAGACCAATAATTCATACATATTTGCCATTTGACTGCAATAGAACAGTGCATCCTCTATCTGTAGCGGCATATGTATCATCCATTCCTGTTCCGATACTTGAGGTATTCGCTTTCTTGGAAGACGCTGTCCTTTATCAGGATGCTTTAATAGTCTTTCGTTGGTCGCAGAAGCACAACCATGGTGAAAATGTACGCAGGCATACATGCATATACGAAAGTTGGTCTTCTTCACAGGATAAGCCGACTGGACATCGGCAAATGTGATCAGTTAGTCAGTGCTAATATTTCGAGCACGTGGCTACATATCATATGGCGTTGCCACATGAAGCACATATAGCTATGGCATGGGCATTCCAATATTATCTGATTTTCAGTCTCGTTGTCCTGTCATGTTCTTGACTACCAACACCAAATACGAGATGGCTTAGCACATTCCGCACTTTCACGGCAGATCTCGCCAAATGCCACGACACCTCGTATTCGTTGTCATTCATAGGTCAAAAAACAGTGACTACTGACCGATCCCAGCAGTTTTTGGTTCCGCCCAGTCTCTGTGTGCTGTGATTCGTGCATGGCATTCTCGTGAAGTTGACTCGCCAATGAGATTTTGTTTTTGAGGCTTGGGTGGCTGTACTCTCGTGTCGCCTGGATACGGATACGGTACCAACTGCTGTTAATAATGGTAGCAAGTCGTATCTTCCTGGCTCGACTTCAGCTCGTTCTTTATTTCCTGCAAATCACTTGCAAGAACAGAGTAGAAGTGAGCTGTTTCCAGGGTTGACGTTGGCTTCTTATCAACCACGAAAATACATTCACCATGCGTGTCGGCATATACTTGACTTACGCGTTCTATACGAGCTTTAGCCTCGCAGAATTGCTCACAACCACCTCTGGACCCTCAGATCCTACGATAACACCTGCACCTGATGTTTCACTGCAGTTATTCAGAAAACAGAATGACAATCGCTTCATGGGATGGGTATCATTCGGTGGAACTTGGGTAAGCCGAACTTGTAACCCCGGGTACACGTACTTCCAAGCCGGCAGCCAATGGAGATGTTGCCATACTTCGCTAGCTGGCTGTAATGTTCCTGTTGGATGTGTTGGCGGCAGTCTGATATTCCGCGTGTCAACATCTGGGACACAAACCTCAACTCTAAGTACCGTACCGTGGTAAGATAGGTTCCCAGCCTGAGAGTCCGTTGCACGAAGACAACACATCAACTGACCATTGTTTGATATCAGCACTTCGGGTGCCACTGATGCAGCTGATCAGTCACTGTCAGTATGCAACACTGGGTTGCTATACGAGAGCACTGAAGCAGCAGGCACAGATGCTAGAACCAACATTTTCTGTGGACCCAGTTCCCTGATCTTCAGCTACTATCGGATCCGACCCGCCGATTCAACATCAAGTAAGCAGTCATCTATACCCAATCAACGCTTGAACACTCACTTACAACCATACAGCTAGCTCATCCTCAACTCCTCAAAGCACCCCAGCGAGCACAACAGACCAAGAATCCCAGAATCCCAGTACCACCACCATCACCGGCTCTCCCCCACCACCAAACCAGCCTGTGAATGGAAACGCCAGTCAGGCATGGATCGCAGGTGCAGTCGTCGGGCCCATCGTCGGCCTCGCTCTTATAGGCGCAATTCTATTCTTTTTCCTCCGCCGCAACCAAAACAAAAATCAGCTTGAAAATCCCCCCTCTGCCCGTCACTCCCAGATGCAGCAGCCCTCCCAAGCAAGTTATTCAGGCAGTCCGCACGCCACGGCAAACAACCCTTCCATATATTACGAGAATCAACAGAAACCGGATGCTCTCCCTGAGCTGCAGGCGCCATATACAGTGGTACCCTTCCAACAGCAACAGCTGTGGCAGCAGTACCCGCAACAGAGCCAGCAGATGTACGCGCCGCAGCCTGGTCCTGGGAGTCCGGGACCGCTGCCGCAGCAGCAACAGCAACATGGTTTATTTGGTGATCAGGCGTATGGGGGGCCGAATGGGACTGTGGAGAGGCCATTTTCCGCGGAGCTTGATGCTGGCGGGTATCAAGGAGGAGGGAGGACTGCTACGCCCCGCGAGGCAGGGCAGAATCGGTCATGACTCCGGGATGCCGAAATGATGGAAGGACGACGGCTTGAAATATATCACAACACCCATGTGTCTGCACTCGATTCTGAGACTTGATTGCATCATGACGGACCTAGACGTGCACTCGGTGTTTGGTAGGAATGAAAACTGTCTCACTTGGCACTCGTAGTCAAGAGAAGGATGACTACTTGGTCGATTGCTTATGCTTCCAGAATCTTGTTTGATAATCGAAATTTGCATTCCCCCCAAATGGGAGTGATAGACTAACTTTTTGTCATACACCGTCTCGCTGCAGCCTTCGCCGCGTTTGCTTTTTGATCATATGAAATAGGTTGAACAAGATGAAGACAGCAAGAACTAATAATATACCCACAATCGCAGCCAACGGTGCGAATATCGAGAATAGCGTGAACACAGACGATGCGGTGTCAAAGACCTCGCTATCGGCAAGGTACGATGTTCCAAGCCCGACTTGCATCGCAGAAAGAACTATCGTAGCGTAGGCAAAAAGGGCGATTAATGAGTTGACGTTCTCTTGAACAAAAGCTGGAGCTCCACGTTAGCTTTTGAGGGTGCAGATTGTCGAAGCAGCTCTGCATTCCACTTACATGCATACGTGGTACAGCTGGACAAATAGCCTCTGAGCTGTCCAAGTCCAAATCGATAGATCCAGTTCAGCCGCCCTACTCGTAGTTCCCCGTATAAGAACCGATTGTTCACAATCTCTTTGTTGTCAATAATCACCCCAATGGTACGATGCTCAGATAATCGAGTCCTGAAAGGAGTAGGCTTTAGCATGACTTCTCCGGCCACGACCAGCCATCCAGACCAAGTCATATCATCCGGTAGAAACCCGTTCAACATAGCGAGCTTGAAATCACTCTCTTTCTCTATCAAAGCTACCCAACTTAACAAAAACCCCAGCGCGATCCGATAAAGCGAGGGATGCGGACACAAATTGGTCTGCCAAAACTGCGGCGACAAGAGGTATCTGGGCAAAGGTTTGATGAGAATCCGCGACGGAGACCACACGAGATGAAGATCCATCTGCTCAGTGAGGACAATGGCTCTCTTTTTCAGGATCTGATAATGGAGCGGGCGGGGAGAGCCTGGGAGCCCGACCAGCCAGAGCCACTTGTGTATGCGATTTAATCGCGCTACATCTAGATCGTTCTCTAGGAAGTGGTACGGATCACTTCCTACTATATGGACTTCGTGCTCTTTGTTTCGGTATGTAGCTGGTAAGAGTGGGACTGGGATCCGGCCATCTTCTTTGGGACTCAGGGTGTCGGTCCAGAATGGGGTTTCCAGAACAGGCTCATTCTTCTAGATTAGTTAGGATTGACGAAGTAATTAGTTGAAGATCAGTGCTTACGGAAGTGACGAGGGTCATTGTCATTTGTAGAGCACGCGCATCGCACTGAAAAGGAGCGTGTGAGGAATCGGCTCATGAGGGCGATGCGCCCAGACGGCACCAAAAGTGGGGGGCGGGAGGCTGAGACTACGCCCGGCGCATGGGGCACGAAGGGATCGAAAGGAGTTGGCGCTCGCGAGAATCTATATACCTGCGCAGAGAAACGTGGTCATACCCGCCACCGATAGTTCCAAAGTAGTTGTTAGGAGTTTAAATTAGATATTACAACTTTTCGCATGCAGATGGTAATAGGGATGAGCTTAGGCGCAGGTTGTTGCCTTCGCTACGCTAATCTCACGTCAGGCACTGGGTACGCCCGATCCAATCACCGTTTTTGGCCCCCAAAATTCTTTTGCCGCTGCTTGCAGGCTTCACGAAATGGGGTTCCAAGAAAGGATAATCAATGCCGGTGGACATAGGGGGTATTGTGTTACAACCTCATTGTGTGCCTAAACATCAACTTCCCCAATTCGCACACTCGTTTCATTCCCTACATTATACAGCGCGCAAAACTTCATACGTTATTCTAGCGAAGTGCGAACAGGAGCTTGCGAATAACGAAGGACTCACATGTCCGAAGCAACGAATTCCTTCACAGCCTTGTGTCAAAAAGTCGCGGACGCGCCATCATGGCAGCAGCAGTAACGGAGAAGCCAACAGTGGCGAAGAAGCCCGGTATCTTTGAGAAAAGAGTGAGTAACTTCTGAAAAATCACTCTCTGGACCATGATTCTGATCCACTGCCATCAAGGATGTCCGCCCAGGCCTCCATCAACTCTACCCAGACCCCAGCAAGTCGGGAAACAACAAATTCAGTGTAGAGTAAGTTGGGTACCCTGGAAGCAAATTTACGTATCCCAATACTGAGTTGATAGGATTATCGCGATACCCGGACTGGGTGCTGATGCTAACTATACATGGATTCGAGAGAAAGTTCATTGGCTACGAGATGAAAATATGTTGGCAAACAAAGTATCCAACGCCCGCATCAGCGTCATGGAATACGCGTCGCAGTGGTTTGGTAAAGGTGCGGTTGATCACAGAGTCGACGAGGTAGCTATGAAGTTACTGCACTATGTCAGAGAGAGGCGAGGCGACAACAACAAGACCCCCATCATCTTCCTGGCTCACTGTCTCGGTGGCATCATACTTGAAGAGGCTCTTCGACTTTCGCAAAAGTTACAGAGTGATTTTCCGAGTATATTTCCGTATATTGTTGGTTGCGTATTTCTCGGGACGCCTTTCCGCGGGACCAAAGTCCAAAGCAAAGCATTGGCGGTCGCTAAAATGACTGAAGTCTTCGGCTTGGGCGTAGCATCTGAGCTGCTCAAGGTATTGGAAGAGGACTCGGACCTTTTGATGAGGATGCTCAATGACTTTGTGCGTTTGACCAATGAAGCCGACATCCGGGTATTCTGCTTCTACGAGAAGATCAAAAGCAACATTGTCTCGCCTTTCACAAAGAATGCTTTGGTCAAGCGACAAGAAATGATCGTCGATGAAGCACACGCGACATTTCCAGGTGTGAGAAGGCTCGACTTGGATTCAGATCATTTCAGTCTGAACAAATACAACGGGCCTAAAGATGCGAATTTCGACTTGGTCGCAGCACAGATCAGAGATATTGCCAGTCGGGCGACCCGTATCATCAAATCGCGCGAGAATGCCGCTTCAAAGAAGCTCGTGAACGAGTCTCAATACCGCCAATTGCTGGATTTTCTTCGCGACAATATGTCTAACATGGACGCTGCAATCAAAGGTCTCGACCGGCCTAAGACCCTGGAAGATGTGGAGGCTACAGCCAAAGCAACGCAATTGGACATCAAAGATACAGCCAACGCTGCGCAGGCGAGCATCAAAACTAGCAACCTTTCATGGATTGCAGAGGATGAATCCTTCGGAAAATGGAGAAAATCGCAGATCTCACAATTGCTCTGGATTCACGGTGCCACTGTTCAGAAAAGTATCGCAGCCTCGGTCATTGACGATCTTGCAAAAATGGAAGGTGGAAAGACAGGCGAACAGGACTCTATCGTGCTTTCGTTTTTCTGCGATGAATCGGATGAGTCCAGAAGGAGTCTACCAAGTATGCTGAAGCTGCTGATCCGTCAGATCATCGCCATGGATCCCGATTCGGCTGTGCATTTACTCTCAGACGCCAAAAATTCGAAGAAATCTGGGAATCAAGATTTTGACAAGGACGCGTTGAGCAAAACATCAAAATTATGGGAAACTCTGCAGATCATGATCCAACAACATCCAGGCCGTTTCTATATTGTGATCTATGGTGTGGATGAGCTTTCGGAGGAATCACTCCAGCAATTTCTTGGATATATGGATGATGTACCAGGCAAAACCCAGCAATCGGATGATGACGATAGTAGTGCGCCTAAGATCAAGTGGACTCTACTCACTCGACTAAAACGGCCGAACGTAATCACAACCCTCGCAGGCAAGGCGCATGATATCGATTTTGCCGACGAGAAGAACGCCGAAAAGGTCAGCGATGGGCTCTGGTCTCACATATCGTCGCAGGTCGATAAACTCGAAATTGCGGCTCCTCTAAAGTACTTCTTAAAACGCCACATCCACTCGCGAGCCGAAGGAAACGGAACTTATGTGAGTCTGGTCATTCAAGAAGTGAAGAACAAGCTTGCAATGGGCCAAGTGCAACATGCTGAAATTCGCGCACTTCTTGAATCATTCCCATATGGTCTGACAAACATATACGAGCACATCCATAAACGAGTTTTGGCACCGAAATCAGATGGTCTTGAGTACACGAAGGAGATTCTCCGTTGTCTGGCTCTTGCACAGCGAGCACCTACTCTGCGCGAACTGGCTGTGATGGCAGATTTACCCCGCGACGACCATGACGACCTGGAGGCCTTAAAAAGATATGTCATTCAATGTGGATCTTTCATTATGCTGCGTGGAGACGACTACGACGAGGATTCGATGACTGTTGAATGGATTGACAGCACTGCGCGAGAACATTTAGAAAAGTATGCCAAGGATGCATTGGCGATGGACTTAAAGAAGATGCAGCATGGGATTATCGCTTTGCGATGCCTACAGTATGTTTATACAAATTACGATAAAGCCAACCAAACAGACGACAATCACAGTGTTGCAGACGATGACGAAGAGGATGATCTTGTGGAGAATGGTGGCAATGCCACAGACGACGAGCAAGAAGGAGGTCCCGAGGGCGAGAACGAAAATCATGAAGAAGGATCGGCGAACAACCAAGAAGATAATGAAGAAGAAGATAATTGGAATACTGCTTTGAGATACCCCGTCGAAAACTGGCTTCACCACGCGAAACTCGCCGACACGGATGTTATTGTGGAATTCGAAACCTCTCTTCCCTTCTGGGAAAACCACTCCTCGATCCGTCAATCTTGGTGGGATGACAACTCGTCATTACATATGTTTAGCGATCAAACGAATGTGACAGCTTTACAAGTTGCCACTATCGCGAATTACCCGGCCTTGGTAGAGTACCGTAAGCTGTCTCATTCATGGCTGTATAAAAGAACCTGCTGACATGACTCAAGTAATCAAAAATGGGTGGAAGGACGAGATACACCAGGAAGATTCGCTAGGCTTCCAACCACTATACGCAGCATGCCACGTTGGTAGTGACGAGATCGTGCAGCAACTTTTAGATGCAGGTGCTGATATTCACTACATTGGCGCCACTGCAGAGTACCCAGTCACCGCGCTGACTGGTGCCGCTGAGAATGGCCATGCGAAAATTGCGCAGACTTTGCTTGACAGAGGCGCAGACATTAACACAACTTCTGACGATTGGGGGACTCCTCTGTATGTTGCATCTGTGTCAGGCGAGCTCAAGCTAATATGTGCTACAGTTATACTGCTTGCGATTATGACTTTATTGAAGTCATCCGACTTCTGCTCAAGAACAAGGCTGACCCTAATCTGAGGGGAGGAGACGAGAAGAGACCTATCAATGTTGCCGCATTGAACGGTAATGTAGAAGCTGTTCAACTTCTTCTCGATAATGGCGCAGACGGAGAGTCAGATGAAGATTACTGGTATGGGTCGGCTATGGGTGCAGCATCAAGGTCCGTCTTTTTCCCAGAATCCATTGATATGGTACTTATTAATGATTCGCAGACGGGGTCATGCAGAGGTTGTCAAGCTTCTCCTGTCCAAAGGGTACAATCCAACCAAACCTATGGAGAACTACGGATCATTCTTGACCTGTGCTGCGTAAGTTGAGATTATTGTTCTTGTGCTGGAATAAGTCTAATTCGAATAGGACATACGGGCACACCAAGGTGGTTGAGCTACTGATCACCGATGAAACCCGGATACAAGTACTAGAGCAAGCATTAGTTGGTATGTATCGGGATCACCCAGAATAGTTACATGATGCGTGGATGCTGACGACATAATAGCCGCCTCGCAAAATGGTAAAGCAGAAGTGGTTAAGTTAATACTCGAGAACAAGCCCAACATCCGACATGAAAGAGCATTTGTACTTGCTGCTACTTATGGCAGGGACACGGTTCTCGAACTTCTCATTGAGAAGGATCTAAGCCAAGACAAATTGAATGAGGCACTCTATGTTGCCGCTGATCATGAGCGAGAATCGACCGTGAAGTTACTTTTACGTTTCGGAGCAAGTCCTGATGCGGAAGGACCAACGTAAGTCGCCTTTTTGTCTTCCGACTCAAGCCGCATGTCTCTTGCTACATTTTGCTGACAGCTTTAGATATGGTTGCACCTTAACTGCGAGTGCCTACGATGGAACGACGAGGATTATGGAAGCGCTGATTGCTGCCGGTGCCAATGTGAACAAAGAAGGGGGCGACTATGGATCACCTTTACAGGCTGCTGCGTACGTACACTACCTCGGTAACTTTATTATGTTACTGACAAACTCAGGCTGTTCGGTAACTCTGAAAACGTCAAGCTTTTGCTTGACCATGGTGCTGTGCTAAACACACATCCTCTTGGAATTTACGGATACCCATTGCAAGCTGCCGCCGAAACACAGAACATCGAGACGGTTGAACTACTATTGGCAAACCATGCCGATGTGAACGCTTTCGGTGGAAAGTACGGGTATGCGCTATGCGCTGCGGCGACACATAGCGAGACAATGACGGTCCTTCTGGAGCATGGGGCTGATCCCAATGTCAGAGGCGGCGAAGACAATAAGCCAGTCATTGTCATAGCGGCAGAGAATCTTGGAACTGAAGATTTGGAGTTGCTTCTGTCGAAGGGCGCAGACATCGATGCGACTTGCGATAAGGGCTCCACTGCTTTGATGCAATGTGCTTTGATGTGGGATGATGTTGGTCTCCAACTCTTGATCTCCCGGGGCGCTAACATTCACCTGTCAAGTGAAAGATGGGGGACTGCACTTCATGCTTCAGCTGAAGAGGGTTACGATGAGGGCTGCAAGATACTGTTAGACGCTGGGGCAGATGCTACCGCTGTAGGCGGTCAGTTTGGCACACCGCTCGCGGCCGCAGCGAAAGCGGGAGACGACGATTCATTGAAAATGCTACTAGAGGCAGATCACGAGGATATCTGTATCAACATGATTATTGGGGAATACGGCACGGCCCTACAAACAGCTTGCGCTTTTGATCATGAAGACATTGTCCAAATGCTTATAGATCATGGCGCCATCGTCGATCCGCAACCCGCAAACGGCAAATATGGGTACCCACTGCATGCAGCTGCACAGTCTGGAGAGACTAGCATCGTCAACATACTCCTCGAACAAGGCGCAGATGTTAACCTGGAGGGTGGTATGCACGGTTACGCTATCATTGCTGCCGCTTCTGGGAACTGGTCTAATAACGCCTCAGAGATAGTGGAAACCCTTCTGGATCATGGAGCCGAGATATCTGCGATTCCTCAGCAAGGCATTTTCTGCTCGGCTGTATCTGCCGCTGCTTTCTCGTACCACAACGATGTCCTGGAGCTACTCATCTCGCGGGGAGCTAACGTTCATCAAACAGGTGGAAAGTACGGTAGCCCGCTGATTTGCGCTATGATCAAGGCCAGTGATTCATCCGATGAAACAGAGACTGAAGAAACCAAGACCAAGACATGCGTTGATACACTTTTGCACCATGGGGTCGATGTGAACTATCGATCGGATGGCAAGTATCACACCGCGATGATAGCTGCCTGTTACTTTGATCGTTACGACCACGTCATGAAACTGCTCAGCCATGGCGCAGACTTCCGGATACGTTGTCAAGGTGGTCGTTACACGAGCGCAGTCGCCGTAGCCGCCATCAAAAACCACTCGAAGATCCTCAAAGCTTTGCTTGAGATGAATCCACCAGAGCAACTACTCGACGAAGCCTTGGTTGAGTCTGTAGCGCATCGACAATTTGCAAGTGTCAAGTCACTGCTACAGAACAAAGCAAATGTCCACGCTCGCCATCCTATGTTTGGTACAGCTATGGATGCACTCAACAATCCTCAAGCGGATGGATACAATTCTGATGATGAACTGGGCTCAGATGATGCCAATGGTAAAGACGAAGAGGAAGATGATGACGGAGAAACCGAATGGGAAGGTGACGGAGCATCAATCCAGGATGACAGTGACAATGAGAGTGTAGCAGATGTCCCAGAAGAAGAGGGTGATTCGGAAGAAAACAAGATAAGAAAGCTCCTCGAGGACATGATGCAACGAGTCAAACGGAATCCAACGGTGAAACGATTCAATACCACGAAACGACGTGGTCCTCCAGGCAGGCCTAACCCATATCAGCAACCGTCGTATGGTGCACCTGGTCAGCAATATCACGCTTCGGAACCTACAAGCAACGGGCATCAGTATGGACAACCACCCCCTGGCCCACCACCACCACACTTGATGCAATCATACCCCCCAGTCCCTCCGCTACCAAGCGGGGTTGTGCAGACCAGCAGCGTTCCCACTTCCACTTCACCATACAACGCCTACCCTCCTTCGCAAAACACGCCTCCTAAAACATACTCACCCTCGAACCGCGTCGGATCCGGCTCATTGCAAAGAAAACCAGTGCCTTCTGCATATCCACCACCACCCACTCCTCCCTCTCAACAGCAACTGCAGTCTTCTACTGCTCAAACAGAAAGCCCACCTCCGCTTCCCCAACGTCCTACTTCCCAATCTCCATCCCTCATGAACCCCGGGGCAAGTGGACGATACCAGCAACGTCAGTCAAGCTACGGTCCTCCACGACCATCTGAGCATGTGCAACAATCATACAATCGCTACAGTACTCCACCAGGTCAACAATCGTACACACCCCCTAGTTCCCAACCAGCGTATAATACACCATCTCAGCAGTACAACGCCGCTACCGCCGCCCCTCCACAACAGCAACAATACCATAACAACGGATCACCAACCCCTCAGTCAAATGCGTACCCACCATCCCAGAATCCTTACCAACAATACCCGCCGTCCTCAGCTCATGCACCACAGCAGAACACCTACCCACCCCCAACTCAACCACACTATCAACCCTTCGCTCCCCAGCATCAGCCCTCCCAACCACCACCACAGCAACAACACTACGCCCCTTACACTCAACAGGACCCGAACAACCCTGCGCGAACTTCAATCTCCTCGCAGGCTTCGGCACAGACGTATCAGTCTAGCAGCGGGAGTACCTTGTATGGCTCTGGAAGTGTAGGAGCAGGTGCCGGAGGGATGTATAGTTCGCCGAATTCGAGCCAGGCGAGCAGCTTCCAGTCGCCAGCGCAGAGACCAGGAGTAGCGGGGAGGAAGTGGACGAACGGAGGGTATGATGGGGCGGGCTACGGATGATATGTTCCGAGGGGAAGAGTGAGGTAGATGGGGAGTGTGAGGGGAAGTGAAGCCAATGGAGTAGGGGCAGTGTAGAGGAGGGGAGAGAGATTAAGAAGTAGTTTTTTGCTTTTGCGAATGAAGAAAAAAATGGGGTTAGGTTGCGATTTTACATTTTGATATATATACGGTTTGAGTGAGGCTTATTTCCACAATCAAAGACTCGTAGTCAAAAGGTTTTCCTGGTTGTTACAAAGTTACACGACTGGCCTGTTCATTGGAAAAATGCCCATTGTGATGTGATTAGGAGATTCGCCTGGTGGACATGTCGCGATACTGCCTCAATTCTGCATCCGGCTGGATGAAGACTGTGTGATTCTACTTTTTGCGAGGTTTCTTTCCTCTACGCGTAGAACGGTAATTTCTGAACAAAGAGTGATGATAGATGCAAATTGATAATGAGGTCTGGTGGGATGCAGATGGTAGAGACCGCAATAGCGCTAAGCCGAAAAGGAACCGATGCCAAGAGTTCCCTCGAATTTCGCACACATTGTGAGATGCCCCACGACCGCCACCTTCACGGCCCTACACCAACTGTACCCCCTTCGGACACGCCTCGAACCCGCTTGATCCGACACGATCTTCGTTGGCCTATAATATACACATACCCTCGATACCGCCATCATGTCACGACCAGCGGGGTAAGCTCTGCTGCTTTTTCCCTGCCCCTCACACGCTGATTGATTGTTACAGACGCACCGACTGGGCCGCCGACGATGAGGAGGATGAGCTGCCCCAAAACCAAATCATCAAGAACAAGGACGGAACCGAGACCATAATCACATACGCCGTTCGCGAGGATGGCAAGAAGATCAAGACCACTCGCCGCATCAAAAAGTCCGTCGTCAAGCAGATTGTGAACCCCCGCGTGGCCGAGCGCAAGCACTGGGAAAAGTTTGGACAAGAAAAGGGCAAGCCTGCAGGCCCTCAGACCGATACCGTCAGTGTTGCCGAAAACATTGTCTTCCGACCGACCGCCAACTGGAAAGCGAGCTCCGACGACAAGAGCGAGGCCGACAAGAAGAAGACCGATCTTAAGCAGGCCAAGATCAAGTGCAGAATCTGTAGCGGCGACCATTTCACCACAAAATGTCCTTTCAAGGACACCATGGGCGTGGCCGACGATGCGACCCCCGCCGAGATGCCCGACGACGCACCACAGGCTGGCGGAGCCGGCGCCGGTTCTGGAAGCTACGTGCCCCCACATCTGCGAGGACGTGGCGCTGGCGGTGGTGAGAAGATGGGCGGTAAATACGAGCGCGACGACTTGGCCACTCTGCGTGTCACCAACGTGTCAGAGATTGCTGAGGAGCAGGACTTGCGCGACATGTTCTCCAGGTACGGCCACGTCACCCGTGTCTTCCTGGCAAAGGACAGAGAGACGGGCCGGGCCAAGGGCTTCGCTTTTGTCAGCTATGCGGACCGATCCGACGCGGCCAAGGCGTGCGAGAAGATGGATGGCTACGGATTCGGGCATCTCATTCTCCGCGTCGAGTTCGCGAAGAAGCCGGATGGGAAATAAGAAAAGTCGGTCGCATTTGGTTGGTCGGTCGGTCTTTCGGGTTGCATTGGCGTTTATCTCGGATCGGTCATGAAGTAACTCACTCAGGGTACGATAGTATGCATTGTAGAGCATTCTGAAATGATACTTCTTTGAATTCTTACAACCAATCTCGTGCACTCAGGATGAGGAATGTCTGTTGAACTATGCATTTTTTCTGCTCTAAGAGAATACCTATTCACTAGAATGCTGGAGGCATCCGGATATACTCACCCCTCGTCGCAGAACGACCGTTCAATCCGCGGTGCGCCAATTGTGAAGACAGATACGCCAGATACCCAACAGCATCAACGATACCACGTAGACAATGATATAAAGCAATACGAACAAAAAACTATCAGTTGTTCACGGGAAAAGTAGGGTCCATATACTCGATCACATCGCTTACATTCTCTATCTCCATCAAGTCCCACTGAACCCTCACGCCCTCGTCTCAATCCCACCGGAAGTAAACGCTATTCGAGAACTAACAAGTGGGCCCCGCACAAACCCTCCTCACATTCTGCGGCGCAATATCCACAGGAGCGTCCGTCATACATTGTACCCCTTCATCATCCCCACTTTCGCAGTGTAGTTCGGGGATGGTGACGGGTGTTGTAGACATCCACGTTTGTCTGTTTATTTCACAATCAATGTCAGCTCAGCTCACTAACCCATTCCCACAAATTCCCCTTCCTCTACTGCAAGGAAAACAAGGTCCCGGAGTGAAGAAAGAAGAAAGAAAGAAAGAAAGAAAGACGGATGAGGGGAGGAGAAACTTACCCATCACACCCCCAGGAATGAATCATGACAAACCCCTTGATCCCTGTTCCAACTTCATCGATCGCTCCTTGGAGTCCGATGAATAGATTTTCTCGACCGGTGCTGCACTCAATCTCGTTCGGGAAAGTATCTCTATCCACGGCGCTGGCGATGCAATCTGCTCCTGCGGTCGCGGAGTCCGCGATACTTGAGGAGTCCGGGAAAGACGAGATGAACGTTAGGTTCAGCAAGGGGTTTTGAAGGGAGTCTGAGGAGTAAGCCGAGGTAGAGGTGTATAAGTAAGTAGGGAGGGTGTAGGAGGACGGTGTGCAAGAGGGAGTCTGGCGTGAGTAGTTGATTGGGTTGGGGGAGGCGATTGTTCGACTCAGGAGGAGGAGAAGAGTGGGGAGGAGGAGGTATGCCATCTTGTTTCTTCAGCAATGGGGTTTGAGATTTAGAATTGATCGTACGATGGTGAGGATGAGTTGTGGAGATTGTATATAGCTATGTGTGCCAAGATGTGGGTTTATATATAGTCTTTCCCTCTTCACACTACTGCAGCAACGGTGGAAGTTACACTGCTCCAATATCTAGGTCCATCTCTTCTCCCTCTTGCTCATTACACAAAAGATGTGTAAAGCGCTTACTATGAAAACAGTAAGTTAGGTAGCATCCACTCTTCGTGACCCTATTAAAGAAACACCGCCTCTGCCCTGCCCACAAACTGTGTAACCCCATAAGCTAAAATACAACAAAGAACGGATGAAAAGTTCTTCAGTAACACATATCCCCTAGTTCAGCCGCACCAGCTCTTCCTCTTCGCCACATGGCTAGAAATGATTCGCCGCCACGTCAACGTGAGTCGTCTCACATCAAGTATACCACTCCTCTGATCTGCACGTCTGTAACAAAAGTCGACCCTCAGCGACAATCCTAAACCTCAGTGTCTTGTTCCCCAAAAACCCATGTATGCAGCCTCTGCTTCGCAGAAACTACCTTTCTCCAAGTTGGTTGCATTGCAACAATGTGTATCGCCCTTCCAGTAAGAGAAATCCATCCAACAATATTGCTAAGCCTGTCTATGGTTGGTTCTGCGAGGGTAGTCTATACTCGATCGCCAAGGCGACCTCTCCACTCATCAGTGAAGCAATGAAGGGCTAAAGCCTTGGAAGATATAAGTATTTTTTTAAAAAAAAACAGAATTAGTGCAGAGCTTACACAGATAGAAATTCCACCACTGACCCATTTCCATGCCCGTTTCCACATCTTATTCTCGAGCGCTCTCTCTTCCTCTCGAATGATTCTGCTGGCTTGGACTTGCGCTTGGACTTGCACTTGGAGTTGTGCTCGGACATGTTGATCGAGTAATTCATTGACTTCGTGGGTTGTGAGGCTGCGGATGCGTGGAGCTGGAGGTATAGTATGTGCATGGTGCAATCGGAGTTTGTGGTCGGTTCCTGGGCAAGAATCTGTTCAGAAAACGAGACATGGTGAAGCGGAAGGACGAAAGTTCGGACAAGACGAAAGTTCGGACAAGACGAAAGTTCGGACTCGTAACGAAGGGAGGTTCGATTTGTACTTGATGGAGGCGGTGGTATGAATGATGAGGATGAGAAGAAGCGCAGTTGATATATATGTGGGCGGTGTAGTATAGATGGTAGCGAGGTAAAAGATTGCTTATATACATACCAATCACCACCTTCCAATTTCCAATCTGCATTCTTGGCCCCACCTTCCTCGCATCTTGTTGGATGGATCCCGTATAGCAGGCAGAGGAATTGTCAAGTGAGCAAGTTCGGAGTCAGAAGAAGAATAAATGGTCATGACACAACTTTGAATTCTAAGAACTCTGATTTTGTGGGGCGTAAATTTGTGTCCAGTGAGTGTTTTTTGTTGCACGTACTGCTTGTGTTATTTTTGTCAGAGACCGAGGTCGAATTATTCAACTACTTAAACATGGACTCGACTTCACAAGCAGGTTTAAGTGGAACGAGATACGGAGAGCTTGAATATATGTGTATGGAGTAACCTGGCGGGAAGAAGTGGTATTTGATCGGTTCAAGTAAGTGTACTCGTTTGTCTTATAATGAATCTTTTCATATTCGTTTTACAGTATCGTCACAAGGAGGTGTTAAAGGGATTCATTGTTGACTCTGGTCATGCGCAGGATCGTTGGTATAATATACAAACGCTTTTAGGTTGAGGAAGGAGTGGGCAGAGTGAGGATGAAGACGAGGAGAAATGAAAATGGAAAGGGGGAAGAAATATTCATGATCATCAAAGGTCTAGACGTGTATGGTGTTGATAGGTAGGTAGGTAAGTAGGGTTCCCCACACACCACACACCACAGTCCACCAATACCCGAGCCCTCTCGCCCGGTAACAAACCAAGAAACAGCTAAAGTAAGACGTACTAATGTCTATACTTGGTGAACTCAACCCTACGCACTCCTCACGGCCTTATCCACAGCCTTGGCGAAGTAGTCCACGTTGCTCGTGTTCAAGCCGGCCATGGAAATGCGACCGTTCTTAGTCATGTAAACATGCGACTCATCACGCAAGTGCAGAACCTGCTTCTCGGTTAAACCAGTGAAGCTGAACATGCCGATTTGATCGGTGATGTGGTTCCAAGTCCCCGGGGTACCAAGCTCCTCAAGCTTGTTCCGTAGCGCTTTACGCATGTCGATGATGCGGCCGGACATGGTCTTGAGATCCTTCTCCCATTGGGCGAAGAGTTCCGGGTCATTGAGGACCTTGGAAGCGATGCGGGCGCCGTAGGCGGGGGGGTTTGAGATTTCGGAGCGCTGCAGGATGGCGAGTTGCGAGGCGATGCGGGAGACGGTGGAGGAGGCGTCCGAGGAAGGCGAGGTGACGAAGTGGAAGCAGCCTGCGCGCTCGCCGTAGAGACCGAAGTTCTTGGCGTATGATTGGGCGATGCAGAGCTCGAAGCCCTGCTCGACAAAGTAGCGGATGGCCCAGCCATCGCGGGCGAGGTCGCCAGACGCGAAGCCTTGGTAGGCTGTGTCGAAGAAGGGGAAGTGCTTCTTTTGTTTGATCAGCTCGGCGAGCCTCTTCCACTGGTCTTGTGTGAGGTCGACGCCCGTGGGGTTGTGGGCGCAGGCGTGGAGCACGACGATGCTGCCTTCGTCGGCGCCCTGGATGTTGCTGTACATGCCATCAAAGTCCAGACTACGTGTCTCCTTGTGGAAGTAGGGATATGTCTTGTAAGGCAAGCCGACGTTGGAGAAGATCTGGAAGTGGTTGGGCCATGTTGGGTCGGAAAAGTAGGCGGTGCGGTGTGTGTTGGGGTTGTAGAATTTGGAGAGGAACAGAGCGCCCAAGTGCACAGCACCGGTGCCCGAGACTGTTTGGAAGCTGGCGACACGCTGGTCTTTGATGGCGGGGCTGTCTCCGCCGAGGACGAGTTTCTGGGATGCGGCGGTGAAGTCGGCTAGACCGGCAATGGGCAGGTATTCGTGGTTGGTGTTGGGGTCGCTGCGGATGAGGTCGTCGGCCTGCAGGTGTCGAGCACGATGTATTAGTTGGTGGTAACGCCACGAGTCAATGTAATCAATTGATATAGGAACTCACTTTCTGGACCACAGGCAACACCCACGGCTTTCCGTTGTTGTCCCGGTAGGCTCCAATGACCAAATCGACCTTGTTGGGGTCTTGATCGCGGCGGAATGCAGCAGCCAGGCCGAAGAGGGCGTCTTCGGGGGCCTGTGGGACGACTTCGGCGCTGAAAGAGGTGGTGGTGGCAGCCATTGGGGCGATCTGGTGGGCGACTTGTGATAGGCGGGAGTAGGGTGTGGATGAGGATGAGGGGTGTGAATAAGAGGGAGAGGAAGAGGATGCAGCGGGCATGGTTTCGAGCTCCGAGAAGAGCGACACAGAGCAGGCAGCACACCGCCTTAGGTAATGTAACGATTGACTGGACAGCCAGTTGCTCACGCCAGGCGCCGTCGCACTAAAACCCCGCAAAAGTGATCCGATCGAGGCGTGAACGAGCGAACGTCGTGGGGGTGGGCCAAGCCGCTGCTGCAGTGGGTCGATGGATCTCAATATATGAGGTATGTATACCTAGGTAGCTATGTACCTGGATAGCTGAAAGCTTCACAAGATCGTATCGGGAGCAAAGGAACGAAAGAATCAAGATGCGGAGAAAGCATATGTTTTTGTAGCAGTCTAGCACAGCCAAGAGACATCGAGTCTCTTACATACTCCATGAGGTATCCATCCATCTAGTCATGTGTCGGCCCTTCACCTCATCATGAGCTCGTGAACTTGCTGCCCCATGCGCAATGAGCCGAGGTGCACATGTCGTTTTACCAGGGATTACAGAGGCAGGCAAACTGTACATGCAAAAAAACCACCATCTTTCATGTGCTGACCGCAGCAACCTCGATACCGGCACAGTCGACTTTGTCTGAGCATGTGTCTCGGGTGTTGGAGCTACGCATGGGGATAAATGACGCACGTCGGCTCTCGGCAACAACCAAACCAACCAAACGAGCCTGTGGGGTTAGCATGCAGATGCCACGAGGTTTCATCTGTTTCATCCGACCGTTTCAATGCGACGTGGTGAATTCGATCAAATCATTATCTCGTCAAAAGCATCCTCTTTTTTCTTCTTCTTCTTTCCCTTCAAGCCCCCATCACACGAACAGATCCCACAGGACCAGTGTGCTGCAGAAGACGCATGTCGACCAAAACACCATTTGCGCCGTGCTCCTTCTTTCCGTAGCTCTTCTCAGCTCCTTGTTCCCGCTGCCCACATTCTCCGTAGTCAAGTACGAGTCGTCAACGAGTTGCTGGATGTGCTCCGATTGCAGCTCCAGGTTGTTGGCCAGCGTTGTCTGCAGCTCAGACACCTCGAGCAGGGATTTTTCGGCCGCACTATTGCAAATATCAGAACTTGAACATGGAATACACTGTGAATCATGGTAATCCACTCACCGGACCTGGTCGAGATGATCCTCGTACTGCTTCAGCAGATCTTGGTTCTCCTGTGCAAACAATTGCAGCTGCTCGGCGTCTAACGTGTTCTCGATTCCCCCATTCGCCTCGCTTTCACCCACTGCCAGAGATGACTGCACGCGGTAGTCAACATCTCCCGTAGCACTGCCATTTCTATCCCCGCCGTAGTCTTCCGGAGCAGGCAGATTCCCTCTGACTTTGGACAGCACACTCTTGCTCTTCTCCAGCTCGCGCGTGAGTCTAATCTCCATCATGGAGCTTTGAAACTGCCCGCACTCCCCGAGGGCTCGCTGGAGATACCAGATGATGCTCTCGCGATGTGCCTTCATGGTGTTGGACTTGGCCTCTTCTATTTCTTCCTCTGGGCTCTTCGCTGTGACGGCTCCGCCAGCAGCCCAGCGCCCCAGAGCTCCCAGCCCCCGCTTCGCACGTTTTTTCATAGCCACGGTGTTCTCGGCAGCCTGGCGCAACTGCTCCGTCTCCTGCAGGCCCGAGATGGCATGGTTGAGGTCGCGGAGGAGTTGCTTTGCGGAAGCATCAACGTCGTTCCTTTGGGCATCTGTCAGGTGTTTGGCATCCTTGTCTATTGCGCCATTGGCAGTGTTGGAGCGCGATGTCTGCTTGCGCCGCGGGGGGTGGGCGGTCGATAGATAACTCTGGCGTATTGATCTCAGGTAGTCGTGTAGCTCGGCAATGTGTTTGCGCTGTCCTCGTCAGCTTGCTGTTCGGATGGGTGCGCAAGGCAAAGTAACGTGGTCTAGCCTCACAATGCGATATGCCTCTTTGACGAACTCATCCAGATCCTGCAGGCGGAAAGCATGATGCTCGACAGGGCGCGAGCCGCCGTGGGACTTCAAGGCCGTATTGAAGATGGGTGTGATGTCCATGAATGGCGGTTGTCTACCTGTTTGGCTGCTAGACAACAGTCACTGGTAGTAACGGACAGGTGGTTGAGTTGCAACCACCTGTGTGACGTGGGGGTGTTGGAGACGCACGGACCCGGAATCAAGCTTCACTTCACATGCCATCAAGCGCATGAACCTCATCTTCTTCATCGGGAATCACTTCACCCTGTATACTGGTACTTGAGTACTCGTACAACGACTTGTTCCAATCCCATGCTGTCATTCAAGAGCCTGGACAAGTCTCTAGGCATGCTGCCGTTCAGCATCATGTCTTGACCTAGCCACTTGATTTGTATAACTGCCTGCGACACTTGCGCATCGTCTCTCGAGTGACATCAAATCTCGACTTGACACCTCACAATCACACCACAGACTGCTTGGTCCCCCACCATCTATGGAACCCAAACCATCTCATCATCGACGGGCATGCCCGCGCCGCCCGCGGGATGATGCTTGTCGTCGCCCAATCGCACCCAGCTCTCACCAATCCCTCGTCGATCGGCCAAACTCGCCCACCAATTTGCAACCACTGCAAGATTTCTCGGCCTTGCGCATTCCCCTCCCCAGAGCTTTCCTGCAACGCTCTTGCAAACTTCCAAACCAGTGAATCGGATCTCCAAAACCATTCAAAGACTGTCACCCGATCATGGAATGTTGGACACTCCGCCATCGCCACTGACCCCACTGGACGACATGCAACCCCACGCCACTAGCCAGCAGCCCAGGAGTCAAGACCCCGTTCTCACTGCTGATCAGCATCCACATGTGATTGGAGGCAGTCTTCAAAAACCAGGGTCGCCGGAACATAGAGAAGATGATGATCTCGAAGCTGGCCGCGCCAATTCATCCAAGCACTCATCGATCCACATGCACATCGAAAAACATGACAAGGACTCGGAAGCCAACACCATCGTCATGGACCTTCCTCCCCCGTATTCGGTTTTCACCAGAAGAAAGAAACTTTTCGTTGTGTTCCTCGCCGCCTTGGGTGGCTTGTTCTCTCCACTCTCGGCCAACATCTATTTTCCCGCACTACCGGCTCTGGCCCGTGACTACAATGTTTCGAGCACTCTTATGAACTTGACTCTTACGTCCTACATGATATTTCAGGGCCTGGCGCCTGCTGTGTTTGGAGATCTTGCCGATCAGGCGTAAGTTCAATCTCCTGCGCACTCTGAATCCTTTCCCTAACAGTACCATCTCGCAGTGGAAGACGACCAGCTTATCTTATTGGATTTGTGATATATATTGGTGCAAACATCGGCTTGGCCCTCCAAGATTCCTACGCCGCCTTGTTTGTACTTAGATGCATCCAAAGCACCGGCTCGAGTGCTACCATTGCCTTGGGAAACGGTGTGGTGGCTGACGTAGCAACAAGTGCAGAGCGCGGAACCTGGATGGGCTACGTTACCAGTGTATGTCGAACGATCAGTTCTTAGCTCCCGTTATGTCGAAGCTTACAATTTCAGGGTCCGATGGTTGCTCCCGCTTTGGGTCCCATTCTTGGAGGCGTGCTAGCCAAATTCTTGGGTTGGCGAGCCATCTTTTGGTTCCTCACAATATTTGCAGGTGCATACTTGGTTGCCTTTGCGGTTGGATTCCCTGAAACAGGCCGTAATGTCGTTGGCAACGGATCCATACCCCCCAAGGGCTGGAATATGTCTCTCTTAGACTACCTTCATCACAGGAATCTTTCTGACGCTGAAGCTTCCAAGCGAAACGTGACGTCGCAACGCAGACTGCGATTTCCCAATCCCCTCGGCACCCTCCGTGTGCTTGTGCAAAAGGACGCAGGTCTACTCCTGTTCTACAACAGCCTCATATACACCGCCTTTTACTGTGTCATCACATCTGCCCCATACCTTCTCGAGCAAATATACGGCTACAACGAACTCCAAGTAGGCCTCGCATTCATTCCCTTTGGTATCGGAGCTATGGCTGCACCCATGATCAACGGGAAGCTCATGGACTTCAACTTCCGCCGCCTCGCACGGACTGGTGGTTTCCCAATCGACAAACGCATCGCTGTCGACCTCAAAGACTTCCCGCTCGAGCTCGCCCGTCTGCAAGTCGCTCTCCCCTTGCTCGCCATTGGCACGGCAGCCATCCTATGCTATGGATGGACCCTTGAGGTCGAAACCTCCATCGCCGCGCCCCTCATCATGCACTTCCTCATGGGCCTGTTCCTGACTGGCGCGTTCAATTGCCTGAGTGTCATGGTTGTGGATTACTACCCTCTCTCCCCGGCCACGGCCACGGCCGCTAATAACCTCGCGCGATGCCTAATTGGTGCGGCGGGATCTGCCATCATCAATATCATGGTTGACGCTATGGGGAGAGGATGGTGCTTCACATTCATTGCTGGCGTACTGATCTCTTTTTCCCCTCTTTTAGTTGTTTTGCTCAAGTGGGGTCCCGGTTGGAGAGAAGGGCGGAGAGTGCGTGAATTGGAAACGGATAATGCGGGTACTTGAGTAGGGCTTTAGTTAGTGTATGTCATTGCTACGTCGTCTTTTCTACAGATAGGATAGATCGCGTTGGATACTAGGAATAGGAAGACTCTTACATATGTACTAATCACCTACCCAAACACATGATCACGTACTTCCTCACAAAACTTTGGCTTCTACGTATCTCATACTCATCAACACCGATGATTTGCTGTAAGATTACACTTCTAGGAAATCATGAAAAAGGAGATGAACATGACAAGCTCTGTTTATGAACATGCAACTTCCATGCGTCGTGCTTTTCTTGCACACTAGTTTGGTACTTGATTGTCTGAGGGCATCGCGATCATGAAGATCCGGCTGAAGATGAAGTACGATAGCATCAACGAGATAAAAGAGAATATACGGCATTGCCTTTTCCAAGAGCCGTATCGAGGTCTGTCGGTCTTTTCAGTGTACGAGGTCAGGCGTACGGGTCCACATGTACATGTAAGCCAGCAAGGATAAGACACATGCGTAGCATCGGACTGACAAAACATGTAGGGAACATGATTAGGTTTGTAACGGGCTACGAGAAGGCTTTGGATGATATTCATCTGGGTAAATTCAAGGCAGAGTTTATGGGTCAGGTCAAGAGACAATAATTGTAAGGGGATTATGACCCTGGTTAGGACTATTGTATCAGCGTCTCAGTGGATAAGTAGACAGCCGCCTTAGTTTTCTCCGTTCCCCGCAGTTTATGAATAGTAGTTCCAGCGACCAGGCCGTACTAATATCCAAAATACCATTTATGGACCAGAGTTTCCATATACGTTCTCCTAGTCCATCCATGGACTACGCGTTCTCCCAAAGCGCTCAAACCACCTCCATCTCGCATATCCGGCACACAATCGAAAGGCTTAATTATCCCCGAAATGTGCCGTTCGAAAGCTTAGAACCTAACTATCAGAACGATCAGCAAAAGTCTCGAGGATGATAGGCAAGATCGGTTGACGAACGGGTTTGACAGTCTGCGCTTCGGGTCATATCTTTCCAGGGCTCTCCGATATTTGGTGGCGTCGAGGTGATCCTTAAAAATTTTCTCGTGCATGGCCAAGTCAGGGTGAGCGGCATGGCGTCTGAACTCATCTAGCCAGTTTTCTGGAAGCTTGCGGATCTCGAGGCTCTTTCTGAATTTCTCATCGGAGCGTTTGAACTCTGTGAGCATGTTGGTCTTTGCGAGGGCGGCCTTGTCTTTCTCTTTCAAATCGTCGGTGGGTTGATCTTTGGCCTAATGGCATAGCGAATTAGTCAATGCCATGGAATCTTATGCAATGTGGTTCTTTATGTGGGATAATGCGAGCCGCAGTATTAGATAGAACATAGGCTACTCACACCAGGTGCAATAGTGGCAGGGCGGAATGGCAAGGCGAAGGGAGCACCGGTCTGAGGCTTTGCCTGCCCTTTGGCCTTGGGTGTCTCGTTCTCAGGGCTGTAAGCCATGACGGTATGGTGGGTAAGTCGCCGAGAAGTCGGTCTGGTGCCTTTGTGAGGATATCAAGTCCAGGTCTGTATGGTGACTTCAAGTGTGGGTAGTGCTAGTAGTGCTTGCGGCTGCGGTAGTACAGCCAGCGCTACCTACCTAAGTAGGTACCAATGTTGGTAAGTAGCCAGTCCAGCCACGTGATCAAAAAAGCGACGCTCGTGCTTGCCTTATCGTTGCAGCTGACTAGACATGAAGATCATGTACGAATTCTGACAGAGTGATGTAATAGACTGAGTTCGTTGTCAAGGTCAGAGGATTATAAGGACGGGGTTTTTATCATCCCTCTGTTATCATGTAGAGTCTCAAATGCTTTTGGTAGAATCTTTATGAACTAAAAAATCACGACTTGCTCTCGAGAATGTTCAATAGAGGGAATGGGTATGGGCATCGATATGATCTACCGTGCAAAGAGAAACAGGCAAGGCGAAAGCAAGTCAATTAATACCCATACACGCAGCAAGACGAGAAAGACAGTTTGTGAACTCAGGTACTTGTATTACGACGAGATAGAATATGATGTTTACTAAATATCTAGAGAACGAGCGAGATAATACATAGCATTTCAATGCACAATAACTTATTCGCACAAAGTTGCGCTAGATACTACAGTAAAAGACGTGTTTGCATACTGGCGCACAAAACATTCGAACATTTGCTCTGTCCATGGGAAATGGTGATGGAGAAGCTGCACGCACATTCCTCTGTGCTGATGAGACCAGGATATATTGCCGAACTACTCTAACCTGTATTTGTACAGCCCTTGCGTGGCCATACTTTGGAACAGTTCACGCTGACCAAACATTTAATCCGTGTGTACAGCTATGCGCAGCACTTGGACGCAAATTCGGATGTACCTAGCAGAACGCAGATGAACGTATAAGCTTCATTCTCAAAGTATTCCCGCCCTTCATATTTATCAAGTTTCCTATTGCTGACAGCTCTATCCCGCTGGATGGTAGATTAGTCGAAGACTTTGAAGAAGCCAAGAACTTACTGCTTTCAATATGAGACATGATAAAGTGTGGGGGCGCGGGAAACCGAAGTTTGCGCTTCGGCGTGCATCGTGCCGAAAGGAGACCATTGGGCAGTGGTTACAACCAGAGGTATCATTCGGGAACCGATACACTCCGAAGAAATTGCCTTGCCCGAACGTATATCTTCCAGACACCTTTGGACTCCACAAATCATTAAATTCATAGCCAAGATGGCTTCCACGCCGATGGAAGATCAGATGAGTATGTCTGATGCAGAGTTTCGATCAAAAGTCGGTCAAACTGGTAGAGTAAATCAGTTTGAACTGAAGGTAAGCCTTGGCTTCTTCATTGTTCGACTGCGCCTGATCTCATCAATCACCCCGAACTCATTGATCAACGATTTCGAAAAAAAAAAAAACAATACTAATTAATAGTATCTGCATAGGTATCTGTTGCTATTATGTTCGGCATAGCAACATCATGCTTTCTTGGCCGACTCTTCATCCGTCTAATCACACGCAAACGTCTATATCTAGACGACTTTATCCTGATTCTCGCTTTTACCTCTCTTTGCAGCTCTACTGCGATCTTCTATAAAAAATCTATTCGCAATTGTCCTTACAAACGCTATCTTCGAAGCCCCTGAAATTCAGCACTCCCTTGCGATCTTACCATACATCGAGACGCTTATGAACTATAATTCTTCTCGCATGGCATTTGGGGTGTTATCCTGGACGACTATATACATGATCAAGTTCACCTTCTTTGCGTTTTTCAAGCCCTTGGTTCGGAATTTCCGTAGCTTGACTATCTACTATTGGTGCTGCTTTGGGTTCACGGCTATAGCGTACTATATTAGTTTCTCAAGCCTTGCCATGAATCGGCATAACCATGCCAGGTTGAGCTACGAATGGTACAACTCGGCCTTTGCTTTCAATTTAGCATTGGCATTGGTGGATATTATTTCGGATATCATGAGTAAGTAACTCCCAACCAAGAGCACAGCGTGAATGGAAATGTACTAAAGAATATAGTTGTCAGTATACCTCTACTCCTACTGCGCAACTCCACAATAGCGCTATCGAAAAAAATCGGTATCGCTTCATTCCTATCATTGTCCATCTTCATGATCGTCTGCAGTATCATCCGTGCCGCAGGATTTCTCCTACAGAACTCGTACACACCAAATCTCTCATGGCGATACCTTTGGGAGGAATTGGAAGGCTGCACTGCTGTAACAATGGCGTCCGTGGTCGCGTTCCGGACTCTGCTTGTATCGAAACACAAGATTAAAGAGCCACCACGCGCACCATCTTTCGTTGAAACGTGGTATCGCAACCGCCGCTCGACGAGAAAGCGTTCAATAGATGGGTTGGCTGAAGATGGGGATGAGCATGTCAAGACCCTGGGTATGCCTTCGGCTACCTTTGGTGGAGTTCACTCACATATCAGGAGGAGTCATTCTGATGGGAAAGCTGGCACTGGGCATGAATCTGAGTTTGACCCTCTGGAAGGCGATTACCATGCCAAAATCAGGGTAGATTTATCGAGGCATACGCGAACTTAATGACGTCGGAGCTCTGCGCCGTTGGTCTAGACAGACTTCGTGTTGTCATATAACTTATTAATTCTCTCTTGCAACACTACCTCTCGATTCCAGTTCGATCAACTTCATTCTTGAATTTTGGCGATCATCCAATCGAAGAACATGACTGAGTAACATTTATTAGCCCTTATATATCATATGTGATCACTTGGAGGCAAGTAGCATGAGTTTTGCATATTGTAGTGCCTCTTGTCTAGATCCTTATACGTAGTTGAAAAGCTACAGCGGCCATTTCACGAATTCGACAAACAACAGCACGCCGTGATGACACACACACACACACACACGTGCACATAGCAGTGGAAAATGGACAATCTCATGCAATAAACAAAGTATTACATGTAATTTACAACTAGCAAAGCACTCAACGAAGGAGAGAAGAAGATGAGAAAAAGGCAGGTTAAAGCTCTGTGGAATGTTTGCTTCCACAGCTTTGGTGGAGTAAGAATTGCCTAGGGTATCACAAAAAGAAAAGGGAGACAAAGCAAAAAAAAAAAAAAGAAGGAACAACAAGGGGGGGGGGGGGGAAGGGGATCGATCCAAAATATCCCTCCACCAAGAAATAGCCAAACAACGGCCCAAAAATATCGGTCAGATAAAGAACCAAAAAAAATGAGGATTGGAGAAGTTGGAGAAAGCATTTGAAGTCTCAACAAAGAGAGTGAAATGGCAGAAGAGTGGCAAGGACAACGAAGCATGTCTCAACCCTCTCTTCAGAAGAGCAAAGCAACCCAGTTAATGCGCAGGTGTATCGGGAACATCCCAGATATCCATTCCACTGTTTCCCTCCTCTTTCTTCACTTCGATTGTACCTTGCCCCGCCTCCGCAGAAGCCTTGTTTTGATCCTGCGCAAAAGGAATGACACCGCTTGCCGAGAACACCGGAAGCTCCTGTCTCTTCGCCGCCGCAGACACAGGTCTCGACAGAACCGGGTTCTTAGCAGCAGGGGAAGCAAGAGGGGGATTAGGTCCTGCAGATGCTGTAGCGGCCGTATCCAGATTCATGGGTAGCCACTGTAGGGGAGGAGAAGCCGGACCCGGGTGTGTAGGTACCGATGGTGGGGAGGATCCGGCATTGAATGTTTGCGGGTTATAATTTACGAATTGCGGGATCATGGCAGGGGGTGGCGGAGGAGGAGTATCTTCCCGGGGAGGCGAGGTAGGTAAGCGGACGGGGCTGTTGGAGGTGATAAAATGCGGTTTTGGGAGTTGGTCGGGAGTGATTTTCATATCAATGAGACTAGTGGGAGGGTCTATTGGAGGAGAAGACTTCGTTGTTGGCTCGGGGGAGATGAGGGCTGTAGGTGAGGTGGGGTGATTCTGTTTATCCAAGATCTCCAAGAGAGTGCTAGATGGCTCGGGCGCGACAGGTTCGGGCTGGTGTAACGGTACAGTTGCAGCAGCAATTGGCTGCAATGGCTCTGTTGAAATAGGGGGAGCTTCGGGTTCAATTGCAGGCACAGGCTTTGTGGCTTTTGGTGGCCTGCCGACAGGTTTTTTAGGGAGAGCACCCTTCGCCGGAGCTCTGAGCGCTCGAGGGACTGCTGGCTTGCGTGGGGCAGCTGCCCTTCCTTTCTTCTCAGTCTCTTTCTTCTCAACCTCCTTCTTCTCAACCTCCTTCTGCTTCTGCCGCGCATCGTATTCCTCTTTTGGCGCCAACTTCAGTGTCACACGCTTCAGTCCAGAGGTCAACTGGTCAATGTCACTCTCATTTTCCTTGCCTCCAGTAGCGGCTGGCTTGCTTTGATACTTGGTAGGCACAGAGGGCATCGGAGGTTGATTCCGGGGAATGCGAGAGGTAGCTGCAGTCGACGCCCTGGACTTTTTGATTTGTACCCCGTTGGATGCTGGTGCAGGAGTGGTACTGCGATTGCTGGGCGGTACGATACTAGAAGCGCGGCTAACGCTCCGCTCTGGGGCCACAGAACTCACACTCGAGGCGATACTAACACGACGCGAAGCCACACGCTTGGGCTCGGGGGGTTCGGTAGTTGGTAGAGGGAGATCAGCAATGGTCTGGCGTCGACTTGCTCGTGTCTCTGGGCGCAAAGCTGGTTTATCCCCATCGGACCCCGCGTCCAGATACGAAGATACAGGCTTCCTTCCGCGAAGCTGACGTCCGGACGGATGAGGGTCAGCATTGTTCAAGACAGGAGCAGGTTCCTCTTTCTTGACCTTTGGTGCTGCTAGCTCCTCAGGCCTGCAGCTACGAGTCTGTCGGTCAGCGGGAGTCAGCAATTTGCAGAGAGCGTCTGTAGCTATGGCCCAGTCGACCTCTGGCGGCGGGGGAGTCGGCGCTCTCGAAGAAGGACTGCCTGAAGAATATCGCCCCGACAGGTTTCGGTGAAGCTTGGTAGGATCGACGACTTTCGCGGTGAAGGATTGAGTGGGGGAGGAGAAATGCGCTGCCGGTCCAGTCCGCACTTTCTTAGGAGCGATGTAGGGGGGAGGCGTAACCAGATTTTCCAGTTCTTGAAGCCGCGTTGTATGCCACCATTGGGGATCATAAGTGACTAGTGTCGCTTCGGGTGGTGTAGGTGTCATGGCCATGCCTCGGTCGTTCATGTCTAAAGCTTGGAGCCGCTGTTGCATGTCGAAACCCAGTCCTCCTGATGTTTGTTTGGCCTCCGACCAGATTTGCCCATCGCACAAACCACTTATGTGACTGAGGACACCACTTGTCAACGCTCTATCACTGTAACCGCCCTCGAGAACAGAGATGACTCGACCATCTACGCCAGTGTCCAGCTCTTCGGACAGTCGCACAACGTCTCTAGTGAAACGAGCGTAAAATTCAGTGGGCACATTAACAGTGTGCCTCTGCATACCAGCTGTCTCATGCTCACTAGCGTCGAAGCCGGCGGAGAGGAAGATGGCCGCTTTTGGCGCGGGATGATTGGGAGACGTACGTAAACGATTGGTGTGAAATTTCAGGTACTTTCGTGTCTTGTCGAGTAGCACCAGATATTTATCCTCGTACAATCGCCAGAATTCTTCAGGGGTGGCCCACGTTTCCAGGTGAATGTTCCAGATGGACTGGCCATGAGCGTTGTCGATGCAAAGACTTGCTGCTTGAACCTTCTCGTCATCTCCGTCTTCGCATGGGAAGGAGTTGATATCGTGAAGACTAAAATATCCAATGGATGTTTTCTTCCAGTGGGGAGTATTTTTGTGCATGGCGCGCACTTTTTTATTTCGCTCCCACGTAATGTCCTGCGAACCGTCTCCATGGTGGAGATCAAAGTCTATGATGGCCGCATGGGTCAAACCGTAGTTGGCCATGGCGTGTTCAATACCGACGTGAACATTATTGATCCAGCAGAACCCAGAGGGCCATTCTGCCGAGCAATGGTGACCTGGAGGACGGATACAGACAAAAGCGCGTGAAACACCATTCTCCATAGTGGAGCCCTGGAACACGGTGTCAACGGCATCCAGCACACCTCCAAGCGCGCCCTGTATAGCATTCAAAGATTCAGAGCAGAGGTAGAGGTCCATTGGATGGAATGGTGTTGGGGGAGGCTGGCCTGGTATCGTAGGGGGATCGCGGACCAATTCCTTTCCTGTGGATGACAGCTTCTGCTCTGCAGTCTCGCACAATGTCTTAAATTCTTGCATCCATTTGGTGCCGTGAACGTTGGTGACGGCTTGAGATGTAAGATCGACGGCTCGAGACGTCTTTCGGATCTTGAAAGGGATAGTTGCCGGAGGTTGCCGGCCAGGCTCAGGTGGGTTGGAGCCATCACAGTGCCGCTCGCCCAGACGCACATATGCCGCAGAGATGCCCCGCACACTCGCCAGCATACGCTCCGGCCTCTCCATGATAGTGCTTAATGTGGATTTTGCTGTCTTCGGTCTGGAGTAGCGGTGGCCATAGCATTGGTCGTGTATTATGACAATGGTGCCTGCATTCGCAGACCCGGCCATGCCCTCGTGCAATGCCAACTCCTTCACGAAAGACTCCTCTGCAATGTCGCAAGCTCGTGGCGGGGGCGGCTTGTCCTCGACTGGAATTTGAGCTAACGGGCTTCCCATCTTAGCCATTGTGGGCGAAGGCATGTTGGGTACTAGAGAGCTTCTGCGCGACGGGGAGGGGCGAGGGACGTCTCCTCGGAGGGACGTAGTAGATAACTTTCGAACGGGTGCAGGTGAAGAAGCTCGGCTGAAGCTCATAACACTGGGACTGCGGGGAGCAGGCGAGCGACGAGGAGACTGCGGGAAAGTTGTGGTTGAGTGCAGTGGAAGTGAGGGCGGACGTGTGGGCGTGTGTAACGGCGGGGTATTGTTTGTCGACGATGAGGCATTTGAAATTTCTGTGTGCGCGCTTGCACTTGCGTTTGCGGTCGTCGCGTGGAGAGGCATTTGTTTGAGTGAATGCGACAGGAGGTTCGCGTCCTTGTTTGTTGACGACGACGTTGTTGTTGTTGTTGTAAACGGGCGCGGCGCGACGTTATTGGATGCGCCGTCGGGGGTGTCTGAGTCTATGGGCGCGGAATAGGCTGCAGGCGGCATGCTAGCCTGGCGAGCGCGTCTGAGTTTGTTTGCGGGTGTGTGCGTATACAGCAAGCAGTCTTTTCGGTGGGTGTGGTTGCTTTGCGTCGTCGACCATCTGGTGTGATGCAAAGAAAATGGTGTTAGGTGCATGCGGGATAGCTGTTGCGTCTAAGCAAGGCTATGACGGTCGCGGCGCTAACAAACGGGCGGCTTCAACAAGCCCTGACAGCCGCTGCAGCTGATAGCCGCTTGCATAGGGCTGGCGAGAAGGAAATTAAAAAACAAGTCAGGAGCATAGAATGCATCCCTGCCATATATCCACTTCAGCGTCTATTGTTGTAAACTCTTGCTTGCCCTCTGAGGCTGCTGTTTCAATGCCCCCCTAATCTGAACTGATGCAAGTCCACCTTGTCCATGCACTTTTCGCATATATCTGTCAAGCAAATTAACTGGCATCATCGTGAGTTCGCAAAGTGTGCATATCAGATCGCACAGTACCAATCAAGAATCAATTTTAGACGTCTGTTTACAATCATTTGCCATCTATCAAACTCAATCGCTCAACAGATCAACCCCAACCCCCTTCAACGCACCCACCGCCCAATCCGGATACTTGCTCTTGTCGCCATTATAAAGGCGCGCAAAAAACCCTCGCAAGAAAGCTGGATACTGATCGTCTAAGATGGCCTGTCGAACCCTCTTCATGAGGTTGAGCTGGTAGTAAACATTATGCATGGTCAAGAGATGAGCCCCTGCAGTCTCCTTTGCTGTGACATGATATATATATGCTCTTGTGATGCCCAGCCCGCCGTCGTCTTTCGATCGGCAGCAGGTACACTGGCAACCGTCCTCAATTGGTACAAATTCCTCCGAGTATACCGCGTTGCGAAGGTTGAGAACACCGCGATCCGTGATAGCATTGCCGAAACGCTACATGGTGGCCAGTTAGTATATTTGCCTCGTATGAATTCATGTCACCGAAAACGACTCACTGCTGTTCTGGTGGGCCAGACACAATCGAACATGTCCGCGCCCAAAGCAACCGACACAACCAAATCCTCTGGGTATCCCTTCGCCTGGTTAGCAACACTCAGCCAAATAGATATCGTTTCCAACTCACCACGCCCATCACATATCGGGGTTTCTTCTCCGGTAATAGCCCAGTACACGTGTCTACAACCTTGCAGTATTCATCTTTTGCTTCGCCGCCAGACAATCCTCCTATGGCAATGCCCGGTGTATCTCGCGCCACCATCTCCGCTGTGCACTGCCTCCTCAAATCTAAATCGAGTCCACCCTGGATGATACAAAAGAGGTTCTGCCTTTCTGGGTACTTGTGTGCTGCAATACAGCGATCAAGCCACCGAACGGACCGATCCATGGCTTCTCTCATTCTTGCTAGGTCGGGCGATGTAGTTGCGATAACATCGTCTAGCTGCATGAGGATATCGGAACCGATGGAGTTTTGGAGGGAGATGGAATGTTCAGGTGTCAGAAGCCTGTATGCTGTCAGCTTTCCCGATCCTCCAAGCATACATATGTAGTGAGACTTAGACGGGCATGTACATACATTTCGGAACCGTCGTGGGGACTCAGGAATCGTACGCCCTCTTCAGTGACTTTCGCAAGTTTCAGGAGAGATACCATCTGGAAGCTGGTGTCCGAAATCAGCTGGAGTCTATTCATCTCGTCCTTATTTGGTTGCTGTTTGGGGAATTACGCACCCACCGCTATCTACATATAGCCGTCAGCCCCGTGTTCTACTCTTGCCTGGATTTCTTTTGCATCGTAGTCACCTGTGAGTAGATTGTGTGGCCATGATTGGAGCTTGTGCGCACCGCCTACGGCATCCAAGGTCTCCTGTCCAGGCTTCAGACCTCTGCCCGCCCAATTAGATCTTGTGTGGTATCGGGAGCTAATACGATGCGTACAGATGGTAGGTGTTATTCAAGCACAATCGGCAGCCTTGATCTTCCAGTTGGTCGGGGGTGAGGCCTTTGAGTGAAGCCTGAGTGGCTACCGGCATGAAGATGGGGAGCGGAACCGGGCCGTGGGGCAGGTGAAGGGTCGCCGCGCGAGCCTTGGTGATCTGTATTTGGAATGATAGTCAGTGGTTGTTGCAATGGCAGTTCAAGTATTCTCTCACCGAGCATTTCCCCAAGAGCTCGAATGTAAGCGCTGAAGGCATAGGCGTGGGTGCCATGGTTGGCGACTCTTGGACTGAAATTATCGGAACGATGGAACAAAGGTGGGCAAGCGATTCGGAAACACCATGCATATCCGCTACCTAGCAAGTAAGCTTCTGGTCCGTGCATTTGATCCACCGCCGGACGACTCCAGCCTGTGAACACTTATGTACATCAGTTTAATATTCTGATAGCCCAGCAATGCGACGCGGAGTAAAGCGATTAGTGCCATCTGATGTGAAGAATCGAAAAAAATCACGCAACCAATTACCATCGAGTATACTGCAACATCATATGATGGTGAGGTCTAATAGAGATACATATATAGCTTGTTATAACAAAACGTCTAGTAAATTAAGCTGGTGATGATCCAATTGATAATGCGATGCGATTGGTAGTTTACATAGAGGAAATGTACACTCGAAAGTTTCGGAACGTGGTTACCAAGCCTGGTGTCGCGGACTCAGTTGCGTAGAAACCGACAATTAGGAGCTTGGTACACCAATACCCCTCAAAGATGAGAGCGGCTTATGCGCAACAAGTCACCAACCGTCAGATTTTATATAAATAGCTTAGAGCCATGATATTTGACCTCTTCATGATACGCGGCCGGAGCAACGGACTTCGTACGCTCGGGGAAGCCCTTGAATGAGCGGGCATACGTTGCGACGGAGTGGGCAATAAGCTACAACAAGTCAGCCCACAATCCAGCCGGAGCAAAAAATGACATAAAACGTACCTTGGTATTGACCACCCACGAAGTGTAGTTAACATTGGACAGATCGTCACATAGCTGGTGGTAGCAAGGATCATACCAATCCCCAGCTTTTCCGCCAAACTGAGCTTGCTCAGCCTTGGATTTGATACCCTCGGCACCAGTCGCGATGCCACCACCAGGGATACCGTTGCGGATGAAGCCATCGTAATCGCTGCGGCCGTCAAAGGGGATGAAGGTATAGTTTAGCTTGTTGTCTTTGTACCAATCAATGTACAGGTTCCTCAACTCCTCCGAGCCCGTTGGGTTGGCAGCATTGGTAGCGTTGTAGATCTGATAAGCAAAGTTCGGGCTTGCCATCATGTCGTAGTCCATGAATAGACGAATCTTCTTGTTTTCCTCTTCAGGGAGGGTAGCGACATAGTAATCTGACCCGAGGAGGCCTTCTTCCTCACCGGCCCACCAGGCGAAGCGGACGCAGTTGGAAACGTTGAACTTGGTAAGCTGGGTGGCAACTTCGAGCAGACTGATGGTTCCAGAGCCATCATCGTTGATCCCGGGGCCTTCAGCCACACTGTCACTGTGGGCACCAAGCATGACGCAGTTCCCGGGATCACCTGCCGTGGTTTGGGCCACAATGTTGGTGGTCAGAATCTGGTTTACTTCGGCATCGATGTATGCGATGGAATCGACACGGTCTTTCTTCTGGAGCTTCTCGATGATGGGATCGGCTTCTTCACCAGACAAACCAAAAGTGGCCACGTGGTTTGGAGAAGGGGTACCTAGAGTTCCCTGTACTGCATCTTTCTCGTAGTTGTAGACGATAGCGGCAACAGCACCCTTTTGGCCCGCATGTTCGGACTTGGTTCCGAAGGGACAGGTACCGCGCTTGATAAAGGCTATGTTACCCTTGACCTAAACAGAGGAGAAATGCAAAGTCAGTACAGTTTAAAAGGAGATGCTGGGTGCATCATAGAAGCCCAAAAACGCATCATATGGTAGGCTGCCGGAATGCTGTCATGCAGTTTCTCGCTGTTTTTGGTACATTGGGCAACGTACCGAATCTGGAACATCAGAAAGCTGACACCCCTCGTTATCAACGAGAACGAGATCTCCGTAAACGGGTTGCTTGTTCTTGGTGGGTGGTGTCAAGCCCATAGGTGCGGCCGACTTGGAGACCTCGTTACCAAGGACCAGGCGCGATTCAAAAACGTTTCCCGAAACGGCGGGGAAACTTTGGTTGGCGATAGTGTAATAATCGCCGAGCTGAAGAACGGTTTCGTAGATGTACGATAATGTTCCGGCGTGGCCTGGTTGGAACTGGTTAATCGAACCGCATTTACAGAACGCTAGATATGGGCTTACCAGCACTGCCGATCACTCGCGTGGGGTGGTTGTACTCGTCTTCCCCCAATTTCGCAATCTCATACAACTTCTTCGCACGAACTTCAAGCCTGTCCCCGCTGATGAGGTCTTGGAGTGCGGAAGATTCGACGAGTGGCTTCTCCTCGCTGCTGCTGCTGCTGCTGGGCTCCAAGACTCTCTGTTGCTCGTCATCCGAAAGAATGGGGATTTGCTGGAGTGCGGCCGCAGTTCCAGCGACGGCAGCACAGAGAGGGATAGCTGAATGGACCCTCATCTTATTTACTGTTGCGATTGTGAATGTTGAGATGGATAGAGGAGAAGATGGAGCTGAAGAGATGAATGTACACCTTGGACTGTTATCATGTCTTGTGACGCATGTGCCTGATGACTGCCCAGGTGGTTGCTATGGCGCCGCTAGCCCGAAACACTGATAACGCGGATCGACGCCATACCACGTGCGCGTGCTCGCTATCTGAATATACCCAATCGGGTAATCTTAGAGAAAGGTGTGGATCGCAGTGACTCCGGTGGTAAACCAGGCTTACTCAAAGCCAGGGTAGACCACTTGATCTTCGCGACATTTAAGCGTTTTCTAAGTTGTGTAGAAACCGACCAGGCATCTCTTAGTGCATCATCATAGTATTAGATTCTCATTCTTCCCGATCGGCTTGGGACTGAAGAATAAAGTACACACTCAAGTGCTATCTTGAGATGGAAAGATTCTCTGAGTGCAGAAGATATGGAAGAGGACATTGCAGAATCCAGACACCAATTATCTGTCACGTGCGAATGTCAATGGGCTCGATAAAGGGAGAGACCAGGAATCTGTATTCAGCGAGGATGATCATGTGCCTTGTGGTAAAGATCGGGGTGAGTATTTAGCAAGTAGCGATCATTGTCACGGCTTTAGAGTTGGAGCAGATTGTCACTTGGCAACTGTTCTCCTGGTGTGCTTCCGTCTATGACGCATGACGTCGAACGCTTTCCATTGACTTTTGTGCGAGATGTCGACTTGAAATCCAATCCACCCTTAAACGGCTGGAATCAATACCATGGTGAAAGTGTCTGTTAAATATTCCCAGCCGAGAAGTCCACGGCAAGAATACGCAGGCTACTCAGTGATCTAATATGCTCTACAAACAGCAATGCCTTGTGTTGTTGTTGTTGTTGTTGTTGTTGTCGTGGCTGAACCACGGTCCGCGGCGGAGATGTCCGAGTCGGCTGGAAGGAAGCCTGCTTGGTCGTGTGCAGTAACCACACGGGGAAATCGGATGCGTACCTAAGCCATTTGTGTTTCACTGCTGAGAGCTAACCTTCAGATCGCACCAAACGAGCTACAATACCGCCGACTGATCAATTTGATGGTCGAGGATCAAGGAAATGAATGTACTTGGAGAAGCTTGACTGATGTACGAATTCCGGGAACGACGGAAACAGTATAAGAGCGAGGCCGGACTTTGATTGGTATCGGACCGGACAGTCATACCGCTGTTTCAAGAACTTGGGATCCTTCGAGATGAAATAGCCCCAGTGATCCGGGTAGATGATGGTTACTACGCGGTAGCTATGTCATGCAGACGGCAACGGTCTCAGATCAGGTATAATCAGCACACCATATACACACAGAGGCTGATTGTTGGATCTAACTCCGTGAGCCGGTTAAAATCCCCGGGGCAACGAGCTGCAGGACTCATGGCCAGTAATAGGTCGATGTCGCTTTTGTTTGCGATGGGGCCGTTCGAAAGGGGTCAGATGCATATTCTTCAACGTGGGTCCCATGTGAATGCCCGGCGTACATAGTAAAAGGGTAGAGAGAAACGGTTAGAGTAAGCCCCCAACGGCAGGCGGGGGCCTTGGTGATCACCATTGCCGGGATTCGCTTACCTCGTGACAACAGAACCGGACTGTGAGTTGAAGCAGACTTCGCAGTGCACACCGCTGTTGCTGCTGCAAATCCATTCTTTTGAACATCTTTCGCTGTTTTGCGTATTGCAACACTTCCCTCAGCCTTTAGCCTTGTCGCAGCGCGTGGGCCGGCCCGCGGTGAGACAGACCCATTGATCGCTCCGCCATGGCTGCCGGAGAGTTCAGTCGCCTGTTCGTATCCCACTGGAGGGAGATACACGAGAAGTTGAGGTCCCCAGACGAGGATATCATTGTAGATGGTCGGAATCTAAGTTTGGCCGAGGTGGTTGCCTGTGCAAGGTACGACACACGTGATGCTGCATCTAGCATTTGATGGCCGTCGCTTTCGGTCACCCACTTACAGCAGTTAACGTTCTGAGTGCATAGGTACGGCCAGGACGTTGTCATTGGCGAGGAGGCCGCTGAAGCCGTACGTCGCAACACAGATCTAGCTTTCGGATCCCTTCGAGAAGGCGATGCTGTTTCAGGTATGTCGTTCTCCACAACCTCTTCAGATTCCGCCGCCACGTGTGCTGACCAGGACCTCAGCAAGGCATGCCAGCTGGGGTACCATCCCTTCAGCGAGGACAACTGGGATGGACCAACTCCACCAAGTCATGGTGCGCGACTCCCATTTTTCCATCCTGTCTGGCGAGACGGATTTCGATATCTCGCATGCGACAAGGACTTTTTCGTCGGCCATTCCCCTGAGTGATCCAGTTGAGTCAACATCCATGCCAGAGTCGTGGGTGCGAGCCATTCTGCTCATCCGCGCAAACACGCTGGCGTATCCGAATTCGGGAGTCAGACCTATCCTCATAGAAAGGCTGGTACAACTTCTTAACTTCGATGTCATTCCAAGAATCCCGCTTCGAGGCAGTATGTAATTTCCCCGCTTGGTGCACAAGCCCAGGCGCTTGTTCATCGCGATACCGCCCTCTATAATATCAACGTTAGAATGCTTTGGCTAATCATGTTCTCATTCATTAGGCAACTCGGGCGTTGGAGACTTGAGCCCGCTCTCGTATATTGGAGGCGTATTGCAAGGAAAACCAGCGGTGCAAGCGTACATTGGAGACCGGATCCAAGGCGGACGGAAGCTGGTTCCTGGCGACGAAGCACTGAGTTATGCTGAGGTCGACTCTCTGGATTTTCGTGGAAAAGACGGCATAGCTCTGATAATGGGCTCCCCGCCGTCAAGTGCAGTCGCCTGTTTGGCTCTTCACGAAGCCATGAGTCTTGCTGCCACAAGCATCACACTTACTGCCATGTCGGCGGAAGCGCTGTGCGCCTCGCATCTGCCTTTCCACTCAATCATGGGAGAGTTACGACCACATCCGGGACAAGTAGAGTGCGCGACCAACATTCGCAGTTTCACAGAAGGATCGAAACTGCTTTCTGAGGATGTGAAGGTAAAAGAAATGTTGAACAGAGTTGATCGATATGCGATCAGAACCTCGCCCCAGTGGATAGGCCCCATTCTTGAAGACTTTCAGTTGTCTTACACCCAACTTTTGACCGAAATCAACTCGGCAAGTGATAGCCCGATGATGGAGGCGCCTGGCAAGATGCACCATGGGGGAAACTTCCAGGCCAAATCTGTTGCAGTTGCCATGGAAAAAGTGCGCCAGGGATGCCAGAGTATCGGGCAAATACTCTTCTCACAATGCACCGAACTCATCAATCCTTCATCAAACAAAGGACTACCTGCGCATCTAGTTGTCGGCGAGCCTAGTCAATCGGGTGGATTCAAGGGGACGGACATGCTCATCGCCGCCCTGCAATCCGAACTCGGTTTCTTGTCTAACCCAGTTAGCTCTCACGTACAGTTTGCAGAAGCGGGCGTACAGGCCATAAATTCTTTGGCTTTGATATCAGCCCGCTACACACTAACAGCCGTCGACGTCCTCACCCAGCTCGCGGCTGCGCACCTCGTAACACTCTGCCAGGCTCTGGACCTGCGCGCCCTTCACATACAATTCCTATATACACTCGCTCCCAAGTTCAAGATGCTGACGCGGCGCTGCATCGGCGAATGCAATGAGCAACTCTCTCCAACAAGCGAAGCCAGCGGCAACAGCTCCGAGGTCGTATACGATCTCTGGGTTCATCTCTCATACCAAATGAGCCGCACAATGGACATGGATTCGCGGCAGCGCCACGAAGCAGCAATGGACCACCTGCAGACACGCCTCCTCCGCGAAGTCCCATGTACTCAGCAAACCCTAGAGCTCGTGCAACAATGGCACAGTGATTGCGTACAAGAAATTAGCCAAGTGTATCAATCTGTGCGCAACAGGTATCTTGCAGCGCCAGATGCGACACCTATACTCGGAAAAGCCACCAAGAGGATGTATTCATTTGTACGGAATGTGCTCGAAATCCCGTTTGTGGGTCCCGATTATCTAGCCAATGCGGAGTGGGACGACGGAACAAGCCATTCTGACAATTACAAGTATAGAAGCATGGGAGCGATGATCTCGGCTGTGTATGAAGCCATGCGGAATGGAGCTTTGTACTCTGTGGTCGTGGATTGCTTCGAACACGTGTAGCGTCGATCGCGTGCTTGTTTGGCGACGTCTGCCATCTAGCAAGTTGTGTACGACGGACAGAAGCGGTTTAAAGTCTAACAAGTACATACATTCTTGGTCTTTCTAGCAACCATCTTCCAACGTGTCAAATCCATGTATTGATTTTAATAATGCACAAACTTGCTAACCGATTCTTTCATCATAAGCTGTCAAGGCGTGCTGTTCGAGCTAATGACATCCAGATGTACCGACAAGCTCTACTCGACAACTCGATTCACTATCTTATGGGTTTTGTGCAGATCACGCCTTTGCCAGCAGTGTATCGAATCGGCGAAGATTACGTTAAGTATCTAGACGAAACTTATGCAACTCAATGCTGTTATAGACATCGAAAATTATCCTGTCCTTTCAACTACATCACCTACATATAACATCAAGTGGGGTTAGCGACAACCAACTCACACCCGCCTACTGAATACAATTTCACCTTCCGTCTAGCCCGAGGCTTTTCTCTTCAATGTTGCGCTAGTTGCATCGCCACCTATTTGACGGTAACTTGAACTCTTTTTTCTCAGACAACAACCTTCTTCCATCCTGCTCTCAATTGACTCCTGGATTAGGTCAATGGCCGTCTCCATCCCTTCCAGTCTATTGTCACAATTCCTTCTGCCGTTTGAATCTCCTTCACAGTAGGCTACTCAATCCATAGATCATGGGAACGAGGAACGGGGCCTCCGCATTCCCGGAGAGAATCCGAACAAAGGAGTTTGAGCAGCAGCGCCTATGCGAGCTCCTATGTCACTTCCATAACCTCGCTTCACTTCAATCATTGACTCAACACAGTCACCTTTCATCAAGCCCGCTGCCCTACTTGAGCATAAACGAAATTGTATACTTATACGACGGATCAATCATAAAAACCCTATCCAAATCAGACTGACGGTTTCCAGAGGGTTCGGCAGACGGATGGGCCAGACGCAAGCACTCCTAGTTGAAGTACGGCAGTTCATAGACCTATATTGATTATCGATCTGACTTATCGTGCTTCCCTGGCCGTCACACCTAGAATCTCGGGAGATGCCCAACAATCGAGTTTGATATCAGTATCCAAGAATTACTTTGTGCATTTCTTCATCACCATTACACAGGTCTTCCACTGCTGTGACGTTCTACGTACAGTTTTACAACCAACACAATAAACCACTAAAAAAAGGTATCAAGCAACTGAACAAAAGAGAGGTCTTGAGGTATACGTACATATGCTCGTATATGGGGGAATCGCAAATGGACCAACAAAACACCAACGACGCGAGACTGAGGAAGTACATGAGGACATGCGGGAAGAGGGGAATAAAACTCAAAGAACCGAAAGAGCAACCCGAATGTAGTAGCGGCGACTTTGTTACATCGTTGCGTAGCGCTAAGCAAGCAAAACAGCAAGCAAAAAAACATGGAGCAAGAAAAAAAGGAGGAACCATTTCGATCAAGATCTCTTCTCGTTCGTTGTTACTTCATCCGAGTCACCCGGCAGAATCCCACTCGACCCGCTACAGCTGGCACAACCGTCATCGGTGTCGCGCGCAAGCCTATTAATATTCTCCCTCGCGATGGTATCGGTGATCCAGCGCCAATCAGACAGTGACGAGCTACGACTGAGCCTGTACGTATTAGCATAACCAAGGTTCGATCAAAGAAGAAGCTGAGTGCCTACCTACGGCCGCGTGGGGAATAGTAACGCAAGGCCTTCTTCCCAGCCTCGTTCCGTCACTATGTCGACGACCGGCCTTCCGGTTTCGTCAACGGCTTGCAGGTCTACGGGTCCACCCTTTTCTATGAGGAGGCGGAGGATATCGGCATCTCCGTTTTCCACGGCTTGTAGCACGGCGTTCCAGCCTCTGTGCATTTTGTTGATGTCGGCACCACGCGTGAGGAGGAGTTGGAGGACTTCGGTGTCGCCGGGAAGGAGGCGCCGAAGGGCTTTGACGAGAGGGAGGTGCTCGCCTGGTGCGTTGGGGTCGGCGTTTGCTTCGTCGAGGAGGTATCTCACAATGGGCTTGTTGCGCTCGCGGATGGCGGTTGTGAGCGGGGAGAAGACTCCGCAGTTCTTATCTTCGACGCTTACACCAGATGCGAGCAGCATCTTAATACTTTCGATTTGTCCTGCAACGACGGCCATTTCTACTACGCCTCGGAATGAACGGGGGTTAGGGGTGGCTGCTAGAAGTCGTTTGAGGATTGTGGGGCGCTTGACTGCCATGCAAAGAGGCCAATCTGCACCGCGAACAGCAGGATCGGCACCATTGGCAAGGAGAATGTCTACAACGTCCAAGCGATCGTCACGGATGGCAGTTGTCAAAGCGGTGTTGCCTTCAGGGCTGCGAGTGTTGAGGTCCACACCTTGTTTGATGAGAAAGTTGAGCGCCTCCATGTTGTTGTGTGCCACTGCGCATTCGGCAATACCCTTCGGACTGCTCAGATCAGCACCAGCGGCTACTAACTGAGGTAGATATTGAGGTCGGTTATGTGTGATACACTTGAAGCATGGGTACTCCGCGGCATTCAGATTCGGATCCGCACCGTGTTCGAGGAGATATGTCACAATCTCGCCGCTGTTGTCACGGATAGCGGAGCAAAGAGGTGTATAGACACCATCTTTGCGAATGTTAGGGGACACGCCGGCTTTCATGAGAATCTGAATAGATTCAAGCTTCTTCAAACTCGACGCCAGTTCCATGATACCCGGGGTCTTCTTTGCATCAGCACCGCGAGAAAGCATGAGCTGGAGGACTCTGGGCTTGTAGGTAGATGGCCAGAGCGGGTGCTTGGGCGCTGGAAGGTTGGGATTGGCGCCGTTGTCAAGAAGAACTGTCAACAAATCGACCCTATTCGCAGTGATGGCTTGAAAAAGAGCCGTTGCTCCCTCTTCGTTTTTGTGGTTCGGATCGACGCCGGATTTGAGGAGCATCTCTACCAATGCAGGTGACGAGGTCTTATTCATGCACTCGATAAGAGCTGTGCTTCCATTCTCCATGTTGAATTCTGCGTCGCCACCGTTTGCGAGGTACAGCTGAACAAGGTCGACACGGTTCTCACACGCAGCAAGTGCCAAAGGAGATATCGAGTTCGGACCTGATGATGTGTTTGGGTTCGCGCCACCCTTGATGAGCATTTTGGCCTAACTTTAAGTCAGTTACGTACTGTACAATTGAAGCGTAATCGGACTTACCCCTTCGAAGAACGACGCTTCCGTGGCAGCGTAAAGCGGAGTCCACCCGTTGGCATCGACTCCGCTGGCGTTCGCTCCATATCGGAGAAGTAGCAACATGCAGTCGATATCCCGATTCTGCGCGGCAGTCCGGAGCATGCTCGCTTCGGTCTTCGGATCTGTCCTTGCCCCCCCTTCAAGCATTTGCTCGAGTGTCCTCGGCCGTCTATGCAGCACTGCTTCTACCATAGCGGATTTGCCGTTCGACATGACTGAATCTGTTGGCTGTCTGGCTGATTGCCATTGACCTGAGGTTGGTCCATCGGGTTTGCGGTGTGGTGCGTCTACCGAGTAGCGTTCGCTTAGTGAAAGATGGTGCATATCCTCGTCCACAAAAGCTCGTGATCTCACGGATTCATCCGCTGCGTGGGACCCGTAACCTTGCCCATGGCCGTGGTAACTCCCACTGTGGTCATAGACGCTTTCACGAATAGATTGTGCCCGGTCGACAGATCTGATGCTGGGTGCGCTATTTGCCCGCCAGTCTTGGTGGTGATCCACGGGCCTTCTCATGTCATGGTTCGAAGGACGTTCGTGGAGAGGTGTACGAGGGCGGTCGTGCTGGTTACTAGGAGATCGGTACATATCGACTGGAGAGTTACGCATCGCTAGCGAGTTCTGCATCGAGTTGTGTACGGGGTGTCTGTCTATTGATGAGTGGTCCAATGCCATAGAGTGGACAGTTGGCTGCTTGGATGGTGGGTCTGGTGGCAGAGACTCAGGGTATGGCTGCATTGGTGGAAGCTGAGTAGTTTTCCCTGGGTTCAAACGCTCCAGAGCTGCTGCAAGCCCACTAGGTTCTGATTAGCAACCATGGAAGGAGGAGTAGGGTTTGAGTTCGAAGACTTACGTGTAACCGATGCCCATAGCCTCGTCCGCTTTGACATCGCCGAGAAGCATGCGGAACATGGCCGAACTAATCTTCAAAGTATCTCTACTTCTAGCAATTGTTGCCCTGACCTTGTCGACATCTGTGTCTGCGAACATCATCCGGAATGCTTTTCCAAACCCGCCCTTCTTGGCCTCGTTGTCGACAAACTTTTGCATCATTTGGCCAACTACGAGAAACTCCTCATTGATTCTTCTGAAGTTCTTGTCGAGCTCAGACGTGATCTCACTCGGCAGATCCGTGTGTTTCTTGTTCGCCTCGACCAATCCGGCCTCAATCGACCAGACCAATCGACTGAGCTCGAGAAAGTCGGTTGCAAGAGGGGTGACTGAGCCGCCAATACAGGGTTAGTGAAATCCATTCGAGACGAATTGCTTCAATGGCATCATGCAGCCTTTGATGGGGAGTGTACGTACAGCCATGAACGGGTTGTTTCGCAGCACTGAGATACTCGAGCATGCGAATGGAAATGGTGTTTCCTTGTGTGGTGACACGATTGCACAGAGCAATGGTATTCTCCCTTCGGGGCGCCATGTTTGCTGGTATGTCCACGAAGTGAGAGGAGGGGATTTGAGCGTGACGCGATCGGCAGTGGGTACAGCCAGACAGTTAAAGAACTATAAATGTTCCGAAACGTCTGCGGAGAGAGGGCAGATTAGAGGACAGCTTGGAGACTTGGACCATGGACCCGTGTACCTCGGACTGTCAGGAAGCCAAGGGCTAGGACCCAAGTGACAGCTCTGACAAAAAAGCTCCATGCTGTATCCCGTCTGTTCTGGACGCAGGGTGGAGCGAGTCGTAGACGTACAATCTCGGCCGTATATCCATGACTAGTCCAATCACAGTGGGCTGCGGACAGGTCGTCACAGGTAGCGTACTCAGGGGCACGGATCCGTCAAACTCTAAAATAGTGTCGTGCTCGAGCTATCGGCTACAGGAGATCATCCCCAACCATACACATCGATGCTGCGCTCCGGTAGCTCAGCATCTCCCTGGATGCGAATTGACGCCATTGATTTCATGTGGTCCATGACAGGTGCCATGCATTGACCATTATGCGCAGCCGATCTTCCCTGCCCATCAACAGATCTACCGAAACCCTGGCATAATGTGCTATATGACTCGCGACAGGGGCCAGTAGCACCGAGTACCCCAACATTCATCCATTCACCTCGCAAGCCTGGCCAATGGAACTGCTATCACCCATACGCAAATCTAGGCTGTCGATAGATACGAAGGCTGATCTCCGATCCTTGACGTGCTGCGATAGGGGCCATTGCAGTTTTGAGCGTGCAGATTCTATCAGTGCCCTTGGAAACCGTATCACCACTCCCTGAAGGGGCTAACATCTTTTCCACATCGCAGCGGGCACATTGTGTGGCCCGTCAACGGCTGTACACATGGCAGCACGAACAGCAAAGCATCAAGGTCGGTTTTCAGGAAGTTGCTGTCTCCACTACCAGATCCACACATATTGACGCTTGCTTGAGCTCCCCCTGGTTTCCCAGCTTCAAAAGTAAACTCTTCGGGCGAAAGGATTCCTCTGAAGGATCCGAGGTGGAAAACAAAAAGGCATATGGAGAGGAAAACCTCGGGAGACTCAAAAAATAGCGCAGGATGCAGGATCGTGACTGTGCGTAGGAAGGAACAAATAAGAAAACATGATATCTCGATTCAGCTGCACTATGCTGCTCTCTCATTGATTCCCATTCCGCGCATTTCTCGCTTCATGGACGTTGACCTAGGTAAGGCTCCGGTGCAGTCGGCCAAGCCATCAGTGCCCACAACGCCGTGCAAATTCATGCGCCCCATCGCATCAGCGTATTTTCCAGTCCACTTTCCCTGGCCGTTGATGAAACCAGCAAACTGCTTCCCGACAACAGGGTGAACGGCGAGTTTGGCGTCGGAAGGGAGTACAAAAACGCCATCTGGTGGGGCTGTCGTCTGCGAATAGTATTTGACGTCCCAAACACCAGGGGTGCTGTCTTGAGATTGTCCAGCCTTGCTAGCATCTACGAACCTTTGCCTCGAGGTGGTGTGTGCGCCGAGAAGAGCAGCGAGATCGGCAGCGTCGAATCCTTTGGCTTGAAACAAGGCGTAGTTGGAGTCGGCGGACGCGAAGACGTCGGGTAACAAATTTTCTGGCGCTGCGGTCGTGGAATCGTTACGCCCAATCCAGGTTCTGATGACTGGTCCCATAGGGCACGTCACAGTGGCATGGGCACCTGCGAAGACCACCATGTCTGCATGATATTACTCAATGGTTGTAGGTTGAGGTGGTATCTTGGAACTTACCAGCCACACCCACCTCGTATTTGGTAGCCAAATTCTTGATCTTGATGGAGATATCCTGAAGTCCACGATTCCTCACTGCGCGCATTCTCCTCTTCGTTCAGCACGATACTTCCATCACACCCACCAGTAGCCCCGAGTGATGTTTCCCAAGCCCCGCAATCATGGAAGTTGAGTCGGATAGCAGTGCGCGCATCGTCATTGCATTGACCGTTGGAAAGGAACAGGGTCGATAGCTCTTCCGAAACCTGATTCCAAACTGCTGGACATCTTGGACCATCACGTGCCTCTACTTCGGGCGCAAAAAGGTTCGAGACGGACCGAGGGAGACTAAGGAACGGGAGCGAAAAGGCTGAAACAGTCGATGTAAAGATGAGTATATGTGGAGAATGCATTATGTTTGTAGTAAAGATAGAGATGAATAACTATCACGGGCTCATCAACGTGTCTTTGGATAGAGGAGAGAGGCTGCAGGCAGTCAATTGCTGATAATTTTCACAATCTAAAAGACTCAAAGGCAGCTATATACAACTTCTGCGTCGCGTATCGAGTATTTTGAGGCACTGTAGATAGCAAGATATTTCGGGGAGTGGTGTTCCGAGACTTGGACGACACCCTAAAAAACTACATATGTATGATTCTATTTTACTGACGCACTTCATATATCTCACATCATTTTTCTTGATGTCAACGATAGCAATCTAATTGCACACCTTACTAAGATAGCGCATGAAGGCTATGAGGAGCGATTTGCACCATCAAGAATCAGCTTACTTGCCATCTCACACACAGCCACGCTATATGTAGATGTTTCCAGCCACTAAAGATTTTCTTTGAAGCTCCTCGGATAGAGCCCCGGTGATGACAATTGGTCGTCGAGGTCATATTTTGTAACCATTTGAGACATTTCGAGGCATCGAACTAGGGAAGGGGCTGAGCGGGTATGCGAGCTTAGCCATGCTTATATCACTTGAACTCGGTGAACCTGCCATGAACTCTAAAGTCTAAAACCCCCACGTGCTCATATGCCAGCTGATTGGGGAATTCCCGAGTCGTGAGGCTGAAATACAAACAGAGAAGATATCGTGGCGATGCGGTCTCGAAGAATGGAACCATTGCGCAGCAGGATCACGCTTTGCTGGAAGAGTACAAGCGCGGGAGATCCAGCCGAGCGGGTAGTGCGGGTGTGTAAACCAGGATAATTTGAGCGTGTACACCAAACTACGATGAATTGCGGCCAGGTCAGGGTGGCTTCGATGGAACATAGGGGGCTAATTACATGCATGTTGCCTGGATGTCATTGATATCGCAAAGTAAATCCGTACGCGGGGAGATTCAGGTGTGAAGTGGAGCCAACTTGCTGTCAACATTCAGCTGGGACCGCGAACGATTCGTATTCGGGCTGGCATGCCCACATTGACAATGGATTTTCCAAGTCTACTTCTATGAACTAGCGCATTGTACGAATCAGCCAAATTCTAGCATGGCACATTCTTTTCTCGTGCCTTTGATGTTGACGCTTGGCTCTACGTACCGCAAGAAACCACAGCCATAGAGATAGTAAACTCTGTCTCATATAAGTAACCCTTGCTATACTGCCTCCGCGGAGGCCAAGTTTGTTGAAATGGCCTCGGCTTCGCGTTCGCAATTGCAGCAACATGATGAGCACTAGGAGTTCCCCGAAAGCTGCACTTCTACGGCGATGGATTCAATGTCAATTTGGCCAGGCTGTACCCTGTATGAAGATGCACGATCCAGTGCACGAGCCTGACATTGTCAGCTCACTCCTGCCACGCCCTGACTTCTTCCGAAGAGCAATCTAGATCGATTGATGTATTCAATAGACCAGGCGCGAATGGCTCCCCCGAAGGCGGAGAAAACATGCCAATTTCCGGGGTATCTCGTGTTGGATGGGATCCCATTTCCACAATGCAAACTTTGGAGTTGCACTTTGAACGCCACACATGACTCGAAGTGATCTTGATCGCGTTTTCATAAGGGCGAAGAATTCATTATGCTGCCGAGATGCGCAGCGGGAGGCAGGCCTGGGATGGGTAGTGTTTTCCGGCAATCTCCTTAGCTAAACATCGGCGTTCCGCGCCCGCCCATCATCTTATTTTAAGCTGCTAAGCAGGCCAACCACATTAGTGCACCTCGCAATTGTGGGACAGCCAGCCAATTTTTGCTCGATCTGTATGCCAGTCAAGGTGAACAGTGGTACCCTAGTTTCCAAAGTAAGGTCGTTCCGACATCCTTCCCTTGAATTTCTATTCTAGGCCGTCAGGTCATCCTTTAGTTGAGCTTTGCACTCAGCTTGCAAATTTTGGTCTCCGGAGAACCGGGTGGCTCATCAGATGCGTGTTGGTAAGTAGAGACCACAATATATCAGACTTACGACGTGTGCAAGCACTATGATCATGACTTTGTACGTGAAAGACAAAAGATCTAGGACACTACTCATTGTTGTGTGAGTGCACCATCCCTTGCATTGCCCCAACGATGACTCTGCGTCGCTGTAAACGTTACAAGCTGAAAAGTTCAGCATGGATCAAATATAATGAAGCCAATAGTCTCTTCTATACACTGTCAGAAGTACTGCTAAAGGGGAGTCGTTGAGTAATGAAGCCGACGCGGGATATCCCGTTGACCTCGGTCTCACCGTGATCGCCATCGGAGCCCGAACAATTGTAGACACGTGCTATGCAAACATCAATCGCCGGTTGGGACCTAGTTTAGCTTCGCCGAGGACAGTGGGGATCCATTACCAAGATTGCGGGTTCTGGGAGCGTGCTCCCACGCGACAGCCTCAGAATTCCACCGAGCCCACAGTTACCCACTCACCTGTCCACGTCCGAAGGGCATGCCTAATAGTTATATTAAGTATCCTATGCGCATCCCTTCAGCTCTCTATAATACTGCTCGACGTGTTAATCGAGAGCGTTTTATACTATTGCATTATCGGTGGATCATTGAGTAAAGCGAGAAGGTGGACAGCCTCAGAGTAACAAATCCTCTATCGAAGTGAACTTCATTTCAATTCGAAGTGACGGCCTTTCGATAAGCATATTAAGGGTTTGTTTCAAGGCGATGTGGTTGTCCTTCGTCAGACCGTAGCCTCACTTCTTCGGACATTCCAGTATCCTTCCGCTGTCCGAAAGGCTTGAGCCTTCGAAGAAATTGTTCGATGACTTTATGTAATAAACCCCCAGTGGGATTTTGGGTGATCTTACACACAGCGATGGGTCAATAGCGATCAATAAGCCAAAAACAAAAATGAGCGATTGCCAAATAAAAACACACGAAGACTTCATGTATCAAACTCTGCTCGTATGGACCAAAACAGAATGTAGGTAAATGGTATTGTTTTCGGCGTCAGCTGTCAGACACTCAAAGCATGGCCTCAAGGTGCTTTGTGCTGTCCTGGGATTAGATATCATCTTGCTAAACCAGAGTTCACTTTTTACGACTGTTCCTTGACCTAAAAATGAACGACGGTATATCCGTATTTGAACGTCCCGAAACAGCCATTGGAATATTCAAAAACGTTGGTATGTATGTGTGTAAAGGGTAAATTTCTCCTTGAAATTTTCCGTGTTTGCTGGTTGTTGACTATGCGAAGTTAGTGTGTATAATTGCCCAAAGCTTCCAGGTAACATTTGTGATACTACATGTGTACCTAGATATATATATATATATATATATGTGTGTGTGTGTGTGTGTGTGTGTCTAGGAACACATGGATCATGTGATTTTCGTGTATGTTTCCATGGTTGCATCCACATACCTTCCTTAGAAGCACCCAAGACACTACACGTCTATAGAGCTTTTCAGATATCAATGTCCCTGACTTCCGAACATTTGGCGGACAGGACCGCTTCTCGGGCTCTCACCAAGCCGGCAGAGGGCCCGGATTCATTTGTTGACGATCTTGATTTCACACCGGTCATACCACTAGATACTTAATAGAGCCCCGGAGATCCCAACGACTGAAATCCGATTTCCCTCAACGATTGCATATACTAGATGCTACCATTGGAGAAGACTTGGCCTTTTCTCGCCATAACTACGCAACAGAGTGGTTGAACATAAATTCTAAGAACTCGGAACATTAGTCCGACAAGAAATAAAGCAATTATAACGTAGACGAGGACACCTCTAGTGATTTGTTCTCTCAATCTATGTCTTCCCTGGGCATGTTCATGTCCTACAATGTTGAATGAGAACTACACACTCTTACGACCAACGCAGAAGAAACAGTTTCGACTGTACAGCAAGCCATGAGAAAGTAACCAGTAGCATTCAGGTTACCAATAAACGATATAATGTGCCTCAAAGCCCTAGTCAGGACTGCTAAACAAGAGCACATGCATTAAGACCATGCGTCTACATTTGTTCGTCCTAGCGAGCATTCTTACTTATTTTTACTCCTGTTCCGAGTGGTTTCGAGTTATTCCAGGGTTTGCATGCGATATCTATAGAGGGATATGGCCATTTCAGCGCTGGAGATACAAAATCAGACCACTTATCTGGCAGTTTCTCGGGACAAAGTCTTCAATATTTCGGTATGAAAAGAAGAACCTGATGATGTACCCGAATGAATCAAAGCAAAGATAAAGGCTACACTCGGTTGACGTTTTCCAAGCTCTGGGTGTACTTGATAATAGACGTACTCACTGCATTTTCATGCGGCACCAACTGCTTGTACAATGTGTGTGACGCAAAAGTACATTGATTCAGCAAAGAAAAAAGCAACCGCCATACATCTATCATCGGACCATTTCGTACACATTTAAACAAGGACCCCAACAATCTATTAACATGCTTTCAAAGATACTCGCCTCAAAAGTGGGGTGCGAAATCATCCTGCATAGTCGCGATCAGTTTCGCGGACTTGAATACCTGAAACGCTCTTCTAACAGGGGGCGTGACCTCCACCTCATACACGAACGGATGACACTTCGATGCCCAACCTACCGTATTAGGTAATAGGAAATATGTGCGTTAATAGCTGTAAGTATCACAGTGAGTCACGTTGCTTTCCTGTGTCATCTTGAAATCGTGGTTTTCCGGGTTTCGTGGGATTCGGAAGATCGGTATCATACTGCTTGAGATATAATAATGCATTATCGCAATTTAGATTGGGGGAGATACAGCTGACTCCGGTATCATGCGTAGTCAATTGTGAACGCTACAAATTGTACTCGCAACTGCGCCTGCAACGCCTTGTGTGGCAGGAACTACAGATTAGGAAGAGCAACTCGAGACAGAGGCTCTTGAAAGCACAGTAATTATTGAATATGTCAAAAGAGCGACTGAAGAAAATAGCAATCTCGTTTAGAGAATGTTCATAAATTATTTAGCCAAGCCATGCAGATAGTCTAGCTCACAAAGTAAAGCGTAATGTAGTTTTCCCGAAAAGAGAAAAACAGTTAGATAGAAAATACAGGAAAAGTTTACTTTCATGTGTCCTCCTCCGCCTCAACCAATCTTCCTCCATGAATAATCGCAGCAGTATGGGTCAGCCTCTGGACGATTGAGATGGTCGTCCTAAGCAACGAAGGCTCTGGGGGCAAGACCGACAACGGTGACCTTATTCGAGAGCTGTGCCTCATCATCGAGAGTAGGAGGTGAAAGCTGAGCAGCAGCGGCGCCCTGCTCCCCCTCCTTGTCGTCCTTGCCATCCTGATCTTTGCGATCTTCTTCGTTCTGCTTGTTTGCCTCTTCAGCCTTCTTATCATCTTCTTTTTGCTTCTCTTCAGCCTTCTTTGCTTCCTCCTCAACCTTCTTAGCCTCCTGCTCGTCAGCTTTCTTAGCAGCTTCTTCTTCCTTCTTCTTCGCGTCCGCATCCTTCTTAGCAGCTTCCTCTTCCTTCTTAGCGGCCGCATCTGCTTCCTTTTTCTTCTCCTCGTCAGCCTTCTTAGCAGCTTCCTCTTCTTTCTTAGCAGCAGCGTCTGCTTCCTTCTTCTTCTGCTCCTCGTCCTTCTTAGCGGCATCAGCCTCCTTCTTAGCGGCATCTTTAGCTTCCTTCTTCTTCTGTTCCTCAAGCTTGGCAGCCTCCTCGGCTTGCTTGCGGTCGGCTTCCTTTTGCTGTTCCTCGACCTTCTTCTGTTCTTCTTCAGCCTTCTTCTGGTCCTCGGCGGCCTTCTGGGTATCGAGGGCGGGTGGTGGGGCTACTGCAGAGGCGGTCTGGTTTGCAACAATAGTCGCGTTCGCCATAGCTGGCGGTGGGGGAGGCATGACGGCGGCTGGGGCCTCTTCTACGGCAGCGGGAGGTGGAGTAGCCTCAGCGACGTGGCTAGAAGTAGTAGACTCGACCGAAACAACTACGGCTGGGGGAGCGGATTCAGCGGCGACGTGACTGGCAGACGCCACAGCGACGCTGCTGGTGACGTGCGTAGACGCAGCAACTACTGAGCTTGTTGCTGCCTCGGCGGAGACAACGACAGCTGGTGGTGGAGCGACATGGCTTGAAACTGCCGCGGGTGCAACAGATTCAGAGATGGAGAATGAGGCAACAGGGGCGGCAGTGTGGGCTGGAGGGGGTGGTGCGGCGACATGAGCAGGAGGTGGAGGAGGAGGAGTTGCAACGTGGGCTGGAGGGGGTGGGGGAGCAACATGAGCTGGGGGTGGAGGAGGAGGGTTTTGTGCGGCAGCAGCTGCAGAGTGATATTAGCAAACATATCGTCATAGGATATTTTCTTCGGGGCTGAACTTACCCTCTTGAGCAGCCTTGTCTTTCGCCTGGGCTTCAGCGACGTGCATGGCTTCCATAGCTTTTGCGGCTTCCTGGTGAGCCTTGTCTTTCGCTTGGGCTTCAGCGACGTGCTGGGCTTCCATTGCTTTCGCCGCTTCTTGAGAGGCCTTGTCCTTTGCCTGTGCGTCTGCGATGTGCTGAGCTTCCATTGCTTTCGCAGCTTCCTGAGAAGCCTTGTCTTTCGCCTCCGCTTCCGCGACGTGCATTTCCTCCATCTTCTTGGCAGCTATCAAACTGGTTAGCGATTGGAAGGACAAAAAACAAAACAATAAGCTCACCTTCCTGGGCAGCAAGATCCTTGGCCTGTTCGTCCTGGATATGCTGTGCTTCCATTGCCTTTGCCGCCTCTTGGTGCTGCTTATCAGCCTCTTGAGCTTTCGCGACGTGCATCTGCTCCATGGCATCGGCGGCGGCCTTGTGATCGGCGGCGGCTTTGTCGGCAGCAGCCTTGTCTGCACCGGCATCAACAGGGGGATGCACCGGTGCTGCTTCCGGAGCAACTGCCGGGGCGGCCGGTGGTGGGTGAACAGCTGGTGCCGGAGCCGGTGCTGCGAGGTGGTCGGTCCGTCTTAGGACAGTGGACTCATGGCTGATGGGAATGGGTCCGGCAGAGACCAGAGACACCGAGAGCAGCGAGAGAAGAGAATTAGTGACCTTCATTATCGATAGTGTGGGAAAAAAAAAGAGTTGTTGGGTGGTGATATAGGGGCCGGTGAGGCGTGTGGGACGAAGATCGTTGGAAAGAACGGATCAAGAGCTCTGCTCTGAGTTGTATTACAATTAACGCTCTGCGTGGGTGCGAAAGAGAAAGAAGGCGAAACACTGTTTCGAAGAAAAGAAGGTTAGAATCTGAAGGTCGAAGCAAATTGAGGCTCAAGAAAGATAGCTCAAGGCATCGAAGATATATGATATATAGGATCCTCGCTGCTATGACCACCCGGACAGTTCACCCCCGTGCCAACCGTTCCCCTCGAGCGTCCCGGTTTTTCAGGCCTGTTCACAGTCTGATGCGTCAGTCTGAAGCATTGAAGTCGCTCCCTGAGGCAATGAGGCTTCTGGCCCCTTCCGGATTGAGAACGCGATGCCACATTTCTCGAACGCCATGGCACGGAATTCGACGTTGGCAGCGTTGACATTCGTCCAATGTTTGCGACATGGACGTGGAAACAAAAATTGCCAATGAGGTGCGATGGATGGTTGTGATGTTGTCGTAGGATACGGGCCGGTGGCGTTCTTGGCTAAACTTGAGACGTTAGAGCCAAGCTAACCGTGGGGAGGAAAGCGCACGGGAGGCTCTGCCTGGCGCGCTCTGATTGGCGCGTACCACTGGGCACTCTACATCCGGTTCGAAGCTGGCCGAGTTTCAGCACTGATGACAGGGGCTGTCATGTCGCAGCATTGCATGCGGATGAAGCCATCGTAGCTGAGAATCTGGCCGACCTATCTCATTTGTTTGCTAGACGCGCCTGATTGGGGTGGTGCTCCATCCATCACTGACGTACCGTTTCGTTTTTCTCTTCGTCCAAGTTTTTACGGATGTGAATGTTCCGTTCCTAGACAAGGGGGGTGGGGGATGTGTGTACTACGTGCGTAGTGAGAGAGCAAAATGGATGGGCATCATGGATCACAGAACATTGACCGAATGTGAGTGCTACATGTCTGCTGGACCTATTTCAGATTTAGATACACCTGTGTGGAATCCACGTGGCTGTCAAGTGGTGGGACACCCGTTGACAACATGTCGACATATTCTCGACAGCAGCTAGTGCTTCAAGGAATGTGCACAAAAATATCCTCGCACTACACCGCCACCCTCAGTTATGCTTCCACTAACACTCCCCTGAAGTTTGCATCCACTTTTAGGGCACTCACCCATCGTCACTCACAAACTCTGGGGCCACAAAAACCTTTCGATTGGGCAGCATCCACCATTACACAGAAACAATAGCCGTCATACCATCGTCTCCCCCTGTGGACATTTTGCTCTCTCCTCACGGACCGCACTGACAGCATCTACAGACGCGTATTCTCTCTGGTTCATGTCCTTTGCAAATAGTTTAGCGTAGTGCATAGTTTGGTGCTGTTGGTCGACTAGTCACGAAAGCCCGACATAAAGTCTTGTGTCTTGTTGATTTGCTACTTGGCGTTCATGGAATCATGCACAAATACGTAAGCCGTGAACTTGACTTGTACTGTCGTCGCAACATCGATCTGAGCTGTGCATGTCCTCACGCTAGTAAGTGAGTCAAGAGTGAGTTCGGGGTCGGGTTTCCCATAAGAATGATTGAGAAACAGGGCTCTGATCCCTTCGGATCATGTGCGTTGGAGGGTACGGATCCATTGATGATGGCCGACAGAAGAGGCTACCTCTTGGTATCAAAATCGGAATCAAGCTCAGCAAGCCCAATCTAGTAATCTTCTCGTAAACTTGGTTCAAAGGCCACCTCATTCTCTAAAGCGAACATCGCCGAGGGGAATGTGCACCTGGCCACTGATACCTGGAAGCTACTACATCTTTGTAGAATGCCCAACAATTCTCGAGGCTGTCGGTTTCTTAGGTTACTGAGATAGACTGATGCTATAAAATGGTACTACTTCCTCTTCACCAAATTTGCAACTGGATATCTGAATCTATGGATTGATATCACTTGTACTGGTGAGTGGAGCAGGACTCGCCACGCCGCCGACTGTTCGCCAACCTGAACTACTCGACTCCATCTGGGTGATATGAATATGATTACCATGAGAATCTATAGATAGTTTCGGCTTCAAACAACACCTAAATCGATACTACGGTTCGACATGACAGTCTTCGAGCCACGTGATGAGACTATTCACGCCATCGACCGGATGAAGTTCGGACAGTAGCCGAGCTACCAGCCAGAACAAGTATAGCGCAGCTCCGTTAGGGAGTGTCACTTGTGTCATCAGTGTGCTCAGCGATTGACTCCAGATTTAACTACCATCAGCCCATACGAATAGTAAAAAGAGGATATGAAACGATCTCTGCTGATAGGTATTGCAAACTACTCTGCGGGCATCACTGCGAAGTTCAAAGTGAGAAGTAGGAAACTTTCCATACTACACAAGTCCTCACGAGGATTATAGCTTCAAAAAAACAGGTCTGGAGATTATTGAGATCTTTACGAGGTGGCCAAATTGCGGCTCAACTTGCAGTCTTCCATTCTTTGTCTACACCTCAACGTGCGGCCTCTCAACGAATAAGTCGCTTACTTCGATCCGCCAGGGTTAGACGAAGTCGCCCTGTCTACGATAACCGTCGCTGAGCCTTCTTCCAAAATCACCGCATCACCGTACACTGTGACATGTCCATCCCATAATGGTACCTCCTGCATCAGGGAGATAGCTGCGAAACCAATTAGCGGCGCGCGTCTAGAAGCCGAACACCCTACTATCAACATGCGACTTACTGTTCTGACCTTCTTCGTTGCTGAGGAAGTCGTAACGGAAGCGAGTGTCGCAGACTGGCGTGGAGTCCGGTTCAGACGTGCATGTGGTTGTGATGGGTCCGTCGAGCTCTGTGGTGGAGTACACGGCGGTCAGTGAGTTGTCGTTCCAGGTGACGGCCCATGAGCCGTAATCGGCACGGCGGACGACGGAAGCAGACGAGAGGCCTGTGAGGGTTGCGAATGCGAACTTCGTAAAATGCATCGTGTTGACTAATATGTACGGCTAGTGAATGTGCGCGGGACTGGAATCACTTGTATTTGTACGAAACATAGGGTGAACAATCTTCCAACTTTGCGTCCGTTTATACAACAAACTTCCAAGACTTCTAAAATTTTCAAACCCCGAAATTCAATAAATTCAGACCATGTTTGTTGTCTCTTCTGCGTAGGGTGCTGCGGCGATGTAACCAGGAACGGTGCCGAGTACTGAAACAAGGGAAATGATTCACTTGTCAGCTCCATACTCGGTTAGCGGGGTGCGGGGTGACATGATTGTGCCAATATCTCACGTCTGTATCAGGCATAGTCTACGGTTGTTTCCTGAAAGTCAAAAAATCAGGTAGACATTTTGCAGATCCAAGCTGTATCCAGAATCACTTTCCGCAATAAGTCAAATCGAAGGAGACAAGCTCATGAGGCACTCCATCGACCTTGGCATACAATGATTTCACACGAGAGATATAATGTCGAGTAACTTATCCAGATATCACAGTACTAGTTGGACTTCAGTACCCGAATCTCAATTCCTTTCTCTCCCTCAAGCTACTACACTCAATGTCTGACCTGTAATCCTCTTTTATGCTGTCATATCTCACTCTTCATATCGCATGCTAATGAAGCATAGAAACGGGAGTACAAATGCAAAAGCAACAACAACGATGGTAATAATGTTAGGCGCATCTTGAAATACGCCCTGGACGCGAAGCGTGAAAAGTCTAAGTATCCTTTCGTGGCAAGTGAGTATGAGTAGAGGTCGTTCAATGTCACAGTATACAGCCTAGTCATACAGTAAAAGCGTTCTGAGCCCAATGTCTCTGTTTTTGGTACTTTATTATCACTATGAAAGATCGCTGTGTGGAAGAACAGTCAAGCTCCAACTCTACAGTTCAATTACTCGTCTTGCACTCTGTTGTCACTATTGTGCCGGATTTTATTAATCGCCGTGCGCTTAGTTCAACCAAGGATAAATAATACTTTGAATACGGGGCTTTTTGCTAAATGGAATGTTTTCCAAAGTGCAAGAATATCTGGTAAGCAACGGCTTTGATCTCTTGTAGGGTCTACCAGATGTATCTAACTGTCTTCGACAGATCTTGAACGCAAACTCCCCCAAATATTTGAATCGTTGAATTACCGAAGATAATCCCGAAAACGACTATAAAAGTAGTATGGACAAATAAAGCAGTCCACCAATCTTAGATCGTGTGATATAGTTGTATGTTTCAGTCGGGCTAAACGAAACCAGCGATTGGCGGGTGCTATAGACCTAAGGCCAGGGCCCCCTAGAAGTCATCTACAAAAAGACAGGTGATGGACATTGGAAACAAACTATCCACCAACCGAGATGAAATCCCCGCTTATGAAAAGACATGATGATGACACTGGTCGAACGACGTTATGTAATTCCAAGTGGGGCGAATCGCTCATTCAGACAAGCTATTTATCATGATCTCTCCACCCCGAGCCTGTGGTTTAGACAATCCTATCCAGACTCTTGATTCTTATGTAGAGTTCAAAAATGCTTTCTTCATTTGTCACTGTGTCTTTACTATTGCCACTTTTCTCAGTCGCAGCCGTAGTTGAAAAGCGCGCAACAACCCTCATTCCAAAGTCGGTCTTCGACAGTGTCTCGAACCTAGAGCAATACTTCACCTACAACTATCCATGGGGCGGTAACACGCATAATGGCGGTGCACGGATGGATTCAGCACATGTAAAGATTCCTTCGCCTGGTCAGTTGACGATAAAAGCACAATATGTGACAGGCCAACCACCTGCGACTCATGGCGGACAGCAAATCGCAATCAATTATTTGTCCGGAGCTATAGGCGCGAAACAAAAATTCACAATTCCAGTTGGCGGAGGCTTCATCTTTTCCGGAAGTTTTCAAGCTACCACTGCCAAAGGCACATGGCCAGCTTTTTGGCTGACTGCTGTTAACGGATGGCCTCCAGAGATTGACATGGCGGAGTGGAAGGGCAGCGGCAAGATTAGCTTCAACACTTTCAACACCAGCAGCGAGTTGCAATGGAAGGACGTCAACTATAACAACCCTGAAAACTGGCACGATATCAAGTGCCAAGTGAGGGACCGTGGGAATGGAAAGGATGCACAGGTGAAATATTGGCTAGACAGTACAGAGGTTACTACTCACTATGGAAGAGACTATGTGGGAAAGCCATTATACCTGTTTGTCGGAATCTAGCTCTCTAGATGACAAGAAACTGACGGATAGCAGAATTATCAATCTTCAGATGGAAGGCAGCAGTGGAAAGCCCGGGCCCAAGACAGGTAAACTGTTCTGTGCTCATATCGGTCAAAGACGCCAGGGGTACTGACAATTCTTTAGATACGGCATATTCTGTTCGAGATTTTGAGGTAACGACGTTGTAGTGTCATCTTGGAAGATGCGACAGATTCAGGCCAAAATTCAAGTTCGGCGTATAATAATTACATGTAGGCAGAAGCTGGAAACCTGGCTGCATCATGCCGAAAAATGGAAATTATGTCGCATTGAAGCAGATCAACTTTCTCAAATGCTGTTTTCAAATTGGCTACATTGACCAACGATTGTTAGGGATATGTCCGCATTTGAATCGTTTTCTTCCCCGCTGACTTTACTGCATGTGACTTTGAAACGCGATCGCGTTCATGTGAACGAAAGCCAGATTTTGCGTCACTAGTGAGTCTCCTAAGCGTACTGAAACCGTAGGATCACCCAATTAGTCCGAATGGGAATGCTCCCCTCATTCGCGACTCATGACACCAGCCTCCAGACATTAAAAACTTGAACTCTTTTCCACTCTTCTTGCCACTCAAGTTCGGCAGAATTCTCATCGTAACTCGAAGAATCAAGCCAGCGCTCTGTACCGTACCCTTCAGGTCGCCCTCTCCATGGAATACATGCCCTGAATAAGAGCTCATCAGAGCCATCAGTCAGGGAAGAAGATGCCTGGAATAAATTTATCCTAAAAAATCCGCTGGTATTCCCTAAAGAATTACATGCCGTCAATGAGAAATCGTCAGAGTCTTCAGTAATAGACAGAGATCTCTGGAATAAACCTATCCAAGAAAACTCACTTGGAAATCCCGAAAATTCTGTACTTCCTGGCAGTTATCGTGATATTGTGCTCCCAGAGGTGTACGGCGAGGTGCCCTGCCATGAGACTGTATGCTGGTATTTCCCCCTGGTGAATACTTCCTGCTCACCGAGTTTAGGCTACAGTAGTGCGACGCAAGATAAACGACCTAATCACGAAGAAGACTCCCATCCCAGGTTCCGGCAAGGTATTCAACAAGACTTCCATTTGCCAGGAGCTTTGTAAGATCGCAGAGGCGCATCATCCGGTCAAGACGGTAGTTGGAAAAAGCAACCGCGGACCCGGTGTGCCATCCTTGAATCGTTTCCTCAAGAAAACTGGATCTATGGGTGGCGGAGACTCTCAGACGTACTATTATGGCACCATGCTACTTGGGAAACTCCGGAGTTGGAACGGTGAGAAGAAGACCAAAGGAAGGGAGAAGGCTGAAAGAGAGTAAGATACAGCCCGCACAGGCGGTGGCCTAGTCACGGCTGACTGACATAGGTTTCCGCGTGGACATTTAAGAGTTGATCCGGCAACTGCAAAATTTTATTACGCTGGACCTAACGGCAGAGATTCCTACTCCCAAATCGCCAGAACGCAACGCGCATCGGATGATGACGAGCGTTTTTGATACTAGGCCATTTGCCCGTCGTTCAGGCGTATGGAACGGTATATCCGAGAGAACTAAGCACTTTGCTCTCAGTATCTAGATTGATTGTGGAATTCTGCTGCGCACGTAAGTGGAAATTGAGATTTTATAGTAACAGTGTTATCTTCCAAGCGGTAGACCTCGAATCCTACTTTCAATGAATTAACGAACCTCTTTCGATTGATAGACCCGGCGCTGCTTATCCGAGTAAAGGCGAGGTTATCCATGTAGACGAATCATGGTGAGATCGGCCCACAAGAACTTACACAAAGTTGCAGCACCAAACGCAATCAGAAAATCGATAGAGTTGTTTGCGCACGGTGCGACGTTGCGTGGCGAAGGCTGGTCTAGCACAATGTACAGTATGTGCAAACATTCTTCCATCATCAATTCATTGATCGGAAGTCACATCATCGGAGAATACGAGTAGCGCTACTCGAAAATGACATCAATTGCAATCAAGGCGAATCGGCCCCGCTGTTGATCGTTCCATTTGCGGTATGGCAACTGCACCATCGCCAGCTTCGGCGTAACCGATTTTCAGAAGAAGCCTTAAAAGAGGATAGGGTTGGTCACGAACTGGGTGGCTGAGTGACATGCGTTGGTGTTGTCTGGAAAGGATTTATTGCTGATGCTGCGGCTCATGCTGTGCCCCGTGTCGAGCTGACAGTGACATTTGCCCTCTCTAACATCGCCCTTCACCGGCTAGGACACTACTCCTTGTCATATATTAAAGAGGCTTCTGACTACCACCAAATTAACCCACAAGAATATATACTGAAGACTCAAGATTTTCTGCAAAAAATATACGATACTGCCGCCCATCCTGCCATCCTCGCATTGGTAGTCTAACGCATATCATCATGATCGCCCCAACAACGTTCGGCACACTCTTCGCAAGCATTGCCATAGCGCTTCCAACATCGAATCTTCTGCCACGAGCAGGAGGTCCCGCCATAGTACCTATCCCTTCGAATTGTGCCGTCACAAATCCAATGGAAGCCACGACACTCGGCACAGCTTTCCTCCCCGCGTCGGCAACCGAGGACGTAGCCCTCTATTCAGCTTACTACCCCTCAAATTCTGCAAACACCACCCAAATGGCAGAGCAATGTTCCCAGCAATGCTATGGGTACGGTGATCACACGGAATGCAAGGCATCGTTCTGGGCCGAAAATGTCGAGATACCCGAGGGACGATTAGGGGCCGGGCAGCTCTCGACCGCTTGCTTACTTTATAAACGGGCTCTCACGGATTTCGACTTTACGCCCGCACCTGAAGGAGAGGGAACGAGTGCTTATACTCGGAATATTGCGTGCTGAGTATTGGTCGGCATGATGTTCATCAGATCGCGCGCAATGGAGGCAATCGGGAGACACTGCGGATCCGCAAATGGCGTATTGGCGCTTTGGAGCGAACATTCTTTGGGAGCGAAGGACGGGTATAGCATGGTCTGGGGCAGGTCGGATAAACGATGACCATCAGTTGTTGGCGTTTTGGGGGACGAATGGCACGCTGTTGATGTTAGTTTGGATGTTATTATTATCGCTGGCATATTGCGCTGTCACCTCATCAGGTTCTGCCCATGCCTCGCTGCGCGCCTCTAATTTATTGCTTTGCTGCATTGCCTCAATCTGTCTGACTTGACTATTGAATGATAGCGTATAACCGAAATCTTGTTTTTGGGAGGTTCGTATTACAAGCGGAACCAGCCCAAAAGAACGAATGTAATATTGCGACAAGGAAGAAGAAATGGTAAAAGAGCGACAAAAATGAGAGATTGGTAAACTCGACGAAATCCAGTTCAAAGGGCAATGTCATCTTTATGATGTCCTCGTTTCAGGAGGATTGATGCGAATTTCCGAAATCTTATGCCCCGCCGCCTTTCAAACAGCCCAAATCCGTCGGCTTACGGCGCAAGAGCCTCATGACGCAACCACCAGCCTTGTATTCCGGCACATCGTCACCTCTTCATCCAATTGCTGCAGTGAGTACATCTTATGTGATCGTTGTCTGCATACATCTCACTTGATCACTATTTTTGAAGCGGCTCTGATTCAAGCTTCTGTGGTGAGCTTCGCTCGGATGATAGCCGAAAGGGACCCACTACTCATCTACACCGCTACTGCATGGGGCAAGCGTGGTGTGCACGCTGGGATTGAGGATTGTTCATGTCCTGACTGGGCTGGTACACAAAGGAGTGGAGCTGATAATCGATCTACTAGCAATACGTACTGGGGGGTTCCGTTTCTCAAGCACATAATGTGCGTTTTCAACACCTTCCATTCACACATTCCTCCCTTTACTACCAGTGATCACTAATCCACTAATCCATCGGCCCCAAGTATAGACACATATAACCACCATTATCTACACTAGATTACTTGCATAAACAAAATAGTAATCATTTCCTCCTCAAGGTGGGGTCTCCACTGTAGCTGCAATCACTAATCTGTAGCCTTTGCCGAATAACCGTTCAGTAAACCGAATTTCGACCAACCCTCGGCTGAAACTGCACAATGAAGACAGAGCACACCGCACGAGCGGACCAAGTCTAATAGGAAACAATTTCCTGTTGTTTGTGTTACCATATTCCCCAATTCTTCTAGATACAAAAGTATTTTTAGCCAAAATTTGACAGATGTTGGTGGCGCGTGCGTCGGACGGTCTCTCCGTGGGTTGAGTTTGCCCCCACCCAATGGTTACCACAAGTAATGTACACGATAGCATCGTCGACGTTCCAAGCGGAAGAGACCATTGTGAAGGGCGAACATCCGGTTGATCATGAAGTGGGGTAATAATAGCATTGTTAGTCTGATCTGATCTGTCCTGATTCGGACCCGTGTGCGCGCGGCTATACGAATTCAAGGCGACCATCATTTACCCATGTTTGCTTATGGAAAATCCGTGACGGGTGTCAACGCTTGGTTGAAACGCGAGGCTTGAGATTCCCCATTGATGTGGGGGAAATACAAACTTGGTGGGTAGGGAAAATGATGCGAGGTCTATAGATAGTACGTAGACGGTTCATGATACCCACACTTCAGTATGACTAAGGGTCCGATTCAACAGAACAACACAGAAAGCAAATGATAGTACGAGCGCGCGTGCAAGAAGCCCAATCTCCCATAACCGTAAAGCCGCGAGGCTGGCCCCCACCCCCAGGTTACCTACCTCCCGTGCACGAGAAGTGTCCTCATGGGGTTGCTGCATGCACCCGCAATCGCATGTTAGGAATCCACGTCTAAAAACATGTTTCACAGACCTCGTCACGATCTTTCCCTTTTCTCCATGTCCGCCCACTACATCAACTCCAAACAGAGACCTCATAGTGCGTCTGAATTCAGACGTTCGCGCCGAGATAACGCCCAAAATAGTCTAGTCGTCATAATCTTAGAACGCGCAAGGGTCAATAGTCACTCACTGGAGTGATCTAATCAGCCAGGCTACTAGAATATCACGTATGAAATGCTTTGGCCTTCACGGCGGTTAGTGGAGCGGTTGGGCTAGGTCTAGGTTCGACCTCTTGCTATCCACTATTGAGATCGGGGCCATACAACTGGCCTAAGAGATCGCGATATGAAGCTTGTTTTTGGCACTCTGGTGCGAGAGGATAATCGCAGAGATGGCGGGCCTCGTGCTGTAATCGTCCGCGATGTCCTGCAGGGCAGCGTGGATGTATGACGTGTACTAGCTATGCAAGTGTGCGCATGCACAATGCGTTCATGTTTATTTCAAGAGCAACAGCGGGAGTATGTGCGTCTTTGCGTCTCAGTGTTCAAACTTGTGGAAATTAGACAGGTGGAGAGCGGTGGAATATATTAGGAAATGATGGGGAAGTGCATGGTGTGAAAAGAAATCTAATTGGACACTCCGATTGCAGATCGAGAAACACAGTAACCACCCTATCAACCAATTTACATGCAATGGGAAACAGGCAAGTGTTCCAGCCTTTTGTCATGAGAGGGTTGGGACTTTTGCTTTGGTTTTTCATGTACATTTCAACAACCTAGCGAACTCGACCCAATAAAGCGAGATCAGCGAGAAACACAACCCTAATCCGGTGATGAATCAAACATCCCAGCGCTGTCACGCACGCGAATTGCATATGACCCCTTCAAACGCCGCAACACCCTAAAGTTACGCGGAACTAAGGTGGTAGTATTCATCTGTGCTCTGGGGCGGCGTGATGACGGGCTGGGCCGCTGCTCACCCAGTGTTCAATGATCACTCGCTGGGCTTCTGATTCGTTCACGCCGGGAATTATACCTTTCGCTGATGCCAGCGCTGCTTTGCTGCTTTGGGAAACGACCCGATATATTTGAATCCCCGGATGGAGAAGTTGAGGAGCAACGTCTTTTTTAACGAGATCGCCGTCTGACAGGGTTCCCACTCCAGCTGGCGAGTGCTCGGCTGGAAGAGGGGTTAGACCCCAAAGGTGAGCGGAAAAGCATGGGACTTATCGGGATAGGGGCCAATATGTGACTTGTGTGAACTCGCTGAAGTGAGTTTGGTTTGATGCTTTGTTTGATGTTCATGTTCCTTTACTACTATGGTCTATCTAGTAGTGATACTATCGCTTTTTCGGTTATATGTCCGAACTGCAGAATTGATCGCTACCCCGTTGAAAGGTCGGATGATAGCAACGAAGGGAATGCGCGAACCTATGGTCATGAATTCTCCAAGAAAAGCCTGCCATGATACATCACCAAAAACTGATGTTGGAAATGGATGGAAATTCCACTCTATTCAACCTTCCAGTGGGATTGAAAGAATTGATTCATAGTAAATTGAATGTACAAACAGTCGTTAAATTCCATGACTCCAAAAGCGCCGGGCTACATGAACTGCAATGCAAGTGGTATAATCATAGTACGAAATCGTGCCAAAAAGTGCTCAAAGATGTCCAGCCGTTTATGCGCTCTCAGTTTTCACAGCCACGCTTTTGTACTCTCCGTGTAAGATGTCTAGAAGCTTGCGGAGCGTATCTGTATTGCTGCTCCGCCGCCGGGTTATCTTGCCATCATCCTCCTCGCCATCGGCATCATCGTCATCGTCTTGCGTGAGAAGCTCGATAGTCTTTCTGAGCTTTTCATACGCAGCGTTCAGTTCGGAATGAGAAGATTCGAGTTTGTTATATCTTTCTGTCAGGGCGGAAAGCTGCACTTCAAGATCCCGCGCATGTTTTTCCTTGCGCTCGCGAAATGCTCTTTGGGCTGCTCTATTTTGTGCTCTTCTCCTCTGTTACTGTTAGCGTGGGCGAGAATCACGAGATTGGATCGGAAGTCTTACCCCTGAAGTTGTGTGTTGGCGATCTGCGCTTGATGATTGGGGAACTTGGCCGTACACTTGATCTAGCTGCTGGGGAAGTGGTGGTGGACTACAATATGGTGGGGTATCTTGATCGGAGCCGAATTCGGGAGGCGTCATTGGTATCTGGTAGGCACCAAAGTGCATGGGCTCGGCGGGCACTTGAGGGTAGTACTCTTGCTGTATCTGAGATGGGAATTGATCGTAAGTGGACGAAACCTATAGAAATTAGCATCTCATGAATGTGGTGAAGTAGCTTCATAGAAGAATACTGACTGGTGAGCCGCTGAGACTTGGAACTTTGGAAAGATCTGGAGGCAACTCGAACATTGCAGGCTGGTGAGGTGGTGGGATATAGGCATTGTTCTGGCCCATCCAATAGTCGTAGGACGAAGAATCCATTTAGTCGAAAGTCAATAGATGACCAAGGATGTGAAGACGCGTTGCTGATGCAGAGAAGATGTACAGAGCTGAAGGGCTATGTGGTTTCTCTACCCTTAGCAAAGCTGTGTAATCAAGGTAGATGATGCGAAGAAGTTGCGAAGCGGGCTGGCTCTGTTTATGGATGATTATAGTTCGATCTGGCTTACACGATAGCGGGCAGCTGAGAACTTATAGCGCGGGATATACAGGTCTGAATGGGGGGAGCTGCTGAAATTGATGGCGGCGGTGGACAAGGGCCCATGCCCAGCAGAACGGGAACGCATGGACCCCGGCCAGTTTTTTCAGGTGCAGGGCTGGGAAGGGACTGTGGTGCATGAGGGGTCCAAGTCTCTCAGTCCGTATGTCTGGGCACTGGAGCACGCAAGCTTTTCGAGAAAGTTATTCTTAACACTGAGTGGCTAGCCGTGTCGTATACTGGCGGGGGACGTGCGTCGAGGTGGATAGTATGGCGCCCTAAGCCTATTTGGGTCTGTGATAAACTATTGGACAGAACGTTGCACCCCATGTCTGTAGGGTAGCCATGCCGTTGTCGGCAAACCTGTATGCATCCATCGGTTCATCATGGGGTTCGATGCCAGTGAGACTGTCAGTTTCACGATGCAGATGGATGTGGTAGGTACCGTCCCCTCGAGTATAGTTGATGCCTTTCCTACTAACAATAACCTCAGTCAAAGTCCGGCCGCGTGCTGAATAACAGAGTCCGGGGTGCTCTGTCCGAAATAGAAAAATCAAGCAGAGCAAAGAGAAGAAGCCGGCAACAGCACGCTCCTCTCAAGGCCATCATCGTTATCGCCAGCAATTCTTGCTTTGGACAAAGAGAAAATTCTGCTGTATGCATGTTCGACTCATCCAGTTCTGCCGCAAGTTGCCGCAAAGGCCTTCGGCAAGCAGTGCAATAGTGGCCGTGTCGTCATTACCGATCAGCTAGCATGCCCTCTTCAGCTGCTGTACTGATCAGTACCGTCCTGCGTCACTGCATATGTACCAAAACGCACGGGGTGCCACTCCCTTTCGGCATGCCAAAGTGGCCGGAACTCGGTCGAGAGTCGAGCGAAAGACGCTAGCCCGAGTTACAGGTCTCCTGTCCAGCCCTGTCACCGACTTTACTCGGTTAACTCCCACCCCCATGAACGGATTTACGCATCCAGCCATGGACATGATTTTACACGGTTCGACGCCGGACCATCATTATCACACCAACGGTGTAGCGTCTGATGTAAGGCAACGTGGCTAGGACACATGCTGCAGCCTCATGAGACTTGGGTTCCCAACAAGCTACAAGCCACAGCCAGTTAAGAATGACCCGATTAAGAATACATGCAGTCCGACAGTAAACAAATCGAGTCCTAGCTGTCTTTAACGTATAAGACCCCTATCTACAGTACACAAGCAGAGGCCACCGTTCCATGCACGTGTGCGTGGTCCCCTAGTACACAGGTGTATCTTTCCGGGATCAGAACAACAGGGATATGTCTTATCGATACGTTTCTTCCCGTTACTCGGAGAAGACGCAACAATTTATCCATATTTGCCGACAAACCGTTGCAGTATCGTGAAGCTGAAGACCATACGCTGCCAGTGTAGGGTGACGATCTGATTGCTGGCTTGACCCGTTATCAGTGTTCATTTTCCGTAAGCCTTCTGAGAATCTGCCATGACTATGTTGTGTTGCAATAAACCCTGCAACGCCAAACTTACACGAGCTATCCCAAACCTCGAAGAAGAGCTGCCCTCAACAAGACAATCCATCATGTACACACTGTAGCCTGTCAGTGAAATCGGGTGTGGCATGAACATTCTCCTATACAGGCCTTTGACGCTTGACTCGAAAAGGAGAATTCGAAGGAAAAGCCAGGACTCCATAACATCCAAGACGACCTTCATCGCTCTTTTTATCAACTTCGCTACCCTCTTCTTCAGACCGCTCAATCACACCCAAGTTGCATCGCATTCGTGTTGATCGGACCATGGGGCCGTCCGTGCGTGCATAAACGAGCGTCTTATCTCATCGAGGGCCCAATTACCTCAGTCACTCAAAGGATGTGCCGCGAACACCTCATCGCTGTGAATATGCAGAGACAGGATGCCCCGCTGCTGACGCATCAACTTTCCTGCAAAGTAATAAGGTACCTCTTCCCCAAAGCTACCCCGCTGCCGCTAAATCAACATTCCTTATAGCTACCCATGTTTCTCGGCTTCAACGTTCCATGTAGCTGCAGCACTAAGGCATACAGCTTTTTGGCGCACTATGTACAGTGGGGTCAACTTGTTGCTTCACCTGCACCTTGAGGACGGGAGCCGGTCACGTGCAATCATTCAGCCCACCTCATCGCCCGAGAATATGAGATAGAACATTAAATCATTGGAACTGCAGGTAGGACGAAGTAACCTGTCATAACTGGCCCTTGATACAATTACGTAACTATACAGGTGTGCACTTACTTGCCCTTCTCAATGAAAAACTCGCTAGTGTTTTGACGTGTCCACGATGAACTCATGTCAGAAAGTCGGCTTCTTCGCGACCCAATCATTTATCTTGGGGTATTGATTATCGGATGTCAAAAGACGGCGTCGGCAATGGGATTGTGAGTTTGGTTAGCTCATATCTTTTTGGGGGCGAAATAGCCCGTTCAATGAGCAAGTTATGGCGCAAGCCGTTCTAAGCTTAATACTTTCTCGGCTCCTTCGACTTGCTTTATTTGAAGTCGTAACACAACTCTGCACGCGTGACTCCATTTTAGGAAAGTGGAACATGTGGTACACACAGCAGACTTCGTGCGGTCTATTAGGAAAACTCTACGGGACCCTTCTAAACAGCTAGCTGATCGATTGGATTTGGACATGGCCCGTGTTAAATGGCACCATGATCCTTCAGAACAATCGGGAATATACAAGCTCATATCGCTTTCTCTACAGGAATACCAAAACTCAGTGTGCTTGAGGATGGAAGAGTCAATTACATCTTCATGGTGTTTTTTTACCACCCGCAGGCGCACAGCATCTCCTTTCTTTGCTCAATGCAGTTTGTCAGTCTCTTAAAAAACCCCGATAGTGATAGAAGCTTGATCGAGCAGTTATCTGTCAGAAGCGATTCCCCTATATCACACATCGATGCCCGAGGGTTGCCGCTTGAATACAGATTGGTGTATGCAGCCTTGTCGTATTTGTGCCGTCTACCCAGGGTTATTCACCTGGCAAAAAATAAGATCTGCGCATACGGCAAGACGTGCGGGAAGTATACAACTGAGCCGCTGCAGGCGCAGAGTTTTGGACAAATCGTTTTCTACTAGGCACGAATAAGACTCTTAACTACTCGGTCTGACAAACATCACAATTTCACCTTGCATTGTGAGTTTGATCATACTCAAAATATTTCGTGTGTGAGAATATAACCGACACCGGGCTGCGTGCATACCGACAGAGTGCTGAGTTGGAGCAAGCAGTACCCGGTGAATCAAACGTCTCTCACATCAGTGGTTTGATAAGATCTAGTCATCGCAAGGAACGCGCGTTGACCCCCATGAAAAGGATAATAAGTACGATGCCTAGCATGACAGTATACTCGAACAATGGGGAAATGACATCAGATGCTTGGTACAATCAGCACTATACTTCAAGTGTTCTTCCAAGGCTGGCTTAGCTTCCCTCACTCGACTCTCACGTTTCTAGATGTTCTTAATCTTATCTCCTGGCGTCATCCCTTTGCCCACCTCACAGGTTCACTTCTCACCAGATACTCGTCTCCAGGTCTTGGGATACCCACGACTAAATCGCCACTGCTCGCATTCTTTTTCCGTATTCTCCAGTAGCCTACGACGCCAGCCAAAAGCAACATCCTCTATGTGACCTATGATCCCAAATTCCCATGATAAGATACCTTCTGCTCTTGCGCCATCGGGGTCCCGAAGTAGTCCGACAGCGATATCAACGACTTCAGGTCGATCGTCCGTCGTATAGAGCACGCAAGCTGAGCATGTGCTGCAAAAATAGCGTTGAACGCCAGGTGAAGATGAGTAATAGGTCAGCGTTCCGATGGATGGGTCTTTAGCATCTACAAGAGCTTGCAGATCATGTTTCGACTCCGGAAAAGATGTGGATACCGAAGACGGGAATGATATTTGACTCAATTCCGAGTATGTCCATGGCCACATTTCGTTGCCTCCTGAAAGGCGGCAGGAGTCGCACGCACAGAAGAGAGCTAATGGCTTGAGTGTAGCAGGATCAATGAACCAAGGCAGATCTTCTTTTTTGAAGTTCTCGTAGTCTTGCTGACGCCAAACAAAATTGACGCCCTCGCATTTGCACCGGATTGAGATTTCATCCTTTTTCTTCGAGCCATACGACTGTACCCCATCCAGGTAGGGCCAGTCCATTGGGAATTCAGACACTCCCTTTTGTTTGGCCCGTTCTTTATGTCTCGTGGCCTCGGTCCCTGGATCATTTGGTTTCTTCATCCAAGCAGCCGCCCCTCCGTCCAAGGTATCACCGACAAAAATGTGATGCGATATCTTGATGACGCTGCGCCCTCCCGCATGTTCGTTCTCGATGGTTCCTGAAAATGCTCCAAGCTGCTCATCGGGATTGTTCCGATTTGCGAAGAACATTGGCGTTGAGCATGTGCCACAGAATAAGATATCGTAGTTTGGGGTGAATTGGTATACGCTGAGACTTGATACATCAACCTTCTCACGTTCTTCGGGCCACGGTGGGTCGAGGGTGTAGAATGCACCCGTGACATGACGGCAAGAATCGCAGTGACAGGCAGAAGTCACGAGAGGAAGGTCGAAGATAGAGACTTGAGTGCTGAATTGATGAGCTTTGCAGAGACAGCGAGATTTAAGTTCGACTGCGTGCCTTTGCTTGCCGGCCGCGACAACGTGGAGAGAGGACATGAATGGGATAGTAAAATTTGGATGTGTGAGTTTGGAGGGAGATGTTCATGGAGAGTGTTCAGTGCTTTGAAATACGAACGACGAAATGTTGTTGCCTTGGATCGGCTACGGTGATTGGCTCAGTAATGGTGGGAATGTGGGGCGGGTCGCGCATGTTCAAGTGCGAGAGACGCGCAAGAGAGTTCAGCCAGATGTTGCATTTCATCGCCGTGACGTCAGATGATAATCGCGCGCGAGAATATGTCTGCATTGTAGCAATATTGATTTGATCATAGGTGTTTTTCTTTTACTACCAATGCAGTCACAATCTGTTTGAATGGCTCAGACCATATGTGCTCGTGCGATGAGAATGTAGCTATGTTCAATCTACTACTGTAATACCCTGAGCGCCATAACCCAGCAAGCCAAAACCTTAATTGACGATCGAAAGCGAATGGAGAAGGAATGTAGGACGGGATCAAGACTCAGTCTCGTTCGCACTCCGACCAGAGATTACACCAGTCAACATAATGGCATCATCGACCATGTTGTTTAGTTGATCGAATTCTCCTTGCAGCCACCTATCCAGCAGTACTTGATCCTGGTTGACAAAAGTAGTTCTGGCTGCTGGAAGAACTTTTGTGCACTCCTTCAAATCGTTGATGTTGTTGACACCCAGCAAAGAGAGGCGAGTATATGCTTTAGACCAGTCCTAGTGCCGTTAGTATATATATATATTTGTTGGATTGGGGTCTGAGGATGTCGACTTACAGAATTCCAACGGCCTTGCACGCTCATTCCCTGCCACAAGGCACTCGTCCTTGAATCCTGGCTCAAGGCTATATCACTCGGGAATTTAATGATCCTGGGAGGCGTGCTGGTGGTTGTCTCTCCGTAGAACGCTACATCCCACACACCAGGTGTCGAGTCCTGTGGATCGCCGTCTCGTGATGTATCAAAGAAGTGTTGCTGAGATGTAGTGTGTGCCCCGACTAGGGCTACAAGATCCGTGGGATCGATGGTTTTCGCGGCAAACAGTTTGATAATACTGTCCGCCGAATCCCGGGGGCTGGGTAGCAATCCAGTAGGCCCAGCTTTCGCATTGTCTTTCCGACCCACGAAGGAACGCACACGGGGACCAAGTGGGCACACGACAGTAGCGACATTCGCGCCCATTTGAATGAGGTCGGCCATGGAGACACCGTATTTGTTGTACTTGCTGTACCATGCCTTCATTTGTTCTGCGATAAACTCGAGTCCGCTGTTCTCGCCGCGGTTGATTTCGTCTGTGAGCAGGATACTCCCGTCTGCACCTCCGAAGCTGCTGCTAGTCGACCAAGCGCCTGAATCGTGGAAGCCCAGTCTGACTGCGGCCCGCGCATATTTGGTGCATCTTCCTGAGCTGCCATTGAACCTTGCGGTCATATCGTATGAGATCCATTTCCAGATACAGCAGAGATCGGCTTTGCATGCGGCACTGTCGGGTGTCTAATCGAGGGAGCACAAAGTCAGTAAACACTTCTACAGAAGCCACACAGGTAGATGAGTACGTCCAGCATCAAGCTGGTAGAATGTTACTCTCAATAGATAATCACATACCCCTGCAGGTGCCCCTGTATCAATCACGGTCGAAAGAGCGTTTTGCTGGTTCAAGAGAATGGCCTTGATGTCTTTACCCACCGAAGTGAGCTGGCTATCCTTCAACGTCTTGAGATCCCCAATGAGTTGCTTGGTATCTTGACGAGCTTCTTTTGCAGATGCATGAAACTCGCCCATGTTTGCTGCCATGCCTGGGTAAGCATTGATGAGAGGAGCGAGCGACACTGCAGCATAGCTGCAAATGGTGAAGAGCTTCATTACAGAGAGTCTCTCTCAGAAACGAGCGTTATAGAAATATAGAGAACGATATAACTGATAGCAACTACCAGCTGCTTCTGAGTCTTATCTTGCGAAAGGAGACTTGAACGGGAAGTATTTATACACAACTTCGACCACGTCGTGCGGTGGCAATGCCGCAAGCGCGGTCCGAGCCATATATCTCTGGACGCCGTATCTGTAACACTATCAGCTAGACACGAGTAAATTATATGAACACGATACCGTATCATGCATCTCTTCTCCAAAAGCGGGAGAACTTCACTTCAGCCCGACATAGCGGATCCTTCGAACAACATCTGGGCACCGAGTCTTCGTAGGGTGTCTACTAGTGTTTGTGAGTAAGAAAAGCTGACAGCCAAGAGATACTATAGGATCGGTCTTATTGGGCAAGATGTGCATGGTGGCTCTGCGGATTTGTGGTACATGTAACACCAGAATACGTACAGTATATTAAGTCTGCACCTAAAACCCGCCTTTAGCGCTTGCAGTCCTCAAACGGGCTTGGTGTAAAAAACTGGCACAACATATATACTGAGTCTGATCCTTTTGAAAACTTTAAAGCAAGCAGGTAGCTTCTCAATTGAAGGAATACTGCTAAGAGCGAGAGTTTCGATAGCGGCTGCGTTACAAGAACAACCATTCTACGTTCTGCGTATTGCCAGAAATGCCATGGCTTCGTCAGCGGTCAGATGGAGAGCGCAAATGCACGCAATATAAACATCAAGGGTCCGGACTATTCATAGACTTCAATTGACCCTTAGGCCAGGGCAATGAGCGGTTGATCTTCAGGGTTCAATATCGTGTTCCTCCCACTTTCAAGCGGTCAGCCTCATAAGCGAAGAAGAACCGAGCTTCTGGAATCCGCTTTTCGTATTCCACATCATTTACCCGGATAGCAGAACTAGCAAAACGCGGTAGCAGTAACAATACTTCCGGGTTTTCTGTTGAGTGCTGTTATACAGGCTAATATCAAGACGCAGTAAGTTCATAACCTGTTCGGTGTTTCCTACAACACATGCAATGAGCTGAAACTGCTGGATTATCAATCTTGATATGTGATAACCATCTTTCGTCTCCGTATTCTTCAAGGTCACAATTGAAATCTAGACGATACTATGTTAATTCACGCATACTATAATGATCAAAAGGGCGTCCATTCCATAGACCGTCAAGGGAGCCTGCAACCATAGATCAAGTGACATCTGCGCACATTGAAGTCACCGAAGATACCTGGGTATTCTAAAATGACTATTGGATTCTATGGAAGAAATTCTACATAAAGGACAGCTGCTCGTTCATCACCACACGTCACCAGCCTTCAGCTGTGCCGCTGTCTTCATCTCCAGCTCCTGTCGCAGGTCCAACATGTCTGCGTATCTCTTGGCTTCATACCGGTTTCCTTCGCGGTGGTACTGGTTGTGGGAGTTTGACATCGTGAGGAACTCCTGGAAGTTGTCGATACTGCTTGGTGAGAATGCCGGGTCAAGACAGTTCTCCGCATAGTCGCGGTAGGTGTAGAAGAATCTTGAAAAACCGAACTGATATCCGGTAGGGTCGAAAACAAAGCGGCGTCCGTCCTTGGCATTGAGTACGAGGAAATCATGGTGGTAAAATATTTCCTTCCCAAGGTTCTCCTCGTCGAACAAGACGAGGTATGGTGCTACTTCGCAGCGGTACTGTTCTACACTTATGATATCTTGATCGCCTGCCAAGAGATACTGTTAACAACGAAGAAAATATTCATATCAAAGCGAAACGATAAAAAGACGAATCGACAAGCTCATTCAATATCTTCATACCGTGGAACATGAGATCTAGGGCCGGCTTCAGCGCAACAGCGGCGTGTCGGCACCGGTTGTATGTGATTGCGGCTTTTTGATGCTTTTCAGCAACCGCAGATTTCTCTTTGAACATCTTCTCACTTTCGCGGGAGTCGTGACAAATGACAAAGAACTCGACTTCGTCCTGGGCCAGGATATCCCGACTCCTGACGGTTTCTGGGTTGAAAGGAACGTCGTGAAGGGCACGGGGTTCCACAGCACGAATTGGCTTGCCGCAGCTCAAGACATCGAGGATCCGCTTGACGAGGGGCGTAAGCTCTGCCTCAAGGCGGGAAAAGAGAACGGTGTTTGGTGATGACATGTTACTTGAGGGTGGTATTGGTGGGGATTTGTATCGTGGCTGAAGGTTTGAAGGTTTGAGGTTGGTGCTGGGTTTGCTACAGTACGTGGTGCCGAAATAGGTAATCAAGCTTTGTTTTGATTTACTGAGGTGACCTCGGAAATCGATAGAACTAAATCGATTGCTTGACCTACGTTTCGTACGTCACGCGGCTATTTTACTGATTTGCATGTTGACAGCCGCAACACCCCGCACTCCATGGAGATTTGGATATGAGCCTCCAAACAAAAGCCATGTGCTTTCCTTTGAGCACACTTTCCTACGATGACCACCTTAGATTAGACATAGAGAGACGGCCTCTTCCCACAGTATCTAAAAGCGTGAAGACCAATCCGGCAAAATCGCTGCATTGATATCACAATCCAATACATAATCTTTCGAATACCGATTCAATGTAGGCCAATAGACTCACGAGCTCAACTCATCGCTTCATGGCATGTTAACGCCTGTGCCACAAAGTCAGGTTTGATCCGAAGGTACCTACAGAGTTTGAATCGATCAATTGACAGTGGAACGCCAGGAATAATATATTCACCTTCTTTTGCCCCTGCTAATTCGTACCAGGACTATGATCACTACGTGGCGTACCACATATAATGATACAATAGAAGACTGCAATATGCCGCCTACCGCTACACATGTGAAGATGGCCAGTAGTAGACTTCAAGTGCGTTGTTCCGCAAGCTATCAGCCGCGACCTACGCTGTTCTGTGTTCAATGAGCGATGTCTCATGCCCTCAGCTTCCACAAATCGGTTGCTTGGATTAGGCAGTGACCCTATCTATCAAATCCGTAGGATTGAATTTAACAGATGCGGATTAAGATATTCGGTCGGGTGAACAGTAAAAGTCACGATGCAATGTTGTGCCACATCTGTCGATCGCAGTACTCGAACATCAATAAATCACAATGCGAAATGGCAGTGATAGACGCAAAACCTTCATAGTGAAATGTTTCTAGAGGAGTTGATATTCTATGTATTACAATGTCAAGTTTAAGATTGAAAGATCCCGTGAAAACCCTGGAAAGCTCTAATCAGTGGGTACCCACTTGCTTCGCTGTCGAATCCTAGCCCCATATATGTAGAAGCAGACTGGCACTGGAAGGAAAGCCACGCAGATAAATCCTAGCAAACTGCTTGCCCATGGAACGCCAAGGTTGACATACATGCCATGTGTAAATAGCGGAAAGAAAGCTCCAAAGAAGCTGCGTATGAAAGTGTTCACAGCAATTGCCGAGTTGGAATAGAAGCCGTAGCAGTCAATCAGGTATGCCATTCCCTGCCAAAACGGTACCATGCAGCCGAGGCCAATGAAGACAGTGGCAATGACTGAAGGCACCCATGTTATAGCAGGGTTCGAGGTCCAGCCGAACCAGAACAGACCGATGGGCAACGCAGCTGCGCCCAAGATCATAGGCGGAAGACGTTCTTCAGGAATCGCATGGCCGTGCTTGTTATATGCGCGTGTGAAGTTTGTACGGGCTGAGTATGACATGATTGCGGCGCCTAAGATGATGCCAACGATGAAGGCGGTGAAAGGAAGCTGCGAATTCCCTAAGCTCCAGCCTCGCTCTTCGTGAAATGAAACAGGAAACTGTATAGAAATTAGCAAACATGACTTCAAATGCTTGATCAAAGGCACCCGACTTACAGCTTCGAACAGCAGGTAGACTATTCCATACAGAAACGACATGTACGCGGTCATGAGCGCGAGAATGGGTTCCTGTACCACCATCTTGAATGGCCTGACCAGATACACACTCACAACTCTGTCCATAGTAATCTTTTCCGCATCAGCTTTGGAATGATGTTTCTCATCTCCGGTGGTTTTGCGCAGCTTCGCCGCCCGTAATTGCAAGATCCTTGCGGCTGATGTTTCAGGGATGATAAACCAGCTCACTACGCCAAAGAAGGCCGCCATGATCAGAGTGATCCAAGATGTCCATCGCCATCCCAGGCTAGACTGAGTTATGTAACCTCCTGCTATGGGCCCAGCCACGGGGCCTGCAAACCCACCTGCGGCGAAGATGCAGATTGCGTAGGATCGAGGAATGGGATCCCACAGATCAGCGAGGGCGCCGCCGGTCACTGACAAGGGTGCTGCAGCAAAGAAGCCGCTTAAGAACCGACCAACGCAAATGGTAGCGATGTTTTGTGCCACGGCTACAGGGATCTGGAAAATGGCGAAAAGAGTGTAGCCAGCGAAGAGTGGTATGCGACGGCCGAGAACCTCACTCATTGGACCGAACGCGATCGGGCCAAAGACAAAACCCTTGACTTCGTCAGCCAACTGCCTGTGCAACATCTTGGAGGCAAATGCAGTTGAACATACCAATACAAAAAGCGCAACGCCCAGTGTTGCCGTCACTTTGGATGTGTCGAACAGCTCTTCCACCACGCCTATGTTGACGCTGAATATGGAACTAGCAAAGGTGACGCTGAACACCAGCAAACCCATGCAGCTGGTGATGGCCCACCTGCGCTTTTGTGTCCAGTGTTTAGGGTTGTCGGAATCCTCAGGGTCGAATTCGACCAAGTACTCGTCCTTACCAGAAGTCTGTCCATCAGCATGGTTTTGCGCCTTCTCCGGGTCTGCCAGACCCTCGTTTTGTGGAGGTACGTCTTTTGGACTTTGCTCCGACATATTGCTGTCTGTCGAAGCCGTGCTTGAACAAGATGGTGTACGCGATGGCATGGCCAATTGAATACTTTGCGCAGGAATAGTGATGCTATCGAACAGGTTCTGCAGTCGTGGTGATCGTTTGTTGAAGATAAATAGTCTTCGACATTCATGCGTTAGGTATGGAAGTAGCTCGGACATAACCGTTGGCGCTTATTTCCGGGGCTGTAGATCGCTCCAAATAAACACCCCACAGGGTTAGATTCGCCACAATGTGTAGTGCGGACGTCCAGAGCTCGGCCGTAACACCATTATCGGCGATTGCTCGCATTGAAAAGAGTTCCATCATGACGGCTTTTTCTCAACATTTGTCATTTGTGATGAAGCGAAGACCTCGGGAATGCAACAGCAGCGCTGCACGCCGCATGTATACTAATCATTCCGAGGAGCACGTATTCAAACTGCATGTCAATTTAGCTCTATCTTTGCTATGCTGATTCTATCTACAGTGAGGACTGCCTTCGCCCGAGCAGCACATTTGTCATTGGTAGGGTAATCAATACATGATCGGCCACTCGGTCGAAACTTAAGCATTCTTTTCCGGTCCAAACCCCGAACGAGCTTCACTACCCATATATTCCCCAATAGACGGCAAGACTTGATAGTTGCTTTCCCTTAGTCCACTTATGCTGCCTTTCTTTCGTTCCTCTTCACGATGGATAATATCAACTAGACGTCCCAGCAACTCATCTTTCTCTCGCTGAAATGAGTCGGCTCGATCTCTGGTTTGAGTGTTATGGGTATTACAATATTGCTCGCCAGATGGTGAGTGCCTTGGTGGCGGTCGAACATTATAATTCGAAGAGACTGAAGGGCTCAGTGTGGCCTCTTGACTTGCAGGAGGAGCGAGCGAGTATTGTGGGGTGTGCAGGTTCAAGGTTGGTTCAACAGGCAAGCCTATTTTGGTATTTGGAAGATGTGTTACTGACGCCCCAGATGGTGGGTCTGGGGAGGCTTCCTTCAGTGGTGGAAGCCATCGGCCATCTGTACCAATCACACTACCGGCTGGCGATTGACTCACAACACGATGCTCATGCCCGATATCGTTCGAGTTGCTATCGGAGGTATCGTCTGGATCATCGTCGGGCCGCAGTTCCCTGAAGAATTCTCGAAGGCACAAGAACGTCTCTTGGATATCATGGGGTGCTCGATCATCCGCGATAGCCTCATAATACATGTGTATAGCGTACTCTCGTGCCCGCGATGGCCAGTCCTCCTCCACCATGATCCCTACCTCTTGCAACTCAGAGCGAAATGTGTCGCCACTGATGAGCAATAGAGCAAAGAGCTGTATCCAGGTACCCGATCTGAGAACAAAGGGAGCATTCTTGATTATTTCACAAAGAATCCCGTGCCAATGGGTGTAGATGGAATACACGTTATGCGCATTGGTGAAGGCATTCACATCTAATTCCGAGAGACCGTGCGAGTGAAGAGTGCGGATTATAGTAGCAATAGAAACTTCAGGACGGCGGACGCGGTCATCATTGGCATCTTCGTATCGTGGGTCCAGGCGGCCAACGTAACGGATCTTGATGTCGCCATACAAGATCCTGTGGCTCGGGTTCCCTCTGAAGTGAGTGTCGGCCGCTCGCAAAGCGTCCAAAGCAGACACAGGCCCTTGTACAGAGATTAAGTCCATTAAGCAATTCCGCTTGTCATTCCCTTGTCCATCAGCGAATTCGAACGCCTCATCGTCAAGATCTTGAAGCCAATCCTTATCGAGTTCGTCCAAAACGTTCCGATGAATGGCCACCCACATGTCCCACTGCATATCTTCATGATCGTTCTCTTCCCCAGTCTCGTCTTTCAATACTCTCCAGATAGTCCCGTTTCTAGTCGAGTATGAGAACGTGTCGTCGCTTTCGACCGCCTCTTCCCACTCGGCGATGGCGTTCCCTTCGATAGTAGACGCCTCCTCCCAGCTGGTGTCCCATTGTACTTTGTATTCCACAACAGATATATCAGTAGACTTGCGGCGTGAAGCTAATATACGGCGGACTGGCCATGAATCACCATTATTACGTGGACTCCCTTTTCGATTTTCTCCACGGAGCTGCTGGTGCCGTGCTGCGGGTGCAGGCTCAGGTTTCTGTTTCTGTTTCTGTTTCTGTATTCTAGGAGGCGCTTTCTTGACTTTAGGGGGCTGACGATAAGACGGTGGGTAGTTCAAAGGTCTCTTGCGCGGGATCTGGTGAATGCGACGATGTTCGGCGGCCGCTTTCGAAAGCGCTGTGGATGAGCGGACTTTCATCTTTCTTGACATTTGTGTGGAACCGAGTTGAAGTAAAGATGCCAACCTTTGGGTCTAATTTAGTGAATTTATGACCTGTGTGGTATGGTGAATGGCTTGCGGCATTGTTTGGGTCATCGCAAATGCAAGAGCGCCAATGTGACGCTAGAAACAAAGCGAGACGCAAACTCCACCGACGCAAATCATCAATCCGGTCAGACCCGCTTGCTCTACGGCTTACACGCGTTCCGGCCATGTAAAACACCAGAGGAGAATCATTATGCTCAATATAGCGTCTTTTGGAGAACTTCGGGATCGTATGTGTACCCAGCAGCTGTAATGGGAACGACAAGAGTCTGATGTCAGAGCTTTAGAAAGATTGACATATTCTCAAATACTAGAAAAGCCCGCATTGAGGCAGAGACACAGCTCCATCTGGGGTTACCACCATGTCAATGTGTAAGTGGGATTTGCCTTCCATCAAGCTGCGGTCGTTTTGTGATTGCGATAAGAATTGGAGGAGATGGCCTGGCAATATTAACACGATACCAAACCCAGAATGGAATTTGATGTGAGACTGATATCATTACTTATGCTTACCAAATTAGCACTTTTGTCTTTTTTCTGTTGGACTCGCGATTCAAGGTTAAGCCCATATATGTCCAATAGAAAGAGGGGCGCGTGCTACCAGAAAAAAAAAATTGCCTGGCCGTGAAACACATCGTATCTTGCCTCGACTCGCATGGCCATGAAAATTTTAAGCATCATAGAATGGTCCGAATGTACGAGAATGGGCCAGCCTCAGAGCGGAATACGCAATACCCTAGCGTCTAGTTGAAGTCAGTCATGTGCATGCACTATGCTGCTTCAATGGGATTTGTCTCGTATGACAGTAATCCTCTGAATCTCATACATTATTCCAATAACATTGGTTGATATAGTGCCCGCGAGCCTCGAGACGCATGCGAGTTCAGACGAAGGGGCCCGGAGAAACCTTCGACCGATGTGGAAGGCGCGTGGGTATTTCGGTAGTTTCCCATAGAGCTGAACCGTGATAATCTCTCGGGGGTCGGCATCGACAGCGAAGTCGATTGAGAAGCTCTGGCACGCAAAATCAGTGTCGGGAAGACTTTGAGAAGCCACGGCAGGACGGCAGAGCCTGCGCAGGTAACAGCAGGTGACCGCGCTTGCTCCTTCCACCGCCTTCCACTGCCCCAACTTCCTCAACTCCACCCCACCACACCCAGCTCCGGCTACGACTCCACGGCGATGGGCGACTGTCGACTCCGTGGAGTCCTCTTTTGCTCCCATCTCTTGTTGCGCCAATTCTTCCCTACCCGCAAGCACCTTGGGTGTTGCCACTATCGAGTTTCCTCATATCTCTACCACGACTGGTGCAAAGCCGACCGGCAGGCGAGGCGGAATCCGACCTTTTTCCTCTTTCGCAGAGGCCATCTTGATTCATGCAAATTTCTTTGTTGAACGGTACGTACCCATAAGGCGCACGCTGCCAACGTGTCTGCCTGTCCACTGCCTGCACCCCCAACCCTGCCCCTACACTCCATTCCGCTTCGAAGACGTCGCACCCAAGGAGGCGCACTATGATCACAGGTAGGAGATGAGAACGGGTGTTCCCGCAGCATGTTTCAGCGCTGGGACCTCTAGGTTTCGAAAAGTATAGACTGAGCGAGGTGCTTGCGCGTGGCTTCGTGTGGCTTCGCATCTAAACAAGCCTGCAGACAAGCTGCTATTGTTGGACGATACCACACCAAAGGAGGCATGGCGATTGAGACTCCAAAGACACCTTACGAAATCGCAGCGACCCTCCTCTACTGCCTCGGAAATCTAAGCATGGGTTGCTCGCAATCCTTATCGAATCGACACATGCCGAACTCTTGCTTTTCCCTCGGCCGCACCGCTCCTCGATAAAAATGCGACAGAGATGGAGACCCAGATGGAGCCTCGAGTCTTTGGACTAGTCGTGGCGTTGGTGTGCCTGTGTTGTGCCGGATCTCCGTGATGACGACGGGCTGAATCGCATAACCACCGACATTTGGTATTGGAATCAACAAGGGATATGAGATAAAGCAATTTGATGCAATATTGGGCACGGGGTGGAGCGGCAGTGAGGGTAAGGTCGGGGGGACTGCTAACAATTTCCGGTTGTCATCTCATCCCACATCGACACGTTCTTCCGGTCGGATGGCGCTAAGCCTCATTGGCCTTAGAGCTTCGAGTGCTTCAGCGACGCAACCACTCGCCTGAAAACGAATTTCCAAAATGTGCTGATAATCAAGTAGGCCGGATATTTCCAGTAGTTTGCTTTGAAAAGAATCATCGAGCAAGGGTTGTCCTCTCGCTTCTAGGTCCGAGAGACTGGTCGTTTTGGATCGGCTCTTGAAGGACGTTCGAAAAGAGTTCAGTTTAGCATACTATCCTTCAGCCGGTCGCTGATCTCTCCGAGTATGGTTGACTTCTGGATTTCACTGAAGTTCGGCATCGCGACCAGACACGAAACCATTGTCGGATACCACGCAGCACCACAATTCCCTGGTATTGCCGTGTATATATGAGCAAGCGCTCGTATACTTCGCAATTAGCGAACACATTTGGTTTCTGTGCCATCTCCCATTCCAATCATACGGTATGTACTCAAACACTCGCCACTCCCCTTGCCACTCTATCACCGGTGTACACCCCTTCATGTTCGTAAAGATGCCATATGCACATGTATTTCCCCTGTTGGCAGCAGAAACGAAGGGTGTCGGCTAGGTCTTCTGCATCTTAAGCTCTTCCGAGTTAGCCGTACTAGGGGTTCGGCACCCGTTGCGTTGACTGGTATAGTACGGCCTAGTAGAAGCCTGCTGTATGTAACTGTATGATTTCCTGATTGCTGTTGGTGAGCAATGTTTGGTGCGCGTTGCCGGAGTTGGAATGGCAGGATGGAGTTTATTTTGTGTTGAGCGCACCCAGAAGGATGCTAATGTCCTCTAGACAAAGAGACCTCTCCCATGAGGTTGTTCCATATGCACATGTGGGCACCCATGGGAGGGGCTTGTGTATAAATTGATTCCTCTAAGCATGACCACGCCAGTCATAGGATGCGCCCGCAGTGGCAGCCAAACATATCCATCATGCTTTAGTTGTATCGCACTATGGTCCGTATGCGATGACCCCGTGCAACACACTAGTGGTCGGCATATTCACACAAGATATGCGTTCTATCTCAGAGCTCCGACACAAAGTTTGATATGATTAGGCCTGTCGATAGGCAAATCAGCGTGTCGTCGTGCTTGTATTGTACCGGGTCTATCGATCGTGCGGCCTTTACACCTACAAGAAGTGTGCCATCATCATTTGCGCGCAGCTTGTGGAACAATCCTGTTTAAGGCTGTGAACATATAGTGTTCTCGTCGTGTCACGCCGTTTCTCAACAAAGGATGTTATCGGACAAGAGAGCGCTTTCCATGCCATACGGCGGGTGCCGGTGGGCGTATGCGGCAAAAACTATTGTTCGCTGGCAGCAACTGGATTTTTTCGTCTGCGTGGTGACGCCATTACGGTTCAGAGATTGCTCGATTGTGGGTGTGAGAAAAAGAGGTTCCGCCTTGCTGGGTGATCAAACGCCCTGGGTAATCTTTCAGCCTTTTCACCCTTGTCTGAGCTTGACGCACCTATTATGCTGCCGGCAGGTTCAGCAAACCTTGGCACATCATCTTTATATGTGCTTCCTGAGGGCTCTTCAAGAGCTTCCGCCGATTTGTATCATATTCGGTTCGTCGTTTCGCTCGATTCTCCGTAGGATGTTAACCGCGAAGACTTCCGTCGTCCATCGTTGCACGTATCGGTTCGGACAGTAGGGTGTAAGAGTCGTATCTTTGATTCGATTCGACGAGGAGACTATGCGATTTCGTGAGAGACAGCTGCATGAATCGCTCTTCGTGGGTGTAGCGCGCCTCCTAGCTCCCTCACCTGGAGGGCCGTGCGCTCCTGCCTGGTTGTCGTATATCAAGGATCCCGAATGGCAGACACCCGCAAGAACAACCTTGGTGAAGCGAGGGAAAAAGGTCGTGTGCGAGGGCTGCAATTAAAATGCGAAGACTTGCAGTCCATCGGCTCAAGTGAGTCGACAGAGGCCTCCAAGTGCTCCTGTGGCCGCAGTGTACTTGCTGCCGTACTGACCGGCAGCTCTGCTCCTCCCAAGAACATTTCGATGGAACCTGCCTCGTGTCATAACATTTAAAACTAATCTTTCTTTGATATATGAAACTGTCACGAGCGATCGGCTATCAGGTGTACAGTCTGGGAATCGTGACTTCGGTCGATGATCGTGCGGGCGGCGCGGACGTAGCGGCGAAGGGATCAAAAGCTTGGATGAGGCCAACAGCCGGTTGATATGCCTGCTAAGTATATCAGTCAGCATTATAAGAAGACCCCGCATGAGCATTTACCATCAGTCTGGCTGGCCAGAGTGTGGGAGTGCCATTCGCACAAGTGGCGTACCTCGAAATACCAGCGAAGGTGGAGAGTTGGCTGTCGCCCTGGCTACAAAGCCTGCCAATCGTTTGAATGCACTTTCAAGTAGTATTGAACATGTTTTTGAGGTTATATCAGCCGTCTCCTATTCGCAATGTTTATTACGGGGTGCTGTGTGTTGGCATTGTGGACGGCGCCCTGGGCCCCTAGGCGGAAATTGTTTGCTGTCGTCGCCACGACGTAGTCTCCGCCCAGACTATAAACAAATGGCAGAGACCATGTTATGAAACAAAGCTTCTCGTAAATATCTCATATCGATCTTTCGCATTTGAATAGTAGAAGTGGGTGTTGTCACTGTTGTCGCAGCCTGGGCAAAAGCATGAGGGGGAGGGAGTAAGTGAGATAGTCACCAACGAGGTAGGAAGAGGGAAAATAAAAAGTAAACAGACAAAAAGATCAAATATCTACAGAAAATACCAAAAAGAGTCGGGGTTCGAACTGCCCACGGGTACCTGTGACAAGGTGTTAGCAATTGTTTTCCGCTAAGCCATCTCCGCCTCTGACGTGCCAATGTCAGAGGCTTTGATGTAGTAGGAGTCTCCAACTAAACAGTATAAATAGTGAAAAAGAAAACCCCCCCAAAAGATCAAGAGATCAAAGTAAGGTGGGGAGAGGGGAGAGGCCACGAGGTGACGCTGCGAGCTTTACGCACGGCCACTCACTCGCAAAGCCACGTGGGAGTCTACGACAATAGAGATTGAGGACATTACAAAATACAACGTGCGGCTTTGGTATTCTCACGGAAAGAACTCATCATACGCATTATACCCAAATCATATCACAGACCGAATCACGGCCGAGGGCAGCCTCACTTGTGGATTTGAGGCCATTATGAGCATCAACATTGACAAGCTCATTAACCGCTATACCAAAATTGCCAAAGACCGCCTACCTTCTGTCTCCGCTTGCGCAAGCACCTACTGCATCATTACCACGAGTGGAACACAAGTTTTCTACAGAGTTTTTTCTCTAGACGTGAGTATTATTTGAACATCCAGTCACGGGCTGATGCAGCAACACAAAAAGACTCAAAGAAACTTGGGAATGTGTGTGTTCGCAAATACCTCTCAAACATCTGGCTTTCGAACGTGTTCTGGCACATGAGTCTTACATGTTTTGTTGCGAACAATAACACCCGGCAAACATGTCTTTTTGTGACGGGAACATCGAATTGCTGCTTGGAAATCCAGAAAACGCAGTTTTATAGCTATGTCTGTGTCAATAACGTATTAAGTACGCTATGATAGCCTTCATGTGAGATTTTTTGGGATTATTGTGATCATTAAGCTCTGTCACAAACACCAAGTGCGGCGGAGATACCGCCATCTGCCGTGCACTACCCTCTTTTATGTATGAAGGGTCTGAGATTATGGATACCTATGAGATCTAGCACAACTAGTCTCCTTCATTACCTTCTCAAGATCATTCCCCACTCAGGTACTACAAAGCCGCCCACGTTTTTGATTTACCACTCCCCAAATGCCCGCTCATGATCTCCACGACCGCTTGTAGATTCCCCCTCCCCATATTCATATCCTCGCCCTGAGGCTTGCCATTGTCACCTTATGCCTATTATCTGCGGTGCTGGACCTTGTTACTCGCCGGCGTTACGGAAAACACTTGATCGGGGGCAAGCGGTTTGCGGCGGCTATATCTTGGATTGGGAGGTATGAATCGGCTTGATCATTCCTTGCGATGCTCTGGTGGACGAATCCAGGTAGCTCTAGGTAATAATCCAGACTATGCTTGTGGGTGAGCAAGACATTATGTTGAAAACCGACCTTAATTATGTTCATGTGTGCGACGCCATGTCATTCAAACTTGGTAGAATGGCTCGATGGGTTGTGGTTTTGATGCTGAGGAGCGATTTTCCGTCTTTGTAGCAGGCAAGCGTCTACAAAAACGGTTCTGCTGAGTAGGCGAGCGCTTTGTCTAAGGTGAAGCCGGGCATATGGAAAAGCGGTGGGTAGTACGATGAAGCTGACGCTCGCAGTGCAATAATCTTGGCCAGTAATGCAATTTTCGGGTATGGTAAGGACCTGGAAGGTAGCATGCGAAGTGGGGTTGTATCAAAGTAAGGTCAATCCGTATGTTGGGTGTTGCAAGTGGTGTGGCCTAGCTGGCAGCTGTGGCGTCGCTTGAGGAACAGCACACTGGCCAAGCCTATACAACAATCGACCAAGTCACCTACAAAACACGCAGCATATCGCAGTAACAGCTAAATGTAAAGCAAGCCAACGATTCTTGGATGTCATTGCCATCGTCATTATCATTCAAAGCTTGATTAAGTGAGAAAAGAGAAAGAGTTGATGAATGTAAGACCAATTTATGGACGATTCGGGCGTGTCCTGGAAATGAAACGCTTCAACATCTATTAACTATTAGATTCCCCCGGTTAATGATGTGAGAGCATAAAACACAGCAAGATCCGGTGCAAACACCAAGTACGAGGACAAGAGCCGAATTCGCCCATGATTCCCGGTAAAATACATGTCAACTGGAAAAGGCCTGCCAGACGCAGGGCCTGACTCTGATCGTCCTGCTCATTAAGCCGTGTCACGCTCGAATGTACGAGCCTTCTTTCGCGATACATCCTGCACCCAATCTCACTTGTCATGTTCGTGAATCGTGACCATGCGTTCCCACTGTCATGGCAATACTGGCCATCAAAGCTGTTACACCATACACACATCTTTTGGAGTCACATTTCTCATCTCATACCCATGAAACGTTCAGGCCACTCTGGCGAGGTAAAGCAGGTCGCCAGGTCCTATCCGAGAGCCCCATGAATTGAGTTATGGAGGGATCGTTTCAGTCTCGAGAGTTCTTCTACATCTCATCATTAGGAAATCAATTGTTCGAGATGTCGAGTATAGCGCTTTATAGTGTGACGTGCCATCGCCGAACAAACAGTTGCCATGGCTTTCTGAGTGAAATCATATCCAAGAAAAGAATCGAGGGGGCCCTTGTGTTACACCACCTAGGTGTGGAAACACTTGGAGTAGATGGATTGCGTGAGGGTAAAGTGAAATGCGGCGGATATATGGCCTTTGGAAACTTGCGTTCAGCGAACTCCTATGTCAGTATCGATATTATCTCGGTGAAGAGGAACAAGGCTTACGATAAAATCTCAGCAGAGCCCGTGGCCAGCGATGAATGTTCAAACTCCGCAACGGGATGTTGTATCGCTCGAAGGTGGCATTTAAACTTTGGTGATATTTCCTTTGTGTCCAAACATGAAGTCAGTCCACATAAGCTCAAGCGCGGCCTGACTCTTATTGACACATCTCGAGTGATGAAACTTCTTGACCTCTACTTTGGAGCAATAGAGATTTCATTTCTTGTTCCTCTTCAAGTGTCATTATGCATCAAGCGAAGTCCAAATATACGGTTCATAGGACATTGCCGCACTGAATGACCTTGGACCTTTCTTGATCTTGGTACGGTGAAGACTGAAGCTGCGGCAGAAACGCAAGGTGAAATACGCAGAGGGCGTAGCATTTGGCAGCGGTGATAAGGGACAACTCGACAGGGTGGCCAGCGCGATGCTCGGTTCTGGAATCGGGCGAGGTGATGGAAGTACGAATATGAGTAGATTGGGAGGATAAATGGCCATCTTGGGAAATGTAGAAGACATAATCAGCTACAGTGTAACAATGACCTTGCACTAGACTCTGGCCCCTTTATGTCAGCAAATATGGCGTCACTGTTGTTTGCCAGCGGGAGATTTGCCAAGACAGCTGGCAGCTCACTTCCACTACGCAAAGCCCCGCTCTTTTGACTCTCTCTCTCTCTCTCTATCTCTCTCCTTCCCCCTCACTCCACCCACTTCGAGTCCTTCAGCTGCTTTCTTTTGGCTTGGACATCTATCAGCTCTTCTCCTTCAAATATCGTTTGCTCGCAGTGTTCTCCGATCCATCAACGCCTCATCGCCCAGCATACCGCAAACAATCCTTTTGTGCGTATCATCCACCATCGTGTCTTCGGGGCAATACAAAAGCCACCGGTAGCACAGCGGAGATCGCACAGTATTCACGACGCAGCTTGCTGCCCGCGTTGAGCACCGCCACCTCCTCTAACACTTCCAGTCTTTCTGAAGATGCTTTTGATTCCCACAGTCAACCTGGCTCACGGCGGGAAGTTCTTTTTCCATGTTCCTATGGTCGTATGTAGGTCGCGACTCGCGACCAGGTCGAAGTTCCTGTGAAAAACAGAGTCAACGGACGGTTCAAAAGGTATGTGATTGCTGTGTTGATGGTATATCCTGATACTAATTATGCGCAGTGTGGCCTGCGCTTTTTTTCTCATTTGCAGAGAGTGTACATAGGACCTCTCTGCAGCCAGTCTGCCCAGACTGTGAAAGATCGAGTCAGCCGTCGATCTGAAAGGTATGTTTTAGATGTGGTTGCTATTCTGACTGTACATACCTTTACTAATTATGCGTAGTGAGGCGGCTTGCGCTTTCCCCCTCATTTACGGAGAGTGTACATAGGATGTACCCTCAACGGGAGAGCGTTGATCTTCCAGCGTCCGGAAAAGCCATCATGTGGGCGACAAAGATCTTAGAAGATAAGCAACGTTGAGGCGGCTTCATCGTCTATTTGTTGGAAATATCCACTTCAGCGTAACTGAAGACGATCTCAAGGACGTTCTCTCTCCATTTGGAGCGATTGAGTAGATCACACTTCAGCGGGATGACAAGACGGTACCGCCACAAGTTGATGACCAACCTGGCGTTCGAGACGATAACGAGGAGATTCTACCTTACATTTTCCCCGTCAACTGTCAGTATCCATCAAGTTCGTATGAGGAAACAACGATGATAGGAAAGATCGCACCCACATAATTATGCTGTTTTGTCTGTGGCGGGTAGATCGTGTTTTGGGAGGAGAAATCTTGGGCAGCGTGGGCGCATGGAAGGAACGAGACGAATCTTTGATCAAATTCCAGCGTACGCCCACATCTGAGTGTATGGTTTTTTTTTTAAGGGAGGAAGTTGAAGTTTTTCCCGCAATGAGAAGGCAAATAATATAACACTAGAAGGTCACAGAGCTACATACACATGTACATACCTACCTACCTAGGTAGGTACCTAGGTAGGTACATGTACCTTGTGACTAAAAAGGTTGACTAAAGGAATACTTTGCTTTCGGCGCCGGGCCAGGGTGCAACCACCACTGAATTTATTGAATTTGTTATATAATGGTTTTTTGTGCTCCTGACAAAAAGATCTTGATTATAAGAGAACATGGGGACTCAATTGTTCAAACATTTAGATGAAGATGATACAAGGGAAAATCACGTGATGAACACTTGAGCAATTGGCCGCCCCCGGACTTGGAAATGTCATTTCTCTCCGCGAATGTATAGGACATTCAGTCAAATAAAAGAGAAAAATGGTACAGTACGTAGCACAATTCTTGTTTTCTTGCCACAGAATAATGATGGGGATTAGAAATTGTAGCTACATAGATAATAGGACAAAACAACGGGTTGTAGAGAGTAGGAAACTTTTGGTATATGTGAAGAAGAAGAAGAAGAAGAAGGTATCTGATATAAGCGGGGCAGGTGTGTGCAAGCGCGTGTGCGGTGTCTAAATAAATCTATGGTAGAAAAGAGGTAGAGACAACATATAGGAAAACACTGGATAGAAACACAGTATGATAGCACAACAGCGCAGGTCCAGAAATGGACAACGGTGACACGAAGGGAAAAAGAGAGACAAAAATCGGGCAGGAAAATCAGGCAGTGTACCTGCGAAGAACGCCGAAAGAAAACAGGGGAAAAGGAACTTCAAAGCGATCATAAGCGCTTAAGACCTTCTCTTACCCTGGCCCATGCCTAGTTTGTGCCCGTACCTTGCGGCCCTAGCATGCTCCACCTCCTCGTCCTCCTCGTCCTCTTCCTCGCTACTAGTGCTGCTCTCGTAGGCAGACTCGTGGTTTATGGCCCTACCCATGTTGTGGGTAGCTGCCTGCACCCTACGATGCGCATCCCTATCTCCAGACCGATTGATGACCTGCTCGCCCATCCTTTGCAACGCATTGTGCCTGGGATACCCTCCTGAAGTAGAAGACGGCAGGTTTGATCGGGCCTGGCGCTCGTCCCATGGGTCAGAAGACGGTGACACAACTGATTGTGTTAGTGAGAATACATGATCGTTTGATGATGGGTGGACGGGACGCGTGGACGGCGCGGCGAAGGGGTTTGAGTCTTGCGATGTGCCGGATGTCCTTGTTGGGGGCTGCGCAAAGGGATTTTGGTGGTGGTAAGAACTGTGACGGGCGGAGACAGGGCGGCTTGAGTTGTTGCTTGTGATGTAGGACTCGGAGGGGTAATGCGTATTAGGTGGCCGAGTGCTGTAGTTTTGCTGAGGAGGAGCGGGTTGCGTTATGGAGACCGGATTGTTGGAGACACTCCCCCTTCGTGAGATGGAGCCTCGGCGTCCCAAGCTGGTACCGCTTGCTCGCGGGTTATAGTATCCGACGTTCTCCTGCTGTTCTAGCAGGGACGAGGCAGGAGCTGGTGGGTATTGAACAGTCATCTGTTGCTCACCCAACTCGCGTCGGTCGGCTGCTTCTCGCTCCCGTTCTTGCTGCGCGATGTCCATACGCCTCAGTCGATCGAGCACTTCCTTTTCCTCTGGGGTCATGGAGACAGAACTTCTCCGGCGAGTTCGTCCGGAGTGCTTGTCGTAGCTGAGCGGTGGCTGTGCCTTTGCTCGCTCTGGCTTCTTCGTAGCACGCTTTTCGCTCTCTTTCCTCGATCGCTTCTCCTCCTTCCGTCGCTTTTCTTCTTTTTGCTGTCTGGCTTCCTCCCTAGACTGTGCTCTGTACTTCTCCTGTTCTGCCCAAGCAGCTTCGTTGCGTTGCTCGCTTCTGCTCTTGTCTCGATCGTCTACGAATCGGACCTGTTTCTCTTCCTTCTCATTGTCCCTGTCGAGCTGCTCTGCTAGGCGGCGATCTGATTCTTCCTGCCTTTGCTTCTCGGCTCGTCGGCGCTCTTCACGATAGAGAGCACGGGCGGTGATCTCGGGCGCCCCATCATGGCCAGAGCCAGCATTGGAAGATACAGGAGGTCGAGGAATGAACTCGTCGTAGTCTATAGGGAATTGAGGGACGACAGTCTCGGTACGGTAGTGGGTGGCTGACGATGATGATGCACTGTTGGAAGCATGATGAGCACGTGATGACGCTGGGGAGGGCGGAGCGGCGGGAATGGGATTGTGCACTAGTGCGGGAGGGTAGCGGGCGTTTCTACGTCCAGAAGGCGAGTCAGGCTCGGAAGTCAGCGAAGGCACCTGACTGGCGGCTGTATGCGATGAGCTTGAGGATGTATGGCGGTGACCTTGAGGTACAGCATGCCTGTAGTTGTAGTTCTCCGCTGGCCCGGAATAATTGGGAGGGGCAAATGAAGCTTCTGGATAGCCAGTCGGAATCCTGTCTGAGCCGGGAGAGTCCAAGACTGCTTCATTGGAATGGGTGGAAGCTGCGCCCAAAGAGGATCGTTTGTACGACTTTGATCCTTTGGGATAGATTTTAGTGCCGCCATTTTTCCCGCCAATTTCGATGACTATCTCGGGCTTTATGGCTGAAGGGCGTCTACTGCTTCGAGTGGAAGACGGTCGATGGATCTCGGTATTGTAGCCAGTCGGCCCACCAGCGGTTGGTGGTGTGAATGGACCGTTGGATACAGGCGAGGCCGATGAGGCCTCACGGCGGGAGCCGATGGAAGACGTTTGAGGGTAGTACTCGGTCGTCTTTTTAGTGACATTGGAGCACAATTTTCCTCTGCTGGCTCTTGAGCAGCGAACGGTATCTTGTGCGACAATCCGACGACCGTCGTCTTTGATGGTGATCTTCTCGAAGAGTTGGCACATGGTAGCGGCAATTAGGCGCAGACCCAAGCGAAGTTTGATTGCTGCTCGTTTTAGGCTTGGATGATTCTTGCCTCGACCCTCGGAAGCGGTGAGATTGGGTTGGTCGAGATGGATGCCAATGTGCAAGGGCGAGACGTTAATGAGGTGGAATGGTCCCGAAGCCCGATGTATAAAGTAGGAATAAATTGCAGGCGAATGGTAGATGCTCGCTTGACCACCCCGAAGAGGAAGACTGGCAAGAACAAGAGAATTTGGGCGGTCAGGGTTTTTGGTTTGCAGGAGAGTCGGTGTTGCTGAGGTGTATAGAATTGGAGACCATGTACTTGATACGGATCAAGTCGAGTGGGATGATGTGTTGGTCAGGGTAGTAGGTGAAGTGGTGATGGGAAGGTGGGCGAGCGTCCAGTCATATAGGAGTAGTAGTGGTAGTAGTAGTAGTCGAAGTAGCGAGGGAGTGATGGATGAGCAAGTGCAAAAGCAAAGCGAAGAATTGGCGATGCAGAGAGGTGCAAGCAGGCGAATATAGGTGTGAAAGCGTGAGCAAGCGACCCTATTGGGGGGTCCAGGGAGTTATATACGAAAAGGTGTGGTGGCAGCCTGATGGTAAGTAAGTAACCAAGTAAGTGATGGGCGCTGCAGCAGGACCGGCGGAGCAGTTGGGTGTGTAGGTTTTGTCGGGCAGGGCAAAGAATTATTGTGGGACTTGGTAGCAGCAGCAGCAGCAGCAGCAGCAGCAGGTATGGCCAGAGCGTCCGACGTACTCGACCGTAGGGTGGGCAACATGAATGATGATGATGGGGGGCATCACGGGCCACGGGCGCGAGCAGTGGTGAGGGTTGAGTGAGTGAGTTGATTGCACAGCCCGAACGAAGCCACGGCCGGCTTGCGCCCCCCCTGTCGCCGCAAAAGGGTACTTGGGGGGGGATTACGTGCCTGGGGAATTCATGCCGACCGACAGGGACAGGGCGGGCTCAGTTGATTGGCACTGAAAACAAAAGAATGGCATGGAATTGTCTCAAACGACTCGCTCGCTCGCTCACCAAGCCAGCATTAGTCGACGGCTGCTGCATGTTGACATGCGTCGCGGGTAGACTGGCGCCCCGAAACAAGACGCTTACTGTTGCCATCTCACTCACTCTTGATAGCTCCGACGATCTTAAAGGATGGACTATTGGTGTCTCGGTGGATGACGGGGTGAGGATTGGGCATGGATAGAGGTGTGTGTGTGTGTGTGTGTGTGTACACAGTGATAGTAGAGAGAGAGAGAGAGCGCTGACCGTGGAGGCTATGCTGCCCCATCCCCCCCTTCACCCCTTCCCTCCATCATCCGAGCTCTCTTCTCCCTACGCACGGAACAGATACTCCAGACGAACGCGCCCAACCAGGGGCGGCGGCGGGATATGTCGTATTGGGTTTTGTTTTTTTTTGCGGATGAAGATGGAAAGGTGACGACGGGGGATGGGGGATCATCGCCCGCCTACTTTGGTCTAACGAGTGAGTGGCCCATGGGTACAGACTCGGCGGGGCGCTACTCCAGCAAGGGAGAACCACCACAGAACAACCCGCCTTTGTACAGGTACAGACGCCTGCGAGGAGCTTGACATGCGGTGACTAGTCGTTGCTACACCCGATATCCATGTCACCTCCATCGACCATCATGCGCGACCTCGACCTGTTCGCATACATCTGAATCCTCCTGCTCCACCCACCTCTGCACTCTGCACTTCTGCGAACTTGCGCACAATACCAAACACCCTCGTTCTCAACTCCATCATGCCACCAGCCTAAGGATACCTGATCTGGCCCAAATCTTCCGTCCGCGTGCATTGCTGCCTGGAGTAGTCCATCTAACTGTCCGTATTCCCTTGTTTTCGAGGCACCCGGGCATCTGCCCAGAAGAACATCATCCATCTGTGTACTGCGCCGTCGCCACCTCCTCTCTGTTGATCAAGCTGCCCATCAGACACTTTGCACCTTTTTCGTCATTTGTACATGTTGCAGCCAGTACTGCTTGGGTGGCTAACAACACAAACAAGTGTCGGTGAAGACGTGCATGTGGGACCCGTTTGCCATCCACCTATTCATCCCCGCCATCTGCAGCCTTGCGTCTTGACGTAAAATGTCTCTTTTGGGACCAGAGATCGAGGGCCAGATCTTGTCCTCTCGTGATTCGTCTACTCGGGTTGACATGAGTACTTGCTGTAGTCTGCACGCATGCATGCCACAACCACAAGCTGCATCAAGTGACAGCTGCCGTTCCGTCGAATAGAGCGAGGCCAGCCCAAAACAAAAGCAACTGGACGATTCCGGTATTGCATTCTATCTATCCTGCTGCAAAGCCACAAGTAAGCAGCCATCACATCATCACCATCCCGTCTCTTGGCTGGGGCCGCAGACTGATCGCAAATGTGGCACCCGTCGGCAGTCGACATGCGTGCAATGGCGACAGCCATGATGTCTCTTGCACCGGTTGGGCTGCAAACCAAACAGCGTCTTGCGCCAATGCCTATTCGATGGGCAGCTACTTCATCAATGCAGATTTCGAAACATCAACAAGTGATCGCCCGGCCGCCTAAACACTGTCTGCGCGGCAATACCAATAAACGAGACTGGATGCTTGCGCCAATCTAACAACCATCTCGACTTCCACTTCTTCCTGCTGTAGCGCCATGTCACAGTCATTTACTATGCGCGCCCGGCAAAAGTTAATCCATCAGGGTTACGACATGCCGGCCAGTAACGCACACACAGTTCACGCTATCCATCTCTGACATGCGCCACGGCGCCACAGCTGTTTCGGCCCCAAGAGGCTGAGTGTGGCCTCCTTTATGCCCGGCCTCCATGTGCTCACCGATGCTATCCCAACCAACTCCGTCGGTGCCAGCAGACCCCAATCAACACACCATCTCATCTGACTGTAACCGCCGCGACCCTTCCCGCTTGACTAAGCTCGCCTCCGAACAATGGGATCTGTGTGTGTGTGTATCGGATGAATTCACGAGGCGACTTGCCAGCCTAGCATCACGTTATACGGATGCAACAGTCTCGAGGGCAAAACTCATTCGAAACCACTGTGAAGAAGCTATGACTATAGGGCTATAGTAGTGACTAGAAACAGTGCATCAGGCAAAGCCGTTGCGAAAATATCCCCGCTCTTCCAACTCACTCGGGCGATACACCAAACAAGTCAGCTTTACCCTCTCGAAATAGCACAATAATCGCGGCTATCAACAATTCTCCAGGCGCGCGATTAACATCGATTTCGCAAAGACTTCCGTTCCCAAGCTTTATGCGCACTTCAATCCCCGCTGTCACGCATCAAACCACCCTTCTGCACGTTCCTTGCCAATTAACTACAAGCGCACTGTGTAAAACCAAGGAAACATACAGGTTTTCTCTCACCGATTCAAGCTTCACACAGCCCCCATTCGCGAACGCTTTCTCAAAGCACAACTACGCCGCTCGGCAGCAATTGCCAATCTCCCATTCCATCCTCATCCCAAGTCGAAACCCCAGTGAGGATCTCGCCCGTGGCCCCATCCAACCGTGCCACCTCAACCACCACCGCCACAATTCAATTCCCTCATACCCGTGCTCTCGTTCGCTCCTACTCTGTCATACTGGCCGAAAATGGTTACGCGCCGCCTCGCTGAGAGGCCTAACCCACCCGGCCCAATGACCGGCTCTGGAAAGCAGGTCAAGATATTTTTGGACCCCAAAATACAAGCCACAGGGGAGCAAAGGTGTACCAGCCACAGGGTGCCACAAGGCTGGGGTCAGGATGGTCAGTCTGTTTGGTTTGGAATGGTTGGGCTGGGTTACATCAACGGTGATTGTAAATGACTTGACTGCTTGCTCATCCTTCGGCCTCAACTCTTAACGCCGCAACTTCACTTCCTCGTCGACCAAGATATTCCGGACCCCGAAATACCAGCCACTTGTGGGGAATGGGGGAAGGACAACTTCATTAGCCACAGGTTTGATGACTGACTCGTGGTGATGGATGACGTTCTGCAACGCCCGGCCGGTGATTAGCAACCACGGCCTGCTCTATCGATTGACTACGCCGCCACATCCTACCATCACCTCAAGTGATCTAGACCCCAAATTACAAGCCACCTGTGGAGAAGAAAGAGAAGGACTCTTTCACTAGCCACACGTTTTGATTACTGTCGCGTCCGTGATTGACAGCACTCATTCATTCTCTACTTGAGACGAGCCTGACTACGCCGCCGGCAAACCCATCGTCACACCCGCTCAACACCATATTGGACCCCAAAATCTAAGCCACCGTGGAGAAAAATTTACTAGCCACGCAGTTTCATGACTGGCTCGCTGTGTAAGCGATGCGGGTTGGGCAATACAATTTCTCAATCTCTTTCATTGACTACTCAGCCCACATCCGGTACTTTGGAATAGAGAGGGGTCTTAGGCAACGACACGCTCAGGTGAGGTCGCTGAACATCATGATTGTGCGCATGTGCTTCTCGCTGGTCCCCTGATGTCCAATCACAATGCGCTTTTAGTCACATTCTCGTACGATAGGAAGCTGGGCAAAAAGACTCTATTGATAACCTAAAAATGGGCGCAAGTGATGCTGTTGTGGGGGGACTGCTTGCAAACAACGTGAGCAACCGATTGATTTTCGTTGCAGAAACGTACGACATGGGGACATGGGGAAAAGGACGAAGAATGGAAAGTTTTGGGATCAACACAACCGAGATTTGTAAGATTTTGATTTTGATCTACACAATTGGTACATACTGTTACAAAATGAAGCCCTCCCTTCGCAAGACTCTGGTCACGAAATATCGGACTCATGTCCCGATAGGATGATGAAAGAAGAAGCTCAGAATACCCTTTAAATCGTACATCAACAATGAGTCAAGGGTCTGCCCTCACCGTGTAGAATAATCAGACGGCTGCACACGCGGCTCGGCCCTCACGTATCCAGCTGACCACTGCTGCCCATCTAGTTCACAACGCCACAACTCACCTTACCGGGCGAGGTTTGCGTTGTCCCTTGGTGCATTTTGGTTCAACTCTTGCATCATTCGCTGCATGCTTTTCGCCTCGACACTGTCCGCGCCCAGCGTTGTACCAGCGTTGCGCGCATGAGCTGTGAGAGTTTCGATCAAATCAGGATTGCTGGCTTTGGGCTCTACGGGCGCCTTTTCCATTAGATGACCACGCTTGACGAGGACCTCGGCGCCGAACGCACGCTCGGTGGCCACATGGATGCGTCCATCGATGTCCACGGATGCAAATTGCGGCACGAGTTCGACCTTGGCGCCTCCATAAGTAATCTCATCGAATACGTCGGTGCCATTGCTTGAGCCCCTTCTTCTGGTATACATTTTTCTGCTGATTTGCTTGGCGTCCACATACGCTTCAGGGTCGTTGGTGACGAAGCCGCCGATACCAAGGCGCGCGTGCTTCTCATTGGAGTTGTATAGCGTGCGTGGTTGCAGAACACGGGCTGTCACTGGCTGCCTCTTTGCTTGGGGTCCCAAAATGGGGTGATTCATCATATGGGAGGCGGTGCGCAAGTAACCGAGACCAGCAGAGGGATGGGTAGAGAGAGGAACGGATGAGTCGTCAAATCTCTGCAATACTTCCTGCTTCTTATTTTCCGGGCTCCAGCTAGCGTCCTTGAATTTGAAGGTCGGTAGCCGCAGGAAAGGGCCGACGAGATGCTGGAAGAGCTTTGACTTGAGCGGGTCGAGTGCGGCTTCCTTCCGTAATTCCTTGATTCCTGCATCTATGTCCTCCTGTGTGAATTTTGACCATTCCTGCTGTTGTTGACGGATCATTGCAGCGGCCTCAGCCTCGTCAAGAGGAAGGGTTTCGTTTTTCCTGAATGCATCATTACGGGCGGTGTAGATATCGTTTTTGACATAGTGAACCAGGATGCGGTGAAATTCCTTCTTTCGTGGATCAAGCTCTTTGGTGATATACTTCATGATTTCCGCCGAGCTCATTCCGGGAAGCCATGGCCCGTCATGCTTCCACCGGCGAACGTTGCGAAGTTCTGCATCAGGCACGTATGCACCAAAGGGCACAAAGGAAGCGTCTGCAGCATTCGGATCCTTAGCTTTTGCCCGATTGGCTCGTTGTTCCTCTCTGAGAGTCGCTTCCATGCTCCTTTTTATCTTTTGGAAATGAGCTCCAGGATCGTCCAGACCCTCGTTGTTCTCGTAGGAAGTAACATCAGACCGGAGTTCGAACGCGCCATCAACCGTGTTTCTATCAAATAGACCAGTGTCACGCATTGCATGCATTCCCCTCACGATTGGGATATCCATTTCCTCCCATTTCTCTCGTGTCCGTACATGGTCAGCGGCAGAGTCGTAGTCTGTTATATGCTCGATAGTATCTAGCTGTGTGACCTTAAGCACGGGGTTGCTGGCCTGCACAATGCGTGATCTGGAAGGGATAGGGCGCTTCAATCCCCAGTCACCACGGGCGAGCGAGCTCTTTGTAGTGGCAATAGCCTGATGCGTAGGGTATGGTAGGGTCGCGGTGTTGGATGTTGTATTTTGGAAACGAGTGGGCTCGGGCCGTGGCAAAGGGTTCGGGAGGGAGAAGAGGCGGGAGTTGCGCAAGAGGTTCGCAGCAGGCGATATGTTTTGGCGTCGGACGGCCATTGCGATGCGACAGCCGCAGGAGGAGCGTCAATGGCGGCTGAAGTGAGTGTTGATGATATCTCCACCGACCAAAGTCTAAAAGTTCACGTCTCAGCTGACTAAGCGCTGGGGGTCTCGCATTCGGGCTAGCGATCAACCGATGTTCTCCTCCGCATCAATCGCATCGGCGCATCACCCTCATATCAATTCATGATTTTGTGTAGTATCTTCTCATTTTTTGTATTTCCTCTCTAATGGGGATTAAACCCCGCCCACAGTATTCGGGCTGCATTCTACCGAGCCTGTTCGTGGGTTCTAAGCAAATACCTTTTCATCTACATATATCCTTAAGGTCAAATGATTAATACGTCAACCCAGCTCCCCACCACGTTCGAACCCCCGAACAAAAGTGCACGCCAGCCAGCTGGACTGAGGCAATCTATGCTTCCTGCGATAGCAGAACAGTTTCTAGAAGCTGCGCAATAGTGGCAACTCCACCCGCTCGCCTGCTTAAAGGCAGTATCGTCGGAATATCGTGGACGTTCAGCCTCGCGATTCAGTGACGACCGCTTAAACATTCATAAAAACCAATATCGAGATCAACCTCAACCCATGTGTTTATCCCAATCTTGCGCGTCGTTTCCGTCGTCATCGTCATCATTCTCGTCTTTGCTCTTTGATGACCGTGGAATGTGGCCTTCAATTGCCATATGCGACTGAAAAATGGTGTCCTTGGGGAGCGATGGAGGTTCTGGGGGAGTGGCAGCTACTCTCTCCCTGATTTTGTCTTGTATAAGATCTTTGTTGGCTTTGCTGAGGCGCCCCGGCTTCTCCCCACGCTCGATAGCAAGATCAGCCAGAGCATCATCGTGCGCAGCCCACGCAGCGGCCACATCTTCCTCTTCGCGGTCAGCGGGCTTCTTGGAGTCGGCTGGCTCCTTCAGTCGCAACGGCAGGGCCTTGTGATGTTCCTCGCTGTTTTCCACCATGAGCTCAATCTTATCGCCATGACTACCTTGTCGTAGCCACGCAGGTTCCTCATTTAGTTGCACCTTTACATAGAGTGCCCTGCGCGCACAGTCGTCTGAGCACCACACCTCGAGGGATTTCTTGTCAACTATTTGGACGCCGTGCGAGGTATCGACGAACTGCTTCCTGGCGGCGGACGGGGCTTTGCGCTTGGGGCGTGGACAGAGAGCGTATCCGCACTTGGCTGCGATGTTGCGCTCTTCAATGAGCGAGTCATAGTCGGCAGGCTGAAAGGGAGCGACAGCCTGGCTGAAGCGGAGAGCGTCGGACGATGAGGGGCGGCGCGGATCGGCGTCTGGCGACTCGGGAAAGTCCAGCAGGGTTATGATGCTGTCGAGAACCTCCCTCTCGGCGGTCTTGCGCTGCTCGATGATGTTGGCATGGTGCAGAGCGACCTCGAGGTGCTTCTTGTTGACAGGGCGGTCGTCGGTGGCGGGGGGCGGCTGATTGGCAACGACGGTGGTCTTCTTGAGAATGGATTTGGGAGGCATGGTGAGCGGAAGAGTGGGTGTGTGAGGGATGGGAGGAAGGCAGACGCGGACGAATGCAGACTTGTCAAGCAATCGTGGGCAAGACTACAACCATTATTAGTAATGAGTCCAGCTATGCGGCCATAGGTTAGGTACCTAGGTAAAGGAAGTAGGTATCGCGGCATTGTTGCATGGCTGCAGGCACGCTCGCACGCTTGCGGGCAGTTTCACGTGGAGCACGAGTACAAGCATTCCATCATGGCCATCATCATGGCTCGGTCGCAGATGTCAGGTCTCTGCCAAGCCAGGCCGCTTGTGCTGTTCTGCCGCGCGGGGCTCCCTGTCATAGGCCATGGCAATGCATTTGATACCAGCTTGGTAGAGATGGGGAAAAGAAAAAAAAAGAGAGACGGGACAAGTAGAGAAGCCGAAGTAGATAATCACTTGGCATCGAATGGTACATGGAATCAAATAGCCTTTTTCTTTTGTTTCCCATCCAATATCTCGTGCGATGATGCACACGGAATGATGGTGGTAACATGTGTAGCAGCCAATTATCACGACGCATCTATTTTGAAACGGTTCCTATTAGGCAGGCAGCCTGACGTTTCTCACTCTCCACGAAGCTCGGGTCATACATACTTACTTACTTACTTAAGTACCTACATATGTTGTGCCCCTATAGTTGAACTAGTGACATTGGCTTCGTTAATCATCATCTTCATCATCATTATTGTCGTCGTCTCCTACGTTGTTTGTGTGGGCCAGCTAGAAGAGAACATGCCCGCAGTGCGTCGTCTACCTCTCGACTAGCGCTGGGTAGATCCATCTCCGCCGCCCGCTTGTCTCCCCCGACCGGCTGCCGCCTCACACGCCATAGCCCCCATCAACACAAACTCCATCCCACCTACACCTACACAGTCCACTACACTGCTGCAATCCACCGCACCCTCTACCCCCTACATCCTGGCGCACCCCAGAGTTCCGGCGTCTGCCATTGCTGCTCGTCGTCGCCGCCGCCGCCCGTCTCCGTCTCTTCCCTTCTTCGTCTCGATACCGTAGCTCTTCTTCTTCCTTGTCTCATTACCCTGCGTCCGCCCACCTTCCTCGTGGCGGAGAGAAGAGCTGCACCCCACCACCACCACCACAATCCCCCGTTCTCGCCTACGCCCTCGCGTCCACACTCTCCATCGCCACGGCCCACGGCGTCGTCCACACAATGCCTTCCTTCAAAGTAAAGGCCGTGTACAAGTACGAGTCGCCGCATGAGGATGACCTCAGTTTTCCAGAGGGCCAAATCATCACCGTAACCGAGGTTGAGGACGAAGATTGGTACGTGGGCGAATACGTTGATGAAGCCGGCAACCGGCAGGACGGCCTTTTCCCTCAAAACTTTGTCGAGAAGTACGAGCCTGAGCTGCCCGCCCGTCCCAACCGCGCATCTAGACACAAACCACTGGACCAGCAGCCTGTTCAGCAAGCTCCCCCGACCCCCGACCTCCCCCAACAGGAGTCGGCGCCCGCTCCCCCAGTTCAAGAAGATGCCCCCAAGCAGCCGCCCCCGCCCGTCGAGATTCCCCAAGTATCCTCTTCTCAGGTCACTTCGCCCACGTCCCCCGCTTCGGCTCCCAGCGGAGCCACCAAATCTTCCGAGATCCCTCTAGAGCCTCCCACTGCTTCCAAGCCCTCTGTTCCAGAGTCGACTGCTGCCACTACTGCACCTCCGGCTAAGAAAGCTCCTCCGCCAGTTGCCGCCAAAAACAGCGCCTTTTTGAATCGCATCGCTGCCTTCAATCAACCTGCTGCTTCCCCCATACAACCCTTCAAGCCTGGCGGCCAGCCCAGCACGTTCGTGAAGAAGCCTTTCGTGGCCCCTCCCCCTAGTCGCAATGCTTATGTTCCACCCCCTCGGGAGGCTCCGCAGGTCAAGTCGTATCGACGGGACGAGGATCCGGAGGTTGCGGAGCGTCAGGCCCAAGACCAGGAGAATGCAGAACGCGCTGGATTTGCTGGTAACCCCACCTCAAACGACGGTGAGGGTGAGGACCCGGCCCCCACGGTCAGCTTGAAAGAGCGCATTGCAAGGCTTCAAAAAGAGCAGCAAGAACAAGCTACGCGCGCCGCTGCACTTCAGAAAGAGAAGCCAAAGCGTCCTCCGGTGAAGAAGCGGACTGAGTCTCACGAAGCCCCGGGTGATGACGGCGAAGGTGGTCTGGATAGATCAATAACTGGCGAGTCGCGGGAACGTACCTCCACTGATCATACTCGGCCGCCTCGCTCCGCTCATGGTGTTCAGTCACCTGACCAAACAAACCGTGAATTAATGAGCGATGCCAATGACGCCGATCAATCAGGGGCTGGTGAAACAGAAGACGCAGATGGCGCATCAACAAGCGTAGAGGAAGAGGAAGAGCGTGCTAGACAGAAGCATGCTGTGCGAGCGCCTGCTGCTCCTGCTAGAGAGCCTGATGTTGGCGACGAGCAAGACGTTGAAGAAGAAGAGGAAGAAGAAGAGGATGAGGAGGCCGCAGAGGCCAGGCGCAAAATGGAGCTTCGGGAACGCATGGCTAGAATTGGTGGTGGGTTCGGCATGCCCGGTATGTTTGGTGGAGGAATGCCCATGGGTGTTCCCCCACCAAAGAAGAAGAAGCCCGAGAAAAAGTCCACTGCCGACAGCGAAGAGTATTCGATGCCTCAACAACGAGTACCCATGTTTGGACTGCCGGGTGTGAAGAGCCCGGAGATTGAGGACAGAAAATTAGCGGTCGAAAAGGAGGATGAAGAGTCTCACTCCATCACCCTCTCGCGGCCTGCCAACGAAGTACCTGATGTAGAGGACGTTGCCCGTCAGCCCATGCAAAGAACCCCCACAGCTGAGCGCTCGCCACCTCTCGCTCCAGAAAGTAAGCATTTCGTTAAAACTCTTATCCCTAGAAAGCCAATTGGAGGCTATATCATTCGTGAGACGGCAGGCGCATTTCGGTCATCATCTTCTGCGAGTGTCTCGAAAACGTATGTTGCGTTTGACGGAGCCTCAGAATATGTCATGACTGTTATTGTGTCTAGTATGTCAAGCGGCGGTGCTATGGTCACGTTGGCAATGGCACACATGTACTAACATGAACATGTAGAGCGTCCTGTGCCACCACCTATCTCAGCAGCCGACCGACCAGTACCTCCTCCCGTCCCATCAGCTTGTAAGTTGGAATTCCCCAAAAGTAGCGATACAGATATGCATGACTCTTGCTAACACCCCAAAGCTCGCCCTGTGCCATCAGCGCCTGTCAGATCTCCAAGCCCTGGGTCAGAGTCGGGCGACGAGATGACGGACGCCCAGATGCCGGAATCTGCTACGTCACCCAAGACTCCCTCAGCCATACCCCCTCTTAAGAATCGAGACTCTTACTTGGCGTCTGATGAAATGTCCGGAGATTCACCAGACAAGCGGGCCATGCCACCGATCCCGTTGGCTAGCCCTACCTTATCACCAGTGAACAACCGTCCGCCGCCACCGCCCCCTCCATTTGCAGCACCACCTCGAACCACGACAGCGGATCGATTATCCAAGAAGATTGATCGCGAGGGTGAGACTGATTACGAAGGCGACTACGATACCGATATTGCTTCTGGCGCGACTCACAAGGACGCCTTGAAATCTCACATTCGTGATTCAAGTATGGAAGACAGCACCACCGCAGACGAAGCTTCAGTCCGATCTCCTATAACCCCTGCGGGCCCCCCACCACTTCCTCCTTCTGTGCCTAGAGCTGTACCACCTCCACCCCCACAACAACCGCCGAGTAGAGTGTCTCTCGACGCTCCCAGGAGTGCACCTCCTCTGCCTCCCGTTCCTCCTCCTACACGAGACATTCAAGACGATGACGACGAGTATGATCCGTATCGATACACTGGAACCCCACGTGCAGTACCTCCTGCTCCCAAGGCCATGCCACCGCCTCCGCAAAGCCATCCCCCACCTCCACAAAATCGACCGCCACCTCCTGCCATGCCTCCAATGCCACCTTCTATTCCTCCAACCCCTCAAATGCAATCCGGTGACACGTCGGAGGACGAAGACGATCTCTATACTGCCCCTCCACCTAGGAAATCACATGACAGACCGCCACCCCCTCCGCCTCAGGCTCCTCCGCCACAAGATAGACCTGCCCCGCCTCCACCACCGCCTCAAGAACGAACCGCACCTCCACCTCCTCGTGAGCCAGCTCCACAGCCCCGAACACCTGCTGCCAGAAAATCTCTGGATGTGAATCGCGCTGTGCAAGGCCGCGTGTCTATGGATCAACCTCGTCCATCAGTGAGCCAGGATTTCATTGCGACAGACGTGGATCTGGGGGCATCGACGCACTGGTGGACACAGCCGAATATGGTGCCACCTTCTTTGCAGGGCCGAAAAGATGTTCTCGTTGATTTGAGTGAGACAAGGTCTGGTAACACGGTTGATAAGCTCGTGCAGGTGCTGTACATGGATTATTCGCAATCCATCATATCCGCTCGTTTTGAAGCAAATAATGTGTCCAATGTTGAGCTCGAACAAACCCAAGAGCCTCCCCCTGCACGTCTTCGTCAAGATCAGCTCGAGGACGCACACCAACAGCTGGGATCAAGAATCGCCAAGGATGTGGAATCCAAGCAAAACACTGTAGTCGGCGACGGCACTCCACAAGGCCTCATTCTTCAACTTCTCAGTCCCTACAAGGATGCCCTCCGACCTGTATCCACGCGCTCGTTTGGTGCAATCGTCTACGCCAACCTCGCCAACGCTTCCACGCAGCAATACGACGAGATTCGCCCCGGCGACATTATCTCGTTCCGCAACGCCAAGTTTCAAGGTAAGCACGGCGCCATGCACGCCAAATACTCTGTCGAAGTCGGTAAACCGGACCACGTCGGCATTGTCCAGGAGTGGGATGGCTCCAAGAAGAAGGTGCGTGTCTGGGGTCAGTGGAAGGAGAGCAAGAAGGTCAAGCCAGAGAGTTTCAGGATGGAGGATCTGAGGAGTGGGGAGGTCAGAGTCTGGCGCGTTATGAGCCGTCATTGGGTTGGTTGGCATTAAGCTATTGAGATAAGGCTGGAGCGAAGAACCTTACTTGCTGTTCTGATTGTTGTCATCCCTAAATGTTTTCTTACATCTTTTCCCCCTCTTATCTTTGTTTCCGTCGTGCCCCCATTGTAGAAAGACAGTCCGCATATGGTGTATACACGTACATGTCTCCCTCTTTGCTATTGTTCAATTTTTGTTTGCACGACTCATGCTATCGTTAATCAGTGAGCATCTAAAGCAAAGCGATTGTTGTCGGTTGTCGGCTGTCTGGAGAGTCAATAGTGCTATTAATTTATTGTTGTAGTTGTTGTTGTTGCATAATAGATGCCGTTTTAACCGCATGTCGTTTCAAACTTCTCTGTTTTACTATTCGTTGATGTCTTTCTGATGACTGTGAGTGCCTTGATCTGGGGTGCTCAGCTTCCCCTTTTCCCTATTCAACCTTTTATGCGCATTCCTATTCTGCTTTCTTGATCTCTTGAGATGAGGAGGAAAAGACGAAACATTGCTATTTATCTCCATCTCCTTGTAGAAACATTACCTCGCGAATTTTTCTACCTATTTGTATTCTGTTCCCACTTTTTTCCGTCTTATTCTCCTTGCACGGTTTCAACAAATTGCCCATCTACATCTCACAAGCGCGCATCATTCATCACTTCATCTCTACGGCGCCCATTTTTTTTGTGACCATTGATCTGTGTGTTCGTTAGTGACTTATATGCCCTTGTGCCACCGTCTATCACTCTTTACTCTCTGCGTTACTTTTAGAGGTAAATTTTTTTTTTAAAAAAAAAACCCCCCTACAATGCCCCCTGCATTATGGGTAGTATGAGAGTCCCTCGTTTAGTGTTTGAAACTGAGTTTTTCGCGTCTCTCCTTCCTGTTCACGAAATGATTGGCTGCAACTAGCATGGAAGAAAGACTTGTACAAACCTCCAATGTGGAAAGCATTTTGGTTCTTATTCTAGTAAAGGTGATCACCTTGCTCCTTTAAGCACATAAAAAAGATAATTCCCGACAATAGATTTATAACCATTAAATGGGCAATATAATTCAAGCAAAAAATGCTCCACCATGAAAGTTTTAATCTGTTGATCTAGACAGCAATCCTCCGAATAGTAATGTGTGATCACAATGGAAAGTCAAAGACTACCAGCTAAAACCGATCACAGTATCCACAAAAGATATTCCTGTGAAGTAATCGAGCCCAATTCTATAGTGCTATCAAGATGTAGACATGATTATGGTTAATATATCCTGACGTGCTTCAGCGCTATTATGGCAGATTTGTTTTGGTGCTAGTTGTTTGTAGTGGTTCTTGATAGATCTTTATGAGTCCACAGCGATCGACGGCTCTTCCAAGTTGCCTAATTGGGAAGGTTGAAAGGAAGGAACACTGTCTCGTTGATATCATTAGAAGGCAGGTTCAATTGTCATCTTTGCTGTCGCTACTACAATGCTTATGGCTTTAACCTGTCCTCGTGATGGTATCGACTAATCGCAATCCTTTAAAAGTGTTTCTACGTTTCATGGTTTGGTATTTGGAAGAACTGGGTTTTACGGAAGTGTTGTTCATAAGTTGAGGCTGGATGAATGTTGCATCACGTGATGCTGGTGACCAGATGAGGATCCACTGTTACATTCAAGCACACCAAGTTCGTCTCCCAGCATCAGATTAAAGGTATCCAATCTCGTGCGTGCGTTGGCATATTTTAATAAGTAATTTTAGAATAGAAGTCAGTCGGATTAAAACACACTTTCATTTCTGTTCTACGATGTGGATGGTACTATACACTACACATTGAGTTTCGAGAATGCTGAAGCTCAATGAGCAATCAGAATCCAGGACCCACTTGCCGCCCGATATCTAATTGTGACAGCAGAATTAATTGGACTCCATGCAGTCGAGACGCCGAACAAAGCAAAGCAAAGCAGAGCACAGCACAGCAGAAGAAGAGAAGACACCGAAAAACATTCAGGCTGTGCTGCAACTGCCACAGTCGAGAGACGGAAAGTTTCGAGGGAGACTATGAAAAGTAGGACCCAAAGCGCCGTCGCCATGATGATGTCAAAAATAGAGATTGGTGAATATTTGCCAGTTTACCAGCATTGATGTCGAAATAAGCAAAGATTCGTGACTTCGGTTCTTAGGAAGTGTCCATTGCGTCCTCATCTTTACGTACAGGCTGCTTCCCCGCCGCCTTTTGTGAGACAAGAGCTGGCGTCCCACGCGATGAACGGCGCTGACCCACATTGAGGCTGCTATTGGCGGGGGTGTGGCCGTTGACTGGCGAGATCCTATTGACTGGGTTGAAACCACTGTGGGCAGAAGATGGGGGGGCTGGAGGAGTAAACATTCCAATCGGGGGCTGCTTCTGACCGCTGCCCCCATTGACGCCGGTAGGAGTGGGTACGCCATCCTTCAGCTGCTTGTGATTGTGATTGTGATTGTGATTGATGTACCCATTTTGAGGAGTCACCATTCCACCAGGAAACTGCTGGTTGTGGCCGTTGACCCTACCGTTGGGAGCGAACATTCCAATCGGAGGCTGCTTGTGACTGTTGGCACCAATTTGGGGGGTGAACAATCCAATCGGTGGCGGCATGTAGCCATTGGGTCCGGGGGTTCCGTTAAATCCATTGTGATTGTGTATACCGTCAATTCCATTGCGTGAACTCGGTCGACTGGTATCACTAGTAACATATTTTGGTGTTCGTGGAGTATAGCGGTGCACGCGGTTCGGTCCTCCACAAGCGGCCTTGATCCGACTTTGAAGTTCGAGTGCGACATTATCAAAATGTTTACGCTCCTCGGAGTTTTTCCATCCCATTTTATTCTTAACACATTCGGATCGCCGATGGCTGATGGTCGAGCCTTCAATACGAATTCCCATGTCGTCGAAACGTTTGCATATTTCCGCGCGGGGTAAGATGAGTAGAATGATGAGCAGGCTGGCATTGTCATTGTCCAGAAGGTGCGGCGCAAAATCGCAAACATCGCAAGCAAATTTGCGCAGCCCCCGTAGTTCCTCAATATCCTGGCACTCTACGAATTTCCTAGCCATCGCGCAGGGTCGCGTCATATCACGACAGGGGTGCGTCAACAAAACGTTGGCCACGCTCGAGACGCTGACCGGATAGGTAGTGTCTCGATTGATGGACGCAGTAGCAGCTGCGGAAACCGTACCCGGAACGAAAACGACCTCGATATCATCATAGGGGCCACGTGGAGTTTTATTGTCTTTCGGTAGATCTTTTACTTTTTGTTGGGCCTCCCTGGCTGCTCTGATGGCATCCTGGGGGGTATGGAGCTTGTACTCGGCAGCAAGTACCTTAGAGTCCTTGTGCATTTCGAAACGAGACAGTTTGCGCTCGACATCTTCTGGGCGAATCCATGCTTCAGACCAAGACTCCTCGGCAAGGACCTTACAGAAGACCTTGGTAAGAGCGCGCACTTTGGACTCTCCATCGCTTAACGTACGACCACCGCCGAAGATCAGAGCGTCGGTGTAGAGATAGGCCTGCTCTATAAACTCCTTTCGATCTTTGGCAGTGACCGGTTCGGCTTTTGGATTGTTCCTGAAGTCAATAACAATTTCATTGTACTTTCGATTCAATATATCATCAAAGTCAGGTAGCATTGAACCAGCCTCTATCAAAGCTGTCAGACCCTGTGTAAAACACGTTTGACACTTGACTTACGCTGAATTATTGATTGCACAGATTGTTGTTGTGGTGGCGATGTGGGCGGTGGAGCTGGCTGCAGCGGGGAAGGTAGGGCAGGAGCCTCCTGGGTAGTCGGAACAGGTGACATGGCGACAGGACGCGGAACGCACGTGTTTTCACCCTAGTGTGGATTTCTGAATATCGCGTACCAACTTGTAGAAGTTTTTGAAGTCTTTTGTAGACGAAACCAGATGGCGTTGTCGTGCTCTAGTTTGAAAGAGGCAGCAACTTCGCGCGGTGGTTGAAGATGGTCCAAGTTCAAGATCCACGCAAAAACATTCACGCTCGCGTAAACTAGCGTCGCTAAGTCAGCCTTGGTTTAGTGTGACCAGTCACATGGTAATTAATCATAAGAGTAACATGATTACTGGAACAACACCTCCGCCTATTTCAAAAGACTCCCAATGTGAAGAGTCTCCCTGCAATGAGGCGTGCAACGAGCGTGCAACGACGTCATTGAAGCATATGTAGTCGTGAATGAGTAGGTCTTTCAACGTGAGTTTCACAGCAATGTAATACAGCTTGTGTTATATCGTTGCCTTGGACCGCCAACACGTGCATACTTTTAACCCCTGGCACTCACCTACTCGAGCCATCGCTTCATCAGTTCAATTACATACAAAATCCATCCCAGTGCACTTATTGCCACTGTTTGAACGGATTCCTCGTTATCAAATGTATCGAGGGCTCTCATAGTAGCTCGGCGGAGATCGAAAATCGCAGCAGCCCTTCGAAAATTCCCCGTATTGTGAGAACGAAAGTGTTTTTGTAGCCTTATCAATAACATACTTAAGTATGTAGCGGGGGTTGCGTCAAGCGCTGGAGATTGCTATGATGACCTGTGGATGATAATTTGAGGAGGTTGTACCCTGTACCCTGTCTCCTGAAACCGAAAACTCACAACCACAACAATCCAGCATGACACTTCGAATTTGACTCTATCGAGATTAGATCCAAGTCATTCCTCCAACAACGGTCATCACCTCTCTTCAGAAATACTCATTGTACCCATCTCAATGGACAGTCAATCGTAGCAAGCTGTTGAGCGAAGCTTGTCCATCCGCAACAAGCTATTGGAATCATTCACGGCGATTTTGAGCGCCAAATCATTAATTTAAGCCTCAAATTATCTTGGCTTGTGCATGACACTACTATTGCTTGCTTATCCGTGAAGGCTGGTAGCGGTCGTATGCGAGGGGATGAGGGAGAGGGGAGGAAACACTAGGATATGTTCAGGAGCATAGCGGTCACTCCCTGCATATCAAAACGAGGATACCAATGGTAAAAACCGAGATTACACGGACATTCTGTCTGTGGAGCGGCACGATAGACTTGGATTAGGTCACTGCGATCAACTATAAAGTCAATGGACACAACTGTCCTAGCAAAACACTATAACTCCAATGGTAGTGTATCTTTGGTGGACTTAGTCATCTGCGACTTTTTCTCATCTATATAGCACCAGACTTTGGCTAGAAAAACCTAATTCGCTTCGTGTGCGAAAGGCAGAGTTTTGTGATAGGGCGCTGTTAATACGGGTAGATCATCACGATCACTTCAATGGCATTTAGTGATATTTCCGGCAAGCATAATAATGGCTTGAAATGAGCTACTCAACCATAATTTTTTATATAAAGCACCTGACGCCCTGGAGTTATAACGACATATATGATTTCCCTCGTCCACAATATCCGCCCAGAAGTCACCCACTAGACTCAGTCAAACCTGTACTTGTTTGCATTGCTGCTCTGCGACCAAAAGATTGACCCAGTTTTGATTTGTACCGTCAACAACCTCCTTGACTAGTAGCGCAAGAGTCTTTGAATCCGCCTGTTGAGTACCCTGTAGCGACTTGACTTGGCTGATCTCGGACTGCTGCGCAAATTCCACGGTTTTGAGCCCATTAGAAGCTCCACTTCCCACTTCGGCAGCTATCTTCTGGTTCTGAGTCCGTATTTCAACGCCCATCTGTTGGATAACCAACAGTGCTTGACGCTCAGCTTCGTATTGAGACGCACCTGGAACAGCAGTATTGGTTCCATTGGACAGCAGAAGTGTTTGTAGAGCGGCGATACTTTGAAGATTAGTTGGATTTAGACGGATATTGTGGTTGGAATAGGGACTAACCTCTTGAGCTCTTGGTCTTGAATAGCAACGTTTGTGCGAATTCCCCCTGATAGTTGTCCAACCTTCTCTGCGGTAGCCGCGTTACATGTGGCGTTACTCGCGCCACTCTGTTGGCCACTTCCTTCTTGGCTTCCAGCTTGTTGACTACCTCCCTGTTGACTGCTGCTGTTTCTTCCACTATTCTGTTGTTCGCTGAGTGTCCCTGTCGGTCCGTTTGGCATGGCTGTCTCTCCTGAAGTATAGTCTTTCTGTGTCATTGGAACGGCCAGGGCAGCTCCTAGCAAAATCATGAACGAAAAAGATCTCATTTTGAACTCGTTTGTATTGAGGTGGAAGGATAAATTAGAGATTATGGAACTGATAAATAGCAATGGCTGGGGTGATGAACGGTACTCAGCACAGCTGTACCGACGGAAACAAATCGCACAAGAACAATCTTACCTCTAACATATTGAAAGGCAGCCTGACTTTATATCACACAACTTGGTCACTGTTGGTTGGACGTTGTAACCACACGGAAAGTTTGGCTCCCGCTGCACGAATTATAGCGCAAGACAATTGAGAAACACACTAGACGCTAAGCCTTTGGCTCCAAGTTTTAGACGTAGTCGGAGAGTTTCTCCATATTAGTCTATTTGTTTGCGGGTCGCTTATTTAGACGAATCTAACGGGATTGAAAACAATGTTGAAACCCAGCTCGCTGAGACACGCTAGAACAAACCTTACAGGGACACTCCGAAGGTTTGCAACGACAAGATTGATTCCTCTATCGTAAGGTAATATACTACAACTTGCGCCTCAACCCGTCTTTGTGGGACAATTCATACACGACATAGTCTCGATCATCGAAGAAATATAAACCCAGTTTGGTCCTCGATGCGAAATCTGTATAGTACCTACTCATCAGATGTTTTCTGTCCACAAAAAAGTAACATGAATCATTTTAGAGATACATTGATGAGTCTCGCAAAACCCCCAGTCAATGGAGGTGACAGCTGAAGGCCTGAAACATGCCTGAGCCAAACCTGAATATCACCAAAAATGATCGACAGGGGCATTCTCTATCAGGGGTAGCCCTAGAAAATCAACTACTATGGGTCGATTGAAAGAGAGACAGTGATATGTTCAGTCGCATAAAAAAAATCGATTTGAAGTGTGTAACATTGAAACTGTGCCCTGTCGACTAAGATTTTGGAGAGTAGCATCCCTATACTTCGAAAGATTCGATTCATACTTACATCGCATGAGCCTCAGTCATGGCCCGATAGTAGTTGGCAGACGCAGTCAAAACTTGGAGACTTAGAGCGAGGCGTTGTAATTTTGGGAAATTCAGGCGTATATCTAGACTCTATCGGGAGATCTGATGTGTTGTTGGCAGTCCGGATCTCAAGAAAGCACCCCTGGGTTATAGTAAAAACGGATTATGCCCCAGATCAAGTTGACCTTCAGTCCGCACCCTTGAAAGATTACTATATGTCATCATTGCCGTAGTTGCAAAAGAATGTCACTTGAGTATGATTTAATATGACATTTAGCCACGCAATAAGGTATTCGTAGAGTTAGAAGAAGAAGATGGGCGAATGACACAAACACCAGTGGTGCTTGCAAAACAACCGCCTTGGAAAAAATCCTCAAACCGTCTCCCCACCAACAGCTCCCGGTGGACCTCCCGCAACACCAGCAGGCCCAAAATTGGGGGCTTTCTTCTCGTTCTCCTTACCAACAGAGTCTTTCCTTTCATGCTTCTCTTCCTCATCAAAAGTGGAATCCAGCATGAACGGGCTCTTCGCTCTAATTTCCCGGCCTTTTATCATCAAGACAACCGGAACAACACTCAGCACAGCACCTATGAGCCCTAGCAATGTCCCAGCCCAGCCAAACCCCAGATTTGCAAAGAGCGAATACGATGCAAGAGGAAGGAAAGCTCCGAAGGTATTACGACCGAGCGACGCAGCAGATAATGCAGACGCAGCGTATTTCTCGTAAGCGTCGGTGAGATAGTTGACTACACCCATGTAGATGGAGTATATACCGACGCCCACAATGCAAACCCCGATCGTAGGAACAATCCAGTGAACATCCGGTCTTGAGCTCCATCCATACATGAAGAGACCACCTGTGAAAAGGAGACTTCCGGGTATACTGGTGTAGAGACGAGCTTCGGGGATTGGTTTGCCGGAGCGCTCAGTGTTCTTTGATGCGCTGCGAAGATAAAGCCAGTCTTGAATCGGATTGATGAACGTGCCAATGGCAGCGCCGACTGTGATGGCTAACTGAATGAGACCGGTTTGAAAGATGCCGAAGCCATAGTTTGCGCTGAAGGTTTGCACTACAGAGGAGAAGAATAGAAATAGAATTCCCCATGCGAAACTAATCCAGAGAGTGAAGAATATAACGACTGGCTCGGTTAACAGCATCTTTGTGGGGCGCATGAAAGAGATCTTGAGTAGAGTATATATAGAGGTACGTTCGAGCTCAGACTCGGCGTAGATCTCGCGGCCGGTTTCCTTGCGCAATTTCTTTGCGCGATTTTGGAGGATGACGTCGCCTCGAGTCTCTTTAAGGATGAAGTAAAAGACAGGAATGAGAGCGGCATTATAGATGATTTGAACGTAAAATATCCTGTTTCGTCTCGTCAATTAATGTTGTTATCATTGTATCCATCCAATGCTGGGAACGTACCAGCGCCAGGGCGAGTCCAAACCAACGGCCGGTCTGTTAATCTGCATGATAGCGCTACCGATAAATGGGCCGAGGGCGATACCAGCCACACTGGTGAATCCGAACAAGGACATGGGCAGACTTCTTGCTTTATCGCCTCTCCATATATCACTGATACTCCCTCCAACGATATTGATGGACACAGAAGAGGCCCCACCACCAAAGAACCTGGTCACGACTAGAGTGGCAAAGTTGTCGGCGAAGGCTGAGCCGAACAAAAAGAGTTCGAATACGATATACGCGAACTAATCACAGTCAGATATTGCCATCGATTTCGTGGTCAAATTGCTTACGAAGTAGCCGGGCATCCGCCCAGTGTTCTCAGTCAATGGGACGAAAACCAACGGAAAGAGTGCCGCTCCGAGGTTCCAACTACATGTTGCCCAGTAGAGATTCGGAAAAGGCTCGTTCTTTACATTAAAACGATCGCTCATCAAATCATTTCCCGCACCGTAAGACCCAGCAGGCAGGCCAGTGAGAATAGAAATGAAGCAGACTGTCACAGTAAGGAACCACTTGTATTTCAGTGACCAATTGAATCTGGCTGCGATTAGTACAGTATGTCAGATTTCGCTTGGCAACGTATTACGGGTTTTCGGAGTCCTCTGGACCGTTCCACGAGACAACTTCCACTTCTTTACCATCTTTCATGCGAGTATCAGGGTTGTTTGAAAAGTCAGGACGATGCGTTCCGGCTGGATTCAGAGAGTCACCCGAATGCTGGCCATCTGTATTTGTCATTAGTCTGCAATACATTGGAGAGCACGTAGAATCCGATACCTTTTCCTTCGCCATCTGAAAAACGAGAAGACATGGCGACAGAATAAAACGCATTTGTGCGTTGAGAATAGGACTGGTGGGTGGATCTTTCATCGTTATAAGCCAGGTACATATAACCTCATTCGTAATTCAGTTTATGTGACAGTGATCTCATTCTTAGCGATTTAGCGGTAGTGTATGACGGGATGACGTTGATTGCAAGTCAACATCACGCTGGAAGACAGTTCGGCCGAACACCTAAATCGTGTGCTCTAGGAGTCCCTGATAGATAATAGTATTATGTCGTCTACCTATCATTTGATAGCTACAGGTGTGCATCAAGTGTCATGGATGTACAGGGGGATGTTGCGTTGAGATGTCACATGACGGGAGCATAGTATACTATAACTTTCCTCGCAAATATAAGAGCTGCTAAGAATCTACTAGAGCCTTTCATTTGTAAATAATAGATGGTATACCTAATCTCCTGAGCTGTGACATCCCGGTGTGACATCCCCCTGTAGCTGGATCAACCTTTTACCGAGGCCGACCGAGGATCGGGGGTGGCCAGAGCTCCGACCCTAGAGGATGACGCCGTGATAACAAATCAATTGCCACGGCATTCTGAGGGTTTCCTTTGCGCGATCATTACACGTGCTCTGCTTTTCATCCCCTAACGACTTGTTGGTGAATTGTATTCCCTCGTCTCTCAACATCGCCCCCTGCATCTGCGTTTCCGACACCCTTCCCACCGCGTCATTCCCGTCATGCTTCACGGACAGAATCTACCGTGGCGAGCAGCACTCCGTCAAGCTTCTCGATCTACATCGAAAATAGCCACAACCCGCGCATCCTCTCCATTCCTTCCAGCACAATGCTCGGCATCCTTCGCTAGGCAACCCAGGAGATACCCATTGCCACCGGCTGCGCTGTTGTCATCTCGAGCTTTCTCAACATCCATTAGTAGACCGAGAGAAAAGAGCCCCAAGACTCCTCCAGAGGAGCAGGAGCAGGGAAAGGAGGAAAAGGAGGAAGACCAGACAAAGCAGCCCAAGCCTCAAGAGGCTGAAGAGCTAGAGGCGAAAACAAAATCGCCAGACCCCATACCGAAAGCCAAAGATGCGCGAGGAAGCTCTGGTGCAGACGGTGCAGAGGGCTCAGGTGGCGATGGCGGTGGAAAGAAGCGCAAACAGTCGGAACGATCCCTTGTAAAGCCATCGATACCGGAAGTCTATCCTCAAGTCATGGCCATACCCATCGCTAAGCGCCCGCTGTTCCCCGGTTTCTACAAGGCTATCACGATTCGTAATAGAGAGGTTGGCCAGGCTATTGCCGACATGGTCAAGCGCGGTCAGCCGTACATTGGTGCTTTTCTTTTGAAGGATGACGACGCGGATAAGGATGTAATTGATGATCCTAATGAGGTGTACGATGTTGGTACCTTCTGCCAGGTTACGAGCGCATTTCCGGTGGGGCCAGACGATAACTTTTCCATGACTTGCGTACTATACCCACATCGCCGGGTGAAGTTGACCGAACTCAAGCCCCCTTCTGTTCAGACACCCCCGGAAACTCCTGCGGAAGGCTCGTCAGTTGTCGAAAGTACTTTGGGCGAGTCAGCTGTGAAGGACGCGGAGACGGATCACTCCAAGGGCGACGTGGTTGCGAGCTTCGAGGAGAACAGTGCTGACGCACTCAAGGCGCCCCAGTATTATGAGGCGACATCATTCCTCAAGGGGCGCAAGGTCAGCATTGCAAATGTGGAGAATCTGTCCGAGGAGCCTTTCGACATGAAGAACAACAAAGTTATTCATGCGTTGGTCAGCGAGATTGTGAACACGTTCAAGTCTGTTGCCAATCTCAACCCCCTTTTCCGTGATCACATCTCAACATTCTCGGTACAGACCACCATGAACGTTGGTGAAGACCCGGTCAAGCTCGCGGATTTTGCTGCTGCGGTCGCTCAAGCAGATTCTCACGAGCTTCAAGAAGCACTCGCAGAGATGAATGTTGAGCAAAGATTAAGCAAGGCACTCATCGTTCTCAAGAAGGAGCTCATGAACGCGGAGCTACAGTCTAAGATCGTCAAGGACGTCGAGAGCAAGATACACAAGAAACAACGCGAGTATTGGTTGATGGAGCAAATGAAAGGCATTAAGCGTGAGCTTGGTATCGAATCTGACGGCAAGGACAAACTTATTGAGAGATTCCATGAAAAGGCCAGCAAGCTGGCTATGCCCGAAGCAGTGAAAAAGGTTTTTGACGAAGAGATTAGCAAGCTTTCCCACCTTGAACCTGCTGCATCTGAGTTCAACGTCACACGCAACTACCTTGATTGGCTGACACAACTGCCGTGGGGACAAAGGAGTGCCGAGAATTTCGGAATTCAACATGCGCGAGAAGTCTTGGATGAAGATCATCACGGCCTGAAAGACGTCAAGGATCGTATCCTTGAGTTCATCGCTGTTGGAAAACTTCGTGGCACCGTAGAAGGCAAAATTCTCTGTTTAGTAGGTCCACCCGGCGTGGGTAAGACATCGATCGGGAAATCCATTGCTCGTGCATTGAGCCGGCAATACTACCGGTTCAGTGTCGGAGGCCTGTCTGATGTTGCTGAGATCAAGGGCCACCGAAGAACATATGTGGGCGCTCTGCCGGGTCGTATCATTCAAGCCTTGAAGAAATGCCAGACCGAGAACCCTCTTATTCTCATCGACGAGGTCGACAAGATTGGTCGTGGCCACAATGGTGATCCATCTTCGGCGCTGTTGGAATTGCTCGACCCTGAGCAAAATAGCAGCTTCTTGGACCATTACCTGGATGTACCCGTTGACTTGTCTAAAGTTCTTTTCGTGTGCACAGCAAACATGACGGACACTATTCCACGCCCCCTTCTGGATCGTATGGAGATGATCGAACTCTCTGGCTATGTTGCAGATGAGAAGATTGCTATTGCGGAGCGATATCTCGCCCCACAAGCAAAGGAGGTCAACGGATTGAAAGACGCCGATGTCATTCTGGAGAAGGAAGCTATCGTGGAACTTATCAACAAGTACTGCCGTGAATCCGGTGTTCGCAACCTCAAGAAGCAAATCGAGAAAGTGTACCGCAAGTCCGCTTTGAAGATCGTGACTGATCTTGGCGAAGATGTGCTTCCAGAGTCAAAGGCACTCACAGAAGAAGGCAAGGCTGCGCAAGCAGAGGCTGAGAAGGATACCACCGATGTCAAGGAGACGCCGGGGAACATCGAGCAGGAGACCACACCAACACCACGTGTAGCTCTGCAGGTGCCAGACGACGTCCATGTTTCAATCAACAAAGACAACCTCAAGGACTATGTCGGCCCGCCCGTCTTCACCTCTGATAGGCTGTATGATGTGACGCCCCCTGGTGTCGTCATGGGACTTGCATGGACGTCCATGGGTGGTGCAGCTCTCTATGTTGAATCCGTCGTGGAGAAGGCACTCTCCGCATCCTATTCGCCTGGTCTCGAACGCACTGGCTCTCTGAAGTCCGTCATGAAAGAATCGACTGTAGTAGCATACTCCTTTGCAAAGGGACTTCTTGCCCGAGAGTTCCCCAAGAACAAATTCTTCGAGCACGCAAGAATACATCTTCACTGCCCGGAAGGCGCTACGCCCAAGGATGGACCCAGTGCAGGTATCACCATGGCCACGAGTCTGCTGGGTTTGGCTCTCGATACCCCTGTGAGAGACGGTGTGGCTATGACAGGTGAACTCACAGTGACCGGAAAGGTGCTCAGGATCGGTGGATTGAGAGAGAAGACGGTGGCAGCAAGGCGAGCGGGCTCAAAGATGATCATCTTCCCCCAGGACAACATGTCGGACTGGCTTGAGCTTCCTGAGGTATGTCCTAGCGTCCTATTCAAATGTTGATGTCTGATCTATGTTACTAATTTGCTATGTAGAACATCAAAGAAGGGATTGAAGGCCGCCCCGTATCCTGGTATTCTGAGGTGTTCGATCTCGTCTACCCTGACCTCAACAAGGACGCCGCCAACAAACTGTGGGAGCGTGAGTTGAAGTCCAAGAAGGGCGACCGCAAGAGGAAAGAATACAAACGCAAGGATGAAGATGAAGAGGAGAGTGGCGATGAAGACGACTGAGTTTCTTCAACCAGCTACCTATCTCGGTATTAGGTGTATCTTGTACGATATGGTTTCGTAGTTGGAAAGGGATTTTTTCGTGGACTAACATGAAAAGCCCGCTTGCGGGAATTCGCATTCCTGGCGTTTTACAATCTTCATTTACTTTTGTTTTGCATATTTGCATGTACCTACATTATGAATAGCGCTTCTGTGCATATGGGATGGAGAGAAGAAAAGCAGGTTGTGTGTTGGGGCAACATGAAGTAGATAGGAGGCGGAAGATATGTAAGGCGAGCGGTGTGAATTCTCGACTCTCCAATAACTTTATCTCTAGAATAATTCATGCTGACTTCTTGGTGTACATCATGGGGTACAACTATTTGTCACGGCCATTAGCCCCTGCTGTAGTGTACGAATTACAGTATTATATTTCGCCACCCTCCTTCACATATTCACAAGACCTGAGCGATTGACTATAGTACCCCATGAAACTCATTCTCAAGTCAAGAAGAGGTGCCGGTAACAACTAGTCGACACGAGCTTCAATCAACAAGAAATAGCAAGCAAAATTTCCTTTCAATCCGCAAAACGACCATGACATCAAGGGTACATACATGTATTTACAACTTACCGTCATCATTTGACTAGAGATTCAACCTCCAACGCCTACACACCTTCACGCCCGAGTTGCCTCAGCTATCTCATGTGCGTTCCCTTGCCGCTCACAAGGCTGCGGCTCAGCCGCCGCCGCCGTATTCCTCGCACTCCTCTTATCATTAGCCAACTTCATCGCAAAGCGACTACGCTTCCTGATCGCCGGCCCAAACTTGTAAAACACATAAATAGGCACGCAGAACACAGCCGCGAGCCCAAAAAGTAGAAGCTGCGAATTGCGGACTCCAAGGTTCTTGTACATCTTCCCAGTGTACAAGGCGCACATGCCCGCGAGGAAGTCGCGCGCGAACCCATTTCCGCCGGTGGCTGAGGCAGAGAAGGGTCCGTACGCCGCGACCATGTAGTCGACGGTGGCGAAGTAGATGCTATAGTTTGCCATTCCGATTAAAACTGAGAAGGCGAGAACACCAGCCCAGTGCGTAGTTGCTACAAATGCGGAGCCCAGGAGGCCTAGCGGGAGCAAGATGACATGGAAGAGGAGCCAACATAGCCGTGATTCTGGGGAAAGGGTCTCGCCTTGTTTCCGGCGGTGCGTGTGGCGGGCGACGACGGGAAAGAAGGAGAAGTAGGCGAGCCAGTAGCTTGCGGCGAGGGGGATAAGGGCCAGGCTGGTTTGCACAGGCGTGAAGGAGTATTGGGCAAAGATTATTGAGTAGCTTTCGAAGAAGGAGAAGATAAGGGCATCGGCGAAGCCTGAAAGTAGGGAGAGGAAGAGCACTATGGGCTCGAACATAAGCATTTGGTAGGGTCGCCACATTGTCTTTGCGATTTCCTTGGCTGGAATGGAGGTTTTCTTCGTTAGCAGTTGGTTCAAAAGTAGGGGTTCGATATAGCATACCATTGAAGCGCTTCTTGAACGTCCGGATCTCATTAGGGCCATAAAGTTCCTCGCCAACATTCCTCCGCCGCTTCGCCTCCTGATCGAGCATTATCGTAGCACGAGACTCCTTGGCCACGAAGAAGTGCACAGCAGCAGTTACGCCACTAAACATAAGCTGGATCCAAAAGTTCCATCGCCAATGCAAAAACTGCTGGATAGGACCACCGCAGATACCTCCCAGCACAGCGCCCAAACAGCTCCAAAGAGAAGCCCATAGGACGGCATGTTGTTGGGAGTCGGTGTCGAACATATCCGCCACCATACCGAGGGTGACGGAGCCACCGGCGGACGATAGACCACCAATCACGCGGCCAGCAATGACACCCCCAAAGGAGGGACTCAGTGCACATATAAGGATAGAGACATTGACACCGGCAAGCGAGAGCTGCATGATGATCCAACGACCGAGCTCTTCTGACCACGGGGCCCAAAGCTCACATCCAAACGCATATGGAACTAGAAACGCCACCATACCCATGCGAGCATTAGTGACGCCGAAGTCCTCGTTGATTGCTTCTACGGCATTGGAGTAGATGGCCGCGTTGAAGTTCATGGATATTTGACAGAGTGCAACGACGGTGAGGAGGATCCATTTCTTTCTTGTAGACCATTTGTATGCTGTCAAGTGCAAGTTGCCTTGCTCCGTCAACACGGCGCGGCCGTCTTCGATCAAGGTGGGTGTGCAACTGCTTTGGCTGAGGTGCCGGTCTTTGCCGATGACGTTGACGTTGTGGACAACGTTCTTGCTTGCGTCTGACGGAGTAGTGTTTTGAGCTGGGGTGTTGCTGGCCATTGTGGATCGGAAATCACTATGAGAAAGGTGGTTGAATGTAAATGGTTGTTAGAGACGGGGGGGGATTCGAAGAACGTGTCTGTAAGAGCGGGAGACCGAGGAAAATGAGTACGGGGAAGAACATGGGGTAAGGAGTGACTGAGTGGAATTGTTGAGTCGACTATACGTATGCATTGATGCGAACGCGGTACAATGTCCGTTGTTACCTAAAATTTCATACTTTGGGTCTTTCCTATTTAAAATGATCATCACGTCGGCACTGGAGTACTATGTACATTAGCAGTGTAGTTTACGTAGTGTCGCTATAGCAGTCCACACAGCGTGTGAGTTTACAATTCAGATTTCTGGTATTGGTACAAATCATGATGAAAACTCAACCCAATCAAAGATGATCAATTGCTCAATCTTAGACCTCAGTGGCATCACGAGACTTCTTCCAAGAGACTCTTACTTGTCGAACAAAGCAACCCGACATCGATGCTGTAGATCAGCACTCCGAAATCATTGGTATGTTAATTGATGAACTATTCCGTCGATTACCACTCTCCTTCCCGTAATGATCGAACCTCACAGGCCCCCGCATAATGTTCCCCTCAATCGATGAGCCTCGCCAAATCGTACAACCATGGTTATAATGCGGGGTGAAGGAGATCTCGTTTGGCTTTCATGCTCGTCTCTTCTTTCCCTTCTAACAGTTACAGAAGGCACGTGGGATATTTGGTAGTGTATTATAAAACAGTAGTATTGAATTTATAAGATAATGCGGCATAGCATTTCTGGGATTTGTACGGTAGGGTTGTACAGAATCAATCATAAGTATGTCTGGCTGACTTCGATATATTGGAATATGGCCAAGATACACATGACTCTGTTTCTGAGGTTAGAATACAATATCAAGTTCCAAGTATCTGAGAGTGCTAGACTTTTCTACTAGAAACGCGATCGAAGTTCCGTCATCCACGCATACTATATGGCAACACCCAATCCATCCCATCTCCTATGCGCATACCAACACCCCAAAAACTCCACGTTGCACTCCACCATCCATACAATCCCACATTCATCGTTCAAATACTCAAATTATCCAACACATTACTAACACCAAAAAACAAAATATCGCCTTCATGTTCCCCAAACCCCAAAATCCAAGTACGAAGGATGGGTTATCTAGAGATCCGACTTCACCTTTCACCATCCTCTCCTCTCACCTCACTTAGTGTCCTGTAGCTCACTTCACCTAGGAAAACATAATGATGGATTACCTTCACGCGCGCACGTACGTAACGTAGATTCTCCTTCTATTTTACTATTGACAAACAGCAACAATTCTCTTTCCACATACACACACACACATATCTCTTTCTCTAAATCTCCAAAGCAAAAGCAACAACAGCAACAACAGCAAAATGCTCGCCTCCAACGCAGAGTCAACGTCTTTGGTGCTCCAATTCACCATTCTCCTGGTGCTAGTCACCATCTTGTTCGCGCTCGTCAACGTGATCATGCTCCGCAATGGCGGCGGCGACGGAAATGCGTAAGTAGACCTCCTCACACCCTTATTCCTATCCCTTGGGCCTAGCCAGTCTTCCAGCTTTCCCTATTCAATATACACCTATACCCCACAGACAGAGAAGGAGAGAATACAAAAGGATGTATGATACGAATTGAACAAAAAAGCAGCACAACGCGATGTCCTGCAGCAGCAGCACCAGGGCCGATAGACGAGCGCGGCCGTACCCAGCGTCGTCAAGGCTGGGGTGCGCGCGGGGTCTCTGTCTTGTCGACGATCAGCGAGCGGAGCGGCGGCGGGAGCGGGACTACGAGTGGGAATGTCAGTGGGGACGAGGAGGGGGAGAGGACGCCGTTGTTGGGGGCGGAGGTTGTGACTGCGGTGAGGGTCGTTGTAGAGGTGCTGAGGGAGGATGAGGAGTTGTAAGGGAGGTTTTTCTTTGAAGGTTTTCGGGTTCGGGATAGAGGGTGCGGGGGTGTGACGGGGTACGTGTTTGAGGGAAGAGGAGTGAATCGAGGATTAAGAGATGTTTGACTTTTGTAGGATGTTGTATGTTGAACATGAGTGGAGTGTGCTGTGAGGGGACAGGAGAGATGTGTCGGTATGTGATAGAACGCGTGACAAGAGTTTTTATGATGACGATTATATGAATGAGGCGTATAAATGACCGACAGCGAGGGAGAGTCATACAAGCAAGATGCTGTAACTGTATTTGAGAGAATAGATGGATGGTAGTAAAGATGGGGATAGGAAGGATGGTGACAAATAATTTGTATTGACTCGATGTACTTGTATCATGTTGCTTCTACAATTAAGACCCTGAACTGTAGGACATTGCGAATCCGGATGACTGTGTAGAGAAGTGGTTGAACCGTTTATAGAGAAATATATATATGTAGATTACATATATATAAATAAGAGAGGACTAACCCATGACTGCGACAAAAACGTGACTGTAAGAGAAAGTATTTACTTACCTCATCAGCGATAACAGCAGGAATCCGAGTACCTATTTTCAACTATCCACATGCGTGTAATTTCACCATCCATATGCAAGACCCAACGACATCTCAGACACTTTTACATCACGAAACAAAGAGGGAATATGGCAATCAAGCCTCGCTGGCACTCATGACGAGTTCCAGCTCAGCGACACCTGAAGGGGGAAATAGACCTTTTTTCATTGACTCCTAATCGTAATGCATCCGTGTGGAGCCCGTAACCCAAGCCGTAATCCTGGCCGATCCGGAGCCAGTTATCCACATATTCATCGCGCTGAGAAGAGAAATGCTGAAGCCAAACATCTAGTTGCGGCCGGGGCGGTCGTTGAAACGGCGGGGACCGCGCTCGGCGATCTGCTGGGCGGCCACGGGAACGACGTTGACGGGGACAGAGTCGAACTATGAACAGTCAGCTTTTTTTCACTCGAAGATCTATAGTATGCGGTGATAACGTACGCCCAAGCTCTTGAGAAGATCCTTGGTCTCCTGGTCGACGTCCAAAGAACCAGACTCGCTGTTCTGGGTGAAGTCGAGGGCGGAGATCTCGGGGACGTATTGATCCTTGCGCTCACGCTCCTCTTCTTGAAGCTTGAAGGAGATACCGCGGACGGGACCACGCTGGATACGCTTCATCCTGCACTGCTGTCAGTCTCCATTCCAACTTATATACATCCTTCGTATCCAACTTCCGCGGCACGGGGAACGTACAAGTGAGTCGCATATCCGGCAATCTTGTTTCGGAGGCGCTTGGAGGCGATGATGGCAACCTCGTCGCAGATCCTCTTGTTGGTCTCGAAGTCGAGGGACAACTTGGGGTAGTACCGCTCAATGATGACCTGTAGAATGTAAGTCCCTATTCGCCTGTTCGTCCAATATCCCGAATTGCTTCGCTGTCCCAGTGAAACGCACCTTGGCGGACTTCTTGACTGTCTTTGTTCGAACGCGACCCATTTTGGCGACTGGAGAGGATGTGAAGGGAAAATTGAAGGTCGGGCTGTCGTTAGTAGGTCGGCTGTCGAAAGTCGTGGATGCAGGCAGTGGTTGATTTTGCTTGTGGCTAAGCGAGTGTGCAGGCGGTTTTTCCGTGCCGACGCTAAGCCTCTTGTGGCATTGGCCAATCAGAGCACTGCACTACACACGCGAACGCCAAATGCTGTAGATTTCAAACTGTATATTCAATGACGACATGCTGATATGGAACTGTAACTTCAATCGCTATAACGCTAAATCATTCGCCAAAGATGAAAATAAAACACAACAGAGGAATTGTATCCAAAATAAAGCAAGCACGCGGCCGTATCATAGATGAAAACACACAGTATCACAGAAACCTGCTATCCCTCATACGTGAAGACACTCTCTGTCTTGACAATTTGATCGAATAGTTTCCGCACACAGCGGAAGGAGACTCTTGGTGCGGTTAATCCATTACTGGAACATTAATGATGTTCTCCCGCTGGAGCTGCCTCTTCTCCATGACCACCGCCACCCCCATGGCCAGCCGGATTGGGGTAATAGAACGCAGCAACAGCAATGATGAGGTATACAAAGATACACAATGTTCCTTCGAGGTAATTGGACTTCTTGTCGCGCAAGAAAGACCCGACTACGAGAATAGCAAGGATCAAAGAGACTGAATCGAAGATCTCGAACTTCATATCCATGTTGATGTGGAGACCCCAGCCAACGATGATGACTAGGGGGGTGTTGAGGAGAGCTGTCTGGATGGATGCTCCGAGGACGTGCGCGAGGGCCAAGTTCATTTGGCCGTCGTAGGCTTCGTCAATGGCTAGGAGATGCTCTGGAGAGGAGTGTCAGCGGGCTTTGTCGCGATGATGATGATGGCGATGAATGGATTGACTTACCAGCAAACTTCTCTACCACAGGAATCAAGATCAAACCAACGAACGCATCGCTGATGTGTCGCTCTTCAACCATGTACGGGATCTGAAGGACCAGGAATACTGCGATCATGGAGACACAGGCCAGCGAAATGACCAGCGCAACAATGCACTCTGTAAGAGTGAGCTTTGGCTTGGCGAGTTCTTCGTGTCGGTCCTTGTCGACAAGCTCGTCGGCTTCATAGATTTCAGCGAACAGATTATCGTGCGACTTCATCTGGAAGAAGAGAAAGACAAGGTAAGCCGCAAGCAGGATGATGGCCGTAGCCCGGGAGATCTTGAGCATCTCGTCTGCAATTTCGGATTCGCCTCCGGCGATAGTCAGATCCGTCCTGCCGTTGAGGGCGTTGTAGTATATGGTCGGGAGAACCAGACCCACTGCATACAATGGTTAGCATGACTTCTTGATGAGCGCTACGAGACACGTACTTCCTGCAACCAGCATCAGACCGCTGCCTGCTTCAGAAACGGCCTCGTGGAAAACTTGTTCACCACCTAGCAGACCTCCAGCTACAAAGCAGAAACCCAAGCACAGCAGCATGTTGGCCAAGATGGAACCCAGAATAGCGGATCGAATAACCTGGACATTCTGGTCTCCACCAGTCTTGAGCAGTACCATGAAGAGGATAATCTCGACGATGGAGCCAAAGGTGGTTTCGACAACGACGCCGAGAACCTTGGGGAGTTTGCGAGCGAATTCCGATCCAGCGAAACCAACCATGTTAGCGGCTGGGACCATGGCAATGTAGTTGGTGACGAAAATGGCGAGTGGTAGATCTGGGCGGGCAAAGTGCTGAGAAAGACGTTAGAATGTATAGCAATCAGGGCTGTATAGGGTTGCCAACTCACCAGTGCAATAGCTACAGGAACGATGGGCCATAACAAATTCACCCATTTGGAGATGAAGCTATTACTCCTGAAGCAGATCTGGAGAAACTTGAAAGGGTGAAAACCACGCCTCCCACTCTCGCCATCGGGTTGGATTCCGGGTGTCACTCTGTGTCCATTGTGATTATATTGCGGGAGATGTAAGCCACGGTGATGCTTTTGTCCAGCAGAAGAGTGCGGCGGCACGGTAGCGTCCGCTTTTGGATCGTGTGTATATTCTCGCGAGGATCGTGAGCGACGAGGCATATCTCTCGAATTTCGCGCGCGGCGCTGGTGTGCGGGAGGAGGGTGAGAGTTGGGCATGAAACGATTACGGAGGGTGAGGTTGGTTGCTCGCAAGTGACAGCAGGTTCAGTGTGAGTGGGTGGCTCAATCAGGCTCGGCGCATAGACGCTGCAAGGTCAGGGCGACGTGGTGATGTTTCACGGACGGACCTCGTGTGAATGCGGGAGCTGGACAAGAAGCGGAGAGGGGAAGGGCAAACCCCGAAGACGACGCCAAACGAAGGTTATGTACAATTGACGGAACCACGAGTCGGTTGCCCGCTCGGCGTCATTCGGGGAAGGTTTCCTGGGGATTTCAAGTTTATTGTGCATCATTCACTGCATGGCCAGGGGGAAGACGTGGCAGGCCTCAGATTCGCCAGATTACTCTGTCGCTAGTATCAGCACTCTGGGCCCAGCCGTCAGCGGCTCGCCCCAGAGGAAATTACCGCATGGCTCGATGGGAGTGGAGGCACCGTTGCACGCATGCATGTATAGCTGGCGATGGAGGCGGAATTGAATTGGGCGGCGATCGTGTTTTGGCAGCAAACAAGATACAGCGGCAGACCCTGAGTCGACCACGGGAAAAGCTTCGCTGGCGCGCGACATTTGCTTGACCCCCTATCAAGGCACAGGCCGTGTAAACAAGCCCCACGCCAAGCCACCCATCGCGTCCCGTCCCCTTACCATGTCAACCTTCAGATGACATCAGCGGCTGATTTGCATATCGTCTTCAGCTCTGTTGCTCGTTTTCTGGACAGCGGGAAAAACAAGACAGACAAGAATTCTCAATCAGTACTGAGCAAGAACCGACTTGTCTGATTGTCCGCTTGACTCTGCCACACATACATGGCATCTGCACTGCTCACCTTCACATCCCCCTCGCCATTCCGCAATGTCCAATGCCCCCCTAGACATGTTAGCGGAGAAAAAAAAGACGCGGAAATGAAAGGTCCGCCACTGAGTTGACTAGCTTACCTCCAGGCGTAACGCGATGAGCGTGTGCATACCAGGCAGCTAATGAATAAGCATGCAGCAAGTGTAGCCGATAAGTACATACATATGATTTCCAAAACTTACCTAGCTGTCCCCCAGCCCATTATCAGCCCACGAACAAACACTACTTGTTTGACAGTCATACACTCTCATGCATTGACTGTGTCTATGTGAAACTTGGATACGACATATATACTCACTCCTCTTCATTCCCTACAAGGCACATATTCCCACAAAAGCACCTAGTTGGCATGGGTTTTATTCGGCGTTACGAAGACAAAAGGAAAAACTTGGAACACGAGGAAGAAAGCGAAGTGGACGATGCACGTATAAGGAGTATCCACCGAATGTCATCCGAGAGAAATGAAAAAAATCCTTTGCAAGAAAAATGCTAAACTCCCATGGAGAAATGTTCAATGTTCCTCCCGATGGATCTCCCACGTATGCAGTACGGCGAATGTGCAAACATGCATTCATTTACGGGATGACCCGACCAAATGTAACCCTTTCCAACCAAACCAGTGTCCCAGAAACCATGACCCTGAAATCAAAAATCGTACAGGAAGTAGATCCACCGTCGCTGTCCAAGCCCTTTGAAATCCAACCATGATGACCACACAAACGGCACTCACACAAAAGACACGGGAATCGGAAAAAGAGAGAAGGCAATTGGAATTGAGCTAGACATAGGAGACGAGGATATCGAAAAACGAGAAGAGGGAAGCAAAAGAGGCTGGGGAGTTAAACATTGTAAACTGTTTGGACTGTTTGAAAGTCGTTTGCCGCTATGGGGCCATGGCAATGCGTATCGCATGCTGATCGTCATGTGATTAGATGATAATGTAGAACGCGCCTTCTCAAGTTTTGATCGGTGCACGATGAGGCGTCCGCTTTTCATCGGTATCACGAGATGTGTCAGACGAAGAGTGTGTCGGCAGTTTAGGGGATTGTGAGTCCTGAGGGGGTGCAGGAATTGTGGAAGGCCCCGTAGGGGGGGAAACGATAGACGATTTCGTCTCCGAATCTATCGCTTTGGGTATCGTGTGATGAAATTTAGGAATCAAGATGCTTGGGGGTCGTATCGTAGTGTTGGAAATCTTCTCCTCTAGAGGTTGATCAAGAACCTTCTCGTCTCCCAGTATTGTCGCTGATGGCAACGTCGGTTCTGAAGCCAGTGTAGGCGCTGAGAAGATTGGAATAGCAGCATCTGGCTGGATAACAAGGTCGGCACCTGTCACTCCACTGCCGATTGCAGCGCTTGCTCCTCCATCCCACATTCGCTCATTGACTCGATCATCTTCTTCTTTTATGTCGTTGAGGCTTTCGTCAAGACACTGGCTTAATCTCTGGCCTCCACTGTTGATCGCGTCCATCTCCGACTCGCTGAAACCAGAGTCTTGGTGCAGAGGAGGTCGATGCCAGACTTCTGAAAACCCTGTACCCACGCGTGAAGGTGGCGCAGTGGATATTATTGACGAATCCAGTGCGATTTCTCGTTCAAGGTCGACAAGCGTATTTGAGTCGACCACGTGTGAGTTGCGTTGAGTATCTGTAATCATGTCGTTTTGTCCTGCAGAAGTATCCACTAATTGGTGGACACGGTCAGTGAAGGAAGCTCTGTTCCCAATGCTCTTCGTGGTGGATACATTGGTGCCGATATCCAATTTATTGAGTGTCGATGAAGGGATAGGCTGTAATTCAGCCACAGTGGACAGCGAAAGCGAAGTTTCGTCGGAGGTCTTGCTCCCTACAAAAGAATTTTCAAGTTCACCGGGTGGAGTGGTGATACAGATGTCTTTGGTTTCTGGGGTTGCAAAATCTTGTACGTCTAGTTCACCAGCACCCCCGCCTCTTTGTACAAGCTTTGTGTCTCCGTCCACGTAGATTTGCTCCCACCGCGTGTCTCTACTTGCAGGCAAGCTAGGGAGCTCGGTGTCAAGTTCAGAATCATCCAGAGACATGACTGAGCGGGGCCCAGGATATGAAGAGAATCCGGATCGCCCATTCGAGCTTCTGCTTCGGGTGGCATCAGGTGACCTTGGCCGTCCTTCGGAAACGTGGGGTAGAATATAAGACCGAGATGATCCTGGGAATTCCGTCGAGGGAACATTGATATTTGAGTAAGACGATCCTGGGCGGGTGTGACGATTACTCTGGGAGATGTCATCCAGATCGACAGCCATAGTGGGATTAATATACTCCTTGTTCCGCCTTTGAGAAGGCATGGCTGGTCTGATTCCGTCTTGAACCGCATCGTGGGATCCGAGATGATAGCTGGCCTCATCGGGAAATCTTCGCAACAGGTCTCTGGCTGAAGGGCGATTTTTGGGCGCATCACTTAAGCAATCTCGGACAAGATCTTTGAAATACCCAGGGACCGCATTGTGTCGGCTCCAAGAGCGTGAAAGCGGTCGCTCCTGACGTTCCGGTTCGTCATGCTGTTCTGCCAGAGCCCAAAGGACCATCCCAAGCTGAAAGAGGTCTGACTTGACCCCAATATATATTGATATTCGTTGACCGCTTTCAATGAGACGAGCAAGCTCCGGAGGCTCCCATCCAACCGGGCAACCGCGGCGGTTTATGTCAATGATCTTAGCATTGTCGTCATGATCGATGACGATATTTGAGAGTGTAAAGTCGCCTTGAACAAAACCTGCTTCGTGAATCTCCGACAAGCCCTCGACAATCTGGCGGGCCCATCGCTCCCTGCGCTCCCACTCCATCTGGTCGGAGCCCTTGTAATCATAGATAAGATCCACAAGCGCCCCTTGATCAGCATAACTTATAAGAAGACCTTTGATCAATTCGTTATTTTCATCCATGATGATGCCCTCAAACTTGACAACCGATCGAGAATCTTGGAGGGCACACAGCGCATTGATCTCGTACAGGAATTCTTCCACGGCATCCGGACCTGGAATCTCCTTCTTGATGTAGATTTTGCCACCCACAGAAACCTTGTAAACAAATCCAGAGATGTGCGAGTCAAAGTCGATAGATGATTCACGGAACTTTTTACAAGGAAGATGTTCCACTGCTGAGAGGGACGGATAAGGAATGATCTCGTTTACATCTTCGGTGACGTGAACATGCAGACGGCCGTCAGATGTCTGGAGCTTTAGATTGGTCACTGTATCGTAAAACTGTATGTCCAGAAGCGAGTCGCGAATAGCTTCGTAGATCCTTGCGCTCTTATCGCGTTGATAATGAAGGCTCTTGAGATCATGCTCTAGGGATTCGGGCTCAAGCTGACGGTAGTCGCATGATACTGTCACTCTCCTCCATTTGTTTGGTTCTTCGGCGTATGTAATGAAAAATTTCTCCCTGTCTGACATATCCCTGAAGTGCATGCTAAGATTCAGTATCCATTTTGCCTCCAGCTCGTCCTCCAGCTGCTGATCGTCGATGGCTGAGCTGGATCGTCTGGAGTCACGTTCGAAGAATGAGTCACCAGCTACTGAGAGTGAGGGCGGTTCAGAGTAATCGATTTTCTCATCCATAGCAAAGTCGACCTGCCGTGATCCGGGGGGGATGTTCGAGCCTAGTTCCCCACCTATTGTTGGCGGAGACTGGTGTTGGGTTTCGCTGGCATGCGGACTGAGGACGTCTGGGGCTGATATTGAGGGCGCGTAGACTGGGGGTGGCGAAAGTGTTCGCTTCGCCGCATTGGATTCCCTACGATCAGCAGACGCAGCACGCCTCTGTTCTGGGGGGACGGGGACCTCCAATAGCTTGTCTCTCATCTCACTGTTCATTCTCTTGAAGGTCAATGGTCTTGGTAGCCCAGGGACCACCTTGCGGCTGGATTTCCTGCGCAAGAGGCCCGCATTATCCCCGCTCGAATGCGGCCTGCCGGTATCTTTCTTGTGTTCATCATCCTCCCTCGCTGGCTTTTCCGCTGATGGGGTATCCTCTTCTCTCTTCAGCCAACTTCCGATCTTTTGCAGGCTTAACCGATCCCATACGCTTCGGTGTTCACCAGCTTCGGTCCTCGCTCGCTGTCTGCTCTGACTCCGACTGCCCTCTGCCTGCTCTGGGCGTTCAACGGGTAGAAAGTTTGGCATGGTGTGTATCCACAGCTGATGTTGCTGCAGAGACACACCTCACTCCTTCAAATCACAATAGAGCTTGTCTGCTACCGGTATCTTCTTCTTCTTCTACTACTACTACTACTCCTCTCCTCCTTCCGTCCTGCCCTCCTTCCAATATCCCTTTCTTCTACTCGTTCTCCTCGTCGGTCGTTGATTGACAGGCAATGCTTGCGTCGGGAAGCTTCCAGGTTCGGGGGCGCGTTCGAAATGGTGGATGGATGGTGACGAGGAGGCTCTGGGGGAGGGAATAATCGAGGTGAATCAATTACGCAGAGACGGTATCATGTATGTCGTAGAGTTGACGCGTGCAACAGTGGCTTTGTGCATGGCACACAGTTCATCAGCGTCTGGGCGGAATCCCCTGCCACACTTTTATCTTTTGTTTTTGCTTGGAATCTGTCGCGTCCCTGATTTTCGCTGAGACGCTCGATCCGTCGCGCGGTCGGGGCACGGGGGTGTGCAAGGTAACGGTGAGTCGAAATCGGGCAGCGTCTAAGCCCGGGTGTCGTCCTCTATTAATATGATGGGGTGGCTGCAGCCCAACCAAGCAAATAACCGACAGAAGCGCTGGCGCCTAATGGTAGGGAAGAAGAGGAAGCCAGAAAGCAGAGAGCAGCGGAGGCAGAAACTCTCTGGGAGGCGAAATGAAGCGGCACGGGACTGGGCAAGAGGGAACAGAATGGGAGGAGGCGGACAAGGCCGGGTAGTCGGACTCGGTTATAGAGCAAGCATGTATGGGTGGATGGTGTTGGTGGTGGTGAGGGTGAGATTGATGTGAGGCTGGGGCGTGGCTACCCAATCAACCACGGCGCGTCGGACTGAGGTGTAGGGGCATATAATTATGACGGAAGCAATCCAGTCCGACGAGAAAAGAAGAGGCTGAGGAGGCAGAGTCACACAACAGCGTGCAGTTTACATGTACACAGGTGGAGGGGGGGATGTCACGACTTTTGGTAGTGTGGGCGCTGGGGGGGGTCTCCCAGAGTGCCTGCGTGGCGGTCAAGCAGCGCTCACAGATTGGACAGGCGCAGAGACGGGCATCGCGCTCACGGACCTACTCATGTATGAATGTATTGTCCTGGGCGTCGAGTGTAGCAGAAACCCGCCCCCTAAGGGACGAGGTAATTGGCCCAGCCCGCACATTGCGGTGAACATGTCATTCCAATCTGACGTTGCCCACACTTTTGACTTGGACCGTCAGGTAGTCCTGAATCCCCACACTCAGCTCGCGGACCGGTGCTGTTCAGAGATGGGTGCCCGCCCACAATGTCAGGTCCAGCCGCTGCTCCCTCAATTTGAACAAAGATAGGGGAGCGCGCGGGGAACGGAAGAGGGCAGGAGACGATCAATTTGGGAAATGTACATACTAAAGCTCAACGCAGGGTCGGACTCTCCCCTAAGCGATTGGAAACGTCTGCCGAAGCTTGGAAGCATTCAATACATTAGCCTGGCAGCCCAAGGCTCCAACACCTGCACCTCATACATATCCCACCACTCTTCGGCAACATCATCATCTTCAAAGAAGTCTCCATCTGTTGCGCGAGACAGCCACACAGCAAGCATTCTGTTCTACAGAGTCGTCGTTTCACATTCCAATTTGCGCTCCAAAGTATACTTATTATTCACTCACTCACCCACCCACACGCGCCCGCCGCAAGCCCACATCACATCAACGCCGACCAAAACCTTCTCCGCACCACTTGACCTCTATCCATCCACCCATCCACTCCACCTCATTACCAATTTCGCCCGTCCGGCCCACCATCCTCACGCATCCCTGCCCAAAAAGTGAAGCTGCCCTTGTCGGATGCCCACCTCTAACGCCAGGCCCGCTCTCACCAATTCTACCCCTCCATGCCCCTCCTTCGTCACCCTAGACGAACAACACACATCAACCACCCTAGGCGCCCGCACCCTTGGCTTCTTTTTTTTTTCTTTCTTTCAATGATCCTCTCTTCATGTTGACACGTCAGTACCGTTCATGCTGCCTTTCATCTTTCCGGGCCATGCGCAAACGCCATCAACCCTGCCTGCTTCACGCACACGGCATGTGTCCAGTGTCATGGTGTATGAGAAAATCCAATGCAACACTTTCCAACAACCAATCACCAATTGCGCAAACAGCAAGGCATGCCTAAGACCTGTCCAAGTCGGATGAACATTCATCGAGTACGCATGTAAGGGATCTATCTATGCCGAGTGACTGGCTTCACCGGTGACCGACAGCGTTTTGTGAGATTCCGGCCCCATTTCACGCGGCCTAAACAGTCTCCCACCTTATCCAACTGTGACACTAGACTCATCCTTTTCTCTTTGCCGTCATTCTTGCGTTTCGGCGTCTTGACATTCCACGTCAGGCCCGTTCCGTTGCGTATTCTGCAATTGATTCACCTACACTATGCCGCTCATTCCCTCCAGGGAAAATGGCAGCAAATTATACTTTGGGACGGATTGTCGCCCCACGTTACACATCCAGCCACCTTTCCTCGGGAGACTCGGGGAAGAAAAAGAAAAGCGTACGGTAACGGCCCGCTACCCTCACAAAAGGAAAGAAAAGGGCAAGACCCACAACCGTTTCCGTACCGCATTGCATTGCAGCTCTAAAAAGGCAAAATGTCGAATCTAGAATGTTTCCCAAAGGTGGACATGAAGCGATGTTGTGGGCGTCATCACAATACACGCGTCGTATATGTACGAGCTGGTTTCGTATACATGGTCTTCTGCAAGACTCCGATGTCCATAATGATGATGTGGGTATCTTCACATCTTGGCATCGTCGCCCATGTGTGATGTATGCGTCGTCTGCATATGGAAGACAGCCGACCGATCGTTATGAATGTGTATTCATTACAGGTCAGTTGATGAACTACATTGTGGGCGTAACAAGCCATCATATATAATAGGTTCAATTGGTCAAGGGGTGAGCATGAATGTTCTATAGTTGCATCTCGATTGGAATGCTGGTCACATGCTATGGACGGACCCTATCCAAAGGATCCAAAGACTACAGCTTTGCCTGTTGAATTGTCCTCTTGTACCATTGACTTTTCAAGCATGAGTAAGAGATGCGAAGTCCGTATCAGGAGTTCTGTGTTTTGTCAGCCAGAGTCATAACACAATCGTGAATTGTGAGATACTCACCATCATACTCAATCTCGTAGCTAACTGGCATGTCTTCTTCGTCGGCCCTGATAAGAATGGGAGCATCTCTCCTCAGCTTGCGCTCCTTGACGTTGAAGCGTATACCCGTATTCTGACTAGGACTGACCCATAGCACCGAGTGATTGTTAGCTGATTTTGCACTCACATCCCCTTCAGTGACCTCCTGTACTGCTTCCTTGACTTTACCAACAACCTCTACCGGCTCATCGCCCACAGCACTCTCCCCATTATGACGCCCCGCTGCCATATCCCTCAACCACTTCCTCCAAACTCGAATGACCCCCTCTTCGACCTCCACAAAACTACTGAACAACCCATTCCTTGGTCCAATCTTGACTAGATTCGTCTGCGACACCAACTGAGTAAACAATTCATGTCCATCCAGACTTAAAATCTGCTTCACCGACTCGCCCTCGTACTTATCTTGCGTGGTCCCCGGATACGTCCGGCTTCCCGGAATATCACCGGGAGGACCCATCACCCTCCTACCACCAGTCTCCAATTCGCGCCGGTACGGTCGAAACCGTGAATACATGTGGCGCATCTGGCCTAATCGTGCCGCAAGATTCGAGTCATCTTCCGCGAAACCATCGTACAAATTCAAACCATCTGTGCCGCGGTAGGTGCAAAAGTACGGTGGCTCCGTGAGTTTGGCGCTGGGGTGGAAGCACTCGAGCAGGACAGAGTGGGACTCCAGTTCCGAAGCCGCGACGAGGCGGTTGTGCAGGATCCGTATGATGATGGTGTATATTCGATGAGAGATCAGTGTCAGAGGGAGTAATTCGGGAGTTGGAATTGGCGTTAATAAGTGGAAAAGTATCTGGCATGACTTCGTTACCACTTGGTCCTACCAAAGGTAAGAGGTGTAAGACGATGAAGATATACCTCGTTTGGGAGTCTATAGATGTAGCATGTGTCCATTTTGGGAAAATAATGATTTTAGAATTCGGTTCCAAGTTTCTTACGGTTGCGTCAAGCCAGTGTCTGTAATCGTTTCCTTCTATGTGAAGAAAGACACAATGAAGAGAGCTCGCAGCAACGAGATAAGATGAATTGATATCGTCATAAGCTCACGCTATGCCGAATAAAGGCTAGCGTCAATACCTCAATACGCTTTCCCTATCGAGAATGAACATTCAACCACCACTCGCACTCTTTCACTGCCGCTGGACCAGCAATTTCTCGTAGTACCCATCTGAGGATACTGTCAGATACAGGCATCATGGCGGCGGGTATGACCAACTTTGCCAAGGGACGTGGGCGAATGAACGTTGCTAGTCCACAGCTTGAACCACAACAACAAGCACCGGCACCCTCACGAGCACAGATAGGTGCGAGGTTAAAAGCTGCGGTTCCCCGAGACCCCCTCAGGCATCCACAGCAGCAGCAGCAGCAGCAGCAGTACGCTGAACCGAATGGACAACATGAAAACAACACCGCTAGGATGACGCCCCAACCTCATCATCGGCTCTCAGGTGACTCCCGCAATGGCAAGCGCGATGTCGATAGATACGACACAGATGCTGATAGTATTGATACATCGACTCTTCATGGCTCGGTCGTACAAGCTTCTAATAACCAACATCTCCCGCCGCAGCAAGATTTGGACCAGCAAATAAAACAAGGTGAAAATGAGTATGAGGAATACGAAACGGAAGTGTCTGATGATGAGGAAGATACTCCTGAAGATGATGAGAATCATTCCGGTGAGCCAGAGCATACAGGAGGCTTTTTTGGCGGAGGTGATTCCTACCCAAGCACCACCTCCGGGCCCCCCGAAGATACGGTAAATTGGGGTACAGGTGTCAAGCAAGAGATGACACAAGATCATAAGCAGCCAAGTGCCGACTTCTTCCAGCACCCCCCAAACTCCCATCGCCCTGGCTTTCAGCAGAAACTTCCTGTCCCTGAGCGAAATCTCTTCGCGACCACTGCACAAGCACCTCCGAAACCAAATATATACGAGAAGGGTCGGACATTGCATATTGCTCATAAGAACAACAGTATTGGCGCCAATGTAGGTCGGGCCGGGATCCAACCGTCGTCAAATACTCAAGCCACCCGTGAACCAGCACAAGGTTCGATGGTTATCCGCTCGCAAGCACCACAGAGCAGCACACTCCCAGAGCGTGGTCTACGATCATTGCAAGGCCAAACATCAGCCTCTGTTCAAACAAGCGTTCCCGCTCCTCCTCCTCCGGTCTCAGCTCAGCAGATAACTACAAAAATACGAACAGAGGAGGAGCTGAAACATGGACCAAACGAAGACTATGACAGAGAGACTCTTTACAAAATGGACTACGCCAGTCTCAAGAACGAAAGCTTCGACAAGCCACCTCGTCCATTGCCCCAAGTCTTGTCCGAAGATATGCAAAAGAAGCCACTCCCTGACCGTTTGCAGCATGTCTTTGAGAAGCTTGGAGAAGAGGACCATGTTAAGTTCGTCGAATCCTTGACTATGGATGATTGGGAAGATGCCGGCCAATGGTTTGTAAACCAATTCAGCGGAATCATGCAGCGAACCACGAATCTGAGAAAGCAAAAGCGGAAAGTGGCTCGAGAGTTCGAAGATCAAGTTGAGAAGCGCTACCGCTATGTTGAGAAGCGTCAGAAAGTTGTGGAGGATGCTCTGAGCATGATGCAGCAGCGGGGCGAGAACCTAGTCCCGAGGACCCCCCGGGCTTCCAGGGAGCCAAGAAACGTGTGATGGTGTCCAAAATCACATTTCAAGTCATCAGCATAGCTATGAGATCTGGACGAAGCATAGAAAATATAGGATGATACGGCTTCTCATGTTCCAGATCATGTATAACGAGAGCTCGACCACGAAGAGCTCAAGTTCATTCATACCCTATTTGCAAGCATATGTATTGGCGTTCTACGGCAAAGCCCGTCACTTCGCATTCAAGAAATGTACATGTATTTATAGGAGATTACACTGTCCGCGTCTGGAGCGCTTACTTTGCATTCTTTATCAAGAGCAAAAAAATCAATCGGACATTTCAAGGAATAAGGCTATAGACGTAGAAACAAGCCGTTACTGAGATCCCATATACGAACAATGATTCATGTAATTCTTAATACCGCAATGAAACGAGTCCAAACATTGGCAGTCGTCGATCGCCTCACTATACTTTTCTCCAGAATAGTATGCCGTGTAGCTGATGATTGGACGTTTTATAGTCCTCGCTGAAGAACACGTCCGCATGCGGTTGAAATTCTCTTGGGTTAGACAACTTAGACACTACCCAAAAGAGAACTGAAGTTATCGCTACCAATAAAGCGACTTTGGACCAAATGTAAACCGACAGCGAGTCCATATATGTAGTTAGTAATCCCATGGCAAGATGTTTGCTACTTGCTCATCGTGACATGGGATGCGACAGGAATGTAACTTAATCTGCTAGGTCACCGATCAGACTAGCGGAGCAACGGAAATAATTCTTATTGTTATTTCGAGGCAATCTGGGCATTGCTGGGTATTAATGGACCGGTTTGCGCGAGGAAAGTGAGCAAGTCAAGAATTCACCTTCACTTTCACCCTATTGCGCTCGGTATTGACGACTACTATTGTGGCATGGTCTTGGCGCGATCTACAATAAAGTTCATAGCTCCTTCCATCGAACCCACCCATCAATTTACTCACCCACTCGATCCACATCCCAATCCACCTATCTACCAGAGTTTCGAAAGCTACAATCCAAAACCCGTTTCGAACCACCCAAAACGAGAGCCTCTCACGATGGCGACGCAGGCGGAGCTGGAAGATCCTCTCTACAACTTCCGCCTAACCATCACCTCCAACAACACACCTATTCTCACCAATACCCCCGACCCTACCACATCCAGCGATACCGTTCTCTCCCTGGCCAACGCAACACATATATCCTTTAACAATGAGTCCTCCCACAAGAACTACTCGCTTACCATGCCTACGCGCTTTGCGCCCAACTCAAAGCCAATCGACCTACGCAGCATCTACTTCGCGTGGACGAACAAAGACGCGCAAATCACCGACTACCACGCGGCTGTACAAGAATTGAACGAGGAACTACCCAGTGGAGCAGGCGGAAGTGTCCAGAACCTTAGTTTGGCTCAGCGACTCGAGCTGTTCAGTTGGTTGTCGGGAGAGACAGAGGTTGCGGAGAGCATTGCGCCGGTCGATGGAGGCAGCGCTGGGAGCGGCGCCGCAGGAGATGCTGCCGCGATCGCAAGGGGAGACGTGAGTGGTACTACAGGAACAGGCGGAGGCAAAGCTGGTGGCGATGCGCGGTTACTCCAAATATACGATGGCGAGCGCAAAATGGGTGATCACAACACAATCCTGCGCGGCTCGAAACCAGTCGTAAGTCTACTTCCTTGATGGAAGACTACCTGATCACAACTAATACACCCCTCTTCAGGATTTCTCTCAATACCGCAAAGTTGCAACCGCCTTCCTCTCCTCCCGCAACAAACCCTCCACAAACCCCTCAATCCCGCATGCGCCGCTCGTCTCCTCCCTCACCAAAAAGCCCTCCCGCCGCATCGAACAACCTATCATTCTCCTCTCCCCCTCCGCGTCCTCCCTCCTGCGCATGTCCAACATAAAATCCTTCCTCGAAAACGGCGTCTTCGTCCCGCCAAACACCACAGATTCCACCCCCTCCAACTTCCTTCAAATGACGCGCAACCTCCCCTCCATCTCCTCACAAGATCTCCGCTTCATTCTCGTCGACTCAACAGCCATGTTCAAACCACCCTATTGGGACCGTGTTGTTGCGATCTTCACCACGGGTCAGAGCTGGCAGTTCAAGAGCTACAAGTACCCGAATCCGATTGAGCTGTTCGCGCATTACCCTGGTGTGTATGTGGGATGGGAAGGCGAGACAGAACCCGATGCTGTGCGGAATTGGGGTAGGGGCGTATTGCCGGTTAAAGTGGATAAGTGGATGGGGAGTGAGAAGGGTAGGTGGAGAGATCGTGAGGTTGTGGAGAGGATTTGGGGTAGGATTGAGGAAGGGATGAGGAGGGGTGGTTGGACTAGGGAGGGGCCTGGATTGGCCGGGGCTGCTCCTGGACGGTAGAGAGACTGGCTAGAGATTTCGTTGGAATGATTGATCATTGGGAGGTTTGCCGGAAACTTGGGAGCTTGCGTATTACAAGAAAGAGGTTGACAGAAAGTTCGAGTTCCTATACCATGCATGGGAACTGTGTGGTATTCGTTTCACGTCAATGACATTGGTTCTTCTCTGCGGAGCTACTTTATCTACGTAGCCAATATCTTCTTGTCTTCTTCCGGGGACAGGCGTTGTAATATTCTTTCATTCTGCATTGCACTTTGCTTTCGCTAAAAAAAAAAAAAAGAAAAAGGATCGATCATGGCTCACGCTCACGCATGTAAAAATCCAAGACATACAAAAACATCTGAGGCTTCTCTTCCCAGCCCCCCTCGAAAAGAAAAAACAAACAAACCATAATTCATACCTGCATACACACCACACTTCATCTTACTCCCCCAACAACCCGTCCAATTCACTCCAACCCAGCTCTCCCCATCCCCCAAACCCACACCCCAAGCACCACAGCACCTTTCCCCACTCCACCACCAACATCCCTAACAACCCTAAACGGCGCACTCAGCACCAAAAACGCCCTCCTCACCCCATCCAACACAAAAAACACTCCTACAGCGATGTACACGATGACGCAGATATACACGAGCCAGGAGAAGAGATACGATATCTGCGCCAGCCCCGTGTCGAACGATGGAAGGCCTGCGGATGTGGGCGGAGGAGGAACGACTACAGGCGTGGTCGTCGTTTGATCTCGCGACTCGACTGCGACAGGGAAGGAAGGAAATGGAGGTGGTGGAGCAGAGCGCGCCAGTTTCCCGCGTTTGCGAGTTTGGTTCTGGTTCTGCAGTGGCGTGGAAGAAGTCGATTGAGTGAAACTCGTGGGGATCTTGAATGTTGCCGGCGGCGATGTCGTCGTCGTCGTCGTCTTTTTCGGAGTCACCGGATCTTCAGCACTGGAAGTAGCATTGTTAATCTGGCGCTGGAAATGGAGTTCTTTTGCCGAAGCAGAATATGACGAGGGAGATGTAGGTGTAGATGTGGTAGTGATTGGTTTCGCGATTCGAGGCCCACTGGGACGGAGCCAGGCGCCCCATTTCTTGGGGAGGATGCCGATGTGGTCTTTCCTGGGTGGTGTCTGTATGGAGGGTTGCTGACGGAGGCGGGTTTTTGTGGGTGTGGAAGGGGTTTGGAACGGGACCCGTTTTGTGGTCGTTGATACTGCTGCTGCTGCTGCGTTGGAAGACCCGGCGGGTGTGTGTGTGATGTTGGAGTTGGGGTAACCAAATATGGCGTCGCCTCCTGGAACGGTGTCGGTGATTTTGGCGGCAGTGAAGACACATTTAGGGGTTGGTTTGTTGGGGCTGGGAGAGCGTGAGGACATGGGCAAGGGCGATGGTTTAGAAGTGTGGAGGCCCCGGTAGGGCTCTTTCGATGGTTGGGGTTCCTCTTTCCTTCTTGTGCGTTTGGCGACTGTAGAGGCAGTGGTGGATTTTGGCACCAAGCGCGCAGTGATTGTCTCTTTGGTTGGTCGTGTGGTGGAAGTGTGACATATCGCGCCTGAAGCTGTATCGTGACGATCGAAGTTGTGATGATCTTGCATGGCTGGTTGCCCTGCAGATCGCGAAGAGGCTATATTTCCTAGTATACGCGTCCCTGACGAATCGGTGGATTTCATTGAACCGTTGATAGATCTTGCTCCTTGTATTTTGACCACAGTTGGTGATGTGGTTGGCGAGTCCCGCGCCTCTGATGTTATACCGGCTTGTAGCCACGAAGTCTGAGGAATTGGTGGACTTATAGGGAAGGAACCTGCCGGTGAGTGAGAATATCGAGGAGGACTGGAGGGTGCCATCGAATCGATATACTTCTGCAAAGGTGTGGGATCCGATGAACTTTCAACTTGACTGGCATATGCATAATCGTACGACAGGAGCTTGGAGGGGACACGAACGCCAGTGCTGTTGTTCCTCTCGCGGACTTGTCGCGCCTTCTTCTTATAAGTTTCCAAAGCTTCGACTTGCGCCTTGGACGGCGAAAGTACTTTGGGGATCTTGGCTCGAAATACAGGGCGTTCTATGATCGGCTCGCGGGTGGTGGGCATCTCGACGGTAAACGCATCGCTCTCAAACGCTGGCTGGGCTCCTGTTGCATCGGTGTGAATGGTGGTGTTGAATTTTGATCTCCGACTTTGCGCTTCTCGAAGGGGCTGCCTCTTCTGAACCTCGAGGAAATACTCTGAAGATTGCGCTCGCTCAATATGTTGGCGGTGTTGAGGGGGGGACTGAGGTGGTGCTTTGGTATTTGGTAGAGGATCTGATTTGGATGTGAGTGCATGTGAACTAGCTATGGAAACATTGTTAGGCGGAAGGCCGCCGTTTCTTGGATCGGGAAACTGAGCGGTGATGATGGTTTCAGAAGGTGAACGACGGCGGAAGATCAATCCGTGTCGCTTTTGCGAGGGTGAGATAACAGGATCAGCCATGACTGTGTGGGAGTTGAAGATGAATTGCTGAACAACTGAGATGGATTCTGAGGCCTCTTCTAATGATACTCAACATTTTGTAACTTTCAAAATAATTGGGGAGGATAGGTGGAATGCAAGTGGGTTGGGTATCAAAAGTGGTGGGTGGCTCAGGAATGTAGAGTGATGTCACTGTAGCCGAGAAGCTGTTTGTTACTATACTGAGACTCAGGACGAGCCGGATTTGGTCCCAGTCGATGAGGTATTCTGTTTAAAGAGTAATCCTATGTGAGCTCAATGCCGCAGCAATGCGGGCGGCCAACGCAGGGTATCTAAATGCATGCGCTGAAACCTTGACTCCAGGCAAAGGACAATGCCCGCCTACCATTCCAAAATGAATCCGTGCGCCATATTAAATCATGATGTTCTCATTCAGTTCTCACGGGCCGTTTCAATCTCAGCATACTCGGCCCAGTGACCATTCACAGCCTTCTTCCACGTGCGAATAGAGGCATCATCACCGGTAGAAACTAGCAAGTCGCCTGACATGAGTTAGCCAAAGTCGGATGGGGAAGAAGAGAAAGCATACCCATCTGAGAGAAAGCGACCCGCCAGACCGCACCATGATGATTCGTGAGTTCATCAACAAGTTTCACTTCCTGCTTGATGCGTCCAGGGGATTGCTCATTGTCCTGGGCCGGATCGACAACCTTGGACGTAGATGCAAGGCCTTTGCCGATGCCAGACGGTTGATTGCTCGCATGTCTTGCAGGCGAAGAGACAGAGGCCACGTCGGCGGCAGTAGACGAGGAACTGGCAGCAACTTTGTCGGAGCGAGGAGTCGACAGTTCGTAGATGCGGATAGCGCCATCCTTGCTAGCAGTCGCTATAACATCGTAGCCTCTCATGGAGCCATTAGCCCATGCTATGTCACGAATGATCTGGCGAGCACCCTCGAGCTTAGCCACGGGCCAAAATCGCTTGGACCTGTCGGTTCGGAATATGGTAACGGTGTTCATAGCGGCAACGGCCAGGCCAAGTGATTTTCGATCCAAGCCAGCCATGATAGCAGTCCAGCAGGGTAGTTTTTCTTTATGAAAAGCGACTTTGAAGCCAACTTCTTCATGTCGGCCTGGAGGATTGTCGCCACATACCCAGCGATGGGCCAGTTCGGACCACTCATTGAGGCTGCTCTGGTCGACAGGCTCGTAGATCAAAAGCAGACCATCGCGGGTGATGAGAGCAAGCCAGGTTTCCTGCATGATGTTTTTGAAATCGAGTGACACAAATGGTGCATTGGTCCGCGAACCCATGTTGGTGATCAACTTGAAGCGACTGCCAGATTGGGGCACTTCGGTAACGTCCTCTTGCCAGAGCTTGCAGCGCCCATCTTCACCAATGCTGCCAATGACCTCGCCCATGAAAGGGCCGTTCCACTTGACCTGGAGCGTGTTAGAACTCACGAGAATGCACCTTTGTCGCATATGCTTACATCGACTATCTCTGCATCGTGAGCCTTCCAGCTTTCAACCAGAGACCAAGCATCGTCTTTTTTATCCCAGACCTTCAGGCGATGGTCGGAACTGGCTGTGACCATGCGGGTGCCGAAATAATTGAAATCGACGGCAAGCACAAGATCATGGTGGCCGTGGGCAAAGGGTTGAAAGTTGCGATCTGCCGAAGCCATGATGGTGGACGTCTTCTTGTCGATGTCGGAAGCGAAGGCGGCGCGTGCCCCGAGAAAGTGGGCGTCGAGAGTGTCGCGCACGCGCTTCTCAACGGCGCAAGGGCCGCCGTCGACGGATGGTTCCTGGATCAGAGGAGCGACCAGGTCGGCCTGCTCCAGCACATCTTCAAAGGTCAGGGATATCTTGTGGAGGTGGGAAGGGCGATGCTGCTGGAGATGCGAGTGCGCCTTGGAGGGGGATTGGTGGGGAGGGGATAGCGAAGCATCCGAGGCGGCTTGACTGGGCAGGCGGCTCGGCGTGAGGCTCGTCAAGAAGGTCGGACGCACAAGACGGCGTGTCACGGCATCGAGGTCGAGCTGGACCGGATCGTGGCTCTGTCCCTGCGGATCCATTTTACCTGTTTACATCCGATTTGCTCTATCACATGTATGCTTGGATGGCCTCGCTCTCGTCCGCTGCTGGCTCGGTCTGGCTGCTCGATCGTATCGGGCCAAGCGGGGAATTCCTGGATCTTGGGGGACGGGCGGAGGCAGCGAGGAGGCTGACGTTCGGATCGGTTCCGAGAGGGCAACGGTGGCCCTTTGGGACATTCGCACCTCAACGGTTGGTTGGTGGTGGTTGTGGGATCCCTCCACCACCGCGTTGCGTTTATGGGGAGAAGAGATATTTGAATTGGGGGGACGCACGTTTACTCTTACGCACACGTTTATTTAATGCACGTACGCAGCAGCCAGCCAGCCAAACAGAGCAAACAGCCAGCCGCGCTTTCTGGTTTCGTGTTTCCTTTTCCCCCTTCTCCACACCATCCTGCATCGCGCTTTCCCAGCCCTCTCCATCTACATACATACCATACATACATTCATACAGGACGGACGCAGCTCTGAACCTGTTTTTGGCTTGGCGCCATGTCCAACACCGCGACTGCATTGACGTCTACAGAGACGTACTCGTTACTTTCCCTCTCGTTGGCCTGCATTGGAGTGCTCTCTCAGACTTTTGTGGGAGGGGACGGCGAGCCCGTGGTCGCTTCCATAGCGTTCAGCGGTCTGGCTTTTGCCAGCTGCTATGCACTTATACGATGGCTCGGGAACGCCTTCATACGCCGGGGGTTCAAGGGCAAGGATCTCTGCAAGCTCAAGCAGACCGAGATACCCGAGACCATGGGAGCTGTATGCGCCATGGTCTATCTCTTCACCATCATCGCATTCATCCCTTGGCCCTTTTACAAGGACATTGTCATTGCAACCTCGGGCGGCGGGAATCGCGATGTCATGCAAGACATAGGCGAGTTGGAGACGGGGAGACTGCTGCATAAATTCCCTCACAACAAGGTAACAAAAAAGAAACACACACACACACATATAGGCAATGATTACTGCATGGATGCTAATACTGAATGGGTAGCTTGCATCCTATCTTTCGGCCATCCTGTCCCTCCAGAGCATCGTCCTGTTGGGTATTGGCGATGATCTATTCGATATCCGGTGGCGGCACAAGGTGCTCATCCCCGCCGTTGCTGCGATTCCCATGCTTATCGTCTACTTTGTTGATTTCGGAGTGACCAAGATGGTGGTGCCGATACCGCTCCGGCCGTATCTAGGAGAGCTGTTTGACCTGGGTAGGTGTTGCATTCGCACGACCTACAAGTCCAGTGAGACAGATGCTAACCAGAGTCTACAGGCTGGCTGTACTACGTCTATATGGCGATGCTGTCCATCTTCTCGTCCAATAGCATCAACATTCTCGCGGGCATCAATGGGATCGAGGTGGCTCAATCGTTGGTGATTGCGGTGCTGATAGTGTTCAATGACGTGCTGTACCTGTCGCCTTTTGCGCCGTACCCTCACCCGGCCACGGACTCGCATCTCTTCTCTCTCTATCTCTTGCTGCCATTCATTGGGGTCTCGCTGGCCCTGCTCAAGCACAACTGGTACCCGGCCAAGGTGTTTGTGGGGGACACGTACTGCTATTTTGCAGGTATGGTGTTTGCCGTGGACGGCATCCTGGGGCATTTTAGCAAGACGTTGATGTTGCTGCTGATACCGCAGGCATTCAACTTTGTCTACTCGGCGCCGCAGCTCTTCCACCTGGTGCCGTGCCCCCGACATCGGCTGCCGCGGTTCAACGTGCGTACAGGGCTAATGGAGTGCTCGCGCGTAGAGTTCAAGAAACCACTCAGACGACCGATAGCGGAGAGTCTCAAGATGCTGCACCGGCTTCGGCTGCTGGACGTGCAAGTGGATGGGGAAGGGCAGGTGATTTCGTCGTCCAACTTTACCATTATTAATCTGTGGCTGGTGTGGTTTGGTCCCATGCGGGAGGACCGCCTTGCATTAGGGTTATTGGCATTCCAGACGGCAGTCGGGATGGTAGGGCTGCTGATACGGCATCGCATGGCGCTACTGGTGTTTTCGGTGGACAACTGGTGATGCAGTGGCGAATGGAAGAGGAAGGATATTGGGGGCATTTTCGTGGACGTTTGTATATAAGTGTAGATAAGGGAAATCTTGATGAATGGCAGAAACCCGATGGCAGCCGATGCCCTGGCTGGTTACCTTGCAGGATCGCGAGCAATGCAGATGCGAATGGAAGCACACCAGACGGAGCCAATCGGAGGACAGGTGATTAGATGGATGCTGACGGCCATCGCGGGGTCGTCGAGGGGGCGGGGCGGGGCACATGCGATCCCGACACCAACGTCATCCCATCATTATCCGCCTGCTGCACCTCACCTTTGTGCTTGACGTGCACAACTCGATTGACAAGGCCAAGCTCCTGCTTCACTGCCGGATCGTCGAGCACCGTCATTGCCCTTCGCAAGCAATTGACACGCTCGCTGCACATCTCCCCATCCACACAATTCGGCAGGCGCTAGCCGAGGGGGTGGGCCGTAGATGGAGGGAAAAAAAAGTATACCGCGCTTCTCTCTCTGTCACTATGCTTGCCGCCGATTATCGGCCCTGGTTCGCCGCCCAATTTGAATTGCTCCCATCCGTACATATTTGAATGCCTGCCGCCACCAAGCTTCCAATCTTTCCAAGATCACTTCCTGTTTTCCCTCCTCCCTCTCCCTGACTTCGCTTTGGATAACGATCCCTCTTCCTTTCTCTCTAATAAACGATCCGCTCCCCTTTGTGCCACACCGATCCCGCATATCGAACCCATCATGCCGTCTGCTGTAAAACCCCCACGGACTCTGTATGACAAGGTTTTCGAGGACCACATTGTTGACGAGAAGGAGAATGACGACACAATCCTGCTGTACATTGACAGACATCTGGTCCACGAGGTGACTTCACCGCAAGCATTCGAGGGCCTGCGGAATGCTGGCCGCAAAGTTCGCAGACCCGACTGCACTCTAGCAACTGTCGACCACGTATGCACCATCCACCCCTTTCCACCTTCTTCACGCCTCCAACTAACCGAATCTCAGAACATCCCCACCTCCTCACGCAAAACCCTTACTACCACCGACAAATTCATCGAAGAAGCCGATTCACGGACGCAGTGCACCACCCTCGAGGACAATGTAAAAGCATTCGATCTGACCTACTTTGGCCTCGACGATAAACGCCAGGGCATCGTGCACATCATCGGTCCAGAGCAGGGTTTCACTCTGCCAGGCACGACAGTAGTCTGTGGCGACAGCCACACATCAACACATGGCGCCTTCGGTGCTCTCGCATTCGGCATTGGTACGAGTGAGGTGGAGCACGTTCTAGCCACACAGACCATCATCACCCAACGGAGTAAAAACATGAAGGTCCAAGTTGATGGCGAGCTGGCGCCTGATGTTAGCAGTAAAGACATCATTTTGCACGTGATTGGAGTCATCGGTACTGCTGGAGGTACTGGCAGCGTAATTGAGTTCTGCGGTTCTGCCATCCGCGGGTTGAGTATGGAAGCTCGCATGTCGATATGTAACATGTCCATCGAGGGTGGCGCTAGGGCTGGCATGGTTGCCCCTGATCAGATCACTTTCGACTATCTCAAGGGGAGACCCCTTGCTCCCAAGGTCGACAGCCCGGAGTGGAAGAAGGCTGTGAACTATTGGTCGAGTTTGAAATCCGACGAGGACGCTAAATGGGATCACGAAATCTACATCGACTCCAAGGACATCGCTCCGACCGTATCATGGGGAACTTCGCCGCAGGATGTGGTCCCTATTACTGGCTCTGTCCCCAGCCCCGACGACTTCCAGGACGAGGTCAAGAAGGACGCCTGCAAACGTGCCCTCAAATACATGGGTCTCACTGCCGGTACTCCCATGCAAGACATCCCCGTCGACAAAGTCTTCATCGGATCCTGCACCAATGCGCGTATCGAAGATCTCCGGGCTGCGGCTCGTGTTGTCAAAGGCAAAAAGGTTGCTTCTAACATCAAGCGAGCCATGATTGTACCGGGATCCGGTCTGGTCAAACAACGCGCCGAGAGCGAAGGACTGGACAAGATCTTCTTGGATGCTGGTTTCGAATGGAGAGAAGCTGGATGCTCAATGTGCTTGGGCATGAATCCCGATATTCTTTCGCCGGGAGAGCGATGTGCTTCGACTTCCAACCGCAACTTTGAAGGTCGTCAAGGTGCAGGTGGCCGAACTCATCTCATGTCACCCGTCATGGCTGCCGCCGCCGCAATCGTAGGAAACCTCGCCGATGTACGAAAACTCGCCCCTCCTTCCATGTCATCAGGCAAAGGATCCCCCAAGGTCGAGCTCGATGCCCACATGGAAGACGTTAGCAGCGACGAAGACCTCGACCGCATCATCGACGCGCCCGCCGACCAACCCTCCCATGGTTCCTCCACCTCCACCAAAGGTGCCTCAGCTGGCATGCCCAAATTCGAGACACTCCGCGGATACGCTGCACCCATGGATATCGCTAACATCGACACCGACGCCATCATCCCCAAGCAATTTCTCAAAACCATTAAACGCTCCGGACTCGGTTCAGCCCTCTTCCACGCCTGGCGCTACGAAGCTGGCAGCTCGGCCGAAAACAGCGAGTTTGTTCTCAACAAAGCTCCTTTCCGCGACTCCAAGATTCTCGTCTGCACCGGTCCCAACTTTGGCTGCGGATCATCGCGTGAACACGCGCCTTGGGCTCTTCTCGACTTCGGCATCAAGTGCATTATCGCGCCCTCATTTGGTGACATCTTCTTCAACAACACATTCAAAAACGGCATGCTGCCTATCCGCATTGACGATTCCGCCGCCCTGTCCTCTATCCACGCTGTCGCGGCATCTGGCAAGGAAATCGAAGTAGACTTGCCTAACCAAGTCATCCGCGATGCCGATGGCAAAGAGCTCGCGAAATTCGACGTCGAGCAGTTCAGGAAACACTGCCTGGTTAACGGCCTTGATGACATCGGCCTGACTATGGCTAATGTCGAGAAAATCGAGAAGCACGAGCTAAAGCGCACGCGGGATTGGCCATGGCTTGATGGCAGCGGGTTCCTTGCTCGTCACAGAAAAGGGCCCGTCAAGGTCGAGGCTGTTGCTGTGCCCAAGACAAATCGTGGTGAGGAGGTCAAAGAACCGCTTGAGTGGTAGACGTGCTCGCGCCAATTTACGCATCCTATATTTCCTGGACAGTTCAAGCGATCATGGAGAGGTATTGGCGGAAAAAAAGTTTCTTTTGTTATCTTGACTGGGATTGTATTCCCCCCTTATTACGCTTTAGTTCATGAGGCTTTCTATGTCTCTATGGCTCGGTATCTCTTGGCCCGCCACGTCTATCTATTTCTACCATTTTCGATACAAGTAAGCCGAAGTGTTATTGGAAGTGTAATTACTTGGCTTGGGAAGCTCAATTAGTGTTGATAGCTTACTTTCATAGCGAATAGTTGTTGTATTGAAGGATGAATGACTGAACAAAATATTCCAAATTCCAAACCCATATGTTTGGTCACAAAAATCGAATACCCAATGAGTATAAGGATAAACAGTATAAGTACCATGCAATCTCTACCTCTGTGCGATGCCATGCGGATGCATATGGAATCAAAGAGACCAAAGACTGAAGGGAAGAGGTGGGTAGAAGACATCGAATAAAGGAATCCGGGGGATCTAATCTCTCCAGGTCGTCGCCATCTCTACAACAATCTCATTGAATTTACCGCCCCTTCCTCCCTCCATAGAAAACACACGCCCGCAACCAATCTCCGCCATCTCCTCTACGCATCCGCAGGCCTCGTCCCATCAGCCCACTTAGGCTCCTTGCCAATTTCCTTCCACATATCCCTTCTCTCCCTAAACAACTGCGCAGCCCACTCCTTAACCTCCGCACTCAAAATCTTCTTCTCGACCCACGTAAACTCGCCCAAATCCACCTCACACGCCGTCTCGCGCTCATACTCGACCATCTGCGAAATCAACTCCACCTTGTCAATATCATGCACGAACAAGCTCTCTCTCGTCACACTATCTTCATACTCCTGCCACAGCTCCCGAATCTCCTGCCCATTGATCCCGCCGTTGAACTTGCCAAGCAAGTTGGTGCAGATGTAATCCATGGTTTCCGTCTCGCGGCGCGATTTGTCGGGTTTGGACACGTTGTCTACGGGGGTGATGTCGCCGACGAGCGCTTCGGCCATATCGTGGACGAGCGCCATCCGGCAGCAGCGCAGCATGTCGAGGTTTTTGGAGACGGACGACGGGGCCATCATGGTGAGGATCGACATGCGGTACATGTGGTCGGAGATGGATTCGCCGGCGGAGATGCCGAAGCGCGTCCAGCCTGCGCGCTTGGTCGTTTTGAGGCGCGAGAGCAGGTGGAAGAAGGGTATTGGGGAGGACGTGTTTTCGGCGTAGCGGGGGTGGATTTGGGAGAGAACTGTTGGGAGAGGATGCGTTAGTTATGGGAGTCATGCGTGAATCATGGTTGTGGCGGCGGTGGTGGTGTATAGCTCTGTTCTACAACTCTTTTTGGGTGGGTGTGTCCACCAGTTGGGGGCATCTGGTTTGATTTTGGGGGGATAGAAAAGTGTCGCATACGGACAACGGTTCCATGTTTTCAGTTTCTTGTTTTACCACATACCACTCTCTACTGTCCAGCGCTCATTCTCCTGCACATGGCCTTGGTTGTTGAGCGTGCCAGCGCTGGGGTCTTGGGCAGCGCCGTTGGTCTGCGTCGTTGGTGGGGCATTGTCAGACATTCTTGTGGTGTTGATTCGTCGATGGAATTTTTTGTTCTTGCAATGAATAGTCTCGACGGAGAGTTTCAGGGGGTAAGGTGGGTGGAGGAAAGCCTTCTGCGACGGGAGGAAGGCAGGATATTATAGGGGCGTATGTTTGTTTTTGTTTGTGACATGAAGCAAAACAGCAATGTGAATGAAGCGCCGACGGGTCTCCCGATAAGATCGATAACCTGTGCAGTGCAGGGTTAAAGTTATACATATGTACACTACATACTTAGGTGCACATGTGGATCATGCTGCGCACAGGCCATGTTTATACCTGCTTGTCCTGCCGCGGATTGAATACTTGAACACCACAAAGTCAAAACACGCCTCAATCCCCGTGTAACGCCATTCAACCCTGACTCAAGGATGCGTCACCGCCGTCCGCAACCTTAGATTATGTCACGAACCACTTCCCAAGCGTCCACCGTCACCTCCACCACCACAAATGGCCATGTCCGCAGTCTGTCGGCCAAAACAAACATCAAGGCCGCTGCTCGGAGCAACCCGCTGCCGCCCTCAGACATCAAGCTGTTCGTGACCAATCTCCGCCTTCTCGACCTAGACATCCGCACCGACTGGCCAAACATCACTGTGCAAACTTTTTCTTCAAAGAATGCAGATCAGAAACAGCGAATCGGTGCCTCTGAATGGGCGCTCTTCCGCTTGTTTGAGATATGGGACCCAGCCGAGACAAATCAGGTATATACAATTGTCACCTGTATGAATCGGATCGCAATTGGAAGCTGACAGTAGCAATAGAAGCTCCGGCCGTTCTTTCCACCCCTCGAACCGCTCCAATCGCGCAACCTTCGCATCGCTCTTCACCGCTCATTGGACACCCTGAAAAAAGAAGGCGTGTTGGGGAGGGAAGCTGTTTTGAGGAAAACTATGATGGACGAGTGTAAAGGCGACAAGTTCTTTGAAGTACTATGCATGTTCTCGACCGCGGTGTTGAAGAAGGTCCAGGCTTCCAAGCCATCGAGGAAGAAAGCTACTCCAGCCGTTGCGAATCGACTCGCAAATGCGCAAAACTTATCCAGTCACGCGCAGGATTCTTTGATACCACTGTCGATAGTACACAAAGCTTCTTTGTCCAATGTTTTGAAGCGGAAGGACGAGAAAAGGACTAGGTTCGCCCAGTTCGAGGAGTTGCTAGACTCTAAAGCAGACAGTATAAATCAGCGGTTGCGCAAATCCAAGGAGACACCCAAGTCTCGAAAGCCGGCCATGTCAGAGAAAGAGGTGGATTCATTCAAACAACAGCTCAAAGACAGCTGGATCGGTGACCAGAAGTGGATCGATGTAATGCTACACGGGGACGATGTTCAAGCTGAGGGTGCTTTCTTAGCGAGATCTTTCAGATCGGTTTGGCGTGCAATTGAGCAAGGACTTCAGCCGGAGGAAGCTTCTCCTGATATGGGACTGATGGAGAATCTACAATCGAGAGTTCAAGAGCAGCAGACCAGGCTTTCCAGGTGGAAAAGCTTTCACGCAGAATTCCAGGCCCAAGGTTCGGCTCCGTCCGAATCAGACATCAAGCCTACAGTTGCCGTGAAGGAGTTCAAGTTCGATGACCATCTACAGCTTCAGCTTCCAAAGACGTTCTCAAAGAATGAATGCTCGCCAAAAGCAAGCTTGCGACCAGAATTTGAAAGTATTCTATCTGAGATGGACGAAGAATTATCGCGGGTTGCAACAGCCAAACATAATCGCTCTTCGTTGTTACGATCAAGACGGCAGAGGTCTTCCTTGGAAAGCCCCATCAGACAAGATATGCCGCGGAAAACAAGTCGCTCTGGCATTGTTCCCCCAGTCGAACAATTACGGCCTATGAAGCCGTCACCTCCCTCGGAAGAACAATATCAAGAATCAGTTCCAGCTCGCCAGCTTCCAGTCTACCTCCGAACTAGCAATTTGGCGACGCCTCCCGTAGACTCAGAGCTTACACTTGTCGCCGCGCCATCGACTTATGACAATGCAACAATCGCCTCGCACTCTTCCGAATCATTGTCGGATCAGGATCACTCACCTCACGCGCCTAATCTAACATCCGACCCGCTCCCCACTATCACCACAACATTACACCAGCAACCCGTCACCTCATTGTTGCCGTCGCCATCCCCGACCCCATCCCCATCCTCTTCACCCCCGTCTGCCCCATCATACTTCCCCTCTGAGCCCCCTCTGCTCGAGGCCCCTCAGTTGACCTCGGAGGAAACACTAGCTGCACAGATTGTATCTACAATCGGTGACGCAACACCATCTCCAGTCAAGAAAAAGCAACCTCGTCTCTCTCTCATGGAACGCACCCGCATGTCCATGTCAAACACCAACACCTTCCAACCCATCCCCGAATCCCCTCCTCTACCATCCCCGAGCCTCCCAACAGCCTACGAAGATGATGAGGAAGGTCTCCCAACAACCGCAACGAGACCGCAACAATCCCTTCTAGAACGCACCCGTCAAAGCATGGCCACTATGAACCCACCCAAACCCCGCGCCTCTCTCGCGCCACCCCAACACCGAGACATGAACTCATCCCGCCGCAAGAGTTCCCGCCAGTCCATTTTCCCCGTCAACCAATTCGACACACCGCGCAGCCGCAAATCCATCCAAGCCATCGAGGAATCGCAAACAGAGCTCGAAAGCACGCCCAAGGAAGATCTGTTCTCTGATGAAGTCGACTACGACAGGGTGTTTAAGAGTCGCCCTAAGATCGCGACGAGCCCCGTCTTCGGCACGCCCTTGGTTATTGGTGGCGCAGGAGATGCGGATGAAGACGAGTTTGACGAGGGCGTTACGGGTGTAGATTTGGCGGATGTGGACAGTGATGATGATGTGGATGTTCAGGCTGCGTGGGCTGATAGTCCGTCGAGGGATCGTGGGGTTAGGAGAGGAGTGAGGTATTGAGGGATCTTGTAGATGGGCTCGTCGGCGGGAGCTGTTATTCTTTTGATATCGTTTACGGTGCCATGGAATTTATTTTGGGTATAGAATTTGCTGATGTGGCGTATGGTATGAATAGACTTATCTTAAGGGTGATATGAATACTACACATTCATGAGTGCTCCAGTAGCTCTAATAAAGTACATGTACTGTTCAAAACTCACGTGAACAAAGGGTGTTGTTGAATTAATTCTGAGTTGGAGTTTAGATGATCCTACACACAGCGAAGGGCTACAACGATGAATAAACCTAAAATAAAAAAACAAGCGATAGTCAGAAAAGTATTGTTGAGTATATCAACTATAACACTGATCGGCATCTTGGTCTATTACGATCATTCAATTCAACGGCATAATAACATTAAGAATCGCGTGAAATATGTTGCCTCGATATGCTTCGGTACAATCAGAAAATTTCACCTCTCCACACAATTTACAGCACAATCAATATCAAGTAATAAAAATGATGTATTAATAACTACTGCTCTCATACAATTCCACAGTCTCACTGACTACTCACCACATCCGCTCTAGTCCTCCTGCTCTTCACAAGGCTACCCTCCAATTCCAACCCACTCATACCAAAACTAGTGCTTCCTTTCCTCGCTTTACTTCCACGCCTGACACGCCCCGCAACCAATCTATCCCTGTCCACGTCCCCAGCATTACCCATCACAGCCTTAGTCATGGCATCGACACTGCCCAACATCTGGTCCTCACTAGCCTCGGTTTGCGGAGATGCACCATCAGCCCTCCCGTGGTACACGCAGAACCCTTTTCCTTCCCCTATATACTTCTCATGCAATGGACATAGCGGACTACTCGGCAAATGTTCCGGCGTAATCCATTCCAATCGTTGGGTCTCTTCCGCTCGTTTCATCTCATTCTCGTCTCGTTTCTCTTCGCCCGCTGGATTGGGGACGCGAAACCAATTCTCCAGTGCGTTGGCTTCCGGTGAGAGTGGGAAGGGATTCTCGGGATACGGCGAATGAACCTCGTCTTTGGGGGTGGTGATGCGTGTTTCGAAGTCCGGCTTCTCAGCAATTGGAGAGTCCATTGGACTTTCTTCCTCTTCAGTGGAGGGTGGTGTCATGCTTGGTAGGGGCATGAGAAGCGCGTCAGAATCCCAGACACTAATGGGAGGTGGTTTGGACGCGTTGGGGGCGCGAGGTCTCGCACCAGAATTTTCTTGCACGTCGACAAAGAAGAAGTCGGCTAGTTGGCCTTTCACTTCGCCGCCGGGGCCTGGTTTCGGTGTAGCTATTGCGGGATGAATGGCTGCTGGGGCAGAAAACGGTGGACTAGACGTGTACTCGGAACGTACAAAGAAGGATTGCTTTCGACGCCAATAGGATTTGTGTTTAGGTGACTCGACATTTTGTTCGGGGGATTGCACAGGAGATTCCGAGTGTTTGGGCTTGAGAAACCGGTTGATGAGAAAGGGAGGCTCTTTTGGCGAAGGAGTGGTGGAAGCAAAACCTCCGTGCATTGGCCAGTGAGTTCCACTCCACCGTCGGTGTAGCGAATAGCCATGTTTGCTAGAGTCTTGAAGATTATCTTTGGTACGAGGTGGTCGGCTGCCCTGAGTGTTGGGCTGCGAATACTGGTCAGAAGATACGGCATGTGAACTCTCCGTGCTGGTTCTTGTGCCGCTACTTCTCGTTCGACTAAAACGGATGCGAGCTAATGACCGATTTCGATGAGGTTGTTTGTCATGCGTATCAGCTTGGGGTGATGCTGGCTTTGCTAGCATTTCAACACCCGCAAGAGGAACCAGACCCTGAGCATCATCACCATGCTCAAAGATGGTCGAAGGTGCATTCGCAACACCTGATTCCTGCCAGCTTTTTGTATAGGATACAGGCAAGGGCGAATTCGCAGGGCTTCGAGGTAGGACAGGCTCCGTAACAGGAGGGCGACTACGCGACGGTAACTGAGGCATGTCTAAGGGGATCCGGAGTTTTGTAGATTGTTGACGACGATCCTGGATGGGAATGTTCGGCTTAGCGCCTGCTTTACCGCTTGGTGCGTTTGCATGTTTTTGTTTGCTTCGTGGAAGGTCAATATTTGGGGTAGCTGAAAAGTCAAACTTCGAGCGCTGACCAGTATTTCTCTTGCTGTTAGGAACGAAGTGTGTATGCCTCCGGGTCACCTTTCCTCTTGTCACATGTTTTTCCGCAGGAACTAAGGCACGTCTCTCCATAACATTTCGAGCTGCCCTTGAAAAGCCAGCAAGAGATGAGCGTCCTGTATCTGACCGGGTTAAGATTCTGTATAATGATGAGTCTGACCGTTTGGCAGACGAATCTGAGGCTAGACTGTTCGAACTGATGACACTATGCCCTCTTTGCTTTGTAGTGCCATCTTTGGAAGATCTACGTAGGATTTCGTCCAATGGTGGAGGAGTGTTCGGTGTAGGCAATTGACGGGAGCTGGTATCTGCCAAATCTTCGGACTTGCGAACCTCCTATGTAACGCCCTCCCTTCGGTCGTTAGGCTGCGGTGTAGAGCGACGTTCTCCAGGCGCCATGAAGTCGACGCGCATAGCGTCAGCATGCTCTTGAAATGTGGTGTAATGCCGTGCCATTTTTGGGCGAGCTGGGGCATCAAGCGGGTAGCCATCATTGCCGATGGCTAAAGAATTTTTTCGTTGATTGGATCGAGGTACAGCCAGTTCGGAGTGCTGAAGCTGCGGATTGATGGGACTGTTTAGTGTAGAGGCGCCAGGCATGACTGCTGCGGAGTTGATCAAAGAGAAGGTATTTCAGGTGACGTCAGGGTCGAACACATTTGCTTCGATCGGCAGTCCAGGAACAGGCAAAGATGAGGAATGATATAGAAGACTGGAGATCCGCGCTAAGGATGGCGAATCATCAGTTGGGGAAGTATAGGAAAAGGCGAAGGGGTGTAAAGAATATGGTGAGATGCAGTTGTGGGCGCCATTGAACATCTTGTTGTATCCAATTGGGCAGGTACCATGGAGAAGCGTCAGAGCACTTGAGTATCAATAGGGAAAGAAGGGGTCACGCGCATGATTAGTGTCTACATACCGACAAACGTAGGTATGTATGTAAACAGACAAACGTGTAATTTGACATAGAACACTACCGATACGATAGATAAAACGCCGAGCAATGCATACGCGATTCCCTGCAGCTCGCTGCGTAACCCAGCGTACCCAAACCCTTTATGCACCTGATCGTAAACAACTTATCATAAGACATTACACATATCAACAAGATTACTTCATATCGGCCGCCGTCGTGGCTTGGACCACACTGGTGCCATCAACAAATCTTGTGCGGAAGATCCGGTTGGCGTTCTGGAACATGCCATCTTTGAGACTGACCACAATGAACTGTGAGCCTTTGAATCTCGTTTTGATCAGCCGGCCGATGTTTTGCGTATGCGATAGATCGAGCGCTGCATCGACTTCGTCTAGAATATACATTGGCGCAGGCTTGAATTGTAGCAGCGCCATGATAAGTGACAATGCGATCAACGAACTAGTAGTGATGATTAGTACTGTGTTGCCCAAGGGTCTCACGACAAACTCACCGTTGGCCACCACTCAGCTCCGTCAAAGACTGTTTCCACACCTTACCAAGCATAACCTTTACTTCGAGTCCATCAGAAATAGTCTTGCCCTCCGGAGGGTCAAGCTTGGCAAAACTGCCAGGTAGCAGTTCGTTGAAAATCTGTCCGAAATCGGCGTTGACCTTGGTCCACGTCTTGTGTAGAGCCTCCTTCTTGTACTCGTCAAGTTTGAGAATGGTCTCTTCTATCTTCTTCTTATCCTTGATGACAATAGACATGTTCTTCTTGAGACTAGCCTCTTTCTTCTCCACGCTATCGATCATGACCATGACCTTGTCGTTGATCTTGTTCTTCATGCTCTTTAGTCGCTCATCCATGGCTTTTCGTCTTGCTTTGCAGTCGTTCATGTTTTGGCCTTTGAAGTCGTAGGGCGTCCCAGGGCGACCAAACAGCTCGGCTTCGTCCTCTATCCATTCGAATTCCTTCTTCAGGTTCTCGAGGTTTCCGGAAGCCGCATCCCGCTCTTTATGAAAACGTTCGATCTCGTGGCCCAGTTTCTGCTGTTCGAGACCAGCCTCGGTAATGGAAGAGTTCTTCGACCGGATAGCTTCGTCTAGAGCACGGAGTTCGTCGTCAAACCCCGTGAGTTTAGCCTGCTCATCGGAAAGATTGGCCTGGGCGATGTCATGAGCATCCTTTACTTGAGCTTGCTCAGCGGTCAAGTTGCCGATTTCTTCTTGTTGGGCCTTCAGAGTTGTCTGCACATCTTCCAGCTGTTCCTGGGCAGCTGCCAGATCGCTTCCACACTGCTCTGAATCTACCATGGCCTCCCGCATTTCGGACTGGAGCGGTTTGATAGAGGCGTTGTTCTTGCTGAGTGCCTTCTTCAATTTATCCAAAGACGACTGCAACTCGGCAAGTTTACTTCCTTTGTTGCTGTTGAACTCTTTCATATCCTTCTCGATTCGCTTGATCTCTCTCGAAGCTTCATCTTGTTTAGCTTTAGCGCTCGTGATGCCTTCTTTGAGTTGCAAAACCGACTGCTTCATCTCCTCGATTGCTTGAATAATCTACGCTTAAGTCAGTATTGATCAGTAGCAATACATGTTTGACTGCTGCCTACCGAAGATGACGAATTGCCGTTTATTTGTTCCTCTGTGAGCTTGATTTCGTGCGTCTTGAGATCAAGATCTTGTTTTGTTTTCCGCACGGCATCCAACTTCTTCTTTTCCTTGGCCAAAGTGTTCTGGAGCACGTCGAGTTCCCGCTCCTGTGATTGTATTTCCTTGGAGATCTCATTGAGCTTTTGCAATGTCACGAGCACCCCGCTGGAATGGGGTGCACTTCCACCTGACAGGGTACCGGAAGGGTCATAGACGTCGCCTTCCAGGGTCACACTCTTCATCCTCACAGAAGGGTCGAAAGTCACTCGCTTTGCTGTCTCGGCATCTTCACAAACAAACGTCGAGCCAAACACGTATTCCATGGCAGCATTGACCTCGCGTTCGTATCCTATCAACGAAAGAGCTAGGTCAACCTTGCCAGGTGCAATTCTCTGTGCGGCCCCAATCTTCTCGGCTGATGCCTTGAATGCTGATATCTTGTTGAGTGGAATGATCGTGACACGCTTGCGAAGTTTCCCGTTTTGAAGAAGTTGGGTACCAGTGTCAGCAGAGTCAACGACCACGTTATAGAGACGACCACCAGCGCAGATCTCCAAAGCGGTCCCTGCACGAGTGTGCTCCTTGTCGAGTGTGAACAGTTGAGCAACCAGCCCTTTGACACGCGACCTATCAAAGTTCGGGGAGGGATCATTATAGTTGAAATCGATGTTGGCAACCTTTCTGCGCAAACCGTCCGCTTGTTGTCTCAGCTCACGAATGCTGGCTTGGAGATGTGACTCTTGTTGGTAAAGCTCGGACTCTTTCCCAGGTTCAAATCCATTCTTCGTTAACTCGGCTTCGAGCTTCTTGGCCTGCAGCTTGAGAGCTTCAAGTTCCTTGAGTAAGCCAGAGTTCTGCGCCTTTGCTTTCTTTGCTTTTGGCTCATCTTCCTTAATCTGCTTCTCCAAGTGCGCAATCTTGAGCTTATTCTGTTCTTGCTCGGTTGCTGCAGCACTGGCCAAATTCCGGGCATCTTGTAATTGGCCTTGATAACCGCTTTCTTGGCCCTCTTTCGAGGCTACACCGGTTTGAAGCGTCTGAAGGAGCTCCTCCTTCTTCTCAACTTCCTCGGTCTGCTTGAGGAGATCGTCATGGGCGGTTTTGTACTTTTCCTGGAGCGTCTCGTATAATTTGGTCTTTTCCTGCAATTGCTTCTGGAGATCCCTGACATTTTTTTCGATGCCTTTCTTTCTGTCTGTTTCCTCGGCCATGCTCGTGTTCTTCAGATCCAGTACGGTAGTCAATCGCACGATCTCGTGGGAATGTGTCTTGACCTCCTCCTCCAGCTCTTGGAACTTGCCACCTTTTCTCAGCTCCTTCTCCCGAGTCGATTTGACCTTTTTGATGTCCTCTTGAAGATACTCGATTTCCTTCTTCATCCGGACTGCAGACTCTTCCAGGTCAGTTGCCCGCTGCTTCTTGGCCTCGAGGTCATCGGCAGATTGCCGCAATTTCTCCTTGTATCGAATGTAGTCATGGGCGACAACGAGTTGAGTCAAGCGTTCCAGGTCGCTCCGAGTCTGTTGGAAGTCCAGAAATGCGCGCTTCTCTGTCCGCAGCTTCTCCAGCTTTGGGTCAATTTCCTCCTGCAACAGCCCCGTTATTTCCTGGACCTTCATTTCCTTCTTGGCCATGGTTTTGTAAGCCTTGTCTCTCCGGTCCTCGAACATGCGAGTTCCGGCAGCCTCCTCCAACATTGCCAGAATTTCCACGGCTTTCATATTCAGTACCTTCGTTATACGACCTTGCATAATCAAGAAGTTGGGATTGTTGATGTTGAGCTGCACGGATTGGAAGAGATTTTGTATGCTCTGTTGTTGCGCGCGGTGACCGTTGATGAGATATTTGCTTGCGCCGCCCATAACCACCTGCCTAGTAACCGAAATCTGTGCATGTTCTTCGAAGCCTACGGGGCTGTTGGATTTGTCGCGGTTGTCGAATACGATGGTGACGCTGGCTTTGGTGACACCGGCTTGTCCGCGCTTGTATATGAGATCCTGTATACAATTGTTATGAGATGGTCGTGCCGCTTCGCGTTTCATTTCGACCCACCTGAAGATTCTGAGCGCGGACAGTACTCATGTTTGTTATACCGAGAACGAAACATATTGCGTCGAGAATATTTGATTTTCCTGATCCGTTGAGACCGGTGATGGAGTTGAAGGAGGCGTCCCTACTGATGTAAGCTTTTGTTGCTGCAGACGCAATGGGGTGTAAACAAACCAGCCGGATATGACGGTGCGCACCGCGTACGACTTGAAGCCCTGCAAGACAGTGAGAAACAAATTCTCGGCGGATATAGGAGATACTGACATCGATCACGAGCTCTATAATCCTCATGGCGGCTTTGGGTGCTGCTGGGTTCGTTGTCTGTTTGTTTATCTGCTCCGCGCTCACAGATGTTTAGCGACCGGAGGAGGATGGGCTAATCCCGATTCGCGTTTACACGTGACGCTCCACGCGGGGGTGGGTGCAGCCAATCACACAGCACCAAGTCCGACATTATGTACTTCCCATCTCAAGTGCTATTGGTTTTCCATTTCTTCAAATGTTCTTCGTTAACACCCACACCTCGGTAACACGGCCCAACTGATGTCTGTTCTCTACGTACTGTCATATGTAAGTATACCCTGATAATCGGTCGCCTCGAAAACACTAGCATGGGGTTCGAAGGAATCGCATGCTACTGTACAGTGCGACACCAGCTGCTGACTCTGTGCCGTCATATCTCTTAGTTGCATGCAATGCACCATTTGCTCATCAGTCAGACCCCTCGTTGAACCCCATTATGAATTCCAACTACCGGTTTCTACGCAACAGGATCCCATGTTCGTTGTTCATGACTTTATCGAACTGCACGGGCTTAGTTCGCGTCAGTTGGAAGACTTTGCTGGTCCTTCTCAACTTTGAGGTAACCCAATACGCCTATTATTCAATCAGTTTGCCATACCTCTCTAATAAGCTGGTCCATCTGCATTTGAATTATTTGTTACAGTACGCCATATGGTTAAGCAACCCAAGCAGCCAAGCTTCGTGCCTTGGAAAGCTTAAATGCAAGGATTCAACTGGTCGTGTTCCAGGATATAGATTATTAGCGATAACGAGTATAGAGACCTCTGATGTCCGGTAATTACATAGTGGGACTAAGGACGGTAGTGAACCATCGCATTTCTATGCAGCACAAACACTTGGTATTGTAATTCACACGATAAATCTGCCTTCGAGCTCCAGGCAGGACACACATGTTCCGTGGTTATCACGACACTGAGTAATTAGTGGAACGTGAGAGAGGAGGCATCGTATCAACTAACTACTTCTTTATGTGAATTGCTAAATAAGTACAGTGTTTGTAGAGAAATTAGATTGTTTTAGTATTACTGAAGACTCTACGTAGTAGTAATATATGTGTGTAGGTGGGGATTGCAATACTCGCCTCGCATTTGAGTTGCTTATCACTAATTACCCGACGTGAAAGAGAGACTGACGAAAAAGGCAGCTGTTGATTTGGTGCCGCCTCTCTTTCACCGCATTGCCTGTAGATTAGCCCGTGCCACTTTCGCAATGGCGGGGGTCAATGTCGTGGGCGACAGCAGATTATATCCAAGATAAAGCAGCGTCTTTCTCACGCAGTGGTGTGACTGAACACCTTACTGTTGTCAGATGTCGTTCATCAATCGTTTCCGGCGCAGGCCAACAACGGCCGTGGTAGGTGGAACGGCAGCACACCTTCCAACGAATATCAGTGCAACAGAAACCCAAAGTGAAGCCAATTCGAAAGCCCCCGATGCTACAGAACCAACCACACGAGATTCCGAGAAGGCTACTGAGCCTGCGTCTGATGTATTGCCGGCACTAGACGAGGAAGATGAAGCCGAGCTTCCACCCGATGTTAAAGAGTTACCCAAAATTGTCCGCAACATTGTCAGTCTCGACGATGATCCCAACGCCCCTACAATAACCTTCCGCTACTTTCTTCTCTGTCTGATCTTCGTTCCTCCAGGCGCCATCCTCTTCCAGATGGGAAATTTTCGCACTACTTCTGCAGTGTATCCAGTGCTCTTCGTCCAGATCGCATCTCATTACACCGGCCAATGGCTAGCTGAGATACTGCCTGCTAAAACGATCGGGGTTTCTCGCTTCAAATTCAGCCTCAATCCGGGTCCATGGAGCTCGAAAGAGAACGTTCTTGTCACCGTAACTGCTGCCTCGGGGGCGACCTCCAATGCCGCTTGGGCTCCCATCTCCCTGGCACAACTCTACTACGATACCAAAATTCCCGCTGCAGCATGCATATTCTTCATGTGGGCCATTGTTTACATTGGTTATGCCATGGCAGCGCTCGCGCGACAGTTCCTTCTTTACGACCCAATCTATGTCTGGCCTTACAGTCTCATGCAAACAAGCGTTTTCGAAACGCTTCACAAATCGACCCACGACTCATGGATTGCAAGAAAACAGAAGCATGTTTTTTTTGGTACCCTAGGTTTTATAATCGTCTGGCAGTTTCTACCCGAGTACATATTCCCCATGCTGAGCTCTCTCTCCTTTCTTTGTTGGGTGGCGCCGCGTAATCCGGTAGCAAATTTCGTAGGCGCTGGAATCGGCGGCATGGGGCTCTTGAACCTTTCGCTGGATTGGGCCAATATCTCCAACCAGGTAACCATCAGTCCAATGGTAGTGCCCTTCTGGACAACCGTAGTACTGACATTCGCCTACGTGTTCAATTGCTACGTTTTACTACCAGCAGCTAAATACGGCAATCTGGGTGAATGGAAGCATGGCCTCATGTCAAACAGAGTATTCTTGGAGAATGGGACCAAATATCCAGCAGCGGCCTTGATGACTCCAGATCTGAACTTCAACGAGACTGCATACCAGGAGCTGGGCCCAATTTATCTCGGTACTCAGCAATTGTGGGGAATGTTCTTCGACTACTCTTCATACATCTCCGCTCTCACCTGGATGGCTCTGTTTGGCTGTAAGTTCGTATCATGTATCCACAGATTGGACCGTCTGACGCCTACAGATCCTCAAATACGTGATACTATTCGCAAACTCAGAATGAGAACGAGAGAGCGCGGCAATTTGACCGTGAACGAGTTCTACACTGATCGCCTAAATGTGCTTATGCGTTCATATGATGAGTAAGTCAGTACGTTGTACAGAGGTCTATCCCTACTAACGACTTTTAGAGTTCCACTATGGTGGTACGTGGTGCTGTTTATTGCCTCCTTCGTGACGATAATCACCATACTCGGCTGCGGTTACTTCTTTATACCAATATGGACCTTCTTTGTGGCCATCTTCAGCTCGGGCGTCATGATACTCCCGTTTGCTTGGCTGTACAGTTTTTCAAGTTTCCAAGTCGCCATCGGAACCTTCAACGAACTCCTCTATGGTTATATGGTCCATGCTACAGGCGGGTACGTTCAAAGAATTCTGGAAATCACGTCTACCCCAGAACCAATACTGACTTATATTTGCACCAATAGACACAAACATCCAGCTGGTGCAAACGCTTATGGGTCAATCGCTGGTGATATTTGGTATAGAGCGTAAGCAAAGTCTCAGTCAACGTTCACCTGTTGAGACACACTGATGGCTTACAGAGTCACACTAGCCTGAACCTTGCTAATTTCATATCCCCTTCTTAGACAATACATGTTGCAAGACCAAAAGATCGGGCACTATATGCATGTACCTCCTAAAGCCATCTTCTTCAGTCAGATCTTCGGAGAGTTGATTGGCGTGCCCATCAATTACGGCATCGTACAATGGGTGCTGAAAACGAAACGGGAATTCCTCCTCGGGGAGAAAGAAGATCCACTTAATCAATGGACAGGCCAAACCCTCTCGAACTACAACACCATGGGCGTCCAATATGTTCTCATCGGCCCTAAGAGATTGTTCGCGCAACACATGTACAAACCCCTTCCGTGGGCTTTCTTGTACGGCGCGCTGGCGCCTGTGGTGCTTTATGGTCTGCACCGTGCATTCCCTAAGAGTAAACTTAAATTTCACCTCTGTAAGCTATCCTTACGATCCCTCTCATCCGGCCCTTCACAGACACTAATGTTATCCCAGGGAACGTAAGCATCTTCGGCGCAGGCGTATCTGTCTTCTACGGCAACCTCTCCACCGGCTACATCTCCCGCCTCATCGTCGGGTATATCTGCATGTTCTGGTTCTATCGTCGCCGCTTCCAGACCTGGAAACGATACAACTATCTCGTTGCGGCTGCGCTGGATGCCGGATTCAACATAGCGATGTTGCTTATGTTTATCTTCTTCTCGAGTGGGAAGGTGGTTAGCATGCCGCATTGGTGGGGGAATAATGAGGAGAGTGTTGAGAGGTGCTTTGCGTTGGATGATTAAGAGGAGAAGAGATGGGAGCGGGTTAGTATGAGATGTATTCGGTGTGGGTCGGTCTAAGGGATTGCATGCACGGTGTTCTCACGGCTTCTTAGTGATAATGAGACATAGTTTGAGGGCGATGATTTTCCAAAGCAAGATCCAGATAAATCATACGTCAATATGCAATTGTGCGATAGTTATTTCAGCACTACAGGGGGAGGATATCACATAGCAGGATATCCACCGTCGACTCTCACTCTCGCAATGCAGATATTTCTTCAACATGCAACTTCTACACCACGGCTGCCGGAAAAGCTGTGGGGTGTTGCGGCGAGACTAATGGTGTGGAAATCATCCCCGGACAGGGTTAAAGTGACGTGAAACTGCCCACCAATATAGCTGGGAATACTGAGAAACCACCCTGGCCGAAAGGTTCATTCAACTTGAATATAGAGGACGAGGAATGTGAAAATAGAAGCAATGGCACGAAATCTGGTCGTCTTCTCTGTTCTAAGAAGCCGATTGACCGCAGAGAGGATGCATTGAAGAGCAAGAAGGAATGTTCGTTGAGCTGTAGTGCAAGTGGGTTTATGCATGCTGTAGTTTATTGCGACTTCTAGACAGGGTTCTCGGGAGTTAAGGTTTTCATCGCGAACAAGTAGACAAGGCGCAAAAAGCTGGTTTAGAAGAAGTTCAATCTTGACTAGACAAAAAACATGGTTTAATCCTTCATAGCTCCCAATACTTGCCCCTTTACCATCCCCTCGATTCCCTGCAACAATGTGGTTGAAGGACCACACAGCCAATCAGTGTTTGCACCGTGTGAATTTCACAATTCCACAGAGGTCCCCTTCACAACAGCGCATATCATGACCCTTAACCTCACCAGGTGTAATAGAGCAAATTTTTTTCTTCTCTACGTTCACGAACTTCCTAGAACCTCAAGCAAACTCTCCCTAAACGCTGGCTGATCTACCCCACGCCCAATCAGCACTAACTTGCCTTCCGCATCTGCATTCGAGTCTGGATTTTCTCGTTTTGCTTCAGTCGTGTCGTATACGTTCCTCACGCCCTGCACCAAGACAATGTTTCCATTCACAACAGGCACACGGCCCTTCAGTCTATGAATCTCGAATCGTTCGTGGGGTTTACTGTCTGGGAGTTCGTCTTCCCAGAGGATAGTGCGGAGGAACCTATCGAAAGCATCTAGTTGGTGTTTTGAGATGGCTGGGAAAGCGATAGTGGATGTTGTTATGGTCTATTTACGAGAAGACTTGTTAGATGTGCTAGTCAGCGAAGGGGCAAGAGAGGAAATTGAGACGCACAGGATCGAGATGACTGTGTCCTTTACTCGCGAACTTCAAATCCGCATCTGTAACTTGGTCGTACGCGTGAAGATCTAGCACCACACCTTCCAACTGCGGTACCTGACTCTTGTTCGTGGTCTTGATTCTCGCCAGGCCGTTGATTGAACGCACCCGCTCCACCACCGTCTTCAACTCATCTTCTGAGACGAGGTCCGTCTTGTTAACGAGTACGACATCGGCATGGCTGATCTGCAAATGTGCGGTCGTCAGCAGCGGGCCCTTATGGTCATGTCCATGGTCGTCCTTCTCGGACTCCCGTTTCCTTTCTTCCAGCTTCTCTGCTTCATCGCCGTAGCCCTCGTCCAGACTTTTGAGCAGGTTTTTTGCATCGACGAGCGTAACAATGCCGTCGAGAAAAATGCTGCTACCGAGACCGTCGTCGAGCCAGAACAGAGGTGCAATGTTTCCAGGATCCGCGAGACCGGTGGTTTCTAGTAAGATGTAATCGAAATTTCCTTGGTGTTCCATTAGGTTTTCGATAGCGGCAACGCCAACATCTTTGACGGAACAACAGATGCATCCGTTGGCTAGGGGGACGAAAGGTGCTGGTTTTGCCTCTGTGGTGTCTTGATCGGAGATGGTGAGTTGTTTCTCGATATCGATTGCTGGTGGTTGGGTATGTGAGCAGATAAACTTCAGATTGATGATTCGAGTTATCAAGTCTCTGCTTCATAGTGTGCCATGTCGGAGAGGTGCAGTTGAAAAGAATGTACTTACAATTACCGAACTCATTTAAAATAACAGCAATCTTCTTGCCGTGCTGTTCAGTCAAGATGTAATTCAAAAGAGTGGTTTTCCCCGCTCCCAAATACCCCGTAACTATAGTGATGGGTACTTTAGTGGAAGGTGGTGCATCTGCTGTGGTGTCGACTAGCTGTGGAACATCTTCATCCTGTTCTACGGCGGTGTTTCCAGGCTGCACAAGGGTAGGGATCTCGTCATCGGAAGAATTTCCACTCATGATTTTTTCTTTGGTCTAAATCCGCGACGAGGCAGGGAATCGACAGTGAATGAGGCTGCGGTAGTGACGGACTGCAGGATCTATAAATTGAAATCTGTTAGAGCGATACAAGACACGTGGCAAGTAAAAAATGCAGGCTAAAAAAAGTATTGGACATCCACTCGAGCTATAGCAACGGAGGATGTCCAGTGTGTATATATATATTTGCTGTTGAGTTCCGATTCCGAACCAGCGGCATTCCGAGTTGGACATGCAGACGTCATCGGTCGGGGAGAGGGTTATCTTGGGGTTTACGAGATAGTAAAATCGATAGACTTACTATAACTCTCGAGACAAGTAGTAGGGAGCTTATAGGCAAGCTATATCTGTAGACAATAAGTACGCATGTCGGTAGGTATCCGAGTATGCTGTGCAGGTGATGGACGAAACTCTGCGTAGCCAAAATGCGCTTAACCCATCCGGAGCTAGCTGTCGCAGGGCAGCCTTATTACCGCCTAGCCAGCAACAGCGAACCACGTTCAAGGGCTTCCACGCCAATAATTTCCAATGTAGATCATCCACGGTTATTCGAGGTGTCCGTTACATGTACAAACCCAAGCCAACAAACAAACAACAACAACACCACTGCTACTACCATTGATCACCACCCTGCGAGCACACCATCCGCCCATCCAGACCTGCTCACCTCCGCTCCCAAGTCTATTGGGTGGAAATGGCTGCTACCGCATCTCCCTTGAGCTCGCCTCGACTCCCCAGCCCCCCGCCCATCGCAGAAGACCAACTTGGCCCGAAGAGCCCGTCGCCAGGCACCGAAGAGCAGCAGAAGCTGTTCAGCACATTGGACAATGGCGCATCAAGGAGGATACGGCCGGGCACCAAGGCCGACGACATGGCTGAGGGACCGCCCTTGGTGGACCTGTCCGAGGTACGTTGGATCTGCGCTGGATTGCGCCGCTTCATCTGTGGTGGTAACAGACAATGGAGCTGACTGGGATTTCGCTATGCCTCTAGATAGATTCTGCCTTCCAGCTCACAGAGCATCTCAAAGCTCTGCACAACTTCCTCACACATCCCATCGGCACCGACTCCACCGTAGCCGTCGACCGCGACATGGCGCTTAAGCTCGCAAACCCGCCCGACAATATAGACAAGACGCTGTGGCTCTACGAGCTATGCCGGTTCCTGACGCAGAAGGTCAACGCCATCATCATCGCCCTCTTCTCCGATGACCCGCCATGCTCGTCCACGACGTGTCCGGAGATGCGCGCCTCCGAGTGGCAGTACCTCTGCGCCGTTCACGATCCGCCCAAGAGCTGTGGTGCCATTGACTACAGCTGCCATACACTGGACTGGGCCGCCAATACCCTTACCTCGCCCAAGAACTTCCCGTCACGCTTGGCTATGGCGCACGACCAGAATACACAGCACCAGCAGTACAGGAGCCTAATAAATATCTTCAGGCGCGTATACAGAATCTTCGCGCACGCGTGGTTCCAGCACCGGGAGATGTTCTGGAAGGTCGAAGGGCGTACCGGATTGTACATCTTCTTCAAGACGGTATGCGATGTCTATGGCTTAATACCCCAAGATAGTTACACAATCCCACCCGAGGCAGAAGGGATGGAGGAATCTGAGGAAACAAACACCATCCAGCCTCCTTTGATCCTGAGGAGAGAATCATCTGGATACGCGCCATCGGGCGACACAGGATCTGTCCTCGACTCGGGAGACAAGAATAGCCTCTCTACCCCAGGAACCAGCACCACGAAGCGACATAGGCAGTCACCGACGGTCAGCTTAAGCTCCGTATCCACCGTTGTAGAAGAAAGCGAGGAAGACGAAGAAGCGCAAGCGCAGAGCCAGGCTCCCGAAGAAACGCCAACATTGCCATCTTCAACCCAAGAATCATCCGAACCGTCCTCCCAGCCACCAGCCGCAGCCCCAGAGGAACCAACTCCAAAAAGCATACCGTCAACTGAGCAAGACGACGAGACGGCAGAAGACGCGACAAGCCACCTCGTACCCGATTCCGCTACGGATGCCACCAGCGACACTGAATCCCAAACCTTTACGCCCTCCCCATCCTCATCCGAGCCCGACGACCAGCCCGAAGACGCGGCTCCTAGCCAAGACGGCTCGGCACCTACTGAGCCCGCCGAAGCGACATCGACGACTATTACCACTACCACTGATGACCTGGCCCCCAAATCCACTGACTCTGGAGAAGGAGATGCAGCGCCGGCGCCGACGACTACCGAGGAAGAGAAGGAAGACGGGCGGGAGCTGGAGAAGAACCCCACGGAAGAAACGCTCGACAGGGGCAGCGATGATCAGAAGGAAGAGAAGGCCGCGGGGGCGGCTGATCCGGAGACATCGGAAAAGCGCGAGGGGGACGGGAGTGGTGGTGAGCACGAGGGAGGTGAGGCGGCTGCTGCTTCTGCCCCTACTACTGCTGCAGATCCTGATAAGGATCGGGCCACGGCTGCAAGCGAGTAGCGAGGAGCGTACTTCATCGTCAGTGGTAGGTGGAAGCGAAGGAATTCATTCAGCTTCGAATGTGTTTTTCTCTTTCTTGCGTTTTTAGATGGCTTGATTGGCTGTTGAACGGTTACCTTGGTCTTGTTCTTTTCTATTACGTTTGCTTGTGGTGGTTGGGGATGTATGAATGGATGGGGGTTTTTTAGTATAATGTTAATGTTTTCAAGCTTCTTAGCTGCTGCTATGCAGTTGTTTGTTTCCCCTTTTGGGATGATAGTCGATTGCTTGATGGAATGCTTTTTTCCCTAATGGTTTTCAGATCTGGCGGTAGGAGGTCGTTGAACATTTCCTTGCTGTACAATACATCTTCATCATCCATACTGTTATGTCGACTCGATCAAATCCTTAGTTATGCTTTTTCTGCTGTTTACGTGGACACAAGACCAAGTATCCCTGTCAGCACAAGTTGTAATTCTTCTCCATTGAGCGTTCAGGCGCTCATGGCCCGTTTCAAGTGCCACAAGAAAATCGTTGATAGTCGCACAAGGGCGTCGGTTGATGGATTCAAGACATGCATTACAGGGGATGTGGTTGCAGCTCAGATGCCTAGTGTGGTATGGTTCAAAAGCGCATGCGATGAATACTCATACTTTTGTCAAGTTTCATGCGAATTGGCAATGGTACGGTGACAATGTGATTGACCCTGCGGCAATGCTGACCACCAGCCTGTTCGCTTTCGTATTGCAAGGCTTGCCCTGCCTTGTGTGGTTCGTGCGCTTCGCCACTTCCCCCGAGAATTTGTGACCCAACAGCACGGTGTACCGTCGGAGTAAATCATAAGCAAACGAGCAAAAGGGGGGTGAATGAAGTGAGGCTTCACGCGCGCAAGTTTCAGATGAGACGTCGAGAAACGGAGATTTGCTCTTTGCTTTTGTAGGGTGGTTCACGAGAGAGAAACAGAAGCTATTTTCAGCCTGGGAACGAGGAGAGGGAAAAATAAAAAAGATTTGAAGGCAAAAAAAGGAAAATGGCTGAACGGACATGGGGTTAGCATTATGAAACCGAAACTTGTGCCATGTAGTTGGGTAACCGCGCTCGTGGGAGACGAAAGAGAAAAAAAAAGCCAGGCGTCCACGGTTTGCGAATAACGACATGTCATGCATTGGTGCAGTGGGCATCGTCCGCGCTTTGGGGTTTCCTTTCTTTTTCCTGTTTACGCTTCGCTATTCCTTCCATGGCGTTGGCTGATTGATGACTGACTGCTGCGTCTAGCGAGGAGACGGATGGACTGTGCCGCTGCAGCGCGTGCGTTTCTCACTCAGTTGTAGGTGGCGTCTCCCGCTCTGGTTTCGACTCCTCTCCGCTTGAGCGTGAAGGGAGCAGATGAGACATGGACATTGGAGGATGGCGCCACGTCGGCATGGGATGGCTGATCTGGGGTAAAGAAGGCGCTGCAGTGTGCGTGATGCGGAGGAGGGCGTGCATGGGCAGCCAATGGGGGAGGGGACAGGGCAAGGAGGGCACGTGCGATGAGGTTATGGAATCAAGTAAGCGTAACGTGTAGGAGCGAGTAGCTTTTTTGTGTAGTCAGTACTGTGAGAAAGACAGAGATAAGTATACGAGAGGGGTATGCCTTGCACGAGTTGGGTAGCGGTACATGGTGAACTGGGATGGGAGAGGTAAAAGGGAAGAGGGTTGGAGGGTTGGAGGGTTTGGTGGGGATGATAGCCGAGTCAGTCAGCGAGCGAGTGGAGATGAGTGATATCAAATGTGCTAAGGTAATCGGGCCCCGCAAGATAGGTAGTACTTAAGTAGGTACCTATACAACAGATGATAACAACTGAGCAACCGAGTACACACCCATTTGAAATAGGATAACTGGGTGCGATGGACATGCGAGGCAACAATCAAGCTTCGCGCGTCGGGTTACCCATCTGGAGACCGCCGACCGGCTTGAACATGGCAATGAATGGCCCACCACCACCATCGGGACAACCCTGCAGCGCGATCTATAACCATCTAATATCCGACCAATCCGCCCCCGGGCAGCATACATTGCGAGCAATCAGAACCGTTGCCTTTCTGTCTTGATACCGCCGACTTTATCCTGCTTCCCTGGACGCTGGAGGATACGACGGTTTGCAGTCCCAGCAGATGGACAGCTGCCAGAGTGCTTGCCTCCCCACGCCCACGCCCTCGCCCGAAGACCCGCGCCCAGTCCAGAGCATGGACGCTTTCTCCGCATCCCATTGATGCAAGGCATGTGCCGGCATGGCATGAGACGAAACGAGCGAGGTACAGGAATAGCAGACAGACTTCCCATCGAGGTCCGCGGCGAGCGGTGTACTGGATGACGGTCGATGGTCAAGCCAATTTGATTATAATGATATTGTTTGGTCAGGGTCTGTATGCTGACGCCCTCGCAGGTCACCGGGTCATGAATCGATGAATGGGTGCATGGCATCAACAAGATTTCCGTCGTGTTGAGGTGGAGCAGGTCACTACGTAGTCCAGGGCATAGGTGTTATTTGTAGGTATATATAATGGTATGTAGATATATATATATATATCCATGTATCCCTGAGGAATACAACATGGACTGCATGCACCACGGAACCAGCCAACTACCAGTCATGGCAACGTACAGTAAACACTTAGCTATAAAGCTACCAGGCCGATGCGGTGCGATGATCAAGATGAAGCGGTTGCTGCGGATCTCTCTTGGAGGACATGGTACCGTGCCCTTGGCTAGCCGGCCGGCGGCCTCCTCCCCTCAACAAACACAGGTCGAATCCATGCGTGCACGTCCGCCTGGGATTCTGTTGGCGGCGGTCCACGCGCTTACATTCCGTCCCGCCTCCGGCCGCCGCCCTGCCAATGCCAGTAGTCTACGCTGGTAGCATCGAGTTAGTCCCATGAATTGTTGTATGGATGCTTTCCGGGGAGAGGGGGGGGGGACGTGGTGGAGGGAATAAAGCAATGCACCCCCATTCTTTCTTTTAGCTGTCGCCTTTCCCCACGTCTACATTCCCTCCTTAGCTCGTGCGCCCACCCGCTCTGCAACTACGACACCTGCCAAACCGCTCGTGTGCAGCCAGACTGACATCGCTCGTCACATCAGTCCATCCATCTCATCATCGCCGCCGCCCGTGCCAGCACCTGGTGGCGGAACAAGCCGGCCGCATCTCATCTCATACATCACGCACTCCTGCATACCGAGGGTCATCCTCCTCCTACTACCTGCCCATCCGCGCCCGCCTGTCTGCCTAGGAGCCAACCAACCCTGAACTGGAGGGAGGGAGCACGACCGCAGTTCGTTCGTTCGCCTCCGATCCAGCCATCCTCCCACCCATCCATCCCAAGCAACAACACCCTCGCAAAACAAAGTCGTCTCGTGACCGCCTGCCTGTCCAGTGTCTGTCTGTCTGTCTGTCTGTCTGTTTGTCTGCCTGTCTGCCTCTGCTCATCATTCCCTTCTTGTCCTGCCTTTACCCCCCCCCCAATATCTTGTGCTCCCACCTCGCCTTCACTGGGAAGGAGCATGCACCCTCACCCCCGATAGCCTGGTCCATCCACCCTCATCTACCATCTATTGCCGACCACCACCAGCACCCCCAGCCACAGCAACATCCCAAACACCTCCACGCTTCCAGACCAGACGAGACGCGCCCGCTCTCGCTGCTGTCTTGCTTGACCTGCTGCTGCTGCTGCTCCTCTACGCTCCCGCCCGGCCATGGCGGCTCTTCTCTCCATGCATGCAGGACACTCGTCCATCCCACCTGATTTCCCCCACAAAATGGACACGAGCAGCGGCGCTGTGGAACCCGCCCCCGCTTCCCCAGACCAAGACGACCGAGGACGCCGACGCGACAGAGACGAGATGGATGGAGACAATGGCGACGACAACGACGCTGGCGAGCTCACTGGCTCCTCACGCAAGCGCCGGCGCAGCCGCAAAGGTCTGGACCGCAAGTTCTTGTGCCCTCACGAAGGCTGCGGCAAGAGCTATTCCAGAGCCGAGCATCTGTACCGTCACCAACTGAACCACAACCCAAAACAAATCTACCACTGCGACTTCCCGGACTGCCACCGCTCCTTCGTCCGACAAGACTTGTGTGCGCGACACAAGGAGAGGCATACCGCGCGAGGCTCCCAGCTACTGCGCAAAGACACCTTCATGCAGAATCTCAACCCCATTGTGACGGCCGCAATGGCCAACAAGAGCGGCTCGACTGGCAAAAATGGCCCCATGAAGAGCTCCCCGGTATAGAGAAACCCACTTCCCACTGTTTTGTTCGGGATGCTCACTAACATGACACAGACACAGCATTCCGAGAGGCCTTATGGACTGCAATCACCCTCGTCTGCGGTCTCCAACCTCCCAGCATCTGCAACACAAATGTCGCCGCCGCATCAGTTCTCGCCCGTGTCCAGCATGGGACGCTCCGATTCCATCAACAGAGCTGGCAGCGATGAGTCCTATCGCAGCAACAATCCAGATGCTAAGCCTTATGATGTGCAGACCCAGAGCCCTGGGACCTTCGTGGCCCCGCCCCGTCCCTCCACGTTTTCCACCTTTGGCAACGGGCGGTCGCAGCTACACAACTCCCCTCACATGGGCAATGGCAACTTCCAAAGACCAGAACTGCGCGCCCAAACCTCCAACATTTCATCGTACGGATCCAGCTCACCTTACAATTCGGCCGTCACCCCGTCGCAGTCGTACCCAACATCGGCATCAACTTCGTACCAGGGCAATTCTAACAGTGCGTATCAAACCCAGCAAACCTTTCCTCCACTCACATCCTTACCTCCTCCAGAATATCCCCAGCAGGCAGGCGCGCCCGCGTCAAAAGACGACGGCCAGTATTACAATGGATCGGCCGGACAGACACCCATGAACGGTGTGGAATCAACCGCCCAGCAACAACTCGACACTCGAATGAACGGCGTATCAGAAGCCATCATGGACCAAACAGCGTCGTATGCCATGCCCATGTTCGGAGGCGAGGGGTATAGCCGATCACCATTCGCAATGGCCGACGATTTCGCCGCCTGGCTGTTTAACGATTCCCAATTCGGCCCCGGTGCATCTCCGATGGCTTATCAGGCTGGCTCCGCCGCCATGACTCAAGCGGGCGCCTCGGCCCAGATAGGGCTCCAAGCAGCGTACTTCAATTATGACCCAACGGTCTCAGGCTCAGTTCACTTCAATCCCGCGCCTCCATCGCATCCTATGGCTGTGACTAGTATCCTGGACACATCACTGCCAGAGTCGGCCTTGTCCGAAGAAAAGCGCAAGGACCTACTCTACTTGATCTCTGACCGCTTCAATGAGACGGACCATGCCCCGGTCAAGAAGCAGAAAGAGGATTTGCTCGAGGGCAACAAAGAGGATGATCACCACGTTCTGAGTCTGCACATGATGCAAAACTACATTGGCTCATACTGGATCCATTTCCATCCACAACTTCCCATCTTGCATAAGCCGACGTTCAATGCGACCTCGTGTCCCGATCTGTTACTGCTCTGCATCATGTGTCTTGGTGCATCGTGCCTGGAGAAGAGTCACGGCCAAGAAGTCACGCAAGCGTGCTCCCAACTTTCCAACTTCCTGGCCTGGCATCTTCGTTGGGAAATTTTCATGGACGCCGATTTCCGTCCTCCGGCGAAATTATGGGTGTTCCAAGCGCTTCTTCTTCTCGAAGTGTTCGAGAAAATGTACTCCACTCGTCCTCTCCACGAGCGAGCACATATCCACCATGCCACCACCCTCACCCTGATGAGGCGAGGAAGCTCGCTGATCGGCCGGTCTGCGATGGACTCTCCTCCCAGCGTCAAGGACGGCAAGGGTGGCACCCCCATGAACACGCCAGATGAGTGGTGGAATCACTGGATCACCAATGAAGCAACGAGGAGGGCAGCTTTTGCAGCATTCGTCATGGACAGTATACACGCCACCATGTTTGGCCATAGTGCCGTTATGGTTGCCCATGAAATGCGTCTTCCTCTTCCTTGCGACGAGGCTCTTTGGTCTGCAACAAGCAGCTCCGAGGTCGGCCGGATTGAGACGAGTCTGCACAACAACGGTATAAAACACACGACGTTCCTGGATGGACTGAAGAAGACATTGAATGGTCAAACTGTCCGAACAAACTCCTTTGGCAGGACGATCCTAATGGCGGGCTTGCTCAGCGTGTCGTGGCACATGAATCAGCGTGATCTGCAAGTCAGTTCACTTGGTGTTTCTCAAGCTCTGGGTGGGCGGGACAAATGGCGAGGGTCGCTCACGCGAGCATTCGATTTCTGGAAGCAGGACTTCGATACTTCGCTTGCTCGGCCAAACGATACCAACATCTCTTCTGCGCACAACTACTCCAACATCGAAGACGATGATATCGTCTTCGAGTCGCGGACCGTACTCCACCACTTGGCTCACATGGCCATGCACGTTGATATCGTCGACTGCCAAATCTACGCTGGTGCCAGCAGACTGCTCGGTCGTTCCATCACGCCACAGGACTACAATGGTGCCCAGAAAAGGATGAAAGACCACTGGGCTCCGACTGCGAGAGCCCGAGATGCAACCTTTTATGCTCTCCATTTCCTGTCCAAGGTTTTGGTTACGGAGAGTTCTCCGGACAGACCTTATTATGCTCGCGACGACATCCTACTAAACAGGCCTTGGGTTCTGTACTTCGCCACGCTCATCGTATGGTCCTATGGATACGCACTTGATGGCCCTGTCCAGAGTCCATATATCCTGACTAAATATGAAGACAAAGTCACTGACATGGTTCGCTTCTTGGAACGGGTGGGCGGTGTCCGCGGCCCCGAAGACCTTGCACATGTGTCCGCCCGCAACGCCTGTCTTGGCCTCCTTCTTCTCATGCGTGACATGTTCAAGAAAACGAGGTGGGAGCTACTGCATGAGGCCAGCAACTTGTTGAACAAGTGCATCGAGAAGCTTGTCCCTGGTGCAGCGAGCATGTGAATCTAGACTCTTCAGGCTGTTGATGGCCCCCTTTTTATTCCCTCTCCTCCGCTCTTTCTCTCGCCCTACATCTTGGTTTAAGTTGACACTTCGGTGTACACATTTCTTGCTCTCTTTCGCGTCACTACCCTTTGCACGATTCCACCGGATTCTCCGACGATAATCTCTTGTTTTATTCCTACTCTTTTTTCGGCATCACCTGGGCATGCAATCCGATTGATTTGAACGTTCTAGCGAGGCGAACTCTGTGTTGGTATTTGCGCTCTGTACACATAGCGGAGAGGCTCCGGAAGAAGATTCCTCTATTCCCGTTGTTGAGTCATTTCATTGCAATCAGCAGAACTCTCATTCTCTGAGCTAATGTGCGCGCATATGTTATTTTGATGAGGCGATGCAAATTTGGGAGGCCGCAGTCAAGCATCAGTCATTTGTTCTTTTATACTTGTTTCCGTTTCCTCGTTGTGAGTGATTGCGGTAGTGGAGGGGATGTTTCCTGTTTGTTATACCCAAAAAGCCGTGCGGTTGTTGTCGTTGTCGAGATATTCGAATCTCAGACCATTTCTTGTTCACTTGCCCATAATTGCGGGTGTGTCTCAACGTCCTATACGTCATATAAACAAGTATACATTCGCACATCGTATTCCATAGGGAGCATGTTTCTACCCTCTTGCAGACCCCCGCACACTGTCATGACCCCCACCGGCCCCTCTCCCCCCACACTGTCTAGGTATATATGCTTTGTCTATGTACCTGTTTTCTCTAGCCCCCGCGACCCGCCCCGTCCCGCCCCCACGCCTTTCCTAGCCACGGGCCCCTGGCCGCTAGCTAGCCGAGTCGGACGCTCTTGGCTCTTCTTTTTTCCTGCTCACTTCTCCCCTTAGTGCGCATAGCTAACATCACTTTATTATACCGACCCATCCATCTCACCATTTCCCAAGGTGCCCTGCTGACACACCTGAATAATGGCCAAGACTAAGGCGAAAAAGAGTGCTGTTAATGGTAGCAGCAGCATCTGGAGTCGTAAGAGAGATTTGGTCTATCTTGTCTTCTTTTTGGTGCACGTTCCTGTCATGCTGTGTAAGTTCTTTTTTTTCGGTCTTTCTTCTTTCTTTCTCGCTGTCTCTACTTCTTGTATAAGATTTTCTATTGGGAGAGAGCGATGAGAGCCGAGTTCCCGTTTTCGATATTTGAAAAGATTGTTTCTCCCGTAGAGCTGAACAAGTATGGTCGCATTCTTTCGGCGGATGATTTAATTTTTATATATCTATTGGTCTGCTCTCTCTATCTCCAACTTCTTTTCCCTACAAGGAAATGTATCTGCAAGGAAAAGCGAACAAGGATGAACAAAAAGCTTGTATACTGAACTAATTCAAAAAGGTTTCGACCTAACACACTACTACCCTTCCCCCATTAAACCAACCTGGATGACCTCGCTGCGAACATGGTACATCGCCACCTACGGCGACCGTTTCTTCTATGCTCCACCGTAAACATCCCCCTCCCGCTCCCCCATTCTATTTCAACTCTAAGCTAATGCCTTGAAACAGCGCATACTTCCCCCTCTTCACCCTCCTCGAACTAACCTATCACCTCCCCTTCACGCTCTGGGCCATCCCGGCCCTCGTCCGCAACGATCCCCGCATCCCCCTCGCGCTGCTCGTCTTTGGCCTTGAAACGAGCTTGACCACTTTTGTGTGTTTGGCGGATATGCTGAGTTGGGCCGAGTTGAGCAGTAAGCAGAGAGGGTTTGAAGGGTTGGGCGGCATGTATGGCGGGTATGCTGCGCTCGGTGAGTCGATTTCTTCCATATCTTCGGTTTCTGATTCCTTTTTTGTCTTAATTTGATTGTGGAGGCTAACGCGTTACGACTGTCATGTGTGTGTAGCTGTTTTTATGGTTGTGGATTGCTATCTTCGTCTTGATGCGATTTTGGCGAGGCAGAAGGGGATTGCGCCTGTTACGGAAAAGAAGACTAGGTAAAGATGATTTTGCGGTTCATCAATTTCTGCAGTTACGGATAGACGGACACACGAATAAGGTGACGGTAGTGGTGATGGTGGTTGTACATGCGTGGAGCTGGTAAATCGAATCCAGGATGAGTGGGTGTGAGTGAGTGAACGAACTGAGCAATTTTCTATACACGGCTCCGAAAATGATAACACAAACCCGGTGCGGTATTGATATACTTCCTCAATCTCAAAGTATAGTAAACAAACGAAATTGAACGGAATTTCTCGTATTTGAGAAAGTTTTGGTGGCTTTTTCTTCTTGTTTTGGTTGGACCATCAATTCACGCACGACTACAAATCCGAATGCCTACCCATCTCCATCCCCCCTCCCCGCACTCCAATTTCCAACAATCCGTTCATTACATGCAGAATCATGTCCCTCTGATATCATACGCAAAAGCTGCAACCATGTACATACGTACCAATCAACCCCGCATCGTGTTGTACTTCGCGGTGTATATGAAGCGGGGATCCGGCTACCCACACACATGTACATATCTGTGCAAAACCTTTTTCCTTCCCGCCTCCTAAAGACATTGAGAACAACCAAGGAAAGTAACGTCAGTCTTTCTTCTTCTTTATGTACTCTATCCCGCGATTAAGAAAGCAACAGACATTGAGGAAAGAAAATCCGTGCATGGTTGAGTCCAAAACAGCGCAGGGGGAAGACCAGAGCCCAATGATAAAGGATTGGAGAAGGGGAATAACTGAAAGGACCGATTAAAGGGCGGCGTGATTGTTTGGGGTTGCTTTTGCAAAACTGTTACTTACTCACATCGCAAAATTTGTCGTTCGATTTTACGAAGGATCGAGGTGCAAGGCCGACAAGCGATTACTACTACACTTGCTGCGACTTGGTACTTATTCCCATCTACGAAGACGACGATAAGACAGAAGAAAAAAGAGTCATACCCGAAGCTTGTTCAACCACATTCATCGATCCATTCGTTGAGGCCCCGATATCACCTTCTACAATCTACATTTCCTTTCCCAAACCCTCAACACGACGATACAGACCGCTCTCACCTTCTCTCTGGACAAACAAAAGAACAGAACAGGGGCGAAGAAAGACAAAAATGTCAACCACCCAAACTCCGCTCCGAACCACCCTCCTTAAAACAACCCGACGCTTCCTCGCAACCTTCTCCCCTCCCTCACAGTCTTCCCCACCAACGACGAGCACCGACATCAACCCCGAAAATCTGCTATCAACGACTTCAAAAACCTACACACACACCATCGGCCCGACATCTTCCTTGCCTTCACACGCGTCGTCAGCTCCCAAATCCGCGCAAGAATTCATACAGCATCTTAACTCCATGAGTTCTTCTTTCGACAAGACATCTTTCAGAATCGTGAAACACGGCACTGGGTCTAGTGCGGAAGAGGACGATGGGATTATGGTTGATGAAGTGAAGAAGGTGGTTGTGGTGAGTGTAGCGCATAAGATGGTTGTTAAAGGGAGATCGTTGAGTGTGGGGGAGAGGACGGTGGAGAATGAGGTTACGTGGTGGTTGTGGTTCAGTGAGGATGGAGGGGTTGTGAAGAAAAGTCACGAGGTGCTTGATGGGGTTGCGGCGAGAGAGGTGGGGAGGCTGGTTGGAGTGTGGAAGGGCGAGGTGGAATGAAGGAAAGGGGGTGGACTAGGTGGAATTTGTGGGGTATGTGGATTATATTGGTACATGGGATATGATGTTTGGTACGTGGAGAGCCACAAGGTAGCGGCTGGGGTATTTAGATAACGAAAATAGATATACAAAATGAAGGCGAGTCCACGGCGCTCCGAAAGTGACGGCATGGTTCGGTCGTGCTCACACCGGAGAAAAATTCGCTTTTCCTTCGGATGTTGTATCTTTCTCAAAATCGACCACTTTCTCTTCTTCCGCCTCCCCCTCCTCCGTGTCGGCCGAACCTCTCCGAAGCTCCGTTCAGTCTCTCACTGCCAGAGGCCGCAGCACCCATCATGCTCATCCTTTTCAGCGGGCTACCATCTCGCCTTGGAGTACCCTGAATTCTCTCCCCTTGACCACCTAGACTGTCTCGTCCTCGGTCCTCTCTTATGAAATTTGTGGACGCCGCTTTGCGGAGTGGGGAGTTAGCGTGGGAGTACACACCCAGACTGCCACCATCTCCTGTATTTGTGGGACGAAACGTGGGTTGCTGACGAAAAGGATTCGGTGTATGTGAAGGACGGATCGGAGACGAGAAATCGGCACCGGTTGCAGTGGTCGTGGATGTGTATTTAGAGATTGAAGCTCCGCGGTGGCGAGACGGGGTTCGGGTGTGCCCGACGTTCTCTGGGTCGTATTGTGAAGCATAGCTGACGTTTGGATTCGTCTTGAATGAGCGATTAAGAATAGTTGTTGGTGTATAAGTCACGATTTCCGAGGCAAGGTCATCACTGCTGCCACGAACGCCAACGCTCGAATCTCGGGTCGTTTTTCGTGAGATAGTTTGGATGCCAACGTCTCGGCATACCTTTTGAGTATTGGGATGAACGAACTTATTGTCGTATTCATGGAGGACTTCGCGGCGGATGATGTCGTTGTCTTTTGTTTGCTGAGCGAATGAAGATCGGAAGAGCCAAAGTTGGAAGGAAAGAAAAGTACCCAGTACGACCGTGGTGAAGACTTTGACGCTCGGTTGCGGGTCCAGCGGCGCTACTGGAAGTGTGAGATAGTAGAGAATGACGTGTAAAGGATTGAAAAGACAGTAGATGTCCAGGCACAGCGGGTTCGGATTCCAGATCGCGATTTCCCAGACATCGCGCCCAGCATCCGGATGCGCTCTCGACTCCGCTGAAGTAGCGCTTATGATATTCCTCAAATAATAGAGAGGACTACCCGTGGACGGGGAGGAATCGACGCGCACACGTTGCGCGGATGGGGTGGCGGGACCGTTTTCGATTGGCTGTTCGAACAGCCTGTAGTGTCTCTTTCGGTAGAAAGTGAAGAAGGCATTCATGAATGCCAGACCGGAAAGACCCAGAACGAGAAGCCTACAGAACCAAGCAAACCAACCGGGACCGTTGGTGCCGCCCATGAGCACATCATCGTCGCTCTCGGATCTGCGGGATGCATTTGCCTGTGCCACAATGAAGACCAGGTTCAACGCAAATCCGATGATACGGGAGTGCTCCTTTGCAAAGTCTTCCCAGTCTTCAGAGTCCAGTTTGTCTGAGACCCATATATACCAATCCTCAGGATCGATCCAGGATTTGATGCGCTCAGCCAGTGGCCGCTGGCGAACGAGGCGAGGCATTTCGGATGCTGTATGATGGTGGGTTCGGATCGGGGAAGGATTTCGAATAAACAAGTGAGAATTATTATATTAGTACCGAGAAGACTATATGGTCACTCCATCTTACTGAGGTGGATGTCCGCGCAAAGAAAAAAGAAGATGGAAAGCTGTTTGCGGGATAAACAAAGGTCCCACTCGGACATAGTTTAGCCGGAGCTTCGCCGAAGCCGCCGCATGACGACGGTAGCTTAGCAGCAAGCTCCGTTGGTGGACATCGTGCCTGCGCATGAGTGAAGAGTACGCCACGACTACCAATACATACAGCGAACAGTCATGGCGGCTCCAGCATCTCAATACAAAGACCGGCAGTTTCTCGCTGTCATTGGCGACGAGGTATTTTCTGCGCAAAAACGCATTTGAAGCTCCGCTAACCGCAACACCAGGACACTGTGACTGGAATGCTGCTCGCGGGCGTCGGCGTATGACCACCTTCCGCTATGCTGCACCAAATTTTACTGACGAGGTTCATAGCATGTTACCCAACCTCCAGACTCACAAAAGAATTTTCTCATCGTAGACGCCAAGACGCAGAACGCTGATATCGAAGCTGCATTCGACCGCTTCGTTACTGAGCGCAAGGACATCGCCATTTTGTTGATAAACCAGCACGTACGTTCACCTTTGCAGAATGAGCAGTATTGCGTGTCTATTTTGAAGGGTGGGCTGTGGCTGACAACAGCAGATCGCTGAACGGATAAGGCACCGAGTCGAGACCTACACTGCCGCCTTCCCCTCACTACTCGAGATCCCATCCAAAGACCATCCCTACGACCCCGAGAAGGACAGTGTGTTGAAGCGTGTCAGGAGACTGTTCGGGGAGTAGGCATGCAGTGTGTGCGCAAGATAGCTGAGCGGAACTTTGTTCTCATGTACAAAGCGACGTCACCTTATAAGATATCCACGAATGTACACCCACATCTGCGTTATTGGACTTGGAACTGCCCATTGCTTTCATAAATACATGACTATACGTAAGAATAACAGACCCTGCAAATGCTTATCCGATGTAATGATGGAACTGGGATATCTTGCTCATTCGCCCGAAAACCGTAACGCTAAGTGCCTTTGGATAAGTATTACAATCCTCCACAAATGTGACCAGTCGCACCCATGCATGTACATATACCTAGAGTATTGGGAAAGAATACACACGTGCGGGCGAACTAGAGCTCGTTCCGGAAACGATCCTGCAGGAAGTTTACACCAGGACCGGATAATTGAAATTTCCGCTTTCCGACTTTCACAGATCTAGATTTGCAACTCAGATACCGCCATGTTCCTTATCGACTCGTTCAGATCGAACCGCCCTGGAGTGTTTACCGGTGGAAAGTGATTTTAGAAGTCAAGCAGGTGATTTTCTTCTTATCGTTATCGTAGACATCAGCAAGGACGGTGTATGTGCCCTACGTCTCGGATTAGTATGTGGCCGAAAGTATAGAGCGTCTGCGTGCCAAAGAGGGATATATGGGTGAGCGGCGTACCGGAGGAATTTGGGCGGGAAGGTCCACATCCTTGGTCAACTTCATTTCGCCCTTGTCGAGCGGGCATTTCAAGTCCGCCTTGCCAATTGTCTCACACAGATCGGCATCCTGATTGATCAAGGTGATCAAGCCGTACTTGACCTGAAGATGCATTGTGCCACCCTCAATCTTCTCTTTGAAGTTGCCCTTGGCCTTGATCGTAAGAGTTGATCCTCTGCATTTCACTACGTTAGTCTGGACCCTAGTATGTTGGTAGAACACAAGCTTATCGAGTCGTCGCCGAGGCAACTGCCCGCATTTGTTCCTGTGCAGTGGCAAACGTACGGTTGAGGAGGATTTGGGCTCAAGTCCACATTCTCGATCTCGAGCAAATCGTCTTTCGGGTCGGCGCAGAAGTTCAGCGGGTTGTCTCCAGGAACCTTGAAGTCGTCCTGGATGGTCACTTGGCCGGGCGTCCAAGCGGGCTGTGCTGAGACAGCGGCGACACCAACAGCGGCGACGAGCACGGAAGAAAACTTCATGGTATCTTGGAGGTGGGTATCGAATGCGTGGGGTTGTTGTGGAGGAAGTGTGGAGGAAGAATGCCTCTAGAGTCTTCGGGTACGATAGAGGACGTCGATTGAGGCTGCCGCTATCGCCAAGACCCACTATGCGTCATGGTTGGTCTCGTGCACCAATAAACTAGGCTGTGTTTGGGCCCTGCATGGCGAACTCAAGTTTGTCTTTCACCACACTCGCCTTTCATGCGCTGGACGATCCATGGGAAGCATGTGCGAGGGAGCTCGTGCCTGTGTCGGGCTTGTCTCCGAAAACTCGTTCCACGTCTACCTATCTCAACGCATCACTCCACCATGTACGCTACAAAACTGTCGCAGTGCTTCGCCTCGCGTCGCCCAAGCTTGCATCCCGAACACCACATGGCAACCAGGCGAAAAGGCAGATCTTATCTTATCTTATCGTGCGACATGTCTTCGAAATACATGACGTCGACTACAAGCCACTGAACAGATACGATAATGGACACATGCAGATTCGACCTGTAGATGCACTGCGCTAACACAAATAGGACCCATGGTGTTGAGTGCAGAGCGGGACAAGTACATAAAGCTTGTGATGATGTGTCCAACCGCTTTCATAATTTGACTCTAGAAGGATCAACAAAGTATGTAGCATCGGGATATCGCATTCGGGCCCCGTAATCAGGACATCTCCTTCATGAATAGCTTTTCATCTCTACCTAAGTCTCATCTCGCATTTGACCGTTCAATATCATCAAGCCCAGGGATCAAGAACCAACTTTTTTCCGCTGACCCGATCTTCAATCATATCATCGAGCGCCTTCTGAACACTGCCCAAACCACCTGCCAATTCCTCCTGTCTTGTCGGTACAACTGCACCAGTCTTCAATCCCTGAGGAACATAAACTTCGAACAACCACTTCTTCAAATCCGCATGCGCAGGCTCTTCGAGTGCGAAGCTATACGGCGCAAACTTCCTCTCAATGTTTGCAGGTGTCTCGCGAGTCCCGGGAAGAGGCGGGATGAGCGAGTTGTAAGAGACGGGTCCCGAACCTAGGGTCTCGAGATATCCGACCACAGCATCCGTGGCGGCGGGTGTACCGATGGTGTCGAAGATGGTATCATAGGGGCCGTGAGATTTAAGTGCTTCAATGATTTCTGAAGTGGGCTGACGATGGTCGATGATCTCTGCGGGGCCCAGACTTTGCACGAAGTCGCGGTGTGCTGGAGAAGAGGTAGTGATTACCGTGTAGCCAGCCTGTGCAGCGAAGCGGATGGCGAGACCGCCGCAAGAACTAGAGCCCCCATAAATGAGCACCTTTTTGTTCTTGCTTCCAGATTTGGCCTCGGAGGACACGTCTGGACGATCCAGGCCAAGATGGATTGTGAGTGCGCAAACAACAGCGGCGGCGTTGAGCACCGTCGCAGATGCTGCGTGAAGGGGGATCGATGGATCGAGCTTCACAATGGAAGACGCGCTGGCCAGAGCAAACTTCTGGTATGCTCCGAACTTAGGTTCACCCAGGTTCTTGGGGGAACGGATGCTGGTGACATTGTCTCCTACACTGAAATCCTTGACATCAGGTCCAACAGCTTCAATGGTGCCTGCAAGTGAGGATCCCAGAATATTAGGATAGGGAATAGGGTGAGTAGCGAATCTAGTTGTTCAGTCAGTTTGATGTTGCCAATATTGGGGTGATGTCTATCTTGTTGAACAGGGAGGGTGGGGTCACATGCCTCTGAACTTTGGCTTCGATGGGGCTGAAGGCTATGCTTCGAACTTTCACAAGCACCTCGTTGGATTTGGGTGTGTATTTCTCTGCATCCCTAATCTCAATCTGAGCCTTCGGAGCTGGAATCACAGCTGCTTGGTTTGCCATGTTTGGTATAAGGGTAGATGAGATCTTGAAGATTAGGGGGTATTTTGCTTGTATCTTGAATTCAGTCGGGAATTTGAGAAGTAGTTGATGATGATAATAAGACAATTGTTGGTACTGATCGCCTTTGCTTTTATACTTTAACGCTGCTTCAAGCCTACAGGCCCTTCTGTACCACAAGCCATATCACGCACTTCAGGCTTCCCATTCCAAGCCATTCCACCCTCAAACCACAATTCCGTTATCACCAGCGTGGACATCGTCACCACAAAACGAGCGTTAAGTCCGTTCCATAGTATGTCTCGGCCCCGCTCAAGAGAATGACAGTCAGCAACCCACGGCTTTGTCAGCCATCGCGATTATCAGATCCCCGAAAGTCTAGCCAATCAACGGTACGCTTAATTCCACTATGTGGCCAAATACCCAGGAAATAATTCCCATCTTCAATCTTGCACCAATCAATGGCTGCGGATATATACTTTTAGTATACTCATTTATCGGAGAGACCTTGCTTTGTGTTAGATTGAGGAAGATGGCGTTTACGCCCCATGCGGCTTGAGGGGCTTGTTGTAATACGCCCCGGACTAAGGACGCGGTCGATTTGTAAACAGTATGCAGTAAGAAACAGCACATGGTGTACCAGAGGCTCTTACGGTATACAATAGAAACCTTCGGTAACAGTTCAAGACGATCCTCTCTAGCCAAGACAAACAAGAATAAGAAAACGGGATGACTCCCTGATACCATAGAGTTGCGCAAATAACAGGCACACCGTGATCTTTAGTGAGTCACGACTTTGGGTGTTATTGTTAGTTTTCTGACACAGTAGGCATCCTTACCGCGATTCTTGGTGTTGGGGATTGCTGAATTTTAACTGTATAACGTTAGTAACTAGGGCGCGGTGTGCCTGTTATTTGCGCAACTTTACGGTAATGTGAATGTCCGAACGGAACAGGACATCTTGTAACGATGATATAGTTCAGGGCGTACCCTTCTGCGTCTCCAACACGACAGCACGATCATTGCTCTTGCTACTCTTCTTCATACTTCTTGTGCTCAATGCGCTCCGAATGCAATCGCTACAAGGTATATAACTTTGAAAGCGCCAACATACGCCTCCTTTACAGAAAGCGTGGCTGCCTGTATCATCGGCTGGTTGATCCCGGATATCTTCGCGTAGGCCACCGAGGTATTTGTTTCTGTGGCATCTAACAGCTTCTGGAAATCGCCTTGGAAACCCAACCCCTCGATGTTGTGTTGAAAAGTAGGTGCAATGTTAGACGCATACCTAGATGTATAGATGGAAACGTAAACACTGGTAGCGACAGCGCCACCAATAAGTCGAAACGTGGATATCAAACCAACGGCGACGCCGATGTCTCGCTGATCGTCAAGGCCTAGGCTGACCATGTCAAAGCTTAGCGGACTGGGGGGTAGGTTGCACGTTGCGACTAGGATGACAGTAGCAATTGCTTGCATTTTGACTTCCATGCCGATGCTCGCCATCGATCCAATCAATGCTGTCTGCGTTGTGATGAACGCCATGAGCTGCCATCTTTCGTGCCCGATCCATGGCATGGTTCCAGAACAGTACCAACCGGCTATAATGGTACCAAAGGAAACCATATTGGCGTAGACTCCGCGGATAATCGTCTCATTCGAGTTGAGGAAGAGCAGCGTTGATTGCCGGGGCCAGATTACGTTCATGCTGTAGTAGAGCATCCCCGCGATAAAGCAGACGACTAGCAAGGAGGAGAAGTCCCGCCATTTCTTGAAGAGATTGGGTGGGAGGATAGGGTATTTCAAGTTGCCGTAGACTTCTCAGAAAGCAAGGAGGATGAAGCAAACTACAGAAACTAAGATGGGAGCCAGGACGTGGCTGCTTTTCCAGGGATATGCCACTCCAGCCTATATGAAAAATCGTTGTTGCAATATCACATATCTATCTTGAATAAGTCTTGACTACGGAGAGTCGGATCAACATTACGGGGACCCCTATTAGGGAAGACGGGAAGAAGTTGAAGGTCCTCTCAGATTCACTTACCCAGTCCAACCCAAGCAGTAACAGAAGACAGGATGCCGCGAACAACCACAGTTCTACATGATCCAACTCTTTGACCAATTGACATTTGCTCTTCCCATCATCGTTGTGCATGGTGTCGAAGGTCGGCGGGTGGTAGAATACCCATAACATGATCGTTGTCGCAACTTCCCAGCAAAATCACCACCAGTAAAAAGCTCGCCATCCAATCCTGGAGTATTCGACGAAAACATAGCCAAGAAGCGGTCCAATGCTGCTGACATGATTTGCAAGAATCATAATCCCCAGCGCAATGAAGCGGTATCGATTCGGAACTAACTCTTGTGCGCAGGCGAAGCACATCTACGCACACGTATCAAAATCAGTAGATGATAAATGGAGCAAAAACTTTTCAGAAAACAGAATTTTGGAGCATTGAATTGACCAGGAGTGCACAACATAGCACGAGAACACACATACCTCTTGGAAACCCCCCACCAAATCCAAACAACACCCCCGCTTCTATCATTTGCAGGATTGACTGACCAGTGGCACCCACGAGCGCGCCAATTGCCGCCTATAACGCCCCTGTGAGCAAGAACCAGCGTCGACCGAAGATATCGGCCAAGCGCCCTCCAACTGTTACGATGATGGCTGCTCCGACATTCCACGAGACCGTGATCCAAGGATACCGCGGGTCAGGCTCTAACTCGGCGTTGATATAGGCAAGAACTGCCGCGGGCATGATGAGGGTGAAAAGATAAGATTCGTACATCATCATTAAGGACTTATCGGGGAATTAGTTAGCGATGAATCCATGAGTTAATAAATGGATTTAAGGGAAGAAACTGTGAAAGTCGTGGATGAGGTCGCGATTGAGCATGAAAAGAACATTATATCCCCGGAGGTTCGATCGGATTCGAAGATATAAATGAAAATAACTCTTACCAGAACAGCCATTTTTGTCTTGAACGAGACCCGTGGCCGTACACCCTCATCACTCGCCTCTTACCCATCCTTTAATGAAAGCGCAGGGTCGTGGATGTCATCCATATTGTGCACTGAATGTTCTTCCATGGCAGATTTCTCCATCTTAAGGGTCGCCATGTTTCTGAGATGAATTATTTTTGATGCCGTTAGCCCAAGGTTTGACCCGATGGTGGTGTCCCGCAGCGCTAAATAGCTGAACTTTGTTCAGCTTTTCGGTAGCGAGGTTCCGAAAACACCACGACTGACGACCACAAGATTGAAGTTAAGTGCGAAGTTTGCCTGGCGATGTGAAAACTTTTATGAAAGAGTCAGCAAGAGCTCATGTGCATTAGGTGCGGTAGGAGAACTGCTCACCAAATAGAGCCAAATAGTATCTGTAGGAGTTCTTTCCACGCCTTAACTAAATTCAAACTTCGCTTCAAGGTTCATTCCAGACATTGATTCAGCGGGCTTTGAAGAGCAATGGAAGAATTGATGGCGCAATGCTGATTGATGGTTGGATATCAGGAGAAACGCGATATGAAAAAGAAGGTCGCCCGAGTAGAAGTGCTGCTACAAGGAGGATGCAGTAGTAGATATTATATAGCCAGTTTAGACAAATTAAAAACAATTGTGGAGAAGTCCGATGCGTGCTGGACAAAAACTATAAAGTACGATCTTACGGGTGAACTGTGGTAACCTTGTCGCAGTCGCGGACTTGAATATGTTTTAGAGCCAATCTGAGGGTCTGTAGTTCACACTGAGCGTGCTTGTGTGAGGTGGCGCAAGCCGTCGCGGAAAAAAAGACCCGGATACAAGGGATATGCTAGTGTCGACGACGGTTCATCGCGAGGCATAGGCACGGTAGATTTCTTAGAAGCGGGGAACAACTATCTCGTTTCGACTTAGTCTTTTTTGGTCGTGTCCTCTGCCCACATATTTCTGTGTACGCGGGATGGGAATATCTGGCGATAGTAAGTGCCGTACAAATCGCTGTTCTTTATTGACGGAAAACGTGTGGATCGAAAACGTTCCAACTTCGGCAATATTCACGACTTTGGAATTCATCATCTTTCATACTTTCCACGGTACAAATATACATTATCAATCTCCAATATGACCTAGGTCTCCCAACTACCATGGAACCGGGCTTCCATCAAAGCGATAGAACTTTCCACTATCCTCCTTCTTCAATCCGCCTACTACCTCCAACATACCCGCAATACTGACTTCAGGCTCAACCATGGCACCTTTCCCTCCCATTCTCGTCTTAACCCATCCGGGATCCATGCATATAACAATGACATGATATCTCTTTAAATCTCTCGCTTGGTGCAAAGACAGCATGTTCTGCGCTGCCTTGCTTATCGAGTATGTACAACACTTTGGCGTGTCTGTTGCTACCTTCAGACTTCCTAGTCCACTCGTCAAATTCATGACGATCGCGCCTCGCGAGAGGTACTGCTTTAATGTCTCCACGATCTTCGCTGGACCGAGTACATTGATGTTCATGTGGTTTTGGAGCGAGACGGGATCCATTGAAAGCGACGTATCCGATGATGTGGCATTGATTCCAGCAATGTTGAATAGATAATCTAGGTTTGACCCGTTCTTCGACAAGATCTCTGCGACCCGGAATTCAAGACTGGCGATGGAGTCGGTGGAGGACACATCGCATTCGATGATGTGAATGTTGTTCTTGTATGTGAGGGACTTGAGGTCATTAATGTCGCTTTTTAATGAGCGTACCCCGGCGATGATGGTGTTATTGGGGTTGGTAGATATTTGGCGGACGAATTCGAGACCAATGCCACGATTGGCGCCCGTGAGGAAATAGGTTGGCATCGTTTGTGGTTGGAGTCTAGTTTCTGTCGTTTATCGAGAATGATTGGGCTCAAGATGACTTTGGTGTTCTTCTCGGCTTTTATGGACGTTGGGTTGGTCGTTTTGGGATGTTTCGTTTCGCACAATCGGCCAATTATACTTCGTCTTGATACTTGGCTTATGGTATTTTCTATGTTGGTAAAGTTAAGGTGTTATATAGGGCTGTCAGAAAAAGTAATAGTGATGATATCAGTCCCTATATAGTTATCCGCTATTCAACCACATTTTATATGCATTTGAGCCACAATGCTGTATACCGGATATATGAAACCGGTTAATTGACAAGAGCGCAGCCAATCGGTGGGTGCGTTCATGCAAACCACTACCTCATGTTACATAGTCACGACATCATCATGCACAGCAGTTTACGTTTTGGATGTCAGACAAGTGGATTGTTCAAGCGATGATGGCTCTCAGTGACATACTGTTTGTTTACCCCCTTAGGCACTACGGGGCAGGGGGCGTCAGAGAATGCGCACGTTCATTACAAATTTCAATGTATCGTGTGACCCATCGACTGAACGATATATTTGAGTATCAGATGTGGATATGCTGTAATGCTGTTTGATCTGCGTTCTTGTGTGAGAGACTAGCAGGCCGTTTGGTCTAAGAATGGGCGCTAGCGTGGGCGAATACACAAAATAAAACTTAAACCCACTGCAGAATGGGCTCGCATGACTTGCGAATTGCTCCTTGCCAACCTAGCGAGTCTCGTGAAAGTATGTTTGTTACAAAGTCAAACATATACAGCCCGTTTGTTCAGGTACCTACCGATTTCTGTGAATTGGAACTGGCAATTTCTACAGTACCCACGGCTCCTCGATTTCACGCATAACCCCTTGATACCACGAGTCGAACTATATTTATTCCGCGAGAGAGAGAGAAGTTTCTCATACCTATGCTGCCAAGCATGTGGTGAAGCGAGGATCGTAGAGTAGAGCCCAGAGTCGAGGGTGGAAGGGAAGTCCAAATTGCTAGCACCAGAAATTCAACACCAACATCCTCGAAGAAAGATAAGAAAACATAGCGAGGAACATGTCACAACAGGTTGTGCGGCTGTGTCAGCCTGCCTTCGCAATTGCAGCTAGATTGCCTCGGTGAATTCTGATCGCTGCCTAGAGAACACACTAAGGCGAGTCGCTTAATGATTTCCAACGCCCTACGGGCTTATCCACTGGTATAGGTCATGTCAATATACTATTCAGGCATAGTAAGTGCCCCATTCGGTTATACGGCTCGCTCGCTGTAGTTCATTCACGTAAAAATCAATAGTGAAAAAAACACGTAAAAATCGATAGCTGTTGTTCATAAGCGCTTTGAGTACTCGGGTCTATTGGTATGTGAGCTTGCCTCCAAGGATTGGCGCACTTGTCATAATCATACAATGCAAGAGCAGTCTAAAAGAACAGCTGGAGTAAGATACTGTGCACGCGAACATGAAATGGCTACTTCTTTTCGCGGCACTGGTCGCTGCGCAAGAGGCAACGCTGACAAACGATGTCACGCCTCCTCTTGCAACCCATAAACCTACGCCAGGAGCACTGCCGACATTCGAGATTGATGTGATATACCCGCGAGAAAACACGACATACAACTCCACAGAATACCTTCCGATCGTTATTGCTTTTCAGAATTTCAACGCTGCCATCACTGGCCTGCCTGATGTCCGCTTCTTATGGAACATTATGCCCTGGGGTACGGTAGATGAGCCTATTCCAGCTGGCGGTTCGAATGACTTGAGATATTATTGGTCCAACACATCGAGCGACCGGAGCAATACAACGTACGGAAACGTCGAGAAGCACTTTAAGATGTCCGATTTTAGCAACTTCCCAAACTCGGATGGAACGCCATATATCTTGATCGAGTCCTCGAAGATGTCCGATTGGCCTTCTGCGCCCGCGCCCCATTCCGGGGGACTTTACGCGCTACAGTGGTTTATACACTAGGAAAGAGAAGACGATTGCCATGTATATTTGGAACATAACCCTCTGATACTCTTCAGCACTCGATGGGATGAACGCGGTGTCCCAAATGCGCCGAATCCAGAGGATTTCAGTAATATTACTGGCACGTGTGCACAATTCGGCACCATAGGGGAGGTGAATGAAAACAGTTCGAGTTCTTGTGGGAGATGTAAGTACTACCACGACTACTTATCAGAACATCTTAACGCATTGAAATGGACTGACATCATATGGATATCTAAAGACAAGCCACTTGAACGCTCACACGGCAATCCTTGCGCAATATCCCTCGATGCGAGTCGTATGCAGTCCATCTCTTCAACTGCTGCGTCCCTAGCTGCTGCAACACCGACAAGCCCCATGAAGCCTAAGCCTTCACCGACTAAAATTTCAGCGGCTGATCTGGTGCCTACAGTTCCTGTGTTATATCTCATCGGAATGGTTGGTGGTGTATCGTATCTCCTTTTGTGAATGCCTCACGTCGGGAATGTATCGGGCAATCACAGCGCAAGGTGTTGCTATAAAAGTCGCACGAACGATTTTATATGCTGTGTCATATCGAGGGTGATCAACAAACTATTGTATACGGCTGCTAAAAGTTGTTCGTTAGGCAAATATTTGTTTGAAATTTGACGAGCTACTTTGCGAAGGTTGCTTAGAGAACTACATCTGAATCAGAACAGGAAATATCATTTAACCGCACTTGCAATTCGCGAGAAAACCTATCCCACCTTTCGCAAATTTCGTGGTGAGGTCCATAGTCGCAGGCGTCTGTTCTACAAATTTCGATCAACAGACGCGCGCGCAGAAATCTCTCCATTTGCAATTGCTCGTATGAAGTCACGGATCTGAGGCGCATGACTTGAGTCAACATTTTTTCGATCGATAAGTTTACTATATTTGTGAGATCGTGAATATGCTTATCGTGGAGACTTTTACACAGACAATATGTTCAAATGTATACATGTGAGCGACACACATGTGATCTAGTCATGAATTGAACCACGTACTTGTGTGTATAGATATCCTGTGAATCTGCAAATATGAATTAGGAAACTCGAAAATTCCAAATACTGACAATCATCTTGGTATGCTCCTTGAAACTCGAATTGAGTCCACGAATAGAAAGCCGCCATGCAGAACAGCACGCGAAATGTTCTCCAATGACGTGCCTCGGCCTAAGGCCGTCCCCCACTATAAACTCATCGCGACCCTCGCATTCATCATAGATTATCGCACTTCGAACACGACTTTACCTCGAACATAATCGCGACAATAACCACATTGCGGAGCAAAGAGTGGTCGAAAGTCAGCGCCAATGCCCCAAACACGCGGTCAGACCAAGTCCGCCGAAGACATGGAAGCCCTCAAAATCTTCTTTTCATCACCACGTTTCGCAGTGGCAGGGGCCAGCTCGAACCCCAGCAAGTTCGGCCATCGAAGTGAGTTTTCCACTTCTTGTTCCTAGATTGGATTCAGCAAATGTGCCATGCATGCCTCATCGACGGATGATCTCTAATCCTAGGATGTATAGTATTCGCCTGGTATCTTCATCACAACCTTCCAGCTACACCCCTTAACCCAGGAAGCCCCTCTATCACTGTTCCATCTATATCCCAAGATGCTATTCCAACAGTAGCTTCCCCTTCTGCGCTCTCGGATCCATCATCGTATTCTTTATCTGTGATCACGCCGCCAGCTGTCACTAAGAAATTGCTGGTCGAGGCAAAGGAAGTCGGGATTCCTGCCGTGTTCCTCCAGCCTGGAAGCTTCGATGACGAAGCGTTGGAGTACGCGAGGAAACAATTCAAAGCGGCTATTGCGGGAGATGGTGGGGACGGACACGAGGGTTGGTGTGTGCTTGTCGATGGAGAAACGGGTTTGAAGGCCGCGGGGAGAGAGTGGTCCAGACTTTGATGTATGTTGATAATGGATTGCGAACGATCTCCATTATATAGAGATATGTGCTTGATTGGGCATGTTAATGGCGTAGGGACGAATTGTGATGCATCGGATGCCGCTCGATCAACGCTAGATAACCCGATTAGTCAGTATAGGCAGTAAACTTTGTATATCCCCAGGCCGAACATCCATGTGTGCAAAGAGTGAAGCACTCTGGGTCAGATGACAGAAAGTGAAGAAAATATCAAACAAAGATTGACTTACACCACATTTCAGATCTTCAAACTATGTTAGCAAGCTCGATCTTTGCCAGAAACTGCAGCAAAGTCCTGCTTATCGGAAAAGTCAGGATAACTCCCCACCCGTTCTCGGTGGGTTTTGACCCATCCAAGCCCGCAATCTCAGTCAAACCCCTAATTCCCAACATTCCTCCTGACTCTCCCGATCCTCATAACCGCAACTCGCCACTTAGCCCCCAAAACATGGTTCCGAACGTGCCACAACATTGTACAGCATATAGCACACGACATAGCGGAGATGTTCGTGGCTACACATGACTGGCTCGCGTCTGCTTTCGCGGCGCAGTGATTCGTATACAGCAGCTACGCCATCGCGGTGAAGCAAATGCATTTTTAGTCTACTGCATGTCGGGGAATATTGAGTGTGTGTTGGGCTGATACGACGAGATTCTAGCAGAGTGAGATGCAGTGTAGTGTGAGGCGAATTTGCCAGTGATCGGATTGAAAGTTGGCATTACGGATTTGTATACTGTACTTGAAATGTGCCAAATAGCGCTTGAAGATAAGAAGAAAATATTGCTCAATTGAAATGCTTTCATGGGGTCTCATCTGGAAACGGTGGATGGAAGATATTGGACAGTACTACGTATGCTCGTGTAAGTATGTGTTTTCGCTGCATGCATCTACATGCATGTGCATATACTACCCTAGCGCGTGGGCCGGGGTTCTTTTCACTCATTGTCAAGGGTCATACGAAACCTAGAAGAATTGTCGAGTAAGTACACAAGATAATGATATTTCATCCTGATACAGTTGTCCCATTCGAAACATTTTAGATCGAGAAGAATGAAGATTTCAATTTCAGGTCTACAAGAAGAGGAGCATCTATCTATAACGGCTACCAAACAGCACCAGAATAAATGATAGACTTGAAGTCTGAAATGACATAGCAAAACACAGTGGGGAACAAATTAATAAAATACCCTTACCACCCCCTCTTTGCCTTCCTCCGAAAGTTCCCAAAGTTCATCGACTTTCTCTACCTTAGCACCCCACCTCTCTGCAAATGTCTCTCCAGCCCGCATTACACAAGAGAACACAAGACTCCATCCATTTGCACCAGCGCTATAGAAGGCCTCTGCGATGGCCCCCTCACGGCTTCCGCACTTCACCAACTTGAATACTTTGTCCCCACTTGATCCATCAGAGGGATATATGCCTATCTGACCAGAATCAGTGGCAAAGACGAGGTTGTAACAAAGAGGCGTGCGATCCAATGCTTCGCTCTTGTCGTCAGTGCACTGTGTACAAGCGCCCATATCCTCGTCTGAGCCAGTATGGCCTGCCGTGCAATCGTATATGTCGTCGTCGGTGGGTGTGGTGAGCGATGGGGCAGCCCAAACTCTCGGATTCTGGAGGCAAGATACACGACCGTTCTCGAACGGCACGAGGGTATTATCAGCGTTTGGCCACAAGTTGATGGATGGCTGTCTTGAGACTAAATCTTTGAGTTGCGTGCGACGGCGCGGCTTTGTGTACCACACCTCAGTTTCTCCGTCTTGGAGAATCCATTTGTATTCTTCGAAATCGACGACATAGCAGCGGTGATAGGCCGTGAACACTTCGCGTCTGTAGGGCATGAGGCGGATCATGCGTCCAGTATCGAGCAATGACTCGCCTGAGTAGTGGGCTTGGATGAATTCGGTCGGATCGGGCGCTTCGGTAATGTGGAAAGAAGGAGGGGGAGGCGGAGGAGGAGGGGGTAGTGGTGCCTGTGTTTTCAATTAATTCCTATTAGGTGGTAATGATCATGAGTGGGTAGAGCCCTACCGTGGGAGGAGATGGTGGTGGAGGCGGAGGCGGAGGCGGCGGAGCCATGGCAGCAGGAGGCAGAAACGGTAAGACTGTCATATTGGTAGGAGGCTAGGTAAAACGGTTAGTCGAATTTTGGGGTAAGGTTTGTGATTCCATACCGGAGGAAATGGGGGAGGCTATTCAATTAATCGTTAGCAACAAGGAAGAGCAAAAGGGCCGATGTGCTTACAGCGATAGGAATGGAGTCTCTGCACTTCGCATTCCATGAACCTAACAGTTTGGCTTCTTTTCTAGTCCAGGAAGGTAGACCCGGATGCAAACTTCCAGGAACCTCAGGATGCACGGTGAACGGCGGATAGCCTCTATCACCCACATCTGATCTCAAGGGAAGACTATGGCAGCAGCGCTGAGATTCTGGGGCGTTTTGAATACATTGATGAGCACTGGATTCTGGTTCTAGCTTTGAGGATGGATTGGGATTCATCGAGACGAGGTTTGGTGACTTGCTAGATGGAGTGGAAGCAATATTGTCAAAAGCATAGCCAGGAGATCTGAACAAATGGCTTTCTCTCGCAGACGCGGACGATTTGGTGGGCGACTCGATTATATGCATTGAAGGTTCGTTTTCGATAAGAACCACATCGTCGTCCATCTTTTTGGAAAGAATGAGGAGGTTGTCTGAGAGTTGGATGATTTGTGAGAAGAGTGTTCTCGAGTCTTATATATCAATTATGGGGCACAACAGGGTTGGGGGAGTAAGCCAAGAGGAACGTATGAAGAAATGGTTGCCTATTTCGAGGCTGTTCCCGAGCGAGCACGAGATAGAGTGACGTATCAATTTGGGTATGGTCATACTTGTGTCAGCATACACCTCAGTGAGTGAAGCATATCGATTCTGTTGCAACCAATAGCTACATATTCAGTCGAGTGTATGACATAACTGGACTATCATCCAGGATACGTTTTTCTTCTGTCATGCTTCATGACTTGTTCTGAGTACGTGGCTAACACCTACTGTCTGGTCCAGCAAAGCTGAGCCTATGATTCTGCAAGGCGAGATAGTCAGACACAGGAGAGCTCCTGATTCTAATCAGTAGGTCACCAAGGCTTCAAATGAGGCGGGATGCTGCGTCTAGACGCACCTATCTTGGGTTCAGCTCGCAATGAGTTAGTCATTTGCCCCCTCCCAGCAAAAGAGAACGGAGAGAAAGCCACAGCCCAGTTTGGGCGGCAGACACATATTTGGCGTCTCGGGCAGAGTAACGCAAGCCAAGTGCGATATTAGCGAGTCTCATAATATCTGGGTTTAACAACAAGTAAAGTTGTGGTGAATGGACTTGACTGGCCGGGAACTTCACAACAAACATCAGGTGAGCAGAGACATGGTTTGAGATAGAGGGCAAGCCTCATTTTGAAAGTCTTCGCACAGAGCTGAAGCACCCACCGGTGGGCGCGTATACCCCAAAACAATATGTCCCAGAGTACCGGGTAGCCCCGCAATGAGTGGAGAGCCCTTCCCCGGAACTGATGATTTACGGCCCCATTGTGCTCTTTCTAGTCTTTGTTCTGATTCTACACGCTTCCGATATAGAGAGGCAAAGGCGCTTATCTGCATTCCGGTGTATAAGGGGACCCGACTTTGCCGTATCTGCATCAAGTCTTGTTCAGAGAGTCCACGAAAAGTCGCCATGTCGAGTCTTCTTCGACATTGCCACTTGATGCTCAGTCGTGTGGCTACGGGGTCCAATCTGAGCAGGATTTCACCGCCTCTCGGCGCCGAAGGATTTCTAGAGCGATATCGCTGCGATTGCGCGTCAATGCTGGCAGTATCCCTGTACTTTAACTTGCAGAGAAAACAAAATCGCGCATCATTATCGAATGGACTGTCAAATAGATAATTTTGCTCGGTGACCCCTTTCAAGGAGAGATCGTCTGAAACGGAGATAGTCGGTGTCCAGATCAAGTCTCCAATAGATTCACCGGACATTAAGAGGATTGGGGATCTGTGGTTCACACGCAGGTACCAATCATCGTCCAATTGGATGCCGTTCAAACGCAGGGCAGAAGAAGATCTGCAGGGAAAAAGAAAAGAAAACGGGACTTCCAATGAAGCACAAGAGCAACCAAAGTTCCAACTTCTTGTTTTGGTCATTGTGGCTGCCCTTCGAGTATATGTCTGGGATGCGGAAAAAAATGAAGCGACTTCCGTGTAACTGGCCAGTGCCAGAATATCAATAAGGCATTCAAAAGCTAATTGGTTGATTGATCGAAGTTCGGCTACAAATGCACTAGCCGTGAAGCCCCTTGACGCTAGCTAATTTCAGCTGAATCCACACGAGGCACTCAAACATGGCACTGTTTGCATAGTAGCCCGCTGCATTCACACTGGGAGCCATGATCTTTCTTTCTGAGTTCGGCATATTGAACAAATACGATTTGGCATCAGTGTTAGGGGAGAGAATCAAGACCGTACACAATGTTAGGCGTATAACTTGGCATTCTCTTCTCCACGTCTTTTTTACGACTCCCTGAGATATGCATTTCTCTTGAACTGGATAATAGCCTGCAGGCACTCATGTAAAATTTCATTGAGCACAATGTTCCATCTTGCATAACTAATTTGTATGTAGTGCGACCGTTCTTGTATGAAGTAGGAATGACATGTGTACTTATGCAGGTCCCGGAAAAGGATTGCATTAAGTTATGCCATTGGCTTTATCCAAAGGTCCACTACACGAACAGCAGTGAATATACGTAAAGGGATCATTCTTGTGAGGGATCAATGATCGGTAAAATGTTTTCTTCACTTTTGGATTCATCCAATTCTGAGGATTCGTGATTTAATCCCGCTGCCATAGTTGCTTCTCGAAACTCAAAAATTTCAATTGACAAAACAAAATACGGGGATCGCTAGAGAGCCGACAATCAGAAGCCAAGTTTGACGCACGACAAGGAATTTCAGTTTCATGCCATTGACTGACATCTCCTCAACATCACCAGTATAACCACGACCGCCAGAAATCTAATCAACAATATATGTCACTCTAAATACTCCAAAATCACAAATACAATTTATCTTGGCTGTCTTTTTGTTTGGCCCAGACATCTAATTATGCTAGATGGAGCCGATATTTGAGGCAATAGTAGATGGAGGGAGTATTCATGCGCATTATAGACCGTGATGAGCGATGTCAATGGAAATGGAAATGGCAATGATAATTATGATGATACGAAATTTATCATTCTCATCGTAGTTCTGAAAAGGATAACCTGAAGATGCTCATGTGTTTGCACGAAATAATCACCGATCTGCGTTTCAAGATTCGCCCGAGACCTCAATATAAATGACGTTTTCTTTTTTTGTAGATTGATTTATACCATATTTCCACTTTTTAGAAGTAAGACGTATGCAAAAAAGCAGAGACAATGTGGCTTCGGAGAAGAATAGTTATATCTCACTCCCTCCATTACGTCTCCCTTCACGCTAAACAATTTGGTTTCGATGATGACCTTCGCTATATTCATTAACATCGTCATTATACATCCATGAATCGACAACTCGAACCAGGACTATCAAAATTCTTGCAGCGCTACCCTCTGTATCTTGGAAGATTTTAATATCGCAATTATAGCAGAGAGTATATCCCTGCTGTACGTAGAGAGAAAGATACAAATGGATGGAATTCATAGATCTTCGTACCAGAGAAACATGATTATCATCACTGTCATTACTGTCTAAACTTTATACTTAATACAAATTTTCACATCAACTGTGCGTAAAAGAAGGCACAGTGACGCTTGAGGCAGGCAATGCCATGATCTTAACATAACTCTGTTTATACTAGTGAACTTAGAGCATCCAGAGGTTCTCTGCTGCTTGAGTGTAAAAAGAACAGAGGGAAGGAGGGAGGGCTCAGGTACCTAATTAGAAGAGATATTTCAGCGTCATCATCATCATCATCATTATTGTTAGCATTACTGCTACCCAAAAGCTTCCTTTCCTAACTTCTATGTGCTTTGAATAAAACAATAACGCACACACGCCTCCAGCAACCCCATTAGATAGCTCTACAAAGCCTTTTATATGGCTTCCCTGTAGTGTATCATGTGGGGAAAAGAGAGGAAAGGGGAAAGAGAAAATGATAAGGGGGTTTATATACCCAAGCAGCTGACTAAAATATACAGCTAAGAGTAACAAGTCGGCGCTGATACGGGCAAGTTTCACAATTAATATAGTTATCATCACTACTACAGATAAAATATACGTACGTATGAAGCCATAACATCAGTTTTCAACGCTCAAGACCAGGGGGAAACGCCATCGACGGTTCCAATCTGTATTGTTGGATTGAAGTAATACCAGGGACAAGCCCTGCCATGTCGTGTGTAAAGAAGTAAGAAAAGAAAGGAGGAAAGAGAGGTTTATATACCCGCGGAACTGGCTAAGACATCTGTGTAGCAATGAAGACTGGTGGTGATGTCAACTTTCGTCTTCATCATCGTCAATGCATAGTCCACTAAAAAAGAAGACACGTTTATCTATGTAGCCAAGGTAGGCAAACAACGCCATGGAACGCCGGGGTATGCATTTTTTAGTGAAAATTCAAAGTAGAGGAAATCCACCCAGCTTTGAATGTGTGTAAAGAAGAAAGAAGATCAGAAGAGGGGAGGGGTAGAAAGAGGGAATGTTATATACGTGAGTAGGTAGGTACAAAGATGACTAAGATTTTGGGCTAGGTAGTTAAGCGTAAGTAGGAGGGCGAAAGAAGAAGAGGAAGGCGTTGATTTGGGAGGTGTTTTCATCATTATCGTTCCTATAATCGTGATAAAGACCCCGGAAATGTTCACATGGGTGGAGGTAGAGCGGTACTGACGAGCAATGATCGAGTGATAACAGAAGATTACAGACATCAAGACCAGCCCCTTTATTGTGCTTGAATTTTGGGTTGTTTCCACTTCAAGGGGGAGAGGGGAGGGGAGGGGGGCGTGAAGAATACCAGCCATTGTTGTTGATTGGACGTTGAAGTCCAAGATCTTTATTCTCCTTCGTGGGTTTCTACATGATACGTGTAAGTATATACTCTATTTCTATATATATGGCTATTTTTGGGGCATGAAAAGTGAGACCGGGGGAAGAACATCAACCCAAACAAAAAGGAAAAGAAAGATAACATCCCATAACCCCACGAAAATGCAAACACCCCCAGACCAAGCCATCAATGACTTAAGCATCCCCATTTACCCCAATCTTCCCCTGCCTAACCATCCAAGTCAGCAAATCAACCTTCGTAACCACAGCCGCAGCCCTTAACTCTCCCTTCTCTCCACCCTTCTCCGTAACCACCGCCGCGGAGTTCCACTCGAAAAACTTGTTCAAATCGCTCAGTTTCGTATCTCTCGTGATTTCTACAAACTCGCGACGTGCCTTCTTGTTTTTGCTTTGCTGGCTTTCAGCCCCGCTGCCATCGCCATCGAGATGCAAACGCCCCAAATCAGTCACCACTTCGGGGAGTTTCATGAAATCGAACATGACGGCATCGACCTGCGTCTTCGGGGTCGCGCGGCCAGAGGCGATGTAGGAGAGGAGGTTGCCAAGGGTGACGAGGCCGACGAGACGGGCTTTTCCGGAGGGGGAGTAGGCGGAGACAGGGAGCTGATCAAAGCCCTTCTCGCGCATGGTCTCAATGGCTTCGGAGCAGGGGGAGTTGCTGGGGACAGTAGTGACAGGTTTGAGGCGGAGGTCGGCGATAGTGGCACCGTGGAAGGCGTCTTTTTTGATTGAGTCGGAGCGCGTGCGCGGGGTTGGGGCGTTGGCTGTGAGGGCGGGAGTTGGGGGAAGGAGGTCGTTGGCTGCGAGCCAGTCGTCGTCGACGAACTGTGGGGTTGTTAGTTTTCTGGGCAGGAGTGATGGTGTTGATAGAGGATCTTACTTTGCTGAGGTAGCTTCGGATGCTGTCTGGGCAGACAACGACCACGACGTCGTCTTTGCCAAGGTTGAGTTCTTGGATGGCTTTTACGGCTGCATCCATTGCACTTCCGCTCGATCCACCACAAAGGATACCCTCCTCGGCGATTAATCTCCTGGCGTACTGGAACGCTGTCCGGTCGTCCGTCTTATACCACTTATCTACAACCTTCTGCTCCAGAACATCGGGGATGAAGTCGTACCCAATACCCTCGACCTTGTAACCCTCATTCATACCCTCCTGGTTCAATGTCTCTGGCAAGGCCAAAATACTGCCCTTGGGATCAGCCGCCACAATCTTGACATCCTTCTTGTGCTTGTGCAGACCCTTCGCGATACCTGTAACTGTACCACCCGTGCCAGCGCCTGCCACCAAGCACGTCACCTTGCCGTCCGTCTGTGTCCAGATCTCCTCAGCGGTACCGAGCTCGTGTGCCAGGGGGTTGTTCTCGTTGGTATACTGGTCCAGAATATGCGCGTTGGGCAGTTCCTTAACCAAGCGTCTCGCAACACCGATGTGACTCTCAGGGGAATCCCATGCAGCGCTCGTCGGCGTCCTAACAACTTCGGCGCCCAAAGCCTTGAGCACAGCGACCTTCTCGGGACTCATCTTCTCCGGTAGTGTGATAACGACCTTGTAGCCCTTGACGGCGCCTACGAGAGCGAGTCCAATACCCGTGTTGCCGCTCGTGGGCTCGATTAGGGTGTCGCCCGGCTTAATGCGACCAGATTGCTCGGCGGCTTCGACCATACGTAGAGCGATGCGGTCCTTGACACTGCCTCCTGCATTGAACATCTCGAGTTTGGCGTAGACGGTTGCGGTTATGCCGAGGGATTGGGGGATCTTGTTCAGGCGGACCAGCGGCGTGTTGCCGATTTGCTGGGTGATGGAGTCCATAACGACTGGGGGGATGGCGGGGCGCGTTTTGGTAGACATATTTGCGGTAAATAGCGAATGCTACTGTGGAAAGAGAATGGGGTATGAGATTGAATGTTGGAGCAAAGTGAAGGGAAGATGGGAGTGAAAGTGAAAGTGAAGCTGAGACTGAGCGCCAGGAAAACAATCGACTTTTAAGTGGGGCAAAGTCCGCAAGATTTCTTTCTCTACCTTGGAGGTGGGGCGAGGGTGAGCCTGTTTCGCGGCGGTCTGCACCGGGGGAATCTATGGAATATAAAGCGAATGTAAGAGGGAAAAGGTGAGACTGTGAACAACGTAGAATTTCACATCGTGTCGTGATCAACAGGTTCCTTCGGCCGGCCTTCGCCTTCGCCGCGTCGCCTGATGGATGGTTAAACCCTTGAAATGCCACGCAAATCCGCCGCTGCTAGCCGCGGCTCACCCACCCCGCCTGACTAAGCGCTCGCCCCCGCGCTACGCCTTAGGTAGCCGTAGCTCAGCCCTATCCATGTTGATCATCTTCACGAATTCTACAGCGTCTCACGCGGCGGCGAATCCGACCCGGACGCTGTTGAGACTTGTCGTCTCTCTCCCACCTGTGGTGTTGACAATGTCCACTCTATGGTAACATCCGCCGCCAACTTTTCTTGCGATTATCATGGATCATCTTGCTTAACTCAGGAACCACATCCAAGATATCCATCGGTGATGGCGGGGCCTTGATAACAATGTCCACCATGTTGTAACGTATGCCTGCGTGGACCTTGGCCTGAATGTTAACTTGATACCTGTCGTAGCCAAGGTCAAGCCAAGTTTCGGGAGCCAGGGGAGCAAAATAGGGTACCAGTTCATCAAAGACGGTCTCTGGACGTTCAACAGGAGACATCTGGATCGGCAGCCCTACAACACGGACTCCAATACCAAGACCTGGCTTAGACCCAAGCAGAATGGCTACGTAGCTTTCGTCGGGTCTTTGAAGAATAACTGCTTCCGTAAGTTGATGAGGTCCTCTGGTAAGTTCCAGAGCCTTCAAAGGGAGACCTATTGGTGCTGACGTCGGCAGAGGTGGAACGACACTACTCAGAGGATTCTTGAATATGTCGATAAAACGATATTCACTGTCTTCCAGACTTTTTTCGACTCCTGCAGACCCATGGAGAATTTTCAGGTTTCGCAACTGAAGCGCATGGTGGAGATATATATCATCAAACCCCGGTATCAAAGGCTTCTGCCGAACGTATATTGTTTGACGTGGAGCCCCGTGCGGGACTTTGCACAGTCTATTTGCCCTAATGCGGGCGTATTGTTGGCTTTTCTTGTTCAAAAGCTTGAGGTATATCGCCAAGTTGGTGTCGTATGTGGGGGGCACAGGGCAGTCCAGCGAACCAACCCAAATATCATCTTCGAAGTGCACCAGGCCAAGGGTGATGCAAAGGCCTCTACTGGTCGTGGAGTATGGCGACACTGCGCTTCGGTCATAGTCTGGCAGATAGGTGCTCGAATCCCGGAAGTCTCTGGGCGATTTTGCCAGTAGACCTTGTAGTTCAGATTGCTCAGCGTCCGGGTTCGTCCATGCAAATAGGGTCTCATCGTCCGAGTCTTGCATGATCTGCTCTTGCAGCCTCCGGAATGCCTTCTCGCCCCCTTCTCCATACAGCATCGGCATACTAATATTGAAGATTCCTAGCAAACAGTATGCCATGTCTTCTTGCCTGGTAGTTCTTCGATCCGACGCCCAAGACATGCGCTTGGCTATGCTAACATGTTCAAGCCCGTGGATTCTCGTTAGAATTCCTTGATCAATCCTCGTTATACGCGAGATAACAGTCGCTAGAGTTGTGCGTGTGCCTAGTTGCGACCAATCTTTGGAATAGAATATTACCTCCTTCGGCGCGATCAGCTCTTGTAGTGTCCATCCCCGCGTAAACCACCTGCTCTGGGAAAATTCGGTGCTCGTCTGCGCATCCTCATCTGCTATTACGTCTGCCATAAAAGCATAGCAGATTTTAGCCTCGTTGTACCAAGCATACATGGAGTTGATAGATTCAGATAGTTCAGCGCTGCTTTCTTTGTCGATACAGAAGTTGTCGATCCAGACGTATAAGATACCATCTTCTTCCGCCTGAAGGCACGTGTAGTTCAACTTCTGGTAGCTTTCCGGTTTAGTCTTCTCTAGCCCTGCTTCCATATCCCGGAACGTGATCTCTGTACCGGTCGGACCCCATGTGTGCGACAGGATGGCATATGGCGGGAAAGGCCGGTCTGGAAAGAATTCGAGCTTTCTAGTCTGTCGATTTAGCAGCCGCATCTTTTCGCTGTCAGCATGGCGATGTTTGGCTTTCCGAGATAAGGGATTCGGAATTAGCCTGATAAAACGTGCGATGAGAGATGTAAGCTTACGGGGGTTGTTGCCCAGCCTTGTGACTTCTCCATTCAGCCTCGGCATGACGAAATACCAGCAGGATAGCGAATTGAGTTGGGCCATAGAGCGTGATGAGTTTCATTGGCAATATGGGGGCGAGGAGGTCTCGATCCAATTGGTGATCGTCTTTACTCTGGATTACCCCCAAGAAGAAATAAATACGAGCACGTGGTTGCCTTAACGAGGCTGAGCAAAAACAAGAATTCGATTTTGGGGGTAAGCGTGTTCAAAATGCGACATGTTCAGTACTTAAGATTGGATTGAAGAACAGTGTTTCCTGATGAACTACTCCGATTTGCTTTTGGACTCCACTGCTCCCCGTCCGTGCCCCCAACACCGCATGTATTGGACAAAAATTATCCCCCAACAGCAACCAATGCTGCAACCATGCAGTCAGACATACAGATGAGCGATTCAAAGAGAGACGGTGCTATGGAAGCCAAAGGCACTGTTCACAACGGGCCTCTCGATAGTAACGCTGAGCATGATCAGCCGAACAAAAACAGCGCTGCTGTCGCTCCCGCGCAGGATCATAGCTCGATCGCATCAACCGCAATAAATGACGGCGATGCAATCAAGCAGACAAGAAGTCCTGTAACAGAAGCTCCTCTTGATGAGCCGTTCAAGTAAGGCAAATTCATATCGGATTGCAACATGTATTTATAAGTTTTATCCAACTAACCTGAGAAGGAAATCGAATACTGTCAACACAGACAAGACCAAGGTTCCAGAAGCTCAATCACAGCCCCAGCCAGCAGAGCGCATGGCTATGGTCACCCTTCTCGAAAATCTCGGGGAAGCAGAAGCTTTTATCGATTGTCCTTACTGCGAGAGGCGCACCAAAACAAGAATCACGGAGCAAAGTTCGAGCCAAACAAGGTATGTCATTGCCACCCGAATCCAACCTGATTCCATATCTGATGAGTATAAATAGTATGGCTGCTTTGTTTCTCTGTGTATGCTGCGGAATCATACCAGCCATTTTCCCTTTCATGTGCAACTGTTGCAGTGATACCATGCATCACTGCTCAGAGTGCAATAAACCGATTGCTATCAAGGCTTATGAAGGGAAGACGGAAGTGGTCAAACCTCAGACTGGTCCGACACAAGTAATGTCGAAGTACCCTGGGAAGAAACCCGGAAACGCAAGTGAGCAACCCGGAAACGCGAGCGAGAAACCTGGAAACGCGAGTGGGAAACCTGGGAACGCAAGTGAGAAGCCTGGAAACGCAAGTGAAAAACCCGGAACCTCAAGTGAGAAACTCGGAAACGCAAGTGGAACGTAATCTGTTCATTTATTGAAATCATCGCTCACTGGATTGAGATTCTTCATTCGTTTTCGCTGGCTTTAGTTGGTAGACAGCGTAAATAACAATACTAAACATTGAATACGCAAACTAGATGGAGCAACAACGATCACCAAAAAGCAGAACTATGCAACTTTGTTGGTAGTCGCCTGTTTTTTTTTTGTTCTGATATTGTTACAACATCACTGTGTGTAGTAGCATCACCCAAACTCCAACTTGCAATCCATCCACGCAGAAATGAAAAACGGGAAAAAATCGTAATCAACAACAAAAGCCAGGGGAGCAAAACATAATGCAAAGAAAACGTTCCTCAGTCCCGTCTCTTTTTCAACGAGTCAGTGAATCGCTCAGAAAACATACAAGTTTCTCGTCTTCACTACGCCCATCTCCTCAATCGGAAATTGAAAAGGTGAAGCAAAACAAGGGCTTGAGACTAGGTGAAAGATTCATGTTTGAAGCGTCATTACTTACCTGATTAGACAACGTCTGATTCTAACGGACTGTGTGTACTTGATCACTTGGATAGCATAGCGTACGCTTCCATAGTTGCTTCCCATACCCCTACGATGTCTCTACCTCGAGTCCTATAGCCGATACACGCGTATAGTCATCCTCTCCCCAAGCTTATGCATGTGTTGGCGTTAAATATACGAATGGCCGGAATGTCTTTCATACACTGGACGATCAACGAAGGTCCAATACCCAGCTCATCAGAAAAAAAATAAGTGAAAATCAAGACATCACATGAAAGAGCCCGAACTTGCAGCCATGGAAATAGCTTGCTGCATATGAGCACCTACTTGACCTCCATGGGAGATGTCGAGTACAGAAGGAGTACGTACATAAAGGGCACTTACTCAATGATAAATGGTAGACTAGCTGTTCTGATAGCAACGGCGAACGTTTCAGTGCCTATCAGCATGGATGACTCGCTCTTGCCTTGACTTTACCACAAAGACGAGGCCGCTACATACAGGAAATAGTAAGTGACGTCAGCGTGAGGTGTGTTGAGAGTTTCTACGAGTTTTAAGGGGAGCGGGGAAACAAGCACGACGGAGGGAATAGTAGAGGGAAAAGGGGGATAGGATGGAAACAAGACGACGTCTCTCGACACCAAAATGTTCTCGTCATCGTCCCTGGCTACATCTTCATCGATATTGAAAGCGAAAAGACAGCAAGAAAAGGTATTCACTGTTGAAAACATAATATTCTAAACAAGAAATTTGTCTCTACAGTCCCACCTCAAACCCTTTTCCCCTTCATCCGACTACTATAACCGCTCAGCAACCCACTCCCACCATGCATCAACATCCACCTTCTCCCCTCCCACCAGATTCCCACCAGCAACACTCACAGTCACACCCACCTCCTCCAACTGCGTGAACTCAAACTCTCCTTCTCCCCACTCCCCAAGCCACTCGCTCTCCTCATCCGCACCCCCATCATCCCCTTCACTCAACGTAGCCCCCGAATTCTTCAACCCCTTCGCCCTGCTCCTCCTTACCCTGGAGATCGCCTTCTCAAGCTGCAACTTGGCCAGATGCGGCGGTAACGCCGTAAACAGATCCAGCTTGTTCGCCGCGATCAACACAGGAAGCTCTTTTGCCTCTCTGCCCGATTTCGAGGAAGAAGCTGCGCGTTTTTGTAAAGCGAGGAGAGTGTCGTGGAGGTATTCGGATGTCTCGACAAGTCCTGGGTCTTCGGAGATGTACGCTGCGTCGACGACGAAGATGATACCGCAGAGCCCCAGTGTATCGTTTAGCTTCGAAGTCGCGAAGCGCCGCAGTTTACCGTGGCCAGGGGTATCCGTGAGATTGAAGGATCTGGCGCGTTCGAATGACGGGTCGCCGGGGGCGCGGAAGGCTGCTGAGGCAGGAACGTGAGGGGAAGGGAGGGTAGCGCGGATGGTGAGGGGCGCGGTGGAGGTGTGCGTTTGCGCAATGGATTTGCGCTCCGCTGTTGTCAGGAACGCGGTTTTACCGGCGCCGCTGGGGCCGATGAGGAGGATTCCTTTGGTGGCTTTTGCGGAGGCGGCGGCGCGGCGGTAGGCAAGGTAGTGGAGGAAAATGGGGACGAGGAAGGTGATGAGGCCTACGACTATGATGGTGGAGAGTTTAGGCGCGAAGGCGGCCGTCGCCCAGCTGTCTTCGTCGTACCACGCCATCAGCTGCCAAGGGTGATGTATACCAGCGAGGGATTATGCAGACGGTGCTGAGCTGGGTTGGTGGGCAAGGTCGCGACACGCGGGATTGACAGATGGAGGGGTGGCGATGGCGATGTGGTGTTGTTGTTTCTAACGGGGTAAGTAGCTAGCTCCAGAATTTTGGCGAAGAGCGCCCGCCCGCGCGAGGGCAAGCTAAGCCAGACATTTCCTTTCCCTACAAAAATATGTAGGCATATAGTTGCTCCAATGGTTACTCATGCACTCGATCAACACACTGCAAACGCACAAGATGCCACCCACCAAGACAGTTGCACATTGCTGCCGAGAAATATCATATAGCCCTGCTCTGCTCGTTCCCCAACCCACCCCAGTACGTATTGTCAGGGTGTGGACTTTGGCGAGAAGAGCGAAGGAGTCGCGGAAGTGCTTCCCGCTTCCGCACGCGGGAAAGCTAAATCCAAACCCAACAACAACGTTGCTTCTATGCATACATGCATGCAAAGCACTTTGCTATATCACCCATGTGTGTGGACCGTTACTGAGTCTGTTATGTCATCATCGCATATTTCATTAGAGAGTGAACCCCGCCAGTCTCCCGAGAGGTGTAGACAGAAGCAAGTGCGCAAAATTGCATTCCATGCATCGTGTTTTCTTCCAAGTAGAGAGAGCGATTTGGGTATATCTGCTGGTAGGATGACTTGGGTAATTCTCATCTCTGCAGAGAAAGTGACTCTATAGGGAGCAGTCACTGCAAACCATCACTCACGTTTTGCCGATCCAAGACACACATCTAATTCATTAAACATATCGATATTGTGAAAACCAAAGAGAAGGGGAAAGTGCAGCTATTTTTTGTCGTGTGGTTGTTTGTTCGTGCAGGGGAGGGGGAAGGGAATGAGATGATTATCATACAACAAATCGACAAATAACAACATTTGTCGTCCGCCCGGGGGATCCTCGTCATGGACCAGCTAGCTACTGTATTTGTGTTTTTTTTTGTGTGTGTATGTGTGCAGTGCCATTCCCCACCTCTTTTTTTATTTTATTGGTTTCGTGCCATTAATCGCTTCGTTACAAGTGACCTGCCCACTTTCATTTGCATTTTTCTCATGTCAGAGATGAGAAAGTGGGAATAGGGAGAAGGGGAAGGATAGTCGTATGTCCAGATCCATGTTCAATGGGATCCCTAAACAAACCGAATCAGTCATCCATGATCATACATAGCCATTGTGTGATATGCCATTTCGCGCCGAAGGCTCCAAACCCCCCATGTGATGGTGGTGTATGCTCCATATGCCGAAATGGTTTCTCATCTTTTTTTTTGTACCCAATAATACTCCATTTGGCCCCATACCATACCATGCCGTGATTCCGTTATTTTTTTAACCATGCACAAACCAGAGGAGCAACTCAGAGAAAGTTTCCTCGCCCGCATGCCAGCGGCGTTTCATGTAAAAAATAAAGGGTGATCCTGAGAAAGAGTTCAAGAAAGAAGAATTCGAAAAGGCAACAAAGACGTAATAAAAGGTATGAGAATGTAAGACAGAAAGGAAATCGGGCTGTAGGTGTGTTGCAAGGTGGGAGGGTCGTTGGTTTTCAAGGATTAAACATAATGGTAGTGATAATGATGCTAGAAAAAAACAATGGCAGAAGAAGATGGGTAGACACAGATGAGGGAAGGGAGCTTTGTGATGCCGTAATTGCTGCAATGCGCCCGCAAATCCAAATGGGCAACAACGACGATAGCCGAGATGGACTGCCAGCTTTATACCGCGCTGCACACAGTTTCCACGATCTGTTTTGTTTGCAACGTCGACTGCCATGCAACAGCACGTTATTTTGGGTGAAGTTGCAAGCCCTCGGAGAATCTAGGTAGCGCAGACTAAGTTGGAGCCACGGTCCGAATCCGAGCGGTAGCTTCAATAGCCTGTCGCATGAGTATGGATATCGGGATAATAGCCACGGCTGGTTTCCATGCCCTGAAAGCGACCGCATCCTCCTCCCAGAGGCCATCCAGTGCTCATATGAGTGTTGCCCGGATACTCCTCCTTGATTCGACGATCGGGGTGGGGTAATGAGGCGGATTCCAACTTGGCTTCATAGATGGGAGCCGGGTAGTACTGATAGTCATGATGGCTATCCCCCAGCTTGACGTCTTCTCCGTCCATCATATGATGATCACCAACAAGGTTTTCGACCGGACCTCCACTGAGTGAGCTGGCGGAACTGACCGAGTGGCTACCGGCAGGGCTCGGATTCAACGAGTATGTCGCACCTCTGTAAATACCACTGCCCATTCCTGAAGCACCGCTGCGAGTTAAACCACTGGTATATGTGCTGAACGTGGTACCAGAGTTGGAGCCAAGGCCGTGATGACCTGGGCCACCCATGCCGCCGCTGCCAGTTCCCCTGGAATTATTTGAATTGTGTGGGGTTTCGTCTTTGTAATGACTGGGAGAACGCCCACGAACGACGACAGGATGGGAAGAGCGGGAAGCGACTCGAACCCAGTTTGGCTCGGGATCTATCGGGTTCTGTATATTGGCCCACAGGTCCACGATGAGATGGTAGTATTGCTGTTGAGCCCGGCGCTTGCCATTGTTTGCGGTAGCGTACTTGAACTGAATGCGCTCAAAAACGTGCTGGTACTTGTCCTTGCCGGTGTGGGTAGCGGGCGAATACTGCTGCGAAGAGTCCTGGTCACTCACGTTTTGTAGAGGCAACTGAGGACCCACGAAATGGTTACCCTGATTGTAATTGTTTTGAAGGGCATAGTTGCTGTGCTCGTTCGACTTTGCCGGTGGGGTAGGAGCACAAAGCTCCTTCTTCATGGTAAGCTGCGGACCTTTGTCTCGCTTCGCGGTGTGCTGGATCAGGTCAACCCCCTTGCCGGTCGATCCATCGACGGCGGCTGCAAGCGATACGGCGAAAGATTGTATCTGCTGGGCCTGTTTGTTGCTGCCGGTCTTGGTCAAATAGAGCCTAGAATTCGGTGACGGGCTTGGTGCAAGGCCGTGATGCACGTTGACAGCAAAGTAGTTTCTCCGGTAGCATGTCCAAACGCGGTCGGGGGAATAGAAGAAGCCTTTTTCGATTTTGACTTCGAGATTTGGGACGATGAGCACACCTTCACTGGTGATGTCGCAATAGGTTTCTTGCTGGTGAAAAGGCGGGGAATCCTGGAGGCCTTCGGCTGGGTTGTACGCCATAACAGAGGGAGCATAAGCGTGAGGAATGGCGATGGGGGTGTTTAGGGAAGTCCTAGGCGTGTCCTGGCTGTAGCGGGACAGGTCACCGCCGGTGTGAGGGGAAGAAAGAGGATAGGTATGCCGACTCAGAGATGGTGTTGACGAGGCATAAGTATCCCTGGCGGAGGAGGCCAGGGGGGGTGACACGGGATGTCCCAGGCCAGACGTGCGCGTCGGAGGCAGCATAGCCGACGAGGATTCAGTCCTACGTAGAGATTGTCAGCTGTCATGCATAAGGTTATGGTTGTTGATTACCGTCTGTTTTACAGACACAGGCAGACGCGCCACAAAGGCTACCTACATCATAGAGGGTGGACGACTCGACGACATGGTGCTGCCGTAACCAAAAGGTGAGCAGGTGTTGTTTGACGACGACGGCAAGGAATTGCTGTAGGCGAATGGGGAGGGGGCCGGGGTGTTGAAGCCCAACAGAGACGAGGTGTTGGAGCTGGGGGGGGTGGAGAGGGGACTTGAGCCCGTGTGCAAAAGGGTAGATTGCGGATAGCTGTGGGAGAGGGTCAGTGTCTCTAGGCAGAACAGAGGTAGCGAGCGTGGGCAATGGGTAAGGACAAAAACAGCGAAGTGTAACGGAGATCGGGTGGCACAGCCAGTATAAGGCCTGGATGGGAACACAGAGGCCATGGGCAATGCCGTTTAGCTTGTCGTGTGATGCAATGTGACCGCCCGGCGTGCTGGGAGAGCCAGGTGCGCCATGCGTCCGGGGTGAGGAGGACGATGGATTGTTTGTTTCGACGATTGTGAAGCCAGCACGAATGCACCAGGCTACGAGGCGTCGAGGCAAGCAAGCAGGCCGGCGGAGGGGGGGAAGACGGGCAGCAAGAAGGGGCAGGGGGGTGAGGGCAGGTAGGCAGGACCAGGCAACACTGCACAGGCTGCAGAGCAATGCCCACGCCAGACCCCCCGGAGAGAAAGGGGCCAATAGAGAATGCAAGACTTACGAGGGGTCGGAACGGTAGGGAGGAAAACGGCTGGCTATCGACGACGACGACAGGTGCGAGGCCGACGGTGACTGGCCGAGCGAGAGTTCGCGCTTCAGGTCGGGAACAGCTGCAAAGGAGCTGTGGGTATGTTGGTGAGGATGATGTGCATGCGAACCAATGCTGTCGGAGCATTCCTGGTCCTGGAGAAAAGAATCGTCGGACGCCAACGGCAGAGGAGACTGGAGCACTGCTTATCCACAAGAGTCAGCCAACGGATCCCATTGATCCAACCACGAATGCACCATCCATCGAGAAGGCAAGAAGGCAAGAAATCAAGAAAGCAAGCAAGCAAGCAGACTACTGGGTGATACAAAAACAGACAAAGTGCACCCGGCCATGATGTGTGTGCCTGTGTGTGCTTGTGTGCTTCTGCTGAGATGCTAGCGAGCGAAAAGCCCCTCGAGCTCCAGAGGCGCGTGAAACGGCGCAATGGTGGCACAGGGCTCCGCAATCGGGTGGTTTTGGGCAGGGCACTACATGCGAGCGCAGCACAGGTGCATCCGACCTGTTGGAGGGAGGCAAAGGCTGAGATAAAGAAACACCATGCCCAGACAAACAGGGCGGCGGGGTGGGGGGATAGGCGGAGGAATGTGGGATTTATGGAAGAATGCGGAGAAGACCGCGAATGCAGATGAACAGCGCAGTGTTGAAGCTGCAGCTTGGGGCTGGGTTAGGGAGAGGGGGGGAGCTGTATGTGTATGTGCATGTGTGCGCGCGTAATGTACCCATACATGAACGTACATAGATACATATGTAGGTGCAAGTAGAAGGGCATTGACGACAAGGAACAATACAACTCCAATGCCAACGTCCAACTTACCCTGATTCATCTTGGCAGTGCAGTTGCAACCCGTAGAGGCTGCAGCGCTCCCAAAGTTCCTGCTTCTATCCTATCTTCCTTCTCTCTCTCTCTCTCTCTCTCTCTCTTTTCGCTCACTCTCTCAATCTCGATCTCAGCAAAGAAACCAGTGTCGAGCAATCGAAAGCTGACTCTTGCGAGATTGACCTGATTGTCCGTTAACTGGGTTTCTCTTGCTACTCTAGACTGCGCACTGGGAAAGCGAGGCAGGATGGCAAGGCTCGCGCACGCTTCACTCTACTCACTCAGCTGGCGAACCCGAGGGCGCGGTTCCGAAGACGACGCCAGGTGTGAGTGGTTGGAGCGAAGCGCTGACTGCGTTGGTGGCAGGCAAAGGCGAAGGAAAGGCTGACCTGTTGGAATGAATGGATAAAGATGTTGATTGCGGACTCGACGACCGGTATGATCAGGTCGGCCTCGGGTTCGGGAGGTGAATGGGCGCTGGCGGTGCTAGCAATGCCGATGCTGGACGCAAAAAGAGAGGGAAGTAGGGTCGTTGGCTCGTTTGTAGAGATTCAATGGACCACTGGGGTGGTTTAGCCGGCAACAGCACAGGCAGGCAGGTACAGGGGCGAGATCTTCGTTAGCTGCCGCTGGCTTGCGATGGTGGCTGTCAATCCGCGGATGCAGCTTGGAGGAGTGCTGTCGAAGGATTCGATTCCCGGTGCAGGAGCAAGCAGCGCGGTGGGTTTGATGCGCGCGCTTTCCAGCAGATTGGTTCGCTGTCGTCGTCGTCCTGGCCGGCGCTGGTGGACGGATTGGGAGAGAAGGGGGAGGGCGGAGAGCTATCTTTATCTGGGAGAGGAGGTGTGAAGTTGGACAGCCGAGCAGATGGAAAGGTGGGCGTGTCGATGTGCGCGTGTGCGTTCGGAAGCCCACGGTCGTCGTTTTGGTCGTCGTCTCTTCTGGCCGAGGGCTTGGTTGCTCTCGCGGGCACGTCTTCACACCGGCGCCTCGGAAGGGGAGCAGCGGCGGCAGCAACAGAAGCAGCGGCAGACAGGGTGCCGGTGGGGGGAGGGGACGAGGCGGCTGGTGATTGGGCCGCCGAATGCTTGCCTGTTTGCCTGTTTGCTTGCTGGCTTGCTTGTTTGCCTGTTTGCTTGCTGGCTTGCTTGCTGGCGGGCTGGCGGGCGACTCTTGATCAACGGCACTGCTGCTGCGTGAGTACATATATAGGTAAACAAGGGCAAGCCGAGCAAAAGAGAGCGAATCAAGAAGACGTCGATTGATGGGGAAAAACGGCGACCTGGAAGGGAGGGCGGCGGTGAAGGCGGCGGGAATCGACATACATACAAGGTATATAGGAGCAACCGCAAATGTCTCGTCGAATAACGCAGATGCTTTTGCTGGTGGTTCGGCTACTGCGAGTGCTCCGCCGCGGGCTGCACGTCACTCGCTCGAGAGTCTGGGATAGGCAGACAGACGCCTCGCTCGCTACAGCCGTCCGGTGCACTTTGCTTGTTCCCGCCTCCACAGATCCCCCAGCCAGGCGAGGCCAGCCAAGGCAAAGGCAAGGGCAAGGTCAAGGGCCAGCAGCAGCAGCAGGGTTGCCGCCGGATGCACAGACTGGATGATCCGCTCGGATCGGATCTGTCGACTTTTCGCTACCTGGTCAACCAACAATCTCCTCTCTGTCTCTCCGCCGTGGCGGTGAGTCTCGATTCATACGTACGTTTTGATGAGCCCAATCAATCAGTTACTCGATCGACCGCTGACCAACGCCCGCAAGGCTGCTGCTGCCATCTGTCAGTCTCGCAATGCCCTGCAACCTCAATTCTGCTGAAACAGACCTACATACACGATGGGCTCCACTGCTGCTGCGTGTCAGATCCCAGCAAAACAAATTATATATATATATACCGAATATATATATATATAAATATATGCTGCGGTGGCGGTCGCGATGCCGATTTCGTCTTGGCACTGTACCATCGTTAGCTATCCCAATCTGCCCCTTCGTCTGCACTCGCCCGCTATCTGCTGGTCGTTACATATGCGTACATGATGCTGATGACCAAGATGGTGCTGCTGCCTCTTCTTCTTGCTTCTTCCAGTCTGGCCCCCGATTCTTTCCTTTGTTTTCTTTTTCTGTATCCAGCCCTGGATAGCGTCAGATAACGGCAACCGACGTCAGTGGACGCAAGGGCTATGGCGTGCAGATATGTATAGGTATGTAATGTATGTATGCAATGACAACAAACAGGAGGTGCGCTGCGGACACCCGGGCCAAGTGAACTTACAAGCAACAAGAGTGATTGCCCTTGCCCACAATGCAAAGGATCTGGAATTATATATGCAGTCTTCTTCTACATCCACCCTAAACCGCTAGTGCTTGGGTTCCACAGGTCCCGGACCAGGGTCCGACTGATTGATGGACTGATGATGATGGATGGATGGATTGATGTACCCCTCCCAATCCCCGAGATTTTCATTGCCTTGTTTGGTTCCCAGACTCGACGTTCCTTGGCGCAAAGAAAGAAACAAAATGAGAAGGACCAGACGTTGAACAGGGAAATGAGGACCGTTGGTGATGCTAGGCAGACAAATGATGGTTTAGTTTGAAAGAAAGCAGCAAGAACGAAATGATTAGAACCAGGTTTGTGCAAAACGGAAATTTTGGAAGTGACCGGAGAATTATGGGCGTGTGGCAGATCAGAGATGCAGGAACAACCACCAGCCCGAATAGGAGTAGCCGGTACAAGTGATATACGGCTGACGATACATGGCTTTCTTGGGACCGATGAATACAGACTGACAAGGGAGATGGTACTGGGGACTGGGGACTAGAGGGGGATCATGGGCCATGGGCAGTGCCGCCGGGTGGTGTGGCTCAAAGGAGCAATGTCTGCCAAAGCGTGCTATTGCTTCAGAGCTTCTTTCGGGTTGCTGGATCAACATCTCAGCCCCTCTTGCAAAGGCTAGGTGGGTAGGTAGCCAGGCATCGCGCGGCTCGAAGGTCAGACCATGGCTGCCCTCTAGCACCACGGTAGCATTGGCAAGCTGCAGCATAAAATCTTGCCCAAATCGGTGCCTTTGTGTAGCCAGAGTCGTCAGCGAGGGAGGCCCCCATGCCCTGGCCGGTGTGTCTGGCTGGCTCATAACATTCCTCGCCACTGGGATCAAGGCTTCAAGGACCCCACCAACGGCAATCGTGACAAAGTATTGGCTCCTTTGCACCATGTTATCCCATGCAGCAGCAACGACGCAGGAACATTGGCCACGACACCTGGGCTGTCGATAGCGGGCGACTCGACACGGCAGCGCATCACCCGTCGGCTTGGGACCGCGATGTTTCATCTGCCAGCCCGCCCGGATTTAATGCAGCATTTACATGTCAGCAAAGCAGATGCCTACGGCACCATTGACAGGATCAAAGAAAAAGATAGTGGGGGTGGGGACCAAAGTAGACAGACCATGGTCCACGACATGCGCGTATGGAAAGGAAGGAAAACAAAAACCAGAGAAAGAAATAACAATAGCCGTAGCCCACCTGCAAGTTGGAATAAAGAAAGGGAAAAAAAAAGAAAACAACAAAGAACAATCAGGCCACCAACCCGGCCAAAGCGCAGTTCTTAGTGATAGAAAATCATACGACAATGAATGAAGACACGAGGAATTAGAAAGAAGGCCGCCTCTTCAGTACCATCAGCAATTTTTTACGTAGTCTGTTGCCCGTCACAGTGCGATAACAGTGCGGGCTATACGGTCCAGTTCTCGCTCGCTGCAGGCATCCGTTTTCCGACTCCCACTAAGGCAAGAAAAGGGTTGCATCGCGGCGGTTTGAGTTGGAAGTAAAGTCTTTTCACACATAGACACACAGGCACACGCACACGTCAATGAATGCGCGATTGATGGCCACTGCAGGTGACGCTCGCTGTGCCGTAGTCCGGGCTTCCTCTAGCCGTCCCAGCAGCATGTTCCACTGCGCAACTCTCCGAAAAGAGACGGAGTCACCAGTTGGCCTCGTCCAGTCAATTGCGGCTTTGGCAACCCAGGTGAGGCGTGGCGCGGTAGGTAGGTCCGGAGGTCGGCACAGCGGTGATGCTAGGTATCTTGCCGTATTGGCTGGCCAGAGATGACAGACAAAATGGATCAAAGAAAAGAGACGACAAGCCGAGTATCCCTTGCGTTAGGCACTCGATATTAGCTGCGTATGTACAAGTTGGGAGGGTTTGGGGACTAGAGATTGAGGGGGGGAGAGGTGGGGAAGAGGGGTCATCAACAAGTTGGAGATGAACGTCAAGCGACAGGCGAAATGCAATATACAAGGAGAAGGCATGAAGCATGGGGAGGCGGGGGCGTAGTTGGGTGAGAGTACCATCGAGGAGCAGGGGGGGGAGGTGTGGGAAGGGATGAGGTCAAGGGCTAAGAAGCCACTAACGATGGTGCTAGTCCATTTGCGGTTGTGGATCATGGTGAGGATGGTGGTCGGTGTTGACGTGCAGTTGCCCACATACACTTTGCCCACCTGCACACAAGCCCGTATGTATGTACATGTGTATGGACGTGCGTATGTGTAGTCAAAGCGGCCGAGTGACCGGTCTGCTGCCGCGAAGCTGATAAAGCTAGTTTCTTGATCAAGTCAAGCATTGCATCAGCTTTGTTCTTTTCTGCTCCCGAGGACCCTGCCGTCGACCTCTGGCCCGCGCCTATCTGCTTTGGGCCTTAGCGCGTCCCTTGCCGACGCACCTGCCACCCGATCTCCGTTACAGACGAGAGCTGCCCAGCCAACTGCTCATCGCTCTCAACACCATGAATGCTTATCGTGACTCTCTCCCTTACTTGCTTGCTTACCTGTTGTTATTCCTATTCCACCGTCTGGCTACGCGCTAGCAGCATGCGTGCGTGCGTCCATGCGTGCTCCTACACCTATGTAGCATTGTCTCCACGCGCGCCTGCACCGAGGTGTCATCTCTCGACATCCTCATGTGCCTCACACGTTGCTTTCGAGACTAGTGATTTCGGATTGATTCCAAATGGCATCTCGTTCCCCTGATCCTAGCTGTCCAGGTTCAAAATTGCATTCCTGACCGCCATCTCCATCATCAGTCCAATGCCTGTCCGCCTGCTTCTGATTGCTCAAAGAAAACTTCGCCGCCTGCTCCTGGCACCCACCCGATTCCTCCAAGCACCCATCCACATGACGTGTCTTTCTGTCTGTTTGAAACTGCAAAGGGAGCCAGCATGATGGGCAATGATGCATCGGGAGAAGATATCTCAACAATCACCACCAAGCCCGCACCCACACGGTAATGCGCCCATGCGTTTTGGCTGCTCCGTCCAAAGGGTGGCTTAGCGTCTGGCCAGGAAGACTTTACGAGCTGTTTCTGACTGCTACGAATGCTGTCTTGTCGTCACAAGATCTTCAGTCTTTTGCTTGCTGCAGGTGAATTCGGCTGAGGGCAGTACCAAGCTGCAGCCTCCCGCTTCATCCCCGTGACGCCCAAGTATGGGCATCCAAGCATATTGCGCCATTCCTCAATTCTATTGTCTTCTGGCGAGCTGCAGCAGTCTCGATGCACTTTGGAAGGTAATTCGGGACCAAGACTGGGCCTGATCAATTGTCTCAGCCGACCCCAAATAGCTCAACACACCGGTATCGCCCGAAAACTTGCTCCTGTTGTTGCGCCTGTGCAGTTACACCGACCAATCTAGCGTGCCCCTTCATTCAATGCGTAATCACCAGACTGACGTGACGCTGTGATCAGCTTTCAACAGAAAGTTTTGCCAGCAGCGGCACGGCCCGCTCACGAGAGAACAACGCTTCCCTCCCCCAGAAGACTGACAACAGGCCTCGCAAGACCCATTCATTCGCTGCTGGAAGTATTTCACCCTTTGGTGTTGATTTTGCTGATCACCGATAGTCTTGCCTTGACATTTTATTTCACAATCGCCTGCCTTGAAGGGGCAATAGTAAGGGGCCGACGGGCTCGCGGGACGTGTCTCACATTTCTATCGTCAAGATATCGCATCTTGTTCCGCTCGTATGCCAGCACTTGGAGATTATAATCGTCTCCCTGGTATTCTTCATCGCTTTCTGCAATGCAATCTCAGTGGCAGCTGTCATCTCTCAAGGGCATTGCTACCGGTCGCGATTCGGTGATCCAAAGCCACAATAATTGCACAATCTAGAGTGCCGCTTACCTCACGCCTCACGTCAAGTTACATGGCAACTGCCATGGAGAACAGGTTGATAGGCGCCTTGTAAACTGTCTGCACAACCTGCCACTTAGATCAGCGAGACTCGCACAGCTCATCTGGTGCGACTGTTCAACTAACACCACACTGGAACGTTCATGCCTGGGGATTGCTGGCATAATCGCGGGCTCAGTGACTCTCTGACTGATTGGATATAGCGTCGGCTTTTACATGTGGCCTCTGCTTTGATGACTCGATCACTATCTGTTTCCCTTTTTGCTGAAGCATCGACAGTCGACTCCCGTTCACCCGCTAACAACCTGTGGATCCTACTGGGCCTAAAACAAGGCTAGTCAGCGTCTTTCCCAATATCACGTTGTTTTCCCTTTCAACAAGCATTCCCTTTCAAAAATCCTCGACGGAAGAACAGACCGGTAACGAATCGTTGCACGTTGTCATACGGAGTTGCCGATACCAACCCTGAGCGATTGGCGTTGGTTTGTCACGCTTGTCGTACCATGGAACGCCAAAACCCGCCCAATCTTTGGGAGGCTCAGTCTGCCACTACGTCGAAAGTTTCCCAAAGCTTTCCTCGGTAGGCCATGCTCAGGTATGGCCAAAAGCATAACTCGTGGTTTTAAGGTATCCGCAATACAGGGCCCCGTTCGGCGCAGTCACTCCATGTACGCTACACATATGCGCGGTTCAGGTGTATTCGGAGTTTAATATGGGCCCCCAGTATATAATGGGAACAGTTATACCCTGCAGAGAGCCTTCCAGCTGCTTTCCTAGTCGTTTCCCGATGAACAATGGACACTATCTTGCCGTTGTGCTCTCCCTCATCAGGCCACGAACCGTTGGTCAGTGCGAGCGCAGACGATGCAAACTAAAAGCCCCTTTGGGAGGCACAGCTTCTTGCTTGCTGCTTCTGGAAAAGCATGTGATTCCAGCTTGCGTCTTCCTAGGAACTGATCAAGGTTTTATTCGGCGTAGCCAACGCTTGAACGTTCTGATCCTGATCCCGGGGTGCACAGCACGAGCATCCCGCTACGATATTCAAACTACACCTATCGCCAGCTGGAACGTTGCAAGAACACTCGCAGCACATCCCAGCGACTATCAAACCCCAGCGCCACAGTCGCGCAGCATGGCAAACCCCTATCGAATCTACAGCGCCGCCACCCGCCTACGGCCTACGGTTTTGTTTCAGTGGATACGGCTCCACGCATGGCAATCCTCGATACTGTCTGTGTTGTCGACTTATCTCAAGGCCGATACTTTCTTTTCCCCCACGGCCACATCACATCTCATTTCACGAGCGACCAGTGATCTTTCATAACCTCAAAGCATCGGGTCTCGAGCCATGAACGCCTGTTGAGCACAGCAGTCGATCATCCGTGACTCCCATCAGCTGACGACTGCACGAACAGTCGGGGAAAACACGAAACGATTCGCCTCAAATCCATTTGACTCTCGTATCCTCGGCCAAGAGGCACCAACAACATGATGCTCAGACGTGCCTCGATGATCACATACATCCGCATCCCGCTAAAATCTCTCCATCACCGATCAACGAGTCGCCGCTGGCGCCGCCATGTTTACTCAACTCCTCCCGATAATGTCTTACTTTGCTGTCATTATTTTTTCGGGATATCGTGGCTCAGCGATAATAAGAGCTATACCCTCTTTTGTGATGGGGGGCGGGGGTTTTGGTGTTGACACCTACTCCATTTCGTTAGAACCCAAACCCCCCCAAAAGACATGATTCCCCCTATTCCCACAACACAGGACTGCAAGCCCCTCGTGCCCAGAGTTCCAAGCCCCTTTTCAAGAATAGTTCCATTCGATAGCGTCATGTCATCTTGTCCGCCCATTTCTTCTCTCGTCCTCTTGCGGTCTAGACTCTAGGATGTGGGAAATTGAAGGTTCCCAACTAACCCTCCTAACTCTAGATTCGCGTGAAGAGCTGTTTTTCACTTTTTTCGTGTCCTTCTGAGTGTGCCTTTTTCTTCTCGTTCTGTGCATTTGCATGAATTTTGTGGGTTCGGGACTTTTTGCTCCGGCCGAATGAAGAGGTGTTGCTGTTAAACAAGTGAATGTAGCCTAGGCCTTCGTCTCCTCGGTTTTTCCCCCATTGCATTGTATTGAAATCTCGTAGCCGACAACTTTCTTTCTCTTTCTGAGATGATTTCGTTTTCTACCGCCATGTAGAATGTGATAATATCACGGTGTACTAAGCTGGGACTTGTTGGGAACAGGAAGGTCTCTGCTTATTGTTTCAGCAATAAAAGACGGGGATCCAGCTTCGAATTCTCATCGAATCAATTATTTCTACTCGCTTCTGGCACTTTTCTTTTTGAATTCTGGTGGTGTTTTATCCAGTTGCCGGCCTCGGTTTTGCGATGATGCGTGTGGACATTTTTTCCCATGTTTGTATTTCATGAAGTCGTGATGTGCAAATATGGTGAATAGGGTAATCCCAATTTTACATAGACTTTATAATAGAAATTAGATGCCGATTTGATTCTATGGGTTATGGTGAATGATGCTAGATTACGATTTGCAGGTAATAGTAAAGGGCGTTTTCATTCTTGATTATTGTGAAGTCTGTGCCGATCTCCTAAAAGCTTTGCCATGTTTCAATTGTCTGTAATACATAAAGATTAGTTGTTATATCATAAAATTTGCACATATTTCGTCTTTGTCGTTGTGCTTTTCTTAGAATAGACATATCCCGCATGTTGTCGTGAATAAGAGCCAAGGGGAGGGAACGTGGGTGTCGGTGAACAGAGGAATGACTTGGCAAGGAAGCCCGATATTCGTTTCCTCGGCCTCTATTTTTCTGGTACAGGCAAATGAATATGTATTTGAGAAAGCGATATCACAAAATGCTGTAAACTTCGTTGAAGAATTGGTTGTGTTCGTTGTATGCGTTGATCTGAAGTAGATGTGCATCTTCCACTCGACAATTTCTAGACATTTCATCGTAATTTGCTCTTCCTAAACATTTCAAGCTTTGGAGCATACGTGACGAAGTATTTCAGCCATTGATTATCGGATTCGATTTTCTGTTTCGTGTTTTAGAGTCTAGCTAGAGTCATAGCTGGGCAAAATCACGGATGTTCCTAGATGCGGGTTGTAATACAAATGTATGAGACAAGTAGTGCATGTGCACGTTGAATGATTTCATTTAAGCCTCATATACCTCTATCAGAGTCGCTCTCACGTAGAATGAAAGAGAATTCGTAGCACTGACCGGGATCCTACAATAGCAGAGCTAGCATCCCTTCTCAAACTAGCTCTTTCCCTCCTTCTTATTTTCTGTATGACTTTTGAAGCCCTCTTGTTCGCTTATAGAGCTTCTTATCTATCGAAACTAATTGCGCTGCTTGTTTAATTGGTTATCATGTTGTTGACTAGGAAATTACATTCGATCGTCCAATTTTTACCTTCGAAGTCTTAGCGAACGAACGGATACTCGATAATATATACAAATACTGGTGTCTCGGTTCGCCTTTACCGATATTGACTCAATCGGGGATGCGTTTTTTCTTGGTTAATGTGATTTCAAAACTGTGGTAGCTAATAAGATCTAGCAGGCTTCTTTCTTCTACATGAGCAGCAATACATATAAAGCTCTTCAAGTAAGTCCTCAGAGAAATTGCAGCGTTCAATTCGTACTCTATTGTGCTATATCCCATTGAACGTATATGCTTTAGATCACTTGCCAAAGATTCCCAACGTTCCGAATCACTTTATTTTGTACGGCCTTCTTTCAATTTTACTACTTCCTTCTTATGATATGAAGATTTATGTGTTTATTAAAACAAGAGTATTCTCAGAACAGAGATCTTTCGCGAGTGTGTCTGCAGACTTATTATTGTTAAGATCGTTTCAGACAGTGTCACTGTGACATACATATGAGTTTTAGAGCGCCGTTGAACGAGAAGAACCAGCAAAAATAAGAATACGGATGGAAAATGATGCACGTGTCATTGAGATTCAAGTCGTATCAACGTCTTATAGCATTATCGCAGTAAAATTAAGTTGAAGTTGCTGTTCTTGACGCCAACAAATGAGAATAGCATGGATAGAATGACTTGACAGGTTGATGCTTCTTTTCAATGTCATATCTCTGCATAGCCCGTATGCCGCATGGATGAGCTAAAGAGATATGAAACAACAACTCATCACCTATAACAATACACAATATCAATAAATATGTAGAGAATACCCATTTTTTTATAAGTTATGGGGTAGGGATGTTGTAAGCTTGGGAGTACTTGTCTCCACCGTCTATTTCTATACTCTTCTTTGCCCCCCCGCGCTGCCGATTTCTAATCTGGAATCTAACAAAAAAATCCATCCAACAACATAAAAGCAAAACGACAATGATATATACATAATGATCATCCCTTTTTTGAAGGATCTACGCCAAGTTGACTAGTCAAGCCTATGAAGAAGCGGCCGAACAATGCGGCCTCGAAAGACTTGATACCATCTCTTCCTCGCCCAAATGTGAATGAAACGTTGTCGGATGGACGTACCTGGATATTGATAGCAAGTATGCATATCTAATCTGTCCTTGAATTACCTGAAAAGCTCGGACATTGGAGAAAGGGAGAGTTCTTAATTAGTCGTAATGGAAATCGACAGCGTCCAAGATCTTCTATCACCAGAATGGTGGTTTCCTAGATCGACATGGTCTTAAAACCATTATAATTATAATCTTTATGGAAATACTAGTAAGTAAGTAGATGGACTCAGTCTTATTTATGACTACCCGTACGCATAAAATGCTCCAAACCATATAGGTCTAATAATAATGTCTAATGTTCTCCCTATGCACGATAAATTTTCTCTATACAATCGAAATCTTGTTTAAATTCCCACCCCTGTTCCGACCAACCAGAAGGATAGAGCTTCGAAGATTTCTTAATCCACATTTTCTATGCGTCATCAAAGACTAAAGGAACTCTTTATATCTTTTTTTAGTCACTCAACCGAAAGATAGCATTCTTGTACGAAAGTAAAATCTGCTATATCAAGCAATTTATAACATAAGAAGTCCTATGAAAAGAAAGAAACAAATCTCAACCCCTAAGTCGCGATTCCTGGAAAAGATAATCAAATTCTTTACCCACAAAATCACTCATGCCGCACTCTAAGCCCAAATACATTTCAGAGATGCATAGCTCGAAAAGCTAAACTTTCAGGTAAGTTATGGAAGAACAGTGGACGCTTGCAAACGAAGAAATCAAATAATAGAAATCCCCGGAGTGGGAACTTATGAGAAGTCAACTTAAGCAGTAAGCACAATCCACAATCAAATTAATAAGGTGGGAAGCGTTGTGATCATCACTGTATTTGGTCATATCAGAAGACACTAAGGACGTAGTTGCGTATAGAAGATTTGCTCGCAAGATTGTGTGTTGTGTGTGCAGTATGACCATCCTCCACTATTCGCACATCAAGAATTTCCGAGTATTTTTAACAAGCTAAAGCTGACATTAAGATGAGCTCCTAGTAGAGCATTGATTTTCCTGTACGCCAATTTCCCTGGACTCCTGGAGTCTATTTGTGTTGGATCTTATTATTCGCAATTGCTATGAATCACACAAGTCAGTGCCTTCATGAGCTTCATAGAGTCGGGAGATCGGGGGAATAGTCATCCTCAAACGTGCTAGACAAAAGGTAAAATCTTGAGACGAGGCTTTGCGCTTGAAGAGTATGTGCGATTGCAGAGTTACACTAGTTGATCTACTTGCCCTTACGTTCTTCGAAGCAGCGATGAGGTGAAGTCGACTTCTGACACTGACAGCGACCCCAGATTAACCGGCTTTATAGTCTTTTCGAAGTCGAACAGCACTGCTGATGGGTCTAACGGAAATGAGAATGCGATGGTAAACAGTATGTTGGCAGCCATGATAATGGAATAAGTACTTATGTTGAGGCTTTTCATGCTGAACATACTAAAGCTCCGGATGGGGATGATCTGGATTAAGGTGAGGAGATGCTCCAACTTTCAGGTACTGTGTAGAGTGTATCTATAGGACTTCACATAGTGGTTTACTGCATAGAGAAACCATGTAGGAAATTAGTATACTCGAAGCAGTGGAAAGTGTGAGTAAATAGGGAATGGCAAGAAAGAAAGTCGAGCAAGCATTTGTGGGATAAGAAAGGCTATGTAGCGTGATCTTTCACGTACTGCAGAACGGTAAAATGATATCGGGGTATCCCATTCTTTCTATCGAGGACGGGGATAGGAGAAGAGGTATGACAGGCAGGTACACGAATGTGTTGAAACCTGAAGCAGAGACAAAACTGCGCCAGGATATGGTGCTATGTTGCGAGCAGGCCGTTAATGATAGGATTCTGCATGGCTAAACGTAGCATATCAAAAGATTGCGTTGGTCGTGAAAGATCAAAGTGTTGATACGAGATTATCCATTCGAGACGGCAGAAAGTTCGACTGGATCTCTTGGGGAAAGCTACTGCCTGACACGTCACGAGCAAACGAGTCTCGGGAATTGGAAGACAGGGATCGAGCAGGCTTGCAAGTAAGGCGGAATGAGCGGTTTCCCCTCCTGCGCCATGCTCTTGAACTGCGATTCTACAGGAATCCCCGAACAAAATAGAATGGGGGATGTTTTAAGGGATGGGGGCGAATGATGCAGATGCAAGACGTGGCAATGAAGGCAATGGAGGCGAAGTGATGGCGCCCACAGCCCTGTTCTCGCCACTGGACGCTGGATCGCTCAACAAATGCCCTATTCTTTATTGATTACTACACAAAATGAGAATACGAGCTCTGTAAACCGATCAAGTAAATGTCAATGTCGTGGCAGTTCAAGCTGGGAGCGGTATCGGTCAGTGAGGCGGGTGAAGGGAGTGGAAAACAAAAGAGCCGTGGATGATGTACGAAGCTGTGCAGCCCAAGCCGGAGAAAGAAAGTGACAGTGAGCTGTTCATGCCCGTTGAAACCAAACGAATGAGAAAGCGTAGGAATCCGGATGAGATGATATGTGTTGGTTGTTGAGGTGTTGCAGGATTGTGCGTCAGTGCTACAGTGAAGACCAAATAGGCGCAACACGTTCTTTGCTGTGATTGGTCTGATGGCAGGAAAGCGAAAACCACTATGTTCGCGTGGTATATTTAGATTGTAATCCAACGAGATTGAAAAGAGAGTGCTCGACAACCATGGGGCAGTTTATAGTTATTGAGGTCATTTCATCCAAAAACCATGGGGTCACAAGCGCAAGCAAGTAGAGGAGCGTTTTCGCGACGAGTATGCTGATTTGGGCAAATGAGAATACCTCGCCACCTAGGTAGAGAGTTTGGATGCAAAGCACAGTGATGACTAATGACGAGGTCAGCCTGGAAGAGGTATTTGTTGATGCCTGATTGAGAAGGCGGACGATGAATGACGGAATGCCTGAAAGCGAACCGCCACGTTTTTTTTTTGGTAGGGCAATGACTAGTGATTGCTGCAGCGCCGGGATGGATGAGTTGTTCATCGTTTGAGGGTGGGGCGGCCAAGGGAACCAGGCACACAAATGGGGTGCCGGAAATGTGATTTACTGCGTATGACATGCACGGGGAGAGTGACGAGATGACTGCAGCGTCGACCATGACGTAGAAAGAGGAAGCTGGCAAGAAGTGTTGATGAAGCGCTGGGGCCGCGACGATCTGGTGATGATGGGGTGGTGGAGAGAGTGGCCAGCAGCGCCGAGATGGAGTATGAGCATTTGAATGCATTCATACATGTACCCACGCAGCACGTGGGATGGATCAGCGCGGCAGAGACGGACACCATCAGCCATCTCCCGCGGGCGGGTCTTGAAAGCTACCAAGGAAGTCCCGGCAGATGCTTTGGTGCTGGCCCAGTCCCGGCGGTGCTGTTGGAGCCAAAGGACCAGTGAAGCAGGGTGGCTTTGAACTGCGACACAGTCAACATGTAAGAATGCCATGCTCTCATCATCTCTTGGTTGTTGTCGATAGGGGACTGCGGCGTCGACGGATCATGTAGATGCAAATGGAGGGAAGATGCGATACATGATTCGTGGGCAATACGCTGTGAGGGCTGCACAGGATCGCTTCCGCAGCGGTCATCGGGCGTGATGGGGATGCTCCATGCGGGTAGCGTTACTCAACCATCATGTCTTATTCGATGTGATGAGCAAGGGCGAAGCCAATACTTTTGCGCGTCTTACGGCCATGTCTGAGTAAAGCTCCATTCTTCTTTGCTGCGTGGCTGGCTGCTTCTGGGCTTACTTGCCGTTAGACGACCATCACCCCCAACCTTCATCCCTCTTGTTCCAACTCTTACCTACCGCCCACCACCCTTCACATCTTCTTCTGCGTCTTCTCCAAGCACGCCTCATTGATTCTTCTGCACATTCTCCACAATTATCCCCCATTCTCCTTTCCCTCTTCTTTTCTTTTCTTTTCTTGGACAGCAACATCGATAGCAAGGACAGCGCAATCATCATCCATCATCCTGTATCAAGGTATCCCCCAGCCGTGCGTCTCGTGCCGCCAAGGATCAAGGGCCAACTCACTCCACTTTGCGCGAGCGTGGCTGGACTTTCACGCTACTTCTACATATACATACACCGCTGCAGCTGCTGCATTTCGCATGCGATTCACATCCCTCCATCCATATAATCATTCCTTCTTCACCCTTGATCGGCTTTGAAGCAAGACTGGGTCGAGTCTATACACCATGGCGCGGACTGTGCAGTGGGAGCACGGCTCAAGTCAAAGTTCGGCACCATCGAATCGAACCGCTAGCGAACGATCGTACGAAACCGTCCCCACCGAATACAGCGTGCACAACACTCGACCTTCCATACCTCGCCATGAGACATGTCTGGGTCGCGTAGAAAGCCGAGGCCACAATTACTTTGCCGCACCCGTCATCGACGGCCCTTCAGAGTCTCACACCGCTCGTTCTTCTGTCGACACTTACGCATCCACATCAGAGGAAGAGCTCGCCGACGAATTCGACGACATTCCCGAATACCATGTCCCACAATACAACCACGAACCTCTTGTGCAGGATGCAATTCCGACTACAGCTCGCGATTTTGCCGACCTTTTCCCCACCTCGAAACGTATATCGATCCGCCACGACGACTCTACAATCGATGGAAACATGAACTTGCGTGTCGACACTCAGATCGAGGGGCATCGTGGCTTGAAGCAAAACTATACTCTGTTCCATTTGCGCATGCACGATTTGCGCACTCGGGAATTTTCCTTGCGGCGGTACTGCAGAGAGTCTGGTCGTGAAGTCTGCCATTCCATCCGCAAATACAAGACTCCTGCATCCGAAAAGCGCCCTGTCTTGCAAAGGGCTAGCACTGCCCTCGCTGGATTGATGCACAAGCCCGAATCACGTCCATCCACTTCGGCGGGCCTCAAGCGATCGGACTCGGGCTACGAATCGATTCGTAACGCAGTAAACCAAGAAGAGCATGAGTCACTCCCCAAGACTACTGGCTATTCCAAGGGACGAGCGCTGATGCCTACCAACACTGTCAAGTTGGAGTATTCAAACTATGCGCACATCGATGTCAAACGACGAGGCGCCAAGGGCAGCAAGCGATACTCGTTCGAATACTGGGGACACGACTATTCGTGGAAACGAATCGTCGATACGGATGATCACGAGAGCGTCTCTTACTACCTAGTGCGTTCTGATGGCGGGAAAGAACCCTTGGCCCACATAAGCCCTCTTCGCTTGACTCATGATCAGGCGCGCGCGGAGGCAGCAATGGGTGGATGGATTCCACCTTGCTACATGCGCATCACCGACGAAAATGTTTTGAATTCCACCAGCGATATCTCAGAGTAAGTGCGACACGACTTCTATGCGTGGCTCATCTAATCATCGTAACAGCATTGTGGTTTCTACCGGGCTTATGGCTTTGGTGGACGATTGCATCAAACGACGTTTTCACTCCAAACAAAGCACCGAGTTGCACATTCCCCTTTTGGGGAACAAAATGCACATCGACTACGTTGGCCCCAAACGTCTGATTGATGAAGTGTTCCATCGCAACAAGCCTAGTATAGCAGCAAGCAGACATCCGTCCGCGTTGCGTCGTACTGCGACACACGCATGACGTTTTTGCTTTCGATGCCCCTCATGTCTTTCATTTGTAAAATTTTGCCCCGCTAGATTGGCTGCCTTCATCTTTCCTATTACATGCTTTTAGCGCATTGTAAATACGTTTTTGTTGGGCCGCAAAGTCGCCTCTCGTACGTCGCACATGATCATGGCTTATGATACCTGATCAACCTCGCGTCTGCGCGTTTAGGACACTCTAGGTCTCACTGGGTGACTAGGAGATCTGATCTGCATAGCCGCGGGGCGTGTGTCTTTTTGTAAGAAGTATGGTATTTTTTTCGTTCATGATATCCCTTTCTTTGGTAGCGGGGCGTGTGGTGTATAGTTTGACCTTTTTTTACATATGGATGTTTGCTACCTTTTGGTGCAGTTGGACTTGATTGTTCACAGGTATGTTAAAGTCTGTGCTTATAGCATACATGCATACCATAATGAATCATGCCTCATGATTTTCTACAATAATACACGACTACGCTTCTAAGTTACCCAATATATATATAGTGCGCTGAATTCTTGGTTCACATCAAATTCTTCTGCTACCATAGGTACTAGTAGTGTATATGATGTATGCACGCCCACCGATGGTGGCAGTCATCAATCACCCTCACTTTCCGATGCATCGGTACAGGTTATGTAGCAGAACTGATAATGATAAGCGTACAGGAGCAGCAAGTAGGTACCCTTCTACACAGTTCTTTCCCCGGTCATGTCACTCATTTGACGAACTCGCTCACTCGCCTCATCCAAAGGTTGAGCCACCCTTGATTAACGTCAAAATCACGCATATATAAACAAACATAGGTAAAACCGCTAGCTCTCCACTATCCACCAAAAAGGTTCAAACTGCAATAACAATCAAACAAGGAGCCGTGAACCTCACGGCGCCGCCTCATTCCCGACTAGAAGGCGCACGCAGGCATGCGCACTGCTGCGCTGGCATAGACGCAATATGCATCGACAACCCCAATTGTTGCATTATTCGAGTTTGCTCCTATGTAACCACCCATATAGCTAACTCTCGGACCGTAATCGAACCTCCCGACGTTCGCTCTTCCGTGCATTCGGACGGATCGGAGCATGAGAACAACTGTTCGGGTGGTTAGACTCAAAACTGAGCATTCTTATCCTCTTGTTGTTCAATTGCATCCCAAAAACAACCCATCTTGTTTCTGCAGTTGTATATAAAGTTATAGATAGATCCAACACCCCCCTTGAACGTCTTTGTACATGCTAGAACCCCCAGAATACAAAACAGCCGCCTGTCGCGCAAACACGCTCGTTGAGAAACAGTTCCGAACCCACATATTTTCCCATCACCATGGCTGCAAGTGCTCCCTGGTCTCAACGTCTGAGAGGTATGTATATGCGTGCACATCATACATACATACATAGCATACCCTAGCGTAGCATACATGCCAACCATCCCATCTCCACTACTCCGCCGAAGCACCATCATTCTCCACAACAAAGGCTAACCACACCCGAACCAACCCCACAGAACACTGCATAGTGCGAAGTTTGGGCCAGCCGATGTGGCAAGACATTTCTGACCGTCGCGGTGGACGAACTGCTTGGTCAAGCGTCGTTGCTATCCAGGGTAATACGTATCAAGCTCGGTTTTGGTATGACGGCGCGTACGTGGAGCAAGCGAGGGAAGATGCTGCTGAGGTTGCGCTGAGGAACATCACGGGCTATCTAAATCCGAGTCAAGATCCTCCCCCTGCGTCTCACTATTCAAGGGCTTGAACGGAGAGGTGGTGAATGATGTTTGATGTGTTGCTGGTGGTGCGCAAAAACTTATCGTTCTGTATCAATGATAGGGGTGGAAGTTTGTCCTTTTTTTCTCTGGAGGGGGCTTGTTTTTTTTTTTTCATGGGTATTGAAGAATTTGATGATGTGCAATCGTTATGCGTGTGAAAGTTTGAATGTCTTTAGGATTTTGGCATTTTGGATGGCTTCCTTGGTATGAATTTATGATTTTTCACTATTTGCTTGCTGTGTTTTGAGGCTATGACCATCGGTGAGATCTGGCACTATACACAGTACAGAAAAACACAGTGAACTGCCCAAGAACAGGACTCAGGTGAATGCATGTGCTCACCGTTCTTTTGTATTCAATCATGTGTGCGAATTGTTACCTTAACTTGAAAGACTATTGTGTGTCGCATGCTGGATGTGACACAAACAATTGAGTCGAGTCTCAGATTTCCTCCTGTTATGGAGGAAGAACCGCTATGCTTACTGGCCATACAAGGCAAGACTATACATATGTGCCATTCTTCCTCACCCCCTGACGTTATTGCATAGTTTCGTACATATCAGACCCATCACAATGTTTGATCAGTCCTGCATGAAGCATGTTAAGAGCAGGGACAATTATCATTCGATAGTTTAGAATCCACTTTACGGCTCGGACAAATATATTGCGTATTCACTACAAAATAATATGAATGACTGGCCCTCTAAAGACCTGATACTTGAGTACCCGGCAAGAATTACAGGACTCGTAGTAGAACACCCTCATCGTAAGCGCGCACATCACTCCCAAGGAAAACATGTACAAGTTTGGGTATCTATAAGACCGCAAGATAATGCCAGGCCACGGGGAACCGGAAATGATGGCTAGCGGCAGCAGCCGGACGGGAAACCCGTTGCGCACGCCGCACGCTTGGAATTATCAGAAACGGCCTCACGAGTCAGGCGTCAACACCAAACCGGCGGCGGCGCCAACGGATCGACAGAACAGCAATTGCCTGCTAGAACCATTAGTTACACCAGTTCCCGTTGTCCAAAGTTGAGTTGTGCAAAGTAATTTCTACCTAGTCTCAATATAAAACACTTTGCCAATCACTGCAAACGCCCTCAGCACCACTGGCTCTTATCTCTGTAATTGTTATCGTATACGCTCAAACAGCCCAGCCCTTCACTGTACCTAGAAGCCCGGGATTGAGATACTAACGGCTCAATAATCCCGCTGCAGCCGCCAAAGTCAAGGCCTCCCTCCGCGGCTTCTTCGATGAATGCACCCTTGCGCAAGGCTCCCCCTCTCACGCCGAATCAAAAAGTAGTCACATTGGAAAGTACAATACGCCCTCAGCCTTTTCACATGGGCGGGGGTGAGATAATTACCTGGTCGTTGAGTTCTCCACGCCGCTCCGCCTGCTCCCCTCTAAGTCTGCCAGTCTCCACACCCCACACGTCATGCCGACCTCGAACCTAATCGGATCCCCAGGGCAACGTGGAGTGGACTGAGTGGCGCACGGTATCTCCTATATATGAGTTTACAATCCAAGCAAAGAAGGATATATTTACGGTGAGAGTAGAAGCTTTGTTTATCCTCCTGGGGGCTGCGCAAGCCAGCGGACAGCTCAGCAGCACTGGCCAAACAGCTGGGCTCACGCACGTACCCCTGACACTGATCATCATTTTCCACTACACGAAGCGTTTTGTAAGGCTGCGTGCATTCCTTCATGTGTTGACAGCACGCAATACAGCGTGCGTCCTGCTCTACCATGCATGAAGAGTACCTCAAGCGACTTCGACACAGGATGTTCTGGAGCTTCTTCGCCGTTCAGGCTATATCCTGCATGCTTCCATTGTGGCTTTGCATGCTTATTTGTTTGCTTTGTTTTGTTTTCCTTGCCCCCGCTTTGACCTCCACCGCGTGGGCATCGGGAGACGCAGTTCGGCCTAACTTTCGGCTTGATGTGACTGTGTTTGCTATGTTTCCAAGGCGTGTTGCTTCGGGGTGAGTCCTCTTTTTCTCATTTCCGATTGTCTTACTACTTCAGAAATTATGGGTGCCTGCCTTCGCACGCTCATATACCCGAACGCTATTCACGCATATCTCGTTGGCTTGGCAAATCTCTCTGGGTCAAAGGCGCCCACAATCTCACCCAAGGCTCCGAAGCTTCTCCATCCGAATCTTTAGCGACTGCATAGTTGTTGTTTATCATACCGCAGCACAGCATATTTATGTGACGCTGTGTGTCCAGGGGCGTTTTCCACTCACTACAGCGCGACAACATCGGAGCGTCCTTAACTCTTGAGACCCTCAAGAACTCGACCCGCTCATAGGGTACAGATGGCCGCTTGCGAAGTTCATTGAATATTTTCTGCAATCCTAACGTGTCATGAGACATGGATTCCAATGACGCACTGTCAGTGTGAGGCACATGAACCGTATGGATGATTTGGATCACGTGATTGTTACCCCGGGCAACCACCATCGAACCCAATAGTCAATTACTCGATGGAAGTCTTGTGTTTTTGAGAGACATGGGTTCTGTCCCTGAATATCAATGAAAAAAGATAGCTGCTACACATGAGTGTCTCGACCAGGAAGCTGATTTAGCGTTTACATCTGAACAAGAGAGAGCAGAACGGAAGAACAAGATGTCATGTAAAGCACCTAAAACATTCAGGGCTTGCGGCTGTCTATTATGTGCCATAATTAGTTTATCGCGTCGGTCTCAATGAAAAACGTGTGAATGTGTGTCAGATCACAGTCGTTGTTGCTCACTAACTTAGCTTTCACTCCATTATCTGTCTTATGTCAATTTCCATATATGTCCACTTTTTGCGGCACATTTCATTAAGTTGATGTAATAACTATAATCGATGAGCATTTCTAGTAGGTACATATAGAAACCATAGAGGTAGACCAGGAGATTGGGAAGTGGGGACTTGTCGAATCGTGGTCTTCCCTTAACTTAACCTCCATCCGCAAAGATCTTTATCAAAGTTTTCGAAACAGCTGAAATTCACAGCATTATTCCTGGCCAGAAGTTCAAAGATGGTGTCTTGAATGCTCAGTTCGGTGTGAGCAGGATCTTCAGGTTTGTATGACTTGTAGTTCAAGAATTTATCTGAGGGCAGACCGGGTGCTGTACAAGTCTAGCGATCCCAAGAATTAGAGCTCCTATCTGCCTGGTAGTAACATCTATCTTTCTCCCGTTTGATTGGAGCCTCAAATCGCCGATTTCGTCCCGTAGACTATGATGACTAAAAATGAAAAACTATCTCGGGACACTGCAGCATCGCGACAGCCGATTAAATTTGACATTGTCCACGTCAAGACATATCGCGTGTCAGTTTTCGACGAATTCCAGATTCCCCAGCAGATCATTTCAACTGGGGATTTTCGCCGGACAGGAGACTGCTGTCGACTACTTATACCATGAGTAGAGGGATAAACCAGCCATTATTGTCACGTACGCCGGCCACCTGGAGTCGATGCTCGGATTGCTCAGAGTGGACTTCGTGGACAAGACAGTTGGCATGGTCTTCCAGGTTACCCCACGCCAGATTTCTGCGTCAAGTGTGCCGAAAGGCAAGAGTTAGAGCTAGATGCAAGCAATGATGCAGCGTTTTGGAAGGAACTCCGGAGCGAGATCGCTTCGGCATGGGAAGAGCTATTGAATACGATGCTCGTAGTCTGAAATGGACGATGCGTTTATGGCTTTGTTTCATTGAGTTTTCTGAAGGGCTCTTGCAAGTTGCAAGTGCTATGTACCCATGGCGATGAACAAGTTCTGGCGCAACACAGAACGTGAGACTTTGGAACTATGTGGCCTTGATAGTAGCAGGCGGACGATGTGTCCTTCCGTTTCTTTTATGTGCTGCGCACCGGTCTCTACAGTTTGATATCTTTAGTTCACACCTCTCCCCCCTTTGGATACTTTGTGAGAATCGCTTGTGAATTATACGGTTGGTAATTGCTGTGACAAGAATCGAAACTATAAACTGTGATTGGGGGGATCTAATAATCACAATGGCAGCAAATAACCTAGCTAACAAAATTTTCATCCGTAACGCGATTTCACAAAGATGATTCCTTTGTAGTCGAAAGTCGGGCCACTGCATTTGAGAGAGATTGAAGGCTTGGAGCGTCGAAGTATCTTAGGTGCAATGTTTAACCACAATTTGATTTGGGCTTATTGGTAATAGAATCTAAGACGGTAATGAGTTTACTATTGTAACTGAGATTATGTAACGGAAAACGCCATGGAAGGCTGCATACAGTTTAGATTTACAGTTTGATGCGTAAGTTCTACACGGATATATTGATCTATACATATTTCTGCACACCATCCCGCCTGTTTGAGAAGTATATGTACACTGATTGTCTATTAATAGCACAATACGACATACATACAGGAGGAGAAGGTGGATTTTAAATTGCGCGGTTGCTTGACCTAAATTGGCGATCTAGCCGACAAACTGTACCCGGTACGTCTTGTCTACGTACTTTCCAGAGGTTTATATGAGAACTGAGAATAACCAAAGTAGGTATGAAAAGGTTCAGTCTTTTTCCAATACCGAAAACATGTACTTCCCGATTGGGCTTCTTATCGTTACTCTGGCTCCCCTCATCCAAGTCAATGCAAGCCCATTAACCGAAGAGACAAAGCGCTATATCACGCCGAATGGGAGTATGTATTCAACTTCCAAGAGAGCTGGTTAGATTAAACTATGTATTAATCACCCCTGTAGCCGAAGTATTTGATCCACGTCCTCACGGTCAATCCCCAGTCTACACCCATGATCGCTGGCCTCGCACTCTCTTCGTGGAACGCGACGAAACACCCACGGAATGCACCGAATTTCCGGATCGGCATGGCATCAGCGTCGAATATCTTTTCAACCAGGACAACTACACGGTATATTGCTGGCAAAACAGCACGGTGTATGACCCTGCTGGGAAAGTCTTTGTCCGCACTATCCAAGACTGCTACCTTGATGAGTATGATTTGGTAGCTGAGGACATCGATTTTGTTGAGGAACTGCCAAAATGTGGTCCTGTGAAACCATACATGATCTATAATAGCTTTTTGCTATGGAATAGCACGCCTGAGGATACCGCGCACTATACGCTGCCATGTTGGAGGGAGCCAAATACAAAGAGCCAGAGCCTTGAGACTGCCGCAACAGGTCCACATTTGTACTGCTCGGTCGAAGGAGAAAAGTATGGAAACTCGACGTGAGTGATCCTCCAGACGACTATGCAATTAACTGAATTGCGGACCCGGAGAGGGCAGTATTAACTTGAGACACAGGAAATGGTGGGAGAGCGCCCGACTTGAGGATTATAAAAAGTGCTATTTTCCGGATGACATGTTTTACGAGGGGCACAATCAAACAAGTGGTATATTTGGTCGTAAGCGCTCATCTTTACAACCCTATAAAGAAACAATACTCACGTCATGATAGAGATGTCGGGGTCGGGAGGGCCCTGCCCGTGATAAGATGGTCACTTAAGTGCACTCTACATCAGAGTGCATAAGGGGCCATAGGCTATCAATCAGAACTTGGATTTTATGTCACCACCCAATTCGCCGATGTGTATCATATTTATCAGATCTGTGCTCCAGCAATGTTCTTTTGCGCCGACCAAGTTGGTACATAACTTGGGTCGTCGCTCATGTCATTAGATGCGGCCGAGTACAGGCGTAGCAATGAATGAGTGCGCTATATTCATTCTGTCATGAATTTATAATGTACTTGCAGCGGGCTTAAGTTGGTCGTCGTAGAATAGCGGTGGAAGAGATCTGTCTGCCCGTTTGTTTTGCAGCAGGGCCCACAGACTAAATGTCATGTCACTCGATTCACTCGCGTTGCGAGGGTAAACTAGATAGAGCCATTGATCAAAGGATGTTCGTCTTACGTAGATGAATTCAATGGAAAGCCCCTTGGAGCCTTGAAATTGCCCATCTACCCCTTCAGACTCACTTCAACCATTCCCTTCAGCGCATCGATGGCCCCCGCACTTCTCCAGTCCGTCCACTGGTGGTTCAAAAGACCCCAGCTCTCTTCGTAATCCTGTGTACCACTCCTGATATAGTAACTTCCGCTCAAAACCCACACTGTCCAGCCAGTCTGCCACTTCTGCATTAAAGTCCGGATACATGTAGCATACGGCCTAGTATGTTCACTTCCTGTCTGGGAGAACCCGAACTCTGTCAGAACCACTGGCATCTTGTTTACGATGTCGTTGGTGTTATATGTTGCCCTGAATCCGTTGTCCCAAAGTCCACCTTCTATATCTCCGCAGCTGCCAGCGTCATTCTGGTAGTTGTGTAGCTCCAGGACAAGCTTGTTCGCATAGCGGAAGTCGGTCAAGCGGAACCTCTGGCCGTTGCCTAGGTCTTGGGCGCCAGGAATTGGGGTGAGCTTTGTATCGTAGTCGAGGCCGGAGAGAAATATGAGAAGCGCTGGGTTGGCGGCGTTTACGGCGGTAGCAAGCTCCATGTTATGGGTGTACCACGTTGCCCAGTTATAAGGAAGCGATGAACCCGCACTATCGGGCTTTCGGTATTCATTGCGCAGGCCGATGGAGATTAGGTTGGGCCAAGCTTTTCCCTATTCCTCGTAAGTATGTCAGAGAGAATTGGAAGCCAGTATGAGAAGAAACTGAAGTTGAGGATATGCTTGCTGCAGACTTACATGTTCAGCCATAAATGCAACGCCCCTCTTCCACTTAGCAGTGTCGAAATACCGATCTCCAAACCACGCATTGCCATCATTACCCGAGCAGCACCACGCACCCTTGGACATGTGATTGTCTAGATGGACATAGATCTGCTGTTTTTGAAGCTCTGCCGCAATCGCATCGAAGACCTTTGACAATATGTCAATGACCTATATCAATCTTGGATCCAAAGTCACGCTCAACCTACCTGCAGTCTCGTGGTGCTTGTGCTAATTGTCGGATTGTTCTTGATAACCTGTTGAAACACTTTTTCGCCATTCGTGCTGCCCAGCGCTTTCACAAACGCACGTTGCACAGTCACATCTCCGCCGTTGTCCTTGATATCGTCGATCATCTCGATCGCGAAGGTTAGTCTGACGACATTCATCTTCAAACTTTTGATCTTCGACACGATGCTTGCGATGGATTGGTATTGAAGTCCCTCGGGAATCATGACCTCACCGGCGCCAGGCCAATTAACTCCCGCATACGTGAAGTTCTCGCCAGTGGAGTCGTGAATCCATCGTTGCGAAGTAACGAAGGGAGCATTTGGGAATGCGGATGTCTGCAGGAAAGGGATAGCAGCGAGGGATGTGAGTGCTGAGAGAAAAAAGCTCTTCATTTTGGCGTATGGGTGTGAGGAGCAGATAGACAGATCGACTCCCTTAGATTTGCCCACTGGAGGTACAGTGGTTTTCAGGGATGAATATTTATCTCATATATATAGATATGTGCTCCTAAATCGCTATATCGATCCTGACTTACCTCGGTCCATCGCAGCCCGTGCTTTATTGTCGTAATCCCATTAATACCCTTTGCCATCCCCTCTTCCTGGGAGTAGAATTCGCCGCGTGCCCGTCGCATCTTTTCGAGGACACAGGTACCAACCTCACCTCATTGACGGAAATTTTGCCCCTGCCGCTGTCCCCTGCCTCCCCTCGGTCTCTTTCCGTCCGGTTATAAGAGCAAAGCAAGTTTCTCGTCCCTTCTGATTCTCTGGGTACTGGAACCATTTGCGGCATTATATCACCATAATTGGAAGACCATCCGTCATTGGAGCGTTTTATTGTTCGGCTAATAATGTGTTCCCTGTCTCAGTTGATCATATGCCTATAACGGCCGAGAGGTATAGCTCTTTTAGATTAGTGGAATGTGGGGAAATACAGGGGGATGACGCATCGGGAGCTCAAATGGCGGGAGCATAGTGTACTACAGCTTTCCTCGCAAATATAAGAGCAGATAAAAATCTATCCAAGCCTTCTATTCGTAAATAACAGATAGTACACTTAACCTCCCGCCATGCAATATCCCGATGACTCGTTGCGGGGAAGGAGACCGCGAAAGCTGGGGGGTTCGGCTTCTTTGTAAGTCATGTGTTTGTAATGCGCCGCGGGAGAAAGATACATTCGGTTAAGTCTGCGGGTTGGGGGAAGGGTTGGGACTAGACTCGGCTACATAAGGGCGAAATTCACATTGGCGTTCTCTGGGTGCGGATGGGTAGTCTCTTGGTTTATCGCCTTCGATTGTAGTGTAGCATAGGGTAGTACAGTGTGATCCATTGCCCTTCTTGCTACAGACTGGAGTAACTTCTCGTTCAACAGGATGGAAATTGTCGTTGACACTTGGCGTCACACGCCGATACCCTAAGCAAGAGGCGCCTCACATACATCGTGAACTGTTACGCTATTATTTCAGATATTAGCAGAGAGAAAATGAGTACTGACATTTGAGAACACGCAAAGGCTCACATTCGTCACCTTTACTGGGTGGGTGTAATGCATTTATTTGGGGTTTCATAGTGAGCTGTCCCGCCAATATTCAATAGTTACAATGAAGGAACTTCAGCACACGAATCCATCTAGTTTACCGTATACCAAGGATGAGTGCGCTATCGATACACAACACATACGTAGAATGTATCCAAGTTCATCCAGTTTTCTAATGCCCCGAACACTCACATTCCTTGATACAGCTACACATACTTCTTCTAATTCAGTCATCTCGATCTAGAATTGCGCCGTGCAAACTATCCAGTCGTTTGAGCTTCATAGAGATCTTCGATTTGTGCTGTTGTTCTGACTGAACCATGGATTCGAATCGATGGTGTCCCACGTATAATCAGTAAAGGACGCCGTGCTTTCTATATGAAATATTTCTTAACGACAAATTTAGTGAAACAATATAATCAGCGTCTACAAAGTATCTTCGATTTAGTACACCAGACGGATATAACGCTCTTGATGCGAGACATTACATCCCGAAAAGACGGTCTCAAACGCTAAGGCGGGATACCATCTCCCACATCAGCTGATGCCACCCTTTTCCTGCATATACAGATATATACCATGTTATTTCAAGCATCCATATCGACATGATCCATTAAAGAAGACAGACTCGCAGCACCCATATGCATAGAATGTGTGGCGCCCTCGCAGGCCAACCGCATTTTCCATGATGTCAACACATCTCGCGTGCAAAGTCCAGCCACTGTCCACACATTCCAGCCTCAGCATCCCAGTTCAACGGAACACGAAAAGCCCACGTCGTATGCACATGCAAGATGAAGAGATAAGCCGTGCGGGCACATGCAGCGCCATTCCCTTAGCGTGACGATGTATCGGATGGAGGAGCGCAACACATAGTCGGACCGTGGTATCCTCTCAATTTAGCATTACAAGTTTGATAGCGGGGAGGTATAGCCGATTTGCAAATTGCGCTAAAGTTCCCGGGTGTGGTTGAGCTTATAAGCTTTGTGGATGCAGATGGGTGTATCGGTGTTTGGAACCGGTCCTTCGGACGTGGCGTTGGGGAACCGAAGGAATCTGGAGATGGAGCGCGGGAACGGAATAGGTTCCGAATCTACGCTCGGGTTGAGTGGGTCTTGGTTGAGCGCGAGTTCGAGATCTTTTGTCTGTTCGTTAATTGAAGTGGGCCGATTGGGATGAGTTAGATTTTGGGTGAAAGGTTGAGATAATGAAAGAAGCTCTTTTGAGTTCTGGTCAAAGATTTCTTTGGACATTTCCCCTCAGTCGGTCGATTTTCTTTTTTATCATCAACTTCTGCTTTTTACTTCAAAATTATTTACAGCTATCTCGATCTATCGCAATCCGGCCCAGCACCGTAAAAGAATGACTGATAGTCTCCTCGTCAAGGCCGTTGCAGGAACCTGCATCGGGTTTTCCTTCATTCTCGTCGGTACGTATAGCTCAGACAACAATAAAAAAACCTGCTATTTCAACAACAACATCGCGATTGACACTGAATAGGAAATGCCATTACGCAAACTTACATGACGATCCCCGCCCTCGTGGTCGACCTCCCCAAGCCTGGAACCCCCGAGCACACATCGCGAGCGCGTCTTATCGGAAAACAATGGCCTCTTTGTTGGAGCGTTGGAAACGTTTTCTTTAGGCCCATCTCAACGATCGGTATTCTCGGTTACGGCTACTCGGCGTTTAATATCTATCAAGAGGGTCCGCTGGCTCGCGCAGACTGGAGAGTTTTCGCCGTGGCCGCAGCCCTTCATCTTACTACCGTCGTGCACTCTGCTGTCAACATGCAGCCGATCAACGATAAGCTAGAGGCTCTAGCGGGTCGCACTAGTGAGAAGGAATTGGGGCAGGCCGAGGGCATTGCGAGGAGGTGGGCGAGCTGGAATAGGGTCAGGATGGTCACGCCAGTCTTGGCTGGTGCTCTGGCTCTGTCGCAGTTGATCCAGTAGAAGGTGCGTTGGCGCATTGGACCGGAAAATTGACTGCGTGGAGGAAGTTTAGACTTCTGTATGAGGATTAGTGCAAACAGTGCTTAGAATAGATTGTGTAGTATAATACATGGGCCAATTGTACATCAGCAGCGGACGAGTGTGATAAGTCGTTGCCGTAATAATCGCCCAGCAGGTTTATATAGGACATGAATTGAAAGAGTGGTATGGGCGTTGGATTTACCACGCTTATATCACTAGAAATTTTGCACCAGATGACCGAAGCTTTAAAGTTGGAATGGATCGGTGTTGTAATGCCAGTCACTAGTCATGCATCAGCTCACTTTGGGTGCTGTGGTCAGATAGAGCAAAAACATGCTTGATTGTTCATCAAATTGGAGAAATCTCACGTTCGCCTTTAGTACGCCTTAATATCACAGGTCGTGAAGGAGTTCAAGCGGTGTTCTTCCACCCACTTCTCTCCTTCAGCCACCTCTCAAAACCGCAGAGCTCCTTCTCTTCTTGTCTAAGCCTAGCAACATTAACCCCGTATCCATCCGTTCCAAACCAATTGATCATGACACGAACTTCCCCTACAGCCCATTTCAATGCCGACCCGAGAAACCCGTAAGTAGCAGGAACAGGATATCCAGTCGCTCTCTCCCAGCACCCATTGAACTCCTCCCAGGTAAGCTCGTCCCCGGCAAGCCCTTCAGCGCGTGCATTCCAAGCCTCCGGGTCGCGGAACGCCTTGGCGGCAAAAAGTCCAATGTCATCGATGGAGATCCACTGCATCGGCTTGTTCGGACCCAAAGTATCGCGAAGAGCAGCGAGGAAAACCTTGGACGGCATGCCAGGCTCAAGATTGTCCATGAAGGCTACGGGGCGAAGAATGGTCCAGTTCATTTTCTCGCCCTGCTTTCCAGCTTTTTCAAGAAGGTGCTTCTCAATGTGGTACTTCGTCTGAAAGTGGGGGATTGGAGTTTCGGTATCGGAGCTCTTCTCGTTACCGCCGCGGTCGACAGATGAGTAGATGAAGTGGTTTACGCCATGTTTGATGCTCTCGTCGATCAATTCGGTGCCCTGCTGAATTTCACCGTCGTAGGTGACGCCAGGGCCGATGGATGGCTGTACACTGTAGACGCCCCAGACATCTTGTGGTTTGTCTGCATCTTTGAGAGCCTCTTTGGCATTTGCAAACAAGCCGGGGATGTCATTAAGATCGCCTTGAACAAGGATCACGTTAGAGTAACGCTCTGTGATCTTTTTAGCGGAAGCACTGGTGGTATTCCGCGTCACAGCTAGGAGGCTGAACTGTGGACTGGAAGGATGTGTTGCAAGTTGTTTGAGCACCGAGCCGCCCTGCTTGCCTGTCGCTCCGGTTATGAGGATTGCTTTAGTGGGAGCGGCCATATTGAGATGGGTGATTGTCGAGTACAAGTGCTATTGTAGAATTTATTGGATGGAGACGGTATGCAGCCTCAATGAAGGGGGACACAGATGAGGATGGTGAAAATCAGATGAAATCAAGGACAATGAGGTAACCTTAAGAGCTATCGCTCTAGGCCGCTCGATAACAGGACCCTTCGGGATTCCATGTACTCCGGCCGCTCTAAAAGTAGTATGCAGTCCATCCATTCAGCTGCATCCCAGCCTACGGTTCCACGCCGTTCGTTGGGGCCGTGCTTAGTTATCATTGATGGATGACAACTCTAGCTAATGTAGACGAGCAGTTCGGCTTTCGTATGGGCCGACTTGTGGCTAAATCGGATGTTCCTCTGCACCGAGCTTACCAACTTCATCGCCAAAAGTGCTCATATTGTTTCTCGACCATAGCAGTGTCGGGATCTTCAAGACGGTGATTTGATGACATGATCGCTCACTGACGTATAGAGTATGCAAGATAGTGATGCTGATAGAGTCTGTGGATGCGCTAGTGAAACTTTGCCAGATTAGGGCCGGATCTAACTGTTTTCGAGCACAGTAGCGATGAAACTCTATTTTGAGCACTGCATTCAACGAAAAGTAAACTTGCACAACCCGTAATTTACTGATACGGACGCGTGGATCTTAATTCTACAGACATCCTTCGATCAATCCACAATTGTCAAACAAAAGTCCTACAGAATCGAGCGCTGAAATTACATTACCTCAACAATGACTCCAAGCCAGCAGTTTATACAAAATAGAAAGAGAAAGTCAACAGAATATTGAGGCGAAAGGAAAAGGAAGGAAAAGAACCATGACCTCAGCTGCTCAGGACCCCACTCAGTCGCTTTTGTAACTCCGCAGCCTTAGCACTGTCCACAAACTCCTTGACTTCCTCAACTCTCAGTCCATCGTTGCTCATCCTCACCACTAATACGTTCTCCGTCCACCATTCATCGTATCCCGCATCAATCAGCAGTCTTCCCTTCTCACTATCGCCGTTGACCTTTCCTCCCATCTTACAATGCGCCACAACTGTATTTGTCCGTTTGCTGAAATGCACACCATCGTCGTCTGCAGTCTTGACCGGAATCATCTGAAAAGAGGCGAACAGCGAAAAGATGATATGAGCATGCTGCTGGAAGCCATCGAGAGGACGAACGGGTATCTTGAGTGAGAGGGGTAGAACCGAATGTGTGAAATCGGCTGTTGCGTTTGCAGAGAGAGCAGCTGGGCGAAGCGTCGTATATGCTTTGAGATAGTTGCGGAATGTCCTCACATGTGGGGTGGATTCTTTGAGGAGTCCGTCATCGCGAAGGTAGTAGTAGACTGGCACGATAGCTGCCACGGCAGCTAGTGTTACGGTTGCGAGACGGAGTTCGGAAAGGGAGAAGAGAAGGCTGGACATGGTTGTTATTATCCGAGATCGTTTCAGTACGGGTTGAAAAGGTGCGAGCTAGACAGCAGATTTGGATGATGAAGTTTGCAATATTGAGAACTTGGGGGGGTTATTTACCATAAACAAAGTGCCTTGACCACGCCATCGGCTGGTAGCTGGAAAACTTTCCTACTCCAGAGTTCTGAAGCGAGAAGTTGATCCTGGGTCCATTTCTTTTGAGTCAACATCATATTGTAATTACTGTGCAATGTTGAAGTTTAGGTATTGTCTTGGCGATTGTGTGGTGTTCCGAGCTTATAGTTGAAGAACGAGCCGTCGTGCTTGTCAAAGGCTGTCACCCTGTCAATGCGGCCGGTAGCGTAGAGATGAGAATGATTTGCTCTACGCGATCTACAAGGGTGTGAGCTCAAGATCTATATTTTCAACTACAACCTCTTACCCTCTCCCTTTGAACAAAAGGTTCAATATTGCGGATCTCCATCGGATTTTAGTTTTTTCCAGCCACCTACGTTCGAATACCCCAAGCAAGAACGGTTCGTGGTGTATATTTTGGTAGGTGTACGATTGTGGCAAGCATTGGCCAACGGACACACCGAGATTATTGAAAATTGTGAAAGGCAAGACGACTACGTACTGACTAGAACCATAAGGCAGCTTCCCCATGAACTTGTTCAAAGAGATTTTTGCATGGATTTGTAAAAGACTCAAACCACGTTATAAGATATCCGTGGTACACATTTTGCACTATGTCTAGTGTGTCTATAGTGTACACGGCGACGAGCCGGGCAAGCAATTGCTAAGCATTGCCATTCATGTTAGCGTCTGCGCTTGCTTCAACCTCACCAATCAACAGTAGCGAGCGCGTGTGGTATCATTTAGCGAACGGAAACAAGCATTACGAGGCCAATAGTTACATCGTCGAGGCTGCAGCCACAACCGTTGACCAAAGATGGATCGGACGAGAAATTACATGCCGGATGCTTACATTACTTTTGGCCTCGTCGTTCAAGTATTTGGAATGTAATCTCTAAAGTTCTAGACCCATAGCTCCCAAACCATGTGCTCGGAGCATAGGTTGCGGAAATAAACTCCCTGATCTATTTCCAATCTGCACAAACTGCAATCCGATGATCAGTGGAAATAAATACGTGTCCGGGTATAAGCTCAGCATGAAGGTCCAGTATTCAAGACCGTGTCAGCATGGGCCCCTTCCGACGAAGGTCACACTTTTTCAATGGGCGTGTGGTAAGACACAATTGTACAGAAACAATGGATAACAAACTCAATTCATTTCAAGCCAGATTCTAAATAATCATCCCCTTGAAAATCTAAAGTCTAGTCCCAATTGCCTGGCTTCAACTCCAAGCTGACGCCATTCCTCATGTCCTCCATGATCTTATAAGCATCCCACGGCACGTACTTGTAACCTTTGGGATAGTTTGGCTCAAAACTAGTCTCATCTTCCATCCTGACACCTTTCCTCATGCTCACAACCGCCTTGTCGTAGTTTTCATAAACATAGGCCTCAGGGTCATGTTCCCAGATCCACTTGGGATGTTTGGGAGCAGCCCGTCGTGGGTCTAGTTTGACCTTGTCCCAATCTGTCGACTGCAAGAGCTCGGCGTTGTACAAGCCCATCTTTTGCGCGCAAGCGTTTCGAATGAAACGGAAACGGATATGCGTCCGCACAGCCTCTGGAATGCTTTCCTTGCTACCTCCAAGCTGCAGGCATGAGGCCAAAGAGATGGAATCTTCGATAGCCTGTGTTGCACCATTTCCGGATGATGGAAGGTAGGAATGTGCGCAGTCACCCACTTGAATCACTCGTGCGGCGGGTGACGCCCAGGTAGGCTGTGGGTTGCGCCAGTAAAGCGGGAAGTTGACGATTGTGTTTGGAGGTGTTATTCTCACCAACTCCTTGAAGATGTTGCACCATTTTCCTGGCAAGTCATCAATTCCTTGCAGTACTTCTTCTGCGTCGATAGTGTGGTTCCAGTTCTCTTCTTCGGAGCCAGTGACCTTCCGGAGTTAGGATCAAGACTGAAAACAGCAATCAATAGATGGCTTACATCGTGGTTCATAATCCATACCATCACATCTTCGCGCGAAAGCGTTAGAGCATATGTGGATGGCCTAATAGGGTTAGCTCGATTTCTCTGTATGCCGCATATATAGGTTCATCATACCCGAGGAAGGTCCTGACGATAGGTTCATTGCCAGGTTGCATTCTGAAGAACTCCTTCACCTCAGGATTTTTATCCAGGTGCTCCTTCGGAAAAGAAGCTCGCCACATGGCTCGTCCCGAAGATTCAGCTCGCACAATACCACCAACCAACTTCTGACTCTTGGAGCCCACACCATCGGCAGCAATTACAACGTCAGCTTCGTATCTTGTGCCGTCGTCAATAATGCAGCCGCCTTTCCCACGTGCTTCATCCTCGAAGTAGTCTACAACTTTTCGATTGAACTCGATCTTGATACCCGCCTTCTCAACTGCATCGACAAACATTGTGTACACTAGCGGCCGCATTTGGAATTCTCCCGGAGCAAGATTTGGGTCGAGCCCCGCAGCTCGGAGGCGCTCCGAGACTTTCTTTGGTGGGATCATAATCTCGCCGCTGTGCTTGTAGGTTTCGATCCAAGCATTGTGCAAGGAAATTTCATGGTATCTTTGCTGGATTTCTGGCCAATGCTTGAACCATCGGGTCCCGCTCAGCCCCATGAAATACATATCACCTTCAGCATGTGATTAGCAGAATTGCTTGTGGCGGTGTGAGATTGTGGCGACGGGCGTACCAGCAACGTTGATGTCGGCATTTCGCTCGAGCACACGGACATCGTGGCCTTTGCGCTTGCACTCCAGAGCTGCAGAGAGCCCTCCAAGGCCAGTGCCCACGATAAGAACGTCTATTCCGGTGCGTGGGTAAGATCCGATGGGTTTTGCCTCCATATGGGAGTCGCGATTCGTAAGGCCAACCATGATGAGCGGCGTGTGGCGTCTTTGTTTCGTTGAAGTCGTCGTGTGATTACCAAGTCAAAAGAAGAGGCGGCACGGTTGAGAATCGTACTCTATCGGCTCTCAAATATAATATACTACACCGGACATCTCGCAGATGCATTGCGGGATCCCGACATTGTTTCCGGCAGAGCATTCTCTTTCCTGTCCGACATCTCTACAATTCGCAAGTGGGCAGCAAATGCGTGTCCTGTGATTTGATTTTCCCCACAATTTGTCACAGACTCTTGAGAGTTGATGAGTGTCACCGTTGGAATAGTGATGTCAGGGGGGGCATGTTGGTGTTTCTTACTGGCGGACTTTGTGAGATGGTTCCCCACCAACATCCGGGACTGGCCAAGACATCGATACAGTAACGCTAGTGACATTGTTCCGCCGCGCATAACAAGCGCTCAAATGGTACCGGATCAGGGGTAGCCTGTCTAGATCTCTCATCAGCAGAAGGAACACATGCATCGACCGGTCTCTACCCGCACCCACAGTCTGCAGCTGTAAGCCATGTGGGAGTCATCCACCGTCGCTACAACGTGTACCAAATACTCCCTCATGAGTATCGTTCCATGTGCGCTTGCGCCATGGGATGAACCTTAACTTTTTAGGGAACCAAATTTAGAATCTGTCTAAAGGCACTGTCCAACCTGTTGGGTACAATTCTAAACACAGCCATCAACCTGAAGATAGACAAGACTTTATCCATTCATACTATAGCTGTTCTCGAAGCGAATGACCTATGACTACCCATGGCCTCAAGCACCGAAATTACGAATAATGCCAATGCATGTGGATCATATGAATGTTCATTGTACAGGGGTAAGCTGAGTCACGATTGGACATTGAAGTTTCACCTCATGCAAGTGTTCATGTCATGATAAAATCATCTCAGATCGAACGCAGTGGTAATACGAGGGTAACACAACAACACTGCTTCCATTCAACATAGGTGGCAACGGCAGAAATCATCTTGTCGGTCGTCACTTGTCCATCAGCGAGGCAGATGGTAGATGTCATAGTCGGCATACTCTACCTCCGACATTCCATGTTTACCCTGTAGTAAAACTCAAATTCTATTACTCGCCAAGGTCAACATGACCGTGCCATAGTCTAGTCCCATGTGCCAACATGTGGCCTAGTAAGCAGTTCCTCGGATCTATTGGTTGAGAAACCATCGAATCCACCAAACTGAGACCTAGGCACATAATCCAGATGACGATAGACCAGCTTGTCTTACCACCAGCTACGCTAACGAATCTTGAGCCATGGTGTAGGTAAACACTGATCGGGGAGCCGACTCTAGAGAGGGACCTCTAACGCATGGAAGCTTCTCATTTAAAGCTTGAGATCCAAGAGCGAAGGAAATTTGTTCAGCAACTTCCATTTCTCTCCTTTGTGTTTGCTCTGTTCCCCCTCAGAGACTATGCATTCCTTCACTCTCTATGCGATTGGTATCGCGCTGTTCGGGTGGGCTTTGTACAGCTTCACTCAGGCAATCTCTAGGAGAAATGCAAAGTACAACCCTCGTGGTTTACCTGGCCCGACTTTGATACCATGGGTTGGTCGCATTCATGATCTTCCTATCGAGTATATGTGGCTCAAGTTCAAGGAATGGGCAGACATCTATGGTCCCATCTATAGGACCAAGATGCTTGGTGCCAACTTCATCATCATCTCAGATGAGTCGGTTGCCGAAGATATCTTGGTCAGGAGAGGAAAGATCAATTCAGACAGACCTGAGATTCGATCATTGTTTGACGCCAAGAGTACACATGGCTCTATGGAGTATCTTCCCTTGATGGGAAGAAACCGTAAGTGTCTCATCAAACTCTTCATACTCGTGAGACTGACTCTTCGCAGAATACTGGGCACGTCAAAGGAAGTTCACTCACTCTCAACTCACTGAAGCCACAAACGCGCGCTACTATGGTATCATGGAATTCGAAGTCAAGCGCTGGCTGAACCTTCTCGTCCATGAGCCTGATAACTTCTACTTCTCCCTGGAAGACATGGCATCGAAGATCATGTCGCAACTAGTCTGGGACGATCACACCGTCAGCACTGCTCTCACCCCCAGCGCATGGGGGCTGCTCACCCAAATGTCTCCCGCCGGCCCCATCACCAACGTCCTAACACCACTGTGGGACCTCCCCTTCTACATGAACCCCTGGAAGATAGCCGAGCGAAAGCGTCATGATGAACAACAAGCCTGGTTCATGGAACGTCTCGTTGCCATTCGTCGCAAGATGGAGAAGGGCAAACAGCGTCCCTGCGTCACTCGTACATACCTCGAAACCGCAGCAAAGTCAAACATCTCCGGCGATTACGAGGCTTCCTGCGTGATCGGCATGATGGCTTTGGTCGGTATCTTCACCGTCGTAGGCCCTCTTTCATACTTCCTCGTCTCCATGGTGCACCACCCGCAGTGGCAGAAGAAGTGCCAAGAGGAGATTGACCGCGTCTGCGAAGGCAGACTTCCCGTTCTAGAGGATATGCCGAACCTTCCTGTACTTCGCGCTTGTATCAAAGAAACTATGCGCTGGAGACCAAACGTTCCCACCGGTAAGTCGAATCAATCAACCAACCAACTATCACTTGTCTTCCGCGATAACGAAATCACTAACAAGACATGTAGGCGTCGCACACGAAAGCGAAGCAGATGATTGGTACGGAGATTACTTCATCCCCAAAGGCTCCCGTCTGCTTCCCCTCGACTACGCCTTCCTCCGCAACCCCGTCAAGTATCCCGACCCCGAGACCTTCCGTCCCGAACGCTGGCTCGAGAGCGGGTGGCCGACCTTCCAAGAACCTCTCACAAAGTACCCTTCCATCAAAGGCATGACATCGTTCGGCTGGGGCCAGCGCCAATGCCTTGGCATGTCACTTACACAAGACGAGACTGTCGTTGCGTGTGGTGGTTTGCTGTGGGCGTTCAACCTTAAGAAGAAGATCGATCCCAAGACTGGCAAGGAGTTGCCTGTGCCTACTGATAAGTCGAATTCGCTGCTGATTGTCAAGCCTGATCCTTTCATGATGGCTTTTGAGCCGAGGAGCGAGGCCAGGAAGGAGCAGGTCATCTCGGAATGGAACGTGGCTCAGGCAAAGGATACTGCGGAGCGAGCTGCTTTTTTGCGCAATGCGGAGAAGAAGGAGGCGTTGATTTAGACTTGGTTGTTTGATTCCCACTTGGTATAGTTGTAGTTGTAGTAGTGCTCCCCCGCTTTGTTTTGAGTCAGTGGCATATTCACGCCTTTTCTTTTGTTTATGGAGGTTGAGCGGTTGGTGGTGTTGAATACCTTTGGTTACCCCTATGTTAGTTCGACAGTACAGTTGTGATACACTCTAATACAAAATAAGAACATCTTGGATATGGCTCTTCCCACTGAACTTCAGGCATGCGGTGTTGTAGCTCACACACACCCCTCTTGATCCCCTTTCCCTTTCGTCTTTCACCATCCAACAATTCATACCAACTACAAGTTCGCCAATTATGAATCAGCAAAGCACAACCACAAAAGCCCAAACTGTCTCACCTCTCCACTCCCTTTTGCCTCCTATGTCCTATCTCCCGCTACCTCTTTCCCCCTTATCCATCTCCTGATCCTAATCTCGAATAACCTCAACCCATAGAACATTTCAGGAATCTTTTTTTTTTTTGAGTTGGAGTTTAGGTGATCCTACACACAGCGATGGGTTACAACGAGGAAAATACCATAATAACGAGCGATTACCAGAAAGACCATATTTCAGGAATCTCCCAATGAAAGCTACCATATGCTCATTTTTTATTCCCTATTCTTCTCTTATCAACACGACTACACCAACACGGTATAGGAACAACACAGATCAAAGCACGTTCCCAGAATCTCATTAAGTCGAAAAATCCGCTCTCTCCCTCTCATTTCAACAACAGCCTCAAGCAATCTTATCATGGAATTCATCAGGAACCTATAAATCGGAGAAAAAAAAATTACCTACATTTCTGGTATGTCTCCCCACAATTGTGTTCGGGGCAATAGAAAGGACGTGTTATGTACTCTAGTAAAATGTTGGTTAGGGAGTATAGTTTAGCTGTTGTCAGTCTGATAAGTAGGTAAAGCATCAAGAATCGTGTCACAGAGCTGTTATATAGCCTGTATCAATGTTTTCAGTCAACCGATGCTGATCATCTATGTCTTTACTCAATCCTTAAACAACAGTACAAAAGGCTGCCGACTGTCAACGTTGACAACGCAAGGGGCCAGTACATTCACAAATCCAGCCAGCACGAGTGGAGGACCATGCATGAATCGTAGTATGAGGTGTTGTGAAGTTTCTTGATACCTCTCTCTTCATCTCTCACTCTTTGCAATCAATCGCTCAAGCGAGCTAGCTCTACCTATCTCATATAGGCCCAACCACCCCCATTCTCGAACCCCGAGAATAAAAAAAAAAGTCAAAATGATAAGAGAAAAAGTGTCCCATGATTTTTGTACAAAAACAGATGCCCAAACAATCTCCCCCTCAATGAGACACACGCAACGCTGATGCTCTCCCCCTTACTCGTTCACTCCCTCAGGGGTATTCATCTTGTTCATATCGATTCAACCCTATGCATTATCTCGCCGCCTCCTCAACCAAAGAGCTCACCTCTCTTCCACGCTCCATCCACTCCATGTCTTCCCGATCCTTCATCTCGTTGCTGCTCAGGACAACCCTTAAGCAATCCGCAAGCCCGATCGCGTTCTCCGCGTTTCCGAACATACCGCCCTGGCGTCTACTGACGTCGCGCCACTGTTCGACCGTGTAGATGATCCACTTGACGATGAACTTACGATTCGCGCGTGTGCGGAAAGGTTCCTCCTGCTTGTACCACATAGTCTCGAGCGTGGCGATGATGGACTCGAAGGGTACGCCAAGGTGAATGAAAATATCGATTGGCCATGTAAAGGAGGAGCAGAGAAGAAGGGTGGGGTCGTGGCGCAGGGCCGCTGGGTCGGTGGCATAGAAGGTAACGTGGTATTGGAGGATAATTTGCAGGACCGTGTCGACAGGAATAATGTTTTCGTTGAGACTGACGCGGCGGCCAATCTCCTCGACTTTCAGGCTGATTTTCTCCCAGGGCGACGTTTGGCCCTCAGCTATCGCCTCGCGATGTGCTTGCTCAATGAGGTTGGCCCATGTGTTGCGGACATTGGATATATCGCGGTAATCGGCGGAATGATAGATGAACAGGCAGATATCGTAGTATCCGGCCTGGTCGGCGTACTTATGGTAAAGCTGTGGGAATACATTAGTATTTGTGCAGTGTAAAATCCAAGCTTAACTCACCTCATCTATGGACTGAATAGCGCCGTCCAGGTCCTGGATGACTCCCTTCTTGCGGTGTTTGTCCAAGCGCGTCTCGCTCCTGATCCTGTCCAACAAGTCGTCTTGAATGTTGGCGATGTCTAGGTAGTCCGAAATGTTGCGCAACAGCTCCTGCCTGGATTGTCTATTCCGTACACCGGTCTCGGAAAATCCCGTCATACGCGTCGATGCATTTGCCTTCGCGCGCGACAGATATTCAATCCTCTTCTCCAATGGAAGATTGAAGGAACTCTTTGCAAGTTGGAATTGAACCTCCGCTGCACTCAAGAAATCGTTGTAGTGAGCATAGTATCGCCATAGGAGATCTGCGTGAGCAAGATTGTCATCCGAGCTTCGTCGAAGATACTCAACGACAAACGGCGAATTGATCTCAAGCAAGCGATCAGCCCATCCTTGTTGGAGATACCAGTCGTACAAGTAGTTCTGGAAGACTTCATCGTCGGAATTGTTGATTTGCTCGTATGCTTCAAGCTTGCGACGAGTGATTTGCGAGATGATACCATCGGGCTGTATCACACCTTGAGCACTGAAAGCTCGGTCCACAGCGTCGATGACTTTGAACACAAGGTCGTAACAGCCTGTACGCTTGCGGTAGAACGGCTCGCGCGCATCTTGAGCAGGTTGACCATCTCTTAACCAGGTCAAACCTTTGTTACCACGGTCACCCTCCTGTGCCACTTTGAGTGCTAGACGAATAGCCCCTAGAGAAACTGATTAGATTTGAACATTATTGACGTAAGATTGGCAGACTCACCAGCATAGAATTGTAGCTCGGAGTACTTGTCCACTGCTGCAGTCAGATGCTCAAAGTTCAAGCTCTTAGCCACCTGCTCAAAGAGTCGCAGACTGTCGTTAAGAAGCATGCGACCCCTATCTGCGTTCGCCCCCACGTCAGCTGCCTTCTTCAGGTTTTCTTGCGCTTTGAAGATGACCACGTCGTCGGAGCTGCAAAAGCTACCGCACTTTCTCCGCAGGCTTTCAGCAACGCTTTCCACATTTGAACCTTTCGCAATGTTCAGATTGACAATCGCCTTGACGAGCTCTCGGGCGAGATCTTTGCCCTCTACCAGTGCGAAAAGACCGTGGTATGTGAGTTTTCGCACGTGCTCTTCCAAGTCCTTTGGAAGTAGAAGCATGATGTCTTCTACCCGCTCTTCGAAAAGGACCAGCGTGAACGAGATTCCTTCTACGATGTTGTTGATCATCATTAGCAAGCTCGTCAAAGCCCGGTTTTCTCCCTGCAGTTCAACCTCTTCTTGTCTTGAAGCGACTCTCCCGAGAGCCTCTGGACCAGCCAAGCCGTCAATAAAGGCCTTGTTAGCTTCCAAGAATTCTTGTACCTGTACTAGGGCGCGTTGAATCTCCTGTAGCTTGGCGGGGCTGTGCCTGGACCCCATAACCAGCCCAGTCGGTTTCACGGTCTCCACGATTATGGTAGTGTCCCATATTGACCGGACAAGACGAGCGACATAAAGCGCAATGCCGTCATGGCGCGGTGACGCTCGAACATTGTCCACACTGAGTCCCTCAACGGCAGCATCCTCGGTCAACTGGGGTCGACCACCAAATTCAATAAAAGCTTTGCGTGCATATTCAAGCACATCGGGGTCCATTACTTTGGCGATTCTGTAGTCAGCACCCACTTCCGATCCTTGACCACAGGCTACTGCAAGCGCGGTGGATGCCATCTCCGCCAAACCGTACTGCTTTAAGAACTTCCTCACTGCACCGTCAAGGCCTTCAGTTCCGCCGCCCTGCTTGATGATACCTGCGAAGATGTCGACCAATCGCCTCCGCCTCAGGGTGTCCACCCCGTAATGAGTGAGAATTGCATATTGGCTCGTGGGTACGTCAAATTGAACTGCAAGCTCGTTCCCAAAGCCAGTTGGTTGATCGCGAGCTGAGAAGGGCGCGGTGACTTGTCCAACATCTTGGAGTTGCCCTGTTAATGCGAAGACTTGACCCGATTCAGTGTATCGCAGTGCCTCCTGTGGGTTTACGAACTGGCCAGAGTGTGGGGCCGATGCGAAAACCTTGTGATCACCAGAGGGAGATTGCACAATACTGAAGAAAGTCCCAGGGGCATATCGGAATCCCACGATAGTTTGTACCAAGTATTTTGAATCCTGACCGGCCGTGGAAGCCCCTTGGAAAGGTTGCATCGAAGTGCTGGTAGTTGTATTGGGCGGAGAAGTAATTTTTGGATCTACAGGAGGGAATCGGATATGGCGAACCGCCATGCTATTAGGCGCAGTGGAGGTGTCCACCCAACCACCAGAGGTTGTACTCAGATATATCCGCACACCCGTCGAGGTAATGGCTACTATAGACATGTGATCCGCTTCCGAAGCGGAAATAGGATGTAGGCCAACAATTTCCAGATTGGACATAGCTGGCGCGTCCCGAACCATATGGCTACACGAGGTCTTGATCGAATGTAAAGGCTTTTTGATGACATTTACAAGGAGCGTTGGTGTCTGTAAATGGTATACGTTGATGGTGCCATTGGTCGAAAGAGTATATAGAAGTTTCCGGGAATCGTCCATGATCATCTGTCTGGTGCCGACCCGGCTCGTGTATCCGAAATAGGGTAATGCGGGCAAGCCGACTGTATTGGAGACATGATTTTTCTTGCTGCAGCGATTCGAGAACCATCGCTCCTCTTGTTGGTAGTTGAGTTCCCAGACATCTTCGGTGTTGCTCTCGCCAAAGAAAATGCGCCCCGTGGAAGGGGATCCTTCGATGCTCGTGACGCTAAGACCCTTGGTAGACACTGACATGCCGGTCCTATACATGGTCAAGCCGTGCACACCTTCCGGACCATCTTGACACTCGACAGCAATCAGTTGAATGTCAGCCACTGTCGCGACAACGAGCAGCCACTTGATAGCGGCGACAAAAACCTTGGGCCGCGGCTTGACCAGTCTTACGCAAATAATATTGTTTGGCTGCTCCTCGAAACCAATGAGCTCCGGGTTCGGGGCAGTATAGTCCCATAGGTAGAGCTGATTGTCGACTGTCACGTAGGCGTGGTTGATTTCAGCAAATAGGCCCATTTTTGTGTTCATTTGCATTTCGTTGACTTGGTCAAAGACACTCTCGGGATGTCTAAAAGTGCGGACCTTTTGGAATGGGGACCATGCTTCATGCTGCTCGTCGGAAAGCTCGTATTCACCGGAGAAACCCTCTGACAATCATGTTAGTGACGGCACAGACTGCGATTGGACTCTTCGCGATACTCACGTCCTATGTAGTTCTCCAATGCGGGATACCGGTTGTCCTTGTCCAGCATAATGTTGATCGTGCGGGCGGCGCGCTGTACGGGGGTCTCTGTTGGGGCCGCGGATACTTGTGGTTGCGCTTGTTGTGACTGCTGCTGTTGCGGCTGCTGTGGAGCTGTAGACACATTAAAGAGCCCAGGGCGGGCCGGTGTATTGATGAAGGCGCCCGGCGTAGGACGCTGGGGAGTGGCAGGCATATTTTGCGCCATGGTAGGCGGGTGAAAGAGGCTGGCTACCTTTGTGTGAAAAGATAATTCTTTTAAAGATGCGGCTCAAGAATGGACGGCTTCTATTGACGCGCGCGCGATGGAGACGCAGACATTTGCTCCGCGCGCAATGTGTCTGGAGGGAGGAAGCGAATCCAGAGTAGGATGCGCTAGAGGAAAAAAGGGAGAAGAGAAGCTGCCGGTCAATCGAGCAATCGAGCAATGGTGGTGGTGGTGGAGGAGGTAGCGGAGGTGGTGAGCGAGCTTCAGAGCTAGGTTAGCTGCTGCGAAAACAAACTCCAACAGATTCCCAGCCCATGCCGATCGCGCCAAGGTTCGTCGAGCAGGGATGCGAGCTTCAAGCGCGTCTTAGTCATTCACTTTTTTCGACATCGTCGACATTGATGCATTGATTCGTTTGAAAACACCATTGTACAATCAGTCCACCGCCCATGACTGACTTACGTGCGGGCCATTGAAATATAATAATAATCCACGGAACAAACCGCCATCCATGTCTCTCCTCCGTCTGCTCCCCAGGGCTTCCCTCGCCGTCCGCCAACCCGTCCTCCTGGGCCCTCTCCGCACCACGCGTGCCCTTTCCGAATCTGAAATCCTCACAACCATTAAAAACGATCTCAAAGACTCCCTGCGTGCCAAAGACAAACCCCGTCTCTCAGTTCTGCGTAATCTCCTCGCCTCCATAACCAATGCGTCCAAAACCCCCAAGCCCGTAGCTAACGACTCCGCCTTCTACGCATTATTGCAAAATACCATCAAAACTTCCCAGGCCGCCATCGAAGATTTTCAGAAAGCGAAACGAGACGACTTGGTCGACAAGGAACAGGTTCAGGTTGCCGTGCTAGAAGAATATGTCAAAACTATTGACGTTGTGGGAGAGGAGGAGATAGACAAGATCATTGCAACAGCGACGGAGGAGCTCAAAGCAGGCCAGAAACCCCTCGCGCAGGGACCATTGACCGGACTGGTTTTCGCGCAGCTTAAAAACCGAGCTGTAGATGCGCAAGCAGTAAGCAGGAAGATCAAGGCTGCTCTGGAGTGAGACCACCATGGCGGATCCTGCGTCTAAAACATACATGACGATTGTAAGATATGTAAGAATAATGGAATAGCAGAGAAAAGGGCGTATGTAATTCAAAATCTGCGTCGTACCCCAAAAAAACCCGTCAGCTTCATCGCGAGACCCCTCGCGCTAGCAAAACGCCTTTTGCCCAATGCACTCACTCATCGCGAAGCCTATTTATGTGAACACCCCGAGGGCAATTTTCGGTGGAAAAATGTTCAATCCCAGAAACACCCGCCCCCCCCCCCCCCCCCCGAAAAGAAACCGCGATCTTCTCTTTATATCGCCGTATAGCTTGAGTGTTTCGTTCGAGTTAACCCGTCTAGTTTTACTGATCAGACACGTTTGCGACTCTGAGCCGCTTTTTGTCCGTCCAAGAGGGGTGTCTCTGGATGTTGAGTTCAAGACGCTTCAATGCCGCCTGAGCTGGACGTAGGCTGAAGCATCTCAGCGGGCGACTCCATCCGTCTTCTAGCCACAGGCGCACCTTGTTGCGAGTAGAAGGGTGGATATCTGAAGCTTGTAGATTGGGTTTGACGCGGCGAGATGCTGCTACTTCGTAGCTGTTGTGTCGAGAGGCCCAGTGGGGGGATTCTTGGGCGACGGTACTTCGAAATTGTGGTGCGAGAAGGCTTTCCCATAGCCCTGGGGACAATGATGGGTGTTTGATATTGGCGAGACGTGGTTGTAGGCGGGGTGGGATTCGTTTGCGACCCAATGGATTCCGTGATGAGAACAGTGAAGCAAAAGAGCAGAGCTCCGGCATGCTTCATGGCGAGCTTCATGTCGTGTTTTCGCAAAGAGGGGTGTTACAAGACATGGTGCAGATGAGTCTTGCGAGTCGCAGATACGTACGTTCTATCGCATAGTGGCTGAAGGTTGCGGAATGCATGTCGTTTTCACATTCCAGGCTGCGTTGGTTGTTATCAATCATGGATGGGATACAGCATATCAACCAAGGAGGGCAAGTCTTTTAGACTTGAAGGCGAGACTAGTACTGTGGCAACCCAGGCACATCACTTTTGGTGATGTTCTCTTGGTGGGAGTAGTGCCAGACTGAAGCAGTACGTCGAGAATGATTGAGTGCACACATGGGCCAATCACGTGTCGGGAAGTCAGCCACATACGTCACAACGCTGCCGCACCGCTTACCGAACACACCCCACTCGCAGCCTTCGAACCCTCGCGTTCAGTAAGTTGAAAAGCTCAAAGGGCAAAGAGGTTGGCGCGTGAAGATGGGAATACATGCTTTGACGGTAGCTGATGCCACCAAGGAGACCCTGGGCATACCGTGGCCCGTTGCTGCCGCCCAAGCGGAATGGGATGGAACGGGACAGCGATGCATGTACCCAACTTGAATCACGACGCCCAAGTGACTCGAGACAGACACCACGACGCCCCGTGTGCCCGTAACGTTGGATACGGATCGATGATAGCTATGAAGCATCTTGGTGTGTCGGGTAATTGCCCAGTCATGGCGCCGCCGTGGGACGCAGCCCAAACGATAAATGCAGGGCCAGGGGCGCTCCGCTGCGCCGATGACGTTGTGGAGAGTGGGAAGTTGGTTGTAATGCATGCGCACCCACTCCACCACCAATTACGCCAAACTATTGATTAACCCCGTAATCCCTTCACCACCCGACTGACTTCTCGTCGCCAGCCTCTTCAGTTGAAAAGCCCTCTTGCTGGTGCTTTCACCCTCTATCCCCATTCCTTCCCTCCTCTCCTCTCTCCTCATCCCTCTCCTACCACCCTGTCTCCATAAATCGAGCCCCGCACTTGCCGCCTGACTATCTCTGGTACCATCTACACTCTCCGACGCCATGTACGGTCGTTCCTCCGCCGGAAATCTCTCCATGTACGATGAACCGCCTCGCGGTGGTGGTGAGCGCTGGGATCGGGATCGATTCGAGCGCATGAGGGGCGGAGGCCGCGGTCCCCCAGACCACGATCATTTCCGCTACCAAGAACATGACCGTTTTCCCGGAGGCCGTCGCGATATCGACCTCCACGAGGACTATGACCGCCGTGGTCCTCCTTCCTCCCGTGGCCCCCCTGTCATGGAGCGTGAGCGCTATCGTGAGGAAGAACGATTCGCTCCCCCATCTCGCCGCCGGAATGACTTCTTCCAAGAAGATACGCCATCCGAGGTAGCCAACCGTGCACTGGCCCCTTACAGGCGCAAATCAGTTGTCGAGAGAGATATCGACATTGCTCCTAGGCGCCCAGCCCGTCCCCAGTATCATCGTCGCCAGTCCTCCCTGGATACCTATGATCGTCGCCCGCTCCCCCGCTATGGTGAAGTCGAGGAGTGGAGACCACCAACAAATGTGCCTATTCCCTTGCCTATCCGCGAACGAGAGCGCAGGCGCTCTCCTCCTCGCTTCCACGAGGACGAGTTCGAAGAAGTCAGATACAGCGAGCGGGAACGGGAACGAGAACCTCGTAGGAGCGAAAGAGTCGAAGAGTACCGTGAAGTAGAGGTTTCGCGCAAGAAAAGCAAGAGTCGGCATGGAGGAAGCCGAAGCCACGCTCGCAGCAATGCACAGTCCTCTCGCAGTTCCTCTACCTCCAGTTTTGAAGAGGTCTCGCTTTCCAGGGCAAACTGGGGCAAAAAGGGCAAAACGAGACTGCCCAAGCGTTTGTGCAGAAAGGAAGCCGTGATCGAGCTGGGTTATCCTTATGAAGAAGAGGTAAGCTCATCTTAATAAGGAAATGAGCCTGTGAAGAAATACTAATTGTGTAGGATGACTTCCTGATTGTTACTCGGGCACTTGAAAAAGACCACATCGACGAGATCATTCAGGTCAGCGAGAATTACAAAGAGAGTATGTCGCCCAACCTTATCCAAATTGCCTCTCACTAACTATTGCTAGCGAAAACTACTTATGTGTACGAAAACAAAGAGGCCATGGAGCCTTCTCTACCACCTCCTCCACCGCCTCCTGAGGTCTTCCACAACCCTCCTCCGCCCCCCTCAATAGTTCCTAGTCATCACACTCAAATGGCCCCTCCGCCGCCACCTCCTCCACAAAGCGTGCACTACCCGCCACCTCCGCCTCCTCCACAGAGTGTGCACTATGCTCAGTCTGTCCGCAGTGTGTCTCCCTCACGTCACGGTCATGAAGTGTACGAGGAGCGTATCGAGGAATCCAACCACATTGGAGGTCCCCTCACTGTACTTGTACCCGAACATCACCACCACCATGACGATCGCACCCTGGTCCGCAAGGAAGTATACTCACGAAATGAACGCGATATTAAAGATGAAATTCGTCACCTCGAGCATGAGAGACGCATGCTCAAGTATGAGCGCGAGGGCGACTATGAGATCATTGAGCGCAGGGAACCCAAGCGCGAAGTCATTCGTGTTGACAAAGACCGGAAGGGTAGGTTGGCCCTTGTCCGCTCGACCCATTAGGATCTGGAGTTGATTTTTCTGGATAGTACGCAAAGAACCGAAAGCGAAATACGTCGCTGCTGCAATCGCCACGCTTACCTAGTCGCCGGCGGCTACATCTTACTCCCGGACTGTGTGTGAGAAGTTCAATGGAGAGTTTGTGATCATATTAAGAGGGTTTATTTCTTTTTATCTGGCTTTCGCGGATTTGAATCCTGGACTGGATTTTCTTATCACTTTCTCTAGAGCTCTGCGTGATACTGTTTTGCAAGCGCTTTTCATTAAATTTGGATATTCGTTGGCTTAGCTTTGAGCGAGTCCTTTGGTGGCGTACACTGATCTCATTGGCACATGTATTTTATTTCGAGATGAATTCATGAGTAATGACTTTCAGTCCTCTTCTTCGATCATCGCCCCATAGCGTTGAACATGCATTTGATATTTAATATGTGAAATACCTACCTAGGTCCTGTTAGTGAGTTTCTCGGCGATAAACACCACATATGTCGTAAACTCCGTAACAGTCCAACCTCAAACTACCAAGATCGAACATCACATCTCCACTGATTACACACTCGTGACTCTTTCTGCACCCCACCACTTCGCAATATAACCAAAGGATACTCCCTCGCCCACTCACATACATGAAAATCACCATCTTCCAACCCACATCCCCACGAAACAAGCCTCTCACTTGCCAATTTTACCAATAACAATCCAAACCATTTTACACCTCATCACCAATCCACAAATGCCAATCTGCATCCACTGCCGGACACCCATCTCTACACTCTACACAACCTACGCAGCAGCCGATGACCGTGCCCTCGGCAAAGGCGTCCGCCTTACGCAATGTCCACGCTGCAAACGCTTCGCCGACAAATACGTCGAGCATGACTTTGTTGTGCTGTTTATCGATCTCGTGCTGATCAAACCAGAGGTGTATCGACACTTGCTTGTGAATCGGCTGGAAGGGGGTCGCAGGAAAGGCGGGTTCGATGTAAGTTCTTTTTCTCTCCTTCGGGACCCTTCTTCCGTGGGATGGCATTGTAGATATGTTCCGTTGCTTGGGTACATAGGTTTCCTAATCTGTCTTTCTCTTCGCATTCATCGCTGCAAAATCTACATAACCCCATTCAATCCACATGTCGGCTCAAAAGAGAAAGGGGTAGAGAGAGAGATATATATACTAACAAAACCTCTCTCGAAAAATTTGCAGAAAAGTATCATAAGACTCTTCATCCTCCTCGTCCTCTTCGACGTCTACCTAACCTGGGCGCGCATCGAAAAATCAAACAACAACAGCCTCTCGCTCCCTTCCCCACCGCATCTCTCCTCACAAAGCACAACAACATCAAATTCATCATCTTCGTCAACGCAGCATTCGCCACCCTCCCCCTTACAATCCCAACCCCTCCTTGTACAATATATATTCTTCCTCTTCCTAACCCTCCTAACAACCCTCTCCTTCCACATCCCCATCCACATCCTAACCTCCCCGCCACCCCTTCCCTTCCCCCTCGCTCCATTCCTCCAATCCCTCACCCGTCCTGTGACAACGCTCTACAACTTCCTCATTCCGCACTTCCCGCACCCCACACTGCTCAGCACCGCGCTCCTCGTGTCTTCGTGCACGAAACTGTTCCCCATGCTTCTGCTGGTTTGGGAGTACGATCTCAAGAGCGCGGCGACGGCAGTGAGCTGGGCAGTTATTGTGAATAATGTGGCTGCGTTGGAGATCTTGATGGGCTGTGGGTTTTTGAGAGCGGGGGTGCTTGTTGGGGTTGGGGAGGGGATTAGGGGCGTTGTTGAGAGGGGTGTTTTGGGGGCGGTTGGATTAGGGGGTTGAGGGCGGGATACGTGTATATGATGCCCAGGTGGAAGGGGAGCAGGGTGGATGGATACATGTATGGGTGGAAGGGAAGGAGTGATGCTGTAGGATTCGTTGTTTATTTGGATGATATGATACCCTGGTTAGATTCTGGAGTTTGCGGTGTTTTCTGCGTCGATTAAACGGGATGGTTTTGATGAGAGTTTTGACCGGGGCGGACTATGAAATAGAAAGGGATGGCGATGTAGATTTTTCCAGTGTAGAATTTCTCATATTCCGCAGGGTTTATACAGTACTACTGAACAAGCAAAGACATATGCTGAACTCCAGAAAAGATACAGAAAAGAAAGAAGAACATCCCACTCCAAATCACACGGCACGAGGACCTGCTGATTCGCCCTCGTCCGCCGCGCCATGCATATCGTGTCAACCTTCGATCGCCCCCTCCTCGCTGTAAAGTCGAGCTGAGGCTCATACGCCCCTCACAGCTGCCCTCTGTTCTGCGATCATCGGACTTCCGCTCATCTCCACCCCAAAATTTCAACACGAAAGCCTATCCATACAGTTTACTAATCTCCTCGGGACTTCGGAGATCTTTGCGGATCGGCTGGATGAGCGGGTGCAGTTGCGCCAGAAACGTAATCGCCCACATAATGTACATAGCCGCAGCCGAAAGCACGAGTGTAGAGCGCCAGACCCTATTCCAAGTGACACAAGTTAGCCAGACATTTATTCCACGTAGTTTCCCACATGCAGTCGATTATCCCCTGTGCAACGTTCGCGGTTCGCAGTTCGCAGTAGCCGGGGCGAATTCGCAGCCGACCAGAACTTCGGCCTCGAAGATGCGTTCTGAAGAGAGCATGTACGCGGGCGCTGCTGTTCTGGAACCGAGCGATGGAAGAGGCAAAGGGAGGGAATGATGAACGTACGTCTGGTTCTCGCCTTTCGGAGCAAAGACCCACGCTGCGGCGCAGAATATCACCACGACTACGAGGCCGATGAAGGGAGCCCAACTATTCATCCCCCATCAAAGTCAGCCTAATTTCCAACATATGCAGAGTATGAAACATATTGCTCATAACATGGATGATGTGTGGAGCGTACCCGTTCGCCATTGTGTCCTGCTAATGTGGTATGTACGAGGGCTTTGGAAGCGGCGACTCGTGATGGGGCGGCGATCGATGTTCCGACGGCAGAAGGCGAAGTGGATGCAGGTTCGATTGCCTGAATTTCTGCGCGAGGTCTTTCGGTGCGGTGGGAGCGAGACAGAGTGCGTTGCGTGAGGGTTGCAGTCCGTACAGCTCTTCTGCCTTCGTCTTGTGGTTGCAGGAGCTCGAGCCTTAGATGACGCCTGGCGGGCGCTAGTTGCCGAGTTCAGGTTAGCGCATCAGGAGTCGGCATACATCAGTTGGACACTACATATGTACATATGTACATCTGCAAATGTTGCCTCGTGGATGTTCAGCTTCTTGACTTTCAGCCTTTCTAGGAGATCTGTGGTCACCACAAGGAATCCTTATCCCGGAATTTTCGGTTGGCACACCTCATGTGACTCCGAACGTACATGCATTCCATCGTATGTATTGACGCCATTCAATGCAATAGTCAAGCCTGATTCGCCAATCCCGAATCAATTAATGCGTTGTTAAGATGATTGAAAAACGCCAAAATCAGTATTCCCTCATCGTGCGATGAGCATGTTCTTCTCTTATTCCCGATACTCCGATTGGAAGCCTTGCTTTTGATTTCCAATTGATTAGTACATACATGGCACATTGCCTGCATGTTGTATGGTGTATGGGTGTTGCACCCTGGCCCGGTGCCCAAAGCAAAACTCGTTAGGTGAAATTTTTTGTTACCGCCTACTTTTCGTGAAATCGTTTTTATCTACCTTCTTTTGTGTAGGAAAAACTTCAACTTCTAATTAAAAAAACTCACCCTAGCATGATGATGTATCTTGGCCCAGCCGCCTGGCCAGCATCGTCAGCTTGATCTCTCAAGTACACCACTGTTTTTTGGATATTGATACATCGCGATACAGTTAAATCCGATTTCATGTACTTGAATTACTTGTGCTAGAAGTCATGTTTTTCATTCCAGTATACTACTAACCAATGTATGGATATCATGTTGTGTTCCAGAACGTAGCAAGCAACGGACGTTTAATCGTACGCTGGACTTCCTTTGGGCAGCTACATTGGAAACCCAACAGATCTTGGATAAATCGTTCAAACTCTCGAGTTCTGCATCTCCATGTCTTGCGCAAGTGACAATTCAAATTAAACAGAAGGCTATACTCTCGAACTAAAAAACTGCAGCATATCGCATGGACGTCTCCCGCCTTCTCAAGATATACGTATTAGGTGCATAAAGCTCATCTGCAATTCTCAACCATAGCCTTGATATCTGAACCAGCCACCGACGCCTTATTCTGCAAATCCCTGTTCTCCACCAGGTCTACCTGCATGAGACCCCCTCCTCCTTCTTCTTATCTAGCTCTCAGGAGGAAGCAGAGCCTGCATTCGCATGGGTGGAAGAGTTTGAGTTGCTTCGGGGTCGAGAAGTATTGGAGAGATCCATGTTGCCTACGTCGTCAATATGGCAGCTCAATTACACACTGTTCTACGTGAACTCACCGTTGACGGCTAGCATGGTGGTGTAAGGACGGCTCACTTCTACACCATTAGTCTGGGCATTGACATGACTCTCTGCGGTGCCCGTGCTAGTCTGCGCCTGCGTGCCGTTGCTGGAGGCGGGGGCGGTGGAGGTGGAGGAGGCGGAGGTGGATTGTGTGTCCATTGTTTCACTGGGCAATTTTCGAATGATAGCAGCGTAAACTGAACAGATAGCTTTGAAAAGAGCAAATTAATGATCAGAAGTTTTGTTGCGGCAATTGGGAATGAGATATCTCTGCGGAATGGTAGAGAGATATGGGGGGATTCGGTTGCGTATTTATGCATTTCCATTAGCACTGCGCGTTTGCCATCCGTTGAGAACAAGGCAAACGCTGAGAAGCCTACAATGTTAAACTTATCAATCGATGAAAAAGGTTCGCACACATATCTGGTGTTCAGCTTTCGAGTGATGACGGTCAGATGTAGGCCCCTGTAGACCGGTAAGAGGGAAACAACGGCGTTCCCCATGCAGGGTGGCAGACACACGCTACGATGCATATGCAACAATCCAAGAAATGAGACATCGGGCTCTAGAGGTAGCCTATAATTCCGTGAGGCGCGAATCTGGAAATTGATGTGTTCACGTAGCGGGATAAAGTCGGAAAGACGACATGGTTAGCGATCGGTGCGATGTTACTTTACGACATTTCTGTAACCGCATCAAATTAAATATATGTTCAATACTCGAAATTTCCATATCTACAACTCAAAACATTCATAATCCGGAATATCGGTCTTGCTTTCATCATCAATGAGAGAAGTATCAACAGAGAGAACTACCCTATGGTGTATCCTTGTCATAGGCGGTCGTGGTTGAGCAGGTGGCGGCGGCGATTGCGGAAGAAGGCAAACCCATCCATTCATCTTACACATTTTCACCTGATATATCGCATATAATGAGCACAATTGGTGGTAGTACTAAGATAATGAATGAGTAGGCTGCAGTGGACGAGACTGCGATGGAAGTACGGCATCTGAGGTAAGACAATAAACTATTCTCTACCGGAAGAAACGAAAAATCCCTGAAATGGAGACTCCGGACTGATCTTCTTATCTACCGATATGCACATCTGAAGAGAAGGGAAGGTGGACATTGACAAATAAACTGTACGAGTCTAAGTCTCGTTGTCATCCCCGAAAACAGGCATACTTTGATCTCTCGCCTTAATCAATACGAGGGAGCAGTCTCCATCTATAATATGAGATTGGTTCTGTTTTGATCATTATGTTACATCACATCACTCCCAGATGCGGCCAGGTTTTTGCCCACATGAATCGGCAGAAAATGAAGAATGCCTCACGACTGCGACAACATCACCAGTTGCCCAAATCTATCTCGCAATTCAGCCAGTATGCTTACGTTCAATGAGGGTAATGACCGGAGTACTGTGATTCCATACTTCACCTACATGTGCAAATTACTCTTTTGAGTGTCCCGTCTCAAATAGTAAGGTCTATCACCCATGTGTCATATCTAGACGATGCACATGCGTGGGGCCGTTTGCACGGATCGTCAAATGAAGAATGGGGGGCCAGGGGTACTTCTACCTACCCCCCAAAAGTTTTACACTCCCGCGGATGGGCAAGCCGCATTAAGACATCACAACAACATCGATCATTCCCTATATACACGAGCCATAGATGGACCATTCTCTACTTGACGAGCTCATTCACAACAATAACAATTAATTAATGTGCGCTGTACTTGACATGGCGATGTAAGCCCTTAACGCATCGCTCTTCAAGCAGTGTAAAATCATCCCGATAATTTATGTATACGCTTAGGTCGCTTTTAAACGCCCCAACGTCCTAAAACATGTCTGATAGTCAAGTGAAGTTGATTTGGAATTCAGTCTTTCAATTTGTGGCTGGTGAAAACCCCGTGCCATTTGGCCTATGCCGCCCCATTCTTCACGCATTGTGCAGCTAGCCTAGCCACTTGAAAAAGCCCCTGCGTCGTATACGCTGAGTGGCAGAGATGTCTCATGACATACTCCGTGCTAAGACAGACAGACATATGAATGGGACCCCACCCTGGGGACACGAAAGACACTGCAGGACGCCACTCATCAGGCACATAGACGAGCAATGTCGTGAACTCGGAAGGAGCATTTGATCCTTTGCTTCTTACCCTATGACATAGTGCGTTCAAGTCATTCCCGATTATATTTCTGTTTTAGTGGTTGGCCACGAGGAGTAACACGATGCGTATCGCCTTTTCACAAACCATCCTTGATTACATTGGATGGTTTGCTAACCCAAATGAGGAACTCATTCGACTGGAATGAGGGAGTGTTGCTGTCGACAAACAGATTCAGATACAAATAGCCATTAATGCGAAACATAGCACTGTGATTTGCTCGTGGGATTTGGGTGAAAAGAATTTTTTAGCCGCAGTGCTGGGTCGCAAACGACGAACCCCGTGGTTTTACTATCGAAGGAAAAATGCGATGCGTTGATACAGATGAGTGGAGATTTCTTGCTCTTTTGTATAATGGCGACTGGCGAGACTTTTGCAGCCGCGGATTAAGGTCACTATTCATCGAATCGACTCTTTGTAGAGGGAAGAACATATAAAAGATGGTGTGGGTTTCTCTTATATATATTCTCATTTTCATACGTCACTAACAAAGCTTTACAACTTACATCAATAGATATTACAAACATCCGCACAAACGCGCACTACAAAGAACAACCCCAACACTGCAAACCACCGCTCATCATAACACAATTTCTCCAACTTGCCATGATTTCATTATCTTCATGATCGTTGACTTTAATCAACCCACTCCTTCTTCAATCCTTCCAAAAACCCTAAATCGACATTTATAAAACTCCTCCAAAAGTCCACCTCCAATCTCCACGGTACACCGTGAATAGCAAACGTCGTGCCTAACATTAGGTCCTCCAACTCCTCTGCATCTTTTGCGAGTACTAAAATAATATCTCGCTTGATGACGACTTTCTGCTTCGGCAGCTGCCCACCGTTGCGGAACCTCTGGAAACGACCTTCGATGACACGCTGGATATCGCTATCGACGCCATCGACATCCTTGGGGTAGAACTTCCACTGCCATGAGCGGCCTTGGACGTCAGAGAAAGTGAAGAGAGGTCGCATCTCCAAACCCATCTGCAGAGGCCAGAAATTTGGGTGTGAGTAGATGCGCAAAAGTGAAAAGCGGGCTGAAGGGTATTTGTTGGCGTGACTTCTAGCAAGCGAGAGAATATCGACGGGTGGTGACGAGGTCCTACCATGGTCATAGTTGCTGCAGCGGTAGTCGATGAAGAGTCTGGGGGCTTCGCTTATGGGATCTAGGGCAGCAAAGGCCATACCGGGGACCCTAGGGGAGTAGTAGGGCGCGATGATTCCGGCTTTGTAAAGGTGTGCAATGGCGGGGCGGACGGTTTGATCCCATCCGTGCAAGATTGCGTCTGCAGTCATCAGCGAAATCATTCGGGCAGGTATCAACGTCATGCTGCCAACGCATCTGTCTGTTCCGTCCTGCTTCCATCTCAGTGAGCAGATAGTCGTCAACGGCTGCGCTTTCAGTGGTACGACCCCGCACTTGCTGATTGAATCTTGTATTTCCATTGCGCAACGCAACAGTTTTGGAACCGTTGGTTGATTTAGGTCTCCTTCCCTCTGCTCTCGAGATTTCACTGGCTTCTTTGTCTTCTATACTCTTGCTCGCTGCAGTTTTTCCGGACTTGATTGCAAAAGCAGCATCCGTATACTCATCAGAGTCATCATTTGTGTCAAGATCGTGAACGAACCGTATCAGCCTCGGTCCGCTCTCTTCCAAACCTCGCATGATCAAATCAGAGTGATTCGTAATCGCTGTGGCACGTCTTCCTTCTTTCTCTTCGAGGAACAAGACCTCGTCTTCGGCCACGTCAATGTCGTTGTAAAAGTTCTCGTAGTTATCTTGGACTGTGGGGTCTCTTCGTACCCATGCCCCGGCTTTCTTGTCTTTTGTGTACATAGTATGCACGAACGCAGAATCTGGCAAGGCCTGTATATTGTCCCAGATAGACTCTTCACCTGGTCTGAGGCCACGGCATCTTTTGGTAACCTCTTCTCGATGCAACTGCTCCACAACATGCTGTGCAGGCTTGTAGAAATCGCGGATATTTGTGAAGCGGTAGGCCTTTGACAAAGTGACTTGGAAAATATTCCCCAGGATAGAAGCATCGAGGCCAGCTTCAACATCCCAAATAATAATCTCGTAATGGTCATTGAAGCCAAAGCGGAATCGAGTGTACATCATATCGTCGACCCTTTCGAAAAGGGTTTCGTCAACTTTTGAGATGATGTTCCAATCGTTGCGCGAAGCCCGTCCTATGCCGTGTTTCTCCCGGATGAGCCATCGCTCTTCTTCCGGTGGACTGACCAAAATACGGCCTGTCTTTGCGTCACGCTCGAGGATACAAAGCTTGGAAGCTTCCATGGTCAGATATTGCACGAACCGCCTGCTGACAGGGTCGCTTCGCTTGATATGCCCACACATGAAGTTTCGGTATTCCTTGGCTTGATGCGCGCGACCACCCTGAGTATGGCGTCCATCCTGTTTTCGGATGCTCATTCGGTCGGCCAGATTGAAAGAGAACTTTGGGATAAAGCCAAGCTGCAGAAGTTGTCCTCTAACGGTATCGCCCGTCCACTCGCGCCAGCTGACCTGGATTGTGGGGAACAAAGTCAGTTTGATTCAAGGTAGATGGTGAAGTGCGTTACCGGAACTATAAAGCGCTCCTCGAGACAGGGTTTTAGAATGGTACAGACTGGTTTCATAATGTGGTCTGTACCGCGAAAAACTTACCGAAGGGAAGTAGGCATAGATGGCCAGAATGTTGAGACTCCAAAACTCATCCCAATTCCGGCAGACCTGTACAGCCTCACCTACCCGTGTGCCTTTAGCAAGAATCGAGAAATGAAGCCACCCTCCGCGGGCCATAGCACTTTGAGATGGATAGTTCCAGATTTCCTTTCCACAGACCTTGATCCGAATCTTCTTGCTGCGAAAAACATTGTTATCGTCCACCTCTCCAAAATCTACATTGGTGTTGCCCTCCGTGTGAAAAAGCGGCCGAGAATTTTGCTTTTGAAGAGCTTGTTCGTGCTTCGTCTGCCATCGATTAAGCCCCGTGTCCCATCCTAATGAGGCTCTGCGCTTTTCAATCTTGTCATTGAACTGGTTGACGAGCTCCTGCTGGGGGTCATCTTCCGACACATCTACTTGATCATCGTCTAATTCTTCATTGCCACGAGCAAAGTCCGCGCATGCATCCCGCACTTCTTGCAAAGTTGGTTGTTCGAATCTCAGTGAGAAGTCTCTGAGCTCCGCTGGTGTCACCGCAGGGTCCGCTAAGAATTCTTCCGGTGTCGAAGCTCTCAAGGCCGCTGGCAGAAGTGTAGCATGAGAGATGAGGAGGCGGCAGAACAGCAATTGCCTGATCTCGCGGATCTCGTATATGAGTTTATTTACCTCATCAGGTGGTATTCCCAATACGTTGTTGGTGGTTTCGGGTGGATTACAGATCGTTCCACGCGAGTATATACCGGGGGGCATATTCTCAGTTGCATCAAACTTCTCGCCATGGAGTAGCCGCTGCTTGAGCTCGTCCTCGGTTTAGATTATCTTGATTCGATTTTCTCGATCATCATTCGCATCTCCACCAGCATTCTTGGTATTCTGGGCTGGAACAGCAAGCGCTTTGGCTTGTTTTTTCGCACGCTTCTTTTTCGCCTTGGAGAGTAACGTAGAATCCAGCGCAAATTCTGCCGCCGTTGGGGCCTCGTCACTGGCGACGGTAGTTTCATACTCCTCATAATGTTCGACAGAAGAGTCTTGAAGCCAGAGTAAATGTTTCAGTAAATGAATGTACCTCTCCTTTTCCTCTTCCACTTCGTCTTCGATGGGATCCCAGTCAACTTCGTCTGCGTCTGCTGAGTCGGTGCGAGCATCCTGTCGCTCCTTGAATACTTTCTCCAAGAACGCCTCCTCTCGCTTCTTATCTTCTTCCTGTCTCTTGGCCCGCGACCTGCTTTGCAACTCCTTCCAATGCCTCTTAAACATGGCCGCCTCATGTTTGATATGATTAGCTTCATTTTCACGCGCCTGCTCTTCCTGTGCTTGCTCTTGGCGAACCCAGTGGAACCACTTCTGTTTCTGGTAAAGCACCTCGGCTGTTCTCTTCTCCAGTCTTTCTAGAGCTCTGAGGGTGGTGAGGCGATCGTTGAGTAGTTTATCCAGATACGTTTTGTGACCGAAGTCGGAGTTGTCTGCGTAGAACCTGGATTGGTGCAATTTGCGGGCGCGGATAACCCGGTCGAGCAATGCATACTTCTTGAACAAGTAATCATGAAGCTCTGCCAAAAGATCCTCGTCGTCAACGTCGTTGAATTGGACTGTCTGCCATTTGGACTTGGCAAGGAATTGTGGTGGCGAAGCTACCATTGAGTCGAGCTGGGCATTACGTCTCTTGTAGCCGATATATAGACCCTGGCATTGTTTTGCGTGGAAGCGGCAGAACAGACCATTGATGGATATCGCCGACGCGGTGCATTTTTGCTCATCCGATATATTCAATGCCGTACAGACTCCGTCCATGTCGACGAGGGGATTTGAGCCAATTACATATGATGATTTGGTGGAGGGGAAAGGAAAAGAGCCAAAAGAAATTATTATGGGAAAATTGACAGACGCGTCTACTTTAAGCAATGACGAAGAACCACAAACAGGCCAGGAATCAGCTTGATCAATGAAGTTGAGTAGCTCAATAGATTGGACAATGGGTAGAAGGATGATGTGTAATGGAAGGAGGTGCGTGGAGACGTTAAGGATCCATGCGCATGGGCGCTTCTCCTTGGCGTACCACAAACTACGCGCAATATGCGCGTATTCAGGTGATGGAATTGTCACTGGCATCGGTGTTTGGGCCGGATATGTCAAAATGCAGGAGTATACATGAGGATCATATTCCTCTTGCTCGTATTGGACAAATTAAGAGTATATGTCACATGTCTATGTTTCAGAGCTCCAGAGCTGAAGTACATTACTTACCACAGTATCCTACCAGTTGCTACGGCGATAAGAGTAGCGTAGAGGTGGTATAGAGGTGGTACATGAAACACACTCCGTAATTTGGCACATTCAGTGATGGTTTTGGTACGTAATTATAAACGATGGGATGGACTGCATCAGTAGCCCAAACACCCTCCGTGTCTCTGTACGCAAATAGCACGATCTACTACCGCACAGGAAGATGCGCAATTATGCGGTACATCAGTTGTTCACGATGTCAGAAGACGTGGGTGTGAAAGCATCATAGTTTCATTCATTCCCATTCATATGGTTATCTGGCATCCCCTTTGACTCCCTGTACCAGAAAATCTTCAACGCCTTGATAGGCCTAGGATGCGTGCAAACCCCATTTGCTGTATCCCATCCCAAGTTGCGATCAAGGGCACTACAATTCACGCAGTTTCCTTCGCAACTGAATATCGCAAGTCTCCATAAACGCCTGACACAGTAGAAAAAATTGGGCTATTGGATATCGCTGCACGCTGCTGGCCATCAGATATACTTGGGTTTCGGGCCAAGTCCACTAGATAAAACCACGCCGAGCATTGATGATTTCCTGGAATTCGGCACGGAGCTTGCCAACCTTCCTTCTTTTGAAGCTCTTATCGCCAGGTTTCTTGACACCAGGCTCCTGGATCGTCTGCTTGACTTCGATGCTGGCGCTAAGCTCCAGAAATGGCTCGCAGATGTCGGCCACGAGCATCTGAGCTTCGGGGTCGTCGGTAGAGTCGAACCACTCGATGGTGACAGCCTCCAGAGATGGTGTATGCATTAGGAGTTGCTTGACGGCGTCGATGCGCCCCCGAAGCTCAGCAGGGAACACGCTGACAACAAAGTCATTGTCTGAGGCGCGAACCCAGAGTGAATCCCAGACCACCTCGATCTTCGCTTTCTTGACTTTCTCCAATGGCGAGAACGCGGCATCGCCAATTTGCAGTAGGGTCTCCAGGAAGAAGCTAGCGTGAACGAAGCTTACTGTGACATCAATTTCGAGAACGGCAACGTCCGAAAACCAACTAAGAGCTTGTTCGCTGAGCGCCTTATTGATACCGAGCAGCTCTGGAGGTGGCGGGTACTTGGTCAAGCGGAGGAATTTGGGAACGTGGGCCCACTTGGGGTGTGGATGAACATATTCCCCCATCTCAAGGTCGTCCTCGTCGTCTTCTGCCAATTCTTCTTCAATATCTGCGCCATCTTGCTCGAGGTCCTCCTCCATATCGCTTTCGTCGTCTCCATCTTGATTCATGGCATCCTCTTCGTCTTCTTCTTCATCTCCATCCTCATCCATGGAATCCTCTTCATCTCCATCTTCATCCATTTCATCTGCTTCATAGTCGTATTCGTCTTCATCCATATCGCTGTCATCGGACTCGCGCTCGCTGCCGGCATCCTCGTCATCGTCGCTCTCGACGTCGTCATCGACAATAGGCTCATTGTCAGGGATGTAGTAGGGGCGGGGTTCGAGACAATCAGGGTTATTGGCTTTGATGAAAGCAATCTTCTGTTCGATATCCTTACGTTCGAACCAACGCTGAAGCACACTCCTCTCGCTGAAGTCGCGCGCGGACACCCACTTGAAGACCTGACCTTTCAATTCGAGCGGTAGCTCAAGGAGCTTGCTAGGCTTCCCTGGGTGGGCTGCCATGACTGCAATCTGGGGTTAGCTGATCTGGTCTGCAGTGGAGAGTTGTGTGAGTGAGAGAAAGTTGGTGGCCAAGTGGTGCGAGTCGAAGTAGAGGGCGTGGGCTCGGTTGGGGAGCGGAATTACTTATTATCCGAAGACAGCTGGCTGTGAGAGCGGCTTTCGAATGAGGGTGAAGGTGAAGTTTGACGATTGGCTTGCCTGGCTGGTGGAAACTGCGCGCCGTTACCCAACGTGCGGGTGGGGCTTGGACACACGGAAAGCGCAGGGTGATTGGTAGTTATGTGCAGACACAGGCGGTTGAAGTCGAAATCAACTGGCTTGGTGCTTGAATCGCACTCAGTGAAGGAGGAGTGAGAGACATGATTTGAAGGTGTTCAAGGCCGCAGTTTCGTATCTCTGTGCCATGGTTGCCTTGGTGCCTCGTTCCCGTTTGCCGCCCCGAAACAGGCTGTGCGGCCATCGCCGAATATACTACTGGGTGTACAACCGCCTGCGCACCTGACCCTCGTATAGAAAATGTTCGCTTGGCCTTAGATAGATGCATACTTGTCGGACAGGAGTCTGTATGATATCAGTATACTACCTAATACAATGACGAGGATACTTGATTGAGGTGGTGTCGCGCTAACTGATTGTGGTATAGGCACACGGCTCAGCGCGAGGCCCAGCACCTCTCGTAAAACTCCTGCAAGCGGGTCTCGCACATCGTACAACCTCGTACTAAGCAAAGGTGGGTGCCCGTACAGCTCCATAGAGCTTACGCATATGGGGATTCATACTACATAAGCTTGCTTGATCATGCCACCCCACGACACATTTGTCAGCTCATTCAGCTCATCCGCAAAGTCCATATAATCAGAGCCTTGAACTTTCGTCACACAAAACAGTAGTCGTCACTACTCTCGCAGCTACTACATCATGGCAAATCAAGAATCACACAAGCTTACTCTGTTTCGTGGTAGCGGAGATCTCGGCCTCTTCGTCTGGTCTCCTTTCGTTACCAAACTCGAATTTCGTCTGCGCATCTCTAATACACACTATGTTCCTGCCGCCGGAAGCCCTCCCAATGGGCCTAGAAAAAAGATTCCTTATCTGGACCTCACTGCATCTGATGGAAGCGTCGTTCATCTCTCCGACACCACCTGGATAACCAGGGATTTAATCAAAAGAGGCGTGCTCCCAGACATCAACGCAAAATTGAGTCCTACACAAAGCGCCATTGATACCGCTGTTCGGATCATGTTGGAAGAGAAGCTATTCTTTCTGCAATCCCACGAGCGCTGGGTTTTGAATTTTGAAACCATGCGGGACAAGGTATTCAGCCAGGTGCCTTTGCCCCAGCGCGATGTTGTGGGCGAGAAGACCAAGAACGAAATTATACAGAAGCTGGATCTCCAAGGCACCGGCCGATTCACCGATGCCGAGCGGTGGGAGAGCATTGAGGAAATCTGGACGGCGATCGATGGGCTGCTACAAGAGTCAAAGGCGAAAGCCGGTGATGGGGAGTGCTTCTGGATTCTAGGAGGATCGGAGCCTACGGAGGCTGATGCAACGGTTTTTGGCTACTCGGTCAGCTCGCAGGCGTGCAAATCGGGTCCCAAGAGTGCGCAACTTGTGAAGACGAAATTCCCGGTCGTGTTGGAGTATGCTAGGCGCATCCAGCAGAAGTACTTCGCGGACTATGCACCTTTCGATGCGTAGGCTGCACGATCTATGGATGCGCCAAAACGAGCCCTGCATTGCGTTAGGAGTATGGAACGACTTGTATAGATCAGCGGGCGATATGTTTTCTCATAGTATGTATGTTCAACACGATATAGGTTCAGTGGCTACACATTTTTCATGCCAATCAAAGACAGTGCTGGCTCACCGGAAATACCCTTGGCTTGGCTCGACGTTTGACGTTCGCTTGAGCAGTCAACACTAAAATTGTGAGAGAGGAAGGCACGACGAACGCACCTCCTCATTCACGTGACGCCCTCTCAGTCGCACCTACATAACCCTCTAGACCTACAACTAAATTCACCCCGCCACATACTTTGACCGTCGCTACCACAATCACTCAACCACCACTACTTCTATTCTGGAACCAAATCACCACATTCCATCCATCCGCAATGAAACTTCACTTCACCCTCCTCGTAACGGCCCTCACGGCCCTCGTTTCTGCGTCCGGAGCGGCCAAACACGTTGAGCCGGCTCTCGCCCCGCGCGACAAACGCTGCGACAAGAAATGCAACGGGGAATGGGAGAAGTGCATCAGGGTGCGTACTGATTTCCGCTGTTCATGGCGCGAAAGGCAAGAGAAGAAAGACGAGTGCTGATATGAGTTGCGCGTGCCAGGATCGCTGCTATGCGTATTCGTGGGGATGCAACAAGATCTGCACCTACACCATCTGTGAGACGAGTGGCGATGTAAGTGAGAGGCGTGAGAGGTCTGGAAGATTGGGGAGGGTGCTGACGAGAGTGTAGGATTGCTCTGGATGCCAGTGGTGCTAGAAACTGCGGGCAACCATGCAGCTGCGAACAAGACGCCCAACGGGCGGTTTGACGCTGGTTGCGAGAGGATCAGAGAGATGTCGGGGTTTTCATACTGCCGTTAGGAGGTATATCAAGTCTTTGATGTTCCGGACGATCTAGCGTTTGCCAGGAAGCCTTGATAGCGGTACCTGATGTCCAAGCATCTTTCATGCAATTCGGATATCATCTGCAGGGACTCCAGGGTTCATGCACGTCCAGATAGACTTGCATTGTGGTTTAGCCAGGTCCAATCCATACATGCAATATACGCTCCCGCGACACTCGATAGTGAACTGTCAGCCCACATTCTCGCAGCAATGACTGATTACAGGCTTTGCTACGTCATGATCTGGTGTCGATCCGTGAAATCAACAGGACCGCATCACACTCGCCAGTATGCAGTGTCAAATCTATAACACCATCCAGAATATCTCCTCCAAAAGTCATCCGCGTCCACCAATTTGTTTTGTCTTCACAACAGCTTCTCGAACCGGTCACAAGAACTACATGTCGAAGACAAGCGATGCATGCACGAAAAAGATGCTGATGTGTGTGTAGGTTGGAGGTTGTTGCGGAAGAGCAGTGGGCGGAGAAAAGCGGATCAACATCAATGCCATGATGAAATCAAAACACGCAATCCGGATAGAAAAATGAGTATGTACGCCCTGCAGGACCCCAGCCGAAGGTCAATTGAATGATGTCGAAGGTGGTAATAGCTAATGATGCAAGTGAGCCTCACAGATGCCGGGGTATGCACTAGTCGAGCTTTGGCCTATGGGGCTCCTCACGCCAAGCAATCTTCCCCACTCTCCACACACCGCCCTCGTGGCTCTCCACGATCCTCATTCAGTGTCAATCGCATATACAGCCACAACGCCGGGCAGCATGAATGCGAAAATATGAAGATGGGTCGTATTCAGCGACTCAGCAGATGTTCTCTAGAAAGAAGGGGGAGAGAAAAAAAAAAGGCAGGCCCAGGCGGATGGCATGACATCAGGCTAGTCACTCCGCTACAGCCCCCAGGATGACCAGAAGCAGGCTAGCTCCCCCAGAGTAACGATATGCGGGGAAATGAGCAAGCCAGCAAGCTTTGAAGTCTCGAAAAAAGACGGAACAATCCCAAGCCCTAGCCGGCTCACCCGTGCCATCCTTCGCTGGTGCCGCTCTCCCTAGACTCCATCTACCCGTCTGCCGTCCCCTACTTCCAACCTATTTTACGTACCAGAAAATCACCGACGACGCATTGAACGCGACCTGGTCTCGGCCACCCCCTTCTCCTTCTCCACACACACATACACATACACACATGTCACCATCCCCGTACCCATCCCGCACTCCACTGCTAACCCTCGACATGTGCCCCTGTGCTCTACGCCAAGATGGTCGTTCCCGTAGTTAGCGAGCGAGGTCCAGCCGCTGACGTCCGTCTTTTTCACTCGGGTGGGGTGGTCTGGGGTTCTTGTTCGTACCGGGGTCAATGGTCAGGTTTTTCTTGTATCCATCTCCCGTTTCTTTGTTTGTAGCTGTGAAGCTATGGGGACCGGCAAACCCGATGGGGAAAGGGCTGGCGTCTTTCACTAGCTAACACTGTTTGCCGGCGACCTTGGTATATAATCATCACTGGACATGTCCGCACTGTGTCTGCCTGCTTACTCCCTTTTCTCTTACCTCCTAGCCTTGCCCTGTGAATTGAATCCGGGAAGCTTCAATCAACTTGTTATCCATCAACCATGAGGGCATCGCGTGCGTTGTGGCTGCTCAGTGGGGTGCTGCCATGGGCTGCCGCTCTATACGAGAACGGGTCGGTGGTCGCGCCTTGCGATTCGCCTATTTACTGCTACGGGGATTTGTTGCGCGAAATTGAGCTTGCGAGGCCGTTTGCGGATTCCAAGACCTTCGTGGATCTGTAAGCATTACCCTTCCTGAACTGGGAATCCTTCGGTTAGGGTTAATTGGTGACACAGACCTACCACACGACCTCTAGACGAAGTCCTAGCTGCGTTCGATGAGCTAGAGAAGCCGATTCAAAATAACACTGCGTTGCATGATTTCTTGTCCGATTACTTTGGACAAGCTGGCAGCGAGCTCGAGGCCGTTCCTACAGACCAATTGAGGACTCAACCTGATTTCCTCGACGCTGTCAACAGCACTGAAGTTGCCGACTTCGTGAAAGAGGTCATTGATATATGGCCCGATCTTACGAGGAGATATGCTGGGGCTGGCAATTGCTCAGACTGCGTCAATTCCTTCATTCCTGTGAGCCGGACCTTCGTTGTGGCTGGCGGGCGTTTCCGCGAACCTTATTACTGGGATTCGTTTTGGATCATAGAAGGCTTGCTGAGGACAAAAGGGTCCTTTACTCAAATCGCCGAGAACATCATTGAGAATTTCTTGGATTTCGTTCAAGACTTCGGATTCGTGCCGAATGGGGCCAGGAGGTACTACCTGAATCGGTCCCAGCCTCCGCTTCTCACCCAGATGGTGAGGGTGTACGTCGAGTATACGCAGAACTATACGCTCCTGGAGCGAGCCTTACCATTGCTCAAAGCTGAGTACGATTTTTGGGTCAAGAACCGAACCGTGACGTTGGAGCGAGGTGGCAAGAACTATACTCTTGTAAGCTCATCGCAGATTTGATTTCCCTTCGACAGTCTCGATATTAACTGGCCACACTCAGAACCACTACGCCGTCTCCAATACCCAGCCCCGTCCGGAATCCTACTACGAAGACTACGTAACAGCAAACAACCAATCCTACTACAACGAAGCTGGCGAAATCTTCAACGCCACCGATCCTCTCACCGAAGCCCAAATCGAAACCCTCTATTCCAACCTCGCCTCCGGCGCCGAAAGCGGCTGGGACTATACATCCCGCTGGCTTGCGAACCCAAACGATGCCGTCACAGATACCTTCTTCCCTCTCCGCTCCCTCAACACCGCAAATATCCTCCCCATCGACCTCAACTCCATCCTCTACTACAACGAAATCACCCTCGCCGCCTTCCACACGCGCACGGGCAACGCGTCTGCTGCACAAGCATGGTCCGCCCGCGCAACAGCCCGCAGCGAAGCCATGTACGCACTCCTTTGGGATCAGGAACATTACAGCTACTTCGACTACAACCTTACGTCCGGCGCGAAGAACATCTATGTCGTAGCTGATAACTCGTCTGTCCCGGCCGACCTCTCAGGCGCGCCAGAAGGCCATCAAGTCGCTTTCTCTCCCGCACAATTCTATCCCTTTTGGACCGGTGCTGCGCCTGCTGCACTAAAGGCCGACCCCTCAGCTGTCAAGCGTGTTTATGGACGTGTGGAAGCGTTGTTGGACGATCGTGCTGGCGCCATCGCAGCGTCGAATTTGAAGACGGGACAGCAGTGGGATGAGCCTAATGTCTGGCCGCCGCTGGAGTACATCATTATCCAAGGGCTATTGAATGTTCCTGTTTCCTCCTCCTCATCTTCAGCAACAAACGCAGAAACCGACTACGTCCAAACCCAATCCCTCGCCCTCAAATTCGCGCAACGCTATCTAGATTCTACATTCTGTACCTGGCAAGCCACCGCCGCCATCGCCGCCTCCACCAACTCCACAGAAGGAGGGAAAAGTGGGGGCATCATGTTCGAGAAATACAGCGATACCAGCATAGATGCCGCAGGCGGTGGTGGCGAGTACGAAGTCGTCGAGGGCTTTGGATGGAGCAATGGTGTGTTGATTTGGATTGCGGATGTCTTTGGCGAGAGGCTGAAGACGCCTAGTTGTAGCGATGGGGAGAGCAAGGGAGCGGGCAAGAGGAGAAAGCGGAGCGCGGTGGAGATTGACGCGTGGGATGGGAAGTGGGTTAAGAGGTTTGCTTCGTAAAAGAAGCGTCTAATATGGTGAGGATAGGAAAGGTGATTCCAGATACAGGAGATGAAAAGGGAAAGCTGTAATAATTGTCATGATCGTTTAATTAAATAACGAGGTTATCTTTTATCCTTCGTCTTTCTGGTATATGAGATACGTACTCTTACACACTCCGCTCTTCCCCATCTCACCTCCCCTTCCCCCCTCACTTTGCATTCCCCAACTCCCCAATCCCCCATCACCCTCTACGCAGCCAGTCATAGAGAATCACGTTCTCCGCTTGCTTCCAGCCCCAGCCAGCCTTCAATCCCCCTAGTCACATCATAGCTGCGTTAAGTCTACTCACGTTCGACAAGTACAGTATGCAACAGCTGTTGATCAACGAGAAATTATCGAGGACCCCACTCTCCTGGAGCTGTCTAGAATAATGGGGGGCTGTGTTGAGCGATAGACAGACAGATGAACCAACGAACAGGGCTTATACCCTTCCGTATGTTGACGCGTGCACAGTGTACTATCCAACATCTGCAACTCCTCTACACTCAAGTAGCCAAAGTAGTAAACAGAAGCCAAAAATAAGATATAGAATCTCACTACTCACCCGTTCCATCCGTTCTCCCACACAGCACTACCAACAACGAGACCACGTATTCAGCGCGGCAATGAGGCTTCGAGATTACTTCTTCAACCACGCGATGCAAAAGCGCAGGGAAGAAGAAAAAAAGGGGGTCCGTGTTCAATCTTGTCTATAGTTTCCAATGATACTGACTCGCCAAGACAATGAGGCTCAAAACGGGGCTCTGGTGACTAGTGATGCTAGTGGCAAGTGGATAGCGCAGGGATGAGGCTGGTCTCATAAGAGTGGGGACTGGCTTGCTTTGCTCGATTCGATGCGGCGGAGCGTCGCGGATATGCATGTCGTGGTTTTCCTACTTTTCATTAAGACGTCATAACTTGTGCAGACAGTGGCTACCCGCCCCGTTGGATGATGAAGGGTTTGAGGCGCGGGATTGATGGATGGGCGGAACGGCAGTTGATGGTGATGGTGATGATGAAATGGGGCCAGGGTCTGATCTTGATTCACGATGTTTTCTCACGATTCGAGACCAAGGAGATTTTTCTCCCGTCTCTTTCTCGCTTCTTGTCCGGTGAACTTGCAGAACCAAGAACGGCAGCCAAGAGACATAGGAAAAAAGCTTGGTACGAGGGAAGCAGAAAAAGGCCGGCTGACACATGTTCGAAAGCCAGATCGTGTCGTGACCGGAAATGATCTCATATTGGGAAAGCAATGAGGCTTTCTCTTTCTCTTTCTCTTATCTCCGGGGTAGGGGGGGAAAAGAGCTGTCTGCATGCACTCCGTCTTCTTCCCCCAGGAACTCTACCCCCTCGAATGCGGAGAGCAGAAAAATGAAAAGAGTGACTCTTCTCTCCGCTGGGGAAGTGGATAATGCTGTAATCTGGAGGCGTTCCACCTGTCAACCACGAGGGGGGAGGGGGCAAATGGGGGGAGGGACTATCACCCACAGCTCACCTGAGATGTCTTCATTGATCATCATCAATAGATAAGGCGACATGCAGCAAGCTACGCGCGACATGTGTATAATCCAGCACGTCACAGAGACTACTTTAGGCGAAGACTTTTTTTTCTAAAAGAAAGAAAAAAAATTGCCTAACGCACAAACGTCATCTGCGTCAGGTCCAGGTCCTACCCTTGTCGTTGGTGATCCACCAGGCGGGCCGCCATGTACAAGGTTGTGTCTCGCAGGGACGCAAATGCGGTTGTCGTGCGTGCCACGAAAACGACAGATTGCGTGGGTCGTAGGATGTTGAGCCGCTAGTACGGAGTCCTGGTTATGTGCAAGAATAGAATAGTGACATGTAGGTACGGGCCTTGCATGCACGCCTCAAGGAGAATAAACAAATGTACACCCTGCATTGTTTGTTGTTGCTGCTGCGACCTAGAGTCCCGTTAGACTTCTTGACTACTAGGCCGCGCTCAACGTGCGCGAGATACTTGATGTTGCTGCTGGTGGTGCCAACGTCACGGATGTTGAAGCTGATCTTTTTTTTTCCAGGGGTTCAGCAAGAATTGTGGGAAGCGCTGTATCGTTTTCATCCCTTGTGATTCGTTTGCTGGGTAGACGAGGCGATTTTCCTTGCATAAGGGGACTGAGCTTTTGCTGGTCCACTTTTGAAAAATCGGTCGTAGCGTGATGGATTGAGTTGTTTGAGGTTTTTTTCCACCTAACATGGGGGTCTTTCTTATCTACGGCCTACGAGATGGCGTGAAAGTGTATTTGTCTCTGGAAGTCCGTCTATAGGAAACAATGGATCACGATTCATTTAGCTACTATTTCTTGTAGAATGGATTTGGCTGCGGTTACTCCTATTGAACGCATTGCGGGAGTGGAAGGATTGGACCGCAGCCACAGATATGCAACCAGATGGTTGACAGACAGGACGTCGAGGCCGCCGATCTTCCGAAACAGGTAGCCTTGATACTTTTTGAAAAGGTCGTTCTGCGGCGCGTTCCTTGCTCAGGCCGTCCCGAAGTTGATGCGACCGGTTCTCCGAGAAAAGTCTGCGGCTCCGATATCCACTCTTCGGTCAGAACCGGCGTCGTCTAATTGGACAACACCAACCCTGAGCATCATCGCTGATAGAGTATCATAGTGACAACACTGTACGTCAGCTGCAAAGGGTTGCGTGCTAGACCTGCCATTTTCGACTATTCTCGAAAAAGAAGATGATGTTATTATTTCTCGGTGTCATGAGAACAAAAATGAGATCACCAGATGTGTAACATTACAACCGTTGTCAACACTCAGCTAGCGAAAGCCTGTGAACAGTGGAACGCAAGGCTAAAAACGACATCGAAGATACCAGACCCACCGTGTCCATCCTTCCAGGCTCCAACAACCCAATCGAAACCGAGTCGCCTTCACTGGCCGGACCAATGCTTGTCTGCAGGTAGCGTCCCCTTCAACGAAACCACTGCAAATCTCGGCCGATGCATTAGAAATTGCCAGCCCACATTCAGACCTCCACCACCTGGCCTGGGTACAGATGTTGCCAGCAAAGAAAATTTGTTTGTTTTCCCCAGTGATCTAACCATCCCACCCCCTCCCCCTTCTGTCATCTGTCTTCCCCCAGTCACCCCATCATCACTCCTCCATTCTTTATAACCCCATCCCCCAAACCCCTCATTTATAAATCACTTCCTTCCCCATAATCTTTCCTTCCTTCTCCTCTTCACCTTGTCTGGTTGGCATCTTGCAAGTCTTTGTTCTGTTTATACCCTCCCTCCATTGCCAACAACTAATTGGGTTCCTTTCATCATGCGTTTCTTTGGGAAGAAGACCTCGGACGAGGTGCCGCCGGAGAAGGGCACCCCTGAGACCACCACTCCCGCTCAAACACCTCCTCGCCAGGCCTCTGATATTGCTGCTTTGGCTCCGGAAGGACGAGTGCCTATGGTGGCGATCCTTCTAGGAGCCGTCGCCAGTATCGGTGGTTTCATGTTCGGTTACGAGTCTGGTCAGATTTCTGGTTTCCTCGCCATGCCAGACTTTGTCGCGAGATTCGGTGAGGATGGCAAGTTCTCTGCTGTTCGCCAGGGAACGATTGTCGGTCTTCTTGCGTACGTATTTGTCGAGGCTATCTATTCCCAGGAATTGCAAGCTGATAATTCCCCAGTATCGGTACTCTTTTGGGCTGCCTGTGCTCTGCTCCCCTCGCTGATCACTTTGGACGTCGTCTCACCATCTCCGGATCTGCCTTCTTCTACATTGCCGGTGTCATTATCGAAATCACCAGTGAAACCGTCTGGGTCCAATTCGCCATGGGCCGTTTCGTCGCCGGTCTCGGTATCGGTGCCTTGTCCACCGTCGTCCCCATGTACCAGTCTGAATCCATCCCCAAGCGTATCCGTGGTGCCACTGTTGCTTCTTACCAGTTGCTCATCACCATGGGTATCTGGACCGCGTACATGGTCAACTACGGCACTTCCGACAGCTACTCCAACAGTGCACAGTGGCGTATTCCCAACGGTCTCTCTGCTCTCTGGGCTATTCTTTTGGGATCTGCTATCTTGTTGCTTCCCGAGTCCCCCCGCTACGCTTACCGCAAGGGCCGCATTGATGAGGCTCGCGGCAACATGGCCCGCTTGAACGGCGTCGAGCCTAACCACCCCCTCATCGACGCCGAGATTGCCGAAATCCAGGAGAAATTGGAAGCCGAATCTGCTGGTGGAAACCACGCTTGGTACGAGGCTTTCACCGGTCCTCGCATGATGTACCGTGTCATTCTCGGTATGGTCCTCCAAGCCGGCCAACAACTGTAAGTTCCTCAATCCCTCCATATCTCCCCCAAAAACATACATCTGACAAATGCTGCAGCACTGGCGCCAACTACTTCTTCTACTACGGTACCACCATCTTCGCCGCCACCGGTCTCGAGAACAGCTACGTGACCTCCATCATCCTCGGCACCGTCAACGTCGCTGCCACCATCTTCGGGATCTGGATCGTCGAGAACGTCGGCCGCAGAAAGGCCATGATGGCAGGCGCAGCATGGATGGGCGTCTGTCTCTTCATCTACTCCTTCGTTGGCCACTACCAACTCGATCACGTCAACCCGCAATCGACCCCGCAAGCCGGCAACATCATGATCGTCTTCACCTGTCTCTTCATCGCCGCGTTCGCGACCACCTGGGGTCCCCTCGTCTGGGCCATCGTTGGAGAATTGTATCCCGCCCGCTACCGCGCTACCTGCATGGCTGTCGCCACGGCTAGCAACTGGCTCTTCAACTTCCTCATCTCCTTCTTCAGCACCATGATCACGGACAACATCGACTACTTCTACGGTCTTGTCTTCGGAGGCTGCTGCTTCGCCCTCTTCATCGTCGTGTACTTCTTCATGATCGAGACAAAGGGCCGTTCGCTCGAGGAGATCGACACCATGTACATCCTCCACGTCAACCCCATCACCAGCGCAAAGTGGGACGGCGAGTCGCTCCAGAAAGACGGCCTCGTTGACACCGATCGTTTGCACCTCGGCCCTGGCGGGCGCACGTTCAGCAAGGCTGAGGCCGGCGCGCCCCACGAAGGCGTGTTACAGAGGAACGAGAATGTTACCGTTTAAACGAGGACCCATCTCTTTTCATAGGGTTCAAGTTTGAAATGGTAGAACGTGAGCATTCTCTCATGTATAATGTGTTTTAATCTTTTCTCCTTTTATTGGGTCATTGGGATCGTCCTTCACAAGAGTGGGGTCGTATTTTCTTTCATTGTTGTACATATATATAGCATTTGCTTGCGATAACATAGCATGGCGGGACATCACTTTAGCAGTGAATCAAAATCAAAATCAAAATTATATCATCAAATTGTATCTTTTGGAGGGCTTGATATTTAAGTGACATGCCCTGTTGAATACACATGACGAATGGAATTGGTATACCCCCAAGCATATACATTCGAACGTACCTACCTAGGTATTTCAGGTACACACCTGGGCATTTGATGTATGCGAACAAGCCAGCAACAGCGGTAATGCAGGCTTACAACATTTATCCTAATGAAATATGACGACTATATCCCGATATTTATATATCATTATATTTGATCTCGCGTAGTCTATGAGCATCGCGATCAATACAATCAATAACACGACCTGCACAGTCCTTTCGAAAGCATCACGTGGTCCATATCACGTGACATACAAGATCTTCAAATGTTCTTGCTATCCCCAACTGAAATCCTCTCTACGCAATTTACTGTGGGATAGCCCAACACTTAAATACAGTTGCTGCATTCTATCATTGATGATGGATCGCGTAAACGCCAAGTTCCCTCTGAGGTTACATATGTAGGAACACGTACCAACAGTACACACATGTGCAGCTGGAAAGGACTGAAGCAACCTTTCCAAGTATGTAAAGTCGAACAATTCAAACTAAACTGGTTCTTTTTTTTCTGCAAAAATAGCACTCTCAGATTTGTTCTTCTTATGGATGAAACGTGGAGTCTAGAAGGTGCATTATTTCGACCTCGAGCGCGTCATAGTGTCGTCTCTTGCGTCGTATATGGTTTGTTTGCAGAGTGAACGACTCGTATTAATTCTTTCGCACAGCTATTCTTCTAAGTGATTGGGCTGTGGGTCGTGGATCACGTTTGACCTGAGAAAAAGAGGAAGAGAAATAAGAACAAAGCGACTTCAACACATCGCATCTCTCGAGTACAACTCCAGAAACAATGACTCTAGGAATTCATCATCGTAAGAGCAAACCTCGGCTCGGCATACTATTTCCCTTGCATAGCGCTCGTGAAAGTATGGAAACGCGGGGCCCCGCATCGCAAACACCCCTGGCACCTACAACCACCTAACCAAACAAAGTACATGATTGTCCCTTACGCCGGGGACTTCCACAACATTAGGTATGTGCTCCGACATACTCTCTACAAAATATCAGAAATAGTTGCAGCTTCCGATGCGGGGAATGGGGAATGGTTAAATGGTCATCAATGCATACAATAGTGTCACATAATGCTTGCGAGGATGTGATTGGTGAGTCTATAAACATGTTTCTCATCTCTACTGTTTATAGGATGGTTGTTCGTGTTGGTTGTGATCTCGCAAGGTAAAGACGTAAGTGTTTCTGGGGGAAGACAAGCGATCGATGGATGGCGCGCGATGATGGTGTTGATCATTGCACATGCTACCGGTAGACGAAAACAAGATACCGAGCACAAGTCAATTGTTTATATATCTGAGCGGTGTGTTCAAGTCATCATCGTTCACTCGCGATTGATCTAGATTCAGTCTCCCTTCTTCAAATCATCTCACTTCTCCAACATTATCTCTCAAAGTCCACAAACATGCTTCTTCTCCCCCTCCTAACTACCCTCCCTTTCCTCTCTCTTTCATCCGCCTTACCAACCTCTTCTCTCTCATCACCCATCCTCCCACGTGCAGCCAGTCTCGGCGCAGAAGTGCGCTCCCAGATCGACGTCCTCAACGCGTCTGTGATCGAGCTGACAGCCGCCGTCAACGCTTATGACGGCAGTCTGCTAGGCGTGATTCCGCAATCCCTCGCCGTCATCAGCGCCACCGCAAAGGTAGACGGCACAACCGTCAAAACCGCGTGGCTGACGCAATTGAGCGGCAACTTCACTGTCGATGAAAGCCAGAGCGTCGTCACTACGCTAGCGACTTTGATTACGCCGATTCGGGGGAGCCTGGAGGCGCTGGGCGGGAAGGTGAGTTTTGCTTTCGTATCGTTGATTGTGGACTGGCTAATTCTTTGATGTTAGTACGACGTGTTCAAGAAGACTCTGCAAGTTCCTGTTGTGCTTTTGAGTTTGAAGACATTGAAGAAGCATACCGCGGACTTGGTGGAAGCGTTGGGGGAGAAGGTCACTCCGGATTGGGCTGCTATTTTGGCGTTTGGCGCTCCGCTTTTGGATGCGTCTTTTGACGAGGCGATTGCGATATACAGTGCTTAAATATTGACACCATATCTGAGGAAGATATCTCGGTATTCCAAGACATTTAAAGTGAGCTCATCATGAAGTTCAGTTCACCGCTATCTATGCCATGTCACACCGCATCGACATGATTCATCGGGACGTTACATGATGTGAAACCGTGGCGGCGCAGACTGTTCAAAAAGTACGTACTTTACAGACGTGGATATGAACTTGCAAAAGAGGGAATTCAGTATGATTAACCTTCTTAGGGGCAAAAGAATAGAAGAGACAGTTAAGACGTCAACCATGAGTAGTTATCATCGATGTATACTGTGCTGTAGCTCAATGCGACTTGTTTACATGGCCCTTTATCCATCTTTGTATCTCGTCAACAACAAAACCAGCGTGTTTTTTGTCCAACAGCGTCAGGTGGTTGCCAGGTACTTCGACTGTTAAATTCGCACGCGGCCACTGAGGACGCCACAGATCAACTTCCGTAGGAATCGAGCCTGCTGGGTCTCGAGCTCGAATGAATAGCGCCGGTGCTGTCTTTGGCAGCGGAAATAGCTCTACATCCCAATCTTGCAATGTTTTGAAATACCCTCCCATTTTTGCTAATGCTAGGTCTCCCACGAGGCCACCGCTAATATCTTTGAGAGCCTCGGCTGGAAGCGCGTTCAACCAATCTGGGTCGTCCTGGCCAGTCATGTTAGGATATGTGTCGATCAGAATGATACCCGCCAGCAAAGGCTGGTCTTCAGTTTCAGCCAACTTGGAAGCCACAGCGTGGGCGACAATGCCACCAACAGAATATCCAGATATTAGAATTCGCTTTCGATGGGAGAAGTGTTTACGAATTGTTTGAACATGCAATTCGATAAGCGAATTAAAATCCAGAGGAACAATCTGTCCATGTGGGTGCGCAAGTTCAAAAATGTCTCTTTCTCCATTCATCGCAGATGCGATGTTGCTGTACACACTGAAGTTTACCCCCGCACTTTTGACACGTGGGAGGAAAGGCGCGATGCAGACCAAGGAAAATGGCACATCTGACTCGTAGGAACTGAATGGGCCTTTGGCAATATGTTCAGGACTTGCCGCGTAGGCTGATAAGCTGGCTTCAGCTTTAGAGAAATTCGGGATTGTTAGAGAAGCTACAGCCAGTAAGGAAGCAGCGGAAGTATACTGCCCCAATTTACATAGCCGTTCGTGAAGTGTAGTTAATCCTCGGAATACATTGGCGTTCACATCGTCATGCGCCTGACGAGCCGGCGAAGTTGCCTCGGTTGCTATATTCGAGTCGAATTCCTCACCACTCTCACTAGGAGCTGGCGTATTGCAGATATCGGATGATATGTCTGAGTCTTGCGTAGTTTCTAAGCGCGGCTTTACGTCTACCAGTGGCAAAAGATACTGCACAAGCGATTCGGGACTGTACAAATCCATAGCCAGCGTAACGGGAAGGTCGTATAATCCTGTTAAGATCCTCAGTCGGTTCATAAGCATGACCGAGGTGGAAGAATCGAAGCCAATTTCAGCAAGTGGCTTGTCAGGAACCGCATCTCCACACTGATAACCAAGTACCTCAGCGATCTCATCTCGCACTAGGCGTACCAGGACGTTGGGATGATCCTCCACTGAGGCATTCGAGAGTATTCTGCGCCAAGCAAGTTCTACATTGTCTCCGCCCTGTGTCCTGGTCTTCCTAATATGGGATATTGGATCGGTTGACAGTAGCCGTGGGGGAGCTCCACTCAGCAACAGCGGCATGAGAACCGGATCCGAAGGGACTTCGATTTGCGTGGCCAGAGCTTTGTAAAATAGATCTAGACCTTGCTTATCTGTCAAGAACTGAGCGGTAGAGAGGCGTGGAGAAACATTGGGCAGTTTCCCCTCTCCGGCCATACCAGCAGCATTCGTCCATGGCCCCCAAGCAAGCGACAAGGCGGGTAATCCCCGTGCGACACGGAATCGAGCCAAAGAATCAAGGAAAGCATTGCCTGCAGTATATGCAGCCTGGCCTTCGTTCCCAAGAGTGCCAACGAACGACGAGAAGAGGATGAATGAGCGTACTGTATTCGGCATAAGCTCGTGGAGGTTCCATGCGCCGTTGACTTTGGGGTGTAAAACACGAGATACTCGCTGTGTAGTCTGAGACATTACGACTGCGTCGTCGACCACGCCTGCGCAATGAATAACAGCGGTGATGGGTGGATGTTGTCCGTGGTTCTCCAGCAATGCGGCTAGTTGCGTCCTGTCGCCGACATCGCAAGCCTCCACACGTACGTCTGCATCTGCACCCCGAAGCTCGTGATATAGCTTCCGAGCTTCAGAAGCTTCAGCGCTAATACCTGAACGACTGATAAGAAGCAGATTTTTGACGCCGTGCGTAAGCACAAGATCTTTGCTTAGGATAGCACCAAGCCCACCCATTCCACCAGTAATCAATACAGTCCCACTGACATCGAGGGCCATTGGAAGGGCCATTTGTGGAGCTGGTATCTGCGTCATACTGGGTGTACTTATTTTCCCCTCGCGTAGCGCCATCGTTTCGACTCCAGTAGCAAGTGCGTGTGAAAGGACACCCTGCGACTTGGGTGATCCGTCCGAATCGACGAGTATAACTTGACCCTGGCCAAACTCTGCCTGAACCGATCTTACGAAGCCCCATACGGTAGCAGTGACAATATTGACATTGAGGTTTTTCCCAGCTGAGGTCGCGTTCTTAGTCACAAAGACCAAGCGTGCAGCAGGTTCCCCGCCCGCGGAGGATGCGTTCTTCGTTCTCCACTCTTGTACAATGCGGAGCGCCTGAGCGACAGCTTGATGAACAGTATCACTGGGAGCTGATTCCTCGAGCAAATCACAGCTCTCAAACCGGAAAATGCTGTCGAGTATGTTCGGATCTATCGTTGGACTAGGCTTGAACATCATCTCAGTCCACTGCAGGCAGTACAAGCCACTGTTTTTCATCTCAGGCTGCCAACGGCGCAACACAATCTCGTCGATCCTGACGGCAACTGTATCTTCCAAGTTGTTTGCAATTGTTAAAGATAGGCGACTCTCATCAATACGACGGATATGGACTAGTACTGGGCGCGAGGTACTAAGTGGCTCGAAGATTTCTATTCCTCGGAAGGAGAAAGGTAGTCGAATATTACTACCATTAATACTGTTTGGCGATCCGAGAGCAGAAGCATGCAATACAGCATCTAGAAGAACTGGGTGCAATATGAAATTTTCTCCACCCTCATTCTTCCGAGGTGGATCGATCTGTGCTAGTAACTCATCGTCAGGTAGATGCCAGATGGCTCGCACACCTTGGAAGGATGGCCCATACTCGATGCCTATACTTTTCAGCGAAGCATATGCTTCCGAGATATCCACATCTGAATCCTTTTTGGTCGGTTCTGGGCCGTTATAAAACAGCCTGCGCACGTTGCTGGTCGGTGATGTGAATATTATATCGCCCGTGGCGTGGTGCGTCCACTCCTGGTCTGTAGCAGCACCACCGGAGCGTGAATATATTTCCACATTTCTACAAACACCTTTTCCGTGACTGCTAGGCTGGGGTTCCCGTACGATAATTTGCACCTGTGATACTTCAGAGTCCTCTTCATTCCCTGTTAAAGACAAGGCTAGCGGGGTGGTAATAGTCATTTCGTCTAGCACCACACGCGCACTGATAGGATACTCTAGGCATTCCTCAGCGGCACGTATGGCTAATTCGACAAAGACTGTGGCTGGTATAAGCAATTTCTTATCAAATATGTGGTCGCGAAGCCAGGGTTGTTGTATCGTGGACAGGTAGCCAGAACAGAGGACGTTCTTTGTTCCAGAAATCGAGGTGGCATTAAGAATGAAGCCATGCTGTTTAAAGCCAGACGCCCCCATCGTTTTCTCTTGTAAACGCTCAGTAACTGCTCGCTGGGATACTGCGGGCAACAAGGGAGTATATGGAAGCCAATACTTTTGTCTTTGGAAAGCATATACAGGAAGATCGACTAAACGCACACCACTACCATCGAAGACAGCTTGCCAGTTCACGGGAACACCACGAGCCCAAAGATCTCCCAGCGTATTGACTAGCTTCTCTACTGAGTCGTATGTAGCAATGGCGCCAGGTACATGGGGACATAGGACTGCAGAAGGGCCGATTTCCATGAAGACTGAAACCTGTTCGCCCATTTCGAGTTCTTTCATAGCATCTGCAAAGCGCACTGGCTCACTCATATGGCGAACCCAGTGCCTTGGAGAACTGAGCTGATTTGCATCAGCTCGTTTGGCAGTGACTGTAGAAACAAGCGGTAATGTTGATGAAATTTCCTCCGACAACGATGATACCAGTGCCTTCTCGAAATCATTGAGTATAGGATCCATCATTGGTGAGTGAAATCCATATCTGACGTTCGGGAATATTTTCACTCTTCTCCCCAAACTTGAAAACCTGTCTGCCAGGGTTTTGATAGCCTCTTGAGTGCCAGACGCTACGATTGAACTTGGGGAGTTCACCGCTGCAACAGTGGCTGACAGTTCCAGACGAACCAGTTCTTCGAGAGCTTCTTGCTCAGTCGCTGATATGCTTACCATTCCACCTTGAGGAGGAAGACTGGCAACTAACTTGGCACGCGTTGTAACGATGAAGGCTGCGTCGCGAAGAGACAAAGCACCTGCGACATGCGCTGCAACAATCTCTCCGAGCGAATGTCCGGCTACCACATCTGGGCGCACATTGAAAAATTGGAGGAGGTGAAACATAGCCACTTCGAAGACAAATAAGCTGGCTTGTGCAAAGTCGGTACGGTCCCGAAGCGTACTATCACTCATAGCGTATAGAATTGGGCACTCTAGATGTCGATTGACTTCTCCGCAAGCTGCGTCGAATTTCTGAGAGAAGGCAGAAAATGTAGCACGCAACTCTTGAAGTGCTTCAATGTTGGGCAGTTTGCTTCCTTGACCTGAGAATATGTATGCAAGGCGAGGCGTTGTGCCCCCAGTACTCGCATGTGATGTACTGAGCGCACGATGCGGCTTACCTAAATCAAGAAGTGTGATCAGTATCAATCGAGCAAACATGGTTAATAACGCTTCATGACCTCCGGCAATTTCCATTAACGACTTTTGACTTGGAAAGTACATACTCTGAATGAGGCATTCGAGTGCTGTTTGGATTTGATTGCCCATAATGGGGCCTAAATTATGCTTCACCGTGGCCCTGTATTGAAGGGCTGATCTCGCAGTGGCAAGTGTGAAGGCGATATCGGCATGGTCTTCATCATGGATGGTGATGGATGATTTAAGGTCTACTTGCCTGCAAGCCGCCAACAATTTCCGGGCTTGCGCTCGTAAAGCAGGCATGCTTGCGCCAGACAAAATCCAGGGAAACGCGATGGAAACCGCCTTGGGTTTCTTAACCTCTGCTTGCACGATCTCAGGCTGTTCCAAGATTATATGCTTCGGCAACATTATTCGGTAATTCTAAATAAACAGATATCGGAACACTTACGCTGTTTGTGCCACCAATACCAAATGAGGAAACTGCAGCCCGTCTTGGTCTATTCACTGTCGGCCACTGCCTGGTCTCGCGGAGCACTTCCACGCCGCTTCCTTCCCAGCCCACATCTATTAATGGCTCACGGATATGCAAGGATGCTGGAGCGACACCGTAACGAATACTTTGCACCATTTTTATGATACTTGCAATGCCTGCTGCAGCTTGTGTGTGTCCGATGCTAATGTTTTACGCGGTGCGTCAGCCATACAATGCTTGAAGACAGATGCAGCTATCTCAGGGACTCACTTCGATTTGATTGAGCCAAGCAGCAGAGGCACTGTACGCTTGTTACTTTTGGAGATATTACTCCCATTCCCATTACCGTAAGCCGACGTCAGAGCCTGAACCTCGATTGTATCGCCTAGGGGAGTTCCAGAGCCGTGGCCCTCAATCACGTCGACGTCTCCTGTCGATAACCTTGCCTGATTTAGTGCGCTTTTGATGCACATTTCCTGAGCAAGTCCATTTGGTGCTGTAAGTCCGTTAGATTTTCCATCCGAGTTGATTGCCGAGCCACGAATCAAGCCGAGTATGTGGTGTCCGTTACGTTTCGCATCGGAAAGTCGCTCAAGAAGTACCAACCCCACGCCTTCAGACCAGCCGGTGCCGGTTGCATCGCTTGAGTACGCCCGGCATCGCCCATCCGAGGACAGGCCGCGTCGTCTGCTTAGCATGATGAATGGCTGTGGTGTCGCCATCGTGGTCACTCCCCCTGCAATAGCGAGTGTACACTCTTCGTTTCGTAGGGATTGGGCTGCTAAATGCATCGCGACCAAGGAGGATGAGCAACCTGTCGCGACGGCCAGGGACGGACCGTGAAGGTTCTTTCCAATTCCCTTATCAGTATTGAATCACTCTCTGCTAAACTCCTCGGATTCTCAAGCACTCACCAGACAGTAGGATAAGCGCCCAGAAATAACGCTGCTAGATGAGCCAAACCCGAGGTACGCCTCTAACTCTTTACCGTGGACGAGGTTTGTTAGCATGCAGAGATGCATTTATGTGAATAGGGATGAGAGGACTCTATCTAACTCACCATGATTTCCAGTGCCGTTCTGTGCGTAGTCTTCGTACATGGCACCCACAAATACACCGGTTTGAGTACCCCGTAGTGATGACGGAGCAATGCCCCCTCGTTCGGCCAATTCCCAAGCAGTCTCCAGCAAGAGCCTTTGCTGGGGATCAGTAGCAAGAGCTTCTTTTGGTGCCATGCCAAACAATCCAGCATCGAAATGAGCAAAGTTAGGCAGAAAACCGCCTCGCTTCGTCGTGGAGGTCCTGGGCTCGTCGGGGTCTACGTTATATATCGACTCAGTATCCCAACCACGCTGTTATTTGGCGATTTACAGTCAGTTATTACAGTCATTGAGTCTCAAGAGGATTGCGGATATGCAAAAATGCTACTTACATCATCTGGGAAGTCACTAGTTGCATCTATCTCATCTATCACGAGCCGCCATAGATCTTCGGGTGAAGAGACACCTCCAGGATATCGGCAGGCCATAGATACGATGGCAATTGGTTCGAATGCACTTTCTGAAGTAGTATTGGGTGTAATTCTGGGAAGTGATGTCGTTTCATGCTTCAGTAATAAACTACAGAGATGTTGGCTTACTGCTGCCGGGGTAGTATGGTCGAAGACTAGAGTGTGAGAAAGGTTTGATAGCCCGGTGAGATTGGAAAGTCTGTCCCGGAGAACCACACTCGCCATCGAAGTCAGGCCCAGATCCGAAAAGGGCTGATCAAAGTGCCGATGAAGCCAGTCCACCCTGGACTCGCTATCCTCGGGCCTATCGTCGGTTGCACTCGCGCCGACGGTTTCGGCAATCACCAAATTGTCAATAGAGACCTTTGATTGCAATTTGTAACGAATGGTGAGAGGCTTGTTGGTGTATGATGACATGTTCAATCGCTTCGGTTTCCCCAGGAAAGTCCTGGGCACACGCTCAATCTCATAGAAAGCTGGCAGAGTGTCAGAAATTGAATTGCAAGAAAACTTTAGAATGCGAATCATACCAGTGGGCACTTTGTAATCTGGCAAGACCTCGCGACACCCGGTCAGTAGGGTTGTTATATCTAGATCGATTGTCCCTCTGACAATGAAAGCAGCAGGTACCTCTCCAAGCAGTCTGTGCGGAATGCTAGCCACGACAGCGTCAGTTACGCTGGGATGTCGCAGTAGAACACGCTCAAGCTCGTGAGGGTAGATGTTCTCGCCTCCCCTGATGATGATCTCTTTTTTACGGCCTATCAAGGCTAAGTCCATGCCACTTGCAGAACTGAAGCATTTTGCAATGTCTCCCGTGGCATACCAGCCATCCATTACGAATGGGTTTTGCGTATCTCTGTGGTATCTGAGCATCAGGGTGGGGCCTTGGATCAGGAGTTCGCCTTGTTCACCGTCCTTGACCTCTTTCCCATCGGAATCTACCAACTTCATCTTCCATTGTGGCAGTAATGTCATGCTAGACTGCTGGCGGTATATGTGATCTGGCTTACAGACAGAGATGACAAGGCCTTCTGCGCATCCATAATTATCTGATAGGGGAACCCCAAGAAACCTCTCAATCTCGTTCCCCAGAGATGTAGATGCCGGAGAACCCCCACATACGCATAACCTCAGCCTGGGCAAAGATAATGAAGATATTGAATCGTTCAGCCTCATAGTATCTAGAAGGGTTTGAAAAGTGGTAGGCGCTCCCACTATGACGGTAGGTGAAGCCCCCTGGGCCTCCGCAATCTTGAGGCTGTCATAAAGTTCCTGGTCCGCGCCGGGTAGGTATGCGCTGGCACCTGCTGTCATGACAGCAAATATGCACGTCACAAGGCCGAAGCAGTGAAATAGCGGAAGAGGCCAGAAAATCTGGTCGTTGGGCGTCAGACCGAGCGCTGATACAAGACTTCTGGCACTCAGCAAATAACTCTTCTGATCCATCAATATCCCCTTGGGCAAACCCGTAGTACCGGACGTGTAATTTAAAAATGCTTCCTCGCTTTCCTCAAGCTTATCAATGTTGACACTCAACGTTAAACATTCGTTGTCTTCAACCCAATCCTGGTATGACACAACTTGATGTTTAGGATCCATATGATCAGATTGTTCGCCGTTCAAGATAATCATACTGCCTTCCTTGGTGGCAGCGCGTACCTTGGTGAAGTGATTGATATCCGTGATGACCACACATGCTCCGCTATGCTCAAGAACTCTGGCTAGTTCTGACGGCGGGGAGCGCGGGTCCAGAGGTACTACTACTGCACCCGATCTCGTGGTTGCGAGCATAGACTCGACAGCCTGGGGGCACCTGCCGAGCACAACGGCCACAAAATGCCCTTTCCCTATGCCAGCACCAACTAAATGAATTGCTAAGCGTCTGGTGCGCCTCTCAAGGTCTCCATAGGACTGAATACGTATTAGCACATAAATTCCTCCCATGCACCCTGAATATCTTGCGAGTGGACTGGCTGAAGGTCTATGAAGGCATGTAAGATAGATAAAATCTGCGCATCACTTACTAATGTCCATCCTGGACCTGAAAACGCTGTCTTCTCTCCATGTTCTTCTGCGTGCCGAATCAAAATCTCTGGGGTCAGTTGGAGTCTCGTCGGATTGCTCATGTTTCGAGACCAGCGCAAAGAAAGTAATGATACTTCTTCAAAATACGAACAAAGAGTGTTGCAATGGAGAAACTTCACCGATTCCCACGGTTCAGACACTGTCAGGATCGGTAGGCCTTGAGAAATGGCTTAACGCTTACTATATACTGTTGGGAATCATAGTAAGGTAAGATTTACCTCTAGTAAGGAGGAAGGTTCCGCACCAATGCAATCCGCTCATCACTGTAGAATAGCCAAACAGATTATCAGTATTCAGCCACCATTTGGCTGTGCCACTTAGACTGTGACTGCTGAAGCTCAGCGCTTATTGTAAAGCTTGTCTCGAAACACACTTTGACATACTATTGGAGTGAGATGTCTGCTTATCTACGGTGTGGTGTGTAGAGTGCTGACCACCATCGATGCTACGAAGGACAAGTGAATCTGGACTTCCGTCATATGTCAATAGTATCTATTGGGTCGTTTCGATCAGTATTCACAGTATAGATCTGGAGTTTCAGGCCCTGATGGGCAAATCAGTGTTCCTAAAACTTTTGCCCGCAAAGCCGTGAGATGCTCCATTGGGAGACTCAGTAAGAACGGAAGCCTGCCAATCTCACCACAATGTAAGACCTAATCGATCCAACGCGATGCTAGTCAGCTTTTCAACGTGATCTCGTTCGCTTACGTACACCTCGGGTTTGCGGCGTCACTGTTTTATCTGACGACCACCCTTTTCAATGAACCAATAAATTCTAGTGGACTTGAAGACAAAATCAGTCACATAAAATCCAAACGGCGTAGTAATAGTCAGCTGAGTCTCACCAAACGTCTTTTCGATCGAACTTGATGAAAATATATACGGCTATTCTGCCACATAAAAATGGCCAGCATGGGTTGAATCCCAATCTGGCTCGAAAGCAATAATATCAAGATCATCCTGGTACTTTCGCTAATATCATCTGGTTTGGCTTTGTGTCTTTTCGCCAATTTCTCGTGAGTCAACACCAATGTAGCAGGCTTTGACTAAACACTTATTGGAAGGAGATCAAATGAATCACAACTTAAGGATGCTCTTGCAAGGGAGCTAAATCATCTTAGATTAGATATGAGCAACATTTCTCGGTGAAGAGAAGGTACGAGGAACTTTTGGAAGACACCGGAGAGCCGAATGGTGACAGCTCTCTCGCGGAACGATTGACAGAGTTGATGCCAATTCTTGGTGATGTTAATAAGGCTTGTTCGGACCTTGCCAGGTTGACTGAGCAGGTTAACCTTTTCATGGTTCCACAGGAAAAGCTGGTTCGTACTAGCAAAGGTTCAGTATTTAGAAGGGTCGGTGAGAAGCTGTATCAAGATAGGATTGATCGCCTTTAGGCTCATTAAGCTGGAATCCTTTCTTTGACCAAATTTGACATGATATTATCCATAGCATATAGGAACCTTATATCAGCAGAAACATCCGCTTCTTCCCAGCTGAACACCACACCCCATCACACTCTCCTCTCCCAAACCAACGGTGTCTTCTCCGGTCTCAACATTTGCAACAGCAATTTCATCCCCGAATCCCTCAGCGCTCCCCTCGCCCTCTCCCTTGCATTCTCCGCGCTCTCACCCTCCCATCTCTTAACCCCAATGACATGGTCCCGAAACATCGAAACCATAACAGCAACATGCTCGACCTGTGCGAACTTCTTCCCAGGACACGATCGATTGCCCTCGCCCCACGGTATATACGCGCCGTGCTCATTCATCTGTAGGTATTCGCGGTCATGGATGTTGCTGGTTCCTGAGGGTGTGGAGTGAATCCAACGAGAGGGGTTGAAGGATTCGCCGTCGGAGCCCCAGTATCGGGGGTGTGTTTGGAGAGCGTTGAGATTGAGAAGGACGCGAGTATGTGGGGGTATTGTTACTACTTTGCCGCGGACGGTGAGGAGACTAGGTTGGGTTTCTGTGCCTTTTACTATACTAAGGAGAGGGTTGTATAGGCGGACTGTTTCGAGCTGTATATACAATCAGCATCATCGTATCAAGTGTGTTCAAAATAGAGGATGATTTACTAGGACAGATAACGTTCGGACAAATCTTGGGAATTCGCTGTAGTTTAATTCTGAGATCTGCTTTTCGCCTAGAACGTATCGGATCTCCTCAGCCATCCAATCTTGAACTTCGGGATGGGCGGCGAGGAGCATGAAGGTGAATGCCAGGCTGTGGGAGGTAGTGTCATGACCTGCGAAGTTGAAGACGAACATGTTGCCGATTGCTTCGTCTGGGGTGATGAGTTTATCGGTTAGGGACGCTCGGATCAGAGAGGTCATCAAGTTCCCTTGCAGTTTATTTTCTGGCATGGAATCATTGGAGTGGGTATACTCCTCGAACATGTCGAGCATATACTTTCTGAATTGCTTTGCAGCTTCGCTGAGACGGCCGAGTGGCGGGATGAACGCGAGACGTTCTAATGTTTGCGGTCCTAGAGCCAGAATAGCGATTGCGTTTTCGAGAATCAGAGCAAGGGCATCGCGGTAGCTCAGGGGTCCTGATGTTATCTTTTTGTCGTGTGTACCTTGGAAATCGAAGGACTTGCCGAAGGCAGCATGAACAAGTACATTCAGAGCCAGGGTTCTTGTATCTTTTGCCATCGTTGAAACGCCAGGCACACTCGTGTTGTTTTTCCAATACTGGAGAAGCTGTTGACCTTGTCGAAGAGATTCGGTCCACACCAACACATTGCTCTGTTCGTTGAAACTTGCCGCCGTACATTTCCGCTGCCGTTGCCAGTCTGCACCATTCATGGTAGATATATTCGGCCCGAATACATCCAGCATAGCCAGAAGTTCCACCGGTCGAGCGAAATCTCCTTGCCGTTCTCTCCTGATAATATCGCGAATTACATCCGCATCACACATGTAGATCCAGTTTTTGCCAGGAGTCGCGATGATAATGGCGTCGCCATACTCGATGTGTACGCGTGCTTTCTCCCTGAACTCCCATCCTGTCTCGCCGAATCGAGTAAAGTTGCCGTTTCCAAAAGGAACATAACTGAGCAGAGGAATGATATAGTGGCATAGTAGAAGCCAAAGAGGGTTCTCGGGGCTGACTGGTATTACAAAGAGGGGCAGGCCTACTTTGCGCGCGATGAGATAATTGCTGAAGAGGCTCCATGCTGTGTATATGACAAAGAGAGCAACCGGCGAGCATATCGTCAGAACGATAGAAAGCATCGCTGACGATTTCAAGGCGCTGGGCGCTGAAGAAGAAGAAAAGGTTCAGGAATTGGTGTTTCCAAAACCAGTTGAAGGTAGGCCAACCTTGTGACTAAATACCACGGAAGAAAGCAAGCGACGATTCAGTTCTCTGTCTCTTGTCCGAATCGAAAGGCGACTCAAGAGTGAAGTTCGACGCCACTCAAGTGGGCCCGATAGCCCGCTGGGTATTTAATGGTGAGATTGCTGTACCACGCCGTGCTTAGTGTGAAGCACCAATGCGCGGGATGCAAATGGCAAAGAAAGGCTGAATTCCAGAATGATCGTATTCCACCTTATAGAATGTGCGCATCAAACGGCAGTAAATCATGCTCATCACTTCATCCGTGTTGCATAATCGAGTCCGAACGCTGTCTTCGCAGCCTCAACCCTCAATTGCTGCCGTCAAGTACACTCAACACCTTCATCTTAAATCGAGTATAAAGTTCGTGGACGACGACTGTGCCACACTATTACCTATCGGCATATATCAGCATTGGTAAATTCCTACATCCTTGCTGATGCGTGGCGTCGCTATTCCCGTGCGTTCGGGTCAACTTACAACAGCGAGCAAGCCAACATCTAATATAATCTGTCAGTAGATCAGGAGTCCAGCCACTCGAGCTTATACTTGCAGTTGTTCCAACTTGCCTGCCCCGCGAAAACCAGCTTCAGAACCAACGTCGCAAAGCTGATTGTCATAACGCTTATCACGAATAGGTCCAGCCCGTGACTACGCCGTCCACCAAGGCACGCTTGCGGGGAGGCTAGGAGCATTGCGAGGCTGACATTCGAGAACCCGAGTCTTCGAGAGCAACGGAAAAAAAAAAAGAAAAAAAAAAAAACTCGATTCTTCGTGTACACCGAGCGGAAAAGTTCGTTAAACGCAGAGAGGGGGCAGAAAAAGAATCTGGAAATTTCGTTGCGCCGGCATAGATCAAGATACATATATATTCCATCCCTTAGTATCCGCCCACGCCGCTCACGCTAAGCTTAAGGTTCACAGCGTCACGGCGCAGCTCGCAAATGTCCAGCATGTACGGTAATTCACATTTGCCAGCTGGGGACAAACGAGCCAGGCGCTTCCATTGTAAGCCTGTGCCACAGGCCTTCGACTGACTATATATCATGGAGATTTTATCATCATGTCAACAGCGCGAGGACGTATATCTGTATACGAGGACAACGCTAGCATGGATCTACGTGAGACGCTTTGACAATGTGGGCAGCGCTATGAAGATACCGCGCGCTCAATACGTATTTTATACGTCGTAGTCTAAATGTCCGTTCAGGACTATTCTGAGTACTTTGGACTTCTACGCCTAATTTTCTTTTCGCGATTTACATGTATGGCACCTGGCTGCGTAGACATGGGGAATTTGATAAAGGTTGAGGCTAGGAACTCGAAGAGATCGTGGATGTGCACCCCTCAGCATGTTCAAGAACAGATAATCATACTGCGATGCGCGATTGGGACGAGGACCAATATTCCATCTAGTGCCATCGAGATGCATGAATGGGTATAGACGATATCCTGCCATGGAAATTCCGTGTTCTCGTAAGGATGGAGCGCCTGGCCGCTTGCAGCCACTCTTGGGTGGGTTGTTGAGAATCGAGTATACTCGTCCAGCATTTTGCTGTTGCATATGGAAGCGATAGCGAGCCAAACTTCCTAAACGGTCAATGTTGTCCATTTGGCCCGTTCCACGTAGGTCTCTTTCATTGCTGTGTGAGTCACCTAAGCTTTACAATGATCCATCTCATAATGGTGGTTTCAACAGCGCACCCATCTCGATGTTCGAATGCCGGCATATTCCTCTTTGGAAAGCTTCGCGTATCTCTGTTGGGTCTTGAACGCGTCACTGGATCCTGGCTCGCACTGACCACGACCCTAAACAGCTTGCCATGACTCAGTAGTAGCTACAAGTGTGTAGTCGAGTTATGGTTGCAGGCGGCACTGGATATGCGTGATATGAACTCGTATAGGAACGAGTTATTCCGTTTCCAAATCCTGACATATCATGTGAATTTTCTTTTGACTGGCTGCAGCAGAAAGGAGAAATGTCGCAGTGGTGTCATATCAGGTGCCGGTGTTCCGGGAGATCATTGGGCATGCAGGGGCCAACGGATGATAGACAGGTACCACGGATGCCAAAAAAAGAGAGAAGCGATGTTTTATAACAGGGGAGGGTTCCGTGTTCCCTGTGATGGGGTATGGCAGGCGACAGCATGATGGGGCTATTTGGTTTTTTGTTTCTTCTGCTTCGCGCAGGCTGCCTCTTCTTAGTGAGTGAGTCGACTGGAAGTGTTAAAAGAGCTCTGATTGGCCCCGCTTGGCCGTCGTATCCGCGTATACAGACGGTTAAAGGATTCGGAGTTGTCGCATCATCGCACCTTGTATGGGAAAGTTGATGTTAGCGTGTTCCTTCGCTAGTTACGTGTACTCTGACTGTGGGACCCGACTATTGTTTCCACATGTATTGGGAAGACGGCACGGCTCAGTGTATGTATTGTGTAGGTAGGTGTGTGTAGTGGTGGTGCTGTCTGTGCTAGGATACAAAACGTGGAGCGTGAAGCATTCTTGTGTACAGCAGACACAATAGAATGAAGGCGACGATGAAGGCAGTCTTGACCCCAGTTGCTGTATTGGCGTTCGAATCTTGGTCAGACTGTTTGTTTTCCCAGCAATGAGCGAGCCATAGGATTGATTGGTGGTTGGGTCCGACGCAGCAACGGATCAGCCAACGGGTCAATGGACTGCGTATACTCTCCACGCATCTCCGTTCTTCTGATCGTATACGTGCTGCATCCATATTCAGAAAGACAGTCATAAACAAAGATGATTTCGTCGTTCAAAGGGTGGAATGGAGGCAGGCAAGCAGGCAGGCAGACGCAGGCTAAGCCGGGTCTCCGCGTGGTGTGGAAACGGTTAGAGTGGATACTTGGGGCGCAGCAGCTTTGGTTACTAAGAAGATTCGGCTACCTAGCACAGACCCTGATGTGAACGCTCCGCTCTCTCCATCCCAACCCTTCCCATCCCATCCCATCTGCTCTGCTCTGCTACCGCACCGCACTGCATCGGATCGTTGCTGGCCGTGTCTTCCGTCGTGGCCATCCGCCCGCTCACTCGCCCATTCACCCATTCACTCACTCACTCACCCACATAGACACACACTCACTTTGCTCGCACGCCATGCCATGAGCTCTCGCCGCCGTCGCATATCCCGCCGCCGCTGCTACACCGTCTAGCAGTATCCAACATCCCCACGACATGCGGTGGTCATGGACAGGAAGGCCCTCCTCGTTCCGTGGTGCGTTCAGACCTCTCCTTCAGCCCCGACGACAATCCTCTCCTCCCCTGCCGCGTTCCGCCTCGTCGTCTGCCTCTTCTCTTCTCCGGCAATTCCATCTCTACCGTCGCAATGAGCCTCCTGTTGTTCCCGTGCTGACTGTCACTAGCGGCCTCGTCTTAGCATCCAGCTACCTCTCCACCTCCATTCCGACCAGCTTTGCCCTCGACCGCCCGCTCCACACCACGGCCATCGTCTTGCTCTTGTCTGGCCTGGCCATTGTTGCCTACGAAACTTGGGCCCTCAAAAACCGCCGCCCGAATGCGAGTGACCGCGGATACGTCGCGATTCCCCTGGCCGAGGGCAATGGCCGCCCTTCATCCGAAGAAACATGGCCGCTACAAGAGCGTCCCATGCCTAGAGGTAGCCTCACTAGGAAGCGCATTGCCTTGTTACTCGTAGCATTGCTATTCCTACTGGGCGCTCGCATCACCATTTTCTGGGCTGTCCTGAAAGAGGTGGAATGCAGTGGCCCAACTTTGATGGCATTTCTCCCTCTGGTCCTCGCTCTCTATCACGGTTTTCGCGAATCGCGCGAAACCTCCCCACGGCAAAATCCGGTTTGGTCTGCCTTCAGCTCCTCGGCCGCGTCCTATCTCGATAGCTTTGTCAACTTTTTCTTGCATGGCCCTACCCGCTATATCCTCCCTTCGCTGCTACTTGCCATCAGTAGCTTCCTTACTACCCTCAAGACAAGTGCCCTCCGCTCTACATACATTTGTCCCGCTGCCACCTCCTCTGCCTTCCTTCTTCCCAAATTGCAGTTTCTCGGCTTCGCTGTAGACTGCATCATTGTGCTCATCCTCTACCATCTGGTTGACGAAGGCATCAATCAATCCGATCACCCCTCACCGCCCGAGTCCAAGGATGGCACCTCTATCCATGGGCTTATCGGTTATACGTTCATTGTAAGTTGTCCTGCAGATACTATTTTCAACTCGCGCTGACCCGTCGAAGGCTTCGGCTTTGGCACTTAGTTTTGCAGGCATTGTCATCTACGGATCCATGCCTGAACATCGCGAGTGGATGTTATACGCTCCTCGCGAATACTTACTTGGTCTTCTTCGTTTGTCTTTGATGATACCCCTCATGATGTTATGTTTTCTTATCTCGGTATGTAGCAGCTCCAAGCTGTGTCCCAAAACTTGTACTAATCATATACTAGGCTCGTGTGCACGGTGTCATGGGCGCTGTTCTGATTACGGCTTTTTCATCTGCATATATCGGCGTTCTTCGGGCTCTTGCCACTGGCGTTTCCTTCTCTTTTCCACCAAAATCCACCGTCGGACTTTCCCTCTGTTTAACACTTCTTACTATGGCTCTTGCCCTTCAACTGGTAGCTGATGCGAGCGATGAGAACCGCAGACCCAAGGTGATTGTGCGGCTTGGGCGACACCAGAATTTTGCTGTCATCGGCCTCCTTGTCATCTTCTCGATTGGCGTAGGCGTCTACCGCTACCAAAAGCCTTCTTTTGGACATCCAATCTCCACTCTGATCGGCACAGCCGATGTACAGCACCAGCGTTGGCTGTACCAAGCACGTCGGGGTAGTACACTGTCTGATGCTGTAGCACGGTATCAGGAACGCTACTCTCGCGATCCACCCCCTCATTTCGACAAATGGTTCGAATTTGCAATGCAGCGAGAGTCCATTGTCATCGACGATTTCGACAATATTGAGCAGGATCTTGCGCCATTTTCGTCTCTTAGCCCTGCCGAACTCCGGCAGCGTACCGCTCAATTACTTGCGCACAACGAAGGCCTAGGTGGCATTCGCATCCGCAGTGGAAAAGCAAAAATTTACGGAAATGTTGCAGATACACACAGGTGGATGCTGGAGGGGGTGATGGCAATGATTGACAAATTTGTCGAGTTCATTCCGGACATGGATCTTGCCTTCAACCTCGACGATCAATGCCGTGTCGCTGTACCGCATAAGCAAATGCAACAGGCTCTCTTACACCGTGAACGGTATCCCGAGCACACATCGGCCGATGGGACCATTGAATTCCGTCCTGACCGCGCCTCTACCTGGCTCGAAAATAGTGATCTATCTTCGTCCGCAGCAATCCTTCACGCCGCGAAGATGAAGCCGTCCTTCCAGTCACACGGCTCCGTCGCATGCTCTTCGGATTCACGCTCACGAAAAGATCGCAATTGGGATAAAGGCGCCTTCTGCTCCGCATGTGCCGCTCCTCATTCCCTTGGTGCGTTTGTAGCCAACTGGACGCTCTCTGCAGACCCCTGCCATCAACCAGATCTTGCAAACCTCCACGGGATGCATATCAGTCCTTCAGCCCTGACGGGTACGCATGACCTTGTACCCATTTTCAGCCAGAGCCGTGCCTCCGGATATGCCGATATCAGATATCCTTCCCCCTGGAATTACGTGGACAAAGCCAAATACGAATTCAATGACAAGTATCCGGATCACAACTTTGTAAGCAAAGAAAATAGCCTGTTCTGGCGCGGCAGTACTTCCGAGGGAGTTGCTAAATCTGGAGCATGGAAAGGCATGCTCCGACAACGTCTCGTACATCTCGCAAACAATGAGACATCACGACAACCTATATTTCTACCAAAAGGCCAGAAATCGAGAAGACTGGAATACGTCATGGAGCGACCAGAGACTATTAAGAACTTACTCGAGACACACCTAGACGTCCGGTTTGTCGAACCTATAGTCAACTGTGGTCAGCCTGACTGTTCAGACCAAGAAGCTGAATTCTGGTATGGAACTCAGATTGATTTCAATCAGCATTGGCGTTATCGCTTCCTCTTCGATGCGGATGGAGCCGGCTTCTCGGGTCGATTTATTCCTTTCCTACAGTCCAACAGCGTTGTGTTCAAGGCTGCCATCTTCCGCGAATGGTACGAAGGCCGTCTCATTGCGTGGAAACATTTTGTTCCCGTGGACATACGCCTTCATGATCTATTTTCATCTCTCGCCTTTTTTGGTGGATATTCCGTCAAGGAAGGTGGAAAACGCATGCTTCAGGCCAGGGAGAAAGAGGCCGAATCCATTGCCCGTGAGAGCAGGGTCTGGACCGCGAAAGTACTTAGGAAGGAGGACATGGAAATTTACATGTTCCGGCTGTTACTAGAGTGGGGGAGGCTAACCGATGATCGGAGGAAGGATGTAGGATTTCGAGGGGATTCCCGTGGAAGCAACTCCATGGGGAACGGATAGCGAGTGTTTTTGTGGATTGTTCATAGCGACTCAACTATTTCCTGTGTTTTCATTATAATTTCCTATTTCGACCTAGCAATGGATCGATTGATGGTCTCATAAGTCGTCACGTGAACATGCGATGGCCATTTGCACTAAATCCAGATGCCTGGAGGTCAATACATGTAATGGCCCGAGCTCACGACGCGTCATCCCAGAGACGTGGTGGTTCCATTATTATTCATTTTTGTATGGCTGCAATCCTCACATAGATGATGTGAGGACAACGCCGCTTTGCCTATGCACCTTGCGCGATATTATATAACCATCCGGTAAGCTACAGTCGCCGTATTCCAGCAAACCTTATGCGAATGTACCGCCTCCAAGCGCACAACCGCCGCCAGGCTATCAAGGCCACAAATATCCTGCCGCCGTCATGAGCTCCGTATTCTCATCTCTCATAAGACCGGCGAAGACACGTCAAACATCTAGCAGCCAACATGCTTCTGATGACGTCGGCTTATCGCCGCAAACCCCGCTCGAGTGCGAAACCGACTCCCATCTGTCGGAGCTCAACACCAGCCTACAAGCCCTCGCCGACATATTTCCCGATGTCCAGGCCGAAGTCTTCCGCGAGATGCTGTCGTCTTTCAGCCCAGGAAGTAGGTTGCAGGTGGTCACGGAGCAGATTCTAAAGCATGGGAATAAATGGGTACGAGGGCGATACAGGATGCCTGCAGAACAGGAAGGGCATCAAGCTGCCATGGTTGCCCAGTACAAGTACCGAAAGACAAACGTTGAAAAGGATACGCGGGGCATACCGCTTGCTCCACAGGACAAGTTTCGGTCCGCGAGCTATAAAGATGCCGCAAAAGAGGCTCTGTATTTGGAGTTCAAGGGTTTGAGTCATTCTACCATCAAAGCTGTGCTCGCGGAATGGAACTGGAGCTATACCGACGCCAGACCAACTCTGCTGCAGCTCTCAAGCAACAGCTGGCGTACAAGCATCACAAATTTCCTGATGCGGAGGAAAACGCCGACCGCCACGGACCATCCTCTAGTTGTGTGGCTTGCCCCCGAATTCAAGAGTGGGAGAGGGAAGCGGCCACTGTTGGTTAAGACGAAAAGCGCTGAGCTGGATCAGGAGCTATATGAGACGTTGATTGTCCCCGAGCTGGAGAAGCAGCGCAAAGAGCAAGTCCAGCAGGACTTTGATCTCGCCCTACAATGGAATGAGGAAGAGGCAGAGAAGGAAGGCGAGATGTACGACTGCGAGTGCTGCTTTATTCCCAACACACTCCAACAAATGTCAACGTGCGATGTGAATGGCCACTATATCTGCTTCCGATGTATTGGCCACGCCATCAATGCAGCTCTCTACGACCAAGGATGGGCAAGAAACATCAACTCGGATCTCTGTACGCTCAAATGCATAGTGCCTCTCCCTAACAGCGCCGACGACTGCCGCGGATGCGTTCCCATGCCCTTGGTCCAACGAGCCCTCCTTGCCGAAAAGGACGGTGAAGACACTCTCAAAAAACTTCACGAACGCTTCACCAGTGAAGCCCTCACTCAATCACGCCTCCCCCTAATCCAATGCCCCTTTTGCTCATACGCTGAAATCGACGATCTGGCCCTCCCAGCCACAAACCTCCTATCAGGTCTCCATATCAAACGCCGCCGCCTCCTCCTCGCATCCCTCCCATTCTTCGAACTTCTCTGCTTCCAAGCCGCACGTGCCGTCTTCTCGTCCCTCATTCTCCTCTTCTCCATCCTAGCACTCACCTCCTACATTCTCCCCTCCCTCTCCCTCTTCACCACCCTCTCAACCCCCTTCAAAACAGCCCTCCGCCGCATCCACCTCAAACGCCGCGGTCTCCGCTTCCAATGCCTCTCACCAACATGTGCCCGCGCCTCCTGCCTCACCTGCGCAGCTCCCTGGCACGACCCGCATAAATGCTACTCCTCACAACTCACCTCCCTCCGTCTCGCCCTCGAACGCGCCACCACCGACGCCATCAAACGCACTTGCCCCGTCTGTAACCTCTCCTTCGTGAAGTCCGACGGCTGCAATAAATTGGTTTGCCTCTGTGGATATAGCATGTGCTATATTTGTCGGAAAGGTTTGAAAGTTGAAGGGTATGCGCATTTTTGTCAGCATTTTCGCGCGATCCCGGGGCAGGCTTGCACCGAGTGTCAGAAGTGCGATTTGTACCGTGTGGAGGATGAGGAGAGGGTTGTTGCTAGGGCGAGGGAGAGTGCGGAGAAGGAGTGGTGGGGTTTGCAGGGTGATGGCGCCGGCGGTGACGGGCAAGGAGAGAAAAGTGAGGCTGGAAAAATGAAACTTGGAGAGAAAGCTGGGAAGAACCGACATGGGCTTAAGGAGGTTGTGGGGAAGAAGAGGCCGCTTGTTGGTAGTGGTGAGTCGAAGGCAAGATTATGGAGGGTGAGGTGGGTGGATGTTGAGGGCTGGATTGAGAGGGCGGTTGAAAGTGTTGTCGTTTGATGGCTTTTGTTTTCTTCTCTTCTTTCCTGGTTCTTTCTTTGCATATCGTTCACCAATCACCGTGCACGCAGACACACAAGCCTCTTTCCCCTCTCCTTGACGGGTCGTTTCTCTTACGATGATAGCCACTCTTTTTTTCTCGGTCGGGAGAGATTGAACGCTACTGATTGTTAACTTTTTTTCTTGTCGATCCGCCTCTGATATACGACGAAAGCTTTTGGATACCCCTCTTTCACGATATACCATACCTATGTAACTAGGTTATAGCATTATACAGTTGATTTCGCATACATTAGCGGTCTTCATATAAAGCGAGAAGTTGTTTTCGTCGAGGCAAAAGCAATGACACGATGCTTTTATGATCCAAAGTCTAAGGAGTAAAAGTACACAAGAGAACTGGGAACAATTAGATGGTATCGGCATGCAGTCGAACGAGAAAAATAGCTCCCATTTGATCAATGATCTATATTTACACGGATGTTGGTGCTGCCAAACGCTTGTTCAAGAGGTAGGGAAGATAAGCAATGGCGCGTGTGTTGAAATGTAGGATTGCACTCCCACTTCCTCAACTCTGTTCTGCTCAATCTGTCCACCACCGAACACTAGAAAAGCCCTCCATGACTGAATCGTCGCATAATTACCCCATCATCCCGCATAGTTCCCCATTCAAGCCTTCGCTCGATCCTTCTCTTCCATCTTTCGCCGCGCCGCTAGGATCATTTCCTCCCTCCGTCGCTGCAGATTCGATTGGCGCTCGTTTCGATCTTGAGACCACGCTTTCGGTTTCACAGGTTGCTCGCCTTCCGATGTGGTGGCCGAAGTTTCTGAAGCCGAGTTTGCGAGCTTAGAAGAGAGGTTGTAGCGGGATATCAGGTCTGGTTTGGATACAGCTTTCGCGGCTGGTGTCGGTGTGCGGGAGGTTGGTGTGTTTGTGGTGGAGCGCAGAGGTGTGGGGAGCGTAAAGGATGGTGGGGGCTACTTTTGTGTCAGTTTGGGGTTTTCTTGATTCTCAACAGAAGATAGAAACATATTTGAAGGGGACTGGAGAAGTTTGAATCATATATATTTGGGGTGAGACTCACAGTTTCCAAGCTCCGCCCACTCAGCACCTTCTCGGTGACAGCCGCCACATTCCCGCCGTTCCGGTGCAGTTCCCACGCGATGGATCGCCGCTGTAGCTGCGGAAACATTTGGGATATCTGCTCGACTTGTGCGGCATTGATGCGTACTGTTGCTCCTGTCGTGGAGGAGGCTTGTGGATTGTTTGATGTGGCGGTATTTGATCGCGTGTACCACCGCACGGCAAGCACAGTGACGATGATGAAGACGAGGATCGAGGGAATGTTGAGCGTTTGCTCCGCCATGGTTGAGATTGTGGATAGGATGTGTGTAGATTTTTTGCCCTATAGTGGTGTGGTCTCGGGTGGGTTTTATCTGCAGAGCTATTCACGCAACTAAAAAGGTTGAAGTGGTGGTTGGGTTGAATGAAGTTTAGGATTCAGAAGAGCACTTGGTTGACGATTGCGGGTACTCGATGTTTCGGATCTTATCTCGGAATAAGAGGCTTGGTTTGCCGAGGCATCGCCGCTAGCGCCGCACGCCCCTTTCCCCAGCTTTTGACTCCGTTCGCTATCTCGCGTTTGCCATACATATCGCTCACTTTTCAGTACACGCGTCGCATTGATGCTCTGACTCTACTCGCTGGGGTACTGGTTCTCTAGCTGCCACTCGTTCTGTCATGTTCCAGTCTTTTTTATCGCTTTGATACCCACTAAACTTATTCGCGACTTCCTTGCACGATTGGTTTATGCTTTGCGCTCGAGTACGTATGTTCTTTTAGAATCCTAGGTAGAACTATGTAGAAAACTGATTCCGAATTCGAGGAGCCCTTTTGATATATCACATTTACTGACTATGTATCAACAGCTCTCGGCCAGAGATGAACGGGACTAATAATGCTTCACTCGGCGGGAGAGGTGACGACTCGGTGATGAGGTCGTCTAATGAAATAAAGACGGAGAGTCCGGAACCCATCGCAGATATCACAGATGAACCATCCAAAGGTTGGAATCTCGAAGGTCAAACTCAAACGAACTCGACGAACAAGAGACATCGATTCGCCTGCATACCCATTACTTGGACTTGGGTGGTGTCTGAAAAGTTTGATCGGTTGCTACCACCGCACAAACCGATCTTGGGTCTCAAACGCAAGACATTCTGCCTCATTCTACTAGCTATTCTTCTCTGCATACTGGGGATTGCAATCGGCGTCCCAGTTGGCCTTTCTAGAAATAAGTATGTACATCTATGCATGGTGAAAACTATCTCTAATCTTCGCAAAGGGATCGCATCCGTGTTTCCAAAGGCAATCCCGATGGCAATTTTTTTGGCGACTTGACCTACTTCGCTCCGGCTATGGGTGCATGTGGTCTAACCAACACCGAAAATGACGCCATAGTCGCTATTTCTCACGAACGGTTTGATCAGGCGTCTATAGGCAGCAATCCCAATAATAATCCGCTTTGCAACAAAAAAATTCGGATCACCAGGGGCGGAAATTCTGTTGACGTGAGAGTTGTCGATCGATGTGAGTCAACTAGTGTCTTCACGAAAATGAATAGTAGAGACTGACTTTGACAGGTACGGGGTGTAAGTTCGATGACCTCGACGTTACGATAGCTGTGTTCACCAAATTAGCGGATGAGGCCCAGGGTCGAGTTGATATGACATGGTCTTGGCTCTGAGTAACATTGGAACTTTCCCGATGTTGTGTGACGCATGTCAGTGAGAGACTTTGAGTGACTCGCACTTCGCTTGACTCCCTAACCATCACGTGATATTTTATAATTACGTCCACAAAACTTTCCTTGTTCTCATCGTGTTCTATGTTTAATCATCGCTGACTTACGATTACCTTTTCGTGACTATCCCTTCATGCGTACAAATCTATACAGGAACAACTTCTGTCAACCTCACTTAACTTGTCGTCCCACGATAACATAAATTCCTAGGTACACACACACACAGACATTACCGCCCTAGATGGGCCCGCGCCCAGCCTCATCCGTTTACCCACCGGTACTAGAATCGATTCCTATGCCTAACCACGAGAACTTCCGACCCACAGTTACTTCAGATCCGGCAAGCCCAAACTCTTACATCTACAATGATCAAGATTCAGCACAGGACTCTTTCGAGCAAAATGATTTATACGACTCCCCTGATGGCAACCAAGAAGAACGTTATGGAGCATATGAGAACGGAAATGAAGCTGATGACGAGAAGTACGAAAGTGGAGATAATAATACCATTTGTCCTTCGCCTCAAACTCAATCGACTATGTTTGCAGCATCTTCAAAAGCATTCCCAGTGGACAGCATGCACACAGTGAGCCTGGACCGCTTTCCCAGCAAGAAAAAAGAAAGACGTAAAAACAAAGGGTGGATCATCGGCGGCGCCGTCCTAGCCATACTTGTCCTAACCGCACTTATTCTCTCCGCCCTCGCCTTGAACAAAAACTCGACTGCGCAGAATCCTGTCACAACGAGCTTTCTGACTCCAACGGCAGACAGTTCAAGCGGAATCACACATTCGAGTGACGCGTCAACTATGACTGAGTCAACAGACAGAAGTGTGACTGCTGCGAGCTCTAGTGACGCGACCATGAGTTCCGAGAGTTTGACTCAAAGCAGCGAAAGTATATTAGAGCCGACATCCACTGACAACTCTGTGTCTTCTACACCAACATCAAATCCCAATTCCGAGTCTGATTCTGATCCTCTTTTCACGACTACCACTATACAAGCTACCGTCACTAAGACTTCTGATAAACAGCGAAGAACGTTACACATCACAATGGCTAGCCGATCAGCTTTAGGTCTTGGGAACCCTGGAAAATACTCATCCGACCTGGACGATCAGCGAACATGGACAGAAGGATCAGCCCAACCCTCCATAAAGACTTCCGGTAGTGTGTCCGAGCGACAAGGGCTTCGTCGATTTCCACACGGGCTCTGGCGAGCCATGAAAGCTGTCTTCGCATCTCCTAGGAAATGCATGGATTATTACATCATGCTTTGGACTGTTATCGGGAGCGTTCTTCTCATCACACTCATCGTCATTCTTGCGATCTTGTGGAAGAAAGTTTCGCATTATCTCGCTTTCCTCAAAGACCCAACGGCCCAGATTAAGGAAAAGCTCCAGGACCTTCTCAAACAGGGCGGTGAACTGTTCGGAAAATTGTCGGACAATATCACAAAAGACGTCGAGGGTGTAGTGGACGATTTCAAGAAGCAGGTGACCCAAATGAAAGATGAAGTCTCGGACCAGGTAGAAAAGGTCAAGAACAAAGCAGGAGATGTTATAGATGATGGTAAAGACAAGGCCAAAGGAGTGAAAAGTGCCGCAGGGCATTTAATCGGGCATAACCGTAGAACACAGCTAACTTCTTCGTCGGTGTTTGTGGAATCAGTCGACATGATGACTTCGTCACTCTCGTCTGCAGCGGCGGTGACTAGCATGCTGTCAACCATCGCATCCACTCCTACTCCCACAAGCATGATGACTATTGCAAATGACAAAGGGAAGGACCCATTACATCTGACTCCATTGGGCTCGACAAGCAGCACGCATGCCCGTCCCCACGCCCCTGTCATCTTCTTCCCAATTTTATGGCTTTGTATCATTGCTCTGGCATCGGTCTTCGTTAGCGCAGCGGCCAGTGGAACAGAGACTCGTACTGCAAAGGCTGTTGATAGTCACATCGCTGAGGGAAATGAGATCAACCCAATAGGAACTACAGCTTTGGCTGGTGAAGAGTCCGAATCGGCGGTACCATGCTCTACCACAACCACCACGTCGGTTGGTACTGTCCAGGTCGCTCTCAGGGGCATCGGTGGTATCTTGAAAGGTGCTGAAAAGATTGTGCCTGTTCTACACGGGAGTTCTCAAGAGACAAAAGCGCCAGAGTCCAGTAGAGCCGAGAAAGTTGAATCATCCACTAGAGTCGAGACAACTGAAACATCTACTACTTCCTCCACCTCCTCCCCTTCAAAGAGTGAACCTTCCGCAACACTATCCCAAAATGCAGCACCTCGTGGTCTAGGTATGTCGTGCCCCTGAAATCGTGTTTCCCGCGTCGCATCGTTGTTGTAGTTGGGCCATTGCAGTTTGACAGTGGCTGACTTTACACTCCTAATATAGGTATTCCTCTAGTCTTCAACATTCTGGCTAGATCTAGCGGAGTACACGCCAAACATCTTGAGAAACAAAGGGAGCAGAAGAATAATCTCTTACTTGAGAGAAGGAGAGGAGGGAGAGGAGGGAAAGGCGCCAGTAGTAAAAATAAGGCAGATGGAGCAGATTGTACAGCCAGTGAGGCGTCGATACTTTTAGGTTCTAGTTTCGGTGCCGTACCTCTACTCCTTGCTACCTTGATGGCTCTGGGTGGTGCGTTTATTTGGTGGGCATAGGGATTTATCTATGTCAGAGCTTAGAGGTACATATCTTTTCCTTTCCTTTGTGTTTGTGTTTGCACTTTCTTTCTTCTCTGTATTTCCTGTGTGCTTGTTTCTCGGCTTTCTTTCTGTTACTTTTTGCTTATTGTATTCCTGATTTCCTGTCAATATCTCTGTCATTGCTGGTTTTTCATACTATTTCATAGTCTGCTATGTCGGAAGTTCGATATTTCATGGTTGCTTTCAACTGTTAAATTCATGGCATTCGAGGGTTTCGGTTTCGAAGGTTGATATCATGTGTTAAACTACCATATATAGCTTATTCTAGCTCTTCTCTCCAAGTCTTTATATACGCACGTAAAGGGTAAAAACGTCGCAGAGGTGAGATCATCTGATTAATTATCTAAAATTATGTGAGCGAACGGGCACACTACTTGGTGAAAATGAAATTATTGATCGTGAATCAAGCGCCCTATGCCCGTTGATTTTGACTCGCTTCACTGTAAATAACCATTTCTATTGTCTCTTACCACCTATACAAAGGCATAGTATATATGTGGCATATTTATTTCTCTACCACCACTGATTACCACCCTTCAACTTTCACTATCACGATTCAATCCCTCAGCTTCATTTTCATCTCCAACAGAACACTTTCTCTCTAGAGAAACATTCTCCCCAGAACATCATGTCGACAAATCCGCGCCTCCCTCTGTTTATCCGAAGGGTCTATCGACGACTACTATTTCTTCGTCTCCCGCGAATCCTCTACTATGTCATCTGTCACTGCTTCAGTCAAATCTTCGTCGTCAAATGAGGAGAAGCCTACTGCTACTCCGACTGAAAATTCCGGTCTTGGGGGACTCAGTGTTTTGTTCCCTTTATTCTGTCTCTAGTTGTTTGCACCAGACTCTGGGAGAGCCTTCATTTCCTAGTCAAAGGGTCCTTTTGGATTTATTGATGTTTCGATATTGGAAGGTTTTGTGCCAAGATGAATCGCGATATAATCACTATAATTACCAGAGAAAGAGTATTGAGAGCTGAGATGGTTTGATGAAGAGGTTAACGATCGAACATCTGCAATTGTGACTGTTTCAGTGGTTAATTCCTCTCTATCTTAGCCAGATCTTCAAGCCTTAACACTACAAGCCGTTGAATACTATCACATTGCTTTCCAAAGCGACAATTTGTGCTGTTTCTGTCCTAATTGAACGATAGCTTTTGAATTGAAATTCAACTGTAAGTACTACATATAGATATCCGAGAAGATTTTGCATATAAGAGTAATGGATTTAGGACATTGAGAGTGTGGCTGAAATTAAAAAGGTGTACTCCGTCGTCTTAACGTTTGAACAGCATGCTAGCGAGACCCCTTCTCTCACTCTACAGAACATTGTACACTTACTCAACGAAGTCGATTCATCTCATCTTTCATCAACCGATTATGTAAGCGTGAAGCTGTTTGTTTGCTAGTTCGGCATGGCAGTTTCTCCGCACAGCAATTGTTTGAGAGCTCTCACTGTTTATTTATCTTGCTCTTGCCTCACAACACCCCAACCCCGCATACATATTCCTCACTCAACCAAACGTCTGCCTACCATCTACCACTCAACACCACACGTTGGATCGCACAATACTGAGGCCAAATCACAATGGGGGACTACATCGAAGACTTCGATGAGGTCGGGAGTCGCATGAGCATTGATGATATGCCCAACGATGATATGGCCATCGATGACTCTGTTTCTCCCGCGGTGGAGTCACAGACTCATACCGCCTCCCGTTCCAATAGGAACTTAAACGAATCCCTCGAAGTGAGGATGTCAGGAGATTCCGAAACCGACACCAAGAAGGACTCGACTATACGCATGGTAAGTATCCCTCACACTTTCAAGATGGTGGGCCTGCCAAAGTCAAAATTACTAACCCTGCTTTCCTCATTAGACTAGTGAAGCTTCGGACTATCTCAACAAGCTCTGGAAGAGACGTCTTTATTGGGACTTCTGTGAAGTAGATGACGTACGTATACCCGTGGTACGATACCGTCGTACTGTATGAGCCGCACTGAATTGATACCTCGAACATAGGCTCAAATAGAATACTCGATAACCGGTTCATGTCGGAGTCCCGAGACTGCCGAGTTCTCCATGCGAGCTATAGTCCAAAAACTCAAGGCTGGAGTCGACCCTCGTGACATTGTTTACTTGACGCCGCATGAAGATCAGCTAGAGCTCATGTATGAACTTCGAGAAGACGCTATGGAAGAGGCGAGTAACCTCGAAGATGGAGACACTGAAAACTATGATCCTGAATACGCTACGCTTTCGGAAAAGCTAGAGGATGTTTTCATGAGTACCCTCGAAGAATACTATTTCATGGGCGAGGGACACTTGGTTGCTGATATTCTTGCCGATGGCGCTTACTTCTTTGACGAAGTTCAGTTCTTGAAGATTATGCTCTGCAAATATGCATCCGTACAAGTCGTCTTGGGTCACAAGTCGTTCAAGGACTGCAACAAAATGATTCATCCTTTCCTTGGCCTGCTTGGCGACCTCGAAGAGGAACCAGACATTGAAAGCGTGGATTGCGAAATCTGCAGGAAAGAGCGCGAGGCAATGGATGAGGAAATATTGGCCATGGAGGAAGACTACGGTTCATGAACACTGCCCGGGCCTAGGCTTAACCCTTTTTTACCCAGATGATGGCAATACGTACGGCAGCTCGCTTCGACAAACAGATCTCATCGAGTTGAATGAGCTGTCTTCTGTGTCTCGGGATTCAAGATCAGTATCACCTGTTTTTTGGGCTTTCATATAAACTGTGCGACACTTTAAACGTTGTAGCATCATTCATGCCGCACTGTGGGGTTAAAGGGTTCTGTACGAGAAAATTGCTGTAAGATATGAATAATAATTGGCGTTTCTATGGACTTGCTCGGTATTCAAAAGCATGTTCTAGAACTTCTTTTTACTGAGAATCTTTGTTTACGATACAAATTCTAGCCCGTTGATCATTCCCGTACGTCCCAGTGAACCTCAATAATCTCCAGCACAGACACCTGCGGTATGTACACTTCATGAAGAAAGGACCTCTCATCTGCCGCAGCAAGCAAAGCTTTCCACTTATCCAAGTACCTCTCACGACCGTCCGAGAAGCATTTCAATGCCAAATCGAATGCCTTGTAGAATTCCGCTAGCATGCACTCCTTGTCATTAAACTGTTTCAGCCATATACCTCGCAATGTACCCTTTCCACAGTGGTATAACATCCGGCTCCAACATGCAAGCACCCCGAATTAGAATTTCGACCACAGCTCTCATGGCTGGGATCTGCGCTTCCAAAACTTGCACAGCATACTTAACACTCAGCCCACGAAGAATCATCCGGAACAAGTAAACACCGAACTCCACGGTCTGCGGCTCGAAGGGACTATGTTCCACAAACTCTACACACCCTTTTCATACTTCGGGTACTCCCGATCCTGCTCCTTGTATAAGTGGCGCTGAGTTCTGCACGAGTAGCCTGGATCTTTCGATGGCGCTGCTTGGGACGTGTTTTGAGGATTTAATTGCAATTGCGAATCGCACTGCCTGTAAACAACGTATCATCACCTCTGATTGATCCTATGAATATATTTCATTTGTGGTTTTCGACAATCGCCACAATCAGCGTATGAGTAATTTCTTGCAAACTTGACGACCCTATCGAATACGAAGCAGGAACAAATTATATTCATATAAATGCGTAGATCAGCAAGAACCTCATGGTCTTCTAAGCAGTCCCTCTGCCAATCGAGCCAAAGCATACCAAAAAATATAGAGATAAAAATCTAAACTAAGCCCTGCCTCTCCGCATTTCCCCCAATAATCCTTCCATACCCACCCGGAAACAACCCCTTGGAACCAGCATACACGCCCCAAAACCAATCGCCATTGATGTCTTCCGCTTCGGTGATTTCCGCAAACTTGGGGAATAGCAATTCATCGTTTGCATCTGGCGCGGGATAGTACGACCACCGAGCCTGAAGGCGTAGACCAACGCCTCCATCGGGAGGATAGCGCCGCTGGGAAGTGTGGGGAGCAGATGGTGTAGTAGCGGAAACAGACGAGGCGTGCTGTCGCGAGCCGTCGTGTTCGCGCCATGTCCATTTTTCTTCGCGGTGCATCGATGATGGTATTTCATTTGTCGTGGTTGTGCTGGGGGTGTTGTTACCGCTGTTATTGAAGCTTGTGTCTTGATTATGTGAAGATGAGGACTCGTCTTCTCGTAGAGATACGCCGCCTACGAGACTGCGTACCACGACGCGGCGTTGTCCGCCATCTCTGTCTTCGAATCCGACTACAATCATTCGATGCCCACGTAGGCATCGACGCCACCCATTCATGCCATTCGTCTCCTTGATTCGCCCAACTAATACAAGCTTCTTGTAGCATGGGCTGCAGATATCATAGTCGCCGTCGTTACATGTTGAGCAGTGATATCGGGTATGAGAGGGCGGAATGGGATAAGTGCACATATTACATAGCACCGTAAATGTCAGGGGACGGTAGATCGAATTCGCCAGCGTGACTTCACCCGGGCCTCCTATCACGGAAGCCGACTTTGGCGTCAGCGGCGGTGACGTGGTCGACTCGTTTGTGACATTAGAGGGCGTGAGATGGGGAGTCGAAGGCGGATCTGCAGCTGGGGCGGCAGACGGTGGAGGCGTTTTCTTGTTTACAATGTGAGTGATGGGAAGTAGTGCGTGAGTGCAATGTCGACCTTGATTTACACAGTCATTGCAATACCCCCACTCTCCCTCATTGCAGTAATCGCATTTCCAATAACATGCATTTGCCCATGCCGAGCACATATCACAGAACACGCCCTCTTCGAGTCTATGACTGGGTTCGTCTTCACTTTTAAGTCTGCCGGGGTGAGAGTTGCTACTCTTCAGCTGGCTTTGTGGTCGCCTAAATCGATGACCGCGCATTATGTGCGGATACTCGTAGGAAGGAGGGTATCCTCCGGGTGGACTCCTTTTCTGGTACGCTGGCCAAGCCGCCCACCCAAAACCGTACCAATGTTTGCATCCTCTGCCGGCACGGTAGCACGGCTGACAAAGATTGAAGGCGCCCTCATCACAACGGGAGCAGTTGTAATGCAATTCATATTCTAGGTGGTCCTTGTTGCACGATCGGCACACTATATGTGGTTCTAGGTAGGAGGAATGTGATACCGTTGCCATCAATGTATTAGGTCGTGCTTGAGCTTCGGCGGTAGACGGGTCTGTAGTGGCGCGAGGTAGTGTAGACGGGTTGACTGCAGGGGGAGTTCCATTACCCGTGCGTCGCGAATGCCACAATCCTACTGGATCGGTCGTTCGTCGCGAATTTGATACTGGGCCCGGAGATGATATGGGGGGAGTATTGGCCAGAGGTGATGAAATCGGGGAAGCAACTACGGCTGTATTACTTACCACGCTCTCGGCCGCGGTCACATTGAAAGCCGCTCGTCTTGGTGAGCTTGGATTCGAGGACGAACTCGTTTGGACACTATTGCGAAATTGCTGTCGTTCTGCCAAGGTACTGTGCTGCTGATTGTCGGATTGGCGCCTCCGGCCGGGATTTGGTGAATCATAGTCTGGCCGTCGGGTACCAAGGTCGGTCTGCGACTGGCTAGGTGTTTGACGGGAGGATACTGCAAGGGGAGCAGGTCGGTGCTCACTTCTAGCAGACCTGGAGCTGCCCTGGCTCGACGAACGAGCGTGGCGTGGTTGGGCACCCTGATTCGCAACATCAAGAAGACCAGGACGAGATATTGGCGGACGGTTACTTCTTTCCCTATCACGAGGCGTAGATGTACCACTTTCAGGCCGCCCCTGTGGCCTACGCCGTTGCTCATCATCCCGGGCTGGTGGGCTGCGAATTTCGGGGGGCGTTGAATATCCAGAGTTGATTTGCCCATCTCTTGCCAATCTCTCCCTTCTCTCCCTCCTTTCGCGTTGCCTTTGTGTCTGCCGTCTTCTGTATGCCTGGGCTATTCTCTCGCTGATCTCATCTTCCTGCGCGACATCGATGTTGTTCAAATCAATCCCGTCCAACAGGCCATCTTCCATGATCTGGCGCATAATTTCTTCCTCCATCTCCTGTGAATCCAGCTCCGAAGCGCTTAGTAGCGACCTTAGACTCGATTGATGTTCGACGACTCGTGGGGGGACAGCATCCCTTGAAGAAGGAGTAGCCGTGGCACTCCTGCTGGCCGAACGACCCTCATCTCTGCTCCTCCTCATATCTGAGCTATGATTTCTCGCTTCGCGACTTCTTTCCCGTCTCCTTCTTTCTCTAGGGGGCTCCAGATTATTCCTCCCGGAGCTTGGCTCAATACCAACTTCCTGCAAGCTCAGCTGCTGCACGCTCTCCATCATCCTCCTATCATCCTCGTCCTGCTCTTCACCGCCCCTCCGCCTAAGTTTTGGCAGAACATTATCCCCGTATTTGAATTTCCCTCTATCGGATTTCTTGTCCTCCTCACTCTTTCCTCTGTGAGGATTTGCCTGGACGAAAATGTCTAGCAATGTGGTGACGGTCGCATTCGGGCGGGTTGAGCGCACGGAAGCGCGACATGAGGGGCAAGTGTATGGGTGGAGAGAAGTGGCGGTGGAGGCTTGGAAGACAAACCACTCCTTGAGGCAAGCACCGCAGAAAGTGTGCAGGCAGTCAAGGAGGGTGAGAGGTTGGTATAGAAGGTCGGTACATATCTGAATGTGTTAGCATCTGAGTGCTACGAAGTCGAGCGCAAGTGGGTGTGAAGTTAGGTACCGAGCAAGACAACTCCTTCTCCAAGTCTACCGGCGCCGGGCTGTCCTCCGCCATAGGTGCCTGTTACCTAGTCTTCTATGTTCTAGTAAAGCGCGCGAGAAGGTTATTATGATAACGTGTGTATGTTCAAAAGTAAGTGGCCCGCCACGACAGTCCGAAAGAAAGACAGGCGTTGGCAGGTGGTCGCCAACGCTTCGTCGGCCAGGTGGATGCATGCGCACGCGCTTGGCGAGCGTGGAGCGCCTGCATACGTGAATGATGATGACGATGCATCATTATGTAGGTAGTGCAGATAAAACCTCAGCAGTCAGCGTCATCATTACTGTATAGTGAACTGCTGCATCTATACAACCAAACATCGTCTGCATATATCCGTTTTCGTGATTGGGTAGTGTTGCAGGTCGTTATAAAGCTCCGCGCAAGGTACAAGGTTGTAGGTACAACGACCACATCCCCTCCATCTACGTCGACGGCCATCAGGATGATTGATGTTGCCTTGTCCGTGAAATTACCATTCGTAACAAATCACCAGTGCGGTATAGGCAGAGTTAGAGATCATGATTCCATTTTGGCTTAGTCATGGCTCAAGTGCTTTTTGGGGGCTATCAGCTTTCATCTTTTTCAGCGCATCACCGAGTCCACGACGCACACAAATGGAACTGTGCATCCGGTCTCAAATCTTTCTCAATAATTTTTAGCCAGCTTGAATCGGAAGCAAATTCGAATTTCGGGAATTGGGACGTCAAACTGTTGATCTGCGAGTTTCTGATGCACAATTTGTCAAACATCACCAACTTCAAAATGCTGCAAGGCTTTTGAAACATCAGACTTCGAGTATTCCACATCTCTCAATCGTCTCCAGATACTATATACAGTTACTAACAAGAAAACAAAAAACAGACATATACAAGCTAGCTCTTTGATAAAAGAGAGGAATTAGTGATCATCTAGTCACAAAGTTCGTAAGTAGCGTTGAGCGGTCCAGAATTCCAACTTTTCCAACTTTCTTTCCATCATCCATGTGTACGATATCCTCCACTTCTCTCTCGCGATTAGTTGTTCTTGTTCTTGTTCTTGCCAGCGGCACCAGCGGCACCAGCGGCACCCTTCGCAGCACCTGCGGCACCCGCGCGCTGACCAGCACCAGCTTGTCCCTGAGCACCAGCACCCGGAGTAGCACCAGTCTGAGCACCTATCATTCACATTAGCGATTTGGAAAAGTGTTGATTCGCGTTGTGACTTACCTGCGGCACCCGCGCGCTGACCAGCACCAGCCTGTCCTTGAGCGGCCTGTCCCTGAGCGGCCTGTCCCTGAGCAGCGCCAGCCTGTCCCTGGGCGGTCTGTCCTTGAGCAGCACCTGCCTGTCCTTGAGCGGGAGTTTGGGCACCTGTAGCTGCATCAGTATCACTGTAGAGCATCTATAAACTCGTGTCGACTTACCAGCAGCGCCGGCGGGGGCTCCCTGGACAGGGAAAGCAGCGTTCTGGACAGCACCATTACCGGTACCAGATGCAAGGGACTGTGCAGCGGCGAAAGCAGCAGCAGGAGATCCGGGAGCATCGCCAGGCAGAGTTGGACCTCCTCCCTGGACACCACCAGCAACACCAGTCTGGTCACAGGCGGTTGGACGAACAGCCATGCTGCTGGATCCAGTAGAGGCCATGTAGGCATCAATGTTGGGCAGAACTAATTGGGTTCGTTAGCATCTATTCTCCAGGCGAGTGAGGGAAAGGTCGGTCAGACTCACCGTTCACGCAACGGTTCTGGTTGATGAGATCGATGTTGTTCATGGCAGCACGACCCTGCTGGGACATGATCTGGAGCTTGTCGACGACGTCCTGGAAAGCGCCACCGGTCGCGAGGGTGCTGTTGGCGGACTGGACGTTAGGCTGGCCAGCGTTGGCAGCATCGATGATGGCCTTGTGGTTGAGCTCGTCGACCTCGGCGTTGTATGCTACAAGTGCGGCCTGCTTGAACTGAGCATCATTCTGGATGGAAGCACCAGTGTTGAGGAAGTTGGAGACCATAGAGGTGTCGGCCATCCAGTTGGAGACGGCGGTGGCAAGATCACCCGAGGTAGGTGTTCCCGTAACGGAGCCGGGAGTAGGAGACTGGTTGGTTCCTGCAGAGCCAGGGGCAGCAGTTTGTGGGATAGCACCCTGAGTCTGTCCATTTGCAGCTTGACCGGCTGCGGCTCCAGCTCCGGTCTGAGCATTTGCAGCATTCTGTGCGCCGTTCGTCTGCGCGGCTGCGGTACCAGCACCTGCATTTGCATTACCTTGAGCGCCCTGGGCGCGCTGGTTTCCCTGTCCCGCAGTGGCTTGTCCCTTCTGAGCCAAAGGAGCTGCGAAAGCAGCGGAAGAGAGGAGAGAAGCGAGAAGAATGTACTTCATCTTGATTAGTCGGATAGAAAAGAGATAGGTGGAATAATAATATATAAACTAAAAGTGATAGTAGTGCAACTGTAAACAGTGCTGAAGAATGAACTGGAATGAGAGATGTGGAATAGAAGTTATGTAGTAAAGTAGTGGTTGTGATCCTGCACGACCAAAAAAACTTGGGTGTGGGATTTGGACGGTATAAATACTTCAGATGTCGAGGGGCTGGCCTTTGGCATCTGCAGACCAGTCCCATCATAAATCAGGCAAAACGAGCTACAGACACTTCTCAGATGTTGCAATGCACTAGAACGAGCGGACGCTTTGCAAGAATCTCCGCGTTGTTCGAAATGAGTTTGCCATTTTGTCATGGTCATAAAGGGCTTCAAAACGTGTTTGGAGCCCACGAGCCCGTCTGTTCCCCACAACGGCAAGGAAGATCGCGTTCTCTAAACCGAACCAGCATGCATTTTCAGGCAAACATAGATACCATGTACTGGAAAACAGAATTGATCGCGTTTTAGAGCCAAGGCAGATCGTTTGGCGGGCGTTTTGTGAGGTTTCGCCGGTGTCTTGGCGTCAAGTTACTAGTGTGATAAACGTCTCGAGTCATACTTGGCCAACTGCATGAGAAGCTAGGCCTGTGACCGGAAGCCGAGTCTGAAGCCATATTACTGACGTGCAGATTAGTACGTGACTTCATGTTCTGATATCGACCCCAAACGGAATAGCACCCTCTGGAAAAGGTAGCTTGAATCGTATGTCACTCTGGAAACTTCTATCCCGGACTCTGGGTTTTGACTAACTGTTCCTGAAGGATCTCCATCAATAAGCCTAATGCGGTACTCCGTGCGGTTCGTCAAGTCAGTGTCTTTCTGTGCAAGATCAATCGATGACAGTAGTCTGAGCATACGTGTACCGTTTAGGGAGGTAAATTGGTCTATCTACGTCGTGGGTAAATGGAATAGTCTGAAAATGAGCATACAAACAAAAAAAAAGAATAATACCTATGAAAGTCACTAAGCATGATAGCCGGTTATCACACCTGGCAGGCTAGAGGATAGGCCGGCAAGCTACATCTTCTCATTGTGGTGAAACATACCAGAGGTGTTCGTTTGCGATATTCTGTTTTCGGTTACGAATGGAGAATCAGTCGACAGAGGGACCCCATTGCGACTGTTAGTGTATTGCTACTTTGCGTATACGGCGTATACAAATGCGACACTACCCCTGGGAGATTCAAGACTGCAAAACAAACACAGCTGATACCGGCCATGCAGAGTCAATGAATAACATCCTCAATCTTCAATCTGTGCTGCTAGACTGTATTTCACCGAGATCAGAAATTTGCTCCGTCGTGCGTGTTCGGTCCATTACTTCGTCTCGGGACCAGCGTCTACATCCATAGCAGTCTCAATCTTACGAATGATTCTGGCAGGATTGCCTGCCACGACGGTGAATTCGGGAACACTCTTTGTTACTACGCTCCCAGCACCAACTGCACTGCCTCTGCCAATGTTGACACCGGGCAGAATCACTACGTTACCACCAATCCAGCAATCTTCACCGATATGAATTTCTTTGCCTAACTCTGGACCCTGAGTGCCGTTCCTTGTCAAGGGATCGAGTGGGTGTGTTGCTGTTTCGGTACATCATTAGTGTTTCATAACACCACACGTGGTGTCTTGCTCATCGATGCCTAAGTCTTTCTCGCGGGACATTACTGACCAGAGTAGAAACTCACATTGGGGCCCACGAGCGTGCGACTACCCACTGTGATGGTGCAGGTATCAAGAAAAACGGCATGAAAATTGATGAAGACATTTTTCCCAATCTTGACATTGTAACCATAATCCATTGCTACTGGTGGTTCGATCCAAGGGTCATCTTCGAAGAGCTTGTCGTCCTCCTCAGAAGTTGTGGCTTCGGGTGAAAGAGGGGTCTCATCGCACATGATTCTAATGAGCGGTGAGGATGCTGATGGTGCATTACTTTTCCGTACGAACATAAACGTACTCCCGGAGCAGTGAAGTGAGTTTGCGTCGAGGAACGTCACCCGCGTTGTTATAACGACTACATGCATGCCTGCAGCGAGACCTCTCGGCTACGAGTTCCGGCGTGAACGCGTGATATAGCTCACCGCGCAGCATCTTTTGCTTGTTCTCGGATAATGCCATGTCGAATTCAGACTTTTGTTTCTGCAATCGCCTGTTTTATTGTTGTAAGTCTCTAGTGTATAATATTTTCTGTGTGTTTTCGAAGAAAGGCGGCAATTACCTTTGCTAGAATAGAGCAAATCCAGAGAGTCTGAAGAACCATGGGCGAGTGGCCGAAGTAGACATGCTGGTCTCATCAGCGTCGGGATCGGATGTTGAATACTAGCGTCGGGATAACTCCGGGACAACGCTCGCCGTCTTCCGGCCTTGGACCGCGCTCCTTCGCAACCGCCGACGCAACAATATTTACTGGCTTACTATTGTCTTCTTGCTTGTTCATTAGCACTACAGCGACGCCTTTGTGCGGCCGTTTCTATTTCATCGACCATGTCCTTGTGACTTTCTCTCATTACTGCTGCAAATTTCACTGCTTAAATTGTCAATGAATATGGCCAACCACGACGGCACGGCTACCTCCTCTCAGCCAGACATTTCCTTCCCTATTAATCGACCTGTTGAGCAGGGCGACTGGACACCCGAGCTCGACACCAGAATGAGAGCACAGGAGGTGAAGAGCATTCAGCTTAAAAAGGAGGTTGCAATGTCACGAGCCTACTTTCCAGGCGGTGATCGTTCGCTCTCTGGCATCGCCCTTCGAGCTTTCCTCCTAGGCGTTGTTGGTACAGCCAGTCTCATGCTCACCCTGGCGCTAAGTTACTATCAAAGCCGTCTCTGGCGTCCCTTCTCCTTTCTTGCTGCTCTTTGCGTATTCCACTTTCTCGAGTTCTGGACTACGGCAAGGTACAACACACCGATCGCTTACGTATCCTCATTTCTGCTCACGAATGGCGACCGATATCGACAAGCTCATACGTTTGCTCTTCTCGAGACGATCGTTACTTCGTGTTTGTTCCCGGGTTGGCAAGCCCGCCTCAATCCGCCATGGGTCATTGCATGTGGCATTGCGATGATCGTGGTTGGGCAGGTTGTCCGCAGTGTTGCTATGATACAGGCAGGCACAAACTTCAATCATCAGGTTCAGTCCCAGAAAAGCGAAGGTCATGAGTTGGTCACGCAAGGCGTGTATCGGTACTTTCGTCATCCATCCTACTTTGGCTTCTTCTGGTGGGGTATCGGCACACAGGTCCTGCTGGGAAACTTTGTCAGCCTTGTTGGATACACATGCGTTTTGTGGTATTTCTTCAGTAGACGCATCTCACGTAAGGCTATCTTTACTACCGTGAAGTAGTGTATTGAGCTAACGCAAGGACAGACGAGGAGAAACATCTTATCGAGTTTTTTGGTAGTGACTATCGAACTTACAAGGCGAATACTCGAGTTTGGATCCCCTTCATCTAAATGTCTGCAAGGAATTTATAGTAGCCTGGTAATTTTCTGATTCATTCATCAAGACACGGGTTAAATCAACGGGGATAGTCTGCAACTCGCAACGGCATGTTGGCTAGTGGCCTTAGTAGATATTATACTTAATACAATTCCCTTGTTGCAGTCCAACACATGTCACATTGCAGTAACCAGAAGTTGCATGCGAAAGTGAGGTTACATGGTCCACAATGGATCACGTTCGTGATCGCAAAAGGTTCCTAAACAGGAAAGGCGAGTGTAGGATGAATATCGCCAAGATTTTCGACATATAAGAAGCAGAGCAGCACCTGTGCAATCGTGCTGACTCTTTGCGTGCGTCTCCTTGATCGATTAACTTATTGACGAGAAACATTCATCTGACCGGCGACTGGGCTGCCTTCATACAGAGAGACCTGTACAGTATAGCCCCCATGATCAGGCCCATTGCTAATACAAAAACGTCGCATTCTGTCAAGGGTATCTCAAAATTCCAGGAGACCATTTATATTGCAAGAACCTATCAAACCCTACAAACAACGACTTCTCAGCCAGCCACTCCATCGAAGTATCCCTTGATCAGTGCACATCCCGAGCGCCGATGGCCAGCAGACCAATCGCCGCCATGTTGGGAGACAACCAAACTTTGGATCCAATGCGCAATGACACCATGCTGCTTGGATGAACCAAGAAAACATGAGGTTCCATGATTGGTTGCGATATGGAGATGGAGGCGTTCCTTGGCGTCTGTCATATTCTAGTTCCCGCCCGGTTGTCGCTATTTTTGTCGTCCTCCTCAAACTTACGGTGTTGGCCCCTCCGTAGCCCGATCGTTGGCTAGGCCTTTTGGCTTGGGTATCGTCGAAACGTAGACCTTAATTATCAAAATATATCTTTTCCCTGAGCCTAGCAACCCGGAAACCACCGCTCACATGCCAAAACGATCAGCAGGCTGCTTTGAATGCAGAAAACGCAAAGTGCGTTGCGACGAGGCGCGGCCCGAGTGCAATACTTGTACGCGACGAGGGAAACAATGTCCGGGTTATCGTCCGACGCAGTCCTTTGTGATCCACAAGTTCGATGAGCAGAACGAGAAGCCGGCCATCATCCGAGAAGATGAGAATCGCTACCGATTTGCGCAGCAACAGAAAACCAATAACAATGTCGTCCGCTTCCAAACCGAGCACGCACGCCCAGTGGACCAACCCGTACTCACACGGGTGAGTCCCATCGCTATCGAGCGGGTGCAGTATGTTGGCACGTTCATCTCGCTCTATCTGCCCAAGGCGGAAATCCAGGCGCTTCCACCTCCTTCGGCACTGATTCTCTCGTTGCCTTCAATTCCTGCGAGTGAGACTCTGCTTGCGGCAGTTGACGCTTTGGCAGCGGCTCAGCTTGCAGTTGCAAATCGGAACTATACCCTCATCAATAGATCCAGGTCTCTATACAGCACCGCACTATCGCGAATGCTTCTTGCTGTACAATCCCCCACTCAGCAACTGGAAGATGAGACACTTCTGGCAACGTATTTACTCACTTTGTACGAGGTAATGTGTCTCATTAAAAAGCTGCAATTGACCGTCATTCTGATTTGTCATGACCAGGTGTTCGTAGGTAGTACGTATAACCCGGAATACACAGTTACACCGAGACATCATGTGGCAAGACTATCGCAACTCCAACCTCTAGAGTACACCAAATTATTTGCTTGATAACCACTGACTTGATACTTGCGAATCTAGTCACCCAGGGCCATGGGTTCTTCTACCATGTGCAGGGCCTTCTGCACCTCATCAAACTGCGTGGTCCAGAGTCTTTCAAAACCAGACTGAGTATGCAGATATTCCACGCGATACGATATAATTCGGTATGAACGGCATTGCATTACATGCTCATCTTCCTAACGGAAACAGTTATCGATCGGGTACCACCTGAGAAAAGCATCCATGCTGGACTCGCCGGCCTGGCTGGCAGTTACCGAGAAGTCCGCAAAATTAGACCCCTACGTTGCGCTTCAAGATATCTGCATCTGTATTCCTCGAATACTCGAGCGAACTGACAAGCTCGCCAACGAGACTGATTTTCAACAATCTCTTGATCTGCTCATCAATGATGCCTCAAAGCTGGCGCAGCGAGGATTCGATTGGTTCGCGAGTTTCGAACAAGGAACTCCGCGATACCATAATGTAGACATCACCCAAATAGAAGGATTCGACGACATCATACAAGGTGACCGCACTTTCGACCCTGTTTTCTATTTCGACACCTTTGGCGCGGGCATTTGCTACATGATCTATTGGATGAGCATGTTAATTCTGCAATCGAATACTTTCAGGCTACTCCGACAACACCGAAAACTGGAGCCCAAAGAGTTGTTTCTATGGGATCGCGAATTGAGCAGCTACGCGAACTCGATATGTCGGAGTGTGCCATTCAATTGTCGACCGATGACAGGATCGACGGCTAGATTTGGAAGTTTGACGCCGCTCGTGGTAGCGAGGAAGTACTTCGAAGCGAAAAAAGCCGAGAAAGAGCAATCTTGGTGCGAGCACGTTTATCAAGGCGCTCGGGTACCAGGACTTTATTCGACTCCAATTCCAATGGTAAGCAAAGCTTGTGTTCAAATGTTGACTACAATCTCGCACGATGAAATATCGCGCGGGTGGCATTTTGCCACCTCTTGAATGAATAGTAATCCACGCATGAATCATGCTAACTCTACACCCACGATATAGGAGCCACTGCAGGGATTGCAGAGACTCGTACAGTCGTCGGGGAGATATCTCTAAAGAGTTAGTCTAAGCACAAACCCTCAAACACTGTGGCCCTACTGACTAAGCGCAGGTTGCTGGGCCGAGGTATTTTCTTCTTTTTGCATAGCTTATGCACAATAATAGAGGGGTACGTATCCCACTCTGACCGGATTAGAAATGTTCTGTGGTCGTCCGAGGGGCGGTGTGTGTTCTGATCCGACTTTTTCTTTCTGTTTCCAGCTTGTCAAAGCTTCTGACATTTCTGACACAACTAGTACATTCTCTGTTTTCTTCTCGCAAGATATTCTTATATATATATACCCAGCTGTATTGCTCTCGAAACGCTGCCTGTAAACTCGATTTACTGTACTTCCAATATACACTATACACATAGTTACCCGTCCTCTTGCAACAATGGCACCAACACAGACGCGTCGTCTTATTCTCGCTAACCCACCGGAGGCCTCTCCTGTCTTGTCAGGAGATGACGCCACCTTCAAGATGGAGACTGTTGATCTGCCAGAGATCGCTCAGGGCCAAGTCCTCATCAAGACACAGTGCGTATAACACTCCTTGTCGAAATGTCTCACACATTCAAATCGCATCATACTAACTTCAGATTCTTAGATACCTTTCCAATGACCCAGCACAACGCGGATGGATTCAGGCCGGCGTAGACCCCGAGCGCATGTACACACGACCCGTCTTCAAGGGCGAACCCATGGTCACATTCGCCGTCAGCGAGGTCATTGAATCCAAGTCGGAGAAACTCAAGGCTGGACAGCTGGTCTCTGCCCGCACCACATGGTCAGAATACGATGTTGTGGATGCTTCGACATGCAATCCCGTTCAAATTGACGAGAAGGCTGGCATCAAGCCTACGCACTTTGTCGGTGCCCTCGGTGGTACCGGATTGACCGCATACTACGGTCTTGTTGATGTTGTGGGCTTCAAGGCTGGGGAGACGCTCGTTGTCAGTGGTGCTGCTGGCGCGACCGGCAGCATGGTTGTGCAAATCGCGAAGCACATTGTTGGAGCGAAGCGTGTTATTGGCATTGCAGGTAAGCATGCTGTTATTCCTGACGTGTGGTGTGGGACTAGGCGTCACTTTGCGTGACGTGTTAGTGCCCATCACATCGGCTACCGTCACTGAACTATACTAACTTTGTATCCACCCAGGCGGCGAGAAGAAGTGCAAATGGGTTGAAAGCATTGGAGCCGACGTCTGCATCGACTACAAATCCGCTGACTGGAAACAGCAACTGATCAAAGCCACCGAAGGTTTCGTGGACGTCTACTTCGACAACGTCGCCGGCCCGATTCTTGACGTCATGCTCACCCGTGTCAAGCGATTTGGACGCATAGCAGCCTGTGGAGGAGTGAGCGGATACAACGGACAAGGTCAAAGCATTACCAACTGGATGGAGATCATCAAGAACCGCATCAACGTCAAGGGATTCATCGTCACAGACGCCATCATGGCCGGAAAAGCTGGAGAGTTTCTAGGAAAGCTCGTGGGTGGTATCAAGGAAGGAAAGATTCAGATCGGCGAGGAAAGTGAGACGATTGTGCCTACGAAATTTGAAGATATCCCTACGACGTGGTGTAAACTGTTCGACGGTTCAAACCAAGGCAAGCTCGTCACTCAACTTATCTAAAAAGCTATCGAGAATTCAAATTAAAGGATATAGACCTAGGCAGGACTATATTATCGTAAATACTGTGTGCGCCCAGGAATACTCCTGCTGTAACATGAAAACTTATTAAAATACATGTGTAGACGCACATTATTCCAGACCGACATATCTCGGAATCACGTGCCTTAACACTTGACTTACTGACCTGAAACCCTGGAGAGCTGTCTGCGTAGGTACGCACCTATGTACTCAACTGCTTATGTATGCATAGAGCTTCCAAGTAGTAGGTTGTGTCATGACACTCCAAGTGCGTGTGCTTTATCTCATACGCTGGGTATGTAAATCATCACAAGCATCAATGTGCAATGTCATATAAATGCTCCCCCATGTAAGCGGAGTACAACTTGTTCCCGTGCTGTTTAAATGACAATTTCCCAATGCGCCCAGGAAAGATGTTTTTGCTGTTATACTACCACCAATCGACAACGTGAGGTATTCAAGTAAGTGTGCCTGTTGCTGGTATTTCGAGAGAACGAGAGGCGCCACACCACAATGACTATCCCCTCAAGCATCCTTAGCTTTATTGGGTGATTGCCAGTCGATGTTGGTAACGTTCCCACGCCGCTTAGGCGACTTTCCGCGGGGCTGCTCATCCCGAGTTGGGCTGAGCCCGAGGCCTCGTTGTAGACTAGCGCCACCTTGCATCACAGCGCGGCCTGAGCTACGTCCAACGGAAGCTGCTGTTCCTCTTGCATAGCTTGGAGTAGTTAAGACTGGTCGAGTTGGTGTGAGCGGCTTGAATTTTTCTATGGATTTGACGGAGGCAGTGATGTTGCTGCGCCGTTTCTCCGGCTCCGGTTTGAGTTCAGGCTTGGGTTTTGGGTGTATAGGAAGAACGATCTTTTCGGCCTCCACCTCGAGCTCGTTCTCTGCATCGGCGACATCGCAAGTACCTATGTAGGTATTCTCAAAGCCAAATGCGTTCTCAGCTTCGGCTTCTTCGCCTTCGTATTCCATCTCAAAGTCAGAGCTGTCCGTCTCGTTGTCGGCATCCTTCGCAATATCATCATCCAACATTTGTTTCAGCTGATCGAGCTCATATCTCAGCTCTTCCAAAATTTCCAGAGAGTCTTCATCCTCCATTTCAGTGGCCTTGTGATGGCTCACACGGTATTGGATTTCCTTTATAGTCAGCTAAAGCTTTTTTTATATACAAAAAAGTATACATACTGCGTCCTGTCGGTATAAATCGGCGATGTTCCAGTCGTCCATTGCGCTTACTATAAGAATACAGTTACGCATTTTATAGTATGGAGGAATTGTGTGGTCGGTCAGGTTACTCTTTACCAACTCGATACACTTTTTTTTCTCGCTGTCGAAATGTTTCCTTGCCTCTTCGTACTGTTCTCGATACAGGCTGGGCTCGAACGGATCATCGGCCATTGTGGAAAGGCTAGTATGAAAATATGACACCGATGAAGCTATAAAAGAGGTGGGATGTCCCTGCTGTTGGTTTACGTAATCGCGAAGTGGTGAGGTGGGATGTGTGAGGCATTGTTATCTGAAAAGCTATTAAGAGTTTAAATTAAAAGATATAGACCTAGGTACGACAAAATTATTGTAAGTACTGTATGCGCGCAGGAATACCTCTGCTGTAACATAAAAACTTACTAAAACATACATATGTATGTATAGACAGCCATGCATCACGGCATGTCACGCAATCACGTGTTTCACCACGTGACATACCTACATGTACACATGCATACCTACCTAGGTACCTACCTAAGTACATATGTACGGGCATACATACCTAGCTAAAGAAATATAGCGTCTCCAGTCACTCTCGTTGTATCTTAATACTGCAGGTGCATGTGCTTCATTTAATGCGCTCAACACATGTGCATGTCCATAATTTCAAGCAACAATGTGCAATATCACATCAACGCCCCCCCACATAAGCGGAAGACATCAATATGTGGATGAAACACACTTGATATGATGAGACGAATATTGATGATTGAGATCAGAGGTGCATGACTTGTATATATGGCTACTGATTATCCGCTGTGTACTCAATTGCCGCATTAGCATCAATTTTCAAGTACAGATGGCATCAATTGATATCTGTAGAGGTACTTTGCCAGCCCCACTAACCCAAAAAGAGCAATCTCCGTCCGCAACACCTCTGCGGACAAAGGGTACACATAACACGCCCAACAAAAAAAGATCTCTCAATACTTCCGTCTCCCATGACAACGCCCACCGGGCCAAAGTCATCATCTCGTCGCAGCAGTAACACACGACGCACAGTAATTTATCCGGTGCCATTACAGCCATGCATATTACCCGCTCGCTCGGCGTCATAGAGGGGCAGAACTCCACCCCTCCACCAGATGGGTGCCAGAGTGCCCCTCGCGCGCGCGCGACCAACGCGCGTGGGATGCAGGAGCTAGGAATTGCGGCTGAGTTCAAGGGAAAATCTCTGTATGCTCAAGCGGGTGCTAAAGTGCCTGGTAGACTGGCATGACCCCGGCCAACGCCAATTGCGCATACCGGTGGTAACTAGGGATGATGGGTTGAGATGGATGAGTGGATGAATGCACGCTGCTGCCGCCAGAAGCCTGCGGGTGCCTTGCCTATACAATCTAGGCGGGCCATTCTTTGCCATTGTGTTTCGCCTCTGCTTTCTTCTATTTAATTACGACCGCGTCCCCCCACTCTCGTTCTCCCTCTTCTCTCTTGTATATACCCCCTCTTTGATCTTATCTCAATACCGCAACCATGGTCAACGTTCCCAACATTGAGCTCAACGATGGCAACAAAATGCCTGTCGTGGGATTTGGTTTATGGAAGGTTTCTAATGACACTTGCGCGGAGCAGGTCTACAATGCCATCAAGACCGGATACAGGCTATTCGATGGAGCTTGCGGTACGTAGCACGAGCCTGGAACGGCGACGAATGATACTGATCTTATCAAGACTATGGAAACGAGGTTGAGTGCGGTCAGGGAGTCGCCCGTGCCATCAAGGAGGGCATCGTAAAGCGTGAAGAGCTCTTCCTCGTCTCCAAGCTCTGGAACTCCTTCCACGACGCCGACCAGGTCGAGCCCATCACCAAGAAGCAGCTCGCTGACTGGGGGATCGACTACTTCGACCTGTACCTCATCCACTTCCCCATCTCCCTCGAATACGTGTCCCCCGAGACCCGCTACCCCCCTGGGTGGTACTACGACGGCGAGTCGGAGGTGCGTCATGGCAAGACCTCGCTTGAGAGCACATGGAAGGCGATGGAGGGATTGAAGAAGAGCGGACTCGCCAAGTCGATTGGTGTCTCCAACTACAGCGGAGCCCTCCTCTTGGACATGTTCACCTACGCCGAGATCAAGCCCGCTACCCTGCAAATCGAGCACCACCCCTACTTCGTACAGCCCAACCTCATCAAGCTCGCTGAACAGCACAAGATTGCTGTCACTGCTTACTCCTCTTTCGGTCCTCTCAGCTTCATTGAGTGCGACATGAAGGTTGCTGAAGATACCCCAACGCTCCTCGAGCACGATATCATCAAGAAGGCCGCCGAGAAGCATGGCAAGACCCCCGCACAGGTTCTCCTCAGGTGGGCCACTCAAAGGGGTTTGAGCGTTATCCCCAAGAGCAACTCGCCCAAGAGACTGGCTGAGAACCTCGATGTCACGAGCTTTGACTTGACTTCTGATGAGATCTCCCAGATCTCCGACTTGGACCGCGGTCTCAAGTTCAACGTCCCCACCAACGTAAGATTTACTTGTCCCTGAATTTTGATTGAATCATCTTCTAATACATTATACAGTATGGAATCCCCATCTACGTCTTCGCATAGATTCGTCAAAGATGAACTCGGAGGGTTTCTCATCTCTCGATATCACACCGTGCTGCAGTCAGTCCCAGCACTCACGAAGATACCAAAGGCAACGCTTGTTTAAGACATTTCACCAAGCAGAAGTACGAATCGAGAAGTAGCGATCAAGTGTGTCTACATTGATCCAGTCTTCTCAGATTTCCTTGGATGGTTGATTTCCAGTTGTATATAATGCAGATACCGAATAATGATAACGATTTTGAACGCAAGCAAAACAAGATGAAAGGCCACGAATATGATATGCTCCCCGATGGTTGGCAATGATTTTCCACCAACCATAATCGATTTCCAGCTTCCAACCCCACTGACTTGACCCCAGACTTTAGATGGGAATCTCTCTGGCTAGTTTCCACAGGGATCTGATCTCGGCCAACATTATAGCGACCAGACCACAGACACTAGAGAACAGCCACCAACCGATCGAAACCGCATCGACAGATCGAGTATTGTCCCGCAATGGCTTTGACTCCACAATTTTTACAGTACGCTCGTAACGAACTGGGAAATCCAGAGTAGATCGCACACCTGCTTTTCATGAGTTGGCAAAAAAAAAATCAAAAAAAAAGAACTTTCGAATAACTCATCGATCCTCCACAGTCCTCACTCTGTTTCCAGGGTAGACTCACCATCCACGCATTCCTCTCTAACCCTTAGCTCTCCCCTCGATCCCTCTATCCCCTCCCGTGCACCACCACCAACCTTCCTCCAAAAAGTAAACCCCTTACACTCCCTCTCATTATTCAAATATCTCGTATACGTCCTCACCACCACAACCCCGCAGCTCTCACACTCACACCCACACCCACACTTTTCCCAGCCCTGGATACACCCAAGATGCACACACATCCTCTTCACATCGCTGACCCACTCATTTCGACCCCCAGACTCAGTGCGCACGATGCGCACAAGACGACCAACGTGCCATGCGCAGAAGAACGACGGCAGATCTACAATTTCCGTGGACGGTGTTGATCTATGTGAGGGTGGTGCGCAGACTGGACTTTTGGTCGAGGAGAACATGTACGCCGGGTACCGTTTCCTGCAGACGAAGCAGCGTTTGGTGTCGGGATCCGGAGGACAGAGGAGTCTCTCGATGGCGAAACGCGAGCATTCTGATAGCGGTTGTTTTTGGAGGAGGAGTGGGAGGGAGGGGAATGCGGTGTTCAAGGTCCGATGGGTTAGTTTGAGCGATATAATGGCGTCAGTGGGGATGTAGCGGGCGACCTCCAATAGGAGTTCCGGGGGAAGTTTAAGAAGTGGAGGTTTTGGTTGCGGCATGGTAGTTGATTATTGATTCAAAAGTGAGAGTTGCTGCGAGGAAAATGGGGTTTCACTATGTGGAAGGAGGGGTGTGAAAGGAAAGAAAGAGGGACTAGAAGATGCATTATTCAGATTGACGTGGTATTCAGTATGAGTTGTTTGCTCCACGTAATAGGGGTCCGATAAACGAGCAAGATGTACGTTGATGGCACGGGCATGTTTGGGTCATGTTGTTTGTTCATTGTCCCGGCAAACGGGGGCGCGTGATGGACAGTCCAACTTGTATGACAGAACTTTGGGGAATCAATGTCTGGATGATGTGAGGTGAGCAGTCAGGTGGCGCAAAGTAAGAAGCGCACAGCGAGTGGGCGATGACGAGTAGAAGTAGTAATGACTATGGTGTGGTGTCCGCTCTGGTAGCCAGATTGGGTGGTGTTGAACGTGTTGGTGTTGGAGGTCGCTGTGTGGCACGGGCTGTGGCGCAGTGACGGAAATTAGCGCGCGAATGTAAGAGGTCGGTTATTCGTGACTGCGTCCATTACTCCAGACATGAAGAGTTCTTCAGGTACATGATCGCTGTCGATATTTACAGATTGAGTCATTTCTTCCATGGTTTTGAGCACTATAAAAGGGTACCGCTGCAGATGAGTGAGTAGAACAGGCAAGAGAGGTGGCGGAATGGCCCGATCTATCAACATTTGAAAGCATAATTGAGCCGCACAGGTTAGAAGAATGCGGTTGCGATGATATAGCCAGGATGTAGGTAGACTAGAGCCGATGCGGTAAAAGGCTACCGAGTATATTAGAGCCCGAAGATGTCGTGCATTCGGAAGCCCAACAGTATTGCCATGGCAGAGCATGTAGCGAGGACGCTGGCTGTTTGGTAGGAATCATTGTCGTGTCGGGTTGCCTGATCGGTGGGTGAGTACATGAGAAGCTGAAGAGCCAATGCCTACCCAGGTATGTACATGGGTGATGCGCGTGCGCCCACCACCATGCAGTCATCATCATTTGCAGTTTCTTGAAAGGTGCTCTGTTAGCGAGCAAATGCTACAGTGGCAGTCGTTAGCTGGCCATTCAGGGCATCGTTGTTGGGTGCTCAGCACGTTGAATGGCCACGCCAAGGCGGGGTTTGATACTACATCGAGGGTGTCGGCTGCGGCGCTTGTCTGCAGGCAGCTTTTCACGTTCCACGGTACACCATGTTCTTTTTCCCGCTGCTAAACACAACGCTATGTTCTCTGTCTTCTCTCCCCTTTTTGCTTTCTTCGGGAGTCCGCGAGGTAGCTTACGAGACGAGTGCGAAGTGGATTAGCTTGGGTGGCGGAGAACAGGAGCGGTGCCCGTGCTTGTGGATGAGAGGGAATCCGACGAGTTCTCGCGGGAGCCCCACCAAATCATGGCAGGGACAAGGAATCTTCTCTTGGTGCATTCTGTATGCACGTATCCCTATGTACTTGAGTATGCATGCATGCACGTTCAAAAGAAGGTTGCTGGTTGGGGCACATGCATCATACGTGTAGGCAGTCATATTTTTTTTTTTTTTTTTTTTTTTTTTTTTCATTTTTCCATCGTCATTCAGCAACTCAGAAATGCCCATGGCGGCGGGAAGGGGTTGTCCATGTTGAACCCTGGGTCGAAGACGGCCTTGTCAAATGTCGGCCCACTAGAATTCCATTGTCATTTGCGTTCTCGGGACTGGCTGGCCGACGGGCAAGCGCACTCTACCCGATTGATTGCCTGGTTTGACACATGGGCAAACCAAGGGACGACGTCTCCAACGTGCATGCACCGAAGCCAAATGCCACAATATAGATAGCTGAGTACATACATACATATTCAAGTGCTCGAGTTCACGCGCGAACGACAACGGGAGGGCAAACGCCAAGCTCCATACCTCGACGGTTGAGAGTCGTCGGTCACCATCGGAGACACCAACTGTCGTGGCGGTGTATTATTTACGGTGCCGGTACTGACAAGATATGGATCCTTGCTCGAGGATTGACATCGTTTCCTTCTTCTGCTTCTTCGTTTTCGTCTCCATCTGATCCATCGCACGGGTCCATCGGTGACGGCGGCCAAGGGCGCGCGGGAAGGCACAAATTGCGTGCAGCAGCAGCAAAAGAAGGCCCCTGCGAAGATGGATGGATGGGTGGATGGGTGGATGGCATGCCGTGGGAGATTTGATGCTCGGCCTCTGTCTAGACATATTTAGTTAGCTTTCAACCCCTTGGACGCTGGACCGACCAACCTACCTCGAGTATTGCACCCGCACTTTGCTCTGCTCTGCTCTGCTCTGCTGCTTTGAAGCGAACGAGCAACCAGCACCAACATCTCCACACCCACGCGCGCCATCCCATTCCTCCCTCCCTCTCCCTCTTCCTCTCCGTCTCTCCCAACCCTCTCCCCCACCCCCCATCTGCTGCACTCCTCCTCGGCTGCATTGCTGCTGGGCTTCCACTCCTTCGTGCGTCTTTTCATTTGACCTGCTCGCCCGCCTGCCTGCTGTCGTCGGTCCATCCCTCTCCGTCTGTCTGTACGTACGCTGTGATCCCCGGTAAAAACCCTCTGCGATTCCATGGAACCACCCACCACTTGAAGAGTGCCACCCAAAACCCGGCAAAATTTCTCCCACGCCGCACATGCTCTTCGCCCTTAGCCCACCCCACTCTTTCATTCTTGACACCCCTCGCCGTCTCGTCGCTGTTCTCCGCTGCAATCGCTGCAATGTCCTGGCTAACAATTTCCCCAGCCTGCAGTTCTCTGCCCTCCACATTCGGCCTCTTCACTGCACCCTTCCTCCCATCGTCCCGCATCAAACCAGCGACCCGACCACTCTCGCCCCGTCGCCATGGCCTACTACAACGATCCCTCTTCTTCCTGGTCTGCCCCTGGCCGCCAGTCGTCCTGGGAGCAGCCTGCACCTCCTTCCCGCTCTGGTACGCCGCATGCCGCGCACACATCAACTCGAGATCTCATCACATAGTAACACAACATTAGGTGCAAGCTCAACTGTCAATCGTGAGGAAGCCAATGCGTTTGCCAATCAGTTCGAGGGTACGTCGTTCCTTGCAGTTCTCTCCCGCTACCTTTTTTTTCCGGGCCGCCCCCCTCATCCATCATACACCGTCTCTTTGATTTTTTTCTTCTCGATATTATTTCTGACAACAAGCAGAAGTCGAGCGTGCTACCGAGAACCTCCACAAGAGTGGCGTCGGAAAAGGCTTCGGTCCACCCCCAATGTACAACAGCCGCCGCGAATCCATGCCTCCAATGGCCGCTGGCCCGGGCCCATTCCCCGATTATAGTACGAGTGGTGATTGCGCTCCGATCTGGTGACAAGCAGCTGACATATCTAGGCCAAAACCGCATGGGCGGCCCGCAACGCCATCATTCCGTGAGCGAGTACGACGGAGCTCGCTCCCACTCGGCATCCAACGTGCAGGGCTTCTACCAGAACCAGCGCTTCGCCCCTCGCCCCAACGATGCCGATCAAATGCAGCAGGCCAAACGTCGCATGGCGGCCCAGCGTGAGCGTGAGCTGCGCAACTATCACCAAGAGCAGCAATATCACAGAAGTAAGGACTCGGACATTGGGCAACAATAGAGGCAGGATGGATAGTTGACTGGGGTAATACAGATGTTTCTGGGTCCAAATCCGACCGTTCGATGAGTCCCAATGCGATGAGTGAAGAGGACCGCCGCGAGCTCATTGCCCGTCAGCACCGCGCCCTTTATGGCGATAACTCATCCTTGTACAATAACAACAATCCCACTTCGAGCCAGGACGTGCGAGTTTCTGGCGCTGGCCGTAACCCTTCACCTTTGGCTTTTGATCCCTTTGGCATGCAACCCTCCAATGCCTCTGGCGAAGGTCCGGTTCAGATGCCTCCCCGCGGTGACAAGGATACCACGGCCGGAGCTCAAGAGGCCCGTGCCAACGCCAACTCTTCTCCCTCTTCAAACCAAAACCCATCCTTTAGCCTCTTTGATAGTTCTCAGCAAGCGAATCGCACCTCCAACTCTTCTCCTGGCGGCGGATCTCCTCCTCACCAAGGTCCAAAAGCCAATGGGTCCGGTGTTGCGCCCATCGGCACACGCCCTGCTGTTGGCCAAGGGCAACCCACCGGTGCTTCAATGGGCAAGCGTGCGACGACGCCCCTCCCATCCCCGCTCGGTTACACTTCTTTCAATGCTGGCGAGCAGAACAAGAACACGATTGCTACGACCTCTGCTGCTTTGAACCCTTCTTCTACGGTGTCTGATAACAAGGGTGGTGTCGGCATGTGGAACAAGGGACCTTGGGGCAACACATCCAACCAGGGCGTTCAGGCCTCGGTTTGGGGCTAGTTCTGATCTTTCAACGGGAGTTCAATGCACAATCTGGAGTTTCTGCATTTTAGGTGTCCCGGGCATATCGCAGTGTCGGTCTTTCAACTTGGGCGGAGCTGGTATTCTGGGCGGTCGGTGAACGGCACAAAATTACCCTTTTGGCTCTTTTTTTTGCATCTAATTGCGGACGGAAAGTCTCTCGCAAAGAACAATATACCTTTAGGCCGGACGGTTACATGGGGCGCGTTTGCTAAGTCGTTCGGATATGTACGTGTTTTCTCCGGGGTGCTATATGGGTTATCATGCTGGGCGAGGGAGTTTTCTCATGGGATGAAATCTCGATTTTGATCTTTTTGCAACGGTGCTGCTCGGTAAAGGCGGATGGGTTTTCGGAGTAGAGTCCCGACCTTCGCTCTGGGGTTTTGTGATTTCATTTTGGGTTATATATATAGGGCTCCGGCACACAATGACGGTAATGAAAAAAAATCCACGGGGTCTCGGAAGTTTTCAGGTGGAGTGGGTTCATGCCGCTTTCATCCATTGCATGAACATATGTCTGCATTCTTCGTGACGTCCGGTTCTTTTATTTTTTACTGAATCCAAGGAGTGATGTTTTGGTAAGTGAGGGGAGACAACCTACATCCATACATAGGTACTAAGTACCTAGGTAAGTATTGCAGTACACCACTCAGCACGTAAAAATTCATAGTGCATGAACTCTTTACTGGCTGTAGAACTTGTGCTTTGGGCAATTCCAAAATGTAGGTTAACGCTGGACTGTAATTAACATTTGAAGAATGAAAGTAGGTCTCTAACAAGAGCAAAAAGCTATTGGAACTATAGCATTTGAAATACTGTCAGGACCATTGCGTACGGATTCAATATGTTTTCTGATATTTATCTTCATATGAGTCTCCATGACACATCGCGCATATTACCGTACATACTGATCAATCATCTTTGGAATCATAGCCGCACTCATATCACTTTTCTCATCATTTTTCTTGTGCTTTTAGAATTCATGGATATAATTTTGTAAGGTAATGAGGTATACGTGACACACCTTCCCCATTGGTTAAGCGACAGACGGAGTTAGTTAGCCCTGGGCATTTCGCGCTAACCCCCAGTTCAACTTTCTAGAAGCGTGGCCTCTTACCTTGACGACTATTCACCTCCGCATCAAATCCCGCCTCGGTTCTCTCACAACGCTCCTTCTCACACCCTGCCGACTTCATCGATTCCACAGCCGTCGAACTCGCTCTTCACTACCACATCATGGTGAGTGTGCCTAAATCATAACAGGATGGATAGGAGGGGTGGCAGGGCGGCATCACAAGCCCGCGTGCGCTGGGGAGTGGTGAGGGTCAGAGTGAACATGGGCACGCAAGACTCGATGGCAACGTGGAATACACTTCATGGACACTACAATTGCTCTTCTTTATCGAATCTTGCGCATTGCCCCAGTTCCGCTACCGCTCCTTCAATTGATGCAACGCTGCTTTCAGCCCTCCTTTATCCTTCCCTCTCCAAATCCTACCTTTTCCAATTTGCTAATTTGCCTTCGTCAGTCTTCCCCACGCGCTCAATCGCCCGCCAATGTCGGATCTACGACAGCACGCCCTGCGTCCCCAAAGCCGCCAGGTGGCCCCGCGACCGTGATGCGAAGGAAAGCTGCTGCGGACCGCGCCGAGAAGACTGCGAACCAGAGGCCAAGCTCGACAAGGTCAGCTGGCGCAGGTGGAAGCTCAAGCACCATGTTGCGTAAGTCTTCGTCTACGCAATGCAGTAAACGAGGAAGAGTTGAGAAGGCTGCTCAATCTGTGTCAACGGCTCAACGTTGAGTTTGAGGGGATTATTGTTGATATATTGGATTATCGCTAACAGGCCGGTATAGGTCTCTACACCGACGAGTCCCCTGGCCTCAAGGTTGACCCTGTGGTTGTCATGACTCTTTCTGTTGTCTTCATCTTCTCCGTTGTCGCCCTCCATGGTATGTTGACATCTATCTCTCCCGTTCCCGCACAGCCGCAAATGCTCACACATCCTAGTCATTGCCAAGGTTATGCGCCGATTCTCAGCATAAGAACTTCAACATCTCAATATTTCTATCTTTCCCTCCCTCCCCATATGGCAGGCGCTCTGCAGCAGCGACGCCCACTTCCTCCTTGTCTCACTCAACGAACGGTTACATCCAATGGCTCGGTCTGAGAACGAAGGGCAGCAGTCTGGTTCTGGAAGAGCAGCCATTGATATGTATTTTGCGCGAAAGAGTACTCCATGATGCATTCGCAGACGGACGGCAGCGACTGGTTCTGCTTCTTCGGTTGATTGAATTGATATCGGCAATGGTGTATTATAAGGTCTTTATTTCTTCTTTGGCAATTGTATCTGGACAATTCGAAAAATACAATAATAAAAACACAACGATGCTACCCAGTGATTGTCTTTGCATGTTATGCTCGGTTTGTTACATGAGTCTCCAGGTGTGCTATGCTTGTTTCTTTTCTAAGCTACCCGTCGAGTGCTGGATTTATTCCACGTCAGAATGGGTTACTGTTGGATAACAACAGTTGAATTTGACGTGGCTACCACTCAACACAGGATTCGCATGTAGATATAAGAGACGACTACCTAGGTAGGTATAAGCCATCAAGCTCGACCAACTAAGCATCCAATGCTCATCCATATCATAGTGAAGCATCATCTTCTCTTTGCGTAAAGACGACCGAGAAAGTAGTATTACATATATACAAGTGTCAATGCACACTCCAGCTTTCTGAGAACACAATTCTCGTATACTTTTCCCATGTCGAAGCAGCCCTACCACGCCACGCCATGCATTTTTGATAATGATGCAAGAAACAAGTTACAAAAGTACAAATACAGAAGCCCATCCTTACGACTCGATACAATATCATACATACACATATATATCATACATGTACATGGCGAAGCACGCGACTAGATCAAAGCTTCACCCCTAAACATAGCATCCCTGACCTCCTTGACAACATCGGCGCGATCCCCGGGCCCCACAAGCACGATCCCACGCCCTCTCCTACCCATGCGACCAGTCCGACCCAGACGGTGGATAAAGTCGATAGTGGTGTGTGGGACATCGTACAAGATGACATGGCGGACTTCCACGGTATCGATACCGCGGGAGCCGAGATCAGTGGTGACGATGACTTTGGTATTAGCCAGCTGTCTTTTCCCAGCGTCCGCACCTGTAGATTTCTCCACCACAGCAGCGGTGGAAGAAGAAGAGGAAGATTTAGCAGACCCAGTGAAATCAGCCAAGAGTTTGGATTGGCGGGATGGATCGGTATCGCGATGGAATGCCATAGCATCGATACCCTTTTTGCACAGGTATTTCGCGACTTCGTCGGTATCGTCGCGCTCATTGACGAAGACTAGGATGCGTTTGATAGCTACGGCTTCTCGGCCTTCGTTAGCGTCATAGTCCGCGTTGGCTTTGCCGATTTGCCAGATGGTGTCGGCGCAGGCGAGCTGTTTGTTGCCGCGGTAAGGGTCTTTGTTTACGTCGACGACGCCGAGCTGGACACGACGGGGGATGGCGTGAAGGTTCGGGGTGACGAGGCGTTGCATGTTCGGGAATTCGGATGCTAGGTACTTGTCGAGGTATTTTGGGATCGTGGCAGAGCACATGAGGAGTTTCTTGAGGGATGGGGTTGCGCGTTCGAGGATTTCGGTGGTGAAGGGCTTGAAGGAGCGGTCCATGAGGGAGTCGGCTTCGTCAATGACGAGGTGCGTAACGCGGGCGAGGATGTTGGGGTTGCTTTCTGCAATGCTGGCGAGGAGGGGCGGTGTGCTGATTAAGATGTCAACGCCGTTCTCATTGAAGAGCCGGCTTCGAATGACTGTCGCCGAGTTCTTGGCTGATATCGGTGCGGTGCGGAATTTGACTTCGTGTGATAGCGATTTTGCGACTGCACCGACTTGAGCTACGAGTTCTGCAGAAGGCACGAGAATGATAGCCCGAGGGCGTGCTGGATCAGTAGCCTTGTTGAGTGCTGGGGCAGCGACTTCAAAACGGTCGTCTTTTTGCCCGTTCCTTCGTTCTTCCGCTTCCTGTGCCTCCTGGGCTAAGATCTCCTCTGCCTCTATAGCTTCGTCGCGCTTGATGGCATCGACTATTGGCAGAAGATATGCCAGGGTCTTGCCTGAGCCAGTCTCGGCTGCTAAGAGGAAAGATTCCAGTCCAGTCTTTTGGGGAATGGCTCCCCTAGTCCTTTTCTTGTGCGAAAGTCCCATCATTGCGGGGATAGCTACTGCCTGCGCAGGCGTGGGGCGGCGGTACTCTAGATCTGGTAGAGCATCGTTGATGGCTTTTTTAACGACATCCATAAGTGGCAGTCCCTCGAAAGAATCAACCTGTTCGATTCTCGACTTGATAGCCTTCCTGGAGCCATAGGGTATCTCATGCAGGGACTTTTGCATCTTGAGCGCATGAAATGCATCCTGCGGCGTCCGCCTTCTCTCGAATCTGCGACCGCCAGAGGAGGGCGTATGTGAGCGCGAGTCTGAGGTCTTGCTTCTTTGGTCTTGTTCTTGCGTCAAATCGGCTGGTACCTTGGTCCTGTTGAGATAGAAAAACGGTTCTCGCTTCTTCCGGACAGGCGGTTTTCCATCTGGTGAAGGTCGGGAGGGTCTAGCGACCGTGTCTGACAAGATCATTCGAGAGGGGCGGGGGGAATCGTATGCGCGAGGGCGCCCTCCACGCCGCGGAGCAGCAGGGCGATCCGAAGCATCATGGCGAGAAGCATAGGGAGGTTTTCGGGATGCGGAAGCGGGATAGGATGGGGTTGCTCGGCCGCGCTGGGCCTGGGTATACGGGCGGGTCTGGTGGAGCGGAATACGAAGACTCTGTACTTGAGACAGGCGCGACGACGAGCAGAAATGACAGGAGGAGCGCAGCATAGTCAGGCGGGAGCCACGGATGCTGCGAATCGCGATGGCAAGCAGGGTAAGAACAGGAAATGGTAAGACGCAGGGAGAGATGGATGCGTTAGAAGCCTGGAAAACAAAGGTTGATAGCGCAGCAGAAACTAGAGGGCCGACGTGATTGGGCCGATGGGCGAGTGACAAGCAACGCCCGAGTGTTGTTGCAAGGATCCGGGGTGGCAGGTACGGGGCGCCAATCAAGAAAGCGTGAGGGCCGTGGTTGCCCCATCAACACAGCTGGGGCTGCCGCTGTGTTGACCGTCCCGACTCCACGACGCATTTAGCAGCTTGACGTCCACCAACACCACCGACACCACCTCACTCCTCCCTTCCTCCACACTTCCAGTCTGCGGTAGTAGTCTCTGCGCTTGCGCCTGCGCTCGCGACCTCCTTCACTTCTTCTCTTCTTTTGCTCGTGGAAGCTCTGTTGGGTGCATGCATCTCCTCTATTCCATAAGCGCATCTCTATCTATATACTCCATCTGGGTCCAGTGAGCCCTTTGATGTCTCGCAGCCAGGCGGTACGTATTCCCACCCTCGCCTGGGGAAATCAACAACACAGACATGCGTCTCCAGTTTGCTAACATCCGCACGTCCTCGCTCTAGGTCACGCCTTTGCGCATCAACAAGACGCCAACTGCTTCGCCCACCAGGCCCACCATGTCGCGCCCACTCTCTGAGATCGGCTCGACCGAGCACCGCCGGAACTCGGGCAATCACAATCAACAATCCAAGGTATGTTTCCGCCTCGCATCGACACTTGGCTAGTGCGCCCTTGCTAATACGCACAAGAAGATGTACCTCACCAAGGAGTCCTCGCCCTTCGACTCGTCTCCCTTCCCAAACAGCCCGCGCTTGTTCTGGAAAGAGCAGACTGTTTCGCCCAAGACTCGTTTTGGTTCGGAGAATGAAAACGATCTCGAAGACTCTCCCTCCCAGTCGCTATCCCCCAAGCGTGGCTCCATCGAGAACCTAAAGAAAGCGTCTCGTGTCAAGAACAGCAGCATGTTCGCCCGCGAGCAGAGGCATGAGTATGATCCTACCTCGGTCCAGGCTCCCCATCGTCCTCTCGCAGCTGGCCGTCCCTTGAGCACCCAGGTCCAAGGCAACGCTTACGATGGCAACGGCTTGTCTGGCCTCAGGAGCCATCGACGAGGTGAAAGTCTGACCAAGATCCCTACCCTCAGCCCATCCAAGAGCTCCCCCAGCAAGATCCCTATGCCTGCGTCTCCCTTTGAGGCCTCAACGCCTCCCCCCGGTCGTTCCTCTCCAACAAAATCATCGCTTGCCAGTCCCTCTCGTTTCACTTCAACGGAACACAATGGCGATTCCAGCATCTGGTCTGATGACGAGGCCCTGAAACACCAAACTCCTCGTCCTCTACGTCGACACGCAAAGAGCGTGACCTTTGATGCTGCTCCTCCCATCATCAACGAGTATGAGATGGTGACGCCCGATCCATCCTCAGTCGCGTCCGGTTCGCGTGAGGGTAGCTTCGAATCAGATGAGGAGGATCTCAGTTTCGATCACGATGACAGCTTCGATGCCTCGCTCGAAGACACAGACAAGACGCCTGTGGTTCTTCCTGAAGACTGGCGACACATGAGCCCCGACGCCGCCGACACATCACTCGTGGATGCCGACGATGATGTCTTTGATGATCGCGAGTTGAGCCCCTTGCCTACCACTCGTCCTAACATGAACGGGCATTCGAGCACCTCGCGACTTAGCTCTCCCGCCTCGGATGGGGAGTCGAGGCCTTTACCGCCTCTTCCAGGCCTGCAAGGTTTCGACGATCGTCGCCGCCGCGACTCCAGCATTGGCCTCACAGCAGCTGCGGAGCGTGCAAGCGGGCGTAGGTCCCTACCTCAGCTGCCTCCATCATCCGGTTTCTCCAAAGCAGACTTGCTCAACATGCGCGAGGGCTCGATGTCTCTAGAGGACAGACTCCGCCTCATGCATTTCGACGAGGACCGCGACACCAGTACACCTACTCAGGAGAGTCACGGTAAGAAGGCTGAACTTGGTGTGGAGGTTGAGGTTGCCGAACTCGAGGACGTCACGGAATCAGACATGAATGACGATGGACCGAAAACACCTCGCATCTCTCGGGAGTCCATACTTCGCAAGGTGAAGAGCCGCAACTTTGATGACGAGCGCGAGAGCGTCAACTCCCACTACGACGCCGAATCCAGTCCTGAGCGTAGCTATGGCGACCTCGCAGATCTCGATCCCGATGTCCCTATTCCGTCTCGTGAATGCTCCTCTAATTTCGATGAGAACCCAGCCCCTAGCGAGGCTGATAGCGTTCTTGACGCATATTCTTTTGCGGATACCACTGCGATGTATTCGGAGATGTCTCCGTATCACAACAACGACGATGACGAGAACGACGAATCCGTCATTCATCACGAAGTCACCGAGGACATCGAAGAAGAAGACGAGATCAGTCAATACTCCCCAGTGCCGGAGGAGCAGCCCACATCACAGAGCACCATTGAAACTTCAGGGCCTCCAACTCCTACTCAAACAAACCCTTCGTCTGGTGACGAGGATAAGAACCCTCAAGAGCAAGAAATGTTCGCTTCTTTGGGCAACAAGGAGGTAGACCTAAGTCTCGACCCGCTCAATTCCTCTTTCCAAACGGCACTAAGTCCTCTTGATACGGCACCCAAGATTGACGCTATGCGCCAATTTTTGCAACGCCCTGAGACACCAGAGACAGACCGAGAACCTGCCGTTGAAGATGCTGTTGAAGAGCCTGGTACACCTGACTCTGTCATTAGACACCCCGTCTCTGCCTCGCCCTCACCCCCACCCAGCGAGGCTTCTTCTGTTCCAGAAGTGGAATCAACGATTAAGGGTGCTGGCGGAAGATTGAAAACTCGCCCCTCTCTCATTCCTGGTGACGTTGATATGGCCGCTACCCGCCGGCAAGTGAGTGGCGAACGTCCGCCGCCGGTACCTGATAGAAGCCCTAAGCGACAATCTTTGACGGTGGACATCAGCAGCATCGAAGAGGAAGACTCCCAAGCCAGTCTCTCGACAAGAGACAATCTGATGTTGAGCTTCGATATTGGAGAGGAGTCCAATGACCTCAGCTTCGGCCTTGACAAGGAGTTCGACAACATCATCGAGGCTCAAAAGGTACCCCAAATTTTTCCTCTCCCCACCTTCGCCGAATTCCCCCCATCGGCTGTCGCGCAGCAGGACGGTGCGAGCTTGAGTCCCTCCGAAGGCGTAGTCTTTACCCCACAGCTTGCTAACAATTCTACCAATCTACAGAAGGGCTACCTTATGCGACAAAACACAAAGCTTATTGTTGCAAGCAATCGCCAATTCAGTAATGAGAAGCCATCAGCTATAACAGAAGAATCTGGCGATAATGGTCTCAAGCCTGCACCAGAAGACATGCGGAAAACCAGTGCTGAACGTAAGCCTGCTTGGAAAACCGAGCCTTGGAATGGTAAGGTGAGGCGGCGAAGTATTCGCACTACGTCCGATGCCAGACGCGCCGCTGAAGCATCCGGACCTGTTCCTCCGATGCCAGGCCAAGAATCCGCTGTTTCTGGTGGGCTTGACTCTGTCGGTGAGCAAGGAGACGATTTTGAAGATGGTCAAGAACGTGGACGTGTCTTTGTCAAGGTAGTGGGTGTGAAAGATCTAGATCTTCCCCTCCCTAAGAGTAAGCCTTTCCGTGGCCTGTTTCCCCAATGTATGCGCTAACAGTATTTCACAGCGGAACGCTCATGGTTCCAACTTACACTTGATAACGGATTACACTGTGTGACCACATCTTGGTTGGAACTTGGTAAAAGTGCGCCTATTGGTCAGGAATTTGAGCTTGTTGTTCTAGATGACCTAGAATTCCAGCTTACACTCCAAACCAAGCTCGAGCCTCCACCTCAGCCTACGGTCACTGCTGCTCCCGCAAAGACTGTAAATCAAAAGAAGTCGCACTCCGCTTTCCGCAACTTGTTGTCTTCTCCCAAGAAGCGCAAAGAACAAGAGCGTAAGCAGCAGGAAGAGGCCGAACGACTCGCCTTACAACAGCAACAAGAGGCTCAGGCCAAGCGCAACAAGCAGGCCACTGCTTGGGATCTTCTTCACGATTTGGTCGGCCCGGATGGTTCTTTTGCGCGAGCGTATGTTTGCCTGAAGAACCATGAGGACCAGGCATACGGTCGCCCGCTTACCGTTGATATCCCTTGCTTCAACGAATGGGCTGTGGACACCACTGGTGCGAGCAGCGTCAAGAGCAAGCGCGGTGGAGTCGTACGCCGCCCACCATATCGGGTCGGCAAAATCACTCTGCAGCTCCTATATGTGCCCAAGCCAAAGAACGCAAAGGATGAGGACATGCCTAAGAGCATGAATGCCTGCATCCGCGAGATCAAGGAAGCAGAAGAAGCCAAGGATAAGTCTTGGGAAGGTATTCTGAGTCAGCAAGGCGGTGATTGCCCTGTAAGTCATCATGAAGAACTCGAGTTTTCTGGCGTTTACTAACTGGATAACAGTACTGGCGTCGTCGCTTCTTCCGTCTCAACGGCACTAAGCTCACAGCGTACCACGAGGCTACTCGCCAGCCGCGGGTGACCATCAGTCTCGCGAAGGCCACAAAATTGATCGATGACAAGAGTTCTCTTAAGCAGCCTTCCTCCACCAAAGGAGGTGGTCGTCGCAAGTCTGCTTTTGCAGAAGAGGAAGAAGGTTACATGTTCGTTGAAGAAGGTTTCCGCATTCGTTTCGCCAACGGTGAGGTTATTGACTTTTACGCCGATAATGCCGAGCAGAAGGCCGGCTGGATGCGCGTTCTTTCCGAATGTGTCGGGAAGGATATCGCGAGCAATCGCGGTTGGACCGACATGGTACTCGAAAAAGAGCGCCGTGATAAGGCTCGATCTCAGCCTGCAAAGCCGACCACAGAAGCAAAAGCCGCGCCCTCACAGAGTCCAACGAAGTCCCAGCCTCTGACGCGTCCTCGATCGCACGAACATCCACCGGCCGCTCCTCCAAGCCCCATCAAGGGACGTCCTAGCCACGGTCGTACCAAGTCGCATGTCCCGTCTCTTCCCCCTCCACCAGTCGAGAAAGATGACCGACATAAGGCGGGAACAGTGCCGCGTCAAAGAGATGCAGTTCCTGCAGGAAAGACAAATCGTAGAGATCAGGTTCGGTCGATGATTTTCTAAAGCCTCCTGTTCTTTATGCACTTTCGCATCTTTACGTTCATCGATACCCACCCTTATTTGAAAACCCTCATCCGGTTTGGTATCTCGCGCTTACTGTTTCTTTGAGTCTTTAGACGCGTTTTTACTTCCACTTTCCCGTGTCACCCCGCTTCAGATCCAAAGTCGGCATCGTGAGGAAAGCTTTGGAATGGAGGAGTGCTGGGCACTGGTAGATACATTCTCTTCATGTGAAGCGCAGTGTTCGATACGCTCCAGCGCTGTACAAAACACCACTTGAGATTGAGCTTTCCTTTGTTGCCGAAAAGCGTTTGAGCTTCTGTTGACAAAGCTTGGGGAAGCGTTTGAGCTTCTGTTGACAAAGCTTGGGGAAGCGTTTTCTTTTGTCTCTGCTTTCTTGCTCATCGTCTTTTCGGGTCTCTAACATTCTGCTTTCTGGATTGGCGTTGGTGGCTCATGACTCGGGATGAAGTCCTCTAGTTAATGAATTGCAGGATGTGAACGAGGACAGAGGATTGTGCGATAGGTGTAAGTTCCAGTAGCTGTGGGAATACCAATATATTTTACTTCAAACAAACATTTCTCTACATGATATTTTACTGTCGTGCTAGGTGGGTATGATGGCACGCGTGACTTGCAATTCAGCTGAAGTTGGACTGATGAACAAACGTCTCGGCAGTGTGCAGTCAATGTTACAGTCTAGAACTACAGCTAGATCACTTGAAAAGCTTATCTTGTTGTTTAAATTCGAAATTGAGGTCATAGTTCTTACATGTTTTCGTTTTCCCAAGTACCAGACCATCTACACTGTCTTCTGACGGCAACTTCTGGGATGTCCTGCTACCTAGCCCAGCATGCTCGTATGCTATACTTCATGTGCTCATCTGCCTTCTAGATCATCTACTCTTTTCACTAACCTCTTCGCGGTTGCGTGACTGTTGCGAGTAAATTCTAAGTTGGTTTCTTTTGTTTCTTTCGTCTTTTTTTCTTGCCAGCTTAACTCGCACTTGTCTAACTACAATAAAAAGTTAACCTGTATAGAGCAGTAAAGCAGGTACAAGCTCGCTAACCATCAATCAGTGATAAAACCATCCATTTTGCAACTTTACTGAGCACAGTTCTAGTGAGTAATTGTGCGACTTCAATTTCTTGCTTCTATCTATGATTACGTTGTCTTCGCTATGAAAGATCACCAAGCTATGCCACGAAAATCTCGTGAAACTAACTCCGACTGCATGCGGCATTCGTTGGGTACCAATGGAATATTTCGTTTGCTCAAAGGGGCACAGGACCGAAGTTCTAGGATTACGATTGGGTGTATATCGGATTTGTGTGACTGCAACGATGGACGTAGCAAACAAATTACCAGAATGCTGCGGCGGCAAGAGGAAGGGAGAGGGCAATTCTTCCCCTCCTTCTCTCCAAGAGAAAACGTGCAGTATTAGCCATTCTCATCATCCTCTTTGAACGGGATCTCCGTGTTCATTAGTCAAAGCTCTGACACGATCACTCCCGTCCACTTAAAGAACGCTGACCACAGAAGTCTGAGGGGTAAGTGTTAGTTACCAGCTTCAGCTTCATCACTAGAATGTGGTAAATGGTGATGAAGCTGCTTTCTAAAAAAGCACCAACTATCATCGAGCTCAACGTCCCTGGTAACAACGCTGTTCGAATTTCCCTCGGAGGCAGCCCTCCTTTTCGTCCGACCAACAACTCGACACTTCACCACAACTTCGCGCAAGAGTACAACCCCACAGGATCTCCAACATTCCTGCAAGAGCATCTCGACTTCCCTTCTTATCCATCCCCATACGACCATCTTCCATCAAGTATGCGAGACCAAGCCTTCGACATGGCCCGCAAGCCCCGCCCATACCTGCCCAGCAGTCATCCCAAGATGATGAGACTAGCGAGACAAAACATGGGTTTTGGACCACAACAGTATATTGATCCCACAGGCGGCGGTATGCCCGGCATGGATAGATTCAGGTCATTCGGCGCAGGACCTATAGGATCTGAGCTCGGAAATATCCCAGAGTACGACGAAGACGACGTGGGTAGCAGTCTCATCGCGGCGATGGGTGGCGGTAGAGGAGGCGGTGGCGGCAATGGTGACATGTCCTATAACTACAGATTTCCCAATTACGGATTCGGGCCCAATGGAGGGGGGTTGGGAGGAGCAGGGCTCGGAGCAATGCCATCTCGCAACATGCCACATTTTCAAAGCCCATCTTCACGAATGCAAAGAGCTACACCGTACCGTCCACAGGGTCTTCACGAAATCCCCATGGGTGCATACACGGCTGTCCCTGACATTGCTGACATCGGGGGTGCAGGTGCAGGTGCAGGCCCTCACGACACGCAGCATGCTGGCCCCCGCCGCACAGGTAGCACTATCATCAGCGAAGTTGCTCCACCTTCTCTTCCTCCCGTCTCTCGCGGCATCAATAGAACGCAGCCTCCGCATAAGAAAGCAGGGCCTTCTGGTAATGAGTGGATTGAAGGTGCTAACCCTTTCCTCGACGCTTGTGTATGTACAACGAACTGCACGTGTCGGAAAGGCCAGCGCGTGCTCTATCGCGCGCAGGCGCAGGATGGGGGCGGGCAGCAGGGGTTTGGCGAGATTAGGTATGTGCTGAGGGATAGCATTGGGAAAGACTGTGGGGATCATTCGGGGTGTGTTAGTAAAGAGGATGTGAAACGGAGGGAGGAGGGGAGGAGGAAAGAGAAAGATAAGGCTAAGAAAGAAAAGAAGAAGAAGAAAGGGAAGCGGAAGAAGAGGAAGAGTCGGGGACGAAGAGATAAATATAGAGATGGTACTGAAGATGGGGAGAGAAGTGGTGGTTGGAGTCAGAGCAGCGAGGATGGTAGTGACAGTGACGACGATTCTGAAGACGAGACGTTGAAAACGTTAAAGAAGGTGCAGAGACAGCTTGGAGAATTGAAGCTTCAGAGTCGGAATCATGCGACCACGTCATGTGCGAGTGGTTCTCAGCAGCATCACCAACAACGACAATATCATCAGCAAAACTTTCAACCTTTTCAGCAACTACATCCAAACCAACAGATACAGTCAAGACCCGTATTCCCAACAAGCTACATACCTCAAGGAAACGGCATCCCACTCCCAGTGAACACCACCAACAACCCATACACAACATCCATCCCCATGGCACCACAAAACCCAAACATACCAACAATGATGACCAACAGACCTTATCCCCAACAATCCTACCAACCCCCAAATCCATTAAGAACAACAAACCCTAACTACCCTTCCTTCATCCCGTCCATCAACGAAGACCTCTACGACGAAGACGTACTCAACAACGGCTCCGTATCCCTCTCCCACGTCCCACAAAACATCAACATCATGAACACCACCACCCGCGACCCAGCAAATGCAGCAACACTGCACTCTCTCCACGGTAATAGACAACTACCGAATCGACGAGGCCCAGCCGGTGGTGCCATGTTCCCTGCGCCTACACGTAGACTACGAGGTAGAGCGCCGCATGGTAGGAGAGCGTTCCCGGGTGGGGTCGGTGGAGCCGAGTTTCTGGATCGCGGGATTCTGCCGCGAGGTTTCAATCTGAGGGAGCGGGGGAGAGGTCGTGGGGGCCCTCTTAGAGGAGGAGGTGGTGGTGGGGGCATGATGCGGCCGCGACGACATCCCGTTGAATTCGAGGAAGATATTGATGGAGTAGAATTTGACCATTTCAACAACGCTAACGGTCGGAGAGGAGGGGACCGGGATTTCCCACTTGGCGATATGATGGAGCATGAGGAGGAGGAGGAGCGGATGTGGGGGGAAGACGATGATGACGGTGAGTGAAATTATACTTCGAGATTGAAGGAAGTCCCTGATATGTCCCCCCCGCGTTTCACTGTTAAAGTAGTCCTTGTGCGTTTCCGATTTTTCTTGTTCGAATCATGTTATGTATATCACTGACATGTCTTTGCAGAAGGCACACATCCCGGCCAGAGTAGAATGTTCCTAGATTCTTCACGGACGAGGGGCGGGGATAATAACGGTGGGAGATCTGGCGTGGATAGATCTTCGTTTCCTCAGAATGGTAGCGGGGGATCGGGGGGCCGTGGAGGTAGAGGCGGCAGGGGCCGCCAGGCTCGTGTTGAGGACGACGAGGACGAGGACGCGTAGCGAGATATAAGTTCGAGTGTTTGTGTTATCATTCCCATTCCAGCTTTACGTCGGGACGCAAAGGGTGCAGTCTTTTCTTTTTTTTTATTGGAAAAGTGTTGCAACAAGCAATGTGGGGAACTGCATATTACATTGACTGATACATCCCCTTACCCCTGGGTTTTTCAAAGTCGCATTCAACTTTCTTCGCATGAAGAGTCACTCCATCAATAATCCTCTTTCTTTAAGCTTCAAGAATGGTCCACGATCAAGGCAGCCGTTACAAGAATCATCCAGTCTCGATCGAGTATTAATCACAGGTAAAGTACATTCTATCTATCGTACAAGAGGTCGTGTGTCGAGCACCACTCCCCTGTAGTCTACCGCACGAAGCGTCATAGAGAAAGTACGTCTCTAACCTTCATCGGCCTACCTGGGAGCGGTCCATAAATGCCCCTGAGCGGTGATGCTTGCCTAAAACCCGATCACAGAGCCTGACGCCCGTCCCGACCAAAATGAAATACCCCACTATCGTACAGACAGCCCGTGACACCGTAGTTTTCCCAGACCAGAACTCCTCGCTCAAAAAGTGGTATAGGAGAGTCGCAGCCGGCGTGAAAAGGTATCGCTTTTATAAAATGAGAAATGGCTCCTTTGAGCCGAGGTGAGAAAAAAATACGGATATCCAGAGGATATTCCACTTCTGCAAAGGCTAATGATCACGTGGAACATGTAGCGATATTTTGCACCGCAAATTGTTGGAGCGTTTCCGATTATCAGGATCCGCCTCAATAACCTCTATGGTGCAGTCCAACCCAATCCAGTAGGTGTAAGACTGATTGCATTACTAAGGCCTCTTCCCTTTTCGTTGAGGTCATTAATTTTTGACTTCTGCTCGGACCACCAGGCCTCGAAATCGTTAACATGGTCCACAGGGATGTGGCCAAGACGTTTGGCCTCATGATACTCGGTGTCGACTTTGATCGAGGCGTGACGAAGACGAGGAATGGCTTCGGTGCGCAAGTGAGAGAGTTCAGTGCGGTAGTATGAGTTGTTGGGTTCGGTGGGCAGGGTGAAGGAGCGGTCACGAGGTAGCTCGCGCTTGCAAAACATGCCAGAGTCCGAGGGGGTCAAGCAGATGGGCGAGACAGAGGTCATGCTCTGTGACGAGTCGAAGGCTGGGGATCCCAGAAACGAGGACTCCATAGAGACTGGAGAAGCTAGGTCGGACGAACTGTTGCTACTAGCGGCGCTGGGAATGCGAAGCCTGGGGGAAGGGAGCTTGCTCAGGTCAGAAAGGTCATGGGAGTTGAGATTTTCCGACACAGGGGCGTCTTCTGGGCCCGGAGAGTAATCCTCGAGACGGTCGAAGCCTGGAGAAGATGAGTACCATGTTTCGTTGTTGATATTGATTGATCTTCACCTGTCAGAACTGCCGCACCACTGTGTTGGACAGCCGTCAAAGCTTCTTTAAGCTTGTCGGGAAGGTCTTCGAGGAGATTGTTCGGAGCAGACCAAGCAGAAAGATGAGTGGGATTGTAACTGAAAGCATCACCATCAGGAGGGCAGGGAATGCGAGGCGATTCGAAGTATGAGCCCGCGCCAGAAGTGTGGCTCTTTCGTTGCGAGCTGCGCCGAGAGTTGCGCCGGGCCCTGCCTTTTGTAGTGTCGTGATAAATGGGCTGAGGGGAAGCGGGAGCCGTCATGATGCAAAGATGATTGACTTGATAGGGTGAAGGGAAAGTAAGTAATCTTGACAAGGGTTGTTGATGTTAACGGAATGGGTCTTGGTAGTGGTTGCTACCGTTCATCTAACGGGGGAAGACAAGGTGGCTCGACGTATGCCCCGCGAGGAAAGGAATTTCAAAGAAAGCAATCGTTGTCGTAAGGAGTGACTGGTTGGGAGTGGGAAGATGCAGAGATGGTGGTGGTAGGTGAGACGATGATGATGCGGAGGTTATGTGCGCACGGTTGGGGGTTTCTTGATGCGACGTTGGGGTGATGCGACGTTGGGTTGTTTGCCGTGCTTTCCGCAACGGATCGTGAAAAGGAAGGAGGAATACGAAAGTTTGAGTCTCCCATGACGTTTTGATGGCCACATGTAATTATGTATTCAAATCAAGACAGGCGTGGGTTTTGCATCTAGCAGCCAACCGAGGGAAACGGATTCCGTTTCTAATCCACGCACATACGATAGGCTCATAGCAGGCACGAGGGTGTTTGGCGGTGCCCCAGGTTGGAAAAGCCGGATGCTCATAGGCCCAGAGAAGAGGCAATTGGCGAACATGAGGCTCTGTGATACGCGAACGGGCGCGGGTGGTGGTGGTGGTGGTACAGACAAGCATGCATACATGCATGCATCTACTAGCACGCACTCACATGTGATCACTTGGGTCAGCACGTAGACATCAATTGATGCTGCACCATAAGCAGCGTATGTGCCAACAGCCATCACCCGTTGTTCAAAGTCGTTGCTGCTGTCGTAAGTTGCTCGCCATGCGAGTCGGCTCAATAGCGTACAACGCTGTATTCATTTCCTTTGCAACAGCTGCAATTATCTGTTTTTGTTCGTCTGCTTTTCCGCGAAAGAACTGACCAACATGCATGCGCGCATGAAACCTGGCCAGCTCCAATTCAATTCCCGTCATCGTCACCTGCTCGTACCTGCCTGATGCGTGCCGTGCTACCACGTTTCAAAACGTCGTACGCTCAGCGGCAGACTCCACCAGAACCCCATGATGCAAGGACGAAGTCCTACCCCACACTTACTCCAGCCTGGGGCACCGGGGAAGATTAGCTTGCGTCACGTTAGGGTGAGTGCCGTCCGTACCTCTGGATCAAATGCAATCCCGACGCGGTTTCCACCACCGGGCTGACCTGGCCCTTCTCCAACTTGAAGGCAGCTTCCTCAAATTCCTTTTGCATATCCCCGTGGCCAAAGAACCCCCTGCCAGGTATTAGCAAGAACAACGCTTTCTACACGGGTGCTGCCGATGGCTCACAGATCGCCTCCCTTGCGCGCACTGCTACAATCCGACTCGGCTGTTGCCAGCTCCGGGAGGGATTTTCCCGCATTACTATCTTGCTCGTAGGCCGAGATTTCTTGCAGGTACTGGTTGATGAGCTCCCTAGCCTCCTCCCTCGAACGAGTGATCCTCGGCTCGCGCCACGAGGCTGGCCGCCGGCTGTCCCTGTGCTTGACGAGCAGGTGGGCACACCGAATCTTGCCATCCTGAGGCGCCGCGGGCGCAACTCCTTTGGAGCTGTGGTGCCGGGCCATGTAGTCCTTGAGCTTGTCGGGATCGGTGCCGGACGGAGGCTCCCAGCGCGAGTCCTTGGTCGCGGGATGGAAGTAATAAGGCAGGTTCTTGGTGTTGGAGCGGCGCACCTCCCAGCCTTCGGGGAGCCCTGATTCAGCCGACTATGCCATGGGTGAGTGAACAGCGAATGGTAGTCAAGGGGACGGGCGAGCATATAGCCGACTCGCTTCGCGGCTTACCATGTTGTAGAATGGGGATGTGGATGTTATGACGAGTGGCTGTCTGTGTGAAATCGAGAGCCTGGGAGTGGGAAAAGGCGGAGGTGATGGTGCAGCTGCAGGCGGCTACGTGGTGACAGAAAGCTCACGCGCGCCAGTAACAGTGGCTGAATTGCTCAATGCGACCTTGCGGGCCAGTTATGTTATTCACGTATAAAGCGGGGGTGCGCGATTCGTGCATGCAAACAGTGGTGGGGGAGCGTGGGCGGATTCGGTACGTACGTAAAGAAAACAAAAACAAGCAAAACAAATCCGCTGAGTCAGCTGTCGATCAGTCAGCTTGCTTGCCTGCTTGCTTGTAACTGCTGGCACGGTACAACCCTATCACTGTCATACACATCGTCAACCTGGCTGAAACACCGCAAGTCGTTTGCTTGAGCAAATTGAAAACTCTCTCTCACTTCTCCGAAAGCTGTGTGTAGACCAAACAATTTTTTTCCGCCTTTCTGCGCGGATATAAGTCCATATACCAACCTAGGTATACTTGTACGCTTTCAGCCTGCCTACCCGCACCAAACCACCAAACAACAAAGCCGCACATCATTCCATCACTGCACACCCCATACAACCCCAAAGACAGCATCCACGGCTACTATCACCATGGCTTCTCCCGGAGCCTATGACAACGTCAAGGACGATACCGACGACTCCAAGAAGATACTCTTTCGCTTCTGCTCCGAATGGTGAGTCTACCGTCGCCCCACGCACCTTTCGCAATCCGCCCGACAATTAACATGGTGGCCAGCTCCAACCTCCTCTTTCCGCGCGAAGACAAGGCCGAGAACAAGCTCCTCTTTGCATGCCGCACCTGCAGTTTCGCTGAAGAGGCCCCCTCCTCATGCGTCATGCGCCACGAAATCGCCTCCACCACTGGTGACACGGCTGGTGTCACTGCGGATATCGGCCAGGACTTCACGGTTGGTCTAACTCGCTCCCTTTCACGCGTCAGCCTTGGTGGTGAAGAGTTGCCCTCTTTCTGCACAATGTGCGGTCAGGACATCATGTGCGAGGACTGCGGCGAGGAGTATGCGCCGGGCTACTGCCTGGAGGCCGAGGACCAGCAGTCGCTGCACACCAATGCGGCTCCTCAGACGAGCGAACCCGCCGACTCCCAGTCCTCGAAAAAATGATGTGAACGCATCAGGTGTTGTTGCTTGCGCGCTCTACTTTGAGTCTGCTCGCTGACGACTTTGGGTTCTAGTTGCCGCGTGTACAGAAAGAGTGCCCCAAATGTCATGAGCACGAGGCCGTCTACTTCCAGTCTCAACAGCGTACCGAAGACACCGGCATGGTGAGGAGACCCAATACCCCAGCATCCATTGTTGCATGCTGATATGCCCTTGTAGAAATTGTACTTTGTGTGCACTTCATGCAGCCACGTATGGCATCAAGGAAAACAGTAAACTGGTTGCATCCAAATTTGAGTCGAGTCCCAATTTGGGGAGCAAGAAAAATAAAAAGCATTCCGCATTGGGGCGGAGTTTGTTGGCGTTTTGCGTTTCACCGCCACTGTTTGGTATCGTGAATCGAGATCTGATACCCCTAAGATATCCTACAATAATAGCATACACGTTTTGTTATACAACCCTCTGACACCCTATACTCCGTGAAAATGCGACATGGGTTGACCCTCTCTTTCGATGCTCTCGTTCTTCCATCCTACACATGCATGGGTGCCAAAGACAGGATCTTGGACCACTGCTTCTTTCTCAACTCACCGGCGACGACGCCGCTGACTCTGGAGCCTATGGGTTCGCCGGCCTTGTTGATGAGCACGCAGGCGTTGTCGTCAAACTTGACTACGCTACCATCCGGTCGCTGCCACTTTTGGGCGGTCCGCACCACGACTGCGTGGCGCACATCTCCCCGCCGTACTTTATTTGCTGCGCTGATGGATACACTGTTTCCGGTCTCGGGGCCGAAGTTCCGCTGCTTCTTCACGACAACTACGATGCGGTCGCCTATGCTTCTTGGTCAGCCCTCGTCTTCATCGTCCCCTCGATCTCCCATATCTTTCGCAGTCCTCCTCTTCTCCCTTTCTCCAAGAATGAATGCACGTACCGACATGTGCAGCTCGCTTTGATCGCAGGACGTTGACGCATTCGACAATGGCGGCGCCCGAGTTGTCGATGCAGTTGATGAGAGACTAGACGATGAGATGTGAGCGGCGGGTCGTTTTCAATGGCGAATAAACAGATATTCTGTGGAGCTGCCTACCTTGAGCTGAATCATACTGACTCCCTGCGCGCGCGATTGCTGGAGATGATGGCGAACGTGGAATGAACGATCGAATGTCGTCGTGCGTGGTGTCGTATGAAATTGTGCTATTGTCCGCGGAGGATGCCGGGGACAGTCTTGGCAAAAACCAGGGGACTGTGATGGGAATGGTCTAAACAGCTTTCGCAGGTATCCGTGTGCAGCTTACCCGGTGAAAAGAAGATCAGTGGTGGGAAGCTGCTGAGTCATCTGTTATCATCGTATACGGGCTGTAGGGCAAGGCTGGCGCGCGCGCCGCATGCGCAACTTGAGCGAGCGCAATCAATCAGACAGGGAGGTCCGTCCGATCACCTCGTGTCACCATCTACCCATCTCACTAACCCTCGCTCACTCTACTCTCTCACTTCAGTCGGTCGCATTCTTTGCTTGGAATTGTGCGCCGCTGCACCTGCTCGTGTTGCTCTTTACGGGCATTTTCGCTCCTTCTTTCTTCGTCTCCCTTCCTCCATCTTCTTCCGGTCTGCCTCTTCTGGCTTTTCCTTGGTTGTATGCATATAGCGACGGCTCCCTTGCTACTTGAATCGACGTCACCCAGCCTCCCCTATTTCTCCCCCCACAGCCTGCGCTGTCTCACATACGATTCCCGCATACTCCTGTGACGCTGCCGCATCCAAGTCTGGTGCCGAATTTATATGCGCAATTATGGCTTCGAAGGAACCCCCTAAAAGGGAACGGCTGACGCTCGAGAAGCTGATTCAATATGACGATGTCATAACCGATGCGCTCGTCGACAAGGTCCATTACTGGACCACCATCAGGAAGAACCACGGGGGTCGCTTCACCGCATCGCGTGGTCTGCGCGAAGAGGACATTGCCAACATTCTCAGAAAATCCGTCATTCTCGATAAAGACATCAACGAAGCAATGCAGCGACTGATCCAACTACCCGGCTTGAAGAAGTATATCAACGGCCTCAAGGACGTGGATCGCGAGCATTTCACCCGCCATCTCCGTAGATACGTCTCCATATACATGCCCGAGTGTCCCTTCGAAGTGACCACCACCAACCGCTACACCATCATCGACCACGAAGCCTCGATAACCGCGCGGCGAAATATCGACGCGCGCGAGGAGATCAAGTTTTTGACTGGCGTGCAAGTGGCCATGACAGAACAACAGGAGCAAAAGCTGGAACTCGCCCGGAAAGACTTCAGCCTTGTCATCTCAAGTCGCAAGAAGACACGATCTCTATTTCTCGGACCTGCCCGATTCGCAAATCATGACTGCGATCCTAATGCCAGACTGTCTACCAAAGGTTATGATGGAATGCAAGTGGTCGCGGTCAAGCCTATAGCTGAGGGAGAAGAGATAACCGTCTCGTACGGCGAGGATTATTTCGGCAACGATAACGAGGAATGTCTTTGCCAAACCTGCGAAGATAGGCAGGTCAATGGATGGGCGCCATACAGGCAAAAAGATCAAGATACCGACGATGAAGAGGAGGAACAGAAACATGAAGGGCGGAAAAAGGACTGTGCGGAGGTGAACCTGGTCAGTGAAGTTAATTCTACTGACCAGGAAGCCCCATGCCTAAATCCTAGAAAGAGGAAACATATTACTACAGAGGAACTGGCGACGAATGACCCGATATCTTTGAAGCGTGCTAGGACCGATAGCAACGGACATAGGGAAGAAGGACCATCGCTCAGCGGAGAAGAGGCTACGGCCAACATAGCACGCGAACTACGGTCACAACAACGCGTGGGGCTCCTGGATCTATCAGTTGATGAGACAAGCTCTTCGCGAAACACAACACCAGCGTCTTCGAATTCAGCCGCGTCCCCTAAATCCTCCCAATCCACAGATGCCACGTCTGTAGATGAAGACCACCCAATGTCAGATAAAAACATCATCAAGATCGATATCCATCCAGTAGACAACCATGCGGAAACTGCTATTGGTGCAGCCGTTATCAAAGATGAAGTCGAATCAGTCGCGATTGCTGCACCCTGGGCGCCGCTCTTTGCCGACGACTCCTCATCCGAAATCAGCGAGCTCTCCGATGGCCTAGATCTTGATAACGTACTACAAAAAATTGTCAAGCGAAAGAAACCGAAAATGATGCTGCCCCCACGCAATACGCGATCAACGAGCCGGAATGAGGTGGTAGGCACCCCCATTCCTGACGCATATCCTAGCGCCGAAGGATGGGAAGAGAATAGCCGCAAGCCAGGTGATTACATGACCTCACGCTCACTACTGTCCGGGAAAGACAGCAAATGGGCTGAATGCCAAACGTGCGAGGAAGACTTTGTACAGCAAGATGGTCATCGTGGAACCCGCAAGGAATGCCCACGATGCGAGCGACACTCTATACTCTATGGGTATGCGTGGCCCAAGACGGAGAAGGAAGGCAAGCACGACCGAGAGGAGCGGATTCTGGACCACAGAACGATACACCGATTCGTGGACGCCGATGAGGAGAAGACGCTCAAGAAGGGCAGGGGAAGGACACGCGGACTCAAGAGCATTGTTGAGCGTTACTCGACACCGCACTCTGGTCGTGGGTCCTCTATTAGCACCACACGGGAGGCTGACAGCGGACACAGTCGGCGGAAACGCTTCCGCAAAACGATGTAACGTGTATGTATGATTAGTGAAGAGTCAATGTTCTTTCATCTTTGCCTTTGACTGTAAAGGTAGTCAGGGTTTCATAAGCATGGCGAATGGGTAGGGGCGGATTGTCATTAATAATGCGACAAATCGATCAACAATTCTCATGCTGTCGACGGTGTTTTCGAATTGTCGGAGACGGAACAACTCACATGTACCTGGTAGATAAGCGACTGGCTAGTGATTTTACGAATAGTACAATAACCATACGTGCTCATCATCACCAGCGAGAGGTTCCAATCCACATTTACCCTCGGATTGACAGGCCGCCGCTCTAGTTTTTCTCTACCTATGGTAAATAGTGAATTTTTGGTTATCGCTCGTTTTTTTGGTCTATTTTATCGCTGCAAACCCATCGCTGTGTGTAGGATCACTTAAACTCCGACTCAAAATAAATAAATGGTAAATAGTTGTAATCACTGGATATGAGTAGTTCTGTCGCAATGAGTTCGATCCAGAGAATGTGTTTGCACAGTCACATGTACACACAAAAAAGAAGAGACCGCGAAATTCCAAAAGGCGTCACATAATTAAACTCCTCAAATCACAAATAGCGAACCAAAGGGGCAAAGGATAACCATACGCAGTACACGGAATAGAACATGTTACTCGATCTACTCCGACCAATGATATGATTTTGATGGATAGTGTTGCGAGGGAATTGCGAAAACCTTCTAAACTCCTACTGTACCTTCCTCGCCTCCAAAAGGAATGGAAGTGTATTGATCAAGAATCCATCAAAATAACTCCTGATAGTTCCTATTGCCTATTCGTACTTGAAGTACTCATAACGCATGGAATTGCGATTACTCTACAATGCAAATCGAAACATCTTTACTGACCTCCACCCCCCAAACCCGTCTTTCTCGAACGAATGATCCTCCCCTACAGCTTCCACCTCTCAGTCGATTCTATTCACTTCTACGATCCGTTGAACTTCAGTCTCTATTGCTTCACAGAAAAAAAAAACTCCAGGTTGGTGACACGTTTGCGTAGTTCGCGTAATGTAGTCGTGAGTGGGGTGTTGTCGCGATCTATGTCAATCGGCGGACAGGAAAAAAGCACTAAAAATCTTCGTGTTTTTCGAGGTTGGGGTAATCTTCAAGAAACTTTCTGTGGTGACGGGATTCATGCCGGGTTTCATTTTCGTAGTGATTAGAATTTATTTCACCAAGTAGTAGTTGTTAGACTCCACCCAAAATCAAATCGTAAGATAATCAATCATGCAGATACACAATAGACTAGTCCCCAATGCATCATCGAGCACAGTTTCTTTGCAGAAACTCTCCAATTGACACTTGCAAAGAGCGCTACCAGTTTAAGTACATGTACTAAGTAGTTGGTATCGGGAGGCATAGACAGTAGCGAGTTTCAAACCAGTGGGCCTTGGTCTTCCAATCTCGGTTCCTACGTTTTTAACATATTACCGCCCGGAAGAATATTTTCCGTTTTAATATCAAGGAGCCGCCATCTATTGTTTCCAAGCCTCCGACTCCGAGTACGATGGTCGGCGCTTTTGTTTGGACCACAGCGTAGCTGCTATCGACCCATGATCTTCACTTCAGCGCGGCACACTAATCTATTGCGTATACGCTAGGGTTTTATATAGTTGGATGACATTGGGGAGAGCGAGGCTTTAATTTTCTCTGAAATGCAGAGTACAGGCTTAAAAGAAACCCTCAATCTCTTCAACTTCTGATTTCTCGCAGTATAGGCAAAGGTCCTTTCGTTCTTTACATTCACTCTTTTTTACTCTTACACATTCGTTGACTATCAGCAATCTGCGATTTGCTTACTTTCCAAATGTTTTCCAAGGCTGTCCTCGCTTCCACCCTTATTGCCGCAGTTTCGGCTCACCAGAACTTTCATCAATTATGGATCAATGATGAGACTCCTGGATATCAGGCTGGCATCCGTATGCCCCCTTCCAACAGCCCCGTGGTAATTATTGCCGTCGATACTCGATCCTCTAGATTCTTACTGATTATCCATAGGTGGATGTAACGAGCGAAGATATTGCCTGCAATGTCGGAGGAAGCAAAGTACCTTCCGGAGTCGATACGATTGCCGCGAACGAAGGTGACACAGTCAAAGTGCAGTGGGATCAGTCTGGCCACCCCGGTCCAATCACCCATATGCTTTTCGGGCCTGTCGATGATGCCAGCGCGACCACTGGCGTTGGCTCATGGTTCAAGATTGACGAATTGAACTATGCCGATGGGAAGTGGGCAAACGAGATCATGGGCGCCGATAACATGACACACGAATTCAAGCTCCCCGCTGGCCTCGCCAGTGGCGAATACCTCCTCCGCTCTGAGATGCTCGCCCTCCACAGCGCTCAAACAGTCGGTGGTGCCCAGTTTTACATTGGATGCGCCCAGCTTAAGATCACTGGTACTGGCTCTGCCGGGTCTTGCGGTCCAAGCATCGAGCTCCCAGGCGCATACAAAGCCGAAGATGAGAACATCTATATCCCCGACGTATACAACGGCTTCGATCCCACCACGTACAGTGCCCCTGGTGGCCCCGTTGCTACGTGCGATGGTGCTGGTGCTGGCACTGCTCCAGTCTCCGGTAGCTCGCCCGCATCTTCGTCTGTTGTCCCTTCGAACAACACATTGGCCGTCCCATCGACATTTGCATCCGTTCCCGCTTCAACTGTCCCTGCCATTCCTGTGTCTTCTACCTTAGTCGCATCGATCTCCCAAGGAGCCAACGCTTCATCAGCTGTCTCTGCTCCAACCACACTCGCCACGTCTATTGCGTCCTCCATCTCCAGCAACTCCACTGCCGTAGCTGCACCCACCGGATCCGCGGGGAACGGCAGCATTGCGAACAAGTATCACCAATGGTAAGTCTTTCATTTTTCTTCCGGTAATTTCCCCGTGTTCTAGATGCTTTGTGGAAAGAGAATCGGACTAACAAGCGTCATTCAGTGGTGGCAAAAGCTGGACTGGCGCAACATCTTGCGAAACTGGCTCTACCTGCAAAGTGCAGAACGACTATTATTCGCAGTGTGTTTGATTAAAAAGCCAAGTACTTCCTGACTTTAAGTTGAGGTGTCTGTCCTAAAGAGGAAGGTAATGAGGGTGGTGATTGTTTGGGGAAACCGTTATTTCCATTCTTCTGTATATACTACCGTATCTGTACAATTTGACTCATATTTTTACATAGCGCATGATCAATACAACATATATGTTCTTGTCGTGAATTGTGGCCAATAAACTGTGCTCAAGATCAAACAGCCACGTTTGATTGCAGAAGTAGGATGTGATAGTCACTACACTTGGCTCAGTGTCTAACCGAGACCTATTACACATTCTCGTCGGGGCAAGGACTTAATGCGCGTTATAACTTGCACGTAAGAATCTTGCGCCTTGTACACATTGAAAACGTCAGTATTGGTAAACACATACTGCGGTAGGCTGCCTTTTTCTTTGGCCGCCTTCTCAAGATCCAGGGACCGCCTGCCGCTAGGCTATAGCGTTCTGATTTGCGCCATAGAGACATGTCCACGACTTACAGCATTTGTCGCTTATAGTTCTGGGTGAGATGAATACCTCATAGCTATGCAATGACAGTGTGAGAAACTTACATGCGTATACACTCAACTGAAATAAGGTAGCGATTGAAGTGAAAGATGTGTCCATTACTCGCTTGGAAATAGGAAACTGTAGGACAAGTCCAGCCTCATAAGTGGCTTCAATTATACGAGCGACTACTACGACATAGGAGAAACTCCTGGATGCAAACTAATATCTTGAATATACAATTGTTACAGCCACATTCAATCCCTAGCTATCTTCCCAAAGAAACATCGAGTGGCCCTGCATCTTCCCACTTGATTACAATTCGTGCGCATTTATGTTTCTTCCCGAGGATTTTAAATTGCGCCAGTTACTGCGCCAGTGTTGATCCTCTTCCAGCTGACCAGCAGACTCAAAGGCAATGAAATGCCCACAGCACCGACAACGATTATGTAGGTAATCTTAATGCCCGCCATATATGCAATAAGAATACTGCTCAGCTCCTCGCCGGAGAAGAGGTTGCGCAAAGCAGTCGCCCCATTCGCCACGACCAGATTCCGATCAGTGTTCGGTGTTATGATGGCGAGCTGTTTTAGAAGCTCATTGACAAACCCTGACTGCGCAGCCCCGACAATAATCGATGCACCCATTGTTTGGGCAACTGCAACAAAAAGACACAATTAGCTGAATTACTTGGATTTGGATATGTGGCATTCGGCTAACTTACATAGCATGATGGCACTGACAGATGATAAATCACTTGGATCACTTTTGGCTTGACCTATGATGATTGGTACTTGCAATGCTGCACCATACCCTACACCCGCCAGAATTTGATAGCCAATGATCTTCCCCAGACTTGACCCAATGTCGAGAGTGTACAGTAATCCGGATCCGACAGCTGTGAGTACTGCCGCGGCAGGCATGAATGGAGTCGCAATACCAGTCTTCGATATGACTCCTCCTGAGAAAATCGTGACAATGCTAAAAGAAATGATGAGAGGTCTATTTTCATGAATATAGAGTTAGCAAAACTGCGGTCATATGAAACTGGTGTCGGAGTCGCCAGATACAACGGAAAGTTGTTCTACGAGTTCTTCCATGGGATAGACTCACAGTACTCGCACTCCTGAGTTTGTTGGGCTGGTGTTGGTGATGCTCTGGAAATAGATGGGAAGATAATAGAGAGGGACAAAGTAGGAACCAGAGAAGAAAAAGGAGAATACGCTGGTTGCCCAGATGTTCCTGTCGCGTACGATCCGTGATGGCAGCATAGCTCTCTCTCCCAGCCTCATCTCGAGCAGTATTAATACGATCAACATGGCCCCACAGCCAACAAATAAGCCGATCACGATACTCGAATTCCATGCATACTCTGCACCACCATACTGTAGAGCAAGTATCAAAGATATAGAAGCGCCCATAACAAGTATGCAACCCAATATATCCATTTGTAGCAACTTTTCTTTCCAGGCGGCCTTCTCGGGCTTAGCAGCAGCTGGGGTGCTGAAAAAGAGTAGGATAACGAAGGCAGATAAACCTCCGATGGGCAAGTTGATATAGAAACACCTAAGAACTTCATTGTTAGTCTATTATCGTCAGATTCAGGTCGGGAAATCGTGTTAGGCTTCGTTCCAACAACGCCACAGATGGAAAACAAAGATCTAGTACATACCACCGCCAAGTCGCGTGGTCCGTCAAAACACCCCCTATGAGAGGTCCAATGACGGCAGCGACCCCGTATGTCGCGCCAATTAGCCCAGTGTAGATAGCTCTTTCATGGGGCGCAACAGCAAAGGCAATCAGAGTGTATACCCCAGTGGCCACGCCTGATCCTCCCATCCCTGCAATAGCCCTTCCTATGATCAAAGCTGTTGAGTTGGGTGCGACACCGCATATCAAAGAGCCGAGCTCAAAGATGAAGATGGCCATCATGAACGTGGTTTTGAGGGAAAAGTACTTGTATGATTTTCCCCAGATCATCTGCGTACCGCCATTACTCATGAAGAATGCTGAAGCATACCACGAAATATCATCGAGGCTATGGAATTCATCGGTTATCTTTGGAATAGCTGTCGCGACAATAGTCTGCATTGAACCGGTTAGTACTCGATCACTTTGCCTAGGTTTGGCTTTCAACTTACCTGGTCCAGCGAAACTAAGAATATGGTGAGTATCAAGGCGATTACAATCATCGCGAGCTTCATGCCGCTAGGATACTCCTGGGTCGGAGGTGTCGCTGAGAGCGGCTCTCCGGTGAGGGACCCATCACGCTCGGTGGGCATGTCTGAGCCTGCCTCTAACCATGATCTTTCTGCTGCCTGTTTATTGGGGGTTGCCGCATGTCCTTGCTTTTCTGGATCGGGACGTTGTACTACGTCGTAGTATGTCTGATTGTGCTCGGCCGTTATCGGCGGCGTTGTTGAGGAATGCATGTTGACTCTGATGTAGCTGTTGCTCCGATTGTGAAAAGACTGTGGTGGAAGCCGCGGGTCAGTACTAAATGACAGAGTTTTGCGTGTGTATGTGTTAGTATTCAGGAGGGCAGAAATTATTTCACTGCATTCTGAACGCCAGTTGATGACGAATGATGAGAGAAACGAGTGATCGAATCCACACTGCAGGAATCAGTTTGGATCCAACCATGCAGATCTTTGGGTGCCTTGGAGCAACAAAATGCTCAAAGGCCAAAACACTTCATCGGCATATTCTTTGCAGCCAACGACTCAACAGATTCAAGGGCACGGTGAGTCGATCATTGAAGAAGAGGGTTTTTGCCTTCAGTACTCAATACTTTGAGTTAAAGCCATTGCGGATGCCATTCTGTTGTCCAACAACAGCCTTCATGTCAAATTAAACTCTTTTTGCCTGCCCAATTGCAAAGCGTTTCTTTGGAATCCGATGCTCCCAGCTCGAAAGGGGTGGTGGGAATAAGGTTTAGTGCGAAACTTCCTTATCCCAGAAGATTTGACATGACCCACCATTCAACCGAGAATAGCCTCACTCTTGTAGAGTAGGAAGTTTTCCACTCAAGCCCTTAACAGACCCTTGTCAGCCACAAACCAAATGACGTTTCTAATAGATATATTGTCACAGGATGAGTGATCATATAGTCAATCGCGAGAGAGTTACTAAGGCAGCCGTCAGACACTTCGAAGGAGCCTACGGTTGATTACTTAGTCCATTACAATTCGATCGACTAAAAATCCGAATATGCAGTCTACCCTATGGTAGTGTCTATTACCAGTGATTGCATCTTTGAACAAAGGTGGTGATGTCAATCTTCTAGTATACTCATTTGCATACCTTGAGGGGCAGCAAAATTGCAATTGTTTTCTGCTGGCTTTCATGTAGCAACGTCATGTAGATGCGAAGATGCGACATCACTACCCACTGTTACTATGACGAGATGGCAGACACTGGTGCAGACCCGGGTATGAGTGTGCATAGTACAATGAATACTATCCACGCTGTTGAGTAACTTCCAGTAATGTCGAGTGATGATACCATCCTCTACCAGTTGGGTGCAATAGTGAGGTGAGTAGGGGTTGATGGATGTGGAAAGCCTTGTGAGAACTCTGCTCTTTATAGCAGAGGGCGACGAGCGTACCATGGTTCTTCAACACCCTCAACACCACACATTTCAAATCCGTACATCTCCACTGGATCGTTGGGACGTCAAATGCGCAGTCAATCCTCTACCAGTCTCTCCATGCTGCAGTATTAGATGTTCTACTCTTTAAGCGTACCATATTTTGCTGTCAACATGGAATACTGCAAAGGTATTGTTTCTTCAGAATAACGACAAATAATACTGGTGCTTTTGAGAAGGTGTATAAACATTTGATGACCTGCATATGCTTATCGTTAACGATATAGAGTAGCTGACACCTTCCATATCGCTAGAAGACTTGTAGGCTTTTTGTAGTATGTCGATACTACTAAGCATACCCAACTGACTGGACTATAACAGAGTGTTCTCTTCAATAAGCCATGTATCTCAGATTTATCCCGTACTTCCTGGGATGGGGCAATCTGAGAACTGCCGAAAGTCACGGCATCGTTGTGGAGATCGTTAATCAATAGTAATATAGAAACCCACCCCCGTCGCTAATTCCTGACGCACGCCAAACTGTGACAAGCAGAGATGTGGAGAATGGAACGATGGCATGGCAGTTGCTCAAAGGATATTTACAATCCATGTGTTCATTCCCAATTCTAAGCCTTTGAACGGGTTGAACTTCATCTTGAAACACAATAGTGATTATCTTTCCAGGTTGCCATCACCATGTTCATACTGCCTTTTTTGTTTTCCGGGGCGGTGTACGCCCAGGGAGGAACAAACACGATGCTGCGATTCGGGTGTTCGCAGGTCGTGGTTGACCGCATTGATCCTTTGGTAAACCCGGGGTTGGCTCCGTCACCGCACATGCATCAAGTTGTCGGAGGGAACGCGTTCAACACGTCTATGGAGTCAACCGACATTGCGAAACTTGCGAGTTGTACCACATGCGGATATTCAGAAGATGTAGCGTCACTCTTTATACATATTTCCATGAATTCTATAACTGACCTTTACTGAAGCTTTCGAACTATTGGACCGCAAACGTTTATTTCAAAGCACGCAATGGAACGTACAAGCGTGTCCCACAGGTTCCCAACAGAGATCTATTTGGTGATAAATACACTGGAAAGACGAAAGGTGGATTCGTCGTCTATTACGTATCCCCTGGAAAGGCCAAAGTCACTGCCTTCAAGCCTGGTTTCCGCATGCTGGTCGGTGACGCGAATAACCGTGTAAGCAAGAATCTGAAGTCGCAAACCTGCTTCAGGTGCTACACTGGGCCGAACTTTGGTGGTGACAACGCTGCTCCGTGTCAAGATGCTAAGTACGTGTTTTCATCGTGCTGGCTAAATAATTATGGGCGATGTCAATGAACTAACGTTTTGACAGACTGGACACCGAAAATTTTCCTACTAAGCCATGCCCTGGCGGTATTCGGTCCAATATCTTGTATCCAACGTGTGTATACGCGAAAAAGTCTCGTGTCATAGTGCCCTCGCTGACAAAAAAACATAGCTGCTGGGACGGTGTAAACCTTGACTCTCCCGATCACAAGGCCCACGTAGCATATCCCAAGAACGGGCCCGCGTTGTTCACAGGAAGCAGTGTTGGAGGTGACTGCCCATCTACCCATCCTGTCAAAATCCCGCAAATCATGCTGGAGGTAACACACACCATCATTCCTTATTCTTCGCAAATAAGTGAGTGAGTACTCGCTAACGAAGCAAATCCGAAGATCGTCTGGGATACTACGAAGTTCAACAACAAGGCAGATTGGCCGGCTGATGGCTCACAGCCTTTCGTGCTCAGCACTGGCGACACGACCGGATACGGACAACATGGTGATTATGTGTTTGGATGGAAAGACGACTCACTTCAGAAAGCTATGGACTCTGCTAAGGGTTGTATGGGTGCTTCATGCGGCGGGTTGCTGACCCAGCAGCCTGATGCTGGAAATGCCTGCAGTGTTCCCCGACGTGTGAATGAAGATGTTGATGGATGTGGGTTCATCATCCACTCTATTGACAACATCAAACGCTAATACTATGCAGGGATGACGGAGCTCCCCGGAATGTCTGGGATGCCGATGTAAGAGGGCTTTTGGCGCAAAGACGGCGCTGCTTGCACGCTCTTTCTGCAGCCGCATGGTTTTTGCTAGAGCAGTCCCACGTGTAGTCCTATCTTACACGAGAAACTTGGGTGCTAATCTTAGAACAGAGTACGTAGCTGATTCTAGGTTTCGAAGCAAAGAAACGTAATAAATTTTATGAGAATATATATTTCACGAAAGATTATTCTCTTTATTCAATTCTCTACTTGCCCATGTGAGATCCCGATATCTCGTGTGCCAGTGTCCGTGCCTTCCTAGTTTGACTGTACGACACCGCACGCTCTTTCCGCAGGAACCCCAAACTCCACACACAATCACCTAAACACGCTACACAGAAAGACAGCTTCAATTATCTACACCAAATAATCCACTCTCACCATGATTTTCCTCTTCTCCCTCATCTTCCTAGCAAGTTTCCTTCTCACCCCAGCCCACACCCACCTCCTCCACCAACGCGACTTTGACCCCTCCAAAATCGCCGACGACGCTGTCTGGGAGAAGCTCAAATGCAAAGGCGCCGCCCTTCTCTCCTCAATCCACTCCTCCACCAATCCGCAGAGCATCTGGAAAGGCGACCTCAAGCACGAGCTATCCACATGGGGCTACAAGGAGGGCTACGCAAGCTACATCAACTGCGATATGAAAGGATACTGGGGCGTCGAGACGGCTTGCAAAGCTCTGGGTCTGGATACCCGCCCGAAAATGATGGGCGGTCCGAATTTGTGCTATAATTTCCAGCATTATGACGCGGGAGCTGGTGTGCCGGCTTCGAAGCAGGAGTATGAGGTTGACGGGAAGAAGTACCGTGTTACGGGGGCTGAACTGCAGATTGCGGTCAATCCTTCTGGAGGAGGTTTGTGTCCTCCCTTTACAGCTTTCTGTTTGCTACATATGGTTGTGGTGATTAATGTCTTCGGGTGTAGTGATCTTCCAGCAATACGTCACAAGCCCAATGACTGCGGCAAAGGACTTGTGGAATAGAGATCCTGCCCTGAACGAATTGCCTGAGCTACGTGCGCTCTCTGATATCATGTGGGGTGCTTGGAACCGCGATAACCCGGACGTAAAGAAGATACGCTACTTCTGGGTCCAAGGTGTAGGCAACACGCAAACTAAAGCGGTCATTGCTCGTTCTTTAAAGAACGTGGGGAAGCAGCTGGAGCTGTGGCCTGGTACTACGTTCGGAATGGATAGTGATGAGGGACTGGCGATGCTCGGTAGGTGTATATCAGAAAATCTTCTTGGTCGACTCGGGGCGGGTTCAGATGACTCACGCGCTGACCATATTGGTGTAGGTTCTGCGAATGCGGCATGTTTTGGCTTTTTCCTCGGCATGCATCAAGCTGAGTTAGGGAGATTGACTATCGACAAAGTCCAAGTCTTCAAGTCAGAATCATCTTCCAATCCGGACCCTGATCTGCTCTTCTACGTACAAGAGGACACGGGCTGATTACGTTTAAATCTGATGAATACGGGTGGGTTTTCTCGCAACTAAGACTATCTGTATCTACCAGACCCTACGAGACAACGCTAAATGTCGAGCGTTTTAGCTCAGCCATGCTCTTGAAGACGAGAGGAAAGGTGCTGCGCTAGCGGACCTACATGACCGGTGTATCCAAAATGTCAACATGGGAATAGCTAAGGAAAATGTGGAAATGAAAGAAGTGAAAAGATCATGACCCGATTGCTCCTGAATGGTATCATGTGACGAACTTGCAATATGCAAGGCATGATTGAGTCTGTTTCCTCCCCAATTGATGATCATAAATCACCAATTTCTTCAATGATCGCGGAAATCCTCTCTGAACTTCTCATCGATTCATTATCTTGATACTATACATCAACTGTCATGCATCTTGGTTGTCAGCTTCAGCTCCTGTTCCGTATATGGCTCTTCAAAATTGCAGGAGGGTGGAGAATTTCGATTCATAAAGTAACACTCGACTTCGGTCGTACTCAGTGCACATGGCCGACCTGTGTAAGGAGGGGCAGAAGCAGACCAGCAAGGACAATGGAGATGTCGCTCTTAGCAAGACCGTCCTTGCTCGTACCATGATCAATGTAGCCATTGACGGGGGTCTCGTCGTGGCCGGTTGTAGCTTCCGTCATGGAGTGCATCGCGACATATCTATATATTGTCAGCACAATGTGAATGAGTAGGGGGAGCAAGAACGGATCGACGTACAGGAATGTTCCTCCTGAGAAAAGTAACACCCATCCGGTAGTCCAAAGCAGTCCGTCATCACCGCCGAGCCGCGCACGGCCCAGCATGTGTACAACCGCCCATGTCACGAATGCACCGGCAGGCGCAGCCAAACTGAAGAAGGCGAGATGGGTGCGAGCGGTTCGCTTTGAGAGTCCTTGTTTTAGTAGCACTGTGGTCAGACCGAACGCAGCGGGGGCTTTGTGCAGCATAATGGCCAGAAAGATGACGAGAGAAAGCGAAGTTGACGGTGCGGTCGAAGATGCGCCTAAAGCAATACCGTCGGCGCAAGCGTGAATCACGAGGCCAATGGTGGTGGCAGATGATCGTGGCTCTTGTCTGGCTTGAGGCAAAGGGGTAAGCGGTGCAGATTCGCCGCCGTTCATCGCGTTTAAACTGACGGCAGACGAATTGTGGGGTCCACGATGTAGATTGGAAAGTGAGATGTGGAGGGACTGGTACTGCGGTTTGGATGGAGCCAGAGCTTCGGGAAGGTGGTCAACGAGGAACATGAGGATGAAGCCAAGAATCAAAGCAACTCCAATATATGCGTGCGGACCTTCGATCTCCTCGTGAGCTTGCGGAGTCTTGTCTTCCTCCTCCTCCTCCGGACCATGTACTCGTGTGTGGCCCTCTTTGTGGCCCTCGGTAGAATCGTCATCGCCTCCTTTCTGCGGCTGAGGACGGTTGTCTTCCTGCTTCTCCTTGTCGGTTTCAGTGTCGGTGGTGCGCTGGACCTGATCCCATAAGGGGTTCTCTGGAGTTCGCTTGACCACGATGTTAGTAGCGTCCCGAGCGCCGGAGGCTCCGCTCCGCAGATAACTCGTATCGCTTTGGTCGGAGCGCTGGGTGGGTACAAAATCAACGGGCTGGTTTGCGCCTCTCTGTTGGCCCTTGGTGGAGGGAATCTTTGGTTGTGGATGCGGAACTTGGTGAGCATGGCTCTGTATGGCGGCCGAGTACATGGTGTCAATACCCTCGGGAATGATGACAATCAGCGAGGTACCAACGAGCACACCGGTGCCGAAGAGGGACACGACGCGCAATTGGCGTTGGGTGAGTGTTAGGGAGAGTGGGAGGATGCCAGCCAGAAAGGAGCTGCCACGCGGTGTTAGAGGGGGTGCGAAAAGGACAGTCTTGCTAGTGGACAGAATACGCACGCGATGCCCATGATTGCGCTCAGGGCGAGCAGCATGAAAAGACCGTCCCACATGGTGACAGCGACGTCCAAGGACGGTGAGAAGAACGGAAAACTATTAGACAGGTGTGTATCAGGCCGATGGAAGTGTTGATGTAGGTAGTGGGTAGCGAGCGTTTAAAGGAGCGTCGATCATCAAGCGGAGGTCTGTGAATCAACGGCAGCGCACGTGTCCATATCGCGAAGGTGGCGATGGTCGGTTGAGCAATGTATGTGGGAACACCGAGGGCGTAAATAAGCAGCAGGAGGTGCGAAGGAATCTATACTAAGGGTCGATTAAAGATGTGGATGCGGTTGAAGGGGGACGGGGGTGTCGTCGTTGCAGCAGGTAATTTTCATACTTACGAGCCAAGTAAGCTTGGAGCTGCGATACATGATTGGTGGCAATCTTCAAGGCTCGATTTATTACGTATACTTGGATCTATGGAGGCAAGCGCTATAGGGCTGAGCTAACGGCCAATCCGTCTACACTATTAACCACTAGCGTTCTTGGACGCCAGAAACGCGTTCTGTCGCGCGCGCCAGCTCCACTTACTTCATCTTTCTTTCTGTTGATATCACATCCACCATTGAGCCCCACAACCCCCAAACAGTCCTGAACGCTCCCAAAGTCTTGAGATACAGCCATAATGGCCGGCATCGATTTGGAAGAATGTAAGCTCCCCCGACCGCTTCTTCTGTTCCTTCCCATCACTCTACAGACCTATGCGCTAACATGTCTGCTAAGGGATTACCAGCTCCAATGAGTGCTTCGAGATCAACCTCACCCGCCCTTCCAAAACCCCAGCCGACTCTGACCCCATATTTGCCGAATCCTTTCAACCTACCTTCACATACCCCATAATCAACGAGAAGGAAATACTCGTCGGCTACAAGGAACCCCGCATAGAGCTTAGCTTTCGCGCAAATGACTTGAAGCCGTCCCTCAAGGTCCAGTTCGAGGAGAAAATCGACCTCTCCACCATGTTGGGTGAGGATGATCCTCAGGTCGATTTGGAGAATGTGTGGAAAGACTTTCTACCTGAGTGTAAGTTTGCTGGCTTCCTTGCGCCATGCCCGATCGAATGCGCTGACCAGTCTGATGCAGCTGTGTTCGACCCCTCACATGCGACCAACCAACCTCTCCCGGGAAACGACCCTCTTTCAAAGTCATGGAAGCCGCCGGGAAAGATGATCAATAATTTCACCTTATTGGGAAAGCAGTTCGAAATATGGAGCACCAACTTTTCCGATCCTGCAGCACGTCGTATATGGGAGAACATGAAGATCCTTACGCTGCTCTACATTGAGGGCGCATCATACCCAGACCTCGATGCCCAATGGTCGCTTGAGCGTTGGACCCTATTTCTGCTGTACGAGGTTACGCCCATTGAAGAGGACGTTTCTCCTTATACACTCGCTGGCTTTTCCACTTCCTACCGATACTGGATATTTCCCAGCTTGGATGTGATGCGCGCCACTAAATCGCTTCCCTCCCCGCCCGACTCGTCCAACGGTGATGCCTCGAGCTACTCGGGTCCACGTTTCGCACGCGACAATGAAACATGTCTTTTCAATGACAACATCAACGTCTTGGAAACACCATCGCGGGAGCGGATCTCACAATTTCTCATCTTACCTCCTTATCAAGGCCAATCCCTGGGCGCAAAGCTCTACGAGACCATCCTGGCACATCTCGTGGAAAAACATTTCATATACGAGGTACCAGTTGAAGATCCCAGCGAGGATTTTGATGCCATGCGCGATTACAGCGACATTGTCTATTTGCGCAACATGCCCGAATTCGCCTCTCTCACTTTACCCGCTACTTTGCCCCCCGAAACCCTGCGCAAGTCCGCACCCGTTCCACGGGACCTGATCCTGGGTAACGGCACGAACCTCAAGGAATTACGCCATAAGAGCAAGATCGTCCCACGACAATTCAATCGCATGTTAGAACTTCACCATTTTTGCAGCATCCCCCGCAATCATCGCAGCAGGGCGCGCCTAACACGCAAGGAGAAGGCCTCGAATGAGCACGACAGGAAATATTACTTTTGGCGTCTAACAATCAAGGAGCGCATATACCGCCAAAACGCCGATCAACTCGAGCAGTTGGAGGATGCTGCGGAGAAAGTGGAGAAGCTGGAGCAGGCTGTTGATAATCAGCAGCAAGAATATGAGGAGAGGGAAGAAGGCATTGAGCGGAGGAAAAAGTGGAGTCGCGGCGAGCAGCTGCCAGAGGAAATGGGCAAGGTCAAGGGAAAGCGGAAGAGGGTTGTCGTGGACGATGACGATGACGATGATGGATGGGAAGATATGGACGAAGACTCCGTGAGCTCTAAGAGGCCTAGGGCTTGATGCGAGTTACCGGGGCGGACTGTATTAGGATGATGATTCCCATTGAGGTGTATTGTATAAACATTAGTGAGCCGACATGCTTATATCGCTTCTATCGGCCTCCTTTCGATATAATGTGTTTCTAGCATGCTCATTTTCCGTTGGATTGTCGCTTACCCACTGCGATAGTGTTGCCCAAGCAAACAATACTAATTATGCGCGAGTGTTCGCTTAACGATAACCTACCAGCTAATTTTCAATGCTGGATTCATTCTTGCTTCATTTCTCTACGATAAAGAATGAAGGATCTTGTATTTCCCCTCTTCTCGTTTGATATGAACCGACGAATAGTACAGAGGGTTTGATTCTTGTAAACGTTTTTTTGTCTGGAGCATACTTTCCGTTCCGTTCAAGCCCAATCGTCCGCGATATGGATATGCATGCTGTCTGTTCTCAAGCTTCATCACACTACATCATTCTACAAACTTGCTCCGAACGGCCTCGTGCATGTTTGCGTCAAACCTGCTACATTCAGGTAGTACGTAGTGTTCGGCCCAAGCGCGGCACGATGAGATAAATTCCGCTAACTGTACCGGTACCGCGTCCCCACACGAACTACCGAACCCTCACGCCCCTGACAGTAGCTGACCCTTTGTAAACAACGGGGAATCACAATGCCTGGACTACCGAAAAACTTGGTGAGCACTTACCAGACGTACAAAAATCATACCGATACCATTGCAGAATGGCTAGCCTCAACAGCCAGAAAACATGGCTTCACTTCCCCTAAAGCGAAGAAGACAAACAAAACACCGAACCCTTCTCAGGGCCGGCCCACTTACACTGTCGCTACCAAAGAATGGACAGAAATGGCTGAGTTCATCGCCAACTTATCTGATCCACCCGTCAATGTGCCTAGCAAGCTCGCAACTCTCTTGGAGACAACCATCAGCCTACGACAATCCTTCTCGAATAACTTATCGGACATCCTCGAAGACACAAGTTCCAAGCGAGATTCTGATGCTTCGCACGACTTCTTTCTCAGCGTTTTAAAGAAAGTTCACGATATCCTGAAGCCCAGACTCCCAAAGGAACGGCCTTCATCGAAGAAACCCAGCACCGTAGAAGAGATCATCAATGTATTCGAACATTTGGAGCTGGAGGAACCTTCGGCCGAGTTTGAACAGGCTCCTGACATTCCGGCTGTGTCGCCAGTAAATAGACCGATTTACAGAGCTGAGCGGCAGAATGACATTCAGGAGGCGTGCTTTGCGTTTTCCTTGCTCCTCCATGACCTCACAAGTATACGCAGGGAGGTTTCGCGCGCGTGGGAGGGATACAAACAGGGGGTGTACGACCTCGTTGCTGCTTCTATCTCTACCAACACAGCTACGGATCTGGCACGTTCGATGGTGGACGACCTAAAGGGAACTTTTGCAAAGCATGGAGGCGCAAGCAGAATGTTGGATGTGTATTACATGGCGATGTGCATGGAAGCCGGTACAACAGCAAACGACCGAGTTCGAACAGGCGACGACATGAATTTCGCAATGTACGACGCCGCTGATGCATTATTCCTCCCCGCGGCCCAAACGCTCACCGCATTCTGCAACGTGATGAAAGTCGGACCCGATCCACAGATGAAGCGCGGTATTTATGGTCACTACGATCCTCAATCCAAACGCAAGAGCAAGAGCAACCGCGAGAAATTCACCGAGGATAAGATCCTTTTGCTTGAGATGCTCGAAGAGTTTTATTTCTTTTGCCGCTTCACTGGCCCAACTGGTTCGCGACCGCCTGTGGAAGATGAGTTCACTTGCGGACTTAGAGAGATGTTTAAGACTAAAGAGTCTAACCTCCCTCTCGCTTTTGCCGCTACCCTTTTCCTCGACATCCACCACATCCTGCGCGAAGAAGTCGATAATGGCTTCAAACGTTTAACAGAAGCCACGCACTTCATTCAGGGTGACATCAAAGAAGAAATATCCTTCCACGATGGTATCGAAATGGAAACATGGCCCACAGACAACGACCGGTTCGTCCTCCACTTCACCGAAACCCTCGATTTCTGGTGCCACAACGATCAACAACGCATCTGCTCCGTCAAGCTCAAACGCGTCAACATTCCCGCCCCTTTCATCCTGCACCGTAGACACCCCTGGCTCTGCGGCCTGTGGAAGTACTATGCGCAGATGCGCTTCCACGAGCTCAGCATCGTTTTCGTGAATGCGTGGGGTTCCGTCATGTCGTGTGCGCACCTTTACAACGCTGTGGGCGGCGGCACACACCGCGATTCCATGTGGAGAGACATGGATGTTGTTATCGGACTTCAGAACTCGAAGACTTTTCTCGTGGGCGAAGCACCTACAGCTGCGGACGATTGCTTGAAGCGATTTGCGCTGGCTATGGGCGCTTCTGCTGCCAATCTAGCTAAGTCGACACGGAAAAAGAAAGGGCTTACGCTGTCGAAACGTGGGCCTAAGGGTTTGAAAGAGCTCGGTGATGTGCTGCAGACGTTCAAAGAGCGATTTTGTAATGGAAGCGGGCAGACAAATATAGCTCCCGACGACGTGCACAAGATTCTAGAGAAGGCGAGCTGGGAGCACGAACTTGATGAAGATGGTCACGTCCTAGAGGTCTACAAAGACACGGATGAGCCGACAGAGATGAAGAAGAAACCTTCTACCAGCCACCTCCATGTCTCGAAACTTCTCAGTCTGCTTTGCGATGTGCTCAACGCTGAAATGGTTGAAATTGCGTTCGACTATCTCCGTCTCCACCGCATGTGCTGGCGGCTCCTCCGCGCCCTCAAGGACGCCTGTCGCGATAAGCTCATCAGCATGTACGGTCCTGATTACATTGAGAAAGAAAGTCAATTGCCATTCGTCGTTGGTTATGTCCTCATGTCGGCGTCCTCGGAGCAGCAGGTCGGTGATATATTGAAAGCAAGGCTACCAGGAGTTCAGGTTACGGATGCTGTGGTGGCTGCCGCGAAAACTGTAGTGAAGACTATGATTGACCAAGGAGCAGGTGCACTTATTGTAGAGAAGATTTTGCCCACAGCACTGGGTGTGCAGATTGATTTCGAGTTTGAATGAGCAGAAGCGCTATGTCGTCGTCAAGTTGACAATTCAAGGACAATATCACAAATCATTCTACGGAATAATCTACACGTTACTTGATCTATCTTAAAGGCAATTCTTCAATTCAGATGTACTGGATCCAAGCATGTATCCCACATACAGACACATACACACAAATCAAACCCAAACGCTCACCCAGCATATTGTAGTCACCACCAAATCAAGCTAAATAGACCAGCAGATTCCTGGCTCGATCATAGCAGCAGCGATCTTTCCGTCCCATGTTCTCCCCATCCTCCCCATTGCCGTCTGTATCATCAAATCCGAGCATCGCCAAACAAACAACGATCTCCGGAGTCACCATCTCCATTCACGAGTCGACCTTTACCATCATCGGCATGCTGTATTCAAAGTTTGCCTACTCCGAGGCCGAGCGGGATATATGTTATGCGTAATATTGGTTCAGTAGGAGTTTTCGGCAAACACATATCAACGTCTAGGACATCGTTATACCAACGAAAGGTTTCTCTTCATAACGAGATTCGAATATCACGGACCTCGAGTTCGCACAGTGGGCACAGGAAGGACGTATGAGTTTCGTAGAACATACACAAAGCTTACAATAAGGGCATATGCCACTCACAAGCAGAACACATCGCGGACTGTAAGTAAATCACTTACGCGCACATCGCGGACTCAGTCCCGGTTGATTGATGTGGCCACTCTATATATATATACATTGAGAATGGAACCTATACGGCCGATTTGCGGGAACGATTCTTTAAGTCTGCCATTCTCGACCTAGCATTTATGACAAGCTGTGGCCACTCTTCCGTCTTCCCTGCCGGTGGTGGTTCCATGACACGATGCAGATACTCCCTTGCGAGCTCCTCATCACCATCCTCAGCGTGCAACTCGGCAAGCTCTGACATGGCGGGTTTGTGTCCAGCTTGAGCTGCTATCGATAACCACTCACGTGCGAGACGCTCCAGACTATCATCTTTCCAAGTGGTTGCGAAGTTTAACATTGCCATGATGCCCTTGTTTTGCGGGATGAAATCTGGTTGTTGTGAGGCATCGAGGTAATAGCGACCAAGATTATAGGCCGCCTCAATATGACCCGATGCAGCGGCCTTGCTCATGCATCTCAGCCAGAAGGGTGTTGGGCCAACTTCAAAAGAAGCGAGTTGCCAGTACGCAAGCGGGTCGTCACCTTTGGTAGCACCTTTCTCCAGGGCCGCTCGAGCCTCTTTGCGTGCTTCTTCGGTTGGATCGGGTTCGGATAGCAATAAGTTGGCGAGGGATCTCCACGGGGGTATCCAGGGCAAGCCTCCGGGATGAGGCCAATTTTTGTGAATTGTGAAATTGAACACCTCCAGAGCTTTCCGGTAGGAATACTTTGCTTCACCTTTACGTCCTTGCTCTTCTAGTAGCAATCCTTGCATAGCCAGACAATTCCCGTCTCCCTCTTGTGCTAATTGGTCCAGGGTCATCCTGCACTGAATGAAATCGGTCACGGAACAGATTCGAGCGAGTTCCTCGGCTTTAGAAAGACCATACTCATTACTGAGATATGATGCGCTGAGAATTTGTAGGGTCGCAAACGTATCTTTAGCAGCACTGCACGCCACGAGGAGGTCCTTAGCTATTGGTCGATTTTGTTCTGGAGGGAGACGCCCTGAAGGGTCTTTGATGATAGGTATCAAGAGAAGCGTCATAGCTAGTGCGCTGATATCTGCAACGTTGAGTCTGTGTTCTGCAAGGGGTCATTATATGAAGTCATGTGGAAGCCAGGGAGGGCAGCATACTTTCCGCAAGATCTTGTACGTTGGTGGCTGAATCGACTTGGTTCTCTCTGGCCTCAAGGAAATCTTTTATTATTTGATTGGAGACACGAGCACTTATATCAATGGCCTTGCTCTGAACCATCTGAATGAAATGCTCCTTTCGTTGACGCTCATCAACATACAATCGAAGCTCTGCAGGACTCATGGCCTCCTGCTGATCTCTAGTGATTCTGAATTTCGGTTTTGGTCTGGCTGCATATCCTCGGCCAGGGGGTAAAAGTCGAAGTTTGCAAGCTGGGCATGTTTGGCGCCGAAAAACTGTCCTTGTAGCTCGAATAGCGACCGGTGTTAATGACATTGAAATATGCTATGAGCAATTGAGGAATGGATGATGGAGCTCTCGAATGCAGCTCATCTGAGTTACGCTGGCTTCGGAGGTCCGCAAAACCACGCTAATTTGGCGTCGGCAACACGTAAAGCCAGTTCCGTGCCGAACTTTGGCCTTGGCGGTTCCCCAAAAAATTTGTGCTTCTCCACACCGACATGTTTTCCCGTGTCTTTAACACCGCCAGGCAAATACTGAGTCGATCGCCGTCAGCCCAAAGAAGATCTGAAGAGCGCATCGAAGAAGAGTCAGCATACGAGGACGCCGAACCCGGAGAAACTATGGTCACAACTCGTAGTGGCACTGGCACAGACCCGTCGGTGGAAAGCACACCACGAAGCTCTGTGAAGACTCGGGGGAAACGAGAATTGGACCACGACGAGACCCCCACCGCTACAAAAAAGAGGAGAAAATCTGGGGGTGCAAGTAAACCTCAGTCCGAAAGTGATGAGGGTATTCCTACCAAGAAGCCCGAATCAAAAGATTCGCAACATGTCGCCTCTGGCGCTCAGGCTGTCACCATACCTGACCGCACTGTGACGGAGAGCAAGAGCCCTGCTCAGGCGGAGCCGCCATCTTCTGTTCGTCGCGGGAATCCAAGGGTTGTGATACCCAAAAAGCCTTCCACGCCATCAACTGTCACACGATCCGCCATGAAGAAAGGCGGCGAAGCACCGTCCGCTACTCAGGAACCAGAGTTTTACACCCCGGGGAGTCATGTGCCTAGCCCAGAATTTGTAACGCCTGCTATGTATCGGGATTCTGCAAGTTCTCCAACGCCGAAAGCCACCAAAATTTTGACCACCACTGGAGATGATGGTGCTCACAATTCCACCACCCTAGAAGTGTATACCCGGAGTGAAGTTCCGTCTTCCAGTCTGAACAGCGAGACTGCCCCCATATCAAGCCAAGAATCTATTCCCGCTTTACCGCAGAAAAAAATCCACAAAAGATTCGACAGCGAAGAACCAGAAGTTATACCAGCTCAAACTATTGCGGACCAGCCCGCCGAACCCGCCGAAGTCCAAACCGACGATATCGATGACGATGCCAGCGACTCTGACGAAGCGCCCGAGATGGTGGCAACAGCCACTGCTGCCTCAAAAATAAAAGCCAAGGACGACGAGGCTGCACGCGCCCAAAAAGCAATCGAAGACCGAGACGCGCGCAGGAAACAAAAACGCGCGGAGCGCAAGGCCGAGGAACAGGCCGAGAAACGCAAGCGCGAGGAAGCAAAAGCGGAAAAACTCGCTAAGCAACAAGCCAAAGAGGAACGGAGACGGGAAAAACAAGAGGCTGCAGCTTCGTCGCGAAAAGAACCTCCCGGTTTCAACATGAGCAGCCTCCCCGCGCTTCTTCCGGATTCCGTGCTCGAGGCTGTTGGAAGCCACCGACCGCCAACGCCCCCACCGGTTCGCACTGGTAGAAGCTTGGAGCAGATCCGCAAGGATAAGTTGCAGCGACATATCAAGTTTCTGGATCAGGGGGAAAAACCTATCAAGGATGTCAAGCGAGGGTCCGTCAACGTGTCTGTGTTGGCGAAGCAGAATAAGTTGCTTGCCCCCAAAGTGGGGAAGAGTTCGAAGGGTATCAGAGAACACTGGTTGAAAGGGAGACACCAAGAGAAGGTGGGCAGAAAAGGGAACAGCAAAGCGCAGTTCAGGAAAATGGAAAGGAAGGCTGTCGGGGGAGGATTTCTGAGGGGCGACGATGAGTAGATTTGTAGCATTTGTAAGGGCGTGATCCAGAGATGCATCATCTAATGTTCAGAATTTTCATGAGAATTGCCATCTAGTTTCAAGGCTGGCGGATCAAGAGTGCGCCGCAGTGAATTCAGACACACTACAGCAGTACCGTCTATTGTTCTCACTACTATAGAATAACACATCCATCCATTTTCTCCCTCTCCGTCGCATCCTGCCTCAACGCCGTCCGGGCCTCTTAGGCTTAGCGAACCCCTTCTTCTCCTCTTTCTCCTCAGTCTTGAACTCATCCAAAACCACCTGCTCCGTAACCTCATCGGGATTCGTCGCCTCAATCCTCTTCGCAACCTTCAACCCAGCCTCCTTCTGCGCCAACGCAATCACATTCCCCCGACTCGCCGCATACAACATCCTCTCCTTAATCTTCGCCCCGCTCGGACACGTCGAAATAAACACCACCGACGCCTCCGGGTCAGTATGCCTGTAAAACGAAAACCTCGGCTCCTTAGCATCGATAGCCGACGCGAGCGACGACAACGCACTAACAGACGACGTCCCCGCAAGCTGCAACGTCTCAGTAGCAACATCCATACGAAGCTGCACCAGATTCTCTCCACCGCCCTCACCGAGCGTCGTCAGCGCCGCAGCAATCTCCTCGTCGGCACGGATCGCTAGCCCAGCTCCCTGCGCTAGCCCCTGCGCCCTCGTGCCCCTCGACTCCAGCGCCTCGGCTTGCTTGATATCCTGTAGACTCTGCTCCTCGGCTGTAAGTGGGTTCTCGCTCTCGGTGTGCTTGACGTGCTTTTCCCAGCCTTGCGATGTGAGCTCCGACGGCTCGGTGCAAAAGACGCTTTCGGGGAAATGCTCGCCGCCAAGCTCGCGCACGAGGGTTAGGCGGGTGGAGGCGAAGAGCATTTTCTGCCGTACGGGTGCTGCGTTAGGTACGAACGTGATGGCCACGAGCGATTTGTCAGCTGAGCTGAGGGAGTCCGCACGGCGGAGGAGGATGTATAGGGCGGCATTTGGGGTGACGTGTGAGGAGAGGTTGGACAGGTCGGAGAGGAAGGAAGGGCTTGTGGAGGGAATGGTAGCGCCGGGGGTAATGGTTTCGTTCGTGATGGTCGCGAGGAGGCCGCGTTGTGTCGTGGACGAAAGTAGGGTTCCTAGGGCGGACTGAAGCTCCTGGGATGCTGCGATGTGTAAGTGTAAGTGGTATGTGGGGGGGAGAGCTAGAAGCTACCAGATATTCCTGATTGCATCTTTGCGATCTGGGAAGCTGAGATTTAATCGTTAAGTTCCCAAGAAATTGGCAAGTCAATGACTACAGCGGTGCTTTGGCAGCTTGTGTTGTGATGAAACACGGAAGAGCGCAACATCAGGGTTGTATTGACGTTGGTGGGGTGAATTGGCGGGGTGGATCAGCTAGTTAGCACCTTCTAATAATACACAGCCATGATGCTTGGTAAGACCAACGCACATCAGGATCGACAGTGTGCAAGATTCTTGATATGAAAACTGCTCTTGTTGTTGTCAACGTCGATAGTGGCCTCTTTCTTTACCTTCAATGGCATCAAAAGGTCACTTCAACTCCTGCTTCCTTTACTGGTTCTTCGACGATTTGCTCGTAGCCAGATCTCGTGGGCGTCTGCATGCATGAGATGTGATGTACATTGGAGTACATACTTAAGTATGCAGGGACCACATTCAAAGTCAAGGCTTGAATGGGTAACATGAATTCTCGAGAATATTCACAATGAATAGACCTTCTCTGTAGCAGCATATGTACCGGATCTGACGACATTCCAAAAACAATGAGAAATCAATATATACATTCCCGCAAGCGACAATGCTGGGTGCGGCCCACGGACAGTGTGCCGCGGATATCTCACATCACCCTTATGCTTCCAAGCTCCCCAGCTATGTATGCTATAACTCTTCAAATCTATTCCTCGTATTTCCCTCCGGGTAACATCTCCCTGCCTTTCTCAAGAACTCCTTTTAAGTATTCGTAGACGGTGAATGTGACGGCCTGTCCTGGCGCTACACGCATTATGCGAGGTGTGATTCCTTTGTAGAAACTCCGACTCCCTTCCTGCTTCCACATCTCACTGAGTCCCGTCAGTGTCATCCTTTCTACAGGTGAGGCTATCGGATATCAGACTTACTTGGAGATGTTCATAATTCTTTGAACAGCACTTTGTCCCGGTTCCGCCGGTGTCTTTTGCAACCTCGTCTTGATAGTGTCGATAGGCGCATTGCTAAGTGGTCCCATGGCACCTGACACCAAGCCGATCAACATGGTCTCGTAACTCGCTAGGTCTGTCGTTCCATGATAGGCTTGGAGTCGTGCTCGGAATTCAGAGTACGCTGTGAAGTTGACTGCTTGGTTAGAACCTTGACGTAGGGCGGTCAGAGAAACTCCGCGGTATAGCGCCCCGAAGCCCTCCTCTTTGACTACCGTGTATAGTGCATGCGCAGCGTTGCGGTATTTTGGAACGTCAAGCGGGTCGGCCATCGAATGGTGCTGTGCTTGCAATCGGATTTTGACAACTTCCATAGGTGTAACCACCGCGACCGCTTCAGTCACGCCAGCAGCTAGACCAGCTATAAGGATTTTAGCTCAGCTCTATTTCTTTGTGGTCGTAGTGTGATTCTCACCAAAAAAGGTTGCTTGTCCAGTGACAAAACCTTCCTGATTGGCAAGCATCTGTTTATACCACTCATAACTTGTGAATCGTATTGCCATCTTCGGAACAATTCCTGTCAAGACCGCTCCGAGTCCTTTATACAAGCCCAAAGGTGTCTCCCTTTTTACGATCTCGGTGCCCGTTGTGAGGAAGCCGCGTGGTTTTGCCTACAGTACTGTTGTCAATTGCGATTCGCAATCAGTGATGATATTCTAGAAGTAGACGTACTCCAGGAGCACGCGCGCGCCTTGAAAGTTGCATTCGCACTTTGATCGTATCTGGAGCGGGATGAGCATACTGTTCATGAGATTGTGGTTGTGCAAGGGGTGTCTCTTACCCAACGGATGGCACACGAGAGCTTCCATCATTCCAGCGCCGCCACCGGCTGTGAGAGATAAGTTAGGTGAAAGTTTTGAAGTGAATAGTAAGCTTATGGTCGGGACGATTGAGGCGTACCGATCAAGTTCGTCGCTGCTGATGCAGGCTTCTTGCCACCAGGGCCTTGAGTTGACTTCGCAGACATGGCTGTCCAAAGATCGAAGAGCGCAAATATTAGGGAATAATCTCACAATTCGAGCGAGAAGGCTCAAGTCGAACAGAAGCGCAGAAGGTACTCCTCTGGCCCAGAACTTAGACAATCCCTCAAGCGCTCAATCGTGCGTAACGGACAAAGAAAAAATCCTGGAAGAAGTGTTAAGTAGCACAAATTGAACCAGTCACTCAATCCAAAAGAAGACAAACAGAAGAAGAAGGAAAGGGAAGTAAGGAAGCAGTCACAGTCATATTCCAGTTAGTGTAGCAGCTACCCGCGGGTATGTGGACATGATTTGTTCCGTCAAGCCTCGGCCTTGCGTGAGCCCAGACTCTACTGTTTTGGAGAGGGCAAGCGTGAATCGTCTGCCCAATGCATCACTCCCTGATACTTGGCGAGTGGAGGTGAACGTTTACCCCGGATCCGGCGTGGTGGACGAGCGGATGCTGGACAGGTTCGGTAGGAGATCGGCTGCAAAGGAAGCGTTTTCCGAGGTTTGTTCCGAATCGAAGCTTCTATATTTGCCTTCTTCCTATATTAACTACAGGTTCGAACGGTAGCGATTGGCACAATCGAAGGTTGCGAGCCCAATGGACATGTTTGTGACGAAACATGATCACAAGCTTCATGTGACGAGGAATGATGCAAGTCTGGCTTGTGAAGAATGACGTTGGCGCAACTTTGCCGAAAACGGGGGCATCAGATAGTCATTAGCGAGGTTCGAGGGCTGTTCCGAAAACCCCCGACTTCGGCACCAAGTACATAACACAGGCAGCACATACATAAACAATCTTGTGGGAGGTACATGTCTCCACCCATGTTATCTCTCTGACATGTGAATCGTCACGCTGGTCAAACGACACGTGCAACGAACACTGCAGAACGCGGTTGGAATCGGAAACTCACGGTAGTAGACGACAATGCTTGAAGAACAACATAGACGAACGAATTAAACATTGTAGAATGGTATCAATACAGTGAAATGGAAAGAGAAAACGATACCTGACCCCTCACAGCTCCAGACTTTCTTCCATCTCACCGAAAGCAGGTTTCGATAATGGTTCCCCAGGTTCTGCGTTTGGTGCGCCACTCATGATGCCAATTTCTCCTAGCATAAAATGGCTGAGATAATGGAGCGCGCTTACAATCTCCTCGCCTGTGGGGATGATGTTTTCTTTAGGCAGCAGAAAACCATAGCTGCCTGTGTCCCGCAGCTTGATCTGGAAGGAGTACTTGATCTTGAGCTCATGATAAAAATAATCCAACATGCTTCCGCCACTTGATTCGATACGCGGCAGTACAACCCGATCTTTGTGATTCTTCGACATGAAGACGTTTCCTTCGCATGCCGATGTCACTTGGTATTGGCGGCCCTTCCGAGAAATGCGGATAGCTTTGGCCAACCCTATGGCCAGTTCTTCCAGATCTTCGAGAGCAGGGGGGTCGTCCCTGCAGGTATACGAGTATGGATATAGAACTTGCTGGGAGTAGCTGTGAAGGTCAATGAAGCTCACAAATTCAACATTGTTGTTTTGTGTCTCATTTGTAGCCCACTCGGCAAATCGTTGTGCCTCTACACCTTCAAACGGAGCTTCGCCAGCAAAGCTCTCGCTACAAGGGCCTGACGGGTGGGATTCGCCATTCCATTGAAATGAAAACGTGCGGTCGAGATCTATACCATGGCAAAACGGAAGGCTCGTTGGTTGGCGGTTCTTCCTCCATAATCTATCTGTTTCCCACGAATAGACGTATCCATCTGGATTCAGAGTCGGTACGAAAACAAAGTCAAACTGCTCTAGGAGTCTTGTTGTCTCTCGGTCCCTCCCGTATGAGTGGATCAAGCTCCACGCGAGGTAGTTGACTGTGCTGGTGGAAATCCACTCTCGCGCATGTGACCCGCCTACGACAAGTATCGTTTTCCGTGGAGTCTCAGCCTTTTCCTTGTTGGTGGGATGTACTCCAACACGTAATGCCGGGATATCACGGCCTTCGAAGCTCATACCAATGTTGATGCGGCGGACATGCGTGGTGAACATGGACGACATAAGACTCATCCACGGATGAATAACCGAGAGGGGCTGGTAGTCCTTGAAAAAAGGATGTCCGCCTTTTGACTGTGAAGGCGACTCGTGGGGTGCGGTTTTGGGTGTATGCGAGTAGGAGTGAAGATCATGGTGAAGCGGGGTGTCAAGTGGCAGAGGGTATGAATCAAGGACGGCTTGTGCTAGACTGGAATCTTGCAGGAGCGGTACATGCGCGTCCTGGAGGGAAAGTGGTAGAAGATGCAGCAAAGAGGATACCTATCGTTCTCATCAGTGGCTGTAACTAGAGCTTCCCATGAATCCAACTCACAGCATCAATTGCGAGTCGGATATCGACCCATTCGGCATTAAATTCCCACACATCGAGAGACAGAACCCCAGTTGCTTCGGCTAGGGCAGCGGCCTCGTCTGCATTGCGAATGGTGAAGCGGAGGACTGTGTCGCCGCCGTAAAGGGCAAGTAATCTGCTGTCCGGGGTGCGTAAAACTCGCGGAGAATCAACGTGGGTCTCCAGGGCGGCTTGTTTCTCGGGAGAGCTCCATATCTTGTCGGTTATGATATCTGAAAGCGCGCGCCATGGGCGTGTATTGGCAGAGTCGAGGTCGTGGTCGTGAAGCGTGGCATCGTGCGGGGCGGCAATGGCGAGCGAGGGACAGAGGAGCAGAAGACTCAAGCGCATGGCGGGCAGCTGTAGATAAGTAGCCAATTGAGTGACTGTCGCGACTAGTGCTAATGATGCATGTAGTGAAGGAGAGAAGTAAAGGGGTATCAGTAAAGCTTCGCGGCAAATGCGGTCGTTGCCAGCCTGCGTGCACTACTACGTGTAGTTGTCGATAGAGGCATGAGATGGGTTGAATTGTTCAAATGTTGATTGACTGAATGATCTCCGCAGCATAGATAGCGTATTGTAATCAATCAATGGGGTTTCACATTACTCACTCATTGCAAAGAGGGTACATAGCTCATCGTCGGAAAGTCGCAGTTGCTTGATCATTGGCAAAACTTCCTCAAGACTTAAGCGCTCTTGCCGAATGTCTGTCTACACTATGCGATAGTTTATATGCAAGTGCACATTGCTTCGTTGTCGCCAGACTGGATTCCTCGGCTGGTGTCATGTATTGTCGGCAGCGAGCTTACATAAGCATTCGGCTGAACCTGTCTACTTGGAGAGGTTCCCAGGTACTGCGAGCAAGTCCAGCCAGGCAGCCAGCCACATGGCTGCGAGTACGCGTGGCTAACCAGCATCATCATCCTCACCATCACCATCATCATCATCATCATCATCATCATCATCTCCTCCCATCGTTGTTCAAGTGTCTTTGCAAAGGCCAACAGCACTCGATGTTTCTTGTCTCCGAGGGAGAGAGTTGCTCAATGGAGTTTTACAACTCGTCCTTGAGTATTTGCATCCGGTGATGTTGACACTGATTCTCCTGGCGCACCAATGGCGGCCGAGGTGTAGTTGTAGTGATGGAGAAATCTGAATGAGCTTACAAGAAGAAATACGAGGCTGCGGGATTGACGTTTACATGTACACCAGACGTATGCATGGATGCAGCCATGTAGCATTGATACGAAGTACATAGGTAGGATGCGTGCATGCATGCGTGTAAGCCGAATTCAGCATGGCATTGAGAAATGCTCTTCAACCTATGATGATTGAGGTTCCTCCGTCCACAGCATCCATGACATTGACGGTGCCCCTCAGCCTTGTCGTGTGTTGTCTCCGACCCTGTCTGTTGGCACTTGGACCCCATCTGACATCCATCCAACCTACCACCCACCCAGTTCGCTGCTACACCTCTGACTTCTCGACTCGACCCGGCTCCACCTCCCATTCCCAATCCCCTCCGCTCGACACCCTCGTTCCTCGACCGTCCCTTTGACCGTGCCATGTCTCTCGCCATATCCGCGTACATGTCCTGTTAATCCACGCCAGCGCAATGCCGTTACGGCCGCTCCGACCCAACCGCAGCGAGAAAGACCTCCAGCGCCGCAACAGCACCCTGGACCCAACCACTCTCTTCAGGCGGTCCAAAAACAAGTCGGCCGAGCATTTGACCCCCGACCGCACCCGCGTTGCTGTATCTCACGATGGTGGCCGCCCGCCGTCAAGGGACCTGGTCCCCCAAGTCTCCTGGCCTGATAGCGTCGATACCAATGACGAGAACCGCCCGCCTTCGCCGCCGGTGCAGCAGCACACTCCCATGACCCGTCGCTTCAGCCTGATGCGCTTCCGTCATGCCTCCGATTCTCAGCTCTCCGTTAAGGCAAAAGAGCAAGCCGCCGACGCTCCGCCTGTCCCCGCCGTCCCCCCAACCGCTGCCAGTATGGTTTCCCTCTCCCTTGCGTATCCTTGCCTTCTTCTTCATGTGCTGATGTGATGCTTGTTGTTTAGCCCCTGCCATAATTACCACCGCTCCGACAATGCCCATGCCCGCCGAGCCCGACGAGGGTGCGCCGAAACGAAAAGGTCGCCTGCAGCAGTTCAGTTTACGCAGGCGCTCTTTCGATCCCAACTCTATGGAAAGACCCGGTATTCTGCGCAAGTCGATGGACAAAAAGAGCAGCTCCGACCTGAAGCGACCCGCGTTTGGCTTCCTGAAAAACCAGACCACTTTCCTCGACAGTCCAGAGCAACAGCGTTCCACTCGCCCCGAAACCCTCACCGAATCCCCCCACGAGAGTACAGAGGACACCTCCAACCTGGCTTTGCCCGTACCTCGTGCTTCTGATTCCTCTCGTTCCGACGGCACCCACGTCTCTTTCGAACACACCCCCAAGCCGTATCTCAGCCCCAAGGAGAAGCCTTCCAAGGGCTCCGGTCGCTTCGGTTTTGGGCGCAAGAAACAGCGCGCATCCTTATTTCCTCTCCCTGTAAAGATTGACCCTCCTGCATTTCCTGACACCGCCCCCACCACCCCCCGAGCTTCAACGAGCGGTATTAGCAACGTCAGTACCCACTCAGCTCGTCATTCCCCTACTGCCGAAAGCCCTCCCTTAACCGCCATCAACCATAACCGTTTGAGAGACTATGAAGATGGCTCCAAAACACCCGAGATGCCATCACCTTCGCAAGTGGCTTTGACCGCTACTTCTATGAATATGACCTCACCTGCTGCAGGTTCTCTATTCCGCAACGATTCCACCAAGTCCATTCATTCTGCCCGGTCTTCTCCACACACCAGCGCTCCCGTGCGTCTTGGCCTACGGGGCCGATCGTCCACCATGGGATCTCTAGGTGGCCAATCCGATGATGTGCCTCCGCCAACGCCGCCATATGCCGCCAGTGGAAGGAACTCGACGTCAACGGCAGGGAGGAGTAGTCTTAGTAACATGTTTGGCATGAGCAGATTCCGTCAGAACTCCGAGCCACATTCCCCTCGCCATGGCTCCCCAGCTCACGGTTTCATAGGCACTCCGGGTTTGTCGTCCCACCAGAACTCGTTGAACATCAGCCGCGAAGTGCTGGTGATGCCGGAGAGAGAGGATGGCGAACCCCCCGGTCACTATCTTGAGCGCATCGAGGAGAACAATGTAGACAAGAGTGCCATTGCTAGCTATCTCACCAAGACAGATGATCCATTCCTGCTTGCAGTGCTAAGAAGCTACATGCGCAAGTTTACTTTCTTTGGCGACCCGCTGGACATGGCGACTCGGAAGTTACTCATGCAGGTGGAACTGCCCAAAGAGACCCAACAGATTGATCGTGTCTTGCAGGGTTTTGCGGATCGATATCATGAGTGCAATCCGGGTATATACATCAACCCAGGTGAGTGACGTGCTTTGTAGAGCCTCATTCGCAAGACTGACCCCCATCAGACAAAGCCTACTTCATCGCTTTTTCCATTGTTATATTGCACACCGATTTTTTCAACAGGAACAACAAGCGCAAGATGCAACGAGCTGATTACATCAAAAACTCGTCCTGCGAAGGCGTTTCGGAAGATGTCCTTGGTTGTTTTTATGACAATGTCGTCTACACCCCGTTCATTCACATTGAAGATGAAGTTGATCTGAAAAGTCTTTCTTCCAAACGTACCAAGCGAACTGCAGTCCTAAAGGGCCCAATGGGTGATCCGACAAGAAAGGTCAGCCGTGAACCTATCGATCCGTATACCCTTATCCTGGAGGGCAAACTCGATATCCTCCGGCCCAATATCAAGGATGTGATGAACCTCGATGATCCGTATAGTTACCTCGGTACCGTGCCCACGTTGGACACGAAAAATTTGTGGAAATCCTTCTCTAGATACGGTATCATCCAAATTGTTTCCTCTCGTTCACGCCCTGAAGCGTTCATGTCGCAGGACGCCCAGGACAACCCCCAAGAGACCTCTGTCGGTATAGTCGAGATGCCCGTTACGAAAGTGGGGATCTTGTGGAGGAAAAATGTGAAAAGAAAAAAGACTCGATCGCCATGGCAAGGATGGGGGGCCATTCTTACCCGGTCTGGGCTGTCGCTTTTCCGGAACTCGAGTTGGGCAGAGGCTCTGATGAAACAGCATGACAATCATCATGAACATGGAGATACCAGTCCAGTTCACTTCCAACCCCCGCTCCAGGATTTCAAACAGGATCACATAATCCCTATGGATGGTGCCGTGGCTCTCGTGGATAGCACTTACAAGAAGCACAAGAATGCCTTCGTCATATTCTCTAAAGTCGGCGAGGAGACGTTCCTGGCTGATAATGAAAAAGACTTGAATGACTGGCTGGCTATGATCAACTACTCTGCAACCTTTGAAACTTTGGGTGTGAGGCCCCGGGGTTTGCAGGGGAACTTGTACGAGGGCCAGCGCAATCGTGCGATTCGTAGAGGTGATTCGTCGCATTCAGCTACGACCATCGCAACGCCAACTGGTGATGTAACTCACCAAAGCGGGAGTATTGATAAGGAATACCAAAGACAAATGCGAACAGCTCGACGGGAGATGATGCAGCAGCGAATAACCGAATCTGAAGAAAAGCTCACCGAGTCCATCAGACAGCTTGAGACCCGTCTGAGGGATGCACGACATCTGCAAATCTTGGCACCCATTCAACCGAAGACCCGCGAGTTGGTCATACACGGAGCAGGTCGCCTGTCGGCGAAGCTGAAGTGGGCGCGCATTGAGATATGGCGTATGAAGTGTCATCGAGACATTATGGCGCAAGTCTTGGAAGACGAAAGACAAGGCAATTCGGAAGGCCACAGTAGAACAGAGCGGGCTGCATCGACCTCTCAGCCACAACAATCACAGCAGCAACTTTCCAAACCGGTCAAAGTCAATGGTCTAGCCCGTTTGAGCTCAAAAGCGAGTTCGCTTTCGAATGCCATGAAACCGCCACCGTCCCCGGCCACCTCTTCCGCCCGGCCAGGAACAAAGTCGTCACAGAGATCAGAGTTGGACGAAGATGCTTTCAAGACTCCGCCTGAGATGTCCCGACAATCCAGCCCACATATACCATCACCTCCATTTGGTCTCGAGCCCATCTCACTCAGTCCTCGCCTTTCCACACACCGTGGTTCACTGCCCGAGCCAACCACCCACTCTCCTAAGACATCTGCACATGAACATCGGCCTTCTGTATCAACGATGGACGACACTGCAATCACTTCCGATGGTGAATCCGACGTAGAAGAGCGATATACTACACCCCCACCCATTGCAGCCGACAAGATCAACCCAAGAACACCAGAGATTCCTCCCACAGATGGCTTGCGTCTGGATCTAGACTCCGAGTCAGACGCAGATCGACCCTCGGCTGCAGTGACCGGATCACCAGATTCACGTGCTAAACTTAGACGTAGTCTGCAGAGAACCCTTCGAGAATCACATAGTAGCCTGTCCCATCGACGAGGAAGCCGAGGACATAGAACCCGGGATTCTGTTTCCACTGCCGTAAGCGACGATACTCTTGAAAGTGAAGGGCTCGCTCGAAAGAATGGTAGTTTCACTGTGCATGGAAAGAAGGCATCGGTTATCCAATTTGGTCCAGATTGGCACAACACGCCAGCAGAGGAAAGACTCAAAATACGGAAGCAGGCCCAAGAGGCCGCGAACGATACAAGCTCTGCCGACGAAAGAGATGAAAATTTGATAAACGACGGGACTGTCACAACTCCTTCTTTGCCTACGGTATCAAGCCCTGGGGATTCCGGTCCCTTGCTGCCAGCTTTCGAGACTCGTAGGCAACGCCATGTTTCCTCTCAAACCATTACACCGGAATCTTACCAGCAATCCCTGAATCATCTTGGTGATGATTCAGGGTCTGATGTAGCTTCGGAGATGAGCGAAATTGCTGAAGAGTCTTTCAAGGAACCACCTGCTAAAGGACTCGAGTCTGCGCAAGCGCCGGCGAATGGTTCAGAGATTGAGCCAGCGGGCGAAACTACGCCAAAGTCGAAAAATATTCCCACCGCCTAATATTGTTCTGTTTCTTTTGTGCGATCTTTGCGTTCTCTTTACAAAAGCAGTATTCCCCTCCATCAGCTGTTCGACCTACCCTCAATCCTTTGGTCAGTCCCTGTTCCTCAGACTACATCCGACTACTGTAATTCGACTACTGTAATTCGACTTCTCCACAGAGAATCCCTTTGTTTTCTTGGGATATATTCGACGATGAATCATTCCAACAGAATTCGGTGTGCGCCTCTGCTTGTACTGCAGGGTATGGTCTTTTTCCTTCTTTTCTCCTTCTTTTCTGTTAGCGAGCGAGTTTCCACTTCTGGTCTTTTGAGGAATACTTGTATGTATAGAATCGGTATTGAGGTGTCGGGCGTTTCATGTGATTGGGTCAGCAATCCGAGGATTGATTCCTCTTTCAACGGAGGAGACGTGGATGACGCGACGGTTTGCTAGATCTTGTTTGACAGGAAGGAGGGAACATGTCCCCTCGTAGCTTCCAGGAAGTTGCGATGCTAAATACACGAGGTGATGCAGTGATGTTAGAATCAAAACGTGTCGAGCTGCTGCTGTTTGTGTGTGTACGTGTCCGAGTGTTGTCTGAGTTAAGTTTGTCTAATGTGTACTTGTATCAAAGTTCTAAGCAACAACAAGATTCAAGAGCCAATTCTATATATCTACACAAACTGTACATATTTATTCTGTTCCTTTCTGACACAGCAAAGGCGTAGATCACTTTGAGCTAATTGGCTAGACCGAGGAGCATGGTTGAACGAGGCAATGCCGCGCCCCCTCCTTAGCCGTGGCGCGCGTCGAAACATGTCACTTTATACCGAGGTCCGTTGGAGCTCTCCGCTAACCAACAACGTTGATGAGAGTCGACATTTTCCAATTACACCTTTCTTCCTTACCTTTCCGACGTGCGCAATCAAGAGAATATTTTCGAATTCGCGACTGTCCAAGGAAAAGCAACTTCTTCACAGCACTTCCTCTAATACGATTCAACTTAACCTCCTCATCTTCCCTCAATACGTCCCTTCAGCCAACCAGCACAGGACTGTACTAACAACCAGACATCATTCATTCCCTCGAAGTCCCAGAACACTCCCGAATCTACATCAATCCAAACACACCAACCCATAATTCAAACATGACAGAACACAACGCGGCCCAAGACGACCTCAGCGTCAAGACGCTCTTCTCTTTCAACGACCAAGTCGTGCTCGTTACAGGCGGCGCGACGGGCCTCGGCGAAATGGCTGCGCAGGCTTTTGTGCAGAATGGTGCGCATGTGCTGATTGCGAGTCGCAAGGAGAGCGAGTTGAAGAAAACCAGCGAGAGGTTGGGGAAATTGGGTCCTGGGAAGTGAGTACTTTCCCTGTTGGTCATTTGCTTATGCGATGGGAATGGGGATGCAATATTTGTGGCTCTGGAGTATGGAGATTGGGGGGTTTTGTCGCGGGTTGGAATTGGTTTCCTCTTTACTCCCTTCTTTCGACTCTCGCCATTCCCCTTACTTCTTCTACAGTCTCTTTCCCTGTTTCTTTTAAAGTGTCAGCAACTGGCCTCATACCCTATCCGAAATCCAGCAACCAGCTAACCAACCTTTTTCCAACAAAACCAGGTGTGAATACATTGTAGCAGACCTCAAAGACAAAAAGGGCTGTCTCGACCTCTGCGAGCAGGTAAAGTCCCGCGTCGACCGCCTCACGGTGCTCATCAACAACACGGGAGCGACATGGGGCGCCGATTACTACGACTTCCCGGAAAGCGGCTGGGATAAGCTCATGTCGCTCAATGTGAAGAGTATCTTTTATACGACGGTTGGGTTGGAGCCTTTGCTTCTCAAGGGGGCTTCGCCGGATACGCCTTCGAGGGTTATCAATATTGCTAGTATGGTATGTGTGGTGCTTTTTTCTCTCTCTTTGGTTTTTCGACCGGGTGGAGGTGTCTCGTGGAATGGCTTTTGTGGAAGGAAGGAGGATACGATGGTTGATTCTTTTTCCGATGGAACAAGAGTTCCAACTTTATTCTCGGAAGAGCTTAATACTCTACCTTCTTCCTACAAAGGCCCAAACACGAGTTTACCAGGCGGTGAGACAGAAGGTTGTTTGTACATGGGGAACGGCGATGAGGGCAAAACCTACTTCCCCACGTTTTGACTTCCAGCGGAAACCCTATCAAAGTACTTTGACTAACCCCCTTCTTCCCTCCACACTTTTAGGCTGGCATCACGACCGTTGACGTAACGACCGGTGAGGGAGGAGGTCTCTCAACACCCGGCACAGGAACGTTTTCTTGTAAGTTTCCTTCCCCTCTCCTCCCCTTCCCCCGCTTCATTCAATCCCCTCGTTCTCCCCCTCCTCCTCCTAAACTTTCGCTTACACACACGTACACAATCCATGCTAACCCTCATCAACCAACCAACAGACGGCCCCTCGAAAGCCGCCTGCATCCACCTAACCAAAATGCAAGCCTCCAAGCTAGCACCCAAAAACATCACCGTCAACGTAATCTGCCCGGGAGTCTTCCCCTCGCGCATGACGAGCTACGGCCTCTCTACGTTCAAGGACGCGCTGGTAGCTGGGCAGCCCACGGGCAGGATCGGGAAACCCAGTGATTTTGGAGGACTGGTGCTGTTCTTGGGGAGCAAGGGGTCCGCGCACATCACGGGGAATGCGATTGAGATTGATGGAGGGGCTACGTTGAGTGGGTGGGCTGCGAGGAGTAAGATGTAGAGGTTGGGTAGGTAGTTGGGGGTGGGGTTGGTGCTGTGCATTGTATGTTCGCTGGGAGTGAGAAAGAGGTGGAACAAGATGAAAAGGTTAATACATGCTGTATTCGACAACCCGAAGAGATAACAGTCTCGGAGCGGGAATCAATGCAGAACAATAACAAAGACTTTGAATTGTAATTAACTTTTTTTTTGAAATACTCTAATTATATGTAAATATATACATACTCGTACATCACAAAGGCGAAGACGAATTTTCACCAACTTCTATTAACCTCTCAACAGGTCTCATCAACTGAGCCGAGTCGAAGCCTGATGCGTAGGAAAATGCGTACAGCATCTACAACAATCCAACCGTCCTCTGCTTCTGCTTCTTGACATCCACATCCTGCCACAATGCCACACTGATCCAGGTAAGGCTGTAAACGCACGTGGCAGCGATGAGCATGTACCTCTGTGTCTGGGCGTAGCTCAAGGCGATAGCATCGCGCGTGGGGCTACCCCAAGCGTAGCTGCTCTGGACATCGATGTCACCATAGATATTGGCAAAGTTGTCCATGACTTCCGCGGGCAGATTCGCGGTCAACTTGACAGGGAAGACACCGGTCCAGATAGCAGTAGCGATGGAAGATCCTATGGCTCCACCGATGGAGATAATCATGGACTCGCAGGCAAGGAGAGCAGGGAAGTCCTGCTGCTTGGAGACGGCCATGAGGGTGGTCTGCTCGGAGATGACGAGAACACCGCCGCCGAGGGAGATGAATAGCATGCACATGACGATATACCCGATGTTAACGTCCGGCTGACGAAACTCGATCATCAGACCAACGCCGAGGATGGTGAGGGGCACACCCCAGAAGAAAGAGTACCACTTGAGACGGCCGTTCCACTTAAGGACCGCGCCGTAGACGAGCGAGATGAAGCAGCTGCCCATGGTGTAGATGTTGCCAATGTAGGTCGCGTGCGGGATGCTTTGGTTGAAGAGGACGATCAGGGACGAGTAGAAGAACGAATTCCAAATATACCATCCAATGTACAAGCTTCCTGCCATGGTGTACGTGAAGATGACGGTGCGGTTTTTCTATTGCGGATACGAGTCAGTAAAATATACAAAGCTTGGCTTGACTTATGGGGAATTGATAGTTACGTACCAAAAGATGCCATGGGACGAACGTGACGGGTGCGAGATACTTCTCCCAGAGACCGAATACGATGACGAGGAGAAAGCCAAAGATGATGAAGCAGATGATCAGAGGCGACTTCCACTGCTCAGCTTGGTATGTGTAAATGTTGAAACTCAACAAGAAAAGAGAGAGACCGGTGGCGAGGATAAGAAGTCCAACCGTATCAAATTCCTTGAGGTAGTAGAAAATGGTCTGCCCAAAGTTTCCGCGAGTTGGGCGAGGCTGGATGAGACCTTGCTTCTTCGCCTTGCCTTCGTGATACCAGAACATGACGAGGAGGGGAGTGCAAACGACTGGGATGAGGATGCTAAAAACACCGAATCCCCAACGAACACCGATACCACCAGGAGCTTTGATACTGTCCACTGCATATCCGTACACCCACGTGGTAACCAACCAAGGGGAGGCGACGAAGGCGACAAAAAAGCCACGATTCGCCAGTTTGGTTGTGTCGGCGACGAAAACAGTAATTGAGAAGTCGATACTGTTGTAGCCAAGATAGAAGAAGGTCATGGCAGCACAGTACGTCTGGACGTTCTTACAGGCGGCCATCATGATTAGACCAATGGTGGTCGACATGACACCGAGGAGCAGGGCAAATGGCCTACCCCAGATGTTCATGATCTTGGCATAAGGCAATTTCCAGAGACCAGAGATGAGGGAGGAGATGACGCTGGTCAAAGCAGTCAGGGAGTGGGATTGAAAGCCGGAAGTGACGTATGGAGTCAGTGTATTGACGGATCCGGACGTGAAAGAGACGCAGAACTGGATGATCCAGATCCTATCGGCTGTTAGTCTGATTGATGGGTGAATGGCCAAGTCATGAATACTGAGACGTACCATACTAAGGCCATGATCAAGCTCCTCCTAGACCAGACATGGGTCATGGCCTGGATGGCCTGCACACCCTGCTCGGCATGAGTGTCGACCTTGTTGAGCTCATCGTCGGAGTCGGTTTCGACACCATCGGCCCTGGGACCACCCAGCTTCTCATCCGGACGGCCTTGATCGAGGCTGGTGTGGCCAGCGTACGAAGCAGGTACATCAGCAATGTCCTTCTCAGTGGCAGCAGCCGAAGTCTCGTTCTTGCTGGCCAAAGCAGCCGTGGCTAGACCTCTGAAAGTGATGCCCATGATGGGGGTTGGGGTGGGAGAGGAGTAGATTGATAAGATGGTGCAGTGCGATTCCAGCAGTAATTATATGCGGATCGGGGAGGGCGATTGGGGACCACTTTAGCTCTGAAGATGCTTGCTCGCCGGTCGCGCTATTGCGCTCTGGCATGCAGAGCCGATGCAACCACGGCAAAAACCGTGGGAGAGTGGAACGATGGTGGGCAGGTCCTGGTAGACCCTGCATGCTTTTGGCCCGAGGACGCCAAATAAAAAGGCCCAAATCCTCGTACGGGTATATAGAGTGGGGACGTTTGTACCGGGAGTCGCTATGAATGGTCAAAAACGGCCGAAGGAGCGAATACCATGCCTGCTTTGGGCCAAGGATCAGAGCCCAGACGTCTGTGGCGCCCCGTCGACGCACCATTTGATCATCTTATCTGATGAAAATTTTTCACCCATCTAATCAGATGCAGGTGGCCTGTTGCTCGAGAGCTCCAATCGTCTGTCGACGTCCCGATGATTGCGTGACGCTGCAGCCAGCTATCAATAGCGTGCATCGTCCTGCCTTTCTTGTGTCATTTCCATCGCGTATTCGCCCGCTTCCAAGCACTGAACACGAACTGTGTGTCTGTTCCCCTCACTCACATCATCACCACCTTGGCCGACACAGTGACATGCGAGCGGAAAAGCATCAGGACCAGACGCCGGACGCTAGCAACATTCGAACGGCAGGTTCGTTTGAGCACATTGGTAAAATCCGGGTGCCGCTGAACCGCAAGCCCGTCCCACATTCAACCCAAAAATCCCTCGTACAAGTTCCTTCTAGCCGCGGTCGCCACATGCTACCAAGTACCCACATGCCCTACTTCAATCCGATGGCCATGCTCCTGGGTTTTGTTTCCATGTGCCGTGCTTGGTATTGCAAATTGGCATCTGATAATCATCGCCGAAATATAACATAATCAATGCCTTCCCAAGCTCATTTCGCACATGGATGATTGCTAGGGGCTCCAAGTGAACCCCCCGGGTATAATATCATCGACAATGGGCACACTGCCGGTAGTATAGTATAGTAGCACACCCTCGACACGTGCTACCCAGCCCTGTGTATGCGTCTATCCAAGCCAAGACTTTCTGATCAACTTGGCTCCTCTTGAGTTTTCCCCGGTAGCTTGGATATGCCGCGCTACGAAATCGCATCAGTGGCTTGCTATGGCGGGTGGGTCAAAGTCGTAAGTCGATACACCTCATCTCCGAAATGCAGTTGCCATCGCCATCGCCATCGCCATCGTCGTTCTCGTTGCCGACGAGATTGACTTTGAGAAAAATGGACTCTTTTTCTATGGATCAATCCAAGTCAATGTCTTTTCAGGCCATGTTACGCATTCTTCCCCTCTCTCTTCGTCTCTCCCTCTCAACTCTCCTCGCTTGATTCATGCTGGGAGCGATCTCTTCTTCTGCCACCTTCCACTCCTCTAGTTTCCCCACCTTGACCTCATCCAGCAGGAACCTCCCCAGTCCCCCGGTCCTCCATCTTTGAATCAGCCATAGGCTAGTGGCCTCGAAGTCTGGCTGTCCCTTTTTACCCAGTCGGCCTGTCTTGCGCGCTGCATTTTCTAGCAGCTGCACCACATCGTTGGTAGGGCGACTGTATTCGCGGTACAAGTCAGGGTCCGCGTGGTTCATATGGAACAACAAGTAGTCTGCGAGCACCACGGGCGATATGATGGTATCCTTGACACTTCCGACCAAAGCGAGTTTCATCATGGCGTGCGCGTCCGGGACATAGGGGATGAAGACGCCAGGGGTGTCTACGAGATAGACCCCTCCTCCTACCCCTTTGTACCTTCTCTTGCTGCTTTCGTCCATGGCTTCCACATCATCTTCGCTGGGAATGATCTTGACACCGCTACCGATCTTGCGCGTGACACCCGGCTGCGCCCCCGTCCTTGCAACCTTGCCCTTTCCAATGCCATTCGCCCGTAACGCATTTAGCAGGGTGCTTTTCCCTACATTCGGCATTCCGACTACAAGGAGTCGATGTCCGACCAGCTTCCATTGTTTTTGTGCATGCTCTCTCAAGAAGTCCAGGATTTTGTTCACGCTTCTCGTCTTGTCTCTTTCGCCTTCTTTATCTCCAATGTTGCTGACAAACGTGGTCGCTATGGGGTGATGCCATCCCTTGATTATGTCCTCATCTGTCTGGCTCCGTGGCCCCAAGTCTCGGTGCGTGTACACAATAAGCCTTTCTTTGCCCTCCAAGCTTCTTTCGAAAAGCGGATTACGTGACGTGAGCGGAACGCGATAGTCGCGGCATTCGACAACAAGATCGATGGTGGATATGAGCGATTTCATCTTCTGCAACCCAGACTTGTGGTGACCAAGGAAATATGATCGCGGAAGGTGGTCGAGCGAAGGGAACGACGCGCGCGGAACGAAGGCCATGGTGGGCAACTGGGTATTACAAGTTGTATAAATCGAACAAGTTCTATATTATTACATTTCCGGTGTGAGAGTACAAAATTGTAGATTGGCACTTGCCAGAAGAAAGATGGCGAGAAAGTGAATGGTGTTGTATGATAGATGGAGCTTTCAGGCTCGAGTCTACAAAATATTGGCTACGAGTCGTAATGACGATAAGTCTTGGCACATCATGACTCGATGTCACAACTAGCTGATTGGGCGTCGTACCTCTAAAGTGCTGTTCATCAAGTCTCTACTTCTCACACAAACCATTTCTCATTTCTCATTTCTCGTACGTCTCATGTGATCAATTCCTGAAAGTAAAATATTTCTTGATGATTCGTGGCCATGGATATCATATTCAACTGTGCCTCCCAACGAAGAACACCTGATTATGGAGCTCTACCTCTACGGCTTACTAGCACTGTTGCATATAGGATAACACAGGATACATCATATTTGAAAAAGGGGGGAAATTCAATATCAAACCAGCATAGATATGCCCAAAATCAAAAGATGGCTATTGTGCATTTAGGTAGAACGACCCGCCATCTCTTGCCATCACTAAACACGTACAAGCCTCGAACTGAGCCAACTAAGCAAACAATCGAAGGCCAGATCTTTTTATCACAGGATTTTAAAGCAAATCGAAACTTACACCCAAAACCACGCCTATGCTAGTCCCTGCAGATCCAAAAAAGATCCAACCGTACACCGATAGCCTTGACTCAAAAAATTTGGCCAGGCCTTCTCCATGGCCTGTGTACCACACATATGTCCCTTTCAACCACATCGATCTCAAGAACTAGAGATATTCTAATCAATTCTCCATCTAAGCTAACTTGACTCTCTATACTACTCCTTCGATTTCTCCATTTTCTCGCACTAGAAGCCACTCAACGAAATATCCTACGCTCTCATGTCAGCATAATCATCTGAGATCGTTATTGTATAACTCGAAGTAGACAAGGTGACTCAAACTAGATCCCAAGTCCGATCTTCCAAACTCCTCGAAGACTTTAAGGTTTTGACGATCGGTGAGATCTGACAAGACCGTTCCATATGTACTATTGAAACGACCTTACTTTCTGTCTAGACTCTATAGGGAGGAAAGGAGGAAGGAGTGAAGTGCGCATGTGCCCATATGGAGTTTGGAAAGGGGCAAAGAAAAAGAACCTTGGACAAGAGGTATTACGCTGCAGGGTATCAATGACTACAGTCGATGAGAGCCCAAGGACATGGTCTTCTTTTTCTTCTATCAAAGGGACACTATGAGGTCGCAAAGAAGCTCACACCGACTAATAAAGGCTGACTGCATGATCTATATGCTGTTAATTAAGTACTTCACAGCTTGGAGATCTTGAAGACAAGCTTCTTTCAAACATGAACCACAGCGACGCAACATCGATAACAAGGAAAAAATCGCAACGAGACGGCGAGGGGTACGATAGAGATCGCTGATTTCGAATTACAGAAAAACATCAACGCGATCACTGCTCCACCCAGATGTCACCGCAACGGCAACGGCAACTCCAAACGCCTTTCCCCCTCATCACCATCCATCCCCCCATAGCCACGCGATCTAAAATTATCTTCACTATACAACACTTCGCTCGCTCACCACTCGCCCCAAGCATCGTCATCCTTCTTGGGTGTCTTCTTAACCGCACTAGTGCCAATGCCGCTGGGTTTCTTGGTCGCGCTGGTTCCTATCGTCTGCGGCTTGGTCTCGCCAGCACTCGCAAACTCATCCCAGAAATCCTTTTTATCGGCACTCGGGCCCTTGGGATCCTCGCCAAATGAATCCCAAAAGTCTTGCTTGTCGCGGGGCACAGACTGATACTGGTGGTTGGAAGGGGCCGTAGGGTCGACGAAGCGATTCAAGGCTCCCCCAGCAGCCGTGGCGCTGCTTTGAATGCCCTGCCCGATCATGGTACCTGTATTACGCGCTTGGGACGCGATATCTGCTTCGGCAAGCTATAGAGAGTTAGCTGTGGAGTGTTCGAATGTGACAGATGACGGAGCATCACCTTTTGCATCCCTGGCTTCACCCATCCCTCGTATCCCGTTTTTCCTGCCTTGCTCACGCTGGCACCCAACCATCCAAACGACTTGGTCAGAGCGCCGACTGGGTCTTTCTGAAAGTCGTCCAAAGCGGGAGGTGCACCAGGTTCATCGTCTTTCTTCCAGTGATCCGGCTCACTCCCAAACCCACTGTACTTCCCTCCCTGGTTAGGCGCTAGATCTTCTCTTCTGTTCGCGTTTTCTTGTCCCATCTTGGAGAAGTAGGCTTCATTTTTTGCTTTCTGTGACATGGCGTTGGTACCGAGTGCAGGTGAGCCGGATCGGAACGAAGAATCGTTGCTTAAGGTTTTGTCAAGTGGTGTCTGACTCCTGCTTCCAGGACCGCTTGCCCTCCCACTAAGTGGTGTACCCGACCGCGCAGCCACAGGATCTTTCTTAGCTACTCTTTTTGGCAGGCTGCTTTTGTCAAATTCTCTGCCTTCCACCTTACAGCTGAGCCTCTCCTTCCACTCGTCACCTGCCTCTGAATCATATCGCTCTTGTATTGACGCAGAGTCGAACTTTTTGCCGTCTTTTACGTTGGATGCGTGCGAATCGAAGAACTCTTGGAAGGGTTTGTTGCCGCCAGCGGCCATACGCGAGAGCTCAGAGCCCTTGAAAGCGTCCATGGTGATGCTGCGTATGAAGGAGATGTGGACGCCGAGACCTCGATGGACACCGGAACACGATAGACACATGAAGATTCCGAGTTTAGGCGAGGCCTACGATTGATTAACTATTAAATTCGCGATTGGGTCGGGCGGCGCATACCCATTGCGGACTGGGGGCGTTGCAGTCAACACATTTGTTGTTCTCGTTGTGCTTCTGTATCTCGAGTAGCTGTTCTCAAAGGTTAGAAAACCAGATATACACACTCGCCTCATCCAACTTCTGTACAGATGTTCATCTGTTGTGACCAATTCCCCTATGCTGGTGTACACAATGAGACCCCCGCGCCTGGGCAAGAAGAAGAGTAGATGCGCACCTTACTCCTCGTCTCCGGGTCCACTTCCCACATTTTTCCGCTCATTATGTATAGCGGTCAGGCACTCTGTGTGGTTTACAAAGCCGTTGCGTGACAACGTGGCCGGGTGTTTGGTATGCGAATTGGGGGTTTGAGCGGAGGACTCGAGAAGGCGGTTGGTCGAAGCCGAGGGGCACTAGGCCGTTGGTTAACGTCAGCAACGTGTCGAAGAAAGCGCGTGCACACGACCTATTTGGGTGTGAACATTTGAATGAGCCCTGCACGCAGCAAGCAATTCACATCATCAATACAATGGGCATGAACTCTGATATCTACGCAATGCGATTGCTTCACAGAATCTTTATTGTTGTCCACACGATATTTCAATGTTGGAGTGCTCATTCAGTACTCTCTACCGACAAGCTCCTCCCCCTCGTGCAACATTCAATTGCTACATACTCTAGATAATTATATTTGTGCAATCGCACGCCTCAACATTCTCAAATCGGACAGTACCAGTTCAACGGCGTCTTGCCTATGTACATGGTCTCTCATGCATGTCTCCCTGGGTCCAGTTCCAATGCCTACCGTGCTTTTCCTACCCCGATGTATAACCCTTGACATCTTTGAACAAACGCAAAAAATATACAGTTGAAACGCCATTAGCATCAAATGTTGCCTTTGGGAATTAGAAGTTGAGAAAAATTATGCAGGGTGCTGAAGCACTGCCAAGAAGGTATAGAATCAGCAGTGGGGCGGAACGTTGCCCTTCACAAACGCCTGGCACCAATGCTGAGTGTACATCAATATGAAAGACTGGAAAAAAAAAGGATAAAACTCGGAAACCTATTCCGACCGTGTATGCTTGGTGATATGTTCGTGAATTCGTGAAAGAAGGTGAGTGACATCCGGCTGCATATAGTGTTCTGATGATTTCGAGCGAGGATGAGAATCTCCTTACAACTGGTCGATCTTTTACGGGTCAGGATTTCGTACCTGGTCTAGATTAGTATATTCCCAAACTAAGAAGGTGAAGACACTTACGTTGAGTGGCCGATGGTAATCACGGCTATCATCCATACTCGCCAAGCTGCCTCTACTCGAGTTGTCGAGAACGAATAAAGCAGAAGGATTAAGCCGTTGATCGACCATATGTCTACTATTACGTCGGTCTGATCCAGAAGTTGGGCTGATTGACTCTTGATCCAGATTGCGACTTTGTCGTCTAGGTACGTTGGTGGCGATAGGAGGAGGATTTGTTGGCCTCTTTTCACTGCGTAACAGTCCGGACCTACTCATGGTGCTTACGTTGCGTTGCATACCGGTCTGCCCGTCATCTTGCTCTGCATCCCGCTGGCGTCGCCTTCTCCAGAGCATGAAAAAAACACCGCCAGCGAGCGCTGCCAGACCAACCACTCCACCTACAACGCCGCCTACGATAGCACCCGTGTTGCTTGTGCTCTTCTGACCCGGCGAACCGACTGGCGCAGGGGTTGCAGAGGGAGTCGTTATAATTGTCTCAGTTGATACCGAATTGCTCAAGGAGATGGTTCGAATGCTTGTCCGGGGCTCGGCAGAAGTGGCCGTTTCGAAAGTACTGGTTGGTTCCGGGGTAGATGACTCGGACTGCTGACCTAGCCATCAGTTTTGCACAGAAAAGAATGATGACAACCGGCCAAACCGACAATTGAGAAAGGGAGGAAATACAGAGGTAGAAGTAGAAGAAGTAGCCTCGTCCGGACGACTAGTCGGTGTCATGACAGGAGTCTTTGACTCACGGACTGTAGTTTCGGATACATGGGTGTGAGTAGGGGAAACCGTTGTCGACTACATCAAGTCAACCCCTGTTTGAAGGTAGGAGCGACGATGCAGAGAACAGGGAAAGTGGGGAGAGAATAGACAAAAAAGAAAGAACAGAACAAGACCCGCAGAATGAAAAAGGCTCTGAGAGTAAAGGAAAACGAATGTACTGACTGTTGACTGTTCCGTAGAAGATGGGGAAGGAGGAACAGTGGAACTACTCACAGCGGCAGATGATGTAGGCTCGAGGCCACCTTGTGTACCAGATGGCTCGGTACCTCCAAGCTTGATGTACATGTACAGATCCTTATCTTTGTTGCCACATTTTTCCGTGGGGTATCCAGGGCAGCCGTCGCCGCAATCGTTTATGTCCTGCTGGTTGTCTCCAGGAATGTAATCAGAGCACCAGCAGTTTTTTTCGAGGAGAATGGCGAACGAAGATCCTGCACAAAACTCGGAGCAAAGACCATTGGATTGGTAGTCGGAAGAGTCTGGCACGGTTAGCAGATGAACATGATGTTGAAGCAGAAACTAAACGTACTTCCGTTCCCACTGACGGTGATCTGATTGGAGCAATATGCGTAGTCAAAGTCTGCTTTGGCGAGGAATGCAAAGAGGCCTAAGACAACGACAAAGAGCCCCGTGAGAGGATATGTGCTTTGGCGATGCATGATCCCTGTGTGTTTCGGGAGCGGTGGGTCGACGCAGAACCTGTGGTAGGTGCGGCCCCGCCGGGATTGGTAGGGGTAGGAAAGATGGCAATACGTATAGGCGCAAGGAAACAGCAGCCTATACGTTGATAATGGGCCAAAGACGGGAGTGAGGTCGCAAGAGGGTGAACGGGGTGCACGGCGGAGTGACAATGAGTCGAACGAGGGTGAAAGCGAAGGGAGAGTGGGAAGACCGGGACCGGACAGGAGAGGCAGATGGGAGCGGCGTGACAACGATGCACCGTCGGGTGAAGATGGAGGGGTGGTTGTGGTAGTGGTGCCTGTTGTCTGTCGTTGACGAAGATATTATATGGGGGTGCGGACAATGCTAGCCTGAACCTGAGCAATGCGCACAGATTAGCGGCGCATCGTAGGATGGGGGCACGGCGAAAACAAGCTGGTCGTGGGTAGCGGGGAGGGTCGAGCGGAGGGTCGAGTATTAATTGGGGTAAGGGTGGAAGGCTCGGTGAGGAAAGAAAGGAAGGAAGAAAGAAAGAAAGAAAGAAAGAAAGAAGGGTAGAATGGAGAGAGGGTGTATGTGAGTGAGTGAGTGAATGAACGAGAGCAGCAAGGCGCCAATCGGTCCGCTACCGCAAACAGACAAGGGAAAGGTCAAGGTGGGAAGCTCGGCCCAGCGAAAGCATTGATTGTAAGTAATGCAACGCCAAGCGGGCGCTACTCACAATGGACCTTAGTGTTGACTGGGTAGAGAGCGAACGGAGGAACAAAGAAACAAAAAGCCTCACCGAATGATAGTCGATCGCTACTCGTCGAGGCCAGGTTGCTGCGATAGTGTACAAATGTCAAGGTAGCCGAAAACCCCCCTCTTCATGACGTGCATTAACAGCAGAGCCTAACAGGCAGGTCGGCGACGGTGTGCGTGCACAAGCACTGCAACCAAGTCACAGTGTGTGTGTGATTGACGGGCAATCAATTGGCAAGGCTTCTCTCGTCTGGTAGCACTAGAGACGTCGGCTTCGGCCCTGCTTCCGTCCTGTCTGCGGGCGGGCAAGGGAATCTATATCTCTAAAAAGCGAACGGCTGTCGAACGGCTACGACGACGACGACGACGACGACGGGGAAACGAAGGAAACAAAGGAAGAGGGCAAAAGCGAGCGTGTGGAGGGTGGTGGGGAGGGTGAGAGGAGGAAGGCGAGATTCAATTCAATTCATCAGCACGGGGCGCAGCGACATAATATGCCGTCCATGTGTGTGTTCCCTCAGAGGGAAGATGCATAGATGCCAACAGGTATTGACAATACAGTGCACTTGCTGGGTGATCATCAGCCATCGACTACCTGCTTAGCGGACGCACCGGTAAATTTAGCACGCCCAATGCGTCCGTCGTTCTCTCGTATCCCAGTTATCATAAACAAGGGGGATGGACTATCGAATCAAGGTCAAGGTCCTCCACCCCTCCGAGAGATATAGTCCGTCTATGCTATGAACAATTGATGAGGAGTGCATCCATGGCAGGGAAGCGCGATAAGCACCACGGCGATAGTAGCCCTACACAGACGGCTCCAACTTGCTTGCATCATCATGCCATGGCCCCGCCTCGGCACCCGACGCAGCGCGGCCACAAAGGGAGCACATGAAAAAAAAAATGGAAATGGGGTTTTTTAATTGCGCGCTGTATGCGAAGCGGGTACATGACACCGCGTATAAACAACCACAGCAACACAGCCGGCGAATCATTCAACCTGTTAGTGCATCGCCAGCCGGTGGAGTCTTCCGTAGGTGGCGGCGCTTATACACGAAAAGACATTGACAGAGTGGATTGACTTACTCACAAGCGAGCGCTCTGTTTCAGGAAGACGCATCATTACATACTCCAACACCGGGGGGGTTTTTTTTTTTTTTTCCCTAGCAGCCTATCGAGCCCTCTCGCAGATCGCATTGCAACTCGCGGCGTCAACTCGGACACATGACAAAAACCCTCATCCAACCACGGCCTCGATCGCTTCACCATGTCCAGTACACGTACTCGTTGTACCCGTACTTGTACGTGAGGACGTGCATGTTTCAACTTGCGCATCCCTCTTCTCGGTACAACCTCATAATATTCAGCCTGAAGGGGGCAAAAGCGACCAAGTGGCTACCCAAGTACCTACTTTGCCAACCGGCGCACAAACTGCCTTTGCGGATCATCTCCCAACAAATGCGTATTGGACGACGGTGCAGCGGATATCACGCAGCAATCAATCATCACCAAGTACATATGTATCTATTCCCTAGCCCAGCCTCTGGCCGTCGAGTAGCCCAAAGTGGCCGGAGTGTGGGGGTTGACGCAAACAACGATGATGATGTGATCCAATGCCACAATTGAATCCTGGCCTCTGGCCCGTGTCATCTCCGACATGGTGATCGGCAGGGGTCTCCGGTATTCAAGTATCAAAGCCAACAACGCCGCGGGCGAGGAAATGAGGATGTTCACCCCCCCTATAAAAACTCGAACCCGCTGTTCGATGGAAACCCGTCGAGGGACGCGCAAACTGTCGTCATGGTTGTTTGACCATGTTTCGCTGCAGACGTCCTACAGCCAGTGCAAGCTCCAAACCACCCATCAGCGCTCAATGACCCGCAATCCCGTCACAACTGTGTCTTTGATGATGATGAAACTAAGTTGCACTTGACATGCACTTCGCGGTGCCATCCGCTGGTGATGGCTGGCCGTGGCGTGTGTCTTCTGAGTCGCTCGCGCCAATGTACCATGGGCCGGCGCCTGCGGTTTCTTGCTTCGCCTCATTCTTAGCTTCGATCTACCGCCGTGGAGAAGTCAACAAATCATGAACCCTTCATTTCAAAAATGACATGTGGGGTTAGCCATCTAGTGCATCGGAATGGTAATCAGATCTACCAATCACATTCTATTCTACGCCTATGCAAGAGATCAGGGGTTCGCAGCAGCCATGGCTCTCGCTACAGCTTGGATGCCTTCTTTCCACCTGCAACGCCTGTGACTGTTTCGCCCGAAAGCAAGAAATCTGGGTATTCGAATCCTCCTTTGTCAATGCCCCCCATATGCCATTGTCCGCCATCCACTGCACATCCAGTCAGTTGATTGTGATGCCTTCACTCGGAGACGTGGGGGAAGTATACATACCGACAATGGTTTCGCCATTTACATAGTTTCCAGCATCCGAGAACAGGTAAATGGTAGCGTCCGCAATCTCCTTGACCGTTCCCATCCTTTGTGAAGGGATCATCTTTGCAGACCTTTCGCGATCCTCCTTTCTTGATAACCTGTCCATTCCCTCAGTACCGCCGATAGCTCCAGGGGCTATAGTGTTCGAGGTAACCCCTCGAGGGCCTTGCTCAATAGCAATGTTGACAGATAAAGCATCGATTCCCGCCTTAGCAACTGATACGTGGCTCTGCATGGCCGTTCCTGCGTAGTGCAGAGTTGCACTGACGAATATGATGCGGCCTCCTGTGCCCTTGGCAGGAGGTGTTTTGCCATCCGTCTTGTATTTCGCGGCCGATTCGACCAAATAGGGGAGTGTTGCTTTGACTGTGTTGTAGGATCCTAGCACATCGATGTCTATGACTGATTTCATCGCATTCGCTGACAGGTTGTCAATACTCGCAAGAAAGTTCCCCGCTGCTCCCGCACTGTCTTGCATTAGTAGAGAACCCGCATTTCCTGTGTCGCACAAGAGTGGTAGTTGTACATTACAAAGTCAATGGAACCCAGCTCTTTCGCGCATCGCTCTGCAGCGGCGTCCAGCGCTTCCGGCTTCCTCACGTCGACAGCACCCAGCCCAAGCACTTTTGCGCCTTTTCTGGCAGTAGCTATGTCTTTGGCCATTCTCTCCGTCTTCTCGACGTTGCGGCCGATGATGCATGCGTTTGCGCCGAGGTAGACCATTGCACGAACTTGGGCCGAGCAAATCGAACCAGCTCCGCCTGTGCAAAACACGACCTTGTCATCGAATATACCCTCCCTCCATACGTTGCTCACGTATTCTGATGTGGCGAGCGGCATCCTGGTCTTCTGAGGAGTGCTTCTGCGTTTCTGGGGTTTTGTGATCTGGCGCGGTCGGCGGAGGTCAATGGAAGGCAAGGTAGAAGAGCACTTCTATATAGTGAATGATCGGTCACGGCGGTGCAGGTGCTGAGGTCTGTTTGTTACACGTTCGTTGGCAAGCTAAGTTCAAGGTCGTGGTTTCAATGAGTTACCCGAGATGCCGAGGTTCAATGAGTAATCCTTCCCAAGCTTGGGGCGCGTCGGTCTGTATACAATCGCGCTCGGGATTTATTGGTCTGGGCTGAGATATCATTGTCTCGGATGTTTTTACTGTTGTAGAGGAGCTGACAGCCAGCACACAGCCAGCATGCAGCCAGCACAACTGTCGTTCATGATTCAATTCATTCTAGTGCAGAGACTACCTAAAAATCTGTGGATGAATTCTGCTGGTAGGATTCGTCAATATGAAAGAATTGTAAAATCATCGAAATGAATTATCAGGAAGACAGAGCCAACTGCATTGTCAAAACGAGGACAATGATTCGCTGGCCTCAACCCAACGCGACAAATGTATTCATCACACTACTTGAATGTGAAGGTTGCGCCATAGAGAAGGAGCTTGGGCCAGGCGCTTATTTAACCTTCAACGTCAACGTGCATGATAAGCTCAACGACATCTAATCCTCCACCACACCTGTCTGTCCCCCTCAGGCCACCATCAATTCAACGGTTGTTGCAGCATTCAATCGCCAGCAAAATGTCGAATCGCACAGTACCCGTTCTCAAGTTCGTCGGAACTGTGAGTTTGGGATTGCTCACTGTAAGTCATACCTGCTTTAGCCGCCGCCGCCACTTGCGCCATCCCGACCTTTTTTACCTTTCCATCAGAATCAGTGCTGACTCAATCCTTGATTTGCAGGGTCTTTCGGCATCTCTATCCACAATAGCACTCCCAGCTCTGCTCACGCTCCCCACCGCTGTTACTGCCCGCTCAACATACACCTATGTCTCATCCAAAACCCGCCTCATAAGCTCTTACCTCCGATACATTACCACCTTCACCTTATTCTCGGCATTTGTCTTGTCTCCTGCACGCTTCCGCCACCCTTACCTGCTGTATACTTCCATAGTCGCCTTCGCATCGGCCCCTGGTGTCGAGTTCGCTATGTCTCTTGGAGCCGATAAGAATGTACCATCCAACTTGGAGCTCGAGGAACAAGGCGATGATGTCAACGGCGAGCAGGTTCGTCACGCAGTGGAGAGGATGAGGGTTGTGGAGACTGCCACCGCAGGTGTTGCCGGTCTTGCCTTTACCATGGGCCTCGTCGGTCTTTGGGGAGACGGCGCCTAAGGAAGGAACAATTCGGTTGCGGCGTCAACTGGTTTGTGCTTGTATGACGGCTATGATGTTTATTGAGGCTTCGGGAAGGGTCGGCGTCCATTGAGTTCAGGGTGTCGAATGGCTATGCTTATCTATTATTGTCTTGTCGGAACTTCGCGATGCTTGAGGGCTCGCTCGCTGGTGTTGTAACAAGTGGGATGTCTAGACTTCCCGTCTACTGTTTGATATCCGCTTTCACTGTACTTGAAAATATCGATACTCAATAACGAATATATCTCAGATTTCACTCGAAGTACTTGTGCTAGTTGATGTGTTGTGATTGACTTGAGAGATGTAATTAGGTACACTGGGTAGACAGCGACTACAGTCATATACCACCCTTTTATCCGCATTTGGGTAGAACAGGACAAGCGTTATCAGAATCGCCTTCTGCCTCTTCAATTCAAATGGGACTCGGATCAAACGATGCCTGACCAGATTAAGTGTTCAATCCGAGCTATGCACTTAAGAGCCAAGCCCCAGTGAAAACATCGATACATATATTAATATTCACGGTCCCTAAAAGAACGCCAATCAGCGAAATGAATGTATCTGACATGGATATATGAACACTGTAAACCACAATGCTCCATCGTTTCGACGTACGAGCGCAAGTCCGCACGCGAAATGCGGTACTCCGCACCTGTCTACCTAGGTAGGTAGGCAACCCCAGTTAACAACGGATTTTTTCACATTTCAAGGGGCAAGGTCTACGACGCGCGTCGCTTTGACATATTTACTCACATAAAAGCAGACAGTCGGCATCTGTACACTATGGAAACTATCTCGTACAGCCAGGGTACTTCATCCAACTCTCTTCAAACACATAACAACCCACCCCCTAAAACAACACAATGGGTAAGTACACTATTTCCCTACGGATGATCGATACCAGATACTTCATTCCATAATTACAGGTTCTTGTATATACCTCGGTATTCTAACCACCTCGTAGAGCTATCCCCAACAGCCCTCACAGCGCTCTCCACCTTTAAGAAAGACCCATCACTCTTCGCCCTCCTCCTCTCCCCATATCTCTCCAACTCAGGAACCTCAACCACAATAACCCTCGACCCGGTTTCTTCTCCTCTCCCATTCCCTTCCTCTCCTTCCACAACTACTACAACGAGTAGTAAAGACCGTCTCGCCTTCCAACACGCCCTAAACACTGTCGAACCCCATCTCAAGCCGCGCTCAGCACTCTACATCCTCCTCCGTTGTCGACGACGCCATCCTCCCTCTTCTCCGCCCTCCACCAATAATGGCACTGCAGAGGAACGCCAGCTGGTATTTATAACATATATTCCATACCAAGCCCCCGAAGCGAGTACCACAGCACTGCTATCCCACCGCAGCAAAATCCTTCAACATCTCGATCTCGCAGAAACCGAACAAGTCACTGGGTCTGTACTCTCCCTCGTCTGCAAGGAAGTCGGCGAGATTGCGGATATCCGGTCGTGGGATGAGAGGGAGGGCGTTGGACGGGTTTCTTCAAAGGGAATTGGGGCGTGGAGGAAGGATATGTCCGATGCTGAGGACGCGAAGAAAGAGGGGAAGGGAGATGGAGATGGACAGGTGGAGAAAGGCAGCGAGGAAGGAGGACGAGAAGTCAAAAACATCGGGTTCCAGCGTAACAAATGCAGGCTTTGCGACCGGCGCATGAAGAACCAGATCGATGACGATGCTTTGACGGCGCTGTCGACGCGTTTGGTGAATAGGGGGGATTGCGTTGTGCTTGTAAGGCTCTTCCTTCCCCTTCCTTTCCTAATCTCCCCATTTCCTCCAGACTCAACCATGCTAATGGAATGGTACAACAGTCTCTAGACCCTACAACACTAACCCTCCACATCCCCCCCTCCACCCTGCCATCAACCCATCTCTCCCCAGCCGCCCTCAAAACATACATCCCGGTCTCCACCCCGACTTTCACATTCTACATCCACCCGATTTCCTCGGTCCTATACTTTATAAATTCGTGTCCAGACGACGCGCCCGTGAAGTGGAGGATGGCGCATACCATAGCCGTCGCGGGGCTGGTCAATGTGATTGCTAGGGATGTAGGTGTGGATGTGGAGAGGAAGAGGGAGGTCTGTGGGGGTGGGGAGGTGGTGTTCGATGAGGATGATGGAGGGGATGGAGAGAGTGTCACGATGAAGGAGGGGAGGTTTAGGAGTGTGTATTTGAGGAATGAGAGGGTTGGGACGGAGAGTTTGTGGGAGGGTATGGAGAAGGTGTAGGGGTTTTGGGGGTAGGCTGGGTGGGGAACGAGGTGATGGGGTGTTGGGGTGTTGGGATGCAGATGAGTGCGTGTTTCAGAGGCCTTCTTTTTTTTTTTCTTGTTTTGGGGGGTGGATGGATTGATGCTTTTTCGTTTTCTTGCCAAAAGGAGGTATGACTCTTGGGAATATGCAGCGTAGTAAAACCCTGTAGCGATATCTTATAAATCAGCTCAGAGAGACTATTTGTTATGTATCGGTGGTTTCTCAATTCGAGGTGGATAGGGGCGAGATGTTCTAAATTACGAGAAACATTATTCATACACGAAAAATCACATCAAGGGCGGAGGAAAAGGTGATCAAAAACAACATGGAAAGCAAGAAAAAAAAATATAAAATATGTGTCTTTGGGGGAACATCATGGACCCAAGTAGTTTGACGACCACGAGGGTGCACCAAATCGTCGAGTAAGTCTTTTTACTATAACCTTTGCCTACCAACATTCTTGCCCCCTTCCTCGTTCGAGAATGGCCCATCTCAGCTTGGTCTATAAGTGCTCACTTCATCCTTTTTACTCTCCGCTCGTCCCTACCCAAACTACCCAAATCTACATTGAACAATTGACGATGAACAACCGCCCCCTTCCCTCCATTTTCAAAACTCTATACTCAACGCATTCAACAAGCAAACAAAACGCAAATCAAACTATGCAAAGACGTATTATTGTATTCTAGAAAGCAGCAAGGTAGTATGGTGGTTAAATCCAAAGTGAAAATGGAAGCATAAGTAACAAGGGTTAGATCGATGAAGAAAAAGAAAGAAAAAATGGATATCAGGATAATGAAGCTAACAAACATAAACAAAAAGTGTAAACTAACAGTACAAGAAGAAGGAAAAGGTCGGTTGAGTAAGTAAGAAATAAGAAGTGGGAGGATGGGGGGCAGGTGGGGAAATGATCGGCAGAGTTGTTGGTGGGGATATCATCGTGCAGGACTTCTGCTTCCTTTCTCTAGCTGAAGCCGAAAGAAAAAAATAGCGACTGCTGGTAGTTGATGCTCTGGCATGAGTTTTGGTTGGGTCGTAAGTCTTTGTTCGGGCATGACCATTGTGTGCCCGACGCCATAGAGCCCTTCCGAGCCCGTCTCGGTGATGAACGATGAAGAAGAATTGGGAGAAAACAAAAAACAGATGCAACGCAATGTTGTTACAATATTTTTGGTTGCCTAGTTAGTCCAGTCGATAGACCGCAAGACTTTTGTACAGGATCACGCTCCCAAACAAGGAGTGGCAAGCAATCTCGACATTGTGTCGTTACTTCGAGTTTGTTCCTTGAAAGTCTAGGAGAGCATGAAACATGGCTGACACTTGATGTCAAGACCTGAGCAGTGGTGATGAAAAGAGAAAGGATGGAGCAAACCGACCCTCGAACCCACACGAGTGACGCTGTTCAAGTAGCCTCACTAACGGTTACCTCGAGTTCATGTCAGGCGTGCGCTGTTCCACATCTTCGTCTTCTATCCTGCTCTTGATGCCGCCGTCAACTTGGATGCCCTGTTGCACCCAGTCGAGCTTGTTGATGTCCTCGAGGCTTTTGCGGCCTCGGGAGACCTTCTTAAGCAAGCCTTCGACACAAGCACGAGCACCCTCCCATCCTTTTCCTTTCTCGGGATCCCATTCATCGTCATCATCGCCAAACCTGACCCATGACCAGTCGCATCTGGCGATGCGGTGTGTGGCTCTACTACGTGCACCAGCCTTGCCCGGAGGTGGGTCAAATGGCAAGCGGCCTTCCATCAGCGCATAAAGCACGACACCGAGTGCCCAGGCGTCTGTTTGCCGCCCATCATAAGGCTGACCAAGGAGAATTTCAGGCGCAGCATAATCTTCACTGCCACAACGAGTAGTAAGGAGAGGGGACTCGGGCGGAGCAGGAATACGACGGGAGAGACCCAGATCCGTCAATGTTGCTATGGGGTACGGATGTGAACGAGGGTTCTTGAGCAGCGGGACAGTAGAAGTTGGGATATTGAGAAGCACGTCTGCGATACATTAGTTACATGCCGCTTTGGGTTGACTGACCACAATGAGCAGAGAGCTGTACTTTCTAGCTTGATGTCGCGATGCACGATCAACTGGTTATGCAGATACCTAGTAGCACCAACCAACTCGGCAAAGATGCGCTGGACGAGTTCTACGCTGAGCAGGTTATGGCTGTCGCTGGCCACATCAAACAAATCACCACCGGGGCAATAAGTGAGAACAAGCAAGGCCTGCTTATCACCGTGATCGAAAGCTCGTAGATGGACAAGCGAAGGGTGGCTTATAGACCGAAGCATCTCGACTTCTCGTTTAAGGCTAAGCATCACACGTTCTTCGTCAGCGCCGCCGGCCGGGCCGTGCTCAACTACCTTGATAGCAACCAGTTTGTGGGGGTCGAGGGTGGCCTCGTCGAGTGGATCTTTGGTCGGGACCTTTTCGCTTGTGGCCAACCACACCTTACTGAAAGTGCCTTGGCCCAGCAGGCGCACTGGGCGCCAAAGCTTCTTGGTCCCCTGCGGACCCTGCCTCACGGTGATGTATTCAGTCTTGTCCTCCTCGGGGACCTCTTCCTCTTCACTTTCTGTCACGCTTCGATTGCTAGCTGGCGGTGTGGGAATGCCGGCTGGACCGGTCGTGGAGACCAAACCACGTTGAGCAGCCAGATAGGCTTCTCGGTGCAGGAAGGGCGGGGGACCGGTGTTTGCGGTGCCCTGATTTGTCGGGATCTGAGTGAGAGAGCGCTGGCGAGAGCCGATTTTGGGGGGTGAATCGGGTTTGAATTCCTCGCTAAGACTCGAGTTTCTTGCGCGGTTGACACTCTTTGTGTGCTGAGAGGTCAGCCCAGCCTCTGCGGCCTGGGTGGCGGCTGTTTTCAGGCGCTGATAGCCTTTCTTTTTCAGCGACGGAGATGGAGATAGGGTTCCATTGTTGTTGAAGTTGAGGAACGAGTCCTCACGAAAGGAACCGGAGGCGCCACGGGATCCTGGACGCGCCGCCTGCTTTCCCCATATGGCAGCAGGGGAATCGGACATGACCAAGGGAGACGGCAGCGGAGTGATGTCTGCGAGAGCGTTGAGTGCGGGCGAGGAGAGTGCTGAGGCAGGCGACAAGGAGCCAGCCATGCTTCCAGCCGACAGCGTGGTGCCTCGAAGGTGGCCGTCGTGGATGACGATTGGCGCCGTGGCCGAATGCCTCAGCGGCGGGCTTTCAGCGGAGGAGTCCAGATTGGATGTTTCCCTGCCGTTGTAGACGGCGGAAGCGGTTGTGGTTGGATGGGTCAAGTCTGTCTGAAGCGTCAAGCCTGCGGCACTGGGGTTTCTGACGTGGAAACGGAACTCGTCTCGGACGGGAGTAAGAGCCGTGGATGAGGGCGGGTGATCGGTGACGGGACGGGCGGAGGTGGTATAGGGCGGCAGGCGAGAGTCGTTCAAGAGGCCCAGGGTGACATTGCTGTGGCTATGGGTGTTGTCTGCATCGGGTTGCGAGGTGGCTTGTGTTGGAGGGGCCGAGGGGCAGGAGGGAGGGGTGGAGAAAGGGTTGAAGGCCCGGGGTTGGGGAGGATTCGAAGAGTGATGATGGTCCATGTGGTGTTGTCTCTCTCGGATGAATAAGTGGCTGCAGAGGAACCGTCCGGTGTAGGTAGGTACCCAAGGGTTGCGCTCGTTCACTGGCGCATCGGTCGTCGGGGTTGCAGTGTGTTTAGACTGTGTGTGCCCTGATTGGCCCGGGCACACGCCGTCGGTCAGACTGTCTGCTAAGTATGTGTATAGAGAGCTTGGTAAGTAAGTAATGGATGAATGATGTGCAGCACAAGGCGGAAAGGCGATAGCTACATGTTGGATGGGTACAATGTACTGGGGCTAAATTAACCAGCACGCGCGTGATGACCAAATTGCCATAGCGCCAGCCTCGCCCGGACACGCGTGGGGATCCCGCTCGAGTTTTTTTTTTCTTTCTGCCCAATGAAGCCGCGAGTAGCGCCAGCCCTAACGTCGGACCTATCTATCAATCATGTTGATATCTATCAGTCTCATTACCGTCTTCTTATCGTTTTATTGCTGGTGCTCTGCCTATCTGTCTTTCTGTTTGTCTGGCCGGAAATATCCTATCTGGTCGCCTGCATGACCATTACATCCGCTACATTCTGCCAATGTAACCACACACTGATTGCCTCATTAGTCACCACGTTGCATGTATACAAGGCAGCTGCCCGAAACAAGCCGGCTTACCACGCTCAATGCAGAAACACCAGAAATACGCTTAATACCAGTAGTTTTATATCACAGGTAGTATTAGCATATGATAAAAAACCAAAGAATAATTACAAAGCTGTAAGTTGGCGAAAATTGCTTATTGTAGTAAGGAATTGTATGGTGGGCGCACGGGCTTTATTATCCGAATCATTCGTTCCCGTGAGACCATGGCCTATGGCACGCCAACGTTCAAGCATGATTGATTGCATTGGCTGTAATAGACATGAAGGTACCACTGTACCCGGAGTACGTAGCATATGCCGTTTCCCTTCCGCCATCAAAGTAGCCCCAGTCAACTTGATACGCAAACACCCCCCAGAAAATAAACCAGGTGGTCCATCGCGCAATTCGCTTCAAGCAACGTCGTCAACTCTGTGTATCCACTTCTCCAACCAAACATTAGACTACTCCTCCATCCTGACCTGAACCCCCCAGAAACACTGTACATCCCTCTTGTGCAAGAAACCATGCCGCACACAACGTAAACAGTCCATTTGTCCTTACAAGGTGCCGAAGCTCCGACCCTTGGGACTGCCGCCATGACTGCTTGATTTGGCAATATCAGCTTTGGAAATACCAGCCGGAGTGCCCGTGTAGGGACCACTGCCATGACCGCCGGAGTCGGAACGACTACCCTGACGGCCCATCTTGGAACCGCCACGTGACTTGCCACTGCTCATTTTACGGCTGAGACTCGAGGCCCAGTTCTGGACGCTGCGCTTCATCGAGTCACCAGTCGCCTTGCCCGGATTTTCGTCGGAGCTGGAGGCCAATGCCTGAGATGCATCGCGAGGAGCGAGCGAACGCGGAGATTGTCCAGATGGCGCGGTACCCTCATCATCATCGTCTACCATGGGCCGAACCAACTCACTAAGGGCTTCCTGAAATTGCCCGAAACGATCCGCCATGTCGTGGTGACCACGCGCCATATCGTCCAGACGCTTCGACACGTCCGACTTGAGCTGATCGTAGATCCTGCCCAGCTTGCTATCGTTCGAGGTCATGTACGCATTCATCTTTGCGCCGAGGGCCTCCCATCTGTCCTTGTTGGTTCTACTATTCTCCTCAAGCATCTTTTTGTTGATATCGATCCACTGGTCAAGTGACTCGGCGGTGTAGTTCATGACATTTTCGATCTTCTTGTCCGACGTCTGCACGTGTAACTTGAGCCTCTCGTGGTAGTAGAAGGTCTCCTTGTCGAACTCCTTGTTGTAGGCCAGGATATGCTGTTCGAGCTGCTCGTTGGACACCATCTGCTGCTCAAGCCTCTCATTCATGGACACCATCTGCTGCTCAAACCTCTCTTTCATGGACACGATATGCTTCCCGAGCTTCTCATTCATGGACACGATATGATTCTCGAGCTTCTCGCTCATAGATGAGATCTGCTCACCGAGCTCCTCGAGTTTTGCGTGGTTATAAATGACCTGCGCGTCGAGCCGGGCGTTGAGCTTGTCCGTCACCTCGGTGATCTGTCCAAGCGGCGACATGAGCTTCTCGGTCTGCTCGGTCAACTTTACCGTCTTCTCCCCGAGGTTCTTGAACAAGTTTTCCATGATGCTAAGACGCTTTGCCAACGACTTGTTGATGCGCGCTTCCTTCTCGTATTGTTCTTCCATGTCTGCGAGTCGGTTGGCCAGAGTATCGTTAATCATGGCCTCCTTCTCGCTGCTTGAGCTGATTTGCGTCTTGAGACCTTCGAAATTGTCCTCCATCATCGTAAGTCGATTCTCCATGGCCTCGTTGCTGCCACTAGAGCTGATCTGTGTCTTTAAGCTCGCGAAGTGATCTTGCATGGCTGCAAGTCGATTCTGCACCGTCTCGCTGGTGGAACCTTTCTCCACGTCACTATCGGGGGTTTTGTTAATGTGATCATAGAGCGTGCTCGCTGCATTGTCCAAATTCTCATTGACGGGTGTATATTCCGTATCCCGAGTGAACCGGGTACCGGTAGATTCGACATAAGGATTAGTGGTCGTTGGGTGAGAAGGCGTACGGGTATTGAATTCGGTGGATTGACTCGAGCTCATGTGACTTGATCCTGCTGATGTTTCTAGGATCGGTCGTAGATGGACCTGGCGATGGAGTGGGCTCGGTACTGCACTCGGCGGTGCGAACTTCTCGAACTTGATTTTAGATGGACTAACTCCGCTGAGCATATCTGACAACGGCAGCGAGTCACGCGAGCTTTCGACATCCTTTTTGTCAGCTTTGAAGTGAGGTGCACGATAATAGCTGTGTCGGGAATCTGGTGTAGAACGCTGTGGAGGCAAGTCGCTGTCGATTCCGACTGTAGTCCGAGCCGCGCCGCCTTTAGATGGTCCTTGAATCAGATCCTGAGCGGAACGGCTGAAGGAACCACTAGTTGCAGCGCATGATGAGAACGACTCATTCAGGGCACGATCATCATCCACCTGCATCACGTTAGCACGATGGGAAGAAATGGTAACAGAAAGAATGCCGAGATATTTCGAAAGCAGGCTGCGTGACGTACCTGGTTTACAGCAGCAGCTGTTATGGTCTCTGCATCGCTTCCACTTCGAGGAATATCGGGAGAGGCGGGTCGGTACGTAGTAGCGGGGAGGTATTCTAGATGCTGTTCAACGTTAGATTTGTAACCCATGTATGCATGATCAAGGGGACTCTGTGACGAGCCAGGCAAATGCTTGTGCAGCTGCACCATTTCGTTAGTATCCTCGTCATCATCTCTATATCCAACCTGCCCACGCGATGTAGTGGCTTGGCTGTACTCTGCTTGCGATTCAATGCTTGCGTGATCGACGTCTGCACGTGCAGATTTGATGTGCTCGCCTTCAACCAGCTGGGCATGATCTTCGGCACCATATGAACCAAATTTGGTGGGACTATAAGCAGGCTCCGATTTGTAGTTGGGATCCAATGCGAACATTGTCTCTTCATGCATCGCCATGCCCTTGCCAGCGTCATATTTACGTCGTGATGCTGATCCAAGGGGCACCGCGGCCGACGTTTTGCGAATCCAATCAACAGCTGGCGCATACCCGACATTTGGTGGCGTGTCTTTCTGCGGTGGAGTTGGTGCTGTTGTCGATTCTGGCGATGACATGCGGACTTGTGACTGCTTCGGGGTACGCTCGATATCGGTATAGTCAGTTGCCGAAGGCTTTCTAGCATGTGCACGCTCGGGGGAGTATGTGTAAACTCCAAGGTCGACGATTGGACGGCGTTGGTAGCTACGATATTGATAGGTATGTTGACCAGGATCATCGGAGGGAGGTGTTGCCGCTATGTTGGTAGAGTGAGAAGCTGCGGAAGACAGAGACTTATGGATAGCTGCCTTGTCCTGAAGTGTCTCGAGTGGTAGACTGATGTCCAAAGTCCTGCCGGTTTTTCCAGGCACGGACAGTTTTGGATGATCATGGCCGATGTTGCTTGGGATCTTGAACGACGGAAGACTGACGCCAAGAAACTTCTTCTTGTCGCCCTTTGAACGATCATTACCCTCATCTGTGGATGTTTTGCTTGTACTGGGGAACTTGGGCCTCAGGTCCATCGTCTGTAGATGAGTGTTCACCGTGGGACCATCAGTACCTATGCTGATTAGCAAGTGCAATTACAGTTTCTTGTTTGCATGGGGCTTACCCTGTGCTGGCGTGTTGGGGATTTGGCCCATCATTTTAAAATATTTGTGCTCTTTCTCAGCTTCGATTCTACCTCGCTCGGTACGTGTGTCTGCGTCAAACGCTTGCTGGAGCTCAGCGGGACTGACATTAGAGCTGCTTGGCGTTGGCTTATGTCGGTTCTTAATGGATAGCGATAGACCACGAGCTCGACCCTTGAGACCAGTCGTTGCAGTAGATTCTGGCTGGGTGAATGTAGCTTTTGTTGATGAGGCACGAGGCAAGCGTGGGGCAGCGCTCTCGTGGTCGCCATCACCAGTCTCTTGGTGTTTAGAAGCTCCATCCTGCTTTGCCTGAGCCGCAATCGCGAATGCGTTGGGGCCTGGTCTAGCTATTGCAGGATACGGAATTTTAGGAATGGCAATGGGTGGAGGGCGCCGTTTGCCGTCCGCGGGGGTCGACGCCATTGCGGTTGTTGCCAAAGCTTGGTCTGTAATGCCTTGCGTGTCAGCAGTTTGTCAACAATTGCTCAACTGGGTGGGTGGAGACTTGCCAGTGCTCGTCGTGTCGAGTGTCGGTTGACTTTGTCGCTTGAGCAGTGTGTCGATGGTGTTGCAGTCGTTGCAGTCGCCGGACTGTATAAAGAGCAATTGATAAATGGGTGAATGTGAATGTGAGTGAGGAGGAACGTGAGGAGGAAAGTGAGAGTGAGGGTGTGAGGGCGAGGGTGTGGTAGTGGGGGACGTCTTAGGCACGAGCAGTTTTGTTTGTTTATGAATACGCTCGTCTGCCACAATAGCTACCACCGTCGCCGCCTAGCTATGGACAATCTGGCAATCAAACCAAACAGAGGGCGGGGCACGTGGAAAGAAGCCAAGACTAAAAGAGGCGACTCATACATACTTGCACTGTCCTGATGCAGCACCTAAGTGTTGGATAGCATCAATTACACTATCTCTTGTTGCTTTCCAATTGCAGTCCGTCATCCAATCCGCCGCACCTGTTCGATCAAGTTAACATGCCCACAAACGAGAAGGCCGGCTGTGCAGCTAGTTTGAGATGAGCAAACCGAACTTGAATTGGAAACAAAAGGTGTAGAGTATGATAAGACATCGCTACCCACATGGCGCCAGCAACTCGCAAGGTATCCAGAAAATCACGCCAGGCCTATAAAAAGTCGTTCAGAATCGAAGCACCACCGCTGGGTCCCCTCCCTCATAGCACTACGCAGCTCTTCTTTTTGGTCTTGCCCGGCTTTCCGCCGGCATCCCTCGTCTGCGGGGGTTCGAGGGCAGCAACAATAGCCTCGAGGAAAATTAGTATAGAGTAGAGATGGTGGATATGGACTTCTAATCACTCACCTCATCAAAAACATCCTTCAGCTTGAATTGTGTGAGAGCAGAGCATTCGACGTATTTGACAGCACCCAAGTCCTTGGCCATCTTCTCGCCATCCTCTTTCCTCACAGGCTGCATTCGTTGCTTGGCAAGCTTCTCCTTGACAGAAGCATCTTCCCGGAGATCAACCTGCGTACCAACGATTAAGCATGGAACGCCAGGGCAATGGTGGTGAACCTCGGGAAACCATTTCTCTCGGACGTTCTCAAAAGATGCGGGTGATGTGACCGAGAAGCAAACCAGGAATACGTCTGTCTGGGGATAGGAGAGGGGGCGAAGTCGATCGTAATCTTCTTGACCAGCGGTATCAAACAAGCCCAGGGTATAAGGCTCGTCACCAATCCTGCGTACAATGTATATCAGCCACAGCTCTGTCACGCAAACAATGCCTTTGCGATTGTCCGTCATAGTATGCTACGGTGACAGAAGACGTCGAGGGAATGAATTCGGTAGGAGTGCTCACATTACGGTAACGGCATAGTTATCAAACACGGTGGGGACGTATTCCGAGGGAAACTTGTTAGTCGTGTAACTGATGAGGAGACATGTTTTGCCCACAGCACCGTCACCAACGACTACGCATCTGCACAAGAGTCTGATTAGCTGCTGGCGACCAGACGCAAGAGTGTTCCGGCTACATACTTTATAGTGGCGACGACCATACTGACGCGGGGGTTCCGAGGTGATGGTGAGAGAGGATTGGGAAGTAGGTGCCTTGGAGGGTGGATAGAAGGTGTACGGGAGAAGGCAAGAAGGCTACGGCGTGGGGACTAGGGTTACAGTCGAGTTCTGGGGCAGCACTATCCAAACGAGGGATCCAAAGGAAAGAGTGGAGGTGAAGGCGTGTCTATCAATCCCGCAAGTCAGTCCCACTACTCGGTGTTGTTGTTGGTGGAGGGGGGGCAACGACTAGAGGGGCGACAAAGCCGGCCGTAGACGCACACATACCTAGGTAGAAGCACGCAATCGCCCGAGTCACCAGATTGGAGTGCCAGTCAACAGGCAGTGATCAGTGGTGGATGTTGAAACTCGAAACGTCAGAACGGGAGAGGTTTCAAGGCGGCGGTCGGAGAGACAATGGAGCGAGGGGCGCAGAGGGAAAGGGGCGGGCCGATGATGGATGACAGCTGCAGAGACAGCGACGGGGCAGATATGTGCGTGCACCGAACGGGCACTGGGTATGGAATAGGTGAGGGGCGTGAAGACAGTGTAGATGCAAGACTGGACGCAGAGATTCTCAGAGACGTGAGGTGAAGCTTGCGGCGGGCGAGAGGTCTGGAGCGTCGGCGCTAGCCGCTTAAAGCGCAGAACCCTGAATAAATTCCCCACGGACGGGCCATGCTCTACCCACCTGGCGTCCACCGACTACTGCGCCCAACGTCTGATGACTTTTTTTGTTTGCAATGTGCCGCTTTGCAAGTGATGGCCCGCTCCACTGTTTGATGCCGTATGGATGGGTGGAGAGGAGTGTCCCGTTTCGAGTCTGCTATCATCTGCCTAGGTACGTACATGGGCACTCACCTACATCAATATTGGTGTATCCAGGTAATATGCGATCCGAGAGAGTACAAGTGTGCAATATGCCGTATACATACGCATGCCTGCTTGCAGCTGCTACCCTGTGCCATTCTGTTTGCAACCTACTCACAGTCACAGTCCCTGTCGTGCACCTAGCTATCAAGCACAGAGGTATTCATTACATGTAGGCCAGACTTGCTGTGCTCGACCCAGGGCAATTCATTTTTATGAGGAGAACCATATGCATAATTGCACAATATCCCCTTTTCACCATATGCACTTACCTAGGTAGTTAGGCACATCCTAAAGCCATACTAAGAGATTCAATGCGCGTCTACTGCATCCGTGTTAAGCTTATCTCTGTGCTGCCCCTTCACACGCGATAGCCGAGATTTGGGGACGAACAGACATCCATCACTGATTTTTTTCAATCGACGCTGATTACTAGTAGTGGCTGCAGCTATAGCTGAAAATAGAAACTCAAAATAAAAACTAAGTAAATACATCATGTTTTTATTATGATTTTACTTGAACATTCTAAGTTGGAGTTAATACGTGGAAATATAGAATAGAGACGTTAAAATCGCTACTAAGCTACTAAAGCTTAGCTAAATTAGGTAGTATCGTTAATACGCGCTAGTAGCAAAGTTTAAGTGCTTAAAAAATATAGTAGTTAATACTCTAATTTTATATTTATTCTTACTCTAAAAATCAATATATTTTTAAAATGCCAGGGGGGCCTAATAAGACTTAGTGGGAGGTGAAAGTTTATAGCCTTTCGCTAATTTCACTGCCCTACCTGTTGCTTAGCGTGACTTCTCCATTCGTGGAGCTGAACCTCACGACCTCTGCTCTGCGACCATTGATCCTAGCTGGCGCACTGAACTCACGCCTTCTTCCAAACAACACAATCGACCGCCCAACATGGACGACGTGGATGACGACCTAGACCTCAAGTATCATCGAGGCTTGAACCCCGAAGTCTATTATCGTTGTCCCAGTACAGAATCACTTGACGGTGCCCTTCGCAACGAGCTGGCCAAGAATGCAGCCAGTTTTATCCCTACCGACATTGTAACCGAATTTGTCTTTGGACTTTCGTCAACCATTACCATTAGTGTTGCTCAGCAGCCAAATCTTGACCTACTTTTCGAACCTGCCGACTATCCCCAGAGCATCACTGTGGAGCATGCTCTTTGCCGCTCAGTTGATAATAAGGACCGTCTCAAGCTGCAAAGGGCAATTGCTCGGTATGCCCAATAAAAGTATTCACACCGTCGCGCTCTCGCTGATGGCCATGCAGATGTTTCATTGAAGCCATTGAGGCCATAGATGGGTACGTAGATGGCGCAATTGACCGTTTTCGTTGGTTCCAACGCCAGAATATGCAACCTAAATTCTCCGAACAAGCAAAACCGGTTCAGGATGCTAGATTGGCCTTCAACATTATACCCACCACTCAAGATTGTTATGGAACATGCATGTTCTTTTTCCACCGCCACCAATAGCTAGCAATATGCCAAAGTCCCCGGACGTTTGAGCATGCACGCAAATGACATGCATCCACTACCAACGATGCAAATGTTCCGAGTAAACATTGCGCTAATCTCGAGTCATCTACAGGTTCAAATACGCTGAGCGTAGCGCCTCCAATAGAGAGGGCAATGCAGGATGTCGCTTCAGGTATGTGTACAACGTTTTCTCTGCTTGGTGCCCATTGCATCTATGAATTTCGCCGTGTACTATCACAAAATTATCTACAGTGGCAGTTTACTGACCATATGAACTCAGGTTCATCTGTAGCTGTAGTTTGCAGAATGAAAAGAGGCTTAACAGAAGAAAGAAAAAAGGTGGGGACAACGAAGAAGAACATACTGGTGACTCCTCCCAATCTCATACGAATTTCGACTGCGGAGGCGCAATAAATATCAATTTTTCAAGCAAGCGAGAGGCTGTGAACATTGTGTACAAACATAATCCGATCCATGGTACAGTAGAGGCTCATCAAGAAAGGTGCGTTTGAAAGCCACACCTCAGCTTAGAAAAAAGGCTGCGAGGGTGGCATATGGACACGCCCCCCTTTTTATCACCGCGTTCCTTGCGTTCTTTCATGCTGACCAATCCTCCAGTCCCGTTCTTGATACCAGCAACGGCAATACTCTGCAAGATGCTACCAACGGCGACTCATCCAACAAGACGAAACCCTTGAAACGAAGTAGAAGCCGCAAGGGAAAGGAGAAGGCAGATGCCGATGTTGAATTAGACGGGTTAACTATAGATTCATCGACCCCAGAAGCAGCGCCAACCAAGAAACGACGCAAGAAAGCGACAGGTTCATCAGCTGCAAGACAAACTTCGGCAGTAAAACAAACAAAAAAGGGCAACCAATCAAGCTCTCCATCGAAAACACGCAAAGGAAGACAAGTACGCGAACCTACACCGCCTCCAACTCAAATCGTTAAAGGAAAATGCCTGCGATGCAAGGAAAGAGGTATCAAATGCAACGAAGCAAAGCCTACATGCAATCAATGTCGTCGTGGTTTGTGGACATGCCAATACGAAACAACTGGACCCAAGAAGCGATCAAAGAACGGGTGCATCAACTGCAAAGCACGCAGACGAAAATGTACGGAAGAACATCCTTTCTGTGCTTACTGCCTGAAAATGGATGACGACTGTGTGTACCAAAACGATGCATGAGATGCCGACTACCAAAAAAAAACATGCATACCGCAGGGCATCGAGCTATCCTTCACATGCTATCATTACAGGGGAAAACCGGTCGACACTCGTGACATGTTGTTCTGGCCAAGAGTTGTCTCCGCTCCGCAGACGAACAAAACAACGGCAAATCAAGCAGGCCCTACCGTGGAAGATTCTGCGGTAAACGTTGCATACCTAGGCAATGCATTAGCGATAGCCGAACTTAAGCCGGCATATATTGCGGGGGTCGGGATGCATTAGACTTGGGGGTAAAATGAGGCCAAGATGTGTAGTATGAGGGCATTTTCCATGATGCCGCATCCGACAAGTCCATGGCCGAGTAGGCCCTGTCAATTAGACAAACTAGAACAGACTGCACGCCGGCGGAAGGTGTCACATCTAGGCTAGCTTATACGGCGACTACTTCCCCCACAGCGTACCGTACCAAATTCGAATTAGGCTTTTGTACATGTCGGGATGGCAAGTACGGCACTCATAAGTGGTCTGACCGTGTCCCAGTATTCGCAGGAGTGATTGACCGTGGACGTTGTTGTGTAGATAATATGCGACTTCAGCTTACACCGTGGCAAATGCACTATGACCTATACAGATAATTTCCTTTTATTAACGTCGCCACAGGGCTCTCGAGGGCCTTCGCTTAAGTAAAGTACAAAGTACCTCGACATTTGTTTCCGATGACGTTCCTTTCCAAGGTGCTGCCGATCTTGGTTCACATAGCCAGAACCCCTGTCAAGCCGATTTAATCAGGGGTTGGGGAGTGGGAAATTGTCAAAAAAGCTAACCCTGGAGAACCGGGCCGTTGCATGCTTAAATTCCTCCCACACAGGTTTGGCACAACATTGTTGATCCCCGAGTTCCCCAGCTCTTGACCTAATCCATATTGTCTTGTCCCCGGACGCTGCTACGGCACGGGGTCACTTTACTCCACATGAAATGTCTTGAGCCGAGGACGCGGATCTTGGAATTCAATGGGGAGTGGTGGAGCCTAGACATGTACACCTGGTGGTGATAGGTCACGTAGAAGGTTGGCCAAGTGTCTGGGGGGAGGTGTCCCCGTGCAAGTCATATATGCGATATGACGGGGGGGCTTTCTTTCGAAATTGAATGGTACTTATAGAGCTCCGGCTCTGTCACTTTGTCACTTTTTGTTTCTTCTTCACCAGCACGTTTTCGAGTCTTCGTGTGTTACCTTGACCGAATCCATCGTCACTGCTGCCACTTTGGGTTCAAGATGCGGACAGCTATCTTTTCCATACTAGCTACGGCTACGTTGACCACGCAGTCTGGTGAGTCTATTTTTTTTACCCTTCTCGGGTAGACAATTGTCTTTTCTGATGCAGCCCCGGAGTGGGAAGCAATCGAGCACTGTTTACTGTCCAGCGGGCAATCAAAGATCGAGCTCAATTGCTGGACCCGATGGCTTTCTATTGAACGACAAAGTAACCTCAACATATTCTAACACCATTGCAGCGCTCCCATCCGATGCCTTGCACTCGAAGCGAGCCCTCCTGGGCTGGGACGAGGCATACTCCAAGGCCGAGGCATCACTCGCGAAGCTCTCTTCCAGCGAGAAAATCGGCATCGTGACTGGTGTTGGTTGGATGAAGGGGCCCTGCGTTGGAAACACTACTCCTGCGAGTTCCATCGGATACCCGTCTCTGTGTCTGCAAGGTGAGAAAGCGAGATAATCACATCTTATCGATGTGAATTGCACCTGCATATGACCCAAATACTGACATGGTCTTAGATGGCCCCCTCGGAATCCGCTACGTCAAGGGCGTCACCGCCTTCTCGGCTGGTATCCACGCCGCTTCTACCTGGGATCGAGACCTGATTCACGAGCGTGGTAGCTTCATGGGCAATGAGGCCAAGCAGCTTGGTGTGAACGTACAGCTCGGTCCCGCAGCAGGCGCGCTCGGCAAGTTTGTACGTATTATGTCGCATACACAAGTGTAGCATGTTGAGATACCATCTTATGGTAGTGGTGCCATGAGATATGCAAACTCTATTCGGAAACCCCTGCTTGAAACTTTACTGACCTTGCCATCGCGATCTAGGCCAAGGGCGGCAGGAACTGGGAAGGTTTTGGTGCGGATCCGTACCTCCAAGGTATCGCTATGGCGGAAACTATCAAAGGCATGCAAGAAAGCGGTGTCCAGGTATGTGATTCGATAAGATCCCGCAGCGATATCACACCCTGCAGGAACGTTATTCTAACAGTTGACTTGAGGCTACGGCCAAACATTGGACAGTGAACGAGCAGGAGCGCAACCGTGATACGATGAGCAGCAATGTTGGTGACAGGGTTCTCCGCGAACTCTACAACTGGCCATTCGCCGATGCCGTCAAGGCCGATGTTGCCAGCGTTATGTGCAGCTACAACAAAGTCAACAGCACATGGGCATGCGAGTCCGACTTCGTCATGAACAAGATGCTCAAGGAGGAGCTTGGATTCAAGGGCTATGTGAGTTTTTCCGCCATGAAATTCCCCGCATTGAGACAGCGGCTGATCGTGATTTAGGTCATGTCTGACTGGAATGGTGAGCGAGCCTCCGATAATCTTGACTGAAGCTTTCTAACCCTTTGATCAGCCCAACACACCACTACTGGCAGTGCAAACGGTGGAATGGACATGACCATGCCTGGATCGTATGCTAGTCCCCTTTCACATAGGTGGATTGATTTCTAACTCTGTCAACAGTGACTTCAACGAAGGAAGCTACTTCTGGGGTCCTCGTAAGTAGTTCCTAGCAGACTAGATGCTGCTATTGGTTGCAAGCAAGCCGATACCTAACCGATCCCAGAACTCCAGAGCGCCGTCAACAACGGCCAAGTTCAGCAATCCCGCGTCGATGATATGGTCAAACGTATCCTTGCATCTTGGTACCTCGTCGGACAGGACAAGGGCTACCCAGCGACATCATTTGACAGCTGGAACGTCGGCCAGAAGACAATCACCGGAAACCACTTCACCAACGTCAGGTCAATGGCCAGAGACGGCATTGTCCTGCTGAAGAACGAGGGCGCCTCTTTGCCTTTGAAGGCACCAAAGAGCGTCGCCGTGATCGGCCTGGACAGCATCGTCAATCCAAGGGGCGCCAACGCTTGTGTAGACCGCGGCTGCAACGAGGGAACCCTCATCATGGGCTGGGGATCCGGAAGTGTTGAGATCTCCAACCTTGTTGCACCTCTTGACGCGATCAAGGCTCAAGGCCAAAAGGATGGAACGACCGTTACCAGCTCTCCTAACGACAATGCTCAACAGGGCGCGTCTGCAGCACAAAACGCCGAAGTCGCAGTCGTCTGCATCAATGCCAATGCAGGCGAGGGCTACATCACCGTCGAGGGCAACGCGGGTGACCGAAACGACCTCAATGCATGGCACAACGGCAATGCGCTCGTCGAGGCTGTTGCCAAAGTCAACAAGAAGACGGTCGTAGTCGTCCACAGCGTTGGACCCATCCTCATGGAATCTTGGATCGAGAACCCCAACGTCGTCGCTGTTGTCTGGGCTGGTCTTCCTGGCCAGGAGTCTGGAAACGGTCTTGTAGATATTCTTTACGGCGCTGCTTCGCCCTCCGGAAAGCTCCCCTACACCATCGCAAAGAAGGAGTCTGACTACGGCACCACTATCGCACCCGGCGACGACTCCAACTGGGACCTATTCATTGACTACCGCCGCTTTGACAGGGACAACATCGAACCACGTTTCGAGTTCGGATTCGGTCTTTGTAAGTTTTTTTTTTCTCTTTCCGTTTCCACGGACTCCTAGATCCAGATCGTTCTCCTACAAGATTAATATTATCATGGATAGAAGGATGCTAATACATCGTGCAATAGCCTACACAAACTTTACCTACGCCGACCTTGCCATCTCCGGCGCCCCCACTGCCGGCCCCGCAACAGGTGACATCGCACCAGGAGGCCACGTCGACCTCTGGGAAACCGTTGCCACCGTTACCGCCGAGATCACCAACAGCGGCGGTGTTGAAGGTGCGGAAGTCCCTCAGTTGTACATCGGATATCCTGCCGGCTCCGGCACACCACCAAAGCAACTCCGCGGTTTCAACAAGTTCAAACTTGCGGCCGGCGCTAGCAGCACTGCCACGTTTGAGCTCAGGAGGAGAGACTTGAGTATCTGGAAGGATGGCGAGTGGGTTGTACCCAGTGGTGAGTTCACGGTCAACGTGGGCGCCAGTTCGAGGGATATCAGGTTGGAGGGAAAGATTACCGTGTAAACCGGTTATAGTGCAGAAATGTAATCGAGAAGGGAGTGAGGGTGTAAGCGTCTCGATGTATATATTTTCAGATATGAATGGTTCATGACTCGATTTGGATTTATATGAGGTGTCAAATGTCGCTTTTACGTGTCATGCGTTCCGTTTAGATCAGCCTTCGCCGCCCGAAGCGTTCTCGTCCTCAGAATCCTCCCATTTTTCCTGATTCGACTTGTTGTCAAGATTCTTTTTCGTCGCCTCGAGGCCGCCTGAAGTTAAAAACAAGAATGTCGGATCCCTGTAGTTATCAAGATGGGTGAAGAACGCATTGAACCTATGCCGATGTTAATGGCTGTCACTGTTGACCAGATTTAGCAAGCAACTTACTGGTTACCTTGCGCCTCCTCTCTGAAGATGCGCTGATAGATCTCCCGCTCTTTGAACTCCTCAATGTCTTTCTCAAATTTGGAGAAGTCGATGCTGTCCCAGCCATTCGCTTGAGCCTGTTTCTGGTTGTACGAGTCGAAGACAGGCCTCTCCAACAAGAGCCCAAGACCGGGTGCCTTTGGTATGCGCACAGTGACATTCTCGAAAGATTTCCTCATAATGTCCAAGCTGGTTCCGCATCGGACAGTCAGGGTGGCCATGCCGACCATCTTGCGGATTTGGTGCATCATAAAACTCTGACCGTGGACCTTGAGAGACAGCCATTCGGTGTCATTAATTATGATTGGTTTATCAGCAACCTTGAATGATTTGATGTAGCGTTGAGCTGAGCGGTCACTGAATTTCTTCTGCACGGTGTAGTTGTGGTACATATGAGTTCCAACATATACTTCCAGGGCAGCCCTCATTCGTTCCTGTCGCTCTGGGGATATACGGTACGCTTTCTTTGCATCCATGTACGCTTTCTTGAGATCCTTGATAGCGGTTTCAAGAGCAAATTTGTTGGCAGTGAACTCGGGTAGAACCACCGAACCGTCCGTTTGATCATCGAGTTTGAGCTTGGGATTTTGTTCTTGCACGGCCTCCACCATTTGCTCAACTTGAGCATCTAGTTTGACATCACTTTCTTTAGCAGGCGACTGTCGGTCTTCCTCCTTGGGCTTCTTACTCGAATCGGCTACTGGATCTTCGTCAGGAGCATTCGTGGATTCCACATTGTACAGAGCTTCTAGCACCAGGGGACGTATCGAATCGTCGAGGGCATCCAGAATCGGCTTGATGCGCTTCTCCTCCACTTCCGACCAAAAGTCGGCCACCTCAGCTTGTCGCTCCCGGTAACCCGTCATGTCATTTTCACTCTCCGCATACTCTTCCAGCTTTTTGGCCAAGAAGCTGGAGGGATGTGGCGGCAGGAAAGAGTGTGTTGGGATTAAGTATTCATACCAGCGGGAATCGCAGGCCTGGTAGCAACTGAAAGAGCCAGTGGTGCGCTGAATCCCCCATACGCGGATCTGTGAGGAGAGATGGCTGTTGATCTTCTGGACAATGTCCTCTTCTTCGATGATGAGCTTCAACGAGATGATATTTCCAGCAGCATGGACACCTTTATCGGTACGAGCGCATCGCACGAGGGAAGACTTCTTGGGATCGTCGGCATTTGCCTTGGAGATGGCGCCGGCAGAGACAAAGGCCTGGAATAGATCACCTTCGATCGTCTTCTGTTTGTTATCAATCTGCATGCCCTTGTAGCCAGTGCCAGAGTACCCGAGCATGACAGCGACCTTGCGCTTAGGACGACGCTCCTCGGCCTCAACCTCTTCGGCGGGAAAGGCTTTAGGTAGAGCGGTGACATCACCCTCAGCCTTCTGCTTGTTCTTGGCTTGTTGTTCCTCGTTGCGACCGCGGCGATCTAATTGCTCGCGACTGTTCAGTTAGAGATGAGAGTTGACAGGATGGAAGCGACGTACAGGTGCTCGTTACGCCCCATATTTCTCTTCTTATGAGCATGGCTGCCATGCTGGAAGCTTTGCTTGCCGCCCCTGCCACGGCCGCGTCCTCTGCGGAAGTCACCGTCATCTCTCCTGCGCTTCTGGTCGTCTGCAGGCGAATGGTCGCGCGGCCGCTTGCGTTCGCCATTGCCGTCGGCATTGTGAGAACTGGGCGGATCGGTGGAAGCCATCGTGTATTACAGAAGAGCCTGATCCGAGGGGAACAAGCGAACATCGATGGACGGGGTGGGTGGGCGGAAGATGGCGCAAATATGGCGGAGAAGAAAAAGTTCAAAGTGAGCGGCAGCTTCCCTTGCAATCTATGGGAGCTAGTTGTTAGTGTGGGGTAAGCGGGCCCGCGGGAAAGGCTTGGCTGGTCAACCGCGCGCGCAGCGGAAGCTCTAGGGATTAAAGAAAGCTCTCTCACTCTCTCCGGCCGCAAGCCCGCCCACGACACTCAACGGCCGCCATCGCCTCTTGTTACCGGCCAGTATGGACCCTCTGCAGCTCGCGAAGACCTTCGTGAAGACGGTGGTGCGCATGTTCTATACGACCGAGCACATCGTCGTGATTGATGCTCTACTCTACCATGGAGCGTACGTTTGCTCGCTCCGACAGAACAACAAAATAGCCTTTGCGCCTTCGACACTGACACTGCTTCCAGGCTTTCGCTTCCCGACCTTGTCTTGGTCCTTGATGCTGGCAAGAATACCAAAGGCGTGGGCAAGTTCTGTGGCAAGCTGAGGGAAGGCGGCCTTGTCTCTGTGTATGCCAACCCTCGATTCGCCTCCTGACGTAACGAATGTTACGTTGACTGACCTTACTATCATAGCTACTCCCGACAGGAAACTCGAGAAGGCGCCATGAAGTCTATCAACCGCGAGTATTACTACATCGATTACCGCCATGCCATCGACGCCGTCAAGTACAAAATCCATAAGATTGATGAACGCATAAAGAAGGACGCAAAACCCACTACGGAGAAGATGGAATACGCCTGTAGACGTTGCAAAGCCCAGTGGACAACCATGGACGTTGTGGATTTGGTCGACGATCTTGGTCGCGACAGCGGGTTCTTGTGTAAGAAATGCGAATATCCTCTCACCGAGATCACAAACGAAGAAGAGGAAGCGGTCGACAACGATGACACGCCCGCCAAATTCAACAGACTGTTTGGTCCTTTGCTCACTCTCATGCAGCAAATTGATCACGTCACTATTCCCGCTGTAGAAGGAAAGGATGCCCTCGACGCCGCTATCGAATTGCCCCGAGATAAATTCCTCAATCCTGGTGCGAGACACGAGGTTGTCGTCGTTCCAGCATCTAAGCCTACTGCAGTCAAAGGAACCAATAACACGGTCGAGAAAATCGAGATCCAGATCGCTAGTACCTCTGAGTACAACGAAGCAGCTCGGGCTCAGGAGAAAGCTCGCCAAGAGAAGCTTGCAGCCCAGAATGCACTGCCCGAGTGGCACACCAAGTCTACGGTTGGAGGCAAGACGAATAGTACCAATCCATCTGCCGCAGCGACGAGCACCAACGGCACGCAGACACCTACCATTAAAACGGAGACTCCCGATGCCAAGGCTGGCAACCAACAAAATCTGGATGATGTCTTTGCTGCCCTGGAAGCTGAGCGAAGAAAGAAGGATGAGGAGGATGACGACGAGGACGAGGAGGACGATGATGAAGAAGAAGATGAATTCGAAGACGTCGATGTCGGCACCTCTAACCCTGATGCAAAGCGCATAAAACTGGAATCTTCGGTAGCGCCAACGCCTTCGAATGCGGCGACGCCCGCACAATCTACCGGTGACGGAGGTGACGAGAGCGATGAGGACGAATTTGTCGATGTTTAATTTTGCATAGCGATGGCGTACGGATCGGCGTTATATACCAGGGTCGGTGAAACTTGACATTGCCGAAACATACAATTATTGCTCCAGGCCATCGAGTTTCCATTGATGTTTAGCAGAACGAATATGTATATGGCTTCATCTCCAACCTGAAGCATAGGATGAACGTTCAGGCAACTTAAAGATGTACAACATATAAAAAAATATTAATCTTTGTATAAGCATATGCCTGTGTCTGTAGAGAAAAATGCTGATCCTTTGTAATGACAAATACCATCAGTGAACTTTCGATTGAGGTAGATACGCAGCACGGACCACCACCGAGCTTTAACACGATTTCCAGCATCCCACTAAACATCCCCGCCAAAGCACACGAGTCCGCATTCACTCCCCGCAACTTACTCCCTAACCCGCACTACTCACAGATGGATGCGAGATAACAGGCTCAACCAAGATGTCTGCCTCTACTGCCAATTCGCTCGCATCATTGCTCGCCCAGACGTCATTCGAAGATCACACAGAGTTGTTGAAAGCCGCCAATGCTGAAATCAAGAAATCCAAGTCGGATCTGAACGCTCACCATGTGAGGGTAGTTGCTCTGCTCAAACTCGATCGATTTGAGGATGCAGCTACTGTGTTCAAGGATGTAGAGGCTCTGCGACAAAAAGCCCCGTTCGAATACGCCTATGCGCTATACAAAACAGGGGACGCCGGGAAGGCTGTCGAGGTCGCGCAGGCCCAGAGCGTCAAGGGAGACCGTGGAATAAAACATGTGCTGGCCCAGGCTGTACGTTGTTATCAAACTATCCTGGGGTCGTATGGCTGATTCGATATAGGCCTACCGATCAGAGAGCTTCGCGCAAGCTATGAACATATACCGAGAACTTGCCAGCCAAGGTGTAGAAGACGAAGAGTACGACATTCGCATCAATTCGGGGGCAGTGGATGCGCAATTGGAATGGGATGGCCAAGGCGAACTCGCGCAGAAGAAGAAGCCTACGAGGGAGGATCTCGAAGTGTTCGAAACGGCATATAATGCGGCTTGTGGGAGCATAGCGCGGGGTGAATTGGCGCAAGGCGAAGTGTGCTTGAAGAGAGCCATCAGCCTGTGTAGTGCGCTCGAGGATCTGTCCGACGAGGAAAAAGCAGCCGAGATTTTGCCTATGACGGTACAGCACGTCTACATATTGACGCAACTAGGAAAGATTGAAGAAGCGGAGCAGTTGGCCGCTACGATTTCCGTCCACGAGTATGGCTCTCCATGTTCACCAGCAAAAAACTTGAAACTGACTTCGTTCTAGGATCAAGGAAATATCCACCCGCTATATTGCTCAAGTGAACAGTATCGCCGCTTCCAAGGATATTGCGAATCCGTATCTCTCGCACCGCCTCTTCCACTCCTCACCAGTTCCCTCCAAGACAGATCAACACTTTTCTTTCCAATCGAATCTTCTAAAGCAAGATGGATACGTCATGTCCCTTCTCTCACAGAAGACCGACGGCGTGGTATCATCCACAGAAAAGGTCATTTCTGCGGCACCAACACCTACGCTATCACCAGCCGTGAACATGGCTGCTGTGCTCAATGCAGCAGGCCATGCAAGAAACGTTACTAGCGAGAAGGCCGCGCTAAAAGAAATATTACCTCTCCTCGAAAAGCGGCCCTCGGATGTAGGTTTGATACTAACTATTACACACCTCTACGTATTGATGGGCAATTACGCTGCCGCTACTCAACTGTTGGAAACCTTCTTCAAACGTCTCGAGCAATCGGGCACAGCGACTGACCTCGACGTCCGTTTCGCCCCTGGTCTGATCGCAACCCTTGTCTCCCTCTATACACAGCAAGGCCGACCGGGCGCCTCGCGCTCCGAATTAGCAAAAGCAGCAGAGTACTGGCGCAAGCCGCACAAGTCCGAGACAGCAGCCCCCTCCAAGGCTCTCATGGTTGCTGCCGCCACCGCTCTCCTCGACACGCACAACGCAGACAACACAAAGCTGGCTGGTGAAATATTCAAGGGCTTGCACGAACAGGACGATGAGGACCGAGCCGCCATCGCCGGCCTGGTCGCCGCATACTCCATCACGGACCCGGAAAACCTCTCGCAGGACCTCGTCGCATACCTTCCCGAGCCCTCAAGGCTCATATCGGACATCGACGCCGCGGCCCTTGAGGAGGCCGGCGTACCCATCGGTACTCTAGCCACCACATCAGTTGCACAAAACCCCTTGACTGCCGAGTCTCGCAAGCGCGCTGCCGCCGCCACGACCTCCAAGACTGTGCCCTCAAAGGCGAAGCGCATACGCAAGGCCCGCATGCCAAAGGATTTTGACCCGAACAAGAAGATGGACGCTGAGCGTTGGCTGCCGATGCGGGATCGTAGCTACTACCGACCTCGAGGGAAGAAGGGCAAGAAGCGTGCCGATGGCTTAACGCAGGGCGGCGCTGTCAGCGAGGAGAAGGGCAGTCCGGCGCCGCAGGTGCAGAAGGCTGGAGGTGGTGGAGGCGGAGCTAACAAGAAGAAGAAGAACAAAGGCAAGAAGTGAATTTAAATCACTTTTTATCTGGTCTTGAATCTGCCGTTATATTGAGTTTCTCCGAACTGGCACATATATGTGTGTGGGAAGAACCAGTACTTCTCGGCAAAAGCGATGTGGGAAAAGTAATTCTACTTAAGGAGAGTTCACTTCAATGGGTGGACAACTATGTGCAGAACGATCCATGTTGGAGCAAGCTCTACCATATGTATGTGGTGGAGAGCTTTGCGATTTATGCAGTACGCTATGTACGAACTATGGAGATTCCTCTGCGAAACCACACGTAGTGTATGAAAACCGAAGAGAATACATACATGTGTCAACCCCAATTTCGCGTACAAGAAAAATTACTCCGCAAAATCAAAAAAACGCCCGGCTTCATTTGTATACTGTGTGCCTGTGAATCAAAATAACGCAACCAATAGATGCAGGGCGGTACAAAGGAAAATATCTGAGGTCATTACTGTGAAACGCTATATGCGCGAAAATGGAGAATGCATCATTCTAGATCCAAAGGGAAATGAGACTCTTGTCTACTATGCAAGATTCAAACGTTGAAAGTTGATCCAGGCTCAGACCAAGGGGATGAATGGAGGCGCCGAACTCATGTACGCGATATGAGTGAATCTTCTTCGAGGTTATCAACAACACTCTCTCTACGTGACGGAGCGCCATTGGAGTCGAGGTCCTCGAGGTACACTACGCAATCAACAAGTCAGTTTTCTCTCCTCGTGGATGCCGATCGTGTTACACGAGGAAACTTACCATGTGGCCTAACGAACCAACTGCACAACAAAGCAGTTCCAAAAGTGACCGTCAGACACACAAAGACAGTCTGGCGGTAAGTCGACACCGTCGCACTGTAAATGCCGTTGAAGATTGTCGGTCCCAGCACTCTAGCGAACGCATGGAGCAAACCCGTCGCACCCAAAAGCTGTCCAACCTGGTCGGGACGGACGTGTTTGGTTAAGGCTGATCCCAGAGTGGGCGATCCAATTCCACCAATTGCAGCGACAGTCCCCGAGAGAATGAAGACACTGCCGTCTCGTGCAAGCGTGTAGCCTAGGAAACCCATCATGTCGAACAAAACAGCCAAACGGATGATGAACAGATCGAACCGGTCGGAGCCAGAGTGAGGTTGGGACTTGGTGCCCTGTTTGCCCCGTACGATGCGTGTGACCAACGGGAGGGCGACTAAGAGGCAGAAAACGCGAGCGCTGTTGACGATGGAAACAAAGCGTCCGGACTCAAGCTCCTGCCAGGCGAATTGCTGGCGAACGTACACCAGGATGACGCCCATGGCTCCCATGGCTACACCAAACATGATGGTATCAGTCGCGGCAAGGAGAATCAAATTCCAGCGGACGGCCGAGTTTGAGCCAGGGCCTGTTGGCCAGAGGATTTTGAGGGGTGCTAGAAGGTTGATGGATCGGAGTTGGTTGATCCAGTCGGCGGCTGGTCCGATCCGCTCCCTTTCTTCGCGATACTTCTCTCTTGCTGCTTCTTGTCGTGATTTGGTCAAAGATTCTGGAATAACGAAGGTCAAGAATAGGATGAAAACAACATGGCATGCTAGCGCTATGTAGAATACGAGCAGAACGGCCTCTGTTTTGCCTACGTATTTTTCACGGGCCTTGATGATGTACCCTGCAGCTACGGGTCCGAGAGCGATTCCAGTGAAGAGGCAAGCATGGAAGTACCCAAAAGCGACATTGCGTCTCTGTGGCGAGGTGCAGTCCGAGGCGTAAGCATGGGCGAGAGCCATGCCGACGATAAATGAGCCACAAAGTCCATCAGCTGCGTAACCAACTAATATCCAGTTGACGTGTACCTTCTCTGGATACTTGGCGGCGAGAATTGTGAGAACCTCTCCAACCAGGGTACCAAAAGCGGTAAAAGTCAACAGCTTTTTCCGGCCGAATCGATCAGACAAAGCACCCAACTTCGGAGAAGTGATGGCTGTGAGAATGCCAGATACCAGGCTTCCATAGAGTAGAAACAAAGATGACCGTGCAGAAACAGCATCCGTTCGGCAGCGATCGGGCTGTTGGCCTGGGTCCAGAGGCCCGCTTATGGGATCGGGGTCTTGCGCGGCGTAGTATTCTTCGCATACCAAGTCCATGATCAAGTTGATCTTGGGGACGATGATGCTTCCAATAGCTAGAGTGAAGAGTAAAAATGGAGGGATGAGCCAATATATCTACACTAGAGTTAGAAGCTGAATCGCAAGGTTGGCAGAATGATGCATACAGAGGGTCGTTTCCACCAGGGAAGCCCTTGAAATTCGGCATATCCAAACCACTCCTCGCTCTCTTCCTCATCTTGTTCTTGTCCGTTGCCACCGCGTTCGTGACCACGCCTACGCCGCAACAGCGGGGATTCTTCGTCGCCCTCGCTATCAGATTGAATAGGTGCTGCGGGAATCCGAGCAAGAGAAGATGTGGGCTTTTTGCGGTGCGATAGTTCCTCCAACTGCTGCTCAATCTCTGCATCCTCTACGAATGGGGCATCGGTCGAAGCCATGATGGAGGTGAAGCAATGGAAGGTCGATGTAGAGGAGGCAGCTAACGTGCGGCGCTTTCAGTCGATTTCGGAGATAGATTGCGGGGGACCGCAATGGTGGCTTGGAGCGGGAAAGGGAGGTATTCAATACGATGACATTTCCAGTTCGCCTTTGGTACTTATATAACCACTAGATAAGCGCAAGTCAGCTTGTATTATGTGGCGTCAGGCAATGAGGATGTCGCAATGGCAAGGAGAGAGAATGTCGAGTATAAACCGGGTACGCGGAAACATGCGCACGCGACAGGTTCCTCGGATACATTCACGATTAGCTTACCAGATACCTCCGGTTACCAAAGTCAACCCATTCAGTACTCAGGTCGATCGTGAAGGTGAACAATAACCCCGCGCAAAAGACGAGGTCCTATCCGCCCGCTCTGGTCCGTGACTGAGTATGCGGTGCCCAAAATCCCACGCCGAGGCTTCAAGGATTAATGATGACGTTGCCATTGTTTCGCGCGAAAACCAGTCTATGCCAGTAAAGGTAAAGTGCTCTTCCTCTTATCAGATCTCGGAATGCCTATATCTTCATCTGTTACGAATAGTGCATGCAACTCTTGAGATTTCACTCTTGGCTTAGAATGACTCTTTATGTTTTCTTCTGTTCTGAAGAGGCACGTAGCTGTTCTGGAACGCATATGGCCTATGACAAAATCTAGGTAAAATGATTTCACTGCAAATCTCCAGATATGACTCCTTTCGAGATCATATATATATACATCGATCACTCTTGGAGCTCTCAAGGTATTCTCCCTCATTTAACACACTGCTATCATTCTCATCGTCTTCTCCTCGATTTGTTTTTCTCGATTCATTCATTCGTGTCCTATCGTTATAGCATGTCTACATCCCAAAATACCGTCATTGACCCCTCGGTAACTGTCGTACGGTGCGTTCTCATAGCGTTGTTTGCCTTCAGTCACCGTTCAAACCATGTTTTGGAGCACGCTGATATGTACAAAATGCCAACACAAGCTCAGGCTAGACGAATTTCGAAGAGGTCGGTGAAGCGAAACGCAACAGCGACTCATCGGAATCTCCAGGGGACCCTATATGCGAACCTTTCATGTGTGAACGCGATCGATGGTTATTACTCTCAATCGTATCGGCTTCCATTTTCATTTGATTCCGAAATTCCGCGTCTATACACGCGTCAATTATGTCCCACATCTGTACCTGACAGACATGAACGTGTACAGGCATACGACACTGATGACATTGACTGCAGTTCAGCAATATGTACGAACTGTAGGAGTATTGCATGGACGCGAATGCGAGCTGCCATCAAGTTGTCACACGAAAATTCAAGCAGAACAAGAAGCATGAAGAAACGTGTAAGGTGGGGAAGCGTACAAGTATTCCATTACGACGACCAAAGCATTCTTTCGAGTTTCAGCACAACTTAGTTCAGCCCATATGTACAATTTTCCACGACCTTCCTAAATATACGCACAATTTTCGAAGAGATTATTCACGCTTTATAACTGCACACATGCAAATTTTCATCGAGCAAGACCCAATCCCTTCGGTAACTTCGACCTGAATGCCCATGCTGTGCCCATTGCAGCAATGCTCGCAGCTCCTAGCAGCAACCCTGTGTCACTGATAACCGATTCTTCGCGCACCCATCCAACACTGCTCTCCTTCTTTCCGTCGCCAAAAACAACTTTGCTGGCGTTTATGCGCTGCTTTATGGCCGTCTTCCCAGCATCCTCTTCCGCTGTAATAATCTCATAATCTTCCCAGTCGACCTTGCTCATCTTTTTCTGATACTCCACCACAGTACCGCTCCAGTTGTTCGTAATCTTGCCGTCGTCAGTCTTGTACCAAGAGTTACACGCCGGATCAGCGAATGAAGAGTTCCTCAATATCTCTTGTATCTTGTCGTTGAACTCATCTGTTCGACTTTTCTTTGGTATAATACCGATCCTTTCACCCCTATCCCTGGCATCCAGTACTGCCTTGACCATTCCGTTCAAATACCGCGATTGCGCTTCGATCATCAAAACAATGGAGTTGTGTCCGAGATTTGTGTTGGGCCCGTAGAATATGCCAAAATTTGGCAGATCGGGCACCGTCGTTCCGTATAACGCAGATGCACCGCCCTCCCAGATCTCTGTCAACGGACGGCCCCCAGCTCCCGTAATCTTCAGTGGATACAAAAATTGAACGGAGCGGAACCCTGTCGCGAGGACGAGCAGGTCGTGGTCGTGATGCTTTATCTCACCATCATCACTGCTCACTTGCACGCCCGTTTCGTCGATGCGCACAATCTTGTCGGTTTCTAGCACACTCTTGGGCGAAGCTATCGCCGGATAGTAATCATCACAGATGATCACTCTCTTGCATCCCGGGGAGTAGTTCGGTAGAAGCTTCTCCCACATGTCTGGGCGGCCCGGGAAGTGCTTTTCCATCAACTTCTTGCATTCAGTACGGACGAGTTGTGCGTGCGGCGACTGTGAATCCGTCACAGCATGGTAAAACTGCTCCCGGTAATCCATGGACAATGCACGGCCACGCCATCTGATCGGAGGCACATAACGATAAAGAAAGCGGCGAAACGACGAGATGGGGCCGTCCAGGCGTGGCACGACCCAATTGGGAGTTCTTTGATATACGGTGACGCTTTCGGAGGTAGGCACGATCTCGGGGATAATCTGAGCTGCTGTTGCTCCTGTTAATAGCATGTAGTGTCAGTCATAAGCTTTGTTTAGTCCACGACTGACAAGTCAACCAGGGATGTTAGACGAACCATTGCCGATGACACCAATGCGTTTTCCTTCAAGATTGTAACTCCAATCCCACCGCGCTGAATGCATAACTTTTCCTTTAAAATCTTCAAGTCCTTCAATGTCCGGATAATGAGGCTGATTCAGCTGTCCGACAGCGCTGACTAGAAAATCGCATTGAATCGAATACGCTGGTGAGAACTCCGAATCTTTCTCTCCCGTCACCTAAAAGGTCTCTCAGTTAGCTAGAAGTATGACCTAATCCGGTATGTGATCAGTCTGCCATCCGAGAAACAAACCATTACGCACCTTGACATCGACTTTCCACTGTGCGGCCCCGTCATTCCACGATGCAGCCTCGACCGACGAATTGAACCTGATATATTTGTACAATTGGTACTTCTGTGCTACATTTCGCAGATAATCCAGTATCTCCTCCTGTCCAGGATACTCGCGCGACCAATCTGGATTTTGCTCAAACGAATACGAGTATAGTATACTCCAGACTATTCATACACGCATGTCAGCTTCAGTATCAAGGGTTATGGAGAAGTCTGTATGCCACTTACCATCACAACAGCAACCGGGGTATTTGTTGTCGCTGTTATTTAGTTCCATCAGTTATTAAAATAGAAAGTGAATGACTAGCTTACTTACTTCCACGTTCCGCCCACCCCCGAGCTTCTCTCCAAGATGATGAAGTTGTGACATTGGTTGCGCTTGATGAGATCGATAGCCATACATACCCCTGACCTCGTCCAGCCAGATCAGTATCCATTCGAGCAACATCATGATAGCGAGTGCGACCTAAGGAGTTGTGATAAAGTTTTAGGGTTGAAGAAAAGTACATACCCGAGAAGCCCGCTCCTATGATGACGACCGTCGCTTGTGTATGATCTTTATTGCCGACAGGCGCCTGGGGCCACGGCTGCTGATGTTGTATTGCACCCATATTCGAGACTCAATCGCCGAAGTTGAACTCAGCATCCATATTCTTTTCCAAAGTGAAGGTTGAGGCGATGAAATAATAGATCGCAGACCTCAAGAGAAGAGAAACAGAAGCAGAGAGCACATGAGTGAAGAAAAGCGGATAACGAACACCAAAAAAGATGGAAACCCGGAGAATCAGCAGCTTCAAATACAAAAGCGGAAACATGGCACATGCGGTGCACGACATATATATTCCAGGTCTTCCGATTGTTCATCCAATACATCCGCAGCGGATCCCCCTCCTCATACCCGCAGGGCCTCAAGTCATGCTTCGCTCATCATGTTGACGCATCATCACGCTACGCTTTTTCGCTTGGCAGCTTGACTCTGCATGAAAATCACTGTACGAGTGGAGTTCATTTTCTAACCTCGGGGACTCATTATCAAACTCGGATGGTTGGTGTGGAGGACAAGGTACTTAGGTGCAATGCGAATGTGGGGAAACCTAATCGTTACCCAAGTGGATACGCAGGGTGAATCGTCATACTCGAGTCGATTTGCATCGCAGTCTTAACTTTGGATATGCTAGTTATTATCCGAATCCGGAAAGTTTGTTTTTTTCGCATCGTATGATGAATAGGTAATGGTATTTGTGATGTCTGATGTACATCTATGCGTATGTATATGCATGTCGAATGCTGACAGAGTAAAGCAGAAAGTACCGTAATCCCACACTATACCTTTCCAAGGTGCCAAATCGCATGCAATCACTGTATCCGGAAATTCATTGTTATTCATCGAGTCTCCGCCATCGGCCAAGGGCATGCTTTTGAGCGATCAGAAACCTTGCTCGCGTTTCCATTTCTCCTCCCATCCAGGAAACCATGGGCTTTCGTCCAGAGTTTGAACTTCCCAGTCCTCCGGCACTAATCCTTTTTCCACTTGCTCTTTCGCATACTCTTCGAGGGCTGGTTTGACGACATGTTCAACGTGCCAAGTATTTTTGTATTCCATCAAGCTGCGCTTGCTCTCGTTCAAGACCTTCAATACAAGTGCTGGAACGAAGGGCTCTTCTCGGAAACTCTCCACTGGAGTAAAGAGCGCCTTGAAATTGAATACCACGGCACCTGACAAGGGCATCCGACGCAAGGTCTGCCAATCGACTCGCAGATGGCACCGTGAAATATCAAGGTCGTTCATTTGCATGTCACGATGCTTTTCGTGAGGATCACCTGGAGGCATGTATAGCGGCTGGTCGACCTCCAGACCCCAAGACCCCCGCTGTATTGCCTTGTGGGTGGGTTTCTTTGCGAAATATCTGTGCGGACATCAGCTTTACAGTTGTCGACTAAACTGCCACCCATTTGCGCATGGCTTACCGATCCATTGAGAACTGCATTTTCTCCTTATAGTCAGGAATCGGGCTGTGGATTTCACGAAGGGACATGCCAATCTTTGAGCCTAGATTCCAACCCAATGCGCTGCATATGATACCCGCTCGAAATGAGTAGTAGCCGTTGTCTGGGTCGCGTATCATGATGGCAAAATCTTCGGGGATATTATTCAAAAGAACATGAAGCGGATGCATAGCCTTCAAGTTCGACTTAGTCCCGAGCAAGTCATTGTGGAAAATCATTGCCTCCGTGTTCAAACGAAAGTGTTGGGGGTACCGAGCGCATAGGAACTGCAAGACCATTTCCATGAGTTCTTTGCAGGCGAATTGGGAGCCGGGAAGTGCATCTAGTACGCCCTTTCCGTGTCTCCGAAATAACTCTTGCCGCTCCATAACTCGTCCCTTGTATGTACTTTCGAGCTCCAGCCACCACTCGGATTCCATCTTCGTGATCGCTAGGGATGCCATTAACGACGTACATTTCAGATTCGGCATATCGATACATACACATGGTTTGATGATATGACCATCGAAATGGTCTGTACGGCCGGGGTTTCGCTCTCGATATGTCGAAATTCAAGTATGGTCCTGGAAGAGGAATACCGCTAAGAGAAGCGTAATCAGGAAAGTCTCCCAATGCCTTGATTTCCTCCACGGAAAACCCACACGGTGTCATCATGGTCTTCTTCGCATCTTGGAGTTCAGATAAAAAGGGAACATCTTCTCCTTTTTTCTCAGGATAGTTGGAAAGTTGCTCCACTGTCTTATCCAAGTTTTGTGCTAGTCCTGGTATATTGGCCAAAACGAACCGTCGAGATGGCGGGTAAACACCCGAGTAATCTGGATCAGTCACATTTCCACTTCGGATCTTACCGGGTGAGAGCGACCTGGGCGGAGTTTTGGAACCCGAAGTTGCTCGTCGGTGGCGGAAATGGATGGGTTTCCCAAATGCATATCTCCTCCTCTGGTTAGGAAGAAGTAAAACGATGGAGGTGCCAATGAAAGCTACAACCAGAAAGAACAAAAAGTTGCTTTCCATCTTAGTGGTGGAGTCAAGCAGAAGCAACATGGAAGAAGTGTCAACACCCAAAGTGTAAGAGCGAAGATGGAGGATTGTGGCGTAGTGAAAAATCTCACTGCACAGAGGGCTGGGCCGTGGTCTAGGTGGTTGCACTGCAGGTGAGAGAAACCTGGGAATGCGGCAAACGTATGATATTATAGACAGTTACCCTGTGAAGAAGCCGAACCATTGGCAACTCGAGCTCATCGGATCGTTCGTGTGAATACGCGTTTCTCTTATCGTTAGTCGAAAGCGGGGGCGCACGATGTTGGAAGTGATTGGTGATGAACGGATACTCTTCATGGCTCCTGGATGACAAGGATGATCAATGACCAACAACACGTCTATATATGCTACATACCTGCCAAGATGCGAGGAGTGCCAGTCAAACACGAATATATCGGAGCAATGCAAGCTGCCCGCGTAAGAGGGGCACTCATAGCTCGCCCCGCCACCAACTCACCCCAGCAGCCACATGAAGCTGCAGAACCTTACCAAACACGGTATCTGAATCCCTCTTTCAATATATACGTTGGCCTATGGGTAGCAATGTCTGGTCGAGACCACCGTCTACACTTCAATGGTAGGCGCGGCATTTGTGTCGCTTACAGCGGATGACTTCTCAAAAATCGTCCGCCGATGTCGTGATCCACTAGTCTTGCGTGAAAGATGATCGAATTCGTTGTAAAAGATGGGATGTGAGCCATGTGACGGAGTATAGTACATTCATCTGTTCTAGGAAGCCGTCTCGCCGAAGAGCTTGTCAAGGAGCTACCCGCGTACTATATCAATCGGTTTCCGAATAAGCGACAGATAGGGCTAGGGAATCTGAATTGCCGATGGATAAGGCTGTAGTACGCTATTTTTGTATCTGCTGTTCACAATAATGATGTAATGGAAGAGTGAGGTCACATAACGGCGCTAACCCGCATTGGAACGTATCAGGTGGGGTGGTCACGAAGAAACGCTTTGTTTTCTTCGTAATCAGTCCTTTGGAAATCGGACGTGGTGAATGTCTCACACGGGAACTTTTCGATGGAGCTTGGGCTGACTTGCATTTTTGGGATATGGTCAACTGGTGGCAGTAAAGTAGCTCATGCTATCCACCAAACACCAAATCATTAACTACCTACATATGTAGGTAGGTACATAGGTACATATATGTAGGCACTTCTTCCATCTCAGCCCGATATTACCGAAATCAGGCCTGTACTGTCAGGTGATAATTACATACAAGATTTGGGAAAGAGTGGTGCAAAAAGATGGTTAATGCAAAAATCAGTACACATGTTTTATGATATTCGCAAGTTTTCAGTCTACACCAAAACACTACAGATACGTACTATAATCCTGTTTCGCAATGTACTCTTCCACAGTCGTATACTTGACATCAACGCCGTATTTTTCCTTGACTTCCCAAGGATAAATCACACTCGGATCCCCTCCGTCGAGTCCAAATTTATCAAAGTACGTGAACATCTCACCGAGTTCCTTGCCAGCCGAACCCATCTTTCTCTCCAAGACGCTTGCAGGGAACGAAGCAAATGAGACGGACACGTTGTTGACACGGCCCCAGATCTCTGCATACTCTTTCCAGCTAACCTTGGAGCCGGCGCCGACAAGGTTAACCTTGGGAGGTAGATCCAGGAGAGCCTTGACAAAGTTTCCTGCAGTGTGTCAGGAGTCAACGATATATCTTCTTACATGTGTGATTTTCTAGAGAGGAGAGGACCGGATAGGAAGTAGGGAATAAACGAACCTGTATCAGCATTGACGTCTGAGATAGCCACCTTGCTATCGCCACCCATAGGCATGCTCAAGACGTATTCTCCCTTGGTGTCCGTCTTCGTCGGCAGCGAAGTACCATTCGTCTTCCAATTCGACGCATAGAACCCTAGCTGCAACAGACTCGTCTTCTCCCACAGCTCAGGATACTTCTCTTTTAGATACTCTACGGCAACCCACTTAGCGTCGAAGTGCAAGTTAAACGTAATAAGCCCTTTACTCCAGTACTTGCTGTCGTTCAGAGTACTCAATACGAAGCGATCCAGGGTATCGATATTCGCAACCGCAGCGTCAACAATGTTCTTGGCGTGTTGAACCTCGCGCTCGTATGCTACTTCATTAGGCGTGATGCCGCGCGTCTTCGCTTCCTGGTGTACAGAACCGTCTTGCATGAGACCCCAAAAGTCCGTGGTGCCGAAAACCACGTTGGCTCCTGAGAAGGCTTTGGTCAAGCTCGAGACGCTGTTGAGGTCACCTGCTACAAGTTCGACACCCTTGTCTTTCCAGACAGCCGATGAAGGCTTTTTGGGATCCCGAGTGAGGCCACGAACGTGCCATTCGGGTAAGGCGAGGAAGGTCTCCGCGACAGAGCCGCCCTGTTTAATGTCAATGCTTGAATGACTGTGATGGAAACTGAAGTTTAGAAGTACTTGATTACCTGTGCTCCCTACAACAGCAATGATGTTCTTGCCGGACATGTTGATCTGTTTCGGTCTGTGATGTAGATTTGGTGTTTTTTGACTTCAATTGAACAGGTTCGGAAGCAGGCTGGATGGCGTAACAAGATTTGATGGCGATGAATGTGTTTTCTCCCCTTCTCCGCTTCCATCTACACGAGGTTTATACTCTCTCCATCTCGCACCTTTTCCATATCCCCAGCAAAACCTCATTCGTAATCGACAACGCAGTCGGCATCATCAAACCCGCGAATAGCGCCGATTCTGATTCAGCTGCCGTGAATCAAGGAAATTCCTCCCCGCACGATATCCACAATTCGCGATCGGGGGTTCTCTCGCACGTTGAACAAGCAAGTCGGATTTTCATGTGCATTCCGATGCCGATGCCGGTGCCGGTTCCGATACTATGGGTAGAGAGTGTGCAAATGGTGGATGAGTGGAAGCTTAGCGCCTGCTTTGTCGGCACGCTTGTTTGATGTCACGGTGCCGGGCTTGGTCAGCTTTCGGCCTATGTGTCGTAGACGAGCGAACACGGGGGTCATTTTAACGTAAGCAGATTTGCATTCTGGACGAATTGCGGAGAGATGGACTTTGGTTTCTCTTTCCCCGATACTTACCACCGTAGTAATCGTGCCATCTGATGGACTTGATCACTCAATCATCAGCAAAGAGATGCAGATTCCCTTTCTTCGACCCCGTGGTCCGGGACTGCAGCAAACTATCGCACTATTAAAGGGACTCAAGCACATCACATCGAAATACAAAAACGCAGTATAGTAAGTCAAACGTCTTCTGAAGTTCCGATAATTCTTTTCCCAAGAAATTGATATACAAGTACACCTAATATGAGGGTTGCAGCTGTTGCAACCCTATTTCCCGCAAACCCAACACCTCTCATCTCATAACGCAAATAGTCGAGCACAGGTGGAATGTAACAAGTAAACAAACAAATTTGAAAATAAACAAAACAACCTACTACCTCCTGGAACTCGCCATATGACCATAGCGATCACGTTCCCTGGTGGTATCGTACGCTTGTAGTACACGAGCCTGGGATTCGTCTGTTTGTGAGAAAGCGTAGCCACGTTGTTTGCGCATGCGTTGCACTTGGCGCACTTTGCGGATGGCTTTTTGGAATTGCTCCATGCTTGAGACATTGTTAGCGCGGCTTGTGGGAAGGAAGTATAGTGGTGTAGCGTGATGACATACCGAGGTCTGTAGTCTTGAATATTGTACTTCTGGATTTCCTGGACGTGATGATAGCTTTGAGGGTAATACATGCGCTTTGCATATTTCCACGCAAAGTCTCTGATGAGGCATAAAGGAGGAAGGACCAGGAGCATACCCCAGAACCTTGGGTCCGGGAACAGACGTTGAATAACACCTATGTACTCAGGCGAGGTGTTGTTCACTTTCGGTGCAAGGGTGGCATAAGCAGGAAGGAGAATGAACCAGAGAGCCATTGAGCCCGGGATGGCGAGAACAGTGTACTTGGTCCAGATGTTGGTGATGAGAGCAGCCTTGAGCAGCACCGTGGCCAAGGCAGCAGTATACAGCGAAGTACCCCATACCCAGTGCCCGGCATTGAGACCATCATGTTGCGGCCAATCCCAGAATATGAAGAGCTGTGAAGCATAGTAAAGGATAAGGGAGTGATAGAAGCCGTTTGCCACCCAAGACCAAAACGAGTGCATTTTGAAGAAGACACCGGATTGGGTAAGATGGTAGAGTTGTGGATATCTGTCTAGCAAGCGAGCGCTAACGTATTGGTCGAAAATTCCCAGTACGAATGGTGGCGCAGCGGTGAAGAAAACGTTATAAAAGGTGAGGGTCCAAGATTCGTAAATGATCTGGCCTGAGAATGCGTTCTGGCCTGAGTACCAAAATTGAGTCATGAATAGTGCAATGTTCTTGTAGAAGGAGTATAAGATGACTTTGCTGATGCGCTGGTAACTCCAAGCACCGTGAACGAGGAGGAGCTTGCGCAGGTAACGGAATTGTCCAATGGAAATATCAGCGCTTCGGGCAGCTTGGAGACCCTCCATACCGCTGATACCAATGCCAACGTGTGCAGCCTGAATCATGGAAACATCGTTCGCACCGTCGCCGATAGCAAGCAAAATGGCTTTCAAATGCCGTTTGACCAGCTTGACCACCAAAGCTTTTTGAAGTGGGGACACCCGGCAACAGATGACAGCTTTGCACTTCGTAGCCAAGTCCAAAAATTCCTTTTCCAAGTCGCGCTCCAATGCGTAAGTAAGAGACTTTCCGTCGATGACCAGAGCTAGTACATCTTGTTCCGCTCCTCCCATGCTTTGACTGTTGATTGCATTCAACTTCTTTTGAATGTTCTCGCGTGTTGCATCCTTGGACTCCTCGTTGACAATTAGCAAGCTCATGTCCTCGCTGATAAGCTTACAACTCATGCCAATGTTGATTGCAGTTTCTTGTCGATCTCCAGTCAGTACCCAAACTTTAATGCCGGCACTTTGCAAGGTAGCAATGGTATCCGGAACGCCATCCTGAAGCTTGTCTTCAATAGCAGTGGCCCCGAGAAGGGTCAGATCGTGCTCAATAAGCTCCGCAGCTTTGTCGAGTTCCTCAGCTCGGTTCCCGCTGACGGTCGTCTGTGCCTGATTGAAGATCTTATACCATTCCTGCCATTCATGCTCGGGAATCTCGCGCATAGCCAAACAAAGCGTCCGCAATCCATCGGCAGCGTATTCTTCAAGGTGAGTCAGTGTGACTTCGACATATGGATTGTTGTTTTTAGCCAGTCTTTCCAAAATCACGGTATCTGCGCCCTTGGTATAGCAGTAAATCTTTCCATCTGGCGCACGGAAAATGGTAGACATTCGTTTCCGTGTAGAGTTGAATTCACACACTGCCAAAAGCTCGTACTCAAATTCTTTGCCATCAACAAGAATCCTGACAGCGCGAGGTTTACGGGCAATGAATTTATATCCTAGCAGAACAGCACCCTCTACTAGAGCGCCTTCGTCGGGGGATGCTGCTTGGTATTTGATTTCTCCCTTCTCGCCTTTGCTCTCCGGAATGACTGTGTGGCAGGTAGAAAGCAGTGTCAAAAAGTGGTGGATGATGTTCCTGTCGCGATGTGTTTTGCGATTCTCGGCAAGTCTGGCAAAGTCATGAATTCCGACTTCAACTCCATCTTCGATTGTCGCCCGTCTGTCCTCAGGAACTTCGTCTGAATATTGAATGCCAGCGATGGAGGACTGTCTGAATTCCATGATGTTCTGGGTCAACGTGCCAGTTTTGTCCGAGAAGATGTACTCAATCTGACCTAGCTCCTCCACCAGAGATGAGGTACGGCAATTGGCAGGCGTGTCGGTAGGTTCGTAATAGATGTCGAGATCTGAGTCGATCAAGCTTCCGGTCCAGTATTTAACGACTTCGATGGTGACGAACAATGATATGGGAACTAAGTTAGAGTAAAGGACCCAATACGTCAACAGATCACCAAAGAACTGTTTGGCACCATTGAAATCTTCATATCGGAGATAGTCAAGCTGTTCACCATTCCTCATTCGAATCACAACGTCACCCACAGAGCTCACAATACTTAGGCCCACGAGAACACAGACGAGCATGAGAATCTGCCTGTTCACCATTCTCTCGACAGCAGTGGTTTTGATAGGAGTAGCAGTAGCGTTCCTCATAAGCTTGGTTTCGTGTCCGGTGAAGACCACTACACCATGTATCCACGGAGTATTCCTCAGGGTAGCCCCACGCAAGAGTAGCTGATCGGGTTGTAATGGGAGTTCCTTTTCCCCTCCTCCAGCTGCAATGGTCAACGTCGCTTCATACGTGTAAAGACTGCTGTTCGGCTGCTCGGATTTAATTTTTCCACCAAGCCGTCCTAGCTCGGCTGGACTGACCATGCCAGCGGTCTCTGGAATGCCCTGTTTGATCTTGAGATTTGTTTCGCCGTCCAAGTTCGCGGTTTCAATGTAGCATAGCGCCTCCGGCTCGGATGACGCGAGCAACACTAAATCTGCCGGGAAAGGATTCTCTGATTCGACACGAACAATGTCTCCTACAGCGACGTTTATCCAACGAGTGTCTTGAAAAGTGGACCCTTTCAAGACTTGTGCTCGCGAGTTGTTCAGTGCTGAATCCGACTGTCGCCTTCGATAATCCTCCACGTACTCTTTGACAGCTGACACGAGCAAGACAACACCTAGGGGAACAATCGTTGTGTATCGTTTCGTGGGTGAGATGCCAGGAATCTGTTGCAGTATAGCCGTGAACAAGAAGAATATGTTGGCGTATTTTGAGAACTGCTCGAAGAGAAATTTGGGAAGAAAGGTGATAACGTTGTACTTTGTAGTGGATACATGGTTGTTGACGTATTTGTTTTGCGCGTTCGCGGGAGGGTTATTGAGATGTATGATTCGAGGACCCAACGTCGATGGGTCTGGGGCACCACGACCGAAACCAAACTTGAACGTCCCCGATTTACGCTTTTTATGGGAGGCAGATCCGTCGTGAGTGCCGCTCGGTTGAGAGCGGTCCTGTTGTGCGGCGTTCTCAGTCAAAGGCAAGTCCATCTCGGAATACTCGGGTTTCTGGCCCAGCATGCTCTTCACACGTCCGCTAATACCCCCACCCAAGCTCATGATGCTATTCCTGTTAGCCTTGTTGGACTGTGAACGACTTGCTCCTGCTGGAGCGTCATATGTTGAACCGGCATAGTATCCCTGCGCGGAGTGATCGTCATCGGCCGGTATATCAGCATCCGAATAGCGCTGGTAGTTGTTCAAATCCGAGGTTTGCGAGTACAACCTCGAACCTCCCATGGCGTAAGGTGTATCTCCCGCGACAGGCGCACCAGGTCCGCCCGGAAGGCCTGCGGCAGGCCTGCCTCCCCCTACAAAATCATCGTATGATACCGAGGGCCGGCCCTGCGGCGCGTCGGTATTGTCTATATCGTATCGGTGAAGCAGCTGGTCATCGTCGACCGGGGGTCGTGCGCCAGAGGAGTAATAGGTGGGTTGGTGGTCGTCAAAGTCTATTAGGTTCTCGCTATGAGAAGGCGGTTGTCCTGGCGGCCGACCGGCCATGGCGGCCAAATGGATCGCGCGTGTCTTCTGCCACGTACAGCTGTGCCCCTCACTTCATCCAGTTGGAATACACAGTGAACCCTCTTTCCTAGCCCTTCCTCTGCTTGGTGTGTGTTGCTTGGTTGTGTTGGTGATGGGGGCGGTGGTGGTGATGGTATGGGGTAACAGAAGACGTTGCTCTCTCCTTCCAGTTAAACCAGTCCCCGAAGCTCCGCAGCCTTGGCCAACGTTTCGGAATGACGAGGGTGACAGAGAACAACAGCGCAGTCACGATGAACAAATGAAAAAAAAAAAAAAAGGCAGCAGTCGAATGCACAGATGCGAGGAAAGGGAAACCGAGTTCTCTCTCATAAGATTGAAGAGTTAATTGAGGAGGAGGCTCAGTTGCAATCACAGCGGCGCGGGCAAGTCAGATCCCCTTGGGGCAGTGCGAACGCCCCCCAACCTAGCAATACTACGAATAAGCGCACGGTGACCCCTGCTGCCATTTTCTCCAAGCAGGCAATGCGTCGTAAGCTGCTCTTTGCCAGGTGCGGTAATTTACAACAGAGCGTTGATGGCAGAAACAAGGGCGAGAAGGATGGCAATAAGTAATTCAGTGGACAGTCGCTTGTGTCGTTGCTGCAGCAGCTTCCAGTTGTGCTGCGCCTACATACATGTACTAAACGAAACGACGCGGTTCACGTTTGCATCGTGGGAGTGTTTGTGGCAGCGACTACACTCCGGCCAATATCTTTGTGCAGTGACCAAGCCTCTCCGCCACCAAGTCGACGGTGCTTAGAGGACTGCGGCGTGTATGTACGCGCAAGTACTACTTGCATACATGACACCATGTGCATGGTCCTCCAACGGCTGTGCTATTTTGGTACGAGATGATGCACCGTTGCTGCCGAAATCAGTTTATCGAAGGTCGTCGCAAGCAGGGGCAATGCTTCCAATAGTTCGCAAAGCACAACCAGGATGGTGCATTCACTTGTTGATGCGAGTCGTCATTCTGCAAAACTTTGCATCCCATGATATTGTTCGCAGACTCGCTGTGGTACGCTATGTTCTTTGCTCAACCATTACCCTTCGATAAGTAGGGTTGCTGCTCAACAATTACTCGGAACCATATTCAAAGAAGCGCAAAGATCGTACCCTGCACTGCAATCTATATACGTGCTTGCGGTTTTTAGACTCTAATCGGGGGAGGAAATCCTCGCGAAATCGGCACTATCTGTCTCGGTGTGGCAGGAGCACATTGGTTCGCAAGTGACAGAAAAGCCAGATGTAACAACGACCACCAAAAGGGGTATGGTTGATCCATGATGTGACATATCAATACATATCTAGGTAGTCAACGACAAGACAATGCAATTTGCTACACTGCGGAATATTGTTCGGGTAGGACAGGTAGCTCTTCACAGGTAGCTGCTCATGTACCTAATCAACATTTGAAGTCTTGATAGCAAGATACGCTGATTGACATATGGGGACATATTGCACATCACGCTTCGAATGTAGATCAGGCCACGTACGCTCACGATGGCGATAAGTTGGCGGACTTCTGAATCTATTTATTAAAGTAATGTATCCCTTGGACTGTTCGCAGTGTAATTCTGTTGGGTACGATCCTAGACACTAGAATAGTCAGGCTAACCCCCGCCATCCAATCGGACCATGTCTGGTGTGAAAATCATGAAGGAGAAAGAGAAAAAAAAAGACGAGAAAGCACTGACCCAACACTCATCGACATGGAGTCTGATGCTACTTTTTCTAGTAGAATATATTAGATAAAACCAGCAATTTTCGCATCAAATCATCACAGATCAGCTCTCGAAGCGTTCAACGCCTGGTTAGCTCAATCGGTAGAGCGTGAGACTCTTATGAGTTCACTTTCTCAGAAAGCGATTGATTTAAGCAACAATCTCAAGGTTGCGGGTTCGACCCCCGCATCGGGCTTTTTTCTTTTCTTTTGCAGATGTTTGAGCTGCAAAGCTGTTAAGGATCCGGGTTGAGATGTTGATGGGTGATGGATGGCCTGTGGGGTGACTAATCAGCCCAAGCTGTCTTTGGTTGGCTGGAAAGATGGTGTTGTGCCATGGCTTGGCGTTCGCTGCAATCAGGCGACAAGGCAAAGCTCGATCACGACTTGAAACATGGCAGCAGTATCAGTTCTTCGTTCTATGAACTGTCCCTGCAAGATGCGCATTTGTTTTTTTTGGTGGTAAATGCATGTGAAGGATGCGGCTTTGTTTGCCATGCGTCCTCATCCTCGGCCAATAGCAAAGATGGCAAATAGTGCTATTACTGTGTGTCAATAGTCTCAATGTCTCTCCTATCTCGACTGCGCGTTTCAATAATGCTCTGTAATCACTACCTTCAAGTACCATGTGGTGGAGATGTATCTGTCCATCTATACATAGGAAATTATTCGGTTCAGTGTCAGAGACATGTAGCGTCTTGGGCAGCAAGGCCAGTGAGAGTGGAAAGGGAGTTGTATCGGCATGTCTCACCATGAGTTTGCTGATGTTCATGGAAAGAAAGACGTTATTAATAGACGGCAGTTCTGTGGGGAAGCGAACAGTGCGTGGATCAAGAAATCAACGGTGGACCGGAAGGGCGTATAATGGTAAGTTTGATAAGCCTCACAAATATGATTCTGATCGGGGAATTGAGCATTGTGTGGTGGTTGGCTGAAGCGTGCTGATGATGATGTGATGGCTGCGGAGACTAGCGGTGGATGTGTACATAGTAGTGTAGTGTGCAGTACAGTGCACTCGGGCAGGATGCAGAAGTAAGTCGAGCAGGCAGGGCGGCGGCCTTGTTCTGGCCTGGGCCGGGCAGCGGGGAAAGCGTAGGATAAGAGCGAAACGGGAAGCTTGGCGTTCGAGTTTGGCGTTTCGGATCGCAGCGAATCGGGAGATCAGCAGGCATGGGTGTGGTGTTGATGATGATGAGGAGGAGGAGGAGGAGGAGGATGATGATGTATGGAACAAGCAGAGCCGATATCTCACCACGTACCGTCTCCGCACTCAACGGACGGGAAAATAGGCACAGCGGGCGTTGATCGTCAACGAGCATGTTGGGCAAAATCAACAAATCATTGCATGAAGCAGGGAAGGATACCTAGGTACACACATGTGCAATGAGGCAGAGGAGGGATGGCCAAGATCACATGTATCCAATGCTTACTAGGCGCACATGTAGCACTGCATCCAATACAGTAGCACCTGCTGTAGCCTCCCATGCTGAAACACTTGACTGCAGCCGCACGGGCCTCGCGACTCCACTCCCACTTCTTCCACGAAACCGAACAATTGAGCCATTCGACTCCCTTTGCACGTCCCGCCGCTGACGGTTATTGCCAGTGACTCGCGCATCGACTGTAAACTCCCGTACCAACGGCATTCATTCTCCACGGCTGTGTGTGTAGGCAATAGATAGCGTGCAAGCCTAACCTGATAACTCCCACACGCGCTTTCCTTCTTGATTTCTCTTCTTCTTCATCTCTCTCTCGTCCCCTCCTCTCCCTCCCCCCTTCCCAACCTTCGTCTGATACCCGCCTGTTCATTGGTCTACCTTGCACCCACCAAACGTTAACTGCTTTCTTGCTCTCTTCTTACTTCTGTGCACACCCCCCTCAACGCTATTACCATCCATATATATCACCCCCGTCGCACACATTCCCCATTCCTCCGTCTCCTGTTGCTGCTGCTACTGCTCTGTACTATACTCGCTGTACTGCCCATGTACATATACACACGGTAGCCCGGCAACGCTCGACACCACTGTACTGTTCGCAATGAAGAGAAAGTTTGCTTTCAACCTTGCGCCCGTGGTAAGTTTACTCGTTTGTTTGTTCACTATTATTTAGTTTGGTCGTTGCATTCCTCACGGCTTCCTCAGCTCACACACATGTTCAGAAGGTGCCGCCCCAAGCCAAACAATCGTCCGAGTCCACTTCGCAATCGCATCGCCGACATGTCAGCAAGGACAGCATACCGTCGTTGGACTCTCCCCGTATCAGTCGTCGCCATCTTGACGCCGTCACAGAACGCGAGTTGCGCGTAGCGTGCAAGCTGATCCTTCAGAACTTCAAACCCTCCGATGCCGACTTTGCCGATAACGACCCAAAGCTAGATTTCAGCGGCCCTCACAAACGAAGAGAAGATCCTGTCGCGGAACCGCAAATACCCCATCTCGTCAAAGACGTCAAGGTCTACCGACCCACTGGTGCACCCGCCAACACAAAAAGCACCCGCGATGCAACGAGACATGCTCAGAAGCCAGACCCTACCGTCAAGGCCTACCCCGATCTGCCTATGCTGGCAAACAGCAGCCGCCGGAGAGACTTATCTTCCGGGGAGAAGAATATTGAGAGAGGTCGGTCTACCAAGGTGTCTGAGCGCGAGCGCGGCGTTGCCAAGTCAGTACCCATTCGAGTCGACGTCGATTCAGACGATGCAAAGAGCCTAGCCACACCTTGTATGTATATTTCTGGACAACCCCGCACCGAGACGCCCTGCACGGCAACATGCTGGAAAACGTTGATAACTTTGTAAAATGCATGTTTGAACTGGGCTAACTTTGTGTCCGTGGGTCAAGTAACAGCATCGACCGACCCCCATAACAACCATGGCTCAACAGCGCCAACCTCCATAGGCTCTCACAGAGGCTCGCGTCAGTACGATAGTGCAGCAGCTACTGCAGACGCTCAAGCTGCCGAGTGGATGCGGCATGAGTTTGACAAGCGTCGACCAAAAGACAGCGCAAACGTGTTCCCGGACCCACCTCAATCTTCCCACAGACCATCTAGTCGAGCGAGCAGCTTAAAGGCCGGCATCCGTGATTACATTTTCCCAGCTTCTAGAACTCTGAGCCGTACTCCCTCCCAAGCTTCTTTACGTACCACAGACAGTCAAGCTTCGGGACAGATTAGACGTAGTGGATCTACAACTGGCTGGCGAAGCTGGGGCTTGCAGCGCATGACTAGTTCGCGCAGTAGTAGTCGTCCGGGCACATCGAGCGGACGGGCAGAACGTGTGGAGCCGGAGAAGAAGTCCGAAGTTGACCTGAACCGAAAACTCCCTCCTCTACCCAGCCTGGATACCTGGAAAGACCCTGAGGAAGAGAAGAAGGAACAACCGAAAGTCCAAGTCAAGGGTGGTCACATTGCGAGTGTAATGCGCACTCAAGGCCAGCAGCAACAGCAAGAGTATGCAGCAGCCGTGCGCAAACATCACCGAAAGGCCGGTTCCGATTCTATACCATTGCGAATGGCGAAGACGCGAACCTCTTCCAATGTAACGCCTGTTCCTCAACAAAACACATCACATAAAAGCACGGTATCATCAACAGATCGTTCCAAAGAGATTGACTCCATGATGTCGGTCATGTCCTCTTCACGGAATTTCGACGAGTTACTCACGCTACACCCCGGCGGCCCCCCACCCCGAAAAAGTACGAGCTCCATCTCGCGATCGCCTCATGTAGGACCAAGCAGCGATAGCCGCTCGCCCGCCCCTAATTTCTCACGCAAAATCAGCAGTGAGATCTCCTCGTCGGCAGTTTCTCCGCGGGCAAACGCATATTCGAACACCGTGGAAATTTCAGTCGGGGAAGCCCCTGCAGAGAAGCAAGAACAGAAGAGTAAAATGAGGCAAGTTTTCGGTGGGTGGATGCTTAAGAAGGATAAGAAGGAAGATTGGATGCAGAAGGTCGAGAAGAAGGGTGTCAAGGGCGGCATCATGACGCAGGACGCAGCACTTCCGCCCGTCGTGCGATATTAACACGCTTCACTTGTGTTCATAGCAGAGGATCATTTTTCTACTTGACCATCGGCATGCTCTTCTACTCCTGTCAGCAGGTCTGGCGGATGCTTTTTTTTAATGTTACGTCTCGGTACTCAGCACGTGCTATGTTGCGTTTCTGGGTCTTATAAAAACTTTTTAATCTCATTATCATCATACATACGACAGTCAAAAAGGACTGCCATTATTAGTGTAACTTTAGTAATGCAAACCTATTCACCAATCTTGCGATAAGGACTAAATGGCTCAGTAGGCATCTCAACGCAACAGCGAAATTCACCGCTGAAGCAAATTCCTAGTCGATATCCTACCTAATATGCCTTGACTCGTTTCTGACAGTATCGACAACTACCGACACAGAAAACGAAATGCCGTGCGTTGGCGCGTTTCGTTGATGCCTTGTCAATCCGGCAAAACCGACCAGCTTCTTTCTCTCCTTCTTTCGCCTAAATATAAAGGAAGAATTATAATGCATGCAAGCAAGCATCAAACTCCTTCTCGTTTCGTACCTTTTTCTTTTCTCTTGTTCCTGGCGTTTCGAAATTGTGGGGGAGGGGTCGTCGCGATACAGATATGCAAACATGATATATTACAGGGATGGGCTTACAACTTGCGGAATTTTCCTCTTCCTTCTTCACTCCTCCCTTGTTTGGAGATTGATTTGTCATGATGTTGTTTTGAAGGTGTGGGGACTCGATTGAGGGTTTGTTTGCGTGGCTGATAATTTCTTCAACACGAAAAGGTCTTGGGTTAAACTAATGTGCACAAGAATCGCGATCACTGCAGACCGAGAGGTCGTTTATCGCCAATTCCTGGTTTCCGTTGTATATTTGTTTCGTTTTGTGAAAATGGTATCAATTCAAGTGCTCTTAGTCGGGTACTAAATCTCCTGTTTTGAAATGTATCGTCTTTACCTCGACTTTGAAAGCTGTGCTTGCCGAGAGGCAAGGCGCGCTATGAGCGCCTTCCACATTCGAGACCGTGTTTTCCAAGGCCTGCGCTGAGCATAAAGCGACGTAGGTAATTGTGCTGTTTGTATATCTCCTCTCTCTCTTACTTTCTTATTTGCTGTCGTCTCTAATTGATCCTCCATTGATTGGCTTGTTAGTCCTTGTTATCTTTAACGAGCAACTGATATAACTACAACAATAACAACAACAACAACAACAACAACAGCGCCGGCATCGGACAAGACACCAAAGTCAATTGTATCTTTTACATACCTGCGCTATGTAGCTCCATGACTCCCATCATCTCTTTCCGAAAATAAGAAAATCGAAAGGTGGAAAGTGAGGAGAGGGAGAGACAATGTGCAAGGTCATTCGATATCAGTACTCGTGCTACCACAATATCAAGCACGTCGCATCTCGCTGTGGTGGGCATCGAGTTAAACAAAGAGGCAACAACAGCTGTCCCAGAGCGGCTTGTTCCGCTGAGCCATACGTGACTGTCAAGCTTGAAGGCGATTGCGGGCAGTGTATACAAGAGGTACGTCGGGTTCAAAGCAAGCCGTGGAGCTCGGGTTATACCCAGACACAGATCTGTGCGAGTATATGTATATGGTTGCGTGTTGTAAGAGCTCCAACAAGCCATCCGGAAACCAGTTGCTTTCTCTTCCTGCAACCCAAACTCAGTAGAACATCAAGCTAATCTGACTTGAACCCCATCTTTCTAGGCTTGGAACGCGGACCAGGAAGCCAGAATCTCAAGAGCCGAGATCTTCAAAGGTCAACTCCTTTCCCGCAAGGACGTCCCGTCCGCGCATGCCCGCGCCGTGTACGACCATATCAACAACCTGGTTGCAACACTTCGCGATGAATTCAGCGTAGAGAAGTGGCGAAGGAATTCTGATTACCCGCCTTTGCGCCAACAATCCCCCCCTCCGGTACGATTGCGGCCGCAACTAGGTGATGGCAGCATTAGGTATGTTTCTTGTGGCGTCAAGTATACTGAGACCTTACATCGCGATATTCTGTGATATCACGCTGGAAGGTCTTTTTGGGACACTGAAAACTCATTGAAATATCCTTGTTCATACTGTGTTAACTTTTTCCTCCGTGTTTTTAGGTCGGAGACAGACTCGCAACAGACGATAAACCCAACTTTTATTGATAGGTGCGCAAACCCTTCCATGTTGAAGCAGCAGGTGCAGCCCGAAGAAGTTGTTATTCCACCACCCGCTCTACCACCAGCGGATGAGAATGGCTGGATTACGTTTGAGGTCGACGGCGAGGAGGAAGACTACGAGCGAAGTACAGATCCACTGCATCCAGTCAACACTGACAACTACGATTTCCCTTGCGCTTCAGACTCAGACGTGCCCGAAACTCACGAGGAAAATGCGGATAGCGAGGAAGGCGTACAAAACTTCATATTTCCCTCTGACTGGGGAATCCAGACTTGGAAGGATCATTCAGTAGCAGAGCTAGCTTGGGAGGCCAACGATGCACACGACGACGAAACCCCAAAGCCCTATCTAGACTCCGACCAAACGTCTCCGATCGAAGAAGCTGCTACATTATTGACGAAAAAGATAGTGGACGATTTTTGGTCCGTCGTCGATATCGTCGACGGTCATGCCAATGAACATGTAACTTCTCCTCTTCTGCCCCAAGTGGGCATGTTTGGGCAAAGACTAACGAAATATGACCGGTACCGCGCAGCCAACCGCATTGTGTTCAAGAAAGTCCATCCCCGACATTATTACGCAAACCACTTATTGATCTCGCGGTTGGAGATCAAGGCCATGTGTGGGGTATTTGGGCAGAGGATATGGACGCTGGAAGGGGATGTGGCACTTGAGGACATTGCGTTCTTCCATTGAAAGCTACATCGGAGACGTCCCACGATAAGCATCAGTCATATATAATGTCTCGAGCACCACATCTTGAGACGAATTAATCTCTCTTCAAGAATGTGCCTACGTGTAAGACTTGGCAGGGGATCTAAGCCTCCTGAATGAGGACATTCGCTCATGAGGACATGATCATTTCTCATTATGATTGGTATCTAAGTATTCCGGGTGACCGGGCTGATCGAACGCGTCTTTAGTGCGCCCCTAGCTAATGCTATCAATTCATGAGAGGGCTCCTTGAAAGACTCATTTGTAGCATAGCCCACCAACGATGGGTGAGAGTCGTTCGCATACTAGCACACCAGTATTGATGTTTCGTAGTGGTGACCGCTGGTTTAGCCAGATGTAATCCCATCTCGATTGCTTGCGTAATGCATGGACCTGGCAAGTATCATTACCGGAGTGGAATGTCCAGCTGAATGCTTCATCATCCCTTTGTTTTTTGGGGATAAGGAAGAGCAAACAGCTCATTGTAGTATGCTGCTTCATCACCGCTCTCCGCCAAATTCCCGGTGATCGGAGCCACCCCCGAATCCGCCGCTAAAGAACGGCGCACCTCCACCATCATATCCACCCATCAAGGCGCCTATGCCTCGTCTGCTTTGATTCCTTGAATTTTCAACGATCTGACTCTTGCGACCAAAGTCCTTAGCTGCGGACACTGAGTTGGTGATCGAGGATAGGAGTTGGACGAGTTGAACGTCCGAAGACTCTTGCTGGGACTCAATGGTAAAGGCTTCGGAGTCGGACGGAGCGAGGATGTTGAGACGAGCAAGCATAGCCGAAATGCTGCGGAGAATAGGGTTATTGAGAGGAAGGGGATGGTCGGCGGATGGAGTGGGGTTGAATGGAAGCGAAGGATCGGAGAGATACGACGGTGGGAGAGAAGCGAGATAGGTACGAATGAGTGAGATTCGGCGGCTCAACATGCGGATAGCGTTCATCTTTGCCGTTAGCGTCGAGAGGAGCTCGTCGTCTTCTGCTGTTAGAATGGTCGACTCGTCGATTGTTTCATCCTTCGCCCTCTCTTTCCCTTTCCCCTTTGCGCTCTTGCCTTTGTCATCATCGCTCTTAATTCTGCTTGAGTCTGTTGCCGAGGGTCCTTCGACTGCAGTAGCGTTACCTCCGCCCCGTGCTACGAAATCAACGCTGATCATCTCCGCTTCATCGGTCTCTATAGTGTAGGCAAGTTCGCGGAACTTGAGTGGTCTATCCCGAACTGCTCCGTCTATGTCCATGGCTTTGTCACCAGATTCACCCGGTCCGCTCTCATGAACCGACTCGTACAATGTGAGCGGCAATTTTCCAGCGGCCGTGGCTTCAGATTCAGCATCTGCAGGGTGAAATAAGAAGAGTATCGGTGATTCGATGAATATATCGGATATTTGTGTGTGTATTGGAAGGACATGCGGTTCTGGTCCAGCTGCGGAGCCGAGTGTGAACCATCCTACGATGTCGAGTGGTGGTTGTTTGTGTACATCTTTGACTTTACCGGGTATTAGTATATTGGTGAGAATTGCAGTAAAGCAGTTATGATTCCGGGTTGTTTAGAACTTACAGTCCTCCAAGCGTTTACTAAACCATTCCTTATCCAGCACTACTTCTCCAGCATCATCTGTAGTCAACTTTGCTTGAAAAGCAACCTCCATTGATATGTCCTGGCCATTTTGTTGACCCAATACTGCTCCAACAACAGGTCCTTGCTGGTTCCGTAATGTGTGTCGTGTGATGCAATCCGATATGGTGAGGAGAACAAGCGGGTGCAGCTGTATGGTGGGGCTAGTGTCCGAGGCGCGAGTGGTGGAGAGAAGTGGATTGGTTGCAACGCCTGCCATTCTGGTGTTTTTAGACGAGTATACGGTTTCTTCAAGCTCTTGATTTCATAGAAACCTTCGTACTGGCAGAGTGAGTTTGTAGTGGAGTTGAGTGTAAGTAGTTAGGAAGCAAGTCAACTAGGCAGTCGTTCCTTGGCGATGATGCTCCCCGGAGAGCGGATTAACTATACCCCGACTGTCTGACCAAACCTACGAATCACCCCAATCGTCTTTCCCGTCATCGAATACAATGTTGCACTTATATATGCAGTTAGAGATCCTAAGTGCACTGGTTCTACCAGATCTTCTGTCTTGTTGTTGCTGGAGGAGACGACTTCACTACACAACTTTGCAACCAGAGTCTCATCTCACCCCATAAATTCAGGGAAGTTGAACATCTCTCTGCACCTGATAGTACCCATCAGACAAAAAATTTTCGGGGGCTTCAGACATGCTTTGTTAAACTTTCGGCAAGTGTGTAATGCAAGAATTTGATTGTCATTATTCTATGGTATATGAGCAACTTGCTCAACAACAAAGCATCCGGTGAACGCCCAAAAAAAAAGACCGAAACCCAAAACGTGTCGTGGTATATTCCCCCGATTCGACGGAAGTTAACAACCCGCAAATCAGAACGCCGTCATTCGTCCAGCGACTACCCAGAATCTATGTCCATTATACCGGTATTCAATGAAGTGAGGCTTCATAGGGTGCAGAATGACTTAAGCTTCCACTAGGACTTTCAAGACGAGGTTGCCATCCTTGTCCAGAGTCTTTCCAGCCAAATCAAAGGCGTCTTTCGCAGCCCCTAGGCCTTTGAATCGATGGGTGATCATATTATCGAGACTCGGCAAGCACCCGGAGGAAATGATCTTGATACCAGTCGGATAGGTGTTGGCGTAGCGGAAGATTCCAATGATATCGACTTCCTTGAGGTGGGATGCGGACATGGGGAGTGTTTGCACTGGTGTGCCCATTCCCACCATGATCAGCTTGCCTCCCGGTCTCGTTGCCTTGACAAGCGTTAGCTGAGGATTTCCACGGGGATGAGCGATCGACTTACATATAGGCCTGCTTGCATGCAGATCTCCTTTCCCGTGCAATCGAACGTCAAATCAGCGCCTTCGAAGCCAGATTCATTCAGTGACGCGATTTGCATTACATCATCAGCAATCTCCTTCGCGGCCTTGAACTTTTCGGCGGTCTCGGTCAAATGCCGTCTTTGTGTTACAATGTACCCCTTGTGGGCAAAGCCGTTGGTTAACGCGTAATTCACACGTCCGTGATCAATGTCGGCAATCACTACAGTTGTAGCGCCAGACATCTTCGCCATTGCTGCTGTCAACAGGCCAACAGTACCGGCGCCGAAAACAATGGCCGTATCGCCCTGCTCTACTGTGGCTCTCCGAGTTGCATGAATAGCAACACTTAGAGGCTCTAGAAGCGCTGCCGATTCCATGGAGACATGGGAGGGAATCCTACATTAAGTTGTTAGTGGACTGAATCAAACACTGTAGGATTCCATGCAAGACATACTTGTGGCACCATTTAGCGGGATGGTTGATGCGATCCTGGAGTGTTCCCTGGAAATGAGGTACAGACTTGGCGCTACTTCGGAACCGCATACCAGGACAGAGGTTGTATCGGCCACGCTGACATGACCTACAGTTGTCGCACGGCACACCGACCTCTAGTGCAACGCGCTCGCCAATCTGAAAGCCTGTCACAGCATCGCCCACGGCAACGACAATCCCAGCAGACTCGTGGCCTAGAGATAGCGGCTGCACGGCCTGGAGATCACCGTTGCGGAACTTGTTGTAGTAGGACACATCACTTCCACATACGCCAGTGGCTTTGATAGCGATCTGAAGTTCAAGGGGTCCGGGATCCGTGATGGTTCGAGTTTCCTGTTTCGATGATTAGCTTTGGTCCTCGTCTGCACTAACACACAGTGTCCCCCACGGACAGTGGGATGGGGTGGGATATTATGTCAGGACGGATGCAGGAACTATAGAACATACGAGCCGCAAGTCTCTAGGTCCATGCAGGACAGAAGCTACAACAGTGTTGTTTTTGTGATAGTGCCGCGCCGGGGTTGGGTAGATATCGGCCAGTGCTGTGGGAGCCATTGCGAAACGGTTTGCCCTTGAAAGCGGGATGGAAATGAATCAACGGATCGGGCCAAGAATAGGAAAGGAAGGTGGAAAGGGGGAAAAAAGTGGTTGAGGTAGCTAGTTGGGCGACGACACCCCACGGGAGGCGTGGAGGCTGATATACATGTCTCGAAGCCCAGGTATTCAACGGTCGAGGCATTGCTGCCAACGCAACGCTAGATCCGTGGCTTCTGATACTCGTGCATCGGAACGAGATAATGGAATCGCGTGAAGAAAGCATATGCTTCAAACAAGCGTGCACGTCATTTGCTGTTGGACCGGGTTAATCTTGCGGGTAGTGGTACCTACATGGTTACGGGTGTGCAGGATGAAGTGTGGGCTCTCGGGGATGGACGTTTTCTATCAACGACTAGTGGACGACTTGCTCTAACTCGCGTAGGCTTTTCTTTATCCCGTCGACCCTGGTTTCTCAATACGAGGCTAGGTTCTCCATGTGGGTGCCAACTGGGGTTGAAGCTGCGAGCAGGGGGGTAGCGCCACAACCTTGGAGTGAGTACTTGTTCACTTTCTACCGGATTGACAACCATGAGCCAACCAGGGAAGTGTGTTTTTTTAGCGTACCTCCAAGTAAAACGCGGCCCCGTCTAATTACTGCGCTCTGTGTCGATCTGCCTTGCAGGCAGGAGCGTCTTGGCTGGATGATAAGGTACAAGTATGTACTTTATTCGTGGTGCATACATGTAGTGCTTGCACGACCGCTAGAGGCCCGTGGAATATCAAAAGATAGGGCGCAAGTCATAGTTTGAGAGCACGGATGGCACGATGAATGACTGGTCGGTGGGGCCCTTGAGCATAGTTGGACATGGTATGGCATAGCGCGCGGAGCATGTTCAGGCTGATATGCGGCCTGGACGGTCTGCGAAATGGACGATGGACTCGAGGTGATGATCTTGTTACCCACAACTGACCGCCAAACGACAATTCGCCATTGATTGCGTAGATTGGAGCGTCCTTGCCCTGCTTGGGGCCAATGAGCAGCGGGAAGGGCATCGTTGTGATGTTCGAACCCAAAAGCGAGCATGCAACTACGGCGGCGCCGGCAGTGAATCATGTAGAGAGAATGGAAAAGGCTCGCAAGGCCGATGTACTGTGTACATCCATGACGGATGAAGACTAGTGGAGCGCAATCGGGAGCCGGGTACGAGGGGCGCGCAAGCAGAGTCCAATATCAGGATGGACAGTGCGAAGCTATAGACAGAGTGGATTTGCAGCTCGCCTCCAGACAGATTGGCGTTGGTGTGGAGAATGGAGACAGAGCGGCAGAGGAGCGGGCATGGGTGTATATGCTACACAGGCATAGGTACATGGAGCAGAGTGGAAGACGGTGGCTGCATCGCGGAAGCGCGGGCAAACCAGAAGACACGGTTGGCGGGCGGTGATGGGATGGTGAGTGGTGGTTTGTCGTCGTCGTCGCGGGCGACTTACCGGATTGTCGGGACGCGGACCAGGGCAGTGAGCATGGGCAAGCTTATCTCTGAGAAGGTTTTGGTGCTGGTGGTCCCTTTGGACATGGCAGCCTGCGTCATGCCGCGACCTCAACCGTTTTCCTCCATCGCCATTCCACGCCCCGTTGTCGGTCCTCCGTTGCATCATGTACACATGTACGTACGTACTGTACGTATGTACCCATCTGCTGCTCCATCTGTGGTGCGTGTGCCTGTCCGCCGTGTGAATCCAGCTGCATTTCATCCACACATTGCCGTAGCCTGCTCCCCAATCCTGAGGCCATGCACCTGGTGAATGAATCCAATCCATCATTCGTTGCCGCCAACATGTACATCCAACAAGAGCGGTGTATCGCTGCAATCGCGAATTCGCACATCCCTTTGACCCATCCCTGCAGAGTAGTACTTGAGTGTACTTACTTAGCTATGTTGTATGGATGCCAAGTACCCAAAATTGTTTAGTCATCGTTGCGTCTTGGGCCGTCATCCATCTGCTGCTCTCTACACCAGGTACCCATACCATAATGTACAACCAGTACTACTCCACTTCCCTCTCCTCTGCTTTTTCTTCTCTTTGCTTTTCGCATCTCTTTTTTTTCCCCGTCGGCCTGCATGCGATCCAGGGGTGACGCCATTCTACATTCTCTACCCTACCTTACATTATCTTGTCCCCTTCGTAATAACTTGCCAATCCACACCGGTAGAAACCACGATGCATCCGTAGATAGTGAGCGGCAAAGCTCCTCAATACCGGACCGACGGCGCTCTGACCACGCACATGCAAGCAGTAACGGCCGTCGGTAGCCAGACTGCTGTTCATAGATCCTTCGCCTAGTCTTAGTAGTGGCAACATAATGCAATGGGTTAAATAATAGCCGCTAAAGCAGACAGGCCAACTGATAAGGCACCTCGACCTCCCCAGACTCATAAATCTTGACATCTTTCTGTTACGGCTTGACATGCCCTCACGCCCCGCTAGAGTGTGGAGCAAGGCCGGGAAGCCGTCGTTAGATTCCGACTTTGTTGTCTTGATCGTGTAGGCCCATCTCCGATGCCACAGTCTTCATGTGAAGATCAGCACCGCACTTTGCTTCGCTGGACAGATTGACGCCGAGATGACGGATAGAAAAATCCCAAGATCTCATCGCCTCGCGCTGAGAAATCGAGAACCTACTTTTTCAACGGTTACATGGCTCGACGTGCTCATCTTGCGCCGCCCAGCTTTTCCGCTGACTGCTGTCAGGTACATGTCCAAGTCGTGGGCACGGAGGGCAGGGTTCCGTACCTTTATCCGTGAACCCAGGCCATGAGAATCTTGTCCAGGAACGATTTGAGCGAAGTTTCCAAAACCCAAGCCCGCTTTCATCCGCATCCAACGACCCATCGCACACTGGGCCATACTTGTTCTTTACTGGTTCATGGCCGATTCCAAAAAGCACACACCAAATCACCCTGTATACACGTTCACAAGGATCCTTCAACCGAAATTCCATACTCCCAGTAACCACTTGGTTCACGACTAAACCCGAAACTGGTCAAGAGATAGACGGCTTGGCCAGTATCGTGTTCTCTTGCATACTCGCCTATACCCTCTCCGGTTCATGCTTGCGCTTCTACGCTTATGCCTGGAACACCAGAGGAACCCGCCTGCAGCTGCATGCATCCTGGTCTGTGTATGCTATCGTACATCAGAAATGGTTAGCGTCCCATCACGCACTCGCTGTTCAATAATTCGACTCAGGACACCGGTTGTAAGAATCCTCTTCGCCGTCTATGTAGCATGTGCAATTGTGAATGTTTGATAAGCACTGTTTCCAGATGATAAATTCGTTTTGCAGTTGAAGAGGTAACCTGTGCGAAACTCCCTTTCCCTGAACAGTCAACTTGACGAACGCTTGGAAGCCAATCCAGCTATACGGGCCAGACCACTCGGTCTAAAGCGAACTTCTGGTTTTCAAGCCAAAACCTTGGCCTTGCAGCCAGTTCTTGATAATGAGGTTGGCCTCGGCGGGCTTCTGCATCAAAATCCAGTGCGTGGCATCCACGTCTCCTCTAGTCAAATTTGGCATGAAGGCACCCATACTTTTCGACATCTCAGGCTTCAGGTACGAATCGAAATTGGCCTGCACAAAGAGCGTGGGAATCGAGATCGTCTTCTTGTTCTGCTTGACAAGCCTAAGAGATCAGCTCCTGATCACATGGGATACATTTGGTGTGACTCACTCTAATTCCTGCTCCCAATTCACCTTCCGGCTGCGATACCAGTTTACTGATCGTCGTTAGCATGATCATATCTGCACGATCCACGCTACGCCGTACTTACGAGTACTGTGAATGCCGTGACGGCTATATTCCTGCACATAATAGTCCAGCATCTAGATCAATCAGCATGTCGCCTTGTGTCCATCAGGTGTGGAGCCGGAAGGACTGAAACTCGATCTCAAGGTAGATCTTACCTTGCCATTCAACAGTCTACTGTCTCCGACCAGAGGTAGAGTCTCGGGAATAATGCCCTGCTCTGGAATCATAAGGTGTTCGCCATTGGCCCCCTTTGCCCCGTATATGCCTTTCAGAAATTGACGAATCGATGGCTCGTCTTTGATAAATTTCTCCACTTCCCCGGAGGCGAGTTGTATCTGGTAACCGAACTGTGGCAAAGGCCCTCTCGCGAGATCTTCGGTGGAGATATATTGTTTGGAAGGTGCCGAGTAAGGAGTGCATACAGAGAACACGTGTGATATTAAGTCGGGATGCCTATGCATTATCAGCTCACTATCCGGTTTCACGGCATGCCGACGGTTCGACGTACCAAAGTGCGGCTCTCCACACGACAGCACCTCCCCTACGAAAAAGGTCAATTAAACTATATGAGCAGGGAACTGAATGATATTCACCAATCGTGGCCACCAAGAATAATCTGTCGCGAGCCGACAATCTTTGCGAGCTCCGCGATGTCATCCGAAGCACGTTTGAAGCCATAGAGAGAGATGTCGTTGGGCGGGACTTTCGGCGCATCCTTAACTCGAAATTCAGCCATGTCATCTATATCGGGTGAAGGATTGGTCGCTCAGAGCCCGCATTGTATAAGATTTACCACGGAATGATCCCATGACTGACGAATCTTATGGTGCTTGAACCTATCCTAGCATGCTGCATTAAATAAAGTGAATACGCCACTCACCGTCCCGCCGAACCCCATAAGATCAGGAGCTACGACTCTCAATCCCATGTCCAAAAGAAGAGGGATCTGATAGCGCCACCCCGCTGAGCAGTCGGGCCAGCCATGAATCTGTGATGGCGATGGAATTAACAACTGAACTTCCTATTGGTACCGCGCTTGCCATTTGATTCGGCATTGTCGATGAGACGAGATGATGCTCACCAAGAATACGGTAGCTTCGAATTTGCCGTTGGCTGGCTCCGCGTATAGGTAATGATAGTTGTAACCGTTCACCTGACTATGGCGATGCTCAACCCTCGGGTCTCCCACGGGATTGAAAGGTGGTGAAGCCATGGCACAATACTGGTAGACGTTTTCCTTATAGTGTTACTCGATCAAATTAATCGCAAATACAATCTTACCACATCTGACGAATGGTGGTGGTAGTTATTCAGGCCGGTGAGCTGGAGTTGAACATGCATATCGCGGCGACTTTTCGCGGTGCAGGCTTCGGCTGCCGAGGTCTGTTTGAAAACGATCGCTTGTGGAGAGTCACCACCATGGATCGTCCCAATGTTGGCCAAACCCAGTGTTTTCACAGTTGAGTTCAAAGGTCCGGTGTGTTTTCTTTGTGAATCACATTGCAGGTAATAAGTATTCCAATAGTCCGCACAATTGCCAGTACTTGGAGACTGTTAATGCAGCTATGCACATGCAGTAACCATGGAAATATAGTTGCCTGGCATTGCCATTAATACGAAGTCCTTTCATGAAGGAAAAATACAGGCGATGCTCGGCTCAATGTTGATTCCTGGAGTCTTCTGAATGTAGGAATGTACTGAAATCCCAGAGGCATACAGTAATAATTTTCCATATCGACAGACCACAGCATCCCGCGAGGCGTGGGGGGTTCTGCTGTGCCACCCGTCGCGCCGGTAGAATTTGTAAATTGGGCTGAACATCGGGGGCCTGCCTTAGTACAGTTATATTATCTAGTCATTAATAGCCACGATTATGCTAATGGCAGGTATTCATGCAAACATGCAAACATGCAAACATGACCCAGTGGTCGCCGCGGGCGATACTACATACTGTAGCCTACCTAGGCAGCGTTGTCTCGAACGGTCGAAGTTTTCATATGGGAAACACAAAGGCGAGTACCATGAATTGGATGCTAATTATGTCCATGTTGAAACAGGATAGCGCTGGGGAACTGATCATTGAAAGATCAACAGTCAACGTTGTTTCATTTTCGCAAATTAAAACGGCCTATTGCCGAATGTAAGGTCAAGAGTGAGGAACAAAGAGCTGTGGGTATCATCTATCATCGAAATCAATAGCCACATAGCCATCGAGTATACCGGTCGGCAGCTAGTCAAACGATCGCAAGGTTCGTACGATGATCAATCATCGGTGACTGATCATGCAAAGTCGTGAAAGTGAACAAAAGGCGTACGTCATATCAACGCCACTTAGTAAATAACGGTGTCCTCCGCGGCTTCGACGACTTCCTCGCCAGTCTCATCTACTGTTTCTCTGTTGTTGGCTTCCACTCGTGAAGGATCGACGATGGCTTCACGCTTTTCATACCGTACATCCGCCGCCTTCTCGATCGACATTTTACCCGGGGGACCACTTAAGATATTGTTGTGATGTTCTGAGTGGGTGGGGAAGGGAGCTCTACCGTAAGTATGACTTGAGTTGGTTGTGATTGACTCTGGCTCGATGTTCATGACGATTTCCTTACCAGAATGCATGTTTCGGTTAGTGCGATCAGCTTCAGCAGTACCTTCTGCATGAACGAGTGTCCTGGATCGCTCGGCGTTCTGATCACGTCCACGTTGCTCAAGCTCCTCTCGGATTATGTCTCGGGCTCGCGCGATCTGGCCCTTGATACGGTTATTTTCTTGGATGGTCGGTTCCCGCGGTTTGTAGTGCTAAACACGGTATTAATATAATCTGATCAAACTCATACGGTGATCGGAGGAAGCTGCAATACGCACCAGCTGCGGTTCAGACCTGGTCTTGAGAAAGTGTGCCATAGCAAGAAGGTTGTCGTGTCTCAATTGCATCTACATACATAGTTGTCAGCGAGCCTAGCACAATAGCATTCATCGAGCAGAACATCCATCATCTGACGTACAGAAGCTTGGTCGAAATATCGCTGCTCCTTCCAGCGTTGGGCTCTGCGTTCAGCTAAACGTTCAGCCCTCTTCTGTTCACTTTCCTCGTCTTCAGATTTTCGCTGCGCGTGTTGTCTTCTCTCGATCTCGGAACGTCGCTTTTGTCCGGCAGTAGTAGAGTTGTTTTGCGAAAGGACGCCCAGAGCAGCACCAAACAGTCTTCTCTCTCTTCCCCGCTCTCGACCAGTGGTGGTTGGCGTGGATGTAGTAGCAGACGTGTTTGAGGCAGAATCCCGACGTTTCGCGGCACTATTGTCATCGTTCAGACGGGCACGTTTTGCTGCCTGTTCAGACACAGACGATTGTCGTCTTTTGGCGCCATTTGGAGAAGAGGCAGTAGGAGGGGATGACTGCCCAGGGTTAGGAAGCACAACGGCTGAAGCGATAGCGTCCATCATCCCGGACAATAAATGAAAAGCTCAAGGCAAGTCCACACGGGACGAGCGCGTCAAAGATCGAGAACGTTTCGCTGTTGATGCTCACTCACGTCGTGGGATCTGGAAGCTCTAGAAGCAGGCGGGCGGCTAACCAATTGTAAGCTGCTGCACGGAGCAACAGTTCGGCCGAAATTTAAGCGGTGGCGTGCAGCATCTCTCCAAGTTTCCAGGTACTTATGAATCTACACACTCCACTCATAGGAATAACACTCTCGCCGCTCACCTCGAAATACAAACGAAGTCATGTCTCGCCATCACCCGTAAGTCGTATGTCTAGCTTCTCTAATACGCCATACTAACACCTTTCAGCGATCTAGTCATGTGCCGCAAGCAATCCGGAATCTCCATCGGCCGTCTCTGTGACAAATGCGATGGCAAATGCCCCGTCTGCGATTCATACGTGCGCCCTACCACCCTAGCCCGCATATGCGACGAATGCTCCTTCGGAAATTACCAAAACAAGTGTGTTGTATGCGGCGGTGAAGGCATCTCAGATGCCTTTTATTGCTTCGAATGCACGCGGCTCGAGAAGGACAGAGATGGATGCCCGAAGATCATCAATCTGGGAAGCAGTAGGACGGACTTGTTCTATCAAAAGAAAAATTTCAGGAATCATTGATGGGGACAAACGCGGCTCTGGTTCCAAGTCCATCCCAGGCTTCGGGCGATGGAGGATACTACATCACATGCGATATTGCCGTGGGAACCCCTTCCAGTGTTTATTTGGTGTCTGGATACTTGTTACGGACCTATCGTTTGCACGATTAGGCAGGGTGGAAATCTGTTGAGGGATGTCGGCATGTAAGAGACAAGATGGTGATGCTCATATTCACATCAAAGAGCACCCTGGGTAATCCATATCCTGTCTGATCATGAAGATATCTGCTGACGTGTGGAAGTGGGAAATTGCTTCTCAAGTGCACATATTTCTGGTTTGTCGTGAATGATGATCAAGGCAGCGGTGCTCTCGAGTTCGGGAATGAAGTATCAGTAATGGCAGTGCTCCTTCATATATGAAGCGAATGTGCCATTGTCATGTGGTTTACTGTATATAGGATTATACCATCAATAACACTATTACAAGTATCAGACGCTTCCAATTGCCTTTCACTGATCACACAAGATTGAACGAAACCGCATTCTGAAAGTACATTACAAACGACAACCGATCGCTAAAGAATACTTACAGATTGTAAAAGGAAAACATCTGGACATTAAGCACCCTCGTCGTTCATCAATCCTCGATCGTGATCATTTCAATCATGAAATAAGAAAAGTGTAGGCTGGCCAAAGAAGTCTGAAGTCGCGATCAAGTAGCAGAGTCCTCTATAATAATGATTTTAGCCCAGCCACCTGAAAGTTGGATTCTCAGAGCGCGATTGGAGCATTCAATGTACCTTGAACTAGCCTCTAGGGGGTCCATGAAGGCTCTGACCACCGCAACGTGGCTGGGATTCGTCCCCGTTCGCCATAGGTGATGTTGGTATGATGAAGTGCGTTATACTGTTTCTCTATTACGAGAAATATGTTGGTGTTATGGGCGATATTCGAATACAGTGTCACAATCACCGCTTCGTTCAGTATTGTGCGTGTTGCTCTGAGTCAATATTGCTGCGATCGGGAAGAAGAGTTTATTGAAGGCTTTTGATCGAGGCGGAAAGTGGTAAAAGGTGTCCAAGTTTATATGCTTCCAGACTTCTTGTGTACTCCTCGATATATGCGTACGATGCCACTGTACGGTGTGCGGTATTGCGACCTTTCTGAAGTCTCTTTCCAACATAGCAGACAATTGAAGCTAATGCCAGTTTCCTAATCGAGCGCATCTCCTCAGTCATTCACGAAACGATGGTGTGTTTCACAATACTACTTTGTATATGAAGTACAGCGGTTTGTATGTAACTGCAGCAAGCACGGCCAAAGACGGCTTACGTGCACTTATGCTCAGTAGACGGTCCAGCCCGATGCTAGCCATCATGCGTTGGGAGGAGGATTCGAATCACATTCCCACATTTTAACTGATATATACAATCATACAGGCTGTAAGGTATGTTAGGTTCGATGCAAAGCCTACGCGAAAACGCTCTAATGCTCCTCTTGTGCTGTTTCTGCAAATTGATTATCGTTCCCATCGTTTTCTTCCTGCTTCATTTCAATTGAAAGCTTTCAATGTCGCTTGTACCGAGTCACAATCTGCATGATTGTACACAAAGCGTGGGGACAGCTCAAGGGGGTCAATGCTGTAGCCAGTGTATGACTGTGTATATGCAAAGAGATCATGTTCTAGGTTAGTAGATCACATGGCAAGAACAGTCACAGCACACGAAGCGTGGTAAGCGGGAGGCATTCATACCGATGCTTGTGATTCGATCATATTTATCGAGTTGTTCTGGGAAGTGCAACAGAAGGACGACAGCAAACACTATGCACTGGACTCGGGCAACCGAAAGTGCAACTCTATTTTGCCTTATACTGCACACAGTAGCATTTCTAGTCCGTAATATCTATATGACGTGCATAAACAAGCAACAGAGAGATTCGCAAGCATGAAGTAGGCAACCTCGGAATTTATCTACAGAAACGACACCATCCCACGATAGCTGCGCCGAGGACGAGCGACCTTGAGGACATTCACAGTTTAAGAGTACAATTATCCGTTCGTTCTCATCCAGTATGACCAGAGATGGTGACGCTAGTTGGAAAGCACTCATTGGATGTTCGGTGGACCAACCTATGACACCGATACACTGCTCTGCAAGTAAACCATGCCTACCTTTCTTCAGATTGCGTACTCATCCGTGGTGCCTCCATGCAATGTACATCTGTACTCGTGCGGGCTACCGAGCGATGTGGGAAGCCTTGTAGACCCAGACTGTGGTGGTGATACGAGGGTGCTATGTCGCAGTGCAACTGAGGAGTTAACCTCTACCAACCCTTTCGAAGGCAACAGAATAGCCTATACAAAAACACTCCCACAACTGTGACACAGTATAATGGATGCATATACGAAAGGCAAAGCATCCCAACTCAGTAACTGAAGATCGATTTTGCAAGTTGAAGATGATATAAGCTGCTCGTACACACCGTATTCAAGCTGATTTATAGTGTGACCTCGAGAAAGAGCATCAGTACCCCAACGCATGCAGTGTGATCTCATCATCGCAGAGCGCAAGGCAGGGATAACGCCTAGTCAGCTGCTCAAAGTATGGCCAGAGTGGCTTGGTCCAGCAGGTACAGCGTACTGACAAACAGCGCGTGCCTGAATAGCCCAGCACAGCACATGAGACGGTGAAGTGGAACATAGAGGGATGGAAGATGACGTAAGTGTGGCTAGTGACACCACCCCACACTAGAGATCATTGCCATGTGGGTAGTGTCCAGGCAGCTGCACCCCTCTTCCTCTTTCACAACAATCAAACCATTAAACACCGCAGCAAAGTACAACACAACACCCTCGCGCAACAACACCCCTCTACAGCACAAAGGACTACTCAATATACACCATGGCGTATAACTTCGTGCGGTCTTATATAGACACCTTTCGAGAGCGAACCGCAGCGATCAGCCACACATCCACCTTCCGCGAAACGGGGCAGATAACGCCCGAGGAATTTGTCCTCGCTGGAGACTTCCTTGTGTTCAAGTTTCCTTCGTGGCAGTGGGCCGATGCTTCTTCGCCTTCCAAGCGTGTGCCATACCTTCCAGAGGGCAAGCAGTTCCTTGTCACCAGGGGTGTACCGTGCAATCGCCGCCTCGACGACAACTTCGCGGGGGAGGCTGGACAGGACGAGACTCTAGTGAGGGATGGCTTCGCCGCTGGCGAGGGTGATGCAGACGACGATGGCTGGTTAAGGACAGGCGGCATGGCCGCAAGCCAAGAGGCCAAAGTGCGAGATGTGCGAACGGTGGATGAGAGCGGCAACCTCGGAGCTGCTGAAGATGAGGACGAGATTCCGGATATGGAAGATGACGATGACGATGACGAGGCTATCATAAGAGATCCTCAGGGCGATAACACATCTGCGTATGTTGAAGCGCCTTACGGCGAACTTATTAAATGACAGGCCGCGGACTGATGCTGACATTCCCACAGACCTATCCGAACTTACACGCTCTACATCTGTTACTCTGCCCACTACCGGACACCCCGTCTCTACCTTTCCGGCTACGGCTCGACTTCGGTCCCTTTGAAACCACAAGAGATGATGGAGGATATTGTGGGTGATTACAAAGACAAGACCGTCACCATAGAAGACTTCCCTTTCTTTGAGCACGCAGTTAAGACGGCTTCGGTGCATCCTTGCAAGCATGCGTCGGTGATGAAAGTGCTGCTTGACCGTGCGGATGCTGCACTAAAGCTGCGGCTCGCAAAACTGAAGGCAGGCAAGGATGTTGGCAAGCTTGACAGTGGCATGGAAGCCTTGGTGGACGATACGAAGTTGCTGAGGCTGACAGAACAGGCAAAGGGTAAAGACGGAGAGGAAGGCAAAGATGATTGGGAAGTGCTCGATGACGCTGCTACTGATGAGGTTGCGATCCGTGTGGATCAATATCTTGTTGTGTTCCTCAAGTTCATGGCCAGGTAAGTACCCACCAAATCTCATGATGTGCCTACCATGATTGCTAACGCACCACAGTGTTACACCTGGCATCGAGCACGACTTCACAATGGGAGTGTAAGCTTTCTATTTTACTTGCGTGTATTTCTTAGCGTTAGATAGCCACACTTGGATATGTGTGATAGGTTTCCTTTCAATGGAGCGCAAAGGCGTTTATATTTAGGTGGGCATTACCCAATAGGGCAGGTAGCATGGGAATCAAGGCGCTACATCAGGCGGCAAGTTCCACCTTTTTATCGATCGTTGTAAACCAACACAATCAATATGTACATCTATATTCGGGAGGCACAAACTCTAATCCCATGCCGTGGAATACAGCCTTCTCTGCATCTTCTGGGGTACCATCAACACCATGCGGTCCCTCAAGCTGTACAACATCTCCCGTGATGCGACTCCTGACACCGCTGGAATCGAACTTCCAGTCTTTGACATATTTCGCATAGCGTCTCAGATCCCTCTGGAATGTTGTTCCGCCACTCCATCCCAGAATCGCGCAGCCCAAAGTCCGCCAGGGTGCGACGATGATGTCGACACGTCGGTGGATATTGGGGTTTTTGGCATTGGGGTTGACCGCTAGATCTTCGTGGCGGCTGGGCCAGAAAACATCTTGCCAAACGACAAGAGCCTTGTCCAAAGTGTCGAAGCCAGTACCCGAAGTTTTGTTCGTGCAGAATGGCAGCGTAGTCTGGCCTCTTTGGGTATTCTTAAGACTCAAAGTAAGCCTGTGCGTGATCCACAGATCGTCTTCTAGTAACTCCACAAGGTCTTTCACTAGTCCAGCTGTAGCCCCCAGGTCCGGATGAGAGATAATTACATCTACATCGCCAGACTCGGATTTCCCTCTGCGGTATCCGCCGACGATGGTTACAGTGATACGATTGTCGCGTAAACGTACAGCATAACGGCGAATTATTCCCGCAATCTGCTCAACTTCGGCTCGTGGTATCTTCTGCAAAAAGTCGTCGTAATATTTGACGCCAATCTGTTGCACTCGGTCGAGCTCATCCCACCCGTGTTCAACAATGTCGTCTAGTTCTCTCCAGAAGTTGTTATAGTAGTAGCGACGGGCTGTCTTCGCACCTACACCCCAAATACCGAAGAACATGTGTAGAATCTTCATATCTTCATCGCTCTCGTAATCCTCGACTGCCTGTATTCGGCCAGTGTTTTTCCATTCGACAAAGAGGGAAACTGCCTTCTCATCGCATCCGGGTAGCTGCGCGATCTCGCGAGGATGTGATAGCTTGAAGGGGTATGCCGCGATGGATGCGATGATTGTTGAGTACGCACGAGTACCAGTCTCATCATCGGTGAGGATACGCGCCATTTGGATTTGTTCGACTTGGCTTAGGAAGTCTTCGTTGGGTCCATCAGCTGGAGTGAAGCGTTGACATGAGTATTGGATCCGCTCTTTCACCCAGTTAGGAGGAGGCGGTATATCGCTGTCTTCACCCTCATATTCACTGGTCGTTTGTTGGAGGAGATGTGCCTTTTGCGATGTAAATGTTGGATTTCGATTCCCAGATGCGAAAGAGCTTCCTTCGAATCGACGGGATTGGAGTTGCGCAGCCCGCTGGCGTTGGTGAGAATTCTGGCTCAAATCCGCGACTACGGGGTCTGCTTTGGCTCGCTCAATAATACTTGGATTAGATTGTTGTTGGATGACTGGGTCAGCTCCTGAAGCCGATTTTCCTACCTCAGCGAAAACCGCCTTTATAGATTTATGCACTAGTCTCGGCGGTGGTCGCTCGATGACTCTGCCTCTATAGACCACATGCTCTCCTAAAGCGACCAAATGACCGGCTGCAAGACAAGCATCAAGCCAGTCTACTTTTAGTACCCAGACAAGATCATCATGGATAGATGGCTCTTTAGAATAGGATGTTGACAGATTTTCATTCGGTGGTGACGCAGTTGATGGACTCCGATATCCAGGTACGGAAGGGGGTGCAATCTGGCCTCCCTCGATAGTAGACCCGCTATCGTTATCCATCACTATTGGTGCACGGGATGACCCGGATGAGGATAGTTTTCTTTTCTTGTTGGGTGGTTCTTCGTTTGAATCCGGTCGCGAATCATGGCTCGGCTCCGGGGCTGCTTCGACCTTGAACTTACGCGACCTCAACTCAAACTCAGCTCGTCTCGTCGTTCCAACTTTGCCGATGAATAACTTTGCGTCGGAAACATCGGTTGTGAGTGTAGCACCACACCTACGCAACGTTGTTTTGATGTCGTCGATCTCATCGTCCTCGAAGTGCGCGCTGAGAATAGAAACAGGTGGAATACTGCTTAAGTCGAGCCTAGACTCATTTGTATGCATAACATTTTTCGCCAAGGGCTGCGAAGGGATCGTGTTCATGGCGGTTTACCTCGTGTAACGTTTGCTCAACGATTTGACAGGACTCGCAAGGTATCATTAACATATATTTGGTGTGTCCCAGCGGGTGAGCAGCACCAGCTCAGCATTTCCCAAGACATGAAGCTTGTGGGTTTTCAAAGAGTGCAATGGAGTCGCGCGTCGACACAGTTGATGAGAATCGTCAATGATGACAAGGTGAGGTCTGGAAGCCGAAAGCTGGGTAGGAGGATCTAACTAGTAAGAGGTTGGTTAGTCTTGGCAGTGTGCCCCCCTAGTCGATTCGTTCAAGTGCTTCTGGGGTATCTCTTTCACTCTTTCATCGGGAAGATTAGCTCAGGACCAAGATTAAACCATTTAACAGCACTACAAAAGATTTAACGTCGGCATCAAGAGAGCCCTGTTTTATCCCGAGGAAAGACCCAGCTATACGAGCACTGTTGATTCACCGTTGACGCACGTCAGTCGAACATGGGCTGAACTCTGCCTAAAAAGAGGTGGTGATATTAACTCCGCTTCATCAATTTGTGACACGGTTACCTTCCCTACGCGTCGATATTTTCCGTCCTCTCATGTTTCACCTGTCCGCCTTAGCTGAGTAAACTACTTTGTTTCTCTTGTGCTGATTGGATAAAGCCTGTCGACAACGAACGACGGCATATTGAATCGCAGCGCCAGCCTTCCATACGGGGTAAGCGGAGGACATTTTTACTTCGTTCATCTACCGCATGGCGTCATGAAACATCGTCGCATGAAACTTTTTACGGTGGTCCACTGGTGGCCGTGCCGTTCAGAGCGTCCCTTGCCTGATGCCATCGCACCCAGCCAGCATTCCAAGCGCACCATTTATGCGTTCCTCTGAAGTTTGAAGCACCTTCAATATCAGGACAAGTGGACATTCCTTAGCTGCCAAAAAAGCGTGCGCGCACCCCATGTGAGCATGCCCTTGTCCTTCCTTACTGCCGATCTTGGTCTTTTCGCTTCAGCCAAGGGAGCAGATAGACGGTGGCTAGGAACAAACATATAAGAGGCAAATGCCGGCTTCTAAGTAGATTGCTCGGGCGTGCCTGGACTTCGTTGTGCTCATCATCGTTCCTTTCCACATATATCTCTCTGGAGAGATAAGGTGCCTCGTTACGTTCATTTCTCCCCCCATCCTCGTGCTTTCGGTTTTCCTCGAGGGAATTCGTCTGTCATTGTTGAGGCGCCCGATTTCCGATCAATCGTACTTTCATTGTACCACGAAACGACACGGACGCATCAAGAATATCTTCATATTCCGAGTTCAACATGAACAAATTCACCTTCATGGCCTTCATGGCCATTCTGGCTTATGTTTGCGCATTGCCAATCACACCGGCAGCACCTCGACTTGCGCGACGCGCGGAGGGATTCAGACTGCAGGGTTTGAAAGAGGTACACTTAGCGGCCCCGATCGATCTGCAACCCATTTATATTAACATCATATCAGCACGAGATTGCTGCCAAGCTTGCACTCCCCACGACGGAGATTGATTCGTCAGAAAAGCTTCTTCCTCAACCGATCACGCTTTCCGACTGGCTGTCTACGCTTATCCGCCACGACAACGAAAAGGAAGATGATGACGATCACTCAGGCGACATTGCTCCCGGATCACTCGCGGCCCCAGAGATATTGCCACATGCTGTGAAGCTAGACACTGCCGTCTTCTCGAGAATCCTTGCTGCCGTACGAGGAAAGCAAGTCGAAAATGAGTACGGCTACGAGGGCAAAGAACTGGAATTGCGGCGGCCAACTGGCATGAGGCATTGGGGTTCGCACGACAAGTGGAGACTCTTTTGATTTTGATTTTTTCGCTTCTTTTTACTTCACGTTAGCCGCGCTATACATGACATGACCTTTGTTGATTCAATTACTACCATCAGAATAATGCCGTGCTTGATACTGCGTGATCGATGCTTATGCTATCTCCTCGCTTTTTCTTATCACGCACGAGTGATTCACTCACGGAACTTTGTTCATTTACTGCAATGGTGTCACTTAACCCTTCTTAAAATTCTTCACTGACTTCATGTCACTCAGAACCAACAGTCACACCCCAATACTGATCACAGGTTCATTATGACACGCAATTTTCGGGTAGTCTAATATTCAACAGTTGAACCAATTCTGTTCTCACTTACCTCATAACCTTTGTTCCCTAACATATCCTGTGACAACCTTCATGTCGTATCATCCCCAACATCAACCCCGCAAAAAAGAATAATGACAGAGAGAAGACGCAGGCTCCTCCAATGGACTTTTCGATCCTTTCTGATAATTTGCGCGGTAGCAATTTCAGTGTATGTAATATACCGCGGGCGCTGGGCGCTCCTTTACGCCGTGACTGGGAAAGCGAGAGCAAAACTTATCAAGAAACCTCCTGAACATCCGGGCCAGGAGCCCATTCCCATCATAGACGACAAGACCTCCAAACCAAAACACCGAACAGTGGACTGGAACGGCAAAGAACGACTGATCTGGTTTGCTCTTTTTCTCATTGCCTGCTGTCCCATGAGCATGTGTCTAGGTTTCTTGGTAGCTGGATCGTACTACATACACAAGTACGTCAAACTTCGAGAACAGAAGAAAGTGGAGGAAGCAAAGAGGAGATTGAGCCGTCTTCCTGAAACAAAAGTACCCGTTGTCGTCAATCCTGATCCTGTTCCTCAACCAAGGCAAAGCGTACAGCCACCCACTGCCACTCCTCCTATTCCAACTATCACCATTTCTTCCACCCGATATGAAGATATTCCTTCTTCTCTCCCGGAACCGGTCCCAAAAAGGACTTCGGTGGGTTTCAGACAATCAGCCGCCAAATACTACGAAGATATGAGGTACAAATGGACCCCCAACCCTGGTTATATTGGTACAGAACAGAGGCACACCAATTTCCAAAGTGATGAAAAGGAAGGATTCCAGATGGCCGAGTTGAAGGGAGGCAACGGCAGTGATACACTGGCGCCTCGCGGTGCGAATTTGAACGCTACCAACGAAGATGGCGGAAATACAAAGAATGGGCGAGGGGGTAACAGGAATACTGCAATGACTGAGTTTCCTATGCTTTTCTAATTCGTATTGTCTATAAGTGCATAATGATTTCCATGCGTTTAGTGGAGCTGGTATGCGTTGTTTACGTGTCTCTTACTGAAACAAAACAAACCCCTTTTTGGAACCAATCCAGGATGTCATTTTTCATTTAATTTCTTGATTATATTAGTTCTACACAAAATAAATAATGAATGTCAGAGTATCCCGTTGCTTCGTAGTACAATTATCACCCAAGCCGGACTTTCTTCCACATTCTCAAGCACTCTTGCAGATCGCCCACCACAGTTCCCATTGGCTCACTGACCATCTCTCTCATTGCTGCCCACACTACGCTGGCTAGTGCAAACATCATCTGATCTTCCCTTACGGCAAGATAATGGCTCTTCGACATACCTCCTGATTGCGCCCAACTCTTCCACAAGTCTAACATGGTTGCCAGCCGACGTGCAAATGCAGGATCCTGGAGCATAGCGTATAGTATCTGTTTGAGAAGCCCTGATACATCTGGCTTGCGCTCCAAACCAAGTTTCTCTCGAAGAAATTTCAGATTGGCTTCAACGACGACAGTGATGGGCAGCCGTTGACTCTGAACCGCATCCACAATCTGTGTTTCCCGTCTCTGTTCGTCGCGCATCAACTTTCTGCGCATTTCGTTGTGATAATCTAAGAATTGACTTTCCTGTCTTTTTCTGCGGGCCTCATCTCGCTGCGCGGGCGGTAGACGATTCTCCTCATTCATCTTTCGAGCCTGCTCGGTGAACTTGAAGTGGCTCTCGAGCCTATCAACTTCTTGATCGTGTTTTACCGTGTGCCAGGCGGGCACTTCGTCGTCGGTGAGAATCTGCAAGAGAACCATCACACCACAAGGAACGGTTTCCTGACGTGCAATAGCGAGGATCTCGGACGGAATCGAGAAAGCCCAGAGTCCTCCCTGTGGAGCTTGGAGGGCTGTTGCTCCACAAGAAAACCAAAAACCTGGTGTAGAGTCCGGTGACATTGGGGGAGAGCGAAGGTGAAGGAGTGGAACCAGGCGTCTTGGGTCGGCCTCAAAGTGTGATTCTTGGATGCCAGCTGCCGCAATTCTGACGCGAATGGAAGGATTGAAACCCAAGTTGACGCTCACGACGCTGTCATCATCCAAGAACCCGCCATGGTCGTGACGGGTAACATCTGATGCACCTTCTTGTCGTGCCTGATCTACCAAATTGATGGCCGCAATAACGTCATGCTTCGAATTTGGCGCATCGACTTTAACCCAGTACGGTGGCAGGCTATTCTTACTTCTCGTATCCCATTCCTCATTCCAGTTCAAAGACAGGCTCAGTTTTCCATCGCTATCGTCGCTCATTGCCAAACTCAGCGCCTCTTCAGTGCTCACGGGACTCGTCAACAACTTCGTTCCTACTGGCGCCCATAGTCCCGCACTCCGCAAGTCCGCCCACCCTTCTTTATGTGGTACAGCACCTCGATCTAACAAGAAAGCGACGAGTGCCTCGAAATCAATCTCGGCTTGCGGTTGCACTAGCTCGTCCTGGTACTGCAGTCTATAGCTCTTTACTCCGATTATCATTTCTTTCCAGTCAAACAGAGTCCAGGTGCCTCCTTTGAGTTTGCTTGGGGTTTCCCGAAGGCCAAAATACCTTGGGTCACTTCGATCTAATGGAATAATACTGCGACGCGGAATTTCGATTTCTACAATGCCGGAAAGCAAAGCGCTACGCGTGATTGCGATAACGCCATTGCGGTGTAATGTCTTCGTGATCTCGCGTAACGTGAAGTATGACTTTAGACACGTATAAATCGTTGGAAGGACGCCGAGCACAGCCAGAGGAATTCCAACGTAGGTAATTACGTCCACGGCAGACACAACCATCTCTCGACTCAGGGTGAAGCCTTGTAGGATGTAGGTTACAAAGTGAACATTGTCGTGGATTGGAATAGGTTTGCCTTAACCCCCTGCGCAATGCAGGTGAGGCTGAACGGAGAAAGCACGCCTCAGTTTTGGGTTACGAGGGCACGTGATTGCGGTGTTCATGCCCAACAGCACCAGATTGTGTGTATGTTGCCCACCCCTGCATACCTAGCTATGCTTAGGTCTTGAATTGGTTCTTTCTGGGAATGAAATGGCGTGTTTCATGTTTTAATACTCCGTTGACATCTGAACTGGAGGTTATAGATGAAGGCGGCGATCAGGCAAACCCATCTTAATATAAATGGTTATGGAATTCAATGTCCACAGATATTTACACTGCAGATATCTCGTAAATTTACATACGATGTGTTGTTACATATGAAGTCTTTCCCCTCCGCATTAATGGGCTACATTGCCTCCTCTACTTCCCTTTCTTTGCCAAATCCAGATGCCACTCCATGATCTTCTGGAAGATACCCTTCGCATCAGTCTCCACGACATCGCCGTGGCATGGAATCATCCTGTCGAATCCCCATTTATCAATGCGTGACACCGATTGCGCAAATCCTGCCCTATCTCCGGAGCTTATCCCATACCAAATGAGTCTCTTCTGCCAATCATTGTTCGTGTTGGTGACAGCCCCAAATAGTTTTGTCAAGATTCCGCTACTAGGAGACACGCCTGTCTTTGAGTACTGCTCCGTGGGTGGGTGGTTAAACATGAGATCGGCCTGGATGAGCGTTCTCGTGGGTTTATGATTGAAAACAATCTCCTTGTTCTGATGAGCGGGCACGTATTCATACTCGAATTCAGCATCAAATTCAGGGTCGATGGACGGATGCGGGTTGGAAGCTGTGAAAACGGTTGAGAAGGGGACATCCTCGTTGTTTTGGGACTTGCGCTTCTCAGGTAGTCCCTCGGGTCCTATGACTTTTGCGCTCGGATAGGCTGCGTGCCAGGGACCGAGAAATATATGATGCTTGTAGGATGTTAGACAGACCTATGCCTGCACAAGTAGAAGAAATGAACGTACTTCAAAATCCAAGGCTGTAATATATCTGACCTCTCCCATTTCGGCCACTTTCTGCTTGACATCATCTGTCAAGGCAACGGGCGAGAAAACAGCAAGGGAGCCATTTTGCAGACGGACTAGGTCTTGATTAGAAAAGTCACAAAGATACAAATCAACGCATCTCTTACCTATGGTGCCGCGCCCGCCAATCTTTATTCTTCCGAAGCGCTGAAATGGTACAGATAATGTCGTGATTGTCTTCGGAACTACATCGCGAATGACCATTACCTGCTCCGGATTCGAAGGGATAAGTTTTGACGACATTTTTTGAGATTGCGGTCTAGATTTTTAAGTGATGATTGGAGGAAGAGAAATGCGATGTATGGGGGTAACTTTGATGAGTGATGGGTCGCGAGCTTCTAGAACGTAAGGAGATGTGGAAGCAGGTCATACAATGACGCAATCGACGGCACAGCTACACTGATGAAGAGAAGATGCCCACTCGAATGAATGTAATTGAGCGCACCTACTGTAGATACCGGCCTATATATGCTGTTCTGAACTACGCAGCACGGGCACAAGTGCTGTAATTAGACATCCTCAAGTCGGTCAGCCCGCCTGCTTAGCTGAACTGATTTTGCATTGATGATTAAAACCTGAAGGCCGAGATCTTACACTTGCCGAGGTATCATGACACGGCCACGAACGAACATCGTCATCAGCCGTTGGTCGCTGTACCACACCAACGGGTTTGTATCGTTTAACATTCGACATAGAATACTTCGGCGTCTAAACCACACGTTGTCAAGTACCTATAGGCTATGTAACGCGGACGTACTTCAAGGCCCACCTGCACAATGACTGTGCTCGCTTTCCGCAATCGCAATTCGCATTTCGCAGTTCCGTGATGCGCGCTGGACACTTCCACGTGTACGTCACCGTCGTCGCAGTGTTGAGAACTCTGGAAGCTTGCGCTATTCGGAAACCTTACGTTTAATTCCAAATTCACCTCGAGTGACAGCAGTATCCTCGTGATAATCATCAGCCTGCCGGTGGCTGATCGATATAGAGCCTCCATGTGGTCTAATCGGCCGGGTGGTTATCTCTTAGTCAGACCTTACAGTCTTCCACTCAGGCGATTCATGACAAATTCTAGTCATGCCATCTGCCAGTTTCACACGCAACTCATCTCGCATTTTCCGCACTAAGCTCTGCCATCAAGCCCCCGGCATCTCGCTTTTTAGCGTCCTCGTCAAGCTTTTGCTGGATGAACTTGCTTATGTCTTTGACTTTTTGTAGAGCAACATTGTTTAGATTTAGCAGGTCAAGCGGCTCAACCGGAGCTCCGCCATATTTGTTGACTTGACAAATCTCTCCATGCCGATTCATTGTGATTATGATCTCCCCTTGTCGCACTTGTTCTTCGGCCAGGTCTGCATCTACTAGAAAGAGGTTGCCTTCTTCGTAATATGAAAATGTGACGCTGAGCGGTTGATGTAATATCGAAAGGGGTATTGGGTCGCGTTCTCGAGTGCTCAAGACGGTGGCTTTCTCGCCTTCCACGATTACATCCGGTCTCCGAAAATGTTGTAGTGCCGCCATGACCGCAATGCAGGAAGCATCGATGAGACCACCATCGTGATCAACAATGTGTACATCTGCGCGCAAAGCAAAGCATTTCAGCCCTGCGATAATGCACAGCGATTCTGTATCCAGCGCGTTCGACCGACGGATAGCCTTCTCGAGGACGCGTGAAAGGATAACCTCAGCATCGGTAGGTCTGGGGTTTGGTCAGACTTCGTGATTGACGAGATGATGTTGTATCAACAACGGAGACACACCTTCCTACTTCGAAAGCGGGTGATGCCATGGGAGAGAATTCGGTGACAATTTGAAAAACGCCATCAAACTTGCGCTCCGGGGGAGGTGCCACCACATCTACCGAGATCCGAACGATTACTCTGTGTCATATAAGCGATTGCAGTACTCCAAAGATCGTGGGATGCGCACCTAGTCTTTCCCAGTTGTACATCTGCTACTCCATATTCGTCTCCAAAGTTTAGCTCTAAAGGGCGGAAGGCGTCGAATTCGCGGCCATCGCGTCGGATCCCCTCTTGTAAGGCGTTCTGTATGAACTCACGCTCAATGATGGAAATTTCCACCTCACGAGGCATTTTCGAGGTGGAGCACAGCTCAACGGTAATAGGCAATTGTTGGTTGGTGCACAAGTTTGAACTCGCGCAAGATTTCGCGGGGCGGGTACCATGGTCTTGGCATCCGTGGACTTGTAGATCCTCGCGCTAGTGAATCTGGTAGACGTGCCTTTCATATGATCTCTAAATCTTCAACCCCCATCTTCGACAATCATACCACGCGAAAGACTCCCGAAACTCACCCACCTGCGCTTCGAAAGGCCTGAAAATACGTAATTCACAATGACTACAGCCCATCGACCCACGTTCGATCCCGCACGCGGCAAAGAAGCTGCGCGCGGTGTAGCCTATCACCAACGTCTTCTTCCAGCACATACAGTTCTCAAACACAGACAACCTGGCCAGGGCGGAGATGCAGACGCATCCAGGCGTGATCTCCGCGCAGAACTTTTGGAGGCCGAAGCTCGTCACTTCGCGAAGAAGAACGGCACCTACATTGAAGACGACTCAGCCACCGATGCCCACCCTACTACCAAGCGAGCGCTCGATGATGTATCAACTGCCGATGCAGAGGAGGGAGACGAATCAGATCAAAAGAGACGGCGGATCGAAATACTAGAGAAATACAGAGACGAGGACGCTGATGACAGTAGTGGAAGTAGTAGCGATGACAGTGACGATGAGTATGTCTCTTCTTTACTAGCGGACTATACCGCCCGGCTGACCATATTAAATAGCGACGAAGACGATGAGGATGAAACTGTGGCACTCATGCGCGAGCTAGAGAAGATCAAGAAAGAGCGAGCTGAAGCCAAAGCTAAAGAGGTACGTATAACTGACGCAAAATGGAAGTACATCGCTGACATCCTATAGGAAGCTGAACGTGCTGCTCAAGAAGATGAGCAACGTGAAGTTGAAATTGCTCATGGAAATCCTCTCTTGAATCCACGCGACTTCGCCATGAAGCGCCGTTGGGATGATGACGTTGTTTTCAAGAATCAGGCGCGCGGCACTGACGATAAGAATAAGAAGAAGGAGTTTATCAACGATATGCTTCGCTCGGATTTCCATAAAAAATTCATGGTAAGCCCCCATTGCAAAATGCCACACAGTCGCATATCAGCTGACCCTTGGGATAGTCCAAATATGTCCGATGAGGTCAATTTGTCTTGGCCATTTCTGTGTTTACATCATTGGCGTATGGGTGTACGAACATGGATTTGAGATTCGCATCGGGAGTACCACGAACGGAAAGCTTAGAGTTGCGGACGTGTGGGGGAAATAATGTCGAGTCGCGAGATTCTTATCGGATCGACTAAACATTGCCTGTTTGGGGAGTGAGCTATCTTTTGCTTGGATCACACCTTTTTTTTGACAATACGATACGGCGTACCACCAATGGCCACCAACAGATTGGTAGGCGAACCCCAGATCCATACATCGACACCAGTACGTAGGTGCATTAGCGCTTGCTTCTGAGGGAGCTTGGTCGAGGACTGGTGTGATCAATCTGTTGGCTTACCTGTGACAAGCACTCTGACGCCATGAGGCTTGAAATCAAACGTCTGCTTGAATGACACGCTAATCGCTGTTACTGGCATATCTACAATATATAACTAGTTTCCAGAGGCCTTCCCCATAGCACTGTTCTTGTTCAACATTGTTTTCCGTCCCTGAATAATATAACTTCACTTTCGCATCATTTGTAGAAATCCACCATGGCAGGCTACGGAAACCGAAATGCACCTGATATCACCGCCGACAGTCTTGAGCACGAACATAGTAAGTGTAATCTGAATATATAGTGACAAAGGAAGAGACGACCTGGTGTGGCGTATCGAAAACTTGATATCCCCTACAGGCTTCTCCATCCGAGATTTGCTGACTGCAGCGCCGCGGTTGTAGGCAATACGCGCTTCGGCCGTGAGGACTCGAATGCTTACTCGGGAGGTCATGATACTTACCGATCTGGTGAGTCCCTAAGCAAGACATGTGCCCTGTTGAAGCATTCACCCCTCGTCCATCCTTACTCCACATCACTTCGTAGCTTACCAAGCGCATAAGGAACTGTGGGCGGTGCCGGGTTCGGCAACAAATCTGCTCCAGATACCAGCACAGAATACGACAATAGTGACATGAGGTTTGGCAGTCACAAAGACACAGCTCCATACAGTGGCAGTACGAATCATGGAAGCGGGACTGTGGGGGGAGCTGGGTACGGCAACAAAACTGGCAGTTTCTCCGAAAAGAACGGTAGGTTGAGTGTCCAACTGTTGGACAGGAAAGTCGAGCAGGACTAATAAGTGATAGATTCTTCTGTTGGGAAGATAATGGAGAAAGCTGGGCACATGATACACAATGAAGGACTAGCAGCAAAAGGCAGAGAAAAGAGACTGAGTTCGGGCTACGAACAGGAAGAGAGTATGGGGAAATAGATGTCAAGGTCATAATTGAGGGTATTGCATTCGTGAAAGTAGCCAGTCTTGGATATGGACGAGTAATGATAAAACGAAAATTGGGACATCTAAACGTAAAATATGAGGTTAATGGACGGGTTTAAGTACATTCTGTTTATTTTAAATAAGATTTCTTACTTTGTAATTGTTGTGGTTTCGACCGCACGTTGAGCTATGAGGTTGGCGCTGGGTGATAATGTATACTGGAGACGCTAGTCGTTTCGCCGCGACGACAGCGCGGATTGACCTCACTGCTCGATCCCCCGAACTCCCCTGTCTACCCCCTCAATGAGGGGCAATGGTTGTTTCTCGTCACTGTAAACAACATGGACTTTGTACGTGAATTTTCAGATGGAGAACTATCGCCAGGACAGAAATTAACCTAGTTGTGCAGTGGACGAGACTCCTCGGTGGGTCGTCATCGAAGAAGCAGGCCGCCGCCAATGACCCCCAACAGCGTCTGGCACGCTTCAAGCAGCGCTACAATCAAGTTCTGGTGCGCTATCCGCCTACACATCATCTGTGGCATTTATCGGTATTGTGTAGCTAATTGTCGTAGCAAACATGGCAAAAGACGGAATCGCTAGCCAACGATCGCGAGGGGCTGAACAACATCCGCCGCGGCTTCCAGAGTCTCTCAAAGATGCTTGAGGATGAATCCCGACTACCTGCCCCCCATCTGTGTCTGAGCTTTGCAGCTGCTCAGCAGATATATACCGCTGTATCCAAAATCTCTGCGACGTCGCACGACGAGGGCATGGTTCGGGATGCCGTGCAACTCTACAATGCGCTGATTGACAGCGAGGAGGAGGACTTCTTGGAAAACGATGTTTTCGCGGTTTCCCTCATGAATTTCATAGGAAGATCAATAAACTCGATCACGTTGGGAGAGGATATAGAGGCGGACATAGTGGAGTTGCTGTTTGGCATTGCAGCAAAGATCAGATTACAACCTGAGATCCTGCCCGTGTGGTTCACTACGGCATCCGCTGATGCCAACGGACGTCTCGTGAACAAGAAAATTGATTTTGCTGGCATGACACAGAAGGAGGACTTCCCTCTGTGCTACCAGCTTATCGACAAAGTTCACCACGAAGGTCGAATAGGAGAGTTTGCGCGAATGGGACTGCTATATATTTTCGAGTCGGCCTCCAGATCGCTCCCGTTGGAACAGTGGATCGTCAACAGCGACCTACCAACGCTCATGGCAACAGGTCTTGGTGCGCTTTACAGTCAGCTCAGCAGACTTCTCTCCATCTTGCATCCCACCGAGTCTTTGCCACTCATTCTGCGGCTTTCCGACTACACTGACATGCATCCAAATCCAGATGCCGTGAGCTTCTTCTCTGGCGACTTTCAATCCCACCTGGTGACCTTCCTGTCCTACCTCACTTTCTGGCAAGACGTCCTCGAACATTGTCGATCGGCAGATGTGAGACACAGCCTGATCGATCATTTCCAAGTCTTGTTCCTTCAACAATTACTGTTAGTCCATTCACAGATGTTGCACGATAACAAATGCTGACCTGAGTAGATACCCTTACATTGTACAATCTTCTGATGTGGATGCCGGCTCTTCGGTGGCCGTCCTCACATATCTGCGACGTATCCTTGATGCCCTAGATCACCCGGAGCTTGTGCATATGATACTGCACTACTTGCTAGCTTTACCCGATCACAACTCCGTTACCTCGCCCAAAGACCTTCGTTCACCAGCGGCACTAAGACGACGCCAATCTCTCATGATGCTCAACGGCCCAAGGAGAGATGATGACGCGATGAACCCTTCCCTCTTCAACCTTGTCGATCTCATACTCCAAAGTACAGAGTCTCGGAACCCCCAAACAGTCATTGCAGCTTTAAAGCTGACCACGGTGTTATTGAGTAAAAATCACGCGTACGCATTAGGCTCTTTGGTCAAAGTCACAAACATAAATCATAAAGAACCTCACCGAACAGTGGGCGCACTGAACTCAGAGCTTGAAACTTATCTCAACCTCGCCATCGGGCTTGCTGGCGAAAGTGGCGTTGATGAAGCGTATGGGAGTCATTTGAAAGATAAATTGAGCATGCTCGAAAGCCATCCGTGCTCACTCAAAGCTATAGCATTACCATCAGCCTCCTTGCAGGCTCCGGGGCTACATGATTCGGATACCGGACCTAGAGAAGTAGGACCACATTACTTAATACCAGAAGATCCCCTTTTCAAGTCACTAGAGGATATACTGCTCAGGTTTCTCACCAACGATGTGGAAACCAACCTCGCCCTGACAGAAGCGATCATTATACTTGGGACTTGCTCCGAACTCCGCCTCGAAGGATGGCTTGCTGTCGACCCTGCTGACTACGAATTCCCGGATGCTGATCCGGAGCCCACAGTGTTCTCTAATGATAACCTGCGCGATATGTATAGAGCCAACCGACAACCCACATGGTCTTCTACGGCGACACCCAAGCTTCTCGCTTGTCTACAGCAACTACAAGCGCAGGTGGGCGCATTACGAGCAGACATACAAGACTGGGACGAGCTTGTAGCCAGCAGGAAAGACGCATTTCAGTTCCAAGAGGAGATGAGCGATGCCATGACCCCATCGACGCCTCAATCAAAGCCCCCTCGCGCATCTGCAGATATCCAATCAGGCTCATGGACACCGCAAATTCCCAAACATATGAAAGAAACCTCGGCCACACCATCGAGAAGCCAAACACCTAGGGGTCGTAAGGAAACGCTGGAAGCACGACAGACGCCACATACATCTCCAGTGCCATCGAGACTGGGTGGGCAAACACTGGTTGGCTCTCCATCGCGTGGTATATCCCCGATGCCTGCTCCTCAGGCAGTGAACAAACGCCAGACAACCCTTTTCTCTGACATTGATGCGAATCTAGTATCGGTCAAGAATGCGATTGCTCTAAAACGAAGAATTAGATTCCGACGACCTGCCGGGAAGAGTGAGATCGAAGTCATGCTGTCCAAGTATCAACCGCCACCCAAAGACGACATGGAGGAGAATGCGCAGGGAGATGGCGAAAGTGACGAGGAGGACATAAGGGAGGCGAGTGTATTACACATCATTACCAATGTAGTTATCTTGCAGGAGTTCATACTAGAGCTGGTGGCGCTTGTGCAGGTCAGGGCCAGTTTGTTTAGCGAGGTGAGGCATGTGTAGACAGACGTGCTTATGAAGTGGAGAGACAAGTCAATATACCCCATTTTGGTCCAACAGCTGCTCAAGTATAGTATATACACAGAAATGCAGTTGTCAACATTTGAATGTATGAATACCTATTTGATAGCGGTGTCTTTGACTAGAGGGCGTTAGCGCGGGCCCGTGCCTCGGTGCAGGAAAGATGCTTGCTCAAGAACGTCATCTGGCGGTCGTGCCGGTCTGGTTGGCCCACCAAAGCTCGACCACGACACAAACGCGAATGCAAACTATGCACACCCGTGATCCCGACATGACTTGAGGACTGCTTCAGCGACCGCCATTCCTGCTCCATCAATCCGCGAACCCGCCAATCTCGTCCGCAGTTGCGAGGCACGCCCAGCCATGGCCTCCAGTTCTACCGAGACCACGCCGTTGATTTCTTCCATGGCTCACGGCTCCTCCAAGCCGCAGCGCACCGTCACATTCAACACGACCGTTTCTTCCAGCAGCCCGAAACAGCAACCGAGGCCTGTGTCACAAAGCGGCCAGTCTTCATCCATCTCACACTATGCGACCACCCACGGTGGTCAGCCTATGCTCTCGTCGTTCAACAACAAACTGCGGAGAAGAAACAGTTCTGGCACACCTATGCTTCCGCACCACATAGGTGCACCCAAGATTGGCCCTCAGCGAACCACAAGGACTGCCCAAAAGCTAAAGCTTCTTCCCGACCCTGAACAAGGAGACGATGATAACGACGAAGAGAGCGGAAGGGATGTTTATTCGCAATATACCAGGATCAAGGACCCAACTGCCAGGAGAGATGCCGCCCGACTTGGGAAGGCGGACCGGGAGCGGCTACCTAGAGTAACAGCTTACTGCACGGCGGCTTCATACAAATTTGACGACCTGATGCGCTTTCTCAAAGGCAAAGCACGACTAAGAGGCGCCCAACCTAAGCGCTTTGACGAGTGCATATATTCACCTTACAACTACGGAAGGAAAGGTCCGGATGAAGTAATCAGCACAGGTGTGCACGACGGTTATACCCAAGACCGTCCTCGACGGTTCTCGGATAGTGCTATTGAGGTTGAAGCGCAAAGCGAGAGGCGGAGGGATAATCTCATCGAGGTACAATCCGAAAACGAAATCATCTCCACTGTAGAGGCAGAAGGCTCGGAACAGCTTCAGCGCCCCATGCCTGTTCACGCAGATTCGGACCCTTCAATGGAGAATCCAGACTTCGATACCCAAATTCACACGCCCGAGGTGTTTCTCTTCGAGTATGGAACGGTAGTTATATGGGGTATGACACTACAAGAAGAAAAGCGGTTCTTGAAAGAGCTGGCCAAATTTGAAACGGACAAGCTCGGTAAGGACGAGATCGAAACGGAAGAGTTCAACTTTTACTACACGCGGGAGTATCAAGCCCGGATATACAATGATTTCATATCGTTGCGAGAAAAGAAGAATTACATGATCAAGCTTGCCATTAGCCATGGTCTCTCGCAGTCTGTCAAGACCTCGTTGTTCGAAGACCTCGTCGACAACACTATCGACGACACCAAGGATATCCCGGCCCAGATTGCTAGTTCCGGAAAGATCAATCTAAACAAAAAACAGATCAATATGCAGATAGGCGAGTTGTTCATCTTGCGCATCAGCATACACCTACAGGGGTCGGTTTTGGACGCCCCGGAACTCATGTGGGCGGAGCCACAATTAGATCCCGTATACCAGGCTGTGAGAAGTTATCTCGAAATGGACCAGAGAGTGGGGCTTCTCACCGAGAGACTCAATGTTATTGGCGATCTACTGGCGGTGTTGAAGGACCAGTTGACCGTTACACACGTGAGTGCACATTCCACCTGTTTGAATCCCATGCGGCTAGATTGCTGACAACGTTGTAGGGTGAGCTTCTCGAATGGATCGTCATCATTCTCATTTTTGCCGAAGTCGTCGTAGCGGCCGTCAATATCTTTGTCGATCTAAACGCTGCTGACTAGCTTAGTATAATCTGTTTGAATGATTTTCCTCGAACCTATTCCCTGTACATAGTCTCTGCATTCCTTTTGTACGATACGTTTTCTTAGGGCATACAAAATAGGCGCTATCGTTATCGCGCGATGTGCGGCGTATATTTCCGTTGAGGATACACGGCGGACGGGTGCGGGAATCCTTTCCTGGACGCCAGATGGCTTTTCCTTGTTCCTTACCTATGCAGATAGTGGCGAATTGAGAAACGATGATCAATCTAGTTCAAGTCCCAACTTCCTAATTACCTCCGCTCATGCTACCTGATCACCACTGATATGGAAAATGCGTAAATATTGGGGATGTGCTGAGACGGTTCGAATGCACTGGGCAGCATGGTGATGGTACATCGCACGAAGACTGATCATATATAGGCTACATTGACTAGAAGAGCACGAAAACAATAACACGCAAGTAGATAGTGGTATATTATCTCAATTACGCTCAACATAACTGTCCAAAGAAAGGAGATGGAAATATGGGGGATCGCATGCAGTATGAAGACTACACAATAGCACCAGCCCCGTCCTCACCTCCCTTCTCCTTCTCCTTCCCGTTCCCTTCCTCGCTCTTCTCAAACTTCTTCGTCTCCCTCTCATGCCTCATCTTCACCCACTTTAGCATAATACTATTATACATGAGAAATAATAGCACAGTGACGGCGGAGCACGCAGTCGTCACAACGAGCGTCACGCGAGCTGTGACAGAGAAAGTGCCTTCTTGCGCCGTGTAGACGTTTACGAGGGTTGAAATGAGACCTGTTACCTCCCACCTCTATTGTCAGTCATGAACTTTGACCTGAGGGAGCGAATGAAAGGGGGAGGGGGAATACGTACCCGCAAGGCTGTTCATCAGAGCTGGCAGAAAGACGCGATTGATGACCCAAACGTAGTTCTTGCGGTGTTTCCACCACAGCCATAGAGATCCTACAACGCCGATGCCACAGGCGAATGCTGCAATGTAGAGGAGTGGGATGTTTCTGTGTTTGATTGATCTCGTCAGCTGAATCCTCTTCTGTGTGAGAAAAGTAGATGGATAATGGTGGCAGGCGCATACCGGGCAGTAGCAAGAGCCTCAGCCTTCAATCTATTGTTCGCTTTCTCGTCTAATCGTTCATCGTTTTGCAACTTGTTGAATGTCGCTGGGAACACGATATATCCGGCTAGCAAGATCCAGGTGAAGCCCGAAGCTAGAAAGTTGTGGAGTTTGGGTACATCGTCAAGCTCTAGGAGCATGTCGATGTAGCGGGTCTGCGCTGTTGTACGGCGGCGCTGAAGAGGTGGTCTTGCGGCAGAGGACGACTGATGGTTGGAGTCTTTGTTGGAGGCCGAGGATATAGATGTTTTGGGGATGGGTCTCGAAGTCGAGACATTGGAAGGATTGCGTTTGACGTTCGGCGTGGAGGTCGATGAAGGTTTTTGCGATGGTTCTTTGAAACGGGTTGATGGTGTGCGCGCTGTTGTGGGTTTCTGAGTGCTGGCGGTGTCATGAGATGAGGAGGCGGTGGACGTCTTCGTCTTGTGGGAGTCGTAGGATTGTTTTGGGTCTTCTTCGACCGTTGTCGGGAGCACTTCTGGGGATTTGGAATTGAAGAAAGGCATAGTGGTTTGAATTCGATATCAATAGTAGTATGCCTGGGGATGATGCAAATTGCTTTTGCTATAACACTAGGGATATGACTGTGAATCAGGTTACACCAAGTACTCATCAACCTTCTGTACTCCTGACTGGACCCCTTGATCTTAAAAAGCATGGTTCCCACTCTAAGATCCGCCTGGCGCACGCTTGCTTCCCTCGCCCAAAAACTGGGTTATCATCCCTGATAGCTCGAGCACTTCAGGTCCGAGAAATCACACATCACCCTACATTTCGCCACAGCCCACCGACCACGTTCGGCACGATCCGTCTGTAGCAGCGGCATTGTGCCTTGTTTCGTGATAGAAGGGGGTTTAGCGAATGGTTGGTGGTTAGGTTGGCAAGTAAGGTTTGGGACGAATGCAGGGACAAGAATGTCGATCGCTAACGTCATAGCCAGAATGAGGGTTGATGACGTGATTGGCTGATGTCGCTTGTCGGTGGAACTACAAGCGAGATAAGGCTGTGGTTATTCCGCAACATGTGAACGAGCAGCGAACAACATGCAATCATCGAATTCTGAGCGAGCGGGTAGACAGGATTGGTCACGGACCGTCTGCAGGGTTTCAGTTTGGAGATAAGGCTCACATCATGTGGATGGTTTCCATAGATTTTGGTTCTTGCTCATTCTCTCCTCCCATCCCGTCCCATAGTCACCAACCACGCTCACATACACATACATACATATACAAAGACTCACCCATAAGAAAACAATCAACCCTCACAACAAGCCACATGTCCTCTCGCGCGCTCACATGATACATCAACTCCAGAAGAACGCAAAACCGTGTCCTATTAATCTACTTTGCACGCTGCTACAGGTCCCCTGACGCGCCGCAACCCCGGCGGTTAATATGGAAAGGCGGAAAACCCCACCAACGTTCACGCCGTTCCTACCTGTACTTAGCCAAAGTGGGCAATTTTCTGGAAAAAAGAAAAGAGGACAGAGAGGCATGTTGCCTGCTGGGGGTGAATAGCTTAGCTTTAGCTTAAGCTATGAGGATATGTGTTCTTGTGTTATGGGGAGGGGGAAGGTGTAGTAATGTAGGAGGTATATAGAGGACCTTTATGCCGCGCTCATGGCCTACTCCGTTTCATTTTCGAAGGGACGGAAACCAACAAGGACACGATTTCATTCGGAGAGTTATAAAAGCAGAGCCTTGTCCTGTTGACGTTTTTTTATACTCGCATACTTTTGATCACTCGAAAGCTTCCTAGACTCTTGAGAAGGGTATCAGCTTGAACCTCTCGGCCTCCAATTGCCTATTTCTCCTCTCTTTCCCCGTCGTGTCGTTGTACGATAGACAACTATACCCTACACATCTTCCTACACCAAACAAGCAAGCAGCCATGCGTTTCTGGCCAACAATTGTCCCTCTCCTAGCCACAGCTGCTTCTGTCGCAGCCGCCGATGCCGACGCAGCAAGTCCCTCAGAGACAGCTCCAGCACCAGAGCCCACACCTGTTGGTCAGCTATGGACAGGGCAATGGCAAGATGAAGACCTAGCTGCATCATCCTATACCAAATCATGCCATACCACGACAACGCACAAGGCGGCTATCTACAAGCTCAGCGAAATGTACCCGACGCTCAAAGTGTGGGCCCCAGAGCTCAAGGTGTTCTACAACAAGCAACATTACCCAGGAAGCTGGGAGGGCGAAGATGTACATGGAGATGGGCGGACGTTATTGAAGATGGATACTGAGGAGTTGCCGTTTGCGGTTCGGGAATGGTAAGCGCAATCCCTCTGCTCTTTTTCCTTTTACGTTGACTGCTTTTGTCTCAAGCATTTATGGGGAGGCGGAAGCAGTTTCTACTTACTTTGTAGTGAGGACAGGCGTTAACAGTATTGCAGGATCAAGAAAAACCCCAAACAGCGCCACTTCAGCGTACAGGACGATGTCGTTTTCTTCGCCCCCGGAGCCATCTACCCCATTGCTCCGCTTTGGGCCGAGCAGTCGATGATTGAGGATTTGGAATGTGAAGCTATCTTAAATAACTTGGAAAACTACTCGGCCACACCTAAAGACGGCGCGGTGCTGGGACGAGTCAGCCATGAGGCGACAGGGAAGAATGAGGTCGAGTTCACGATTAAGGCATTCCAAGTGCATGGAGGGCAGGCGGGCGAGGAAACCAAGAGTAGCAAGGATGAGCTATGAGATGGCTTTATTCTGGAAATGCGGTGATATTCTCTTTTGGGCATGGTTCTTCATTCTCTTATTAGGGACATTTTGTGTAGATCATCAGGTTTGGTGTTTGGAAAACAATATCTGGCGTCCTCAATTCAAGTCTACTAAGCATGAATTCTCGGTGCATACCATGCATTTTCATGAACATTATCCTTGTTTAGGGTTTCTTACTTTCATGTACCACCCGTTTCCTTTCTCTTGCTGCTTTAAAGACGTGCGCAATGGCTTTGCCCATGTTGTAGATGTATATGCACATGAACATGAGACCCACCGCCCCAAGGATCGCAGCCACCGCCAACATACTGAACACCACGAACACATAGCAGCTTCTTATAAAATCCTGGTTGGACTGCAACGGTTCCACTGAGGCACCAACTTGCATCGCAGCTAGCACCAAGGAGAAAAAAACAAACACGATAAGTATCCACCCGAATCTTCGTTGGAAGTAGACCACATAACGATTGTAACCGTACAGGTAGCCGCGTACAAAATGGGTAGGTGCATAGCGTATCCGAAAAATAGAATTGATGCGACTAAGACGCAATTCGCCGAAATGGAAACGTTTGTTGACCTTATCGAGTGCGTTGAGATCTATGTGAGACTCGAAATCGGTGACGAATGTCTTCCACCAGGCCCAAGTTACGAAACTGGGGAGCAGGTATATTTCGTGTGCGAGTTTCAGGTCGATGGGTGAGGTCAGGAGCCAGACGTAACTGAGGAGCAAGCCGCACGCATTTTCGTGCAATGTTTTGTGGGGGCAGATATGCTCAACCCAGAAGGCATGGTCCAGCATATACTCCGCGAGCGGCTTGATCATCAAACGGTCGGAGTATCTGAGGAAGTGGAGGTCCATTTGCTGCGTGGGCAAGATTTCGAGACCTAGCATTTTGTAGCGATGGAGAGGGCGCCCGCGCATGGGTCTGCCGGCCATCCAAAGATGCCCATGAACCAGGTTCAACCGTTTGAGGTCGAGATCCCATTGCAGAAATTCGCCAATTTTATTCTTGGTGAGATATACCTCCCCATTTCGTCCAGCGATTGTGGGCAGCGATTCGAGGGCCGTAAGAGGAATGTTAGTCACACTCTCCAGGACCGGTTGCTGGGTAGTATTTTGATCCTGATTGGCATCGCCAGTAGGTGCATTCCCAGAGTGCCTCGACTTAACGGGAGGAATATGCCGTTCAGTGAATGGTGGAGTCAGCGAGGGAGGTGAAGTCTAACATGATACTTTATTAGCTGGTGGACAGCCTAGCGCCTTCAGGCGCCTGACCTCACTCACCATCTTCTCGACTATAGTGAAGGCAACGTATTGTGCAAATACGATATCGCGTTATGCATATAATAATGTTTGATGCAGAATAGCATAGTATATGGAGCGGATGTTGTTGATGAGACGCGAGCGATTTGGAAGCTCTCCGTCCCATGACACGCGAGATACGTGGTTACGAGAAGGTCCTAACACTGCCTGCGGCAGGTGGGGGCTGGATACGCCTTCTGGATAATCATGAGACAACGCCATCGTCGGTCGCTCAGCCACCGACTGTACTGAATCAATCATGGAAATTTTGTTCACTTTAAGTTCTGAATTACATAGCGGTACAGACACTCTCCCACGACCTCCGCGGCCCACGCCATATCTCATATAGCTCACTCATATCTACAAAATACATCACAAACCATGATCATTTGCAAAGGTAAATGCATTCACAAGTGCAAGAGCTTGCTCCATTTTCGACGACCGTAATATTCATTAGACCCTCCCTTCTAAAATTATAGTTTATCCTCATCATTTTGGGTTATCAAGATGCAGAAACCAGAACCTCAAAACTCCTTGGATGCGCCAGAGCTGGAAATGCATCTCATGCTTGAACACGCATAGTGATTGACACTACTTGACGTAGTTTGCGGGGAAACTTCCCCTTTGCCCTCGCAGTTCCCCTTCCCACCAATCTTGCGAGCTGTTCGTCTTCTTCACGACGCGGATCTTGTCTCCCTCTCTGAAAGTCAAATCTCCGGAACTGTGAGCATCGAAGTCGTACATGGCGGTGACATATTCACCATGGAATGAACCAATCTTCTTGGGAGGAGGCGGTGGCGGTTTCTTTTTGCCCACGATCTGCGGGGATGCTGCTCCAGCAGAAGTCGAGGAGGATATACGAGGTCTCCCGAAGTAATCGTCATGGCCGTTAGTGGAAGATCCGTGTGATGGACGGCGATTGTCTGCGCCCATATGAGGACTCAGACTGGGGGAACTTCCACCATATCTAGGTTTTGTCGCGTTGAGAGAGCTCATGGAAGGTTTGCTGGAAAGGTTGATAGCAGGAGGCACTTGTAATTGTGGGGATTCTTCTGCTGGTGGTGGCAAGTGGTGTCTGTCTGGCCTCGGTGATCTCGAAGGGAGAGTCTGGACGGACTCGTTACTCCGCGACCGGATTGCACCTCCTCCTCCACCACCCCCTCCGCCGATGCCCACTTTGTTTCTAATGCCTAAGCCGGTCACTGTGTCACCCTTCTCAGGCATTCTCATCGGCTGATGAATAGCCTTCCCACCTTTTAGTAGACCAAATCCCGTCTCAATCTCCATGCGCAGCGAAGTGAAAGCCGCCTCCCACATGGGGACTACTTCCTCGGGCTCGGGGGGAGGGTCCGGGTAGCCTTGCGCATGCGAATACTCGTTGAGAACAGTATATAGGTTGCCGATCAAGTTGTTCTGCAAAATGATTTGATTGGCAAGAAGATGTGGAAGCAAAGAAAAGGTTGCAGCGTTCAGCCTGGGAAGCTGTGTGCGCAAACCTTCATCTGCGTATTCATATTCATGTATGGCACGAGCGACGTCTGTTTCGTGTTTGTTCAGGGCCGTGTTCTCTCGGTCCGATCGCGTCTTTTTCTTCTGGAGGGCCTCGGCGCGGCTTTTGTATCGCTCGTAGTCGACCTAGTGGACTGGTGAGCAACCTAATGGTACGGCAGAGTGGAGGGGAAGGCAATCATGAATTTGTGTAAGTACCTTCTTGTCGTCGCGCTTCTTGATGACCTTGTGCATAGGTTTGAGGGCATCCCTAGCAAGCTTCGCGGGTAGGATCAATTTCCTCTCAATATCCTTGACCTCTTCCATCATGTCGGATTTGAGATCAGCGAAAGCCTCGAGCAGCTGGACACATCGTTCCATGGTCTCCGGTGGGGTGTCTGTGTGGGTTTGGGTTCCGAACTCCCCGCCCTTTGCGCCCAAGGGTTTGTATATATTGTGCATGATCTCGACAGCAGCGAGCTGGTGGTTGAGGATGTTTGTCCAGGCGTCGCGCCATTGCTTTGCGGCATCTTCGATCTGCGAAAGTCAATACTGTCATGATGTATGTAACGTGGAGGATTGCGGGAGTGGAACTGGAATTGGTGCCGGTGCCTGTGCCTGGGTGGCCACAAGGTGGGATGGAAAGGTGGTGGAGGAAGCCAGTTGGGGTAGGTAAAGTAAACACGGAGGTGCCACAGGTTGCTCCACCCCGCCAGTTCCCTGCAGATGCTCCAGCCACAGGCCCGTCCAGTCCAAAATTCCAGTCCAGCCCAGTCAGAACAGACTCACCCTCTCCAGCATCTGGTCGGAATCGTTGAAGTCGCGGAGCATGGCCTCGATATCGGCCTCATTGGGCAGTCGCGTGGATAGGAAGGGCAAGCGCCCCACTTTCCTCTGCACCCGCTGCATGGCGGCGGTAGTGATGGGGTGTCAGGCGGGGGAAGTGGGTGGGATGGGTGCGTGAGAGGGAGGTCAAGGGTGAAGGGAGTGGTGGAGAGGGAGAGGGAGGGAAAAAGGACTCGGAGGGCGGGCTGAGTGCAAAGGGTTGACCGGTCGTAAGCGTGCGGAAGTGGGTGGCCGCGCCTAACGGTTCTCAGCAAGGAAGGAAGGAAAAGGCCATGTGCAAACAGGTGTTTGTGGCATGGGTATGTGGGTAGGAGAGTGGGTGAGAGAGTGAGTGGTCGGACGAGGTGGGAGATGGGGCGGGTAACAGGCAGCAAGGCAGGGCAAGGTGGAGGTAATGAGTAAGACGGGCAGGTAAATAAGGCAAGGTAAGTAAGGTTGGGATAGAAAGGTACTTGGAGAGCTCAACTGGTACCCCTGCCTTGTTTCATCCGGAAAATGATGGACGTACAGAATGCAGAAATGAGCAAAAGAAGGTGATGACGCGGACAATTGGCAGCACAGCACCGAGAAAATATTCGTCTGCTCCATCGACTGCCTGCCACTGCGCGTAGACGGCAGACGGGAGGTGGAGCGGTGGCCGTGTATAATTATTTATAGATGGCACCAAATCTCAAGAGTACGGCCTTGGATGGTTATTTCCCTAGTTGTGGCCCCTAAATTGACAGCGTGGTGACTCGATGTAGGGGACGCCTGCTGCCACTTGCGGGGCATGGGATGGATGCCTTTGATACATACATGTATGTATGTACCTACTAGACAGTAGAGCCTCCGTCCAGAATAGATCGCCGGCGTCGGTGCTCGTCGCGTCCAGTGGGCGCCCTTTTGCAGAATCACCGATCGACCGCAGCCAGTAATTTGATTGGTTGGTTCTCATCACTTGTGTGTGCATGTGTGTGTGTGTGTGTGTGGTGGTCTTCTTCTTTACTACCTAAGACGGGCGAAAGTATGTAGTAGCACCACAGTCTCTGGACTCCTTGGGCCGATCACATGATCAGGCGAACCCTCTGGCCGCGCTTTCTGTTTGGCGTTTCCGCGCCTTCCTCCGTCGCGTCGGCCGCCCCTCCTCACTTACTCACTTACCCACTCACCCATTCCATCTCTCTCACTCATGTTCTGCGCCGCCGTCCCGACGCGTAGTCCGCGATCCGCATTGTCATGACCGCCCGACCCCGAGGCACACCTCTATCGTCCGCTGTCCCCGCCTCCCAACACACCGCTCCGGTCAACGAATTTCGCTGCCTCTTCACCCACGATGTCCGTCGCAAACAAAAACGCTGGCAAGATGGGTATCTCAAATTCCACACCTTCAACAGCCGCGTCATGGTTTATGATCAGACTAGGAATTTCCTCGGTGACACATACTGGAAAGAATCTGATAAGATCCAAGAAGGCGACGAGCTGCAGCTTGACAAGGGCGTCATGGTCGAGGTAGCCGAAGCGCTCGGCATCACCCAGACTGACCTCACTGCGCTGTTGGAAAAGAAAAAGGATGCGTCACAACCTCAACCAAAAACGACTGTTCCGAGATCAACCATGTCGCAGAGACCTGTGCCTACGCCTTCTCTCCTGGCTCGTGGTCCGTCTCAGTTACGTCACAAATCACTCAACACCTTACTAGGTGCATCCAAAGGGCCTATTGGGAAGGCAATACCTATAGAGTCTCCCTTTGAGACGCGGAAGAAGAAGCAACTTGACGAGGCAGATGAAAGAGAAGCCAAAAGGCAGAAGAAGATGCATGGTTCCACATACCCGAAGACTTCGGCATCAATGACAATTCCAGAGCCTGGAGTCAGCACAGCGAAGCCCTCTGTGGTTGCCAGTGGACAAGATAAGGCTTCTCGCATCGCAGCTGAACCACCGTCACAAGACAATTCCCTGTTTGACGTAGACTTGGACACCGATGATCGTACGTCTGACCTTGCACCACTAAGTACACCTCCTCCTATATCAAAACCTCCCAGGATACCCAAAGGCAAAGTTCCGGTTCCCCATGTGAAGGCCATGCAAACACCTAAACCTGCTCGACCGCCATCTTCCCCGCCTATCAGCGCTTCTAATCGCATCGCGAACATTGATTATGCTCTGCAACCTTCACGAAGTAGCCTGCTTGAGACCGAATCGCCGAGCTCCACTCGCATAGCACAGATGGAAAGGTCCAAGGTAGCTTCACCTCCGCCCAAGAAGACCAAGACGCTGCGACTGTCTACCGGGGTAAGAAGGGGGATGCTGTTGTGCCAGTCTATTACGCAACCACCAGTTTCCGTCTCTCGACGACAAGATGAAGATCATGTCAGACTTGCGCGCGCTACGAGTCGAAAATCCAGGCCAGCGAGAAAGATGGGATGCGATGATGCTCATACCATAATACTAGAGGACGAAGATACAGGTGACGACTATGCCATTGAATCTGAAAGCCTCCAGAGGCCAAAATCTGGTAAAAGGCAAATTGGAAGTTTAGCAGAATCAAATTCGGAAAAGACGGCCACCCGGAACGGGCCAGCTCCCGAACTTGCAAGCGATATGGAAATTGCTCATGGTATCATGGATCAACAATTGGCGGTCTCTCCATCGCCACCTAGCTTCCATGACGTTAGGAAGCCTGAACGATCGCCAAGGCAGAATGAGAGAGATCTCGGATCTGCAGTTGGCGCAAGTACCAGTAGTAAGAGGAATCGACATCAGGCTGATACTGGACTTCCTGATGTTCCACATCAATCAAAGCGCTCGAAGATAGCTACAAATTCCATAATAGAAAGAGAATCGCTGCAAGATACAAATCTGGAGGGCGCTCCACAACAAGTGTCGAAGAAAGGTAACCCAGACCTCCTGGAACAGGTCCCACAAAGAATCGAGCTGCCCATCAAAAATTTGGAGCAGAACACAACTCCCAGCATTCATCCTAAAGAGAGGCTGCTCTCACTTGGCGGCTTTCGCAAGAAACCCAAACAAGCTCATTCTTCTCTTGCATCGGACAAGTCATCCAATGCTTCATCTCTTCGTCATGCAGTTGCTTCAGGCAACAACCCTTCTGCCCCGAATGTGCCTGATCTGGCACTGAAGCCAAGTACTTCGTCGACTTCACTCACAAAGCCCCCAAAACCGATCACTCTTGATAATGACCTAATTGAAGATGATATACAAATCGTTTCTCTCGACCGAAGCTTTCGACGCACAAGAAGTGAAAATGATGCGCCGATTCCCAGCATCAGCGAAGAATGGGAAAAGCAAAACTTACCGAAGCCGTTGCCAATCAACGGTACAGGCACCGAGGATGCACCAAACGCATCGACTACATCGTTGAGACCCAAGCCAGGTGGTTTGGCTGCGTTGGTTAAACGGACGGATCCCAGGCGGAAGTTCCAACGGACTCGAAGTTTGAATGAGAATGCCAGCCTTACGAATGTGACGGAGTCAATGATAGTAGACGCACCGCCTGATACCGATGTTGGGCCATGGAGTACTGAGGCGTTTGACCTGTTCGATTGGAGACCACCTGCTCCTAAAGGTCAAGACCAAGGGACTGGATTGTTGACTGACAGACGGTGAACTTGTATACGCTACTTGGAAGCATGTGTCGGAACCATTACATAACGAATCTTCTTATTTCACTTTGACTATACCCAACATCTCATATGGGCATGTGTTTGCAGACCTTGCCGGCCTTTGCATAGCAATTGAAATTTGTCGGGTCGTTTGAGACTCGAGACCTATCATGAACCTATTCGAAATAGTATTGTTGTGCATTATAGTTTTGTATCGTACTGTACGTTCAACGATGACACTATGAGATCATAACTTTCTTGACTCTTTCCACGACCGCCTTACTAAACTCCTCTACGTCGCCGGGGAATCTTGCCGAGATGTAATTGTACCTCTCATCCCCCACCACAAATCTACCCAGATTGATCAGTTCACATACGTTTCTCTTATCTATGCAGATATAGAAAAAGATTGGACTACTCACGGTGCAAAGCTCATACTACTCTCGAACTGCTCATCCGGATTATCCAATTCCCTCCTCACATACTCCTCAACACTCGGGGTGCCTGCGCCATACGTCTTATAGTAATCACCCAAAAACAAGCGCGTGGCCTGATAAACACTCTGCTCCATGAAGCTCGTCAGCGACGTGGTTGTCACATCATGAAGCACGCTCTTCCCAGTATCTGGATACTTCGCAGCAGAGAGAACCTGCACACCATGGCACACAGCCGCCAGACACTTCCTCTGGCCCGAATTCACTCGCGTGAGCGGGAAAAATGTAGCCAGCAGCTCGCCCACGCGCGGCGAGTCAATGATTTGTCGCACCGCCTTATCATGGCCGCCTGGCAGGAACACGAGATCGTAATCAGTGAGCGCGAAGGTGGGGTCTGACCACGATAGCGGCGCTTGGAATGCTGCGCACGTCGTCGAGAGCGTCTTATACGCTGTTTTTGCAGGTTGCGCGGCGCCTAGGAGCATACCCGTCATACCTTCGAGCATGCGCGAGTCGCAGGCGGGAGTCTTGCCTGTCTCTGTCGCGAAGGAGACGGTGAACCCGGCGGCGTCGAAGTGCATCCAGGGAATTGCTGTTTCAGTTGGGTCGTGGCCGTAGTCTGCCATGAGGATTATCACTTTGGGTGCGGCCATGATTGATTTGCTTGGGTTGGTTCGCTTGGGTCGTCGGTAGGAGATTTGGATGGCTGGGGAGAGACTGTATGTGTCTATGTGCTTGTTCGATATCTTGGACGGAGAATCGTTGCGTGCTGTTATAGTGTTAGCGACCGTAATGTAAATGTATCCAAAGCAGCATACGAATAACCTGATGTTCTTGTTCCCTCTTGATCACGGGTTACAGTGCAAGCCTGCAGACAACGCTGGGATATCGACCCTCTAAATATCACGAGCAAAACAAATAAGATTGATGTCAAAATCCCCCAAGCGCGTACACGTTTCTCCAAGCTGATTGCTCCGTTCGGAATTTTCGCTCTTCCTAGAATGATCTCGCGATGAAGCTGAGGGTTTTGTAGGGCTAGATTCGAGGCGATCGGGGGATTGGGTAATCGGACCCGAGTGTTGGAGTTGGGGGCTGTGATAGTGAGAGTGAGACGGAGTCTAGGTCTCGCCGCCGAAAGGGGAAACGCGGGTGCCTTCATTGCAGACGCCTGTTGAGCATCACAGTAGATGTACGGTGTTATCGAACGTATCTTCGTAGCGATTACTACATCCACCCGTTCTTTGATAGTTGATATCGAGTTTACAAGTATCAAAACAGGATGCGAAGAATATTGTTTTCAGTGAACAAAGTACCAGGATCAAACGTTTGGTCAAGGGAAACACTTTGGTGTATTATTCAAAAGCATCGTCATGGGTGAAAGAGCAGAGATTGAATGCTGTAAAAATACTCTATGAAGGTGGAGTAACTACAAGAAATGCTACTAGGGGTGGGTTACATTGCACCGTGGCATACTATCTACCTTTACGATTGATCAATTTGTTGACTGCTGACTTTGTCGTAATGCTAGACGGCAAAAGATGCCTACGCTAGAAGTCGCCACCGTAGAGCATCTAAGTTCCATTTGATTCTCAGTGTAGTTTCCATCGTTTAGCACATTCGACGCCTTCTGCTAGCGTTCCCACTCTTGCGTCAATGGCATACCCTTCAGCTTCAAACTTGCGGCATTCATCCCACAAATCCTTGAGCGGAACGGAGAAAGTCTCGATGAACTCGTTCTCTTCGAGTGATGGCTCAGGGTTCTGATTTTCTGGCAAGGAAAGGTCCACTGTAACATGAATCATGCGCAGATTGGTGTTGCAGAAGCCCGGATCTGGGATGCAGACCCTTTAGTGATGGTTCTGAACTTAGACGAGAAGGTTACTATAGATGAGACTTACCATTGAACATGATTGGACTGACTCCAAAACCTTCGCCCACCACTTCACCCACATAGCCCGTCTCCTCTTTGAGCTCTCTCACGGCACAAACTTCGGCTGATTCTTTGGGATCGATAAGTCCCGCAGGAACCTCGATTACAGTGGCATTGACTGGCGGCCGCCACTGTTTTTGAAGCAGGATCCGTGGGGACTGGTCGGGTTTGGATGGATCCTGGAGGATAGCAACAACGCCGACCCCATCAATGTCGGAGCCCTTTGGACGAGTGAGACGCTCGGATGCCTCCCAATCTCTTGTGACACCCTCAGGATCAGAGTATGTTATTCTTAATCTAATCAGCTGCATGCCCGATAGAGAGTGGGTTGGTAGCTTCGTACTTGACCAAGGTGGCCCATTTCGCATCTGTGTGATTCTATTTTGCATCAGAGTGTTTTCTGCTCAGAGTTATGATCTGAACACACCAACGGCTCGACCTTTAGCACACGAGACTTGTTTGTGGAGGCCATCTTGAATGGGGTGCTGGCTGTTCCACGACTCTTGAGAGGTGGGGGATTCTAGGGTCTGGATGATTATGTAATGATCAAGTTTGTGTGACTGCCATCATCGGCAACTTTATATGTCTTGGCCTCCCGAGATGGAGAAGTCCAGATCACCATCCCTCATCGCATGTATCCATAAAGCGCGGTTTGTTTGCCAGTCCTACAATGTCTTCTGATCCCCCGGTAATTGGGTCTGATCATCGCCGTGCCTGCAGGTCATCCAACGCTGCTAAATTGGCGCGGCTGGGCACAGAAGCTTGCCATTCATCCGTGGCATTGATTATGGTTACAAGGACAGAATCACGAGCAATTTGTACCAAAATGCGAATGGCGAGTGTACGAGTACAGATGACGGAGTTATATGACTTGATCCAATCGTGGCCATTTCCGAATAGTAGGTAGATCCGTGGATGCGGTTGGGTGAATGAAGAGCGAAAGGGGGTCAATCAAACGAAAACAATGCACTTCCCCACGATTGCCGGATAATCGCCTTTCCCTAGTCACGCTGCAATATCTACCGAGGGTCGAATGACACACTGGAATCGCAATGGTAGCGCCTCGTATGCACTGTATCGAAGTTTTTGACTGTGGTAGGATCTAAATTAGCATATAGGAGATGGAGCGAGCTATGTGGTGGGCGATTTTACTCGCCACTGGCGACCTTGCGACACAGGGGTCGAGCGCAAGTCATGACGGTCGAAAGGGACGGGCCTGACTAGGTGGCACTAAATCAGTTGGACTGCGATCAAAACAAAAAAGCGAAAAGTACGGCGGAGAGGGCACAAGCGCACCGAGGACCAATGGATGTGCTCCGTTATAGGGTACTACGGCGTAATAGGGGCAAGTAGGCATGATAATGGTTGATCGAGTTGAAGACGGTGGCTTGGCAGAAGGCTTTCTTACCATGTACTTGAACAACCAATATTTGATCTATGGGAGCAAGGCTATACCTAGGAAGGGGAGCTTGTCGCCAGAGCACAGCACAGCACGCTGCAATGCAGTGCTCCTCGGCCAGGAAAGCCACGTGCTGCCTCCCAAACCTGGGATGCAATCCAGCGTCGTCTCCTGAGGACCTGAGTTGGGAGGAGGGAGGAGGGGGGGAAATGGGCAGGGTTGATGAAGCCCACATTGGAAGAAGAAATGCTTCGCCGTGCGGGAAGCGGGTGTCGCACTTAAAACGGTGCCAACGTTTTGAACATGACAACAACCACAGTGAGCTTTGGGGATAGCCTCGTGTCGACGAGCATCTCGGCCAGCTCGTATTGGGGTCGCACGGCACTTGTTGACGACAACCAACTGAGTAGAAGGAAAATGGCCTCGGGCGACTTGTGGCAGCGAGTAATGAAGACGGCAGAATTGGGTTTCGAAAAACATTGGTTTTGGATGACCCTTGCTATAGTGATGCCATTTTAAGCGAACGGAAGCTCCCCGTCCTGGAAATCGTCGACGCTTGGCGCATCTCCGATCCTACCTTGATGCCTGAGTTGGGAAGCGTATGTGGCGAAGCGTGCAGTTTCTTCGAGTCGCTTGTCCTCTTTCTGCTGAAGGAACCACATAAAACTCGGCAGGGATGCGGCGGCGGCTGGCGACTGCAGTAGCCGGCCGAATCATGGTGGTGATGGATGGTGCATGCAAGGTACGCGACACCACGGGAGATGTCCCACGATTCCCACCCACCTTCATCGCTCCGCCATCGCGGTCCTCTCTTTCGCAAGCCTCACAGCGTATCCACACGAGTTCAGCACTCGCACTCGCATATACATGGATACGTGTGCATGTATGGATGTGCATACATACACAGGTATGTATACATGTATATACCTAGGGCATGTACTTATCGTGTGGTGGTTGCTGCACGCCATGGCTGTCATGCAGAACGGCTACAGTTGTCACCGATTCAGACGCAGGCTCCTATGGCTGAAGCTCGGTTTCAACCGTTACTCTGGGCAATCCTCCCTTTACAGGCCCATCAAACACCCCATATTGCAGAAACAGTTAGCCCTGCACCTTAGTTTGCCTCATTGGATACTGGCACCCGCTCTAGGCAGGGAAGAGCTTCACTCGGCAGCAATATTGCTGCCATGCAAATATTGACCTCCAGTCTCGCCATCCAATTTTGGACGCCAGAACTAAGAGCGTTCAGACTGATATCCACCGCGTTGTGATCCAACATTTGCTCTACCCATTTAGCGGGGGCCTGCGCTTCAAAGCATGACTTTTCTTTACAAGGGCCTATCCCCTCTCCAACCTGTGATTCTCTTTTCCCAACGCATACTTCTGCCGCCGCGCCTGTCTCTTCTTTTGCCAGTGTGTTGTTTGTTCCTCACACGTCCTCTCGTTTCCAGCTTCCGCGACTTGTCCTACCCCTGGACTCCTACTTTCGTTTCACCGTCCTATTACCCGCTGCCAACTGCCACTGCCTGCCTTCGGAAGCTTTTTCTCATCAGTCTCGTATTCCCGTAATACTCTTGACCGCAACCGTCCTTGTTGGATATCTGGTCGACCCAGAATATCATCTGTTTCTTTTCCTTCTTATCGTTTGGAGTATATCGCAACTAGTAGGCAGTATTGAGTTTCGGACTGATACTGCTCCTCACCACCTCCCGAAGGCAAACACTGCCATTATCGGTCCGATTAAACATCTATAATCATGAGCCACTGGTGGGGAGATTTGAACTTGGCTTACAAGTACACGTATGTGCTTGATTCAACTGCACTTGCATGTGTATAGTTCTGACCGATGACAGAATTGTGTTCTTGTCTCTGCTAGCCTTGACCATATTAGCGGGCTTGGTCAAGGTTTACTTTGATAGGAGAAAGTATGTTGAGCCCTACATTTGGAGAGAAGAAACTCTTGGATAGAAAGCGAGACTGGAACTGACGATATAACCAGGCTGAAGAAGGTGACCCAAAAGATCAAAGAGGAGGAGGAGGCAAGAGAAGACCAAGTCGAATTGAACCAACGAGAAAAGGATGAGGGAGACCTTTTCGGTGTTCGAGCCATCGAAGCTGGGTTCTTTGCCGGCATTCCTCAATCTCGTCCCACGTCCAGAGCGGGCTCTATTGCTGGTAGTCCATCAATGAGCTCTACCACTCTTCTCGGCGGTCTCAGCTCACCAAAAGTCCAATCCATGGCCAGCAGCGTTACTGATCTTCCTCTCGCACACACGAATAATCGCGATTCGGATGTTCTCCCTTCTCACCCACCAGCTCCCAAGAGAACTCCTTCCAATCTCAAACTTGAACCTTCGGAAGCGGAATTGACAGGACGACACAACCTCAACTCTGCAGTCAACATGGGCCTGGCTGTCCCTCCGTCACCTGTCCTTACGAAAGCGCCCCGAGCTCCTGCGTCCGATGATGCAGACGATGTCGAACGCGAAGGTCGCACTTCCCCCCTCTCTGGAGCGAGAAGCGCCGTATTGACTCCTCCCCCCGGGGACGTTCCCCATTCACAAGCCGCGTCTCTCGTGACTGATTCGCCCAACAGCAGTCGCGCTGCTTCGCCCGGCCCGTACAAAGCGACGAAACCTGGCCACCGTTCCTCGTTCATCTCTTACATTCCAACAATGCCCTCGGAAGCATCGACAAGTTCGGAGCCTACCATAGTCCTACCACCGACAACTGGCGAATCTACACATCAACGAGAGACAAGCGATGCAAGCAGCATGTACAGCTACAAACGAAACAGCAAGCACCTATCTGTGGGTGCAAGCAAGGAGGCGAACCGTCAAAGTGCCACAAATAACTCACTCCTCGCGCCCAACTCTGCCAGCGATGCGCACCGGGACCCGAACGACCCTCGCTTTTCCGAGTTCTACGACGCATATTTCCGCAACTCCATCATCAGAGATCCGACAAAAAAATCCGATAGACTTTCGTTGACTCCCGCAATCGTCGAGGAGTCTTCGCCCGTGCATGCGCAATAAAGCAGCGATGCAGTTTTGGATGGCTGCGCACATAACATGGGTGGAGGTTGATTTTGGCTTCAGCGCGTGGAGAGAAGCATACGGACAACGGGACGCTGACGACGATTAGCGAAAAGCCCTGTCTTTGGGGGCCTTGAACAGCAAGTGTCCGCCACTAGTGACCAAGCCTCTACAATAACAGTATAGCTTCCCGGTTCTTCAAAGGACACAGACACTGGGAAAGAATGACTGATGTATTGCGATGGCGCAAGCGGCTGAGGATGGGCGCTCCGGAACGGTGGGACGAACGACTTGGAATTAAGATGACCATCCATGGACGACGGGGACCCATTGCAAGATGACGGTGCATATACAGGATGAAGGCTGATGACCATGAGGGAAATCTCTTTTACACGGTTACTCACCCAACGAAACTTGACTGATGTATATAAATATTCCCTACTTAATTTTTAAAAGACCTGCTCAGATAGGTGCATCATTACATTCACTACTGGGCGCAAGAGAGCAGAACACATGCTGAAACTATGCGGCTGTCACATGTCAGCCGACAAACCCTGCCAAATTGTTTCTTACTCCTTTTTGTTTGACCCATTTGATCATGTTGATTTGGTTTTTGTACAATACTATATCGATACTGCGCTGATGCGATGGTTCGACACATTCATTCATCACAGGCTGGTGGTGGTGGCGGACTGGAAATTCGATTGGCCGATCAAATGACTTTCACGTGTTGATCGGACCACTCACAGCTGGCACGGCAGAGGACCCCTGGCAGAATTATGAGGCGGTGAGAGGCCGAAATGGCTATGGCTAATGCCTTTCTTTAACCATCGCGTCGCCGTCGCCACCGCTGTCGAGCTTTCACTTGCTTTCGACTGTGGAGTCTTGTTTTGTTAAACATACCGTCTTTCTCTCTTCCCATTCCTTCGGTCCATGTAGTGGTGTGTGCGCGTCATAGATTACTCAGATATCATCTCCCCACCACTCCCCACCTCGATAATGTCATCCACTACAACCACCACCGTAACCACCGCCCTCGATACTGCAGCAGCCGCGCCCATTCGCACAAGATCCATGGGGAAGCCCGGGGGAGTGCTGTCAAAGATACACACTGAAGATTACCGCGAGATCCGGCGGCGCCAGCATCAACATGCCGATATCGTCATTGTTGGCGCTGGCATTGTGGGATGTGCGGCCGCGGTGGCATTTGGGAAGCAAGGCCGAAGCGTCATATTATTGGAGAGGAGCTTGAAAGAGCCTGATCGCATTGTGGGAGAGTTGTTGCAGCCGGGTGGTGTGAATGCGTTGGAGAAATTGGGTCTCAGAGGTGTGTACAACATGCGCAAATATATTTACGTCTTCTAACACGCTTTCATAGATTGCCTCGAAGATATTGACGCTGTTCCATGTTATGGCTACCAAGTCTCCTACCATCGCGAACCCGCTCACATTCCGTACCCTGCCAATTTGACCGACAACTCTTCGCCTTCCAACCCTCCCGAGGGTCGCAGTTTCCACCACGGTCGCTTCATTTCCAAACTGCGCGCCGCTGCTCGTGCCGCCCCCAATGTCACGGTAATCGAAAGCACCGTGAACGACGTCGTCAAAGACAGCTATACAAACCAAATTCTCGGAGTACAATGCACAACTGCGGGCAAGCCGGATTGTTATTTCGGTGCCGTTACCTTGATCAGCGATGGATACGCCAGTAAATTCAGAAAGTCATACATATCACATACCCCCGAGGTGCGGAGTAAATTCTGGGCTTTGGAGTTGATCGATGCTGTTCTCCCCATGCCAAACCATGGTCACGTCATCCTCTCCAACGCACCGCCTATTCTTATTTACCAAATCGGCACACATGAAACCCGCATTTTGATCGATGTGCCGGAAAATTGCCCTTCTGCATCACCCAAAAACGGTGGCATCAAGAATCATTTGCTCAACGTCGCTATGCCAAATCTACCTGAATGCGTGCGCCCCTCCTTCCAGAAAGCTATCGAGGCCGGAAAGCTTCGTAGCATGCCCAACTCGTTCCTCCCACCTGCTGTTCAGAAAACACCGGGCCTGATCATTCTGGGCGATGCGATGAACATGCGGCATCCCCTGACGGGCGGTGGCATGACAGTTGCCTTCAACGACGTTCTCACACTCTCTCAACTCCTCTCACCAGACAACGTGCCCAATCTCGAAATGACCGACGATGTGCTGAAGCAGATGCAGCGGTTCCACTGGGAGCGCAAGTCAGCTTCATCCGTCATCAACATTTTGGCCATGGCGCTGTACGCCCTCTTTGCAGCCGACGAATCAACTCTCACTGCACTTCAAAACGGATGCTTCCGCTACTTCCAGCGCGGCGGCAAGTGCGTCTCCGAACCATGCGGGCTCCTTGCTGGGTTGATCAGGCGGCCGTGGGTGCTTGTTTACCACTTTTTCGCTGTCGCATTCTACGGTGTGTGGTGTCGCATGCTCGAAGGTCCCGTCTGGAGGATGCCCTATGTACTCCTTATTGAGAGCGTCTTGATAATCTGGAAGGCAGCTATGGTTATTGGACCTTACCTTGTTGCGGAAGTTAGATCATAGATGATGAGAGGGTCACTGCTGGATTTGTAACGTTTAATTGTTCCGTGTATATACTTGTAAAAGGTAATTCTTGCATGCTGAACAGCATGAGTGGCGTTTTTGGGAGATGGTAACTCACGACTAATTGTGATCGACTTGAATGATCAATCGATACCCTCTTTCAGGAGGTCACGGTGGTAGACGTAGTAGTATCTGCAATAATTTTAAATATATCCTGTCAAAGAAACCTTCAGAGTCTAGGACGGCCGCGAGTTTGAGTGCGACACAACAACACTAGAGACGGACTGGTAGTGCCCGTTGCATCGGGGATGCAACTACAAGTATGTTCACTTGTTTCTAGTGATGAACAATCAAGTCAAGTAGAGAAATCCATTCGTATTAAATAATCTATACAGAGGTGCTGAATACACCAGATGCCCTCCCTTCTATTCCGATAGCAGAAAAAGAGCCTTTACCAGAGCAAAAGAACCGACCTTTCTTGCGTCCAAACTTTACAAGTCCCAAAAGTGCCCGACGATGTTCTATATATCTACATGACAATAGGAGGAGAGGCCTAACTAGAACTGCCTCTTGGACGCACTACTCCGAATGCGTTCACCAAAGATCCAGAAACAAATGGGCACGGGAATACACGCCACAGCGATGAACCCCAACAGCGAATTGCCCCATCCAATGCCCAGCGCGTCGTACATGGCAGGTCCAGCAAGCGGCAGCAATGCTCCGACAAGGGATCGTAACACTGTGCACGCGGCACTGACAGACGCTGCATATACGGTGTAGATATCGACGAGGTAGGTGATGCCGGGAAGCTATTCCTTTTGTGTTAGCAGAAACTTACGCATGGACATGGAGTAGAGGTACAACTGACAAACATAATGATCATGCCCGCACCAAGAAAACCTGTTCCAATGATTGGTACGATCCAGTGGACTTGTTTCTCTGCCGTCCAGCCGTACATGAAGAGGCCTATAGGGACCAGAAGGCTTGAGATCAGCATGGCTGGAAGTCTGAACTCGGGCCTGTGCTTGCCACCGTTACGCTCCTTCAGTGTGCTGGCGATGCGGTCGAGGACTGCGCCGCTGAATACAAGGCCGAGGCATGTACCGACACCGCTGCCCAAGTACGTTAGGGCAATTCCCTTCTCCGAAAATCCGTATTGTTGACCAAAGACGCGAGGATATGTAGTTAGGAGGAGGTAGGAGTAACCGTAAACCTACATGTGGAAACGTTCTTCATTAGTGTGGGAGGTGACTGATTGACTGGATTGACTTACAGTAGCCATTACGAAAGACATCAAGAACACAGGAGCGGAAAGAAGAAGCATCTTCATGGGCCTAACCATCGACATTTTGAAATATTCGGTTGGTGTCTTGTCTGTGGCTAGTTTGGACCGAAGGTTTGGATTTCCTGTCTCCTTCCGTAGGCGCGTGGCCCTGCGCTCCAATATGGTATATGCATAGGTCTCACGGTTGAAGACGAAGCTGATAACGACGGCGAATCCGGACTATAACTGTTTTAGTTCGAGCTTCTATTCACTCGGAAAAGTGGCTCAACTTACAAGAATCACAAGAAGCCAAAAGGCCCATCGCCATCCCCTTGCTTCGCTGAGATACCCAGCAGCTACACATCTTTCATCAGCGCTAGCTATCACTAAAGCCTACTAACAAACATACCAATAGGACCAATCGTTGGCCCAAACAAAGGCCCTAGCATTACAGAGGACAGTGCTCTTCCTCTCTTTTCGAGGGGATACAGATCCGCCACTGTTGCAGTAGCAATGGTAACTGGGCAGCTTGCAGCAACCCCTGCGATGAAACGAAAAGCAACCAATCCTCCGATGTTGTTGGTAACTGCACACGCGATGTTGAAGATGAAGAAAATGACATTGGATGCGTTGTACATGTGCTGACGACCGTACAGCTCAGAGAGCGGTCCCCAGAAAAGAGGTCCAAACGCGTAGCCGAGAATGTAGACGGATGTTATGAAGGTTCCCAGTGTGTCATTGGTAGAATGAAAGTCTTTCATGATCAAGGGTGTGGCTGAGGCACTCATAGTTGATGCGAATGGACTGTAGAACATGGTCAGTAAGTTCGAGAATAAAGTAGGTGCATTCTCGAAAATGGGAAGTACTTACGACAGCATTGCAACGAAGGATACGACAATTATGACGGGTAAACGTTTGGATCTTGGCCAGTTGAGAGGATTTTCAGGATCATTATCACCATCCCAGTCGACAATATCGGGATCTTTTGCGCCGGTCTCTACTTTTTCCATATCGACATCGTCTTCTGTAGGTTGGTGTTCCGGATCCCGCGTCAAGCTTTTCGCATCTGTAGAGCTTGTACTCGGTGCAGTTCCCTCGTGTTCACCAAGTACAGCGGCGGTTTCGTTGGTGCTCGACATCCTCAGCGAGGTGACTATTGTAAATGAATCTTGGAATAACGAACGGTCGATCACTCTAAGCTTCGTGAAAAAAAAAGGGTATAGAGAATGACAGCCGATTAAAACCAAGTGGATTTCCAGCCCTTATGCTTGTCACTTTTAAACACTGTTGCACTGCAGGCGCAACCCGGTTCGGGATATCGAAGCTTATCGCCGAGTCCGCGGATTCTCCTTCCATGTTGCTTTGTTGACCCATGCGATACGCCCGATGTTCAGCTTCCATTTCCATTGCGTGCGAGTCGGTGTATTCGCGTTATCACCGATTTCTTAGACCGAGACTCGAGAAATGAGATGAGTTTGTCATGGCGACAGTCAATGGCAGGCATTAATGCTTCGGACGCGCAGTCATGCTCACTTATACTAATCAATTCATCAAGACCGCGTTTACGGCGAATCAAAGCTTGGTCGAAAGCTTGTATCCTGCCTGCCTTATACGAAAACGGGACACGGAGGAGATAGGAATTGAGATCCAGCCACTCCGCGCTATAATTGTAGAGCGACTGCTTTCTTTGAAAATTTGATTGTTTGACTCACTAGTTCCAGCAGAATACTCCTTGGTTGCATGTGTATAGTAACGAACAAGAGCCGAGTAACCTTTTTCGTGGATGTCAGCTTAGTAATGGGGCGACGGAAACTCCGTGGGATATACCACATCATTCCCTTGGGCGCAGTTACTCCTTTTTTTATGATGGAAACTCCACGGAACGCTGTTTATTCGATCGCGCTTGCTCTACAGAAGGCCATACTTCGTCGTTGCTGCCAAAATGCCGAAAGATGCTCCGAAGCCCCGTCAAAGACCCATCTCTTGCCGATTTTGTAGGACGCGGAAACTCCGTTGCAGCAGAGACTCGCCATGCTCCAACTGCGTATCACGAAATATACCATGTGAGCTTGAGAAATACAATGATATCTCACCTTCAATCGAAAATCGCGAAAGAGAAGAGTTGCTTGAGCGCATACGAAAGCTGGAAGCTTTTGTGGGAAGCAAATCGGCGCAAGTGACAGGCATAGCTGCAACATCAACTCCGGATGTGGATACTCAGTCGCAATCGTACGCAGAACAAAATGCTGGACCTTTTGATCAGGTAAAAGATCAACGTCCAGGCGAAGACGTGGCTTCCGCGAAAGAACAATTCGACCATGATTGCGCTTATTTGAAAAGCATTTATGACAATAGTGACTCTACTGTAAGCACACCCATCGGCGTCTATTGGAGAGTTTCTATACTAACAGTGAACAGCCTGACGAACTTCCATCTACTACGGTGACGTATGTGCATCCAATCTAAGCAATTTTGGCCCTTAGTTTGCCTTCTCAAATTATTGAATTTTGGTGTCCCCTAGAGCACATTCTAAGGGTGTTACTGATATGGGTTTCTACATGCAGGTTCTGTGTATGTCCCCTGAACAAGATTATTATCACCGAAGAGCCTATGAAGGGGTCATGCTTCAGTCATACTAGAATCATCTTTTGGTTACCGGAATATTCGCAAGCCTTGGCTTTGCTTGATAAGTTCAAATCCAGCATCCACCACATGCACCACATCATGCTCTCCCAATCACTCTCCGACGTTCTTGATCGTGTGTATGCTTCGCTAAACCAAAAAGGTGAAGTGAAATCCGGGGACATGATTCTCCTCTACGCGATACTCACAGCAGCCATGCATACTTGGTCTGCAGACGACTGCTGTAAGCGCGGTCTCTTTACAACCCCCGAGGAAGCACATAAGCATTCAGCTATTTGGATTAAGGCGACCGAACATCTCCTCGAAATTGCTCAGCGGACGACTAAGATGTCTATTGAGGGTATAGAGGGGATCATCGTCATCGGGTTTATTGTGTCCAGTTACAAAGGGTTTTCGAGGAGATGCTGGCACTTGATGAACAATGCTATCCTACACGCACGCGAACTAGGTCTCCATCGTATCGACCATCCTTCCAATTCTGAGTCTTCAGGGACAGCAAACGCTGAAGTGGGGCGTAGGCTGTGGTGGTATCTGGTTGCAACCGATTGGTAAGAGCTGTATTCCAATTGATTTCATATATACTAACGAGTAGAAAAGGGCCATGTCTGCGAAGTTCAACGGTGCAGCACGAGGGACTTATCAATGTCATCCAAGACAGATGATGACAGACAAGCCTCTCAACATAGATGACGAGGATGTTGTGGACGGCATGTCACGCGTTGGAAAGCCTTCCTCTCAGCCTACTTCGATGTCTTACTTCCTCTTCCGAATCCGTCTTAATGAGATATCTCGCAGTCTTGTAGACCGTACACCGTTCATGAGTGTAGCTTCCAGTACAAGTTTTGAGGTCGTCATGGACATTGATACGGAAATGCAAAAAGTCTACGCCGACATCCCTGCGTTCTTTTCCCTGCCCCCAGCAGACACGAGCAGAATCTACAATATTAGCTATGCGCGAGCTCTGAGCATTGCTCGTCAAGGGAACGATCTTTATGCTCTATTCAACGCCCAACGCTGTCGTCTACACCTCCCTTATGCCCAGCGTGGGTACGTCGAACCCGAGTTTGCGCCCTCACGAGACCTATGCATCAACTCTGCACGCCTCATCATCCGTAACGAGACCGCATACTACAATTCGGATCTGGGAGAGGGCGGTTCGCGTTATGTACCCCTGTTTTACAGCATGACCGTATTCCTGGCATGTACTGTACTGCTCATGGACTACTCCCACAGTCGATCTGCAACGCACCGCGACAAGCAAAAGCTCGAGATCTGCAGTGCAGTGCGTTTGCTCGAATCGGCGCGGCTTGAGAGCGAGCTAGCTGCTAAGTTTATGGACAGCATGATTACCGTGCTGCACAAGCATGGAATTGCGCTGAACAAGCAGTCGGTTGCAGCCCCGACAAACAGTTCCAGCAGAACCACACAGAAGCAGGATCGAACGACCCCTTCTATGTTGTATGACACGGCTACTGGGGCTTCTGCGCCTTCTTCAGAGTTCCAACATGGTTCTTACATGGGGGCGATGGCAGGGCAACCAGTAGCACTGCCTGATACACCGCTGAGTGTCTTGGAAAACAACACATTGGCAAGCCAGGGGCTCGATGAAACTGATGGGGGTGTTTTCAACAGCATGCAGACTGGGGGGTCTGACTTGGGCGATCTGGTGATGGCATTAGATCAAGGCGTGGACGTCGGCATGATTGACTGGGATGACATCTTCATTGGATTGGAGCCGTCTTTTATGTGAAAATTCGAGAGAGCTATCTCGATCAATTTTTGGTCGTAGAGCCCACACTACCTCATGATTGACTACGACTAGATTAATGGAGCAAATGATTGACAGACTTGAACGCACCAGTATACGCAGCAGAAATAACGCTGGAAAAGTTGTGCTCTGAAGATTATCATTACGAAGAAGAGGGAGAAGAAGAACATGAAGAATCGCACAGTGAGGCCTATCTACTGACACCGATAGCGTAGACTTGGGCCATTCCACCCTCATATTCAAGATAAACGCTACTTGCTACACAGTAAAAATACTACCCGTCGCCTCTGGACGCTTGAACCCCACCGTTGTCCCTGCCACCATGGTAGTCGTCGTGACCGTTTCCTACAAACTCGCAGGAGCAGTGGCTCTCTCGAGAGACAGGCTGGGGACGACGAAAGAAGATGACCCGTTGATCGAGGTGAAATTCTGACTACAACCTTCACCATCGAACGAAGCTGAATCAGGAAACCCCCTTATCTTTCGTAATATTATTACCACCGTGGTCGTCTTTCTCTCTTGCTCCTTGTAAAAGTGTAGCAGTAGCAGCAGCATCGTCTCCCTCCCCGATTATGACACGATAATCGTACTTTTTCAACAAAGTCTTCCCACTTCCATTCTCTATTCCTCGTCCCGCGTCGTTGTCTTCTTCATCACCATCTAAATCAGCACGTCGTTTCTCTCCCCACGCCAACGGCCGCGGAAACCACAACAACGGCGCTTCCAGGATCGCTACGGGCACACCACTTTCGTTATTTTCGCTCGCTGAACCATTCAGAGTCATGGATTTTGTCTTTGATGACGAGGTTAAGATCCATGTCGCTGTTTGTCCTGGTCTGTATGCTACAGCGTATTTGGTGTAGGGCCAGTTTCTGGGGAGCTGAGATGCGAAGTGTGGGGGCAGGGGTGGAGGTGTACTGGATGTGTTTTTGGTCGTGGGGGGATCGTCGGGGGTTGGAGAAGAAGAAGAAGGAGGAGGAGGAGGAGGAGGAGGTCGTCGTCGTGAGGAAGAGGGAGGGGATCCTGTTGATGATATCGAGGTGGAAGAGATTGATGCTGGAGCCGAGGTTTGGACGGTGCTACTGCTGCTATTGGGAGTGGTACTGGGTGAAATAGTATGTGATGGTTCTTCTGTTGGAGGACTATCAGAGGATGGTGTAGAGGTTTTGTGTGAGGCGACACTTGTTGCGGTCTTGCTAGCTGCTGCTGTGGTATGTGTAGTCTCCAGAGTTTCCGAGGTCGACGCACTGGATTCTACTTTCTTGGACGTAGACGTTTTGGACGATGGTGGAGGTACTGGCGTGGTTATTATGCCGAACGCGCTTTTCGTCGTTGTCGTTGTTGTCGTCTGCGCATGGGGCACTGCTTCTATTGAGTTGTTGTCGTCCAGTGGCACGGCGACGTTGATTGCATTCAGCTCTATCGGCGTTGCGTGGGTGAAACCGAGAGCTGCGAAAGCGGCAATGGCGACGATGAAGATGCGGACTCGCATTTTCGCAGACTTGGCTGGATGCAATAAGGTCATGGAACGATTGAGGTGATTTCGGGTTCATGTTGCTATCCAGAAGATGTTGTCCCTGTTTTCAAGTCGATACAATTTGTGTGAATGTGTCACTCCCTCTTTTGAATGTGTGTACATTGAAGCCCAGGCGTGAATAGAGGCAACTGATTACGCAGGACGAAGAGCATAACGTTCGCATCGTGGGTATATACCCTCACAAAAGATTTTGTATTAGGATAAGCATAGACCTCCAAATACACTATTTACGGCACTGCACCACTGTTCTCGATCCTAGTTGGGCATTTTCAAACACCCTATTGCCATTCGTGACACTAACTCGATGTCTGTCCCTTGGAAGGATGGTCCAGGGTGAATTAGGGCATACTGAATACGCAAAGGAGGCCGCCTTCCTTCAGCTTGGATTGTAGCATGAATGTACCGAATTGATTTCGCCAAAATAGATATGTACAAGTAACGTAAAAAATATAGCACTAATGGCGGTATTCACCAGCGGCTATCGTGGCCCTCCCTCTGATACTTACTTATGTAACAGTTCGAAAGAAAAAGGAGAGAGGAAAGATGACGCGAAATATTGGCAGATGAAGAACATTAACCTCCTTTCCTTGCCAGTCTTAATAGAGAATTGATCAAGAGAATTCCTAGCATAAGCCATGGAAAGAAACGAATGGCGACCAAAAGAAAGGGGAAGCGGTACGATCTATTATAAAGACGGAAAGAGAATTGAGAGAAGCGAGGATAATTCAAAAGATATTCCATAAGCCACAATTGAGCAACCGAAAAGAAGAAAATCGTAGTTGAGGAGAAAAGACGCCAACGGATAAACAGAATACCACCAGACAACTGTAAACCGAAATGAGCAAAAACAGGATAAAAAGAGCCAGTTGAAACACGTCAAAGATCCGCCCGTATGCTTTCGATCAAAAGATTTCCAACCCCTCAAAGTCGACGCAAAGATTCCTCATGCCACCCCCTAAAGCACCGTTGGTCCCATTGCGTCTCTCGTACATGCTGGTCCCGAAATTTGCAGGCCGTGACGCATACACACCGACTCTGACGGCTTTGTCCTCAACACCCCAAAAAAACCATGTCACCTCTCTCAACTTCTTCCACCCCGAAACGTCATCCTCGTACCAGATCCAGAGCGCGTATCCAATCCTTTCAATCTTGACTCGCAGATCAGAACGGCGTGCATGGTGGGGTGGTAGCGTTGTAAGGGCCCAATCGGCACCGTCTGAGGTGGCAACAACAGAGGTTGCGTGGCATGCGCCATTGCAAAATTCGAGGCCGACTTTGACCCACTTGGACGCGGGGGCAGGTGGCATGTATGGTGGTGGCGGACCGCGCGCGACGTTAGAAAGAGATTCCGTAGCTAACCCCGCATTTGGGGTTGCTGTCAAAGCCGGGGGTGCAGGCGCGATGGAAACAGCGGGCGAAGGAACATTGGTGCTATCGCTGAGGATGATATCGGCGGTCGGGGGATGAGGGTTTGATTGGGGTGCGATGGAGGTAGCAACCCTACCTGGCGGAGCGCCTGCAAATATCACCAAACCACCTTGATCCCATTCGAGCTCCCAATCTGCCGAGACGGTGACCTCTGCAGCTATGAAAGGAGTGCGTAGGGCAGTATATAGGATGGGGGCGGTAGATGTGTCTCGCGAGGGGGGCTTTCTCCACAAATCGGAATTGGGAGGCGCAGCGAGGGTGAACGAGCCCATGTACTCGGGCACAGGAGCCTCATTGTCGAAGTTTAGAGGAGTGAAAGAAGAGCTGTCGGGCGGCATGCTTTCGGATTGGTAGCAGTACGATATGCAGATTGGGAACGAGTGGAATGAATGAGCGAGTGGTTGAGTGCCGGAGAATGAGGGGGAGAGTGGTGAGTGTCGCAGGGAGAAGAGGCGATGGATGGTCTGGAGGGCGCGGTAACAGGTGTTGCGGCAAAGTGAGGTGTCAATACATCGGTATCCAGGTCGTAGGTCCGACACTCGGTATGCGCTGTCCCCGCCGAAGAAAGACGGATGGGAGTCGTGTCTGGCTTGTACGACGTTGGAAACCGGGGTTGTTCGCTTCGTCGTTGAGGGAGAAACGAGCAAGGATGGCGCATGTAAGCTGCTGACAGACTCCGCCAAATCTCCACGAGTACAGTGCCGGGCAGTACGGTGCAGTGCGGAAACAGGTGTAATAAATGGAAGAGAAGCGCTTGACCCCTGATTGAGCCTAGTTTTTGGTCCAAACAATGTTCATGGTGTCCGAGTCCCGCGTGCGTGTTGCAGTCTGATGTTTGTTGGAGACGGTCGCCTGTTGCACACCACACACTGCTGGAACGGCGTGGAGAGCCGTGGCTTACCCTCCCTTGGCTTTGGCTAGCGAAGTAGTATGTATGTGTTGGTGTGTCTGTATGTGTGTGTGTGACGAAGAGTCGTGTCTGCCTCTCGGAGACAAGCTCGCGCGCTGGGAGAGGGAAAGAAGGGTGCAAGCCAAACTTTATACGCCTACCCCTCGAGACGTGTTTGTATACCTCTGGCCACGATGTAATGTCGAGGCCAAGCCAGCGGGCGTTGCTCATCCGAGCTGAAGGTTGCCCGTCAACGCCTAATGTATTCTAGGGGATCGGGATACTAAGGGAGCCACTTGCCAAAATACATGACAGGTACCTAACCATGGACCGAATGTGTGCGTTTGTTTTTGCATGCGGCCGGGGCACGCCCAGTAGGGGAGACGGACGGGCAGGAGGGGCGGAAGCGCAGTGCAGTGAGCGTGCTTGGTCGTGTACGTGGCAGCAGTCTTCATTTAGACGGCGTCATGGACTGGCTCTCCAGAGGCAAATGGCTTCTCCGGTTGCTTCTTCTTCATGTTGTGCATGACATGGCATGGCATCGGCGGGGGCGGCGGAGGGGTGGCCAGAGGTGGATGGAGTCATGTTTGTAGAGAAAAGTTTGATGGATGTCTTGCATGTCAAGCAAGGGGGAGGCTAGGTATACGGCGCGTCTCGTCCATGCAGCATCCATCCACGCATGAATGGATGATTGAAGAATGAATGGTTGTTACGTATGAATGTTGGGTGGATGGATGGCTCCCGCCGTCATGCACATCCCACACTCGCTCTGCCCCGCTTGCTGCTCGCCATTGGAGCCTAGTCGACTATCTACTTGACCATCACCATTCGTTCCACCCCACCACCATCGTCTTCTCGTGGGACCCCATCACACTCCAAAACGTCGTGCATTACAGCATCGGGAAAGACGCGTCCTTGATTTGCTCGCCTCACGCTTCCGCCCGCAGGTGTCCTGGTAGCAGCCTCGCACCTCCCATGCCAGCTTGTGCGTCTAGGTACTGCTGGTAGTACATGGCTTGCTTTTTCTGCAAGACCGAGTACTCTGAGCTGCTTCTCATCTGTCGGCGACTTTGGAACAGCAACCAAGAAGCATGCGTTTGTGTGAGATCGGGAATCAAGCACCCAACGTCAAGCTTGCTCTGTCTACGCGTCCCCATGCGCCAATCCCACCGCATGAACGGTGTGTTCGGTATTCACTTCCATTGCCGAGTCAAAGAGGAAGAAGTGTACTGAGATGCATCTTGAATCACATGTGCTCGTCTGATCATTCCGGTACATGGCGCACTCACCGAGCAAAATCATCGTTCCATACCATGTCTTGGTCACGCCTGTGCCCGTCGAAGGTCGGGAAGACGGCAATGCTTTCGTATCATCGGTAGCATGGTTCAATCGTACCACGCACAATAACGAATCGATATCCGACAAGACGAAGCCTCAGTCGATTTTTTGCCACGACTCTCTGCAACGTCATCCCATGGATCAAGCCCACATGCATCGGATGTATCAGGCAAGGGTCTCACTTGAAACATCTCCGCATACCCTGGATACCCTGGGGCCTGGTGGTTGTGAGTGGCCTTGCACCTGACAGACGGTTTTCACTTGCCACCAATTGCCCCTACAACAAATACGGCATATACGTGTTTTTCACCGAATCAGATCATCACCGGCTGCAAGGCCATCATGTTCGGCTAACATCTTACCAGGCTCGCGAAGATGTCTCTCAAAGTTGTTGCGACCATCAGAAACCGAGATTGAGTCCTACCTCCCCTGCTATTAGGATTGGAGCGGTATAAAGGTCGGGAATATGCAAGCCAAAATATTCGAGTACTACCAGATGATTCAGTCCGGATCCAAACTGTTCCTCCCAGCGAGTCGGAGCCCCAGGACGCTTGTGCTCCGTGATCGATGAAGCCATGCTGGCCAGCCCGCCCCCTGCTGGGGAGCACGAAACGGTAGAATGCCAAATATCAATCTCCCATACAATACAGAAAGAAACTGCCCGGGGAAAGCTTGTAACTACCAATCTTGAGAAGTACGATTGGTCGGATGTTGGAGAAATTACCGTGGAATGGCCCAATCAGCATCCCAATCACTAGGCATATAAGCTGCACGATCCGCCAAAAGGGCAGAAGATGGTTCGTGTCATAGATTCCAGATGAGGCTTGCTATCCGCTGCATACCCCCTCGGCTCCGTGCGTCGCATGCATTTCGATCCATACTGACCATCGGTGCTATTCGTCCGAGTAGCAAAGGAACTCACTCTGTTGCTGCGGGACGTAATTTTTGGTAGAATACCATGGGTATACCGCCCCTACATATGATGCCAGATAGGCGCACCCACTCGAGTTCGTAGATGTGATTCAAAGCATCCAGGTGTCCGGACGTCCAACAAAGATGTACTGGTCGTCAAATCGTTTTGGTGTACATGCCACCAAGGTCATATCTTTAGTATTATTGTGACCGGCATCTTCGTTTCCGTGAGAATGTGGACAGATATAAAAACACCCCGCATATTTGCCGCCTCTATGCTTTGCGATAGATATTGATGTGGCGACGCAGCTGACTGGACGATGTAAAGAGGCTCAGGCCTTCATCTTGCAGCAATTTGGCAAAAGAAGTGTCGGGGCGATATTGCAGCTTCTTCAGATTTCCAGCAAAATGTGGAGCCGCGTTTGGGCGAACAGCTTTCTCGTATGATTCCCAGGTTTGCAACTGGATGACCAAGCAGCCGCCGGGTGCGAGCGAGGCCTGGCATTTGCGAAAAAACGCCACCAGACCGTCATCCAGGTGCTCGAGATGGATCCACTTGATCACATTTAGAGCCAGGATGATATCGTAAGGGCCAGCCAGGACCGGTTCCGTGGAGATGAGCCAGTCGGCGGCGATGAAAGTCGGGCAAGCCCAGGCCGAGAGAGAGGGCGCAGGTGGTGATGGATTGTGACCGTACCTAAGCACAGCAGACATGGGGAAATAATCGATTCGGGACTCACAGTCGTGGCTGGCACTCGGTTGTGGGCGCAGACGTGAACGACGCAAGGCCAACAGCTCCTCGGCTTTGATGACCAGGTGCGGGTCGATATCGACACCCACGACATGACGGGCGCCGAAATCAAAAGCTGTGGATTTATTATCAGTCAGGATGAGCTATAATCGGTTGGAAGAGAGAGCAGGGGGGCGAGTGGGCGTATACATACCCAGTTGGGTACTGACGGTTCCATCATTGCAGCCAAGGTCCAAACAGCGCTTTCCCTCGAAGGATAGGCCTAAGCTGTCGATCAAGGCCAACCGGGTATCACGAACATGGGTGGACGGCGGGGAACCAAAGTTGTGGTTAGGCCCAAGGTAGTCTTCGTTGGCTAGGTCAGCGCACTGGCCCAACATGCATCAATTGCCGGGCGTATAGTAGGTGTAGATTGTAGATTGCAAGACAAGAGCGAAATAGAGTGGCACATACCCGTATAATTTCCCCAGTTGGTGGATTTGGAAGGCATTATAGGCCTATAGGGTTTGGTAGGGGTGCTCGCGAGGGCAAGGGTGGTGGATCGTCGGAGGTTTTTGAAAGTGCGGTAGGTTTGGTCAGAAGCAGGGTTGAAGCTCTGAAGGGTGGTGGGCAGAGATGCGTGGCGGGTAGAAGTCTTGAGAGGGTGCGGGTAGGAGTCAGGATGCGATGCACGGCCGACGATGTGGTCAAGTCATGGGTTTGTCCGGACTCAGGGAGTGAGCGAGCGAGTCGATGATTAGATGGTGGGGACAGCGGGCAACCGGTGGTGAATCGGTGAATTGGTTGTGGTGGTGGTGATGGTGGTTTGAGCCTGGCAGAGGATATTGATTCGCCCAGGCAGGGAGGGGCAGACGGTGAAAGAGTGGTTCGCGTAAATCTGCAAAACGGCAGGTGGTGTTTCCGTCGACCAGCCTGTCAACTTGTTATGATGATCCATCGCACCTGCCCTCTCCCCACCCCGCATTTTTTTCTCTCTCTCACTCTGGGCGGCAGCCACGGGGCATGGAACCTGGATCTCATCTCTGGCACGTACATATTCACTGATACAAATACATATATGGATTGACATATACCCATGCCTAGCCAGCTACCCAAGCACTTGTGGACAAGTAAATAGAGGTAGAGAGGTGTACTGTGGACGACTGCACTTGCTAGCAGGTGTGCGGTGTGTACATGTATGCATGTACTGGCTTCGAATGTAGCCATGTACTGTGTATGCTTGCAGCACATGGCCGTCCTGGGCGCCAAGGGATGGCTGGCTGACTGGCTGGCCCATCTTTCGCAACGCATCGCGACGTAACGCAACACGGATAGGTGTTCGTCCATTCCACCCTCGGCTGCCTTCCCGCACACTGCACAATGCAAAACCCACAGGGCCTATATATACATGTATGGATGTATGTTATATAGGCGGCCGGCCTAGCACAACAGCCAAGGTGGCAGACGAGCCATCAAGTCCGGCGCGCGTACCTGCGCCTGCAACCATGGGCCAACTAAGGCAGAACTGGACCACCTCCCCAAAGCATCGCCACCTCTGCACTAGCGTGTGATTCGGCGCTGCATACGTGGAGCAAGGATGGAATATGGCGAGTTTGAGTGGGTGAGGGAGGAGGGAGAAAGAGACAAGACTGGAAAAGAAAAGAAAGACTGTCAAAAAAACAAGCAGGCAAAACCCTGCCAGAGGGCGCTCGTGTCCGGAAGGTGCCAAAATACGAGATGCAAAATGCAAGGCGTCGAGGCAAGATATCCGGTTCACGGAGTATTAGCAAAGATATTGCTCTTGATATGATATTGAAACCCCCCCCTTTCCCCTGGGCCGAACGATTCGAGGCGGGTGAAGACTGGATTGGAAGGATGCAAGTCGTTGCATTGGACCTGGCTCATTGCCCGGACGGCTCACGTGCCTTGCCATGTGTGCATTTGAATGAATGGATGTTTGGTTGCAGGCTCGCGTTGAGGCTCGTCTGGAGCGGTGCTGGAAGATTCTTCAGGTGCATTGCTCCAGACTTAGCGGGCGACTGGCCAATTCTGCCAATATTGCATCGAAGGCTCGAAGCGTCGTCGCCAAACAAACAGAGGCAAACATCCATGGACCCCGGCTCGGGCTGCGGCCGTTGGCGGTGGTGGGGCCAGCGCCTGGCCCGAAGCCGTTGGAAATCATCATGGCCCACCAGCATCCACCCTTTGAATGACCATGACCACCACCGCTATCATCATCATCAGCATCATCATCAACACCAGGGGTGGACTGCGGTACATGGGAACCAAATCCCCGGCGCACGGAGGCAGGGGACGCACAGCGAGCCAATTAGCCTAGACAAGCGCAGCCGTGATTCGCAGGCCAGCTTCCCTCACTATAGCCTTTCCTGGTTGACCTGCCCCCAAAGCGTCGTTCGTGTCCGTTGCCCGCCGCGCTTTGAGCAGTCCTCTGTGCGAGCTGGGAAGTGGACGCGCCCAATGTGGCATCGTCTGCCTCGGTCTGTGTAGCCGATGCTACCTGTCCTGTCGTCTGTTTGCTTGCTTGCTTGCCTGCCTGCTTGCGTGCTTGTTTGCTTGTGCAAAGTGAGGTGACAGCGCAATACAGCATATCCACCCATCTATTCACCCATCCACCCAGCATCATCCTCACTAGTCGTTGTTGCTGCATCCCAGCCATAGCACACCGGACGCCAACGTGTAGGATGCCATAGTCCTGTAATACCATTCTAGCCATGTATTATCACATCTCCCACAACCACAGCAGGCCCTCTCCTCCGCGCGTCCTGCCCGCCAGCTCAATCTCATTCATTGAATCTCATCTGACCCGTCCAACCAGCCAGTTGCTCGTTGGTGTGCATCGAGTCAGTCCGTCACTCCCCCTTCGGTCATCCTCCACGGCATGCTCCAAATGGTCCATATTCGCTGCAGATGATTCATGCTGCTGCTGCTGCTGCTGCTCTTTAGCCGTTCCTCCATAACCAAACCCAAAAAAAACCTGTGTCCTCTTGCATAACACAGCTAATCCGTCCGTCCTCTGCCCAGCCAGTGCACACATTGTGCAGTGCGCTGCATCCCCCTCCTTCGCCGCCAGACAAGCACGCAGCCCACCCATTGTCCACAACGTTGTTCCATCGCTTCTTCCGCTGTCATCATTCCATGCCCTATCCTTTCCAGGACCCCTCTCCACCCCGGCGTCTCTGATCTCTAGTAGAATGTCTCGTCTTTTTGCTTGCTTGCTTGCCTGCCCTGCCCTGCCCTGCCTGCCTGTCTGTCTGTGCTGCCCTGCACTTGGCACGCCGTTCCGCCTGGGATGCCACTCCATCCTTCACCTGCCCCCCTCCCCCATGCATCCATCCTAATGAATTGATACATACATGCCCTCCCCGGCCCGGTGTCTGAGCGCCTCCGCTCGCCAAAAACCTAAGCGGCGATCTCTGCCTTCTGCCGCCAGCATACAAATCCAAACGCCCGCCACTTCGAGACATTCCTTGACGGATGATTCCTGGCTTGTATCCCCAGTGCACTACCTACTCCCTGGCCACCATCGCAAACCCACCTGGCCGACCTATGCCCACCCAATTCGGCTTCCTGCAGCACCCGTGAACAAATAAACTACCGCATGCCCCAACAACACCAACACCATCAACACCACCCGAATGCTCCATCGTCTCTCCTTCCTTTTCGCCCGTCTCCAGACATGACCGACACTCAGAAACTGCCAGCTTTGTCTCCTTACTTTGACCATTCTCGACGCCTGCCTCCCATCAAGATTCCTCCCGACACTTCGCCCTCTGTACCACCGCCGCCGCCGCCACATGTCGACTACTCTTTCCACCACCAGCTCCCATCCATACAGTCCGGCCTGCCTCCACGACATCACCCCCAACAACCCCACAACCACCATCAACCTTCCGCTCCATCTTCCCTGCCAAGGCCTTCAGCACCATCTGTGGACAAGATACTGCATCACCAATCCAATCCCATCCCTTATACTCCACCAAGATCAGACCCTCCCTACTCTCCCCAGCAGTACGGCCCACCAATATCACCACGCACCGAATTTGAACATAGGTCCCAAAGGTTAACCGAGCAACGTTACCCTTATGAAGACTCTCGCCCCACACCACACCAACCATCTCGTCACGAGCAACCCTATGCTTCCCTTACTTCCCCAGTGGAACAGCCCCAGCCGCGACCGTACGCGCCTCACCAGTCACCGAGCTATCCGTCCGCTTATGCATCCAACTCGACGCCGTTCCACGGGTCCGTGGGTTCTCACCGAGGGTCCATCTCGCACTCGCTGGGTCCCATAGCCTATTCTGAACCCCCGACTGCTGGCCCACCACCTCGGCAAATCCCCCGGCCTGGGTCCATACCGCAGCCTGTCTACAACGACCAACTGTAAGCATGCCTTCTCTCGAATCGGGCAAATGAATCCCCGCTGACCCCGTGTAGGAAACTTAATTACGAGTTGCGTGTACGACAACAACCTATTGCAGCCCGAGCATGCGGTTTTGGCGAGCGGGACCGCAGAGTGATCGACCCCCCACCAATCATCCAACTCATTGTAACCGATCCCAAAACAGGAGCCGCAGAACAGGAGGAGCTGCGTTATTCACTAAATGTTGTGCACTGCACGTTATGGAACGCAAAAGGCACGAGCGAAGAGACGGCACTGATACAGCCCGACAGGCGGACGACGCGACGACTCATGGGCCAGCTGGTGGCATCGCCTTCGGTGGCCAAGGACGAACACGATGTTGAAGGTTGCTTTTTTTGTTTCCCCGATCTCTCTTGTCGCACTCATGGCATGTATCGCTTGCGGTTTGTGCTTATGCGACTTGACCCGATGAACCTTCACGTTGGCGGCTTCTCACCCATTCTCAACGAAGTGCTGAGCGATGTTTTCACTGTTTATACAGCCAAGGACTTCCCTGGAATGCGGCCTAGCAGCGCTCTCACACGTGCGTTGAAGCTGCAAGGATGCAACATTCAAGTAAAAAAGGGCAATGAAAAGGCACTGGCTCGCAAGCGACTTACACAAAGCCAAGACCACGATAATCACGAAGATGACGACGAAATGGGAAAACGACGGCGCAAGGACTGAGCCTTTATTTTCTTTTGCGTGTTGGCAGTTCCTCCCCTCGGCTGGAGCGGTTCGCACTTTGGTTGTCTTCTTGAAGCGTTTGCTTTTGATTCATTGTTTCAACATTAGCACGCGTTTGCGCTTGCGCTCATCCTTTTTTTTTCCCTCTTCTCTTCTTGTTGTCTTTGGCTCTTCTCTTTTTTTCCTCCATCATTACGAGAAGAATATCGGGGCGGCATAAATGTCATTTTTGGATATCTGAAGCATCTTCGACCGTATGTTTTAGCATTTTCACGACCGCACAAAGGTTGAAGAGAGTAGTTTTTGGAATACCAGGTGGTTTGCGGACGGGTTCTAGGCATCGTTGGGTCAGGGTGTTTTGGTGGGCTATGGTGGAATAAATGAGGGAAAGGAAGTATGTAATCGGTCGGTCGAGTAGCTACCTAGGTATCAACTACTTGGACATAAGAGAAAGCAGCAGCATGTACCAAGATCAACGGTAGACTCGGGCATGACAGCTATCAAAGAGAAACAATACAACGACCTTTGCATACAAAGACATAAGGTAGCAAGCCGCACTTGCCCGGTGTTGAAGTCACGCGAATGTACAATTTTCAAGTGCCTGGACACAATAGTTCCAATACTCTGTGGGAACAGTAGAGCTATACAACATGGATATTTACAAACGATAAATACGGGTTGTTGCATCCTGGGAGTACATGGCCGGTTTGGCACTTCTGTATGTTGGTACTCGAGTAAAAAATGAGTGAAAGCAAGCCTCTCGAGTCCAGTGGACGCTAGCGGACGCTAGCATCTCCCCGCACCTACCATTGGAGCTAGGCAAAAGGCACGCTACTACAAAATTTCTGCGACGGCGGTGAGTTGTTCTTCTTTCCTCCCTCCCCTTCCCCCATTGTAATTCAGGCACCGCAAAGACACTACAACACATCATGAAGTACGTGCTCGTGTCTGGTGGCGTCATCAGCGGCGTGGGGAAGGTAAGAGGCTGTGCCTAAATTGAAATCCATTGCATGGTAGTTTTGATCTCAATACTAACGGGCGCGCAGGGCATCATAGGTATGCCGCCAGAAGGATCGCGACTTCTTAATGTGTAAAACATGACAGACTCACGCATCACACAGCCTCCTCGACCGGTCTTCTGCTCAAAACCCTTGGTCTCAAGGTGTCCTCGATAAAGGTCGATCCATACCTGAATGTCGATGCTGGTACCATGAACCCGAAGGAGTACGACTGCGTCTACCCTTGACAGCTTAGCCTTTGCTGATTATATCTTCACAGGCACGGCGAGGTGTTCGTTCTCTCCGACGGTGGTGAAGTCGACCTCGATCTCGGCAACTACGAGCGCTACCTTAACATCACTCTGACCCGCGCGAATAATATTACCACGGGCAAGATATATGATCATGTCATCAAGCGTGAGCGCAAGGGCGACTATTTGGGCAAAACGGTCCAAGTGGTGCCTCACATAACCGATGCAATTCAAGAATGGATAGAGAAAGTAGCCCGTATCCCCGTTGACGACACCAATGAGGAACCAGACGTCTGCATCATAGAGCTTGGTGGCACAGTTGGCGATATTGAGAGCATGCCTTTCATTGAGGCTATGACACAGCTCCGCCGTCGTGCTGGCAGGGACAACTTTTTGCAAATTCACGTCTCGTACGTGCCCGTTATCAACGGCGAACAGAAAACAAAGCCCACCCAGCAAGCTATCAAGGCAGTCCGTAGTGCGGGCCTCGTTCCTGATCTGGTATTGCCCCAACTTGCTTCCATGGAATAATTCAACTAACAAGAGTAGATTGCTTGTCGCTGCGAAATCGCTCTCGATCGCGGTGCTATTGAGAAGATTTCCCACTTCTGTCAGGTTGATTTCGAGCAGGTTGTCATGGTTAGGGACATGCCATCCATCTACCAAGTCCCAATGCTCCTCGAGCAACAAGGCATGATTCCGCTCTTAAAGAAGATTCTAGCCCTTGATAATATCAACATCTCCGAGTCTCACATCACCAAAGGGAGGAAAACCTGGACTCAGTGGAACGCCTTGACTGGTTCCGATATCCGCTTCCAGGATAAAGTCACTATAGCCCTGGTCGGAAAGTACATTGAACTTCATGACTCATACCTCTCCGTTCTCAAGGCCCTCGAGCACAGCGCCATGCGCTGTGAGCGGAAACTGGACTTGCGCTGGATTGACTCAGAACATCTGGAATCTAAGACCCGCGAGACGGACCCTGCAAAATTTCACAAAGCATGGCACGATGTCTGCACCGCTCAGGGCATTCTGGTGCCCGGTGGTTTTGGACAGCGCGGTACAGAAGGCATGATCCAAGCCGCTAAATGGGCACGCGAGAACAAAACTCCGTATCTTGGAGTTTGCTTGGGCATGCAGGTTGCTGTGATTGAGCATGCACGCCACGTGTGCGGTATCACGGATGCCACATCTGGTGAATTCAACGGCGAGGCCGCCAACAAGCTCATCATTCACATGGCAGAGATTGACAAGGAGACCATGGGGGCTACGATGCGTCTTGGCCTGCACCCTACACGATTCCAAGAAGGCAGCGAGTGGTCACGTCTTCGTGCTTTGTACGCCGGCAAGACTGAGATTCTCGAGCGCCATCGTCACCGTTACGAAGTCAATCCCGAGTATATCGGCAGGCTTGAAAAAGGCGGTCTCAGCTTCATCGGTAAGGACGAGGAAGGTGTACGTATGGAGGTAGTCGAGATCAAGGACCACCCTTGGTTTGTCGGCGTTCAGTTCCACCCCGAGTACCTGTCGCGCGTCCTCGACCCTAGTCGTCCATATCTTGGGTTCGTAGCTGCCAGTGCCGGAATACTAGCCGATGTAACCCGTAATTACCAGAACGGGGTACCGAGTGGAGCTGAAGGTATTGCTAATGGCATCGACAGCCTGTCTCTCAACGGGGATTCAAACCTCTTCTGATTCAGAAGAATGCGTGTTACAATGACGACAAGTATTACGGAGAACCTCAATGGCTAGGATTGGTATATGGGTGGAGGATTTGCTTTCGTGTTTTGCTATATTGATTAAATCGTTATGAACGAAAAGCATTGGTCATCGGCGTCTTGGGCATTTATTGATTGCATCATGAGATACCTCGAGCATGCCTTGCATGTGCATGTGCAAACGTGTATAGATATCACAAAAAATATTAGACTTGAACACCTCACTCACTCGCACTCGCACTCGCACTCGCACTCGCTACTCACATATGCAAATGCAATGTCTCACGCATTCGAATGACCCAGAAGTAACACGAGGATTAACATTGCATTGCATCAGCTATATCCAATAGTTCAGCTATCGCACAGCAGATGGCTCTTTTGCACACTCTAGGATGCATAATCTCACGGTTTAAAACCAGATTTTGGCGTCAGCAAAATAGAGCGTGTACACTAGGAACTCTGTACTTTACATCTCACGCAGGCTCAGAGTTTTTAAGGTGGGACGGGGATTTTTCTTTGATTCCTTCCTCCCTTGCTTTCTTGTTTTAGCTCGCTTGGAGATTACATTTGTGTGGACCAAGAAATATATTTCAATCACCTCCACTGTCCCAAGAGATGTGGCTACAATGTAACTCTGATGTGTATAATTAAGATGCAGATAACGGCCATTCACTCACTTGTACTATTTTACCTATCCTTCAGATGCTTGGTTCTGCACGTTACTCGGTATGTAGTCATCATTCGAAATTTATTGTCGTGACTTGCACCAAGTAGAAGAAAAAATTCCTAGTTGTTGATCCGTATTACGAAATCGTGATTGACGTCCTACAATTGTCGTGAGATCTTACATTTCATCATTCTTGTTCATAAAATACCAAGCTTATTGAATCATTACACATGTATTCCGTGCTTTGTGTCCTCTATCGGAGTCATGACATGGAAAGACATGATTAGAAAGACGTTAATGCAAAGTATTGATATACACACGTCATGAACGAAAAGAACCTCCTTTTCATTTGGATTGCATAGATATATAGCTTCCGTTGAGTGGGACAGTCGGTCGGTGAGTGCGTGTGTACAAGTGAGAAAATATACATATGTACTCCCTCCCAAAGTAAGAAGAGAAAACAAGAAGATCACCCAACCAAGAAGAAAAACGAAGAGGACCGACAAACACCCCATACCAAGAAAATATCAACCTAGTCGGACCTGAGCACTTCACACGGCCGCCAGCATGAAGGAATGATGCAAACACGCACATGCACAACGACGAACGCCACACCCTGTCCCACGTTCCAAGAAAACCGTCTTGACCCAACAACAACAACAACAACAACAACAACAACAACAACAACAACAACAACAACAACAACAACAACAACAGGGACCTGCGATTCCAGATGGAGCGTTGGGCGAAGCATCCCAGAAACGCCACGCTCCAAGAAAGAAAGCAGACCGATAAGAATTGAAAATCAATTGCAAGCAACCTTTCCCTTGCGCCTCACGTCTTGGTTTGCTTTTTGGCGGTGCCAATGTGTGTGTTGTGCACCTTGGTTGCAAACTTGAGTGACGTGACCGTCTCCTGGAGATGCGCCTGAAGCGGTGAGACCATGACAAACATAAGCGTCTTAGAGTTCCCGCCTAGCGAGTATTGAAGGAGGTAGGTCAGCTGCGACAGCAGTCAGCAATTCGTCATTATACACTATACTGATCACAGGAAAGCGATTGAACGTACCTTGGAATTTCTGTAGGGGATATGTGTGCCTTCCTTTGCCGAACCTAGCGCGTTGATGACATCGCCCAAGCAACTCAACGACTTGTTAATGTTTTGCGTCTCTTTCAAGCGCGCACCTTCGGCTTTGCTGTGCTCCAATCGCTCGGAGCCAGCAAGATCAACCAAGTTCAGTGTACCCTCGCTCTTTTCACCTGTAATGCTATTCTCACCACGGAGTTTGAGAATGAAAACAGAGTGTGAGCGTGATGAACGCATGTTTGCTTTGGTGGCCGCCACTGTCCTGTTTTTGTCAGCCCTAGAGAGGATTTCCTCCACTCGATCTGGGCCGTCAAGTGGGACGGATACTGCGTTCTCAAGCACAGTCTGTTTCTTCGCCGTGTCGTGCCGCACTTCAATCTTCTTCTTATCAAGGTCCTCGGAACGGCCCAGCAGGTCGTTGTACGTTTCATTGTAGACCTCGACAAACGATCCTTCCATTTGGTACCGCCACCCCTTCGCCTCGAGGCGTTGGGCTTCGCTGTATATTTGGGCCGTGGCACGCGGTATCATCCCATCCTGCGAAGACATGGTGAATGTCTTCCCCGAGCCTGTTTGCCCGTAACAGAATATACAGACATTGTAGCCATCCAATGCGCTTTGCACTAGTTGGCTGATTTCCTCAAAGACCTCTGAATTTTGACTAGCGGGACTGAAGACTCGGTCAAAAGCGTACGAGTACATTTGCGTTGTGACATTGCCCATAGCACTGGTTTTTTCTGGTCCTTTGACGGCCACTTCTTTGCTGTCTGCATCCGAATCCGGGAATTCAATCTTTGCCGGATCGGTCTCTGCGTCGTGCTTAGGGCGGACTCTGCACATAACGCGGATATTGCCTTTGAGCTCTTGGACTTGATTGTGAAGCTTTCTCCGCAAAGTCTCTTCCTGTCGGAGCTTTTCATTGGCGAGCTCGGCTTCCTCAATGGCTTTTTGCATTCGCGCGTGAAGATTGTTGAATTCGGTGGACTGGGCCTGGCTGTCAGACTCTAGAAAATGAATCTTTTCCTTCATCGCTTTGTTGGAAGCCTCCAAAGTCAGGGTAAGCGTGGCGCTTTCGGTAAGCTGTGCTTGAAGGCCATTCTTCAGAGTCCGTTCGCGATCCAATTCGGCTTTGACATTGGTCAGTTCTCCTTGCAAAAGCTGCGCTTCGCGGTTCTTCGCATCAGCTTCCACACCAGCATCCCGAAGCTTGGCTACGAACTCGGCTTGGAATTCTTGTGCCTCTTGTAATCTTTTGGCGCGTTCTTCTTCCAGCTCAGTCTTCAATCTTTTTTCCATTTCTGCAAGCTGTTCAGAATGTGCTTTCAAAGTCCTCTCAGCTTCAAGTTCAAGCTCTCGTTGAACTTTCCGCACTTCCTCGTCGTTGTCGCGTCGTGAGCGCTCAGTGATTTTGCGATTCCGGTCTTCCAGATCCTCCACTTCACTGCGGTGTTTTCTCCGAAGATCGTCAACTTCAAAGGAATGGCTTCGTCGCAATGCTTCCAGTTCCATATTAGCGGTTGACACCAAACCTCTGAGATCTCGTATGTCGGTTTTGTGCTCGTCCAGGGCCGTGCGGTATTGTGTGCAGGTTGCCTCCAGTTCAGCATCTATTTCATCTGGTTAACAGAGAGCGTTTTGCTCTACCCACAGCATACTTACTTTTCGTTTCATATAGTTTGATCGACTCTTTTAAATTGCCCTGCTTGCTCACATCTGTCTCCATTTGCTCTCTCAAGGCTTGGAATTGTGCTTCGAGGGATGAGACCCTGGCGTCATCGTAAACTGGACAACGAAGGTTAGTTGATTTGTTTAGAAATGGTGTCAGAGACTCCTGCATTTGGGCGGGTTTGACAGGAGTTTGTCGGCCAGCCACAGATAGAGGAGTCTTCTGCTTGCGCGGCGGAGCGCGCGGAATCAGAGAGTCGGGCTTAGATGGGAAGGGGATGTCTGGAGGCTTAACAGAACCATTTCCACGTCCCATGCGATAGCTACGAGTCCCTTTGGCAGAAGCGCTTATATCAAGCGCTTCCAGACCGTGCAAGACATCATCGCAGTCTTCATTGGCAGGCTTTTCTGGCACCAGAGTGGAGGAGGTGGAAAAGGAAGATACTGTCCGACGTGTGGATGAAAGAAAATTCCCGCGGGAGGGTACATCAAGGGTGTACATGTTGGTTTCAGATGACCTGGCAGACCTCTTGGGGATTTGGAGAGATACACGGTCTTGGGGGTTTGTAGAGATAGAAAAAGGGTGGTCACCTTTGCGTTCAGGCTCATCATTTTGAGCATGATGTGTCATGGACGTTGCAGGGCGGTAGGACTGGTGGTGCGATTTGCTGCGCTGATGGTTGCTGTATGAGGACTTGGGTCGCGCTCCTCCGTAGTTGTTATGCGCACTGGGTGCCCGTGACCCATGATGACCTACGCTGTTGCCCAAAGATTTACCAGGATTGTGTTTGGGAGCCCTGTTCGAAGGTACGCGGGACATGGAAGCCGAAAACCCGTTCGCGCCGTTCGCACTGCCCTGTCTGCCATTTGTGTAGGCTTGCCTTGAGCTGGAGGGAGCGGCAATCTTGGAGTTGTGAGGTTCGCCGGCACGTTCCGCGAGCGTCTTTCGTTGTTTCGCATCAGGCTCAGGCAAATTTGATGGTTTGTGTTTGGTAGCGGCGTTGAGCGGCGGTGGAGCCATTGCGCTGCGAGAATTGGCAGCAGCTGCCGTCATCTCAGTCAAGCCGTTGGAGCGCGACAGAACGGGGGAGGATGGCAGCTGTATCTTGGTCGGTGGCCGCAAGCCGGTAGGCTTCGAAGTGACCTGAAGCGCTGAGTTAGAGCGATGAAGTCATGACGTGAAAAGAGACAGGCGAGGTGAGGCCTTTGTTTATCGTTGGGGTGAAAGGATGCATACATACCTGATTTTCGGTGGAGGAATCCATGTCGAGAGTAATGGATACAATTGTGTCAACAACAAGTATAAATCTCACATGAGCATGCTGCTCACGCCGCGGAATCGACGGGTTGACGGTTGTGCGGCGCCGTGGGCTTGTTGATGGAGGAGGAGGTGGTGGTGGTTTCTGTTGTGTTGATCCACTGTTTGGGTGCCGGGCAAAAGTAAACACCACACCCTTGCGCGGGCCAACGCTAGTCATTGCTGACGCTAAGCCTCATTCAGCCGATGGCCTTCCATCCACCACATTGTACCTTCGTTCGCGTGTCAAACGGATGCGTCCAAGACTGCCAATTAACAGATTATGTCCTTGAACTCGGATAGAAGAATCGCATCGCAGAAGTTACATGCGTCTGTGACTACAAGCAAGGAAGGGTTTGATCAGGAAATATGTCGGATGAGTTTCCAAGTATCCGTTAGTAAGGCAGGTCTCATCTCGATGTCATTTGGAAGGATTGGGCTTCGGAGAAGACAAACATGATGGAATACCGAAGCAAATCACGGCTACACATGACAACACTGGTTCAACATACAAAGAAGCTGTACTAGACAGACTTTGCAGCAACTGAGTCGAGTGCGAAGACGGAGGCGAAGGAAAGGAAGCAAGCAGGCCGTGAGTGGGCGGCCAAGAGGACGAGATGGTGGAGGGTCAAGGATGTCAAGGATCTGTAGAGTGGAGGTGGAGCTCATCTGGCGCGTGATTGGCCGGGTGGTTGGGGTGAGTTTCCCTGTAGCCGCCGCCTGTGGCTCGCTCGCCATGGGTTGTTGGTGCGAGTGGAGAGGAGGCTGCACAAAGGGAGAGACGGATGACAGTGGTGGATTACTTACTTGGATACAATAGACCGAGTAAATGATTGTTCGTGTTTGGCAAAGGCCTTTCTCAGATGGATAGATGGACATACCGGTACCACCCATCTACACCAGACTCTTGTTACAGAAGACAGTCAATGCAGGGCAGCAGCAGAGAACGAGGCTGGTAGCAGATGGATCCGGGTACATGTGTGTGTGTATATATGTGTATGTACGTACCCCAACTACTACGTGCATATGCACATTCATGTATGCAAGTAACTATGTACATATGTACTTGGATGAACAAAAGAAGAGAGAGTCTACACACGACGCATGTGTGACAGCTGTTGCCTTCAAAAGTCTTCGTCTGGCCAGACATCTCGTCACCACCACCTTCTGTTGTATCTGCCTGCCCTCGGTCCATCTCATCTCCCATGCGCCCAAAGAGGCAAAGAATGATCGATGGACTGGACCGAACTAGTTTGCGCTAGGCAGAGGGAGGACTTGACCCATCCAGAAGCCTGAGCCGTCCAGAGGCCCCTGTCGCTGCTCGCCCTGCTTGCCGGCCTGCCTGCCTGCCTCATGGATAACTCGATAGGTACATACCCATAGCCATCATCACCCAGTGCCTGCCAGCAAAGCACCCATCCACCCATCCCTCCATCCATCCATTTATCCATCCCCTTCATTGAATCGTCGCACACTTTGTCGGTTCCGTCGTCGTATCGCGTCGCGTCGCCCCCGAGTCTCTTGTACACTGACTACCCAAGTAACCAACTTGATTGTACTGCTGTGCTGTTGTGCTGTGCTTTGTATCGCGGCTACTGTTGGCGGGTCGCAATTTCCATGAAATAAGCGAACCCAGCCCGCCCCCATTGCAGCTATCTTCCCCTAACACAGCTCTCACCTCACTTCACTCACCGCATCTGGCCTCCTCTCTCTCTCTCTCACACACACTCTCTCTCCCTCTCACTCCACACAAGCTTTCCCCTCCCCTCACTCGCCAGCGTCCCCGCTGCACCGCCTCGACGCGCGCGCGCACCCTCGCCAGCACCCGGCCTTACATTACATAGTGCCCTCCTTTGCCGCCCGTCACTCCAGCCTTGTCTGTTGTTGCTGTTGCTTGCGCTGTGCAGTCCGCCATCCCGACCCGAGTCGACAACCAGACGCCATAGAGCTCCTGCCCACGCTGGGCCGCATTTGCTGCTGCTGCTGCTGCTTACCTACATACCTACCTACCTACCACCTTCACCACGCGACAGCCCCAACCTGATCCCAGCCCCATCGTCAACGTCACGCTGTATTTCCCGCGCTTCTCCGTCTATTCTGTCGCTCAATCATGAGCGAACAGACCCAACCCGCAGCCCTTGGCCGCCTATCATCCGAGAAGCCTGCCGCACCCGCTACCTCTGCGGACCAGCCCAACGGAGCCGGTATGCTTGCATCTGCTACATCTTTTGTCCATCGCACAACACCTTGCTAATCTCTCCATCAGCGGCTGCCAATGCTACTTCTTCCCCTACTGACGGCCTCCCCGAAAACTCGCAAAAAACCACATCCCAATCTTCGCAACCCGCCGACGCCCCTGCCATGCCTCCATCCGAACCGAAGAAGAAACGATCCTTCCTGAACATCCCGCGTTCCCATTCGCAATCAAACGAAGAGCAGACGCCGACCGGTACTGGCCTTAGCGGCGCAACTGTAGGAGATGCAGAAAGTGTCGGGCGCGGCTCCAAGCGTAGCTTCTTGGGAAAGAGACGGGCTGGCAGCAACGCCAGCAGCAAGCGCTCAAACCAGCAGCAACCCGCCTCTTCGGAGAAAGCAGAACACCCCCCGCCCGTTCCTTCTGCCGCCAACCATGAGGGTTCCGTGAGGAGCAAAGCCAAGAAGTCCGGAGGTCTGTTGTCTTGCCTCCCATGTTTCGCGCCCAAGGATGATGATGCAGTCGGTGAAGAATCACCCACGGAGAACGCAAAGCAGGCTGGAGCGGTGAAACCTGGGCGAACCTCCCAGCCCACCCCCGTGAAGAAACAAGATCCGACTGCCGAATCGAGTACTGCCGATTCAAAGGACCCGTTGGATGAAAAGGCGACTGGCGAGGCATACGGTGACCGTCTCGATAAACCCCACGGTGACGGTACTTCGGAAAGGCCTTCCAATGACACGCCACAGATCGTGACAAGAAGCTCGTCAAAGAAACAGCCAGGGGAGCAAGCTCTTCCGCTTCTACCCAACCAGCAAGGAAACCTGCAAACTAGTCATCCGCAGATCAATGTGCAAACCCCGACTCCAAGCCCTACTCCTAATCAACCGCGGCCCTCTCATGAACAGGAGCAAATTATACAGGACCGTACTCAGTTGCAGGAGGAAAAAGACCAGGACATTGAGATGAAGGATGTACCGCTTGCAGCGAACGAGGTCCGCCACGAGGGCGAAGAGGCTTCTGCCGAGGCTCAAGATGAGTTGCCTCCAAAAGTCGATCTGCCTCCTCCTCCGCCACTCGAACAGAGGCGAGATGCAGTCCGTGATCAAATCACGGATACCAGCATGTCGGAGCCACAGCAAAAGTATCTCCTGGGCCCAATACGCCCCGAGTTCAATGGCAAAAAATGCTTGGTGTTGGATCTGGACGAGACGCTAGTGCACAGTAGTTTCAAGGTCAGTCTATCCGCGACCCCCAATATCGTGCTCCTGTTAATCACCTCTAATAGGTTCTGGCCCAAGCCGATTTCACCATTCCTGTGGAGATCGAGGGACAATACCACAACGTGTACGTGATCAAGCGACCTGGCGTGGATCAATTCATGAAACGCGTTGGGGAATTGTACGAAGTCGTCGTGTTTACTGCTTCTGTATCTAAGGTGAGTCCCTCTGTGAACCCGACGATGGAGCCATGCTGATTGCGTCTAGTATGGGGATCCACTCCTCGACCAATTAGATATCCATGGTGTTGTACATCACAGGTTATTCCGAGAAAGTTGCTACAACCACCAAGGGAACTACGTCAAGGTATGCAGCCCACCCAACCCTCATTCATGAGCCTCTCTAACAAACCGTAGGACCTCTCACAAATCGGTCGAGACCTGAAGGACACCATCATCATCGACAACTCCCCCACATCGTATATCTTCCACCCTCAACATGCGGTTCCGATCAGCAGCTGGTTCTCTGATGCTCACGACAACGAACTGCTCGACTTGATACCCGTCCTCGAGGACCTTGCCGGTTCCCAAGTTAGCGATGTGAGCTTGGTGCTCGATGTTGGCCTCTAGGAATTCCTACCGCCTTGATATACCCTTTCCCTCTTCTTTTCGCTCACGACTTATACTTAATCCAGCGCCTCGACTTTCTGTCCGGAGGTGAGGCTTCATCATTTCGCTTCGGAAGAGAACATTCGAAAAAAGTTACTCTTCTAGACTGTACTTTTGTAATCACTTTGTAATCTGCATTACGAGACGGGCCATATGCATGCAGCATTGCGAGCGATCGCAGCTTGGGACACCCCATCTTGTCATGATCATCTCTAATATCAGTATGCTGGTGGCGCGACTCCAACATACCCCCTCGTCCCCATAGCCGCGCGCGGATCGTCGACGTTGTCTATACAAAAGTACCTACTCTTCCTATCGGGCCTCGGTCCCATGTCACAGGCCATCGATTTTCCTTCCATTGTTTTGAAAAGATTCAGGCTGCAAAGGTGCGGAAACCTGGGTGTCGGCACTGGATGGCTCTTACACACCTAATTTTGGTATCATTACAACTGGCCCGTCGAGGCGCAATACTATTCACAATCCTTTCCTTTGTACACAAGCCCTTCTATTCCCCTTTTTTCTTCTTCTCATTCTCCCCCAATTTCTCTTAAACTCTGGCTAAGGTCTGTTATAGCATTGCTGGTGGTGGCAATATCATCTACTTCTCGTCGCGGCCCTAGCCCTCACAGCTTTTGTGGAGCGTATTTATTGCATTACCCAGCTTTTGCCACCGGCTGCGGACATGGCCTATCCATTCTGTTTGTCTTCACTTGTCTTTTCCTCGTCTCTTTTTCTTTGACTCGTTCTGGCGAAGAAGGCAAGGTCGCGTGTGGGGATGGATAGAGTGCTGTGAAGTGTGTGAAAATATGGCAGCAATCAAATAGCAGAACATATAAAGTCTATGGAGACCAATTGTAAATCTTGGATGTGACAACACTTTCGTGGGGGTTTGGTTGTTGGATTGATGCTTGGCATGGGAGGTCTACAGCCGAATTTCACATGTTCAAAACGAATTGACTCGCTTGCCTGAAACCAAAACCTGGCCCCTCCGTCCAGCGACGGCAACCCGGATTATACTTAAGCGGATGATAGACACGCACGTTGCCGCTTCCCAAGGTTCACTTTTCTCATCTCCTCTGCGTCTCGGTCCTCCTCGCACCGAGTGAAGTGTGTTGGCCCAGACTCGGTCCACAGCCTGTAGCCCAATCACTTTGCGCGGGCTTGTCCACCATGGAGAAATATTCACAATTCCGAGACCCAGGTATGCAGAGCCGCTCCGGGCATTGTGGAACAGAAAGCTGACTGCGCATACAACAGGCACGGGGATAGCTCCATTCCTGCCCATCCCCACACCCGCGGCGGGCGCCATCTGGACGCCTGTTCACGTCTTCCTCTTCCTCTTCCGCGCACCCTTCGTCGCGACCCTATCACTGTTCTATTTCGTCTTCCTCGAGTTTCTACCGGTTGCCAACCTGATAAAAAGATGTGTGCTATGGGTTATACTTGCCATACCCGGTGTATGGTGGGTCGACTTACAAGTCGACGGTGTGAAGAGGGGCAAACTTGCTGAAAAGCAAGACCACCTGCCACACGCAGGCACCATCATAGCAGCGAGCTTTGTGAGTCCGCTGGATCCACTCTATATAGCTGGAATCTTTACGCCTGTCTTCACGCGCAGCTGGCCTTTGGAGAAAAAGGTGGAAGTCATATCGCTATTCGGTGCCATTCGCCTGGCCTTTTCAAAACCTGAACTGGAACCGCCGCGAACCGCAAAACTGGCCACATTGAAGGAGCTCACGGAGAAATATCCCAACTCCATCATATGCGTGTTTCCTGAGACTACGACAACCAACGGTCGTGGTGTGTTACGTTTCAGTCCTAGTCTCTTGACTGCAGACCCGAGCACGAAGATCTACGCGGTGCATGTCAAATATACACCCGGGGATATCACCACGCCAGTTCCTGGGACCGTGCTGAGCTGGACATGGCGGCTTCTCTCGAAACCTACACATTATATGCGCGTACGGATTGCGCGTCACATATTCAACAGCACATCAACTTTGACTACCAAGGCAGACGTAACCGATACCGGCTTCGACGCCAACATCTTTGATAGTCCGCATATGCATAATCGGATGGTGAACGGAAATGCGGCAGAGGAAACACGTAAGGAGGAGTGGTTGGAAACCATCAGGGAAGATTTTGCGCGACTGGGGCGAGTCAAGAGGACAGCATTGGGCGTGCAAGAGAAGGTAGAGTTTGTTAAGATCTGGTCCAAAAGGAGAAGGTGAGGTGGACGGCGGTCGTCCTTTTTCATGCGATACATGCATTCCAGGCATCTGGACAATTGCTTTGCCTGTAAGCCAGCCAAGAGCACAATAGATGAATAGATGGCTGGAAATATTTCGTGGAGCATTTGCATATAGCAGCTATCGTAGTCGTTTGTTTCCGCCGTGCAACATTGGTATGGGCGTCAATATACACGTACTACGTAATACATATTTATTAGCTGTGGAGAGAAAACTCAGAATGGCGGTCGTACAGGCACTGAGAAAGAAAGCTGTTGATTTATAAACTTGGAGGCCCAAGCTCCTCCTCCTCCTCCGCCGCCGCCGCCCCGCTGGCAGGCAGCATCCTTACCCTTGCACGAAAATTAAGCTTTGACACAACTACGTAGCTCCTTCTTATTAAACATCCCACCACCAGCGAGCTAGGCTCTGCATCAACATTGTCCACGTACTACCATACCTTCTAACAAACTGTTTCTTCATATTCGCAATTACACCACCGTCCCCGTACCGCCTCTCATCGCGCCGCTCATAAAATCATGGCCGGTGCCCCCGAGTCGCCCGATACAGCCCCACCACCTGTTGACGTCCACGACGCGACCGCGGATAATACCTTGACACCTGATACTGGAGAGAAAAAAGACAAGCCCCGGGACAGCAAGGGCTGGGATGGGAAGCTGAGATTGAATAAATCCACTTCGGGAGACGAATCCCCTGTTGCGCGTTTGAAAAGCGACACGGAAGGCGAATCAGAAGACGATGGCCCGCCTCCAGATCAACTAGCCGCGGACGAAGACCTGCTGGACGATGTACCGGCAGATGAGGATGAGATTGACCTGGTTCATCTTCGAATATCGAGCATTCCTGCACTCAAGTTAGAGCGGTTCGAGAAGCTCAGGGTAGGTTATCATGAATCCCGGAAAAGGTACATGGGATGCTATATGCTAACAAGTGTGCTATAGCGTCTCTGTCTCCGTCAGAACCAAATACAAGATGTGGAATTACCGGACCAGTTTGCGCCCACTCTAACAGAGCTGGATCTATACGATAACCTGATATCGCATATTCGTGGACTCGACGCTTTCACGCAGCTCGAGATCTTGGACTTTTCTTTCAATAAGATCAAGCACATCAAGCGTATCGGACATCTCACCAAATTGAGGGACTTGTTCTTTGTACAGAACAAAATAAGTACAATCGAAAACTTGGAAGGTCTCACCAATCTGCGGCAAATTGAACTCGGCGCGAATCGGATAAGGGTATGCCAACAGAAGCACCGGCAGAAAGTAGCATGAATATAGCTAACACCCAGCGCAGGAAATTCAAAACCTCGATACGCTGACAGGCCTGGAACAGCTGTGGCTCGGCAAGAATAAAATCACAGAGCTCAAGGGCCTTTCGAACCTGACCAATCTGAAGATTCTCTCAATACAATCCAATCGTTTAACGTCCATGTCCGGTATATCGGGGCTCACCTCCCTTGAAGAATTATACGTTTCCCACAATGCCATCACCGATACAACAGGTCTTGAGAACAACGCGAACCTTCAGATCATTGATATTTCTTCGAATCCAATCGAACATCTCACTAACATCAAGCACCTGTCAAAACTAGAAGAGTTCTGGGCGAGCAACTGCAAGCTGGGTAGCTTCGAAGAAATCGAGCAGGAACTGGGTCCGTTGAAGGAGTTGCAGACGGTCTATTTCGAAGGAAACCCGTTGCAGAGAAGACAGCCAGCCCTATACAGAAACAAGGTGAAATTGGCAGTGCCACATGTTAAGCAGATAGACGCAAGTGAGTATCTCCGTCTAGTTGTACATCAATCGGAACCATGCTAACCAGAATGCAGCATTTGTGAGAGCAACGTGATCACACGACATTCAATCCTAACCGAGATACCCTTTACTGTACGTGTGGAGAGGGCCAGAGGGAGGGGTCGATTAGAGCGAAGTGATTGTCAACCATTGCGTTTTCATTGACCGAATCATCACTGGAAGCTGGATTCGTGGAAAAATTCCCGTTCGTGGTGCCATATGTTATTATCGTAGGTTGGATAATGCTGAAAATCAGTAGCCTTATCTAGATAGAGCTACCATCTACTGGGACATTTGTATGAATTAACAGGAAAGGACTTGCGCGTTCAGCAAACGAATAGACTAGGAGAATCATGATACCCCCATGAAGTCTATGTCAAAAACATTGTATGGTGGCTTTCGCAATATGCGCATGTGTAATCCTGTTCCGGTATAGAGATAGTGGATGAGGACGAAGATGACACGGCATCTTTATTCCTAGGCAATCTGTGCCTTTGCATAGTCGGTATCACATAAAAGGTGCGGATATATCAAGGCCAACAAGCAAACAAAACAGAAGAGTTGCGCCTTCCCTCAGCAATGGCAATCACTATCAAGCAGCAAATGCATGCAACGCGGATTATGGTATAAAAACGTCCAAGCCAGTCGGCCATACTGACACGACGTTTCGCGACAGACAAAAAAAGGGAACAGAGTTGAATGACGGAGGAGCAATTGTGGGGAAGGAAGGTGGCGTCATCCAACATTTCGCAAATCGTTGTGTTGAACCATGGAACAAGACCACGCGAGAAGGGTGAGAGTGTGCGAGTCAGGTACACGCAGGATCCTTTGGTTGGGGTGGGTGAGGACAGGGCACATGGCAAAGAAAGAACACGATCCATCACATCCTTTCCTAGAACGGGTAGTAACATGAACCGAGATTTTGCGAAATGACTTGCATGATGAATTGGTTATTGCGAAATCTACCCAGTAGAGATTTCGCAATAGCGTTGACGAGCTTAGGGTGATAACGCATGTGCATTGCGTACATATATAACATGGCTGGCTGTTGTTTCTCCTTTTTATTCTTCTGTCATTGGAAAGGATATGATGGAACCACGATGGACAATAGCTAGTAGATCTCGATATACATGTATGTACGCACATGCAAACCTTTCACCCTCCTGAAGGAGGGGAGGGGGTAAGGGGGAAAAGGGAAGCCGGGAACCTCGCTTCGCGCTCCGACGATCGTCAAAGTTTTTTTTTTCCCCCCCTTCCCAGGTCATCATCATAAACGCGGCACACGAATACCCTTCAGTCTCGTATCCTGAAATGAACCCACGGTAGAGCGCGCCCTAAGTATGCTCATACCCCTTGCATCTTATGACCAAAGGGTGGAGACATGGCACGATATCTGTTACTTGGACGTGATACATAGAGTGCCATTCACCATATAGCTGCATGAAACGATTTCTACTGTTCCTCCACTTTCCACCAAAAGAGGAGTCGCTAGCAGATGGGGGCCTAAAAGCACATCGGGGACGTCCTCTTAACTCGATGCAGCATGATGGCCGCTGTCAAGGAACTGCCATACAGAATAGAGTTTATAAGTTTCGAGGTCCCCCGCTGGCGACAGCGTGGGAATAACTCACTGGGCGGGAATATGGCTTTTGATTTTTGGGTGCAGACGACGTTGCTGACCCGAACCACTCCTTCACGGGCTCTGCGAACTGTGAGGTCATGTGCATGACGCTACATGTGCATATGCATGCATGGCGGATCAATGTGCTGCAGCTCTAGTATACATACACTGCCCAAGATTCGTTGCATGTTTCAAGAGCATCTTGGGACATCAGTCGCAGCAACAGCAGGCAGTGTAACATGCACAAATATAGCTCAAACAATCTTCTTGTGGGGATACCAGGCCTGACATTCCCTTTGCATCTCGAAGCATGGAAGAATCTGCGACACTTCTTACGATTCTACCTCGACGATCCGTTCCATGCCAGAAGAACGACACATCATGGCACGGGCGGCGGCCATGCCCTCTCCAAAATAAACTTTGGCCCTAAACTAGCACGTAGGGCGGCGGTTAGGGGTGAGCGCACGCGAGCTCAAAGGACGGTCGCGGGCTAGTTTGCTCGATGATCCGGAAGCTTGCTCATTGCAGCATCTGGTCAACGTGGAAACGAGCCTTTTTGTGGGTTTCAAGCCTGCTGGCGGCTGGGTATACTTCCGCCTTATGCCTCACTGACCCTCCCTTCGTTCTTCAACCCCTGCTTTGAGTTCAAGTTCGGTTCAGATATAAGAATCCGCGGCCCCGGACTCCCCGCGTCTCCTGTTTTTCGCTCTTCCGTATATTCGATAACTTCTTCTTTGTTTGTTCCGTCGGTTGTCTTCAGGATGGCGCAAGGACACACTGCGCGGTCAGTGGCCTCACGGGACGCCTGTACGGGCGTTGCAACTACCTTCACTATAATATCTTGTAAGATTAGGCCCCAAGACCATTTTTGTCAGTGATGTGGCCGTGGTTCTAACTATGTCTAGTCCTCATAGTTGCCCTGCGGTTATATACGCGCTCCGTCTACCTTCGCAAACCGGGCACAGATGATTATGCCATGGTCGCCGCCTTGGTACGTTAACCATTGATTGAGTTGTGAGAAGCAATGTGCTCATATATGTAGATCTTCACTATCGGATACCTCGCCTGCATCTGGGTCATCAGATTCGCCGGCATGGGATTAAGTGGCACTGTCCTCTCAGTGCGCCAAATGGAGGATCAACTCAAAGCCGTCGTTGCTATTGAGGTCATATACTACCTTTCTGTCTTTCTCATCAAGCTCTCCATCTGCTTTTGCTATCTGCGTATAGGTAATATGGAGGCCCCTTTACATGTCTTTGTAACTTGAACTTTGTAACTGACATGCCATTGACAGCTGCGGTGAAAAGTTTTGAACGCATGACAAAGTACACCATCTACTTTGTTTCCGTATTCTGCGGAATATGTATCATTTGTACGTACATGCTTCGCTTGACGTACACGACTGGCACGAAGATTCGGGGGTCTGACGATGCAACGAAACATTTTTGCTTGAGTGGTACTAACTCTATACTGCAATTAGGCACTCTAGCACAATGTGTTCCACTCCACAAACTGTGGGACTTCACCGGCACAGTACAAGGGACATGTATCAACACAACTGCCCTCTTTTACGGTAAATTCAACATCCCCCTAGATCTCCCTCTACCGGTCACAAAACTAACGCCATTGTCCAACGTCCAGCAACCAGCAGCATCAATATCCTAACCGACTTCTGGATCCTCTTCCTCCCTGTACGCACCCTCCTCAAGATCCAGCGCCCGCAACACGAAAAACTCGCCTTGATCGTCGTCTTCTCCCTCGGTGTCTTCTCCTGCATCGCCTCCATTGTGCGCCTCCACTCCATCCACATCTACACCGAATCCGATGACCCCTTTTACGACTCTGTCCCCGTAAATCTATGGTCCATGGTCGAAGTCAACATCGGCATCTGGTGCGCGTCCATCCCGGCCCTCAAAGCCCTCGTTTCTCGGAACCAACGCGAAGCCCGCTCTCACAAGAAGACGGCTGCTAGCTCCATGTACCGCGATAGCAAATACGCAAATGGAACGAGATTGTCTGTCGATGAGGTAGTGCCCTGCAATGAGCCTACTAGTCCGACGGATGATGGGAGGAGAGGGGCTGACAGCGGTTTTGGTATGATGAGCTTGGGTTCGAAGAGGGCCAGCGAGGATGGTACCGTGCAGGCCCCGGACCATGTCGCGAGGAAAAATAGCAATGCCGGGAGTAGCGTGTGGACTGATCCCGAGAGTGAAGTTGACTTGTATCGTCTTCCTGCAGACGAAAGAGTTTGATGCTTCGTCCTTGTTCCCTACGCGCCATGTTTTGACTTGCTCTCGGTCGAACATCTGAGGATTGTGTTGTTTATGATTGTTTTGCATCGCATTGTACTTGAGCGGGTGGTTTATGTTTTGTTCTTTTGGCTTGCATGTTTGGCGTTTCTCTGGGTTTGTCTGAGATCTTGTCATGTTTGATTTTGGCGATGGCTGGAGTTCTTATCACATCATGTTCGGATCATGATTGTTTCTCTTCTCGGTACAGACGTGGCGGATAATATGTGTTTAATTGTACATAGGCATGGAAGCGGGAGAAACGCATCATCATATGTTGCTCTGGGTCTATGGTCACTTATCGTTATGATTAGAAAAGGAATGTGTCCATATGACAATTGCAATGAGGAATGCATGCAAGTTTACTAAAGCGATTCATCCTTTTCTCGTTGCATGCGATACTAGCATGAGTAGAAGAGCATGAGTAGAAGAGCATTCGTTTATGTTAATATTATTGAGTAACAAGTACATGTACGTGATTCGATAGACTCAAAATTCGATGTAATCGCTGACTAGTGTATCGAATACTCTATCGCGACGGGATGGAAAATATAGCCAAGTTCGCATACATGTTACCTGGCGGCGAATCCACAATGTCAGAAGACGTGAATTACATTGTTCTATTGAAAATTCAAGCATCCAGAGTCACGTCATAAACATCCTCTGTAACTAAACTGTCCATAGCGGCTTCCTCGAAGCCTATTCTCTCTGCATCAAACTCCCGAAGAGCAGACATATCGTGATCCGCGTGCAAGTTGCTTGTATGCGAGGTCCCCATCTGGTCCATCTTAGAACGTTCCAGCTCTTCTTCTTGAATGAAAGTCGAATGCTTGCGCAAGTTGTCCATATTACTGTTAGGGTCTTGAGACATGGAATTTGGCTCCCCCTGAATCTCCCTCGATGCCAAGGAATTGAGTGGTTTGTAGTCTGCTACTGCGTACTGTGTGCGCGCATTGAGCCAAGCACCGCACATGTCCACATCATTTGCCAGAGCTTGTGGGATTATCGGAGTCCCACAAATCTGATCGCATACAGATCTTGGCGAGGACTCTCTCGAATCCCTGGATTGGTTGGCGCTGGGTTCAAATTTGAATGGAAACTCGATCATGGGTAGATCCGAGGCCACTGGAGCAGTTAACTCGATGTTGTTGAGAAGCTGTAGGTTCGGAGCTGGGAAGATTGGTTGTTGAGTTCTTCTGAAAACGTCTTCAGTGTCGGCCTGTGAGAGCGAGCTGAATGCTGGTAAGAGCGCTGGTCGTCGGGTTCGGGTTGAAGAAGTGGGAGTCGCAGGTACCGTATCACATTCATCAGTGGTGTGTCGTATTCCAATGCAAGACCACTTGATACGAGTATAAGCCACACTAACAGACAACATGACAAAGTGATGGGGTATAACTCAAATAGCATATGGTATGAGTGAAGGGAGTATAAGTAGAAGACTTATCAGCAAGTGGTTCGGATTTCTTATATACTTAAGTATCAGCGATATAGATGATTGACTTGTAAGCAGAGATAGCCAGACTGTTCTCGGATTCGAGGTTTGTCAGAACCATCGGAGTACTTGGACATTTGGTAGCATGTTGTGTGCCGGCACAATCCTGATGTTTGCGGGTGTGACGAATTTCACACAATCGCGTACAACGTGATGCTTGATCCGAGGAAACCATCAATGGAGAGTTGAACTATAAAAGAAACGGCAGCTATAGCCCATGGTGAAACGATGCCAAGGTCTTTCGCAAGGAAATACACGAAGGCAACTGGATGAATCGAAGATAGAGACAAGAAGGTAAAAGTGCTAGAGAGAGACGGGGTGAAGACAAACTAGACTTGAGAGTTCGCAAGCGGTAGAAGGCCGGAACGGGGAGTATGGCAATCAAGCTCTGCAAATAGTTTGTTGATATGTTTGTCGGAAGAAACAGTGTGTGTGATTACTGGGAGATGAGAATGGTGAGGAAGGATTACATAATGAAGTTTGCGGAAAGAAGAATCCATGCAGGCACGTCATTGCGCCAAGCCATGCAATCGGCGTTAGTTGCAGCGAGTGAATGGTTAGAGGGATCAACACCCCCAAAAAAGAAGACATGACTCCCCGCAAAATAATGACTTTGCCCCACTGCTCCTGTGGTAGAGGAAGTCTTCCTGTCCTCCTTCACACCTGACATCTGGAATTATGGCGACCTCACAGACCGAGCAAACTCCCGCCAATGGCACGCACAAATACCGTATGCATAACTTCCGTCCCTCATCTCCCCGTCCACTCTCATTGCGCATTTCGCTCGCACAAGCGGGTAGCAAATAACACAAGTAATTGACACTTGTGCAGGCATAGTCACCTCACAGCCCGAGAATCCGTTTGCTCGATTGATCCCCGATCAGAAACTGGCCATTGTACCGCAAGTCACCCTTGAATCCGGAGTCGTTCTATCCAATGTCCCCGTGGCGTACAAGACATACGGTACCCTCTCGCAGGAGGCGGATAATGCCATGGTTATCTGCCATGCCCTCACGGGGAGCGCAGACGTAGGGGATTGGTGGGGACCTCTTCTCGGAGGGCCCGGGAAAGCTTTCGACATTTCGCGCTTCTTCGTCGTATGCATCAATAGTCTGGGAAGCCCTTATGGTAGCGCAAGCCCGGTGACTGCCAAAGATGGCGACCCTTCACTTGGGTTATACGGTCCAGAGTTTCCACTGACAACCGTTAGAGACGATGTTAAGTGAGTTTGTTCACGTACAAGAATTAATCTACTTTTCTTCGGTGCTAACAGAGCCAGCATCTTCAAGCTCATTCTTGACAATCTCGGTGTGCGTCAGATAGCAGCAGTCGTTGGTGGTTCCATGGGTGGCATGCTTGTCCTGGAGTTTGCCTATTTCGGGAAGGACTATGTGAAGAGCATCATACCGATTGCTACCTCAGCTCGATATAGTGCGTGGGGCATCAGTTGGGGTGAGGCTCAACGTCAGAGCATCTACAGCGACCCCAAGTACGATGATGGCTACTATAAATTCGAAGATCCTCCTTCGACCGGGCTTGGAGCGGCTCGCATGTCTGCTCTGTTGACATACCGTAGTCGTGACTCATTCGAATCACGTTTTGGACGGAACACGCCCGACTTGTCGAGAAAACAAAACATAAACATACAGTCACGCTCGCCAACTTCCTCGACCGCATGGGATGAGCATTGGGCTATTCACAATCACGGACACAAGAACGCGGGTTCGCCTAGGCCGTCGCGTACAAACAGTTCTACGGCAATTGCAGGCACAGCGGCTGCTCAAGCAGATTTGGAGTTCAAGGATGCATCTCAGCCCTCTACGCCCCCAGTTTTATCAGGTGAAAGACCACTCGAGAGAGTCGGCACCAATTCTTCGAACAAGTCTCGAGCTCCTCACTACTTCTCCGCGCAATCCTATCTTCGATACCAGGGAGACAAGTTTATCAAGCGATTTGATGCCAATTGCTATATTGCTATCACGCGAAAATTAGACACCCACGATCTATCTCGATATAGATATCCCGATGGATTTGATCCTGAGACATTAGACCCTGTTGCAGCTCTTCAACACGCTTTGTCTTTGATTGAGCAGCCCACACTTGTTCTTGGAATCCAGTCAGACGGTTTGTTTACTTTTGCGGAGCAGCAAGAACTGGCCGCGCATATTCCAAATGCTACTCTGAAATCGATAGATTCACCTGATGGCCATGACGCCTTTTTGCTGGAGTTTGAGCAGGTCAACCGCCATTTGCTGGGTTTCCTAAACGAAACTTTACCCCAGATCATGCAAGGGAACCCTGTCACGGACATAAACAGCCTGCCAGATTCCGGAATGGCTGCTACCAAGACGAGTACATTCGGAGAAGCTGAGGTTGATGACATTACGGCTTGGTGAGCTTCTCAAAATCACTTCTACCTTTGATTAGCATGGCGTTTATACTGGAAAATGGAAGAGGGAAGTTGGCTTGGACGACGAGTCTTCGGCATATGCTTGAAAGAAGACTGGACGTGTATTATATGATGTACTCCTATGTAGGCTGGGGTCTGAGGTTCAACTCCTCATCATGACGATTGTGAAGCTTGAAAATTAAAATTCTTGCATTGGCTATTATGGCCAATAATTAAAGTCCAGTGAATTCTTGAGTGGAGTTCGTTATACGGTTGCGGTGATGGCGATGCATCCAGTACGTTTGGTGAACTACGTTATACATCGAGTGCTTATCTCTTCCGACAGGTCAACCCGAACACAACAAAGCAATCTTCAACGTATGTACATTTTGTTCAATTTTTCACCACAGCCAGAAAATAAAAAGAAGCTCTCAAAGCCAAGCATCCATCCACTGGATCGCTTGCACGTAAGCAGCCTCCTTTGCATACCGCTCGCGCGTCACGTTGACATTGGGCCGCACACCGAAACCATGGAACGCGCCAGAATAAAGATTCTGTTGGTATGTAGCATTCCTAGATTCCAAAATATCGATGGCGCCACGCCGGAGAGGTTTCGTCCATTGATTATCAAATTCTAATGCACAATATCAGTCAGCATCCTCTTGTATACCGTATTCAGTGCTTTCGAAAACAGTGGGCATAAGTGAAGAAACGTTGAACACTTACCACCTACAGCAATACTAATCGGGCCAGAAATTGCCTGCACTTCTTCAGTCGTCAAATTTGACGGATGTGCAATGAATCCAACATCGATTCCCCTGCCCGTCGCCATGAAACGCGGGACATGCTTTCCCCCAAGGCAATAGCCCACGGCGCCAAGTTTCTGAGAAGAACTCGGTTGACTCTTGATGTAGGCGATAGTAGAAGCGACTATGGAGTCAATCTCGGAGATGGGATGTCGAGCGCGCCACTCGGTGATGTTGAGGGCGGGAGTGCCTTCGCGCATGCTCATGGGAACTGGGTCACCATTAAAGAGATCGGGCATTATTACATGGTATTTCGCGAGGGCCATTTGATCTGCGAGACTATGACGAGATATTTTTCAGTCTTCTCCTTCAAGGCCAAATGATGGTGGATTGAAGTCTGGGAGACGTACAGCCTATTGTTAATAGAGGCAATGCCATAAAAATCCGTGACGAAAAGTATAGTTTTGGCATTCGTCTGATTCTTCTCACCCTTCGGAAAGGACTGATAAATATCCACTAAATTTATGGTCAGATATTAATCCAGTTCCTCTTTATTATATATGCAATGAGTGTGTGATAAAGTACCTCCGTTGATGGTCGACGTCTCTCCAACTGATTCACATCCTTGAATTTGTGTGATACTATTGCACCCAGACCCGTTCTGATAGCGAACGGCAGCTGTAAAACCAGCAAAGCAAATTGTGAGAAGTAGTCGGTAGAGCATCTTGAGTGAGTATGTTATGGAATGTCCTGAAAGGTGGTCAGACACCAGAAGGAATATGGTGGTGATCCATCGCAGGGTCTTTAAGCGCTTGGTAGCCTTTACAAAAAGGTACTCAATACGAATGTCTACTCTAATGACATGATTTAAGTGGTTGCCAACTGAAAGTTTTACCTAAAAGTGTGGGCAAGATTGCCCACAATAGTGAGAGCTGCATGTGTCTACGCTCGGAAATCCGATCAAGGTTCGTCGTGTACCTTGACCAACGCAATGCAATTGCGTAATGGTTATATTATTAGCAACATGAATTATCTTTGCATATGTTACTCGGTGGTAAAACGCTAGCTTTCGATCAAAATGCCGAGCTTCGCGGCGCCACATCTCTTCTGTGAGGCTTCGCGGACGGGAGCGCCCGAACGCTCAGCCTCCACATGATGTGTACCTCGCTCCCCGAACTCGTGTTGGTCCTCAATGATCCAGCACGAATGAAAATTCGATGGCAAAGCACGTGCAGATGGGAAAAAGCAATGAATCTGAAGAATTGCACCGAGAGAGGAATTGCTGCACGTCGGCTTCCAGACCAGAGTCTATACGAGTTATGTTTGTCGAAACACGCCGTTGATGTCACTCAACAGCTCGGTATCTACTCTACAAGATCATAAGCTATATTTAGATGTAGATAGTTTACAATCCAAGACCATTAAGATATTGGGTTTCGCAAATTGTTGAGACTGCATATCGTCTGCTGGGTAGCTTGTGTGCGTTATCACCCTGCACTGTTATGCTCGCTTTTCGGTAGCAGACCAATCAAGTATTGAATACTTTGCTTGATATGCTACAAAAAAAAAGCGGAAATCACTATTGGGGGTAGATAAGTTACCGGATGGGCGCAATGCAAGTGGTGAAAGAGTCGCTGCTATACCTCGTGACGCTAACGCGCCACAAATGGCTAAACGCGTGGTACGAGCTCACTTCAGGCCTTCATCAAATCCATCCCTTTGCACGCTCTTTTCATCACCAATTCATCGTAAAATGCAATGCGAAAGGTAGTGGTAACTGGTCTAGGGTTGGTCACCCCTCTAGGAGTAGGTGTGTGGAACGCAAATATTCTCCGTGTTACAGCTGGTCATTGACCTTTCGTAGGTGTTGGCCGAACATGGAAGCGTCTACTTGACAGCCAGTGCGGCATAGTATCTATCAAAGATAGAAGCCATCAATTTGCAGCACTGCCGAGCCGGGTAGCAGCCGTTGTACCGGAAGGCAGTAAAGCCGATGGGCTGTGGAACACAAAAGAGAGATTCACTGCAGGAGTATGTCGGATTTGGCGCGCAAAAGTACTTAGCTGATGATCATAGGAAGAGAAGCGGATAGCTCGGTTTGCCCAGTATGCAATGGTTGCTTCTGAGATGGCACTAGAAGATGCGGGTTGGGCACCTCGCAAGGAAGAAGACCTCGAAGCTACAGTATGAATGTTCACACTTTACTTATAGCAGGATTCCGCTGAAGAAAGTAGGGCGTATACATGGGTTCGGGCATTGGCAGTCTCGATGATGTATACGATACGACTATCGCATATGAACAAGGAGTGAGTAGGCCCTCTCCATTCACATGATTTTGTCACTGAAAGTGCTCAGGGGTATAAAAGAGTTTCGCCTTTTTTCGTTCCTCGCCTTCTAATCAATCTTGCGGCGGGTCATGTTTCTATGCGATACGGCTTTCAGGTATGCTTGCATTCTATCTATCATGGATGTCGCGCTCACAGTAATCAGGGGCCAAATCATGCAGCAACAACAGCTTGCACCACCGGTGCACATAGTATTGGCGATGCCGCGCGACTCATCCAGTTTGGCGACGCAGATGTTATGGTCGCAGGTGGTGCCGAGTCTTGCATTCATCCTCTCGCCATCTCCGGCTTTGCGAGAGCAAGGAGTCTTTCTACAGAGTGGAACGACAGGCCAGAAGAATCTAGTCGGCCATTTGACAGGGACCGAGAGGGTTTTGTCATTGGAGAGGGCGCTGGCGTTATGGTGCTAGAAGTAAGCTTACACAATCTACTGGTATTTGTCGATTGCGACCCGAATAACACGATTTTTTCAACAGGAACTCGAACACGCAAAGCAGCGAGGCGCAAAGATATACGGTCAGCTTGCTGGCTACGGTCTGTCAAGCGATGCATACCATATGACTGCACCACGCGAAGACGGTCAAGGCCCACGCCTCGCCATGAAACATGCTCTACGGCATGCGGGCATCAAACCCAGCGCTGTCGATTATATCAATGCGCACGCGACGAGTACTCTACTTGGCGACGCCGCCGAGAATCGTGCTATCAAAGAGCTTCTGCTTGGTGAAGAAGGAAAAGATAGTGCTTCTGAGATCAACATCAGCAGTACAAAAGGCGCTATTGGTCATCTTCTTGGTGCTGCAGGAAGTGTAGAAGCCATCTTCGCGATTCTAGCTCTTCATAATGTGAGTGCACCAATTTGGCGCTCAACCACGACCAACTAACGATATCAGAACATGCTCCCGCCTACCCTCAACCTACAGAACGCTGGCAACCCGCCAGAGGAATTCAATTGCAACTATGTTGCCAATGTGGCACAGCAAAAAGAAGTCAATGTCGCGCTTTCAAACAGTTTTGGCTTTGGAGGCACGAATGCTTCGTTATGTTTTAGTACATTGTAAATCTAGTGCACAACTCATGTAAGATACGGTGGCATGGCGCTAGCTATAGTATATATATTATGTATATGCACAAAGGGTTACATGTCCAATACAGACAGGACTATCAAACACACAGTCAGTGTCATCAATATCTGTCACGAGCGCATCATGGAGTTACCCCGCTCGTCAATAGATAACGAACAAATTTATTAGCGCGCCGACGCTTTCGACCCCCACCAGACAGATCGCGGTTCCTACAAATACCAAGATCTCGTGCCACCTCATAGTCAACATTTGAAGGCTTGAGATTTAGGCCCTTTTTTTCACACTGGGAGTCTCAAAGTCTTTCCGCGGTGTGTAAAATCCTGAGCAATGTCTGGAACCGGAAGCCGGGACGTGGAAGCGGGCGAAGCATCGCTTTTGAAGAACTGGACGAATAAAGCTTCGGAATATCACTCGCGAGTTCCTTACCTGAGGAAGCTCCCCTTTTCAGCTCTTGCAATCATCGCCACGCTCGTTGCTGTCAATATTCTTCTCTGGGTGGCTGTTGCCGTGGTTTTGGTATGTATTGTATAAAAATCTGTTAAGAGCATGTAATAATGCAAGAGGTAGCACTGGCATACTCCCTTGATATCGACTGCTATTCTTTCATGGACACTCGGATTGCGCCACGCTCTCGATGCGGACCACATCTCCGCCATCGATCTAATGACCCGGCGCCTCATAGCTGCCGGGCAGCGACCTGTAACAGTTGGCATGTTCTTTTCGCTGGGCCACTCCACCATAGTCATAATCACTTCCCTCGTGGTTGCAGGCACCGCAGCTGCGGTATCATCTAAATTCGACAATTTCTCGCGCGTTGGCGGAATCATTGGTACCTCGGTGTCAGCAGCCTTCCTCCTCCTCTTGGGCATAATGAATCTGTATATCTTGTACAAGCTCATAGTGCAGATGAAACGCATGTTGCGCTCTGACCCAGGATCCGAACATGCCGAATTCAAGATTCAAGGGGGCGGCTGTCTCTTCCCGATACTCCAAAAGCTTTTCAAGCTAATCGATAAACCGTGGAAAATGTATCCTCTCGGCGTGTTGTTTGGCTTAGGTTTCGACACGTCGTCCGAGATTGCTATTCTTGGCATATCGTCAATTCAAGCGTCGAAAGGTACGACGATATGGCTTATTTTGATATTCCCGTTGCTTTTCACAGCGGGAATGTGCTTGCTCGATACCACGGACGGTGCACTGATGATGACCCTGTATACGAGCACCCAGTTGGCGCGAGATCCAATCGCAATATGCTACTATAGCATTGTTTTGACTGTGATCACCGTTATAGTTGCAACTGTCATTGGTATTGTGCAGTTTTTGAATCTTGCGCTCAACGTAGCTGAGCCTTCGGGTCCATTCTGGGACGGCGTGGAACGCTTAGGAGAGAAGTGGGACATCGTTGGTCAGTGTCTACGTTCAAATATGTTCCTCGCTCATTGTGTTTATTAACTGTCGTTATAGGGGGAGCGATATGCGGTGCATTTCTTCTTTTTGGTGGACTGAGTGTGATCCTTTATAAGCCCTGGAGGCGACATGTTGAGAAAGGGCGACTTCAGCGCGCGCATTTCGAACCCATGCCGACCGACGATAGAGACGAATTCGTGGACGAAAGCGTGCAGGAAGAGAGAGTGAACCAAAGTGCTGGGGAAACCCCGACAAAGGCCGTCGGAGTCAACGTCAAACCTGTGGAGGCTACAGATGAAGCTGGCCCCGCCGGCTCGTCTGGGCCACAACCGTAGTTTCGTATTAGAGTACATTACATGGGTGGGCCTAACCTTGATTTAGCCATCAACATTCTGTTAAGGCTTTGATATATGTCAATATCCCATTAGCAGCATGTGAAAGGCGCGTTGAGGTGTTGTTTAATAGGGTGTTAAAGTTGATAGAGCGGTTGACACTCTATCCTAGGATGGTCGCACCCTATAATGTAGACACACCTGTTCTCCATATCGTCGGAGAGCTCGGACAAAAAGAAGACGAGCGTGGGGGGATGGAATTACCATTAGACTACTCGTGTAAGCAGATCAGTGCTAGGATACAAGTGCTCTAAGTAATAATACGCAGTGAGAATATCTGTAAATGGGGAATGCCCCTAGATATTTGATTGCTTCCCGTCATTGACATCCAGCATGCTAACTCTTGTACTACGTCTTGACATAGCAAGAGGGATTGATACCGTGAAGTCTGCCATTTAATGGCTGCACCGCCCTATTACGGAGTAGCTGTATTGTTACATTGAGAACTTTTACTTACTCTCACGTGGTTAATATAGTGCAGCATTGAATGCCAGGTCTTACGATTCGTATGGTTTTGGTGGCCTGATCATGTATTCCGTTGATTCCGTTGGGGGGTAAATTGTGGGGCCGAATCTATTCCGACATCGGATCTGATAAATCCTTCATCATCTGATAACTTCGCCGCCATCTGATAACTCTAATCTGATCTGATAACTTTGATCACACGGCTTCCAACGGCTTCCAGCTTCCAGCATGCCCTCACCCAAACAACACTCGCATCATCAGGCTAGCAGTCCAATTGCTCAGACCCCCTCACCTCCACCACGACCCTCTGCCCCAGTAACGATATCATCGCTATTGTCAGGTCGTAAGTCATTACCCAATTTACCCTCGGGAAGCCGGCAATCATCACCATCCATCAATGCGCATTGCATGAGGCTGCAGACCCTGACATAACACAGCATCAGTGCCCCTCGCGGCTACCTCTCCTCCCCCAATAACTGTCCACACCGTCGGTCTTGCTCCGAAGCGCTCCTCTGCCACGGCTTCCCCATCGCCCACGCAAGAATCCCAGCCGTCTCCCGAGGGAGCTGGCCCGCTTAGTGGGGCATATGTGATCCCCCCGCGCCCAAAACCTGGGCGCAAACCAGCAAAGGATGAGCCTGCCTCGAAGCGCAAAGCCCAAAACCGCTCCGCGCAACAGAAATTTCGCGCAAAGAAGGTTCAAAGGCTAGAGGAGTTGACCATCCAACTGCAAGGCGTCCAGGAAGAGAACCAGCGCTTGCATGCCGAAAGCAGGCTGCGAGAAGCGAGAATGAAGGAGTTGGAGATGGAGTTGCAGCAAGCGCGCGAGCTACAGAACACAACCGCCCGTGAGCGGGATTATTGGAGAAGCATGCATTCGACTGCTTCGGAGTTCCAAGCTGCAGAAGTCCTTCAAAGTCAGTTCTCTCGCAAAGGTTCTTCGTCGACTTCATCGGTCCGCGAACTCGAAACAGATTTCACTGGCTATCGCACGCCCGACACCATCATGGACGTGAGTTGTGGTGGTTGCACACCTACTGGACATTGTGCTTGCGTAGCAGAATATACCAAGTTGGGCTAGAGACCTTTCCATGCGGGCGTTCGGAGTTCTGAGCAATATCCTTCCTTGCCGCTTGACGAATTCATTGGGTGGTAAATTCTTTCAGTGTATTTATTTGGGTGAATGGTTTCCAAGGTGAAAAGGGTTCCTAGGGTTATGATGGCTTTTCAGTCATGCAACGGTCAGGGTTAACAGGTGTACATAATTGCTTTCGAGTAAAAGACAAAGTCTTCACTATCATATCTACATCTCTAGAGTGAAATTGTGTGCCCGTACTAGTGATGAATTGAAGTCGCCATTGAGGAATTACAATTCCCTTTGGATCAGACGTCGACATTGTCGGATTCCCACGGTCTCCTAACCTTCATCTTGAACACCTTTGGTATCAGTCATGTCAGCTCTAGGTCCTCCCACAAATCCTCAGCTCAAATCTTCTCTGCACATCAGAATTGAAAGCTGTGGAACTCTCATTGTAAGATGCCGTGAAGTTGGCGATGGGATTCACCCGGTGATTGAATGGCCCTGACTACTTGTGAAGTTGAGAATTTGTTTTCTGGTGTACCATGGTTCGCTGCCAAAATCATAGTCCAATTAGACTCACGACACATTAGATTCACGCTTATTTCGATGCAATACACGACTGAGTAGTTCGTATGTTCAGATACTGGGTTGATTGGACTGGAGTGTAGACGTAGTAAGACCCCGTGATATATCACACAACTACAATTCAAAAATTTCGAAACCGATCGTGTCAATTTGCGGAACGATTACCTGAACCAACCAAGATTCAACCTCTCAAGATGAAATGGGCACAACGCCCGATTACCCATGTAACTAGCATTGCTCAAATCCAATACTAATTCACGGTACTTGTGTCTTGGATGGGTGGTCGATGTTCATCAATTTACTAACCTCATAACGATTACCACGCATGAACCGATGACCAGGACAAGGCTGGAGATCACACAGCATAGACACGCAAGTAAAAGGCTGAAGAGGAATGACATTTTGTATCATGGAGGTGTGCAAATTCCCCATCAATGCTTCCAAACTTGAGTGCGGGCACCCACTCAAGATTTACAATGAGTTAGGTAACAACTGTTTCTCCTTCAACCATCGAGTGCTGAATCAGAGGCCTGGCACAGTCCCCCCACGCGATTCGTCCTGTCAACATCTTACTTCATCTAACCTCCGAGGTTGAAAGACACAAAGGTGTTATCGCAGACCGAACGAAGGTATCCAGCTATCTACAGTTAGCTTCTGCAATCATCAATGATCTATATCAAAATACTTACTGTGGAACAAGGTATCGCTAGAGGAGCCACCGCACTTGGCATCGACATTGTCAAGGAAAAGAGCAAGGCAGGCCTCCTGGCTCCAGCTGGTCACACCACCACACTGATTTCCCATAATGAGAGTGGCAGTGTAGCCAGGCATCTTGCCCGTGACAGGGTTGTACGTGGTACCGGGCACGCAGGTGGGCTGCTTGGCGCAGGCCTGCTGGATGGTTGTGATAGCCTGGGCCTTGTTGACAGTTCCAATGCTGGGGTTGGTTGCGCCCAGGCAGATAGGCGCTCTGCCATCGAAGCAAGTGTTGGTACGGACTTCGAGAGGAGACGCAAGGGCAACGCCTGCGGTTGCGAGGAGGCTGACGGTGGCAGTGAAGAATTGCATCTTGAATGATGGAGTTGAGGATTGTACTAGATGGGAGGAGTTGAGAAGTCGCCTGGTGAATAAGATTCGATGGGTTCAGCGGCCATATTTATACCCATTCTTCTGCATATACCGGCGGGACGTGGTGGGCATGGTCAGTGTTGAAGAGGGTACACTGATAGTGCCTTTCCTAAGACTAGTTCTAACGGAAAGCTTGGGGCGGCAACTATCGCAAGCTTCTATTCGCAACACGTGGGCCCATTTCCACATTCCAAGGAAGCAAAAGACCTCATCGAAGGCGCTAGACTCACTGGACATAAGAATGATTCCACGAGGGATTTAGTACGTATACACTTAGACCGTTGTAGGGATTGGATATTATGGTCGTGAGACCTAACGGAATTCCTACGGCATGGATGTTTTGATATGAAGCAGGTATTGTTGGTTTGTGCTGCGGGCAGAATTGACACACTAGTATATCATTCTTTAGTTTCACAAGTATCGTTGGAAACAGAGAAGGCGATAGCAGATATGAAGAGTTCCTCGCACTTCAGTTGTTGCGCATCGTGAGTCGGATGCCGAGTTAGAATTTGTGGAAGTTCTGTATCTTTGAGGGCAGGGTTGTACGACCCGGCGTACGAAAGACCCGAGCGTGAATCCTTTCATGTGCTAAGCGAGATCTAGATAGTATTTAGTCGACGCCGTGTCCGTAGATTGCTAGGTTCATTGACTACACTAACACTTCCACTGGTCAAAGGGCGCAAAAGTGGTATCCTGTGTCGGTACCTTCTCTACTCGTATTTCCACATTCTAATGCACGCCGTCTAAAAGACAAGCTGCGACTCGATCTGCAATTCGCTTCTTGACCTCTCGAGGCCTCGGTGAAGACGATGTCGGTTGGAGCTCAATTCTTATACCGCATATAGAAAGGTGCGAATTCCATTGATGACATTTGTTTCATCGCTTATCATCGCTGTGATCCTTCGCTTCTCCTATGCCATCAGCCTGACTTCATAAGGCCATCCGCCGGTGTGGCTAGAACAGTCGGGGAGCAGCGAGATAGGCCAGATGCTAAATTTAATGGAGAGTCTCGGTCAAAGGCTCAGGGCCCTCCATAGCACAGCATCTTAGGAATCATACCTCATCCTACTGCCTTTCATGGTTCACTAAGCTTTGGGCGGTATCTGCAATGTTCGTCGCTTATGGCTTGATCTTGGCAAGCGTTCTTCTCGTCCCCTCCACGATCAGGCCATGCTCAACTTTATGTATCCTCTCTTCGAGGTCATCTAGCGACTCTTCTTGTCGCAAAGGAACCTCTTCCGTAACAATTGCGTCTCCCGCGTCCACCTCTGCGATGACCTCATGGATCATGACACCGGTCCGCTTTATCTCTCCTTTCTGGCCAGCTTCCCAAGCCCTCTCGATTGCGCCCGCGCCCGCGAATTCGCCCGGCAATGCCGGATGTAAGTTGATGACTCTGACCCCCTGGCTAGCGATTGGATTAAGGAAATCGGGTGTGAGTATGTGCATCCAGCCTGCACAGACAATGACATCCGGACGAGGGTCTAGAGCCAGTATGATTTTTGCCAAATCGGCATCGTACTCGGTGCGTGCTGCTGCGGTGCCCTGCTCGTCTTGGGGATGTTTCTTCTTGTATGCGACGAGGTTATGGTAAGTCGTGGGTATCGATGCTTTTGCAGCTCGTTCCAGACCATATGCGGCCTTACGGCTGCCCATGATTGTCAACACTGTGGTGCTAAAAGTGATTTGAGCGGACGACGTACTTCGAGATTACATGCGTGATGCGAGTATTTGGGAGCGCGGAGGACGCGCAGGCGTCGATGAGGGCTTGCAGATTGGAGCCATTGCCAGAGACGAGAACAACGAGGTTGAATGGTGAAGATGACATCTTGATCTGGTGGAATAGGGCTCACTGGCCAGTTCGAGCACGCCGCGTGTGGTTCGTAAGTATGTAGGTAGTAGATATTTCAAAATATGTCGCCCAAACTTTGCGGGGTCGTCGCCACCCCACCAAGCGTGATCCTAGCGCTGTGCCAGCACCAATTTACATGCTGGGTTTCTGCGAGAAATTGCAAGTGAGTTATGCAATAGACTCCTCTTCAGTAGGAAGAAAATATTTGGCCTGTGGGATTATATATTCCCTGCACCGAAATGAAGCAAGCATTGGCACCCGAGAAATGCCAGACATACCTAGGTAGGCATCCATCCCTTCACCCTGAAACGATTTCTCATCTTGAACACCTAGACACAAAAAAAAAGATGACCACTGCATACCATACCAAGTTATCCCATCTAAAAAACAGCAAAAATACCGAGTGCGAGGATCGAACTCGCGACCTGCCGCGATCTAGCATCAACAGTCTTGAATCAAATTGATGTGAGGCGGACGTCATACCACTAGACCAACTCGGCTGGTGTAACTTCAGATGATTTGAGAATATACAGTTTTTTTCGATTATTCGAAATATAACACCGCAACAGTCAGTAGGCTGCCTGGTGTTCTATCTGTCAATCAAGTACAGTGAGAAGATACCCACTTTCCTTGCCATTAGACGAAGCGCGATCCCTATCTACATCAGATTGTCGCACAATTATCAGCTTTCTCACATACTATTCCGACTCTTTACACGTGCATAATTTGACCCAGCTCTAACATCTATCTTCTCTTCTCACTATAGCTCTTCAGCAACCGAGACTATTGATTAGGGATCACCTTTTGGCACAGTAAATTTCCAAAATGCCTGGCGCCCCTTGAAGTCTGAGATTAGTTAGTACACATGATACAACACACGTACACCATTAGCCCAACGACAATGGAAACCATACAGGGAAACGACTGGTGTTCTTCAATAGCGCAGCTTGAAATGAACCTCCAACTAGAGCCCAAGCCAAGCTAATCATGGATATGACGTGACTGGGGACAGCACCTGTCAACGTCCTTGTCAAACAAAACAAATCACCATCAAAGCGCGAAAGTCTCTGATCAACATACCCTTGCAAGTGTATGAGTGCGTATTTACTCACTAAATTTCTCACAGTTCTATGCTCTCGGGTTGCACGTAAAAATTATAGCATTCAAGCGCTGTCTTGCATCAAGACATGTATAAATACAAGTTTCCATAGAGCGCTGGCTAACAGGACTACCCTTTTTATTCCAGATCGAATCGTCGCCTCTCACGAAGACAATACAATTGGATAGTCTGCATGTTCAAATATTGAACGGAACGGTATGGAACGAAGAAATAGTGTTCTAGAACAAATCGATGATGGGTGGTTCTGTTAGTCTCAAGAGAATTGTCTGTTGCACTGCGTATGTTGTCAAAATCCTTTATTTCGGCATCAACGACCGTAAAATATGGCATTCAAAGACTGTACCATTGCTGTTGGCCGTGTAATACCTTAGTACCAAGTAGCCAGAGTCAGTATAAATCCCCAAGGTAACAAGAACAACTAGACGTCTGGAGAGCGTTGATCGACTAATTAGCTACTCTTTATTCCCAAATCGTGTATAATGTAGCTACTCTGCAATTCGCTATAGCGGTGGTGCGGCCATTGAATGCCAGATCTTATGGTATTCCTAAGGTGGATCATATGTGGCTGTATCAGCCACACACGATTTGATAGGTTTCTTGTGAGCCACTTCTCTTCTCCTCGGATCTAACAATAGCGTCGTTTCAAGCTCTTCCATCTCCTCGCGTAGACATGGAATTATTCTGTTGTGAATGTAAACGAATTTGTGGTACTACAGTGAATTCTACGTGACACACTACGATACGCCATCCGAAGCAAACCAGTCCAACCATCACCACCGCCCACAACTCTAACATTCAATACTCATGAAACAGGCCCACCCGCCAAGTAATTCGTGTCAATGCATGTTTGGCGGTGAATACGCACCCAGCATGCTCAAGCGACATACGTCAGTGGCGGCCTCACCCCCGCGTCCGTCGCGCTTCACACATCGAGAGCAAACATGCCTTGCTCCTGTTTGTTTACTAGCGACAGCAACTAAGCTACCGCTGGTTTCCCTGTTAGATGCTAACTTGTGCATGGACAAGCCAAGTTCCAACCCCACCTGCGTCTTTATAAACAAACTCTCTGCGTCCCTGAACACAGCTCACTCAATTGACTTCACTCCTCTTTGACCTCCAGCTTTCAACAATCTGCCCCGTGCTCTTGTATATACATCATGGCATCACTCGCTGACAAACTGACTGCCTCTGGCGGTGCGGAGTCTGCAGGTAATGACAATCGTCACTCTCATATACGTTACGTCGGAATGGAAGACTAACAAATCCCAGGATTCCTCAACGATATTGTCGAGCAGCTCTGGCCCAACATCAATGTGGCAGGCTGCCGAATGGTAAAGGAGATTGTCGAACCTATTCTAGCGTCGACGCTGCCGGGACCACTATCTTCACTGCGATTCGTCAAGCTGGACTTGGGCCATGTTCCTTTCCGACTGTCGGCAGTGGATGTCCACAAGACATCTACAGGGGGTATCAAGCTGGACATGGATGTCACTTGGGAAAGCCACAGCGATATTGAACTTGATGGGAAGATGGTCCCTAAGATGGTAAGTAGGGAAGGCTTGTTGCTCGAGAGAAGAAAATGAGAGGCTGATGGTGACGATGTGAATACAGGGCATAGAGCGCGTACACTTGAATGGAAGACTATCTGTTCTTCTTGGGCCCTTGACAGACATAATCCCTCTGGTAGGTCATGCACACATGGGAAAGATATTGATGACTCTCTCATACTAAGAAACTTCAGATTGGCGCCGCTCAAGTCGCATTCATCAACCCTCCCAAGCTGCAGCTAGATTTCACAGATGCTGCGAATATCGCCGATTTGGGCATCGTCTCAGGAACCGTCCGCAAAACCATCCTAGGAATCATCGGCGGAATGGCAGTGCTACCAAATCGTTTCCTCGTCAAACTCGACGCATCCAGCGACTACTTCAAAACCTACCAACCACACCTCGGAGTCCTACGGCTGACTGTCGGAAAAGCAACCGGCGTGGCGGGCCCTAAGAAGAGCAGCGTGAAGCGCCTCCTGAACAAGATAGTCAAGGATATTCCCGACTGCTACTGTCAAGTCAACGTGGGTGCAGAAGAGGAGTGGCGCACCAAGACGATCAAGAACGACCACGACCCGGATTGGAACGAAACCCACGATTTCCTAATCGCCGACTTCGACCAAGCCATCACGCTCGACGTCAACGACGACGATGTAGGTGCCGATGATGACATTGGCATGGGAAGCATCACTGTCAAAGCTCTCCTCCTCGCAGGCGGCTCCTCGGAAATCCCACTGACCCACAAAGATGAGCCGACAGACGCTCGTCTGACCATCCACGGAAAATTCTTCCACTTCACCGGCGAGCCCAATACCCTGAATGCTCAGCAGATTGAAGGCGAGGGCCAGATATGTGGTCTAGCCACTATTCTCGTCGCGAGCGCTCTCGGCCTCCAGGGCCAGCGCGATGAGCTGAACCCTAGCGTCAAGATCTCATGGGGTGCGAAGGAATTCCGCACCGCTGTGAAATCGTACTCGCCGGGCACGGATATCTTCAATCCGTCATTTGACCAGGCGTTCCGTGTGCCCATCACTGGAGAAATGATTGAGAATCCCGCGGCGTTCAAAGTCACGCTGTTGAACAAAGAGGTGGAGACGGGAACTGTGGAGGTTGGATTCACAGATGTGATGAACGCGCCCGGATTGACGTTGACGGATGCTTTCAAGGTTGGGAGCGGGGCGACAGTGAGGCTGAGCATTTCGCTCCATGGTATGGAGTTGGCTAATTGATATTGATTGCGTCCGTTCCTTTTCTTTTCCATGTGTAAAAATTAGTGCATAGGGCGATCTGGATATATGACTTCTTACGAAACGTGTCTGATGAGGGGGATAGTGTCCAGGATTTCTATTGATTACTCGCACAAGACAATCCAGTGATACGATGTGGAGACTCCAGACATCTGAATGTTTGGATGTGGGGTTCGAATGTTGTACATTGTCTATTCGTGTTTCGCAACAACGTTCAAAGCATGATGGTCAGTCACAACTGACAGTATCAGATGCATACTTGGGCCGTAAGTTTCTGAAACCCAAGGTCGTAAAGGGTCTTGTCCTTCTATTCTTGTCTTCAAACACAGTGGTAAGCAAGCGATATAATGCCAAGTCACATCATGGGGAATATGCGGTGTTTGTTGACTCGTTCTTTTGAATTGCTTAAACTGAATGTTGATACATATGCCATGCTAATTGTGACGGACCCTTGAACGCCTAGAATACCCTTGTGCCAACTCCTGCAATGATGGGAGCTGTCTGGAGAGCGCGCTATTCACTATCCAGAGCGAATGCTTGGGTATCTTCCTTATCCCTTGTACAAATGGAAAGTAAGAAAAAAGAGAGAAAGTAATGGTGCGATGCCTGTCCGCGATACAACCTGGGGTCGAGATGCTGTTCCCCAAGCAGTCTCGTAGAGGCGTGTTGGCCTCTTCTCGAAGCGGCCGTGCTGCCTTGAGCAGTGTTGTTCGTTATGATGTACCCTACACGCCAAATCGAACGATGGCTCATTGCACTTCGTACATGGCCATGGCGCGCCTCAGGTTCTTCAGGCTGCTCCGGTCTCCGTAAGCCTCCTCCAAGGCAGCCTTCTTCTCGTACTCTGTCTTGGGCCTGAGGCCGGCTTCGTAGCCTGCAATGGCCTTCTCCATGTCCTCCAGACTGGAGCGGTCTCCATAGGAATCCAACATCATTTGGTTGCGCTCTTCTTGGGTAGGCTCATATCCCGTATTGGCACGGGTGTTTTGGTGGTTGAGGTGAGCTGCTACGGTGTAGACGATGCGGCGGTTCGATTCGCCGAGGGTAACAGAACGTTTGCTGGGTTCATAGAAGAGTTGGTCGGGAATCAGGGTGATGCCTAGAGCTAAGGCGGCCATGGCAGGAAGATACCTTGGATGGGACGTTAGCAGTGTTGCTGGATAGGCAAGTAGGCACGTGGACCAGTGTATATGCCAACATTAACATACCATTTTGCTATTCTGCCCAGCTTCGGGGTCGCTGATTGTGCGGCGGCCGTCATAGCTGCTGTAGCTGCAGTGGCTGCGACCAAAGGGGCAGTGTTCCTTGCTAGAGGGGAAGCCTGCTGGATGTCGGATGCGAGAGATGTTCGGGCGCGGGAAGTGGTGGAGAGAAAGCGGCTGCCAATCATGGCGGATACACGTGATGACATGATGGAAGGAGGTGCGAAGGAGGTGAATACGATGCGGAGTAAGGGGTCCGGACTGTTATTGGGGGTCTCGGTAGTGATTGAAGAAGCTCACGGGAGGATGGTAGCAGTGGGTGATGGATTGGGTGTGTCGATTAGCTTGAACGTATTCAGGGCACAGGCAAGGGATACATATATACATATGGATATATATGCATAGAGAGCAGATCAAACCGACGTAAGTAGTTTTGGGCGTTCCCCGCCTTCTGCATCGGCCCATGTCACTCGACACGATGCACACCACGGCCGATGTCTCTCCACCCGCGTTTCCAGGTTGCGACCGAGTACTTGGTACGTTGGAGGTGCAAGGCTGTACAGGACCACCCCGCCAATGACAGCATGGCCGGCGGCGCCCCACACGGCGCATCCGGTATATTCTCGTGCCCAAGGCCCCTGCTGCGCGCCCTCAGCACCGCCCGGTGACGCGCATGGCTCCCCCAGACCAGCTGCAAACACCGCCAAACACCCCCTTTGCGCCTTCTCGGCCGCGCATCCACGCCGGCTAACTGCTGCCAGGCACTGCATTGCCTATGTATCCATCGTCGTCTGGCGGGCATCGCTCCACCGGCGGAATCGCGGAATCGCTGCCGTCGTCGTCGTTGGACAACAAATTTGAATAAATGACCTCACCTCCCATCTCGCGGTCCCCACTCCATGCACGCAGCCAGCACGGCCGGTAGCAGCATCGTGGGGACTTTGTCGTCGTCCATTGTGTCATTGCTGCTGCTGTCCCTGCGAGTCTGTCTGTCTGCCCATGGTGGACTGACGGCACCTTGACAACCCACTGCCGAGGTCCACTTCCCCATCAGGTAGCGTCACGTGTCGTCATCTCCCCTGCTTCCTGCTCTGCTGTTGCACCTTGACCTCTTGGCACCGCAGGCACACATCTTCATCGTCAATTCTCGTTTCGTCTGCTCGCCCGCCTATCTTGTCATCACCCGAGAACAATCCTCGATCCTCTGCTCGCGACTGTGCTGTTGTCAATTGCGTCGTGTTGGATCCCCCGCTGTCTCTCTCTGCCGATACTGACATCCCTCTGTTCTCCCCACAGTCCCCCATGGTCATCCAATTGGTGGCCCACATCGAAATCACCACTGCATATACCCGTCAGCTCACGTCTCACTTGCATCCATACGTGTCCCGTACGTACCATCAGTCATGCAGCCGAGCAAGCATGCGTAGCTTCTTGTCGCGTCCTTCCACGTCAAGTAGATAATGTTGTTCGCCAAGGTGCCCGCCAGCGCTATAGACGATCCGATGATGTTTCGCCAGAGCATGGCTTTGAGTTGATCCCGTGCAGACTTCGCGTTTCGAGCTCTTTGTCTCTTCTCCCGAACACGGGACAGGCCTGATGCCAGAGATGCTGACCATCGATTCCCCCCACCGCTCTTCCTCCCCTCAGCAACTTCCAGCTGGCTGCCCGTTCCGATGGCCTCGCTATCCATCGACCGGAGACTTGGTTTCATGATCCATATGAAGATCCCTGTCAAGACGGTCCCGATCAAAATGTCCATGGTCATGATCGCGACGCCTGCACCTGGCACGATGCCAATTCTGCATAGACCCGTCTTGTAGGATAGTTCGGCTAACGGGTTTCGATACTCGTAGATGGTGATTCCACCAAGCCCTCCCGTGATGGTAATCATACCAATCACCCAGAGTGGATCCCGTAATCGATGCACAAACGGCGCCCGGACGATATGCACCCGCTCGAGGAGAAAGAGATATCTGTATTGTTTCAGCTTTGCCTCAACTTTAAACGTCAAGGCGAGCAAATGTTTTGGGAAGCTTACAGTGTGATCTTCCCGGCCAAATACATGGCAATACATACCCGAATCGTCGCATGGCACTGGTCATCATTCTGGATTCCCAGTCCTGACTCCAGGATTGCTACAGACATTATGAAGCTAATACTGGAAAGGAATTGAGCGAGTACCAAGACTTCTATCACGGTCGATTTCATCCGTCTACCTAGTCGGCCGCATCGAAGCCCTGTGACTTTTAGCATTCATGCATCAGAACACGCCAGATACTCAACAAACTCACCTTGCCCTATAGCGAGTATAAATACATAGATCAAGCCCAATACCACTACCAGCGTTCGAATAGAAGGATGCTCATCGTACTTGGGGACACGTGATTGAATCCTCCGAAGAGGGATTGCTTCAGCGAACACCATCATGGAGACCAATATAAAGACTGGAGTCGCAATCATGGACATCCACGATGAGTTAACCTTGGGAAGTAATGATATTATGGGTTCGAGAAATCCGAAAATTCTTGTAGCCAAAGTTTCGAGCCTGTCTCTTCCTTTTGTGTGGAAATGAGACCGGATTGCGGTGGCATGCGTCCCCGCACGTGGTAAACTATTGGAGCACGAGTAAAAAACTCTAGGTGAACCTTCCGACTCACTAGTGTCCGTTTAGATCCAAGCCTTGGGTTCCCTTACACCGTACTGTGACCGATTGGGTCCAACTTGAATCCAAGATGCAGTATTGTCGATCTGGTTCCAGCCCGATAAACCCCGTCAAGTGGTGTTTTGCTGTGCTTGGAACCATCTTTCCGAGCGCTTGGGGAGAAATTGGTACCGATACAATGCTAGAACGAACGCAGCAGTTTTTTGCCGACAGTTTATTTCAACAGTCACCCTGATGAGTTGACTGCTCTGCAGAGAGGTGCTTGGGAGATTGTGCTCTGGAACCTGGAATGCGCCACCGTCTTTACATCTGATGTGGTCTTGACAGCAGCTGTCCTCCTGAACTGCAGGCTTTCACAACTTGCGAGTGGCTTCGGCTGACATGCTAAAACAGTACATGCGTCATCATCAAGTCTCGCACAATGTCGAACATTCCATCAACAAGGGCATCGGGGTATTTGTCGATCATAGGCAGCCGTCCTCCACAGTATCCGTAGACCGGGACGCTGACCATCGGGAGGTTAGGTGTACCAGTTTGGCTTTCTTCTGACAGATGGAAAGTGCAACTTATCTTCCCCAATCAGTGCAGTTAGTTGAGGTTTAGCGAGCATACTAACCTGATGACATGCACCATCCGAAAAGGCAATCCCCCTGCAGGTAGAGTCGCACCGAAAGGAATGAACTAGACCTAGTGTCCAAACATCAAGCGAATCAAGACTAACGGAGGGCACAGAGACTTCTGTGAATGCTCCTCTTGACAAAAAGGTCCAATCATCAGCTACTGCATCGGGATGATGACCACACACTGTGAGTTGCGGGATGCTCAGCTCGATCCGCCACTACCTGTACGATTGTAAAATCCTTGTGCTCTTTCGGATTGGTCAAGTACTGTTGCGTAGTCTCACGACCAGGGAAAGTGCACACGGATCTCTGCCTTGGACTGAACTGAAGCGCGTTGAGAGCTGGAGAGTGATCTCGCCACGCTGATGGCTGTTTTGCAATTCAACATGCACTCATACCCAACTTGATACCTCTGCCATTTCTCGTAGCATGAGTACAAGGGGTACCTTCATTTCTCTCTCGCCACCAATAGACAATTCGTAGCTTGTAAGGACAGTCTGATATTACGCAGTGATCATTCGCATATCCTCAAGAAGATATGATGCTATTTTAATGCTATGAACTGAGTTATCACCTCCCACTGACAAAATGTCGACATCAATAGCTGTCCTGTAAGCATTTGTTTATTTCGAATACAGTTTTAACCTGCCGGCAATTGACACAATAATTACTGATCTGCTCTCGGCTTTCATGAACAGATCTAACTGATCATCGCAGATTTGTCATCGCTCATAGCCTAGTATCATGGCAAACGTGGATGAGACACCGATATCGTTCTCATCGATGCGGAACTTGATGTTGAATAAGGGACCAGTCTTCTTGCCTCGACGCCACAGATGGGATGCAACCATCCGGATCTTATCAATGGGAACAATGGTTCGTTGACTAATCACGCGGTCCATGCAAAACGTATCCATCGTCATGCATACGCGGCTCCCGAGTCGGACGCATGACATTTCTAAAGAGGAGGTAGGAGGCATCCAATTATACACGAGACGCTCGCGCACGCCCGCAAGAGAGAGAGAGAGTTGCCGCCGATCTAGTTCGTTGGTGAATGAGGGGGTGGACTGACCGACTTTCCTTCTCGGTCCGTATACGAGAACGTGTGTAGAGTGGCGCATAGCATGTGGTTATCGATGGCTGCGCCTTCGAGATAGGCGTTTTGGAATCGAGACTAGAGGCCACTGTGGAAACTCGGATATTGTCTGAGGCTTTGGTCAGGTGTTGAAACTGTTTCATGGCCTCCAGCTCTTAGTGATAATGTTTTTTTTGTTGATCAGTGATTCTTGAGACATGTCTACATGAAACTCCGGTTGGTATTATTGGTGCTAAGAAAGTCACTGTGCTGGTATCTGTACATCTTGTATCTCGTATGAATGAATCAGCGTCATTTTTCTCTACGTATCCGCCTCAACAATGAAGTAAGCCAATCAATGACTCTTCACAGTAGCCAGGATAAACCCAGTGAACAGTGGCTGGTTGAATATGGCTTCATGAGTCGCCACTGTGGGCATGAGCGCCGCCTGAACCCTCTCATCTTTCCCAATCTTCGTAATCACATTCTCCGTATCCTCCCCTTGCACCTTCGAAGCGAAACTGTCCACACCACCTTTCAAGATCGCTTCCATCAGCATAGCAGGAACCACATCATCCAAAAGGATGCATCCACCAATCCGTGTCAGTTTGACTGCCCAGTCGAATTCATCCGCCAAAACATCCCAAGGACCATCGATGAACACCATGTCGAATTGTTTGCCTTCATCGTATAGCTGCGGCATGACCTTCAAAGCATCCCCTAGGATGACATCTACGTCCAAGCCTTTGGTGTTCTGAAGTGCAACATCGCGATGTTTAGCATCGATCTCGACACTGGTCACTTTCGCACCAGCCTGTGCAAACACGATGGACGAGTAGCCGCCTAGTGTTCCGATCTCGAGGACCGTCTTTGCACCCATAAGTTGTGTGAGGATGGATAGATGCTGTCCAGCCATTGGGAGCACGTTGATGGGTGGGAGCCCGCTGGCTTTCGAGTTGTCGAGGGCGTTCGTCAGGCGCTCATTTGGATGCATGAAAGCTGCTTGTGCTTGGGCGTCAAGAACGGGTGCTAGCTTGAAGTTCTCAAGGCTTGTGAGAGCCTTTATCTTCTCTGCGTTCATGCCCTCGAAAGTTCCGGCGGTGGGCTGGGAGTCGGAGGTAGACATTTTCAATTGTGTCTAGTTTTTTTTCCTTTGGAGAAGAGATCTGTAAATAATTGTCGGGTTTGAAATATATCGAATTGATCTTTTGATTGCACTTGAGAGTATTGATTCATTTATGGCTGAACCACCCTCATATTTATATGTACTCGGTCTCCTCAGTATTCGGGGTTTGCTGTCGGACGACAAAGGATTTCAGCGAATTCACCGACTCGACCGAGAAAATTCGCTAAATTTCCCCAGTAAGACACCGTTGAATGCTTTTTCATCTGAATGCAACATTGTATCCACTATTACTGGAGCGATATGCGCAAAATCTCACGAATGAGTTCCTGCTGTGAGCAGGACCTGAGTTTCACCTCTGAACCATGTAGTGGATGACGTGAAGGTCAAGCTCATTGCTGTTTTCGGACTAGAGCGGAAGCGACGCAGTTGCCCTGCATCTCGTCTATCGATAAAGCCTACATTTCCATGGGACGCTAATTCAACAACCCAACTCATCATCCATCAACCATCTGTGCGTGCGTTTGCCCTCAGAACTCATTGTCTTCATTTTACAGTCCTACCGGTCGTTAGTAATATAGTATAGACTTAACGAAGGTATTCGGATATCCCGTGTGTTGCAACACATAGCCGCTGCTCGACACAGACACGGTACGGCGCTTCCTGGTCTTCACTTTACCATGCTTCAATGCCGATTTGATGAATTTTAGTATCACCTCACTTTACAATCAATCGCCTTTCACGATCTGGACCGATCAAAGATGAAGTACAGCGGGTCAGTGAGTCCGCTCGTTTCTATGACTATACATAGAAAGCAAAGATTTAACGACCCTACGTAGATTGTTCTTCGTCTCAAACCCAACAGCTCAAATCCCTGGCTCCGAAGCCCTCTGTGAATCAGTCAGCACGGGGATCGAACAAAACTTGCAGCGGGCCAATCGCGAGGAAAGCAGCTGGAGTCTAAGTCACATCATCTTCCGGGATATTCAGGATGCCCCCAACACAGCCTCGTCATCCGCATCAACGACTCCGTCGCACTCGTATCATCACCTTCTACGCCTCTCATGCTTCAATCCGGATCGCGCGTACAGCTACATCCAACCGCGCACTTCTGGCGAAGCCACTCCAAATGTCGCCCAAGGGCCCATTGTAGCCATGCCCGCCGACCAATTTGACCAGTTCAACCAGCTAGTTCTGAACCAGTGGTCGCTCCTCTGGACACCCCAGCGCGCCCTTGACATCCCGCCTAATTTTCCGGGTTTCTCGTATAAAGTGGCCGCCTTCACCATTCACATCGGCGCGTTGCGCTCGAGACGCACCGGCCCACAGACAGCTGCGACGCTCTCACCTGGCATCCTCGTCTGTATCTCTACTGACATCTTGGGTGAAAATGAGGAGGCCTTGAAGAGTGATGACAACGACTTGGACTACGGGGAAATCGATTATAGTCAAACCCAGGAGGCCATACGCGAGCTCTGGCGGACTATGACGACGGGGGTTGAGCTCGGTAAGTCCGAGGTCCGCGAGGTCATGCAAGCTGGCGCGGAGAAGGAGCAAGATACGGAAGCGGCGGTGCGTATGTGGTGCGAAGCGTTGAAGCTTCGGGGTTAGGAGCCCCCAGCGCTCGATGGAGAGGAGGTGATGGTGGCGGAGGAGATTGCGGGAATGGCTATTGATTGGTAGTTTACATGCATAGCAGCTCACGAGAATTGGTTGACGCATCTCGATGCACATGAGAAATTGATGCTAGATAACTACATCGCTCGTTAGGCGTGTTGTACCATATCCCATCAATCAACCATAGCCTCCGATATCAACATGAGATTGACTACACTCAGTGGGCTTCTATCAACACGTGTTGGCAATAATTCTAACATGCTTGCATATTACTTCCGACTTGCATATTTCACCTCCAGGTAGAGTGGCGCGCATACCTTCTGGTGAATTGCCATCTATCACTTGGTCGAGCATTTACATAGAATGGAGCAAGTCACATAACGAGAATATTAAACAGCATGCTTTGATTACAACTCTTGTTCAGAAGCCATACACATACACACACTCCAGGCCTCCACCCACCGACAACATGCGCAGACCAACTCCTATCCAAGATCCAAGAAGTGAAGTTCGAGGTCCGTTCCAATGATGCAAACACAAGGGGGATATAAAGGAAATGGGACGGCAGAGCCAAAGAGCCAAAAAAAAAAAACAGCCGACAAGGGGGAAATGAAGAAAGAAAGAAGAAGAAAAAAAAGAAAGAGAAGCGAAAGACAAGGGTTACGTCTAATCCAATAAAAACATACTACAATTGGGGTAAGGGGTTGACAATTATCGCACAATGAATGAATAATCAGAATGTGTCTCGGCAATGGAGCACATGGGCAACAACCACGCGGCTGGCCCCTTTCGGTTGTTTACTGCGCACCAACTTCCTCTTCAGCCCAACCAGGGAGACCGCCGTCACCTTGAATGGCAAGTCCGTAACCTCCATTCCCGCTGCCGAAGCCACCGATCCCTGAGCTGAGACTACCGAAGGAATTTTGCGGTGCTTGAGACTGCTGCACGGGCTGTGTGAACGGCCCTTGAGTGAACACTGGTAGACTCACAGCTCGGGAGTGCTGGGCACGTGCATTTAGGTTGGAAGGCGCAAGGAGACCGCCGACCGTAGGCGCACCGGATTGACCTGATGAGCCGTTGATGAGGCTGAAGCTCGATGTGCTATTATGCGAAGCATGGGAGGTATGAGGCTGAGGTGTTGGGTTGTTATCAGCGCTGTAGAAGGCAGCCTGAGGGGACTGAAAGCTTTGTTGTTGCTGCTGCTGCTGCTGCTGCTGTTGCTGCATTGAAGACTCCACTTGCTGCTGAGATTGCTGAGCTTGGAGGTACATCATCAAAGGATTGTTCGACCCTGAGTTCAGAATGTTGGCAGGAGCTGGTGCCTGCACATTAGGGAACTGACCATTGGTGCTGCCGCCCGAGTTAGGTGCAACCGAGCCGGTGGGGGAGATGGAGGGGCCAGGGGTGCTTTGTGATGGGTGAAGACCACTGATGGGTGATGGGGATTGAACACCATCACTGCCAGCTTGTTGACCCTGACCTTGCTGGCTCATCTGACGAGGAGGGTTACCGCAGCGATCTTTACCAAAGTTTACTTTGAATCGCTTGTATTCGTCCCGTCCGCGCACAGCTTCGATAGCCTTGATAGCGTTGGCGATGTTGGTGAAGTTGACAAACGCACAGCTCTTTTCACGCAGAGTGTTGACAAGCTCAATCTCACCGTACTCGGAGAAGTCTTGTCTCAAACGTTCCTCAGTCCATGATTCATCGAGGTTGCCAATATACACATTGCGCGAGGCACCTCCACTAACTGCAAGAGCGATAGCAGGAGGAAGAGCACCAGAGTGCTTGCCCCAACCAATCTTGAGGCGGCGATTGTGAATCATCAGACCTTGGAGGTTGCTCAAGGCGTAGAAGGAGGCTGCCGAAGTGGGGTCAATAAAGGTCACAAAGCAGATGTGCTTATCGGGAATATAGCGAATATGGTGAAGAAGACCTCCACGAACAACATTGCAAATCTCCTCGATAGTAGTTTCGGGGTGAATATTCCCGAGGTAAACGGTGCGGTTGCCTAGGTTGTTCACACCTCCAGCAGAAGTGGCAACTGCGGCAGCTGCGACCGATTGCTGGGCAAGGGCATTGGAGATCATATCGCGATCGGCACCGTTGAGCACATGAGCGTATCCAGGAGCGATTCCAAGGTACTGAGCGGCGTTCTGCTGCTGTGTCTTGGACACGTACGCACATCGATCCTTGCCGTAGTAAACGCGGCGAGGAGCCTGCCACTTGGGCTCTTGGGGAAGTTGAGCCACTGCCTTGATGGCATTACCAATCGACAGAAAGTGGACAAACCCGATAGCCTTCTCGCGAACAATCTTCACCGTGTCGATGGGTCCAAACTTACTGAGATCCTCTCGGAGCTCTTGTTCAGAAACCTCTTCAGGCAGATTGCCGAGATAGACGTTTCGCGAAGCACCCGATTGCTGCACCGCAAGCGCAACCGATGTCGGGACTTGGGAAGGCTTTCCCCATCCAATCTTGATATCCTGGCCACGAATCGACAACTTTTTCAAGATTGCGTCAGAGTGGAAGTGGGTAGCAGAGCTGCTATCAAGGAAGGAAATGAAAGCACAGTTCTTGTCGGGCAAAAGCCTCACCGACTCGATCTGGCCACTTCTCACATGGCCAAGAATTTCCTCGGCGGACGTCTCAGGCGGAATGTTGCCCAAGTACACCGTTCTACTCGTACCGGAGACCAGTCCTGGGGCAATGGACATGCCATTGCCGAGTCCACCCATACCCTGCGCACCAAAGCCACCAAAGGTTGGAGACTGAGGTCCAGCAAAAAAGCCAGGGCCATTCAAGCTGGTGGGCGAGACTAGCCCCTGGTAGAGCCCGGGGGAAAGAGGCTGCTGCAGCGGGCTGCCAACTTGAATCTGCTGGGCCTGCTGTTGCTGCTGCTGCGACTGGTTCTGACCGGCGAATCCAGCAAAATTCTGGAATTGCGGGGAAGCAAAAGCAGATGGAGAACCGGGTTGGAAGGGGCTTCCAAGGAGCAACTGCGAGGGAAGCAAGGGGGTGAAGTTCATGTCATAGCCAGTGCCTGGAGTCTGCAAATCGGCGACGTTGGGGTTACCGGGCGCAAGTCGGTTGGTGTTGATGTTTGGAATGCTAGCTCGTTCAGGATGCCTGTCGGCATAGCCTGTCTGGTTGGTGTTGAAAGCACCGTGGGAGAAACCAGTGTTGCCTCCATTCATCTGCTTGTTGGGGAAACCATTCTGGAAGCGAGGACCGCTGGGGGCGGAGGACGTGTTGTCGTGGTGTTGCATGCTGAGAAGATGCGGGGGCAGAGCTGAGCTGTCCCGCGCGGATTGAGAAAGAACAGCCGTGGCGACGGTGGTATTAAGGGTCCGGACTGGTAGGGGGCCGGACAAGGTAGGATGGAATGTGGAATATATACGACTAGCCGGGGCGAGGGACGACGGAGGTGTACAAGCAGGAAGGTATTAAAATCCGTAGAGCTGCATGCAGCACGATTAGCCCGAGATCAAAGGGAAGAAGAAAGGGTGAGGGGGACAAGAGGGAAAAGAAGAATAGCAGCAGCAACGGCTGACAAGACTCACTGAACAGGGGCACGAACAAGGGGCCCAGAAAGTCGGACGGGAGACAAACGACCTAGTCAAAACAGAGCTGCCAAAACTGTCAACAGGCGCACGAAGGAGCAGATATGCGACAAGAGGATGCGCACAGGTTCCGGGCAAGGCAGAAGGCAAAGCAAAGCAAGCAGGGCAATGGGATTGATTAGAGGGGTCAAGGGGCAGGCGGTGGAGAAAAGGCCGAGCAAGGACACGGTAAAAGGCTGGTGGTTGATGGTGAAGCTGCTGGATTCCAAGGGACTCAAAGAAGGACCACGATAAGAATGGGCAGAGAGGTCGAGGGTTGGCGGGAACCTCAATGCGGAGAAAGGTAGGTAATGAGTGGATGGGCCGAAGAAGAAAGATGGCAAGCCGTGGTAGAGGACGGACGGACGGACAGAGGAGATGGAGGCGGAGAGGTTAATAAGAAGCAGCAGCAGCAGCGACCTCCTGTCTCGTGGATGGCGCTTTCCTTTTCGCAAATTGCCATCCCCTTTGGGCCTAGCGCCGAACTGGCGGCTTATGCTCCCAGGCGCGCCGAGGCCAGGGTCTCCCCCAAGCCCGCCAGCCAGCAGGCAAGCACGCCCGCACGCACGCACGCACTGGGTGCCAACAGCTGGCTGGCAGCCTTCACCGTGTTTCGAGGGGTTATATATGTGTCGGTTGCTACTACATGCCCACCCACCCACAGAGACAGAGAGCGCATGTCCGAACGAACGAATCAACCAAAATCGAAAAATAAAATAAAACTGGGGTTGGTCCGGGTAATTTATCGTACATAGCTATGCCGCGCAGACCGCTCCCTCTTTTGTTCCTGACTAGGCTCTCTTCAGCGTCCAGAGAGGATGGTGCTTCTGTTTGTAGAAGCGAGGCACACATGCCTGTTCACCAGAAACGTACATACAGGCACACGGTGGTCTGCACATTGGTGTACACAATGTCTATGTATATGCATGGAATCCATCCTTGCTACAACCCTCATGCCCAGTCATGTCGCGCCGTCGCCATACCTCTGTTCTCAAGTGAGAGACCCGCAACGTGAAGCGATTCCATGCTTCTACAACTCACATGCGACGTCGAACACACATGCCGTCCATGTACATGTGAACACATCCATACCTGGTTGTTGCACTTGTTATTCACATGTGCACGCGTCTTTTGACACTGTGGAGCATGCCCGACGTTGATGGTGAATGTCCAAAACCACATTGCATTGAATCTTCCCCAGTCAAACTTCCGCAATTCTCCATCCAATCAGCGCCTGCTAACCTCGCTTAATCAGCCACGTAACTACAAACCTCACTCACCTGCTTGCCCTTCTCCATCTGGTCGTCTGCCCGTCTCATCGCAAAGACCCAGCACCATTTCGCAAATGCTGCCATGACCGAGCTATACCCGTCAATATTTCAGTGTGCCATAGTGGCGACAGCCCTCAAAGTGCTGCTGTTCCCTGCCTAGTACGTGCAATTGCCCGACCAGATGCTACTCCCTCGTCACCATCAATGCTCATCCCTCTCTCAAGCAAATCAACCGATTTTGAAGTACACCGTAACTGGCTCGCCCTCACGCACTCACTCCCCGTTGAGAAGTGGTACTATGAGAACACATCAGAATGGACTCTCGACTATCCACCTTTTTTTGCCTACTTTGAGTGGCTCATGTCGCAGGCCGCCGCCTTCTTCGAGCCTGCACTGTTGAATGTTCAGAGTCTTGGCTACGCTAGCTGGCAGACGATTTACTTCCAGCGCACCACCGTCATCATCACCGAACTGGTCCTGGCCTACGCCCTACATCGGTAAGCTTCCACATTCTTGCCTTCCCATCACCCCTTTAACAAAGTCAGTTATGTGAAGGATTCGAAACAAAAAGCCACTGCTCATGCTGCTGCGCTTTCTGTGCTCTTGTCTCCCGGGCTTTTGATCATTGATCATATCCATTTCCAGTATAATGGATTCATGTACGGCATCTTGGTGCTGTCGTTGGTTCTTGCCCGGAACAACTCCACGCTCTTGTTGAGCGGTATTCTGTTTGCCGTCTTGCTATGTTTCAAGCACATCTACCTATATCTCGCCCCTGCATACTTTGTATACCTGCTACGGGCATATTGTTTGGGTGATCAGCGATCGTTTCCTTACTTTAGGGTACGATTCTTCAATTGCGTGAAGCTTGGAGTGGGCATCGTCAGTGTTTTTGCTGCCGCTTTTGGCCCTTTTGCTCTGTGGGGACAACTCGAGCAAGTCTTTCGCCGACTGTTCCCATTCTCTCGCGGACTTTGCCACGCGTACTGGGCGCCGAATGTATGGGCATTGTACTCGTTCAGTGATCGGGTGCTGATATATGGCGAGTCTCATCCGGTATTCGTTCTTCAAGCCATCCGTCTAACAACCTGCAGCGGCTCCATATCTCGGCCTCAAAGTCGACCCTGAAGCAGTGAACAGCGTGACACGGGGTTTGGTTGGGGACACGTCCTTTGCTGTCCTACCCGAGGTTGTCCCATTGACTTGCTTTCTCTTGACCCTTGGCTTCCAGATCGTACGTTGAGTCCCCTTGGAAACTTGCTGGACTAGACTAATCATACCTAGCCCTTCCTCGTACGCCTGTTGCTGAATCCAAGATGGGAAACATTCATCGGGGCAATCACCCTCTGCGGGTATGCCTCTTTTCTGTTTGGCTGGCACGTCCATGAAAAAGCCATTCTTCTTGTTATCATACCCTTCAGCTTGATTGCTCTCAGAGACCGGCGATACTTTAGCGCGTTCAAACCGTTGGCCGTTTCGGGTCACGTGTCGCTTTTCCCGCTTCTATTTACTGCTGCCGAGTTTCCAGTCAAGACAGTATACACCATTCTGTGGCTTGTGGCTTTCTTGCTAGCGTTTGATCGTCTTGCTCCCGCGTAAGTGTAACATCTATAGGCGCTTGAACTTAGCTAACGTGCGCAGCTCGCCACATCCAAGGGTGTTTCTATTCGACCGATTCTCTTTTTTTTACATTGCGTTGTCGATACCCTTGATTGCATACTGCTCTCTTGTTCATGGCATAGTCTTTGGAGATAGGTATGAGTTTTTGCCGTTGATGTTTACCAGTTCCTATTCTGCAGTTGGGGTGGTTGGAAGCTGGTTAGGATTCTCCTTTGTGTATATGGATTTATAGAGAGAGTATGTGCTTAATTGATACTTACAATTCATCGATTTACTATTGTTCCTGCCCATTTATCAAACTTTTGTTGGGGTATGTAGCTCATTACGCCGTGTGCTAATGACTGGTACTGAAAGGTGTATACCTGGGTATAAGGTAACTTGTAGGTGAACTACGACTGTATCAGAGTTGCTTTTGCTTGTTGCTCCGGTAGGGTTAAAAACAAGGAGATGCCCAATGAGATGTCTAGGAATTCTGACTGGGCATTGGCTTCCCATGTTATCTACCGTGTATAGAGCACAGGAGTCTATATCTTGAACCAGTAGTAATATAATGGGTCCTCTGTCATTTCGATACTGCCCTACATTTGCTTTGAGCCTTTCATGATAGTCATGAGATTTATTGACACGTTTGTGGACGAATGCGTAGAAAAGTGAGTTTGGTTGTGTGTCTAAAAGGTAAGTGGGTCAAGTTGCTCTCTAGGATGGCTCAAAGGCATGCAGGCGTCATGGGTAGTATGTATGCTTTCGAGTCACTTGCTTGCTAGATGAAGCTGTACTTTCATCATTACTTGATATTGCTGATTTCTCCAGATCGTACTGATTTCAAGGACCAAAATGAGACCAAATAAGCTGGGGCGGTGAGAGCGGTGGCAATGGTGGTGTCCCTTCAGGGAAGTATGAGCTTGGGGGGGTGCTTACCTACCTAGGCTAGCCGTTGAGACTCCCGCGCGCGAGCCTGGGCATTTTGCAACCGCTACCTTTGACCCTCCATTCGTGCCCTGTACTCTCTCTCACTCCTCCACCCACTGACAGCTCCGACCCACCGCCAACGCCATCCAAAAACACCTCTCCATCTCCAAATCCACCCAGATCGCGACTGAGACGCGTCTCGGAACCGTGTTCGGATACGTTCCGGTAGACTTGCACATTTCCACAACTACCTTGGGTCGCGCAGAACAACGGCTTGATAGGAATTGGCGGGTTCTCCGGGCGACTGTTTGCTCGTTCGATTGCCCAAAGGCACTCGGAAGTAGTCATCGACTATTCTAGATTTTCTCCGCGACCATCTTTAAATCTCGAACGCGACCTCGAGAAGCTCCCAATGTGCTAAGAAAAGTAAACCGAAATGGTATGAAGCGCGTCTTCAACCACCAGCCTTCCCGTTGCTTACATGACCAGGTACAATACAAGCGCAAACCCGTCAAGACGGTGTCTCCTCCACTGTTCCTCGACGACAATTCTGAGGTGTGTTGGGGTGCTCATATATCGTAATATGGAAACATTATATACTAAGCTTATCGCATAGGTGTGGGTGATTGACGCGACTGGGGAAATCTTCGTCGACTATGAGCGGTATCTGAACAGGTAAGAACTCTCCAACTGGAAACAACCAGACTAAGGACTGACTCGAGGGTAGACGCGACTTTTACCTCCAGGTGACACCCCTCCGATCCCACACTACCCCGCCCTTCACCTGCGACTTACTTTCTGACGCGTTATCTAGAGGATATTTACATGCGAAGCAACCGGAGAGGGAAATTATACCTTCTTTGAAGCTCTGGAGAGCGAGGTAGGTTGACAATCAACCTGATTGAGGTTGTGTTGGTACTAATCAGGGAACAGATCGAAGCCGCAAAGGAAGTCCCATGCGACTTCCCAGAGTATATGCGGGAGCGCGTACTCAAGTTTGTGCAATTCGAGAGCACACCACGCATGGATGACCTCGGTGAGTTCTTGGCTGTCCATCCCCGTCAAGCTGGCTTGCGCTAATGTCGATAGTAAACCTCGTTTTCGACGTGAGTACATTGCCCTTCTCTGAGATCGAATTTCCGATTAATCGAATATACAGTACTTCCGCGAGCATCTCATGGTTGGCGATCAAGTATGCCTCGAAGTCGACAACGACCGACGATACGGCAGAATTTTGCAAATGGTCGATAGTTCAAGATTGCATGGCATTTACACTCCGGTGGATATGGACGAACAAATCCGCTCATACCAGTATACCATCAAGATGGAAGACAATGGCGAGGATCTGATCCGATATAGGACAGCTGAACTTCAGCGCGATCGCAGGGTCTATTCAAAGATCCTGCTGAAGCAATTTCTTCGAGGAGCCTTGTCTCGAGAATCATGGACTGGAGCACCGTGGATGGTTAAAGACTATCTTGCAAAACGCTACAAGATCCCTACAAAGATACCTGATATGAAGACCCGGGAGGCACTCATGGCTGCCAAGAAAGCGCATAATGCCACAAATAATGGCGCTCCCCATCCAGGTCGACCAGGTATGGGTCCCCCATATATGGACGGTCCCGGCTCGGTGATGCGAGGCCCTCATCAAGCAATTGCGGATCTTCTTAACTTGAAGAACTTGCAAATGGTGGGCGCAACACCTTACAAATATATGGCTGCGCCGCCTTATGCATATTCCCACCAACACCCTCCGTTTATCAATGGCGGACAGCCTCCACCATATCTCAATGCATCTCAACCACCTGTTCTTGGTCATCCGCACCAGCAGCCACATCCGCATCCGCACCCGCATTCATACCAGGGTGGTCAGCCTCCAGCACATATGCATGCGCACTATCCCCACCAACAACCGTTACCGTCTCCAGGACTTCAGCTTACGTTACCGTTTCCGAACAACTTTATGTCATATCAAGCTCTTCCCACCCAGCCGACAACCAATGCGCAACCGCAACAAATGCAGCACACACAACATGCGCAGCACCCACAACAACCGCCACAGGCATATGCCCCCGCTCCTCCAGCGAAAGTGGTAGAAATTGTCAAATATCCCATCGAGGACCTGCGATTCAAAGGTCCTCAGATCAAGGTGATTCGACCGGCTTTGAAGTTCTACTCGGATGATGTGCCGGATGGTGCAGAACCTCCTCCTGATAAAGAGAAAACAGGTATCCACATGAAGAGTATCGGGCCCATGTTGTGTATCTGGGATACTCTTAACGTGCATGACGAGATATATCATCTAGATTCATTCACCTTGGACGATTTCGCAGAAGCTATCGGATTCTCTTCCGAGGAGACGGAATGCGAGCTGTTAACAGAAATGCACTGTGCTGTGTTAAAACAGTATTTGGACGAAGACGGGCATATCCAAGTAGACCTTCCGCTGGTCAAAGACGAGGAATCAGACAGCGAAGAATCGAGTGAAGAAAGCACACCGGAGCCGGAGCCCCCAGTTCGAACTACTCGCAGCAGTTTGAGAAAGTCGGAGGCGAACCAAATCTTGAAACAACGCACACCTACCCCCGAGCCCCCGAAGCCAATACATAATGCAGCCCAATTTCTCTCTGAGTCTGAATTCGATTGGATCGAGCAAATCAAGACACGGAATTTCAGAGAGGGCGGATGGCAGGCCACGCTCGTAGGCCTCCTTTACCGACTGTCCTCCAGCCCGATTTATAAAGATACTTGCGACGAGGTCTTGGCGCAACTTGTACCGCCCGACGAGGAGGCTTCCATCGAAACAATTGCCTATAATTACGTTTATTTGGATGTGAACTATCGTATATCAGCGCTTGATATCATAATGCGTCTTACCGTTTCGACGGAACCTTTCCGCGAGCATCTTGCCATCGCTTCTCAGGATCTAACCAAGCTTCGGAAAGATAAGATTGAGCATCAGCGGAAGCGCAAAGAATTGTATGATGCAATTCTCTTTGATTTTCGACGGTAGGGCTAACAAAGACACATAGGGCCGACGAGGTATTCAAGCTTGATATTGAGCGCAAGATCCAGTTGCCTCTCAATACACCGACGTCGCCTTCTGGCACTAACAAAGAAAATCCCGATGTGTCGATGGCAGGCACGGAGGATACCAAACAGGATGCCGATAATCAAGAATCCGCTGAAGAAGTGCAGACAGGAAATCGCAGGCCGCGCAAAGCTGTCCGGCAGACAAAACGCAAACGAGAATCGGAAGCTGCCAAGGTGGAGAAGGAGAAGAAGAAGAAAGCCGAAGCTGCCAAGACCAAACAACAAAAAGAGTGGGAAAAACTCAACAAAGCCATCGAGGCGAAGAAAGCCGAGCTACGGCAGACGGAGGCTGACATACAGGAGGTGGATGATGATCTGCGCGAAACTCATATACATCGTTCAAAGATTCTGGGTAAGGACCGTTTCTTCAACAAGTACTATTGGTTTGAATCCAATGGCATGCCCTTCGGAGGCGTGCCGACCAGTTCGACGGCACAGCTGGGTTACGCAAACGGGCGCATTTGGGTGCAGGGACCCGATGAGCTGGAGCTTCAACCCCATCTGGAAGAAGAAGCAATGGCACAGGACAAGGCAGAATTCGGATGGACGGTTCCAGAGCGCAAAGAAAAAGAGGAAGGCGGAGCTCATCTCAAATCACCATCTGAATGGGGATATTTGGACGATCCTGCTGACCTTGGGCAACTCATATCATGGCTAGATGAGCGCGGCGTTCGGGAAAGGGCCCTGCGGAAATCACTCTACATATATCGGGACAAGATCGTTGAGTATATGGAGATCATGAAGGGCCGGACGCAGAAGACTGAACAGCACCAGGATGATGAGGAAGAAGACAAGCCAAGGGTTTCAACCCGTAAAAAAGCGACCAAGGAGCCCGATGAAACACACAAACGGTGTCTGCTGTGGACAAACAGTATCATGCGCGAAGCCGAAGGGCACAATCATTCAGAAGAATATCAGGAGCCCAAAAAGACGAGGAAAGCAACAACCAAAAAGGGCAAAGGAAAGAAATGATTTCCCTGCGCATCGTTGTTCAGACAAACAGAAACGATCAAGGCCGTGTGTTCTTTCGTGTCTAGAGTTTTTCGTCCTCATGCTCATGTATTTGTGGGTATAGGACCCAACTTCCCCTTCTTCGCATCACGACTTACGACTTGGTGAACGGCCGGATGCTTTTTTGACTCAACCGGTCATCCGGACACGATGTATTATCTTAACAGAACCTATATGTATTACTATGGAGTTTGTGGTTTTCCAAAAGTGAAGGAAATTCTGATTAGAGGCTACAAGAACCGTCCGCTGTATCTGACCAACAGAGGGGCATACATCGGCGGCACTGCAATTCGAGTTGTCCATCAACAGCATATTGTACGAAGCCTTATGCTCTGTCCCACCATGAGACCGAGCGCGTTGTATTGTCTGTTCGCACATCCCATGACGGATGCTCGTCGAACAGATGTATATCCGTCATTATCGACCGGTACCTGGGTAGCCTTATCTACATTCAGGGATGTGGAGTAAGCCAGATGCTATGCGCTCTGACGCTGGGAAGAGGGTTGTTCGAGGCTAATTATTCACATGTATAGATAGTAAATATATGTTCGGATTTACTGTGGAGTTCAAAAGGTTTTTATGTGTATTTGCCATCCGAGAAGGACGACCTATGTGAGGAGAAAAAAAAGCCGTGGGAAAATGGCGGGTCTGCCTACATGACTGGTGGTGCGTTGCGCTAATGCTGAGGTCACTCAGCGCAGAAACACTGTCCTACTCACACCCAACCACTAGAATAAAGGGTAACTCAATTCACTCATCTGGTTGCTGAACAGCGTCGTGACCTGGTTCACCGTGCTTGTACCGTTGACTTTCTAGCCAATGACGTACAACGGATATGATGCTGACTTAGGTAAGCCATCTCAAGGCTAATTGTCGGCATCTGGGGCAATGGCGGCCGCCCTTACATTCCCGCAACGCCGTCTCCCCACATCGTCTCTTTCATCTACTTCACATTCATTACCCCATACTGACCCCGACACCTAATTTCACGTCATAGTAAATATTCGGAGTCTCTGGGGTGCAATAGGATAATTCCATCATGGCTGTAGATGGAAACGGCGCCGCTCGCAAACGTATGGCTTCCGCCCCAGCATTCCTCTCATATTCATGCTATCAGCGGCTAACAGACTCGTCTACTTCTTCAGCCAAAGGTTTCGTTCACACTGGTGCTATCAAGGATGGCTTGGGTGAGAAGGAGAAGAAGGGTTTGGTACTCAAGATTAAAAAGCCTATGCCGAAGCCCAGCACACCAGGAAACTGGAAAGAGAGCGAACCCGTGAATGTGGACAACAAAACGTCGACCACTAACGGCACGTCTCCGTTAATGAACCCTATCGACCAAAAGACCCTCGCTAGATTTGCAAACGGCCGACCCAACGATGATAGACCCGATTCTGTACAATGTAAACACTGCCGGCGTGGAATCTTACGTGTTGATGCCGCCACCCATATTCGCGAGTGCTTGAACAAAAAGCAGGAGAAATTGAAGAAGAAGAAGGAGGCTAAAGAAGCAAAGGATGCTGCACTGCGCAAGGAAAAGGGCGAGGATGATGACAATGGCAAGAACGCGCGGAAGTCTGCAGTCAAGGGTGCAATAGTGGATGGTGAAGGCGCAAAGAAGGGCAAGAAACGGAAGCTGGAAGGCGATGATACAAAGGGAGGGGCTAAGAAAAGAAAGAAGGATGAGCCCAAAGCGAAGACCGCGAAGCCCAAAGGACCGGTGGATGTCGAGAAGCAATGTGGTGTTCCACTACCAAACAATGGCTTCTGTGCGAGGAGTTTGACCTGCAAAAGTCATAGTATGGGATTGAAGAGAGCAGTACCGGGCCGAAGTTTGCCGTACGATATGCTGTTGGCGCAATACCAGAAGAAAAACCAGGCAAAGCAGCAACGTGAGTACATTCTGCTCGTGTTCCTTTTCGTGGGAATGTCTAACAGATGAGTAGGTGCTGCAATCGATGCGAATGCCCCTCTCCCCGAAGATCTAGAGCCTTCGGGTGCAGTTGATTCCGACGAAGAGAAGGAAGCTATCATGACCGCACTCGCACATCACTATCCCCGTCCCATGGCGACGTACCACCACGTCTCATTAAGATCCAAATACCAAAGTATCCGTATGAAGGATATGCTACGTTCCGCCCTTGGATCGCCCCCAGGAGGTGGTACTAGTTATTCCGCCACACCTTCCGAAGCTCTCGGCTCCGCCCGTTCTTTAGGACTCGGCATGATGGGCGCACCAGGAAGTGCTACAGCCGAAAATTTCTCGGGGACAGGTTTCGGTGCACCCCTGAGTGCTGGGACAGACGGTGGCAATGGAATGGCCAGCAGGCGGCAGAGCGGAATCGGACTTTCTGGCCCAGGAAGCGCAGGCCCGCGCCAGATTTTACCCGGGCAATTGCCAGGACCCGGCCCGCAGAGGAAGGGAAGTGTGACGAGTGTAGGGGCATCATAGAGTGATTGCAGCGAAGCGAGCGGGACCGTGGTGGAGCATGGCGAAGCAAAAAATCGATCGATAGGCGCACTACGATTTAGTGCTAAACCAGGTCGACGATATTATCCCAAGAGAGGGACATTCCGCTTGAGCAAAAACGACCAGCAATAAAGGCTTCATAGGTAGGGGATTAGACACGGTTGATGGGTCGGCGTTTTTGAGGTTTTCCGAGCTTGTCCGCGCCGCAGGTTCACCCTCTACAGGAGTTTTGTTATTTGAGATACCCCACCCTACTTTCCGCATTATCCTTCCATAGTTTTCTTTGAGTTGGACAACAACGGGAAGAGCTATTATCCAAACAAGCGTCGTAGACAATAGCAATGGGCTACAATTATAAAGATACATATCTGATGAAGCTTTATCTTGGGGGCGTATCTACGAGCGTTGATATGCCAGCACGCCAAACAGTTTCATCCCCACACCACTTTCATGGCAGAGCAAGGTACATGGGCGATAGGCATAATTAGCCTAACAGCTTCCCGCAGTTGACGAGGAGGAGTATAGCTAGTACCTACCGGTAGATTCACCCTCGGAATATCCGGTCCCCATGACAAGAGAGCAAAGACGTCAACGTAGATCCCCCGAAATCATCATGGGCCCCGCACTCACCCAACCCCACAATGTCCGGGGGGTCTTGTGGAGCGGGGCTGTCTACCATAAACAACGACAACGTTCCGCGAGGAATGAGACAGTTGTTGGTTAATATTATTTGTACATATAAAGCTCCAAGATATCTGTCCAACCACTGAGGTGTAAATTCCGAGTTTCAGCCATTATCTTCTATCCTTCGCTCATCTTGAAGATGTCTCTATCACCGGTTGCGGAACTATGGATCTCGTGAAGTAATAGTGGCTTCTTTTCAACTGGACATTTCCTGATGCGGGCGTAGTGGAAGGTGGAGTGCAGTGCTAGCGTGACCATCGCCCTTCGAGTCGTATGCTCATCATCGTCATTCTAACTTGTGGGGGGCTGAGCGTGGAGAGCAGTACGTAACTTCTTGCACTGCTGCTTTTGGTCACAGATAATAAAACTCACGCGATGCTTGGGAAAGAAGGGATTTGCTTTGGCTTTTTGTTTGGCCTTGTTGATGTTCTGGGTATGATACGGAAGGGTTTCCTTCACTACGGGTACCAATCCCATGCCAGCAATCTAGTTTGCTGTTAGTACATGATCCAGGTACAAAGCTCCGTACTATCACGCCGTAGCCAAGAATTCTGAAGCTCGGGTTGAGAGACTGTAAAGAGGGGTAGCTTTAGGTCTGGTTTGCTAACAATCAATAAATCTCGAGGTCTTATGCTTTGAGTTTCCCTCCCCCGTATCCTCTTCTCGAGATATCTGTCACCCCCAAGTGCCGATTATACTCCATCACAGCCCTTTTATCATTTCATATTATCATCTCGGTCTAGGATTCAATAGACAGCACACGCAGTTGAATTACAACCATGGCTGACGCTCCCAAGTTTGAGATACCCAAGACGTGCAAGGGTGGTGTGGTGGTGAATGAGGGACCAGACTTCCACGTTGAAGTGCAAGACCTGCCAGTTCCAGAACCTAGTATGCTTGCCCTTCATCTTCACCATAAAATTTCCCTACTATGCGTACTCAATACATACATCGCATGCAACTCTTACAAATTATAGAGCCAAATGAGGTCCTGATCAAGCTCAACGCTACCGGGATATGTCATTCAGACATCCATTTCATGCTGAACGATTGGGCGGTACCCAAGATGTCCCAGATGGGCACGAAATGTGCTGGGCATGAAGGTGCTGGAGTAATCGTCAAAGTCGGAGACGCGGTGAAGACACTCAAGGTTGGCATGAGAGCTGGTTTGAAGGTGAGTTTGACCACAGTTCCAGTCCCAATGACACATGAAGCTGATTTTCAAAGCCGATCCAAGATACATGCGGAACTTGCGAGGTATGCCGCTCGGGCAAGGAAACACACTGTAGTGGGGCTGTGTTGACCGGATTGATGTGTGAAGGGTCTTACAAGCAATAGTATGTATAGACCCAAATTCTGACAGCGCAAAAAACCAATTAGCTTGAGCATCACTGACTTGATACCTATCTGTTTCTAGTATCGTTTCCCCCGAAAGATACACTACCACTATTCCCGACGGCGTATCCGATTTCATCGCTGGGCCCATCATGTGTTCAGCTTCGACAATCTACACATCGATTAGGGAATCAGGCGTGAAGCCTGGCGACTGGTGCGTCTTCCCTGGTGGCGGCGGAGGCGTAGGAATGCAAGGCATCCAGCTCGCCAAAGCAATGGGTCTACGAGCCGTCGCCATTGACACGGGGGAAGCGAAACGGAAACTGTGCCTCGAAACTGCCGGAGCAGAGCACTTCATCGACTTCGCTCAGGTCGATAACGTGGCTGAAGAAGTCGTTCGCGTGTGTGGAGGTATCGGTGCACACGCTGTGTTCGTCACAGCTCCGCAGGTCTACCCAATATCCATGTCTCTTTTGGGGGGTCGTATAGGTGGGAAGGTGATGTGCATTGGGTTACCCCCGGCGGGCCAATTCACCATTCCAGTCGATCCGGGACAGGTGTGCTTCAAGAATCAAGCTGTCATGGGAACGTTGGTTAGCTCCATGGGGGATACAGATAAGACGTTGGATTTTGCAAAGCGTGGGTTGCTCAAGCCTATCTACACTGTATATCCGTTGAGCAAGTTTGATGAGGCAGTGCAGAAACTGAGGAGGGGTGAGATTGCGGGGCGAGCCGTCATTGATTTCAACTCTGAGTAAATGTTGCAGGAAAGTTCAATGAATCTGGAGTTGAAATGTGCAGCATTTTATGATGCTATTATTAACTAGTATTTTTGGTAGTTCTTTTGCTCGAGGGGGGTGGAGTTATTGATCGGCGAGATCATTCAAGATGTTGGCCCTTGGCACTGCTAAACATTGCTTCACTTGGCCTCCACCAAGCTATCCATTCAAACTTCTTGACAATGCACTTCGACAAGGTACATGAAATTATCACGAAGCCGGAGTTCCTTTGAGGAGACATCTGGAGGTTCCGCGGTTGCGGAGAAGTCTATCCCCTTATTGGCAATCCACGGTCCCTGAATAGACGCCTCAGCCACATGCGCCACGAGTTTGCCGCGTTTGTCTCATCCTCACACCTGCTATCTCGAACCACACATGCAAGCTCACTGCCGACATCCTTTCTACACGATGCGCGCATAGATATGCCCATTCAGTCTCGAGTTCATATATGCATAGGGCATGTTCAGCTCATCGTCCCATCAGTCCGTCCCCGGACACGCCGAATCGTCATCCAGTCGAGGAGCCAGGCAACCGACTGTCGAAAGCGATCTGAGCGAAGAAGAGGGATTGTTGAACGAAGATCCCTTGGGTAACGGCTTACCAGAACAGTAAGTGAAATTTCTAGACATACTAGCAAACACCATGGCTCATACTGAGACAGAGTTTCGTTTAAGCGCAAGCAGAAAGCCGCTGCGCCGTCGTCTTCGTCATTCGGAATCCCGCGATTCTTCTCATCCCATACCAGCTCAAGTAGAAGCTCGCCCAATGGAAAATCCCCGCAATCGCGATTGCAACCGATTCGTACCACTCCGCACTCGAATGATGACACGGAAGTTATCTTAGATTATCTCGATGCACCGGGCAACGCCGGCGATCACCTACAAGACACAAAAGATGCAACCGGTCTGGATTGGTACGTGGAAGGACCAGGTCGCAGGGTTGGCTACGATGACCTCACGGCGATTGACTGGATTTTCGAGTACGCCAAGGAACGACAACGTCTGAGGTACTTATACGCCAGCGCATCTGGCATATTGGGCCATGTGAAACAAATTGCAGATGCGAGCCAGATATGGCTAGTTCTCATTGCGGCAGGCATACTGAGCGGAGGTATAGCGGCCTTTATCGATGTTGCGAGCGACTGGCTAGGCGACCTCAAGACGGGGTACTGCAGTAATGTGGATGGAGACGGCCGTTTTTACCTCAATAAGGGATTCTGCTGTTGGGGCTACTCGGAACTGTCCCAATGTCACGATTGGCACCCGTGGAGCAGTGCGCTGGGGATCAAGTCTACAGGGGGCGGATGGATTGTTGAATACATCTTCTTTGTTGTATTCTCTGTGGGTTCATCCATCTCGGGTTATTGCTTTATGAAGGACGATGCTGACAATGAAATACCAGGTATTATTCGCTGCTTGCGCCAGCCTGCTTGTCCGCGAATTTTCGACGTACGCGAAACACAGTGGTATCGCTGAGATCAAGACGGTCTTGGGAGGATTCGTAATAAGACGTTTCTTAGGGGCATGGACATTGATTGTCAAGACGCTGGGCTTGGTAAGACCATCTAAATTCTCATGCTACAAATCACTGATTCGAAGCAGTGCTTAGCAGTTGCTTCAGGGTTATGGCTCGGGAAGGAAGGACCGTTGGTGCACGTTGCATGCTGTTCAGCTAATTTATTCATGAAGTTATTCAGCAATGTCAATGACAATGAAGGTATAACGCTTCTCCTTGGACACAATTTCTGGCATAGGCTAACTCAGTGAAGCAAGAAAGAGAGAAGTGTTGTCAGCTGCGGCAGCTGCAGGTATCTCTGTGGCGTTCGGCTCGCCCATTGGAGGTGTTTTGTTCAGTCTGGAACAATTGTCCTATTATTTTCCAGATAAGACCATGTGGCAAAGTTTTGTTTGCGCCATGGTCGCCGCCGTCACATTGCAAGCATTTAATCCATTCCGATCGGGTAAGCTCGTTCTGTACCAAGTTACCTACCACAGTGGATGGCATGATTTTGAACTGGTTCCGTTTGCATTCCTTGGTATTCTTGGTGGGCTATACGGTGGGCTTTTCATCAATCTCAATATGCAGGTTGCAGAGTGGCGGAAGAACCGAACGTACCTCAAAGGGCCTGTCAGAGAGGTGGTCATCGTGTCTTTCGTCACTGCACTGGTAAACTATCCGGTCAAGTTCATGCGAGCGCAGGCCTCTGAGCTCGTATACTTTCTCTTTGCGGAGTGCGTGGACTTGTCCGAGGACACGTTGGGGCTATGCAAGGCTGGGAAAGCAAATACGGGCGTCATAGCTCTGCTTTTAGCATCCGCTTGTCTCGGTATCATACTGGCCAGCTTCACGTTCGGCCTGCAGATTCCAGCCGGAATCATTCTTCCCTCGATGGCTATCGGAGGTTTGTACGGACGAGCAGTGGGATTGTCCGTTGAAGTTGTGCAGCAGGCATGGCCCAGTCTTTTCATCTTTGGATCGTGCGAGCCGGACATGAAATGCGTTACCCCTGGAACATATGCCATTGTCGGAGCCGCATCCGCACTTGCTGGGACAACACGAATGACCGTTTCAATCGTCGTTATCATGTTCGAATTGACTGGTGCACTTACATACGTCCTACCCATCATGATCGCCGTTATGATCAGCAAGTGGATTGGCGATGCGATTTCACCTCGCGGTATCTATGAGTCCTGGATACACTTCAACGGTTACCCTTTCCTAGATAACCGCGATGACAACGGTTCCTCCATACCGGACGTATCTGCAGCTCAGGTCATGACCCGAATCGACGATCTAATGGTCATAACTGCAACCGGGCACACTATCCAAAGCCTTCGCGATCTTCTAAAACAAAATCGCTTCCGCGGTTTCCCAATCATCGACAATTCCCGCGATGCAATTTTGCTTGGCTATATATCACGCACCGAGCTCGCCTACGCACTATCCGCCGCCCTTTCGCCGTCGCGAGCCTTTTCTCAGGACACGGAAGCTTATTTCTCTCATCAACCACTGTCAGACCCTACGACCTCTTTAGATCTCCGACCTTGGATGGATCAAACGCCAATCACATTGAATGCGAGAGCAAGTTTCCAGCTCACGGTGTCCATGTTCCAAAAGTTGGGATTACGTTATGTGCTTTTTGTTGAAAAGGGAACGCTGAAAGGACTGCTAACTAAAAAGGATGTCTGGTACGTATTGAATGGGGTAGAAGACAACGAGCAGGATGAAGATGGCAACGTCTTTGGGAGGGGTGTCGCTCGAGAAGAGCCTGACGATGACGACGATGCAAATGAGGGCAGAGGCCTGCTCACGGGCGAAGAAGATGACGATGACGGAGGGTTCATGGGCCAAAGAAGGATATGACGCTCAGGTATATAGACTTTTCTTGATTTACTACCCATGTCGGACACAGTCTTCGCTTTCGCCTTCCGTCATGTGATTGATGGCTTTGCCACAGGTACCGTAGAACTAACAGCTCTTTAGACGGCGGTTTCATGGCGCCAGGACATGCACATTGTATCGCAGGGCTCAACGTGATGGTGAAAGCGCCCAGAAATAGAACTATTCGCGCGACGTGTTTCTCCACAAGCAGGCTAAAACAGATTGCGTGTCCAATCACTCACCGTTTCTTCGAGATCGACCATTTCACGATCGCGTAAGCGAGGCACTGACCGTGGTCGCGGGGAGGCTATGCACCGCGCCTTCCAAGCATGCTTATAACCGCTCAGACCCGCTATTGCTTCCATCTCAGCCGGATCGATCGCACGCAGGATTCCAACGTGACATCGCAACAACCAGACTGTACATGTGCGGGACTGGTGCTGAACGGACTGAAAGTGGGGAATCGCAGTATTGAGTGACTGAGGATGAATCGCTGGACGACTACCACCCAATATCGGCATTCTGAGAATAATCACGATAGTTGATCTCTGGGACCAAGTCTGGACAGAGGTCATCCGCCTTGCTAGCTTTGAGAATAACTTGTCATATACTTACTAGAGATGCCCATCTTTACCGGCCATGAATGGGGACGCAAGAGGAGGATATCGGGACCTAAATCCAATGACCAGCATCCAGAACCACGACGCTCTCACACCCATCAAATACACAGTAACCCACAGCAAAGTCCGTACGTTTCGCCGCCACTAGCTACAATTTCGCATCCCGCAGAATATGGAGGCAATCCAGGCAATCCACCGCAACATTATTCGGCCTACGGGACAAGTTCCCAATTGCAACATCGTCCCACAGAAGGCTATGTGCCAGCACCAAACCAACATTCTCAACAGTACCTCGCTGGCTCGAACGCCAACTTAACATCACCTCCGACGGAGAACAGAAATCTTCTAAGCACCCAGTGGAACAGGGCAGGCAGACTCGCATCAAAGTCATGCGAAAACCTCTCTAATCAAATAACGGACAGTGCAAACAAGAGCGCCACATTGGTGGAGAAGAGCGTCAACAGGAGTGTAGGCCTCACGACAAAGAGCGTATCCACCATCACCACCTATGGCATAGTGAAGCCAACCAACCTGGTAACGAAGAAGAGTGTTCAAGCGTTAAACCAAACGGCTGCACTCTGTGACAGGATAAGCGACAAATTCGACGCTGTCATCACTAGCATGGACGGGGGCGTCTTTAGTGGAGATGAAAGGGACTTATATGTCTACGATGAGACGACACAGGCTTCAAGCTCAACCTCACCGCCGCCTAAGGTGACTCGGGAAAGAAAAGCCAGCAACCCCAATGCCCCCAGCAATGACAACGGCTCCAATTTTTTCTCCAAAGTTTGGCTCTATTCAAACGCGCGTCTGCCACCGCATCTTCCGCCGTTCAAGGTCTACGTACCGACTTATTCTCTGCTCTGCTTAGCAGCTAAATATTCGGAGAGGGCCTACGAGCCTGTGTCATCAGCCACTTCCGAGACACACATACCAGCCGATTGGAGATCTGGCACAAAAGCGATGGTGCTGAAATCTTTGCCTGTTGATGATATGAACACAATCGTTTTCGCGATTCGCGGCTCACAAACGTTTATGGACTGGGCGGTCAACTACCGTACCGCGCCTAGCAGCCCCAAGGACTTTCTGGACGACGCGGGGAATTTATGTCACGCGGGCTTCCTTTACGTGGCCAAAAAGATGGTCAAGCCGGTAGCTGAACGGTTGCGTGTGCTTCTCCAAGAGAATCCCGCCCGTTCAAACGCCAGCTTGCTGATAACTGGACACTCCGCAGGCGGTGCTGTCGCAGGTCTCCTTTTTGCCCATATGATGAGTTCAAACACTCAATCAGAGCTCAGCTACCTCACAGGATTCTTCAAGCGTGTTCACTGCGTGACATTCGGCGCGCCTCCCGTTAGCCTTCTCCCCTTGAAAAAGCCAAGCGATAGGCAGTACCGTAAGAGTCTATTCTACTCCTTCATCAACGAAGGTGATCCAGTCCCGAGGGCCGACAGAGACGTCGTCAAAAGTCTGCTGAGGCTTTACTCAAGCCCTTCCCCCAATGTGTCCTGCGTAACATCCAGCCTCGCAAACCTTTCCCGCTTAAATATCTCTTCTTCCACCAACACCTCGCAGAATATACAGACTGCATCCACGTATCCAATGGGCCGACCGGGTAAATTTTCTAAACCGTCAAAGACATCTCTCAAAACAACATCGAGCAATTCAACGACTGCTTCCCTGCCTGCCTATCCTATAGTACCTGGGTCTCTGAGCCCTTCCGGTCGACTGATAGTGCTAAGAAACAAACCTGGAAGTCATAGCATCGGCGGAGAGGAGGTGATTGAAGCCGTGACGGTCGAGGACGAAATGTTGAGGAGTGTGGTGTATGGTGATCCGATGAAACACATGATGAAGCTGTACAGGAAGAGAGTGGAGAGGATTGCGACGAGGGCGATTACCGGTGCGGATTGGTGAATCTTCTTCTCTGCTGCGCCATATTCACTACTCGAGTGACGTGCGCCGAGGCGAGTTGGGTGGTTGCCGGTATAGGATTAGCTGTGGTTACACCATACCAAGTCAAGCAGGAACTGCCTGAAGCCGACCCTTGTGACGCTTAGTGAGATGTGCCTGCCTTGGTGTGCTGAGAACGGGCTTGTCTTCACCGTGAGTGAACAGACAGCACCAACACTTTAGAGTACTAGAGTATAGTGACCTATCACGTAGCCTCGGACAGGAACACAGCTTCCGTATGCTTCTCAACACATCCACAGCTTGGCCCTACTCAGCATGGGCTCCTCCAACCACCTCTCGGGCCACACTCCAGCAACATGTTCGCGCAAGTGTTAATCTCGCATTCCTCGACGCCACAATTGGAAGACACTGCGTGCTGAACGGTATGAAGATATGCCAGCTCACGGTTCTGTAGTACACACAGTATGCAGCTAAGCGCTAACACATGGAGTACCGACGCTGTATTACATTATCGCGGGGGAAAGGGGGGGATTTGGGATACAGACGTTTTCAAATTACGCTCTCCTCCGCTTCTCCCTTCCACCACATACCTATTGCTTTCCCCCCTTCATGTATTGCCATCAACCATCCTGTCCATAGTCTCAAAGGCCGATATGTATGCAAATAGACCTGATGATGGGTTCAAGAAACCGACGCTGCCATCGTTGAGGAATGTAGCGAGCATCTCCACCCAAGATCAGCTGATGCAACCCGAAAAGAAAATCGGTGATTCGAAATCCATCTACTTCCGAGACAAGCAGTCCAGCTTATACCCCACATCTTCTCCGTATGATATCTCTCTTCCATACTTGACCCCACCTTCGCATTCATCAAGGCACGGGCCGGATGAGCGAATCGACGATTTGATTTCCAAGCTGTTCTCATTGGAAATCATTGACACATCCTCTCGATCTCAAAACCCTAAGTGGCCTATGAGATCAAAAACACGGGCTGAGCTACTCAGTGACATCTTCAGCGACGTTTTTGAAGACTTGATAGAGAAAACCTGGGACTTCCCACTCCCTGGAGTTGCCTACATGGTGGATGTTAGACTATACAACAAAATCTATCGACCGCTTCTCGACCAATTCGCCCTCTGCGCGCGAGACCCGTGTGATCGTAGCGCCATCATATCCTCTTTCTGGGATGTCTGCTGCAAACGCTGTGTCGTTATCCTGGAGCGCCGCAACAATGTCATCGCAACTCCTTGGGCTTTCCCCCGTCTGGAAAACGCGAAGTGGGTACGCACCATGTATGTTGTCTTACAGCACAGGGATAAAGACGAGCCGGATTGCAATAGAGCAATGCGGTCACAGTTCCCGTGGAGTAGTAAATTCGTCCCGGGTCAAGGCGATATAGCCTTCCTAACGAACCTACTGCAAGGAAAGTACGGCGTGTACACGAACTTAAACAAAATCGGAATTGAGGTGCGACCGATGAATGCCTGGGCAGATTATGCATACCGACGCAACGGACTCGTGGAGCTCCAAAACTTTAGACGGGAGATCCTCCAAGTGATAAATCCAATTGAGCCGATGGACATGAGTGTCGCATTTCCTTCATTGAGCGAGCTCGAAGTCCAGGGTATTCCATGGGATAAAACACAGTGGCCCGAGTTTATAGTCCATAATAGTTCGAGTCCGGGGTGTTATATCAAAGCTGTGTGGTGGAGGGAACCGGCTAGTGGTTGGTGTAGCTTTGCTTTTAAAGGGTACTTGAATTTGGACGTTGTCGGGCTCGGGCTGTATACATATACTACCGTTCAGAGGGTGCATCTTGATGTGTAGGCGGGACGTAGTGATTTAGCAAGTATACTTTCTTCGCGAGTCTTATTGTCTCTAGTTACAGGTAGGGCACTGTTTGCGCTAGGGGGAGTGTCGTGATGGACGTCCGTGGATCATAATCTCTTCGTCGATTGATCGAGGTCGAACCTCGGTGGCTTAGATGAAAAGAGTTCACAGAGAAAGTAAACGTTACTCTTCGTACAGGACGTTCCTTAGTGTGGGTGGGATCGAGGATTGATGAGTCATGTGGATGGCAATGGGTATACTTCGAATGGCAAACATGTAACATCATTAGTTCATACCAACCTGTGCTTGTGTCGAGAACTCCAAAGTGGATATGAACACGGTGCATCTTGCGGGCAAGCTCGGTATCTGCATTCATCACTTGAACCTAGAAAGAGTCGATACATGGATTTCACGTGCAACGGCTGTTTGATTACCTAGTCTAACCGTGTCTAGACTATGAATTGAAAGCATGACTTTTCGAGCAACCAAGACTTTTCGAGCAGACTAAACTTTTTGTGCAAGCAAGGCTTCTCAATAACGCAATTTTTTTTCTCGAACAATGCCAGACAGACAAGTAGTCCATCAATCCTGGGTATCTGTTCCACCACACAATAGGTTGTAGCTGAGCCAGCAGAATTGGAGGCAACGAATCTAGTCGCCACCACGGCAAAATTTGGGACCAACCCAGATCTTGAAGCCCTGAAGCATATCATTAGGAGGGGGGGAATCAACAAACTCCCAGCCATTCACAATGTCAAAGCCGTCAGAGGTCTTTGGCTCCTGGTACGCCATGCCGATCTGGAAGGTGAGGGTCTCGTTGCAGGGCACGGTGGCGGCATCGTAGTAGGCATCGAAGAAACGGTAGATGCGCATCTGTTCGATGTAAGAGCCGTTGACTTCCTTCAGGTAGGTTGGCTTGTAGATCTTGGTGTGGGCCGGTTCATAGGTCTCCCTGAAAACGCAAAGAGGATAATTGTTAGCCAGACTCCAAGAAGACGGATCTTTGTGGAACGGTCTAATGTCGACGAGTGTGGTGCAAAATGTGCGTTGCCCCATGGAGGGAAACACACACTTTTGTTTAGTGTGGGAAAGGGCATGAGTCACTCACCAAGTAGGTTCATCGTAAGGTGCACGAGGGACTTGGTAGATGGCCAGGAAAGGACGAGGACCCATATATAGTGTATGACGCTGGATGTCCTTGGACGCCAGCCTCAGCTTCAAATGACACAGGGCGTCCTTAGGCGCGTTAATGCCATGGAACTGGACCTGCGTAGCCCACTCCGGCATCGTAGCTGAGCGCTGCGCCTTGAAGTAGTCGTTGCCTAGGGGTACAAAGTCAGTTATCATGATGTCACATTGGGTTGTCAACATTCGAATGGCACGAGAGCGCCACATAGCTTTGTGCAGGGAGTATACGTACGGTCAGTGTCCTTGGGCTCTCCCGTGGTGACCATCTTCAGGTTGATAGGGTGATATGTCCCAGAGCAAGACACGCCCGAAGGACGAGGGCTAGGGGTTGGACCGACATCGGTAAGGATGCCACTCGTGGTAGTGTATGGATTCATTCCGTTGGGTGGGGAACGGCCGTTGGCGTGGTTCGTCGCGTCAATGGCAGCGGCGAAAACACCAGCGACGAGGGCCAGGTAGCCCACGAAGAGAGCACGAGACAACATGGTGTTGATCGAGGCCAATGCCGATTGTGTATAGATTGGAACGAGTCAATGAACCAGAACAGACGTGAGGCCGTCAAAGATGAGGGTCAAAGACGAGAGCGAGGGTAGGGTAGGGTAGGGGAGGGGAGGAAGAGGTAAGAGGTGAGAGCTTGAAATTGCAGGGTGGGCTTTTATAGTTAATCTTATTTTGAAGCCGTGGACGTGCTTGATTGTTTGTGCTACCACTAGATGACGGAATAGACTGTTCGAGAAGACCTGCGGCAGAGATAAGCGCTGATAACGAAATAATTGAGTGTTTAGTCCAATTGAGTGATTTGGCCGCACACGCGCTGCTCGGCTTGTCTCAATTTGTTACGTTTCTGATAGGCATACCACCAATCACTAGACATTTGCTCGAGGAAGCAAATGTAGAATGTGATGTAGCAAACACCATATCCTCGCCCATTATCTCATGTAAACAAAGACCTCGATATGTCAACATAAGCGCAATCCGTTACCTCGAGATTTACTGCGTATTTGCCCATTACGGTCGTATGTTTGCACCCATCAAAATATGATTCCTGACTTGGCTTATGTATACATTGGTCGAGATAGTTGCCTGATGACTCATTCGTATGTCTCGATGTCTGTTCCTCAATGTTCACTTCTGCCCAAGAAAATGGACAGACTCTGAAAGTGAAAGGAGCGGGGCGTCAGCAACGAGAGTTCTAACTATCGCCAACATATTGCAAATATCTGCTAGACAAATCACTGCCTCATCATGCCAAAGGTAACTCACTTATACCATTAAACACTATTGGAATCAGATGAGTGGAGCTGGTATGCGAGCAGACAGACATATGAAACGGCTAAAAGAGTGTAAAGAGCTTGCGTATTAAAAAATTGCTACGGACCTAGCATAAATTTAACACAGTGGGTAGTTGTACAAGAACGTGGGTATCAATGCTGAAGAAGAAAAGAAGAAGACACGCTGAAAAGATAAGGAGCAGGGTACTTTTGGAGTAAGCTTGTAGACAGACGAGAAGAGAAATGTGGCGCTCAGCTCTTGATGCAACAAATATTAACAGGCAACAAGTGCGTTGGAGGTGTGATAGGAATCCCGGCGTTGTAAAGTCAGTTTTGTTAGAATGATAGAAGATAGTGCAACAAGGAATGACAATAGAACTTTTCTAGTAGTGACCGTAGCATGGTAGCGGGCTCAGCCGTACCATCCGCCTGGTGCAATGTTGGCCTCTTCCTGCTGGCGATGGGGGATGAGAGGTTCAGTGATATCGTAGGCTTTGACCAGGTTCTTCCAGGTAGGGTAATCGATACTAAAGATGGCTTGATGCTTTTCAACATTGCCTTGGCGCTGCTCGTTGATATTACGAGCTTTTTCAGGAGCTGGTAGCAATTAGCAATTTAGCTCCCCCACTAGGATTAGGAGTATCTTACCGAGTAGCGGAAGCCCGTCCTCATCGACAACCACCTTTGCGTTACCTTCGCGAATGAGAAAGCTTACATAGAACAAGTTCTCCACAGTCTGACCAAACGACTTGGGATTGACAGCAAAGTCGAACAGAGAAACCGCAGGCTCTCCATCCTCGGGGGACATGTAAACACGATGTCGATTAAAGGCAGCAAACATGTCTTCTTGGTCAGGTTCATTGTCCAGCATCGAAAGCTCCGTTTCAACTTTAGGGGCGTTCACATGCAAGTGCTCTCTCAGGCGAGTGTTGATGTTTTTCACCAGGTGGGTGAGGTTCGAATTCTCGGACTGTTTGATATCTTCTTGACGAAGTTCCTGCGGCCTAGTAGCAGGACCAAGAGGTTGCCGCTGGACTCGGGCACGTCGTGTTTGTACGTTTGAAGCCTTCTTCTCGATTGAAAGCGGCCCCAAAAGAAAAGATGATCCGAAATAAAATTGAGTGGAAGGGATGCAGGCATGGCGTCCTAGGAAGGCCCAGTCCAAATTCTTTTCGACTTCCTCCTCGTCCTCGTCATTCTCATCATTTACGGTCTGAGTCCGGCGACGACGGTGAGTTTGAGTAGGTTCTGTGTCGTTTTCTCCAAATGGACGATGCTCTTTCATGTAGTAAATGCATCGAGAGAGAAATTGGTCAATGTCAATGCCAATGCCAGCATTCGCTTGTAGTTTGTCCCCTAGCTGTTTACCAGACATATCGGTCAAGTCTACCAAAGTCCGGGAGTCCAAGGTTGCATCTGCGGTCTGGCGCACTTTGGTCATGAGATTGTTTTGTTTATTGATTGCTGCAATCATGCGGGATCCATCGTCCTTGATGTATTCGTCACGGTTGACTACCTTGTCAGCAAGGATCAGAATTTGAAGGACACCAGGAATTTACCTTCGATTTCACGTCGACTATCACGCATGCTGATACGAAGAGCGCGTCGCTTATCGACATTCTGGTCCGGGTTATAGTATTTGAGTTCTTCCTCTTCTTCATCCTCGTCCCCATTTTCTTCGCCTTCGTCATCTGAGGTCAGGCTGGGGTTGGAAGAACCGTCTCGGTCTTCCATTTCCGCATCTTCAACCTGCTCTTTAGCGTCCTCGTCCTCGTCGGCGACTTCGGAATGATCCTGATAGACCTTTGCGTCGTCGACTTCGGAATGGTCCTGATAGACCTTTGCGTCGTCGACATCGGAGGCGGTAAATTCGTAGTTATCGGTGCGGCGGCGCTTGCTGGCGTTACGGGTAGAGGCTGGGCCGGATTTAGACGTACGGCTACGCGGGCTGTGACGGAAAGGCATTTGTTGTGGTTTTGACAAGCGCGAGTGCGGCTGAGGAGAGGCCTGGCGTGATTCGGACAGGAAGTCGTTTTCCTTGTCTGAGCCGAGAGGGTTGACAGGGCTGGCGACAGAGTATGGAGATTGGTGGGGAGTGGCATCGCGCGTCACACGGTCGTGGGGTGTAGGGTCGCGGTAGAGAGAATCGATCGAGGAGGCGCGACCAATAGGCGTGGCCGAAGTACGCGTGTTGAGGCGAGCCATTGTGCGACCGAAGGGGGGTGGGAGGATAGCGAGAGAAAATGGGGAGCTGCCCCAATGTATTTGATGGATGACAAGCGGCAAAGGAATGGGATCGCTGGAGCGGATGAGGTGGACCGCGTTTGAGTGTGCCAAGGCCTGGAGCATGTGATGTCGTATTTGGCGTCTGGGGACGCGCATCCCTGCCGTCGCTTATCTGATAGTGGAGTGGAATGGGCTGGGTGGAGCCTGTGACAATGACATGTGGACGCTCACCCTGCAGTGACAGTAAACTTATGTGACATCTGGATTCCCTTCAGACACACCCCAGAACAACCGCCGAAACAGCTGCATGCCATACCCTCATGGCCAACGATAGCTCATCGCTCCACTTGCAATGGAAGCCTTTCACTTCGCTACCTCTACCGACCTGAGCGAGCTTTGCGTCCATGTTCGCATGTATGGAGCCCCTGCCTGCGACGCACCCAAAAGAAATGTATTAAGCCTTGTGTAGCGATCGTCTGGATGGCCACCAGAAGCCTATACCCTATTCCGTGCTCTTGAAGCGTCCAGACCTCAGGCACCGCGCATCCATCGTCAACTCCCACTCGGACCTCTACGTGACTGCTCAGATTTGGGCCGACAGCAAGCCCCTCACCGTCCCTGTTCAGACCGCCTACAAATCCTTCAAAAATGCCCGCATATGGAGCGAGTGGCTCCAGTTGCCCATCACCTATGCCAATCTCCCCGCTTCAGCTCAGGTCGCCATAACCGTATGGGACCTGTCCCCGGCTGAGGCTACCGAGTCAAACCTACACGCCATACCCTTCGGAGGCACCACCATCCCGCTCTTTGACAAAGACAACACCTTACACAAGGGCCGACAACGATGCCGACTACATCGCTTCAAAGCTGCTGACGGCCTTTCCAACACCACTACGCCTTGGGTGAGTCCCACACCACGAAAGAGCAGGAAGAACGTTGTTCAACAAGATACTCCCGATGATAAAATTGCCGAGATGCAACGGTTGGAAGAGCTTTTGAAGAAGCAAGAGATGGGAGAAATCCCCCAGAATCAGTGGCTTGATGGCTTGGTGTTCAAAAAAATGATGAAGATCAAGGATGAGGCTCTGAAGGCCGAGGCCGCAGCTTTGCATCGAGGCGTCTCTCTTCAAAGCAATGAAGTAAAACAGCAAAGCGGAGAAGCTGGGGAGGAGCTGTTCTACCTAGAAATCCATCTCCCACGCTTCGATCACTCCATCGTCTTCACCGACGTCGAATATGCGCCTCCACCCATCTCTGATATACGGCTGCCTGCTGACTCCGAAATTCGTCTACGGCCGCCACCGGAGGTTTCATTTGGCCCTGGAATCGGTGCTGGCTATACCGATGCTGATGTAGGACGCTTGATTCGTATCTATGATCCAGAGATCGGGCGAAAAGCCAATCCAGCCGAGGACAAGCATCGTGAGCTAGGTCGTAGCCAACATACTGATTCAATCGACCGTGACAGAAAGCCTAATGTCAATGTTCGCGACAAACTCAATACCATCATGGCAAAAGGCCCACTCGAAGAGATCACAACACACGAGCGCGATGAGATCTGGAAATTCAGATATTATTTACTTCGTGACAAGCGCGCTTTGACCAAATTTGTCAAATGCGTGAATTGGAAAAGCGAGCGGGAAGCTCGACAGGCCGCTCCTCTACTTGAAAGATGGGCCCATCAAGATGTCGCCGCTGCGCTCGAGTTGCTTGGGCCTCAGAACGACGCGCCTATTGTTCGGAGCTACGCTGTAGAGCGTCTCAAACAAGCTGCCGACGATGAGCTACAACTCTATCTACTTCAACTGGTGCAAGCCCTGAAGTATGAGGCCACTGGCGACGCCGACGACTCGTCTCTTGCTCGCTTCCTAGTCACCCGTGCGGCAAATAGTTTTACGTTGGGCAACTTCTTGCATTGGTATCTAATGGTTGAGATAAGTGACATGAGCAGTGACCAGGCACCCGAACATCGCGCGCTTTTTGCTAAAGTTGAGTATGATTTCATGGCTGAGCTGGAAAAAACACCTCAAGGTGTTGAGATACGCAAAACATTCCGTCGACAAGGCGAGCTACTCACGGTGCTCGCCAAAATCTCAAAAGACGTACGCTTTGGTGGTGGGGATCGTCCCACAAAGATAGAGCGCCTGAAGAAGGCGCTCTCAGACCCTCGTAATGAGCTTGTGAGCTTCGACCCTCTGCCTCTACCTCTCGATCCATCAATCATGATCACGGGTGTTTATCCAGATGATTCCAATGTCCTGAAATCATCATTATTACCAATGGTCATCAACTTCAGGACTGTCGCTGGCACGAAATATCCCATCATCTTCAAGACTGGTGACGATCTTCGACAGGATCAACTTGTCATCCAGATAATCACGCTGATGGATCAGCTCCTTAAGAAGGAAAACCTGGATTTGAAGCTAACACCCTACCGTATCCTCGCTACTTCTGCCTCTGCTGGTGCTTTCCAGTTCATCCCATCCATGTCTCTTGCCGCGGCTGTCCAGAAACACAAAGGCTCCCTTCTCGCCTACCTTCGCGCCAACAACCCCGACGATACCGCTCCTTTGGGAGTTCGGAAAGAAGCCATGGAAACCTTTATCAAATCTTGTGCAGGATATTGCGTCATCACCTATATCCTCGGCGTCGGTGACCGTCATTTGGATAACCTACTTATATCGCCGCATGGCGCGTTCTTCCACGTCGACTTTGGCTACATTCTCGGTCGAGACCCAAAACCTTACGCGCCGTCTATGAAATTGTGTCGTGAAATGATAGAGGGCATGGGTGGTGCCGACCACCCGAATTACCTCGCGTTCAAGGAGTACAGTTTCACAGCGTGGAGCACTCTACGTAAGAGCAGCAACTTGCTACTGAACTTGTTCGCGCTTATGAAGGAGGCGAATATTCCGGATATTAAGGTGGAAAGAGAAGGAAGTGTTCGCAAGGTGGAGATGAGGATGTGGTTGGGCAAGAGCGAGGGGGAGGCGGCTCGGGAGTGGGAGAAGTTGGTGGAAGAAAGTGGTGGAGACCGGTTAGCTGGGGTGATTGATTGGGCACATGACTTCATGCAGTACTGGAGAGGATGAAGCAGTCTGACCGTTATTGTTATCGCTGGCGATAGATCTAATCAGACGTGTACGAGGTGGCAGAAAGGAAGATCTGTTGGAGAGAGGGAGCCCTGGTCATGTGACCCTGGGTATCCACCCCATTCACATATCCTAGCTTAGTCATCAGCACCTCTATTTATTTAAGTGCTGCTCGTACGTAGATCAATATCAACACATTGCTATTCTCCTACTCTATTCTTAGAAGATCTCCATACGTCTAATGAAGGCAAACCTACATACATATGTATGTACATACAGTTAGTATCGCAACACGTGCAAGATTTTATACACTCAGCATTGACCAGTCAAGAATTATATGTAAAGAGGGAGCACAGAAGGTAAATAACGACAAAGGAAATAAATAACAGTCTAAATGAGTAGGTGTGATGAGACACAAGAAGTGAGATATGAACACTGAAAAGGAACCCCCCTCCCCCTTTAACGTCCCCAATCAACCCATACAACTACCAAGATCCAGACAACTATACATTCATGCTCTACACGTTCTCACGCTCACTAGGCTTCACTGGCCAAGCGGGCAACAGATCTCTCTCCTTCAAGCTGTAATACAACCCCAGCGCCGCCAACGCCTTCCCATCCCTTCCCCCTTCCCGCCACAACTCGCTGAACGGAATAACCTTAACGGTGATCGTCTCACCTTCCTCACGCAAACCCGTCTGCTTATTCCTCAGCTCATCCAACTTGGCGCGCGCCATGCGCTTCTGACACAGGAAGAGAGAGATGGACTCGTCGCAGGCGCCGACGCTGGGATACATTGCATTTTGGATGTCTTCGTGTAAAGTTGAGCTGAGTTTTCCGGGAGAGTACGAAGAAGAAGAAGGATCCAGTGTGACTTTCGAAGTCGCGAGCGCCGACATATCGATCATCTCGGATTCCTGGATCACGAGACCTGTTTCTTCGCGGATCTCCTGCGCGGCTTTACCGCCTAGATTGTGTGAGCCGTCGAGCATGCCTGCGGGTATCTCGGGGAAGGCTAGGGAGCCGGAGGGGATGCGTGGTTGGATTGTGAGGAGCGTGTATGTTTCTTCTTCTTCTTCTTCTTCTTCTTCTCTCGAGCTGGGGGTGGGGGTGGGGGTGGGGGTGGATGATTTGGGCTGGTTCTTTTGGTGAGATAAAGGAGGTGAGGGGTCATAAGGACGGATGAGCGTCTGTCGAGCTTAGTTATGGTTCTTTACGATATCAAATTTGTTGGTTCGGGATCATGTACTGAGTTGGGAAATTGGCGATTTACACAATCGACATCACAACCACAAAACCGCAACAGCAAAGAACGAAAAAAAGGGAGGTTGAAATAGAAATTTAACTCACCAATACACCCACACTTCCACCTCTCAAAAACACAGCCCCAGGAATCCACAGCATACCTTTCTTCGCCATCTCCCCACTGCTCAACCCTTTCGCCTCATCATCCTCGTAGTTCTGCACTTTGGCCTGCAGCTTGACGAACCCCGGCTTTGGGCCGAACCACACGACAGACTCCACATCGATGCGGTGCAAGCGGAATGGTCTAGCGTGAAATCTGTGCGTGGCTTCGTCTTGCAGGGCGAAGTTTTTGAGTAGACGCGTCAGCCAGTTCTTGAAGGCGGGGAAGTTGGTGAGTTGCTCGGCTGTAAGGGCTTGAGGGAGGTAAATGGGGATTGGAGTGTAAATCTTTTCGTCGTTGAAGAATTTCGATAGCGTAAGGGAAGGTTCATTTGCTTGGGTCGCCATCTTCTTCGTCTTTGTAGTTGTTTGGGTGGTCGTACTGCTTGGTGAGTGGGGTGCGTGTACACTGAGGTGCTGTTCAGATCAGAGTCACGAGATACGGTCGCGGGCCTTATATCAAGAAGGTTTTGAAGAAGAATATGTGCATCTCATTTGCAAATGTCGATCTTTATATATGCTGCCTATTGACCTACTTGGTCACCGCAGGCGCAGTCCACGTTCAGCTACAATACATTGTAAGGTTGTACGATTGCCTGACCAGGCACCCGAGGTAATTAGTGTACATTGGGGCGTAGACCCTTTCTTTTCCACCCTCTATTTCCATCATCACTTTGAGTAGGCTCCCCCACAAAATTTCTACAACGATAATACCGATAGGTGCACTCCCGCGATTCACTGCTTATGCTTTGGAGACCTCGATAATCACCAAGAAGTTGACCTCACTACTGATTGATATGACCCCCGAGACCCACAACATTATCTGGAATATTTTGCTCACTTGTGCGCAGCCGAAGAGGCAGTCCTGTGACACCGTATTGTTTCACAGTGAAATTGGAACAATTTGTTAGAGATTTCATATAATGAAGTGTTTCAGCTTGATACTTTTCTATCAATGGCAGTGGAAGGTCTTTGTTGAGTGGAAATTCTGAGTGCATATGGCAACATCAAGATCTTTCTTCAACCGTTACCTGAGAATTTACTCCTCAGAAGATATCTCAGGGAAGCTAGCTCATCATGACGCAGTATGTATTTTGTACCGCTGCTTGATCCCCTTTCTACACATTGGGCACTTGGTAGGACGAGCGGGGAAGGTATTATGTTTGACAGGGACGACGACATCCGCGCACCACTGGCACATGACCATATGCCCACAAGGAATAACAGCAATGTTCGCGACTTGAACATAGCATACTTGACATGCGAGATTTTTTGTCATCTGGTCTTCAGTAAGCGGGGGAGGGCGTTCCGGACTGTCGAGCGTTTGAGGAGGAGAGGGGAGGCGGGGAGGCAATCCAGCTCTTTCACGAACTTCGCGCATTCGGGCGGTTAGGGTATCGTTAAGAGTGTCCAAAAGATTGAGGTGTCTACTCATGGTTTGCTGCTCAGAACGGGATTCAGACAAAACACCCCAAAGAATTTGTTCTTCGATGTCGCGACGCTCGCGGGCAGACATGCCCTCTGTCGAAGGTGCAGTGGTATTGCCAGTGGCGCGGTGGGCTTCAGCTTGCTGATAGCGAGTTTCTGCCCGGTTATACATGGTGAATAGAGGCGATTCGTAGTCCTCGCGTTGTACGTCCTCACGGCTTCCGAACACACGCAGCATGCGCTCATGAGCGCGCTGTCGCTGGGGAGGAAGATCTGGTAATGTGGAGGGACCAGCTGACTCCAGAGCTCGCTGTGCGGTACTATCTTGTGTCCCTGCCGACTGTACTTCTGTATGCACACTATCTTGCTGTTGTGGCCCTGGCTGTGCAGGCGTAGACTCATCGTCCGATATTTCGTTCAATAAACTATCTAGCGCATCGTCTAGGTTCGGTTGCTCTTGGTGCTGGGGTCGTTCCTCTTCAGATGTTAATCTCCGTCTCCGAATCCTGTTCTCCGGCCTACTAGCGTCGTTGGAGCGTCCAGCACGCAACTCATCCAGCGTCCTCGGTAAGAAACCTGGACTGACGTCGTGAAACGGTTCCCCGATAACAGCAATACGGGTCTCAGTACCATCGGTAGCCCTCACCAACCGATATCCTTGATGAAATTCAAACCACCTGTCGAGGAATTCAACTTGATCTGGAATGTGGGGGATGCGGGTCTGTGAGGCTTCGAGCGGAGGGTCTGTAGCTTGCAGGCGGTTGTTCCAGAACTCTAAGAGTTGGTCAGTACTGTACAGCTCGCAGCGGGGCAATTGCTGGATTGCATCGCAATACAACGATTGACTTGCCTTTACAGAACCAACAGTAGCTCTGCCAACGCGTTCCACGCTGCACAAATCCAACACCATCTATATATACACGGTATAATCGCGAATGCGGGCGTTCATCGGCACAGGCGCAGCAATTCGGAGTTGACGTAAGGCGGCATGAGGTTGGGAGCTTGTGTGGACAATGTGTGTCTAAACGCGGACAATCGGCAGTAAGAGTACCCATTGGTGCAACTGCTTATTGAAATGAGAATGAAAAATAGGAGAAGAGAAGCAAGATTGCTTGGAATGCGGGATGGTGAGTGGCGAGACGTAGGACCGAGGTGTGAATTGGGAGGTTATCGATAAGTCATGAAGCTCCCCCGCGGGACCGAATAAGCTTAACGCTCATGTCCCATCTTATTCAACGTCCCATCTACAGCAACGGTCTCCCGAGAAATCCAGGAAGCGGAACAGCAGACTCAACAACACGTCAGTTACTGCTCAGGAGTAGAGTGTGATCTTGTATCTAGCTTGATACGTCTTCCTTCTTTCCATGCCAATGACAACCCAATAAGGTCAAGATATCATGGACAAATAACAAAATCGCAAAAAGACGAATCACATCAATTGATATCAACTACCTTTGTAACATAGAGATACTAACAAAACCAAATATCACAGCCATCAACGCGCAACACGTAATCTACCTTCTTTCTCTCTCCTACACTGTTTGCGACGGCTAAAAAAAAAAAAGTGTGTGCTTGCGCGCGATGATGACTCGGTGTTTGTCCATGACCGCCACTCAGCTCTTTCTTTCCCTTGCACGAGACATAAAAGCAGGCAAAGTACCCTGAGAACGGAATACGTGCACAGAAAACAACGCATGGAAAGCAGATCTAGCAAGGAAACCTGAAGAGCCAAACATAACATCAATGTGAAAGACAAAAAGAGATCTAAAGCCCATCACCAACACCATACCTGGCATCAACCCTACCTCTGATCTCGATCCCCGCGCTTTATTCCCCATCCACAACCACATCAAAATACCCAGGTGTCTTCGGACCTTCCACCTCAACCGTAACCCCACTACCCACGGCGCTTCCACTCCCACTCCCGCTAGCATGCGCACTCCTCCTGGTTCCGAAGTCAATCCGCGGACTACTCAACCCAGCACTCATCTTCTTGATCGCCTCAAACGTAGCCTGCAACCTCGTCTGGCTCGATCCTTGTCCTCCTTGATCCTGCAACGGCGAGCGCGGGTGCACAGATGTAGTCTGACGGCTCAGCGCAGGACTCGAGGTTGCGGAGCGGGAGCCCAGCGAATGCGTTGACGACGTCGAGTGGTATTGGGCTAGTGAAGCGGGTGGGATGCTTGGTAAAGGGGATGTAGAAGATGGTGGATTGGGGTGGCCGCCTATCTTGGTAGCTGCTGTAGCGGGGATAGCGATTTGCTGGCCATTTATGTTGAGGGTTGATGGTGAGGACGTTGGGTCTGCGAATTCGAGGACTACATGCGAGCCGCGGCAAGTTTCGTAGGTGTTACGCTGTTGAGTCAGATGGCGCAGATGTGTGTGGTTTTGGTTGGTCGTGATTGGAGAGTTGGGTTGGACGGAGTTGTTGGTCGCGATGGTATTGGTGGTTGAAGGGCGATTGAGGGGGGCGGATGGGGCGGATGGGGCGGTTGAGTGGTGTCCTGATGAGGTTTGGGTGTCATTAGTCTATCGGGGAGTGTGAGATATTTGTATCATGTACTTTGCAAAGACCCTGCTCATCATTGGAATCATTTGGGAAGGGGTAACGCATGAATCACGTCAACTGTCAAATTGTCTGAGAAAACGCTGCCACGAAGAAGATGGATGAAGGGATACGATGATATATCTTGGGGGAACAAAAGCGTACCTCTTGCATGTCTTGCCGTAGTCGCCATTGAATTAATCCTTGATTGTTGAGTGGGTATATCTGCTGTGTTTGGTGTTGGCAGCGGAGTGGCATTGGAGCTCGAAGGCGCAGATAGTGAGTGCTCTCTCAAGCCAGCGTGGCTCGATTTTGTCGAGACAACCAAACCTCTTGGTAGACAATCATTTACTTTCTTGGTTGGCGGTGGGCTTGGTGTATTATATCCCTCGACATTACCGTCTCCGTAAATCGATACCGTTGTAAGATGTCCGTCGACGGATCTGACGGATGGAGCAATGCTCTCGCTTTGGCTTTTCCTCCTCAATAAACTCTTACCATCGATGGCTCCGGACGAAGGGACGATCTCGTCTCTCTCGATGGTACTTTTTACCTCGTCCTCTCGTTTGTGCTTTGCGTCTAAGTCGGTAACCACCACTCCGTTACCGAATTCTCTTTTTAGGTTCTCTAGGCGATCTTCATACGATTCGGTCAGTGTGTTCGATATTGTGCTGATAGTATCTGCAGTGTTTCCGCTTGGTTTCCAATCTATGGGGCACAGCACACCATGCTTGGCCACTGCTTGAAAAGCCTCCAGGAGGCGTAAAGCTTCCAAGACAGAACGTCCGACTGTTAGATTGTTCAAAGTGACCTGGCCTAAATGTTAGATCTTGCGGTCCCCATCCCCCGAATACTACGGATAGCGATCGATGCAGAAAAATAAGGACCAACTGACCTGCTGCACGACAGTATCTTCGTCTAGAATGAACATGCCTCTTAGACACACCCCCTCCTCCTCGACGAGAACTCCGTAGTCTCGACTCATACGGTGATTTGCATCGCTAAGCAAGGGGATCCCCACTTGTCCCAACCCACCGTATTGCCTTGGAACGTTCTGCCAATGCCACAAGCTGTGCTTTGTATCCACAGACACAAACACTACTTCGCAATTGCGATCTTTGAATTCCTCCAGGCAATTCTGGAAGGCCAGTACTTCTGTAGGGCACACAAACGAGAATGCGGCGGGAATGAATAAAAGGATCAGCCAGGCGCGATGAGCTGGGGAGATGTAGGTAGCCAAGGACACTTCTGTTGGACGATATTAACGGGATAGCATAAACCGGATGTAGAACAATAGCGCGACTGACCTTCAATTACACCTTCAATGACGGCATCGCAGTGAAAGTCTGGAGCCTTTTGGCCGATTTGTACTTTTCCCAGTTGACCCATGGTCTCTTCGCTACGGTTCGATGATAGCTGTTGACCAAAAAGTATCTTTGAACTCACAGCGTGCTCGGAAAAGGATGCAGTAGGTTGTGTACGATACCCCACTTATACCTGGTTGGCACCGAGAGGAGAGCATGCTGTTTTGTCTGATAGACGTACGATACTGTCGTCATTGGCATTCTCGGTATTATCCGCGAGATTTGCGTCCGTTCTGGTCTGGACATGGTGTCATTGCATCAAATGAGTTGCTGCAAGCAGCGAAAAACTACGAGCTAGACAGTCAAGGTGAATCAAGACAAGTTCGCTTGCAGTATAGTTGTACTTTGTGCAACATCAACGATCGCCAGGCTCACGCCAGGCTCTGACGGCAATCAGCATTCAATGAATACACCGATAGTCGTAATATATTCCATCAATGACCCAATGTCCCTGCAAGAACCGCAGATCGCCCGACGGAGACAAGTAAGTTGACTAACTTGCCCTGAGCTGGCCCCGAAGCTAAGCGATCAATGTATGAAGGAGATGACCGGAAGCACTGTGAGCTTGTTTTATAAATCGAAACAGCCAAGTTGCGGTATGCGGGCGCAAAACCAATCCTGAGGATAAGAATGGGTATCTCGGTCGATTGTCTTCAATGACGCAATGCCGCCCAGTCGATACCGTACCACCCCCACAAACGGTGCATACAAACACGTTGTAGAATGGGAAAGACACAGCGCTATATAGTGGACCGTTTATGGTAAGCTGAAAATGTAAGACATGTAGTTATATGACAGAAAGAGCGAGACGCATGAATCTACTCCTGTTATACGGATTCATACCGGATATTCAAGATTATCAATTGATACTACCAATGAAGCCCATAGATCCACACGAGTTCTGGCGAGCGGAAACATGGTTTATCGCAGAGCGGTCGGATCAGTTTCGTTATATAGTCCCGTCAATACGAGATTGAGAGGACTGATAGTGACTGGTGGTCCATTCTCAGGACTGCATGCGAAAGACCATCATATACATCTAGTTCATCGTTGCAACCGCCTTAGAGACCCCTTTCTTTCGGCTTCGTGATTCAGTTGAGTCCTTCCCTTATCCACCATCAGGTTCTTGACTCCGGAATTGCTACTCATACTCGACTCTGAGCTCCTCGTCCATTGGATTCTCGAGGACTTCCCCATTGGATTCCCCTTGATCACATTCTCCTTTAGATTCAATAAGTGGCTCTCCACTCCCCACTTGAAGATCTCTCTCTTTCAACTCCTTGAGCTGCTCTAAGCTTTCTTCTCGCATGGCAACATCTCTCTCTCTACGTGCCACCTGTTCTTCGCGATACCTGAGCTCAGCCTCTCGTTCATCTAAATTTGTGTACTGGGGTTTTGTGGGCTCCGGTATGTATGTATCCGTGGCGAATTTTCTGGCTTTCCTTCCAGCCACAACATCTAAACAGTAATTAGACCACAAATGTCGGTGCAGTGAGATTCGGTGCTTCGTATGGAAAAGTTCCACATTGAAGTAGCAACACGTACCAATGCCTGTGGCCGTTGACACAGTGATGGGTGAAGAAGCAAGATGACCCGTATTGAAGTGAGCGTACGAACAGTCTTCATCTCTTTTGCTGCAGCGACCGTTGGTAAACCAAAAGAAACATGTAAGAGGTTTGGGAAAATTCTTTGGTAGCATCATGTCGTTTGTGTGGGGTAGCTCGGATGCGTGATTCGACCTAGAACCATTCCGATCAGATAGTCGGGGCGAGAATTGGGGTGGACTGCGTGCTCGCGACCGTGATCGATAGAAGCGTACGTCGCTGTCGAAATCCTTGGATCGATTGACGGGAGATCTTTCTCTTGCTCGCGGGCGCGGTCGATATGATTGATTCATCGCCGGATTTGATCGCTCCTCAAGAAATCGCATTGAGCTAGTGTGGTGGGAACGAACCATAACGTCGACTGAAATTTTGTTGACAAGGTTGAGATGAAGATGTAGAGAAAGGCATGCCCATGTATACATCTGTTTGCGGGGGGAGTCTCGAAATTAGGCGTTTGTTTGTTTGTTCATCAGAGACAATCTTAGACAAGCTTGCTCTCACCGCTGCTGCAGAGTGCCGGCGGTCAGTCAGAGCTCAGCACCGAAAACCAAATCCATGTCCTTGCAGGATGTATAACACATAGACGATAGTGTGGAATATGTGTTTACAACGATGGCCTCCATGTCTGTTATGGGGCGGGATGAAAGGGCAGTTTAACTTGAGTATAAGAACGGCGTATCGCAACCGCTCCGTAATCAAGCCGTATATGATTGGTAGCTCTGGTCATTCTCCGAAACATCGTACTCCATGCTTTGCCCTTTCGAGCAAAACTCGTGTCTTGTCTGATCGTTGCTCTCCTCAAAGTTTGCTCTGGCCATTTGTACTACTCTCAGGCGGCAGCGCACCGCTCATCATTTTGTCATCTCCAATACTATTTTCGCGTCCGTACAAAACCATTTCTCTGCCTCCTCTTGTGCCCCACCACGCGACGGCACAGCCGCTGCGTTCAGCATCCATTTCTCCGCTGATAAGCACCTCCCAATATCGTCTTTTGACTGCTTCACGCATGGCACTGTCATCGATTTGGTTTAGCAAATCAGCGCATAGCGGTAGCCATTCATTTAAAAGTATGATAGGCAGGAAAGGAAGTGTGTCAACAAGGGTCAGAGCAAGCACAGCTTGTTCGGAGAGTGGTGGCGGTGGGGCGTCGGAACCTTGCAGGGCAAGCGTAGTCTCATCCGGAGGCAAAGGATCTGTCGGAGCGTTTACCGCGCGATGGTAAACCAGCTCCAACAATGTGGCAGGAAGGTCTGGGTGCGACGCAGATAGGGTAGATGGCGGTGCGGTTACTCGCATGAGAGTCTTGAATGCGAGACGGAACTGTCTTGGCGAGAGATTATGGGGGAAAACGCTGAATAAGGCGTCTATGTAGAAAGGCAAATGTTTCGCCGTAATTCCTGCTGACTGTGGTGCTGACAAGACGGCGAGCATGACACTGTGTGCAGCCTCGAATACAGGTAGCATACTGTGGTTTCCACCAGCTGCGAGATAAGGAACTGCTGACGCGACAAGGAGATCTTCATTGGTTGCGGAGGAGAGCACCAGAGTGAAGTGTTCGGCAGCATTCAGAAAATAGAGATCCAGAATTCGATCGAGGGGATGACGTGGAACCTGGCCCAGCTGCTTCGGGGCAATAGATTTGAGGAACTTGTCGGCATGCATAGGATATGCGGCGAGTATATCGATGGCAGTAAGATAGACAAAGGTATGCTGTGAAAGAGATACAGGGCCAAGTCGTGTAGTGATGAAGTAGAGGTGTCGAAGGGTGTGCAGTGCTTGTGAAACCAGCATAGGTGCCACAGCATCAGACGCAAGAGCACTGTCTGCCAGGGTTCGGTTAAGCACACCGTGCAGAATGATGGTAGTAGCGAACAGCGCAGAAGAGAGTAGTTTCCAAAGCAGCGGAATTGTTTTTCGGAATGCTTCTTCACTCATGGCCGATTCCTCATCAGTAGGATCGATCTCGGAGATTTTGATCTGTCGCCATTGCGTGGTTAAAGCGCGCGCGAAGCTCGCCAAATCACCCATCATGGTTTGTATTAACCACGGGTCTTCCACATTTTCAACGGCGTGGGCGATGAGTCGTGATAGTGGTCCCATATTGGCCACAAGGGGTCTCGCCATGATTGCTTCTACCTGGCGATAAGAGCTCGAACGTGCATCCCAATCGAGTCTGCCACCGTTCATTCTGACGTCCAGATCCAGCCCACCCAGGAAGTACGCCGATTGGAATCCCTCATTTGAAAAATATGCAGTTCCAATCAATAAGGGCAAAAGTAGGCCGTAGTTGATTTGTGCTTTTTCCAGGTCTGCTAGGAATCCAAAAGCATGGTTCAGCACCAGGACAATGGTTTGACCTGGGAGCCCGTCGGCTTCTGACCGTTCTCTGACTTCCACTAGGGCCATATTTATAGCTCGCACCAGAGCACCTTCCACCCGCCTTCTCATACTGGAAGCCCAGTACAAGTCTGTACCTTGCTCTTCCAAGCCCGCAAGACCCAAGAGCAAACCACCGAGGGCGACGACGTGTTTCCACCGATGACTACGCTCATCGGCCCCAGAGACAATAGCGCGAATCCATTCGTCTAACGTGAGCCCTCCACCGATAGGAGTCTGTCCTGGTATCAGCTCAGGTGTCTTGTTGTAGCGCACATCGTTGTGATAAGTCACGACAGTCGTGACGGCTGTGTGAAAGACGGAGAGCAGTCGGAGAGGTGTTCGCAAGCCATCAGGGCGATCCCAAAGCGCGGGCGCTGTAAGAATATGGGAAGTAAGAAGACTGAGATTGTGAGGATTTCCGAGGGCGGTAAGTAGAGAGGATGCAGTGCTCAGTATGCTGTGAAGCGGTTAGTGTTGTTATCCTGAGCATGGTGGTGTAGTATTTGTTGCATACCGAGGCGTGTCTTGTTGATCAGTGTAAGTCTGCAAAGAGCGCAGAAGAGTTGACAACAAGCGATCGGCCATCGTAGATTGACGCGGTACATACGACTGCATAGTGGGCATGCTATACCGCCGACCTCTTGTTCATGTATCCAGAGACGCGAAGAGCTGGAGTTCAGTCCGACTCAGCCGAGGCATTCGGGCAATTGTCGGGTGCGAGTGTAGGCAATAGGCTAGTATGTGGATATTCCTATTGGACAATCAGACCAGTCACCAGCGCGTCGATCTCGGAATCCAGTTGACAACAAAACATGTGTCACAGAGGTAGGTCCGTGGTTTGTCATTTGTCTTGAGTCTCTCTGATTCAAGGAAACACAAATCGCTGCTGTCGGCGAGATTCACTAAACCGTATAGAACTGGTTAATCCGCACAAGATACACTGCCTACTTAGGCAGCTGTCGCTCACAATCGATACAGACTGTCCTTTCGTCTCGCAACTTTTATTACCTTCATGATTGCTACTGAGAGGATGCGTATTTTATTGCGTCTTTTCTATGCTCCTTGGAACGGTTCTTTTTCGTAGTGGATCGGGTGCTTGGTTTAAAGGCCAACCGAATGCGGATCGACCTATAGGAGCGTGATTCAACGACACATACCACGCTACGGTGTGGAAGTTGCTCAGTTGGGGAGAGGGACCAATGACCCAAAAGTGCTCATTTGCAAGATGTGAAGTAGCAGCGTACCGCACTATGCATATATCTAAGCGGGCTACTGGAACAGAGCAGGGGGGTCGAATGTGACACAAGGAATTGCTGGTTAGGTAAGATGATGTAGTTGGATATAATGAACCAATGGAACGTATAATGCAAGTATCTTTGATGATGGCATACTATATCACACTCCACTACAGTAGCATAGCGAATTGCTGAAGACCTTATTAGATATTATCAAAGATAGCTGTGCCTAGATGATAATGAGAACGAATCGGAAAGGTTGATTCCAGAATCCATCTCCAGATCCGTATCTATTATCCTCTTACAGTAGAGGATCACAGAAATCATGTCATAGGAAACCACTAGAGGGCATAGACATACTGATCAATGTCACTTGAAATCTCAATGGAGGCTCAAAGTAGTCGAGACTTTCTCTGTCATTTATTATCTGGCTCAGTGATTCGTACATTCTGTGGGGCTCCGATGATAATCCACCAACTACAGCGAAGAAGCCGGTCGGAGCATTCTTGTTTGGGTCGTTGAATCGTGCTTCATGTGGAAGTGGGTTCGTTTTGTTTACTTTCGTTGAGGCTTTGTACTTCACGTTTCTCTTATCAGTATCGGAGAGCTCCTACATACACCCATTTCCCGTTGTTGTTGTTGCCCTTTATATTTCGCCCCTTGTGATTGCTACTTCTCTTCATCTTTTCTCATTGTATTCTCAAAAACTTGGATTCGGATTCTCGCATATTTCACGAACATGGACATCGAATCTGGCAGCAAAAAGGAGAAGACACCAGAGTTGACGGGTAGCGACACGGATCCCTTTACAGTGGATAAGAGTCTTGAAAAAGGATTGATTTGGAAGCAAGACGTGAGGATCATACCGCCCGCCGCCACCATATCGCTACTTTGCTATCTAGCCCGAACCAATATCGGTATGTTGCCACTGTCTTCCCCATCTGGGATACCTGCCCTAGTCACTGAGGGAGGTAGTTAGCTTATAGAGTGGCAAAATGAAGACTAACATCAATGAGGGAATGCCGAAACGCTCGACTCCAACAAGGGAGGATCAATGCTCCAACAAACGCACATGACTGATCATGAATACAAAGTTGCATTGATGGTTTTCCTGGTTGCTTACGCTGTCTTCGAAGTTCCCTCAAACCACTGCCTTAAAGAGCTAGGGCCGTCGCGCTGGATTGCCTTTCTGATGTTCGGATGGGGGGCTTGTACTGTTGGCCTCGGTGGAGCGCAAAACTATGCCACAGTAACGGCACTTCGATTCCTGAACGGCATGTTCCAAGCCGGCTTGTTCCCTGGACTGGTGTACTATCTCACTTTCTGGTACAAATCGAGGGAGCGTTCCGTGCGCGTGGCAATCATCTTTGCATCATCAATGCTTGCAGGTGCTTTTGGAGGGGTGATTGCTTACCTGGTCGACAATATGGACAATGTTCGAGGCCTGGCGGCATGGCGCTGGCTCTTCATGCTCGAAGGCATACCGTGCTGCCTTGCAGCGTTCGCAGTGTGGTTTGTTCTACCAAGCTACCCAGAATCCGCATCATGGCTGTCGGCTGCTGAGAGCAAGCTCGCGGTCGACCGTCTCAAGGACGATGGCTCAAAGGGAGCGGCGCCTGCGTTGACTTGGGAGATCGCAAAATCCACATTGACTGATTGGCGCCTTTGGATCCACTATTCCCTGAATTTTTGCATGGCGGTCCCCATGAGCTCTCTCTCACTGTTCATACCGGCTATTACCAAAGAGCTGGGATATGAAGGTATACAAGCGCAGCTGATGACAATTCCACCGAACGCTGTTGCATACGTGGTCTGTATCCTCAGTGCTTGGTCGGCGGATCATTTCGATGCTCGTGCTCTCCATACGGCAGTCCTCAGTTTGATTGGGGCATCCAGCTTCTTGGTATCGGCTCTCATACCCGTTGATGCCTACCAAGCACGCTATGCATGCCTCATAATCGGTGCTAGTGGTACTTTTTCTTGCAGTCCGCCTCTTGTGGCCTGGTTGAGCAGTAACGTGCATTCGACAGCGGCCGTTGGAATGGCTATCGCGCTGAATGTAAGCATGGGATCCCCGGGTCAGATATGGGGTTGTTGGATCTACCCGAAGAACGAAGCAGATATGGGCTTCACAATGGGACACTGGATTAATACAGCGGTCCTGTTTATGGCTGCTGCAGGATGCTTTGGATTAAGGGTGTACTATGGGAGGATGAACGCCAGCATGAAACGAAAAGGCGCAGTTGGTGAGGGGACCAGACTGTTTAGTTACTGATCCAATGTGGGAATCCCGCCCAATGAGGTCCAGGAGGAATTTGAATTTGATAGCAAGCATGGTGAATACTTATAAGTAAACATGCGTGTACTACAGAGTAGTGTACATATGTATGGACGGGTTGGACTTTCAACTGCGGTGAGCTTCTTAAATAGGCAAGGCGTAACGCGAAAACTTCGGTAGATTATCTCTTCAAGACCTCTCAGATCTGCCGGCTACCATCTACACACAATCTTCTTCATTCATTGCTCGCAGGCCGCGTCTCCCTTGTTGTCGTATGAGCGCATCCAGGAACGCGCGGAACTGTTGAGCATGCTTCCCAAATGAGGTATGTATATCTGTCACCCCTTTGTCTGCCACCGATTGAACCGCAACTCATCATTTCTCACAGTTTCATCCAACGCGCCACCAGCGCGGCCCCGCCAGGCTACGAGACGCCAGAATTTCCCTCCTTATACTGGCCTCTTCCGATAAAGGGCGCAGATACTTATTATCTCTATAAGCCAGGTGACATATGGCGGTTCACTATGTTATGGACGCTAGTGTTTTTCATCGCCATACACCTTGCAGCCGCTGCTTGGGCTTGTATCATACAATGGCGAAACTGGAGGTTGATTTGGATTGCTCCGATTGTTTTTGTAGTGGTCGGCGGAGCGCAGGGGTTCATCGCGGGTAGCGTGGTTGGCGGACTGTAAGTATTGCCAACCTAACCCATAGTTGGCCTCTACGAGTCCTTCGTGGTGTGGATACTGATATATCTGCACAGACTTGGCGGTGTTTATCAAGCCGGATACTTCAAGATGTCGACATGGATACCCTTCGTGTGGGCATTGGTGAACGCCTTGGTGCTCATTCTCTCATCGTTCGCCATACATGGTGGGTTGTAAAACTAGGAACGCACTTAGTAGCCGGATGTACAGTCGCTACGCCCAGAATCATACGTACGATGGTATGATAAAGCATGTAGGATCTCGCCAATTACTTCTCCCAGTGAATTGCTGAATACACATGGTCTAATTTCGGTGTCGGTCGCGCATCGTATACATGTGAAATTCTCACGGAGCTCTCAAAGGGATTGTCCGAACTTTCGAGTTATGAGGACAGTTCAAAGTAGCCTCCAAAACCAAATTCAGTCGATGGCAATTCTTCACTATTGGACTCTCTTATGAAGCTTTAGTACACGCAATCGTCTACATACATTCTAATACAATTTTCATGGCTTATATCTAACCACCCTCATGTGCAAACATCATACTGCTTTTCTCACTGCCCGTCGACCACTGTGTTCTTTTCATTCTGTATATGTACCTGGATAGGCAGCTGTCCCCTAAGTTGTTGGGTTACTATCCCCCATGTGTCCTTAGTTGATGACGCAATGATTGCCATCATGGCTGCGACTTCGATACTAATTGACCTTGCATATACCCTCGAGATTATTCTGTCTGCTGTATAACCTGATCTTTGAAGCTACGGTTTTGAATCAAGATGTCCGACACAACAACTGCGCTCGTGTAAAGAATTGGGAGAGCGGAAGGACTTTGTATAAAGAGAAAATCCTGAAACCGAACATTGAAGCTCATCAATTGCTTGTGAAAGTGTCACACGTTGCCCAGAACCGCACTGACGTCCAGTCGTACGATTGCAATGCCTTTGGGGAAGGGTCGGTTTTTGGCTGCGATTTCGCCGGAGAAGTCGAATCTGTTGGCGCTTTTAGGAAGGGTTTAGATGCTGTTGAGGATGGATATCAAGAATATCGTTATGGAAAGATCTCTGCTTTTAAGATTGTGTACGAGCTTTAGGACACCTGATTACAACATGAACACAGTGTGAATTTAAGACAAGGAAGAAACCTTCATTTCATGAAGTGTGTAGTCAAAGACAAATAACTGGGCTTGTTGACGACTTTTTGCCTTTTTACACCCGATAACCTCAACATAAAATTTGGAATGCCCAACACTTAATCATCGAGAACCAACCCGGCCTTTTTCGGTCATGACGATCCACAGGACTTATATGCAATGGCCCGAATTTAACCGCTCCTCGCCGACCGAATTGACTGTGAAATATGCCCAATACTGAACTTTCATGAAACTGCAAAAAGAAGACGTGTACACATACACTGCACATACGTGAATCATTGGACACTTCAATTTCATGCGAACAGCATAAATCGGCCCTTGTAGTCCTCTCGTCCACCAATCAGCGTACATCGCTGTGATCAATTTCGCCACTATAAACAGAGCTTATGCTTCTGGCTTTCTCAAATTTCATCAACTGCCTTGATAGCAATGACCTGGGAAATTAAGGTCATGAAAGGTGCATGCTCGGGTCAGCGATACATCGTGCAAATGGGTGATGTACTGCCGTCTGGGTGAAGTTGGCCAGTTTGGACAATGTGCGCGCGTACAATCCAACAGCTCTAAATTCACCAAGGAGATGAAATATTCGTCTCAATTAGTAAATGGTCTAAATGCCAACTTGGAAAGTATGTAGTCACTCTGCAGCACTTCTAACGCGCCCAACGCCACCACGCCCGGCATACTTTCCAACTTTCTCACCCACGTGCTCTACTCCCGCATGGGTGATAGTATCCGTACCTTCCTATAAAGAGCAATATAAAGGATTGGCTATCAGTCTCGGGCACTATATCATGTACCAGTGTTCTAGCGCTCTTCCTTGCGCAGCTAATTTGTCAACTAATCGCGATCTTCAAGACCGCTGTGCCACACCAACACCAGCTAACTAACGCTTGTGAGCCCAAGAGAACTGAAGGTTTGGGATGTAAAATCGGGGGATTCTATTGGCGGGAAGATGAGTGCACATGTTTTTTATCTTCTCCGAATAAATTGTGACTTTGCCCTCGCGCTGCTCGAGCAGTTCACTTTAAGTCGAATTGAGTCCGAACATACATGACTTCTTTCCAAAAATAACGAAGATGCGGTGGTTGTTCATTCTGATCACACCTGGGGTGTTTGCAGCCCCCTTTCCGAGCGAAGGATTAGATGGTCCCCACACCGTCAACATGAGTCCCCAGACTGGAGCATTTTTCGTAACGGAAGCGACTGAGAGCCGTACGGTGTTTGCCATGGTGACATTCTTTTGTGCAATAGTATTATCAGGGCTATGCGGTACGTAATCCACTTCTTAGGATGCGTTGCTTTGTAAAGCTTCACTTGCCACGACTGAGTACACTGAGCTGACTTGCCTGCCGTAGGATCCTACGCAGAGACGCTGAAGTACAACATCTTCCGCAAAACCGACATCTCCTCCACGCTGCTTGCCTTCCTCTACTTCTTGGCTATCGTATGCGCCATCTCCATTACATTGGTCGAATCAGGATTGGGTGCGAAAACTCGCGAATTGTGCCACGCTGCTGCCGTCATCTGTATTGTATTTGGTACAGGAAGCAAAGTAACCATGTAAGTCAGAAGATATAATACTCTTCCGTGGACAGAAACGTTACTTAGTCAAAAGAAATATTCAGAATATCATAGCTAATGTTATTCTCAGGTATATATTTCTCTTGGAGCGCATTCGTGTCGTACGAACCCCATTTGTACCCCGCCAAAAAGACGGTTTATGGATCGCGTTAATGATCATTATCTGTGGCGGCTTCGGTGGAATCTCCATACTCGCATACACCACACCAGCTATCGAACTTTCCTATCTTGATGCCCGCTGCCGAATCGGTCTTTCCCCACGAACTTCCCTACCCTTTATGGGTTTCTTTGTGGCGGTCAATATCATACTTACAAGCGTGTTACTGTGGTTGATGAAACCAATGATGACGCCGCATAAGTTGCTTTCGCTCCGCGGAATTTTTGGGAAAAGCACGGGGGCGAAACTGAACAATTGGCTCGGTGGGCTGAAGGGTATAGGAAGAGGGAATGCTGCGAGATACTCGGGTATTCAGAAGAAGACATTGAGCAAGAACGTCAGAATTCTACTTCTAAAGTGTTTCATGGGGAGCTTGTTGGTTATGCTCATCACCATAGCTAACATGATCCACATCTACGTTATGAAAGGAAGACAGCTAGACTGGTTGTGTTTAACCGTTTGCATGGTTGATAGTGTGTACACCCCTTTGCCCCAATTTTATTATGAAAATACTGACGGTTCGGGTAGTTAGTTTGTGTGTTGTTATTCTCCACTGGGTGAAAATGAGTTCGGCAAAAGCTGAGAACAACCTCACCGATGTAATGGCACAATTGATGCCCTGCGAGAGAATGGTGCCCAATCTAATCCTCCCTTCCCCGAGTCCAGGCGGTTCAGTATTCGATATGGGGCGGCCGGCACTGCTTATGGATCCCGGGTCATTGTTGACTGTCGACAAAGCAGTTACTCGGGTCAAACGAGTGCCTTAATACCAGAGAAAACACGTAGGATTATTAAGCAAATGCACTGTATAAATAAAAGTACAGAAATGATCAGCAATCAACAGAGTGATAACTAAAAGACAGGGTGGCACTTCTCGCCACGAGCCTCGACCTGTGAAATCCATCATTGGTATATGTCGTTATAGAAAAGTTTAGCCGGAAAATCGTGAAGTACATATGAAATCATCCCAAAGTGAAAGACCAACCCCATTCCTTAAGCACTTCTTCCCAATCTCGTTTGTCCTGCCCATTCAAAGCAGGCCGCCACACTTCTTCAAGTACCTTTTGCACCATTCCAACATTCTCGTAACGATTTCTAGCCTGTATCTCCTTCAGTCGCTTGAAACACTGCGAAATCTCTGGTTCATTGCTCAATTCTGCTCCAGCCATGAATATGGGATACAGCATACTAGACTCTGCTGCACTACCCGATGGAATACGTGAGACGAACTGCATAGCACGAGAAGCGCAGGCTGGTATAAGATGCTTGTGCGCCGTGGAAGTGCGATACAACTGAATAAGCGCAGCATTTCGATAGGTTTCCGCGAGTGCAATGAGGTCAAGGGCGACGGGTAAATCCAGCCCAGGAATGTCCATAGGGCTTCCATACGTCCATTGTAGAATTTCCTGCTCGAGAATTGCGAAAGCGGCCTCTGTAATATGAGGAAATGCTGGATTTGTCGATGTAACAAACTGAATACGTGTTATGAGTCGACAGATATAATATGCAATTCCCATTAGTGGATCGACTGTGAGGGTCTCGGCGTTCACGGCCTCGTCCATGATGCTGTTCACCACGAAAACTTCCGATCGTCTGTTCGAAACACGCGCCATTAACGAAGCCATGGCGTTATGATATGTGAAATGCCGGCGGAGTGAGCCAATCTCCCAGGATTCATAACCGTTGCTTTGAGCAGACAGCATATTCAGAATGTCGCGCACACATTTCATCTGTGACAGCCACCTGGTGCTTTTTTCTCCATTGAGAGCTTCAAGTCCAACGAGGAGAAGCACTATGCCAATCACCTGAAAAGCATCCCGGGGAGGGCCACTGCTTTGCGGTACACGGTCCGCAAGAAACGCATAGCACCTCCGTTGATACTTGCTCGAAACAGCTCTTAGGTGTTCCGCTCTATCCTCAAAAGCTGTTCGTCTTGCCAGTTGCGCCGAAGAAAGAGCAATGATAGCATTGAGCACTCCATCACATTCGAAAGCCCATGGAATGTACAAGCCGGTATAGAAACTATGCGGGGTGTCCGCCACGGAAACACTTGGTATGAAGGCTTCGACATAGTACCGGAGAAGATGTTTCTTTTCTGCAACTTCATTGACTGGAAGTGAATCCCAGGGATCCAATGACGGTACTGGAGATGAGACGGTTAATTCTTGCAGTGTAGGTAACGTGATGGCTTGCTTGTCTTCAACCTCAATCTCAGTCTCGGGTTCGGGTTCAGTTGCGGTTACTGTTGTGGACGTTGATACAATCTTGCGCTGGGCTTCCCACTCGCATGACATGTTGAGTCTTGTGCAGCTCTGGCAGATTGGTCGCTTCCCATCGCATCTTTTCCTCCTCGCGCGGCATGTCAGACAGCCTTGTCTGGAGCGTGGGGCAAATTTGCGCTGGCGAGGTCGCTCGGGGTCACCCATATTGGCTGGTGGCTGTGCGCTTTGACCGTATGTGTAAGATACATGCCCCAAACAACTCTGCCTTGTCTAGGCGTAGTGAGTTGTCAAGTCATAGTTGAGGAATGCTTGTTGTTCTTGATTGAGGGATCTCTGAGCGATGATCTGCCACGCGAGATAGCGAAAGCCGATTAGTCCGATGGTGGTTAGCGTGGAACGCTGATCTGTACGCGTGTGATGTACATCCCAGTATAATCATGTGACTGTGCAGCCTACACCGCCTCATACCTTTTCTCCTCAACTTTTGTGGCTCATTAAACGGATTGGGATTTATATATCCTATTCGTTCAATTGAGATTGGATGTGGAAGCCCGAATATGATGCAAGACTGACGCAATGGATCCTCACGTAGAGAGTAACACAGTTGTTTCTATTCATAGAGCGTCCTCAAGCTCAAGTGCTTCCTCAAAACCCTACATAAGCAGTCACAGGAAGAGTAGCAATGCAACTAATTCTTTGCTGATGAGTATTGCCCTGCTATCATTGTGTCTACAATGATACGTGGGTCGTAACCCAAAGCGTACATTCTCTTTCTCCCACGAGCACGGAGAAGACAGCATTAGGTGATGTGTTGAATATCTGCTGAGCCAGGTGTTAGTAATGACGAGCGAATTCAAAGGAAAGGGACAATAGCAGATTTATGGGATCGCCGATAGACGTTCAATGGCGTTATTTCTGGCGGGATGGGATGGAGGTATGAGTACTAAAGTGCAGTAAAGTGATGGCTAGAACCCTTGCGCAAACTCATGTGCAATAAGTATTGCTGTCGTTCTTGGTAGAGTTCCCCTCGAAAATTCATCTCTGTACGGACAAACATATGTACCTAATGGGTTCATACACAGGTAAGCTGTTCCACACACGTCGCTGTACTAACACCCTCCAAGCACTTTTCCATGGTACGTTCAACATTTATAGATGACAATATATTAGAAAAAGATTCTCTTGATCACTCGTGTTGTCTGTTATGTCAACTCTATACATCTTTTTTACGAGGTTTACAAAGCAGGCTGTAGGGGCATGAACACCAATCGATCACATCTTGATGGCTCCTCGCCCATGCCGTTTGTTGTCCACGGGCTCAAAAGCGCTGTGCGCTATATTCTTATTTCCTCTAAGAAAGCTCTGCCAATCATGATTCTTGATGGCCGTGTATTCACTGAGTGAAAGAAGTAGACGCTATATGCTGCTACCCTATTGAGCAGCGTGTGTTGCACAGCAAGTCCTATGACTCCAAACGAGCGAGACAAACACTGCGTATACCTCCGTTAGCCGATTGATTGTTTGCAATGATGCCTAATCGCGATAAGAGCCCTTATCTCGCGCTCATTCTACTATGTAAACACCGCCATGCAAGATATCTCCCACCTGCCCCACTCTAGGACGCGGAGAGCAGCTTAACCGCCCGACGAATCTAGACAGAATAGTTGACAGAAAGATGTTTATCACAAAGGTTCTGATCATAATCTTCGGATTAGTCGTGTCAGCTGTCTGTCTCCTTCAAGATGCTGCTGCCGGCTTGGACGTCCACATCCACCATAACAAGGTGCAATCGCCTGGAAAGCTTCAAGCTAGAGGACTATGGTTTTCAGATGAAGATTGGGCCAAGCTCGTCAACAAAGGCTGCAACTACCTGGAAGCAATGCGTTCGACGGATGCCGAAGCGGCTGCTTTCATTCCGGGTGCATTAGGTTCTGCAAGGAGCCCGTGGACGAATCACGGTGAGTAATGTTAGAACACAAAAGCTTAGCAAGACGAAACTGATGATTTCAGGTGATCTCGTCGCATGGGGTTATGAAGAAGAAGAGGATGCTCACGAATACTTTGATGACTATCCTTTTAACCTCGAAGAAACCTTTACAGATCTGCACCTCGACATGAGATTGATCCATCAGGGCGGCCCAAGCGTGGCTGTCGGATGGGAACATGAGAACGCGATACAGAATAATGGAAGAGCGTATCCAGTGGGTTATTGCTTCTTCCAACATCTTCGATTTACCTTACTGATATCATCGACAGGCCACCCACGCACACTTCCGCACGGTCTATAATTTGAGAGACGGGGCAATTATTGCTCAGAGCAAATACGGCGCAGTACATGCAGCCAAAGTGGCCGGTATTCCGTTGGATCTAGTACCTAATCTTAAGTCTTGGGCGGATATTGTTTTCCTGGACTTGCAAGAGCTGGTGAAGAGCACACCAAATGCCAACTTACGCAATGTTCGTCACATCATCTCCAACTACGTCGTCAACCAGGACAGCAACAAGATCATTGAGCAAGCGGCAGGCTTAGAGAAGAATGTGTTCAAGGGAGACCGTTGCCCATTCGACTATGCCAACAGGAAGAGATATCGATGGGATGCTCAGTGGGACGACAGCCATAGGTCTTCAGAGGGTGAGGCTTACCGAGCGATACTAGCAGCACCCAACTCGGTAGGCGTGGCCTGGCTCTTGATTCGGCATAAAAGAGAGTTCGGGGAGCGGAGGATTGTGGAGGAGATATCTGTCTTTTGTCAAGAGCAAGACAGGGAGGATGGTGAACTTGAAGTCAACATCATGTTCACTCTTGGTGATGCCCCGGGATGAATGTCAAAGAAGGCATCACATCACTGTCATTTGGACTTACAAAATGAGACGGCGGCTTTGGTTTTCCTCCCGATGCCAATGAATGATGACCGCAACGTAATGCGAGTTCATCTACAGCCATGAACCTTTCATTTCTCGGGCGTTGCTGGAATGGTTTTCTCGAGTAATGTAATGCATAAGATTATAACTAGAAAGCTGCTAGAAGCTACACACCAAGATACTCAGATGAATTACCCGACTGTTTAGAATAGATTGAGGGGCTTTTCTTCATATCTTATGAGTCTAGCAAAGGAATATGTGCAGTATTGTACTTGAAACATTGTGAAGGTTTCGGTCCGTCATTGAGTGGAATGATATCCTGTCGTCTAGTCTCCTTACATCAGTCTTGAATTGCGAACCAGTGTTTGTCACACGCACACACATGAATGTCCTTATACTATACTCGTAGCTCATTTGGTGCATAATCCATGCTGTACCATCACACCCAGGTATACGTATCACTACAACTCTGCTTTTACCGACCGCCCACGTGGATTTATGATTAAAGCAGGAAACATACAATAATTTGACTTCGAACATACTGAAAATAGGAAACCAAAACTGTCAATCATAATCGCGACGCAAATATCACCTGGGCCAGGTTCTCAGATAGGCAGATAACCTTCGCTTTCAAGAAATTCACTTAGGAGCTTGATAGCCGTCTTCAAGGTTTCTGGAGAACATGATAGTCGCATCCTTACCCAACCATACTCTCTTTCGACACCATTGAAGAGTTGTCCAGGGCTCACCTAGATTTGATTGTCAAGTCAGTACAATTGAGATGAACGTGCTAGTACGAGAGACTCTTGGAATACAAAGATGCACATCGTCCTATTCTCTTTATATGCTGATAATGACTTACCCGCACACCGTACGCGGCCAACCGACGACAAAAATAAATTTCTTCCTGCACAGAGCGAGCGTTTTTTGCCAACTTCGCGAAAACGACAATGCCATGGGATGCGGGGATATGAGGAATACCCCAACGGTTGAAGAAGTTAGTAAGCTGAGAATAGCAGATGGACAACCGCTCGGAATTGAGATCCATGAGTGTGGGCAATTTGGACCAGTTCAGCAGTGAAGAAACATAGAGCGCCGCGACACCATTCACATGACCCCACGTCAGAGTGCTGACAGCATTGATCAAGTCGGGGTTATGCTGTGATATCAAACAACCCTAAAACAGTCAGAACTATGACCTAGCATCGGGGCGGTTTACATACAACTCTAAATCCACTGCAACCGAACAATTTGCTAGCGGTCCAGATCACATGAACACGACTGGGATCAATCTTTACAGCACCTCGAGGGGACAGGGGATCGGTCAGAGATAAGGCAGAAACGAATGGCGCAGGGCTTTTTTGGGGCGTTCGAAACGAGCAGAGCGCAAGTGTCTCGTCAGATATGAAATGCAGATTCCGTTCCTGACAAAACTCCATACATTCCACTATCGCGGTTCTGTCATAGCAAGAAGACGTCGGATTCTGGGGGTTGCACAGCAAGACCGCCCTGATGCGTGATTTATCCGCAGAAAAGTCGTACGTAGTTTGCAGTGATGCCAGCAGATAATTATCGTGATTGGTGTAGGTGGGTGGGTGTGCCACAACAATCTTGACTGATCTAGACTCGAGCAATATATTGTAACCATCTAGCCGTCGATTAATATATGGCTTCTGCAATGACGTGATCACTTACTCCAGTAGGGTCCAGGAATTAGTACAGAATCACCAGGATCGCAGATGGCATGGATTACGTTTTCGATTGCATCTGAAGCTCCAGCCGTGAGAGCAACTTGTTTCGATGTTACATCATGAATAGGGTTGAAGTAGCTGTTCAAAAATGAAGTCACAGCTTTTCGCAATGTTTCATCGCCACCACGGTCTGAAGGGTGGGTAAAGACCTTTGATCAGTCAGCAAAATGACCACATTGGTATCTGATAGATTGGGCTTCATTGCCTGTTCGGTAAGGCTGTTCTCAACAACAGTCTTGAAAAACTCGAGTAACTCTACGCGGAGTACTTCGTTCTGGGCAGTCGAGAGATCAATGACGGTACTTGATTCGTTGTGTTGGGGCAGAGAAGTGATGGGCCCTGGAATAGGAGAAGCGTCCATAGCCCAAGTCATGCGGGCAGAGAGTCCAGGACCCATGGCAACAGGTGTTCGGCCACGAGAAGTGTCCATAGCGGGGCTTGTGTGAGAGAACTGTTGGGTCAGCGGAAGAGCGACCACCCAACTCTGTAGCGCATACGCTGTTCATCGACCAACAGTTATTCACCCTCTCCTTTTGATTTATCGCATAGCCGAGCACAAGAAACCGTAGGATGTTGTTTAGGGGTTTTGGGTAGGTTGAAGGCAGCTCGGATGGTAATAGTGTATGGCATCATTCTTACGAACCCCACTCTTATTAACCGCGTCTGCAAGGCTGCAAACGACAGTGCACGGGTACCTGGTGCCTGCCTAAGTGCGTCTATTGTACATGTCCGAACAGGAAGGATAATGGACGTTGGGGGCAGAAGCCCGAACCGCCGAGTACTACCGGAATTCAAGGCATCGCTGACATGCATACCTCAATGGTCAGCTGTCGCCAACGAGAGCGTCCAATTCTGCTGACCGCTCATGCATCTGCAGTTGCTATCACACATCAAAGCAGCTAGAACCGCGGCGTTCCCGCAATGAAGATGTTGCGATTGGCTTATTTTAGTACCAACGCGTATCCTGCTAATTGGATATAGCATGGATGGCATAATGCGGCGTAGGAGGTACCAGTACCGAACTGCTGGAACTACGGGATTGTTGAACTGCTACTCAAGCACTTGAGCGCATAGCTATGTAGCCGAGGCATGCATGTGATAGCGTTGGTGGAATGAGATGATCAATATAGGTATTCCTGCGAATGTGGCCAGATGCGGGCATCTGTAACGTGAGTATGAACGGGGTAGGCGTGAATTGCATGTCCGCCAATAGTACAAACCGTCACGAACCCTTGATACAGGGGTAAATGTGTAATCCGCGTGTCCGCGTGTCCAGCAATTGCCTGGTACACTGCATAGCTGTAGTTGTTGGTTCTGTGGGGCGATTGAGATGGTTCGGCTACTTCGAGTTCATCCGCCCCACAAGGATGCCCCTGAGCCACTAGTCTACCAATGGATCGTTCCCTCCGAAGCAGATGGATGCAGCTCTCATTCTTACTGAGGCTGGTATTACTATTGCATAATTGCTATATAAATCTAAAAACTCATAAAACTTCCATCAATCGAGCCTACAGCTCACATTGTAGCCCGCTTGGCTAAGTGGTATAGCGTCTCACTAGTATCACTTGAGTTTCCCAAGCCTATGAGAAGATCATCAGTTCGATTCTGATAGTGGGCATCTCTTTTTGCTTTCCCTGAAGAAGAACCAACATATACTACCTCTAGGTAGATGTCGCGCTGGCTGGCTTGCTGCATATATATATGTTTCTTTTATTTTATTTTTTTCGTCTGGTACGCTGTGCGCTGGAAGACCAACGAGAAACCTGGAAATCGCAATCCAGTGTGCGCTCAGCACCGGGTCAATACAACCTCTTGAATGGCATATATAATTCTTGCTGGATAGTTCGCGCTGTAGGGAAGCAAGTAGCATATCGATGGTAAGAAGGGTGGGCTCATGAATTCAAACTCGGCTGCTTTGTATGGAGTCTCGTATACTTTTAGTCGCTCAAAATATTTGCCCATATATTCTGTTCCCGCATTTTTGACTGGTGGGAGATCATCGAAATCAACTAATGCTACCTAGGTATGTATGTCTGTGAGAAAGCACTCACCGCCAGCAACTACCATCATGACTCTGCCAATTGGAACATTGAATTGATTGAATGCACGGCAAGTTTGAAGAATCAGTTCATCAATCCATCACATTCATAGAAGGAACCTTAGCCTTTCTTGCATTGTATAACATAGCCTGGAACTTAGTCCAGAAATTCCGAGCATTCAAATGTCGACATTTGGATGTTTGGTGTACCTGGTCACGTGCTACCTAATCTCCAGGGTTGAGTGCGAATGTTTGACCTGTCTCTGACATCATACCCACTCAACCCTATGTTGCTCTCCCTTTGAGGACATCGGACGAATCTGCGCAAACGCTTTGATAACCTCTGCAACTATGGCCTCTCGATTATTTGCTTACCGTTACTCTTCCTTGGCTACGCGGAAGGTTTTGTTAAATCGAAGTACCAGGATCGTCCCAACAAGACCATCGGGATTCGCGACGCCGCAAAAATGGTACAGCAAAATCATTAAGAAGCCGCCAGTTGCAGGTCAAAATTCGCAAAATGCAGAGCCACACTCGCTTTCTGCGCGACTAAAAAAATTGACGCGCGAATATGGCTACACAGTTATGGGGGTATATCTTGCACTTTCGGTCATCGACTTTCCATTGTGCTTCCTCGCCGTGAAGCTGCTAGGCGAAAAGAGGGTGGCACACGCGGAGCACGTAGTTTTTAATGGTGCCAGGAACGCTTTTTATAAGCTGTTCCCGAATGCACCTGGAAAAGAAGAGGATGAGAAAGCTATCGTTAGCGACTATGCGCCCGATCAAGGTACCGATGCTGTGTCGGAAGTTGACGCCAGTGAGTTCAAACCGAATCCTTCGCAATCGACTGTCTGACAACTTCCGCAGCTATTTGGACCCAACTCGCCCTAGCATTCGTCATTCACAAGTCCTTCATATTTATTCGGGTGCCTTTAACGGCAGCGGTGACTCCAAAGGTTGTCAAAACACTGCGCAGCTGGGGATATGACATCGGAAGGAAAAAGAAACAAATGTCCCGACCCAATTCAACATAAAACATTATGATCACAAAACTAAATGATTGCGCTGTAATTCTTAGATGTACCAGCTACCGATATGTTAGCTGCATAATCGAAGGCCTTAGAAGATGCGACTGTGTAAATATATGTGAAAGCGAGGTTGCAAGCAAAACAGGATTACATTGAGGTGTGCGTAGACAGCGAAATCTACATATGTACCCAAAGAACTGGCAGTAGTAGATCTCACAATATCGGTCCATGTTCACAGGCTGATTTATCTATCTTCATACAACAGGCGATGATATCAAGAAGTCACCATCTGTGGCACGAACCAAAATTGAAGTAGTTGAATAGAAACAAATGTCTGACTAGGTTGAGATCAAAGAAAAGACAGAAATCCCAATACCTAGTCAACGAGAATTCGACGTGCCGTTCCTGGATTTGTGGATAGCGATCAAGATACTTGTAAATTTTTGTCGATTGTGAGATGCGCAATTGTTTGAACGGTTGGAAGTAAGGAGTTCTCTTGCGATGGACGCTAGAGGGAGCGGCTTGTGGACTCTTCATTTGTGTACCCTAACATCTTGCCACCTAGTATCAAGCTGTTGACCACGTATAAGGTGTCGGCCTACATTTTCTACCTTACCTAGGAGCTTATTACTATGCATGTAGGGTATAAATTTTATAGACGTGTTTATCCAATACTGTAAATGGAGTGTTGTTGAAAAGTGGACAATCATCATCATGACACCATGACATTGTCTTGGCTGTCACTCCGAGTACGATATCGTGCAAAGGGTATTTAGGCTTGTGCATTCTGTACAGACTTCACTGAAATTTGAGTACCGTTTTCGAGTTATTCAAAAATCAATTCTGAATAATCTTTGACTTTTGAATTTAGTGCGCAATACATCGAAGTTACAGACCTCGGAACAGCAAAATAACATGAATATGTTGACCGGCAACACATTCAATCCAGACCAAGATATTCCTGACCTCAGTGGAAAGGTATGCGACGAGTAAGGCATACAGTGCAAGCTTCATCTAACATTGTTAGGTCTATGTTGTCACTGGTGGCTCCGCGGGGATAGGTTTTGGCATCGTAGCGCACTTGCTTCAGCACAACGCCGCGCGAATATACCTTCTTTCCAATAAAGAGCACCACGCATCTGAAGCGCAAGAAGAACTCAGAAATTGGGGCGACACAGCCAAAGTAGAATGGCGGCAATGTAACCTGGAATCCTTCAAGCAAACTGATGCGGTGGCGAAGGCTCTCGCGAAAGAGCTCACCCAGCTTGACGCACTTGTATGCAATGCCGGGCTCGGTGTCGGCGTCTACAACGAGACGCAAGATGGATTGGATAGCCATATGCAGGTCAACCACTTTGCGCAAGCACATCTGACGTTGACGCTGCTGCCGGTATTGCAGAAAACCAAGGACTCGCGGGTTGTGCTGCAATCGTCCGATTTGCATCGAGCTGCCCCTTCGTCTGTGGCATTCGCATCGGTGGAAGAAATGAATCAGGATATCGGTGCGATGTTGCTGTACAACCGTACTAAGCTTGCTCAGGTACTGTTTGTTCGCGAGCTCGTTAAACGTATCAAAGCGCAGCAATTCGGAAGTGTGACGCCGGAGCACGGTGAGCCTTGGATCAATGCGACACATCCAGTACGTATCAAACTGATGATGAGCGATATTGCTGGTTCAATGGTCAATATTTCGGATGCTCGACTAACATGGCGTTCAGGGTGGCGTGACGACGGACCAGCAAGAGCAGGCTGTCGAAGCCTATGGCACACTCGGAAAGGTGGGCGTTGCTGCTGTCCGCCCGCTCATGAAAGATCCCGTCGCAAAAGGATGTCGTCCAGCTCTATTTGCGGCAACGAGCGAGGATATCGTCAAAGAAAAGTTGCAAGGGCAGTACATAGTCCCTGATAGGAAGGTGACAGACCCGTCTTCCCAAGCCAAGGACGAGAAGCTGGCTCTGGCGTTGTGGAGCCTGACCAAGAAGGTCCTGGAGGAGAAAGTTGGGTCTTTGGGTTATACCATGTAAATGTTTTGGAATCAAGGTAGGGAAACTGGAGCACAAACTACTGTACGCACATTGTTATTTTCCTCGTAGTTCGCTCATAGTCAGCATCCTGGCAACATCATGGAGGGGTTGAGGCAACTGGGCGCTGAGCGGTCGTTTTCTCTTTCGCGGAGAGTGCCATATCACAGATGGCAACATATAGCAAACATCTGCTAGCCATATCCCTTCTGGCTTCTTTTATAGGGCGGAACAAAAATCAACATGCGTAGGGCGCGAGTATAGGGCGCGTGCAATTTGAACCTAGTGTATGTAATACGCGGGGTAGACCCCACTACCCTATCCAAGGAAGATTTGGGGACGATCAAATGATTGATGATAGTATAAGTATTCAAGTGGCGTTGATATACTGAGCCTCAATTCAAGAGCACGTCTCGACAACCAGTTGTATCCCGAATCAATTCTTTTTGTTCCTTCAGCATGGCAAAACTGACCTCGTTCAAATTGTTATCCTTCGATGTCTATGGGACACTCATCGACTACGAACGGGGCGCGCTCAAAGCTCTCGAGCCGATCTTCCAGAAATCCGGAAACCCCGACTTGGATCTCAAACAGGTCATGCAGCGGTTTTCCAAACTTCAAGCTGCTGGACAGGCTGAAAAGCCTAAACAACTGTACCGCGACCTCTTGACATCAGTGCACCCGATTCTATGCAAAGAGTTTGGGCTTGCAGAGCCCACCGAAGAAGAGAGCAAGACCTTCGGCGCAAGCATTCCATCGTGGGCCGCATGGCCAGACACGGTGGATGCGTTGAGAAGATTGCAGAAAGTGTACAAGATGGTGGTCTTGTCGAACGTGGACAATGATTCGTTCCAGAAGAACAATGCAGCCTCGATGGAAGGCTTCGAGTGGGATGCGGTCCTAACGGCTGAAGACATTGGATCCTACAAGCCGAATCACAACAATTTCCACCATATGCTGAGAGAAGCCAAGAGTAGATTTGGGGTGGAGAAAGATGAGGTCCTGCAGACAGCACAGAGCCAATTTCATGACCACCACCCAGCCAAGGAACTGGGAATCAAGAGTTCGTGGATCTGGCGGCCGGGTTCGGTAGCGGGGAACAGGTAAGGGCATTGCGACATTACTGTCCACGATGGAATCATTTCTAACACAGCTAGGGACGACCCGGTATACGATTACAAGTTCGAAACGCTTGCGGACATGGCCGATGCGGTGGAAAGAGAGCTAGCGGACGAAAGATGACTCCACTGCTCCGACGTGGAAAGGAGGAAACCGATCAAGCCCACGTGTGTGTAGTGAATGGATGCGATATGTGTATTTTGCCTGAAATCTAGAGCGCGTGGCTATCGATAGGTGAGATCGCTAAGTGCTCGGCAGCCGGTATCCGAGTCCTTCCCAGGTGCCAGGAACGTAGATAGAATGCAAGACATCGTACCTGACTGTATTAGTGACCATGATGCATGTCCGTGTTGATTTTGAACAATGGCCCAGACGCTCGACAGAGTCCATGTCCGGAGAAACTGGCGGCGAAGCAGTGCAGCGACCGGTCTGGAACATGGCAGGCTGAGAGCGCATTTATGCCGCCTTACCGATTCGGGAAAGGCGGCTTCTAGCCATAGGTGAATCGTGAGCGTGACGAAGTTGCCGTCTCAATCACGACAAAATGTCTCCACCCCCCGAGGATTTTCCTCGCCGCCGCTCATCGAATAACTATCAAACATTTTCCCAAGGTGCCCATGAAAGTGGCCCGTCCACGATGACGGGACAGAACGCGCAGCATGGTTACAGCTCCAGTGTGAGTTCCTCTGCGTCATCGTTATCGGGGTCACCGGGAGGATCACCGCAGCCTCTACTACCTACCAAAGATTTCCCCTTCCCCATAGTTCCAGCAAAGCCTACAGTACCTCGAATATGGACTCGAGTGCAGCATCGCTTGAAACGTCATTGGGTTTGGTGCTTGGCCGCACTTGCCTTCCTCGCCGCACTTTCGGCCATGATATTTGGTTTCATCGGCCCCGGCAGAGGAATAGACCCTACTTTGGAGGATCCGGATGAACCATTATTAGTGAATCTGCCCGGTTATGGAACGTTCAGAGGTGTTCAGGTTGTTAAAAGTGCGCAAGCGAAGATTGCCTTCCAGGACTCCGTGGAAGCATGGCTAGCAGTCGAATATTCTACGCAACCGGCCAACGACACTCGATTTACACCACCGGACTGGCCTAAAGAATTTACTGGCATCAAAGACGCATCCAAATACGGAAAGACTTGTATTCAGGACAGCTGGTTCTCTCCTTCCCAGCATGCCGAAGAGTGCTTGACGTTCAACTTATATCGACCCGCCGGTGTAACCGCAGAGTCCAAACTTCCAGTTTTTGTCTTCTTGCATGGCGGCGCCTTCGTTCTCGGTAGCGGAAGAAGTTTTGACGGCGCAGCCTTCGTTTCCAAAAGCAATCAACCGCTTATCGTTGTTACAGCTCAGTATCGCCTGGGCGCATTAGGAAGTCTTCCGAGCAAATTGTTTGCGGACGAGGGCCTCTTGAATCTTGGATTAAGAGACCAGAGGATGCTACTGGAATTCATGCAGAAATACGTTGTTCAATTTGGCGGAGATCCGGATCGCATCACGCTGGGCGGACAAAGCGCAGGCGCTCATTCAGTAGGATTGCATCTCTTTCACAACTACGGGAATGACACAGGGAAAAGTCTATTCAGCCAAGCCATTCTTGCTTCGGGTGCACCTACCGCACGATCGTTTCCACCAGCCACGCAGCCTCTCTACGTCCGTTACTACCAGCAATTCATGGACATGCTCAAATGCCCAACGTCCGGCACCAACGCTGAAATTATGGCATGTCTACGTGCTAAGCCTCTTCGCAGTATCCAACAGGCTTCTGGGAAAGTCTACCGAGATTCACAGTACAATATCACTTGGCCCTGGCAACCCGTTTCCGGTGGCCCTCTTCTTGAAATACTAGGGTCTATCTCCGGCAGGAACAACACGTTCTTCAAAATCCCTACGCTCATAACTTCGACCACCGATGAAGGGAAGCTATTCGCCCCCAAAGATCTCAGCACCAATGCCCAATTCATTGATTTCATAAAGAACTTTCAGCCCGGCCTTAACCAAGATGATCTTGCAGACCTTAAAGTACTCTACCCTGATCCTTCGGACGGCAAAGGGCCATACGCCAACTCACCTGTATCTAAGCAATACGAGCGAATCTCCGCTGCCTATGGCGATTATTCATACATCTGCCCTGTACAAGAAACCGCGTATCGACTGGCCAAAGCAAATGCGACGGTTTACAAAGCTCGCTGGAACACACCAAACAACTCGGGCGCAAATATGGGTGTACCGCATGCTGCCGACTCGCCCTACTTCAACGGTCTCTCCAATGTCCAGTTCCCTCCTATCGCGGACTTGTATAGCAGCTACTATGCTAGTTTCATCGTCAGCGGCGACCCCAATAGATACGCGATTGAAAGTGCTGTATCGTGGAAGCCCTATACCGGGGTCGGCAGCGAAGAGCTGGTAGTAGGAAATGAGGAAAGAGGGGGGGTCAAAATGGAACAAGAGGAGGAAGGCATCAGGATGGAGCAGTGTAGTTGGTGGAGGGACGAGGAAAGGATGGTGAGGATGTTCAAATAAGCAACGCCCACGAACAGTCGCATCGTTCTTATCAAGCGTATTTGTCTTTTTGCATAGCGAAGGCGCGGGGTTTCATTGTGTTTGGGTAACATAACCATTTTGTTTACATATCTTTGCGGACCAGGTGCCGCGCACTCAGGATGAGATGTCTGTGTTGATGATAGCATGCAGCGACGATAGACATGATGTAGCGATTTCCTTCTCTATTACTCCGCATCGTCATTGCATTGCATTGCAGTACCAAGCATCCCCGCCAACACCAACGTGTCTTTGCACTACGAGAGAATTGCCGAAACGAGTTCCCCACATTGCAGCTCGCGGGTGGGGACTTCGTATGAGCTTCAACGTCACATCCAGTCGTTGATGGATGTCAAGAGTGAATTTCGTTTACTTGAGTAGCTAATACCAATCTTTTTCTTGGAACACCGATGGCTATTCCGAATGACATATCATGGATATTTAGCTGGATGAGGCTCCCCTTCGATTCATTCGATGGCTCATGGCCAAGGCGCTAAAAGCGGATCTGATAAAATCTTCAGCGGATCTGATACTAGACACAGCCAATCACCACACAGTATACATATGCTCCAATCTCGTCACCTTGAGTTCCGGGGTGGACTGGCCTTGGAAAATTCCCATCGGAGTAACCTAGTAACTATCATGTGGGTCCGATGTCGCATGCGGACGACAGGAGCGGGATCTTTGGAGAGGACTTTAAAAGGTACAAAGTCTTATCAGATCCTCTGTTCATTTTCATCTTCCCATCTTCCACTCCACCCCCCTTCCCTCTCCCCGCTCTTCTTTCTCCTTCTTGCTTACTTATCTTACCCATGGGACCCAGGAACATTACTATTTCCGATCTGAAGTATCCGGTCGCAATTGCTTGTATCTATTACATCATTTCCAAGATGCGTCTCCCCGCTTTGACTGATGCGTTGGCATCGTCGACAACATCGTTGGCGAAGTTGTCACTCGGCAAGACACAGAAACACCGCGTGCTTGTTGTGGGATGTGCTTATGGAGGTGTAACTGCGGTCGTGAATCTTCTCGATCTGGAGAAAGGGCAAGCGAGGCAATCAGTCTACCCTGGAGCGGAGTTTGGTGGAAAGAGATGTCGGCGAGGTATCGACATTACGGTTATTGACCAACGAGATGGCTACTGTAAGTCTTCTCCATTGCTAGCTCTTCTATAAAGAGGGTTCCATGTTTTACTTGTGTTCAGACTACAAATGCTCACATGTGAACAGTTCATTCAGTCGGCGCACCGTTGGCCCATGTAGCTCCGTCTCACACAACAAAGATGTGGAAGCGCTTCTCACGGTTGAATGAACTTCAAAATTCAAACCTTTCTTTCAAACATGGCAGTGTAACTTCCATAAATCCATCATCTAAGATAGCCACGTACCGGGATCGCAGTGGTACAGAGCGCCAGCAAGAGTATGACTACGTCATCGTCGCAACTGGCCTGAAGAGGCATTGGCCTGCAGTCCCCAAGTCTGGTTCTTATGAAGAGTATATGCAAGATGGGAAGAAATTCATCGCGAAGATTGTTGGCGGCGACCCCGAGAAGCCTCAAGTTGGCAGAAGAGTAGTCATCATCGGCGCAGGGGCGGTAGGCATTGAATTTGCCGGCGAGATCAAAAACTACTACCCACACATCAACGTTACGCTCGTGCACTCGCGGTCCCAGGTCCTATCATCTGAGCCGCTCCCCTCAGAAGTGAAAGACCAGGTCGCAACTATACTCGCCGAAGAAGGGGTAGACGTCGTTCTCGGCAACCGCGCTGCCATCACCGAGCTTCCCTCCGGAGAATTCGAAGTCAAGCTAGCAGATGGACGAGTGCTCACCGCAGACTTCGTCATCGATTCAACGAAGAAAGGCGAGCCGACTACAGAAATTATACCTCCGCAGTGTTTGAACAAGGACGGCGAAATAGAGGTCAATGGAGATTTAACATTCAAGGCCGACATTCCAAATCGGGAAGCGCACTTTGGTGTTGGCGATGTAATCGCGTGGACCGGGATTAAACGCGCGGGCTCGGCGATGGTTATGGGACAGGCGGCAGCACAGAATATCTTTGCGTCCATTTTGAACGACGAAGCCGACCCCGCCTCCTCATCATCGTCTGCTGGTGAAGCTGTTTCTGCTTCCCCTCCGTACAAGTTCACAGAGCTGCCTTCCTGGCCCGCTGTTATTGGTATCGCGGTTGGAAAACAGTGCCTGACATACGACAAGACCAACGGAATGAAGTTCGGCGTTGAGGTTATGCAAGGGTATTTTCAAGATGATCTTGGATGGTCGAGTAACCTGAAGTATCTCGGGTTGTCAGATATGGTGGATATGAAAGAGAACGAAAATGTTGACGCCAAGGATGATACATGGGTAGAGATCAGAGAAGTTGGCGTTGAAGATGTCAGTGTCACCGCTTAGGCAACAGTATAATCTGTATGAATGAAAGTGGGAAAAGGAAGTTTCACTTATCAGGATGATCTATTGGGTCAGTCTCTCTACGCCTGTTGAGGCCACTAATCCATTGTCGAGGGCCTATCGTCAATCTGTTTTCTAGTTAGCTATACTGAAAAATGTAAAGTAGCAATCTCTGGTAAATAAGATGAAGTACCTACGACCAACCGGCGATGAAACTTGTTGTAGCGCGTCACAATGCCATATCATATGTTCGAAAGAAACAAAACATAATACTGTATAGTGTGTGACGGAGAATAACCTAGAGTATGATTATCATTTGCTCGTGAATTCTATTTAGTGTTCCCCAATCACTTCCCATTTTTTCTGATCCCAAATATACATATCAAGCTCATTTTCGTTGCCTACGCAAAACTGTTAGCCTCATTTTCTCTTTCAATTTTCCGAGGCAGTGTAATATAATGAATTTGAGCTTTGAGCGGGTGTTAGTATTCTGCTTATCAGATTCTTGGAATCTGTGAAGCCGGTTTCTTGAATTGAGCAACATGACCAGGATTTCCGGGTTTAGCGCTAACGGTTGGAGCTACTCCAGTAATGTCTCTGGTGTGCTTTCGTGAATGATTTTTCGGATTTTGGTTGAGCTGTATTCTTGGTCGTAACAATTTGATGATACGAAGCGAATTTTGTCCCTTTTTTCGGGGTCTAAACGGTGACAATCCCAAGCTGCTTTTGCATCTTTTTGGGCTTCGTTGCGCTGGACTTTTTTCCAGCGACTGAATGAGTCGAGCTGTCTGATGGTATTTGGTGGGGTAAAAAATTTGGCTGCTCTTCCGCAGTTTCCGGTGATGATTTCTTCGGGGAGGTTGTGTGTGAATATTCGTGATAAATCTGCTTCGACGTAATCCGGCCCAATTACCCGCACGAGTTCAACATCGTATCTGATAGCGGCGAATATATCCAGGAGGTTACCAATGAAGGAATACCACTCCTCTTTTCCGCTAGGAAACACCCATTGCCAAGGGTGCAGCTTGCCGCCGTGCCAAAGTTGGCTTCGTTCTTGGTGCGTGAACCACAAATTTTCTTGTAGGCTTTTGCATTTTTGTTCCACACCTCTGTCAGGTAGTGGAAAAATTATAGCTGCGACTACATTGATGTCTTGGCTGCAGTCGTACGCACGCTGGAGGAGTTCAGCGTGGCCGCGGTGAGGAGGATTGAAGGATCCTTGGAAAATGAGGATGCGGTTTCTGCGGTCGCGGCGGAGGAAGGGCCGTCTTTTGCCATCGATATTGGCAAAGATCTTGTCTCCAGCGGGAGCTTTGCCAGAGAGACAGCGAGAGATGAATTGGCCGAGGTCGGCACCGAAGAATTGGTTTTGCATGGTGGATATGACTTGGTAGAGCAAAGAGAGGTTGGTAGAATGAAGACAGTTTTTGGAGATAGATTGGAAGGTGTTGAGGTTAAAAAGCTAGAGACAGTTCTGGATTGACAGCCGCATGGGCTCTGTGTAACTCGAGGTGACTGCGGATTCTTAGTCCAGAAACCCTTTCTTAGTACACTATTCTATTGTTTACAGACTGTAATATGCATTCAAAACTTCAAACCCGTATTGAATGCCGCTAATATACCATTTTGCTTATATATTATCCCAGTATTACACGTCGAGCAAGATACCTAATATCTGATCGCAGGAAGTATCGCAAGATTCGAAAATGAGAAAGTGCGTATTATTTCCTGCATGCATAGAAAGCACCACGAGGATTGATCATCCCGGAAGCTCGAGTATTCCAGTAATAACATCATGATAGTATCAGCTCATGGCACATTTTACTGTGGTCGTCACAAACAGAACAATAGCAAATCGAATCTTCGCTTGTCACGAAGCATATATACCACTAATCGGATAGCCTGCGGGGTTAAATGTTGAATGAAACGGACTGGAATAGTAAAACAATTAGTAGTTTAGAGCCAGTATTATACATTTAGATGACATGAGCGAGGACGCATGGTGAAAAAGTAGTACTTTGAAGCCCTTCGGGAGGATAATTTTTATTATTGGGTGATCAGGAAGTTTTATAACACCACGACCTCTCTACAGCTTTATGAGACATCTGAGATTGAACACCCACGCCGACAATAGCCAGAAACAGATAGTAACGCCACAACTCCACAACAAACCTGAAGATAAGCAAAAATATGGCAGTTTCAGACTATCAAAACTTATCCCTAACAGGTTCCACAATAACCTTGCGGCCCAGGATTTTTTGTCCACTCAAGTTAATAGCACGCTGCTGCTTTTCGACAGTAGGTAGAGCTACAAACCCAAGCCCTGGCCTAGCAAAGCTCACCCTCTGCACGTCGAACCCGGAGAACAGATCTCGTATGTCTTCTTCAGTTGCTTCGAAATGGAGGTTTTTCAGGACCACATCGAAGGTCTTGGGTCGTCCGCGGCTATTACCCCTCTTACCGCCCGCGTTGGAGATCTGCAAGCCGGAAGCCTGCTGAGTGAGGCTGTCGACAGATGGAGAAGGCTCTCTTGGATTTTGTCTCATGTTCTTCTTATCGAAATCGAAGAGCGAAACGGCGATTATACGATCTTTCAATCGGAGGGAGGACCTGAATTTTGTGGCAATCTCTTCTGCATCTTCGGCACCCAAGAAGACAATCGCAGAGCCACCTCTGGGTGGGAAATGGACGTCGTGGATCTGATAGTTAGGGAATAGGGAGATCACGTCTTCTTTCGTAACATCATAGTGGATTGGCCGGAGGAAGAGACCGCCTTTGGGCTTCGCGGCCCTCTTCTGCTTTGCGCGCTCGTGCTCCTCGATGAGCTCGTCGATTTCCTTGTCCAACACCTTGGTTGCGTAGATGGTACGACTCTTGAAGTACCTCCCGTTCCACGTTTCCACGAAATTATCGGCGTGGTCTCTGTGATTAAATTTCGCGAGAATCATTCCAGCTTCCGAGTCCACAACGAACGAAGAGGTGCAATCGAAGTCGAATTCTTCGTCGTCCGAATCCTCGGCGTAAGGGTCTGCTCGCTGAACGTAGGAGATGGTTTTTTCGAGGAGAAGATTTAGCCATTTCTCAGGATGATTCGACAAGTGAGTCAGGAGAACTGTTTGGGACTTCACTTTTCTGCTCTCCTTTTCGTCGTGAAGGAAAGTAGAAAGATCTGGTCCATAGTACTCTTCGTCGGATTCAGGAAGATCCTTAGAGCCGATGAACCAGAGCTCGACCCTCTTGGTCTGCCATCCAAACTGAGTCCCGTGGAATTTTTCTATCGCCTTCTGGGCGATTTCCTCGTTCTTGAACACCGCAATCGCTTTGTTACCTGCGGGAAATATATCGAGCAAACCTTTACCATAATGAAAGTCGGTATCGTCATCGCGTGCGAACAACTCGTATACAGTGGCAGCTCCACTGTTAGCGTCAAGGTTTCTAAGAAGCACGAATTTGGATAGCTCTTGATTTCGAGAGCCCAATTCAGTGCGACGAGCGTTGGACACCGCTTCGAAGGGCTCTGTGATGCCTTGACCGTTAGCGCCGTGGTTTTCGCCTTTCTTATGTCCGTATTCGGCCAGCATGTGGGCACCGAAAGATAATTTCTCTGACATGTTGGAGTGCGAGTGGTTCCAAGTCTTTCGAGGGTTCGAAGGTTATGTTATTCGATCGATTTTAAAAAGCCGCTGGTAGTGTACCTGAGGAGAGAGCACTAGATTTATATAGTGTTTAGCGTGGGGTTTGCGTTTGCATGATTTCTTTCACTGCGTATGATGCACGCTATTGACACAATAGTATACAAAGCGTTGGTATCCTAGGCTCCAACCCCTCACATGGCTCACGCCACATGCAGCAGTGAGAACAATATACGCTTTGTGCTTACGCACGATCCAGACGATTTTGTCACATTCGTCTTTCACGCAAATAAGCGAATGAGCTTGAGAACTCGACGAACGCGGCCGTCCTTAGCTGAAAGGAAATCGTCGCGATCAACGCGTTCATTAGTAACAAACAAAGCTAGGGCAGAACATGGGTATAATTACAGTCAGTTGGTATTCCACTACATAAATACCGATAAACCCCGTACAGTTATCAAGACTTGAATAAGTGTACAATGTGCGCACTGGGGCGTGAAAAAGGCATGGCTGGCGCGCGAAGACGTAGTCTGCTTTATACAGGAAAGTTCTAATACAGACGCGGGAATTACTCCGAGCGCAGTTCTATGTGTCCCATATTATAACCTTACTCCAGAAGAACAGAGAGAATATATTGCTTGTCGAGAACACGGGAACCATCACGGTGCTCGAGAAAAACCGGTATTTAATCTAGTTCATCTAAGAACAATGAGATTAGCAAACAAGCGGATTGGTGCTTAGTGTAAAACGATTTTTTCGGTATGGGATTCAATGCGGCTCAGAAGGGGTTCTAGTTGGGTGTATGTATCTTGAATCTGAGGTCAAACATTCGGGTTGCACAGTTCGTTGACTGCAAAGCAGACAATCACGCGAAGGAAGTTGGCTGATGCTTTTCCCAGTCAACATCGCATTTTATTATTGCGCATGCAAGCAATGTGGCCTGACCCCGGACAATTCCGCATTCACAGTATTCCCATCTAGGTATTTGAAAATCCGCTGACCAAAAATGACTGCATTCCGCTACATGAAATTCGTTAACAAACCGCGCGGCTAGCTACCGTGGAGGAGCAATTCTAACAGTGAACGCTACATAACCGTTACCCAAAATTAGGAAACGAAGCCGCCCATGTCGTGATGAAAGCCTCTGGCGGAAGATGAAACAGGTCCCGGAAAGCCGCTCCTAGAAGATAGAGTCTGGCGAGCCCAAATGAAATAAAAGCCAACCATGCTAGAGTAATGTCAACCGCACTACCGCCAATGTCCAGACCAATTTGTAAGAAGTAATACCCTACCCAAAGCAAGTAGTAGACCGGCATAACAGTAATGACTACAATGATAGCAACTCTCCAAAGGGTTCGCTCAATCGGAGTAGGAAAATCGAAGTTCCACGCAATGGCGTGACATGCACCTAGAATGACACTACCGATTATGAACCCAATGTCTTCGCCCTTGAAGTTGAAATAGGCTTCTTTTCTCTCGTGGGGATTTGGAATTACAGGCTTCAAATCGTCTCCGTGTTGATGCATCCATAGCCAAGAATGCCAGTTGTAACGGTCGTTTGGAAACCTTTCTGCTAATTCGCGGCTGTCCTTCCAGGTAAACAGGGCTTGTGTGAAAAAGCATCCCGGTACGAGCCTTTCCAAGTACATCTTAAGACTTCGGATCTTTAGTTCATCAGCATCAGTCAGGTCCTTAAACTCCTCACGGGGTAGGTCCAGATAGCTTTGGATATTCAAGGTCGGCAGTTCTTCAGATTTGAAGATATCGTTTTCCCAGACGCCAACGTGGTTAAGGGAAATGTAGGTCGGGATCTTGGGATTCTGGGGCTTCCAAAACCAGAATATATATGTGACAAAACTGCAAAGTGCGAAGGAGAGAGCTGAGATTTCGATTTTAGCTGTAGGAAGATTTCGAACTTTTCGAGTAATGAGTTGAACAACGAGCCAGAGTAACTGGAGCATTGCTGTTAATTTGGCGAAGAAGTCGCCCTGCCCCTTCTCTTTTATTCCGGGCTTGCTGATGGGAGGTGTGGAGTCAATAATTTTTTTCTTGATCAGGTAGCTAAGTTGTGTCGTATGTATAGCGGTAGGTTTTGATCTTGTCGGGAACTCGAGCAAAAAGCCACCTGAATTCGCGTAAAAGGCATGCGTTACCGACCACTCCTTCAGCTTTTCGTCATTATCATTTTTGAATCTGCGAGTAGCTATGCAGTCACCGAATGCCTTGCCGACTAAATACTCTGGCAAAATTATAGTCACTAGCATCCATTTCAAGTGACTCCAGAAGGACGATAAGAACGGTATCCTTGGGTTCTGAGCTGGTACGTTAAGGTGCTGAATAACCCATGTGCAAACAAAGATTGTGTAAAGAGCGTTCCACAAAATATTGAATGTTGATCGAACATTAGGCTCTGCGACATAATTTGAACCTTCGGGGGGAATGGTACAGTTGGGGTGGAATGTTGTTGCCAGAGTCACATGGAAAAGACAAAGCACAAGAAGCAGGTTGCGAGTAGAGTAGAACATGATATCTTAGTTGATGCGGGGCAGCCGCTAGCTAGGGGACTACATATCTTTATAGCCCTGTGAAGTTGATATTTCGCCACGTCAGCTTGCATCTCAGCCTCGTAATATATCAATCGGTTATTTGAAATTCCAGACAATTTGAGAAAACTGCCTTATGTGTAGTGCAGTGGAATCAGGCAGCAATTATGCTATCTCAAGATCAGCCAGCGAGGTCAAGCAGGCAAAATTACATATGTATACCCATGAGTACCATATGCCTTAGCAGCGGACATTTGAATGTCTCATCTCTTTGGGTATTGAAGCTTGACGAAGACCTTGCGATCAAGAACCGACTTTCCGTTGAGAGCTTCAGCAGCAGCACGTTGTTCCTCAGCGTCGCTAAGAAACACGACCGCCCTGCCTTTCCTGTTCAACATGGTGACTTGCAGAACTTCAAAGCCGAAGAAGAGACCCTGCACATGCTTCTTGGTAGCTTCGGGGTGTAGACCAGCAACCTTGACGCGGAATGTCCCATCGCGGTGGTGCTTTCGGTTCTCGTCGTATCGGTTAGACATTGTGTTAGTTGAGTTGTGAGTTTGAATTATTCGAGATAGTTATTCGGTACCTACCTAGGTAGGTAGTTGATCTAGAAGAGAAGGTTGTGCCGTTGTAAGTCGGTGGAGATGTGATTTGCATATGACGAGAAGAGTTTATATCTGCTCGCACTCACGTTGTAATTTTACGAATTCACATACTGCGCACATAGAAATAGCATGTGCATAAACAATGTATCCTAGGCCTTCTCTGGCGAAGTGAAACAGGACAGTCCGCTGGATTTGACCTAATAGAGTTGAAATCTTTGCTTAGAGATTGATAATCCTCACGAATCACAACTTTTAGGAACTATGAAACAGCATATAGCAAGTCGAGCGTGCAAAGGACTATTTAGATAACCACGTGATTGGCCACTTGATTGTCGCTAGCATACGAGACATACAAGGCAAGGTGTGATATAGTGTCTTGATAATGCATGTAATGTGTATGGACAATGGTACCCCCCCTGAGTGAAGAAATGTACGCGCACATGTACGGCGAATGGGCATGCCCCTGGGTGACACACGACGATGAACATCACAAATAATTGCCATTGGCTTCGCAAATGCTGAACCTGATAATTTCGAGGATTGTTCGGATATGTGGACGATTTCTGCAAGATTGCACAATGTGGGCTAGACGAAAGCTGAGATGATTGTGGTGGGAGGGTTCGATAAATGCGCACGCGGCGTCCACCACTTGCTTGTTGGAAGGATTGAAGTCGATTGATGCATTTGGATTCACTGCTTGCACTAGGGACAGAAATGATGGGCAGATGTATGTTCGTGTATTAGGCAAAAGCGTCCCGGTGGGGACAAGCGGGGGATGGTGATGGAGAACCATTGTTCTATGCGCACTAGATATGAAAACAGAAAAATAGTCCCTACAACTCATCGCCTCGTGCTTCTACTTGAATAGCACTTGTGCATATCTACGCGGTAGCTTTCCACAATCCCACGAACCGCTCTCCACCAGCCACCAATCCACATACTCCCATTGCCCCAATATTCCACCCGGGTATCCCGTTGCTGCTGCCGAAATGCGCCGCCATAGGTAGCCATGCGCTTGCGATGATCAAGTCTGACCACCACTTCCGATCCACCTTGGCGTCTTCTTCGTCTTGATTTATCGCTATCTCATGGCCATCGGCCTGTAGCTTCCTCCTGGCCTCCCTTCTGCGACCCTCGATCTGGGCCTCGCGCCCCAGACGCAAGAAATCACACAAGATTGCGCCCAACCATGCACGGAAAGCGACTTTGTACACGCGCGCGGTGGTTCTCTCCCCGCGATTCAACGCCGCAACCACACCGCTGGACACGATGCCGTGATCGACAAGCACGCAGATATTCTCGAGGGCCTGGAAAATGAAGTAACCCGATGCCTGCAACACGGCGATGCGATGCAGGACAGGATCAGCACCGGGTTTCGGGCCGCCACCGTTGATGAGCAGCGAACGCAGCCAGGCGTAGAGCGGCAAAGTGCCAAAGAGGCGGAGTGTGGTTCGGGTTTGCGCGAGAAGCGTTGCGAGGGCTGCGACGGGTGGGAGTCCGTTTGGATTGAGCGTCGCTGTTGGCTTTGCTGATGGTGTGAAGAGGGAGGATAGGAGCGGGACTGGGAGTTTGGAGAGGCGCGGTGAGAAATGGGTGAGAATGTAAAGAGCGTAGTTGACGGTGGAGAGCGTGGAGGCGATGCCACCTGGTGTGGACAGGAGTCTGGTATTGTGGGGATGATGGTTAGAGGGATTGATGAGGTGGAGATGTTAGGGTAAGGCATACTTGTTCAAGCGCAGGACGAAACGGTCGAACTGCTTCACTCCCACCACGGCGGTTTGAGCCGCAGGTTTAGTCGTTGAAGGGGTGGATGATGCATCTTTTTTTGAAGGCACTGGTGCGATGCTTGGGCTGGGAGCGCCTGGTTTCTCCACGGAATCGGCCATGCTGTCTGTCTCACGTCGGTGTGATGGATGACAATTGATTGATGCCTCCAAAGAAGAGAAGTGAAGGATGGGGTCACGATGAGCTTGGATGCCGAATACGGATTGAGAGAGAAATATCAGTGAGGAAGTTGGTGAGGGACTGTAGAAGGGTGCTCTGGTAAGCTCCTCCGCATTATAATGGCCATTGATCCCGTGTTTGACGTGTATGGATAAGTTGGACGGATCCCTGCCGAGGTTTGCGGAACCGAGGCCAATTGAAGATGATTGCCGGACATTCGTGTAGAGGACGACGACCGGTGATTGCAGAAGCACAGCAAGCGGGAACGAGCTGAGTGTTTGCTGGCGGCACGGGTATATAATATATGTCGAAGTACAAATACAAAAACCATAGGAAGAAGGCTGTCCACGTCCTACTTTCTCTCAACAAGTACCTACCAGGGATATCGGTAGTGTCTCCAGAAGAATGAGGATGACGTTGCGAATATCCCTCCAAAAATTGATTCAATCGTCCAGTTAGATTCAGTAGCCGCTGAGCATTATTATGACCGGTCTGGTTTATCCAAAACACACATGTATCCGCCGCCGGTAGCTGAGCTTGGGCACGTGAATGACGTACATGCCCACTCGTGGTGTTCGCGTGGAGAGGCGTACATGTAGTATACAGAAAGGCCAAAGTCATCTCGAGGCATCAAATGATTAGACTCGTCCCCAAAAAAAAAACTCAAAAGGGTCTTCGAAGGATATCTCGGAATATTAAAAGCACATTTTTATATAAACAATAAACATGAATAGGGAGGGTGGGGCAGGCGCTGGGATGAGAGGAGTGAACAAGCGGGCCGCAGAGAGATTAACAGGGATGGCGTTGCCAAGATCACGCGCAATGCATTGAAACCGCTCCTAACATGCGAAACCTCGACCACAGCAGCGGCCACCACTACTACCCAGAGACTCTCTCTCGCCTCCAGAAGCGATCCAATCCATCCATCCGACCTTGCACTTCAGGGGCGAACTCTCTCCTCCGCATTCTTATCCTCATCTCTCACGTGCATCCATCCAGCAATGGCCGGCCGCTTCGTTCGAGCGTCCAAGTATCGTGAGTCTCGTGCGCTCGCTCCAGCCGCCGTGCTTACTGCTAACACGATTCAATCCAGGCCACGTCTACGGACAGAGCTCAAAGAAGGTGTGATGGCGCCCACAGCTGCTCTATGCGAGCCACCACCACAATTAGCTAAACCTCCCGCCAGGAACAATGCTACGATAACTTGCGCATTTCGAGAAACGCCTGGGATACCAACCTGGTCAAGGCCAACCCGGAGTACATCTCTGTCAATTGGGAGGCTGCCGGAGGTGGCGCCTTCGCCGTTATCCCCATCAACGAGAAGGGTCGCGTGCCTGAACAAATTCCATTGTTCCGCGGCCATACCTCTGCTGTCTTGGACACTGACTGGTGCGCTTCTTTTCTGCCCATGACAACGGAGAGGGTCCAATGCTGATAACCCCACAGGAGTCCTTTCAACGATTCCCTCATCGCCTCGGCCTCCGACGATGGCAAGGTCATGATCTGGAAAGTGCCCGAGAACTTCTCCCTGTACAGCGATGCCGAGGAGCCTGCCGACGTCGCCCCCTCCCTCAAGTTGACCGGCCATCTGCGAAAAGTAGGCCACGTCTTGTTCAACCCCGCCGCTGAAAACGTCCTCGCCTCCGCGTCCGGCGATTACTCTGTGAAACTATGGGATGTGGAAGCGGGACAAGCCAAGCTGGCCTTGAAACATAAGGACATTGTGCAGTCATTGTGCTGGAACGCAGAAGGTTCGCTGCTCGTGACCACCAGTCGCGACAAGAAGCTCCGCGTGTGGGATGTGCGACAGGAAACTCCTGCCTACGAGGTGCCTGGACACGAGGGCGCAAAGAACAGCCGAGCGGTATGGCTAGGCGAGCATGACCGTATCGCCACCACTGGTTTCTCGCGCATGAGTGATCGTCAATTGGCTCTGTGGGACGCGCGCAACCCAGGCAACGGCCCCATTGGAGGCTTCACCACTTTGGACTCCATCTCTGGTGTCTGCATGCCTTTCTGGGATGACGGCACTCAGTGCTTGTACCTGGCCGGAAAGGGTGATGGCAACATCCGTTACTTCGAATACGAGAACGACAAGTTTGAGTACCTCGCGGAATACAAGTCTGGCGAGCCTCAGCGCGGTGTTGCCTTTATGCCAAAGCGTGGAGTCAACCTTCACGACAACGAAGTCCTGCGTTGCTTCAAGACTGTCAACGACAGCTATATCCAGCCTATTTCGTTCATTGTTCCCCGCAGAGCAGAAATGTTCCAGAGCGACATTTACCCACCTACAACGGGTAAGAGGGCTGGTGTATCTGGACCGGAATGGTTTGGCGGTAAAACATCCTTACCACCCAAGATCTCGCTGGAAAGTGTTTATGAGGGTGAAGCGCCAAAGGAAGTCCCGGCAGAACCCAGGGCCCAAACCTCGACACCAGCTGCTGTTGAGCCTCCCAAACCAGTCGCGAAACCTACCCCTGCGCCTGCTCCAGCTCCGGAGCCTGTAGTGCGCAGCCCGCCTCCCACAATGAACGACAACAAGGCTTCCCTGGCCTCGCAGGCTTCTAAGTTTGCCGACAAGGATGAGGACGCATCAGACGAAGAGACCAGTAGCTTCGAAGAAGTTGCCAAACCTGTGCAGCGTCCCTCTGCTGCCGCTACACGACAGGAGGAGAAACCACGCGAGGTGCCATCAGAAACACGAGCTCCCAGCGCGCCTGTAAAGAGCTCACCCTTGCCGTCGGAACCAACGCCTGCACCGACCGCGGCGCCTACGAGCACTTCCACACCCGCACCAACGGCCTCGGGCGCTGCAGCTGGTTTAAAGGACGTTTTGGCTGACATCAAGACTACGCTCGCGACGCAGACCGGTACACTTGAGCGTCAAAACCAGGTAAGTCGAGGCCAATCACGCACGTAAGTGTGCACACAGCTACTAACTCTTGCGTTAGGTCATGTCGGACCAATCCGATCAGATCGCTCTCCTCATGCGCGAAGTCAGCCAGCTCAAGACGAAACTCAACCAGAGCTCGGACCGCGAAAAAGACGAGCGGATCCGAGAATTGGAGCTTGAACTGGAGGAAGCGAGGTCTTGAGCCACTCAAGACTTTTCCTCGAGTTGAGCGATTGCGCGCTAACGTGGGCCAGTGTACGGTCCGGCTGGGATACTCACTATTTCCGCGAAATGGAGGTGGTGAGTCCCAGGCCTCGACGCCGAACACGTCCATGCTTTTGGCTTAACACGGAATGCACGTTTCCATCGAATGTACAATGAGACGACGGTCGCCTGGGTTGGATTGCTCTTCTGATAGCGTTTTGGGTTGTATGATGAGGGATTGAGTGGCATGGTTTTCTGGGCTTCGAGGAGCCGTCTGTCGGAAAAGCAACCAGTCATACATGTTGTTCTCTTTGTCTTGTATCCCGGATTCCTTGTAGATCAAGCGCTGTCCGCTTTGCGACGGGTGGAGAGTTGTTGTTTGATAGCATCTATTTAGTATATAAATCTGCAGTGCACTGTTGCATATCTCATCCATCATACATGGAACTATTCGAACCTTGGGGAGCAATAGATGCTCGCCACGTGCACATGGAGTCACTCGGGTACCCCGGCATGAAGATGGCATGACCCGCGGATAGTTGGCAATCATCCACCTTTTCCATTACGCTGTGATAGGAAAGCAAGCGCCGCGGCTCCACGACCGTCGCAGCCGGCTCTCATAGTCTCCCAAGCTAACGGTTTAGACTTGCCACGCTAAAGAGCGCCCCCAAATCCCCCATTTCCTCTCGCAAAGGGAGATCGACAGCTCGTCCTGCCTCGTTCAATTCACTTTTCTCCCTATAGAGTGTGGAACGATGCGCGGATAGTGTCCCCGGGATATGGGAATGAATCCCGACTTCTTTACCATATTTGAACTCTTCTTCGGTATACACCGCGCTGTTGGATGATTGTTTTCGCTGCCAGATGGTAACACGGAGGAGCAGTGGAAGGATTTTGCGGGTTCCTGCATTAAAACCAATAGCGTCTAACACTTGATCTCTTGTCACCCCCTTGAAAGAAGCCCGTCTCATCAGACTGGAATAGGGAAACACAGCGAACACGCAGAGTTTGTCCATCACGGTAGCTGCTGCTGTAGTACCTCACCAATCCCCATTTTTTTTTGGGGGCCTTGGGAAGATTGTCGAGGGCAACTTGTTGGTCTAGACAACATCGTCATTCTTTCGCTTTCAATTGCGTCCATCGGCTTAATGGGATTTACATTTTAATATCGACATTTGCAATTTCGAGAAGCCCGTAGTAGGTAAACAAGCGAGGTGGGAAAAGTGGGAAGAAAGCTTGCAAGTAAGCAACGCTGAGATTGCCTCTTGCAGGCTAGGCGATGAGCTTGAGATGAGGGATGAGGTTTTTATGGTGTTTCGAGTAATGCGTTGGGCTTAGTGATGGTGACTACGGGTGAATGTTGCATTGCGGATTGTAGTTCGATGCTTGGCTGGCGGTTGAAGGTTGTTCACATGTTTTCTTCTTCTTTCTCCTTCTGCGTCTTCTTCTCTCCTGCGTCTGTGCTGACGTTGTCATGTACCGACCAGACTTGTGAAAACGGTGCTCGGTAGTATGACATGTTCTGCCTGTTACTCGGTCACTCGGTGTCGTGAAGCTTATAGCGAATGCTCGATTTCTCCCTTTTGCTACTATTTCAGGAACCCGCCACGGCCTAGAACACTGGAGAGACACTAGCACAGGGGGGATAGTCAACCGAGCTCCCCTGCATTCATGGATCTCCCGGTCAGCCCACCGCGTTCGATCTGTACAGTAGCCGGGAGGATTTGGGGGAGCGTGAAATTGTCTGATGTCAGTAGTCAAGTGGCCTGTCACTCCTCCTGATTCCCAGTGGATCAATCGGATCGAATCGCTCAATGGGCGAACAAGCAATGCCATCCTGCTGACGGGAATTATCCCGTAACGCGGGTCTCTAGCCAGTCGTATGCACCTAGCCGTAAGACCATCTCCTTTGCTGTGGAGCCAGTCTTCATCCTGCCTTAGTAGTCACTACAGGTATAAAGACTATGTAACGCCTCTGCCTCGCGAAGGCTTTCCCTTTTCTTTTTTCTCTTTACCCACCTCTGTCTCTCACTACATAGTACTTAATATCCGTTATTCACTCCAACTAATACCGACATCTCCCGTCGCTATACACATTCGTTGAAACAACACCAAAAACTCGCAAAAATGAAGACCTTCGCTATCCTCTCTCTCGTCGCCGCCGTCATGGCTAAGACCGACTACGCCGGTTGCACCAGCTCTGCCGTCGGAGCCTCGCTGCTCTGGTACGTCCCCGAGTCTGGCGAGATCTGCAAACAGCTCGACTGCGGAGGTGGTCGCGCTCCTCCCAAGACCAACGTTCCCGGATGCGCTGCTTGTACGTAAACCCTAATCACCAATGACTCTCCCATTCATGTCACTAATCCCTCCGACAGACGAAGGCACCGAGACCTACACCCCATCCTTCATCCCCAACTACGGCCAGGCCACGGCCACCCCCGAGGTCAAGCCCACCACCTCCTCCGCCCCCGGCGTGAGCTCCGCCTACAACGCCATCTCCAGCGTGCCCTCCAGCGCCGCTGCCCCCTCCTCGTCTGCTCCTGCCGTGACCAGCGCCCCTACCTACTCTACCGCCATCATCGGCACTGCCATTCCTGTTCCCTCCGGTAACGGTACTGCTGGCAACGGCACCAGCGTCAACGCCCCTAAGCCCACCCAGAGCGGTGCTTTGAGCCCCAATGCTGCCGGTGTTGTGGGTGTTGCCCAGGGCGTTGTTGCCGTCGCTGTTGGTGTGTTCGGTGTTATGATGTTGTAAGTGGTTGAAGGGGTTGGGGATTCGAGATGATGGATAGGATGACTTGTACGATCAAATATGGGTCTTGGGTTTTAGAAAAATGATGATGGGTGAAAGATGGAGAGAATAAGAAAATCCATCTTCATTATTGACAACCATATTACATCAATGTGCATATTTCTCTGTGACTCGAAGCGTGATGTAGGAATACTCGATTAATGTTTCCAAAATGCGGTTGCTGGCCTGCAAGAGAGGGCTGAACTCACCAAGATTTACAATAGGATGCCTTCATGCTTTGTTTCAATCTACTTCGTCAGTCACGGAAATTGGTTGCATCTCTCGAGTGTAGCAGTAAAGGGTCGCATGCGTTATTTTCTTCATCTAGAACAGGTGTTCTCGTCTGTGCTATATTCGCCTCTGTCCTACAGCATGCTTAGCGATCTTGCTTCGTGGCAATGTTTGCCGATGACAGAGTGCTGCAATGCGATACATAATCTCACCGCGATTCGCGCCGAATCTCGTATGCCGGGTGTACCCTCATAATCCACCGCAAAGGAATATCCGGTTTCAATATTGAGGTATCGGTGGCACTCGTCCCCAATACCTACTAAGCCAATATTCACAGAGTGAAGTTTGAATGAGTTCGCTGTGTTGGAGTGTTACATCAAATGCGGTGTTGGAGAACATTCAATCCAGGAAGCATGTGCTACGTACGCCACCTATGCATTGGTAACCAATTACCCGACCACTGTTATTCCCACCACAAAAACGCACTCTCTATAGCCATGGCCACACATCCACCTCACCGCCTCGCTCTTCAGCCCAACACCGATAACCACCAACGAACCACTCATCTCCTGCCACAGTGGCTGACATGCAACCTCCACCAACTCCACACATCAACCATTCCTGTTCTGCCACGCCAAGCATACAAGGAAAGCTTAGCCATGCTTAATCCCAGTCAATGTGCGGTATTTTCCCCAGCCAAGAAAGCTTAGTGAAGCTTAGCGCTCTGCCACCCCTTGCCTGTGACGAGGTCCAGATGCTTCAGCTGCCTCCAACGCCGAAAGGTGAACCAATAGCACGCTCTGGAGACCCCCTCTCGGTGCTACTTCAATGTGGCTCAGCTGCCGAGTGGCTTGCGCTGCGTACGTCAACTTCCCATTGTGCATTCACGAGCGCGCCCAATCGGTGGGAAGGGTGTGAGACTGTGGTATGTAGGGGAGTGGTTGGTGACTTGCATGCATGGGTGACGTTGAGGCAGGGTTGGAGCTGTCCTTGAGGCTTTTCTCGAGGACGGGGCGTGAGGGGTGCGGCGGGGAAGAGTATATAAAGGGTATGGGTGACTGGCTTTTTTTGATCATCCAGCTTGGTTTCCCAGTTTTTGCCAAAACAACCGCTTCGACTCTTCACAGCATATCTTTTGGGAGGCTTCTTCGATAAGTTTGATTATTACCCCGTCAACTTCTCTCACGTACGTGCTGATCCTTGATACGCATGTTACTTCTGCTGATATAGACTACCTAGTTGGGCTTCGCATACACACCTACACAATCATGCCTGGCAGCACCACATCATCCATTGTCTCTATCATCAAGCCGAAGCCTCTTGCTTGTGGAGAAGAGTGCGATTGCTGCGGATGTATGTTGCATCTCGTACAAATCATGGTGTGTGGCATTTTCTAACTTCGCATCTGCGATCTAGGCGAAGAGTCCTGTTGGTGCGTTGTTATGTGAAAGGGCTGGTCAGAGAGAAGTTCCATACTCTTGCAATGATGAAGGAGATTTAGCGGAACGGATGATGAGTTGAAGTGGTGAATAAGTTGAATTGATTGAATAGTGAGCGTCTACCAGAGCGAATGCAAATCTTACAATAAGAAAATATCTAATGCGCATGCGTCTATTTTGTTCTCCTCCGGGGAAGTGAAAACATACTCTCTGCTAAGGAAAAACCGGTCCGGAACGATCCCTTTTGCCAGACTCTATAAGATTCCGCTGCGCTGATGCCAAACAAGTCTCCCGTCATAAATTCACATCAATTCTTAAAGAAAGCTTTTGGAAGTGGTGACGACCCTTCGACCTCATACCGCGGCATTGCAGGTGGTGCGGCGGTATCATGTGGTACGTACATGCGTGATTGACCCGACAGTTCCGAAGGCGGTTGAGGTTGGTACATCTCAGATTGATGTGCGTACACAGTCGGAGAAGACATGCTTTTGGCTTGGTTGTTAAACGCATCTTGATACACGACGCCCTTTTCTGCATCTTTTGTTCTTTTGCGCTTCAAAAGGGCGAGCACACCGACGAGAATGAGCGCGGCGCCTACTAGTGAACCCAGCACGCCGCCTGCAATGGCTGCTGTTTTTGAGCCTTTATTTGAGGGCTCTGGGTTGTTGTTACTGTTGTTTCCGTTGTTATTGCCTTGTGCCGCCGGCTCAGCGTCGCTGCTGGCAGGTGTTGCCGAAGGGGTTGGAGAAGGCGTTGAAGATGGAGTAGAAGCTGGTGTCGAGGAGGGTTCGGGTTTGCTCTCTACTTTTTGACTTGGGTGAATAATGAAGCCGGGACTGGGAAGCATTTCTGGTGTAGGTGGGTATTTATTGCTTTCGGTGTGCTTCAGGAATCGTAATACGAATGCGGATTCTCCATCTTCCCCTATGATCTTGTCGCTCGGTACGTCGATGGTCCAGTTGAATGTCCCCGCATTCTTCAGTGATATGTTGGCTGACGGGATTCATTAGTGCCATTGCACAATTGAACGATTATAAAATGATCTCACGTTTTAGCTTGACCTCGTAGTTGGCGCCTTTGAAATACGTCACCCAAAGGTCAACAAGATCAGGTTCGTCACCACCTATACCCAATGTCCAGCCAGAGTTCCACGCGATGGGTAGTACATCTCCGGCCACAAACGACTGCTCGTAATCTTTCTTTCGGGAGCTCGGTGTCGTAAATTCGCATTGGACGGATGGTATAATTGACGCTGCAAACAGGACGGTCACCAGCGATCTCCATCCCATGTTTGGCGCCATTTTTGAACACTCAAATGAGCTGCGGTAACGAGATACCGAAATGAAGGCAACGGAACGGTAGATGTCCTGCGCTCCTCTCGCACGTGGGCATGCAGTTAACGGATGCAGAGTGACGAAGAGAAATCCCGACGTTGAGCACTCCGCGTGGGATACTGGGAGCCATGGTTTTATTAACGGGGTACGGTCGGACGAAGAGACGAGCCACTCAATCTCCCGTTGTTGGTTCGTTATGCTTCTGGGATGTCACCCTGGGGCTAATACCGAAATATTGGTGAGGGTTATGCTGCGCACCAACCGCATTAGAAGATTGGTGAATGCTAATGGTGATCTGCACCAATAGGACAAATTGCAGCTCGCGTGTTAAGCTCCAGGATTGTTTGTTTCGGTTTCATGTTCATGCTGGGGGCCAGCACGGATGGTAGGGCGGGACGTTCTCTCGCGCGAGTTGTGGTATAGGATAATCTTTGGGGGCCAGCCTCAGCCTTCACTGCGCTACAAAATAAGACATTCTGACTACAGACCGAGTTTCTATTCAATCGGGGCTGTTCATGAGCTCGATCCATAAAAAAGGCAAACTTTCAATGCGCATATATTTGCGCCCCAGGACATGTGTTGATACTTCTCAACCATCAACCTATATATTTCCGGTCTGCAACAAGGATACTTTCCGAGGATTCTGTTACGGGCTAGGCTTGCGAACACCGATCGACCCCTCCGCGCCTAACAATTCATGCGTTGATATTTGATATTTGATGTAGATCAGAATAAGCCACTTTACAAAGCTGTGCGGTTGCCTTCCTACAGTTTGTGTTTGGTAGACGAGCGATTTTCTTTTGGGGGCTCCGACGACGACACAGCCATGCCTTCACTCAAGATCAACTGGTCTTCGAATATATGCTTATGACACGTCAGCATCCCACGACCTATGCTTTGCAGCCCCAGTAGATTAAAACCACCTCAGTGGAGGATTTCGGTGGGACTGCGCCGTTACCAACGCCGTGCTAGCTACTAGAGTGTATTGCGGTGAGGTGATCGTCACTGCTCGCTGCTTCCTGCGTCCAACCTTGTGGACAGCACCGCACTCCGCCATCCCCATGAGTTTCCGATCATCTAACGGAAGCGTTTTCACATTGATGCGGTCTCGAGACATACTCTCGTGCATGTTCAAGAATTCTCGGGTCATTGTTGAGACAGCATGAGTGTAGTCATACATGGCAGCTGACAATTCAAGCTGCGGTTAGACTCTTCCAGAACGTACACATGGGCTTGATGGCAAACAACCAAGAGTTTCTAAAGTCATTTTTAGTGCAACGGCATACGATAGGATCATGCACTGTACACTATGTACAGTTTGTAATTATTCGTAGAATTATTGCATACAATATTATATAATGCAATTTCTTGAGGACGCAAACACCGAGAAAAAAAAAAGCCGGAAAAGCCATTCACGCAACCTAGAAATCAAGTTACATTGTGGAGGAAGGCTCTCCCGTCATTTAAAGTCCTGCTACCACACTTCAGTGAAACTTATAGTAGGTGCCAAAGTTAATGTCAGACATAAAGCTGCTCGTTTCCTACTTGCAGATATGGAAGCCATAATTCAGCTGCTGTTTGATCGCTATTGCATTCTTATCTGATAACTAGTCAAATCAAAGCTTGGCAAGATCTTACATTGTACTGCTTATGTGGGATTCACGCTCCGAAGGCCAGCGGCACCCCCCAAAAGTCCATGAACATATGGGGGGTGTAATCACAGTGCCTGTGCTTGCAAATCCACCGCATTGTTTGGCACAGGAACAAAGATTCCGATGGAATAAATTCAATGGGATGTTTCCGCGATGTATTTCTGTCTTCGCCAAGTACAAATTTCGAGGTCTTTCTTGTACACGTTTTGTTTATTTCTTTGTGGTATCGTCAGACTTTTCTCGAACTCCATAACTATCTCGCAGTCGAATCACTTCATGCATACAGATACCATGAAACATGGGAATTTCATACACTTATATTTGGCTGGGTCCTGAGATAACTTAGAGGTGCTTTTTCGTAAATGGCGTCCCAGATCCCATCGATCGCCATGGCCTCAAAATCATAACAAATGGGAAATTTGCTACAATGTTTTCTGACAATCCGTTTGTTACAATGCTGAGAAGCGTGAATCGCACATGTATCACGGCATGATTTTGGCGTGACAAACGCCAACCGCACATGCAGCTTTATTTTTCAGGTGGACTATTCCAACTGACAACGAGACAATTGTATCAGCAAACGCCGCGTTCGAATATAGACGTCACTCGCCTAAGAGCACGCCAAGTTATGATGTTATTTCAGCCACAATAACTTGAATGGTTACAGGGGGTAGCATATGTGTGTCGCAACAACGTGGGCCAACGATTGGACCATGTCGGCTAAGAACAAAACTAATTGGAACGTCGCTTGGCTTTGCTTCTACCATTTCTCCCCCTCTTTGAGATGGATCCTTGATCTTTCCACCCTCACACGAATTAATTGAACGATGTCCCTCCACTCTGCAATCAGTTCTTTCCGCGCATATGCGCGCACGCGACTCAGTGCCCCGGACCAGCACAGTACCGGAAAGTTAGGATGGCGACTGGCAGAAGTCACGGCGAAGATGTGGGATTTAGGATTCACTGCATTTGGCGGACCGCCGGTGCATTTCCAAATTTTACATCGGCGTTTCGTAGATGGCAAAGGACATTTTGGAGCAAAGTGGATTGATGAACAGACTTATCAAGAGCTCTTCGCCATCTGTCAGGCACTTCCAGGACCAGCTTCCACGAAAATGACATTCTGCATTGCGATGATCCATGCTGGTCTTCCGGCAGCTATCCTTGCCTTTTTGCTCTGGAGCTTGCCTGGCGCAATCGGGATGTACGCGCTCTCACTCGGTGTGCAGAAAATGCCTGATACATTGCCTCCTACCGTTTACGCGTTGCTGAGCGGGATGAATGCAAGTACAGTTGGTATTATCGCATTGGCAGCTGTGCAGCTCGCCGAAAAGGCCATCAGTGATCGTATCACGAGGATACTAGTCATATTTGGTGCTTGTGCGGGCTTGTGCTATAACTCGCTGTGGTTTTTCCCCGTGCTGATTGCGATTGGCGGAGTGACCACTGTGATCTGGGATGTTTGGTTGCGTCAAAAGATCGGGAAGATCAAGGCTGGTTATGCAGCAAAAAGGAGAAGAGCTAGGAATGAAGACGGTGATGCCGAAGAAATCGCTATGACGCAGGAGGCCCCATCAGCAGAACAACCGCAAGTCACACGCCCAGAAGCAGTCAAGCGCCGACCCCGTGTTGGAAATTCGAGCGACCAAATCGCACCCGTTGAAGAAGATATAGGTCAGAGTAGTTCGGCAGACCATCGTAGCACACAGCCGATTACCGAGGTCGTACCTGCTACTGATACTCGAACGCACAACATCTCCATCAAAGTCGGCCTCTCGCTCATCGCGGGGTTCTTCATATCTTTTACTATTGTTATGGTTATTCGAGGAACGGTTGATGTTCGCACTCCCGCATACGATCTTTTCGCCAACATGTATCTCGCCGGTACTATCATCTTTGGTGGTGGTCCCGTTGTTATTCCGCTTCTCCGCTCGTATGTCGTCGACCCGGGATGGGTTTCACCCCGGGATTTCCTACTTGGTCTGGCCATCATCCAGGCATTCCCAGGGCCAAATTTCAACTTTTCTGTTTATCTGGGTGCACTGACGCTTGCATCAACGGGCATTCCTACCGTGTTTGGTGGATTGTTAGCTTTTATCGGCATCTTCTCTCCGGGCATTATTCTTGCGGTGGGGGTGCAGTCCATCTGGCAAGTCTTGAGAACGAAGGCATGGGTCTTAAGTCTGTTGAGAGGCATCAATGCTACAGCTGTGGGCTTGGTCTTTACAGCTGTATATCGCCTTTGGGAGATTGGATATCTAACGCCAGAGAGTAGCAGTGGGAAGAGTCTTGCACAAGAACCTTGGTGGGTCGTTGTAGCTGCTGTCACGTATGCGGAGACCGCTTGGTTTGGCGTTCCACCGGCACTGGCAATCGTGCTGGGTGCTTTACTGGGCTTAGGCTGGTATGGTGCTGTTGGTTCATGATTGATCTGCGCCAAACGCGTACAAAGCTTGTCACCCGGAGTCTGATTCTGAGAAGACGAAAAGCGTAAGCCTTAATTACCATCTATTCCAGAATTTACCGTATGATACAAGTGTATTCTAATAGGAATCCTGCTATACAATCACATTTCACCCAAATTATATACCGCAATTCAAATAGCACCAAAGTCTGCCGCTCATCGTGATCATGTCGCGCACGAGTAGATAAATGGCGGTTCACCTGATGAATGATCACTCATACTGGAGTGATCTCTCCTCTTTGACGGATCCATGAACCTTTCCATCATTCATCGTGATTTCCAAGTCCATAATTGCGAAGACGCGATCTGCACCATGATTATAGGTCTCATCGGAATCTTCGTCTGAATCATCGGCGTCAGCCATCGTTAGAGTGTCTGTTGTATTGGAGGCTTCATTTGTTTGGATGTCGGACCCAGCCACAATCCCCTTCTCACTTCCGATGAAGTCCTGTTTGATGTCCTGCAGGACATTCTTGGCATCCTCTTGTGATGGGTAGGCTCCTAGTATCTTGCCCTCGGGATGCGGACCTTTGGCAAATTCGATCATGATCTCATAGCTTATTTCTTTGGAAGTTGGATCCTGCGCGGTGGTCGTAGCGTAGATGAATCTCTCGGTGTTCTTGATGTAGGTCGAGGCGCGTCCCTGACGAACGACGTCCGCCAAAGAGTATGGAGGGAACGTCGAGGAAAGGCTCGAGTAGTAAACAACCAGAAAGATTGATGTAGGCATTGGAAGAAGTGGGAGTCGTGGTTTGTAAGAATGGAAGCAAGTGTCTTGATGTTGGATGAAGTGCCGAAGTGCTTGTGGTTGAGTCAAATTTGTAGGTGGCTGTGGTAGTTGGTAGAGAACAATCAGGTGGTGCTCGATATGTGAATAGGTACCTAGAATTGAAGTAAATGACCAATGATCCCCCTTGTTACTAGGCAAAAAGCAAGGTTAGCGGGACCCACCCAGCTAGTGCGTTCGCAGTGAATGTGTGAGTTCCTTCGTTTGCAAATGATATTATCCAGTAGGCTTACGGCTCGGGGAACTTGCAGGACTGACATGCGAGTTGAACGTCGTGCATCGTTTGAACGGGGCTTACGAAGTCTTTGTTCTTCGGCTACCATGTTGAGGATGTGACAGTTGTTGGTCAATCACTGAACCGCGTTTGGATTTCAATTGCTCTTTGTTAATTGTATGTTGTTTTACATCATAGCAACCGATCCCTTGCATTTTGTAGACACTCTGTAATTGTATTGATGACTTCGCAGAACTCAGGGCATAACTGCTGCGATGTGAGGAAGCAGACATCAACTATATATGAGTTTGGCATATGAGTCGGACTGTATCCCAGCACGAAAAATGTCAAGTTTTCAACGTGAAAGCTATGAGAATATGTTCGCTTTTGGTATGCTTAATCCCATGTGGTTACGCGCTGACCCGCCTTAGCCCTGGAGAGATCAATATTGAGATTCGTATTCAGATTGTGCATATCAAAGATTCTTAACTCGCCCAATAGTTCAAGCGAGTTCTACTGGGCACGAAAAATGCGCTTGGACATTCGTAAGGTCACTAGAACATGACTCTGACCTCAGTCATGTGATCGTTCACAATGTGACATATTCAGAGATAACCTACCGAATCACTTCAGTACAATGTGTGAAAACAATAGCCCTAACTTTACATAATACAAGTCTGCTGATACATATATAAATTATAAGCTTGGGAACTACAGAAGTTCATCACTCTCACAACATCTCGAACGTTACAATTGTTTTGGAACACAACCTCTACTACCCTATTTCTACAACAATGAGTTCCTTCGACTTTCCCGGCTTCCCCGGCTTTGGTCGTCGCACTATTCGTCGCACGAACAGACCATTTGCAAGACGCTTCAACCATACATATGACAGCAGCAATGACTCCGGTCGGACCACTCCTGATTCCTCATATGAAACTTTTCGCGATCGCTCTGGGCACCATGAGTACTACAGGCCTGATTATATCAGATCGCATAGAACTCGTCGCTCAGAACCTAATCTGCACCGGGAGCGTCAAGCTCGCGGTGATGCAGCCGAAGCTAGATACCGCCGTGCGCAAGCTGAACGAGCACATCAAGAAGCATATGGACCTCGTAGAAATGAGAGGTCCTACTACGCCAGAGCTCCGCAGGGTTCTTACGATCGATCACGAAGAATGCAGGAAGAACGCCATGCGCAAGCTCAACCAGCATATCAAGAAACATATGGTCCTCGTAGGAATGATAGGTCCTACCACACTAGAGCTCCTCAGCATCCGTATAATCCATCACGTAGAATGCAGGAGGAGCGCCAATACCGGGCTGATGCGGCTGAAGATCGTCGTCGTCGTCATGCGCGTAGCGAAGAAGCTCGTCAACATCGTTATGCTGACCAAAATCACGTTCCGCACTCATCAGGTCACCGCTCGCGTAGACAAGAGCCAGATCTAGCAGACATGTTCGCTCGTATGGGCTTTAGTGGTGGAAGGTCAGGTGACCAATCCTTCACCGGTAGGTCTCATCGGCCATCTCGACATGAAAATCCTTCCTCGCAACCCGGCCGACGCCATCAGTACTACAACAACCAAGGCGTTGGTTATGACATTGAGGAGCCTGAATCTGAGTAGATAAACGCAGGCGATAAGTAGCCAATACAGTGCATATGAGCAATGTATAGGCACATCAAAAATTGAATATGAAATGTTGATATGAAATGTTAAAATTCTGTAACACAATCCGTGCACCTTTGCAGTGAATTTAGCTACGTTATTGTTGAGTGGGGATACATCATGTCTCTCCATATATCATGTCACAGGTCCAGTATCATGTGTAGGCGATGGTATATCTCGTATGTGGTGTTATGAAACCAACTTTCTGTTGTCTTCAAAATCATCTGGATCTCTAAATTTTATAGGGTTTTGACTAAAATCTTTGTTGCGTCATCTCCGTAGCCTATTTCGATCTTACGTAAACTGCTACACGACAACGTGTCAATATACATGATTGGCTTCTGTGCATTTTGATCCAACCTAGACTAACTTTTGCGTACTGTCTCGAACACAAAAGTGTCACACCGATCGGAACACAGACTGTTGGACCACGGAACGGGAAAGACAAATGAAAAAAACCATGAGCGACCAAAACTTCACTCATCATATGATGAAGATATTACAAAGAGAATACATCTGGATGACCTTAGCTTACCCAAAAAAAGCCATATACAGGCTTCACACTTTGTACCACGTACTAAAAAGAGAGCGATCACCCAAGGAGATTACATCCTCACCAACCACAACAGCACTCTCACACAACCAGCAACAGATGATCTTCTCATTCATGTACTTACCCTTTATACTGACTTCCAAAAGTCGCAAGATAATGAATCGACATACCCAGAGCTTTATCTTCGACAAGTGCCACAACGTACACGGCGAAACGGCCGAGCCGGGCCGTGGAATGTAACGCAGCACCGCAACAATCCACAACACCGCAGGCGAAACGAAAACGAAAAAGAAGTTCTATCCGAAGACATGCTATTTGCACACCCAGAACATGCGCACCAACGCTCGTCATTCCACACACTTACGTTTGCCCAGTCCCCCCGAACCGCCAAACGATGATTTAGCGCAAGTATGCGCGCGGAAAGGGGCATGCTCGTGTAGCCCTCCGTCCAGACGGAGCAATGAAAACTGGCGAGTTGTGGAGAGGAGAGAAAGATGGTAGATAGGTGTGATGAGTAGAGTTGCAATTAGTGTTGCGACGTCATGTGTACATTCCTCGAGCTTGAGATCGTACAATAGTAGGTCAAATATCTGAAGAATTGATTTTGCACCTGAAAAACTTGTTCCAAATTCATAAATTCAAGTATACTATCTGAATTCGGAAGGTTTGAGCATCCAGGCTTCATTTCGTTTCGCTAGAGTCAATCATCATGTCGACGCTGACATCATCAACGAGTCCAACCGCGACGGATGCTATCACTAGATACACCCAAGAGGAAAATCAACCAACCCACCGCAGAAATGACTCTTATTCGATTTGGCCTGAAAGGGAAAACAGCATCAATCCCACTCCTACGCTTGCAAACACAGTGCCATCCGAGAATGCGTCCCTGGAGAAAACACCACCTCCGTCCTCGCCCTCGTTTACTTATTCTTCAACATCGGAGGAAGACACAGCGGAGAAAGAGGGGGGTCTAAGGGCGTGGTCGACAGTAGCAGGTTCTGCGCTCGTGTACTTTGCATCCTTCGGCATCATCAGTAGTTTCGGCTTTTTCCAGGACTACTACCGCGAGCACTTGCCAACCGTTCCAGCTTCCACTATTTCATTTGTGGGGACGGTGCAGATTACACTGATGAATATATTGGCGGCGCCCGCTGGCACATTGTTTGATTGGTATGGGGTCAAGGTATGTGTAAAAGACTGAGAACATGTAGAGCAGAAAACATTGACCAACATACCTCCACAGGCCCTCTACATCTTCTCCGGCATCACCTCCTCATGCGCACTCCTCACCCTCTCCTTCCTACACATCCACTCCTGGCTCCTCTGGCAGATCTTCCTCGTTCAAGGCGTCTTCCTCGGCATCGCCATCGCTTTCGGCGCGCAACCCGCACTAGTCGTTGTCGGACGCCATTTTGTACGTCGTCGCGCTCTCGTTATGGGAATTGTGGCAGCTGCCGGGAGCGTTGGGGGTGTGTGTTTCCCTCTAATTTTTGCGCGACTGAATGGACTGCCTGGAATTGGTTATGCCTGGGCGTTGAGAGTGGTTGCTTTGATGGTAGCGTAAGTACTTCCGTCTTCCGACTGATTTCTCTCTCTCTCTCTCAGTTATAGATATGCTGACTTCAATGCTGCATACAGGCTTTGTTATATGATCGCACTGCTCATCTCACGTGCCAAGCTTACCGATGTCCCTGACAAATCACTGCGACAGCTGCTCGATTTCCGGGGGTTCCTCGACCGCAGATACTCCGTGTTATGTGTGGGATCCTTCATAGCCATGCTGGGGCAGTTCGTGCCTTACTATTACATCAGTACAATCTGCCTCAGTTTCTACTACTGTTTCACATCTAATGATCTCACAGGCTCCTACATGTCCGATACGAATCCAGAATCACCCGCAAAGGACTATCTCCTGCCTTTGATGAACGCATGTAGCTTTCTAGGCCGTATACTAGGCGGATTTGCAGCGGATAAGACGGGTCCGGCAAACGCGGTTTACCCAATGACAATTTCATCCGGGATACTTTGCTTGGGGGCGTGGGCGGTTACATCCTCCGTCCCCGTCTTAGTCTGTTTCGTGGTGCTCTACGGACTTTGTAGCGGAGTCTTCATTGCAGTGCTTCCCGTCATCGTGGCGCAGATCACACCAGCAGTCAAAATTGGAGGGAGGATTGGTGCGTTTTACAGCGTTTGTGCTGTGGCACAATTGGTGGGGAGTCCGATTGGAGGGACGTTGATTAAGAGGAAGGTGACGTCTGACGGAAAGAGTGCCGGAAGAGGTGCAGGGGGTGATAGAGAGGAAGACTCTGCGTATCTTGGGTTGATATTATTCGCAGTATGTTGAAAACTGAAGCTCGGGATCCGGTGGGTGACGTTGTGGATCACAGAACTGACGTGCTTTTAGGGTAGCACTATGCTGGTCGGCGGCATCGTCATTCTGGCTAGTCGCTGGTTACATGACCGAAGCTTGCGTTCCCGGTTTTGAAGCAAAGAGACAGAAACGAAGAGCGAAGTGCAATGTGGTCAAATCGAAGACCGCAATATTCAGGCTCGTCTTGAACTGAGCCACGGATGTCGAGGCATTTGCAACTGAAATGGTTGGTGGAGTTAAGACTGCCAGGAACTTCCATATCTTCGGTTCGGGGGCTCTGGTAGTTTAGAGACTGCGGGCAAGCCAAGCAGAGACGGGAGCGTCGATGTACATCAAACTTCACATTTTTTGTTAATATTTATTGCTAGCTTCGACATCGTCTTACGCGATTTTGGTGACACTTTGCTCAATCTGAAATCACCCTGTGTGTACCCAACAATCGCTAGTGCAAAAGGTCACCAGTCGTTGCATGATTCACTGCTTCGAAGTCATAGTTTGATTGAATAAAATTTTCATGAACACCTAGGTACCAATCCTGCAATCTTGGGCCACAACTCAGGGATCCTGAAGGGTTTGGTTATCACATCGTCCATCCCAGCGGAGAGAAATTCCGAGATTTGTTCACTCCTTGCGTTTGCGCTGACAGCAATAATTGGTATATGTGGCACAGAGTCTGTGAAATTGAGCACGGGAGTCCTGGTGTGAGGTGAAGATTTGGGCTCTGATTGTAGGAGTGATTCAGAGTTGGGCTGTGGTGCTGAGACAAGGCCCTGTCGCTCGTATTCGCGAATATTTCTAGTGCAAGTGAGGCCGTCCATCACCGGCATTTCGACATCCATGAGTATTATGTCGAGATGTTGGTTCAGAACGGAGGTCTGAGGTAGGTCTGGTGTCCATGAGTCTGTTTTTCTAGCCTTTTCTCCCTGCCCACGCCACCAGGTACTTTGTTTGAGCCAGTCCAGTGCCTCTACACCATTACCTGCTACACTAACATTGCACCCCATATTTTTCAGCTGTTTGCCGAGCACTTTCTGATTTACCAAATTGTCTTCCACGATGAGAACACTCACTTTTGCTTCCCTCATCGCTTCTTCCGTGGATGATTCAAGAGTAGGGATGCGTCGGTATGAGTGACTGATGCTCTTGCGCTCAGTTTCTTCGGCAATGCGAACGCTTACGTAGAAAGCAAACGTAGATCCGACAGAGGGCTCAGAACTGACGCCAATGGATCCTCCTTGAAGAGCGACCAATGATTTTGAGATGAAAAGACCTGAGACGATGTGTGGAGTCAGTAATCTTCAGGCACACATAAATCAGTAGATCAAATGTTTCTCAAGATGTTGTCAAGCACACGCCATTCGACATGCAACGATCTTGGCTTCAGAATATACACACCTAGTCCGGAACCGCCATACTTGATGTGCGTTCCTGTATCATTTATGAGCGAAAGCGGTAGATGATTGGGTACTTCAGTACTTACGGGGTGTAGCTTGAGAGAACTTGAAGAACAATCGAGCTTGCTCCATTTGGGTCATTCTACAACCAGTATCGTGCACCTTCAACCAAACAAATCCTTTGATGCCGCTTCCCCATTCATGCTCGTCGCATATATCATCTCGGAGTTGGTTGTTCTGGGCGAACGTGACTGTTTGCCATTCTTGAGACGGAGGAACAAAGGAACCGCCGAGTGTTACTGTAATGCTCCGGTTTTCACGGCCTTTAGTGAATTTTATTGCATTGCTTAGAATATTGAATAGAACCTGCCTGAATTCATTAGGGTTGGTTAAGTCCAAATGAAACATGATTAAATAGAGTTTTACTCTTTTTGTCAATATATGGGTTCAATGATTTCAATAGTACTCACAGCAAACGCGATGGATCCATCATTACCCACTGAAAGTCCTTCAAACTTTCATCTTCTTCGAAATTCAAACGTAGTTGTAACATCCTGCATTCAGCTTCGAAAATTTTGATCGCATCGGAAACCACTAACGCGGGTTGGACTCGGGCTGGCGTTATAAGAAGTAGGTTGGAGTCAAGTTTGGAAAGCGTAAGCACGTCATCGATAATTCTTTTTTGATGTAGAGAGCAAGACACGATGGTGTGTAGAGAGTCAATGCACGTGTTTATATCATCGTTAAACTTTTCCCTGTGTACGATTGTCGAAGAATCTTGAGTGAGTGTACTCAGAGTCGATATAACCGAATCTGCACACTGAACAACTGCTGATAAGGGATTCCGTAGCTCGTGAGAGGTCATATCAATGAAACTGTTTAAAATCAGTACTGGTATTTCAAAGTTGTGGTAGGAAAGTATACTTTTCTTGCTGTCGCTTGGCTTCAAGTGCTTCTTCAATGCGTTGACGCTGCACACTTTCGGCCCATTTGAATCTGGAGATGTCAAACATAGTACCCATGATACTGGCAACGTTCCCTTCGTCATCCAATTCGGGATAACTGGACATCTGCACCCATGTATACGACCGAACTTGTTCTTGATTTACCCACTCCTTTTTCAGTCGGTACTGAACCTGGTTTAACTTTTTCTTGTCCATCATCATGGCCCATTCGGCTTTTAGCTGGGCGTAATCGTCATCTACCACGAGCCTAGCGAAGTCGATGTGTTCAGGCGAGATGTGCTGAATGCCAACCAATTCGAAAAATTTGTCATTGACATATTGCAATCCCATACCCGGTTTGTGGATGAAGATGGCAATGGGAGCAAGCTGCGCGAATTGCGCAAACTTATTCTCGGATAGTCGGGCTTGTTCTAACGCTTCGACCTTTGCTTGTGCCTCTTGCTGTGTTGTTTTTTGTGCGTTTATATCTATAGTATTTCCAGCAATGCTGAGCAATCTCCTGTTCTCGTCGAAAACCGGGACACTCGACGTAAGAATCCACTGTGCTGGTTTATTGGTTCCCGGCCGTGCTTTCCACCTCATTTCAAAGGTGACTGGACTTCCTTGAACCAACGTGTTCCATGCAGACATGATCACCTAGATCACGGAAACAGAGTCAGTCAAAGATGTTTCAATAGGCCGTTAACGTCTCAAATTGCGGATTCCAATGGATTATCGTGAATGCAAGGCGTGTACGCACATCTAGATCTTCCTAAATTGTGGACACAGAGTCAGCTGAAATCCGAACACGAAGGTCTTCCGCACATTGTCAATGTTTTCAAAGAATAGGCCATGCTACATCGAGTCTCGTTCGTCGATAACGGAGCATAACTTACAGGATATGCCAGATCCATGAACTGGAAATCCACATGAGCTGGCATTTCTCTGGGGTGATTACTACAAACTGCGTCAACACCTGTTCCAACAAGTGTCAAGCCGCTCGCACCTCAGTCTGTACCACGCATCATTTGCTTGAACAAGCTTGCCGCATGGATCAAACTCGAAGACTCCCACGTCGCTCATCTCCATCATTGTCTGTAAGCTCTCCCATCGAGCGTTGATGTTGACTTTAGGAAGGGCTCGTAAAGGCACGGCGGGATTCTGATTTCGTTCCATTCTTCTCATTCTTTCCTCTTTTGATCGCTGAAGTTTGTGCACAAACTTTGTAGGGATCTGCCTTTTCTTGCTTGGCAAGTCGCCGTCTTCAGACTCTTGGGAGTCTTCGAGTATGCGATCCGACGCCCGCACGACCTTCCACATTTCGTCTCTACCGCAATCGGATATGGTTGCGTCCTACACATAATGTGCGAATTCGAAAGTCGGTCTGTAGAGCCCTATAGCCTGTGCCCAGGAACGGAATAGAAGACTCTCCCGATTTTGTGCCAGTAGTACCTCTTCGAAGCCGGATTTCCGGAACGCTTCGTTACAAAATCGGATTTGGAAGGCGATAACTTGTGCTTGGACCTTAATAACGAATGTAGGAGCGGGGTCAGAATCAAGAATATCTAGGTTCAGTATTGATGATATAGCTGAGGAGGAAGTCGAAGTAGAATCTGCGCGTATCATTCCAATAGAGGATAAATAGAGCCAGGATATAGAGGTAGGTAGTTACGTAGAAAGATCGTGCGTGTAACACTAGGCAAATCTTCACGCGATAGTGACGCGATGGATGCTGTTGCCGATTTGGTGCCGGTTGACTTGAGACTACCCTAATTGGCCAACTGGTTCTCAAGTTCGCCTTCCCGAACGGAGAACATTTGCAGTGTAAGAATTATATACGCGGTAGTATGATGTAATTCTATGCACACTGTAGTAAATGCCTGAAGACGAGACCAAAACGAGAGTATATCATGTTGCGTGCTCTACTCCTAGGGGTTTGGTAGGATGATATCGTGATAATCGTAATGGATTTACTCAAGCTCAAAAACGTCATCACTTACATTGCAGATGCATTGTTCGGAATTTTTTCAAACCAGTTCTCCCAAAATCTCACGCCGTCGAGTCCCTGTTCACGGCATATGGCGCCTGCTTCTTCTGCCATCTCCAATTCCTCCGTAGCCACACCAACACTCCACCCAAACCATTCCGCGGTTTCTTGTGCTGTAACACCCCGTCCAAATTTCTGCCAATCCCATACAGTATCTGGTGAGGGCGGTTCCGTGTGAAGCGCTGTGAGCCATGAGAGTAGGCTTTCGATTGTCTTCGCGTCGGTCCTGTTACGACCCTGCACGACCAGCAGTCCACTTTTGAATTGCCTCAAGCGGACGGGGAGTTTGAGTTTGTCCCACATACGCGCGGCTTTCTCGAAATCTGTTGGGCTGACAAGCTCCACACCACCTCTTGCCCGGTTGAAAAGAGCCCATAGATCTACGAGGGTCATGATACCCCCTTCCTTCTTCAAGATCCCGTGAGTATCATCAGTCAGCCATTCAGCCAGGTTGCGCGACAATTCGGACACATAGAGTGACTCGGAACCAGACCCGAGCATATCTTTGGTGGTGACTAAGCCTAGTACTGACGCAGATTGCGAGGCCAGCGCACTAGCTTCTGAGCTGCCATTAGTGCCAAGATTGGCTTGAGACGCGAATTGTTCAGCCAATGCGATGATTTCTTTCGCAGAAGTCATCAGGGCATCAAGATCTTCAAAGGAGCTGCCGATCATTGCTTCGGTATTCTTTCGTTGCTCGAGATCTCTGCGCTCCAAACCAGCTATACCCACGACTTTATTACGGCCTGAATTAGATACATCGGTATCTGCATGGCTAGAATCTCCATCGGTGGCGGTTCCTGATACTGGACGAGGTTTTGGTATCGGTGGTGCGCTATGGAGAAGCCATTTGCGTTGCACAAGCGCGTTCTTCAATCTTTCGTAGAAGATCTTCTCACCACCGCCCCTGAAGGAAAACTTGATGCATTCAATAACCTCGTCTGTTAGGGGGGAACTCAGTGAGGGGCCTGGCGAAGCGGTCCGTGAAATGCCCTGAGTCACGTCAAGACGCTTATCCGTTATTGAGGCAAGTGAACTCCCACAGATTTCACATGCCGTCAGTGAAGGATGATTTTGAAAGGTGCATCTCGGGCAAGAAAGAGTGTTGGATGCATGCGCTCCTGACGTCGGTTTGGACGATGGACCTCCGCCGTCTTCGTATCTGGGGGGTAGCTCCGAGGTTGGTCGGTTCGATATTGCCGCGATGACGGCTTTGACAACGTGTACAAGAGGCGGCTTGATGCCGCAGGCCAGGCAAGGCGGTATGGGGGTGCGAGCATTCGCGATCGCAGGGTCGAAGTTGGACGGCACCGGATTCGAAAATGAGCAGATTGGGCATACCCAAGTCGCATTCACTGGAGGTGCGGGCGCAGGCGCTGGTGTGGTGCTTCTTCTTGCTTCTTCGGAAGACACTGCTGGAGAAGCACTGGAGAGGCTCTTGGATGGCTTAGGGTACAAAGAGATCTTGGGCGACGATTTCAGAAACCTTGCCTGAAATATATATTAAATCACGGTATCAACAGCCCGGGGCAGACAGCTGCACATACGTAAAACTCGTGTCTCTCAACGTTTCTCAAATGCACAGCCAGATTCTTCTGGCGCGGATCTTTCTGGTCAACATAGCACACTCGGTGGGAGGTCAGATAAGCCTGGCCGTTCTGATATTCGGGCAACTTGAGTTTGGACGAGTACAAGCCAACCGCATCTTGGACGAATAGCAGGGTTTCTTCGGGGAGAAGCGTGGGTCGAAGAGCGGTAGTCAAGTCGATCTGGTATTGGAGGAACATTCAGTAATATGTGCAGAGGGGACAAATGCCAGTGTGACAACTGGGGACCATCCGTCTGTATGTCGATAGCTACCCACATGCCCGCATCTTCGCTGACGTCCAATGCGGGATGACCGCGCTAGCCGAATTGGGCCAAGGCGCCAAGCAGCTCGAATACCAACGCTTCACCGCACACTCTACCACCCTTCATCACCAGCTGGCCAGCACTACCTCTCCCTCAACTCCCACCTTTCCTTTCATCCCGTAGACACTCACATAGTAGCCACCCTTTTCTTCGATTCCGTTTACCGTGCCTCTTGGCGTTCAGCCACCCCACCATGTCGTACCCTGCCTCTGCTTCCACCGTGGCGTGGTCCCAGAGTTACCACGCAGTTCCCGCCCGCACCACCCTCGTCCGCCCTACACCTGCCCCACCAGCAGTAAGTGTGCAGCGCAGCACTGGACTCACTTATGCATCAGACTGACCAGAACCTGCAGACAGAAGCAGCTTCCCCCGTAAAACCACCCAAGGTCGAATGGACACCTGAGGTCCGCGAATACGTCGGCCGTGCCTTCGAGGCGGAGAACGCTATCAAGGGCATCTCGAGGGAGGATACGACGAAGAAGCTCAAGGAGGTCATCGGGTTTTTTGCAGAACGGAAACAGCTCGCCAGTGTGACGTGGTCCACATATCCCCTGCCTCAACAAATTCTTCGTGACGAGCGCGCCTCCGCAGCGGCTGAAGCCACCATGCCCTCCCCCAACGCCGTCACTAACCCTTCATATGCACCCACCCAATCTAAGAAACGTAAATCACAAGATCCGGACGAGACTCCCGCCGAGAACTCCATTCCCCCCTGGCGCAAGACTAATAACCTAGAAGACCGCATCACGTTCTCGGGCGGCAATGAGAAGCGCCACAAGAAAAATGTTCTTTCTCCCCCTAGTAAGTTTGATCCGAGCGACCTGGAGAAGCGCAAGCAGCGCTTCAATTTGGGCAAACCCGCCAACAATAAGTCCACGCCGCCCTGGGGCTCCGCCCGGAATGAGTCTGACTCAGACATGAACTCCGCACCTGTTGTTGGTACAAATGATAAGCTCGAGAAGAGCTACTTCCGGCTGACCGCCCCGCCGAAAGCTGAGACGGTGCGCCCACAAGCAGTTCTGGAGAAAACCCTCCAATTGCTCACGCGGAAATGGAGGGAAGAGAAGAACTACGGCTACATCTGCAATCAATTCAAGTCGCTGCGCCAGGACCTCACCGTCCAGCACATAAAAAACGCGTTTACGGTCAAGGTGTACGAACTGCATGCGCGCATCGCGTTGGAGAAGGGGGATTTGGGTGAGTATAATCAGTGCCAGACGCAGCTCAAAGCGCTGTATTCGCAGAAGTTGGGAGGAAACCCCGCCGAGTTCACCGCATATCGCATCCTTTACTTCGTCTATACGTGCAACAAGACCGACATGAACGACTTGTTGGCAGAATTAACCCCCGCAGACAAACTCCATCCGTGGATCAAACACGCCCTCGACGTTCGCTCTTCGTTGGCTCTTGGAAACTATCACAAGTTCTTCAAGCTGTACCTTGATGCCCAAAACATGGGCAGCTATTTGATGGACATGTTCATCGAACGCGAGCGACTCCATGCCCTCGCTAACATATCCAGAGCGTATGTCCCTTGCCTATCCAGCGTCGTCAACAGCAAAGGCTAACTTAGTGACCAGATATATGACTGTGGCACTGCGTTACCTGACGGAAGAGCTTAGCTTCGACAATGATGACGCCTGCCGTGAATTTCTCGAGGCTCGTAACGGTCATGGCCTCTTTGACGAAAAGAAAGACGAACAGGGCCGCCCTCAGATGCGCGTCAAGGTCAGAGAAGGAGCCGGTTTGTTCGAACGTCTCCGGGCCGCAGCTTTCAGCAAAGTAGACATCAAAGGCCAACTTTGAACACGCATGATGCCGATATTTTACTCACCTTTATGCGCGTGTTTGTTTTTCCCCCTTTACTTCGGGCCTTTTACCTCGCATCACTGCTCGCGTTTTTGTTTGGATACCCCGCAACAATCTTTGGTACTTGACAGCGTGGGCTCATGTGGTGCAGGAAGCACCCATGTTGATGTCACTGGAGGGGAAAACATTCATTAGCCGACATTACATTAAAACGTTTCCTGGAATGACAAGATGGGTCGGGAGGTTGAAGATCCGTTGTGGGCGCAGGCAGAGGCGAAGGCTGTACAGGGAGGCCCATACGTTGAGTGTGTCACGGCTTTATTCTCGCTTTTTGGCGGGCATGCGAGGGCATCGGAGAGGGAGGAGTAGGGCTGGGGTTAGACGGGAAAAATGGCCGTAGTGGCTGAGATTTGGCGTCGATGTTCGGACATGGGTTGGTTGCTTTGTCTTGCTGAAACGTGGAGCTGGACGGGTGAGAAATGTCCGATTCACACGTGGGATTGTGGACGGGAAGCCGCACTGTGCCAAGGCTTAGAGGATCCGTGACGGGCAAAGAGGCTGATACGAGAGTCGAGGGTGAATTTGAGATGATTGTGGCAGACCAGGCCGAATCCACAGGAGTAGCAGCGGAATGATTTAAATTTTTGTTTCTTGTTCTGCATTTGCCAGGCAGCAGCTAGGTGCAACATGGTTTGGGATGCGACATGAGCAAGATGGGAACATTTGAACGCGCGGACAGGCTCGTGACTTTGCTTTCTTTCTTTGTTGTGACCCCCCCTGCAGGTTTGTGTTTTTTTTTTGGGCGGAGACCCAATCAAGAGCGAGAAGGGAGCATTTGCGGGCGACAGCGATTCGCTGAGGCGGAGCATCCGTCCATCCATCCATGATGCATCCACCATGAGATATTTGAGAGATGACGATTCAGTTGAGGTTCGAGGACGCAAGACTTGTTGTGAAGTCACTCATCCCTCTCATGCACTCGATGGTTCTCCCAACACATGCATCTGCTACGTGGGCCGGCATGGCTGACAGAGGGACTAGACAGAAGATGCAGATAGACAGGCAGGCAGGAGCCCAAAAAGCGACAGGCCTGGGGGGTTTCAGGGCCGGGTGGTTCCCATCAAGTGGTGGTTTGGGACTTGACGACGAGGCGTCTGCAAGCAAGCAGGGAGTGGATGGGGATGTGCATGCATGGGCGATGGCAAAGTGGAGCGCGCCAGTCTCCACCGTTCTGCTCGGAGTGGGTTCAGGTGCTTGTTCATCCATCATTCATGCATCCCCCTCCAACTGTCAGTCTGGACTGGCAGCGGCATAAAACAAAAAGAGGGCGAAGGTTTAGCGCCTACGACGTGGGTTTGGCTGGAATCAAAGAGGGTGCGTGTATTCAGTCATTCATTCATGTAACCATCCATCTATTCATTCATCCATCATTCCTGGCCACCAACTGCGCCCCCCCGTCTGCCCGCAAAGCAGCCAAAGCAGCCAAAGCCAAAGCCTGCAAGTCCGCCTGTCGCCGCCTCCCATGGCCGCGGGTGACTTGGATGGATTGGGGGCAGCAATCCATGGCTGCAGCCCATAGATGAACTGCCTACTACAGCGCAGCTACTACTGTATCTAGCATGTAGCTACCGCCGCATTGCTCTGCTTTGCTTCGCTTTGCTTCGCTTGGGCTGCCTGTCTGTCTGTCTGTCTGTCTGTCGTCACCCAACGTTGTCCCCAGTGCTCGTCACCCTTCTGTGCTTGCTTTTCTCTTCCCTTTTCCTGCTTCTTCTCCTTTGCCCATCCTCTTTCTCGCTCTTCGTCTGTCTGCCCTTGCTTTGCCGTGCCCACCTCGATGCATACGCTCCCCGAGTGAGCCCACTCTCGACAAGAGCCGCCGCCTCCGTTACTCACTCAACACCTGCTTGCTTATACACCCGCACACCACCACCAATCTGCCTTTGTTTGTACATGGTCGCTTAGCCTCGCTCCCAACATCACCACCACTACCCATCTACTTACTTACTCCCACCCACCTCCACTGCCACTGCCATCCCCTCTCTTCCCAAACCGCCAGCCTGCAGCCCTACGACATCGCCCGACGTCCCTCAGTCTTACACTTTCGCTGGTGCCGTGCACGTCCCGCCCTCTGAATCATCCTCCCTGTCCCCAGCTCTCTGGCGGCCCAAGCATACGCCTACGCCAACCTGCCGGCTTCCATCCTGGTCGTCCGCACATCACAGCGCAATCAAACCAAACCCCGTTCGCGCCTCACCTACACCTAGCTCCTCGCTCGCCCTCCTTTCTCCGCCGCATCCAGTCCTTTTTCTCTCCAGTCACCACCACCTTCGTAATAACCCACAAACCGCACAGAAACGAGGCGCAGAAAGACTGCATTCATCTCCCCGCGACAGTCTCAAATCTCGCCGGCCATGATGAAGGTATGCGCCCTTTTGCACCCACCCTGACAGCGCCTGTCGCTCGCCCACCCTTCTCCGAGTCATGCGCTATCCCATGTTTTGTTCCAACCACAATGCTAACAACTCAAAAGTTTCGCCGGTCGATGAAGAGCGAAAAGGACACCCGCCCACATCACATTTCCATTCCTCCAAAAGATGCCATCGCCATTGAGCCACCCAAGAAGGTGAGTTGTCCCTTCCTTTCTCGGCATTCCTCGCCGGCATGCGCCGCCTTGCCCCGCCAGCTGCTGACCCGTGTCTCTCTTCGCAATCACTAGGTTATCAAAGCCCTCTACGATTACACCCACAGCCCACCCGATCCTCGTCACCTCAACTTCTCCCAAGGCGATTTCCTCCACGTTGTCGGTCGCGAGAACGATTCGGAATGGTACGAAGCCTGCAACCCGCTGCACGGCACCCGCGGCCTGGTTCCCGTCACCTACTTCGAAGGCGTCGGTAAGACAGTGCGAGACAGCGCTGGCTCCAACAGATCGGGCCCCCCGGCCGCACCGCACGATTCCGGATATCAGGAGCGCAGCATAACGAGCCCCGCGAATGCAGACGACAGTATGAAGCCCCTTGGCCGCCAATCAAAACAACCGAGCATGGGAGGGCTGGGAGCTATGGCCGGCATGGGCGGCATGGGAGGCATGAATGCGGGAGCTATGGCTGCAATGATGATGGGCAAGGGTTCGGGCGCAATGGTCTACGGCATTGTCATCTACGATTTCAAGGCGGAGCGTCCCGACGAGCTCGAGGCAAAAGAGGGCGAGGCCATCATCGTCGTCGCGCAATCCAACCAAGAGTGGTTTGTCGCAAAACCCATTACACGATTGGGAGGGCCCGGGCTGATCCCCGTATCTTTTATCGAGATTCGCGACATGAGCACAGGCAAAGCCGTGCCCGACCCGCAGGAGGCTGTACGCCGTGCAGGCGTTCCCAAAGTGGAGGAGTGGAAGAAAATGGCCGCCGAATACAAAAACGGCAGCATCCCTCTGGGCAAGCTGGAGACTAATTCGCAGCAGACTCTCCAGCAAGGCATGGAGCGTATGAGCTTGAGCAGCAAGAGTCAGACGAGCGGGGCTCCCAACGGCGGCTATGGCCAACAGCATCCAGTGAGTTTTGCCTAATCAGTGAAATAGCCCGACTTTTTCCTAATCTGTAGCAGCAGGGTTCTCATTCGCGAAACGCATCCATGGCCCAACGGCAGCAATACGACGCATCCGACGCCAATCTGCTTGCACCTGTCAAAGCAACTGTACCGCGATACTGCTTCGCTGACGACATCTTCTGGTTCATTATCGAGTGCGAAATGGCCGATGGACGCCACTGGGAGCTGCAGCGTCTGTACCAAGACTTCTACGACCTTCAAATTCAGCTGATTGCGACTTATCCCGTGGAAGCGGGTACCAGTGGAGCAGGGGAACGCACGCTGCCTTTCATGCCTGGACCCGTTACCTACGTCACTGACAACATTTCCAACGGCCGCCGCGCGAATCTGGACGACTACATCAAGAATCTGCTCAGTCTTGGGACGCACATCACAAACGGTCTCCTCGTTAAGAAGTTTTTCGCACCAAGAACAGGCGACTACGAAATTGATCCGGACATTGTAGCTGCAGAGGAATACCGTCTGTCACAGCAGTCTGCGCATTCCTCCAACCCATCACATGGAGGCTCGCGACAGTCTTCTGCCGATCACTTGCAGGCTACTACCCCACAGACTCCGTACTCGACAGGGTCCAATTATCCGAACCACCAGCGCGGTCAATCCATGGGCAGCCAGTCCTATGGACTCAACCCGCCCCCTATACAGCATCAACATTCAAGTCTCTCCGCTACGTCCGTTTCGACGACTGCCACTGGTGCAGGCTCTGGTGCCACCGCCACCACCAAGATCAAGGTCTGGTTCGACGAAAGCACTTGTGTGGTGATTCGCATGCAATCTATGCGATACTCTGATCTATATTCGAAATTGAAAGAGAGAAGAGACATGGACAAACCCGAGGAGAGAAACGAGGAGCTGTTCATCGAGTACCGGGATGAGACCGAAGGCCAATACTACCCCATTGAGAACGATGAGGACTTGGAGATTGCAATGACGCGAAATCCCAAACTGGTCATGTCTGTGACCCCTGCACGATGAAGATACTTTGTGCCTCAATCACTTTGGGCGTCTGTCAGCGTTCTCTTAGCGTCATTCTTCTCCATTGGGTCAGGTCTTGCATCGCGTTGGTCACGGGTAAAGGCTGGGAGTTCCGATTCCCGTTCACCTTTCTTCCAAATTTTTCCTGTTCGTTTTTCCATCCCTTTTCTCTCGCGGCACCTTTTACCGGAGTGGTGAAGCATTTTTGGTTACGGTTAAACTGGATCTCTCCATCCATCTCTATCGGGAACCTCTCCTCCCCCCTTCTTCTACTTTCATCTAACTAATCTCTGGTCTGGGCGTTCTTTTTCTAAAAAAGGAAATGGTTCGAACCAAGGCACATGCAGGGGGTGATGAGCGCGCTGGCTGATGGAAGCGGGATGGCGTCTCTTGTCTATGGAGCATTTCGGAGTAAAAGGGTATTCATTGCTGGACGGGGTTTCCATGGTCATCTTCTTTTCCTTTTACTTCTTTTTTCTTTATTCCCCCATTTTGCAAGATTTATTTTTTTATTTCCTCATTTTTTACCATTTATTTAGTTCTATTTCGCGTTAGGGTTACGAAGAATGGGGGTGTGGGTTTTGGATGGAGAACAGGTTGGAGGAAGTGTGGGGGTTTCCAACGTTACTTTTTCAGAGGGGCATTGAGGGCGAGATGAAGAGTTCGGCATCTCTTCCTCTTCCCCCACGCGTAAAGACACGAATGTAGATGAAAGGGTATCAAGGCTGAGTACGAACGGCGAGAGGTTAGACAGAGCTCCGTACAGTCAGTCAGGTCAGTCAGTGGAAACGAAACGAGCGGCGTTGCTTCTTCACGAGTCCATTCTTTGTTTTCTATTTCGTACCAACACACATACACACACAGCCCGTGATGATTTTCAAAGGTGACGATCCTCCCCACTCCACCCCCGTCCAAACATGTATAAAAAGAAACGTAGAAGAAAGGAAGAAACACGCGTCTCCACCTCTCTAAACGCTCATCCCCCCCACTTCTTTTGAACAACCCTGACTCATTCACAGTGCTCACATCTTTTTTTGCATAAACGCTTCCATTCAGGCCCCCCCTCCCCTCCCGCAGTACCCAGAAAAAGAAACATTTTGAGAGTCAGGTATATTTAGGCACTTTCTGTTTAGACTAGATTGTGTGACATGACTGATGGACAGACAACACAATGAGGGGGAGGGGGGGAGAGGTGAAACATGTTTTGGGGTGTTTTGAGATGGACAGACATGGATAGACATGGATGAAGGGAAATGATTTGGTAGGGGCGGGGAGGAGGTGAAACGGTGTGACATTAGGACAGGACAAGAAAAGTAAATGGGAAGGGAAATATGTGCGATTTGTTTGAGAGAGGGGGGGACGGTATATATATAGAAGAGGTAGGGTTTTGGATGGAATGGGATGCTGGAGAGGAGAGCAGTAGGTGTAGTAATGTGGAATCATGGATGAAGGTGTTTATTATAGTGACGCGCCTTTCTGTATGTGGCTTCTTTTTGTGTACATGTGTATCAGAAATGCGTTTAGAGTGTTGTTGGGTTAATTGATTTCTTTCCAACGAGACTTGCCGGCTTTCGTCTTTGATATTTTGTTGGTGGATCGAGCTTCCTGCTACCCTACCTCTCATTATACAAGTGTTATAAGGGTGTCTACGATGTAGAGTCGTCTATGTGGAATCCAATACGTCCGTGCTAATGTTGGGTTATCGACATAACTACATGTGTACACATCTATGTGTGCATGCAAGAGACGAAGGTGTTTCCCTTGAACCATTTCGATGCATCAACCAAAACACGTCGAAATTTCAAAGACAATGCTATAAACTACAAAGATTATCCCAACAATTGTCTTTTTGATGTCTTCGCGTTTTAAAAAAAAACCTCGATTGGTTTCCATCCCGCAAGCTACCACCCATTCAATGCTCTACTCAGCTTTAAGCCGATGCTACCCTTCCTTCCCTCGCCTGGGAAAATAAGCATATGTTAATCAATATATCGATTGATCTAGATAACCGACTAACTACCTATGTACAGTTTCTTCATACATGCCCAATCACAACAATCAATGCTTGATGTATAACGAAGTTCGTGTATTGTGGAGCAAAGCAAAGCCTCGGGGTGCTTTCTCCCCCTTCCGAACTCTTGGGGTCGACGGCGTTCCGATCTTCGGGGGCTTGTGGGGAGGGTTAGCGTAGCAGCGCGCGCTATGCGTTCATGTGCAGGGTCTGAGCGCTGCTGCTGCTGCTGCCAACTGCTTAGTTTTCGACTTCGCATCGTCATCATCTTCTTGCCCTAGTATTTGGCATGACTTTCGTTTTGCGAACTTCTCGATCGACGCATTTGATGAAAGTGAGCATGAAGTTTGTGTGAAGCTGTTGGTCTTCCCTTGTTGGTTCGGTTACTTGCGCTTTCGCTCGCTCGCTCTTCGCGTGGTCGGGTATTTTTTTTTCTGGTTACGGACAGACGCGGGTTCTGCAGGTTGGTGGTTCGGTCTGCCATTGAGGAGTCATCAGCTGAATCGCTGAGGCGAAAGGTATCAAAGAGGTGGAAGAACAGTATCTAATACTTGGTCCTTGCGACAAACGTGGGAAGGCACAAGGAAGAGAAGGAAGGCTTTCGAGGTTGACTAGAATTATCGGAGGAACCTTCTGGCACAACCACCACCGGCAGCTACGATGATGCGCGAAGGAGGACCGACGCAGCAACAAGCGCTCGCTAGCTCTACGTCGACAACAGCTGAAGATTCAACGACATCTTCAACGACGAACATGCGCGATGTCGGCGACGCGGGATGGACGACGGCTCCTCCACCTCCAACAACTGCTCTACCTACGCCCAAATTCTCCTCTCTACCGTCTCCGGCCATCGCGATACCTCCTCCCGCGCCCACACATTCATCATCGCCCGCAAAGAAGCAGATGATAACGCAGCACGCTGATAGCGCAAGAGTGGACACACAATTGAACACGCACAGATTAGGGATGAGAGTAGCCATCGATGCAGCGGCGGCAGCGAGCGCGGGAGTGCTAGTTGCGCCGCTAATCACAATGATTGATAAGGGAATCATCGAGAATGCTAGCGGGCGGTGCTCACTGAAGGAGAGCTTGAAGGGGAGCTTGCGCGAGTTGGCAACGACACCATTGAAATTTATAGGGGGTCGGCCGTTCGTGTTGATCTTGGTAAGCTATTGATACCATCACATCTCTCAAATCTCAGGGATTTCCCTCGAGAGATGAGAAAAGGAAAGAGAGGAAGAAAGAATCTAACGCGTTCTCAAAAACCAGTCTCTCTACTTCGGAACCTACTTCACAGCAAACTCAATCGATACGGTCTCCTCGACCCTCACCCCCTCAACCCCGCTCACAGCCACGACTTCCGGCACCTCAAAATTCATCGCAACATCCAGCGCGAACCTCGCCCTCTGCCTCTACAAAGACTCGCGTTTTACCCAGCTCTTCGGCTCCACTACCTCTGCTGCGCGTCCCGTCCCCCTCCCAACATTCGCCCTCTTCACCGTCCGCGATTGTCTCACAATCTTCGCCTCGTTCAATCTACCCCCCATCATCGCCCCGCACCTCGAGCACCGCATGAGTGAGGAAGTCAAGAAATACGTCGGCGCTGCTAGTGTTGCACAGTTCGCTACGCCTGCTGCTGTACAGCTGTTTAGCACACCGCTGCATTTGCTTGGGCTTGACCTGTACAACCGTCCCAGTGATGGGGCGAAGAAAGTGTCTGTGTGGGGTGCCGATGGCCGCGTGAATCAGGTGGTAAAGAATTGGGGGATGAGCGCTATTGCACGTATGGGCAGAATTGTACCTGCTTTTGGTGTTGGTGGGGTTGTGAACGCAAAGGTTAGGAGGGGGCTGATGAGGAGAGTGGAATAAATCTTCTCGCGGATCATTCATCAGGGTTATTTGGTCGCGGGGTAATCATCTGGGAACCTTTCATATTGGGCTGCATGGGTTGTTCTTTCTGGTGATATATAGGTTTTGGGATTTCCTGGCATTTCTTCATCTCTGGGATGGCTACGTGCATTGCTACATGGTACGCTGGCATGCGGTATCCTCCTTCATTGACTTGGTCCCTTCTTAGATCGAGTCTTAGAAAGGCTTGCATAGAAAGAGGCATAAGAAGGCAGGGGGAAAGGTCTAGACACTGAGCACGAACGCATGCACATAATATCATGATCATCATGGGTAACAGAAGGAGGATAGTATTGCGGCGTTGAGGATCTCGAAATTCAACAATGGATGTAGGAGTTATGTGAGGGAAAGGATGCTTCTAGTATATCTCTCTTCACTCTTCCTGTAGTATATGTACAATTGAATCTGTGTAATGGGGCATGTGTATCATGGAAGAAAAATGATCTTGGAAAAGTGATATCTTTCGAGCTCTCCTTGGTGATTTTCAATTGGTGGATAATGTGTCCTACTATCCTAATTCCTACCATGTGGAGTGCATTTGATGGTCAAACACCGGAACTTGACAACATAAAGTACCTGTTCAGTAGATCAATTCTGTGTTGAGAATTGCCCCTGATCATTCGAGAATGCCAACAGGGTGTCTATGAGTTCTGACAGACTAATGTGCTTGATCTTGTTCGACATCATTGCAGTTTTTGGGTCGCCTTTTTTGATTTCTTCAAGTGTGCTGTCTTTACAATTGTCTCTTTTAGCCTGTAGTCCTATAAGTATCTCACAGATGCTAACTGCCATCAAACGGTCTTCTCGTACCTCTCGGAGATGGAAAGCATCCACACCCCCTGTATACCAGGTAAAATAAATTTTTTACTATACATCTAATTCCAACTTCAAGACCACGACAATTATTTCCATGTTTCGGTTCTTGATGGTTGTTCATCTAGCACGTAAATCACAGCCCCTGTGTCGCCTCGCATGTAGGATGGCTCGGTAGATGATTGCTCTATACATATATATGACCCTCGTCGAAACCCCACTGAGTTGGTGCTTCTGATGATGGCTTCCTCAGCTTCCGCAGGCCGCACCGTCTTCGTAGCATACATACAGTCAGTGGTCTGTTCAATATTCCACGCCTGAATAAAAACGACAGTGAAAGGCGGATAATCATGCTAGATGCAGAAATTGCGAAATGGATCGACAATCGACATACTTTTCGTAAAGGAATCTCCCCGGTTGGCATCACCTCCCTTATCGATTACTGGGGAAAGCGTGCGTGAATCGTTGAAGGTGGATCGCGCCGTCTTAGTCAAGCTTTGAAGAGAGATCGAGTCGATCTGCAGCGTGCCCTAAGACTATTATTTGATCATTGTATTTCTATACCGCACAAACACATGTTATTATAAAACACGATAAATATGCCTTGGGGCTTCATGCAGGACTGTAACGTACACGTGCCCGAGATTGTTAACAGTGGCATCGCTTTTCGACCTCGAGATGAATACATTCGAAGCTTGTATACTGCGGACGTAGGCTTCCGATCTACCTGAAGGTTCAATCTTGAAGTCCTGTTGCAAGTAATGGGAAAGACCGCAAGCGAGTCACGTTCAAGGGGTGGAGATAGAGGTGAAGTTGGAACGCGATCATGATGAAATCGCTAGATTAGTAAACCCGCTCATATGCTATATATCATGTATGATCAAAAAAGTCGTTCGTAAAGATGGCACTTCGCCTCAAATAACATACTTCGCAACACATCAGGTTTCCACTTGTAAAAAATTCAATGTACGTCGTTCATTTACTGTCATCGTGCCGCGGTGGAATCCTTCGAATTCCCCCTAAAAAGGTAAAAAGGTAAGACGGCGGAATCTCCACGTAAGACTCAGCTTCGGGTCAACGCTATTCGTCCGCAATCCATTATATTTCCCGGAATTTCATGCGGATAGGTAAACGTGCCGAGCTGGTTTCAATCATCTAGCCACCAACATTTCGAGGCTGTGAGCCCCATGTTCTCCTCTACATTGCTGTGCGTTGTACCTGTAAGCAAACGCCCGGCTTATGTGCGGATCCATGCATGTGATAGGCTTCGGGGGCCATTTCTTGGTGTTGCTCAATATGTGAGCGCCACATCAATGAGCATAATCGATGTTGGTATCTGCTCTCTTGCAATATTGTCAACTCACTGATAGAATAAAAAAAATTATCATGTGTGCATTGACGCGTTCTCTATCAAAGACAAGAAAGCCAAATACCTGCATCTTGGAACGCCATTTGGTCATCAGCTGGTAGCAAACAAGTCAAATTAGGTGGCACGCTATAGTAGTTACAAACAGAGTATACCAAAACCAGTTTTGCGCACGGCGTTAATATGTCCGAATTGAACAATGGGTGAGTGGTTTACGCCCGACGCTATGGATTGCTCTAATGTCATAGCGTCGAGCGTCTAGTCTAGAAAGATACGAAAACAAGTTTACCAATTTCGCGCTAAATGACTTACTAAAGCCAACTGCTTTGTAATTGAAATTGGTGCTTGAAGGGGACGGATGCTTGAATTTTGACGGAGATAGAGCGCGATGCCCTAGTAACAAGAAGCTTCGCGATTCGTTTCTGCTGTAAACCTCTTAACGCCACGGCTTCATAGAGTATGGTCAAGTCCCTATGTACCGTACTTTGTCAGCATCAAAGTCAAGCTGCCAACATGTTGCACTTGAAACGGTTCATAGCCTTGGAGGAATCAGTCTTTATAAGTATGCTTGCTGCCAGCTCAGGGAATCAGACATTTTCGCCACACTATTTAGCCATTCAATATGAAATCACTTCTTCTTAGTACTTTACTTACTGCCACTGTCGGCGCAGTGCCTTCAGCTCAAATCAAGGATGGAATCATCCAAGGTTTCACATCGAATAGAGTAGAAAATTTCTTTGGAATCCCTTACGCAGATCCTCCAGTTGACGATCTTAGGCTGCGAAAGCCTCGACCTCTCTCTAAACCATTGGGGACATTCGACGCCACTTCACCCCCACGCATCTGCCCTCAAAAGGCAATGGCGGGAGATCTTCCCATCCTAGATACCTGGCCAGAAAGTCTTAGTAACATACTTCTCTCCTTCAACGCGACTGCACAGAACGTGGGCGAAGACTGCCTTACAGTCAATGTACAGAGACCCGTGGACACGAAAGCCGACGCGAAACTACCCGTTCTCTTCTGGATTTTCGGCGGTGGATTTGAGCAGGGTGCAACAAACACGTCAGATTGGAGCACACTTGTCACCAAATCGATTGAGCAGGGTGGTGTCATCGTGGTCGCTGTGAACTATCGCTTGAACTCATTTGGTTTCCTCGGAGGCAAGGAACTCAAGGCCGAAGGCGAAACCAACCTCGGCCTGCACGATCAACGTCTTGGGTTGGAATGGGTTCATGAGAATATTGAAGCTTTCGGTGGAGACCCAGAAAAAGTTACTCTCTGGGGACAGTCGGCAGGCTCCATCAGCGTCCACAATCACCTCCTCATCAACAATGGCGACAACAAGTCCAACCGCACTGGGAAACCATTGTTTAGATCTGCCATCATGGATTCAGGAACATCCTTTGATGCTGAGCCGGTTGACAGTGCAACTGCACAAGCCCAATACGACTTCATAGTCTCTCACGTGGGCTGCGAGTCCTCGGCACCTTCCCACTCTTCCCTCGAGTGCCTGCGCAAAGTCCCCTGGCAGAAGATCGTCGACGCCACCAACGCTCTTCCTCGATTTCTCTCCGAGAACGGATTCTTCATCGACTACGTTCCCCGCCCAGACCCGTCATCTTCCTTCTTCACGGCCGCTAAATTCAATGGGAGCCAACCCATCGTCGACGTCCCACTGATTGTTGCCCACCAAGAAGACGAGGCCACCACTTTCTTGCAAGCCACTTCAGGAATCACCTCGGATGCCAAACTCGTTGCCATGCTGCACCAGCAGTTCCCGACCACGCCTCGAGACTTTCGTGAGTCACTATAGCAACGCGACAGGCGCGCCGTTCCGCACAAACGCCTCCACCGATGTATCGTACCCCAACTCCAAGATCAATTCGGCCGTGGTATCAGACGTTGAATTCATTTTCCAAATTCGCTCATTTCTGGATAGTGTTTTTGGCTCAGAGTACGGGCACCAGTGGAAAAGCCCTGTCTATGCGCTTCAAGCGTCTTACTTCCATGGCTCGCCGCTTCTGGGTACGTTTCATGGGAGTGATCTTGCGCTTCTCATGGGAGGCACAACAGGAGCATCTGAGGAGCCCTTCAACAATGTTGCGGAGAGGTATGTGAGATTTGCTAAAGATGGGGTTCCGGTGTATGAGAGTGGTAATGAATGGCCTATTTATGGGGTGGAGAGGAACCTGCTTAGAGTCAATGGGGATGGGAAGGATGAGGTCATCAAGTTTGATTTCAGGGAGGAAGCTTATGATTATTTCAAGAGTGTGGAGAGGGATATCGTGTTTTGATGATTTGTGTATTCTTTTATACACATATGTTTGCTAGGTAACTTATAATAATGCTCACACAACACCGAATTTGGATATAATCACTAGGTGTCGCTTACAATTTCTCCCAAAAGAGTAACACAATGCAATGTAAAAGATCAGCACCGTAGTTTTGTTTCTTCTACGATTTTGATTCAATGCGTCTCTAGCGACACCTAAAACAGACTCTCTGTAGCTTCTCCTCATTTCCTAAGTTCTCAACACAAACCAACACAGTCTTACTGAAACCCATCTCAAGCTCAATCTATATCTTCCCCCACCAAATGATTCACCTAGACATATTTCCCACCCAGCAACTGCCGACCCATCAACCTTCTCAACTCCACTCCAACGCCCCCCTCCCTCTCCAAACACCACTTACTCCTTCTGCCCCCCAACCCTCTGCAACGCATCCCCAACCCGATTCCCCACAGCATCACCAATCGCCGTCCCAATAATCTCATTCGAAAGCTGTCTCTTCTGCGCCGCGCCACCCTGCTCTCCAACCTTCTGCCTCGCCGCCTCCACAATCCCAGCAATCTGTCTCTTCTCCTTATTCACATCCCTAAACGTATCCAACCCTTTGGTAATCTGCTGTCCCAACGCAGCACCGACTTCAAGCCCAACTCTTTGTCCATCCTGCCTCTTCTTCTCCTTTTGCTGGCCTCCTCCGAACCGCTGCAACTGGTCGCCGATTTCTTTGCCTACGGATTCGCCGATTGCGGTGCCGAGGATCTCGTTGGAAAGCTGTCGTTTGGTTTTGGACACGTCGCGGAAGGTGTCGAGGCCTTTTGTGATTTGCTGGCCTACTGCGGCGCCGACTTCTAGACCGATGCGTTGGGCATCTTGTCGCTTCTCTGCGGGGGCGTTGGTGTCGATGGGGGCGCTGTAGGCGGTGGAGAGAGAGATGGCGATGAGGGTTAGGGTGTTGAGCTTCATTTTCTTGTTTTTGAGGTCTGGTGTGTTGATCTTTTGTAGGGAGGGGTTTGTTGATCTAAAGGTGGTGGGTGTTAGTTTTGACATGCCAGTGTTTTTGTGTTCACGTCATATGCTTTATTGGGAGGATTTACTAGAAGTTGTAGGAGCAAAACCAGTTGCTTGATATGTAAAGTCTACCAGAGAGAAGAAGAGAAGATGAATGGAAGGATTTTGGAATGATACTCTTGAGGTCTCATTACCACAGCTTTATATACGGCTTCTCGTCCTCTTGTTGAGATATAAGAGACTCTTAAGATGGCGTTCAATCGGACCGTCTCGGCAATAATGCTTCCAGGCGAAAATAAGGCGCCTTCTCAGAATGATTCTAGAAGTGATCACTACGGCCATAGCTAGCATATGTTACAAAGTATCGGCGCAATGCCTTGAACGCCAAGTCTGATCTGTTTTACGTCAAGGCTGCATCCTTACCGTGCTTTGGGGTCGTGATCGGAGAATGAGCTATATAGTCATCACGAGCCATGATCGAAATCTATTGTCTATCTATTAATTGTAGCCTATTCATCTTCCGCAAGTATTATAGTCGTGGGTAGACTAAAAGGATCTCCTTCACATCAAACCCCCACAGTTTATCGACTTGCAGATCACACCGTAACTGCGTCCACTCGTAAGTAGTTGGAGCTATAGTGCTGTATTATTAGCATTATGACTTCTAGCATTCGTCCTACATCTTTATGCCGCGTGGACCATCATGTTTCCACCATCGAAAGTGACACATGTCACATCTAACGCTAGGGTAAGGGATCGCACTCCGAGAGCCCCGTCTACCAGCCGATACATGTCGCACTTTGTCTTCGTGAAAACATTTGAGGATGAGTCGATGGCGAACCAGACCGACATGATTACTTTCGTAGCGTATGTACTGTTGCTCATCCTCAACGGACCACGTCGTATTCTCCTCAGCGCTATCTGATTTTATACAAACACGGCTTCAGCGTCTTCGCATCCACCTCATCGCCTCCATCATCATCGCCATTCGAGACAGCCGTGAACTTCTTCCCCTTGATCCCCATCCTCAATGCACCACCTCCACTATTTTTATTGAAAGTGTTAAAAGCGGCGCCTTCTTTCTTGGCGTTCTTCCCCTTCGCCGGAGAAACCCCCTTCACAAACTGCAACTTGACAAACATCTTGTTGGAGAGGTCAATAGCATCAGACTGGCGCTCAGGAAGCGCATCCAACACGAACCCATGCTTCTCTAGCACCGCCACAAATGAAGAAACATCTGTGCCCTCCTGCCCGTCCTGACCATCGACAATATGCGCAAGCTCTTTCTCGTCGTCGGATCCCTGAATACCTTCCTCCTCTGGCTTCTCTTTTCCTTTGCGCGATTTCGCCGGTGGTTTGGGGCCAGATTTGCGGAGGCTTCCGATGGAGTTGATTGGGGCTTGGCCTGCTTTGCGGCGCTCTACGCGCCCGAAGCGGGATTTGATTTCTGCAACCCAGAGCTCGCCTTTCCAGCGTAGGATGCGCCATGCTTCGTCGATAAAGTCGAGCCAATTGGTGCCCATGAGCGCGAGGCAGAAGATGGCAACGTCGACAGAGTTGTCGGGAAGGGGGAGCGCGGAGATGTCTGCGACTGTGACGAGAGGAGCAGAGGGGCCCGTGGGTTTGGATAAGTCAAAGGAGTGGAGGGTCATGTTGAGAGACTTCAGGTGAGGTTGGAGACGGTGGGATAGGGACGCCGTTCCACAGCCCAGATCTGCGATGGTCGCTTGTGATTTCAAGTTTCGGGGAAGAGGCTTGAGACTAGATTCTAATGCGCTGCTAGGTGTTGAGTCTATTGCTTCGCCAGGATTTGATTTTCCTTTCTTCTCCTTGCGCTTCTTGTCTTTCCAGGGATCTTTTGTGCGGAGCTTTCCGCGGGCAATGATTGTATTGACGTAGCTGTCCACAGGATTCTCAGGCCAGACTTCTACTTGTTGCGCGAAACCTCGGTGATAGTCTTCGAACATGGTTGGATCTTCTTTGAAAAGAGAGAGAGACTCGTCCGATGGCTTTGTGTAGAGAGCTTCGTTGAGGTGACGGAAACGCGCGCTGGCAAGTTTGAGGCGCATAGACTTCTGAAGAGGTGTGAGTCCTTTGGGCTCTGGAGGCAGGAGAGACACCGGCGCGGGGGCTTTGGAAATCTCGTTCGAAGTAGACGCATTTTGTGTTTGAGAATCGGTAGGCTTGGGGTCTTTCTTTTGTTTCTTCTTGTCGCGCTTGGTTTCGCCCGCTCTCGGCGTAGTTGAGTCTGCCACAGGTGACTCCGCTGGCACTGGTAACTCATTGTTCGTAGCTCCGGCGCTCTCTTCACCCTTGCCTTCTTCTTTCGCAGCCTTGTTATTCTTCCTCTTCCTCTTCTTTCCTCTCTTTTCCTGACTCTCTTCGCCTATAGGAGCTGGAGACCCGTTCGCCTCCGGTCCTTTCGCATTCACCACCCCCTGGGCATCTTGTGTATCCACTCCACTGGAAATCTTGTTAAAGTAATCTCCTAGATCTCCCTCATTAATCTGGTCCTCATGCTTCTGCCTTCTCTTCTTTGCTTTTTTGCCTTCCTTGGACGGATCTAGAGGCTTCGGTTTCTCGGCCTGAGTAGCGATACTCGTGGAAATATTCCAGCCAGGGACCGAGAACATGGTCGCGATCGTACTCGGGATTTTGTAAGTGGGAATTCGCGAGGTTGGAAAGCTGGCCCTCCTCGTAGTACGGGCAAGCTCTGTTGGACGATTATTTTTTAGCGGGTCCGGATTATCAATGTTGCGGGCCGAGGCCGAGCACAGGTGGGGCCAATGAGATCATTGGAGCAAGGAAACTACATCGAGGGGTATGCTCTCTAGTGTGTATGGATGATTTTCAACAGGGCAACTACAATCCATATGACCTCGAGGTCCTCCTTATACCGTGATACATGTTGTCAGGTTGAATACTTGAAGTCTCTTGAGCTATCGTCGATTCTATGCGTCACTCAATGATGCAAAATACTTGGAGGTCATGATGGTAACAGCACATAACCGTGCGTCACGACGGTATCAACGTTCATTGCCGGCTTTATAATTTTAGAAAAGAAAAATTCGCAGGAACTACAGCTCATCTCTCGGCCCAGTCTAATACGCCAAAGGATAAAAAGCACGGTAGTAGTAACCGCGTTGTCGCATACCTTTCAAAAGACATGCCCCAGAGTCCCATGCTAAATGCAGCAAATTCGAGACCGCCTACGCCTACCATATGCATGATCCAGAACGACCAAAACGAGCGATACATTGAGCAGTTGGCTCTCCACTAGCGTGCGAAGAGCAAACTAGCGGCATATTCGACATTGCCGTTGGCAGCCTCCAGTGCCTGGACGGCATCTTGGCGCGAGAATCCGAGACCGACAAGTACGTCAATGTCTTTTTGAGGAAATTGAGTTGCGGTGGAGGACGCTGCGCGTGTAGTGGAAGGAGCAGGAGTAGAGGCCGAGGCGGGGGTGGTTTCAGGGGGACCTTGAGCAATCTTCGAAGACGAATCACCTTCTTTCACAGCGCCTGATATCGATCCGATCTTTGTACCGTTGGGACCCTCCACGGTCGGCTCGCTGTCCTCAAAGCCCTTGGGTATCTCATTCTCTGGCAAGAATGGCACCTCGACACCTTCGAAACAAAGAGCGTCTTTCTCGAGGTCAATCTTGGCTCGGTACCGCTTCAGCATATCCAGTCCGAAGAGAAGATCCACATCTTTGCCTTCCATGACGGTGAAGGAGCACTTCATGACGGCACCACCAATCTGGATCTCAGCAGAATGAACCCGACCCAAGATTTTGGCGGTGCCCACTCCCTTGGCCATACCAGCGAATCGAGTATCCATAAGGCGCATAATTCCACACCTCTCAGCGCAGCTCGGAGACATGATGGTAGCCTGAGCGCCCGAATCCACAAAGGCCTTGACAGGAACACCATTCACTTCGGTATTAACGTAGAGCATGTGCACGCGACCAAACACTGCAGGATCTTGTAAGTGTACTGATATAGAGCTGTTTGGTGAGTGGCGTAAGTCACTGACCTTCAGGATTGTTATCCAAGGCTTCTTGCAGGTTGTCGATGACGCGATCCTGGCGGATGATCTCCTCGATCTTGCGCTGAGCCTCAATATCGAAGGGATCCTCGTTCAGGCGCTGAATCTGAAGTTGGCGCTCGCGCTCGTTGTTGTCGTTTTCGCGGAGCATGCGCGAATACTCTTCGCGCCAGCGTTCGGGGTCGTCCAGTGCAGCGTGCAGAGCGGGGCGGCGAGTCCTGATCTCCTCGGCAGCGTTTGGAGTCCTCAAGACATGCTGTCGCACGGCCTCGGGATCCGCGGCTCCTTGACGGGAGGGTTGTTGGGGCGGCTGGGGCTGCTGCTGTTGCCGCTGGGGTGGGTTGCCACGGCGGCGGACGAGCAGTGCAAGCATCTCACCATCCTGAATTCCTGCCTCCTCGAGTGTCTGAGACTGTGTGTTGAGGGGGTTTCCGTTCAGGAAGAGCTGCTGAGATGCGACGGGGTGATTTGTATCGTGGGCGATGAGAGCCTTGAGCTCCTCGATGGTCAAGCCTGGGGGAAGCTCCATGGACAGAATGTCGGATTCGGAGGGCTGGTCGGGGGCGCTGATGGATATTGTGACGCGTGGCCTGGCCAAGTGGAGAAACATGAGTTAGTGATTCTGGCTTGTAGGTAGCACGAGAACGGTTTCGGGGCATCTCACATGTTGGCGGACTCCTTGCGTGTATGCAGGCGCGAGTGGAATAGGCAAAGAGGGCGTAATGGGTGGCACGTAGTATGGTGTGCGGGTGGCAGACGTGGTCGTGGGTGGAGGAGACGGCGGGGATGCTATGCCCGTAAGGTACGAAGCCGCAACGTTTTTGGTGGTGGTGGTGGGTGCCTTGCTACCAGACGAATGATTTTTTTGGCCTTGAGCTCTGGTACGCGAAGGTGAAGGTGACACCCCAAGTGTGCTTGCGCACCTGTTTGTACACGCAAACACGCGGGATTTGCCGTTGTTGATGTTTGGGATTAACTGGTTTTGGGCGCGGTGGAAGCCGATGGAAAGGCACGGCAATAAAACGGGTGGATGGATGGGATGGATGGATGTACGTCAGAATGGCAGGAGAATAACTAAGCAGAGAGGACGGACGCACGGGGGTGAGACTGGGTGGTGGAGGGGAGAAGAGGCTCTGGGTCTGAGGTCATGGTGGGGTGGAAGGGCCGGGAGGGGGGGCAACACCACGACTTGGGCAGGTCTTGAGTGTGCGTGTGCTATGTATGCTGTGTGGGGGGAGGGGGACTTCATTTAAAGCTGGCAATTGGGTGGGTGATGCCGGTAGGCGGTGAAAGATGCATCAGACTGCTGCATCGTGGATGGATGTTGTTGATGCTTGGTCGAGCGCGTGCTTGCTTGCTTGCTTGCTGGTCGTTGAAGGTCGCGGAGGAGGGGATGAGTGATGGAAAAACTGCCCGTTCTGGTTGTTTGGCCGCGGAAAAACAAGCAAACATTGGAACAGCCAGCACCACAAAACGCAGGGGGGATGCTTGAAAGTGCAAATGCAGTCCTCTGTCGACATGTTTACAAGTACATCAAGGTTCGTGCATATCTTACATGGGAGCATCCATCGTGGCCGTTGCAGGTGCAGGCGCACCCAGCTATGTAGTCGATCGCCCCACGTGCTCTCTCACTCTCTCAAGCTCTCGAGCCAGATCCATTCCCCTTCGACTATCCTGTCCATCTCCAGACTCCTTCTACGTACGTGCCTTTGAACGACTGTCGAGACAATACTCTCTCTTCTCTACTCACCAGTCTAGCCCGACAACACGCGCGATGCAAGGGCCTGTACACATCTATGCAGGCGCTCACGGCCTTCCCTTTCCATCCCATGGCATATCACACACCACACATGCTCGATCCTTCCACGGTGCCTCTATTTCTCCGTCCGAATACATCCGCTGAAGAACCTCTACTCGTAATTTGATACACCGATAATGCATGCTGTCCATCGTTGCAACGGTCGCCACATCACCATGGACCATCAGCATCCATCGTGTCCACTCCAAGAACCAATCAATCCGAGCGTCGATGGGAATCAATTCATGGATCCAAGCACGATCTGGAAAAAAGGAGGGGGAAGACGGGGACAAGAAAAAGCAAAGGTACACAGATCGACGACAGCCAGCCCTAGTCACACCGATGGCAGCTTGACGGATCGATCTACCTGTATCAAGCCTCCCCCACCATCAATTGGACTGGACCCTTTGACACGCACGTCTCGTGCCTGACAAGCACTCCGCCCCCGGCCGCCAACATGCAATCCCGCCCCGGACCTTAAACCGACCGCCTACTCTTCACTTCCTTCCTACCTAACTGTTTTGGTCACCCTGCCGCCTCTGTCTTCTTCCCGCTTGCCTGCTTGCTTGCCATCATGCCGCGCGACTTACGCTCCGAGAAAACCCCACTCAACGCAGAGTCCCTCGCTTCTCCACCCTATGTAAACCCCCTCACTCTCGCAAACGACAAAAACCCCAAAATGAAGGAACTCCGACCCTACTGCCTGCTCCTTAATGAGTCTGACCTCGACGACTGCGACTGGCTCGAACATGCCGCCTTTGACCCCAACGAGGCCGCCTCCAGGGAAAAGGTGAGGCTCCACCGCTCCCTCATGTCGGTCCCTCGCGCTTCAACCTCGTGCCCGCATCTATACATACATTAAAACACACCCCTCTCCCTGCTTGTGCGACCGATCCATCCATCTCCCATCTACGATCGGCTATCCGATCGTTTTCTTGTTTCTTATCGTCCTGCTGCAGCGCCAATGTAAATCTCCCGCCCGTTCCGAGCCCAATCTTGTTCGTCCCTGCATCTCCACCATCCTTGTCTGTCCTGTGCCACCAAGTCAATCAATCTACTGCTGTTTTTGTACTTTTCGTTATCGCTATGCGCAGCCGCCCGCCATCCCATCCCCCGGAATGTACTCACTAACCAACCACTACAGCTCGAGTACCGCCTCGTAACTTGCGGCGAGCTCTGCTCCGGCATCTTCGCCTCCGCCTACCAGACCAATCCCGACCCAATTGGCTCGGTAATCCGATCGCGCAAGTTTCCATCGGTTGACTCGGTAAGACAACAACAGCGCATCGTCAAAATACCTTCAAATCTAACCAAAACATGGATAACAAAAGGCGCATAGCGATCGTAAACGAGTCCTGCTCGGCCACATCATCGCGACCAAGTCCACATCAGACAAGGTAACGGATGGCTCCATGTCTTTCCCCACCGACTGGCGCACAAATTACCGACTGGATCCCCCAAACGGTCATCACGAAGAGGGCGATACCATTTGCCTGCACTCCCTCTGCGTCCACCCTTCATTCCACAAGCGTGGTCTCGGCGCCGTTCTGCTCAAGGGCTGGACACAGCGTATCCGCGATGCGGGCTTGGGAAAACGAATTGCGCTGATTTGCCACGATTACCTTGTACCGTTCTACGAAAGGGCTGGATTCAAGAAGATCGGCCCCAGCGCGTGCCAGTATGGCGGCGGTAACTGGATTGATATGATTATGGAATTTGACGAGCCAGGTCAGAATGCGAGCTGGTAAGGCCGAGTCGGAGCATGGCTGGCTGTAGATGGGAATGGGATTGTGTGGTGCGCGTTCATGATGCCATGAGTCCATTGGTACATGTACAAATGCACGACACAACTCGACGGTCAGCACCGTTAAGAATTTATTTATGCGATTGCGTGATGGGGGGAATTTCACGCCGGATGAGGAGATGAATATACGAGAACATGAGTAAATGAAAGCTTGGACATGCCACCAAGAAAACTGACATACTTTTTATCCCGACCTAGGGATTCGAATTCTAGTGTATTTACTTGGCTATACTGCTAATGATATCCAATGCATTCACGCTCGACCTCGTACCCGCTTATTGCTCAATTATGCTTGTCCCAAGCAGTCTCTGAGCCCTAGCATTTACGGTCTTTCGCCTTCATGATGCGATTGTGATGCCACGAGTAGTCGCTGGCAGGCAGTCTCTTTGCGATCACGAGAAGTGATGTACATTCCAAGGTTTTCAATAGAGATGAATATGCATATAAACCCCCCTGGAAGGCTTTGTGTGCTCCGGGGTATCTACCTACCTAGGTACATGGTATGTATCAAAAAAATTCGTCACATGATTGTGTGGTACATCGAGAATGTGGGGCAAATGCACTGAATCATGGTTCTTTACATGGAACCAATTCGATAGTCTACATGTGCTCCTAATATCTCTCCACGGCCTAACCCCGCTTACACGTCACACGATAATTTATAAAAACATTGGAATCTATCAAACACAGTACACCAACTTCTTCGCGCTGACCTTTCCCTTGCGCATCAAATCCAACCCTTGCTCAATCGCTTCCAAACCTCCCTTTTTGTTGATATCCACAGGATGGGGCTTGACTTTTCCAGAAGCGAGATACTTCTCCATGACAGTGATCCAGGCACTGCACATGATCAAGTCGTCCTAAATCTTCAGCGTTAGTAAAACACGATTCCTATAAAAGCTAAAAGCCAACGGAACTAGACTTACCAATACCGGTGCCCGCTCGTACAAACCATCCAGAGCAACCCTCTCCCCATTAACAGTCCATGCGAGAATCCAATCCGCATAGACCTCCGGCCTCGTTCCCTTGATGCGATCGCTGTACGGTTCCAACGCTGTGTATCTCCCACCCTTCGACCCCATGGCCTGATAGCACATAGCCATGGTAACGGCACTCCCAATACAATCCAACACACAATCCAACTTATCCTTCGTATACGCCCTAATCTCCTTCGCACACCCCGGCGACGCATAATCAAACACTTTCTTAGCCCCATACTTTGTAACCAAAGCCGCATTCCGCGGCGAGCACGTCGCAATCGGCAAACACCCAATCTGACTCAACACCTGGATCAACACCGTTCCCGTCGCCGTGGCACCACCATTCACCAACACCACCCGCCCACGCGCAGAATCCGCAACGCTCCTCTTCTTCCCCAGCTCAGGTAGCGACGGCAGCCGTAGCGACCGTACCACATATGCCGCCGTGACCAACGCAACCGGTAAACTTGCCGCTGCCTCGAGCGATATCCGTGCCGGCACTAGAATACACAACTCGGATCTTATCGCGACATACTGCGCAAACGCCCCGTTCCCGGGGACCAAGGGGTTAGACCCGAAAACGCAGCCGCACACGCGCGTCCCGAGAGCAAGCGGCTTGATGCAATCGCTGCCGACAGCGACAACGGTACCGGAAAAATCGGCGCCGGCAATGGCGCCCACGACTGTCGAGAGATCGAGGAGTTTATGGTCGGAAGGGTTGAGGGCTACGGCGTGGACTTTGACGAGGACGTGGTTTGGAGCGAAGGAAGGGACGGGTTGGGTGGTTTTCAGTTTGAGCTTCGAAGGGCCGGCTGCTATCATGGCATGGTGGGTTTGGGGGAGTGTTTGCATCTTGTGTTCGACGAGCATGTATTCTTGGGGTACTAGTATATTATGGCACAAAGATGGATGTTATTACTTTTTTTTGTTGTTCATTGTGAAATGTCTGGTGTTTGTTTGATAGCAATCGCTGTGGAGACGTCCACTGGGCTTTGGAATTCGACTACCGGTATCATCATCGCATGAGAACCCCGTCCGACATGGCTGACTACATCGGACACCCGGTCGCGCATTAGGGGCTCAACAGTCAACTCGGACGACCGAGCCAATAAAATTCTTCATGGAGTAAGTCACCGAAATACTTCGGGTGTTGTGTGTATTTGTTATGACCTGCTGTTGCTGGAATTTGGTTGACGTGATCTGGTCGTGTATCTATGTAGGTTTGCGACTCGTGAATCTTTTAAGAGCTTTTGACAGACAGATTGGGTAATGAGAGCTTTGCGGAGGGGGGACTTTGAGCAAGTAGAGGACTGGTTTGTATGATAGAATCATAGCACACCACCTTAGCATAGATCCGGCACTTTAAAAACACAAATAATCAGGGAACTCAAATAATAGATGATATTGAAATCTATGATAGACGCAGCACCCAATGTGTACGCCGTGAAAAAAGACACAGGCAATTTACGTACGTACATGACTAAACTAAACAAACCCCAATAACTCCGTAAAGAAACCACATCCAAAAAAGCAGACCCAAATGAAAACCCACAGAAAAGGAACAAGGTGAGTACAGAAACGATGACAGAGATGCCATGAAATTACCTCCTCCTGCCGCTTCGCCCCTTTCTCCCTCCCCTCTACCAAATTACCCTTCACCACTCTCTCTCCAAGTCAATCCTCCCTTTCCACACCCACATTCACACTCCCCAGCGCTTCCTTTGCACTCAAATCCGGGTCCCTCGCATAGCACTCTAACAAACCCAAATAAAGCCTCATAAACCACTCCACCGCCTCCTCCCCAAACATATAATCCCTCATCGCGAGCGTCAACCCGAGTTTATCCTCCTGAGCATCCTCATCAATCGTCACCATCAAGTCGAAGGACAACTTTGATTCTTCTAGTGTGTCGAGTTCCAGAGCCACGCCGTTGAGAGCGGCGGGACGAAGGGCACCGAGGCGGTAATTGAGGACGACCTGGAACAGCGGGGGCTCTTCCTTGTTGCCGTCTTCGGGCGCGTTGGATACGATTTCCTTGATGATATCAAGTGGCAAGACATTTCCCAGCGCCGTGAAAACCTTTGCCTTGGTATTCGCAAGTACGCTCCGGAAAGGGGTCGTAGTATCCCGCGCGAAGCGGAGAGGGAGGTAATCTGTAAACAGCCCGACGGTCCCCACATGCGCCATATCCGCCCGTCCCGCATCCATGATACCCAGTGTGAAGTCGTCGGTTTCGAGTAAGAACATGATGGTCTGCATGACGGCGGCGTGGAGATGGAACGACGAGACTCTGCACTGACTAGCGCATTGCTTGACTGCGGCAGCCACGTGCTTGTCTGCGTACATGGAACGTTCCAACATACCAGGAGCATGCGCAACGTCATCGCGGTGGTTTACTCTGGCCATGGGGAGTAACGGCACGCTCGTTCGAGCGAAACCTTCTAGTTCCTGTTTCCAGTACCCCCGACGCCGCTGCGCTTCTTCGCCCGCCAACCACTGAGTTTGCGACAGCACGGCGCCTACGAATTGACTGGTCTGTGGTTTTTGGAGATCGAGGTTGCTGTAGTAGCTCGTTACATCGTCGATGAAGACACCCCAGCTCATGCCGTCCATGATGATGTTGTGATACACAAAGATCAACGTGTAATTCTCACTACCACCACCGTGATACAATAATTCCGCGCGGAACGTCTCACCACTCGCGATCGCAAAAGGGCGGGTAGAACAAGCGCGAATCCGGCATTGGATTTCTTCTTTTTCGTCGGGACATTGTGAGTGTGAGAGCCAGAAGCGAGAGTGGTGGCCGATGGCCTGTTGGCCGCATTTCTCTCCACTATTGCTATCGAGGTAGAATGATGAGCGGAAGATAGAGTGCCGGGCGACGGTGAGGCCAATGGCTCTTTCTAGACGTGCTGGGCTGATTTTCCCGTTCAAGCGGTATGTGATGGTGACGTTGTGGTCGGTTGTCGTTCCATCTATGTCGCCTTGTTGGAAAAACCGCCGTTGAGCTAGGGAGATGTCTTCGACGGTGTCGGAGAGGAGCTCGTGCCAGTGTTCTTGTCTATCCTGACGCTGCTGAGGAGCTTTCGTGCCAATGTCTCCAACGACTACGATATCAGGCTCGGAGATTGTAGTTCCTTGATCGCTAGCGGGCGTCGATGTATTCAAGCTTGTAAGGTGGTCGAGTGAAGAACTAGAACGAGACGAGCTCGTGGTCAGTTCCGCAGGAGAAGGCGCTTGCTGCGTTATAATCGGCTTTGTGGCAGATTCAACAGGTGCTGCTGCTTTCGGCGCCTCGACGACGAGATTGCTTGCGTCTGGTGCTTGATTCATAGCAGCCCGAGCAGCAAGTGCCAGCTTCGCGGAGATGGTCGCGACAGAACCATCGCCCATGATTTCCAGGACAGGTAAGTCTTGGCCCGTTTCCTTGAATACCCATGATCGCAATTCGACGGCTACCAGGGAGTCGAGGCCTAGTTCGATAAGAGGCATAGTCACGTCCAAGCTATCGGCCCCGAGACCAAGCATGGTCTCGATCTGAGCCGCCATAGCAGTGCTAGTGACAGCTGTAGCTTCTTCCGTGGTACCGGCTGTACGAATTTGCTGCATAATACTTTCCGTAGCTACGAGCGCATTCTCCGATAGTTCCACGACCTGATCTAAACGATGATGGGAGAACTTGGGCTCGGAGTACCACTTGTAACGTTTGGAAGGGTCCAGTGGCACTCTGCCCAGCCCGGTGATGATGTGTGGGTCGCCGTCTTTGCTTGCGAGAACAGCTTCCGCAAACGACTCGAGGAAGTCGATTTCAGATTCTACGTGATATCCTTGACGTTTGAGATTCCCGTAGATGGTAGCTTCTTGGCCGGAGCGTCGCACAAAGCCAATACCCATCATCATGCCGATATCGAGGCAGCTAGCCGCAAGGTTGCGTTTACGTCTGTGCGCGGCCAGTCCAACCATGTACATATTCGCGGCCGCATAGTTGGACTGGCCTGGATTGCCGACGATACAGGACAGTGAAGAGAGGAAGATGAAGAGGTCGAGGTCGGGCATGTTGAATACTTGGTCTAGAATAGCGGAACCCTCGACCTTGGGACGCATTGCAGTTTGAAAGCTTTCAAGCGACATGCTCTCGAAAAGGCCATCAGAGAGGACCATGGCGCCGTTGATTACACCGCCAATGGGTATGTTGGTACTGAGCATCTCATCGCGAATGCGCTCGACGTCAGCGAGGACAGAGACGTCCATGGCCCGGATCTGAATACAGGCTCCTTGTTCATTGAGATCTTGCACCCAAGCGATGCCTTGACTTGGTTTGCGACTCGAGATGGTGAAATGTTTTGCGCCGTGCTGGAACATGTATCTGGCAATAGACTCGCCTAGTTCGCCAGTCAAGCCGACCAGCAGGTAGCTTTTGTTAGGAGGGAAAGACAACTGCAGCCCTACAGCTTGTACATCCACGTCGATAGAATCGGCCTTGGACCAGTCTAGCATAGCAAAAGGATCGGGTTGGAAGTTCACGTCCAAATTTTGGATGTCCGTGGCTGTAATGCTGCTTGGTGCAATTGCCCCTGCACATTTTGTGTCCACTGCCTGCTTCAAAACCACGTCGGGTGTCGTGCGTGGATCTAGAACGAAACTGGAGATGTGTTGGACTTTGATAGTGCCACCTAGCTGAGCTTGAAAGTTCGATGTGGCCAAGTCGCCACTAAAATCGAGAATGTGTTCAATACTCTTCAACGTCTTTTCCACTGACCGCGCTGTAGCCATCCTTACATTCAAATATACCCACGACTTGTCCGCGGCGGCGGCGGCTCGCGAACTGGTTAGTTTGAGCACAGGAACGCCCCAATTCCGAGAAAGGTCACTAAATAAGCGAGCCGTTTGCTCGTCGGGTTGGTATAGCGCAATGCCAGAGGTAAAGGTCTTAGCCAAGAGGAATAGCATGACCTGGGCCAGCGATGTGCTGCTAGACTCGGCCGCAATGGGGCGTACTAGTTTCTTTGGAGCGTTGACGACGGACGCATTTTGGGTAACAAGGGCTACGAGTGCTTCTCCAGATACTACGTTCGTCCCACTCACCAGCCAAAGTCTACCCACGTCATAGAGATTGACAGGAATGCTGGAACTAAATTGAATCCGGATGAAAACAAGATCTGTTGGGACTGTCGTTCGTAAGGATACCAAAGGGCCCTGATGGGGCATCAGGAGACCATCTACCGTGTATCTTAGCTCGACCACATTTCTTTCTAGATCCTTGGCCGTGCGGATGACTCTGCGCTGCGAATTGAGTCGTTTATTCCTATCATCATCTGGGAATACGCGGGGAAGCAGTAGCCTCCCGTCTTGGAAAACAAGCTCTCTCTCCGTTGTCCAAAGCGGGTTTGCGAGGTCAAACTCATCTGAACCGCTAATCTTGAGTCGTAGAAGTGCTTCTGCGATAAGAATCGAGTTTTCTGCGGGGTGATCAATATCCAGGAACTGTAGTCGCAATTCAGCCTGTTCACCCCAGACGGCGCGGCCAAGGCCAATGGTCGCAGAATGGTAGGGATTTGAGTCATTGGCGCCCGAAGTAATCCACAGAACGGTATTCACGTCGTTGAAAAGATATTGCATAATCGAAAGCCTTTGTTCGCTCATATCTTCAAGGACATTGGAATCGAGATCGGCAAGAATCAAAGCAATATCAACATTTTGAAGAAGTTCCGGGTCCAGTTCTTCAAAAGTATCAACTTGAATAATTCCAGCGTCCCAAAATTGTAGAACGGAGGTGATCTTTCGCGTCAGCTTCGCAGTGTCGATTTGACTGCCTCCTACGATAAGCAGAGCGCCTTGTGATGTTTCATAGCTTCGGAAGGCTAATGGATCCTGTAACTTCTCGGTCACCTCGTCCATTGCTTGGGATACGATGAGGGAGGAAAGGTGCGTTTTTCTATCACCAGTATCAAAATTAATGTGAGAAATGCCGGAAAATGATGCGCCGACGAGCTGTTTGTCCAAGTTTGATATGGAGACATCTCGACCAAACCGATTCTGAATGCTTTCATCTGGCCACAGGCCTGATAGACCACAAGCAATTACTGTAGGATACGCTAATGTACTCGTTGGTTCCGTAAGAATGAGATAGCCTCCAGGCTTTATCAACTCGCGCAATCCACGGAGCGCGAGATCCGGTGAGGCAGCGGCATGAAGGAAGTTGTTGAGAATGACCACATCATAAAAGTTTTCGCGCAAGCCTTGCTCAGCAAAGGCTTCATCAAACGTAAAAGCGCGGCACGACACACGTGGGTCATCGATTGGGATGTGAGCAAGACTCTGCATGTTTGGCCCGCATGCCGTGTATGTCCCAAACGAGCGACCTAACTGATTGGGAATAATACCGGCGTATGCGCCATATCCGTTGCTGATTTCGAGGATGTTTATTCGAGAATACCTGTGCACAATGTGCTCCAGAGTACTTTGAGTGTGAGATAAAGCCCATTTACTTGCAATACCATTGTCGAAGTAATGTCGCAGCAATTCGGCGTCAATCTCTGACTGAGCGAGATTGATACCGCTCCGCCAAAGAGTTGGTAGATTATGTCCAATGATGCTGAGAACTGTTTGATCTGGAAGCGATTTCAAAAGAGCTTCAGCGTCTTGGACCTTGTTAGAAGACGCTGCATCAATCTTTGCTGCCAATGTTGATAGCAACTGAGCAACCGTCGGAGTATCAGCGGTGATAACGCGAGATCGAATATTCTTCAAGAGAGAGTTCGACATACTCTCCAGGGCTACTATCTGGGCATGTTGCGTTGAATTGTATGGTTTCGTGTCCACCAGATCGTTCAAGGCGTCCGATTGCCACACGGTCTTGAGAAATAGCTCGCGATCGTCTGCCTCACTGCCTTTCGAGAAAGACGCGACAACAACCCCCTCCATGAGGAACTCCATGTGACCCTTCTCATTAAATATCTCAATATCACTCGTCATCCGAGCAGCTTCCCTGCGATTTGTGGCCTCGAACTTGGTAACATACGCCTCGACGTCAAGGTTGCTGTTGTCAGAGAATCCAGCCAGGTTCTCACAGCAAAAGGAGTTGAACTTGACTGATTTGATAGACTTGGGTAGAAATGAGGTCCAGAGTGCTTCGTCACCAGGTGCAGAGTAGGCTATAAAGCCGGCTTGGAGACAAGAGTCCAGAAGAGCAGGACTGACAGGTAAGTTACTTGTGTCTTCAGGGCTACGTCTTGGCATGTTCGCGTGAGCCCTGCGATAGCGCCTCCGAGCTTGTGTGATACTTCGAAACGGACCAGTATAAGAAAGACCTAAGTCTCGCATGTAATCGTAGAACTCATCAACATCGACCGATCGAAGCTGTTCTTCTTCTGCTTGGTGACTCGGGAGTGTGAGAGCGTCTGGTGGCCCAAGAAATATTTTCAGTCGTCCAGATACATTGCTCTTCAAAGGTCGGTCGCTGTCAACTGGACCTGATTGAAGTACGAATTCAGCGTCCATTGATCCATCAGAGGAGAGCGATGTTGTCTGTTGGGTAAGGGTGAAGATAACTTCAACGCCGGGTGAGTCGTCCCTCATGGTAATGGCGCTTGCAATGTTCACGTCTTGCAGTTCCACCAACTGATAAGCCTCAGTACCAACCATGATCTTGGCGGCTTCAAAGGCCATGATGCAGTATGCTGCAGCCGGTACAATAATCTGGCCTTGGAATCTGTGTCCATCTAACCACTCAATCTCGTCGGGTTTGAGAATATTGCGCCATCTCATTTCGTTGTCGGTATCATCACTAGTACGGATTCCGAGAAGCTCGTGCGGCTTCCGCGGTCGGTTGAGAAATTGTCGATTCACACGGTAAGCTCGCCAGTAGGACTGCGAGTGGTCCCAATTGTACGAAGGCAGTCCTTTGATGAGACCGACGTGTGATTCTGCGTCCCCGAAAAGTGAATCCGTACTTTGAATGTTCACCGTATCTCCGCCGAGATGGGCCCAAACGAAACTGAGAGCTTCACCAAAGGCAATGACATCATCTTTGGTACGGTCTAGAGTTCCAGTATATGGGTGGTTAGAGCCGAACTGCGACTTGATTGATTGTAAGGCAGGGCCCTTCAGTGCAGGGTGCGGACCAACTTCCATGACCAGATCAAATGGACCGGTCTCGATGCAAGCATTCGACATAGCTTCAGCAAATAATACAGGTTGGCACATGTTGTCTCGCCAGTAAGGTCCGGAAAGAACAGGCCCAGTAATGGGAGCAGACATGCCTGTAACACTGGAAAACCATCGTGGTGATGAAGCATTCGGCATAGGCAATGGCTCTACCCCACATGCCTCGAGCGAGCTAAGATATGGTTCTGAACATGGGTACATGTGCGCCGAGTGGTATGCAGTGTCGACCTTGAGCTGACGTGCGAACAGGCCCTGGGCGCTACAGTCCTGAACGGCCTCTTGAATGGCGTCGAGGTCTCCCGAAAGTGTTGTTGACGTCGAAGAGTTGCTAGCTGCAAGAGCAATGCGGCCTTGATATTGCGGTTTTTCGCAGAACGCCTCTGCATCTTCTTTGCCTAGGCCAATAGCCAGCATCCCCCCAGAATTTCCTTTGGAACCCTGGGCTAATTTAGCATGTACGCCGCGATAGTAGGCTATGCAAACTGCATCCCGCGCTGATAGTAGCCCTGCTGCATAGGCAGCTCCGATCTCACCGGAGGAATGTCCGACAACGGCGTAGAACCGCACTCCGCTCTGCCAAAGCATTTCCACCATTGCAATCTGAATGCAGGTACATAGTGGCTGAGACAATGCAGCTTCATTGAGACGAGAAACGGAGGCACTGGCTTGAAGCTCTTCGACGATTGACCATGAAGGTGGGTCCGGCAGGGCGTCGAGATGCTTCTGCAATTGTTGCAAGGTATTGGCGAACGCTGGACTAGACATGAGCGATCTCGCCATCGTCGCCCATTGGGCACCCTGACCAGTAAAAACACCAAGTATCTTTGCTGAAGATCGCGAAAGGTTCTTGCTACGAACTCCGAACTCGGTTTTGGAGCCTCCCTGCCCAAGCCGTCGCTCAAGCGCGAGTGTGATCTGCTCTCGGTCTACCCCGGATATACTGGCCCGTACCGGCAGATGAGAGCGACGATGGCGCAGCGTCCAAAGTATTTGCTTAAATTCGTTATCATCACACGCTTGGAGAACAGCCAGCAGATCTTTTGCATTCGCACGTAATGCCTTTTCCGTCATGGCTGTCATAAGGAGTGAAGTACCTGCCACAGGTGGAGCGAGATCGAGGGATTTTGTCGACTTTGAGATCTTAGGTGAGGGCATCCAACGTGCAAGGTCTGTACGAGATGTAGAAAAGCTCTCTATAATTGCGTGAGCGTTCGTTCCTCCGAAACCGAAGCTATTGACGCTAGCGCGCATAGGTCCTCCATGAGTATCTGGCCAAGGCATGCATGATGTTGGGATGAGTAGATTGTCGTAAAATGGTTTCACGCTGGGGTTCAGCGTCACTAGATGTTGATTGGGTGGGACAGTGCGGTGCTTCATGGCAACCAGCATTTTGATGACACCAGCAAGTCCAGCAGCACCTTCGGTACTACAAAAGGTGAACAAGTCAGTGATTGTTCTTATAATCAACCATATACACGCTGTTGATGTGATACAAAAGAACTTACTGGCCTATTATAGTTTTCACTGATCCAACCAATAACTTTGTAGTTTCTGCATTTCCGCTGTCCTCAGAGAAGAAAGATGATGAGATAGCATTAGCTTCACGGGGATCTCCAGCTTGTGTACCCGTTCCATGTGCTTCGAAAACCTTTGTCGTAGGTCAGATATGCAAGACTTGTAGGATTGCTCATAACTTACTTGTGGTCGGTCCTTCTGGCTATACGGGTCTAGTCCTACGCGGGCATATGTGTCTCGTATCAATTGCGCCTGCGCAGCCGAAGACGGCATAGTAATGCCCTTCGATCTTCCGTCAGAGTTGACCCCTGTTTCCCTAATGATGCCATCAATGTGGTCGCCGTCTGCTATAGCATCACTCAGTTTCTTCATGATGACACACGCGATTCCTTCCCCCCTAGCGTAACCATCAGCTCCTACGTCCCACATCCGTGATTTCCCTGTAGGTGAAAGCATGTGTAGACTGGACTGAGCGATGAACCGTCCTGGTCCGAGAATCAAGTTAGCACCTGCAGCACAGGCGAGCGAGCTTTCCCCAGATCTGAGGGACTGCACAGCGAGATGAACCGCCACTAAAGACGAAGAACAGGCCGTATCAATGGTCATTGAAGGGCCGCTCCAGTTATAGAAGTACGAGACGCGATTCGAAAGGATTGAGGTTGCTGTTCCAGTGGCAACGTATTGAGAAGAAAGCTGTGGGTCCCGGTACTGCATGTCATAATAGTCCATGGTCATACAGCCAACATAGACGGACGTATTGCTACCTTGCAATTTGTGCATCGAAAGACCTGCATCGTCCAAGCCCTAAGATTTGTCAGCGCGCTATCACTTGGGAAACGGTTGGTCTATGGCTCACTTCATATACGGTTTCCAGTAAGATGCGGTGCTATATAGGCGTATATGAAGTCAGTGCTTGCCTCATTTGAATTTTGTGTTATATCCCGGGTAGAGAGTCGTCTAGAATCAAAGCACCACGTTATGTAGAGTATTGAGAGACCGATTGTGTACAAAAAACACCGTAGTTGCATGAAGCCAACTTTATACCCGCAATTTCGGCACCGGCTTACCTGGGGATCAATGGTCTCGGCTTCCTTGGGTGCGATGTTGAAGAAGGAAGCATCGAACCGGCGAATGTCCTCTTCTAAGAAGTAGCCCTTGTCCACATTAGACGCACCATGATGTTCTCCATCTTCGTTGAAAAAGGTTGTCGGATTGAAACGGTCGTCTGGTATGCGTTTGGACAGATCGGTGGGATTTTTCAGCAGACTCCACAGCCGGGATGGGCAGTCTGCATTCCCAGGGAAGCGACATCCAGCTCCGATTATGGCAATTGGTTCAAGTGGCGTGTGGTCCATGTTGTTTCAAATGTTTCTTGCCAATGACAGACTGAGTGAATTGCGAATTACGAATGGTTAGCAAAATGATATCGGAATACAAATTATCCGCAAAGAAATGGCAGAATATCAAGATATATTGAAACAGAAGGATGTTACTAACAGCTAATCAAACCCCTGCAGGGTCTGTGTACACAGGCTTGTCAGGTTGTTAAGAGCCACTTCTCATACGAATCTCGTTTTGTAGAATCTTTATCTCTCCTGCATTGTCCGGGCCTGGGGTTTTTTTTTTGGGCTGGGGGTTCAGCACAGCGAAGAAATCAATGGTTATCTCGAACCTTCAAAATGTGGCCAAAACACAGCAAGCGTGATGCAACTCTTGAAAGCACAAAAAAATAGATGCTGTGCCTCTATCACATTGCAATTGCGCGTTACCAGCGAGTATCAATCGGAAGTCGTACCCGATTACCTGCAAGTTCGGTGAAACCAGGGTTGTAGGAAGCCACGGCAACGAATGAAAAGCGCCACGGACTGCCGAGCTCAGAGTCAATGGTTCCTGAAACCTGACATCTGGCAAATCGACTTCTTGGAATAGATACAGATGGTCTGTCACGACGTAAGACATTAGCTGGCAAGCGGTAACAATCCGAGCCTCATACTAGATGCCGACTCGGACGTCCGAATTTGGCGTACAAGGAGTTTCTTGGAAGAGTAGACCTTATTCGTCCGAAGTTCCACGGTGAGGATATTTCGGGCAGCTCTGACCACTCAGAGAGCCATTTCGATTGTGTATGCTCTTGGATGACCTTCGGATCTACGATACCGGCTAGATCGGTGGTTGGTATGCCCTGTACATCATGCCGCAGAACACAAATCCAGCAAGCAGCATCGGTCGTCTAGGACATGTGAGGATCGCTGTACAGGGAGTTCCATAATCTCGGACTACCGATAGAACGCTATAGAATCGCAGCAGTCACTTAGTCCACAATCTTTTTCTTTCTACGTCTCGTTCTAGAGAAAGCAATCAGCAGCAATCTCAAACTTTGCTAAGTGCTCTGACCCATCGAAACTGAGTCTAGCTATTGAACATTTCAGCTCAACATGGCTGTCGTCAATGATTTTTTCAGTGCAAGTCACGCCCTCGGGACATGGCGGAGTACTGTGGTCGCTACACTTTTCTGCAGCCTTTTATACTTCGTGCTCGGTCGGCGATCTCGCGAAAGTCTACCTCCAGGTCCGCGAGGTTTACCAATAGTCGGAAACCTGCTGCAGATGCTCAAAGCACGCAAAGGTGGAATGGCATCATTCGGGTTCTTTGTGAGCACGAGCTTTTCAAGTCTTTGCACGTCCGCCGCGCTAATCTGAACTGAAAGTTACGTGATCTCAACCGATTTGGCGAGATGTCAACACTGCGGATGGGCACTAAGAACTGGATCATGCTAAACAGTGACCGAGTGATCAAGGAAATTATAGTGAATCGTAACAAAATCACTTCGGAGCGCCCATATCAGCCAATTGCGAGTGGCATAGTCAGCCGTTGGAAAAGGACCCTTCTACGACGCGTCCCCGACTGGGTTGAGGGGAGGCGAGCTATGCAACATCTCCTAAGTGGCACCTCGGTCAAAACATACGGAGAGTGGCAAGAACAAGAATCAGCCATTCTGCTTGGTGCGTATCTGGATGAGCCCGAAAATTGGTACATACACCACTATCGCTACACTGTCGGTATCGCCTTCAAGATCGTATTAGGTATAAAGCTGGATAGACCCACGTCGGATCTCGAGGACTTCAGGAGAATGACGAGAGAGTTTGTCATATCGATCGGTGGGAGCGCCTACGACTACTTCCCTTGGCTGAACAAATTACCTAGTTGGCTTCGATTTGGCCGCAAGTATTGGGAAGACATGGGCGATTGGCACTACCAAACGCTGCGAAAATGGTGGGTGCCTTTCAAGCAGACCGTGGACAAGGGTGCCGCTCCCCCATCGTGGACGAGGGATTATCTGATGAATCAGACGCCGCCGTTTGGAGGAGGTGAAGACGAAGAAGCCATGTACCTTGCATTGTCCATCGTCTCAGCCGGGAGTGATAATACTCGTATGCTTTTGAACGCGTGGGTCATGTCGGCAATTTCGTATCCCGGGGCATTTCTCAAAGCGCGTGAGGCGGTTGAAAAGGTTGTCGGAAAGGATGCCACTCGACTACCAGATCTCTCAGATCTCCAAAAGATCACATACATCTCAGCCACCATCAAGGAGCTGCTCCGCTGGCGGCCGCCTGTTCCGGTCGTGCCAGCGCACTTGCTGACAGAAGACCTTGATTTTGAAGGTTACTATTTCCCGGCCGGTGAGTGACCCAAGTCCCGTTGGATTGTAGATTGCTGATTTTCCGCAGGAACGGAATTTGTGATAAGCCCGTTTGCAGTGGGCAGACGGGATTACAAGGATGCGGAATCATTTGACCCCGATCGTTGGATGAACGGGACGGAAACAAACTTGTTGGATGGCCTCTGGTAAGATGCTTGCAGCCAGCGAGTAGGGATGGTGTTAACAATGCGTTTTTTAGGGAGTTCGGTGGCGGAAGGCGAGTCTGCGTAGGTTACGTTATCACCCAGCAAGAAATCTTCCTAGCTATCGCGCGTATAGCGCTGTGCTTCGACGTACAAGCGGTAGGTAAAGGCGTCTATGATTGCATACTGTAGGCTGACGACGTGGTATGTAGGCAGGCAAGTACGACACGCACCATTTGCGTCACGAGGTGAAAACCGAACCCTTCCCGGTGAAGATGACGATCCGATCGGAGAAGCATAAACTGCTCATACAGCGAGAGAAGGCGAAGGCGGTTGCGGCAAGTCGGCGGGCATGATTGCATGATGTCCGATAGCTGACGCATCATCATGGTGCTGTCTTGAATGTTCATGTGGCGTTGGAACTTGGAAGTACATCCTCAGGGAGGCGTGATGTGTGATGATGGTGCAAGGGTAGCGTCTCTCAAGATGCTATCCTCGGTGCGGCTTACCTCTTTAATCAGGCGGTTTGTTGAATTACTAAGCAAATGTGGCTGAAATATGCGCTTAGGCTCTGAGGGCAACACACCAGCCACATTAGTAATAGTTAGCCCTCCCGAACTGTCTGATAATATGAGACAAGGTGCGGCTTTGGCCTCATCAATTCCGGGGTCCACAATCACATGATGCATCAGCATAACTCCATATAGACAGCAATGAATCATCAAGCGCTGAAAGAATATTGTGTGGCTGACACGGACGTCCGAACGTGCATACATCTCTGGTTATTCGTCCGCAGAACATCACCACATCTATGCCCTATCCCCACATTCCTTCCACAATAATTACACGACTATGGCCAATCCATCCCACCCGCGCTCCCCCATACTGCCGCGAGCCTTGAAGCGAGGCCCGTATACCGTCGAGGCGGACGGTGCGCAAAAGGTAGCCGGCGAGACACTTCCGCGTCGCCATCCCGTAGCCAAACATACCCTGCTGCACGAGCCGGAGCCGGGAATCGCAACCGTTTACGATATTCTCGTGCGCAGCGCGCGAAAATTCGCCGACGCCAACGCCGTGGGTTCACGCAAAGTGCTGAACACCCACATCGAGACCAAGAAAGTGAAGAATGGCCAAGGGGAACTCGTCGACAAGAAGTGGACCTACTACGAGCTTTCAGACTATCACTACATCTCATTCAATGACCTAAAAAATCGTGCATTGCGTGTTGGCCAGGCCTTGCGCAAGGCTGGATTGAAACAGAACGACCGCATCGCCATCTACGCTGCCACGTCCGCCTTCTGGTTTACCATCGCGCACGGCAAGCGGAGCCTCATTGAACTTGCACTTCTCTTCCGTGCTGACTGCAGCAGGTGCATCCTCACAGTCGATGACCATTGTCACTGCCTATGTATGAACCCCAAGACTGCACTTCTCTTCTGTCCTGCAATTGAACACTGGGCTCCAGGAAACTGCTGACATCGGTCCCAAAGGATACTCTTGGTCAGGAAGGTCTCTCGCATTCACTCAATCAGACAAATGCCAAAGCTATTTTCGTCGACCCAGTTCTCCTTCCTCGCGTCGTCGATGCGCTGGGCACAGCTCAAGAGGTCCAATCCGTTGTATTCAACCAAGACGCTACCCAACCTATCGACCAGAAACATGTAGATGCACTCAAGCAGCAGCATCCCGAAGTCTCGCTTTACTCATTCGACGACTTTCTAGACACTGCAGACGAAGCCGTCGAGCCGGTTCCCCCATCGACAGATGACCTGGCGTGCATCATGTACACCTCAGGGAGCACCGGTGCACCGAAGGGTGTATTGCTCAGACACAGAAATGTCGTCTCAGCCATCGCAGGTGTTAATGCTGTCGTAGAGGAACACTTGGGCCAGGGGGAACGTCTGCTTGCATACCTCCCTCTTGCTCATATCATCGAGTTTGTATTCGAGAATGCAGCCCTGTACTGGGGTGGCGTACTGGGCTATGGCCACCCTCGCACACTGACTGATCAGTCAGTTCGCAAGTGCCTAGGAGACATTCGTGCCTTCAAACCATCCATCATGGTTGGCGTGCCGGCGGTGTGGGAGTCGGTGAAGAAGGGCATCATCAGCAAAGTAGGAGCATCGGGTGCGTTGAAGAGTGGACTCTTTTGGGGCGCCATGGCTGCGAAACAGAGTATGCTGTCTTGGGGTGTCCCGGGAGTCAACATACTCGACTATTTGGTCTTCAACAAAATCAAGGATGCGACTGGTGGTAATCTGCGGCTTGTGCTAAACGGTGGAGGCGCCATTGCAGAAGAAACGTTGCGATTCGTCTCTTTTGCCATTTGCCCAATGCTGAATGGCTACGGGCTGACCGAAACCGCAGGGTACGTTCAGCGTTCAGGAGTGTTAGTTTCATTCTCGTTCAGGACACAGCTGACTTGAACAGTATGGGAGCCATTGTCGATCCTGCCGCGTGGACATCAGAAAGCCTCGGATGCACTCCTGCCTCCATTGAAGTCAAACTCGTCGACGTACCTGAACTCAATTACCTAACTTCAAATACGCCACCCCAGGGCGAAGTCTGGATACGAGGCAATTCCGTCATTGAGGGCTATCTTGAAAACCCAGAAGAGAATAGCAAAGCCTTTCAAGATGGGTGGTTCAAGACAGGCGACATTGGCCTCTTTAATTCATTAGGCCAACTGAAGATAATCGATCGAAAGAAGAATCTTGTCAAAACCATGAACGGCGAATACATCGCATTGGAGAAGCTCGAGTCGCTATATCGAACCACAGCCATCGTAAACAACATCTGTGTCTACGCATCACAGGACCACGCGAAACCAATCGCCATTATAGAGCCAGTCGCTACTGTCCTCGCTAACTTGGCGACTGATGTTGGGGAATCCAACTCATCTCACGAAGCGCTGTGCAATAGCGCTTCGATACGGGCTGCAGTGCGCAAAGAGATGCTGAAGATCGGCAGCCAAAACGGGCTACAGGGGATGGAAATGATTCAAGACGTCATTCTGAGCCCAGAAGACTGGACGCCACAAAGTGGCCTTTTGACCAATGCTCAGAAACTGAATCGAAGAGCTGTCGTCGAAAAATTCAAATCAGAGATAGATGCCGCATACGCAGGTTGAGCAAGCCAAGATGAAACAGCGCTTGATTTCGTGCGAGTCTATCGTCCGAGAGTACTACTTTTCAATATTAGTTATAGTTAGAGTAACGAGCCAACTATTAATTCTTAATGCGCAAACTAAGACAGTGTTATCATGATGTAGTTGTAGCGTCTCGCCATAAAACTTGCGCCAATAGCTTCAAAATCTCTAGCGTTGCGGTTCCGCGTCAGTACGACAGACTATATTGACTTTGGGATCGACAATGGGCGCATGCCAAGTGATTTCTGTCTCTATGAATTTATAAGCTCTATTTTCTTGAAATATCTAATCACCGAAACTTTATTACGCAGCCATAAGCTCTGCGCGTACTTGATGGACCCTCCGTAAGAGTATAGCCTGTTGCTCGTAGATGATAGCCAACACGGAATCCAAGCCTTTCCCACTCCCATATGCCGACTCCGCTCGCCCATGCGACCCTTTGTCAGTCTCAAACTGATAAACTGCGTCGTCGCGTTGGTTTAGTTCCCGCAGCACCGACCCTACGCGGCGGAGATGGAATTCGATCATGTTCACGACTATGAAATCCTGCGTGACCGGCTGATCGGGCGTACGTGGGACACTAGTCTTCGGGAACACGCTAGCTTGGGGTAGATTTGATTGTTGTAGGATTTGTCGTTCAAGGTGGTCGAGATGGCTGTTGAAGATACTCAGAAGCCGCATGTAGGAAGACATCAGTTGGAGACCATCTGATTGCTCGTCTAGTAGCGTACTTCCTTTCCCTCGGGACTGTACGCTGTTTCTGGGAGGCAACGGCTCGCTGATTGTTGTTGTTGATTCGGGTGGGCCACGAGAGCTCCGCGTTACTTGCTTCATTACCTCCAAGAGCTTGGTGGCTAACATGAAACTATGTTCAAATGCGCTCGAGATTTGATCGGCGTCATTGGTGTTATACGACGGAGAAACACCCCCTGAAGCGGAGAGAGCCAATAGTTGTGTGCTGATTTGGCCGAGGTCTGTCGCTATGTTCGATAGATTGTGTGGGGGAAGCTCTTTGCCGTTTGAGCTTGTTGTGTCCTCGGCCACTGTAGTCATTGTGGATAAATCGGTGCATGAGCATTTGTCGTCGTATGCTAGAGAATTTGTATTTTGAGTAAAATCCATCAAGAACCCGTCAGTCCAGCCTTGCATATCCAAGTTACCGTCCACATCGTCAAACATATCCGACATCTGGGGTATATCAGGCGCAAATTCTTCGCTATAAGGCCCAGGTTGAAAATCAGTCGGGGTTTCGCAAGACGAGGGCCTCAGACTTTGAGGAAGTCCTACTAGTTGTCAATCCAACTGTCTGTTCGGCCATGGTAGAAGTACCAACAAACCAGTATTATTTAGCTCATTTCCAGTGATTGTTGCGGGGCTAGGGAAGCTCGAAGAACCACGGTGCCGTTTCGGTACTCGTGGAATGCATTGAACTTGTAACTTGGCGCATCGTATACAAGTGAGTTGGTTCGGTGGTCGCCTGCACTTGAGCTTATGAGAGTAACACCTCGTACATGCGTTTGCATGCCGCCAGTCGTCCCTATCCATGGAAGCCTCTGATAAAGTGTAGAGAGAAGACTTAGTAATGATTAGCCTTTAATCGGTATGTAGCAATCTATTACATCCCTCAATAGTTGTTACCAAGAAATGCATTTATCCACGGCCCGCAGCCACATTTATCTAAGGCCCGTGGCCCCCACTTCACTTACACATTAGATCGACTATCGTCTACCCCTTGTCTACTGTACAGGACAGGTACAAGGGATTTACGGGTAAATGTTATCGATAACGGCAGAGCCAATCCAAGTTCGCCCCCTCTGCTTGTCGTCCTGCGAGCCGTATATGCGTGGCTTTCACCCCATGCGGAATCCATCCACTGAATAGGCATGAATCCATCATCTAAAAGATCGTTTTGTGGTCCGAGAACTATTTCTCGGTTGCACAAAATACGTCACAAATTCAGGTTAGAAATACACTAATACCTAGGTAGTTATGGGAGTCGCAGTTTCCTGCCGTGTTGGGGCACATAACCCTGGCACGTGGTTACGTGGGTGATCTTGAAACCGATGATGAAGAGATCTGTGATCTTCCAACGGCTTACGCTGACTGTAGTTCCAAGGATATCGAGATTCCGTACTCTACAAGCGGGCAAGAGAATGCGATCGAAGAAGGCAATACGAGAAGGCGGGGTTGGTTCAAAGTACGCCTCAATCTCAGGTTCCATGAGTATACCATGCGGGTGCACGAGTATTCCATGAGGGTGCATAAGTATTTTACGAAGCCGCATGATCTTCATGTAAAGCGCCTTGGCTGATGATTGAGTTCGGCCTCGGGGAATGAAACGGTTTTATCAATCAAGCAGTGCATTCGGTGGTCCGAATCGGATATCCGTAGAGTCAACCAATAATGTATCAATCCACTATCTAAAGGCAACCGCCAGTCTTACAAAGACAAAGAATCCCGCAGCACGGCAAACGTACATTCTTTGGACAGTTCACTCCTTCCAAAATGATGGAAGAGGCAGAGTCCTCCCAATCGCAAAGAGGCATCGGCTTCTGGCTGGCCTTTGGCGCTGTTTTGATCACCAACCTCGCATCTGCATTGGATGCAACGACTTTGTCCGTCGCTTTGCCCGCCATTTCCAACGATATCGGTGGAAAATCTGTGGAAGCCTACTGGGCCGGTACATCGTATCCCTTAGCACAGTCTGCATTGATGCTGTTATGGGTGTCACTAAGTCAGTGTTTTGGTCGACGACCAGTCCTGCTCCTCACGCTCGCGATTTTCGGACTTGGCGCAATACTGGCAGCTGTTGCGCATGGCTACCCCCTCCTTCTTGCTGGAAGAACAGTACAGGGCATCGGTGGGGGCGGCATCGTAGGTTTGACTACGGTCATTATCACAGACCTTGTACCGCTCCATGAGCGTGGGCAATTTTATGCTTTGGTATCTGCGATTTGGGCTCTGGGCTCTACAACAGGCCCAATCATCGGAGGCGCCCTCGCTGTTGTCAATGAATGGCGTTGGATCTTTTGGTATGCATTGCTTGGGTCCCGATTTGATACTGTTGCTTATTTTGCTGAAGGCTAAACCTACCTATTGTCGGGATCGCCTTTCTGGGTATCTCCATCTTCCTCAAGCTGAACATACGCAGTCGTTCCACGAAGGAAAAGCTTAAAGAGCTTGACTATCTTGGCACTACTCTTTTTATAGCATCCATCACATCATTTTTGATGGCAGTGACTTGGGGAGGCACTCAATATCCATGGAGCTCCTGGCGGACACTCGTTCCTCTACTGCTCGGAGCAGCAGGCTTGATCGGATTTTGTGTCTGGGAGGCGATGACTTCTGGCGCAACATTGATACCTATGTCAATTTTCCTGGATCGCTCTGCGGCCATACTCTATCTAGGGTCATTTTTTCATGGCATAATACTATGGTCATTGGTATACTACATGCCTGAGTATTTCCAGTCGGTCAAGGGCTACTCTGCAGTCATTTCAGGTGTGGCAGCGCTGCCCCAGACTCTTACCGTTGTACCCTGTGCGGTCGGTGTTGGTATCATAGTCGGAAAGACTGGGAGATATCGATGGGCCATCTGGCTTGGCTGGGGTCTGACAACGTTTGGGATGGGTCTACTCATATACCTCGATGTAGACACATCTGTACCGGCCTGGATATTTCTCGGGATGGCCTCTGGGCTTGGTGTCGGACTGTTGTTCCCATCCATCGCACTGGCTGTTCAAGCGTCCACGCCGCCCGAGGAGGCTGCAATGGCCTCTACTTTAGTACTGTGGTTCCGAGGCTTTGGACAAACTCTTGGTGTCGCCATTGGGGGTACCATCTTCCAAAACCGCTTTCAAGCCGAATTGAGTAACGTGAGTGGGTATCCAGGACAGGATACTAGCACAGCTGCCAACGATGTTGTGCGCTTAATTGATCAGATGAGACATCTACCCGCCAATAGCGTGCAACTGGACCAGCTGAGGCAAGCTTTTTCTTCTTCCTTCAAGGTCATCTGGGCCGTTATGTGTGCTTTCTCGGGCATTGTTTTTATCGCTTCGTTTTTCATCAAAGAATACTCTATGAAGCAGGATCACCTAACTGAACAAGGCTATCGGGGCAATGGCGAGCGACCGGAATCAAAGGAGAAAGCATTGAAACAGCAGAATTGAAACCAAGCAATGAGTATGAACAACAGTGGAGCTAGCGCGGCATCTTCTCTTGTGTCAATGTATTATAGGCAGGCGAAAACTGCAGTAGTCTAGGCTTTACCGTCACATTTGATAGGGTTTCTCTCCTTTGATGAGATTCCGCTCGGATACGGTAATTATCGATATTCATGAGAAGGAATATATAAAACATTACAAATCTGTAATGCCTCTGGTAATATCAATACAGTATATGTGTCTTGGCTACTGACTAGAAGGCAAGGCAAGCCGATTGAAGATGTGGGGGAAGACGCGTGAGACCTGACTCGTGTGGTGGGGGACATTGTCTCTTCTTGGCGTGTTTGCGGATGCCTCCCCACTCGATTTGAAGATGCAGGGACGATTACGTCAGTTACTCGAGCTCCTCATTTCCAGAAAATATACCTCGGCGACATGTCACCAACAGAACAACTTATCATTCCCGGAATAGTCGCGTGGGTATAAGAAGCTATATTCATTCGGAGTACATGCCTTCCCGGATCGCCACGATATTGCCCGCAACTCTCGACGCTCGCCTGTACTTCCAACAAAGCAAACTCGCCGCTTCAGCTTCCTTAGCATACTGCTTTTACCCTCCTACCCGGAAGTCTCTATTCAGAGGAAGCCCACCTCCACAGAACCTCCAAAGGAGTTTCAGCAACACAACGGCTTTCCGTAAACAAACTCATTACACAATGACCGAAGCAACCTACCACCCATTGTCCGGACTATGGCAGCCCACCCAGTTGCAGAAGCTTTTCTACGGTGGCGAGAGCGTCACCAAAAACTTGGTATCATGCCTCCCAACTGAGGAAAGCAAAGCCTTCATCATCACCGGCAATTCTCTGGCCACCAAGACCCCACTGATCAAACGAGTGGAGGAACTCTTGGGTTCTCGTCACGCAGGAACCTTCCACAAAATCGGAGAACATGCACCTGTAGCACAATTGGATGAAGCCACACAGCTTGTAGAAAAGGACTCGTCCATCGACACGGTTATCAGTATCGGTGGAGGTAGCCCCATCGACTCTGCTAAAGCTATCTCCCATCGTCTGCACGAAAAGTCTGGGAAGTGGTTGTACCACATCACCGTCCCCACCACTTTATCGGCGTCCGAGTGCACCATGATGGCTGGCTTCACTGCCTCTGATGGGGTCAAGACTGGCGTGCGCGCGCCTGAGATTGTACCCCATGTTGTACTGTACGACGCTTCATTCGCAGCGCATACCCCTGAGCGATTATGGCTAAGCACAGGAATGCGAGCCATGGATCATGCTATCGAGACTTTGTATCATCCAACTCTTTCTGAGATGCCAGGGCGCTGGCAGTGCCTACAAGCAGCTGCGAGCTTGTTTGAGAACTTGTCCCTTTACAAGAAGGACCCGAAGAATGAGGATGTGATCACAAAATTACAGTTGGCTGCGTTTGCGTCCTTAGGCTTCATGGGCACCAATCTCAAAGGCGGGCTTGGCCTTTCGCATGGTTTGGGCTATGCTCTGGGTTCGCCGTATAGTATTCCACATGGAATCACGTCTTGCTTGACACTGGGACACGTGATCAAGCTGAAGGCGGAGGATGCTTCGGCGGCAGAGCAGATTGCACGGCTTTTGCCATTCATGGGGGAAACCATGAGTGGCGACGACCGAAAAGATGCAGAGAAAGTGGGTGACAAGGTGTTGGCATTGGTCCGGGAACTAGGGTTGGATCATGATCTAAGAAACTACACTGTGAACAAAGATCAGATTCCGCTTATAACGAAGAGAGCCACTGGAGCGGGGGAAGGCAAGGTCTATGATCAAGTAAAGAGCTTGGTTGAGGGTTTGTTCTGACTGGGTCATGTAAAGCTATAAGGTGTTGTCTATAAAATCGCTGCATATGTAACGTTGTTTCTAATAGTTATAGGCCGATCCCATCCTTCCATCTATATGTACATATCTCGTTAGAAATCCCCCTCATGGGATTGTGACCATAGCCTGTAGAAAAATAAAAGCGAAACTCCATATAAACTCGCGCCATCCGCTTCTCGCTGCTCCATTTAAGCATGGTTCGCCCGTCCCATCATCTCCACATCACTGTTGGACTCATCAACACTGAGTGCTTTCCTGAACTGACCACCGTTCTTGCGTCCAGACATGGGTGGGAAGCAGTAACCAGGATGGAACACAGTTTGTGCCAGGACAGCCAAAACAATCATCCAACCCTCAAGCGCAATGAACTCGCTCTCGACACGCATCAGGTCGCCACCCCATCCGCCGAGCAATTCAGGAATGCGGTACACGCAACGCACAAAGATGGTAAGATAAGCCACGCCCACAGCACCGAGGAAAAGACGGAACTTTGTGTCTGCGAGAAGGCTGAGAGCGGATTGCGAAAGCGAGGCTCTGCGGCGGTAGGTACGGAATGCGTATTCGCCGGCAATGGCACCGAAGATGACGAGGACTGTTGCCGAAATTGTTAGTTGACTTGCATCCTAGGATTGTAAAGATGAAGGGAGAGGATGAAACTTACCAACAACCTGCCAGATGATACCAGCAATCATAATGTTTGTTCCATTGTCCCTCGCGCTCTCCTCATCAGAAGTAGCCGCGATAGCACCACCAGCACTCTGCAACGCCAAACTACTGATGTCGCATGCAATGAACACATAGGTATACCAAGCCGGTCTCAAACGACTCCAGCTCTCGCCAAACTGGATCACGAGATGCTTCAGCGTCAGGTAGATACCCGCAGCCAAGAACGCAGGCGCAAAGATGAGCAGCACGATCTGGATCTGGAAGCCAATCTCGTTGTAAGGGTTGTTGTGCATCATGAGACGGCCGATGTAGCCCACACATTCTGCGAAACAACCTAGACCGACACCGATCATGTAGGTCCAGGTTTTGTAGCGGATTCCAAAGCCGAGTTGGATGAGGCAGCAGAGACCGAAGAAGCCGGCAAAGAAGGCGTTCCAGGCGAGAGAGGGAGTGTAGCCGTACAGTGTTCCTTCAACGGGACACTCTGGGGTTACGGAGTCGCAGAGTGGGGAGACGTCTACTCGGGGTGGGGGACTCATGGTTGCGGGGTTGTTGATTAGATGATAAGAGAGGATGTGAGGATCTTTTGAGATGAGGATCCGGTTATGGTGAGGGTCGTTGAGATGCTCTTATGAGATCGTGACAGCGAAAGTGTCGTAAGCAAGAACTCGAAAGGGGGCGGATTAAAGAATCGGACCCTTTGTGATACAAAAACTCAAGGAAACAGTTATGGAAGAAAAGGAGAACAGCAATAGAAGATGTTTATTGTTGTGGTTGTGGTTGTTGTTGTGGAGAGTTGTTGTGTGATGATGAATTCTCCAGAAGGCAACACAACCCACCCTTATATCCATCATCCTGAGGCCCCTACATGCAAACCCACCTCCAAAAAAATACTGATACGAACCCAAGCCTACACAGCACAGCAAAGCACAGCACAGCACAGCCCGAAACGAGCATTCGTACGTACCCCGACTGACAAGAATTACCCCGAAAGCGCGCTTACAGCAAACCATCAATGCGCTTTGCGCCCAAACCCACACAACAGGTATGTATTATGGGGAGATAACATTAAACGAAGGCATAATGCGTTGCACTCATTGGCTGCGCGACGTGATATCGAAATAGGTAAGGGCACGGGTAGTCAGTAAGACAGTGCGGCAGGCTTAGCCACCACCGCCTACACGGCCGTTAACTCCTCTCACCTCTGGAACGGGGGAGATTCTAAGAGCCAAGACTTGGTTCAATGACAATGACGCGGCTCTTTGCTTACAACGGTAGGGGTTGCGATTCGTCCATAGACGAGAGAATATTGTAGGATTCCTTCTCTAACGTCCGTATGGATTGCGTCTGTCGCCTTGTGTCGTCCGTACCCGCTTGGTCGGTCGGTCGGACGATTAGATCCCCGAGATATTGAGTCGAGTATCGATATGACTACTACTACTAGTATTGGATCCCGTGTTAGCTGTGGATCTACTATAGAGACTTGGATATTCATAGTGCACTCAGCTACCACGTTCCACTGCTGTGGGTCGTCGCGAGTGATGATGGCATCATGATACGCAAAATGGTACTCCAACTCTCTTGTTGCTGGCTATTACATTGGGAGACTCAGTCTCGACTTCATTCATACCAAGCTAAAGACTGCGCTATCATACTCTTGCACTGCATGGTCATTTAATCTCTCTCTCGTTTGCATACGCGTATTGCACTACTGTAGTCATTCAATCTCTCTCTCGTTTACATACGCGTATATCAATTCCCTTGTTCCGACCCGGGGCGCACGTTTTGTTGTTCCGTCCGCGAGACGTCGTTTCGCGCTGCGCGCGGGGCCGCCTGTGAAAATTTCCACATGACAACCCGCAGTTAAATATCGAACCGATACATGTAAACACGAGTTTAAGTGCTGCATCTGTCGATACTAAAGAAAATATAGTCAATCAATCTATTAACCTGCTACGCCACTAACCCACATGAACGAACCATCCACTCACAGATCAACAGATCACGTTAGCAGCGCACAGTGGGGGTACCTAGCGAAACATAGGTACCTGGGTACGTACACCACGACCTCGGCGCAGCACATCCCCCCGAACCATCCCAAGACACGCGAGACGCCGTTTCGCATTCTTGTGATTGATGCGCGCGGGCCTAGAATGAGGGTGTGCGTTGTGCATTGCACGTTGCATGTCTCGCTCAATCTTCGTACAGGCTGACGACCTGACCCTGGAACGGGATTAGTCCACTCCTTTAAGCCCCGAAATTCCGTCGGAATGATCTGATATCTGTCTTGTCACTCCTTTCCATCTATCTGCCCGATTAGGGGAAAATAGCGAAGCCATGTGGTTATCTGCTGGGTTGGCGGGAGAGCAGGCGGGCTTGGTAGGCTGGGCGTTGATGTAAGATTTGCTGTGCGTTTAGAAGCTTGGGTGAGGATTTACGCACTTTTGATTGTTTTGGGGTGGATTTTTGCGACGGTTCCATAGGGGGAGGCAGTGCTTTGGGTGATTGCGTGTTATGTGCTCATTCTTGGGGGCCGGAAGGGGTTCGGGGGGTGCGCGGTCTGTGGGTAAGCTTGAAGGATGCGTATCGCAACACTGGCCGGATTAGGGCTATATCAGAAGTTGCTGAAGCCCATCTCTTGATGGTGAAAACATTCTCTGATAATGGACTGTATTCTGATGCTTTTTACGTGCGCGAAGTCTTAGATGCAGCGCAGTCATTTCAAGGGAGCCCTTTGAAATGTCCGATAGTCTCGAAGAAACACCTTATGATTGATTTCGACCGTTGGGATCAATGGGATCTGGGGAAAACATCCAATACATAAACTCAGGGGGGAATTATTGCGATTTGATTGCCTGCATGTGTACTCCTTTGCCCATTTCACTCAGGACTATTCATTGGTTTCTGCATACTTATCGCTCCAGTGTATCATATAATATGCCAGAGTATCTGAAAATTCACTCAAGTCAAATGTTAGAGAACTGACTCTCTTTGTCGGCATCAATTTGGAAGTGCGGAGACAGTCTCGCAGGAAAACTTTCCTGTCACGTATGACACTTTTATTGGCTACTTGTCGATTTTGTTGAGATTCGAGCATGCATCAAGTGCATCGATTACTGTGGGAAGCTTTGTTGCAGGTTGTGCGGGCTGTAGATTGATGATAGGCTCAGGGACGAGAGCATTACACTGATCGATCGACATTCGATATTGTATGGAACGGTGTTATTGGAGGACGCATTTAACCCTCTTTGAATAAGTCAGTGCTAGATTGCGTATGTCGTCGCTTTGACCGAGGCCAGCGTCTATTAGCTGGGTGACTAATGTCCCAACGAGATTGTTGGCAGATTCCACTGCATTCCAAGAAAGAGAGAAACTATACTTGCCAAACTTTCCCTTCTTTGTAATCCTTCCTCGACAACTCTTTTGCGATGGTTGATTCACCGCTTCCGGCCCATTTTTGAAGCTAGAACACGTGCCGATCGTCATCCGCTACAATTCAAGTATGTATTGTCTTCAGAATGTCCTTCCTTGTTCCTCTTCTGATTCATCATATAATAGTTCAATAGAACGCTTCGATTATATCGCAGAGAATTTACTGGGCTTTCTTTGTCTGATCGACTACGCCAAATCCATCCAAAATTGCAGGCTGAGCTGCTGATAGGCGGTATGGAAGGATTCCACAGTCGAACTATAGGCATTCAAATTCTCGATGCGTAAAGTCGACCCTCCCATGATCTCTTATTGTCTTGCGTTCCGAGACTTTCTTATAAGGTGGCGCCCTTTTAGCAGAGAAGCGCCACGCAGAGCTTCATATGTTCCGCAGTAGGAGCAAAAATGAAAAAGATGGCTTGTGAAGCATTGGCTAAAGTTTTCATAAGGCAGCGGGTATTGCATCCCTGGCCCGGTGCCAAAAGCAAACACCTTTTTTGAACCTTTTTGTACTTGCCTACTTTTTGTTACCCTTTTTATCATCCTTTTTAAGTGTAGGAACCACTGTAACTTCCACTAAAATAAACTTAAAACTCATAAGGTAGAGTGTAGGTGTAAAGTTCCGGTGAAAATCCAGGCCCCATTTGTCTCAGCCTTGCAGATAACCCCTCAGATCTGATGGATTCCGCCCAATCGATACCAATAACCCATGCTCGGCTCGTATAGCTCGTCAAAACGTGACCGGCCATCATGCGTCAACGTCATAGTATGCCATCTTCCACAGGGGCGATCTTCACAGCTACGAGACCCTCTAAGCGTACATACAAAGTTACACTTACTAGTTCACTTCTGGCAACCTTTCAAGCCATAGACGGTCTCATAACTCAATCGAATTATATACGGAGCCATTGGGCACAAATATCGAAGATGGACGGAGCGGCGGCAATCTTAAGCATCGGCGCAATAGCGCTCCATGCGGTTCACGTTTTACACAAAGACATATCGGCCATAAAAGAAGCTCCAGATGAGATCAAAGCAATCACAGACAGGCTACAAAGTCTTGAAATGCTGTTGGGGTCTCTCGAATCCAGTACACCAGCATCTTTGCTCCAGAAGCTTACCCCAAATACACAGTCTCAGCTTAAGAAATGCTTCACTAGCTGTAAAGAGGAGTGTGTCACATTTCATCAGAAGCTTGATAGTCTGACGAAGCGATCTGATGATGGCTCGCTCCATTGGGTCGACCGGGTCTCAATCGGTATCATGAAGCAAAAAAGTCTGCAATACTTATTGCAACGATTGACCGCCTGCGAAACTACGATTACCGCATCTACAGGCGTGGCAAGTCTGTGAGTAAAACGAGTGTCTATTATATCTGCGCGTGCACTGACTCGTCTCGCCAACCAGGTCGGTAGCGCTGCGCTCCGAAGAAGTCCAAGAGCCGCTTCAAAGATTGGAAACGAACCTTGCTCAGCTTGTCATGAGTCTCGACAAACAAAGTGTCACGCTTCGAGAGATGGTGCACCGAAGTGCCGAAGTTCCAGTTACAAAAGATGGAACTGCAGCCAAGGAAACCCTAGACGGCACCGAGGTCGAGCACACAGCGGATCATCTTCACTCATATAAGGAGGTGGTTGAGCAGATTTATAGAGAAGTTCACAAAATACGAACTGGCGAACCAATTACCAATGTCGAGGCTAACGGTAGCCTGGTGGGATCTCTCAGTACGTCAAAAGATGAACGAACCGATCTTACATATTGATAGAGTCAAAGGACAGAATGGGTTTATTGTTGGCAGAGCAGTCGGAATTGATGTCAAAGACCTCTTCAGCACATCCAGGTATCCTGCTGGAATTTCTGATCTATTCCAGATTTTGGCATATGCGAAGTATCCGATTATACGCCATACTTTGAAAAAGCCACGATTTATATTGTTGCTGTTTCAGACAATGAATTGCCAACGTTTATGTTCGGAACGTTCTCTTTCTCGAATTTATTGTAGCTCTCTGGTAATATCCTATCAAGATTTAATCGGGCTGGCATAGATCAAGCATTCACACGTGCATTGAGTAGGGATTGCAGCCATACGGGCAAAGATCTCTGGTATCGAGATACCAAAAGATACAAGTTTTTGTATTGTCCCATAGAGTAATAAAGGTGACCAGAGCCGTTGAGGGATTGGTCGGGGTATCTTGCAAATCATCTAGCTATACATCCTATGTCGTGTTGACTTTTTTTCTCTCTTCGTCACGCCTGCTTTGCACTCTCTGCAGTAGTTGCGGGTTATGCTACATTACCATGTATTGTTCATGACGGTCGTCAGGTTGAAGAGACGCCTCCCATATGCAGATGCAAGATCAATAGTTATTTTTTCTTTTCTTTTCTTTTTCTTTTCCAAAATAGTCCAACGCAAACGCCAATCGAAAACCGAGTCGAATATAAATTACGTACTGTTGAAAGTATGGGAAAGCCTTCATCAAAGGCTATAAGATGGATGTGAAAGAATGCCGAGGCGCCATGCTAGATGTTGAATACAATTGGGCAGAATGATGCTGCCGTTCAAGGTGATGAATGAATGCCTTGAGTTATGAAGAAACTGCAAGGCCGTTCATGCCGTTAGTGGCTGTTCTTGCAGCAGATTTTGCAGCTTCAACAAGATCATTCAAGGTCGATTTGCCGCCTTTAGCAGCAGAGCCATTGGTAGCATGGTCCCCATTGGTGGAATGTCCGTTGGATGCACCAGTCTCGTAGAGAGGTTTTTCCATGTCGGTGACTTGAAGACCTTCGAACAGTGGGAAAATACCGTGTTGGACGTGGAAGTCGTTGTGCACTGTAACATATGTCAGATGACAAGCCAATACCATGAATGAATGATTGGGTGACACTTACCAATGTTGATTAGGTACCACGTGTCCATGAGGTCCTCGATGATGTATCGCGAGGGACTAGTTGAGGCATGGCAGTTGGCCCACTCCCGTCCCACTTTGAAGAACTCGTCTTTCCAGGCAAGGAAGCTTACAGTCTCAACGATAGTTGGCTGGACGATTTCTTTGCCGGGGAACACACCCCAAGTAACGGCATTCGGGCCATCACCATATGCGTTTGTCTTCAAGTCTCCATCTTTATTCACTGCGTAGTATGTCAAGCTTGGGTCACGTTCAATCCTGGTTATCAACTCGGCGATGTGTTCTGGAGTTACCAGTATTTCGAGGTAAGCCTTCTGGTAAACGTAACCGTTGCGTGGGCCCCATCCGTAAACCAGGTCGGAGGACTTGGCGCCATTGACAGCGGGTTGGGAGTTTATGGTGAAGAAGCCTCTCTGGTTCAAGTTGATGAGGTCTTTTCGGAGCGTATCTGCTTCATTGGAGATGGGAGCTTCGCTCCAAGGAAGAGACGAGAGTTTTCCCGTCATGTAACTGACGAAGAGATCTGAAATATCCTTGATAGACTTGGGTGCTCCCCATAGCTTGATGTTCTGCTCATTCGTGCCCTTCAATCCAATACCATAGGCGTCCAATTCACCAAAGGCAGGCGAACGAGCATCTCCCCAGCGGCCGTTGGGAAATTCGTCCCAATCTTGGGTACGGGCAACGTAAGAGCGGTTACGGTTACGCCAGAAGATAGGGCGTACATTCTCTTCGCGGCGGTTGAGCCCAAGGGATGGCCGCCAGGGAAGTGGCTTTTGAAGTGGGCTTTCGACGTCTGGCAGAAGTTCCAGCTCTTCAAGAACCATGCGCGTCGCTTGAGCCAGGTTCATGGTGTAGCTGATCACAGTCAGCGAGGGTTAATAGTCGATTAGGATGAGTGCTTACAAGTGTAGATGCAAGATACCGGCGTTGATCAACTTTGTGCACATCTCCGCCACCAAGCCTTTCCCGACCTCCCGAACCTCAGCGTCATCGTTCTTGATTGGGTCGAGAGCTTCAGTCCAGTGTGTAGGGATGTTACATTTTGTCCAGTTGGCGCGTCGGAGGAAAGCAGCGTGGGTGTGTATGGGCATGATGCCGGGGATGATGGGAATGTCGATCCCTTTCGCGCGGACTTTGTGCACCCACTCGAGGAACAGGTCGGTATCGTAGAACATTTGAGTGACTATGAAGGTCGCACCGGCATCCACTTTTTCTTTCAAATGATCGATAAGCTCGTCAACATTGTCGTTGTCGTCACTCCCTTCCGAGTATCCGGCTACTCCGATGTCGAAAAAGTTCCCATAACGCTCGCGAATATATTTGACCAAGTCTTTGGCGTAGCGGAAGCCACCGGACGCCGCCTCCCATTTTTCTTTCTCTCGGGGAGGATCGCCTCGCAAGGCAAGGATATTGGTACAACCGGCATCATGGGCTTCCTTGAGTGCATTGTCGATCTTGGATCTCTCCATATCGGTACAGGTGAGATGCATGCAGGTCTCGAGGCCATATACGTTCTGAGCGACCTTGATCATTTCGCAGGTGAGGTGGGACAAACTGCCGCCGGCGCCCCATGTGACGTCGATGAACTTTGGGCCGAAATCGTGCATTCGGTCCATTCGGTCGTATAGATTTTGGACACCCTAGAGGGCGGCAATCAGCATCGAGGCCTGTCAACAGAGCGCCCACGAGTACGTACCTGGGCAGTCTTGGGTGGGAAGAATTCGAAGGAAAAGGTCGGCTTTCCCTCTGCCCTGGACTGGGCCAACATCTGAGAGATGTGCATGATGGCGGTGGTGATGACCGAAGTGTGAGAAAGAGAATACGAAGTAAAGGAGACAAGAAAATGGCCTAGAGGCACAACCGCGAATGCTGGTATTGTCAGCAAAAGATTGTTTTGGAAGAACAGCTGTACAAGGGTAAAGGATAAGCGGTGTCTGTTGAGTTATGCGGACGGAGACATACGGACAAAAAGAAAGCTCTTCACACTGCAGACAGGCCTCAAATTCCCCGCACTCGCTCACGCCTACGGTACTGCAGGCAAGTAGGAGTGTTCGGTGCCCGGAAACTATCCAAAGTAGCGTTTACGAGCCCAGCGGTCCGCGAGTTGACGCTGCATGAACCACAGCTGAGATGTTCCGGAAAAATTCAATGACCAACGTCGGAAGGGTGAATGAGGCAATGGAGAACAATTGTTAGCCGGCTAGTCGAAGTCGATGTCGGAGAAGGCCATCGGGCGCCAAGACCCGAGTGCGGAGAGTTTGGACATGTAGTCGCCAGTTAGTACTGCACACATGTCTATCCCTCCTACGTGGTGTACGCTGATCATCACACGAATTGAAGGTTCTTGATTCCAGTGTACATTCCATTGCTTGCTTCTGCGACCAACTGTTGTTCTCCATGATCGCATCCGCTGTTGTTTTATCAACCACCCCTTGCACAGCTAGCAATGAACGCCCCCGCCATAGATTGTGTGTCCCTGTCTGCTAGCCCCGCTCCGATCTCGCTAGTCTCATTCTTGATGTTATGACACCATCGATCCGCTGAGTCATCATCCATCTACTCCTCCCCAAGTTATTCTCCCAACTTGCTTCGACGGGCAACACGCTCAACTACCACGCCGCCGCCGCCGCCTCGAAACACCCTTCACACCCCTCCGACGTCCACCACCAGATCCCTCACCCTCTACAATGCCTCCTCTACCGCGCCCCCGCCGAATCGTAGGCGTCAGTACCAAGATGTACTTCGACCTCCAGAGCACCCTCTCCTACGTTCGCGGCATGCTCCAATTAGATGGCGATGCTTGGAATGCCCGGATTGACCTCTTCGTTATCCCAGACTTTGTCACCCTGATGGCGTCTGCCGAAATTCTGCAACCTTCATCCATCATGCTCGGTGCCCAAGACATTTTTTGGGAAGACAAGGGCGCATACACTGGCGAAGTATCTCCACTGGTGGTACGGCAGGCAGGCGCAAAGATTGTAGAGCTGGGTCACGCCGAGCGCAGAGCAATGTTTGGCGAGACAGACGAAACGGCGGCAAAGAAGGCAGGTGCTGCTGCCCGCAATGGTCTCATTCCTCTAGTATGCATCGGCGAGAAGACACATCACAGCGTTGCTTCTGCGGCTGTGGGAGCTGCCATACAGGAGTGCACGCCCCAAGTCAATTCCGTCCTGGCCGCTGTGCCGGATGATGCAGAGGTCATTCTTGCATACGAACCTGTGTGGGCAATTGGGGCCGCTCAGCCTGCCGATCCTGATCATGTGGTCAATGTCACAAAAGAGTTGAGGAAGCTTGCTGCTGGCCGGTCTGGAGTGACGAGAATATTATATGGCGGTAGCGCTGGGCCTGGTACTTTCGCAAAGATTGCCGAGGGCGTTGATGGCTTGTTTCTCGGACGCTTCGCCCACGATATCCACAATCTCAAAAAAGTAATTGAAGAGGTTGGAGGAGCATGAACGGGTGGTTCTCGCTAGCACGAAACATGTCGAAGACGTTGCTCTACACGGGAAATCCTATCAGCTCAGTAAGACGAAATGCAGTCATGCCCCTTCCCAGCCTTCGATCTTGTGGCGGCATCGTATATCATATGCGACCCCGATTTGATTATCTTTTTCCGTCGAGAAGAGACAAATCAGTTGATCAGAGCATCAACATATACGACAAGTGATAAAAGCTCCAATGTCGCGCAAAAGCCATGTAAGGAATGAACACATACGCTGATGAGTGCTGCAGTCTTGGCAGGAAATGTGAGCCGTAGCCACGCATAACACGAAGTGGTGCGAGACTCGGACTCGTAGACCTCAATACATCCACCACTTCTCCTCCCCATCTTGGAATAGCTACAGCAAGTTGTCACTCGTTTCGACTCATGTATCATGACATTTGATGTAGAATCTACACTCTCACCCAAATGCAAGTAATTGACGAATAAAGCCAACAGAGTTGAGCCGTGTTTTTAATAGCCGTTATGAGCCATCCGCTCTATGCCTCTAAAAGCTAGACTGCTACGATCTTAGATCAGAAAATAGTACTACCAGCTCATACATGCATAACTCGACTTGTCCCCAATAGGCTATTATTATACGAATCTCTATATTATTAAGATCCTACAGTTACCATCTGCTTGACAAAAAAACTTCCTCCGTCTTCAATCTTACAGCTTACAAAATGGCACTGCCATTGTTGTTACTTCAGCTCTTCACTGTAGTGGGCGCTACAACCAAAGACGGACCCCAAGGAAGACAAAAGTGCGAGACCGCCACATTCCAGCATCCAACTATTCCAGGCACCACTATCCTGTCGTTGACGGTAGAGGAAAAGCACAATGTCAACATCCCTATTACTCCTGGTCTCAAGACCGAGCTCAAGGACCTCAATTACTGCGATATCAAAGTCTACCTTACACATCCAGGCGCGAACGACCAAGTCATGGTACAGACATGGCTTCCTCTTCAAGATTGGAATGCCCGGTTTCAAGCAACAGGCGGCGGGGGTTGGGCGACAGGCATGTTCGACATAGCATTGGGTCCTGCAGTTGCCGGTGGCTACGCGGCATCATCTACAGATGGAGGACATCCATTCGACTTCGTGGCAGCTGACTGGGTACTAAACAAGAATAAGAGCATCAATTGGGATCTGGTGCATAACTTTGGGACCCGGAGTCTTGCAGAGCAGGTCCACGTCGGCAAAAGCCTTGTGGAGCAGTTCTATGGGAAGAAACCTCATCACTCATATTGGAATGGGTGCTCGCAGGGAGGTCGACAGGGATATATGATGGCTCAGAGATATCCTCATCTGCTTGATGGAGTACTTGCTGCTGCCCCAGCCATCAAACTGCCAAGTGTGTTCCTATATGGTATATGGCCGATTGTCGCGATGAATGGTGCAGGAACGCTCGTCAGTAATTGCGAATTCGACTGGTTCGCTGCGAGAGCTTTAGAGAAGTGTGATGGACTTGACGGTGCGGAGGACGGACTCATCGGGGACCCGGAGCGTTGCACGTTCGACCCCCTAGAATTCATCGGCCAAAAGATGGAATGCTCGGGACGCAGCATCAAGATCACACGCGCTATTGCCGAGGCAGTTCGTAAGATTTATCAAGGCCCTGCTACGCCATCTGACAAGAATGTTTTCCCAGGTATCCCCGTTGGTACGCCACTGAATGCATTCTTGAACATCACTATCGACTCAAATGGTGTCCGCAACCTGAACAACCCCACGACTCGTGGCGTCTTCCCCAGAACGGTTCTTCTAAAAGACCCCGGTTTCGACGTCCTAAAGCTGAGTGTTGCCGACTATATTGCTTTGTGGGCGCAGGGCAATGAGGAGTTTGGTTGGATTTGGGACTCATACGATACAGATCTTTCACGCTTCCGTGATGCGGGTGCAAAACTGCTGAGCTGGCACGGCATCAGCGATCCTATTGTACCTGTTGGCAACACTATCCGATACCGACAGCGTGTTGAGAAGATAATGGGTGGTGCAGATGTTGTCGACGATTTCTATCGATTGTTTTTCGCACCAGGTGTGGAACATTGCGGTTTTGGGTCTGGGTCGGGGCCAGTCCCAAAAGATCCTTTGGAAAGATTAGTGGCTTGGGTTGAGAGGGGAGAAGCGCCCGAAAGACTTCCTTCTGAGATCATCAGTCAAAAGGGGAGCTTGATTACTAGGAATCTTTGCCGATTTCCTCAAACACCAAGGTTCCTGGGTACTGGGGATATCGACAAGGCAAGTAGCTGGGGATGTGAGGATGCGGAAAGTGATCAGACAGACAACACCGCGAGGACAGTGAGAGATGAGCTAAAATAAATGTGGGATTGTGGATTGACGAGTGTTTTGTGTATGCCACAGAGATGCCCCATGGCATAGGATTCGACCTCGCTACGTAAAACATTGGAGAGCGGATGCCTCCGTCAAAATGATATGCGGATCTTTGAAAATGGGAGATGAGAGAAATTATATACTAATGCCTTGCAGCATAGATTGTTGACAATGAATACTATTCTCACGCTGAAGGATTTACTGCTTACACCTGCTCACATCTTCTTGCTATGATACTCAGTCGTTCGGTGAACGATTGACAACAACGACACCCCGCCATTATCATCCCGGCGAGATGGAAACCAGGCTACAAGATAAACTCTCAAATGCTGGTCCGGTCAAAAGCGGCTTCAACTTCATCGTACCAATCAGGGTCAAGCGCGGATTCGCTCCCTCCCGTTACATCCTCACGCCCGAAACTCCATCGGATGAACGCAAAGATATCGGATGACCAACGCTCCATTCTTCCCGCCCACTTCATTGCCTTGACTAGTATCGACCCTTGATCACGAAGCGCACAGTCACATTGAAAATGCATGCATTCTGTGTACAAGCTGCCGTATCTTAGCAATCCATCAATCGAGCATGAAATCTACAGAAATGAGCATGACATCGATTCTGAGAGATATCAAAGGTGCGAATTCGATCTCGGTGAAAAGTCACAGCCTCATCCGATAAAGTCTCTCCCACCACTTATGATTGACGTCGGGGCTACGCACGCGCTGCTTAAACCAAGTCAACGGCAACGCTAACTTCCCCGCAATCTCTCCACGTTGACTACCGACTGATCTCCGCTAAATAAAGTTGACTCAGATCATACGACTACCTCCCACACGAGCAGTCTGGACCTCACTTGCCGCATCCTTTGGATTCTTTTCCGTGCCCCCGTAGTTTATTTCCACTTGCCTCCGTATGCAGCTCCATCTAAGTGTGTTCTAGCTCGATGCTCGTGAATTGGTACCTGACTGGCTTCGCCGTTCAAGGAGATAGATATCTGAGATCACTACGATACCTCATTTTTCATCGATTGAGTTAGTCAATCAGAAGTTAGACTCAAATGACTTTGAGACTTGTTTCTGTTCACATTGCTGATCTTGATCATGGTAATAAGCTACAAGGTACAGAATCAATGAACCCTCTACATTAGTGCTAGACAGTGCGCTATCCTTACCCGTTCGGCCATGCATCCTGCATTCACACGGGGAAACAGTGACGATGTTCTTGCCAGTAGGATTGCTAGGCTCGAGATCTACCCCTCTAACTCACCTCGCCGTTCCCCCAGGAGCAAAGGAATCTTGGCCCGATCCCCTAAGAAGCTTGACCTGTAGAATGCGGTCAATACGTGGCCAGCCGTTTCTATCTCCGTGCGGACCCGCTGCACAGTTGATCCCCCGAGTATTTGAGTAAGTCATCACCTCTTGGGATATGTATTCCCGCCGCTGAATTCACTACGCACACACTTCTCTGGGGTTCTCTTAAGAAGATCCTTTAGCTCACCTCCTGACTCCGAGGCATTCTTGTTCACTCCTCGACCCCCGCTCGTAAATACTATTTTCAGTGATTATACATACCTTTCCTCTACCATTTCACCATGTCTTATCACCACGAGAGCCTCCGCGAGAAGACTCTAAACAACGAAAACCTAGCAGGTCCGCACGCAAACTACCAAGGTATAGGAGATAACCACAGCAACCTTCACGACCGAACCATGAACAACGAGAACCTCACCGCCCCCTCTCCCGACGCACCCTTGGAGAAGGACTTTAGTCGGAACAGTACGTTACCCTCACCACAAATCCCGTACTCGAGCTAACATGAAACTACGCAGTGTCGTCAGCGGGGTACTCGAACGGCTTCGACACAACCTACCAGCATCTAGACGGCACCCAAGATTCCGAGACCGCGCTGCGGAAGATCAGGACGGCGGGCAGTATATCCATCTCGCCGGATCTCTTCGAGAAGTTGTATCTGTCCCCACAGAACCGCGTCAAGGGCGATTTGCGCAAGACGTTTGGTAACCCGACTCCTCTGTAAGTCCCCCGTGCCGTGTCCATGTCCGATGGGTTAGAAAAAGAGAAGGACGGACTGATTGATAGCGGGTAGTGCACTCATCGGGTTCCTCATGTGTTTGTTCCCGCTAAGCATGACGCTCATGGGTTGGCGAGGCGCAGGCAATAACGGTGCGGCGGGTATCGGCGAGTACTGGTTCTTTGGTGGGCTATTGATGATGCTGGGTTCTGTTGGTGAGGTAAGTCGTCGTTCCGGTTCACATTATCCATTTCAAACAGACCATTGTCCGCGATTCCTCAGAAGTCATATAAGTAAATGGTGCTTTCAAGAACTGACTGATGATGTGTGTGTGTGCATAGTGGATCCTGGGCAATACATTCCCATTTGTAGTCTTTGGCTCCTTTGGAGCATACTGGCTTTCGTATGCGGCAACGCTACAGCCGTACTTCAATGCTTATGGCGCGTACTCAACGACTGGGGAGATCGCTGAGGGCCTGGAGACGGATGGGTTTCGTTCTGGCTTAGGTACGTACACATTATCTTCTCTTCTCCCATCTTCAACCCCCAACCCCAAGCAAGAACAAAAACACCCTCACGACCACAATATATCGAGGGAAAAAAAGGCGACATTTGCCCCATACAAGCCGTAATGATATGCAGCTAACACTCCGCCTCTCTCCCAGCATTCTGGTTCATATCCATGGGTCTCATGTGCCTAATCTTCATGGTGTGCTCTATCCGCACAAACTTCGTCTTCTTCAACATCTTCTTCTGGCTCGTCGTCACCTTCGGCTGTCTCACGGGCGCATACTTCCAGCTCAACAACGGCGCGCTGGCTCTCGCCGCCCGGCTGCAGACTACCGCCGGCGCAACGGCGTTCATCACGTGTGCGTTTGGATGGTGGATCTTTGCGGCTATAATGCTGGCGAGTTTGGATTTCCCGTTCGAGATTCCTGGTATGTCTGCATCTCTTTCATTCTTCTTTCCCTTTGAATGTGGCTCCAGGGGGGTGTTGAATGCGAGCGAAAGGGAAAAAGCTATATCAAGAATCCGAATAATTTCGTCGGAAGAGAAAAAAAAAGCTGACTAGAGTACTTCATAGTGGGTGATCTATCCGGTCTCGTCAAAGGCGCTTCCCAGAAGAACGCTGCGGAGAAAAGTGTCTGAGCGGCTATTACACTGGCTCGAATTGGCAGCGAATGGTGTTGTGGGGGGTAGGTGGGTGATTGATTGATAGCTTAACGAGCGTAGCACTGCACATGCTGCATGTCTAAGCGTTTTGCAGCTTTTGGCGGTACTTTCATGTTTAGCTCCGTGTACTTTTGTCTTTCTGTATGATATGATCTAAAGATGATGTCTTAGCTCTTGCCTGTCTTATGGAGTATGCCGTGGTATTAAGGACGTCAGACTCTCTTCATCCATTGATAGATCGCGAAACAACCGGGCGGTGAAAACGATGAAGCGAGCAACCTTCATCCCCCCCTGTCCTTATTCTGTGAGGTACTATTTGGGGGTGGAGATTGGATTGCGTAGTTTCAAGATTGAGATATTGAGGATGATGGGCAGAGAACTCAGATTTCACTAGTTCTCCTTTCGAAGGCGCATGAACAATAGATTATAAACTTTTTGTCTGTTACTACTTTGTATATAAAGCTGTAGCGATCCAATCTCTGACAAATATTGTTGCGAAAAGATGCACGCACGAGGCCGTTCAAGTGAATAAGGTAAAGTGATAGTAAGACGAACCCAACTCAGTGGAAGGGAAAATAACAGAAAAACTCCGTCGCTGATAACTGGAAAACAAAAATGAAGGAACGAGACCGAGCAAAAAGATGTCGCTATGCAAGAAAACTGCTCACGCTGCGAAGTGGGGCACGGAAGTTGCATCTTCGTCCTCCCAAGACAGGGCAGTATCACGAGGTTGATGATGGAGGAGACCAGAAAACACGCTTGCCCATACCATGAATCAGAAGGACTTCACTCAAGCCTCCTGATGATGGTGCAGATTCGCATGCAACTTCTCGTCTTCTTCACTCCTGGGGACCGCAAAACTCTTGCGCATCCTCATCGTGCTCCGCGTCTTCGTCATCAACGCATCGCGAATATCCTTCTTGCTCCTTGTCATCCAGTTACCAAAGCTCTTCTCGCTGAGTGGCCAGATTGGGCGGTTCAACTCGTCACTGAAGAACTCCTCGGGGCGAGGCGGCGGGTTGCTCATGAGGAAATCGAGGTCCATTTCCACTTCCTGGCAGAACTGCTCGAGGGGAAGATCGTTGACGTCCATGCCGAAGGGGTTCTCAATTTCGCGGCCAATAGCGGCGATACCGATGATGATGTAGGCGGCGAAGATGCAACCAGGGATTGTGACCCAGCGGAGGTCGTCCCAAAGCTGGAAGGGCAGCATCATAACGTAGACCCAGGTGATTTGTGAGATGGCGATCGAGTAGGCGACTGGGAGCGGGGTTTGGAGTACGCGATCGACGCCGACGAGGACTTCGTTGAGTGCGACAACGGATGTGACTGGTTTGATGGGTTAGCACGGTTTTTGGAAACAGATTTCAACAGGATAGAGGGTTTTCTTACTAGCTTGGTTCTGGTAGAGACCGACGGAGTTCGTTTCATTGCTAATTGTGCTTTCGACGTAGGCAGAAAGATGGTTGAGGATCTCCAATGGCAAGTTTCCTAAGGGTCGCTTTGCCTGTTTGATGAGTTTGCGAGGGTTGGATTCGGCGAAGGAGACGCCAAGGTATTCACCGGCGGCCTTGAATTTTCCGTGTTCGCGGGGTTTGGGGATCTCGCTCTCCGCTTCTCTGGCAAAAGTCTCAAGATACTCGACGCGCTCCTTAAGATCAGGATAGTTAATTCCGGGCTGGAAGCGAAGCCTGTGGACAAGAGAGTGGGAGAAAGCCACGATCAAATTCAAAGCAGAGCTAAGTTTGTGTTAATATCAGGACTTTTGTTCCAGAAAAAACGTGGTTCAGAAGCTTACATCTTGTTCAAAAGATCTTGCTTGCCAATATCGCCAGGTCGCTCGTGCGTGTGAATCCATATCGTCCGGGCCAAGTTCTGGCTCACGAGCTGCAACTGAGACCAATACCTCCGACCCTCGGTATATCGTTCGTATGCGGAGGACGTTCTGAACGAGATGGCAAGACCCACGACGAAACCAAGAACAGTGAGCAGCAGATTGCTGACTTTAAGCTCGTATTTGTATTCGCTGATGACAGTGATTGCCGTCGACCAGATCGCTACCACGATCAGGGGAAGAATCATCTTGGGAAGCACGGAGCCGTGCATCCGGAGGAAGAAGGGCCATTTGGAATGTTTGGCCATGTCGCGAGGACCAACCTAATAAATGGGCCTCTATCAGCAAGCGATCTTGGAAGATGGACAGATATAAGGTTAAAAACGTACGAAATAATCACCGGCGTCCAGTGAGTTGGTTGTCTGCCTCCGCGAAGCAGCGGAGGGAATATCTCGGTCTCTCCATGATTGGTATGACACTCGACCTTCTCCATGTGCTGTAGCAGTGGTACTACCGTGGCTCGAAGGAGGCGCCTCTGTTTGAGAGGGCCTCAATGTTTTCCCGTCAACTGAGTTGTTACTCATTGTAAATGGCGGAATTGAGCGGTGAGCTCTTTGGAAACGGAATACGGAGGGAATGTGGAACTGCCCAGCAGTTTCTGTAGTGAAATTTGTACTTGTGTGGATAGAGACAGTAGGCGATTTGATAGCAAAAACAGACCAGAGCGATTAATGAGAGAGTGGTAGTTGGGGAACCCTGGAGGGCGGAGAAGTTGAAGACAGAGGGAAGGGACAAGAAGGAGCGGAGACTTTAATGGTCAGGAACGCCATGAAGATAATTATACCGAACATCGATATTGGTAAAGAAGTGCACGCGTGTCAAACCCCGGTAGTGAGCTTGAAAAGACCCTAGCGAGACAACCCCCTGCATCAGGCTGCGCTGCTCCCCTGAGCAAAGCCGGCGCTGTAGAGAACGAATAGAGGATAGTAAGTACAGTAGGCTGCTCCTGAGGCGGCAAGGGTATGTCGCGGATGGCCATTCGTTTCATCAAACAATGCTGAGCCGTGGGGTGGCCTTGCATATGGCTCCGGAGGCAACAGAACCCCTTGGGGATTCGCCTGCAGCAATTGTACTTACCCGATGCTGGTTTCTGGCGCGGTAAAGCCCAACATTTATTGACACCACGACAGTGAACTTGAATTATGGCAATGATGGTTCCCAACGGTGCTTGTCGGAGTCGACATTGCGATATTTTAAAGTTACAGGGCCGCGAATAGAGTGACAGGCACCAGCAGAAAACGGTAGCGATCGACATCTTTGAAATGTGGAGTGGGAGCGGTCTAGATGTTCATAACAGTGGACTCCGACCGAGCTCTTGGCTTTTCCCGCGTTCGTACACGTTAAGTCGAAAATGAGTGGACCTCAGTCGATGTTTTTCTGGGCAAGGTACGTTACGTTATGATGCGTGCTTGACCGTGGAAGTCATGTTGGCTGAGTCGTGCCGGTTTTCACTATTTTATGCCCTTCTAGAATGTGGAAAGGCGACTGTGCCGCATAGAGATGCGATGATCAAATGATAGACTTAGTGGAAAGGCGACAGTCTCTGCCTTCAGGATTCTCTGAACTTAGTAGGAGCTTGAAGTGACTGCGGCTGCGCGTCAACAGAAACGACATACGCAATGCGACTGACGCGCCTCCGCGCTATTATGGTGCCAAACGAGAGAAAAAAAAGAGACCGAAACACGTGTATTTCACCAGTTCACAGCCCGGGGCTGCTAGAAAAGAAAAATATAACACGCCGAACCCGTCCCGAAAACAAAATGCAGGCTCCACCACGGAGCCCCTGATAGGAAGCGAGAGTAAGTTACGTGGTAAACAACCCGGAGCGGAGTGAGCGAAATGACAAAGATGACAGAAGGCTGTGCTGTGCCGTTGAAATCTCGGCCGCACGAAATCCGTACATGCTAAGACAAACACGGCTCGGAGCTATGGGTACATGCTACAGTTCTGTTATACATGTGAATTATTCGTGTAATAAAGTAGCATACGATTCTGCTCCTACTTACCTTGACGATGTTCCAACGAAAGAAAAACATTACGCTCATGAACAGTCGTCTACTCAAACAGAATCGCGTTTTCAACAAGTCTTTGTTTACATTTGCTTACTTGCATTGTGGGTACAGGGCGCATCCAAGAGATAGGATTCCGGATCCTTTGTCCAAAAAAAGATGCAAGCAGATTTCCGCAGAATAATCCGTCCCCACCACACCACAAGCCCATCTCATCTCATCCTTTCAAAAATCCCATCCATGTATAAAACGGTAAAAACACCTTAACAAAGAGAGAGAAAGAAAAAACTGAAAGGATAGCGGGGGGAGGTGTAAACGAGGCAAACCCGCACACAGCAAACCCACCCACCGCAGGACGGTGGCTGCTGACATGCCTTCCCACATTCCCCGACCGATGGCGGCGATTCATCGGGATGTGAAGGGGAATCTCATTTTGTCCCTCGATCTACTCGTTTGCTTGATTACTGTATCAATCGTCTCCTTCTTGTTTCCTGCCTGTTCGAGATTCTACCGTGGCTGGATAAAAGGGGTGGGAGATGAGACAGAAACATTCGTCGTGTTTATTTCCGAGCCTTCGTTGGGTTAGCTACCGTATGTCGTATTGCTCGCGCGTATCTACGATTTAAGTCTGTGCTGCGTTTTCTGTGGTATGGGGACGGTTCAACGTCTTGTTTATCTGAATGACCATACAGCGAGAGCAGGGTAGTAGTTTATGAGATTACAAGTATGCTTGATGAAACATATAGTACATTTCACTCTATGGAGCGTAGTACATCAAGATGCATAATGTTAGCATTGAAATTCGATTAGTGATAGAATCAACAAGTCTACAAAAACCCTCCCGCAAACATGCCTCCTCAACCGTACCCATATCTGTTTCCTGAGCACGAACAGCCAGGCCACCAACAAATTTCCCGATCCCACGCTCTGAAAGACGCCACGGCCACCGCTGAACTCATCCCATTTCTGACTTACCTAACCAGGTCTTTTTATGTCACTCTTTTCTGTCGTCTCACGTCATCTCGCAAACCTCCTTCTTCCCCTCCTCAACTCATCGCCCAGAGGCCTCGTCCCCCAGAGCTTACCATCTACGCAGACTTTGACCGTCCCGATCCTCTCCAGCAACCCTCGATATAGTATGAGTTTGTAATCATCGTCGCCGTGGTGCCAAATACGCGTCCATACATCGATAAGCTCCTTGGCGACGCTGTGCGGATGCACTAATCCTTCCCTCACTTCATTCCCCTGCGCGTCTGAAGGGAGAAACTTTGAGGTGGGGTAGTTTGGCGGAGGGATGACATTGAGCGTGAGTTCTGCGATGGTAAGTGGTAGATCTGTAGAATCGGTAACTGGTACTGCTGCTGCTGTCCTCGGTCGACGCAGAGTGGAGGACGAGGACACAGACGACGTGAAGTCTGGGCCATTCTCCAAGAGTCGATTGAGTGCGGCGCAGATGGCCCAACTCGTTCTATCTTCTTGACTGCTGTTTCGCGTCCATTTACGTGTGCGGTCGCCAGTGGGGCGGACATCAATGCAGAGGCGTTCGATATGTGTTGTACTGAGGTGGTGGCTACTGCTGGTATGGAGAAGTAGACGTGCCCATGCCCATTCCCTATACTGGTGTAACCAAGATAGTGCCCAATTCGGTAGGAAACTATTTCCACTCTTCAGTCTTGCATATAAGGAATGAGTGTCCACCGTTCGGGTATGTACCAGTGGCACGCTCAGCCACGTGAAGTAGTGAAAGCTTTCGTCTTCGGCAATGCAGTCAATCCGCGCGGACAATGCTGTATCGCCTTCTATTTTCTTGACCAAGTCAATCATTTCCATCATTTCCGTGTGGATCTGGCGATTACAACACAGGAAGCTGGCGCAAGTCGGTGGCACCGGCTCCAGTGAGTATGCGCATCCAAACTCTCCCGTGTCGCCACTTTGAGAGTACGCAACGCGTTGAAAGCGGAACGAACGCCATTGCGGATGCCCTAGCATAGGACGAGGCCTTTTCCCGAAAACGACCTCTGTATAAATAAGATCGCGGAGTTCGCGGGGTAGGTCGAAGAATGCAACCATGGCTTTCGTTCGTTACCGTCTTCTTTCTTTGTAGCTCGAGCCCCTCAAGAACTCGGTTTAGCTCGCCTTTATTTTTTTATTTTTTTTTGATAAGAAAAGAAAGGGCAGTGCTTTGACTGTTATGTGAGAAGAAGTTTGCACGTGCTTGCCACTCGAGATCCCGACGTTCGTTCTATGTAGTTTGATTACGGTCCCTCGGAGGAAACTCCCCAGGATGCCTGATAACCCGCGAGAGTAGACTCAGTCGAACGAAACAAACAGAGGTAACCCTGTCCTAGGGTTTGACACCTGCCAACTGGCGACTGCCTGTCAAACAATTGTCACAGGTTCAGGGTGGATTAGAGGTGCAGGTTTCAGAAATGCAGCCGCGTTACAGATGAGTTTGAGTTTCGGTCGCCGGAATGATGCCGCGGTGATCCTGAGGTCGGGTAAAAGAGTTGGGCTAGCTCGGGGAATGTGTAGTACGATGAATGGACAGCTTTGAAAGGGACCAACAAATGCGGTGGTTGCGATGATTATATACAGTAACTGTATAGGAATGCATGTTCAGGGCATGAGAACAAATGGCGGTATGATGAGGTACTATCGGATGGGCTTGGAACGTAAGATTATGACATAGGTGCCGGCAACACCCGTACCTACAACACTTCGACAAGTCATCATCCGAAAGCAGCCTTCACATGGGGTGGAAGCATCACAATACCACAAATGCATGTTTATGAGCGGAGAATAGGAATGACATTTGGTAAACCTTCTTCCGCGATCGCTATAGTACATTCACCCCATCGTCAGCCAAACAATTACAGCTCGACACCAGTATATCTTAACAATCATAATATAGCATACACGTCTTCATACATCGCTCGCTCTTGGCAGACTGCTGCTCCTGTACAAACACAAAGGCCAAAATACTCGAGTAAAGGTAGTAGGGTGTAGTAAAACATTGGGAGATGGTCGAAGGAAAAAGAAGGGAAGAGGTATAGGTACAAGACGCGAATAAAAAATCTTCAACCAAACCATGCCAGACCGTGATGCAAGACGCCATTAATTTTTTTTGCCCAGCAAATGACCCAAGAAAAATGATTACGAGGAGTTAGAGGCTAGAGAGAATTTACTGCTTCTTCTCGCCTTCACCCTCGGGCTGCTGCTGCTGCTGCTCGCCGGACTGGTTCTCGGAGCGGGCCTTGTGCATCTGGTCGAAAAGGCTCAAGCTGGCGTTCTGGAGATCGTCGGTCTTCTCCTTGATCTCCTCGGCAGTGGCAGTACCCTCGCCAGCCTGGCTCTTGGAGATGAACTCGCGCATCTGCTCGATCTTCTCCTTGATCTTCTCAGCCTCGGCCTTGTCGAGACGGTCCTCAAACTCCTTGAGAGCCTTCTCAGTGTCGTTCACAACACTGTCGGCGCGGTTGGCAGCCTCAATGGCAGACTTGCGCTCCTTGTCCTGGGCACCGTAGCGCTCAGCATCGTCAACCATAGACTGAATCTCGGAATCAGAGAGACCAGAGCCAGAGGCGATGGTAATGGACTGATCCTTGTTGGTCGACTTGTCCTTGGCGTGAACGTGGACGATAGAGTCGGCGTCAATGTCGAAGGTGACCTCGACTTGAGGAACACCACGGTGGGCGGGAGGAATGCCAACAAGCTGGAAGTTACCCAAAAGCTTGTTATCACGGACAAGCTCACGCTCACCCTGGTAGACCTTGATCTCGACGGCGCTCTGGAAGTCAGCGGCGGTAGAGAAGACCTGGGACTTCTTGGTGGGGATGGTGGTGTTGCGGTTGATCAAACGGGTGAAGACACCTCCGAGAGTCTCGATACCGAGAGACAAGGGAGTGACGTCGAGCAAAAGAAGGTCAGTGACCTCACCAGCAAGGACGGCACCCTGGATGGCGGCACCAATGGCGACAGCCTCGTCAGGGTTAACGGACTTGGCGGGGTCACGACCAAAGATGCTCTTGACAGACTCGGTGACCTTGGGCATACGGGTCATACCACCAACAAGAATGACCTCCTGGATGTCCTTGGCCTGGAGAGAAGCATCCTTCAAGGCCTTGCGGACGGGCTCAACAGTCCTGGAGATGAGGGGATCAACCAACTTCTCGAGCTGAGCGCGGGTCATCTTAGAGTTGATGTGCTTGGGTCCGGAGGCATCAGCGGTGATGAAGGGAAGGTTGATCTCGGTCTGGGAAGAGGAAGAAAGCTCAATCTTGGCCTTCTCAGCAGCCTCACGAATACGCTGGATAGCCATGCGGTCGTTGTTGAGGTCGATGTTTTGCTCCTTCTTGAATTGCTGGACAAGGTGGCGGACAAGGGTGATGTCGAAATCTTCACCACCGAGGTGGGTGTCACCGTTGGTGGACTTGACCTCAAAGACACCGTTCTGGATCTCAAGAATAGAGATATCGAAAGTACCACCTCCAAGATCGTAGACAGCGATGACGTTGTCGTTGGCCTTGTCAAGACCGTAGGCAAGGGCGGCAGCGGTAGGCTCGTTGACGACACGGAGGACGTTGAGACCAGCGATCTGACCGGCATCCTTGGTGGCTTGACGCTGGGAGTCGTTGAAGTAAGCGGGGACAGTGACGACGGCGTTCTTGATGTTCTTGCCCATGTAGGCCTCGGCGGTCTCCTTCATCTTGCCGAGGACGAAACCACCAACCTGCGAGGGCGAGTACTTCTGGCCCTGAGCCTCCAACCAGGCATCACCGTTGGTGTGCTGCACAATCTTGTAGGGGACCTGCTGGATATCGCGTTGCACCTCAGCATCGGTGAACTTGCGTCCGATGAGACGCTTGGTGGCGAAGAGAGTGTTCTCGGGGTTGACGACGGCCTGACGCTTAGCGGCGATACCAACGAGACGCTCGCCCTCCTTGGTGAAACCAACGACGGAAGGTGTTGTGCGTGTACCTGGAAAGAGGTTAGATGATGATGAAGCAATTGAGATGATGGTGGCGATGAAGTACCTTCAGCGTTTTCGATGATGCGTGGCTGCTTGCCCTCCATAACAGCGACGGCAGAGTTTGTGGTTCCGAGATCGATACCGATGACGGAGCCCTTGACCTTCTCCTCGGAACCCTCAGCGTAGCCTCGCGCCCATGATGAGCCGAATGGCTTTGTGAAGGCGGGAGCTTGAGCGCGACGGAAGGACGAGGCTGCGCGCGGCAGAACCTGCACAGCTTGTTAGTATAGGAGAGCTGTTGAGCAGAGCGCAATAGTGAGTGCCTACCGATCGTGATATCCTTGAGGAAAACATGATGATTGTGTGTGTGGGGAGGAAGTTGCAGGAGGGAGATGCAAGCAACGAGAAGGAGCAAGATGAAGAAGAGCAAGGTGATGGATGGTTGGATGGATGGGGAGGAAGAAAGTTTTATGGGCGAAAAAAGATCGCGAGAGCTTGGACAGGAGAGGATTTGGAAATTTCTGGAACTTGGCGGATTCCGTTAGCGCCATTGGTCCGTCGCCATCCATCATCATCGCCGCGCTTCCGACCGACGAACGGCGATGACCTCAGTCATCGATCAAGGTGAAAGACCTTTTTATTTCTTTGTTTGTTTGTTTGTTTGTTGCTCCATTGTGAATGTTGCGATTGCATCAACGGCTGCGTGGATGGAATCAATCGAATTATATATATCGCCAATCAATGTATCATTGCATGTCTTGCTCCCCATAAACACCGCCATGTTCGATTTATGCACGCCCGTCCAATTCCATCTCTGGATGCAATCAAAGCATTGGAAAGGCTGTATATATATGTATGTGAATGTATCTGGTTAGAGCTCGTGTGTATATGTCTGGCCAACAAGCTTCCAAATCAACGGGACTCTCATGTCTGCATCAATCACCCCCCATAGGACCTCTGCACCTATGTACATGCGTTGATTGGAGGTTTGCGCGCACCACCACAACTTCTCCCTCCAACACCTCCAATAGCCATCACCATCAACCCTTTCAACCCTCTTGGCATATTGAGACTGCGCCCCCTCTTCACATCCCATCAACCTCCTGGTTACCACTTTCCGTTTCCACGACCCGACTGTGGCACGGCGCTGCGCTGCGCTGCCCGTCTACATAACAGAGCTATCATTATCGCCCCGGCCAGACTGACTGTCTGACGTAGCCTTCGCCCTCGCGACTTGCCATCATTCACACCTCGTTCCCTCACCACACCTTCAACCTTTTCGCAGCCGGACCATGCGCTTTACTTGCTAAGCATGGCCGTCGATGACTTTCTGTCCGTTGCTCGATGCCCACAGCCCTATCCCGTCTACCCTGCGCTGACTAGTCTAGGTCTCGAGACACCGATACCTTTGTGCTCCCTTCCAAGTCCTACTACTATCCTTTGAAGATACCAATAGCGTAAGCTTTCTACTAAGCCATGCGAACCCGCCCAGGCACCCCGCTGACAAGTCCAGTCATTATCAATTGCGACACTTCATCAGTTCCTCCGAACCTGACCTCCTCTACTACGCCAGCCGCGCCGACGTCTTTTGCCTCAACGCCGCGACACGCACGCAAACCCAACTGACCACCCTCCCATGGGACGCCCGTTGCACAGCTTCTGGATATGGATACGTCTGTGTGGGGGGCGCTCAAGATGGCAACTTTGCTGCCATCAAGGTCACCGGTTTTCCACCTGCCGATCCAGCCCATGTAGATGCCTTGCTGCCCCTTGACCTTTCCAACCGTATCACCTTGCCTCGACCCCCCGCCGCCCTCCTCCCCACCCACTTCCACACCGAATTCGCAAAGATTGGAGATGATATTGTCAACTCGATATCCATACACAAGCTTTCAACCGACGGTGCTGCGCACGAGGACGTGGTCGCAGTTCTCACCAACAACGACAAGTCAGTACGCATCTATTCGCTCACTGAAAATGTACAAATCGCCGAGCTATGGCTCCCGTTTCCAATGAATCACGCTACGATATCGCCAGATGGGCAACTGCTAGTGGCTGTAGGCGATCAACATGTCGGGTATTTCTTCCAGCGAACCAGGAAGGGCACCGTCGGTACGGACAAGACGACGGAAGAGCAACCTACTGAATGGAGATGGACTCTGATCCAGGAAGTATGCTTGTACGTTCCTCCCGAGTCTTCCCTTGAGGGATACTTCACCACTGCTTGGTCACCATCAGGGCGCCTGTGTGCGGTAGGCTCGGAATGCGGTTACATCACTGTTTTTGACGTCGATCTGTTGATGCAATGCGAATATGGTGAAGATGCTATCCTACACGTTATCAGCTCCACCCGACCGGACATGGGCGTTCCTGGGCCGGGTGCAGTGAGAACCATGCAATTTTCACCCGCTCCGTGGGACTTTCTTGTTTGGAGTGAGGACCAGGCTAGAGTATGCATTGCCGATCTCCGTTCCGACCTGAAGGTCAAGCAAGTCTTGACGTTGGATCCAAAAGAGGATGGCTTGGAAAAAGTGCACATCGCCGACTTTGATCTGGACCTGAATCCGGCTTTGAACAATCTGCAAGAGGAGGAGGACTTCATCCGCCGCTACCACCGCACTCGTGATACTGAAGGAAACGCTGCAGCTGTTAGTCTTGCGAACGACTATATGGACTCGGCAGATCGGAGGAGATATCATCGACACAGCGGTGTAGTGGAATCTACCAATGATCCACATGGCCTCACAGCACACGAGAGGCAGGTCCTTGAAACCCTCCGCACTACAAGACCGCGCGAATCAACACGAGATGCGGGCTCCAATCCGCGCAGTATCAATTACAACACCTCGACAGGCTCTACAGATGCCAGAGGGTATGTTGATTCGAGACTTCTCGATCATCCCAGGATTGCTGAATTCAGGATGCTGACGGCTGGACTTGACAGGGCGGCCACTCGAGTCATCACCGAAACTGCCACTGGGATGTCTGAGGCATTGAACCAGCGGCACGAGTGGCGGGCTCCTCGACGACAGGCTTCAGTGGTTGTGTCTCTCGAAGGCAACAACAGTGGTAGCAGATCCCAAGTCAACATCACTGGCGGTGCTACTACACGATCCCCGAATCCAATTGCGGCTCAGATTCACGGGACGGATCTGAGTCAGGCGCGGCGGGAACACAACGAGATGCTTGCAAGTACGGATGATGCATGGCGCACAATCGAAGAAGCGCTTGCACGCAATGCCAGGGATACGACGCGTAGCTCCGCTGCGCCCGAACTTCGTAATGAACTCCGGCGCCTTCGACAATTGACTGCTATGCGGGAACGCCTTCGCAACGCACGGGAAACGCCCAACGCAATCAATTCTTATACGCTCAGCAGCATGGGATTCCGGCGTGCCCACAACCCTATCCACCACAACCCCGCAGATGGGCTGCGAACGGCGGGTCTCGCCATGAGCCCGGACGGACGCACACTGTATTGCGGCACCGAAGAAGGCATTTTCGAGTTCCACTTCAATTTGCACGCCCGGAAAATGATGCCTGCCATTGCCCCCCGATGAAGGGAGGCTGACCAAAAGCGATTGATTGAGCTTGCTTTCTAGCTTCTGATTCGGCTCGTGCTTTGGCTACTTTGAAAATGTATTTGTTCGTTTCATGATTAATTTACCACGGTCACGGCAGTTGGGATTCACGGATAGGCAATAGGCAATTGGGGGGCGTTTGCGCATACTGGGTTTCCTTGGATTGTTCTTCATCATGCAGCGGCACCAGTTTCTTCTTCTTGTTCTTCTTGTTCTTGTTCTGTTCTGTTCTGTTCTTTGCTTTTGTTTCGTATCTGAAATACATAATCATTGTTACGAGAGCAGAGAGGTAATCCAGCTGGGCGGTACTCGACAGTCAGTCAGTCATGGCAGTGGAGGTTCTGCTCCGTCCGGGGTAGCTGGTGGAGAAGAGCGCGGGCCGAACTCGGAGACACTGTAGCCGAGCCAATGCGCGGCCTGGTTGATGGTGCAATCCGTAGCGGTCAACCATGTGTGACTGTTGTCTGTTAGAAACTCCCGTCTTCTGGTCAATAAAACTAAAAAAGGGCCTGCTTCGGTCCTCCATACCTTCAGTCCTCTTTCATCATCTTTCCCCAATATCCCTCCTTCACCGACTGCGACTTTCCCCATTGACTGGTCCCTGTTCGCCACCAGCAATTGGCCTATAGACCTGACGCCTCGCATCTGGAACTACGTCATCCCCTGCATTCCTTTATAGAGAACGCGGCCCTCAGTCGGACGAAGCATATCAAATTCCAACCATGTCTGACGGCCCCTCCAAGTCCAAGGCCGCCGCCGTTGGAAAGGTTGTCACATCTCACGACATTGATGGTCATGATCTCCCACCGTCGCCTGCACCCAGCACCCCACGCAATGGCCGCAAGTATGCTCTTATGACAGAGCTGGTTTACACCGAGAGCACTGATCAGTACAATGCCAGCTCTGTCCCCATCTACCAAGTAAGCACTCCCGATCCTGAATCTTAACAGCGGCGGCTGACGTGTAAAGTCTGCCACGTTCAAGCAGGAGTCAGCGACCGGTGGCGCCGGCGAATATGATTACACGCGGTCGGGGAACCCCACTCGAACCCATCTGGAACGACATCTCGCAAAGATCATGAATGCCAACCGCGCCCTTGTCGTCTCATCTGGCATGGGCGCGCTGGATGTCATTACCCGTCTGCTGCGGCCCGGTGACGAAGTCATTACTGGAGACGACCTGTATGGCGGGACACATCGGTTGCTCAAGTACCTTTCCACACATGGCGGCATTGTGGTTCATCATGTCGATACCACGAACCCCGAGACGGTTCGCGCTGTAGTCAGCAACAAGACTACTATGGTCCTTCTTGAAACCCCCACTAACCCACTGATCAAGGTGGTGGACATTCCTTCCATTGCCTCTATCGTACATGCAGCAAACCCTGCCGCTGTAGTGGCGGTAGACAATACCATGCTTTCACCTATGCTTCTCAACCCGCTCGACCTCGGTGCCGATATCGTCTACGAGTCGGGTACCAAGTATCTTTCCGGCCACCACGATCTGATGGCAGGTGTCATCGCCATCAACGACTCCGCACTGGGTGAGAAACTCTTCTTCACCATCAATGCATCCGGATGCGGGCTTTCACCTTTCGATTCATGGCTTCTTCTTAGAGGTATCAAGACTCTTGGTGTACGCATGGAGAGGCAACAAGCAAATGCCCAACGCATCGCCGAGTTCCTTGAATCTCATGGCTTCAAGGTCCGCTTCCCGGGTCTGAAGTCGCACCCACAGTATGACCTACACTGGAGTATGGCGCGTGGCGCTGGCGCCGTGCTTTCCTTCGAAACCGGCGATGTGCTCGTCTCGGAGAGGATTGTCGAAAGTGCCAAACTCTGGGCTATCAGTGTGAGCTTCGGATGTGTAAACAGCTTGATCAGTATGCCGTGCCGCATGAGCCATGCCAGTATCGATGCCAAGACGAGAGCGGAAAGAAACATGCCTGAGGATATCATCCGGTTGTGCGTGGGCATTGAGGATCCGGATGACTTGATCGACGATCTCAGTCGCGCTGTAAGTTTGAGCCCTACTATATTCGGACGGTTTTCGAATGGGAACAAAAATCGCTGGAATCCGAGAAAACTAACATGTGTTTTATAGCTCGTACAAGCTGGTGCCGTGAACATCACACCGGAAGGATTCAACGCTCTATCCCTCGAAGACCCAAGTGCAGCACCCGCTGCCAGCACCGAAGAGGCTGCACAATAGCGGTGTTGGACGAAACCTACGATCTTTCCCGTCCCTTCTGCCTTCCACCTCATTTCCTAGTCACCTCTGCCATTCTTTGTCATAAGTATGGTAACGTGATACCCCACATTCTTTTTATCCGCTCGACTGAGAGAGAGGTCTATATCGGCTCGTCAGTCAACCTATAGCTCCTTATCCCTTGTCGATGGAACCCGAAAAAAGTCACCTCTGTCACAGCTCCTCTCCCTTGACCCCTTGGCAATGTCATGGGTGGTAGTGTAATGTGTTAACGTGATAACCCGACGCCCTTTTTGCTGTTCTGCACTTTTCTCCATTCACGTCAATTAGATAAAATCAGACAAGCATCTTTGCTTGAGTTGTTTTAGCCATGTCAGCTAGTCGAAGAATATCACAGAAATTTCGCTCTTACATCTTCATAATCTGACATTAAACCGGGTTTTGGCCTTCTGTAAGCGGGTTTGTCACCCTGCTCTATCTGCAGCCTAACACCAGTCGGAAAAAACACGGTGACTCAAGGTAAGATTTTTATCTTCTCATGTTAACAATTGTTTTCATCTGGTATCTCGATGTTCCAACTATATCGTCTCCCCCACCGCTTAGCCACTTCAGCCCTTGACAAGCTTAAGCACATCATCGATTTCCTTTGGAGTTGGAGTCAAGTTTTCGTAGCCCGAGTCTGTGACGAGGATATTGTCTAGTCGCGGAGAGAAAAAGAGAGGAAAACGAGTCAGCAAATCTCCCCAAGATGTAGGTAGGCAAGAAACAAGGGGTGGAAACATACCTTCGATCCTTACTCCACCAACCGCCCAATACTTTTCCAAAACACTCTGATCAATATACTTTGCCTGCTCCGGATCCTTCAAATACGGCTCGATAATGAACCTGCAGAAATACAATCCTGGCTCAACCGTAACCACACTCCTAGCAGGAACATTCCCTCGTACCCTCAGATACCTAAACATGGAATCTTTATCCGCATAGTTTGGGTTTCCCCCGGTATCGTGCGTATCCATACCGAGATAATGGCCCAGCCCGTGCGGGAAGAAGGCCACGCTCGTCCTAGCTTTGAAGATGTCGTCGGCGGAGCCACCGCGCAGGATGCCGAGCTTGAGGAGTCCATTGATGGCGATTTGATGCGCGAGCTCGTGGATCGAGTCCCACAGGATCCCCGCTTTGAGCGCAGCAATGCACTGTTTCTGCATATCGAGCACAATCTCGTAGATGCCGCGGCTCTCCTCGGTGAAGCTGCCCTTGAGCGGGAATGCACGCGTGATATCCGACGCGTAGTTGTCGACCTCGCACCCAGCGTCCAGAAGAAGCAGGTTCTGGTTGGTAATAGGCTCGTCGTTGCGGACGTAGTGCAGAGTTGCGCCGTTCTCACCCGCGGCCACAATGGAGTGGTAGGCTTGGTTTTTGGCGTTGCGTTCTACGCAGGCTTTTAGAAAGACGGCTTCGAGCTCGGCTTCGCTGTTGGCGGCGGACGCGGCTTTCATCACGTTGACGTGACCTACAGTGGAGATTGCGTTTGCTTTGCGGATCAGGGCGATTTCGTAGTCGGTTTTGACCACGCGGCAAGTTTCGATGGCGCGTTTGAGGAGGTCCAAGTTTGTGGTCTTGAAGGGGAGGAAGGAGGTGCTGTCCGAGATTTGGTCTGGGATCGCGAAGATTGTGGTTTGGGAGGAGGCGTCTGAAGAGGCGAGGTGCGCGTTAAGATCGCTCGTGGTCTGAACATTGTCCACGTCGTATTTGGCTTTTGCTTCAGATGGCGACATAGGAAGGCCTGACCAGATGACTTCATCGGGCTCGACAGGAGGGATGAAGAGATTCAATGTTTCCGTCGGGATGTTGTACGTCAGATATGAGTCTGGGAGGTTGCAGCCGCTGAGGTAGTAGAAGAATCTCCGCTGACGGAACGGGGCTTCACCATCATTGTCTTCGATCAACCGACTCTTTTGCGCCTCCAGGTAGATGGTTCCCGTTTTATCGCCCCCGTTGGCAATAAGCCATTCTGCCACTTTTTTGGCATGCTCCTTTGCAGGATATTTCCCTTTCAGGACCTCATCGTAGTTTTCCGCTATGCCCATGATGCTCAGGGGCTGTTCAGTAATGTATGAGTAAGGAACGCAGATCAGAAAGCTTTTGCAGAGGGTGGAATGTGACACGTTTTGGTGTTGTTTAGATACCTAGGTTCGTGAGACTGAATGTTGGTAGTGGGGTGGAGTTCGGGTAGGCGCGGGGCAATATCATTAGAAGAAGATACGCCGCGGATGATGCCCAAAGGGGAAGGTCTGAGCGTGAGGTTCGATATGGATGCAGACATGAAGATAGATTGATTTTCTTATGCCAAAGCGTATAACTGATGCAATCTAAATACCAGTGCCCTGCACTTTTACCATGTTGGTACACTTCTGTGGCTGCGCCAGCATACATGCCATACCTCGTCATGTATTGGAATCATTATACCCCGAAACGCTTACAGGAAATCCTTTGCTCTTCCCCTCTACAAATAAATCAAAATACAAGTAACGCATGCTTCACATGACCCCAACACCTGAACGCCTTGTAATCATGGAACGAGAACAGAGAACGACGCCTAGTCTCTCCACCTTGCAAGGAACTTGGCCATGTCATCTGATGGGTTAGGAGCGGGTGGTTCCTGAACAAAGGTCAGTCAATTTGAAGTAAAACTCGCCTTATCAACTATACATACCGTATGAGGCCGACTCTCTACCTTGTGCGTCTGACTTTGGGTCACAGTGGTGGCGATGGTGGGAATAGGGAGATGGCTCTTCGCAAAAGAGACGGCGCTGGTTGGGAACAAGGGCGTAGGCTTCCCTGTCTTTGTGATTTTGGTGCCGGGAATGGGTTGCATAGGAGCGTATCGCGTGGGGCCTGTCTGCATTGTGTAGTTGACTTCGAAATCACTAGCATCTCCTGCGGCTGGTTTCTTGCCTGAATCTGTTTCGTCCTTGGTAGGCGGGCCACTGGTTTCGGTACTTTTGAGCTTGTCGAGGGATGTCTTGACAGTGGCCGCAAAGGTGCCCTTCATGCCCGAGTAGGAGAAGCGAGGCGAGTATGTCGTGAGTTGGCCGCCAGTTTTTGCGACGGCGATCAATCTGACGAAATAGGCGTTCGTAGGTTTGTCTTCACCGACTGACGTTTGCACCACGCCCTCGGCATGGCCCAACGTAGAGAACTTTTGAGAGGCAGCAATGACTGCCAAACCGCAGACCTAAGATTGCCAGTTAGCAGGGCTGCGCCGGCATTGCTTTAATGCACATGACACTGAAGGGGAACTGACGGGATCATCATTGCTCCCAGCACAGAGGTCGACGGTGAAGGTGTCGAGGTCTGCCAAAGCCGGGCCGGTGCCGCCCTCTTTCCATTCCACCTCAAGCGCGCTGCCAGCTTTGGCTACGATGCCACTCGCGGGCTTCGTGATCTGTATACCGGCGTTGACCACCCCGCTGAGGGCTACGAAAATGGCCAGCGGGGCCAGTACGCGCGGCATCGCGAAAGCAAAGAAAGGGCGGTGGGAGCGTAACGAGCGTGGTTGGGGACGGCCGGGGAGCTTGCGAGGGGATGCGGAAAGCAACAATGACGAAGGTTGGATCTGTATGCTGGTGATTGTGTTGCGTCTATCGTTATCGCTTCGTATTGGGGGTTAGTGCAGACGGACGATGGAGTGAATAGAATGGATGTGGAGGACGGAAGATAGTGGCAGTGGCAGACAAACTCGGTTTGGCTCGTCGGAGGGAATTCAACATGAATCTATGTGGCGCTCAAACACGCCAGGGGTACGTGAGAGCAGAGTGGCACCCGTAACCTGTGCCAGACCAAATTACTACGCTAGTCCTGATCGGGCCATGCACCTACATTCCGCCCATCATCTCATCCTCTTCCACACATGGTTGCATGCTCCTATTGCCTACATGTATGGATGCATATGCCCTCATTCAATACGTAATCGCCATAAACTGCAAAGTATGAGCCAAAGAAAAGGTTGAGAGTGTGGAGGTGCAAAAGAAGGCCATTGAGCCCTCCTCTTCCTATACTGCTATGTTGTGGTGGTATCAAGTTTGCCCATCAACGCCTTCCCAAACACCTTTTATATGTATCCACTCATCCACAGGCGATGCCAGGACAGATACGGGGTATTGGCTCAATTCAAACGCCAACTTCCAGCCGTGTCCATCATATCAAAAAATCCTCCCATACCGTTACATGCCACATGGCGAAAGAAACAACGCGCTAACAGCCCTAAACGAATCAACGAAACATGGATATTCCTCATCGAACCTTGTTCAGTGGCAACTTTAAATCAAACGATGACGGTAGCTTAGAGGTCATTGTTGCTGCCTGTCCTGCTTTCTGAAGCGACACGGTAAGTTCCTTCATCTTTTCCGGTGTGCGGATCTGGAGGTCAAAGTCCAGTAGAAATTCCACGCTGAGCTCCAGCCGGCTGAGGGCAGCCTCTTCCACGCCCCCTACACCAGCCAGTCGCTTATGTGGCCAGCGGTGATCTTCCAGTGTCTTCATGGCGACAGTCAAACAGGCCAAGATGAGTCGGTGCATGGTCCGATGCGTGAGGGGCACAGCCTTGTCAATCAGGCAGAGTCGCATGATGTAGGAGCCGGCAGCCAGCCACACTCCCGTGGAAAATGGGCAAAAGTGTTGGATTCTGTTCAGGTAGTCGTCCAATCCAAACCTCGGTACCGTCTTGGAGAAGAACTTTCGCGCCATGTTGATGCGCTGAACCGACTCGGGCTCGGCTCCGGCCCCAATGTCGTGGGTGATGGGTTCATCGTGGCTGGCTTCCGCCTGCTCTAGTTCCGTCTTTTGTGTTTTTTGTCTTTCAGATGGAATGGGCGTCGCTGGTCGGGATGCCACGCGCCGGTGACCTCTAGTTCCAGACACGTTTTCTCTGCTCATGGGCGTTGCAGGCCGTGAGAGCGGTGGTGTTGCCGGGACATCGCCCGCTGCATTGGCCAGGGAAAGCATTGAACGCATGACTATCTTCATTGCCGTCTCCCTGGGCATTGTCAAGACATCCATCTCTGCCTCTTCGGGAGGGGATGGTGCATCTTGGATGGAGAGGCTTTGAAAATCTGGTAAAACGCCCGCATCACCGGCTGGGTTCGGGGCCGATGGTGGCTCCGATGGCTTGCTCATTGCCCCCCGTTTCGTGCCCGAGACCAAAAGGCCCGGGTGGACGGTGGTGGGTGGTGGGGTCGGGTGGCAGACTTGTAACATTCTATGCAGATGCTTGGCCGAAATCGCCCGAAAGGGGAAAACGATGAATAGTAAGAGCTACGAGAGAGAGAAAATGGTAAGATGAGTGGTAAGCGCCAGTGGGATTTCCAGCGATAGAGTGAGATACGATGGGAGCTCAGATGGACTCGGTCGGTGATTTGATGGGAATACTAAAGAGGTGCCGGTGGTGTGACACACAAAAGGAGAAGGGATGGGTGGTCACCACGATGAAGAAGAGTGAGGCGTGGGTGGGTGCAACGGGGAAATGGCGAGGGTTTCGAGATGGTAGTCGCCGGCGGCGGTGATGATGATGATGGTGATGATGATGACGGTAGTGTTGCAACGAGGAAGGGGTAGAGTCGAGTTTGATGCTTTTCAAGGAATCAATAAAAAAAGTAGAGTGGTTGCTGGCAGGGTGTTTGTAGGTAGTAGTAGGCTTGAAGTTGTTAGGGCAAGCAAGACAGGCACTAGAAGTAGTCGGTACCTGACTGACGAAGGGTTTGACGGCGCATGGGTGTTTCCGCTTCAGACGGTGCAGCAGGCCATGTGGGACCTCTGGACGGAGCAGTATGAGGTTGGAATGCAGGCAATTTGCGGTCAAGACTGGTGAAGATGCGTTGGCGTAGAGCGGGACTGGTGGTCTCGTGAACCGTAGGGAAAAGCAGAAAGTGGTTAAGCGCAGAGCAAGGGCCGGCGGGCCGAAGCTCTCGAGAGCCTCGTTGTGCAGGTGAAAGTTCTGGATTTCAGCTGGCGGGCATGGGTGTGAAGGTGGAGGGAGTCGAAGCGATGAAGGTCTTGTTTGTGCATGGTTTCTGGGAGTGCAGGCCCTTCTTATCGACGGGTCATTGGCGTGCGTGATGCGACGGGCGAGCTGGCCAGGCCGAGCAAAAAGCACAATAACTGCGGGGAAATCCTTTGGTCCTGCTGCAGGGTCTTCGTTCTGTCCTGTCCTGCACTGTATTGTACTGCACAGTGCTATCTGTATCCATCTACGTACTGTGCAATGGAGCCAACTTGTATCGAGTCACTATATGGTAGTTGGCTGTGGCAGGGTGTGGTCAGAGAGTGCACCACCAAGTACTTCCATCCATCTCCAAGTACGTACACATGTACTTGCACGGCAGTTCCAACATCAACTTGAACCATACGTCTCTTCTGCGCCCACATGTCTTTTCCTGCTTTCATCCAATAGCCAGCTGCCTGTTCCGCTCTACGGCTTTGTCACGTCTACCGCTATGTCGGCCCGAGTCAAGCACATGTCAATCCTTTGCTTGGTGCATCCTCCTTATGTCTTGATGCCGAGCCGATGCACAACTCGTTACACTTTCACTCTCCACTGACTGTGCTGTGCTGTGCTGTGGAAAAGATGCAATGCCGGAGGAAAAGCGCGCAGTACGCGACAATGTCCATATTCGCCACTGGCTGAAAAGGACGCGCATCATGCACCCCATCTCATCCCCACTGGCCACCACGCGCTGCACTTGTTTTGTTCGTGTACGCGGGCACCAGCCGTGGCCCCCGGTCCAGTCAGACATCGACAGTGACGATCGCTGCGCTACGACCTGTATCTAGAGAGCCGCGAACAGCTATCCTCTCGCAAATCCATCCCGAGGCACCAAGATTCTGTTCCAATTACCCTCGTCTCGTACCGGTCTGCTCGTTGGCAGCCATTCATCGAATATACAGCTGGAGGAGCTCCATTCGAGAGTCTCCGGCTTCTACATCGTTCGTCTCGGCTCTGCAAACATCATTCATGTACCAAGTCGGCAGTTCATCGCAATCTACCGATCGCCAGGGACTTACAAACACGCCATCTAGAATCCTCGGATCCCTGCTATAACTTCATTATATCGTGGACACTTGTTTACCCAAAATTTGATCCGGCTTCAATTGGCTGGTTCCTGTCGATATCACCGTCATTGAGTCACTGGGACCATGTGTGTGTTGATGTTTGGTGTGCCACATGGCGATGCTACCTTCTGCTATCACTCTGTGGTGGGGTAACTAGCGCTGACCGAAAACAATCGACAGTCGCCATCATCCACCCCGTGAGCTATAGTGGTATGGAAGAGCAATTCTTGTCATTCAACCCATGAACATGCTTCTGGCTTCTAATCATGTGTAAGAGCTAGTCCTTTGGAAGGATTGGATTCTTTCCTACTAACGTTACTTTTGACGTCACCGAACATGGGTAGATAAGCAGAATGCAACCTATGCAGGCCACAAAATCCCCATTCGCGCCGGAACACTGAATTTCATCGCAATATATTGGGACAAGAGACCGAAAAATACGCCATGGAGATCTTGGTTATATTAATTGGCCTACTGGCACCACTTCATCTGGTTGCTGCAATCTCATCAACTCAGCCTCTCTATGATCTGGTAGAGCGACGATTGCCCGGTCACTCGGGGGATTTTGTATTCCTCCTCGACGAGAAGGGAGATCCAGATGGAAGCGTTCCTTCGAATGATAGATACTCGATTTCCACAGATTCCAATGATGCCATTACAATCATTGGAAACAGTGTGAGCGCTTTGACAACCGGATTACGGAGATATATGGTCGATGTGGTCCACACAGATCTTTACTGGTTCCTAGGAAGTCAGAACGAGAGCGAACCCATTCTACTACGCCCTGACACGACAATCAATGGGTCCAGTATCGTACCGTGGAGGTACTACTTCAACACAGTCACATTCTCTTATACAACGGCCTTTTGGAGCTGGGAAGATTGGGAACTTGAGCTTGACTGGCTTGCTTTACATGGCGTCAATACTGCACTGGCCTGGGTTGGCTTTGAAAAGATCCTACTCGACGTCTTTCAGTCTATCAATCTGACTACCTCGGAAATCGTACCCTTTTTCTCCGGCCCGGCGTTCCAGGCATGGAATCGCTTCGGCAATATCCAGGGTTCGTGGGGTGGTGAGCTTCCTATCCAATGGATCGAGTCGCAGTTCGAGCTTCAGCAGAAGATCTTGAAGAGAATGCTCGATCTTGGTATGACGCCTATTTTGCCAGCATTCACTGGGTTTGTACCACGGGCCTTGACAAGTGTATATCCCAATGCCACTGTTGTGAATGGAAGTCAGTGGGAAGGTTTTCCAACCGACTATACCAATACGACTTTCCTCGAACCATCGGATGCTTTATTTACTATTCTTCAGAATCTCACAATTTCAAAGCAAATCGAATACTATGGTAACATAACGCAGTTTTATACGCTCGATCAATACAACGAGAACGATCCTTTCTCCGGGGACACCGACTATCTCCGTAATATCACTCATGGAACCTGGAAATCCCTTAAAGCGGCGAACCCCTCTGCAGTCTGGGTAATGCAGGGCTGGCTCTTCACTTCCAACGAGGACTTTTGGACTACTCCGCGCATTGAGGCATACCTCTCAGGCGTTGAAGAGCCTACTGACATGCTCATTCTCGACCTTTTCTCCGAAAGCCAACCCCAGTGGCAGAGAACAAATTCCTACTTTGGAAAATCCTGGATCTGGAACCAATTGCACAACTACGGTGGCAACATGGGACTGTACGGGCAAGTCTCTAATGTGACCGTCAACCCGATCGCCGCGCTTGCAAATTCCTCTTCACTCGTCGGGTTTGGACTGACACCAGAAGGCCAGCAAGGCAACGAAATCATGTACAAACTCCTCCTTGATCAGGCATGGCAAAGTACCCCCGTAGACACAGCATACTACTTCCGCCAATGGGTCTCGACGCGCTATCACTCCTCCACCTCCACCTCCACCAACACGACTATCCCCGAATCTCTATACACAGCATGGGAATTGCTCCGCATCAGCGCATACAACAACACAAACCTCACCTCCAACGCCGTATCCAAAGCCATCTACGAGCTCGCGCCAAATATCACAAAGTTAACAGGTCGTACGGGACACCACCCCACAACGGTAAACTACCAACCGGAACTCGTCGTGCAGGCCTGGCAGGCCATGTACCGCGCCACCACCGAACAATCCTCACTATGGACACACGCAGGCTTCACACATGATTTCGTCGACGTCACACGACAAGTCTTCTCAAACGCGTTTTTAACTACTTACGAAGCGTTCATCAAAACTTGGAATTCCACTTCATCTACTGCACCACCATCATCATCATCCTCATCATCGTCCCCCCCGATCATGACGAAAAACACAACTCTCCACTCCCAAGCCAGCACCCTAACATCCCTCCTCCGCACCCTCGACGCCGTCCTCCTAACCCTTCCACAATACAGCCTCGATCCCTGGATCTCATCAGCCGTGTCGTGGTCCAGCTCTAACCAATCCTCCTTCTACACATACAACGCGATTAACCAGATCACGCTCTGGGGCCCCACGGGGCAAATCAACGACTATGCTAGTAAGTCCTGGGGCGGGCTGGTCGGCGGTTACTATTTACCACGGTGGGAGACTTTTCTGGGGTATTTGCTGGATGTTGGCGGGCCGGCGGGGTATGTGGATGGGGTTGCGAGAGAGAGGGTTAGGATTGTTGAGATGGGGTTTCAGGGCATTGGGGAGAGTGAAGTCGTGGTGGGGGATAGGAGGAGTGTGAGGGATGTTGTTGAGGGGGAGGTTTTGGGGGTATTGAGGGGGTTGGGTGTCGAGGTGTAGTTTTGCGTTGTACGGTGTGTGCGTGCGTCCGTGCGATGTGAGACATGTTATATCTGTCGGTCGAGTCTATGACAGAGAAGTGTTTTTTTGCCATGGTGGTGCTTCAGTAGTTCGCATGCTGCAACGCCTTCCCCAAAATCCGTATAAGAAAATAGAATATTACACTCCCATGGCATTGTCCCCATCACTTCTCCACGTACAAAGTTAGTGGGGTCCCATATAAGAAATCAATCGACTAATGACAAGACACGAAAAAATTCAGGTGTGACGAAGTTTTTTGAGGCTACATGTAATATACATTTCCCCTGTTTGTAGTTTTACAACGAGATGTTCCGTAGATTCCTTTCGGGATGCCATCTCTTCAAAAAAAATCCCTGCCATGCCGCGAGACATTCGCCCGCTACATACATACGCATTGACGCCAGAGTATAGTCAGTCATTGACTCCCATCCATATGGATTGTAGAACTCCATCCCACAACAAAAGAAAAACACAGGATATGTGAAGCCAAAGAAACACATTCCTTGAAAAATTTGCTGGAGAAACTTAGACCTGGCTGACCCTAGCCCTCTTCCTGGAGCTGCCCGGAATCACGGCAGGGCCGCGAGTGCTCGTCTCACCATCGCCGCCGCCGCCACGACGCTGACCCTTCTCCTGCTGGTCCAGCACAAGCTGCAGCACGTCATATGAGAATTGAGGGAATTCGAGACACATGGTACGGAACTCTGGCTCGGCTTCGTGGCGAAGGCTGAAGGAGCGGGTGGCCCAGAAAGCAGCGACGGGCTTGCGGATTGTAGCATCCTCGGGGTCCGACTCCCTGTAGACATATCGAGCATACGCGAGCTCGCCCTTGGCTGTAGATGCGGTGCGGTGGATTTTGGAGTGCGCAAGCGATTTGAGAGTAGGCAGCTGGAGGCGCTCCGCGAGGGTGTAGATGCGCGCGTGGACAAGGAGACCAAGACCGTCATCATCGGGGGATGGAAGGCGCGGGTCTTTCTCGAGAGGGGCGTCGCGCGACGAGGTCGTCTTCTTGGGGAAATATTCTCCCGTGTAGAGGTATTCGATGACGGAGCCCATGGCATCGACATCAACGTCGGCCATGACGATTCGGCGGGGCGAGCCTGCTGCAAAAGTTTCCACTTGGGCCTTGAACACAGGCGCCTGAACTAGAACGGCCTCGTGGGCGGAATAGGTAGTTCGCGCATCGCCGGATCCTACTACGACTTCTACAATAGGACTCTTGACCAGGTCGGAAAACAGGACAAGCTTCGGGGTGTCAGGCTCGATGCCAGTCAGACCAGTGTCTTCGCCCGCGCCAGCCTCAGCGGCACCCTCGCCCATGTCGACGTCGTCAGCCACGGGGGTCTGTTCGACAGGAGTGGGATTCTCGGAGTCGGCCATTGTTTTGTATCAAAGAACGGGCGGACGGCGTGGAAGAATTGCGGTCGCGCAATGGGGTTTGCGAAGAAAACAGTTGAAGCACTAGCTGTAGCTAAGCTCGCGACAGTCGGAATAAGCTGCTTGCCCGAAGGAGAAATGGAGAAGTGAGTGAAGGGTAATTCAATCAAAGGTAATAACTGAGACAATAGTGACGCAAAAGAGGGTAGGGTTTGTAACGAGCGCGGACAGGCAGCGGGGAAGTGATGGTGAGATGAATGGAGATATGGCGAGGTTGGCGCATCCTGCGCAATCAATCAAGAAGCTTGGGGCATCTGTTCCTGCGCTAGCGCGTCGTCAAGGTACATACACAATTGATATGTAGCATTCAACATGCGTGGCCGCCACCAGCTCCATCACGATAATCGTCATAGTTGAAACCATTGGTCCACAAATGTCTTACATTGACTACATACAATTTGGAAACTTCTACAATACGGGTGGGATACAGAGCCGTGGGAATCAGGCGCAGAGCAAGTAACGAATTCTATGCCTTCTCTTCAACCACGACATTCTCCTTCGTATCACTCGCGCTGTCTCCATTTACGCTCCTACCAAGCGCATCGTGATGTGCGTCCCATTCAGCAATCTCGGAATTAGGTACCTTGATCAAGATATGGGTTTGCGCACCGTTTTCCAGCACTGCGACTTCCTGCCGGAGGGCGTACCCACGGAAGTGAGGGAGTGCGTACATCCAACCGAAATAGTAGATGGCACATAGGATCAGGCTATCCGGCTGTCAGTTTGATAACCAAACATGTCTATTCCAAGGGCACTTACACGCCGATTCCAGTGACAACATAGGTCCCATACCAAAAGCTGACATCACCTCCATATCGCCCAGACGCCGGAGGGTACCAAGGCATGACAATGAGGTACAGGTTCACCAGAATGTTGAAAGCTACGACCAAAGTCCACGCACGGAATTCACCTCGTGGTAGGTTGAGGCGACTGCGACGCCATCGTACAAGAAATAAGCCGGCTCCCAAGATCAGTTGGAATACGTTGTGAGGGTAAACTTGAAGGTCGACAACTGGACAATGACGATTAGCACCTCGCTGCACATAAATGACTTTCTTTTATATATACACTACTCACTGAAGTTGAACGCATCACCAGCGGGAGGGGCAAGAATCATGATCCTCGATGGACATTAGTTTTCGCTTGCAGAGTCTTCGGCAGATAGTACTCACACAGTCCAGATCCATTGGATAAAGTATGGGCCGATTGGGGTTCCAAATGGCTTGGTGGTCGTCCAGAACCGCGGATAAGGGAGCACACCTTGACGAGCGCATTCGCGGATCTGCCTTGAGCGCCCGATGAGGACAGCCACGAGATTTCCAAACGAGGAAAGAGCGATGAGGAAATTCAATCCCTTAATTGCTCTTCCATCGCCCAGTGCATGTTTGAAGAACAATGAGGCCGAGATCTCTTTAGCCTTGAGCAGTTCGGCTTTCGGGACTGGATTGCAGTGGTCAGATGATGAATATGTTGGGACAGCGAAAAACCAACTTACCAGCCGAGAAGTATGCAACATTCGCAAAGATATAGAAGACAGCGACTACAGTTAGCGCGATGAAAGCATTGATTTTCATCTTCTTGACTGGATTTTTGACTTCGTTGACCACATTGAAGGCATTCTCGTATCCCGCATACGAGAAAACAATCTTGTACATGGCATTGCAAGCGCCGTATGCCGTCGTCTTCCCTGCGAAGGAGTCGCGGAAGTTGATCTGCGGATCTGACACCTTGGTGTTGCCGCCCAACACCACGAAGCCAGTGATGGCAATGAAGACGAGCGTGAGCAACTTGACAACACCAATGCCGTTTGAAATCCTATACCCGAGTCGAGTATGGAAGACAAGGACTAGCGAGTGAGCAAGTGTTAGTAGATAGTGACAGCAAAGCCGGCAAGGGGAGGAACGTACGTAAGCATGCTACCGTATAACCTGCTATAGCAACACCTTTGAGTTGCCAGGGGGTGGGTTTGTGGCCGCTACATGCGAAGAGATAGCTTGACAGGACTGGCCAAAGATCGTCAGTATTTCGCTCACTTCTGTTGGGCTTTGAGTCAGATACAAGCGAGAACTTACCAATTGAGTTGCCGCTACTGAAAGACAGAACTACAGTCTGCACCGCGAAAGTGATGGGTATCAGATACTTAGGACGCGGGAAGCCTTGTTCCAAGTATGCGACTTCGCTGCCCGAACGATTTGGGAAGTAGGCTGCATATTCGAGATATACGGCCAGCGATGAGAGCGACAATATCCATCCGAGGAACCAATAGATCATGCTCAGTCCGACGGACCCAGTACCAGCCAGGATAGAAGATGCTATAGTCCGATTTCAGTTGGATCCATTACCTCCGAGGGACGCGGGACTTACGCGTCGAATAAACACCCGTGCCAACCATCTTACTCAGGTTGAGGAAGATGATAGTGACAGCCCCAACTGAGTATCCGAATGGCGATTTTGTTTCGACAGGCGCCCCCGCTGCCTCTTGATACGACGGTTGACTGTCGTTGCCGCCCTGCTCGACCACGTATGCTAAATCGCCATCGCGAATATCTCCTTCACCGCTGCTAACAACACCCGTCGATGTGGTGTGAATATGAGTCGCGTAATCACGATTGCGTTTCGAGGCGCGAAAGCGTGGGAAGGGCATTGCGAGTACACACAATTGCGGAAGGATAGAAAAGCCGCCCTACATATACAGAATCTAGATATATGGACGCAAGTACTCTGCTGATATTTATATGCACGTATACCTAGACAATCCAAAGCTGGCCACTTCTAATCACCCTATCTTTCATTGCGTGTACGCGATCGTATCAAACTGCATTGCAACATCGAGCCACAATTTCACGACACACTCCGCCGTAACTTTCAACATAAATGTGGGCCAGTTTCCGATAAGTACACCCCAGGCTGGTTCATGCGCATTGCATCATCTGAGCGCCGTTGCACGACACATGGCCGGGCCTATCCGCCGCACCTACGCGTGCTGTATACACTCACGCGGTCTTTGAATCGCTCTGAATGGCTGGTGGAACCCTTCGATTGATCAAATAGTTCTTGCTTGATTGTGGAGAGATTCGAGGTGCTAAGGTCCAGTGCATTGACATGTACACACAGAGCGCGCAGAATTTGGAGATCGCGTCCCTATGTCCGCAAAGTAGACAACATACTTTTTGACTGTATATTTCGTCCATGTGTGGGGGTCCCCCAAGGTAAGCGGAAGAACAGGGTTTCCGGCATAAGATACGCACAACGGAGTAGGGACAAGCGAGAAAAAATAGATATCTTGATCCTTTTTAATTGCGATATGTCCTTGTCGGGCAGGCTGGGCGGGGGGAGCGGGGAAGATCAGAGGTTGGTTCATGACGCGAGAGTTGGGGTTGATAGCGAAATCTCTTGGAGTTATGCATCGACGAGGGATGAGGGTATTAAAATTTGATGGGTCAGCGAAGAGGTGCTGTTGGGTTTAGCATTCATGTATTGGTTTGTTACTTGATATTTGTCTGTACAACTTATCTTGATGTTTATGTTTTCTTGGGGAGGAGTGCTGGATGTTGGCGTTTGTTTCGTCGTTTTGCGGAGTGAGGTTGCTTGCTTCTAATCTTTATGTACGTTGTACATAGAGGCCGTAGGTTGATTTGGATGCTATAGTTCTCAATTATCGTGCTCATGACTGCGATGACTTTGGATTTAATCCTGTATTCTCTTGCTATAGTAGCATACTTTGTTTTGTGCTAAGGCTCTTGACCCTTGTGGGTGAAAATAAAAATTGAAACACATCAAAGCAAAATAGACTTAAGATTGAAAATACAACCGTTTCTCAAATCAGCGGGCAGAGACAAAATATCTCTGAATGGACTCTTGCATTCCCACTTAAACTGGTATCGACCGAATAGGAAAGAACACTTGTTTGGCAGGCATAGTATACTGCTGTATCTGATGTCTGGTTAACCTCAGCGAAACGTCCTCCACTCCTGAAAACCACGCAATTCTTCAACACCACCATGTGGGAATTTCGCATTGTTGAAAAGAAGTTTTGAAGACATAAGTGGCCAAATAACCATTTTGCCTTCATCACCAAGTTGTCGGCAGTTAATTGTAAAAGTCAATCACTGTTCTGATTCCATGGTTGTAAAGTCGAGCAGGTCAATTCTTGAATATATAGAATGGAGCGAATTCATTTTTTCACATCTCACTTCGAAGTCAGTCCGAAGAGTGCTTTTTTGCACACAAGTCTAATTAAGTTCTGTTTCGCGACAAACAGCTATCTAAAAATTCTATAAAGAATTAGGTGATATAAGAAACCAATAGAAAGATTTCCCAAGAGCAGAAAAATGGAAGCTGTTCGGCACGAATGCCTGTATAGAACTTCTAGGGTATGTGCTCGGCTATAGTATCCAGTGGCATATATTATAGGAAAGCAGCAGCCATTATGAGAGTAGAAATGTACCTTGTTCAGGTAGTCGAACTTTGACGCCGGGAAGCTCGATACAAAGTGCGGTTGGTTGCGATTTCCCATTCTCTTTCCAGGCAGCAACTCACGAGGCAGTCAGTGCGATAAATCTCAATAGGCTGGAATTTGCAATAATTCGCCCACTATAAAGAATGAGAGGTGAGAGCACAAAAGTTTACCTAGCCGCTCTGCAGAGGGTGTTTCTAGGTATCGAAGAGATAGCGTAGGTGCGGTGAACAGACATTGAGGGCGACCTTGGCATGCCGCTTTACGACACTGCGCCCCTCTTTGCGTTTACCGGCACCTTGTATACGAACAAGGCTGAGCATCGACATCATTTCACCGGTCCAGTCTCTGTGATCTAGGTCGCACTTCATGCTTTGGAAACCGCTTGAAAATCAAACACATTCTTCCAAATTGTATTGTCTGCCAGTAAACAAGAGACAGCAATATGTCCTCGTTGGTATTCATGACTAATGAAGGAGTGCGTCGACGGAGCTGGGACCCAGAGGATAAGATGGCTCGATATTACTCAACGAAGTTCGGCATCAGATTTCCCAAGCCTGAGGTGAAGCAAAGTATGGAGCAAAGAAATGTGTATGCCGAATTGCCTTTGGAACAGAGCAAGAAAGAGATTCGCGTAATTCGGATTCAACCTGGCGATTGGCACGACCCAATAAAGTGCACCATGGACGCAGTACAACTGTCCACAGAAACAACATACTATGCACTATCATATGCATGGGGGACTCACCTGCAAACCTGCAAGCTTGAGGTCAATGGCCGTATCTTCGACATAAAACCAAATCTTTTCATAGCCTTGCGACGTATCCGAGAACTAGCCAAAGGAGACACGCGGGCCTTGTGGGTTGATGCTTTGTGCATTAATCAAGCAAACATCCAGGAGCGCAAACATCAGGTCGGCCTAATGTCGGATATCTATTCAAATTGCTACCAATGCTATGTTTGGCTCGGAGAGTTGGAAAGAACGATGGACGCTCAAGTGTGCTGCGATTACCAACCCTCGGTGGACTTCTCTGTGCCAGGCGGTGACGACATTGAAAATTCAGTATGGACCAGGTTCAAGACACTGAACAAACGTGGTTCTGAAGCAGAAGCTCAGGGGTTTACCTCTGCGGATTTCTATCTACCCCGGTTCACTATGTCGGAGCGCGCTATTCACAGTTCGTTTGCACTTCAACTTCTGAGAAAGCGCCAATGTTTTCCATCACAGTCGTATCCGTTCATGTCACTCCACCATGACTTTTCGTGGAAATCCTTGAGCTTCTTCTTTCGCAATAATTCCTGGTTCCAGCGTCTGTGGGTTGTCCAGGAAGCCACTTTAGCCACTCGGGTTGCAGTGCTCTTCGGGCCTATATCTTTACCCTTGGATTCTATGATTACTTATCATGATCATTTAACATCTCATTTCAATAACAGATCAAGATGTAGCTGCTCTCCAGACGTCCAACAGATTTACGACCTATTTGAACCTTTTGGAACCATCATCAGTTCGAGGCTTGATCTGCGGGGATCCGGTCGCGCACTCTCTCTTGTTGAGAAGCGGCTACGCTTTTACGGTCTCTCAGCGTTCGAACACGTTGATCATATCTATGGTATGCTTGCTTTGTGTCAGCAAGACATTGTAGATGATCGGAAGATTCTGCCAGATTATGATATCCTACCAGACGTGTTGTTCACCAATGTCACGCGCAACGAGATTGAACAGCGGCGCTCACTGTTGCCTCTCATATACTCTCCTGTGAAGTATACGTATTTTGAATCTCCTTCATGGGTGATTGATTGGACTTCGTTTCCTTGGGGCCGGATAAGTGAGGATTTTACATGGATGTCCATCTTCCGTGACTCAGACGCTTGCAAGGGCTTAAGTGTTGGTAAAGATAATATTTCGGTTCGGGGTGACACTTTGCAGGTCAGAGGTTTATTCGTGGATTATATCTCTGACTGTGTCAAGCTCAGGGAACCGAAAACGCTTGATACTGCTCATAACCCGGACTTGGAAACTATGAGTAGAATCGTTAGTGAGCGATTCTCGCCGACCGATCGTTACACGACAGAAAGAACCCTCACGTGGAGTGAAGCTTGGCTGAGAGTTCTTGTAGCGAACATGCGTGTGGAAGGAGCAGTAAAAGACAGAAGAAACGTGGTTTTTCTCCCCCGAAATCGCGGCCACTCCAAATTCTGGACAAACAATCTTTTCGACATGAACGGTGCAGCTATTAGAGAAAGCCTTCCAAACATGGATCCGATTTATTCCTCCATGTTTGCTGAAACCATGAGGGATATGGTTTGGTCACACAATTCCATGTTTTTGACTGAGCAAGGATATATTGGCATAGCTAAGGGCGGATGCACTGACTATAGAGTTTGCGCTGAGTACAATCCAACGCTCAGATTCGATCCAGAACATCCGGATGTCAAACACAGCATCTTCATTGTAGCAGGAGGCAATACCCCCTTTGTACTTCGCGAAACGAAGCCATCGTCAGAAGAAGATGGAGGAGTTGGGACGCCGACTTACAAGCTCGTAGGCCCTTGCTATCTACATGGTTTCATGGAGGGAGAGCACACCTACGAGCTACTGAGACAAGCAGGACGTCTCACAACCATTCACATAGTCTAGTGGAGATACTAAACTACACCTTTTACACCGGATATGATAGAGTAGAAAGTAGGTAATTCTCGGGAAAACCTCAACAGACTCCTGACTTAGAATTCTTACCAGATGACAGCTGGTTGACAGGTTCCCCAAAGCCACTCTCTGCAGCCCATGTTCAACAAAGTCATCGTCATGTTTTGACTTTTGTCCCTTGCATAGAGCAGACGTTCCATGACAGCTGTTCATCTTGTGGCGCCGCTCCTTGTAGCGATTGGCGATGACATGTGAGGTATGACACCGAAGACATACATATTCCCGCGCTGCCAATCTGGCAATGGAAGTAGTACATGTTTCTCGCTTCTCAGTATACGGAAAACGTGAATATTGCGGGAAGCCGTGTGGCTGTTGCCTATTTTCAGTCATACTCGTGTGACGCATACACCCCTAATGCATTGTCGCGTGTTCATGTTGATGTCTTGGGTGGTTCACTCTGACATGTTGTTACTCACTCGTGGCATGGTCATGTAGCTTGCGACAATAATGGCGCCGGTCCAAGGTTTGAGTCGAGGTGTCAATCCAACATTGAGAGGCGTCTACACTGTACTACATTTGCCCAACTGAGTAAAGACATAATATGGATGAGGTTTTCAGGCTTGGATGCAGCGATATCAACTGTTGGCGGCTATTGAGCATGCCTCGGTACCGTCCTATGACCCTATAGTATAGTCGCGCCTCGCTGCTAAGCCCCTTTGCATGAAGAGGCGGCTGTCGCCTACGACAAAAGAGTGGTGAAGCTTGCGAGGCGGTGAACAGTTTGCCCATGAACCCATCTAGAGCTGCCAGGTGCGTATTTGCAAACCGGCTGTCAGGCAGAATCTGAGAACTGTGCCTCAGAAACACTTTATGACTGAGCATTCAGTACCCTCGGTGTGAGTGTGATGCGCTAAGCTTGTTGGCTAGTCATGGCGCGGCAATGCTGGCCAGCCTTAGGGGAAAACCCCCACCCTTAAGCTGAACAAGTGAATGACTGCTACGCGCAAAAGAAGCGCAACCTACAAAGGTATTTCAACCGCACATTCAAAGGTGAAAAACGACCATCTCTGAGTATCAAATTACACAACCTCACTCGAACAAACCAAGAAAAATAGATATGGCTGAAGCTTTGCGACCGAAAGTTGGCGTAGCTGCCATAATCCATGATGGAGCAGGGAACATCGTGATGGGCGAGCGCATGGGCTCTCACGGCGCAGGTACGTTGAAATACCCTGTGCACATGTACCCCATCACTTTCATTCCTTTGCACAACAGGTGCTGACATTGACTACAAGGGACTGTGCAGTGTCCCGGTGGACATCTCGAATATGGCGAGTCGTTCGAGGAGTGCGCTAAGCGAGAAGTCCTCGAGGAAACTGGGCTGGAGATTGGCGATATCGAGTTTCTTGTGGCTACGAACGACGTGTTTGGCGAAGGCAAACACTATGTTACCATCTTCGTCACAGCAGTCATTGTTGGCGATAACAAAGTCCCCCAGGTACGTGACCAGGCCCAAAAGGGAGATGTGATGCAGAAGGGCGCCATGCGCGTGTATGGGTAAACTTGACTGACATTTCGTAGCCGCTTGAACCACACAAATGTGCGCGATGGGACTGGATAGCTTGGAGCCAGATGTGGCAGTGGTCCAAGGAGCAGGCCGATGCAGAAGCTGCAAAACTCGAGGTAAAGAAACAGATGTTTCTGCCTTTGGTCAACCTATATCGCGATTACCCGGGGATGGAGCACGCTCTGGTGCGAAACTGAAGAGATGCAGCAGTTCAGTCACTGGATATGAAGGAACGTTGTACTTTCGCAGAGGGTAGTTATGCCGATCCGATGTAGGCGCATATGCATTTATGGCGTTTGTCTCTAGTCGTGGGTTCCATCTTAAGGTGTGATGGTGGATGATGCTATGATTGAGGTGTATCTGGATCTGAATCTTGAAACACCTGTTAAGGTTATTTCCGTTTGAAGGACTTCGAGGGTAATCCATCTAGCCGGAATAGGATGGGCTCTGTGCGCACAAATTAAAATAGATTTGTAGACTGCAAAGTCGCTGAGCGTGCCTTGGCCACCGTGACTCGAGTTAGAGTTGCTTCTAGCAGCAACGCAAGACCGAAAGTCAAAAGTAGTTTTTTTTTCTCTCAAAATTTGGCCGTGAAACAGACGGGGACATGCAAGACGACCGGCCTGGCACACACATTCATGGAGATTTTGGATGACCGCAATCAATTGTTCATGACCCGATTTCTGTGGTCCCTCGGGTTTGCACGGACTGCGGTTGCCTCAATCCTGTGCCTTTGAGCGATGAAGTTATGGAATAGGAAAACTACCTCACACGATTCATTGGTACTTCGCAGTGGACGTAATACCATTGCTAGCTCCGGAGCCCGTGGAGGGGCGACGGCAACCTGAATTGCTTGTTCTAATAATGTTCGCAATGCCGTTTCTCTCACGGAAAAAGCTTGTTTGACTTAGTGCACACGAGCCACCTAGGGGCAACTAAATGGCCAAAGTGCCAGATACTAGCAAACGCCGCCTTCACAGCCTCGAATCGTGGTGATCAATGAAAACATCGTAAAAAAGAGACCCTTATAGCCAAGTGCTTAGATACAACCATATTCCGAGTCACGTGTAACATTTCGTCGCAGAAATTCAGATGTCACCAAAGCTTCAATCAGTGCTCGCCTGTTCTTTTTTTTTCCTTTGCCAATCTCCTGTGTGACAGGATCACCCAATTTTCCATATGAAAACTATTCGATCAATAGTTATCAATTGATGGAGTCAGGATTACGGCACGGTAGGACTTCCATCAATGATCAGCGCCTCTGTTTCTCTTCAATCAATGCCTACATTCATGCCCCACTGGGTTGATTGTTTGAGGCAACTCGAATCAAGGAGTCCGTCAGGTCGTGATTGGCCCGGGCAAGGGGTGCATGGTCAGCCACGCCGTCTTTACGGGAAACACCTCGCACAAATTACAGACGAACACCGTACCGTTTGCAGTCAAATGCTGCGTCCTGTAGCCGGATCGTGTCAGCACCGGGAAGAAGAATCTAGACAATGGTACAGACTGGCTTGCGTCAGTGTTTACTTTCTCGGCCCCCTCCCGACCGCTTGAAACCCAGCGATGGTCGTACTATAGACTTCAACTGGGGCCTCGTCGGATACATCCGATCCGCTACATTCACGAAAATCAGTGAACGCGCAGCAATAATGATGCTCGGCCAACAGCTTCGGGTGCTCCACTGGGAGCAACCTGTCGCCATCGATTCTTCCTATGCAGCTACTCTGGACAAATTCGTGATGCCTAAATCGGACGTTTGCCTACTTACTGATACTGTGCATCTCACGCAGCCAAGCCTTGGGTTCCCATCTCTCTACACGAGAACCAGCAGTCCGCCTTGATGCTACCTCGACATGCACGCATGCATGAGAGGACCCGTTCCCAAAATGCCCGATAACGTCCAGTCCGCCATCTTTATGCAAATCTCCCTTTCCCCCTCTCTCTCGCAGAGCAGGAGGGCCGTGGGGAGGCGGCCTCGAGGGAGTGGTGCGTAAACGGCAGATCGGCGGAGACGTCTTTTCGGTTGTTTCCAAACCTCGTCGGCGGCCCAGCTGACCCTTCACAGCGCTTAGCAGGGGTCTTTACAAAACTAGGGCAGGTGCCGTCCACCGTGTGGGTCCTGGCGCTTGCTTGATGTTCGGACTTCGAGGCCTTCTCCCAAATGTCCTGAACCCGCTCGTCATGCTTTGCGCACGCCGTACACTGTGGGCATCCCCTTCAGCTGCCTACTGTGCTGCCTTTCATCACCGAACATCGGTGTTGAAACACGAGGCAACGATGGATCGTGAATCAATGGAAACATCATCATTGCCCCGTTTGGACTGGCCATCACCATGTTTTCGCAAAAGCATGCCTAGTCAGGTTTTCGGCCAATACCGCACTCGAGTGCAAACACTTGCTTCCAGCGACCGGCTACAGTTAGAGGATTGGGAAGTAGTAGTGAACGCAGTCGAAGAATGAAAACAACCGTTTTCTAGTGCGTTGAGTATGGGTAGTGACTTGCAAACGCTACTATGGTCAGCTCTCTCCACTCCAAATGCAGAGCTGTCTCAGGATCGCCTCCCTTCCCACCGGTAAGGACAGGCTCGAGAACCCCACATACAGTAGTGCTATGTACGGTCATCAGGAACAGGACTCATGCCATAGCGTTTATGGTACTAAGCCACCTAGGGCCCGTACACTACAATGCATTCACTAGCAAGGGTAGGTGGTATCCTTGGCGACCGACAAGGCTCTGAATCCGTGCGTCTAGCCTACGGGCATTTGCAAGGCCAGAGCAAGGTACCATTTTCCACTGTCCGCCACAAACCCTCCCAAGTGAGGAGCTGTATCTTACCTTCGTTTCTGTATAAAGCCAGGCTGAGCCCGCTCTTCCCCCTCATCATCACAGTCTTTTTCACCACCACCAACATCTTCAGTCTTTCTTCCTTCGAGGCTTGCCTCCAGTCACTCTTTGATTCCAACTTCATTCTTTCACTACACTGCTTTCCAGCAATCCAACCTTCACTTCTTCAACCACCAATTACCATTCCAGATAACGAAAGTTACCATTTACATATAAGACAAAATGCAGTTCACTACTTCTTGCATCATCGCTGCTAGCCAGTTCCTCGTCCCTGCTCTTGGAGCACCGGTCCTCCACTCTCACCATGCTCGCCATGTCCGTGACTTGGTGCAGCGTGAGACCGCTTACAAACAGTATGGCGGTGATGGTTCTTCCGCTCAAGGATGGCCCACCAAGGAAGACTGGGCCGACTTCGAGACCATCTGGTCTGCCAACGAAAGGATCATGGGCATCTCTTGCACCTACCACGGCCAGGAGAACGACACCCCTGAGGAGATGGAAGACATCAAGAGCGCCATTCAACAGGTCGCTGGGGAGACCGACATCGACGAGAGAATTCTTTTGGTCACTGCCATGCAAGAGTCAAACGGTTGCCTCCGCGTCAAGACCACTGCCAACGGCTACAGCAACCCTGGTTTGATGCAGTCTTTCCAAGGCAAGCACAACTGCTACGGCATTAACCCTTGCCCCAAGGAAACCATCGTTGGTATGATCCAGGATGGTGCCGGTGTCAACGGCGATGTTGGCATCAAACAGAACATCGCCACGGCCGGCGGCGGTGATGATGCCCAAACCTACTACAAGGCTGCTCGCATCTATAACTCTGGCCACCTTCCCGGAACCGGAAACTTGGGTCTTGCTGAGGGTGCCACCGCCTGCTATGTGTCTGACTACGCCAACCGTCTCATGGGATGGGCCGGTGACAAGACTCCTTGCACTGATGCTGCTGCTGGCCAGGCCGGAAGCGGCCCGTCATCCCCCACTACGACCTCCAAGCCTTCGACCACTTCCAAGGCTTCATCCACCTCGTCTTCCAAAACTTCAGCCACTTCTTCCTCCAGGCCCACTTCCAGTGGTTCGGCTTCCCACCCATCTGGCGTCGCAGCCCCATCTGGCAGGCCCATCCCTACTACCAAGCCCGCTACCAACGGCGATGACGAGGAGGAAGAGGAGGAAGACTCCACTGTTGTTTCTCCTTCCACTCCCTCCAACTCTGCCACCCCCTCCTCCGGTGCCTCAACTGGCTGCACCAAGTGGTACACCCCCAAGGCCGGTGACTACTGCTCTTCCACTGGTGTCTCCATGGCCACCCTCACCAAGCTCAACCCCTCAATGGGACTCGATGCCAAGTGCTCCAACCTCAAGGCTGGCGTCAAGTACTGCGTCGCATAAGCGAGCCACGATACAACAAACTTTTTCCTTTTCCTGTTTCTGATGGACAGCATTACAGCGGTATAACGTGAGGCATGCGGGTGGGCTTTCACGAGGACTTGTGAACTATTTTCACGTTTTATATTTTCTCTTACTTTTTTTCGCTTCTTAGATACCTCTTCTCTTACCATTGTGTACAACACGTTTTTAACAAAAAATATCATTGCCTAGTGCTTCCATGGACTAAACTTTTTTCCAACTTCCTCTCCCATGATAGACTCCGTGTGCAGACTTTGATATGACTTGCTGACCAACATAGTCCGATGACGAGAGCTGGGCAGCTGCTGGATTTGGAATCTCCAATTACGGTTCGAAATTAGCTCTGGACACTTTACACATTGAAGCAGCCATTTTCAGCCCCGTGAGCTGTGGCCACTTTCAACTCCGTGCATACAGACGGTCGGATCTACTTGGCCCCCGATTCCTTACAACTCTCTAGCCCCGGCGTCTCTTGATTGTTCACACTTCAGGCCCTCCCCACGCTACCAATGAACCATATTTCACCTGATCCCCAACGGTCCAAGCTCGTTCCCGAAACGCACCAGGCTCAATTTTGGTCCGAAAGGAGTAGAATGTCACTCACCGGAAGGCTTTTTTTCTTTGACTCCATTTCCACAAATTGCCAGCATGCCTAAAACGCGTATAAACCAGGTCTTTTCACATCAGCAATGTGCATGTGTGGAGATAAGGTGGCCTCATGCGAGAGATGGAAATCCAACGCCTGGGTACGCCCAGCGCCGTACTTGGACGGAAGGATTCGTACGGACTTCGCGATATACATGGGACAAGTGCCCCCCCGCATTCTTCGCATAACGTGTAGGTAACTAGGACAGGGGTGTTCATCCCGCGTAGATACACCTTCCAGCTGCGCAGCACTATTCTTTTCCCTACAAAGAAGGTGGAATGGGCAGGACTGAGAGGTGGTTTACCCCCTGTTTGCTATGTAGTTTTGTTTTGTTCCTTCGCTTTCGCAAAGCTACCGATTAGTGAGTGATTGGGTGAAGGCGTTGTTTCGAACGCAAACAGAAGATGTCAGCTTTACAGCATTTCATTGCGACGCCTTCTTTCGCCTGTCGTTTATTGATTCTTCTTCCGGCATCACCAACATCACACGTTATTGACCAATGAGACGGTGCCATTGTCGTGTTAGGTCATCACAGTAAGCCCTATCGCCGTCATGGGTTAACAGTCGGCTTACTCACAGGCGAATCATGCTGTTCGTCAGCGCCGCCTGCCGGTCGGACCGAGAAAATGTCAGAGGGGAATGGGCCAGATAAGTTGTCTATTTCCTCTGTTCGCTTTGCCCGGTCAATCACACCTTCCCAATTCCATCAGATTCTCGACTGCCGAGGACATCCTGGTAGGATTACTACATACATGTACATACTTACGGTGATTCGCAATCTGAAACGCTTGATGCCCTGATGCGGCGCAGCGCTGCACAGAAAAGAGTTTGTGTAGTAATCTTCCTATACGGTCTTTTATGACCCAAGACGACGCTAGCTTTATGGCGTCTTATTTTCTGGGCTATTTGTCGTCAAAGGCGCTGCTGACGAAGTTCGCTAGTTAAAAAAACAATCTGGTAAGAGTCTTGTGTAAAATTCGATGCTTACTTCCTTCAGTCTCGCCGGAAGAAACCCCCAAAAGTGGACAATATCTGTACAGTAAGGAAAGTCGGCTACCTCAGAATCCTTTGCCCACTTTCCCCTCTTGCGTAGCTTCGAATCCATCCTGTTCTGAACCCCGATTGCTGTCGTGTTAATTAGTTTCTAGCAATACCGTGAAAGACGGAGAAAATCTACAAAGGCAACCGCCGTCGATTAGTGGTATAAGGCAGGAAACGCTACGATAAATACTGCACGTCGCCGCAATCCGCACCGCACACGCACTCGCCGGACCGCATCCTACTTGCTGCCGATTCCGAGGCGTGGTGAAGGAAGGTCTCACCTAATACGTAGAAGTTTCCATTCCTACTGGTACCAGAGGGCATACACCCCGAAATATTGAAACCTCTACGAGAGCACTAAATTCAACGTCCTTTGAAAGAGTGAATTGGACTCGTGTGCATATGCATATGCATTTATGATTGTATGCGACATCCATCACGTAGCTGCACAAGGCAACTTGCTTTTTTACCGGCAGAAGTGTAAGGATCTGTAAAGCTCTTCGTCTGCAAGTCCATGGAACCGAGAGACCAATGAAGGGAACATGTAAAGAGTAGAAGCAGTGTGACCGCCCCCTCCCCGCATAACCTTTTTGTTTCAGAACGATCACGTACATGACCTCCCCATTGCCCTGCTCTCTGCAGTGCATGCTCTGCAGGACTTCGAGAGCCCAGCAGCCCAATAAGAAGCAGCAGACACGGCCAGTTCCCACCAACCACATCATTGCCGTGAATGTAACCTAGTAAGTAAGCTTGGGCTACCTCGGGCTAGATCCTGCAGACTCCTATCTTGCGTACTGTGTGTTTCATTCCATCTTGTTTCATGTTTAATCCGTTTTGTTTGGCCCCTTTGGACTTGGTGTGTGTGTGTGTGTGTGTGTGTGTGTGTGTGTGTGGTAGTATACGTAATGTCCATGACCACCCTCCCCCACTCCTTTTGGCAACCCCCGCGTGATATGGAAACGCCGCAGACTAGCTGATGAATGCATCTGAGGACTTGGGGCGGAGTCGCCGTAGTGGAGAGACATCAATAGTGGCTGACGCTTCCACACCGCCACACCGCCACATTGGGCCCACTGCCCACACTATTGGCCTCCCATCTCGAATAGCGCAGAGGAATCTTGACTATCTTGACTGCGTGGTCCCCAGTCCAGCTGAGCAAGTATATGCATAGATTCAAACAAGACACGACAAGAAACAGGGATCGTGGTGGCAAAACAAAGTTTTCGGAAAATTGCTGCGGCAGGTATCTGAGGAGAACAAGAGTCAGAGAAAAGAAGTATAGAAAAAAAGCCCTGCATCATCCATCAATCCACCCAAGCCCCAGTCCATTTTTTTCATGCAAACGATAAAAGTTTTCCTTTCACCATGCAAATGCCCAATGTTTACCCTTACTGGATACCCGCTAACACTCAACTCATGCTACAAAATCTCCTGACCCCAACCGTATGTCTACTCATCGAGTCAAATATTCTACATTTACCTTCGTGTCATGTTCTCCCCTCAAAGTCATTATTACTATGCCGCACTGATTGCCGTAAAACACTCATGTGATATCATGTCAAAACCGAGTAGCTCAGCCAGCAAATCTGAACCGGCTTGCTTCCAACCTTCCTAACCCCTCTCGCGGTGCTACGTTTCTCCGGCGGTAGCTGTGTGTAAAGTCTTGAAGAATTGTCTTGATCATTCTGATGTCGCCGGTCTGGATGCGTTGGCGAATGTTATTTAGGAATCGTTCACTCTCTTGTGGTGTAATGCTGCCTTGCGGAAGCATCCCGACTGTCTGCTGAACCCACCCAGCAACCTGCTCTGGCATAAGCTCAAACAGATCGAGGAGGACACCAGAAGCATCCACGAAACATCCTTCAGGGAACGAATACATCAACCCCGTCATAAGGCGTTGAACAAGCTGTGCTCCAGATGCTGCGATCAGTTGCTTGACGCGGTCCTGGATTTGTTGGGGTACATCATGGCGAGAGTTGTCAAGGCTGGACGAGGGTGCAGAGTTGCGGCCATATCCAAGCAAATCGTGGAGAAAGTGGAGAGTGGCGATTATGGGTTCTTCTTTGAGAAGAGTCAGGGAAGAGCAAGCTGCGAGTACGATAGTTTCCATGAGAGGAGACGTGATAGACTCCGTAGGAAAGTAGAGCACCATGTCGCCTGTAAGACGGAAGAAGTCGTCAATCAGATCCGGCAAGTCCTCCGGTGGCAGATCGCTGAGGATGTGCAAGAAAGTTTTGGCTTGCTGTTCATAGAACTGATAGACATCGTTGGCTAAGCTTGCATCAATTTCATCACTGCCGGCAGAGAACTCGCGGATTATTGAAGAGGTTGCCCACAGAAAGCAGCCTTGCCTCGATGTCTCGAATCCTTGGATCAATTTGGTCGCAAGCTCTGGTAGAAGGGGTCGCATATCTGTCCGGTAGGAGATGACCATATAACGCCAGCATCGGCAGACTCGTTCCAGGATCGGTATGCTCTTCGAGAAATGTGAGATGAGGTTGGAAAGTACAGGGAAAAGTTCTTGGCAATACTTCACTGCCGGATTTTCTTGCCCTTTCGGTACGTGTGGTTTCACCATCTCGATGAAGATAGTGAGTAGATTGATTTTGTCTGCAACAACCTTCTGCTCCGACTCATCCTTGGCCTGATTTGCAAGAGCCATTAGGTTTTGTACAATTGGATCACAGTACAGCTTCATTGTCGGGTAGATCTGCTCCAGAGGCAATTTAGCGATGACAGAGGCTACACCATCTGTAATCTCCTCTTGACTGGGAACTTGAAGGCCATTGAGGTATTTGGCATAGAATTGTTGCAATGGCTGGATGAATCCGGCGAGCAAGCTCGCGCAGTCGTTGCAGAAGAACTTGAAGGAAAGCGCCGCTGCGCGAATGACGTCTTTTGTACCATGTTCAAACGCAGCCATGATGAAATCGAGCTGGGGTTGCAAGGTATCCGGATGCTCCGCGGTCCATTCAGTGTAGCGTCCTAGAGCCATAACAGCTTGGAATCGAACCTTGTGATGATCCGGAATCGCAACGATTAGTGGAATGAGTCGAGGAAGCATGGTATCCTCATCGCGTGGCACCATCCTGCCCATGGCTCGTACGGCAAACAGCGGAGCTTCGAGTTTCTGCCACTCCGGAACGCGATTTGGCGCAGCCTGTGGACCATATGCTTGTACCCAAGATTGGATGAAGTTGTAAGGTTTTTGCAAGCATTCAGCTACACCCATGACCTCGCAAGCATCCTTCAAGACGTCTCCCATGTGATGCCGGAATTCTCGGAATTTCTCTTCCTGTTCTCGATCACCCTCGAACAGATCCTTCTCGTCTCCACTCTCCGGTTTCGGGTACTCCAGATGACCGATCATGATATCAACCAGCTTAGAGTATACGTCGAAGAATTGTGCTCTTGCTGGCGCATATTTCTCGATAGTGAGGTACTGTTTGAGATCGTACCAGAATGTGAACGTATGAGAGACCGCATCACGCTCCTGATCCAAAGCCGCAACTTCCACGATGGATTCGACCAGGCCTCGGAATTCGGTAGGAAGTCGAGCGACAAGCAAGACCCAAGCCTCTCCAGCCTCGGAAAGTATCCTCGCAATTCCTTTGTATTTTTCAGAATCCTCCTCGCGTGCAGCTTCTACGAGCATTGGTCTCAATTCCAACACCTTGGGATACAACAGCATGATGCTTTGCATCGTCTCATCGACATCCCGCGTCTCGGAGATGAGATAACAAATGCACTCAACCGCGGCCTCAAAGGGATCCGGTACGGACAGAGCATTAAACATGACGCCAAACAAGGGTGAGTTCACAATGTTCTCCAGAGATATCTCGCGCATCCACGACGTAATGCAATTGAACAATTGCGGGTTTTGGGCAGCCGCGGCTACAGCCTATCAGTATAAATCTCTAAACGGCAAGGACTATACGTACGTGAAGATTGGGCATACTGCGTGAGGAGGGCGAGGGCTTGCTCAGCATTGTCCTCAATCAACTCAGCCGTCCTCATTTGCAACTCGGTTTCCTGGCAAGACCATGCATTAGACTAAGAATCTTCTATGATACCGCGATACCGCAGGAAATTGTCGGTAAGTTGGTGGTGGGTGGTGATTCGACCGAACGTACTGTGAGAGCGATTTTTCGTCCATGAGTAACCTCTTCTGGAAGGACGCGAAGGAAATCCAAGAGACATGGCAGCGTGGAAGGGTTTGTACCCAAGGCGGATACAATGTGAGCCAGCGCATCCTTCCACTCTGTCATCTGAATAGCCAGGTTTGCAAGGCAGACGCACAGCTGCAACCTAGTAGGTTTAGGCCCAGCATGGAACGTGGCCAGGTTCCTCATGATAGATTCACGCAGATTTGGTAGTGATTCACGTGGCAGCTGGTGAAGGTCGTAGACGATCTGGGCGGGTTAGACGTGAAATGAATAGCAGCTCGAGCGTCGTACCTTGCCCTTGAGGGTTGTAGCAGCAAACAGCTTCGCCGCTGCGTCCACATTGTTCGCCTCCAACATTCCTATAGTTATAGTCCAAGCTTCTTCCTGTACCATCCATCAGTACAAAAGTCCAGACCCTATGAATGTTCCTTTGTATATCAGTCAACGTACCGACTTCTGGAACTGCTCCAAGAAATGGTGTGCCTGCTCTTTCTGGGCGCGGTCTGCCCCTGATGCCATAGTACTGTGCGCGGCCAAAACAGGCGCAAAGGCCTGCTGGGCACCGTTGCTAGCCATGCCGTGCGTGGTATCGTGGTATTGTGGTATCGAGTTATCAACCGGTCGCTGGGAGGAGGCGATGGCGGGGCACCTATCTATCGACCGTGCATGAAAGGAGGAGGAGGTGCGTGGGCAGTGGGCAGTTTGTGTCTTTCGGGATTGTTCGAGAGAGTGATTGCGATATCACGGCGTGCGGACGGCGAGTGCAATATGTGCACGATGGGATCGGAGGTTGTTTGTTTGGCAGCAGTTGGCTAGAGGTGAACGACAAAGTAAGGTCCTGTTGTCCCGCGATTGCCAAGCCTTCGCTTCCGACTGCCTGAGATTTTGCGGAGCTCTTACTACCCTCGTCGCGCCGACTCCACCACTTCCAACCACTACATTTCCCTACCACCCATCCATCCATCACGGCGGCTACCTTACGACCCAACTTCTTCGATAACTCGCGAGCTGCAATCTATCTCTTCTAAATCTCGCCATTTTATACTATATCCACGATGTCTGGACGTCCAGGTGGTGAGTGCGCTGAATAGACATGGGCATGTCAAGCGATCAATACACAAACTAACGCGATTGTAGGCCGCGGCGGGGGTAAAGGTGAATCGCCTATCAGCTCTGATATTATGCGCTCGATTTCCGTATTGACTCTCCGCAGTGCTACTTCCCCCAATCAACTTCATCTTCCGGCTTCTTCAAACCCGCGCGACCGTCTCGATATGGCTCTACGAGAACTTGGGGATGCGCATTGAAGGAAAACTAAGGGTGCGTGCTACACAAAAACGGAAAAGACTTCGAGGATGTATATTGACTGAACTGCAGGGCTTTGACGAGTTCATGAACCTGGTTATTGATGATGCGGTTGAGGTCACATTGTCAAAGAAAGATGCTCCTGAGGAGCGGAGGAAGCTTGGTGAGTAGGAGCGCGTTCTATTCTTTGTTCATTCAGCTAACAGCTGGCAGGTCAAGTACTTCTCAAGGGTGACAATATCTCCCTCATCCAGCAACTCCAATGAGCATGCCCTCGTCCATGAGCGCAAAAGGACGCAATAAGAGCAAGCAAACTCGACTGCATGGTACCTAGACATGACATGAATTGGACTGAGGTGGAACACGTTCGCAGAGGCTGGCAGAAACTCGTTTGTAGGATACAGGATACATTCGGGTCTACGCTCGTCGGAGCTCACCCTCGCCAGTTATCAGGGCATCGAGACGGTAGTCGGTAGTATCCATGGGAACCGAATCGCTGGGCGGAAGTAATTGCTCCGTCAAGGAAAGACCGACTTTTTGTGGTTAGTTAGCATCATCCCATTTGAAAAATGTCAGTAGTTCTTACCGCGAAAAGGCAGCCGCGACGCATCATGACAGCGGCGCAGAAAGTAGTCGTAGAACCCTTTACCGTGACCGAGGCGACCGAATTGGTCATCAAATGCCATGCCTGGCATCACGATCAAATCCAGACCAACCTCGTCCGTCGTCTGAATCTGCTTGCCGTGAGTGAGACCTTTGCCGCCAAACGAGTTGGTCCGAGACGAAATGGAGTTACGTGATGGGGTTGGAATACTCCATTTATCGGGCTCCAGTGTCTCAAAGTCGTCTATAGATTGTAATTCAACCATGTCCATGATTGATTTTGGTTGGCCGGGCACGTGGGCTTCAGCTACATATGTGTATGGAATGAAGACTTGCTTTCCCTGAGCCAGGGCATCTTTTACGATGCTGGTCGTCGAGATTTCACCAGCTGGCATAGACAAGTAAACGCTGATGCGTATCGCGGCCTTGTACTCCGGTAGGGCAAGCAGAGCCTTGGTTGCATTGGAAGCTAAAACCCAGGCGTGAGAATCAGGTACCTTGATGATGTATTGAAAGTCAAAATGCCGGGCAGATCAACGGTAGGTTGACTCACTCTGCGTGGCTGCTGCTGCATCTGACACGTCGGCCAATAGATTTTTGATTCGTTTTCTAAGATCCTTTTTGAGTGCAGCTATAGATGCCATGGCGGGGTGACAGGTTTTATTTGGTTGAGACGTCTCAGCAGACATTGAACAGACCACTTGGCGTACCAAAGCTTGTACACTTCGAGCTCGCCTGGTTTCGAGTCGATGAATGAGATGAGAGATGGTAGGCACCAACGTTAGTGACAACTCGCAAGCTCCTAGTTCCGTCGAACAAAAGAATCCGAATACGTTTAGACAAAATGAACTGGTGACGGAGGTTGCGTGTACAGGACTGTCTACTATCCGGTCGAGATCTGCATCTCGCCGTTAGCCTTACAACCCCTGTCACCTTTTATCGGCTCCTTCCGTCATTCCACCTCCTGGCTCAACGCCTCACTCACCATCCAACATTCTCAAACAACCACTCCCCAACTCGCACCACCACCACTCCGCTCCCCCTTCGCTCTGCTCCGTCGCGCGCGTGCCCTTCTCACTGAATACCCTCGTTCCTGTCGCACACACTTCATCATGCTGTCTCTCTCGGTCGCGACGATGCTGCTCAGCGCCAGCGCTGGCTTCGTGGCTGCACAGACCACGGCAGACTCGGTCCCGGTCACTGATCTAGTCGGCACCTGGTCTACTAAGAGCAATTCTACGCTTACGGGTCCGGTATAGCTGTTCCGAGTCCAGATCTGGAGATATCGCTCTCACTAACGGTCGACATAGGGATTCTATGACCCTCAGAAAGACAGTTTCATCGAGCCGAAGCATACCGGAATATCCTACTCTTTCACTGCCGACGGCTTCTTTGAGGAAGCATACTATCGTGCTGTCGCAAATCGTACGTACACAAGACCGTGCGAAGAGAAAGCCTACTTGAGCACATGGAGGAGCGTCGAGCTAACGATAGGACGTAGCATCGAATCCCAAATGCCCAAAGGGCATAATACAATGGCAGCATGGCAAATTTAAGAAGCTGGCCAACGGAACTCTGGAGTTGACACCTATCGAGATTGATGGTCGACAATTGTACTCGGACCCTTGCGCTTATAAGAACTCGGTGTATACCCGATACAAGGCCAAGGAGAAGTTCCTGGTATGTTGAGCACTTCCTACACTCAGCCATCAAAGCTCTCAAGTTTCCATTGCTGACTATAATGCTCTACTACAGCACTACGAGGTTATCAAAGACCCGTACCACCAGATATCGCGCCTCAATCTTTTCAAGTGGGATGGTGCTCCGATGCAGCCGCTCTACCTTGCCATGTCACCGCCAACGATGTTGCCCACTACCACTCTGCACCAGACGAGCACCCCAACCCCTACCAATAGCAAGAACAAGCGCTCTGAATTCCCATTCTCTCCTAGTGCGCTTAGTAAACGATCTCCACAGCAGCTGCAGGCAGATCGCTGGTGGTGGTTTGGTGTGGTTCTTACTGCGACCGGTGGGACCTTGTATTTCTTTTTCTAGAGAAACTGACTGTCTCGAATCGGCGCAAACAGACAATAGGCAAATCACGAATGGCGCCGAGGGAAACAGTCTACACTGGCTTGAAAAGGTGCAAATGGGCGTTTAGTACGAGGCATTGTTGTTTTTTGTTTGTTCTTTATCTGGAGTTTGTTCATGTTGTACATGGCATTGGCATTTTACATTCAATCCGGCGTTGGCGGTCGCAGTTCTGTTGGCAGGAGTCGACAGGCTGCTGTACTATTGATTTATTATGATTTTAAGGTCAGGGCAGTCTATACATCATATTTCCCTAATAGCGTTAAAGGTAGTTGATTTTTCCAATTTTCCAAATATGAAAATGATGAACATGGTTTTAATAGAAGCAGAAAAGCACTTTCTGATTGCTTGAACGGAATCGTTGCTTTAAAATAATCAACAAATGCATATGTTGACCCTACTACCTACTTGACCATAGCAACTGTTTAAAGTGCTTGTCGATGCAGTCATCGGATGGTTTATGTACGCATCACAACAGGGGTTTAAAGATGTTGTGTAGTTTGATGCAATTGTATTAAGACGGGAAGATCTACCTAAATCTCCAATGAAAGGGTATAAGGCAATGCATGACAAAGAAAAGAACAAGAAGGAACCCTCCTAGAACACCGACCATGGCCAAACCCTAAAGTCCAGGCATAGCTCCTGAACAGAATCTCTCGTGGGTTATTTACTCCACATCAACATCCATTCTTATTCCGTCATCCACCATCGAATCCCGTCTCTTGCTCCCTCTGGCCGCCTCCTCCCTTTCTCTCGCCCACGTCCTCTGCTCTTCTTGTTCCTCCACTACCTCATGTTCCTCCCCTGCTAAGCCTCCATCATATCTCTCATACATCCTTCCCAATCTGTGTTCATCCGCAACTCCCAAGTCTTCCTCCTTCAACCGCTGCCAGTTCTCCGGCTCGCGATGGATAGCAACGACATATTGCTTGCCGTTGCGTGCCGTGGGATCATAGATATATCGCACGTCACCACCATCTCGTGCTACGTACCTCAAGAGCACGGTTCCTGGTTTTGGCTCTTCTGATGGTGTCGGTGATGTGGGGATGTCAGAGTCTGAATCCGAATCGTACGTCTCGATCAATTGGTCGAGGACGACGGGACCTTCACCTTCAGCCTCCCGCTTGGAAGGGTTGAAGAGATACTTGATTGTGTTTTTGGATGGAGTGGTGAAGGTATAGGCTGTGTAGGATGCCATTTGTTTGAGGTTTGTTTGTGTGGTTGATTGTTGGCAAAGGTATGTTTTGGTAACTTTGGTGAAGAAAGTTGAGTTTTATTTAGGTGGGTAGTCAAGAGGTGACTTGCGTTTGATGTTCGGGTGTTTTGATTGATTGATTGAAAACTGATCTGGCTGTATCAGCTCGATGTGCTGGGGTGAATTTATAGTTCGTTCTGAAGGGAGGATTGGTGGGCCAATGAAATCGCGAGGTTTTTCTAGAAGGTGCGGGAACACACGAGCAGTCACGACCTAGAGATTCAGGAAATCGCGAACCATCACGTACTTGCCAGAATCATCGGCTTCTTGCCGTTTTTATTCACATCTAGTTGGAGCGTTCTTCATTACTGATCATAGAATTACTAAACAGATCGTTGATATTCTTGCAAGTTGGATGCTGGATAGAACGACTCTGTATCCAATCAACGACTAGTGTCGACATCGATGAATTCGGTTAGCGTAGGATCGAGAGCCTCAGAGAGCGGTGCATGAACTGGACGAATTAGAAACATTGATGAGTATTGAACATAGGTTAAAGTGCGCTTGATCAAGTCTCAAACTACTGATTGGATGAGCGACTATTCATTCTCCTAGAAATTCAGTGGAACCAAATAATTGCATTGAACGCATATACTTTATCATTGATTTATCACTGGTGGGCATGTGCGCAGTATTATGGGATATCATATGAACTACGTACATGCATACCATGCTCTTCCGTCGAACTGTCCTTTACACATATCTTATTTTAGTCCCGCTTCCTCAACTGGACCATGGGTCCTTTCCTATTCGCAACGAAAATGTCCCACATTTGATATTGACCTTCGTTTTGACGACCTGGCTTTCCATTCTTATCACCGCCTCCGAGGTTGTTGTTGGCATCTTGCCTGAATTCGTATGTATACAGTGACTTTGCCAGCACAAGACGCATCTCAAGCCAAGCCAAGTTCTTTCCTACGCAACCGCGGGAGCCAAAAGAGAAGGGGTAGAAGGCACTTTCGGCTAAGGCGACGCTGTCGGGTGAAGATCCCTCGCTCTCGTTGTCTCGGTCGGTGGCGATCCAGCGTTCAGGGCGGAACTTGAATGGCTCCGGGAAGTAATCCTTATGATAATTCATGCAGTACATTCCCACGCTGACGTGGTTGCCTTCTGGGATGTAGTGGCCGGCAACAGTTGTTCCACCAGGAAGGACCACACGACTCGGTTCGGCGGCGACTGGTGGGGTCATACGCAGGGCTTCTTGGAGGAAAGCTGTCAAGTACTTGCAGGACATGATCTTTGCTCCAGACTTGATCTCATCATAGCTCGAGAAGGTTGATCGGATTTCCTGTGCCAGCTTCTCCTGGACTGCGGGGTTACGGGAGAGATAGAAGAAAGCCGCGGAGAGAACAACGGATGTAGTATCTGAGCCAGCAATGGTCAACACTTCGCATTCGCCATAGAGCTCATTCAAGTCGTAGCCCTTTTTGCCAGTCTCGGGGTCTACAGCCTTGAACAGCCAGTAGAAAAAGTCTTTGCGAACTTCGCTATCAGGCTTCTCTAATTTTTCATTCTCCTCTTGGACTTTAGTACGGCGAGCGAGACAGCCTGCGACGAAATTGCCCCAGTTTGTTACCGATGGTGGTGACGCAACTTCAAGAAGCCAGTCAAGCCCACGCGGTTTCGCCCAAACCCACAACGAGCTCCAAGGACTGAAGTAGACCTAGATACGTTAGCGTGGAGCAGATGATTAGGTGAGGATTAAGTGGTGGCTTACTGGGTGAAGAAGCTCCAAGAATGAAACCATCAGTTCAGGGATATGGCGTAATTCACTGTCGCTCTCTTTCATGTTGAAGCATTTGCCAAAACACAAATCACCAAGAATATCGAAAACAAGCCAATTCATCCAATCACACATGTTGAATGACTCGGACCACTCTCCATCTTTGCCTTTTGGCAACTGGCCGAGTAGTTCCAACCATCTGTCCATGTTCGAGTGCAGGAAAGTCTCTGCAGAACGCATTGCTGCTTCCGAGAAGGCATAGTTCATAACACGACGCTTGCGAGCATGTTGCTCAACGCTGGTGGTACTCCAGACGTTGACAGCATTGACGTTGCGTGGCCATCCTCTGTAGTAATCCGACTTCCTCACATTGCCAGTCGGACCGAATACTTTCTTGAAGGCACTCGGAGTATTGATCAAGACACTGTCGGGTCGGTAGCGGAACTCCGGACCTTCAGATATGGTTAGTGAGTCGGAGGAGTGCTATGTGTCATGAAACACTAACCATATTTCTCTTGGAGGCTGTAAAGCCAGAGGTGGCGATCACCATATCGTGTGTTCCACCATGAGGGGAAAACGGACAGCCGTGCCCAAAAAGGACCGGGGAACTTTGCAAGCGGGTGAAAGTAGAGACGGTAAATAGCCGTGAAGAGGATATAGGACAAAGCAAGCGAAGCACCCAAGCCCAGTAGGTTAGGGTACGTAATATGCTCGAAAATCGCCATGGTATGTCACAATGCTCGATCAACGGTCAGCAAACCTTCCTGGAAGGGAAGAGGCATTCAAAAAGTAATGCTTCGTGAAGTCCCCTTTTGATCGTCTGGTAGCTCGCCGACCAACCTTTCCGAATTCCATGTGCCGATTCTCCACTATAACGTCTCAGAGCTTGACCATCCCTGCTTTCTGGCCCCCTTGCTCATCCATGCAGTACTATTGCCACCAAATTGGGGCCCTGGAGAGTAACTCAAGTAAGAAGAGCGTTGTATTATGTGCGGGGATATACCACGCACATCCTATCATAATCATGCCACGTGAAGGCTTATGCAAGCCGTTACGTTTTTCATCATAGGGTCACCCCATGAACATGAGCCTACACAGTAACAATTGACTGCTCGCATGCGAGTAGCCGAGTCAGTTGTTACAGGGTATCTAGGCGATCATGGTCAATATCGGCAGGGCAACCTAAGAGCGCCCGAGTTTTTGAAGGAGACGAGCGTGGACACTTACTCGAATTGCGTCTGAAACGGTTATCTAAATATCACTAGGCGGTCTAGTAGCCTCAACGGCACGCCTCATAGAGGAAAAGGCACACGAGCCCCTCGTGTTGCCGAATAACGGTGGTCCGACACTTCCCCGTTAAGAACAACGTTGACACTCATCTTAGAAGGCCAGGCTGAACATTGCTTCTTCAGGAAGCTAGTCATTGCGTGTGCTGTGTAGTGGCGAGGAATGACCAACACCAGAATGTACGACGGCAAATCTTGACCCACAACTGCCCAACGTCAAACTTCTTTGAGCCAGGGTTGTTTTTTTAACCCTGCCTCTCCCCAGTTGATAGCCTGAATTGTTTTGGTTCCCAATACAACAATGTTGCTCCAAGACTTTTAGGACAGCCGGTGTGGTGGTGAGTGCGTGTACATGTGTGGCATCGACACCCAGGGGGGTCGGCTTCATGCGGTATGAAAGCTGTACATCATATCGAATTCGGTTGGGAGGTGGAAAAACTATTTGGTGTTGACAAATGTAATTCCCTCACAAGGTACACAATAACCCAACCGAAGCCGCCAAGTCTCGCATCCGCGCGGCACTTTATTTCCAATCGGCCAATAGGAGCATTCCCGGGCCGAAAGGTGCATAATGCTCATCCACTCAAAACCACCATGATTACATACCTAGGTATGCATGTGACACCTCCGGTACTGCTTCAGAATGTTGCACGCCAGAGACTTTGGATTTTCGCAAGCATTGATGTATGGCTGCGCTCACCGGAGCATCTCTGAAGAACAAAATGATTCGTGCGAGATTCCAAGCAACTGATCGTTCCGCGGAACCGACTGGTGTGGAGCTCACCACTCTACGCAGCGAGTAAGAAGTCTTGCTTAGTCGAATACATTCTACTGTGGTACTTGCATAAGCACGGCCACTCTATACGAGCTCTATACGAGAGTGCGAGTAGATTCCAAATAGATTCCCAAGAGGAAGAGTCAGTATTGCGCAATGTTCTCGATATAGATGCTGATTTGTACAATCTAGTCGCTTCATTATCAGTCTCAATTACTCGCTACAAATCCAACAGAATATCTCGTGATCCTATCATCGTCTCTCATGGTAGTCTTGCTCTATCGTGCTTGGGGTTGCACGTTTCAGTAGTCACTGACGTGTGGCTGCCGTGATGCGCCGTTTCCCTAACCCCTTTCCGCTCTTACCCAGAGTATCGTGGAGAAAGAAGCGCGGATATTTCGTCAGAGCGTTCAATTTCAAACTTTGTTCGCCTCGAAGCGAGCTAGCCTACTCATGCCTCCAAGGCCCGCTCCGTGAGCCGTAACTGTCGACGGTGGCACTTTAGCTGGGAGAATGGGGCCTAGTCCTCTTTTCTATAACGTCCCGCTGTTAGGCCGAGTCTAGTTATTGCCTCCGAGAACTCGAATGAGCCGACGAAGAAAATTTATCCCTACAGAACTTGATCAGGTATGATCAGGTACTTCAGGCTGGGATTGCTCCCACCTCTCACAGCACAGTGTCCCGGCCCAACACTGACTTCTGGAACCTCGCGTGGCCGACACGCAACTAGTGTTCTATGCCCATGTCCAACTATGAGAAATGCCAATGTTGGGCAAGGTCTGCATCAACATGTTATTCCCTTCGTGTAAAGAATCAACTTTTGCCCCACAGCTGGAGCCAAACGCTCGGGAGTATTCTATACGGTCCTTTGGCTCCGAGCATGTAGCTCCGCAATAATCCTTGCGAGCAGCATTGAACCCCCAGACACTTCTCCTGAAAGAATGTAGCAAGTTTCCTGGTTTGCGGGTAAGTGGAATGGCAAGGGCTGTTGATATGAAGGACTCTGTCACCACCTCGCCATTCATTTCTCGAGTCAATTTATGACTTCTTGTTTCGCCATTCTTTCGCTGTTGTCCTGTCGTGCTGGGTTTATGCTTCATTTCCACGTGGCTTCGGACAGCTGGTAATATCAAGGATCACGGTGCGATTGCGAAAATGGCACCCGTCGTCAATCCAGATGAAAGCCTGTGAGTGTTCCCTTGTCCTCCCAGCAGACTGTTCGGTCGCTGCTTCATTTGAAATTGGCATTTTTGCTTCGTAGATGGGAATTCAGTGCTGACGATGGAGTCAGTGACGCCTTTCGTCGTCGTCTAGATGGAGTGGCTTACGCAACATACATTATTGTGATGTTGGTTGTGCCCCTCAAAGTTTACTGTCGTAAGAAGGCGGGTGGTTGGAGCAATGTTGGTATGGACGACTATGCGACCTTGGTCGCTCTCGCACTTGCGAATGCCTTCTTCTATGTTTGCATTATCGGTACGCATTCCATCTTTGACTCTGCTCCATTGGAAATTCTCTGCTGACATGCTGATAGACATGCGCATATCGCTCGGTCTTCACATTACCGACATCACGAACCCTCTCCAGGTTATGGACTTTCTGAGAAACATCTATGTCGCAAACATGCTGTACACATGCTGTATCAGCGCCATCAAGCTTTCTATTCTCGGATTCTACTGGAGGTTATTCTCGCTCAAAGCTCGAGTGGTTATATATATCACCTTGGGCATGGTTCTCGCGTGGTGGATTGCAATTGTACGAATTGACTCATTCCAATTACTGACTTTGCGGGATCATACTGACTGGTAGCAGATGGCGCTTTGCATTTGGAATTGCTCTCCCATTGCAGCGGCTTGGGACATCACCATCACAGACGCGAAGTGCATAGCCACACGTTCGATCTACCTCGGCGGCTCCGTTCCCAACGTACTGCTCGATGCGTGGATCGTCCTCATTCCTCTCCCATACGTCTGGAAACTACACGCCCCTCTCGGTCAACGACTCCTTCTCGCCGGCATGTTTGCACTCGGTATCTTCATATGCGTCGTATCGCTCGTGCGTCTCATCATCTTCTTGCAGATTCCCATCACCACTGCCGGCGACGTGACATACAACTTCCGCGAAATCATCGTATGGTCGATTGTCGAAGTCAACATCGGTCTCACGTGTGCATGCTTGCCCAGCCTGAAGCCAGCACTTACCATGCTTGGATTGAACAGACTGTTCTTCTCCTTCAACAACTCGCGTCCCTCCAACGCGAAAACCCCCGAACCCGGTATGTCCGCTGGCATCGAATCCGAGTCTCGCAAACCTCGTAAGAAGGGTTCTACTGGGGGCATGTTCTCCAGCCTTGCTGGATTGACCAAATTCGGCAGCGAGGAAGATGGGTTCCGGATCATGGACAGCGAGAGTGAGCGTAACCCTCGCCAGGGCACCAACATTGAGTTGACACGGTTGAGCAACGACTCGTCTTCACAGAAGTCGCGGGAGAACGGCCGCACTGGCGGTGGCATTGTTGTGCAGAAGGACTGGTCTGTTCTAGTTGATGAAAAGCGGACAAGCAGGCCATAGGATGTGTCTGTCTCGGCCCTTGTTTCACTGACCATGGAGTCTTTTTGACATCAGTTGTTCTATACCCGCCCTGCACTCATGTTTCGCACACAAAAACAAAAATTCCTTTCTACTGTAACTATAATGTAACCCTTTCTACTGTAACTATAATGTAACCCATCACGACCAAAAGGCCGATTAGATTCAGGCCCAAAAAAATGAATAAATCAAATAAAATCAAATCAAGTCAAGTCAGAACCACTCTTCATAACAAGATTACATGACAAGCATTTTTTGGTTGTAGAGAACCGGACCGTTATCGGAATAGCCCCACATTTTGCAGGCTGTCATCAGTCTCTCGAGCGTTGAGCAGACACGGCACGTAACGCTAAACATAAAAGATGGCGGGTCTGCTCCACATGATGCCCACAACTCCAGTATCAGCCTCTCCCGTTATCATGCCACATTATCATGGTCCATGTGTGCTTCAAGCTAAACGTACCAGACCCAAAGGAAAACAAATAAGCTTACATCGATCTATAGAAGAGTCTCAAAATTCAAGCGAGAGCATGTAAACCGTAATGTATCTTGTACAGATTCATATCATCCACCCATATGTCAATCGCGTCGATATTGCCCAACTCCCTCTCCTGCCGCCTTTCATCCGCCAACCACGCTTGATGCAAGGTCCTAGCCAAAGGCACTCTTCTGTTGACGCTTTTGTAGCGTGCCGCGTTTGGAGTGGTCTGGAGTTCCACCACCAGCTGTTTGACGCGAGCCGTTCCGCCATTTAGGGTGCGCATAAAAGGACTGGGACCTTCACCCGTCACGCGGCAGATCAATTTCCTGAGGATCAATTCGGTCTGATCGATTTCTGTAGGATATGAGTACACGGACATTAAAGGCTACTCTCTTCCGACCCAATAATGCACTATGGCAAGAACCACCACATGCAGTGGCATTGCAAGAGATGGTAAAGAGGATTAGGTGGTAATTGAGATACTCACTATAAGTCATCGTACTACTATAACAGAACCTCACAATAATCGTCAAACGATCAATCACGACCTCCGCATCGTCTTCCCTTATCTCTTCTTCCCCTCTCCCAGGCAAATTTATTTGTTTCATCCCCACCATCGGCATCCTCAACCACGAAGCACACACGCTCTCACAAGACAAGACCTGGGCGTCGATCACGGGGCCCATGCGCGCCAGCACGCGACGCCCCACGACCTCGACATCTTCCTTCATCGCGCGACTTGTCAACAGCAACGGCAAATACGGACAGACGTATGGCTGCTGCCGGTTGATGGAAAGGACGGGATCGTCGTAGCTGCAGGCTCCGTCGGCTGCCATCATGGCTTCTTGGTTGCCTTCGTCGAAATCCAACCATTGCCCAGTGTTCTTGGTATTGTGAAACATGGGAGGCGTAGTAGGACTGATTGGGGTGGTGAGGACGTGAGCGAGGATCTGGTGGCGTAGTTCGGTGGGAAGGGATGAGAAGGGGAAGGGTGCGGTGTTCGAGTGCGATTGTGAAGTCGCAGTGTAATGCGCGGGGTGGGGGGTCTTTGAGTTGTTCGTCGTGGGTGTGCCAGAGGTGGTGGATCGTGATGAGACCTGGGTGTCTTGCTGTGTGTGTTGTTGCTTTAGCGGAAGGTGGCCAGAGACTTTGCGGATGGTTTGTAGCCATCTCGCGGGTATCGCCTTCTTGACCAGGTCTCGCGGGTAACTCATTATGGCTGGACCTTGTTGATTTGTGGCTGACTTGTAGGTGTACGTTGTACTAGGCTTTCATTTTGTCTGATGTTGTTATAGCGTTTAGGCAGCAACGCGGAGCAATTCCGGATATAAGGCGGAATTCGAAGTCGCTGCTTATAGGCCAGCCTCACACAGCAGGATAATTCTTTATGATGCGAATCTAATTCGATTCAATTTTCGACAGGATCTTATAAACGCTATTGCAATTTTTGGGTTGCTATGAAGGAGTTTTTGCAAGCATCGAAAAACTATCACAAATGTAGCTTGTATAGTGGAGGGTGACGAGCGCACCATGGTTCTTCAACCTCAACACTACAGATATTTCAAATCCGTACATCTCCACTGGTTCTTTGGGACGTTACGTACGTCACTACGTCAAATGCACAGTCAACACCACAAACGTTCAATCGTTTCGCGATAACTACACGCGCTACCATTGTCGACCAAATTTGCTTTACATGGAAGGCCAAAAGCTATCAGCACTGTTTTTTATACACAGTGATCTGGTTAGTTGTTGCTCTGTGTTGGAAAATATGCTGTTCGATTATGATTGACCCTTCTAATGTGAAGCGTGTATGTTGGAATTGAGACTATATAGATTATTAGAATTAAACAACACAACTTATACAATTCAACAATATCTGCTCTTTACATCGTGAAAGAAATCTAAAACTGCTAATAGAGTTCATGTCAAATTGATCATACGCTCTCAGACGCTCAGATGCCTCGGATCCGAGAAACAACCAGGAGAAAGAAGCTTATTAATGAAGTATAGGAAGAGCGCCGGGCAAAGGCGTTTCTGTACATCAAGAACAGAGTCAGCTCAAGTGATATTCCCATCCACGCCTCCAAATCCGCATTTTTGACAGATTCATCACTCACAGAGATACCACTAAGCAGATAAAATGATAGACCACCCGTCGCAGAGTACCCAAACACTGCCTACTTAGGCTTGTACCTCGTAGCTTCATAGAATCGCATCTACCGGAATGTTTCACAGTGCCATTTTCTCATATCAGAAATGAAAGAAATTGAAAGGTGTTACTCTATTGACTATCAACAAGTCACTGGACTATAGGCTTCACGTGGCAGTGTTATCTAACAGCATACATTCAGCTAGCTTGACCTGATGTAACACTGACTATCCTCTAGTCTTCTATTCTCGAATGCCGCAGTCCGTGTACATATATAGATATACTGAGAAGGAATTGAAGATCAAAACTTGCGGGATGGAAGGGAACCAGATTGATAGCACGAAAAGATAAGAAAAAAGCTAAACAGGGAAAGATCAAGCTCGTTCGCTCTTGTAGATTACTGTGATTGAAGTGATTGCTTGTTAAGACAGAATCTTCTGTGAGAGAGGGACACATTGCGAGTCGATACAAGATTCCTAAAGATGCAAAATAGACTTATGAATCATGACGATGAGGGTAGGTTTCGACGAGTTCCTGTGTCTAGCACTTCTTACGCACTTCATAAGCGCAAAGAGATATAGCAACAGCTCGATGTTGTCGAATCAACATCAAAGGAAGAGGAACCCGTCACATCACCCCTCAAATGAAGAAAGCGACGATACGGATACGAAGACGCGTTGTATACATATATCGGCTTCAGCGGCTCGATCTTTTCGAGATACCTCGCCCGTGGATTGAAGTCCCGTAACGCTCATGAAGATCCTGCAACGCCATCGCACTAGAAAAATATCATCGAGTCAAACATAGCGGTCTCGATTCATATCACGACATCTTCCGCCCTCTGACCCACCTCTTCGCCCTTCGCTGTCCCCCCCTTCAGAAAAGTTACACTCGGCACAACGCTACAGTACAACGTTGAGATACCATACTTCGTGTCCGATACCCGTATCCTTATAAATGTAAATGTGTGTTCGTGTGTGTGACAATAAGCGCGGCTCATCCATTCCACCGACTCCCCCCACCCCCCATCACTATCAATCTACACAATTCGCCCGAGGCTGAACAGCGTAACACCCTCTTCGCAGATTTTCCTTGCCCGAGTTCAGCATTCCCGGCTCAAGGACCCGGTGGAGCCGAACTCCACGAAGAAGGTGTGTAATGTAAACAAGAAGAAAAGCCAATTTTAATTATTCAGACATATGGACCTGCATACGTACACGAAGAAGAAAGAGTAAACGGCGAAGGCCAACGCACGCTAGGCGGTGTTTGACGAGTCGAGTGATCGGTTAGTAGGCAGCGTTACGTGTGCGGCCCGCGGTCTGGCTTGGAGACGTTTTTTTTTTCTCTTGCCCTTCGCCAACGGGGCCGCTACTGCCGCGTCCAGGAACCGGCCGGTGATAGAGGGGTTGGGTGTTATCAAGTACGAGGCTGATACACGTACATACATCGTGTTTAGGGTGGGGAGAAAAGGGAGAGGGGAAGGGTATGCCTTTTGAGAGTTCATGCCGCATCGCTATGCCCTGCGTGATGCGGGAACGTTGGTGCCCTATTTCATAGATGGGGGAGGGGTGAGGGACGGGTGGCGGAGGGTTTCGTCCCGTAGGACGCGAGTGCCCGTGACGTACAGATGAGAATTTTGCTTGTCTGCTTCTCGGTGGGATACGAAGTGCAGTGACCGGTCGCGTGGCTGGGTTCGGGGAGCAGTTTGTTTTCCGATGCAAGATGGGAAAGGGCGCAACATGTTGATTAATTGTGGGTTCTTTGCATGTCCGGTGGGTTTGAACGGCGAAGAGTCAGGGAGGGATATTCTCCATCGGGGAGGAGGGATGATCATAAAAGAGGTTTGCTTCTAGGACTTCGGTCAAGTAATCATCATACCGTCCGCTAGTAAGGATGGGAACATTACGCCATGTGGTAGCACGCTAAGCGTGTTCGGGACATATGGGTGAATGCACGGGTAACTCGTGAATTTGCCTCACGGCTCCAAGAGAGGCCAGTGACTTACTGCTTGGGCACGAATAGAGATCTACACGCACACAAAGAGCGCAAATCCACTTTGCCCACGTGTCTCTCGCAAATGCTGTCTGTTCAGGCATAGTTTCAAGTAGTGTGGCACAGCGTTTATCAGGATCGTCATGAATACAGCAGGCTAGTGACGGAACGGCGCTTTCGTAGGCATGTTAGTGGTTCACAGGATACGGTACGCCAGTTCATCGCCCAAGTGGCCGAGAGAAGCTAAGTTATTGGTCACATACAGTAGTCGCCGTTCACCATTAGACCAAACCCTGACTTGAACGTCTCACGTCCCTGTGCTATTCCTGGCGGACGATGTCCCGAGCCGTAGCAGCACATCATGAAGATTTTGGTGGAGCCTCACGTGCATTAAGATGGGTGCATGTGCACTTTTTTATCTCGTTAAACTTTGATTCACATGACGTCTATTCAAGTACTAATGCCTCCAATCGTATCTATTGCATATGCCGATGAGAATGAGTAGTCGTCTGTTTCTTTGTGACGACTGCGGCTGGTTCAGAGTAGCCCGAAAAATGATCAATCGCCAAAACTGTCTAGGCAGGATTCTCAAAGCCAGTCCGGTGAAGATCGTATTCGGCAGTATCCGGAGGCGTGAATGGTAAATCAGATGCTATTTTCAGCAGAAAGAAGATGACGTCTCCAGCTGAGGATAGGGTTCAACCTACTGTACAGGCGTAGTAAAACTGCAGCCAATTTCACGACCGCGTGGTGCGTACTGCGGTGATTGAATTTCGATACATTACCGGTATACGACTGACGGGCCGTGGTCGACCTGCGCCACACGAGAGTACTAACAAACACGAACAGCGACGTTGAAATGGGGCGAACTGATGAGGCTAATGTGTCTGTGGCCGTATTCAAGGTCTTCGTGGGGTGATAATTCGTGTCCGTCGTCAACGTCTGCCACTAGGGACTGAGTAAGTAGGCAGTACGTGATAGGCAGCCGATGTAGCCTAGCGTACTGTCGTCTACACGGGTCTTGGCGTGGCTATTCCTCAATGGCCAGCGGTGGGATGGGCAATGGCCCCGATGGGGAAGATCTTACTACTACAATGACGCTCGTATCAGCACACACTGTGGTCCTTGTATGCATTGCCTCGTGGTGGCAGGGGTGACGAGACGAATGGTGAGGCTGCTCATGGCTGTGGCGCCCGTACATGGCAAGAGTTCCCGGACCAAGACCCTGCTCACCCTGCTCGACATTACGGAAATGCTTGCTCGTGGCATCTGCTCTGATCAAAAGGGGGTTTGGGGTCAGGGATATATACGGCCGATCGACGTCGCTTGGACCCTCGTAGGCGCGTATTGGTGGTCGCCGTCTGCAGCCGTCTGCAAGCTGTGTCAAAGATAGCGTGGGCTTCGTATTCAGTCGGCATTTTTGCTCTGCGGCCGCAGTATCTTCTGCAGGTCCGCAAATGTGTGAGCCGACGGGCGAGTCATTGCGAGTTTGCAGATGTCATAGTTATCAGAAGAGCTGACAGAGTGAGCCACGTCCTCCATCCCAGCCCCAGATACCAGGTCAACGCGTGGGTGGACGAGCGATTAGCACGCACGCACGTACGCACATGGGGCGGCAAGGCTGGTGAGGGCCGTGTGCAATTCACCATCCATCCATCCATCCATTCATTCAGCCTTCGGTTCACCCATCCATCGATCCGTTTTGCCAGTGAAGAATATGAAGAGCGGGGACACAGCTCATGGCGACGGCGCCACGGTGACGTGCCGCTGGCGTACAGTGATAGTGTGGGTGGGTGGAGGAGTGGTTGATGAATGATATGAATGGATGAATGGATGGGACGGGATGCTGGGGGAGTTGAGCTGGGAGTAAACAAGGTTTTCCAAAGCGGTGGATGAGAGCATGGATGGATTGCGGGATGAGCCAGGCTGTTGGCCAGAGCAGTCAGCCGCCGCCGCCACCACCACCAAACGATCTAGCCATTCCGCTTCGAGCACTGCTTTATTGGTTCATCGACCCAGATTATCGTGGCCATCACCAGTCTCCAGCCGCGTTAGGTGCACTGTGACGCGCTGAACGTGTGCTGTAAACGATGCACTGTTGTTCCTCTTCAGCTCGGATGGGTGCAAGCGACGACATGTTTGCGTGTGCCTGCAGGAAGCAGCGTGCCATGGAGTGGTCTCCTTGCAAGCTGGGAATCAAGTGAACCCAACCCAGGCAGCGGGCGCGGGGTCGGCACTTGTCCAAATGTTCACAAATTGTCCATGTATGCAGTCACTTGTACCATGATAAGTGTGTACACGAGACTCCACCTCGGCCGGCCAACTTGGCACCTTTGGATCTTGGCCTGTTGTCTCGGACCGTATGTGTCCATGTGTGGGAGGATTAGGTGTATGTACTAAATGCAGATGCAGATACGGATGCGTATAGGTTGAGATGAGGTGAACAGCGACGAAAATGGCATGATTTGATATGGGCGGATTGCTTGCTTGCTTGATCGATGGCAGATGGGTTGTTGATTGATGTCTAGCTGGCTAGCTGGCTGGCTGGAATGCACGATTTGGACACGCAGGACCAATTGACCCACATGCGTGCGTAATTGCTGCGAAGGAGGCTGCTGAAAGATGGATGCCTCGGTTGCTGGCTATCGTCTTTCGTTGTTGATGTTTGGTTGACGCTGGCTAGACGGGCTGGATCAATGTCGTGAGAAGGAAGCCGAGGCCGGCGTCGCTCTCACAAGACCCGCACAATGACTCGGGAGCGAGCAAAAGCCACAATTATCAATCATTTGTAGTTATGACCGAATGCTAATGCGTGATATCCACGGGTGCAGAGTCACTGTGCAAAACGCCAATTGAATAATAATGGGTGGTGGGTGTTTGATCTTGGGGGAAAGGCTTGTACTGCACTGTGCTGTGCTGTGCTGCATCGGATGAGGCTGGCTTCCTAGCCCTAACAAGTCCACCACCACCCTTCACCCATCACCCTTCATCCGTCCAAACTCCGACTACATCTCTCGCACCAACTGATTCCAGCCATCCATTATCAACGTCACCGGCATCGTGCTGCTATTTTGGGAGCCACACCCCGGCCGCAACTCGGGCACGCCCTCGTTTGCCCGCCTGCACGGTCCAAAGTCTTTTCTTCCTCCACCCAAGGGGGTCCCGCTCTCTCGACTCACCTCACCTACACACAGACCATACCACAACCTCACCACCACCACGCCCTCCTCTCTCACATCTCTCAACGCCATCTGTTGCCCGTTTCGTGTCTAGCTCCCACTCCTGCCCGACCATACCTCCTGCCCATTGATCCCCTGCTCCAGACGCCATGCACTTTTATTGCATCTCGCGTTAGCATGGCCCCATAGGAACCTCTTTCCTTTCTCTACGACCCCTTCATGTCTCTCAATATTTCTGCATTTGCTGCATCTGCAAGCGTCTAGCTCCCCAATGTGATTCATCCCCTGTCTTTGCCTACTTACCAAGCTCACAGCTTCCTGCTCTTGATCGGTCCGCCTTCACTAACCTCAGCCGTGTGTTGTCCCGGAAGAGCCTGTCTTGTTCTGTACGGGGTCCTGATTCGGCCTGATCATCGAGGAGCCTTGTCGCCCTCTCTGCCGCCTTTCACACATAACATACATGGTGCGTGCGTGCGTGCTCTTGCTACCCGTATATCTAACGTCCACTTCCATCCTCCATCCGGTCACTGGAGACAGCAGCATCATCATCATCATCATCATCATCTTTCATACAGGACTGTACGTCTCCATTCTTCTGCATCATATTATCTGCTAGTCTATGATCGTCATCTCGCCTCCTGTCCTTGCTGTGCTACTCCTCCGGTTGCGCCAAATCTGACAGTTGGGCCGTTTGACGCCCCCGCCAAACCATTCCTCCTAGCGGACACTCCCCCTCTTAGGCGCTTTAGTGTCCATTCACAAGTTTCCTACGCGCTTCTGGCTGGCCTAAACACTGCTAGGGTCGCCGTCTGTGCAAGCCAATATATCCTTGGATACCCTCTTGTCTAAAAACCTTCCTCAAACCGACCCAGTGTTGTGGTTGAGATTGGTTTCTGACACCTCCTAAGTCTTTGACACCCGCACTACATTCTCGCTTCAGACTTTTGCGGGGACTCTCCAAAGCCTGACTCTCCCACATCCATCGCAACATCATGTCCTCCGATCCCAACATGGCCGGAGACGGTGACGATCTGTCACCTACTGCCTCATCGAATCCCAAGATGAGAAAACGAACAAAGACTGGGTGCTTGACCTGTCGCAAGAGACGAATCAAGTGCGGAGAAGAACGTCCAACGTGCGCAAACTGCATCAAGTCGAAGCGCCAGTGCGAAGGGTACAACCAACGTGTCGTCTTCAAACCCCCTATTGGAGACTGGCCTAATCATCCAGGGGTTGTGAGTACACTGCAGTACCATAACTCCAACCTTCCGGGCTCTCGTACAAATAGTGGCCAGCCAGCACAACTGCCAACACAACCTCAAGACAGCGGTTTAGCTTCTATCCAGCCCCGTCCGTTGACACAGTTTGAATACGCTACCGATAGCAGCACTGTCTTGGATCACCAGGCTCAGTCATATACACAGCCTCTTCAATCTCCTCATCATTATCAACCACCGCTTGTTTCGCCGCACCATCAAGTACCGACCCCAACCAGCGCAACGTCATATTTTCCACAACCTTCGCCTATTCAGGCTAGTTTTCAGGGACATTTCGGTCAATCATATCCGCAGGCGCAATATCCTGTCTCGTACGATGGTGGCGTTGGTCTGAAGTCGCCCGTTTCTCAATCAACCCAGCAAGCGTTTTACCAACAACATCCGGTCTCAACCTCTTCAGATCGGGAGCAGTTGTATCTCTCACGAGCCGGCGTATCTTCGCAAAGCGGAGGCTTCCCTATTCCAGCCAGCTCAATGGATTATAGTCTGTCAGAATCATATACCATGCCCATGGCGAACTCTCAGGCCAATCCTCCCCAGTCTACTTTTCAGACTGCCAACATACCCCAGAATGCTACAGCGGACGTGAATTATATGCACCAGCATGCTGTTTATGGTATGTCTCGTGTCTGATTCCTGTTTCCATATAAGCTGTCATAGCTATCGTTGTTCATACCCCCTTTAAGTCTAGCCTCTTGTAGACAGATGCCACTTTCGCTGAATACCATTATCGTGTCTTTTCTGTTCAACATTTCCATGTAAAGAGTGGTGTCTTACGTCTTAGATAAACTTCTGCATGTGCCCTGATTAACCAATTTGAGATTGAGGCTAACTATTCCCGATTTCCAGCAGAAGAACAACATACCGCGGCGCCTCTCGATGCGGTACCCGCACCACACATACCATTGACCGGGTTCGGAGGTGAGGATCACCTCAGTCCGACGGAAATCCTCGATGAAGCTGCAGTGGAGGAAGTAGACGACGACTATTATGATGTACACCCTGAGGAGGATGAAGACATGCTGGATGTCCCCGATGAAACTGACAACGCCACCATTCTAAGTCGGGACTTCAGTCTTATTCGAAGAATACATTTCGAGAACACAGATGCATTGGCAGTTCGTCGCTATGACTCATTCATCTATGACGGGATTTTGGATCACTACAGACCAGAGCAGGTAGCCAATCCTCTCAAGAATCCAAAAACAGCGCGAGTCTTTGCACACTTTATCCATGTTACAGGTCCGGTAGGTGTTTACATCCTCAGCCTATTCAAAATTCATGCTAATGAGGTCGGCATAGTCTCTTTCTATATATGAACGTCATCCACGTAATCCTACATCCATTTTCGAGGGAACGACTGTGCCCTCTCAGCAAAGTTTATGGACATATACCTTGCCGTTGAAAGCTCTTGGCAACCAGGCATTGTTACAGGCGATGTTAGCTATGGCAAGTCTACACATCGCCAAATTACAAAAGGGCTCTGTCACGCCTTCATACAAGCATTACGGTATGTGGAATGGAATTACAATGAAAGAGCTGATCGTTGAGACTGCTGTTCATAGCATTTGCTTTGAAAAGGTTAGGAAGATCCTTAGCCAACCCTAAGAAACGACTTTCAATCGCAACTTTTGCCGCGAGTGTGCTTCTAGGGTTCTACGAAGGTAAGTGATTCAACTTCTGCAATGTTCAGTTCACTAATCATTTCAGTGATGACTGCTGAACATACTAAGTGGAGCACACATGTCGTTGGCTGTGCGCAGCTGATCTCTGAACTCGACTTTCCATCTCTTACCCAGAAAGCGAGGCAGCTACGAGCTGCCAAAATCGAAGAAGAAAGAAAATTACCACACAACAATCCTTACATGCTGATCAACCAAAAACAACTTGACAAGATTCTGAGAAACAGTGCGATGATGCCGGACGAGGCTATGGTTAGTACCATAGTTGGAAAAAAGGTGAGCTACGATGAGTTTGGAAAAGTATTTGAAGAGACTGGGAAAAGAGCAAGGAACACAGCTCTCCTGGACGACCTAGATGTGCGGACTTATGAAACACTGCAAGATATATATTGGTTCTATGCAAGACAGGATGCTTTCCAGGGCATCGTCAGCGTAAGTCGTGCCCAGACTTCAGGTACACTATGAATATATTCAGTCGAGCTTATGCTGACGTTCCACTCATGATTTAGGGAAATCCACTCATGTGAGTATTTGGTAATGTATTGAGTTTGCAATAGCTGATACGCCTGAACAGCACAAGTTTTTCGAGATGGGCAGATTGCCCTCCCCGCGCACCCCTCGGTCGTGCAGACGCTCTGTACGGTACCCACGACCACATAATACTCCTGATCGCCCGCATCTCAGACTTCACAACCCGCGATCGTAACCGCAAACTCAAACAAGTAGAAGTAGATGGTGGACAATGGAGGCCAAGGCCTGGAGTACCAGGCATGCCTATGGGACCGCCGCCTGGCAAGGGTTCAGGCGGACAACCCTCTACATCTGCAACTCCTATGGGGCCCCCACCTCACTTGAGGAATGTTGGAGGGCAAAAAGGCAGGCCCTCACCTGGCCAGGGCCCTCCTAAAGGTCCCCCTCCCGCTGGTTCAATGCCGATGTTCTATGGGATGTCTCCAGCAGCACCTCCAATCCCTGTCCCGAACAGCTACACCAACCCAGATCACGTCCCGGATAGTTCCTCCAAGACTTCAAGTGCATCGGCCCCATCAATGTCTCATCTTCCGGCTGCATACGATGCTGCTCTTGCGGAGTGGAACGATATATCCCATGCTCATGCTACGGTAGCACGATTCCTTGCCAATACCGAGTCCTTCGCCCCCTTGACGGCTGATCTTGTAAGTCACCTGCAGTCTCTAGTTGAACATGGAATCTAATCACACATGATGGGATTTAGTATCCAGTTGCTCCAGGGGGTAATATGACGCCGTTCGGTCCCGCACTTCTACATAGGAGCTACGACATAAGCTGCATGTGGAATCTTCTTTACCTCGCCAACATACTGCTCCTTCGCGCCCACCCAGCATGTCCACCGGCCGCGCACATGGCAGCGGGGATCTGCGCTCCCGCCACACACCCATACGCAACTCTCATCGGACGCATAAGTGCTGGTATGCAGATGCCAGCCACAATTGACATGCCTTTATCACCATTTGTCGGAGCAGCCCTCATTGAATCCACCATGCCGCTGTTCTTCGCTGGCATACAATATCAAGACTCTACGCAGCGAGATTGGACTATCAACAGGCTTGTTGATATCGATCGTCGCACAGGCTGGGCCACTGCAGCTGCCATCGCGCGTGGGTGCGAGACGGCTTGGGAGAGGGCATCGGAGATGGGAAGGGGGCCTCCATATAAGAGAAAGAGAACGAGAGCTGTGGGTGAGAAAGGACCGATTGTGATAGATGAGGAGAGTGAAGCTGCTATGGGTGACAGTATGAGTGGAGGAGCTGTTAGATCGTCCGAAGGGAGTGCAAGTGGAGCCACTGGCGAGTGGGGATTCGTGGTGGGAAAAGGTGGGCAAAGACATCATACGCCGTGGGCGATGAATCTGTTGGCCACGGAACAGGATATAAGGTTGCAAATGGACAGGGTCAAAATTTAAAAGAAAATTACCATCAGAGTAAAAGGGCGGGTGTCAGTTGGCATTGGCTGCCGTGATCAAGGAGACAATCATGAGTAAGGAACGAAGACGAGCAAATCGAAGGACTTTCGCTTCACCGATATCGATAGTTATCATCAATAATACTATATATCTTCAATTTGCAGATATCATAGCATAGTCTACGGGAACAGAAAATCTAGACACGACACAACCACACCATTGAAACCGCAAGAGTCGGTGATCGCCAATAAACACAACCCAATCGTCAAAAGTCCTATTCAAGCCGCCGCCAACAATAACAAATAAGCTCAAGGAGAGCAGCATTACCCACAGTACACATGATCAAGACGATATCTACCTAGGTACCAACGCCCACGCCAACACAAATCTATCCTACCGCACACCACATCGCATTACCACATTCCCAAATCCGAAGGAGAAGAAGGAACAGAAGAGAGGTCAGCACGACAAACGGAAATAATCTCATAACCGCCCCCTTCCCCATTCGCTGCACAGCCGAGCTTCTAGGGAGAATGCGCTTATCCCGATGATTCTAAATATCTAAAGCCTTGGACACGAATGTGTGGGTATATGTCATATGCCATACAAATATAGTACATTGGCATATTATTACATCAAACCACCCTACTGAATGATATCTTAGCCTTGGGGTAACTTGCAGGCTTGAAATGCATATAGAGCGCAGTGTAGTGTAGATTTAGGATAAGTAAAACAATAATACTTGATATGGATTAAAAAAAAGAAGTTGGTAGAGCACGGGTGGTAATGTTCCAAACAACATCCGGGTTCATCACTTAGTGCACGGTGATACTTTTGTGGTGATCGTGTCAAAGAGATATTTTCATTGCAGATTAGAAGATAACTATCCATAGAAAAAAGAAAGATGATGCAGATGGGAGCTTTATGAGTGATGATGAGTGGTGATGGTGTTTGAGAAACGTTTGACGGCTCCAACCCTGGTAGAAGCTTAAAAAGCCCACTAGGAAAAAGCCAGTTGAGTAGAAAGAAGATGTAAGAAATTCCATGGTGAATATGAGGTAGTGTCGATGAAGGTCATGGAAATTTGACCGGGAGGTAGCAAGGACTACCTGCACAATGTGATGATCAGATCACCCGTTCGCCAGCCAGAAACTCTGTGTTTCTGCAACCGGGGGAGCGAAATTCAGGAATGGACAAAGGACAAGTCATGCCAAATTGTGTGTCCGTGAGTTCCCATCCTTAGTCCCATTCTCACAGTTGAATCCCTTCCAGAACAATAGAGATCATGCACTCACTGATCCAATCAATAGGATTCACGTGTCTCCATCCATTTGATAATGCCGAGATATGCATGTAAGAAATTCAGAAATCCTCCGACACCAAATAAAGTGAGGAAATAGAAGTGAACAGGACTGTTCGGACTCCCGTTTTCCGGCTCAAGGTGTGCGGTTGGAAGCCAGTAAGTTGTAGTAATCCGCCCTCCAGTCGACACACTCGAGGTACTCGAGGTAGAACCGCATGGGTGGTGGTAGGTCTGCATCAGCCTGGAGTGGTGTCAGTGATTCATTCTTGCCAATAAAGTATATGTCATCCTGGCACACATCACGTTCCCAACAGTAGAGTGCATGGTGCCAGTGACTCCAGACGACGTGTAAAGAAACATTACTCACTCGGTGGAATGCCTCCATGAAGAAATTCTTGCTCATCTCGCTTGACCTAAGCTTTGTGCGCTTCTCCTCCTCCCACAATTCTAGCTCTTTCATGTAGTCGGCGAGCGCCTTTGCAACTTTCTTGCTGTATTTCCCATCCCCTTCAGCCGCCTTATGATTTCCATTCGCAGCTGATGAACCGCCGGAATCACTACCGATCTTGCCTTCATACTTGGGCATAGGCCAAAAGTGATTGAGCAACTCGTGCGTGAGCCACTCTGGACGATCCTTGACAGTGCTGAGCCGCTCAGCCCAGTATTCCAGGACAGTGTGAGGAATTTGTTCGATCATTCGGTCGTAGTCGAGTTTATCAGACCAACGAGTCTGGGAGTAGTTGCCGTAATAGTAGTACATCAGGGTGCCAGATGCATCTTTCTTTCGAACGAACAACGGGGTATCCTCGGAATATACGCCATACCGTCCTTCATCCTGATGGTCGTCTTCGGGGTTTTCGGGACGGAAGAGAGGGACGAGCTTTGCGCCATGTTGGCCTGGAGCAGGGGGCGCGAACGGCTCGACATCGGCATCAATGAGGTAGTAGCAACGGTTGGGAAGTGTGGAGATACCAGTATCCGGAGGCGCATAGAAGAGACCAGGTGACCACAATTGAGCATTCGGAAATATAGTGTTTAAGGTTCCTAGCGTGGCACCCTTCATCTCCATGCGAGGGATCAACTTGGCAATTGCTGTGTGGAGGGGGCGAAGGGTTTCGATGTAGTGGGGGATCCAGGTGGCCGCAGCCGCAGGCGTATCGTTTTTCGCCTGCAAAACGATGGCTTGGTTATTAGACATTGAGCCAGTCACGGTAGTGGCGTCGTCGTCAATGGTTTCAACCTCAGAATCAGTCAGGAGGGAGTCTTGGAGACCATGTCCAACCGAAGGAGCGGGATTGCCGTTCGTCTTGTTTTTTGGAACAGGAAGATGGGCATCTGAGTGAGCTGAATGGCCGTTGGTAGGTTCGCGCGCATGAGTTGGCCCTGGGACGTTGTGGACAGCCAGATTCCGATCATCATTAACACCATCGATAGAAGCTCCCAGAATTCGCGCATCGTGGCTGATATTTTCGAGCTCTCGTATAAACTCAGCCACCCGTTGATCTTGGATTGGACCCACAGTCGTAATTGCATTCAAGTCACGAGCCTTGATCATATTGACGGACGAGAGGAGAAATTCGACGGTCTTCTCGAGCTTCTCGATATCTGACCGGAAGGACACGTTGTCACGTATGAGCTTGTTCAATGTATTCTCGAGAGAGACCTTGTCGAATACGTATTGATTGACCTTTTGCTCAAGAGACGCGTGACTGCGCATGAGCTCCTCGGTCATCTCGTCTGCAGTCTCGACAGCCTGACTTTGACTATTCTGGGAAGTCTTCGGGGTGAATTTATTGGCTTTGGGATTCATCGGATACACAGTGATAGGTAATGAACCGGAAGGCTGGTGGACTGATGTGGAAAGCAGTCGAGAAGCTCCGGGCCGACAAAAGATGAAGGGTATGAGGTAGAGGAGAGGTGGTGGGGAGAAGAAAGGAGGGTGGGAGGATCGGAGGGGGTATTTTATATAGGGAGGCCTCGGTTGAAGTGAAGTCGAGAGCTGTGCAGATAAGTAAGAGAAACAGCACTTGAGAATCGATATGTAGTGAGAGGCGATTGCTGCTGTGTATATAGCTCGACCGCTCCACGTCGTAGTGAAGTCGGTGGGTGAAGTGGAGAATCACTTGATTGAGGTGAGATGATGAGAACAAAAGCTATCCATGTTTGCTTCAGAAGTGATGTTGAAGCGCAACTCTTCGGCAAGGATACTGATTATCACATTTCTGAGGACTGACATATATGCATGTAGATGAAATTTGGAAGTCTTATGTAGACATCACCCAATACTGGCAGGCCATCCCAGTGTACCCTGCCAGGATATGACGTGAAGATACACCACTAGAATGATCCGCATGGGCTCTCCAAAATTATCGCATGCCAATGTTTGACCAATTCTTCAATATGACAGTGCTTTATCCGTATCTCGGTACAGTCAGGAAAGAGAGGCACTTGCTATTCATGATCAGCACATTTGTTCGAAATCATGTTTTTTCAAGATTTGAAATATGGTGCATCTTCCGATGATCGTTCACAGAATCAATTGGCAATGTCTCATGGTGTTGTTCTCCTAGCTGTCGCGGGTATCCAAAGAACATGGTGGAGTAGCTGTTGCAATGTCGCATGCCTAGAGCCACTGCAAGGAAGAGATGACAGACCCAAGTAAGCGAAAATCCGTACTTCGTACTGGAGCAAAGCAGAGACGAGTGTGTATGGATAGATGGTGGAGTCTTTGAAGTGCATGCATATCTACCGTAGGGCTACGGTGCCGGAGTTGCACGCGACTAGCGGCCCCCTTCTCCTTCCCTTCGCTTGGACCCTGATGACGAAAGGTGCTCGGGCCATGCAAAAGCGACCCGGTTGCTTTGCGGTTCACTTTCTCCCGACTCGCAACGCCGTGGATGACAACCTTTTTGAACGAATGTAGGACTTATTCTCCACCTGGAGCTACATCGAGCGTAATTTTCCTATGAGATTCAGCACATAATCTAGTACTATTTTACGATCTAAGCACGCAACTCTCCATCTGGCCCCATGCCTCCCTCGAAACGCGCACAAGAAGATCCACAGTCTCTCAAAGAGAAGCTGCACTCACTCCAGGGTACTGGCGCCCGTGGACGTCGGAATGGCCACACGAATGCTGCGAATGGGAGTAATTTGAAAGAGGTCATGTCCTCGAATGGGGACAACGCTTCCACCAACAGTGGGCAGAACGAGCATACCTCAGGAGGAGTGAGTGGCCTCTCGCCTACATGCTGCAGCGCTTCACCAGAGAGAATGAGCACTGACAAACCCATTCAAAGACTCGGTGGGACACACAAGACACGGCCGTTCTCCAAAACTATCGACGAGCCTATCGCATCGACACTCAGCCCCCATTTAAAAACCCCCTCAGTCACGTCGTCCTCAACCAGGGCATCGGTCGGTTCTCACCCACAATGGCGCGCCCAAAATCAAAGACTAGGGTAGAGAAGAGCCAGGTGGCTTTGGCTGTGCGGAAAAACTTCAATGCGCAAGCCGTGTCGGAAACGAACTGCATCGTGGATTGGATCTACACAGTCAAGAACCAAGGTGAGCCGAACCCAGTATGACACCATCCAATCTCTATACTAACCAGCTACTAGACAAAGAGTTCAGAGTACGATTTGCGCCGCCTCGAAAATAAAGCATCGCATGCTCATCTTTCGTCCCTTCTCGCCGCTCATTTTCGGAGCCTTTTCTACCTCTTCTTCCTCTGGATACCCTTGCCACGATTCGGCGTCGAACAGTCTTTTTTTCACCATACCATTATACATATAGCATTGGATAGGCGTTTGGGTTTTGCTCTTGTCATAACGTAGGATTGCAGTGACTGCGGAAAAAAGGGTCGGGTCGTAACGATACTCGTGTTGAATGGAACCCTTTGACGAAACGTTGGCGGCGGGGATGGTCTGGATATACTGTTACGATACTCGGGCAAAAATCACCACACTGTAATGATCACATTGTATTGCTCTGCGCATTGGGGACTGTAAAGTATCATTCCAGCTGGAAGTGTTATTTCGCCACTTTCGTTTGATAAGCCTCGGGACAAGTCATCTCGCAAAGGAAAATTTACGGGGTACTATGCAATCGACTGTGATCCTCCATGGAACAGAAAGAAGAATCTTAATATGATTGAATGTACACATGATCAAGACATACCCTGCTCCTTATTGCCCATACTGTATTGGGTCTCTTCTAGAAATTCATAGAAGACGCGTGCTTGACGACGCCAATGACATGGCGCGTAAAGTGGATTAGTTGGAGATGGTCAGTGCGTTGATTTTTCCATCATCGTTCAGACCTCGAAACAAAGTCTCCGTTGGCTTCCCATCTTGCATCAGTCTCATTACATCGTATTAGAACAGTTAATTCCATCTATCAATATGGCATTCGCTGCTCCTGCGCTGCCTCTCAAGGCGGTCGCTCCTGCACGCTTCGTTTCTGCCACCCGGCACTGCCAGCGACGAAACCTATCACAATCATCCAGAGCGCAACTTTCAAGGCCATCGATCGCGGCGAAGAAACAGACACAGAAGGCGCATGCGCATGCGCCACGGATACGCGTGAGCTCATACCCTTGTTTCTGATTCCTTGTACTTCCTAAGAATTGTCGCTGACACATTAATTTTTTAGCTTTTCCATGCGACATCACCCTCCCACGCTATCAAAGACCCTTATGCCACGCTGGGGGTTAACAAATCCGCATCAGCCGCCGATATCAAGAAAGCCTACTATGGCCTTGCGAAGAAGTACCACCCTGACACCAACAAAGATCCTTCCGCGAAGGACCAATTCGCCGCTGCCCAGACCGCATACGATTTACTTTCCGATGCAGAAAAGCGAAAAGCATACGACTCGTATGGATCTGCTGCATTCGATTCCAATGGCGGCTTCAATCCTGGTGCGGGCGCTGGTCAAGGCGGAGGCAATCCATTCGGCGGCGGCTTTGGGGGTTTCGGCGGATTTGGTGGGGGGCAGGGCGGTTTCCAGGGAGGCTTTGGACAGGATATCAACATCGAAGATCTTTTCAGTGCATTTGGAGGAGGCGGTGGAAGAAGAGGGGGAGGCAGAAGCAGGAACCCGTTCGAAGAACAGATCATGGTGGGCGAGAACATTGAGATACAGACCAATGTCTCTTTCATGGATGCTGTGAAAGGTGTCAGCAAGGAAATTCACTACACCCCGATGGCAGAATGCAAGACATGTACTGGCTCCGGACTCAAGAAAGGCGCGAAACCGAGCGAGTGCAAGGCTTGCGGAGGTACGGGACAAAGAGTCACCAGTATGGGTGGATTCCATATGAGTACTACATGTTCGAGCTGTGGTGGAGCAGGCGTTGCCATTCCTCGCGGCTCCTCATGCGGAACCTGCGGTGGAGAGGGTGCCGTCAAGGAACGAAAGTCAATCACAGTCGACATCCCAGAGGGTGTTGATGATGGCATGCGGTTGCGAATCGTGGGTGAAGGTGACGCACCACTCACAGGGCAAGCCATGGGTGCCAACATACGAGGCACGAAAGGAGATTTATACGTACTCATTCGTGTAGCGTCCAACCCCAACTTCAAACGCACAGGTTCCGACATTCTCCACACAGCCACCATACCTATAACTACAGCGGTGTTGGGCGGTGAGATCAAGATCCCAACTCTCGAGGGGGAAACTCGAGTCAAGGTCCCCACCGGCTCCAACTCGGGCGATCGCGTGACCTTGTCTGGCATGGGCATGAAGAAGCTGGGCAGCCGCCGCCCAGTGAAGGGCGACCTACGGGTGGAGTTCAAGGTCAACATGCCCAAGTATCTGAGCCAGAACCAGCGCACAATCTTGGAGATGCTAGCAGATGAGATGAACGACAAGACTGCAAAGAGGATGATACTACCTGACAAGACAAAGAACGCGGATGCCGAGAAGAAGGAGGCAGACGACCACAAAAACGAGGGATTCCTGAAAAACGCATGGCACAACATCACTGGACAACACAGCAAAGATCGGAGCGAAAAAAAGGATGATGACGAGCCCAAGAAAGGTTCTGGATCAGGGTAAAGGGCCAGGCAAGTGAATTATTGTTTAGAAGAAAGGCGGCCCTCGTGTTTTGATAGGAGTGTTGGATTCCCCCCTTCCCGCTGCATGTACAAGATAGTGTGCGATATAGTAAAGAGAAGATGGCGTACAAAGGAGGGAAGATTGCATTGGCTGGCGTCGCTTTGTTATTTCAACTTTGGCTGTGTATGATTGTTGTAGTGGATAGTGATGAGTAGTCGCATTTGTATTGTAGTCATTGTCTAGGCCTCTCGACTCAGGCTTGTATATTACTCTGTATCCAACAGTTTGCAGCAATCTCGATGACGACCAAGTGGTGGCTTGACGGATAGGGGCAGGTTGCTGAGCGGTTACATATGGCTGGTCGCGTAGCATATGAGCATGGTGAGTGGTTGGATCGAGGCGCGTATTCCGCTTTCCATCCCACGGTCCCTCGCAGGGCTGCAGCAGGCCATGGATGGAGGAAACGAAGCAGTAGATGAGAATTGCCCGAGTTGCATATTGCGAAAAGCACTTGAGCTTGTAAGCGCCCAAGAAGTTGAAGCTTCCCCGTTCTAGGCGACGACGGCTTGGGATAGACTCAATGAGTGGACTCGACTAGGTATCCCCTGGTACATAGCTACCATAGATTCATGTATGATCCCGTTCTCCACCGCGACCTCGGACTACTGCCAAACAGCTACATGGCTGACAAGTCCCGACAGCGTCTTGTTTGACTCGATTTTTGAGCGGAATGGTCGAGAAGAACACGGAAGCCAATACTCGGCAGATGAGGAAAAGAGGATGTGCTTGTTTGCCGCTTTTGATTCATACAATAGTACATAGATTGATAACGTGAGATGGTAAGGTGCTGTGCTGTACATGTATCCGTGAATGCGCGTAGTGTTGAAAACGCTCTGCCGCCCATGCACCCGCAGCTGGCCACATCAAAGGCATACACCAAGAACCCTGCAACGTCATTCAGGGCCTGCATTAGGTACTCGTACACGTCTGCGTCCTGCAACGCGACAGTGCAAACTCTTTAGATTTTGCATTGTACCTATACCCTCCTGCGTCTGTCCGCAGCTGCCACCGCACAGCTCCCACCCAGCTGTCAGCGCCCGAGTACTGGCTGGGGTACAGTAGTAGTAGGCGCCCAATTGCTCGCCCGCCCGCACGCCCACTGCGATCCATCCATTACCGTACCCTAACAACCCCACCACAGGTCAACACCAACCTACCTATATACTTTACCCATCTATCCTGTCCACCTGATTCCCCCGTCTCCACCGTCCTCGCTTCCGCACGTATAGCTACACAGCCGGCAGGCCTTTCCGCCTCGCCCAGCATTTCTCTACTTCCGCCTACCACCCTCTTCCCATCATGGCCACCCTCACACCCATGATATCCGTCCCCCTCAAGCAGACCAACGAGATCGACTGGATCAATCCCCTCAAATCTTATATCCGCGCAACCTATGGCGATGATCCAGAACGCTATGCCGAGGAGTGCGCTACCCTGAACCGCCTGCGCCAGGACATGCGAGGGGCCGGCAAGGACAGTGCCGCCGGGAGAGATCTACTCTACAGATACTACGGCCAGCTGGAGTTGTTAGACTTGCGCTTTCCCGTCGACGAGAATCATATCAAAATCTCCTTCACCTGGTATGTCTCACCTCGGCACTGAACACGGGTTTGCCTAAGGGTTTGGAGTGTTTCGATTAACATGCAATGCAATTAGGTTCGATGCCTTCACCCACAAGCCCACCGCTCAATACTCGCTCGCTTTCGAGAAAGCCTCCATCATCTTCAACATTTCCGCCGTTCTATCCTGTCACGCCGCACACCAGAATCGCCATGAAGATGTCGGCCTCAAAACTGCATACCATTCTTTTCAGGCTTCTGCTGGAATGTTCACCTACATCAACGAGAACTTTCTCCACGCACCCTCAACCGATCTCAGTCGCGAAACCGTAAAGACGCTGATAGCCGTCATGCTCGCTCAAGCGCAGGAAGTGTTTCTGGAGAAGCAAATTGCAGATGGGAAGAAAGTTGGCCTTTTGGCCAAACTAGCTAGCCAAGCTGCGTTTCTGTATACACAGGCTACCGAGGGAGCCCAGGAGAATGTCACAAAAGCTGTTTTTGAGAAAATTTGGTTATCCATGTGCCAGGTCAAAGCCAGTTATATGGCTTCCATGGCAGAGTACTATCAGGCCCTCGCCGACAATGACGCCAACTCACATGGTGTATCGATCAGCCGATTGCAAGTAGCGGAAGCTGATGCTAGAGACGCGAATCGGGTAGCCAATACTTTCCCTTCCTCTGCCCCTACCAATTCAAATCTGCCTGCAGACGCCGGCTCGGTGTTGGTCGAGATGACAAAGAAACATTTGCAGAATGTGCAGGAAAAGTTGGCGGAATTCTCCAAGGATAACGATTTCATCTATCACCAAGGCGTCCCGAATGAAGCATCCCTAACCCCGGTTCCGAAGCTACCAGCCGCAAAGCCCATCCCCGTTGGCGAGTTGTATCAAGGTCAGGACATCCAAAGAATTATAGGTCCGGATATTTTCCAAAAGATAGTGCCCATGGCTGTCACGGAATCTGCCAGTCTTTATGATGAGGAAAAGGCAAAGTTGATTCGAGCAGAGAGCGAACGAGTTGAAGTCGCGAACGACGAGATGGCTACTAGCTTTGATATTCTCAAGCTTCCGGATAGTTTGAACGTGTTAAGAGGTGGGATGGATCAGGACATGATGGTCGATGAGGAATTTGGACAATGGTGCGAAGAGTTGGCTGGTCACGCACCTTTCACAGCGGCCTTCAACCAGCTAAACACTGATAAGGCCGATATAACGAAATCGCTCGACACTAGCATGAAACAACTTGACATGGAAGAGAGCGTGTGCGAGAAAATGAGATCAAAATACGGAGTGGAGTGGACGCAGCAACCCAGCTCGCGTCTGACTGCCACCTTGCGAAGCGATATTAGAAACTACCGAGGAGCGATTGACGAAGCAAGTACGAGTGACAACCAGCTGTACAACACTTTCCGACAGTACGAAGCCGATTTCGATGAAATGCGATCAGCCGGCGAAACGGACGAGGCCGATGTACTCTACTCGCGGGCCATGGTTAAAGCTGGAGCGCAGAAAGGGAAAAGCCCTCGTCCCGCCGAGGGAAATCTCATTGATGATGACTTTGATGATGGGCCAAGCGTTGCAGACCAGATTGCTGCCGTTGAGGATTTGCTGAGACGTTTGAACTTGATCAAAAAGGAGAGGATGCAGGTATTGAAAGATCTCAAGGAGAAGGTATATTTGAGCTTCTGCCATGGTCAACAAAACGCATTTTTACTAACAGTCTGCTAGGTGCATTCCGATGATATCTCCAACGTCCTCATCCTCAACAAGAAAGCAATCGCCAACCAAGAAAACCAACTCTTCAAAGCCGAACTCGAGAAATTCCGGCCACACCAAAACCGTATTCTGCAAGCTAATCACAAGCAGTCATCTCTTCTCAAGGAACTTACCCGCACGTATTCAGACCTCCTCAAAGATAAGCGCGTACGTTCTGAGCAGACCAAGTACGACGCATTCAATAGGCAGAGGAACAGTGTCATGTCAAAATACAAGAGAGTGTATCAGGCTTTCAACGACTTGAACGCCGGTTTGATGCGTGCCCAAGGCTTCTATTCCGAAATGAAGGACACCGTTTCTAGTCTACAAAAGAATGTTGAGACCTTTGTGAACAATCGGCGATCCGAAGGCGGGCAACTTCTCCAAAACATCGAACAGAAGAAATCGCAGGGCGCAGATCAAGAACAGCAGCGACTCAAAACCTTGATGGATCGTATGTCTATGGAGCCTTCCGGTTCTTCTCCTGTCTCGGCAAGCGACGGTCGAAAGAAGAGCATACCAGGTCCGCTTTCCTCAACGCCGTCGAATCAAGGCGGATACCCAACAGCAGCGTCTACACATTCAGCATACAACCCGGCGGCCTCGCCACCCATCACCCCAAGATACCCCTCAACAAATGCTTCTGGGCAGCAGTCACAGTACATGTCGCCGCAACCCCACCAGCAACCCTATGGCGCCTCCTCGAATGGTTTTAACCAACAGCAACAGCAGCCTCAATACGCACATGCCCCTTCTCACTCACAATCCTCATACAACCCAACCAACTACGGTCCCGTCTCCCCACCGCCCCACCAAGCCTACTTCTCCCCACCTCCCTCACAACACCCGCAACAGCAACAACCGTGGGGTCAACCCCTGCAGCAGCAACCTCCGCAGCAGCAGCAACATCAACCTTCATACGGAGGAAACTACATGAACTCGACTCCCCAGCCTGGCTTCCCGCAAGGTTACGTCCCACCACCGCCACCTCCCGGACCCCCGCCAAGTCAGCAGCAGCTAGACTATAGTCAGTACACGCAAGCGTATCCGGGTGGGCCTGGAGGATATGCAGCAGCGCCGCAGCAGCAAAGGCATGGTGGACAGCAGCAACAGCAGCAACAAGGAGGAGATCCGTGGGCAGGGCTGAGCGGATGGAAATAAACCGGTTCGAGTTGGATTTGGCCATATCTAATGCTAGTGTTGGACGATGCATTGCCTACCGCTCTTTCTTCGCCAGCTAGGTTTTCATGATACCTTCCTTCGTAGCTGAGGATGGGTGTATGCGTATATGTGTGTGTGTCTTTGGGCCTTCTAATAGTTGATGTGCGACGTATTTGTCTCGAGTAGCTGGAAAGAGTGAAAGTATGAGCATTGCAAATCCCGTCACTTCATTCATCCCCCTTTCTCCATGGGCTTTAGACTGAGCATCATTCCTCTTCACATTAGCAGTACCCACAATTTCCCCGCGTTATATAGAGGAAAGTAAGCGGGAGTTTTGAATGCAAATGAGTAATGAGAGAGCGCGCCTTGAATCATTCGCGCGCATAAGTTTCTTCTGTTCACTCCCTTCCATCTACACAGATTAGATTTCATGAAGTGTAGCGCTAAGACTGTTGTACACAATTTCCCAAATTGACTTCAGACTTTGCGTTCGTATATCCGTTCTTCTTCATCTTCTCAGACTATAAAGTACGGATAATCCTCACACTCCTCTACTCCAGAATCATGCCCGTTAACTGCCCAACACCCGCAATATTACATCTTCCAACCTCTGTTTCTTTGCTCGTGCAGGATTGTCTACTGTGGTGTGACGTTCACCGCTGGCGAAGCGGATTCATGCTTGAGCGGCGCTGGGGCGGAGATAGATAGGGGGGACAGTAGCGCACTGTTTGATTTTATTGTTAATTTGATGTGGATAATTTGAAGAGAGTAGGTGGGGTAATATGTGAAACTTACGAGTTTGAAGCGATGGGCGCAGAGGCCGCGACTGTGATGAGGAGGGACACGATGACGGTGGTAGGGAACTGCATCTTTTCTTTCTCTTTGAAGCGTGTATTCTGCGGTTTGGGAGGGAGCGTTGGAAGTGGCGTATATTGTCGCGTTTATCAATTGGACTAGCGAAGTGCTGGAAAGGTGTCAAACGAATGTGTGTCTAGCTAGCTATGTACCTAGATAGATCCAATGTGTGTGGGTTGTCACTGCCTTTTCATTCGAATGATGCAAAGGTTGCTCGTGCTAGTACAGGGGGTGGACGGGGGACACGAAGTCCGATATATGTACCTTCTTTCAGCCCCCACAACGCACCCTTTTGCCTGATTTGCTTACTACGGTTTTTCTTTTTATTGTTTGGCTAGGTTTAGTCTGACAGGTATCTTGGCTCGTCTTACGCGAATGATGAGCTTACACGAAGTACGGGTGTCTCTTGCCGGTTTCCGTTATTGCTGGGAAATGCACAGCTATGTGGTCTAGGTTAGCTGTGTTCATTACATACATATGTATGTATTGTTTAAGTCTTTCAGAGTCTCAAGTCCCTCTTCGTATTCACTCCGGAAGCAGGAATTGATACAACGTCGATGAGTTTGAGATGGGGCAAAGGAATATTTGTACCTTACATAAGTGCTCAAGTGCTTATGCAAATCACGTGAGCATCTGGCTGCCTGGACCGCGATCAACGTCAATATCTGCTGTGCCATTGTATATATGTTGTATCTTCTGTGTTCATGAGTGCGTTGATTTATCATTGAATATACGTGGGATCATCGGTCTCTCTGTATCACGTACAATTGAACATAAATATCTCGACTGCGCAGTCTCTCCTGGATCATGACTACACATTCTGATTTGCAGCCCCCTTGGGATTCTACCCCAGGATCTCAATTCTCGTTGAATGATTCACTCATGCGCCCCAGGGCTGGAACATCATTTTCTCTATTCCAGAAGCTACCACCCGAACTACGAAACCGCATCTGGAAATTCAGCCTTCCGCAGCAACGCCTTCTCAAAGTCACCGTAACAGCAGCGGAACCATCCCGGGTATCCACGTCCAAAGTCCCCAATCTTTCATTATACCAGGAGAAAAACCGCCTGGGCAATGTCATTAGCGGTGCCGACTACTTTTTGCGTCTGGGCTCGACGGATACCAACTCACCACTGCTATATGTAAATAACGAAGCAAACGCTGTCGTTCGTGCAGTTCATCGGGTACATGTCCCCATCACACATCGCGTACCGGCATTCAATGCTCCATGCTTACGCTTCTGCCCAGAATCCGACACCATCCTGATCTATGTCAAGCGCGATGAGGATGAAGTTCATTTCGCCGACTTTGTTCATGATGCGCTGGCGTATGATCGAAAGAAGAAAGGTATTCTTCATATGGCCATCATGAGTAAAAAATACGAATCAAAAATTCGTTTACCTATGGGTGAGTCTCTACTCCCTACTTCGTTTGTACTTCGGGCGTTCCTATTCGATCGAGATGATTTTACTGACTGAAAGATTCAGACCTCTCTTGCCTACATAGCCGCGCAAAAGCTGCTTTGGCATCTACACTGGCAGGGCTAGACAGCGTAAGCCTCGTTCATCTGTATCCAACCCGCACACTGCACCAGGGATTATCACAAGTGCTTCTCAGGGGAGGCAAACCAGATGATAGGCTGGTACAGTTTGATGAAGCATCCCCGCTGAAAGAGAACCTGTTGCGCTTCTATCGAGCATTTCCATTGTGGGCAAGCACCGCTACGTATTCGATGCTGCAAACAGATCCTCGCTCAGCATCTCAATACCTAGAACTCACTGATGCCGCGCATGACCCTCGTAGTCTCATTCGCGCCTGGCGCATGCTCGAGACCGCGTACAATATCCCCCCAACTTCTGATACCAAGATACGCATCTGGTTGGCAATGGGCGAACCGGATGAAAGACAACAAATCTCGACTCTATATCAGGCATTCATGTTTCGACAGCGTGAAGAACAAACCTGGATGCGACTTCTCGCGCGGGGTAACTTCTACGTACCAGAGCGAGATCCAGATAATGACGATGCACTCGACTTCTCGGAAATGCTAAATGCCATTGGCTTTTGGTCGATACCTGCTGAAGCGTTTGGTTTCGTACCAGAAGTCGATTACGCTGAGCATCGCTGGGGTCGTTTGGGGGCTTGGATTTAACTGATTTCGAGTCCCAGATTGAGCTTGGCCTTTTTGAAGTTCCTTGATTACCTGGAGCTGCCGAGAGTTTGTTCTTATATTTGGATGTTGTAGGTGGACTTGGGTTGATAATATCTTCAATTGCGGTGCGGGACTACGCAGATACTGACTTGGATGCGCAGGCTTCTGCTGTCATGGGATTCATCAATCTTAAAGTGGACGTGGCTTGATATATGAAATTGTATTCATACGAGAGGCGAACCCATATAGACACCAGCAGAAATCTGTGAAGCTGCGAAGGATCGATCGATAAAACCAAATTGTGATATCTATGTCTAACTGAACATATTCTCTATCAAAACTTTCCGATCTACGATCTATGAGTTGTAGAAAAATGGTAAGAAGAAAGCAGAAACTTGATGACCATTTCCACTGCAAGAATCCTTTCACTATCTTAAGACAGTTCAACATGTCTCCAGGCTGCATGCTAGAGAATCTGCAGTTATCGATGACGACCGATGCTAGAAGAATTTAGAGACTTCTGCCATCAATCTGGCGGCGTTGAAGCGTGCGCAAGTCAACGTTCTGGAACATGCGGACCTGTATGGGGTGTATTAGCCGCGCTGCCTAAACATGGTATGGAGGCTGACAAAGAGTGGAACATACATTCAATGCTTTGACGCCCTCATAAAAACCTGGTTCGATGCTCTCAGCCATCAAACTACTTCCACAGCGGCTGCAGAAATAGTGTTGGACGCGTTGTCTACCGAATCGATATTTCTAAAAAATCAAAAAAATCACCGTTAGCGAGTGAAGTAGATGGGGATGGCTGTGTTGTTGTTCTGCGGTGAAATCTGTACCTCGACTAATTCGCTCTCCAGTCCCACATTATCAAACTGGATACATTCGTTTTGAACGTAGACATTCAGATATCCGTTTCGCGCGCAGATCGAGCAATTGCATTCCACGACCCAGCTTTGGATGTCATGAAGTGGCGGGGAAAGAACGACGCTGTACTGAATGAGCCCGCAGTGACAAGATGCTCGATACTGATATGCTGTCAGTAGTCTCTTTGTAGCTATGCCGCTAATTTTGACGCTGAGAAGGATATGATGACAAGCTATAGCAATAATTCGGGTTGAAAGGAAGATCGGATGTGAAGGAAGATATAATGTATACACAGGAGAACTGGGGGTACTCACAGCTTGGCTTGAACTGTTTGCTGAAGCGCTGTGAACTAGAGGATACTGCACGTTCGCCGTTCTTCTGTCTAGATTCATCGCGACAGAGAACGGATGGAGGGGTAGGAAGTAAATGGGATACACCTTGGCGGTGTAACGGAGACGTCTATTAAAGACGTCTCTATCGCTGTTGCTTCAAAGAATAACTAGGGAATCCACGAGCTCTACCTGACTCCGGCAGTCAAGTAGCAGATAGTTGATCTTACTCAAAATAAAGTGAAGTTGAGGGATTATTCGTTGTAGCACGCGTGTTCATGTTTTTTGCAGTTGAGTTAATCTACTCGAGAAGCACTACTTATATTCGAGCGAAACTGCTCGGGCGCACTCACGTTTGCCATCTTACATCCCCTGTTCTTTCGAAAATGAATGGCTTCGTAGTCCGTTCTATCCCGTCGGCTTCTCCACCCAGTCAGAATTTTGTATTTCGAAAGCAAGATCTCGCACGAAGACTGGATAGCCCCCATAACAATGCAAAACGGTTAGTCTCGACATTGGAATAAGAACGCCAGGTAAGCGAAGACCGATCATTCCGCCAATCGTGTAACGTATTGCACACGGAAACGCTCCGATCGTCGCCTCAAATTAGACTGAAGACTCGTGTACACGAAAGCCTGGAGTATGTGCCCCTGGCAAGTGCAGATGGCTTAGTTGGGGTTTGGCCATAGTTCGTGATCTACGGCTTTGGAGCCACAACTGTTCATGCATTCGTACGCAGGCTTGCCGTAAGACGAATGTTCTATGCTAGGAAGAAATTCGGGAATATAACAACATAATTTATTCCCAGGTTTACTTAGTCAAATGATGCAATTGGCTTGAGAGTAATGTTGGATACGAGGTTTTTGAACCCAAGAATGATTGTAGTTATGAGCAATTGAAACTAGCGGTAAGGGACCACGGTCTTCTCGTTTTCTTTGCTGGTTTGGGCCGTTTGGCACTTGATATCTGAGGCTGTAGGTCAGACGTTCGAACCAGGGGTGTGGATCGGCATTGCGGCTCTGATGACCCTTGACCGGGGAGTTGGATTGGGGAAGGATCCAAGCATCGGGATACGTTCCAGCAAGATGGATAGAATAAGCGGCACGACGTTACACCGATCTTTTATCATTCACATGTACGAGTACAACTGCAGAAGGGCAACTATTAGATAACTTCCTTCAAGTTGTGTGTGTAGCACTGGATGTAGAATATAAGCACGAGGAAGCGTAAAGTCACTTCCAAGTCTCTCGGCAAATATTTAGCACACCTGCTTTACGTGGCTTTCACTCACTATGAGTAGATCTGAATATGTCTATTTCTCAAAGGGGGAATTTTCGACCAGACGGGATGAGTAATGGTGTGGGGGGACACAATGACCAGGATGACCTCTTCACCGAATAGTTCGGAAGTAGGCAAAAAGGCAAATGTTGAAGCATACAATGCTTGTGTCGATCATAAAAAAGCGAAAAGATCTCGCATTTCGGTGCCAGCCGATGATCTTCGTGAGATGTCGCAATCCTGCTGCCTTGACCGGTCCACAGGCGAATTTCAGCTGTGCCCGTATTCGTTCTATGAACTCGTATCATGCTTTGGAGGCTGACAACCTGCATTGAAAAAGGTACGCGACAGCAATGATGTAAGATTAGCCACCTCAATGGACGTTGAAATGCCCCGCATACTTCTAATGGGGACTATCGGCGTTCTTATTATAGGTTCGGTCTCTAAAACCTTACAGTTTCAACCCAGATGTGGTTTCTGTATTATGGCTTCGGTTTCCGTTCCGTAAAAACAAGATGAAGACTGACTTGAGATTAGTACGATTGTGCTCATGAGCTCGGTGTATCCGAGATGAAACGATGTGAATACGCCCACATTATGCAGCCCAACCAAGTAAGGAAGCCACGCACACTATCATCTAGGCAACCGCTTTCCTCTTGATCCATCATGCTCCTTCTGAATTTCTACCCTCGGCTTCTCCTTCCCCCAAAGCACACTTCAATGTTAGTACGCACCAATGAGAAGATGCTCATCCAAAACCAGTATAATCAAAAACGCCAAAATATGGACGAGCAGATCAGTGAAAACTGCATCATGAGTCATTGCTCGTGTTCGCCATCAATCATTCCTCAGTTCATGCATCCTCTCAGATGAGTCTCAATAACTCATTTATTTGCTGTTTTGCCTAGATATGTTCAACTCCACACGACTGTACAACACTAAGAACAGATTCAATGGGACTTTGCTGGCAAAAATAACTAGAGATCAATTGAACCAAAGGGTTGCTATTTAAGATTCGTCCTCCAACAGTGCGATTAAAGAGTATACCTGAATCCCACCTGACCTTCAATAGGCTCTTCCGGGCCACCATTGGCCACCTGTGCATCGACTTGCTTATTCTTCTTCATGAAGAGTACCGTCATTACCCCGACTATAGTCAAGATGTAGATCTGCAATCCTGCTGTGACCCACAGTCCCGTGACATATCTCGGCGCATCCCGCTGTCTGAATACTGTACTTGCAATCATGCCTCCAATGGCACCAAATCCAATTTGAAGAGCACTTCCTACAGATCTTTTGCTCTGTCCCACGATATTGTTGCTTTGATATGCGAGGATCGCCGGAATATTGCCTTGGCATCCGCACACACCCAGGAAGCTTCCAAAGTAGCGGACTCCGTTATTCGTGCTATATGCAACAAGCATCAGGCCAATGATAGCGAGGATGCATTGAACTGCAATAACAGGAGAGCGAACGCGATATTTGTCACCGACCCAAGCAAACCCGAGAGCAGTGATCATTGCGACGAGGTTTGGGGGAGCGGAGAGAGCGTTTGCTGCTCCAGCAGAATATCCCATCCCAACCAGGATGACCGGTAAGAAGTAAGAAAAAGCATAAGCTGGCATCGTTGTTGACATGAAAAGGGTGGCGAAAGCCCAGAGTTTGAGATCTCTGAGGTGATGGACAAATTTGGCCCATGTCAAAGGGTCAGACACTGAGTCTCCCCGGTCGTCCTCGATCCTTTGAAGAACACAGGCTGCCTCAGAGTGTGTCAAAAAGCCTATTTTCTCAGCCTTATCTGGGAAGTCGAGAATGATGAAATACGATGCAATGGCCAAAAGGCATGTGAGTATTCCTTCGATGATGAAGATCCATCGCCAGCCTCTAAGGTTTCCAACGCCTTCCATTTGCATCAGACCGTAAGCAAGGATGTTTGCAATGCCTCCGATTCCCACGGATACGAGGTAAAAACCACCCAGTCTGTGTTCTATGTCAGCCACATAGATGTCGAAAAGGGTCTGAAAACATACCTTTTCTGGACTTCAAATCGCTTGTACCAGCAAGTGATGAGATAGACGCATCCCGGGAAAAACCCAGCTTCAAAAGCTCCGAGCAACACGCGACAAATGGCCAGTGCAATCCAGTGCTTTGTAAAACCTTGGCCGATCATCACAGCGCCCCATGATAGTCCGATGAAGGAAAGCCATCTAGCAGCACCCAACTTGCGGAGAACCATATTGGAAGGCAATTCGAGCAACGCGTACGTGGGGAAGAACAGTACGAGCACAATCGTATAACGATCGCCAACTTGAAGGGCAAGATCCGCACCCATACCAGCCACACGGGCATTAGAGATCTGATCGCGGTGAGATTGGAGCTCAACTCATGAGGGGACAAGGGGATGTCTAACATTGGTACGGTCGATTAGCGCAATGGAGTACATAGCGCCTAAAATTGGGAGAAGTCTCCAATCCACCTTTCGCATCAACTTCTTCTCTTCGACAGCATCGTAGGCTTCGACATCGTAACTAGTACGACTGCCTTGTGACTCGACTTTTTCCTGGTGGTGCGTGGTCGCCTTGAACTCTTCGTTGTCATTCATTGTCTGGGGAGATTTGCACGAGTGCAATCGCGAAAGCGGGGAGAATTGGACACAAAATGCACTATAGGTATGGGATAAGAGAGAGTGATAGATTGAAACAATGATGACGGCACAGGGTCCGATAAATGTGCAGCACTGAACTTAAATTGAGGAAGATATCTAAGAGATACTCTTTTGAAGTGATGCGTAAACCTTGATAGGCATGGGGGTCGGTACGACAGGGCCATCTTAACATGATATAATATATCTGCCAAACTCAAGATCCGACCGAGGTAAGTTGCCGCAATTCTTCTGCAAAGCATCTTGGCGTCTAGGTTCTTGGTATTGTGGCTGTAGTGAATGAGTCGGTTCTATGTAGCAGGGTTTCCAAGAACGACAGGGAGGCATAGCACTTCCTAGCGTTGCCTCCTGACAATCTAATGTATCACGATCTTGTTCTTCAACGGATCAAGAGTGAGCGAGCGAGCGAGCGAATAGTCTGGCAGGACGAATCCTGGTAGCTACGCTCCACTGGATCCTGCCGGCAGAAGGCAACGGAGCTGGAGGACGTGGCATGGGCTTGTTCTCCAGATTTAGTTAGAGGTATCGTAATGCCTTGAGATCTGCCGCTTTTGAAAGCTAGTGGATCTTTAGTCTTTCGGGAACGGTCTGTTTCCTACCTCTCAAACAAGAGTATTCGGGGACCTGCAGTCTATTCACGCACGCAGTTGTTATATTGGCCTCGAAACTTTCTCTTGGAATGATTAAACTTACCAACAGCCGAGGCACAAACAAAGAGTCTAGAACTTTTTCAAGGTGATTCTGCACGATACGTATTTGGATAGTCTCGTGAGCTGGTGATCTTGTAGCACGATGTGGCGTCCAGGTAGCATCTGCCAATATGCGGGGTCAGTTGCTCCCAAGACTTTCACTACAGGTTCCCCAGATCCTCACGTCATGCTGGTTGCGGAGTACTCGAGCTTGGCTGAAGGTCGAATTTTATCATGATTTTGACACTGATGATTCCACCTTTTTCTCATGTTTGTGGCAGATGGAGTATTCGACATTGCAGGCTCGTTCACCCATATATGTACATGTATGCACTGAAGTGTTCTAGACGCTGCCTCTGCACCTTCCAAAAACATCAATTGATGATTATATCTATGTTTCGCTACAACCATATTTCTCCGCGAAGCAGTCTACCCCATACCAAGAAAACACAAGGGCTTGATCTTACGTATAGCGTCTTAGCATTACTGCCTGTGCTGCCTACCAGTCGAGCTCTGCACAAGCAAGTGTCCCGTCGTCATGTCTCCCGAACGCGCGGAATTTGCCCGCCTTGAGATGTTTGCACAGGCCTATAAATAATGAAGATGCCACAATACAGGATTATGGAACATGAACCGTAGCTTTATTGAAATCACTCCCAGTATCCGTGGTAAAAGTCGCCCAGTCTTTTGTATGGAAATCAGTGATATTCAATAAGGGGATCATCCACCGTATGGCTAACCTGAAACCTCAAAATGTGCATCAACTGGATTCTTTCCGTTGATTGTCAGCACATCTTGAGGACAGGCACTCATTACGACCACCACGTCTCTTAATGCCTCCAAAACAACATAGTCCCCCTTCTTCGTAACCGGACCATCGAAACTCAACCCCCTTTTGGCACCACTTCCTTCCTGCGTGATGGGAATGTTCATAAAGAGATTGAACGGATCGGGGACTCGTCCACCCAGATTGGCCTGGAAACCTTTCAATACATCTGCGACCGCTGCTTCCACCGAGTTTGAAAGAGAGAGGAGAGCGTCCCAGCAATTGTCGGTGCATGACTCGTGGTAGCCCTGTACACCCAATTCAGAGTACCGCCATCTATCACAGGCTGCAATCAAGGTATCATGTACGCCTGGGCCTATTAGTAAAACAAAGTCAGCGTTTATCTTTCAAGAAAATTTACTGTACTACATCGAGTCGTGGGAGATAACGTCATATATCGCTGTACTTCCGCCCAAGATATACGTACTGGTATCCTCGACCAACTTCACCATTGGCGCTCGTTTCTGGCTTACCAACGTGTCTCCCAACTCTGGGGTCACTTTACATAGGGTGGCCCTTGTGTGGCACATGCTCATGTATTCAGGTGCTGAGGCCGCTACATTTGCAGTTTCGGAGTACGAGGCCGCTGAATTGCGTGTGGCATTGGGGTAGAGGGGAGCAGAAATATCGTTGGTCGATACTGAGGAGGAGGGCAAAGCAAAGGCCCAGGTATCTACAACTTGGTTTCCATGAGTATTAAGGATTTTGATAGATTGGCCTTTGCGAACAACGGTTGCGGCACCGCGGCGAGCGGGTACTGTTTGAGTGGGGCTGGCCATGCTGAGGATATCAATGCTGTTATTTATATATGCATATAGAAGCAGTGCGGAGTAGACAGATTGGAATGCACCTGGGTAGCCTACCTTCACATCCTCTTATATATAAAAACGTCGTTCGGCTCATCGTGGCATTAATCAACGACACACGAGTTATCTACACCCCACCACTGTGAAGGAGGGGTCAGTCACTAGTGCTATCTTCGCCTGGGCAATCCATCGGAAGATCACAGGTGAACAAAGTTGACTGATAGGCTAATGTCAGGAGAACTCCGGATGTCGCTCATTAAAGACACCATAAGTGCTAACCCTGAATGGCAGTCCATTTATGAGAGACAGCTGTAGTCGAAAAGATAGCAGGGCCTGCGGGTTTCTCCGGTAGGATGGTAATGCGGGTTCGATTTCTTATGAACGCTCAGTTACCTACCTGCCCAGTTCCATGTCAAACAGTCTTATCAGTGGGACAAAGGCGTTTGCAAAAGTGGGATTTTGGATCACCCGCTGATGATATTGATGACTGCACATGGGTGAATAGCAGACCGCGAGCGAGATTGACTTTTTCTTTTCGTAAAAATATCAAATTCAACCCTTTGTGAGGCCTTCCATTATGAAATGCCATTGCCAATACTGCACTGCCAACTATTCGGCATAGGTAAGCAAGCATGCCTCTGTCAAATTCTGCGGTAGTGGCGTTCACTTGAGTCAAAACTAAGACAATTTCGTGAAGAGGCAAACGGATTGCCGACGTTATTCGGATACTAATTGCGAGATGGCGATAGAGATATAAGCAAAGCTGGTGAGAATGAAATTGAAGTAAGAGCACGAACATTTGAAGTTCAAGAAGTCCGGCCTAGACATCTGGAGCTGCTGGGCTTGGCATCACATGACCGGTTATTGAATGTGGAAGGTGGCCCATTGACATTCCCGACCGCCGCATCACAATTATATGCCCGCCAGCTCCTGAAATCCACGACAACCGCATATCTCCCACCAGTGATCGTCATGGCTCTCGCTACCAAGACGCAGTCGCAAAATATATTTGCGAAATTGAAATCGAAGGCTGCAAACAAGGTACGATGCTGAGGGGACCAAGAGAAGGGGGAGGGGCATGGCTAACCAGAGGCACAGATATGTTTTGACTGCGGCGCAAAGAACCCAACATGGAGCTCTGTCCCTTTCGGCATCTACCTTTGCCTGGACTGTTCTTCGAATCACAGAAACATGGGTGTACATATCTCGTTTGTACGGTCCACGAACCTTGATAGTATGTCGCCAGCCTCCAGCATGGACCATGTGGCCGAGTCTTGAGAATATGACTGATGCGCAATAGTATGGCAATGGGACCAACTTCGCATCATGAAAGTCGGCGGTAACGAAAGCGCTACGAAGTACTTCCAATCACACGGTGGTTCAGCTGCGCTCGCTAGCAAGGACCATAAAGCGAAATACACAAGCAACGCTGCTACAAAGTACAAAGAGGAGTTGGCAAGGCGATCTACCATAGATGCTAGGCAGTATGTCATCATGCAACTGCTGTGACTTCTGGGACTGACGAGCCTTGTCTAGATACCCCGATGAGGTTGTCATAACCGACGCAGCAGAAGCAACTGGGAGCGATGGAACAAACACACCTGCTGCTGATGAAGATGACTTCTTTTCCTCCTGGGACAAGCCTACGATCAAGCGGCCCTCCAACCCGCCATCCCGTACCGGTACCCCCCGAGCGCAATCACCCTTCCTCAAGCCTGGCGCGAATGGCGATGGCGCTACGCGACCTAAATCACCACTTGCAGGAACCTCTGAGCCTACGACCCCTGCCGCTATCCCTTCCGCTAAACCTGCTGCTGCCCGCAAGACCACTGCTGGCGCCGCACCGAAGAAGAACATTCTTGGAGCGAAGAAGAAGGGGTTGGGCGCAAAGAAGGTAGTCGCTACAGACGGGCTAGACTTTGAGGAAGCCGAACGCAAAGCCCGGGAAGAAGCTGAGCGTATTGAGAAACTTGGGTACGACCCTGATGCGGAAGTCAATGAAGTGACACCTGCCGCGAAGGCCAAAGCCCCCGAGGCGTCTAACATCATCGCACCTACACCAGTTGCACCACGTAGCGGTGGCTTTGGTTCCACTGCCAAACCGGAGAAATCAAGCCAAGATATGGAGAGACTGGGTATGGGCGTTGGACGCTTAGGCTTTGGCCAGGTTGCTGGTGGTGGTGGTGCTGCTGCAAAGGCCGCACCGAAGAAGATGGGCGGTTTCGGTAGTGTTGGTAAGCCGGCCGAACAGGACGACCAGAAATTCGCGAGGGAAAAATTTGGTACACAAAAAGGTATCTCAAGTGACGAATTCTTCGGGCGGAATGCATATGATCCTGCAGCGTCATCGGCAGCAAAGGAGCGGTTGCAAGGTAAGGCTCTACACTAAATCGTGGATTGAGGGTGGAAAATGTGCTAATCATAGAACTAGGCTTTGAGGGTGCTTCTGCCATATCATCCAACGCTTACTTTGGACGTCCTGAAGATGAGGGCCCAGAGGACGACTATGGTGATCTGGAATCTGCCGCCAAAGATTTTGTTCGCAAATTTGGCATCACCGCCAGTGATGATCTTGAAAACCTCTCTAGCTTGTTGGGCGAAGGCGCCACGAGACTCCAAGGCGCTGTACGGAATTATCTGAACTCTTAGAGGGAGGAAAACCACAAACCGTGACGCGGTCACTGAGTTCTTGCTCTTGCTGTTATTATCTGTGGAGCCCGGCGTGCGACATTCTTAGAAAGCGTTGAATATTGTTGGAATGAAGTTAAAGGAGGCCTTTTCAGGACATCAGGGGCATCGAAATATGAACCACGACCAAAAGAGACGAACAGGATATGCAGATTGTGGTGTATGGTGCACTCGTGCTTTTGCTTTCCCCTACTATTACGAAATATAGACACTCAAAACCTCCAACTGGTCTTCTCCATATGAAACACCGTTTCACAGCAGCGTTTATATGCTCTCCTCCCTCATCCTTCTATCTTGGTAAACGCGTGCAGGTCGAAGCTAGGATGGCCAGTAGCAGAAAAGATAGTTCACTCCATCCCACTCGGAGGACATCATAGATCGAACTCTAGTCTATTCGGCCCAGCCAACTCCTGCGAAACCAAAAACGTAAAAACTAACAAGCCAGCCTTCAAAGCCGTCTTCAGTGCCCAGGCCGTCCACTCCCCCGCAGTGATCCTCGCTCCCCACAACCTGCTTTCTCCTTTATACGCGAAATCCCCCGCGCCGTTGAGCCAGTCCTCCGCTCCTCCATGGACATGAAGCATTATGGCAGCGGCGAGGTACCAGCAAAAGAGATGCAAAAAGGAAGCGAGCGGTATGCAAACGAAGACCCAGAGCAGGAAAACGTGCGAACGGAGGAGGAAGGACACACCCAAGATGTTGATAGTTATGTCTTGGATGATGAGGATGTAAGTTGCGAGCTATTTTCGAGATAGGATCAAAGTAATGACAGTTAGCAAGGGTCAGCATTTGGAGTTTATGGCAAGTTTCCAGACGGATCGACTGACCATGATGGTTTGCCATATCTGAAGATAGATGTGGTCTTTGTACCATGCGTACGTGGCGAAGGACTGGTAAGGGTAGCGTGGAAGTCGAGGGAGTATGGAGGGGTGTTTGGGTATTGAGAAGGATATAGATGTCTGTCGAGTCGCTGGTGATATTGGTATTGTTAGGTCTGGGTTGACTGAGGGGGGTTTGGGTGGACTTGGAGACGGATGCGAACGATTCCGGTCATTGGAAGTGGAACCATGGGACTGACTGGAGTCGACACGGACAGTGGACAACCCAGTCGTAGATGTGTTCGTTGTCGATTTACTCGAGATTGGAACAGTCCCTTGTGGGATGGTACGAGGTGCCTGTTGCGCTTTTGCATCATTGTCTAAGTAAGATTGCACCATAGACATGATGGGAAGCAGTAACAGAATGATGGGTAGAGTCTGTCCGAATGACCAAGTATCTTCTGCGATCAGCCTATCATGGAATGTGACGGTATTAGCAGTGGAAATGTCGAAATTGATCTGAACCAGTAAACGTGTCCGCCAGAGTTTGATGCTCCCCCAAGCAATTGCGCCTGCGAGCCATAATATCTCCCCAAGCATAGATTGCGCCACATCTACTATTGCGCTGACGTTGCAAAGAATTGCGTAGAATGCCAGGTAAGGTATCATCCAAGGAGCCGCTCGTAAGCCTGATTGATTGGCTTTCCTCTCGAGGACATACAGAACACGCCTATAGCATCTCCCTATACCTGCCTGCAAGCACTTCTGGCTAAGGGTGGCTGGAGGGTCGAAAAGCCTCATGCCACAGCGGACATATGACAAACCGACTACCAACACGGAAACCACCATCGACCAGATGCGAGGACCTCTTTGAGCAAAAGAAGAGGAAACCAATTGCTTATAGTAGCATTGAGCACTCAAGCTAGGGTAGAAGTCGCCCGCTTGTCCGTATACATCTAGCCAATTTTTGCTGCCTGTAGGGAGCAGTGCAGCAATTTGGAGTCCCGCAAGAGCACACATGAGGAATACGCGTATCATGCGCAGAGTTCTATTTGCGCGGAGGTAGCTCTCGAGAAATGCTACGGCGGCAAGGAAGGTGAATGACGAAAACCAAGCAATGTATACGATGATCTGCCAGTGGTATGCTGAGATACCGCAGGTCAACTGGGAGAAGCCGGCAATAAGAATCGCCAGCCCAGTAACGAGCTGGGTGTCGCTGAGAAGTAGCACCGACTTCTCCATGGCATATTCAAATCGTCGCGTAGGCTTCCATGATATTATATATCTCCGAGCGAAATCAGTCGTGACCTGATCGACGGGGTTGGTATTCTCTCGGGCATCACCGTTGAGGTGACAGGGATCGTATACTGTGATGTAATGGAATATCAAGAGGGCGACAGTGATGTAGGCGGTAATGGAGAACCCTAAGATAACCTGATGCAATGTAAGACTACCTTCCAAACAGCTGACAATGCACTAGAGGAGTTCGGAATGTTGTAAAAGGGCATCATTCGAACAGATGATAGGACACCGTTGGGTATCTAGAAAATTTGATTGGTGATGAAAGCAGCGGATTTTGAGGGTCTTTCAAAATAGAGAGAGTGCTTAGGCAATGATGAAAAAAATATACAAAAACCACGGAGATGAATACATACGCCAATGCCAGATAATTCAGGGTTTGCTGTCAGTTGTGGTGGGTCTATTCCAGTAAGTCGAGGTAAGGCAAGCCAGCCGCAATTCGGCTTGTGACAGTGTAGTCGTTCGTTGTCAGTATTCATAGTGATGCCCGCGGACAGTGTGCAACAATGCGAGGATGAACCGGGAGGAAATAAAGACTCAGTGTCGTGCTCCTCGAGATTCGTATACACTCCGAGCCACCGAAGCTAGTTATGATGGAGCGTTGAAAGGAAAATAGAGAAGAGACGAAAAGTCGAAGCTAGATGGAGATTACCTATCAAAAACGAGTGAATTCCTATGGAGTGACGGTGGAACTACTGGATGGGTTCCCTTTACTCCTACCCTATGCAGCTCGCCATAACAAAGAATGTGTGCCATGGACGGAGGCTGTTTGCAGGAGGCGGGGTAAATGATACAACGAAGCATGTCAACGAAGACTGCGGCGTATATCAACTGCCATCGATATATATAAAAGCTGTATTGAATGCAAGCCGATATGGACATTTTGATCTTGATAAGTACCGAAGTGCTTGGTATAACAGGGGTATACCTTTCTGGTGGACGTTGAGTATTAATATCGTAGGACCACAATCCATTTACTTGAAAACGGTATGAATCACAGAGCAGGGCAAAGTTCTGGGCGAGACTGACGATGTTGGACAGTTCGGTGCATTTGGCAATGAAGGGTGGATGGAGTTGTCGAGTAGCGGTGGTAAATAGTGTTGACCTAGCGAGTTGAGAGAAAAGCTAGCGCTGGAAGTGGCGACTAGCTGGGCCTAGCGGCTCGGCAACAAATGAACCCTGTAGAGAAAATATTCAAAGAATGCTCTATCGATACGGAAACCTCGCGACCCCCACCGAACTTTTCAGCAACAACAAACACCTCTGGAAAGCCAGCCGTCACAATGTCCAAAACAACCTGGAAGGATATTCCCGTGGTCCCGACGTCGCAGGAATTCCTCGACATTGTCCTGTCCCGCACGTACGTACCGACTGATTCTCTCGCAACGGGCGTAACGTCGAGCGAGTCTGGCGCATTTTTTCTGCTCCAGTTTCACGGACAGCTTGTTGGATTTTTACGATGCTGACAACCCCAACAGACAGCGCAGGCTTCCTACGCAGATTCGTGCCGGCTTTAAGATCAGTCGTATTCGGGCTTTCTACACGCGAAAAGTCAAATACACTGCCGAGACCTTCACGGAGCGCATTTCCGCCACCATCAACGGTTTCCCCCGTCTCCAAGATATCCACCCGTTCCACCGCGATCTTTTGAACACTCTCTACGATGCCGATCATTTCAGGATAGCTCTGGGTCAACTGAACACGGCGAAGTCGCTGATCGAAGCCGTGTCGCGAGACTATGTGCGCTTGATCAAGTATGGACAGTCTCTGTTTCAATGCAAACAGCTCAAGCGCGCAGCCTTGGGTCGCATGGCCACAATTTGCAAGCGTCTAAAAGATCCCCTTGTTTACTTGGAGCAAGTTCGACAGCATTTGGGCCGTCTACCCGCCATTGACCCCAACACCCGTACCTTGGTCATTTGCGGCTACCCCAATGTCGGAAAATCCTCCTTCTTGAAGAGCATCTCAAGGGCCGATGTTGATGTCCAGCCCTACGCTTTCACAACCAAAAGTTTGTTCGTAGGCCACTTCGACTACAAGATGTTACGCTTCCAGGCTATCGATACCCCCGGTATCTTGGATCACCCGCTCGAGGAAATGAACACCATTGAACATCAGAGTATTTGTGCTATTGCTCATCTCCGCGCTGCTATCATGTATTTCATGGATCTTTCCGAGCAGTGTGGATACTCTGTGTCTGCCCAGATCTCTCTTTTCAACTCTATGTGAGTTCCCCAGTATCTGCTCTCCAAACTCTCACTAACATGACCAAAGTAAACCCCTTTTCGCGAACAAGTTAGTATTCATCGTGATCAACAAGATCGATCTTACGAGACCCGAGGATCTCGAGCCCGAACTCCAAGAACAGCTCAATGGAATACTCAAGACTGGTGAAGTAGAGCTTCTCCAGCTTTCTTGCACAACGACCGAGGGCGTAATGGGCGTTCGTAACTCTGCTTGTGACCGATTACTTGCAGCCCGTAACGCCGAGAAGCTGAAGGCCGGCACAAACAGCTCAGGCGAGCCCACTGGCCGTCTCGGCGATCTTCTCCGGAGAATTCATGTTGCTCAACCTATGGGCGGTGTCACGCGTGAGACCTCTATTCCTGAGGCTGCTCTAAACAGGAAGAAGTACGACCCCAACGACCCAGACCGACCTAGGTTGGAGCGTGACATTCAGGAAGAAGAGGGAGGCGCAGGTGTCTACAACTTCAACATGCGCAAGAATTACATCTTGGAGAACGATGAGTGGAAGGAGGACCGCATCCCCGAGGTTTTTGACGGCAAGAACGTGTATGACTTTGTTGACCCAGATATTGAAGCCAAGCTTGCCGCTTTAGAGGAGGAAGAAGAGAAGCTTGAGGCCGATGGCTTCTACGAGTCCGAGTCGGACATTGAGGACGACGAAGAAGCCGAAATTCGCTACAAGGCTGAACTCATCCGCGAGAAGAGGCAGCTCATCCGCAATGAGGCCAAGATGCGCAAGAGCCTGAAGAATCGCGCGCAGATCCCCCGATCCGCCAAAGCGCAAAAACTCTCCAAGATGGAGTCTCATCTCGAGAGCCTCGGATACGACACTACCAAGGTTGCCGATCGTGCGCGCAGCCAGAGCCGTGGTCGCAGCGTTTTGCGCGAACGCTCGGATGGCTTGGGTGGTGGCGATGCGATGGAGATTGACACGCCCAAGGCCAACCTCGAGCGGGCGAAGAGCCGCGGAAGGGAGCCAAGCACGAACAGGAGGACGGATGGTGTTACTGACGACATGACCCGCAGCAACGCTGAGAGGCTGGCTAAGCTGTCACAGAAGAAGATGAACAGGATGGCCCGACAGGGTGAGGCTGATAGGCATCAAACCGGATCCCTCATCAAGCACTTGGTGAGTTTTAACATGTACCATTGTCACGTATGCGTTCAAGAAACTAACATGTGCAGGTTGCTGGAAAGCGTGGCATGGGCAAGACGCAAAGGCGCTAGTTGTCGCTGTCGTTGTCGTCGTAGCAAAAGCAAAATATTTAGCATGTTTGGCGTCTTTGGCGTTCAAGGATTGGTCGATACCATCTTTCACATAATGCTAGTGGAGATATGGTCTATACTACTACTCGAGAAGGTGGTGCTAGCACCCAGAATTTCCGCCTGGTTTACCTCAAATCTGGTCGTAAATGCCCATAGCTTTTTTTAGATGGATTGAATATTGTTATTACATTTTTGGGTCGAGTGATTTTTAATCGATCGTACTGTACATGCACTACAATGCCGCCAGATGATGCTAGCTACCCAAAGCCCAATAATGAAACGCCTTCTAGTCGAAAGAACAAATAACATCGGAGGTCCGGCGGTATCGAACAGGTCTTCTATCGTACAATGTGTAGCCGTGACTACCGTGAAGAGTGGTGAGCTAGAAGGGATAAAGAACTAATTCGGCAACTTTCAGTCGTAGTTAGAGAATGAGGAAGCCGGTTCGCGCTGTGTGTGAATCAACAGTGGCTGTGGCAGAGGAAAAAAAATGTGGGGTTCGTTTAGTCGTCGCTTTCAAAGTACACCTGTCGGAAGACCTGTTGTTTTGTTAGCGGATTGACCTATAGATCACGTCCGAATAGAGGGAAGCGACATACAGCCCATGTGCCTGCTACACCGGCAACGATTCCTGAACTGATAGCCATTGGCCGAAGGCCCCTCGTACTTTTGAAGATAGCGCCACTTGCCGCACCGGCCAGAACAGAGTTCGTTACATCATGCTTTCCTCTGTAGTAGCCGATTGTGCTGTTGATGCCGTTGTATACCATGGCGACCACACCGGCACTGTTCCCCAAAAACGGACCTCGCCTCGTAATGGCGTTAAGAACGCCGTTCAATCGTAGCCTCGGTGGCATCGTAGCTGGGTTCTTCTGAAGTCCCTCCGCAAGACCCCAAGCTCCTCCTACCGTGAGCGCAGTAAGATATGAAGTTCCCGTGCCATAGCAAAGATCGTCCGACCACCCACGAGATGGAAGTGCGGATTGAGACCCCGGGAGGTCAGAGAGAGCACTGTCTTCGAGGTACAAGTAATCGATGGTATCTTGGTTGATTCCAGCCGCGGGATGTAGTTGTGTTGGATCGAGAACGAAATCTGAAGGGTTTTGTATGGCGGTATTGGGATCGAAGGGGGCGGGTGCCGCGAAGTTATCGTGCGGTTCCGGCGCAGGCGCGGACTGTGTGGTGGATGATTTCCGACCTGTGAGTGTATCCCAGCTGTTCTTGTGTTAGAACAATGACTACAATCGAATATCCGGGGCCGACTTTTAACGCACATGGTCATGTTGAAGAGGAGGATAGAGTGTCGAGGAAGGAAGAAAAGGTGATGGCCTGCGGAACCTTCAAAATCTGGAAAGCCGTTTAAAAACGCCCAGATCACCCAATGCAAGAGTATTAAGAAGTTTGAAGGGGAGGTGAGACGAAAATTAGATGCGCTGCTGATGGCGACTGGTTGCCGGGCGGGTCGAGGTTGGCGTGGACAATTGACGGTAGCATAGGCAGAGAGAGGCGCGCAGAAAGTTTTGGCCAGGGAGGTGACGAACCAGAGCACGGGCCATCTTTTTGCTCCCACGTTCCGAGTTCGGAAAAGGCGAACTTTTTCTCTCTCCACGAACTGTTGCTGTACAATCAAATCAATCCTCGAAGATTGAAAGACGAGACGCGAAGCATAAAAGGCGTGAGAGACAGACACCATGGCACTCCCCGAATACAAGCAAAACTTTCTCAAGGACTGTGTGTCCGCTGGCGCATTGAAATTCGGCACCTTCACACTCAAATCCAAGCGCATCTCACCCTACTTCTTCAATGCTGGTCTCTTCCACCGCGCTGACCTGATCCGATCGATATCGTCTGCCTATGCACACACACTCCACTCGCACTCCGAGTCCGACTCTTCCTTCCAGTTCGACGTACTCTTCGGCCCCGCATACAAAGGCATCCCCCTTGCCGCTACCTCGGTCGACAAGCTTGCCGACCTTGATCTGCAGAAGTACGGACAGAAGAGCTACAGCTTCAACCGAAAGGAGGCCAAGGATCATGGTGAAGGAGGCAACATTGTGGGCGCATCACTCAAGGGAAAGAAGATTGTTATTGTCGACGATGTGATCACTGCAGGCACCGCCATTCGTGAGGCCATTGAGATTATCAAGAAGGAGGGAGGAGAGCTGGTTGGCATCGTTGTAGCATTTGATCGACTGGAGAAGACGCCCAGTGCGACTGATGATGATGGCACACCGAGGCCAAGTGCCATCGGCGAAGTCAGGAAGCAGTATGGAATCCCGGTGCTCGCCATCTTGACGCTGGACGATGTTGTCGAGTACTTGCGGGGATTGGGCAGTGAAGATGATCTGAAGCGACTGGACGAATATAGAGCAAAATACAAAGCCAGTGACTAAACGGATCATGGGAGGATAAACACCAAAAAGAAAAGTTATGAATTTTACGAGACAGGAAGACTATTTCTGATGACTGGTATCTCGGGCTGCAGGGCAAATGTCCAGCCAGGAGCTGATTACCCAGTGGAATAGGGCGCTGGCTGGATCATCCATCTACATATGTAGCACCTAACAAATACGTAGGTACTGAGATATGGTTAGCAATTTGAGACGCCGTCCATCGAACCATATGTAATGTACGGTCAGCTCGTATATATGATAAAGTTAGATGCATGGTGCTCGAGATCAGGTGGCCATGTCTCGAACCGTACATGTCGCATAACCTAGTTCGTATACTAGGACTTGTCTCGGAACCTCTGTAGTGCAAACGGAACCGCTGTTACACAGGCAGTACAGACGCATCAAGATCCACATGTGTACCCCATCAAGACGTCTGTGCATCGAGCCCGTCCTCGTTCATAGTAATGATTTCTCTTTCCCGACGGAGCTTCTGAAAAGAGGATGGGGGTGCTATTCGTAACTTGCCCCAATGAGGAAACACGAAAGAGGTGTCCAGAGCGCCATTCCCGCCGGCAATTGAGGCCCTAGAATGGGCAATGTACAATTCCCAAACGACGTGTGAGTGGGCAATGTAGAACACGTTTCGGCACCTTCACCCACGCGTGCAGCCGATTTTCATCTACTTCCTCCACTTTTTCCTCGTATTATCCAATGTCAGCTTCCAAATGCGACCAGGGCTCAATTGATCCGCATGCGCTCCTTGGCAAAGGAAGCTCTCAGTTTAGTAGTCCACTCCGTCGACCATGTTATGTGTCAAAGTGTCCTCCTTCCACTCGTTCACTATGATTCCTTTCTAGACACCCCCATCGGTTCTCGCCCTAGGTGTCTGACGTTCATTTCGCTAAGAGTCGTTGAGGCACGGAACCGTACTTGCCTCGATACCGCTACTGTTTCTGCGCCTTCCACTTGCGCAGACTCTCCTTTGCAATCCATCTTCTCATACACACCTTTAATCGTTCGCGATGCGTCCTCGAATCAAACTACCGCGGAACGTACCGCATCAGAACATGACCCCCCGGCGGAAACGGAACCTCACCTACGCTTTCATCGCAGCAGCCATCTTCGGCCTCTACTACCTATGGAGTAGCCCAATCGATCCATACAATGTACCATTCCATCGTCACGTACTGTGGATGAACGACCGAGCGAACGCAAACTCGTATACCTCGAAAGCATCCTACGATTGGCGGAAAGCTCCGTTCCAACATAAAGTCAAGCAGTATATGCCCATGCCAAAGGGACTGCCAAAATCGTTTCCCGCCGTGCAACACAAATTCACATCTGAGCCATCGTCGCTTACAAACAAACGTGAGATGCGACGTATGGCGGTTCGGGACGAATTCGTACGCAGTTGGAAAAGCTACAAACAGTACGCATGGGGCAAAGACGAGCTCTCCCCCGTTGATGGCAGAGCGGCAGACTCATTCGGTGGTTGGGGAGCAACATTGGTGGACTCGCTCGACAGCCTTTGGATCCTCGGCCTCAAAGACGATTTCTACAAAGCCGTGGAGGAAGTTGCGGCGATTGATTTCGGCAAGACTGATTCGACCACCATCAGCGTGTTCGAGACTACAATACGATACCTGGGTGGCTTTCTGAGCGCATATGATCTCAGTAACGAGAAGGTATTGCTAGAGAAGGCGATACAATTGGGCGAGATGCTTTATCGCGCATTCGATACACCTAATAATATGCCGCTGGATCGCCTGCTCGTCGAACCAGCAAAGGATCCAAACGCAGCGCCCAACGCTGCATCAGTCAATATCTGTTTCGCGGCCTTTGCGTCACTGACAATGGAGTTTACTAAACTCGCTCAGATTACTCAGGAGCCTAAATACTACGATGCCGTTGCTCGTGTTACCGCTATTCTGGATCGCACACAGAATACGACGAGAATTCCGGGCCTCTTCCCCATCTCCATAGATGCAGTCAACGAAGATGTGAGCTTTGGTTCGCAGTTTACGGTCGGCGCCTTGGCGGACTCTTCGTATGAATACTTTCCTAAAATGCACGCTCTTTTAGGGGGTCTGGAGCCTGCATACGAGAACCTCTGGAAGTCATCGGCAAGCATGATTGACAAGCACATGCTTTTCCGCCCATTGCTTCCCGATAGCAAACGTGGAAGCGAACTACTTTTTTGCGGCGATGTTAGTGTCAACGATGAAAAAATCAGCCTACAACCCGAAATGCAGCATTTGACATGCTTTATTGGGGGGATGTATGGACTGGCTGGACGCCTCTTCTCTAATGAGCATCACCTCGACCTCGGCGCTAAATTGACGGAGGGATGCATTTATGCGTACAAGAGCATGCCCAGTGGTATCATGCCCGAAATTTTTAATATTGCTGCTTGCGACGATCGACACACGTGTCCCTGGAACGAGACTGCTTGGGAGGAGGGTGTCCGCCGGTACAGCTATACAAGGACTGAAGCAGATCTGAAAAAATTTGTCGCCGATGAAAAGCTGCCACAAGGCTTTACATATATTCGTGACAAGAGATATCTGCTGAGACCGGAAGCCATTGAATCAGTGTTTATCATGTATCGCATAACCGGATACGAAGAATATCTCGACCACGCGTGGGACATGTTCACGTCAATCGTAGAAACTACGAGGACCTCATTTGGTAATGGGCAAGTTTTCAATGTCATGAAAAATCCGCCCGCCATGCCAGAAAATAAGATGGAGTCGTTCTGGCTGGCGGAAACGCTGAAGTACTTTTATCTTATCTTCAGTCCACCGGACATGATCAGTCTGGATGAATGGGTATTCAACACCGAAGCACATCCATTTCGAAGACCAGGGTTGTACAAAACAAAAGGATGAGAGGGACTGGAGATTATCTCGAATGTTGTGGGGATCGGTGGAAGGTGGAAAATGCGCGCTATCGTTTAAGTGATACCCATCAAGAGCAACGGAAAGCTTCTTGGTTCTGCAGTTTGATATTCTTGGTTATCGGCTGGCTGATTCTACAAGGCATGGTAAAGGCGTTTTGATATTTTATAGATTCAATGGAACGGTTCCGCATCTTACATGCATATCTTACAAGCGACAACTTGACTCGGGGAGTGTGGCGATGCACCGCCACAACAATGACGTTTCAATACCAGGGCCTGTCGAATCATTCAGTGCATTTACCTTACCGGGACAATAATTGATATCACGAGGTGTAGTGCTTAGTGTAGATTAGGCCGCTCCGTCGACTCGTACTCACAGACCTTCATACACGTAATTCTCCACCAAGCCCCAGGCAGCAGCATTCACACATATGCTGCCAACGTACGTGCAGTAGCTGATCCTTTTACAAGTACCCTGGAATTTTGCCAACTTTCGAGACTCAGTTAGCTAGCCCACCATACTTTATCATTCGACGCTACCCAGCACTCCTCACTTCGAATTCCCCGAGCGATTCGCCGCTTGAAAGTCATGGATATTCCGCGTGGCCATGCGATGCTTCCGCTTAATGAGGCGGATTTTCTGGACTTCATATACAACTACTACAAAGCTGAATATGCACCCATCCGATCCTTGTGGTCAACAGCGACAGCTGTTCCAAATTCGCCGCAGCGTTGGCAAAGAATGGGCAACGAACTTTTCCCACTCAGCTTCCGACCTGCAAACGCTCAAGCACAGAAGGACCTGGACAGCCTCGATTATTTTATCAGAAAATGGAACCTAGACGCAACGTTTGTCCGAGGTATCGTGATTCGATATGCCAAATATGAAGAACACGAAAGGCTAGAAAAGAAATTGTACGAATGCAACAGAGTAGATCTGATGGTACGCAAGGCGCTCAAGGAAAAGCATCTGATCGATAGGCTGTGGCCCTCGCCCGCACCCAGAAATATACCGCAAGATTTATTACAGCAAGGCGTTCAGGTCAGGCGATGGTATGGTGATATGTTCGGGAAGTACTTCAAGAGTCTACGCTCTGTGGACGATTTCGCCCTTAGACCCGAGGTGGATAGCAAGATCAAATCCGCCACCACATTAATGCTGGTTCCATACGCCGACCATCTGGTGTTTGGCACCGTGGATCCAATCATGCCGATCGTAGCTAAGGGCGGCGGTTACTCAACAACTGGGGGAAGCAACCAGATAAATCGACAAGCAAAACCGGTTTCGTTTGGAGAACCAGCAAGGATAGAGATGCGTTTTGATGCGCCAGCAGAGGTCACTGAAACCTATGTGAAGAATGTCGTTAGGCAGTGCCAGTGCTTGAAGTGTGGCACGCAACGGGACGTGCATTTGAATATTTTGGTCGATCCAAACCCTGGACCTCATGCTCCTTCAGAAGCGCGGCAGCGGCGTCTCAATACAGCTTCGGATAATTCACGACAGCAGAAATATCGCCCTGGATACAATATGCCGGGTGGTCAAGGTTCTACAACTCGCCCACCACTGCCGGAGCGAGCTTTTCCTCGTGCAGAATCTCCAAGCGCGCCCGAAGTAACTGGAGCGTCACCGCCCGCTCTAAGGAAGCAGTGTTTGCGCTGTACCTTTCTCAATCATCCCGACCTTAAAGCATGTGAAATGTGCCAGGGCGAACTGCCAGACGCACTTGTCACTGAACCCAGAAAACCTAGTCCACCTCCACCCAAAACAGGCCCTTCACATAAACACTCTGTATCAGTACCTTCGGCTAGAATGGAACAGCCGAAGGAAGGGTTACGGCCAGCACTGCCTAATCGACAGAGCCTTGGGTCAACTTTGTTCTCCATCTTTCCCTTTTCACAGCAGCACCAAAATGAACACCACGTCAACTTACCACCCACACAGCCATCAGTCCCTACGCTAGAAACCAAAAAGCCTGATGCTTCTGCACAAGCACACAGCAAGGATAAGCAGAGCTCCCACGCTCGATCTGAGTCTGATTCCGAGTCACGGCCTACTCTTCCGACCAGAAAACCAACCACACCGCCACCTGGGTCCTCCTCGTCCTCCTCCGCCACGCGAGATCCGGTTGACCACACGGTTAATACACGTTCTCTTACGGCACAACCTGAGATGGCTATGTTGCCAATAACGCCACCTCCAGCGTCTTCATCTTCTACAGAACCCCGACCTATGCCAGTCGGCTTGCCGCAGAATTTGATGGATGATTACGTACCGGTATCGACTTCACCATTTATGAGAGAGCAGGAGGAAGAGGATGCAGGGTGGGGAGAGATGAGCAGAGAGGAGGCGAAGAAGGTTGGCGATAGCGATGATGATGATGATGATGATGCCGAGGGCGTCAATGGGCGGAGGAGCGGCGAAGTTATGGTGGATTTAGATGCTGTTGCTAGAGAGGAGATGGGGGTATGGGGGGACAATTGAGACGTATAGTAGCTATGGTAGCAAGCGGATGCCTTGATGCCTTATGAACCATGGTTAAGGGTGGTTAAATATATAGCTAGCGTTTCTAATATTTCAGTATACATATGTATCGAACTTATCAGCGCATCATAGATAGCAGGTCCACAGCTGTGTGTGAATAACTATCGATGGAACACTATACAGCAACAAACAGTATAGCAAGACACGTCATGTTCTGATTGTAAACAGGCAGAAGTTGACCTTGCATGCATCATACCTAGGAAGAAGGAATCGCTTAGATGAATCATGTCTGGCGTTTGTTCACACAAGTCAGCAAAATACGGACAAGTAAAAAAAGAAAGAAAAAAAAGGCATCGCACATCATGTAGTGCGCCTACTGCTGGCTGATGAAGGCGGTGATTCATGACTGCATGTCTGATGGGAATGAGTGGCTGAGAGTTCTTCTCCATGTTGCCGTGTTGAAAGCGGCGGCCTCCCAGCCTACCCAAGACCGGAAAGGATACATAGATTAACGCTCTCCGGCTGTTTGTACCAGGTTTGACTTGATGGAGTTCACCCTGTATGTTATCAGCCCCCCGCTGGTTGCCTTGCTCTGAGTCCTGGGTACATATGTAACGTTAAGTGCGGCGGCGCAATAGGTGAGACTCGAAGGTATATATGTGCGTTGGGATCCAGGTCAGGGAGTTTCTTCTCTGTTGCGCATTGTGATCATTTTTTTGGTTGTTATCTGCACGTGGATGCTTTATCTCTCATCCTTGAATCTCTCGTCGACACGGTATCGCGCATACACGTGATTGCAGGAAACAAGAAGACCTCTGCCTGCACATTCTGCGTTGCGCAGCTTTGGAAAGCAATTTTTCCGGACGAACGAAACTGCTTCTGATACCCAGGTCCAGATTTCAGCAGAAATGAGACCAAATGTTGACGGTGGAGAGGTCGTCACTGTCACGAGATCGTGGACCCTTCCTCATCGGGTGCCCCTCATTCGTTCCTTCCTCAGCGATGGATTGGCGCCCCTTGAGAAAGCGCATCCCGAGCTCCTTCCTGCCTGACACCAACTGTTCATCAGCCTTCATTATGGCCATGCATCCAAGATACATCCCCTCCTTTGATCACCATCTACTGACTGCCAGACTGACTGACTAGAATCATACATGCTCACAGAGCCGCAATCATTATTCAGACGAAGAAGGTGCCGCACAGCCACAGTAGCTGCTGCCTCTATGCGGCCGCCCACACGTTCAAGGTATACGCAGTCGCGCAACTTCCGCCTTACCCCATACTTTCCAAGAATTATTGCTCTTGTTGATCCATCTCAACTGCTCTCTCCCTGGAAACTGAGCCCGCTCACTCCTCACTGCTTTTTGCATCCTCCCTGTTCCACGCCCAACTACATACCTACTCTCCCGACCCCACTTCCCATCGCTACCAGGCATCACTGTACTCCTGGAGCATGTACACACTGCTGCTCGCTGCGTTACTACTCGCCCTCCTCTTTGAAACGGCAGCAGCGACGAGTCCCGTTGTAGACTCGACTCTGTCTGCAGCGCCAATCATTATGGAGTCATCCTATCCTGATCCAGATGGTATACTAACTGCCGTGTGTGCCATGTGTGGCTCCATCGAGCTCTGCCCTTGTAGATTACTGGTAGGCAGCAACCCGGAACAAGAAGACCATAGCCACTGACTTTCTCCAGGCGGATCCATATCCATTTGAGCCCACCTTCACGCCCGATACATCCTTCTACGATCCTGCTGATTGGCTGTCGCAACCACACCCGTTCGTTATCGACGAACCGGCTACAGGTCCCTCGTCTCTGGGCGGCTTTCCTACCGCCAATATCGCACAGCCGCTCCAGTACATCGCCCTCGAGCAGTTACATGAAGACGCTACAACTGTCACAACCGGCACTGTGCAGTCTCATATAGAGGATACATACCTTCCTGGCGATCGGTTACAGGAGAGATCGCGAGGGCCACGGCGGCCTCTAGGCAGGCGGCAACCACCGCGGCAAAACGGCTTCCCATGCTCATCCGATGGGTGCTTGAGGCTGTTCCACCGCGCTTGTGATGTCAAGTGAGCCTCTTGGTTTCTCCAGTCTTTCAGTGACTCTCGTGCTGCTCTTGTGCTAATCTCTAACCAGACGTCACGAGAAAACACACCTGAACCGCTCAGAGAGACCACACAAATGCTCCCTCTGCCGGGAGGCATTCCTCTACCCTAAAGATCTTACCCGGCACCAAAACAAGCATGCCCCAACACAGGGCACGCTCTATTGCGATGTTCCTGGATGTACGTCCGATGGCTTTTCGAGGCGCGACAACTTGCTTCGCCACCAAAGGAGACAGCACCCATCGTCTGTGGCTAGCTCCTAACGTTGCAACGGACGCTGCTTGTTGCTCCCTTTGGCACCTCTTTATGTCGATGGCAAATTCTGCTCGATTTCTTTGCTGATTGGTTTAACCCCGTACTGTTCTCGCCTTCTCTAGGTCTGGATTTCATTACGACTTCGACTGGATATTACACTTTCTGTCTGGCCCTGGCGTTATTTTCTGGTTTGTTTCTTTACCCCGCGAGCGTCCTGAGCAGGACTCGCCCCACGCGCTCGCTTGACGCGTGATGATTTTCTTCGTTATAATACCCCATTTGATTTTACAGCGCTCGGTGGCGTTGTCGGTTTGTTACGTGGTTGTTATATATTTCTCATGATCGCATAGGTGAACGGTTCTACCAGGGTTGGCTCTCCTTCGTCGATTTGCCAAAAGCATTTTCATTCCTCATACAGATTGTTGGTCTCGCGGACACGTAGAGTCTGTGCTCGTACACATATTCTTTTCTAGCTATCTCATTAGCTCGGTCACTGGGCGCCGGTTGTTCGTACTAGAAGCATTATTATAAATGCAAACTGCTTTAACCGTTGCATGTTGTGAATTATATCGCTCGCATACAACTGTCAACATCTGTCACCATCCAGCGCAAACAGTATGACATTCGCGTGTTGTGCACACGGATACCAGCACCGTACCGTTCTATTCATTGCACAGCTTGGTTCAGACACCCCAGGTACACTGATACGGATCTTTCCATTCAATGACTAGCCTTCGTAAAACTTAAGAATCGTCGTACGCGAAGTCGAAGAGTGAAGCCGGCACTTGAGCACGCCGTCTGACACTGCCATGAATTTGGAGCCTTTATTTTGCCACGTACTGGAAATATAATCGAGATCGACACATAACATAGTCCAAATGCGATGGATCCATGGATAATTGCGTCGGGGGTTCTGCTAACTCCGAGTTACCGCACTTAGCCGAGGGAGGTTTAGCTCATTCATCATTCCTCCATGTCAGCGTCGCACACCGCTGTGGCCGATAGATGCCTGGTGTTCCTTCATTCACTTTACAGATATTTCTAGCGGGTTTCTACATGATACCGAGTATCAACGTCAAGTTTGATCAATCGGGGCGTTTGTGGAAGGAAGGTCGAACTTAGTTATGACGTCCACTCAGGTGCCGATGGGTTTCACGCGTTGGGAGGATACCATTGTTCCGCCACTGCGACGATGCCACAAAATATGGGTACACATAACTCACAAACGAGACAAAAAAGAAATTATTGCTGACATGAACAGGACAACCAAACCGCTCGTTTCACCACGTGCTTCCTGCCATATATTGTGCTCTTACCAGTGGTGTTGGGAGTCTTGATACTATTCACCTACACTCTCCGGCTTATAAACGTCTATCGACCAACATGGACAAAACCATTCGTGAAAGAAGGGAAGGAAGAGCGCAACGACCTGGCTTCTGCTTCTTCATATCGACCAGCGAGAGCGACGTTGAAGCTGTTACTGGTTTCGACCATCGGGCTCACCATACAAATTCTCTCCATCTTGGCCGTCCCTTACCAACAACTCCAATTCGTCTATCCTGCCATTGCTTGGGTAAGTTCTCCAACCACCATGTAAGTGTCTCGGCTAAATGTTACAGATCATTGTTATTGCGATAATAGCCTTCAGGCGCCCGAGGACAGCGCCGCTCTCACTTTTGGCAATGTACACTGCGATGTTTCTGGAAAGGCTAGTGACAATGTCCCACGCCCAGCACTCTACATCTACCAGCGATGTCTCGATGCTATTTCCTGCCGTTGCATCACTGTCTAATATTCTAATCATTCTCAATATGCCACTGCGAGATCCCATTCTGCCTTCTAAGGATATCAGCCCAGCATTCGCCGATCCGACAGTCAAACTGAGAACTCCCGAGGATAACCTCACGCCCTGGCAGTACATGAGCGTATCCTGGATGTATCCTTTAATTAAGAAGGGTAAACAGACAGATAAGTTTAATGATGAAGATGTATGGGATCTGGGTTGGGAGTTCAAGCATGCTCGGCTGCACAATGCCTTTCGAGTTCTGCAAGGGTCCGTCACAAGAAGGTTGCTGATCGCGAACGGAATGGATCTGGTGCGCATGACTGTCCTTGCGCTAATCCAACTTACTGCAAGTATGTTCGTCAATCTCCGAGCTCTGATATTGCATCATTCCAGACCCTCCTTTTCATCTGAACTATGGTTGAGCGTAGGCTAATTTGACCAAGCACTCATGACTCCTCTGCTTCTTCAGCGTCTTCTGGCATCCATGAATGACCCTCAATCACCTCGAAGAGCTACTGTCACGTATGCTGTTGTGTCACTTGCTTTCCGGCTTGTTTCAGCCCAGTCGTGGGTTTTTGGCTTATGGTACCAACGCCGAGCGTATGAGCGATCTCGAGGCGAGATGATCACAATGCTTTACGAGAAAACGCTTAACAGGAAGATCCTTGTATGTTACATCTTGGGTATAGAGTTGCCAATCATGAAAACACTCATTTTCAACATTGATGACCTGTCGAACTGTGTATGTTTGAGTTTAACTAACTTCACGTTTGCAATAGGGTGCCAAACAGGAGTCCTCGGAAGAGCAGACCACAAATGGACAAACAAATGGCGAAGCAAATGGTACTTCGGATCATATAAAGACCAAACATGGGCGTTTCTTGTCCGTATTACTGGGTTTGTTCTCACGTCTGCGTACCTTGTTCTCGAAGAGGGAACCCCAAAAGAAAGAGGAAAATGAGCCTGCATCACTAGGTAAAATCCTGAACCTGATGCGCAACGATGTATACGAAGTGTCACAGCGATTCTGGGAGTTTTCTGACATCGTCACGAAGCCCTTGGGTGTCATATTTGCCACGGTTCTGGTCTGGAACATGCTTGGCTGGTCCTGTTTGCTAGGTGCATTGGCTTTGCTTGTCACTCAAATCGGCAATGTCATAATCGCGAGATGGACCGTGTACTTCCAAAAGAAGAGGAGTAAGGCGACAGACGAGAAGCTGAAACGCATTAATCAGTTCATTGAGAGCATTCGACACTTGAGGTGGTACGGATGGCAAGGTACGTGGCACTCGATCGGGGATGACAATATGAGATAAGTTGTTAACGTATACTCTTAGATTCATGGCTTGAAGGAATCCTCGAATCGCGACAGAAGGAACTTCGCTTGCGAGTCATTATGATTTTTCTCTCAACATCAGTCGCCTTTCTGATGAAATTCGGCAGCGGCCTGATGCCGGCTGTGGCCTTCTTTGCTTTAACGAAACTCTCTGGTCAGGCTTTACGTGTTGATTTGATCTTTCCAGCTATCGATCTGTTTAACATCTTGGATTCTCACTTACGAGCACTCCCTAATCTGCTAACAACGCTCTTAAGCGCTTATGTTGCTATGGGTCGAATCGAAGCTTTCATGGAAGAGCCGGATAAAGAGCAAAACGATGTAGTCCCCGAAGGCTCAGCAGAGTTAAGTCTACAAAGTGCATCGTTCGCATGGCCAGGGGTGGAGAAAAATGTCTTGGAAGACGTGACTTTATCTTTTCCCCGCGGTCTTACGGTCATCTACGGTGAGGTCGCATCGGGCAAGACAGCGCTGTTGCAAGGTCTTTTGGGGGAGCTTGACAAAACCGCAGGTATCTTTATTCAGCCCGACGAGGTGATCGGATATTGCGCCCAGACACCATGGTTGCAAAGTATGAGCATCCGCGAGAATATTCTGTTCTCGTATCCATACGACGAGCAGCGATACAAACAGGTTCTAGAAGCTTGCGCTCTGGAGCCAGATATGGCTGAATTCAAGCACGGCGATTTATCCAACATTGGAGAGAATGGAATCGGCCTGTCAGGTGGTCAAAAGGCACGAGTGGCTCTAGCACGAGCTGTGTATAGCACAGCAAATGTTATCTTCCTCGATGACCCCCTGTCTGCTCTGGATCATCAAACGGCAGAATTTATCGTCCAAAAACTGCTCGCTGGCCCGTTAATGGCGAACCGTACGACGGTCCTTGTGACTCATCGTACTGAGCTCTGCCATGGTGTTGCAAAACAATGGGTCGAAATCAATCTGGGGAAGGCGACGACTCATGAGCCGCGCCCCGAAGAAGAAAATTCACTCAAACGTCACCGGACAGAGGACTCGGTCTCTGAAGAGGAGGCGAAGAAGAACGAGGAAGGAAAGGCCGACAGTGCCCCTGATAAGTTCATTGAGGACGAGTATCGAGCTACTGGAAGCGTCAAGTTCAACGTTTACTTCCGCTACATCAAATCCGGTACCCTGCAATGGTGGACGTTGTCCATAGTCGTCATGGTGATTTTCCGTTTCGCGGATGTAGCAACCACGTGGTTCATCAAAGCATGGGGCGAAGGCTACGATCACGACCATTCGAGAGGCCTCTTCGGTTTTCTTCCTCCTCCATCCCAAGATGTGGTTCCATGGCTTATCACTTACTTCCTCCTCCAGGTTGGGGCTTCCATATTATTCTGGTTGACTTACCTCATCATGTACGGAACTGGATACCAATCTGCGAAGACGATTTTCGCCGACGCCATCAGCCGCGTTGCGCATGCCACATTCAGATACTACGACGTAACACCCGTTGGGAGATTGATGAATCGTCTTACATCTGATATGAACACCATCGATGGCCATTTGAGTTTTGTATTCGTCACCATCATCTGGAACGCTGTGGGCTGGATTTCGTCTGTCGTCATCATCCTCTCTTCAGCACCAGCATTCTTGATATTTGGCTTGGTCCTGAGCGTTGCTTTTGTGCATTATTTCTTGCTTTTTCTGCCTACGTCACAGACGCTTCGCCGTCTCGAGGTAAGCTCTCTCACATCTCATTGCGTGTTTTCTCAGAAGAGAACTCCTACATCACCGAAGCTACGACAAAGCCCCCTTCGCTAACTGGTTTCTAGATGGTGTCGCTATCCCCACTAATGTCAAACTTCGGCGCTCTCGTTGAAGGTCTGACCACCGTTCGCGCCTTCAGCGCGCAGTCTCGTTTCCAAGAGCGTGTTATTGAAGTGGTTGACAATTTTCAAAAGAATGACCACTTTTACTGGTCGCTACAAGCTTGGCTTTCCATTCGTTTCACTACCCTCTCTGCTGCTTCTGTGTGTGTTATGGCCGTCATTGCTGTCTATACCGGCATCTCACCAGGTCTCACAGCTTTCGTCCTTATTGCGGCCAACAAATTTGTCATACACACGGAATCTCTATGCAAGATCTATGGTCAACTAGAGATGGACTTCACCAGCGTGGAGCGAGTAGTCGAACTCCTCGACTTGGAGCAAGAAGATACGGGATCAGTAGAGCCTCCGGCATACTGGCCCACATACACTGGCGACCTTGTTTTCGAGGACGTGACGATACGCTACGCGCCAAACCTAGATCCTGCGCTGCAAAACATCAACCTACGCATTCCAGCAGGATCACACACGGCTGTTGTTGGGCGTACTGGATCAGGAAAATCGACCCTGGCGTTGTCTCTACTTGCTACGATGACTCCATCTAGCGGAAAGATTCTAATGGACGGTATCGACATCGCTACTGTGAAGAAACAGGCCCTGCGTCATCGTGTTACCTTTCTAGCTCAAGATCCAGTGCTCTTTCCCGGAAGCATGCGAAAGAATCTCGACCCACTAGACGAATACTCAGATGGGGCTTGTGAATCGGTGCTCTCCAAAATTGCGCCCCCATCTTACAACTGGAGCCTCAGTACCAACATCGAAGGCGGTGGTAAGGGGCTTTCCCAGGGTCAGCGCCAACTCGTCGGGCTTGCGCGCGCCATGTTACGACGGAGTGCCGTACTTATCATGGACGAAGCAACAGCTAGCATTGACTTTGAAACGGCGCAGAGGATTCAGAGTGTGTTGAGGGAGGAGATGAAGGAGAGTACGGTCATTACTATTGCGCATAGACTTGAAGCGGTGAAGAATGCGACACACTGTGTGGTGCTTGGAAAAGGAAAATTGATCAAGAGTGGGACTGCTGCGGAGATGCTTCAAGATGGGAGTGAAGTTCGGGGCATGTTGGCATAAATGTATCAGTCACTATGTCATTTCGAGTGGATTGCGAGAGAACATGGAGGTCAGACGTAGATCTGAGTCTCTGAACAGAATTGCCCTCAAGTGAATAAGTGTTTAAAAGATTGAATCCAAATTCATACGTTCTTGCATCCCATATACAACTTTGGAAGCACACCGCTCTACATCTTGTAGTACACAACATATAAACACTAATCAACCACATCACCACTTCTGCACTCCATCTTTCGCAACCACCAACCCAGCATCGGCATCCCTCCCGCCCTCAACAACATCCCTAATCAACTCGCCCCCAACCGACGCATCCGCCGCACCCACAGCCTTCAACTTCTCGCTCCCCACCCCACCCAACCCCGTCGCCAAAAACCCAGGACTAATGCAAAAGACCTTGACCCCATCCTCCTTGAGCACGCGCGACCACTCCAACATCTGCATGTTCAACGCAGCCTTGGAGCTGCGGTACGCAATGAAGGACGGTGGACCCGCGGGCTTGGGCCAACCAGCCGGGATGGCGGGGGATCTCGCGGTTGCGGCGAGGGCGCCGCCCGCGACGTGGGCGAAGGAGGAGAGACCCGAGGTAATGAAGAGGATCCGCGCAGTAGACGATGAGGCGACCAAGAGGGGCGCAAAGGCCTGAGTCGTAGCCTCTGTTGAGGTCACGTTGATCGAGTAGGTGTGGTTCCAGGCTTCGCGGAGGGCTTTTGGGCCCGGGGTTGCTGCCATTACTGGGTCGAATGATGCTCCTACATTTTTATTTTTGGTTGGTTGGTGCGCTGAATATGACATTGAAGTGAACTTTTTGGGGGGCCTTACCAGCGTTGTTGACAAGCACGTCCAACTTGCCATATGTAGACTGGACAAACTGGGCACTCTTCTCGATGGAATCATCGTCTTCAATGTCAAGTTGAACGGGCACGATTTCCGAAGAAGATTCCGGAACATCCGATTGAATCTTCTTGATGGCTTCGTGGGCTTTGTCGAGGGAACGACTGCCCATCAAAAGTGTGTGAGGCGTAGCAGAGGCGTAGAGAGCTTTGATGGTCTCGTAGCCAATGCCCGTGTTGGCACCTGTGACGAGAACGATGGTTTTGTTGGAAGCCATGTTGGAGGTTTGTGTTTCGAAAAGAACCTAGAGGTTTTGATAGTCAAGAATCTTGTTATTGGAATCTAATCCAGGAGTGATGGATAGTTGCTGTCTGTGTGTGAATGTAGATGGAGGAGGATATAGATGTCCCTTTTATATATGATGACATGGCTCGGAGTCGGATGAACAGTTGAATGCTGTTGGTCTTTTATTGTACCTGCATTGTGACTGGAAAGTCAGCATTAGCTGGTTGTGGTAAGTACAGGATATAAACGGTTATTGCACTAGTGTTTTTTGTCGTGTATACAGTATTAGTCATGGCGGCGTTGATGTTTGACACAAACCAATTGGTTCTCAGCAATCTATAACTACGACATGTGGAGGTCCTTCGTGTGAGATTGCTTGCCTAAAGTCAGCGGGATTGGAAAAGACGATTGCGAAGTCCTTGTGATGATGCGTGTGATGGAGGAAATAGGTCCCTCTTGTAGTTGCTACAGAGAATGAGGTTCACTAATCAAGACACGAGCTCCTCCGGTTCCACGTAAGATGATCAACCCGCGAGGAACATAGATGACTTTTGGGCTGAAGGACAATTGTAGTGTTTTTTACGTGGTTTGTACGTTACAACCCAGACTCAATAGTCTGTTGCAATGGGGTTGAGAAGCACCGGACATAGGGGATGTATATGTCCGGTTGTATCTACTTTGGGTATGTAGGTAGTTGTGAACTGGTAAACCCCGAATTGATAAATCCGTGTTGTACACAGAGGGGATAGTCGACATTTAATGACCCATTATCGTCTTTTGGGTTAGAACTAGAGATTGTCCAGGAGTCAAGTTGGATAGAACGTCTTGTCCACAGACATTGGCGAAGGTGAAGAGGTCGAAGACGTTTTGGGGCTGCTGTATGTGGAAAACAGAGAAACTTGGACTCCAAAGCCCACCTACAGGCAAAGAGAGACACAGACAAGTATCAGGTACCTGCATAGTCGATAATTTCGTGTTAGTGTTTTTGCTCAAAAGCATCTAGCGGGTGTGCTGGTGTGTGAAGAGGTGCAACCATGGTGCCACCTGCAGGTGAAAAGCACCAATATTTAGTGTTTCGACAACGATTGCGTGTCACCTCACCATGGTCGAGATGGTGGGATCATCGTAGATGAAATGTGAAAACTCAAAAGCGAAGTGGGACAAAGTAAGATGGGATGCCTGCACGCTTGTCGGTGTCGCACACGATGGGTGAGTTGTTTGCTGAGGTGGAAGGAGCCGGAGGATGCGCGACATGTGGCAGTGCGCGTTGCTGTGACGACGAGCGGTTGGCAAACAACCACGCGGCGTCGCAATGTATAGAGTACAGTGCAGACGGTCGCACACGCAAACCGCATACCGTTCGCTCTCCAACACCAATTCCCATATCCCATTATTCGCCTTTTGCTTTTTTCCGCTTTTGGTCGGGAAACTGCAAAATACAACCTATCCCCATCCATCGCTATCCTCGAGGGCATTGCAATCCACAATCACTAAACGGGTGCGCTGCTTGCGCCGGCAACCTCACGTACACCCGCCGCTATGGACGGTCCCACAACACCATATGGACAGGACTACGGCCGTCCGCCTGCATACGATGACGACCAAGACAGTGCAGGACGTCCGACGCAAGGGGGCTCGACAATGCGCTTGTTGACAAACGTCGACGACGCACAAGGTTACGCCTCGTGAGTATCACATTTCTTCTACTCTCTCTCCACATTCCTCCATACTCATCCTGTATTCCTCGCGCAGGAAAGCTTCCAATCCTGAATCAGCGTCGCTTCTCTTCACCATGGACTCTAACGTGGGCGAGCTGGGTGACCAGCGCTCCAAGTCCGAAGTAGGCAGACAGGCGGCTGCTGAAGCGGGCATTGTTGACTTATTGCGTGAGGCCGACGCTGCTCTCTCCGGCAGCGCCGCGCCACCACGTTCTTCCCCAGCTGCTTTGAAGCGCAAACCCCTCGAGTCGCGGCTCCGAGACCCCATCTCCCCCCTCAAGGCGCAGACGAAGGCGCAGACGAAGACGCAGAACGAACATGGCTTACCCCCGTATGACTCCCGTAGACCACCTTCGCCTTTGTCGCGATCCTATCAACCTTCTGTCTCCTCCTTACCGCTCTCTAGGGCGCCTTCGGTGCTGGACAATGCACCCAACATGCCTCCTCCATCGACCGTTGAGGACTCTTACAACCCCTACAGAGCTTCACCCGAACGATCCTCTCCGACTCGTTCCTACTCGCCAACACGCACATCTGCCGACTACGCTCGTCCGCCCGCCTCTACCAACGCCTACGAACCAGTCGACTTGAACGGCAGTCCGCGTCCAGGCACTCCTTCTTCAAGGTACGGCGGCGGTCGTCCGGGAAGCCCCAAGCGACCTCTGCCCCCGGCGCCCTTGTTTGCAGGTGGCAGGCCCATCTCGCGCGACTCGAATGCAACGTTGGATATGAGCTCGATACCAATGGACGAGGACGACCCGTTCACCGACATTGGTGAAAATCGGCCTGATTTGAATTCCCGAGATTCGTACATGACCGAAGACACATTCACCGACGGATACACGGATATCGACGAGAAGGCCGACCACTATGGTCCAGCGCCTGATTCCGCTCAACCACGCCGTGGTGCTCGCGAAGCTCTTATGACTAGGAAAGAAGTTCGGTTGATCAACGGCGAACTGATTCTGGAATGCAAAATCCCTACAATTCTGTACAGTTTTCTACCGCGGCGCGACGACACCGAGTTTACCCATATGCGATACACCGCTGTGACATGCGATCCCGATGATTTCGTTGACAGGGGCTACAAGTTACGCCAAAACATTGGAACCACTACTCGCGAAACCGAATTGTTCATCTGTATCACCATGTACAATGAAAATGAGATCGATTTTACACGAACCATGCACGGTGTCATGCGCAACATTAGCCATTTTTGCTCACGAGCGAGGTCACGAACATGGGGCAAGGACGGTTGGCAGAAGATTGTCGTTTCCGTGATTGCTGATGGACGTCAAAAAGTACATCCCCGTACTCTTGACGCTCTAGCAGCAATGGGCTGCTTCCAAAAGGGCATTGCCAAAAACCACGTCAATCAACGTGAAGTCACTGCTCACGTGTACGAGTACACAACCCAGGTGTCCTTAGATTCCGATCTTAAGTTTAAGGGTGCTGAGAAGGGAATCGTGCCAGTTCAGATGATATTCTGTCTTAAAGAAGGAAATCAGAAAAAGCTCAACTCTCATCGATGGTTCTTCAACGCCTTTGGTCGAGCCTTGAACCCGAACGTCTGTATCTTATTGGACGTCGGTACTAAGCCAGGTCCTAAAGCCTTATATCATCTGTGGAAGGCCTTCGACAACGATTCATCCGTAGCAGGCGCTGCTGGTGAAATCAAGGCCGGAAAAGGAAAAGGCTGGCTCGGCCTGCTCAATCCTTTGGTTGCCTCCCAAAATTTTGAATACAAAATGTCTAATATTCTTGACAAGCCTTTGGAGTCTGTATTTGGGTATATTACAGTCTTGCCTGGAGCGCTTTCAGCGTATCGTTACCACGCCTTACAGAATGACCATACTGGACATGGCCCGCTCAGCCAGTACTTCAAGGGTGAGACGCTTCACGGTCAGGACGCGGACGTTTTCACCGCCAATATGTATTTGGCCGAAGATCGTATCCTGTGTTGGGAGCTTGTGGCGAAGCGCAGTGAGCAATGGGTCTTGAAATATGTAAAAGCGGCAACAGGTGAAACCGATGTACCAGGTAAGTCCACCTCACAGCATGATAGCATACTTTACTAACGACTGCAGACACCGTCCCCGAATTCATCTCACAGCGGCGTCGCTGGCTTAACGGTGCTTTTTTCGCTGCCGTCTACTCATTGCTCCACTTCAAGCAAGTCTGGACCACCGACCATACCATTTGGCGCAAAACCCTTCTCCACATCGAATTCGTCTATCAATTCGTCTCGCTCATGTTCACCTTTTTCTCTCTGGCCAACTTCTACCTCACCTTCTTCTTCATTGCGGGTTCCTTGGCCGACCCACAGAACGATCCTTTTGGTCACAACGTCGGAAAATACATTTTCTACATCATGCGGTATACTGTCGTGCTTCTTATTTGCATGCAGTTTATTCTATCCATGGGCAATCGACCTCAAGGAGCGAAGAAGATGTTCCTATCGAGTATGACAGCTTACTGTGTCATCATGGCATACACCACATTCGCCTCGATATACATTGTGATCAAGCAACTGCGGGACCCCGACCAACCCAAATCGATAGGCAACAACGTTTTCACCAATCTGATTGTGTCGACCGCATCCACAATTGGCCTTTATTTCCTCATGTCGTTCATGTATCTGGATCCATGGCACATGTTCACCTCATCCGCTCAATATTTTGCGCTCCTTCCTTCCTACATTTGCACCCTACAAGTGTACGCCTTCTGCAACTTGCACGATGTGACGTGGGGAACCAAGGGCGACAACGTCGCAAAAACCGATCTAGGAGACGCCAAAGGAAAAAAGGGCAACGTGGTCGAACTTGAGATGCCGTCCGAGCAGCTGGATATCGACTCCGGCTATGACGAGGCTCTCCGTAACCTCCGTGATCGCATTGAAGTGCCCGCATCCACCACCTCCGAAGCTCAAGCGCAAGAGGACTACTACCGCGCAGTACGTACCTACATGGTGGTCATCTGGCTGATCTCCAATGCAGTCCTTGCCATGGCCATCTCGGAGGCTTTCTCAGGCAAACATATTGGCTCCAATTTCTATCTCAAGTTCATCCTCTGGGCTGTCGCTGGCCTAGCCCTCTTCCGCGCTCTCGGATCCACAACTTTCCTGATCATCAACTCCATTCACACCATCATGGAGACCAAGCTCAAGTGGGAAGACAAGATGGATGGCAAGAGCAAGACTGGGTTGGGTGGCGGCATTGGGAAGAAGAGGTTTGGAAAAGGGTGGGGTGGTGGCGGATCCAGTTGGTGGTCGGGCAGCTCCATTGGGTCCAAAGTGTCGAGCTGGACGCCTAGTTCATGGAGTGGGAGTTCGAGGGGATAAACCATTCCTTCTCAGCGTTTGGCTTGGGAACCGATTTTCCCCTTTTGCTTTCTTTTTGCATGGCTCCACCGTTTCTGGTGGATTCGTTTTTGATACCATTGTCGACCTCTACGGAGATTTCGATCAGTCTTGTTTGTGTTCTTGTTCTGGTAATGTAACGACTTCATGAAAATGGCGTTTTTATATTGTTTTCCAAGTTTTTATGCCGCTTGGAAGAAAGAAATCGTGTGTACGTGTGGAGAAGAATATTCACCCTGCAAAGGGAAAATTCAGCATGCATTGCTTGAGGTATGTAGAATAGCTTTTTTTCTTTCCTCTGGTTGGTTCGGACATTTGTATAGGTACGATCCGCGAGTTCTACGTACGACGGATGATCAGTATGACGGGAAGGAGGGCCAGGTGGTAATGGTGTTAATATATGGGTACTCCAAAAAGAAAAGCATGTGCTCTATTGGCGGGAGCTGCGTATCATTCATCGTTGGTATTTTTTCCTTTACTGCTCTGTGGTGAGACTTGCTTCCAAATGTAATATCATACTCTATTTGGCACGCTACTGCGAGTGCTCTTACATGAGGAAGATGGCACTGTTGTGAATTCCAAGATATTATTGCACAAGCTGGAAGTTTCAAGCGAAGCAAGCCCGTATTAGAGGAGATCCACGCACTTCTATGTAGATTGTTCCTATAGAATTCCAATTGCAACTCTCGCACCATGCCATATATATATGAATACGCAGCTCTATAAACAAAAAAACCACCTCTCCATGTTCTTCCTCTTCCCTCCTACACAAATGCCAGAAAAAAATACCTCAACCCTACATAGCGTCATTCCTCCCCTCCTTTCGAACCTCCTACAAACACACTTGACAACCTTCTACTCCCCCACCAAAATCCCCTTGAAATACGTCTCAACTTTGTCCCAAGCCTCGTTTCCATCCAAAGGCCCCACAAACCCCACATACTGATCCGGCCTCGTGACAACCACACAGCCCTTCTCCCTATTCACATTATACTTCTTATACGCATCGCCATACCCCTCATGATAACTCTCATCGTCCACATACACACCCTCATAGTCCCATCCAAGTTTCGGGTCGAATGGGTGCAACACGTCTGGGAAATCGCGGAGCAGCTCTACGTCTCTTCGCGGTGCGGAGTGGCATGTCAAGATGTCTATAGCGGAGTATAGATACTTCTTCAGGAAGGAAGAAGCGGCGAGCTTGTCAGTGAAGGAGCGGAGAACAGCGGATTGAGGCGATGAAACGACGTTGCCAGCGAAAACGATGATGCGGAAACGGCCGTCTGATTTGAGGCGGGATTGAAAGGGAACGGGGAGAGCGGAGGATTGGTTCAGGACTTGATGCGAGGGGAAGCGCATGCCTAGTTTGATGGTCGAGAGGTCTTCTTTCGTGGTGACTTGCTCTGTGTCGGTGTTGCCGTTCGTTATATTGTCTGTGGGTTTGGCGACGAGCTGGCTTGCGCCGTAGTCGACGGATAAGCCTGAAGCGAAGAGGTTTCCTTTTAGAAAGGCTTCTTTGAATTCTTTCATGCTGACGCCTGATTCGTCAAGGACGTCCTTTGCGGGGCGGCCTGAGAAGAGGCGTGAGAAGCGATGGTCAAAGTCGATGAGGTCTTGGGCGATTTTTCGGCGCTCGGTTTGGTAGGTTTGCAGGATGGATGGCTGTGCGATACCCTTGACTACGAGGCCGAGTTTCCAGCCGAGATTGTAGGCATCTTGCATGCTGACGTTCATGCCTTGGCCTGCTTTGGGTGAATGCGTGTGGACTGCGTCGCCTGCGAGGAATACACGGTTCTTGTAATCGAAGTTGGTCCCCACACGCTGTCCTATTTGGTACGCTGTGAACCAGTCGCAGTACTCGTACGTGAGATTGTAAGGAGATATGATCTTTTGGGCGGCTGAGATGATGGTGGAAGGGGTTATTTTGGATCGGTCGGCTCTTCCACTGGCATCTGGTTTGATTTCTGTGAGTTGGATGTAGAGGCGGACGAGTTTGTTCTCTCGGGGTATGACCATCATGGAGCCTGAAGAAGCGCTATGGACTGCACATCGCATACGGATGTCGGGAAAATCCGTAATAGGGACGATATCTTAAGAGAGTTAGCTGCATATTGGGCTTGACCAATATCCTGATATGAGGGGAAACAATACCCAGAACGCCCCATATGTAGTCCGTGGGCTCTCCTTCTAGTTGGAACCCCAACTGTCTTCTCGTCCACGAATGTGCTCCGTCACAACCGACCATGTATTTTGCTTTTACGATCTCTGTGGTGCCCTGCTTCTCTCTGCTCTTCCTGATGAGGTCGTCGGTGTCGTCCTCGGCCATATTGCTTCTAAACAGACCATCTTGAACAGTGCTTCCATTGCTCTGCGCTGGTGTCGCTTCTTCCTCTGTCAGATATCTCAGCTTTACCGTCAGGGGATATGTATCCGCAGAGTGATCTTCACACAGGTCTTCGGCGATATCGAGAGATTCAGGAAGCACGGCACGCTCAACGTGCAGAGTATCTTTCGAGTATTTCTTGATGTTGTCCAGGAAGAAGCGCTCTATACGCCCTTGATGAAGGACAATTTGCAAGAATCTAGAAATCCCAACAGGCATGTCCGGAACGCGATCTGATCGCCGAATCTTACCATCCTCGCCAGGGTTCTACAGAATAAGCAGCTGGCAATATCGAAAACGGCAGATGTAAACATACCCACATACACATCTATAGCGTTGGTTAGTTGCTGTATGATTCTGGAGACGGCTTGCCATCATAATACATGATTCATACCTCCATCATGTGGTTTGCCTCCTTCATAGCTCGATCTGCGATACCGAAGCTGTCTAGAATTTCCAGACTCCGCATTTGCAATCCATCAGCCTGTCCAGAGAAGATCTTGGTACTTCTTTTATCCACGATTCGAGCATTGATCCCGCAATGAGCCATCCATGTTGCTAGCATCAAGCTGGCGTATGTTAATCTCCCACAATGTGCAATAGTGAATTTCTGGAAGGTCTACCCAGCAGGTCCGGCGCCGACTATGAGCCTGTTGTTACGTCAGCGATACTTTTGCAGCACACAACAGCGACTTCACTTACACATCGCATTTAGTCTCAGTCGGGGTAGTAGATGATGCCATTTTACGTCCTATATGAAGGTATTCTCCAAACGATCGTGAGATTTCTCGGTTAGTCTACCCCGCGCAAGTCGGGCATCTTATATCTGAGCTTAGGGTACAACTAGCCCCACCCCTGTATGAGTTGAACAGTCTTGTGTCCCTTGGACGGCCCGTCATTTTGCATGTTTCTGAACCGCGGCAGTGGACTTCGGTGTTGCAATGTGGAGGACTTGAAGGCTAGCACCAGACCATTTCCCTACCCCACAGCTGGCTGCGCTTCGGATAGCCGGATTGGGAGCCCCATGGTAGATTGCCATGGTCTATGAAGGTCTGATTGGGCCTTGATTCTGGGGTAAGCACAGCAGATGTTCGCTTGTTGGTGTTTGTCAGATGTTGGTAATACAGTCGCTGCGGGTCTGCGAAGAAACACCGGGTTCTTGTACATCTGGCCAGGGTTCATGCATGGTTTGCACCGTGGGTTCTGGTGCATGCTCGGCCCGGCTCATGCTCCGGACTGCGAATCACCAAGCAGATGTCAAGGAGTGCTCTTGACCGCCAACTACCACTCATAAGGAGAGAGAGTAAACATAAAGGTGACGAATGTCCATCGAACATGTAGCCTCCGATTTCACCCTTCCCAAAGATGCTCTTTCTGTGGAATTTCTAGTCATGATGTCAATGTTATTAAATCCATTTGTGGATCCATACCCACGTCATATCCAAACTCGCAGAAGTATGACACACAAATAATCATCTCCACCCTTTTTTCTCGAGAGAGAACTGAAACTCGAACACAAAAATTCTCAAATCAAATATGTCAACACAAAACTACAACTTCACCACTGCAATTGTGACTGGAGGTGGTGGAGGAATCGGGAAAGCCCTCGCAGCGCAGCTTATCAAAGATGGGAAAACGGTCATTATAGTTGGCCGTACTGAATCGAATCTCAAGACCACCGCAAAAGAAATCGGGGCGGCTGCCTACTATGTCCTGGATACTGGCAATGTTTCCTCGATTCCCACATTTGTCGAACGCATTGTGTCAGAGCATCCGGAGGTCGATTGTCTGATCAACAATGCCGGGGTTCAAAGGCCGCTCTACGTGAACAAGGACGACCCCGCCGAGTTCTTAAGCAAAGCGGATCAGGAAATTGACATCAATATTCGAGGGCCAATGCACCTAGCATTGGGCCTTCTGAAGCACTTCAAATCAAAACCCAACTCACTCATCGTCAACGTTTCTTCTATCCTTGGATTTATCCCGTTTTCGGTGATCAACCCGGTATATAATGGAACAAAAGCCTGGCTGCATTTTTGGACCATGAACCTGCGCAAGCAGCTGGAAGACACCAACGTCAAAGTCATCGAGCTGGCTCCACCTCAAGTCGAGACGGACTTGCACCGAGAGAGAGAAGACCCAGATGACAACAAAAAACACAAGAGTCCTAGCGCACTTTCGGTTGATGAGTTCGTGGATGAAGTCATGGGGAAGTGGAAGAAAGGAGATGTGACAATCACTGCGGGTCCAGGTAATAAAATGATAGACTCCTGGGAGGAAAGCATGGGCAGCGTATATAGGAAAATGGTCGGATGAGAGGCTGGTTAGAACACCATGAAATCCAGTAAGCACTTCGAAATACGTACAAGTGCTTCCGGGCTGCATTCAACCCAAATAATGTGCCTACCAGTGTACGATAGGATCTAGTTAGAATTATCATGGCAATGCCCCGGGTCATAGTGAACACGCTCGGCTAGATTGAAACTGAATTGGTTGAGGATAAAAAATAAATAGCCAAGTTAGCTGAGAACAGCAGCTGCGTTTAATTAGTAGTCAAAACAGTATTGTGAAACAACATTTTATGAAGCCTGCCGCGTGTGTGCATTCGACGAAGGTTTGCATACTTCAGCGCCTATCGCGAAGTCGCGCACGACGCGGCTGCACAGCACGGACCCTCTCGACCCTGGTTTGTTTACCATCCCACTTTCTGCATCCTCTGCGATCCGTACATATCTAAGTGACCACTAACAGTGAACAACTACACAACCCATACAACCAACGATTGCGCCAAAATATGGCGCCTCGATCTACAGCAGTGAACGTTTCTTTCACCGTCGACTCTGCTTCGGAAGATGAGACACGCGACGAGTTAGATATATTTCCTACCCCAGACTCCAACACCGAAAATAAGGTACCGGCACGCAAACCTCGAGGGAAAGTCGCGCAAACGGCGAAATCGGCCCCTGCGATCAAGGCGACCGCGAAAACGCGCACGACAGCGCGTCGCACAAGTGGTAGCGGTGCCTCCGGCGTTAAGAAGCAAGGCGCAGGCGCCGCGAAGAAAACGAGCGCGAAAGCTGGTCGCAAGGCATTGGCAGAGAAAGAGGTCTCCAACGGCAATGATACTGAAGAGGTAGACGAGTTTGATGCGCAAGAAGAGGTGGTCGCGCCAGCACCAGTGAAGGCAACACGGCGGGGACGCCCACCAAAGGCAAAGGTGGAAGAGGAAGAAGTTGAAGCGCTGCCGCCAACAAGGAGAACACGCAAGACAGCCGAGAAAGAAATTGCACCGAAACCTACCAAGGCCAAAAGCGCCGCCAAAACGAGGGTGACAAAACGTACAGCCGCGGTCGACCCGGTCCCTGAAGACTTGACCATTCCAGAGACCCAGCAAGAACCAGAACCAGACCCAATGGACGTGGATATTGAGCAGTCTATAGAGTTGGATGAGGTCCCAGAAACAATGCCCCCTCCCCCGCCACCACGACCTTCAGCCCGTCGCATACAACAAGAAGCGAAAACAGCGAGGCAGGCTTCTGCTGGTCCGCGACGGGCAGGCAGCGCATCGGACACAGAGCGCGATCCTGCATTGAGACGGAAAGTTGGCGATCTCACCAAGAAACTCGAGGCTATGACAGCTAGATACGATACGTTGAAGGATGTTGCGGGAGCTACCAAAGAGTCGAACTTCGATCAATTGAAGAAGAAAACCGATCAAATTTCCAAGGGTGAGTAATGTCTGCAGGCATCGAAAAGACAATACTAACGTGAGGATAGACCAAGATGCCGTCATCAAAGCTCTTAAGCAGCAACTCGCGGAAGTGCAGTCCCGTTCGGCAGACATGCTTTCGCTGAAGAAGGATATGGCAAAACTAGAGAAAGAGAATGCCCGCTTGAACGCCGAGAACAAGAAACTCACCGACTCTTTGGCATCTTCCCAGGGTGAAAACAAGACATTATCTACAAAACTCGCAGCAGCACGCTCGTCAGCACCACCAGACTCCAAAAACATTCCAGGGAGTGCAGTCAAACCTAGGACAACCGGGGTCGTTCTTCCAGGTGCAGCTGAGGCCGCGAAGGAAACGCAATTCCAGAAACAAAAGGTCGACCTCTACAGCGATCTGACCAATCTCATCGTTTTGGGCTGCAAGAAGAACGAGGACGACGAAGAGGTTTATGATTGTCTCCAAGCAGGCCGGAACGGAAGTAAGTATCAATCACATTTCCCGCTTGTTGAGGTCAACGCTAATTCCCATCTAGCTTTGCATTTCCAACTCACTGTTACGGATAATGGTGATTCTTATGAAGACACGGAGATATGGTACACTCCGTTGTTGGACGAGAAACGCGACCAAGACTTGATAGAATTACTACCCGATTACTTGACCGACGAGATCAGCTTCCCCCGTGCCCAAGCTCCCAAGTTCTACACCAAGGTTGTGGAGTGCATGGGGAAGAAGATAGAGCTTGTTGATCAGGAATAGCTGTCACCTTCCAACTTTTGAGTGTTGGGTTCATACTGCGTATTATTATTGATTTGAACTTCGTTAGTCCGGTCATGACGTTATGGGTTGATACCTCCAGGGAGGCGTTGGTATTCGATGGTTATCAGTGTTAGTTCTTGGGAGTCTGTCTATTTATTTATATATACTTAGTTAGGGTTGATTAATGGTTTTGCTTCTTTTGACGTTTGGTCACCCTGCATAGAATCGGTAGCAACGGAATAAGGTGTATGGGTGATATTTTTTCAGGCTGTTGTTACATTTGACGCTGTATCTACAGTTTTCTATGCCTGTGCGTCCAACTCCTGCCCGAATCGCGAGCTCCTCCGCTCAAAGCAGCGCTTCCCTCCTACCCAAAGTTTCTCCGTATTGCCGCACCCTCAAAATTTCATTCGGAACGCAATCGCTGACGTCCTTAATGCTTCTTCTCGCCCTCGGCTTTCTGGATAAAGCTTCTGTGCCATTGTTAGCGCTGTGTCCTGCCCAGCCCCGTCCTCCCTCCAAACCGGCGTGTATCGTGGGTGTGCCTACTTTACGAAGCTCTCCTCCTCCTTGGTCTTGGCGTTGATTGGAGGGTTCTTGGTGTCGGCCTTGCTGCCGCCGCTCATCGAGACGTAGGCACCGAGGAATGTCGTGCCGAGGGTGGCCATGGCAAGCTAATCAAACACTTCAAGTCAGCCTTCGTCCTCAGCATTCATCGTTGCGCAACTTCTCCCTCGCTTCGCCAGACCCCAGTCCGAATTGACAGATATCTCCAAGGACATGGGGGGCCGACGGGCGTGCGCGGTTGGCGAGTTGGAAGATTTTGGCAAACTCCACCGGGGAGTCTGCTGGGTGAACGTACGACGTGCGATCCGACCTGACGGCCTGCAATTGTGTACATGGCAACCATGATGGCGGTATTGGTGAGGTATAGAGGGATTGAGGGGGAGATGGAGTCGCAATGGATGGTTGGGAGTGAGTAATTGACGATGATTGTTTCCGCTGGAGCTCTCGGGGAAACTGGGCTGGCTCGGTTTGGCTTATGTCAGCCTTCACCATGTCCCCACCGCAACTCCCCCCATCCCACATCAGGAACATCTGAGCTAAAAAGATTGCTCCCAAGCTTGAAGATCTACATGATACTGTCCACGTTGAAGGAGTCTGCTGGGATACTTCACAGAATTTTGATGATTATATTTACATCGTTATCGAAGAAGCTTCCATCAATTCAAGGACAACTCATCCATCATCCGATATGGTCTAGTGGCTAGGATTTGCCGCTCTCATCGAGAGTCAAAAACACTTCGCAGTGCCGGCAAGGCCCGGGTTCGATTCCCGGTGTCGGAAATATAATTTTTGCCCTCGTGGGGTCATCACAGGATCGCTTGCTGCTTCAGATGGTTGAGCAGAGATCGAGTAGGATGTTGTCGATCGTCTCACGCATCACGAGTTTTTTTGGTTCAAGTCTGATCATTGTCCCAAGCAATACTAGAATTTGACTGGTGTACGATATGTGAAGGCTTTCTGTCATGGGAGACGGAGGATGGGTGGTTGATAGCCATAAACAGTAATAATCGAACTTGAACTTATGCCTCAAGCAATAGTTTGGTTGAATGGTGTATCTAGTGATTGAGTGGCTTTCTCTGCTACTTTTCTCCTGTACGCATATCGGGTTCCAATGCATTACCATCCCTTATCAAGTCAGAGCTATACTTCGAGACCATCCTAAGACATAAACCAGTCTTTAGTGTAGTAGCACGAGAACTAGGACAATTTTGGATTTTACACCATGAACAGGTAGAAGAGAGCAAACAGCTACTGCAATTCAACAGGCATTGCGGGTGTAAATAAGTACATGTGTATTATCTGATGAGATGTGAGTACAGGCAAGTTTGAGTTCTATGGGATTGACTGAGCCATTGACCAGTCCGCAAGGCTGACATTCAAAAGAACCGGATTGTAATGTACTGGGTAGTCTGCGTTGGTACTCTTTGATGGATGGAGAATAACCAGTGACGCTCAAAGTCCTACATCAGGTTATCCTAGCCTAGAAACGTGCTTCTAGCGATAAGCACAGTTTATCTTGGGGATATGTCAGTTCACGACTCTAGTATGATGATACTGTATTATCTTTCAGTCAATGCAATCAACCGCTCAGATTGGCGAGGTTAGCTTTGGTCTCCCGGCCTCTTCTCTCCAGCCTAAATTTGTATCGAGTGTACCCAAATGCATTATTCCTTTTCAATTATACAGGTTTCCAGTATATTATCACTTATAGGAGTCTTATATGAAGACAAGACTCATGAGTGGTTCGATATTCAGGAAGAATTGGTCCGAGTGAGCGTCCCATGCCCAGAAAAGCGAGAAGTCGTAGAAGTCACGCCAGGAAATGCTGTCAACATCAAAGCACTTGTATGCGCCCCCGTGTAAAGCGCATAGAGCAGAAACGCAGTACAAGAATACCGTCACACAATCAACATGCATACATGTACACACCACATGGCAGAGTATCCCGAGTCCGCATCTCACCATGCTTCCGCGCCCCCAACCCCCGCATTTCACAGTCAAGCAATCGTCAAACAAAAATCCCATATACTTATCTTTCCCCCCATCACGCAAATGTACGCCCACACGCACGACATACCAAAACAAGCTGGTGGTAACCCGCGGATCGATAGCGGTATGTCACCTTCCGCTCTCCGAATCCTCCGGCGACCATCTATTTACCCAGAATCCCGGCTCACAGCAACGAAGCAGACAAAGGGGGCGACGAACCATGAGACGAACGGATGCACGATGGGCACGTGGGAAAAGGTGAAGAAGCGGGAGAGCGGCAGGGGGAACGACCGAACGCCAGCGTGTGTGTCGTGCGGACCAAGGGGGGAATCCTACTGCATCTACTGTGTAGACCAAAAGACTCCTTTTGCTTCCCTTATTCCGTCTGTTCGGCGACGTGAGATTGATATGTACTGTAGGGCCCGCAGTGCGTCCCCTGTAGAATCCCGTGGGTTCTATATTTGTCCTTCCCTGAGCCTGAGGATGACTGCCCTGGTCTTTTATCCGGTACCATTGGAGCGGATTCGATGGGCGGGTCAATCTCTTACAAACACACTTTCCGCTACACGGGGAGGAGGAGCTCATGGCGAGTAGAGTATATGAAGCTGAGCTCTTTAATGAATTTATTTGTAAGTGAATGATTCAAAGGAGCGATACAGGGTGCGGAACAAGGGTGCAGATGGGGGTTTGCAACGCAACGCAACACCAGCCCGCGACACCATCAGAAGAAAAGGTCGCCGTTTCTATAAGATGAAAAGTGTATACCAAGAGGAGACGAAGACAGCCAAGTAGGAAGAAGGATTTGTCTAACTCAAAGTACAAGTTGATGCATATGACGATATGATCACGTTGTGGCATGCAGCGAGAGTGATCGAGTGCATGCCTAATGTAGGTATTGGGACTCAATATCCTCGTGTTCTCGGATATCCGATGCTTCTTCATGTAGCAACATCGTGACTTGGAAATAACTACTTATGTACATATCTATACGCGTAGCAAGTGCCGTCTGATTTGAACCTACAAAGCCTCTGCGATGTACGATCTACCCGTGACGTTGTGCTCTTCGTGGATCATCGATCCGGACTGATTCCAAACATCTCGGCTACCCCTGCAATGATACGATGCGTTGAATGGTCGCGGACCACTGAGGACGCAGAAACAGGAAAAGGCAGTTGGTAGGACAAGCACGTGTATTAGGTAGACTTTGATGCAGCTTCCCATTCCAAGGGTGTATTGCGAAACTGCTGCATTGGACGGCCTAGCCTTGAAACCTGACCTACCAGAGAGCCTGCAGTGTTCTCGGCGCAGTGGATAGCGATACGATAAAACATGAGGTGATACTCGAAAGTGTCCGCTTCACGATCTTGTAGTGTAATAGGATGTGGCAACCGTTTGCTATTCGGTCGAATTTTGTTCCGGGTCTGGATTGTACCGGTCAGTGGTGGCGGCTGGTATTCTCCTAACAGCGCGGAGAAGGTTTATCTCGAAACTCTCCGAAGAGAGAGCTGAAGGCAGCCATAGGAAAAAGCATATACATGCCAGAAGACATGTCGGCTATCGACTTTTCTGTCGGTGATAGAGTATATACTACGTACGTTGCTGCTCATGGCCTCTAGTCCAAGGCAAGACTGCATCTGAGCTAGGTTATAAAGTGCCTGCTTAGGCTGTGATCGCCTTCGATAGAGTACAGTACACGAATGTATGGACAAAGCGTGGCTGGCCAACCCGGACTTGGGGGCGCCCCAAGGGCTTTGTTGGCGACGGTCTGGCCGTGTCTTGTCGTGCGTTCCTGCTTGCGGGGGGGCGCGTTGTGTGCCCGGGGAGAGCCCCGAGCTTGCTTGTCTATCCCCCCTGGGCGTCTCCGAACTTCTGGCTCGGATTCGCGACTCCTCCCGGCAGTCAAACTCGCACTCGGCTTTGGAATCGCTGATAAGTCCAAGTTACACTTTCAAACCCCATCTGGAGCCGTTGCTGGCGAGCCAGTCTGTGTTGGGCTTTCAACCTCCAGTCCTGCGGCCGGCTGCGACTGCCATCGAATGAAGGATCAGTCTCGAACATGATGCTTTTTTGCTGTCCACCGTTTGCACAGCTGCCAGACCATGGATTCATCAAACTTACCCGCCCCAAGCATTGACAATTCGACACCTGCCTAATCCTGATGATCGTCCGGCGTGGGTTTGCAGAGTTCAGATTCGCTCGCTAAACAGCAGCCCCATGTCCAATCCATCAAGTTGGGCATGCATCCCAGCAGATAAGCCACGGGCTTCCTAGAGTGGTTGTCGCATTCTGATGCTCAGCTCGTATTCACCAAGGGTTCGCCGCCTCAACGCAGACCGTATTTGAATCATGGCAGCCGCTCGTTCCTTGGAGGCGTTCAGGCGTAGCCCTCATTGCATTCTTCTTGGAATTTTTCGGCTCGTTGGGTACTAACCCAGACGGCTTTTCTCTTCATCTTCGAACGATTGCATTGCGAACGAAATTTGACGGCCGATCATATACAAGAATACGACGCGGCGTTTACGCCATCCTACGAATGTATCGATAAGCTCCAGAACGGCCGTGTGCGATAGAAACGACAGCGTCGGTATAGATAATAACCACCATGGTCGACCAAAACATGAACCCCGGGACCCCGGGGGGCACTACTTCTTCACCAGGGGACTCTGCACCACCTCCCCCACCAAAAAAGATGGCAGAGCCATCCGTCATTCAGGCTGGGCAGATGATGCTCATCTTCGCCTTGGTCCTTATATTCTTGGTATGCTGCGCAGCTGCAACGCATTTCCATTTGCGCCGCCAAAAACGAAAGCGCCGGAAGAAGGCGAAAGTGGTGAAGAAGAAGGTTACGGAAGAGGCGGAGACGGAGGAAGTGCAGGAATCGGAGTTGCAGTCCAGAGAAAGAAAAGTCGCTGAACTCGTGGGCACACCGATCTGCGAGATGGGAGATTCGGAACCCCGGCACGAGATGGAAGACGTCGAAGTACCCGAACGACGGTATACCATGGCCGACATCGATATCCAAAATCCAGCAGATACACCTGTAGTGACCCGAACCGAACGAGAACTCGAAGAAGGCACCTACTTCGGGGAAATGACATCCCGTGAAGAATTACAACCAGAAGCGAGAGTCTACGCTGCCTACTGGGCTCGAGCCTTTTGAGCGATGATTAATGAGGTCCGAAAAATAGAGCCGCCAAAATTCGATAAGGAAAGAGAGATGATAACCGCAGATCATCCTCGAGTCCTGCACCAGACACATCTTCCCCCCTTGGGTGCCATCAGCCTGGATAAGCCCGATCGGGTCGAGATACAAGTTCCAGGATTCAACCATGTCCTGAAGTATCGCTATAGACCCGCCGAAAAGATCCGGAGATTCTCTTCTTATCCACGTTATCTGTGGTGCTGTATTGAGGAAGAGAAGCCGGAAAAAGGAAATGACGGGAGATTGATTAACCCCGCTGCTCCAACGCCGATCCGGGACCAAGGGAGTTCGAACACTGCATTGGTCGGAAGTCGCATGCACGAGAACTCAGACACGGGAAGAGGAAATGTTGTTCATGGAGCACCAGAATCACATGAGCAGCTGGAAACCGCTCACATAGAGTGGTTTGATAGCACGGGCCGCAGCAATAGAGCTTCGCATCTACCCATCAAAACTGTACCATATCTAGCAAATCAACGAGCCCACGCTGGCACTTTCTTTTCTCTCTGATTGATGACGATGATGATTTGCTTTCCTGATGCAGTGCAGATATGGCTTGGCTTTATATGTGTGTGGCTCTTCGGCCCGAACGCTTCCTTGTTGTTTCAGTAGGTGCCCGGTAGCACAAAGAGGACGGCCCACGGGTCACAGGATGTGATGGCGCACGGTGTGAGGAGGCATTCCGGAGTGTATAAAAAGTTGAGATGCGGCCAACTCATGTGTGCAAAGCATATTGATGGAACATTATTCGACCCGAATGCAGAGCTTGGCTAGCGCGAGCCCAGGATGGCCGTGTGGACACATGATGGAGGCAGACGTCATCCCCATCTCCCCGTCGAAACCAGCGACCCGGCGGGCCGCGATTGAAACCAAGATGGAATCGTGTACCGTGATGCTATGCTGGCGCAGTCTGTGAGCGAAGGTGATTTTGGACGAGTGCCGTTCCCACCAAAAAGCGAGGCTGTGTCGTCAGAGGACGGCGAATCATGCCGGGACAGGATAGGACAGGACAGTTCAGGGATACTAGCGCTGGACATGCCAACATGACTAAACCGACATGGCATGCTTCTTGGAAACTCCACCCACACCCACCCTTCTGCGTACACCAGTCGATGCGTTTCGTCCTCTATTTATCCTCCTTCCCCAGACCGCTCGGCCGTTACATGCTGCACTTGTCCGTTTCCCCCAGCGCCATCTTCCATGCTATGTCGACATGTGGTCGCTCTTTCTGATGCCCTTTGCGCTGCTGCTCGCAATCGTAGCAGCAGATGATCCCGTAGTAACCTCGGATAAGATCAAGGTTTTTCTGTTCGGCGCGCCCGCCTTCTACTCCGAGGTGGGCGTCGAGGTGCGGAATAATACGTGTCTGAGTCTGGACAACAATCTGTTAGTTTGTTTATTTGTGCCCGTATACGCGCTACCTGCTAATATAGCTTTAGCATCGACGGCCGTGTAAAGTCGGCTCTGGTTGGCGGACATGACGTCTTGTCAGTACAAGCCCGAACCGACAGGTGGTACTGTGTACTGTGGGAGTACGCTCTCTTCCCTCGCTACTTACTTCAACGCTGACTGATCGCCAGTAATTACGATTGCCAAGGCGAGAACGAATCGAGGCTTTTCGTGCCTGGGGGTGAAAACAATCTGATGAGTGCCGGTTGGGGATCGCGAGTACATGGTGTCCAGTGCTTCAACCCGGGCGACGACGAAGAAGACTGAACAAGTGCGCCTACTCAAAACACGAACAAACAATCCGCCACATCGAATCGAACCATCATGGCAAACCACTCCCAGGAAAGCGAAGCCCTCCACCGATATCGGGGACGTGTGGATGGTGCATCTCGCCGGGGGCTGGGTCGCGTTGGAAGCATGAGGGGCCTGGTAGTTGCCTTGCGAGCTGGGTAATAACGGCACCCAGCATTGTGTCGCGTCGCGGGACTTCGCAGAATTCCAGATGTGCCTCTGACAGCAAGCACAGGGGAGTGGCACAACAACCTATTCGACAATTCGATGAGTGTCAAGATACACCTTCGCCCCCGAATGAGTTGCAACAATCGATGTATGCTCCAGACCTAAACGACCAAGTATCGTCGCTGTCCCCAGGAAGAAGAGGTTACCACACAGGAGAATGTTATATCAATACGCAGTGGTTCCACAAGGTACATGTAGTAATAAACAAAGTTCATCAGCGGAGCTACACCTCCGCAGTAATGGACACAATACTACTCCTTACCATCACCTCAATCTACCTGGTTGATCCTCCCCTTTCTCTTATTACGAATTGCTGCTTTTTGATTTGACAAATTGCCGACGTCCCACTACTGACTGGCTAGACCCCACACGAACCAGTTCTACCAGGAAACCACACCTAACTCAACATTCAGCCGCCACGTTCGCACCCCCTGGATAAAAGAACCCCAATGGATTTACACATACCTAGACATTTGATTGCATGGATACGTATTAGCCCACCTGTCTAACCAACAATATGTGCACATATGCAACCAACATAGAGTAGATTTATACTTCGTAGTTCATCATCATGTGTTATCCACCATCACGGGTCCCTATGAGTTAGTGTGAATGGAGAGAAAAGTAACAGTGTGCTGGCCATCAGACACTGGTGCGGGGGGAGATTGGGTGCTTCTCCATACACGTAGTTATTATTTCGCTACCTATACGAAGAGTGCAATCTTCCACAAGTCTTGTCATGGTGAGTCAGGACACACGCACAACTAAAGCTTGTAAGAATAGATGAATATTGAGCCGCGAATTTATAACAGTTCGCGTACTCTGGCCATGATGCATATGCCATCTATCTATCTGTACGTGAAAGATGTGTTCGTCTACGAGTCGAATGCAAGCAAAGCAAGCCAGGCGTATGACAAGAGGTGAACGAATGAACAATAACAACAATCGATCCTGATACACTAAAACGACAGGTAGAAGCCTCATTCGTCTCAAACCAGGCCGTACAAAGGCATGGGCATGGGTTTGTAAAGAGCGACCTGCCCAGTCTTCATGCGCTGCTGCTGCTCCTTCACCCCAATGTATGCTTCGCGCCTCGCCGGATCGCCCACAGTGACAGACCAGGTCTTGAGCCCGTAGTATACACCAATGTGATGCACGAGCCAGCGACCGAAGCTGCCGCCCAGATCCTCCGCGGGGGTCTCGAACAGCATCAACTCGCGCTTGGTATGGCTGCTCTTTACGTCCACGAGCGAAGAGGTAGATGCAGCGAGAGGAGATGAGGGGGGTTGGTCAGACATGCCGCCGCTCCGTCCCACGAAGACGATTTCGTCGTCTTCGCTGTCTACGTCTGAAGGCAGTCCTTCCTTCTCCGCTTCGTGCTCTTGCTCCTCCCACTCGGCGACGAATTTGCGCACCTCGCTTTCAAGGTCCATGAGGAGGCCTTTAGCGGCGCGGGAGCGCTTGAGCTTCTCGCGCAACTCCTTGGGAACAATACCGGGGGACGTGGGCTTCTTGGCTACGGTCTTGGAAGCAGCTTTGGCTTGTTCGGCGGCTTTCTTGCGCTCGGCCGACTGGCGTTTGAGTCCAGCGTCCCAAAGCGGAGCGAGATAATAGGGCACGTTGTGAACGGGGTGAGTTGGGCGTACTTCCCAATCATGCGGCTCTGGGGGCTCGACCCATGGGTTGTTCATCAAGCGGTCTGTACATATTAGTCACCCGTATTCTCAAGTGGTGGCGCCCAGCGTTCAACCATACCGTTCTCCCATCGTGTCCTCCTGCGCGATCCCTCTTTGCCCTTGAGTAAGGCTTCACGACGTTTCTGGCTATCCCGACGGAATGGCTCCTGGCGTTTGTACTGACCACCCTGCTTAGCGGCCGTGGAAGCAGCTGCCGGGCGCTCCGAAAACCGCACAGAAGTCGTAGTCGTAGCGTCATCGAGAGGGATCTGGAGTGCAGTAGCGGCTGGGGCTTCAGCGGGCTCTGGTGCCGATATGGCAACAGTTGTCAAGGCTGCTGTTGCTTGCTCAGTCCAGGATTCGATGTCGATGGGCTGTGCCTCTGCAGTGTGTTCAGGGGAATGGATTGCCATTGTTGCGGGATGAGTGGCGTCGCGACCGGTAGTGGTCGACTAGTGAGCTGTAGGGGCAATATATAAGGGGATGCGGGGATGGGGCAAACTTGATGAGGTTTGCCGTCAGGGACTCGCAAAGAGAGCAGATAGCGGACTGGGCTATGCTGGAATGTCAGGAAGCAAACATGGAAGGGCGTCTCACGGATAGATAAAGCTTCCGGCGATAGCAAGCCATCATCATCTATCTATCGGCAGAGCTAGCGCATCGTCCAATCGCACGCGAACGTGGGGTACCTAGATGTGAGACAGGGGGAGTCACACTCCGCATCCTCCTCGGTGACTGTTTTTGGCCAAACTAAGCAGCATTCAACTGTGGGTTCTGGATGAAGCCGCGGCTTGACGATTACATGTTCGTCGACACGTGTACACAAGGTGTATATTGATGTTGGCCATCAATATTTATTTCATTCAACTGATTCTACGCGAAACAAACGAGCAATATTATCATCATCATGTGCAGCGTGTCCAGCACAGCACATAAACAGGGCACTCCTGCTCCACAACGTATATACAGTTACTCGAATTTGGCAAACGCAAGTTCGTAGGCCAGCCCCAAAGTCAGTTTTGCGTGCTGCAGCATGTGGTCGAAGCTCAGATATTCAATCTTATCCTCAGTGGTGTGGATCTTGTTATCCGAATACTTGAAGTCTGACTCAATCACGAACGCAGATGGGTATCCCGCTTTGCTTGCGCTAGCGTGGTCAGAGCAGGCGTAGCCGCACTTTGTGAGGACGTATGGGATCGAGCAATAAGTCGTGATGACTGTCTTGATGAATTCGGTAAGGCCAGGGTCGACGTAATCGGTGATGACTCCAACCGACTCAGGTTCGCCCGCGTCGAGCGTCTTCTGGACGTAACCAGTCATGTCCTGCTGCAGCATGGCTTTTACGTCTCTGCCCTCCTTTTCGTACGACTGGAAGATAGCTTGGCTGCCCAGAAGACCACCTTCTTCAGCAGAGTACCAGTGGAATTCGACTGTGTTGTCTGCTTTTCCCTTCACCACGTCTTCTGATTTGAGTAGTACACGGAGAGCTTCAAGAATTGTGACGGTGCCACTGCCATCATCGTCGGCCCCGGGTGCTGCAAGGAACGAAGGGAGGAACAGGTTGATCGAATCCTGGTGCGCTCCAATCACGACCGTCTTATCGCTCTTCCCCGGTATGGTGGCGATAATAGACGACTGACCCCACGGATGGGAAAACGCTTTTACATGTGCGCCATGGTCGAAAGCACCAGCTTTAGCCAACGTGTCGTTGACTTGGCCCAATAGCCATGCAGACGACTGCGCTCCATAATCGGACTTGTAGTATCGCGTGTGGAACGAGGTAAACTTTTCCAGGTGTTTGCGCATGTTATTCTTCTCGAGCTGCTTGAGGAGTGGAGCAACTGTCTCATTGTGGGCCGTCTTGGTTGGGAATTTGACACTCTGGATACCGATCTCGCGATTCAGCGAGCCGAGCTCAGGCGTATCTGTAATATCGAAGAAGTTGATGCCTTCCTATACAGTAGCATGTCAGCGCATGCTCTCGGTGGCGATCACAGCACCGCGACGGGTCATGATGAAAAGAGACAGAATCCAACGTACCCTTCGTAGCGCCCATTTATCATCTTCAGTAATCCATCTCGTCTCACCTGGGGCCAGCTCTATGAGGTATTGGTCTTGTTCCGCTGTCTGAAGCGGGACTTGTTGTTCTGGCGGGTACACGGCTGAGACAGCTGCCGCAGCGCACAGTGGAAGAAGTAGTGATGATTTCATGGTGATGATAAAAAGACTGCGAGTGTGTATGAATGAGGTGCGAAGCAGTTTACGTCGAGGTGGTTGCACTGAGAGCTCCAGAGCTGCAGCTTGATCAAGCTCGAGCTGTCCCGGTGGCTGGCGGAACTGCGATAAGACGGAACGGGGAACGCGTCATGCACCAATCCACGCGACCACTTTCTACCCTTGCAAGTCCAAGACATAGTTCCTACTTCACCACTCATCTACTAACCAGGCTTTCAAATCGGATTGAACAATGCTACAAGCTCCTATTTGAAGATGCTCATTCAAGACAGCATGACACTACCACTATCACCATTTCGATTACAAGTCAACAGGTCAAAAGTCAATTACGAACAAGACAATTTCAAGACTGTACGGGAAACGAGTGATAAACAATCAAATCTCCATTTCACAGTAGAAAGTCGTCCCAGTCAACGATGAGATTTGTCCGTCTTTCAAAAATCAATCCCGAAAAGGAGTATTGGCAAAACTAATATACAAGAACAGTCCCGTCAGGAAGCGACAGAATGATGTCACTTGGCTATAAAAACCGAAGTGAATCATGTTGGAAGGCACGTTCTGAGGGCGACCAACTTTAGCGTCTGAATGTCTTCAATCACGCTCTGTAGTATCGGTCACACTCAGTCGTCCATCCGTGACGCCGATCAGCTTCAGCTTCATCTTCAGCACCGGCACCGGCATCCCTCTAGCAGTGGCCACATTCGCTAGTCTATCTATAACGGCGGCCAGCCTCAGCATCATCTTTAGCATCGCATCGACATCCCTCTAGTAGTGAACACGTTCGGTAGTCCATCCATAACGGCGGCGAGGTCCAGCATCAGCATCAGCGTCGGCATCCCTCTTGAAGTGGCCACGTTCGGTAGTCCATCCATAACGACGGCGAGGTTCAGCATCAGCACCCCTCTTGTAATGGCCACGTTCGGTAGTCCACCCATAACGACGGCGAGGCTCAGCTTCGGCTTCAGCATCCCTCTTGAAGTAGCCACGCTCGGTCGTCCAACCATGACGACGGTGGGCTTCGGGGTCTGCATCAACATCAGCTTCAACATCCCTCTTGAAGTGGCCACGTTCGGTCGTCCATCCATGACGGCGGCGGGCTCCGTCGTGAGCATCGGCATCCCTCTTGTAGTGGTCCCGTTCGGTCGTCCATCCGTGACGACGGCGATCTTCAGGGCCCGCATCAGCATCGGCGTCAGCAACCCTCTTGTATCGGCCGCGCTCGGTAGACCCGTGGTTCAACCCGCGACGACGGTGAGCTTCGGGTTCTGCTTCGACGTCAGCAGCCGCAATACGTTTTGCATTAGCGTGGTCGGGGTATGCAATGATGCTTTCGACATCTCGCGTCTGATCGTAGCGACCGGGGACGACGTAACGACCAGGGACGTAGCCCCCGAAGGTCCTGGGAGGAGGTCGGGCGACCCGGCTTGAAACAGCCGAGGCGAGGGCAGCCGAGGCGGCAATACAAAGAATGAGGAGGCTCTTCATGATTGATAGGAGAATGCAGAGTTTTGACTGAGGAGTCGTGTGGTGGACATCAGAAGCTTGAGACTGGGAGTATATATACAAGTTTGAAACTGGCATGGAAATGAGTTGGCCAGTTGCCACCTGGATGGCCGCACATTAATCTTTGTCTGGGGAGCCTGGAACAAAAGTTGATGTCACTCTATGCAAAGCATGTCGGTATATCCAGGCGCACTAGAGAGTAAGGAGGAATGAATAGAATGGTAGGAGCTCTGTATCTAGAGCAAGGGGCTTCTGTAAACGCTCGCAACTTCAAGTGGGGTCCAGAAGATCTACCAATGATATCAGTGCCGTAAGTTCGTGCCCCTTGTTCTAGTCTTGAAAATGCCATCGTTCACGTGCGTTGTGTACCTTAGATCCGACTAGCCAGGGGGGAAATATCATCCACGCAACATGTTTCGCCTCAGGGGTGAACAGCCTCCCTCAAAGAGGTAGCTATCTCATCTATGTCATCACAATCAAGGGCTGGACCTGCTAGAGTCTTTCGTACAAAGATAGGTAGATGACTATCAGAACTTACGCGAGTAACCTTCAAGAACCGCCTATTCAAATGTTATCATCAAACCCGCCACCTCACACAAAAGTAATAAAATATAATAATTCTCCTCAATAGTCAACAACGCCACCCATGCAAGTTGCCCGTAGTCACGCCTCTATCTGATATTGAATTAAGCTTCAGCCCAGACCTTATCGTCTGAACGGATAGTCCCCATCTCGTCACTAGTGAAATTCTTTGTTTTCATAGACAGCATAACCTCGCCGTGGACTGGTGAAAGGAGAGTCTTTGTGCTAACAAAGGATCAGACGGAGACAATCGCCGGGCGTCAAAGAGAACAAGACGATTCGAGTTGAATGACCGTTGAGGGTTAGACCTAACGCTACAAGTCCGTGTAGTTTGAATACCGGCGCTGAGTTTTTGCGGCGATAGATGCAATGGGCAAAGAGTCTGTACAAACCCACGTTGGTAAGAACTTACGAATGAGGTGACTACTATATGCTTTGCAGCGAGACATGCTTGTCTTCTAATGAAGGGCCATAGGGTGATGTTTTCCCTATGGCCATCTCTCACGGCGTGACGGTTCAAATATTGCTCATAAATGGTTTGTGTTCAACCGAGCGAGCTTTCTTATACGTGGTTGCTCTCAACTTCAAGAACGCAAAACCAATTATTCACAGGTGTGAATTCGAAGACGTGCACTCTCCTGCAGCAGTTTCCCGCGTGATATTGAATACTCAAACATGCACGTGTGGTCGTGAGCATGTGTAACACCACGGCTTCTAGCACCGCTCTTGAGCGGCACATTCACAGATTTCAACCAATGGAGCATGTCCATTCTCTCGATTCACCACGCATACATCTCACCACCGCTCAATTCATGACAACAGCTGATTATACCTACTAACACTATACTCCTAACGGCTTGGAATCGTACAATGAGTACTAATCTAAGTACACTTCCCTGCTCCATATACTAGTCCGGATGTCCGTAGAATGAATACTGTACTTGTTATAATTACGCAAACTGGAGACCGGACTTCTCGTTGGGGACCAGAACCGATTCATAAAGCAGCATTCATTCGTTTGCGATTTTGTAGCGTGAGCATGTATCAATGAGATTTCCACCCTCACATTGAAATACTGACGTTCAGCATTCCATGAGGAAACGCAAAGGCGGTGAGTAGGGAGGTATTCACATGGCCTTTAATCGAATAGTGGGGGGAGGGCAGAGGTCAAGCAGTAGGTGGGACAAGCGTGCATGGTATTCCCGCTCCTGGAAACGAGAATTGCATACTGATGACACCTTGGAGTATCCATTTTCCTTCATTTCTTCGTCAGTTCGATTAATGTAACTCATTGATCTATCTCTAATCGCACCGTGCAGGGAGAACAAGAACCAGAACGAGAGGTGTCCAAGAACAGCACTACTCTTCACCACCGAGAACGTAGAGGAGAGAAGTATAGCAGACTTGTACAGCAAGGGACCCAACCTTCTCGAAACCATCCGTCTACCGCCTATCCCCCAAATAAGAGAACATGCCTCAGAACTCTTCCTCCACCCCATCACCCTCATCCCAAACAAGCCCTAAACCCAAACATCCGAAAACATCCTGCCGCCACGAACTCTGTCCCATCCCATTCTACGAGACCCCATCCCCATGCCCGCCACCTGCCCCCATCCATTCCAACACCCCCTCACCCACTTGCTCCCCCTCCTCATCATCATCCTACCTTCCTATTTTCTCGCGATTCTCGCCTTCGTCGGTCTTCTCCACGCCTTCGAATTCGCTGAGTCCGAAGTTTATGTATACGGCTCAGTCGTATTATCCTATCCCGCAGCAGCCTGCGTCCGAGATGAGAGTCGAGGCCAAGGTCAAGACCAAGGCCAAGAAGGAGGTAGAGTGTGAATCAGTGTATTACACTCCAGCAGCGGAATTTCCCACCCAAGACTGTACGTCCGATCAAGGAAAAGGGGAAGAAGGAGGAGGCAAAGGTAGAAAACAACCCCACCCACCATCCACAACCCCAAGCCTCTCTAACATGGAAGAAGACACGAGTCACAAAATCAAAAAAGAGGAAGAAGATGGGAGATCAAAACTTCTTCCCCAACCATCGACCTCGCAATACACACAGGAAGAAGAAGAAAAAGAGGAGGAGGAAGACGACCCACCGGAATCATCCATGATAGCTCTGTACTCACTAGGCGGACCCCTCTGCGAGGAACACACATCCGAGCTATACGACAGCGTGGGGGAAATGTATGATGGGTGGGTGTGGGCTACGACGCCGATTGGAAGGACGCCGACGAGCGACGAGACGTGGGAGGAGCATCTGATTGAGATGGGGGTTTTGAGGAGCGTGGGAAAGAGGGATGGGAAAAATGATGGTGGTGATGGTGGTAGAGAGGGAAAAAGGGAGGATGATGATGCGAGAAGAGAGGCAGATGGGACGAGGAAAGGTAATGGTGGAGAGGAGATGGAGAACGGGAATATGAAGGTGGTTAATGAGAGTACTAAATTTCCTGAAAGCGGATCGAGAAGGGGGATTTTTCGTTGGATATATGGGCTAAAGAAAAGCTACAGGAAAGAGCCTCATCACTGACCACTCACACTGTTCAATCGCATGGTTCATTCACATATCATTATCTGTTTGATTGGCTGATGATAATGGAAATTGAACATGATATTGCCTACGTAAGCCCTCAAATAATACAAGATACGTCAAGAAGAAAAATACCTCGACCTCCTCAATGGTTCTTACATTATTACAGCGTGATCAATCTCAACCAATTCGCGATTTTCCGAACGGTAGAACGCCCACATACGCCTTCGCTTACCAGTGTCAACGAACCGAGCGATCTCATTTACCATACGCCTTGTCGACTTCCTTTTGGTAAGTCTCCAAGATGCCCTTTCGGTTGACTTTCTGAGCAGCGGTTGTCAAGCCCTGGGTTTGATAGTCAGTTCATGTTCGATGGTGGATATTTTCTTTCGTTAACTTACATTCTGGGGTGTCCATTCCTCGTCAGCAAGAACAACACCAGCGACGATCTCGAAGCTAGCGAGGCCACTCTTTTGGCCTGCAGACTGCAATTGCTTCAGCACAGCGTTGTTGAGCTTCTCGTTGTGGACCAGCTCTTCTACGTTCTCACCGCTGACACCGTTCTCTTTCGCAAGCTTCTTCAGGGCCGGTTCAGCTGGGACAATGATAGCCACGGGCTTCATTTGATCCTGGGCCGCGTAGATGATGATGTTGGCTACAATCGGCACAGAACGGTAGATGGACTCCAGCTTCTCAAGCGCAATGTATTCGCCGGCAAGGGTCTTCACCAAATTCTTCTTGCGGTCAATGATCTTCAGTTGACCCTTGGTATCGAATTCGCCAATATCCCCGGTCTTGAACCAACCATCGTCGGTGAAAGCTTCTTTGGTCTCCTTCTCAAGATCGAGATAACCGGCTGCAACGCCTCCGCCCCGTATCCAAATTTCACCCTGGGGAGGGGTGTTTTTGGCAAAGTATCCAGCGTCGGCAAAATCGACCAGTTTTATTTCCACGCAAGCAGGCATCTCGCCAACGGCACCGTCGGTCCAGGCTAGAGGATCCATCAACGCACCCATTGCGCTGGTTTCGGTAAGGCCGTAACCACTAATCATTGGTGTGATGGCCAGGGAAAGGAAGTTCAAAGTCTCTTTCGAGACAGGGCCTCCGCCGTTCATGCAGATGCGCAGGCGGCCACCTGTGGCATCCTTAACCTTGCTGAAGACTGCCGAATCGAGCAGGCCTGGTCCAGGAAGCCCGGCGTTGAGCAAGAAGCGCTTGGCAGCCATGGCACCCCAGAAAACTTTGGAAGTGAGTGCGCCGCCGGCCTCCACTTTGCCCATAATGCCCTTCTTGATTGTCTCCCAGACCTGGGGAACACCTACTAGAACGGTAGGCCGAAGTTCGCGGATGTCGCCTTTGCAGTTTCGGACTGAAGTATCCGAGAGGGTCCTGATGGTTCCATAACCCATAGTTCCGCCCCAATAGAGAACGGCATTCTCAAACACAAACTCGAGAATATGCGCAGCGGGAAGGTAGGTAAGAAGAGAATCACCTGGGCCGAGGTATTTGCCTACGATGGCGTCTACACCAGCGACTATTTGCTGTTAGTCGCGGTACTCGAAGTCGGCGGAGTCAACTTACTGGCAGCTACTACATTACGGTGTTTGAGAAGAACGCCCTTGGGTGTTCCGGTAGACCCGGAGGTGTACATGATGCACGCCAGATCCTCGGGGGCAGGAGGCACCGGTTCGGCGGGGTTATCTCTGCCTAGAGCCAGTAGCTCGTCAAAGCTAAGGACATTCACATGTGGGTGCGCATCCTTCAAGGTCTGGATGTGTTTCGCCTCGGCCTTGTTGGTTGTGCTGTAAATGACTGTGGTCACATCTTTGGCGTCATTGAATGGTTTTACGAGCTTGGGGAGCAGGTGCGGGTCTGTGAACATGATCTTTGCCTTGGTCTGCAACATGGAGTGCTTCAAGCCCTCCTCTCCGAGAGTATCGTAGGCGGTCACAATGGACATGGATTGCGATATGGCACCTAATGCAGGTCAGATGGCTGGTTCGAGGCAACTCGTATGGGGCAAGATGAGCACAAACCGTGTGCAGAGCTTAGCCATTGCATGCTTGTAGCAGCGTACAGGTGGCAGCGATCCTGTGCTGAGAGGCCCAAGTGCCTCATGCCAGAACCGATATCGAGACACAGCTTCTCGAATTCAATGAAGCTCTTGAACTCGTAGGGGCTCAGCTCAAAGTACTGCCATTTCTTGTCCACCTCCTGCTCTTTACCGTCGACCATCTTCTTGATCTTCTTGGTTTCCTCGTGGACATCGATGACCTTGCGCGCGCCCACGGCCTTTGCATTCCCAAACTTGGCTGATGAATAGCGGAGGACATCGTGGAGGGTTTTTACGTCATCGGAAGGCGTCAGTCTCAAGGCGTCCTTGAACTTTGCGTTGCGACGCGGTATGGTCTCGCCGTCGACTTTGTCGAAGCCCGGAGCTTCGACGGTGACGTTGGATGTGATGGAGGCCTTGGCCTGGGGCATGAGCTTCTTGAGATCTTGCGGCATGATGACGACGGGCGGGAGGGGTAGGAGGGAGAGGAGAGGCGGGAGGAGGATAGACAGAGGAACAACAGCGAAGATGGCGAAGCTAAGTAGTGCCTGCCGAGGAGATGGGTGTCTTCTGCGAGCAATGTTTGGAGAGAGAGAGAGGAGGGAGAGGTTTGAGGGGGCAAGCTAGTCTACAATTGCAGGCTCGACCGTCTGCTGCTGGAAAGACAAGAGCAAACGACGTGACAAGGAGCTAGGACCTTCCAAGATTTCTGGGGGTGGCCACTGCTCTTGCCTGCCCGCCTGCCTGCCACCGCGATTCTTTACACGCGCACAAGACGATGACGCAGGCGCCCAGGCTTACATTACATGTATCGTCACGCTGCGCCGGCTGCTGCTCCACCACGAATTCGTGTACTCATCCACCCGCAGTCCTCTTGCTTGCGCGCACCCGAGTGGTAGCTGGCAAAGTTGAAGCACAGTGCTTTTAATCTACCAGGCACCCGCTATCTCTATCAAAGTCCGCGCCAAGCAGCACTGAACAGGAGTCCTCGTCGCCCTATTAGTCGGCCTAATCTGTGCTCGCGCGTGTTGATCTTCGCGCTCCCACGTAAAAACTGACTAGAAAAATACCCAGCTTCATCTTTTATACGAGACACAAAGCGCCGACATATTCGGTCCTGTACTTTGGAAATAATACGTGCTCTTAACGTCAGCTACAACTGTAAAGACTAAAAATACAGCAGTCGTTTGTACCTGGTACCGAGGTGCGGTTGAAATGTCTAACTTGAAATGTTTGCTTTCCCTCACTACATGGCCAGATTAATACGCAGCTGCAGCCATGGACACTCTCCAGAACCTCTTGGAGCCTGTGATTGACCCGGAAGAAGGTACGCCTCTAGCAAGCCAAAAGGCATGGCGCTCCAATGACCTCCTCACCCTGTATTTCCAACGCCCCTCGGTACCACGCTCTCCTCGTATCGACATACTTGCACAAGTCCTATTTGGGAAACTAACTCTCCCTTCACCGTACCATGCAGATGCTTTTGTTGTCTTCTCGCAAGCCATACCATCCGAGTCCCTCGGCTTTGTTGACCCCAAGGCTCACGAGCTGTCCGTCTCCGTCGGCGACAAACACTTCACCATTCGCCAGTCTCGAAGTCTGCTGACCTCGAACCGCAAGGAAGGCACGACAGGTGCAGGTTCGTCTGTTCGCGTTCCCCTCTGGCCTTTTTCTTGGCCGTCTTGGGTATTCGCTAACGTAGACCGCAGTTGTCTGGAAGGTCACGCCTCTATTTGCCGAATGGATATCTTCCCCGGACAATGTCCTCACCAAACATGGCTGCCTAGGCCCCGAATCTACTGCCATGTACGTATATGCACATTCGCTGGGGGATCAAGACACCACATGAAGTCGACAGCTACCATGTGCTTCTGATGCAGAGGATTGAAAGTAGTCATTCTTCCTCACGCCTTGCTGACTCTGTTGGATTCTAGTGAACTTGGCGCTGGTGTATCTGGGGTCGTGGCGCTTTCCCTTGGGCCCAGCATCAGACGCTACATTGCCACGGATCAAGACTATGCGATCAAGCTGCTCCAGCAGAACATCGCCGAGAATTTGCCCGCCGTGTCTTCGTCAACTAGCACCAGCGCCAGAACGAAACAGAGATCGAAGAAGAAGACAAACAACAACAGAGATATTGCATCACAAGCATCATTGACCAATATCGAAACTCTCGAGTTGGACTGGGAAGAGGATTCCATCTCCTCATTACCGTCATTACTGAACCTGAATGATCGGGGAGTGGACCTGGTCATCGCCTGCGATTGCATCTACAACGAAGCTTTGATCGAGCCGCTCAACAGCACCTGTGCCCAGATATGTCGATTACGCACATCAACTGGATCGCAAACACCTACCATCTGTCTTGTTGCCCAGCAACTGCGCTCGCCCGATGTATTCGAGTCCTGGCTAAAGAGCTTCCACGCAATGTTCCACGTCTGGAAGGTTCCTGACGAACTCCTCGCCGAAGGGTTAAGGGAAAACTCGGGTTTTATTGTTCATTTAGGGATTGCACGATGACAGCCTTTGCGTGTACAATGCAAGCTCAAGGCAAGACAAATGGCGTGGGTCATGACTGCATAACGGTGGGACAATATCAGCGTTCAAGGCAAACGGGTGGAGACTCGAAATCTCCCGGCTACGTTGGTTGAAAGAATGTTGTTGTCTCGGCAGAGAACGATGTGTGAACAAGTGTTTGTTTACACTGATCATGTTGTGAGCAACAGTGAATAAAGCGTGGTGCAGCTACCGTTGTAAAGACTTCCAATCGCGATTCAGGCTATCCTATATATCGCATACACGAGTCGGAAGAGACGGCCCATGATGGGTGCGCTAGGTACGATGCATTCGATGCGCCGGCCCAGACGAGCGGGAGTGTCTATAACAGCACCCGTCGTGGATATTCTCTTCGGATTCGTATGGGCGATTGACAGGATGATCCAGGTCGCGACCGAATATTACCGTCGGTCACGACCATTGTCGGCGACAGAGTGTTGTCTCGGCGGCAGATTCGACATTGGCACAATATGTGGGAGTGTGGCAAAGATCAAGATGTTGGTGGGACTAGGTATTGTGGATGTTCTGTGTTTGTTTTAGTGTGCCCGCAAGTCAATGTAGAAGAGTAGGGAAATGTGGTGCGACAAGTCTAAGAGCAGGCACAGGCAGGTTGTGACAGGGTGGGGAATCGGGTCGGAGGGACGAAGTGATGGGAATGAAAAGCCAAGTGGATGTTCCGATGACTGCATATCGAGGGAGGGAGAGGACGAGGACGAGGTGGCGATGACGAGTGGATGATGAGACCTAAGACTCGGGCACAAGGCAAGGCTAGCAGGCCAACTGCCGGCGAAAGGGCATCGTGGACCGGGATGGGGTATGTAGCAAACACAGCCGCCGCCACGGACAGGTGTCCTCGTCTTTGGTTGTGTGTTCTGTCCCCTGTTCCCTGCGTAGAGCCGTCAGACACGGTTAAGGCGAGGGGAGGTGATGACAGCGGTACTTGATGACGAGACGGGCGTCGAGGACAAAGAGGGGCAGGGTGAGAGAGGCGGGTTCGAGGAAAGAAAGCGTCAGAGAGGGGACAGATGGGGGATTGGAACAGTGGAGGAGGAGGGGGCGTACGTGTACAAGGAAAGGAATGAGAAAGCAGCAGCAGTTGGTGCGGGGTGAATCCATGGTCAGCGTTTCAGTTGTGTGCTAGTGAGAGGCCCAGCCGTTGCCGCGCCCAGCCGAACTCGTGAAGGGATGGATGGAACGGGTGCAGCAGCCAACAAAGCGACAGTGGAGCGGGGTGGACTTGAAAGTTAGTTGAGCAGGTATTGCATGCACAGTCAGACGGGGCGTGAGACCGAGTGTTTGCGCGGTGGGTGCATAGCCACAAGGCAGCAAGCAACGAGGTTATGTAGGATAAAGGGCGCGAGCACACGATGATGGCTTTTCAACCACAGATGTGATGCAATCAAAGAGCAGAGGTGTCGAGCTTGCTGTTTCAGTCGTCCAGTCATCACCAACTCTAAACCCGGATGCTTCGAAATATACGCAGGCAGCGCGCGCGTCTCTCTCCCACAGACGACGATAATCATAACAACAACAACACAACAACAACAATAACGCGATGCAGCCATCATGATCCCTCAGCCCAGCCCAGCCAACCCAAACCGGCCGGCTTTTTTTGGCTGCCTGGCCTGCTAGCCCGCCCTGGGCCTGGCTGGCTGCACGGCTCGGGCTGCTCATTGGGCCGCGTCTCCCGTCGCAAGCAGGCCGCGCTCGCTCGCAGCATGGAACGCCCCCCTCTTCCCGACTGTCGACCCAACCAGCGACAACTCTCCTCATTTTATTATCTGCCCTCTCTCTCTTTCTCTGCATACCATACCAGACCAGACCATACCATACCTTCCGCACACTGCTGCTTGCTGCTACTCCATCCGTATCCTGCCTGGACTGAGGCTCTGCCGCAACACTCTCTTCTTGCGCCCATGGCACCCAGCGCGCGCCTGGCCGGCTCGTCGCCCGCCCGTCTGCTGCTTGATTGACTGATTCATCTGCTCTGCGCCGTCTCGTCGTAGCATCATGACCGTGCTGACTTGATGGCCCGACTGACTATTCCTGAAGCCTTTCGCTAACTCCCTCCACCACAACCAGCGGACAAATCCATAGGTTTTCGCTCCCAGTCTGCACGGACCCAACGCTAAACCTTTCCAGTCCCTCTTCCCAAGGCGCCTGTGAGGACTCTCTAACCCACACACTCTCTGTCTCTCTCTCTCTCCCCCTCTGCTGCTTCTGACTCTACTCACCTTCCGACACCCTCTCTGATCCCGCCAGATTCCACTCTCTGCCTCTCTTCCTCCCATTCACACTTCCGCAACCTCCGCCCCCCGTCTCTTTCTGTGCGCGCGACGCCTCCTCCTCCTCCCGCTTTGTTGCCGGCTCGCCTCCACTCGCCTCTTCATCCCTCCTCTCTCGCTCCTCTCCCTCTCTGTTCCTCCTCCCCCTTCAACACCTGCGCCGTGCTTCTACTTGCCTGAAAATCCTCCCAAACCATCTCCTGGTCGATACCTTGCCTGGCCTCTTCGTTTTCTGACTTCCAGCTGTCCCGCTCCATCTCGCTGCCCTTCGCTGCTCACCTCGAGACCCGCCACGAAAGCCTCTTCTCAGCGCCCTCGACGCTTCGAGTCCCACCCAACGCAGTCCACACGCAGTCTCAATCGTCGCCAACGGCCGTTGCACGTCGTCTGGACAAGTCGTTCTCTGTTCGGCTCCGAGTATCTGCGCGTTGGTCGTCATGCGATCCAAGGCACCGAGAACCTGAGCTACCCACCACTCCATCATCTACAAACACATCGACCTAGCGCGACGGCCGGAGTATGACAGACGTGTCGTCGGTCCAGGCGCACGCTGACATTCAGCCGGCTTCTGTCGCCTTGTACCCTGGTCCTCCACCTCCCGCTTACCTCAACGGCTCCCCTGCCCTGGATGGAACCGTCGAGGCCGAGGAATCCTCGACAATCAAGTGCATCTGCGGATTCTCCGACGATGACGGCAACACCGTGCTGTGCGAAAAGTGCAACACCTGGCAGCATATCCTGTGCTACTATGACCACTCTCCCGTGCCCGACGTGCACTTGTGCACAGAGTGCTCCCCTAGACCCATTGACACCAAGAGCGCCGTCGAGAAGCAGCGACAGCACCGCGAGGTGCACGCTGTCAACGAGCGCAAAGGCAGGCCGAGGACAACCACCAAGAGCCACAAGAAAAGGGTAAAGGATCCTCTAGTATCTGTGCAACCCAATGGTTGGGCTGTACATTCCAACAACGATCTGCAGTACCCTTCAGAACGCAAAAGTGGTAGCCCTCGAGATCAGGGTCCTCCGACGAAGCGACCCAAGACTAGCCACCGCTCGTCTGGTTCCATCGTCAGCCAGGCGCCAGCGCTCGCTCCAGCGTCACGGAAACGCACTGGGTCCGTCATGTACAACGGTCACAGTCCCGTGAAATCTCCCACAGAAGCCGAAGGTCCCATAGAGGACTTCTCTGTCGAGTTTATGAATCTTTACCGCCAACCTGAGCCGCAGCCGACCAAGACCAACTCATACACCGATCTACGGGTGGCCAACGACATCGCCTCGTGGCTCAACGATCGAGATGCTTTGGTCGAAGCCACAGGCGGTATTAGCCCAGCTCACGTCTTCCAACGCATCGAGCAATCCATAGAAGACATGGAAGCCTCACATGCTCCCCGCATCATCAAGCAGATCGAGGAGGATACCAAGTTCACTGCGCACAATCTGCATCCACAGTGGCAGTTCCTTGTAGCCGATAGCGGGATTGCCGATGGCGGTTTCATTGGCGAACTCAAGGGCCGCATAGGCAGGAAGCAAGACTACTTTCTGGATCCTGCCAATCGCTGGGAACTATTGCGCCACCCCGAGCCCTTCGTCTTTTTCCCCCCTCATCTACCAATATACATTGACACGAGACAAGAGGGCACCATCCTACGCTATGCGAGAAGGAGTTGCAACCCGAACATGGTAATGAAGATACTCACCCAGGGAGCCGAGAGCGGCTATCACTTCTGTTTCCTCGCCATGCGAGACATTGAACCCGGCGAGGAACTCACCATAGGTTGGGACATTGATTCCGCCATCCGACAGCAGTTGGAAAAGGCGGTTACCAATGGCGACATCAAGAAGGAGGGCTTCAAGAAGATACAGCCTTGGGTGGCTTGCGTCCTGGCCAACTTTGGCGGGTGCGCTTGCGACACCGCGACCGGATTCGAGTGCTTGTTGGAACGAGCTCGCCGCAATGCAACAGCTAACGCCGATTCGTTGCAACCCCTGAAATCGACCAAAGGCAGAAAGACAAAAAAGGCCCAGGTATCACCCATGAGTACCGGGCGTGCCACCAACAGTCGTGCTGGTAGCGAAGCGTTCTTGCGCGATGCTCCCGACGACGATAACGCCGAAAGTCGATCAACATCGGGTTCTCACAAGTCAAGTAGTCGCGATATCACACCTGCAACCCATTTATCAGTGGACGACGGCACCACCAAGATGTCGGAACGCGAAAGGCGGAAGCTGCAGCAACAGGAGCGCTTGTTCGAACAACTGGAATACGACGAACAGCACAAGGGAAAACGGGGAAAGAGGAACAGCGCCGGGTCCAATCTCAATACACCTGGCCTCCCGTCTTCCGTAAGACGATTCTCACGACTGTCACAATCCATTGCTAACTCAGATTTGCAGAAACAGTTTGGAGCTGGGGAATCCTCTTCACGTAATCCCCGTGAGCACAGCAATGGTGTTGCTCGCAAGACTTCTGGCAGTTCCACCAAAACGAATGGGCGCGCCGCGCCGAAGCCCAAACCGCAATACGTCGACATATCAACCCAGACAGTGGAAGACAATACGAACGCTGTATGCGTGACACCGCTGAAGAATGGGTCAATGGCCCCTCCACGCATATCTTATAAGCGCAAGCTCCATCAGCTGGCCCATGACGAGAAAGTCCTGAGGGAGCGCACAAGATCTGCTTCCGTCAAGGTCGAGGTCAAATCGCCCCCCGCTATCTCAGATGTCGTTCCCAGCAAACAATCTCCCATTGCGTCGTCTGCTCCCCTAGATGAACCTACCGCTATGGACATATCGGTTGAAGCGCCTGCAGAGTCCAATGTGGAGGATCCTTCATCTCCGAAAGAAGTCGAAGAATCCGTTCCTGTTGAAACCGCAGATGCCGGCATCAAAGACGTAGAAATGCAAGATGCTGAAGAGACAACCGCACCGTCACCAACCTCATCTACGGTAGAGGAAATGCCCGATGCACCAGAACCTGAACCGGAGCTAGAGCCTTCCTCCGAGGATCCACACCCTCTCACACAGCTGCCGCCGTCTCCATGGCCGATCACTACGCCCGCGCCCCAGGCAGAAGAGAAGCCTGCTGCTGAGCCAGCCGACAAACCCCAAGACAAACCCGCCAGCATGCGCTTGGAAATGCCGGAAAAGTCGGATACAGCAAACACTGAGCCTTCTCCCAATGCACTCGTTACTCCTGGGTCTGTCTCAAGCGTACTGACTGGTAGCGCGATTGCACAGTCACCTGTCATCAGTTCTTCCAACCCTTCTCCGTTTTCCCCTGCGGTAACGATTGCGGTAAACCCAGGCCCGGCTCGCAAAAAGCTAAGCTTGAGTGACTATACAAGCAGGAGGGCAAAGCTGGCACAGCAAACATCAACCTCCAGCACAACACCTCCTCCACTTTCTCAATCAACAACTTCACCTACGATGGAAAAGCTCACATTGGCGAACGCCGTGTCCCCATCGTCCGAGAAAGTCGAACAGGCTTTGCCGACAGTGACGGAGGAATCGAAACCAGCGGACGCACCAGTTGATGCGCCCTCGTCCAATGCGACAATCTCTACTTTCCCTTCGACTTCTGCTGCGTGAGCGACAACATCTCCGCTCTTTTCATTTTCTTTCCTCTTCTTTGATATCCCACTGAGTCGTTCAGTCCAAAAGGCGCTCAGCAGGGCGCTGAGCGCCACTATTATGGCTCACCTTTCTTGCTCCTGTACATTATGTAATGCAGTCGATGCGATGCGGACCTTCTTCACTTCTTTGTTTTGTTTTCTTTCCATTGTTCAAGATATTTTTTCTCTTCTAAGCGCTTGGTCGGCGCTTTGGGGCAAGGGTCTTTTTCACGGAAGAGTTTTCTCAATGATTGCTGGGCGTTTTTTAATTTCCCTTCGATCCGGCTCGCGGCGTTTTGGGAAGTGGATTATCACGACCGCGTGTGTGCCGGCAGGATGATGAGAAGGCGTTGAGGGATCAAACGGGGAACATGTCTACTTGGGAAGCAGAGGCTATTTTTTTATTCTCTCTCCTTTGTCTCGCCCTCGATGGCATACAACGCTACTGTGGCGTTTGTCTAGGCGCCTCGCTTTTCTCTCTTCCTCATGTTCTGTCTTGATGAGAGCGGCCCCCGAGTTTCACTCCAAAACAAAAAAAAGTTTTTCTTGGGTGAGAGAGAGAGAGAGAAAAGTTGGACGTTCTTCTGGTAGGATAGACTAGGTTCTCACTACTTTTCCAGCCAACAATGAGCAAAAGCCACACCCCTTGACTACGCTTCCATGCGAGAAAGGGGTGATATTTGAACAAACAACTCCTGATGATCGTCTATGTTTTTCTCTTTTCTTTTGGTGACTGCCTTGCGATTCGGTATGCTTCCAATCATGAGCATTTCTCCCGTCCGTTCTGCCCCCTTCTCGTGATTTCCCTTTTACTCGAGTTCGTTTACACCCCGTGGATCGAAACAAAGGCAGTACGACGAAGAGATGAACTCTTTTCGAGTTGATGACTTCCCACTGGCTATAAATTTGGCAAGGAGTGGAAGAAATTTACCCCCTTTATTGTTCATCTTCTCACCCCTCGGATGTGTTCCTCATCGAAAGGGAAGGAGTGAATACAGGAATTCATGTGAGTAGTTATCGGGAACTGTAGTTTGTGAGAGAGGAATGCCATTTTACGAAAACACATCAAGTGTACCAGGATATATATACATACATACATACATATGAACAACAAGTAATAAATACACACCAAGATACATCAGTTACATAAAAAAGGGAGAATCATTAGCGCAGCAACCAACAAAAACACTCAAAACATAAGAGAGCGGTATTAGTTTCCCCCTCCTCCCCAACTGTCCCTTCCTCATTCCAATCCAAAGAGACAGACTTTCCTTGCCATGATTATTTATTTAATTTACCCCCACCTCATCCTTGCACGATTCTCTGCCGCCACCTTCTGTAACGCAGCGCTCCCATTCCCGCTCCTGCCACCGACAGCACCGGCACTAGTACCAGTTCCCCCAGTGTTTCCAAACGAGGCAAAGGCATCAGTGGGAGAAATGGTATCCAATCGAATCCTAGAGTGCTCAATATCAACAACATCATCGTCGTCATTGTCGTGTTCATCTTCGCTATCCCCATGCTCTTCATATGAAGCGTTCGCCGCGGGATTAGTCGTAGTAGTACCAGCAGACGCACTTGCAGGATTCTTATACACGTAGTCGAAATGAAAGGGACTGGACAAGCTGGAAGATGTAGTCGCGGCTGTCGCTGTCGCTGTCGCTGCTACTGACGGTAGCTGTAGTGCACTGTCATCGTCTACCTCTCTCCTCAATGGATGAATCTTGAACGCTGCTGTCCCAGCAGGATCATGGCTTCCTCCCGTCTCCATCTCTTCGTTTGTATCGTCATCGTACTCTGATATGACGTTTGTCTCGGAGACTTGTTTTGAAATTCCGTCCTCGTCGGCGCCGCCGCTGTCGTCGTCTTCGTTGGTTTCTTCATTCGTAGTCTGCATACCACCAATCATCATACTATTGCTATTGAAGTTATTGCTAACAACACGGGAATACGTCCCCGTCTGCGGACTGACATCGAAAATCCCGCCGAAACTGCGGTTCGACCGCGTTGACAGCGCGCGGTTGATGTTGTGGGATTTTCGGTCCGGGTAGAGGTGGTAGGGAGGCGATAATCCAGTGTCGATGTCATTATCACCGTTGTTGTTGCTATTGCTTTGGTTTTGGCTGTAGGGCGAAGATGAGTATGGCATAGAGCTGAACGTCGGGAAGTAGCTTGGAGGGGGGGAGACTGGGGGGTTAGATTGAGCGCTGAGGTAGCCATGATTGTGAGTGTTGATCGGGCTGTGATGAGGATGATGGTGAGAAGGAGGTTGTGCTTGGTGGTAAGGGTAAGGGTTAGGGTTAGGATACTCCATTGGAGAAACATTGTTATATGACGGTTGAAGAGGTAGGGGTGGTGAAATTGCTCTCCCAGTACCAAAATTCAAAAATTCGTTTGCTCTAGATCCAGGGCTTGCATATGGGGTAGTATGTTGAGATTGCGGAGACGTTTCGATATCTGCTTCCTCACTCCTCGACATCATCGGGGATAAATGAATACCCAATCCCAATTCTACTTGCCTTCGACTCGTAGTACCCAGATTGCTCAAGTTACGCTGCGGAACGGGATGGTTTTCGGGGTGAATAGGGAGGGAAAGAGGTGGAGGAGTGAGATGAGGAGCTTCGGACCATGGGTAGAAGACTGGACTTTGGGGTTCTGTATTTCTGACAACCGTGCTAGCTTTCCGGTCCGCTTCGTTTCGAAGCCCTTTGAGTCTGCCCCAGAAGAAGAATAGCATGGCTGCGAGGACTACGACGCCGATGCATCCCATGACTACCCCGGCAATAGCACCACCGCTTAGCTTGCTGCCCAATCTGGGAGTAACGTTGGGGTCGGTGGAGCTGCGATCACTATTTGGTATTGAAGACGGGGTGGATGAGGAAGCTTCTATCGGGAAAGGTTCGCCCGGTTGAAGCATGTAGGAGCTGTTCTGTGCGAGTTGTCGTTGTGTGGTGAGGGATACAGATGAGTTTGGGTTGATTACGCCGACCATGCCGTATCCTATACATGAATTTGGCGCGGAGCAGTAGAAGAAAATAGGCGATGTATCGTTGACTCGGATAGAGTATTTGGGGGGCTATGATGTTTCCATGAGTCAGTTTTACTTTCTCCTGGTATTCATTCTCTTTTCACTCATGTGATAAAATCAGGGACTTACCTCGTCGAGAATGATGTCGACAGGCTGGAAGCCCGAGAAAAAGCCTCGTTTCGAAGCTTCCGTCTTCTCATACGGAATGCATGGATACTTATACTCTGCGCGCACGACGCTGTGGTTCGCGGGATAGAAGGCAAACTCGATAATCTAAGCCCTGGTCAGCCAAAATCCAACCCCTTCACATTCATTCTATCCCGACAAGGTTCGTGGAAAGTCAAACAAAATGAAAGAGGCTGGTACAACATACATCCCCAACGTTCGCTTGCACGACATCTGGTCGGAACTTGTGGTCGGCCTTGCCCACCTCGACAGTGTGTGTTTGCGGTGGCGCCGTGCTGGTACTGCGTGCCCCTGACGCTACCACCGAATCCAATGTGGAAAAAGTAGCACTCGAAGATACGGTGCTTTCCGCGCTTTTCGAAGTTTCGCTCGTCGTAGACTCAACACTCTGCACCATTGTAGAGGTGGTGTCTCCAGCGCGAGCGATATGCGGAGAGAACGCCGCGAAAAAGAGTGCGAGGACCGCCCAAGACGGGGATTCTCTGGAGAAGAAACGCATGCTGAATCGAATTTCTACCTCTTCTACCCCTGGAAGGAACGAAGAGGCTGTAACCTTGAGGAAGGTGTTGTGGTCAACTCGGTAAGAAGTTAAGTCTGCACGTCTTCGTTTGCCTTGTGCGCAATTGCAACAAGCCACCTAGAACTGATCGACCAAAACAGACACGCAATCTCTATGATCATGCTATACGATGGAAATGGAAGAATCAAATGAGGCCAGGGAAGGAACATCACGCAAAAGCCACGCAATGAGTTAAGGAACAATCAAACGACTCGATTCTAGCTAAACCCTACACAATGGATAATCCGAGCCTTCAATCTGTTTGAAAAAGATGTAGATGATATCTTGACGTTGGGTTACTCAGAGAGGTGGCGTTCCTAGTTCGCGGTTTTGTTTGTGGCATGTTCTTTGAAATTGCAGCCCCCTGGTAGAACCAACAAAGAGTTACGCTCTAGACAAGTTGGAGTGAGGCAACAAAAAGAATCATTTATTGCGCGTGGCGAGAGAAGTCGGCGACAAAGACATGATCAAAGACGACTTAGTCGATACTGATTGTGTCTTTGCAGGACACGAGAGCACCACACATCGGTCTTCCGAATGATAGGCCGTACCATGATATAGAGCACCGATCCCAGGTGAGCTCTCTCGAGGGTAGTCCCCCCCCTCGCGCATTCTAATTACTCGGACATAACAAGGCAACGATTTGCTAGAAACATACCAATTCTCACTTGGCGCCAACTCTGAATGATATGTGTCACCCCAACGCTAAGTATTGCGACACGCATTCTCAGAAAGGATGGATATGAGACTGTAAAATTCTACATTTAGAGGTCGACGTCGTGAATCACTCATCATGTCTGTGGCCGACATATTTGACTCGCTGGTATGCTAACGTGGAATTATGTTCATTCATTTTTAGATTGTTTAGGGTTTGTTTTGTAGTTTAGATGAAAAGTTTTTTTTCCTCCTCCCTTATAAGGATACTGCATCATTCGTCCAATATTGTCGTTTTCTCGTTAAAATCTCGCTCGACCTCGTTTTTTAGACATGACTTCGTCCATTGAATTTTAGCTAATATAATTCCACTGGATTTAGCACTGAATTCGCAAACCCGATCAGGTAATGACAACGAGTGAATGTTCATATGTGGTGAGTATTGATCTTGTGACCACCGAAGTAGTCTAAAGGAGGCTTCGTAATCGGTAGCCTTTGTGACTGAAGCTCAGTTCAGACCCGGATCACCAAAGCCCCAAGGATCGTTGCTGTTGCCCGAAGAGCTGCCTGAGCCCGAGACATATCCGGAACTAGGAGCTCGTGGTAGGGACAACTTTTGTCCACCATCGACGGGGTCCCATACAGGGAAACCGGTTGGTGGTTGACTTTCTCCAACCGGCTTACCAACAGTGTAATCCGCCAGACTTCCGTTGATACCAACGAGAGCCCATGCAAAAACGGCAACATCGCGGATGCTTTGCATGAAGGCATTTTGGGCGGGCGCTGGTGGAGCTTGTGCCATCGCAGGATGTTGAGCACCCAGAGGATAGGGTGGTAGCTGAGGGAGAGCAGGTTGGAACATGGGCTGTGCCGCCCAAGGAGCGGCAAACATGCCTTGGTAATTTGAGGCTTGCAAACTTGGCAATTGCGCGTTCGGCAACATGGGACGAGCACGACGAAGGCACACAACGAGACCATCCGAAGTGCAAGAGACGACGGCCTCGAGTTCGATGGGCTCTTCATACGTGGGGCCTTCCGAGAAGGGCGAACGCAGTGCATGCTGAGATTGAGACTGAGATGTAGACGAGCGTTGACCACGGCTTCCATTAGACGGCGCATTGGGGCCGTTGTTCAAGATGGGAGGTGTGCCTTCACCATTAGTATCCATGCTTGAGTGATGACTATTAGAGGAAGCGTTTGGTAGAGACGGTCTGTTGGTGTCTTCACTGATCTGAGATTCGTCCTCAGAAACAGATGCGTCGGTCATGAAGTCGTCTTCGCTCTCCGAAGCCGAGAGTTCAGGTGGATCGTCCTGGCGAGGGTCGCGCAACATGAAGCGCAAATAGGCGATCGAGTCATTTCCTTTGGCCGACTCCAGGCAGCTGACGGCATCGCGTAGACAATTTTCGGCAATCATTGAGTAAAAGCTTTTGCCGATGACTCTGTCACTGGGGATGCCGGTAATCTCCTCGATTCCACTCGTAACATGCATGACGGTGAGTGTACGAGTGTAACGATTGATGAAGAGAGCAGCACGAGGCTCGTGAGTTTGCTCCTCTGGTGGCAAAGTAAACTTGCTGGACAAATGCGACAACATGTGGTAGCGAGGGTCCTTTGGAGAAGAGGAAAATAGTTTGCGAACAAGGGGCGCATCGGTGGCACGCTCTGGTGTTTGGTTAGATGGAGTGTGCCGAGACAGATGGAGGGGATTGCTTGGGAAATGTTACACTTACTCTGGCTCTCCATGCCATGTCGATAGATGGAGGTGCAGCACACCATGACATTGTAGACAATGGAAAAGCAGCTCTCACAGCCGACCCAGTCGCCCTGACGATTCTTGATGCGGCAGTAGGATAGCACAGCAGCCTTGTCGAGCATCACGCCTCGATTATGAAGCTTCTTGGCGAAGGGGACTTCATCGGGATGGAAGAAGTCCCAGACAGACCTATCCTTGACCTCATCCGGGGTATGACCGAGGATATCAACAATGGAATCAGACGAGTACAGGATGTGGGCATCTTCGGACAGGTCATGGATGGTGATGAAAGTCATATCCATGATGGGCGACGATGGTTGGGGCGCTGACTAATGAATGACGAGTAAAGGGTGACTAGAGGTGGAATGCTTTTCCTTTTCCTGGCCGTGGTGCGAAAATGTCGAATCTAATAATTCGATCTGGCACCGGCACGGGAAGAAGGGAACAACAAAGAAGAGTCGGGGGCGGACGAGGAGAGGCGGCGAGGTGTAAAAGTAGGCAGGGCAAGTGTTGCACCAGAAGCCGTTAGGGGGAGGTGGACAAGGTTGGTGGTACAGTACAGACTTTTCAGGCCGGGAGGATTCGCCGGGGGGTCGTTGGACAACAGGAACAGCAGAAGCTGGCGATAAAGGATGGCGTCAGAGCGAGACGAGCACGCACGACGCGAGCAGCTGGGGGAGTGAGTCGAGCGTGGTTGGTGATGGCTGGCCAGGGTGGGTTGGAGGTGGTGAAGCCACAAAAGGTTAGACGAGCGGGCGCATGCAGCTTGGGAGAAAACCGGTAGCGGGGAGGAGCTGTGCAGTACTCTAGCTAGCATACAGGGGCACGATTGCAGGAGGATTGCAGCTTGCCTGGATTTGGCAGAGGAAAGGTGGAGATGGATGATTGGGGAGGAGAATCAGAGGCACGGCGAGGCCGAAAGGACGGGGAGCGAGGGGGGAGAAGATGTAGTAGATGGCAGAGAAGAAGAAGAAGGAGAAGAAGAGCAAAAGAAAAAAACAAAAGAAACGCCACAGCGTCAGCGGACGCGATTGCGAAGAAGAGGCAAGACGAGCAGAGCAGAGCAGAGCAGAGCGGTGCAGGAAGGTGCGAGTGACGATCGACGCCGGGCTAGTCCAACGGCCACTACTACTACATACCTACTTGAGTACTTGAGTACATAGTCGAGTGTGCCGTGGACAAACTTTTCGATTGTTTCAATTGAGGTACATTCATGGACAATCCGTGACCACATGTATCATGGGTACATGTACATAAGCTGCTTCTGCGTGGAAGCTGTCTCTCAGCGGTGCCATTGCCTATCATCCATCATGGCGAACCTTATAACAGAGCACATACTACTGTGCCTAGTACATGTAACATGCATCCTCTTTGCAATGCTTCTACGTCCAAGTCCTTCCATGTTAGCCTACGTGATAACCCCCAATCCATATGAATGTACATGGACTTTGGTGCGAGTGCTCGAGGTCGTTGATCAATCTACGCAATCCATATTACTCTGGCCATGGATGATTGCTGCATGCTGTACTGTCTGCCCCGTAGCAAATGCATGCATGCACACCTCTTACACATTGCACGCCAGACACGAGCTGCAGACCAATTTAACTTTTGCCAACTTTCCATGACCTGCCACCTCCCGCAATCTGTATTCAACCCAACGACAGGGTGGTCAGGTAGTATTCGGGGACATTCCGGCCCACCGAGGCACTACCACCAACTCAACCAATCCATCCATCCATCCTCCCTCCCAACTCCCCACCCTACCATTCGCACTCAACGACTCGCTCGGCCAAGTGAAGTGATGGCTGTCGAGTCGTGCGAAGTGTCCGTATGAAACTGTCAAACCTCACCAAACCGACGACGCCTCCGATTCGTGTCCAAGGTCATCGACGATCCACCTCGCGCTAGCATATGCCCGCCAAGCCTAGAATTGCCCACCGCACCATTTCTATACGGGGCAGACTACTCGACTTCTCCCAATTAACCAGTTCATGCCTACCTCTCACCTGGATGAGCAAAGCTGAAGCCGCTCAAAGTACACCAAGCGGACAGAAGAAAACCCATGGCAGGGTTGCTGCCGCAGAACAAACAACCCCATAGCAAAAAGTCCCGTCGCTATCACACCGCATGACCTATGATGATCCTCCGCCAGACCGACCAAAAAAAAAAAGAGACATAACCACCAAGCAAACAAAGTAGAATCATTATTGGCGGGTCCGCTGGCCTGGGACGCCGGTCAACTTGACCACCCAACCTGCGTTAGCCACTTAACTTACCACCATGCATGACCCCAACGACCTACCCTCGTTGCGCGCGACTTTCAGACTTCAGGTAATGTTGACCCCGTCTCTAACCTGATTCTGTGGCCTGCCTACATCATACTAACGTACCATCTGCCAGGGTAGCAAAGCCCTTGAGAAAAGTATGCGAGAATCCGACCACTTTCTTTCTTCATGCTAAACAAGGTGGCTGCAGATGAATGGTTCGATGTCAGATTTTACCCTTACACTCCGCCTGGGGAGGACCCTGTCTTTGCTGCTGTTGGTGGCCGCTTTGTGCGTCTCATGGTAACCTCCCTCATCTTTGGCTTGCTGTCGCTAATTGGCCCAGGCCGTTGTATGCCGCTGCCTTCAAGATGACTCGTCTACCATCCAAGTGTTGCGCGAGTTCAGCGATGATACGACCGAGAGTAAATTCAACAGCCTCGAATGGTCCCAAGCTCCCAATGGAGACCCTCTGTTGTGCATCGCAGGAGACCCTGCTCGAATCCACGTTCTCAACGTCATTACTGGCCACTTGACCTCCACCCTTATAGGCCACGGCTTCAGCATCAACGACCTCGCAGTGTCCCCTGTAGACCCTACCATCCTGGCTTCATGCTCCATGGATCACTCCGTCAGGTTATGGAGTCTTGATCCAGCCCACCAGAAACAACCAACGGCTGCCATCTGTTATGGTCAAGGCCATCAGGAGCAAGTCTTAACCTTGGCATATCATCGTAAAGGCAAGTATATTCTCTCTGCTGGTATAGACACCAGGATAAATCTGTGGATGGTGCCGGACGACCTCAAGAGTCGGGTGGGGACGGACAAACCCGCTCTGATACACTATCCCCATTTTGCAACGACCGAAGTCCACAACGATATAATCGATTGTGTGCGGTGGTACAACGACCTCATCCTCTCTCAAGCAAGGCAAGAAAACAAAATTCAGCTCTGGAAGATTGACAATTTCAATTCAAATCGCCCTCCTCCCGATCCTGCACCTCCACCTCTTCCGACGATTGTAGATAGCCGCACCGTAGTCACGCTCCCCTCATCGTCCATCAGTGGTACTCGCTCGGCGTGGGGCGGCCGTTTCCAACGTCTCTTGCAGTTCGAATTACCAGGTCTTGATTCTTTCTTTGTTCGATTCAGTCTCTTCCATGAGCCCGGCGCACATCCCGTGCTCGCTGCAGGGAACCAAAAGAGTAAGATATTCTTCTGGGATTTGGAGCGTATCGAAGGTCTCGGCATGGGTGAAGATAGTTCCAAAAACGACAACGATAGCAATCCCACCAGCAAGAATGGCGAGGCTACATCTAGGACGTCTAGCCGATCCAATACAAGCACAGTGAAAGCATCTTCGCGTGCGGCCAAGACCAAGAAAAAGAGCTCAGCGAAAACATTTGGGATCGGCAACCCATTCCAACCTTTACCAGCACACAAGGCAATTGAGCTACCAAACTACACCATGCTCTATCGTCACCTTAGCTGGAGTAGAGATGGGCGGTGGTGCGTGGGAGTGGGAAGTTACGGTGTCATGACTATTACGCAACGATGGAAAGACGGTGCGCCGCATCTCAATAGCAGCGACGCAGCGCCATCTTTGGAGCCATCTTTGGAGCCATCGTTGGAGCCATCGTTGGAGCCATCTTTGGATCCATCTTTGCAGTCATATTTGCAGTCATATTTGGAGCCATCCTTGGAGCCATATTCTTTGGAGTCATCTTTGGGGCCATATTCTTTGGAGTCAGCTGTAGAGCCATCTGTGGAGTCAGCTGTAGAGCCATCTTTGGAGTCAGCTGTAGAGCCATCTTTGGAGTCAGCTGTGGAGCCAACTGTGGAGTAATATACGTGGAAAGAGGCAAACTTTACATACCCGATATCTTTCAAGGTCATGTATACTGGTTGAGGGGCGTGCGATGTGGGCAGTGTCTTTCAATCATCATCGGTAAACCGATATCAGATGATTGATCAAAAGTCCGCAGTCTGGTAGGTTGATATCATAGTGTCAAGGCATGTGTGAACGTTTTGCCCTCACAACGACACCGAATATTCTCTCCCAGACCTCCTTGTTCAAGAGGGGGGGAGGGGGGGGTTTCTCTTTTGCTGGGTCAATAGAACAGCCCTGACCCTCGCTTTCTCGGTTCATTCCGGGTCGAGGACCAAAACCCAAAACTAAACACCAGCTCAACATTGGTTCCGTCGTTCCCGTACCAGTCCTCAAAACATTGTCGTTGACGTTGCAGCGCCTAGGCTTGCCGAACCTACCCCTTAGAATTACGCTACGCAACGCAGCTGCCCCACCTGCTTTCTGCTGCCAACTTTTACCCCGCCGACGCAGGTTCCATTGGGTTAGTTGGCTAGCATCAGCTGCCGACAAACCAACCCCTTGACGGCCTTTTACCTAACGTCCTCTTAAACACACCACACATCCTCCAGATCGAAATCCCAATACCAGATACCGAATAAACTCAGTCCGAAAGAATCAGCAAGCATGCCTTCCGCCAAGTTTGATGAGGTCTACAAGAAGACGCGCGACATCAAGAGCGGTCCCTCCAACGACGAGTTGCTCAACGTACGTCTCATTTCCCGCAATCTCCTTTGTTGCTACCCTTTGGTACCTGTTACTGACATCATTACCCTCCAGCTCTATGCCTACGCCAAGGTTGCTCAAGGCGAGGACATCGAGAAGGCGCCCAAGCCCGGCATGATGGATTTCACCGTATGTCTTCATCTCTGTCTGACCACCTCTATATGATGCTGCTCCTTTTCCTCCGCCGCCCAATACCACGCATCGTCCTTCCATTCATCCATCTACGCATTACCCTGTCCACAAGGCGGATACTCAAGTCCTATCAAGAGGGGTGGCGATGTGGCTCCTTTCGCAATGTACACATATTATCAAAGGGTGCTAACATGTCGATTGCAGGGAAAAGCCAAGCGCAAGCGATGGCAAGAGGTCGTTGACGCCGGAACCTCGCAAGCCGATGCCGAGAAGAAGTACATCGAGTTGGGCGAGGGCTTGATCAAGACTCACGGTTAGATGGGACGTACTTACGGACCAAATAACGGGTGAAGCATGACAACGGTATAGGCTGGTTTTCTCAAAGAGAAGGATTGATGGCATGAGTCTCTCCGAGGTTCCGCTGACATGTCCTATGGGAATGGAAGCGTCCTGGGTGATTCAATCTGTTATGGGCCTTTGATGGAGATGAACCAACTGCGCTGTGGTCTACGTGGATGAAATATATGACTTAGGACTGAATGATTATCTGTTCATGACATGAAAAGGATGTTCTTTGCTGTGATAATATCGACGATGGTTACAATCTGCCTCTTGGCTGTATCGGAGATAAAAAACCAGTGACATTTCACTAGACAGATTTTACTGGATCATCACTGTCTGCTTCCACCATACCACCCCGTGCGTCGACGCATACTGCCTGTGTTTAGGACATCGACCTCGATATACAAGCATCACTCGGAATTTACTGTCCACATATATACCCCATATAAGGTGCGTGTATGCCCTAAGCTAAAATTTGACCTTAAAACACGCCCACAAACCTCGTGCCCTTTCTACCACATCATCTCTCCTACCCCAACAGAAGGAAAGAAATATCCGCAATCTAATACCTCGACCACACACACTCCGTCCAATCCGGGTTTTCATACGCCAAGCTCGCACACCATGAGCACCGCAAAGTCCGAAGGGTAAATCTTATAGCATGCGGAAGCATATCACGACCTTGCGTTTACGCTTCTCTAGTTCCGTCTTGTAGAGGGGTAGAAACTTGTAAGTTACGACAGCTTGCTTGCTGTTTGTGCTGTTTGTTCTTTGGGGGATAAGAGATTTGGGGTTTGTGGGGTCGACTCCATCTTCTGTCTCGCCTTTGGGTTCGGTTTCGATTCCACCGTCATTGCTGGTGGTAGGGAGGCGGTTGTGCATAATGACCTTTGTAGTCATGGGATTCTGTTGGGTTTTCCAGTCTAATTGTTGCTATATTCGAGATTTGTTTGGCAATTTTTGGAGGGTTATCCTGACCAAGTGTCTCGTGCTGAAAGCGCTGTCGATGACTTAACTGCCGTGTAATGGATAATAGTAGTAGGCTAATTAACTGCTCTACATGTTTCAAGGACTTGTAAGTTTCTACTATAGCTTTTAGGGTAGCGAGACTTTGTTTTTTATAGCACTCGGTGTGAGGATCAGCATCTATGATGGCGGGGGTGAGGGATGCAGTTGTAGCTTTGAGGGTTGCGAGAGCAAATAAGTCAACCGAAAGCTAGTACATATCAACAACAACATTTGAATGTTTGTTCACAAGAAACTCATTAGAGAGCGTGTTACATATCGCGCCAACAGCGGGCTGTGTTATGCTCATTGGTTCATTATTTGTAGACGTTTTTGAATTTTTAGCATAGCATTTACTGACATGCTAATTCACCTTCACTAGCGCATGGTTGACGTTGAGCACAACATGTCCACTGTCTACAATGCACTACGTGTCTTTACATCATGGCCTTCTCGTGCTCCTGAGAGGTTTAGCAACGTCGGGTTTCACGCTCAAAACATGTGACTACATCACATCGGAAGTGGTTCATTGACTTGAAGCACGATTCATTCATACGCCGTCTATTCATGATGAGGTTTTCATAACCTCGAGCGAATGTTCTAACTACAGATATTAAGCTATCTTAACGCCAAATCGCTGATGGGGTGTCTTGGAAAAAAAAGGAACTTTTAGGAGAGAGATCATGCCGCGCTTGCGCTGGAGATGGGTTGTTGAACCTTGGTAACTTGGTTGCCTGCACGGATGATAGGGTTGCCCTCATCATCCTTGGCGTACTGGACATCCTTGTTCTCACGCTGAGCGCGCTTCCAGATTTCGACCTCACCACCACCTCGGATAACACCCACACGCATGGTCGAAAGAAGGTTGTGCGCACCGTTGGAGTGCTGGTACACACCGCCATTGAACATGGCAGTAGCGTCCTTGCCGAGGCCACTCCTGATGAGAGCCTTACCACCGGGGTGCTCGTTGATGAAGTCGGTCACGTCGTGGACCACACCAGCGACAGCGACGAGACCACGACCGTTCTTAGCTTGCTCGACATAGTCGTCCCATTCGATGACGGGGAGCTGATCGAGAGGAACACCCCAGTCCAATTTGGCGCGTTTCTGGTCAAGCTTCTTCTGGAGTTGTTGGACACGGCCCTTTTCGATCTCGTTGGAGCGGAACTGCTTCAGGTTGGAGGCGAGGCCGAGCTTGCTCCACATCCAGATGGACCACTTGGTAGGGTCATACTGGTGCCATTGGATGGCGTTACGGTAATCGGAAGGAAACTCGTGGTGGAAATTGTGGTAGCCTTCACCAAGCGTGACTAGAGCAGTGATGACATGATCCCTGGGGCTGTTGCGGTCGTCGAAAGGCTGCTCGCCGAGCCAGTGGGCAAGAGAGTTGACACAGAAAGTAGCTTGCTGCACAAAGAAGATACGCAGAATGCCAGCGTAGATGTAGCCACCCATCCAGTCACCCCAACCAAGGCCAGCGACAAGGGTAGGGAAAACCAGGCCCATGAAGACGACGGTCTTGATGTAGTTCTTGTGTTGCCATACAACAACAGGGTCGTCGTTCAGATCGGTGATGTCTGTGCGGCCGATGCGTTTGGGGTTCTGCTTCATGACCATCCAGCCGAGGTGGCTGTACAGAAGACCCTTGCGGACACTGTAGGGGTCTTTGCTGGTGTCGGTGTAGCGGTGGTGGGCACGGTGGTCACGGCTCCACCAGCGAATGGAGCCCTCGACAGCGCCGCCGCCAACAGCAGCGAGGAAGATGCGGAGCGGCAAGCTGGCATTGTATGACTTGTGTGCCCAAAGGCGATGGTATCCGGCGGTGATACCTAGACCGGTCCAGAAGTAGTATACGACAGCCCATACAGCTGTTTGCCATCGCAGAGGGGTCCAGAAGGCAGCGATGCAACCAGCAAGTGGGACACCAATGATGAACAGGACCTTGAATATGTCAGTACGATGCGCGGTAATGCCAGTGTAGCAGAAGTTGCTCCAGGAGAACTCACGTTGAGCCAGTTGACATGTTGGTACCAATTGGAGCGTGTGATGGGCATGTCGGTGATGTGAGGCTTCTTGGGATCGTAGTTGGGGTTGCGGTTGGGCTCAGACGTGCTGGCAGCGGCGGAGGGCTGCGAGACATACTGAGGATCAATGGCTTGCATGCCAGCGGTGGGTTGGTGCGAAGGCATGATGTGTCGAAGAGTTGCAAGACGGGCAAGAAAAAAAATGCACAGTGAGGGTGTGTCGGAGGCTTCGAGGATAAGTGTATAGTCGGTGAAGACGCTCCAGTCGTGCTTCAAGGTGACGGATAACCACGAAGCTGTTGCCGGGAAAGCAAGCAAGCTTGGGCAGAGAGTGGAGGGTGAGTGAGAGTGAGTGAGTGGTTGGGTTCGTGGAAGAGAAAAGAGGGATGAAGCAGGCGAGAGAGTATTATTATAGGGCAGGCAGGCGGTGGGCAGGGTCCGCGGTGGCGACCGGGGAAACAAAGCACGGAAGTGAAGATTTGTGTTGGGGATTCAACAATCGAGGCGCGACTTCACACGCTAGTCAAAGTAAAATACACCGGGCCCTTGCAGACAGCAGTAGACAGTAGCCAATTCCAGACTGCCACCCAAGTAACGCATCTGTAGCGCGCGCCCGGTGCAGGGTCCAGACAGCCTTGCTTGGTAGTTATTGAGGGAGTGAAGTCAGTGTGAAAAGGTTTTCAGAGTGAGACACGCATGCACCTCGTATGTACCATAAGGGCATGTATGGAACCTATCGCTGTATGCTTCCACCGACTAACTACTTATCCAGTGAGAGGAGAGTGAGGGAAATAGAATACAAAGAAAAGAATAGAAGATTACATCCTTAGCTAGAGCAGGCGGCATGCGCTTCCGAGCACCGGCGAACAACGTGGACCACGGCTCATCATCAGCAACCCGTCAACCTCAAGTGTTCTTATCTTGGATGACGATGTCGTCTTGTAGAGATTCCCAATCACTAATAGTGTCGGTACCGTCGTTTCATAGCGGGCGTAGAGCCCTCAGTTGCGCAATGAGCCAACATGGTGGCGCAGATATCAACGCTTTTGATTCTGGCAATCTGATAACCATTGTCTGCGAACGAACCATGATGCCGACTCGCATCAGGGATCTCCCCGCACACCAAGCCGTCTTCGGATCGCCTTTCTCAACCTCAAGGCTAGAGCCATGCAGCATTTGCGATGCATCCCACCGTAAGTACGCATAGTAGATACTTACCTATGTAAATGCTTCCATGTTGCTTCAGATGCAAGGCAACGTTTCCATCTCTACGGCTCAGTCGGATGAGAAGTGAACAGATGCTGCCGGTAGAAAGCCCTGAAAACCTCGGTAGAGAGGTTTAACAGGGTGAGTCAGCCGAAGCCGGAGAACAGGACAATCTTGAGCCTCCGCTCCCGTCGGCATCATGTTGGCATCTTTCAGTCCCGCTTCCTGCCAAGCGGGGAATCGAAATCCAAAATTGAAGTCTAAAAAGAAGCTGCAGCACCGATGGATGAGCGGATGCTTTCTTCAGGTGCTGTTGCTGCCGACCGATGGAATTGTCTCTTCTGCACATGTATCCGACGTCTGCCTCTTCGGTGTCTTCTTTTCCCCCTCGTCCAATTGTTGAGAACGCTGTCGAGACATAGACAATACTGATGCATGCATGATGGTGATGATGATGAACAGTTTGCGTATAGAGCAGAAGCTCAGCACGGTACAGTAAGTAGCAGTAGGGTAGGATCCAAGGACAAGTGTCTATGTACAGAGGTAGGTTGCAACTTGGACTTTATCCCATGTTTCGAGCATGAGGGGTGGATGCAACTCCTCATACCTACCTCCTGCTGCACTGCGCATACCACTTTGCTTGGACCTGAACACGCAATTCACAGATAACAGACGCACCGGCACCCGGCGACAATATTCTTGGGGTAACCAGCGCCAACAGCGTCCAAGTGTGGGGTGAACAAACACCATCGGAGGCGGCCGCCGTCACGTGCGCCAACATCGACCCAACAGCCAATCAAACCCCGTCCTCAACCTTATCAGTAGACTTCTGATGTCGAGCTTTTTGCAAAAAGCAAATGCCTCCCACACGAACTGCTACACCAGCCAGCTACTGCCGTCTACTCGAGCTCCTTCGCCCGTGGAAATGCGATAATGCCCCCGGAGCTTGACGATGTCGGCGGCCATCTCCAGCATCGTGGCTTCTTGGAGGTCAGGACTAGAGTTCCACCCATGCACCTTTGAGCTTTTTTTCCTTTGGACATGGCAGATAGATACTTGAACATGAACATCGGCTTTGATATAAAGGCGGGCAAGCTGGCTGTTCGTCTCCTGCACTGTCAACATTCGCAGTTCAAGTTTGGCGATACCTCCTACATAAACAAATACAATATCGTAAAGATCCCCGCATCCAACACTCCCATAGCCGACACACGCTCGCGCAGACTTACCCTTCCCTACCCTAATCAGCAGTGGCGCACTCGACTATCTTCCGATATCTCGACTACTCCAGATACACGTCTGTTTGCCATCTCAACATCGTTTAGCACCGCCAGCCATCGACCCGTTCCTTATCAGTGACACGAGAAATCTACAAAGCCGCCGAGTCTGACATTGGTGCATCAACATTGGAACAATTCAAAACCCCCCTCAGGTTCCACCAAACCCTTACAAAAGTGAATTCGCGAAACCCTCTATTTTCCACAATGTCGGAAGCAGACCGCATTGGCCCCGACCATGGCCCCAAACGCAGCTTTGGGGACAATGCTCGTCGTGCACTCAAAGCATTCACAACCAAGTAAGATCCAATCGTCTGCAACACTTCAAACGTTCCTTCTAACATCAGGCAGAGAGGGTCTAATTGGAACTTATGATTATGCCTTCCTTTTCAAGCCAAACCTCCCGTTCATGAAGAAGGATCGAAGGGCTGCACCTTTCTTTGGATTGCACGATCGTATGCCCGTGTTTCTCGCTCTGCTCCTCGGTTTCCAACATGCCCTCGCCATGCTTGCGGGTGTCATTACACCGCCCATCATCCTCGCCAATGCCGCCCATCTCGCTCCCAATGTGCAGCAGTACCTGGTCTCCACGTCCTTGATTGTCTGCGGCATTCTGTCTTCCATTCAGATCACTCGCTTCCATATCTACAAGACGCCTTACTACATCGGCACAGGCTTGATCTCGGTTGTTGGCACTTCCTTTGCAACGATCCCCGTAGCCACTGGAGCCTTGTCACAGATGTACAGCACAGGGTTCTGCCCGTCTGATGCAAATGGCAATCCACTGCCCTGCCCAGACGGTTATGGCGCAATCATTGGGACGGCATGCGTTTGCGCCCTGCTCGAAATCCTCATGTCCTTTACGTCACCCAGACTGCTCAAGCGCATCTTCCCTCCTCTTGTCACTGGTCCAACCGTGTTACTCATTGGCGTGAAGTTGATCCAAACTGGGCTTCAGAACTGGGCTGGCGGAAGCGGAGACTGCAAGACAAGACCAGCTTCTGGACTTTTCCAACTGTGCCCCAACATCAACGCTCCTCGCCCATTACCTTGGGGAAGCGCTGAGTTCATTGGCCTTGGCTTCTCCGTCTTCATCACCATCATCATCTGCGAACGTTTTGGCGCCCCAATCATGAAATCTACGGCTGTAGTAATCGGTCTGCTAGTGGGATGTATTATTGCTGGAGCAACTGGCTACTTCGATCGAACCTCCATTGACAGCTCTCCAGCTGCGTCTTTTATCTGGGTACACACCTTCAAGCTCAGCGTCTATGGGCCTATAGTGTTACCTCTACTGGCCGTCTATATGGTTCTAGCCATGGAAGCTATCGGCGATATTACGGCCACATGCGATGTATCTCGTCTCGAAGTAGATGGCGAACTCTTTGACAGTCGCATCCAGGGAGGCGTGCTAGCCGACGGTCTCAACGGTATCCTCGCAGCCCTGTGCACCATCACCCCCATGTCCACCTTTGCCCAAAACAATGGTGTCATTGCGCTCACGCGCTGCGCGAACCGCAAAGCTGGCTACGCCTGCTGCTTCTGGCTCATCATCATGGGCATCTTCGCAAAGTTCGCTGCTGCCCTTGTCGCGATCCCCGGCGCTGTCCTCGGCGGCATGACTACGTTTCTCTTCTCTGCTGTCACCGTCTCGGGTATCCGCATCATCAGCACCACGCCCTTCACCCGTCGTAACCGCTTCATCTTGACCGCTGGCTTCACGCTCGGCTTTGGCGCTACCATGGTTCCGGATTGGTTCTCGTATGTCTTCACTTATGACGGACCGAACCGCGCTCTGCTGGGCTTCTTCAACGCTATTGAGCTCATCATGGAGACGGGCTTTGCTCTCGTCGCTCTTGTCACTGTCATCTTGAACCTTGTGCTTCCTGAGGAGATTGAGGACGAGGAGACTACCGAGCTCACAGCTGCCAGCAACGACGCGGAGGCAGTCAAGGATGTCGATGATGATGAGGAGTGGAGTCGTGCTCAGGGCAAGAAGCTCAGCGATGAAGAGCACCAAGCTGGACGGGTGACTACTGGAGAAATCAAAGAGGTTCGCTGAAGTATAACGATAGCATCGCTTGTTTTCGGACCTGGATTTGGCTTAGCCTTTTTTTCTTCTTCTTCTTCTTCTTCTTCTTCTTCTTCTTCTTCTTCTTCTTCTTCTTCTTCTTCTTCTTCTTCTTCTTCTTCTTCTTCTTCTTCTTCTTCTTCTTCTTCTTCTTCGCTCTTTCCGATTAGATATATGACTTTCTGTTGGCAAAAGCGGGCGTACTTGACTATTATGGAGTGGTGCCTGGACACGCGTGTAGGATGATATTTGGATTGAATCTTTCTGTCGTAAATACGTATATATTCACAAAAGCGTTGACAATTCCGAGAACCACAATTTCACTGCCATGATTTTGACCAATTCGTAATTTATCCTAGAATTGTTAGACATATTTCAATTTTCATTAAACGCGACATGAACACTCAGCTGGAAGAGTGCTAGAGAAACCATGTTGATCTACCACCATTGCAGTCAAACACTCAGTTATAGCCTGTCAAGGGAAACTCCAAAACAGGGCGATGAGACTACGCAGTTAAAGTGTACTTGGTAAAGTGTGGATTCAGAACATCGTTTCAGTCCATAATGTATATTTACAATTGTACACAAAACAAGAGGAAGGGACAAAAGTAAGAGGAAGAAAGCGCAGCGACATATAAAAGACTCCTGTCTAATCCAGTGAACACCGACCCATCAACCATCACAAGAATCCTCTTCTATCGCCGAGAGACGGATAGAATATACCTCCTATCCATCGAAAGCGAGTTGTATGACAGAAAGATTGAATGAGAAAATACGCATGCATATTTCGCCTTCCCACTGTCGCCGTGAGACCTATGCAGATGAACAAAGACCAAATAACACGGAAAAGAGAATCGGAAAGCAATCAGCTTCATCTTGTCGCGCCCACGGCTTCGACATCTTGATACGCGCTGTCCCTGAATCCCTCGTTCTCAGTACTGACGCTCTCGGTGTCGCTTTCCTCGGTCGTATGCACGCGTCTCGCTCCGGCGTCGGTCCTTGTGTTCGAGATATCATCGTCGTCCACCTCCCTCAAGCCCCGTCCACTACCAAAGAAGTCTCCAGTTTGCAGGCCTCTGACCGCGTTCGCGTCAACGCCCTTTCTAAGGTTGCCGTTCTTCTTCGCTTGCCTTATGTATTCCCTCACAGGGCCCATGGCTGCGTCTCTGCATGCTTCCTTGATGTCGGATCCGGACATGCCCGCCGATACGCGGACGAGGTAGTCGAGGTCGAATTTCGGCTTGTCTATTTTCGTGTCGCGGAGGATCAGTGAGAAGATTTTGTTGCGCTGGGAAGCGTTGGGGAGAGCGACGGGGAACTTCTTGGGCATGCGGCGGAGGATGGCCTCGTCGATGTCCTGGATACGATTTGTGGCTCCGAGGATGCAGATCTGTTGTGGTGAACCGTGGGAGCTCGAGTGCGAGGAGACGAGACCGTCCCAATGTGTCATGAATTCGGCCTTGACCATGCCGCTCGCTTCGTGTTCGCCGCTCCTTCGCTGTCCAAGGACAGCATCAATTTCGTCAATGAAGACGATCGTGGGTTGGAGCTTGCGTGCAAGACTGAAAACTGCGTTTACGAGCTTGTTGCTGTCACCGTACCACTTTTCGGTCAGTGTGGAGATGTGAAGGTTGATAAAGCAGGCGCCCGATTCGTGGGCAAGGGCTTTGGCAAGCATAGTCTTTCCGCAGCCAGGAGGACCGTAAAGAAGAACGCCCGAAGGAGCGCTGAGAAGCGAGGACGAATGCGAATAGAGGTGCGGCATTGTAAGAGGGTAGATGACGGATTCCTTGAGATCTTCGATGATGGAATCAAGACCACCAATATCCTCGAAGCTCACGGGAATCTCTTCGGGAGCCACCACCTCCATAGCAATAGTCTGCTCATAAGCGGTCAATTCCAGATCCTCTATTCTGGCTCTGCTGTCCCGTCTTGTTTTCCTCTTCCCACCTCTGTATTCTCCATCATCGGTATCATCACTATCGTAATCTTCGTCCCTTGATGATTTGTTCGCTAATATCGCGCCGAGCTTGCGATTTGCTGCGGTAGCTTTCTTGCGCGCGTCTTCCTTTTGCTGTGCTTCAGGGTCGAGACGGGCGAGGAGGTTGCGAATGACGAAGTATGCTATGAGGGGCTGGCTTGGAGTAAGTATAAAGCGTGAAAGACTTTTGGTTAGACACAGAACGAATGGGGAGAAAACAGAGCAGAGTTTGAGCTAAGGGGAGGTGCAGAAGTGAGATGTGCACGTACAGCGGCGGCGGCCATGAGGATGTCTGGTAGGTAGCCCGTGAGGCTACTTTTCTTGTTGCTACTCATCGTGTGCAACAGCTATCTCCCAGTTTTTTCGATTCAGAAGGGGATTCGCTTTGTCGTGGAAAGGGGGTTCCGGGTTTCGGTGCTGTGTAGAAAATTGGTGGGTGGTTTGGGCATGCACATGCGTTGTCGCTTTCACAGGACAGCGCTTGAATGCCCTTGTCGTTCCGCCTTCCGCGTTCAAGTTCGGCGCCACCAGACCAAAGATCGGCCCTCGGCTTGGCACATCCTACTATGCACCTCGTTCTGTCCCGCACTGTGAGAGCACAGACTCCACTTTGGCTGGCTAGCTAGCTAGCTAGTCTGCTTGCCTCAGACACACGAGCCCATCTTGAACCATTCCATCACGCTTTTTTCTGAAGGTCCTCAAGTCGCAACATCTATCACAACATGGCCGCAATATATAAACCCACCCAAGCCATCCAGCTACTCCGCTCTACCGCTCCGCGCTCGCTTCCCATTCCGAGTCAGAAAGCTGCTGCTGCGCGCGCCGCCTTCTCCGCATCCCGCAGTGCGCAAGCTACCCACAATAGCAGCTCTTCGAATAACACCTCGGCCAACGATATCCTGTCTGCCCACCCCGCCATACCAACGAGACGTAGAGTCACCGTGACGAATGACACTGGAGCCGTACCCTGGGGCCAACTTTCCCCCGGCGAAAAAGCATCGCGGACCGTCCAGCAATCGTTCAACTTGGGCGTAGTACTCGTGGGAATAGTCTTCACTGTAAGCCCTCTCCACCACCACTTTCCCCTCACCCAGAAATAAATTGCAAGAAGCTAAGACTCAAATGTTTGTTTCCTGTTTGCAGGGCGCAGTAGGCTACATCATCTTTTCCGACTTCATATCGCCAAACTCAAAAACCGCACACTTCAACCGCGCCACCACGCTGATCCGCGAGCATCCCGAATGCCAGAAGCTGCTGGGTCCCAGATCCGAAATTTCGGCGCACGGCGAGAGCTCCTGGTCGCGCTATGCCAAGAACAAGTTTATACACAGCACTGAGGAGAAAGATCAATGGGGCACTGAACATATGAGGTTCAAGTTCTTCGTCGAGGGTCCTTTGAATCAGGGAACTGTACATTGCCATCTGACCAAGAGACCAAGCCAAGATTCGTGGGAGTGGTGCGAGTTGGCGGTCAATATCAAGGGTCAGAAAACGGTATGGGTTGAGCGCGCAGATGGGAAGGCGGGGTCTAAAGTTGCGCCTAAGATCTTCGGAGCGCGGTGGTGGTGATAACAATTCCAATCGGACTAAAACCAATGCCTTCCTATTTCTATATTTTCTCTGTTGGTTTGATCGAGAGCATCAGGTACATCCAAAAGCAGACGATGCGTCAGCTGTATGTGATGAAGAGAAGCAGGCGAGACGTCTTTTATACCCCAGTGCAACAGCATCCTCCATGCGTTGCCAATATCAATATGTACTATCCTCCACATACCTTTTTATTACCCGGAGTTTGCTTTATATATGAAGAAAGGTTACCGGGGCCCTCGGTTCACAAATATGTACTTGGCGCTTTCGTGCGCAAACGTTATGCAATAACTGTAAACAAAAAAAGCACTTTTGATACCGCCCTTTTCTCTTCCCCGGTACTCAGAAATGCATGTTGAAGCACTCCACGTTCAGACCACATCTTTCAGGACATAGCAAGGAGAAGAGAAACAAAATTGTTCCAAAAATGAAGGGGAAAAAGGTTTTTTCTTTTCAAAATAAAGCGTTTTGATCAATGAGACCCAGCCTCAACCCCTACCCCACCATCGTCCAAGCTCTTCTTTCTATGCCTCAAAGTAGGCGTGCCCGGCCGGGACTGGTCTATGCCAAAGAAGGCAATGTTTTCTCTGAGCGCTACATACTCGGAATCCGCATATCCAAGCGCATCGTGAATCTGCGTACTGTGCAAACCCATGATCCGCCTGATTTCACTGGCCGAGTAATTAATTACTGCGCGCCCGATCTCAAACGGTGCGGGATTGTGCAGCTCGAACGCCGGGGGGGTATTGGTAGGCTGAAGGATCTGCGAAGAGGAAGTCGAGTGGGAGTGAGAGACCGGGTGCGGAACCGGCGCTGCGGGATGCGGATTGAATGCATGAAGCGGAACGTGGGGGATATCACGTTTTGGTGTCGGCGAGGTTTGGGGTTTGGGGGAGGTTGGGGAGAGCCGTTTGACGACGACGAGGCGGACGGCTTCTTGCTGGGCAAAGTGCCCGTCCACGTCTACGATGCCCACGGGGAGTAGTCCAGCTTTGTCGGACAAGGCTTGCCATGCGCCATGGTCTATGTAGATGGTTCCGTGCGGCGCCAGGCCGTGAAGAATCCAGAAGTAGCGGTCCCGGATAGGGTGCGGAATGGGGAGGAATCTAGTGTGGAGAGGCGGCGAGGGGGCTTCGAGGAGAGAAGGAGTCGGGGAGGTGGCGCGAGAGTGGGTGCCGTTGGGAGCGTGTGATGCGGTGGTTTCGCCGCCGGAGGTGGAGTTGGATTTAACTTGCGACAAGGGGATGCCATTATGGGCGTTGTGGGCTTCGTCTTGGAAGTTGCTCACGCTGTTCCGGCTCGACATACGAGCGAGCTTCTGTGCTTCTGCGTGCCTGATGATGGCGACAATATTGCCTGGTTTGTTCGACTTTGTGATGACGGTGGTGACTCCAGCGGATGTAGCAAGGCGTGCTGCTACGATTTTGGTGCTCATGCCTCCCGTCCCCAGTGATGAGCCTGCACTGCTCACATCCGCTTCCAGGTCGGCAATGTCTTCGACCACTTCTATAGGTTTTGCGTCCGGGTTGCTCCGCGGGTTCTTGTCGTATAGGCAGTCGACATCGGTCATGAGGAACAGATAGTCTGCTTGCACCATGCCGGCAGTGATGGCGCTCAGTGTATCGTTGTCGCCAAACTTGATCTCCGTGACGGCTAGGGTATCGTTTTCATTCACGATGGGTATAACGCCCATGTTGAGCAGTTCCAGGAATGTATTCTGGGCATTCTGGTACTGGGTTCGGTCGGCGATGTCGTTCCTTGTGAGCAGAATCTGGGCAATAGGATGGTGAAGATGACCAAACAGCTGGTCCCACAGACTCATGAGTCTGCACTGGCCGATGGCAGCCAGAGCCTGTACTTTTGGCAAGTGCTTGGGGCGCTTCTCCAGTTCCATTCGGCGCAGTCCGACGCCAATGGCGCCGGACGAGACAATAACGACGCGGTGGCCATCCTGGTGCAGCTTGACGGCCGTCTCGACAATGACGGAGAGAATGGAGAGGAGCGGCTGGTGTGTCTTCTCGTCGACTATGGAGCTGGTTCCTGCGTGCGACCGTCAGTCGTGTCGCTCAACGTGTTGCGTGCCCTGATGCAGCATGAACGAATGAACGGTTGAATGAATGATGACATGCGGGGTTCCTTCTTCTGCACAAGAAAAAGAATACACAGATGGACGATTACCGAGTTTGATAACAATGGTAAGCTGGCCAGGAAATTGTTGCTTCATATGGAACGCCATGTTGCCTTGGCCATTACCCACCCTTTCAGTGGCAGTTTCTTTTCTCAATCCAACGTAGAGTCGTGAAAGAAGTTGCGACAGTGAATTGAAGGGCGACGGCTGCTTTGTTGCCCAGAGAGTCGGTCAAAGCAGTGACTCCATTTATGCCTGCCAGGGCCCTCTTCGAACAAGGATGGCGCCCCACTGCCCTGGCCTGCAGCCAATCATAAATCCCGCTTCTCTCCGCATTTTCCTGACCTTCATGTACACGAGCAGATGAAGAGCGACCACACACCTCAACACTCACCGGGTAAGCATCCCAACTCATCGCCTCATCCCGTCCCTGTCCGCATTAACCGATCCTCGAGCATTCGCCCGCCCGTCTACTCGCCAGTTGCAATCCCCACGTGCCGAGGGGCCCAACACGCTCCGCTTTTCGCGCCCTTCGTTGCATCGTCGCACGCCGCATTAACCGCCCACGTAAATCCACTTCCCTCGAAGGAAAAGGGAAAGCGAAAACAAGATGTCTGGTCCCGAGAAAGCGCCTGTCGATGGTGCCCCCGCTGCTCCCGCTGCTCCCTCGAGCTCCACCTCTAAGCCCGATCGCACCTATTACACATGGGCCAATACCTTCTCCATTTTACTCTCGCGCATGAATGGCAACCGCAACATCCCGCTCGAGAGAGCCTACTTCGCCGCCCAAGACAATATCAAGGCAGAATCTTTCTGCAGGACCTGCGAATCCCGCCGCGACTACCTGCTTCAATACTCACCCACCGTCACATTCCTGAGAGACGAGGTGGCCAAGCTCGGCGGCCAACTCGATAGCAAGAATATACATTGCCGCATGTGTACGGCGGATCAGAGTGGAGGCTTTCACATGGATCATGGCATCATGCTGTGTGCCAACAGTTTTCGGAATCGCGGCCATCAGGAGGATACCATGGCACATGAAATGGTGCATGCCTGGGATCATCTGAAGTTCAAGGTTGGCGATGACAACATGAAGCATCATGCCTGTCTAGAGGTAACAATTCCTTTTCTCCTCCTTTTCGTTTGTTCGATCATGAGCAGTAGACTGATAATGCATTGCAGATTCGAGCAGCTACACTATCGGGCGAATGTCGTTTTACCCGCGAATTCTTCACCAGAAATCAATGGCGCATCACTGAGCAATTGCAGAATTGTGTTCGAAGACGCGCGACCCTGTCCATGATGGCTAGGCCAGCTATCAAGAACGACGTCCAGGCGGCCAAGGTCGTCAACGAAGTATGGGATAGTTGCTTCTATGATACCAGACCTTTCGATGAAATATACCGGTAATTCAGTCTTATAGAGAGTCTTGTCTCGAATTTGTGTACTATATTTATGTATTAGAGAAGACGTGGATTGAGGGAACATGGACGATCCGCATAGCGATGGCGTTAATATACCAGGTCAGCATCCAAATCATCTTCTTCACTCCATCAGTCGGTTTTGTGTGAGCACACATCCTGAACTTTGAATGATGTATTGTACGTTGATCAGAACTGTCGTTATGCTCGACACCTGTCGAGTCTTTGTCCCCAACGCCATGTAATGCTAGACTCAGCAACCTTTGAAAACTCCGTACCGGATATTACATCTCCAAACATGAGAAAAATCAACGCCAGAAAACATTGCACCAGAAAGCCTCAATTCTTTAGCTTTGTCGTTCCTCACTGCTGCGTACTTTGGTTGCCGGAGCTCGCTCTCTGCCACCAGAGCCTGCTTTGCAGTGTTTTAGAATCCAGGGGTGTTGCTCAATCTCGACCAGCGAGATACGCTTTTCGGGGTCAAGGACCAACAGCTGTACACAAGTTAGTTCTACTCCAACGAGCGATCAAGACATTTTCCGGAAAACTCACCCTCTGAATCAGGTCCTTTGCCTCTGCACTGACATAGCTTGGCACCTTGTAGTCTCCTCTCGCGATCCTCCTGTGTGTCATCGTTTGAGTGTCTTCAAAGGGCGCCTCTCCACACAAAAACTCATAAGTCAACACACCAAGACTCCACAAGTCAATCTTCTCTGAGTAGGTTCCTTGGCCCACGATCATCTCTGGGGGGAGGTAATCGAGAGTTCCGCACATGGTCTTGCGCCTGTTGTTGGGTGCATGTACTGACCATCCGAAATCCGAAATCTTGATTTCGCCGTGGATACCAACTAAGATGTTTTCGGGTTTGATATCTCGGTGCATGACATGCTTTTTGTGAAGATATTTGAGGGCAGCAACCATCTGGGCAATGTACTGGGATGCTTTCCATTCGGGGAAACGCTGTTCGCGACGCAGATGCTTGTACAGCTCTCCCTTGCCAGCAAATTCCAAGATGAGGAAAACACGCTTCTGATCGTGGAAGTGACCGAACAGACGAAGAATGTTAGGGTGTGCGAGATGAGACTGGATCTCAATCTCACGGCGGACCAGCTTCTCGACCTTGCCACTGACGAGCTCGTCCTTGTGCAGCACTTTGAGAGCGCACACGAAACCGGTGACGCGTTCCTTGGCGAGGTACACGTGGCCAAACTTGCCCTTGCCGAGAGGTTTTCCGATCTCGAACATGCCGAGATGCCACTGCTTTGCGGATGAAGGTTGAGAATAAAGTACGGATTCAGTAAGGGTGCGGCGGTGTCCGTGGGCAGCATTTTCAGCCGGACGGCTCTGGGAAGGAACGACCACCTTGGCGGAGGCCTTTGTTGCGTTCATCACAGCCAGCTTTTGTGATGGCATCTTCATGCGATTTGCGGCCGTGGCGGAAGCAGCAAGACCGGTTATGGACACAGTGGTCGAGAGGGAGCCCTTTTTTCGAGTTAGATTTATGCCCATAACGAGGGACGAGCAGAGACAAGTGTACCTTAGACTTGTGATAGGATGTGGCAGTCTTAGCTGCCACAACTTGTTGATCTTCGTTCTCATCTTGAACTGTGATGCGCTCAAACGCCGACTCCAGGTTGGCGACGTCGGCCATTGTGGATTGGGCGGATGGTGATGGCTGCGGTAGAGAGCGCTATGTAAACGACAGGTCGCAGAGGCGAAAGGGGGAGGGTAGGATATAGGCAGAAGCAATGGAAGTGAAATGAAGGTGGAGGACAACAGCAGGAACCTGGAGGTTAGTAGTCGAGGTTGAGGTGGTAAGTGAGCAGCGGCGGGAAACAGGTGTTTGGGCCAATACAGTCGATGTTACCCCAGCAACAGACGCATAGACGTGCCCCGCAACGCCATCACCATTACCTAGCTGCTAGCGCACGTCTTTGCCCGCTGCACGCTCCATCCGTTCATGACATCTTCCATGCTGTCTTCTCTCGCCGTGATCCAGCACCTGGTTCCTCGTTAAGATGACGACTCTCAACGGTGCGCCAGTCGACACCCAAACCCCGGGCCTTGCAGATACCTCCATCACCAAGGATGGCTTCCGCATCACGACGCGGAAGCTGCCCATTCTCAAAGCGGGGCCCATCGAGGAAATGACGCAGAATTTGGGTATTGCGCCGCCCGAGATGATATTTGGTGACAACCTTACGCGCATCGAGCATGCGCCCACTGGCTGGTTTATTGAATTCAACGCATTCGATGCACTGGATCGCGTGGACAAGACCGGCGAGAGCATGCTCAAAGTGTCTTATTCGAAAGAGTGGCAGCAAAATCGGTACGCGCTCTTGAGCATGCATTCGTGCAATTGATGCTTGCTCACGCCTACTAGTCAGAAACAATTCGAGGATATCAAAGAAGTGGTCAAACCCTTCGACTGGTCATACAGTACCGACTACAAAGGGACCACTCCAACGAACCCTGCGTTCCAACCAACCGAAACTCCTATTCCTCTAGCTCTTCTCAGACGCCCCGATCCAATACAATTCTTTGATGACGTTGTGCTTTACGAAGACGAATTAGCGGACAATGGTATTGCCATGTTATCTTGCAAGATCCGCGTCATGCCCGCTCGTCTATTGCTCTTGGTTCGCTTCTTCATGAGATTGGATGGCGTTTTGTTCAGAATTCGAGACACTAGGGTCTTCATCGAGTTTGCGACCGGGGAAGTCATAAGGGAATACACCGCTAGGGAAGAAAAGTATGAGGTAGTTCGCAAAAGGCTCGCTGGAACTAGAGAGGACGTCCTTGCAATCATGCGGGACCCCAATCCCCTGCAGGAGTACGTTCCTGTGGTGGAGAAGGTCCTAGAGAAAGTCGTATTGAAGTGAGCAAATATGCTCAGCGGATATGTACCAGGCACAGTAGAAGCCGTGAGTACGTGCTTTGCATCGCAGCTGAGACAAGGCCATACATGGCACAAATTGGCGGGCTAGCAATAGGCGCCAATCGCCGTGTCGAGCGCTCGGTGGGAAGAAGGGATGCAAAGAACGCGGCCAAGCTGCCGGCTGACTTCTTTCGGCTCATCTATCGAAGACGCTATGGCTCATGTGGGATTCGATTAATGAGGGCGATCCAGCGGGCGAAAGGCATGCAAATTGGTGCCGAGCCCGACCTCGGTTGTGTGGTTTGCTGGGTGCCTCTGGTGTCCGTAGCAGCTATTGTGAGTATTCGCAAGAGGCCTTCAGAGGTCTGTGCCCCGCGTCATTGTACGGAAATGTTGTTTCGATTTGGCTTTCAGACCGGTTATCCTCTTGGTCGACTGACCTGTGCGACTTCCGGTCATAGCTTGGCAGCTTTACAATGACAATAAAATGAAAGCCTGTTTAGTGAAGAAGCGAGATCGCATGTTGATATCGATCATTGTTTGTGCCTTTTCTCGAAAATAACGTGCTGTGTTTCCAAAGATGTTGAAGGAGTGAACTCCGGTTGCAATCCATGATTCATACGTTAGCTTTGCATTTCGTCTTACTGCAATCTAGGACCTCTACCCAAGATCATGCAGCAAAGATGTCTTGGATGTAAAGGCCCGATGTATGAATCATATGTCACTGTGTAATCGTACGATTGGTCTGACCTCTTGGACCGTATTTGCCTATTTTACCTAAAAGGAATCGTCCAACTCTTTGTTCGCGCTGCCTGCCAGAAAAGGTGTCAGAAATGCACGCCAAACCTACACCATACACCCGCACGATCCCCATTTGGCCATCATACAATCCTTTTAAGGATATGGTCAAATATTAGCTTGTTGTTCTGTCGACCTTGGGAAAGCCATAAGCAACTGAGTCCTTTGTTGAAGCGCCTCTTGACTTTGACTGTCAACCTTTCTTCTCATCACCGCAAATTTGTTCTACTGTCGACGTTTTCCACTCTTCCAAACTTTTATCTATTAACTCCTAACAAGACCTTTGTTTCTCACTATGGAGGAATTCTCAGATCTACCCTCGAGAGATGTCTTCGGCGGCACCTCCCAATGGATCTCCGGCACATTCCACCACTTCAACACATACTTATACCTATACACTGCACTGGCAGGGATCAGCGCCCATCTGCTTCTTTTTAAATACGGCGAATGGCACATGCAAGCTCCCGTACTATTCCGACTCTACGTCATCGCTACCTTATCCACTACCATCCTCGCAATCGTTGTCCATGGGTATGAAACCGGGACATGGAGGAGTCTCTCGCTCAATATCACATTCATGTTCTCGCTTTTCTCTAGTATTGGCATATACAGAGTGTTTTTCCACAGACTAAAGAATTTCCCCGGTCCTATTATGGCGCGTACCACTAAGTTGTGGCATGTATGGAAGTGCATCACAGCTAGATCAAGGAACCATCACGTCTTAGACAATATACACAAACAGTATGGGGATTTCGTTCGGACGGGTGAGTTCACTGTTGGCTCTCAAGCACCGTACATCATTACACCCGTCGTTCGAATTTTGATCCTCTTCAATAACCCTCATTAACAAAATCCCTCAACAAGGTCCAAGCGAAATCACAATCTTCCACCCCGAAGTATTCACGGCGATCGACGGACCACGAACCAAATGCACGAAAGCAGACTGGTACGATATCCTGCTTCCAGAACTCGCCATCAACACCACCCGTGACAAGGTCGAGCACGACCACCGGAGGAAGATATGGAATACCGCGTTCACTTCGAGTGATTTAGTAGAGTACCAGCACGGTGTTGTTGCGAAGCTCGCGGGGGATTTGGAGAGGATTGTAGAGAGGGCTGCTCGGGACGGGGAGGTGGTGAGGTTTAGTGAGTGTTTGAACTGGTATGTAATATTTGCAAAATGCTTTCAGAGTCTGTTTGTTCCTGCTCATTCCGATATGCGGGTTGGCAAGGTGCGAGGTACGAGGATGTTCAGGGGAGGAAAGTGCATGGCACCACTGTTCCCCGTTCCGGCTTCGTCGAAGTCTTGGGAAAACCACATACCTTTTCCTTTCTCCCTCACTCCCCAGAAGAGTTTTTTCCAACCAAAAACATATCGACTGACTTCTTCCCCCACTTGATCGATACGATCAGGTTCAGCTTCGACGTCATGGGCGAATTCGCCTTTGCCCAATCCTTCCATATGCTGCAAAACCAGCAATGGCACCATGCAGTGACACTGATCCGCGAGGCGTCGAAGATGCTCGGAATCTTTAATCCAGCACCATGGTACGTACTCCAATATCTATATATCGCATACATACAGGGCAGTACCTTGAGTGTCTGAGGACCTACCGCATCGTCTTTGCCTTGTTTTTTCACTAATACTTTGCTACTTAATGCTTTAGGTTAACGCAGATCGGATTCCATATCGGTGGAAATTGGCTCCATGGTGTTAGAGATTGGAATGAGGGTCTTGGGTGGTGTAGAATAAGGATGGCGGAGCGGATTGAGGTAGGTGCATCGATTCCACGCCTGTCTTGTCGTAACAAACGAGGTTTTTAAGCGGATACTTAGTCAGGTGCTCACCTTAGCAGACTCAAGACGTAATGAAGAAGACAGACATATCGTCTCATTTGATCGAGGCATCGCGAAACGCAGGTATGATCACAAAGCAAGACCGGTGAGTTACAGGTTCCACCCCTTCTCTCCCCGCTACCAATTCCCCAATACAAAGCAACTCGAAAGAGAAAAGGAGATAAACAAAATCTTACAAAATACACCCCAGGATGTGGCTCAATGGCGATTCAATAACCCTGGTAGTGGCCGGCAGCGACACAGTCTCATCAACCCTAACCTTCCTCTTCCACACCCTCGCCCTGCACCCTCATCACCAAACAACTCTCTTCCACGAACTCTCCAACCTCCATGATTGCACCAACCAATCCGCATTAGCCAAACTCCCTCACCTCAACGGCGTCATAAACGAAATCCTGCGTCTCCACCCCGCCGTCCCCACTGGAGGGAATCGTTTAACTCCCGCTGAAGGAATCACAGTAGCTGGGACGTATATCCCAGGAAACACAAATATTGTGGCGCCGAGATATACGATTGCGAGGTTGGAGAGCTGTTTTGAGAATGCGGGGGAGTTTATGCCGGAGAGATGGTACGAGATTGGGGGTGGGGGTAGGACGAAAGGGTTTGCGCCGTTTGGGATGGGAAGATATGCATGTGTGGGGAAGCAGTTGGCATTGGCGGAGCTGAGGCTGGTGACGGCGCTTTTGGTGAGTAAATATGAGTTCAGGATTGTGGATGGGAAGGGGGGTGATGATGATGGAGCGGATATTGTGGAGGGTATGAGGGATCAGTTTACGGCGCAGCCCGGTGGAGAGCTGAAATTGAGGTTTTGGTTGAGGGGAGCAGAGGGAGAATAGGAGTGGCAGTGGATTGATGGTTGTGATTCAGGTTTGCTTGTCCCGGATTTCCCGAGTGAGAACGGTGGTAGGGAAACCGAAATCTCCAAATGCCTAGTTGGAAGACAGGCTGTATTGTGGAAAAGGGGCATGCAACACAAAGAGGTATTCTCACGCACATCACCTACGCTTGCTCTTCTAGCCTAGCTCCTACAATGTCTCCGTGGAAAGAGAACAATTCAAAATAGAACCGAAAAAATTGGACTGTATCAACATGAAAGGTTCACATATTTAGGTTTTTTGTTCAATAAGAGATAAATAAAACCTTCTACAAACAACGACTTAGAGCGAGAGAATCTACTCCTCGTCTTCGTCATCGTCTTCATCATCCTCAGCTTCTTCAGCAACCTCCTCCTCAGCAGCCTCAACCTCGGCATCAACCTCTTCATCCGCGGCAGCTCCTCCAGGCAACAACAGGTCGTCAACTGTCCCACCTTCCCGCTCCAGCCTGAGGTACTCGTCCCACTCGGGGAACATCTCCTCGTCACCCTCGCCATCGGCAGGGGGAACACCGAGAAGTCGTCCGACCTTGTTCTTTCCGTCCTTCTCCAAGCTGACCTTCCACTGTTTTACCAGGCCGGCTGCTTGCGAGGGCTTGTATGTCTGCGCGAAGAGAACTGCTTCAGCCAGGCGATTTGTCTTGACAAGAATATCGAGGCATCCTTGCACATCGCCCGTTTGCCAGAGTGCCGAGAAAGCGATGTTGTTGGCAGTGGCAGTTTCGGCGAGCGCGGCGAGTTCGCGCAGACCGGACGCGTCCGAGGTTGCACTGTATACCAGGAGGAGAGAGCCCAGGTCCTTGGCTTTCACGAAGCACTCCTGTGCGAGGGTGACATCCCAGGCGCTGAGCGCCGCATCACCGACGGTCTTCCACTTGTGCTCAGTGTCCTGCTCACGGGCTATTCCGACTGCTTGTTGAAGATCGCCAAGAGAAAGAGCAAGATCGAAGCGGTGCTCTGGGTCTGTGGCGACCTTGAGCGCGAGCTCCTTGTGTCCCTGGCCTTCGAGGAAACGAGCAATCTTGTTGTTTTGATCCTTGGGCACTGAAGGAAGCAACTCTTCTGCTGCTTCCAAGTCACCTCGGAGGACCAATGTTTGGTACTCAACGACAGCAAGCGAAAGAGCGAATGAGACAACATTGACGTCCTTGTCGGCAATGTAAATCCTCGAGTCGCGCGGTAGGTAGCCAAGGAGATAGTGAGGGTGATCGAAATGAGAAATGGTATAAGTTTGGTCGCCGACCAAGTAGTTGAGTCGGTTTGTGCTGTTGGTGTAGATGAAGCAATCTCCGACCCAGGTACCAGTCCGTACACTGTTTTCATTGTCAGTGATTATGTCCAAATTCTGGGAGTGTGCACTCATACCTCTCGTTGATATCACAGACGACTTCGAATGCCGACTCGGCGCCATCTTCATCTATCTCGCCATTCTGTACTGCTTCGAGATAGTTTTCGCGAGAATACCTTAGAACGTAGAATGTGTCTTCTGTCGCGAGCGTAACGAGCTCGCCACTTTCTGACCAGTACACGCTCTTGGGCTCAACTTCTATCCTTCGGACAAGTGCGCCAGAATCCCAATCGAACAAGCCAATGCCACCCTGACCCTTGACACCGAGCAGGATACCCCCACTTAAGCCTTCGGCCGAGAAGCCAACATTGAGGACACTTCGCTCTTTTAAGTTCCGGAAAATCTTAACGCTCGTGGATGACTCTCGGATGGCGTAGTCTTTGTCGTGATCCTTGGAAGCCCAGACGAAATCCAAAGCTGAACCGAAAGCCTGGTTACGGAGAGCAAGTGCGGTGTAAATGATGTATTCGCCATCGCCACAAACAGCTACAAAACGTCCGTTTGGCGAGTGGAGCAGTGACTGAGGGTAAATTTCCGTCGATCCGAGGTCCTTCGTGGGCAATGTGAGCCGCTCGGAGTCTTTGAGCTTCTCGTTGCCTTTGATAACGGTGGTCATAATTTCGTTGTGTCGTGCCCAGAGAAGTTTGCCTCCTGCGTCCATACTGACGGCGGGCTCTTCACGACCCATGGAGATAACTACAGCGCCATCGTCGAAACCCAAGGCGACGCCATTCTGGCCCTTCTGGTAAGCCACACACCAAGCCCTCTCGAGACCATAATTCAAGGATTGTTCCAGTCTGTAAGTCGAGGAATGCCAAATCTTGATTGTGCCGTCTTCGGAACCGGAGATGATGACGGGTAATTCGGGGTGGTAAACGGCGAAGCTAACGTTCGAGGTGTGACCTTCCAACGTAGCAATAAGAGCTTTGGTTGTGTAATCCCAAACCTTGACGGTGCGATCGTCGGATGTCGTAAGAAGGTAGGGCTTGTCCGACTGAGGGTAGTAATCGATGAAATTGACACCTTTGGCCTCGTGGGCTTCGAGGGTGAAGTTGGGTGTCGAGCTGCCCAAGGACCATATCTTGACAGTGCGGTCAAGACAGGCCGAGGCAAATGTGTTGGGGTCCTTGGGGTTTATGGCGATACCCATGACATAATGTCCGTGGCCCTCGAATATCTGCACGCCTGTAACCTGTCAGCCTAGACCGTTGGAGCTGGGTGGATATGCGCACATTTCCATGATTTATCCCAATCCCACAACTTGATTGTCATGTCATCCTATCCCATTATCAGTGCTGCTCGTCTCGAAGAGTATAAGTTGTACGCACACTGGCGGTCAAAACGAAAGGCTGGGTCGGGTGCACTACGATGGCACGGATATAATCTGGGTGCGCCTCGAACTCTGTGATCTTCTCCGAAGTATTATAGTTGTATACGCGCAGCTTGAAATCGTCCGAACCTAATGAAGCCGTGTCAACAGTCGGGTTCCAGGCGCAGAACGGAGGGCAGGTATTTTGTTTGGAGCAACGCACCGGCGACTATCCAATTCTTGCGCGCAATGAAGCGACCCGCTCGAACGGGTACATCTGTGAGTTCGAATGTCTTGACAATGGACTGAGAAACATATGACCATATGTTAACGTGTCCTAGAGGGCGGTGTCAGCATGGGCTCTGTCCTACGACTATACAATCGCCAAAAGCACCTACCGCTATACAATGTCGTGAGAATCCATGGCTCAGTCGGATGGAAATCTTCGGGGAGGATTAGCTAATGGTAGATGGGCCTGTATCGCAGTCCGTACCAATTCCTGTAGCTTGTCAGTCTCATGACTTTATTCCATTCGGATTGCGACTCACCTTTGACCCTTTCCGACCGCGCAAAAAGTTGCCTCTGCAATTGCAATGCATTAGATTATGGTTCATAGCTATAGTAGTAATCGTGCGGGGGCATACCTTTACGTCTAGACGCATGGTTGCAGCTGGGGGATGTTGCTGAACGGAGGGGTGGGTGAATGGTTTGGAAAGACGTGGCTACTTAAAGCCCGCCCGGCGCGCGCGAATCGAAAGGCTAGAGGGGTCGAACACAAGAAACACGGTCCTTGCAATTGGGGGTCAGGTCGTAATTTTTGGGGGAGTCGGAGGAGTGGATGTAGTGGAGAATGAGTTGCTGTTCCGCACTGCGTCGCCTTGTGTCGAGGTGGGTTACTTGCGATGTTGCCTGCCAAGACTTCGGAAGGGTCCAAGTTGGATTGGACGGCTGGTCGTTGGCCGCCGCTCGTGGCTCTCCAGTATCGACTCAACCAGCATGCAGCTACACCCTACCTGCGTGTGTTACGTGTATACCAAGCAAAGTTGAGGAGATGAGTGGAATAACTAGCATTAATAATTCATACAATGTCATACAATGTCATACAATATCATACAATATCATACAATAAATGTCACAGGTTGTGATAATCTCAACATTGACTTGTCTTGACAACGTGTACATGACGGCACCAAAGTAATCATTCACTCTTGAGAGCCAAGCTTCCTACCAACTTACAGGTCGTTGTACGCTTGCTTGGACAAACATACATTATTAAGAGTGTCTGGCATCTTCTCCTTAGTCCATATACTTCAACGGCATTCGGAACACGTTCACCTTTTTGTTATACCTCTTGTTTGGTCCATAAAACCAAACTTCGCTCTCGCTTCTTCATCATCTTGACATTGACCCACACAAACAAACTCACACCTTCACGAAAATCTACCAAGATTGAAAATCGAGATCAACCGTCTGGCGTACGAGGGTCCAGTTCAACTTGCCGCATTGAGTAAAAAGCGAACTAAACTGTGCATTGCAGACAAGATGCAAGTCATTCACCATCCTTACCCATACCATGGCTCCGTCTGCCTCTAGTCCCAACAGACTTGCGCACGTCCACCACTGCAACGAAACAATTCCCACCTAGAGCGGGCGTATACACCCAACTAGCCGTCGCAAACGAGCAAGATCACCACCCAATACCAGTGAGACATTATTATGGAAATTTTTCTTCATTCTCATCACGGACTATTTACGTTAACCTCCCCACAAGCCATTCTCCCCCATGTACATCAAAACAAGCCAATGCATAAGCATGCTCAACAAACCACCCCATCCTGTCCAGTCTTTCTCACACACACAGCCATCATGTCCCCTTTCGCGTGTGCGAATACAAGTAAGCAAAAGACCTAGCGTAGAAAGGCATAGGCAGGTATCTAAGAATCGAAAATAATAAGGAAATGTTTCCAAGATATGGCGACTAAATAAATGAGACATAAGAGGGTAGGGTTTTCTTAGAGAGAGTGTCCGAACATTAGCAAAGAAGATAGGCTGCCACCTGCCCGGTGCCGGGCCAGCTCGAGCGACTGCTATCGACGAACTAAAGAGGGGGTGGCACGGGGCGAGGGAGCCGTGAAATAATTACATGTTGGAGGCATTGTGAGCCTCACAACTCGTGGAGCGGTGCAGTACACCACGCGCTCCCGAAGAGGTATGATACAGGATGAGGCGGGGGCTTGTATGACGGTCCGTTGTTCAGTTCCAGCCAAGGGAATTTTCAGCCATCATGGGCGCTGATATTTGCTGCGTGCGCACGCTGCGCCCGTTACTCGTGCTGCTTCCCCGGCTGCCGCGACTGTCATATCCAGCCGAGAGGCGTCCGTTGCGCGCCCCCGACATCCAGGCTCCCCCAAGCGAGCTACCTGTGTAGCGGTTGGTGCTTGGGACAGAGCTAGAACGTTTGTGCGACATCTTCTTGTTGCGGTATCGTCGAGCGACGAAGAACATGGCAGCTCCGTACGCACATGCACCCAAAACTGCACCAGTGGCAATACCTGCACTCGTCGGGTTGACTTTGTGACTACCAGCCATGCCGCTACCCAACGGTCCACCTTGCGAGCCAGCTTCTTCCGATGGCGAAGAACCCGGAGAGGTGACGCGATTGGGACCGTTCGTCGCAGGTATCTTGCCGAACTCAAGGGGCCAGCTTGGATCAACCAGGTTCGTGAGCTCTCTGACAGTGACATCCTTGTTATGATAGAAGACACTGGCCGGTTGAGTAAGGTTGGTGGCAAGGGTATCGTTGAACGTCCTAGGCATCATGAACACAGCCAAGGTGGTAATCCACTTCTTGGAGCTAGTCGTGTCGGAAGCCGCCAATCCGTAGTTGACGATTTCAGATTTTTCGATGCCGAGAGCGTCGGAGATGGCGACAGGCAGGTAAGCAAAAATTTGGTTCGCAGCCTCGGCGTCGTTTGTTCGTACAAAGTCATAGTTCAAGCCGTATGTGAAAGCAATCTGACCCAACATCTTGTCTCCCGGGATTTCCGTGGGCATACCGTTGGAAGGCACAATCCACTTGGGCAAGCCTGAAGGCATCGCTGAAGCCGAGGGAGTGATCGACATACTCGTTGAGGACTGTTGGTAAATGGTTGTAGGAATGCTCAACGTGGTCTCGGTGTTGGAAGCCGTGGCGGATACGGAGTGAACTGGAGGCTTGGTAGTTGTCGTGGTAGGCAATGGGGGCGTGAAAGTCAGCGAAGGTGAGGGCTCTTCCGAAGAGCTTGCAGGAGCAGATGTAGGCTGTTCGCTGGACGATGTGCTTGGTGGAGGAGCACTCGTCGGGATGGCGGACGTGCTGCTAGCGGAAGAACGCGAACTAGTTGACGATGACGGGCCCTCAGAAGCGGGGATTCCAGTACTGGACGACGTTTGAGTTGAGCTGGAAGCAGGGGCAGTACCACCAGTGCTCGAGACGATCCCGGAAGATCCACGGCTAGTTGAGGAGCTGCTAGCTGAGGGTATCGCAGTTCCAGAGGAAGTAGGGGAAGGTGCAGTTCCGGAAGAGCTTGAGGCGGGCGCACTCGAGGACGAAGAAGCGCCACTCGAAGAAGGAAGCTGTGAGCTGCCTGTTCCACTTGGTGCAGAGGACGGAGGAAGAACACCAGAGGTGCCAGACGAGGATGCGGACGTCGACGGCTTCGAGGTGCTCGATGGGACGGATTCCGAGCTAGGAATACCAGTTGGTTGGCTCGACGAAGAAGGAAGCGAAACAGTAGTAGGTCCAGTTGGTATGATTGTAGGGACGCCGGAACCAGAGCTGATGATAGAAGAGATGATACTGGATAGTTGGCTGGTTGGCAAGATAGTGGAGAGGGGGACCGAAGGAAGCGTCGTCGGAGCACTCGAGACCACAGAGGACGGAGCCGTGGGGTTGGACAGAGGGCGGGTTGCACTGCTGCTCGCCCCAGCACTGGTGGCAGTGCTAACAACTGAAGAGATGGGTGCTCCAGAAGAAGTTGGTACAACGACGGAAGAAAGCACAGAGGAAGCTCCCGAAATTACTGAAGATGCAATAGACGACACTCCAGAAAGAAGGCCCGACTGCGAACGTGTCTCCGAGGCGGGGATCGTAGCAGAAGCAGAGCTCGAAGGAATGATGGCAGTAGTAATACCAACGATGATTCCAGTTCCGCTGCTTGTAGGAACAGCAGACGATACAACACTGGAAACAATGCTTGAAGACCCGGTGCCGGTAGGAAGAAGAACGTTACTCATGAGTGCGTCCGAGGGACGAGAGCTGGTACCCGAAGATGACACACCAGTTCCACGAGGAAGCGTTCCGGTGGATCTAGTCGAACCAGATCGTTGTGTAGACGATGTAGGCTGGACTGTAGCGGATGGGAGGACACCAGTTGACCCGGCGGAGCCAGACAGAGAAGACGAAGCGGCACCTGACGAACTACCAATGATGAATGGACCTTGGAAAGACGTGCCCCTAGATGTTGACGAAGCTCCTGCTCTGCTCGAGGGCGCGGTCCCCGAAAGAATCGACGAGGGGATTTGCTGGCTTGCTCCACCTGTACCAACGGCACTGGATTGAGAAGGCACGGCAGATTGGCCGGTAGAACCAGACGAGCGTGTAGACTGAGCAGCAGATGACGTGGGAGGAAGGGAGGCACCAGGAGCAGTTCCCGCTGAGGACACTCTCGAAGAGCTGGGTTGAACGACGGAGCTTGGGAGTCCACTGCCGGTGGATCCATTTCCAGGCCTCGATGATGCAGCCGCAGAAGATGCTCCGCTAGTGGGTTGAATAACAGAGCTGGGCGCAGTTCCCGTGGGCGCAACAGCTACCGAGCTGGATCTAGATGTAGACACGGCACTCTGTACCGAAGAGGTTGGCTGAATGATGGAGCTGGGAGCGGTGCCGGTCGGCGCAACAGCCGTAAGTGCGGAACTTGTCGCTACGCTGGATCTACTCGAAGTAGGCAGGATGACAGAGCTAGGGGCCGTGCCAGTTGGCGCAACGACGGAGTTCAAGGTGTTGGAAGTTGCAACGCTGCTGAGAGAAGACGTCGTCGGTTGGATAACAGAACTTGGGGCAGCGCCCGTCGGTGCCACACTTGTGAGTGCGGAACTTGAGGCTACACTGGATCTGCTCGAAGTAGGCAGGATAACAGAGCTGGGGGCACTTCCGGTTGGCGCGGCTCCGACAGAACTTAGAGTGTTGGAAGACACGACGCCGCTGAGCGAAGACGAAGTTGGCCTAATGATAGAGCTAGGGGCGGTGCCCGTTGGAGCAACAACCGCAGAGGATACGGAGGAGCCACTGTTTGCGGACGTAGGCTGGAGCACAGAAGAAGGTAGAGTGCCAGTGGGTGCCACTGCAGAAGAGGACTGCGATGCGGAAGAGACAACAGCGGAAGAAGAAGCGGCGGAACTCGATCTGATCGAAGCAGAAGCCAAAGATGTGGAACTGCTGCTGACTCCCGGAACAACAATGGAAGATGAAGATTGAATGACGCTTGAGCTGCTGGCTCCGGGAGCTACGACGGATGAAGATGGAATGACGCTTGAGCTGCTGACACTTGGAACCACGACAGAAGATGAAGATTGAACGGTGCTCGAGCTGCTGGCTCCAGGGATAACGACGGAAGACGACGAAACGACGCTTGAGCTGCTGACACCGGGGACAACGACAGAAGAGCTCACTGCACTGGTGGTGGGAGCCACAGAGGCAATCGAAGAAGACGATCTTGTAGAGCTCACTGCGGTAGTGGGAGCCACAGAGCTCACGATGCTGCTGCTTTGTATGGCAATAGACGACGAAGATTGGACGGAGCTGACAACACTACTGCTTGGAACCACGGCAGAAGACACCACAGCAGAAGAGCTAGGTACGACGGCAGAAGTCGAGACTACAACAGAGGTTGCTGAACTTGTGATGGGAATGGCAGCCACAGACGAAGTGGAGAGGGCACTCGAGCTCGTAGTTACTACCGCGCTTGTAGACGTAATTGGTAGAGCTGATGACGATGAAGTCGTGGATGAGATTCCGAGATTTCCGGTGCCGATTGGGACCGCAGCTTTGTTGACTTTGAAAGGTTCGAGGAAAGACGGGTCCAAAGGATTCGCGGCAGCATCGGCCTTGAGGTCGTTCGTCTTCGCTTTTTCCTTGTCTTCCGGACGTGCGCCGAAAAGCCAGTCGTTGATGGATTGACGCGTCTCTACCTTGGGGGTCGAATCGGCGGTGTGGTCGGGGACCTGTCTTCGAACATGGCGTGGGAAATAATATTTTGGACGATTCTCGTTCTCCTGTCCCCTAACAGGGGCGGGCATGGCTTCGGCAGTCGTAAGAACAGGTCCAGAGCCGGACAGACTGGACAAGGCCAGGGCAACGGCCCATATCGTGGTGGATCGTGGCATAACTACTATTATCTGCGATGACTCTTTATAAGACCTACTATAAATAAAATAAAATGATTCTCGAGGGTATCAAAGCGTAGTTCGAAAACGAGATTCTGCGAGGATTAGATGAGGCTCCAGACGGTGTTTCGAGGCGAACATACTGTCAGGAAGTTGGTAGTAAACGAGTGTACTTGACGTAGCAAGGTAATAAAAGTAAAGAATGGACCTGCAGAGCAATCAGATGTGGATCCGGCAGAAGCTGGAGTGGCTGGCAAAAAGACGTACGAGTCTGTCAATCAGTCAGGATGAGTGAAGATTGATGCTCCAGGCAACTCGAACGCAGCGCTTCTGGTAAACAAGTGGATTTTGGATTCCGAGTCGGCTACACGGTCATGTTGATGGGCGGCGTTGGTTGGATTTGCAGGACAACGATCGCCAGGCTCAAGACCAGAGTCTGCTTGGATCAATCAAGCCGATGCAGAATCCAGGGGCGGTCCGAGACAAAGACGTCGGGCGGTGGCTGAGGATCCTGTCAAAGAAGACAAGAGGCGAGAAGGATGGCGGAAGATGGTCGCAAGAAAGGAGAGAATGCCGATGGATCGCACAATGGAGGCTTTGTTCCCGGTCGATGGGAAGGATTGGCGATTACAGGCAAACGAGAGACGAGCGACGAAGATTAGCGGGTAATGGTAACGGGTCAGGAGCGCGAAGGGAGCGTGCAAGAGGCGAAAGAACGTGGTGGTTGGGCGGGTGCGGGTGGGAACAGAAGGACGAAGGTGCTGGCGGGAAACAACGGGGCGGCCGTAGTGGGCGCGGTGGGTAGCGGGTGGTGTGCTTCGACGGCGGCGACCACACAGCGGTTGCTGTATGCGTCGTTCCTGGTCGGGTATTGTCGAGAGGGAGAGAGAGGGAGCGGGAGAGAGGATGAGGGTGGGGGAGAGAGAGAGTGGGAGAGAGAGGCGAGGCGCAGTGGTGAGCACGAAGGGGAAGGGAGGAGAAGGCCAGCGAGGAGTGGTAGTAGGGCAGGATACCCAGCAAACGGGCCAACTGACAGGGCAGGGCAGGGCAGGGCAGGGATGGCCCAAGCGGAGCGGGCAGGACAGGCCCCTAAACAAGAATGGTGTGGTCGGGGGCTTTTTTTGTTTTCAATAGCGCAATAATTAACCGGCGCTTCGCTTCGTCCCTATTCTCTCCTGCTCCAACTGTGCCGTGCTGAGAAGAGTATGTAGAGGAGGACGATGATGGTGCTGATGGTGCTGATGATGATGGACGGGTGCTACAAGCTGGAGAGGGAGGATGTTTTGCCCCTACACAGCCATGCATCCATGCAGCCAGCACAGGGAGAGCAGAAGAAGAGGAGTACTACATAAACAATGGACGGGTGCCACCGTCTGCCAGCAGGTTCGGATGGCTAAGCACTCGTCGATGTCTATGTGCAAGTGTGTAAGAGAACCGGTCCCAAGCAATGGCAGTAAGCAAGCGGCGTGACAGATGAATGTGGGTATATACATGTCATAGTACACATGTAGTTGGAGACTGCTGTCAGAACGCTCACTCGAAAAGCAAAAGCATCTCTCAGGTACCATCACCATGATCCATCGTATATACACGACACACACGGCTTCTAGGCAACTGGCTGGCCCATGCTCGCTTCGCGCGTGGTGATTTGTCGGCAGTCCCCAAACGGCCGCAGCATACCCACATGCCCACAGTTTGTTCCGTGGTTCGGCATGGCTCCCGCTACAGACCCATCTTCTCCTCTGGCGCATCAATGCAGTCGCCCACTAATTACGCGTAAAACTACGTATGTCCTCCACTTCCCTGCCTAGCTATTTTCCGGGGAAGGCAGAGGGCACAAGAGACTGCGAAAGAGCAGCAGCAACAAGACAAAGAGAAGAGGGCGGAAGAACCAACTCTCTCCGCCTGCGCGACACGGCCCGCAAATGTCCAGATGCATCCATCTAACCAGCCGGGGCCCTGGCCGACTCCTCAATTTCGAAACATGACGCCATTCCCCTTTGGTGCCTGTTTTGATTGCGCTGCCGAACCAGCCCCAATAGCAATCATGCAATAAACCCACCGCAATATCCTCCTGCCCGCCAATCACAGCGCCCGAATACATGACTATGGCGTTATGTACTGTTTTGTTTTGTTTTTTCCCTCATTCAATTAACCCTCTTGGTCAGCTGATTGTGCTCCCAATTCTGCGCCGTTGTGCGTCTGAATGAATCAATCCATCACCCATGCCGTGCCTGTGCCTCCTTGTACTCCCTCCCTCCCTTCCTCCATCCATCCACCTATCCATCTGTTGTAGCATGGCCCGACATTCGATTCAACACAATCAATCCCTCGTCCGTCCATCCATCCATTCATCCATAAATCAATGAATCAATCGTGGAAGCAATGAAACCAAAATAACAACACACTAACCGCCTGCTTGCCCCGTTTCCACGCTTACGCCTCAGGCACCAAACTTTGCAAAAGCCACGCGCCCGCTAGCCACTCCGTTAAATCACTCCATCAAGCCCCGTCCCACCTCCTTCACTTCAATCATCATTGCCCATCATGTGCCCTCGTTAGCATCTATTGAGCATACATACACATGTACTCACCACAGCAAACTGCCTCTCTTTCTCTCTCCCGTTCCACTGCTTTGTTTGGGACCGCCACTCCCACTTTGTTTCAGCGCGTCCTTCTCCCGCTCCATCAAAGCTTCTGCTCCAGTACCTGAAACCCCTGTCATCATCCGTCGCTGCTTCCCGTTAGCCTTCGCGAATGCCTACACCACATCTACATCTACACTCAGTCCACTGCGCTCTCCCATTTTCCTATCCAGCCATGCATCCATCTTTTTTTGATCCCATTTTTCCCTTTCCGGCCACATCGGTTTGGCTTTGTATGCATGCTGCTGCTTACCACTAAGATGAGCAAGCCTCCATGTCCGGCAAGCGGACTCCGCCCTCTCGTAATCCAACCTCCACCGGACATGCGCCAGAGCACCCAAGGCTACGTTCCGGACTCCATCAAGTCAGCATCACGACAACAACCCTCTTGGGTTCATTTGCACCCCCCACTCCCGTCCTATTTGCATTGATTCCCACCATGTGGGCACACAATAGTCATACTTGACTCGCTATCCTCCTGTGTACTATCGAAACCTCAGGCACCGGATCGACTAACGCTAACCTCGAATATGTAGATCGTTTACTACTCCATTGGCAAACTCTCAATCCATCTTCGCCGCATAGACAAAACATCAAGACTTTCTCTCCTCGTGCATCTGGTTCAGCTGCGCTGCCTTCGCTGTATCCCTTCCACCCGCCCAGCACCCTCAATGCATGCTTGACTCGTTTCGCATTGCCTTTACACACCACATCTTGCCACTTACTACCTACCGCTATGCCCAACTTCCCCTCCCCTTTTCCCTTTTGTATTTCGCGCGTACGCCATCATGTTTTGTTTCCATCCCCGCTGTTTCGTTTCTGTCCCGAACAGTCCGCATAAAAGCCCACATGTCACTCAACACCCGCCCGACCGCCTGCGTTTCGCGAAACACGCTGCGCTTCACCAAACACCCAACCCCACGCCCGCCGGCGATCACTCTCTCTTTCTCTTTTCACTCGCCCTCCGACGCAATGCATGAATGTCGCAACCCAAACCCCGATCGCTCGCCCTGGGAAACAAAAACCCGCACGCAGGTCAATCTTTCCCCGCACTCGTTCATGCTATAGCAAGCCCTTGCCCTGCCCTTTCCCCTTCGCCCGGTTCACTTTCGCCGCAATCTTCTAGAAACCCGCTTCCCTTGTACCCTGGGGAAACCTTTAATGCGTAGGTATATACAGTGAGCAAAAAACCTGTTCTCTGCTCTGCTCTGCTTCTTCTATCAAGATTAGGCGCTTTGGCGACAACATCCAATACCAAGCATGACTGTTTTCGCCCCCCGAGATGATCGATGAAACGCGGCGAGCACCAAGTACCAAGGGCTCAATGCTGGAAATGCAAGGTATCCACTTGCCCGCTCCCTCGCCCGTCAACATGTTTCTGCTTGACAGATAACGTGGCGTGTTTTCCTTGTTTGCTTGCTTGCTTGCTTGCTTGCTTGCTTGCTTGCTAGCTAGTTTGCTGGTTTGTTGTGTTGCTGAGTAGTAACTTCCAGGGAGGACTGAGCTTAGAGAGTAGCAGATGTCAGCGAATAGTCATCTTGGCTAGCAGTACTGCCAATGAGTAGTCATATTACAAATCAGTAACCTCTCTTCTCAAGCATTTATTGTTATTGGATAGTGATTTTCTTGCAATGTAATGTTACAAAATTGTCCTATCAAGGATAGACCTTTCTAGTAGAGAGAGTAGCAGTATAAAGCAGTAAACAGTAAACGCCGTTACGTAGTAAATCTAGGAACAAGTCATTACATGCTTATAGACAGTACTATTTGAGGGTACTATATACAGAGAGTAGTAGTACTATTGAGGAGTAGAGGTTAACAAGTAGTCGAAAATCTCATTATCTAGTATCCTTGGAACATGGCCAAGTGCTCAGTAGTAAATCTAGCGAGTGTCATCTCTGGTACGCATTCAAGTATTTCGTCAAGTAGTCATCTTACTACGTAGTAATCCCACTCCGCAGCAGTCTTAGCAAGTAGCAATACTTACACGTAGTAACCCCACTCTGCAGTAGTTCTAGCAAGTAGCAATGCCACTGCGTACTAATTCCAACACGCAGTAGTTCCAGTCAACACCACATCCTACCCAGTAACGACAACACCCTAGGCAGCAACATCAACCAAATCCAATCCAATCAAACTCCTCACCCCATGTTCTGTCCAATGAGAAGAAAAAGAAGATAATATTGGCACAATACGTCCTCGCTTTCACACATTTTCCGAAAAGGGAACGAGAGCGCTTACCGCAGACAACCAAGCACATGTACGGCGCAGCTTGCAGTTTGTAATTTGCTGATTGCGTCCCTCCCTTTCTTGCTCTACTCTGTCTGTGAGTTGTTCAGCGAATCACTAATGTCGGAAAATCAATATTGGAGTGCTGGGGTAGTGAGATCATGCATGTGATGAGTGGTGTGCGTGTCTTGTATGTATGTGCGCTGGAAGTGCTGCAGAGGGGTTTGGCAGAGACGTAGCGATTACTCGTGCGGGAGCGGTATCCTTGCTTTGTTGGGTGACTTCTTGGGTAGCAGCTTGTGTGATGGGATTAGGTTGAAATGTTTCTTTCTGTTGTCGGACTCGGATTCCTGATTGTAATGCTGTTGTTCGTGCGGTGATTGCTCGTTACGAGCTGGTATGCTGGCGAGTAGGGTTGAGTGAACACATGCAGGCAGAAAATTATTGTCAGTGTGGGTTCTTTAAGTCTTCGGTCTGAATTACATCCTTCCTCGATACATTCAAGCTTAAGTCTAGTATTGTCTCTTAATTTACGAAATACAGCTTTACAGCAAGTAAGCCTACTCTCATACAGTAGCTTTCCGTCACATTTCGACATCAATCTTCTGTGATTTTCAACTATCGTACTTGGGTCGAATGATATGTCTCAACCGGTACGGGATCAAATTATACCATATATACTTGAACGTTGTTTGTAAACAAATAATTTCTCTGATGTTACAAATTTGACATTCGACTTCAGTCTTATGTATTCATATCATCAACAAAAGCCGCAAGCAGTTGTATATTTTGAGTAATGAGATGTGAGTTACCAAAGAATTTGATCAAGCTCTACTTAGGTGGGGAGTAAATTGCTATGTCTCCAAGAGTGCTCCCCAACCCTTATTACGTTCAGAAACCTGTGTCCTGGTATTTTATCACGATAAACATCGCTGTGTGTAGAGACACCCAAAATCCAACTCTACAATTTTTACGTTCTCAAGTCACTGTACTCAAGCTTCTTGCAACAATATATATGAATAGCGTATCTACATTCGTTTGTTCCCTGTAAAACTGTATACTCGAAGCGAATTGATAGGTAACGGCACGTACAGAAATATAAAAGAAAGGAAAATAAAAACAATCCCATCAACGCCGATCATGCAGAGTCCCTACCGACTGCGGCAAAGAGATATCTAACAAGTGCTCATCACTTCGTCTTGGTAGATGTAACAGACGACGAAGACTTTGTCGTTGACGTCTTGAGAGTAGTAGGGGAAGACGTTGTACTCGTCTTAGTACTGCCACTGCCGCCCTTGGAAGTGCTTGTGGGAGCTGCGCCCCCAGTGTGAGTCGACCAGTAGTCCACAAGAGCAGATTCAACCTCATCGACTTTGCTGTATGCTTCAAGTCCAATGAAGAAGTTTAGCTTGTCTTTGATGCCCTGTTCGCTGAACACGCCGCTGCGAGATTGGAAGTCGGATTCCGAAAAGTCGGTGGCACGGTAGCGCGGCTCCATTGGATCGATAAAGTGCGTGGTTTCGGGATAGCCGAGATCTGGCAAGGCGGTGACGTTGAATGCGGCCAGCATTTCGTGGTCTTCGTGGATAAGGTTATGGCAGTGGAACATACTGGAAGAAGGTTAGTCCAAAGAATTTACTTGGATTGGTTTTCAGAGTGATACTTACTAGACTCCATCCCATGGTGCATACCGTGCGACGACTTCAATCTTCTCGTTTGTATCGAGCCACATGACGTCCTGTTGTCGAGTTGGCATTCAATACTTAATGAAGTAATCATAAGAAATTGGCTTACCTTGAGTGCGACCTTTTCGTAAGGCATTACAGCTCCCCTACCCCCACTTCGGGAAACAATCTGAAGATCAACTAAATGGATATGAATAGGATGACTCCAGCCACCCGAAGTGTTTTCGAGCGTCCATTTTTGAACTGAGCCGCGAGGGGGCTTTGCGAGAATTCGGGAGTTCGCATCAGACCATGTAACTCCGTTGATATTCCATCCTCCTCCGTTACCCTTCTGAAACTTGAAGTTATATTCGCTAGTAGCGTGGGATGGAGGGAACGGGACCGTTCTGAGCGTTTGAGGAAGTCCATTGGGCAAGTTGTTCGAGGAATCCGACACGGTGTTCCCAACGATAAATCCTGTGCGAGGTTAGTTCATAATGTACATAGTAGCGAGTAGGGGAGGGACCTTACGCATGACTTGATCGGTACTGTTGTAGTCGTCGTCTGCGGCAACTTTACGAGCATTCTTGACAGTAACGTTCTTACCCGCATAAGCACTGAAATCGACGATGACCTCCCAACGTTCCGCTACAGAGATGTACAAGTCATTGGTCTGTACGGGGTTCAGAGTCAACCCAGCATCGGAAGCGAAAACTGTGAAAGGGATCTGTTTGCCGACAGCATCGCTGGATTCGAAAGAAAGCTGGAACGAACGGCTGATACCAGTATTCAAGAAACGCAGGCGATACTTGCGAGGTTCGACTTGATGGAAAGGCCATGGGACCTGGAGGGCAAAGAGAAAAGGTCAGTGAAGCTCAAGCAAATTTGCCTTGGGGTTTTTGGTGAGTACTCACACCATTGACATGAATAACATCTCCCCAAAGAGATACTTCTTCTCCATTCTTCTCCGGATCCCAAAGTGTGCCATCTGAGTTGTACTGCTTGGATGCTAAAGCCAGAGGGAGGTCGTATTTTCCGGACGGAAGGTTGAGAGCGTCCTCTTCCGCATCGGACAGAATGTAGAAGCCAGCTTGGCCGTCTGTGATAATCAGTACTCAATATAAAAGCAATGAAAATTATGGTCAACTTACAGTAGGCATTCTCAGCGGTGTGATCGATAGCATGGTCATGGTACCTGTAGACCGATGAATGAGATAAGACGAATATCATAGAGGAGCAATGGAGAGTGCAAGTACCATAAAGTCCGAGCGTTTTGTCTGTTGGGATAGTAGTAGTCTTTGTACTGTCCGGGCTTCGTGATATCATCCGCCTACAGGGTACGATAACAAAGTCAGTATCAACCAATTGTGATTGAATGGGATCCCTATTGTCGTCTGAAAATACTGCACGACGATATAGAAATATATTAAAGCTTACGTACCCAGCCGTCGAATGGTGCGCGACTGTATGAACCGTGAAGGTGGACACTGTTGGCAAGTGTTGCTGAAGGGTACAAGTTAGCTAGTCACGTGGGATACAAGCGCCACATATTAGACTTACCGTGGTTCACAAAACGCACAACGGCTTCTCTACCTTTCTGCATACGGAAAGTGGGACCTGGAACGCCGCCGTTGTAGCCAACAAGGTGGGTTTTTCCAAGTCCAGGGTAGATCTGAACGTCCACTGGCTTGATGTCGATCTCATAGTAATCAAGATCAGAGCCATCAGAGTTCTTGACAGTGCTGGATTATTCGTCAGTGAGAGACCTAACATGATCCATGTTATTGAGACTAGGAACATACTATTTGGGTGATATCTCTTCTCCAAACGCGAGAGGCTGAGTGTATAATGGATAGACTGGAGATAGCCATTTGTCGTCACCGCCCTTTGCATAAACAGTACTGGCTGCCCAGAGAAGCGGAAGAAAAGATCGAAGGAATCGAGACGACATAGTGAAAGACTGATATGTGGTCGATAGTTAACAATGATGGATCAACGATATCTCGTGTTACAGACAGATTCGTAGAAAGAAGCTTCCGGCCAAGAGAGCTTGGAAGTTGCTTGGTGATCTTTCTGACTGTGGAAAGAGTCCACATTTATACCACACATAGCTTCTCCTTGAGAATACGAACACCTTGTCCCGAGAAAAAATTCTTAGCTATTGTCCAGAATCAGATCCATTGCATCCTACCATTTAGAACACGAACTGTCAATTGTCCAGGTCTAAAATGGTAAGCCCGCGGAAGAAGAACGAGCTACCAGTGTTGTTTGCCTGCAAGCCACCACGCTATATTTGAAGTCATCTTCAAGGGTGTGTTGGGGTTGTCCGGTGTGCAGACCCAGATGGTGCCTGAAACGAGGAGTCTCGAACCTGGCCTAACAGATGTGGGAGAAATACTTTCAAACCGCCCCATGCGTCCACTGTGCAATTTGATTTGGCTTGAAAGATCGACTGATGCCTAAACTACTACAAGATGTATCAGAACTTGAAAGCATCGCTCAAAAGATACCTTTTGTGGCAATGCATCTCGTTTGGTAGAACTCGCTTCACAATACTCGATAGAGATAGGATTGAACTAATAACGGGTCTGGACGTGAACAATGTGGGAAACTGAACCAGGTCGTCGGATATCAGCACCATCTGCGGGTAGACTAATTTTGGACGCGCTTTGCCACGCGACTTTGTCACAGAAGCAGCGCGAGAGATGGTGCCTACTCACTCGTATACCATATGCAAATATCATGCTGATGTGGGCCTGAGTAGCTTGCTACGCTACTGTAGTTAAACTGCCACCATGCATTCCTGGGGAGCAAATCCTAGGTCGCAGCTGAAATACTGTCGCCAGAAAGTCGTATATGACCCAACATCGATGAATCCTAAAGGACCACTTTAGATTCCGCCATGAAGTTGATACGCAAGCTATACGAAATAAAGCTTGTCATCTGACAAGCATCGTGCGAAGGCTAGGCAGAAATACCAACACGCACTGAAGCTTCGCCCAAGCCGCTTTTCGATATTGTGGCTTATGGACCGTCCGTCTTCACATTGCAGTAAGGCTACTACAAATCCACCGTCAGTTGTTTCGTCGAAGAAGCAAAGTGAGACCTGGCCCTGCCACTTGCTCGTAAGCGAGTTGTAAATAGCTTTCGCTTATGCACATATCTGAATATGTGGCTTGAAAATTGACCTCAAGGATGGAAAGGCAAGGGGGGGGGAGCTGAGCCTCAAAGGTGCGATGCTATTGACAGCATCTTCGTCAGCAGGGACGGAGTCACGCATGGACAGCAAGTGACCAACGTAATGCTGTTCGAGACCTTCAATCTCAATAAGACTGCCTTTTTATTGAAATCTGATGTCGGACTCCTGAGTGCAGTGAATTCGCACCATCTGTACTGCAAGTGGTGTATATCTCATGTATCTGAGATCGTTGTTCATGCCGGTAATTGGCACGAGAAGCTTAACTGCGACGGCACTGATTTCCTGGATGCAAGTAGTCTATGTGGACAAACAACATGCCATGAGGAACTCGTATTCGCACATGCGGTAGTGTGCGCATATGCCGTAACTCGTATCCTGCAGGGCGGACCGAGCTGTCGTACTTTTGGCGCAATAACCTGACATTGGAAGACTTCGGCACTAGAAACCAATCAGCAACCCAAGCGTGTCGCATTCCAATATCTCCAGTCCTTGTGTATAATCGAGCCTGGTTCTCGGGGACTGGATCCTGGGTTAGGCGCACATGTGCATTGGCGCGAGTACGAGGCAACTACCTCGCACATCTGCATGCTATCGTCAAGTTTGCCTCTAGGCAACTGACAGCTCACCCACCAACACGTTTTGACACATGTTTGAAAGAGGCCTGTGGTGTCGATGGTCGAGCTGAGAAGCTTCGACATGTGCTTTAACCACGAAGGGAGATAAGCTACTCCGAAGATCGTAAGCGTCGTGGGAAAGTCGCCAACCCCGAAGATCTGGATGCACAATTGTATGTCCTCTCAGCCGCGCCAATATTTTCATCACTCCCTCTGACGCGATTGAATAAAAGATTTCATAGTATTATTCAGTAGATCTGAGCCTGGCCATCCCTCAAAAGTCCAATCCCGACACTCACCTTTGCTCCCTTCCATCCATCCATATTACAATGCATCCTGTCATTCCACGATACACGATCTAAAGCAACACTAACAGCTCATCACCAAAGCCGGTTGCATGAACAGATAGGATACTTCCTAGAGTTACACACTAGAAAGTTAGCCACGTTCGTTTCATGTAACGATGTATACATATATGTCAGAATGCACGGCGATGGAACAGGGGTGCTGCCTGTCAGCTGTGATACTCAAATAACACTGATTAGCAGCAATCTACCACTCCGCATTGAGCTTTCATTATTGCTGCTATCTAATTGCCAAATAGGTACTAGGAGTACAACATCCTTCAATCCATCTCTACACTGGACTTGAAGGCAACTTTGTACCCACTCGAATTTTTGATCGTCATACCACCCATGGGTTTCCATTCGCCCGTCATATCTTGTACGCTTTCAAATCTCCCACTCAATTTTGACAGTACGAAAGCAGTTTCAACCACCGCTTTCTCCTGCCCCAAACACGCCCGTCCGCCAGCCCCAAAGGGTAAGAATTCATTCGTACCCGGTTTGATATGGTTCCAACGTTCTGGCTTGAACTCGTCCGCGTCAGCTCCGTAGACCTTGGGATCTGAATGTAAGGACCACAGATTAACGAGTCCCGTGGTACCAGCGGGAATATGTAGCGGTGATTGGCCATCGATTCCACCGCCTTTAGGCAGGATGGTGTGTCGAATCGCTCGGCGACCAATTGGTGTCGCGATAACGCGGTGGCGAAGGGCTTCTAATATGATATTCTGTATTACTTTGTTGTTGCGAAGGTTGTCAAACGTAAAAAGGTGAGATCCTTGTTCCAAGACTTCTGTGCGCAGCTGTGTCCAGATGGCAGGCCGGGTGGAGAGGATTTGGACGACGTTGCTGATTAAAGTCGAAGTGGTGTCTTGGTTGGCAAAGCTTGACATTTGAGGTCAGTTGAATTCAAAATACTTGCATATCTTGACGACTTGCTCGTGCTCAGTGGAATACGTACAGAGTATGCATGAGTTGAGCCCGGGCATCGGCGGATGACGCAGCGTGAGGCAGAATGGTGTACACCATGGATTTGGAACTTTTTTGCGCATCTTTATTCTGCCTCGCTTTGGCTATGGCAAAGTCGATGAAAGAGTGGAGTTTTTGACACACTATAGCGAAGCGTTTCTTCGGCAACATCCAATGCTGGTGCTCCAATATAAGTCGAAGCCCGGTACCCATTATGCCTTCGTGCCACAATTTCATGAACTCAGACACAGAGAATGGACGACCGTCATCTTCTTTTCCGGGATCAAGACCGAGAATGAAGTGCATTGAAGTGTTCAAAAACTGTGTTGTGTTAGTGTGGGGATGGGTACACAGACACAAGATTACGAACTGCATCAGTCAACAATGCTCCTACATCTACCACCTGTTTCTCTTTCTCGATCTGAGCAATCATCTTCTCCGTCATTTGACTCAGTACTTCGAAATCGTCGAGATTGTTGCGCTGAAACGCTGGCCTGACCATTTTCCTCGACCTCATCCACTCGTCCCCATCAACAGTCAGAAGTCCTTTCTCGAACATCTGTCCCATCCCATTAAGTCTGAACTGATTACCCCAGTCTCTCCCTGCCAGCATAGCGTGTACATTCTCGGGGTCGCCCGTGCAAATGGAACTCATAGGGTTGAAAATATTGGATACCCGATACGTGGGACCCAGGTTCGTTTGAAATTTGACCCAATTCCGGGGATTAATGTTGGTATAGAAGAGATAGTCGAAGTTCTTGATAAATTCCCAGCTCCAGTACTTTGGGGGCAGAGTCCGGGCTTGCAATCGCCGCACAACGAAGCGATATATGACATGGCAAGTCAACAATGTACCCACAACGATGTAGGCAGATTGAGCATTTAACTCCATGAGGGGCAGGCGCATGGGCGAATGTCGACTTCAAAAGGTAGATTGTAGATTCTGAATTATGTTGCGAGAATCGATTCCCCGCCCCTCGAGGCTAAATCGATGGTATAAATAGCCAATCAACGTGGGCTATTCTAGTGAAACAGGGACCCGCGTAGCTCAATATGCTAATCTAAACTATTCTTAGTATGCCAATGGATACAAGAAGTCCGACTAAACGAAATATGCTATCGTCACTACATTGAAATTGCTGCTGTTCTTAGGAGTGTGATTTTAGATATTCGATATCAGTAGCCGAACAAATGAGTTCGACCGCAGAATACACAGCATACAATTACATCTACCTCTGCGAAACCCTTACGTACAAACTGCTGCCATTTGCGTTTGTTCTTATGCTCCACCACTTAAAAGATCTATGTTGATCTCGATCCCTTTCTATTACCTTACGTTACAACAACGCTGAGCTAGCCCCCCTATTCCGATGGGCACGATATCAAGATATACTGCAGTTAATGAACACACTGACATAATTCGACCAAGCGGAGATCACCAAATGCTGTTTGGTGCCGAGTAGAGATCATGGAGCGGAGTGTCGATGGTGTGGAAAAAAGGCGAATCGCACGTGACTTTTCGAACAGGTGGTACCAGAGATGGTTTACAGTTCCCTGTCACTGCCTCCACGAGTAGGCTTCTCTGCAGTGCTCAACTCTTTCTGTCCAGCTACGCCGACGGCCTGGGGTCCACCAACAAACTTGAACCCATTGTGGAATAGCCACTCAGTCGCGTGCTCAATCGGCTCGTCGAACACAAAGGGTAAGAAAGGAACACACGCCATGCCTAGCCCGATTGGAGCCCAGGTTCTTATTTGTTTGTTCTTCGCGTCCTTTAGTGCTCGTCCGGAGTATTTGACGACAGAGTGAATTGTCAGAGCGGGCAATCCCATCGAAGCCACGCTTTGAAACACAGCTCGCTGAGCCATTACAGTCCTATAGTCCTCAATCGCCGGGATTCTTGCCGTGGTGGCAACTTGACCGTCATTCGATGAAGCTCTCGCGTCTATGCTCTTCCTGGCGTTCTTCAATTCTGCGGCCCGTTCCCTCAAGCTGGCCGATCCTTCGGGCGACAGATTGTACTCGGGGTGTAGAGTGCTTTGATTTCTCAAGTAGGCTTTGTAGCCTTCATATGCCACGTCGCCGCTGAGATATATCCAAGATACTCCGTATGCTCCCCGGACGAGATAAGGGTGTGCGACAGGTCGGAACGATTCGCCAATGTCCGAAGTGTACGCTACATATCGTTGCGCAGACATCATGATGGTTCGAATTCGGGAGGCATATGCCGCGTATCGGACGTTGGATTCGGTGGAGTCTTCACCTTCGCTGCCATTAGAGTTAGTTGGGGTACATTTGACATTTGACATTTGAATTGGAGCTTGGAACTTGGAGCTCGGGGACAACGTCAAGCTCAACATCAAACGCACCTGTCTAGCAAGTATCCCATCTTTTCATCGCTATCGAGCGTCTCCTGCATCTCTTTTGGAAGCTTCTTCCTCGGCGGAAGGTTCGAAAGGTCGGGCGGCGTACCATTGCGCGTCACACCATCCGCCTTCGCCGTGTTGCTTTCGTCATCTCTCGCCATCCTGCTGTTCTCTATCAATTGTATATATTTCGGTCGAAGAAGTGCGAAATGGTGTTCGCGCAAAGTAAACGGTGCTTTTGCGAATGCGAGAAGGAAGTGGAGTTTCCAGGCAGTTCCGAAATGTTGAACGTCAAGCGGGAACGTCATTCGTGGCGGTGCAACACCAGCCACATCAGCAGTACCCAAGTTACTTTCGTTCAAATGTATTCAACTTTTTCTTCGATGTAGAAGCTTGAGTGATCATGACACACTAAGCATTCACATAAACAAAGTCACAAGAGACGAAATATCAAAAAAGTGCCATGAGACAATATAGCTAAGTATCTAACACAGTCAAAAATCCGCAGATTCAGAAAATACTGCTGTTCGTGGGTCTATAGTCTTAGTTTCTAAGTACCTTGGAAAATGCCCCGTAGAAGCAGACCTTATAGTATCCTTAACCCTGTAAAGCTAGAATGATTGGGCGTTGCAGATGCAAGAAGTGTGTAGCATGAGCCTTTGAGATAGATTACTTCTGCAGTTATTGCAGTAATTGCAATGATGCCCCCAAGATATCATATCCTGGCGTGCTTGCTACTAACAGCTTCATAGAAAACCTTGTCACCGAATCAATAATACGTCCGGGTTCAATCATGTCTCATGGCTCGCCATCATCCCACTCCGAGTTCAAGGGGGTGGAACTACCACATCATCTTGCGAGCTTGGTTTATCCTTCATCACGAATGCCTTCTTTATCTTGACTTACCTTGATGGGTTTATTGGCTGCTAGAGATTATGGGCGTCTCAATGTAAAGTTTTGGTTTTCTCGTCTTCGGCCTCGTTGTCTTCGGTCTTGTTATCTTGGGCATCATTATCCCGGGCTACAAGTTGCACAAGCAGCAGCTACCGCTACACCTACGCTCTTGCGAGGACCGTTGGTGTCAACACGTCAAAAAAGAGAGGCAAACAGGGCGTATACTGGGGGCATACTGGCTGTCAAGGTGCAAATTAATAGCCAACTCAATTCGAGAGCCGGCATTAAAGCGTCTGCCTAACATGTAACGGCAATCTCAATGATCGCATACCAACACCAAAGCGACCTGGGTCAGGTTTACACAGTCCCCAAAAATGCTCCCATTCATCTCTCAAAGGAGTAAAGCTTTTTAAAAGCAATGCATCTACGCTTAATGACGATGATGTCGATGATAGGCTGAATGTTCTCCGGCAATAGAGCTCGAAGGCAGATTCATCGTGTGATTTTCAATACTCAGTGTTTGTGCCGCATGCAATATGCGATGATCAAATAATAGACTTAGTTCTCCGGCAAACGAAAATACCGCAGGAGAGCATACTGTAAATAAGAATGTTGCTATTTCCGCCACCCATAGCACTATCGTGCAGGGCATTGCGTGTTTGCAATATTGTTTCTGAGTTGACTACGGTGGACCACCCGAAAATAGTATGGAAAAACAAATCAGCTGTGGGGCGAATTTTCCAGACCGCTGAAACGTACGGACATGTAGAATGAATCCTCGTCTTCCACAAGTTGTGGGCCACTATATATAAGCTACGTAGGGGAATCGAACCACGTGTGGGCCATCGTCGGGCCATCGTGCAAGCCATAACAAAAATCAGCAACATAAAGGCAAATATAAAGAATACCATCTGTATAGTAGAAAGGAGCGTCACATCGTCCATAACGCCATCTCATGTTATCGTAGCGTTACAATCTACTTTGCTATATTGTCCCAGCAGCAAGCTGAACATCACTGAATGGGATGACTATATCAATTACGGAGGGAAGGCACATAAAGTCATGGATTGTAATTCTATGCAGGCCATGCGCGCTATCCATGGAGAAGTCTAGTTAGCAATTTCTATTAGGATCTTGTAGATGCGTTGCCATGTCTGAGGGGGGAAAGAGGGATCATATCGATGAAAGACGCTTGTAACATTGTGTTATGATAGAATTACATGACATTTCTTCTTGCACTTAAAACTTAGAAATCTTCTTGCACTCTTGCCTGATCTTTTGTTCCTCCCCTCCCATACCTCTACGTGGAAAATTAAATGGTGGGCTCTTCGGATTATTAATTTGCCTCCGACTACTGTGATGGGTCCCGAAGTAGTGAGACCAACCATTATTACAGTGCATTCTTATGCGGAAGAAACCATATTAGCCTTTACTAATCGTAGTCAGAATCCAACTCCATTGAGTTGGGACCCTCGGCCATCCACTCATGGTGCGATGCGCGCAGCATGCCATCGCGAGTTTCTGATTCTTCAAGCAGTTTGTCGATGCCACGTTCTATCTCACCATCCTCATATATGTCAGGGTTATGGTAGAATTGGCTCATCGCTACTTGTTGGTGAATATTCGCATAGTCTATGCGTGATTCCCGTCCTCTTGGAAGCTTGTGGTCGGGCGCTGTTGGGCATTTAGCAGATTTGGGTGTTTGCGATTGACTTGAAAGACGGGCATCACTCTGATGCATTTCACCGGGAGATGCACTCGATTTTTGAAGAAGAACTGGTCTCGATGAAGTGGGGTCAGTTCGCTCTGGACTCGTCCGACGTGGACCAGCAGGCGTGCTCGTTGACCTGGATGTGGACACTTCAGGAACCCATGTAGTCGGGTGGTGGTCGCATCTTGTATCACTTTGACAAGCATACAAGTGGCGTCTACAGAATGGGCAATGGTTACTCTGTTCAGTCCAGCGCTTGATGCACTGAAGTCCTAGGACATGCCCGCAGCGCAGTTTCACAGGGATCTCCCCGCCCATTTGCTGATGACGCCAGCGTTGCTCGGGAGGAAGGTAGGGTAGCAGACAGACGTCGCAATCTTTGTCATCTGGCTCGTCAGGTTTGAGATACTTTAAGCCTCGGCTTAGGAAGTGGTCTCGGTTGCGGAAAGGCATTTCTGTTGGGTGTTTTTACAGACAAGAGTGTGGATTGGGAAGGAAGAAACAAGACTTGGAGTTGGGCATAATAAGAATCTGAACGGTAGATTTGACGAATATCGCATTGTGTTGAACATTCTTCAATCAAATCGCGTGAACAATGTGGGATTACTACCGAAAGTTAGCCATGCATTGTGAAAGATAGTAGTGGTGGCTATGTGTCTTGTATCTTTGGCTACCATTGAACTTATCTAAAGCTGAGCTTGCCCTGAAAATAACTTTATGTACATGTGCCTAAACGCTGCGGTGAATCTATGTCTCTATGTGTAAATTCTTTGCGTCATGAAATGATAGGCTGCTGGAAGAGTTCGAGACTACCTAGATCTTACAAAGAAAAGTGCTCTCCTCTCTCTGTAACCTCCACGACGTCGCCGATTTGAACCTCGCCTTTCTCGAGTGGAGTGACCTGCATGCCCAAACACGCATTCTTACTTCCCTTGTCAATCACTCGATACTTTAACAAAGTGGTGCTTGGCTCATTGCGGTTTGCAGTGGCCGTCTCAGGATTGACATTTGGTAATTTGCATCGTGTTGTACGGCACGAGATGTGATGCATGATTTGGCCAATGCGCGCTTGTTTCCAATCGTCTTCATCGAAAGCAGGTGGACCAGTGATTAACAGATTTGGCCGGAAACGAAGGGCAGAGAGGCGAGAGATGGACGATTTAGATGGGAGACGAGATGCCACATCATGTAGTGACGCTAAATTCAGAATATGCATGGGGTACTGTTACGGTGCGAATTAGCATTCCAATCAAGTAGGATGAAAGAAAAAGATTGGAACCTACGCTGTCTGCCATACCGATGGTAGTTTGAAATCCGACTTCTTCCTTCTTGGGCGCACAGCGTAATACTTCTCTACGTCCCTCTTCGTCGATCCGGAACAGTGTCAAAGGGTTCGTGACACCTAGTGTATACTTCAACTGGGCGAGGGTTTCTTCTGGTATTTCACAGCCCATATTGAGGGCCATGGGATGATCTTTCCAAATCGCCATTCTCTCTTTCCTGTATTGCTTTTCACGCATCCGCTCTGCGTTCGGGTTGAAGGGCAGTCTGAATTCTATCATAGGTTCACTTTTGCCCTCCAACTTGGCTGCAAGTATCTTTCCAAGATTCCTGAGGCCTTGAATGCTAAACTCGGTGTCCGGAGTGAATGGAAACCGCACGACCACACAGCCCTGACTTTTGACCCATTCCCCATCTTTATTATAGCCGGGTGCAGAGGGATCCGGAGTCCATACTTGAGTCTCTACTTTTGCAAGCCGAGGAAACGCCCGCTGAGTTATAAATTTCCACTCGCTAGTCACCTTGCCCTCCAAAGTGGGAAGACTAGTGCTCTGCTGGGCAAGAGTGAATTGTCGGTCATAACGAAGCCCTGAGGTGGTTACATTTGACTTTGCCAGTTCCACTGGGCCACATGATTTGATCGGATAGATAAACATAGCCTTTACAGTCCATGATGTCGATGCCGATGTGCCGGTTCCAGAAGAATATTGTTTCGAGTATTGATCATGAAGGTTGCTGCGACCTTGTAGCCCAATATTACGGCATCCAGATGGCGCAGCAGGAGGAGTTTCCTGTTGGGAAACTGCGAGAATGTAGGCGGACAGCAAGGATATAAGAAGAGCGACCAGTGTCATCGCAAGGTTGAGAGGTGTGGCCTGGGAGCTCAGATAGCTCCAATTCCTTTGTATGGTATTGAGCAGGTCGTCTAAGGTATTAGATGCCATGCTGGTATAATGAGATGTGCAGTTGTGAGGCTCGTAGGTGCTGTGGTTGAGATGATTTGTACTTGGTACATAGGTAACAAAATCTGAAGCGTACAATCACGGATCGAAGACGAACAATGCGATATACACTGTGTTCAAAAAACACTCTTCATTGCGATGAATATCCGATCTACTGCGGCGAGGAATGTTTATTTGACTCATCTCCAAGTACGCGAAGAAGTCCGTAGCACCTACGCTGATGGCGAGTCATAGCACGCGCCCCCACTTGCTAGCTCGCGGTCATGAGAGTGTGCAGCGACGACCACACATGCAACGCGTATTCCACCACCAAACCTCACACTCTCTCGCTGCAATGGCCAACCACCACGGGCTTCTCCACAAACTATCTCCTTTACTTACGCGTACAGCATCGGCAATTGTATAGGACGCCCATTGGATGCTCTCCGCTATACATGGCCAACCAAGACGTTGGCATGTCGTCTTCTTCAGCGCCCTCTTCGTCACGTAAGTATATCACTACAATTCATACCTATCCTCCGGCTCAAGAATCAGACCTTTTAATGAGACTACGGCAGATCGACTTCCGACCGTTTCCGCTTCACAGGCCCTCCAGACGCTCCAGGCCAAAGGTTCCTGCGCCGTTTCAACCGGCATCCCGCAGCTTGATGAAGCCCTCGCTCCTGAAGCGCTCCCTGGCCGAGTTGTGTCGGGAGGATATCCTCGCGGCAAGGTGACCGAGATCTTCGGCCCTCCAGGTGTTGGGAAGACGGCGTTTGGGTAAATTCAGATCCTACCAGGCCGTAACATACCTCGGGAGAAGTCACTGAAGCCTAAGAAGGATCCAGGCCGCCGCAAATGCGCTTCGGGAAGGCCATCGCGCCATTTGGGTTGGTTAGTATCTGCTGATGATCGGAGCATCCTTTATGTGGATGATGCGAATGCTTCATGTAGAGGCTAATTGCATGCAGATGCTGCCTGCTCGCCCTTGGCTCCGCAACGCGTCAACCAAGTCCTGAGCGCACTCACTCAACCCCAGCCCCTGACGACTGTAGCGAATGCACATGCGCCATCACATGTACCCCAACCATCTCTAGATGAATTTCGAAACCGCTTCTATCACTACACCGCCCCAGCGCTCGCCCATCTACTGGCTCTGTTTGTGCATAAGCCAGCCTCTTTCCCGCCGCCCAATACAAGCCTCATCGTTATCGACTCTCTTTCGACTCTCTTTGACAATGCATATCCCCGCAATGCTGACGACCGAGCGTCAAAGAACAAGAGCGAGCAGGCGCGCTGGGCTGCGGGTCGTAGATTTGCGATCATCAATGAGTTAATATCGGCCCTTACAAAAGTTGCTGCACTGCACGACATCGCACTGCTCATAACGTGCCAGACCATCACTCGGATTCGGGTTGGTTCAAGGGCTCTCTTAGTGCCTGCAATATCGGGTGCAGAATGGGACAACGGAATATCCACTCGTATGGTTCTCTTCAGGGATTGGGTTACAGGACAAGGGGAATCACGTCTCACCGACGCTGCTCAGCCTGCTCTCTTGCGAAGCGCCAGGTTCGCAGGCATACTCAAGGCAAACGGCTCGACTCTAGCCAACGAAGGCGGGGTCGGGGAAGTGGTATCTTTTGCCATTGGTAGCGTATGTAATATATTATCCGCAGAGCCTACAGTGTCGGCGATGCATTATACCTTGAGGTGACGATCATCCGCTAACCAGCTACCCACAGACGGGACTCTGCGGCATGGATATAACTGCAGTCGATATTGCAGCACCCGACATTGCACTCGAAGCGAACCCGCTTAAAAGACGTTTTGCGGAGATAGACGAGCATGGCAATTCAACGACTTCTGACGAGTTATATGGATGGGTCGAAGATGACGATGTTGCAGCGGAAGGACTTCTATTCGAGGAAGAACCCTTGTCCGATATAATGGATGGAGCAGAATCTGGCCCAAGATCTGCCGCAAAATCAGAGACAGAATATGGTGCAGGATCACAAGGAGAGAGGTAACATGACATGTCAAGCTTTGATTAATCCTGCAATCTGCCAATGTTTTGAATAGTCGCCACATACATTCTCATCATCTTCTAGAACACCGTTTAAGTCCCCGTACCAGCATTTGCTTCGCCTCAACGGTGCTTATCAGGACCTAATCTCAGACACCTGGATGGTCAGCTTATCCGCCCCAGCTTCGTCTAGTGCATTTGAAGCAGAGTAATATGCATCCCAGCATTTCACATGCGGTTGGACAAACCAAAGGCCAGGTTCGCGACTTTTGCCGTGTGGAGTTCACCCACCCACAGATTGCGGAGAACGATCATTTCTTCAATGTCGCAAAATCACGAACACCGTGGGCTCACCTCAGCAGCGCGGAAATCGCAGCTTATCGTTCCGTCCCACAAAAACTTCTTTCTTCACAATCCTACGACTTGGACCCACTCACCGTCCTAAATGGCATTCATCCGGTGGCAAATTCGATAGGAAGAAGAGGGGGAAGAAGATGTTGTGATAGGAGATTTTGCAATTGACACAAAGGCAGTGTGGACAGTGCTTTCGAACAGCAACTCCGCAGTTCTAGAAGAAGCCAAGAATCTGGGGGCCAATACACCCCATCTATGAACACGAGAAGGAAGGAAGGCCAATTGCAGCTGACTCAAACGGCGACTATGCCTACCACCCACATACTGCGTCAGCACAGACCGGCCCATGCGTGTAGCATGGATCGGGGAAGACCCTCGAAGAGCACCGGGACCCAAGCTGATGGGCCTAAGATCCTGCCCCCCTCCTTTCCCAAACCCCCCAACCGGCAAAATTGGTGCTGTCGTTTCGAGTACTCCCCCGGTCTTTGTGGCTGAGGAACTTGTTAGGCAGTCTGGGGAGACGCAAGTCGGGTCACTCGGGGTAAGCCTCCCTAGTCGTGCGTGGGGGTTCGTCATCTGGAGGAGGGGCATACACACTCCTTCGGGGAGAGCGGAAAGACGTTTGACGGCGGCGAGATTAGCAGAAATCAGAAGCCAAAAGCAGATCCAGCACTGGGCGGCCAGTCATTTAGCGCACGTTTATATTTTTTGATCCATTTGGCGGTGATATCTCGCTTGGATGTGTATGCATCGGAAAGATAAGACGTACAGACAGACGCCCGTGATCGAGAGAGACAGGCGGTGGAGATTCGCTGCTGGATGCAACTACTCAAATGACCATGGCTTTGCCATGAATCGTGAGCATGACAGGCGTGTGCGCGTCGCCGTGGGCGCAAGTGAACAGCCACAGTCTGCACGCTGCAGACGAATCACGAACGATGATCCCACCACAACCGCCCATAAAAAAAGGGGGGTGTGGTGTGTGGGTGGAAAGGGAGTGTGCGGCTCGTCACGGTCTCCGACACCCCGTCGCATTCGCCATGACGGGCGCTTACCCCCAAAATGCGGAGGATTCTAGTCGCATAATGGGAAAGAGGGCAGCTCTATGCCCATCCGTCTCACCACCTACCTTTTCGTTGTCCGCTTCGGACTCGCCTTGATATATGAGTGGTGGAAAATTGCTGGGGAACGCTCAGTTGAGCTCTTACCACATGGAACGTAACAACAACAACAACAACCATTCTATCCCCCTTTTCGCAGACAGTGCCGTTAAGGACAGACCAGAAGCCGTACTCTTCCTCTTCTCCACATACTCGATAGCTCTAGCTACCTACCTATTCAAGCCATGTAGTCATTTCGCCCAGCTCCGCTCGTCTTCCGCATCAGGGAATTTTCACTGTAGCATTGCATCTAGACTCGCACTATAGCTAACACCGTGTTTAAGCGCTATAGTTTGTTGGAACTTCCCGTCTTTGCCCCTATAGCGTTGCGGTTTCATTTCTTACAGTAGTAGCAAACAGGAGGGGGGCGGCAGAGAGTTCGTCTTACCGAGGCTTCTTTGCAAGGTAGGGTTGGGAGCATTACGTTTTCCTTTGTCAACGTCTGTGCCAACTTCGCACGTGGTATCATAGATGACGAAGGAGAAGAAACGAGGTATGACGGGATCGGACTGTCTTTCTTCTCCTTCGTCTGCAGGACTGGCTCTCGCGGCGCACAACCCCCCCTTGCGGTTTGAAGGAGTTCAAGGAGGAATCCGTGGCGTTTTGGCCAGACAAAAGGATAATCATCCATCCATTTACACATTTACCCTTTTGCCAATGGTGAAGAGGGAAAGCCCTCCCAAGAAAACCGTGGCGTTGTCTTGGGTCAAAGACTTTCTCTCACCATCGCCCTTTTCCTTGGTCTCATCTCGTGTTTGGAGACAAGTATACGAACGACTTCACGCGTACTCGTACACCGTAGAGTAAGGGGAGGGGTTTGATACGTACTCCAGGTTTTAACCCATGTAAATACCCCACGAAAAAGCAGTATAACCCTGCACATAGCACGAGATAAGGCGCCCGGCTAATAATAGAATTATATTGAACAGTCTGGGGCGGTATACAGGATCTTATCTGTCCACTCGTACTCACCGATAGACTGACCGCTGTGTACGGTTTACTCACAGTGCTCTGTTATTACCAACCGTGTAGCCAGGCAGCTACCCCACACTCAAGAAGATTGAAGTGCTTCTGCATATGTGTATGCATAGCGTAGTCATCGCACTGCATGGCATTGCGCGGTTTCGTCATTGCAGCCAGATCGCGATTATAACCTGCTGGAGGTGATGACGTGTAGAGTCTTGCAAGTTTACAACGACCCGCACGAGCAAAGCTGCTCTACACATACAGGTCTTGACCGCGTGCCTCGTTTCGGGATATGATCGTGCTTGCCTGCTTATTCGCTTATTCGTCTGCGTGTCTGCACACCGGTCTGCGACAACTGCCGCGTGGGAAGTGTACTGGCCCCGGTATCAGGGACGAGACAACATCAATTTGTTCAGCTGATAGGGTAGCCATAGGCACCTATGGCAGGCGAGTGACCTGGACACCATGCGAAAAGCAGCGTGCGTGGGGTGAAGAGCGAGGCGTGGAGAAGTTCGGCAGTTTGATCTCATTTGCCGGTGGGCGGCTGCCTGGTCATTGAGACTGTGACGAGAGGGAAGGGGTTTGCAAAATAGAGCAAAGTGAAGCGAAATTGGTGCTGCGCATCGCGCGGTGCAGAATATTAGAGCGTGGGCCAGCCATGGGGGGGATAGTGTGTGATGGATGATGAAATGGTCTCATCGATCACATTCCTTGATGGTCCTTGTTCAATTGCATCTTATTATCGTCCGTGGGTGTCTTGGTGGGGGCAAAGCAAGACGAGGCGTTGGCTTGCAAGGTCTGGCGGCCTTGATTTTTTGGTGTTGCGGCTTGAGCGGCTGTCTCCTTGGGCGTCATGTCTCATGGACTGGGTAGCGACGCTCGCTTGTACGGTTGGATGCATTCCCGCAAAAGTCAGATGAGGCGCCGGCGAGCGAAAACGTGATGGATCGCTGTTCATTACTGGCAGCTCTGTTGGTAAGTGATACACCGCCATTCACGCCTGCCGTGGGGTCGAACAGCGTGGGGCCCAATGTGGTATATGTGGGAGATCATTCGACTAATACGAGTGGAACAGTAAAAGGCAGCAGAGAAAGGAGCAAGGCATTCAGCTAACGAGAGATGGGGGCCGACAGTCCTCAAGATTAGGCTGCGACATAACGGTGATGAATAGTGGGAGAGTGAGGGGAAGAAGAAGTGAAGGGTTGAGTTGTCGCTAATGGGGGAGGGAAGCCGCGCATGGGAGGGTGCTTACCACATCTCAGCACACTGTTGTGAGGCAAGAGCGGTCGCTTCTCAAGGGAATCTCTTTGGTCGAGTGAAAGCAAACGACAACCGGAAAATCATCCATCGTTCTACTCGTGACAGCAGCGTCCGGAAGGTTGACCCGCCTTCCTTCAACTCCCAATCGAGTAATTATCTCGACAGCTCTTGCGCATATAGCAGGTTCCGGGGTCCTTTCACCCAGGCCGTAGCTTCTATTCTCCAGCATGAGCATGCTGTACATGCTTATCGTGTTATACGATGAAGGGCCGATACATCTGAAGAACATACGATGTGTGCTTCGTTCCCAAGCTGTTGAAAGTACTTGCTCTAGGTCCATGTAGAGCTGGCAGCCTCATTTCTGCTGCATGGGCGGGATTGTGGTGGTCAATAGGCTAGATCGATGTGCGATATGAATGCAATGCTGGATATACTGGCAAAACAGAACAGGATGGTTTGGTTGGTACATGATATCGCCATAAAGGGTGTTGTTTGGGAGGCACGGTGATGATGATAAGTGGAGATCGGAAGATGGATGTACGATCGAAGGCTCGGGCGTACATTGGTTCCTGGAGGAGGGGACGTAGCATAGGCAAAGGAATTATGTGGTTGCAGGCAGAAGACGGAGAGGAGAGCGTTTGGTGGAGCACAACGACACCCGATCCAAGGCCAAAGAGCGGTCGATGGCATGCTGCAGATCAGTCTTTCTTTCTTCCGACATTCCATCAATCAATTGACTTGAACAACCTCAACAGATTGCCATGTCCGCTTGAAACTCGTCTGCAGTCTCGCAAGAAACGGCCAAGGAGCATCTCACGTCGCAGTCACGCCACGTTCACTCGATAACCCACACAGCAACGTCTTTTCTCCACATACTCCAACCCCACCGTGTTCGAGATCCAGACCTTGAGGTCAACCAGGTTTGTTTGCTGCACAGCAATATCCCTCAACGCATGTACAATCTACCTTTCGTATCTAGCGCAGAAAGTGCTGATATTGCGCACTGCCAATCTCGTACAGACTTCGCTAGGTACATGCTACATGCGCGAACAGAGCAGCCTCGCTCAAAGCGGAAAACCAACGTTATCAAAATTGGGGCACACCCATCAAGTCATGTCGGAGTGTTGGGTACGTCTAGTGAAGGTACTCGAGCGCATAATTTACCTAGGCGAGGTACTTTAAGCCTCGGTACTTCCTGCCAACCCATGCGTGTCCTATAGTTTTAATTGGGGGTGGGTATTGTTATCTGCATAATATGCCGCAGGCCCGGGAAACGATCTTCACAAGGGGAGAAAGAAAGGCGGGTAGGAGGACAGATTGAATTCTGTGCCGTTGGCACAGACATTCATTACATGTTGGCGTGTCTTGGTCGATGAAAGGAAAAAGCCTACCTTTCGGACGTTCGGCCTGGTCAATTGTGCACAGCATATTCGAACCCGAGTTTTCCCGACTGTTTCACTCCCTCGGATCGAATGGAATGCGCAAAGCAGGCATACATGGTGCTATCGTAGATCATGAGCGCATAACTTCCGGGGTGATTCTCACATGTGAAACAATGACGACGATAACATCCCAATCATGGATGAACGGAGGAAGGGAACGAGAGACTGAAGGAAAACCCCGATTTTTGTTGCGCGGCCCCCTGCTGTCAGGGATGATGAAATCTTGCGCACTCCTGATGCAGCGTCCCTACATCTCAACAGAAAAAAAAAAATCAGATCGCTAGGAAATCAAGAATCATCTAAATGAGCTGTCCCAACTAGCATCAGTGGGCAGCGCCAAATCGACAGCCCACATTTTATTTTTGACCTCCATGGGTTTCGAGAGTACTACCCTGCGTTGTGCAGGCTTACGTGCATTTTCAATGGGGCGTTCATGTAGCTAACGTGGTCTCTAGGCCTTGGGCGTAGCGCACAGAAGGTTACTCCACATGTACCTTTTGTGCAATATGACGGCTAAAGAGACCGTAGTCACGATATACGAGCTGGTGTGCTGGATGGCGCCCCAAGGCCATGTACGACCAAGTGCCGCCATGTACCTTTTGATTAAATGATCTGCGAGCTCGAGATTAACCCGCATGCACGATGCTGCCGCAACGGGACAAACTGCTGGAGCCGTTGAAACACAGAATGGCTTTCATGTCGAATGTCATGACAACAATATTCAAGCTGTGACTCGGATAGTGTATATCCAAGTTGCATTCGGAGGGATTCTCTTAATCTGCATTATATTTTTCCGCTGGGTGTTTGGGCGCGAACGACGACGTGTCCACATTAATGTTATTTGTTTCGAGGCACACAGGGAAGCGATCACCATGGTGAAGGTTTGATACTTTCTCCGCCGCGACATGTGTGTATGCAGCTGCTATGCGGCGTAGCGGGAGCTAATGTAGAGTTCTGCTGATACCTTGTGCAAGATGGATTTGCAAAGAAATGCGAAGCGGACAGGTGTATTCATCCAGGCGTTGGTGGGCAAGGAGCACCGGTGTGCGATGTCCGTCCTTGCTGGTGGCTGCGTGATGCAGTGCTACGTGCATGCTTTGCTTCAGCTTCAGGAAGAACAGAATCCTATGCAGCATGTGCAGTACGTGTGTGTGTATCCAACAAGTCGCTTCTTTGCAAAGTACCTCTTGTGTACATTGCTTTGGTTTGGTTTGCTGACGAAGATGAGATTGATTGATCTGCAGCGGTAGATTAAATGATGGCCGTCAAGGGAACCAGCAACCTGGTAACGAAGGACAAGCTGGAATACCATGGTGCAGTCGCACACGATGCTGCGAGAAGTGGAAGATTTGTGGCACACACACTACTGCACGCACTCTCGAAATTCTGGTTAAATTTGGTCGACCTGCCTGCCGCGCACCTACCTTTTCTGATAAAGTAAGGGCAAGTTAGCTGGTATTGTATGCAACAAGAAACTCCACCGGATGTGATCCGAGACGTCCTGCGTCCAGTGACGGAGAGTCTGCTGGCAGCGGAGACTCGGGCCTGAGACCCAATTTAGAGTTTTGAGCAAGAGGAATGGATTGACGGTCTGGAACAAACAACGACGATGGAGATGAGCGAAGATGAGGAGAAGAGGAACACGCCGATTCTCTCTGGACATGTGCACAGCAAAGAGGCATGATGGAGGAATAAGTGCATGTGACATTGACCGAGCGTCGCTCCAAGGCATTGCAACGGTGAGATTGCATATCCGTCGGATTCAGCCACGCATCAGCGGGTGGGGGTACAGAAATGGAGGGCCAATTTCCACGATGAATAATGTGGAGACCCCGCACCCGTGTTAAACTCAAAGCGTGCCTCAGTTCGAGAAGACATGCACACGCACATGGGGGGAGACGTCGAGAGTGCACCCCTACGGCCAGTCGGACGCCGTGGTGACTCTGTTAGCTCGGCGGTCCGAGCGAGCAACGTAGAAGGCAACCGACACCTCCCCCAGGCCTTCTCTCCCTGCCGCGAATCGAGTTCCCGTCGTACATAGGGGATTACACTGGCGGGAAACTGAACGTCTTGGGGAAGCCAAAAGTCGCCATCGATAGTTGGTCTTTTCGGTGGCTTGTAAGCACACTTGTCAAGAGACGGGGCCGCCTAACAGGGTCCACTATCGAGTCTACGACGTCGTATTTTGCAGAAGTCTACCCGTTGTTTTGCCTCCGGTTCCAAGGCCGTAGATAGGCAACAACGAAGCGACGACGCCCTGACGTGGGCCGGAAAACTCCAGAAAGTAATCCACCCTGCCCAGCTGCTGTGCTGCGCTGGTCTGAAGGTATCGCCGGGAGTCTTCCCGCCGAACCTACTTGCTGCATAATTCTTTTTGACGGGAGAAGAGCTTTACTGTTGTTTTGCCATGCTCTCTGGACGTGCCCCAGGGGGGTCATCAACCATGCGGAGTTGTCGGATCTGGGGTGCATTTGATTTTGCTCGTACGGCCTCGCATGCCGTGGCCGCCCACTCCTTGTGCATAGATAAGACACATCGATTCAAGTGCCGACAGCTGTTAATGACGACAAGGCCAAAGGGGTAATAGACAATAGAAGGAGAAGGAAAAAAAAGACAATCATCTGGCGGGGCAGGCATGGGTGACTGTTGGTATCGCGGAGGCCGAATGAGGCAGGTGAAACGAGTTTTTCTCCGCGCACCGCGGCCATTCCAAGATTTGAAGGCTATTGCTATCTGACTGACGACTGACTGATGACGCTTGTGCCCAGCTAGCCATTGCGGAGTCTGGGAGAACCAGGACAGACGGCTCAAAAGACGGGGTTGTGGAGTGGTGGTAGTGGTCGCCGGAATGTGCTGGTTACGCGAAAGGGCTGGGAACGGACATCCCGACACGCTGGCTATCCTCACCGCCCTTGCAAAACCCTTACTGCATGCAGTACGAGCAGATATCGTCTCCTGATGTTGCTCTGATTGTGAGGGGGGAGGGGTGGGAGGAGGGGACGCCTGCACCCCATTGCCAAGTCTGCGTCCAACTAGTCCAGTTAGCCTGTAAGCCTATCTCTTCACCACTTGGCATCAGAAGCACGTCACCCAGCTTTTTGCTTTTTCGCCCTTCCCATCTCGTAATGGAAAATAGCAGAGGAACGGAACGTGTCGAAGTTGAGTGTTTCAATTACGCACTGGAGCTATCCATCTATCAATGCCGCTGCCAATAAGCACCAGCTTCGCTCCCCCCGGGGTCCTTCCCCGCCCCCCACTCCCACTCACACAAACCCGACATGTGATCGACCCAAGAAGAGAATCCTTGTTAAAATACACAAAAAAAAGGAGAAGCTGAACTGCGGATCGCTCAATCCGCGGGTATGATTGAGTCCGACTAAACAGAAAGTAACAAGAAAGTCTACCGGTGAATAGCGAGCCTGATCGTCATTGTCTTCGTTAAGAACAACCGGTGGCATTACCAAAAAAAGAAATCCCCCCACGTCCCGTCTAAACGCTAGCTTTGCTGAGACAAAAATGCCAAATGATGCTTCCAAACTCCATGCAGTGCAGTGCAATGTCGTGACGACAATTAAAAACGATCCGCCAAATCGTTGCCCGCTAATGATCCTGTTGCGGACGAATTACCGGATGAGAAGCCGCCCGAAGGGGTGTTTAGCAAATCTTGGACAGCTAGTTTCGGTATTTGGGGAATGGGCAGCTTGCGCTGTGCACCCTCCGGCTTCGAAATAATGTCGCCTATCCGCAGGCCAGTGCTTTGCACGGGGACATAGGGCTGTTCAGAGTTTGCGGATGGTTCCATGGGAGCCAGAGCGGGGACATGATGTAAGCTCAGGTGTCGAAGGTGAGGGAGTTGCACATCGCTGAACCCGTGAGGACGCAGGCGAGGCGAATGAGCAGGCGTTGCCAGTGGGGTGTGGTCCGGAGTTGGCGAGCACGAATCATGCGAAAAAGTGGGAGATGGTGGAGCCGTGGACAATGGGGATCCTGGTCTTGATTTCTTCGTCATCCGGTGCATATAAGGATCATCTTCCTCGTGGGAATGCGATCGGGACATGGGCTGCGAGGAATAGGCATACTGCGATAGACCTGGTAGACGAGCAGTGTTCTGGTAAGGGTGGTACCCGTGGCTGGTCAGGTGACGATTTCCTTGGGAATAGGAATGAGTGTGCCCGTGATGGCGCTGCTCAATCTTTGAGGCAGCGTCTGCAAGGAGGTCGATGTTTCGGGACAATGCGTTGGGGCTGCCGTTGGTACTTTGGGAGCCACCACTTCGATAGGACGAAAGATCAGAAGCCACGTTGGGTGAGTAGGTGGAGAAGGAGTGAGGAGGGGAAACGTTGGGCGAGCCGATGTTGGAACTGGGCGCAGAACGGGAGTGGATAGGCTTCGAGGGAGGAGGCATCATGTGAGCCATGCCGTTCTGGTGGTCCATCATTCCAGAGGCGGCGGCGGCAGCGGCAGCGGCAACGGCAGCAGCATGTTGTTTGTTGCCTCTGCGAGAGTTGGGGTTGTTGTGTATCCGTGAATGACGAGTCAGCTCATCAGAGCGGCTGAAACGTTTTGAGCATCCAGGGAAGGAGCAGGCATGAGGTTTTTCGCCAGTGTGGGTTCGGATGTGACGAGTCTGATGCTCAAGACGGTGGAAGGCCTTTTCACACAGCGGGCATTTATAAGGCCGCGGGAGATCCTGGCGAGCATCGTCCTGGTTGGATTGGGCATTCTGAAGAAGGGGCGCCATGAGGCTCACAGCGGCTGTCGCCATGGGAGTTTGGGTAGAGCCAGTAGCGGTGGTAGTCGATGAGGTGGTGGAGTTGGAAGGCGTGAAGGAGGCGTGTTGCTGTTGTTGTTGTGGTTGTTGTGGTTGGTCAGTGGACTGGGTAGGGGAGTCGTGATTGAGTAAGCTGTTGAGGTTTGTAAAACCTGAGGCGATGTGAGAGGATTGCATGTGATCAGCACCAGCGGCGTGGGCAGCAAAAAGTCGGGGGAAGGATGAGGGGATGCAAGATATTTAAGAAGGCGGTGGCTTGGCAGATTGGTGGTGTGGGGGGAACTGGCGCCCTGAAGCTTGTCTGTCCGTGCTGACGAGGATCAGCCGGCCAAGCCCGATGCAGAATGTGGAGTGGAGCGTGTCCCTCGCAGGGAGCGAGTCGTGGAGAATGTATCAGGTTAGCGGCCCCGGTCGAGGCGATGGATGGCTGCTGCTGACGGCGAGCAACTGGGCGTGGGTGGGTGTAGATTGCGGCAACGGAGGACCGGGTTCAGGTGCAGGGCAGACAGGGCCAGGGAGGATATAGGACCCCGAGATGAGGCGAGACGCGTTATGTATGTACGTATGAGTGAGGTGAGCACTGCGAGCTAAGTAAGCGTGCCTACATGCAGACACACACACTCTCTCTCTCGCACAGCTAATCAAGCTGCGGGTAGGGCCAGGCAGACAGGAGCGTGAAAAAAAAAATCGGTTGGCGGCAAGGGCAGATAGCGCGCAGTCGGGTGAGATGGCGTGCGTCTGCGATATTCCTGGAGATGGATGATGCGTGGTGTACAGGCACCCCCAGGGGCAGCCCTTGGTTATGCTGTTGGGCGTGCGTTGTTGGCTAGTAGGCCGAGGGAGATGTGGAAACAAAGTGGAAACTCCTCTCCGCTAGAAGCCGGGTGAAAAATTCCACGCCGATGTCAGACGCAAGAATTTGCAGCTGGAGATTTTTTTTTTTCTGGCTTAAAAACTGGGGGGCGGTGAGCCGGTCGGGATGATGCAACGCTGGCAGGCAGGGCAGGGCAGAATCGGCAAGGCTGTGTCGTATGACAGACAGGTACAAGTACATGTACTGTGTGTAGATGTACTTGTGAGGGTTGTCGTCGAGGCGGTGAATTCGACGCTGGTGTCGTTGCCGGTGCAGGACTGTTGTTATGTTTGTTTGTGTGTGTGTGTGTGTGTGTCTATGTGTGGGGGTGTCGCGATCGGTGGGTGTGAGGGTGGGTGAGAAATGGTGGAGGGGGCAAATGGGGTTTGAGTTTGGGGTACAAAGTTAAATCAGGAACAGAGGTGCGAGGGAGCAGAAGGTACGACGACAAGACTGTCGGGCTGTTGTTTTGCTTTTTCTTGTTTTTGCTCTTCCTTCTTCTTCTTCTTCTTCTTCTTCTTCTTTCTTCTTCTGTGCCTGTTGCTTTCCCAAACTGATGGATGGGGGTCGCCGTCCGAGGGTGTCTACATATGTATCCATGTATCAAAGTACATACATAGATAGTTACAGTACATAGAGTACTATCTATCTATCTGTCTTCGTTCCCACCCACCCATCGACCCATGGCGATAAGCTCCATCCATTTCGGCGACATGCGCCCACTCCTGTTGCTTCGTCGACATGACGCCGTGGTGTTGTGCTATAGGCCTGCTTTAATATTATCCCCCGCCCTGGTTTCAGCGCCGACCAAGCAAAGCGTGAGACGAGCACCACACTGCCTCTGCCGCCGGTTGGCCAAGTGTCCGTAGGTAGTCATCAGGATCCCAAAAGACCCCAAGAGTGTCGTTGAATGGGCTGGGCTGGCTATTCTCCCTTCCCATGGTTCGCCCGCGCCGCACCGCCAGGCTGGAATTTATCCTGTGCTGCTGTTGCACGGCAGCCTGGGCAGCTGAGGGAGGGAGCGTAGTGCGGGGGGTTGATCCTGGGGTATCTATGTACTTCGTATCTACATTCGTGTCGTCTGGATGATTGCCTAGGAGCCCGGCGGAGGAGGGCGCTGCAGCAGTCGAGCGTCGCCGGCAAAAAACAATGGATGGATGGATGGATGGATGGATGCACCGTGGTGGTCTGTCTAAACGGCAAGTTGATGGTGTTGAGTCGGCATGCCCATATTCGCTCTCGGTCCGAGATACACAAGTGTCTCGGGGCAGAATTGATAGACTTGTATATACCTACCTAGGTATGTATGTACATGGACCATGAAATACTTGCTTGCCTGCTTTGCCTGTTTTGCCTGCCTGCCTGCTTACATAGTTGCAGCAGCAAAAGAGTCGGTGAGAGATGTCGAGTGCTCCCACCCCTCCGCCTGCTAAACGACTCGCCAGTCAATGGGCTGTATCACCTGTATCACGACATTGCCTGAGCATAGAAACGAAAGCGAAGTCCGCCCCCCTCCCCCCTTGAAGGAGATCAGTGGGGGGTCCAGCTCCCTTTTTTTTCATGCAACAACAGCAAGCGGCATCGCGAGCCGCCTAGCCCGTGTCACCGACATCTGCTCCAGCCAAACATCTGGACATGTTTGTCTGTACTGCTACCGCGCACGGCGTACCTGCCCGCTGCCCGACACATGTGGCCTCTCTGTCGCTCGACTTCGGGCTGGGTACAGCTACATACCCATCAGACATCAGCTGGGTATGCTATGCTATGCTATGCTATGCGCCCACGTACCCCACGAGAGAAGGCCGTCTTCGTCCGAGCAAACCCCTAGTGCGGCTCTTCGCCCATGGGCCACGGAGCGCGCCCGCCCTCCGCCATCAATCAGTGAATGGATGAATGATTGAATGAAGCCATGGCACCGGCCGGTCGACAATACCCACCCAGCGAATGCACGTGGGCGGAGAAACTCGGGCACAGGCGACCAGACTGATAACAGTGGATCTCTCATCAAACCCTTCCATCCGACCTTTTCTCGCCGCTGCTCTGCTTATCTGCCACCATGCAAGGTACCGTTTGCTGTGACGAGCCACACACGAAACCGCCTCACCTCCCCACCTTTCCGTCTCAATGCCGAAATTTCCCCTTCGTCCACTGCTCCTCCTCTTGCGGCCATCCTTGACTCGGACTCCAACCCACACGAGCCCTTAGCATTCCCGCCGCCTCCAAGATCTGCCACAGCGAAGGCCATCAAATCGCTGCTAACCTCCAACGCTTACCTTCGGCTGCCCGAGTCTTTGCTGCAACGGGCAAAGTAGCCACCATGCCAACCATTCCCTGCGTAGCGCGCCAAACCTACTCCAAGACAACTCGCTCGTTGCTCGTTCCAGCTGCCTGCCGCTGCTTCTCCCTCGCATCCCAGTCCCTCGCGCCTCCTGATTGCCAACGATCGGCCTCTGGACAGCCACATGAGGGAAGCCGCTCTGGGGTTGATCCCGCGACACCATGGGGCCCCGCACACGCCATCTACTGTCTATAACCCCTTCAACCGCTGCTTGAGCCAGTCTTGATCGCTCGTCACGAGCCACTGGACTTTGCCATAATCTCTTGTTGGCTTCCAAGAGCATGCTTGGCTTGCCCACTCAACTCCATTTCTCTCACATCTGTCCGATACCGGACCATAGATGCTGCTACGACCCCATCTCACCAAAGAAACCTTAATTCTGGACTACCGTCCACCGCTCCCCTTACGCGTACTGCACATCACATAGATTACTGCTGATAGGAGACGATACGTGGATATTTCTCCATGCTAAAGGAAGAAAGGACTACGGATCTTCGCTCTACAGGGTCCGTCTGCTCTTTCACCGGTTGGCTATATCATACTCTATATCATGCCATGTAGAGAATTGATTCACTATATTAATGATCATCGTCAAGCCATACGCAACATCGTCAGTGAGAAGCGGATCTTCTGATTCCCTTCCCCACACGCATGATCTCATGTTTGGCAGATAAAACACATCACCAAGTCGTGAGTTGCAACACACCCAGTCTATCCTTCGTCATCACCCCCGTTGTGGGATGGGTATGACGTCAACTTCTCTCTGATCAGAGACCTTATCAGAAAGCAGGTTACCCCAGGGTCCTTTTCGGGCCTTCAGCCATGATACTGCAAGTGCTGTTGCCACGTTTTCCGTATACCGCCGTGAACCCTGCAATGATATCAGAATTTTCTTTTTGTCAACTAGGAAATGACGGCAAGCTTGAGAGTCGGGCGAAGAGCTTGAAGATACCATGCATACGTGTGCACAAGGCCTGGTACGCATCATGTCCCGGGGCCTGCCATTCCCATCTTCCTGCGACTCTATGTAGTGGCAAATTTGGAATCAACGATTTCCAGTCTCCCTTCAAGCTCCAGATCTCCGGGGGCAACCCCGCGTACTGGTCCTTTGTCGAGAATTCGTCCAAGAGCGGTTCGGCTTCATTCCTATATGCTAGTCTGAACCCGGCAGATCATATAGTTCTCAAGTAAAAAGAGAGGAACAGCGAGAATTATCATCTTTGATCTAGGGTATCTACGTAGCAGTACATATACACATGTGCGTCATCGCAACAGCACCTTTAGCGGCGTGTTGCTGCTCGGCATAAACAAACAACAAAAAGCTCTTCCTTCGCGAACATTTCCTAAAACCCGCAGGCGGTGTCAAGCATGTCCAGCACCTCTACAGACACGATTAGCACGAGGAACTCAAAATCACAACAAATCTACCTGAAGAGTAGGGGGTGCTTACGTAAGTTATCGGCTATATCACACGTCTGTGAAACGCAATTCGTAACACCATCGAAGAATGGCCCGCAAAGACAATCGTCGTCGACGTTGGGGTCGCAATTGGCTAGAGCTGCTGCCTCGTTCCAACAATCTTGCTATTTGGCGCGTTAGCAAATCATGAATTATTTGCACGATCATAAGAACCAGGGGACCGTTCCAGGGTTCTCAATCCCATGCTGGATATGTGCTCACGTACTGGACAACCCCCGATGTCAACAACAGCTTTGCTGACTGTCTGCGCCTTCAAGTCTGCTGGTGCTGGAGCTGGTGCTGGAGCTGGAGCAAGCGGTTTCGGTGGTGTAGATGCTTTGGCTACTGGTGGAAGAGGTTTCGCAGGTGTAGATGCTTGGGCTACTGGTACCAGCGGGATTGTCGAGTTTGATGCCGCGATAGCCACGTTCGGGGGACTCGCACAGGCAACAGGCGATGCCATTGCCGTCGTGGCATACATGGCACAAGCCAGAGTGATGAGTATTGGCTTCATTTTTGGTGGAGGAGATGTGACAAAAGCGATTGACAAGTGTTTGATGACAGCAACAAACAACGAAGCAGATTTAGGGGTACGAAGAGGTAACGACCGAAAAAACGAGTATTGCTTTGATCGCTGTTGTGCGAAAAAGACAGACCTCTAACCGGTTCATCGAGTAATAGTCGTTATATAGGTTTCCTTCCCCTGGAGACCCCACCGCACATTATGCGATGCTGTTTCGAACTTGCGCTCAAGTGTGTTACAAATTGTGTGGCATCACCCGGCCAAGCGACTCCAAGCTGCAGGTACAATCATAGCACCGCTGTTCTACTAGCTGCCTCTTTCGGCTTGATCCGTATCTTCTGGAGTGAATAACTGGGTCCACAACGATACAGGGTGCAGACAGCCTGGTCTTTCCGTGCGTGAATGTTTTCGTCACGTGATTGTTGGCTGTGACTTGATGCTTAACAGTTTCCAGGAAACTCCCTACACACATGTATCTTCGTTTGCTGCGATATTATGCATTAATTTCTTCAACTTCGAAAGAAATTCACGCTAGACGTTTGGTGTTGGACCCTTTCATTGTATAATGGAAACAACTTACTGCTGTGGGATCCGTACACAGATAGACATCTGGATGTACGTTCGGAAAACGTAGAACACTGCGTTCACCAGAGTGATTTGGCAGAGAACCCAGCAGCATTCATCAGCTCCGAAGTGCGCAGTCCACTTACCGTGCTTCCGTCCATGCCGTGAGGTACAGCGGCCCCACGGTTTCACCAGCCAGTTGCACGGTGCGTATCTGTTTCTTGACGTGCAGTATCAATAGATATCTGAGACAGCTCAAAACCATTCCCAGCGGAAATTAGAGGATGCGCAAAAGTAACAGCATGTACTCATCTGTCCCATTTCGACATATTCCAAGGGTTGTTATTATGCGTTCGTGTCTTATCATGAAGGCACTCGTAGAAGAAGAGAAGGGTTGATTTGTGATTAGGTTTCAGAAAGTCATCACTATGCGACTGTTCCGTGGAGTCGGGTTCATCCATGAACTATACTTAGTACACAGTACATAAGGGACCTTCTTCCCCCGCAAAAAAGTCGAGTCAAGAAAATAATGCTACATGCAGAACGTCTGCTGTGAACAGACATGGCAAGCGGCCACGCAGAATGCTTGCCACTCACAACACTGCCTGCAACTAACCGAAACCTCGTGGCGTCAGACGAACAGCTGAATAGACTACAATTAGGTCCATTGTTATCTGTGCAAACAGGCAGACTGCAAATCGTCGCAATCATTGATGGTGCAATTGGGGCTCCTTACGCTAAATTCTCCTAATCCGGATCTCAATTTGTAAGCACTCAGTCGTCCGTCAGATCCGTCCGTCATCTCTCGCTCGCATCAACAATGCTCTTAATATCACGGTGCGGTTATTTTGAGTGCTACCAGTCCAACAGTGACAAGAAACATGGCGCCGAGAACTCAGCCTACAGACGATGACTGGACTAGCGTTACGGATGCGAAGAAACGGAAGCAGATTCAGGATCGACTTGCACAACGAGCAAGACGTAAGTGACTCCCATGCTACGTACATGTGTCAAGACGGGAAGATAGAAACATAGCTTCTCCAGGATCTCCTTCTGCGATGTTTCGTGTGCAACGTACCTGCTCGGCACGTACATACCTACCTATCGGATGGCACGATTCGCGCACCCTCCACACATTACCAAATGACATCGCCAGCATCTCAAACGCGGGATACTAACGAATCGTAGGCCAACGTCTTCGCGAGGCAAAAAGCAGCACGAAACAGCAGAAACAACAAGATGAAACTTCTGGGGCAGATGAAACGCAGGGTGACCAACTCCCGGGTACACAACCGCTACCTGAGCTGTCACAAGGATTCTCCTCCACACTCTTCGACTTGCCATCTTTCACGGACATCGACCTGAATTTGATGCCGGATGATTTGGACATTGCCAAATGTCCATTGTCATTGATGACAAACCAGCTTCAATCACTGGGAAACTGTTCAGAGGAGAATGAAGCCATGCCTCAAACTGTTGTCAACAAAGCATCGCCCTCTTCGTTAGACTCTTACAGTCTTACGCCGACAACATCAAAAGTCTCGGGTCTTCTATCATCGCTATACGGGCAGCCGTCATTTCCCATGACAGTGTATACAGCCATGTACATAAACGGTGACATGCTTGGTCTGACATGTGGAACTATCATTCCATCTCGATCGAGTCCATGTGGGCCCGACATCCCGTTGCCTTTGCAGCCTACCTACAAACAGTTGACCGTTCTCCATTGTCGATGGATAGATCGGTTTCCCTTTCCCAAGATGCGGGACAATATCATAAGCCTTGGAGGTCTGGTTGACGACGAAGAGCTGTTGAGAGATATGTTCACAATGCCATGCTTTGAGATTGCCCCAGGAAAACTACCATGGGATCCCAAGGCTTGGACGCTTTTGAGACCATTCGCCGATAAGTGGGGATACTTGTTTCTATGATTCGTGAGGAAGCGATCGAGAGATGAGAAGTGAAGTGGAATCTATTGTCACGCTATCGCTACCAGACCGGAAACCTCTACTAGTACCGGATTATCAACATTGCAGCATCCATACTCCGATGCTATGGACGTCGCTCATTCCTTTCCGCCCTTCTCAAGCAGTCCGGCAAGCCAATTGATCACATTATCAGGCGTAGATATCTCTGGGCAGTGATCCGAGAAATTGCGTGTAATGTCTACTTTTCTCCCACTGGCACTCTCGATAGTGTCAATGACCCTCTGTTGTATAGGGGGTGTAACGCATTTGTCGTCTTCGCAGAAGAGATAAGACACGGGGACGTCTTTGTACCCCGCGTGTGTGAGCTCGTTGACAAAAGCCAGCGAGGAGTGGTTGACAAACTCTTCGGCCACTTCTTTACCCTTTTCGACTGTCAAGGAATTGAAGCAGACCTCTCTTGAAAGCTCCAGGTTAGTATGATAGAGCCATCCGTCCTGTGTTTGAATGTCAGCCCAACACATCTGTCTTTCATGGGGGAAGAAAAGTAATAGATGCGTACCTCACCAGGCGCCATCAAATCGGGGCGTGCTCCGCTTCCTTCGAAAAACAAGCTACCAGCCGGAGCACCCAGTTCGGGCGCCAACGCCGTCACTATACTCGCGAATGCGAAGTCAGCCAAATTCCAATCAAGCTCATGACCTCGACCGTCGGATTCTCAAATCACCAGACCACGTGGATATGTTGATCGACTCGACACTCAGGGCCATACATACTATAAGCAAGTCTCACGACCCCACCCTGCTTTCCTTCCTTCTCCCTCTCAGCCTTGGTCACACCCTTCAAGCTTTGGGTCGCCGGAACACCGCCGTAAGAGTGCGCCACCACAACTACATCCCGCCCCTCGTCGGCAAACTTGGCAGCCGCAGCATTGATGTCCGCGGCATCGTCGTACATGGTCGGGAGAGGGCCGGGACGGCGTGTGCCAGCGGTCTTGAGTTGGATGACCTGCGCGGGGTATCCTTTGGTTTTGATGGCTTCCATGAGGAACTCGTAGTGTGTCGCCATGACGAAGGATCCGGTGACGAACACGAGGGCGGGTTTGGTCGAGGATGCCATTTTTCCTTTTTTTTTATCTTCTCTTTTTCTTGGGATGAGGATATTACTTGTCGATATCTAGGTTTAGATTTCTGGGAAATTCGATTTGCCTTGTGTTGTACCGAGTGATATAAGAGTATGGGAAACCAAGGTAAGCTGAACAAGAAACCGTGCCGCAATATGAAACGAGTATGAATGTCGGAGAGAGAAACCAAAGAGCCACATATGTCTATTATATATACCTTTATACGCAGGATTCCCCACTCCAAACACAACCCCTCAGCAGCACAGTACTATACCTACTTCAGTCGCTAGCTGGTTGGCCACAGCAGAATTCCGGCACTTAGTCAATGTCAGAAAATAAGACCACGACGCTGACATGGTACGAACCCAGCCCGCCCTCCCCCGAAAAAGTGCATAGTTACGAAGCGGCGGAAGCTGTACCTCGACTAACTTTACCCCTCCTTTATTTTTTTGTCAGTCTGGAGCTTTACTCTGCCACCCCTGACTAGCTAAGCTGTATCCCCCCCACCGCCGCCTTCCGACAGGCTGATCTGCTTATAATCGTTCAGAAGGCAGGGACCACCCAAAATTGTAGACGAAGCAATTCCCCCCTCCAAAAATCTTTATACTTCGTCTTGGAAAAAAGAAAGGGAAAACAACAGCTTGAGTTTTTTTTTGCACTTTGCACTTTGCTCCTGTGCCAGGAAACCCACTTCCGAAGTCGTCGTCGTTACAACAGCACGTGCGCGCACTAAGGCTCCAGTCACTAAACTCCATACAGTAGTTGGAAATGGAGAAGACAACACTAGCTTCACTTTTTCTGACATTCTTTCTGACTACCGGCATCTTGCGTGTTTGAGAAGCGATTAACGTTTGTTCTTTCTGACACATTTTGTCTGTGTGATCGAGAAACCCCCAAATTTCCCCACTCCGGTGACATGCAATATGTACGATACTTTTTTTGGTGTCGTTTTTGCTTTTGTTTTCTCTATGAAGCTACTTGTTTCCGCAAACGAACGTGCGGCGTCGAATTGGGGCTGAGTATTTCGTGGGAGCTAGGTTTTTGTGTTTTTGCACATATCTGTTACTTTTTGCATGAGTTTTTAGAAATCAGATCGGAATTAATAGGGGAGGTAACAAAGGGATGAGGTTGCACATGATTTGAAATTCTGGATCGGTGGGGAAGAAGGCTATTGAAGTTGTAGGGACTCTTGCATTGCAAACATCAGACCATGGGATAGTGGGGAACATACAAACACGAATGCTGGCTGAGTTCCCTTGTGAGCGAGCAATCACGCAAAGGTGTGGGCTCATCGTATTGAAAGTGTGATTTGAGGAAGGAACTTGCGGCAATGTTTGACTATCAAGTATCACTCGGGTCAGGCTCTGCATCTACAGAAGGAAGTACATTATCCCTGACCAACGTCAAGGCACAATTGTCGAGTGTAAGACATGACGGTCGTTTCCTTAGAGAACAACACACCCTTTACCTTTCTTGCTCTCTTTATCCTTGAGGGATAAGCCATGAAGCGCAATTCGGGATGCAGCTAGAAAGACTTCCTTGACACCCTCGTCTCTTTCAACAGAGCATTCCAGATACATGTATGCACCAATCTGCTTAGCCAACTCTTGCCCCTGGGTAGAACACAACAGTCAGTATATACCGTCGATATTAATACAAGTGTACATGGCTGCCACAACTTACCTCCTCGGTTGTGACAAGAGCCTCCCCGCCCTGCCCGACCGGCTTCCTCGAAGTCTTTTCTTCATGGCGTAGATCCGTCTTGGTGCCAACTAGAATAAATGGAACATCTTTGCAGAAATGTAGAATCTCTGGCATCCACTACATCATATGTAATAGCTGTGGTTTTAGCAGCGTCCTAGTAGAGATCCCTGATCAAGGAGGTGGCGGGAATACTAACGTTTTCTATGACATTATCAAAAGTATAGCGTGCATCGACGCTGAAAGCCACGAGGAGTATGTGTGCACCCGGATAAGAGAGAGGTCTCAGACGATCGTAATGGCCGTCGGAGACTGTGTCAAACATGTCCAGTGCTACGAGTTTTCCATCGATGACCAACTTTGATTTTTGGTTGTGGACGGTGGGATGGTAGCCCTGAAGGATTTTAGCCAGCTGTACATCGTAACATTCTCTATATCTCTGAAAGATTGGAATTGGATCGGAAAAGAAGTAGCCACATGTACGGATGTTACTATAAACTGAAATCAGTGATCTTACCCCTCCGAAATCTCCTTGGTCAAAAGTCCTACACAATTATCAGCGAAACGAGCAACGAGATGAGGTATGTAACGTGTACAGGAGCAATGCAGTCTTTCCCACGTGCATATCGCCCACTATGACAAGTTTGCGATAATTCCATGATGATTCGTCATTTGCGTCGATGCCTGCAACATCGGGATGTCCTTCGCGGTAGTAAATGTCGTCTTTGTTTTGATCGCCGAACGATTCGATGGGTGTTTCGCCAGGTGTCCAGTGTGGCTTATGCTGAACCTTCTGTGGATCGGTGTTGAGAACCATAACCTAAAGCGAGATGGATATCTAGTAATAACGAGTGGACAGCACTTAGCCCGGATCTATGTGGTTTTCTAAGGTTGATTTCAGGTTATCAATTCACCGTTATGTTGGCAAAGAGTGTGTGAATGTGTGTTACGAGGATGGCCAGCGCATGTAAGACCGTCACCGGACATGCTGCGCCGCTGTACGGTAAGCTCGATACAAGGCATACAAGCGAGGCCGACAAACACCGATTTGGTATGATCTACTTGCGCTGGGGAGTGGGCCCCAACTCGTAATATGATGCCTTATTTAACTCTCCACAGTTCAAGGCTCTGATCCAAGGAAACTGATATTCGTCGTCGTGTAATATTTCCAAGTGTTTGACTTGCCCTTGCCAAGCGTACATGCAATGACGTTTGGTCGTACGTACAAAGGTATGCAGCGATACGAATGATACGAGTGAGAACCAATCGTTCTCAGTATACTTACTCAGCCTCATTCGCAACATCGGCTCAAGAGCCTCGTCGTAATTGTCGCCTCTCATGATGTGACTCCATACTTTCTGAGTCTACGTGTGAACTATAGCATATGGCATCTTTCAAGATTCTACACCAGTGTGAGTGATTAATATCACCCCTACTACTCCACACTGAACAAGCTGCGCAGCGTCTAGACAGTGGAGATTGGTGGACAACGTTGAGGATGTTGGGCGATATTTGAACAACCGCAACAGCCCAAAGAAACGATATCTGTAAATCAACCCACCTCGAACTTTTTGTTGTGCCTCGAAGATTTTTGACAATATAGGCTGTCAGAGCACGATGCATTTTCCGAAGGAGAGACATTCCCAGTTGAACTGAGCCAGTACTTCAATACACCCTCGTACATATTTTCCAATGTGTACCGCAATTCAAACGGGTTCTTCTTTTTTCAAGAGATGGTGGATGATAGAGGGGCATTAAAGACTCTGTGTAAGTAATCGCACCCTTCGCACCATCCCAAAGAACTACTTCCGTTTGCTCCATTTCAATCCAATGTGTTCGTGATATGGAATCCAATCTACGGGTGTTCCCAGAGGACAAGTGAAGGTTTCTAATCAATCGTGCAGACACACAGTCTCGGTTTCTCGTAAAACAAATCAATCGCTGCTCTGTATCCGGTTACCAATGGTCAGAAATGACATTCTTCTCTTACTGGACATCTGAACATAGTACTATTCTCTGCATGGGGGTTCCTTCATCTTTCTCGGGGTCTTTGACCTCAATTCTCTCAAAATTACCTGAGAACAATATCGCATCGAGCGCTTACGCCGCGTATGTTCCTCTTATAGAGACACTTGTAACGATGCACGACGGATCTATATGGGACTTTCGAGACGAGATTCGGAGTATCGAAAAGGTATGTTCCCCCTTCTTCACTTCTTCAGACAAGACAATTTTGATATATCTCACGATATTTCTTAACATCCTAAATCCACATCTTATCATGAGCGAATTGACACCAACCTCTCATTCCTAATTCATCCAGGCTCGCTCGCCATCAGATTACAACACGTCCCCCTTCACCGCCATGCACGACACCGCGCGTCACGCAATCCACAGCGTAGAAACCCTCAGTGTATCCGTAAAAACCCTCGAAGCAATTTCTGCGCACATCTCCGCCCTCTCACTGGCCGATCATCAGCATCATAGCTACCATCAAGCTCTTCAAGCAAGGCGAAGAGTACAGACCCACATCGCATCGCAGACTTTGATGCTTAAAAATTTGCTATTGCGTTCTCAGTCTAACGAGAAGCGCTTGCAGAATGAGATCTCGCTGGTAAGTAAGACGTGTTCGCATATAGACATATATGTATCTGCTCTTGCCTTCTGTCTCTTTCGTCGTCATTTTGTTCCTTTTCATGGATGGGCAAGGAGAGAAGAGAAATATAAAAATAAAAAGACGTAGTCACTGAACCCCGTTGTAGTCATACAATATGATAGCGCTCCGCGATAGTGGAATCATGACACGGATCAGCGAGTCCGCAAAGCTCGACAGCAGCGACATGCGCGCTATCGCTCTTGTAACCATGGCTTTCTTGCCTCCTACTTTCATCTCGGTATGTTCCCTCTCTCTCTGCTTTCATCCACACCAGTCACCATTTACAGCGCATTTACCACTCGGAATCACACCTCACTCGCTCACTTTGTCTACAGGCAGTCTTCAGCACTAGCTTCTTCCATTACGAGCCCAGTAATAGCAACGGAGTCGACGACTCGACGCAGTGGACAGTCTCGGGTCATTTCTGGGTCTACTGGGCGTTTGCTATACCCCTGACCCTTCTCACCATGGGACTGTGGTTGTTCTGGGAGCGCGCGAGGAACAGGGTTTGGAACAAGGGGAAGGAATTGAGAGGCGTCTGGAGAAATTGAGATGAATAACCTTTATACGGACATGAGATATATCGATAGGCATATACACGAAGAGATGAGTCGTATGAAGTGGTATGGAGGTGGAAGGAAAAGATCGAGGATTCAAGTTAAAGTAAGTAGCTATTGATTGTTTGATCTTGTTTTGGGAAACACAGATTTGCGGTTATCATATTCGCTCTTATCGCACGAGTATCCCCTCTCCAGCTCTAATTCACACTGAGTTACTTCGAGGCAAAGTGCATGATAAGATATCGAGAGAAAAAAAGAATCGCAAATTGACCAGCGAAGATGCTCAACCCCAACCAACGCCGCTCCAGCATGTACAAAAATTCCTGTGGGAAAGGAGAAGTAAAAGTGCAAGTGAACGATGCCCCCAAAAAAGCCAAAATAGACCGACAAAGTGGAGGGGGAAAAGGAGATCCCCATGGCCCAGGTATCATACAAAGCCGACCGCTCCCACCGAATGATTCCCTTGATCATCGCAAAAAGGAAAACAAAGCAAACACAGCATACATTCGTCTCAAATCATCGAGATACGCATTGCCTTTTGAATCAGGCAGCTCTTTCTTCTGCTCTTGCTTTTTTTTAATCGACCTTGCCCAAGAGGCCGCCGTTCTTTTCGCTGATCTGGAAATAACCGCCGCCTCCAGATCGTCTCCTCTTTCTTCCGAAGACAGCGACTACTACTACTCCCAAGACCACTATCAATAGGACTAATGGATGTCCGGTGAAAAGGTTGCGGATAGATAGGAAGAAAGACGTAAATGCGCCATGGGTGTATTTAGGGGTGATGGCGGTGGGATTCTTAGCAACTTTCCCAATTGTTTCGAGGATAGAGGCACGGGAAGGACGGATGGGTTCACCCGCGGCAGTTGTGTCCCAGTAGCGGTGGTTCTGCGCTTGTTAGTGAAAAAGTTCACACCCAAATGATGATAGAGGAGATAGCTTACAGCTTCATTGTTAATGATAACTCTGTCGCCATCTTGGACGTTGATGCCGAAGGTAGTACGGATCCATTTCTCCCAAAAGACACCGTCGACCCACGCAAAGCCTACCTGGGTACGTTCGACTTCATTCATGTCCACGCGGATCTGCTTCGCAGCTCGTAAAGCTTGCTGGTCGTTCTTATCTTGAGCTTCTTCTATCCGGAGCTGTTTGGCATCACGGAGTTCCTGGCGATCTAGCTGAAACATTTGCTCTTCCTTGTCGATCCATTCCAGAGCCGCATTCTTGAGTTCACGCTTGGCGTTTGCGAAGTCTTCTTTGCGGTCTCGGTTGAGAATCGCAAGAACTACAAGCTTGCCATCCATGATCTCGTGAGCGTTTTCACTCTTGAGTTCGGGGACAATTGGTAGCCAGACAGACTTCATCCAGGTCTGTATCTTATTCACATCGCGCATGTCCTTTGGTGAGATGGGACCGTAATATGTTGGTTTTCCATCGCGAGACACCATCAAACGCGGCCACGTGGAAATTTTGAAACGTTCGACCATGGCCGGGTCGTTCGTCTTGACAATCCTGGCCTTGCCCACCAAGGAAAGAGGGAGGCGATCCAGAGCCTGCAAATCTTCGGTCGTGGTTGCGTGATCATAGAAATACACGAAAAGCACTTCATTCTTTTCCTCAAGCGTCTTGAACTCGGCAAGGTCGACATCAGCCACTCCAGCTCCTATGCTGGCAGCATTGTCAGCGTACTCAATGAGGTCACCGAGGCCGCGCATGCCGCGGTATTCCATGCGATCACTACCACGGAAGAAAAGAAGGCTGGGATAGCCTTGGACGCCGGCATTCTTGCACAGTGCTCTTTGTTCGTCACAGTTGACTTCTCCAATGTTGAGCTTGTCCTTCATCGTGCGAGCCATTTGGTTCCAGTTGGGCGCCAAAGCCTGGCAATGGTGACACCACGGTGCGTAGAATTTGATAAACCAAGGCTCGTTGCTGTTGGTGACCATGTTTTGAAATGTTTCGGAGGTAAGAGCTTGAGATAGACCCGACGGATTGGCTGTGGAGACAGGTTTGATAGGTGTGGCCTTTGCCGCCTTCGTAGGTGTAGATTTAGCAGCAGCAGCCTGCTTATCTTCTTTGGCTGCCGCCTCCTTTTGATCCTCCTTGGTCTCGGGACCAGTTTGTACAGAGTTGGCACCGACTTCAGGTAGTTTAGGGCCTCCTTTGACACGCGACCCTGGACGGATCGTCTCCAAAATGCTCTCCACCCAGCCGCTCAAGGTCTCCAGTTCCTGCGCACCTCGTTTTCTTTCAACCTCTTTTCCATCCTCGATCCGTAGTATAGATGGGTAATTCGAAATGTCGTGGTCCATACAGGCGTCCTTGAATGCGATGCAGTCCACTTTTGCGAACTTGAAATCATAGAACCGTGTGAAAGAATTTAACGATTCCGGGCTATCGGTGTCTTCTTTGGTGGTGATGAGGGGTTTCGAAGTATAGTAGAACTCGTATAAGGTTTGCCACGTTGGCTTGAAGTGTCTACAATGCGGACACATGGGCGAATAGAACTCGACGAGCCTAATCATGTACGTTAGCAGATAGAGCGTAGAAGAGAATCAATCTGTCGTGTGTATCCGCACCAGTGCCCAGTCTTTGTCTTCTCGTCGAGATCGGTCCCCAGCTCTATCATAGGTGGCACCGTTTGGCCGTTAAATATGGTATCGGGGACCTTCTCATCCAGGTCGTCGTCATCTTGAGGTTCCGATACGGGCGCGGCTATAGTCACTGCGATCGTCGCGAACGATAGGATGGTATAGAGTAAGGAGCGCATAGTGACTGTCGGATACTATGGCAGTTGAGGTATGATGCAGACCACTACTTGATAGCAAAAGCGAGCCGCCACCAGGGTCTGGAGGGATAAAGGTGTGGGCCCTATTTTCGGTTTAGAATGCTCCTTGAACCCGTAGGAGGAAGATGGGTGAAAGAGAAGAAAGGAGGGGCGGCGTCTGCTGGTGAACGTGTGGAACGACCAGCGTGGAATGTCAAAGGAGGTGTGGGTTGGGTGCCACGGTTCCTGAGAGGGCGACAGGGATGCATCGATTACGCCCCCGAGCCTTGGCGCACCCAATCGCAACTTCCGCTTTCGCGGACAGCATCATCAAGGACCGCCAGCAGAGAGCTATCACCACCATTACAGCTCGCCCCTCCACCCATTGAACGCCGACACCGCGCCGGAACCGTGTCAAATTCACCATGAGGGCCGCTGCGAGACTTCTTGCGAACGTCCGCTCAAACCGCAAATTCCTCGAGGCTGGCGCCCCCACTGGCCTTACAGGCCTCAAAACCCACCCTTCGCCGCGCTCAGCTCTGCTATTCGCCTACAATGCTACTCTCGACAAGCTAAAGCAGATTCCCGAATCCTCCGTGTATCGCCAGTCCACAGAAGCCCTCACCCGCCACCGGCTCAAGGTCATTGAGGAGTCCAAGCCCGATGGTTGGGACGATTGGTTGAATAGGGTCTCGTTGCAAGCTGCGGATGACCCCGGTGCTTTCAATGTTGTAAAGACTGCTTCAGGCTCGCTGATTGTTGGGCCAAGCATCGTGAAGTTGGATCCCAGGGAGAAGAAGGCATCGTGGGATGGAGAAAAGATGCCGGCTTTTCCTGAAGGTGTTCGCACCATGAAGGAGCGAAGACCCTGGATTAAAGCTATGAAGGGAGATGCCAACTATTCCCCTGAAAGAGTTGTAGCACCAGTGAAGATGGAGCTAGAACCGCAGTTTACTGAGGAAGCGTACGTTACGTCACCTAGCCGGTTGCATGTGGATATGAATGCTCACCATGATAGGATATCGGAAATCGAGAACAAAATCGGTGCTGGACTGATTGAGGAGGTTATTGCGGTCGCTGAACACGAGCTTCAACTTGTGGATGAGATGGTCAAGTCCAAGGTGTAAGTTCGACGACTCTTCATGCTATTGATATTGGAACTAATCGTCCGTGTGAACGTACAGATGGGAACCACTAGAGGAGCAGGCTCCCGAAGGCCAATGGTCGTACCATGAAAGAGCAACTCATACCCCAACGACGCAGAAGCCTTAGGTTGTTTTGATAGTATAGAAGCGTGTGTATAGCAGGACACCCGCTGTTGTATCAATTAGGACCAAGAAGGGAAAACCAACAATTTCATTCCAGTTCATTTGCAGAACCACTGACTCTCTCAATATGCGATTGTGCAGAATTCAAACTCCAACTCAGAATGCATGAATTCATGATTGTGCAGTCAGCGTCACATACAACAAACCCGTACATCAGCAAGTAAGCGATTGCCTATACATCAGCTTAAGGATGGTGGCCCTCAGAATCATTCCGCCATCTCACGCTCTCCGCTCTACTCGGCCCAATAGCCCATCCCGCACGCAGTGAACCGCTCTGTGTTGTAGCCTCGCATTTTTCTTCCTCAATTGCTTCAACTCCCGATGTTCCAGACGGATTCCTCTTCCGCACAAGGGTCCCATTTCTTATCCACACATGGTGCAGACAAGATGGGAGTCGGCAGTGGGGTGAACTGTATGTGCATAGAAGGGAATGTTGCCTATTGTAGATTCTCGTGGGAACATTGCCTCGTTTCAGAGAGGATCGAGCAAACAGGCCCGGTTTCTCCATACTTCCCACAGAGGGCGGTGGAGAGTGTGGGAAACGGAGCCCGCGGACTGTTGTTTAGTGGGTACTCAATTGTGCGGAAACGGCGCCATTCTTTCCCATGTTACTCATCGGAGTCTCATGATTTGGGTAATGAGCTTTATGTTTCGTGTCTCAAAACTGACTGGTTTCCATAATGAAATGGGCTTGCTAGTTGGGATTGAATATAATTGATCTGTCTGGCAGGTAGGCTGTCAAGCAGTCCGACCCTGCGCACATTTCTTTTCTCCAGGTAGCCAACACACGCGTAGGTACATAACAACAGCGCGAGCCAGCAGCCATTGCAACGGAGATGCGCGCGATTGTCACAATTTCTTTTTTTTTCTGGGGGGTTTTGTTTATTCTTCTCCGGGACGGGTATGCGTGTCGTACTCCAGCCACTCTCCGCAGACACGCAGGTGTCGATGTTTCAAGTGCCGCCTCTCCCTAGCCCCAGTAGGCGAAGTAGACGCACAGTGATTGAGGTTCCGCGTGCTAGTCGGTAGATCTTCGGCACAAGAGTATATGCTCAGCAAGATGGTAAGGTAAAGCGGACGAGGATGAGCTAGAATTCAAAGCTTGACGGGGGGAGCCAGACTCTCTATCGTGATGTACCTATATTTACTCTGAACTTTCAAAGTATTCGGATGAGGCTGTCATTATGCACACAAGCTCGAATTTTGGGGCTTGCGCCTGGCGCCCTTTTTTGTCGTTACTTACCATGCGAGAAAAGGGTCCTGTCGCCGAGCGCTTCAAGTTTGATTCAAAAGCAGCACGCCTGTGGCTTGAGGACAACGCATCGACAGTCAGTCAGTAAGTCAGTCAGTCCGTCAGGCAAGACTATCCGGGCGAGTGGATGCAGAACTTGGAAGACTCCGCGAATCGCTAGCTGGCAGGCTGCTTTGTCTGGCTTGGGTCCCCTATCTGGAAGCGACCTGGGATGATAACATGATACGCAATAACATCAGCAAGTTGCTGCGTTGCTTGGCTGCCGCTGAAAGATCGGCTACTCGCATCCGTTGAGGAATGTTTGTCGAGCAAAACCTGCTTCAGAGCACCTGACGGTCCCATTGGGCTTTGCGGTAAAGAATTTTCTCGCCTTTCTTCTCTTGTGTGTTTTGCAAACATGGACAAGAGTCGTGGCGTCGAGGCTCGTGGAATACGAAACTCTATCGAGGATAGGCTAAGCTCGCCTAGATGGACGGCCTCGAGTTCACTCACCGATGGGTTGAGATAGCGCGAACGTGATGCGAAGGCAGCAGAGTGGTTCCGGTCAGGCTTTCAACGAGGGACAGACTTGGCTCCCTACCTAGGTGCAGACGAGTCGACAGCGTGAGCGCGCGCATGTCCCGCACTCGCTGCGCCTTCCTTCCTTGGACGTGGAAGGACATCTCCACCATACGGCGAGTGGGACTTGAGCTTATTTAGACGACTCGTGTAGGTATGAACAGCACCGTGACGGACCTGACTGGACATGACTATACGAGCGGTTTGCTCAGAGTCCAGAAGGCTGCGTGGGGTGCGGTTTGGCCCTCGATTTCCCTGAATTCCATCTCGTGGACGAGTGCAATTGATGGAGAAGTCGGGTGCAACATGTTGAACAATAGTGAGCAGGGATGCAAGCAATGCCAAGCGTGCACCTGCTATCGTGAGCCATTGCATTGGTCGGCAGTTTGCCACGGTTGTGACAAGACATTGGAAGCAAGCAATGAAGACCAGGAGGGCTTGACGGGGTGAGACGAGACATTGCTGGCGGCCAATTCGTTCATGTCACGGATTTGTCGCACCCAAGGGACGAGCACCGTTGCCAATGGAGCTCGAGATTCGACGAGGTGAATGTATGTACCTGCCGGCCTGCTCAATGGCCTATAGAGGTTAGGGAGTTGAGCTGGGTTTGGACGACGTGGGCAGGACGGAAGGGTGCCGATGCAAAGCCGAAGCCGAAGCCGCGCTATGGATGCAAGAGAAAAAAAATGGCGTCAGGCTAGGCTGACGGCAGGTACCTCGTTGACCTCGTTGACTGATTGTCTTCGCAAATCAGAACACCACCATCCCAGGTCGGGCGGAGGCGAGCATGGTGGTGACGATGGGGTGTGACAGCATTCTTCTCTCTGCGTCGGATAGCGCCTTGCGGGATGCCGCATTAAGCCCGTCCGTTGCGTCGCCCATCTGCCCACTGTTAGCCGCGCTGCCTGCCCTTTTCATCCCATCTCGTCTCTCGTCACATCGCATATGGGGAGTAAGCTGGCTGGCTGACGGAGCTGAGCCGAGCTAAAAGCGAGATGCGAGCGGGACGGACGCGCCGATGGATGGATGCACGTTCTTCTGTTGTTGTTGATGTTAATGTTGATGATGATGATGATGATGTTGTTGTTGTTGTTGCTGCTGCTCATGTTGTCAGAGCAGCTGTTGCAGCAGCACCACCATCATAGCACCATCATCCGCACGTCCGCATTGCATTGGTGTGGTGCACCGGCGACGAGAAGGCGTTGGGGTCACCTTCCATGCAGCCTTCTCGAAGAAGCGTTGAAGCCGTCTCATTCGAGGCATCTTGAGCCGAGTGCTCCGGCCCCCTGCCAGCCAAACTGTCTTTCTTGTACGAGGCGAACAACCCCCGACCGCCTCCTGGCTTGCGCCGGTCGAGACGAGGTGTTTGAAGGCGGCCAGCCAGCATTCGTTCCATCAGTTAATCAATCAATCAGTCAAGGTGAGGCTGCGACCTTGTGGATTCGTGGTGGAAGATGCCGGCACTCTGTTCGTTTCAGTGCACACCTACCTTGAGCGCGCTCGGTCGGAAATAAGACCCTGGCACGCCACAGCCGCTTTTCACCTGCGTTTTGGGCCTTGATCGGTGTCGGTCGGCCACCACTCGCTCGATGCCATCATGAGCGAACCAACGAGCGGATGCATGGCCGGATGGAACAGACTTGGGAACATTTTGGTACCATGAACTCATCTTTGCAGCAGAAGTGCACTCGAGGGTAGCCATGTCCAATACGCGCCTCTCTATGGTTTACACCCGACAATCCAGTCATCTTTGGCAGCTTCTATGATGAGCACATGATTGCAAACGTCCAGTGTACGGCGCAGCGAGAGAGAGAGAGCAAGCAAAGAGAGAGATGCTGGCTGGCGTCATACCATGGGTTCCGATGCAGACCCTGGTCATATCATGTCCATCATATCGAATAATGGAATGTACCTACCTGGGGTGTTATTGCGTATAAGGTTACATTCATACCACCTTTTCTTTGCTGCACAGCTGATTACCGCATACCCAGGTTGCTATGTCGCAGGTCCATGTTGATATCGATAGCTTCCAGGTACATGTGTACACGTACCTATGTACCTATGTATGCAGCATTATCAATCGGACGGAGGGCATCGCGTGGTCCTATTTTGTGTACAATTTGTATCTTCCCGACCCCCTGGCTGTGTACATTATTATGTATGTATGTACTTACTCAAGCATGTACATGTAATGGAAGGTGCCGGCATGCCCATTCATTCGTCTTCCCAATCCAGTCAACATTTCCCTGGACTGCTCACACCATTCGTCGCCGGTATTTGATTTGGGCGGTGGTTGGATACAAGGTATTGGCGGTCGACACAGAGGTACATGAAATGATGGTAGCTAGTACGTGTTTCATAAGCAAGGCTTGCCAGCACGGCAGGTCGCCACGACATGCAGCCAGTTGAGTATAGAGCCAATTTTTCTTGATGAATAAAACAACAAATAAAAAACTCCGCTCTGTGAGTATACATGTATGTGTGGGGATGGACGAGCCATATGTACACCATGTCGTCGCAATCGTGCCATGCTCTCACCAGCTATAGTGTATCATCATCATCATCATCATCATCATCATCATCATCATCACCACCATCATCATCACCACCGCGAACAGTACCTCGGACCCTTACCTCTGGCCTCGCTGCTTTACCGCTGCCGCCAGCACTAGCCCGCTAGCCAGCTGCTAGTCGCCCTGCTGGACCGGTGTAGTTGAGAAGTTGGATACCGGTGCGCCGAGCAACCCTGCCCTGCCTGACTACTGACTGAAGCACACGCCGCCGATACAGGCTTTGTGCCGCCCGATCAAATTTTCGCCCACCACCAGCCAGCGTACAGGTGCTTCATCAATCTTTTCCTCTCCGCCACCATTGCTCACTACTGCCCGCCTGCCATCCCATCCTCTCTTTCCCTGCAGCCCCATCTAGCACCTGCCCACTGATTTTTTTTTCTTCTTCTCTCTTTTCCTCCTCGCTCATCTCCTTCGCTGCGCGCCCCCGGTCTGCTCGCCATCTGCTCGCAGTACTACTACTACCGCCCTCTCCACCACGGTTACATTGCCTTTCCTTTCGCTCTCGACTCCACCACCCTTCCCGCCAACTGGTGTCGATTGTACCTGACGCCAGACTTCTGCCGCGTGCTGCGACATCCCACTACTGCTCCACTTGTCTGTTCGGCTGCTGAGGCTCAAAGTGGATCTGCATCTGCCCAGCCGTACAACAAACTCGGTCGATAGCATCCGCCGATTATCACCCATCCCATCACCCATCCGCCAAACCCACCCTCCTCTCCTCTCCACCCACCCACCAGCCCACCCACCTCCCCTCTGTACCACCCTTCTCCTTCTCCTCCTCCTCCACCACCACCACGCTCAGGCCGCGAGCTGGGGCTCCAGTCAACGTCTCTTCACCCTCGCCATCCTCCACATTCACCCCGTTGTGCGCACCGTCAAAGCTCCAGGTCAAGACTTCCGAAATCTCGTCTCTGCTCAAACACCCGCCAACAGCCTCCATTTCTGCAGACCCACCCTACCACCCGGCTCCGCAAAGCTTCTTCGCTGCTCATCGCTAGCCACGCCAACCCCTCAGTCCCGTATACTACACGTCTGTGTAGCCGACTCGACTGTTTGACCCGTTGCCTACTGCTGCTGCTGTCGCTGCTGCTGCTGCTGAACCTTGCTCCCCCCAAGCTTTCGTCCGTCGAATGATTGAGTGCCTGCAACTGTTACCGGTCGCGCCTTCCTCTATACCTTCCGTCATACCTTCTGTGATATAGACGAATATCATGGACGATCGATTTCGCCAGTCAGGTCTGCCTACCCCCAACGGAGGCCAGTACCAACACGCGTACAATACTTCGCAAAACCAATTGCCGACCCTGCCTCCTCTGCATGGATCCAATGCGCAGTACCCCTCCATGTACGCTCAGCATAGCAACCCGCAGACGCCAATAACACCCCACACGCCTGTGTCCAGTACGTCCACCACCGGCATCACTATCCCACCCATTGCCTCTCAACATCCCCCGCTGCGTCCCATCCAGCCATCCCCCTCGTCGTACCTTCCGATGAGCTCATCCTATTCTCAACCGTCACTGCTCCCTACCTCGGCTGCTCAGTCAAACTCACATCAGCTAGGACCTGCAGGTATGCCCAATGGCCTACAAGACGTGAGGTTGGGCGGATTGGGTATGACCCCCCACTCGCAGCTCTACCCCCACCCGCCAGTGCTTGCCAACCAGGAGCCTGATCCTGTCCTTCATGTAGTAGGTCAACAAGGACGTCGTGGCATCTTGCCCACAGTCCCTGGTCGGCCCACGCCTGCTGCAGGCAAGGCTGTTACCAACATGAACAAGAACGCCGAAGGCAAATACGAGTGCCCCCACTGCAACAAGACGTATCTTCACCTGAAGCATCTCAAGCGCCATCTCTTGCGACGTGAGTGTTCCTGCTATTGATTCCTAGACCATTTCAAAATCTAACGTAAACAGACACCGGCGAGCGGCCTTACCAGTGCCATTTGTGCAAGGATACCTTCTCTCGTAGCGATATCCTCAAGCGCCATTTCCAAAAGTGCTCAATACGACGAGGAAATCCCACTGGTGCGAGCCACCTTCAAAACGCGCAGTCACACTTGCAAAAGAACCGACAGCCGAGCAGTGCGGAAGCCAATTCGTACCTCAGTCACATTGGTACCTCCATGCCTTACTCGGAATCGGGTTACGGTAACACGACGCTTAGCGGCATGCAGCAAATGCCTCCTATGCCTACTGACGCGTACGGTGACGGCTTGCCTTCCATGAACTCTCACCAGTCCATGTCTGCGCGCACGTCGCGTTCCAATAGCCTCATCCGCCCTGGAAGTGGCTTGGAAGACAACCGGAGGAGCATGTCGGCGCTTGAACTAAGCAACAACAACCGCATGAACTTCAATGATTTCCGAGGAGCAAATGGTATACCTAATCACATGACGCATGATGTGAACTCGTATGGATCGCAGCAGAATCACTCTCCTGCCTCCGCGTCCAACGGTGCGTATCAAAATGGATACGATGGCGCAATGTCTCACTCCGAGATGGCCCAGAACAACATGCCGATTAAATCGGAGGAGAGCAACTCAAACGCTTATGGTCGCCCCACCCTGCCAAATGTTGATGGCATCTCCAACGGACAGGATAGTTCCGTGCGATGGAGTGGTCCGTTCAACGGCGAGCCGCAAGATAACTTTCTCATGTCTTCCAGTATGGCGAGTGGCACTCCACACCCCGGTAAATCGGTAGGTGTTCTGACTGGAAATAACTTCTAGGCCTCGGACGAACCTTCCGTCGACACGATGTTTAGTGGGGTATACTCGAACGCTACTGGATTTTCTACGGCAACTTCCTTCCTCGACAATTGGGTTCAGGGCCCTTCTGATCCCTTTGATAGAAAAGCTGATGGGTTATTGGCGTTTTGCTGGCCGAATTCTTCTTTGCGCTCCCCAGGATCAACTGACACACCTGGCTATGAATTTGTCAAAGGGCTGTTGTCCGCTGACAACATCAAACACTTTTTGGGGCTGTACAAGCATTATCACGCTCATTGGCCATTGATCCATATGTCCTTTAATCCCATCACCGCCTATGACGGGCTGGTCCTGTCCATGATCTGTATTGGTGCAGTGTACTCTGACCGGTTGGGCTTACGGGAGGTACGGTGGCTGATGGATCTGATAAGAGCATCTTTGTTCAGGTCTTCTCGCGTCTACAAAACGATCGTCGGTGACAACCGTGGAAACCTTGATTCGGACATGCAATCCTCCACCGACACGGAGGAGATCCAAGCTCTGGTGCATGTACACTCTTTGTTTGTCTGGCACGGATCGCCGAAGCAGCGCGAACAAGGTCTTGAGCAATTTTCGATCCTTGCAAGCGTTGCGCGTCAATTCGGTCTCCTAAATCCCCTTCCACGCGGAAACCACGACGTCAGCTCTCTTCACCAACCCGGACCTATACGAGGTAACGAGGCCAACTCGTGGACATGGCACTCCTGGATCGAGCAAGAAAGTAGGGCCCGAGTTATGTACATGATCTTCTTGATGGACGTTGCTCTTGCAATCTATTTCAACGTTCAACCACGTCTAGACGCCTTCGACATCAAGCTTCCGCTTCCTGCCGACGATGCGGCTTGGGAAGCCAGGACAGAAGATGATTGCGCCAACGCGCTTGGCCTCAGAGGACAAGCTGCACAGGACAAGAACGATGCTGGGAGCCGTCGACCTAAGCAATTAGGGTTCGCTGAGACGCTCCAGTATCTGTACCAGAGCGAAAATCTTCCGCAGCGAGCCACCAATATTTATTCCAAGTTTGTCCTCATACACGCCATACACGCTCAGATTTTCAAAATTCAACGCCAGATGCTCAATATTAATGGAATGCCCGGGTTTTCCAATAGCGGGACAAGCACTCCTCAATCTCAAAACGACTGGGGATCCGCTGATGGAAGTAGCGGGCATGTAACGCCAATCGAGGGCACCAATTCGCAGATAACACATACCCATCAATTGCTTCGTTCAACCATGGTTGCTCTCGAATCATGGAAGCGTAATTGGGATGCAGACATGCAAATCCAGTATGCATCCAACCAAAAGCGAATTGGTTTCTGTCGCGATGGTATCCATTTCTACTACCTAGCCAAGTTTTTCCTACGTGGCTCTCGTCGCGAAGATTGGGCTGCTCAGCCCGATGCCCGGTGTCAACAAGTTTTTCATGTGTTGAAGCAAATCCGAGCGCACGTTGCTTCTGATTCAGCTTCGAAGGGCGTCGACTTCGGTAGCGTCACCACCGTCGACGACAAGTATGGCGATCTTTGTCTTGACATGAAGCTCCTTTTCACACCCATCTCCACGACTACTGCCTAAGAGCGCGTGTTCAAGCGCATTCTGTACCACCACCCCACACAATCGACATCTTTCGGCACAGGTTCTCCAACCGGTTATTTCCCAGCATTACTACCTATCATTCCCCCATCGGATGAGTCGCCCCACGACTATCAAGTTTGCGTTCGCGCCCACTAACATCGGCTCGACCGAAGTTCGTTCAAAATCTTTAGACTTTTCTTAGTTTTCCTTTCCTCTCCATCCTGCATACGCAAGCTACGTATGCTGGGCCTCGCATCACCAAACGGCGTATGGGTCTTGGCATTTCAAAGAGCGCATAAAAAGTCGGCGGACATGACGGAACGGTTGGAGGTTTTCATTTTCATTGCATTTTTATACGACTGTTAACTCACAAAAAAGCATTAGAGGAGCATCTTGCGGCGTGCATTTGCCCAGTGCAAGAAAAACATTGGGAATAGAGGTTGTTAAGCACAACTGGGCAATGTTCCAGCGCATGGTGGATGATTCTCTTATCGACTACTGTATTTTGCTCTTCATAGGATGAAAGCCATCGCAGCTGTTCAATCCTTTATATGTATATTTTGCTATCCCGGTATCGTCATTCATGCTCATCACATTGTGCACGATCCGCACACCTGTTCCTATAGATATCGAGGAGGATCAAGGAACTACAAATCATTTGCTGGAGTGTCACTACAGCGGCGCGATCCATAGATAGAACTTACACTAAGCCACTCTCCCCCCAAAAAAGCCATCCAAGACAGAAAAAGAACAGAATCAATAAAAACTCGCGTCTCTCCACTGAACGAAACGGTCCTGCAGGTCAAAGAGCAAAGCCACGATGACGAGTATCCGCTTCGTTGAAATCCGTTTGTCGATTATGTGGATGCAAGTCTCAACCGGCTGGCTGGCTGGCCGACTCGATTCTTTTTATCTCTCTCCGAGACATTCTATTTTCTGAGTGATTGCATCTGAGGCCACGAGGGAGACAATGGGAAACGCCGCGAATCCGTCGAATCCGAGTTTCCAAGTTGTGGTTCCGCTTTGCGTGATGTGGTGTGGACCCGTGAGGTGTGGGTGTGTGTGTGATGGAACCAGGGTCCGGGAACATATGAAGCGATGCTGAAGGACGAACGGTTTCACCCTCCCTCTTCCCTCTATTTTATCCCAACCCTAACGAGTTACAACATGGCTCCTCTCAAAACTAGTCTGGCGCTCTTTCGCACTTAGCCGTATTCTTGTTACTGCTGTCGTTGGCCGGCTCGGGAAAAAGACGGGATCTGGTATAGTCGAGAAAAGGATGAACAATGAGAGAGCAATGCGCGTGTGGATGGAGCCAGCCTGTGCTTTGTCTGTCCCACTGCCTCGATGATTTTCTGTTATAAACCTCACAGCAATAAGATCGTCAATGGTCATATCCACTCTGACGTGTGCCTTTTGTAGTTCTGGATTCCTTCCGTCTTTCGTTGAGAGCTACAGTGTTATGTACGTCTATGGTTAATCTTCCTATTTTACCCAAGTTACATAGCTGATTCATTCAAGAAAGAGAAACCCCTTCGTCTGGAGCATACATTCTAACATCCGACTTTCCGCTGCTAGCTCTCTTCTGCCTATTTTCAGAAAAAGGACGGAAAGAAGGTGTCAAGATTGTTACCCGATCGGCTGCTTGCTTGCTTGCTTTGCTTGTCTCTCGTTCGACTTCAGCCGTCATTTTGCTTTGACACACAAGTAGGTAGATAGGTGGGTAGGTAGAGGCATGTCTAGCAAGTGCTGTTCTGAAACCACCATCTCCCACCACCACCATAGCCACAACCCATCATCGTCGCCGTCCTCGTATCGAGCATCGAATCCAAGAAAAAGCTCAACAAGGTCCATGAATCATTCGCTCGTTCCCGTGTGTATGTATGTGTGACAAAACCATGAAGAGTCTAGGATAGGGAATTCCCGTTTCTTTGCCCGCGCGTGCTCGCCCTCAAACTATACTCTATACGTATGTAGATAATCAAGAGGGTGAGATCATACTATACCTCCCCCCCTCCATCTCCACTTCCCTTCTCTTCCGCCCCCCCCCCCCCCCCCTTGGAAACGTTCTATACTTGGGGGAGTCTCACATCTTCTTCCTTCGTGCTGCTAAACGACGTTTCTAACAACCAAGTCTCTCCCAAGAAAAGATGAAGTCATCTTCTTCAATCCCACTCTTTCATCGTGAGAATCCTGTTAGGAGGGGGGAGGAGGGGGGGGGGGACACTCTACCTGTGACTTTTCTGGGGGTTTTTTTTTCTCAATCTTATCTTCTTCTTTACCGATCGGGTAACAGGAGGCGTTTGTGACTTTGTCAATCACACCCCCATCCCCAACTTGTCACGGCGATGGTGAGGCAAAGTAAGAAGAGGATGGACTTGTGTCGCTGGAATTCCCGGTTCCGTATACGGATACGAAGATTGTAACGGGGATGTAGTAGCGAATCCTTTCCATCTTTACAAGGATTGTCTCGGAGTGGGAGTGGAATTTTGGGAAGGAGAGAGCGGGAGAGAAAGAGAGAGGGAAGGGAAGAGTTAGTCGTTGCTTCTATTTGTGTCTGTCACTGTGGTGCGGGCGGTCTGGCTGGGTTGCTGGCGTTTGACGTTTGCGTTGGTGGTGGTGGCTGGGCTGACATTCCCTTGCTGAGGGGTTCTTTTTATTTCTCTGGCATGGAGCGATGGATATAGAGTGGTTGCTTGTGTGAGTTATGTGGGGATGGGGTGAGGGAGGAAGGGTGAGGAAAGCGAGGTGGTTGAGAGTTTTTATGTCGTGTAGTTCAATGACTGGCACGCATACGAACGCACGTTTTCCCACGTTGCATGTAAGGTTGGTGCCTTAATAGTCGGTGTCTTAATGGTATGGGCAAGACATTTCGGAGAATTTGTGTTTTTTTCTTTCCTTTCCTTCCTGCTGGGCGAGTCGGATGTGTACACAAATACCGAGTACCACGTTGCAATTGACGTGTGTAGTATCTTACCATGGTCTACTTGTCAATGTGTGTGTCACTTGTACATAGACTACGTGCGAGATGGGGCTTATCTCTGTGCGATCCCCCGTCGCTGTTTCGTTGAAGAGGAGAAAGGGAACATGGCAGTAAGGAATTACCTTGAGCGCGGAAGGAAGGGGGAACCCTCTTCTCGAACGATCAAACATGCGTGGCGTTTTGCAAATCCAGGAGATGGCGATTCCGTTGGGGTTTCGAGATGGCGGGAAGAGAGTCAGGATGATGGGGCACTGGTGAGGCACTTCGGGGGCCATCCCTGGACATACAGGGTCTGACTAGACATTTTTCCCAAGCCTCTCGGGACAAGGGAAAGAAAGAAGGAGAAATGGTAGGTTTTGTATGATGGCGTAGCCTTGTAGGGGAGCGTTTCTTGTTGAGCAAGGGACGGACGCACACCATCACCCGCCACACACGGGAACAAAAAGCAGGTGGTTAAAGTTGACGTGCGTATGGCATATGCAGGTCCAGAACATAATGAAGCAAAGGCAAAAGTTTAAAAGTCAAAGCAAAGTAATGCGCAAGCCGCTTTACGAACGGGTGGGAACGAAAAAGCCGCATAGAATATGCAAGTACGAAGGATTGCCATCATCATGGCTGGTGGCTGCGGCTTGGCATAAGGCACCGTGGCTCGCGCATGCTCGGTTCTCTACCATGTGGGCATGGGTCCTCGACCATCCGTTCCCCGAGGGAGTAAGGCTGTGTATGGGGCCCTGGGCTCTGTAGTGACGGGTAAGACGGGATAGGGACTGAGGGTGTGTGATGATATGCCCTGTGGACCCACGGGTGCAACGTGTGATGTGCGTGCTTGCTGCAGGGAGGTTTTGGAACCACAAGGGAAAATCCGGGGAAAAGTACCCAGAATTCAAACGAGGCCAACTCGGATAGCGAAGATGCCTGGAGGGCAGAAACCTGCTTAGCAGGGAGTAGACTGGAAATGTGATATAGAGATTGTGAAATCGTCTGAGCTTTTCTTGATCCTCTTCCGTTCGCAGCCTTTCCCTTCCCTACGGTTCAAAACTTACCGTCGTTCCTGTTTCCTCTGCCTTCACTTCTTGCCTGGTCCGTGACCGTTTCTTCTTTCCTGGGGATTGTCTGTATTCTTCTTTAACTCCCCCCTTTTCCCATCCTTTTCTTCTTCTGCTTAGATAGGACCGTCTCTCGTGCCGTGCACGACCCTCTCTCGCGGTTTCCTTTTTGCAACCTGCTCAGTACACATGTTGCGCCTTGGATTGCGTTCTTGACCGTTCGTTGTTGGAGTGACTTCATTGGACGTTCATTTCGAATACCTTTTCCTTCATCCACCAAATACGTATCGACGACTGCAGACGGAGGCGAGGGCAGTAAGGCACCATGGTGTACTTACGTCCAGGGTTTATTGTCGTGATCGTTGGGACGACCTTGACGGCACTGTCTACTTTGGTCGTAGCCTTCAGGTGCGTATCCCCTCACCCAAATACATCAGTATATGGACTGCAATCGAAGAGAGTGTATAGCTAACAGGCTGGCAATCAGGTACTTTTGTCGGTATTATCGCATGGGCCAGGTCGCGGCTGCGGACCATCTTATATTTGTTGCCTTGGTAAGTTCCTTGCCAATGCGCTCACAAGTCAAAAGAAGAAAAGGAAAGGAAAGAAGCTGATATACGGACAGGTAATGACGTGGGGCAACACGGTCATAAACTACTATCAAGACGAATCCAGTCGTAGATTCCGACCTTCTCAATTCAAAAACCCTGTAGGTCTTCATTCTGCGATTGCATCTTTCAAACTTCTTCGCCTACTCATTCATTCCCTATTTCTGTGAGAACCTCTCCAGTCAGTGACTAACTTTTTCATAGGAAAAGCGCCCCAAGCTCGAGGTAGCCCTTCGTGGTACACTCGTCACCTGGTATGTCTATCGCATGACGTATGGTGTGGCGCTCTGCTTTGTCAAATTGAGCATTCTCTACTTCTACCGCTCCATTGCCACGAACCGGACTTTCAGGCGCGTAGTAAACGGTACCATTCTCTTCGTGGTCCTCTACACAATCAGCACCACCCTCGCATCCGCCTTCCAATGTACGAACCCGGCAGCATCCTACGACACTTCTGGATACCTTGCACAATTCGGCGTCAAAACTGGTAAAGAGCCGCTGAAGAACGTCACGTGTTTCGACCCATCCAAACTGTGGATATTTACTGGAGCTGTAAATCTCTTCACCGACGTGCTCATCATGGGCATGCCCATCCCGACACTGCTCAGTCTCCGAGTCCCCATGAGCAAGAGACTGGCGCTCATTGGCATCTTCAGCGTGGGTATCATGGCCATTGTCGCGTCCTGCGTCCGCATGTGGGTGATGGCACTGTGGGCCGAAAACGCAGTGAACGCAGCCAGATTTGGTACAGACCTGTTACTTTGGGGCCAGGTTGAAACCAATGCTGGGATCGTATCTGCGTCGGTGCCATTCCTGAGGCTGGCGTGGCGTGGTAAGGACAAGAGCTCAGAAGTTAGCTCGGGGGTTAGGGGAAAGTTGGGTAGAAGAGAGGTCAAGGAGATCATCCAGGCACCTGTTCAGAGTCCCAGCCCGGATCAAGAGCCAGAGTGGCCGTTGAATGGAATCAAGAAACATGTGTCCATTCGCAGCAGCGAGGAGTTTTTCGATAGGAACGAGAAGGGGTTACGTGGGAACCCGGCGTGGGGGGATTTCATCACAGTGCCGGAGGAGTGGAGCAGCAGAGGTAGCGGCAAAAACAGCGGTGAACTGGAGCAACCGGCAAGGGTGTACATGACGGTTTGAAGAAGAGGAAGAGTGAGGAAATGCAATGCAATGGAACGAGAATCACGCTACCCAGGTTACGAACCAGGCTCCCCTAATCCATTCGATATGACGAGAGGTAGGGAGTGAAGTCTGCTGAGACGATATTGATGAGGTTCATACTTTCTTTTTACCCTGTGCTTTATTTTCTAGTGTTGGAGTGGTTCAGTAGCTGGCCTACTGTGGCCGCTACCTGATGGGGGATGATTTTGCTATGTATCGTGTGTTAGACATGTAAAAGAAAGAAAGACGTTAATGCCCTATGATATAGCATACGATGCAGCCACTTTGGGCCATGGCCTACCCAGAATTGCACTCTCGACCATGTAATATGAATTGACCTTGATGGGCATCGGGCCTATTGAATGGCCAGCCGGAGGTATCCTCTATTAGGAAATTTTTCGGGGCGCATAATGTGATTATGTTGGGGACGCGGTTCCCCCAACGATTGACGTCTGGGTAGGCGAGTATGTTTGAGGATCGAACAAGATGTGCGGCTAGGCTTGTACAAAGTAAGCACGCGGGCGAAGAAGCGCAGACTAAGCGGCTTGGGAGTGCGGAAAGTCGAGGAGGCTCACTGAGTATTACGAGAGAGTACGAGCGAAGGGTGGCCGGAGGATCCAACATGTCTGTCTGGAAAGCGGAGTTGCACGGCGCGCGCAACGCAGCACCATCCACCCTCCGTGCATCATCATCATCCACCCATCTACCCATCCACCCATCTTTGAGACGATTTACACGTACATATATACAGCACATACATGGTTATTTGTTATCGTTTAGATAGCATCGCGGGAATCACAGCACCGTAAAAGGAAACATACAGATCGGCACCCCGCCAGCGCTACGAGCTCACGACCCACCCTGATGCAGATGACAGCTCGTCGCTGCTAGAGTAGAGTACCTAGACATCCTATTCACTGCCCTTACTTTTCCCACCTTCACCTTTCCTTTTTCCACCGTGGCGGTCTCACGTGTCTCTTACCTTCTCTTGTGCGCCGTAGCCCTCTTCGTCGCTCTTTCCGCCACCCTGGCTTCTCTCCGCATCGGCCTTCGCCCCTCATCCATCACCCAGTACCTCAAGCCAGGTCGCCTCTCCACCATCTACCCTTCTGTACAGGCCCAGCGCCCGCTTATGAACAGCAGTATGGCCCCCGAGAAGTACAGGAAGCCGCCTCAGCTACCCCCCAAGTTCACTGCAACCCCCAGCAGTCTGATCGAGGAAACGAAGCGGTTGATCGAGCGGTCGCGAAACGTCCAAGATGGCATCGTGAGGGACGTCACCCCCGAGACTGCCTCCTTCGAGAACACAATTCTGCCCTCCGCGCGCGATGACAACAAAATGGCCATCGAGTCTCACATCATTGGCTTCTATCAGGCTGTGTCCACGGATAAGGCCCTGCGCGACGCTTCCACAGAAGCTGAGGCGTTGTTGGACGACTTCGGCATCGAGTCCAGCATGCGCGAGGACATCTTCGGTCTTACCGACGCTGTCTACAAGAAGAAGGAGAATCTCGATCCGGAATCACAGCGGTTGCTAGAGAAGGACTACAAGTCGTTCATTCGCAATGGATTGAACATTCCCGCGGGGCCCAAGCGCGATCGCTTCAAGGAGATCAAGAAGCGATTGAGCGAGATTAGCATTGCATTCCAGAAGAATCTTAATGAGGAACAGGGTGGTGTATGGTTTACCCCCAAAGAGCTTGATGGCGTACCCGAGGATGTCGTGTCGTCGTTGAAGAAGGGTGAAGGCGAGAACGAGGGTAAAGTCTGGCTTACTTTCAAGTATCCCGACTTGTTCCCGACGTTGAAGTACGCCCACAGCGCAGACACCCGCAAAACGCTCTTTGTCAAGAACGAAAACAAGTGCAATGGCAACGTGCCTTTGTTCCGCGAAGCCGTGCTCCTGCGTGACGAGGCTGCCCGCATGCTCGGGTACAACAACCACGCCGAATTTAAGATCGAGGACAAAATGGCCAAATTGCCCAAGACAGTTGATGACTTTTTGGGCGATTTACGCACACGTCTTGCGCCGGGCGGCAAGAAAGAGATCGAAAAGCTGCTTGAGCTCAAAAGGCAGGACTTGAAGGACCGATCTATCAACGATGGAACAGATGAGAAATATTTCCTCTGGGATTCACGATACTACGATCGGTTGATGCTAGAGAAGGATTACTCTCTTGATCACCAGGTCATTGCGGAATACTTCCCACTTCAAACCACAATCCAAGGCATGCTCAAAATCTTCGAAGAGCTCTTCGGAATGGTGTTCATTGAGATCATCGGTGAGGACCGTGCTGCTCTCGCTGATGGTGGTAAGAGCTCCGATATTGTCTGGCATGAGGATGTCCAGGTCTTCAGCGTCTGGGACGATGAGGGAGAAGGTTCCGGTTTCATTGGTTATCTTTACCTCGACCTCTTTCCCCGAGACGGAAAATACGGCCACGCCGCAAACTTCAACCTTCAGCCTGGCTACATAGATGAGAACGGCAACCGAAGGTATCCTTGCACGGCCCTGGTCTGTAACTTCTCCAAGCCTACACCCAAGAAGCCTTCACTGCTCAAGCACGAGGAGGTGGTTACACTCTTCCATGAGCTTGGACATGGCATTCACGATCTTGTCTCCAGGACGACATACTCCAGATTCCACGGAACGAGCACCGTTCGCGACTTCGTGGAAGCTCCTAGTCAGATGCTTGAGAACTGGTGCTGGACGCCCTCCCAGCTCCGCTCTCTGTCCCACCACTACTCATACTTGTCGTCGGACTACGAGGCCGCCTACAAGGAGTCATCCGGTGCCGACCAGAAGCCTTCGGAACAAATCCCCAATTCCCTGGTTGCCAAGCTTATCAACACCAAGCACGTTAACGATGCGCTCTTCAACCTTCGCCAGCTACACTTTGGCATGTTCGACATGACTGTACACGAGCCCAAGAGTCACGAAGAAATCGAGAATCTGGATATTACCACCACCTACAACAAGCTTCGCAAGGACATCTCGCAACTTGACGGACCCGAGGCGCTCGGTGGAGACTGGACATGGGGCAATGGCCAGGCCACCTTTGGCCATCTCATTGGTGGATACGATGCTGGGTGAGTTCGAATTTTTTCAGTACAACCCTAAGTCTGTTTGTGTGATTATTGGTGTCGTACTGACCTATTGATTATTTAGATACTACGGCTATCTCTCTTCCCAGGTCTACTCCACCGACATGTTCTACTCGGTTTTCAAGGAGAACCCCATGAACGGCAAGGAGGGAAGACGGTACAGGCACACCGTTTTGGAGCGTGGAGGGTCTAAGGAGGAGATGGACATTCTTGAGGAATTCTTGGGCCGCAAACCGAGCACCGAGTCTTTCTACAAGGAGTTGGGCATTTCCAAGTAAAGTTACCATCGTGTAACTCTACTGCATCTACCCATCCCCAGGAACGCTTAGAAAATCACGATAAAGATAAGAAAATAATAATCTATATGAGTGTACATAGCGGATCAGAACTCTTCCTCCCACGATTTTTTTTACACCTACTTTGATTCATGTGCTCTTTTCCTCATCTCTGATACCCCAGGTCATGACTACATGACAAACAAATCACGGAATTAGAATTCTATATACGTCCGATCCTCCTCAGCTAGCCCGCTCAACGCATCATGTCCAATACGATTCGCTACAACCAACGAAGAGTCAAATTATCCGGTCTTCCCCGCAGCAGCAGCCTCATCCTCATATTCGCCAATCGCCTTCACCTTTGCCGCACTGGCGCTCCCGTGATCAAATCGATACGCCAACCACTCCTTGGCCAACCGTCTCGCAAGCTCCAACCCAACCACCCTCTCCCCCATACAAAGCACCTGCGCATCATTACTCAACACGCTCCTCTCCACACTGTAAGAATCATGCGCCGTCACGGCTCTGATTCCAGGGACCTTGTTCGCGGAGATGGCAACACCGAGACCGGTGCCGCAGATGAGGATGGCGCGGTCGACGGTGCCGTCCGCGATGAGTTTTGCGGCGCGCACGGCGACGTGCGGGTAGGCTTCTTTATCCGTGGTGGCGGGGACGCCGACGTCGGTTATGGAGCTTACGAGGTTGGGCAGGCTGTTGAGGTCTTTGGTTATGGCTGCTTTGTACGAGACGCCGGCTTCGTCGCTGCCGATTGCTATGCGGAGAGGGGTTGGGGAGGACATTGTGGTGGTTTCTCTCTTTTTCTGGCTAATCTTTCCTTTCTCTCTTCTTTTTTTATATATATCTCCTTCAGCGGTTTTTTGCTTCGTGGCAGAGTTGTGCTTTACAATTCACTCGTGTCGTACTGATCCTCGATGGGTAAACTGGCGACGGTATATGTATCTCGCTCGCGACGATGCGTGTTTCCACCGGTAATATCTTGCTTGAGAACCGTCTTGGTAGTTGAAGGGGTACCGATGACGTTTGTCTGCGTTTCCAAGCTCAACTTTCCACTACCTACACTGACAATCTTCTTCCCGACTGGAGAAGAAGTGCGTTTCTCTCTGAGAACGCCTTCGAAGGTTTTTTGGACAGTGTGTTCGAAAGGCCTGATTAGGGTTTCGACGCTGGACTGTTGCTGTCGGTGCCGTTGATCGTCGCGATCTTGAGAATTTGCTCTTGAGTGGGATGTTTTACGGTTAATGTGGTCTTCTACACTCTGTCGAATGTGCTCGGCGTTGGTATCCAAGTTCAGAGAAAAGAGTGAGTTATTCTGCGGTGATGATGGTTGTTCTGGCATCTTGTACTCGGGCCGCGGGGTCGCCAGGCTATTTAAACAGAACTGGGCAAACTGTTATTATTAGATAGTATTAGAGACTCAGTATAGGTAGAGAGTGTTTCCGGGCCGATGGTTGAATTGCGGTGGCTATTTGGGAATTCAAACGGCGACGGACATGGCCTGTTTGGGGATCCCGCTCTGGGGGTGGGGGTGGGGAACACTGCCCCGCCTCACGTGTAAACACTGGTTGGCTGCTCATAATCCACGGAACGGGACAAGACGGAGGTATTGGCGAGGATCTCGTTACGAGGATCGGTGGTTGCGCCGAAGGACATATGAGGAAGTTGGGTATAAAACACCCTGTAGGACCTGTCACTTATCCTGCCTCAACACTTACATTCATGACCATTCTGCAATATTTGTCAAGCCCAGGCGGCCTCGAATTGAGATAGGTGCATGCTGTAACTCTTGGTATATATCTGCTCATGGCATGATTGACAACAAATGCGAATAGATTGGGATAAACCTGCAAGGCTAAATAGATAATGTACAGATGAAGCTGATCAGATGTGTGCTTTTTGCGCCAGTGAGTCTCCCCCTGGGCTCAAACCGAGAGCCCAAGCAAGACCGAGAGAATGTGTGGGCCACCTCCCAATGCCCAGAACGCCATGTTACTCGCATCCTGAATGCCTGCGCTCAGGACCTTTCACGATATACCCTCACTGTGGACCTCTCTGCTGGAAAAGCCCGTTTTGAAAATCCATGCCTTCGCCGCCGCCATTGATACCAAAAAAGTGAAACCTTTACGCACCATTCGTCAGTATCCATACTCGTTAGATCGCAAAGGGGGCTGCAGAGTAGCTTTGATAGAATTGATCGACAATAGCTGACGTATCGCCCGTAGAGTTTTGGAGGAAGGCATACCAGTCTTCCACGTTGAGGGTGGTGGGCACAATCGGATTATGAGGCCCGTTGCTGCTGTTGCTCCATGCATCATCGCTGGCAGCATTTTGTTGGTTCTGCGCTATCAGATTGATCTGCTGCGCCCATCCTGCCGCGTTGTGTTGGTCAAAGCCTGACATGGACGCATTGTCCTGGCTAGACTGCATTTGTTGCTGTGGCATCGATTGAGGCGTCATGTCATTGTTGCTGGGGTGCATTGCCAGCGACTGAGGTCGTGACAATGCAGGATCCACAAGGCTGTGGCTCTGAAGTGGGGAGATTTGAGGAATATTCAACTGCGACTCAGCTGGGAACAGCTGGTCTGGCTGAAAGTTCTGCCATAGTTCCTGCGAAATATTGGGCGAGTTTCTCGTTACGAGGAACAAATCTGGAGGGGTGCCTGGATATGAATAGGATGGATTGAACGGAGTAGTAGGTCGGGTACCCGACCTTGAAGGTCCCATGAACGTATCGTTGTTTTGGCGTGCCATTTGCGGTGAACCGTGAGTCATTGGAGGCATTTGCGATCCCAAATCTCGAGAAGGTGTCACAGCAGGTGTCTGTGGGCGCGAACGCTCGTACGAGACTTGAGGGGCCGGTGGTCCATTCACGTTGGGCGCAAGACCAAAATCCATATCGTCAAACTTTCGCTTCTGCGATTCCTGTGCAGGTTTGGGCGGAGGTGGAGGTCCTGCCATCGGCTTAGCCTTCTGGTGGCGCTTGCCGGCTGCTTTCTGGAGGCGTTCCTCAAGGTGTTTGTTTCCGAGAATAGACTCAAAAAGCGTATGTACCATTTTGGCAACAAGCCAAACCTTGGAGACCTCCTTGAGCGCATCCATACATGTCTGGAGCCGCTGCTCTGTGGCTGAGACTATCGACTTATTGGATGAGCGCATCTGATAGACGTGCATGATAAGCGCTGAAAACAAACTGTACACAATGAAAGCTGGCGTATACCGCAATTCATCATGAGCTCGAAGGTTTTCAACAATGGAAGTGATCATTGCTGCTGCCTGGTAGGCAATTGTTCTCGAGGGGTAAGCATGCTCTTCGATGCCATCACCATTTAATCTAGGTGAACCAGCAGGTGGCATGTGCGCGCGATGTAGCAAACACAGTGTAGTGCTGAAGGGGTCAGTTTGTAGTAGTATAATGGATAGTAGTAGAGTCTTACTAGTAGTTAGAATGTAATAATGCTGCCCAGAAGTGATGACGGGATGTTTCCCAGTGAACTTCTGGGGGACAATTCTGCAACCAATCCGCAAGCGCCATATCGCTGTGTGTAAGGTCGATGGCATTCGTCCGTCGGTATTTGGATGCCACTGAATATTGCTGCGACAACACTAGACCCATTATCTCACATAGTTTAACATAGTTGATAAAGAAATGGACGTGGACTGGATCCGGAGCGTATTCAGCAGGCCGATCAGGCTCATCTTCGATGAAATCATCCTCAGTGATCATTTCAACATCGGAGTCTTCTGGGTTGATGGCAACTGGGCGACCAAGAGCCACCGCTACCGATCGATCCCGGGAAAAGAGAGTCCACCATATTCGCTTCCACAGCCGTTTATCGGATTTGCTGAGCTGTGATCCCTCTACGCTTCGGTGCATGCCGGATCCCTGAGCTACAACGATGCCTACTCGACTCCAGTAGAACACATTCTTGGTAACGTCTTCCGGACCTTCCCAATACCAGCCCATTAGAATGAGCGACTGAACGATTGTTACCCGGTCGTCTTCGTAGTTGGCATCGAACAAAGCTTTTGCACGTTTGTAGAAGGTCATTGCTGCGGGAGTGGTGGAGCCGCTCGAGTCCATCAGTTGTGAGTTGGTGCATACACGGGAACCGGCCAGGAGGATCGCCTGTAGCAATAGGAGAGACGGAGGATTCTTTGGGTCCCGGTATTGGCGCATGAATCGACTCCGATTGATGACAGGAACAACGGGAGCGACCCATCGAAAGAACGCATCCACCAGCTCGTCACATAAAGATCGAGGAGGAAGTAAGAAGGCTCCGCGCTGGTGTAATATCTCAATCTCCATGTTGTCCAGCTCGTTGACGCGTGCTTTGGCACCGCGCACATTCTCAGGCAGCGGGTAGTGAACAGTATCCGTGGCGCCATAGCGATCGTGAACGAGCAGCGATAGGTTTGATGACTCGCCCAAATATGCGACGCGGCCGGCCTCCTTGATGGGGGCGCGTGCAAACTTGGGCTTCATGAATTGCACATAGGTGCCATTGTGGGTGGCTTGTTGGGCAGCATAGGCAGTAGAGACCGTAGTCGAGGGTGTGCCATCGGGGGAATTGTAGACGGTAGTCTTGTCCCGCGGTTCAGGGTTGGGAGTGGTGGAGGTGTTGTTGGTGGTGCTGGGGGCCGGCGAGCGTTCGTCGTTGTCGCCAGTCTCGCTTCACCGAGGGTTAGGAAGGGGGTTGAAGAATTGGAGGAGGGGAATACCTCTGTGAGTCCTGGGCCTTGACGGCTTGCGTCTTCTTGCGCTTCGGGGCGGGGATGCGGCATTCGATGGAGAAGGCAGTGCAGTTTGTGCAGGGCACCCCGAGGCTGGCGGCGTCGCATCGTACCTGATCAACGGTTAGGTCAAGGGGATGGCGGTAAGCGGCGGGGAGAAGCGCACCTTGCGCGCATGGCAGGCTGCGAGAATCGGCTGTTAGCAGTCGTTCACAACATTTGATCGCAGCTTATCTCGTCGCGTATCGATCGTAGTTGGGATGGTTGGTCCATGGTTTAGGTGGCAGCCAACCTCGGTGCCGAGGCACTCGAGAATGGATTACTACCGCATCGCTCCAAGATGGCGCGCTCAACTACACACGCGCCTGGACCAAGGCGCGGAAGGGGGTGAGAAAGGAGTGAAGAAGGAAATGCCGTCACATACTTTCACAGGCCCGTGAGGCTCTCTGCCTCCGGAACGATGGGTGCATCTGCGCTTGCGCCCTGCTATACGTGAGCAAGACAATGGAGCGGGGAACGGCGCACGCAGCCAGACAAGGCAAGGGAGGAGACGTACGCAGCTGTCATGTTGCTGGGAGGGCCGCCAGCAGCAGTCGGGCCTGACTGCGGCGGAGAGTGTGCAGATGGTGCCGGAGTCGCCATGAAGCTGCCGTGAAGCTGCTCCCCAGACATATTGTCGGGTGTGTGTTTGGGTATATCGAAACTTAAGCAGGCTGACAGGCGACAGCAGGTACGGTATGTAGTTAGGAGGGAGGGCGGGCCCGCTCAGAAAGGCCAAGCCAACTAGTGCCGTGTGTCCGATGCACCATGTACATTCACTCGATGGCCCAAAACAAACCCTCACCCTCTCGTTGACCGCCTTGAAACTCATCGTCACGTTACGGGCCATCTAGAAGGTTTCCCATGGCTCACGTCTGGTCCATCTCCTTCCCAATGACACACTCTTGTATGTATACTGCGCTTCCCGGCTGTTGGAGGGCATGCATATGTCCAGTAGCAAACTACACGTACGCCAACATGCGCACCGCATGCGCCATCTGCCTCTGATTGGTCTGGTCATTGTGATATGCTGTTGCATCTCCCTGTATCCGCATCTTCTCCAAGCAAGCAAGCAAGCAAGCAGCAGGTATATTGTATTACTCCGTACTAACCCACCAATGTCGTAGTCTGGCCAAATAGCCCCATGACATGCATCCGAGACACTACAGAGATGCTGTCTCTCGCCTATGCCTGAAGGCCTCCAGTTTGATGAATTTGTTGTCAGGGCTTATGTACTTCAACTTCACTTCGCCCACTTGCTCCGCCTTGACTTCCTCTTCCGATGCCCACAGATACGCGTCGTGCTCTACTGGATCCAGCGCAAGTGTGGCCAGGCTTTTGACCTCCATCTCGAAAATGTGCTTCACCCATCGCACTGCTCCATCACCAAATTCGAACGTTCCAACTTTCCGTACTATTCGCGTTGCTTCGAGCCCTGTTTCTTCCTTGAGTTCTCGGACTGCCCCGTGGAGAATTGTTGTGTCTGGCTCATCAACTTTTCCTCCGGGGATTTCCTGTACCAATAGTAAGCGATTGGTTGACAATGGAATGTCGCGTGCGCAACTCGTACCCAAAAACAAGGGAAAGCCTTTTCACTCTTTGCTCGCTGGACAAGCAGCAGCTTATTTTCCTCGTTGAAAATGGTAATCCCAACACATACGACGTGGTGTTGGCTATTTTGACCGAGGTACTCCTTCTCCGATACCTGGTATTTGTGAACCGACGGATCGCATTCAAATGGATATCTAGATTCTTCAGACGAAGAAGCCATTGTATAGAGCAAAGAAAGGGTCAGATGGACAGACTGATGATCCGCAATATGATGGCTGCTGTGCTGCTTAATAGAGGCCAAGATCACGGCTGCCTTGATACAGCCACAAAAATGGCGTTTAAACACGACGCTACTAGACCAATAGCACTCTAGACCTTTGCCTAAGATTGATGCCCAACTACTGAATGTAGCCAGTATCCATCAGGCGACAAGAGATACAGCAAAAGTAGATAAGATCATATAAATGGTACACATTAACAACGTTTCAAATACTATTGGGGCAGAGGCCAAAGATGTCGGAGATGCAAATGCTCTTATATTAAGGTTTGGCTTGTCCGTTTCCGGTTAGAATGCTTTCCAGCAGCTCGTTGGCGCGTGCTTCTTCGATGTTTGGACTTTGTAGGCGTCATTCGCCAACACACCAACCATTCACTCCCACCGTACTCTGACTTTTACATTCTCTCAAGCGCATTGAGCCCGCCATACAGGCAGAGATTGTGCCCTCGATATACGCCATGCCGCGTCCCAGGAAGGCCAAAGTCGCGTCTACGACCGCGCGCGTCGCGAAACCGTCCCAACCCGCAGATCCAACCCCGCCCAAGAAGCAACTTTCCAAATCATCCCAAAAAGCCAGCGCAGTGGGCGCTCAGCCTTTGGACGAATTCAGCGACGACAGTGATGGTCTTGTTGTGAGAGCGACCAGGTCGCGATCGAGAATGCCATGGCAGTTTGAGCCGCAAAAAGATGTCGACTTCACCATGACCGGCGCGCTCCTTGCGGAAGATGTGCAGACCGATGCTCTTGGTGGAAGCAATCATACACCTCAGTCCAAAACTCCGAAGCGAACGCGTCGCTCATTGAATAGTGCGCAGGTTTCTTCCGTAACGAAGACACCTGCCTCGGAAACCAGACAGGGGCGTTCGACGCGAGCAAGCGCGCGCGGTACACCAACAGAAGACGTGGACAGCAGTGGTTTTGGGGACCAATTACTATCATTCACTTCGTTAGGATCGGACTCTCCTGCCCATGGAACGCGCCCACCATCCGCTATCAAAGTTGGTGCAACTCCGGCCCACGAACAGTCCGTTCTCGCTTTGGCGAATTTCAAGCGACGCCCGAGACAGCACAGCCTACTAAGGTCGGTTCAGCCGACGACGGACGTTGAGGACAACGATCTGGACGACTTCGACTTTGATTCCTTCTTACCTGAAGCCGAATCCACCCCATTGCACGTGCACAAGGCCGCCCCTGGTGAAATCACTGGAAATGATAGTGGGGTGAATCTGTCCAGCTCAGGCTCTCGCGGAAAGAAGAGGAAGTTATCGCCAGTAGTCCAAGTCCCCAGATCTTCTCCACCGTACGATGCAGGCGCAGCAGACGTAGAAAGTCCCCCATTATCTTCGCCAGGACTGCCCGAAGTGATTCATAGCGCAGAAGAGATGCAAAGGGCCCAGGGCGGGGAGGAGCCTGACCCTTATAGTGAGACCATGGCTCCGCCTATGTCTAGCAGCGACTATGAGCATGATGTGATTGACGTTCCACGACCCACGCGGCGAGCTGCACGGACAACGAGGGCGACTTCCACAAGAGTAACCGGGGACATTGATTCAGAAGAAGAAGCAGAAGAAGAAGCAACACGCAGCCTCAAACAGACCAGAGGGAAGCAAAAAACCAAGAACGGTTCTGGTATCTCTACAGCCAAGCTACAGTCCCTTTTGCCACGTCGACGAACACAAATACGAAAGGAAGTGGATGAGTACGATATTCCCGAGGACAGCGATTCTGATCTGGATGAGCTAGCATTACCGGAACGTCGCTCTACGGCAGCTAGCAAGCCAGTGGGACAGAGGACCAAGAAGAAAACGCGTGCCGCAAAGAAACCCACAGCGAAGGCGCAGAAAAACCCTAGGACATATGGTCGACGCCAATCGTCCGACAAAGAAAATCAGGAGGAACGAGAGGAGGAAGTTGATGATGGTAGCGATGCTGAAGATACGATTGAAGTGGCGACAACGACAAAACCTTCGAATCACCTAGAACTCATGGCAAAGAAGTTTGAAGAGGTGGATGAATTTGAGCTCGATTTCGAGAGTGTCAGCTACGTTCAAACAAGTTCACCCTCCCGGTGATGATGGTGTCCGATAATCTGTTATACCTACACACATAAGTTAACTTCATGTTGTCGATGGTGCTAGGCGCTTGCTTGTGGTGTCTTGACGATTATGATCGCTGGGGCTTTGAGCTTTGCGCGAAGATTATATCCAGCGTCGTAGTCAATTTAGGTTGCGCGAGCAATATGATACACACTTGAAGGGTTTGATTCAACATTCCACCGGACAAACATAGAGTGAATGCTTCACATGCTGACTAGCCCGATTACTGGCTGAAACTGGAAAGCAAGGCGACCAAGTATTTACAGCGTAGGGCATTTTCCAAGGATTGCTAGTTTTGCGTAGAATCTTTTTCCGTCTCCTGTTTCTGTGTGGGTTTTTGATGTCAATAGCGAAGCTGTTTATGTGGCCTCTGCAGGTGCATGATTGGATCAAGTAATTGATTGATGGCCACGATTCATGGGGGCATTCGCGTCACGTAATGATTAGCAGGTTGGTGGAAACACACGGGGACCCCAAGGCGGGAATGTCGGCCTTTGTGTTAGCCCATGGCCCAGGCTCCAAGTAAGACACCTATTGGCTCGACACATGCATACGTCTCCGTCTTCGATAAGCCAGCCTCACCTCACCCCGAAACCATCGCATCCGCAACTGCCCTTTCGTGTCTTTCTGGGAACTCGCACACCCTCTCGCCGTCCCGAGAATGCCCCAGTGACTTGAACATGCCCATTCCTGACCGTTCCGACCACCTGTCCTATGCTGCTCCTCTATTCACCGTCGCGCGCGGCTCACCAGTGCCATGAACCCCACCAATGGCTCTCCATCCTTTAAGAGCAGTTCGTCTGCGGCAACCTCCACCCTCCGCCCGCGAACTCGCCGCTTGATCTCTGTCGAAGATGAACTGTATCCTGTCTCTGCAAGCGAGCACACATCCCCGGCCGCCTCCAGATCGGCATCGCCTGTCCCGAGCACCAATCCGAACCGATCCAATATCACCTCCGCACCGTCCTCCTCGTTCACTCGTTCCCCAATCTTCGGAACACAGTCTTCCAAATTCAATCGCGACACCACAAACCCACTGTCTGGGCTATGGGGTAATTCATGGTCCGCACTCCAAGGCTTAGCCACAAACGTGCTGGGAAGTGACGCGGGTGCGAGCGGGGATGACACCACTTCAAGTCGGCGACGGAAGCCACTGTCGGCTACCCATCGCCGCACATCGAGCAGCGCCCCACCGAAACATTGGGGTCCAGCAATGTCGGCGAGCTCACATGTTGGTGCCGGTACACAAGAAGAGAGGGAGAGTATGGTTCGAGCTATGAAGCGCAAGGACATGCTGATAGCCAACGAGCATCTCGTGTCAGACTCGGTCGGCCGCATCAAGCGGAGGAATTCGGATGAGCGACTGAGCTCTTCAGCACCACCTGGTGATAACGACGACCGCGACGCGCTCATCTACATACACCACGTGAAACCACAGGATACCTTGGCGGGCATCACCATCAAGTACGGATGCCAACAGGCTGTGCTTCGAAAAGCCAACCGTATGTGGCCCAACGACACCGTACAGTTTAAGAAAACCGTCGTCATCCCCGTCGACGCTTGTGAAGTGAAGGGGCGTCCAGTGGCGGATTTCAGCGCGCGAAGCGATGACCTGTTAATCGGGGATTGGGGTGGAGACGCAGATACAGCGGAGAGCAAGTCTCCCACTTTGCCGAATAGCTGGACTTCTGGCAGTTCAAAAGATCCGGACACCACTTCTGTCCTATCCTCTTCCGTCTCTAATAGTGAACCCGAAAAGCCCTGGAAACATGATTCTTGGGTCCTCCTCCCAAAAGCCAAAGAACCCACAGAGATTGGCCGCATGCCGCGTAGGGCACTGGGCTTCTTCCCTCCTGCCCGGCGAAAATCTCTCACTTTTTCAGATACCGCTTCTACACCTACAGCATCTCTTGACCTGACCCGTTCTTCGACGAACACATCCTCACAATCGCATTTCAATTCACCTACACAAAACCTCAGAAGACCTCGTGCATCTAGTAACCTATCCAACGTTTCCTCAGCTCACGCTCGCCAGCGTAGTACGTCTGGTTTCCAGCTACACGGACCAGGAGGCGTAGGCACTATGGGTAAAAACGTACGTAGTCCGGGCCCTGCACAGGATGGCCTGAACAAGCTATTTGCTCAACATCTCCCCAATGTGGAACCGCCACCAGGCCAGGAGTATTTCACACCATGGGCACCTGGGCTTTTGGATGCGGAGTCGGGTGTTTCACACCAATATGGAGGTTCCGGCGCTCACACTCCGCTAGGTGGAGGAGATATCAACTTTCAAGAAATCGGTGGTGCGATAGAAGGTTGGATGCGCAAAGTGGGTAGTCAGGCTTCCAAACTTTTGGCTGAACCCACGACCCCTGGACAAGGCAAAAGATCTGCCGTACCGGTCATTGGAGCTGTTGGAGGCGATCTCGGAGATCTCATTGAGCTGAGAGACGATGCCTTTGAAATTGGGGATGGCGAGGAAGACCGGGGAAGGAGGGGGAACGACGTGGCGATACCGACCTCCAAACAGTATCAGAGTGCTAGACCAGATGTCAACCTTGTTCTGCGCCCAAGAGGCAAAGGTGGGGCTAGCAAGAAGGACTAGATTGTCCACCATTTGAGCGCCGACCCCTCAAAAGTATAGCATGGAGTCCAAGGAGTTTGTGATCCACAATAAGAAGTGCATGCAGGCATGGGAAATGTGTACGCTGATAGCTTGGTTAGAGTTTTTAGAGGCATTCCGGCGTACCTGAGTTTTCTCAATTTACATCACATCATATATTTGATCCTTGACAATTTTGCAAAAGTCATGTTGGCATCGATGGGGCGTTCTTGGGCTACGTAGTATCCACGACATCTCTCTCGTGATATTATTTTGTTAAAACACTCTTCAGGTTCTACATACAATTGTCAAATATCAAGTATTCATTGAACGTTGAATGCATACATGTCTATCTGTGCAGGGCACGGAATTGAGCATCTCGTGACCCGCTAGCCCGTGCTTTTTGTATTCAAGTCTCATACATGGGACAGACTCAATTCTCATCATTGATTCCATCAATTCTCATCTCGAAGCTGTATGAAGCGCCATACCATAATCACCCCGTTCCGGCGTTTGGCGTCGGCCCAGCGTGCCACTTTAAGCGGCGTTCAATCTGGAAGGTCGCTGTGGTTTGCGCGGTTTGATTCGGCTTTCTGCTCGCAACGGTCCCACTCCACATCGATAATATCAGGAATAGCTACGTCGCAATTCCCCGCAGCTCACAAAAAACAAGCACTTTCCGCCAACCCTCCCCTCCAGAAGCGCATCTCGATCCCAAAACTAGGGCTCGGTAGTTCCAGAGCATTGTACTCGATCATGCATCGTTCTCCTGCCGCCATGGTCACTAAGCCTGTAGTAACCGCGGATGTCTCCATCAACACCCCACGCGACCCTAATACTCTGTCTAACTACCACAATTTTGTGACTAGGCAGACGACCGCAGATTTTGAGATCGACTTTGACAAGAAGATCTTGAAGGGGGGTGTTACGCTGGGGTTGGAGAGTCTGACCGAGAAAGAGACGACTGAGATTGTCTTGGACACAAGGTACGTCAATTTCGAGCTTGTGGAATTGAAGTGATGTCATTCATGTTAGAGCCTAGCAAGACTGATTCTTTTGTGTAGCTTCTTAGACATCACGGATGTGAAGGTCGATGGAAAGGATGTAAAATGGAATGTGGGCGACCGCATCGAGCCTTATGGCGCCCCATTGAACATCACTTTGGATGAAGGCGTGCCGAAAGGCAAGACAACAGAAGTTTCGATCAAGCTCTCTACAACGGAAAAGTGCACAGCTTTACAATGGATGACGCCGGCCCAGACATCCAACAAGAAACACCCATACATGTTCTCTCAATGCCAGGCTATCCACGCCAGATCCGTTTTCCCTTGCCAGGATACACCAGACGTGAAATCGACCTTTGAGTTCAAGCTAAGGTCCCCACTTCCTGTACTGGCTTCTGGTCTACCCACTGGAGCCAAGGACTACCAGCCGGGCAAGGATGGAAAACCTGGCACTCTGCTGTATACTTTCGAACAGGAAGTTCCAATCACAAGCTATCTGTTTGCGATTGCGAGTGGCGATCTTGCTTCTGCCTCCATCGGTCCTCGTTCTACGGTGTGGACTGGCCCCGAAGAGCTGTTGGCTTGTCAATGGGAGCTCGAGGGCGAGATCGAGCCTTACATGAAGGCTATTGATTCAGTGGTGAAGCTCCCGTACCAATGGACGCAGTACAACTGCCTCATTCTTCCGCCATCTTTCCCATACGGAGGCATGGAAAACCCTGTGTGGACATACGCAACACCCTCCATCATCTCAGGTGACAAGCAAAACGTCGACGTGATTGCGCACGAGCTTTCTCACTCTTGGTCAGGAAATCTCGTGTCCGCAGCAAGCTGGGAGCACTTCTGGCTGAACGAAGGATGGACCACCTATCTCGAGAGGCGAATCCAAGCTTTTGTCCACGGTGAGCCGCACCGTCACTTCTCTGCCATCATCGGCTGGAAGGCACTCGAAGAATCTATCAAGCTATACGGAGAAGACCACGAGTACACCAAGCTCGTCGTGGATCTCAAAGGCAAGGATCCTGATGACGCCTTCTCTTCGATCCCATATGAGAAGGGATTCCACGCCCTCTACGCTTTCGAACTTCTCCTAGGAAAAGACAAATGGGACTCATTTATCCCGCACTACTTTGAAACCTTCAAATTCAAATCCGTCGACAGCTACGACTTCAAGTCCTGCCTCATCGACTTCTTCGCCAACGACGCCGAGGCCAAAAAGAAGCTCGACGACTTCGACTGGGACGCTCTCTTCTACAAGCCCGGTTTCCCGACTAAACCCGAATTCGACGACTCTCTCGTCAAAACATGCTACTCGCTCGCCGAGAAATGGAAAGCCCGCCTCTCGTCCCCCAACAAGGACTCCTTCACACCCAAGAAGCAAGATATCGAAGGTTGGATGGCCAATCAGTCCGTCGTTTTCCTCGAAAGCATGCAGGCTGTTGCTACGTCTTTCAGTCCAGAGGACGTGCACTTGCTCGGCGAAACATACGGCTACACATCCGAGAAGACGCAGAACATCGAAGTCGTGAGCCGTTTCTTGAACATTGGCCTGCAGGCTAAAGCCAAGGAGACGTACCAGCCCACTGCTGAGCTGCTGGGTAAGATTGGGCGCATGAAGTTTGTGCGTCCTTTGTACCGCTTGCTCGAGAAGGCGGATCGCGAGTTGGCTGTCAAGACATTTGACGCGAATAGGGACTTTTATCATCCCATTTGCAGGTACGTCTTGTAATTTCCTTTCCCTCCCCCCCTCTTAGTTGTCTATTGTCTATGCGGTGAGATTTGTCAAGATGAGACCATTGCGTAGCTAACTCGTCTTTTTTTGTAGGCAAATGGTCGAGAAGGATCTTTACGAAGGCAAATAAGTAGAAAGCCGCTCTCAATTCGGTCATTTGAAGCCTGTGGATCAAGGCGATGGAACATTACGTGACCCTTCAACCACATATTGACTTTTTTTTCTAAAAGAAAAAGTGCAGCCAAAACCTCCAATACTGATTGCATGGTTGATATCTTAGCAGCTGATATCTTTACTCGGTATGGAAGTCTCAATATATTTACTTTTATATATAGATACAAGTCCAGAAATTACATCTCAGTCTCCCAGTTTTTAGAATACTTGCTGTGCAATTGAGGAAAAAAAAAGTAAATCACTACATCTGATGTTCTCAATCGTCCAAGACCAGGCCACCCAACCACGCACGTATCTTGTCCAGGGCGAGCACTTCATGTCAATAGTCCAAAGTGTGATGAGAATCCTTAATCTCACCATCTATCCATCCATCCCTCAGCTCCCCTCAACTAACCCCCCAACTATTGCACCGATTCTACGTGCAGACCAAAAGCCGGGAAGAATTGGCATACTCGTTTCGGTGACTAGGATGTTGTCTGGATAGATGTCGTTGTAGGCCCAAGTCGAGAGAATGCAAATGGCGGATGGCGAGTTCGAGGGCGTTAATGAAGGGGGGTTTATCCATGGGGTTCACTTGTTTCCAACCGTTTTAGTGAGGTTGCCATTCGCTACCTTCTAGCTACCACGGTGGAGCATCATCGACGCGCTGTCTAAGTATAAGGCTAGTTGAGATATGGATCACACTGGACGGAGACGGCGGCGCCGATGATGCCGGTCGTGAAGCTATTGTTGCGAATCTTGAGGTAGCAGCAGTTTGCTTGAGAGTAAGAACGCCACGCTGCGGCAAGATGTTCAACTTGGTAGACAAGCCAGGGCGTAAGCTATATACCAAATATACGTTCCATTCACTGTATCAACTCCATTCAAAAGAAGAGATGAGTTGTACCTATCCTATCATTGTTTTACATGCGTGTAGACCAAACAGCTAAAAGGCGTGCATCAAACAGACCGAGACGAATCAAGATAACTCCGAAACCTAATAGAGGGAAGATGAGCGAAGGAGTGGGTGGGAACGAGGTTGAAATCGACCACTGGAAAAATAATGCCAAGCACGCGGTAATGAACAGAATACACCATAAATGACCTCTGTGGAGGTAGTGACGGGAGGGACAGAAGACAAGCAGATATCCGATCCCAAGCAGAAAGAGATAGCCCCTGGGAAATAAACAAAAGTCCAAAAAGAAGGGAAATCTCTAAGCAAAAGATTCACAAGTAATCAGCATCTTCACCAAAACCCACTCGGCAGAACGTTACTCATCTCCGTCATTTGAGAACCTCCGCAAGAACACCAATCATATAGCACCAGGCTCCAGCCCACACAACGGATCTGGCTACGCCACTAAACCCACTTCTATCCTTTTTTCTCACCTCCCGCGGTTTTTCTGCCTGGAACTGCATGTCACTTGAGCTCCCTTCGTTTGCTTTTATCTTATGTCTCGCCCACTTCGGGGGCTTTCTTTCCATTTCTGATCCTACGTGATGAGAAGATTGTTGCGCAAATTGATCCTGCTGATGATGATTTTGGGTTCGCTGCTGCTGTTGGGCAGCTCTTCTGCGCTCTTCAAAGTCTTGCTCGAGCTCCAATGAAGATGGCCCTGCGAAGCCGGTCGGCGAAAGCCGCGTGGTGCCGTCTATGGGGTTGACTTTCTGAGTCCATTCGCTGTTAGCGCTCGCGCTACTAGTCGAAATTCCCTCGATTTCGGGATTAGGCGCGGGTGTGGCGGGAAAGCGGACTGTATCCTCGCCGAACACTGCAGCTTCAGCGAGAGCTGTGCTGCGGAGAACTAGCAGGGTGGGACGAACGGTTATGATTTCGTAGGTGTGTGATTTAGGGAGATGTGGGAGGAATTTGATTGGATCTGTGAGTGTGCTAAGAGCGGTATGTAGGGGGATGATAGGGGTAGAGTCGTCGGTGGATGATGAGTTAGTGGCGGAGGTGGTTGGGGAAATGATAATCTCGTCAGTGGTTGGGTCGTACATGTAAGTCACATATGAGAGTTTGTGAGATACGGTACTTTCAGGTATCGGTTCTGTATTGACATCTGGATGCTCGGGTTGGACTGATGGCAGACTGGATGGGCCTGATATGTTTGCAGGAGTCGGACTTGTGACAGTTGTGACCTCTTCCACTTCATTCCTTGAAGATAAAGGATCAATGCTTTCAGCTGTAGTGGATGATGAACAGGCAAGCGATGAAATAATTGGCGAGACTTCGTCTTCCTTCAGCATTTGTAGCGTAGGTTGCTTTTGTGGTGTAGATGACTTCGACGGTGCTTTCTCCATGACGTTAGAGTTCGTGTTATCTTCCAAAATCTTTTCATTGCCATTTTCAGTTTCCGAATTCGACACAGATGTCTCCTTAGCGCCCGGAAGTTGTCGATGATGTATCGCGAAGGGACCAAAGAGCTCCTCATATACGGAATGTACTTCCTTAACAAGTTCGTTGCCACCCTTGTTCATCTCAGATTCAACGGATGGGCTGGCCTTGAGCTTACCAAGGTCGTCCAGTTGCGATTGGAATGGTCTAAATAGACTGTTTGTCAATGGCCTTGGCTCAGAGGCTGATTTAGAAGAGACAGGCTTTGATGTTCTCGAGTATCCATCGTCCGAGAGTCCTCGCATTGCTGCTTTGAAGCTGTCAACTTCTGCAGAGAGTTTAGCATCAGCTGCGGCCTTCATCTCTCTTTTCTTGACATCCTTTTTTGTATCATTGACAAGGAATTGCTCTTCAACTGGCTTCTGGCCACTTTTCACATCCCTTCTAGGCTTCTGAAGCTTATCCAATCCCTGTTTTGCATTGATACCATATTTTGTCATCGCATGTGTCAGAAGTCTGATCATTGCGAGGATGATATCCTGCAGCCCAAGGAGACTTGTGAGAACTCTGTTCAACAGATGTATTGGAAGCCCTCCCGGCCGGTCTATTCGAGTTTGAAGACCGAATATCATAGCGCGTATCAACCTCGCGAAATCTTGCAGTATGTCGGCGTCGACACTAAGACGCTCTTTTGCGAGAGGCTGGGGGGCAGCCGAGCGGTCGATATCTTCACATGCCATTTCTAATTCCTTCTCTAAGCTCAGAAGTTTGTGCTTCCAGATAAGCACCTTTTTTTCGATTCGCTTGGATTGTAAATGAGAGCCTGCAGTTGGTCCTCTTTTGACAATATTTTCAGTTATCCACGTCAAGCTAATTGTGCTTTGTCGCAGGCGTTTTACGAGCGGGGCAGACGCAGGCAAGTCAAATGGGAGGTTTAGTACTACTCTTGCCATACTACGATCACTCTGGATTATTCCTCTAAGAACACCCTGGAAGAAAGGGTCTGTGGACATATCCTGCCCATGCTGCTTCAAGGATCCTGGAGAGATGTGGTGGGCGCTAAAGGGCCCCCCAGCTTCGAGCCAGGTTATCATGTAATTCTGATCCCTACCCAGCAATCTTATTGCTGGATCGACAGTGAGTGTCTTCTTCAAGTCTTCACGCATCTGGAGTGTTGCTTCCTGATTTTCCGGACTTTCTGCTGTTTCGGGTGCCTTTTCTAGCTCGGAAAGCGGCTGTCTTACGCTATGTTGCAGTAAATCGCGTTCCTGCCGACGTATGTACTGTTCGCTGAGCACATTCTGAGCCAGATCTTCGTCATGATTGTCATCTCGTTTACCCTCTTCATATTTTTTCTCCAACCTTTCTCTCATTTTGGTACGATCCTCTTGGGTGTTTCTCACTCGCCCCATAGATGAACGAATTGCGTCTGCTGTAAGGAAGTCAATGTCATCTTTGGGAAGCAATCGATGAATATCCCTGGTGACCCGTGGTTGGCTTTTGATATTTTCATCTGCTGTTTTGGTAATTGCGGAGGGATGAATGCTCTTCACTGTCCGTCTCGGTATTTCACATGCGGTAGCAAGCGTTTCTTCCGAATGAGTCGTGGAAGATTCTGCAGTGTTTGTGTTTGCGGGTTTGACGATGAGTGCATCTTTGGGTGGCATGCTGACCGCAGATGAGTCCGTCTGTCTTCCTGACTTTCGGAGACTGATGAACGATTCTCTTCTTTGTAACGAGGTCTGCAAAGGCACAGAATCACGGCTTTCTAGTGTGGAGGTACCAAGGGCGATGGTTGCGGTAGGGTTTGAGGCACGCGAATCCTCGAGCTTCCCATCGGTACTAGAAGTCTTGTACGATTGCTCACTGTGTCGTACTGGCTGAATGTGTTGGTATTGCTGATTCCGCACTTCATCTTTTTTTATGCCGTTTCCGAGCATGGAATCGATAGTATCTTCACTAGGGTCGTGTGCCTGACGTCCAGTATGTCTGATGTCTTCGGGGTGCCTGGCGGTTGTGGACTGCTCGCGGGGCCGTCGTGAGTCAGAAGGTGAATCGACACCGTAATTCGATTCATCACCTCCTAGTTTCTCCCAGCTATAGTTGTCATCTCTAATAGCATTGGCTTGAGGGTGTTTTTCGGTGGGTGGCCATGCACGTGTATGTATCGGACGGTCATGCTTTGCGTGGTAACAAACAGCTACCTCCAACATTAGACATGCTCCCGTAGATCGATAACTGACAAGTGTACTCACGTTTTTCGCCACTAATCTTGCATTTATCCGCTTTCTCGAGCCCTATATCCCTGTTGGGCGAAGAATCAGATGGCATGACCATCGACGGCCAATCTACAAGTCCTCTTCCCGCCAACATTCTCTCACTTGCCCCGAACAGTGCTCTGTAGGGATCAGTCTCCAACATCAACTTCCACCTATCATATTGTCTAGATCGTATTCGGTCTTTATCAATGGATGGTGTTGGACGATTGGGACCTCTGTCGCCGGAACCAGTGTCGTGTGGCTGGGATCTAGAAAAGCATCTTGTGCGAAGGACGGTTTCATTGTCGGCGAGAGTACGACGGATATATCGATGGATTGGTGTTCGAGACCAGAGGGAAGAATCGCGCCGCCACCAAGTCATGACGAAAATAGCTGTTGGTGAATTGAGCCACGATGGAACAAACAACTAGCTACCGGAAGGTTGCGGACGATCAAGGGATCGCCGAGCTCGAGGCATTAACATACGCACAGCATATGACGTTGCTCAAACGTAGACCGAGGCCGACGATGAAAGGGAAGATATGGGGTATATGAAGGACGCGAGTTTGCGTGCCAATGATCAGTTGATCCAGGGAGCAGATAGATATGAGAGTTATCAACAAGAAGGAGTTGAAGCGTGGAGAGAGTGGTGGTTGATGGATGCACTTCACTGCCGCCTTCCGATCCCCGCCCAAGCCTATCAGCTCACGCGGGGTACATTGATTGATGTTACGGCGGCTACCCAGAGGCAGGTGATGGTGCATTCCGCTCGTCCTACCGTTGATTGCCCCTCACATACACCCGTCGTCTAAAGTGGCAATTCGGCGAATATGCATTCATTCACCCCTTGGTTGATGGAACGGGACTTGCGTCTGCTCCATTCCGCTCATGACTGATAAGCGGGCACGAGAGATTCATCTTGAATTCAGATCATTTGAATCATTTGCCAGTCAGGGCTAATTGCATGAATCTCTACTATGATCTATTCGCATGTCCAAAATATCACGATGAACATGATGTAATTGACTTCAACCCCACGATGTGAGGTTGCCACCCATAACTTGAGATGAATAGAGAGAGTACTTCTATCTATAGAGCTCGCTACTAGCGCCTGTTTTGCCCCACACAAGCTTCACCCCGCACCTCTACACCAACCTCACAACTTATGCGCAAACTATTTGGCGTGTCCAACTGCAACACCGCCTCCAAACAGTCTCATTGTATGGACGCGTTTCGACTATATTCATATCAGTCATCACAGAAGCCTTATCACCCAACACGCCTGACCCAATTCGCCATGTCGGACATCACCCTCGCCGACCTCTCCTATACAACGCGCGAAGACCTCTCCAAAACAATCCTAGAATCCGACTCGGCCTCCCCTCTCCCCTCAAATCTCGCTATAGTGGATGTACGCGACTCCGATCACATTGGCGGTCACATCAAAGGGAGCACATGGGTGCCCAGTAGCGAGCTCGATTATCGCACGGCTGAGCTTGTGCGGACCCTAAAGGACAAGGACACTGTCGTTTTCCACTGCGTGCTATCGCAACAACGAGGGCCGAGCGCCGCCTTACGGTATATCAGGGAGAAGAGGAGGCTGGACCAAGCCTCCAAAACCGAGAGCAAAGGAGAAGTGAAAGAGGGAGACGAGTCTGCGAAGGAGGAAGGAGAGGGGCAAGAGAAGAAGGCACAGAAGGTCCTGGTTTTGGAAGGTGGATTTAATAAGTGGCAAGAAAAGTATGGCCCGGATGGACGTCTCACTGAGGCATGGCAGAAGGACATTTGGGAATACGGAGCTTGAGAGAGAAAACACATACGATCTCACCACCGTTTCCTGAAACCGCAAAGACGTTGTTTCTCAGGATTAGGTTAGAGATAGTCATCGATAAATAATTCTGAGAGATGTCTCTGGGTTTCCAGGACAAAGCTGCATGATCTCACCCCAGGAACAGATGCAGCAGTTGCCAACCAACACTCTCTAGTAAGCAAATAAACTGATGGGAATGACTTATATACTATCCCTTACCACGTAGCAAGCATTACTATGTAACAAGCTAGATTAAATAATCTAATACCTTGCGCGCTCTCTATATAAGTATATAAAGTTATATATAAGTTTTTAATGTTTTTTAGCTTTTTTTACACTTAATACTTATAAGTAGTAAAAAAATTATACTAGTATTAGTATTACTACTAATAGCTTTATAATAGTATTTTAATTTACTTTTAGCTTATTTTTTTTACTTTATAGTAATTATAGTAAAGCTATTAATTTTTAAAGCTACGTTATAATAGTTTTATTAAAAAAAATATACTTTTAAGTTTTAAAGTTAAGTAAGTTATTAATAGTAAATTTTAAAAGCTTTGCAGATAGAGTAAAAAAAGTTACAAAATAAAGTATAATTTTAGTAATACTTAATATATACTAGTATAATTTACTATTTATATTAAATATTAATATTATAAAACTATATATAGCGTAGTGCTATATATTTTTATAGCTTTAAGTATAGCTTATTTTTACTAATTATATATATGTTAAAACGCGCTTAATAATTTTACTTAATTTAAAAAGTACTATTAGTATAGTAATATTATATAATTTTTTCTTAGCTACTATTAAGCTAGTAAAAACTTATTTGTATAATACTAAAGCTAAAAAAGTTAAATATTAATATTAAATATTTTATAAGTAGTAAATAGCTTTATATTAAAGCTTTATAAAAAGAAAACTACTTTACTATAATACAATACTTTTATAAAATTAGCGTAATAATAATAACTAAGCTTATATTTTTTTAAGCAGCAGTAGTAGAGAAATAAAATAAAACTTTAAATTAATAATATAAGTAGTATAATATATAAAAGTAATTATATAAAAAGTTTTTATAAATGTAAACTTTAAGTACTTATTATTTTACTTGCTATGCAGTAATGCTTGCTACGTAGTTAAAAATAGTAACTATATTATTTTTAGTATAGATATTTAATTACTATCTTTAAAATATATACTATAAATCTCTTAATTATAACACTCTAGAAGAAAGCTTTATTAATAATATTTTTTCTTTACTACTAAAGATGTTAATATATTATAAAGCCTTTCTATTAATTACAAAATATAGAGTAATTAATAATAAGTGTAAAGAAGGAATTTTGTATTTAGCTAATTATATTTATTAAATATTTTCTAGTAATACTTATTAATGTTAGACTATGTGTTTTCTATAATATAATAGAACCTATTAGAGCTTAGAAGAAAAAGATCCTCTACTTATAAATAGATAGTAATGTTATTATTAGTTATGTTAATTAAATAGGCTTTAATAATAATAAAAATAAAGCCTAACTAAGCAATTGCTATTTATAAAGCCTCTTATAAACTCCTTAAGTAATAGGTTTTACTAGAATAATAAAATAGTTAGCTACGCAACTGCTTATCTTAGCTTAACAACTAATTAGAAAGCATTGCTAGTCTTTTCTATAAACTATTTACTATTTATATTATAGCACAGTAGAGAGCTATACTAATTTTATTAAAAAGAATAGCAAAAATAGTTTAGATAATTTTTAAGTATTAGCTGTCTTTATTATAGCTATATACAGCGTAGATAATTTAGAGTATTAAACACTATAAAACTTTAAAATTAAGTACTTTAAACAAGTCTATTAAAAGCTGCCTATACTCTAGATTAAGCAGTTATATATTTAAGTTATTAATTAATATATAACTTTTTACTTTAGCTTAGCATGTACTATCTATATAATAATTAAGGCTGTTTAGTGCTATTAGATAGTTATCCTTTTATAGTCTTATTTATATTCTTCTCTATGCTGTTTTGAAAGCAGGAGAAAGGTATAGTAGATTTTATAAATAACTTAATAATTTTATAAACTTTAAAGAGGACGCTAGTAAGAAGGCTTAAAAAAAAATTAATGCTATAACTAATACACTAGATCTAGCATTATTTAGTATAAAATTTAATGTAGTGCTTAGTTAGTAGGCAAGATTTAAAAACTTTTAAGTAAGTATTATTTAAAGTAGTATTATTTTATGTGTGCTATCCTAATTAGAACTAATTTCTAAACTTATTAAAAAAATTAAAGATAAGATTAGCTTACTTTTCTTTTAAGTAAAAAAAGTAGCACTCTAGTAGTCTCTGTAAACTAGACTACTAGCTTTTAAAACTAGCTATTATTTTAGCTAACTTCTTAGCTCTTTGCATTTTTATATTTAGCCCTTATTTTTTAAAGGGCTACTTTTTTAAAACTATAAATTTTATATTATTTAATAAAAACTTATTATTTATATTTTTAAGTAGTAAATTTTATATAGTTATATAAAATTATATAGCTTAAAGTATATAGCGTGCTATATTTTTTTTAAATACTTTTTAGTATTAAGTTATTTATAGCTTATTCTACTTAGTTTATTAAAATAAAAATATTTTACTGCTATTAGCTTTTCTTATGAAATACTTTAACTATAAAATTATAATTTATTATAAAGTTTTTATACTTATTACTTTTAAATTTAGTAGCATCTTTATGCTTCAAAGCTAAAAGCAGCTAGTTTATATATTTATATTAGTTGCTCTAGAAATCTACATTATTATTTATGCCTAGCTAGCTTGTTTTATATATTTCTTTAAAAAGAGATACTTACGTTACTTTAAGTGCTTTTGTTACGAACCTAAGAATGGGGATGCACAGGTTATGAAGGAAGGTAATTACAAGAACACTCACGGTCAGCAAACAGGACACTACGTATGAACCAATAGACTTCGCCACCCCGCACGTCACGTGGTCCCACGAGTCTTGGCGGAAAGTTGCTGTGGGACAAGTCACGTGTGTCCCACAGGGTCCTACGAGATCCCACGATATCCCATCTATGAAACCCTATGGGACATATGGGAACTATGGGACAAAATATGTATATAGTCAGTAGACAAGAAGACCTTATGGTTCTTGTATTCACTCTAAGTTACAACCCACTTCTTGGAAATACAATCTAGTTGTTACTTTATACTTCTACCTTTGTTACTTCAGTGTTACCCGCTAGTCATCCGCGAAACCCAACCAGAGTTCTCCAAGATCTCAACATTGTGAATACCCTTAAGATGTCTAGCTTCAGTACCACTGACCAGCCTACCCTTACTCCCGATATGGACAACGACACCCCTGTCAGCATCAAGACCAAACAACCTGACACCTACTATGGGGAACGTGTCAAGCTTGAGGAATGGATCCTGCAACTCGAGTTGCTTTTCAAGTTCAATGAAAAGATCGAGAACGACGACAAGGCCACCTACGCTGCGACTTTTATGCGAGGTGATGCCCATAAATGGATCGCGCCTCAGCTCACCAAATATCTGGACGACGATATCGAAGACGACGAAAACACCACTCTGTTCGAAAACTGGGGAGTGTTTAAGACCAAGCTCCGCCAGGTCTTCGGAATATCCAACGAGAAAAATAAGGCAGTGCGTGAAATTCAACGCGTCAAACAGTTCAAGTCTGCCGCCGACTATGCTGCGAAGTTCCAACACTACGCAGTCCAGACTGACTGGGATGACAACGCACTCATGGCACTGTATCGCCAAGGACTCAAACCCAAGGTCAAGGAAGAACTCATGAGGTCTGGTGTGGTTATGGACACACTAGAACGACTCTACGAGGAAACTATCCGCATTGACAATGACTTGTTTGAGTTAGCCGAAGAAATGAAAGGGATCCACGGTTATAAATCTGCCTACGGAAGGACTCAGGAAGCTGTTCGCTATTTTCCCCAGGGAAGAGGCCGCAGCGTCCCTGTTCGACCCAGGGTCAGATACACCGAGGAAATGGACTGGACACGTGACGTTAATGCAACGTTTCCATCCAAGGCTGGAGATAACAATGGAAGAAAGAAGTATGACAAGAAGAGCAAGGACCCTAAGGGGATAACCTGCTACGGATGTGGTAAAACCGGCCACATAGCTAGGAACTGTCGATCAAAGAACAAGGTCACACGATTTGTCAACGTAACGACCAAGTCTTCATGCCCCGGGGGGGATGAAGGCGAATCGGAATGGGAAATCCTAGAACCCACGCCGGGTGAAGGACGACTCATGGTGGATGACCCAGATTCGGAAAGCGGTCCCGAGCATCATGAAGATGCACCACCACCTAAGAAACGTCGAGCGGAACGGAACGCCCGACAAGCTGCTGCAAGAAGCAGGAATGATCGACGAGAGAAGCGACGTCTACGTCTGACACAGCAGTTCTGGGCTGAAAATCCTACGTCAAGGAACTATGCACCACCAGAAGCTAAACAGATGTACATTACGAAGAATCCACGGGGATTCGGATCAGACTCGGAAAAGGAGTACTTATCTCCTGAGGAACCCGATAGCCCGAGAGGATCCATCGAATACGATGATGACGAACTCGCTAAACAAATTGAAGAACTGGATCTGCCGAACGAAACAGCAGATGGTAATTGGAAAACGAATCAAACCAAAACAGAAGTCTTAGACCTATGGGGAGACAACTACGTACAACATGTCTCAGAACACTGGCAAGATTGTTGGAAGTACGAGGAGGACAGCAAGAAAACCAAGAAACCTGAACTGCCATCCATGCGTCAACCTATGTACGACGTTGACTCACGAAACCAGAATCATGGACGACTACATTTCAGTGCTTGCATGTACGACCTTTGCTGGACACACCAGTCAGACAAAGGTGCTTCCTATTATCCAAAAAACAATCTGCACAAAATCTGTGGATACAATTGGACGAAGTGTCACAACGACTTCT